CGGACGCAGGTGGGGTGATGTGAGGGTCGTATGAGCAGACTTGTTCGGCGCCTGTTCTGGCAAGTTGGAGCCCGGACCGAGGAGGAATTTGGGCAGGCCTAAAATCTTGTGCAGAGTGTTCCATGTAGATCCAATGTGGTTTCGCAATATCGGTAGGAAACTGGGTTCATTCATGTTTTCCGAGAACGCCTGGTGGAATAGACTCGAGAATAGGTGTAGAACAGGACGCATACGCTCTTTGTCGGCGACATCGAATCGCGAGCTAGCAAAGAAGCCCCTTCGTCGGGCTTCAATCTGAACTGACGTAATCAGCCGCGATTTGCCCAACCCAGGCCCTCCCTCAATGCTGATGATCTCGCATAAGCCTTTTGGCGTTGCTATGCCATGCGCAGCCGACCTTCCCGCATTGTCACTCGATCGAGAGCTTCCCTCGCCACTGGTGCTGTCAAACGAGGAGACTGACAAGCGCTTGTCTAATCCCTTCCTCTCTACGATGGCAGGATCCGACTCGCTACCCTCGCTTGAGGCGTATGGCGAATCCCGGGGGGAACGCGCGCGGCTTGTATTAGCTGGATACAATTGGGTACCACCAGCGGATGTCCCACTCACAGAACCGGTCTGGGTGGGAGATCCATCGATCAGATTAAGGGCTTCCTCTTCCCCCGGGGTATTGCTTGGTGAGGGAAGGACGGTAAAAGTTGCGAATTGGTCCTCCGGCAACGACGACAAGTGAAGCCCTCTGGCTCCCTGATACAATTTCAGAGTACGGTCAAGGACCTCGACGATGGCATCCCGCTCGGTTGCCCGGCCCACCATCGTACGTGGGAGCGCGAAGAACGGAGAAACATCTTTGCTGGCGACTTCCCAGCTTTCCAGAGCGGCCGCGTCTCCCTCTGCCAGCAATTGCCGTACCTCCATGAGGTCATGTCGCAGACCGCGAGCTGAGTTGTAGCGCCCGGAGACAGTTTTGGCCGTCGCCTTGGCGATGATCCGTGCAAAAACCTCTGGTACGTCGGGTCGCAGGCTCGATACTGACGGCAGCTCCTGTCCAAGTACCTCCTTAATGATTCCCATTGGAGTCTTGCCTCCAAACGGACTCTCGCGGACGAGAGCGTTCCAAAGCATAACACCGAGGGAGTAGATATCGGCGCGACTGTCACCTTGGATCGGCGCCCGTCCAGCTTGTTCGGGACTCAAATATGAGATGTGCGCCGTGGCATCGTTCTGGTTCTGCAAAGCTGACCAGTTCGCGCTCACGCGTCCGGTATCATAGGACTGGAGACCCACACCAAGATGGATTAAGCGCACATGGCCGGTCTCTTGATTGAAGTGGAATGCCTCGGCCCGAATCTGCCCATGGACAATCTGCTGGCTATGCAGCATTTGGATGCACTCCGCCGCGCCTATGGCGAAATCGACAAACGTTACCAACGGCATTCGGTCGTCCCGCTCCGATCGGGGCGGGCCCACATTATCGGTCTCGTTCAGATTCACATCTTCCTTAGGGCGCATCTGATACCAGGTCGCGCCGCAATCGACGTAGCGCAGAAGATCGTTGGGACCGGGACTTTGGTAAATGCAGACCAGGAGCGATGGCGTGTGGTCATCATCGTGATTGGGTAAGCGCTGCATCTCGACGGGCCGCAGGAAATACTTGCGATGAGGAGCGGTTACGGATGCCAGCATCTGATACTCCTCTTGCATTCTTTCTCCCTGGGCCAGATTCTCACCAATGCGCGCCACTACTTCGATCGTTCGCTCTGATCCTCTATCGTGGTCGCCGAAGTCGCCGTCCCTCCCTGGGCCATATGGGGCAAATGTACCACTCAGATCGTTGGAAGAGGAGGCACTTCGGAGGCGAGTGGTTTGAGCATGATCCGAACTAATGGTACGGTCGAAGTGCTTGGTACCAAACACGTGCCTGAGAAACGCTTCAGCATGAGAAATATCCTTCTCATCTTAAGGAAGGGGGTTTGATTCACGCACCACACGCCATAGCTTGAGCGAAATTGCCTTGACTCGTCCCAGGTATAACCCACCAAGTGGATCAGTTTGTCCATCAGTCCAGTGGGAGGCGTGAGCCTGTTCGTATCCAAAGAAGCAAGAGAAAGTAGATAATCGAGTGGAAGGAGCGACTGCCGGTCAGTGTCATGGTCGTCGTGGTCGTCGTGCTTGTCGCGGATGTCGCAGGGGGGTTCTGCCGCGGTCAAGACGAGAAAGGAATAACCGTTGAACCAGGAGGGGTGGACGAGGAAGAGTCCGTCCAACTATGATACTCGTAAATGCAAGTATCCATAGTTACCTCTACGGAGGGCAGAATGGTCTAGAGCGGAAGGGAAGGAAAGACGGCCGAGCTACCATACGAAAAACCGGTTTTTTCCACATTTATCCTGTCCAATTTTTTTCTTCTTGGCACCACAGGATTGCACCGACATTGGATATAAAGATTATTTTCCCCGCGGAACGACAAACGTGCAGTAGAGTATAGTTAAGTAACTAGTAGCTGAATCGCATCGGGATCGATCCTCTTGGCGAGCCTTGCACGTCGATCTTTAGATGTCCCTGAACAAGGGACACGGATAAGACAAGCCACTTGACAGAACGGGCTCGACCCGAGCGACCTTATCCACCCCCTGCCGTCTACTTGTGAACAGCGATCTGAAGTGGGGGAGATGAATGACTGCCGGGGATCGAATCGAATCTCGAACCGGTAAAGTCTTAATTCTGCATCTGAGGTATTTCCTCCCTCCGTCCACACATATCTTATCCTTTATACCGATCGCTTTGATCATAAGTCTCTCTTGACTTCTCCGTTGTCACTATTAAGTGTCTTTTTTTGCTAGGTCGAGCACGGTCGTTGCCACCCCCACAATGTCAGGAGAAACCAGGGCTACCCCGTACGTCTTGTGAAACTTCTATGGCCTTATTCCCTCCGGCGTTTGGATTTCTCCTGCTGTTTCACCCCTCTTCTCACTCGCTTGGTGTCCTGTCTTCATTTCGTAGTCGGATTGACCTCTTGCGAACATGGCGATCTTTTCTTCGGAATTTAACTGACTCCTGCGCCGTCTACTAGTCTCCGTTTGGGGTCGATTGCCCCCAACTTCCAAGCCGAAACCACCATCGGCCCTATCGACTTTCACGAGTGGGTGGGCGACAACTGGGTGATTCTCTTCTCCCACCCAGAGGATTACACCCCGGTCTGCACCACCGAGCTGGCTGCGCTGGCCAAGCACGAACCCGAGTTCACTAAGCGCCACGTCAAGCTCATTGGACTCTCGGCCAACTCCATCGAGTCGCACGATGGCTGGATTAACGACATTTCCGAGATCGCGGGGTGTCCCTTGACCTTTCCCGTCATCGGCGATAAGGATCGCCAGATCGCCTTTGCCTATGACATGTGAGTGATTTCCTTCCTTTCGCTCCGCGCTCCCACCCAGCCACTCCAGACATTGACCCACCCCTGTGAACAGGTTGGATCACCAAGATACGACCAATGTGGACGCCAGAGGAATTGCCTACACCATTCGGTCGGTCTTCATCATCGACCCCAACAAGGTCATCCGCCTAATCCAGTCCTATCCCGCCTCCACGGGTCGTAACACGGCCGAACTGCTCCGCGTGATTGACTCTTTACTCGCGACCGACAAACACTCTATCAATACCCCCGTCAACTGGCAGCCCGGTGACAATGTGGTTGTCCCTCCTAGCATCAGTGATGAGGATGCCAAGGCCCGCTTCCCGGATCTGCAAGTGGTCAAGCCGTACCTGCGGTTCACCCCATTGGCGAAAGAAAACATTCTCCCTCATGCGTAAGGTCAGTTCAATTTAAGTATAAATTCAATGGCGTGACTACCGATCTGATCGAGAAAGAGTAGGTGTAGGACATCAGTCTCTACAGTAGATATCAAGTTCAATCACAACCTCTACACCCATCACGATTTGGTTCTTAGAGAATGAATACGAATTGCGCTAATTCATATCATTTCACCACTAATAAGTTGGGTAGAACCCTCATCCTCAGACTGTACTACGAAGAAGGGATTTGGTCGAAATTTTCTTATGCATTTGAAACAAAGGGCGTAGGTAACAAAGAATAGGTGATATGAGCCGTATCGATTTAAGAAGCTTTTGTTGTGTCGTTCCACGCACCTATGACAACAATATTGACAACATGAGTCGATCATAAGCCATGGGCAATTGCTAGTTTCAAAAGAGAAGCGACGATGATATCCCAGCTATAAGGTCCGTGGCAATGAGCACTATTGAAGAGTCGGGTATTCAAGCTGGTTTGAGGCAGCGTTAATGAAACAAGTGCTCATTTACGAGTGGTGTCACCAAGACCGACAAGCCTGGGCTTAGTGGCTTGGTATGATAGTTCAAGCCATCCCTGACACCTAATGTTGAGAAGCACTCCGTAACAACGGAGATATCAGTTCAACTCACTCTATATAATATCCTACATGTCTTTCTCAATTTAGGATAAACATCCATCCTTTCACGCCATCACATTGATGTACTGCGCTCAAAGAACGCTTCATTGTTACGTACTGTCCTTTGAAGTTGTTTAACTGTTTGAGGAGCCGCAATTTACTGATAGGTGGTCCAGTGAGCTACCGACCACCTTCTAGCTTTGCGTAGGGCCCTCCCGCAAATCCCAGTCAGAAACTTCAAGAATCACTTCACTTTGATTTACCTTCTTTTCCCACAAAGGGGGGCTAGTAATGGATCTTGTCAAATTATATTATACTTTTCAAAGAACTCTTAATACCGGTATACTATCTATATTCATCTTTCTCTATATAGTTCAAGTTTAGGTATACTTTCGTACCATCGGTCTATATCTTAGCCACGTCTATTTTACTAGAAGTGTATTCATCTTTCTTACCGATTAGCTTTCAATTACTTTACTTTCATTAGATGGACGGATTTGAACTTCAGAATTAGACAAGCTTCAACCAACATTCCCCGGTTCCGACAAATTTGACACTGCGACCTCTGTTCTAAGCGCTGCAAGGCTCTCCGAGTAAGACGCTCACATTATTACTTTCGATATTTGAGGTCACGACATCGAGATGGCTGTCTCCATTGAAGTCGCCCACGGCAACACTATAAGGATGGGTGCCCACAGCGTATGTGGCCTGCGCCGCGAAGCTACCAGCTCCAGTCCCGAGCAAGACGCTCACAGTATTATCGCCCTCGTTGGTGGCCACAATATCGAGATGACCATCCCCAGGTGCCATTGAAATCACCCACTACAACGCCAACCGGCTCGGGCCCTATGCGGAATGTGGTCTGCGCCTGGAAAGTACAATCTCCCCTCCCGAGTAAGACGCCCACAAAATCACCTTCAAGACTTATAACCACAAGATCGAGATGACCATCTCTATTGAAGTCGCCCACCGCAACACTAATCGGATTGGGCCCTATAGGGAATGAAACCCGTGCCTCGAAGGTACCATCTCCAATCCCAATCAAAATAATCACGGTATTATTGCCTGTATTCGCAGTCACGATATCACGACGGCCATCTCCATTAAAGTCGCCCACTGCAACAGCAAGCGGCGCGAACCCTACACCAAATTTGGTCTGCGCCTGGAAGCTACCATCTCCATTCCCGAGCAAGAAGCTCACTGCTTAGCTGCCGAAATTTGCAGTCGCGATATCGAAATGGCCATCTCCAGTAAAATCGCCCATTGCAACACTAGCTGGCTCGAGTCCCACCTCATATGTGGTTTGCACCCGGAAGCCTATGCATTGCACGGTGCAGGTACCTGATGAGCAACTTGATTCGGTAGGGCACTATGAACGCATAAGCAATAGACACATTGATAACATGCAATCCATCCTAACTTACAACGTTGCCACACGCCCCGGAGTTGTTGTTGTCTGAGGTGAGATCAGGACAGGCGCCATTGCAAAGACCTAGACCACAATTTGTGCATCTGCAGGCGCCTGATGAACAAGTCGATACAGTCGGGCACTATCATGGTGGGCACGTGAGTAATAATCATTTTGGTAGTCAAAACTTCGTCCTGACTTACAACGTCGCCACATTTTTCGCAATTGTTGCTGTCGGAGTTAAGAGAGGGACAAGCCCCATTACACGGCGCTAGACCAGAGTTCATGCATATGCAAGCGCCTGATTTGCAGGTCGATCCAGTAGAGCACTATTACACAAATGGGAGCATTAATTTTCCTTGGAAAAAAAAAATGGGACTTACGACTTTGCCATAAGTCCCACAACTGTTGCTGTCGGAGTGTTGCTGTCGGAGCTTAAAGGAGGGCAGGCGCCATTACAAGGAGCGAGGCCAGATTTCGAGCATATGCAAGCGCCTGATTTGCAAGTTGATCCAGTAGGGCACTCAAGACCGATTAGTGTTCACCTTAAGGATGAGAGCACTGCTTCAGATTTACATCATTGCCGCACTTCCCACAATTTCGGTTGTCGCTATTGGTTTGAGCACAAACACCGGAGCACAGCTGTTCGGTCGGGCTAGTTTTCTGAGGTCCACAAACATAACAAGGATCCGTATGCCGCAAGCCCAATACAGGAGACGGCTGAGTGTGGGAGGTTCTGTGCACACCACTAAATACAGAGATCCGCGCCCTGAGTTAAGCCCGGGGCTACGATGTGTAGGATTGATTAGTGTAAGCTCATATTCGTCTTCAGTGAAGACATACCGAATGATGCTAGGACGAGAAGGGCGAGCACGAGCGGGGATATCGGATAAGCTGCTTATTTGATCTACCAGCGAAGCAAAAATCTGGCAGAGGGTGGAAAACGTTCGCTAATAGATCTGAGAATGGAGAGCTTATTAGGTGGATAGACTCGTGGCTTTTATGTGACCGAAGTATTGTACATCTGTCCCTGGCATAGTGACTTACAACTCGACAAATATTAGCGGCGTTTGGAATCCCACTAGGAATATTGTTGTCAACACAGGGGGCATCAAATTTAACGAAAATAACCTTCAATGGTGCTGCTGTACGGCATGTCTAACATTCATGAGTCCAAATCTTGGGCAGGATGGCTTGCGTGCAACTCCGACCCATATCTGGCGCGCCTGGAACCCCACTAAGAATGTGGGGTGCCAGTTTTCAACAAAATTAAGCGTGGCAGATCCTATAAATCTCGCATCCAGATATATTAGATGTCAATTTAGGCCATTTCGTAGAGGACTAAACTTATTGAGTGGTAAAGTGACTAATCCGAGAGACGGCGCGCTCCAAAATAGTACATGTGCGACTCGGAGCGTTGTCACGATCGCCGATTATTCTTCTATCACTCCAAATGTCGGAGACATCGGGTCGTTCATTGCTTTGGTGTATATTTAGTTTGAAAACCCATAACGAACGATGCTCACTTTAATATGTCAGCGTTGCGTAACATCCCGTAACATCCCGCTTGAATAGTACAGCGAGCCGCTTACGCTCACACATTGAGTGCTAGGTGACTAAAGTACTCATTGCTGTTGTATGTTTTTATCGCTTTTTGCTGTGCTTTTTAATTATCTCGAATAATCCTCTTCTTATTTGCGCAATCTCTCTAGACGTAACGCAGGTTAAGAACGTATTTCTCTCTCGAATCTTTCTATTTCACATCAGACCAGCCCCCTGGAAGGAGCATCTACCTAGGTACCTAAAGATCTTCAATAAATGAATGCTCGGCTTTAAACTAAACAGGCGACTTATTTATTTGATTCATGAAGTACACCATTTTTCATTTGCAGTTGAATAATCGCCCTTTAGCTGCAAGTGGTATCGGGGTGGTCTCCCTTGAAGTCACAGTAGATAAAAGTCTCATCCTGCACACAGACAAGACCCGAGGCACATTTCTGGATAGCCCATTCACCATTGTCGCAAATTCCATAGCTGCTACCGTTACAAGAATATGTACCAGAGGTAGCACAGGCTCCTCCAAGGACTGGGCAGATCTCGGAGCTCACATCCGCTGTCAGTGAAGTAGCAGTAGCTGTGGCAGACACGGCAGTGGTGATAGTCGCAATGGTCGAAGTCGAAGTAGTTGGGACAACTGGCTTGACATTTGTCGTTATCATAGACACGACCGTTTTGGTGGTTTTGACCGTTACTGTACCAGTCTTCTGCACTGTCGATAGTGTAGTGGGTGCGGTGGTGGTAGGAGCCAAGGTCGTCTCTGGAGGCCTAGACGTCTCAATGGCAGTGCTGGTAGTGCTGGCAGAGCTTAACGTGGTGGAGGCACTAGTCTTCGTCCCTATGGACAGGGTGGTAGCCTTGGTAGTGGTGCTTGTGTGCGTAGTGCTAATGCCAGTGCTATTAGTGGTACTAGTAGAGGAAGATCCCAAAGCGGATGCAATGCTAGAGAGGAACCCATCATTGGCATACACTTGACTGGCATCCCACATCATAACACCACCAAAGCTTGTGTACCCTTCCTCCAGAATGAAATCTATGATCGAAGCGATAGTCGATGCCGACTCGTATCCAGTCCCAGCAGCGGTACTACCACCTGGGATACCAAGGAAGACCTTCACATTGGGATTGAGAGAAATAGTGGTAGCCCAGGTATTCCAACTGACAAAGTTGAAATTAGCCTGCGTGGTAGAATCTGCAGTGAAGTAGTTGACACCGCAATAGTTGTTATAGAACTGGACCCAAATAGCATCAAAATATACCGCGCCATCAAGCATCGGGTTATCGGCGGCATCAGGGTACACGCATTGAGGTGCGGCAGTGAGGTAGTATGTCTTAGAGGTGTCTTCGGCGAATAAGGACCGCAGCTCGTTGGCAAAAGAGGGCATGTTATCGACAGAAGACTCAAAGTCGAAATCAAATCCATCGACAACGGAATTGCCGAAGGGACGATTGATCGAGGTGTTGGTGGAAACCGGTCCGAACGTTTCCCAGATCATCTTAGCGCCAGCGATAGCAGCATCCTCGCTGGTAAATCCTCCCTCGCTATAAGTTGAACCACCAATAGAGAGAAGAATGGTCTTTCCAAGGGACTGGCAAGTGACTATATCCTCTCTTTTCTCGAGTTAGATATGAGCGGGCGTTATTTCATAGCATCGGGTACTCACGCGATCGTGGGACAGTCAAGAAGAGCTGTACCGTCAAATGTAGTGCAGGAATCACCTGAATTGGCAAAGTTGATTTCGGGGGCACCGCCCTCGCCGTTAATCACATCTAAAAAGGCAAGTTGGATCACCTAGATAGTCTTGGTATCAGTATGCGGCTTTCAATACCTGTAAGGTGGTTGGTTATCATACATCGATATCCGAACCTATGTGCCACATTCAATCAGTTTCATTGCTTAGCGTGTATCAGTGCAAACCATAATTACATACTTTCACAGTAATAAGCAAGATCTTGCTGGGCAAGATCACCAGATGAATCACCATAGGAGTTCTGGCCCCAATAAATAGCAACATTGGAAGATTTTGTCACCTCGAGTGCAGCGTGGACGCCTTGAAAGATGGAAAGGGCCATAAGGGCCGCAGCAGTATTCACGGAATACATAATGGTTTTTTGAAATGAGAGGACGGTGCGGTATATTATTGATTATTTCGTCAAGAAACAATGTAGAAATGGCCGCAGGCCAGAATTGTAAAAGTGAAAGCAATAGAAAGAATGATAGACCAAAAATCGAATGAAAGAATGAATGAGGGTCGAAGAAAAAAATCAAGGCAGAACAGTATGTTTATAGAGTCGAATAGACCCTAAGCAAGTACATTAATTAAGATTTGAAACTTATTGTCATAATATACACGCCTCAAGGATTGGCTAGTGGGCGCCATCTTCCACTTTCTATCCTTTACTGAAAGTGTTACTGGGACGGGACTAGAGTATATTCATCACACACACACACAAAAACAGAAATTCGATTGGTTCAATATATGAGCGGTATTCCAATGGTTATCAAGTCTGCTAGACCCTGCTAGGTCAAGACCCACTCTATAGGTCCTTATGGGGCTTTGATACTTTTTGCCGAGATTAGTCGCGATGAGGGTTCAATAGCCGAAACAACTTAGACGCCTCATAGCGCCAAAGCGTGTTTCATATGCTGGATTTGTGTTTTCTGGAAGATGAGGACAATTTCCACCAAATCGATCGATTGAAATGACCCACTGAAGCAGGTTTTCTAAAGGCGAAAGCTTGGGGAGCTTCACTTGTTTCTCCAGCCAAGGGGGGTTTTCAAGCCCTTTGAACATGGATTGAAATCTTCATTTTGCTCCTGAGGCTCTGGAATCGGGGGGCTCTGATTATGTAAGGGCTTTTTCCGACGCTATATTTGTCCTCGCTTGATTTACCTCGATCGCAATTTCATTTTATGATCCCGCTAGTTCGCTTCGATCGTACAAAGTGGAAATTGAAAGCCGCGGTAATTGGCTTTGCCTGCCACAAGGGCGAGCGTTACAATTAGTTAGCTTTCATGAGTCGTTCAATATCATTTCATAGTGCATTCACTTTCCGCCTAGGACCCAAAATGAAAATAATTTAAGAATACAAAGCTTTGTCACAAGCATATCTGGCATTCGGTCTTGGCACCCTGTTTGCTTGGATGGACCCACTTTTACCGCCTTTAACATATGCAAGACGCATATTTGTCACTTTCATATTTACAAGAAGCCACTATCTAGGTCACCGAAGGTAGTGAATACTGATTTTCACTCAGGCTTCTTTAAGACCTAAGTTGGACCTAATCTAACCTACCTAACCCTTGGGGCCCCAATTGGGTCACAAACACTACAAACATGCCAAGCTTTTAATACAGCGTGTTTATAGACTTATAGTATGTTTTGAGACCCTATATATATGGAATTTTATTATTTTACTAGTTATTATCTCTTTCTATGGTATTAGCTATATACATCATGTCTTTCGTATTCAATTGGTATATACCTATAAAGATAAATAAACAACAAAGGGTCATAAGAAGATAATAGAGCTACCGCTTAGTCCAAACGTATATATATTCGAACTTCAAGATTTTTTAGATTCACAAAATTCAGTTCTATCGTAATTTTTCCACTTCCTCCAGTCGGAATTAATTCGAATTAGGATTATAGATTGATTCAATTCTCTTCTATCCTTGACTATAATTTCGTTTGAATATACCTTATAGAAGCAGCAAAATACAGATAATAACAAGAGCATAAATATTATGGACGTTCAGGGGTATATTGTGCAAAATGGATTGGAATCGGGTTGGGTCCTGGGTCCATACCTTGGACCGGAATTGGGTCCTGATGAAGCCTAGTTGAACCCGGCCCTCACGCGGATTGGATGGAGGGTCCTGACATTGGAACCGTTTGAGGGTCATGGCGAGGTCTATAATCATGGCCCACATAAGGTAAAGGAGAAGAGATATATTATTGATTAGACCGGTTTTTTTTTTTTTTATTTGGGGGATTTTGATACTTTACATAGGGATGTAATGGGTCATATCATACGAGCTGAAGGGAATTCAATTTAAGTAGCGTTCCAAAATTCCGGCCCGATGCCCCCACCCATAAGTAGCATAAGTCACTTACCTGTTTTAGCATTTGCGAAACAATCACCATCAGTTCCCCGCAAATCGGCTCTCCGTTGCTTTATCGTGATAACGAGAACATAGCTGCTCGCCCCAAATTTGAGACTACAGCAAGTATCTTCAATCACTCAGAGAACAATGTATATGGCCTAGCATGCGGCAGATTCACCACCTTGGACCCCGTCTCCATCTCCACTGCTTCCGTCGCAGCTTTCGTATCAACCCGATACGGTTTAATAAGACTGTTACTAGATTAATCAGCTAGAATAAGGAGCCTTGGCGAGGAGGGAAGCCTACCACTCATCATGCAAGCACCAAATGACCTTCTGCGGCTCCCCCATCCATTTCACTAGGTTCGTCGCGAACATCGCCGCAGACCCATTGAACGGTCTCCCATTCAAATTTGCCCTTCCCGCGATCCCGAGGACAGCAATATTTGGCTTGGGGTATAGATCCCTCACGATTCCCTCATACGCACCCAAATGCGCGTTAAATAGAATACTTATAACTTCCTCTCCACCTCTTCTTTTGAGTAAGACGTTAAACATAAGTTGGCCCCCATCGCAAGAGGACATGACATTATCCCTCTTATCCTCCATCCAGTCCGCAAAAGACCTCATCCTCTCATCCATATTATCCTCCCCTATAATCTCCTTTAACCGAAACAACCCGTACTCCATTCCCCGAGTAATATCCAAGGTGCCATCAAATGGTGTTGTGCTGCCCGTGTACACTGCACCGGTATCAAAAATGTCTGGCAGCGTGTCATGACCACCCGGGATAAGGCAGTGAAGGCTTGGCCAGATGTGGATCTCGGCCACAGCGAGCGTATGGTCAGGTTCTGCAGGCGCACCAGGAGGACCTTCGCGTAGAGCTACTTCTCCTGCCTTAGCTGCAGTGCGCACATCGTCGGTAAATAGGGGAACTCGCTCGCCCCCAGAGACAGCAAGAAGTTGCTCGTCTGGAACACCTGCCTCGCGAAGACGATTGATGGCTTCACTGTTGGCGATAACGATGGCACCTGTGCGTTTGGCGATTTTATCTGCTCCGGGAAGACTGTGAATTTAATTATTATGTCATTTTGTTCTTCTTCAATTCAATCCTGGGTGCCCATACTGATCGAAATGCGCGTGGGATATCAATATGTAGTCCACGTTAGTCACGTCGTTGATATTCAGATAATGGGGCATCAACGATGGCCGATCCAACCAGGTGTCATGGAATATTGTGAGACCTGATGCGCGAAGGCAAAAGGTTGTAGCGCCTAAGGCAGTTGGGATTAGAAGCGTAATAAGGGCGAGAGGGTATTAAGCGCATTTACCAAAGTATTCGAGAGTGGCCTTCTCCATGATTGTGATTGGTTTTTTGTTTCTAATATCAGTGATTGCTTGTTACTCTTCTTAAAGAGGAGAGAGGTGTGTTTTGATCTCAAAGTTGTGTTCATTAAGATTGATCAGAAATCCGGTTTTGTGTCAACAAACCAAGCTGGTGGGGTACCGATGATGAGACTGAATACATTTAGGAATTAAGTAATCAATATGGGGGATACCGACGGGGCAGAGTGAGAATTGAGCCTTGAGCTAGCCCGGCAAGTGGGGTGTCGCTAGTGTGTTTTGAGTCAAATATTAGCCTGCCAGACATGAAGAATCCTATGAGCGATCGAGCAAACAAACTACTATCACTTCTTACCTTGACTTGTGAAACTGACATTTATTTCAATTCAATGTTAAATCTACGCAGGGGTATTTGGATTGACACAATGGTCGAGTCGGTAAATCTACCGTTGGCAGCAGAAACGGGACATGTGGCTGAACATCGGCTCCCCGCAATCGTCGGAGACAGGAGGTCGGTCACATGTTTTCGAAATGATAATACTACTATTCAACAGGTAGAATCTTCGGGGGCCATAAAAAAGCCTTAATAAAGACGAGAACTTCTTGTAAATGGGAATTGCTTACCATATCATCTTTTCGGGCCGCCAAAAATGTCAGAGGCAAGTTCATTCAAAATCATCATTATTGGCGCTGGCCTGGCGGGTTCTTTGCTCGCTAACGGGCTCTTGAAACACGATGTTCCCTTCACAATTTATGAACGAGATTCAGAAAACTCCAAGCGAGAAGGCTATCAAATCCGCCTGGGAGACTCTGCCATTGTCGGGTTCAAAGCTTGTCTGCGCGATGAGTCTCTGAAAGCCATCATTGAGAAATTTGGACAGTCCGCAACATCGGGAGCCGCAGCTCCATGTATCTTCTCGACTCAGTTCCAGCCTGTTCTTGATTTGACCACCTTACCCACGTATTCGAAATCCTTCGCGATAAACCGTGTGGTTTGTCGCAACTTGCTTCTCGAGCCCGTCAAGCTGAGCGGCTCTATGCGTTATGGAAAATCATTCTCTGCCTATGAGATCATCAGTCATGTCCCTACTGGTCCTGAGAAGGTAAGAGTCCTGTTTACGGACGGTACTTCCGACGAATGCGATATCCTTATTGGGGCAGATGGAAGCGGTTCTCAGCTCAACAAAGCACTTGGTCTCAAAAATCTGGTGGAAATCGATACGCACTGGTCCTTCTTGTCCAAAGGAAGCCTTCCGAAAGAGCGATTGAATAAGCTCCCCGTTCAGCTTCAAAAAGGACCGATTCTGGTATTCTCGAAAGGGGTCTCCTTTTTCTACGCCTGTAAGGAAGGCTTCTCATTTCGACCTAATGAAGCTAACACAATTCAAACAAAGTGTATATGCCAGCTAAGGCCAACGCTGGAAAATCGGCCAGCAAAGAGATTGATTACGATGAGACAGAGGCCTCCTTCTACTGGGGGTTGAATATCCCCAAGGTTCTATCAACCGAATATCAGAACTATGCAGAGATCCCCAACCGTCTGGAATTCTGCCTCGACATCATTCGCGACTGGGCACCTGAATTGTAAGAGCCCATTATAAGACGTGCGAGGCAAAATTCACTGGTATGATCTAACGCATTTCCTTGCTATCTGACAGTAAGACCTTGATCGCGACAGGTCAAGATGAAGCGCTATCTACCAACATCTACGTCACCCCCTTGCGAGCGAGTACCAAGCCTGTTGAGAATTGGCGATTACGCATCCAGAAGGAGAAGGGGGGAGAGAGACAAGAAGAAGGGCATCATCGGGTCTGGCTTTTAGGTGATGCGGTCCACGCGATGCAGCCAAACCGGTACGAATCCACTATTGCAATAGCATTCTACAAAGATATACCAGAGAAATTTTGAGTAACTTCTACTGACTACAATTTTTAATCACCAGAGGAATGGGCGGAAACCAAGCAATGCACGACTGTGCCGACATTCTCCCACATCTGGTCCAATTAAACGGTGTTGCCGCTAGCGGAAGGCCACCCACAATGGAAGAGATCTCGTCAGCGTGTGCGAAGTTTGAGTCCGTGATGACTGAGCGAGCTTTCACCTGGGTTTCGAAAAGCGGAGGAGCCTCGGTACCGGTATGTACTTGATTCATACAAATTCCACATTATTACTTGCCTGACTTTCTATGTGACTCATTCATCAGATACTGGACTTTGATGGGAGCTTAGGGACGTTAGTCTCCATCATTGGGAAATTCTTGGTGCCCGTGGTCTCTGCCATTTTTCGCATGCCGTTCATGAGATCGTCAGACAAACAGGAGTCTGACTGGTGACAGTATTTATAATATTCTTGTGACCTAATCTTTCCCTTTAGTAGCTTAAATCATTCAAACGCCACTTCATCTTATCTGCTGAAAGGCAGCCTTCCTAAGTTGTTCAGGGTCCGGGACTTCGTTCCTGTAATATTAGCACATAGACTTACTTCTTAAACGAGAAAGCCCTGAACTAGCTGAATGGCGCATCAATCATCTTCCATTATTCCATCCTATCGAGGTGAAATAATTTCTGTGTAATGAGTCTGGCTCGACAGTACGCGGAGAGTCACATCCCCCACATACCGAGCACATCGAATTCCTCCCTAGTCAGGCACTAATCCATGTTGTCAGATAGGTCTCCAAGGTACAATGTTCAATTTGTCGTAAGTAATGTGAGTAGAGCACCAAATGATTGCCACGACAGATCTGATCGAACAGCGAACGCGCCAATTTGTGGGGTTCGGCAATTCGGCCGCCCGCCTTTTTCCATTACAGCAAACTCCTCTCTCACTCCCTCCCTACACCTTACCTTATTCACATACCAGCTTCAGGCGACGTGGAAAGAGCCACATCACTCTTTTCAGGTCATTTAATTCGTTTTCCAGGTCCAACTTGGCCTTACGCGTATTCTAACCTGCTCTGATAACGGACAGAAACGATACCCAAATACTCCTCATAATCCAGAGTGCACGGGTTCCAAATTAGTGAGTGGAGCCGGTTGGTATGAACCATCAGAGGGCAATCGCTCATGAACTAGAAATTACTAAGTGCCTCTCTTTTTGAAATATGGAATGTCATCTCTGTAAGAATAAATTCAATCGTCGCGAGCATCTTGAGCGTCACCTTCGCCGTCATTCTGGAGCCCGCCCATATGCTTGTCCCATATGTTCGCGGTCATTTTCAAGACAGTGAGAGTTCCTTTTCGCGACATATCTCATTCAGCGGACTGTAAGCTCACTCATTCTTATTACAGAGATACCCTCGCCCGACATCTTGTAACACATGGAGCAGACGCTCAGGGACTTCTTGTTCGCTCAAGAGGCACCAGTGCCTGCCAAAGTTGTTCCCAAGACAAGGCGAAATGCATTGGTGGAATTCCCTGTGCCAGGTGTCTGAGTAAAGATCGCCGCTGCCTTCACCGTGGCCGCAGTCGAATCTCTAATAGCGGATTATCTTACACTGATAATTCGATGGACAAAACTCCAGAATCGAGTCCCGGATCACCAGCGGCCTTCGTTCCACCATGCGATGTCGGCGATGCCGTTAAGATGCCATTGTTGATCTCTCAGTTGCCGTCTGGCCCGACCAGCTGCCATCTGAGCACGAATGTCACAAATAGCTCAGAGAGTGACCCTCCTGCTTTCCTAGCTGTTGAAAATATGCCGCGAACAGCTTTGGGCATGGATGTTGATTTTCCTTGGACGCTCGAATACACTGATCTCTTCTCTGAAGGTCACCTCACTGTCCAAGATTTACAGCTTGAACCAGGGATGCCGTTGGAACACCAAGCCTTTTCTCCAAACGCGGAAACCATCCAAGACTGTAGCATTTATACGTTAAATTCTCAGGCCCCTGCTCCAGCCCGAGAATTCGGAAACCAGGTTGAAATTTCCTCTCCGACTTGTCAGCAACAAGAGCCGCGCCAGTCGAGATCCTCAACACCCGTCCACTTGTTCACAATGCAAGTTACAGACGACGATATTACCATGGCAGAGAACTTCTGTCATGTGAGAACGCGCTTGGATTGTGCCTATGAGGCTATCTTAGCCTTCCATGATCAGCAGTCTGATATTCTCCACAAAAATCTTCCATTTCCGCAATTTTCCACTTTTAATTCTTTTATCCAACTCTATTATGAGCACTTTGATGATCAGTTGCCATTCATTCATCCATCTTTGTTAGAGCAAGAAGACACGCCTTGGATCCTCGCTCTGGCCGTGGCATCCGTTGGATGCCAATATACCAGAGTTACGAATCGTGCTAGATATGCCTCCATGCTCACGGAGCTTTTGAGATTGTCTCTTCCTCTTGATGTATGTGGCAACCAACCGGCTTGCCTTTGTGTCTATCTATTAACATACCTGCAGGCCCTGAAATCTCGGAGCTATGAAACAATGACATTAGCACAGTGTGCCTTGCTAAATGTCGTCAGCCTCATGTTCACTGGTTTCAAAGATAACATCGTCAATTTGCAGATTCAACGAGCTTGGCTTGCTACACTGATGCGACCGTTTCTCACCACTTCTGATTCGAAGGGCTCATTTTTATCTACCGAGGTAAACAGTATGCAATCGGGTGGGCAATGGCATTCCTGGATTCGTTGGGAATCGGAAAGGCGACTTGCGTACTGCTTTTCAGGTTAGTAAATCTATGATAGATGCCAGATCACAGGACTCTTATGCCTGTGTCTCACTCTTGTCTATTCGTTCAATTGATTAATTTCTTTTAGTGGTAGATTGCTTTATCTCCATTTTTTTGGGAATGCAACCCATCTTCACTGCAAAAGATCACGAGCAGACACTTCCTTCGTCCGATGATCTGTGGAAAACTCGCAATGAAGGTGAATGGAGTTCTCATTCGAGATTATGCAATGGTTAATATCAATGGTCGAGTTTGGGTCATGCAGCTGCTCACATCAGCCAGATACATTACGATCACTCAGTCTGCATGAGCTTTTTACCATGAACTGGACTTCGGACAATGCTTTACTGCATTCGTCAGACTTCAATAAAATGGTACTATATCTCATTTTGTTCGTGGAAGAACGACGTGCCATAGATGCATCACATTCCTGCGCGCTTCTCGACTTTAGTCACGATGACCAAACCACACATCCGAATACGCGAGCATCATTATCATACAGGACATTAGACTGGAAATATGAGGCGCTGGCTTCAACAACCGTACCCTCGCCACCCACAAACACGAGCAATTCGAATTCGTGGAAAACAATTTTCCATTTGCTTGGGATTATCAGGCATATTCCGCTGAAGCAGCTCTATGCATATTCCGGATGGTATGCGTCAGAGCAGGATATAGCCGCAGCTGAAGCCTACCTCACCGGTTGGATGCGAGAAAATCCCACGCTCTCGAGGAGATGTGTCGCACACGCAGGAGCTTTACTCGGTGAAATCCGATTAGCTCCCACCACTGCCTGCTATCATTACTTTTGTCTACTTATAGCTGTCTTGTTCCTATGGGCCTTTGAGCGATTAAAGCGTGACGTGGTACTTGAGCAACCTTCACAACTAGATTCTCTTGGCACGCTCCTCAAAATTGATCAATTTCACGATCCAATTGTAAGAGAACGATGGGTTCAGGGTGACTCGGGGATACTTGTTCATATCACTGGTGTTGGGATTCTGTCCAGTCCGGGAAGTTCGCAACGATTATTGAAGGAGCTCTTACGAGTACTTGGGTCCCGGACAGGATGGCCTACCCTTCGCAAAGGTTTGATGGTTTGCGTGAGCACGCTTCTCAATGAGGCCACACCTATAGAGGTCCCCATGTGCTCAGACTGAGCGCTCTCTTCTTTATTGATTAAAAACACCATTACGAAGGCCAATAAAGTTGGGCATCAAATTCTTGTATTGAAATTCAAACATCTTCATCTGGTCTCAAAAAAAATGCCCTTCGTACCGATCCACACTATCTTTCCTCATAGCTGGGCAAAACTTTCTCTGTCAAGATCATAACAAGGTGTCATCATTGTTATGGGATCAGTCCTCTAGAGCTAGCTGACAGATTTTACCTGGAGTAAAAAATCTTTATTCTGGAATGACCGTTGTATGAATGCCCTGGCAACGTACCGGAGATTTTCATGACGATTGCGGGGTGCCGTTGCGGAGAGCCGATGTATCCTATCTACGGGAATCCCCACCATCCCTCGTGATGCGACCTATTGTATCACACGTGGTAGATTCTCGAACTCTAGCTTGAGAGTCAATCCGGCGAATGACAAGTCCTTCGGAATCTGCAAATAAAAAAATCATAACAGCGCTCTTCAATCAATCGCCTATGTGACGATGAGGGTAATCCATACAGATCGAACGAAATCCTTTTAATTTTGCCACCTTTTCGCTCTATAACCAACCTGAACTTGGCCTTTTTTTTGAAAAAGAAAATTCAACCAAAAGGCCTTCATGAATGTGGATAAATCGTCCAAACCTGTCGCATATCTGGTGCAGGCCCGTTATCGGGCACCAGTTTCTGCTATCGAAATTTCATCTAAGGATTTCCTCTCTTTGCCTAATACACCCGGCAACAACTCTCTGCCAATCAATTCCTACAAATTCTGGTCTGAGTAGTAGTACTGCAGGTTTTCATGCCCGAAAAATAGGTCTTTTCGCGTATTATCAAGCTACCTGCCAAAAAACTATATCTAGGACTTAAGATATGTTTATCCTTATCACTCAGCATTTTTGGTGGTCTCGCTGACTACGCCGTAGCGATATCTCACCTCTCTCGGGGACAGCGATAGCGCCTCCTCCCTCTCTGCGACCTCCGCACCCTAGTATAATCCTGTCCTCTCTGTCCTGCTCGTCCGCGACTACGACCGCGACCACGACCATTTCCACGACACATAAGGCAAGCCAAAATCCGGGATAATGCGGTGTTAGATTTACCAAGCAATTGAATACGCTTAGTCTACAAAGCGGCGCATACATCGGTTGTCACCTGGGGATGGGAGTAACGGGGGCGCATTATCAACTCCCTAAAAAATATGAATCTTTCTTTCGGGCTCTAAACTTTTCTCAGCTAGTCGGATGCCCCACTCTCCCAGATCTACGAGCCGGTGATATTGGAAATGAATGAACGATAAATTTATAGACAATTAAAGAACCGGTGTGAATGCACATCTCTTTTGCTCTCTTTGGTGCATAGCGTCCACAAAATCAACGGCTATGAATATGCATCGCATGAATTTTAAGCAAACACGGTCGGAATCAAAATATGACTATTGTAAGCCTCTCCAAAATGCACAAAATGCCTTCCCTTATTACCATTCTTGAACAAACCGCGAAGCGGCACAAACTCAGCCAGGGTCATATGATGCCCCGATACCTTCAAAGCAATACCTTCTCCAGCTTCGAATTGTATAGCTGCAGGCCATATACCTATTTCCAACCTCACCACTTCGCCGGGGACAATTGGTCGTGTATTTGCGTGGTCGTGCATCGGCCAATGTGGCTTTGATAGCCGTTTGTCTAGCGTTCGATGACTAGCCCTCAGTACGCCTGTTGGACCCAGGTACTTAAGTGTGTTGATATCATCTACCTCGTCTGAGGAGGTAACACCCAGATCAGATAATGGAATGTTTATATTTTGGAGAATCTTCCCGTCATGATCAAGTTTGCGCAGCTGGACGAAGACATCAAGGTCATCGTTATCTGGACATGACATGAAAAGTATCGCCTTTGATGGCCCTACTAGAGTTGATTTCTGGGGAAAGGTGAAACTAAATATAGCCTCGTCAGTATCTTTATCCATTTGCAAGGCAGGTGCATCGCTCGGGTATGATATGCTTCCGCTTGCCACTTTGGCAAGGTCTGGGGTGAGTCCATTTGCATCCGTCAAATAATATGTCTCGTAGTTGACGTTGGGGGGAGGCCAATTGGAGAATGGCAAATTCACCATTGGAGACTGTTCTGTAAGTCTCCATCCTCATTATTGTAGATACTCAAGGGGGGTAAAGAAAATACCTGATTAAATCGCAAAATTGATATCCGGGCTCTTGGCGTCTGCTCCCATCCATTTTCAATTCCTTTTGTATAGTGATCAAGGAATTTTCTTAGATCAGTTATGGTCTCTGACTGATAGAGATCGTGCCATTCCTGAGTCGGATTGAGTCGAAGCCTTAACAAAGTTAACTTGCCATCTCCAGATGCAATATATGGCGAGGAAAACCGATAGAAATATACAGCACCTACCACTTCTTTTCGTGGGGTATATCCTCATAGCATCTTGTTGATCCAACAGTGTGCAAGGCTGTGGACATGCTTGTGAGGACATAGGCCGGTACCTCAATAAGGTGGGCCTTGGCTCTCTTATCTTCCCAGAACTCATTCATAAGCGGGTACTTCGCAATCATGGAAATAACATCTTCCTGTTAATTTTCTCCTGTTGAAATTAGTATGAGTAGTTTGGATTGATGTGAGTCTGTAAAATGATGGCTCTCCTACCATACAGCCCATTATCCCTGAGGAACGTCCAGAACGGCGTATATGGTACTCCGCCACGACAGAGGGTCTCACGGTAGACATCACTCAGACCTTCTAAAGGAAGTATGCAAGCAAGATGGGATGGACGCTCGGCAGCGATGAACCATTGCGAGGTGGCCAACCATGAGTTTCCTATCATGGCAACACGCCCGTTACTCCACTTGAGTTGACCTAGGAACTCAATGGTATCATAGCCATCACGGCCTTCAGCAGTTCCATGCCATCTATATTCTTTTTAGTATTTCGTGTTGCATGAGACCTGCTGTAAATTGTAGGTGAACTTACACATGATTGCCTTGTGACTTGAATATCCCTCTCGCATCGACCTGAGCAACTGCGTATTCATGATAATTCCACTCGGCTGGATCTGGACCCTCAAAACACTGGAAGCCGCTGAGCATTTCACGTGGTATCCCGTCACGTCCCTGGACAAGGTCTAGGTCAAACATTCCTTCAGGGCATTCATAAGAAACAGTACCAAAATTGCAAGGCTTTTGTTGGGCTAAAAACAACTCACCGGTTCCCGTCTTCCCGTACGGTGTCCAGACAAGCAGGATCGGTAACTTATCCGGTGCATTCTGAGGTCTGAATATATCAGCTCGCAGCTGTGTTCCATCTCGGAGTGGGATTGTTATGTCTCTTTCCCAGATTGTGTCTACCTGCAAGGGACGGCAGCTTTCCGTCTTTTGAAATCCTTTGGGTAGAAAAGAAATTCCAGGCTCTAACCCATTATAGCGGGCAACCTCAAGATTGAGAGAGGATATCTCTTTTTGAATGATAGTGATTTCTTCGATGATATCACTCATAGTGGTCAAGACGTTTCCAACGATGGAAAGAGGAGAAAGCAGTGGGGACAGATATGGGACTAGGATATGAATGATTTTATTTAAACCTGACAATCCTTCGGGTTACCCCAATTTTTATACCCTTTCTTTCATACAGACGTCAAGATCAAGAGACGGTTTTCCGCGATCCGAAGGCTTGCCAAGACCGCTTATGATCAGTGCGGGGGCCCGATGCAGATTTCCCCACAGCAACCCCGGACTGAGGGAATATGAATAGGACCACGAGAATCATATTTTCACCTGCTTATTTGGCCGATAGCACTCTACATCCGAGGCGAAATTACGTGTGTATTCTGGCACCTTGTATACAATACTTATGGTCTTGGCGGTGACTTTATAGTAAAGATCTATCCTCAAACTCTCTCCTCATCTGTGCAGCCTATGCTTAATGCTCGTTTTACAATTCATCAAAATGTTCGATTTCATGTTTCAGAGTCGACTCAATCGACCTGAATCATACATTAGAGACTAGCTCTTTACACGGCCTTTGCGTGCCTGTTCTATATCCGTAAAATGTTTGTTCCCAGCTGTTTGTTCCTAGCTTGTTCATATCGGATCCCCAAGGCACTTTCTGTTTCGTGCAGTAGAGCATTTTAGGATTGCGGCGGGAATCAATGATATCCCGAAAGTATTTTACTTTCAATGAATAACAGACTAAGTCGAACGCTAGCGCTTTAAAATTATTTCGTTTTTCTGGGATCGACGCCATTTCTGCTAGGCTCAACGTCCTTTCAAATGCGAGGGCCCACTTTCGTTTCCTGTTGTGATAATGAAAACCATCAGCTTCGTTTCTGTGAGTACTATACAATATTATACGCATGTTATGGCCTCATTAATAGACGAAAACTTATGCTATGAACATATTCTTATCTATTCGAAATCAATAACAGTCAGGCAAACTTGCTTTCATAGGAACCGTAAGCGTTGTTCATCTACTGAATCTAACTAGCACAACCGTATTTTTACTATTCGTGATCGCTTTGGGGTTTGCCAACACTTTAAGGTAGAACAATAGAATTCAATAATCAACAACCACCTGAGTTTTTTATTCCATTCCAAAAAACGTTATCCCGCTGAAGATTGTCAATAATCTCTCCCAGTGCTTTGATCTCCTCTCTCGGCCTATAAGTCACTTAGAGCCGCGGCGTCGGTTCCATGATTGCTATATGCTGAATCCCCCCCAAAATAACCCACAACGAGCGTATGACGAATCTCCCCAGTCCCGTGCAGAAAGTAAATATTTACCAACTCTATCGTACCCAGGTAAACAGGTGCAGCAGGATCCTATATACCTATACTTCGCGGGACAGCTTTCTACACAGCCCCGGCAAAGTACCTTTCCGACAACATTATAGCCGTATACTGCACAGGCAAGTTAAAATGGCGGACCGTACGCCCCACAGTTCGCAAGGGGCAGATTCTGCTCAACACTTTCGTCTAGTAAAGCTTTTAGTAAAAGCAGCAAAGTCGCTGAGGTGATTAAATATTCATCAAGAGTATCTTGACCCTGACGATGAAGCTCTACGTTCAGGCAAGAATCCTCTAGAACGGTTATAAAACTGGTTTAATGTTCATTCATATTACTTTAGCTATCCTTACTAAGAGAGTGCGGGGTATAAAGCCTATCTCTCTCTCTCTTACAACCCTTGATTTCTTTGAGAATCAGTTTGAATATAATTTAATCGAGACGATAAGATAGCCTATTCTACTTATAGTAACTTATAACCATTAATAGACCTAGTAGACCTAGTCCTTGCTATTGATCTAAACCTAGTGGACTCTGGTATAAAAGTATCTTAAGATAATAATAACTTGGACTTAGAACCGCTTTCTTCCACAGGGGAATCTTTAAGTAACCGACAGATTGTTTAGCTGGTCAGCGAGGCCATGGGAAAATAAAACCATGGGTAACCGTACCGATGCCTCCTATATCCAGCATCTAGGAAGCCATATATGATTTCTATTTCTCATTAGCTTCACACGAATTTGGTAGGATAAAACGAGAACTGGCTTTGGAATGGTGGTATCCTCTGGCACGACCGCTGGCAAAAGCTTTACGCTCTTGATCCAATGCCAGAGTTCGTTGGAATCATCTCTTGGAATGATCAAGGCTAATCCCATTACGTTGGCCCAATTCGCGAGAACAATTTAGCTGCCCTTGTTTTCGGTGAAGCTCCATTCGGCTTCGTGACAGGTTATCCCCCATGACGCGAGACGTTTGACTGACAACATCACTGAGGGATGAGATGAACGACCTGGTGACATCGCTCAACAAGGTCATCGAAGCCGCGGTCCTTGACGCGAACAACCTGGTTGGCGAAACTTACTCACTTTGGCGACGTGAATTCCAGTTTTGAAAGCCACCGATAGTGTGAACCCGGTGTGATAAAGCTGGATCCGAGTCACATGAGCACTGTCTTTTCCTCAGCGGCTGGCCGGACATTGAAGAGGGGGCCACGGTCGTGTGACCGGCTGACGATAGCGCCGATCTCAGCGTTCTGCAAACAAGTGGCAGTCTTTGACTCCCCGATGGAAACACATGCATACACAACCCTCGCTATTGATCACGACCTTGCCTGTATTTACTAGTTCAATCTCGCCTCAGTAGTTGTGTCTGATCCGGATGGAGATATCGCTACACAAGTTGCACTCGCAAATACAGCGCTTGCCAGCGGCGACTTTACCCCTCGAGATGTGTCACGGTTCTTGTCGATTCGGCAGATCAAAATCTTAAATCCGCGAAGTATCGGTATGGCTTTCTACCGCGATGCCATTCTAGCTGTCAGACAACGGGTGGAGTACGACTATTAATTTGCATTGTTGCTCGATGTGCAACTTTCTGGTACTAATGGCCTCCTTGACAGACTCGCTCCGTGCATTTAAAGGAGAAACCCCCCAAGAGGCGTCCTGCAGACCAAAAATCACAATAGAGACTCTTGAGTCTTCTTTCGATTTATAAATGAAAGTGACAAGTGGCCGCGACGGCATAAATGAAATGGAATCTGAAGACGCGAGATCGGACTTGGAGATTGTGTCATCCCTGATTTGCCTCTCTTGCCAACACTAGAAATCAGTTCTAATCTACCATTATTTTGCAAGGCAGATTGCTTCCTTCATCCCATTCAGCACTTCAATTGGCACTGAAGATCCTTAATTCCACTGGCTCAAATTCCCAATTAGGTGGGATAACTTGGCTCAAGGCAAAACACCCTACAATCTGCCGATGGTTGGAGTCGCTGTTTGTCGCAATAGATATGGAAGCTTTCACGAGCGTTGGGTCCACAGTGAATGCCCAGCAGTGCAACGAGACCTGTTTTTCGTAGTTGGGGATCATATTGGAGTAACGGCAGATGCCGGAAAGATGACGGGATATCAGAAATAGAATCTGTGGCTGAGAGTGAAGATTCCCCAAATAAATCATCGATTGTGGTTGATGTGCTACGGGCCACGTCAAGAGTAGGAGTCAGGTGAATTTGCTGGTGGTACTCGCGCTAGATCCGTAGTTCGAAGGTGGCCCTGACCACACCTGAAATGTGCATTTGATGGAGGTAAGCTAGTCTCAGAAGTATTCCTGGTTCTTTTTGAATGGGACGATGGCGATGGCGAATCGTTGTAGTAAGAACCAAGTAGCCTCATTGGTGGAGAACTGCGCGGTATCAGGAACCTTGGATGATGATTAATTGTTTGGTCCGGCAGGCCCAAGGATGGAAGGTACCCTCGAGTGTGGTGATGTAAATCCTTCAACGCAGGGTATCTGACTCTTCGAGGTGGCCTTTCTCGTCGTGATGTGAGCATTTCCGCCTCAGTAACATTTCCCCCTCTCCTCGTGGATCCGACCCGGCGTGGTTGTAGGGTCGAGAGAGAGCCAGAATCGGGGCCGTGTGACTAGCATCCATCTGTAGTATGAAGTATCAATGTAATTTTTACAATGTCAAGTTAGATTGCAATGGATGCGCGGCAGCGAAAATGTTCGGTCTGATACCAAAGTTGGAAAGACGGAGTAATAGAAGCAATAATAATGGAAAGAAAGCTCGAGAACCGCCAATCCACGCCGATAACGACAAATAAGACGACTGGATAAAAGAGCAATTTTGACGCCTACTAGTACCTTAGCTGGGAACTAAGTTTTCCTACTAATGCAGGGTTGTGCCCACAATCAAGTGGCTGATGGTCGGAAAGAGAGCAAAGTTTCGAAACGCCCTGGACCCGCAAATTTCTCCTTTGGCATATATCACTAGCTCATAGTGAAGATTCAGGACTCTATTCTTCCGACGTGAAACGTATGACAGGGATGAATAGACCTTTCTCGAGCCACTCATTAAGGTATTGAAACCATGAAACCACAGTACAGAGTGATTATGGTCCTGGAAATTTCTCTGGTGGGTAAAAGCGGCCCAAGAGAGGCTAGGAAAGCGAGAAGTGGCTGTCCATATGGTACATGGTCCACTCTATCCACTGAAGAATATCGCCACTGGATCATTGGATGGTGTACCTCGAAACGAGGCTTGTGCTATAGTGATCAAGGGATAAATTCCATTCTACGAAATATATAATGTAGTTAAGCACCGACAAGTACCATAATTTCAAACCTTTAGCTTTGATATTTCTGAGCTTTTACCAAACATTCTTTTTCCTTTCTGTTTGGCGGAGTTTTTTTTTCCCTCTCTCGAAATAAGGTGATAAAGAAATGGAAAAATCCAGTCGATTAAGGGACTTGCGCGAAAATTTTTCACAATGTACTTTTATTGGCCCAGGAGCAAGCCACTTTCTCCCTGAGGAACCCACTTTTGGGGAGACGTGGGTCTGATAGTTTCGAGCGGTATGTCATAAGTCATTACGGCGGTCCTGGAAACCAGCAAGAAAGAACTAGTCGTCTTATTCTATAATTCCATGCTAACGTATTCGATTAAAGGCCTACTTTGAACACTCTGAATTTTTCACACTAAAAGTCCCGGTTCCCCCTAGTCATTGAAGGCCATGAGGTTCCCCAGAGACTCTCCACCTTTGGATAAGATAAGAAGCGCGATTCAAAACATCTTACTAGTGCCTGCTTCGCATCACTCCTTTTTGTCACAAAGAAAATTTCGCAATTTTACCGTAGATATTCGCATGCTATGCTTGGTTCCACGACTGCCTGCGCTGCTTTTCAGCACTATGCGCTCTTGCTGGTGAATATTATTTCATTCTTGGCGTAATAGTAGAAATGGTGGCAACATCTCTTGGCGCAATGCTAGTCCCACTTTGGCTAAAATCACGATCCAGATCTGCTGTAGTCAAACTGGGAAACTTGCGGGGCGTCTCATCCGCGTTATGAACTGTTTTCCCGTTTATCCATACTTATGTTACTCAGTGCCGTGGGTACCCGGCTTCAATGTGGGACTCTCTCTGGTAGTTTGGTCCCTGACTCTTCGAATGGATGGTGGTGTTCCAGGGGGTGAAACACCATACGAACATTTCTAAGAAGTTACCGCCGTTTCTTTGAAGTATATAATATTCCGCAAAATTTGCGAATTACGCCCAAAGCTATGCTTGCAGTTCAAATTTCAGAGTAGCAGTATTTATCACAAATGAAATGTCTATAGCTACTAAGTTACAACACTTGAGTATAACGGGTAGTTCAACCCGCTTTGCTCTTGTTTCATAAAGTAATAGCTCGATCTGGTGGCTTGGAGACCCACTTCCAAGCTATAATAGATTCGATTCGACTTCTTGATTATAAATGCCGATCAGTATTGCAATTACCAACGACCCATCGGCTTGCATTTTAGCAGCCTGCTACGGAAAAGCTAAGGATACCTTGTTAACAACACTATAGGTGCTGAAAAAACCTTCAAGATGGACAGTCCAATGCCACTGGAGGGCCGAAGTTTGGCCATTTTCACGGTCTCCATGGTCATGTTGATACTATCTGCCATCGCGGTCACATTGAGGATTTTTGTCCGAGTAAGGATTGTTCAAGCCTTTGGCTGGGACGACACCTTAATGGTCTGCGCACTGGTAATGTTATGCTTTACTTGATACACAATTCGATGATATGCTACTAATATAATTTCAGGCCTTTTTTGCAGCGTTTGCTGTTTCGTGTATAATTGGATCGATGAATGGTATTGGCCATCAAATGAAGGACTTTACTAGCACGGAAATTTATAAGAGGGCGATGCTGGTAAGTTTGCTGTGAATACGATTCGAAGAGACCTCCCCAAATCTACAGCTTCTAAATTTCAAGTCACGAATAGCTTTGGTGGCTCTGCCAAATATTCTACGTCTTTGCCTCAGCCTTTGCTAAGATTTCCATCGCTGTCGCCCTACTCCGACTTTCAGTGACAAAGTTGCACCGCGTCATCCTTTGGACAATTATCGGCACCGCTATCGCTATTGGCCTCATGTTCTGGCTCGTCCTGTTGTTCGACTGCACCCCTGTGTCCTACTTCTGGGGCCGAGTTGATACAGCTGCTACAGGCACTTGCTTGAGCGTGGATGTGTTGTTAGCTATCGCTTATCTATACAGCTCGCTTACTATTTTGTGTGACTTTTCGCTGGGTATCTTACCAGTAACCCTCGTTTGGAATCTGCAAATGAATCAACGAGTGAAGCTTGCCGTTGGAGGAATTCTCAGTCTAGGAGCTGTGTATGTGGCCTGAAAATGAGGATGCGGGAAATATGCTAACTGTTACTAGTGCGAGTGTGGCCGTCACGATTCGAATTCCGTTCCTTCACAATTACAAAGACCCCGACTTCCTTTGTATGTCCCCCATATTCATTGAGAGGAATCGCACTAACAAATCTATAGACTCAACCTACCAGATCGCAATCTGGTCTGTCCTCGAAACCGGCCTTGGTGTCGTGGCTGGCAGTATTATCACCCTTCGTCCACTATTCCGCTGGTTCTTGGAAGGAACAAAAGGAGTCAGCCAACCCAAGAAATATCTCGGAAGCTCACAAAGATACCCGCTCACTAGCATGAAGGGTTCGAAGAGTACTAAGGGAGAAACGAACCGGATTCAAAACGACCCGAGCTGCTGGCGACCGGATATCGATGACCCAAAGAGAATGGTGACAACGGTATCATCGCTACATACGCAGCACTTCGCCGATGCGAATAGCAGCACAGAATGTTTAAATCAGGGATTCACTAGTCTGTCCCCTAATCATGTTCGTATTCATGAGTCTATCGTGATTAGCGAGCGACGAGAATGAGTCAAGGTTACCCACAGAGCTTTGTAGGCATATTGATGACAGCATTCCAGAATCTGTCTCGCGCAAAATCCTCGAGCTGACCCTCTGATGACAGGCGCAGCGGGCATCGCCACTAATATTGATCGGAACATATCACGGTGGTGAAGGGCAATACCATTCATACAGAAGCAGGCGGAAACTGCAGGGGGGAGAACATTGGCGGCAAGCGGTACTACTTGACCTCTGATTTGCTCCTCTAACCTACTAGCATTGTGAGGTACCATTATTAGTGACAGTCACCCGCATTTCTCAAGCTGGGAAAAATCTCAGCCTGAGCGACACTACCTATAGAGCTAAAGAAATCCACTATGGTTGGTGTGTCTCTTCTGAGCTGCTTGATGTGCTGGAGACGAGAAATTGCGAATTGTGATATGCATTACGCGAATCATAAAAATCTCATAAATTCAGAGTGCCATGGCGATGACGGTGGCGACCCGCTTTGGGAGGAGATGAGGCTCATTCTACTTGGGGTGCTGTCATTTGTATAAAATCAGTGCAACACGAAGACTTCCCAAATGTCGTGCCGAACACATCTAAAGATTGGATCGAAGCAAACGTCTAATGAATTGGCTGTCCGATACTCATTTCAAGATCCATTCTCCGCCTGCCTCTACAGGAGCCTGTCTAAGAAGCATTTTTCTTTCTTTTTCCTATTAGCTTGGTAGAGAAGTTCAGTACTTTTCCTTTTTGGTGACGAGTCCAAACTCATCTCCGACAGATTATAATTAATCCAATTAAGAAATTAATTGACAACAGTAGTGCAGTGACTTGTTATTAAGGCCCCTTCACTTGGGATGTGGTATCTTCACTATAATAAATTCGAGTTATGAACCACCTGGTCTTATTTCATTATTCGTGGAAGTTTCAATTACATATAACAACAGTTATTCTCCAAAGTCTTGCTTTGAAGTAAAAGGATTTTTAGCATAATTTCCGTCGCGGTATTATCAAAATAATGGTTTTGACTGAGAGTATTATGAAATCATTGAGACCAATCCCTAACTACCCAGGCTTTAGAAATAGCTGGAAGTTTCTTTTGATGAAATCGGGAAGCTAGGTTTCCCCTTCTGGATGACTTAGAAACACACATTTTAACTATCAGGTATTTTGAGCATCGGCATATCACCTTTGCCTAACTACTCAATATTTAGCTTGGTAAGTTTTTTAAGATAATCGGGGGTAAATTTTGTATTCTAGATTCCTAATAGCCCAAAAAGCTCCTCTAGTGTTCTATTATAACATCAGATACATCTTCTTGAAGTGGTGATCTAATTATCTCATAGTCTACTAAATATAGAAAATATACCAAGATATATCCGAACTCTTTATAGATATTAGATAGCAGTATAGATAAACATAAAAATGAATCCCTACTAAAAAATAGGGTATTCCGAAAGAAAGTACCCTTTTCAACACTATTTGATCACTTTTTGAGCATCGACAGCCAATGGTTCTCAATGGTTCCCAGAAACCGTTGGCCGCACTCACCGCCCGCGCCATTTGTGGCCTTCTACTCACCAACACAACATGTACTGGACTACTGAACTAGCAGATCTTGGCAAAAGGAGACAATGCATTTCGGACCCAGCCGAGGTTTGTTTTTGCCGTGCATTGCAGGGGCCATGAGTTCGGGTGGAACTAGTCCGAGGGAGCTTAGCGGCCCACTTCGTTTGATGCCAGCGTGGCCCTTGCGCCGCTTGGCCAGGCTCTGATTGTTGGACGCTAAGGACGACTGTCTATAGTCTTGTCTTAGATCGGGTCCGTAGACTTAACCCTTTGAGGTACTAAGGGGAAAAAAGAAAGAAAAGAAGAAAAACCCCGATTAGACGAATGCAACGTTGGGGCGGCCTTGAACTACACAAAGCGAGTACGACTTGGCAACGGGTCAAAAATCATAATCGTCAATCCTTACTGCCGTTCGAAAAAAAAATGAGCATTCCTACTCTCACTAGAGAAAATTCGGCTCATCGTCCGGGCTACGTATTGATTCACTTTCTTTTGGCACCTCGTTCTGCGCCTTCCTTCACTTTCCACGTCTCTCCCTTACGTTTCATAATATTCCGTTCCTGCACGTTATACCTTCTGAGTCCCAACAGTGATCGCATAACATGCTGCTAGCCATTATTAGCTTGTGGGTATTCCTCTCTGCGCACGTGAAGCTAGAACTATGAATCTTCCAGAATACCTAACAATTAAATAGAGTTATCCTTTGGTCTTCTCCTTCGCTCCTCATATACGCCACGCTTGGCTAGATAAGGGCACTGAAGAAGCTTCATTGCTCTACCCACTTGACAATGTCTTTTGCTCCACGGAGCATTTACTTTTCGTTTTCTTTTACACCATCAATCTCCCTCTTGAGACGGGTTAATGGACGCACCATCCACGTAATGCGCTTGACTGGGTCGATTTCGCTCAAGTACTAGCTGTATGGGCATTGTGGAATACCCTGTGAGCTCAAAAAACTGCACTACCTGGTAAACATATTGCGGCCAGAGTCTAAACAAAGTTTCTAGATTGGGGCTCAACCTCTACTACAGATGCACAAATCACCTTCGGAAGGCTTTCACAATAGTCATTTACTCCGGCTTTCTCATTGTATCCATAGTCCCCTGTCATCTTAGATGCAGTTTCTGATATATTCTGTCCTCCACACCATTCAAACTGCCCTGAGATTGAGCGAGATCCAATCGCTCTCTTCCAGGGCCTTCATTCCGTCATACTTCTGCCATTTCTTACGACTATACCACTTGCCATTGGGATATTCAAACAAGCCCGCATGCCATTACAAAGTCAAAGCCTGATTAGGCTAAAGTTTCAGACGGTGGCTTCAATCCTCTCGGCAGTTTCCTGGGTCCCAAGAGTCAATGTGCCTTGGGATCTATACCTAGATGGTGAACACTCAATCATTCTCATTATCAATGCATGGTTCCATATGGTTGGGCTTGTCGCCGTCAACGATGCATGCTTCGCTCTGGGGTAAGGATTTTTGTTGTGGTTGTCTTTGCGACAGGTTCGACGTGCGGAGGAAGGGGAAAGACAGCCGCTTTTGGGGCGATGTTTTATGTTTATACCGCATCATTATTTTGGCTTTCAGTTCTAGATCACATGGACCTTTTTCAGTGATATATTCTGTTAGGAAAGTGTCAATTTCTTGCTTTTTACTATTTTCTGTCAATAAATATCATATCCTATTTTATATTCATGGATACCCATGAATCCTTCATATCTTGACATTTTGTCTAGATAAATGTGACCTATTTTACGGATTCTTTTGTCAGCCAACGCGGGTTCATATACTTCAGACAATATCTTGAGACTGGCCCTGCCCTATTGGTCAGATTCCCAATACCAAATGGAATGGTGTTCTGACACTGCATATCGCCGAGGCTGCTCGGTTTCAGGCATCGCATTCAGAATAATGTTCATAGCCAGCTCAATACCGGATTTCAGGCCGCGTGCTCACTCTTCTACTATCTTGAGAGGGCCCCTATCATTGGTCAAAAGCCTTTGCAAATCGTAATCTACGGCTAGGCCATTGCCTTCCTGCTCCGCTTGCCGATATCCTGGTGCATACCGATCAAGCTGTTTGCACACCCACTTTCGGCTGCGTACAGTATGTTCAACATACACGTCCGCGAATGGACATTTCAAGTCCACACTTTACATCAAAGATCAGTACCTAGAGCACCATACTCGGATAATATGCAGAGATATGATTGCTCACGACTCGTTTTCCAATATTCCCTCCGGCGCCTGACATTTCTCGTCGTCTTCCATATATAGCAAAACGTCATTCAATGGATCCGAATTCCTTTTCACTTGACGGAAAGGTCAGGAAACCCCTGCATAACCATTTGAGCACGGTAACTCGCTCTGGGGCGCCATTATAAGTGTACGGTCGTCAATAATTAGCTTTGGAAAAGAATCTTCAAATAGCACAGTCCCATCTTGTGCCACATGCATATCGAATAAGTTGGGTCGGACGACACTTTCACGAAGTTTAAAGTTCTTTAAAATGTCGGAACTGGACGTAGTATCGTCACGATCAGTAGACATTAAAGCTGTTATTGATTCGGCCAGATATTCGTGGGATCCCTCCCAGTTGAATATTGGAAGAAGGCAGTTGATAAGGAGGGCTTGAGTCATGAGGGTCCTTACGGAGATGCAAATACAGACATCTCCGATCATATGACCAGAATAAATCTATAAGAAAGTCAAAAATAGGGTTTTCTCAAAACATACAGGTATTCCTCTTACACTAGGACTTTCATGTGAAGATGGCTCATCTTCAGGTGCTCGGGATTGATAGCTCTCTTGTCATGTTAGGAATCATTCAAAAGCATAATTTAGAAGGGCGTACGTCGCAAAAATCCTGATTTGCAGTTGCCCATCTCTCAACAAGAGTTCATCTTCTTTGATCTTCATAGTCACTGGTAGTCCACTGTTCTCGTACAAAGTGCCGCCAGCCGCGAGTAGCCTGTTCAAAGTCATCTACTGGCTCTTCACTCGGGCGAATATTGAGGGAAGGTCTCCTGGCCAGTGATTGTGAAGTTTTATCAACGACATAATGGATTTTCATTTAAAAAAATTACATGGAACGAAAATTGACGAGGATAAGAGGGGATCTTTCTTGGTGGGTCCTGTCTGGGAACCTTAGAAGTGGGGTGCCTATTGACGCGAATAGGGACTAATTGCCCAAACACCCCCCACAAAAGGGGCAGAAATCAAAATACAAAACTACGAATGTAAGTGATCACTCGCTTGTCTCAAAACATAACACCAATCTGAAGTGTGCTTATTAGCTAAAACCAACCCTGGGCAGGGGGAATAGTACTAACGTCAGTATTAAGCCTTTCATATAACGTCAAAGGATAAACGGCCGGTGACTGCTAACTAGCATTCTACTAGTCTGCATCCGAAAACCAAGACATCGATATTTTAATAATAACCATACTGTATCAATTTAAGCCTATTTAGGAAAGTGCCTAGCACAAGACCCCTAAGTAGTGCTTCCTTCGTTCCTCTCATTGAGCCGCTAGTGTAGTCATTCAAATTACCAGATGCCATAACTAAGCACAGAGGAGATCAGAGCCCAGTTTTCCAAAACAATAATCACATGATAAAGTGGCAGAAAATCAAACTACCAAGCTAGTATGACAAAACTCTTACTATACGGGTCCTGCACCTGGCACCCTATAGATGCACCTGACTGATAGTTTATCTCAGAACTTCACACTTGGCCCACAGGAGAAATGGGATTTAATACGATAAAATTATGATCAGCTACTTCAGCATAGTGGAGAGTGAAACGGGTCCAGTCGGTTCACATTTTCGGCACGTATAAGGCTCAATTTTTGATTTATTTTTTGATACCCTCGGTTTTATAGTCGAACCGAAATCAAATGATTTAGAGTGCATGTATTGCAAAGAATGGTTACAGCCGTCTATTTGAAGTGAGTGAGATCCTTTATGTGATTTCGAATTTTTAGATAAATGTTGTAAAGAAAAACTCAATCACAGATATATTTTAAAGATATCCTGGGATAGAAATTATAGGTTCGTAGTGCACTTTTCAAAGGTACCTCCTTTTATCTTCGTTATAAGTAAGAAGAGCCTTTAATTATGACTATAAATTATGGGAAAGATGATAAGCTTGAGATATTTCAGAAAAAGGGGCCAAAGAGAAGAATGACAAGCCAGAATCTTGAATGATTGACCCAAAGCTCCAACATTTGCCAGAGCAGGGAACGCCAATATGACCAAGGAAATATTATCAAAGGAACAAGAAAGACATATAGCGCTGTTCAAAATCTTTAAATTTGAGTGCAAATTGAAAGTAAATTTGACGATACATAAGCTACGTGTCAACCACTACAAACGCCGTCTCCTGATCATCCGTGGTCAATGCACAGCGGGAGTCAGCTAAGAGAAATTCCAGTATTGAATTTAACAGTATGCTGTCCAGGCCAAGAGCATGAAGATCACCAATTTGCAGCAATCTGGAAATCGGTCTCTCGATAATCTTCCGGATCTCATCCTTCAGATCAAGCTCGATCTGAGCACCACGCAAGAAGTCAATGATTTGGAGTTCAGGCCGGTTCAACATCAAATGAGGATGACTTTCCAACTTGATCACGATGTGGGTATTTTCCGGGTGGGATCCCACGTCCAGGTAGAGGCAGTTGTTCACATTCTGACCACTGACTATTTGTGTTTTATCCCCCACACAAACATTTATGACTTCAGAGGATGCGTATCCAAGGAAGCGAATTTTCCATTGGCGGACATGGGGGGGAATATTCCCACCACTCCTGGGCTCAATATGCAACTCTCCGGCCTGTTGATCGAAAGAAATGCGTGTTCGGCGGAAATCGATCTGATCAGTGCATTTTCCTTTTCCATCGTCTTCCACAAGTTCAAAAATGCCATCTTTCCCGACAACAACCAGGAGCTCAATCGAGGTGGAGTTGGCACAGTCGTTTGGAAGAGCTGATGCCGCATCAAGTGGAATGATCGCTCCCTCTGGGGCGAATACTGGGAAATCTTTCAAGCGTCGGTTTAGCCAAATGCGGCGGCCTCCGTCATAGACCATGCCTGTGAACAGATCCACATATCTACCAGGAGGAAGCCAGGCGAGGACCTGAGATCTTCGAGAACGAGGATCTTGAGGAGCAGTAATTGGCACCACAATGAGATCTGAACCGAACATATACTGATTTGGTACGTTGTATGACTCCTCACTTTCGGGGTATGCCCAATACATGGGCTGGATCAAAGGTAGCCCATGCATCGCAGCGCGAACATTCATGGTGTATAGATATGGAAGCAGTCTATGACGAAACTGGAGATATTCTGTCATGATCTGCCCATATTGAGGGTCAAGATTCCATGGTTCTTTAATGCTGAATATATTATTCGACGAGTGGAGACGCAGGATTGGTGAGAATACGCCATATTGGACCCATCGAACGAGCATTTCATCGTTTTTTTGACCGTGAAAATGGCCGCCAATATCGTGACTCCACCAGCCGAACCCGATGTTTGATGCCGTTGCCGTGAATTCTGGCTGAAAGTGGAGAGAATCCCATGATACTACTGTATCACCCGAGAATCCAATGGGGTACCGGTGACTGCCTGGGCCCGCGTATCGTGAAAAGGTCAAGGGTCGCTTGTTATCAAGAGAACTGTCCAAGAAGTGGTAATGATTGAGCACCCAAAGTGGATCGATGCCAGGGATCCGGGAATGTGTCCCTTGCTGCCAATCCACCCACCATAGATCCAGTCCTTCCCTCTCGAATCGCCGGTGGAGCACATCAAAGAATGCATCCAGAAAGATCTGGTTTGTGATATCGAAAGAGATAGGATCACCCATGGACGTGTCATGATCAAGAGCGGTAGCCATCTCGTTGTAAGGATCTTCGTAGCCCTGAACACCGTCTGCTGGATGGTCATTCAGAGAAATATGTAAGCCCCGATTATGGAGTTCCGCGAGGAAGGCTTCTGGATCCGGGAAGAGCTCTTTGTTCCAGGTATAACCTGTCCATCCGGTAACTCCGGCATTCCTGACTCTGAGATCATCTCCCACAATATGCCAATCCATGTCCAACACGGCAACTGATAATGGAATATCACTTTCCCGGAATCGATCCATGAGTGAAAGATATTCTTCTCCGGTGTAGGGATAAAATCGACTCCACCAATTTCCTAGAGCCCATCGGGGAAGTAGAGGTTGGGGCCCTGATAGAAGATAGAACGCCTGGATGGCCTGCCGATAGTCATGACCGTAGGCGAAAAGATAGCCATCTAAGCGATTCCCAGGTAGTCTTGTGGTCACCCACTGCTGATCATCAAAAAGCATTGAAGTTGAGTCATCCAAGGTCGCAAAGCCCTGTCTAGAAATAACACCTTGCTCTAGAGCAACTCTCCCATCAGCCTCGTCTAAAGTCCGGGTTGTACCACCGAGATTTGAAGATTGGACGCCATAGCGCCACACACTGACGTGAGGACCATAGCTGCCCTTGATGACAGCACTGAGGCCATTTGGAGAAAATTCTTGTTTGTCATAGGTAAGGTGAAATCGAGAGGTGAGAATTTGCAGACTGGTTTGGTCCTCTTTGACTCGAAATTCGGGTACGGGCAACTGACGGTTGATAGCAAGAACCGAGGCGCGGTCCTCAAATTGGCGGTCTTCAGCCCATTCGTAACGAAGGAGGCCATCAGCCAAAACGGTGAAACGGTAGTTGCCAGCGCTGATGATCGAGTCAGTATTAGCGACCGGAGTATGTGGGAAGGAATAGCGATGCATGGTCAAACGATTGTTGATTTGGGATGTGGAGGATATTTTGACTCACTGCCCAGGCGAATATTTGCGATTTATATGTAAAAATCTCTATTATTTACGGGAGTTGCAATCATTGCTGGGGTTTTTTTGATAAGAAAACTTCACGTGAATTAAACGCGCCGGAATTGTGGGACCAGATCAGGAGGACTGTGCTTAGCATTTTCATGTCTCACCCCCGGTCCCCCGCATACGGACGGCGTCGAGTGGGGACCAATTTTCCAAAATTTGGGGATAATTCCACAGCCCTAGCTAATTCTGTGCTGCACCTGTATAACGGTAACTCTGCTACTGACTGTTTCAAGTTGGAGTAGACTGTAGGCCATGCATAATAGGCCCTGATGCCTCTATTGCTGATCATTCTTGGTTTAGATTGTACGGTATATTATCTTGGCATCTTTCTAAATACACTCATGTTAATAAAGTACAGTTTGAATTACATGATTGTTCATGTATTTAGGGTAGATTAACAGTAAACTAGTTGTTACTAGCTTTACCCTTTTGTATAAAGTTATAGCCTTAAAAGTGATCATGGATATGTTTCCCCTCTGTATAGTATAGTCTGGCTAATGAACACAATTTATAGATACTACATCCGTAAAACCAATCATGGTATTGTGATACTACTAGTAATAGCTTTGTATTTTTGATTTTCTGCCGCTATGATACTCGCGCCCCTAACCCCGCACTTCTTTGAACGCCACCAAAAGAAACGTGGCTGACGCGGGGGGGTTACACTGAAAAATTATTTAGTTCTCGCTGTAATTCCTGGATGTTTTGACAAGGCCCAGTCCATAAAGTCGCCAAGAATCATGGATAGCCCCTGTGATGGATGTTTTGTTCGCCGGGTGAAGTGCGATCGCCAAAACCCGTGTAAACCGTGCTTAAAAAGACAACAAGGCTGTACTTATTCGCGGGTCCGCAAAAGACCAGGTCCCAAAGGTCCTCGATCAGCTAGCACCCGCAAGATTGAGAATATACGAGGAGTGTCAATGGAGGTTGAAATGGCAACTTCAGTGTTGACTCCAGCACTCCAAAGCCCTGCTCTTTACGCCTCGAATTCCCGTATATCGATTTCGACTTACCACGCCGTGCTCGATATCTTCCAGGCGCGTCTTTCTGATATTTGGCCTATCGCCGATACTGAGCATTTGAAATTCCAGCTCAAAAGCTCAGACAACGATCCAACCTCCCATGCCTTAGCAGCAGCCTTGTGTGCTGCTACATTAGCACAAATTCGGCTTTGGCTCACGCCGACTCCCAGCCCTGAGGATCTCTCGGTAACTGCAGAAGACTTTGCCAAAGAATGTCTTCGCATTCGGCTTGAAAACCACTATCATCAAGAACCATCTCTTCAGGCCCTGGTCACATCTATCTTCCTTCATATGTATTACGCCAATCGAGATCAAATAACACCGGCTACAATCTCCCTGCGGGAGGCAATCACCTATGCAGACCTATTGCACCTTTGCCATAAGCCTTCCCTCGATCCAGCGCAGTCAAAACAGTGGCAACTGGAGCTTCGATGCTATTGGATTCTTTTTGTGACTGAAAGGTTGGTGAATGAATTAAGATCCCAAATTGAAGGATACTCTCTGATATTTAGCAAAGAACGTTTTGCATTCAACATGATTTACCAATAACACTACACAGAATAGCCAATCTTCCCGAAATCGAGTGGGATACATCCCAGGGGAACCTATATGCAGGGTTCCGGGCTCTTGTTCAATTGTTCTTCCATGTGCAGCGCCCTCTCATCTTACTATCTACAAATAGTAAAGCTATCGAGGCAACGGACATGTACTCAAAGGATAACATATCGAAGATTCAGAATCAAATCCAGGTGAGAATGCCTGGGCTAGAAATCACGTCAGAAGTACGATACGTCGATATTTTGACTACTTCCGCATGGGTCCGTACGTTGCTATGGCAGTACTCCGCTTCTCGCTTTATGCTCTCCTCATCCACCTCAGTTGAACCACTATCATTTGATTACCCCCTGTCGATTGCCAAGGATTATCTGGAGTCCCTTTCCCATGTATCCCTAGACTCCTTTCGTTGTCATGGATACGGCATGGTAAGGCATTGAACATTCATTCTTTTGAATTGGAAAAACCCAAGATCTGATCTATCGCTCTTCATATAGGAGATAAAGCTTCTTCAAGTCGCGAACTCGGTACTCGACCTTATTTTGTGTATGCCTAAACTTCTAAGACATCATACTTGTCACTTTGGGCCCCTAGATGCTGTTATCGCAATCGAACGGTTATTGTCACAAGTTGGGGGGGTAAAATCAGAGAGACTATGTTTACTTCACCAACGCATGTCACAACTTCCGTTGTCAAACACTGTACCGCTGATGTTGGAGTCTCCTGAGCAGGAGGAGGTGCTGGATATGATTGCATATGAAGGATATTAATTAACTGTTTGCGTATCCCGTTATAGTCGCTACTCAACCTTCTCTCCATTAAAAAAACGAATATAACCCGTGAGCAACCTTATGTTGCAATGGCTATCTTTCTTCACCGACGCCGGGATTTCCTAATCATGGAAGGCATCGACTTCGGCGAAGATAAAATTATATATATGCGGTAGATAGATGTTATAGCAAAGGAGATGTAATCCGATTTAAAATCTCGTTTTACATTGTTTGAACCGATACCTTATAGTTTTCAAATACACGTTATTTCCTCCACGCGAAAAGTACCACGTACGTTGTCTGATTTCCCGATACCTGGGTCTCACGCTCATGCTGCCTCACGAAAGTCCCACAACTTCATAATTCCAATTGCAAGTCGCGTTCGAGCTTTGACTCAAGACATTTTTAGTTCCTGTGGCCGATGCAACCACATTATTCGAACTATCAAGCACCTTGATCATCTGCCCACTGCCAACAGCAAGGCCCCGTACACTGTTGTAGTTCAATCCCTTTTCACCAGCAAAGGTGCCAATAAGATTGCTGTTACTGTAAACATTGATTTTGTAGCCAGCAGAAGGGAGAATCACCGCAAAATTCATCACATCAAGCGCGGATTGATAGTTGGAAATAGATGAGGAGCAGCTGGCACTGGTTAAGAGAGTTCGATACCAGAGAGTTCCAACGGGGCTGGTGCTGGGTGGCATGATCTGAGAGATACTTGTTGCTCCAGCCTTGTAAGCCTTGATGAAAGGCGTGATAATCTGTAACCATCCCTTGTGATCAAAGCCATCGGCATAATCTCCAATCGTAGTGCCAGCAATCTGTTCTTGCCAGAAGTCGCCCACGTAGTGGCTCTCTCCAGCATCGTTCCAGGTGATGACTTCAACAAAGTCGGGCTGCAATTGCAGGGCTTGGCCCATGCGTTCGGGTAGATTGACCTCCCCAATACGGTACCAGTCTTGACCACTGCCGAGATATTTGAACTGGAAAGATGATACCGCTGTTTTCGAACTATCTTCAGCGCTGTTCCCTTATAAATTTGGTTGAAGCATCTGGGTTACTTACGCATCATGTAAACCTTCCCAGCAGAATGCGCTTCTTGCAATGCGGCCGAATCGACAGTGTCACTAACATTGGCTGGAGTGGTTCCGGGGGATGGCCATGCTGACTCCCAGCTGTAGACACCGTTCAGAATTGGGTAGGCGCTGAAAACACCGGTCGGATAACCAGAAAAGTCATCAAAGTCAGGAACAAAAAATGGGGTGATACCATAGGTCGATGTCAAAGGCTCAATGAATCCGGAATCCCAAGCGGAGTTGGAAATAGTACCTCCTGTATAAGTGCTAACAAAAGCCCGTCCGTTCACCATGTAGTAAGCCGACATCTTAGCATAGGGCGCAAGGAAAGCGGCCAACTCCGTGACATCCAGGCCCCAACTCATGTCGAATGAAATAAAAAGCTTGAAGTTTGTTCCAGCTGCCGCGGCGAACAAGTAGTTGAGTGCATCAGTATTCCACGTGTCAGAAGAGCTGATAGTGTGAGTGTTGAGAGCAAATCCATCGAATCTAGTTTTATGGAATTAGTTTCAAGCGATGGGGTGCTTGAGAGCAGGCTGTGATGGTATTAGTGGAGACCATACCCGGCATTCATAGCATCCTGAACGTCAGTGACAGCCTCAGCTGAAGTCATCGAGCCAACCTATTCACGATTAGGGAAGATTTCGAGGGAGGGGAATTAAGATTTCTCAAGTACCATATAATGAGCGAATACAGCCCTGGTACCTGTGGATTGTGCGGCGGTCGTAGTGGTAGACAGCGTGGATGTGCTTGACGTGCTTTTCGTGGTTGTAGTTTTTGTAGTGGTAGCTGCAGTAGTAGCAGACGACCCAGTCCCAGTTGACATCTAGATTACATTTCAGCGCGAGTACCAACAAGAAATCAAAGTTTCGTTCACGATTTCGTTTCATTAACTCACAAGTCGAGCAGTGGTTGCTGTGCCAGCTTGACCCGAGGCAACGCAAGTGCCTGCAACATCTCCACTGGATTGATAGATACCAATAAGACCAACTTGGCAACAAAAATCATTGCCCTGGAACCCTTGCCAGAGCGACCAGCTTGAATCGGCGCATTTGGGTGCTCCCTCTATGGCGCCAACACACGCTGAGTCTATTGATGATGTTAGATGATTGTGCATCAAACTAATATAGCAAGGTCTTACCAGTAGAGCAACAAGAGGCAACCTCATCTGTCTGGGCTGCAAAGCAATAGAGGTTGCTAGGGCAACATGCCCCTGCACCACATGCATTGGTTCCTGTAGGACAAGTGGCGGACTGTAAAGACCAGCCTTGGACTACTGACCGTTGACCAATCACAGCTGCAGCACTAATAAATGGAGCATAAATACCCAACAGAAAGAATTGAGACGAATGCATGATTATTGCGTGGATCTTGAGATGGTTACAGTATTGTAGGAATGTTTCTATCGCACTTGAGAAGATCTCGTAGCAATTTATATAGTGATCCCCATTCTTGTTCTACTATTTTGATGAAGTATCTGAACTATAGAAATCCCCACATTAACCCCAGAAAATGTAACAAAATGCGGGGATAAATTCAAAATAATCATAGCTCTAAACTCAATATTCAATTAGCACAGAAATTAAACACACATGTGCATGAAATCCCGACGAACTCATTGCCGTGTTTAATTTATCTAACTTCCACGATAAGCTTTCGCTCGAATTCCTGTCGCCACTTCTAGGCGTCCTTCGTGGCTGAACAAGTGCAACCTAGGGTCGGCAGTCCAATTTCGCTCAGGTCCGAGTCCCTTGCTATCCGACCTCGTGACAAGAATCATGAAAGAACCGATGACCGCTTACAGGGAAGCTAATCTTAATTCAGACATAGTAGGTCGAAGCTCAGTTACACCAAGAAACGAAGACAAAGAAATAATTAGTCAACTATCCAATCACATCCTTTCCTCGCTTATGATGGCTTATTGGTCCCGGTTGGTCAAAACCCCAAGACCAGAGAATCAAGTGGCAGAAAATTAGTAGAAAAAACTTAATATGACAATACAAAGGGAGACACGGTGGTTAAACACACCGGGAAACAAGTGAAAGACAGCTACTACCACCATTAAACGTTTTCTTCATCTTAGGCCTACCTGAGACATCAGATAGTGATACCATTGTGTATACTGTTGACCTAAGCCAAGCCACATTCCAAGATAACATGCTATAATCTGGACTATAGTAGATTTGTAATAATGTGTTATGTAGAAAAAACTTTGATTCCCTACAGATAGATACTTACTACTCAGGTCTGTTTATGATCATGGAATAACTAATGTTAGGTAATAGGTGCTTATGGAGAAGAGAAAGAAACAGGGGATAGAGTACAATACCATACAGAAATAGTGAGGGCGGTGAAGCCAAACAGGGTTTTGATACCTCAACTGGTCCTGGTAAGCCCCCGTACTCGCTATAACTATTCAGTCACACCGAACTTCCGCAATGCCGGTCAAATCGCCATTTTCGGAAGCGAAATTTAAAACCCTTGTTTGTTTCCCCACAGTCTCATCGATAATTCCAGCGACCATGGTCCATGTGGCGCATGATCGAGCCCTTCTTCAAAGATTGCTGTACGATTCGAAGAGCCACTTCCCTTGTGGTAAGAAATGGGTGGTATAAGAACGATGTGCCTTCTCGTAGAGTCACTTCCAACTAAGCTCGTTCTTCATTGAGGTCAACTGACTCCGATATCGATATTCTTCTTATATCCTTTGCCTTTCAGGTAGCTGGGGAGCAGTTCAGCCCAATACAACGAAATGGAGGACCTCAAGGCGGCTACTCATGTTGAGCACAATCTCGCGGTGCCCTCTCACTCGCTGGGAGAAAACACCATTGGAATTGATGACGAAATCCTCTTGCAAATGGCCGAGCAGATTCCGGATTTCGCCAATCTGATCGAAAAGGCCCGTCGAGCGTCCAATTTTGAGCATCACTTGACCAACTGGGATGCATTCAAGCGATTCCCGAAGGCGGTCGTGTTCTCATTTGTCCTGTCTCTTGCGATAATCATGGAAGGGTATGACACCTCTCTACTCGGATCCTTCTACGCATACCCAACGTTCCAGCGCAAATTCGGTGTTCCTTCCAATAAAGGGGGCTATCAAGTCACATCGAATTGGCAAACTGGCCTGCAGAATGGAACAAATGTCGGACAAATCCTTGGCCTTGTCATCGCCGGTCTCATTGCAGATCGATGGGGCTACAAGAAGACAATGCTCGGTGCTTTGGTCTCACTGATAGGGTTCATTTTTATCATGTTCTTCGCCAACAATATTGGGATGCTGTTTGCCGGCGAGGTCCTTTGTGGAATTCCCTGGGGTGTCTTTCAAACCCTGACAACCACCTATGCCGCTGAGGTTAGCCCTATGATCCTACGTCCGTATCTAACCACGTATGTCAACCTCTGCTGGGTCACTGGTCAATTCATTTCCACTGGAATTTTGCGGGGTCTTCTCGGTCGTACCGACGAATGGGGGTGGCGAATTCCATATGCCATTCAATGGGTCTGGCCTGTTCCGATCATCATTGGTGTTCTTTTTGCCCCTGAATCTCCTTGGTGGCTGGTCCGTCACGGGAAAGTCGAAGAAGCGAAGCGATCACTCACTAAATTGGCCCGTCCTGGTAACTCTGAATACTCGACTGATGATGCCGTGGCACTTATGATCATCACCAACACCCATGAGAAGCTAAGCCGAGAGGGTGTGAGCTACTGGGATTGTCTGAAGGGAGTTGACCGGCGCCGTACCGAAATCGTCTGCTGCGTCTGGATGTGTCAGGTCTTCTGTGGTATCTGGTATGGCGGCAATATTGTCTACTTCCTTCAGCAAATCAACTTCAGCGATAACCAGTCATTCGACTTTGGTCTCGGTGTCAATGCTATTGGATGGTGCGGCACTGTCTGTTCATGGTTCGTGATGCAGCGGATTGGTCGGCGAAAGCTCTTCGTCACTGGACTCGGGATTATGTTCACAGTGTTGATGTTGGTGGGCTTTCTGGGTATCCCGAGCCATACCTCCCCCGGTCTGAGCTACTCGTCAGCTGCTCTCCTTTTGGTGTTCGTTTTCACCTACGATCTCACAGTGGGTCCCGTCACCTACTGTCTCATCTCCGAGATTCCCTCCACTCGCCTGAGAATCAAGAGCGCAGTTCTTGCCCGTAACTGCTACAATATCGCCAGCATCATAGCCAACTTCCTCAACCCCCCCATTCTTAATCCCACCGCCTGGAACCTGAAGGGCAAAGGAGGCTTTATCTGGGCACCGTTCTGTCTAATCTGCTTTCTCTGGTCGTTCTTCCGTCTACCGGAGCCCAAGGGACGCACGGCGCCTGAGCTTGATATTTTGTTCGAGAAGAAGATATCGGCCAGGAAGTTTTCCAAGTTTGAGGTCACTCCATTCCGCTCTAACAATTTCGAAGTTATCTCCGATAGCGCTGTTCTTGCCGAGAAGAGTTCCCTTTCAGGTAACAAGAATTGAGGATGGCGTTCATGATTGTCCGACAACAGGACTATAATACAAGGGTGGATTTGGGTAAAGAAGCCACGAAGAGCTATTTGGAGTTTTTCATTGAAGTACATTTTGAAACGTATCGTGTTAAATACCTGCCTATTCCTCGAGACAATCAGAGGCTTTTTAACAGTTTGAATATCAGTCGTCGAACCCATGCAGCATACAGTATTCTCCTCATTCTTTACCCAGACGCTTGAGATTTTGGGAGATTTTCGGCTGTTTTGTTCAAAGACAGAGAAGTAGTTAATTTAAAAGCTAGAAAGAGAAAAGCCACCAGGAAAGTTCAATGCGTCAAACTACACTAGTCCTCCATCTCCACCCTCCACGTGGTCCATCCTTAGGCCATCTTAGTCACACAGTCTCACTCTTAAAGACACCCCTAGGAAGAACGCCTCCATGGAGAGGGGGAGAGATCCTCTCAACTTGTATCAGGAACTTTCTCAACCACAAGGTTACCAAGCCATCTTGGCCAAAATTCCGTTTGGCCAGCGACGAACAGCGGCTTTTCGCATTTCATCCAGACATAGGAGTCCAAGACCCAGAGCAGCAGGGAGAAAGTAATGCTCGGCAGGAATGCCCGAGGTACTAAGTGATGTCTGTAGACTAGGGATGTAAAGCCAAATGACGGAAATTCCCAGTGCAAATGCTATGGCAGGGAATAAGTATAGGTTCTGTGTTGACTTGTTGAACATTGGAGGGTGTTGGAAAATGGATAGATGCCTTGTTCGTACAGCCATCAAGTTGAACCATTGCCTGGTAAAAATCAGCAAGAAGGCATATACACCAGGCTCTCAAGGACTCACATGACCACAAGGTTGATGAAGTAGATTGAGCTTGCTTCGTTAACTTTCGCAGTGTAGTAGTCTGAATCAACACCCGGTGGTAACTCGCCGAACTTGAACCACAAATCGGAGAAGTGAATTCCGTTCCTCTGTAGATACCAAAAAGCCATGGTAAATGACAAGGCTGTTTCAATCATACCAATGAACGCGTAAGAATGGAACATAAGCTGCCAGTTGACCAGGCGGGATTTGGTTGGATGCCTTGGGGGGCGAAAAAGAACGTCTGCTTCTGGGACCTCGTATGCAAGGGCAACAGCGGCAGCACAGTCTGTGAAACAACTAGTAAATGGGTCAGACTTGAGAATAAACAGCTCCTCGAGCTCTCCGCTTACCAAATTATTATCATCAAGAAAGACGAGAGAATTTGAGGGATTCCGAAGATCAGGTTGCAGAATACGGGCCAGAATTCGGACCATGAGCCAGCGGGTAGAAGATAAGCGACTGTCTTCTTGAGGTTGTCAAATACTACACGTCCATACCGCACAGCCTCAACGATCGCAGCGAATGAATCAAGTAGAACCATATCCGCAGCCTCAATGGCGATATCGGAACCGCTGGCAAGACTAATACCAATATCGGCAGCTTTGAGAGCAGGAGCGTCATTGACGCCGTCTCCAGTCATAGCAACGACTTCTTGCCTGGATTGGATCTCACGAACAATGCGCAGTTTCTGGTTAGGAGTAGTACGCGAGAATACAATCTCGGGATACTTGCACAGCTGTCTCCACTGATACTCGTTGAGAGCGATCAAGTCTGGACCACTTACAAGCAATGCAGCTTGGGATATATCCTCTTGTTTCTCAGTTGCATTTGGGGACTTGCGAAGAGCTGACGCGTCGTGGATCAAATCCGTGGTAACAATACCGCACTGCCGAGCAATAGCCAGTGCCGTGAGACCAAAGTCACCAGTGACCTGTGGCTCATGGTTAACGTTCAATTCTGGTCTGTTTGTAAAGTGCTCATACCATGAAGACCCGGATTTGAGCCTGGCGTAGGACTCGAATGACCTCTGGAATTTCGGATCGTGGCGGGTCGGTTAAACCCACCAAACCAACCAAAGTTAGGCCTGTCTTCGCTTCGCGGAGCATTTGGGTCTCAAACTCCACAGAGCTTGTTTCAGCCGGTATAGCGTCCTTTGTGAGAATCTTGCGAGCAAGCAAAATTACCCGTTTACCCTCTGAAGACCATTGATCCTTCAATCGCCTTATAGCAGCTAGATCGACTTGGGTAAGAGGCTTTGTTGAGCTATCAGGACATAGGATTTGTGAACATCGCTCAATCAAGATATCCGGCGCTCCTTTGATGGTGAAAAGACTAGAAATACTCAGAACCCTTTCCCTTCCCCCAAAATTAACAGAACTTACATGTTGCTGGAATCAAAATTGCTTGAATCGGCGGGAGAAACACAAGATCTAGCCGCTTGAAGATCGACAGCCTTCATCGCTTTGATCATGAATTTGTTTTTGCTGTCGAAAGCAAGATTGAAAATTGTCTGCCATGATTTCCGCAGCGCACTGACAGAACCGAGACTCTCTGAGAATCTCAGAATGGCTTGATCAGTAGCATCACCAAAAATACGTCGCTCGCTAAGGGGAATGTTGGTTGACTCAGAGTCAAATACAGCAGCATTGCAGAGGCCTGTAACAGCGTGAAGCTGCTGGAGAACAGGCCGATCCAATTGGACGGCTACGTGGTCCCCTGTAGCGTCCAATGTAGCTGTTGTCAGTTGTACAGCATATTCTGTCACAGCCATTCGATTCTAAATGAGCAAATTCGAATGTTAGTAAATGCATAACCCATTTTCTATCAATGTAAACTCCCACCCTAGTCAATGTACCCGTTTTGTCAGTGCAGATGACTGATACCGATCCCAACGTCTCAACAGTTTTGAGAGATTTGCAGAGGACCTTGTTTTTCCTAAGCACATTTGCTGTGATTGTTAAGCTCGCAGTGACGGCAATCGGAAGACCCTCTGGTATATAAGCGATGGCAACGCTCACACAGTCAACAATGAGTGTGGGCACGTTGATATAGTCAGGATGTGCCTTGCGTAGCCAACCACCCCTAAAACAAAGTTAGACACCCGACACTCACAGAAGAGACAAATCCGAGTAGCCATACCAAACAGCAGCCAGAATTACAATCCAGACCACCATGATAATAAAGATGAGAACCACAAAACGCATGACTTCCTTTTCAATAGTAGTGAGTCCAGTCTTTGGCTCACCCGCCAACTTAGCAATTCGACCAAAGACCGTCGAGTCGCCGGTGGCAACAACAATGCCGATTCCCTGACCAGAGACGCAATGGGTGCCTTGAAGACCAATGCATCTTGTCTCAAGGTAGTTATCAGATGAAGTTATCGTGTCACCCTTTATTGGGTGTGACTCTCCTTTATGCCTGGTGAGTAAAGATTTCCGCAAATGAAATGCAATGTACTTACCAGTGACAACGGACCGATCAATACTCAGATCATGTGAAACCTCGATAAATCGAACATCTGCGGGAATTTTGTTGCCTGCCTTGATAATCAAAGTATCTCCGGGAACGAGGTCAGAAGCAGGAATCTCGACCCGGGAACCGCCGCGCAGAAGGAGACATGACTCTGGGAGCATTGCTGTAATTGAGGCCATCACGCGAGAAGACGAGTAATCCTGCCAGGCATTGAAAGCAGCCTGAATGGCGAATACCGCGATGAGGACAATACCCAAGGCCAAATTTGCAACCGCAGGCGGCTCACCCAGCGGCTTCCATGAAATGAAGACCAGGATGCCACCAAGGAGCAGAATTGACCCAAACCCCTTGAAGAAATATCCCAAAATCTTCCAGAACCAGGGATTTGGTAGTGGTGAAATCTTGTTTCGGCCATATTTCTGTAATCGTTCCTTGGCCGCGGCTTCAGATAGGCCAATCCCTGCGTCTACATTGAGAGTTTTTTGGATCTCCTGAATAGACATGGTGTGCCAATCGATATTTTGCCATTCTGCTGCACTCGTTTTGTTAGCAATGTATCTATCAAGATGGTGGAACGAAAAGGTACCATCGGCCATCTTATCCTTTCCCCCTCGGCGTTGAAGCCGCAGCTTTCTTTGATCTTCATCCTCAATCTCGAATGAACTGTCTCGACTGCATTAGCTCGTGATGTAAACGACGGGAGAGAAACATCCTACAGGCTGCGATATGCGATTGGAAGGGCAGACTTCGGATCTATTGTTCTTTGGCTCGGCCGCCGGTCTATCTTGTTTTTCGTTTCTCTATCACTCGCAATTGGGTCCGGTGCTACCGTGATACGATCGCCATCCTCCTCATCACCAATTTTCCAACGCAAAGCTGACGCTAGATTTGTCATCCTGCCAATTAGGAGCTCGGTCGCAGTAGAGGGATCGGTCACAGGTAAGATGGAGAAGAGGAACTTTCACATCCATGGATCTCTTTTATATCTTTCATATCTTTGCCCCATTTTTCCAGATATCATTTAATTGTCTCATTTTATAAGAATCGGAGTATTTCCGATGGTAGAGCTTTGCTAGTGCTGTTTGAGGGGTTTGGTATATCGAATCGGATGAATGATTAGAGCTTTCGCGTCTATGACAGGTTTAACTGCGCCACGGGATTACATCTCCGTAAAGGATCCTAGCTTCAAGGGTTCAAAAGTATTCCTTCCAGAGCACCCGGGCTGACTTGGACCTCGAATAGTATAATACATTACATATTTCAACACAACGCTGCGTGTTCCAAGTTTGAAATGAAATTACTGGACACCTTTCGAAGAATTACCTCGCAGATCCAGATGAAACTAAATATTATGAAATATACTTTATCATATTTCTTTTACAAGCTGGCGAGCTGAGGGCCAAAATCGCGCATCTACTTTCTTGAAAAGGATCCCTGGAAGCGGCTTGGCCCCCACGAGAAATTTAATTCAACCAATCGCTAGAGGGTGAGGAGAGAAGCTGCGCACATTAATAACTAATTACCGCGACAGCCTATACTACTCCCTTGGTATCAAATAGAACTCAAATTTGCTGGAGTCGTTTCCTGGGTTGCGATTGAATTGAATTCCGCTCCGTGTAACTAAGATGGCTGTTCCCGGATCTCTCCCAGCCTGAGATCAGTGGAGATAAATCCATTCTTCTCCAAATCAAAGATTTCTTGGAGAGGGTCTGGATTTTTAATCTATCCCAAGCTAAAATCATCAGATGATGCAGCAGAAAGCTTCATTGCTTAAAATGTATCGTAATGTGCGGGATAAAAAGAAAGCAAGACAACTGCAGTGGATCAATGTGTCGGAAGAAGGTGAATCCCGGATTTTAGATATATCAACGGTTGATAGTCTATTGTATGAGACGCTGAGCTATCAAGCTGGATTTTCACTATATGTACGATTATGAAAGCGAGGAAGCGGTTGCATGGATGGATGTGGATGGATGCTAAGAGGGAAAGCTCTGAAGTGAGAAATATGGCTGTGCTTATAATTCCCTCCACGACAGGTAGGATAAAAAGTAGGAGAATGAGCAGAAAGTTGGGCAGAGGACTAGGTAGGTAGAGAGTTGAGGTATAGAGTAGAAGCTTTAGTTGCTCCACTCAGTGGACAGACTTTAGAATTAGTAGGCTGTAGTACTATACAATCAAGTCCTCACTTAAGTTGACATACATTGTTCCGGAATTCTACTAAGGTATTGAAGATTACTCTGTACAGAATAGCAACTAGATATAAACAGGATGTATTGGAAGCATACGGACACATTCCAAGGTAGATTCGACGCCTTGATTCTAGTGCAAGTACTCTTCCAAAATTCGATTGTAATCGTTCTACATGTTTGACATGTTCCAATATATAACTGGATGCTACGCAATTGGCAACCTATAATGATAGGTCCTAAGTAATTGTCATTATCACATGATACCCTCTGGATGCACAAAGCGTTAAACACATCCCAGCCTGAAGTGAGATCCGTTCAAGAGAGAGAATAATCTTGCCTCAATCAATAATCGGGCCAGTCGGGGTCAATTTGTTCTCGCCAGGCCCGGAACCCTCCACGGATATCACCAATGAACCTCTGACCATTTCGATCCAACCCTAGATCTTTCATTTTCTTGACAGCAGTCTGAGAGTCATTTCCAAGCCGGCAAACCACGTAGATGGGATCGTTGGAAGTCAAAGAGATGTCTGGGGGAAGCCACGAGGGGACTTCAGATTCGCAACCGCCCGCCTGTGATTTTTGGGCTGTTGCAGTAGGCCCAGAAGCCAAAATCTGTGAAATAGGAATGTTCACGCTGTTCTCTAAGTTGCAAATGCCAAATTGAGCTTGGTCTCGAACATCGATCATCGTGTGTGTCTTTGACGGGGGCTGTTCGTATCCAGACTGTGGATGCCGTTGATGATACTCCTGAGGAGAGAGACGTTCCTCTGGCTCCAACAGTGATGGGAGGCTCATTGATCCACAGAAAAAAATGTAGTCAGTAGATCCTGACTTGATAGTATCCAGCGAGACAGTTGCACCGGCAGAACATACTGCACAATTATTCCTCCGGGAGCGAAGACGGATTGTGCGGAAAAGGGGATTTGAGTAAGCTGAGAAGATGTGAAGGGCAGGAGGATCTCGCTGGGGAGTGTGTTCCAAAACGTCCACGTCTGGTCTGGTAATCACTTTGATTGCCTCCAATGCTTGCAAAACACCCATAGTTCCAACAACCGGACCTATGATCCCCCCATCAGCGCAGCTCACAACACTATCAGCTGGTGGTGGCTTCGGAAAAACACATCGATAACACGGGCCACCATCTTTATCCCCTGGCGGGCGAGGAGGGTAGTTCAGGACCATAAGCTGACCCTCGGTACGTAATGCGGATGCAGAAACCAGAGGTTTGCCCATGACCACTGCGGTGTCGGAAATCAGGTAACGCGACGCCGGGTTGTCAGTACAATCGAGGATAACATCGTATTCACGGAAGATAGAAGGGGCCTCGCCTGGCGTGAGGTGTGTCCGGTGGGCGACGTAGTTTACGTGTGGATTGAGTCTGATCGGATAGGTAGGTTAGAGTTTGATACACTGCTCAAAGGAAAAAACTCACTCTCGCAGAGATTCGATAGCACTGTCCACCTTGTACTTCCCGACGTTGTGACTTCGATGTAAGATTTGGCGATGTAAATTCGAGATCTCGACCTTGTCCCCGTCAATCAAACCAAGAGTTCCAATTCCGGCTCCAGCGAGGTATTGAGCTGCAGGACATCCCAGCCCACCAGCTCCGACGAGTAGAATCTTTGCGGAGCGCAGCTTGAGTTGGCCTACGGAGACACCACAAATGTTAGTCGCAATGTCTAACCGACAGAATGGCGCACTCACCTGGAAGACCAACTTGGGGTACAATCATCTGTCGGCCGTAACGTCTATACTCCTCCGGGAGCAACGGCCATCGTGACTCGGAGCCATTTTGGCCTTCGCCACGGTTTGCCGCGGGGTTTGCGCTCTCCGAGTTGCCCGCTTGTTCCTCAGCGTTTGCAAGATCGCGTTTCAGGTTCGCGAGCTGTGCTTCAGCAGCAGCAATCGCAGCCTGGAGAGAGGCGCAAGTCTCATCACTACTTCCCATCGAAATTGAATGTGATGCCAGATGGAGAGCCGACAGCGAGGGACAACTTACAAGGAAAGAACAAAAGGCGGCAATATGTGGGGCACCACACTCACCGCCCCACATATCTCGCGATGAGATCAATTTGATGGTCCACCGCTTTTTGTCGCTCTTCGTTCAATTGCTCGCAGGACCACTATGGTGAGTCCGTTATGCTCCGTGCTCTCAGATCCTTTTTCTTCGGTCAAAGAGAGCCCATGGATTCCCTCATAGCAGTTGTTGGCGCCACCGGTACAGGCAAGTCCAAGGTAGCAATCAGCATGCCCCGCAATTGACAACGCAAAAAGCTAATGGCTGCAGGTAGCTTGCTGTGGACTTGGCATGTCGATTCAATGGCGAAATTATTAACGGAGACGCGATGCAAATGTATCGTGGGCTTCCGATTATTACGAACCAAATCCCGATTGACGAACGATGCGGCATCCCACATCACCTGCTGAGCTGTGTCGACTTGGAGGCGGAGCCCTGGCGCATCGCACACTTCAAAAGAGAAGCCTTGCGCCTCATTGATGATATTCGGTCACGTGGAAAGACCCCAATTCTAGTTGGCGGTACCCACTACTATACTCAGGCTGTGCTGTTCAAGGACCAGCTGGTAGGCGAGGGGAAAGACGAGGGGAAAGACGAGGGGAAAGACGAGGGATTAGATTATGAAGAGACACCAAAGCTCTCCGAAGAGGCCTCAACATCAGAAAAATGGCCGATTCTAGATGCGTCCCCCGAGGTCCTTATGGAGAAACTGCGCGAGGTGGATCCGGTCATGGCGGCAAGATGGCACCCAAAGGATGGACGCAAGATCCGGCGATCCCTTGAGATTTACTTTCAGACCGGACGACCTGCGTCGGAAATTTACGAAGAACAAAAGGCATTGAAGGCCCAGACCGTCATGAAGGATGCTGGCCTTCTACGCTCCACTAACACCTTGATTTTCTGGGTTCATGCGGAGAAGGAAATTCTTGATGGCCGCCTTGATTCGCGTGTCGACACTATGGTTAAGCAAGGGTTGATGACCGAGGCTCAAACTATGTGGGAATATCTGAAGAGCAAACAGGCGCAGGGCATCGAGGTTGACCAGACGCGCGGCGTGTGGGTGTCTATCGGATTCAAAGAGCTAGCGCCGTACTTTGCCGCCGTCGACAAGGCCGAATCTAGCGAAGCAGAGCTCGAAAATATCAAAGGAAACTGCCTTGAATTGATCAGGATCGCCACCCGCCAATATGGCACTTCTCAGGTCAAGTGGATTCGCAACAAACTATGGCGAGCTCTCTCTGAGGTGGGCATGGCACGCCGGCTGTACCTTCTCGACAGCAGTGATATCAGCAAATGGCAACAAAACATCACAGGTCCATCCGAACATATCTTCAAGGCTATCCTACATGGGGAACCCACTCCTGATCCCAAATCACTATCCCGATTGGCAAACGAAGTTTTTGGTGCCAAGGAAGCAAAGGCACTTGCGGCTTCAACAGATATGACATGTCACACTTGCGATCAGTGCCAAAAGACCCTGGCTGGTGAGGAGCAATGGAAGATCCATCTCAAAAGCAAAGCCCACCGACGGGCCCTCTTGTCTGAGACGAAGAAAGCGGAGCGCGAGCTATATTTGCAGAAACGAAGATTGGAATCCCAGCAAGCATCCCCCGATGTGGATTCCACCTCACCAACTCTTTCCTGACGACGATCACGTATGGCGAGCATTGATTATTTCTTTCTTTCTCAGCGCCTGTCATTCTGATCTAGTGGTTGGACCTAGCTTCAGAACAAAAATCCTCACATCAAGTCTTGGAACAGTAAATTCATTAATTAAGATTAACTGCGAAGACTTCATAGCAGTGTAAAGTTCATGGATGATGTTATCCTAAGACAGAGTTTTGATCTTGCAGTTTCAGCCATTGTATAGGGTAAACATCCCTCGAACAGTTGCAGTCATGGGTATTTGTTCATAATAAAGCAACATTGCAGAAAGCCGGCCAGCGGTGTCCGAGTTCCACGAGACTAGGGTCACTCAGTTGGCTCAAACTTTTCATTCTCAGCCTTCCTCTTCAACATGTGACGGTAGATTAATAGCGAGACGATTCCAAGCCCAACAAGGAAGACGATGCAAAAGACCAGCACCACTCCAGGGTTTTTGCTCGCCCAGTTACTGCGTTTGAGGAGACTGTGGAGGTATGATGCTTGCGACGGGGCGATATGATTGATGGGTGCCATGGTGGAATCCCGGGGTATGGAGGGAGCTGGACTGCGAGCTCATTAGCCAGGAATCCAGTGACATCAAAGTCACTTACAGGTATGATATTAGGTGCACTGATTCTTGATGAGTGGTCCGAACGACGTGTTTACCTGTGTAGCAAAGTGTCAATGGCGCGACCAGGGGGTATAGTACAGTGACGATGAGAATTGATGATGAAAACATACAAGAGATGTGAGAGACGGAAGTGGAAGGAGTAGATGTACACAGAAAAAGACGCTAGTCCAAGCTAGGTAAAGAACTTACTGTAACACCAAAGAACCAGGAAGAAGGAATAGACATTCACTGCAAATGTTGGAAAGCACAAGTTTACTATTCCAGTTCAAGTTCATAAGCTTCGGCAACAGACGGACCAGCCGCATCGTTGATGATGCCTTTCCATTGACAAACCTAGCCCATACTATGACCATTAGTGGCCACTAAGCAACATACCATGGTTAACAGAGATCCAAGAAAGGTACAAAGAGTCAAGGACGTCAAAACGGATAATTCCGCTCACCTCCGATCTATGAAATGCCCCACTAGACCTGTTCCTGTCCTAGCACCAATTCAAATGTTCATCGCTAACTTCCTGAAATTGTGGTACTATGGTGATTTCTGATAAGTCGATGCGCTGCTTTATGTTGATAATAGAGGCAAATACGGTCAGTTTAAGAAAATATCAGTCCAATACCAATCAACAAATCTAACTATTATACGGAGACTACTAGTACATAACACTCTGTATGGTAATGTCAGGAAATCCTTGTGCCCGATCCGAAGACTGACGTTGGGAAGAACTCCGGTGCTTAGCAACACACAGATTGGTTCATCTGTTTATTGTCCTGGCGTCTTAGTACTTCAATTCTCTGAGAGAAGACACCAACTTCTTAGAGAAATACACAACCACCGACAGACAGAAAATGGTGATTTATATTTGCGATACTCCTACATAACGAAGCGTAATGATCTCTGATGTCCGCAGAAGTGTGGAATTGGGATTTAGCCGTTACTGCATAGTCATCTATCGAGTTGGATCTTTGAAGCACAATTCTGAAATGAAATGGTATATAGGTAACACCTTCATGCTGGAGTCGGGGATTTCCATGTGCCATCACTTCGCCAGACTCCAGTGGGTCCATACCGTCCAGCTTCGGCGCCTCGCAGGAACGCAAACCTGAAGAACAGATCTTCGGGTTCGTCGAAGGAATCGCCACCACCAAGGAGAACAGATTGAGAGTCTAATTCAGATCCAACACTCCGGCGTTCGAAGACGGGTGGCTGTTGTAGCTCCAGACCATCGTGCCCGTGGCGGTGCCAGGTGAACTCGCCTCGCTTGTCCTCGTCTACATAGGCTCGCCATCGTTCCACGTCGTTAAGAAGAACTGAAATGCCATCAACATCAAGTTCGACCATTCGCTCAGGCTCCCATAAGCCAAATGTGATATTTCCATTGCCACGATGGGTGTGGTGGGATCCTACGCCAGGCAAGGAGATCCGTACAGAGGAATCAGTGATGTTGGGATAGGCAGAACCCCACCAATCATGGGCTCCATTGCGGCCCGGGGCTTCTCCCAGGGCTGCAGGTGTCTCAATTATGGAAGCAAATCCCCAGCGGGCAATGCCGTTGATGAACAGACCAAGAAGTAAACCTTGGTAGATCAGTGAGGGACGTGTTGGGAAGGCAGTGCCGGGCATGAGCAAAATAGCCAGAATATAGTGATGAATACGGAGTCGCAAGCCAGGGAGCGGCAAGAGGATGAGAATGATAAGACCCATACTGCAGTAGATCTTAAGATAACGAGGCAATAAGCCTCCTTGGCGAATCTGCCAGGCTTGGCTGAGAATGATCAGAATCACCGTCGGGATTACCAGTGCCAAGGCTAGCTTTGCCCCGGGCTGCTGCTGGATGTCCATTGGGGTAAGACGCTGGAGTGGAATCAACCGAGCAAAGGTGTAATTGTTTAAAGCTCCGATGAAAAGCGGTGGGAGGTATAAGAGTAGCTTTTCAACCTGATAGATAGGAGATGTGATCGGCTTCAGGAGAGGCGCCGCACAGAACTTGTATAAGACGTAAACCACAAAGGATGCGGGCAGCATGCGGGACAGTAGCGTCGAAACGAGGTCGGCCAGGTTGGGGTAGGATGGCGGATCAGCGACGAGTCCGGTATGGGAAAAGACAATAAAGAAGGTACTGAAGAAAAGCACCGGCGGTGAAGTACAGAAAAGCCAAAGCAGGCCGATGGCAGCAGCCGTCACACCAAGCAGAGACCATCGAGGATCGGCTGGGCAGTTGGATTTCGATGAAGAAAGCTGAAGGAAGCTAAATGCCTTCGGGAAGGTTGATGGGAACGACTTCGACTGGATCCCGTTCTGTTTGACAGCCGGGAAAGAGTGTGCCGCGCCTTCAAGTTTCACAACCCCGCAACCACCTTCGTTCGAGATGATACCCGAGTGAATAGCCGCTTGGCAAACAAAGCTGTCCGCCCGATAAATTGCGGACTCAGAGGAATGTGGCAGTGAGCCTCCAATCACAAGTCCTTCGTAGTTGAAAGACTGATTGCCCACGATATGAGGTTCTAGTAGTTTAGCATCGCGGCAGTTGGCGGGACACCGAAAGGCCATTGTCGACGAAGAAAATGGACGACAATCATTTCCATTGAGGCCACATCCATTCTCAAATTGCCTACACCATGGGTCAGTTAATTTCAGCTGTTTGGCCACCTCGCATAGTGACATACCAGAGATTGGTCGAACATGAAAGGGTCTGGAGCTGGCCATATCCCTCAATATAACCGGAGGAGCGGGAGTGTAAGAGAACCAAAAACCAGGGCAAGAACCAAGAGGTATAAAGTAGTAAGAGTAAGAATAGCTTATGTTTGCGCTTTGAGAAGAAGCGATCGAGATATTGAACGGGTAGTTCCTGAAGGCGCGGAAATAGTGGTTTTAACAATAGCATATGCGGAGGGTCAGGGCCTTTGACCCAATTTGCGGTTGCGCGACCGACCTTCCTCACAGGCAATGGCACCCAGCCCCAGCGGAAGGACTTGGATGATTCTTGTAGCCAGACAGGAAGAGCGCTGCCTGATTCCACATCAGGAGGAGGGAAATCCTCGGAATTGTCAGGGTTGACGAGTCGTTCGTCGTCATCGAGTAGTGGAGCGACGTAAAGCCTGCCGGCCTCATCGCGCCCCTCTCCGATCATGGTGATATGTAACGGTGGATATTTGGATATGCTGTTGAAAGCAGGCAAACGGTGAAGGGTATGATGTCGGTGCCGGAGCGGTCGGCACGCTAGTCGATTTAGGCGGGGATCGTCTCCAAATAAGTGGGTTTCCGGTGGAGGATCACCAGGGACAAGCCACGGGAACACAGTAACGAACGGTCTAGTTAAGTAGTGGAATCAGAGTCGAGTCATAAAAGAAGCGAAAGTCCAGTAAGGGAGAGAAAGAGAGAAGTTAAGAAGTAAACGGATCCGACAAGGCTCGGACTGGACCAAAGTCGCGGGGGCCAGAGATGAAAGGCGGTTGTACGCCTCAGGCACGAAGGCAGAAGCCTAGAGTGGCGATAATAATTAACGCTAATTGTTCGCAAACTTCAAGATTGTGATTCATCCTCACCGCAATTTCTGTTTATGCAGTCTATTAAGTGGCATATGCAAATAGACTACCAAGAGTATCTACTTGGAGGCTAAAATGCCAGCAAACTACACAACTACTGCATTTTCAACCTGTCTCTGACATCACAGGACCGCGAACTTTTTGCATAGTTTGCACAGTTTATATAGTTTACACAGTTTCTACTATTTGTCCTGTTTGCCTTATTTGTTCTGTTTGCTCAGTGTGGATTAGGGCGGTCTGATTTGGCAATTCCACCACGCGGGGAATGTTAAGGAACTCGGTAGGCTCGTACGATTAGCACGGAATACGGAGACGCATAGCGTATGGAGTGCATGGTGGATATATTCGTCGGGTCGAAACTTCCGGAGCCTATATCCCCATTACAGTAGGAAGGTTCAAAAGACGATCCACATCCACTTTGTAGTCCGAGAAAGGTTTGAAAATTCCCTTCAATGTTGCACTCGAAATTATATATCCGTAGTTGAAATGTATTCAATAGTTGAATCCTTCTGATATACTAAGGTAGGTATATTCAATCCTCCGTGACTCAACAACTCTCAAATCTCAAAGGTTCACGTCATGGCTAATTGCTGGCGTCACAAATTTCACGAACATGACGAAGAGTGGAGTCGGAGGTTTTCCATAACAATTACTTACCATACACAGATCCACTTCCACCTCCTATCTGATTGATTGATTAAGATTACTCCGTAAAATCGGATCTGATACGCAAAAAAAAAAAATAGAAAGAAAATCAAAATAAAATTCCGATATTATTTACCGCGGGTATTCGCCGGGAGCTATAAGCCCACTGTGCGCCCGGATGCTCTTGCACTTTTCTCTTAACCTTGGAATTGTCTCCCGAATTACATCGACATGGCTACCTCCAGGAGTGTTCAACGGCTGCAGCAGACACTGTCGCATGTCCAGCCGACGTCGGCCTCGAAGCCGATCCAGCTGTCGATTGTCGCGGGGCCAACCCAGCCTGCGCTGCTGGACATTACCCTTGGCGAGCTACTGACTATTCAAGCACTACAGTATGGTAACTATGAGTGTCTTGTTTTCCCCTGGACTGGAGCGCGTTGGACATATGCCAACTTGAAGGATGAGGCGGATCGTCTTGCGCGGGGTATGTTGGCGATGGGTGTCCAGAAAGGTGATCGCGTTGGCATCATGGCAGGTAATTGCGAGCAGTACATCTCCGTCTTTTTCGCCGCTGCCCGTGTTGGCGCTATCTTGGTCGTGTTGAACAATACATACACCCCATCAGAGCTATACTATGCGCTCAACCACTCGGGTAATTCTCCTTCTGCTTCATTCTTGTCGTATTAATGCTAACTTGCGCAATTCAATATCATAGGTTGCAAAGTTCTGTTCATGACACCTCGCATTGGACGCCATAATCTCGAAGAAGTGCTAGTTGAGCTAGGCCCCAGCCCCAAGGAGAACGAAACCTCGAAATCCCTGGAGGAGATTGTTATTCTACGCGGTGGATACCAAGATTTCCCGACTTACGACGAAATCATCGCTCGCGGCGCTTCGCAGCCTGCGCATTTGCTTCAGGACCGTGAGGCTGAATTGCGACCGGATGATGTGTGCAATCTCCAGTTCACCAGTGGCTCAACGGGCAACCCCAAGGCTGCCATGTTGACGCACCAGTATGTTATTTTCGCCACCTCAGGAAAGGCCAGAGCTAATCTCATGGCAGTAACTTGGTCAACAACTCGCGATTTATTGGAGATCGCATGAGACTGACTTCTTTCGATATCCTCTGCTGCCCGCCGCCACTCTTCCATTGCTTCGGGCTAGTCCTGGGTATGTTAGCAGTCGTCACTCACGGGTCTAAGATTGTTTTCCCCAGCGAGACATTCGACCCCAAAGCCGTCCTACATGCTATCTCAGACGAGAAGTGCACTGCGCTACACGGCGTGCCAACCATGTTCGAGGCGATTCTCAGTATTCCCAAACCCCACAACTTAGATACCTCAAATCTGCGAACCGGTATCATCGCGGGTGCTCCCGTACCCCGTCCATTAATGAAGGCTCTCTTGGAGGACCTCAACATGAGAGAATATACCAGCAGCTACGGTCTGACCGAGGCATCACCCACCTGTTTCAATGCTTTTACGACTGACAGCATCCACACCCGACTGACTACTGTGGGCAAGGTTCTGCCTCACGCCCGTGCTAAGATCGTCGATTCCAAGGGCAACATCGTTCCAGTGGGCCAGCGCGGCGAGCTCTACATGGCCGGATACCAGCTCACAAAGGGTTATTGGAATAACGCGGAGAAAACAGCCGAGACACTGGTTACCGATTCTGAAGGTACTGTATGGTTGAAGACTGGTGACGAGGCATCGTTCAACGCAGAAGGCTATTGCACCATCACTGGCCGCTTCAAAGACATCATCATCCGCGGTACGACCGAACTCTAAGTCCCAATTATTCTGTCCATCTGGAGCTGACCAAGTATTATGTAGGTGGCGAGAACATCTATCCTCTCGAGATTGAAGAGCGATTGACTGCCCACTCCGCAATCGAGCTGGCATCCGTTGTCGCAATCCCAGACCAGAAATACGGCGAAGTTGTCGGTGCATTCATTCAGCTATCTGCTGGCAAGACCCGACCTTCGGATGAAGATCTCCGTGCCTGGACTCGCGAGACGCTTGGTCGTCACAAGGCACCGCAATACGTGTTCGTATTCGGCGAGGATGGCGTACCTAGCACTGTGCCCATAACGGGCAGCGGAAAGGTTCGGAAGGTGGAGCTACGGCAGATGGCGATGGAGGCATTGAGTCAGCGCGCCAAGACGGCGTAGGAAGGTACATTTTTCTTGTGTCATTGCGGATATACGGTAACTTACTTGGGACGGGAGTAATGGTCTATATGAATAGGTATAATTTCAAACGTTTTTAAATCTTGCGACCTTCTCAATATGTACTTGCTTCCAAGGTTACTAAGGATACCTTTTGGACCGAGGTCCGTGGGGAGAAAAACTTGTTTCGCCGTTGAAAGTGGGGAGAATCTTATCAGATACAAATCCTCCATACCTGGTCCATACCAGTTCCGGTGTACGGAATTTACAAGAGCACTAAATTGCGACATTTGGGTTTAAGCGACCTTGGCGTCGGGCCCGACCGCTGGATGACCAGCGCCATTCCCTCAATCAGATTAGATGGGGATCTTGTCTGATCGAATCTGACCACTTGATTGGCCGGTATCTGGTATTTTTGTAATGTTCAGTACGGTAAATCCCCACTTTGTGCACCCGGTCAAGTCGTGAAACAAGGAACATACATCCGACCCAGTGTGGTTTAAATTTTTGGGTTTGACAGTAACTACTAGTAGGCATGAAAAAGTTGCCTGGGCCTTCAAAGTGCATAATAGAGTACTTCAGGCTCTAAAGTCTACTTACATGTGATCCGGTGTGTACTCAACTAAAGAGACCAGCCACTTTCCAAAAACTGGCCATAAGGAGCTAGAAAAAGCGCGAGTACCCGGAATTCGAGGGACACAGGGTTGGACTATGAATTATTAAATAATCAATGGATAAGCACGGAAGATCTATACACCATGTGGACAAGTGGGATGTGGCGGCTTCGGTTCCACAAGCATACTACGAAGCGACCACTTGAGACCTCGGAAGGAGATGGGTGTTACAATATATGCTGCACTAGAGGTACAGTATATCTCTGCTTTCCAGCGACCTTTGACTCAAGTAGGCAATTCTTAGAAATTGAGTCGTCCATTAGGCCAAGTACATACTGAAGGCACCACGTATAGATAGAGTGGGTGGCAAAAAGTTGGACTTGCTTGATCTGCCACAAAGAGGTGTTTGTTTTTTTTTTAGATAATATCATTCATGAATTAAACATTTGAAGCAATTTTAAATTGTTTTGATTTCTACCACTTTTATCAAGTGCTTTTGGCTATGTGGCAATATGACCTTTGTAGTCAACCGTAGCATATAACGTCAGTCAGTCAAGTGCCACATCCCAAAACCCATAGTGAATGTGACAAATTCCAGCTCATTATCTCCTTGAAGAATTATCATTTTTATCTTTTATCTAGTCTCTTTTAGATTTTTGGTAATTTTCATGAGTTCAAATGTTGGTGAGTGAACTAAATATATCTCTTTGGATTGAGGGTGCAATTTTTGGTATTGTGAAGATAGAAAAGTTCGATTTAGTCGAAATTGATATATGCTTCTAACAATCCTTATCCATATTTATCGACAAGTCATGGGATAGAATAAGGAAGTTTGATATATACGGTTTTTAAGAACAGCCTTTAATATGTATTTTGGAGTGCGGCACATAATCGTGTGCGGCACTTGACCGGGAAATACGTTGTTGGACCAATGCTACGCAACCCTGTTCACATAAATAACAACTCAGTCTCCCTCTCAATAGTCAACCTTCTTTCCTACCAATAATTCAAATAGCCAAAGGTCTCTGCAGATTCATGTCACGGAGTAGAAAGAAAACAAAAGAGAAAAGAAGATAAGAAAGGAGAAGTGGAGGGGTAGGGTTTCAAACGTTCTCCCAAAAAGCCCGCGGTGCGCCCTACATAATACAGGTAAATACCAGATCCCCGCATTAAATCTCATTGACCTGATCCCAACCATATTCAATCGATAACCTCACCATGGCTTCTTCCCAGTATCCCATCAACTCACCGGAGCAATTAGACCGCTACTTCATCCGAACTAACCTTCCTTGACAATATCGGCCATCATACCCGGTGTAGATCCGCGAGGCCTTCAGGTTCCTAGAGGGGTTGCAGCACCATCACTTAGCTACGGTGCCATTTGACTACGTCAATGTTCACTATTCCATCCAAAGCCATATTGACATAGACGTGCGAAAGATATTTATTGGACCACAAACGTTCCTGGTAGACGTTGGGTTTGGTTCCAATGGGCCACACAAGGCCCTACCTCTTTGAATGAGGATTCCGACTTTCACAACATCGGTGAACGGCCTAGACGGCTGCGATAGGGACTGATTGACCAACCTATAAACAGGAACCAATTTATCTGGCAGTATGAGACGCAGAATGGACACGAAGAATGGTTCCCCGCATATTGTTTCACTGAAACCTCATTTCCCCCGGAGGACGTTACGATAATCAACCACTATATGAGCACCAGTCGAGGGAGCTGGTTCAATTCCCATTTGGTGTGTGGTTGCATGATCTTGGATGGAGAGGGTGACAAGGTTGTTGGCGACCTCACGCTGTTGAACAACACATTGAAACATCGACTAGGAGCCACGCTGGAAATGGTGCAGTCGTTTACCTCTGATCTGGAGCGTGTGGCAGCCCTTGATAAATATTTGAATATCTTCCATTTCATCGACCGGGCGGATAGAAAGATTATTCGCCATACAATCACGGAGATTCTTTATCATTGAACGTCCTGTCCTCATACACCAAGTAAGAACCTTGGAAATGATCGAAAATTTCCAGAAATGGCTTCTATCCATAACAGACCTATAATACACCCCAACCAAAAAAGTAGATTCACATCCTTGGACCGGGAAGTGAGCTGTATACAATCGTACCCTGTGCCAACATCAAAAACAAAACGCCGATCCCATGCCTCTGACAAATAACGCGAGACTTTGCCAGGAAACCGATACATAGAGAGAAAGTGAATGGCAATTTATAGACGGCGCTCCATGCGGTTCAACCTGACAGGAGTTTTGATCTAATATCATCTCGTTAGTTTAAGCGCTCTAAGAAAAACTAACGGCTCCGCAGGAATTCCGCTCAATCGCCTAACGCAAAGCAATGAAGGTAAGTAAACCTACCTGGGTGCGCGTTCGTTGTCCTCGCACGGGTAAACCCAAGGCATGACGACGACCACGGTAGGTACCCGTCTCCTTTAAGCGCTTGATATCATTCAGGACCTCGCGACGCAGATCGTTTTCGATCTTCATATCCGATAACACGGCGGTTAAGTCGAGGACCTGCTTGTTGGCCAGGTCACCGACGCGGCAAGTTGGGTGGATGTTGAAGCGGGCCAGGAGACGAGCGGAAGTGTTGTTGCCGATGCCGAAGAAGGATTCGAGGGATTTCTATTGGTTTATAGTGTTAGGTCTTGATCTATGGTCCAATTGGTTGAGGTGGGTTGCGGTTGGGGTAAGTGCTTGCCTTCAACAGGTTGCGCTCCGGGAAATTGACGCCGAGGAGGAAGACCTGTGAGATTGGTTAGTGACCATGTAATTCCAGAGTAAAGAAGAGAGGAATTTACCATCTTGAAGGATGTATGTGAGTAACAAGATCAAAGCCTGTTTGCTGCTCCGCTGCTCTGCTGCCTCTGGACTGAATGCGCGGGAGAAATCTGTGGCAATAATGTTTCTCCGGTGTGAAGTTTGCAAAACAACAGTCGTATCAATACGGTAGAATCTTGTATTTATTGTATTATAACGTCATTCGACAGCAGATCTCAAATACAAGGATTGCAATTATACAACACTGCGCCCCATATTCTCTCCGCACGGCACCCTTAAATTGCAAGCTGGCCTTCCCCTCTCGCCGCTTCTTTCCTCCAACTCCCCACTGTATCCACTGCAGCGGTAATTCACAGCCATGAATTTCAGCAACCTTTTCCTGTCTATCTTCCTGGTCTTCGCCGTCGGCTTCGCGCTGGTTCAGGCTGAGGATGCCAAGCGGGAAACCCGTGGCCCCAAGATCACTAGCAAGGTAAATTGATCATCGCTCAGAAGCCCATTGGCCCAAACTGATAAATTGTATCAGGTCTACTTCGATATTCAGCATGGTGATGAGACCCTTGGTCGTATTGTGATGGGTCTGTACGGCAAGACCGTTCCTGAGGTGAGTGACCAATCCCTGGGATCACCCCTGCACACGAAGCTAACTTATTTCTCTTCAATAGACCGCTGAGAACTTCCGGTACGATCATCATGATAGTTGACCCAAATTGATTGATTCCATACTCACCATATTTTCAGTGCTCTGGCCACCGGCGAGAAAGGCTTCGGCTACGAGAACTCCGCTTTCCACCGCGTCATCAAGGACTTCATGATCCAGGGTGGTGACTTCACCAAGGGTGATGGAACCGGTGGCAAGTCTATCTACGGTAACAAGTTTAAGGATGAGAACTTCAAGCTGCGCCACACCCGCCCGGGCCTCCTGAGTACGCATAATCCAGCCCAGCTATCATGAAGTGAAGCTAACAGGTCTCTCCAGGCATGGCCAACGCCGGCAAGGACACCAACGGCTCCCAGTTCTTCATCACCACCGTTATCACCTCATGGCTCGACGGCAAGCACGTTGTCTTCGGTGAGGTCCTCGAGGGAATGGATATTGTCGACAAAATTCAGAATGTTCCCGTCGGTGGTGGCTCCAAGCCCCAACAGCCCGTGAAGATTGTGAAGAGCGGAGAGCTTGAGATGGAGGCGGACCCCGAGGACAAAGGTAGCCGTGATGAGCTGTAACCGCAGCACGCTCCCGTTATACTCTCGTTTTTCCTACTGCTCGGCGACGGTGAGCTGATGCGTGCTTTCTACTAAGACTCCGACGACTACCCGACCGATGAAGCTCCAGTGGACTCCTCCTCCCCCACCTCCTTTTCGATGCAGCCCGTGCTGATCTTCCTTGTGCTGGTAGCGATTGTCGGATTTTACATTTACAGCCGTCGCAGCCAGCAAGGAAAGGCCGATGACGATTATAAGGAATACCTGTAGATATTCCGATATTTTTCATCCGAGTCTGGATTCCACAGGTAGAAAAAACAAGGCATCTTTGTCATTATAAAAGCAGGCAGATCTCAATGTAACCAGTGTAGGATAGCATTTGACTTTCCCTTCTTTGATCAGTTCCATGATTTGAGCTTCACTACTTCAATAAGATTTACGTTGACACTTTGCAATCGGACCAAGTGGATCGGCGGTACAAGTTCCCCAACGTCAATACGTCACAACCGAAGACCTTGTTTAGGGACTGCTGAGAATCCAAGTCCAGTGATGTCGGCGGGACTTGCATTGCATTCCTACCTATGATCAACTTTGGACTTACCTTCGCGTTGTCGATCTCTATCCAGGACGTCAAGTCACAAATCTATGGAGCCATCTTTTGTTTATGATTGAGTTCTGATTAGCCATACGACTGGAACAACTGGGAGACAGATTCATGGACTGAATTCTCCCCAACAAAGCTGCTCATTACATCATGTCGTGATCCCACGAGACGATACAAGGGGGGAAGTCCAGAGAGTATGTCCCGATGCTGTTCTGAGAGACCCAGATCATTTGTGACCCCCAGGAGTTGTCTGAGTATACGGAGTGAGTAGAGTACGGCGTGGATCTGAGCCAGGAGGTGAAGATCTGCCCACTCCGAACAGGTTCCTGTGACACCATGGCCGAGGAATTGTTCCAACTTGGCTGCACTCAGAAGTAACGTGGCATTAAAGCTGTCACGATAAATCTCGGATAGGGCGAACATCACCCAGAATCTGGGCTGCGTAGCGGCCCCGAACACAGAGCTTGCCAACTGAAGACGTGTACTGAGCAAATCCAAGTCACAAGCGATCGTGTTGGCCGGACTGAGAGTGATTTCCTCTGAGACGATTCGGCAGCCTCTGCGTACAAACTCATGGATGGCTGGAAATTGACGGTCGGCCGGTTGCGCCGAATTCAGAAGAGAGTATCCAAGGGCTCGATACATTCTTCCCTGTTCCCAGGCGCATCGTCTCGCATGATCCTCGGGTAAGATTCCCAGGTATATGTGTGGGTGAATCTGTTCCCCGCAGCAGTAGGGTTCAGGTAGTCTATACTGCCACAGCAGTTCCGAGACGCGAGGATCTAACCCTAGTGAGCCAGGAATATCCTGAAGTGCCGCCGATTGATCAGGGTTGTCCTGGTATTCCTTGAGAAATTCGTTGAAACCCGCGAGGGAATCCGCTTCGAGGTCCCTTTTGGACCGGCGTACCAGATCTAAAGAACCACGGTGCGGATCTTGAGTCAACTCATAAGCAAATCGTTGCAAGCTTCCTATCCCCAGACGGAGACAGAGTGCATGAGGATGTATTCTTAGCCCTCGGATTTCCGACGAAGCTATACCGGGTGCATCGTCAAGTAAATGCAACGAGTTGAGTAAGATCACCGCCCCATGCTGACCAAGGTCATGGACCACGAGATCCGAGTCATTTGTGAGCACAGCCGAGCCCGTGAGCTTTGCTACTCGAGCGCAGTCGAGATCCGCTTCTCCGGGGACCATAGCTGTGATGCCTGCCCAGGGATATTCCCCCTCAAGCTGAGCGGCACATGGATGAATACTAGTTTCCATCAGCGCTTTGCTCCATCGGGTGTTGAGATCTTCATATACAGCAGAGACCATGAATGGGTTCTCGGGTAGATTTCTCCACCGCGAGGGAAGGGGTCGCCGTTGCCAAACTTGCGCTGGCTCTATGGCAGTGGCCCTCCGGTTTCTGTTGCCGGATGGAGGAATTGGCCTTTGCCGACAGATCTCCAACTTTTGTCGAGATTTTTCGATTCGAGCCAAGCGAGTCGCTCTTTTCGACAATGGTAGTGCGCCATCAAAGCATATTCGGTGGATGTCAACGCCCTGTTCTTTTAATCGCAAGAGGAAGCTCACCACCCCACGACTGACCTCGTCACAGCTGGGTTGAATTTCAAGTGCATCATAAGATACATCTGCCCAGGCCAGTAACCGGTAGTAGACATGATAGACCAGACTGGGACCGTCAATGACTACAGAATCGATTCGCGGGGGGCCGTTAGGAGTACCTGGACATCCACACAACACCACATTTTCTGTGTATTGCGAAAGATGTTTGGTTAAGGATGGGATCCCCATCGCCAATTCCTTTTTGAAATAGAAACTGGCCTGGGCAATTGAGACAATTCGAAGGTTGTTGACCCTGGAGGCTTTTCAGTCGTTTGGCAAAAATCCAGGGCGGGGCTACATGGCAGAAACATGAAGCGGTCGGGGTTAAGCTAAGCTCTGGCTTGAGTCTTGTTTCTCCCTCAGATTTACGCAGCGCTTGAGTTATGCATGAATATATACACTGAGTTGCAAAATTGGGAATCATACCCCTTCAAAGGTTTCAAAAGGAACATTGAAATATTATGGAGAAAGTGAGCTTGGGATGGGCTTGCCAACCACAGCGACCGCGCAATTTCCATCAATGAGATAATGCGAGAAAGTTTTGAACGTTCTGTCAAGAAACTGACAGCCGAGAACAACAGACGAGAATTCAACCCGAAAGAAACAGAAATCGGCCTGGCTTCGGGCAGTCGAAAGTGTGTAGGCGCTCGCAAAGAAGATTCCGCTGCTTATCTGAGAACAACTTCTTGCCCTTGTTCAGCAATTCTGGTCACCAGCTGTCAACGGGCCCTTTCGAACCCTTCGATTCGCTTAAAATCTCCAGTTGAATTCTATCAAGGCTGATAATTGGCTTAAGACCATTTACCGGCGCGTCCGACTGTACCCCTGATAAGCTAGAGGTGCAGTAGCGTCAAAATTTACGCCTTGGCAGCAGGTGAAGACATTCTTGCAATCAACACACATAGTCAGACGGAAACTGCAGTTCTCTGGGGTTAAATGCCCAGGTGGATATATCACCGAATACAAAAATCACATATACACCCTCTAATGCAGAGAAGCTTCAAAGTTGGAATCTAGGACCACCCACTCCAAAATTCTGGGAACTCGTCGATGAACGGCTGGTATAATGATCGACAATCTCGCCTCAAATAGAATTATTATCCATATCAGTCTGGAGGTGGGCAAAATTATCTTCAACCCCGCTCGGGTAAACACACCCAAATTATAAAAATGTTGAAATTAGGCGATCATCGTGGCCATTCACCGCAAAACACGTCTAGTGGGTTGTTTGTATGTAGTTACCTGTGATCGCGTAGCGCTTTTTGGAAACCTCTTTCGTAATTTCATTTCTGGCCTCTTTCAGATATTCAGGTCTTCACCCAAGAATCCGCGAGATTCATCTCCTATACGCCGTATTGATCCATTTTGGTCATCATTTGAACAGTATGACTATGTCAAGTAGTTCGGAAAATGGTCATCTGACTCAAACCATGAAGGCCGTTGTATTCAAAGAGGTTGGGTGCATAGAGATTGTTGACCGACCCAAGCCTCACATTCAGCATACCACAGATGCTATTGTAAAGGTGCTTCACACTAGCATTTGTGGCACTGACCTCCATATAATGCGTGGACATGTACCAACATGCATGCCAGGTCGCATTTTGGGACACGAAGGAGTTGGAGTCATCGACACCTTAGGAACAGGAGTCACCGGCTTGAATATCGGGGACCTCGTTCTGATCTCCTGCATCTCAGCCTGTGGCACATGCAAAAGGTGCCGGGCCGGAATGACCTCGCATTGTGTGACAGGTGGCTGGATATTGGGACATACAATTGACGGGACGCAGGCTGAATATGTGCGAATTCCACATGCGGCATTCTCACTATACCCTTTGCCTTCGACTATTGATCCCCAGATTGCGGTAGCCCTATCTGATGCCTTTCCCACGGCATACGAATGTGCCATTCTTCCTGGGAAAGTGCAGCCAGGATCCACCCTCGCTATCGTGGGTGCTGGCCCCGTGGGACTGGCTGTGTTGATCCTAGCGAAGCTGTTCTCGCCGAAGCTAGTGGTATTGATAGGAAAGGGTGAACCCCGATTGGCTGCTGCAATGCAGTTAGGGGCCGACCATGTCCTCAGCTCCTCTCTAGGAAATGAAGAAATCACCAAGTCAGCTCTGGCAGTCAGTGAAGGGGAAGGATATGACACTGTGGTTGAGTGTGTTGGAATCCCTGAAACCTTTGATCTCTGCCAGAGTCTTCTTGGGCTAGGTGGTATACTCACTAATGTCGGGGTGCACGGGTCAAAGACGGACTTACATTTGGAGAATCTATGGTCCAAGAATATATGTGAGTTTTCAACCTCTAACCCCGGCTTGATCAAGATCTCATTACAGTTCTGAAAATTTCATAAAGCAATCACATGTCGACTGGTGGATACGACTACACTGATCCAACTCTTGAGCTTGTTAGAGAAAGGCAAGATTCATCCAGGCCTATTGATATCGCACCGTAAGAACCACCCAAAAAGGGGTGAATTGAAATATCCGTTCTAGAAGCTGACCAGTATCAGGTTTTACGTTTGGAGATATCACGGAAGCATATGAGACCTTTCAATTGGGATCATCCAAAGATGTGCTGAAGGTTGTCATCGGCATGGAATAAGCTTATGAATTGAGCTGCAAGCATATTCATTTGGTGGACCTGGTTTGACTTCAAAAAATGTATCCATTTTATGTATTACGAAGTCATATAGGAAGGGGAAAGGGCTGATAGTGTGGTCGGAGGGCGAATATAAGCTCGTGACATGATATGAAGGCTATTATCCAAACATTTCCATACACCGTCATTCTTCCAAGCCATATTTCTCCCATTATCAAGGTTTTTGTCTGCTATTTGTATTTTATTTCAATATTATAGGCAGTATAGAAGGGTATGTATATGCACTTGCCTTCTTAGGGTACTTTTCAAAGATACATGTCCTTCTATGCAGCTGGCTACCCCTGTCGGGTAAAGAGAATTGATATTGGGGGCAACCTTTTCGAATCCACAGGGGGCGGGTTCGAATCCCGGTGTCACCTCAATCTTCTACCATACCTTTCTCTCCTTGGACCAAGAACCAGCTGCCCCTGGGCACTCGACTTATGTATGTTTCCCACGGGAAAAATACTACCCCCTCCCCCCTCCCCTTTCTTTCAGGGACCGGGAACACCACTTCGCCACCATTCGGTGGCACCACAAGCCGTATGTATGACCTGCAAGTAGGGGACAGCGTACTACGCAATATTAGCGCTTCAATGAGGCCTATCTGGGCTATATTTTGCTTCCTCGGGAAGCACCCATGTACAAAAACCCTGCGCGTTGCACGTCCAATGCCCCACGGGAGGCTCCACTGGCAGTTGGTGGGTCTTTCAAAGACAAGGGCAAAGTCCTGTGGCCCCGCCTTCTATTTCGGCCCGCGACATTAAATAATATCAGTCACTCAATCAATCGCCCTTGCCATAATATAGCCATATAGTTATAGACTCATACATTATCCCTCCCATTCGACAGGTATATGAGGGGAAAAAATTTCCATTCACAAGAAAATTCTTGAAGTCTCATGAAGTCTATCTCCTTATCGCGTGCCACTCAGGATGATCCACTTGCACAGGAAAATGTGGATCTAGAGACGGAGCCTGAGTGACCTCTTCGTTTACTTTGTGAATGCAGAGCAGCAGTCTTTCACATCCCATGAGCTTATAGGTTTTGGCGTGGACGCCATTGCTATTCCTGATCTTACTTCTTTGTCGTCTAGAGGGCGCCACCTTCGACCTCTTCATTTTCTTGGCTTTACCACTGTAGCCTACCAACTAGATAATGCCGAATATGGGTCACCAAACCCCTACTCAAAGAGATAGCTTCCCTGGAGCCAATTATCAATGTTTTGGAAGACATTCGAATCCATACAATTGGCCTCCCGACCCTCCTGAAACTCGAATGCAGGAGAATGGGTATTGGTATTCTGTCTTGTATCGCCTATCTGAAATAGCGTGCCCCTGACCCACCTTATAAAAATCTAACAAGGTTCGTCACAATCCGATGTGTACCATCTTTATGTGTATACTAACTTTTAATAAAGAATAGTATATGTGCTAGACTCACATGTGGATCATGATATATACTTAATGCACTGGGATTGTACTCTTTTACTTCCGGGACTACAACCAGATATTTCCAGCGCTCTTCTGTCATGTAGAGGGGCAGATTTCTGATGGCTAGTCTTCCCCTTATCAACAATCAGATGCGACATTTATCCCGACGAGTAATTAATGAATTTGACCTTCGGCGACCGAAGGAAATAGTATAAACATTGGAAGATATGTAAAGTCTAAAATTGAAGGGGAAAAGAATTATGTAGGAGTAAGGAATCTTGACTTTGTACGGATAGAACATGAAATGCGCGATACAGCGAATTTTACTAACTTCTACGCGATTTTCTTTGAGACACCCTTTCTACCCTATTTCGTTCGGTGGCCAGCAATGATTTGAATTGAATTAATTGTATTATTCTATATCAATGGGATAAATTGGGATTATATTTCCAAAGCTGAACCTAGGATTCCAGGGCTCAAGTACTGTCACTAATTCGTTTTAGTGCATACATATACTGATGCCAATACTGTATGTATGCCTTAGGCCTAAACCGTGAAGCTTATCTCCACGTCTCTGCACAGCCTTTCCCTCTTTCATACCCACTCCGGGATCATGTGACCATGTGCAGCGCGCTGCTTCCAGTTTAGGCTTAGATCCACCGGCATATCCCTCACGGGCCGGATACGCTCTCTCCTTTCTCGCCCATAGCCAACATCACTTTTTTTTGTAGTTCGTCACACATTGTTTGGTTTTCCCTGCCGGGCAGCTTACAGCGCCAAGAATTTTTGTAGCTCTAGGAATGTGATATCATAGGGTGATTGGCCGGTGGTTGGAAGTGCGAGTGTTATCTAATGGGCGCATATTTGATCTTCAAATCTCGAACTCCACTCTTATCTCGTTATTTATGTAGACTAACCTGGGATAGGAGAGTGTACGGAGTATGGGATCTACGCAGCGGTTGAAGACGGCTTTGATACCCGGTCCCCTGTCTTCCTTTCAGGTTTATTGCTTTGTCTTCATTCTGCCTGACTATCTATGCCACAGAGCCTTATGTCAAAAGATGCTACCAAAGTTACTCTCACATCAATCCCACCATATACATGGAATACACTAACAGAGTGGTCAAAAGAGACGTGAGAAGAGCCATGTCTTACATAGCAGCAAGTGGAAAGACCCAGCATAGTGATATGTGTATTGACAAGATATTGATAAGTCAACCATAAAGGGAAAAGAGGGGAAAAAAAATGGAGGGTACTGAGAGCGCATTAGTTTGCTGACCGCAAGCAATACAGGAGCTGAGCGAACGCTACAACAAGTCCCCGGTGTCTAGACCGACATGTACGCCGACTCGTCATTAAGGCAAATTCTTGAGTCAACTACCGCTAAGATGACATCCTTGGATGTGGGCCTTTGACACGTCACACTACGGGATATTGTCTACTAGCTGACTGGGATTCATCCTGCATATGCGTACTGTAAGTAGCTTCCATGCGGATAGAAAGAGATGTTGACATTGGAGATAGGCACCTGAGAAAGGTTAGAAGGCGGCTAGGCCATGTAGATAAGGATCGATTCTAGTTCGCCCAACATTGTCTCAAGACTGATCACAACGAGTCGGGACTTGGTAAGTGTAATTGACATCACGATGCTACTAGCGATGCAATCCCACCCACATGTACGCGTGTTCTAGAATTCAGGTCTTACGATCGTTAATTTTGACTTAACTGGGATACCGCGACTATGAGGCTAGAGGGAAAGTGTCGAATATTTTCTTTATGAATTGATAAGATGGCTTAGATGAAAAGGTCCAGACGCCGTGCTCGCTAATTTGCACTTTACTGAAAGATTATCAATACGAGGCTTGATGGAGAATCACTCTTAACTCTTGAGTGTCGACTCTCAACTACTTGTAATACTATATGTACCATACAACCTGGGTGCTACGAAACATTGCCTACTTGCTGGGTTACTTCTATCCAACATACGCACAAATTAATCAGAAGTCTCGTGCTGAGAATGTTCTTGAAGTGAAACAAGTCTCAACTTTGGAGAGAGATATCTGAAAAGGATGCGGTTGGGCCAAGGAGATTAGAGTTGCTTTTCGTTCACCGAACTTTCAAATGTTGTCTCAGACCTAATCGCTCTATGAATTATAATTAGATCGGTTACAATTCAGGAGATGGAGTTCCTATCGATGCGTTCCTATCAACTGAAGCATCAGTGATCGGGCGCATGGCGTTGCGCTCGTCTATTTTCACTTGACCAGAGGATCGGAGCCAGGATGCTTCAAGCTTGCGATTACTTTTAAAATAAATGAAATGGCTTATACAGAAAGTTCGCGACGTTGGCTATCCCAGCTGCAAGCCGAGGCCCACTTGCTGACGACTGTGCTGACGACTACCGGCGCTAGGTATTGTGACTAGTGAACTTCCGGGACCCCTGTTGTTTCCAACTGATAGGGAGCTCCCACGATCGAAATAAACAAGTTATTAGTGGCTAAAACATCAAGAACTGTGGGGCAAGGTGGGAACTCCATGATTTCAGTTTAATTGAAGGTGTGCTGGAAATATGCACTCCAAATCAAGGAAATCCATATCATTGTGTTCCATTTGTGGTAAAAAACAAGAAAAAACAAGAAAAAACAAAGTACGAACAATGAGATAAAAAGAAGCTCGTACAAAATCTACACAAAAGGCAAAGTCTATCTGACGTGGCTAAGGTACCGGCCAAGACCGAACCTCTCGCCCCATGCATCGTTTGCGTAGAATCGATCAATCATGTAAATCCGACTTTTGTACCTTTTTGTGACATGAAGCCAAATCGCAGCCACTCAGCTCGGCTGATAGCTGATCGACGCATGAATCAGTGTCAGCCTGAGCGGTTCCTGCAGTCATGGCGACTTATGCGACATATGCGAATAGCGGAGTATAGCCCATCCACTCGGTCCGATAAGTCTCTCAGCTTCCAAGCTCATATTCATCAACAAGTTTCATTCCCAATTAATTTGTTTCAGATGATAAAAATTTACTCAATCTTTTCCTTCAACTTATTTCCCTTTTTTACTGAGATTCGAAATTCACGTTGGTTAAGGTCTTGAGGTTCCGATAAACGGCTTCCTGCAAGATACCTAGCTATCATATGCGGAAATGCAGCTCTCCTTGCTTCTTTTATGCTCTGTTCTGAGTAACCATGCTTGGGGCTGGCCCTATGATGTGTCTCTTGTGGATTGGAATCTTAACCAGAACAAAAGCGCCCAAGGCCCCATCGATTACTGGGGGGCCTGGCCGAACCATAAATATCATCCGTCGCCAGAAAATTGGCGTTTCCCTTTTTATACGATCTTTCTCGACAGGATATCCAATGGTGACCCGACAAACGACGATAACAACGGGACTGCATTCGAACATGTGGTCAACTCGAATCAGATGCGACACGGCGGCGACGTCGAGGGCTTGATGGATACGTTGGACTATATACGTGGCATGGGGTTCAAGGTGCGTTAATCCGAGACTGAGGTTGATTCGAGCAATCAGATACTAAGTCAGACATTCAATGTTCAGGCCATTTACTTCGCCGGGACGTATTTAGAGAACCTGCCTTGGGCCTACGATGGCTACTCGCCGGCAGATACCACTCTCCTCGACAAACACTACGGTACACTGGAGGATTGGAGACGACTTGTAACGGCGATTCACGACCGGGACATGTATGTACTGGTGGACAATACGCTTGCAACGTAGGTTGACCCGGTTTTCTTGTTCTTGTTTCTGCTTTCCTTTGTGCACACGAGCTCATCATTTTCCATAGATTGAGCAATTTGATCGGTTTCAAAGGCCACTTGAACGACTCGGCGGATTTCAGAACAACCGAATACGATGTGGAATGGGTCACAGACCGACAATATGCTGATTTCTCATTTGGGAATACTTGGAACGAAACTTGCAACTTTCCCAAATTCTGGTATGAGACTGGTTATCCGTTGACTACCGGTAAAGTACAAGACCTCAAAAGCTGCAAAAACAGCGACTTTGATCAATTCGGAGAATTGGAAGCATTTGGTAATTTCCCTGACTGGCAGCGCCAGCTCACAAAGTTTGCCTCTGTAAGTAATGCCCTCCAGTCCATGTCAAATGCGGTATCAAAACTCTAACGACATTTTTGAGTACATAGGTGCAAGATCGCTTGCGAGAATGGCATAAGCCTGTTCGCGATGTCATCACTCGCCACTCCTGCTTCCAAATCGCTAGTTTAGACATAGATGGGTTCCGCTTTGATAAGGCGGTTCAGGCGACTTTAGAACCCCTTAGCGAGATGGTTGCGTTCTATCGTGAATGTGCCAAGTCGCTCGGCAAAGAAAATTTTTTCCTTCCTGGGGAGATCACATCTGGAAACACCTTTGGTAGTCTCTACCTTGGACGAGGTCGTCAGCCAGATCAGTATCCAGACTCTGCAGGCGCTGCTGTGAAGTTGAAAAACACGTCAGAGGGCGTTTTCCTAAGAGAGGATGGGTTGCAAGCGTTGGATGCCTCTGCATTCCACTACACAATTTACCGTTCAATGTGCCGTTTTCTGGGCATGGACGGTAACTTGGTTGCTGGCCACGACTTGCCGACTGATTTCATTGAAGCCTGGAATGAAATGCTTGTCACCAATGACTTCATCAATGCATTCACAGGAGAGCTGGATCCTCGTCATATGTATGGTGTCTCTAATCAAGATAACTTTCGTTGGCCAGCCATCAAAAATGGCACTTACAAGTATCTTTTGGGTATGTTCCCCAACCTCAAACTCACCGATTCCCCTCAAAACTTACCCTTTATTTTTTAACCAGGTTTAAACATCATTACACTGGTACTGCCGGGTATTCCTCTTATCTTGTGGGGTGAAGAGCAGGCAATGTATGTTTTTGATGCAACTGCCTCCAACTACCTATATGGCAGACAGCCCCTCTCGTCTCAAACAGGTATGCTGCCCGTGATATCTAACTTTTCGACCTTGCTGATCCTCTTCAATTTCTTAAGCATGGTGGACCAACGGTTGTTTCAACATCAACACAACCAAATTTTACGACTTTCCGAATGAGAAAGGTCTCAATGGTTGCAACGATATCACTGTGACCTATGATCAACGGAACCCCGCCCACCCCGTCCGAAATATAATGAAGCGATTTTTTGACATTCGAGAAGGTTTCCCCGTCGCGAATGATGGATTCTATGTTGAAACAATCTCACAACTGACCGAGGATATCTATCTTCCTGGCTCGTCCACTACCCCGACGGTTACCGGCCTTTGGTCGGTTTTGCGGGCTTACTTTCCCGCAGTCCAGACAGATGCAATTTTGGCCAATGAAACACTGTGGCTGGTGTATCAAAATGGAAATTCGACAAAGAAATACGGCGGCAGCTGTAGCAACAGCACTGCTGCCTTACTCTCTCCGTTTACGTCGGGAAAAAAGTTGAAGAATCTCTTCTATCCATACGATGAAGTCACCGTGGATGATGGGCCAGATGATACTACCTATGGCTGCATCAAAGGGGGTATGGAGCTGCGTCCTTGGGAATATCGAGCAGTATGTCCTCTAATGGCCCTATTTCAATAACTTTGACTAACGCCCTAAAGTACGTGGAAACAGCCATGTTTGTGAATCCTCGACCTACAGTCACTGAGTTTCTCCCTGGTCATGATTCTCGGTTACTGTCTGCAGAGGATACGAGTGAGATCATCCCAATTCAGCTAGGTTACTCCGAGCCAATGGATTGTGATATTATCACCAACGCGATCACTTTCAACTCCACAACAGAAAAAGGAATCGTCCCCTCTATTGATACTTCTAGTGTTAGCTGCACCAACGTCACAGCCAGAATGACAAGCAACAACTACATCGGCGAGATCCCGACTGTTTGGACATGGTCTGCAAATTTGACCAATGTTTACCACGGAATCCACCAGATAACCGTGGCCAACGTTTCCACGTCTGTCACCTCCAATGTTTATACCAATGCGACTGACAGCTTTTTGATCCGCGTCGGTTTCCCTACCAACCCGCTGATCACTCCGCTGTCCAATTACTCCACCAGCCTCGTGCACAAATCCGATGACGGATACTACGTCAAGCACAACGCCGCAGGTGCTGACAAGTTCCGTTACTCGGCCAATTTTGGGAGCACCTGGTCGAGTTGGACAACTTACGAAGGTGGCAACACAAATGTCACCATTCCAACTTTCACTGGAACATCCAAGCAGGCGTGGAAAGGAACTCATATCCGTGTGCAATACCATTCAAGACTTACTGGGAGCAGCGATTACATCCAGGAAGGGGATTACAACTGGAAGGAAAATTCAACACGAAGATTCCCTCATTTGTGGTTCAATGGCCCATTCAACCAATACGGTTACGATGCGGGGTTAGACAACTCGATGCATTTTGACTCGAAGACCTCGCGCTGGAACTATGATTTCGTCTATGAATGGCCAGCAGTGGGGCAGCTGAATGCCTGGGGTATTGACCCATCTGGGACTCCCGATAACACCGAGGTCTATGGCGATGTGGGAAACACGTCTACAATCTTGAAGCTCCCGCCGTCTTATCTCTCTTCCAACGTGATTAACATCACTGATTTGCCTCCCTTTCCACATCTGGGATGGAGAATATCTCTTAATGACGGTAATTTGCGGTACGAGAAGATTCCCATCGGATCTGGATGGGCTCAACTCGCTCTTTTTGTTCTTCTGTGTATCGGTCCAATCATTATGGGCCTATCAGCAGTCGTCATTTTCATCCGAACGTTCTATCAAGTCAAGTTCAACAAAGACGGCAATGTGCTTAAAATTGAGAAGCCCATAATTCTACTCTGGCGTAAAATAAAGAGCAAATTTGCGAAGGATGGGAGCTCCAAGACTGCAATCTCAGAAATTGTGGTCCCAACGGGCGTCGCTGCGGGAGTGACCGGCCAACAACGACGTACGGTTTTGATTGCTACCATGGAGTACGACATCCAAGATTGGCAGCTGAAAGTGAAAATCGGAGGTCTCGGAGTCATGGCGCAGCTGATGTCCCAGAACCTGAAGCACCAGAATCTCATCTGGGTGGTGCCATGTGTTGGGGATATCGATTACCCCATCGACACGCCCATTGAACCATTCGTCGTGACGATCCTTGACAAGCCATACCTGGTGAAGGTCCAGTACCACGTCGTGGAGAACATCACCTATGTCTTGCTGGATGCACCAGTTTTCAGGCAACAGACCAAAGCCGAGCCTTATCCTCCCCGGATGGATGATCTTGACAGTGCAATCTACTACTCAGCTTGGAATCAGTGTATCGCAGAGACAATCAAGCGATCACCGTCTGTGGACTTTTACCACATTAATGACTTCCACGGATGTGTCGCACCGCTGTATCTGCTGCCGACTCGAACCATCCCAGTTTGTCTGTCCTTGCACAACGCTGAATTCCAAGGGCTTTGGCCACTGAGAACACAGAAAGAGAAGAAGGAAGTCTGCTCCGTTTTCAATCTTCCGGTTGACATAGCGACCAAATACTGTCAGTTTGGAAATGTTTTCAATCTTCTCCATACTGGTGCTAGCTATTTGCGATTCCATCAGCGCGGATTCGGTGCAGTCGGTGTGTCACAAAAGTACGGGAAACGATCATGGGCCCGATACCCCATTTTCTGGAGTCTCAGCAACATTGGAAGCCTGCCTAATCCTGACCCGTCCGATACAGCGTCCGTCGACGTAGGATCAGAAGTGCCAGTGACAATTCAGTCTGATACGGAATCTGCCCACGATAAGCTTCAGGCGCAGAGATGGGCAGGTCTGACCGAGGACCCGAACGCGGATTTGCTTGTATTCGTTGGAAGATGGTCGAAGCAGAAGGGAGTAGACCTGATCGCGGATGTTATGCCAGAAATTCTGTCAGCTCGACCCCGTGTGCAATTGATTGTGATCGGTCCCCTAGTTGACCTTTATGGAAAGCTAGCGGCGATCAAACTCCAGCGCATCATGGAAATGTATCCAGGCCGTGTTTTTTCGAAACCAGAGTTTACCATTCTACCACCCTATGTGTTCTCCGGAGCTGACTTTGCCTTGATCCCGTCACGAGATGAGCCATTCGGCTTGGTTGCCGTTGAGTTTGGCCGCAAAGGGGCCCTCGGAATCGGTTCTCGCATTGGAGGTCTCGGGCAAATGCCCGGGTGGTGGTATACCGTGGAGTCCGACTCGGCTCGCCATCTCTTGCATCAGCTGAGAACCGCCATTGAATCTGCCTTGGACTCATCCCCAGAGATCAGAGAGGAGATGCGCGTAAATTCTGCTAGGCAACGGTTTCCAGTTCTCGAGTGGGTTCAAAAACTTGAAAAGCTACAACTAACCTCCATCGACATCCATCGCAGCAAGAACAGGAGAAGTGTAATTGGACCCACGCAAGACTCTCAAACGGACTGGGATATGCAGAGCGTGCAGGCCTCCTCACGGCCTCGCCTTATCTCTCACAGGTCTGTAAGCCGAGCTTTGGAAACGGCGCGTGAGGAAGAGACAGAGTCCATTCAGACTTCTGCTCTGGAGCCACAACTAGCTGAGCCTGAAGATATGCGAGAGTCTCGCGGCTTTAGAAATAGCATGCTGGGTCGTAAACTGTCACTCGGTCGACGCTCTGGACCTGGACGGGTATATTCAACTGAGGGTGGTACCGAAACGCCACAGGAGGAGAATATCTCTCCCGAAGAGGCAATGGCAGCAATCAGCCAGACTCTAGGATCTCAATATCTAAGCACATCTTCTCATGAGAACAGGAACTCCAATGGCGAGTCTACCACCGACTCTTCACGTTTTGTCTCCCGAGACACTTCTCCAGTCAGAACATCCATGTACCAAAGTGGCCTCGTTTCCGGTGATGTGACGCCCGTTGCGTATACACGTAACATGTCCATGTTGTCAGTGGTGTCTGTCTTTGAGGATCACGATCAGCCCGTCTTCAACTTGCAAAAGGTCGACCCTACATTTACTGATAGCATGGGTTATTTCACGCGCAACTTCGAAAAGCTGGTCACAAACCTCAACAACAAGAACTCGATAACAGATTATTGTATTGAGGTATATTTGACGAAGAGTGAACGCACATTCTTTAATATGTATACCGACCGGCAATTGAAAAAGCAGCCCAAGGTCGTCGAACGTCCCTTGACTGGATCTGGTTCGAATACAGATGATGGCACCTTGACTCCGGATGAAACTTTAGTATCAAACGGAGCACATGACATCGATCTATGGCTTTCCCGCCTTGGGTACAAGAGACCTATTGCCATCCGGAGATTTATGAGATGGCGTGTCGGAAATTGGCCTGTATATGCTCTGTTCCTGGGTCTTGGGCAGATTATCGCGACAAATTCTGCGCAGATTACACTGGTATGTTTTCTCTAACCATCTTAACTCAATCGCAACTAACCCCTTGAAGTTAGTGGGTCAGGTCGGCGAAACTGCGCTCAAGCTCTACGTGATTGCAACAGTCTACTGTCTGTCATCCATTGTCTGGTGGTTCTTATTCTATCGGTTCCCATCCGTGGTTGTTCTCACTCTTCCATGGTTCATCTACTCCATTGCGTTTGTTATTGTCGGGATCTCTCCATTTGGGCTCTCATCTGTCGGTCGAAGTTGGGCGCAAAATATCGGTGCAGGCGTTTATGCTGCCGCATCTTCCAGTGGCTCACTGTTCTTTGCACTCAACTTTGGTGATCAGGGTGCTGTCCCGGTTAAGGATTGGATGTTCCGGGCAAGTTTGATCCAAGGCATCCAGCAGCTTTACACGGTTGCCCTATGGTTCTGGAGCTCTCGTGTCACCGCCGTAGAAGTTGAAGGAGTCACAACTGCTGCCTTGAGCAGTTGGAGACTCACTGCTGTTATGATGCCCATTGCTGCCGTGTGTTTCATCATTGGCGTGCTTCTCGCTCTGGGACTGCCCCAATATTACCGTCAAGCGCCTGGGAAGATTCTCTTCTTCTATACGTCTATCTTCCGTCGACGCATTGTCCTCTGGTTCTTCTTCATGGTCATCATTCAGAACTGGTTCCTGGCTGCTGTTTTCGGTCGCAACTGGTCATTCCTCTGGTCCTCCAACCATGCCAAGTCGTGGGAAGTCCTAATTCTGGTCTTGTTCTTCTTCATTGTCGTGTGGATTCTTGCTCTGCTTATCTTCCGCTCCCTATCCAAAGAGCACAGCTGGATCTTACCTGTCTTTGGTTTGGGTCTTGGTGCACCGCGCTGGGCACAAACCTGGTGGGGCACTTCGAACATAGGCTACTACCTCCCATGGGCCGGAGGTTTGACTTCTGGGGCCCTCATATCGCGCTGCCTATGGCTTTGGCTAGGTGTTCTTGATGAGATTCAACAAGTGGGTCTGGGGATGATTCTCTTACAGACACTGACCAGGGTTCACGTCTGCTTTGTCCTGTTGGCCGCACAATCTCTTGGATCTATCGCTACAATTTGTGCGCGTGCCTTTGCGCCCAACAAACTAGGACCTGCTGGGGTCTCCCCAGATGTTGGCTCGTCGCTAGATCGAGTTGCCAATGCGTGGTTCTGGATTGCTCTTGCCTTCCAGCTTTTTGCTAGGTATGTGCTCCATTTTCTCTCCCTTCTCCTGTCTGTGAAGTCTTTGCTTATTTTTTTGACAGTTTTGGTTTCCTTCTCTTCTATCGTCGGGAACAGCTTAATAGACCATGAATGGTCTGTTTTCTATCAATACCACACAAACAATCATCGTTCACTCTACTATTTGGATACAAACGGAGGAATTCATAATGGGTAGAAGGCATGGGTTTTTGGCTGCTTAGATCCTGTCTAAGACTTGGCCCGATCCGATCTATTCTATTGAGGGTTGACACCGCGCATATCTTTGGTTCATAGTCTCATAGATTTGTTTAATTTGATTTTACTTCATGATCTCTGTCAATGATCTGCCGCTCTTCACTGGGGCTTTCCGTAGTCCGAAGGTACTCGTGCACGGACCCCTTAACCACTCTCGGGTAAGGGGTGTGGTCAGGGGAGTGCATGCACGAGTTATTGGTGTATCCACACGCATTAACTCAGCGTAGGGCACCTATGACGCTGGTAATAAGTAAATAATTAAATCCGATTACCCAGATTAACCGGATCTGGACATTTAATATTTATCAGCCAATCGGAGTAATTGCGATAAGCCCCGCTTATGGAGATCTCGCATCCATCTCTTCTTCCTATCCAGCTCCCGGGGACATCACCTTCCTGGTGAATCTACATCAATCTCGTGTTCGTTTACTTATTGATGTAGATTCACCAGGAAGGTCGCTCCATAAGCTGTTATTGATGAGGTGCGCATTTGTGCCGGTAAGTAGCAACCTTGAATGATATTTTGGAATTGAGAGGCGGAATAAAATTCTACTAATATAAGTATGTAAGACTATAATACTGCTCGGACTTGATCAACAAGTGCTCTCTATCAACTATAACTTACTCGAGTACTCTAGTTTCCAGTCTCTCTCTCTCCTTCTTTTTCTCTACACTCCTCATCAATATCACACTTCTGTTCTGTGCGCTTATCAAGGCTACATATTGTAGTCTTCCCTTCTTGGAGACTCCAGAACCAATATATATCTTACCAACACACCCCGAAGGTCTTCAGATTCACCTGCAAGTCAACAGATCACACCAAAAGTCATGGATGCTGGCAATCCACCCTCATCGGAGGCAGAGTTCTGGGATGCTTCATCCCGTCAGATAACACCGGCATCGGTCATCCCACGCTCAGCCCCACACTATACCGTCCGCGATGCGAACGGGTATTAGTCCCAAGAGCGATGCCAGCTTCGCGATTCTACCTGACAAGGCCGAATCTCGTGATCCAACAGCCATTGTAGCGCAATTTAGTGCGCTGGATCGCTCCATAACGCACCAATCTCTCGGGATACAGTCGTGCGTTCCCGGCGGCGCCCCGACGCACCATGATCTCCCCCCACCAATTACCTCTCGAAACACTCAGTTTTTTACAGGAATCAACAATGAGATAATACCTTCCATTGGTGCAGATCAACGTGTTGAGTTCTGAAACATGTCGTTTCAGAGTGAGTTACCGCAAACAATTCCAAAGATTCATTAGCGAGAATGGTGAGAACTTCCGTTTGATCATTTCTGGCATGGACGGATTCTTCACTTCGCCCTCACTTCACCAGAGCACCTGACTGAATTTTTTTGCTCAAGCCTCAGACCCATTGGGGTCTTTGGGCTCAATTAAGAGATAAGGATGAGTTTGTTCCAGTTGATCTAGAAGGAATTCGGCATACCTGGAATGGCGAAATGGATCCATCACAAATATCCCTGCCATCGCGAGTTTTTCTCATCCGGATCCGTTGAATCAACTCAATAAAGCAAACGATTCAAAATGACTTGCTTGTCCTACGAACCATGACTCCAGGTGGCCGAAAGTATTTTGATGTGAGGAAGAACGACCCTGACAAATGTAATGTTTGTTCTTGGCTGCAGATCACAAGAGAAGATTTCGAAGAACATTGTTATATCTGACATCCAACATTATCAAGTTTAGAGCCAATTCTTAATACCCCCGGACGTGGGAGTGGGGGTCTCCCTTCTGACTGGTCAGTGAAGTATATGTCTGTCCATTATGCTCTGAAACAGGAACAACACAACACCTTGCATACATAGAAAGATTCAAAGTGCACTGGGCAAGACAGCATTTACATGAGAACATCGAGGGTTTACCAATCCGGACTGCACTTCGAAGCATGAGATTCTTGATTCTTACCGGGCGTTATGATAACGCCAAGTCCATTGATTCATGTCCGTTTCGAATGCTCCATCTGTGATACCTGGGCCACGTGGGAAACTACTAGCGGTCATCAGAAACATCTGGAAGCCCATCATCCCGGCATTGGACCACCGCCCCCACCAAGTCGATGTGCAGTGGGGGGAGCCAGACAAGCCAATCCCTCGCCGTTATTGCTTGGACTGTCGTCCGCTCCAACTTTTTGCCCAAAGAGCTGACTATCTGAGGTATTGGAGACATTGGCATCCAGGTTCCGAAAAGCAATCCATCCCGATGCCGGCTGATTTGATGCATATCCATAATTGCGATATCGCCTGCTATGAATGTCCGGGACCAAAATGCACGCTTGAATTTCATGCCTTGAGACAATGGACTTCTCACTGGCGAAAAGCACATGCAGATGAGGATCCGACCATCAAACCTCCATCACGGAGCTTTCCCAAGACCATCTACCAATGCTCCATATGTAATAAATTGCTGGCTACCATCAGCTCAGCCATAACCCATTTTTCTATCAGTCACTTTCAGCTCGGTGCTACGTGGTCAGTTTTCGATCGTTGATTCGCTAAATATTTATTAAACTGAGTTTACCTTCCATGTCTTAGTTATCTGAACTGCAGATTAGATGATGATGATAATATCATTATTCTTTATACTATAGCTTTTTCTTCATTTTACTTATTGTAGTCGGGAAATCCGGTCCCGATTCCGGATTACTATACATTCCGTGGGAAATAGCCATATGAGCATGGGCCTAGCACTAGTTACTGAATACACACTCGTTCATATCTCTTTTTCGACCCTGATAGGTTGTATACTACTCTTCGAGGGCGACCTTCGGTCGTAGATTTTCACCTAGTGTGTCTGATTCGTATGTCGTCAGAGCTTACTGTCATTGAGCGTTCATATAGGTACGAGTAGCGGCCATAAGGAGAGAACCTGTTAGCGTAGCGCCTGGTACTTATATATTATATTATATCTCCTAGTAGATCCCCTACTTGATCTCCTACTTAGTATCCTATCGAGTGTTCTACCTTCTTTCGTACCAATTTAATTCAAATGTTCAGAGGGCCCTTCAAACTCATACATAGCGGAATAAAAGAGAGAGAGAAAAAAGTCAAGTGGAAGAAGCCGGTCTGCTGGAGGTTTTGAACGTACGTCCAAAAAGTCTGCGATGTATCCAAGTCAGAGAGGGATAGATTATCTCAGTAGTATATAAGATTTCCTGCCATCATTTATGTGATATCAAAGGTTCTGTCCTCATGGCCGCTACTAGCCTCCGTACTCGATCACCACCTAAGGTACGGCGGCAAGCCAACTAAGCAAATGGACAACCACTAGATCGCGCGATTTTCAGCTCTTCCACCATCTTTCCCATTTGAGGTCGACCCTTGCCTTCGAAATACTTCGGCCCAACATCAGGAATAAAGTATCCTTGTGGGTAGTACTTGGTACCATCAGTTCCCGGAACAGCTCTGCCCAAGGCCCGAGTGTAAAGAGCGGCGGGACCCCAACGATTCCATAGAGTGGGCTTCACATAATAAGGCGCCGCATCCCAATCAGTAACATAGATACGATCCTTCTCGGTTTGCTCCTCACTGCAGGTATTGTAACGCAGGAAGTAAGGGCGTGGGAGCACAAGGTACCGCAGAAAAAATTTCCGCACGTTGATGAACAAAGAAAACACCATCGCGTACATGGCAGGGCAAGCATCGTACCTAGTTGAAATTAATGAGTTAGTGGATTGCCGAGCATACCTTCGCCAGGGATTTAAGACGTACATCATAGCCTGCCGTAAACGTTCATCCATGAGGAAAGCAATAAATTTCAGGCCAATATGCTGGACTGGCTTAGGCAGCATGTAGAGACGAACTCCAGTCGTCTGTAAAGCCGTCTTGTGGTTTGTGATATGTGGAACCATGTTTTTTACCTCATAATCTTCACTCCATGCCATAAGTTCCTCAAACCAATGCAGACCATCACGGAACCCGGTTTTACCTGACGGCAGGACGTCATAGCTGATCTTCAGGCCGTCACCAATGCTTTTCCAAAAGACAGCAATTGCACATTTTTCCATGTCAGTTAGACCACGCCATTCATACCTATCAATGAATATGATAGGTTGAGTGGCAAAAAGACCGAGTGTAAATAACATGTCATCTTCGAGGATCTTGCCTGAGGCACGGTATCCCTCGTGGACCCAGTTCATGCGAGCGATCGCGGAACAAGCGCGCCCCGTGGTAGGCCCGAAGATCATGAATTCCTGAAGCAAGCAGGTAGTATCGACATAGCGCTTCAGATAGGTTTCTGGATTGGCGGACTGGCCTGTTCTGGAAAGTAGTCCGGAGATTGTGGGAATACCGTAGGCCTGGAGAGGAAGTATTACTAGTTAACAGCCGAACTGGGTGACGAAGACGGTGGCGACTCACTCTGAACAGAGAAAACTTCAATGACTTGACAAAGGTTGAGGGGAACTCCAGTGATGCCAGGATCTTTTGGATCTCCCATGCCTCATTAACCGTCATCCGGGATAGGGACTCCCGATTGGGATAATTGTACTTTTTCTGCATCCATTGTAGTCTGCGAAAGCGAAAAAGGGCAACAAGGATCGGATATGCTGCAAGAAGGACGAGAAAGTGGGGAAGAAAAGGTTGGTGAAGAATTGGGGAAAGAAATGATTGTAAATTCATTTTGCCTGTGTCCTGAGAGAAGAGGGGTGAAATATGGTTTCTAACCTCAACCATGTAAAGTTCAAGAATGAGAAAGGAATGATGGGAGAAAAAAAGGACGAAAGAAAGGAGAAAATGCACAGTTTTATATACAAAAAGGAGTTGAGAGTTGGAATTAATGGCTTGAGCTGAATCTTGGGATGTAACCCACACAATGTACTTCTAAATCTCAAGACGGCTTGTACATTACCCAGATAGTAATTACGGAATGCAAATATTGAACTACTGTATTTTAATGGGCTGGTAAGAAATGCTAGCTTCAGAAAAAGTGAGACTACTTGATTGATATGAATCTCGGTTCTTCTAGTGGGGTTCGAAACAAGTGGCTTTTGTACTAGGGCACATTCACCGCTCATTTCATCTTAATGAGATCTACGTTTGTTCCAAAAGGGAAATCCTTGCAGAAATTAAACTTTCCGGCCCAAGGGAAGTGGGAATAAACTTAAGATAAGAAACTTCAATAGTTCGGTGGAAAGGGTTGACAGCCACGTCTCAAGATCAGTATCTGGAAAACCAACCTGACAGGGTAGGGATAGAGTGGGCCCTGGTTTCTCCCCACTCCATGTCAGCCGCACTGCGCTAATGAAAAACGATCAATTAGCCAGAACGTAATCTAAAGCCGAATCTAATCCGGTATTTTTTAGGAGATCGCGGATAGAACCTTACTTGTAACTTTATTTCGGATACAGGGTACCAGGACCCAGGACCCATTCAGAAAATTTGGAACTATCGGCCCATATCCACCGGTAAATAGCGGCCCTGAATGATATTCAGGATTTAGGCGGCGAAATTGAGTTTTACTCCCTATATGAGTATTTAAGACTATAATACCGGTCGGACTTGATGAATTCGCGCAAGTGCCGATTTACAAATGTAGAATTAACTATTAACGACTACCACTGTATCGCTATAATGTAATAGACTACCCTAGCCTCTAGTTATCTGCCTCTCAGTAGATACTTTAACTAGTGAAAAGAGGAATGCACGATGGCAGTACGCTCTGACCACGTACGAATCGAATACACTGGGTGAAAACCCACCAAGACCAAAGGTCGCCCTCGGAGAGTGGCGCGCACATAAGAAGACATGTGCAAGATGAGAGAGGTGAAGGAGTGTGTATTCTGTAACTAGTGCTAGACTCGTACCAATATGACCGTCTCCCTTACGTAACAGAATGTGACCTGTAATGGTATTGTATCCGAAATACGGACCGAGTCTCCCCACTACACTAGACACTCTAAGTCGGCACACTAGATAGCAGGCACTTATGTAGGTGATTAAGTAGGTAGTATTCTGATGTATTGACTCTGTTGACAGCGCTGGATCTGTCGGCCAGGTGAAGGACTACGTCGCGGTAGCCGGGAATCAGACGCAAGTGCCGAGATCTACATTCCGAGAGAGATTAAGGAGGAAGAAAGAGAGCGATCTAACCAAGGCATGCACACGCTGGGGAAATCGGAGGGGGGTCAGGTGACCCCACGCTTCAACAGACTTGTATATTGTGGGCGGTAATCGAAAGTTAAACCATGGAAATCAAAGATATTCACTTACTCCAACTTCACACCGACATAATAATACAAAGTGACAAAGGGAAATTGGACTGATTTCTGGCCGCTATGGAAGGTCCACTTGGAATGGTCAAGACCTGGCTGGTCTATTAGGGCCCGAATTTCTTTTGTGGTGCGGGTTCGAAGGCAAGAAATAAGCCCATCAATTAAGATAGTTAATGGTGCCACTGGTAAAATGAATGTGAAGATGAGATGGATAGGCGAGCTCCAGTACCAAATCACAGTTACAAAGAAAGCCCAAAAAACCACCAAAGGCGAGCATAGGCAGGTCCAAAGCTCACGTGCAGTGATTTCGAATATCCTTCAGAAGGTCAGAGATAACAAAAAGATAGACGTATGGACGCTGCAAATCACTTACATAAATGAGTCTGCAGTTTCAATTGCATTCTTGAGAATACTCGCTGCGTCTTCATCCCCAAAGTGATGGAAACAGATGTTGAAAATTCGAGACATTCCTTTTAGGCCTTTCCTGCAAGTCGAGGAACGGCTCGCGCATCAACTGGGGTCTTGATGTATGTCACATTGAGCTGCTCCTCTGAGATTCGCTCCCATGCTTCAATATGGGGATAGAGATCCCTCAAAATGAACTGAACCGGGGCTCTGCCTTCGGACTCAAGTTCTTTATTGAGCTCCGATTCGAGAACTGGCGTGGGACCACCAGCACCAGCGCAGATATCCAAGATTATGTAAGAAGAAAGGTCTTTCAGATATTCCTTGAATACTGCACTAGCCTGCGTTGCCAGGCTTCCGTTGCTCCACCCGGGAACTTTAAGATTCCACAGTTGAGTTAGGGAGAATTGTTCATGCTGGTGCAGCCACGAAGGGCACCATGTTTGATCACCGATCTCCAGAAACTGAGATCGAGGCCAAGACATTTTTCGATTGATTCGAGGGAATAGATTAAATGACGAGAAAGAAATTTAGTCCAAATTCGGGGAGAGACAATGGGTTGAAGCTTCTGTGACGCCATTGGTTTCTGAGGGTATTTTAATAACGTGTATTGGTATCAGATCTGTAATTTATACTATATTGTGACCCACTGGTGCGAAACTCTACAGCAATTAACTTGCACAATCTATAAGACATAACAAACTTCAATTGGGTCTAATAGGCAAAATTCCTGGTCAAAAGAATATTTTCACTCAGCAAAATTTTCCATCGTTTAGATAAATCACAGGTCACCTCAACGCCATAAAAACAGTTACATTCCAAGAAATTAAACCAGATACCATACGGGTACCGGCCTCCACTCTGCCCCTAATGAATTGCACGCCACGCCACTATGGAGTGAACTATTGAAAAAAAAAACCACCTTACGAGGGTTAATCCACCGTTACGAATTAGACCCTGACCGACATTCTGGGTGACTTCGGGAATACTGTAGTGCGGATTACGATGATTACGCATGAGTTATCTCACTGTAATGCCGTAGCGGACACATCACATTCCAATGACATGAGCTTATCTCAGTCTCCTACGTGTGATCTAGACAGGCTGTATTTACCCCCCTCAATTACTTGGGTATTGTGGGGACTTCTCGGACATTCGTTCGAAACCGCAAATCTTATCTTTTCCTCCCTTTCTATTTCACTGTATATGAATAGGGAGAGCCCTTTGACTATTTAACTAATCCGGTAGGGAAATAAGTAGGAGACCGAATAGAATACTGAGTGAGAGATTGAGTGGGAGGTATAGTTGGAAGTATGCTATAAATAACACCTTAGTAGGCGCCACCACTTTTCGCGCGGCGGAAAGCCTCTAGTAACTCAAAACACAAACAAATAGCTGGGCTGTGGATCTCCAGAAGTTGGGATGATAACATTTGAATTCTCGACATAATGATAACTTTATTTGAGGCACTTGTCCAAGATATTGATGTTCCTTCTTTTCCCCTGGAGTATCTGGGTCCTAGCACCCGCTTGGGCCTCACCTGTTTTGCATGATCTACGAACTCAATAAGTCCGAAAATGACAGGCCAATAAGAACCCACCGAACCTTAAAGATCAAGGTGGATCCAGGTGGCATTCGTGACAGGCTCCACGGACCAAGCTGCTGATCGACCAAAAGATTCAGCCGCGAGCCCAGAAAGAATACTTCCGCCAATAAACAGGAAGCCCCAGTTGAACCACCACCCACAGCTGCGTGGGTCTGCCAGATTGACCATTGAAATTGTCGCAGCCAGACCGGCTGCAGATCCTCCTACCGCCAAAAGATAGTACAGCGGGCCAAGTTTAGCGAAAACACCCGTCATGGCGAGCAAAGTCGTCATCACACACGCAAGGAGGGAGGTAAGCAGCTTGGTTGAGTCTCGAAAACGCACAGCCATACTTTTGACACCTGCATGGATGTCATCTGCCACATCCTGGTGTGCATAGATCGTATCATAAATCATGGTCCAAACTGTGTTGGCTGCAAACAGACTTGCTGTAGGAGCCAGCAGATTCTTGGACAATGGGTCCACATTCAGGGATTGGACAGATGTTAAGAAACCCATGGAAAATATGGAGCCAAGGACAAACTGCGGATAATTGGTGAACCGCTTGGCGAAGGGGTAGATCGTTGAGAGAACTACAATCCCAGAAAAATAGCGCATACAGGCGACGGGCAGTCGAAGCAGGATCGCGATGATAGCCAAAGTCTGAACAGAAGCCCATAACTGGCCGCGGAAGATACTCACGCTACCCCTTGCTATCGGCCGCAGCTGACATCTAGCTACTTGCTTATCCTGCAAGTAAAATCGATTAGCTCAAGGCCGGCAACTCAATAATATCCTCCGTAGCTTTCAAGCCCTATGTCAATCAAAAAAAATACAAATAAAAAAAAGAATGAAAATAAAAAATAAAAGAAAGAAGACAAAGCTTACAAAATCTCTGTCGACGGCATCATTGAAAGTACATGCTGCTCCGCGCGCGAGAAGGCAGCAGAGAAGTAGAGTGATTGCCCTATCAACAACCAGGGATAGAGAGGGTTGCACAGGGCCCGTGGCTATGGCATAACCGACGCCAAAAAGACAAGGAACATATAGGGCATAGAAGCCCCCAGGTCTATCCAGACGCATTAACTCAGCGTAGGGTACCCATGACGCTGGTAAAAGGGAAACTAGTCCAGTAGTAGGTGGCTGGTACTTCGCGTTTTCTGCGCGTCCGATGTTTTCTGTTGACATTGTGAATGGGCCTTTATGATAACGAAGATGTATGAGTTTGTGAACGGCATCAGTTATAAGGCCCAAAGTAGTCTTAAATATACATTCTGCAAAAGGCTGGATCCTCGGACTGAGCTGAGTTTTCATTTTTTTCAATTTCATTTTTCCAATTTTTAATATTTTTTTTATTTTTACTTAACTCACTTCAACCTTGCTGCATCAAGGTGAAATCATGAAAGTCTTCACTCCTCAACCTTATGACATTACCGTTGGTATTGGGTACCCCCACATCCACTTACTACCCCATTAGGAAATTTGAGGGACGGAACGGAATTTTCAAATACCCAATTATCCAGATCCCTCCTGAAGAGGGGTCGTATCCCTCGAACGACCTTTTCAAGTGTTTCTTAGTTGGACAGCGATTGAAGCCACAGTGGGTCGCGTATAGTTGGTGCCGATCTATTCCCTATTCAAAAGCGGGAACTTAAGATGATCGAACTTCTCCACTTAGGGTTCAGCTTGTATTACTATGGTATTGGTATTTATACAAAGGAAGGCACTAGTAGATCTCGGGGCGCGTCAACAAAGTTCAATGGTCATTGAGCGGAGATAGGAAACAAAGTCTGACCCTTCAAAGTTGCTGCATATGTGGGTGTGAAATATATCGATGTTGACCACCTTGGTAAGAACAACAACATCTGAACTTTGAACAGTCGCCATGAAAGTTGTCATCGTTGGAGCAGGCCTAGGTGGGCTGGCATGTGCAATTGCTTGCCGCCGTGAAGGCATTCAGGTGGAAATTCTTGAGCGGTTCACGGAAGTTGGCGAGGTCGGAGCAGGTATCCAAATCCCACCCAATGGGACGAGAATAATGCGCGACCTGAATTTGCTGCCCCAGCTTCTCGAGAAAGGAAGTCAGGTTCAACAGGTAGACTTTCGAAGATACAATGATGGCCGTGTTTTGCGATCAATGCCATTTGGGGATGATATCACGAAGGAGTTCGGAGCGCCATGGATGTATGTGATTGCTTGAGTGATACCACCCCATGATTGATAAGATTCTAATCCCTCTTCAGCATTATTCACCGGGTTGATTACCACCGAATTCTTCTGGATGAAGCAATTCGCCTTGGTGCAGTTCTCCGCTTAGGAGCTGAAGTAAAGGATGTCTCCATCGAAGAACCAACAGTCATTCTCGCTGATGGGACGATAATAACGGCAGATGTTATTATTGGGGCTGATGGTATGTTGAGAGGACCAGTCAGACTTTTGCTTGAGATATATGAGCTAATAGAATCAGGCCAAATGTCTTCAGTTAGAAAAGCAGTTCTTGGATCACCTCATTCTCCAGTTCCCACAGGCGACATGGCTTATCGAGCAACTTTCACCAGGGAGCAACTCGAGGCTCTGCACGATAAAAAGGTCAATGAGCTCTGCCAGAAAGTGGGCGTCACAAGCTGGCTTGGACCAGAGAAACATACGATATTTTACCCCGTACGCGGGGGAAAGGAATTCAACTTGGTGCTCCTTCGACCCGATAATCTCCCCTCTGACATCCGCAGAGAGCAAGGTAATATCGAGGAGATGCGTGAAAGCTACGCTGATTGGGATGAGTGGTAAATATCCTCTGGAAATCATCTACGACAATTGAGGTGAAAGGCTTGCTAATGGTTTATCTGCCCTTTGCAGCCTGCAAAAGCTCGTCTCTTGTGTGCCGTTGGTCTACAAGTGGAAATTGACCCACCTTTCTGAACTAGACTCATGGACTAAGGTTGGTACATAAAAGTAGCTCTTATCATTTCAAGGTTAACCGATTTTCAACAGGGATCCGTTGCCCTTCTAGGAGATGCATGTCACCCTACTTTACCGTACCAGGCGCAAGGGGCTGCCATGGCAGTTGAAGATGGAGCAGTCATCGGGAAGCTTCTTGGCTCCTTACAGGGCTATTATCTGGAGCCAAGCAAGTCGGGAAATGATCCATCGATATCAACAAGATCTTCGGCGCAGGATCTGACCGCCGCTGTGCTGAAACTCTATGAAAATAATCGCAAAGCACGCACCACACGAAATGTTCGTGGGGCAATTATGAACCGAAAGCTTTTTCACATAGAGGACGGGATTTTACAGAAGATTCGAGATTTTGTGCTGGGTGGCGCGGGGGTTACTCGCAAAAGCGATTGGACATGGTTATCTTCATTCCGACAGAGACAGACACTCGGTCTGGATGTGCTGCAAGAGTGTGGTAAGACCTTTGAGGAGTGGAGACTGTCAGTTTCCCTATAGCAATGAATGTCAAAATACCGGCTGTGTAATATGATGAATCCCGCTCAAAGTTAGTGCTATTGTTCCAGTAGACTGGTAAATACCACCACTTTTGATCGGCAACCTACTCTTTGTATAAGTTAAGTAAGGTATCCTCCGTCACAAAATCTCACCGGTCTCGAAGATCAAATGACAATAGTTCACGATCGGCTGAGCTCGATTTTCGCTTTTATTCGGCATGTATCCACAATGCACCGTGCAGGACATTCCTCTGAATCCTCAGGTAGACACGTGTGCGTTGGGTTATGATCCACCAATTTTATGTTAATTGGGCATAACCTGCGACGGCTGATTTACTTCAGCTGAGACTTTTCAATTTTCCTCAAACATTTCTGCGGTCGACCAGAATCGGCCGTCTTCGGTGGCCATGGCTACTCCACCGGGTATTGACGTCGGCAATTTGACGGGAAAATGGCTTATTGTTCGTCCCCACATCCTTGACATTGACCTTTGCAGAAGACTCACTAGTCGGTATAGGACAAAAAGTATTCGACAGATCCAGAGCCTGGCCTAAAGCTGGTATGTCCAAGTTCCCGTTGAGTATGGTAGGTTGAATGACTTTTCTCAGCAAGGAGTTCACTGGATGCTTCGAAAAGCACTTGGCTTAGCAGTAGTGACGCTACACATATCATTGAAAGGAATCCATCTTGAGATCCTCCAGTTCCCGACTGGCGGTCTGGCGCAAGTTTCTTAAACCCGAATTTTGGACGATCATGAATCCACCATACTCAGAGACGTTCTCTTTGGCTCCAGGCGTTCGCAAAATCGGTTGATTCAGGGCATTGAAGGTCCACACAGTCGGATAGTCCCCGACCTTGTCCCGAGGACCCCGATCTCCGAACCCAAGATTCGTCAGTTTATCAGGGGTGAGATAAAGTCCGGAGGGAGCTGATGGAGGGTTCGTCACCGATGGTCATGGATTGTGGATCCATAGCTTTGACGAGCGGGAAGATGGTGCATGGACAGTGGAGCAGGTGAGTTTCTCTTCCCGAGGACTTGGGGATCGACGGCTGAAATATGGGCGCGATTTTATCAGGTGTGGGGTTTCGAGATGAACGACGGGAAGCGATACCATACGAGAAGATTTGTTGTCAATAACAGAGGTACTTTCGAGACGCTCGGGTTGTTTTCTCGTATCTTGGACCATGAACTATTGGAAATAACAGCCATCAGATCCACTTTATCCACTTATGCCAAAAACCCTGTTGATCTATTTGAATCTTACTCGATAGCCTTTTGATGTGGAATTCGGGCTCCACTTTGGAAATCTTCAAGTTGTATTGAAATACAGGCAGTGTACTAACTACGTATTACTACACGTGTCGTATCGTTGATTTCATGCTCTAAACATTTGAATTGTTTATCTTGTCGGTAGCAGACTTCCCTCTTTCTACTCTATTTAAAACCAACCTCTTCTCCATTGTATCCTTTTGCTGTGAGGATACAACAAAATGCCTATCTTTCAACGCACAACATCATTTTTCAAAGGGTCGACTGTGAAGAAAAATCCAGGGCCACGACGGACAACCTCCACCGACTCGCAAGCCTCATCAATGCGCTCCGATTCTAGCCATGTCCCGACAGCTACCTCTATCAGTTCATGCAGTATCGGTCAGATACTGGATCAATCAGCCCTTGCAGCACCTTGCGACTACATTCGATCATTGCCTTCCAAAGATATCCGGAAGAAGTTGATTGACGCATTCAACATTTGGTTCCAGTTACCAAACGACGACATCAACGGCATTGGACAAATCATTAATGACCTTCACAATGCTTCCCTAATCTTGGATGATATTCAAGATGACTCTTTGCTCCGGCGTGGAAGTCCCGCGACACACTGTATCTTCGGAAATGCCCAGTCAATCAACAGTGCAACATACATGTTCATGAACACATGTCTGATGCTGCAGCATGTCCCATTCTCGAGCCCAGCTACGATGGACATACTGTTGAAGGGAATGATGGAACTGTTTGTCGGACAAAGCTGGGAGCTCAAGTGGAAATTCCATGTTTCTTGTCCATCTGTACCGGAGTACATGGCTATGATCGATGGAAAGACAGGCGCCATGTTCAACCTCTTGGTCCGTTTGATGCACAGCATGTCGCAGCAAGACACTTTCCTCCTGAAATATGTTCGCTTCGCGACCTTACTCGGCCGATTTTATCAGGTCCGAGATGATTACCTCAATCTCCTAGACGACAAGTACTCGGAGCAAAAGGGGTTTTGTGAGGATTTGGACGAGGGCAAATTCTCGTACCCGGTCGTCTCGTGTTGCAACTCTGATCCCAGTAAGCAAGATTTGATTCTTGGAATTTTCCGACAGAATGGCGATGGAAGAAGTCCTCTTTCGAAGAACACAAAGATGTACATACTTGATCTCATTAAGAAATCGGGGGCGTTTGAAGCTACCTGCGAGTTGCTGAACCAATTGAAGCAGGAGGTTTGGGAGGCACTTTCGGACCTTGAGGTGGCAACAGGCCAACAAAATGTGGGCTTACGGCATATCATGAAAGCTTTATCAGTGGTATAGGGGACTAGGTTTAGTTGATACAGAGAGTTAGATCACGAGTGGGGGCCCTATATCTTCCAGACCAGGATATTCTAAACGGACATTTAAGTACATAATCAAGTTGATATACTAAATAGGTACTCGGGTAGATACTCAAGTAGGCATCTTTCTGGATGAACTATTCTATAAACCTTTCCCGGATAGAGACTTTGAATTACATGATGGTCTTGAGATCGGCCTGGGACAAATCCGTTCTCCACGATTGCGGAGCCGCGAGATTGGCTGGGAGCTTATCCAGTGGAGGACCTCTGAAACCCTTCCCGGATCTCTTTCCCGTGGTGATGGTCGCTGTCTGGATGGCTCCAGAGTTCATAGTGCTAGAATTACCCAGAGCTCCAGGTTTCACAGAGATAGTAAGGCTCGTAGTGCCAGACTTCTTCAGAGTTCCAGATTTCACAGGGTTCACGAGGTTCACATGATTCCTAACTACTTAGTATACCTTCTTAAGTACCTCAGTGCCTATTTAGGGTATCTAGTTAGAATGCTTGTTAAGAGGTAGATGAACAGAGAGTAGAGTACTCTAGTAATTTATAGCTAATAGTGATCGCTTGTTGATCAAATCCAAGCAATATTGGTTTTGCCTAATTACCGAATCTAAAGTATCTATCAATGCCACTACTGAGCGGCGCAGATACGCATTCTATTACTTAGTCTCGCTCCAATATTTTCGTGGATGATTGGTCCATGTTGAGATATAGTAAAGGCTGGTCTAAGGAGATCTTGGAGAGATCTCGGATCCAGCGTGACTGGCTAGATACATATTCCTGGACAGAATTTTCCGTACTGTCAGTTCTTTAGTGTAGATAAAAATTTCAAGTCTGAATTATCTCTCGAACTAAGGTAAATTTTGAGTAATATCATATCATTCTCTTTTCTTCTCTCCAATCTTATGACCAGAGAGAGAGAGGGAGAGGGAGAGAGAGAGAAAAATGCATTATACTCTAATATCAGCCACCGTGGGGGGCTCTTACAGAGTCGACAACGGCCGGAAAAGCGAGTTGAATCTTGCTGTAGCAGCTCACATCACTAGTTATGTCGGTTGTATACAAGGATAACGCAGTATTGCGGATTATCTCCTCCTTGTCTCTATGGTGAGAGATTAGGTAGATTTATGAGTGTGACTCACTATGTGAGATAGGAAGGGGATTAAGTAGCGGAGTTTTATACTATTAACTCCCCTATATAGCGCCGTCCCTATATAGTTTATTCTTTTATAGTCTGTTTGTATGTAGTATACCATATCAGAAAAAGAAAGTATAGTTATACTAGATATTTCGTGGAATCTGGTGTCTGAGCTTATAGATCGGGTCAAAAAGACAGAGTTCATCTTAGCTTGTATATATTTGGTATTCAAGATATTGACTTTGGGAAGGCGTGTTAATAAGGTCATGTCCGTAGGTATAGTGTAGCTGGAGGCTTTGTTTAAGAATATCCTCGGTCCCTATAATATGACGGGTGCCTTACTAGGAAGCAAGGCTAATAGGATAAGTATTAGTCTTTTTTAATAAGCTAATATGATAGGGTTAAGATTAATTATATGATTGAGGGTAAGGGCTATACTAGGGGGATTACGAAGTAGCCTTCGCGGGAGATCCCTTTAATTCTATTACTCTCTCCTAAGTCACGTCTGGTCTATCTCTCTTGCTTACTGAGGCCTTAGTCTCCCGAAGTCATAGGGCCTAATAGGTAGATAAGAAGTGTGGATTATCTTTTGTTGTTTTGGTGGTCTTAGGGGTGTGTATAAGAGTCGTTTTAGGGGGGGTGCGGCGGTCTTCTCCTGAGTGAAGTGCGCGTGGAAAAGATAGGTGAGCGTGGGCCATAAGAAAGTCGTGGGAAACGAGAAAGCGAATATGTTCATTTTTCTACCCTATAGCCAGTAAATGCCATGAGGTTCAAAAAAAAAAAGGAGGAAAGGTCCAGCCGGACCAGTACTCGCGGTAAGGCGGACCGGCCAACTGAACCCAAGGTTTACTTACAGTATATGGATCTATGGATACTATGATGGAAAATCAGACAATCACAATTTCTCCCCTCCTATCACCCGCCCTGATAGATGGAATTGGAATTGCATTTTGAACCTGCTAGAGTCTAGACGACGACTGCAATCTGTTGAGGAGCTCTGGTCAGATAGTCTCTATAGACAGATTGGCGTACATCTAGGGGGAATACATATCCCTCATATGGATTGTATCTGTTTGCAATATACTCATATGCCTGAAGCAAGTACCCTTCGTCATCGAACACTCTCCTAAGCTGACGACGAATGGATGGTTCAAAGCAAATCAGTCCGGATATCAATCAACTGGAGAAATCCTGTTTTTCGCTCAGGCAGAGATAGGATTCGATCCTTCGGTGACATTGCAAGCATTTGGGACAGTGTAACTTCCTAAGTTACGATTGCAGGTATCATAACAGGTGAAAAGGGTTCTGCCGGTCCACATTGTGTCCCTCGGGTCTAGGTCGAGGTCTGGGTTAAACCACACGACTCACCCATTCCGATAATATAGAATACCTCCTTCAAACCACCCCATACCCGGTGGGTCAGGTCGGATTCTGCCATCCGGAAGGAGATGATCGAGTTCACCGATGCTGTTTTGGATGTAATGAAGTCCGGTATTGAAAATCTTCTGGACGATAAGACGCGAGATGATCAACAGTAACTCCTGCCGCAACGATCGTAACGAATATCATGAGGATGAACTCTATCAAAGTGGTTTCCCAAATTGATTCGTTTCCTTCTGGTCGATCGTGTGATGGTGAACGAGGTTCTGGAGGATTCAAAGGGTGAGATTCCGGGGGTGAGATTCCAGAGGGTTGGCGGGTGACTCACGATGATGGGTGTTGGATGGAGGTCAGAAACGAGTGAGAGCAGCAGAACTGGCTCTCACCGCGGAATGGACCCCGAGTTTTTCGGATATGAGTGTCCGCACGGGGGCGAGTAGCGGTCATGAGGAAAGAACCTTTTAGCGTAGCGCCTTATACTTAGGCATTATATCATATCTCCTACTAAGTACTGAGTCTCCTATTAAGTCTCCTACCAAGTCTCCTACTGAGTCTCCTACTTAGTCTTCTATTTAAAATTCTACCTTCTTTTATACCAGTTCAGTTAAATGGTCAAAGGGCTCTCGTGGAGGTTTCGAACGTACGTCTAAAAAGTCTGCGATATATTCAAGTGGTAGAGGGGTAGATTAGCTCAGTAGTGTTTGTGATTGTCTGCCACTTAATATATGATATATTTTAAAGGTTCTGTCCTTATGGCCGCTACTTACTTCCTTAATATCCCTCACAAGTTTCCACCAATCTCTCCAGGGGCCTTACGCCTCTCCACCTCAGTGAGTCCCTTTAATCCTTTCTTCACTATTACACTTTTCAGCTTCGTTTCTAATTATACCGAGCGGCCAGACAACCGGCGCATATTTCGGCGCTCTGAGAGAATTGGATGCTGCAACAAGTGCCTGCAGACTCAGACATCGTTGTCTGTACGTTATGGCTTTCCTCTCATCCGCGGAACTATCGAGATGTATTTAAGCATCAGTTTTCCTTCCGGATCAGTGCCGGAGACGGAATTATCTACTACATTCATCACTTCGTCCCCATCAGCGGCCGTGACATCATCAGTCAATATGGCCAAAATTCTGTTTTTCACACCCGGGTCGGAAGAAATCCAAGATGCTCCCTTATGGGAACTCATGATATTGTTGCTTGTGATGATCGTCTTCGCGGGAGAGGTTTTGAGGATTTGGTACATGGTGGACGGAATTTCCACCCACCTCATGCCAATCCAATTGGGGTCCATCCAGGCACAACTTCGGTACCTGCTGATGTTCCCCGCGAGCGAATTCCAACACCACACTCTTCGGATTCTGAAAGTTGGACTCGCGGTTCTGACTCCGGTTCCGACTCTGGCTCTTCGAGTGGGTCTTCTAGTTCTTCTACCCCCCCCTTAACCCGGTCGAATGAAGTTTATGGGCGCTGATTCCATTACATCTCCAGCAAATGACCGCCAATCAGAGGGAATCAGCCCGGTTGTCGCAAAACGAGATAATTCTCGTTATGCATTGTAAATCGAGCATCCGGGAAACTTTCCTATGCCATTTCACAAAAAAAGATGGATATCTCAGGAAGGCGCACGAGGATCTGAGGGTTCAAAAGGGTGCCAATGGGGACTATCTGTACCCATTGGCGATGCGGCGGTCCGTTGTCCGCCGGTACAACAATCGATATCCATGATGGACAGACTGAGATCACTTCTCAGTTCCGGGTTTTCTTTCCATTTTTTCTTTTTTTGCATAGTTGATTTGTCCGTTTTATTATCTCGTTATTTCTCTAGATAGGTAAAATGGTATAAATTCTCCATTTACCAATTTCGTTTTATCTGCCTCTTTTTGTATTTTTATGTCTGAACAGGTACCCGCACAGGTAAACTGGCATGACTTCTTTACTCCATTACTCCACTGGATCCGGGGTAGTCACGTGCACTGTACCTCGGCACTCTAGCTCAAGGCCGAGACCCACGCGGTTCCCGCTTTCCAAGGTTCCGGCGCTGTGCTCCGCCATCTCCCTCTCCCTCATGATGATTACGGGGTACACAATGATTATACGATGAGTTCAACTAACTTCGCCGCCGCACAGGAACGAGTGCTAGAGCGCCGTCGCCTCCGTGAGGCTGAAGCGCGTGCCCGTCGGGCAGAGCAGCAACGGGTTTCTCCAATCAACTCGGCTGCCGTCCAGCGTTTACCGTATCCGTTGAACAAATTACCAGGGGCAGGATGGACCCTCTGGAACTCAGTGAAAGGTAGAGAAGGGACGCGACCGGCATTCCGTGTCGGCCAAGTTGACGCCGAATTGCTGGATGAGGAACTGCTAGGCCTGTTGAAAAGCCAGGTCGGAGATGCGCTCAAATATTTCGGGGTATGTATTGATGGATGTCCCCTAGTGAGCAAACTGCAGACACTAATTGTTCAAATAGCCTCAGATGCGGGAGGACTGGTCTCATGAAATTCTTTTCGCGCTACGGGCTATCCTCTTCAAACTATCGATATGGGACCACAACGCCTCGTATGGTGCCGCGCTTCAGGGCCTTCGATATACCGACAGTCGCAGTGCAGGCCCTGTATACTCAACCCCGACAAAGACACAAAAGACAATTTATGGTCTCCTTACAGTCGGTGGACGTTATGCATGGGACAAGTGGGGCAGTTGGCTGATCGGACAGGAAGGTGGCTATGAAGAAGTCAGTCATTAGTCAATCACATCTACAAGAATCCGTGCTAATCACCCTTTTCTAGCCATCGCAAGAGGTTCGCATGTTCTCACGATTAACAGACTTGGCTTCCTCAGCCCACTCGGTCGCCGCCTTCGCTTCTTTCCTTGTCTTCCTGGTCAACGGCCGCTACCGCACATTGGTCGACAGGATCCTACGAATTCGCCTTACACCACCATCTGCCCAGGCCAGTCGGGAGGTCTCCTTCGAATACTTAAACCGACAATTAGTCTGGCATGCCTTTACCGAGTTCTTGCTTTTCCTCCTACCTCTCGTTGGAATCAGTCGTTGGCGACGGTGGATTTCTCGGGCATGGCGGAAGGCCGTCAATGCGCTTAAGTCAAGCGGGGAGGAGGAGGATTCCACTGAAAAATATGGAGAGCTTGCTCATCTTCCGGAACGAACCTGTGCGATCTGTTACCGAGACAAAAATCCCACCTCCACCACCGAAAGTGACGTTCTTGCTGCCTCGGCCTCTGGTATTGCGGGGTCAGCACAAACAGACATCACCAACCCATATGAAACAATCCCATGTGGCTGTATCTACTGTTTTGTTTGCATAGTTCAGAAGCTTGAAGGAGAAGAAGGTCAGGGATGGGTCTGTCTCCGTTGTGGTGAGATTGTCAAGAAATGCCAGCCCTGGAATGGAGACGTCCTGGAAGAGGGCCGGTCACAACCTGGCACTGGAAAGATTGTGGGATTTGCCATAGATGACGAGAATGGCCTCAAGGAGTTGGATCAGTCTGGGGAAACCACCAGCAACTCGTAAGGCCTGTTTGTGTATTCCTACTACAGTATCATTCTTGGTTAATATTTTAATCCGTCTTTGTCCCTCGTGGTTCCATCAATAGAACTCTCTATCAAATGTTTTTCCTAAAGTTGCGGATAAATGATTAAAATCTTGTATATTCATATTACATGCAGTGTCATTCAATCATGATCAAGTATCTCCTCGTACACAGCAAGTCTTCTTGTCTCACCTTAACCTACTTCTTCCCCTTCCCCTTGTTTTTTTTCTTCTTGTTCTCTGGCTCAGGAACACTAATGGTTCCTTGTATTATATCGTTACCCTGGCCTTGCAACCGCTGTGATCCACTAATAAAAAAGGTCAAATCACGATTCTGCTCTTCCAGATCCAACTTCTCGGCTTTCAACGACCCATTCTCTTTTGTTAAAATCTCAAGACGCTCCATAAGAGACTGATTCATAGTCTTCTCTTCCCGGTAATCTTTCTCCATGCGCCGGGCAAGAGATTCAAAATTTGCCGCTCGTTTCTCGAGGCGGGTGCGGTCTTTCTCAAGAGCTGGGATTGTTTCGTTCAAAATCGTGTCGTATTTGGAATTGAGGGCTTCGAGGTGTTTGTTTGCTGTTTTGGCCGCTTGCTCTGCTGCTAGGGCTGACGCGGTAGCTTGAGAGGCTTTATCAGCCGCACGCTCAACGATTTCTTCGAAATAGGCCCGCTGGCTTTCGAGTTGACTGGTTAAAAGATGTGTGTATTCTATACTCATGTTCTCAAGCTTCTCCCGGGGAACGGCATCGGCCCAGTCGGGTGGGTCAAGGGCACTGTCATCGGCAGCGGGAAGTTCCACCAATTTGCCATCGGTTTTGCTCTGAATAATACGATGTACGTAGGCGTCACCGACATAGTCCCAGACGCGTTGGGAGTTCAAATCTATGGCGAAAACATGAGTTGTTTCTTTCCAATGGTCGAACGCGTGGGCTCCGTCGTAGCGGCCACAGCCGACCTGCCCACAGATGAGGCATGCCCAGAGATTCTCTTCGGAGTGGCACACGCTGCACTTGGCTGGTTCTTCATCGGAGTCGCCGACATTTGCTCCTCTACGGAAGTCGTCTTGTGTATATCTGCACACCGGGCAGCCGCTGCCTTTCCATTTTTGAAGGCAAGTGCAATGAAAGACGTGTTGACAAATAATAGTCAAAAGTCCTGTGGTTTCATCCATTCGCTCCAGGCAAACAGGACAAGTCGGAAGTTCAATCAGCGCCGGTGTCGGTGGCGCAAGAGGTTTGGTGGAAAGAGTCGCCTGTCCAGGCGAGAGGGGGCCAGATTCCGTGGGAGAAAAATTTGACGGCGGCCCAGATTCCACCACCTGAATCTCGACTGACTTGACAAAGACTACATGGCAGGTTTCAGGTTCCATGCTGTTGAAAACCTTCCCATTGCACTCCTTTTGCCACTCGACTGCCTTCTTCCCGTCTCGAAACTTCATCAAAACCATATACCGATTTGCACGCGGCGTCCTTATCATTCTAAAATGACTCACATCGTCCAACATCTTCTCACCCACAAACCCCAAGAAATCTGACGGCGAAAGGTAAGAAGGCACAGCTAGAATACATAGCGTTGTGCATTCATCTGTCGTATTGAGATCTTGTGATGTAGAATCTGTCGCGGGAAACGGAAACGCTTTCGGCTCTGCTGAGCTCTTACCTCGGCGATGGCCATGTTTAGTACCAGCCGAAGACTGTTGCTGATCTCCAGGCTGCCTCGCCGTCGCCGCAGACCCCTTCAAGTAGTTCGGGTAATCGTCATTGTTGCTGGCAAGGTAAGATGTTTCCTGGGTATCGCGGTATAGATGAACAATTCCGTAGACGCTTTCTCCGACCTTCTGGTCTAGGGGGATGAATCGGCCTTTGGTGCGCAGGCCGCCAAGAATCTCAGTACCGATGCCTGCTGTGACGAGGTTGGCCTCTCCCGACGGAGGCCGCCTATGAGATCGCTTGATTTCGGGCACAACCATATCAATACACTCTATTGATATCGGGCCAGTGCGAAGGTCTGTTCTGAGGGATGGTGTGTGCTGCGCGAAAAGAGGGGAAGTGGCGGTGGAAGACAGGCGCCCCGATGTTTTGTGGATAGAAGCGCTGCCAGCAAAGCTGTATCTGGGTCGGTGGGCGAGAGTATCCTCGCTAGTGTCCTGCGGGTGGCTCGCTGCACTTGATGTAAAGCTCGAGAGGCGGGGTCGCGTTTGGAATGGTTCAAGGGCTTCGTAGGCGGATTCGAGCGCTAACGATGAAGCTTTTGAAGACTTGTGGTTACAGAAAATTTCCAGACTGAGGTGATAAAAGTAAGAGGGCATCCCGGGCGATGTCGCATGGTGTGAGGCCTCAAGTCTTGAATCTACTAGTAAATCAAGTGTTGATAACGATAAGACTGTCTGGGGGCGAACGTTTGGACAGCAGTGACCGCCTTGGACTGCGACCAAGCTACTCCAACTTTGGTCTTGATCTTCCCCAAATATGCGCCCATTCTCCAATGGCTGATCTATATCCTTCATTGGCACAATGCGCCATTGTTGCAGGTGCACTCAAGGTGCTACTTTTTCCCGCGTAGTGAGTTCACTATCCCCGAAGCTTTTATTCTCAGTCTTCTGACCGTGTCCACCCACAGCAAATCTACCGACTTTGAGGTCCATCGCAATTGGCTCGCCATCACCAATTCGCTGCCGGTCAATGAATGGTACTATGAAGTGTGTTGAGAGCGTAATTCAACAAAATTCCCGGTTGGATCTAATGCGAAGCCAGAAAACCTCCGAGTGGACCCTCGATTACCCCCCGTTCTTCGCGGCCTTCGAATGGCTCTTGTCTCAAGCGGCTGCATATGTCGATCCGGCAATGCTGGTGGTGAAGAACTTAGGCTATGACTCGTGGGAGACAATATATTTCCAGAGAGCAACGGTTATTCTGACTGAGCTGGTTCTAGTCTATGCGCTGAGCCGGTGGGTCCTGTGTGTCGCGACGAGTGTTACCTGTGCTGATGATTGAATAGATTCGTCAAATCTGCTCCCTTAGCGAACAAATCGGCCGCCCATATAGCCAGTCTCTCTATCCTCCTTTCGCCGGGTCTATTCATTATCGACCACATCCATTTCCAATACAATGGGTTCATGTATGGGATCTTGATCCTGTCCATTGTCCTCGCTCGTCGGCAATCAAAGCTTCTTAGCGGAATTGTATTCGCGATACTGTTGTGTTTCAAGCATATCTATCTTTACCTATCTCTGGCCTATTTCGTCTACCTGCTACGTGTCTACTGTCTCGATCCTAAGAACTTCCTCCGGCCCCGCTTCGGCAATACCATCAAGCTCGGAGTCTGTATAGTCGGGATCTTTGCAATTGCATTTGGACCATTCGTGCAATGGGGCCAGATCTTCCAACTGAAAGATCGACTATTTCCATTTTCGCGGGGGCTATGCCATGCGTACTGGGCGCCTAATGTTTGGGCTATTTACTCGTTCACCGACCGAGCTTTGATTCCACGTGAGCTTACTATGCCTATGTGCAGACTCTTCGTTCTTGGCCATGCTAACACAATTGATATAGTGGCACCACGCTTGGGATTGTCTGTGCAGCAAGAAGCGCTCAATAGTGTCACTCGCGGTCTCGTGGGAGACACATCTTTCGCTATCCTTCCCGAAGTCACCTCACAGCAAACCTTTGTGTTGACCTTCCTCTTCCAGCTTGTATGTATTTCTGTGTTCTATTTTGCTCATGATCACTGACTGATATTTTCCTAGGTCCCTCTCGTGAAGTTGTGGCGCCAGCCTGACTGGGATACTTTCGTCGGTGCCATCACCCTCTGTGGCTACGCTTCCTTCCTGTTTGGTTGGCATGTCCACGAAAAGGCCATCCTCCTGATCATTATTCCTTTCAGTCTCATTGCCCTCAAGGACCGTCGTTACTTCAGCGCATTCCGACCCCTCGCAGTTGCGGGCCACGTGTCTCTGTTCCCGCTGTTGTTTACATCGGCCGAGTTTCCGCTCAAGACCGTTTACACCATCTTCTGGCTTGTCTTGTTTCTTTTTGTCTTTGATCGTGTCGCTCCGGTACCCGAGCGTCCGCGAATCTTTGTCTTTGACCGTCTGTCTTTGCTGTATCTGACCATCGCGATCCCGCTTATCGTGTATTGTTCCCTGCTGCATCAGCTTATATTTGGTTTTGAACGGTTGCAATTTCTGCCTCTAATGTTTATGAGCAGCTACTCTGCGCTCGGGGTGCTAGGCAGCTGGATTGGATTTATGGTGGTCTACTTTACCGCATAGCTATGTTCCGACAGGACTTGATCTTACAGGCCAATAGAAATTAAACCTATCTCTCTTTTGGTTGTATGAGGAGACCATAATACGCTCAAATTTCACACACCTGGATGCAACGCACAAGGATCGTTCTATCTACCTGTCCCTATTAACGACTAGATTAATATGAACTCGGGAAGTAGAACGGATATTTAGTCAATTTGGAATGGAGCTAACTGTCCTAGAAACTTCAGCCTAAATGTACAAGAAAATATACAGAATGGATACTTGAACTACCTGGACTCGGAACCTCGGGTGTTCACCTTGAACAATTGCAGAGAATTCTGACATTATTTTACGGAAAATCACCTGTACATTAAGATTTTTTTTGTCGTGCATTGATTGTTCCTCGACAATTGGCGGGATTTGCCAATGCTGGTGGTCCATCACGCAAGATGGTGTGATTGCGTCAAAATCACGTCTGTCACGAATTTAGCCGACGAGCCGATATCTCCGCATTTTCCCAACTTATCGTTCAATGCTATCAATATTGCTCTATGTATACACAAGCTACCCGATAACCCGCGGTCGGTCGATTCGACAACCCGATGCGGAGTCTATCAGCCATGTCGCCGATCTGTCTACAGTGAAGTATATAACACTCGATCTCTCTGACTTTGCAAAGTGACATTGTTCAAATCTTTTGTTATATTCGAGCCTTCTTCATCATGGCTACCATCACAGAGACATATCCCACAACTGTCTCCACCAAAGCGGTTGACCTGACCAAATTTCCCGATGGTATTAAAACTTCAGGTCAACATCCTCCTGTCTACTCCCAAGTACGCCCTTACTCGGACTTCCCGAAGCACATTGAAGGGCCTACTGTATGGAAGGCCGAGGACTACACCCAAGCCCCGGAGAAGTGGACGCATCAGTTCACCGATGACGAGATCCAAGAAATCAGCGACGCATCAGATAAGTTTATTCAAGACAAAACACCTCTTGAGGGTATTTCCAAGGTCAGTGGAGACTTCATGCTACCTTGATATTATTTGAATCATCTCTCATTCGAGTTATAGAGCAACTTCCCTCTCCCTAAGCTTTCAAAGCGACTTGAGGAGCTCCGAAAAGTTTTGATTGATGGAACCGGCTTCTGGCTGTTCAAGGGAGTCCCCGTCAATGAATGGGACCTCCAAAAGTGTGCCACGGCATACATGGGTCTTGGAACCTATATTGGGTACTTCACTAGCCAGAATGGTCGTGGCCATGTCCTTGGACACGTCAAGGATCTCGGCGAAGACCCGACCAAGACCGAACGAGTCCGTATCTACCGCACTAATGCTCGGTAAGCCTCCTTATCGACCTCTGACCATAACAAGCCAGGGCTAATATCTTCTATAGTCAGTACTTTCACACCGATGGATCTGATATCGTCGGTCTTCTCTGCATTGCTAAATCTAAAATCGGTGGTGAATCCGACATTGCATCGACACACCATGTTTTCAACGTTCTTCAAGAAAGACACCCTGAGGTGATCGAGACCATGGTCACCCCAAATTGGTATTTCGACCGTAAGGGCGAGGTCTCCGAAGGCGAGGAGGAATGGATCCGAGGATCTATCCTCTACTTAGAGAACGAGCGCGCCGGCGCCAATCCCCGTATTTACGCCAAATTCGATCCGAACAACCTGACCTCACTGTCACGGTTCAACTCTGGACCGGATGCCAAAATTCCCCCTCTGTCCGATAAGCAAAAGTTTGCTCTAAAGACATGGGATGAGACCTGTGCCGAACTAGCTCTTCACATGGTGCTGTCACCCGGTGATATCCAGTTTGTCAGCAACTCTCATGTCTTCCATGCGCGCACTGCCTACGAGGACCACCCTCCTGGTGCTGTTGATGAGAACGGCCGTCTGATCCGCGCACGCCACTTGATGAGACTTTGGCTCTCTGCACCTGAGTCTGAAGGTGGTTGGAAGCTTCCTTACCACGACACGCTTGAGAAGAAGCGTGGTGGTATCCAGGTTAATGACCAGCCACCTTACTGTCCCTTGGATGCTGAGTAAACTTGAAACTTGGGAGATGCTGGCATTTCTTTGCATTGATTTGCATTTATATAACTATGAATTTAATTGAGCCTTTGATCATCAATTTTTAAAGACCGAATCACCTGGGCAGTAGTAGTTACTAGTGACGATTGATCTATGTAGGCGAGGCTTATCGCAATTACTCCGATTGGCTGACAAATATTCAATTGCCAGATCCGGTTAATCCGGTTAATCGGAATTAATTATTCGATACTTCCCGTGATGAATAGACCGGCGATTTTCTATTTGATTTCTTCAAATCCCTCTTCTAACCATGAGCCTGCCTAGCCACAACCTTGAAGCTCTCGAGCAGCGTCGCCTTGCGCTGAAAGAAAGTATCCTTCAACTCCAAAAGTCACTTTACCATTGGCGCACCTGGGAAGCAGAATATGACGGACTCCGCGACGAAATCAAAGATCTGCCCGATGACGCCACTACCGATGACTTTCTCGCTGTGGGACGCGGATTTGGTGGTTCATTGGTAACCGAGGAGGAAATGCAGACTATCATCGGCACGCAAGGCGCATCACGGACAAGCGAACAAATCGTCAGCCTTCTCGGACGGCGCATCGACTACGTGAAGCAGAATGTTACAATCATGGAGAAGAGGCTACGTGCTGCGGAGGACGACATTGTTGCGTTGGATACAAGCGAACGCCCACCGGTTGAAGACGGCACGGATTTTCCCATGAAAGAGATTATGGAAGAGCTGGATGAGGACGGAGGCGTCATCTCTGGATCGGTAAATACGCCAGGTGATCAGGCACCACAGCTCTTGGAGGTCTTGAAGAAGGTCGGCGTTGAGAATATCCCGCACAAGGCCGAAGACTCCAGTGAAGGTGCCTCGACCACGCCTCAACAGAGGGCGGATAACACTCAGACAAACGCCACCAAGTCTCAGGAGAATGAATCTTCGAATGGTTCAACTCCCCGACCGGAAGCCAACTATTCTCCGGTACAGGAGCTGGATATCGCAGAGCCAGTGTCCATTGTGACGGATGAGGATCGGAATCAGCCACCCATTACCGGTATCGATGAGTCGTTGGAAGATGCAACATTACGCCGAGAGATGTTTCAGTACGGTATTAATGAGGTGGGTGCGATTGTCGCTGAGCTGGAGCTGGATGAAGACGGAAGCGATGTGTCATATGACGAAGACTACGCATGGGCTACAGACGAGGACGCGGAGGAGGAAGATGAGTTCGGCCGGTCGCGAACCGAGCTGAGTGATGAATACCACAAACAGATGCGAGAGTTAGAGGAAAAACTGAATGCCCGCGGCATGTGGAACATGGGCAAGGACTCGCGAACTTTCCCGGCCGAGGTGCAAGAAGAAGTCGAGGCGGCCGCTGCAGCACAAGCCATTCAGCCTGAAGTTGCGGAGAGCTCTTCAAAGGCAACGAAACCAAAGAAGCGAGTTGCATTTGCTGACGAACTCGACATCGCCCCTACGCCCAAGGCTCCGCAGATTGAGCATATCCCAACTGCTGAGAGAAGGACTCTCCCACCCAAGTCTGACGTGACTGTACTGTCAGACGCTATTGTTGAGCGTACAGATTGTGTGCAGGATACCCAGCCAAACGCTGCTGCTGCCCTTCCCAGGAAGGCTTCTCGGTTCAAGAGTGCGCGCTCAGCCGCCCCCGACGCCGGGACTACTATTAAGCCTGTATCAACAAATGGGGCACAATTTGCAGAGTCTCATTCCACTCGAAAACAGGCTAATGCTGTTCAATCAATAAACACACCTGCCCTCTTCCCTGCCACTCCTCAGGCACCCAAGCCATTCTCTACCCCGATCCAGGATCTCCCTGAAAGCTCATCTGGCCCTCAACCGCCACAGGGGAAGACGTTGGCGGACACACTTGTTGAGCGAGAAGTTACTCTCGGAACCGCTCCTGCCCCGGAACTGGACGACCTAAACGAGGAAATCCACCGCCGTGAAATTGCCAGCGAGTTTTATAAAATGCGAAACCACATGATTCAGCAGAATGGTGGCTTTGTGAATAACGAAGAGCCTGAAATGGTCCCAATCGACACTGAAGAACAACCGAAGCGGATGAGCAAGTTCAGAGCTGCCCGCATGAATCAATGATATAAACCTCTTCGCCAAGGCGATACTGTACATAATAGAAAACCAGTGCCTGCAATGATCCCATGTCACATTTAGCGAATGCACCACAGTTATTCAATGGAAATCTGATATGCACATTATCACTAGATCAGCCAGTTTATTAAGAAGCTTTCTCTTCGAGGACGTGAGGCATGGCGATGCTTCAGAAAATGGTAGTACTGTATACATAACCAAAATACTGTACAGTATACTTACTGTACATATATATATCGGTTTGTACATTATCTGAGATGGCAGCCAAAGTAATGTTTACAACGAGAAAACCAGCACTTGAGCGCCTGATTAGAAGTGAGCACTGATAAGAAAGTATAGGATTACATCAGTGTTGGAGCATTTGATGGTTTATTGCGTTCTAGCTAGATACTGTCCGTCACCCACCACAAGTGCGTCAACCCGCCAGTCATGCGCCATCACTGGGATTTCCTCCACCATCTGCTCCTGGAGCGACAAGGCCACTAGCAACGGTTAGTATCAGAAGGGAAAAATACTCGAGTTAAATATTTACCGAGGAATGGCATTTTCTTGCTGAGCTGAGAATAACGAGTGAGGAAGTGGTCATAATATCCTTTCCCGTGACCAAGTCGCCGAAACTCCCGGTCAAAAGCCATGCCTGGCATTACAATAAGATCCAATCCATTCTCTGTCAAGCCATTACGACGACCTGGTACCTGACTAGGCCGTAAAGAGGGGATGCCCCATTTGTCAGGTTGCAGTGACTCATATTCCGTCATTGATTCGAGCGCGAGCATATCCATGACTGAGGTTTTTTCCACGGTGTGAATGTACGGGATGTACACGTTTTTACCGCGTGCTAACGCATCCCGGACGATATTACCAGTAGAAAGTTCTCCGGTCGGCATTGACAAGTAAACGGCGATATTCTTCGCATTCTGGTATTCGGGCAACGTCAGGAATTGACTGGTCGCAACTCCGGCTGCAATGGTCAGTGAAGGATTGGGGGAAACGCGCCAATATAAAAGCTAACATTGTTGATTGATTAAAGAGGTAGGCATCAGTTGAAGTGTCTCGCGCATCCGCTTGCGCAGATCGCGCTTTGCAGTCTGAAAGGCCAACATTGTGGGTAAAGGCAAGGTAAAAAGGGCAAAAGGCAAGGAGTTTCTCATTCCACCCGATAATGATAAGGGTGGAACCCTGGTATGCTTGCACCTTGTTTGTCACCAGAATGAAGGGATCATTTGTTATTCTCTGATTTTGAACATCTTTTATTTCTCCTTCTTGACAAGCCACCATGATTTGGGTTTGGGGTCTTTTCGCGTCGGTCGCGGCCGCGGCCGCCAGTGTAGAGGATTTGATTGGTACTTGGACTACCAAGTCCCACGAGGTGTTGACTGGTCCAGTATGTGTTTTGATTGATTCGAATGAGTGAATACTGATTCCGGACAGGGATTTTACGATCCGCTCAATGACAAGTTCTTCGAACCGAATCTAACGGGTATATCTTACTCGTTTGATTCCGAAGGACACTATGAAGAGGCCTTTTATCGTGCGATAGCCAATCGTAAGATCACAAGAACTATAATGGGCGACATATACTGATCCTTCACAGCGACCGACCCATCTTGTCCCACGGGAATTATGCAATGGCAACATGGATCCTACGTCTTATCCAGCGATGGAAGCTTGACATTGACACCGATCGCCGTCGATGGTCGTCAATTATTATCAGAACCATGCAAAAAGGATACCGGCCAATATACCCGTTACAATAACACCGAACATTTCAAGGTAGGCTGTGATCAATTAATATCTACCGACATCCTTTATCTAACATTCTGCAGGGATTTTCGGCTACAATAGATCGATACCATGGAGTCCAGCGTCTGGATCTCACCCAGGCAAATGGGAAAATCATGCATCCCATGTACTTGGCCCACCGACCTCCAAGGATGCTTCCTACAAACACATTGAACCCAAGTCCCTCTGGTTCTCATAAAAAACGGGCTATCTCCGGATCTGGCCTGCATACAGGTCTCAACACTATCATCAAAGAAGAGCTCTTGAGTCCTGACCGATGGTGGTGGTTAGGGGTGTTGATGACTTCCCTCGGTGGCATGGCATTTTTCTTTTCTTAATTTTCCAATTCATATCCACATTCAGTAAGCATCTGATATACGTAGTTGATCCCTGTAGATGGTCAGAATGAGCTACCCCAGATTTACATGGTTGGCAAAGAGCTTATCCGCCTATGCGGGACACTCGGGAGTCGGGACTTGACGACCTCGGAACGGCTTGATCTTTGAAATTGAGACTCAACAGAACACCAAGTCCATGTACCAATCTCTCCGCAGAATCTCCATTCCAAAATCCTCATCCTTCGGCTACAAACGCACAATGCGGCTTCCCTACGCCCCCAACACCCCACCAAGCGATGCGCCCGCCGACACAGCCGACATCTACGCTCGCATCGCTGCGCGTCGCAACCCTCGTCCGTTGATTCCTCTGGATCTATCCTTGCTACACAGCCCACCTGTCGCAGATGGCTGGAATAGCTTTATCGGCGCAATCCGTACCCGCACCATCGTCGACTCCGGCACCATGGAACTCGCCGTGTGCCGTGTCGCGGTGTTGACCGACGCGGTGTATGAATGGAATGCCCACGCACCACTGGCGCTCAAAGGTGGTATCAAACCCGAGGAACTACACGCTTGCCGTACAATCCCATCGACCACGGAGGGTGACCTCACTGAACTCGAGAGCAGCCCGCTTACACCACAACAACGGGCCGTTTTGCGATATACCGATCAGATGACTTTGAAGATCAAAGTTCAAGATGAAGTTTTCGCACAGCTTAAGACCGTTGGGTTCAATGATCGAGAGATTGTCGAGCTCACTACTGGGATTGCTGGGTACAATTGTGTGAGTCGGGTTTTGGTCGCTCTTGACGTGGGCGAAAACAATGCTCGGGAGATGAAGAGTGTGGATCAATTAGTTGCTGAGCTGAAGTGAGGAGATACATAGCGATATACCAAACCCGTCTTTTTCCCTTTCTCTCTTCTTCCTGAATACCATGTAAGAAGTAAATGATCGTCAGTAGATCATTGAAAATGTCATGTGATACCGTAGCGTGACATGGTCTGTGCGACCGGGGTACAACTTGGTTATTCCCCCCGGTTCTTCTTATCAAGTGGACCTCGGTAACCCCAGTCCCTCCACTTCTCTTCTCTTTCACTGAATCTCACGGAACCTCAACCAATTTGACTTCGAACCTTCTGTAATACCTCCATTCTATTAAACGCTATCGCTGGTTTCCCTTGCCAACAACTTAATTCTCCGCAATTCAGCATGGGTTCCAGTGGTAGAACCATCAAGCTTCCTCTCGTGCCACTGGCAAAGGGTACCGTTCTGCTACCCGGTGTGCAGCTTCGCATTCCTGTATCGAATCGCCCCGATTTGACCAACCTACTGTCGTCACTAGTGGACAAGCCTTCCAAGCGGGAGAGCAACTCGATCACCTTCGGATGTATTCCGTTCAACTCGCCATTCCTGAGCCGCGACGGACTTCAGCTCATTGAAGGGGCTGACTCCGACGAAGCACAGAAGGAGGAGTACGATGCGATCGATGCAGGACAGGCCCGGAAGGAGGATATCTTCTTGCACGGTACCTTAGCCAAGGTGATTGGTGTTCAGCGCCGTGCCTACTCGGAGCCGTTCCTGCTTGTCCAGGGAACGCAGCGATTCACGGTGAAGAAGTTCTTGCGAGACCGGCCATACTTTGAAGCCGAGATTGCCATTCATGATGAGACCGGTAAGTGTGTTCGAATTTCATGTGGGTGACTTGGCTTCCAGCTGACCAGCTCTTCTGTTAGCCATCTCCCTCCACGGCGACTTGGAAGCTGCCGAATTGTTCCAGCAGTTAAGACAGCTCTCCCGTGAGCTACTCACCCTTTTACGCTTATCGTCATTACTATCGGCCGCCTCAACCCGTTTGTCGCCACTCGTGGCACGGAAATTCGAACTCTATATCGCGAAGACGGAATTAGGCCAGGCAGGAAGACTCGCGGATTTCATGGCCGACGTCTCTGATGCTAGCTTCGAGGAGAAATTACGGATCCTGGCCTCATTTGACGTTAAACTTCGCCTCCAGAGAGTGGTCGATATCTTGACTCGCCAGGCACAGCATATCAAGAGCAGTGTGAAAGTCACATCCATCACCACATCGTCTTTCCCATCCAACGCCGGTGTCGATATTGGCCAGATTGATCCTCGAGAGCGTGAGGTGTTGGCGCGGCGCGCTCTATCAGGCCTGTCAGGCCTCACGCCACCCGGCCCGGCTGGGGCACGCGGTGGCAACGATAATGAAGAGAAGGAGCCAAATGAGGTTGATGAGCTTCAACAGAAGCTCAAGGATGCCCAGCTCACCCCCGAGGCTCAAAAGATTGCTGACAAGGAGCTGAAGCGTCTGCGTAAGATGAATCCCGCCAACGCCGAATATGGGGTCTGTCGCACCTACCTGGAGAATTTGTCCGAAATTCCATGGACTAAGGTGACCCAGGATCAGCTCGGTTCAGAGACATTGAAACTAGCCCGCAAGCAGTTGGATGAGGACCACTACGGATTGGAGCGGATCAAGAAGAGATTGCTGGAGTATCTGGCCGTTCTCCGATTGAAGCAATCGAGCAACCAGGAAATGGAAAAGAATATCATTGCCATGACCAAGGATCTCGACACGGCGTCATCCGGTGATCTTGAGAAGGACGTTCCGTTGCTTTCCGAGAGTGATCGTGTGGCTCTTGAAGCCCGACTAGAGGGTCTCAAGTCGAAGCGCATGACTGATAAGTCCCCTATCTTGCTTCTTGTAGGCCCCCCCGGAACTGGCAAGACCAGTTTAGCTCGATCAGTTGCCACCTCTCTTGGTCGCAAGTTCCACCGAATTTCTCTCGGTGGTGTGCGGGACGAGGCGGAAATCCGTGGTCACCGGCGTACCTATGTTGCAGCTATGCCCGGCCTGATCGTTAATGGGCTGAAGAAGGTCAACGTGGCCAACCCAGTGTTTCTCCTAGATGAGATCGACAAGGTTGGCGGCGCAAACTTCCAGGGAGATCCATCTGCGGCCATGCTGGAGGTTTTGGACCCGGAGCAGAACCACACCTTCACAGACCATTATATCAATATCCCTATTGATCTGAGCAAGGTTCTCTTCATTGCCACGGCCAACTCTTTGGACACTATTCCGGCACCACTGCTGGACCGAATGGAGACGATCCAGCTGTCTGGATACACGACAGTTGAGAAGAGGCACATCGCCAAGCGCCACCTGATTCCGAAGCAGATTAGATCCAATGGTCTGTCGGATGGGCAAGTTCACCTATCTGATGAAGTGATCGATAAAACTATTACCTCTTACACTCGCGAGTCCGGTGTTCGGAACTTGGAGCGTGAGCTTGGTTCTATCTGTCGTCACAAGGCTGTTCAATACGCCGATGCTGGTGACTCTGGCCGTCTGGAAAACTATAACCCGGTTGTAAGCGTTGAAGACCTGGAAGTTATCCTTGGAATTGAGCGATTTGAGGAAGAAATTGCTGAGAAGCACGGTCGTCCTGGTGTAGTCACGGGCCTCGTGGCATACTCGACAGGTGGCCAGGGAAGCATCTTATTTATCGAGGTTGCCGACATGCCTGGCAATGGCCGTGTTCAACTGACCGGCAAGCTTGGTGACGTTCTGAAGGAGTCCGTCGAGGTGGCTCTCACATGGGTCAAGGCTCACTCCTTTGAGCTAGGACTCACGCATGATCCTAACGAGGATGTGATGAAGAGCCGTAGCCTGCATGTCCACTGCCCATCGGGCGCTATCCCCAAGGATGGGCCTTCGGCCGGTCTTGCTCACACCGTGGCACTCATCTCCCTCTTCAGCAACAAGGCTGTTCCTCCTCAGATAGCCATGACTGGTGAGATCTCGCTGCGTGGCCGCGTGATGCCAGTTGGTGGTATCAAGGAGAAGCTCATCGGTGCCTTGCGTGCAGGCGTCAAGACTGTACTACTTCCCCCAGCCAACCGCAAGGATGTCAAGGACGTTCCTCAGGAGGTCCACGATGGTCTGGAAATCATCTATGTCCAGTAAGTCTTCGCGTATATTCATTCATTCTTCAGTTCTAACCCGTGTGTGCAGGAATATCTGGGAAGCTCTAGGAAAGATCTGGCCAGATGCTCACTGGCCTGGCCAACACGTGAATTTGATCGAGAGCCGACTATAGAAGTTGTTCTGATTGATCATTTTTGCTATCTGTTTTTGCTCATCTTTCGCTCATTCTTTTTGCTTGTTTCATGTCGTACTTCCAGCCCCCTCTCGCCTCTCATACTCCTTGTTCTTGCATAGCGTGATTTATCTCTACCCTCCATGTTCATGTTATTGACCGTATCCCATGAACTTATGCACACCTATATGTCAATACAACCCGAATTCCTATGGATGTCAATTCATATTTCGTCTATTGAAACCATAACAGCTTCTTTAGAATAAAATTGCGCTTGGAAGAAAGTATCTGTAAGCTAGAGGCTTTCCGCCGCGCTTTTTGCGCGGCGCCTACTTAGGTGTTCTACCACACCTCATACTCAAGTCTCCTATTTAGTCTCCTACTCGGTATCCTATTCAGAATTCTACCTTCTTTCGTACCATTTTGATCAAGTGGTCAAAGGTCTATCAGTAGCGGAATAGAAAAGGAAAAGAAGCAAATAGAAGAGAAAAAAAAATGAAGTGGAAGGAAAAGGGGAAAAATGAGAAAATGGTGGAGGTTTTGAACGCATGTCCAAAAGTCTGCAGTGTACCCAAGTAATAGAAGGGTAGACATTTTGTTCATTCGAATCATCTAAGCTTAGGAGTAAGCCCCTATGACATAAGCAGAGACCTAATCCCTGAACTGATGAATTTCCCTTCCCCAATCAATTTCGCGGCTTCAACAATGCAATGCACTTGGCCTTTTCATAATTACCTCCCATTTGAAATCATGGGTTGAGTTGTGATTGAAGCCAGTCATGTCTCCCCGTCTCCTTCACCCCGATGAGTACGAGCTCGCATCGCGCTCCTCTCTTGACTCCGATGGGACCTTCGACCTAGACGATGCCGATTTCGAAGCTCAGGTGCCTCCTTTTTCTAGAATCAGTAGAGTCGCACCCGGTCGATTTTCTTGGCTGCGCCGCATTTTATCAACTCCCTTTGATGGCTACCGCCGCCTGAAAACCAATTCACGACCCGTCTTGGCATCCTCATCACGCCCATGCCTCCCGCGCATCTTCTTCCGTCGCCGATGCTGCTATATCCACGTTGTTTTCGGCATTGTTCTCGCCCTCGTCCTTTTAACCTCCATTTTCCGCCCATCTTATACCAGCCCACCTGCGCATTATGCCACTCTTCGTGCATCGGCACGGGCTACGAACCAGGCAGGCCGGGGAAATCCTCGCAACGAGAAAGTCTTTATCGCAGCCAGTTTATACGATCGAGGTGGTGAGCTCGCCGGAGGGCAATGGGGGACTCAGCTGCTACAACTGATTGATATGCTTGGCGATCAAAACGTGTTCGTTAGTATTTACGAGAACGACAGTGGTGCCGAGGGGGAAAGTGCACTACGCGAGCTGGAGAAGCAGATTAATAGTCGAAAGGACATCGTGTTCGAGGCGCATCTAGATCCCAAGAGTCTGCCAACTGTGACCATCCCGGGCGGAGATCAACGAGTCAAGCGCATCGAGTATCTGGCGCAGGTCCGAAACAAAGCTTTAAAACCTCTTACCGATGATCCTAATACACGATACGACAAAGTCCTCTATATGAACGATATCCTCTTCGATCCAGTCGATATCCTCCAGTTACTCTTCTCGACCAATGCGAACGATGATGGCGTGGCCCAATATCGTGCCGCGTGCGCCGTCGACTTTGACAATCCCTTCAAGTTTTATGACACATATGCTACCCGTGACCTCCAAGGATACAGTATGGGTCTGCCATTTTTCCCTTGGTTTTCCACTGCCGGGAATGGTCAGAGTCGAAAAGATGTTCTCCAAGGCAAGGATGCCGTGCGTGTTCGGAGCTGCTGGGGTGGTATAGTTGCGTTCGATGCGAAATACTTTCAAATTCCACTTCCCGAGAGTTTATCACCGGCACGCTTCAGATCGGGCACTGACATGTTCTGGGAAGCATCTGAATGCTGCTTAATCCACGCGGATATCCAAGATCCCCAGACCAACGTGGATGAGATCACAGACACGGGTATCTATATTAACCCCTTTGTGCGGGTCGCGTACGATGCCCGCACCCTATCGTGGCTCGGTGTGACGAGGCGATTCGAGAAGCTTTACGCCTTTCTGCACAATCTTGGCAATCATCTTGTCGGTCTCCCATGGCATAACCCTCGGCGAACCGAAGTCCCGGGACAGAGCGTCCAAGAGACCGTCTGGATTCCTGATGCTGCCCAGGATGGCGGCGGGTCCTTCCAACTGGTCGACCGCATTGCAGGCAATGATGGGTATTGTGGCCGTCGGGGCTTACAGGTCATCGTGGAAGACCGAAAGCCTGGACAGAAAGGCTTTGAGAGTATCCCAGTGCCATCGATCTAGTTCACATATATGATCAAGCTAGTCTTGATAGCAATTGGATTAGTGTATAGAAGCAATACTTTAGCGGATTCTAATTCCGTGTTACATACCAAGACAACGGTTAAACTATGCAACTCTAGCCGGGTTCAGATTAGCGTATTCAGCTGAGCAAATCAACTTTGATTATGTATAATCTTCGAGTCTACATGATGATGCCCATCTAGGTCAAAGCTCCCAATCCGGTTTATGCACCTCATCAAGTTCCGAAGTTTGCAAAACGGTCCACCTCCATTTTGATCACACATCATGACATGCAATATGTTCAAGACTAGCTCGATAAGGCGAATCCTGACACCGAAACTGGTATCTACTTCCCGTCGCCAACCACGCGGCAACTTGTTCCGTCTACCCTCCCGGAATATCCCCAAGCGACAGTTTTGCGTTAGCATAACGCGTGCGTCCAACTCCAAGGATGAAGATACAGCCAACGTCTGGAAACTGACCTAAGAGGATGAAAGTCTATACTGGCACGGCTATCTCAAAACACGACCAAAATACAACGACGACTTCTACCAGCTCATCTACGACTACCATGCCCGCTCCTCCTACCAATCATTCTCCGTCGCACACGACGTGGCCGCATGACCAGGCCATGTTTCCGCGAAGCTGATCGAGCGATTCTCCCACGTCGTTGTAAGTGACAACAATGAGAACCACGTCAAGTACGCCAAGAAGTTTTTTCTCCAACCCAACGTTCCAGCATCGCGGTTTTCATTCGATATTGCAATGGGCGAAGAGCTTGGAGCAAGGCATGCGCCCGCGTCTGCAGATCTGGTGGCTTGTGCACTCATGTTTCCACTCATGGACACCCACGCCGCGTTACAGAGCTTTCAATCATTGCTGAACCCCAACGGGACCCTTGCGATTTGATTTTATGGACGTGCGCACTTCTCTGAGCCAGCGTTCCCCTCGTGCCAACCACTCTTGAATGGGATTATCGACCATCATTTCGCAGGTGTCATCAAGGGGGTGGGCCTGAGTACCAGGCGGGGTGGAAGCGGGCAGCGGATGGGGTGGCCACTTGGTTGGAATATATCCCCTTTGCCGAGACGGAATGGGGATCTGTAGAGCGACATAAGTGGAGCTCATCTTGAACGACTCTCCCATTCTTTGGACAGGCTGCGAGTAATTTTCCGGTCGAGCCTAAATGTTGTGTTGGTGAGAATGAGCTGATCCTGCAGAAAGACGACCGAGAGTTTTGGAGGAAAGATTGGGATGTGAGTGAGCTGAGGCAATTTTCTTGGTATATCTTCCCTTTTCGGAGCATGGATGAAGAGCCTGTGAAGCCACTATGGAAGCAACTCCAGGTGAATATGGGTGGTGCGCATGCCAAGCGAGCATTCTCCTGGCCAGTACTTCTTATCATGGCATCTAAAAAGTGAGAATGAATGGAATTAATGTGACCAAAGTATATCTAACGGTAGTCCTACGTGCACCCGGTCTAGTATGTAGAAGTAAGAAATGCACGTAACATGTATAGAAACTCTCGGGTATTTCGCAATGACTAAAACCTCATAGATTACCACGCTCAGAGCCAGCGTCTTTTTCAGTCCGCATCCCCGGGGGAAGACGAATACCCACTGCTCCTGGAAGAGGGTTGCCTCCTGCCTTTGGCTTGTTGGCGATATCCACGCGAGCTTTAGTCAGACACAGAGCAGGCACCACCCAGCTGTTACAGCTGCATTGCATGCCCTGCCAGGCGAATTTACCAATATTGGATCCACAGGTACGGTTGGGACAGGACAAGCGACCAGATAATGGTGCGTCTCCAGAGTATTGTCCTCCGGCCGATGGGAAAAGACTTGAGCTCATCCATTTCATGGGATGTAAGAAAATATGGGCACAATCTGCGTTGGAATCTGCCCGGGCATTGCTGCGTTTTTCCTGCTCATGAGAGATAATGTATTTTGATGATGCGATGCCCCGCCTGTGATGGGAAATTAGTTCTTTGATCTTCTGAGCCGAGGTTTTTTGTCCTGGAAACGATACGAACCGGCATTTTCGACACTTAATCTCCACTTCGGTGTTATCCTCTGGCTGGTGCCTCTGCGGCTGTTCATCTTCAAAGCGCACAGTTTTTAATTCCGGGGCACGACCGCACGCCACACTGTCCTCAACCTCCCGACGATATAGCCACCGTTGGTAGACTGGGTGGACTGTGACATCATCTGGACACCCCATTTCGTGATACAACTCCAGCTGTTGCATGAAACCGTCATTAGGTTCACAGAGGGGCCGTCCTTGTCTGATTATTTCCAAAGCAGATTGCGGTGTGAGTGCACTGCGCTGTTGATGGAGTAAATACGCAATGCAGACTGTGGCAGATCGGGACTTGCCCATTGCACTGACAAAAGTTAGTTGAAGTGACATGAAATAGAAGCAAGTAAGGCAAATTTTAAAAGAAAGCAAAATCCAATGAGCAGTTCTCTGTAGTAGGATCTCTCAGTACATCCCCGAATGTAGACAAATGGGAAACAGAGAGTGATTGCACCAAGAGTAAAGCAAGACAAGCAAAGCCCTGTCATTAAATGCAAAAGGAAAAAGTCTCCTCACCAGTGCACAAGGACACCTCCATTTGCATCTAAACCAGATTGGATAAATTTGACAGCACCTGGGAGATGTTCGAGAATGTTTTCATAATCAACATCATCAACATCTATCTTGTGATGCTGAAAGGATGAGAATATTTCTTCAGAGGGACTGAGACGGAGAACAGAAACAACATGAGTGATGTTTTCTCTTTCGAGAGCAGCCTTGTTCTTCAAAGACAATATCCTTGAGCGGGAAACTGGTCAGCATATGGGATCTGGCTAAAGCCATATAGAGGCCCACTCGGGCGAGAAATGAGATAGAAAGGATTAAGTGACTCACCCTCCGACATAGATGTTATGACCGGGAATGCGATTCATGGCCATGGTGATGAAAGTGAAAGAAATTAATGAGTATTAAGTTCAACTATCAGGATCGTCTTTGTTTCCCCAGATTCAATTCAAGTTCAAGAGGGACCGAGGTTTAAGCCTCATTTGTCAAACCCAAAAAGTATATTAGGGCAAGGGCAAGCTTGCATCATGTGATATTGATGCCTGAGGCCACAACGAATATAGATACATGGCGGATGGCTACGAATGGCTTTTGATCATCATTCAGGCAAACAAACTCGGAGTTTATGGAATTAGTGTAAGAAAGTCTAATCTAATCCTCCCGACGCTCCACTCTGCCCCAGATTGCGTCTGCATTAGCTTTGCCCCGGGTTTCTGGAAGGATTCGATAGAGAAGGACTCCCAAGAGCCCGGCCATGGCCGCGAATATCCAGTAGACCCGACCCTTACCACCCAGCGCATCGTTGATCACGGGGAAAAACTGTGCGACCATGAATGTAGCCATCCAGTTGACCGACAGTCCCCAACTTTGAGTTGCACCGACGGCCTCCGGTCCGACCAGCTCAGACGACAGCATAAAGGGAACTGGGCCTAGTCCCACCGCAAAGCTTGTAACAAAAAGCAAGGTGGCAATGGCAGAGACAATCTTCTGCTGGAAAGCAAAACCAAGTGCCAAAAGAATCGAACAAGAACCCACACCGCTGATACTGAGCAGCAGGCAAGTCTTACGGCCAATGCGATCGGGCAAAGGCATGCACGCCAGTGTCGCTATGAGATTAATCACGGAGATAATAATGGTAAGCAGCGCGGCCCCGGTAGGTAGGATACTCTGTAGGAGAGAGACACTGTACATCACGAGGCTGTTTACCCCAGTGAGTTGCTGGGCAAGCATGGAAGCGACAACTGCAAAGATAGCGGGTCGATAGTATGGATCCTGCACAGCCTGCAGCATTGTGACAGCTGCCTGCTTTGGGGCCGGGGTTTCAGATGGCGAGGATAGGAGGGACTCCTCCTCGCCAGACGTCTGAACCGCGCTGGAATCTCCACAAGCCGCAATCTCGGCATCGATGTCTGCATCAGAGCCTCGCAGGCGCTTTAGAACACGACGGGCTTGACTTCTCTGATGGTTTTCTGCCAGCCAGGTTGGGCTCTCAGGCACCAAGAACAGACCGACAAATTCCAACACTCCTACGATACCGGCAGCCGCGAGAATCAATCGCCACATGCTGTCATGGCTCCAGAAGTATCCTAACACTTGTGATGAAAGAATTCCAACATTGATCATCACCTGGGTAAATGTTCCAAAGAGCCCGCGAGATTCAGGAGGGGCAACCTCAGAAACATAAATAGGGCTCACCACGAGAGCTGCACCACAGCCGATCCCGGACAAAAACCGACCTAGAGCCAGAATGGGAATCGCGGATGCTAGAGCCTCGATCGCCGGTCCCAGAATGAAGAAGATAGTGGTGGCCTGTAGTGTGATACGTCGTCCGTACTTGGTCGAGACAGGTCCTGCCAGCAGAGCTCCAATAAACCCACCCAGAGTGTATATCGATGAGATTAAGCCGAACTGGGAAGGATTCATGGAGATGCATTGCGGGAGACCATGCGGAAAAACATTGGCTCCAATACTTTTCTTTTCACAACTTATGACTTCTTGGGGTGCATTGAGTTCGGCCTAGTTGTTGTTAGTGGAAAGTGGGGACAAGATCACTGCGGCTTGCACGATTAGGTCATACGTACTAGGTGATAACCAAACTGAAACGGACCAAGTGTCGCAACGAGGACAGTGCATATCAAATACGGTGTCACTCTCAACCGAGTCGACTCTCCCGATGCCATAATAAGCTATGTGGCAAGGCTGACTTGGGTGGTTAAAGGAGAGAGCAAGTTCCCCAGGAATTCCGATAAGAGGTTGATAAGGGAGAATCTTAGTTCCGCTCCGTGATAAGGAGAAAGTGAAAAAAAGTCTCCAACTCCCCGCGGATATCTCCGATTACTTGTTGATTTCTTTCTGGTTTGGATCCCACCAGTCAAAATAGGTCTCTTTAAACGAATCTTTCCGCTAGTCCCTCGGCTGGGTCGTTCCCTTCAGACGGCGACTCCATTTACCTTCAAAATGTCCACCGAAGCTGCGCAGAAGGGCGTGATGGCCGCGTCCAAGAAACTCCAAGGTAGAAAATTCTACGAGAGCATTGGAAGTCCCAAGTATATTGTGGCTCCTATGGTTGATAGATCAGAGTTTGTGAGTGTGGCTTTATTTCCATCGATTATGCCACTTGTATATTAACCATCTGGATTTCGTCAGGCGTGGCGCATGCTCACTCGATCTTTTTTACCGTTGGAAGAACAAAAATTTCTACTCTCCTATTCCCCAATGTATCATGCACGTCTCTTTGGCGAAAACCCGCGCATGCGCTCACAGCATTTCCAACCTACCCGAGGCGCGGCTGGCGAAACGACAAAACAAGATGAGCTGTTTCTCGACGGCAACCCAGCCTTTGACCGACCCCTCTTCGTTCAATTCTGCGCAAACAACCCGGACGAGTTTTTAGAGGCAGCGCGCCATGTCGCACCATATTGCGACGCCGTTGATCTGAATCTGGGCTGCCCGCAAGGTATCGCGCGGAAAGGGCATTACGGCGCTTTCCTGCAAGAAGATTGGGATTTGATCCACAAGCTCATCAACAAACTCCATACTGAACTTGATGTGCCAGTCACAGCCAAGTTCCGCATTCAAGAAACCAAAGAAAAGACTCTGGAGTATGCGAAGATGATTCTTTCTGCAGGCGCAAACATTATCGCGGTGCACGGGCGTAGGCGAGAGCAGAAAGGCCACGAAACGGGAGTCGCTGATTGGAGCTACATTCGCTATCTTCGGGATAACCTACCACCCGACACTGTAATCTTTGCGAATGGAAACATCCTCAACTACGACGACATTGAACGGTGCCTCGAAGCAACGGGCGCCGATGGTGTCATGAGTGCCGAGGGCAACCTTTCTGACCCGACTATCTTCAGCAAGCCACCACCACCCGGTAGTGGGGGACGGGATTACTGGAGGGACCGCAATGGAAAGGGCGGCTACCGAATCGATGCGATCCTGCGGCGATACCTCGATATTATCTACAAATATGTTCTCGAGCAACCTGTCCCCGAAAGGAAGCCGCTTTTCCTCCCATCTGACCCGGTAGACCCGACCGAGGAATTCAAGACGGGAGAAGTCGATGGAGAAGAGGATGGCCCACCCAAGAAGAAGCAGAAGCGAGACAAGGTTAAGAAGCCAAACTCTCCTAGCCTGGGTGTCATGCAAGGTCATCTTTTCCAGGTTCTTCGGCCGATGGTCTCCACTCACACTAATGTCCGGGATGCCCTTGCGCATTCCAGACCCGGTGATATGCCCGCATTTGAGCGTGTATTGACTCTCGTGGAGCGAGCAATCAGGGATGGATTGAAGGAATACGAACTATCACCTGAGAAATTTGAAAAACCTCATGATCCTACTTTGACCGGATCTAAGGCCACGATCGCGGAATACGGACGCCCATGGTGGATTTGCCAGCCGCACGTTCGGCCTTTGCCTGAAGAAGCCATGGAGTCAGGAGCGTTGAAACCAAAGGGCGGCGCCAAGGAGAGCAAGATTGAAGAGAAGAATGAGAAGGCAGAGAACAAGACCCCGAGCACCGAAGATGCTGCGACTCCTGCTGACTGTGTGACCGATTCCTCGACCACCTTGACCCCTGATCGTCTTGTGAGTGGTTAAGTATGATGCAGTGAATATAATAGTGAAAAGGGCTGGTTTGAGATATTGCATAGCGTTTAGAACAAGGTTACTACCAGGTGCATATGATAGATACAAAGCTGATCGGAATGAGATCTAACTTGAACATAAAAGATGACCTCAATAAAATCCCTTTATAATATCCATACATACCTTACCAGTGTCGTTGACTTCATATCAAGTGGGTCCTGGCATAAAGCCGACTTGCGGTAACTTGGAGTTTCCCCGCGTATAAGAATTGGAGATGCCATACTTCTACACGATTCTACTCTGAGCTTCTTTTTCTACAGTACTTGATTTCAAGATGTCTATAACGCTTCTAGCACAATTAAGACCGTGTTTGCGATCACCAGCAGCCAAATTGACCGCAACTCGGGACTTCACCATCTCCCACCGTTTGCGCGACCCTGCCGCCGCAGATGTAGCGGCGTCATTCCTCTCGCGCTTCCAGTCATTAGGGCCTCAGACCCGCACTCAAACCCTAGATGCCAATCAACTCCAGCTTCTAACCCTCACACTCAACCGTCCTTCCCTATTTCCCGGCTCGTCATCACTGTCCAATGCCCCACTGGGCCCGCCGGCCGAAACACCCATCCCGCCTGGTTACCACCTAGTATACTTTACGCCAGCTTTCCTGGAAACCGAGCTCGGTGCAGACGGCACAGATACATCATACAATCCCGATGCACCCTTTACACGACGCATGTGGGCAGGTGGTGAGGTGCTCTGGCCGAGAAATTCGGAAGGGCAGCCCAACTTATTGCGCGTGGGGCAGGAGGTGCGCGAGACGACACACGTACTCAGTGCTGAGCACAAGGTTGTCAAAAAGACGGGCGAAGATATGCTAGTGGTCGGGGTCGAGAAGGTGTTTTCGAATGAACAAGGCGTCTCTGTCGTTGATCGGAGGCATGTGCTCAATGATTGACTCTGGTTCAAGTATGCGAGACTAATTTGATACAGAAATTGGGTCTTCCGCAAGGCCTTACCGCCACTATCTGCATCCTCGGCTTCAAACGATCGATTCCCTCCCTCGACGTCTCATACTGCGCTACCGAAACAAACCGCTATATCCACCGAAGGCAATACACATTCGCGGACCTTTGTGCAGACTCCTGCGACCCTCTTCCGCTTCTCTGCATTAACCTTCAATCCACATAAAATTCATTATTCACTCCCCTGGGCGCGTGATGTCGAGGGTCACAAGGATGTTGTCGTTCATGGACCATTAAATCTAATTTCGATTCTGGATCTCTGGAGGGATACGCAGGGTAAAAAGGTCGCAGATCCCACTTTGGCGCTTCCCCGGCGCATCTCATACCGTGCAACGAGTCCATTATATGCGGGCGATGAGTACTCGGTTATATTGCAGGAGGGGAATCGTGCGCAGGTGCAAATTGTTGGATCAGGGGGAGTGATCGCGATGAAGGCGGAGATTGAATAGATCTTGGTTCTTGTAAATAAGCCGTCGGGTCATAGCATGCCATGTTATACGAATAGATAAGCCGTCTTGATCCAAGGGAGGCGAGAAATGGTATGTATTTGTCCAGTGTATATGCAACTTAATCCAAACCCTCGGTCACTCCGCGGACAAAATCATTAGCATTCATGCCAAGTTGCGCCAAATCCACTCCTCCTTGTCCCGCCATCGTCTGGGACATGGCTCGAGCCACTTCCTCCTCCTCCCAGATGTTGTTCACCACCGCTCCTCTTTCGGAAGAGCCACCGTTCCCATTGCTCTCCACAGCCACCACTGTCTGCCAATAAAGATCGTCCCGCGATTTCAGCGCCTTATCCCGCACAACGGCATTACGAGCCACATTGGCCGCGTGAAGTTTTGAGTTGGCGCCGGTGACTGCCTCCAATGCGACCGAAACCGCCCGGTCAAGATGTTCCACTGTAGAGGGTGGCTTAAAGAAGAATCGATTGGTAGCCGAGAGGTAGATGATTATGGCGCATAAGGTGTCGCAGACGGTGAAAGCAAGTGGGCGCAAAAGGGCCATGAGGTTATAGAGACCAGTTGGAGGGATCTGACCAGCCCGCACAGCGGGGGATGCCGATTTAACAGCATCGTATGTCGCAACTACATACAGGTCCAGGGCAGCTAATGCCAGACCAGCGAGGGTAAATTTCGTGCGCCAGCGGCTAGATTCCCGTCCGCCAAATGGTGCGGATGTGGCAACGGCGAGGATGAGGAGATGAAGGAGATGCGGTCGGAGCACGTTCGCAGGGAGGTAGTATAGAAGGTAGGTATAGAGGTTATCGAAAGAGCAGTATTGGCAAGAGGTCAAGGCATCGGAGCCAAAGGTAAGGTAGACCTTGCGGGCGCCGAGGGAGGTAAGTTTGTCGCGAAGCAAGATGTCCGCATTGGTTAACAAACCATCAGGCCGAAGCCTGGTCAGCCGGTGGAAGACCACATCGATCGGGGTATTTATTCGTGAGCGAGTGAGACCAAAGACGCTGGGTTCGGGCGCATGAGGGTTGAAAGGTAAGCTCAAAATGAGGAATAAGACGATGCTTGCAAACAAGAGGTTCAGTGCTCGATTTGCGGTGACAGGGAGAGGACGCGGTGGTGGGCGACTAGCAATAGAGACTCGAAGGGAACGGTAGGCTCCAATCAACCGTGGAACAATGATTGGACCAAAGAAGATCAAGAGGGATTTGATGCTACTCAAGATTAGAAGGCGAATGGACTCGAGTTTGCGAAGAACTTACGTTCCCCAAGAGATCCCGACTCCCATGATTGCGAAGAAATTTGGATAATTTATCTCATTGGATTCATAGAGAAATGGAAGTTGATGAGGACACGGGACTTGACCCGCAACAACCTTCTCCGAACACGAACAACGGGACAAGTGCGCATCTACCTGGAACATTGAAAGTACATTTCTTTTTCAACAAATTGACGACCACTTTTTATTCATTTCTATTGAAACCCTATTGAACCCAGTTCGATCACGTACTGGGCAAAGATTGATCACCCATAAATCGTGGAAATCCTTGAAAACCGATCCAAAGCTCACCAGGTCCTGGGCCACCAACAATCTCCTTCTTACGATTCTTGAGCTCATCAACGTCCCAAGTAGCAAAGACGATCTTGTTTTGGAGAAACTCTGCTTCAGGGGAGACAATCCAGACAAGGAAATCAGCGGGAAGAGAGACTGGAAGAAAAGATTAGCTGGGTACTAAGATAAGATCAGTATACTTACTATCATCATAGGCAAATGGCAGTTTTATCGACTCTGACAGCTTGGCAGACATGGCCGTCTGTAGGAATCCGGGATGCATATTATGGAGACGCATTTGTGGATTCTCGGCGGCAAAGGCCTGCAAGACTTTGATAGCGGCCATCTTGCTGCTCACATAGGCGCCCATGCCAGCGAACGGAGGAAACAGGATGCCAGCCGTGGTCAAATTGACAAAGGTGACGGGCTTGTCCTCGGCGGCGGGCATAGACTTATTTGCCAGGATGACCGCTTGTGCCGTCACCAACGTACCGACAACGGTAGTCTTGTAGCCGTCCAGAAAAGTCGCCGGATCGACTTCCAGAAGGGGGACAACTGGAGCCAAGACGCCAGCACAGTGGATGATGATGTCGATGCCGCTAAATTCGGCGGCCACCTTGTTCATGACATTGCGTACCCGGGAAGTATCACATATATCGGCCTCGTGAGTTTGAATCGTCACCTTTGCTTGGGTGGCGCGGACAATATTGGCGGTTTCCGCTAAAGCGTCGGTGCGTCGGCCGAGGAGGATGAGGGCTCGGGGACCTGATGCAGCAAATGATGAGGCTGTAGCCCGGCCAATGCCTCCAGATGCGCCAGTGATCAGTACAACCTTGTCCGCAGTGGAGATGTCGGGCTGGGTTGGATTGATGGCAGCATATGTGGCCGAGTGAGTGACTTTGGTGTAAGAGGGCGACAGTGTGGCCATTGTATCAAGCCCTTTGATGGAGAGCAGTATTCAAGATAGTACAAACATTGTGAAAGCAGTGGAGGCGAGAGGTCTTAAATAGGTAGGCATGTCAGCCTTCTTCCTACCTCCATCTCTTGGAACCTCAACGAGAGAATCCATATAGTCCGCATTGATCTTGTCCCCACATTCATTGTCAGGTACCCACAGCCACAGACGCCTCTGTTTGGTCGCTCGGAGTCCGAGGATGGATACCGTGCCGCCACGGGCCAACAGGAACAAAGATACGTCAACGCATGGGACAAAAAAAGCCGAAAGTTCTTATGTCCAGCCTTTTAGTATAATCTTGAAAGGTACAACAGGGTCACGGTAGTAGCGCGGTGACTTGCCTGCTTCCATACACCTAAGCATGACGCGCATAGCACTGTAGATATCCCGTCTGCCAATGAATTTGTAGCTGAGCCAATTGTACTTCGGTCACTCCATATGCAAATGATTCCTGGGTTGCTAGCTATAAATCAAGTCTGCCATGACATCAAGCATGTATCAGGACTGCATTCATAGAATTTGTACCATCAACCGCAAATGATAGAAATTCCACTGTTTATATACAAGTTGGAAGAGATATATACATCTAAAGCTTGAAGTCTCACAGCTTGGCTTTTCCAGGCGCAAAGTTCGAGCCTGTTCCCTGGCTAATAGCCTCGACGATAGCATCCACACTGCTCAAGATCCAGGTATTGCCTTCATCACTGGCCAACCAGCGTGCGCCTTGCTCGCTCTCAACATCACTAGCCCAAGTTCCATCCTCCAGCGCCTTCCGGAGTCCAAAAACGTGAGAAAGGACCTGGGGACCAACGCCCGTTTGCGCGCGCAGACAGGCCACAGCCACGATGGAGGTCAACACGCGACCGGCCGAAGCACCGGTTTCTCGTGCAGGGTCGGAGAGCAGAGCACCGTAGTTACTGTGCAGGATATGCACAGGAAGATCGGGGTGCGAATCTGCAAGTTTATTGTATAACTTCTGCTCAAAGGGCCTGTAGATCGAGTCCCAGAGTTCTCGGCCACGCTGGCTGATCTCGGTGATGTTCGCTGGTGTAGGGGCGCGGGTCGGGGTGCGCGATAGCTTGTCGCCGACAGCCTCAGGGAGACTAGCCTTGAAAGCATTGAGACAGTTGATTGTTCGTGGGATTCCGTTGAAGCTGATACACTTCAGTCCTACCTCGCGCATGAGTTCGGCGGTTTCAACATTGTTTGATGTGGAGGAAGCGAGTTGGTAGAGGATGGCGAGGGATTCGGGAGAGTTCATGGTCATTGTGGCAGCGGTCTAGGTAAGTCAGTCTATATTTGGTGCTATCTCGTGCGCTTGTAGTTACTGACCGACAGCGCAACCCATGATGGCTGTGAGACATGCTGGGCTTGAGCAGTCTGCTGGATTTTGGAGTAGACAGAGACAATGTTGGCGGGCGCAGGCACAGTGTGAGGCCTTGCGGATGGGGCATTGATCAATGCCTTGAGGCTACTGGAGAGTCGTGACATGGTGTGGTATGTGTGAAAGTTGCGAGCATGTTTGAAGGGATCCCGAGGTTACGATGCTTCCTGCGGCGTCTAGAAGTGAACACCGAGACCCCACATTCTACCCGAACAGCCGAAACGTGACTCCATTGTCAATTGAATTGCCGTTTCGCTCTAACTATGGATGATATTAAGTCTCTATTTTCTTCTTCAGCATCCCACAGAAACTCTCGAACAACACACTGTCCGTTCCTTGGATCCAGCTGATCAAAACTTGGACTTGGAGTGTTTCCTGATCCTGTCCTCGAACCAGCGTCGACTGAACTCGAACTCCCAATTCCACCACCATTGGCATAGCCGATAATTTCACTGAAGACTGCCCAGCAAGCTTGAGCTTCCGACGTGCCTGTCGAGACCAGACATTCTCACGTGCAAACCCGACGCCAGCACTCCGAGTTTGATCCCAGGTCCAGTACCAGGACAAGGAGGCTAGCTCAGTATCCATAGCAGCATTGGCTGCATCGATGGTTTTTGCCTGGGGAAGAACAAATACATAGTCCGCGGGGAAAGGCAGCATATGTTTTGGGAAGCCCGGGATTCCTCGTGCAATGCTCTGCATGATCGTTAGAATAAACATTGCCATATTATGAGATTTTCATTACCATTGCAGGTCGCATGTCCCCCCATGACCAGGCCACAGCCCAGCGCTTTGTTTTGTTGCCCTGTACAAACTCGGTCACTGCATAGTTGTGGTTTCCACGTTTCATGAGGATGTCAACCAGCGCGGTCACGCTGCTTAGCTTCCCTAGCATAGATGTATACCACTTCACCCGATCACGTAGTTGCAGGCTCTCATCAATCATCCGTTTAACAAACTGAACTTCTCCACCAGCAGTGATCATCTCCACCTCAGCGCCTGTGCATGTCTGGGAAAATCAATACCCATATTAAATGAACGGGGAATGATTTCATACTGAGGATGGGGCATGCGATTTCGCCTCAGCGGATGCGGCCATTTCCTCATGAGAGGTATAGAATGGCGGGTTGCACATTGTGAAGTCCAGGCTGGATGCGTGTCAGCCTGATGTTTCCCATATCTGGAGATCCGTCTTTACCTGTCATGGCCGAGTGTTTCAAGCGGAAAGAGGGAGTCCTTTAGATCAGTATGTAAGATGTGAATACGTGACTCAAGGTTGTTTAGTTCAACATTCGCCTTCGCCGTCCGTATGTTGCTCTCATCAATATCTGAATAATGTCAGCTTTGCCTTTTGACTCGAGTAGCCATACCCGTACCAGTCGCTGCAAATTTCCACTGCGATCGAGTCTTGCATCCTAGTAAGGGATAGATGCTACAGCAGCCTGTTCCACTGTGGCTTGTTAGCTCACACCAAGAAGCCTTTTCAAAGTGACGTACATATCTAAGCCCAATACTTTCCGGTCCGGATTGTACCCTCTTTGGATTGTACCCGCTGTAGAGTCGAGAAGGTCTTGCAGCCAGATGATATAATTAAGTCTGTTTCGTTAGAATTTTGAACCAGTATATGTTCATTGAAAGCAAACCTATTGGGGACCTGGACGTGTGTTAATATAGAGTCACTTAACGGGTGGTTCTGTACTAACCGGGGGACATAATCGATCCTGAGGCAGTATGATTTCGAGACCAAAGTCTCGCTTCAGCAAGCTGATGGTCAATTGTCTGTAGCCAGATGAGCTTTCAGAAGTGAAAACACCCAGCTCGGGTCATACCTGACGGTAGCTGGGTCATTAAAGTCCACTTGTCGATTTGGGTTGAGCCTGATAGTTCTTCAGCATCTGGATTCCATGATATTCTGGGAGGTACATACAGTTTGGCGAAATCGGGCGACTGCAATGCGAGCGCCTCGAAATCAATATCACTCTTGTAAAGAGAACGAGCCGATTCCATTTTGAGAGAAGTAGATGTAGGACGCTAAGTTGTAATGTAGTGATGACGATCCTGTAAATAGGGCGGCCCCACTTTTTTCCCCCGATAGGTGACCAGTTGATTAGAATGATACCGAATGTTTTTTATACTTGAGCGCACAACACGGGGTGTCATTGAACTTCAAGGTCTTACATACTTCTATACTAGGAAATAAAAGATGATGGTGGATTACATATCGAGTGAAATTCTCATCCCACCTTTAGTTCAACCCCATTTTCAACCAGCTCGATCTTTGAACCAAATCCTTTCACAGCTAATAGGGTCGGAACCGATCTTTCTGTTTCTTCTCTTTTCGTGAGTTCTTTGCCGATCCAGCCTGCGCCTGCGCCTGCGAATCATCCCCATCAGGCTTCCATACTCGCACGAACCCGTCCTCACCACAAGTAAAGACCGATTGACTCTACAGAATAGCATTAGCAAACGTGAAAAGAAAGGTATGAAAATGCTGTAAAGAAAGGAAAAAACATACTTGATCATCCAAGTATACCGATCGCACAACCTCATCGCCATGCGCACCGGGAAGGCGCCACAGATTATCGTGGTCAAATTGCCAGCTGGGACTAGAGACCAGTGGAACCAAATCCAGTCGCTTGTCACTGCAGAAGAATGTGAATTAGTGTTCGGAGCATCACAAGGGGTCAAATAGCTGGAAAACAAACATTTTATTCCCAGCCGCGATATACGGTCCCTGTCCACCCACGCAAACCTGCACCACATACTCAATATCTAGCGGCTCTCGCACGTCATCAAAATCCACTGGCTCCGGGGCCTCTCCAGGCTCATCAGGGTTAGTGGCTGGGTGGATAGAGAACTGCTCATCGTGGCTCAGAGCGTAGATGGTACTCTCGGACAAGAAACCAGCATGATGAACCGAGCCATGGTTGATGACCTGTACCAGGGCATCGTCTTCGTCTGTCACGGTGGTATCATAGATATTGACAAGCCCGTCTGTGCTGCCAGAGAGTAAGATGTTGCTGCGGGTTGGGTGATATTGAAGCTGACCCAATTAGCTTGGTATTTCCTCGCAGAATTGACCCGTCACTTACCTCTGTGACGTCGTCATTGTGGCTCTCCACATATTGGAGTCGGGGTGCCTGTGGAGATCTGATATCCCTATCAATGTCAGTTAGCATAAAGACCACCAGGCTATCGTGATCTCCAAAGAACATACCAGAATGCGACAACAGCTTGTGATGAAAGAAGCTCTGTGCCCGCGACAATGGTGTTGGTTTCTGGGTTGCATGCAACAGATAGCACCGGGGCATTTCTCGCTAGAATTCCAATGGATCAGCTAGGCCAGATATGAAAGGATGATATTTCATATTAATAGGTTTTAAGAAGGGAAGACAATAAAATGGTCAAAAACTCACTCGTTTCTACCTCAAGAACTGCATTTCCAGCTCGAACATCCCATAACTTTACCTTGCCTTCGCGACCACCAGTAGCCAAGAGCTGCGACTCGCCCGCTGCATAAGTCCGCAACGAAGTGACACCTCCGTCGTGTGACTTCTGGGAGATCACCGCGACGCGATCAAGATAAGCGGCATCAAAGACACGCAAGGAATCATCGGAAGAGATAGCAGCAAAGGTGCCAGCCGCAGACGGCACAAGGGAGTAAATGTAATTATCGGCTGGTAGGGACAGCGATGAGGAAGCTGTCTCTTTCAATGTGAACATGGCTGATGATATGCCTGTAACGCGTGAGAGATATATTCAAATAATCAAGGGACCTTTCTTGAAGCCAGTTCAGTTTAGAGATTGATTAGAATGTTGTGGTTCACGGGTTTCTAGTTCATTTTTGTCTATACGGAGATTTCGGAGCCGAGAAAATTTCCCATTTGCGTGGGGCTCACACCAGTTGACTACTCGGCACCAAATTGGATTTATTATATCGTATTTCATTTAATTCCTACACAAATTTGATACAAAGTGCACGAATATCATCAAAATAAGAACTCAATGAGGAGTTTACCAGTTTCAAATGCCAAGTGAAACCTTGAATAGTGATGGGACCCTATTGATAGTATCCGTATATCGTTACGGGGCACTGAGTGTAACGAGACCCAAGTTAGGTAATCCGAATATAAGACTCATCCTAGAATGGCAAATGCAAGATGTAAAAATGGTCAATTCCATCTGACCCTCTGGAAGCAAAATAGTTGGGGCCAAACATGGACTTGAAACATGACCGATCAGTGCTAATTCGGTGTGAAGAGACTCAACCAAAGATATGCGGGTTATGATAAATAGCCACAGATGCCCCTCAGAATCTGAATATCATCCATTCATCAAAAATCCATTTATCAATCATCTGGGCACTCAATCAAACAACCTTGGAATTAGCCACCCAATCCTCGATCAATCAAGTTCAACAAAATGCAGTTCATCACCATCGTCCTTGCTACTCTGGCCGCTGTTGCCGCTGCCTCTCCATATCCCGATGCTTTTGAGAAGCGCACCTGCGTTGGTAGTGAGTTAGATCCATGACATTGATTAGAATAGTCATTGACATTTTATAGACTACAAGGTTGCCTGTGAGAATGGTGGCATCCCTTGCTGCGACGGATGGCAGTGTGTTGGTGCCACTGAGTGGAACGCCGGTGTTTGCATTCCCAAGTACTAGGCCGTATATGAAGCATAGCAAAGGCGATGGATTTGATAGCGTGTTACTGTTGAAGAAGTCAAGAAATATAACTTTATTATGAAGTCACGTGGACCGGGGAGAAACTGCAATGAGTCTAAGACTATTTCTTTTTAGTGGAATTCTAGAAACGCTCTCATCTACCGCTCTCCCACCGGAGAATTACTATGTTTGGGGTCTGTTCCTGGTGGGGGTCTCAGATTCGTGGTTTAACTAAGGTAATCCAAGATCTGCCGGATTGACCTAGAATCATCCGGATGAGATGGAAGAATTGATTTACTTCTTCCTATAAAAGTGGCATTCAAGGGGAAAATCAGAATGTATTTTAACCGATAGCCGATTTAAAGGACTCGGCCCGATAGACGATTAATTGGTTAAGACTTAAGACGGATTAGGGAAAGTGAACCCCGCGGCGGTTAAATGCCTTTCCCAAGTCTCCAGTTAAACTCCACATAATTTCATAACTTTGACCCTCAAACCCACTTGTGTACTCGCGCCTGTACCGCAATGTGATCACCTGGCCTGTTGCATGGATTTTTAAATAAAGACCTGTCTGTGTCCCCCGTAGATCGTAGAAGAATTCTCATTAGTCTCCCCCAATCTTTCCCCTTCCTCTCCCTTCCCCCACCATGTCTTCCGCGACTATCACCAAAACAAACATTGGTGTCTACACCAACCCCAACCACGATCTGTGGATTGCGGAGGCCACCCCAAAAGTAGAGGATGTTCAGTCAGGAAAGGGTCTACAGCCAGGTCAGGTTACCATTGAAGTACGAAGCACCGGTATTTGCGGGTAAGTGAAATGCAATCTCCAATCTATATTCTTTCACTAACAATCCCCAGCTCCGATGTCCACTTCTGGCACGCAGGCTGCATCGGTCCCATGATCGTCACAGGCGATCACATCCTCGGCCACGAATCTGCCGGCCAGATCGTCTCCGTCGCGCCCGACGTTACCTCCCTTAAGGTCGGCGACCGTGTCGCCATCGAGCCGAACATCATCTGCAACGCCTGTGAGCCATGTTTGACAGGTCGCTACAACGGATGCGACAAGGTCGACTTTTTATCTACCCCGCCCGTCGACGGTCTGCTCCGTCGGTACGTGAACCACCCCGCCATCTGGTGCCACAAGATTGGCGACATGAGCTATGAAGACGGTGCCCTTTTGGAACCATTAAGTGTGACCCTGGCGGCTGTGGAACGCAGCGGGCTGCGTCTCGGTGACGCGTTACTTATCACCGGAGCTGGTCCGATCGGTCTGATTAGTTTGCTCAGTGCCCGTGCGGCTGGTGCCTGTCCCATTGTCATTACTGATATTGATGAGGGTCGTCTGGCCTTTGCTAAGAGTCTGGTACCCGAGGTGCGCACCTACAAGGTGGAGATTGGAAAGTCGGCCGAGGAGTGTGCCGAGGGTATCATCAATGCCTTGAACGATGGCCAGGGCTCTGGTCCGAATGCGCTGCGCCCCAAGCTGGCTTTGGAGTGCACTGGAGTCGAGAGCAGTGTCAACTCGGCCATCTGGAGTGTGAAATTCGGTGGCAAGGTTTTCATCATTGGTGTTGGCAAGAATGAGATGACCATTCCCTTCATGCGTCTCAGCACCCAGGAGATCGACCTCCAGTACCAGTACCGTTACTGCAACACCTGGCCCCGTGCCATTCGCTTGGTGCAAAACGGTGTCATTGACCTGCGCAAGCTGGTGACCCACCGCTTCGCCATCGAGGATGCTCTGAAGGCGTTCGAGACCGCTGCCAACCCCAAGACTGGTGCCATTAAGGTGCAGATTATGAGCTCCGAGGAGGATGTTAAGGCGGCTGAGGCGGGCAAGAGTCTGTAAATGTGTGATGAGAAAGGACGGCGTTGACGAATTACCCGATATGATTTAGAATTGCCAAGCCTCGTTAAAGACGAAATGAATTTCCTATGTCCTGCAATATAGTTGCAAAGGATCCCGCCCTCTAGTGCTCAGGTGGTGCTTCATGGCCACTGACTGGCCATGGATCGTATCTTGAGTTGAGTACATGTCCGAGAACAGCATAGACACTGCATGGTGAAGTATTTTAGCAGACCTTGGAATGAATATAGTTGTGATTTGTAGGTAACTAGAGGCTTTCCGCCACCTTTTTGGCTCGGCGCCTATCTAGGTCGTTATACTATTCTCCTGCTATAGCTCCTTCCCAGTCTCCCAGTATCCTAGCTAGTGTTCTACATTCTTTACTACCGGATTGGTTAAATAGCCAAAGAACTCCCCAAATTCCTACATAAAAGAACAGGAAGAACAGAGAGAAGTGAAAGGATAGGGGTTGGAAAGTATTTCCGAAAGGTCCACCGTGTACCCAAGTATTAGAGGGGTAGACGTTTTCCACACTATGAATTGCTTAGAAATATAGTTAATTAACCAGTTATGACATAAATTACGTTACCCATATGTTCATCTTGATTTTGTTCCTGCCCACATTCTTCCGATATCCATACATTTGATTCAACTCGGAAATGACCAGCTTCTTTACTTTCTCTATTGTGTATTGTTACACATATAAGTTGGCTCTTTGGCCTCGAATGAACGAATTGCAGGCTTTACTTTACTAGAGGCTTTCCGCCGCGCTTTTCACGCGGCGCCTACTTAGGTGTTCGACCACACCTCCTACTATATCTCCTGCTTAGTCTCTTACTCAGTCTCTTACTTAGTCTCTTACTTAGTCTCTTACTTAGTCTCCTACTTAGTCTCGTACTTAGTCTCCTACTTCGTCTCCTATTCAGAATGCTACCTTCTTTCGTACCATATTAATCAACTGGTCAAAGATCCACCAGTAGCGGAATAGAAAAGGAAAAGAAAAAAATAGAGGAGAAGAAAATTGAAGTGGAAGGAAAAGAGGAAAAATGAAAAGTCTGATGGAGGTGTCGAACGCATGCTCAAAAAGTCTGCGGTGTATCTGGCCAGAGACGGAGATGGAGTTAGATGATGGATTTGGATCTCGGATTCTATTGATTATGAGGGTCTACTTGGTTTGGATGCGGTTTTGGAGTTAGATCTGGAAAGGGAGTTGGATCTCGGAATCTAATAGATAATAAGGGTCTACTTGGCCGGAGACGGAGATGGAGTTAGATCCCGGGACTCTATTGATTATGAGGATCTCCTTGGTCTAGATCCGGAGTTGGAGTATGGATCTGGAAATGGAGTTAGATCTTAGGATTCTATAGATTATGAGGGTCTACTTAGCCGGGGATGGATTTAGATCTAGAGATGGAGTTGGATCTCGGAGTTCTAAAGATTATTAAGGGTCTACTTGGTTTGGATTCGGGGTAGATATAGGGGATTCTATTAATTATGAGGGTCTACTTGGTGGTTCCGGAGTTGGAGTTGGATCTTGGGCTTTAATAGATGATGAGGGGGTCTACTTGGTTGATCTGGGTTGAGTTCCGGGATGGAGTCTATGAATAATGGATTATGAGGGTCTGTTTAGTTCGATCCGGGTTTGGTTCCTGGGATTCTATAGATTATGAGGGTCTGCTTGGTGGATCTGGAGTTGGAGTTGGATATCGGGATTCAAAAGATGATGAGGGTCTATTTGGCCGGAGTTGGAGATGGAGTTAGATCCGGAGATGGAGTTAGATGATAGAATTCTATCGATGAAAAGGGTCTATCATTGTATTACTCTATCTGAACCGCAAATGTAAATCATGGACTGGTTGATCTATGTTAAATGGGACCAATCCCAGCCCCACCGTAATCTACACAATAAACGCCGATTGAATAGCAAAAGACAGATGTTGAAACCGCAAGAAATGAAAAAGCCCAAGTAGTGACAGGAATCGTAAATCGTTTAATTGCCGTTGCTCTTGTTCTGGTGCAGCAACCAGGTGAGGAGATCCACCTTGGTAACAACTGCCAGTGGCTTCATGCTGCCATTCGCGTCCTTCTCGGTCACAACAGCAGCACTGTTCCACTCAAAGAAGCGATTCAACACACTGAGAGGGGTATCCAAGGTGATCTCAATGAACTGGCGACGCTTGGACTGGACTTTCTGGGTAGTGGCGCCCATGTCACGGGGGTCGGTGACAACCTCGGGGATCTTCGAGAAATCAAACATCACCTCCGAAACGGGGGTCTTGCCCGATACCCGGCCGTGGGTCAGTCTGCTAAGGACATTGCCCAGAGTGAGAAGACCCACGAGCTTGCGACCCGAAGGAGCGAGAACAGGAAGCTGGTCGAAGCCCTTCTCACGCATGATCTCGATGGCGGCTTCACAAGAGAAACTGGAGGTCACGGTGGTTATCGGTTTCAAACGAAGAGCGCTCACCTTTGCCCCAGCCAAGGGGTCCTTGGTGACAGATGGCTCTTGGGTTTCGGGGAGAGCTGTCTCGGGGGTGGCAGCGGGGAAAAGGTCATTAGCGACGAGCCAGTCGTCATCAGCAAATTTGGAAAGATAGCTGCGGATACTGTCTGGGAGAACGACGACCACGACATCGTCCTTGGAGAACTTCTTTTCCTGGTTAGCCTTGACCAAAGCTGCCACGGCGCTTCCACTGCTACCACCACACAGCAGACCCTCCTCGGCGATCAAACGGCGCGAGTACTGGAATGACTCCCTGTCTTCGGTCTTGTACCACCGATCGACAATTTTCTGGTCCAACACATCGGGAATGAAATCATAACCAATTCCCTCCACCTTGTAGGGCTCGTTGACGCGAGACTCATTCAGCGATTCCGGCAGGGCAAGAATGGAACCAAAAGGATCGGCGGCAATGACCTCGATGTTGGAGTTGTGTTTCTTCAGACCACGTGCCAGTCCGGTGATGGTACCACCGGTTCCGGCACCGGCGACGATGGCGTTAATCTCGCCCTTGGTCTGGGTCCAAATCTCCTGGGCAGTTCCCAGTTCGTGGGCCAATGGGTTGTTCACGTTGCAGTATTGATCGAGGATGTGAGCGTTGGGCAATTCCTTCTGCAGGCGCTTGGCGACTCCGATGTGGGACTCGGGGGAATCGAAGGCGGCCTCGTTGGGGGTTCGGATGATTGTCGCATTAAGGGCACGCAGGACGGAAACTTTCTCGGCGGACATCTTCTCGGGGAGGGTAATGATGGTCTTATACCCTGTAACAATTGTTAGCGTCCTGATTCCACCTCTGGGTAGCAATGTAATTACCCTTCACAGCGCCGACCAGTGCCAAACCAATACCGGTGTTACCACTGGTAGGCTCAATCAAGGTGTCGCCAGGCTTAATGCGCCCGGAGCGCTCAGCCTCCTCGATCATACGCAAGGCAATGCGATCCTTGACAGATCCGCCCGCGTTGAAATATTCCAATTTGGCATAGACGGTGGCTTCGATACCAAGGCTTTGAGGTAGGCGATTCAGTCGCACGAGGGGGGTGTTGCCAATGTGCTGGGTGATTGTATCCAGCGCCACCGGCGGGACAACAGGGTGGGTGGAAATAGACATTATTAAAAAGTTGGAATGTAGGATGAGGTCAAAGGAAGATTTGAGCTTATCGAGAACTTTTTTGCAAGGTTCAACCGTTCCACTGTTTGGACCCCTCTACTCTATTTTCTCATTTTCTTACTCCGCTCCATCTGTTTCCGTCGATAAGCGCCACTCCACCTCAGGTACGGATACTCGATGAGTAAACAAATCAAGTTCCTAAACAAAGTAAACAGACACAATTTACAAATTTTACAAATATAATGGCATTTAAAACAGCAGAAAACAAGCTGTTTTTGACTCGTTCACTTCCACTGTACGGAGTATATTGACTTGATTTGATAGTGGCGGATCTTAGTAAGCCGAAAACATCCATCGGCGGTCAATAATTCTGCTGAACCGTTAGTCAGCTGATACATACTTTGCCAAGTTAAAACACGTGCAACTGACTGTTCATATAATTGATCTCTTTGCCGATATATCTATCCCCCTCTACCCGCCTAATGTGCTCTGATCAAGGGCGTTTTCGTAACTCTGCTTACCAGATAGGATATGGCTTTATTTTTCCTGACTGGCTTCCCAGACTCAAACCACTAATTGCTTAGGCCACTCTTCTGTTATAAGGTGAGAAGCACTTGAGGGTGAGCAGCGCTCTGATGTACAGATTATTGTGACTGGGTCGCTCATGGAGGATGCTATTGAGCGGGCTCTTGCAAGGAAATGACTTTAAAATCTTAATCTCTTCGAATAACTAATGTACATCGACATGGAGACACTGGAAACAATTGACCCGTTCACGTTGGCCCCATGGGACGAACGCGTACAGACCAATATTGACGGACAACATGAACCCCAGACTGAAGCGGGCGGGTTGATGCAGATCGCGGTCAGCAGCTCGGCACGGAACGAGCTGGTGGGATTTGGAGTCGCAATCGAGAAACAGCCACCTCGAAATCGAAAATTGAAGCTCAAAACGTTTGCTATCACATTGGGCGCGAGGGCAGAGCAGAACCCGTTCTCTGCGGAGCTGGCAGCCATGGCACACTTGTTGAAAATGATAGTGGGAATCAAGGACTACAGGACTACGTTGCTCACAAGCAACAAGGCGGCGGTGCTCACGCTAAGAAACCCCCGACGACAGTCTGGCCAGGAGTTTGTTTGTCAGATGTACAAGTTGATGAGAAGGTTGCGGAGGAATGGAAACCGCATCGAGTTCCACTGGATCCCTACTACCGACGACAACAAGCTGTTAGGTCTGGCTAAAGAACAGGCCAGAACTGCAACTCAAGAAGATGCTCTCCCACAAGAACACGTCTCGAGGATGAAGTCGACAACATTGAACATCGCACGGTCCCAAGCAGTCCCCAGCAGTGAGCTACCAGAGAACATAGGAAGACACGCAAAACGAGTAGATGCCGCACTGCCAGGCAAACACACCCGGCAGTTGTATGATCGCCTCACGTGGAAAGAAGCGAGCGTACTGGCCCAGCTCCGAACCGGCATGGCTAGGCTCAATGGGTATCTCAAGCAAATTCATGTAGCAGAGACGGATCAATGCGATTGCGGACAAGCAAGAGAGACCGTGGAGCACTTCCTCTTCCGATGTCGGAAGTGGATGGCGCACCGGACGGAAATGTTACAATGCACGCAGACTCACCGAGGAAACATATCTTTCTTCCTGGGCGGAAAACAGCCTTCTGATGATCAGAAGTGGACGCCAAACCTAGAGGCAGTACAGGCCTCCATACGTTTCGCCATTGCGACGGGCCGACTCGAGGCCACTTGAACATATCGACTAACATAACCCCCACCCCTTCTTCCGACCCTACTTACCCACCACCTCGTGCTACACATGGTAGACGCGCTTCAACTGCCGAAGATAGGATGTTGAACACTTGGAGAAGCACCTTCAAGCCAGCCTACTAACCCACTTACTAACCCACGAGAAACTCGCTGCGATACTGCGTTCTGGAAATGTTATATGTTATAAGGTTTTATGTATGGGCTTTCAGGAGACACAGCATACACAGATGGACATGTACAGTAGATCAGTGATAGTTGCCCTTTCGGCTCAGCCGCCGGGCGTTAATGAATTGTTTGTTTGTTTGTTTGTAATTGACATTTCCGGCCAAATTTTGATCTTATGTATGAGAGAAAGGCTAACGGCTTTCACGGGCCTTGTGAGCTGCTTAACCCCTCTTTCCTGCGAAGGAAAGTGGACTGCAGTTGGGTCGGGCACGGACTTAGCTTAAGCCCGAGGCGAGATGTACGAGAGATGACAAGTCTACCTCCCACTAATAAAAGCAAACCCCTGTCCAAATAACTTGAATTTTATCATTCCGGTCAAACGATTCAACATTTATTTCTACATTTAACATCATGTCGACCGTCATTGTATTTGGGCCGACCGGCAACATCGGTTCCGTCGCAGCCCGCACTGCTCAAGAGCATGGAGCCAAGGTCATCTTAGCCATGCGTGACCTGAAGAAGACCATACCGGGTCTGAGCTCACAGCAAGAGCAAGCTGGTGGTTTCGAAAGAGTCCAGGCCGATTTGACGGATGCCGATTCCGTCGCTGCAGCGACCAAGAAATCCGGAGCCAAGCGCGCCTTCATTTACGCTGCTTTTGGTTCTTCAGACCACATGAAGTCGACTCTTGAGGCTCTGAAATCATCTGGTATTGAATTTGTCGTCTTCCTGAGCAGTTACACCATCTCAGGCGACCCCAAGGACGTCGAACCCAGTGATCTCATTCCTTATATTCACGCGCAGGTGGAACTCAACCTTGACGAAGTCTTTGGTGTGGAGAAATATGTTGCCGTGCGCCCTGGAGGTTTTGCCACAAATCTTTTGCGCAACAAGAGTGACATTCACTCTGGGGAGGTTAGGATTTATGCACCGAACTTCAAGCTCGATTGCGTCACGCCTAGTGATATGGGTCGTGTCAGTGGAACTATTCTTGCTCAGGGACCGAAGAATGGTCAGCGAAAGGTCTATATCTATGGTCCTCAGGTGATCTCAATGTCAGACGCCATTCAAATTGTTGCGAAGGTTCTGGGCAAGGCTGTTAAGATTACTACTATCAACGCGGAGGAGGCCCTGGAGCAACACCTTGGCCATGGCATGCCCAAGCCGCTGGCCGAGTATATGATTCGGAGATTCGGAACTGATGACGATGCCAATGTTCCGCGTGCTCACTACGAGGAGGGTGTCCAGAATGTGCAGCTTTACACTGGAACCCCTTCAACTGGGTTCGAGGAGTGGGTGACTGCGAACAAAGATCTCTTCAACGCGTAATGTGGTTGGAGCCGAAACGTCTGCGGGTGATCGATCATCTCGAGATTTTCCTTCCTGGATAATATGATGATGATCACCACGAGGAATTGGCATCTATGGGTGGCTGCGACGCAAATTCTTTCATATCTCGCTTCTACACTATCTTTTAAAAATTAATGGGTTCAGAACCCCCAGAAAAGATGCCGATCTGACGAGCGATAGCAGCTCCAGTAAGACCAAGATCACCGGTAATCATGAACGAACGCTCGCTTGTTGTTCACGACGCTACCGTTGAAGAGGTTTCTTTGCGAGGCAGGCCGATGAATGAATGGCGAGAGGACAATGTAAATGAAAATCACCACCACCACCACTACTACTACTACTTCTACTACTACTACTATTACTTCTACTACTACTGTAATTCTCAGTCATAGTAATAGATATGTCGGTCGCATAATAGACTCTACTACCTGCTAGGTGATTGGATGCTCACCTGGCGACACATGCCGAATCCATGTTACGCTTCACAGCCATTCCATTCGGCTGATTCTTCAGTATTCAGGTGAAAGCTCCATGCCGGATTAAAGAATAGATGGAGTGATGCTTCGCAGCCAAAACACAAGCGACATGCAGCTTTGCGACCGGCCGCGTCGCGTTGGTAACAGCAGCCGGTTCAGGTGGCTGCGCCACAGTTGTGAAGTCTTTCTTTGCAGCCAGCCAACCCAGAGGTAGCCACCTTGAGCTTAAAATATTACAAAGATCCTCCAATTTTAGCTTTGTACGAGGAAAGTTATGGAGCACAAGCAGATAGCGTTCAGACGAAAAGTAAATCCAAACAGGCTACACGGCGCACCATGAGTCACTTTAATTGATTTGAAGAGTACTGAAGAGTACTGGGTCAATTCGAAAGAATCAGAGTATTTTCACGTGCTTTGCAAGTGATCGTCTCCTCAGGGATTCGAGGCGATGGTGGGGATACACTGCATCGCGACATTACTATTCACCGAGCTCCTGCGACCGCAACTACGGGCAGCTGCAGCAGCGCCCGAGACACCTCGTGGATCTGTTCGGGTAGTGTGGACATCCAGCTTTTTGGCAGAAGGCGCCTCACCGGCGAATAGGATTGATTTCACCCTGTTAGATAAGGGAACCAGTGATCGCACTCGTAACTATGCTGTCTCCAAAGTGGGAACCTGGATGCTGCGACGGGAGTTGGCCGGACGATCCCATCTCGAGCAGGACAACATTGTGAGCGTAGTGCAGAATCCAGGCAATCTAAATACGGACAGCTATGTAGGGACTTCGGCGGTTGCCATGTTCTTTATCAGCCCCTTACTCCGTGAGGCCAAGTTTGGGGCCTATACTGAGCTGTATGCCGGTTTATCATCCGAGATCACCCTTGAGAATAATGGCGGCTATATTATTCCCTGGGGAAGGATTCGACGGGATGAGGATTGCCCGCGACGAGATATCGTCGCAGCGATGACTCCGGCCGAGGATGGAGGACTTGGATATCCAAGACGACTTTGAGAGTGGCGTGAGCAGCAGTGGAAACCTTTTGTGTAAATCCAGACTTTCTGTTGGAGATGAGCTCCAGATGCCTGAGGCTCAATATCTTTTTCTCCTTGTTGCCCAATTGGGTTAGTCAGCTTAGTCCATAAGAGTATATCTCTCATCTCGCCACTCCTTCCTCTTTCATCTCTTGATCCCCCTGCTCAACAAGATTATTCACTCGCATGGACCCTGTACCGTGTAAGAAGACAGCCTGAAAAAGAAGATATTCACATCTCCAGAATACATGATGTATTGAAAACACTCAACTCAAGCTATCTAGTTCCAGCTCTGTTTTAAGCTTTTGAACCTCTTCGCTGCTCCACTGTACCCGAGGAACATATAACTTCCCGCCCCGTTGTCTATCTAACGTAAATTCTTTCAACGTATTGAAGTCCCGACAAGTGTGTACTCGATCAGCGTCAGTATATGGGTGAGGAAGGCCTTCGAAATGCTTTTGTCGAATCAATGTAGTTCTCCCATAGCATTGTATTTCCTGGCGGAGAAAGTCAAGACAGTGTTCTATTGTGGAAAAGACTAATTAGCTGTTGATTCATGTCAAGGTATAGATAACACCGTACCAAGATGAACCGCGCCATGAAGTTCAGTAAAGGGATAAAACTCCCGTTGAAGAGCCATGCGTACAGAATCCTAAGTTTGTTAAGCTTTGATCTAACTGGAAAGGCGATGGCTGAGCGCTCACCAGATAATGCAACGCATGATACATGCTGAACCTTTAGTGGACTATGGATCAGCATAAACAGTGGAAATGAAACGTGTAATCAAAAGTACCCAGCTGTGTATTCTCCCAAAAGTGGGTCGCGATATTTGGTATATCCCGCTCCCCACGCCCGCTTTGCTTCGACTTCTGACACTGAGAAGTACCGAGGTCGGATGAGATGGTTCCATTCATTATCGATTTCTGCGCCGGGATTGCCAAAGTAGGCTTTGTTCTCGGGCCATCGAGCAGAAGAGTCAATCGCCTCTCGCCAGGCGGTGCCGTTAGCTTCAAAGTGTGGAGAGCCATGGAATCACATGGGAATCCGAGGAATCGTCGTCGAAAGGTCTTTATGGTTTCAGATTAGTAAATATATCAGTAAATAAATGTACCCAGAAATTTGTCTCACACATCTCTGGGGGGAATTGACATTGCCCCCGACATCTTTGATGAAATCATAACAATGAAAAAGACACCGAGAAAGACAGTAGCGAGGTACACGCTAATAAACCATGACAGGGGATATTTTGTGCCAAAAACAGATGGCTTTGCTGTGGCTGCTTTTGATTCTTCATCACTTTCATGCAGAGGGAGTTTCGAATACACAGACTGTGCAAATGTCATTTTGAGAGGATTAAAAGAGCTCCGGGTGGCCAGGGGAGGGAAGAGAGACTTGATTCACCTCCGCAATGTGGTTACAGGGACACGATATATTACTACTAATACTACCAACTGACCCAGGCGAGGGCAGTTTGTACTAAAAATTCGGAAAAAAGAGATAAATATTCAAATTAAGTCGTTCCACTTTGTTAAATACTGTTCATCTCCTTGACACGCCAAAGAGGCACAACGAGACAGCCCTTAATGATCATGCGGTTCACGAACACCCACGCGTAAGAATGAGTCGAGATTTAAGTACTAGACTTCATGAGATGACCGTTCTCTCGGAATTGCATTTGGAACACTTACCCGCCGTGCTCGTCGAGAGTCTCCAGCTCAAGATCAATGTAATTCTTCGGGGCGGGGGCTGCAATAGCCCCTATGATAAGGAAAGCAAAGGTGAGGAGTGAAAGATTGAAATGCATGGTGCAAACAGGTATGTAGGAACCTTGGAAGTGGAGATTTTATAAGCTTGCTTGTTGATGATGTGTAATTGACTGGGGATAGGAGAGCCCTTTATACACCTGAAGGCGTTACCACAACGCTTTTATGAAATGTCGCCATGGCTCAGATATTTGTGTATACCCGCGGTAAGAAAAATATAGACCCTTACCTGCCTAGCGTAGAAAGTAAGCCAAAATTGCAATTGTAAGGAGCACATATGGAGACGACTCAGTGTCCGCCCGGTGACGAAGACTGTAGGCCGATAGCGTCATTAGCTGCAGGATGAGGTTACATTGTTGTTCGGCCTTCGCTATCTGTAAAAAGGAGGAAAGCCGACTTCGTTTTTCTTTTCTATTTGTGGCACAGGGATCTATACCCGATCTGTCACAGGACGCGTAATTCTTCCGGGCTTGGTGCTGTAGCGCCTTGCGGTAAAAGCTTAGCTTGTACCCCACCCCGCTTTGCGAATAGATAGCAGCGTAGCAGCGAAGCAGCCAAAGCATCCATCGTGCATATTAGGCCGCGCGCGAGTGCCCTAGTTCCGGACAGATATCGCAATTCTGGTAAATATACCCGAGATCATTACATATCGTCTAGGGAGCGTAGATTGGCGATGTTTTTATTACCAACAATCTGTATGGACATGTTACAACAAGCTGGTTATGAAGAAGTCACGCGATTTGCCAGGATCTTCCCATCTGTATTGCTCCTAATAGTCTCGACTCAATAAACCGGTGATCAAGATGTTTCTCTTCACCAATGGCAAGAATGTGAAGTACGACAAGTTAACTAACGAGGTCGAGTCAGAGCAGGAGGACAAGCTTGAGAATTCTTTACCATGGCCACTCTCACGACTCCGGAAGAATGGACTAATATACGTTCTGATTCTATCCAATCTGATCAGCAGTCTGTTGATCATTGCAACATTCACTCGGCAGGGAATGCAAAAGCATGATTCGTTTGAGAGCGGCTTTAGGACTGATTTTGGTATGCCTGTGGATCTTCACCTTTCACGTAAAACAATATTGACCTTTCACAGACCCAGCTCGAGAACACATTGAGTTGGAGCACTTGATCTTTTCTGGGTCTCCAGCATTTACCTATGCAGGTGTTGAGTTCCAGCATCAACCAGCCAAGGTCCAATATGTTGGCAAGCCAAGTCCAGAGATTGACCAGGCTTGGGAAGATTTGGTGGCAGGTTTGTGTTCATCATTCATCACCTTTATCCTCATCCACAATTTCGAAATTTGAATAACCTTTGAATTAGGGAAAGAATTCTTAGCGACAGAAGAGGAAGTCAAAATTCAATGGCCGGATGATGTTAGCGAGTTATGGGACGAAGATCGTGGTGGTTATGTGATCAGGTGAGTGAACTAGACAGTGGACCTTACTCCAGAGGTGAATCTAACTTGAGATTCAGTATCGATGTTTTTCAAACATTGAGTTGTCTGGTAGGTCTTCGTGTATTTTTGGTGATTAATCTGACAAAGATAGGACTTGTTGCGTCGCGGTTTGTCTCCATCATACTATAATCTGACTTATGATGAGAACACTTCGTCTACAATGAGTGAGCTTGTCTCCTATAACGACTCTAGAGCGAAATGTGCTCACTAACCAAACATTGAAAATAGATCGATGTATCGAAAAAATTCGACAGTCTATCATGTGTGCGGCTGACCTGACCCCCAATCCCTCCAGGAACAATCCAGGCTTGGGGCATAACTACATTGACACTGCCAATCACCATACTTGCCGAGATTTCGATCGCCTACATCGCTGGGTGCAAGAGAGGACTGTTGGAAAACTGGCTGTCAAGCCTGTACAGAAACAGTAGAAAATGCTTCAAATACTAGATGGAAGAATAAACCTTTTGTCTCAATTACTTCATGTTTTCCAGAAATATGTACATGCTTTCTGGCACTTAAAATCTCCATGGCATTTTCACACATCCTGGGAACTGTAATCTTGCAGTCGCAACCTCATGCTCCGTACTGTAGGTCTTTTCAACTGTACCCTTGACAAAATGGGCAATCTGCTTCCCGCAATGTGTTGTGTGCCGCACATCAGCAGACTTCCCATCAATCAGCAGCCATCGTTTTTCGGTAGCCATCGCTAGCTTGCGCATCGCGTACAGGCAGTGCTCATGGTGAAAGGTGTGTGTATATGCAACGAATATGTTGCCCAGCGCCAGCTGCTGCATGTCGTTCTCACTCAAAGTGTCTGTAAGATTTTGATCTTTGTACCAAATGCGATCTTCGAAAGGGCGGTACTCGTCCAATCCTTCTGGGTGAAAACATTCATTAGGAATCCAGGCGTAAAGCATCGGGTCAAAATGGCAGTTGCGAGCCATCGCCTCACTGGGCGAGAGACCACAGTCAGTCCAGTAGTCAAGCTGGCCTGGCAATGGCTTTGTATAAGGCTGAGTGAACGTAGCAGTGAAAAAGTAAGTTGCCAAGGCGATCGTCTGAGAGAGACATAGTATGCCGAGTATGACCTCCCATCTGGTTTTTCGGGAGCGCTCTGGAAGTAACCATTTCTCCATAATGTGGATTTTTCGATAGAACTCCGAAGTTTCTTTCGTTGAATTGGTTGCGTTGAATTGGTTGCTCAAGGCACTTGTATAGCTTTAGCACTGTTATTGAAAATGAAAAAAAAAAAGGGATTTGTATAAGTGACCGGTTGCTTGCGCAATTGTACAACTTGGTATACCATATCTTTCATGCTTGGTTAAAACACTAGCACCATGCATGGGGAATCCTGGCCCGCTCCAGCGTGTGACGGCTGCTGCATAGACGCAGCGCTCATTTCCTTAGGCGTAATGGCGTTATGATGCCACGTAAAATGTTGCGTGCGGGGTGAGGGGACACTGCATTGTAAACCTAGGCTATTATCCTTCGCGTGGGAATAACCCGCTTTATTGGAGCAGTGAACGCTCCGGCCGAATTACGGTAGCATTGACTATCGCACGTCTAGCGAATGCAACTAATACTCTAGAAAATAACTAGATTACTGCCGATGGGAACCGGAAAGATTCGGGGACCATGTGAGCAGATGAGCTGTCCTCTTGTTGCTGTACTTCCTTTCTGGTGTCGTTCTGTTCTCTCTGTCGTTCTGTTGTCTCAAAAAAGACATCGATTAAATATCAACGGAAAATACCTCGATCCACGCGCGGACTCAGGGAAGCAAAATCATCATTGCGTGACGATTTTAACCGACCCTAAAACCAACGGAATTACCTCCGCAGGCGCATCTTTAGGTGGATAATACAACTGGAATATCTCATGCAATGGATTGAGATTTATTAAATTGCATTATTCAAGGATCTGTGACATTATATATGTACTGATGAGTCGCGCGATAGTTGTAAAGAGCTTGTGCTGATCGACATTGTCGTGAAGTCTGGGAGCCACTGATACGATGCAACTGCTCACCCTCATCATTCACATCTTGGTACTCAATAGTATCATCCGCAAAGCAATGAAGTGTCTAATGAATCATCAGAAAATGGTGATGCAGAGAAGAGGGAAAGAAATATCACCTTTCTAAGATAGTCGAAACAGTGTGGCCAGTGGGGGTCATCCGTCTGATCAATACCGATTTGTTTCCCTTCAGAAGCATTCTGCATAGCTGCCCGCATTGCAACAAGACAATGAAGTTGATGAAACCTGCTCTAGGGTTAGATTTCTTGGTTGTGAGATTGCTTAGCAAAGAGTGATGGGATTCCAACATAGCTATTGCCCCGACGTCCCGGTTTCCATCCACTTCTGTGAACACCAAGCCAGATTTAGAAGTCTCATTCCATAAGTGGTCGTAGGTATGATTCAAGGACATATAAGGCCTATCAAGTCCGTAGATCATCGTGGTACTCCGGTCATCCTGTAGAGACGACGATCGATCTGCCACAACAATAACGAGGATCAACAGAATCACAATCACAACACTTTGTATCGCAGCCAAGCCCAGCAAATGCCATCCTTGGTAACATCGTCTCTTGATGTACGGGTGAGGGGGTGTCAAAACTTGTGTTGTCGCTTCAAGTTTCACACTCTCCTCATCCTCGCTAGAGGCAACTCTGTCGTATCGCATCTTGGTAGATGGGAGATAGTAAGAGGGCAGAATCTCTCTGCACTAGTATTAAATATTCGGGTCGAAATGATTTCGAGAGGGGAAGAGACGATTCTAGTCAATACACTAGGCTAGCCCGATTAGTAGGTGGTGGAGTCATTAGACAAGGGTTAGAGGAGCACCGACGGAAGGCCCAAAGAAGTGACAAGGGCCACGGCAAGCCTGGTCTAATTTCCTTATCTTTTGCAAATTATCTCTTAATCATCTAGCGCTTTCTATTGCGTTTCTACCCCTCTTCTCTAAATCTTCTAATATTAGTCTCTGACTTTTCTGCCAACGAACTTGGTGGTCAAACACAGAGCATTAAAAGGAACGGATCATCCCACCTGAAAAATATGTACGAAAACACAACAGCAGAAATCATGCTCGAAACCAAAGAACCCCCCCAGCCTCCATTCGAGTTGAACCATTCTCCTGAGCAGGTCATGCAACTTACGCATGCTGCCATAGCGACCTCTCGGGCCAGCCTGGATGTGCTCACTGCTAAGACAAATGCCGACTGGACTTTTGATGGATTTATTATACCATTTGCAGAGGATGAAAACCACAGGCTTCTCCAGTCCTGTCTGATCAATTATCATCAATACGTTTCTAAAGACAGAGACCTACGTGACGCCTCCCGCGCAGCTGTAAAGCTATGGACTGAATACGAGCAAGAGGTGAAAACACGTCGAGATCTCTTCCATGGTATTGACGTCGTCTACAAGAAAAGCCAAGATGGCACTATAATCTTGAATTCCGAAGAACGACATTATCTCGATCGAGTATATCTCAAATTCTGTCGCAACGCCATGCACATCAATGGGGAAATTAAACAGCAGGTTCAGCTTTTACAAAATCGTATTGGCGAGCTGAGTAGAGAGTGTGTGCGAAACTTTCAAGAAGAATCTGAAGGAGTCTGGCTCGAGGAGGCCGAGCTTAAGGGTCTTCCTGAAGCATATGTCGCAAGCGGAAAGCGCAATGCTGATAACATGGTTTTTGTGGGTTTGAAGAGACACGATCTGGATGTGGTACTGAAGTTCGCGACTGAGGAATCGACCCGCCGGCGCGTATACATTGCTGCTGAAAACAAGTGCCCACAGAATGTTGCTTTATTCGAGGAGCTAGTCAAATCCCGAGCGCTCCTTGCTAGTCTCCTAGGATATGCGTCTTATGCTGAATACGCGATCCAAGGCCGTATGTTGAATCTTTCACAGGTGACGGAGCGTCTAAATGCCAGCAGGAAGGTAGCCGACAAGGCAGCTGAAGAGAGGGTCGTTCTTATGGAAGCCAAGAAACATTTTCTCATAGCACAGGGGAAACCAGAAGATGAGATTGATCCCAGAATCTATATCTGGGACTTGAACTTCTACGCTCGGCTTGTCAAAACAGAGAAATTTGACATCGATGAAATGGCAGTCATGGAATACTTCCCTCTTAAGCACACATTGGCAGGGATGCTACAGATTTTTGAGCAGATATTTGGTCTTCACTTCCAACCCGTCAATTCTGGCGCATGGGTTTGGGATGAAGAGGTAACAGTCTGTGCGGTTTGGAATGAAGAGGCGATGGGCGGCGAGTTCCTCGGATATATATATTTCGACCTTTTCGAAAGACCGGGGAAACACAACACCAACTGTAATCAGTTCCTAGCCCCGGTAAGGATCTTATAAGACTGTCCTAATATACTTTCGCTAATCTCAGGATATAGGGCTTCAAAGGGAGCAATACATCTTACCCCAGCATCATATTACTGGCTTCATTCGATTCCATAGCACCCCACCTACTCCGACAACGACAAGTGGTCACCCTGTTCCATGAGCTTGGTCACACCATCCACCATCTGGTTGGCCGAACACGCTTCGCGAGTACATATGGCACCAGTACATCACACGATTTTGTTGAGATTCCTAGCAACATGCTAGAGCACTGGTGCTGGACGCCGTCAATCTTGCATTCCTTATCACGGCATTACACATACACCTCCGTTGAAGATAAAGAGGCCTATTTGAAAACACATGCCCACCTCCCCGCGGATAAACCACCAATTGACCTATTTGAACGCCTCGTTGCCGCTCAGGCTGTTGACGAAGCATGTTTAATGCTGAACCAACTCCATTACGCCTTATATGATCTCACAATTCACGGCACAACCCTGGTAGAGGATCTTTCCGTCTTGTATAACCGGATGCGCTGGGAGTGCACCTCGCTTGTTGGGCCAGATCAGCTTACTGGGCCAGATAGTCATGGGGGAGATTATCACTGGGGATCTGGGCAAGCGAGGTTCCCGCACTTCTTTCGGAATTATGCCGCGGGGTATTATGTCTATTTTCTGTGAGCTTACTCAAATGGATTTTTTTTTTGCCAAGCCAGGAAGCTAACATCTAGGCAGTGGCGAGGCATATGCGCGGATCATGTTCAATACTCGGTTCCAGCGAAACCCGTTAGATGGAGCAGAGGGCCGTCGGTATCGCCGTAAGGTCCTAGAAAAGGGTGGAAGCTTGCCAGAATTACCTTTGTTAGAGGATTTTGTTGGTGGTAAGATAGATACATCTGACATTCTCGGCGTGTAGTCCTTGATACGATCCTATCGTATCAAGAAAGAATAGAATTAAGTTTTGCATCTGGTGGAAAAGGACCGTTGGGGGAAAAAAGAAAACAACAACAACAAGTAACCAGCAACCAGTTTTGTCGTGAAATAAGACTTCAATAGTTGTTGTCCTGTGTGCTTTCACTTGTGCTGCATCTTGAATCCGGAATATTTCTTGTACGAAACGAATTTTCCCTCTTGTCAGATATATCAACTTTGGAGCTGCATAAAACGCGAGGATCAGCCGGTCGTACTGTAATTCCCCATGGTGTATATGCACAGGGGGCAATTAAGTTGTTCATTTGAAGCGTGCCCAGCCCGATATGAGCAGATTTGCGCCCGAAGTCTTCACAGAGATAGCGAACAAGGGGGAGACGCCATCGTTTCAAAGCCTACTTGATATCATACATATGAGTGCATTGTTAATGCGTGAAATTGCGCATATTTTGCTCGTCGTGGTCTTGAGGCCACGAAAGAAGGTGCATAACACGTGTAGACCGTGTGATACCGGACCATTTCAGTGCATGAGGTGAAAGAATGATAAAGCGACCGACGGAGGACACTAAGCTGCTTAGAATTTCAAATATAGATTCTACGTATCACTTAACCATCGCAAACGTACTACATTCTGGCGGCACGATGGATCATGTGAACATGGAACACGATGGGCATGGTGGACACGACCATGGCCACACCGGACATGGCATGGAGATGAGCATGCCAATGATCTTCAGCCTAAGTACCAAAGTAACCATTCTATTCAGCTGGTGGTCAACCACTACAGTGATCTCATATGTCCTTACTTTGTTGCTCCTCTTCCTCCTCGCTTGCTTCAACCGGTTCCTTGGGATTTTGAAACTTCTGCATCAGAGACCAAATGATTTGTACCATGAAATACATGATGTGCCCAATTTGACTCTACCACTGTCTCGCTGGACTCGAAATCCGAATGCAAATGATCGCATGAGCCCTCTCCCACCACAAGTGGTGTTCAATGATAACGACACCGATCGTTATGATGCTTTTCCCACAGCACCCCTGTTGGGACCCACCTCCCAGCCTTATTCCAATCAGTACGACGAAAGCTCTCAACCTAGTTCATATCGCTCGCACAGAAAATTGAACTGGCAACATGACGGTACGAGCTCTTTGCTGGAAGGACTTCGCGCTCTTATTGGGTATGGGTTGTGAGTCTACGCTTCTCTCGAACAATGACTTACAATAGCTGAAATCTTCAAAATGTAGGATGCTGGCGGTCATGACATTCAACGTTGGTGTTCTGTGTGCCGTTATTGTGGGTATGGTTGTGGGGGAGCTATTTCTCGGCCGGTTTTCCCCACCGTCGCCTGGGTGGCAGGATGGCGCATGTCATAACAGTTAGAGCTTAATGACAGTATTACCTAATTGAGGCCCTGAGAAGGTTTTCTTTTGTGATCTACGTACATGTCCCTGAAATGGTTCAAGGCATCATGGAAGATCCACTTTATGCACGCAAATGGGTCATGCAAGGGGTTTGACACGTAGGAAAGACCTCAAAATGACTCGAATTCTAGAGAGGAATTGAATAATGAACACATGAAAAAGAACTTTGTAATGGAATATTTGACATAGAATGATCTCTTTGATTGTTGTTGATGTTCTAGAGAGATAACTGTGACGCTTTCGACTGCTCCCCTTTGGGGCCCACTGTTTGGTGATCGTGGGCCCCACAAAGATTCTATCGGCAACTAACGATCAATTCAATCTCATATCAATATGCTCCACTAAGCCTAGCTCTGAGCATGGCTTCCGGGGTGTTTACCTTCGCTATCTATTTGAATATGCTCTAAATTCGCAACTAAATTAGCCAAGCTGGAACCTGCCGGTACTACGGTCATAAGCACTTCGAGGTTTAGATATATGACTAGTTACGTCGTATCTAGAAGTATATTAGGACCCTCATGTGTATGAATTTGGTACCAGTATATTCCAGTTTGGCTGTTTTGGCGCTGACTTTGGTGCTCGTTCAGCTAGATGGCCAAGAGACCATCCGCGATGCCACACCACTTGACAGACCATAGCGTACGTGAACATAAGAGCCTATGAGCCCCCTGACTTTATAAGGCTTCGCTGGGTGAGAAATTTAGATGACTACTATGTGCTAAATTGGTAATATTTACGTGTCACTAGATCTGGAGAAACTGGTCATATTTTGATGAATACGATTTCATGTAATTCGCGGGATAATTCTCAAAAATAATCCAGGCGTAGTAATGCTTCCAGATGGACGGCGTGATTTGGTAATAAGCCCCCCACTGGCAGGACTATAGATCGTACCATTATCAACCAGCTTTGGAACGCCTTACGCCGCGCGAATTGATAAAATAAACTGAACGCGTTTTTTCTAATGAAGGTGTGGGTGGATGTGACAGACGTGACATTTGGAGTGAAGATGGCTTATAGAACTCGATATGAGCACGATTTTCTTTTTGGGGTTCGATTACGAGGATATGCTTCCTGATGCAATAGCACCTAACGCCGTCAGACGCAAATTAATACACTCACATAGTTGGGTAGACTGGTTGCTATGCATGCATGTGAGGGGCTGAATGATTCCAAAATAGATTAGAATGGAGCTGCGCTGGCCCCTAGATGGTCAGTATAAGATGAAAGCAGAAGAAACCAAATGATTCTTGTAGCAGCAAAAGATTTTTGCCTCGGCTTAAATGATATTCAGCATTCAGTTTCACGGTCAAAGCTCAGTTCCTTGAATATCCACCCTGACACACAGACCAAGCCTCAAATCCACTCGGCTCACTCCGTCAAGGAAACTTGAGTTCTCGAATTTACAGGATGGCCATAGATGAAAATGGAGTGAATTGGGCCTGGTAGGTTTTATTTCTGCTATACATCACCCCGCCTCCCCGGATCTCTATCCACCTGACTCTTTGAGGAGATTGATCTAACTCATTTTGACAAACCCATCAAGCGAGGCGTGTATCCGTGGCCATCGATCAGCAAATTGTCAACATTTTGATCATTCGATGAAGAAGATACGTAAGACTGGGCGCCCCCTTTCGATATGCCCACATGCGACAAAGCCTTCTGATTGTGTCGAACAATGGTCCTGACCCTCCGCTATGTCAGTTGGAGGCACATATTCTCTACCCACTTTAAGGCCTCAACTCTTTGCTGCTACAGACTCTTGACGCTAACAAGACGGCCGCGAATAGAAAACAGCCAAACCCTGGTGGTAGCTTCGAAACCTCTTACCAGTGCTACAAATGCTCAGAAGAGCTACGAATGAGGACAGGTAGATGTAACACGGAAGCATCAGATGTGGCCGATATATGCGTTGGTCGAACCTTTGAAGCTACCAGTACCAACTTTCCTGGGTTGGATTCTGCCGCCAGATAAACCTGCCCACAATGCAAGAAGTGATTCCACCGATACGATTGACTTACCAACCTCTAGAGTGTCGTCTTAGCAATTCTCTCAATCATTCTGCACCTGCTCTGAGTTACATCAACTATGAGCAATCTCGGCAGGATCCTTGGTTTCTTGAATAGATCACATGGGTACTTCTTTTGCGTCATTTTCACCATAGTGGGAGTTACTATAATGGATGTATACGTCAGTGCTCATGCATAACCTCATATTCTATGTTAAAATAAGATTGACTAAGCTCAATGATAGGTTGTCTCCTGTTGCCCATCACGACAACCAATTGGATTTGAAGTAAATCGACGCCAAAGGACTTCGTTGCACATTTCTTGTGACAAACCTATCTTTAGGTACTAAAATGCTCAAATTGACGCAGTCCAGACCGCAGAGTTCTATGAGCCGTAAGCTGGGCCATTATTCATTGCATGAGTGCAGAAGCGGTGTTGCATTCGAGGTGATCTCTCTAGCTACCCATCTAATTGCCAAATATTCATGACTTAATTATGGAAGTGCACAGATGAGCCCGAGTTGACGAAATTCTGGGAGCGCAAAGGGTAAAGAAGCAAGAAGTGGGGGCGGAAATCGAATCTCGAGACTGAGAATGACCAATTCCGGTCTAGCGGTATTTTGAGTGTTTTGAGATCCCATCATCTTGCAAATACCTACATTGCATTGATAAAAATATATAAATTAATAAAAGGAATTGTGGGTCAAGACCTAGTAATGCAGATAAGAAGCAAATAGAAGCTTCGCGACCCGTTTGATGGCGAGCTGACATTTGCCAAGTGCCGAGTGCGGACCTTCGAGACTGAGGTCGACGCGGGTGCATATTGAAGTTCTACTTCTTTTATTATTCTGTAAGATTACTTTTTATTCTTTTTCTGTCTGTTTTTCTTTCTTTCCATTTTTAAAGTATTTGCTTACAAGTTCAAGCGTATTACGAACTGGAATGCCTGCGTCGTAGCAACAAAGATGTGTCTTGATATCTGAGCCAGTTTTTACATTGTCTCCGATATTTCAGGGATAGTGCCAAGCAATGTATGAAATCAAATACTCAAATATGCTCAGTCACGCACTTTGATGTCTCAGATCGAGAAATATGAAATAAAACGGAAGATCATTTGTGGACAAGGCCCTCTTACAGCGGCAGATCAATCTAGCATAATGTATGTGCCAAAATTGCTCTGGTCATTCATTCCTTGGTTATATCCTATTTTAGTGAAACTTCCAGGTCGCGCATTAGGTGACGCTTTGGTCAGGCTTTGAGTCATTACATGCGATTCCCCAAGCATACTCAAACATCGGCCTTACAGAATGGCTCTGAGCAACAGTAATTGGGATTGAACCCTATATTGTCCCCTTACCTTGATAGGACTTGCAGAGAATGCGCTAGATACTAAGGATAAGAACTTGGGTGTTTTGGGTCAGAGAAGTCACCAGATAAATGGTTTACGACGCGAAGAACTCATAGCACTGAAAGCAAGATCAACCTATATTAGGAATGAAGGCAATTGTGGTATCCTTTCGAGGAGGTTCAGTCAGTCGACTGGCAGTTCCTTGATATCTTCTCTTAATCATTAACGGGTCACGGTGATTTCACATACTCGTCACACGCGAGAGTATACCACATCTTATGACTGGTTGCATTACACCTGCATCTCGGCCACGTTCCCCCTCAAGTCAAGACCCACAAACATGCTCATACTTAACGCTACGAAGCTCATCAAATTTGCCCCTCTGACCCTTCTTTCGGGCAATGTGATGCTTGGGCCGAAAGCATTCGTGGGATCATTTCACTACACCAAGTCTACCTAATCCGGTCGCAGCGGGGTAAGGTCTGGGGGGATTTTAAAGCTTCGACGAATGTCCATTCAATTGGCCTTGCAGAGCACAACTCACCATATATACTGCTGTCTAATATACTTAATTTCTTCATATACTACTTGAAATGTACCGCAAGACTATCTGTGATGCATTGGCTCGTTTTAGCTCAAGGCCGTCGATTTATTTCAATGGCAACGTTTCCGAATCACCGACCAAGAGGCGCCACTCGTTCTCTCACCAGCGATATTATACTTGGCCATCGAACAGTCAACCCACACCATACGAGGTGATGGGGATTCAGGAATATGCCAAATATCCCAAATCCAGATACTTCGACCTTGTAAAGGTTTATCATCCCGACAGCAAAGCGAGCCTCTTAGCCGAAAAAATGCCCAAGGAAGAACGCCTAGCGCGATACCGGCTCATCGTCGATGCCCACAAAATCCTCTCCGATGACGAAAAGCGATCGGCATATGATGCATATGGCCTTGGCTGGACTCTGCCAACCAGACGTCGTGGCATTCATCGACGGAGCTATCCCGATACGAGATACTCTACGCGGAATGATTATGGATTCAATCACGAAGCCGAGGAAGAATTCTTCAAACACTTATCTGGGAACAAGAAATTCATTTGTTTCATCATGGTCATTTTTATTTTTGCACAGACATGTGTGTTTATAAGCTCTTTGGCGAAAGCGGAGCTACAGATGAGGCGAACGGATGAACAATGTCGAGAGCTCATGATTTGCCACAAAGACCGAGCTCTCGACTTGAAGACCCTGACAGCTCAGATTGAACGGCTTTTATTGAAGAGAGATCCTTCTGGTACTGGGCTTCTTCCGACCGAGGAGCAATTTTACCGTGAAATGCTTCCCCTCTGTACCTACTAGGATTTTTGAACATATTAGCATTCATCCTGCATACACCAAGCCAGACTGGTCAATTAGGGGGTTTTGCTAGCCCCCAAGACGAGGATGTTGAAATTTTCCATCATTCACAATGTCCAACCTTCTCGCATACTGGAACAGCTCAGCATCAAAGAATACAAAGAATGCAAATAGGACATTGTGTGGTATGGGTCATCTAAATTTGCAGGCAAGCCACGGTCAACTCTCCGATTCCAGCAACGATCTTTGCGAATCAAATGAGAGCAAGACAACTGATGTGTTTCTCATGGTGTGCGTGCTCATAGAGACTGAAGGCTGTAGTTTCGAGGGTACCAGGCCGTGGGAATTGCCCGCATATAGTTTGAACGCCCATGCTTAAATGGGCCGGTGCCAAGAGGAAAAAGTGCCGCGGAAAATGCTAGTAAACTACCAATAATCAAAGTTTGATACGATTTAAATTGGAGGTTTGGTAATGAATCAAGTGAGGCGATTCGATGTGAAAATGTCGACCCCCTTGGATAACTCAATACAGAAAACTAATTGGATATTGAAGTGTGGGTTCCGGGGGACCCCTCCGTTTTCTCCAGCTGCATCTTCTCCTCTTTTTCATTTTCTCTTCCTCCTCTACACCTCTCGGGTTACAGATTGATCTTGACCATTTCGTCTGTTTCCACGCTACAATGTAGCCCTTTTCCCCGGAAGCTGTCGACAGTATCAGCATGGCCCATGGGGTGAAATCCCAAATACATACTTGAAGAAACAAGCCCCAAGGAGCACAGGATTCATAAATCGCTTTAGTCCCTTCGGATATAATAGCCATGAGCATATTTGAGTGCTTTGTCAGACCGGTTCAGTGGGGTTCAGCCCGAGCGTTTGGAGCGGCTCTACCCGACTTGCAATCTTATCAAATATCCGCATACTCTGATGGGTCGAGACCCCATTTGTGGGTCCAAAGAAGATTGCATGCAGTCTATTACTGGTCTCTGACTCAGAGTCGGTAAAAGGTGGCATGGCCTTTTGGCACTTGTCCAAATTTCATCTAAACCTAAATTTCATCAAGATCATTTGCCCAAAAGCAAGAGAGAAAAAATTCAGTTCATGGCGAGATACATTGATACAGCTAGAATACATGTACATTTTGAAGCATGTTCACTTTTTGAAAAATAACTTACCATCCAAAAGCTTCCGTGTGAAGTGTAATAACATCTGCTTCTCCTCTTAAAACTTTGGTCTGAGATAGAGAAACTGCATTCCCAAGATCCAGTCTTAGACTCTCTGGCCCACATCCTGGAATTCAAAGTTAGCCTCGATCATAGAGAACCTCATTATTGGATGGTTCCCTTACCAAATACAAAAGTCCTGCGCTCGGTCAGGAGAGGTGGTAGAATCTCAGGAAGATAGGGCCGCGTGTGGCGTACAGTCCAGATTTCCGGTGTCTTCTCTGGTTGTGGGCTGATATCGTTCATTGACTCTTCCGTCCGAGAAACCATTTCTTTGGCTTGTGGAAGAACAAGCTCCAATTCTGTGCCAGAGACACTCATAACAGCTTTTGTCGGTCTCGTAATGTAGACATCGAGGTGAAGAAGACCAGGAAGGCTTGAAGCTTCCTTGAGCATATTTGTGATCCATTCTTTGTGGAACCGATCTTGCACCATCCACACAAGACGGATGCTTTTCACCACACCAGACCCTTGGTGACTGGCTTTCAATGCGTACAATATGTGAGGCATGCAGGCTGATATACCACTTCCGCCACACACAAAGACAAGTGACTCGTACTGACCTGGCGGGTTCTCATTCAGCCCACCATAAGGTCCGTCGACATGCATTGGTACAGATCGGTCACTATAATCGACTACGGACTGTAAAAGATTTCGAGTCAATCCATTGTATGCCCGGATGTAGAATTCCATGACTTGAATGTCGGATTTCGTCCGGACCTCTTGACTTGGAAGGTTTGCAATTGTAAAGGGGTGGTTCTGGAGGGGCGACAAATGGGGCATTCGGAGCCAACAATGCTGACCTGGCTTCCAACGGAGACCTATTGGAACCAAGAGAGTGACATGGACCATTTCTCCCGGGAGCTTCTGCAAGCTAGTGGAAAAGCCTGAGAACCAGCTTCGGTGAACATTGAAAGTCTGCCACTTGGCAAAGAGCCGCCCACTGACCTGGAATAACCAGATTGCCAGAGTAGCCCAAAGGTATGCCCATGAGTCCATTTCATTTCCCGAATGCCAAAACATGAGCCCCAAAAAGGCTACATACATGGGGACATGGACTCGGTAGAAAAAGTTATAGAAACGATGCCGGATAATCGGGACTGACAACACGCAAAGCCCCACAAGCATGCCTAGGGGGGGAACTCCGGTATACTATTTGAGCAATTAGTATAATATTTGATCGGTCTTTGCAAATTGAAAGCTGACTTCAAAGGCCCCTGGTTTGTAGAACTGGGCATGAAGGCCAGCAGCCCCACAATTTTGAAGCGGAGTGACGATAAATGGCACGGTATGCACGATCGCAAGAAATAGACACAGATAAGAGGCCCATCGGTGGAATATATTGAGTTTCTCATGGCTGATTCCAGTTAGCCATGTCACTATGTTGACCTTCCCCGAGAGCGCGACAATCAGAGGTATCAACGCCGTTGACATGAGTCCTGTGCGTACTGCGAGCGGTGGCGATCCGTATCCACGACGCTCCCGATAATATGGATGTACCAGAAACGTCATCAGCAGGAAGAATACCAGGGTGAATATTCCAAAGGTCAACATGCCGAGTTTTGGAAACCCCCATCGCGCTGCAGTCAGGCCCCCCACAGACCTATAGGATACAGCCCTGCATAGAGCAATGACCTTGTGGCCAGTGGCGGTAATTTGGTTGGGAGGTCCTTGAGGCTGATGAGAACTTTGATTTCTGTAGAGACGGAGAATGTGGATAGCTATTCCTACACCCAAAGTAGCAAGGTAGTACCATGTCGTGTAGTGCCCGTAATCAAACTGATGGGCGTAAGAGATAGCACTTTGAGATGCCTTTTGAGCCTTGGCAAAAGCCAGGCAAGCCTCTGTGTTGCAAAAAGGATCCGAAAGTGGGAGATAGGTTGTATTCCCGACCACTGTGATACTCATGCATACAGCCCCGGTGAAGAGGGGGTCATTCGTAGTAGGCATGGCTGTTCACGGAAGCGACAGAGGCTGCGATCATGGAAAAATAATGCCTCCACACGAGAGACATTTCAGCTGCTTAAATTATGTTTTTGATATAGTTCCACTTTACACAAAAAAAAAAAAAAACAGAAAACCTAGGCTACGTGGCTGGAAAACCTGGCATCTTGGTGGATACTCTACAGTAATGTCAAACTTACTTTTAATGCCGTGCTCAAATTCAACAGTATAACGGTACCCGATTTAGAAGGTACTCGCCTGATCAACAAACGATCGAGCATGGTATGGTTTTATTATTTTCAATTGAACTTTCTGCATCGCATTCGATTCGTGGGAGTCGTGCGGCGAAGGCCGCTCATGCTTAAGAGCAGGGGTTTCAACTACGTCGCTTACTTTGCAAAGTTGCTTTCTGTGTCTGTATCGAAATAATTCAAAGCAGTATATCATTCGAAACACCCTGGTTTACTAACTATACTAGGTCAAAAGTAAGGCGAAATCCACAACTTTGATTGGTAGGCCTCCACCGAAAAGCCGGTGGCTTCAAATTGGTGGCGCGGCGGCTCTGACATGATTGGCCTTCAATAAGAAACATGCTCATTTCTTCTCAAAACAACATAACGCACACTCTATGTAAATTGTGAAGCGGATACTATCTCCTATTCTTCAATATAAGGACATTCCCCAAGGATCGCCAGGTTTATTCTCATGTCAATCCTAGCCTCAGTAGGTTTTTGGTGAGCCGCTATAATGGATATGTCCAGCACAGCCACAGCTTCATCTTCAACTTCAACTTCCTCAAGTTCGACCATGAGTATGGGTGGAAGTTCATGTCAGATTTCGGTATCGCATCTTTTACGCAACAAAAAGGAAATGTAATGTTAATCGTCTTTAGATGTTATGGAACTGGAACACGGTTGATTCGTGCTTCATAGCGGAATCATGGCACATCACCTCAAAGGGAATGTTTGCTGGCTCTTGTATTGGAGTAATTTTTCTCGTTATCTGCCTGGAATTTCTTCGTCGCCTTGGCAAAGAATACGATCGCTTTCTCTCCAGACAACATGAGCTAGCTGTTGCAAATACAGAATCGGAATCTTCTGTTGAAGCTTTTTGCCCGAAGAATAGGCCCCTTACTTTCACACCATCGATACTTCAACAGTCCATCCGTGCTCTATTACACATGGCTCAGTTTGCCGTGGCCTACATCGTTATGTTGTGAGTAGTTCCCACGTTAGCCAAACTTACCAAATATCTAATAACCCTCAAAATAGACTTGCTATGTACTTTAATGGCTATATCATTATTTGCATTTTCATTGGTGCCTACATAGGCTCATTCATATTCTCCTGGGAATCTATCAGTCTGAGGTAAGACGTTTCCAGATCATTGGACTTGCGGAGACCCGGTGTATCTGACCATTGCTTTTCGGGAGATAGATATAACAAGCAGACGAGTGTCGTAAATGAGACAACTGTTTGCTGTGGTTGACTTGGTCAATTATAGCTGGTTCTTCCTTCTTTCTTTCCTTTTTTGGGATATGTTTGCCCCTGTGAATTGAACTCAAATAAAAACCCTAACTAAATCAAATTGGACATTGTTAATCCATTGAATGATTTCATTTATTGAGATCCTTAAAGTGAAAGTCTAGCTCAGTAGGTGACAGTACCTGGGCCTATCTTCATTCTCTATTAAATTCAACTCATGGGTATTTCTATTGGTCCATTTTGCACAGCCAGCTATTCCCTGTTCTCTCTTCACAGTGCTTAATGAGTCGAATCGCGTGTCAGCTAAGAGGCTACACTAGAAGGGTCTGTTGAATGCTAAATTGCTGAAGATCAATAATTCTACACTCCTCTGTCAGTAGATTCATCACTTTTCGTTCAATCTGGTGGATGGGTAGTGATAAACCAAAAAAGTTTCCCTTAATCCCGTACCTGACGCTACCACAATTAGAACCACAGGATTAGATCGGCTGTGCTGGAAATCAAATCCCACAAAAAAACAGTTATCAGGCTCAGACCTATTCCTGGAACACTTTGATTTCGGATTATTTATTTTGAGAATAAATGAGCATGTTTTCATGCCGCTAGACCGTAGTGGTGCTGCCAAGCCCCTTTTACCGAGATGCTGTAATTTGATCACGTTCATTTTCAATTGCAAGGAATCCTTCGCCGCTGGATGCGACTCCCTTTGAAGCTACAATATGGACCTAAAGAAACCACAAACTATCCTTACAGAAAGCGAGTTAAGAAATCTTAGGTCATTTTGCCGGTATGCTCAAGTATATTTTGGTTCTATCGAGTCGTGTTTGCGCACATTTGAGCGTGTTACTCCTTTCGACAGAAGTCATGCCACGCAAACTGTGATAGTGGAAGAGTGGCTGCAGCACCTCTAATTATCTATCACCATATCTTTTCGGTCTCCTACATTCATTCTGATTTGTCTTCTTATTTTTTGCCGCATGTTGCCGAATTCCATTTCATTGTGAATACGACAGGATCGATTGGTTTCACTTTCACAATTCTTAAAACACTTCATTCGCCTAGGTTCTGCTTTTTTCCAGCATTAAAAGAAGAACCAGGAATCCAATCAAGGCTGAGCGCTTTTATGACCATGGCAGTGGGTAACGTAGGGAGTTATCTACAGAAGGCGGCCAACATCCGGGCAACGACTAGTGCATTGCACGCGAACAGTGATAGCCAGAGCTTGGAAGAAAGAAATGAGAGACAAATACTGAATCATCCTGGTGAAGTCACTCAGGATGCCCAGATTGGGGTTCAAAAGGCCGAGGCTACAGCCCTGGTTTGGTCCAGAACTGCCTTGTACGCAACATATGCGTGGTAAGTTGATCTAAGATCTTCTTTATGCCTTTTCAACAGACCTAGATAATTTTTCCTGAATTGTTTATTCGTCAAAGGGAAAAGTTCCATATGACTAAAAGTCTCACTGGCAGGATGTGGTTATGTTTTTTCGTTCTGTCAATGCAATCGTCAATTAGCAGCAACGTTATGTACTATGCCTACGCAAACTTCGCTTCAGCCCCTCAAATTTCCCAGGCCTTCATTATATCGACCATCGTTGGTGGAGTTCTTCAGCTTCCCATTGCAAAGACTTTAAACTTATGGGGCCGTGCTGAGGGTTTATTGACATTTCTGGTTGTCTTTATCCTTGGTCTCATTGTGATCGCCTCTTGCAATGGCCCAAATGGCTTTGCAGCGGGCTACACCTTATATTGGATCGGTTATACCGCCATGAACTTCATTTTGAGTGTCTTTGTCGCTGACGCGTCTGGACTACGGAATCGAGCCTTCGTTTACGCGTTCATTGGGACGCCCTCGATCTGTACCGCCTTTACTGGCCCACTCGCTGCCCAAGCGTTCATCAATCATTCCAACTGGCGTTGGGCTTATGGCTGCTTCGCTATCATCACCACTATCTTCTTCGTGCCCCTTGCTCTTGTCTTTAAATTTTACCAACATAAAGCTGAGAAGCTGAATCTTTTCATTCGAGTACCAAGCGGTCGAACCACTACACAGTCTTTCGCTCATTACTTTCACGAATTCGACATCATTGGCGCTTTCATTTTGATGGGGGCCTTCATTCTCTTTCTTTTACCATTTAGCCTTAACACTTATGGCTTCATTGGATACTCCTCCGCAACTTTTATCGCCATGGTCGTCATTGGGACCCTATTATTCCCGGTCTTTGCTATTTGGGAGCGATTCTTTGCTACGACCGCCTTCATCAAATGGGAGCTCTTCAAAAAGCGCACGGTGGTAGGAGCCTGCATTTTATCCGCTGTAATCTTTTTGAATTACTACACATGGGACCAGTACTTTTATTATTATATACAGGTCGTCTATAATCTCGACACCGCGAAGACTGGATACATGACACAAATATATGGTGTTGGATCGACCATCTGGGCTGTTCTTTTTGGAGTTGTAATCCGCCAGACTAAACACTTCAAGAACTTGTGTCTTTTCTTCGGTGTGCCACTATTTATACTTGGCGCCGCACTTATGATTCACTTCCGAGGATCCCAAAGCAACATCGGATACCTGGTCATGTGTCAAATTTTCATCGCCTTTGGAGGTGGTACCCTAGTCATCGGGGATGAGATGGCTGTGATGGCAGCAGCAGACCGAGATGGTGTCCCATTGATGATCGCCATTATCAGTCTGGCCTCTAGTTTTGGAGGAGCAATCGGCTACGCCATTGCAGTCGCCATTTATTCCAACACTTTCCCGCAGGCTTTGCTGAGTGCGCTTCCTGAGTCTACCAAGGCTGATTATGAAACAATCTACCTTGGAGGCTCCGCAACTCAGCTTTTTTATCCTCCTGGCAGCGAAACAAGGATCGCAATCAACTATGCGTGGGCATACAGTCAAAAGTACTTGTGTATCACAGCAGCAGCTATGGCAGTCCTCGCTTTCCCAGCGGTCGCCATATGGAAAAACTACGATGTTGATAAAAAACAAGTGAAGGGTACCGTTATCTAGACAAGGGAAATCGCTTGATGTAGTTCGGGAGATTTAAGTGTACATCCAATAAACTCCTGGAACCATCTACCACCAATTCTGTCTGGGGCCCACAATAATGAAGTGTGTGAGTCGAGCCACTTCTAAACTCGAGATCATAAACGTGTCCACTTTATTTGAATCATATATTTGTCTACATACGAGAAAGGATTAGTGGGAGTTTCTGATCGTTTTAGAGTGTATAGTTAGTCAATTGACCCAAGGCTTGTCCGGCTCTTGACTTATCCGAAAGCACATCAAATTCTGCACTGATCAAACTACAGTTATCTCCGATTTAGAGCCCATGATTGCTGTCAAAAAACGACATTGATCACATATCCAAACAAAAGTACTTCGTACGAGGAGGCCGCTGTCTGATTCTTCGTTGAAAGAGGGGCAGTGAAAGACGTGTTCATCAGGTTAAAGTGACTTTCCGTTTTGGTGGCCAACTGGCGTACACAGCCCGCTTACCGAATACATCCGAACTCGGGAGGTGCGGGGCAAACTTGAAAGAATCTTGCATCAACGATAGTATAGCTCACATCTGCTCTTTTCAAGTTTAAATCTACGATCAAACGCAAAAATGAGTCTCACTAGTAAGTAAATATCAATTCATCTCGTATTGAGCTCATGATCTCACCATTGCATGCAGCTTTCATCCAGGGTGGCGAATACGAAACTGCTTCATCAGAGGTTATGAACTCAGATATCCAAACTGAACTATCTGCGACATTGGTTGCTAAGCACCTCGTATACCAAGCGGTACTAGGATACGGAAAGGTTTGCGATAAGCGGGGTATGATAATACTTCCAGGATCAAGTCAAGAGGAGAAGCTGATGTAGATCAACAGGCAAACCTTCCTCGCCTGAACAGGCAAAACAATTGTTGTTAGTGTTCACAAATGCCATTCTTGAGGACATGGTTACCAAGGGAGTGAAGGTCGACGATCAGGAAGCGGCGAAAAGCGAGACCGAGAAATTGTCAGAGCAAGTACTAAAAGACTCTGGCGAGTTTCAATAGACTCGTATGAAGTTGAAACATGGGTGAGACTTTTGAAGGTCATGTATCTAATTCTCCCCGAGGTGAAGTAGAGAAATAGCTTCCAATGTTTATGTAGTTTATATACGTGGTTGCTGAGATACATAAATCCTTCAATGTTTTGGAAATCATGTTTACGATATATGCGAAGGTGTTCGGGCCGCACAATTTGGATTGGCAATATGAGATGAATTATGCTGGTGAGGATCAACGGATAGGTCTCACGGAAGGAACACGGTCGAGGAATAGTTATGAGACAGCTATAGCTTGTACCATTTCAAGAGGCAAAGTGTACATCAATGGAGAGAAATTATATTAAGCATAAACATAAAACCATACAACAGTCAGGACTCGCATGTGGTCACCCACTACTGACTAACCGGCGTGTGGCTTAAATGCGGCCAATAGTTCAGTGGGTGCCGCCAGGGTGAGAAGTGGGTGAGGGCCGCTTGTGCGTCGCGCGACCGGGGGTGAGAAGGGTGAGTGCGCAATAAAGAGGGTGAGAAGTAGGGTGAGAGCGGGTGAGAATTACGCTCTCCAAGTCGAGCGAGAGTAAAACACCATTGGGCCACGATGCTCCATCTGAAACAGCCATCGTCTTGGCATCGGCACACAACCCCCCTTGATTGGGTGATTTTGAATGCACTATAGACATGAGGCCCATCATATTCTATAGAGTAGAGTTTCGCTTCGACCCGCGACCAATGTACTGAATCTCTTAATTCAAGTACAAAATTATAGAGTCATTTTGTCCGCTCGAGACCTCCAATATTTTGGCACCCTGAACAGTTATTGGTGCTAGAGCTTATTTGAAAGATGAATAGTGTCAATAGCTTAGTAAATTCCATATATTTTCCTCTTACTATGACGATTTGTATTGGTTCTTTAGTTTATATCGAAGCTCATCTCATTCAGAATATCTCCCAATTAAAACGTAAGCCCTTATATAGCTGACGGTGAGATTTTTGTACGAGTATCCCGAAGTTTTATGAAGACGACGACGATATCATATGATAGTTCATCAGCGTACAAATTAGACTTTGTAGTTATTAATAGATAACTTTCGTATTGTTGATGGTATACAGTAGCTCTTTGATTGAGATAAACTCCTTAGAGATTATACCCTCTATTGACTATAAGAAATTTATTCATTTAGCGATATAAGTGCCACCGCTATGAATGTTCTTTCCAGCCGTGAAATCACTACTCTAGTCTTAGTATATTGGCGATGGGGCTGGTTCTTGATAATCGGACTTTTCTTCAATTTGTCTGTGTCCCTCTCTATTTCTTCAATATACCTTATGGGCAGGCCGCCGCCGCTGCTGCTGCATAAAGCTGCCACTCTTTTCCTTTTTGGCTATCTACATAGTCGCATACTCCTTTCACTAGGATGGTCGGGATGATGTCCCATAAGCCGGCCTCTTTCATTTCGAACCCAATCATACCTTCCTGTTTAGCAACTAGTCGCGGTGTAAAGCATGTTTGATAACCTAGTCGCCTGAAGCTAGTCCACCAAAATTTATTACAGGACAGTGGGACAAAGCACTCTGATCATTTTCATTTATTATTTATATTCGAGCACGAGGTATAACCTTGCTGAAGTTACACCCAAGCTCAGTGCAAGACAAGTTTCAGGCTTCGGTATAGACGTGATCGTTCGGGCTTGAGCATTGGGCACAAACTTTTGTGTCTGCATGTTTATGACGGTATCTTGCTTCAGAAAGATTGTCTTCAGAAGTCCCCGGATATCCCGTGAGTGAATATCCTGACAACTTAAGGATGGTGTCTGGAGCACTTGTATTTATGGTATCGTCCTGTCACCCTGGTACGCACTACTTATATACCAGGGTTAGACCTGTATATATATCACTGGGTCGTCCACCCACATGACTCCACAACAGTACAACTCATGTATATATGCTATAAGATATGATTATTGCTGTGAACCTAAAAATGACAATATTCAACGTCCATAAATTTGCGCGTTGCACGAATCCATGCGGCCTTAACCAGCCAACTTCAATGAATAATAACCACAAAATGTTACTGCAGATGCCGATCTGACAGCGTTATGTTAAAACTTAGAGCAAACAAGAATCATTCAGAAAATTATATATATCCTCCCAAGGTCCGGAGGTCCACCGTACCTACGGCATATGAAACGACATGAAAATACCATAACTTCGGCTCTCTATGGCCTGACTTATAAATCATAATGCAGCACTAAGGACCAGCGCAGGCATATTCCTAATTATTGGAGTGTGGGGTCAGCTGACCTCCACCGTTTGCCAGCGCGTGCATGTATTTAGCCAGATATCTCTCTCCTTCTCTTCCTTCCCTCTCCATCCCTCTCGGATCACAGATCTTGTCCCTTTCTTCTGTTTCCACTCTACCATATAGCCCTTTCTTCCCCTAGACGGCAGACCAGCCCCAACACTAATGAAATTATTGATCGCCAGATCGCAAATCCCAAAATAGGGTATTCAATTAGTTGCTCGCCCCAACTCAGGGTCTGCTCAGCTAGTATCTACAATCCACTATGTCCTTTACATGTAAGGATAAGTCATGATACCCCGCAGTTCAGACTGCCATGACTGGGAATCCATCTTATATGTATTTGTAATGAAGAATCTGCTGATGATTTAGTCTGGAAAGCATTTCTTATTGCAACGCGTCTATTATATGAGTCAAGTGTCAATAAATTGTCTATATAATCCTGCAATCATCCATTAAGCCTTCCAAGGAAAGAAGCCTTGGACATCTCAGCGGCCGAAAGCATCTTCCCTGAGAATGACACTTAGTTCATCTCGCTGCTTACAATTTTCCACCGCAAAACTTGACGCCAATACCTCCAGCTCTTCTTCCGTCTTACCGCGGAACAGCTCAGCCATCTCCCATCCAAGATACTCACTCATGAGGCATTCTCGTACCACACGCTCCACGTGCCGATCAAAAGTCCAGACCTTGGGATATTTTACCGAGTGGTATTGTTCCGGAATCATCTTCTTCAGGCCTGAAATGAACGGCCCGTACACACCCTCCACACCACTCTTATCAACGATACCCCAGAAGTCTAGTCCCAGCTCCTCCTTTCGAATCACAAATGGCTGGATGAGCTTCATGTAAGGCGATTCTGGATCAATATACACCATACCCTGGTACCCAATATCTTTATAGAGCCAGATGGACCAGCTGACGCCAGTTTCCGCATACATGCGAAGTTGCTCTTTGAGAAGGGCAAACCTATTTGCGTTTGTCTTTGCAGCAGCAGATTTCCCAACCTTCCTCTCGTCGTCGTATACAGGGCCAAATTCACCGTTCCAGATAGGAACATTCTTCTCGCGCATAAACTCGACTTTGCGCTCAAAGCTAGCCCTTATGGCTTCTTTTTGAGATTTTGTACCCTCGTACTGCTGCCGGCCGGGGAAACCCATCTTGTTGTAGTCGTGACAAGCATACACTGTGTTGGGAAGCAGAGGGCTTTCGGCAAATGCTCGGAAATCCATGGCGAAGGTGTTGCCGTCGATGAAGAGCATATGATCAGGATCAATAGCTCTGATGGCCTTTTCAATTCTGGAGCAGAATTGCACAAGCCGAGCACCATAGAAGCCCTTGTCGGTCATATTCGGATCTGCAGGCTCATTGAGAGGATTGTAGCCTGCGATAACTGGATTGCCAACATAACGCCCAGCCAGTGCCTCCCAAAGCTGAACGACACGATCTTGGTGGTCTTTGAAGTCCCAAAACTGGGCTCGTGCAGTTCCAGAGTCTGAGTGCCAGTCCTGGTTCTGTCCACCGGGTACAGCATGGAGGTCAAGGACAACGTAGATATTATGGCGTGCACATATCTCGACACATCTGTCTAGCATAGCAAACCCATTTGGCTTGAGCACCCCAGGATTTAAATCATCAATAAAGTGTCGGTAATTGAAGGGAATGCGGATGCAATTGAGACCAAGTGAGGCAAAATATACTGCATCTGCATCAGTGAAGAAGTGATGGATGAGTCTGTTGAAGAAATATTCGGCCTTCTCGTGTCCTAGCACAGAGGCTAGTTGCGCCCGATGCTCGTGCTCATGCCCCGCGTACCCGGTAATGAAATTTTCCATGTTGAGGAAGCCTCCAATGCCGGCACCTTTCAGGATGACCGTTTCACCGGCAGGGTTGACAATTCGTGTTCCATCCACATGAAGCATTCTGCAACGTGGTAACCCCTCATCAGCGGGTTTGGATGTGTTATTGACGAATTCGTTCGTGGAAGGAGCCATTGTTTAAAGCAAAATGAGTAAATTTTTGGAATTATGAAGGCTTATGAAGGGTCTAAAACTGCTACGCTGTATTTATAGCGGGTCATTGATCTTATGTGGACAGTGAACAAAAGACACGCTGGAATCACATTAGCCGGGGGCCATGCTGGGCCTATCAGAATGAAACCTTAAATTCTCCACTGAGCGATATTCCCCGTGACTAGTGCCTATTGCGTAGTTCTGCAAAGGTACCCTTCACTTTGAGGCGAGACTCCCCGATGGCGGTCCCATCCTTAGAGTCGAGGACCACCGCCTGGAACTGAAAGACAGTCGCGTGATTATCCGGTGAATTAATGAACATAAGCCTGAACTGAAATAACCAGACACTATCATCAGGCTAATGTTTTCGGTTGCTACAACCCACTTATCGAATTGAGATCTGACAGTTCAACGACGAAGTGCTGGAGGCTAAATTGAGATGGAAACCTGCTGGCCCTACGAATTGCTAAGGGCTCTAGATGGTTAGGCTAGTCTCGGCCCCTTAGCTTTAGCAAGGCCCAGACAATCGGCTATTTTCACTTCGTAATAACTGCAACCATTGTCCTGCCTCGGTCATCTCATCCTGCCAGGTCGTTAAAAGCTCCATTGTTTTGAATATAGCCTCCTGCCATCCGAATGGCAATTTGCATCCCGCGAGTCCCGCCGCGACCAAGACAAATGCACTCCGTGTACAAGTTCGAATCAATGGCACGGTTCCATGATGGCGGTGTAGGAAGCCCGGCTCATTCACATATATTCGCTGTAAATGAAGTTGCAGGCCTTTCTGCCCGTTTTCTTCAATCTCCGGACCGGGAGTGCAGGGACTTGATACCGCTCCAATATATGCCATCACCCACGGCCAGTAAACAAGTTCATACATATCAATAAGATGGCCTCGGAGAACAAAACGACAAACTTCATCCTCCTGAGGGGGCGCACTAACGGACAGGTCAGGCGGGAGACTCTCAGACCATGCATGTATCTGCATCTCCCACTCGGAAACCAAGGGCTCAAGGGCCAATAAAAATTCAGCTGATGACGCGTGAGACTGATGGAGAGTCGTAATTTCCTCTGCAATACTACTGCCTAGTCGCCGCAAGTAAATTTCAGCCAGGTAGAAAAGCCAAGACGCGCGCTGCCGTTGCGCATCTGGATTCTTTGGAGAGTCCAGCGGTTGTGGGGGCTTTGGGAAAAAGGGTGGATATAGTGCACTCCCAGTATGCGCAACTTTGAAATCGGGGAGTGCAAGTTCCATGCTTAGCTCTCGCTCTGACTTCCAAGCGGACCAGTAAACAGCCTGTTCGTAGTTGTCGGGTGAATCTATATTAGTGGAGATATCCGACTCGGATGCTACTCCCGGGGCATGGACGAGGAAAGGGAAGCGCTGGCATGCTGCGAGCGCCTGCGAGAAGAATCGCCACGCGTCGAACTGTTGGAAGACGCACACCATGTACACCCCGGAAAGGAAGAGGCATTGTGCCCCGATTATATCCGACCCAACGAGAAACAATCCGATTCGTTTCTGAGCGGCCTGGAAAAAGACGCGCGAGTTCTGGTAGGCTTCGCTTCCGGGCTTGGTGTTCTGGCTGGAACCAAATGGAGTGGCAATTGAGCCTAAAGCACAGATGATCATGGCCAAACATGATGATGGAGACCAGTCTAAGCCATCGAGAAAAGTAGCGTTGACCAATCGCCGCGTAGCCATCTCATCGATGATGGGGTTCTTGCAGTGCACGTAGCGAAAGAAATTATCTACAATGACATTGATATTCTTGGGCTCCATCTCTAAGAGAGCGGCCAAGGAGCGTCCACTATGAGAGGGGGCGGCTATCATGTCGGGAGCGGGTTTATGGAGCACCTGAGATGATGGCCCACATGGTTCATCCATGAAAAGAGGCCATCGCAGGACAGACTCGGTTCGTTCGGGGAGGACGTTTCCATAGAGAATCCACTCTTCCGTATTGACCACAGTAGCATTTTTACGCGGCTGATAAAATGCTGATATTTGTTCGGCCTTGCCACTATTGTCGACTGCTCGAGTGGCTGAAGAAAGAAGTAAATTTTCTATGTTATCCAATCGCTCCAGTATTTTCAGACTCGCGGGGTCAAAGCTCGAGAGGTCCGCTGGTGACTGTATGCATGTGGTCCCAACCTGAACGCAATATGAGCAGCTTGGCTTTGCGTTGTCGCACTTGGTTTTGCGGGCCCGGCACACCTGACAAGCCTTGTTTGCCCGCTTCCTGGGGTAAAAAGCAGTTCCTCGGGGAGCTGGTCTTTTGCCTGGGTAATACTCAGCAGGTTGAGGATAGGTTGGTGCGTGTTGCTCCATTTGCTGTAGCGTGCTTTTTCGAAACGCGGGGGGAAATCAAAGCTCACGAGACTTTCGGGGAGTGTCGCCCCCTTAAATCTCTCGGTAGTCTGTGGACACTGCACGATTAGCCGAATAACACCTCAGAGACACTACAATGGCTTTTGGGGGATCTCATCCAGTTGAACTTTGGTGGCTTGTGGATATTTCGTAATTAGCCGAAAGGTGATTCGGAGATACCATTGGCTAACTATCCTTGGCAGCCATGATCTCCTGTTAGCACTTTCGGGGAATGTCGCTCTCTCTCCGCATCCCCACAATCCCCAGACCCGGCAGACTGGTCCAGATTTACATGATCTCTGGATCATGCCATGATGCCCTGGCGCGCCTCAAGACCTACAGTAATAGGTCCCAAGCAAAATGGTATTTATATATGAGATGCAAACGCCTTTTTCCTGCACCTTGCATGCTCAACATAGACATCACAGTTGGTCAAGCATATGCATTCAATAGATAAAGTTGAAGCGGGCGCAGAAGGTCATGCGGTCGCAGTGGAGTATATCACAACAAAGCACGGCCAATTAGACACTGATCGAAGTGCCGAGCATGACCTGACTCTCCGATATATCGCTCGTCATCATCCTGCCATACTATGGTGGTGTTTCTACTGGGCCATGGCTGCCGTCGGTTGGTAAGTCGCAGACTGTGATAAATGACTACGGAATGCGCTGACGTATCAGGGGCTTTGATGCGCAGATCAACGGCGCCATGATCTCTGTCGCAGCCTTCCGACGCGACTTTGGGTATGTTTTAAGTTATATCCAAGGATTTGCCTTGCTAGGCTGACATTTTCAGACATATCGTGGATGGCGAGGCTGTCCTTCCTGCCGACTGGCAGATTGCTTTCAACACCGTCAGCAGTGTTGGCCAGTTCTTCGGCGGCTTCATCTGCTCATGGATCTCGGATCGCATCGGGCGGAAAGGTTCCCTGCTAATCGGCCTTACTTTCGCCACCGGTGGTATCTTTGGCGAGGTGTTTTCCACTTCCAACGGTGCATTTGTGGTCTCCAAGCTCATCCTAGGGCTCGGTCTCGGGTTCTACCTCACCCTAGCGCCCCTGGCCACATCTGAGATTGCGCCAGTTGTTCTGCGAGGCATCGCCTCTGCCGGGTGTAACCTTGGCATTGCCGTGGGTCAACTACTTTCTAATGCAGTTATAAAAGCCTTCGGAGAGCGGACCGATAACTGGGCATATCGCGGACCATTTGCAGTCCAGCTTGCCTTCTGTCTCTTTCTTGCTGTTGGCCTTATTTTCGCCCCAGAAACGCCATGGTACCTTGCGCATAAGAAGAAAACGGTGGAAGCCAAAAGTTCCATCCGGAGGCTGTACGGTTCAGCTGTAGATGCCGATTTAAAATTCGCCGTTTTGGAAGCAACAATTGCCGAAGAAGCGGCCAGTACCGCGGAGAAGCCTTCTTTGCTGTCATGCTTCAAAGGGACTGACCGACTGCGCACCATGATCAGCATAGGTGTCTTTGTATGCCAGCATTTTGCGGGCATCATCTTTGTTCTCGGCTACTCTACCTACTTCTTCCAGCTTGCGGGGCTGGACACATCCAACAGTTTCGATCTCGGCGTGGGCGTCACTGCCTGTGGTGTGGCTGGCAATCTGTGCAGCTGGTTTGTTGTCAACTCTTTCGGACGACGAAAGGTCTTCCTGAGCGGAATGTGCATATTAACAGCCCTGCTTCTGTTAATCGGCATTATGGATGTCGTCCCCACGGGTGCCGCTAAGTGGACTCAAGCTGCGGCTACAGTGATCTATGCATTCTTCTATTTTGCCACAATTGGAGCCATGGCATTCGCTATTCTGGCCGAAACTAGTAGTACTTCGCTGAGGGCGAGTACTATGTCACTTGCAACGGCTACGCAGGCGGTGATGGGCATTGCTATGAACTTTGCCATTCCCTACATGGTGAACCCGGATGAAGCCAACCTCAAAGGAAAAGTGGGTTTCATTTTCGGTGGCCTGTCACTAATTGCGACCATGTGGAGTTTCTTCTATGTGCCAGAGCTGGCGGGTAGGACGTTTGAGGAAATCGACAGGATGTTCGCCCTCAGGGTGCCTATCAGGAAAATGAAGAAATACGCACCCCAAGGCGCGAACTAAGAGACCTTTGCCCATTCTTCAGGAAGTGCAAGTTGAGGAATTACCAGGTTTGACAGGCATTGCAGGAAGCGAAGAATTATTGAAATCTTGGTTGATATTCTTGACAGCAATTTTTAGCGATATTTCCCAATTTACATGCCCTTTGCTTTTGCCACCGGTCCTTCACGCCACTCTCAAGTACTCAATACTAAATAAATATGCCGTCTCCTATATTTACATATCTGGTTCTTTATTCTTTAGATCCTTCTTAACGTCATGTGCCAGAACTCGGACCGCTCAAACAAGGATATTGCGAGCGCTACCCATATGTAACCACTAACTCTGGAAGAGGGGAACGCTCGATGGTAGTGGACTCTAGGTATACTGGTCGATCCTGCAATGCAAAGAAAGGCTATAGCAATACCCAACAACGTACATAAGGAACGAAAACCTACCCATTGCCAGGTGGGTGCGATGAGAGAGATTTTCGGAGTGCAAGATTAGGGTGAGAAATGGGTGAGAGCCACTTTAGCGTCGCGCGACCGGGGGTGAGAAGGGTGAGTGCGCAATAGACAGGATGAGAAGCAGGATGAGAGCGGGTGAAAAATCACCCTTGGTCGCGCGACGGCCGCATTGACCCAGCTGAGCATCAATAGAACATCATTGGGCCACCGATCCTCATTTGAAACAGCCAGCCTTTTGGCATCTGCACACAGCCCCCTCGGTGGACTGATCTTCGAATTTACTGTAGAGATGAGGCCTATCCTTCTCTATAGATTAGAGTTTCAAACATTCAACGAGTACTACTGTATACAGCCTCAGCTTCGGAGTGAATCATGGGTAACATGAATCACCCAAGCAATTTGATTTTGCATGAAGCATAACCATGGGCGGGCCCTTGATACTCCCAATTCATGCCAGAGCCTTCTATCATCGCTAGCCAGAATCATCCGATTTGACTGGTCCCCGGTGGGCCACCCTGCAGTATTTCCTTGACTTCAACATATACACAGCCTTTTATGATCGACTCGGACAGTACGCAGCGGCATCGGCCATCGTTGGTTGTGGTGTGCTGAATTCGCCATATCGGGGCTTCAGGTCTGGGAGTTTGGCGAAGGCAACGACTATCTTCCGTCGACAAATGCATCCGATATATGCGGTATGAGATGACGTCGCGTGTATGTGTGCAAACAAGGGCTCGATTGGTATCGTGTCGCCGGCAGGTATTCGATCGGGCATTTTGGAGAAGAGCCAAGAGAGGAATCCTGCAAATACAACCATCCTAGCCTCAGTGAAATCCATACTATGGTGGAATCGGATGGAATATTGGATGACTTCAAAATCTTGGACTCAATACGCGAAATGGTGGCCGTGAACCAGTGTTGTGCTCCTGCTGGAACTTCCTCATAGACCACTAATATCACAGATCCAAAGTGATCTCGATCTTCTGACACCCATGTTGAAGTTAACGCCTGAGATGCTTCCATACGAAAACTATCCATTTATTTAGTGACGCTTATTATTAAAAATAGATAGAAAATGGAATTGAAAAAAGCGTATTTTAATTCAAACCCAAAAGTACTTCCTAATATCCATATCCCATCCAATCCCAATCCAATCATACCCCATCCAATCCCAATCCAATCCAATCCCAACCCAATGTAATCGTAAATGATCAAAGCTGATTTGGCTTGATCTTCATGACAAGGGAGATTCAAACAAAAAAGCAACACAAAATAAGGAAAATCGGATATAGACTAGACACCAAAACGACCGCCGGTATTGATACATCAAATCATTGAGAGTGTTTTTTGGCCTTGCCTGAGCTTCTCTCGTGCAATAGAGTGGATAATTGTTTTCTTCGGATCGGTTTCGCCAAAAAGAGGTCCATTCCTGACCCATAAGCTTCGTTTTGAGCACTGGCACTTGCAAGGCCGGTCAGAGCGACAATAGTTGCAGGTTCAAATGATTCTTTCGCTGAAGCATCGAGCGTTTTTTGATATTCCCGCTCAAAATTGCGAATATACCGAGTAGATTCGAATCCATTCATTCTGGGCATAGAGATATCTGTGCGTGTTAGAATAGTGCTTCATATACAAGAAGAAAAAAAACTTACCCATCAGAACCACTTCGAACTTTCTAGGATGGGCTTTGAAGGTGTTCAAGGCCTCCAATCCATTGCGGGCAGTCGCATACCGGTATCCTTCTTTCTTCATATACGCAATCAATATCTGCATGTTGATATCATTGTCTTCAACCAGTAACACTGCCAAAGACTCCTCCTCTATCTTGGGCAGACCCTCTCGAATTGGCAAAGTAACGGCATCACTCTCGTTTTGAGAAAGATCAGTGTCCTCGGTTTGCCGCGAGTCGTCCATTTCGTCCAAATTGGAATATTCATTATCTATCGCCTTTTTGCCAGCTTTGTGTTTCTGGAAGTTGACCTCATCTGCACGTTGTGCTTCAGTATCTTCTTGGGAAGCTGGAGATGACTCCGATAAATGGGACGCTTTCTTCCCCGGAAGTTGATCCATACTAGAGCCTCTTCCATTCAGAAATTCCCGACGTTGTTGTCGCCTGATGCACATGCTGAATGCCTTGGCCAACTTGCGGGGGCCACAGGGCTGGCTGATAAATTCGACAATAGCCCCGTGATTCGATTGGTTTGCCGCACTAAACATGAGATGTGCAGCCTCCGGCGACCGAGAAATCACCACAATTGGAATTCTATGATTCTCATCATCGCTATGGGGATAGTTCTCGGTTTTTGATAACCAAGATTCCCATGTGTTCACCGAATCGGCATCGGTCTGCACTGCAACGTAAAAATCGCACGAGGGGAGAATAGACTCGTCCGATAGGGACAAGATATGGACATCCATCTCAAACCAGTTCTTGCACAATTTCTCCAAAGAAGTGCGGAGGATTGTATCGCGCTCGAAGATGTCAGGCGATCCCAGCTCCAGGAGTCCCACGGTGGCTCCACGTGTAATGTGTTTTACTTTAGCAATGGACTCAGGTTCGGACGAGTTGAGGGGGGCGTTTGGAGCGGGCACGTGGGTTAGAGTGACTCCAATCGAGACTTCGGTGCCACGACCCCGGAGTGAGCTGACTTCAATATAACCACCCATGGAAAGGACTGCCTGGTGAACAATACTTAACCCGAGTCCATTTCCAGGGGCAAGCGAGTCTTCTTGTGTGAACGGAGTGAATAGACCATTCTGTAGATACTCCATGCTAATTCCTCGACCCGTGTCCTTGACCGTGAGAGTCACCTTGAAATCAGTAGGTCCTCCTGGTACGGCGTCTTTGACAGGAGTGACAGGTGATGCCGTTAGCTTTACGAAGATAAAACCGGTATGGGTGTACTTTAGGGCGTTGCCGAAAATGTTCATCATGATGCGGCGCCAGGCGCCTATTTGGGTGAAGAAATTCCATTCGGCGGCTTCATCAATATCCAAGATGATACTGATCTGACCCGCTTGCTGGGAGGCTCCCAAGACGTCGAGTGCCATGGGGTTCGGACGGTCTGTCGCAAGTGATGTTTGTGGGCTGTGGTAGAAACTGTGGCCTGCAAACACACTTTCCATTACCTCTTCCAGGACAGCATCCAGCTGGATATTAGACTTCAGACTAATCATCCCACCATGCCGTGTCCGCCGTGAAGGCTTCATACTATTGGTTGATGGGTCGGTGTTGTTGTGTCGTCTTGGCCGGCTTTTCTGTTTGTGGATGGCTTTGTCGCCTCCTCCCTTCCGGAAATTGTTGATCTTCGAAAAGTCCAGCAAATGATTGATGGTATCCAACAATGTCCGCCCGCACGATTCAATAGTGTGCACCAATCCGTGTTGAAGTGCGTTCATCGCCGTGTCCCGGAGTATTTCTGACGTGCCAAGAATGCCATGGAGAGGACTTCGTAATTCGTGCGAGATGCTGCTGACCAGGTTTGTTTTTGCCTTCTCCGACATCTCGACATCCAGACGATGAACCTCCGCCATAATACTATTTCCGAAGGCCGACAGATACGTAAGCTCAGTCTCGGACGTGAAGACGCGCCGAGAAGTGTTCGTCCATACCAGAGCGCCCGAGAACCATCGAGCGCGGTGTGAATCCCACATCGGCAGGAGAGCGATGCTTCGAGCGTCCGGGAAGAGTCGAATGAGGACATCTCCATCCTCTTTGACCATGGCACTGCGCGTCTTTTTCCGGGGTTTTCTTCCTTTTCCACTAGTGGGGTCTGTGGTGATTGACTTTGGATCCTCACCTGCCAATGAGTTCTTCCGTGGTCCATCACTGCTTTCGTCCGAGGATACCGATCCCCCTTCGTTGAAATTGAAAATCTTGCCATGCGGGTAACGCCGCAAAAGCGCCTTCAGCAATACTTCCCGGAGGACAAGTCCTGCTCTTGAATCGTTGTTGATACTGGATGTAACCGAAGTCGAAAAGCCTAAAATTTCACATACGGTCGTGTTCTCTGGGATGGCGTTCTCCCCGACTGATGAGGGAGAGCTTCCCTGGGAATCAGATCCGGTGCTATCGTCGCTGCTACCCATGGAGCTTTCCAAACTTCCGCTATCTGTTTCTGGCCCCTTTCGTTTCGTATCACTGACGAGACCACCATAAGACCCGATGCTCGCGTCGAAAAACGCCACGCCTTGGACTTCTAACGACTCCCGGATGAGGTTAGCCGCTCGCGAAAAGACTTGTCGAACTCCAATGGAGAGCATGTCTTCTTGTAGATTCTCAGTCGACGTGCTTCGGACGGAGAAACTGGTTTCCGTTTCGGCCTTGTTGTTGAGGCTGGACATCTGATTGACACTGGCGTCTGAACTCTTGCCGGACTGGGTCGTGGACGGGGAGATGGATGATCCCGGGGAGGTGGATGACCTTGGGGAGGTGGATGATCTTGGGGAGGTGGATGATATGGATTCCTCAGACCCCTTTCGGAGACATGCTTGTGACTGCAGCGGCTCGGATAACGGGTGGGTGTGGACAGTTCGGGGCAGACCGGATTTAATTCGTGCATTTTGCTGCAGTATATTCAGGTGGCCTTCGTCGTTTTGATGTTCATTCTGGCGTAATCCGGTGTCTTGTACCCACTCATTGCGGAGCGTTGCCTTGCCTTCCACAAAGCTTCCGAGACCCACAATCATTCTCTCTGCACGATGATGTTCCGCTTTGCATCGAGCCATATCTAAGTGGGTCATGACGGTCGATGCCATATTTTGCAGGAACTTTATTGACCGGGCGTCCAATTCTGATCGTGGCTCGTCATCGATAATGCAGTAGGACCCGATCGTGATGCCTTTGGAACTAATGATGGGGGCGCCTGCATAGAACCTCGCTTTGGGAGAGCCGGTGACCAGGTTCGATTCGACAAACCGAATATCCTCGCGCAGATCAGGTACCAGGTATATACCCCCATCAACCACATTTTTATCCTCCTCTGATGTCATTTGCGGTAGTAGGGCGACATGTTGACATATCCAATCCTCCTTTGGGACAACGCAGCAACCCATCCACAAGGCGTCTCGATCATTATCCACTGTATCATCTTGAAGACTGAGGGTTTGGGTGGCCTCTGCGAGAATATAATGCTGGTCTCGGCCAAAGAGCGAAATGAAGGCACGTTGAGCCTTCAACCTCAAAACTCCCAGCTGGGCGAAGGCCGTCAAAGCAGTATCAGGCGACGATCGGGGAACATAGGCAGCCTGTTGATCCTGGACGTTTTCAGGTGTTGCGGATACTTTTCGGCCAGGTCGGAGACCTTCAAGATCGAGTTTGAGATATCTGTCTTATTCAATACATGGGGTTTCAATTCGCATTCGGACAGTTATGGAAAGTGGGATCCTGTCAACGTACTTGTAGAGTTCTCTCTCTTGTGCTAGTCTGAACTTCGGTAGTCCGGATTGCGCTGGCTCTGACGACGCCATTCAATAGGTCTATATAGTGCGTTCGTTCTGATATATCTTTGACCCTAATATGGCTGCATGGCTCAGTTAGACAATGGAAGAGAGTCTGGACTGAAGATGGAATAATAGCCGTAGCGTGATGGATTCTGGAGTGACCACCCGCTATCTTACGTAAGCTCCGAACCAATGATATGTACAGGTGTGAACAGTATTAGTGGGCCGACGGTTCAATCAATATATGACGTCAATGGTATGACGTCGGTGGTATACGCCTCCTTCACATAAGAAGATGAGGGCCAATCAGGTTCCCAGGAACGAGTGCCACGGATAGGGTCACGTGATCAGCCACGGTAGCCAGGTTTCACTAAAGAATGGTCGTTTCAGATGACTCAGCAATGTAAAAAATCAGGCAGAATCAGGCAGCAACGGGCCAAAAAAGCCCATTGGGTTCGGCCCAATGGGCCGGCCCATGCCGAAGTCTAGGACTCGTATATACTAATGTACACTTTTGTCGGGATATAAAGTGTAATCTTAAATAGAAGTAAATACTCCAGCTGGGATAATCAGTAAAGTTTTATGCCGGTTAGATAGCATATTGCACCGTACTGCTGCCCTGTTTAACTTCTATTATAGCTGGTTTCAGCTTGTAGTCGTACCAATATGGATTTGAACAACAGCTGATCCGATTCATAAGAAATCATTTTCGGGAGGAGAATTTAAGTATAACCGGTACAGCATTTTCATGGAGTTTCATATATATATCGCAGCCATAAAAATTATCAAGTTCGTACTTTACACCTGGGAAAATTGAATTCATCACATGTCAACAAACTCGCGGCGAAGATACTCATCGTCCTTGAGCTGGTCAAGGTAGCTCGCCACCTTGGTCGTTAAAGTATCAATGTCGTAGCCAAAGAAATTGTATACAGCCTTGCCAGGAAGACTTTGCCCGAAGCGCTTCACATTAATACCTGCGTCCGCATACCGTTCCCAGCCAGTAGGAGCATAGGGCTCAATAACAATAGCAGGAATGCCACGGTGTCGGCGGAGAGTGTCTCGCTTATAATCCAGTGACTGTTGCTCGAACAGACGCTGGCAGGGGGAAGCTCACCACGCGGGCAGTGATACCTTTATGGGCCTTCAACTGAGCAGCAACCTCCAATGCAAAAGACAACTCGGCACCAACACCGATCATAGTCACAGTTGCAGACTCGTCTTCCTCAAGGACGTAAGCTCCCCGAGCCACTGCATCGCGACGGGTCTGCTTCAACTGAGGCAGCGCGTGGCGCGATGTGGAGATAATTGTAGGGGTCTTCTTCGCGCCAATGGCTGCGATCCAGGCCCCAGCAACTTCTTCGCTGTCACCGGGACGGATATAGAGGATGTTGGGCATGGCACGGTATAAAGCAGCAAGTTCGATGGGCTGATGAGTAGGACCGTCTTCGCCCATGCCAATAGAGTCGTGGGTGGCGACGTGGATTCCCTGAAGATGTTGCAGGGCACCCATGCGCACGGCCGGAGCGGCGTATAAATAGAACATGAAGAAGGTCGAGGTGACCGGGATGATAGTGTTGGGGGAATAGGCAGCCAGGCCATTAGAAATGGCACACATGGCGTGCTCGCGAATACCATAGTGAATGTAACGACCGGAGTAATCTCCGTTGATACCACAGGTAGTGCGTAGGTCAGGCTAATAGTGTCAGAGAAAGAGGTCTATAGGAATCTACAACTCCGGATACTCACATGTTGGAAATCAACCTTGCCAGGCCAGATCATGTTGACGGATGGGGACAGATCGGCTGTTCCAACCATGAATGTGTCAACCTCTTTGGCGATGTGGTTGAAGACAAGACCAGATGAGGCTCGGGAGGCGGTTGCCTTCTCAGGGAAGCTTGAGGGAATATGCTGCTCCCAGTTTACTGGCAACTCACCACGAACACGGGCTTGGAATTCTGCACCAAGCTCTGGGTGTTGAGTTGTGTAGTCACTGACCAACTGGTTCCATTCTCGCACCCACTGCTCACCACGAGCAGGAAGTTCCTGGAAGAACTGGCGGACTTCATTGCCAACAACAAAGTGCTCCTCAGGGTTGAAACCATAAAGGATCTTCAGGTTAGCAACGCTTTGGGGACCAAAAGCAGCTCCATGAGCAGTAGCGGTGCCAGCCACATGACTTTCCAGACCGATGATCGTCTTCACGTTTATGAAAGTGGGTTTTTCCTGCGAAGCACGAGCCTGCTCCAAAGCACTGACAATGCTTGCAATATCAAAACATCCATCCTCAACATCAATAACATCCCAGCCACTCGCACGCATTTTCGCGTTCACATCCTCGGTGTTGGTAAGGTCAACGGATCCATCGCAGGTGATCTGGTTGTTGTCATAGATCACAGTAAGGTTGTTCAAGCGAAAATGTCCCGCAAGAGAAATTGCCTCCAGGGCCACTCCCTCCTGCAAACAGGCATCGCCAACCATGCACCATGTGTGGTTGGATACAACATTATAGCCGGGACGGTTGTATGTAGTTGCGAGGTTCTTAGTCGCCATGGCAAGGCCAACGGCATTTGCGATACCTTGACCCAAAGGACCAGTAGTCACTTCAATTCCCTCATGTTCTATCTCAGGGTGGCCAGGGCAAAGGGCATCCACTCGGTCTGAGTGGTAGGACTTGAGTTGATCAAAGGTCATGGCTCTATATCCAGTAAGGTGCAAGAACGAGTATTGGAAGAGGCAAGTGTGACCTTGAAATTTTGAGTTAGTATCTATCGAATACCCCCAAGGCTCATCACCATGGAGTGCTGCGTAATTCCAAGGTTGAAATCTTACCATTGGAAAGAACAAATCTATCCCGATTGAAGAAATCTGGGGTATATGGGGCGTAACGCATGATATATTTCCACAACGAAACACCGATCGCAGCCATACCAATAGCACCACTAAAAGATTTTATGAATTAATTGCCATTCAAGTTTCACTTTCAATTGTTTATCTTACCCAGGGTGACCACCACTAAATTGTTGACAGAGATCTGCGATCAGCAGACGAAAGGTCTTGAGGACTTTGTCATGATCCTTGGAAGTCACAGGCACTGATACAGCCGTTTGGCTGTTGGTATGAGTGACAGCCATGTTTATAGAATGTTTTGATTTAAAAATCAAGTGAAGAACATTCGAAATATCCAGTCCATTCATATAGGGCGAGTGATGATATCGATAAACACTACCTGTTCCGGTAGTTGACGAAAGGGGAAATTTTAAGCACGTCCTTGCCAATGCGGCAGATTGAACCACTCCCCCGCAGTGTTCTATGTCACGGTCTCACGATGCGAGGTGCTTTGCCGCCCAAGCATATTTACTTAAAGCAATGACCATGTCCGTCAACTCTATTAGCTCTCAACGATGGCTCCAAATCCAGTGGATTACCCCGCATCGCCGGAGCGGACCGTCATCACGGCCTCACATCCCAACCCGTCCTTGCAGGTAACTGCGGATCACAATCTAAAGTCAGTGGATGCGCCTATATATGCCCCAGGGAGGGGTGAAGCGCTGGTACACATCAAAGCTACCGGTATTTGTGGATCAGATATTCATTTCTGGAAGACCGGTCGCATCGGATCATTGGTCTTTGAGGGAGATTGTATCATAGGCCACGAAGCTTCGGGAATCGTGTTACAGTGCGGCGATGGTGTCACTGACCTGAAACCAGGTAAGAGCCCAGTGTACACTACTTGGTCAAATACTGATCTATTAGGCGACCGTGTGGCCGTCGAACCTGGTGTTGCCTGTGAAGCATGTTTCCTTTGCGACGATGGACGATATAACCTATGTGAAGATGTGCAATTTGCAGGTGTCTATCCATACGCTGGTACAATGCAAAGATATAAGGTGCATCCCGCCAAATGGCTACACAAACTCCCGGACAATATCAGCTTCGCGGACGGAGCACTTCTTGAACCCCTCTCTGTTGTCATGAATGGGATCAAGACCGCAGGGTTGAGCCTGGGTCGTGGGGTTGTTGTATGTGGTGCGGGACCCATTGGTCTGATTTCACTAGCTGCTGCACGCGCATCTGGTGCTCATCCCATTGTTATAACTGATTTAGAGCCTACGCGACTGGAATTTGCGAAGGATTTTATCCCTTCGTGCATCACGTACCAGGTAGACCGGACAAAGAATGATCAAGCTAATGCCCAGGCCATCCGAGCTCTGTTTGGAGCGTCAGAGTACGTTGCACCTATAACCGTCCTCGAGTGTACAGGGGTTGAGTCCAGTGTATGCACGGCGGCATTTACGGCGCGACGTGGGGGCACCGTGATGATAATTGGCGTGGGCAAGGCAACCATGAATAATCTCCCATTTATGCACCTTTCTCTTGCCGAGGTATGTTGTTCAACGAATGTCCATGGCTGTTGCTGATTATCCTAGATTGATCTTCGATTTATAAATCGATACCGTGATACATGGCCACCTGCAATTGCATGCCTCAGTGGTGGTATTCTCGATCTGAAGAAACTGGTCTCCCATATTTTTCCTCTGGAGAGAGCACAAGATGCCCTGCATTTGTGTGCGGATCCTAGCAACGGTAGCATTAAAGTATTGGTTGTGGATGGCCAAGAGGCCTCGCTCTAGTTGAATAATTACAAGCTCATGACCGTTTTTGAAGGTTCTCTGCGACTAATCCTGTAGGGATTCAAAGTCCGCCCGGATTGATGCGCATATTCCATCGATGAGAGACTTCTCTTCCTCCACAGGGATACCCAAAGCTCCAGCCTGCCAGTTTACTGTGCACATCAAGCTTCCCCCTTTAACACTGATAACGTTAAAGTTAAGGGGCGCACTGGGAACGTTCGCTGGTTGTGAAAAGATCATCTTACTGATGCTGCACTTTTGATCTGCGGCACCCCCATCATTAAAGGCAAGCAAGTTGCTTATTTCATATGAGCAATCTCGTTTTCCCCCAACCTTTCCCAGGGTCCAATTCCGAATGCTAGGAGCGTATCTGAGCAAACCAATAGATTGGTCTTGTAGCCTCGTCGAGCACTCGGCCAGTCTCTTCGATATCAAACTGGCATCTGTCCACATGTAATCTGGCAGCGCAGGAGACTCCGGCAGGACTGCCCGCTTATGCACCTCGTAGTGGCCTGTCACATAAAGACCCCAAGAAAGGGGTGCTACCCCAATAGACCTTCGCATGTCAACAGCAGTACCTGAGACAAAGTTGGTGACACTGGGATCAACGAAAGCCTTGCTCAACGCGCGGACAACCATCTGGTGAAGCATTCCAGTGAATTTGGTGTCATGTTTTCTGCAGATTTGTAGAGTCTTCTGCAACAGCGGGGCCTCGATTTCGAGCATTTTCACTCTGCTGGGGCTGGTTTCCGCCGGGTCGAAAAAGGCAGGCGCCCCAGTCCAAGTCTCAGCGTCAACCGTGCTAGCATGCGCCTGCAGTCCTAGCATCGAAGCTAGGAAAGTTGGCAGGTAAACCGCTATCAGCGGTCCAAGCAAGAACTTCCATGAAATAGGCAGTCTTTCGGGCGTGTCAAAGGGTGCTGGAAGGGTTCGGTCAGGGAGGTTGATTAGGAAAGGCTGTTCTCCCTCGGGACGAACCCCGTCTCGCCACGCATCGAGAAATGTGCGATGGAAGGCGACTCCGACCATACCGTCCCCGAGGGAATGGCAGAAGGCGAAATTAATTAAGCAGCGAGTTGCCGCGGAGTCCCCTGATGCCAAAGGCAGTACGACAATCCTCCAGGGGGGCGTAGCGGCAGGCCATGGACGATCGAGTATCTGCGGCAGGACCTTTTCAAAAGTTGTTGTGTCATCATCAAAGTTGTCGTTTTGGATGATAGAGATATGATCTTGAAAATTGATGGTCGGAACTGCATGATAGGACGACTTTTCGGTGTCTTTATCCTTGGGGACGACGGATAAGAATGAGTACTTCTCAATGCACGCCTTCAGAGGGGCAATGAAAGATTCAGGCGAATCCAAATCTATCCTTTCACTTGCAATCTCATACACTGCTCCTACCAGAAGAGCATTATAAAAGCCGACATCTTCGCGACAGATTGTGCGGCGCTCATTGGGACCTGAAGAGTGGTTAGTTTCAGGTCATTACTTAGGCAATCGGGACTTACTAGCAAATCTCAAAAACGTGGACATTTCTATGGATGACTGTATTGTGAAACCTCGGGAAGCAACAGATATTTTCACCGGGTCTTCCGAGCCGCAATAAATAGGGGCGATTTGATTAGATTGCGGTTCTACTGGCCAATCAATATACGGACGCCTAATTGTCTACATCACGTGCCACGCTTCGTTAATGAGGATATTCCCATCTTCCAATGCAAAGATAATACACAATACAGGGCTTATATTGATACTTCTGTAATGCATCGACGCTGGAGTTCAATTTTGGAGTTATAAACCACTGCTTACATACAACAAGGGAGACCTTAATCTAAAAATCAATTTTCAACCGGTTTGTTGACAGCTGATTGATTTCCAACTCTTCTTATTTATTAGTTGATTCGTTTGAAGGGGGAAATTCATCATGGTTTGGTCGGACAGATTTTAACCGTCAATTGCCGTCGGTATTTGGTTAGGTAACGGAAATTTCCTCTTTTGGAATCACCCCGCGTGTGGGGAAAGAGTCAAGTTATTTGTTCACTTGTCCTTGTTTTCTTTTCCTCTTTCACCTTAATTCTTATTCTTTGAAACATAATGGCAGCATCTCTATTCTCACTCAATGGCAGGACTGCCCTCGTCACCGGTGGCACACGAGGCATTGGCCAGGCCATGGCCATTGCCTTAGCCGAAGCCGGCGCCGACATTATTCTGGTTCAGGTAAATCTTTGAAGGATCTAAACCCAAAAGGCCAGATCAAATCTAACACATTTCAGCGAGATGAATCCAATACCGCCACCAAGGATGAGATTGTCAACCGTCTTGGTCGTAAGGCCTATATTCATGTCGCCGAGCTCTCGGATCGAAAGGCCGTCAAAGATATTGTACCTACATTGGTCGGTCAAGGACTCAAGCCCGATATTCTATTGAACTGTGCTGGCATCCAGCGAAGACACCCGAGCCACCAGTTTCCCGATGAGGACTGGGATGAGGTTAGCCAAGATCGATACCCACTTGATTGAATGTACTGACCAAAAGAATATAGGTCCTTGAGATCAACCTCACATCTGTCTTTGTACTCTGCCGTGAATTTGGTGCCTACCTACTTGCACGCGATGCTTCCGAGTTCCCCTCGGGTCGCCGCGGTTCTATTATCAACGTTGCCTCTCTCCTCACATTCCAAGGTGGCATCACCGTACCCGCGTATGCAGCCTCAAAGGGCGGTATTGGACAGCTCACCAAGGCACTCTCTAATGAGTGGCTCAGCAAGGGTATCAATGTCAATGCTATTGCACCTGGATACATTGATACTGATATGAACGTTGCCCTCATTAATGATCCCGACAGGAATGCTGGCATCATGGCCCGCATTCCCGCTGGCAGGTGGGGTAAGCCCGAGGACTTCAAGGGCGTAGTCGTCTTCCTAGCTAGTGCCGCTAGCAACTATGTATCAGGAGATGTTATCACTGTTGATGGCGGCTGGATGGGCCGGTAAGTCCGAGAACAGAAATACTGACAATTAAGGATCTGGAGCCTTCTTATTGATCTTCACTTCTGCATTTTGTATATAGAGATATATTGCATCCAAAAAACTTGTCGAAATGCACCAATTTTACATATAGAAGGACTCATGGGTCATTTACACCATTAGAGGCTCATATCCACAAGCTAGTAGTCCCAAGTCGAAAGTGGACAGCCTGCCTGCCGTGTACTGCGTTCTACTTCTTAGTTTCATGTATACCGGAGCATTTCAGTTTCATGAGCAAAGAGTATGCATTGGCATTGTAAAACTATCCGGGTAGTATCAAGTTAAAAGTAAGATCATCATCATTATAAACATTTGAACACCAAAATGAAGAAAGCCAGAAGAGTCTATAACGCTATGATTCAAACCCATCCCTCCGACAACAGCTTTCTATATTCACCAGCCATATCAATAGTAACATTACTTCCACCACAGACAATGATAACAACTCTGCTCTGAGAGTTGAGGTCTGGTAGAAGCTTCTTCAACTTGGATGTGAGTTCTGGGGTCTTTGTATCACTGCTTTCCGTCCGAGGCTCGGAGTAGACTTCATTATCCGTCGATGAAGGCCGGTCATCGCCGTATCCCTCATCCCGGGAGGCAGAGTCATCCAAATCTCTCTTCCGCTTCTTAGGGCTTTGACCCTCGACGACGGGAGTTTCCGGCCCAGCGGTAGTAATAGTGGCAGTAGCAGTGGCGGCGTCGCCGATAGCCGCTTCAACACAGACACCACATGCAAGTTCGACAAGAAGTCGCTCATCATCTGCAAGGCGAAGCACACCTCGTGCAGCCTCGGCGTCTGTGAGCACGGCGCTGTGGACTTTGATACCGGGTGGAGGAGACATGGCGTATTGGAATGTGGTTTCGGAGACGCGGATGGCGCCAAGGGAAGTGGCTTGGGAGGTGATCTTGGGGAGGGAGACGAGGGATTTCTGGGCCATGGCCGCTGCTAAGGAGTCGGTACCGTCTGTTTCGATGGCTAGGATGTTGATAGGGCTGGGGGTGGTGGAGGAAGGAGCAAATGTGGTCGTGGTGGTGGTACTGGTTTCCAATGAGGTGTCCAAGTAGGAGTGGCTGGTGCTGGAATATCCATTGTCCCTTTGCTTCATAGATCGCCGCTTCTCAATACCCATAACGAGGCCATTCAGAAGTCCACCACCACCGACACTGCAAAGGACGGCATCTAGAGGGAGTGCTCGCCCGTTGTAAGCTTGCTCTTCCTCGGCATTAGCGGCCGGTGGGAGTTGCTTTTCCAACTCATCAATAATGGTACTGTTACCCTCCCAAATGGGTTCATTATCGAAAGGGTGCAGTGCAATCTTTGCCACGTCCTCATCATCCCCAGAGCTGGTCTTCATAATAACGTCTCTCATATAGGAACCTGCCTCGAAGAAGGTCTCGCCATGGCGGATGACGTCCGCGGCACCGGCAGCTTGTAGCTTCTCCAACATCAAGGGCTTGGTGGAGAGAGGTACCACGACGGTGCAGGGATACCCTAGGGTTCGGGCAGCACACACAGCGGCTAATCCAGCATTTCCACCGGACGAGGCGTAGAAGTGAATTCGGCGGTTTGCATATTCCGGCTTGCGAAGGTGAGATAGAATCTGGTTTCCCATCGCACGGGACTTGAACGAGCCACTGGGCTGAACGTTCTCGAGCTTCAGGAAGATCCTACACCCCGCAGCCCGAGAAAGAGCAGCCGATTCGACAAGTGGCGTTTCGATCCATGGTGTTTTCAAGGTCGGTGTCTGGTATTCGGCAGAAGGCATGATGCCTGTTGTTTGTTGGATGAATGTCAAAGTTTAATCGTATTGTTCAAGGGAGCAGAGGGAGGATCTCTTGGAGATTTTTAAGTATAAAGATGTAATCCCAAGACAGGACAGCGGTTGAATAAATGAAAGGGCCGTCAGTGAGTATAAGATCACAAAATAGATAAAGACGAATCCGATATGTAAAAATAATGATAGCCAGTTATTAAGACCTATTGGTATACAAAGGACATTTGATATATCAACAGAAGCCCTAGTTTCTGGGTTTCCCGACGGGCAACATGCCCCGTTTTCCGATGGGAAACCACCCTTTCCCGGCCCGGGGCAAGAGATAGGGACTAACCGGCTGTGGATTAAGTGACCTAAACAGTAGGCTGGACGTGTCCATGAGATCAATTTTTGTAGCTTTATCTTAGCTAATTGATACCACTGAATCCTGTTTGGGTGTCTCCACCTTCTCAAAATAGCCTACTGGAGGCCATTGAGCGCGAATACATGATACATCGCCGACCAACGGAAACCTCGAAACTCCTCCGCAGCTCTATTATTCGGCCTTGAAGACGCGGGGGTTTTACTCATAAAGTTCCCGGTGAGGTCATTTGGTCCACAATCCACGTTATGCGGGAAGACTATCGATCATACTTATAATAGGTAGGCAACTCGTCCATAGAAGAATAAGAGGCAAAGACCGCAGGCGAAATAATTCCTTCTGTAAGAAAATCAACGCTCCACATGACTTGTCGGGAAACTCAGTCAGCCTATGGAGCTCGGAGGCATAATGGGTCTTCATTGGAGTGGCGCATTGTTCCCTCAGCCGCGGACATTTCGACGAGCGGAAGCAAGACTAGGGAAGGAACTCTCAGTTCCGGTCGGTCTCAACATGGAATGATGGAACCCTGCAATGTTGAAGTCAATAAAGCATCGGCTGCAATAGGCGACGTGGATATTGCTAATGTATGTTTGTTGCGTTGGGATGATCTGTTAATTCGATTGACCGAATGAGATGAATAATGCAACGTGGAGCACGCAGATGTGTCACCAGGTCAGACTATTATAGTTTCAATTAAGAAACGCCCAATTTCTCGTCCAACTCGTAGACATCCCGTCTCATATGCCCAGGTTCAAAGCATCCCAGGCACTTGACATTGTCGTTGCTTTAGGGGATCCAAAACGATAAAGATCAGGGTTATCAGCCAGTGACAACCCCAATGGCACTTATCTGCTCCATCTTGACAGATCCCCTAGATAAACTTGTGGTGATATCGCCCACACCGATGGAATCCTGTGCACGGTTAGCAGCGGTGGTCTTATCTATCGCCCCACCAAAGATAACATTAGCGTAACCTATCTTGATAGCCAAAGCTTATCGATTATTCAAGCGCGATAGAATCGGATTTATACACAACTTGTGTAAGAAATGCATTAACTTCCTTGGATTTGAAATTGCCGAGAATTGAGTAGCCGACATGAAGAACATGGTGATAAGAGGTGGGTCGCAATTGTTCCCCAGAATCTCAGGCCCGGTTGATAGACAGGCAATTTTTATGCAAACTCAAGTGTAATGGCATCAATGTTATGTGTCAAGATACAGAAGAATAATACATGCTTGTGGTCACTGTTGAAATGCTAAATGTCTTATGTTTCAATTATCTATGTTCTTTTGATACGATACCTCTTATCTTTTAAAATATCCAGGGGATCATGAGCCATCGGTCCTGCACGGCCTCTCCGCCAAATTTATGCATATACCACTCCTTGGTTGTCTGTGCCGTAAGACCAAGGTTCACAGCCACAAAGGCCAAGCATGCCAACAAAGTCTTATTCACCATCTGACCCGGTGGTGCTGCAAGAAGTGCAAGAGATAGATAGATGATGCACTCGGCCCCGTAGTGAGGGCATACGACCGCGCGGAAAATAGGGTGATCGGGAAGAGTGTACTTCTTTAATGAAAAAAGAAAGTGGTGACAGTCGTGCTGTAAGCCCGATGCCATCAAGAATAGTGGAACACACAAAAAGGTGCGGATAGTTGGAGCATTTGTCATTTTCACGTCATCAATTGTGAGATTGCGCGATAGGATGGTGCTGGATCCTTCAATCCAAATAGCCACGCCGGCAGCCAGGTAGAACCCCAACCCCAGAAGCCAGTGTACAACCCACATCTGTGAAGATGAAGGCTTCGCAAACTTGTGACTTTCCCACAGCCGGCGCGTCCCTTGGATTGAAAGCAAAATCCAGCAGATCAGGACTTGTGTGAGGGATATAGAATGACGTGCATGCTCTTCGCTGACTCGTGTCGCGATAAGTTGGAAGACTCGGCCCCGAAAGACCAGCTGAAAAGCCCAGAATACGGAAGAAAGAACAGAAGCAATGTAGAACTGGGCGAAGTAGCTATGAGGAACCTGCCAAGTGGCAAGGTAGTCGAGCAAGCCCAAGGAGGTGGGGGGATTTGGTCGTGATTCAGGTGTAGAGGGAGATGCAGCGCGAGGACCATAGACTAGGAAGCGAGAACGTAGAGAGGTGGGAATGCTAACCGTGATAGTCTGTCATTTGACAAGTCTGTTAGTGGGATTAATTCATTGGCAACGGGGATCAAGTCAAGCGTGTGTTACGTACAGTGGCAGCGGCTAGAAGGAAAAAAGCGCGCAAGGCATCAACGGCATCCATGCCCATGGCCTCAAGGGCGCGATCGACAACATCCATGACCTTGAAGCGCGGTCCAATCGGAATTTGTTAGTTCTAGATAAGTCGATAGCTTCAAAGGCGGGCAGAAAGTCAGAATTTACCGCCCTCGGAGCCGCGGCCTGATTTTGCCATTGTTTACCGGGAGTTTTATCTTCACCTGGACGATACTACTACTTGTTTCTCATGGAAAAGGGTAGAACCACATTGATATATTACATTGTGTTTTATTAGAGAAAAGAATATAATACAGCCATGTTCACCACATCTCGTTCTTGGACTTCTTAACAGCCCCAGATAACGCCAAGGGTGTCCGCAGGAACATTTCCATCAGGATTGCGGCAGCTACACTGACGTTCAAACTATCGATCCGTGCAGGGTCAGATTTGACTCCCAGCTCCGCACTGTGTCGCGCACCAGGTATGCTGACAGTCGCGTCCGCATGTGATTTGATTTGCACACTAAGTCCAGACCCTTCGCTGCCCATCATCAGTACGCTCGGGGCTTGAGTCGCGAGAAGACCACTATTCGAATCTCCACTAGCTTCAGCCCGGCCAATATATGTGGCACCTGGACCCGGTGCATCGGCAGCGTAGAAACGCCAGCCATTGGCTTGGGATCGTTTTATGAAATCAACTTCATTCTTGACGTGAAGCAGAGACATGTTCTCTGCCGCGCCAGCAGATGCCTTGATTGTCACAGGCGACAGAGGCGCAGAATTGCGACCGGCAAAAATGATCGCATCGATTCCGAGGTAATAAGCAGATCGAATAATAGCACCTAGGTTGCCGGGATCGACAACCCCGTCCAGCAGTAATGCCACAGGGAAACGTTGGGACTTTTCCCCTTCTGGTGAAACAGGGGGCTGAACGACTGGAAGACTGTCATCTGTACCGTTCACTATGGCTTCCTCCCGAGTCTGTGGTGCCAATTCCACGCGGAAGTGGCTCTCAGTTGTGGAGGGAACTGACTGAAGGCCACGAACAGGCAGCTTAGGCAATGGAGAGGCTTCCAAAATGCACCCGTTGTGTGGTCGACCAGCACTCATCTTGTCGAATATCCGATCCCATCCTGCAAATGCCAACTTGATATTTATGTTCTTCGTGAGAGCCAGCTTGCGGAGAGCGGCTTTTGATGGGCTAAGTTCTTCATCGGCGGCCTGGTAAAGATAAAGTTTGTAGACTTGACGCCGACTGCAGCGAAGTGCGGCTTCCACCGCACTGGTGCCGTAGATAAATTCCGAGGCAGGGGTGGTGTAGGGAATGGAGTCTGGGACTTTCACATTGTCCTTGACACGTTCCGGCATGGTCTCTGATACCCATTCCGAACGAGGTCTTATTGATGACTTTGGATTTCCCCGTCTGGGTCGTTGGCTTGGTGTATCCTGGTTCCATCTTGACGCTCCACTGGCCTGGTGTTCACGGGGTAGAGCTTGAAAATTACCATTCCGGATGAATTCCTTCTCATCAAATGCAGGCGATCCGGATTGTCTATCCCTGAAAGACTTCTCCTGTCTGTCGTCCCGGCGTGGGTAGTTGCGCGGCATCTCATCGGAATCGGCTGACCTGACACGCTTCTCCTTAAATAACGTTTCTTGCCTGTCATCCCGGCGAGGGTAACTGCGCGGAACCTGCCGCTCATCGGGTTTGTTCGACCTAAAACGTCTCTCTTTGAAGGACTTTTCCTGTCTATCATCCCGGCGTGGGTAACGCGGAGCCTGGCGCTCCTCGAATCCGGTGGATCGGAAACGTCTGTCTCCGAATGACTTGTCATCTCTATCATCACGTCGCTGATAACCTCGTGAGCCCTGGAAATCATCGCGTCGTCCATCGCGTTGTACTCTTGGGCGGCCATCCTCATCATCCGCGATCCTTGAGGACGATGACCGAGGACCAGATCTGCGAATGCCACGGCCAATCGCAGAATTGAGCGACGCTTGTCGAACTGTTGTCCATGATGACTGTTGTGGGAGTTGGATCACACGCCAACCCAAAGCTGGACGATTAATCGAGCGAAGCATCTTGTCTTAACTGCTGTAGTATATGTAGCTCCTTAAGTGATCCAGCTGTATTTTTTTTAATTCTATCTGCTTATCGATAAGACTTACGGGGGCCAATGAAGGCCCGAGCCCGGGAGTCTGGACCGCTGAGTCAGCGAATCAATATCGATGCGCGGAATCCTGTTACGCTGCGCTTTGCGACCAAGAGCTTGTTCCTTGCCCTGCCTAATGATGGATCTTGCCAGTCTATCACGGCCTGCAATTCTGGCCCAGTGCTCTCGATGCTCCAGCTCTTTAGCGGTACTGGAGAATGAATGGGCAACACTGTCAAACGCCTATTCTATTGCGACAGCATGGCTAAGCGTCAACTTCAACCGAATTTCTATTTCAACAGAGAGAAAACAAATCCCACAAACACCGGAATTTCATCTTTTGCGCGGGCGCACTACCCAGGAAGTCACTTGCAAACTTTGCCAGCAGAAACTGGGCGCTCTATGCACCTTGGATAATGGGTAGGTATCATGACCTCGGTGACGACTCTGAGATGTGCTGACTGTATGCTAGCCCTAACATCTTCTGGAAGATGTCCAGGGTTGCCTTCAGGGAAGTTGTGACCATGCGAACCGCCGAGCCCATTTTTAAAGACGGTGCCCTTGAAAGATTTCTCCGTCCGACCCCTCCAGAACCCGTTCAAGATCGCCCCTCCACCCATGACGCCGCGTTAGTCCCAAGTAGCACATTCGGTGTATCTAAAGACCCGGCCTTGCAGCGACAGATGCAACACCAGGGGCGAAGTATTGATCAGATTTCGAGCTCCGTGAACCACTTGCAGGATACCATGACAGACTTGAAACATTCGTTTACTTCGCTCCGCATCGAACTCCAGGGACCCAGTCGCCACATGGCTGAAAATGGAAACCTCAACAGCCAGGGCTTTGATATGGTTGCGACTGTGTTGAAGGAGTTGAAGTCGAAGTCGGACGAAATTGAAAAATTCAAGCTGGAGATTGAGGCATTGAAGTTGAGAAACCGGTTCATGGAGGAGCGCAGGCCAGGTAACACGGACTATCTGTCTACAAAGGATGAGGTGCTGCCTGAGGTTCAAAGCCCCGGTTTGCTCCAGGCAGGAAGAAAACGTGCTTGGCCCGATGCCTTTTCCACCGGTCGCTCTCACACGGTCGCAGACTCGTTCGGCGAAGAAGACATGATTGATGGTCTGGCATTGGAAAATCGATCGACATATTTGGTTAGCCTCCCTATTCAAGACTCACATAGAATCACCAATGGCGAGACTAAGGGTCAATCGCCATCCGGGTCTCCAAGTGGCCATGATATGAATCATCGGCAACCCACCAGGGCCGCTGTCGATAATCAAAGACCGATGTTTTCCCAGCAAAGTCCGACCAAACGACTAAGGGTAACGCAATCCTCTGTGGATTTGTCCCGCACACAGTATAACCCTGAAAAGAGACGACCCGGCCGGCCGAGGAAGTCTATTAGCCAGACTTTCAAACCCAACACTGCCCAAACATCCGACACTTCCCAACGAAACTCAGAGGCGGGTACCGAGTCCAGCTCGTCTGTCCAAGTCCCCACAGTACTTTCAAGTCCGCAAAAGCAACCCACCAGCGGTCGTCCTCGGCGTACTACACGATCACGGTCTATGGGTCCAGCGGAACTTAACCGTGATGCACCGAATGAGACAGATGCCTCCAATGGAGAACCTATGGAAGAAAGTTCCAACAATGAACCGGTTAGTCCCAAGAACGGGGACGCAACGACTGGTGAACATGACGGCGTTCGTGTCGAGGACTCCGAGGCTATGGCAAAAGAAAGGCGTAAAGCCAAGGTTGCGGCGCGGGACGTCATGACCCGGATTGCTATGCAGCGAGAAGAAGTTATGGAAACTGATGAGTCGCGGTAATCCGATCCGCCTATCATGATGATATGAATGACTTGTCCCAGGATAAACTGCCTTGGGGCGATCTGTATAGTACCCGGATTGATTCTAGAGAACTCCACAGGACTCAAGGGCTTGATGAGTGGGTCAATGGCCGTGCCCTTGGGAACCAGTATAGGATGAAGTTCCCAATTTGACCAAATTTGTCCGACAACTCGGCAAACCACAACAATCACCTCGTAAACCGTACCTGTGTAATATATTCAACGTTCCATGGTTGCCCTCGATGAGTACCAAACCAGTTAGTGGGGAAGCTGGGATGCATATCATTATGAAACTCCACATATGCATTATACTACAACAATTCCAAGGTTTTACGACAATGAAATCCATAGACCAACAATAGATCAATGCTCCGTATATGTTCTGATGATACTGAATAGGGGCAAATCTGGGGATCGGGCGTAGGGCGGTCAGAAACCCGTTTATTGTGCCCATTCAATGATGGGATCCCCCCCGGCGGGGAATGTAAACCTACAACCTAACTCGACCCAATACGAAACTTACTTTACTACATAAACCCCCCCCCCCCTTCATGGAATATCGGTGACCATGCCCACGGCCACTGCATTTCTGGATAACCCCTTATTGAAGGTTAGCCGGCCTGTCGCCGCATGCTCGCGCTGTCGTACCGCCAAAATCAAATGTGATGGGAAACTCCCTGCGTGCTCCGCTTGTGAAAAAGTTGGCAAGGGGAACACCTGCTCAGGTGCTAGTGACGAGTTCGCCAAAGGCAAGGAACGGAGCTATGTCGCGTCACTCGAAGGTTACTGTGACAAACTAGAAAAGAAACTCGCCCAGCTGCGAAATCGTCAAAATTCCTTATCTGCCGAAGGAAATGGAGTCGCCCGGGAGGTTTCCATCACTGCGACCTCTTCGAGTGGCCCTCCTGGAACAGCCCATCGTCGAGAGGTCTCCGATATCGATGATCTTGTGGGTGATTTTGGATTCTTGTCCGTGAATGCGACTTCACGCGATTTCCACGGCATCACATCTACGACCAGCTTCGCCAATCTACTCTTATCGGTTACGACTGTCGGATATCCCCCACCGCCAATTCCGAACTCACTTCCCCCACGACACGAGGCTACCCCATTACTGCAACACTACTTTGACAATATCTTTGTTCAACTGCCGTTCTTTGTGGAGACCAGCTTCTGGACATCGGTCGATGCGGTCTATCAATCCCAAGGCCGCTTTGCCAAACCATTCGACCACTGGATGCTGCGTATGGTCCTGGCTATTGCCTATGCCTCGCTATCATATCAGAACAATGACAAAAGTCATCAACGGGCATTGGGTCTTGTAGCAGAGGCATTGACTTATGCCGGAGAGGTCCTCCGTCCGGGATCTATCGCGTGTATCCAAGCAATCCTACTGCTAGCACAGTATTCATTGGTGGACCCGGGGCGATTCCGTACCTGGTATTTGGTAGGAATGGCAATCAGAGTGGCCGTGGATCTGGGGCTCCATCAAGATCCACCCGCAGAGGTCTTGACAAACTCAAATCGGCTTGACATTCGTCGGCGTGTTTTCCATTGTCTTTACGCCTTGGATAGGTACGCAATTCGGCACTCTGTTCGGTGATCAGACTACTAACAATAAATTTGCATCAGGGGACTCAGTTCTGCCTTGCAAAGGACATTTTCCTTCTCTGATGATTCAGTAAGCGTGGAAATGCCCTCCACCAGCAACTCGACCAATTCTTCTGTCAATGAACAAAGTCACATCTTTCTCCGAAGCCCAGCACCAGCTCTACATATCGTTCGGATCCGACAAATCTTGTCGGTCGGTTACGCCGATATGTATTACAAGTCGAGGGAGCCTTCAGAGCAACCCCTCGTGCAAATCTGGACCCTCTGCCATCGGGCTCAGCAATGGTACAACGAATGTCCCCAGAATTCCCCCAGTCACTTCTCTCTCTTATATCGTCTCGAAAAACTCTATACTATAATCATTCTCCTATCACCTTCTCACCAATACCCAATTCTCTGTGACTATAACAGCGCGCTCCTATTCGACCGGTCCATGGACTATATCAGCCTGATTCATCAAGTTCTTGAAACCCCTGGCTCCCTCCCTTTCCTCAACTTCCTCGACATCCAACGTGTACATCAAATAGCGCGTCGCTTCGTGGAGGTTCTCTCCCAAAATTACGACCTGCTCCTCAGCACAACCGTCCCAAGCCCGCCTCCAGTCCCCGCAGGCACCCCCGCCCCTCCAATACTAGACGAAGAAGACCGAATAAACTGCCGCCCTCGCGCAATTCGATGTCTCTCATATATTCGAGATTTGCTTGAATACTCTGCGCGAAAGTGGGAGCTTCGGGCCCCGCTCGAAGAGTTCGAGCGCGAGTCCGCGGCCTTGAATGATTTACTGTTGAATGACTCCATTGGTTACATGGAGATGCCGATCCGGGGCGGTTACCCTCAATCCTCCCCCCACGGATTGCCGCTGGTCGGCAACGAGTACCCCGGATACCATTTAGGATGATTCGTCATGTGTGATGATTTTGGTTGGCTCTCAATCTTCAAAATGTTTAACGTTGGATATGGATCTACCTTTGGTTTATGATGAGCTTGGGATTACCTATGCCCATGAGCTATTGAATTTGTTCGTCAAGCATGGTTCTTATGTCTTTAATATTTCCAATAATCAAAATGCGTCCCAATTTCGCTACTTTGTGTAATCTTCAACCTCTCGTATCTTTGATCTTGTGGAGTATATTCGATGTGGGTCTGCGGAGTTTGACGATCGGCGTAGCCATATCTTTCTACATATGTAGGTTTGGGCAGCAAAAGTGCTTTGTATATTCAATTGAATTATCGTCCATGGGAGGATAGACTTGAGATTCCAGTTCACTTATCCTACAATGAGAAAAATCGTGGGCTTTTGCCTGTACTTATGCTGGAATTACCTTGATGCCTTTCTGCACATCAAAAACCTTCTTTCTTACTAGTACCAACCACGAACACCGGAAGCAAAAGTGCGGTGAAGGGAGCGGTGTGGAAAGCGGTAGTCAATCTAGACCCATTTCTGATGTTAGCCTGATTATTAAGGCGGTTGAGTAGTCGCATCTCGGGGTGCAACATCCCAGCAGCTTATTGTCCACCGAAACAAAGAAAGGAGCGCAGATCCAGACACGTCTCTCTACAACGCGGCGTGCGGACTTCCTTGAAGGCTTCCACATCTATCTACAACTTACACCCAGCACGCTGAACCCCCCTTTTCTTCCGGGTGACGTCTTGCAACTTCCTGCGAATTCACTCCACCAACTAGCATGGCCAACCGACAAATCACAAGGCGCATCGCCATCAGCGTCGCATTGTCGATATTCTTCATCTTATTCCTCTTCATTCGACCGCAAGGCCCCCCGAGCCCTGCGATTCGAGCCCCCGGGCACATCACCCATGAATCCCTACCCGCGCCGGCTATTTCTCTCCAAGATGACTTACTGAAAGGGTCTGTGGTGATGCCGAAGCTCGGAAACGCAACAGTCAAGTAAAGACACGGATCACATTACCATATTAAAAGCGAGCAGACCATGCTAACCAGTGGCGTCTACAGAGCCGAGCTAGGCCGTGCAACATGGAAGTACTTCCACACCGTTATGGCGCGATTCCCCGAAAAGCCCACTGAAGACGAGCAGAACGCCCTTCGCTCATTCATCCATCTCTTCGCGCGCCTATACCCTTGGTACGATAATGCCACTTGGACTCCCTTACAATGCGGGGTGGAAAGAAGCTTTCTGGCGTCCCCGCCACATCCGTATTGCATGAAATGAGGCTAACTGGATTACAGCGGTGAATGTGCCGAGCATTTCCAGCAACAATTGAACAAGTACCCGCCGCAAGTCTCATCACGGAAGGCCGCGGCAGGATGGGCTTGCTTTGTCCACAACGAGGTCAACGAGATGTTGGAGAAACCGGAATTCGACTGTAACAACCTGGGCGCATTTTACGATTGCGGTTGTGCAGATGGAGAGGATGGTGAGAATGGCTCGGAGAATAAGGATGAGCGTTCAACCACGACCCGTACCGATGCGCAGGCAGGTGGCTCGGACCATGACCACTTGCTTGTAGAAATATCCAAGGAAGCGTAAGCCCTCTTGAATTCAAAAGCTGTCCTAGTTTGTCGCTAACTTGGTAGGATTAGGACCACCCGTGGCTGATTTGACCTCCGACACTGTCGATTTTTCATGGCGTTCATATTATGCATATGGCAGAGCTGGTCTCTCTTGTGTACAAAACTTGGGGCTCAGTGGTCTTATATATACCCTTCTACAATTTAATAGTGCCTATCTTACGATAAAAAGGCAAACATACGAGTACATCGAACGTAAACCTAGATTTAAACGAACATTTGAAAGCTTCATATCGTAGTAAGGCTCTGAATTCGGAGCCATGGGTATGTTCCTGATCTGGTTGAATATGGTGTACAAGAGTAACTGAGGGGGTACGCAGAGCATTTACCGATAAAAGGAGTCCTAACCTAAAAGATGAATATGTATAGTACTATAGTATGACATTCAAATGTTCCACCAGAAGATCAAGGGTATCATCTACTATGGTATGCTATCAACTTTGATCTTTTACTCCTCAAGCGCAGGATCTGTTTTGACAACTGTCTTAGCCTCCTTAACCTCCGTTTCTTCAGGAGCATATTCTGCCTCACCAATAACCTCGATTTTGACCTTTGGCTCCTCACGCTTAGGATCTCGCTTGAGAGGAGCCCCCGATCCTTTCACTTCACTCTTGCAAAGCTTGGTGCCAGCCAAGTAGCACTCCCCACATCTCCGCTTCACAGGCAAACACACTGTCTGCCCCAGGCCAACGAGCAACTTGTTGATCTCATGCCATTTCTCATGCGGTAACCACGATTGCAGAGCTATGCGCGTCTCTTCGGGGTTCTTGGTCTGATGCCATCCCCATAAATTCGTAATCCGGTGGACGTGTACGTCTACGCCGATACCCAAGTGTTTACCCCACGCGGCGCTCATGCATAAGTATGCCATCTTGGGACCCACGCCAGGAAGAGCCATAAGCCCTTCGGGGGTTGATGGGATGTCGCCATCGTATTGGTCACGAAGGATCAAAGCTGCGGCTTTGATGTACTTTGTTTTGTTGTTGTGGAAGCCGATTGTGTGGATGATTTCGTTGAGCCTTTCAGGTGAGACGGCCAGGATGTTTTTCAGGTTGAGAGTACTGTCTGGTTTTTCCAACTCGTCCAGTCTTTTCTCTTCATCCTCCATCTTGATTCTCTTGTCCTGAGTCTCGACTTTAATATGTTCTGTAGGATTCTCCGCTTGTCCAAGCTCGGTGTGCAGGCGTTGCATCGCGACAGCGGTCACTGTATCTTTTGTTTGAGATGAAAGCATGAGTGCAATCAATGTTTGGAAACGCTGATCCTTAGGTGAGGAAGCGCGCCAGTGGAGCTCTGCACAGCCCATGGTATCAACAGGCGCTGTCGGGTTATCTTCGCGCATCCTCTTTACAGTGTTGTACATGATCTCCCAATTAGATGGAGGTTCCACGATGATAGATCCCTCGGCATCACGAGTCTTCCGTGCTGGCATGCGCCGTGCCTTAGGCTGTGTGGGTATTTTCTGTTCAGCTGGCTCATCTTTGAGAATCGATTGTTCGAGCTTGATTAACGGCTCTACGACAGAGTCAACACCACGAGCACCCCGAGTTGATACGCGTCGCGGGGTAGAACGTGGCAGGGGTTTGTTTTCCTCGGGTTCAGCTTTCCCAGTCGTCAATCGAGGCTGTTTGTTCGGGTTACGGCGGGAGGCAGACAGGGGAGTCGAGTTTGTGTTAGGCTTCCGTCGTTTCGGAGGAGGAGAAAGAAGGTCTTCGATGTCAGTTGTATTAGCGGATGATAGCGACGATTCATCATCATCATCCCTTGGAATGCTTGCGATAGTTGGAATCAACTCCGGTTTAATAGTCGAATCGCCATTGCAGACAAAGCTGGGCAGGGGATCCGCATTGGTCGCTCTGCTTCGTGTCTGGCGAGTAGCAGATGAAAGCTGAAAGAACCTTGAAGTCTCTTTCGAAGCTCGAGACATGCGCATCTTTGTGGGATTATAGGTAGTATGTGAAATTATTTAGAATGAAAAAGTGGAGGTGGAAACACTTCGTTCACATGGAGAAACCCAAGCATGATTCCAACCAATCAAATTTGTTTCCCCTTCCCCCTACCTTACCTCGGTCCACTCCGTGGATCCCTCATTCTGCTCCAGCTTCCCGAGTTTATACGTCTCAAGTTCGCATTTGTCTTTCTCGTTCTCGCAAATTTCGCATGAATCATGGCGGCCGCATCAGGTCAAACAACACAGCGTCTTCTACGCGAATTAAAAGACTATACTAAGTCACCAAATGAAGCTCTCCTCCACCTTGGCCCTGTTGATGATGAGGATTTGCTCCGCTGGGAGGCGGTCCTGAAGGGTGTGAATGGGTCTCCCTACGCAGGTATGTCGAAACGCCGTCGCTACTTCGAGGATTTAGATAAATATTCGTCCCATTGTGTACTCTGTTCCAAGCTTACAATGGATGTACCTCAGGCGGTCTCTGGCATCTCCGCATCGCCATCCCACATAACTACCCTCTTGCGCCACCAACCATCACCTTCACAACCCGCATATCCCACCCTAATATATCCTTCACGACTGGCGAGATCTGCCTTACGCTTCTAACCACCGAACACTGGAGCCCTGTCTATACACTTTCGTCAACCCTCACTGCAATCCATCAGCTGTTGACGGACCCACAGCCTGACTCCCCGCTCAATGTTGATGTTGCCGCACTACTCCGAGATGGTGACATTCCTGCTTGGGAGAGTGTGGTTCGGTATTGGACGAGCGAAGAGCGGTGGCAGGGGGCTGGGAATCTGGGGCAGTGATACACGCTCAAGTGGATTGTTGAAGTTTATGTATACCTGCGAGGCTTTCGAGGACAAGTCAATTGGTGAGGACAGGATACAAGGTTGTCGTTCAAAGTTTGTTATTTCACGCATTCTGGTCGCATGTGTGGCCCTTACATACCCCACTGCATATTCTATGTACCGAGTCTTTTATATATATGATGATCTATACCACTTATGTCTCTGGTTTGAATCTGTACAATCATAAGATGAATTGTATTCCATATCTCCTGATGGGCTTAACAACAGATGTCTCATATTCGATCAAATTTCAGTCGTTGGTAAAAATACTGTCCTTGGAAGCAGTGGAGCTCAGCGTTAATAACTAATCCTTCAAAGAGCCATTGCGAAAAGGGCTGCTCCGCCAAGCATGATCATGATCTCTAGACCGACACCTGTGGTGGTCAACGCAGCGACACCTTTCTGGGCAGAAGGCACTTTGCTGGTCGTTGACGATCCAGTGGATCCAATAGAGGCTTCGGCAGAGAGTCCGGTAGGGGTGACCCGCACCACCTTCACGGACGTCATTGTGCTTAGGCTGCCATTGGGCAGGGCGCTTGTTCTCGTGTAGATCGACGTGGAAAGACTGTCTGATATGTTGTCTGTGGCGTGGGCTTCCGAAGTAGAAGAAGGGCTTGTCTGTGCATCGACTGTCTTTGCGTCGGTTGTCTTTGCATCGGTTGTCTTTGTCTCGCTTGTTCTTGCGCTAAGAGTAGAAGTCGTGATCAATTTGATGGCAGAGGTGGAAGTACTACTTAAGGCACCATTCGTGCTAGTGAAAGTCCCCTCAATTGAAGTATACACTGAGCTAGAGCTCGTGATAGAGTCTGAGCCTGAGCCAGTGATTGAGATGATTGTATCAGTTGTGGTGCTTGACGTATCAGAAGTAGCTTCCGCTTTGGTATGAGTCGAAGTGTCGGCCGTGCTGTCGGTGAGGCTAATTGAAATATCGAGGCTCTTGCTTTCGGTGAGATCAATGGGAAGAGGGTGTGTAGCCGTCTCAAAACTAGTCTCAGAATCAGTCTCATTGTCATGCCGCTTCATCATCTTTGCTTTATTGTCGTCTTGTGCAGTCTCAGTAACACCGACATCGGCCAAGGGAATGCCGCCAGGCCGTCTGTTGGACAACACATGCAGAGCATCAAACACATTCGCTTTGAAGCCAGCTAATCCGCCCTGTGAAGACCATCGGTGGTCAATATTGCTCTCATCATTGGATTGGTTGGTGGCAAAGACCACAGAGAGAAGCATCAAGGACCCGAAAACCAGTGGAAGAAGGTTGACACGCATGATAGTGAGCGGTGGTAGAGTTGAGATTTTGACAACCTGTGAATGAGATATTGATAGGGCGGATCCAGGAAAAGGATTTCATAATTTGAGAGTGAGAAGTTTATGAGGGAAAAAGAGTAATGGGATTTGGGTGTCCTTCAGACGCCTCCATTTATGCAGGGATACTTGTGTGATATCGGATCATTCCTGAGTGCTGACATTGAGTTTGCTTTGACTCGAGTCCTGATGCCCGTTGACTCTGAGACAGGTCTTTTGACTGAAAATCAAGTTGCCATTTTGATATTTTCTTGCTATATCATTATATAATGTCTGATAGAATTGGACGAACGTTTGCTTCATTGATCATTTCATACAAACTAGTCAATGTTGACGGAAATAGAGGTATCTGTGCCGGAAATTAGCGGCCTTTAGGGTATTTTCGATCTGGCTACCGCCTCGCTCACCGCCTTCAACATTCTAGTCAATGCTCCGTGAATCAGACCAGTACCTACCTTCATACCTACCTAGAGACTTGTTTATGTATGGAATTGTGTATTCTATACTTGCTACTAGACTAGCCAATACTAAGTATTAGTAATGTGACCTTTAAGAGTACGGTAATCTATAATATAATTCAAGCTATTTCCCGTCGCAGTATCGAGAGCGCTTGGACGTTGGTTCCGCGCCAAGGAAAGCGGTGAGAGCGCGATCAACAGACCAGATGGACTCGTTCTACGGTCTTGAGGTTAAAGACCTCGTTTTGTCTTATTACATTTGTACAAGTCTGGCAATTCCTAGGAATTCTCTTTTGGTGATTCTGCCTGGTTGTTCCCTCGCTTGCAAGCACCTCGGGGTCTGCCTCTTCAATCTCGCATGGACTAGGGGCGGCGCAAACCAAGCTACGGCATGAAGTGATGACGGTCCCCTCACTCCTTTCCCTGCTGCTGGCACTTACTGTCACACTATGGAGCTCACCTGTTTCAGCCTCGGACTACCATGAACAGCTCTTTCTTCAACCTCTCCCGCAATCCTCCCTACTAGCCTCGTTCAATTTTCGGGGTAATACATCACAACAATCGTTCGACAACCAGCACTTCCGATACGTCCCAAGAGCACTTGGCCAGATCCTTCAGCACGCGCACACGAAAGAGCTTCACTTGCGTTTTACAACGGGGCGATGGGATGCGGATAGCTGGGGCTCACGCCCGTGGAATGGTAGTAAGGAGGGAGGCACTGGTGTGGAACTTTGGGCATGGATTGAAGCTGCAGATGACGAAGAGTATGTTGCTTGGGGGAAATTCAGAAATATTCACGCTGACTTTTATCAGAGCATTCGCAAAATGGATTACCTTGACACAATCTTTGTCCGGGCTCTTCTGTGCCTCTTTGAACTTCGTCGACTCGACTCGAACAACACGACCGGTTGTCTCCTTTGAGCCTACAGGGCACCACCAAGATGCCAACTCACTACACTTGTTACACGGAACACTCCCCGGAGAGGTTGTTTGCACAGAGAACCTCACCCCGTTCTTGAAGTTGCTTCCATGCAAGGGCAAAACTGGAATCTCGACTCTTTTCGATGGTCACAAATTGTTCGACGCTGCATGGCAAAGCATGTCAGTTGACGTGCAGCCAATTTGCTCAGCTGACGGCGAATGTACCGTTCAAATCGAACAAACTGTCGACATGGTTTTGGACATTGAGCGGTCGAAGCGACCGCGAGGTATGTTCAACTTCGAACCTGCATCGGAGATCCAATGATTGACTTGCTCTAGACAATCCAATTCCACGACCGGTTCCAAATGACCAGCTGGTCTGTGATACTTCCAAGCATTACAACGCTGACGACACATGTTATCCCCTGGAAAAAGTGACTGATAAGGCTTGGAGTCTGAACGAAGTCTTCGGAAGAACCTTGAATGGCATCTGCCCTCTTGCAGACTCAAGCGAACAATCTGTATGCCTTCGGGTACCTCATGAAAAGGGTGTGTTTATAACTCCCGGGGCCTCGGAGTTGAAAAAAGATGATGGTTTCACTCGCTGTTTTGCCTTGGCATCCTCCGAGCCCTTCGATCTCTCAATCCCAGAACAACAGCTACAGACAGAGGTGCTCCTTCAGGAGCCCGTCCTCCATGCCGAGCGAACGATTGTTGGTCATGGCCAAGAGCGTGGTGGCATGCGCATCATTTTCGGCAATCCATCTGACACTAATACGGTTGACTTTATTTACTTTGAATCGCTTCCCTGGTTCCTGCGCCCGTATATCCACACATTGCAGGCCACTATCACTGGACGCGACGGGGTACGCCGAGAGATTCCCGTCTCTGACCTCGTGACGGAGACTTTCTATCGTCCCGCCATTGATCGGGAACGTGGAACTCAGCTAGAACTTGCTCTGTCTGTGCCCGCCGCCTCAACCGTCACGCTGACATATGACTTTGAGAAGGCTGTGTTGCGGTACACCGAGTACCCGCCGGATGCCAATCGAGGATTCAATGTTGCCCCGGCGGTCATTCGAGTTTTGGATGGAGCGGATTCTCGTCCAGTTTATCTCCGTACCACCAGTCTTCTCCTTCCACTGCCAACACCAGACTTCAGTATGCCGTACAATGTGATTATTCTCACCAGTACGGTGATCGCGCTGGCATTTGGCACTGTCTTTAATATCCTTGTGCGACGGGTTGTCTCTTTGGAAGAAGCGACTGCTCTAAATGCTCAAACCTTGAAAAGTCGGCTCCTGGGTAAATTCATTGCCTTGCGAGACCGTCTGGGCAAGAAAGAGATCAAAGTGGAGTGACACAATATTACATTTGCTCTTATATCTCAATCAAAAATCAGAAAGTGTTTGTGACAGGTTTCCTCTCCTCGATTAATTCCTCAACTGCAATTGAATTCCAATTTTCTGGACAGTGATATCAGCAATTGATGTTTCTGAAGCATACAATTTGGATGACAGTATTTATTGAATAATACTTGGTATCTAATCAAGTCAACGGGTCCACCTCCCCTCAACACCGGCCCGGTATATTGCTGGTCACTGTGGGGAGACGCATCATAGATATGGCCACCAACGCGAATCTTGATATTACTAGGCATTCAATGATCCTGACTGGTCAATGACACCGTGCTCCACGTTGCTAAAAGTGTTTTTTTGCGGGCCCAATGTTCCTTTCGCCTTCAAATGCCCTTTTCGGTCGTAATGGTGGGTCTTCGACGATCTTTGGATCCTCCCGGCCCGGCGAAATGCGGAGGTTCTGTTCCTGGGGAAGTGGAATCGCCCACGGAACCGCCCGTGGAACAGCTCGTTGACATCGAATATAATAGCTTCCATCCTGTTGAGTATCTGTTTGTCTGGCAACTGTTAATTTTTTCATACTTTGAACATAGTAGAAAATGGTTAATGACCCCACCAGCGACCATGCCGATGTACCGAAAAAGAACAATGAAGACCTCATATCCAGAGACATTCGTGTGGACCAACATGATATCAATGAGGAGGAGAAAGGCCTCGCTGGTGAAATGAATCAACTGCCTGAGCTTCAGCGGAGGTTGAAAAGCCGACATCTATCAATGATAGCAATTGGTGAGGTGCTTTCCCAATATACAGAACTCGACTAAGGAAAAAAAGGTGGGACTATAGGAACCGGACTCTTTATCGGCAGTGGAACAGCTATTGCCTATGCTGGACCTGTGGGTGCCCTCCTCGCTTACATCTTCGTCGGGTCAATCGTATATTCCGTCATGGTCTCACTAGGAGAGGTTGCAACCTTCCTCCCGATCCCCGGTGCATTTACTACATATGCAACACGTCTGGTGGATCCAAGTCTTGGATTTGCCATGGGTTGGATATACTGGTTCTCTTGGGCATCAACATTTGCACTTGAGTTAACTGCCACGGGCATGATTATTCAGTATTGGGAGAACTCCGTTCCAATCGCTGTCTTTATTGCTGTGTTTTGGGTTTTGATAATTGCACTGAATATGATGCCCGTTAGCTACTATGGTGAGACTGAGTTTTGGCTTTCCAGTGTCAAGGTAAGCCGTGGCCATTCTGTCCTTGAAAGGGGATTTAATAGAAACCCTAGCTAACAGTGAGATCTAGGTATTGACCGTGGTTGGTTTCATGATTTTTGCGATCTGTATGAACGCCGGAGTTGGCAAGGAAGGATATATTGGATTCCGATACTGGGTACATCCGGGACCCTTCAACGCATACTTACTCACCAACCCTGACCAGGCTGCGTTGGCAAAGTTCATCGGCTTCTGGGCCGTCTTGATCAAAGCTGGATTCTCATACCAGGGCACGGAACTGGTTGGAATTGCCGCGGGTGAGACGCAGAATCCACGGAAGACAATCCCATCTGCCATTCGCAAAACATTCTTCCGCATCATCTTTTTTTTCATCTTGACGATTTTCTTCATTGGCATCGTTGTACCATCTTCCGATGAACGTCTCACTGGAAGTGAGGGAAGCGGTGCTAGTGCCAACAACGCGAATTCGGCTCCTTTTGTCATCGCTGCGAAGCGTGCTGGTGTCAATGTCCTACCATCACTGATCAATGCCGTATTGTTAACCGTGGTCCTCTCGGCCGCGAATTCGAATGTCTACAGTGGCAGTCGAATTCTGGTTGGTCTCTCTTCCGAAGGGTTCGCTCCTCGCTGTTTTACCAGAACGACCAAGTGGGGAGTACCCTACCTTAGCGTGGGATTCACGGGTCTTTTCGGTCTTTTAGGCTTTTTGAATGTCTCTAATGCAGGCAGCACCGTCTTCAATTGGCTGATGCAAATTGCCGGCCTGGCAGGGTTTATTACCTGGACATCTCTCATTATTTGCCATCTTGCCTTTATGAATGTCTTGAAAGCACACGGGATCTCGCGAGACTCGTTGCCTTACAAGGCATCTTGGCAACCATACTTGTCTTGGTATGGACTATTTTTCAACGTCTTGATCATCATTACTCAGGGCTTTACTTCATTCATCCCAAGTTTCAGTGTGACAGACTTCTTTATAGACTATTTGAGTCTAATCTTGTTTGCTGTGCTGTATATTGGACACAAGTTTATCATGAGACCCTCATTTGTGAATCCGCTCGAGGCGGACATCGACACTGGTCGAGCAGAATTTGGAGATGAAATGTAATATAGTCTCTCAGGTACATAGTAGCGATAAAATCCATCATACTACCGATCGCATCAAATTTCCAATGCTATCAAGAAAATGTAAACAAAGTTTACCCAATTCTCGTATTTTCCCCATCTCTCTCGGAATCCACTTGCCTTTTGTTTTACTGTTAATTTTACCCGCCCCGCGTGATCTCAGGATGATATCTGGCTTATAGTCAAAATAAGGGGTAAGCCTTCGCCACCAGTCAAGATTGCACCATTGCAACGTTCCGGCTTAAAATATACTATATCGTAGTACTGTAGGGCTGAATTGAAACTTTTTGGTGGCGATTATTGACGCAATCTGGGATTTGGATCATGTGAACCCCTTGCACAATATCAGCAGGGCATTCAATTGATTATTTATTCGGAAAATACTTATTTCAGGCTCTTCCTCAGCCCATGGACCCTCAATGTTGTCGGCTACATGATCGAGATCCATGACTGGTAGATCAGTGGCTCGTATATTGCCAACCAGTTAGGTGAAAGTAAGCAACTAGATGTTATCTCTTCGGTTGCATATTTCGAATCCTGCTTTGGACCTAGAATTTTAACATGAAACAATGTTTGGACATATTTGAAGATAGATATTGGGCCTTTGCCGAACCAAGCATATAACTGCCGACGAGTATGAATTCGGCAATTAAATGTTCCCTGTGGCCCCAATCTAATCTTATCGAGTTAAAAGTGCAGCAAAACATACCTTGATAAACGGGGTAGTTTATTAGATTGCAATTGGGTAGGGGTCGGGGTCAAAAGCTTGACAGTTAGTCTTGTGGCGTAGAACCATGTTATCCGGCGTTCAGGAACGCTTAAACTGACAAGATTCTCACGGAAATCCGCCGGGCCAAGAGATGAGAACAGAGAAGTGATTATATGCAGCATGCAAGTCTTGCTGAGAAGGGGAAGGAGGTTAATTTTCCGCTATCAGCTACTATATGTGGCCTAGCCTCTAGGATACCTGGGTCCAATCAGGGTTACACCGCATGCTACGAGATATGGAGGACATCACTCGCTTAGATTGTTATTTTTGCGGATTGCATGAGCAACATTCGCCATATCTTATCTCTATAGCGTGAGGGGAAGACTAGTGCCCTAGAGGTTTTAGCTTATCGCCCTGTCTCCACTATCTCCACCACTCAGCGGAGATTAAGGCTGGAGATTGGCTCTAGATTGTCGAAATTGACGCGTAAGTGTCGCCTTCAACTATCTGGCCCGTGCATGTACTTTGCGGTTCCATGATATAAGACAATGAAGGGCCGGTATGGGGAAATGTACGTCTCGGCCCTTTGACCTTTGCTCTGAGGAACTCGAATTGGGCGAAATGGGTAAATACCGATTTTCAATCAAGCAGACAATTTCTTTGACTGATTTTTGACTAGCATCACAAGATATTGAGGATCACATTGATGAGGGAGCTGGCGTGGTAGAAGTCAGCTCCGAAAGCTCTGAGCTTACACCTTCAACCTCCAACCAAGTCAAAGAAGCACAGGTGACCGAAGGAGAAGTGATCTTTGATTCTTCAGAAGATGAATACCCTGCCCCCTCGGAGGAAGAGAAAGCAACCCTTCGAAAGGTGGCGGGATCCATGCCTCTGGTTTCCTTTTCACTCTGCTTGGTAGAGCTCGCTGAGCGTGCATCATACTATGGCGCTTACACAGTGTTCTCCAACTTTATCGAGTTTCCACTGCCAAAAGGTATGTAGCTTATCTTTATCGTTGTGCAACATTCTTCGATTCTAAATATAACCCCCTAGGTGGTAATGGTGCAGGTGCACCCCCAAGAGGATCGCAAGAGACAGCCGGAGCCCTGGATATGGGCCTTCAAGCAAGTGATGCGCTGGTCCTGTTGTTTGTCTTCCTGGCTTACATTATCCCCATCTTTGGCGGTTGGTGGGCCGATGTCTACGTTGGTCGTTACAAGGCCATCATCGTCGGCGTTCTAGTTTGTGGTGTCGCCCATATCATCCAGATTGTCGGTGCCATCCCATCAGTTCTGGAAAAGGGTAAAAGCAATTCCGCACCACCGTTCATCTTGGGACTCTTGATTTTGGCGGTGGGTGCCGGAATCTTCAAGCCTAATATTGCACCAACTATTCTTGATCAGAACAGACACAAGACAGCCTATGTGAAGACATTGAAGTCTGGAGAGCGGGTCATTGTCGATCCGGAAGCAACCGCTACCCGAACAATGCTTCTATTCTATGGTTTTATCAATGTCGGTGCTTTTTACATGCTTGCCACCACCTACGCTGAGAAGTATGTCGGGTACTGGCTCGCATTCCTGTTGTCAGGACTCATTTACTTCTTACTCCCAATTCTTTTGATTGTTATCTATAAGAGGACTTATAAAGCGCCCCCTAACGGAGGGAAAGAACTCACCCAGGCTTTCAAAATCACAATGGCCGCTCTTCGTGAAAGCAAGTTTCAGGTGTGGCGCAAGGGCTTTTGGGACCGAGTCAAGCCGACGAATCTGCAGGCCAAGGGCGTCACGGTGGAGTGGACTGATGGTGCCGTGGACAAAGTTGCTAAGACCATGGGTAAGTCCACGCAATTGAAAATGTTGTTATCTTACCTGCTGACTTCGATTCTTTTTTAGCTGCATGTGACATATTCTGCTTTATGCCAATCTGGATTCTGAATGACGGAGGCATCGGTTCCGTCTCCACAAACCAAGGTGCATCAATGGTCACGAACGGCGCACCAAACGATCTACTCAGCAATTTCAACGCTATAACAATCATTGTGGCAATCCCCATCTTGACCTATGTGATCTACCCAGCTCTGGACCGTCGCAATATTCGAATTGGCCCAATTAGCCGCATCACGTTTGGATTTGTCTTGGCAACGATTTCTGGTCTTGCCGGTACTCTGGTGCAATGGAAAGTATACAGCCTTTCGCCATGTGGATCATACGCGTCGACTTGCTCGGAAGTTGCAAATATTAGCATCTGGTGGCAGATTCCAAATCTGTCTCTCGGAGCCCTGAGTGAGTGCTTTTGCAACGTCACAGCTTACGAGCTCGCCTATGCTCGGTCTCCCAAGAGCATGAAGGGCTTTGTGATGGCAATCTTCCTTTTCACAAATGCGTTGTCGAGTGCTATAGGCGAGATCCTAGTTCCTGTCACGGTCGACCCCTATTTGACTTGGATTTGGGGAGCTCCTACGGTCGCGTTGGCACTGCAGACTATTGTTTTCTGGTGGAGATTTAGACATTTGGATAACGAGACTTATGTCGCGGATGTTGTTGAAGAGTCATGGATTCCGGAAGAGCGAACCGAGAAGGGCCTCGTGGCTCACACGACAGAAGCCTAGGTGGCTCAACATGATCTTGAATACATGCGCTATATGAAGTCTAAGTGGCAATTATATTGCTTGATTTGGCCATTCTATCATAATATTTGAAATATAGTTTGGCCACTAATATATTGAAAGCTATTTATTGATATAACAATTAGCTCTATGCCCTTCTCCTTGACACGCTCCAGACGTTGGTAGCTCCCGTGGTGGTCAACAATTAGTAGGCACAATGACCCGCTGCTGCCTTGCCTTTTTTACTACAGGCCATCTTCAAGTGACAGATAGTCCGGCTCATGTATGGGAACGATGTATTTGTTTTATGTATTAGGAAGATAGAAAAGTTTATCACTAGTTAATAGCTATGAAATATTCTGGGTATTTTCGATGAAAATATACCATTAGTACTATCTATGGGGGTACAGCTGCTGCTCAAAATATCACTAATCTTGTTTTGGCACATCGCCCCGCCTCCTCCTTCGGAGGCCTAATTATATGCTTAGCTATGCATTCTATGTTGCCTGTACAATCCATGCCCGCAATCCTGCAATTCAAGATATCACTCGACGGAGAGATCCCACATTTCCTTTGAGTATATCAGGCCCCAGACATTTTGAACACAGCAAACTACCACCAAGGTTTCTAGAAAGTATATATAGCAGTAGAGCCACACCAACCTGCTACCAGCACTGTATCGATAACGGGAAGGATTGCATTGGTATACATCGCAATACGGAGGAGCGCCCGCTATTAGATCTCCTTACTGCGTGCCATTCGGATATCGAGTGTCAATTAGGGGGTCTACAGATCGCTAGACCGGGCTATCATTCGGAGTTTACATCGAGTACATATTCATCAGCCAGTGAGTCCATCCAGCGTCTGATCTCTCCCTTATACTTACTCAGTTTACCCTGCGTCGATCATCATGGAGCTTAACCGTCCCACCCGCATTATCAATTCCGCCGCCTTGTCCGAAGCCGTGGAACTCCCCTCCATGTGTTGCCTTCGCAACGTTGTGTGCAACAATGTCCTGTGGTCTACCCGTATCGTATGTACCATGCCCAAAGACAATGGCTCTGCGTTTTGCTGTATATGTGAGCCAGCGGCCAACACCAAGACGCATACTCCCTGCACAGCCTGCGCTTGCGAGAACGACCTCAACACTGCGAGCAGAATCACCCGCCTGCTCCACAGGGGAGGCGACGTAAGTTTTCACTTTTTCTAATCGAGGTTCTTTATATATTTCCATATAATTCCGAATCGCTACTTACCGACTACTTTCGCTGTCTCGCGTTGGAAGAAGAGCTTAAGGTCACTGGGGGCATGATCCGTAACGAGATCCAGGATCTTCTGCGCCCCCACGACCAGTACCGGTCGAACAAGCGCCGTGTGCACTTGACCAAACATCAAGGCTTGCAAATGAAGACACTCAACATTGAATTCTTGACTTCTCCATAATTTACGCAGGACTTGGATCTATTGTTCGGGTTTGTAAATGAACCTGTAGCGTCCACTTCCACAGTGCTGGCTGAATTAAATGACGCCACTTAGCCAACTTAACCCTCGTCGCCATCAAATTGATTTCAAGAGAAACAGATCTGGTCTATATCATGCATAGTGAATACTTTTGAATGGCTGTGAATGAAAATCCGGAGGAAGTCGAATGAGAATCTCATTGTTTCTTCTCTTTTTCTTAAGCTAATGTATATAACGGGAACCAAACGAACCGCAATTCCGTTTGTCGATCTATCATGAAAAGTTACTATAGGGTATAATAAGTCGCCATTTCCTCCTGAAACCAATTATAAGAGTAGAACAGTTGTTCCGCCATTTGCGGATCGATCATGGGCATGGCTCCGCTGGCATCGACTAAAAGAACGTCGTCCAGAACAGGAGCCAATGGAACAGGGGGCATTGGCGGCGGGGCCAATGATATGGATGACTGAGGCGACATGACAGGTTGTGTTTGCTGTTGCTGATGTCTGTGTTGTTCTTCCAACTGCTGTTGTTGATAGGCCATTTGGCTGAAGATCATGGTGCTTTGATGGCGGAACGTCTCAGCAAGTCGGTCAACTCCCGGTCGCCGCTTGCCAAACTCCTCTAAAAGGACAATGACGGCTTGAATTCCACGACGCATCATCTGTTCGTCCGGGTTCCAGGGGGTGGGTCGGCCCTCGCGCAACGAACGAGCGTTCTGTTCAAGACACCACAGAATGGTGATGCCCGCGAAATAGACTTGGCTCAGCGTTAACCAGATCCATTTGAGTTTGCCGATAGAAAAGCTATCCCAATAGGAGCGTATCACTTGGATGCTGGAATCGCCGCAGCTCACGATACTGTTTACTTCGGGGGTGGGGTTGCGTGGACTCGGGCGGTACATAAGAAGAAGGGTGGTATAATACAAGTAGTCGTAGTAGGAAGTGGAATACAGAAGTGCCGAAGGATAAACCGGGGCTGCCATGCGCCAGTCGTCCACTTCGCGGCGGAATTGACCAAGCGTCGCAATAACCTCATGCGAGGGAGGCCGTGGGAGGCTGCTATATACTGCGACCATTAGTATTTGAGCCGGGAATAGGGGGAAAGGAGAGGACTTACAGTATCGATAGATGCGCGAAAAGATCCTCCGGAGACGAATCACCTGCAGCGGAATAGTCATCGGACTGGCACCGGGGGCTTCAAACCCGTCATCATTGAGCTCCCTTGGCAGGCTCACTCCGATATCGTCATCCGCGATTCCCAACGGTCGGCCAAGCGTACTTGCAATGAGACGGTCCAGGTTGTACAAACTCCAGAACGCGCGCTTGGCCATTTCTTCTTCCGCGACGGTATCGTAGGAACGAGGCTTGTGAAGACCGAGGCTAATTGCAAGCCGCATTGTTGATCCCAACACATGCCAAATACTGGGCCCGGACGTAGCGAACATGGTGTAAAGTGCCAGTCCCAGTAGGGCCCGGACGGCGGGCAGGTCCTCATTCTGTAAGGCCGATGGTATAGTCTCCTGGCTCGCATGGTAGAAATCGGCCGCCTCGGTCGAATCGGCGGATCCAATCAGTAAGGAGATAGCAACGATTATATGATAGGTATTGTGCACCTCGGGCGACGGTACGCCCCCGCTATAGATGTGTCGCAAATGACCCATGAACTCCGGGCGCGAGAGAAATGGGTATTGATAACCCATACTATCGAAGTACTGTCCGGTCACCCGCATGGCCTCCTCTAGTGACGACAAGCGCAGCACGCGGGGGGCTGTCGAAGGGCGGGCCACCGAGGGTCGCCGATGCTCCAACTGATCGCGAAAGATCTCGCCCACATTTGGAAGCTCAGTGCCCACACCCGTAGATGTCTCCGACCCATGCCGTGCAGCGGTCGCCGATGAACCCCCACTGCCAGCTGGGCTGGGCATGGAGGCGGCAGTGGCACGACTGCCGGTCGCGATCAAGGCCGGCACCTGGTACCACCAATCCGGATCACCTTCCCCATCCACCGGGGTGCCGGTAGCCAGCTCCGCGACAGCGATGCCAGACTTTCGGCGCACAACCTCCTCCAGCCATTGTACTCTCTTCTGGAGATTCTCCAACTGATCGCGGGGTACAGAAGTAGTCGTCACCTGTGGACCGGGTGGGGGAATCGTGCAGCGGACTCCGGCACGGGTGCATGCGGAGCAATTCGGATAACGAAAGTCGCATTTCTTCTTTCGTTTGCGACAGAAGTCGCATGCCGTGGAGACACGTTTGCTGCGTGAAGTCGGGTTGGAGGCGATTGCAGAAACGGGGTCGGTGGGCTGCACGGTGGCTTGCGACCAAGCTGTCGGGGCAGGCCCGCTCATGGATTCCAGCCGGAACTTGCCCAGCTGGTCACGAAAGTCCTTGTTACCCGAGCTGTTCATGACGGCTCGATCCGTCCATTTCAGATCTCAGCCACCCGGACACATGCAAGGGATCAAAGGGGGTAAAGTGGGGTGGGGGAAAAGATGGAGTTCATCTCCGGGGAAGTTTCTCTTTCGCTTACGGGAAGCCGATTTGCCGAGCAAAAACCGGGGAATTGAACCCTGAAAGGTTCAAACCTTGGAAGTTGTTAAATTAAACATAGAATGCAATACCAAGTATAAAATAAGCGCCAATATCTATAGATCTTCAATTTAGGTACTAATCAGTTCTTATAGCAGTTCTTAAAGAGATAGAGATTTAGCAAACCTAACTCCTACAACCTTGGAACGTATGCTTAAATGGCTACCCTTAAACATAATATACAACCAATGTACTGAATATAGACAGTAAAAGGATGGCAATTCATAGAATAAGAATTTGTTATAATTTCTATTTTATATTATACATCTTCAACTACAGTATCTTCACTGAAAGAGTTGACTTTGAATAGTATGCGAAGTTATTATAGTTCCCTTTGCCGTAACTATTGGTTCAGAGTTAATTTTTGGATGACTAAGCATGCTCAGTCCTCGACTGCTCGGCAAAAGCTTCAATGTAATTTGTAAGCAGAAAATGGCAAGGTGTTCAAATTTCAAGGTATGTTGACCGCGGAATGGTTGATATATTTGAGATTTATGACGATAGTCGTATCTACGAGTAGCTATAAATCAAGTACACATATAATAAGAGAAGATTTTTACATTGCCACTAATCCATTGAGGACGTGGAGGTTCCATGGACCCTGAGTCATGTCAGCCACATGGGAAAGACACGCCCAGGCCGCTTATAAGCGCAATAAATATTTCAGTTTCCTCTAAATTTGAATTTCTCTCTCGCAATTGCAATCATGGCTCAAATGGACTATCACTTTGTGGGAACCCACACTCGCTATTCAAGTAAGCCTAATTGGACGTGAATTGCTGAGCATCGCTAACCAGACTAGGCTGGACGTCAAGGGTGGAGGCCGTCTTGGAGTATTTCCAGATTCCTCATAGCTCCCAGATTATCAAACTATCTGATGTATATATAATTCGACCAATTGCTCAATATCTGGTGCTAACTTGATATTCGCGTAAAGGTGAAGAAAGTCTCTCCAACTGGTCTAGTGCCTTACCTCCAATGCCGCTCAATGGGATCCACCATTATCAGTGATTCGCTAGCAATCTGTGAATTCCTTGCGGAGTCGAATCCCGATCTTGCTCTCTGGCCTCGCGACCGTCAACTCAGAGCGTTGGCCCGCAGCGCTGCCGCCCAGATGCACTCGGGCTTTTCCACTCTGCGAAACCTATATAGCACCAACTTCATCGCTCGCTACACCGGCAACGTGCCGATTCCAGAAGAGGCCGTGAAAGATATCAACCGCATGTTGGCTCTGTGGGATGAAGCTCGCAAGGCTACGAAGGAGCGCCTTGCCATTCTCGGTGAAGCCGACGAAGGTTTCCTGTTTGGAGGATTTAGTATTGCCGATGCATTCTTCTGGCCGGTTCTTTGGGTATGACCTCCTTAGATTGATGATTAAAGATTATACTGACAGAATTAGCGATTCCGAACCTATGGCCTTCCTCTGACATCTGCGACTCAGGACGCTCTTGCGTGGATGGCTACCATGTGGAATGACCCCGCATTCCGGTCCCTGACCGCGAAGTACTACTTGCAGGCCAAGGACCCGGAAACTCGCATTGAGCATTATGATGACATCTACCGTGGTAGTGAGGACATTCACTACGATCAGTTCCCTGAGGACTGGACATTCTCTGCATCTCAGTGAGGACTTTTAGAAATAGGCTCGATCTGTAAGGGCAGGCCTTGAATCAATCAATTACGTTGGATTAGACTATAAAGTAGAATAAGAGATACGATCGACAGCATCACCTTGAAAGAAATCTTTTATGCAGTAACCATAGACATTGCGAAACACTGGATTCTGCATATGTGTAGGTTTCAGGGTCTTCAGGTGGGTCGATCGTCCGTCAGAAATACCACAAATGGCATCCACCCTGCGGCCCCCAACACCGAGCGCGAGCTTATTACTTGAATACAACCATATGTCTGGATCCAATTATGATCCGGTATTGACACATTTTTCCAGTGGGAAAAGATAAATAATCCGAAACACCCCTTTCAAGGGCGCCTCGACACAATAATTAGAACTCCTTAAATCAATACTTCGACAATGATGAACACTGCCCTCTTCTCTCTCATTGCAGTAGGGGCTGCGCATGCCACTTCAGTGGAGCCCCGAGCCAGCGGGATCCAAGGCTTTGATATATCTAGCTACCAGAGCTCTGTGGACTTTTCCGCAGCCTACGATGCCGGTGCTCGATTCGTCATGATCAAGGTGCGCTGAACAGGGTTATCTATATCAACCGTTTCAGACTGACCAAATCTAGGCAACAGAAGGGATAACCGGTATCGATTCGTCCTTTTCAAGCCACTACACCGGTGCCACCGGCGCCGGGTTGATTCGTGGTGGTTACCATTTCGCTCATCCTGACAGCAGCTCTGGCGCAGCTCAGGCCGAATACTTCCTGGCGATGGAGAGACTCTACCTGGCATGGTGGACCTCGAGTATAACCCATCGGGCTCTACTTGCTATGGTCTGAGTGCCGCCAGTATGGTCTCCTGGATCCAGGATTTTGGATCTCCTGGATCCAGGATTTTGGAAAAACTTATGAGAGTAAAACTGGTCGGTACCCCATGATCTACACCACTGCAGATTGGTGGAAGACCTGAACTGGGGACAGCACCACGTTCGGCGAAGACTATCCCTTGGTGCTGGCTCAGTATAGCAGCTCGATTAGTAGTGTTCCTGCAGGATGGTCTTATCAGAGTATCTGGCAGAACGCGGACTCTTATATTTCTGGCGGGGATTCGGATCTGTGGAATGGCAGTGAAGAATCTTTACAGACCTTTGCCAAGGGATCATGAAGTGAGAAATACATTCCGATGCTAGGAATTGACTTTGCGAAATCTATAATGAAATTGTTAATTACTATTGGTCGTATCATTTACCCCTCACCATGATAAGAAGATAACCCCAATCATCGCCGTACCCAGATGACTTCCCTTAAACACCTCTCCACAATGGACGAAATTGACAAAGGCTCACGTACATTAGGCCTCCCAATAGCCTTTCACGGAACAGTCATCCATTCCCGAAGGTTGAACGAGCTCGAAATCTTGGAGAATTGCTTCCTTTTGGTGGACAAAGCCGGCAAAATCCAAACACTACAGGCAGGAGTCGACCCCAACGAGATCAACAGCATAATTTCAGACCTGGGCTACACACCAGATGTCTTCCCGATCAAATACCTGCAACGTGGCCAATTCCTCTGTCCCGGCTTCGTGGACACCCACAACCACGCGCCGCAGTGGACCCAGCGTGGGATCGGTCGTGGAAAGACGCTAATGGAATGGCTGAACAATGTAACCTTTGCACATGAGGCGAAATTCGCGGATGCGGAATACGCCAAGCGTACATATTCATCCTGTGTATCTGGATTCCTTCGACACGGCATCACGACAGCATCATACTATGGATCTTTGCATGGTGAAGCAACCCAGATCCTGGCCGATATCTGCTTGGAGAAGGGCCAGCGTGCCTTAGTTGGAAAGTGCAATATGAATCGCAATTCACCGGAGTGGTATAGGGATGCATCGGTGGAGGATTCGCTGCACCAAACGCAGGAGTTGATTCAGCATATCCAAACTATCGATCCGGACAACAAGCTTGTGCGCCCGATCATCACTCCTCGATTTGCTATCTCCTGTGAACCGGACCTTCTAAGTGGGCTGGGGTCGCTCGCGAAAGAACATCCTGATACACCAATCCAGACCCATTTCAACGAAGCCAAGGGTGAAATGATGCTGACCAAGGAGCTGTTCCCTCAATTTCGCAATGAGGTGGAGCTCTATAAATCCTACGAACTATTGACCGACCGCACGATTCTCGCGCATTGCATTTATCTAGAGGAAGAGGAGATCGAAGCACTTCGCGAGCTTCGTTGTGGTGTCGCACACTGTCCAATTTCGAACACGACCATGGACTTTTTCATGGCAGCGCCAATACGCGAATACCTACGACGGGGCATCAAAGTAGGGCTGGGAACAGACAGTGGAGGCGGTCACTCTGCATCCATGCTGGATAGCATGAGACAGGCATTTGTGGTTTCAATCGCCCGGCAAGACGCTACTGATGGCCAGGACCCTGCACTATCCATGGCTGAAGGGTTCTATCTTGCGACGCTGGGCGGTGCGCAGGTTTGTGGCTTGGATGAGAAGATTGGTAATTTTGCCGTTGGTAAAGAATTCGATGCTCTGGAGGTCCACTGTGACGACAATCTTGGAATCATGACCCCCGTCGAGGATGATGATTCGATTTCCACCATCTTCGAAAAGTGGATCATGACTGGAGATGATAGGAATATTGCCAAGGTCTATGTATGTGGGCGCTCAGTCAAAGTATAGCCGAAATGCAGGGTAAACGTTGGAATGAGAAAATTAGAATAGAACACGTCTTTTATATTCAGATATTATGTATGTGTAAGTAACGAACCTAAGGGTAAACGCCAATCCCTAAATACAGACCTAATGTTCAACTCCAGGAGCCCTTTGGCGGGCCAAAATAGCCTCTGGCAGGAAGGGACTTGTAGGGCGTGCCTTTGCCGTCGGCAGTATTAGAGTATACGGTGTTGCCCCACCAGCTCAGAGAACCAGCTGGCAGGGTGATGCAGAAGAATATGATTACGGTAGATACGGCCACGCCACAGTCAAGCGCAGCGGACAATACATAATCTAGAGGCAATTAGCACAACACAAAGAAGGATCGATAATATGCAACGCACTGTACTTAGACCACCACGCGGGTCTGCGACGTCGAATTAATCCATTGAATATGGCATTGATAACCCACCACGAGGAGAAGCTGACTCCCGTGGCTGGGGGAACTAGGCTCATTGCACCAAATGCAACTGGCCAGGAGAGATAGTTCACGGATTTCCAGCGGCGACCGAGGAGGTAGGTAATTACTACTACCGCCGGCCCCACGAGCAAGAACCAGAGTAAATTACTGTACGTCTGACCGGGAGAAAATAACCGACCAGGACCAACAGCACCTGGTAGATAGTCAGCAAAGATCGTGGAAGGGACGGACGTCTCTTACCCCAGATTAGAGACGAAGAATAAGTCACTCGACCATGAGGACATGTAAAGTTACCCTCGGCATCAGATGTGCAGACCCCATCTATGCGAGTGATCATGAATACGGTCACACCGCACTGAACAATAGCTCCGACCAACGTGGCAAGTCCCTGTGCTACAAAGAGCATGCGTGGAGCAATGTGAAGATAATGTGCCAGTTTCATATCGGCGACAAATCTAATCTAGTTAATGGGCTGACTCAATCACGGCAACCGAGGGGACAACATACTCAAGGCCCTGTTGAATTGCAACATAGCCATAGAATTTAAAGACCATGTTAGCTATGGGTCGTCCAAGGAAAGCATAGCCTCCAATGAATTCTGTGATCAGATTCAACTGGTTGCTGCTGATGTTAGTCAAGGCCTTAATGATTCCCACGGGGAGAAAGTAGACGATAGGTAACAAAAAGGCCACTAGCACAGCCCAGACCGGCAAGCCAGTATGCCACACCTCATTCGTCACAATACTCAGCACGAACATGAGGACCGAAACTGCGGCAAACCACCACCAAGGAACAGCGCGGTACGTGGACATCAGCCGCGCGTGAACATCGCGCTCACCAGTGCCCTTCCACTGCCTCCACAGATCCTTGCCATGGTAGAGTCCAACATGAACGAAAATACCAGTCAGGTTGGCGAACGCAACTCCAAATGTAATCGCATACCCGGCAGGCAAAAACATGGGGGAGTAGTCCCTATAAGCGGCTTGGTCCACCGTTCCATTCTTATCCATAATGCGCGATGTTTGGTAATCTTGACCGGTGTTGTCGAAGGTGTTTGAGTTGAGAAGAGGCAGATAGGCAGAATACCAAGTGTTGGTGTAGTAGAGAATCGGACAGATCAACCAGAAAAATAAGGCAAAGGAGCCCATCACATTCAATCCTGCCCAGAAAGGTACCAGGAGAGGACTCTGATTAGCATAGACTACTTGTGCCCAGTCGAACGTCAGAATAGACATTCCCAGTCCTGTTGTCTGACCAAACAACTGGTTGACTACCACGTTTGACGGCACTATCCAACAGATGAAACTGAAGGTACTGAGGCCGGTGAACAGGTAGCCGGGCGCAAAGTACCAAATCGCCCCGCCAGTGAAGACGAAGAGAAAAAATCTCAAGCGAGTGATCCGCCAGCCATCCGCAACCCTGTTCTCTCTTGAATGGAGGGTAGTCAGAAGCGCTGCGTTGGAGAGCACCTGTGGCCATAGCATTGAAGCTGGTGTAACAAGCCAACGGGTTGCCATACCTGCGACTCCAAAGCCAAAAAGTTGTGTGGTAATGCATAGCAGCACCTCAAACCCCCCATTCGAAGGCATGCCGTAGAATTTGACTATCGCTTCGATGACTTGCGTCGCCTGGGCGGATCCAATGGAGACATTGGCCATGATGGTGATCAGGCCATGCTCTTTAATATTAAAGTGGCGATCAGGGTTGAGTACCCCAAGTGGCATCCATTTGGCCCAGGCACATCCCAAGGGAAACGCTAGCAATTGGGCTACCAATGCACTGATTGTGACGCTCGGTTGTCGCAAGCTAAAGAATTGGTTCAACCCACTTCCCACCTTTGTCCACATTAGCAACGCATTCGGGGAGGCTCGTTCGATTTCGTCAAGCTCACTATAGTGAAGACGATACCGATTGTCCACATTCGAACAGTGTTCACCGGTAGGGAAACGTCGTCGGTGGGTTGGATGACTGCCCGCACCTCGGGAAAGGGTGAATCATCGGCATCGTAGGGTAGGATTTTCTCGGCATCACGGTCGCGTAGGATGGAAATGTCGTCTCCAGAGTCAGGGGATGCCTAGAAGCATATTCAGTTAATCATGATATCTCCTGGCACATTAATCATCCTGTTTCATCAAGCAGATTAGGCTTGACCACTAGGGGCTAATTAAAGCCCAAATGCCCAAGAGGCCACGCGCCACGAGACGCCAAGAGAATCTCTTCATTGCAGTGGGGAATAGCGATCAAGAAGGTTATGTGCATGCAAGGGTACCCATTATAACCCACCTGGGACCAAGAATGTCGCCGACATTTCTCCTCCTCCATCCTGGCTCCCCGGGGAGATCCGGCCGAAGCGGCCCCAGTCAGAAGGACTCAGATGAAGATCCAGAACTCGAAACCCAATCAGGAGCTATTTAACTTGATTCTTCAAGTAAAGAGCATTGAAGGGAAAGGGCGCTAAAGGTCATGGATTTGGTAAGTGATTGGCCCGATCATGTACAGGGATAAAAGAGGGAAATTTGTAATGAATGGAAACACCCGCCTCATCCAATGAACACCAACAATTTCCCCACAAGAAATCGTAAGTCTCAGCTAAATCATAACTTTAATTGAAAATGAACGAGAAAAGTCGTATATAAACCCGTGAACTCAATGGTGATTGTTATCAAAGTGACGACATTTCCAACATCCCAAAGCTTTTAGTTGTCGGAATAACCCGCCATCTTTACTGCTTCCACTCCACTATTCGGCTCGAAGCGCTTGGTTACGATTCAATCAAAAACCTCCAGTCGATTTGTGAAAATGCCTTTGACAAATACATTGGGAGCCCGATTGAAAGTCGAATAAATATACCTTGCATCTTTAATCTGATCAAGCGCGATCTCTATCCTATACATACCTCAAGGTATAGATAGCACTTGATGCAAAGACGCTAAATTACAGCCCCTGGTCAAGCCAAATCGACATTGAATTTTATGCTTATCGCCATGGACACATGCCGTGATCATGACGATATCACCGTGCCCTTTTCACAGCGGACTATTGTGATTCTAGGCGCAGGCATTATCGGATGTGCAACAGCCCGCCAACTACTCCAGTCTGGGTTCTCCGTGACATTGGTTGCCGAACATCTGCCCGGGGATCAAGACATCACCTATGCCTCCGCCTGGGCAGGTGCTGCATGGCACCCCGCAGGTGGAATCAATCCTGAACAGCGATATTACCAAGTTGTGACCCACCGTATCCTACTCAAGATGGCTCAGGACCCATCATCTGGCGTCAGTGTTGTCAATGCACGCGAGTATTTGGAACAGAAACCAGCTCCCGATTCGGCCATCTGGGGGAAAACTGTTGTCGCCAAGGTACTTTTAAAGGTATCCCTTTTCCCAAATATTTCCCCACTGACAGCTTGAATAGTTTCGGGAGATGAGCCGCGATGAGTTCCCCGAGAATTTCTATTGCGGTTGGTCCTATGAGACCTTAGTCACGGATCCCACACTGCATATGCCCTACCTTGGCAAGAAGGTCACCGAGATGGGAGGAAAGTTCATTCGGCAGCGAGTTCAATCTCTTCAAGAACTGTTCGGGATGTTCCCGGAGTCGAAAATCTTCATCAATGCCAGCGGATTGGGCAGTCAGACTCTGACAGATGTTCTGGACGATCGTTGCTTCCCTGAAAGAGGACAGACGGTATTTCTTCGAACTGATAAATGCCATACGATGTACTTCCGCAATGGTCAAGAATATACCTACGTCATTCCACGGCCTTTGTCACACGGGGTTGTGCTGGGAGGTGTGAAGCAACAAGATAATCTGTACTGTCCCCGAACTAGGTCTTTAATGTTTGAAGGATGTACTGACCAATTCCAGGTCCCCAGATGTTGATCTAGAGATTGCACGAGATGAGATCGCTCGTGCGCATCGCCTCGCCCCGGACGTTGTACCCGAACATCCAGCCGATAAGGATATTAGCCATATCATTGGAATTCGACCTTCCCGACGAGGCGGATTTCGTCTCGACTCAGAACAACGAGATGATAGAACCATTCTATCGGCTTATGGATTCGGTGGTGGAGGGTACGCTTTCTCCTATGGAATCGCACATGCGGTAGGGAAGATGGTAGAAAAGGTTGAGTGTGAGAATGTGATTTTGTAGCCTCACGTGGCTACTCAGGGTCACGTTGATGGTCATATTCAATTCCAAATGATTTTTCCCCATTTATAGAAATGTCTGATTTGTCAGAATTTATGAATTTTTTCTAATGCAAAACGTGGTTCATCGCGTGCCCAGCCCTGTGACAAGGTGGAGATGAGACGTCATCGGGATCATCGGCAGATTTATCCTAAATGTATCTTTGAAGATCCAACCCCTAGATCTAGATCTTTTTAGAACCAAAGAAACCTTGGACGAGAATATTTTCATTTCTTCATTTTGCCCTTGTCAAGTCGCCACCGTGCGGCAAACTACGTACGTGGAGTTTTATACGAATCGCGTTTGCACTGAAACCGGGTTAGCGGCTCTGCTTCCCCCGCCGGCGAATTTTGCCGTCCAGTAGGACATTCGCTGCATCGGCTGGCTTGGCCGCTTGTTTCGACGACTTCGGTTCTTTCAAGTTTTGCAAATCCCGAATCTTACCTTTTTTCTCTGCTGGATTTGAATTCCTTTCTCTTTACACACGGGAGTTCAACAACTACCCACAATCCACCTTATCTTTCCTTCTTGACGGAATGCACTGCACTCCACGTGGATGAAATCTATCTCCCCGTTGATCTTTTTCCTGCCCCAGTGGCAGGAAAGTTCACGGCATTATGGTGTTAGACCAACAGATGCTCCACCTGAACCTCGGTGATCGCCGGCCCGTTAGCTACGCGATGATCATGACCCCGCCTGCTGAACAAGACCTACGATCCTTACAGGGAGAATCTCAACAATCCAAGCCGGAAATGGAGGATCGATGGTCGCAGATTTTCCGACTAACGCCGACGCCGACTCTGATTTTAGATGGTTCACTCCGGGTGGTGGGAACTTCGGAGAGCCACCAGACCACATTCCAGCACACCCGGGAACAATTATTGGGAGCTAGCATCTACAAATTGACACCTGGGCTAGTCCCTGCGCCCAATATTGCGTCATTAAGTGGTGTCTTAGGTGCAGCGATCGCGACAAAAGAAGTGAAAGTGATCGATCGTGTTCATGTCGACCACGGGGAGTTTGATTATTCATTGACGGTAACGCCTGTCTTCGACCGCAGCGTATTGGTCAACGTACTCCTCGAGGCGCATAAACAGAAACGGAAAAAGCGCGCATCCAAGCTTAGCGAGACCACTTATCTGAACGAGACCTATAAGATCCTGATCGACACTGTCAAGGATTATGCGATTTTCATGTTGGATACGCGCGGTCATATCGCCACGTGGAATTCCGGAGCCTCCATCCTCAAGGGCTACACGACCGAAGAAATTGTCGGCAAGCATTTTTCCATCTTCTACGGACCCGAGGACTGTCAGTCCAACAAGCCAGCACGGGAATTGGAGGTGTGCTTGCGTGAGGGCAAGGTCGAAGATGAAGGCTGGCGCTACCGAAAAGACGGAGGGCGATTTTGGGCCAACGTGATGATCACAGCCATTTACCAATTCGGCCAACATGTTGGATTTGTGAAAGTGACTCGAGATTTGACAGAGCGCAAGGCGGCGGAGGCGCGCCTGATTGACGCATTTGAAGAATCTTCCAAGATGAAGACCGATTTTTTAGCAAACATGTCACATGAGCTGCGCACTCCGATGAATGGCATGTTTTTGGCCTTGACCATGCTCATGAGGACTTCGCTGGCGGATGATCAGCTGGAGTTTGCGTCCATTTTGGAGGATTCCACCTCCATGCTTCTGCAAGTCATCAATGATGTGTTGGATTATTCGAAATTGTCTTCTGGATCCTTTTCCCTCATCACTGATACTCTGAATGTCCCCAGCGTGATCAATGCGGTCGCCAAGAACTGTCAACCATCGGTGAAGCCCGGTGTCGTTTTGAAAGTCTCGGTCGATTCGGACTTTCCCCAAAGTATCCAAGGTGACCCGCTGCGCTTCCGCCAGATCCTCCAGAATCTCGTCGGCAATGCAGTGAAATTTACTGAAGAAGGCTATGTCCATATTAACGCATCTTATACGAAAGACCCTATCGATCCTCGGTTCTGCACGATCTCTATCCAGGTGGTGGATTCTGGGATTGGAATCCCTGAGGTTGCGACAAACACTCTTTTCACTCCTTTCACACGATTTGCAGATTCGGCATCCAAGCGATACCAAGGCACTGGGTTAGGACTTTCCATTTGTAAAAGCCTAGCGGAGCTCATGAACGGCGCCGTGGGGTTCCACGCAAATCCAGATGGCCCTGGTAGTGTGTTTTGGATGTCTGCAAAGATGGTCCATATCGATACACCAACTAGTCAGAAGAACCATTCAACAGTCAAACCCTTCATACATGATCCGACCGAGGAGCTCAAAAAAATCGCGCCGCAGAAGCAGATTCTCCTTGTGGAAGATAACAAGGTCAATCAAACCATCATGCTCAAGCTGTTATCGACACTGGGCTTTGAGCGAGTTGATGCAGCCTGGGATGGCGCTGAAGCCGTGCGCATGGTAAAGCAAAAGCCCCTCGCCTATAACGTTATTCTGATGGACATCAACATGCCTGTTATGGATGGTCTGGCGGCTACAGAGCAAATTCGGCAGTTGATGATTGATGTTCCGATCATCGCACTCACCGGGAACGCACTCAAAGGAGATGCTGAAATTTATCTTGCAAAGGGCATGAATGACTACCTTGCAAAGCCGCTTCATCGGCAGCAGTTGGTGGATATGCTCTGGCGATGGTGTGGATCTTGATCATGTCTGCCACCCGCGGAAGGCTGACGCCCAAACGCCACATTTTTAGCATGTGGAATCGAGGCACTCGATGCCTTTCTAGCCCCAATCACAAAGCATCCAGCAGTCCAAATCCGCTATTTCACAGTGATAGAACTATGCAGAGTCGAATACTGCTCTCCTCTTCACTTCACCGGACTAGCTTTGCTGCACCCTTTATGCTCATGCTGATTGCCTCAACAATGAAAACTCTTTTCGCGACAAACACTTTCATTGGACGAGAATGGTCTGCGAATTTCCCAGGGCCTCGAGGCACGACCTCAGGTGCAAAACACCCTCCGACCGCTGATCTTGGAGACCCGACCTCCCCGGCCTGGATTGAGCTGCATGCGCTAGTGCATGACCACAATCGCTGATCTCTTTCCCCTCTTTCCAAGAGTTTAATGCTTACGGAAAGGATCAACCATCAAGGTAAAGCAATGCGGGCATTGCTTTCCCTGCCAATCCGGCACCGCTCAATGTCAGGCGCTTTTTATCCCCTGGACTTCACCTCGCAAAGTCCACGACTCATTTCCTTTTGAGATGAAAGTCGATTGCTGGCCTACTATGGTGACATTCATGGATGCAATTGATTTCGCATTGCACGAAAATCATCGGCTTCCTAAGATAAGAGCTGTAATTAATTAGAAATTTACTCCAAATCGAACTGAAAGATTGCACTCTTAGTACCGAACTTTCAAAGTCTGTGCCTTGGTGCGGGGAAATCTCAGGGGCATATCAGGATCGTCATTGGAAGATGATCATTGGCCACGTTGGACGGCAGGGAACTAATAGACGCTTTCCTAATGAGGTTTAGTAAGTTCCCCACTTGATCAAGTGGAGTTGACAAGCCGAACCCTTGCCATGTTTTGGTTTTTTCCTTTAAACTATCCAAGGTTCAGCATGACAGTTGCTTCCACTGGAACTGTTGTTCCGCGGCTACCTTTGAACGATAATGATTCAAATATTGCGTGTAGCATCATGCTAAGATGTTTCTCCCCACTGATAATGCAAAATATGAAGAGAAGATGGTGCAAAGCTAGGTGGTATCGCATGATCTACCAATGAGCTAGCCATCTCCGCTATCTTTGTAGAAGTTGCCGACGGTACTCCGAATCATCTCACATGGCTCACACTTGCATATGAAATTAGAGAATTTAATTCGAAGGTTTATCATGATACTTTCCTGATCCTCCATGATACTTCCAGAAAATCATAAGTTGTACTTAGAAGTAAACATCGGCTCACCCCGCCTTTCCTCCTTTGAAGCCTCAGCAATCCTCGATCTACCGTAGAACTTTCCCTCCCTTATCTCCAACCCCACAGATTTGGCTGTATTCGGAGCAAATGCCTCATTGTAGGTCCACAAAAACGCCGATCGTAGTTCAACCAAGTAGTCAACCATTGCGCTTGCCATCCTAGACACTCAATATTGGGTTTGTCCTAAGATAATTTGGGAAGGCGCGATGGAGTCTCCATAGACCCCCAAGGTCCTGCAGGACGTATAAAGTTCCCTGTACCACCGTGTATGGTTTGAGTACTCGAATACAGTATGAAGTCTTCCTTTTTGTTTCTAGGAGCCGCTGCAGTTGGTGTCCTAGCAGTCCCCGCACCTTATGGCCATGCCGTGCATGAACGACGAGACTTTGTCCCAACCTCCTGGACCGAGGGGAAACGTCTGGATGCATCAGCCTCGCTTCCTGTTCGGATTGGATTGACCCAATCGAACTTGGAATATGGACATGAACTTCTCATGGAGATGTATGTGCTGTATTGAATTCCTCTTTACAATCAACTGACATCCACTTGCTAGGTCCAATCCGTCCTCGAGCCGCTATGGAAACCATATGTCGGAATCAGAGGTGCATGATCTGTTTGCGCCGACTAACGAGAGCGTGGATAATGTCCGTTCGTGGCTGGAGTCATTTGGTATTGCCAAGGACCGGATCTCACAATCAGTCAACAAACAATGGATCCAGTTTGATGCTGGTGCCGATGAGTTGGAACGGCTGCTTCACACTGAGTACTATATTTATTCTCATGCCGAAACTGGGCGGTCACACGTGGCATGTCGCGAGTAAGTTCAACTGTCGTGAACTAAATGGTTGACTCGTTTCTGACTCCATCAGGTATCATGTTCCTCACTCGGTGCGTGATCACATTGACTACATCACCCCCGGTATCACCCTGCGAGAGGTGTCAGGTGTTGGCCGGCCCAGTAGCAAAATGCAAAAGCGTTCTTTGAATGGTCTGCTACCGATCCTGGAACCAATCCTGAAGCCTATTGAGGAGATTCTGGACGACGTTCTGCAATTCTGTGACCTTGCCGTCACACCTCTGTGTATCAAGGGTAAGAACTATTCCGCATTGCTCACAACATCAACTGACGATGATAGAAATGTACAATATCACTGCCGGAACGACTGCTACAAAGGGAAATGAATTGGGGATCTTTGAATCCATTGGCGATGTCTACGCTCAGGGGGATTTGGATCTGTTTTTCACCACCCTAGCCAGGTTTGTTCTATTACATATTTTTTTGAAATTCGATGGTAACTGAATCATCTGCAGTAACATTCCCATTGGGACCCATCCAACCTTGAAAGGAATTGATGGAGGTGAGGCACCGACGTCGCTCCTGAATGCTGGCGCTGAATCTGATCTCGACTTCCAAATTTCTTACCCGATTATCTGGCCCCAGAACTCCCTTCTGTTCCAGACGGACGACATGGTCTATGAGAACAACTACACATTCAAGGGTTTCCTCAACACATTCTTGGATGCTATCGATGGCTCGTACTGCAATGAAATCTCTCCCCTGGATCCCTCTTATCCGGATGACCAGGAAGGTGGCTACAAGGGAGCCTTGCAGTGCGGTGTTTACGAGCCGCCGAATGTCGTTTCGATCTCCTACGGTATGGCAGAGGCCGATCTTCCTATCGCTTACCAGCGTCGCCAGTGCAATGAATTCATGAAGCTTGGCATGCGAGGTGTCTCCGTGGTAGTCGCGTCCGGTGACTCGGGGGTAGCAGGACGCAATGGCGACCCTACACCGAGTAACTGCCTGGGCAATTCAAACGACATCTTCGTTCCCGACTTCCCGGCCTCTTGCCCCTACATGACCGCAGTCGGGGCAACCTTTCTTCCACCCGGTGCGAATGTCCAAGACCACGGCGAGGTTGCAGTATCTCGCTTCCCATCGGGTGGTGGCTTTAGTAATATCTACGAGCGTCCCAGCTGGCAGTCTCAGGCCGTGACCGATTATTTTACCAAGGCCGATCCAACATACCCGTACTACGAGAGTGTCAACAATAACAGCTTTGGCGCGAATGGTGGTATCTATAACCGAATTGGCCGTGGCTACCCGGATGTCTCTGCCGTGGGCGATAATGTTGTCATCTATAACAAAGGCATACCAACCTCCATTGGCGGCACGTCAGCTTCAGCACCTGTCTTCGCCTCAATTCTTACCCGCATCAATGAGGAGAGATTGGCCGCTGGAAAGTCCACCGTCGGTTTCGTGAACCCTACACTGTATGCGAACCCAGGTGCCTTTTTCGATATCACTTCGGGTAACAACTCTGGTTGTGGAACTCCTGGCTTTTATGCCGCCGAGGGCTGGGATCCTGTGACTGGACTCGGTTCTCCAAATTACCCGGCGTTATTGAAGGTGTTCATGGATCAGTAGGTGCTTGCAGGGCTGGTTTTTGCCTTCGGGATCGAATTTGTTTCAATCTGTGCATGATGACGCTCCACTTGAGCCAAATATATTACCATGTTTCTATAAATCACATTCATTATATACGTCCGATGACACAGACAGTATGAAGGACAAAGGCAATCGAATTAGTGATATGTAGATGTTAGCCATTATGCCACCCTTTCAATCAGAATTTGAAAAGAGGAAACTGAATAATGCTGTGTTAGAATATCAAGTGATCGCCTACTGGGGTGATTCCTCAAGCCTGGAGCTAGAAAATATTAGTGCTAGCATTTGAGGCCTTGAGCTCACTCTTCAGGAGACTCATATGCAATTGGCTATATGGCACTTCACACTGAACATGGCAAAGTCATCATATTTTGAAACTTGAATGGGTATATAGTCGCAGCAAAAGCGACAGAAAAAAATTCAGTTATTCAACCGAAATCTGACCGCTAGGCCATGGGATCGATCAAGGATTCTGAATGAATTGGTCGCTGATGTGTGCTGAAGACTGGTCCAGCATCCAGTTCATGATAAACAGGGATCGGACTAGCGGGGTAGGCTGCTTCGTAGATCGAGCGACCGTCCAACAACGCCGGCGCCGGTCCCACTGGCTTACGAGGAACCTTCGGTGATACGTCTCCTGATATAATGGGTTGATATTGTGGCGGGGATGGTTTCTCGTCCTTGCATACTGGTGGTGATAAGGCAGCGGTCTTGGAAGTCCGGCGTCGACGTGCACGACGTTGCCGAATGATCCACCACATGAGAAGTAGGATGAGAAGGACAGCGATAATGACACCGACCGCGATGCCTCCCTTGGCACCTGCACTGAGGGAATATCCACTACTGGCGGAGCAGGAATAACCACTCTCAAACACATCAGATAAGCTGTTCAATGCAGTGCATAACATGGAACTGCCACCTCGAATGATGGTCTGCCTTTTGACCTGGTCGAGCGATGGCAGTGACACCCTAAATCTGTATTAGATCCACATAGATCTCAACTCCCACTGGTACTCACGAGCTGAACGATCCGGTCAATTTGAGTTCTCCATCGACTTCCTCCAAATTTTGGAATTCCAGATACTTGAGTTCAGCGTTTCCTGTAATGGTGACTGCGGAGGATACTTCAGAGAGCGAATTCATGGAAAGATTGCTGAGCGAACTCATGCCATCCACAGTCAAAGCTCCTTGAATCGTCTCAAGATTTGGGGCGGCGAGTGTCGTGACCTTCGAGGCTCCTTCTGCTATAAAGGATCCTTTGATCTCAGTGACATTGTACAGAACAATGGAGCCACTGGCAGATGATGAGATGGTGATGCTGCCATCTATCTGATCGCAGTGGGCATATGTATTTGCATCACTTTGGCTGGAGATCGTTGCACTATTTGAGCCTGGCGGACAGTCAGCGAAATTAATTTCTCATGAGCTTAAAATTCTGTTACTGTACAGGAATCTGAATTTGCGCCGATTACCTGCGAGAAGGTAACCAGCAGCAAGATGAATAGAAAATGCATTGATGCAGTTTTCTACACCTGCCGTTGCTGTCACTGTTTTGAATTTGAATTTGAATTTTTTTTCGTGCGTGGGGGCGCTCCACCACAGATATAAAGCGAACATGGTGCATGGTGCATGGCGGCGCAGTCAGTCTTTCCATGATTCTTGCATTGGCACTGAAGCTCCCCCAGCCCACAGGAAATTCAGAGAGTCGGCGTCGGACTCTGGTGGGGTTGATGCATGGAGAGGAAACAAATTATCCAACCAGAGAGATTAAAAACATCTCCGAGGTCCACTTAAACTCGGTTTTTTTACTTGGTTGAGTGGCTGTTTGTTGATTGAACATTTTACCGTTGATTTGTACAAGCTCGGTTAGACCAGAATGTCCGCAGTTCTATTTTTTGCATAGGCAGCAGAATTGCATCAACCTATGAGTTGCCAAGGTCGCGTAAGTTAGGTAGAATAGTTCCGTAATCACCTTGGCATAATATGTGACATAATTCCAACCATTTGGTGATTCAATTGATCAATCATGATGCTAGTCCCAGAGTGAACATGGGCTCGAGATGAGTCAGCATGCGGGGAAAAGTAACAATCGGGCATCAACCTTATACATTTCCCTTACCACCTTCATGAGAGTAGGTAAGGGTTGTGGCCGGTGTCGCAATCGCCATATTCGCTGCGTAATTCCCTCAGGATCGTCAGCCTGTGTCTCCTGTACTCGTCTCGGTCGCGCATGTCACCTCGACCCTCGCTTCCAATTCAAGGCCGTTCACCATGTTTACCAGAAAGGTCAAGGCTCGCATACTCGCTTCGATTTGATTTGGGATGACGAACAAGTGTGGGTGGATGTGTCAAAGCCCGGTAGGCTCTGATATTTGGGTGGATTTTGCTCCCGAAACTAAGTTATACATGACAGTGACATTCATCCTCGAGGGCGATGAATCGAATGAAAGCGGAGGATCCGAAGCCGCTAGAGAAACGTCTCCGACACCCTCTTGGTCACTGCAACAGCATCTGCTTGCAGATACTGATATGGTGGAAGAACAGCCAGTAGTCAGCCCTTTGTTGCAGGAGGCGAGTCGGCAGGAGAATCCACTCAGTGCCAGCCCTCGGTCATGTGTGCGACATCCAGGGTCTGCTTTGTCTCTCAGAGAAGCGTCTCTTATGCGGTGCTTTATTCAAAAAATTGCCCCCTGGGTAAGGCTCCGACGTTTCCATCTGCGAACATCTGAGCTAATCGATCCAAACAGGCGGATATTTGTGATCCCCAAAGCCACTTCAGCACCCTAGTGCCTCAGCGAGCCCTACAGGTACCCATGGTGTTGAAATCCGTCTTGGCACTGGCTGCTCGACATGATGCCATTATGACAGGGAAGAGCGACTGGGAGGCCTCCTCCTATCTTGGACAGTGCCTAGAGTTACTGATCCCGGCCTTGGACAATCCCGAGCGAACCTATGATGAGAACCTGCTGGTCACAGTAGTTATCCTTCGAATCTGTGAAGAGCTAGAAAGCAGAGATGAAAAGTTTCACCTCCTTGGGTCCAATCGTTTAATCAACCTGATGTCTCGCTCGGCATCGTCTGGTGGTCTAGCAGAAGCTGTGAGTTGGCAGTTTTTACGACAGGCTATTTATGCATCCACTGTGCAGTGTCAGCCACTGCAGCTGAACTTGCACAACTATGAGTCCTCGGCCATGTTCCAACGGAATGACGATGCGGCTATTGCCAACATGATTGTTTTCCATTGCGCTCATATCATCCAGCTCTGCCGCGATGGGCCTAGGCTACCGGTCAACGCGACCACCTGGCATCAAATCTCTGATTCGGTTGAAGAGTGGTATCGCTCAAAGCCCCCGACTTGGCAACCACTCCGATACCAACCTCAAAACGCGGCTGCCGACCGGCCATTTCCTGAAATATGGATGATGTCAGGCCCTGCAGGTGTGTATTATTAGTCAGGTCGAAACACAGACAACTGATTATTACTCAGTGGTCGGAATGCAATACTATCACGCGGCAATCATTTTCTTAACTTTGTCAAATCCTTATTCAGAACCCATGAGCGACTTTGAGCTAGCTCGGAACAGACGTCTGGCCGAGGTACGGCATTCCCACTCGTTGAAAGGCTCGTGGCTTACATAAATCTTCTAGCGAACAATCGCTGGTCACATACTGACAGTTGTGGGGCTGTCCAGATCAAATGAGAGTGTGGAAAATGCGTACTTCATGGCCAGCCACTTGCTGCATCGCTGTTCGTTCTCACCCCAACTCCATTTGTCCAAAGACTAATCATTTGATGCTTGGAACCCTGCAGTCGGATATTGTCTTCAACATCCAGCCGAGCAACAAGGATCATTGCAATTTCTTAGCCGGGTTGAACAGGTGATAGGATGGCGCACAGCGTGGATTAGAGAGCAGCTCGAGCGACAGTGGGCTGAGCTGGCTGAAGTGGATTCAATCCATCGCTGAATTCCGTCAAGGTTGCACCTTAAATATGTTTAGTATCCTGTAGTTTCATATCTACATCCCGAGGTCCATGTAGGTAGGTAAAGGGTCTGCGCTGTATGGGCAATTATACAAGTCGAATACTCGGGCATTAACGTCTGCCCAGGTACCGCGGAGATATATTTTGTTGCAGTCAAACGTCTATGGATGTTCTAGATGTACTCAAGCTATAGATGACGTGTAGGATCACGCCTTAATGTTATTTCTCTACTTTTGCTTTAACCTTCCAAGGTTGTAAAAATTAGGGGAGCTAAAAACTAAGTCCTCAAATATGGTGTCTGTTAGAATCAAAGGAGCAGTACATTAAGCGCGGAGTAATGACTATCTCCATCTACTATGATGATTGCCCGATATTTTGAGAGAGGCATATGAACCATAGATTGTCAAGTATTAAATGCCGTTGCCCACAAAAAGGTATTCAAATACGTGGATGTGATGGGGTTTTCATTTGAAATTTCAAATTCAAAATATTTTTATTTTTCGTGAATCAAAAAATCGAAGCTCTAACAAGAGAGCTGAAGCAAAAGGATGGACTCGCGGGGAATCGAACCCCGGACCACTCCCATGCTAAGGGAGTATTATACCACTAAACCACAAGCCCATTGCACGTGACAGATAGCCTGCTTTGATGGCATATATACTAAAACTTCATGGACCCGATGAAGCCAGGAAGAGGGAGACGAAGGAGAAGAGAACATTTGTGTTCTTGCACGATGAGTCATTTTTTTTCCCGCAAGGTTCAACACGAGAATGTCACTTAACTCAAGACTTATCATTTTACGCACTTGCTCGATTGGTAGACTGCCGCTCAAGCCGCTCTGAGGTATTCAAAGTTGACCCATGAAATCCTAATCTCCGCCAAGTGGAAACTCATTTGCGCTCTTTAGCATGTCAGCGCTATCTTTCGGAATAATCGGCAGAGATAAAGGGAGTGTGCGAGGTGGGGTGAACGCCAGCAGATAAAGCTTGTCATGCGTGGCTGACCCCTGGCATGCACCCCCCCATACTCCTGTCTTTCCAAAGTTGTCGTCTGCCTCATTGGTAACCTTGATCAGGCGAGCGCTGATAAACGTACAGGATCTGGTTTCTTGCCCGTCTTGGGTGGCATGGCACATGGCCCGGTCGCATGGACATATGAAGTGTTACATCGCGGGCTTATTTGATTGGATGACGAGCGATGGATTGGGTGATAAGTGATGGTTCCTACAGCTGCCGCCGAGCTAAGGACCCTTTCTTGCTCGATCCGTGCCTTAAGTGGCTGATCGCCTCCCGCTACTGACTTCTTAATCTTAAGTCTTCAATCTCTTTGGTACCACCGTGGTCCGAGTTACATCCCACGATCTGCGTACCATTACATGGCAAGTCCAGGTCGTCAGAGTTGATGCAACACACGAACTCTGAGGGTCTATCAAGCGCCCAAAGGCAAAGCATATCTCCGAGGCATCCATCTTGATGAGGGGATTTATGTGCAATCGCAGATGACAATGTCACTTGTCTCCGACATTCCTGAAAATTCCCGGCGCCGATTGGACAGCAACAATTCCAACCATAAGCCTTTTCGAACCGACACAAAGGATAGCATGCCAGTCCAGAACGTTGTTCATGCACTGCTACACATTCCAACGACCACGCTTTTGGCGGCAGACCTCGGGGGTCAATCGTCCCAATCGATAGAGATAAACCAAATACCCCTACGCCAAATCAAAAATGTGGCGCTCCCTAGTTCCCTGCTGAAACTCTTGTGACGAACTAACCCATTATCCCCAATGCTCCTGCCCATGCGCCAATAACGATCAACTTCAAAATCGTGAGCTTTGACGGTCATCATCGATCACACCCCAGACGGCCTGGAATAGACACCTCGGAAATTATGAAGGACACTTTCCATGTGCAGTTGCCTTGCAGGGTGTCGTCCGGGTCTGCGGGTATGAGGGAAAGTGTCGGGCGCTGGGTGTATTTCAGTTCCCCGAAGACAAAATGGTCAGCGGATGTTAGACTGCCACTTTTGTCCCAATACAAATACTTAAGGGCATCCCTTTTCCAGATCCATTATTTGTCACTGGAACGACGAAGACATTTATTCGATAACCCTCAACACTACCTTCATGATGAAAATTATTCTTTCTTTTATCCTGGCTATGGCAGGGCTTATGAACGCTGCAGCCATTCCTTCACTGGAAAAGGAATTGGAAGCTCGCGGTGATGCTACTGGCTATCGTTCCGTAGCTTACTACGTGAACTGGGTGAGTGTCCTCTATTTCGATTTATTATCTCATATTAGTTCGGTCTATTGATAACCCAAACCAGGCTATTTATGGCCGAAACTACCAGCCTCAAAGCCTCCCAGCTGACAAGCTCACCCACGTCCTGTATGCATTTGCAAATGTCCACTCGGATACAGGAGAGGTCTATCTGTCAGATACCTATGCGGATACTGACAAACATTACTCTACGGATTCCTGGAACGATGTCGGCACCAATGTCTACGGCTGCGTCAAACAACTTTACTTGCTCAAGAAAGCGAACAGGAAATTGAAGGTGCTTCTGTCAATTGGTGGCTGGACTTATTCCGCTAACTTTGCTGGACCACTCGCTACCGATGCTGGAAGGGCTCTCTTTGCTTCATCCGCTGTACAGCTTGTGCAAGATCTAGGCTTTGATGGCTTAGATATCGATTGGGAGGTATATAATTATTACCATGCTTCCTATGCATGCAAAGAATACATGATACTGATATCCTTCAATAGTATCCCTCCAATGCATCGCAAGCTGCTAATATGGTATCGTTGCTTGAGGTCGTGCGCTCGGTATGATCTCTTCTTTATAATGATCAGAGACAGATTTAGCTAACATAATTCAGGGTCTGGATACCTATAGTACAAAATACGCTCCCGGTCATCATCTGTTATTGACTGTCGCTTCTCCGGCTGGTTAGTGCAATCTATATGATATTCACTGAAAAGACTTGACCTAACATACACAGGTCCCACCAACTATGAGCCACTTCTTCTAGCTCAGATGGACCAGTACCTTGACTTCTGGAACCTCATGGCATACGACTACTCTGGCAGCTGGGATACAATTGCTGGCGATGACGCAAATGTCTACGCTTCCACTGACAACCCCGCAAGCACACCATTCAACACAGATCAGGCTATCACTTACTACACCGCCAACGGAGTCGCTGCAAACAAGATTGTCATGGGCATGCCACTTTACGGGCGATCCTTCACAAACACAGACGGACTGGGTCAAAGCTTCAGTGGCGTCGGCAGTGGTAGCTGGGAAGATGGGGTTTGGGACTACAAGGCGTTGCCTCAGACTGGCGCGACAGTTTACGAACTAGATCAGCCTGTTGCGAGCTACAGCTATGACTCCTCTGCTCGTACGCTTATCAGTTACGATACCCCTGCGATCGCTCAACTGAAGGCCCAGTACATTATGAAAAAGGGTCTGGGTGGTGGTATGTGGTGGGAGAGTAGCGCCGATAAGAACGGCACTGACAGCCTGATTACAACGGTATGTCTAAATTATATCATCTATATTGGCAAATATTTACTAAAATAATCTCAGGTCGTTACCGCGTTTGGAGGTGTCGCCGCTCTGGACCAGAGCCAGAACCAGCTCAGCTACAACGGTTCCAAGTACGCAAACATGGTTGCTGGATTTCCATCCGGCTAGATGTGTTTGTTCAGTAGCATTGTGTGTTTATTTCTGTGCATTGTTTGGGCATCATATTGGACGTCGGGTATTCTTCGCAATTGACTTGATGACTGGAATCTACTTTGGATACTCGCTGTGATTTATCAACTTCATTCACGGATAGCGATTTCAATGAACTTCAAGAGTATTATTACCTTATTTTCGATCTGCTAACAGATAATTAAACCGGTGTGTGTGGTTTAAGGTCTAGGAGCTAAGCCCCAAGTTCAAAGTGACTATGGTTATAAGAATCAAAAAGGCTTGAAGGAACCCATATTTGCATCATCAAAGAAAATGATGTGACATTTTATCTATACCCTTGTCTCCAACTACCTACAGAGTAGTGACCGGCTGAGCGGGTTTGCCAATGTGAAATATGCCTTAAGTTAGTAGTTAGTATTTATCTCAACAAAAGGTGTTAGACCCCAAAGACTGCAATTCCCTGCTCTATTCTCCACATACGCTAGGTTTCTCAGGCTTTTGAATATAGCAGCTTAGTCGACGTAGCACATGAGAAAGCTAATGTACGCTGCACTTTATATGTCCGGCACATTCGAAATACTGTTAGAATTTATGGCCCATTTCTCTTACATTGATGAAGAATTAAAATAAATCAAATTAAGAGTTATATTAGTATCTCCATTCTGCTTATCCTCTTTAGCTTTAGAGCATTTGAATGCCTTATCAAGTTAGCGCTACTGCATGAGGCCACGTAATAGTTCCGCCACTTGGTTCATTAGTACGCCTTCAGTACAAGCCCCATCTTTTGCGAAGCCTACTGTTGTAATAGTATGATTGTCTCTGGGGTGGTCTATTCATTATAGTTGAATGGATTAATGTAAAATTGATGGATATCCGTTCTGAAAGCCGCTGAAACTCAACAGGGTATTCTCGGCAAAAGTATGAGCATATAGAAAGTATGTGAATCAATGTTATGAGTGGTTAGGTCAGACTTAAATAGGACTAAATAGAGAGAGGCGCTGCATCAGGACACATGATACCGTGCATTCCGACAGGTTCAAGTCTTTTGGTTGATTAAATTTTACATATTCATGCTTTTTAATGAGGGTCTAACAGGTCAACAGCATAAGAGGGATACTATGGAGGAAAATTTCAATCAGAATTTGAACTTGAGTATTCGAAGCAGACCCCCTGAAATAAAGATGGTGAATATGGTTTGAATAGCGTCCTCTGTTGATTGTAAAGGATTTGACATGTGTCCTTCTCCACCCAATGTTCCGAGCACGTGCATATCCTTGTCTTCTCGTAGTATCCTGAGTCTAGTCGGAGAATAATTATAGTCTGGTTGTGTCAAAGATTCTTTCTGAATCCTCGGGCCGAGCCGGGATCCTTGATTTGAAAAAGTGGGTCGAATTTTTGACTCTTATAGACCTTATGTTTTGCCATGGTCTGAGAGATGGTCATAGAGTTCTGAGTTAGTGAGTTATTTGATTGGGTGAAGTCGGTACACTGTCACCAAAATTAACAAGCATACGTCTTGTCATAGCTAGCAGGGATAGTATAATGGAGATCAAACTGCAGATAGAAGTCAATAAGTTGGGCTTGTGATAATTTATTGATAGCCGAAAAAGCCGCTTTGAAGATTGCTTGCGTGAGAAATAGATATCAGCCGTCTTGGCGCTGCAAGTTTCCAAAAGAGGAAAGACTATAAATATAGGATGGGCACCAAAAACACAGATTTGTATCGGCTGTAAGACGGAGAAAGAGGTGAGAGAGAGTATCCGGTTCATAGGAATTATGCCCCTAGGGATGGATATAATTCTAGACAGGATGAGAATACTGCTTTACTGCAAAATACTACATGTATAAGCCCGATCCCAAGACTCCAGGCGATCCAATGTTAAATATTTGGACTATCGGTTCCTACACCCAAGTGTCTTTTCCAATCTTTTTTGTTTTCTCCACTTCAAATTCCAATCTAAGATGATAAATATTACGGGTGATGAGTTAATACAACAAGCCGGCCAGGTCACCAGATCTGAATACGAAGAACTGTTGACCGAATTCTTTGCGGCAATTCCCTATCAGAACGATCTTCCTGAGATTGACCCGTCCGTGGAGGAGGAGATCGCACGCCATTGTCTCAACACTGAGCTCACCGAAAAGAGAGCAAAAGCGTGCTCAAATGTTGGTGCCGGGGCAGCAGAGTGGTTTTATCCAACACACAAGAGAGAAACCAGAGTTGCTATTGGCATATATACTGCTCTCTGTGTCGCTGTCGATGATTTCTGTGGCGAACACCTCCAGGAAGTTCAAAACTTTCGGCTCAACATGGTGGCTAGGAAACCACAAGTAAAGTTTCTCGAGGCCTTAAGCAGACTTTTGTCTTCATTGGATGAGCATTACGAACCTTTTTGTTCCGATAAGATCATTACAACCTCAATTAATTATATGGGGGCTTGTGTCTTGGAACATCACACGACGGGGAAGTTCGAGGCCTTGAAGACAGCTTCTATGTTTCCTCATTACTTGCGACTGATGACTGGCATTCCTGAGGCTTACGTGTTTTTCATTTTGCATAAGCATATTTACAATTTGGATTCATTGACGCCTTTTATCCAAGCTTTGCCAGACCTTGTGGAGTTCACTAATGGCATCAATGATTTGTTGTCCTTTTACAAGGAGTCTATCGTGGGAGTTGAAAGGAACAACTATGTGTACCTTCAAGCCATGGCGCAACAGGATACCGCGCTAAGCGTGTTGCACAAGATTGCCGGGGACGTCCAGGATTATATCAGGAAAGTGAAATCAACACTTGAAGCCAACGGTGACTTGTTAGAAGTGGTGGATGCATATATTAAAGGCAACATTGTCTTTCACATACGTCTGGCTCGTTACAGGCTTTCCGAACTTTCCATTCCTTCGCTGGCAATGCCGATTAATTGAGTCTACGTGGCTTGATAGATACAGCTGTTTTCACCTTGCTTTGTTTTTTATTTCGTTGCGGGAGACGACCATAATTTGACCATAACATTTTTGCCCACTCTTTGCTCTGCTTTTTATTCAAATGTTGAATTTCTTGCCTTTTCGCGTCTGTTTTTCAAATTTATCTTGACAAATTTCGTCCCCGTCTAGGTATACATATCTAGCACATCACGTAATAATGTCTTTCAATATGATTCAATACTTGAAACTGAACGAGGTCGGAAACGGACTTGTTTAAGACAAGGGGTTGAGAAAGGCTCTACAGCAAAGTGGTGAAACTGATATTAATCCATGTATGGATGAGGTCTTGGTGGGGGTGTGGGGTGGGACCGCGCTATTCTCTGTAATTGGGTGAGATTCGTGCAATCAGCAACTACGAAATGATACATCAACAGGGAACGTCCAACAAGGTTGTTTGCTCTGAAATCTACTGACTAATCTCATAAGGCTTGTGATTGGGAATCTTCTTGCATAAATACCCCTCTTTGCCCATAATCCATCCAAATATCATTTCATTCCCTCAAAATCCCCTCAAGATCAAGAATTTTGACAATCATGACTATTGAATCTTGGCAGACTTTGGTTCAGAAGAAGCAAGATGAAGCTGCTGCTAAAATCCCGGCTGCCTGGTGTCTGTCTTCTGAGTATACCAACATTTCGGAGACAGCTAACACCAACGTCATCGATGTTCCACGTCGCTGTGGCATCCTGTCGCCGAAACAGCTCGAGATCACCGAGAATTATGATGCGACAGCTCTTCTAGAACTGCTTCATAGTCAGAAGCTATCCGCTTATGAAGTCACCGAGGCGTTCTGTATTCGTGCAGCTATTGCGCAGCAGGTGGTATGTCTCACGGCCTTGGTAGATATGCCTGTGGACACTTCAATAGCTGATCATGTCATTTAGACACACTGTCTTACAGAGACTTTTTTTGATCAAGCTCTGCAGCGTGCAAAAGAGTTGGATGAGCACCTACAGAGCACTGGAAAACCAATCGGGCCACTCCATGGCCTACCGATTAGTTTCAAGGTAATGAAAGGTTTCCCATAATTATTTAATCACCTAGCTAATTCGGTGATTAGGATTGCTTTAACATTGAGGGAATTCCTTCGACCATTGGTTTCACAGCATTCATTGAACATGGCCCTCTGAAGTACAGCTCGGGTACTGTCCAGATTCTAACAAAGCTGGGAGCCATTCCGTACGTGAAAACAAATATCCCACAAACCATGATGGTACGTCTCGGTTCAGATATGATTGTATTCTTAACTAATGCTCACTCATAATGACAGGCTGCTGACTCGCACAACTACGTTTTTGGCCGAACTCTCAATCCGCATCGCCTGAGCCTCACAGCTGGTGGATCATCCGGTGGTGAAGGTGCTTTGATCGCGATGCGAGGATCGTTATTGGGCATTGGCACTGACATAGCCGGTTCAATCCGAATTCCCGCTATTTGCAACGGCACTTTTGCTCTCAAGCCTACCTCTGATCGCATTCCCTACGGTGGACAGACTGGAACTTCGCGAGGCGGTCTAATGGGAATCAAACCATGTGCTGGTCCATTGGCAACCTCTGTTCGGGACCTGGAGCTGCTTATGCGGGTCATGACCAATGAAGACCCTTGGCAGGTCGATGCATCTGTAAACTTCGCCCCATGGCGTACTGTGACGGCCAAATCGACACTTCGGCTGGGTCTGATTCAAGAGGATCCCCATTTCCTGCTTCATCCACCCGTTCTGCGGACTCTGACCCAGGCGACGGAACGATTGAAACAAGCCGGACATGAGATTGTTCCGCTGTCTACCTCATCTATCCGAGATGCATGTGCATTGGCATTCCGCATGTTTGCCATGGACCCAGCTCAAACCGCGTTCCAACATATCGCTAAAAGTGGAGAGCCCACCATCCCGGCACTGTCTTCAACTAATCTCCCCCACGAATACATGCCATACGAGTATGCACCTCTGACTCTTGAAGGCCTGTATGACTTGAACGAGCAGCGAAATAACTTGAAAGATGAATTTCGCGCTCTGATCACAAAGCAAAATATCGACGCAATCATCATGCCAGGCTATCAAGGAACCGCTCAAGCCCACGATCTATATGGGTTCCCTCTGTATACGGTTCTGTGGAATGTCATGGACGTAAGTAAAGACCCAATTGACGAGTACATCAAACTTACTTGGGGTATAACATAGTATCCCGCATGTATCATTCCGTTCGGCAAAGCAAACCAGACAGCCGATGCAACATTTACTCGAGACGTTGAATACAGGCCCCCCTGTGAGTTTATCAACTGGTCTCTTCCTTCAATTTCCACGTGTCGCTAATTGTACCCCAGTCTCACCAGATGCAGTTGAAGGTGCTCCTTGCTGTATCCAGGTTGTTGGAAGACCTATGCGAGAGGAAGAACTGCTTCAGGCTACCCAGACAATTGCGAAGGTTCTTCAAGATTAAATGAAGAGTCGTCAAGGCTTCACATTACAACAACCTGGGCAGTCTATAGTTGAATTTACATTCTGACATTCTATCTAACCTTCTTTTACTTGGGTACACTGCGGACATTTTGGACATACGCTCGAAACCCTATCATTTCATTCATCTTTGCTCTTAATTCTTTCCCTCTATAATATAGAAGATAGAATAATGGGTGGGAAACTGAGTGGGAGACTGAGTAGAAGACTGGATAGCAGATTAAGTAAGAGACTAAGTAGAGTATATAGTAGGACATTTTTTATATGACCTACAGGGTAGGCGCTGCGCCTTTCGAGTGGCGGAAAGTCTCTAGTACACTTCTGCCGTAGCGACGTTCAATTAATTTTGTTTACTTAGCACATTCTCCACATCTTTAAGTGCCCGGGATATGATTTTCTTCACAATACACCCCTTTTCATCATTTCTTGTTGTTCTTTCTTTGAAAAACCTAGCTCTTTCAATGTCCCCTCAGTGTGTTCACCAAGTCTAGGTGGTGTCAGGCGAATGCGTGGCGATGTCTCACTGAATTTAACCGGGTTTGCTAACCTGGCGTCAGTATTGACCAAAGACAAGATTAATTCACACTGACCCAGAACTTTAAGACTTCCACATACTGCAGGATCATAAGGTATACTGTGTACCATATGTCTTGCCGCTGTCTGTGGATGTGAGAATACGCGGTCAATGGTATTGATCGGACCATAAGGCATTCCACTTCCTTCTAACTTTGCCATCCATTCATCGGTAGACTTGCTCAGCATAATCTTCTCAAGAACTTCAGTGAGTTCATTTCGGTTCTTCACTCGAGCACGATTGTCTGTAAAAGAGGGATCTTGCCCCAAGTCCGACCGGTCAATTAACTTACACAGTAACTGAAATTGTCGGTTATTGGTCGCTCCCAGTACCAGATAGGAGTCTTTGGTTTTGAAAGCCTGATAAGGCACTATGCTGGGATGTGCGGTTCCCCAACGCTGAGCGACCTCTCCGACATTCAGCCACGACATGGCGACGTTTGCCAGCAAGGCCACCTGGCTTTCGAACAGGGAGGCGTCAATCTTTTGACCTTTGCCAGTTTTCTGACGAGAGAATAGGGCTGTAAGGATGGCTCCGTGTAGAAACAATCCAGTGCTCATGTCTGTCAGGCCCAGGCCAGGGCGTGTGGGGGGACCATCCCTCTCCCCGGTGATATGTAGCAAGCCCGCCTCAGCTGCAGCGATGGCATCATAACCGGCACGTTGAGCATACGGTCCACTCGCACCGTAACCTGTGAGAGTTAGGAGTGATTAATTCAAAGGTTCTGTTGACTGACCAGAGACACTTGCGTGAATAATTGACGGGTTGACCTTGCAAAGTGCCGAGTAGCCGATTCCGAGCTCATCCATCTTTCCTGGTATGAAGTTGTCCACACTAGACTTGTCAACTTTTGTTATGTGAAGCGAATCTCCAAAGCACTCACACTACATCGGCGCTTTTAACCAGTCGGAACAAAATATCTCGCCCCTGCTCCTCCTTCAAATTCAAGGTGAGGGACCGTTTATTCCTATTAATAGTGCAAAAGTATGCTGAAATATCATTTTCTTCTGATTTCCAGATTTTCTTTTCTGCTTCTGTACGCCACAGGCGAGTGTCATCCTGCGTACGTCAGACATAAAAATAAAGTCACAAGTTGGGTTTACTTACTCCACCTTTAGGATTTTCGATCTTCAAGACGTCGGCACCATAATCAGCAAGAATCTGCGTACAGAAAGGGCCCTTGATAATGTTAAAAAGATAGCAGTTGGAAGGTATTTGGAATATTTACTGCCAGAACTCGCGTTAGGTCAATAATCTTCACGCCATCTAATGGAGGAGATTCAGTAGTATGATTCCTGCGAGCTCCCCATTGTCTATATGCAGACCCTGTTTGCGGAAGTCGATTAATAAAACCGACAGTTCGTCTGATCATCATGATAAAATATGGATCAAGATACGCTTTCAAGGTGACAGTTGAAGAAGTTCGAAGGTTCCATCTTGTTAGCAGTCGGAGTATAACGGAACCCCGCATAACCAAGTCGCCGACTCCACGTTTCATGCTCAGCCGCGGTATATCAATTATGAACTCCGAAATTTACCGACTGAGTCTTTTTCGATAGATTTTTGACTGGTATTCCTAAAAAAGCTCAATATGACTTGGGCAGACCGAGGACTCGCTCTCCAATGTAATTCAAAATCATCTCTCGGCTCACAGGAGCAATACGAGGAATAAAGACCTCCCGGAGATAGCGCTCAACGTGATATTCCTTAGCGTATCCCATTCCCCCATGAGCTAGAATAGCCCTTTCGCAGGCTTCAAAGGCAGCCTCTGCTGCGAGATATTTTCCAGCATTTGCATACTCGCCACCTGTGTACCCTTGATCATATAGAAGAGCAGCCTGGTAAATCATCATCCGTGCCGCCTCCAGCTTCATCCAGCTATCCGCCAAGGGATGCTGAATACCTTGATTTTGACCAATTGGACGATCGAAAACCTCCCGCTCTGTAGCGTATAGAGCAGCACGGCGTAATGCCGCAAACCCGAGCCCAAGAGCCTCGGCGCCGATCAAGATGCGCTCAGCATTCATTCCATGCATGATCATTTGGAACCCTTCATCTTCCGCCCCGACACGATCACATACCGGTACCCGCCAGTCATCGAAGAACAAGGTGTTGGTATCAACAGCAGCCCGTCCCATTTTAGGGATCTCGGTAATCTCAACCTGAGGAACCTGTAAATCCGTGTAGAAGAGTGATAATCCCTGGGAGAGCTTTCGAACTTGATCACGCGGCGTTGTCCGCACAAGAATCAATATCTTGTCCGCTCTCTGCGCAGTTGAGATCCAAATTTTTTGTCCTGATAGAACATACTCGTCACCAGTCCGACGCGCGGTAGCTTGAAGTTTCAATGTATCAAGACCAGTGTTAGGCTCCGTCACCCCAAAGCATGCGCGTTCACGCCCGCAGATCAGCGGTCTCAACCACCTCTCCCTCTGTTCATCGGTTCCAAATTTGGCGACGGGCTCCAGGCCAAAGATATTCATGTGTATGGAAGAAGATCCTGTCATTCCAGCTCCCGATTCTGAAATCGTTTGCATCATCACTGCTGCCTCAGAAATTCCTAACGCCGATCCACCGTACTTCTGGGGTAGACAAATCCCTAGCCAGCCTTGTTGTGCGATCGCGTCACAGAAATCTGTCGGAAAAGCACGCGACTGATCGACTCGGGCCCAGTACTCATCTGGGAAATCGGAACAAACCTTTGCAATCGATTCTCGAACTGTTCGCTGAGATTCCGATAAGTTCGGGTCTTGGCTCTGAAGAAACTCAGTAGCGCGTGCATGGAATGATCGCAAGGACTGCAAGTGATATGTCGAAGGAATTGAAAGATTGATCGATCGTCGGCCTGTTATCTGTAGATTATGAGCGTTGAGCGCAAAGGTTTGGGGAGTTGGTCGCCTGTCACCAACTTACTCTTCTCAGTATGCTTGCCATCGTGAAGCAAGCCATAAGTTGGTAGTTTAGCGTTTGTTTGACTCAACTCCCATTGTGACAATCATAAGACCGAAAGCCCGGCTCGGATGCGGGGAATGTGGAGAGTGGATTGGAGTGCGGGGGAGTCGACTAACGAGGATGTGACAAGGTGACCTGATCATTGTAGGAAATAGCAACAAATCAATGGATATTTAATCAGTAGTAGCGCTATGTATATACGATGGGACTACTTTAATAAGTCTAATAATTCCCTCCTCTTGAAAGCGATAATCTAAGCTGGATGAGCCTTGATCCTCGAGTCTTTCGATGCCACGCTTAGAGAGTCCGAGTAGAATAAGGTACTGGTTTCCATTTTCTTCTTTATCTTGGAGTATCTTTAGGATGTTCGAGGTCTCTATCTGCAGTTCTTTGAAATTTGTAAAGCTTGCATAACATTTCCAAGAGGGAGATTCGCCATTGACGAAGAGGGTTCAATGATAGCGGAGTCTGGGTTCGACATTGCGACGAGTCGAGGACAACTTTCAACGGTGCCAGAAAATAGAGAGGACATGGCTATGACGCGGAAGAGTTCTCAAACATGTCCACCGTATACCATATGCAGATTAGGGCTTCTCTAGCGAAGACGATCGTAATCACCAACAATGCCATCAGTTGCCACAAGGGAACATTGTCGGTAGAGAAGAACCGGAAGGAGATGGTGATAGTGTCGGAGTTCGGTCACGGGGAATAACAGCAGGTACCGAAGTTGTGCCTGGGACCCCAATTGGATTGGCACGTGGGTAAAAAATTCCGTCCACTGTGGACCAAATCCAAATTAGCGTCCCTCCAGAAACGACGATCGTAATCGCCAAGATAACCATCAGTTCCCAAATAGAGCATTCTGGATCTCCGGCGACGCGGGTGTGAGAAAAAGAATTTCACGCATTTCGAATTGGAACGTCACAAGTGAAGATTTGAAACTTGCGACATGGACCTGGCTGTATGTGATTCAGAAGTTAGAGAGATGGTAAATAATTACTTCTCCGGCACTGACCAGGAAGAAAAGCTTGTGCTCAAATGGATGTCTGTGATTCGAGTCGAGATATATAAAAGCGCGTTGGTATAAGTGAAGAAGAACGTCGAGGAAAGAAAGCCAAGTGAAGAAGATCTTCGTGAAAGCAGGTTGGTATAAGTCAAGAAGAACGTCGAGGAAAAGAGAGACTGAAGTGAAGAGCAACGTTGGGGAAAGAAGGTTGGGGTAGTAAGTAAGAATAGTAGGGAAAGAAGGAGGGTATAGAAATCAAGAATGTACTGGGACGATGACTGGTGAAGTGAATAAGAAAGTCGCGAGAGAGAGTAAGAGAGAGAGAGAGAGAGAAATTTTTTGTACTTTAATATCAGCTACCGAGAGGGACTCTTCCAGAGTTGACAACGGCTGTAAGAGCATATTGAACCTCGCTGAAGCAGCTTGTATTGCTAGTTATGTCGGTTATGTGCCCTTGGATACCATAGTATTGCGGATTATCTCGTGGTAATCTCTATGGTGAGATATTAGGTAGGGTTATGAATGTGACTCATAGTTCCCCTATAGACCGCCGTCCTTGTATGCTTTATTCTCTTATCGTCTGTTTCTGTGTAGTAGAACATATTCGAAAACAAAAACTATAGATACTGCGTGTTGGTGGCCTTCAATTCTCAGGGGTTTGGGACGTTATCTCAGCTCGATACCGAGCCCACGATGAGCTTGTGCGAATGCTCAGCCCCAGAAACCGGTTGCTAGAGTCTAAAGTTGGAGGTGACTGGGAATCACTCTATGAGTTTCAGGGCAAACTGGTGCCTAAAGTACCATTCCCACATTTGAATGAGAAATCATGGCTTGATGGGAAAATGCAGGTTTCACTCCGACGAGGAATGAGACCTTTGACTTGGAACATTTTAGAATTCCTGGTTCAATTGACTGTGACAGCTGACCAATGTTGATAAATGTAATCTTTCAAACGACAAAACACTTTTCAGATGAGAAGGAATATCCAAGTACTGGGATGGACAATTGAAAGTCTGGCGGAAGCTGATAGTGGGGCAAGTGAAACCGGCAAGTGAAACAGTAAGATCCCATTCAAGTCGCATGGACATAACCGAGACTAGCATCAGACATGAAATCGCGCTTATAGGCTATTTGACTCGAGTTTTGTGCGAAGATTGAAGTTGACAAGTCGGCTGTTAAGTGAGGGGGTTTTGCTTGTACCTCGGACCTCTCGGCTACACCTTTTCACATTTTACACCAGGATCATCCCCGATCAACATCTTCTCCAAGCACAATATGACATCCAGTCCAAGCGAAGCATACGTACTAGGCGTGGGCTTGACCCAATTTCTCAAGCCACGTCGCACCCGCGAATATCCCGAACTGGGTTATGAAGCGGGTGTCAAGGCAATGATCGACGCCAAAATCAATTACGACGACGTGCAGACCGGCATCGGATGCTACTGTTATGGCGATACAACCTCATCTCAGAGAATCTTTTATCAATTCGGAATGACCGGTATTCCCATATACAACACTAACAATGCGTGTGCGACGGGTTCCACGGGCCTGCACTTGGCACGCAATATGGTCAGAGGAGGTCTTGCGGACTGCATCCTGGTGATTGGATTTGAGCAAATGCGTCCAGGCTCCATTAAAAGTGTGTGGGATGACCGACCCAGCCCCTTGGGTCCATCTACCACGATGATGGAAGATACGCATGGAAAACACGGGTCGCCGCGAAATGCGCAATATTTTGGAAATGCCGGGCAGGAATACATGCAAAAGTAACATTCCCCAAGACGCTGGGAATGCTTCCACTGACTAAACACAGGTTCGGTGCTGTGGCTGAGGACTTTGCAGAGATAGCACGTATCTCTCATGAACACTCCCAGCGAAATCCCTACGCGCAATTCCGAAAGGCTTATTCGTTGGATGAGATTCTGAACTCTGACCCCGTCCATGGCCCTCTCACAAAGCTCCAGTGTTCCCCGACGAGCGATGGTGCCGGAGCTGCGGTAATCGTATCGCAGCGTTTTTTGGACGCCCGCCCACAGCTCAAATCTCAGGCAATTCTCATGGCGGGTCAGCAGCTGCTGACCGATGGACCAGAGGTCTATTCTCGAAGCGCAATCGATTTAGTCGGATTTAACATGTCCCGCCAGGCGGCTCTGCTGGCAATGAAGGAAGCTCGCGTCGAAACTAAGGATATCAAAGTATGCGAACTCCACGACTGCTTCTCAACGAACGAACTTCTGCTCCTTGACGCACTGGGTTTTTCGCAGCCTGGAAAAGCACATGAGATGGTTCGTCGGGGTGACATTACCTACGGCGGGCGTGGTCCTATTATAAACCCCTCGGGAGGGTTGATCTCTAAGGGACATCCACTTGGCGCAACAGGATTGGCACAATGTGCTGAGCTTACCTGGCAGCTTCGGGGATGGGCCAATAACCGCCTCGTTTCGAACACGAATGTTGCGTTGCAGCATAACCTGGGACTAGGAGGGGCGGTAGTTGTTACTATTTACAAGAGAGCAGACGGTCAGACCAATAAAAAGGTTTCCGATGAGGAGGTTCAGCAGGTCTCTGGCATAGGATATAATCCTGCCGTCGAAGCTAGGTATATTACCCCCGAGGACGGTGAGCGCGTGCGCAGTAAGACCAAGCGCCATGATTACGTCTTGCAAGATACAGTGGGAAAACTTCGATCCCGCATCTAGTGAGCAATCTCAATACCTGTCAGCCTGGCTGACAGAGCTGGTTTCGGTGCATCTTGTTCGTGTTACCTTGGATCTGTCTTAACTTCCCTGTACTTTCTTTGTCCTCTTCCATGAAATAGCCATCACATGGAAGATTACGGATCGACCTACTACATATGTATGCAACACTAGAATGATGGTAATTCATGTACTGAAAAGAAAATATATGTACAATTGAGTTCCGGCATTCCGTTGTCCAAGACACAAATACCTGGTAGTGACAAGGCAACCAGGACTAGAGCGCTTAGGCATAGCCGTACACCGCTATATAGGGCTCAAAGGACCATCCTATTATCTTCATTCTATATGTAGGCAAAGCTGCCATTGTCCGTTGTATTGTCGACAGAATGAATATCACTCTCTATCTAACCCTGCTTACTTCTATACTTTCTGTTTCAGCAACCATCATCACCGACCCCAGAAAGGCATCCAGTAAAAATTACGACTACATAATTGCAGGTGGCGGTCTCACAGGCCTCATAGCAGCGGCACGATTAACACAAAAGAAGAAGATCAGCGTGCTGGTAATTGAAAGTGGCTTCTTACAATCTTACCGCCCAATCATCGAAAATGTCACCAACTTCGGTCAAGCTTTTGGCAGCACACTGGATCACGGCTTCCAAACCTCATCACTCGATATCAATGGTCGGCCATTAACCATCCACTCCGGTAACGGTCTCGGGGGATCAACCTTAATCAACGGCGCATCTTACACTAGCCCAGCCAAAATTCAGATCGATTCCTGGGAATCTCATCTTGGGAATAAAGGCTGGAACTGGCAAACCCTCTCCTCATACATTCACAAATCTGAACGTGCCCGTCCTCCCACAAATGAACAAATCGAAGCGGGTCATTTTTTCGATCCTCAATGCCATGGAACGAATGGAGCGATCCATGTTGGTGCGCGGGATACCGGTGTTCGATACTCACCAATGATTCGCTCCGTGATGAAGATGCTCGCTGGACGGGGTGTTCCAACGCGCAAAGACCTAAACTGCGGTAATCCTCGCGGCATTTCAATGCTGCTCAACACAATCCACGAAAATCAGACTCGCTCCGATGCCGCGCGTGACATCCTCCTCCCTATCATGGATCGGCCAAATCTATCCATCCTCGTGGGTTACCGTGTTGGAAGAGTGCTGATCGATACAAGTCACTCGCCTCTAGCTGCGAAAGGAGTGGAATTCGGAACTGACGGAGAGAAATTTGAGGTCTATGCCAGGCATGATACCCTACTGGCTGCTGGAGCCCTCGTTAGCCCGTTGATACTGGAATATTCCGGGATAGGACTCCAGTCCGTCTTAGACGCGGTTGGTGTTCCAAATATCGTTGAGCTTCCCGTCGGACAAAACCTTCAGGATCAAACAACTACTTACCTCTCGAGGAGCATTCACCCGAATGGTGCCGGCCAAGGTCAGGCGATATATCTCGCGAGCTGGAAAGAATTATTCACCGGCTCCACTCGCAAAACCGCTCGTGGACTACTGGATTCTCAGCTAGATCAATGGGCGCAAGATGCCGTATCTAATGGCGGGTTCGGGAATGTCACAGCGCTAAAAGCACAAATGGAACTTTATCGAGACTGGATCTTAGACCATCATGTCGCATATGCAGAGCTCTTTATCGACACAAGCTCTACAAACATTGGCTTCAGTAGCTGGGTTCTTCTCCCTTTCAGCAGGGGATATGTGCATATTAAGAATAAGGATCCATACCTTTGGCAGGCTACTCGAAACCTACGATACATGGAGAATGACCTGGACCGATATGCGCAGGCAGCTGCCTCTCTATTGGCCCGAAATATCACACAGGACGAATCAATGCAGCATTACATTCGTGAAGAGATCTTCCCTGGGTCGGCAGTGCCTCAAAACGCCACTCTAGATGATTGGGTTTCCCATAACACTCAAAACTTCGGGCCAAATTACCACGCTATTGGGACTTGTGCAATGATGGCCAAGCATCTGGGCGGAGTTGTAGACCATTCTGGTCGTGTGTATGGTGTCTTGAATCTTCGCGTGATTGATGCTTCTATTTTACCTACTCAGGTTTCCGCACATACGTCTGCGTTGCTATATGGGATGGCAGAGAAATTATCTGATCTGATTCTGGCTGACTATCATGCATGAACATGTAACATCCATAATTCCATAATATAGGTGCGTACTCAGCTATCTCATAATGGCATTGGCTTCATGCATCATGATCATTAAAAATAGTTGCCTTCCCATCAATCATCCCGGTAGGATGCTGGTTTTTTTGCATCATGTCGCTGTGTTTTCAATTGCGGAATCCCCTTTCCATATCATCACGTCGCCAGTGAGGCCTTGGAATGATGATGACAACTGTCACCCAGTTTGCATATTAACCGGCTATCATTTCGCATCTTTGATAATTTGACCTTTTTCTTCATGTTGGCGCGGCAGATGAAACTTTTCCTTCGCTTCGCCTAGTTTTTCTTGCACCGACTGCATTTTCTTCTTTGTCAAAGCATAACCCTCGATCCCCGCAAGAACGGCGTACGATTTGCTAATAGACACCCGTGATAGATCCACACCTCTCTCCTGCAGAGAATGGTGAAAAGCTCGGAAGTTGGCGAGGTGTGGTCGATAGTGACCACTGATGAAGTTAGAATTATTCTATGAATATTCTATGAATGGATGTGGAAGATCAAATCATACCTCAGTGGAGCCAAGCTTTTAAGCTGTCCGTGACGGATTTTCAGCATTCCAGCTGCAGCAATCCGGCCACCCCGCAGAAATGAAGAGTGCTGAAAGGCACCAGGCTCCTTGATTCCGATATAGATACGAAATGACGTGTCTGCGACCTGTAGCTTCCAGATTAGAATAAATGCAAAATTCCTCTTCTTGTTACTTACAAAGATCCACATTCCATCTCTTTTCGAGAAAGTGCCAGCGAAATGATCGTATATTGCCTCTGGCTTAATCTGAGAGAACTTCTTGACTGCTTTGCCTAGTTCATAATCTTGATGTGTCGAGAATTGGACCTCTTCGTGGCTCCCTTCGTGGCTCTCTTCGTGGCTCTCTTCATTTGAAGGCGTTTGTGGAGGAGACGAAGATGACGAGCTCAACTCAGGCTCGGATGAGGTCTCTGAATTCGAGTTCCCTCGAAACCTGGGCGTGCGATCTTCAATATGCACTACGCCATGAATACTATCCTTGAAACGTTTGTTATCGGTCTCCACCAACTCGTTGTTCTTCACCCATCTGAACAAGCCCTTGTCATCCACCTTGACCATGTAATTTAGACGCTCTTCAGGCGAGAGATATCGAACTTGCTGCTTCTCGAGCCGCTCTCGTGGACGATAATCCAGATCCACGTCTTTCCCTTCACCGTAATCTAGCCAATAGAAGAAGTTTTGGTTTGAAGGGGAATTCTTCCACACGTTGTGATAAGCCCGTAAATTGCTCCCATGTCGGTGCTTCACATCGACCATCTCTAGGAAATATTGTAAATCCATCGGTTTTGAGGTGCTTGCTCGTGTCGGCTGGATTTCTTGCGAGGGTGTCACCCGGGCGCGAGCAGCAGATTCCACTATCCCGTCATCGTCCCCACCAGCTTTGATCACAACACTAACTGCACGTTGCCAGTTCTTGCGCGCGGGGCTCTTGTCATAGTCATCAAATGGATCTTTCAGTGCATTCCTGGGGGTCTGCCATAAAACTCACGGTGAGCTGAATTCGTGCGACTGTGGGGGGATCCTACCTCCAGCCCTCGTGTAGATGCGGCGACACTGAAGCCTCGAATTTCGCGCCGGGTCCGATATCCACGGTAAAATCTCTATAAATTAGCTGTAAGGATGTTTTTTTTCAATCTTGATCACGCTGGTAGTCGTACCTGAATCGTGCGAGCCGCTCTTTCATGGTTCTGGTAGGCAGTGACGTCATTCAAACAGTGGTCCATCTTTTTGGCTGCAGGTGCAGATGAAGATCGAGAGGAAGATACTCCAGCTCGGTATACGCTAAGCGTCAGGAGATTATCTGAGCTATGAGATCAATAGAAACTGAGGTAAGCATGGAACAGGGAAGAATGGTGATATAGGGAAACGAATACTCCACTGAACCAAGGATTGCCTTACAAGGCAGCGATAAGATACGACGATAAGATAAGAATTCTTCTGCCTTATTCCCTAGGTGTCGACTTTACTCATATTGACTGGTCATGCATGGATTACGACTCACTGGCAAAAGAAAGGACCTTGTGGCATCAGAGTATAAATTTGCATTCACCCTCTTGGCCTCACACTCGCACCTACTTGTTCTCAGCTCATCGTGATTTTTACTCATTTGCTTCTACTCGACCATGCTGGAATCAGAAGCTATGGTTCAACCGATCCACCGCGCTCGCTCCAACTGAGTTATCTTCGGCCTCGTAGGACATGGCCAGTTACAAAGAGACACACCATGAGGTCCTCAATCGATTAATTTTTGAGTAAATGTTGAACTATGTGTGCAAGGAAGATGACTACTTCCATTAGAGAGAAGAAATTGACCAGCTATTCCAACTGCAGGAATGTTCTCGGTTTGGATCGTTATCAACCAAGTAATCTCACGGAGTCTCGGCAGGCTTCCCGTTGGAGAAGACAAAGAACTTATCCAATCGCGGGCCACCAGGATCGATTTACCCCTTTCAGATTGGCCCCACAACGGAGCTCGTCCACCATAGAGCAGTCGGGATCAGCGCGATCTATGCCCACATCTACCGCCATGGAGCCCGGCAGGTTAAACCGAAAGCCGCCCCTCGTGAGGGGAAATCGGAGCTGTGAGGAGATATATCATCGCCATGTCGATATCTGACATCCAGCTGGTTGCATATAACCTCCTGTGTCTTCCGCAATGTCCTAGATATTATTAAACATCCACCGTTTACAAGATAAAATAAACATGGCACCCTCTCTCCACCCTCTGATCGACAATGGCATCACCAAAGGTGACCCTGCCTTCTCGGGTGGCACACTGCGTTGCCGCTGCTCCTCCGACCAGGTCGTCGTCTCCCTGAAAAGCAACGTCGCACACAACCACGCTTGCGGCTGTTCCAAGTGCTGGAAGCCGGCCGGTGCCCTCTTCTCAGTGGTCGGTGTCTTACCTCGGGAAAACGTGAAGGTTGAGGCGAATGAATCTAAACTCCACGTGTATGTACTCCCATCCCGGCCTAATCGTCATTGTTCTGACATCGCTGTAGGGTTGATTCTTCCGCCGTCATCCAGCGCAACGCGTGCAAGGAATGCGGGGCTCACCTCTTTGGCCGAATTGAGCGCGAACACCCATTCCATGGTTTGGACTTTGTGCACGTCGAATTATCGGATCAGAAGGGCTGGCAAGAACCGCAATTTGCCGGCTTTGTCTCCTCGATAATTGAGCAGGGATCCAACCCTGAGGGAATGGATGCGATTCGGGAAAAGTTCAAGTCTGTGGGGTTGCAGACCTATGATGTTCTGTCTCCGCCTTTGATGGATCTGATTTCTACATTCACAGCGAAGAAGGCGGGTGTGAAATTCTCAAAAATCTAAGCAACCGGAAGCTTGCGTAAGTAAATCAATACACACATGAGATTACCAAGAAACTTCTAATCGGCAACAACTGCCCATCTAATGCCAATCAGATAGTTGTATGCCTCTATATTCCTTGGATACACCCAGACTTTTTGGAACCGTGTTCGAACCCTATCCTTCCACTTCTCTTTTCTTTCCTTTCCAGTTAGCTCTTTGAAGAGACCTTTGCCTACTTAACTCATACCGTAGGAAAGACAATCACTCGCACCTGACACTTCGTGAGGTTCTAATATTGCAGGGCTAGCATATTACAGCATAATCTTCATGTACAAGAGGACGAGTGGAATAAACAGTATGGTCCCAGTGGGATAGTGACTCATCAATGACCAGATTCATAGTATTAAAGTCTCACTAGTCTCACTCAAGTTCGTTTATACATATACGCTTCTGAGACCCGACTTGACTTTGACAACCATTCGTCCCCTTTAGCCTGGATATCATCAACAACCTCCTGTAGCACTCGAGCCAACACAAACCTCGCCTGTGCAATTAAAGCCCAAAGCTCCCTCAACATTGCCGCACAGATAATCATCAGCCATGGTCGTGGTTCCCGTGATACGTAAACTGACATCCGTGATCGTGATATTCTCGCACGGAGAAATCGCGCTACACTGAAAACTTGCTACATCCGCTGATGATAGCGTACCCGAAATCCCACTGATGTCCATGTTTTTGATCTGGAACTTTGAGTTCGTGCAGTTACCAGAGGCGCTCGAGAAGGTGGTACACTGGGAAATGGTGAACGGGACACCTTTGAGGTTGACGACAGTTAGGTCAGTAGCTGTGATGTCGGAGGCGTCTAATCACCGGTTAACTCTCCATCTGAAGATGAATCAAAGTTTCTTGCCAATGAGCGAAAGTGACTTACATCCAAGACCCCCACCTCCTCCATTTGGTGGATAGCCGACCTGATCACCCGTCCAGGTCTTGATATACACTGCATGAGTGGTTTTTGTGTACGTGCAATTTGAAATAAGAACGTTCTCCACTGTCTCGAAGACATCTTTGTATTGCCCAATGCTGCCGATCGCAATGCCCAATCCAGTGGAGAAGATAGAGTCAGTGATAGTAATATCCGTTGAGTTGCCTTTGAGGCTGATACTATCGTCGCCGTTGACAACCAACCAGTTAGTAAAAGTAATTTTTCGACTTTGAATTGTGTTTGCTCCGTCGGTATTTCCTGTCATCAATTTGCCAAGTCAGATCGCGTCATTAGAGGGTTTGCTTATGAATGATCTTCATACTTGAGGATCCACCATTGTTATTTAAATTGTTAACGTAAATAGAATCAAATAACAAGTTTTCGGAGTGGATGATGGACAGAGTCCTAGATAGTCAGCAAGCCATTCCCTTTCTTAGTTTCAAAGAATCAGAGAAATACCCGACGGCCAACGTACCACATCTGGCTCTGCACGAATCTCAACCCACTGAATACCGAATCTCTCGCCGTGACCGTAAGTTGATGCGGCCGACGAGGATAATTCGACACCCCAGAGGTGTAACTATACCACACAGGTCCACTACCGTTGAACGTGCCGTATCCGTGGCCATCGACAATAATGTCTTGACCACCGAGAATCCAGGCTGTCGACTGGTTCTGGTAGCCAACATCTAAGGAATTGTTAAGCCAGTAGGTGATATTGGTGCTCCACTAAAGACAATGATCAGCAAGAGAGAGCTGCTATCATACGGGCTGCATTTGTATTCCATTACAAGAAGGGTGCCTTTTATATCAATTTCAACGTCATCGAGCCAAGTCGTGTTCATTACCGAGTTGATATGATACGTGGTATTGCCAAAAATCACGCGCCCGCCGTTCCCGCATTTTCGCAGAGCCTGGAGAATGGCGGGGACATCGTCAATTTCGGTAGAGTTTCCGGCAGGAACTAAACAGTGTGATCGAGCATGACCACTCTTGGTCAAGTCAGAAAATGCAAGCGTCGAAGAGATGTGGGCGAGAATGAAGATGACGCAGGCGATGAAACGGGTGAGCATTCTGGGCTTGCTAGATGTGATATTAGGTAAGACTTCACACTTTTACGATCAAATATCTCGACTTGGTCTTATAGTCATTTTAATCTTGTAATCGTAGTCCTCGCAGACCATCTTCAAAGCTTCGACCAACTCGTCTGGTGCCAACCCCTCACACGCCGGGGTAATACACACCGAGTCTATCAAAAATTTACTCCGCAATACGTGCGATCTTGGATCCAGTTTTTCCGCGATCTACAAGAGCACTGCCGATATGAGATCATCAGTGACTAATATCTATTATAGTTAGGGGTAGAGCCTTTGAAGTTACGGGATCTGTGGGCACGTGTGCTCCCTTGCTTCATATCGACCAGTTTGTGCTCTTCATGACAGCCATATTGGTGGCATGTTATCTGGCAGAATGGTCCCTACCCGGTTATTTTCTTCATTGCTGGGTGATGGTAATGGAGTTGTGGTAAACTGGACAGTTGAGCTACTGCAGCTATGGTATGTATGATGGGTTGATCAAAATCACTTCCAACCTATCAACAATTGCGGGGAATACTAGGGCCCGGATAATTCGCGGATCCTCTAGTCTCCGGAAGTAGGTTTTTCGTAGAAACAAGTGGAGGTGTGCATGCTCGATTTCGGTCAAGCTGGATATATACTGCATATGACCAATTGAAAAGCTGTGGCTTCCCGGCCTTAACATAATACCTAAAAACAGATATAAGAAACTCGCAAACGTAACAGGAACCATTACTTGACACATTCGAATTTGTACCACTCTGCACGATGAAGTTCGGTATCCTCGAAAACGGGCAGGCCAAGGGGATTCTCGCCCTCTTCGCCACTGCACTACCCGCTCTTGCGACGAAACCGGCCGCTTTCTACTTGGCAGGTGACTCGACTACCGCTGCCCAGTCTTCTGATGGCGGAGGCTGGGGCGTGGGATTCTTGAAAACACTTGCGCACGGGGCCATTGGCACTGACCTAGGATACAATGGAGACACCACCGCCTCTTTCGTATCTGGGGGAGCATGGGCAAATGTCATCGACGTCGTCACCCGCAGCGTTTCACATTTTCAACCCTATGTTACTATTCAGGTACACAGAATCCGCCAGGCTCTTTGAGGTGTACAGGCTTCATCTGACATGTCTGTCATCTTTAGTTCGGCCATAACGACCAGAAGACTACTTCTGGTGTCACCCTAGCTGAGTACGCCATCAATTTGGAAAATATGACCCAGGCAGTCCTCTCCGCCGGAGGTATACCAGTATGCAAGGCAATCAGACAAAGTCTAAAGGTAACGGTAACACTAATTTCGATCCCCAGATCCTCGTGACTCCGCTATCCCGAAGAACCTTCAATTCCACGACGGGCTTAGTGATTGAGGACTTGGCCACGCAGCGGAACATTACTATCGCCGTTGCGGAGTCCATCGGGGTTGATTACATTGACCTGAATAAGGCCAGCACCCAATATCTGGATGCAATCGGAGCCACTGACTCGGCAACATATAACCGCGTGACAACCGACTACACCCATCTGAATCCCACGGGCAGCGTGCTGTTTGGAAATATGGTGAGCTGGCTACTGCTCACTACCACCTCACGAGGTGCCAACTTGCAGGACTACACTATTCCTAGTCCTCAGATCGTCCACGCGATCAAAACTGGTGCTTATATTTACCCTACAGCGTCATAAACGCCGGCAAACTAAGAGCAGATCGAGTAGGGACAGAAGGATCTGAATTCGTGGCGATATGATAATCTACGGGTGAAACTACCCTTTATAGATCATAGCCACATATAGACCTTGCCAAATGGTGGGATTTAAGTCTCATGGGGGCCAAAGCCATGAGACAAGATTTCTGATTCTAGCCTATGTATTTAAATAATTTCACCTACATAGGCAACCCCATGGGAAAATTTAAGGTCTAGTCACGGCAATGGCGATGGCTGTAGGTAGGAAAAACTCATCCGTGCTTTTTATATAAGTATGTAACTGTTCACATCGCGCGCCAAGTAAAGAGCTTCTGGCACAGCCTATACGGAAAAGGATTGGCACACTGTGAGCACCTCTCTACGTGATCCTCATATGTGCTGGCCACATAGTACTCATCCCCGCGGAGGCGGTGCAGCTACTTTTTATGGTAGTATGAGTAGTGTAGCATTTTGACATACTGATAAATATCTGAATCAGCAAGGTGAAGAAAAACGAACAATATGACGACCGAACTTTGCAAGCTTTCATGGTGAGAATGCGGTGAATTTAGATCTGATTAATCTGAGCATGCATCTGTATCATAGCCTCTTGAGGAGACTTGGGCCTGATCTCGTTTCAGAGTATCATCTCAATAGTGTTTTGCCAGTGGAGATACGTGATTACCTCAACAAATTGGCGCTAGTGTATCATTTCGCGCGAGAATAAGGTTCCTCCGACGATAGAGGAACAAGATGCTTTCTGCAAGATTGAAATGGTCAATGGTTCCCCAACCTATAGGCCTTTGCAATACGTCGAACTCAAACCATCAATCGCGTCCCCAAACTTTGTTATGAACTAGCGTTCTTATTCTTACGCCTTATTTATAATTCCTCTTCAACCGAATTTTGTTACCTTGCTCTCAGTCTAGAGCAATGATGGTAATACTTAAATGGACACCCAAGTTTTTTATAATGGTCAAATCAGCCATTTCAAGAATTGGTACTTTTTGGGAATTTGGACATTCATGGTTTCTTGAGTTAAGAAAAGTTTTACGCCTAGTAGAGTTGAAAGGTACCCCGATTCCCAATTTTTGTTAAGAGTACTCCAGAACCATGTTAAGTCAGATAGGTATTGAAAGGAAAACCACCTGCAAGGTTAACGCTGCTCCAACCTGCACGAACGCTTGTCCTCGTCTTCTTTCCTCTCAAGATTTGGAGAAGTAACTTTCCACCTCACATTCTTCCTCCCAAATGGAGATATTCAGCGATATCAAAAAAGCCTTGACCAAGAAGCGCAATAAGCCACGCCTAATTCTTGCACTCTACGCGCGGCCCAAGCACCCCAACGCCCCCCACTATGCGCTGCTGGTAACTCCGAATATCAAACCCGAGCGCAAACTTGCAGTGGAGCCAGAACCCATCCCAGCAACCAAATACCACATCAAAAACACCATCCAGAAGATCAAAAATGTGGTGTGCCAACCATGGCGTTTCGAACGTGTTGATGTTCCAGACCTGGACCGGGACCATAACATCCTTGTGTGCGCGGTCATCGCCAAGGTTTTATCGACAACAAAGCTGAATCAGATCATGGCAGAGATCTACATCTACCAGAAGGACGACCCGATTCAATTCAAAGCACGCGACTTTGACTGTAAGATGTGGTGTCATGATGCTTACGACGAATTACAGAAATCGGGGGTCATCGTTGGATTGGATTGGCGCACGGCTGAAGGCGGTACGAGGGCTGTGTTGAACCAGAAACATGGTCAGGGACAATGGGATTCAGCGATTACGGGCAAAGGTCGTAACACTCCTTGGGTTCCTATTGTGGATCTATTGGGTGGGACGCTTATTCGAGGACGTTAACTCAAACCAAGGACGAAGTTCAAGTTTGTGACTTGGAACCAATGATCGACAGATCCACCGATTTTCCCAAATAGGCAATCTCGTATTCATCAAGATTCCGCCATGACGTTCAATGGTATAAATGCCACGATGCCAGAAAGACAAAAGAAAAAACGAGAAAAGAAGATTCAAACAAAGCCATGTCTACTACCACAACACAACTGGATGAGACGGATGTTCGTGCATCAGTCTCTAGCAGTTCCAATACCCTCTGTCCATCTAATACCAACTCGACCCACTTCTACCCATCTCGCATCTTAACCGTGGACGCCCAAGGAATCAATGCCATTCGTCTCCCACTTCCTCCAAGCCAAACCGAAATCACAATCACCCTTGCAGACGGAAGCACAGGCTATGTCTCCACTCGAAACAAGCGCTGGTCAGGAAATAGCATCCTCTCTCATCCCAAAGCTGGAAATCTGATCCGCACGGACTACTTCTTCGGTCCGAACCGTGATCCCGTTCTTCGTCTACTACAGACCTCTAGTGTTATTCCCGAAGAAATCAGAATATCTTCTAAGTGGCTTTCGCGCTCGGCATGGTTTACCATGCCCACTGGTACTGAATATGAATGGGCATATGCGAAACAGAAGAGAATCGACGGCCAGAAATTGAGATTAATCGTTCTTCGTGCTATTGGTGAAAAGGATTCGGAGGATCGTTGTGTTGCACAGCTTGTGCGGAGTACTGATACTCGGACGCCGGGGACATCTAGATGTACTGCAGGGAATGGAGGTGAGCTACAAATTGATGATGGAGCGCTACAAGCCCTGCAGCTTGACGAGTCGGTTGTCGTTGCAACATGCCTTGTCATGCTGAAGCGAGAGATTGACAGACGCCGTGTCAGGCAAGCGGCAGCGATGGGGGGCGCAGGAGGTGGTTGTTGATACATGATTCTCCAATTGACGCTAGCATCTATTTTCTATTCTAATTCATCGTATGTAAACTGGTATCTCATAAACAGTCAAGCTCACTGCAACAAATCCAAAATATGCGGATTCATCCAGTAATGTTCCAACACCTCCACTGGCATGGCCTTCGCACCAGTAATCATCCCCCGACAAGTAGCCGCACCACAGTTACACTGGAACGGCTGATCCATATCCCACTCCGTACTCGGATAGAAGAATGTCAATTCATCCCCAGCCTTCAAAGGCCGATCATCCACGACCCGTACCTCCATCCGAGACATGTCGAAGACTAGGGACGGAGCACAGGAGTGGTTGCAGTAGACGAGGTCTGAGTTCAATTCAATGTGGGTGTCTGGTCCTGTCTGCACGCTGGTGTACGCTTTCTTGCCTGGAGTGGCATTGGTGATCTTGGCGAATAGTGCGCCGGCGGGCAGGTCAATTAGTGAGAACGCTCCACTCCCGAAGGCTTCGGTGCTGCGATTGACTTGTAGTCTGTCGGGATGGGTCGGAGCGGGGAACTCATTGCGGAGCGCGGGGGCTGCGGGGACGGGGGCTGCCGTGGTCATGTGGACGGTTTGGAGAGGACGGATAGAAGGGAAATTAAAAGAAGAGCAAAGGTTTCCTGGTGTCCCAAGATCTGGTCCATTGACCTCTTTATACTTCTCCCCAGCCGACGGAAGGCGAGGGAAGGCGTGGTGGAGTAAGTGGCCAAGAATGAATTTCCCGCAAACCGAGGCCTAAAACCTTCTTGTCAATGACGCCTGCCGGCGGTCTTACCGGGTATTCCGAATACCGACTAGCCCCGACTCAATTGCACACTAATTGTGTTAACCGTGGAGATCGTGTTGCCTAGCGTGTGATCGGGTGATCCGTCCCGGTGGGATTTCGGGGAAATTACAGGGCAAACATCTTTTTGCATGTGAGTTGTGAGTCTGACTCACAAGACAATCTCTATATTCAATTCATCTTTCGTAGTAGTGCTTCCCCGTTTAACCATCGCTCTAAGTTCTCTGCTACTTCCTTATACCATCTACGTAGAAGATCCTCCTCTCCATATCCCATGTGTGGGGTAAGAATGACGTCGCTACGCCCATCTTGACCCCAAGCTGTAGTGCGCCAAGGACTATCCAAAGGCAATGGCTCCGGATCAAAGACATCCAATGCAGCGGTGCGAATCTTTCCCGCGTTCAAGGCAGCCAGTAGTGCAGTCTCGTCAATCAGTGGGCCACGAGAAGTATTGATAATCACAGCAGTGGGCTTCATAGTCGCCAGCTCAGCAGCACCCACAATGCCACGACTGCGATCAGAAAGCACATTGTGTACACTGACGATATCGGCCTGTGCAAAGAACTCGCTCTTAGATGAGGCCACCACGAAACTACCCGCAGGGAGACCCTGCGCCTTAGCTTGTTCATCCGCTTTCTCCTGAGTCAGATTGGTCGACCAGGCAATCACCTCAACGCCGAAAGACTGGATGCCGATCTTGCCCACCTGCGAACCTAGTTTGCCTAGACCCAACAGGCCGAGTTTCTTGCCGGAGAGAGTGAATCCGAGAGATCCCTGCCAGGCGCCCCGTTTGACTGCTGCATCATCCCGCGCGACATTCCTCGCTGCGGCAAGAATTAATGCCCAGGTATGTTGCACTGTACTGTTTACGCCAGGCGGGCGGCCCTCGGTACCCGCGACGGGAATGCCTTGTTCAGCGAAGGCCTGTAAATCGAGCGAGAGGTTCCGGGTGCCAGTTGTGAAGCAGACCTTCAAATTGGGAAGGGATTTGATTGTCTTTGCGGCGAAAGGGGTCCGTTCGCGCATGGCGAGGATGGCGTCGAATGGCTGGAGGCGCTCTACGAGAGCATCGTGTTGGGCAGGATCGCGGGGATCAAGGGTCTCGGGGAAGCTGGTGATGTCGACGCGGGACTCGAGGTGGGCAAAGTATGGGGGAGCAATACCCTGATAATCGTCTAAAATGGCAAACTTTGGTTTCGACATTGTGTGGTAGTTGGGAAATGTAACTATCAATGTTTTGTAATGTTTTGTAGCAACCCCGCTATTCGCTGTTCCCCACGGAGCTTGACTTTCCATCCCGACTCCCGAGTGTCCCGCACTTACGGATAAGCTCTTTGCCATCCGTGCAGATCTGGGGTAGCTCATTTGAGAGGACCAAGGTATCCGCCCACAATTCGGCCATGGTAAGTGTCGCACGCTGCTGCTGACAGCCTGTCACCGTTAGGAACTGTCCTGCAACTCATGGGACTCGGAAGTTGTCCGAGAACTGTTTGATCTGAAATTGTTCCAGGCCGGGGTAACCCACGCTGTAGTAGAACATGAGTTCAGCTCCATCTGAAATTATGTAGCTGATTTTAAGTGTCTTACTAGCTCGACTTTGTTGCAAATTTGAGGAAGTTGTTGTATACGTAGTTTAGGTTCAAGAGGGGGGTATCCAAAGCCATTAGTATATATATTGATCATGCTCAATATAGTAAGGGGATCTTACTTTTCTTAAAGATAGCCTTTGCCTACATATGTAGAGGTGAGAATCGTATATGTATAGAACCGCTTTAAGGATTATGGAGCTGAAGATAGCTCCGATAATAACATCTGAGATAGTCCTGTATCCGAAAATCATCTTAATTCTTCTCACATGTGCATCGTTCTAGACTTCAGAAATTTATTGCAATGTATACATTATGGGACGCAAATAATGCTGGGAATAGTATTTCTATAGAAAACCTATTTACGCTCAAACCGCGCAATGTGTCAATATAAATTAGGAGATGATCAAGCTTCTCCGTGCACAATGGCACGATGAGACACACTACAGCAAGACGGAAGGCTCTCTCCGTTCACATTGATTAGAATCTATATGTATACATTCAATTTCTCTGTGGTACAGGATCTCGCATCATGAGAATCAAATTCTCCTTCCCGTGATAACCCAATTGATCGAAATCAAATTCGATTTCACCCACTTCCTTCCATCCATACTTAACATACAACGGGTAACCCTCTGGAGTAGCCTCCAGGTAAATCCGAGCCTGCAAAGCATCGGCCTGCGCGATACCCCACCGAAGCATGGCAGTCCCCACACCCCGTCCCTGATAAGTAGGCAATGTAGCCAGCAGGTCAAGCACTATCTCAATCAGCAAATGCGAGCTCAGCGATTGTGAAGACCTACTCATATCTCGTTCCGTCGTGTGTTCCTTCCTCCCCTTTTCCAATGCACTCTTAAACCCCGTAAACGCCTTCATATTCATAGGCTGTGGTGCAAAAGCCACTGGATCCTTGGCGTAGATTTGGCCTTGCTGGCTCAGTTCGGGCACATTCGGGGTTACGCCCAGGATTGCCGGAATGTACCAGCGTCCGTACCCGACTACGACTCCGTTGTCGGTGACCTTCACTACGTGTGTTTCTGGAGTGTATAGATGCTTCATCGCGTGGAAGGACTTGTACGTCCGTAGTGATGGTTCGTCGGCTTCAGGGAACATCGCTGGTAGCACTAGTCGGTTTTGGAAGCTGTCATAGTTGATTCGGCCCAACTCGACGGCATCTTGTTCGGTGGCGTAGTCGACATGGTATGACATTGTGAACTGCTTGAGATAGGTTCTGGGTGCTTGAATGTCATAGTTTTAACAATTCCCCGCCTTGACATTTATTGAGATTCCGCTAATCTCGGGCTCCCGATTGAGACTAGTGGGAGGTTGTGATCTGTGATTGGCTGATGTATAGGCTGTACGAACTACAGACAGGCGCATTCCAATTCTTCGGTAACGTGGCTTGACACCCTCAGCGGGATGAATGTCATATCAATGGGGGGTTGGAGCGGCTACTGTTTTCTGTTGATGGCGAGCAAGAACCACTATCATGCAGGAGTCCTGAGGCATTCATGGCGCGGACCACCGGAGACATGCTAAAGATAATGCGCCCTCAGATCCCTGTCCTTGTGCATTCAGAGGTTATGCAAATTTGACTGTGGGAATCACCTTCATCAAATCGAAATACTAAGGGGAAGGAGCTGGTATATATGGCCTTTGCCATTGGAGAGCTCCGCTCAAACCGAGTCGGCCCTCTCCCCTTATCTCTATAATACGATCTATTCTCGAAAAATGGTTATGTTCGGAAATTGTCATTCCCTGCAAGTCTGGTCAGGCTTTGGAACTTTTATATCCTTGACTCTGCAATCTCTACAGAGAAAACAGGCTGGATACATACTTGTGCTGAAATGGTACTTCTGAGGTCCGGAACGGAGGCTAGTATCAAGCCTAATTTTAGCTCTTCTTATATGTAGCCCAAATGTTACATCCCTTTCATCAAATGGGCTTGTGGTTTAGTGGTATAATACTCCCTTAGCATGGGAGTGGTCCGGGGTTCGATTCCCCGCGAGTCCATTCTTTTTGCTTCTGAACAAAACATCGGGACCCACAGGATTGTCAAAGAATCCCGAATTTTTGTCTTAGCAGAGATAGGATGTAAAACATTTAATATCAAGAAGCCCTATTTCATGTCGGGTCGATATGCATGATAAATGCCATCACAATAAATCACTCGGAGACATGAATTTGTGTACAAGATTACAAACTGGCAATTTAGCATAGTTTGAGCAATTCTCGGCGTATATTTCTTCAAGCATAGTTTCGGTGCATATTGCAAGTCCTGGAGTAGGACATAACAAGGTCTTTTTATCCAAATGTCCATAATCTTCGACCTTCACTAGTTGAATACATCTTTCAAATGTTCTATATAGGTATGTACACATCTATTGATCATGCTATTTGCACCTTCAAACCTGAGCCCAAATCCTCGACCCAGTCAACAACGTACTCAAAACCATAGTCCCGCCGATGACAAGGTCCCCAGGATGATACCAACCCAACAGCGACACAGGAAGTAGCAAGTCACACCCATCGACCACAATCTGCTTCATCAATACCGAGGTGTCAACACGCGGAGCAGGCTTCTCCACGGTCTTTTCGTTATTCTTCTCCTTCTTGCCATCTTTCGACTTGATCTTCTCAGCAGCCCCAGAAAAGAGAAGGGAATAAACAGAGCCAGCCAGGGACAGAGACAGCGCATAGAACCAAAAGGTGTTCGCCTCGCGCATCACTCGCTCCTCCCATGGTACCGCATAGACGCCCATAGCATGTAACTATGTCTGTTAGTCAGATATACGAATATCCCGAGGTGAAAACATACGATAGTCAAATCTTCCAATACAAAGTACAAGCCAAAGCAGGTCCATTTGGCAAGGTCCAGCCACCTAGCCACGGATCCAATCCCCCCACTAGTGAGGAGGGTAGATACCTGCTCAAAGGACTGAAGGAAACCGAAGAAACGGAAAAATCGTCGGGCTGATTCACATTAGTACCAAAATAAACATTATTTATCAATGGAAGATACAATGGCTACTTACTAAGAGCCAATTGCAACTTGGCGGTTGTCAATCGCACGGCAGTGCTGCCGATGGTGAAAACTGCGGCGATCTGGGCGACGGACTGGATTAGACGGAGAGTCTTTTCCAGACCGGCGCCATTGTGAACGAAGCGGGTGAGTTTTTGAGACATTGGAGATTTCTGCAAAGATTATTTACAGCGTTCAATTGTCCAGAGGTGAGGGTTGTGTGTTGATTGACGGGTTATGCCGCTAGTCGCTAGGACTTCCCTAGACTGGTTGCTTATTCAGCTTTCTACACCGTAAGGTACTAGCCAATACACCGAATCATCCATTGAAATAAGGTTCTTTTGCTATCATTCGAATGTGCACATGTGTGCCTGAATGACTTGTTTGGGGGTTGTGGTGTATATTATATATAATAGGTCTGGACACGCGTCACCGGTCCACTTGACAGATCAGGGACTTAACCTTGGAACTGGCAACTGGGACCACTTCTTATCGATATAAACCCGCGATAGATCGGGACCAACTACACCAATTGGAACAAAATGCATAGGCATAGTTCATTTGGTAGCCTTGCCCGTCGGGAAATATGCGGATAAAAGTGCTTCTGTTTGAATGTATTCATAGAGAAAATATGTATTCAGCGCTAATCAATGGACCACAATACTTATTTACCGCCCCTTGCCGCCAGAGATGTCCTGTCCCAGGCGGTATCCACCGACCTTCTCCCACTCAACCTTCTGTCGGGTAATAGGGAGCTGTCTTCGCAGTCCCTTGAAGGCTCCCTCGGCCACATTGACAAAAGCCCGGTTCAGTTCCTCCTGGTAGTCGCGCTCGGTAGCAGCGATGCGTGACATGATTGACTCGGCGGAGATCGAAGATACGGAAGCGCTGACCGGCTTGGTGGTGCTGAGAGCCACATTTCCATCCTCATAGTAGTGCACATGAACGTGGATCTTGCCGGTCACGGTTGTTGAGGAGGAAGAGATGGGCACTTGGTAGATGGCGCGGAATCGACCGTTCCTGTTTAGCCGCAAATCATTAGCTTCGTTTCTAATAGATGCGTGATCCTACTCAAGGCATACCAGAAGTTGTTGGGCGAGTATCGGTTTGCGACCAGGAGAATGGCGACAGCTGAATCGTTGTCGGTGGGATAGACACCGTATGAGCAGCTGGGGTAGTGCTCACGGGCATGGATGCTCAGAGACTTGAGCAAGGATTTACTAGTAACGTGAGCAAGTCATGTATTGAAAGCGGGATCGCGCCAGAAGTCAACGTCTCTTCCTTACATCAAGTCGGCGTTCTGAGATTCCAAAGGAGCTGATTGCGCCGCGGACGCAGTCTTGATCGTGCGTGAGCCTCCACCAATATTATATTCTCATCCGATTTCAGCATACCTGTGTAGTGTGATCCATCTCAAACGAGGTCTGGCTCTCAGTGTCAAAGTAGCGGTTGCCCTCGAGCTTATTAAATTCACTGACAATGACCTGTCGCAGTCAGCATCAGTCGAAAACCGGGCGAGAATGAACCCCACCTCCTGACTTGAGCCTGGTAGTTTGACCGTGGTCAACTGGCTCTCATTGTATCGTTCAAACGCCGGTGCGAGCGAGGGAATAATATCTTCGCCCTCGGTCAGGGCCTGGACATCTATCGAGGTCGTTTCAGTATCAGAATGCGGGGTGGAGCGACGCGGATCCTAAGGCCTTCGGGGTCGAATTTAGGTGGGAGAGGAGAGTCGATTACCAGCAACAACGTCGGCGAGCTACAAGTTCCACGGTCAGCATGTTTCACAACATGGAGGGGTACGGGACCATGGGGATTGACATACTTCACCCGGCGGGGCTCCCTCTATAAAAGAGGATGCAATTTCAATAGTAGAGGCCATGCTGTAAGGAATGGAGAGGGGTGAGAGAGGAGGATGTGGTTGCGGAGGTCAAGTTGAGCTCGGGGCGGGGACCCGCACGTGGTTCCGCCAAACAAAACAAGCAAGTAAAGTGTTTGAAGTATTGCAATTGGTTCAAATAGAAAAATTAATGCATAATTCCTAATTATCCGTAACAAACTGAGCTATGTTAATGCCCAAAAATAAAGAATGTAATTGCGCTCAGAATCCCCAACGCCAATACTCAGTCCTCACGCCATGATCGCGCTAAAAACAATATGATCGAGATCCCCTAGAGACATAAAAGCAAAAATTAAACAGAGAAACAGAGAAACAAAGATCGAACCAGGAGCTTCACCCCAAATCTATTCAATACTCATGTTCATAAATCCATCACTGGCTTCAGTCATGCCTTGCAAGCCCACGCGCTTCGTGGTGCCAGTATGTGGTGTGGTACGATTCCCAGTCTCGGTGCTGCCACGCTCAGAGAAGGGAGGACCAAGCTTAGATGGTGGACCCCAAATATTCGGTCCATTATCAATAACGGAGGAATGGTTCAGCACCGGACTGCTTTGGGCACTCACGCTAGGCGACACAGCTCGACGCTTGAAGAGGTTTGGATCAAAATCGTCCTCCCGCCGTCGCTTCCGACGCATCTCACCCACGACAGTCATTCCAGAAGCATATGGAGTCGAGGAGCGGGAGCGTGATTTGGAGTCAGCAGTCGTCGACCCAATCGTGGTAGACGGGGTCATATCCATCATTATGTCATCGTCTGCGACAGAGGAGGCGGCCTGGCGCAAGGATGGCGGTGGAGTGCGATAACGCTCGTCAAATGAGTTCCAAAAATCAACACCCCCAGAGTTGCGGCTGGCTTGTTTGCTGAAACTACTCGGGTCTGCGTTTGATTTCCCCGGTGTAGATTCATCGCCGGGAGATTCCTCCACTGTTTCAGTTGGCTGTAGCGAAGGGAAAGTACCAATTTTGGGCGATGTCTCAGGTTCTGTATCGCGAACTTGTCTAATTACTTCAGCCTCGCGTTTGACATCGCTGTCGATGGGTTGGCCTTCTTCCATCAACGCTGCACGAATGCGAGCAAAGGTCTTGGTTTTAGGCTATCACATAATTAGTCAAGTTTTTGAGCACTCAATAGCATAGTCACTTACCAATAAACTTCCTCGCCTGGTGACCGCACGCCGGATGACTCCCAATGGTCCACCTTCGGAATGGGGTGTACCAGTAGGACTACCAGCTCGTACAGCGCGGCCTTCACCATCGTCACTTAGATCTGACAGGCGAAGGTCTTTTGTGCCAAAACTCAAGCTCTCTCGTCGTGAATGGACAGACGGTCGATGCCCAAAATACCCTGCTGTTGAATTCTCCACGCTCTTCATGACGGGAGGAGAGTGGGGTCCAGGGCTAGGCTTGGAGCTGTTAACACTTGCGCTGCTGGAACTATGCCGGCTCCTTGCTTTGTGGAGACGAGCTCGCTGGAAACTCATCAGACTAGCAGCTGCTTGTGAATAGCCTCCCATCCAATCGTTCCCGGGGCTTTGAATGCTATTCGCACTGAAGGGACTCGGTCCGTTACCCATGCGTGTTGCCTGGGGTGTGGAGAGCATGATGTCGTCACGGTCACCCATCACTGCATCATCATCGTCTTCGCTGCTGCTGGTATCCGATTCCATCATATTCACGCTTGACGACACGGAGCTCGAGATTGCGGTGCGATCCGCCAGACCTGAGGTTGAGAAGACGGGAACTGATGTCGAGCCAATGGATCCACGTCGTTGTGGTATTGTCATGCCACGACCTCCAATTATCGGCGACGAGTCGGGAGAGGATTCAGCGAGAGTAGAATGGTGGAGGTTGGTACACGCGCGTGAGAAGTCCAGGCCGCGAGAGCGTCGTGGGAGAACAGAGCCGGGGGAACCATAAATTTGTGAAGAGTCGAGTTTCGGTGATAGCGGGGCGCGAGATATGGAGGGGGAACCTGATCCCTTCGAGGGGAGATTCAAGGATAGGTTGGGATGGTGAAGGCTGTCGGAGCGACTGGGTGTGACCGGTAACGTGGGGAGCGCACTGTCGTCTTTACTCGGCGGACGACTCAGATCCCCTGTTTCTGGTTGTATACTGTTTGTAGGCCTCGAAGCGTCTGACAGAGAACGTGATTTGGACACGCGCTCCGGCGAGAAGGACGATTCTGGCAGAAGTTGCTGGCTCAACTTGCTCTCAAATGGACGAGCTGTAATACTCCTCTCTGGCCCTGGAGGCCGAGGTTGAGCCATTCTCCAGAATTGTAATCAGTACAGTCTTATAATACCATACAACGGCATGGTGGAGATACGATCAAGTACGCGAAGTTATCGCGAGATAATGGGCGGCTAAACCGAAAGCGGAGATTCAATGGCCCCGCAGTGGCGATCACTGATCAGTACGTCAACCAACACTTGAACACTTACACTTCAGTACTTCATTTCTATTCTTGTTCATTGTAATGTCCAAAATTAATATAATATTACACGTAGAAAATGCTGTACATGCCGATCTGGCAAATATTCATGCCAGGCTCATGGCATCACTCACAGGTACTACATACCACTCCCAGTCATTCAGCCCATTCATCTGTGGTGCCTTGACTAAATCCTGATCGCGGGCTTGCCAAACCTGTATAATCACCGCCCGTGTTCGAGCGATATTTGATATAGTTGATTCACCCATCGCAGCCAAGGCCCGCAGTATGATAGACCGACCGGAGACGGGGTCATCGGGAGTGGACCAGAGTTCATCGTGCGATGGATCGAGCTCGACACCTGCGACAAAGAGAGGCCATGTCACACTGGCCAGGGAACCGAGAATTAGCTGGTCGGATACTAACCGTAGGATCTGATTAACGTAGTCCGCCACTACTGGAGTTGTGGGACTGGCCCCATACAGTCCACAGTGCAGGTAAAGCAGGGCAGCTAAGCGTTTGGCCTCTGCAGCAGATGCGAGCGCGTCATCATCCCCATCGTCCCCAACTTCCTGTATCAAATTCTCAAGTTGGTGTTCAATAGACGCTGCGCGGTGGTTGAAAGCGTCTCGATCGTGGTCGGAATCAAGATGTCGTCGCTCGCGGCTCATATCGGTAATTATAGAAAGAATCGAGACTAGCTCAGGGCTGCACCCCATCCACAAATCAATATTGTGATCATCCGCCCTCCAGTAGTCACTTCCAAATAATACTTCTTTCGCACAGGCAGTCCGGCCCATGACATCTTGAAAGGCAAAGAAATGTTCCGCAAAGGCAGAAACCGGATGGGACGTATCTGGTGTTTGCGGAGGGGTGAGGGCCCGCTGTCTCCTTAGTCGAATCAAATCTTTGGCACCTTTGAGATGAATTGTCCATTGCTGGTCGCATTTGTCTGCAATCTCATAGAGGCACAGCATCATCATGATCACCAGCACCTCGGGGTCTGCAGAGCATGTCAAGGAGCCTTCGATGGAGAGACGGCGTCGAAGGTCTCTCAATGTTTCGGACTTGAGGCGAAGGCCAAGAGGGGCGTATGACGGGTTAGCTCGGGCCAAGTGACATGCGCCGAGTGCTTGGATAGCTCTGAACAACGTAGGCGATGCAGATACGCTGAATGGTAGAATCACAGAGGCAAACGGTGAAGACATGGTTGAACTGGCAGTTGTACGAGGGCACACCTGCTGGAGGTAATAGTCGAGAAGCTCCCCATGCCCGAGCTGCGATATCTGTGGGAATAATGATAGAGCCGGTGAAGGCCCTGGATCTATGGCTCGAAATATTAGAGCGTTTGGCACAGTGCGATAGGGCAGGGAAACATGATGCTGTTCATTCGAGACAACATCCACTTCATTGGGGTTCTCGAATGTGCCCACTCCGATGTTGACGAACCCCCATGACTGTATATGTGGTAATAGACACCACTCACGCGTCTCATCTGACAACTCAGAGGAAGGTTGTTTTTCGTCTGATCTGGTTTTGCTCCAGACTCCCGCACGCCCAAAAGCCACGCCGCGACTGGCAAACTCGGACTCCCATTTGAGCTCTAGATTGGTGGAGCATGGTAGCCCTTTTTGCTGGCACCGCGTGCAGACGGGTTTCTTGGTATCACATCGAACTCGACTAGCTCGACATTCCCGACAGCCACTACGAGACCGGGTTTTCACCGGTCCCGTACGGTCGGCGGCTTTTCTGCGCGGCATCCAATGTGAGGCAAGCGTTACATGAGCCCGATGGATGATTTAAGCGCCCATCAGAGTGCGGTCAGTGACATGCACGTGAAACTACCCGATGGACTGTAGGGTTCTGAGTGGTGATCTGTAGGTTACAAAGTGGATTAGAAATGGTCCCCGCGGGGCGATAAGAATTTCATCCACATTGGCCACCCCGCAATCCACAAACTCTAGCTGAGTGGTAAGTATATGCGTTTTATATGTTTTATCTCATGGAACCCGAGACTGATGTGGAAGTTTCAAATGTCCTTAACATGCCGTTCTGCGCCAACTGCTTATCAGACTGTTCAGTATACGAAATTATGCTCCTTATCGTATTGACTCCAAATCCTCCAGTGGATATCCTTCCGGGCTATGTTCATCGTGGGAGATAAAAGGTCGCGCCAGTCCTTGCTCTTCATCCGATCTACCAAAATTTTCCTGGCTTATATAGTCGGCCTTATCATAGGGAACATCGCAGCGAACCGACCACAGAGACGGATAGTAACGACGATATGAAAACCAAGCTACCGCCATACCTAGAAGTCCACCACAGGTCACATCCCATACATCATGTCTGTAATCCGCTAGACGTGACAACGCGACTAATAGAGCGCAGAATAGGGGGGTGAAGGAGATCAGACACCGACCGAGATCTGAGCGAGGCCGGAAGACACGCATCTGGCCGCAGAAGAAACTGTGACGATCAATCAGTAAGCCACTTGAGACCATTTGGCAATATACTCACAGAGTCAAGTAGCCCAACCCACTGAAAGAAAAGCTACTGTGTCCACTTGGGAAGCTGCGCCATCCTTCAAAGAGGAGCGCTTGGTTGGGCTCTGTACAAACAGTCCACGTGAGAAGCACATTGTCTGCCGTACCCCGAGCCGGCTTGCACCGCGCCAGTAGATCAGGACGAGGCCTGCCTACCACGTTTTTGATTATATCGGTCAAAAATGTGCCGAGGATGAGCGACACGAGCAATCCAAGTACCGTCGCCTGGGTTTGCTGTACGCCAGGGCGCGAAACAGCTGACCATGTAAGGATTATGCCCAATGGAATCACACCAGCCAAAATTATAGCCCAAACTAAGGCAATGAGTATATCGTTTGCTGAGTGATGTGGATATCGAGGTTCTTACTGATAGGGACTCGTTCGTGTGCGGCCATAGGATACTGGATGGACTTGTTATCGAGGGAAAACATGCGGTGAAAAGGATTGACGAGAATTGGGATCTGTAAAGAGACAGCTTAGTATATGTTAATAATAAATAACACGGACAATTCAGGATTACCATTAACCATCCTGCCATGAGACATCCCAGTGCGACGTAATCACCCGCATAGGTGCGTTGGTAAAACCGCGCTACAGCTCCTCCGAACCCAGAACGGTTATTTGAAGGTGAATCCCTTCCTGGGCCTCGAGGCATTTGAAAGGAATTGAAGTGAATGAGAGAGATGGAGGAATGAATGTCTAAGAGTCAAGACTGTTTGGGCGGTCGTAATGCACAGACCCACTTTAACCTTCACCTTCCGCTTCTTAACCTCTTGACCTCCGCGTCTCTCCTCACTTCCTCACTAGGCGCATTATTGTACTTTATTGATTCAAATTCAATATGGCTGATCCCAATCAGCGCGTCAATACGGCTTTTGCGCCACCACCACCCTTGTGGAAGCACTTCACACGCGACAACCTCGACAAGTTAAAAGAGATCAAGACCGAGGCTTCAAAGAACAAGGATGGGCGACCAATCCGCAAGGAATGGTCACCAGCAGAATTACGCGCACTTAATCTCCCCCCAGAGCTTCGATTTTTAGTCCCGCCAGATATTCCCACGGGGGAATATTCAGTTTTTGGCGAATTGCAAACAGTGAGTTGAGTCGACGCTTTATTCAATTCATTTAAACTAACATGATTTTAGCTATCAACCACCTTACCTTCCCTGCAGGAACAGGGAATTGAACAACTTTACCCCGAACCACCCACGAATACCACACAAGACCCTTCGCAACCGCCCCAATCACCACAGCCGCTGAGCCACGCCTATTACCTCCTCAAGATCAGCAAATCCCTCCTCCTTAACTTCCTCGAGTTGGTCGGAATTCTGTCCGTCTCACCAGAACAGTTCGAACCGAAAGTCGAGGACATGCGCAACCTCTTCATCAATGCACACCATCTTCTCAACCTGTACCGCCCCCATCAAGCCCGCGAATCACTCATCATGATGATGGAAGAGCAGCTGGAGCGAACCAAAGAAGAAATAAAACAGATGGATAAAGTTAAGGCCGATATTGAGGGTCTTCTGGAGGAGATCCAAGCAGAGGGCAGTGACATCCGGTCAATGCAGCAATCAGCAGATCCAAGCAGTCTGGGGTCAGCGTCGCGCAAAGCTGAGGATTCACGTTTGATCTGGGACCTTCTTGAAAAGGAGATTTGACTTCATCGTGATATCGGAATAAATCAAGATTTTTCAGATGTGCAACACTCCATGCATTTGGACTGGACTGTCCAATCACTCCGCTGATGCCGCAAATGCCCTGGTCTGAGGCACAAGCTGTATGATGGCATGCATATAGCATGCCGTATATCGATACCCTACAGAGTCGAGTTCCATGGGGTTTCGATTGGATACACTGGCTTAGCACGGCAGTCGCTTCGATTGATCCCGCCATCCCCACGGATAACATAGTCTGCAGACAAAATGTTGTCACTGCGGGAATCCCGGCTTGCTATAGGGATTACTTCTGGAGCTCTCGTTCAGCAGGACCCAAATCCTAGGCTCTCACGATAGATCCAACGGGCATCACATTCATGTCGAGCTCTACACATGTGCAGGATAGCGGACACTATAGTTTCTAATATAACTAGCAATCAAGTCCTAAGTCACCGAAATAAGTCACCGAATTTTTTTTCGAAAAGAACCAATTTTCTCTCTGTTTTTATTCATCGCAAAGGTCGACCCGAACTTGTGGATTTGATGCCTACATATCGCTGCACATGTTTCTAGGATGTGACGGAGTGAGTGAACATTTGACGTTACTATATTATATTATTAAAATTTTCATGTCTAGAACAAGGAGCATATTCCATGCCCAGAGTTTTCAAATCGTTCCGAGATATTATCACGTCGATATACGCCCAAGCCGTCAATATCCAAACCCCCAATGCCTTATACAGTGCAAAGCAAAAAAACTTTTACAGCGGCAAAAGCGAGCCAGAACTCTGCTCACGCCATGCCTTGTCAATAGCGCATTCAGCCAGCCGTGTCATCTCTGCCACGAAGTCAGCCACAAGCTTGAAGTGGAGATATTCATTCGAAGAATGCCTTCGACGAAAGAGGCGCTCCATCATGAACGTCGCCATCTTCAGACGATCCATATCGTCGCGCGAGCGAGGGTCTAGTGGGTTTGAAAGAATGCTACAGAAGATACTGAGCAATGCCGATATGGGATAGAAGATCAGAATCCTAAGCAAAGTTAAGTTATATCAAAAATCATTGAAGCTGTGTAGCAACATACCAGAAAATGCCCTCGACTAACACATGCTCCCCTGCCTCTAAGTAACAGAGGGTTGAACGGCTGGCCTCGACCGATAGAGCGAGACTTGAGTTGACTCCATCCAGCATTCCGTTCCCTTGTCTCCATGCCTGGCATCTACTGCTCGCCGCGTGGATTATGGACATGCAGAGGTAGTAGTTGAGACGCAGCATGACTGAATGCATGCTGACGTTGGGATCGGAGGTTTCAGCGGAAAAAGACATGGTCGGTCGCCACTGTGCTGGAATGGACAACCGCCATGCCTCCAGCTCATCATCTAATTCCCGAATCGACTTCAAAAGATCCGCATCGGACTTTCGCATTGCGCTCACAGAGTAGAGGGCAGTGTGCGTGCGAGATTTGATAATACTCAATCGTAAGTCGAATGGGAAACTCGGCTGTGAGTAGACCATATTCACGTCTTCAGGATCCATAAATGAATGTTCCTCGTAGCCTGGTGGGAGGGTGAGATCGCAGTTTTCATCGGCAATATTAGGTGGCTGTCCGGTGCGAAGGGCTACATCCTTGTCCATTGTATAGATGATCCAAAAGAGATTGCGTAATTGCTGCTGCCTTCGTTGATCTCGTTCGCCTTTCAAATGGACTCTACTGTTAGTGAGATTACCTCCCAGCATGAATATGAGACGTCCAGCGATTGCAGCAAAGTAGTTGGTGGCTCGCATGTTTCCCGATGACACCTCGTATAAGGTCTGAGAAGCACAATGGCAAATATTAGCATTAGCTCTGGCAGCAAAAGCACGAAAGGCTCCATTTGACCCGAATGAGGCTAAAGACGCACCAGCATGATCACAGCCTGTGCACCTTCCAGGTTCGCAGGCTCTTGGACAACCTGTGATAGTAGAAATTGAGCTTTGGAAGCCAATACTTCATGATCACCTTGAAGTGAAACACAGGCCGGATCCCTGACAGCAGCAACGACGGGCGGAAGACGAGCGGAAAACGCAGCAAAAGCAATAACGCATGCTCTGGCACTTGCTTGGCCAAACCCAAAGCTCGACCGAGGTTGTCGGTAAGCTTCAGAAATAGTTTCGGCGAATAATTCGGGATCCACGACGGGGAAGAGGCGGCGCATCACGGTTGAGCGCTTGTAGGCATCAAAGTACACCTCCACGCTTCGCCGGTCTGGCAATTCAAATAAGTTATCGTTTCGTAAATTCATCATAATGGTGTTTGAGATCTGGCCACGTTCCTTCTCCCACGGTGCCCGTGCTGGACTGAATTTCTCGCTTGAAACGGTTTGGCCCGTGCGAGACTCAATCCACTTCTGGCCCTCTGGTAGGAGGTACGGGATACCGGTGAGGAAACTGATGACACCTAGCTCACGACCTGCAAAGTGAACACCCACTGAAGATGAAAGAATGGGTTGGTTGCTGATACTAGCACTCGAGCTGGCACTTGGGGAGTTGCTCGCAGTAGTGTTGGCAGTGCTATTAATCGCATTGCCATCAAGAATGTGTGTATAATCCATCGGCTCTGATTGAATAAGATACTGAAATTGGCCTGTTTAGAAGTAGGCACATACCAGAGTTAGACTCCCGCATCAGATTTTCTGCCAGAAGCTGCTCGATGCGACTAATTCTCTCCGAAAGCCGCGAATTCTTGGGGTTGCTACATCCAATTTAATCAGTTTTTATATCCTCTTAACTGCAAAAATTAGGATTTATAAACTTACTTGTCACCATTATCATCTCTTTTTCTTTTCCGCTGAACCACACGATCAAAGGTGCATGAGAGGTTATGGTGGCTACACCAATTACATTGTGGGGACGCCGCGTCACATTTGATCTAACTAGATCAGTATGGGAAATGAACCAACAAGAGACATCTGTACCTTGCGCCTATAACAAGAATCACAGGCACGCGCAGTGCGCTTCCGAGATTCGTAAGGATCCATAGGTATATGTGAGATGCAAATTGATCCCTAATCCTCACGAAGTGCGACTCAAGCGCTTAGTCAGCGGGAGTCGGCGATCCCGGCGTCGCCTACTCCGGAGTCCGTACCATGGTTCAATGAACTTTATCTTGGGATCTACAGCCGCCAGACTTCATTATTACGATCAATCTCATATTAGAACGTGTGATACTACGCATGTATCAGAATAGTTATGACAACATGTGCAACGAAGACATCTCAGGGTTAAAACATGGGGCGGAGACTCCAACCTTGGAAGATTCAAGGAGGGATATATAAATCAGCTTGATTCCAGTCTTGTACATAGCAAATCACATCACAGTGCAGACACAGCAATCGCATTCTTCATCGCCACAGTCGCATCCAAAGCAAGGTTTGGAAACAGACTTGATAGGTTTTGTCACGGAGCCACCAGAGCTGCCAGAGGGAAGAGTCCAGTCAGACGGAGTCGAGGTGGAGGTGATCATCTTGGTGAACAGTCAAGTATCACGAACTAGAAAGTCAGCATACATAGTCCAACTCGACATGAAAATCACTTTTTGTTGTGAAAAGTAGACTGAAGATGAGTAGATAATATCTTTGGAAGACTTACCTTGGACAGGAATGACGTGCTTGATGGGAAGGAGAAAACTGTGGTGATGGACTTCAGGCAGCCAATTTATGGCGGTTCTTATCCACGCTGTAATGAGTGTTGCAGCAGCACAGACCAATGATACGGACCGTCGCGTTATTCAGGCTGATAGAAACCCGCCACACACGTCACAGGGTCCAATCTAGTATTTAAGAAACAATCGTCATTGCTTGTAGCTCTACCACACGAGGAGAGGGAAGCGACCCATTACCCTTTTCCATTAAAGCAATGTATATTCCTTGGCCTTAACTAATTGAAATTCCGAGATAAAATTCAAGGCCATGCCAGTTGAGATAGAACTAAACAGAAATCGTAAAAAAAAAACCGAAACACCGTGACCGGCTTTTACCAGAACTCCGATTCCGTCGCCAATCGTGTATCATGAGGCATAGTGAATCCAATCTGCACCGAACTACACAGATAGAATCCAGGAAATAATGTTTAATCTTCATCAGAGTCGAGAGATCCGTAGCGGCCGCGCCAGCTAAGGTTACCCTCCAGGCCACCACCGAAAGCACGATCAATATATCCTGCAGGAGTTAGTCCAGGAATGAACAGTTAAAACTTCGGGGAAAACATACCTCCACCACCGAAATAGCTGAGAGCCACCGGAAGGAAAATGAGAGCATGAGTGGCAGCGAATACAACCAACGCCAACCAGACACGGAAGTAATAGATCTCGAAGATCTTGCTCCGGGTAAATGCGAGAACACAGACCCCAAGTAGCTTGGTGATAGTGATGCCGCTGAAGACGGTTCCGCCGACGTTGACCAATGCAGCCCAGGCACGAGCATCCTTGCCACGGAACTTGCCTGGTGCTTTCTTCACCAGGGTTTGCGAGGGGAACATGAATGCCCGTGCAATATGGGCGCAGAACTCCACGCTGATACCAACACAGATAACCAAGTTCACCAATGAGACAGCGTTCAGGGAAACACCGGCGATAGCCATCGTGCCAATAATATCTACCACAGTCATGACCACCGTGGTAGTGATGACAGCACCGGTGGCGACCGACCCCAGGATGGCAGAGGTGATGAGAAAGATGATGGCGACAGCCGATCCCAAAAGGGTACCAGTCAGTTGGACGATAGAAACATACTGATCAAAGAAAATGTAGAACTTGGAGTACGGGAAAATGTCAATGTTGTGCTCCTTCGAAAGCCCATCAGCGATTCGACGAGCTGAAACGTATGCTTGAATAAAGGCATCCTGGCTCCTCAAGGGGGTGTGACTGGTCCGGAAATGACTAGCATTTATCATGGTATGTTCCTCATCGATAACTAGGGCTGAGCTGTAGGGTGCTTTCCCACCTAGAGGGCAAGAGGCGTCGGTAGGAGCGTCGATCCACTTGCCAGCATAATGAATGAACTCCGGGCCCGTCGGCATTCCGTAGAGACTCAAGTTCCATCCTGGGACACGGTCCTCAAAACATATCTTGCCATCTTCCTGGCAACACTCCTGTTGGGGATTTAACCAGTAGAAGAAGTCATCAATCCAGCTAGCGGCGGATCCAGAAATGTAAGAAACATTCGGACGCTTGGACTCTTGCTCCAGCACAAATGGCAAAGAAAATTCCTCACATGTCGTGAACCGTCCACAAAGCTGTTGTTGATGGCTCCGCTCTGTCACGTTGACACCGCGAGTCACGAAATACACAGGCGGACCGGTGCGGAAATATGCATCAAGGTCATTGAAATAAGAAATGAGGTATGAGTCGCTCGGGAGCGCAATTCGCTGGTCCAAGCCAATAGGCACCTTAGGAATCAACGCTAAACCTGCTGTCAGAAGGCCCAGGAAGATAATAACAACGGCCGCTTTCACCCTTCTATCCAGAATGAAAGGAGCATAGACGCGCCGGATAAAAGTCTGCAAGGCAGTCTCTGCCTCCTGATCATCATATATTTGGTCCTGGGATAGACCATTGGAGTTCGCTTTTCGCACCGTGAAACATGGAAAGCAGTCGGCACGAAGACTTTCTACCCGTCGCTGGTTGAGAGCGAGGACAGAGACAAACATGGTCACTTGCAGGATGGCATTGACAAAGACAGCACCTGCTGCGTATGCCGCAAAGTTTTTCACCGCAGGCATGCCGACGAAAGCACCTAGTCCAAATGCCACAGTCTCGGTCAAGGCAGAAAGGAAAATACTGGGCCCGATTCTTCCGACTGCAATTGCAATTCTTTCATCAATCTCGTCATTGGAGTGACTGAAATTGACTCGCTCAAATTCATGGACGATCAAGAAGATGTTGTCTACGCCTACAGCCAAAACCAAGAATGGGATGACTTCGGCGATGATCAGAGTCACCTTGACGCCCGCGGCAGAAAACAAACCGACTGAAGCAGAGACCGACATCAAAACGATCAAGATTCCAGCGATGCCCAGGGTAAACTTAGATTGGACCAGAGCATTCGCGGGGTTGGTAAGAAGCGACTTCCAGGTGACAGTGACAGATCCTAAAGCCAAGGAAGCATAAAAGAACATGATTATGTAGCTGATCACCACAATCTTTGCATCCGTATTAGTGGATTTGTTAAGCTCTTGTTCCAAGCTGACCTCGGCGTTGAAGGAAACGCGAAGTCCCCGGGCAGTGGCTTCGCCCTGAACGCCCTCAAACACGCCCTCAAAGGTGTTCTCCCAGTCAATGGCCTTTCTTTCCTCTTCAGTACCTTGGGCAAAATTGTTCACCACCCAAGTTACAACCAAAGCCCGAGCATCCAGGACATTGCCAGACTCCTCATAACCGCCAAGAATCATTTCCGGTTTCAAAGGCTGCTTGAAGGCAGGAAGACAGCTCACGTCACCAGGCGAGTCGGTACAGTGAACGAGTCGATCTTCCCAATTATTGGGGTCAAGATTGAAGACCGACCCACCGAAATATCCGGTTAATGATTGCACCACACAGGCATCACCAGTGGGCTTGAAACAAACATCATCCAGGATTAGGCCATACTCTGCCGAGAACACGCGACTTAGGCGTGATTCAACGTCAAACCACCATGACAAGGTCTCATAACTCAAGACTGGACCCGTTTCATTTACCAAAAAGACCTGCTCGGCTCGGTAGAATGGGCCGAAATTGTCATCAAAGAATGTCTTCTCCTGGGCCGCCGCAGATGAAGGGCTCACCCAAAGGCGAACTGGATCAGTTTCAACGGTAAATCGCAGCCAACCCAGGCTCATTAACATCACAATAATGATGCTCGAGCTAATTGTGATGCCGGGAAAGCGTGCACATGCACCACCGATATGGTGGAACATCGCTGACAACCAGACATTTGGCTTGTACTCGCCATGCAGCTGTTCCACGTTGCCCCCATGATACACAATCTCCCCTTCGTCTTCATCGTCACTAAGGGAGGGATCCTGAAGAAGGCGAACTCGTTCAGGTTTGCGGAACCGACGTTCCTTGTAAGTGACATAGCTCGCGAGACCCATTACCAGCAGCAAGAATGCAGAGTAGACAATGATAACGGCAAAGGAGAGGCACGGCAGAAATCCAACATGGCAGGCCTCATGCATAGCAACAGCAGGTAGCTCGGGGCACACCTCGGGACAGTCTACACAGGAACAGCGGTAGGTCTGGTCGGGGTCATTACAAGCCTTGGGTTTGATTGACACCGCCTTCATGCCTTGAGCATCAGAGCCCCGGGGCTCCGTGAGATAGTTGATTTGAAACGGGCTACCGAGTAGCTTCTTGTCACCTAGGAACTTCATGAATTGCTTGTAGTTCTTGGCACCTCCACCAATAAAGTCGATTGCTTTACCACCAGACGCGCCATTCTTGACATCCTTGCAGCTGTCAAAGAAGCCACTTTGGGAAGTTTCCGACCAGACATTATCCACCTCGGTCACCACTGTCTTGCCGGAGCTGCTCTCACCGGTTTGTGTGACATTGATAAACAGCGATTGATCGGGGGAACAAGTAAAGGTGCAGAAGGTGTTGAAAAAGTTCTCTCGACAGGCAGGACAGGATGCAATGATGCCTTCGGCAAGCTTCAGATTGCTTGAAAGCGCGTCGACCTACGGAAGAAAGCCCAGTTAGTGCCATTAACTCAACCCCGAAACATTTATACCTATAGAGTCATCATACCTGCTCATCACGGCAACAGACGGGGCCTTCTTTCCATTTCGAGCCACACAAATTCACCAATTTCTGCCGCGCCGAGTCCTCCGGCTGATGTGCCAGGTCATTGTCCGGACAGGGAAGTTGACCACCAAAAAAAGACTGCTTCCCACAATTCCCCCGTATCGCGCATCGGCCTACCTCGTGAATCTTGGTTTCGCCCTGTGCGCCGACTAGGGACGGCTGGAGGGCAAGGGCGCCCAGCCCGACGACCTCAAAAACAAACCCCGATAACCGCATCGTGCGGTAGGGAGGCGATTCGAACCACGGATAATGTCCAAGTTTTGAATTATTCCGTTATCGTGTGGGTCAATCTTATATGTTTGTTACGGTTGTGGGGTGTCGATGGCCATAGGTCGAGTGTGGAGACGACAGCACAAGCTCAGGAGTCGTAGACGCAAGGAGGCAAACAAATGAAGCTGGGATGTAGCTGATACTACGGACGCACCAGCGATAAGGGTTAATCTCCAGAGCAGAGCAAGTGGGGGGTCAGAAGTCGAGAAGGATCGAAGAAGCTAGTGTGGAGGAGAAGAGAAGTTGGGGGAGGATGACGTGCACGTAGAAACAAGAACCGGGTACCACTTCGGCCCCGCACGGGAACCGCACTATAATAAGTACTCGGCAGGTATTTTTCTGCCGAGCTTATGACTCGATGAAACAGCAACATCAGGTACAATATGCAGCACTGTCGAATGCGACCTTCAAATGTTTATTTGCAGAGAAACCCCACTATCTGTCGCCACCATAACTTATAGAGAGCTATCCTAAAACTGAAGTACATTAACCCTTCTGTTGCTTGGGTACACCGTGGACTTGTGGATATTGATTTGAGACCTTCACCTGAGTTGTCTCTTTTTCTATTTTTCGTTCTACTGCTCGTTTCTTTTCTTTTCTTTTCTTTTTTTTTTTCTTTTCTTTTCTCTCTCTTTCTATTCCGCTACATATGAAATTGGAGAGCCCTTTGACTCTTTAAGTCATCTGGTAGGAAAGAGGGTAAAATACTGGGTAGGATATCAGGTAGGACACTGAGTGGGAGACTGGGAGACTAGGTAGGCTGGAACCTTATACATGTATTATTTATGCATGTAGGTACGAGATCAAAGCTTTAATCAGTGCTTAGGAACCTTGGAAAGTGCGTACACGCCCGGGCGCTTACTTAAATTCTCTCATTGACATGATAAACCCTCCACTACCATGCTGATGTTAAGTGCTTGTGGAGTCGAGAGCCCATCAGAACACGCTGGCCAGAAAGTGAATACTTGGATCGGTAGGGAAGAATGCCGAAAGAGTTCGATTTCTATGGAAATAAATAAATAGATTGAACATGCACGATTCTTATGTAGTTGAGCATACCAATAGGATTAAGTGGATTTTTGCCATCAAGAATGGCTCAAGAACAAAAAGATCAGCTCATTGAATGGTAGCGGTTCTCCTACGTTTGTCACGCCGTTAAGTTTGGCGAATATTTTCCCGCCATCTGAAACGGTGTATAGACTTCCGCTCGAACTGATCGTTGGCCTCGTATGCTCTCGCTAGTGAACGCTGTGAGGCGAGCCGACTAGGGTGATCCTCTGCTAATATCTTCTCCTCAATAGCCACCACGTGCTTCAGGAGAGCGATCGCATCCTTAACCTGGCCGTTGGATTTATATGCTCTCGCTAGCGCATGCTGTGAGGCGAGCCGATCAGGGTGATTCTCTGCTAATGTCTTCTCGATAGCCACCACGTGCTCAAGGAGAGCGATCGCATCCTTAACCTGGCCGTTGGATTTATATGCACTCGCTAGCTCATGCTGTGAGGCGAGCCGACCAGGGTGATCCTCTGCTAATATCTTCTCCTGGATAGCTACCACGTGCTTCAGGAGAGCGATCGCATCCTTAACCTGGCCGTTGGATTTATATGCTCTCGCTAGCGCATGCTGTGAGGCGAGCCGATCAGGGTGATCCTCTGCTAATATCTTCTCTCGGATAGCCACCACGTGCTTAAGGAGAGCGATCGCCTCCTTGGCCTGGCCGTTGGATATATATGCAATCGCTAGCGCATGCTGTGAGGCGAGCCGATCAGGGTGATCCTCTACTAATATCTTCTCCTGGATAGCCACCACGTGCTTAAGGAGAGCGACCGCCTCCTTGACCTGGCCGTTGACTTCATATGCACTCGCTAGCGCATGCTGTGAGGCGAGCCGATCAGGGTGATCCTCTGCTAATATCTTCTCCCGGATAGCCACCACATGCTTAAGGAGAGCGACCGCCTCCTTGACCTGGCCGTTGACTTCATATGCACTCGCTAGCGCATGCTGTGAGGCGAGCCGATCAGGGTGATCCTCTACTAATATCTTCTCCCGGATTGCCGCCACTGATTGTAGTACTTCGACTCCTTCCTTTATACGACCATCTTGTAGCAGGCATTTCCCAATTTTATCTCCTAGAACATCTCTTCCTGTGTTTTGCTTCATTTTGACACTTTGCACTAGAGGAAGAACATGTGGGAAATATTGTCGCCACAGTAACCTGTTCTCCCATTCGGCCCACGGAAATATCCGAGTAAGATGCTCAATAGCATTCATCTCTGTCATGAAACCTTCATCATGTTGACTAGGCCAGAACCTTAGTGCCAGATGAACCAAGCTGTGCATATCCAGGGTTTGGCCATCCTCTCGCCAGCTGAGAAAACCATATCCGCAAAGCAACCCTATCGCCTGCGTCAGGTCCCAATCAGATTCAGCCTCAGGAAAGATGGTCCGTGGAATTGCCTTTGATTCTATCCACCTAATGAACGAAAGAAGACGGGCGGAGGTTGGATCAGTCTGGCAGATAGTATTGAAAGATACTATCCATGTCGTCGCCACCGCGCCCTGTGTGTTGCTGTAATGTGTCTCATCGCGCAACTGTGCACTGAGAAGGTTGATCATATCGTGATCTGTGTGGTTGCAGAGTCGCAAATACGCAATGATAGGCATCTTGTTCATGTTCATATAGGCTGCCGCTTGTGCCATCGTCAGAGGCATATATGCGAGCTTCTCCAGAAGCTCCGCAATATCGCCAACCTGCCTGATCTGAGTCTTATCCACTAGAGATTTTCCCAGGAACAGAGTGGCCTCTTTCGAAGTCATTCCCGTGAGCTCTAGTAGTTCCACGCCTCCGGCGTAAACAGCGATCTGTGAAGACCGCGTGGTTATGAGGGTCCGTCCAGTTGGACTTCGTGGAAGAACATCAAAGAGGCCAGTCGACTTGCCTGGCGAACCAAGGATCATTTCCATGTCATCTGCGTTGTCAAGAATAAGCAGCCAGTTTTCAGCAGCCTCTGAAGATAGATATGTACGGAGAGCCTCTTTGGGGTCGTCGCCGTCACCACAGTGGATACCAAGTTTTTGGACGAGTTCCGTTGCGGTCTTTTCAAAAGCCGGCATGCTTTGCGCAGGCATCCAGAATATGGAGTATTGCTCCAATGAGTTTTACTCGATATGCAAGTTCGAGTACCGTCTGCGTCTTTCCCATGCCACCTAGTCCCACCACGGCGACTCTCTCCCTCTCTTCAGTGAATAACATACGCCAAAGCTCCTCAATTTGAGGTTCTCGCCCTGTGAAGTTTTTGTTTTGTCTGAAAGGTATGTGGCAGACTAGCAAAAATGGTTGGTATCCACAGTGGTGTCTAAGCTAGCTCAATGACCTACCTCGTCGGGTGGGACGCTGCGCTTCGTCATCGTATCCCTTGCGAGGCCCTATTTGCTGCAACACTGCCTTGGCATAAGAAGCCGCCATGGCCGCGGCGTATGGCTGCCAGGCTTTATTCTTGTGCTCATCGCCGTAGTCACATACTCCGCGGATAACACCGACAGGGATGCGGTTCATCGTCCCAGCTGCCTCCATCTCGATGCCGATAACATCGTACTTGTCTCTCAACGCGTCTCGCTTGGCTGCATTCTTCATGAGCTTGTCTCCTGAGCCGATCAGGCCGTACCAAACGCGTGTGCGTATATCATCGGGCCTGCGCTCTCTGCTTTGGGGTTTTGTTGTTCCTGAATCGTCGGTTTCATAGAGTCGATCTGCATCTTGCCCCGGATCGGCGAATGTACCACTAGCATGTCGCTTGTCTTTTATTGTCTCGTAAAAATGGGAAAACAATTTCACATCATCGGGTGCGTGAAGCCTGATATTGCCGATCGCCGACCTTATGACGGTCTCAGTCATCGCTAAGACATGACCGCCTCGAAGAAGCTGGAAGCCATCTTCTGCAGTATCTTTGCCCAAGTCATAGGCAATTAAGCCAGCACTCTCCCCCTCGGGCAACGCCACCAAGACATCTCCTAGTCGGATGTCGCGAGGCGAGGGACCCGTTAATCTAGGCAACCCGGCGGCTACACCCACGAGCAAGCCGAACCAGAGATTGGGGAAAAACTTCCTAACTTGGCTGGCCAATGCTGCGGCGGATCCTGTTCCGTATTCTTGACCCGCTGGCAGCGTGGCAATGATAATGTTGTGTCCGCAGATATCGCCGGCTTGAAATACATAGTCGTCTCCACGCTGGAGAGGAAACCGTCCTTCGTGTCTTCTGTCCAACATGCATATAGCCGCTTGGGCCTCGATTTCGAGTGGTGCTATCCAGGCGATAGTATAAAGTCGTGGGTCCAGTTCATTCATGATTGGCTCAAATTTCAACAATAGAAATTAGAGAAGTCAAAAACCCAAGAGAGCAAGTAGAAGGGTAATCAGCCTGGGCGAAAGGTTGCTCCTTTTCCTGCCTTATTTTCAGCCACAACCCCGCACGAGGCTCTAGCCATCACCAACAGCAGAAAAAAAGCAAAACCGCTCTCGGATCCGATAAAGAGCTTTTCTAACCGCTGCAGGCGGCATAGCAACATCATCATTGGCCTGTGGCTGTTCATAATCCTGGGCCATGTCATGTCGGGTTTGGAGGGTGCAGGAGAGGAAAAGCCAGCCCTTTGAAAGATTTACTTAGTCTTCACTTTTAATTTTGGGTTGTAAATCAACCTTTGAAACTCAAATAAATTCTCTGCCTAAAAAACAAATTGGTGCACTCAGTGCTTCCACACAAGATGCAAGAAGTCTCCACCTCGACCAGCAGTAATATCCGAAGTCCACCAGTCAAACCCGAGTTTTCTCACTGTATCCCAGATCACTTGGTCCCTGCGACGAAGCAGCTGAAGGCTCGTGATCTTACTGAAACCATCGTTGCGCCAAGAGAGATACCGGAAATTACCACCTGTTCCAGAGGCAAGGTCATGGCGGCCTGTGTCCTGCTCGTCTTGGATATCAATTCTGATGTCGGAGATTGCGGTTGACTCTTTATTGTGATAGCTTGTCACAATCCAGACAAATTTACTATTGCCATATCAACATTCATTTGTCTATTCAAGCCAATTTCCAGATAGAAGTCAGCTGTTCGGGAACATAATTTCCGCCAAATCCATTTTTGATATCGGGGCTGTTTCGATCAACAACCGGGATCCTGTTACCAGGCTCTGAGCTTTGATCGTTTGAGATGACGTGCTTATCAAATATGTTGCAGATGTTGCAAGAAATGCTCAGAGCGAGGCTTACGAAGATTTGACTGAGATAACACATTTTGATTCCGAGGGAGAGATATTATCAAGGTCCACGGGCGCTTATGTAGACTGAGGAATACTGTCCGTTTTTGTTGGTTGCAAAATCCCGTTTGAAGGGAGGCAGGCTTTCTTTTGTTATTTCGCATCCTAGATATGAATACAGTGCCTACTGGAGAGGTCTGCCAAGGTCAATTTTGCCGACAGTCTCCCTCAAGACAGGCTGGGTGCATATTGAGGCTGGCTACCAGCTCGATTCAATAATACTCTAAGTCTAGGCAGTGCGACGCCTCTTAACGCAGTCACATATCCGGGAATTAGGAGATATTGAGTGAGCTAATTGTGTTCCCGCCCTCTTCGGCCTATAACTCAATAATAATACTTGAGATGCGTCATGCTTCCAGATGCCTTCAACGCCTGCACAGGCAGAAGTGTCTAGAAATTTTTGGACGATCAGATATTACCCACCATCCATCCAGCTAGATCTTCGGATTCCATGAAAAGGTTTATCCAGCGTTTACTGGCCGCAGAGAATAGTTGGCCGAACAAATCCTTGGCTTTTATGTCGACTTATGATGACTTCATTAAATGAACGATCAAACAGCGTATTCGAGAGCTACAATGTGTAGAATGCGGGTGACAGCGCAATCTTGCTCAGCTGCCGGAGGGTCTGGAGCGATGCTAGATGGAGTCTAGAATTAAGCAGTTATAGAACTATAGGCTTACATCATCCAATTACTAAATGGAGCTTTCTGAAGAGAGGCTTAGTCTCAAAGCCGATGGAGCGCACTCTGTGGAATTTAGAGACTGAACCCGAACCCGAATCCGAACCCGAAAATGATTCCGAGCCCCGGGAAAACACGCTCCACAAAAACATTTATCACAGCCCTGAAGCCCACCTACTTCAGATTCGAAGTTTTAATTCAGACCCGGATCTTGATTGCTATATCTCCTATAGTTTCACAACCTACAGCCTGATAGCCGATGCGCATCCTCAAATCTACGCTGAAGAGGCTTCCATTCACTTTGTGCCCATTTCATACACCATCAACAACGTCTACCAATCGATTCGATGGCTGCATTGAAACCGGAATGCAACGTTCAGGTTATCATTGATGCTGGTGGCATGGGCCTCAGCATTGCACGGCGCCTTGCAAATGGATATCGGCTGCTAATCGCTGATTTTTCAAGCACAAATCTATCTGCTGCTGTGGAAAGTCTTCGCGATGATGGATATGATGTTGAGGGGCACCAGGTCGATATTTCCGACTATGATCCGTGGAAGAGTTGGCATTGACCGCTGCCAAAATTGGGAGGATCTTCGCTGTCGTCCATACGGCTGGAGTCTCACCTGCATCCGCCGCAGGAGAACAGATTTACGAAGTGGACCTGCTCGGTACAGCGAATTTGATAGACGCCTTTTTCCGTGTCGCCTCCGCTGGCACCTCTTTGATCTGTGTGGCGAGTATGGCGGGCAATTTTGCTCGCTTGTCACCAGGTCTGGAGTCCCATCTGCAACGGCTTCTCCAGCATGATGAGATTGCTCTGGAATCCTCCCATCCCCATGTTGCATATACAGTGGCAAAGCGAGGAAATCAACTTCGCGTGCAAGGTGCTGCACGGCATTGGGGTAGCAAGGGTGCGAGGCTGAACAGCATCAGTCCTGGTGTGATATCAACCGCAGCCGGTCGACGGGAACTTCAAGGCGAGAACGGAGCGATAGCATTGATCGAGATGTCTGCAACTCGGAGAGCTGGTACGCCGAGTGATATTGCCGGCGTTGTCGCCTTTTTGGCAGGCCCGGACTCGTCTTTCATCACCGGCACAGATATACTTGTTGATGGTGGTGCCGTTGCTGGTCGCCGTTGGAATGCAGGTATTTGAATGTTCTTTCGAAGCGAAGGCACTCAAATCCCAATTTGACGATGGCCATGATGAACCATTAAATATCCGATTATAATTCATAGTGCTCGTGTCAAAAATAGAAGAATATATGCACATCTAGACAGTGACAGTGTTTCATAGAATTCTTGAGATAGTACTAAGTAACCTTTCAATGCTTAAATACAAAGTATAGGGACACGCAAGATCGCTAAGCCTCAAAGATCTACTACTCTTGAGGCCGTATCATAATTTTGAATCCACTGACTCCCTTTTTGTTTCTATCCAAAGCTGCTTCCAGAGCGGAAAGTCCCCCAAACACAAGGTCTACCTCTTTAGGCCCCAACTTCCCTTGGCGAGCAAACCATTCTCTCCACCAAGAGCCTGAATCAGAGGCTCAGATAAATTTTTCAATTCTGGCAACGAGCCAAGGCTAATGATATATTTCATTTGAAACAGGTACCTGGACGTCTCAATGGGGAAATTAAATCGGCTGCTGCATCAGCCATGTTAGTACTTGTTGGGGTCTACTCCTCTTAAGGCAGAGTGACACAACCGCTCTTGGCGGATAAGCAGATCGCAATCAATATGTAAGTAGTTACCACTGACACTGTGAAAGTTGCCTTACTGCGGAGAGAAACTGCGCCTGCATTGACAGGAAAATGGTTTTCTCTGAGTATCTGTACTGGAGTAGTCTCACTGAAACTAAATGAGGTAAGAGCACGGACGAATCCGTTCAGATATAGTGCAAACGTTTCAGCCGCTTAGGTTTTTTTTTTTTTTTTGCAAAAGCAGCATGGTGCTTCCTACCTCTGACTTGGCTCTCCCTAGCCATGGAAGGTTTCTACCGGGGGCGATGTACAAACGTAGGATTTTCGTCTCCAACTTTGAGCAGGCCGCGTAATAAGAATCAATTTAATCTCCAACCCTTTCCCCTACATTTCTTGGGTAAACACTTCTCTCTTGTTTTTCTTTTCTTTGTGTTCTCCTACAGATGCATTTGAAGAGTCTTTTTTTTATTCACCTAATCCCGTAGTAAAAAAGGTAGAATACTGGGTAGGAGACTGGGTAGGAGAATGGTTGGACGACTCAAGTGCTTAGTATGTAAGACACACAAAGAAGGAGATATAGTAAAAGATGTATTATAAACATTACTGGTCACTCTACCTCAAGTGCTAGGTAGGAGCGGCGGATAGCCTCTAGTCTAAGGAATGCAAAATTACAAGTATTGATTATTTAGCATTAACTTCTGTACTAGCTTCGGTGTGTTCCTACAAAGACTAAGATAATTGTTCGTCATAGTGGCCGCGTTGGGGTCGCAAGCTTGAGCTTTATTGCGAACGCTTCCATACCCTTCACTTCGCATTACTCCACTTTCCATCGGACAAAACGCCTTGATGAATGCGGAGATGTCTCCGCTAGGGATCCCACCAAGGACAATCTTTTCTCCTTTGTAAGTTCCTTGGAGGATCCAAAGCAATATTTAGCCGTCATGGGGGGTGCTGGACCAATTACCACTGAAAAGGCTACATTCAATCACTCCTTATGGCTTAAGGCGTGGTTGTTGCGTCGAGTTAGCTCGAAGAGGACCGACCTCTGCACAAACATCAGCCTATAACATTATTTTTCACACGACCAAATTATTCACTCGGCCTCAGCATGCTATACGTCGCGATACGTAACAAATTTTTCCTGCTGCACATTTGCGGTCCGTTTGACCTTCAAGTTGGATACGATTGCACATTCAAGTGAAATCCCATAGAATGAATCCCGAAATTAAGAAATTAAACATAAAGTAGACTAATGGTCGGGCAGCTTATGGCGGTCTTTCCCCGCACTTTTATTCCCTGAATTTCTTATTGCATTTAGGCAGATCAGGATAAATCCAAATGTTGATCCGTCTAGGGGTCAATTGAAACACGGTGAACATTTTAAAGCAAGGATATCGGAGTATATACGTGCACGAACAAACATAAATACCTATCTCATATCTGCCATATCACTAATTTGAGAGAGTCTGATCTGAATGGCCTTTATTGATTTCCCAGAAGCGCTCTACGAGACCTATTTCGTTTACTTTCATTTCGATCCTCCCTCCCTCCTTCCAATATGTATCTGTACCTGCTAGAGATAATCATCGGCACAGTATTTATCCTACCAGCCGTAGCAATGTCGACCAGCAGAAACTCGTCATACACAAATCCCATGCTGCCGGGATGGCACTCTGATCCAAGTTGCATCTTCGTGGCTGAGGAACACAATTCCTTCTTCTGTGCGACATCATCATTTCTCACCTTTCCGGGAATGCCAATCTACACCAGCAAGGACTTGGTAAATTGGAGGCTCTCTAGTCACGTATTCTCTAGGCCATCTCAAGTGCCCCAGATTGGAAATACTACTGTCCAAAACGGCGGTCTCTGGGCAACGACCATTCGGTACCACGATGGCAAATTCTACGCAATAGTATCATACACTCCAGAATCGCCGTTCGTTGTTACCGGGTTCATCTTCACGACTAGCAACCCATATGATAATAGTGCGTGGAGCGATCCGCTAGTATTTCCGCTGATTGACATTGATCCAAACCTGTTCTGGGACGAGGACGGGAAGACATACATCCAGTTCTCTGGCATCCATCAGCAGACCATTGATCTTGAGACGGGTGCCCTCGGCCCAGCAAGCATTATATGGAAAGGCTTCACTGAATATATTCCCGAGGGGCCGCGCATGTACAAGAAAGACGGCTACTATTATCTCATGATTGCCGAAGGTGGAACAGAGCTGGGACACCACGAAGCCATCGCTCGTTCGAAAAATATCTGGGGCCCTTATGAGGGCTACTCAGCGAATCCCATTCTTACGAACACCAACACTACCGAGTATTTCCAGACTGTCGGCCACGCAGAACTGTTTCAAGATGCGTCTGGATATTGGTGGGGCTCCGCCCTTGCCACAAGATCTGGACCTCTATGGGAAAACTATCCAATGGGTCGTGAGACTGTCTTATTTCCCGTAACATGGGAAGAGGGCGAATGGCCCGTTCTACAGCCAGTCCGCGGCTTAATGAGCGGCTGGCCACTGCCACCACAGACGAGAGAAATACCAGGAAGTGGACCGTTTATTCAAGATCCAGATATCATTGACTTTCCTCCGGGATCAGCGATCCCACCACATTTTCTATACTGGCGATTCCCACCAAAAGATGCGTTCGCAGTCTCTCCTGAGGGTCATCTCAATTCTCTTCGGCTACGTCCGTCGAAGTCAAATATCACGTCCAACGAACCGCTGACAACGATAGAAGAACTGAGTCTCATCATGCGTGTACAAACAGACACCTTGTTTAGTTTCAGTGTCGATGTTATTTCGTTTGAGCCAAAAGTGCAAGAGGAGGAGGTTGGCGTGACGGCTTTCCTCACGCAAACACAGCATCTTGACTTGGGCATTGTGCTCTTGCCTGTGAGCTGTTGCGGATCAAAAGACAAGGCGAAACTAGCTCCCCATTTACGATTCCGTGTCACAAATGTACCCGCCCTAGCAGGAAACTTTAATGGAACCTTGCCAACCGTCATAAAAACGTTGCCGGAGAGTTGGCTGGATGCACCTATACGACTACATATTGATGCGGTCAACGAGACTCATTACGCACTATCTGCTGCATCATCGAAGGAACCCGGGGTAATTGAGCTCATGGGCACAGCACCTGCAACGATTTTGAGCGGAGGCGATGGCGAATTTACTGGTAAATTTCTTCTATTTTACATGAGTCTCCGTTCAGAAAAAATTGCTACCAAAATGGTTATGGACGCTACTACATTTTTAAACCTATGTCATGTTTCCTTACTGACGAATTTCCAGGCACGCTCGTCGGAGTGTATGCTACTAGTAACGGTGGTGAAGGAACGACAGAGTCATATATCAGCAGATGGCGCTATCAAGGCAAAGGGCAAGATATCAACAATGGTACATTCGTACCATACAGTCCGTTCATACAGTCTGTTTAATGCATTCGGCTAATGCATTACCCATGGAAAACTCACATGTCTCTAAATTTTTAAGGATCGTGTATTTTTTTGTCGGCTTTGATCTGGATGAAAACATCGATGCACAGGTTGGCACACTGTAAGTGACCAACTCAATCTTGAAGTTACGAACCATATGTGCTTTCACAGCACTTTGCTTAAGAGGTCAAATACCTCCTATGATAGAGGTACTCGGAACTCAAACAAGGTAGAAATGACGACCGCTCGATAATTCAAATACCTAAAGCGATGAAGTTCATGTTACGAAGGAATCAATCATTTATATGATGCAAAATCCGAGCGGAATGTTCCATCTGCCGCAGTTAAAGACCGGACTGATAGTCTCAGGGCTGCACAATAGAGGTATATACTCAACTATCAAAGTCAGAATACATCTACCCAGCATGTAAGGGAAAAATCTTAAGATCACTTCGTAAATATGAAACCCGCTCTAAAACCAGACTCTAAACACAGAAACTCCGAGGGTGGAAAATACAAGTATGGCTTTATCTGCATCGCCGATCCAGTTAGCGATGGGGAACATCACGGGCCATAATGACTGGGAAAGAAGGGGAATATTTTCAGAAAATGAAACCATGAGTATCCGCTCAGTCCAGCCCCACAGGGGAGGGTATCTTATTTTGGGTGGCACAGGGACCGGGACGAAAAACGCAAGTTCAGTAGCCCTCCTCGTCAGTCTGCTGGTATATGTGACGGGTGCGAGTAGGGTCCTTGCGCATCTGTTGTCCGGAACCAGTGAATCCCACTAAGGAGTTCAAGTTAGCTTTAGAGAAGGAAAGTGTAGGGTACCCCTCCCGACTTACCTCGTGCATTCACTCCATCGCCCGTGCGGAACATGCTCTCCTTTTTGCCAATCTTGGTCTTGCCCTTGGCCTTGGCTGCAAAGTCCTGCCATTTATTCTTTCCCGCCTCCAGTTCTTTGTTCGCCTTGACCTTTCGCGCAGCCTTGGCGGGCCGAGCTGGCCCATCGGTGGCCTTGCTGGGTTCATTGCGAGCTTGATTGGCCAAAGTGGGATTGATATCGGCTGCGGCTGAGATCACATTGGAATAGGATGGCGGAGCGGGTGATGGCGACGCCGAGCTTCCTGGAGTGCCATCAGCCTTGCGCTTACGCGAATCAGTGCCGGAGACGGCTCGAATGTCCTTGGCCGTCAAGTTCTCCACAGTGCCGTAGGATTTGAACGACACGAGATAAACAGGGTTACTGGATGATCCTGTGATAGACGTGACGCGCGCCGGATAAAATGAACCATCTCCCGACACCCAGCGGGCCAGAACATTATCGTTGACAGCGAACGAAACAGGCGCAGGTGGGGTTTCATCGTGATCGGTGGCCGGTTTTCCGGGACCAGGCTCTCTTGACCATGCGTTCTTGGCTGAGGATTGCTGAGGCTTAGATGCGATGGGTGCAGATGGCGCAAGTTCGGCAATGGCAGTTTCGGTAAGGGTTATAAGTTCTTCGAGTTCAGTTTTGAGACTTTGCAGTTCTGTGTTATCGGGATCTACCTGCAAGCTAGACTGGATAGTTTCAAGCTGTCACAGGATGTGGGTTAGCGGGACATTTCTTAGACGGGATGGGGGCAAGGCTTTTTTCCATTTACCTGAAGTTTGAATTCCTTGACCTCCGCCTCCAAGGCTGCAACGTCCGACATGGCTATAATCGAAAGACTTTGGAAATAGAATTGAGAAGAGACGAGTATCCCAAAGGAGAAAGAAAGTGTAAGAACGGAAGGTGAAATTAGATTGTAGCTTGGGCCTCACGTGTAGAATGCGGAGAAAGTGGTTGCGATGATCTGAAGGTTCAGATTGGGAGAAGCAGGTCATGTGACCGGATTTTGCGAACCATATATTTGGCTGCAGTATAAAGCAATTCTCGCAAGAAAATCAAATATAATTCCATAAAGATCAGTCAGTTAATATTTCTCATTCCATCAATAGTAACGACATATTAAATTAAAGTACTATCATAATTAAATTAAATTAAACGATGTTGATGCTGACGTACAGTCAGCATGGAGTAATGGAGAACTGATAAGCGATAAGCTGATCGGCGGGATGTAGGCCTGCATGGGGAGCTATAGCCCTATAGTACTTTGAGTACTTTGTACAGACTCCAGAGTAGGGAGCACTGGTTCTACTGGGTACTGTAGTAAATGGAGGTGACTTTATGACCTAACCTCTCAGGCAACTTTAAACGTTTAAGCAAGTACAAGTACCCAGTCCCAGAGAGGATCATTGTCATTTGCCACGCGGAACAAGGATAAAGGATGGTCTGATCCTGCTTAGGAACACCAGTGGGGCCCAGACCCTGAAGAAAATACGAAGATGACTCACGATTTATTCGGCTTTAACTAGAGATATGGAGAAAGTCCGGGAAATCAAGGAGGTCAAAGATCCCAAATCCATTAAAATCGAATCGTTAAAAAAAAAAGTAGTAAATCCCTTAACTTATTTAGTTATAAGTCGTAGAAAGAGATCGAAAATGGATTTCTAAGCAGACGTCCAGGCCCCGCATTCCCCACTCTGATTGGCTGTAGATCACCTGCATCCGGCTTCGGGCCAATGAAGCCGCCGCGCCCACGACCGAGAAAGGTGAACTCCTCTTTCATCATCTTTCACTTCTTCACTTTCACGCAATTTGGTCTAGCTTATCTCCCCTCTTGCTAGGATCTCCGAAAGGCGGAGACGGTCAAACCTAGGGAGCCTCAGGCCCCCGCTACATTGTTTCAACCTTCAATTCATTTGTCATTTCTTTTTTTCTCCCTCCAAATCTCCATATTCCGCGTTCCCACCCCCGCCTCCTGAGACATCAGGCTACATTTATTCAATCTAGTGGGTGATCGGTAGTTTTTCTGATCTCCCCGAAACTACCCTCCTATTCGATCATTTACGGGCGAGAGGCCCAGTTGATATAGTCTCGCATCTTCGAGCAACCTCTATCTATTCATCAGACCCCCACCTTGCAACGCCACCATGGGTGATTTTGACCGCATGTACCCGCAAGGGCTCTACAATCTCTCCCCTGACCAGCAAGACCTTCTTATGGCTGCTCTTTCGTCCAACACGCCATCCAACAAACAATCCAGCCACACCCCGCACCAAAACCCTGAGCACAGCCCCGATCAGGCTTCTTCGAATGGCATGAGTGGTCCTCCCTCCGGGAACTTTGAAAATCCACAGTCCCATTTCAACGCTTTCGGCTACGGTGATGATGAGAGTCCATTCCTCGATTTCACACCAGAGGTAGATTTCGATTTCCCTGGTTCGGCCAATCTGATCGGGGATCTGCCTGGAGATCCCCCGTCCCACGATCATGAATCGGGAGGCAAGCGCAAGTCAATGGATGGCAAGTCAGAGGTGGACGGCGAGGAAACGGGAAAGAAGCGCCGAGAGAGTGAGGCGAAGAAGCCAGGTCGCAAGCCACTAACCTCTGAACCAACCACTGTAGGCAATCTTTCTACCGGGGAAGCTGGACGATCACGGTGACTAACTTGTAGTAGAAACGCAAGGCTCAAAATCGCGCTGCCCAGCGGGCATTCCGTGAACGCAAGGAAAAGCACTTGAAGGACTTGGAGATCAAGATGGAGGATTTGCAGAAGTCCTCTGACTCGGCCAACAAGGAAAATGGCGTCCTGCGTGCCCAAGTCGAGAGATTGCAGACAGAGCTTCGCGAATATCGCAAGAGACTCTCATGGATGACCAGCGGAAACGGTCTGTCTGCCATGAGCGCTATTCCTAATGCACACTCGCAGGGCGCCTATGGTCTGCAGAATAACGAATTCTTGTTTGACTTCCCGAAGTTTGGTGATTTGCCCGGCTCGCATCTTTTCAATGGACAGAAGAAAAATGACTTGTCCAAGCCTAAAGACATGCAGACTCGTGTGCCCGGTGTTTTGAGTCGGGAGAATCTCCATGGTCTAATTGGCGCCCCCATTGCGTCGCCCAATTCGAACTCCAGCACCCCCACAGCGACTGCGGGCTCCCAGGCAAATACTTCCAAGGGAACTCCCAACAGTAATGCTTCTACTAAGGGTCCCTATACCATCAAATCATCAACCACAACAACCCACGATAAGTCATCATCAGACTCTCCGTCATCGTCATCCGATTCGCATCACAGCCAGATGCTCTCATCGAGCGGAACCTCACCAGAACCGAGTTCGAACTCTCCGCCGGACACAAAGAACAATGAGTCTGGCTGTAGTGTTCATAACCCCATTAATGGTGAGGAATCTTTCTGTGCCAAACTTGGCATGGCCTGCGGCAACATAAATAACCCCATCCCAGCTGTACGGGAACAACAGAACAAATCAAGCAGTTTGTCTAACATTCAGCAACCCGCCATTGACGAGACTTTCGGTCTCGACTGGCTGGCTCACCAGAATGGCGGTCAGTTCGACCCAACGCTCTTTGGAGACTGGCGGGAGCCGCAGGATGCAGTGCTCTCTCAAGACTTTGGTACTTTCTTCGATGATGCCTTCCCCTTGCCAGACCTCGGCAGTCCGTCGCATAATCTCACAGAGGTGGCCACTCAGCCTCCTAAGAAGGATTTGATTTCTCAGATCGACCGCAAGCTGGAGGAAGAGGTGGTTCCGGGCGAGGACAAGACACAGATGCTGTCATGCACAAAGATTTGGTATGTGTTTTCCATTATTAATATGGCCCAAATGGTGCAGTCCACTGACTTTCTCCTTCCAGGGATCGCCTTCAATCTATGGAGAAGTTCCGCAATGGTGAAATTGATGTTGACAACCTCTGCACTGAGCTCCGTAACAAGGCTCGCTGTTCCGAGGGTGGTGTGGTCGTGAATCAGAGGGATGTTGATGACATCATGGGCCGCACGAAGTAGTCCCACAACGGGCCCAAATTTATCACGGTCATTGCCCGAACAATTACATTCACGACTCATGCTCAAACTGTACCACGTTATTACTACTCATACCCACCATCGAAATGTCCTTTGAAAACCATACGGCGTCATGAACACGGCCAGGTGAAAACCAAAGAGGAAATACTGGCGAACCTGCACTTACTGCGTGGAAATTCAAATTCATGTCTGGCGGCCTATTTGCCTCCCCTTTGGAGTTTATTATTTTCCTTTTCCTAAATGATTTAAATCTCTGGTTCATGGCAATCGTGCCTTCCAGTCCTTTCTTGATTTCCGATTTCACCACACCTGGTGATCATCGAGTTACGGGAGGTTTATAATTGAAATTTGTGACTCAATCCACAGAATTGATTTGGGATGGCTTGCGCTCTTTAATTTTACCTTTTGATATCTACTTGTACACAATTCCAGTCTCATTACTGCCTTTCAAAGCAAGAAAGCTCCAGGTTCTAGTTGAAAACCTTACCTATAGCAAGGCACTTATCACTTATCACAGGCCGCATGTATTTCTACTCCAGGGCTTCAAGGTGTCATGCTCCTACTTTAGAGCCTAGTACGTACCTCTTCTACAAATCATAAGGATCATTGACGATTGAGAACTTGACCGTGTAACTTTCCACACACGAGCAAGAATTGAAGCTGTAAAGGGTATCGATGTTGGTCTCTTCGAGGAAGAACTAGAGTACAAAGAAAAAGAGGAAAAGCGGGCATGAAAGGGAGAAAGGGGGTTATGGAGTTATTTTTCAGATTTTTGGGGTTTTAGCGTTCTTTTTGCTTGCATCTTCCAGTCTCTCAGAGGCCTGCCTAAAAACTGCGATTCTTCATCCAGAAAGTGCACTTTCTTAACTCGACATGGTGGAAGGAAGAATAAGGCATCTGGAAAGATCGCGAGGTTAATAATATCTCGCTCAGGCAGAAACTGGTAAACATAGATAGGGGAATTTAAAAATGTTCCATGAGAAAATGAGAAAAAAGGCACGAAGAGTTAAAATGCGAAAAGAAGTCGGCAGGGAATCAACATGAAAACTGGAGGAAACACCTCTATCAGCTCAATGAAAAGGCTTAGATAAAGGCGGCAGGAAACAAGCATCTCATCAATCAAGCATCGCCGGAGGCAGCGGGCTTAGACTTGGGCTTGTCACTGGAGTGGGTTCCGGTAGGATTAGAGTCCTTGTAGGAACCTCGCCCACCACGGCCGCCGCGGCCACCACCACCACCACGACCGCCACGACCGCCACGGCCACGGCCTCCTACACTTCCTTGGTTATCACTGTCACTTGCAGTGGCACTGTTGCGGGAGGGGCCCCATCCGCCGGCGCCATGGCTGACACGGCTGGGGTGTGGGTTGTACCACGAGAAGGGATTCTTGGCTCGAGGCTGATCTTTGTAGCGGTCCAATACAGACTTGGCATCAAGGTGTGTACGGAAGATTACAGCATAGTTCCTGCCTCCAATCTTCTCGAAATCCGCGACCTTGGAAATCTCTTCCGCGGTCAGTTGCTCCCGGACAGCCTGCTCGCTTTCGACACCTTTCACGAAGAGGCCTGTCTTCTCACTGTGAGTAGTGGGGGAGTCGGTATCGGTATGGGTTCCACCGTTGGTGTCGGCGGCAGCCTTATCCTCGCCAGCAGGTTTGGCCGAAGCTGCAGCCGACTGCTGTGGGGTCGAAACCTTGGGAACGACCGGAGCGGGAGATGCGCGAGCAGACTGACCCTTGGGCTGGGCTTGCTGCTGACCAGGAGCAGGAGCACGAGCGGGGGGAGCCTGGCCAAACTGGGGAGTAACAACGGGGCGGCCAGCTCCAGTAGGGGCAGGAGAAGCAGTGGTCACGGGCAAAGCCGCGGCGACAGTCTGGGGAGCACCACCAACAGCAGGCTTGCCACTGCGGTGGGCGAAGTTGAATCCCTGGGCCCGCATCTCAGTCGCGATCCGTCCTGCTTCAATCTCCAAAACCAAGTAACCGAATGCGGCATCTGCAAGATTGAAATTCCACATGTTCTTGAAGGCGCTTTCGTCCACCTGACCTCCACCAGTGCCGGCGGCAACGGGGCCGCCGAATGGGTTACCACCGCTAGCAACGGAGGGCATCTTGGTGACGACATTCAGAGCATTGTCAAGCAAAGTCTTCTGAGCATCATTGGAAGAGATTGCAGCCTCGACCTCACCACGGACAGTCTCCCAGACATCGTTGAAAGACGCCTTGGAAGCAGCGAGTTTGCCACGATAGTGATCCAGCGAGGGGTTGACCGAGAACTCGTTGTAGGATGATCCATAGCGGAAGTGAAGACCAGCAGAAATCGAAAAGTCGGCCTTTAGGGTAACAGAAAGTTGGTTCAACATGCCCTCGCGAGCGGGCGAGGCATGGGTGACAAAGATACGGGTCTCGGATGGGTCGTAGACGCGGTTGGCGGTGTCGATCAGTTCACCCATCTGCAGCAGTGTAGTCCACATAGTGCCTTGGCCACCAGCAATAGTTGTCTTGCCCTCGCCGTTATCAAAAAGCTTATGCATGACCACCGCACCACCAAGACCCAGCAAACGGAGCTTCACACCGCCAATGTCTAGCAGTCTCGAGTTGGCCTCGTCAATAATGTGCAGCTTATCAACTTTGTATTCTCCCGATCGGAACTTCTCCAACACACGAACATCCTCACAGGCACCCCAGACTGTGTAGACCGGGACGTCAAGAGTGATGCGCTTGTCAAGCAGCATCGACAATTCGGAGAGGGGCAACTGATCCGGGGTGAAACGCTGCTTAATAGACTGTTGGGGAGGAACTTGTGCGATAGCTCGCTTCACGCCTTCAGGTAAGAGAGGGGGGAATATTGAGCGACATGCTTGAGAGTTCTGCAAGTGAGCCACGAGGTTAGCTGAGTCCAGATTACAATTTCGGTGGTCGGTTGACGCAAGTGTTGTTCTCGCGTCGGGCAGCAAAAAACGCCTCACTATAACATCTGATGTTACACTTACTTGTCTGCAATCCGCTCCAATGAAGTGTCGTCATAAAAACCAAAGTCGCCAGTGTGGATGATGTGGTCGGCGCGGGCCTGTCTGGCCAGGTCATTCAGAGACTTCAAGTTTCCTATATCACCGAGCCCAATTAGCCTCACATTCAGGGTCATGTAACTTCATTTATGCGTACCTCGGACATCAGCAATGCAAAGAATCCGGGTGGGCCCGTTCTGAATCACTCGTCCATTGTTAGGTAGGAGCGGCGTCGCTCCAGGTGGCGGGCCCGCCTGGGGCGCACCGTTCGCGAGGGGATAGCCTTGGGGACCGAAGTTGTGAGGGCGGGGCTAGATAGAACGCGACGTCAGTCAAATATATCCGAAATTGGGTCATGGGGTTGCAAGCTCTGGATCGGAAGCTGGACTGACAAGTCCGCGGCCGGAGAGGGGAGATGGATTTGAGGGGCCAGTAACTTACAGAAGCCATGAGTGGAAGGGGGAATGAAGAGGGGGGATTAAGTAGAGGATAGGGTGAGATGGAAAGGAGGGAGGGGAAGTAAGAAAAAGACACAAAGATGGATTCAGTCGAAGGACAAAAAGCAGATCAGATTCACTTGCGCATGAAGCAACAGGCGTGACATGGGAGATTAGGTAAGCCACCCCTGGCGACTCACAACATTTCTCCCTTTTGGGATCTCAAGTATAAGTTATAACCATTTACTTGAATTACAGGGAGTTTGATTTTGGATTTCATATACAGTAGCTAGGGAATTGAGAGATTATCTTGAGTATCCTGTTTTTCAAGTTTCTGATTTGTTTCGTGATGGCATATTGCCCAAAGAACGAAAATTCGATTTGTACTAACGCAGAATCCAACGAATCTTTTGAGACCCCGATTGTATTCATTTTCAAATGATACCTAACTAGGTTCTGGCCAGCAAGCGGGAGCTTGGTCAGTTTGGTGTTATTGTAGAAAGTATGTACTAGAAACCATCATAGCTGCAATCTTCAATCCATTTCGGCCTGAAGCACAAGCTCGACGCCATGGTCCTTAACCACCTGCACCATACTCATCTTTTTACTCGACTTATGAGTAACTGACAGAGACTGCATCGAAGCCGGACCGTTCAAAGCCAAGATCGCAAAGTGTCCACCAACAGTCGGTCGTGCTCGACACAGGATTGGAACCCCAGCCTCATTTCCATGCGCAGATGTTGCCACGTAACGGTCAGAGAATGGCCAGTTATGCTTGCCATTTGTCATGAAGGCCCATAGGTCATCTACAAACTCATCTCGTGTATCTTCATTGAATGTACCAGCCAACCACATGTTCCAGTCTGACTTTGCCCAGTCCTGCCGGTTGTCGAGTGGGACGCCGTATTCTCCGCGGACTGAGGTGGAGAAGAATTCGTTGCTCATTTCATATGCAGCACGAGGGAAGGTTTCTAGTCCAAGTAACATGTCTGGGAGAATGTTGTACGGTGTCTTCCATGAGTCTGGGAAATCGGGATATTCGAGCACAAAGTGGGTCTGCTCCTCATCTGTGCCTAGACCCTGAGTGAAGAATAGATCGGCATATTCATCACCGATTCGGGAGTAGTAGTCTATACCACTCAGTTTACCAAATGCCTTGATCCCCACAGTTGCCTTGATGGCCAGGTTCGTTTCATTGGGCAGGGGCCCAGCGGCATCGTTAGAAGATAATTGATTAGCCATGTTGATTGTGTTATCGATCAAATAATCGGCGTATTGCTGAAAAATGCCAGTGTATTGATCAGACCAGTCCGTATCACCCGTGGCCTGCGTGTAGGCGAGGGCTAGAATGAGTAGATTCCCACACTCCTCAATCGGCATTTCCTCCGCTTTCTGATCATCATGACCAATAGCATGAGGATAGTGAGTGCCCAGGTCATGGATGGCGTATGGAAGATGCCAGCGGCCCGCATCAAGATATTTCATTACTGGCTCAAGCAACAATCGGATCCAATCCGGGTCAAGGACCCAGTATATGGGGAATGCTGGCATGATGATATCGATGGTGTTTATATTTCCATCGCTGGAGAGCTCCTTAATAAATGCCAGTACTTGGTCAGTGTCAAGAGAGTCATTGGGGATTGTTAAATCGATTCCTCCGAATGCCTGTCGAGTCGACAGAGCGACAATGTCCGCGTACTTTGGGCCGGCTGCAGCGGTCGCAAAGGTATTTAATTCGCGATCAAACTCTAAGGACTCCCAATAGGCATCCTCGTAATCATTGAAAAAAAAGGAAAGGGCCTCGTGGGTTGTGGGATACTCCGCCCGGTAGTACCCAGTGTATGCTACTCCCAAGTAGTTGATGGCCTCTTTTCTCTCGTAGCCCACAGCAAAGTTGACGGAAGCCTCACCAATGACAGTACCCAAGTCGTGTGCCAGAGCTATAACGCTTCCATGGGACCAGGTTGTGTCTCCCGTAGATAGATCTCCATGCTTCGTAAAATGTCCTCGCACAGCCTTAGGCTCTCCTGCGAGCGCAGAGAGCGAGCTCACATTTCCTGGGCGAGATGCCAGAATAACCTGACCCCAAAGCGCCATATCATTCCCCTCGTCATAGGTCGCAGCACCTTCCACCGAAAGCGAGTGAATAGCGAGATCATCGTGCTCTTCAAAGTCTCTTCCCGAGCGACATTCTCGACCCGTCCATTTTCCATCAATGTCAGAGTAAATCTGGATATCCTGACCATGCGACCTTGTGACTTCGACCGTCAAGTAACCTAACGTATGCCCATTAGATCATCTAAAAAGAAACCAGCATTGTATGACTTACTGAAAGGAAGTGACTGGCGCAGGTAGTTTGAGGGTGAAACAGGTGAAAAGAAGTCCAGAGTGAACGACACAGGTCCTGCCGTGAGCTCGAAGATTGAGTGGGTAGCAGTGAACTCCGTATGGCGCACCTTTGCCGGGCGAATACGACTGGCCTCCAAGTCAGGAACACCCATCAAACCATACGCTTGGCCATCTACGCGCACAATAACAGACCATCCAAGCTCCTGACCCGCCCAGAACTGAGAATCGGCATAAGGCAGTCGGTGCACACGATCACCAGGCATCCATGTTGACAAGTAAGGATTGCGAACCGCGAGTGGATAAGACGGTGGCAAGACTGGGTGATGAGTGATCTTGCTTTGCTCTCTTCCACCGGAACCCCCGCAAATCGATGTGCAGAGGAAACCCAGTCCTAGTAATCTCGGGAGCTCGAATCGCATGTTGTCGAGTTGACCGCTTAAAGCTCAGTGTGTTCGACCATACGGGCGCTTCGACGGAAACTCCCAAAGAGAAAGAACGCAAAAACAGCAAAGGGAATTACAAATCAAAGTGAGAAGTTAGAGTGATGGGGATTAATGAGGGGTTCAGGAGTTCGAAGGGAAGAATGCCCCCTTGAGCTTCAAGGCCGATCACAGGTCGGGGAATGGGTAAATTCCCCCACACCATCACCTCATCATGGCGGAGCTGATCGCCATGCACGATCATCAAGAAAACAAGTGAGGTGGGTCTCGTTTCACCAACCCCAAGTCTAGCCAAGCTTGCGACGATCAAATAGCGTTTGCGGGGCTTGCAACGTAAGCCTCCGTACGGAGGACCAAGACAGTCTCCTACCTAGTCTCCTATCTAGTCTCTTACTTAGTATCCTTCGCAATCTCCTCCTTAGTATCCTACCTATTATCCTATGTACTAAGTAAAAGAGGGGCAGACTGAAATCAAAGCTGGAGGAAAGGAAGAAAGGGAAGCAGTAGAGAGGGCGCGCTAGGCCTAAACCAGATCCTCATTCAACAAATGATAATTACTCCTCTACTAGTACTTATTTAAGTATTCCCTTTCTTGCCAATAAGTACTCTATACATAATTGAATATGGGTTTAGGACTATATCTGTGGATGTCTGAGTACAATACAATACAGTAAATCATTAGCAAGAGCGGCGACCTTCATTTATGCAATTCACCAATATTGGCCACATGATACCTGTGGTCTACAGCAGACTCCAAACGGCCAGTGCACGGCATTAACGAATCTAGAGCGTATCTGTCATATTTCACGTTTGTCTCTTGAGTATTGATATCATTGCATTTATCCAAGTGTAAGCAGTAAGGGATATCTTCCTTTATAGCTGAGCTTTCTCAATTCGACGACCAATCTCATCAAAGTGAATCTGCTTTCCAGTGACCAGCGCCTCCTGAAGATAAGCACCAATCCCAACCGCCTTGACAGCATTGCTTAACTTCATAGGAAGCGGAGTATTGTCCAGGCATGCAGCAGTGACATCGTTTGCCTTTTGCACAAAGGCAGGACCAAAACGATCCCTGAAGTTAGAAGGGACCTCACGAGTGATACCACCACCATGGTAGTAATTGACGTGACTGCGCTGGGGTTATTATTAACAGCCAACTTTCCCTCCGTACCAATAATCTCCGTGGTATCCTCTTGTCCATGAGCCATCATCCTCGAGCAGTAGTATTTAGCGATCTTGCCATTCTGGAACTCGACAATACCAAGAGAATTATCGCAATCCTTCTGCTTCTTCAGCTCTGTTTGAACGGCTGTAAGTCCATTGCAGATATACTTTTGGGGATCATGTCATCTCCGAAGAACCAGAGTGTCACAAGTCTGGCTGCGGATAATCGAAGGTCTTCCGATGAGTCCCTGTTCGACCTTGCGGTATGCCTCGCGGTATGAATCGTCGAAACGCCGAGAGAAGCCGCGCATCATTTTCAGGTGAGACTTCTTCTTGGCGGCGTTCACTGCAGCTTTGCACTACTTCAGCGTTAGTCAAATGAACAATGGTCTAATAGATAAATACCTACCAGGTCGATGTGAATTGATAGAGGCTTCTCGCACAAAACGTGCAACTCAACATCGATGGCTTTGATGACTTGATCGGCATGGACCGAAGTAGCGGTGCCTATGGCCACAGCTTGAAGACCAGGATGCTTGAGCATTTCATTGTAATTATCGTACAGAGTGACCCTGTGAGGCTCCAGATTCACTCTTCCCCAGGCAATCTCAGTGGGGTCGGGAGAAAAAGCGGCGACGAGTTCGGCGCAGGGGCGCTGGAGGAAGTTCGTAGCGTGGAACTTGCTAACTCGGCCAAGTCCCGCCATACCAACTTGTAGCTTTGGGATTCCCATGGTTTGTGTAATTTGGATAATAAAAGGAAAGGTGAAAGTCTAGTTGAATATGTTCTTCAATGTGAGTTGCATCGTCGTATCAAGGGGTTTAAATAATCCAGTCAGGAGCTGCGATATTCACCTCTTGATTGGGATACAGGAAAGTATTCCTGTCTCAATGTTGAAAATAGTGAATATTCATACAACTTACGGAAAGAATTCCCAAGTCCGCTCAAAGTGGCAGGTTTCTTCCCCGCAAACCCATCCACTTCCCCGCATCCCATGGCTTTCCTATTCATAATTTCTCTCGTTTGATTCCATCTCAGTTCTTGGGTAGTAATTTTCTCCGTTCACATATGTCTGCACTGTAAAGAATCTGACTTGCGGCGGGATCGTACATCTGGATAACTGTGGATGATTGTTTGCTGATCAATTCATCTAGTCACCGGTGTCGGGGTCGGGGTAAGCTGCTTGTGGATTCTTCGGATGAGAGATGCTAAATGCTTTTAATGCTTTTGCTCGACATCTAAAATGTATGCACTCCATCTCAGACGGTCAAACATGGTTTAACCAGTTATGGTAGGCGATATTCACAAAGCATGTCAACATTGTGGGATTGCCGGAGTCCAATGCGATCGCATTAAAGTCAGATTTCGCTGTGGATTAGCTTTGCCCAAGAATGAGGATATTGCACTTCCAGATCAATAAAGCTGGCCGCGACTACATGGAAAAGGTTGATGATATTCCCAGTTTCAAAAGTGAATTAGTAAATTTGGTAGTTCGCTTCCACGATGAGACTCCAGAAATCCTCAATACTCGGGCCGAGAATACCCTCTTCACTGCACGACACAGTCTGGTTGCTTTTAAGCTCCCTTGTATACAAGTCTAAGTTTTTCTAATTGACTTATCCAAAGTGGGCTGGGTGCTTCGACGTCGCAGTGATCAAGAAGCTGCAGAGGCGCTTCTCCATGATATACATTCGAGAACAGGATGGAATATGGATTTATTGGTTCAATTACTGCGACGGCAGTGGCAAGATGAAGTGTAATCGAACAAAAGTCACGTTGAAGCCTTATATCCTCTTTTTAATGGAGCGAACAGTGGACTGTCGAAACGATTCCACCATTGCTAAATAGCTTTGATAGATACAATCTATCGATAATTAGCGATTTTGGATACCAGAGACTTCATTGTTCTTACAGGCAGGAATAAAAATCCAAAAGGCATTCAGGAAGATAAAGTATCCCCAATAGTAGTAGCTTTCGGGGCGAGAATAACACCTCCCATGATACAATTCCTCTGTCATGCTCGTCGCATAATACAGGATATCGCCATAGAGCTGGCCCATAGAAACGAGAATCTGTATCGGATGGCGATGTGGGGACTTGGCAACAATTGACCATGCTGTTAGGTAAGAAAGAGGACCCCATGCAAACTGCAAGCCCTTAGCAACGAACAACCCAGAGAGAATCAAGATTCATGTATACGTACCGCTGTTATCGACTCCATACAAAGCACGAATGGCTCCATCGTCATGTATCGCGAATCAGCTTTGGCATATTCCTTCCATAGCTGACCACCAAGATCCATCATACGAGGCATTGTCCTGTGGTTATATACAAAATACCCTTCTAGAAGAAAGTGTATGCATCCAGCTATCGATTAATTGCATCAGCCCAGCTCAGTGATGCTTCGCAAATTCTCATGATAGGGGACAGTAGCATACTGAAGACAAACCATCCAACTAGAATCTTGTCCTCACGAGACAATATCGGCTTTTGCCATTTTAAGATGGCAGAGATAAGACCAATAATGCTGAGCGTTGCAAGGGAGAAAGTTCCCAGGAGCTCGGGGACACTCATTGTGTTGGCGACATAGCCAATAGGATTTATGTCTGGGGGATAAAAAGGGTGGGCTAGAATCTCCGTCATGTTGACCATAACAAACAACAGGACAACCACACCCCTTTAAATCAAACACTGACTGGAGACTGACAGAGGAACTTAGATGAAATATCTCTTAGTTTACCTATGCTTGAGATCAAAATATTTAAGATATGAATGTTAATGTGTTATAGATCCTCTATCTTAATGGCCAATCAGCGCATGGATTACTCGGATGAGGTTGGTCCGACATGGCGTGTAGACAGGGCCTAGCGGATCATATTACAACCACCAATAAAATGCTAGCAGTTACTAGGCAACTATAAGACAGGATTCAGTTTGGGGCATCCGGCATGGCGTGAAGATGGAGACTTGTCACTAGATACTTTTCATATACAAAATACCAGGGGCAGGAGCTCGGTCGAATTCAACGCAAGGGGAAAGCTAGGATGAGGGAATTGCTATCTATCGTTTCATGATAAAAGAATGCCGATTGGCGAATTTGCGTATCATGTGCTAAGATTAGATTCCTGATTCCTGATATGAACACATGTGTAACTTGCCATCCCCGCTTGACCCCGCTAATATCAACATGACGATTGACATCCCTTCTAAGCTCAACGTTGCTATCGTAGGAGGTGGAATCGCTGGCCTTGCAGCTGCTGCATTTCTTCGAAACCAGCCCCAATTTAATGTGACTGTCTACGAACTCCGAAGCGAAGACTGGAAGGAGTCATCTGCAGCACTCGGACTCCAAACAAATGGCACCTCTATCGTCGAACAACTAGGCATCACGAGACAAGAGGTCCGCGGGGACACAGGCTTAGGATATCGGACATATAATATCTATGAAGAGCTGATGAGCACAGGCCGAGTGGCTTTTCGCCCAGACGGAGAGACCGGGTTTTGGTTCGTGCATCGACAGGATTTGAAGGATGCACTTTTACGCCGAGTCACTGGTATACATGGAGAGGGTGAACCTATCCAAGTAGTTTATGACAGTCATATTGTGGAAATTGATCCGGCACTGGGGATTTTGAAGCTCGTAGACGGACACTGTATCGAGGTGGATCTGATCATCGGTAGGTCGCAGGGCTCAAACACATGATTATTGATGGCTAACTTGCTCCCAGGCGCTGACGGTATTCATTCCAAAGTCCGTGAAGCTGTTATTCCATCTTCGCACCCAGACCCTTCCTTGTGTGGGCTCTGCGTGTACCGCTTTGTCGTGCCAATGGATACTCTCCGAGATGCGAACGGGAGAATGCCAGATATACTTACCCTCGAAGAAGGCAACTTTGTAGTCATCATTGCTGCTGGCGACAAGGGAAATCGGAACATGGTAATATATCCATGCCGCGAGCTTCAGCTCATGAACTTTGTCTGTGGCGTCCCAGACACAAGCCCTCGCGTCTTAGCTCAGATCAAATGCACTGGTAGTCATGAGAGCCTGGTGAATGACATGCTCGAGGAATTCGCAGGGTTTCCAGACTGGCTCTTGCAAATTTTCAGGTGAGTGGTAAGTTCCAACCCTTGGGTGCGCCTGGACTGACAACTCCGAACCAGTCGTACCAAATTGATTGAACCCTTCCCTGTGCTCGATCAGAAACCTCTTCCCACATACGTGAAGGGCCGCACAATGCTGATTGGCGATGCTGCTCATGCTATGGCACCGTATCAGGCGCAAGCAACAAATCAAGCACTTGAGGATGCTGAAGGTCTCAACGTGATACTTGCGGATGCTTCTAGTCGTGATAGTATCCCAGGTCTCCTGAAGCTATGGGATAACATCCGCCGACCACACGCTTCGGTAGTTCAGAGCGACTCTCGTGATTCACAGGCCAAGCTTTCGACGACAAAATCGAGTGATGCATTTCTGAAATTTAAGCCTTACGTGCCTATGAAGGAAATACTCACTCGGATTTCAGCACAAAGCACGGGTTAGGTTATATCAAAGAGGGCTTTGGGGATGAAATAAAGTGACATTGCCATAGGGGGTAGTATACAAATCAGAATATTTATTTCTAATAAAGTATTGTTTACGATGTAAATTCACTGGGCTCAAGTTCATTTTTGTATGCCACATGCGTGGTCTTCGACTATGCCAGACAACTGTACATAAATCATATAGTACAAACTGCTGATATCTAGTTCCGGAACAGCTTCAAGCCACCTTCTTCGCGGTCTTCATCGCTTTCCATGTCACTACCACTCTCATCTCCTTCGCCTAACAATCCACTGGCGGTCTTGCCCAGCAAGGAAGCGAAGAATTCGTCTCGAGCACGAACAGTCCATGAGCCACGGTCCTCGGGAGCCATAAAGTTTTGAAGCTTCTCATGAACATTGAAACGCATCTTACGACCCTTAGAAGCGCGGGTATCAACATTTTCGCGCTTGACTTTGTCGTTGCGCATGCCAGTGATTGGATGGATAGGGAGGCGAGAAGGAAGTTGAGTGTCGAGGCCACCAGTCATTGCATCGGATGACATGCGTTGCTCGACGAGTTCACGAAGGAGAGATTGGTAGAAGACTGTGTCGTCATAAACGGGTTCGGGAGCTTCGGTCGAGCTGCCGTTGGACTGGCGGGCACGCTTGGATGAACGATCACCAATTTCAGTAGCAACGTGGGCATCAAGAACAGCGGTGATAGACTGCTTAGATCCAGAGCCAAGAAGCTTGCCTCTAGCATTGGGGAGTGAGGTGGAGGTGCCTCTGACCTTGGAAGACCACTTGTCCAGGGTAGAGCGACGGTGTGCAAGCGACTCGGACTCGAGATCGGCCATGCGCTCCCAAAGTAAAGCAGATTTAGTAGTAGGGATGATAGGCGAGGGTCTCTTGCGCTTTTTGCTACCATCTTTAGAGTGAGCGTCGGCAAGTGCATTGCGCAGTTCCTCCAGAGTAGACCAGAGGGCAAGAGCGGCCGACTCGGCAGATTTTATCGCTTCCTCATCAGCTTCACCATGTTCGTCGCTTCCTGCATCTTTCTCACCCGCAACTAATGCAGACATTTCGTTGATTGCTCCCAAGCCTTTCTGCAACTTGATACGTGTGTTCAAAAGTGCGTCAAACGTGGTACGTTGCTCCTTGACAGCCTTTCCCTTGGCAGCATCTGCCTTCGCGGCTTGCGAGATGGTGGCAGCGATTGTTTTCTGATCAGAAGCCATCAGTCTCCTCAGTTCTTCCCGATCATCTGAGGCAGCCCCGGATCCGGAATGGACTTTGGTATTGCGCTTTTTCTTGGCGACCGCAACCTCATCATCTTCGCTCTCATCCTCCATCCCATCTTCTACCTCCTCGTCGAAAACATCATCATCGTCGTCCTCCGAGTCATCCTCCTCCTCACTGTCTTCATCGACGTTTGAATCCGAGTCTGCAAAATCGGAATCAGATTGGCTGTCCATGGAATTCTTTCGCTGGGTTTTTGGGAGGGTCTTCTGCTGCTTGGCGCCACTCTCAGATTGTTCGGACGCGTCGGAGTCGTCGTCGTCAAGTCCCAGTGAGCCGTCTGAGCCGGCATCGGAGTCGTCTTCATCGTCGGTATGCGCCGCAAATGGATCATCGTCGCTGTCGGCCTCAAGGGCATCTCTGCTGACGCGCTCGCCAGCATATTGCTTTCCTAATCTGACGGGGTCCTGCTTCCGAAGTTTTCCCTTACTATTGCCTCTAATTAGTATTCATTAATTCTCTGCGAGAAAGAGATCAAATCATACCCAACGGCCTCATAATGCTCTCTTCCAGCGTTCACATCTGAAGGTTGTCCTGCACCATCCTCGTCGCTAGAAGGGCCATCGTTTTCAAGATCCTCCGGATCAAAATCTAAGTACTCGGTCAGATCACGGTGCGCCACACTGGCAAAAAAATGAAAGATGTTCTGTCTGACATACCCTTTGGAGTAGGATCCTCCAGATCAGCAAGCTGATCAGCCAGTGAGCGTGTCTTGCTAGGAGCCATACTGTGTGATGTAGCTTGGAGAAATCCCAGGTCGCTGCGACTTTTTTTTTGTTTTTCCGTTATCCGGGGAATCTGTCCTATTATGGAATAACTCCGGTCTAAAAAGCGAAGCGGTCTGTTTACACAGCGCGGTGTCGATATCTGCCGGCAGAATCACCTGTCATTATCTGCGGTGCCTCAGTCATCACTTTACATCAAGATGTCCTTGGTATTTGTACCAATTGCTAACATGTTTGCCTTACCAGCGGGTGGTGTCACCATCCGAAGGCTATTCTCCACGTCTAGTCGAGCTCTCTCGCATGACAATCCTCTGGTGGGTACATTGTATTGAACCCTGAATATGCTGCTCTCGGTGCACATGTCTATCAATGCATTTTTGATACTATATACTCAAACGGTTGCCGGGTTTATGAATTATACTTCTAACTTTGCAATAGGGTCTTCCAAAGTCGGGTACACCACCAACTTTCCGGAGTCGCCGGGGAATGCCTGAGAAACGCAAGATTCGGGATGTTAAGAAAGTGGTTGCTGTCTCTTCAGCCAAAGGAGGCGTAGGGAAGTCAACGGTTGCTGGTGGGTGACTCTTATCTCGTTAATGCCATACAATCTACATATGCCACATCATGATCTCCAATTCAAAGATACGCCACAAGGTCTTAGAGCATACGGTCCTAGGTATAGAGAAAGCTAAATAAATTTTAGTCAATCTCGCCCTGTCTTTTGCCCGTCGAGGAATTCGAACCGGTATTCTGGATGCTGACATCTTTGGCCCGTCAATTCCGACCTTGCTTAACCTCTCAGGCGAGCCTCGCCTTGATGAAAGTGAGTTACATACAACTGGCACAACCAAGTCCCATGCTGATACAATCTTAGACAACTGTCTGGTTCCCCTCACGAACTATGGTCTTAAATCGATGTCAATGGGATATCTCCTCCCACAAACCCAGTCCGATGACCCTTCAGGAGAAGTGCCCATGGACACAACCCCAATCTCTTGGCGAGGACTGATGGTAACGAAAGCCATGCACCAACTTCTTCATTCAGTCTCATGGGGTCCACTGGACGTCCTCATTTTAGACCTCCCACCAGGTACCGGCGACGTCCAGCTCACAATTAACCAAGAAATCATCATCGACGGTTCAGTGATCGTCACAACACCACAAGATATTGCCCTCCGCGACGCCGTCCGTGGATTCGGCATGTTCAAGCGTATGGAAGTTCCTGTCCTCGGTATGGTCCGCAACATGGCCTATTTCGCCTGTCCCAACTGCGGCCACCAGACCCGGATTTTCTCGCACGGAGACGGCGATCATTCTCATGGTGAAAGCCGTGGTGTTCTGGCACAGTGCAAACGTCTAGGTGTTGATTTCCTCGGTGATATCCCTCTTGACGCCAAGGTATGCGAAGATGCCGACCGCGGAATGCCAACTGTTGTGGCGGAGGAATCGGTAGAACGGAGCGCCCGGCGCCAGGCCTTCTTGGATATTGCAGAGCAAGTCGCGCACAAGATCGGTCTAGACTGGAAGTGATCTATCAACTTTCACAAGTCTTGTTTTCCGTAGCACGGTTTATCTTGTACACTACGGGTGGACTGTTTGCATTCATGTCGGCGTTCAGCATGTAACATAGTTCGTGTTTTGACATCGTTTAATCTGATTCACGCGAGGATTCTTTTGTTTGCAAAGAATTCATGGAGTGCCGGGAGAGATTTTAGTTCGTTCGATAGCTTCTTTCTGCTAATATACCACCACAAGTCTTCGATGAGGTCCACCACAGATCGCATTATACGAACACCATGGAGGGACAAATGTTCTAACTTATTCCATACGAGTAAGCGTTTAGTTCCTGAGGTGTCGCAGATCTTTAGGCCGGGCAGCCACATTGCACAAGTATGAATATGACAGTAGTCAGCAATATCTTGATTGTCTTACCTTTTCAAAAATCAGCAAAGGCTAAAGGAGCCAGAGAAAAATCAGGAGATATGTACAAAGATGAAGTTGTGTAAATCCGAAGTCAGTAGTCAATGACATCACTTGCGTGCATAAAATAGATTATATAATGCAGCATGTTCTTCCCCTGAGATCCACATTCCACTCCGCTTATCAATCTTTCAACCAATAGAATTCAACAATTGACTTAGTGTGGCTGAACCGTGAACTCCTGGAAATGACGTTGTACTTGGCTCGGACCACTTTTAATTACCAAGTCTATCCTTATTCTTGATCTTTCCCCATCTTTCTTGTGAATGGTAACACAATGCCATTGCACACGATCGCGCTCGGGGCAGCTTTGACTCCCACTGTTATTCACACTCTTATTTCTCATGTAAGGTTGGTCCAAGATATTATATGGTCCGTTCCTAACGATCTCCAATAGTATCTGCATCGCAAGTCGCGCCATAATAAACCAACTGTTCATGTTACCTACGATGAAGGCATTCAGATTATCCGTCAATTTCTCTACTATGCTTCGAAACACCCTGTCGAGGACATTCAAGCCTTTACTCGCCAGTCCGTCCCAAGCCCGCATTGGGTGAGATCGGAGACCATCACCATCCCCAACGAGCATCTGTCAACGGCAGCGGAAGTACTCTGCAAGCAATTAGGCCCCAAGGGTATAGTACGCGTCGGCGGCCAGAAGTGGTGGCAATGGCGGGGTCCGTCAGACGATCTCAAAGGGGATTGGATTGAGATGCGAAGCCATTACAATGAGACCAAGAAGTCTGGAGAACGCTGTAACCGTATCATGCTGTACGTGCATGGCGGTGCCTACTTCTTCGGCAGCATTGATACGCATCGCTATATGCTGCAGCGTCATGCGCGCAAGTTGAAGGGTCGCGTTTTCGCGCCAGATTATCGTCTTGCTCCCCAATTCCCCTTCCCCTGTGGCTTGCAGGACTGCATGGCAGCCTATCTATGGCTATTACAGACATATGACCCAAAGGAGATCATTCTCGCCGGTGATTCTGCCGGTGGTGGAATGGTGTTGTCATTGCTGGTGATGATGCGCGATCAAGAGATTCCTCTCCCTGCGGGCGCCATTCTCATTTCGCCCTGGGTCGATCTGACCCACTCATTCCCAAGCATTGTCGAGGATAACCCCGGTGATTACATCCCTCCTTATGGCTTTAGACATAAACCTTCGACGGCATGGCCACCACCGAATGCGGATGAGCTCCTTAAGATCAAAAAGCTGTCCCGCAAAGAGACTGTCACGGCCAAGGACATTGAAGAGGCTGTTCCAGCGCCAAATACCGAGTCTGGAGCAACGGCTATCCGCGGGTACACAGTGCATGAGCAGGTAGCACCTGATTCAGGACCTGCTTATCCAGGCCAGCAGCAGAACGCAGATCCCAAAACCCTGCAGGGACAGCCTGATAACATTCATGTGGTACTGGATGGAAAAACAGTCGAACTCAAGGATCAGATTCAGATGTATGCGACGAATCAATTGATATCCCATCCCCTAGTATCTCCTGTTCTTCAGCCCTCCCTTGGGGGCCTGCCACCCCTTCAAATCCTGAGCGGTGGCGGTGAAATGCTTCGTGATGAGCAATTCTATATTGCCCATAAGGCAGCCAATCCGACAGCGTACCCACCTAGTGATGTGTACCTTGACGAACATGACCCAGAAAGGGAAACTCTGCACAAATACGAGCCGACCTATGTGCAATTCCAAGTATGGGATAACCTCTGCCACGTGGCGCCTACCCTAAGTTGGACCCGGCCTGCAAAACATATGTTTCGGGCAATTTCTCAATTTGGATCCTGGGCACTTGCCCGCGCCCAAAATGCGGGGATTGAGATCGTGGATGAAGAACTGCTCTCTCCTGTCTCATCCAGTGGCACAGAAAGCTCGGAGGGTCCTCAAGGTATGCATTCTGGAAACCAAAGGACAGGTACCGGTATGTCATTCATTGGTAAAGCCGGTGATCCGCTGCCAGCATTTTACCAACATATGATCCGTGAGCGGGTCGACAAGCGCGGGCGAACCTACCCACTCGATCCACCATCGTCGTATCCTGTTTTGGACATCCCACCATCTCAGGTTGGTGCGATCAACCCTGTTCTCATTCGCAAATGGCTGAATGCAAAGCGCGAATGGGATGTGAAGTTCTCCAAAGAGAAGCTTAAAGTCCAGGGTCGACGCATCAAGGAGATGTCTCACGGTTTCGAGGATTTTGATGGTGAATTCCCATCCCCAAGCTCCTTGGCAGCCCGTCGCGCTGCCCCAGGTGTACTACCCAAGCGTGATGCCAAGAAGAACTACGGCATGATGCTCTGGAGTGGTTGGGGCAGCAAACATGACGAACGTACCATGGAGCGAGAAAATGACGCAACGAAATCCGGTCATCCTTCAACTCGTGCAAGTGTAGACATCGGACAGGCAGGTCAGTGGTCCAGTCAACCTGCAAAGAATCCTCGACCAGATCCCGAAAATCGGAAATCCGTCGCCACGAATTCCATGTCCGGGAGTGCTGCCGCAATGTCTTTGAATACTATGAGTGAACAAAAACCAAACAATAGAGGTACCTCTACAGATGCCGACGCGGGCAGACAGCCCATATCGGAGAAAAATGGCGGTCCGATTCTAGTACTCCCGGATATGGACAACCAAAAGTTCACTGAAGAGAACGCGAGTACAAGGGCCCTGTTCCATGCAGCGGGAACCCTCCCCATGACCTCCGATTTATCTCTCCCCTATTCTCGAGGCCGACCTCTATCTGCCGGAGGCTCTATGGCTGACCGGAGCGAATATGCGGGCGATGACAGCAGCACCGTTGGTGGCGATGCAGTCAGTGGCAGTGTCGCTCACGATGCTGTCAGCACGCGCGCTGTACTCTCAGCGAGGGGTGTAATTGGGGCGCTCAATGGCGGTGACAGTGCTCGAGCGTCAACCGATACTACATCTCTTCGTCCACATCTTACAAATGGAGATACCTTGTCGACCGAGAAAGCCGGTCTTGACTCAAGCAGCCATCGACCAGAGATGCCTGGTAGGGAAGAATTCAAGACCGCCAGAGAAGAGCTCTAGGCTTGCCATGGCCAGCCCCAACTATTATGAACGAATTGGTTCCTTCGCTTGCTTGACTACTTTCTTGACCTACTTTTGATCCAATCCTTCGTGTCTATCATTGTGATCTCTTACTTGCCTTTGCTTTGTCTGAAGGATGTTACCATCCTTATGTCTTTCTTTGATTCCCTTTTCTTTGTTGATATACCCTGTTTCGGTGGCGATGTACTATCATTTTATCGGAAAGATGTATACCCGGGTATTGAATTGATTTACATAGTTAGAATATACGCAAATTCATCATTTAAATTCGGCCAATATGATATGAGAAGCACCACGAAGCTTCGTAGGTGTGTCAAATTCTGCTATGGATAGTATAACATTTGAAGTATATGGGCGGAGGGTAGTCTGGTCCGACCTACTGATGCACACGTGTATGTACTTACTACCCTGGCAAGCGAGCTTACCTAGATGCATGTGAAAATTATATACACGCACGTGCAACTGGGTAAGATCCATCAAAGATGTATGAAATTAATCGGGTACAAAATAACATTTAGCTGGCTGGCCAGGTCTTCTCTAAGCATTTGGTTCTCATACGTGTTAGATCCTTACTGATCTGTTAACTTGGCGATTGAGCGTGATTTAATCTAATTGGTCGATTGGCTGCGTATCTAAGGACCTGTATAGTACAACACAACTCACATATGCTTCCAAAGCCAATGTTGAAGTGCGCCAAAAAAAGGCTTATGTAATCCAGTTAGATTGACTTATTATCCCTTTTTCCATTTGGCATATTGTTTATATATCAATTAATTAATCCGATGTTTAGCCATCTCTCTACGGGGTACGGAGTACAAAGGCCGGAGGGGCAAAAGGTGATCCGTAATCCCGCGATCAATTTAGGGGGTAAAATCCGAGTAAGTTTCGGATTAGAAGTACGGAGAAGTCCGTTGATCTAAGCTCCATGGGTCTCATTGAAATAGTTTGTCCATGCATTCTCCATCTGTGCAGAATCTCACATGAATCTCATTTTTCTAAAGTTCTACGGTCCAGATTTGCCTTGCTTCCTCGATAGAGTTATGTCCATAAACTATTGAAATCCAACATTCTTCAGTTATCTCCGCTTCGATAATAAAAAGGAGTCCCCATTGGTTCGTAATCCGAACCAAAAATCTCTTCCCCATTAGCGCAACAAGCAATTTCCAGGATTGGAAATGTGGATCCCGTGCATCCGCGAGATGAGGATCTACACGCCTGACAACGTGTCCGCAGTATAGAAGGGTCTCCACTCTTGGAGCTAAGCTAAGACCATTGATTGCTTCACGGGGATTCACGGGGATCCACTAGGAGGGGGAAAATTCAAATCGATGGGATCGCGGTGGCGATGGGGCTTCGGTGGGTGTGTTCATTTAGGTTCAACTTGGATACAGGGTTGTAGGTCGAACTAGCAAATTTCCAGATGGTTGCAGGGGCAGTTTGTTGTGGTTCCTGGTCAAAGTGTGTAAACATATAGTCGGTCTCTTTCCAAGTTCCCCACCCTGTGGCTGATTGCAGAAATTGAAGGACTCCAGCTGGATTAGGAAGTAGACTGAGAACATTATAATGTGGTTCATTGATATTAAAGGAGTGTGTGCACGTGGCAGAAGTAGAAAAGGGTATACAGTAACGCCGGTTAGGCAATGAATCATGTCGCATCCAAGGTCGCATGTCCAGTCTTAGCCGCTGTGACGCGCGCTTCGCTCCTCTGCTTCAATCTCGGAGACGGGCTCATGAGAAATCTCGATGGTGGTTTCCTGGTATACACCACCGAAGTTGGACATCTCCATGTCATTCTTCGCGACGATATCATCGGTAGAGCCGCCCTCGAATGGACTTTGGCTTTCTTTTTCGGCAGCGTTGCTGCGGCGGAATTTGGAACCGAACCTTGATCCCTTCTTCAAGCCCTTGCGCGACCGGCCGCCAGCGGTGGTGGTGATATTCGTTTGCCATTGGGAGTCGGTGTTGTTGTTGTCGTAGTTGTGGTCGGTGGTGCTGTGCTCCGTGTCGATGAGCAGGTGGCGACGGGTCAGAGTGTACACAGCAACATCCATGAAACCGGACAAAGCCATCAGGCAGCCGGCGACACCAAAGAAGGTCTTGCTGGGCGTGTCACCCCGGGCACTGGCCATGCGACCGGCTGCGAGTGGTAGCGACATACACAGGTAGACGAGGGGGTAGATAACCATGTACACGACGACACGGTTCAATCGTTTGAGGGACTCTTGCTGGCCTCGGCGGAGCATCTTTGCTTGTGCCATCCGGCGGCGGAGGTAGAGGAACATGACCGCATATAGGACGATGGTGCCGAATTCGGAGAGGAAAATCCAGAAGTAGTGACCCCAGAGGCGCTCATTTTCGTGTTCAGGGCTGATCCAGCACTAAATATAGCTGTCAGTTATAATCACATCGCCACGGCTATAGAGAAGCGTACCCAATTGGCTTCGGAAATGACGAAGGACTTGTGTCCATAGAGGCCGATTGGAATGAACCCCAGGACAAGGATAAAGATCCATAAGGCAATCACACAGCCGACGAAAACGTTCCAAGGCAGCTGACGACCACGTAGCACGACAAATCCAGTGTGAAAGGCGATAGAAAGGACGAATAGACCACTGCCAGGATCTCCTGTTTGAATCCACCAGCCTTGTAAGTAACAGGCAGCCTCACCAAAGTGAACACTTCCCCGGTGGACCCAGTATAGACTGATCGTGAAAGCGATGGCCTGTTGGAAGTCGATCAGCAACAGGTTATAAATCAAAACGACATATTGGTTCTTAGCGAGCGGGTGCTTGTAGTACCGCTGCCAGTAAATGAAACGATAAGTAAGGAACGACAAGAGGCCCAGGGTAGAACATAATGAGCAGATGGCAATGGTTCCCATAGCGATAAAGAGCGACCGGTCGCTACCCTTGAGCGGTTCTTCATCTTGGAATTGCCAGCGGCGGGCGAGGGAACCCTCGCCATCGGCGTATAACGAACGCAGAACGTGGGTGAGTAGAACCATGATTCAGAGCTCTGGGCACTCTGGAATGGGTCTCGAAACTTGCAGGAGGGCCTGAGCTTCTATACTAATAAAGGAATCGAAAAGTCCGAAAGCACGGTTCTCCAGGCCGGCCTGCACCGCATCCGATGCTCCACAGTGCAGTGATGATTTTCATCCCGTGAGAACTAGAGCAAAAGCTTACCCGTGATTGTCAATCAATAGGGGGGCTGCAGAAGTTAATCCATGGTTCACGACCTCCAGATCGGCTATCATAGTCGGTTTAGGAAATTGTGAGTATACTCAGTTCGGGCCGCTGGAGGGGGAGGGGGGTGAGGCTCCAAATCATGTTTGGTTGGTGCTGTTTCCCAGCCGACCTCGATCCACAGAACTGCCGAAATATGGCAAAGCGTTCGGAGGTTCGCTAGTATAGCTGTGTCAATCAACCACGCAATTCGAGTTGTGGAAATCATTCTTTGCCAGAGCGTGTACGGAGTACTGTAGGCACTTGTCTTAATCCAACCAAGTGGAGATTTTATTCGTATTGATTCCGCCTCCTAAAAAGCCCAAAAAAGCCCGGATCCACCAGGATTCCCGAATGGGAAGAAGACAAGGAGTTCCTGCATGTACTTTGTCCGCACGTTACGCCACCTTCGAACAATAGCTTGGTTAGAAGCCTCGTGGATGCCACGCAAACCCACCCTTGACCCGTGTTGCCAATAATTCGGATTGGGCTGTAGGTACGTGCCCTCGATCGAACCACGGACGCGATGAGCTGATCCCAACGCCCTTGCATTTCAAATCAACGCTATTTTCTGTCGAAAATTTGAGTGCTGATCATGGAGATGCGTGAAGTATAATAAAGCCTTAGTAGCCCGTTCTGGTCATTCCCCCGGCCTACCCTTACCCCCGAACATATTCGGAGATATCCCCAGGGGTATGTTTCAATGTTCCACGGGCCGAACGAGGGGTTAGCGAGTCTTGGCATGCGTTCGCTGATCTTATAATGCTTAGTCCGTATAAGCAATAAATCTCGTAAGCAATTGAGGTTTTCTGATAGTCAGGGAGTGGGGAAGGTTATAGAGATGTAATGCTTGAAGAATGGATAAAGATCATATCAGATCAAAGTTAAAAGGAAGTTTAAAAATAAACGATTTGATCGATCCACGAGAACCTTAGAAAGTCGAAAAAACTATTTTTAGTACATATAGCAGTACTACTGACATCTTTACATGAACAAGTCTCCGTGGCGCAATTGGCTAGCGCGTCTGACTGTTAATCAGGAGGTTGGAAGTTCGAGCCTTCCCGGGGACGTTTCTTTTTGTTTTTGTCATTATATTGTATTATAATGACTATCTTTCTCTCTGACTGCTATCTCTTATTTGATTTTTTTCTTCTTCTTTACTTCCTCTTCTTCTTATGCTTTAAGTACTTGAAATTGCACTCTCACCTGTTCCAAAATCTGAGTCATCGTTCTTCATTCCTGGATGCCACACCTATTCCGTCCATATCTAAATATTTCCCAGTGCGACCCAACTACACTCATGGAATGATACAGACCGCCACTTCTAAGCCTGCATCGGGACCAGACAGGTGATATACATAGCTAGGGCACTTCCCCTTCTCAATTGAGTGTAGATTATATCATGTCTCACTTCCCCCGTTTGTACCCGGTCATGTAAGGTCAGTCTCTGCTATTGTTGCATCCGGCCAAGGCTCATTTGGTCAATGTCCTGTCCAATGTCTAAGACCTGCACCGATGCGACGCATAGGTGCATATCAGCTATAAAAATAGTATCAACATAATTCACGTACCTATTCCAAGGTTCGCAGGTAGAATTTGAGTCAGATCGTGGATATATAAATATCAGGTGATAGTATGTACCGATGGTAAGAAAAAAGGCGGACAAAAATAAAAATTTATAGCCATTCTAACATCAATTGACCTGGACTTCATTATGAAGTATATCGCCACCCTCTCATGTGTTCTCCTGGCTACCATCGTCAGCGCTGTCCCTGCACCAGCCAACAGCCCAGAAGCCTCAACCAGTGGCGACATCGCGCAACCCATATCAGTCTTCTACGACGAAAGATATGATGTCGGCACAACTTCTCTAAGCACTGTCGCCTGTTCAGATGGAATCAATGGTCTCGAGAGCAGCTATGCGACTTTTAGCTCGCTACCCAAGTTTCCTATGATCGGCGGTGCACCCACCATTGCTGGCTGGGACAGTCCAGCCTGCGGCAAATGCTACCAGCTGCATTTCCAGACCGACAAGATTGATGAGACTATCAATGTCCTTGCTATTGATACGGCCTCGGGCGGATTCAACATCGGGCTTAAGGCAATGAACAGTCTGACCAATGACCAGGCTGTGAATCTTGGTCGGGTGGATGCCACCTATGTGGAAGTGGACAAGAGCTTGTGTGGACTCTAACTGGTCGGAATGGATGTTTCAATGTTGGTGGGGTTGCGAATTAAAAGTATGGTACATGAATGATGTCGGGATGAGCAGATGTTGTGGTTATTTACATGATTTCAATATACATAGACGGATCAATCAAGAGCCTCTAACATTTCTTCAACACGCGTAAACTTCTCGCGAGGTCTACCCTTCAGCTGACCGCGCTCACGCTCAATAGTGTCGATGCGCTGCCAGTCTTGCCAGGATGTGGCCCGGAGCCCACGTTGGTGCACTTCGGCCTTGACTCCATCCCAGCCCAGGCCAGTACTTTGACCGGGCTTATTTAGTAGAGAGCCTTGGTGGCTGGCCAGGTCATATAAAATAGTATCCACCGTGGTAAAGGCATCGGTCATGGTCGACGCAATGACACCGGTCGGGCCGCGCTTGACCCACCCGGCACAGTATAAACCGGGCAAGTGGGAGATCAATGAGCCATCCGGCAACTTACGAGTTTCACCCACATCTGTGGGACCATTCACGCGACCCAGTCCATCATTAGGGATCACGCCACGGCGAGTATCGAATTGGATACCTAGGTCCTCGAGTCCTGGTAAAGGAAGTGACTTGTAGCCGACACTGCGGAAGAAGACACTGGCGGGGAGATTGGTCTGGGCGCGATCGCCATTCGAAAGATATTTTGGGGTCACTTTGGAACTGGCGTTGTGGGGATCGGAGGGATCGAGTTCATTGCGAGAGAACTTGGCATGCGAAAGGTTGTAAGGGTGCACTGGTGACCATTCAAGGCATTCGGGGGAGAGGAGGAAATCTAATGACCAAGACTTGATCGCTGTCTGGGGATCATTGGCAGAGCCCTTGGCGAGAAGCTGCATCAATCGCTTCTGGGCTCGAGGCAATGCATTGATGACGGAATCTGGAGGTAAGACGTCTTCCCTAATCGGTTCGAACGCGAGGGAAGGCAATTGAAGCAATTCACGGACTTCCTTGATTGTGAAGGAGGCCTGATACAGTGTTAGATACTGGAATGGGTTGTCTTCTTAGGATATCTACCTGCAACGGTCCTCGGCGACCAACCACTCGTACTCGCTTGATCCGACTCCTCGACAATGCTTCCAGAGCATGGTCGGCAATATCTGTTGTTCGAAGCGCATCCACATCTGACAGCAAAATCCTGGCGACGTCGAGTGCTACATTTCCTTGTCCAACAATCACCGCATCCTCGCCGCTGGACAAGTCCGGGTCCAAATCCCGATGTTCGGGTAGGCCATTGTACCACCCAACAAAGGAGCGGGCCGAGTATACGCTACGAAGAGCATTTTCTCCTGGAATCCCAAGTTCCTTGTCTTGCGAAGCCCCGTATGCGAAAAGAATGGCATCATAGTGGGGTTTGAGAGCGGCGAGAGGTAGGTCGTGTCCGAGATCGATATTACCGACAAAATTGAAGCGTGGAGATCTTGCGACTTCGGTGAATTTGTCTTCGCAGTTCTATTTCGGAAATGGATCTTAGATAAATATACAATCATATTCGCAAGCCAATTGTGACTTAGCGCATTGGTTGGCCCGTAACCTACCTTTACTTCTGGATGATCCGGGGCAACACCATATCTAGCCAACCCGAAGGGTACTGGGAGCTTCTCGTACATGTCAACCTTAAGGTCATCATTCTTGCTCAATAGCCGTGCTACGGCATAGAATCCTGCAGGCCCAGAACCCACCACGGCAACTCGAGTGGGCCGGTTCCCCGAAGCCACATGACTGTTCAATCGCCTTGATACAGACCGTGTGGGGAATGACTTGACCCGGAGAATTGGACGAGCCAAGCGCGATGTGCAACTAGCACAAATCAATGCGCGATCAAGCATGGTGTGGGGAGAGATAATGAATTAGATAAGTTCAAGATCAAATCGGAGTGGGTGACACGTGATCCCTCGGCGCCTGTTGCCAGGCCAACAATCGGTGTTGACCCTCTGGTTCTCCGCAGTGTCCACGCAGCCCACATCGCGTCGCATACCATACGTTTCCCTCTGTCAGATCGCATTCCACGGTTCATTCCATTCCTTCATAAATTTGTCTCGCGTGGCTGCCACGGGAGGCTTTCAGTCGCTATGGGTAGATCGGAGCCTCCATTCCTTTATGATCGTCCATCCACTTACAGCTTCAATGGCCCGACCGACCCCGGTTTTAATCCCAGAGCTGTGACGCAAGCGAGCCGGACTCCCACATCGCCCAGGAAGCAGCAGGAGGGGCCATTGATAAATTTCAATAGGCATCCTGATTCGGTATGATGGTATTTGCCAATTGATAACAATCCGGGGCTAACTAGAGAACTATATAGTGGGCCACTATGGAGAAAAAGCCAACGCACACACCGATGAACCCCAAGGTCAAAAAATGGGTTAAGGGTGTCAGAGGGACACAGCTAGGTCTACGGGTCATCACTCTCCTCGGTGCACTTGCATCTCTGTTTTGCTCCATCGTTATCAAAAATGCGGACACAACCGTCATCTGGATCATGCGGGCCGGCGTAAGTCTACAATTCCGATTTATGGAGTCTGATGCTAACCATTATAGCCCATTGTCGCAATTTTACACACTGTTTACGGTGTATACCATTTTTGCCGATCTGCTATTACACGCCCTCCTGGCTCCCAAGCTAGTTATGGAGTGTTCGCTGGCACTTTGGATGCTGGTTTAATTCCATTTTATGTGTTCACGGCATACATGGCTCATGGAGACTACACGACTGATGCTTATAGCTGGGGCACTATGTTCAAGAATAGTGAAATCACCCTTGATATTGTTGAGGCTACTTTTATCTGTGCCCTTGTTAATATAGGGCTGCACCTTATTTCGTTCTGTCTTTCTATCTTCTTGGCCGTCGTCTTCCGCAAGATTTCCCATCTTCCACCTGACATGAACCCACTGGAGGATAACCTTACAGCTCGCCCGCGCCGAAGCTTCCGCAAAGATATCGATGTCGATGAAAAGCACATGAGCTCATCAACGCTGATTTCGAACATGGAAGACCCGCTTATGGGCTCTCCACGTACCGTACCATTTATGCATACTCGTGAAGATTCACTTGGTGGCGAAACTATTCGTGGCTCAGTGGATATGAGTAATGAAAATCGGCAATCTCAGATATTTGTTCAGCCACTTCGCTTCTCACTGGAACCCTCAAGCCCTGAGAGATTCTACCATAACCCCACTGTCGAGTCTTACAATCCGGCAACAGCCACATCTGCACCGGAATACCACAACGTGCCTGCAAGGTCACCGGAAATCGTCGTACCTAGCACCTATACACGTCACCTAGCTTCTCGCACTGCTGACAGGTCCGACTCCGTGAGCCCCGTATCTGACAACTGGGTTAGACACGACGAGCGCTATCCATCTCCCATCAGTGACCTCCAAAACGAAACGGAACAAAGCAACGAAACTACCCTCCGTCAGTCGTCTTCGGTTTACAGCCGACGAACCGATAAATCTGCGGCATCGGCAGCAAGTGGCATCCGAGACTGGTTCGCATACCCCCAGAGAAACCAGCCCAGTGTGGGAAGTGTAATCCCGGAAGATACAAGGGGCGAGTATGCATCACTGGCAGCACAAGAGTATTACGGCACCGAAGACAATGACGAACAAGACATTGGAGCTCAGCAGCGCTTCAATATCTTCCCCGACCCAGAAGAACACGATCACGACAATGATGATGAACCTGGTATTCCATTCAACCCACTTATGCTGAACCCTCCAACCCCACAACCAATTCTCACCGAGATCCAAGAAGATACCGACCCAGTGCGTCGCAACGCGCTGGGAGATAATCCAAATTTCTCACAAAACCAAAAAGCCCAGCTCTTCGTTCCACCTGGATCCGACTCCCCACCATCCAATACCCGCTACTACGGTCAACTGGAAGAAGACAACAGCTCTGGATTAAGTATTGCGCCGCGCAAAGTTAGCGACCAGAAAGACATGAAAAGGCAACCGTCCAAACTCATTAAGAAGCGAAGTAAGAAACTCGCCGCATACCAGTCTCTGAAGAAGGACGACAGTGACGACGAGGGACACCTCAGTCCCCGCATTCCACCATCTCCTGCAATTGCCGAAGGAGACCGCAAGGGCCGAGTGGTTAGCAGCTCTGGCGCAGACACAGCTCAACCTGGTCTTGTTAGTGGAGTTGGAGCTTCCCTATCCTCGTATGGCAGCTACATTGCAGGACTGGGAGTAGGACGGCGTCGTGAAGTGAGTGGTAAAGTTGTGGAAGAGGGACGAGGAGGAAAGAGTGTGGAGATTCGTCCCTTGCCGAGTCCCAACCCCAGTCCGGAGCAGAGCCCTGATGGGAAAATTCGGGCTGCTGGATGGGCACGATTTGCAGGATTATGATTGATCCTATGAAGGAAGGGATGTTGGAAGAATATTCTTGTTATCTTTTGTTACCTTTTGTTCTGGACATGGCGTTTTCTACTTTTTTGGACTATGAACGACATGTAGCGATATCATCTTTGCTTCCGGTTTAGTGCAGTTGACCCAATTTGACATATTTCAAAAAATATATACAGTAGTTGTAAGAGCCTATATTCCTAGAAGTACAATCGATGCAAATATCCTTATAGTGCGAGGACTAGTCCTTGAAATGTGTACATGTAGCAAAAGAACGAAAGGTTGATAGGTAGGAATCATTAGAAATTAGTCTATTCGTTCAATTAGGGTATCAAATAAATCAATGTAATAAGAGAAATTACGAGGGAACGCCCTCATACTCCCAGCCCTCAATAACACGCTTTCGACGACGAGAGTTCCGACGATTAGTATTACACTTGACAAAGACAGTCAATGCAAAAATGACCAAAACTATAACTCCTGCAACAGCTGCGACAATCACAGTCCTGCGTTCCAGCTCTTGTGGATCATTGGCGTAGGGGCAAGTAGCATCTGCCCCACCGGTGACCCAGCAAGAAGTGACATCGATACAATTGAAATCCAAATAGACTTCACGTAAGGCAGGGTTAGAGGATGTTGAGTCCAGAGTCGCTGAAGGTTCGGAGAGGAGTTGCTTATAGAGATAGGTGTTTTCGAGGCCAGTCCGAGGCACTGCGAGAGTGGACCCTGGTGGGCACGAATCCGAGATCTCTGAATACTTTCCCGTTGCATTCGTTATGGTCCACAAGAATGGGGAATTGCCTACTCGGCAGGCCCCCCTTCGTTCTTCAGTACAGTTGGTGGCACGCCAGCGGCCTTCCAGTGATAAATCCATGATCGAGCAACGGTCAAATGCTGGCTTGCCACTTGTACCCCCACCAGTACCAGCGCCTTTGGGCTCGCCGATTGCCCAAGCCCAGCCCGATGAAAGAGAGACATTGCGGTAATACTCGACATTCGCGTCGGCGCTTTGACCGAATAGAGTACTGTTCAGCATCGGGGACATACCGCAGGCAGTAATGCCAGCGATGACATCGGCGACAGAACCCATGGTACTGTCCGCGGATTTTCCATCTGTAACGGGGATTTGGCTAATTGCCCACGATGAGTTGGCTTGAGATACCGCGGTGGCCCCTGGTTCATATAAGCAACCTGAAGTCACCGTACCGTTCTCCGCGGTGGATATCTTCACACCAGATGACATAAAATGTGGACTGAAGATATTGTCCTCATCTTGCGACAGGTTATATGTGGCCAGCTGGGGATCCACCGACCCATACTCAATTAGTACTCGGTCCGATTTGGCAAACTGGATGTATTTTGCGGAAGGCCATCCATCTGGAGTGCTCTGTTGACCAGACTCGTCTTTATGAATCGTGTAATATTCCACAATAGGCATATAGGTCTCGTCGACCTCATACCAGGACTCGTTCAGGTTGCTTCGATCCTTGGTAAGCTGAGCTGGAGTATAGATATAGCTACCAAGTTCTGTCGCGAGGTATGAGCCAACCCGCTCTGTGTCTGTTTTGGGCAAGTCATCACCCGTCACCTCAGATGCAGGCTCTGTCGGCGCCGAATCGCTGCCTGCGACATGAAGGTTCAGAGCCAACCAGGTTGTATAGGTCTTCTCTCTAGATGTTGTGCTTTGGAAGTATCCGACCAGAACTTGCGATATTGTGTATAGATCAAGTTCATCGGTACATCTGTACGGACCGAGCTCATAGATTGTGTCTCCATCGGAATCCTTATACCCCGTTATCGTCGCGCCTGCGGTATCGCTTGTTGTGGATGCGGACTCGGTGGATACGGACGTGACGGTGGATGTTGTCGAGGAACTGCTCACAGTAGATGTGTATGCTGAGACTGTGACAGCTGCCTCGGTAGGGATGCTGACAGGGCAGAATGTCCACGTCCTATGTTCTACCGACCAATATATGTCCAGGATTAGCCGTCGGTACCCGACCGACAGAAGATTGGATATGCATTTTGCTGCTGCAGTTTTATCGTAGAGATTATCTCCAAAACAGGCAGCTTTCAAGGATACAGCGGGATTGGTGACAAAGTTGATTGGGATCTGACCGGCGACATCGCGTTCACTCTAGACATTGCGTCAGACTAGATTTGGGGGCTTGGGGTCAATTTTTAAACACAAACCAGTAAGACAGCCACCCAGGTGGCACTATCAAGAGTGGCATCAGAACTATATGAGACAGACATAGAGTTCTGAAGCAAAGCATGATTGGCAAGAGTAAGTTACTGAGTTGAAGGTAAAGTGCGGGTTCACACAGGTCGCATCGCGTACTGCAAGGCGGGCCGATCACCTGAGTAGATCTGGCCACATCAAATGTTCCTTTCCTTTGACTTTCCATCCAACCACCAACTTCCTTTGATCGCATTTCTTTGAAATTTCCTGTGATACCCCTTAACCCAAAAAGAATCTACATTCACCATGGCCCAACCCGGCCAACCTAGCCCCCAACAACTGGCTGCCATGCAACAGCAGTTCGCCGCCGAAGCCGCCAAACGAGGGATGACACCTGAACAATTCGGACAAAAACAGCGCGAACAATTGACGGCCGACGCAGCTAAGCTAGGCTTGACACCAGAACAATACGTCGCGCAGTTGCGGATGCGAGCAATGCAAGCGCATCAGAAGCAGATGGAGGCCCAACGACAAGGTCAGGGATCACCACAGCCGGGTCAAGCTCAACCAGGACAGCCAGGACAGCCAGGACAGCCAGGACAGCCAGGACAACCACAACAACCGGGTCAATCACCGAATCCCCAGCAACGACCTCCACAGCAACAGATGCACCAGGTACCCGTCAACGCAGGCCAGCCTGCGGATCCCAAGGCGCTGGCCGTGGCGAAGTTCCTACGCTCGCAATCCCTCAAGCCTCGAACCTGTATTCTCGACGGCCAGCGAAAGGACATGTTCAAGGGTAATTATTCCGCTACTACCTACTTAAAAAGCAAAAGCAAAATCAAATCTAACTGACCTCCTACAGTCAAGCGAGCAATTCGCGCAATCGAGTCCCCCGCCTACGCCAAAGCCGCCGCAAAGAAGAACTCCCTCCTCCCACCCGTGACAGACCGTGCCTCCGCCGAAAACGTATTCAAGCTTCTCCCGCTCTCCCTCCTCGCTCTACGAGTAAGCAAGGTTGATCCGCACGAGGGCCACAACCACGCCAAGCCCAAGAACAGGACGAAAGGCCTGTGGACCGTGAAGATCGAGCAGCACCAGGAGACAGACCCGATGATGCACTACGTGTGGCTGTGGGAGGGACCGCAGTGGAAGCAGAAGGCCATGGCAGCGGCGGTGGTGGCGGGTATTTTTGCCGTTGTGCTGTTCCCATTGTGGCCTATGATGCTGCGCCAGGGTGTTTGGTACCTCAGTGTTGGATGTATGGGGTTGCTGGGACTATTCTTTGCGATGGCGATCTTCCGGTTGATTCTGTTCTGTGTGACTGTTTTCACTGTGGCGCCAGGATTGTGGCTGTTCCCGAATTTGTTCGAGGATGTTGGGTTCTTTGATAGTTTCAAGCCTTTGTGGGGCTGGCAGGAGGTATGTGAATACTGTTTTGTTGTGGAATCTTTGCTAATGAATTCGCAGAACAAGAAGAAAAAGAGCAAGAAGGTCAAGTCGGAACCTGCTGCGCCTGCAGAAACTTCTGCCACTACTACCTCTGCCCAGACTACATCTACTTCTTCGGCTGTGAAGCGGGATCTGACGCCGCGGGTGGAGGAAGTGGAGGAATAGGTAGTTTCTTGCATTCATTCAAATGTTTCCCAGACATTGCCAACATTTCCAATGTCACTGTTCGATGGAATACATGAACGAAGCGGAGATCTCATATTTATCTATATTTCACTTTACCCTTACAGGATGCTCATCTCGGCGTTTACAAGGGTTATCCCAGTTCTTTTTTTTTTTGTAAAAGTAGGATTACTTCTATCTTCTACTCTAAAAGATATGGTCGATGATACTAAGTACTAGTGTTTGGAAGCTGGTAGCTAAGGGTAGGTACTATGTCAAATTTGAGGTATCAAAATGGTAGGCAATCATGTTGTATTCAATCAACCTAAACTCCAATTTTCCACATTTATTTCAAACATCCAGTAGAAAGAGAATATAGCCAAGTCAGTGGTTGTGAATGACAAAGGGGTATAAATAAGACAATACAAAAAGTGAAGTAGACAAAAAGGAAGGGAAAGGATTAGAGCGACGCCACGTAGGACGAAGGCGGGTATCTTCATGTTAAGACAATCAAGATGCAGATGCAAGATAGAAGATAGAATGAAGGGGTATGTATCTCAAATGCCGCTCTTTGATGAAAATAGATGAAAGTAGAGTCGACAGACGTACAGTCGAGGGTATATGTGAATGGACGATAGTGCCGGATTGAGGCAAGGGGTATATTTTGACATGATGACCGTTTCATTAGAGCATTCTGGACTGCCGAGCGGCTGTTCTGGAGCCGCTCTGTGCTGTTGGTGGAACACCACTTTTCCGGTTATCCTGATCGCGAATCTTTTGTGATTGGTAAAACCGGTCGACGGGGGAACTGGTTGACCAAGAGGGCAGCGCCTGCGCAGCGATGGGAGAAGGGATTTTGGGGAGGGGACAATTTGGTGGAGGTGCAGCAGGAGGGCCCAGAGTGAGGCCAGGCATGCTCTTTCGGCGGGACATGCTTTGAGAATCATTTTGAGCGTTAGACACGCGGTTTCGTAGCATTGGCTCGATCGGAGGAATATTCAACACCTCCGACTCATTGACCATGTGGATACCCAACCCAGGGCGACCAACCAAGCTGAGAGGGCGAGACGAAGGGGGACTTGTTTCGGAGGCTGTTGTTCGAGTCATACGAGCGAAGGCATTGCCATCTGGTGCTTGACGAATCGTTCTTGATAAAGCGTCCTCTGAGTTGGAAGCGCGCAAGATGCGTCGAGTACCATCCCGGGCCACTAGCGGGGGCTCCGAAGAGTCCGTCAGGCGCGAGCTAGCGACACTATAAGTCGGAGACTGCGGAGGTGAGGAGATACTGGAGATACTGAAATCGCCTGTACTTTCACCTCGGCGCAAAACCCCGACAGGCGGAGAAGTAGTAGCCTGGGAGATACCAGTACCTCTCGAAGCAAACTTCCTACTGAATGAAGGCACACTGAAGTTCGGCGCTGGCGGCGAGGCACTTCGAAGCAGAGATTCGGGGACACCGGATTGAGTATAATTGGACTGAACTAGCTCAGAACGAGTGGGCACCGGGACTCCCATATTAGAGGGCCCATATTGGGATTGGCGTTTTTCTTGGCTGGAAGAAGCTGGGCCGCGAGTATATAGATCAACCTCCGGCTTCATCAGCTCTTCCAAGACCGCAGCGCCACTTCCAACTGGAGGTGAATGAGACGGGTTCATAGGTGGGCTGGAGGTGAACGAAGGGCCCTCAGACCCAATGACGATCGGAGCAGTAGCCTCCGTTCGACCCGTGGAGGCTGACCCTGTCCTCGAGTTTACCACCGATGGATTGACAGACACGTACGAACTCCGGCGTGACTGCCAGGTCAACCCGCCGACCGACTGATCATCATCCTCCTCGGGAGATCGCAGGGTCTGCGGTTGAAGAAACAAGCTCGAGATACGATGGGGGTCCTTTTTCACCATCTGCCGAATACTTGACTTGGACCGAAGCTGGGGTCCCTCATCATCTTCTGAATGCTTTTCCATGGTGAACTTAGGACCTCCGCGAGATTCGACCTCAGCACGAATTGCCATTAGCCAGGAAATCATGGAGTCCGGGTTATCAAACACCAAGAGAAAGCTGCGCGCTAACCTCCGCGCATGAGGTCGATGAAATCCAAAACGCGATGAGAGCTTAGGCTTGAAGGACTCCGCATCAGGAGTGGAATCGGCCACTGGGTTCTGAGAGACCTGGACCACCCAATGCTTTCCGGGAATCGCATCACTAGCAAAGGCCACCGACTTAGGACCCAATTGTAACATCTTCTCCGGTAGCCGATCGTGTTTCCCTTCCCCAGCATACTGGAGAATAAACCCCGCCGTGGCCAGCACGTAGATCTTGTTGGACCACTCAACCTTGTTGATCGTCCCAGACAGTGTGCGAAGATGTTTCCGTTCCTTTTGTTCCTTTTTCTTTGCATCATCTTGTCCCATCTGGTTCCGGGCATCTTCCGTCGCAGCCTTCGCAGTTGTCGCGTGCAGGCGTAAGATCGAATCTGCCGACATGGCCGGCGCCGAGAGACATTCATGCTTGGTCGATTGCGGGTAAGCCTGAAATAACGGTGGAGGCTTCCATCCATACTGTTCCCGCGGTGGTGGTACATTCGACTCGGCAGGTCGAGGTCGAGGGGTTTTCAATGTGGCTCGAGGCCGAGGTGTCGTCGGAGATGTGAGCGTCGTCGGAGTAGTTGGAGCCGTACGGGGGCTGGTGAGATCCGGGGATAACAGAGCCTCTGGTTCTGGCACAATTGGTATTGGGGGTGGCTGGACTTCCTCGATTTCGGTCAACTTGGTATCTGGTGCAGCAGCTGCACGCGCAGATTTGTCACGACTGAACAGGTTGCGTAATGAAGATTTAGAGGATTGACGTCGCACCGGACTCTGAAGGGAAACCGGCCCCTCTGAGCCATTGGTGGAATATTCGGATGGACGAGGGCGTGATCGTGACTGGGGTTTAGCGGCTGCGGTTGGCCGAGCAAAGTTTGTAGTTAGTGGTGCCAGACGATGCCCACGTCGCTCACCCAAGGATGTAGGTGGTGGGGTAGGCTCTTGAGCCATTATGTTTTCAGACATGATCGAATTGATTATACCTCATAGAAAAAGGAGGTCTGATGAAGAGGGAAAAGATCGACGAGAGAACGTGGGCGCATCTGCACGGCCGTTGAGGCCAACGTCATGAATTAAAGGAAAGTGGTTTCAAGAATTTCGAAGTAGGAGAAAGGAGAAAAGGAAAGTGGGGAAGAGGAAGAGGAAGAGGAAGAGGGAAATGAAGGAAAGAGGATCTACCAGAGTAGTGCGAGGTGCATGGGATTTAAGTCGAACTAAGCCAACATAGAGATTGGCCCCTTTTTTTGGTTTCGGGGTTCTCAAGTATACTCATCAGGGAACGGATTTCTATTCAAGGCATCAAAGATATCAGATCTATCAACTCCAACTATCTCGCTTATGGTCAATCCCACACATTGAGTGGAGCATAAACGTTCGCTCCACTCCGTTCAATATTTAATTTAAAAGCCTCGAACCTCAAACCTCGAACATGGAACATGGAACATCGAATCTCGAACCTCCAGTCTTTACTTGGCTTCAGTTCCGCATTTTAGTCCCTGTCCAGCTTCGACTGCGCCTATCAAACCAGCTCCAGCATCACAGTGCTGAGCCAAAGCAATATCCTTGTGGGTGAGGCCGCGTGGGTAATGCGTGGTCCAGTGGACATCGACGGAACCGAACCGCTGGGACCACATTAGATGAATTTCTTTGTTCAGATGTGCTATTGATCCACACGTATAAACTGAAAAAAGAGGAAACACAAAACTTACAATAGTCATTGTGGGGTGATGCTTCTTGACCGAGCTCTCAGCCGCAATAAGATTCAGAAATGACTTGAACACATCAGTAGGGGAAAGACATGACACAAGAATTTGTACTCACAACCGCTTTGAAATAACTCTTAAAGTGGAACGTCTTGGTGACTCCCGTACCCTCGGCATCCAGAGCCCAGCCCTGCTGCTGTAGTGCGGTAGTGTCGGAACTCAATTGGTGTGGGTCTTCTCCCTCCGCAAAGCGAGGTGCGGGTGTGTTAGAAGCCATTCGGAACTGATGAAGCTTATTGGGAGTGCAGTTTACAATGGGACGGGAGAATCTCCCGAGACGGAGGAAGCTCATTCTCTCAAGGTTGTCAGCTTGTGAGTTCGGGTTGAATTGGAAGTTGCGATTTCGGATTGTTCCCGGACGCACGGACCATCTGCCAGGCGTTTCTATAGAATCTACAGACTGAAGACCCTGCTGGCATGGAATACAGCGTAAGGTAAAATTGAAGAAGATAGTCACTTCACGACAAAACATCTGAAGTATAAACGAACATCAAGACCCACATGGACTATCCTGTAAAACAAGTCAGTGGTAAATACAGCACCTGGGCACACAACCGCCCGTTACACCAAGCTATTATCAGCTATAGTTTGGATGACAGATCTCCCGAAGTTGGCTACGTCTAATGAAATTTGGCCATCACACAGCATCAGCTGAAATGTATCTCTAAGCTTCATTGCCAGGTAATATTAGCAGTCTTAGGCACTGCTCGAGCTTTCAATACTGTCCACATGCAGACAAGAAGCATCCATGGATGAAGGACAATAGTTGAACCGGGGTCAAAATGGACTCAAGACTCATCTAGACCAAGCCACAGGGTATCCTGCATACCTATATCTAATGCCACACCTGGGCAGTAGATACTACATAATGCGGTGACACCTGCGGATCCTCAAATGCCTCATCTGGTAGTGTTACACAGATCCGGGGACCTGCTTCTCCCGCATCCGGCAAGGGGCCGATGCTACTCTACCATCGCGGAAGGCGGGTAGATCAGATCGATCTCGCTAAGTCCCACTAGTTTGTGAGACCACGCGTGAACTCCGCTGATCGTCTATGAGATATACTTGTAAAAGATCTACGGGGGGACGATGCAAGGGACGTGGCAAGGACTATTTCTAGGAACATTTGGAATGAGCTAATTCATATGATTCGTAAAAAGGTATCACTAAAAGGACTAAAGTACATCACACCTGACAGCCCATAAATTCAACCGCGACCTTTGCAAGTCAAAGCAACACATTATGTGAGTACGACGTTTTCTAAAACAAGGTGCCATGGACAACCTGGTCAAACAGTCGATTGCTCACCGATCATTCGAATAATTAATTAAGCAAGTCCACCACGCCCAGCGCAAGGATTTATGCCATGGAAAACATGAACAGAGAAAGGAAGATGTGAAATGTGCCTCAAATCTCCAACCAAGTCTTTTCCATTGCATGCCTGTAGAACGGCCATCGGTGGTTGTATAGGTTGCCACCTAGGTTGACAGGTGCATTGCCATTGAAAATCGAAGTTTGCGGTCAAGTCTTTTGGTGTTGGGAGTGCAGATTTTGTAGAGAACAGTTTCAGGCATTAAGACTGTTGCGGCGGGAGTTTGCACGAGAGTTTGCACGAGAGTTGGCCCGGGAGTTGATACGAGACCCAGGGCGGCTGCCGAGGGCCTGGCGGAGGCGGAGATCCTGCTGGGACCGTGCGTACGAGTTGGCGCGCGATGCTTCAGGAACCTTTGATCTGCGTCGGCCCTGGATAGCCAGGTCGTGGCGAGCCTCTGACAGCTGCTGCGCGAATGGAGAACGCTTGCGCAGGACGGGGCCCTTCCAGTAGATGACATAGACAGCGATGACCAACAACAATGAGATACAGACTGTAACGAACCAATGTTAGCAGAATCTCTTGGAGATGAATATGCGCAAGGACTTACAAAGAATGGTACAGGCGTATTCAACATGGTTGGTGCTGCCGATGTTCGTGAAGAAGGGAGTCGCGGGGATGGTCAGAACACCAGCCAGGAAGTCGCGCGACCATCCATTACCACCGGTGGCCGAGGCAGAGTACGGGCCGTATGCACAAATCATGTAGTCGATGGTTGCCATGTAAATAGCATAGTTGGCGATACCGATGATGGCAGCGAAAATCATGGATCCGATCCAGTGGCATTGTGGCAAAGCGGTCCAGGCAAAGCCAATCAAACCGATAGGCAAGCAGGGTACGGTGTACAACAACCACCATAGTCGGGACTCATATTGGGCCCGTTCACTATCAGGGTTGGCGGCGCGTTCAGCCATGTTCCGTTTGATCACGGGGAACCATGAGATCCACGCAATCAAGTAGCCGACCAAAATGGGAATGAACGAGAGACCCAACTGCCAGGTGTTGAAACCCCACTGGCCGTAGACCAAGCTGAAAGACTGGATGAACATGAAAATCAAGGCATCACTGAATCCACTCAACAATGAGAGGGTCAAGACAATTGGCTCGGTCAAGAACATGCGGAATGGACGGATCCACGTAGCCATGATCTCACGAGGAGGGAAGCGTTGACGGAAAGACAGGCCTTCGGTAGGGCCGTAGATGTTCGGGTTTTCGCCGCTCTTACGCATCTTCTTCGCAATCTTGTCCATGAGGACGGTTGTTCGGGTTTCGGGAACGAAGATAAAGTGCATGATCTGAACAAAGCCACCGAAGATGAGCTGGATCCAGATGTTCCAGCGCCAGGGGAGGAACGCCTCCACAAAACCACCGACCACTGGGCCCAAAACCGAGCCACCGACAGAGGAGAAAACGACGGCTGCGACTGCATACTGCTGGGTATCTGCTTCCCATAGATCTGCAACCATTCCCAGAGTCACCGAACCGCCGGCCGATGCCAGACCTCCCAGCGCTCGGCCGACCATAATAGAGGCGAAGTTCGGGGCCAGTGCTACTGGCAGTTGGAAAATGTTAACGAACAACAGTGAAAGCTGCAAAATAGGCTTTCGGCCCAATTCTTCACTCCATGGGGCCCACAGCTCACAACCGAAAGCGTACAGAACCAAGAAAATCATGGCACCACACCGGGCAGCTTGCATGGAGACACCGAACTCCTCCGAAATACCAGAGAGACCATTCGAGTACAGCGAGGTGTTGAAGTTCATGGAGACTTGAACCAGGAAGATCACGCCAATGATCCGCCATTTCTTCCATTCACTGAAGGAGTAGCCCAGCTGGTCGTAACACATATCCTCGGTGAGCTCGATACGGCCAGAGGGGGAGGCATTTTCCAATTGATTATCCTCGTCAAACTTTTCATGAACAGGTATGACATCGTGAGTCGTACTAGACGAGTCCGATGCCATGACGGCATCTCGGCCATGGCCTGGCTTTTCTGGCTTGCTTGCCATCTCTCACACAGTAAGGGTAGGGTACAAGGTAGACGAGTATAAAATGTGGGAGGCAAGGTCCAGAGAAATGAAAGTGTGTGGGGAAGTGGAGTAAGAGATGCAAGCACGAAGAGAAGACCTGGGGGGGGGGGGGAAGAAGAAAGTAATAAATACTTTTCCAAATGCAACGACGTAGAGATCAGATGCGGCAAGGACATTCCTTGGATCTATGAACCCAGGAAAGTACTTTGTATGATTTTTACTAAATTTCCTCTTTCGGGAAAAGTCAAATGTTCTTTTCTCCAGACTTTTTGCTTTTTTCCCACTTTTCGCTCTCCAGTTTCCCTACCGAATAAACGGGATGCCGACTTTCATATTGATCCACTTGAACCCTTAACCTCAGAGGAAGTCAACAACATCAGCAATTTGAAGCAGTTATGTTGTTTACGTTATTTTATTCAATTTTCCACTCTTCACTATCTCTACTTTGACTTTTGCTTTTGGGTTTTTTGCGTTTTCCCTGTTGGATCTGGGCGTGGGATGACGCCCCCTTCCCCGGGAATAGGTAGCCCCATTGACAGGAAAACCCGCAATTGGATAATCGGCTCCACTTAAACTGACCAAGACCAAGACCGATGGCCGATGGCGGTCCATCGTGAGCGCGGTCGTTCACTCCGGACCATTTCCGAACCGTTTTGGTAATGAGAATGCCGTATCATCCGCATTGGGAGCTCGGGAAAAAAGACCAGAGAAGGCCATTTCAACGCATGCAACATCAGATCTCCCAAATTCCCAACACCAAAAGAAAAGAGAACGGGGAAGGCCGTGTGCCCCACGATGCAAGGAGCCGGCATCATTGGGTTAACGCCCAGGCCGCATGGTGCTTTCTCCACGTACAAAAGGAGATTAACTACAGACGAAAATGACGCAGAAAACTACATCTCTATGGGGAATGCCGGCGCCTCCGAATCTCATGTCAAGATTTGGGTTAATGTCAAGAAAAAAAAATCCGTGGATAGCATCCACTGACGTCAGGTTGGTACCGGCCATGGTTCATTCAGGAGCGAGCAGGTACCGCTATGGCCAGACTTACGGGCGTGGCGTCGGGGCGATCGTCATCCGCAGGGGCCCATAGTCTTGTTTCGACGGGTTGCGCTTACTCTGGCCTGAAAAGCAAAAATTCATGAGATCGACATTTCTCCCCAAGTGTTTCCAGAATATATCAAAGTTAGTCAGGTCAGAAGAAAAAAACTGGAGATATCCGATAAGTCCCTTGCGGGGGAATGCATTGTCCATGTTTTTCCCCCTTGAGAACAAAGTTTTGTGTTTCAGTCACATCCGGCACGATACGTTATCCGGAAACGACCACAGACGCAGGATTGGCCCGGAATGGGACAGTTGCATTCCTGGCACATGGACCGGGATCGTCGATCAAGCCACGCGGGTTTCTGGCGATCCCAGAAGTATACAAACATTTGCATATCATGAATCATGATATAGTTGCAAGACGTAGTATACCTAAAGTAAGGTTGGGGAAGCGCCACTGCCACCCGGGGACGTTCTGTCCCTTGGTATCTGAATCTGGTCCGCGCTCAGGTACTGAAAACCTAGTACGTACTTCTCTGTACTTCTGGACCTTGGACTAGTTAAGACAGGTTCTTGGTTGAACAATTAGGACCAAAACGGAATTATTACTGACACTCATTTAGTAATTACGCACGAGAGTAAATACCCCAGAATCGTTGGAACGTTGGAATAAACCTGGGGGAGTCCCCAGAGATAGATACCTGAGGCAGCAAGTCTGTTTGCATTGCATCATGTGATTAATCACCTGCCCCCCACCAACCAGATGAGTCAGCACATCGTCATGCTCGAGTAAATGGGGCTTCTCCAACCTTAAAGATCCTATTGTTGAATCCTTTATCATTTACAATCCTGGTCTCTATCACCATGTGCCCAGATATCAACTCTCTTCCACAATCTCGATCATCCTCCACCTCTTCATCTCTGCCTCATCGTATCCCTCCGACCGCCTCCCCAGGGACCGCCCCCGCTCCAATGAACCCCAACACTACTTCCCCTCGACCCTCCCGCGGATCCAGTGCGGGCCGAGTATCGGTGTCCGAACGACGCCGCTCGGCTGCCGGCATGAATTTAAACCTGAACGAGTCCTCTAGTGCTTCGGGAAATCACGGCGACAGCCCCTGGTCCGACCATCGCTCTTCTATCGGTCATGCATTTCGTACGGCCAGCCCCACCAGTCACGGCAGTAGCCCGGTCTTTGCGACTGCAGATCCGCACCATCAGCGAGCACCCTCTCTGGGCGAGTTGCACCAGGAATTAGAGCAAGAGCAAGAGGCGCAAGTGGTGGGTCTTTTTGAATTTGAATAATATGAGCTAAACTGACGTTGGGGTAGAATCGTTTACTGCTGATGATCCGTAGCCAGCAGGCCCAGTTGCAACAACTCCAGCAACAACAGCCCTCACAGCCAGGTGCTAGCACGGCAGTCGTCGATGAACTGACGCCATCCGAACGGTCATCTTCCTTCTCACTTCCTATGCACACACCCGCACAAGCACCCAGTAGTCGGCTCTCGATCTCCTCAGTCTCCAACCGTCGGTCTTCACGACCACCTAGCCAAGCGGAATCCCCAAACCTGCAGCCGCAAGATGCCTCGCGAGGACCAGAAAGCACCGAAGCATTCCCTGCACTGCCGAGTTCCTCGCGCCGTGGAAGCCGAGACGACAATGCATACTATCAGGCCGAGGCAGCCATGTTGAGTCGAGAAAACCAAATGCTGCGACAAAGGATTCGTGAATTAGGTAAGCACTACTACTCCTTCCCCGTATTCCTTTCCCCACTGTCAAGGGGAAAAGGGGAAATCTTGTTCTACGGTACGGGGTAAACATGGTTCTAACTTACCACAGAACGACAAATAGGAGACATGTCAATCTCTGCGAGACCATCTCCCTCCCCAGCTCCCACATCGGGTGAGACATCGGGGCAAGAGGGGGCCGAAACGGCGGACCCGCCTACTATGAGATCGGCAGACGGGAAGGACTGAAACCCCAGAACATCGTCATTTCGCCTAAAGACTAGCGATCATTTCGGCCAAGATTATTAATGGTTCGCTTTGGACTTTCCATTCTCAATCTACAAGTTGACCCATTTGCGCTCATAACGACATGGCCTGATGAAGGATCTCGAGATTGCCCCATAATGCTCACCTCGCAATAAGTGATTTTCGTGTCTACCCTTGGCACCTGTGAGAAGGTTTATTTACCCAGTGGCCACCTAATCAGCGAGTTCACCCCGATGGTACAGTTGAAGCGCCGTTGATCCTCTTGTGGATATCATTATTTAAGCATGGCGCAGCGACTTTGGATCGAAATTGGGTTGCAGTGATGCAGATTTATCCAACATGGAGTGATGGACCTATCATATGCATAACCCATCTAGAGGAGGATTGTATCCGCCAAGCTCGTTTGCAAGGGAGGCATGTCGCACAAGGCATTTGTATCAAGACAATCATCATCCATAGGAAGATACCATCACAGCTGCTTGTTACACAAGTAGCACTCAAACTCCATACTGCTAACTCAACACCACTTGTCCTTTCAATTTCAGTACTGAGGTATTTCAAGTACTGGCTACTACCTAGGTAGCAAGGTTTAGCTCCTAGAACATTGTAACTCCATGTAGCTTTACTCAGGCGCTAAGTACAAATCAAGTCACTGCTGCTATTATCATAGATCTCTTGAGGTCAGTAGAATTCAAATATCCGCGTCCCTCCCAATGCTCCATACATAATGTGCAGCTGACGCCAGGTCAACGGCAAACCAGGACATCTCACATTTGAATATTTGCACATTTGAAGATACTACATCCACGAATGAACTTACAAGTTCTATAAGAAAGCAAGCTTCATATTCAATTCAATATTGTGTACAAGAAAGGCCACGATATTTTCAGATATCGAACCTCAAAGACGCTGCAATTAAATTCAAATCTCATACCATTGGACAAAGAACCCATTCATCTACAGCTTAGCCTTCTCAGGCTGGGCAGCCAGGTCAGGCATAAGCACATCACGAAGCTCGGTAGCAGCCTCATTTAAGAAGTAGCTCATACGGTGAGCGCCAAGACGTTTGCAGACGATGTTGAAGTTGAGACTAGAGTATATTAGTATTTCCAATATCCTTCTAGGGGGTGGGGGAGGGATCATGTATTTACCTATTCTCGTTGATCATGTAGGCAATACCGAATCCATCATCGATAACCTGACTCCATCCGTATCCGTTGAAGTATTCCGAGCTCAGCTGGGAGGAAGAAATGAACCAAGAGCCGGAGTAGGCGTAGGCGGGATCCTCGTAAAGAGCGGGAAGCTTCTCACCAGGCTGGAGGAGCTTCTTGAGACCGAATAGGTGGCGGTCGACACCGCGGCCGTCGCTGGCATCGAGGGTGTACTTGGTGTGCTGGGACAGGGCGGCGCGGAAGAGCTTGACGACTTCCTCGCGGGGAACGGTGTGATCGTGGAAAGCCTTGCAGAAGGCAACACTTTCGTCGGAGACACTACGGGTGGTCTCTGTGCGGCCCTCCTGGAACTTACGGGTGGAGGCGGACTCGTAGGTAGGACGGTTCTTGCCGTACATTTTGAAGTAGGCGAGTTGGATGACCATCTGGACGTAGGCGTCGGGGCTGCACTTGAACTTCTTGATCAGACCCTTGCCGTAGCCCTGGAAGGCTTGAACAACCAGCTCGTGGGAGGCGATCTGCTTGCGGTGGTACTGAGCCGCAATGTCGATGGCCTCGTTGGCCTCGTCATTTAGTTTGAAGGTGATGGGCTTGGGGTCGGCGAGATGTGAACGTACGCTCTTGGCCGAGAGGTCGATATGTTTGTTGAAGATGAGGTTGTTGACGTGGTCGTTCAGACGGTGGGTAGGGGTGCCATCCATCATGCTGTGCTCGCCCATAAAGCCAGCGGTACCGTTGTCGTTGATAATAAACTGCAGGGGCTTGTCGAACCAGCGGTTGGTACCATCACCGTGCCAGTACTGGTGTGCACGCTCCTCCAGAGTCACAGGCTTGGCATCGTCCAAGCAGACGACGAAACCGGCAGACTCAATGGACTGCAAGGCCTGCTCGTTGGCCGGGTCGGCAGCGATAAGCTTCTTGCGGGCAGCAGTCCAGTGATCACGGTCAGCCACAGTCAGCACACCGACCGGCGGGGCAGGCTGGGCAGTGTCGATGATGTGCTGGAACTGCTGCTCCAGCTCGGACACGTTCAGGGCCTGGCCGTCAACGACCAGCGGCACCTTGAAGAACTGGTTCTTGCGCACGACGACAATATGCTGGTTCTCCGCGGCAGAGTACTTCTTCGGGTAGTCTGCGGGGTCGGCGGGGATACGGCAGCAATTGAACATGTACTCGTAAGAGCTCATGGCCATGGGCTGACCGCGCATGTACTCAGGCTCGAGCGTGCCCGCATCGACCTCCTTCTTGAACTCCAGAGCTGCAGAGGTGATGGCGGCCGCGCGCTTAGCCGGGTTGCGACGCTCACGGTCATCCTTGTAGGAGTAGAAGTAGGAGACGTAAGGAATGACAGGGTCCCGGTAGGCTAGATAGGCGGCGTCGTTCCACCATTCGGCGATCCAGTTGTTGATCTTGGGGTTTGCAGCGCGCTCTAGCAAGCGCTTTTGGAGAGGCTCACCCTCACCACCAGGGCGAATAAAAGCTTCCACAGCAGTTTTGGTACGCTCAAACTCCGCTTCGGAGACGAGGGGGTGGACGGACTTCAGGTAGCGGCGACCGGTCTCCTCCAGAGACGGCACGGGGAGTTTGGGCAAGGACTCCTCAAAGCGGAGCATCTTGCCTTTGGAAAGATTCTCTTTGTATCCTGCACGTGCGAAAATCCATTTAATTAGCCAAGAGTTTCCCTATCAGGCGCATTGAAGTGTGTCCGGGGCAGTCAGGCAAAGTGACTATATGACGGCATTCGCCACTAACACATGTGATAACTCACCCTCAGGGATTGAAGATGCCTTTCGTCGGGGAGCCATAGCGAGTGTCTGGAATAGCGGTCAGCTTCAATTGATCCTTGATCATGGACATTGTCAAAAGGCATTGAGACAGGAAAGCGGAGGTGGCCGTCTTACCGAGCGGGCAAGCAGTTGTGTCGGAGGGAGCCGGGGCCTTGACAAGGTGGAGGAGAGACGGCTTCGAGCAGAAGCAGCAAACATCCCTCTCGTATGTGTAGGAAAGAGGGTGATTAGGGGAGGAAGAGGGTATCTAGAGCAGAAGATAAAGACGAAGTTGTCCCCAGGAGTGTCGGAGAACAAGTACTTAGAACAGGCGAAAGAGCCTCGGCTGCGCAGTTGACCGAAGTGGATGTTGCCCGCGGATATACGTGACGTTTGTTACTGGTATGTGGGGCCAATGAACCAATAATATGCAATTAATTTGCATAAATACCGCTCACCCCGGTAATCTATGTAATAATTTGGGCCTCGGTTGTTTCGTGGGGTATCGTGGGAACAAGTATAGTACAGTCACAAGGAGGGGATAGACCGACTCGGGACTCGGGATACCGAAAGGCACTGGGCAGAAAAGGAGATAAATTAGCGCCTAGGATTACTGCACAAGGAGTATTCTTGTTAGTATCAAAATTCTCAAAACTTTGTGGATATCCTTTCCGCTGCGAATGGGAACACAATGCGGGGATAGCTTGGGTCTTAGCGCCGGGAAATTGATGTACGTTGGTTCGGAAACCCTGGGTGGAAATAGAAGCTCCCCACGGAGATTTGGATTATGTATACTAAGTCAACAAGAAATGCAAAGGAACAGAACTAGCCCTGCTGTTCCCATAACATCCCTTCCGCTCCCGTTGATCCGGATAACCTAAATGTCAAAGAATGAAATCATATCGCGGCCAACGCTATTCGCAGGTATCAACAGCCCAAAATATCGAAACAAACATCAAAGTTGCACAATGAAAAGAAATGAACAGGGAAATCATGAACCTATCCAAGGCCCAAAGAGAATAAACTGGTGGCAGGACTCCATGACACCCGACACCGAAAAGCAAGCTAGAAGACAAGACCCCGGGGAGTTAGGAAGTAGTAGGTAGCTAGCCCAGTAGGTACTTCAGAAGGTAGTATAAACCCGAGCAGTATAGGGCTAGATATCCACCCCTAGGAGACCGGTTGAACGGGTGTGGGTTGTTCCTGGCTGTCAAGGGTCCGGGAAACTTGTACTCCGCTTCGCCGAAGCTCATCCATCTTGGCTAGAGCGGGCCCGGTGCAAATGCGACCAGTCTGCATCAAAGTGCGCAACCGTTTCCGTCGGGCTTCGCCGCCTCGTTCCTCCCCGCGTCCAACACCATCATCCACCCAGTCCACGCGATGCACCTTGAAACTCATACCGTCATGCCGGCCGTCCCACTTTCGGGATTTCAATCCGAACATGACCGTCGAGTCATACCGCTCCAAGCGGGGAAGGATCAAGAGTGTGATATGAAGATCTTGGTTGGGGGGAGGGATGGGCGGTAGACGAGGTCCTGGAGTACTGGACTTCGAGGCCTCCATCTCCGTAGCCGGTGGGGCGTGCTGATAGATATCCTTGATTTCTAGATCGAGCATGGACTCATCCACATCATCACCCCACGCACCTCGGATAAAGCCCGAGTGGATGGCAGCGGCGACAGGGTCAGAGTCGTCTGTGTATATACCGGTACCCCACAGGGCTCGGCGTGCGCAGATCTCTTCTCGGTGGCTTTGGTCAACTCGGAAACGCGGCACCCGAACAGTGAAGGTGCAGTTTTCACGCTGTTCAAATCGTGGAAGAGGTCGCGGGGTCGTGGTGTATCCGAATTTCGAGCTTTCTGGAGAAGACTTGATCGAAGGTGGATCAACTCGGGGGGCATACAATGTTGATCCCAGGTGATGACGAGGAAGATGGGCGACGCTGGATAGAATTGGCTCAAGAGTGACAGTGGTGCGAGGCTCTCGGATGGGAGATGCAGCAGCGGTAGGAGGTCGGGGGGCATGGTGGTGATGATGGTGGTGATGGTGATGATGTCCGGCCAAGGAGTCCGCAGGAGTAGATGATCGACCAAAGAAACCTGTAGAGAGTGGCCGATGAAGCCCAGCCAAAGCCGCAGCTTCCTCCTCTGCTTTGTGACGATGATGATGGTGACTGGGGGACGTAGTCAGTACACGTGAGCCAGAGCCGTAGTGACTTCTAGATACATACTGATGATGGTGGTGGTGTTGGTGAGCATGTTGGCGAGCTCGACGAGAACCTCGTGTAGACAGTCCACCAGATTCCAATTCCATTTGACCGTCATCCCTGGATTTCCTTGATCGCCTGTTGCCAGAGGCGGACAGGGGACGAGGGATTCTACCATCGTCATGCCCGTCCCCATTCACGGAGCGGCCAGTAGCGTCGCGCTTGAATGGGCTTGCAATCAACGGCGTCGACGGTCCACTGCCAGATGAGCCGGCAGTCAAACCCCCGACACCACCGACACCACTGCCGATTCCAGAGAACACCCTACCCAGTTCATTCTTGATACTGGGCTCACCACCTGGGCCGATAAACGGTGCCTGTGCACCCTGCACAGCTTGAGGAAGGGGAGATGCACGACCACCCCGTTTTCCATCAGCACCTACGGCAAGCAAACTGCGGTGCTGAAGGAGTTCATCGCTGCCTTTGCGTCGTCCCTCTTCCCCGGCAGCAGCTAGTCCAAGAAGTCCTGCGCCAGCTGCAGCCGTTGTCGGGGTGGTTCCAAGGCGTGGAGGTGGTTGTGGCTGTTTAGTCACATAGGGCGAGTCGCGAGGAGAAGGTGTCGGTTGTCCATGTCCAGTGTGCAGTGATGACGGTTGACGACCGCCACCAGGTTGAGATCCCAGAGATTTGGTGTAACTTTGAATTGCTCCAAACCCAAAGCCCGAAGCCGATTCCGGCGCTGGAAAGCGCTTGTTCTCTGGCGAGGACGGGTGAGAGCGACCCTGATCCCAGGCCGAAGAACCGAGGGCGCGGTCTACAGGTTCTCGCTCGCCATAGAGTGAGCTGAGTCGTGACGCCGCAAGTTGTCCTTTTGCCTCCATCTGAGCTGCACGATCCCGCTCTCGATCTCTGTACGCGGCGTCTTCAGATCGGCGGTCCCCGAACAAACCATTGAAGCGGGAATGGTTGTCGAGACCTGCGTATGGTGCAGTTGTTCGCGGTTGGGGCTCAAATCGGTCAGGCATACCACCCGCTGGGCGGGAGTGCGGACTGTAGCCTGGTTGACGCGCAGGTGGCTCCGCATTAGGTGGCTGGCTGCTTGGTCGAGGGATCGAACCACTGAAACTCATGCGACGGGGTTCATAGGGTGAATCGGTTGGCGAGATCTGAGGAGAGGGTTGTGTTGAATGAGACTTCTCGGGATACTGCGAGGAAGTGACGCGAGACAAGCCACCGAATTTCGATTGATCTCTACCCAGAGGGCCTGATCCGCCGCCAGAGCCAGATCGGTACGGTCGGCCCATCTGCGAATTTGAGAAGGGCTGTTCGGGTGTTTGGGATCGGCGAAAGTCTACCGGGGATGGACGAGCCGGGGCAGTGGGTGGTGACATGCCCGCGGCGGCGGATGTCGGTACCGCACCGAAAAGCGAAGAGGCAGGTCGTGAAAACAGCGACCCCGAGTCTCGCGCCGGACGTTCTGGATCTGAGCCCAGCATGGCGGAGATCGACATGCTGCTACCCAGTCGATGAGCCTGGTTATTTTGCGCATCGCGAGGAAGAAGGGATGATGTGGGCGCGTTCGCCGATTGTGATCGCGAGGCGTAGGAGTGAGGTGAGGATGGTGGAAGCATTTGGCGATTATCGAAGGTAGAAGCGGAGGGTTCTTGTTGTCCTATCCATAAATATTAGCCATCGGAGGGATCTTTCAATGCTGGTGCCTGACTCGCGATAGATGAGGCAAGAAAGAAAAGAGTCCCAATATTGGGAAGGGCGCTTAGATCCCGGTCGCGACACCTCCTCTCTGAGGGCTGGCGCAAAACCTCTACTCACCCGACTGGACAGGGCTGCCACTGCTACCCTGGGATGCACGACGCACAGACTGTGAAGACGTGTTGTTCATCGCGCCTTGTAATGCCCACAGAGAAGGAAGATTGGCGTCGATTCCCAGGACCCAGAACGCCAGAACCCGTGACTCCGGAAGCTCGACGGCTAGGCCCAGATAGGAATAGCGCGCGTCTACCACAACAGGACTAGCGTTCCCGAGCAGCGGATCAGCGCCACCGGGGGAAAACACAAGCATCAGGGGAAAGAAAACATGAAAGCAGAGGCTGGGGCCAGGGCATATACGGTAGGATAGGCCTACTCGTAAATAGAACCTGACCCATAACTGAGTTTTGCTTCACATTTTCATTCCCCGGAGCTCAGTTACCTTCCCACCGAGGTATATTACCAAAGCATGACCTGCCCTGGGAAAGTGGAGAGGAGATCCAACAGGAACCACGGGACAAGTCCGACCCCAATGTTCCTGAATCCGGGGCACAGTAAAAACATGCAGGGGGCTATAACGAGGGATGACCCGAAATTGCAGAATGAATGTAGTAAATAACATGTAAAAAAAAAACTCCCGGCTTACCTTCGTGAAATTGACCAGCTTGTGGCTGGGAGAGATTTCTGCGGTGTACATGTGGATGATGTTTCGCCTCCACACTGGCATGTCGACGATGCTGTTGTGCCTGGTGATTCCTGACTGGAGAAACCTGTGCGCTGGTACTCTCTCGAAGCGAATGTGACGCACGCGATGCGCCCGAGTAGACCTGAGCGGGAGTGGGGGAGGCATAGTAGCGGTTCGCAGACCGAGGCTTGTCATTCTCCGGTCGTCGAGGATCGTGGGGTGCGGATGAGGTATAGATTCGAGAAGGTTCCTCGCGTGATTCTTGTGAAGTCCCAAGAGGTGATGGACGCGGCGGATAGGAGCTCGGGTGGAGCCGTCGGTAAAGGTCCATGTCCATGATTGTCGTGCTGAAATGGTGATAGGATGGCAAGATTTATGGAGTTCCTGACGATTTCCTGGTAGAATGGCGGTGGAAATGTGCCGAAGAGGAAGCAGATGCAATGATGAAAGATCAGCGGTTGATCCCGAGAGTCATGACCTCGGAAATAGTGCGCGCGACCGTGAGGGGGGTGCGGAGGTGGTGTAGCGTTCCAAGGTTTGGGGGTGTATAAGCAAAAGTTCAAATGTCAAAATTGTAGAAGGAGGAGGACCAAGTCTACAGGTTCGTTAAGAAGTTGAGTTCTGGGCGTACGGAGAAAAAAAACGGTGAGTGATGCGGCTTTAGCGTGATGGGGCCAAGACTGTATGCATTGTGGAGATCGGATCACAGTCAATCACACTGCACGATAAGGAAAGTAAACAAGTAGAATTAAGGTAAAGTTGTAGAATCTACCGGAAAAATTTACATTTTACGTTTGAAAATTATTGCCTAATATGTATGGGTTAGATTAGGTAGCTAAATTAGGCTGCTGATTCGGGCTTCCATGATCTCCTGACTGATTCCTAGGTTATACCCTGCTAAGATAAAGTGTCACAGGAATGTTGATCACAATGCGGGGTTCTATGTAAACATAAAATCACGTTCGGAGTTAGGAGTTTTGGAGTTGTATAAATAAATTCAATTAACATTGTAGGGTATCATGAAAGGATAAGAAAAAAGCATATAAAGCATAGAGCATGAGAATCATTTGGCACACAGCGGAGTCAGATGATCGTTCGTCATGTCCTGAGAAATATTATTCAAAGACCAAAAGATATCGGAGGATTCAGCAACACATTCAGGTATAGCCTCTCCTGTAACAATCACCGTGATTCGGCCTGGAATCAATTGCACACCATCCCAGGTGGTCAAATATCCTCGCTGGCGAAGAGATTCAAGCCGTGGATGAAGAGAGCGGAGAACTTCCTGGAGAGGAGAGTGTGCATCGAGCACAAGGAAGAAAGACTCGGTCGGAATCGATTCAATGGTCTCAGGGGTAACAGTGTCGAGGGGTGTCTGCGAAGGATCGGATAGATCACGACGCTGCAGTCGAGCGAAAAGCGAATCGATTCGAAGTTGAAGGTCATTCTCCTCCTTGGCTTCAGAACCTAAGGGACCCATCTGAAGATCCTGGTCATGTAGCCAGATATCGGCGCGGAAACCATCACATCCGGCAGCAACGGACTGTGTGAGGGCACTGGGGCGGGGATCCGAATGGGGGAACGTGCATTTAACTTGCCACTCGCGAGGGCTCAAACGGGAATTGGGGTGAGCCAAGCTCTTGCCCACTGATGGGAGATATTGAAGACATTGGAATGCAGCCCTGGAATAGTCATTTGTTAGAATACTGAACCGATTCAATCACTGTTTCTGCATTTGTACACTCACAAGCAAGTGATGACCAGGCAGACAGCACGGAGCAGGCACTCTTTCCACCGATTTCGTACAGAGGTAAGCCCTTCGGCGATTATGGGGCCCAGGCCAGGAATACACTCGGTGGGATATGAACGAAGTGGATGATCGTCTAACAACCAGGGGTCGTATTCGTATGGCGCCAAATTGGACTCGAGATCAGCTTCGATCTTAGGAGGCAGCTCCATGTTGCCAAATGCGACCGATCGGGTGAGTTTGGATGTTGGGCAGAGCACCTCGAGATAGCGGTGAGGGCTGAAGGTAAGGAGCCAGGATGAAATGGGATCGGACACGCCGAATGGGCTCTTTATCAATTATATACTATTGCTTTCGCTCAGAGTAAGTTCTGGAGAGCGGGTCCTGTATCGCGCAATAGTGGTGCACCTAATGAGCGGAAGCACGCAATCTTGATTGGTGATTGCATGCGGATGATCGACAAGGTTTCGCGATGTAAACGAGATGCTTTTAGTGGGTTGCACTGAGATTAGCATGCTATCAATTATAATTGGAAATACCTAGATATTTGAGTCATTGCCCAAAGGGCTCCCGATTCCTCCTATACTCAGTCTGATGCGGAGTATGGGGATCGACGTTTGTTGTGGATCCCGCACACAATTCATACGCGAAGTGACGTTTTCCATGCCAAGACTGCCAAGCTCGAAGCTGCAAGTTGGTCAAAGGGTCCAATTAAACTAATTTGCGGTCTGCAGGTTATTCGAGCTTTTGATTGGTCTGTTAGCAGATCCCCGCACCCAAATCAAGTCTCAATTTGGGGAATTGATAAGGCAAGGCTATGGGGCGGCCCTACAATGTTGGGACTTAAGACCTCCCTGCGATCAGATTTGATATTCGCAGGTTGATGGTAGATAGTGGCCCAATTGGATACTCTTAGAGTATTAACTGATGTTGTTAGTGCAGTCCAATCACTCTACTTTGTGACTCGTATCTCGTATAATGTACTACTAGTATTGATGTTGTGGCTTGAGCACACAATAGTGTCAATTATGACACTGCTTCGCCAAGAAAGGCGTAAGGGTAGGACCTATCATAGCTTATTCAAGGGAACAGAACCCAATTAAGCAATAAAGCTAATACAGGGCCGGAGATAAGGAAATGAGATCACATCATTTTCAGGGGTATATGTTCAACTAGAGGCTTTTCGCCGCGTATTTCGCGCGGCGCCTTAGAATAACTAATGTTTGTACTGTAAATCCTTATCTTATACTCGTGCACGCGAATGTCAAGAACAACTGATTCGCCAAACCGTTCACTATGAATCCTCAGGCAAAGTATAGTCATCCAGAATATGGGGATTTTTGCGAAAAGCCGGATCACACACAACGTTAATAGCAGGCGAGACATTGCGCTCACAAATGGAGCCTTCCTGACCAGAATGTGATCGTGAACCTCCATACGCTCGGGTCATAAAATACATCAAACTCTGCAATGTCACGATGCATTCCGTTTCAGAAGCGCCACTCATAGTGCGATTTGTCTCCGCGAACAAAGCAGGACTGCAATACAACAGCACAGCCCGTCCATCATCCACACCATCGACATTCAATCCCTCGATAAGAGCGTCACGAGCTGGCTTTGACAGCCCACCAAACGCTTCCTGGAATTGCTCCGCTGTTGCTCGGTCGGCCACACGACCTATAGCAAAAAGACGAAGCAGCGCTCTTTCCGAGGGATCCGAGGTAGATAAAAATGATGAAAAGCCTTGCTTGAAAACTAATTGAGCACGTTTCTGCAATATAGAATCGTACGCTTCGCGCAATGAGGTGTTCTCTGTGATCACACTCTTTAGGATAGGCAAGGCCCGCAGAAATGATTGACAGAGCGGTTCTATCATCCGCTTTGCGCCACAACTATCAAAATGGGCGCCGGCACCACACACATCGAAGATGATTTCGAGATATTTTAAATAGAACGCCTCGAGGTGACCACGGAACTTTAGAATGGGCTGCAAGCTGCCAGGAACGTTCTCTCCCTGTATCAATTGGGGAATATTGAGTGTCGCTCCAACGTCCACGCCCATGATCATATTTGCGCGCTAGGATCAGTTAGCTGGCTGAGTGAACCGTCGAGAATCCCACATGCGACAGCCTCGGCGAGTAGTTCATCATGATTTTTACGGTCTGCGCATTCACTTTTTGTGCCCTTACGCGCGTAAATCTCGTCAGCTAGGTATGGGTCCTTACCTTTATCACCAATAATAAGCGCGACAATTGATGCGAAGAGCCGGTCGGTATCTTTTAGGAAAAAGTCTACTTGGCGATTTAAGGACTGGAAGGTCACCTGGGATGATTTGACAGGGGAAGGTTGATTCGCGGCAAAGGCGTCGTAGTCGTCGGCAAGAACCCATTTCAAAGCGCGAATGTTGGTGATTGAGCGATTCACTTCATCGAAATTTTCGTTGAACAGCAACCTCGAAGGACTGAGTCCGTCAGCGGTAAGATATCCTTTAGAATGGCTTTGGCTTTCGCCGCCTTCGACTGCGGGCGGGGCACGTTTTAATCGATCGATCTCTGGGCCGAACTGCGCGTAGAGTAGCCGAACGAGATCTTCATCTGGTAGAGATGCCAGTTCATGGCGGTGCGCGATTTGAATGAGTGATTTCATTGCTGAATAGATAAATGATTAACGTGTTGGGTTTTGTTGACTTGCGAGTTGGGCACTAGGACTTCGGCACGGGCCGTCCAATGGATAAGCCGTCCGGCCTATTCTGCCTGATTTTGCTTCCCAGTTGAGCCGTACTCGTGCACGCACCCCTAAGCCTTCCAATCACCAAAGCGTTATTGGGGGGCGTACACGAGTATACCATTTACCTACCCAGTCTCCTACCTAGTATCTCACCTAGTATCCTACCATATGTCCTACCCTTTTACCTACAAGGTCACCTCAAGTAGTTAACTGGAATGAAAAGAAGTGGGAAGTGAGAGGACAGGGGTTTGTACGCATGTTCCAAAGTCTGCAGTAAACCCAAATGATAGAGGGGTTGACTAGCAGGCTACAGGACTCTATTTACAAAAAAAAGGTTATTCAATTTTGAATATTTAGATAGGCGAAAACAATGAAAATCACTTCGATAGTTATCAGTGATCACAAATAATCTCCAGCTCTCAGTTCAAGGATAAATTTAGTATAGACCAAGCTTAAATCCACCCCAGCTGAGACTAGAGAACACCCCATCAGGATCATAAGCAGTCCGGATATCTCTCATGCGGAGGACATTCTCGCTAGGGAAACCCGCATAAGGATCTTGCCATTCACCAGCATCTCCCATGTAGATAAACTCCGAAGCAAGTCCCAGCTTCTTGTTGATACCGTGAAGGTGCTCAGCCAGCTGGCGAGACCATGCCTCCATGCGAAGATCGTCTTGGGCCAGATCCCAGCCGGTGCTGAATTGCCAGACTATACAGAAGGTCAATTATCACTCATCCAGGACATCTAGGACTGAATTGTGATCTTCGAGAACTTACTGATGAGAGGCTCTGCCTCGAGACCCCATACGTTACCAACGCCGTTGGTCTTGGCCACGCGGATGGAAGTTGGGGATATGACGTTGGTGACAAAAGTCGGGTAGAGGCCCTGGACATCGGCAATCTTGTCGACAGCAGCCTTCCATGCCTGATAGATCGAGTAGAGCACCTTGGCATCGGGCTTCATAGTTTTGTGAGAGAATTGGACGCTGTAGAGGTACGTTAGTCATTTAGTAAGAACCCCTGACTATCCAGTCGCATACCGGAACATCTGCTTAGGGGAGTCAAGGGCATGGGCCCACGACTTCATAGTGGTGACATTGTTGATTCTCTCCTCAGCTGGAATCTTGGTGAAGTTGGCGAACTGAGATGGTGGGCTGCTGACACCAGCTTGGACACCAATGATGGAGGCCTGTGCCACCTTGGTCGTCGCGTTGTATGTAATACTAGCAACCATACCCGCAGCAATAGGGTCCTCATCATCTAGCCTGGCCGCCTCACAGACAGCAGAGAGGAACTGGGGGATGTGGGTCTCATTGAAAACCTGGATGGTGGTGCTAATCTTGGGGACAGCATAAGTCTTGAGCTCGAAGCGTGTGACGATACCAAAGTTGTTTCCACCACCCTTCAGAGCCCAGAATAAATCGGGGTGAGAGGTCTGGTTGACGGTAATATGGGTGCCGTTTCCGAGGACTACATCATAGTTCACAATGTTATCCATGGCGTACCCGTACTTGTTGTTGAAGTAGTGGAAACCACCGATTAGGGATAGACCAGGGACACCGATTGTCTTTAGACGACCACCAACGCAGACACGACCATGGGACTCGAGTATCGAGTATACATCATACCAGGTGAGTCCGGGGCCAACCTCCACGGTATCAAACTTCACATTGGCGGTATTCATGTTGGACATGGCGATCAGAACCCCAGCATCGATGTTGTTCGCTCCGGGATACTATCGGGAGTGAGTCGTATTTCTCATCAATTATTATAATAGTGAAAAACTCACGTTCATGTGGCCTCCGCCACGAACTGCAAAGTTTGCCTGGCATCCCTTGATGATCTTGACTGCCTGCGAGACTTCAGCAGCAGTGTAGGGCACAACAACACAGGCAGGGGAGAGATCGGCCCGAATATCCCAATAGGAATCGACAGTCTGAGCAATGTAATTTGCAGAGCCCGGGTGAATAAAACTCTTGGACATTGAGCGGGAAAGCTGTGAGCAAGCACAAGAAACCTCGGGAAGAACATTGAGGATGCCGGATGAGGTACTCATGGAGCTCGACAGAGTAGCCGAGGGGCTTGCGCTTGAGCTGGCATATGCCAATCCCGATAAGGAAAAGCCAATAGACAGAATTAGTTGCATCTTGGGACTGAAACAGACTGAACTGGGGAATCAAATCTGTAGTTGATGCTTCAACAAAACCTGATAACGACCTCTTCTTATAGAAATCTCAAACTTTCTCCAACTCTTCCATGTTCCCCCTTGGTGACCGTGCTCAGGAGAGTTCCACCCATGTCCTGGGTCCACGTTAAAACCAACTTTCGATTGAGTTTCGTTTATGAAGACGACTGTCATTTTCGGATCAAGATTTCACACCTTTCAGACGTGGTATACTCCTCCCAGAATAAGTCTGAGCCGTATTTAGGCAGACTGATAGCCAAAATGCGCCACGGAACTAGGCAACGTAGAAATAAAGACAAGCCATAGACGCAGGTGGAGTGATTAGGGATATTACCGTTGAGCGGCTATCCGAACCCGAATACGAGAACCCGAGAATTCGACAGTACACACCAATCAGATGTTCAATTTGCACTCTTATTCGAATTCGGATATTTGTTTCATCTTTTGCAGGGACTGATCGACACATATTCTATGGCTCCGAATCCAATTTTTTATGAGGTAGCCTAGAGGAATTCTACTTCCATGTTCTATAATACGCCAAGATCGTTTTCTCTAAACTATAGATCGAACCTAAATTAATCTTCATGTTTAGATCTGAGATCCTAAGCCGAGTACGCGTACCGAAATAGCATCAAGCTTTAATGGAAAAATTCATCATATAGCAATGAACCAGGAATTTGTTTAAGTATCACAATTTCTCGAGACGAATTTTATTCCAATAAAGCCAAAATACTTTATCAAATTACTATGAATATTCCATTCAACAGATACTCCACTTCACCCCGCTCATTATCTCCTACCGAAGCTATGACCGACTTTAACTAATTCCTTTACAACTACAACCCTTGAGGGGTTGCGGCGATCATCTTCGTCGTTCTATTTGGATTGACCTCACTGGTACACATCTTCCAAATGAAGAGTCGAACATGGTTCTTCATTCCTTTCATTGTCGGTGGAGTTTGAAAGTACACTCTCATCTAGCAACAAGCTCTAAAGCTAATCTATATCTAGTTGAAATTGTTGGCTATGTTGGTCGATATCTTAACTCGCATCAAAGCCCCAACTGGACCATCACGCCTTATGTCGTGCAATCGCTCTTGTTGTTGATCGCTCCGGCCTTCTTTGCCGCCTCAATCTACATGATCCTAGGCCGCTGCATCGTTGCCACAGGCCACGACTCCCTATTTGTCATCCCAGTCAAGTGGCTTACCAAGATATTCGTCGCTGGTGATGTAATCTCATTCTTCGCCCAGTGCGCTGGTGGCGGTCTCCTATCTTCTGCAAAGACCCATTCCAAGGTCACTCTCGGACAGGACATTATCATCGCCGGTCTTTTCATTCAGATCGCCTTCTTTGGGTTCTTCGTTGTGACTGCCGGAATCTTCCACTACCGGCTCTTGGAGTGCCATGATTGCATTGCGAATTCTGCCATCTCGGTGCCTTGGATAAAGTGTCTCTAGGTGCTCTACACCGCCAGTATATTCATCCTGATCCGGTCCGTCTTCCGTGCTATTGAGTACATTACCGGCACTACTGGCCCGATTATGTCAACTGAGGTGTATCTCTATGTTTTTGATGCTGCTCTGATGTTCTTGACGATGATGACGTTCAACATCTTCACTCCCAAGTCACTGGTGATTCCCTGTTCGACTCCACATGACATTGAGGCTGCCGATAAGGAAATGGTTGACAGCTCCAGTGAAGTGAGCAATGAAAAATAAGAAGAAACGAGATTAACATAAAGTGGGGATTCGGATAGGATAAAGGTGCATGTACGCCGTTCATTGGTTCTTATAGATTATGTAGCATTTGGAGAATTTTATGGTAATGACTTTCTTTTTTAAATTTTAAATATTCTTTCTCTCGGCTAGATCTTTCCTTCAAGGCAGCTATGATATTGCCTGTAGGTATGTCCGGGTCTCGCCCAACTTACAGAACAGTGCGAACTTTCGATGCCAATTCAAGCTCTCTTTGAAGAGTTCTCCATGAATCGATGCCGCGAGACGCAGCTTTCTCTATTTGACTTGTTTCATCCTTCATGCGCCGATCAAAAATCTCAAGTGACACCCAGCCCTTGAAGCCGACATCCACGATCCAGGCTTTGGTAATTTCAGTCACAGGCAAATATGCCCCATAATGACTCTCAAATGGAAACGGCCGTGCATGCTTGGACCAAGTAAACTGCGGTGCTTCCCCCTCGATGTACCATGGGTGGTCCTTGGAAAATGGAGGATCAAATCGTTCGCCATCGGACAACTGGAGAAAGAAAATCTTCTCAACCGGGCAATTAGCGACAAAGCGATCAAGCGACTTTCTAAGGACTCTTCCCGAACCCTCGAATCTCCCTGACCGGGCAAAGTTGTCACCCCACAACTTTGTCGCTTCATGAAAAGTGTCTAGACAAAGACCAAAATTGGCCCTGTCAACGTGGTTGACATATTCCAGAGCAGTTTCCCATGTAGAACAGTGCGTTCCCCACGATAGATATTCGTAAGCGATTGAGACTGTGGGGTGTTTGGCGCTGCCGATATCAGCCAGTTGCCGTAGCTCACTAATAACCACGTCTCTATCGCCAATGGCGTTGGCTTTGAAATTCGAGGGAATCTGCAAATACGGCGCCTGGAGAATTCTGGCAACCTCGATCCAATGGGTCGCTTTTTGCAATCGGTCACTGAGAGGAGATTGGTCTCCTTCATAATTCTCAAAGGGTGCTAAGGAAATTATCTCCAGATTGACTTTTTGGCATAGTACTCGAACCTGCTCAGCGCCTTGGATAATTGGGATGCTTTGAGCTTTAGAGAAAGCTTCAAGTTCATAGTAGACGATTTCGATGCCTTGATATTTGGCTGCAGCAGCTGCACGGATCTTGTGGTCGAGGGAATGAGAAGTATGTTGTCCTAGTGATAGACTAGCAATGGCCAGTTTATTGGAGAGCATGACGACGTTCTGCGTTCGAACTGACCAAAAGAATTTGAGGAATATAATGCAGGATTATGACTAGGTAGTCAAGGCACTCAAATTTGGTGCTTGTATTTATCAAGAAGATCGGAGTTTGGTTTCCGGTCCCCGCATTCGCACGGAAATTGAAGCCGGAGCGCGGGGAAAGTTGCCTGATAGTGAGGAGTACAGGGACTGGAAGGCTTGCGAAAATTTATACCTGATCATACCGCTGCGCGTGAATTCTAGCTGGACTATTATTGTCTTTACAGGGATCCAGGTAGTGAACGAGCAATTAAGTTCATGGAGAAAGTAAGGAGTGAAGAAGAAAAGGAAATATAGCAACAGATAGAAAAAAGGAGTGGATTTCGAGCTTGGATTGAATATTAAACCAAGCGTTACAAAACTCTCTGTCTACAGTAAATCTGTCTGGTCAATATGATTTGAAGAGGATCTTTAAAAATTATTTCTTTCTCCCCTTTTTCAATTGATATAGTGCACGCATTTCAGCACCCATAGAGGGAATCATCCAATATTGATGGTTACAGCTTGGGCGTGTCTTGCAGAGACTTTTCCAACATTTTACTTTGCCCCATTTCAATTCTTGTTGAAGTGGTCTTGAACAGTCTCGGTAGCCCCGTGTCCTCAAAGTTCATCCCTTCAACAACCATCTTTGCAATCCCTTCAGCGGCGAGGAAGATCTGCGGCATTCCATGCCCCGTAAACCCAGCCAGTATATACTGACCATCATGTCCAGGAACCTGACCCACATGTGGAAGGCCATCGGAAGAATACCCCATAACTGCAGTCGTTAGAACTTCGCAACTCAAGTCGGGACTAGTAACCAACTTACTCCCCGTCCAAACACGGTCGGTATACGCATGACTGTCTTCCCACCCCATAAAATTGCGTTGCATGTACCCGTCAAAATAACGAACAGCAGGCTCCAAAACATGACTATCATCGGAGATATTGTACCAGTTCTTCTCGTCGTGGAAAAATGTCGATCGCGCCCCACCGACAATAATGCTGCCATCCCCGCGCGGGATCAGGTAGTCATAGTTCCAGCCGTTCCATCGCAGGGTATATGTATTCGTCAAAGGAGGGGCTGTCGATCCCGGAGTAACAATGCGACTGCAAGTTCCTCGCACTGGGACAATGCTACCGTTGTATTGAGGAGCGATGCTCGAAGTGTAGGCGTTTGTTGCAAACACGATCACCTTGGCTGCTATCGTGCCACGGGATGTCTCCACTTTCCAGCGATAGGAACTCGGAGGAGTAGGTTCTGTGATCTTCGTCACGGGTGTACGTGTCTGCAAGTTGATCCCTTGTGATACTACCTTCTCCAATAGATGGAGGACAAATTTGTAGGCCCAGATGTGAGCCGTATCATAGGTGAAACAGCCTACCGCACCTTTCACACCGGAGAACTGTAAATTATCAGCGATCTAACAGCCTCGAAAGTTCAAATAGAAGTATACAGGAAACATACTGATTCAGCATCTTCAGACTCAATAATCCGAGCTCCTGTTGTGGGTTTGCTACCCCCCGCGATCAATCGATTATGTCCATCCTTGAGCTTTTCAAAATGATCCTCATCCAATTGAACGTCCACAGCCTTTGTAACTGTGTAATCGCAATCAATACCTTCTTTCTCAACAAAGTCTTTGAATGCACGGACATGTTTCGCTTCGAAGGCCGCCACCTCGGCAGCAGCATCAACGCCATGTTCTGCAGCAAGAGTGGCGATGAAGTTGTAGATATCCGGTTTCATATGTCCTCCATTACGAGCGGTCGCACCAGAGCAGGCCTGTCGCGCCTCCAAAATCGTGATTGAAGGTGCGGGTGATCCAGGCTTGGCTTGTTGCAAGATATGATGTGCGACCGATGAACCCGCGTATCCAGCTCCAATGATTACGATATCGCTGTGCTCGGGTAGAGTCTTTGTGGATCGGTGGTTGTCTAGAGGGTGGGGATCTGTCCGCCAAAAGGGCAGCATGCCATTTGCAACGGGGACGTGTGGTACCATTTTGGTAACCCCAGTGAATTGATGTCTTTCAATCTTGGATATGCTGATTTAGTAACACTGAAATATAAGATATCGTAGTTCATGCTGTAATAATGCGACCGGCCTCTCCACCGGCTGTTGATCCCACCGGGACCGGGAGCGGGGTGGAGTGGAGAGAGGGGAGAGGGGAGAGGGGCTTATCAATATCAAACAATCTATAAGATAGCTCACAGTGATTAAGATCATGAAAACTGCAGCTTCTCATGTATTTAAAACTAGTGATTGAGCTGATTGATAGTATGATATAGGTTCCTCATAGATAGCATCTTACAAGTCGCAAAAATCCTTATCTTAGTATAGTGGGATCATATCAAGTTAATATGAAAGGTGTCAATTTATGGAATTCCCGGCCAGGTAGGATGAACTACCCGGCTTACCCTCTAATTTTCGTTATAGCTCAAATTATCATAGTTTTCCAGGAGGCTTCAGGCTTCGGACCCTAACCGCTGCCTTCCAGTCTCGAGTCTCACCTTAATTTGACAGGGATTATATTACTTTTGCTGCCCGATTGAGGTTCTATAGGCGCAGTTTTGAGTGTGGGGCCAGGTGACCCTCCAGCGCGTGCATGTCCAGATAGTTCTCCCCCTTCTGAAGCTCTTTGCATCATTCACCCCCTTCGGAAATACATACATAGCTTGTCCATTGCTTCTATCTCCAGAATACGTGTGCCGTAGCCTTTACCCCGTAACAGACGGCAGGATACATCCGTCGACAGCTGCATATGTATGCCCAATCCTTGGAAAGCAGCCGTGATGATAAAGTGCGCCCAATTAGAGATGTTGTACCTCAAAACGCTGGAATCACTCATCGAGATAGGATCATTTGTTTCAAATGACTTGAACGCGTCAAACGACCCTTTGATAGGATTGATCAGGATTTCTTGGAAAGGTGGCAATACTCAGAGATCAATCTTGCCAAGATTTGAAGCCCTCGAATAAAAATAAGTATTCTGTTTCATACATTCATTATTCAAATGCTTCAGTCGATAATATATTACTAAGCATCATTGGTCTAGTGGTAGAATTCGTCGTTGCCATCGACGAGGCCCGTGTTCGATTCACGGATGATGCATTTCTTTTTGTCTTTTTATCTTTTGTACATCTACTCATTACGGAGCAGAATACCTACAGTCCTGTTGAATGTTTACAGTAAGGCTGTTCCTGACAGGGTTTATGAAGATATATTGCTTTTAGAAAGTGGGAGATGAAGTTGGCAACCCATATACATATCGTACCATATCACACTCCCTGCTGTTGACAGCGATGACCGTACTCATTCTCTAATTTCCCTGCTTGATGGGCAATGATTTTCTCAGCCATCCCAGGTAAAGTACCATCAATGACATCCATATCTCCAAATAAGTTGGTCAACGCCTCCTGCTCGAGCACAGTACAATATGCCCCCTTGAAACTATGGAAAGTTATTAGCCCCAGAAGCGTAGTATGGAAGTAGACAACTTACCCAGCCCTGCGAGCAGCGGAAACGTCCCACATATGAGCAGCAGCAAACCACGGGATCTTACCCTCATTTTCCGAAGTCAACTTCTCCAACAAAGGTCCATAAGCAGCCAAATCAGGCTTCCCAACCCCAACAGAGTCACAAGAAATCAAATTCTCTGCTGGTAATTCAATTCCAGCCTTCTGAAAATAGCCTCCAACTCTCTTTAGATCTGCAGCCGTAAACGCCCAGACCGTAAACCCAGCATCCCGAAGCTTCTGCACACACTCCGCCGCACCAGGACGCATAGTGAGAGACTGATACTCGTGCATGATATACGCGAGATCCTCAGCAGAAGCAAAAGCGCGCGGGGCCTTAACTCCACCCATCATTCCAAGGACGCGGTAGAAGAGAGATTCAAATACCTCTGCATAGGGGCGATATCTTCCCGAGATACTCAGATTGGTATATTCGCGTTCGGCAGTTTCCATCCATGCGGAACCAAGGAGCCAGGGCTTGATTCCTTCAGCGCGAAGACGGTCGCCTAGGCGACTATCGATTGCATTGTAGAGGTGATCGTAGCTGACGAGTGTGCCGACGATGTCGAAAACCACATTCTTGGATGAGGCCATTTTTCGAAGGAATTTGATACGAGATGTTCTTATCAGATTGAGATTATTTATGTCTTCGTTTGAAAGATTGGGGTCGGAGGTAGTCACATTGATCTGCAATCAAGAATAGAGATAGGAATGAATCCGACTTATCTGATCCAAGACCCCCGCTCTCATCCCGGCGGGAAAGGCGATCGGGGACTTCCCGCCGGGTACCTGGTAAACAGACTAGAGACAAGATAACAAACAAGATAAGGAATGACGGAAAGTATGTTTAAAGGTGCCTGGTAAATCGTCTCTTTCCTCAAAAATCTTCGACAATGGCGGAACTTAGCTCAGTGAAGGTTGATCTCAAAGGAAGTGCAGAAAATGAAATCGATATTGAGAGAATCGCCACTGCAGCAAGCGAACATCATGGAACCTCTAAAGAAATCCAGGCAGAGGATACTGCAGGCTATCACCGATCTCTCACCAGACGAAAGGTCATGATGATGACCTTTGGTGCTGGAATTGGAACAGGTCTCTGGGTAGGAACTGGTCAAGCTTTATACTACGGTATGACAGATAAATCTCAATCAGATGTTGATGGGTTCAGCATGGGCTGATAGTTCCTAGCTGGTCCTGGAGGAATCGCCTTGACCTATACCTTGACTGCGTGAGTAGGCCAAAAACCTTGAACGCATTGAGCCCTACAATATACTGATACAATTATTAGAATAATCGTCTACGCCCAATACTGCTCCTTTGGTGAAATGATTACATACAAACCAATTCATGGAGGTTTCATTCGAACATGCATGGAATACGTTGATCCCGCATTCGGCTTCGCCATTGGAGTCAACTTCTGGTTTTCAGTGAGTGGCCTTAAGGATATGCAACCCTATTTCGAAGAACAAAAACTGATGAACACAAGTGGGTGATGATCATCCCAGCAGAAATTACAGCAGCAGTGTCAGTATTGAAATTCTGGCCAGCAACGGATGCCCTTCCTCTAGCTGGGTATATCACGATCTTCCTGGTGGCCATAGCCTTGGCAAACGTCTTTCAGGTTCGAATTTACGGCTACATTGAATACTACATGTCGTTCATTAAATGTGTTGCAATTGTTTTGATGATTTTCTTCCTATTTATCATGACATCGGGAGGGATCCCTGCTACTCATGGTCCTATTGAGTTTCGCTATTGGAAGAACCCTGGTGCATTTAAGAATGGAATGAAGGGCATTGCCAAGGCATTCGTTCAAGCATGCTTTAGCTTCGGTGGTGGTACGTTAATCAATTTCAATTCTTTTCATTTATTAACAATCTTGGAACTCTAGGTGAACATATTGCAGTGATTGCTGGCGAGGTAGCAAATCCTCGACAAACAATAAAGAAAACAGTCCGTCCAGTTTTCTGGCGCATGTTCACATTTTTTGTTGTGAACATTTGGCTAGTCGGGATGTGTGTTCCATCTGATGATTCCAGTCTAGCTACTGCCAGTGGCACTCTTGGAAGTCCCTTTGTAATTGCAATCAAGCGTGCAGATGTCTATGGACTTGCGCATGCACTCAACGGATTCATATTCCTCAGTGTTATTAGCTGTGGCATTACTAGTGTCTATGTGGCAAGTCGAAGCCTGACAGCGCTTGCGGATTTGAATCTTATTCATCCTTTCTTTGGTCGAAAAGACGCTCAAGGTCGTCCATATGTGTCAATGATTATCAGCCTAGCTCTTGGTGGAGGACTCTGCTATCTCAACTGCGACAGTACTGGAAAGATTGTCTACAACTGGTTTTCTTCTCTGGTGAGCTGGTCCCTTGTGGCGTTCTTGGTTCAGAGTCAGGATTAACACCATTTCCAGGTCGCTATCGCAACTCTGTTCGATTGGTCCGGATGTTATATTACCCACCTTCGATTCAGACAAGGCTTGAAAGCGCAGGGCAAGGATCTCAGCACCCTACCTTTCAAAGGATTTCTTACGCCATATGTGCAATACTTCAGCCTAATTCTGGTACTATTCATTTTCGGATGTGAATTTTATCTATCGTGTTGGCCTTTCGGAGAAAAGGGCTCTGCGAAGACGTTCTTTTCCACCTACCTTGCTGCTCCGTTGTTTTTCTTTGACTACTTCGTGTACAAGGTAAATATGTTCTTTCCAACTTGAGATTACAATATCTGATATGATGCAGTTTTATTTCAAAACGAAGATTGTGAAACCCTCGGAGATGAACTTTTCCGCAGCGCATTACTTTGACGAAGAAGATCGTCTGAACAAGATGGCACCCCAAGAGGAAAAAGAAGAGAAGACTGGAAAGAAAGCATGGCTCAAACGCGTTCGATATGTCATATTTGGGTAAAGGAATGTTATACTCCCTATGGAGCCAGGAAAACATCCGGATCCAGACCCAGTTCGTCTGTTGCCCAGTTTGGATTGAGAAGGTCCGTCAGGTCGTTCATATCAGAATGATATACACTCTCAGCACTTGATGTCGGTGTCATATGGGAAATAGGACTGAATGAAGATAATTCCATCGTGCTACCAATATTCTTATCTTTTTTCATCGACTGGGTCCAATCTTTGAATGTTGCGTAGGCCGACCTAGAGCTCTGCCCTGTGTTTGCTTCCTGCCCACGAAATTTCCCATTTGATGACCACTCCTGGATTGCTGCTTCAATAGACTCGATATAAGATATTTCAGATTGTGTAGATGTACCGCCGGTCATTTGACGAAGGAGAATCATGCCGCGATTCAAGATGTCCCGCAATTTTTGAGATCTTCCAGAGTTGATACTCTCAGCAAGTATTACAAGAAGAGCTGCTCTGCATGAGCTGAACTCGGTATAAGAGGCACGGCACAGCCCGAAATTATCCGCAAGCGATTGCAGTACCTCGATAATCTCCAGTGCACTCTGTACACACTCATTCACTAGCTCTGATTGCTGCGTTTTGCCAACATTCTGATGATCCAATGGATTCTCCTTGTCCCGAGTATTGAAAATGAAAGGCCGGCCCATGTAAATATATATTAGAAGATAGCATAGCTTCATGTGGCAATTTTGTCGAAACAGAGTTCCCTGGAGATTATCGCTAGACTGAATGTTGATGGGAAGAGAAGTCCACCATTGCCGAATCTTTGTCCTTAGTTGCACAAGGCGCGTCGAATAATCCAGAAGCAATCTTTTTGGACATCGTTTGAATTTCGCCCTGCCAAATACAATCAGCTGATGTTCCTCGGACGAAGTGTCCTTTCTTACAATGCATCGGCTACCTCTCCAGTCCAAGAGACTAATTCAATGAAGGCTATCATATTAGAGAAATTTGGAGAGTCAAATGTCGGGCAATCAGTTGGCAGATCAGCATTTATCTCCGATCTTGAGATGGAGCTCGGTCGCCCATGCATGATAGCCGTTCGTCTATAGAATATCAGCCATGCCCCCTACATATCTGGTACAAAACAAGTCACCTTTCAAGGGAATAGACAGTCCAAAAAAGGCGATTCCTCAGTTCAAGGGTTCTAGGATCACAGTCCCCTCCAACATATTTCCGATGCATCCCGTTTTGAATCGCCATTTTCATGGCTAACCCAAAATATGTATATGACAAACCGCCACAGGATACCGGAAGCGCGTATACGGCGAGAAGAAGGAAGGCTTGCACACTTTCGTAAGAGGCTGCTAGGATGACATCTGGACCCAATCTGCATGCCACATGGAAAAAGCCAAGTCCAACCGAATCTTCTGAGCAAATCGCGATTTCTTCTGAGAGAGTAGGGCTTGAACGGTCTTCTTCCATGTGCGCAAACTGCGTACCTATTGCTAAGACAGCGAAGATTGTGCAGACCCAAGGGGTATCTGCAGCTGTAAATTCCGTTGAGGGATTATAGCATAGTTGAAGCTTCTCCTGCAGCCATCTCCTCTCCACGTAGAAGGAATTGAGTTCGGTATACTTGAAAAATAAACCAACTAGGAATTCTGCGATCGGCCTTGGCGGTAATTGGGTCATCGCTTCAGCAGCGGTGTGAAGCGAAGATTGTAGATGAGTTGCTCGCCAGTACTCTTTGACCTATACCTTGTTAGGCAATCTAGAGTATGAGTTAGGATAACTTACATACACTTGAGTCGGCTGTATTTCGACATCTCATGGTGCGGCGTAACTTCTCAGAGAAGTTCCAGTGAGAGAACTCACCCGAGTAGACTATAAATTGTCAACAAGTGAGTAGGAAAAATGGCTCGTTGACTGACATGCAACATTACTTGACACAAAATGAACGTGGGGTGATTCATTCATGTCATCAAATGTATCGATTTCCATGGTCTCTGATGTGCACTTGGCCGCGATTCGTGCAATATTTTCCTCATCCAATGAAACGTCACCCAGAAAATGCTCTACAATGATTTCCAAATTCCGTTGGTGTTCATTGAGTCTTTTTGGTGTTGGCGAGAGATGAAGCGAATGACGGGGCTTTAGAGGACCCGACTGAGATGAGAACTCGCAGCGTCGATCTAGCCGCTGACACCGCCAACATGGTTGACCACCTTCGCACTTTTCTTTCTGTTTTCGACAGATGTCGCATCTATCAATTATCAGCCTTTAGAAAACACACTGAATTGGTTTCAATGAGCTCACGCAAGAGAAGTCCGTCTTCTAGTACCATTGGCTTCACGCTTGCGTTTGGTTCCACGCGCATCAATTTCTTCTGTCATTCCTTCAGACATATTGTAGATGGCGCTCAGTTTGGATTCTTTGTTAACGAATACTCTCTTTGGAGCTTGAAAGGTGTATTTATCTCGTTGCACTTAGGGAGATATGCTTTGTTGATATGCTATCATCCTTATCAAGAGAAAGAGCAGATGCGGGGTAAACGTGAACTCTCAGCCAATAAAAGCAACTCAAATATGCATATCAAGCTCAAGATAAAGAGCAATTTTGATGTTCGGGATCTTGCCGCGTCACTTGTCTATTTGCATGGGCCTAGAATATTGACTGCATAGAGGGGGGAAAGCCGACATCGGGATCGAGAATCAGAAACCGAGAGAGTAGAATGCAGAAGCGAAAAACTAACAAGAAAGAGAAAGTATAGGCTTCAGAGTGTTTAATGCAGAGGTGTGCCCCGATCTTGGAAACACTGCTAGACTTCAAATCATGGAAGTCTACTGTTTAGATGATTTCTGTATTGAAAGATTTTATTTTCATATCGAGTAGCCAAGTTTGGACTAGTCTAGAGGCTTTACACCGTGCTTTTCGCGCGGCGCATACCTAGGTAGATCGTTATAGTACACCTCCTCTCTTCATTTCTACCATATTAGTGGGATATGCAAGGCCTCCTCAACAGTCACCCGAAAAGAAAAGAAAAGAAAAGAGAAGTGCCAGTACACCATTTCTAACGAGTGTCCAAAATGTCTGCAGTGTACCCAAGTAATAGAGGGGTTGACAAGAGCAAGTGATCGGCATTCTGTGGCGGCTGTTGTGTTCCCGTTTCCCATTACCCAGCTGAAATGCACTGTCTATCACGAAGATTTACGCCTTGCATTCGCTTTCAATAAGCGACGCTGTCAAACATTGGAATTCATACCCCGCTTGAGTAAGTATTTCGACTTTCATATTGAACCATATACCGACTTCCTAAAGTGAGGTATGAATTCTCTCATTGAAGTCGTTAGCTCATGGGCTAGCATTTTGTAGACCATTGCCCTGGGGAGTGCCGTAATGAACAAGAACACGCCAATTTGTTTCTAATACAACCATGAAAACCTGATCAGATTCGCCAGCGTAACCCGAGAATGTGACTGATCTTGAAGGCTTGGGATTCAGGGCCCCCAGAGAAAATGTTCATTGCTTTTGTGAGAACGAAAAAAGCAATACAGGTCAAACGCTTCCCATCTATGGTTGGTCTTGATGCCCACAAAGTGGGCACATATGCTTTTTTGGATATATCATGCATCTAGTAATCCAATGAGGAGAGAGATATTGTCAGTGAACGTGCTGAGCAACACACCACAGACTACAGGCAGCTCTAGATGACCCAGAATCAGGTGTACTTAAACCAACCCCCAGGGCACTTCAGCTGGTCCTTAACCAAGATTTTATTTAGTCGAATCATGGCCTCAAAGCCAGTATTTGACAGACCAGCAATCAGCAAGCGCAGCTGGAGCGATGAGTTCCGCTATTATGCTCAGCATTTGAACATACTGAATGCAATCGTCTTGCTAGGCGCAATACCAACTTACTTCACTGCAATTCTCCACGTCCCTCTCCGATGGGAAACTTTCCTGCTAACGGGAGTCTTCTACCTCGCCGGAGGAATGGGAATCACAGCAGGTAAGTACATCACATCCCAATAACGCAACCTATAATAACTGGAACAGGCTATCACCGACTCTGGTCTCATAGATCCTACAAAGCATCAACAGCACTACGATACTGGCTCGCCATAATGGGCGCAGGCCAGTGGCAATGGTCAATCCTCTGGTGGGCACGACACCACCGCTCCCACCACCGATACACCGACACAGAGCAAGATCCCTACAACCCCACGCGTGGTTTCTTCTTCTCCCACATCGGGTGGCTAGTCGGCTACAATCCCCGCTCCTGGGGAAAAGTCGATCTCTCCGACCTCCTCGCCGACCCTGTAGTAGTCTGGCAACATAAATGGGGAAATCTGGTCGGATTCATAACGGCCGTTCTGCTTCCGGTGCTAATTGCCCATTTTGGCTGGAATGATGCGCGAGGCGCACTCGTGCACACGGTCCTGGGCCGGTTGATGTGGATCTGGCATCTAGGATTCTTCGTGAATTCCATCGCTCATCTACCGTGGTTCGGGTCGCAGCCGTACTCTGATAAACATAGTGCGCGGAATGTGTTGCTTTTCGCGTGGGTTTTAGCCGGGGAGGCGAGTCATAATTTTCATCATACTTTTCCTGCTGATTATCGGAATGGGCTTCATTGGTATGAGGGGGATTTGTCTCGGTGGTTTATCCGCACGTGTGAGAAGCTTGGACTTGCGTGGGATCTGCATATTACTAGTCCAGCTGAGATTGAGCGGGCGCGACAGAGGCAGATCAATCTTGCGGAGGGCATTTCTCATGGACCGGAGATCGCTGCGCTGCCTGAGATGGAGTGGCGAGATTTCGTTGAACAGGCTGCTGCTGGTAGGTGTATCACGGCGGTACATGGGATTGTTCACGATGTTACTGATTTCATGGCTGATCATCCTGGGGGGCCTGAGCTGGTGCAACGGTTCATCGGGAAAGATGCGACCATGGCTTTTTATGATGAGGACTCCCATGTTCACTCGCCTTATGCCGAGACTTTGTTGGGCAACATGCGGGTCGCTGTAACACGTCGACAGGAAGGATTTGATGACCAGAAGACAGAGTAGGGAGGATATGCGGACGCTCGCATAGTTTCGGTCAATATTGTGATATGATGAGAATTACTATAGCTATATCAATCCGCCGGACAACGGAAGTCATGAAGGTCAAAATGAATTGAAATCCTTTTATCAATGTATAGTCAATCTAGGCGCTCCCTTGGTATAGTTCGTAATCATGAGTCATGTCTATCAATGCGAAGTTCATGGCCCCGGTGTCTGCGCACCCTCACCTAAACCCATCAGTCCTCCAGCTATACCATTCATGCGACGATCCAAGATATCTTCTTCGCTACCAAGAGAGGAAATGCTCCTGTGTCGGGAACGAAAAGCAGAAGGGCTCTCGGGGGCGCTGTTTATATCCTCCGGATCAATATGATCGTGATAATTATACTTCATATCCAGGTGCTTGAGTCTCGCAAGGAAACTGCCGTCCGCATCGGGTGCAGGCTCATCCTCCAAGCTTGTGAATCCAGCCAGTCGGGAAGAAGCAAAGGGAGAGCGAGACTTCTTCCGACGGACTGCCAGGTCTGACGAAGACAACGACAATGAGTTCATCCTTGTCATACCTATTTCAAGTGGCCTATCCTCATCCGCAGAAGACTCTCCTGTCGGATGACGGTAGTGATGTTTCTGATGGCCTTTCAAGCTTCCGTTACTCTTAGACAAGCCCTTCATTCTTTGAGATGCGTTCATTCCCGAGCTAGCGGACATCTGAAGAAGACTGTATTCGGATTCATGCAGCTCTGCAGTCTCAAAGAGTGCCTCGATCCATGATGCACTGCGCTTGATGTACTTCCACGCATCCGGAAAAAAGCCCGCCATTTGAATAAAGCCATGTGAAACCCCGGGTATCAAGGATACTTCCACGTGATCTTTTTCTCGAAATTGACGCCGAGACTTTTCCAGTCCAAGGTCTTGACGCTCCTGGAAATACTGCAGCTTTGCTTGACGCAGCCGGCCAGCGAAAATGACTGTGTCGTCAACTAGCGGATCGCGCTCGCCAGTGAAAATGTACGTCTTGGGAAACCGGGACAGTAATGCATCCGGAGCAAGGACTGGAGATAACAAGAAGTCGGTGTTAAAGTCCGGTCGCTGATGCGGCCCAATGTATAGAATGATCATAGCTCGCATCATTTCCGGGGTGAGAATTCTGTCGTGTACATAAGAGATCATTGATGAGACTGCCAGCCGAGTCTTGAGTGGCTGGACCTCGCCATTTGTGATTTGATTCGATTCGCCGTTCAGCTCCTCGTTCTTTTTCAGTTTGTCTCGAAGCGCCTTGGCAGCCTCGGATGCTATATCGGTTTCCTCTTTGGCATCTGCTTGTTTTGGAGGGGACATGGAGGTTAAATCTTCAACTGAACGGCCAGGTGAGGTAAAGGGGGTGAGCTTCCGATAATGGTCATGCTTTTGCCGTAACACATTCGGGTTCTTCTGCCGCGAACTCTTATCTTGGATCAAGGCCATCTGTTCGTCTGTCATCCAACTTTCCACTCTCACATTCAGTGCTGGATAGGCTAACACCAGCCCATCAGGTCGAGGGAGACCCTCCTCATTCCGCCAGCCTTGAGCTGCGGAGGTCTGGAGAATCATCAACGTCATACTAACAGCCAGGTTCCCCCCTGCACTTTCGCCTGTGACAACGATTCTTGGGCGGGTTGAGCCGCTCAATCCAACACAGCGACCCTTGGTAGCAATGATGGTATGGTAGACATCATAGCACTCGTGTAGTGCATATGGATATGCGTATTCCGGCGCTTTCTTGTAATCGATGCTGAGGACGGGCACTTTCAACTGCCCCGCCCATGATAAAAGCTTATCTTCGGAGTTGCGGGGACTCATGGCAACAAAGCCACCACCAGGCACATCCAGAACGACGCATGTCTGCTCTTTTAATGCGTTCAAAGGCCCGTCAAAGTATAACCACGCACTAACAGGGTCACTGTGCACCGATTGCTTTGGACGAGGGATGCGGATAGCTCGTGGTGGATATCGAGTCATTCGTGGACGAATCAAACTCGCCATGGCCCATAAATACGGACTGGTCGCTTTGTTCCAAGAGATGCGCATATGCTCAAGGGTCAATGTTGCCCGAACTCGCCGCACTTTTTCGTCCGCCTGCTCCGCCGCAATCAAGTAGTAAACTGTAAAGACCAATGAAGCGATATCTCGCAACCACTTGGGCTTGATGGACATTGCTGTCCAAAAGCCCGCATCCAACCCAGTTGCAATCCATGTCGCCCGGAAGAAAGACCTCGAATAAAGGTTGGCTAGGGGCTCTGGACATTCGAGCCCGACAATCTTGGCAAAGTTGCGACTGACATATAGGCACAGAAAAATTATGGTGGTTGTCTGCCAGGTTGTCAATCTGTTTGCGAAGCGTTTGGAAATGATGCGAAGAAGCGGCGGTCCATGTTTGTTTCCTCTATGGTGAATCAGCCTTAGGTTCGAGATGTATAATGTATTTGAAGACGCCGCTATCACATACCGTAGTAGATAAAGAGACCAGAAGGATACAACTGCAAATACTTGAAATTTGCGAAATCTGGTCGAGGGTCTTCCTAAGACGTGGTCTAATATTCATGAGCCAATTGTTAATGTAGTTGCCATCCATGCGCATACCTATCATTTCCCGTTATATGAACTATGCAGCCGTACAATCTCACAGGGACCTGACTCCTAGACCGAAATGGAATAGAACATCAAGATCAAAATCAAAATCGAAGTGAAAGTAAAAATCGAGGCATAGAATATGAGAGAAATGAATAAATGAGTAAATGACTGAAGAGGAGAATGAATCACATGTCAAAGAGACCATCACATGCTTGGTGACATCAGCTGACGGGATGGGCTCCACTTCGGCTATTTGACTATATGAACAGCATGCGGAGTAGTTGTAGCATAAATTGCGCTGGTCTCAGGCATTTATAAAATGTGGAGGTAAAACAGTGTTCATTGCCATCCTTCTATGTAAAATTTCTGCCTCAGGCCACTTTTATTTCTTTCAAATCAGAACATGTCTTCAATAGTTTGTCCTGAACAGAAGCAAGACTCAAATTTCTCCACTTCTCATCTGAAGCAAATAATTGTTCAGCGGCTTTTCCCCCATAGCTGACAGCATCGGGGCCGATAAGAAGGCGCAGGGGTGGCTCAGCTTCATCCAAAAGCTGGAGAATGATGTCCGCAACTTTGCTCGGGACAGATGGCTCGGTTCCAGGTGAGTTCCGATGGGCTTCAATGAAGGCTCCGACGGAGCTTTTATAGGGTTCGCTCACGGGGTGTATCTTCATAGATGATCCAGCCCAATCAGTTCTCATACCACCAAGCTCAAGAACAGTAACTTTGATACCAAGGGACGCTACTTCCATGGCAAGGACCGTCGAAAAGCCACCAACAGCCCATTTGGCCGATTGATAAGCAGAAAGACCGATTGCACCTATTCGTCCACCAAGGGACGAGACTTGGAAGATATGGCCAGACTTTGCTCTCGAAGAATGAGAAGAACTGCCTTGGTGGCGTAAACTACGCCCATTAGGTTGGCGTCGAGTTGGGCTCACAAGTCTTCGATCTCAATGTCCTCAACCGAAGCTGTGTTTGCATAGCCGGCATTATTGATGACAACATCGATCCGGCCAAATCTCGCATGGCCAGCCTTGACAGCGTATATAGCTTGGTCATGGTCTGTTACATCAAGGGCAACGGGAAGTATCCGGTCGGGGCCATATTTTTGAGTCAGCCACGCAAGCTGCGCTGGTATGCGAGCCGTTGCGATGACGGAATCACCGTTCCTGAGAGCAGCTTCAGTGATGGCGAGTCTCAATAAATGCCTCGCACAAAGCGATAATTATGGAGCTATACTTAGTCACTATCTACCACGAATGAGACAAAGCAACTGTGAGGCTTATTAATTACAGTAGAATTCGAAACTAGATTACGCCTTGGACGCTCACGCTTTCTTTCCCACTTCCGTTGCGCTAACCCTGATTCAGCTAGGAGAAGTCCCACAAAGTCTTCCTGATGTATTTCTAGTAGATTATCAAAGTTACTATAATTGAGTGTCTCCGGCATTGAGCGGACTATACCTGCCGAAATGCCCTGTGGCCATACACCCGAATTCGAAAGCAGATTAGGCACACTGACTCTGCTTTCGATAAAGCAGACACAAGCATGCGTCATTGAACGACAGTTCACGTTGAAATAAGCACACCGCCTGATTTACTTTTTACATTTGCTATCCACCAAGTCCGCCAGGGCAGCACCTCGAGTCGCTGAAGAGTCAGTGGGTATCATCGTGTAAACAGCCAAAGTCAATGGCCCATCGCTACGTTCTAATTTTCTCGGCCAAACCACGACAGAAACTCACACGACAGTATATCCTGGAGTCTTCATTGATTAGCACGGCCCTCCGGAACATAAAAATGCAAAACTGGCACATCACAACAATTACATATATATCAACATTGGAAATCAACTAGTACGCGTTTCTTCTCTCACGGTCTTCGGCACGGTTCACCTTAAGTGAAAGGCCCCTAAGATTGATTTTTATCAGTTAATCTTGTAATAATACGAATGAGTAGATCGTTTTGTTGATAAGAAAGAATAGTGGTAAATTAGTACTTACTTAAATCCATTCATCTTTTTGACGGCGTTTTCTGCTTCACGCTTCGAAGCAAAGGTGATGAACCTAAAGCCTTTACTGCGTCCGGTTTCTCAATCTTTGATTAATTTCTGTCGTAAGTCAGTTTTCCGATCAAGAAGAGAGCTTGAATAAAAGAAGACCTGAACTAATAAGTTCCTCTACCTGACCCTAATGACTGAATGCTTCCTCTAAATCTTTTCCGAGACTTGGAAAGAAATGTTTCTGACCAGGATTTTGTTCATATTAACCACGGTTTAAGATGATAACGCTTACCCGATATATAATTTTTTACTGCGTTTAGGCATTTTCTCCGGTAAAGCTAAGCCAATAAGCAAGGTGTAGGCAGAATGAAGTAATGTAAACTCTAGCGACGAGGTTGACTAGGTGAGTGGACTAGTAAGTTATTAGGAAAAGAAGAGCCTATTATGTAGCATTGAAATAAATCCTAGGGCCTTCGGATAGATAGACTTTTGAAACTTGTAAATAGCCTTGAGCCAATCTGTTTAGTTAAGATTTGTACGTACTCAGATGTCTACTGGCCGATAAACAAAGTGTGTGCCTGAGGGGAAACTTGTTATCGAACTCTGCGAAATGCCCTTTTGTCATCTTGGGGGTCGAGGGAATATGTATGGAGAAGAGTGTCGGTTAAATTGATTATAAATTTCCATACCACGTTCCAAGGTTGGACATGGCCGTCTTATAGACTTTCCCACTCATGTATAAGAGGGCACAGCCGCACAGGTATGACGGTCGCACTAGATCTACATGACAACTATGGAGCGGCCGCTGTACCGGAATATTAGTTGTTCCGAACCGTAAGGACCCACCGAGCGGCCGCAACGATCGACGCCTCTCCAACACCCAACCCCAGACCAACTTGCAAATGAAAACTTTAGGCAAAATATAGTATGGATAACGAGGCTCCTCGGGCTTGCGCTTCATGCAAAAGAAACAAACGTGGCTGTGACAAGACCCTCCCAAAGTGTGGATTGTGCATCAGGTTCGTTTCTTGTCAGGTATCCTTCTATCCCATGCTTATCATTATTCGGAGTTAGGTATAATCGAATTTGTGACTACTCAGAGACCTCACAATTTAACCACAAGGATGAGATCGAAGAGCTACGGAACCGGATTCAAGAAATTGAACAACGCCTAACACCCTTCACTTTAACCCCAGCTGCATCTTCCATAAGCGAACTACTCAACCCTGATAATTCTCTGCAAAATGGACTTGATCAAAACTTATCAACAGTGGCTTCCTATCTTGACTCTGAGACTTGGTCCACTTGCAATATGCCCAAAACTTCCAATCACATTCCTGCTTCAGAAGAGATGTCTGCCTTCCTTGGCAACTCAGAAATGGAAGACATCAAATACCGTTATTTCAATTCCGTGCATACCTGGATGCCTATTGTGAGCAAGATTCGGTTGGAGCGCATCACTAAATGCGCACCTGGACTTTTAAAATCAGATACACTGCTATTGATATTGTGTATGAAACTCATCTGCACGCACGACCAAAGCGAAGACAGAAACCTCTACAATGTGGCTAAGAAACTGAGCCAAGAGCTTGAGCTGAAGGGTTTAATCACAGTTCGCACAGTACAGGCTGCCCTCATCCTTTGCGTCTACGAAGTGGGGCATGCTATTTTCCCGGCTGCCTTCCTCAACATCAGCTGCTGCGCGCGACAAGGCGTTGCCCTCGGCCTGCACAATAAATTGGCACCTCAGCTAGCCGGTAGTCCCAGAAGTTGGGTAGACTGGGAGGAGAGACAGAGGGTGTGGTGGATGGTTGTGATTCTTGACAGGTGAGAAATTATGCTTTGTCGGCACGCCAGGCTACAAACTAACCTACACCTAGGTATATTGCGATCGGCTATGCTCATCGACCCTTGTGCACTGAAGATCCCAATAAAGACACTCTCCTTCCAGCGAGTGATAGTGCTTGGGATGATGGAGTGAGATTCTCGATCCGATGTTCAATATCATGAACAACCTTGTATTGTTTCTAAATCTTTTCTTCTCCAGGAAATGATGTGTCCCGAACGTGTGCTCCTTTCGTCAAATAGCGATACACCAGTCAGTGCCTTCGCACGACTAGCGCAGGCATCCAATCTACTGGGCCGTGTCATCAAACATTGCAACGAAACTTCACTGGAGCTTGGATTCGTCCTGGACAACTTCGAACGGCTCACACAGACAATAATCGCATTTTTGCAACTATTGACCACAAGTGAAGACTCATCTTTGAACTCATTGAGTACTGCAACCGCAATCTGCTTCAGGTGAAAATGTCTTGTGATATTACGGCATCGGCTCCTGTTAACAACATCTAGTGCCTTGTTCAAGCTAGCGAGCCACCACTCATGTGATATGCACATTGAAAGTGAAGATCTTGGTCTCGAGTTGGCCTCTCGCCTCCGGGAGAATATGCAACGAAGTGTCCAGATGTTGAAAGACATTTCAAATCAAGTGATCTTGTTCATTCAAGATGCCAGACAGTCCCTTACCCCACAAAGAATAGAGCTGGTGTCACCGTTAGTCTTGAATTGCATATATAGTTCTACTGCCAATCTTTCGTGGATGGGCATCGAGAATGGCGCTCCACAGTACGCCATTGGAAAGGCCGTCTGTGAAGAAATGCTCCACTTCTTAAGTGCTAGATGGAACGCAGCCAGTGAGTATATCGCCACCTACCTTTGGGTTTAGAAATCGAATCCTAACAATCAATGATTTGCTACTAGATGCATACTTGGAACTGCAAAGAGTTGCGGACCTGGATCAAGAGGAGCATAGCTAGGGCTGTTGCCTTTAGACCTCATGCCCACTTGAATCAACTTTGTCTTCTGGTTCTACAACTGCGAAACTTTACAGAGACGTCCAGTGCGGCGTGCGGAAAAGCAACTCTTTTTTTTCAGGAACATAAAAGAGCCGAGAGAAACGAAGGTCGCTCCTGTTCGTACTTGTCATTTGCTGGTCCATTATCAGCTAGAAGGCTTCGATCCACGCCTCTAGTTCTGTCAGTGCAGAACAGTATAGTAGAATTGGGTGCTAGTCTTATCTGCAGTGGCCACAATCTGTGAATAGCATCGCCGAAGAGCTCTCCATGCATTTTGAACATCACGCAACGGGGGAAGAGCTTGAAGTTGAAGGATACGTAAAATGAGATAAGGTCATTTATTCGAAGGCGTACCAGCATCGGAGACTCCACGAAAGAAATACTTCATCAAATCAAAGGGGTGTTCGTAACGCCATGGGAAACCTCTTGCCACTGCATGATAGAGGATAATGTGCAAAGTAACTGCCGGACGAGGATGGCGAAAACAATCTGGCGGTGCTAACCCGCAGAGTAGATCCATTTCCATATCAGCTCGCGTTCAGATGGGGGCGGGGAATATGCTAGGCTGAATCCACTTATAAAAGCATTGAGGGGTTATCTCCCATCTCCTTCTTCACAAACTCCATAAAGATAGTTATTTTACCATGACTAGGCAATTAACTTGGCTTGTTACTGGCTGTTCCTCTGGTATAGGAGAGGCTTTCGTTCGAGCCATTCTTGATAAGGTCTGTATTTACATTGAAAAGGAAAAAGAAAACCGAACTCAAATACTCACTTAGGGAGACCGAGTGATTGCCACAGCACGTCCAAATAAAGGGGTTTCCGGTGTAGATCGACTAGCCTCCCTGAAAGAGGCCGGCGCCGCGACCATAGAGCTGGATGTTTTGACTCCACAAGAAGAGCTGAACGCCAAAGCTAAAGAGGCATGGGCTATCTACGGCCAAGTGGACGTACTGGTCAACAACGCGGGCTACATTGAGGCAGGAATCTTCGAAGAACTCGAGTAAGCTACGCCTTTCTCATCTTAGAATCTATCTAGTCAACCACAGCGAAAAAAAACCATGATCAACTCTCTGCGAGCGAATGTTCTTGGTCCGCTCAACTTTACCAGGGCATTTCTCCCTCTGATGAGAACAGCCAAGACTGGCACTCTCCTCTTCGTCGGCTCACTGGGCATATACTACGGCGCTCTGGGTGCGAACTGCTACATCGGCTCGAAGGGCTTAAAAGAAGGACTGGTACCCAATCTTGCTGTGGAAGTCGCCTCGTTTGGTATTCGAACTTCAATCCTGACTTTTGGCAATTTCCGTACTGAGGTCATGTCTCCGGAGAACATGAAATTTGGAGCTACCAATCCCCAGCCCGAGTATGAAGAGCTCAACAACCTGATCAAGCTTGGCCTCAGTGCGCAAAATAAGAACCAGCCGGGTGATCCCAGGAAGGCATGCGAGCTCGTCATCGAGGCTGTGAGGGGTGAGGGTCGGTGTGCGGGGAATGAGCTGCCTTTGAGGCTGCCTGTTGGCCCGGATGCACTCGCTTGTATCAGAGCTAGCTGTACAGAGAAATTGGCGCTCTGCGATGAGTGGGATGCCATTAGCTCTCAGACAGACCTAACCATTCGACCAGAAATGTCGTTTCATGTACAGAACGCAGGAGGTATATTTTCAATCAAACCCCGAAATGTCAATTATGTTTTAAGTTGATTCACGCTCTCAATGTCGGAATTGAATCATAGGCCCGTCATGTGTACTCGTAAACACATCGCGCATCTGAAATTCTCCAAAATGATCCCTACCCCAAGAAGGTTCCCAAAATGTTCTTGCTTCCACCATTACTCCCTTGCTTTCGGGCTCAAGTCTCATATCATATAGCCACAGTAGTCGAGCCAAAATAATACCCATCTCCTGATACGCAAGATGTTTCCCAACACAGCCAGTGCGACCAGCTCCGAATGGCGTGAGAGCAGGCCTCTGTTCTGCGGGTGTCCCATCTATTCAGCGCTCTGGGCGGAACTCATAGGGCTCGGGCCAGTATTCGGCTGTGTGGTGGAGTGCGTAGGTGGGCACACCCACATCTGTGCCTGCGGGTACATAGTAGCGGCCCCCATCAACCTCTAAGCCTCCCGCCAGTACTTCACGAGGCAAAATTCCACCGAGTGGTGGTGAAAGTCGCATGGATTCATTGATGCAGGCGAAGAGAAAGGAGCAGCTGTTAAGTGCAGGGCTAATTCGAATGGCTTCCACGTCTGTAGTGCTGATCCCGCTGAATGCATTGTCTACTTCGGGTTGAACACGAGCGTATTGTTGCTTGTTATGCAGTAGATAAAACAAAGTGGCGGTTATGGTAGTGGCGGTAGTGTCTGAACCTGTAACAATAAGGATACCAGTCTCCGGGTCCCGGGCGTCAAGCAAGGCGGAGAAGAGATCTCTGTTTGGCAGCGTGGAGGGATCTTGTGCGACACGCCACATAGACTGGGCTGCGGATAAGTCGAAGAGTTCCTGCACACCTTTGACTAACGAAGGGAAGCAAATCTGATCTAGTCTCGATTTTAGAATGGTTGGCATATGGCCCGTGAGATTGATGCCGCTGGTTCCCAAAGACATCAGATCCAGAATGTGGCGATCAGCGGAACTGGCCTGGATGGACCACTTCCTGGAGAACGTCACATCTCACATGACATCTGAAAGAAGATACTGGATACGCTGGGTCAGGCTGTGAGAGCGGCTCCATTATCCGGTGACACGAACGTCTTCCGGTAAATATGTGCAAAGTACCCGGACGTTCTGGAGAATCAGCTCCTCGAGACCCTTGACCGCAGAGGAACTCAGTGCACTGCTCGTAATACGACGCTTTACGGCATGCGTCCTGCGATCAATTGTCGTCAAGCTCGCTGGAACGGAGAAGAAATGGTTGAAGACGCTGTAGACTTGAGACTTCTGTGTATTGGCACGTACACCATATATCTCGAGTACAGCTTTTTCGGTACAAAAAGACACTCGATTGGGATCGGACCGTACGGCTGATCCATATGTCTGATGGAGACGCAAGAAGTCTAAATGGCGATCACCGACCATACATTGATACACATTGTACCAATCCGTCGCTGCCGCAAGCCACGGACCTGGGTAGTGAACAACAATTGAAGCGGATGAAAACTTCAGCGGTAAATCAAGACAGCCAGGAGCTAGGTCAAAGCCAGGTTAGAATTTGAAGAGGAAAAGCTGACCACGGTGCATGCTAGTACGTTATGTATCATGTATCATGTATGCATGTGGTAACTTCATGCATATTATACGCCCCCTCCCTATCAAGCCCCCAAGCACCAATGCCAGCGCTGTTGATCGACGTTGTAATCAATGTACTAACTGGTTTCAACGTGGCCAAAATAGGCTGATGAGGGTATTATATGGGATGCATTTAACAAAAGATTCAGTATCTCAGTATGAACGGGCAGACCAAATTTATTGTATGGATTGCTCTTGGACAAATAGGATAATATACGATAAATGCAATAATATTTCAGTCCCGATTCTTTCCGGACATTGCCAATAGAATGTGATGATAAGAACAAGGCATTAGCGTTGTTATGGGCGCTAATACGCGTCCTCTGAGCCTCATGGTGGGGCGCAGCCTCAAGAAACTGCTGGTCTCCCCCGGGGATTTGAGGTCTCATCTTTCCAAGATTTTTGCCTTCACCACTTCTCTTCAACTTCGATATTCTTACTTGGCCCTCAGAATGCCTTCCTTTCGAAGCATGCCCGATCTAGCTTTAGAAGGATTTCTGTATGCTCTATTATTATTAGTTGCCGTTCCCGCTATCGGCATAGTAATTGGCATGGTGTGCTTCATGGTCTTTCTCGTCACATCCATCGTCAGTTGGTTCGGTACCGACATCTGGGAAGCCCTGGAGAAGGCATTCGATGAACAAAAACAACACCGGCTTGCCACAGCCGCGAATTCGATCTCGAAGATGTTTTCCTCTGATGAGGAAAAAACAAAACAACTTGCCTTTCTCGAAAAAAAGAAGGCCCTCCTCCACGAGGGTATAGTTCTGGCGCAACGAGACGTTTACCACGCCGAGGAGATTGAACGTTCTTCGAAAAGCGAATCGGTACCTGCACAACAAGCAAGACTCCGCAAGCACCAACAAGGGTCAAAAGAGGCATCTGATGAGCTGTTCAAAAGTTGGCGGAAATACAAAACTCTCCTTGAGGAATGTCCGAAGGGTGCTTGGATCCGCGAGGATGAGAGGAATCAGTCGAAGAAGCTGGCTTCACGAGAAGAACAGGCGACATGTAAATACCGACAAGGCTGCTGCGCGTTTGAGTGTGGTTGCTGTGAGAAAATTCGAGCGTTCACAGAAGCCCAACGACAAAGACCCGAGATTTACTTCCACGCTCATTGCACCTCAGACTGTTCATGTTGCCTTCGCCGGGATTTGCGAACATTTAGTTGTGAGCCTGAAGGTGATGAAATCCTTCTTTGAGCACCCGTGACGTTGGACCGTTCCAACGTTTCTCGGATTTGAATTTCCCTTCGATCGTATTCTTATGTGCATGCCGATGTTCTTCGATGGTTTCCATTTTCATGGGCATAGATCTTTTGTTCGTGCAGATCATCATTTGATCTGGAAGAAGAGTCAAGATTACATCACATGTCGCTGTTATTTTGCAGTCTTGCAATTCGAAACTGGAGCGGCGACTGCCAGGATGATCAAATCGACACACGCAAGAACTATTTCATACTGAGGCAACACTCCAAGGTCGGAGTAAGCGAAGTATATGGGGGGATGCCAGACTTTATAAAAGTTTTGCCTCTCAATATCGGTACAGAATCTCCCAGAGCAAAAGGAACAATATTGGGAAAGAAGATTTTAGTCCTAGTATCTAAAAATGACATACTTATAGCCATCTCTTTTTAAGCACTTTTCACGTAATGTTGCCTGATCATTGCGAGTGGCGGATTCGATTTGTTCGCCATAAAGGTTCTGAATAGAGTCATCAAGCCCAACCCGGGGGGAAGATTAATGGATGGCGTACGGCCGCCTTGGGATAGCATCGGATGTAATCTACCGGTATCAGTAGTACCTTACCGGGGGCCGAGAATCAGTGGTAATCCACAGGCAGTAGTTGATCGGCCAGGCAGGTATAGTTGACTAACGCGACGTGATTTGCTGACGTAAGGGAGCACATTATGCACGTGATCTGTATTCCTCCCATAATAGGACTAGCGCTTCCGGGTCATCGAATTGTGCTCTGGATCTTGCCTTGAAGACCCCAAGAACTCCGAGTATCGTCCCTCTCCATTGACCATAATGGGTCCTCAGATGAAGATGTTTGCTGGGCCTTTATCGGCTTGCGTTCGGCCAACATGTAGGAAATTTCCCGCACCCGCAATGCTTGTCCATGGCTTGAAACTGACCATTATTCTCCAGGCCTGTCGTCCGCATCGCTAGCACCCTTCTCTCTGGCACGATCCTTCTCCAACACATCTTCCGCCCTTGACTGGCTCACCCCGAAGTTTGCCGAGAAATCCAAGTCGCCCAAGGGCCGTCCCCATGTCGCGACCGGTGGATCCACACGAGGAACTACAGTCGTGTGGGGAGATTACGGAATTCGCATGAAGGACCACGACCGTCGGATGCCCGCCTCGGCTCTTAAGATCGCAGAGGAGACCATCAAGCGCCGGTTGAGAGGAATGAACTATAAGCTGTACAAGCGCGTGAGCGCCAACATTGGTGTCTACACCAAGGGTAATGAGCAGCGTATGGGTAAGGGTAAGGGTAAATTCGACTACTGGACTGTCCGGTTGCCTGTTAGCCGTGTTGTGTTCGAGGTGAAGGGAGATTTGCACGAGAAAGTTGCCCGCGAGGCTTTCAGATTGGCTGGCCATAAGTTGCCTGGTGAGTCTCATTTGCTGTTTACAAATTGCGTTATCATCGCATCAGTGACATGGATAACTAATTATAACGCCTCCATAGGTCTCTGGGAATTCGTCAAGAAGGATGACCCGCCTGTCGTCGGCATCACCAAGCTCGGCAACGGCGTGACTCTTGAGTCTCTCAAGCGCGCACGCAGAAACCCTCCGCTCGGCACCAACAAGATCGAAAACCCTCCCCAAACCACTTCCTCCAGCACTTCCCCCACCCAATAAATAGTCGCAAATGTTCGCACTGTTTCTGACGCGCGTTTCCCGTCAATCTTTCTCATGTTGAACTAAGCCCCGACCCCGGAGCCGGGCCCATACCCCTGCTGCCTCCTGGCCTTCGCAGATGCTGCATCCTCTGCGCTGTCGAAATCCAAATCTTCTGTACATTATTGTCAGCTTCGTCCTCTTCCGCGGCCGTTGACCCCGGCCTTCTGGCAGACTTTTTGTTATATTAAGAGTTTAGACAAAAATATTTCTCTATAAACCTACCTTTATCAGGCTGAATGATGCCCATTCCTAGTCTCTGTGCTTGTTTGTCTTCTTCTCCAGACGCGGGAGAGTCAGTCGGATCCACAATGGCTGTCGTTAAACTTTTGGTGTGCGGCTCGCCACCTAGCACAGTCAGCTTCTTATATCTGTAAACTGGATTGAAATCTGACATACCCCCTAATTGTCCAGTCTGCTTGGCAGGCGTGATCATGAATTCCCGGATTGACTCGTATCTATGCACGAGTTGAAGATGTTAGCTCGTGGGTGTGCAATGTATGCCGGGGGATCATACTGAGTGCTCTCTCCGCCGGGCTCCATATCAATCAGTCGTGGATCGTCCATCGCGGAGTTTGGACAAACGTGGTATATATTATTATATGAAAATTTTGGGAGGGCTCTTGATTATTCACTTGTTCTTTGGTTTATAAATCTGGGGAAAGACAAGACGACGTTTACATATGATTTGGGGACTCGGTCCTATGACTATATGTGATGACGTAGCCATAGTGAGCAACCTTGGACGACCTACAGTACCAAGTTTCAAGGCAAGATACAATCTCTCGTTCTGATGAACTTAATTTCACGTATTCCTATTGGTTTTTATTCGACCATTCACTACCAGGTGGGTACATGGCTCACAAATTGCAGCTCGCAACGCCAGGATCCCTCAACAAAAAAATCAAAATGCCTTTATGCGCCGAGAACAAGAAATGTGAAGCAACAGTTCTGCCAATACTTAGGACCTTCTTGGATTCTTTGAACTGGTGACTTCGTTTTGTAGTATACAATCATCATTCATGCGTTGGAATGTGGGCTCCATTTCCGGATCCTAGAAATCCATACCCATCAAATAACTAGAGGACAATTAGCATATGCTATGTATGAATTCCGGACTGTCGACTGACCTCTCGTAGATGCGCATGAACTTGGCGACGAAGGCTTCGAGGTGGAAAATCACTTTCTATATTCATATAAATATTAGCGCTGCTATCAACGGGTTTTAAAAGGTGGACTTACGCTTCCCAGTCTGATCCGGTGCTCATAGAATGCAGACCACTTAATCACATCGGCTTTGAGCGCATCATCTACCTTTGCAACAAGCTTGAAAGTCAAGGTCTAAGCCATTTATTCATTAGTTGCGGAATTTGCACATCCTCGATGATTAAACATACCTTGAGAACCGTTGACGGGGGAATGCAATGAGTCAAGAGATCGTAGAGACGGGCACGAACTTGCAACAGCCGGGCTGGAGAACGTTCTGCAAGAATCTCATCCGCAATAACAGAGATAAGCGCCTCCCAGTCGGGAGGAGGAATAGGACTATTGTCTGTGACTTTCTCACTGCACACCGAAGATAGTCAGTCTCTCGCTGGTCTACAATAACGCACGTCAACAGCACTTACTTCTGTGCATAAATAGATTCGAACATCAGCAACGCACGGCGGAGATTCCGCCCGCTATCTCGCGCAATCCGCTTGTTCAATCCATCGGCCTCTGTCCAGCCCTCCCTCTTCGCAGCAATACGAAGCACTGAGCAAATATCCTGTTCCGTAGGCGCCGCAACTCTGACCAGCAGGCAACGGGAACGAATGGGTGCAATGATATTGGAAGTGCTGTTAGCCAAGAGAATCAAGCGCAAGTTCGGGCTGTATTTCTCCATAGTGCGACGCAGAGCTGCCTGGGCATCACGAGTAAGGTGATCAGCTTCGTTGATCACTACGACCTTGAACCGCTGTTTCGCCGCAAGATCCACCTGCTGCGTTTGTGCAACCTCTTTGAGCAGTTCTTGAATAACGACACGGTCATAGTTCCCGACATCGGCGGGTGTGATCTCGAGATGGTAAACGGAGGAAACGATGTTGAATTCTAGCTTGCGGTTGCTGGTTGTCTGGAATACTCGGGCGTCGATCTTGATCTTTTCCACTCCAGGGCCGTAGAGTTCTTTTAGTGTTGCGATAATGCGTGTCTTCTTGCCTGCACCTGATGGTCCGTATACTAGCAAATGGGGGAAGTCGCCGCTTTGGGCCTGTAATTTCATGCACCTGAGGTCAGCTCCTGCTAACTTTGCCAGTCGAGAGTGCACTTACCAAGGATCGGAGACGATCCGAGAGCTCGGGGTGGTATGTGAGCGCATCAAGCGTCTTCGGTCGCAGTTTGTCAACGAGAAGGGCCATTGTGAGATCCTGGTACCTTGAGAATTAAGATGGTCGTTCGTGGTGTGAAAATGCGGGAGCGGGAGAACGCGTCGAAAACGCGCGACTAATTAATATGTGGCCCGTGCACACTCACTGATCTAGCTCTTTCTCCAGGTATGGAACTTGATACAACATCAGAATTATGCTACAGACTTTTCATAGAAAATGGTACAAGATGATATTTGTTTCTTCATGTATGTACAAATCGACGATCCAATCAAGGTATCGACATTGCGAAATTTCCTTAACTCCAAGATCTATATAGTACACACACAATTGCTGTGGAGATGAGAAGGGAGTGAGCCTACCTCCCTAGGTAGGTTACCTGAAAACCAGGATTTGCGGTGCAAGTATCCCGTATTGGGTTGACAATGCCTGCTAGACTTTTGAGTAAATTCGAGAGTAGCCATTCATGTCGATCACGAGGCGATTGGTTTCAACACCCCGTTATCATCATATTTCGCTTCTGCTTAAGTCAGTACCAGTTACAATTCAATCCAAAAGTGCGAGTGACTTACTGAAGAAAGTATAAGACAGAGTGATCGTATCAATTCCCTTCATATTCGGATCCGTAGCGAAATCCGGGTCAATGAAGAAGAATACGGGCATGTCTACTGACTCGCCCGCATTGAGCTTCTGCTCCTCAAAGCAGAAACACTGAATCTTGCTGAAATAAGGCGCAACCTGGCCTGGAGTCACACTGTATGTTGCAACTCCAATGATATCGTTGGGGCCATTGTTGGTTGCGGTGTAGAAGGCCAGCGCAGTCTCGCCCGGCAGCACGCGGACTTCACGTTGTTGTGGAGTAAACTTCCATGGCAGAACATCGGAGACAGATCCATTGAATGTGATGCGGAGCCGGCGGGAGTCGGTTACGGGAGTCACGCGGGATGCTGTATCCTCACCGCCGCCGCGGTGGGTGGTGATGGGTTGACCGCCCCATCCGGTTTGTTGGCAGATCTATTGTTGCAGAGAATAATCAATTGAGGGGTTCATAGTTAGAGATTGGACTATTTGCCCGCAGGGATTGGATCGTACCATTTTGTAGAGAGGGACGGAACCGTAGGCAAGAGCCACAGTTCCTAGGATCATACTGATGGTGTAGTACCTGTTGAGTCACGGTCAGAATTGAAGGTTCCGCACTGGTATAAAGACTAATCTTACAATGTAGAGCTGTTACGCTGCTGCGACTGAGGAGTGTTGAACGGCGCGGAGGAGGCATGATGTTTCGCATGGAGGAAGGAGTTCCTCGAAAAGTAACGCTTCTCAGCTTCAAATATGCCTTTGCGGAAGTATATTGATCGCGATGGAATCCCAACTGTGAATGTGCGAGGCCCCAACGGGGGGAATAATCTAGAAAACATGGTTCTTGAACTTTGATAGAATCATGCATCGTCCGACTGCACGCCCGCAAGTATCGGCAACCCATGTCACGTGATATGACTTATCGATAAGCGGGAGCTCTGAGTCCAGCTGATCGTTGACTGGCTACTTTTAGAAAAGTGGGTCATCCTTTGTTGTAGATATACAAGTACCTAAGTTACTACTCTAGCAAATCACAAAGTTATAGCTGGTGGGCCATGTAATGACATAGGATTTGAGAATGGCCCATCAGTACCATCATCGCAGATTAATACATATCGGACGAACAAAACATTGGCATTCTCTGAGCGCTTACATTGTAAACATACATCTACATTGGAATGGTCATTTCTTAGTGGGATCATTATTAGTATGTAAATTGGCCACCAAGATCAATTCATGAGAGTGGAAATTAAGGTATGAAATGATCCTCCCATAATAGAATGCACCGAGTACCATGATAACAACCTACACGTTATGTAGGGAAATTCTATCTTTTAGTAATACATTGCGTAAGAGGTTCACAAAAGAAATCATCGGGAAGGTAGTTTAGTTCAACACACTTGTCGTAATGCGGCCGAAAACTCCACGGACCATGCGTGGATTTTCACGGAGACATGTAAAAAGTATGGCGGCGCTGATGGAAAAGGCAATGCGCTCCCGGTATTGATACTACAAGGAAAGAAAAAACGATTAGCATCGCGTGACAACTCCAGAACCGATCACAGACCACACGCCTCGGGTTGAAGGGATAATAGGCACGGTTCATCTGGGTGTGACCGTTTTCATCTGGGCAAAGCGAGGATTGGACATACTTTCTTTTCATATAACCGTGGCAACACCGTGGCCGCAGCCCGAGGTGCCACAAAGAGCGCCAATTCCTGTCTCTTCCGCGCTTTCTCAACCAGTACACTCCAACCACACATGAGACATCCTGCCCCAACGCAGAGACCAGAGTCCCACATTAGCGGAGTGACGGTCTTCGGGTCGAAAATTCTGGGGCCAAGCCGTGTCCGTGCTAGACAAACAGAATAGTAAAACAGGCTCACAAATGAAGCAAGAAACGCAGATGACCGGGCAGCGTCAGAAATAGCGCGGCCCAGTGCAGCCGTGGACTTCATCCCCCTTAGGCGGAGGACAATCTGTAGCGGAATGTAGGTTGCACAGGCAAACCTGAAGGTTCTGGCAAAGCGCGATACTGCGTGCTTCTCGCAATTAGGACCGGCTCCCATGTGTACCATTTCGCATGGAATGGGGGCCACCTTAGATGGATCACCCCATTCTTCAGGCCAATTGTAATCCCTACACATGGATTCAAGGAGCGGCGCTTGGCCTGTATCCTTGCCGTAGACAAAAGTCCCACGGCGAGCGCGACGAAGAGCTTCGATTAAGCGGGTATCCACCTTTGCCACCTCTCCAATCCATTTCTCGTACGTCCGTGGTAACCGCTCGGGAAGATAGAACCAGGCCCACATGACTATAGCCGCACTGGAAGCAAAAACTCCAGCGTCAGCAAGACCAGGAGCCACGGCCTCTATGGCCGTCCAGCGACCTTGGGCCTTGCGGCGGCGATACCAGCGTTTCCATACGATACATGCTATCACGTCGACCGCTCTTGTGACCGTGAAAAGAGTCAGGTCCATCGTCCTCCCGACCAACTCCAGATGGGGACGCCCAAGAGTATTGGTCGGGGTATTGCTAGAGTCATCTTGACTGGAAGAGATTTTCCGAGCCCTGACATCCTGTCGTGAGATTGCACGGTTTTTGTTTAGCAATTGAAAACTGAACCATGCAGATAGGAAGGCGGTGGCGAATTGAAGGAGTTGTTGGCCTCGTTGGGATATCCGAATGTTCCCCTTGGAGGCGGCTACAGTCCATGCGCATATCCGATACAAGAAAACCGGAAGGATGGTTGATCCCCCCACTAAGAGTCCACAGAATGTTGGAAAATTGTTCAGGCGCAGAGGCCCAGCCAGAGTCTGCGCAAGCTATTCGGTTTTCTGTCAGCTGCGTTGTTTCAAACTCCCATATAACGACCCAATTTGCGCACGGGGCCAAAGGTGGAACTCTTGGAACAATTGCCAAGAGATCTGAAATATCAAAAATGGTAATTAAACATACCTCCTGCAGCTTCTGCTTCATGGAAACATTCTTGCTTCCCAATCTTCGGGCAAATGTGATGAGTTTGGGCGTAACGGAGGAGAGATATCCCAAAGCATAAGCGCGGATAATCCTGCCGATCAGTTAGTACTTTGAACTTAATCCTTTCTACTTTTAAAGGCCTCTAATTCTAGAACACCCATTTCGGCCAGGATAGAACTCACGGCTTGAGGATTTGAGCATTCAAGTGTCTATCCGAGAAAATGAGCCGACCTGCAGGTTCCATAGTACCGGGAACCATCATGTCATGATCCGCAGAGGGCCTCAACTAAGCATTGCGCGCCGGGGAAATATCCGGGAGGACCAGACGCGTCGAATTATTGCAATATCAAATTTGGCTCAGTGGTAGCCAATCAGGAGCAGGGATCAAATCTCGCAGTCCTCAGACTTTGAGGGGGAGGTGAGTAACACTTGTGCCCAGACCGAAAATTGGGTAGTATCCTGCGTCTGGAACAGCTGCACGATCGTTGTTTTTTGGGGGTCCCCTATGATCAACCGTGGATCTGTGTAACGAGGGATTAACTTATGTAGGGACCGCGTTCAAGGACTGGTTTACCTAGGTCGTTAGACCTCGGTTCCTGAACAGGAAGAGTCCCCGCTGTGGGCTATGGACTAGGTCCAACTGTATTTCAGGGAAACACACTACCAAGATGACGAAGGATGATCATCCGTGATGGTCGCGCTCCCAAGGTTTTGCGGGGTGTGGAAAGGCGAATATCAAGCCCTCGGGGTTTAATTAATGACCGAATGGGGGAAAGATTGTATGGCTTTTCACCCTGGATGCCGAGCCGAGTTGACTCGACCGCGGATGAGGTTCAAAAGTGGATAGAACAAGAAGTTTTTGCCCGTATGAATGATACCTTGGGGATCTTTTCTGACCTGAATAATGGGGAAACCCCAGTTTTTCCCTGCTTTGTGGTTCGTCAAAGTGGGTTGTGATAGTAATTAAACTGGAGTTCAACGGCCTCGGGGATTCATTGTAAATCAGGTACCGTCAATGTATCCTCCGATGGCCATTTGGACTTATGAATGGTGTAAATTGTGGTTCACATTGTTGTAATTTTGGTAATGTTGTTACGTCACGCGACCGGGTGGAAAATTCACATGTGATTGAAATGATGCGACGAAACAATAATGATCAACTCCACCTTTTCACTTCCCCAGCTTTCTCTCTCTTCGACTTTATTACTGGATGAGGTTCTGTTGCAGTCACTTTGTTCCTAACCGAAGTTTCTTGTCTTGCGAGTTCCAAGTGCTATCCCTCTGCCGCTGACTCGCTGGTCGACTTGATATACTATACGAAGTTCAGAGTATTAAGCCATCTGATTCGAGTTCTAACGACCAAGGCATGATCATCTTATGCTGGCTCGAATCGCGCTTGAATATTAGAGCACACTATCGTTGAACTCCGCAAATTTCCGCCTTGTTCCTTTCCCTTTGACCTCGAAGTGATGAATGGTCCTGTACCTGAGATTCAGACCGGGCGCAACTCCCCACCGCCGGGCCCGTTCGGCTGTGAGTTCAATATGAGTGGATTGAATGGTGTCGCAGCTTGCTAATGAGTGTCCCTAGATTCCTTCCTTTCTCCGATGGATACTCCATATGAACAAGCTCCCGCCTTACCCCCGGGACCCTCTCTCCTTGACGATAACGAATCCAATATGCTCGATAACTTCTTTACGACCATGAATGCAAATAGCTTTACGAATGATTTCTGGCTCAGATCCCAACAAAACAAAGCACCGGGACTTAACTTCGATTGGTCCGATGACCTACCGCCGACCTTTGAAGGCTCGACAACGTCTCTGTCGCAACCCTCATACCAGCAGCATGCTCTTGACAAGCCAAACATGATGGCGGGAAATACGGCAGGGTCAGACATTTATGCCGCCGCGTCAATGCTTTACCATAATGCCGCCTTAAATGGGTCAGATATCGGTTCTGCGCTCGCTCAGCAGGTCTTCGCGACACAGCCGCTTCTCAACGGGCTCCATATCAATGGAGCCCATCCCCACCACAATTCACAGTCGGCTCCTGTTACGCAGGCTAGCGCTTCCTCTGCTTCCAACGACAGTCTACCAACAGGCTATCATACCTCTGAAATGCTCTTCGACGTGCGCGACCCCATCCCCGCGGATCAACATCCATCTCGGAAGGTTCGTAGCCTCCAGTGGGGTACTGATAATAGCTTTATGGACCAAGGCTATGTGGCCCCTCCAAATCAACCGGATGAGGAGACACGCACCAGAGAGCTATTAAATCATCTTGATTGCTTCGAGCCACAGACCAGCGCAGCCAACACACGAGCTCCCAGCCCTGAGCGCATGCCTGGCCGCCATGCCCATCACTCTAGCATCCACAGCATCGATAAAGAGGATGGCTCTCAGCCTCGCAAACGGCAAAGAATGATCAAAGAAGATCCTCTTTCAGATGACGATGACATGAAAATGCCGGCCCGTAAATCGCGCACTCCGAGCAACGCGAAAGCGCGCCGTGTATCAACCAACGCGCCCCGAAAAGCAAGTATCCCATCGAACAATAAGACCGCACGGGAGAATCTTTCGGAAGAGCAAAAGCGAACCAATCATATTCTTTCCGAACAAAAAAGACGCAATCTCATCCGTCAGGGCTTTGACGATCTTTGTTCCTTGGTCCCTGGGCTGCGGGGCGGGGGCTTCAGTAAAAGCGCCATGCTTACACAAGCGGCTGACTGGCTCGAGGATATCATGCGTGGTAATGATATGTTACAACGTCAGTTGGTAGAAATGAAAGGCATCAATGGCCTCGTAATGCCTAGATGAGGCTATTACCGGCGCAGATTCCATACTCTCATTCTTATTTGTTACTTATTCGGTTCAGCGGGGTTGGGCAAGCCGTGGCTTGCTGACAAGAGGGCGTTCATTGCGAAAGATACCATTTGTGTTTTAGGCAGGCATTTTCATTCTCAGTGTCCTTATTTTCGATGGCGATGAATAGGATCCATCGCAATTGCGATTGAAGTCCTTCCAGCGTAGCTTGTTTATTTGCTATATATCTCTATTTGAAAACACTGCATCTATCGGATATACATGCATCAATTGATTTCATACAATTGAGCTATTTACTAGATAGGTATCTACATAGGAAGAACATTTTATGGATTATAGTGATGCATATCAATTTTGGACTGTGCTTTTTCAGCCTTGATACATGAAACATAAAATATTTACAGTATAAATCCCCATTGGTTGCCCAATGTTTTAAGGTGTGCCGATCCCCACCGCTCCGAGGTCCGCTGTTTAGGCTTGACGCGTCCTGCAGTAACCTAGACCTTTGTTGTCCGCCACATCCCTTCCAACCCTTCTTAACCCACCCCGCAATGCCTCCTAAACGAAAGCGCACTGACAATGATAACGCCGAAGACGATTCAGAGAAGGGATACGCCTATTTGAAGCCACAAATTCGCCGCGTTCCCGAAAAGACGATCAAATCCAAATGGACGACCCTTCCAGAGCCAGTTCAGGACAAGGTTCGAGAGATGTTTCATGCGCTTGAGCGCCCGGTGGTTATGCGCCAGCCGAATGAACGGAAGCGGATTGAGGCACGGAGCGCAGTTCAAGCAGTGGTACGAAAGTATGTTGGACCTCCCATTTTGAAGCCAGTGGATTCTAAGCGCCTCGAGTATATCATGTCTGCAATAAGCTAACATCCGCCAATCATTCAAAAGCCTTGGAAAGCGATTACCTCGGATGCCATTCCCACCCATTACCAATAGCGGGAACTTCGATTACGAATCTGCGCTCGATGAACATGTACGAGATTCGATACCGACATGTGTGCGGATTGTTGACTGAATGTACGCAGCGGACACTCGAAGCAAGCCTAGCCACGATGAAAGATAGCACCGACCTCCTCAAAGCCGAAATTGCTAAAGAGGAAGCACTCCTTGCCAATGAAAAGAAAGAGCTCCAGGCAATGGACAAGAACGCCAAACGAGCGGAGGCCGAGCGAAAGAGGCAGACCAAGAATGTAAGAAACAATCGATGAATTGAGTCATTTTCGCTGACCTTTTGCTTCAAGGAACACCCTGTTCTTCGGCAGCTGGACGACCTTCCTCCAGACTCCGGGCCTTCTGGATTTACACTGGTTGATACTAAGCCCAGCCAGACGACATTGGATCAGGTATGGAGCTCGGATGGATTAGCGCTATTAAATTGCAATATCTGACGATTTTCGTTTAGCTCGACGCCGACCCCGAAATTCAGGGACTGATGAAGCAACTTCATGGCCACCTCCAATCTATGCAGACTAATTCTGCACCGCTTATGGGACTCAGGGATGCAATCACTCGGTCGCAAGCTGCGCTGGACATTTTTGCAGGATCTAACGACTGAAACAAGCATCCGATGACCAATTAAAGTATCCGGAGTATGAACCCATCGGGAGCTTCATGTGCGCGGTCTCATGCATCAGCAAATCATTAGAAATCCTCGACAGGCAAGATTTCATCACCAAGTTTTGCGCTCCAATCTCACCCAGGGAATCCTTGTCGCGTGCTCATATCCCGATTCCTGAGCTCCAGTTGCAGTCGCTATGCGCTGAGACAACTGCGCCGGCATCAATGGCATGTGAACCTCACAAATTTAAAGGATTATGTCAGTCACATCTCACCAGAGGGTCTGCGCTCAGTTGATCATTCGTTGCTGTCCAATCTGGCCAGTTCCATTGATCAGGATCTGCGCCCTGGGCCCCACGAGAAGGTCCAAGCTAGGGGTTGCCCGGTAAAACCCGCATAGTTGAAGAAATAAATGAGAGATTTACGGATTTTGGTTTAGACAATAGATGACAATTGTAGACTTGATATCCTAGCTTGAGAGGTTCATCCCATCGGCTCTCGGTGGCGTTGCCGAGAAAAGATCGGGGATTCCCCACACGCGGAGCAGAACGGAGGGGTCACTCCGCTTTCGCGAAAGCCTGAACTTTTGACTTCGGATTCAACCTTCATTTTTACTGCAATACTGCAATGTCTGCAGGCAGCCATTCCGCCCGGTGGTGATTACACAAGTCGAGACTATGACTGAAAGGAACGCATCGGGCGTCGGTTCCGACAGGACTGCATCTGCTAAGTCCAGGGCCGGTGACGCAGCAAAGGATGCGCGCGCAAAAGAATCGCAAACATTATCTGCCAAGGCTGAGACTGGCTCTGGCAGTCACTCCAGTCCCAAAAAGCGCCGCAAGGTCAATCACGGTAAGCTATCCATCGCGTAAGGGCATGCGACAGGGGTCTGGGCGCCGTCGCTCGCATTCCGGTTCGCTTGGCGATTGAGCAGTTGGCGCTGACGATTGTATAAATTTGGTAGCATGCGTGTATTGCCGCCGCTCGGTGAGCCTCCACTTTCTTTGATTTATTACACTTGTGCTTTCTTGTTCGATCGATGCGACAGCCTGCGGGCAGCAATCTCTCCAGTTTAATGGGGTTAATTATATTTTATGGGGTCGTTTTGCTAACTAGAGGCCATTGGTCGCGTGGGACAGCATATGACTTGCGATTCGGTACGACTCTCCACAAAAATCCCAATAAATCTATCCGCTAGCCGTAAAACTGGTTGTCAAGCAGAGAGAGGAAAAGAATGTGCCCGCTGACCAGTTTTGATTCATGAAGGAACGACCTTGTACCCGATGTATAAAGCGCAATATTGGACATTTGTGCCATGACGAACCCAGGGAACCTGCGAAGCGTGCTCGAAGCGACCAAGACCATTCTGCCGCAGACGAAGAAGGATCGTCCAACAATGAGCTGGGCAACGTTCAAAGTATGCCTCGGAATGTCGACGTCCCGGATGCTGCCGGTCAGCAAATTCTCCCCGACGGGACAATTGGAATCCCCCCTTCTTCGGTGCAGCCAGCAAACATTTCTTCGTCTGGCCAGGGCCTTGATGCCAATCCCCAGCAGTGTAAGTCTTCAGACGAGACTTTTCTACTCTAGCTGACGTCCAATATTATAGTGATGCCCTACAACGACTGGATGGGTGGACAGAATCAATTTCAGGACATGCACTCTCTTCATCCGTCGTACATGTTCAATGCCCCTGAGGTTACGAACGAGTATAACTTGCTCGGAGACTTCCTCAGCAACAGTTTGTTGGATGATGGGACGATGTTCCAAAATCAGGATAACACTCAAGGGATATACACTGATCCAACGTTGATGAACTCGATGAACTCGATGAACATGCCAAATGGACTCTCATTAACGACGCAGCTTCCACCCCCAGCAGTACCCCAAGGAGACTCCATTCAACGATCGACTACCAATGCCGTGGTAAATGATAAAGCTCGTGAGACATACTATATGACCGCAGCTGATCCATCCGGATCGGACCCACCAGAGGAGCGCATGAACAAGCTTCTCAAAGCCAAGTATGATGCTGGCCTATTGAAGCCCTTCAACTACGTCAAAGGCTATGCTCGACTCAACCAGTATATGGAAAAGAACATGCAACAAATCTCTAGGCAAAAGATTCTTCGACAACTCGACAAGTTCCGACCGAAGTTCCGAGAGCGCATGCAGAGCTTGACAGATATTGAGCTGATTCTGGTGGAGATGTGGTTCGAAAGAAGTTTAATGGAGTATGACCGCGTTTTCGCCAGTATGGCTATCCCTGCCTGTTGCTGGCGACGAACTGGCGAGATCTTCCGTGGCAATAACGAGATGGCACAGTTGATCGATGTGCCGATAGAGAGTCTTCGAGATGTAAGCTTTCGCGAATTTCTGTTCAATTCTCTTGTTAAATCCTAAATCGTGTATAGGGAAAACTTGCCATTCACGAGATCATTGTCGAAGACCAGTTGGTCAGTTACTGGGAGAAGTTTGGAGCCATTGCGTTTGACAATACCCAGAAAGCAATGCTTACCAGCTGCACCCTGAAAAATCCTAGTGGATCTGGAGAAGGAATCCAATGCTGCTTCTCATTTACTATTCGCCGGGATAATCACAACATGTTCGTTCCATATCTTGCCCTTGTCCGGGTGCTTCAGCTAACATAACCTAGTCCCTCTCTCATCGTTGGAAACTTCCTTCCTACACAACGGATACACAAGTAACGTTACAACTATTGGGTTAGGTTGGTTGATATGGTTTGAAATTTTGATTCTTGATTCCCTGAGGCTGGAGGTCTGCGTCATCTATTTGAAATCTATCGCGAGGTGAATGTACAATATTTCACATCTTTTTACTATGAATACAAGTTCTGCAAGGTCCACGAGAATAATGGGTTAACAGTGCAAGCAAACGGTCCGTCACATGTCGAGTCCTTTTTGCCACGCATCTTACCCCTCCGTACCACTCGTTCCCACACACTTACACCTTGTATTTCTATTTCCACTCACTTTTCCCCTCCAACCATCTTCTTTCCACGCACATCTTCCATCACTATCTTCGTTTCCTCCAACCTGAAACCTTTTCTTAGTCTTTGATTCTTTCAAATCCCTAATATCTATCTTTCTGATTTCCATCCATCCTCAGCATCTGTTTCTTGGACACGATTTCATCATGTCTTATTCCCGAAAGTCATCTTATTCTCAGAATGCGGCCCTACCAGGGCAGGTGGCTGTGTTTAAAGGTGAAAATAAAAGCCCACGAACTGACCTACTCATAGCTATGACTTTCTAACACATCAAAAATGAATAGCAATCGTGGACAATTTGAAAACAACAATTTCCACTGCATATCGTGGGCGACTAGTTGACCTCGTCGACACTGACCCTCTTGATAAGCAACTTCAAGATTTCAACCCAACCGTAAACTTCCCTGCTGATTCGATTCGTGAGCTTGATGTGATTGGTACGGATCTTTGGAATACCTGCAGAACCGCATTGTGTTCTCGTGCCGAGGACAAGCAGGAACAAAAGACTCTCAGCAGAGGTATGTTTTGGATAACTTTTCGACCTAAGCAGCATCTGATCATAGGTGTCTCAGTGAGGGCTTTCGCCTTTTTCCTAATCAAACACGGTACTTCAAATACGCCTTCGGGATGTAACCGGGTCATCAAGGCTGGATATGTCGCCGCTCGCTACTGCATCGGTATTTACATTTGTTCATTCTTTGGATTGAAGCTTACCAGTCATTTAGACAATCGAGAACTTGACTTGGCACACACTATCATGACAGTGATTGCTGATAGACTCCATTTCATGGAAAATTCGCCTCCTCTTGTTGATCTCGGAAACTTCAAATCCCTTGTTGCCGAGAACTTCATTTTTCGCGCTCAGCTTGTAAGTTACTTTCTTGTTGGTGACCTTGGAGCCTGGCTGAATATGTCTAGGTTCATTTGCAAAATCGACCGGACATCGCTGATCTCCTTTACTCACACGTGCCTCCAACTTACACCATCAACGACCCTGAGTATGTTGTCCAGGTTTGTTACAATATTGCGTGTGATGCACTTGAGTCATCCCAGATTGAGCTTGCAATTACTTGGTATGAAAGAGCTGCAATTCGCACTGATGAGTGCAATATGCACGGACAGCCCAGAAAACATGGCTTCGATAACTTGGAGCTCCTTGTTAGGCATTCTCTGGGTACATTTTGGCAGAATCATTGTGGCAATTACAGTAAGCTGACTTGCCTAGTACGCGCCTACTTGTCCGTGGGCACACCCGACGCGAAGCACAGGCTAGCAGTGCAGCTTCATATCCTCAAGGAGGTAAGTCCCAGCTTCTAACTTATTCTTTATGTGTGGCTTATAAATTACTAGAAATTCGGGGCCAATCCTGCTGTCGTTTTTCTCCAGTTAGAGGTCATCCGCCCTTCAAACAATGAAGAGATCGCTGAATTCTTCAAAGGTATTTATGAAAAACACATTTGCATGACGCTAGATTCCCATCGCTAACTTTCAATTCAGTACTTGGATGGGTCTTCACTGGGTTAGATTACACCGAACAAAGCTTTGAATTGTAAGCATGGTTGGTTGTTCGAGATGGCATTCGCTAATAATCTCCACAGAGGCCTTCACTATCTCAAGTACGGAGAAAGTATCAGGTAGGCTGACAGTAAAACCTCCCTAACTTGTGAAATTTACTTACAGCTTCTAGTGACGATCATGCTTTGCAGACGTACCAGCAATTACTGTTCACAGTGCCACTCGACCGAACAGATTGGATCGAGCGAGCCTTTATCGCACTCACTGACCTGGCACTCGTTATCTCTCTCTCGGAGGCAACAAAGATGCAGATTATTCTGGACGCGGCGACAATTTTAAACAAACGGGGCTTTGAGATGCTTAGCGAAGCAGCTGTTCATGTCGTGTTTGCGGTATTTCGATCGTTGTGAGACACGGCAAATATGAATGTTCTGACAATCTCCTAGTACATCTGGAAGCACCTCAGGTCTGGATTTGAGGACCGTTGTCCTGAGGCGCAGCGATGGTGCCTTTTCGCTCTCAACACAGAGTTTTTCGCGTCCTGTTCCCTGACAAACCAGATTCAAGTTACAAAGTCAGTAATATGTATGCTTTGATGAGAAGTTTATTAATCTCACGCAGGAAATTTGTGACATTTTCCTTGGACTGCAATGATCTTAGCGCGGCGGCAGAAGGCTTGAAGCTAATCCCTCTGCATAGTATCATTGATACTCAGGGTAAACTCAGGAACGAATTTCAGATTTTGTTTTTGCAGTACAGATTTGCGCTACAGGACTGCAAGAATGACGAACCAAGTGAGTGAAGTCTTTATTAGAGAGAATGGGTTTATGCTGATAATTTGCAAGATTGTATCTGCCATCAGCTCATTCAAAAATACCCTCCAGCTGGCCACCCACAAAAGCTGCAGTTCATTCAAGTCTGCATTATGGAAGCACAGCGCCTTGACAAGTCCGCGGAGGTGTTGAAGGGCATTCATGAGTTCCTCGAAGAAGCAAAGGGCGTGACTTATCCTGAAACTTCTGGCGTTGAAATACTGCCAAGGGAGGAAATGCTGTGAGAGTATTCAAACCTGTCTGACCTCTGTTGAATACTAACAATATATCAAGCTTCCTGATTTACGTCCTGTCAAATGAAGTGGACAAAGGAAACATCGGAGTTCGTATTGTGGAATTGATGGCAAGTCACATTACATTGGGTACGATGAAAACACTTTTGCAGTCGGATTAATACTAATCTTTCCAGCTGCGTTTGTGATGCGACACTCAGCTTATGAGGATTATGAAGACAGCGAGCGTAAATGGATCCTCGAAAAGTGCTATGCACTAGTCTGCATTTTGTTAGAAAATTCCCGACTTGACATGACGGAGCCGCTCTTGCATACTCTGAAAGAAGTATGTTCAAGTTGATATCTATTCAGCTAATATATGGTTCTCATTGCTGATACAATTTTAGCTCATTCCATTCTTCCAAGACCGGGAACAATTAGAAGCGGAAAAGATGGTACTTGACGTGATCGCTCCACGCTACCCTCTTCTCGTCTTGATCAGAGACGTTTGTCGTGCTCGCCACATGGAGCATTCCGCAGTGAACAATGTATGTCGAATTCCAAAACTTGAGTTTCAAACAAAGAAAAGCTAATATTACTTAGTCGCGTCTCTGGGAAAAGGTCAGGAATGGCCTACTTGATCTCCGGAACAGTCGTGTCTTCCCCGAGCTGGACAACAAATTCGAAGGCCTCCTATGGGGTCTCTGCTTTGAAGCCTGCCTCTGTCAGCAGGAATGGGACATGGCTCTGTGGGCTTTCCACAACTCCAAGCAATGTGATGACGGGCACTTGAGAAGTCAATACATGGAGGCCATTCTTGCCAAGAAAATGCCCCCGAAGCACAAGATCTGGGTTGTTAGGGTAACAAATCATTCTAATTCTCTGCTGAATCAAATTCTAACTCTTCTCTAGGAAATTGTCAGCCAGCTCTACAGCGGGAATGATTTCGAGTTCTCTGTCCCCTCGCCTGCCCTCACCGACTTCCCGATTTACCTGCAAATCCTCTTCCGCCTCTGTATCACAGCGCAGGATGACACGGAAACAATCCCTTGGGAACTGGAGTTCTACGACGATGACAACCTCGAGAATATCTGGGGCAAAGCAGGCTCGCACCAAATGAGTTATCTCCAAATTGCGGAATCGGTCCTCGACCAGGTTATTGCTATTTCCTATGATCAGGAAGAGATGGACAGTCCAGACCACATGCAGAAGCACCAGCACCTGGAGCTCAAGACCGGAAAAATTCTCCATTCAAAGTGTGAGCATTATGCATACCCACCTGAGCAACTTGAAGCGCTTGCTATGCTTTCGTTCAATCGGGCCATGGATTTCTACGCGGAGGGAAAGGACGAGATTTCCCAGTCGTGGACCAAAAAGTCGATTCAACTGGCTCGCTTAATGGGCAATGATGAGGGCAAGCAGCTGGTTGACCTATTTGAGGAACGGGTACGGGGTCTGTGATTTGGTCTGTGATGGGGTCTATGATTGCTAATGCACAACCCGTGGCGATGATATGAGCCCGTGATCGCTATTTGGCTCATGAGCGCCGATGCTCAGCTGGAGCTGGGGGGTATCAGAATTAACCATACAAGTCTTATAGTGAAAGGGGAAAGATGAAAAGCTGAGGCCAATTATTCCATAGGCGTAGGGTCCAAACTTCGTGGGCATACACACCTACTATGCATAACTTCAGGCAGATAGTGAAGTACTTAGTCAATTCCACACATTTATCACTTCCCATTTTCTGTTTCTTGTATTAGAAGTGGACAGTAGAATAGTGTCGCATGACTTAGTGAATGTGGTAGGGACAAGGCAAGTAAGTCATCCCGCTTCCAATGGAGGCGGAATCCCCATCTCAACACCCGCAGTGCCCCTAATGTGACCCTGCTTCTGCGTTTTGAAATACAAAGCTGTGCCACAACTCTACCCAAGGATTTAGAATATTCCAAAGCAAAAAAGAAATCTCTCCCTCGGGGAATCGAACCCCGGTCTCCCGCGCGTATCAGTGTTAATGACAAGCGGAAATCATGACCCCTAGACCAAGGAAGATAAGATAGTCGAGTTTCCGCTCGACCACTTGGTACTGGTTGATATCCGATCTCTCTTTTTACATTTCAAGATAAGAAAAGTATTATACAAATGGAAGGAAATTTTGATAAAACAGTATGGGAACATGAATCCCAGTCAGACATCAGTCAACCTCTCAATAATCCGGGTTAGAACACGTATTTCCTGCTGTGTATCAAGAACTTCTTCTTTCTCCTGGCTTCCAGAAAGAGGGAAGAGCAGCAAAGGATCAATAAGTGTGATAAGAAGATCCTCGTCGGCTAGTACGATTCGCGCTTCAGGCATACCTAGGTGGGCGGAATTTAAGTGCCAGAAATTGAAGCATAGGCCTAGAACCACTAAAAAAGAGATGAATTGTATGATAGATAAATGTGAAATATAAGCTCTGCAGACATGGCATTAGCCAGCTAGAGTAATATGGGTATCATCAGAAGTGAAAAATATGAGCAACAAGAGAAGAAGAGAAGACATCGCCCTATTTGAATAGTAAATGGATGCAAAGAACGATGTAGAAATGGGAAGGAAAACAAAACGGAAAGATAGCATGGGCGGAGAACACCGTAAAAGATAAGAAGAATTTAAAAAAAAAATAAAAGAAAAAGAAGAAATCAACGAGGAAGAAATCTCGTATGTCATGGGCGTCATTGGCCCTTATCGAAAACTTTCGCAATACCATATCTCGGTGGGAGTCATTGCCGCAACCTCGTGGGATGCAGGGGTAGGGGTAGTCGATGAAAATGGATTATTCATCAGTAGTTGCATCGTAAGACTGGCTCCTGAATCCCTTTGGCGGGTTTCTCTGACGCAGTGACGGGGTTGAGGGTGCATGACGAGCCCGGTGAGGAGATCTTGGCGAAGTAGAGGAGAAACTGGCCTTGCGATCTAAATCCTTAGCACTACTGTCCGTCTCTGTTTCGGCACTTTCGTCACTAGTAAGTGACCGCGCATTGACAGCGCGAAGAGTGAGGCTCAGTTCACGTTCTAGCTCTTTCTGCGCTTCTATTTGCTGAGACGAGCTGTTGAGTTTCTTTCGATAGGTCCGAAGAGTGCGGCATAGTTGCTCAGTGGACAGTTCTAGGCTGCCAAACTCGCTGCGAGTCGATTGCTTGGTGCGTGATCGGAAATCAAGGGACGTGCGGCGATTTGTGTTCCTCGTAGTGTTGGGTTTCCTGGAAGCTGACGGTTTCGACTTCGGGCTCACTGGCGAAGGTGATCTGCGGGATTGATGTACTCCGTAGGGAGTAGGGGAGAGACGGTTAGGAGGCGATGGTGTTTCTGCAAGGGAATTGTTCTTCAGGTTTGATGGTGTCAAGGAGAGCTTAGACAATTTCTTCGATAAGGTCGGAGAAAGTTCGCGGACCGGCGTGGGTGTTCCCAGGGGATTCTCAGGTCGGAAGCCGGCTAACTCGCTCCTCGAAAGGACCTTGCGAAGAGGGGGCTTGGCGGCTGCCATCTCCTTCGTCGGACCTTCGTCCTCATTTCCAAGATCCGGAGATGGAGATGGCTGCACAGACAAGTTCCAAATCATCAAGATACCATCCATGCCAGCGGACACCAAGGTCCGCTTGGTGGATTTGTCCGAGTCATCGCCTTCATCCAGCAGTAGAACGTCACATACGCCCTCTGTGTGGCCAAACTCTCCAGTAAGCAAGACATCTTTTTCCAAGTCGTACACACGGATAGACTTGTCTGTGCCGGAGAGCCCGATGAGTAGCTTTGGAGACTGGCCTGGAATCTCAGAGGTAATGGTCAAGGATCCCATTATCACGGCGTCATTCGCTTCCGAATCAGAGGCACGGAAACAGTGTAGCTGCCGCCCCGAAGGAATGTCAAACTTAGACACATTTCGATCCATTGTTGACACATAAAGTGTATTGGGGTCGTCAGGGCAGAACGCCATGGACACGGGCGATGCCTTCAAGGTGATGACTCGAGAGATGAGATAGGCGACTGAGGTTGAACCGCTCTCTTCTCGGGTTGCACGCTCCCGTACAATAACCGTACGGTCTGCAGAGCTAGACAGCAGCCTCTCACCATCGTTCATGAATAGAAGCTGCCCCACTGCACCGACATGTTCATCCATAGTTTGTATCAGGCGGAGAGTGTTGTCGGTTTTCTGGAAAAGCTGCACCATTCGATCTCGACCAGAGCTAGCGATCAAGCAAGAATCGGGAGTAGCATGAATGGCGATGTCGGTGATCTCAGCACCATGCGCACGTGCTTCAGTAACACACGCCCATGGTTTAGCGGAGAGGAGCTTGAGTACCCCAAACTTGTCGCCCGATACGAACCATTCTGCATTTTCTGCGGCTCTCAAGACTTTGAGTTCATTCGCAATGTCTTCCTCTGGGACCGCTGCTTGCTCCAAGGCCACAGTTTGTGTCAATAAGCACTTGCCAGGGGCGTCCCAGAAATTGACTGCACCATTCCGCGACCACGAAAAAAAGTCCGCCGAATATTCGTTTGGCTTTGTCAGGCGTCGAATACCAAGGACCGGGTCCCGATGGGCTTGCATGGAGGTCTGCCCATTCTCCTGCTCACCTTCATTGCGCAAAGAATCCATCGGATAGATATTGATTTCACAGGTTGCCTCAACCGTCACTAGATGTGAGATAAGTGAGCCCATACAAGTAATTGCAGGGGCCTTGCTATGTTTATCTGGTGCTGGTGTGACTTTTCCCGATCTTGAAGGAGACATAGATGTTGATGAAGGCGCTGACCGGAGGGAGTCGAAGGATACTTTTTGCATCTTCTTTCCACGTCCACCCAGCCAGATCAATTCTCGATCGAAATCAACTGCGAGGGAGCTTATGCCAAATCCAAGTTGGGTCACGAAACATAACTTTTGCGACCCTTCGCGATCATCGAGGAGACACACCGCACCAGACTCAGTGACAAGCACTGCTTCTTGATCCGAGATGCTGGATATACAGCTGAATGTATTATCACCTAAAGGCCCCAGCAAACAATTTCTTCCTGATAGGGCTTTGGGGGCCGGATTTGGTGACGGGGCAGACCCATCCATGTGCAGACGAGACTTTGTGGGGGAGACAGGTCGTTGGGGGATTGGCAGCCTCCACACTTTCACATGACGTACACCGGTCCTATGAATCCATTAGCGACCCATGATATATTCTGGTTTGATGAGCACATACGTAACCAGCGATTGGCCGACCCAGCACATGTCCCGAACAAATGATGTACATTTGTTCGCAGAGTGAAGCCTGGCCGACCCGTTCTTGAGGTTGATGGCCCAGATCAAGAGAAATCCATCATTCATGGTACCTAATGTGGCTAGGTATTGAGAATCAGGACTGAAAGCTATGCTGCGCACGCCGAATGTGTGCTCGGAAAGAATGGAAAGCGGAACATCTGGCAACGCGTCTTTGGCGGTTGAGAAGATCAAAACTCGAGGGTTGTAACCGGTCTACCCACTGTCAGATTCCTGTGCCTTGAACGGAGTCACTTTCCGTGCACTCACCTCTCCCACCGCTAAGAAGCGTCCATTGGGGCTGATGGAGACACTGGTGACAGCCTTGACTCTTTCTCTGGAAGACCACGCGCGGGGACTGCTATTATCGGGGACATCACTCGATGGCGACCCATTGGGTACATTGAGGTGGGGGTTGGAGCGAATGTGGGATAAGGACCGAGATCGGGGGTCCGGTGTAGATGGAGGGGTCCCTTGGTTGTAAAAGGAGGATGTCGGATTCACACTGGTAGCAGAGGGACGAGCTCTAAAGAATCGTTGGGTGATATTGGCATCGTCATCGAGTTCGGCGAGGACGGCCGCGGAGCCTGCGCACAGCGCGAAGCTCTTGCTCTGGTCATGGCTAGAGAATCCGTTCGGGGTTGTGGTGGAAGTACCTATAACGGTCTGTAGAGTGAGGGTTGATTGATGAGAGGATTTGCTTGGGGATCGAGACCCCGGTCTAAGAACTGGCGAGTTGGAGGGAGTGATTTTGAGAGACGCGCTGGCGAGCTTGCTTTTAGTGCTGAGGGGTGCGGTGGTCGCCATGGCAAAGTCGATTCTCAGTCCCCTGAGCGGGGTGTTTGCATGTCAGTCGGACGCATTCGCCGGGAAATTAAGAAAAGGTAAAAAGAGAGTGGGTGAAAACAAAAGGAGGTGTGGGGTTTGACGACGAAAATCAATGAAAGTTGGAGCTCAAGGAACCGCCGGGGAAAAGTGGAAAAGCTAAACAAATAGCTTCATTCCACGCTAAGATTGTTGATCATTCCACTCGAATCTTGCAACCTTGGAACACACGGTCGGTTCCTTGGGTCGCCATCTATATAATAAACAAAAGTAAAATATATATGAATGATCAAATTCAAGAATAGATAATATGACCATATAACTCAGCTTGAATCACATAAACAGATCATCTTTAATTTTGAACTGTTAATAAAAGGATGATTATAGGCCAATCCGGTCGCACGATCCAAAAATAACCTTAAAAGCTCTTTAAACCTCACTTTCGCCACCGGTGACAGTTTTAAGACCTTTAATATACACTCCTTGATTTCCATTATTATACTACTATCTTCGGACGCCCTTATTATCCGAATACTTAATTATTATATACCACAACCACGCACCCCTCGCTAACAAGAAAAGAGGCTCTTTACCCTAGTTTCGAGGTTAATCGCAAGTCTCGTCCCCTAAACTAGACATGTAGAGTAACAATGCTAGAGATTATCTATTCACCAGTCCGGTGCAATCCAATAATCTCTCCAGGCACCTGGACTGTCATTATCCGCTTCTCCAAATCTTTCAATTTCTCCCTCCACGCCATCCTTACCCACTGTCCATACACCATTTTCAATCAGTTCTGTCCATCGCAGGAACAGCCTCTCCAGTCTCTGTGACCGCCATTCACCTCCAAATGGATGGAAATTGCCATGTTGGAAAAGTTGTGTGTATGAGCCCGGGGTTATATGACTCCCATCACTCATTCTTGCTCCTACGTCACTACTTCTATGGAAATGAAGTCGTAGTGCAAATGGAAGGAGGAGGCGGAAACCGGCCTCCTCTGTATCATGGTGATCTCGGCGCACAGGCTCACTGTATAGCCCTGCAGGGATAGGACTGCCATCGCTCATAGGTATGCCCTCATTCTCATGGGCGTGAACGAACATCCGACGAATTTCAGAGTTAAGGTTCACTGTCTGGGAGGATGCAAATAAGAGGACCGCTGGGATAGATCCCTCTGGATAGGGTATATTGGTAAACTTCTGGCGCATTATAAATGCCTCCTTATCATGGGGGACCTCTAGACCGGGCGCGATGAATTGAAAACGCGGGGTCTTGACTCGTGTCAATAGTGAGCGGATAAAGCAATTGTGCGGCACACCAGCTTCATCAAGGTCCGAATCGGTAAATAGCGGTAAAGAGCTAAGTGGCAAATGGGAACCAGGAGGCATTCGAGATTCAACCATAGCGGAATAGCGTTCTATAGCAGCTTGAGTACTATCAATCTGGCTATCGCAGTAGGGAAGCCATGACCATAGCCCCATTTGCGATCTAGATACAGAGGGCGGGTAGTCATCAGGTAGCCCAGCAACAACCCTGCCTAGGCGAATCATATAGATCCAGTGGGAGAGAATAGTCTCTAGTGGGAACCACATTTCCTCATGCTCACTAATAGGTTCTAAGCTTTCCGTGTTCATTGTAGTCATTGGGAACGAGGCCCGATGGAGCTGTTGATCATAGATAACACCGAGACAATGTGGGCCTAGACCCATAGCAGTACCATAGATCACGACAAAGCGCTCTTTATCCTCAAGCTCATTCTCTTCGACACAAAAAGAATCATCGCAGAGTCGCATAACAAGACCTTCGACCCAGTAGAAGAATTCCGGCTTAGGGTCGTAGATCAAATCCAGAAACGAATTGAGCGATGGGATCAGGCGCTCACGAATGGCCTGTATGTCTTCCTCTGCTTCACGAAAGAACCACTTTTCGCGAGCTAGTGCATCGAGGTCGGGCATGTCTTTCCCGTGGCGAGCCATCCAGCCATATGCGACTAAATAATTGTGTAGTCTGGCACAGCGCTCATAGTCGAGTGTGTCATCGTCACGGGGCGGGTTCTCATTGGAAACTAGAGCGTCTTTGATATCGAGGATTTGTTGTGGGGTGACATTCATGGCCATGGTGACGAATTTGACGATGTCAAGGGGTCAGTTGGATAAAGCAGCGGACAACTCGATTCCAAGGTTGGGGGACAGTGGCGCCCCCCGCGCTAGTAACTAACCCATAACAGACCCCACTTGAAATGTTTTACAAAACGATCCAAGGACCCTGCCGAACGCAAACGTGTTCATATTAAAAGAAATAGTAATAATCTTAGTACCTTAAGTCTTTAATTGGTATAAAGTAATAAATAATCTCTATTTGTAGTTTTAAATTACTCCTACTATTACTATAGGCTAAAAAAAGAGTAAAATGATTTACATTTCGAATCTTTAGATCCTTCCAATATAGATATCCACTTTATGAGGAATCTAATTCTACATCAGCTTTATCTTGAAAACGTTCCAAAAGGATACTCTTTCTTACTTGGAGCTTTAGCTCTTTAAAGCACTCATAAAGATAGGAACCGCCCCAAGATGTACCAATCGGAAGAAATGAAGAGGTCAGATCATTCCATTCCCTCTCTTTCCCACTCATCAAATTGTCGGCCTGCCTCAATACTCGCATTAAAAGCCATCAATCTTTTGAGGTACCCCACATTTCCCCATCCATATTGAAAATCATGATCAGGATTATCCCAATCAACGTGAAGAAATGCTTCATTTCGGGCATCCGCTTCAGGCCCATCGACCATATGATATAATTTCTGGTTTGCGACCGCGCCTTGGACATTGATCGTAGTTCTCTCCTTACGAGTGAGTTCGTATAGGCGTAGCACCTCGGGAACTTTGGAGGGACGATTGCTCCTTGAAAGTTTGCCGAGAAGGACTCCTAGAGCAGCTCCGTCTTCGACTGCCATTGCTGCACCTTGGGCTTGATATGGTAAGGTAGGGTGACAAGCATCTCCTAGGAGAGCAATAGATCCCTGGGGGTTTATTAGATTTTGATTCGTTCGGCGCTGTTCTCCCGCACTCACCCTGCACCAGGTATCTAACTCTTTCATATGGCAGATCTTCCATTTGAGGGCATTGTCAACTTGTGCGATCATTTTTGTCAGTCTGTCAAATATTAGTTAGCTCAAGGAAGCTTTCAATGATGCTCATAGTATTTATACCTTGAATCCCATCCTTTGAACAAATTTCGCATCTCTTGCACGTTGCCCTCTTCGGTGGCCACGCCCGAAGGTAAATCATCAGGACACCTGAACCAGTTAGCCAATCCAAATAAATGTGGATAGGGAACTCACACTAAAACAAGATTATACGTAGAGCCACCACGCACAGGATACAAAACAGCATGCTGATAAGGCCCCAACCAGCAACGCAGCGAAGGCTCAATCAAAGATTCATCCAAAGCCTCCACCCTCTCTTTAGGAAATGTCGCTCGATAAGCCAAATCACCTGTGTCACTAGGACCAACATGATATCCAAGAACCTCATCACGAACCACCGACCGTAATCCTAGAGATCATTAGAACTTGGGTAGTAAAATTCCATCATGTCACGTACCATCTGCACCAATAATTATGTCCGCATACAACCTCTCCTGAGAAGCGAGTAGCACGGATGTAGTCTTTGAATCGGCTGAAATGACTTCCGATGCGAGACGAATCTTCGCTCCTAGTCTCGTGGCTTCCTCACGCAGGACGCGATGGTAGTCGGCCCGGTGGATGACATACCATGCTTGTCCGAAGTGTTTCCGTTGCCATACATGGCCGGGTCGCTTGGCGATACAGTCACCATTGGTGTATTTGAGAAGACAATGAGAGGAGATGTTGACAGCGCCGGCTTTTTCGAGTTCTTCGACTAGACCGAAATCTTCCATCACTCGCACTGCGTTTGGTGGCATTTGGATTCCTGCGCCGATCTGAAGAGTGTTGGTATATATTTTGGTCTTTGATTTTCTTGGTTGCGTTACCTCTCCCAACTCATGGGCTTGTTCCACCATCGTTACTTCCAGGCCTTCCCGAAGGCATGCGATCGCACAAGTCAGTCCCCCTATTTGTTTACGTTAATTTCTTGATTGCTGAATACGGACTCGATACATTCTCACCTAAACCACAGCCCACAATCAATACTTTGAAGGTGTGAGGAGAACTGTGGTTCTAGCAAGCACATCTTGTCAGTGTCGATTTCTCTTTTTGCTTCAGGCCAAGTGACTTGCGGTGTCCTCGATGGTCATTTTGCGACTGAGATCCTCCAATTCTGCTTTTCGCTTTCTTTTCAGTTTTAAGACTCCAGGTTTGTTGAAGCCCGTAAGGTAAAATTCTCAGAAGAATTACTGAAAGAACGCAATGAGGGGTATGAACCCAATCCCTGGACTGCTGCAAGGCTCATGGGTGTAAAGTTAACTAATGCAAATCAATTGGCGCTAACCCTTGGAGAGGGTCCAACCGCCAACGTTATAGATTGAATGTATCATACAGTTACCCTTGCACGAGTCATGTAAACTGCGAGTAGCCGCACTTTCTGACCGATTCTTTTCTTGTTCTTCTCGAACCCAGGCAGCGCATTCCTATCTTCCTGGTTAATGCATATTCTCAGCTTTCCCCGCCACTTTTCTTCTAAGCACGCCCACCATGGATATACCCGACCTAGAGAGAAGTGATGTGCAAAAGTTGAAACATACCCCATCTGGGCTACTATTAGTACCACAACCCAGCAATGACCCAGCAGATCCCTTGAATTGGCCACTCAGGAAGAAAATCGGCATCATGGCCTTGGTCTCTGTGTGCACTTGGATTGGAATCGCGCAGACTTTAGCGAATCAGTCGGGTTTTTTCGCACAGGCAAAGACATACCATAAGACTGCGAATGAGTTATCCTACTCGGTAAGTCAAAGTCAAGCGTGGCTATCACGCGGGTTCCACGTGTTTTCATGTCCGAATTCTATTCTGGGATGATTTGTTTCTATTTTCCCCTTTTCTACGCTTCCATCGTCTTCTCGGAACATAACTGACATGCCCCTGCATGGTAGGCATCTGCTGGGATTGCTGGCCTGGCTACCGGTCCCTTTCTTTGGGCTATCCTTGCCCAGCGGATCGGGCGAAGCTCTTGTATCTTCTGGGGTTTACTTGGGATGCTGGGCTGTAGCGTCTGGTCGGCATGTATGACTGGGGAGCATCATTATATCCCCTTTATCATATCCCGTTGGCTCGGTGGCACGTTTGGTTCGGTGGCCTCGACAATTGGAGCTGGGTTTGTCTTGGACCTTTTCTTTCTCCATCAGCGTGGCAAGGCATTCGCAGTCTACAGCGTGTGTACCTTGTTCGGTGTCCAGTTTGGTCCGACACTGAGTGGATTCATTGTTCAATATGCTCCGTGGTCCATACAATTCTGGTGGGGCGTCGGAGTCGAAGGAGTTCTTGCGATTGTGGTGTTTATCTTCCTACAAGAGACCGGATTCTCGCGCGATGGGAGAGTGTACCCTCCCCTTCCTAAGGAGTGGTTACCCAATCGTATCGTTACCTTCTTTCCTGGTACCGCGACCGTTCCGAGATCTAAAGCTGATGGTCGGCGATCTGCAAAGGCCTTACTCTTGATCGCTGCGTGCCCGGTGACGTTCACAACTGGCGCCGTTCTTTTCCTCGCCTTTGGATGGGCTGTAGGCGTGGTGACCCTGACCTCGGTGTTCTTGGAAACACCGCTCGAAGATGGCGGCTATTCGTTCTCCGCCCTTCAGGTTGCCTGTTTCACCTTCATCCAGTGGCTTGGTGTCGCGGCTGCTGAGACATGGGGGATGTTTCTCAATGATCGCATTCCATTGTGGTTCACCCGTCGGTACTGCGATGGTATCTGGAAACCCGAGAATCGTCTGTTTCCTCTTCTCTGCATGCCAGCAGTTTGTCTTCCTATTGCCCTCGGGCTCTTTGGCGCTGGACTGCAATACCACCTACACTATATGGTCTTAGGATTGGCTATCTTCCTATTACAGCTCAGCGAGGTCTCTCTAGTTCCAGTCATAGTCAACTACGGCGTCGAGTGTTTTACGGATCATTCCCAAGAAGTGGTTACCATCCTCAATTTTTGCCGGCTGGCGCTGGGTGTTGTCATTCCCTTCTTTATTGATCAGTGGGAGATCACTGTAGGCATAGCATGGGTTTTTGGGATGATGGCACTGTTTAGCATCTTTGCATTCTCCCTCGCTGGCCTATTGGCCTGGAAAGGAGAGAAAATCCGCAGCTACTCTTTTGCCACTCTGCAAAAATCAGAAGGTGGTGTGCAGTTGGTTGATCATTAGGGTATGTGGCGGGATCTTGATTATTTTTCTTGTTGATTTTTCCCTTCTTCCAAATATACAAGAGATTACAGGGCATGTATTTAATTATTGCAAATTTGGCGAAACTTATCTTGTGTCAAACCAAGTAGCCATCCATACATGCTTCCCCCACTCCAAGGAATGAAACCAAGATAACCCTTGCGCCAGCTATTGCTCCAGTTTTCATCCCCCGTGCAGGGTGAAGCTTAACGTCTAAGTCATGTTGATCATGTTGATTGTGACAGGTCTACCCCGGGAATACAGTAGTGTTTGTCACGGCTCCTTGTTACCAGGAAACAAGTAAGGTTCTGTCTAAATGTTTGTTTCATCCGATGCCTCCAAGATAGCCTCCAGACAAACCCATGTAAGAGAACGCAAAAATTTTAAACTGTTCGCAATGGTTCGCAATAGTTCGCAAAGATATCCCAAATCTTTCGAGTAAAACCGACTCAGGGGAGTGAATCAGATACGCACATCCAAGCCTAATAAATTTCTTGTGCGCCCTAGCGTCATGCACGATGCCGATCAAGGTGTTAGCACCCGCACAACCGCGTCCATGTACAAACCCGCTCAATTCAAGAACGCGCTTGATCGGCATATTATGGTACCATTGACAGCCTGGATAGACATGAATGATCCTAGATCGTCCAATAATCCATGTACTTGACATGATGTACCTAACCTAACAGCCTGTGACATTGCGTGCAGCGCTGGAATGTGAATACTTGGGCTGGTCTCGATGAGGTCGGGATTTCAGGATCACCCATACATACTGCATGTATGAACAGTGGTACCTAAAAAAGTAGATTACTAGATGATCGTGCGTTGATAACAACCTCGTCATCCCTGGCTACCATCAATAAGCTACATTATCTTAGCTGTCTTCCTGTCAGTCTGATTGACCGTTTCTTTATCATGGCCTTGACAGGCCAGCAGCCGCTCATTGTGGGCGTGTCAGTCGCCTTGGTTATCTTGGCGACCGCGTCTGATGCCTTACGGTTCTTTTCGCGGTGGATGATGCGCTCTGGTTTGTGGTGGGATGATTGGTGCAGTTTATTCGCTTTGGTAAGTTTAATGTTGAGAAGAGAAGTGCCTTCTGATTTTGCATTCGAAGCTAACTGTGATTAGTTTCTCTCTTATGCGTTTAATATCAGTCAATTCGTCAGTAAGTGTGCACCGACAGCATAACTTTTGCTCTTGGAGTCAGCTTACCCCAGATGGATAGGTGTGCACTGCAATATGGGCAAGCATGGAGCGAATTTACCGAATGAAGAGGAATCCATTACTTGTACCACAAAGGTTTGTCTTCACATTCATCTAGCTACCTCGAAGTCTAAGAGAACTGACCAATGTCACCGGGTTCAGACTTTATACACGGTAATCATGATCTATACAGTTTGCATGCCAGCGATTAAAGTGACTATGGTGCTATTCTACTGGAGACTCTTCAGTAAAGATCGAAGAATTCGAATCGCATTGTACACAATTGGCTCGATGCTTTTTGCTTGGTTCGTTGGAGCTTTGGCTAGCGGTCTGGTGGTTTGCGAGCCTCTGCCAAAATTTTGGGATCACTCGATCCCAGGGAAATGTCTTCATACGATGACCTATTTCCGCGCCATTGCTGGTACCAATCTTGCCACCGATGTTTTCCTGCTGGTACTCCCCATTCCCATTGTTTGGGGTCTGCAACGTCCAGCGAGTGAAAGACTTGCTCTGATCGCTGTGTTTACTCTTGGGGCCTTGTGAGTGGTTTGAAATTTGGATATTTTCATGGAATCTAATGAAAGAATAGTGTCACTGTGGTTAGTGTTATTCGGATAGCACTTTTGACATCTCCACAGGAATCGGATCCACTTTGTGAGTCTCCCCAGACGCATTCCATCCCTGCTTGGTCTGACCTCTTACCTATCTCTCCACTATTTAGGGGCCAATACCCAAGGAACTATCTGGACTTCTGTCGAAACAAGCGTCGGTGTCGTCTGCGTCAATCTCCCCACCATGTCTCCTCTTTTCCGTCGATATATTTTGGGCCGCGAGGTCAGCTCCGCGAACTCCAAGCCGAGGAGCCTTCCCCTTTCATATCCTCCCAGTAGCAAGAAGCCCACTGCCAACCGCCGGCGCCATGGCTCAACATCAAGTACCGAAGGACTGGAGACGAAGTGGTCGATTTCCGATAATTATGATCCCGATATTGTCGTCACAACAGATTTGACAGTTACTGAAAATTTAGAGGAATGCGTTGAGATGGACGAGTTGAAGAGGCAATCATCCAAGGTCGTTTGTCACGGTTGTGCAGATGAAAGAGATCCTAAATCAGAACATTGAAAGGATGTCCAGGTGTATATCAAGTATAATATAGCATTGGGTGCATATAAAAGTTTAGTGTGGGTCTAGATCCCATATCGGAGAACGATCAAAGTTAATCTAAGCATCGAATCAAATTTACAATAATTAATCAACTGCATGAAAATAATCACAAACCCAAAAGCGCTAGAAGACCCTTTCCTTGGAGTTGAAGTTCTTCATCCACTTTGATCCACAACTTCAACCGAACATCTGAGTCATGGCAATAAGACTGTGCCGGCGCTTCCCAGATGCGATTGAAATACATCCCACCACGCCCGACCAGCGGGCTCGTGGCTGCATGCGTAATAGCCAAGCTACCCTGTTGCGGAGTGATTCCAAAGAAACGCGGGAAGAACGCAAAAACTCGATCTATCAAATTCCCGTTCTTGCTGGTCTCCCAGATGCCAGAGGCGACAAAGCCAGGATGGACTCCGTTAATTATGATATGGCTGTAGTCAGGGTGCCTTAGGCAGCGGGACTGCAGCTCGACAGCCCACATCTGAATATATAATTTGTTATTCTGGTAATCGTTTCCTTTCATATCCGGACCACCATTGAAATGATCCAAGTCGAGAACGCCGAGGTGATGAACGCATGACGTGGTGCAAACAATTCGGGGCTCGACACTGCGCGCCAGAGATGGGATGATTCGGAGGGTGATCAAGACATGGGATAAAAAGTTGACCTGATGAACCTTCTGGAAACCATCTTTTGTCATGTCTGATTTAGCAGTCGATGGGAGACCGGCGTTGTTGCAGAGGATGTCCAGGGGGCGGTCGCTTTCCAGCCATCGCTGACAGAAGGCCTCCACGCTGGTGAGGTCTGCCATGTCCAACTCCCACCATTCTATCGTTGAGATGTGTCCCTGTGCCTCGGCAAGGTGCTTGCATTCTTCCAAGGCCGCCGTGGGATGTAATTCCCAATCTGGTGGATCGCGACACGCTAAGATCAGGTTTGCGCCCCATTTCGCGAATGATTTGGCTGCTTCGAGTCCAACTCCGTTGTTGGAGCCAGATATGATAATCCATTTTCCTTGTAGCTCAGGTTCCTGCACAGGGGGTTTGAGAACAGTGACGTTGAGGCCTCTTGCGGCTTGGATCGTATTTTGTAAAGAAGCTAACATAATGACTCGCAATCGATAGAAAAATCCGATTGAAAGGGTGTTCTTTCCCATTCGATGTAATCGGCTCTCTGTGTTTCAGAACATTATCAGCCGATTTGACCTCAGTTTACGCCCCCATCTCGACCTCAGTTTAGGCTCCCATCAATGCACAGCTTATTTCAGGCAGAGCACTTTGTCGACAGTGAATATGCAGTCAAAGAGACTGCAGTTACTTTAAAGAAAAGGACGGAAGATGGAATACACACCTTTCTAAGAGGAGATTGATGAGGAAAAGAAAGAGGAATAGGGTGAGGAAACATGCCATCCTTGCACTATTACTGACAAGCTAGACCTAATTTGGTATCAACAAGATAGCGCTTGCAAGGCATCTAAGTTGCCTACCTATAACGTTTCATATGTTTCTTTTACAATTGTTGAGATATAAAAGATAATACTTTCATGCTTCTCTACATTAGCTCATACCCTACGTTAGCGTAAGGACATAGATGACACAGCCCCAATTCAATACTTACCCTATGTACAAGATAAACTGCCTAATTCATCCACTAAGAAGCAGCCTTCCACTCCAGGGCCCCAATGAGATCTAAAAACTACTTCCCTCCAGCCCTCGCTAACGCATTGCACGTGGAGATCTCTGTCGTTATGTCTTACTTTTAGTCACCCTTAGCTCTGAGGTGCTTTGAACTGTTAAACTATCCTTTTGTTTGCTATTTGAGATTGATTTTTAATATTAATCAAGGAAATGCTACCCTGAATCTAACTGCCTCCTTAAGCCTTGTTGATGTGCTGGTACATGTACTTAATTGACACCTAGAAATAATGGCAACAATCTGGTTATCTTATCGGTGGCGCATTTCCATTCTTCCCATCCGCGCATTTTCTCTCCTTTAGCATCACCATCATTCACAATGGCATCTCACTGTGCTGCCTCATACAGGCTGGCCCTGCCGACAGTCTTCCGCAGCCTGTTCCGCTCTGATGCTCCTCAAAGTCTGCGCCCTTCCCGGTCCGTACGCAATTCGCAAGCGCTCCGCCAATCTAGGTTGTTCACCTCGACCACCCTATTCCGCCAAGTTGAAGAACAATCGCAAGATGCAATCTCCAGCTCCAAGTCCGCGAAGGCATCCGAGCCCGTTGCAGAATCGAGCACAACCTCCGAACGTTCACTCAAGAACTCGGTGAAGTCATTCAAGAAGAAGACCGATTTCAAGAACAAAGATCACAAAGATCGCAAATTCTCCAAAACTTCCGACATGGGCAATAAATTCGACAAGAAACAGGAAGCGTCTAAGAATAAGAAGCGTGAACCATGGAAGACTCAGAAACATGCCCTCGACAAGAAGTTCCCCGGTGGTTGGAACCCTCCTAAGAAGCTTTCCCCTGACGCTCTTGACGGAATCCGAGCCTTACACGCAAGTGCCCCGGAGCAATTTACAACTTCGGTTCTGGCAGAAGAGTTCAAGATCTCACCCGAGTCTATTCGTCGCATTTTGAAGAGCAAGTGGAGGCCGAAACCTGAGGAGATTGAAAGTCGGCGTACTCGGTGGGAGGCGCGACATGAGCGGATCTGGGGTCATATGGCTGAGCTGGGTCTCCGGCCGATGACCAAGAGTTCTCAGTCTTTATCTGATTCCAAGATACTGTATAAGAAGGATAAGGGTTTGGAGGATATTGAGGATATTGAGGATACGGGAAATAAGGAGGATACGAAATAGAGGCTGTATTATCTTCAAATTGGGGTAATGTTCACTACGTACCTCGTCGGCAAGCAAGCCATGTATATTATAGTGCTTTAGCAGCAACACAACCATCTTTGAATAAATGTTTGAAATTGATCTCAACCTTGGAATGTTTTCCTCAGTATCTTTCGATCAAGACTAACTCGGTGCTCATTTTTTTCATATGTTCTTTCCCGGCACAAGTGATCCGTGAAGAATTTGAATATGTATCTTCCAGTATGAATACTTCAATGGGTACATGTACTAGCTCCCTCGTTATCCTTCTGAGTTGTTTCGGTAGGCTCATGCAGTTTATCCCATGAAATAGCCAGGTAGAAGTTGATCGTAGTGTAAGAAAGTTGTAGTTCTCTAGATAGTCATATGGGATAGATAGTCATATGGGATAGATAGTCATATGGGATAGATAGTCATATGGGATAGATAGGATACATCTGGAAGAAATGATTTTTTGTTCGCATTAACCTTGGAAGCAGGCTAATATAGAGCTCCGGGTTGTTGACCCTTGCCTTTGTAGAATTTCTCCCTACCAGCTTGATCTGACATGGAAATATACGTACCGGAATCAATAATATCTTCACACGTTCTATATATATTCCATCTGGATTATTTGATCATGTTTCCTTTGTTACTGCAATATTGAAAAAGTTGAAGGTAATCAAGGTAGACTTCGCGCTTTGAACTAAGTTGAACTAATCCGAACCGGAGCTCGAACTGTGGAGGCCCGTCACGCAACTCGCTGATCTCCACCTCGGCAGCAAATGTACCTTGCACCTCGAACCTGCGCACATCATGGCGCTTTCAACGTGACAGGTCTCGAATGTCGACACACTCCTTATGATCTGCTTTAATCGCTTGTCAATTCCTTCGCCCCGCAAATTGAAGATCCACCTCCGAGACAGCCTTCGGCCCACATGCTGACCGCGCCGCCATGCCATCCAACATCCAGGTCTTCGTGAAATGGAAGGACCAAACAATCTTTGCAGGGGAGGACGTGGAATGTACTATCACATTCAAAAATATAGCAGAGGTCAGGCCTGATGCCAGCTCTGCTGAGAACCAGCATCATCGCAAGCCGTCTCGAGTCGCCAACCATTCCAGCAACAATAACTCCGACTCCTTCTTTGGCTTCAAGTCGCCCCAAAGACTCTTTTCAGATCGACGATCCTTCTCGATTGGCTCTCCAAGACGGCCACCTGCCCACCGAACTGCTTCATCCCTGAGCTCCCCACTCGTCACCTCTCAGAGCTTCCCGCCCGCCGGGAGCCCCTCCTCCACCCCTCGAAGCTGGCAGCCTGGACACAGCAATAAACGATCGGTATCAATTCTTTCAATTGATAGTGAAGGTCAGCCGGATAAATCATCTTCGCCGCACTTGAGTCGGGGCAAACCTGCAAGGAGCCATGGGCGCTCAAGCAGTCTCCAAATCGTCCCCAGGAGGCATGATAGCTATGATGATTCATATAAAAAAGGTATGCTCGACGCGTCAGTATAATAACCAGGGGTAATGAACTAACAATGGTCATTGTCTAGCGGCCAGGGCTCCCATGCGTGGTCTGCCACTGAGGGAGTCTGACGAATCTCCCCCTGGGAAGCTACGAGTTGACACCAACGATCTAGGAGGCACAAGTCGTCCTGTATCCATTGCAGAAAGCCCTGTGGATCCAAAAGAGCCGTTACGCCCTGCACGAAGACCTCCGCTACCTTCCTTTGATTTCAAGTTCCCGACCACTCCAAACCAACCCAATCACCCCGCCCCGTCCCCCTCGCCCAAATCCGCACGACTCCCATCACCAGGGAAAATCCCGCGGAGAGATGCTTCAGGGTTGGGGCCACCATCGCATCAACAGGTCACGCGCATTATATCGGCCACCAGTGTGAATGGAAGCAGCCGAAGCAGTGGCGAGTTCTACTCGGTCAGTGATCAGTCGACAGAGACATTGGCATCTGAATATACAAATTACTCGGCACAGGGAGGACATGCACCGTCTCCTGTCCGACATGCGCGACATCACTCGAGTATAGTGCCTTCCATTTCTAAGTCCGCAGACAGCCAAGCGCTGCTGATGGGCTACGCACAGATTAGTGCATCATTTACAGTCGACGGCTCCTTGGTCGACCAGTCTGTTTTTGATGAAGTCAAACGCAAGGGAGTGGTTGGTGGCCAAGCAGGCACAGGTGGGCTCCCAGGGCGACAGAGCTCCGCCAGTGCTGAGCGTTCTCGCAAAGGAGGGGGATTTTGGGGTGCGCTCAAGTGGAACGCCATTGAGGAATCCATCAACGGTCTCTTATCGAATAACGAACTCGATGGTCTCCGCGACATGCGCGGAGTTGCTTCGTCCCGCTCAATCCCGCTGCTTTCCACTCCACAGTCTCTCCTTTTTGTTGACCTGCGACTGGCACCGGGGGAAGAACAGTCTTATTCCTTTTCATTCTCCCTTCCAAGAGGACTCCCGGCGAGTCATAAAGGGAAAGCTATCAAAATATCTTACAACCTAGTGATTGGAACGCAGAGGCCTAGTGCGCCTAACGATACTCAGCGGGTCAACCGCGTCAACATCCCCTTCCGTGTATATAGCGGAGTAAATGGTGAGTGATATTCTTAATTTCAGCTTATCGCTTGCTAACATTCACAGACAATGGCGATGTCTTGGGTCATGATTTAATGTCTCCGTATGTGCTTCTGCGTGACGAAGCCAAGGTCCAAAAGGTTGGACCCAACACTTCGGTAGTTGCGAAACCCCAAAGCCTGAGTGGACTTTGGAATTCAGCGGGGGATTTCATTTCATACGTAGATGAAATTCTTGAGCAGCGTGCACGCTCCAATTCTCTCTTTCCTCCGGGTACTCTCCCAGAGCGCCGAGCAAGCTACGACGGTCCCCGTCAGGCGCTGTCCTGCAAGGATATCATCGACATGGCAATTCTTCGCAGTAATCAAGCACCTCAATCATCGCGACGCAGTCCCAATAGATTTGAGATTGCGCGCGATGGCAAACGCATTGCTGTTGTCGTCCTGAACCGTCCTGTACACCGAATTGGCGAAACCATCATTGCTACAGTGGATTTCGGCAATGCTGCCATCCCATGTTATGCTGTGCGAGCTTCATTGGAAACGTCTGAGAAAGTCGTGCCCACTCTGGCTGTTCGATCAAACGCCAGTATCCACCGAACTACCCGTCGCATTCATGCATCCTTGTTTGAAAATACCCTTTATGCCACCCGTGTGGTTTTCAGTCCTGCTATACCTATTACTGCAACCCCGACTATTCTCACCAGTGGCGTCACCCTTGATTGGGACCTGCGTTTCGAGTTCGTGACTCCGAACCTGCTCAATGAGAATGGTCCTGGGCCTTCGGGTGTAAACCTGCTTGAGTCCATATCCTCTGATGATCGTGGCAAAGTCCTTTCTGCCTTGGAGCATTTGGGCTGTGAATCATTCGAAATTTCCATCCCGCTGACTGTCTACGGCGAGAGTGTCCGGGAACCATTGCCAGAAGAGAACGACGGGTACGCTATTTGAGCGTGATCTCGATGTTATTTTGGTGACTGCTGTGTAAACAGCTTCTTGTGTATTTGTCTAAATATTCCCCTATCCGTTTGTGGATATGTTCCTCGGTCTCACCTGCATGGTGTGCCGTCACCTATCTTGATGTGAGATTCTACTGTTACCATAACATCTTTTAGGTACTTATCACATCTTCAATAAATAATTCTTGACTCCCATACATCATGAATGGTTTACAGACGTCTTAAGAAACTCGATTGGGCTTCTCGAGCTTCCAACCCCACTTATATCTAGAACATTTGAACTTGAAAGGAGTTGGACTTGTATGTGGTCTTTGTACTGTTGATTAGTGTGGAAGGGACTCGGAACGAACGGTTCTTACACTCCCAAAGGCTAGACTCTCGAGGGTATTAGGAGACGGAGAAGGAGACCTAGGAGCAGCTTCTCGATAGGTAGTATAATCCATATCCTTGAATACACCATCGCTGTTTAGTCAGATCACACCGCCAAGTGTAGTGGGGTTCTAGGTCCTAACACCAAAAATAGGTAAACATCTGAACAAACCTCAGTTCCAATATAGACTCCCATTCAATACATCAATCTTCCTACTTTGATATTTTTCATCTCCTCATCAAGCATTGAAATGTCCACCGATCCCAAATTCGACGATCTCCACAAGAGCCTATTTGAAGAAGGACTCAAAGTCCGCCGTGCCGTGGTCGGTGACGCCTACGTTGACAAAGCTCTCGAGAATGGATCATCAGAATTCTCTCGAGCCGGTCAAGAGCACATCACCGAATGGGCCTGGGGAAATGTCTGGACAAGACCGGGACTCGAGCGAAGAGACCGCAGTCTTCTCAATATCGGCATGCTGATGGCTCTCAACCGTGGGCCCGAACTGGCCGTTCATATTCGAGGTGCTCGGAATAACGGGCTGAGTGAGCTTGAAATCCGAGAGGCTATCATCCATGCTACTGTCTACTGTGGTGCTCCAGCTGGTGTGGATGCTATGAAGATTGCGGAGAGGGTGTTGAATGAGATGGCGGAGAATGGGGAGATGCCAAGGGAATTGGGATCGAAGAAGAATTGAACATTAGTATTTGATATTCATGGAGATGTTGATGTGTGATTTCTTCGTGTTTCATAGCAGAGAATGCTTCTTTCATTCTCCCTGGTCTCTTTCGTTCTCCCTTGTTTTCTCTTTCTTGAATATCCTACTCTTCTGAGTGTTCCATAGTGTGGTCCTAGTAACTACATACAAGACAGTCGCATCGGTCACTCCAATTAACGCTCTTAGCCGCCCTATCTTCTCTTTTTTGTTTGTTTTTTACACTCGATGTGCTCTCAACGCGCCAGCTTCACTACTCCTGTCTATTCACTTCCTTTTATCGGTATCCCAGTTGGCTTTTCAGTGAAAACGATCAACGAATATGCCGCAGATATCTTCCGAAATTCATCAACAAGTTTGAACTAAGTGGCTATCTCAGCTAATATTTTCTAACAGGGAAAACGGGAGCAAGATCACCACTGAAGAGGGCGGCGAAGCTGTAAGAAGAGGCAAAGTTGTTGACGATTGGGTCCATGAACATGTCATAAGAGATGGAAGTGCAAGACTCATGGTGATACCTTGTGGAAATACAGAGCCAAAGTACCGAGATGAAGCCCGTGCTGCGTTAATTTTTGTGTTCACCTTGCTTTCTAGGACTCAACTAATTGTACCCAATACAGTGCTGGGAGTGGCGGTTCACGCTCTTATTATCCAAATTTCTTTACTGCAACCCTTTATCTGCCTAAGGTTAACATCCGAGATGCCAACATAAATCTTCTCTTCTTGTAATCGGGCACATATGAGTGATATATTCGGCCAAATTCCTTTCTTCTCTAGGGTGACAAAACAAAATAAATACCTACCAGCGGTTGCAGGGCTCATTGAGGAATTAGGTGATTCTTAACAGACTCAGCAGTTCTTCTTTAGCTAACAGTCTCTAGGTATGGATGAAATATTTTTCTAAATCTCCAAAGGCGCACTTGCAAAGGCTGGAACCCTACAAAGATTCATGCAGGCCGTTTAGCTTTAGATCCCACCGATATGACGTTGGTTGCATTCGAGGAAAGTTATGAGGAAGAGGCTTCCGAGGCAACAAAGCTGTAGTGTGTTGACCTTAGTCTAAAGGGTTGAGTACTGATTGTTTCGTTATTCTGACCTGAAGCGATGCTCGTTTGGGGTTTGTTTCTGTTGCCTATCAAATTGATCTCAATGTCGAAGCAAATAGTCTCCAGCTTGAATTAGTATTCTAACTCAAAATATGACTCACATATGTTTGGGATATAAGGTAATTTGCGAGCTGCATATCAACATGGAGCAGATAAACTTCCAGATCGGAGGTGAGAAGAATATTTCAGAGTTGGAGGTTGGCATGAGTAGGAACTAATGATAAATGGATGTAGTATAATAAATCCAACTAAGAGTCTGGTCAGCGATGTACTTGCGGTTTACTACTAGATACAGTAGATACCCGTGGAAGTGTACATATTCTCCCATCTGAACATTCTTGAAGCGGGAACATCCGACCGACTCTAATAACCCCTTATTAATTGATTAATCATACAGATCTTCAGGTAATTTGTTGTTTTATCTGCTTCTCATAACCTAGAATTCTCTTATTTTGTGAATTTGAAAGCAACTGAATAGGGTATAGATTGATCTGACGTAGTTGTGGTTGTCTGGGGCAACGGGTTACTGCATCCATGGATTCGATCGCTTTATCTGGTGGAGCTGAAACCCGATAGCACTTCTTCCCTTGCACCTGCGCGCATCGTCGATCCTGTCTCAACCTTGGGTTACTTGCACAGTAACGTATATCCTTAATCACTTTGAGTACGGCATGCCAGATCTCATTTCTTGAGAACGCCACAGCTGACCCTTTGACATCGGAATGCAGGCACGTCGCGATCAGCGCTCACCCCGCCGCAATCATAATACAAGGGATTCTTTCCTGAACGAAGATGGCTTCATTCATCACCACCATGTCTGTACCCGCTCCTCCTACCCCTGCTCATTCTTCTGCTGCCTTGGGCGAATCACCGACCCGATCCCCTTCCTTGAGTCTCAGCCCCTCATTCTACCAAACCACCCGTACCTCCCATATTCCTGCTTTAGAACCACCATCCTATCTGTCGCCAGCGGTGCGCGCTCTCAAACAAGGTTGCCATGGACTGACGCCTCCCAGTAATGCACGCACAAGGGCCCCCTTCAAGCCCCGCTCTGCCGCCAAGGGCACCAGCAGCTACCATTTGAGGCAATTCGCCGAGGCTACTCTAGGAAGTGGCAGTTTGCGCAAGGCTGTGAAACTCCCAGAAGGCGAAGACTTGAATGAGTGGCTTGCAGTGAATGGTATGATCACCCGCCATCTTGCCTTCTATGCAGCTACATTTTAACACCTCGCCGTCTTCCAGTTGTCGATTTCTACAACCAGATCAACCTCCTTTACGGCTCCTTAACTGAATTCTGCTCACCGACCTCATGTCCAGAGATGAAGGCAACTGATGAGTATGGTGGACCTTGAAGATAAGACTTCGGCCCGATCCAGGCTAACGGAGACAGATTCGAGTACTTATGGCAAGACTCAGAGAACTTCAAGCGACCAACAAAGATGTCCGCACCAGAGTATATTGAGCACCTGATGACGTGGGTACAAGGCAATATCGACAACGAACAGATGTTCCCGAGTCGAATCGGTATGTATAAAGATATCCTGTGCTCATGGACCATTACTTATGAGATATCATAGGCGTTCCTTTCCCCAAGACCTTCCCTAGTCTTCTTCGTCAGATCTTCAAGCGTCTGTACCGTGTCTACGCCCATATCTACTGCCATCATTACCCAATCATCGTCCACCTTGGACTTGAACCGCACCTTAACACCAGCTTCAAGCACTACGTCTTGTTTATTGACGAACACAAATTGGCCAGCGGGAAAGATTACTGGGGTCCACTGGGAGATCTGGTGGACAGTATGCTTCGCAGTGATTGAGTTTCATTTTTATTAGTAAGAATCGTGGTCATCGGTGCATGATGGTGTTTTTTTTTTGCTTTTGATATCATCTTAACGGCCAGTGGAGATATGAAAGGCGAGGCTCTCGACGGCGTTTCTGGCGTGAAGCATGCATTACTAGTCGATTTATGTACTTTTTCTGTTTACCGGCCTCGTCAGTGTCTTGACGTGAACGTCTCGGATAAAGGACCTGCATCTAGGTTTTATGCAGCTTTTATCACTTGGCCAGTTCATGGCTGCTTTGAGTCTGCTGACATACTCCTTATGGTTCCGAAGTAAAATGCCGTGCTTGGAGGATTTGAGGATACTGTGTGGTAGTGTTGTGTCGTCTCAACGAATTTTCATGACCTTCATGTATTCATTTATACATTAGTTAACAATTATAAACACTTTAATGATACTTTTCAAATCAATTCAGGATACTTGCGGAAGCCGGGCTGACAGTATCAATGTTGTCGATTTATCCAATGCTGAAAAGCAGCGAAAATCGGGCCGCTTACCTCATCCACCACGTGATCCGGGAAGAAGTCGGACCTCCAACTCAACCTTCACGACGCACCCGACCGCCGCTCGCATCTCCCCCCATCTCAAATCTCTTGGTCTCCTCCCTCCCCGAGGCTCTCCTCACACTCAATTCACGATGATGTCCGCACGTGTCGCCCGCGCTGGCCTGCGTGCCACCCAGCAGTTCTCCGTCGCCCGCCCGGCCTTCAACGGTCTGCGCACCTATGCCACCCCGGCCCAGGATGTCCGCCCTCCCGTTGCCCTGTTCGGCGTTGACGGCACCTACGCCTCTGCTCTGGTATGCCTGTGAATCTTTCGATGACTCGACTCCCGCGATATCAATTTTTTCGCGCGACTCCGTGTCTCCCCGGCCCCTCCCATCGTGCACCCCCTCGGTCTTCAATTGGAGATTGAAGCTTGCAGGACGCAACAAAACCCTATACGACAGGCTTCTAACATTTTATTCTTTGTAGTACACTGCCTCCTCCAAGTCCGCCGCTCTCGAGCCCACCGCCAAGGCTATCGCTGCCCTCGGCCAGGTCCTCAAGGCCGACAAGAAGCTCGTCACCATCCTCGGCGCTCCCACCCTGAGCAAGGCCGACAAGGCCTCTATCGTCCAGGAGCTGCAGAAGGTCGCCGGTGCCGACAAGGCTGATATGATCAAGAACTTCCTCGAGACCCTTGCCGAGAACAACCGTCTCGGTGCCCTCGAGGGTGTCTGCGAGAAGTTCGCCATCCTGATGTCCGCCGCCCACGGCGAGATTGAGCTGAACATCACCTCCGCTCAGGTGGGTGCCCGGTTTCTTGCGTTCTGGGGGATATTTCAATGTTTACGAATGCTAATTTTATCTTGTAGGAGCTTGACACCAAGACCATCTCCCGTCTGGAGAAGGCTGTTGCCAAGTCCGAGTTCAGCCAGGGCAAGAAGCTCAAGGTTGTCACCAAGGTACGTTTCCCAATTCATTCATTAGCTTCTGGAACAAAACTGATTATCGCAGGTTAACCCCGACCTTGTTGGTGGACTTGTTGTCGAGATTGGTGACCGTACCGTTGACCTTAGCGTCTCCTCCAAGATCGCCAAGATGAACAAGGCTCTTACCGATGCTTTGTAAATGTAAAATAGCCCTTGAGATTTGTGGGGAGGATGTGATTAGATATAGCATCGCCCTGCATGAACGGTAGCGTTTGATGAAAGCGGAAAGGGAGTCTGATTGGACGCTCTCTTTGTTTTCATTTCGTTTGTTTCCATTATTTGTGAACTGCACAATACACTTTTTCATCTTAATTGGTTCTGTATGATTTATATGATAAGTATCAAGTTTCGAACCCAACGCCCTCACTTTCCACTTTCACAGTTGGTTTGAAGTCCGCAAACGGAGTAGTATGAAATAACTTATATGAACAAAGCAAGGGTCAAGTGTTTCGGATTTCAGGTTTCAACTGATCCTACCGGCATGACATATATAATACTGGAATACAGTACAATGACCGGCTTGAAAGATGATCAATCATCTATCCCTCCGTAGCGGAGCTACCGATTCCGCAGTGAAGCAAGGGGCAATCGGCCCGACATGGCGTCGATGCTTCACATCTGACCAAATATCATGATTGGCTACAAAAGTTGAAATCGGGCCTACATGTCATTGAAGATCTAGCAGGTAATATGTAAGTAACAAAAACTCGGATTACGCCGTAGCAGTGCCAACAAGGCAGAAAATGGGGATTCTGATGCAAAAGCGATCGAAAAAAAACGAACGAGACCGCAAACAATAGCGCGGAGCGGGGCGGGTCCCTGCCACGAAAACCACGGGTCTGTCTATAGCCCCGTCCATTCGGGTATACAAAAACAAAACAAGAGGGTACATTTGAGCAGCGATAGCGATGGCAAAAGCAATAGCAAAAAAAAAAAAAAAACGCATCAATATTCCCCTTTCTGCGTTCAAATCACAATCATGCCTCCGTTTGCTTCGGCTCTGGTCGGGAATTGTAAGATTCCTCGGAAGGAACTAATGTCTTGCATCAGTCTTGCCCTTTGGGATATATTTCGCAATCACCGGACTACAAGTTCAGCGGTTACAGGGATGACCGAGATGACTCATCCTTACCGGTTGTCTGGCTATGTCCTCGGGTTGACTGTGAGACCCCTTGGAGCTTAAGCCGCTCTTCGGCCTCGCGGATACGTTGCTGCAGAGCCTCAAGCTCACGGCTTTGAATCATCATGTACTGTTTCCTAATTTCCAGGTCCGGGGTTAGTTTTTCGTTCCTTTATATCGAACGAATATAGAGGTGAGATCATGTTTGTGACTCGAGTTTTGGGGGGTAATACTTACTTCTGGTCGACGGTCTGGGAGAGGTGGTTTACATCGCTGTCGAGCGAGAATGCGCTGTCCAAAGCGCTGGAAAAGGCCTGCGCCATGGTCCTGCCATGTGTTGGTCAACATCCTTGTTCGGGGTGAGCTTGGCTGTTGGGTGAGACGCACGACTGAGGCCGAATCTTGGGCTTCCACTCTTGCTCTGTGCCGGACATTGTGGAGCTTTGGTTGATGGCTTAGAAAGTTGGAAGTATGTTCAAGCTGATAGCTTGAAGCTTGAAGCTTGGAGCTTCGAGAAGGTTTTTGCTTGTCCTGGGGTATGTGCGACTGTCGGGAGGGGCAGTACGTGGCCAAGAATAAGAATATACCTTCTTTCAAGGATGTAGGAAGGACGAGGACGGAGACCTGGACCAGCCAAGGGTCACAGGAGGGTTGAAATTATAAGAATAGTAGACTCTGGAGTGGATGTCAGCTTTGAAGCTGAGAGTTGTAGTTGTGTATACTTCGGGAACTCCAAGGAACGGGAGGGGGGGTAATGTATCACGAAGGGTAAAGGGGGAGGGGGCAGTTTTGATACATACCGGAGATATACAATGCACGGATAATTCTGAGGGACTGGCAGCGGGCCCTTGCGGTGATTGAGAGTATCTTCGGAAATAGCTTTGAGGAATGAGGGGGAAAGAAGAGAAGAAAAAAAGAAACTTCAAGCTGAAGGAGGACGATCTTAACCCACAGACTATCTTACTAGTCGCCGGCGTGGAGGTCAAAGAATATCCACCGGCAAGGGGAAGTGTGTCATGGTATTACAAGGGGGCTCTTCACGTCATTGGGGGGGGGGGATGCGGGAGATCGAGTTAGAGCCACTTAGGCGGGATTAGCTGTCTACACTACTGCCATCTTTCAGGGGGATGTCCCGAAGTTTGATTAGATCCACTTTGTGGACAAAAAAGGGGGTTTCACTTGATTGCGACTGGGTGACTTTTAAGGGGCATACTTTATTGGAAAATGGGAATGAAGATTACACATAAGCTTGATCTATAGCCTACTCTATAATCAATCTATACTAGTAGATTGTAGATAATATTCCAGCATAGTGGTATCAGAAGAGTATTGTAATCGATGGTTGAAGTATACCCCGTAAATGCTATAGATCAAGTAAACAGAAGAATGCGTGGCTCTAGCAACCATATCATGTGACTTTGACAATACCGTAATTTACTGTACACCAGAACCTGCAACCTGGTCACGTCGCGATCACTTTGTACTGAAACCCACCTTTTCATCACTTTCTCATCGGGAAACTTCGCGATCTTCCCTGGTTTGGGAGCTTAGGGTCGGTCTCCTTTGAAAACCCCGTCGCGTGCGCTTCTTACCCCTCCATAACACCCCTATCCCTCCACGCGACCGACATCCGTTTCTAGCCCGATCGAAATCTTCACACGAACCACCCTTCCGCAGTTCCTCTCCACCAACCACCGTGGCCCCCATCCCTAAAGTTCTCCTCCCAAACGGCCACCCGGGTGGGCAATGGGGAATGCCTCCTCTGTCGGCCTACACTCCTTTTGAATCCCTGCTCTTCTTTCAGTCCCTCGCGACCTCCGATGTGCGCCCGGCGAGCTTTGCGTCCATCTCGAGCCTATTGAGCGCCAACCCGTTAATTCGTGACAATGCCGCGTTTAGTGCCGATCGCCTAAGCCCTGAGGCCCTGGAGGACCTGTATTCAACCCTGCTGCGCGATGGATTCGATCGGGATACGGCCAAAGGCTCTAATGGAGTACCAACGGAAAGTACGACCACCAATTCGAAGAAGCGGAAGATCTCCAGCCCGCGACCAGAAGGATTGGCTGATGGAGTTACCCATGCCGTGCGGGTGCCAGAACTAGTGTCGCATCTCTATGCACGGTATAGAGAACTAGTGACAAAGGAAATTAGGGAGAATGAAAGAGAGTACGATGCGATTCAGGACCAGATCCAACGTATCAAGAAAGAGGCGCAGGATTCATCCGCTTCAGTCGAAGGAGTAGCTGATGCTGCACCACCAGTTACGAAACCCAAACGCCCAGAACCGAAGGATGTGGATGTGAAGCAGGAAACCCCGCGTCGAGAGCACCCTGGACCGATAGCTATCCCTGCAGCTGCGAAAACATGGGCAAAACCGACAGAGCAACTGCCTATCAAGCCACCTGTTTCTGCTTTGGATTCAAAAGAAGGCCAAGAAATACCTGTTCAGCCGTCTAGCAAACCCATCGCACCAGTGCCACCACCCCCACAACTGCCACATTCAGCTCTTCAAGGCGCGCCGCATGCTATCCCATCACCGATTGCGCCTCGGACTCAAGTAGCTCCTACAACGCCTGCTCCAGCACAACGACCTCCTTCCCATCCATCACAGCTTGCACCACGTTCTATCTCAGGAACTCCAGCCACAGGGAAGCCGAGTGCTCCAGATGTCTCGACCCCCCAACCAACTCTTCCTCAGCCAAGCTTCCAACAATGGCAGCTTGAACCACCTCCACAATCTCCATACTCTACCATTTTACCCAATACCGCAACTCCGCAAGTCAATCCCACATCTGCCAAACAAACTCTACCACCCCCCGCCCTACCCGCAAGCCAGCACAAGCCCTCGGTCTCGGCCGTACCCAGCACCCCTGGGCCATTATCATCGGCCGCTCAAACCCCTGTTCCTATCGGCCACCCGCGAATGTCACAAACACCGAGCGTGGTCATTCCTTCATTCTCTGAATCACGCAGTTCACGGCCACGGCTCTCTATTGATACACCGGGTTCCTCGACACCATGGAAGAGAACTCCCCGCCTGAGTATTCCAGATTCTCCAGCATCTCCAGTCCGACCTCTACCCGAGGATGTCAGTCCTATAAGTGAAAGAGCACCTTCTCCCGACGGCATGGAGATGTCGCCTCCCCGAGGAAAGAAATCTCGCCGTGGACCGGGGCTGGATCAGAAACCGCTCGCGAGCAATAAAACTGAGAAACCACCTTCCACTCGGAAGAGACGAGCCGCTAGCTCCGCTTCAACACAGAGTCGAGGTCGATCTGTGGCCTCACGTGGCATGTCCCCAGTGCCGGACGATCCAGAGCGTGATTTGCGCGCCTCGAAGCGCCAGAAGGGTGGCACCACAAGCGCTGAGGAGACTCCGAAGGCACGTTCCAAGCGCAAGCGAGGGCCGAGCGAGTCAGCCGAACAAGAGTCTACTCCTTCAGAGGGGTTGAGATTTGACACATCTCGGTATGTGATGTGTGCTCGTGGTTTCCATCGGACAGCTGGGACAATTTTGAATGACGTGACCACTCATAAACTTGCTTCTATTTTTGCTAAACCGTTGGGGGAACGAGATGCTCCGGGCTACCATGATCTTATTTATCGACCTCAGGATCTTAAGACCATCAAATCTGCTGTTCATCAAGGCAGTAAGGCCGTGGCTATGGCAACAGAAGCAGTCAACACACCTGCGGGTGATGGTGAATCTCCAGCGCCTGGTGCAGGGGCCTCATCGAAGAACAATGCGCTCATGCTGCCCAAGACTGAAGATCTCCTCCCTCCAAAGGGCATCGTGAACTCTGCACAATTAGAAAAGGAGTTCATCCGCATGTTTGCAAACGCTATCATGTTCAACCCGGTTCCTGAGCGCGATTTTGGTCCCCACTTCCCAATGATCAATGACCGTGGCTCTCGCGAGAGCTCCCAGTCTGGTGATGGTGATGAGGGTGGCATCATTCAAGATTCGAGAGAAATGTTTGAAGATGTCGAGCAAGCTGTCAACCGATGGCGGGCTGCTGAACGCGCCTCGGAGCGAGCTTCGGAGGAGCTGGCGAACAAGAATCTTCTCGCCCTTCGCCGTGGGAGTGTCAGCGATTTCAACACCGATAGTGCCGATGATTTCAAAGGCTGATGGATCGATTTTACCCATGTATAACTACAGTTTATGATTTCAGTTTTTTATCAGAAGCGAATCGATATTCCCACTGGAGCTTTCAGCTGCCAGTTTTCTTAATCTGTTAATGATATTTACATCAATCATAGAAATATGCAAATAAAGAAGCATAGCGTTGCTTTACTTGGCTTTAGCATGACGGTATTACTGTCATATAAATTCTTCGTGATCTTGATCAAGTCTGCATTCCATGCGTTGATCCTACTAGACAAGGCTGTCTACTACTACGATCGCAAAAGGCAAGCCAAGTTCATTTGAAGAGTAGGTAAACTGATCACAAAAAGGTGATGGGATATGAGAGAGATTAAATTACGTCTACGAACTGCCATCTACTTTTACCAGAAGTGAAAATCACATCAACTTGCATTCAAACTCGCGAATAAAGAAAACAAAGAATGTGCAATCTGACATGAAGCACGAAAGGAGACTTTTTTATTCCTTTACAATTTTCGACCTCGTAGACTCTAGGGCTTGCAATATGCAGTCAGTGCTTGACCCTCCTTTATCAATGCCTGTAGAAGATAGCAAATGCCGCCACCGCATAAAATATCCTGGAGGGTTCACATTCATAAAAGAAAGGTCAAAAAGCACAAGTACGGAAGCTTGACTGGTCGCAGGTTCCCCAAAGGTATCGTGTCGACAAATCTAACACGTTAATGGAGCACAAGAACGGGTAGAGTCTCATTGCTTCCTCTCGACACCCTACTTCCATAATCAAATTTTGAGGGTATCAATGTTGAGTTCCTTGTCACCGACAGCAACAGTATTCTTAGCAACACGCTCCTCAAGCGCCATTCTTGCACCAACAAAGTCGAACAGAAGCTGAGTCAAATCATTCATCAGGTGTTCATTCTGCTTGATCAAGTCGACAAGGACGGGGATCATCTTTTCGAAGCTTTGCTTTGACTTAGCAGCTTGCATCCTCTCCAGTTGCTTCTTCAGAATAGGTAACATCATATTGTTCTTCTTGACACCAGAAAGATGATTGGCAATAGGCTTGATGTAGCTCGCGATACTCTCCAAATTGTCAGCGGCTTCCTCATTGGGAGTGTGGGGATCGAGGAACTCCTTCAGCTCGATAGGGGCGTTCTTCTTCACTTCGTCGGTGTATCTTTGAGCTTGCTTGGTAACATCGAGCTGCATTTCGAGGGCCTTGATGATATCTGCGTAGTGCTTGGTGCAGGTAGCTCGAAAAGCTGCGATTTTCTCGGGGGTCCCAGTCATTGCATCAGGGTCCGCTGCGGCGGCGGAATCAAGTCCTATGTATCTCGATTAGTGAGGGTGTACATGATCAGCATTAGTTTGATATTCAGATGTGATGAGTGCTTACGCTTGAGATCATCGAGGATGGGCCCGAATTTGATTTCTTCGAGAGCAGGGTTCTGCTTTGGCGTAGTGAGATGATCGGTGGTGTTTTCGGGAGCAGGCTTCTCATCTGGCAGAGTAGTGGGATCCATAGCTGCTTTGGGGATTGATAGAGTGGAGGAGTCCATGGTTGTGTTGCGTAAAGTGAGTAAATGATGAATGAGATGAAGGGTGAATCAATGAGATGAGGGAGAAAGAAGAAGATTTAAAGAAGCAGGAAGAAATCTGGATGCTGGTCAGATCATCTATCACCGTGTCTTGTCTGAAGTAAAGTTAGGGCAGGAGTAAGAAGTCTAAGGAGAAGTCGAAGCAAAAAAAACAATTCATATTAAACCTGCATTATTTCAGTATCTAGCTTAGACCTGATATTTTCAAGGCGCTCATTTAAGGCTACCCCCCTAAGGTATATTATTTCTCTAATACTAGGTCTTACGAAGCCTTATGACTATTTATAGCAGGAAAGTTATAGAGATTTATGCAAATATAATTGACAGATGTGTTACTCATTCCGCCATCATCTGGCGATGGAACAGATATGTCTAAAATTTGGTACATAATACTATGAAAGTTGAATTTATAGGCTATCTTGTTCTATGTATTAAATCCGTTCAATTCTAGGCTACATCGTGCTGGACTAATACAATTCGATATCAGTGGGTAGATATATAACCGGGCATATTGTAATCTACTTTACACCTAGATATAGAAAAATGAAACCATTCAACCTCACTATGCTTTTGTCTTTGCCTATTTATGTAATAATTTAATGCCATCTAGTATAATCTGTCCATAATCATTTATCAAAGGCCTGGAAGTCTACAAATGACAAACTATGTGTGTAGAAGCTACACTATCGATTATTGCAATTTCTTTTATCGCCCTCAAACCCTGCGTAAAAAGGAAACACCAGAAGGTCGACGACTTGCATTAGTGGCATACTTAGGCAATATATAGTGAAAGCTCGGATAGGCAGTTTGGCCTATGAGCGAAAAATCGGGGAATGTCGAGCGAGAAAAGTGACGGTCCAATATCAACAGAGTTGTGATTCATTCACCATATGTATACAATATTTACATCATCTCCTGATGCACAGAAAGAGCATCAATTATTTCCCAACGCCAGCTTAATGCAATACACAAGGACTTGACTGTCAATCCGTCAACCGCTTAGAAATCGGTCACCCGGCCACCATAACTCCAATCACCGGCAGCACCCCATCGAAGAGGCTCATTCTTAGGTCCTCCAACCTCGCCAGTCTTGGGGTTCGTATCGCCCTCGAATTCGGGCTTCAGGCCTTGCGGCGCATCGGGGTGAAGCTCTTCGCCGTTGCCGTTGACCTTGATCTCGGCCTTGGGCGACTGGTTGACTTGCGGTGTGCTGAAAGCGCCTGTTGACCGCTTTTGGAGCTCTTCGAAGATCTCCTGTTCTTCCTTGGGGAGACGTGGGGGAGCGGGACCCTTTGCAAATGCGAAGGCGGGCTTGCCGTCTGCGTTGTTGCGCAAAGCACTGGTGGTGGAGATTGATCGCACCGAGACTCGACTAAGGGGAAGGCGTGTACGGGGTAGAGCAACGGAGAAGAACATTTTGAGGGATTTGTGCGTCACGAATGGAGGGTTCAAGATTCGCATGCGCGCATTGCGGCAAAGTAGGTTCCGAGTAATCGGGTGGTGACTCCGATTTCTGACTAAGGTTTGCGGATCCCGATATCGCGGCCCTTTTTATTTCCTCGGGACATCTGCGATCCGATCAGATGCTTTCTTGATTCTTTCACTGCCTCAAGTTGACAATTGATTTATTTGGAAATAATCTGATTGTTAAATATGTCTGCTATTCGTGTGGCCGCGCGCCGCCTGCCTCGTGCAACCAGACTTCCTTCCATTGAGTCACCGATCCGACGATTCGCCAGCTCAAATGCCCCTCAGGCAAAGGTATACAAATTTTTAACGCAAATGGGTACCAGATTGAGAACTAATTAGTATATAGAAGGAGTCAGCCTTGCCTAACCCTGACCCCTCACCCGATTCGGTCACATCGTCCTTCATTAAGGAACGGGCTCCGTTCATGCTGCCGACCTATGTTCGCCCCGCCCCCATGATGATGAAGGGCCAGGGCTGCTACCTGTGGGACATGGAGAACCGTCGCTATTTGGATTTGACTGCTGGAATTGCAGTAAACTCACTTGGTCATTGCGACCCGGAGATCTCCCAGATTATTGCGGAGCAGGTGTGCACTATTTGGGTTTCTATGTTGCAGGATGATTGCTGATTTAATGCGACTCTACAGGCCGAGACTCTCATCCATGCCTCAAACCTTTACCACAACCCCTGGACCGGTGCTCTGAGTCAATTGTTGATCAACCTGACCCGTGAGTCAGGTGCGATGCGCGATGCCTCGCAGGTCTTCATTTGCAACTCGGGAACCGAGGCCAACGAGGCCGCCATCAAGTTCGCCCGCAAGGTCGGCCGCACTATCGATCCCTCCGGTGACAAGCACGAGTTCGTCTCGTTCCACAACTCCTTCCACGGCCGCACAATGGGTGCTCTGTCTGCCACTCCCAACCCTAAATACCAGACTCCCTTCTCTCCCATGCTCCCGGGTTTCAAGTACGGCAACTACAACGACATCGAGCAACTGCAGACTCTTATCACTGATAAGACCTGTGGTGTGATCGTCGAGCCCATCCAGGGTGAGGGTGGCGTTAATGTGGCCACTCCCGAGTTCCTGGTGGCTCTGCGCAAGCGTTGCGACGAGGTCGGAGCTGTCCTGATCTTTGATGAGATCCAGTGCGGACTTTCCCGTACCGGTAGCCTCTGGGCTCACGCCCACCCTTCGCTGGCCCCCACCTCAGGCGAAGCTGCTCACCCTGATATCCTCACCTCCGCTAAGGCCCTCGGTAACGGTATCCCTATCGGTGCGACTATTGTCTCTGGCAAGACTGTCGCCTCGCACATCAAGACCGGTGACCACGGTACCACTTTTGGTGGTAACCCTCTGGCCTGCCGTGTTGCCTATCACATTCTCGCGCGTCTCGCTGATCCCGAGCTCCAGGCCGGTGTCCAGGAGAAGTCGGATTTGTTTGTTGCTGGCTTCAAGGCTCTCCAGGAGAAGTACCCCGATGCTATCTCGGAGATTCGTGGCCGCGGTCTGATCCTGGGTCTGCAACTATCCCCATCCGTTGGTGCCAAGGCCGGTGATATCATTACTGCTGCCCGTGAGCGCGGCATGTTGATTATCACTGCTGGAGATGGCTGCCTCCGCTTTGTTCCTGCTTTGAACATCACTGCTGACCAGATCAAGTCTGGTTTGAACATTCTGGAGCAGTCATTGGAGGCCGTCATCAAGTCCTAAACCACGGTTGATATGATTTGAACGTCCATGTTATCTGTTTGATATTCCATTTCGTTGATTTGGAGCGAAGCGTATATTTCTGTTTCCCTTTTTCTTGGTTTCCACTTCCCATGTTCATAGAAGCGGGTACGATTAGAATAGAAAAAAGTCATTTTAGGTTGAAGGTTCAAAAGTGGAGTTTACTAGTCCGGATTCTGCCAAGGCGGATACAAGATGAACGCGTGGTTGTGGAGCCCGTGGAACCTCCACCTGCCGTGATAAGCGTTGCCCTGGAGGGTTGAACCTGTGCAATTAGACTAATCAGGTGCCTGACTTTCTCCTAACTTTCTCCTGACTTTCTCCAGTTCCTATGTAGCTTATCCTCCCTCACGCGACCACCTGCTATTCCCGGTCATTTTTTTTTTTTTTTTTTTTATGCCTCGACTCGAGTCCAGCGGGGACATGCCCCTCGAAGAGACGTCACCTTCTCTCTGGTCTCGCTTCCGCGGCCGGCTCAAAGGAGCCTTCAGCGGTGCAGACCCCCGAGTCTGTATCGCTTTCTGGCTGTTTGGTTTGTCAAAGACGCAAATGAAACTCATATATCACGTCACTAACCCAATCTTCCGAGCAGGCCTTATCAATAATGTCCTCTACGTGATCCTTCTCTCCGCAGCTCTAGATTTGGTCGGTCCAGATGTTCCCAAAGGTGTCGTTCTCCTGGCAGACATTATCCCGGCATTCGCGACCAAACTGATCGCGCCATACATCATCCACCTGGTCCCTTACTCCCTCCGAGTCATTGTTTTCGTATTGCTGTCGGTCCTCGGCATGCTGGTCGTTGCGATGAGCCCAAGTTATACGAAAGGCGGTGCCATTGCGTCCAAGATTGCCGGTATAGTCTTGGCCAGTCTCTCTGCTGGTGGTGGTGAGCTGAGCTTTATGGGTCTTACTCATTACTATGGCCACTTCAGCTTGGCTGCTTGGGGTAGTGGCACTGGTGCTGCGGGCTTGGTCGGTGCTGGTGCTTATGCATTGGCTACAAACACACTAGGGATCTCAGTTCATGCTACGCTATTTGCGTCTGCTTTCTTGCCGGCTGTCATGATTGTGAGCTTCTTTTTCATCCTACCCCGAGAACCTCTGCGTGCGGCATCTCCGGATGACTATCTTTCCGTGGAAAGAGGTGAGCACCCGGGTACCGATGATGGGGATGAAGAGGTTCAAGACACTGGGCGTGAAGAGTCGGAAGGACTCCTTAGTGTATCTGCTCATTCAGATACGCTGAAATCCGTTCAAGTCGACTCTCAGGCGATCGGGTGGGACCATATGCAGACGAACCTAAGGCGGCTAGGAAAACTATTTTTCCCTTTGTGAGTTGTCTTCAGTCACGACTTTTACTATGCTAATATGTCACAGCATGCTTCCTCTACTCCTAGTGTTCATTGCCGAGTATGTGATCAATCAAGGTGTTGCCCCAACACTCCTCTTCCCTATATCTGCAAGCCCTTTCAAGGACTTCCGATCCTTCTACCCGGCCTACAATGCCATCTACCAGGCCGGCGTCTTTATCTCACGCTCTTCAACTCCATTTTTCCGTGTGCACTGGCTCTACGTCCCCTCTATCCTACAGGTACTAAACTTGGTCCTGCTGAGCCTGCATTCCATGTTTAACTTTATTCCTAATGTCTACCTCGTCTTTCTTGTGATCTTCTGGGAGGGCTTGCTTGGTGGCCTTGTATACGTCAACACTTTTGCTGAGATCAGTGATCGCGTCCCGGAAGAAGAGCGGGAGTTCTCACTCGGTGCGACGACTGTTAGTGACTCGGCTGGCATTTGCATTGCTGGATTCCTCAGTATGTCGTTGGAGATTGCTTTGTGCAGGTTTCAGATGTCCCATGGTAGGGAATACTGTCGAATGGTATAGATATAGCTTTTTTCAAATTTAATGGCTTATCACCAAGACTCAATCTGTTAATATATGTAGTCTTGCAAAGGGTACATGTTCTAAGAGATGGATACAGTCGTCATCATCGGGGCTACATAAACATGTTGAAAAGTAGTAGAGGGGGTTGACAATACACTTCGAAAGTTCCTGAGAGACTAGATCAAAGCTAGTCTAGCGTGTTTCTCAAGAGTATAAAAACTGAACATGATTTTGAGCGCGTCTTAAAGTGCAGAACATGGACATACAAAGATAGCAGCGGGTGGCTAGACGGCATAGGAATTGAGAATCATTGAGACTTTAATACATGCAGACATCGCAAAAAAGAACACTGAGCATTGATCACAAGTTACACGACTTTCTCCAGGTCACGTGCGTTGCCTTCTAATTGACGTACATGCCGTGTTCCTTACGTCAGCAATTCACGTCCTCAAGTCGCGTTACCTGCCTAGCTCCGATTGCTGCCTCAAGCGTGCCACTGGTTTCCTTCATCTCTATTTATACCATCGTGGGTTTCAAGTGACAACCATTGTACTCTCATATGGTGCGCTATATTCAATATGCCTTCTGATATTAGGAGCTTTTTTGGCGGGAAGCCAGCCCAGAGCTCCGCAGAGTCGCCCAAGCCCGCGAAGATAGAGGTATGCTACCACCCTTGAAACATTCGATGCCGTTGCTCGTGGACAATTCCGGTCAAGCCCGCGTATCTGAAATATTGAAGCTGACTTGGAGATCCACAGGACCCAACTGCTACAAGGAAAAGACGTACGGTAGCTTCGACATTCTTACATATTCCCCAGGTCTAATCATTTCATAGGTAGCAGAAAAGTGGTGGAAGACAGCGACGACGAAGATGTGGCGCCCGTGAAGGCCCCGACCCCCAAAGCAAAGCCCAAAAGTCAACCGTATGCTCCACTACTTCATTGATCCACCTCATGACTCTAACCGTCGCTCTCACAGGAAGCCCGAAGAAACGAAAGGAGAACCTACGACAACCTCTGATTACTTTGCCTCTAGCAAGAAGCGGGCGGGACGGCCAGCCAAGGCAGAACAATCAGCCGCCGAGACGGATAAATCTCCTGCGAAACCCTCCAAGAAACCAGCATCAAAGAAAGATATCACTGTTCTTGACGATGATGAAGGCCTCGGTGGAGATGATGTCTTTGCTACTGAGTACCAAAAACGTGGAAAGGGGGATGATGATTTTGTTGAAGGAGGAAACAGCGATGACGACGACGATAATGACTTCGAAGTTCTTAAAGCTAAATCGCCGACTGCCAAGCGCTCCCAAAAGAAACGGCCAACATACAATGAGGATGATGAGGATGATGATGACTTCGAAGTACTCGAAGTTAAACCACCCACTGCATCCAAGCGTACCCAGAAGAAACAGCCGACGTACGATGAGGACGACGATGTTGTGATGGATGAACTCCCAAAACGTGCCCCTAAAGCAGCTCTACCAGGGCGCAAGCGCAAGTCAGAGGCTCTCGTCGACAATGATGATGATGACGATTTGGGCGACACTAAAAAGCCTGCATCTCGATCCAAAACGGCGAAGGGACCTACCTCTCCAGCTGCGAAGAAAGTAAAACCCGCCCCGAAGAAAAAGGAAAAGGAGGAGGTCCCCGAAAACAAGGAAATCCAGGCTATTTTCGACAGCATCCCTACAGTCCGGCCTCCAACTCCTCCTCAGGACGATGGAGAGAAGAAGAAATGGAAATTTGGGGAACAACGCTCCCGAACTCCACCAACCAGCGGGACCAAAGAACTGCCCGTTGGTGCAGAGAATTGTCTCGCAGGATTGGCGTTTGTTTTCACCGGTGTGCAGGAGACCCTAGGTCGGGAAGAAGGCCAGGAGCTGGTCAAGAGATATGGTGGCAAGGTGACTGGCGCGCCTAGCTCTAAGACTAGCTATGTCGTTCTTGGAAGCGACGCTGGTCCCTCGAAACTCAAGACCATTGCCAAACACAACCTGAAAACTATCAGCGAGGATGGGCTTTTCGAGCTGATCCGTCGATTGCCTGCCAATGGTGGTTCTGGAAAGGCTGCTGCGCAGTATGAGGCTAAACAGAAAGCCGCCGAAGAGAAGATTCGCGACATGGCAAAGGAGATGGATGCAGAGGAGAAGAAGAAGGCGGATGAAAAGAAGAAGCAGGCTGCTATTGCTGCTAGCAATGCCCCTACCTCGAGCGCCCCGCAGGCTTCACATGGTCCTCCCGCTGACGACCAACTTTGGACCACTAAGTATGCACCAACGTCGACCTCCATGATTTGCGGAAACAAGGCTGCTGTTGAAAAGATTCAAAGTTGGTTGCGCAACTGGCGCAAGAATGCAAAGATAAATTTCAAATTGGCCGGCAAAGATGGCTCCGGAGTCTACCGCACGATCATGATTCACGGCCCACCAGGTATTGGCAAAACCACAGCTGCACACATGGTGGCCAAGCTGGAGGGGTACGATGTCATAGAATCCAATGCCAGTGATACGCGCAGTAAGAAGCTCGTTGAAAATGGGACCTTGGGCGTTCTTGACACAACATCTCTGCAAGGCTACTTTGCCGCGGACGGAAAAAACATTGACAGCAACAAGAAAAATGTTTGCCTGATTATGGATGAGGTTGATGGCATGTCTGCTGGTGACCGCGGCGGAGTGGGTGCGCTTGCAGCTATTGCCAAAAAAACCAGCGTTCCACTCATTCTTATTTGCAACGAACGAAAGCAGCCGAAGATGAAGCCTTTTGACCATGTTACGTTTGATATTCCGTTCAGACGCCCCACGGTCGAGCAAATTCGAGCTAGACTATCCACAATTTGCTTCCGTGAAAAGCTGAAGATCCCGCCACCTGTTCTGGATAGCCTCATTGAAGGAACACATTCCGATATTCGACAGGTCATCAACATGCTTTCTACTGCTAAATTGGACCAGGAGAGCCTCAGCTTTGACAAGGGCAAGGAGATGTCGAAGGCCTGGGAGAAACACATCATTTTGAAGCCCTGGGATATTGTCAGCAAGATTCTTAGCGCCCAAATGTTCTCACCAAGCTCTACCTCTACATTGAACGACAAGATTGAGCTTTACTTCAACGATCACGAATTTAGCTATTTGATGCTCCAGGAGAACTACTTGAAGACTCGGCCTACCCTTGCAGGAAACTACCACGACAGGGAGAAAAATTTGAAGCTTCTTGAGCTTGCAGACAATGCAGCTTCGAGCATCAGTGACGGCGATCTGGTGGACCGTATGATTCATGGAACCCAGCAACAGTGGAGTCTTATGCCTACCCACGCTGTGTTCAGCTTCGTCCGACCAGCCAGTTTCCAATTCGGAAATATGTCCGAGAGGGCATCATTCACGAGTTGGCTGGGTCAGAACAGTAAACAAGGTATGTCCTTCTACCCATTAATTTCAACATGACAGCTCTGATCATGTTTTTCTAGGTAAATTGTCACGTTTTGTCAAGGAAATTCAAGGTCATATGCGTCTAAAGACATCCGGCAACCGAGATGAGATACGCCAGCAATATATGCCTCTCCTCTGGGAGAAAACTATCCGTCGTATGATGGATGAAGGCAAAGAAAGTGTTGACGAAATCATCGAGTTCATGGACTCCTACTACCTCACGCGGGATGACTTCGATGCAATGCTTGAACTTGGACTTGGGCCAATGGACCAGTCGAATGTCAAGTTGGAAACACAAACCAAATCTACCTTCACACGTCTTTACAATTCCCGCTCTCACCCAATGCCTTTCATGAAGGCTAGCAGTGTCCTCGCACCAGCGAAGAAGGGACCCAAGGAGAAGCCAGATATTGAAGATGCCCTTGAGGAATCCGACGAAGAAGAGGTCATCGAGGAAGCCAAGGATGAAGATGATGAACTCGATCTCAAGAAAGACAAGTATGTCAGCCAGCCGAAGAAAAAGGCGGCCAAGGGTGCTGCCAAGGGCAAGAAGGCCAAGAAAGCAGCAGACGATGACATTGACGATGACGACGAGAAGCCTAAGAAAGGCAAGAAGGCAAAGGCCAAGGCCAAAGATTAATACCATTTTTCGTGTACCATATTTATTCAACAATACAGAAGCGCTGTCTGCTATTGCTTTCTCATTTCTCTGGCGAGCCCACATTAATGAAATGAGTTCTAGAAGCCGGATATCAATGTCAACACTGCAAAGTCCGTTTTGTACTATAAAAGTGTCGCTCTTCTAACTAATCTATTCCAACGAAGAACCTGTTTTTCAGCAACATCATGACTGTCGTAAGGAAACGCAAGAGTTCTTGCTCCTGCTTGTTCTTTTACTGCGAGCCCTTGAGCTGAGACTCCGGCACTGCAACCGTTTGAGTGGGCAGCTTCTCAGTGGCCACACCATTTACATTCTTCTTACCAAGCGCATGAAGACCACGATGCTTCGCTGCCCACTTCTTGCCTTCCTCTTGAAGCCTCGCGTCATCATCGCGTTTGAGACTGGTGCTGCGAACGAAAGAGACTGTGATGAAGAATGAGACGCAGCAGCATGCAACCATGAAATAATAGATGTTGCGAATTCCATGAGCTGACACCGTCAGTATCTGTAAGTCCTGAGTACGAGAAGAAACATACTATAGGCATGAATAGCCGCAGACTTCTGTGCTGCAGTGAGCCCCAATGATCCCGAAGTGATCTGAGTGGGATCGGAAATTATTTTGGATAGCACAGCCGATGATACCACCGAAGATAGTCCAGTTCTATAAATGTGGAATAAAGTCAGCGCTATGAGCTAACATATGTTATAAGACACTTACCGAACGGTGTTATTCAGAATCGCACCACAAGCAGCTAAAGCCACAGTTCCACCCAATAATCGCAGAAAGTTTCGAGTAGCAGTAGCGACAGCCATCTCCTTCCGTTCAACGTTGGCCTGGATAGCAACCAAATTTGTCTGAAGCGTCTGTCCAGATCCGATACCACTAAGGATCTGGTACCCTACGAGTCGTCCAATAGAAGTTGTTGAGGAGATGGTGGACAGGAGACCACATGCAATGGCCCAAATGGCAAAGCCTGCCCACATATTGATAGTGTAGTTCCCAGTTTTGGAGACAAGGTAACCAGAGGTAAAAGACACGACGCATTGAATCACAACGAGAGGTAGGAGGAGCACGCCAGACTTGATTGGGGAGGCTGAGTAGACAACTTGGAAGAATTGGGGGAGCTGTATAGGGTTAAATAATTGCGGGATATGCAGCGAGGAGATCTTACGTAGTATAGATTGGCGTAAAACATGAACCCAGTGAAAAATGCGCCTACTGATGCACCTGCGACCGTGGAGTTCTTGAAAATATGCACTGTTATAGTGGTTAGTTTGGCATAGAGAATGGCAGCCAAATCACGCACTTGGGATGAGTGGAAGCTCTGCGAACTTTATTTCCACTAGAATGAAGATGCCCAAGAAGACCACGCCAATGACTAGAGGGGCAATAACTCCGGCCGAGCTCCAGGCATACTTCGTTCCTCCCCTAGACCCATATCAATATTGACAGTATATGAATTATTGGAAGGTTATCGTAAACTCACCAGGAAATCGGTAGCAAGATCAAAACCGCCGCGATGAGCATAGTAATGCATCCTAGGTAATCAATTTGTTTGAATCTAGCTTTCATATCGCCCTTGACCCTTTTCAGAGGAAGGACTAACAGAACAACAAGAATAGAAATGCCAGTCAAGGGGATGTTGATGTACTGTACTCATTAGTCGGGTTTTCAGATATTAGATCATATGACTCACAAAGCACCATCGCCACGAAACCTTCTCTGTGAAAAGGCCGCCGATGAGAGGACCAATTGAGTTGGAGAGAGCAACTACCACCCCAATGATACCCTGATATGTCCCTCGTTTCTCCAAGGAAACAACATCAGACACTGCAATCATGACTGAAGTGAGAATGCCACCACCGCCAATTCCGGAGATTGCACCTAAAGATATACTATCAGATACAGGAATGTCAACACGGAGTCAATACGAATCCAGACGTACGGAACACAATGAGCATGATCATACTCTGGGATACCGCGGACAGGATAGACCCAAAGAGGAAAAAGCCCATACTGGTGAGAAGAACGATCTTTCGGCCAAAGATATCGGAAAGACGCCCATATAGTGGCTGGCATGCGGTCGATGTGAGAAGATATGAAGTTCCAACCCAGGACTCAACCGATGCATCGTGAAAAACCCGTCCGAGGGTTGGAAGAGCGGTAGAGACACTGTTATAAATAAGCAAAGCTGCTCGTCATTTCTAGGGTAATGGTATCTTACATCGTTTGATCAAGAAGTGCACCTAGGATGTGAAAGAAAAGTCAGCGCTGATCAAGCACAGTGTAGCACTGGTGTGTAGATTCTTACAGAACAGAGCACAACTCAGGCCCACAAAAACAATTAACAGTTGTTTAATGGGTAATAAATTGGTCTGATCTTGCAGTTTGTTCTTCCCATCGACTGCATTATCAGTAGAAAATTGCTGTGCCTCAACATGGCCGGACTTGTCTCCACGATCAGATTCCGTTGCTGTGGTATGCTGTTCTGGGGTGCCGGTACTGGTGCTGGTGGGCCGAGATGGCATTGGAGAGGAACGACCATCCATAATCCGGGTGGGGCGCCGAGCCTTCAAGATCAGATAATCTCGATCAATGAGAAATGAGAATTTCCAAGACTTGTGGTATGAATATTATATTTATGTACACGAAGAAAGGTGGAACTGATTTCATCTGTGGACCTGAAAGTAGCTTCCAATTTTTAAAAGAAAGTGAACTCTGGACGAGATAGGAGATAACGAGCGTCGGATTTAGATCCGGACATCTGAACAGGAAAAGATCTTGTTTTGACGGTTCATCGGCTATTCGTCAAATAGTCTGCGTCTCCACTAGGAAATCATCGCCGAACCGGCTTCGTCCCCAGCTTCGGCTTAACTTTTAGGCGATATCAGGTACATATCTCGCCCTATTGTGATCTGTTCAAAAGCATAGGTTAAGACTCCCAGATGCTGCTGTTAGTTTCACTGTGGGAAACCATTTGTACCTAGACAGAGCGCAGGCTTAATCCGAGCCCTACGCAGATGGATACATATGTAAGCTTAAAATATATATATACAAGCAGCATCGGGATTCCTCCCGATGTCGCATTGCACCTTGACAACACTAAGGTTCAACCTCCAATGATCCGATGATGTCAGAATAAACCCAGAGACATTCTAAAATTCAACATTAGCTTATGTCGCATTTGAACCTTTGATCTTTGAGATTTTGTGCATGGGTTCATATGGAGGTTCGACTTCCAAGGTTGGATTTTCGTTGTCAACCTCACATGCAAGCTTCAAAGGATTGAGTACACGTCAGGACTTGTTAGGACTTGTCACGGTACCCAAATTTGACTTGGGGATGTCACTTATGTGAGAAACTGCCCAGGTGTATTTAATTTCAAACATTTGAACGTTCCAACAGTTTTTTAGCAATTATCATTGAAATATCATAAATTCCAACTTTGACAGAATCCATAAGGGATTAGCGTAGAACAATTGACAAGACTTGAAGAAATATCTCTACTCTCCAACCTCTCTGTCCTCGTCCCACTGCACCCAGCTCATAACCCGCCAGCTCAAAGTCTTTTCACGAATCTTCTTTCCCCAGATGAACAACGGAATCCAGAAAATGAGAACACCACCGCAGATTGCCGCCATCTCTCCATAAGCCACATTATATCCATGAATGTCAACCCAAGGGTTAGTATAGAAACCAAGCAAGAAACCAAAAGCAGACTTGAAAGCAAGCTGGGTGACAACGACCTCTCCCGCAACGGGACGGTAGCTATCAATAGTGTAAACCAGCGAGACATTTGTAGCCTGCGTGATAGTAAAGTTGACTAAACAAGGTTAGGATATGACCAGACATGCATGAGACAGGAAACTTACTAAGACCAATACCGAGAGTAGGAACCATCCAGTGCATCTTCCAATGGATACCACACCCGTACAGCGCCAATGCAAGCGGGCCAGTAATGACACTAATCATCATAGCAGGAAGACGCATCTCGGGCTCACGAATACCGTTGTTTCGGCGGGTGAAGATATCAGCGACCCAATCAGAGAGATAACCACCAAGCGCGATACCAAAGACACATCCGACGATCGCGGCACAGAAGCAGAGACCAGATTGCCATGCGGCAAATCCATATGTATCGGAGAATGCCGAGGCAACGTTGGATGTGATGGCTGTGATGAATCCGATGGTGACTGACATCACAAGAGTAGCCCATAAGACGGGTGGAAGGATCAACAGGCCCACAGGGCGAATTGTCATTTGCCACAGGGATTCATCGGTGTATCTACCATGGTATAGCTTCAAACCCTCTTTCCAACCATGTCCGATGCTTGATTCCTGAGCAACGACTTCTTCGTGGATCTCGGAAGCGACTCCTGCCTCCTCCACCTTTGTGCTTCGACGGACGCGCTCGCCGGAGGGAGACAACGTTGTGATACTTTCGGTCGTGGCAGGGGCTCTGATATAGGCTGTTTCGGGGAAGGTGAAGTACACGACGAGAGTAATGGCACCGATCAAGGCAATGGCGACATAGTAGATGTAGCGCCATGGGTGAAACTTGACGATGAATCCATCGATGACGGCACCGCTAGCGACACCGAAGTTCAGGGAGGCATTGTACAGACTATATAGGTTAGCGATCGTCTTCAGTAAACTCTTTGCTTGGGACATACGCAGTGATAGCTCCACGCTCATGCAAGAAGAAAATATCAGCAATGGTAATAGGGGCAAGGCACTCTCCAGCTCCAGCCGCAATTCCCATGACGATTCGAGCGATGAGGAAGTTGGCATACTGTGTAGCGACAGCGCACCAGATGGCAGTAATTGTATAGATAGTAAAGGAGGTCACGTAAACAGCTCGACGTCCATACTTGTTGATAAGGGGCATCCACATCAGATTACCCAAGCCCTGGAAAAGGGCCGTGCAATTGAAGAAGTAGGCTGTTTTGGCAATCGCGCCTGATAGACCGGTCGTCTTCCAATCGGGGAAGAAGTCTTGTGCAGTCTGGACAATTGCCATGGTAGGGCCGGCAGCGAGGAAATTGCAAAGAACCATGGCGAGACATACTGCGACGGCAGTGTACAGCTTGAACCATCGCGGCCTAAAACCAATGAGAGGAGTCGATCAAAGGGGATTTGCGTGATCTATTTACCAATTGAGAGGATCCTTCGGATCTGATGAAGGCGTAGGTACTAGAATAACCTCATTGGTCTCCGAATCTCTCAGACGAAGATGACCGAGAGTCTTGATCTTTGGTATCTTTTCCTCGTGTTCTATGAAACCATCGTAGCGCTCTTTCACTTGTGTCGGAGCCATAGCAGCCAATGTCGAATTGATTGACGATCATCACCAGACAGGGGGCTTCATAATATATAAAGTAGATATCAGCTTGAGATGGGGTATCCCATCAGTGCGGGGCCCCACATAATCTGGGGAAGCAATTGAGGTCCACTTGCCGGGGCGTGGAGGACATTCCTCTGATAGAGAATGACAACCAATCACGTTCAAGATAGCCATGCTTGTGGTCCGTTGAATCCTTCATGTCGGGTGTCATGTGAACGAGTCAGCCAAAGCTTCGACCCCCCAGAGTGCCAAGCATTCTCCCGTGGCTAAACTCGCATTTTTCAGAGAATCACTGCTAAGAACCAGTCAAATGAAGAAGAGTTGAGAATCTACCAAGGTGTAAATGCCATCCTTTCAAAGTGTATGGGAAAATTGCTTGCAAATTGGTCGATCCTTGGACTGGTTCACGTGTCTTGAGGAAGTGGAGGGCAACTTCCGACATTGCGTGGACAGAACGCCGGGTGGCGGACTTTGTCCAATCATTGGAACCGTAGATCACCACACATGAGGTACTTTCCTTCATTCGATCTATCTCTGGTTCACGGGATCCAGCCCCAGGAACCCAGGAAACCGGGGAGATGAGGGCATAGGAAGCGGGCGGGGTGGACATCGTTCAAGATATTCGTAGAAGAAATGAATCACAGGATAAGCTACGCTAGTGAATTGGCATTCTGCAGATCCTCACTAGTTTACAATTGTTGGCTCTTGCCATTCCCCTCAATCCTTACAAGGTTTGAAACATCATTTTGTTTTACAAGCTCTGCCTTCCTCCATCCCGCAGCAAATCTCCACTGCACAAGCGGACCACTCAGCGCTATCAATTGAATGGCCGCACAAATCGTGAAGGTAACTCCAATTCCCACATCATCGATGAGTGGCATAACAAAACTAGTCCCACCGGCAGCGAACAAGCACCGAGCAAGATTGATACTTGCACTAGCCGCCGCGCTTCTCTCGTGATAGATATCCACAAGATAAGTCATGATAACAGACTGCATAGACACGACCGTCCACCCAGTGACAAAGGTGGAGATGATTGGGACCGCAATGTGAACGGAGTACTGGATGGTCCAGCCAAACAGGATCAAAGAAAGGCTCTGTATCACAGCAAAGACGGGTACAAGTCGGAGACGTGCTTTCTCAAGTGGAAAATCCTCATCTGCATTGTATTCCAAGCTTGCTTCGACATTTACAGCAGACCGGGCTTCGAATTCGGCTTTGATTCTGCGATAATCCAGGTCGAGTATTTTGCCGGTAATCAACGTCCCAACCATCGATCCAACACCGTTGGCGATAAAAGTCAGGCCAATCTGAGTCTCGCTCAAGCCGTATTTCTCTTTGAACAACGACGACATGGCAGTGATGCTCATCTGCCACACCGCATAATAGACAGCAAGGAATGTAATGATAGGGGCGGCGTGTCTGCGAATCAGGATGCGAAAGGGGCCAGTAATGACAATGCTCTTCTTTCCAGGCAACGTGGTATCCCCGTTCCACTCTATTCTTGTTGTCTTGACGTAAAGATTCAACGGATATTCAGCGATCCAATTAGAAGGAACCTTGCTCCCATTCCCAACCCTCGACCGCAAAGTCTCCGGGAGTAGCAATAGCAGCGCTATTAAAAAAACACCACTGTATATCACCAAGAGCCAAAAGATCGCTCTCCATCCCAGAGTCCCTGCCAATGCACCTCCAATCACTGGCCCTGCGGCGACCGGGACCAGCAACCCCGCTTGGAAGATACCCATAAACCCTCCCCGCTCTGCACGAGTCGTAATATCACCAATAACACCTGATCCGATGGCAATTGTACTTGCACTACCTGCACTTTGTAGACAGCGTAGCACAATTAACGTGGCATAATTTTTTGCCTCTGCCAGGCCGATACAGGCGCCGAGGAAGATGATAAATGTGCCAGTATACGCAATGCGGCGCCCCTTGACGTCTGAGACAGGTCCCCATAGATTTGGGGCAATCCCTTGGAATATTAGATACGAGGTGACAGTAAGGTTGATTTTCTCGGTGGAAACGTTCATATCACCCGCGATAGTCGGTAAAGCTGGAAAGTAGATGTTGGATGCGAAACCGGAGACTATGGACGGTTAGGGGATGGTGATGACTTGAATTGTTCTCAAACTTACAAGTTGCCGCAGTGGACACGAGAGCGATAATGAGCCATTTTTGTCTTTTGTCGAATATGCTGTAGGGCACTTCTGAAGCCGTTGTCGATGACTTCATGGCAGGGGAATCCTTGCCGTTTTTTGATTGCATGTCTAATTTACCAACCCCAGCGAGTTTGGTTGACTTGACTCAAAGGAATGCATATATGAGTAGATTTTGATATTACCTCTGAGAATCGATCGGGTCGATGCTCTTTTATAAAAATTTCGTAGAAATGTGGCGATCGGAGTTGAGATGCTCAACTCCGTCAACTCCACATTCCATCTATCCTCCATGAGTACAAGATGTCACCGCGTAGAGCATAGTCCCAAATTCATCAACGTCTTCCAACCAGCGATCAACTCTACTTCGTCTTTCTGCAATATCAAGTTCATCCATATCTGTAGGAATCGGCCACAGCTCATCAATAGAAAGACTTCTGTCCGTCCATTCCGCTAGATGAATATTGTATTCTCGTTCCCAGTCACTTCGCGATTGAGCGTTCCAAAGATATTTACTGGAAGGCACAGGGAGTCCATGTAATTCTGTCGCAAGGAAGGTAGGAAGTCCTTCCTGCGTGGAGAGAACACAGTCGAGGAGATACATTACGTAAAGTGTTCGCCGCTTTGTCTCGGTGACAATCCATTCTTCCCATCGAGGACGTGTATGATGCTGGTCGGCTACACACATAAGTCCCTGTTTAGACGAAAGGTTGGCGAGAATCTGTAGATTCATTGTGGCTGAACGAAGTTGAAGTTTGGGTCCCTGATCGAGTTTGAACAACAAAGCGAGACAGTAAATGAGATAGGCTTGAAATGCACCTAAAAGAAAAAGACCATTATAGCTTTCATGGAGTTCCATGATGCTGTCCATCTCCCGCTGAAGTACCAGCGCAGTGTTACCTTCACTTCCTGCTAATGGGTTTTCGCATATTCGAATCAAACTTAAGCAGGTTGTCAAAGGCGAGCCTGCCGGTTGTTCTGGTATTTGTGAGGGGTGGATGAATGGTAGCATTCCACGACCACGAGCTGCGACAGCTGCATAAGATTTCAAGATCCGGGAAATAAAATTGGAGATCTCAACAGGATGTTGCTTGATTGTCTGTCCAGGAACTGGAATGTAAACATTCATCCAGCGGGTGGTAATCTCATCGGCATCGATCGGACAAAAAAGCTCGAGCTTTGAAAAGTCAAGCCCGGGAAACTTGGACAAGGACACTGGATTTGAAGGTTTCATACTGGACTGTGCAGTATCAACGTGTTCGGGTTGCCTCATTGGCTGTGCCCAAGGTACTGTCCAAGCTTTTGAGGGGCTGTTTGGTGGCAGCGCACCAAGGCTTGGGACCAGAGAATCGGGTATAGAATCCGGGCTAGGTGGTCTTGGCTCGAATTCTTTTGAGCCGCGTATCTGGGAGTATGCACATGAGAGCTTGCGCTCTGCACATCTGGTACAACCTGTAACTTTGCGATCGCACTTGGCTTTTGCCACGGAACATTGCTGGCAGGCTTTCTGTCGCGAAGTCGAATACCTCGGGGTCTTCATGCTGACCCCAGGAGTTTTTCGACCCGAATGACACGACAAACTTCCTCTGAGTCATGAAACAAACTTGGCAATGCGTTCCGGCCCAGGAGTTCTATAGGATTACATGGAACTTTGAACAGACCACCACTATTCTGCACCCCCGCTAAACGCCCTTAGTCATCCTGGGCTGCATCAACCAAAATTGCGATGGCTGTCCTTTACAGTAATTATACCCCCATTCGCCTGGCCCGGTTGGGCGTTTGTTATACGCTTCTTGCTCTTCCTCCAAATAACCTCCCGAGGTAGATCATGAACGGGAAACGGTGCCTGGTGCACCTGGTAAGGCAGTGCAGAGCACACCTGCATTAGTTTCAGTGTTTTTGTTATAGAGCACCCTTGTGGAGGAAATAGAGAATTATCACCGAACCATCTTGGATTGTTTACCTCCGCTATCTCCGCCAAGCTTCCATTACAACTATACAGCTACTACCATCTATGACAAACTACCTTATTGATACAGATAGCCTGTTTGCTGTCACAGCAGCGGCTACTAAAGCCACAGCTCGCGCCTCCTTTGGCTTTGCATTGTACGTTCTGCTAACCTCCGTTACCTTTTTTGGCTCTTAAAGAATCCAGCTTACCAGCCATCAGTCCGAAATAGCCCCCCTTTCACACAATAATCTCGGCACACAGTGGACCTGGTTCATTCCGGCTTTCTTGTCTTTGGCATTTACGCCTCTGCCCTTCATCTTCCTCCGAGTTGGCTCGAAACTGCGCGCTCAATCCAAGTTTGCTAATGAGGCCAAGATACGACTAGCAAAGCTGCAGGAAGTACGCCAGAATGTGGAGAAATGGGTTGATAATAAACAAACCGCTGATAATACAATATCCTCTGACACAAAGACTGTCGAGACTCAAAAGTTCGTCAGTGCCATCTTCACAAATCAGAAGGTAACGCTGTTGACAATGCAGTGTCTGGCTCCAACTGAACCCACTCCGTCCGGCTCGTCGTCAAAACACGGGATCTTCCTGCTGGGGAAGGCTTTCAAGCTTAGTTCTGTATTTGACTCGCCTCGCCTCATTCAGCCAATGTTCATGGTGTATAGTTACAATGTACGGTATTCAGCTAATTGTAATGTTCTGACGCGGATGGAAGGTCGTTTTGTTGATGATGTCGGGGACAGATAAATATAAACATGCAATGTCACCTGCGATCCAGACTCTGTAAATGTCGTCAAACTCGAAACAATTGAATATCCAGATATTTGCTTCCATCAAGTATTTGAAATAATTCAAGTATTATGTATTGAAACAGGTACAGTATAGTTGACTATTTCACGTCGGTCACTTACTTCATTAGGTCAGGTGGGGAGATGATCTGCGGAGAACCGCCACCGATCAACTTGATCATCTTGACTTCCTCCCATGCTTAGAACTCCGCGTTAACGTTTCAACTTTCATTCTTTCAGGCTGGCCCTGCACACAAATCCTTATATTTTGGAAGCGTATGATTTATTTTCTGCACGTGCCCTCTGTGAGCATGCCGTGTCAGCTCTAAAGGGTTTCCGCGGCTGAGATCCATCACTCGACACCCTCGACCGGGCTGTGCCTTCTCTGCTTGGTATTTACCTCTAACATTGAAACACGGGACGATGTCTCTCCTTCACAATGAAGAGTAGGTTATCTGTGGAGGTGTCCTTCACCCCCTTCCTCGATAGGGTATGGGCTGACCCAACTGAAATAGCTTCACTATCTGGCAATTACGATCCTCCTACCTCTCCACAATCAAAGACGGAATCGGAGACCGCTTGATAAATGTCAACAATTCAGTCCTCAATACCCCCGGATTTCGCGCCGCAGGCTGGTCGACCGCCACCACCAACAACAATGCCAGTAGCGCATCCTCGCTCAAACGTACATACTCCCCACCCATTCCTACGACAGCAGCCGTTTCCTCGGAATACTATCGCCTCGCAGTAAGAGACGCGAATGCACGGGATGAGCTTCAAGGTCTTGGTCTGGAGGACGGCGAAGATGACGAAGGCGGGATGGTCACCGGGAAGAGCAACGTGGATCTAACAGGACGACGGGTTCAAGATCGAGCTGCGAAGAAGAAGCTCCGACGTGATCGTCAGCAGGAAGTCCAGCGGCAAGCCGTAGCAGAGGACGATGATAGCAGTGACCTGAGCGACAGTGACGATGATGGAGACAATCCACGACGGTAGGTCAATCGCTTATTGACTGCGGGCACCAGTGGCTGACTTGAAATCCAGGTCGACCGATCAAATCGATTTCCCCAAGCTACCCATTCGTCGCGAACGATCCGATTCCTCTCCAATTCGGTCGGAGGAACAGCACGAGCGACCCGAACTTATGATCACATCACCCGCAGCGCAAAACAGTGCAAATCACTACCGAGCGGGATCCGGATCCCTGGGGACATCAATTAAGAGCGGACGCCGGCCGCGGCGCGATACCGCAACAAGCAGTGAGCTGTCCACGGACAATGAGGTCGATGCACAAGGGTACAGGCCGGGGCAGGTTCAATTCTCGAACACCAACGAAGTGCTGGAGCGACCCCGGAGACGGCGAGAGAGGACGGGCAGCCGCGGTGCGGAAAGTTTGGCCCTCGAGGATCTGCAAGAGCAGGACGAAGACTCCGGGGCGGAATCTGTTGGATCGGCTCTATCCTCCGAGTTTGATGCCACGGCCGGCTCTGGCTCACTGCTACTGGCTGGAGTGGGTATGAGCGGTGGCTTGGATTCATCTTCACCAGTAGCGCTTATGCATAAACTGCCGACTGGGACTGGGCCTACGAGCAACTCTCCACGAAAGTCGAAGACACTTCCAACCCCCGAGCTTCATGATCTTCCACCACCACGGCCTATCAGCATCTTGCAGCCGGTGAGCTTGCTGACTCGACAATTGAAGGCTCGGACTCGTGCTCCAAGCAATCCAGTCGAGAAATTCATGGTTCTTTCTGGTTCTGGTCAGGGAGATCCCCTCTACCTTAAAATATACCTGCCATTTTCATCCGATCCCGAGAAGCCACTGGATCTACCACTCATGAGAGAATCTAAGCTGTCCGATCACCCTGCGCACGTTACCGTCGCTGAAGCGATTGGTCTAGCACTATGGAAGTATTCTGAAGACGCACGAGATCCCTCTCTAGAGCGTGAGAAGCTGACTGTGAATCGCTGGGCCTTGCGAATGGTCGACGACGGCGAAGTAGAATACGACTTCCCAGCACTCGGCCGCGCACTTCCCATGACGGATTTTACATCCAACAATAACCAAGCTGCCAAATCACGAGGACGCTCACGTGGAAAGCCATACGATGAGTTCGCACTAGTTGAAGCGTCCAACAGTGAGTTCGAAGAGAATGAAAGACTGTACCCTCAGTACAGCCAGAGTGTAGGGTCCGACGATAATGAACCGCTGCCCCAGATTGTGGTTCCAAGTGCTCAGCCCTCACCGCAAATCAAACTTCCACTTGGGCGCCATAATCCAATCCTGGGCCAGCCATTCTCGTCTGCCCTCAACGACAACACATTGACTCCCGCAGATCGACCCGCAATTCCTATATCCCATGCGACACCTCGTCTTGGGGTTGCCAAGACCATGAAGATCCGTTTCCTCAACCTCGAAGGGTCGGCGCACGTTATGACCCTAAACACAACCACCGATAGCTACATTGCGGAGATTCTAGACTCTGTATGCAAACGCTGGGGCTTGGACAAAGGCAATTACCTTCTCAAGATAGTGGGGTCAAGTACTATGGCGCCTCTTGATCGAACCGTGGAGGCCCTGGGAAATATAACAGACCTCGACCTTGTCAGACGCCGCTTCGGAGCAGTGCCCCTGTCCCTTGGTGGATCACCAGGCAGCCCGAACACACCGCTTCAATTGGACAACGGCTCTGGCAATCCTACCGCAGTAAAGAAGGGCAAGAAAGGAAACCATATGCTTCCGTCGTCTTCTCAGAAGCAGGATCTAATTGGCGGTTACTATCGTCGGTATCATGTCTACCGCAAGCAACCGATGTCTTTTACCGCTTCCAATCACCGCATCCTTACCTTTGACAACGACTACATGCATATCGTACCTGGTGAAACAGGCAAGACAGCTTCCGACTCCAAGACTCGCTCCATCAACTTCAACGATGTGGTTGGCTGTAAGGTGAGTCGGCGCCACCCGAAGAGCTTTCGGGTTGTTGTTCTACGTGGCAACGAAGCCAATGAGCAGAAGCGGTATGACTTTGAGGCTCGTAACGCCTTGGAAGCCATTGAGATCGTGGATGAAATCAAGAAGAACATGGCGCAATATCGTGTTTGATTTTCTGGGAGTTACCTCTTCAAAGCTTGATTATGAAACAGGTGTCATTGGGGTTGCAAGGTCGGAGTTAGACATTTATGATTCAATCTGAGCATTTTGAACATTTAAAATAAACCCCGTAGCTCTACATATCAAGATTAGAGCCTGGTACTGCCATGATTAAGGTTGTCGCATCGCTCCACGATAAGATAACAGCTGACTAATGTTTCCGATCTACAATCTACAATCCACAATCTACAAGGACGTCACTTCCTTTTACTTCACTTCACAAGCATGGATAGTAAAGACAGAGCAGACACTTCCAAGGGAAGTGAAAACTCCCAAGCTCCAACCACCAACACAAAACCCCACAGCTCCAAATTCCGCTTCAAAAGCACCACATCAAACCATTCCTCCCGAAAGCGACACCATAGTCCCAAACCAAAAGAACGCACTTACAAACGCCGCCCACCCCACCGATCCCGATCCTCAAACCACATCCAAGAAAATCCCTCTCCCCGCTCCAGATCCCTGTCCCCGAACTCAGCATTCCGCGAATCCCTCTTTGACGCAATGGGCGACGACGAAGGCGCCGCATACTGGGAAGGCGTCTACGGACAACCAATCCACAACTACGCCGTTCCACAGACAGAGGGGCCGGATGGTGAACTGGAAGCCATGGACGAGGAACAATACGCCGCGTATGTACGTGCGCAGATGTGGGAACGTACACATGCCGGTATGATTGAGGCGCAGGCGCAGTGGCGCGAGGAACGACGACGGAGGAAATTGCGTGAGCAGCGTGGACGTGCGGAGGATGCGGAGAAGATGTCGTTCGAGAAGGCGATGGAGGATAGTTTGAGACGTGGAGCGGAGCGGAAGAGGAGGAAGAGGTGGGGGGAGGTTTGGGAGACTTATCTTGCGAGGTGGGAGGAGATTGCGAAGGCTGTGAAGGAGGTTACGGAGAAGGAGAAGGAGAAAGAACAGAAGGGTGGAGATGGTTCCGTCCCTGTTCCTGCGTCAAAGTCTTTGCGCAATTTACTTTTTTGGCCTGTTGAGTCTGGGAAGAGGATTGATGTTGCTACGGAGTCTGTGGAGGAGTTTATGCGTCATGCGCCTTCGTCTGAGGATTTGATGGTCATCTTGAAGGCTGAGCGGGTACGCTGGCATCCAGATAAGATTCAGCATCGATACAGTGGGCTTGGGATTGATGATGTTGTTTTGCGGAGTGTGACGGAGGTCTTTCAGATTATTGATCGAATGTGGAATGAGCGACAACCCAAGACTTGATTATTTTGTCTGGGCTGGCATCGAATGGCGTTAATGATACCCAATATCCAACATTTTACTTATAACATTGAAAAAATTATCATGACTGTATTCATTTCAAACACTTGAGTAAACCAAAAACACAAACCAATAGATAAACAGGCTATGCAAGACCAATTTGCTCGAAACATATAAGGAAACAGATTCCAGATTTTTGTGTTGGACTGCGCTAGTCATATAAGTCCAAAGATCAGAAGCGTGAAGAGCGAGCTTTGGTCCGGTAGATAGTCCATCCAAAGTAACCACCGACAATGGCACCGAAGAACAGAACAATCTTGAACAGGAACCAGCTCCAGCTACCGCTCTTCTCCTTCTTGGGTCGAACGCTGCCACTGCGGCCTTTACCACGTCCATTGTCCGAGCCACGGCTGCCACCGGCGTTGTTGCGGCCAACGGAGTATAGGTTCTCGGCCTTGAGAGAGATGATGTCGTGGTTGTCGCTCAATTCACCAGTCTCAGCGGAGAGACCCAGGTAAGCAACCGAAGGGATGGCAATGTTGTGGTCCTCGGCGTTAAGGTTGAAGCACTCGACCCAGGTATCCTCGGTCTTGTACTGAAGCTCCAGGGAGAAGGACTTGTCTTGGAAGTAGGTGAGACGGGCTTTGGTAGGAACGGGGGCGTTGCGGAGACCACGAGCCTAAAGTAGAGTTCATATTAGCTTGAGGCACACTTATCCTGGAGGCGAAGGATAACTCACAGAGCATCCAGCGAGCTCGTTGGCCTTGCCGTCGTGCGCCTGGTCGTAGGTGGTCTGCCCGTCGCCCATCATGGCCATGACATAGGGGAATGAGACACCAGGACGGTTGTTTTTGTAGGTATCGAAGAAGATGCCGAGACCCTCGAATCGATCAGTTGAGCCGAAGACAGGGCCCTGCGTGGCGCGCTGCTTGGTGAGCCAGAGCGCGAAACCATCACCATGCAGGTTGCCATTGCCGTGAATCTCGAATTCCAGTTCGATCTGGACAGTGTGAGCAGATCGTGTTCTTGTTGTAGTATATGAACTGGGCTTGGTCACTAGCACTCACCTGCCAGTTGGTCGCTGTTAAAGGCACGCGGGAGAAGATCCATCCTTGCTGCGAGGGGCGGTCGGCTGTGAGACGGATGTATCTTGGAAACAGTCAGTACTGTACATAGAAATACAGCGAATTGGCAGGGTATCTCACTTGTCAGCCCGAATGATAGTATCTCCTCCGAAGTCGAACCAGCGGCTTTGGAAATCCGAGTCAAGGTAGGGCTGTCGCGAATGTCAACAACGGTGATCGAAAGCCGCGTTTCTCACAAATGCTTATCATGGAAGAAGAAGCTAGGGAGAGAGTATAGGGCATCATACCGAAGTGAGACTGTGCGTTCGGAGCTATAGATCGCATGGTGGTCAGTACCTAGACTGCAAGATGTAAACAAAGCACTTACGGGAATGCTTTTGATATTGGGATCATCGTAGGCGTTGACAGGCACAGAGATCAGGCCAGCAAGGCACAGGAGGGAGGAAAGAGTCGGCAGACGCATGGTTGAATTATGGCGCAAATGGAGGAAGCTCAAGGAAGGAGAGACCGGGGGTGGGATGAATGGGGCTGCGGTGTCACCAGGACCCGAGAACCCAGAAATTGAAACGAGAAGGAAAAGAAAAACGGCGAGAGTCGGATAGAGGGAGCGAAAGCCGAAAAGTTGGGAGAGTTGGAAAGCAAGTTGGAAGGGTGTGTACTTGAAGGTTAAAGGTGTCCACTTATCAACTTGTGGCGCAGTGAACCTTACCAGCCACATTTCGGGAATAACTTCATCAACAGAAACACAGATATTTACCGCGTTAACTAGTTTTACCAAGGAATGAACATAACAGAGATAATAAAACATTGTGACTCTTGTATGAAGTGCTAGTCGTGAATCGTCATTCATTCTGCCTAAGCGAGCACCCCCATAGGATCCCATCGAGGCAAGACCTTCGCAGTCTGCCCCAAAATAGCTCGAACCTCAGACGAAACAAAGTTCGCGTCAACAACAGCCTGGAAAGTGTACTCATCCATCCATCGATCGGTCATCATAAACCAACCCTTCTCTCCAGATGTCTCACCCCACGAGTTCTCCACGCGCCAGCGAACCGGCTTGTCATTCTCGATATGCACCCCCGTGATGACCATGGCATGGGTCATGGAGGATTCCCCACTAGCGAGTCGCTCAGCTTTGTTCATGCCAAGCGAGATGTTAAATCCGAGCGTTAGGTCGGTGAGTTCGGTATCCATGATACCAAGAGTACTATCGGAGAACTTGCCCACATCGCATCCGAAGAAGACGGGATGTCCAGCTTTCAATATCGCAATGACTGCTTTCTTGAGGATCGGCATCTCTACATTGACATATGTGAGGGGCTGCCCTTCGACCACGTTACCCAGTCTGTCGACTGTCAATAGCCGGTTGTACTCATTGCGCGGATCATTGACTAGACTGAAGAAACGCCCCGGGGAGATGGTAGGCCCACTGCTTCGCGACTGGGCTCGTGTCTGAGACCGGAGGGCCTCTTGACCAAACTCGACCGGGGTCTTTCGCACCTCGCGGGCAGTGCCACTAGCGTCATAGTATTGCCAGACGAAGGGCTTATCCGGGCTCGGCGCAGGGCCCAGTAGAAGAGTGACGAGAGAGTGAATCTCCTGCAGGAATTTGTCCTTGCTCACAGAAAGCAGATACGCGGCCTGGGGATCATTCTTCTTAGCGGCCAATTTGCGGAGGGCCAATGCCTGCTCGCGCAGCTTGGCAGTGAGGAGCCAGTTAAGCTTGGAACTGTTCTTCGCATGGTAGGCATCAGGGTAGAGAGCCTGCGGGACGAGTCCATACTTCTGCACCAAATTGGCGACCATATCCCACTGGCCACCGTCAGTGACAGGGTCCTCGTAGAGCTTTTGGACTAAGCGACTGGAGAGATCTTCATCTGCCGTAGCGATAATTTGTTCGAAGAACCAGTTCGCCTTTTCGATCTTGTCCCAGTAGTAGAGGTAAGCTTGGCTCAGCTCAAATTGATTAAGCTGATAGGCTTTCATTAGGGGTACGCGGAAGACATTGGTCGAGGCAAAAAGCCAACAGCGGCCGGACGAGCGTTGGTTTGTGATAGGCGCACCTTCCACGGGTACGGTCAAGTTGAAGATTTGCAGGTCAGACTTGAGGGCTCGCTGATCAGTAAGAATCTGGCCATAAGGCTGGTTTGCGAAACTGGAAATAGCCAGGCGGTTCTGTACCCTGATATTAGCATGCATTCCTCACTTTGGGTCTATAGATCCAACCTTGGCATCGCTCAAAAGACTCTCGTTCCAATCCTTCAGATGAGAGAGTGCAAGAGTCTTGATTCTATCTCGAACAGGATATGATTGAGGAGCTGGTAGATCGTCAATAAACATACGATAATTTGGAATCAAGGGTAGACGGACGATATTCGGTGTACTCTTCTGTGCTCTGACTAGTTCTAGTGGTCTCCATGGACAAAGGTGCCTTCTCTGTGACCGGCTCCGGCTTGGAAAATGAGGTACCCATGGTTCAGTAGAGCTGGTTGTTTGGAAAATGAGAGGTTCCACTTGAGAATATAAAGAGATATGGCAGTCTGGGAGGGAAGTGAGACTACAAGGTACTCAGATAATTGGGGATGCGGGGAAGTATAATGGTGCATGATCAGCTCGATTGGCGTCATTTGATGATTGGTCATAAACCCATGACTCCTCTCATAAAGAACCTAGACTTCCTTATCAGGACCTTGACGGGCTCCCGGCCTACATTGTTGATATCGCTTTAATTTGGTTGGTGGGGAGTTGGGTTTCAATCTTATCTGGTGGCGCTCCTTGTGATCTAAACGACTTGGAGATATGCGGCCTCCGAGTCTCGTCCGACTCGATAGTCATAGAAGATTAATCCCGGCGAACCTGTCGAATTTAGAAAGTTGAAAGTAATCATTATTCAGGTAAAAGGACCAGTCTGGTTTCTGAATGACCTTGGGTAGCGTCAAGATTTTAGCAGACGGAGATCAATGGCTCATGTGGATGCTACAAGTATGTAATGCATTGGAAGGAGTGGGGAGGGGGGTGTTGTCGCCTGATATCCAAGGTATCAATATGTGGCGCTCGCACCGCCACAGAAGCTAAGATCTTGACGGGACCTCCAAAGGTATCACCATATCTCCAACAAATCTTCATCCATCTAATACCACCCACAATGTCTTTCCTCGGCTCTTCCACCTCCAATTCCTCTGCCGATGTCAAGGCCAACCTTGTCCAGCAGCTCCAGCAGGAGTCTGCCATGACCAACGCCCGCGCCTTGATCCAGGTACGTCACTCACGACTCCTCGCAGTCGCGCCCGTATCAACTTGTCTATCAGATCAAGCTAATTGGTTGATGTTTAGAAAATCAACGAGAATTGCTTCGAGGCCTGCGTCCCTACCCCCGGTTCCTCCTTGTCGGCCCAGGAGAACTCCTGCCTGACCACCTGCATGGAGAAGTACATTAACATGTGGAACATCACCAGCCGCACCTACATCAACCGGATTGGAGTTGAGAGCAAGAAAATGGGAGCTGATACTGTTACTTCCTTCGGCTCCGGTCTTTAAAGGGATGGAAGAATGAATTTGAATTCTTGTTGAAGAGAGTAGCACTTTCTGGGGAAACATTGGAGGATGAAATATGGAAGATCTGAGGATCTGTGTATGAATAGAAAAGGCCGGAGAGCCCATGTACATTATTCGGTCGTGGTTCTTTTGGCTTTAGTTCTGGTTGACCAGGATAGAGGGAGGACCTGCGGAATACATTCCACTTGATTTTGTGTATATTGCAAGAAACCTTCAATGTTCAAAAGACAAGTAACAAAAAATAAAACTCGATTTCCATTGCTGAAATATACGATTCCTTAATCCACCAAATGCCATTAAGCTGGCTACTATGATATCACACCTGTTTTTCCTCGGCGATTCCGACTAGCGCCAGTGCCAAATCCAATCCCGAGCGGTTGATCGCAGGGGCTTTTCATATCTCGTTATAAATCATACAAGCACTTTTAGAAGTCAGGGAAAAGATGTCCGTATCTGTGGGAGAGGTAAGCTCATGCAATGGGAGATGGAAACAGAGTAAACATACGCATCTTCACCCTCCTGTCCGTAGTGCTCCGTCTCTTCGGGATATTTGTCGTACTGGCTTGCATCTCCTTGTCCACCGCGGATCGGTGGGATGTAGGGAGCATCGATATCCTTGCGTTCCAAGCGCTCCCAGGTGACCTCGGCGAACCAGGCGTGGTTCTTGACATCCTGAGGACCGCCGTGCAAATTGCCCAGACGCTTGGTGAGATCGGAGGTGATCAACTGTGAGAGGAGATCGACGGCATCGTCATGCAGGTATGGCGGGTACTTGACCTTGCCACGCAAGATATTCTCATAGATCTTCACCGGGGACCCGCTATCCCAGAATGGGGTGAAGCCGCACAACATCTCGAAGATGAGAATTCCCAATGACCACCTAAAAGAGTTTAGACAAGGAACGCAACAATGCAGTGTAAAAGTGGAAAGCATACCAATCGACAGACTTGTTGTATCCCTTCGAAGAAACTACTTCCGGAGCGAGATAATCGGGTGTTCCACACAGGGTCCAGGTAATATCGGGGACATCCTTGGCAAATCCGAAATCTGTAATCTTCAGGTGGCCATGACGATCCAAGAGTAGATTCTCTGGTTTCAAATCTCGGTAAATGATCTGGTGATGATGCAAATATTCCAAAGCAAGGGTCACTTCCGCAGCATAGAATTTGGCAACGGGGTTAGGGAATCGCTGAACAGAAGCGTAAGATTAGCAGGGTGTTCGGCGGGACCAGAGCGGGGGCAAACCACTCACTTGAGACTTGCGTAGCAAACTGAAAAGCTCGCCACCCTCAACAAAGTCCATCACCATGTAAAGATTCCGTGAATCCTGCCAGGTTCCCCAGAGAGTCACCAAGAACGGATGACGAACGCGATTGAGCATCCGACGCTCGTCATTAGTGTGCTCAATTTGCTTCATCTTGACCACCTGGGCCTTCTTCAGCACCTTCATAGCATAGAAGCGATGGTTGTGCTTAGATTGGACCAAATGAACTCGACCAAAGCTACCTGTACCCAATGTGCGCTGCAACAAGAAGTCCCCCTGCGAATACTTGCCCCGAGTGGTGCGCTCTTGGCGGGGCTGTGACTGCGGAACTGCTGTCGCATTGGCATGATGGGCGGGGGACTGAGTACTCGATTCGGCCTGAGCCGGAGTATTTATGAGATTGTTTATGCTGGCGGCATTGTTGGAGTGAGCAGAGTGAGCTTGGGGTTCGGAGGATCCTTGTGACGGTACGGCGGATTGCATGGAGGCGCCTTGACCTTCCTCCGGGTTAGCTTCGGTAGAAGATTGATCTGGGCGGTCTGGGTTTTGAGGCAGCTCCTTGGACAAGGTCTGCGAGTCCTTTGTTCGCCGCTTCTTCAACAGGCCTCCTAAGCTCGGCATGGAGGACGGTTGATGAATGTCAAGAAGGGAGGAGAGTCCGGAGAGTGGGGAGGGGGGTTGCGGCCAGAATGACGCATTGATCTCCCTTTCGGGAAGTGAAACTCCACTAGATAGTCTTCCACTGAACCTAAGTTGAAAATTGGTTGGGGAGTTTTTTCTCCAGAGGTTTTACCTTAAAAATGCCAGTGATGTCGGGAGTTAATGGATTCTCGATTGACTCAGATTAATTTAGTATTCGCCCCCCATCTTCTTTCCCTCGCCACTAAATGTATAATGAAGAATGAATACTCCGCTTAATTCAATATATTGGTCATATAACGATAATAATTCTGTGGTGTGTTTGATTGAAATTGCCTTGATTATATCCCTATCGTCCAAAGCTCCTTTCAATGATATAATCGTCAATCTTGTTGCTCATGGAAGTTCACGGAGAAACCGGATGACGGCGATGACGTTGGGGACATGATGAGCCCGGCATATTGGGGCCAGGGTGAGTTTCATAGACAATCGACTAATTTACCCCAGATAAACTTTGAATATGGTTGCATGCGGTCAGAACATAAGGTCGAAGTGGTCTAAGGGAGAGATTGACTTTGGAATGAGCCCTATAGTCGGATTACTTTTGCTTCTGATGCTTTGGGCATTGATTTCAGTGATTATGTCATCATGCATGTATTTACTGCCTGATATACGAGGCCTTATATTAAGGCATCAAGGTATCCACAATTATCCATTATCAGCAGTTAGCATCGAGCCTTAGTCGTGAATTAACGTTTCTTACAACCAACACTTTTCATCATGGCCTTGGTAGCTTATTCTGACTCAGAGGGATCCGATGCCGAGCCAGACACCACACCAGCCCCTGTGATCGACAAGTCAAAGAAGTCTGATACCAGCACTGGTTTCCAGGTCGATCGCAGCAACCCGCGCAAGATTCGTGTCGCCCTCCCGAATCTCAAGCCCGAACACCCCACGGACCAGGACACTGAAGATGGTCCTGCGCGCAAAAAGGCTCGCCTAGGTGCAGGATCAGGCGGGGCCTTCTCGGGATTCAACTCGTTCTTACCCGCTCCGAAGCGTGTTGAGAAGAAGGCGCCTGTCGCCACAACGCGCAAAATATTCGGTTTGAAGACCGGCGCCACCCCAGGATTCGACCGGCAAGCCGATGCCGAATTTAAAAATGACCTCGCCTTGAACTTGAATACCCACGGAGATGCCGATGGAGAGATCCCTGCAGCAGGCAGTCTGGGGCAAACCGCAACCGATACAGATCCGGAAACATTTCAAAAGACGGAAATTGGCGAAGTCAAGTTGCAGGGTAACCCCATGATGTTCAGACCGCTGTCTGTGGCAAGAAATCAGAAAAAAAAGAAGGCCACAAAGTCGACATCCATGCCAACGCCAACACCAGCCAACCTACCGACAGAAAAGCCTAGCGCAGCAGCCCCTCCACCGCCGAAACCCAAAGTCAGCCTCTTCTCCATATCATCAGAGGATTCTTCTTCTCGAACAGAACTACCATCAGCCGCGGCAGGGACGTATGAGCCATTGGTGTATACCACGGAAGCCGAGGCTGGAGCAGCACCCGCACCGGAATCAGCACTGGATGCTCCATATGCCAATTCCACCGTGCCGTCATCACATTCACTGGACAACATCGCCAATGATCTGAATCTGTCAAAGTCAGAACGACGCCAGCTCTTTGGCCGTAATGCCCCGCCTGTGGACTCCCGGATCCTCACATTCAATACCGATAAGGAGTACGCCCATAACCAGGCCTTAGCACACACGGAGTTGGCTGGTACACAGCACCAGCCTGTGCGTACCATCAATACTACTGGCAAGCACAGCTTGCAGCAGCTGGTCAATGCAGCAACTTCTCAGAAAGAGGCGTTGGAAGAGAACTTTGCTACTGGAAAAAGGAACAAGAAGGAGGCTGGATCGAAGTATGGGTGGTAGTTTTTTCATAGCGTTTTTGAATTATATTGTGATACCAAAATTCATTTCAAGTTATCTTTGTTCATCTGTTTCATATATCGGTCAAAAATGATAGCATCCGGACTTTGCTTTACACGGAGGGATGGAGAGTAATCCACGAGGACAACAATGTAGCAATGCAGGCATTGCGCGCTTCGTGATTGCAGTGTTGTCTTCAAATCAACAGACAGATCCTATAGCTGACAGGCTAAGTCGCAGTCTAACTGAGATATCTTTCTTACAAGATTGAATGGTCCATCGAATGGTATCGCATCCTTTCCAAGGTATTACAGCAAACAGGCATGCAGTGAATTGGAAATAATGCAATGCATTTCGAACTTTGAACTTAAATCTATCTTTCTATTGTGTACAAAAATCAACCTCAACGCCCAAAAATGAAAATGTAAGTACAAAACGCCAAAATATTGCAACGCTTTTTTAGATCATAGATCACGACGAAACATCCACGACCTCAGCGAACCACTGCTTAAGAGCAGTAGCCAAAACAGAGGGCAACTCGCGAACATCTCTAACAACAAGGTAGTAGGGGAAGGGGAAGTCCTCGAGATAGCGCTTCATCTTCAGCTTCATCTCACCACCAGACTCAGCATCAGCTTCAAAGCTAGCCTGCGACAGATCAAGAATGGAGCTGCCCTTGACCGCATCAACGATAATGAAGACAATCATGATCCGCTCCTCAAGAGCCTGGCGCACAAGACGGCGAATAGTGTCGTGATCTTCACAGATACCATCGGATATAATCAACTCAAGCTGCCAGAGATCCGCAGATCCAGAGCCAGGGGAGCGCTTCCAGCGAGCCTCACGGAAGAGAGCAATGGAGTCGGCAATAAGCTTACGCACATTGGTGCCAGTCTGCTGGTAGCTGAAGTGCTGGAACACCTGCATACCAGCCTCGGAGGAGAAAGGCTTGCCGAATTCGTGCGCCACACGGACGTGGTCCTCGTCACCGAATCCAAGGACGCACAGGTCACCCGCTTCGAGCATGCTCAAACTCTTGGCGACCAAGGCCAGCGTCTCAAAAGCAAGCTGGCCACTGCCGCTACCTAGCATGGATTTACTGTCATCGACGGCAAGCATGATCTGGTAGTTACGCTTTGAGGGAATCGAGCGACGCATCCAGATCTTGTCACGCTTGTACTGGGATGCGATGTAGGGAATGATTCGCTTGATGTTCAACCGCTTACCGGTGCGGAAGTCACCACGTAGCTTGGTAGCCATGGTGGGGGCAAGGATGAGACGCAGCTGTTCAGTGAGGGATAGAGAGAGGTCGTTTGTGGCGGATTCATAGTGAGACCAGAGACGACGGGCGTCCTCTTCTGAAGTCAATGGGGGAAGGGAAGAAGAGAGGTGGATAGCCGCGAGTTGCGTGTCGACTTGGTCCAACTCTTCGTTAACGTCTTCAGCGGGAGCACCGTCTGCTTGCTCTCGAGAGGTCTGGTCGCCAGGAATGAAAGCTCCGGCTTTCCCGTCAGTTGGGACGGGAGAACGGTCGATTTGCATCTCGTCCTGAAGTTGATTATCTAGGGCATCTTGTTCCTCTGCAGTGTCTGGAAGAACATCGTTCTCGCCAGGCTTCATGTCTGACTCCACGCCCTTGTTCTGGTCGAGAGCCTGGGCTTGGTCGTCATTTGCTTGTCCGAGAGCTTGTGTGTCGGCCTCATCTTCATCATCCTTGAGATGCTCGAAATCGGCATCCGCCATGTCGGTATCTTGAGGTAGTGGCTGGGAATCCTCCTCTTCTTGAGAGGGATTCAGCACCTCCTTTTGGCGACGGTGCCACTCCTCGAGAATGTCCCCAAGTTTCTTGAATGCCTGGATCTGGGGATCATTGGGAGAACTGTCTTCACCTCCCCCAGCATCGCGACTGGCTTTGCTTTCTTCACTATCCTTGGCAGCGCCGTTTTGTTCCTCGGCGCTGGCAGTCGGATCGTTGGAACCACTCTCTTGCTGAGCGTCTCCCGAGGCCCCCTTGTCCTCGTTCTGGTCTTGGTCGGCACCTTGTCCGCCAGTGACAGCTTCGCTGGGCGCAACTTCATCGGCAGTGGCCTCGTTATCGTCACGCTGGGCAAGGAACTCATCATGCTCAGGCTCCTCTGGATCCTCTCCGCCGGCTTCTTCCTCTTCCTCCTCCTTGCCATCAGCCTCTCCTTCGTTCGTATCTTCTCCCTCGCCCATTTCCTCATCTTCGCCAGGAACCTCCTCGGGTGCCATGTCGGCATCCTCGTCTCCGGCCTGGTCATCCTGGTCCTCGCCCCTTTCTTCCTCCGGAAGAGGACCCATGTCGTCCATGTCATCCATACCATCATCTTCACCCTCATCATCACCACCTTCCTTATCATCGCCATCAAGCTGCATTTCGTCGGGCAGCTCAAGGGCATCTTCTTCCTTTGCTTGAGGGTCGGTCACATCCATATCTTCACGACCGACCGCTTCACCCTCATCATCGGGATCCTCTTCCTCCTCATCATCCTCTTCCTCATCACCATCCTCTTCTCCTTTCTGGCCCTCCTCGGCCTCCTTCTTCTGCTCCTGGGCGGCGGCTTGCTCATCAGATTCAGCTTGACCCTTTCCTTCATCATTCTCTGCTTCCTTCTGCTGGTCATCATTGGCACCGTCCCACATCTTTTCGTCGACGGCGCCAGCATCAAGACCATCAACACTGCCCGTCTCCTCATCAAGGTCACCCTCCTCTTCATCTTCATCATTGTCGTTATCCTCATCTTCCTCTTCCTTGTGTTCACCTGACTCAGCATTAAGCTCATCCTGATCCATGTTAACAGCATCGGCAGAATCATCCATCTCCTCGTTTGCGTCTTCCTTCGGCGCCTGCTGAGCAAGCTCCGAAAGATCCTCGTCATCACCAACATCTTTGCTGATATCTTCGGCACCCTCACCGTCGCCAAGGCCAGTTCCGCTCTCCATCTTGCCGTCCTGACCCTGGTCCTGGGAGGCTTCGGCTGGGCTACAGAAACCTTCAGAGGCAATTTGAACGAATGCCTTGGTCAAGGTGTATGAAGTCTTGCAGACCTCGCGGTGAACTGTGATGAAGCGATTGATCAACTCTCGGCAGATATCGTAATATCTGTTGGCAATTGGCAGAATGCTGGCAATCAAGGCAGCAGCTCGTTTGAGATCATTCTCGTTGTCCAAGTGCTGCATCTGCTCCAAAACAGCCGCAAGGGACGCACTGATCTCGCTGATGTGAACATTCTTCGACGCACGGGAGAAGAACTCGTCACTTCGTGACAAAAGGCCACTGAAGTCGATTGAAGCAGGCACCTCCTTCAATTTCTGCAGTCCGACGAGCATCTTGTCAATGGCCGCAAGAAGGGTGCTATCGAACTTCTGAATAGAAATGCCGGGGGCAGACTCTGAATTCATGTGAACGTGATCAGCCAGGCCGGGCAAAGACCATTTGCGAATCTGGCTGAGAACGAAGGATAGATCCGGACGTTCACCCTCCCATTTCAGGAGATCAGATGAGAGCTGCTCAAGCAAAGCGTGCGCCTTGTCAGTCAAATCCCTCTGCTTACGTGACACAAGTCCAACAGGAAGTCTAGGGAGAACGTTGAGTGCTTTCCGTAGATCTTCAAGAACACCCATTTGAGAAAGAAGACCCTCAGTGATGGTGGAGGCCTGCAGACCGGAAAACTTGGAGTGTACTCCAACGACTTCAGAACCAAGCTTAAGAATTGGGATCAACCACGCCACCTTTCTGGAGAGGAAGGCCTGTCGCTCTTCGAGCTTGACATAGACCTTGGTGAAAGAGGTAGATTCAACAGTCCAAGTACTCTCCATTTTTCCAATGATTGCCTCCAAGGATCCCAACCCAGACAGAGCAGGGGAGATAAGGCCTCTCTGTCGGCGAATCATGAACAACAAATGTTCAACGGAGCCCATACTCCTGGAAACCTCTACGTTGGTCAACTCATCGGAGTAAGTTCGTGACGCCAGACGAGCTCTTGGCAACAGGTCCAACAAACGGTGGAAGTAGGAATCGGCGCTGTGAATGGCCTTTGATGTAGCAGTCCCAGATTCGAAAGCAGCACTTGTTGAGAGGACTTGTGCAAGCGACACCTGAGTTTCGATCAGGCTAGTTCCCGCATTCCGCTTAACTCCCATTTCGAAGACACGCTTTAATGTATCGGCATAGAGACGACGCTTTTGGACCTTGAGGTGCTGTACGTCATCCTTGTTGTCCAAAGTAAGCGTTTTCGGAGTCTGAGTCTTGAATTCGTTGATTCCCTCGATCACAGACACGGTGAATTCATCAAGATCCGCGGTAATGTCAAACTCCAAAGGAATTGCCGTAAACAGGTTCATCATGTTGCGAGAAGTGCCCTCGGGATTTTGGAATCTGAGTGGTCTCGAGCTCCAGGCGTCGGTCTCCTGGGAAGATACCAATGCTTCCGGGAACACGGTAAAGGCAAGGACCTTTTTCTCCTGTTGGGGAATGACTTCTTCTGCTGTAGCATCCGAAAGGCCTTGTTCAATAACCGGCTGCACTAGCTGAGCAAGAGCCGCCCGGTACTTCCTAACCAATTTGAAGAGCTTGATGTGTGACCGTCTGGCACTCTCCTTGAGGGCGATAATGTTGGTGTCTTTCCAGCTCGCCAACTGAATTTGCTCTTTGATGTCCTTTTCAAGGGTAGCTCTCTTTTCTTGCAGCATCTTTTCCGCCAAAGGTTCGAATGGTTGGAAGTGGGCGATGAAATTGGCCAGCGCAGAAGCAAGTGGCTTGAGGCATTCGTAGTCCTTGGCGAAAATCAGAAGAGTCGCTCGGAAATCAGACACAAGTTGGAGACGGCGAGAAAATTGACCAAGAGTGGTGGACATGAAGAATTGTTCCAGTGTAGAGATGACACCTTGGATGTGGTCACTCATGTCTTCCTCGCCAGACTCAGCCATCTGAAGAGGCACAGCCAAGAGGGCTTCATACGCAACAAACCACCAGGCGCTGACGTCTTCCTCGCATCGCTCTTTCTCGATATCCAAGAGCTTCGCCCAGGTAGTCAGTTCAAGTCGACGCCAGCTGACTGTCATACTCGTGATCTCGTCATAGAGAGAGGCGGCAGAATATTCCCGGCTAGCGACAAGCTGCCATTCATGAACATAGGAGTGAAGCTTTTCAACCTTGGTCAGGAATTTCGCAACGGGCTCGGTGTGCTTGAATTGGAGAATTTCGGAGCAGCAGGTGATGACATCTTGAAGAACAGCATGCTCTGGCCATGCGGTTTGGATTTGAACAAATCGCGATTGGACCGAGAGCGTCAGAGTAACAAGTCTGCGTGCCTCGGCAAGATTGGAATCAGTGTAGAAGTTATAGTTCTTCTGTCTGTCTTGAGATTCCTCGGCAACAACATCATCAAGAAGTAGAAGGACCACGGGCAGGTGGTTTTGGGCCAAAACTGGAGAGAAATCTGTCTTGCTCTTAGACCACAGTGATCCTAGTAGGTTACCAGTCTGCTTGACAAAAGCACGCATTGCATGTCCGGTCTGACGATCGCTGACAAGCTTAGCATGTAACGAGGCCAGTCGAGAAGCAATGAGCCTAGGATCAAGCGCAGCAACATCCTCTGAGTTGGGTAGGCTTTCCTTTTCATATGTAGGGAACAGCTCGTCGAGGTCTGCTTCATCGACTTCTTCACCGTCTTCCCACGAACCTCGGTAACGATAGAGTTCAGACTTTTCAGCTTCCTTTTCTTGGTCCTCACGGAGCCTGGTTTTCCACAGTTGATGGAAATCAGCAAACACATTGCGGATCGTATCGCGACCAGATCGAAGTTCAAGAATGTTTGCATCCGCGTCCTTGGCGGCCCAGAGTGCAGACAGTTCATGAAGTCGCATTTCGATGACATTACCATGGCTTGGTGCCTGGCTCGGGTCAGACTCGGAGCCACATGCATCCTCAAAGGCAGGGTGAACAGATCCACCTAAGAAAGGTGTGCGTTGACTCAGACACTTGATGTCTTGAATGTCATCGATCTTTTCATCTGACACGGAGCTCAGGAAAAGACCAGTGTCGAGTAGTTGAAGGAAGCGAACCACAGGCTCGGTTATATCATCATACGATCTGTAGTGCGCGCTGAGTCGGCTACTGAGCTGGTGGATGTTGTCCCGCATAAGTTGGACCATTTCCTGCGTACTCGAGGATTTGGCCGACTGAATCAACTGCTCTGGGTTTCGGTTGAGAATGGAATTGATCAAGTTCGAAAATTCTCCGTGCAACAGACCGAGTTCGGATTTCTCGGGTCGTGTGACTGATGATGGAGGTGGAGCAGATCCCAACGTCTTGGTTTGTTCTTCAAGTAGAGCAGACCGGAGATTGGAGGCTTGACCAGAGAAAGTGGCCTCAAATGTCAAGATGGCATTTGATTTAGCATTGAACTCGTCCAAGCGTTGATCGTGGCGCCTGCGCTGAACGACAAGACCAAGAGATGGATCGAAAACCTTATCCGGAACAAACAAGCGGAGAAGAATCACTGCCAGTTGAACTGAGGCGAGGGCCACGGGGTGAGTCATACCCTCGATAGGGACGATGTTGGTAGTGCCTTCAAGAGGTGTCGCCAATGACTTAAGAAGAGGGGGAAGGGCATTCTCAGCGAAGCTTCTGAAGAAGTGACCCTCTCCAATGCTGCTCTGCAGTTCGATGGAGACAGGGGCCAGATCACAAGTACCATCTCTCTGGACGACTTGTAGAGCAGAAACCAAGCCCGTAAATGACTGAGGCTCGAAGAATTCCTGATGACAGCAAAGCAATTCGATCGTCAACTGCGCAAGAACGCGCTGGAGAGTACGCAGTTGTTCTTCCGCAATTTGACGACTGCTGACAGTGAGGGCTTTTGATAGCGCTCGTTTCTCAGCTTGCAGGAGATCCATTTGACCCAAAGTTGTAGCTCCCACTGAGGTCAGTCTATCCAACAGAGATAGTGGGAGAACCCCACCAATAGCTAAGGAAGAACGCGATGAGTTTGCCGCGCCAGTGAAGAGCGCAAGCCTATTGAGGAGTTCTGGGACGCTGCTCTGGAGACTTGACGAGGCGAGTGAGCGAGCAGGGCGACCCGCAAGCAATGGAACCATAGTTTGGATTGCCGAGTCGCGGTTTCCTTCGTCGGCAACAGACATGTCGCGATACTGGCAGAGGGCCTCAAAGGCTTCTGTGAAGTATGGGTGTTGGGGAGAATCAGAACGTCGTACAGCTTGGCCAAGCTCGTTCACTGTTTGCTTAAGACTGTGCACAAGGGCTTCTCCGTCGGCGCCATCCAAGAGGATGAACCGCTGGGCGTTGATCAAGGAATCCCAAACAGTACTGAGTTGAGAGATATCAACTCGGGTTTGCAAGGCAAGCGCAGTGAATTCGGCCACGGTTTTCTCCAACTCAATGAGGGAGTTAAGTTGCTTTTGAGAAGCGGGTGTGACATGTCTCCAGGCATCCCACATTCTCTGCATGCTCAAACCAGTTGTCAATGCCCAGCCAGCTTGGAAGCGAGCGAGGGCGCGAGAAAGAGGCGCTTCCAAAGGCTTGAGCAATGGGGATGAGCTTAGTAGCGATGCGAAAATCTGCCTACCAATTTGCAAGTAAACTTGGAATTCGCCCTCCTCAACCTTCATAACATCCGTGGCACGGTAAATATCCCAACACAGACAGATAATGGACATCAGTACTGTAACTATTTCCGGGGATTGCACGCTGATTTGATCCAGACCCTGAATATAGTCGTATAGAGCCTGGCCACAATCCATCAAGAAGTGGCTGACGGGCTGTGTTGTATCCTTCATCAATGACTGTATCCGATTTGATGCCAAAGATCGCTCAAGACTTGTCATTTGACTTGGCTTGAGCTCCTTTGCGGACTCATTGGCCTGGACAAGGCTTTGGCGAAGACGGTGAATCTCAAGCTTGAACTCTTCAAGGTAAGCCAGGATAATGAGACTTGAGCGATACTCACTGTTTCCAGTGATTGACACGAGAGGCTCATTGACCAAGGGATGCATAGGCTGCAGAGCACCCTGGATGCTCAAAGAGGCCCCTGCCATGATGATATCGCCAGCAATGACTTCGAGCGGTTTCCATTGTTCTTTGTCGCGGACCAGTGATTGGTAGCGCTGCAAAGCACTGGAGATGAGTTGGCTGGTTTTTTTATCATCGGCATAGGGGAGCTGGGTTCCAGGCAACTTTTGAAGATAGGACAAGTCCGCCGGAGAAAGATGATCCAGGCAAACACCAATGGATTCATCAAAAGCGGCAGGTGGCAACGTAGCGTCCAGGTTCCAGATATGGCGTAGTCTGTAAAGAGACGATTCGCAAGTGTAAGATGGGCCTACTACACTGGAGATATCCTTCACCTCGTTAGACATGAAGCAGATCTCAACACATCTGTTCCGCATGGCGCGTGACAGTTCTCCGTTGCGGGGATCCATGGTCAAGAAGATACGGAAGTTGGGATGGGGTGTAACGATGCGAGCCGATCCATCTTCGGTGCGCTGCTCGTTCAAGATGAGAGTACCATTTGGCTCTGTCAAGGAATTTAATCTGTCAAGAACAGATGGGTTGCAAAGATTGGCATTGTCGAGAACCACCCAGTCTCCATTTTGGACAGCTCTCGTGAGAACACCTTCAGTCCATTCAAATCCAACCTTCATCTTATCAGCCTGGTGGATTGTGTCGTGCAGCTTTTGGGCTCGCTTGAGGAATTCTTTGAGCGTCAGGTCGGAGTACGACTCGCAAAGATCCGAAAGAGCCGAGATGACAGTTTCTAATGATGTCTCTGTGGTCTGGAAATGCTGGCAAATTTGGAGAGCTGAGCCAACCGCATTCGACACATCACCGGTCGCAAAGGAATGAATGATCTGGTGGCGCAAGAATGCCTCCACGTCGTTGACAAACGACGAAACTTCTCGTCGATGGTCGATTTGCTCAAAGCCACCAATCAAATCCATCGTATCAGTGTCCGCACTGAGAGCCAGCTCCTGCAGCGTCGCACCATTGATGGCAGCAAGCTTGCGGATTAAAGTTGTTTTCCCACATCCAGCAGCACCAACCAGGATACTAGGCCAAGAGTTGTCAATGCACAAGATAAGGGATTCAAGGATATGGAGATCCTTGGGCAGAATCCTCATTTGCGGCTCAACCGAGCGCTGTAGAAGACGGTCCCGAGTCAATATTCCGAGACCGACCTGCAGATGCTCGGCAGTAAGGTTGTGGAAGTAACTCTTTTGAACGACGTCGGAGTCAGTGAAGATGCTATCATAAATCTGAGAAACCAGTTTTCGATCATCCTCACTCCGGAAACGCTGGCTGATGACAACGTCCAAGAAGTGCTTGGTGGAAATTTGCAGATTACCCCGATCGGCCAGCTGCAGCCACCGTTGGATATCTCGCAGATTAACTTCCCAGGGTCCGCCGACAACGCCAAGTCGACGGTCTGTGACGATCGCTTTGTTCAAGGCGGAGATGAAATCTACCAGCCTATCGGTTTGGATTGAAGGACTTCCAGGGAAAAGTCTAGCACAAATGGTTTTCAAATCCGAATCAGTAAAGCTCTCGGCGTAGACAACAGTGAAACGGTTCACAAAAGACGCAGGAAGTCCCTTTCTACCACCACCTTGGTGGTGCGGGTTTTGCGCGGCAAACAGGACGAAATTAGGGTGGCGTTTGAAGGTCTGGTCGAGTTCGGCGATGTAGACTTGTTGTCTGTGATCCAGACAGGAGTTCAGACCTTCGAGCACAGACTGAGATGCAAGATTCATTTCATCCAGCAAAACCCAGTCACCGCGTTGCATGGCTCGTAGGAACGGAGCATCTCGCCACGTAAATTGGCCAACGTCTCCTCCTTCAACGGGAACATCAGAACCAAACAGGTCCGTAAGATCTGTCTGCTCTGAAAGATTGATACGAGTGAGGGGCTTTCCAAGGGCCTTTGCGAGGGCCATAACAAGGGTGGTCTTACCCACACCAGGGCTGCCTTCCATGAGAATAGGCTTCGATGATTGGAGACCACGAGCAATTCTGACAGAGTTGGCAATTGTGGTTGGCGCGTCCATTGTGAATTGATGGTCAGGCTCCGTCTCTCCCACAGTAGGGAGTTTGAACGGCCCGACCTTCAAAAATCCAGGCTCCAAGGTAACGGTCGATGACTCCCTATAGATAGCGGAAGCATTTACATTGAACAGCTCACCGAGCTTATCAAGACACTTTTGTCGGTTACCATCTAGATTGTTCAAGGAGATAGCAAGCATTGCAGCGGGGTTGGCACCCAGAGTGTCGACAAAGACCATGGCGGCACCTTGGATGATGGCGAAAAGGGGCTCGTCAGTTTGATAGGTATTCACAAAATCTACCCATGCGAGAAGATCACGAAGCGATAGAGAAGTGGTCGAAGTGTTTTGGAAAGTAGTCTTGAACCACACCGCGAACCTAAGCATGGACTTTGCCACCTTCTCGTCGTTGAGCTTTAGTCTCATTTGCAAGATGGGCAGAATATCCTCATCTTCAGAGAGTTGTGGGGCCCAAATTTCAGTCATACGGTTACGAAGAGCAGCTGAAAGCTCTCGCTTACCATAATCACCTCCGGGATTCATGGTTGACAAGAATTGGAACCCACCATCTGCCACGACCATGGAGTCAATAGGACCTTTTTCGGCAAGAAGAATTGATCGATGAGGCTCCAGGACACTGTTGAGTCGTTCCAAGACAGAATCATCTGCAAGAGAAATTTCATCAAGCAAAAAGAATTGACCGGTCTTCATAGCAGTAATGAGGCTTCCGTCGGACCATTCAAACAATGCGTTGGACCGAGAAATGTTTGTTTCAATCCTGCGCAAAAGATCTTGATCTTTGGCTTGACGTTGTTCTGCATCAAGGGCTGAAAACTCTTGCTTCAGTTGTTCGAGGGAGGAAGAGGCAGGCTGATCGCCATGAAGGAGGAGTCGAAGGTCGTCGCAGATCTGCTTCTCAATGGCTGCTCGATTTCTGATTGGTCTCTGGGCACCAATAAGATCACCAGTTTCCAAATTGACGTGGGCATTCATGATAAACAGCTCTCTTCGGAAAGCTTCAGCGACGGCCTGACAAAGCTGAGTTTTACCACAACCAGTCTCTCCGACGAGAAGGACCGGCTCGTTGTTCTTGAGTGCTTTGGAAACAAGAACGAACAGACGCCTCATGGCCTTTGTCCAAACAACTTCACCAGGCAATTCGCTCATCTGAGGCACATTTCTCTCTAACTGCGCGGGGCTGTATAAGACATCCTCATCCAGGCGGACTTTCATAACTTCTTCAATCACGCTTTTCACAGCGGCCTTCTCCTGGGGATTCCGTACACGCTCGGCAAGAAGCATGAATCCATTGATGGCCAGTTGCTCCTTATCATCAGCATCCCGGAGGGCCCATCGAAACAGGTCACGCAGAGTGGCGAAACTGTTTTTTTTCTCGAAAAGGCGGTTAGATTGGCGAAGCAGTGATAGTTTTCGGTAGACTGAAACAATCCGTGTGCAAAAAGAGGGCGCAATTTGAGATCGTTCCTTCAGAATGTACTCCAACTCACTTTCCGGGATATCATCGAAATGCAATTCAAGGAAACGGTTGCGGAACGCACGAGAAAGAACTTTGCGGCCACCGTAGAGACCTGCAGGATTCTGCGTAGCGAAGAGCATGAAGTTGGGGTGGGGCTTAACAGTTTCTTGAGTTTCAGGGATGAACAGCTCGCGGTTATCGTCAAGAAGCCGATTCAACGCCTCGAGAACATCTGAAGGAGCCAAATTAAGCTCATCAAGAACAATCCAGTACCCGTTGCGCAAAGCCTCCACCAAAACACCCTCCTGGTAACGAAGACTTCCATCATCGGTAGAAATGTATGAACCAAGATACTCCTGTAGATCTGTATGCTCGTGGTTGTTGATGCGAACGAACTTGTTGCCGGAAACCTTTGCCAGGTATTCAATCATACTTGTCTTTCCGGCAGATGTTGGACCTTGCAACAGAACGGGGAAAAGACGGGTCGAGCTAGCTCTCACTAGGTTCTTAAGATTCTTCTCAATGAACGGAGTGATGATGTAGTGCGGTTGTTCTTCTGCGACAAAAGGACCGCGGCGCATCCAGTAATGCTTGAATTGGACATAATCACTGCCATCCGCGGGTGGCTGAGGAGTTTGTCCAAGAAGAGACCTGGCGTTCTTTGCGTTGCTGAAGATATGAGCCTCAAGAAGGGGGACCAATGCCCGTTCGGACTCCAAACTCAACACGGTCAAGAAACTCATGCTAAAGCCTTCGAACATTGCACGACGCAAACCATAGACATGAGTGTGGCGAATGACATAGATAAGAGCGCGAACAAGGGTTCGAATACTAAAGTGCGGTCGTTGTCCGGCACCATCCGTTAGCTTGTTATCATTGCTGAGTTTCTTGGTCGCCATGTATAGCTGCGCGAGGTCTGCGGCAGCCCGGTCATCACGAATGGTCAAGTCTCCAAGATACTTTTTAACCAGGGCAATGAGATCGTCCATATCGGTGTCTGGGGAGTGTACGTAGAATTCGGTGAAGCGAGATCGCAGGCCAGGCGGAAGATCCCTTTTACCAGCATCTGTTGCGGGATTCATGGCACCAAAAATACGGAAATTAGGGTGGCCAAAGACTCTCTCAACATCACCAGCCTCAGATAGAAGAACAGAAGGGGTTCCTTCGCTACCATGGTGCAAGAGACTCGCGATGTTTTCCAGAGTATCGGGTGACGCCAAATTGACTTCATCCAACAGAACCCATTCACCATTTCGAAGTGCTCTCACAATCTTTCCTTGGACGAATGCGAATGCGAATTTGGCATCGCCTTGGGAGACTTGAGCTTCAAAGTCAGTGAGCTCCGATTGGAAGCTTTCCCAACGCTGTCGCAGGTGTTGATATTTTGGTGAGTCAAGCTTCCGCTTTTTAGATGGCTGCTCATCCCCATTCTCGGCCTCCTTGGACGGGGCTGGCTTGAAAACTGCATTGGACAACCGCACAGCCTCATGCCACAAAGTCACCAGGCGTACCCAGTTTTCAGATACCACGCTCTTGGAAACGGAAGACAAGAATTTTTGGTTCTTCTTAGCGGAAAATGTTAACTCAAAAAGCGTGTTGAACTCATCCAGCATCGGGATTGCCATTGTGCGAATGCTGACAGGTTTGAACCCTCCAAGCAGATCAGTGCTTTCACTTTGCTGTGACAAATTCACCACGGTGAGCTTCTGCCCTAACAAGGTGGCAAGCTGCTGAATAACAGTTGTCTTTCCGATACCAGTCTCTCCGACAAGCAAGACTGGCTCTGCCATTTGTACAGAGGCAGCTACCTGCTCCATGACTGACAGAGCCGATCTTGTGAAGGCAAATTGCGACGCTTCTTCTGCGTGCTTCTTTGCCTGCTTGTCTTCCGGCTTGTCTTCCGACTTCTTTGCATGCTTCACGCCCTTGATCTTCTGACAGACTTCACGGCCGATTGACAAACTATTACCCAAATCCTCGCACTTGAGGGGTCGATCATTGAGTTGATTATCTGCGCGTTGGGGCGAGATCTGCAATGCCTCTGCAACAACAGCAGTGAGGGAGCTTTGCATTGACTTTTCCGGGAGATATTTCAGGAATACATCAACAACATCAAGGAATATTTCGTTCTCAATAGCTTCTGAAGCAGGTTCATAGCCGGTTTTGGCACCTATGCGTTGCAACCGTCGGTGTAGCCGGCTACAGAGTTTGATCAGGTCACGGAATCCAGGAGTACGACCCTGAGATCCCTTAATTGCCAGACTGCCATGGAATGCGGAGCAGACTTTCGCATACACATCCATAATGATAGGCACTCGAGACTCCAAAAGAGGAAACTTTTGCAAAATGACATCTCGCATTTCATCAACTGGGAGAGACGACACCTGAACTCTCTGCCACAGTCTACTGCCAAGCATAGAAGAGCTGGGAGCAATTTCTTCGCCAGCAATGTTGTATGAGGACTTCATGGTTGCAATAATCTTGAAGCCCTCGGCGCACTTGATTCTCTCTCTTCGGCTCGCAATCGTCAATTCTCCTCTTTCGATAATCGGCAATATGAGACCAAGAACTTCAGATGGGGCGCGGTCAAGATCTTCAATCAAGAGCCAACGGCCTTCTCTCGCAGCTTTTGTCAAAACACCTGGCTGCCAGGAGAAAGAGCCAGTGGTGGAGGATGTAGCATACATTCCAAGAAGACTTTTAGCATCGGTCTGCTCATTGAGATGCAGCGTGACCATAGACTCTGCTTGACCCATTGTGGAGGCGACATCATTGATCAGTGAGGTCTTCCCTGAGTTCGGCAGACCTATCAACAAGATAGGTTTGGGTTCTAGGAGTGACTGTGCGATGCGGCGCAGGTTCTCTGTCGCAGTCTTGGTTTTCACAACCGAAGAAGAGGCCGATGAAATTACGTCTTTCAAGCGAGGGATTAAGATACCGCACACATCGGCCGATCTGGGGGTAAGGGAGTCCCGCAACCGGTCAACCAGTGCGATCATATCACTAGGTGATCGTATTGATCTCTGATTTTGGATGGTCTTGCCGAGAATTTCCCATCTACGCTCTTCCCACAGGCCAAGAAGGCGGTAGTCAATTGTGATTCCTTCCCATTCCCCTTCTATGGGATCAGTGCCGGTATTCACGCGCAACATGCTTTCGCTAGCAGCATCCGCCGCATGCATGTACATGGCGAAGCATCTTACCGCAAGGTACCGGATGACTGGGTCTTCGTGCGGAAACAGAGATTGGAGCTGGATCGGTGACACGGCTTTTGAGAAGGTCTCTAGGTCGAATGAGAGAAGGCGGAACAGGGCGAGGAGCAGAGTTCGGGTGCTGCTAGGATCCAGTTGACGCAATGTTAACTCCTTAGATCCAGCCAATGTCGACACAGGTCCAGTCTGTGATAAAGCATATTGACCAGCGAAGGATCGAAGGTATGAAGCAAATGGGAGGATGCGAGCGAATGCGGCCAGAATATGAATATGTTCGGCTTGAATGTCCGAGCGAAGCCATCGAGCTGCCAGGTCGACGAAAATCGGTTCGTATAATCGGAAGATATTTTCTGTAAATTGTGTATTTAATGCGCCAAGCGCAAGCGCGTGGAGCTGCTGAGTCCCCGACGGTGACCGAATGAGACTTGTGAGTTCATTCGGGAGCTGCTCAAGCAGCTCGGACTCTGATAGAGTCCTCTCGTAGACGGGTCTTCCATTCATTCTGTGACCCGGCTGCGTAGAGGGAGCTCCTTTTCAATTCGTTGAAATGTGAAAATTGTAAATGCTGTAGAGAGATTGAAATTCCCCATTACTTTTTTTTCTGCCCCGTCCCGGTGGTCCAGCCCCACCGACTCCAGTCACCGCCCACTTTTCAAGGTGACTAAGCGGTTCAGCTTGCGCAGCTCCGGTCCCCAGCTGGAGATAAAGACAACTTTCTTCAGAACAATTTTGGGGATGCTAGCTTTGTGGAGAATTCATGGTTCAAGATGTCAATAACGGATCAAGGTGCGGGTAGCGATGATAACTCCCGGGCAACATACCCTGATCAACCAGATCAAGAAGCCGATCTGTCGCAACCCCAGGATTTCCGTCGGAACACGGAGGGGTTGCACGAACCGTGAGTCGCTCCGTAATCTGGTATCTATGCAGGGCTAATATATGATTTCTGCAGTATATCCTTCAAACCGAAACATAAACAAAAACGACAGTCCCGATTCAGTTTATCAAGGCTCTTCTCGAATACCGCCGGCGGATCGAATACAGGGCTAGGTCTTGCGGGATCGCAAGGTGGACAAAATGGAGACGCATCGCCACTAGATGCCTATGAACCAGAGGAATTGAATAGAGACCCAAACTCATCTAAAGATGGTGCTCCTCTGGACTGGTATGTGGAAGGTCCCGGTCGACGAGTCGGATATGACGATTTTACTGCCATCGATTGGATCTACGAGTATACGAAAGAACGACAACGAAAGCGGCTATTGTACTCTAGCGGTCAGGGTGTTTTAGGTCATGTCCGCCGATTCCTGGAGGCTGGCAACATCTGGTTCGTCTTAGTTGCAACGGGAATTGCTGTCGGAATCATCGCCGCATGCATTGATATCGCAACCAATTGGCTCGGTGATCTGAAAACTGGTTATTGTAAAAGTGGCAGTGGTGGTGGAAAATTCTATTTGAATCGAAGCTTTTGTTGCTGGGGTTTAGATGGTACGTTTTCTATGCCTCCATGGTCACTTGCTTCTAATGCTAACGGAATATGTGTCAGATCATACAAAATGCATGGATTGGACACCTTGGGGATCTGCTCTCGGCTCCTCTTCTGTCGGTGGACGGTATACAATTGAATACATTTTTTACATTGTGTTTTCCGTAGGGCTTCTCCCCATCCCGTCTTGCCTCTCACTAACGCTAGCTAGGTGGTATTCGCATCCATCGCATGTGTGTTGGTGCGCAAATTTGCTATATATGCCCGCCACAGTGGAATCCCTGAGATCAAGACTATCCTTGGAGGTACCATGATTCGGCATTTTATGGGTCCTTGGACGCTTACTATCAAGTCACTTGGCCTAGTATGATACCCTCGAAGATAACCCACTATCCTTACTGACAATAACTTTAGTGTCTGGCAGTTGCGTCTGGTCTGTGGCTGGGAAAGGAAGGCCCGCTGGTTCACGTGGCATGCTGCTGTGCCAATATCATAATGAAGCCTTTTGACAGCCTGAATGGCAATGAAGGTGCGTACATTGCATTAAGCTTTCCCTTCATTCACTAAACTTTGCAGCACGAAAACGCGAAGTTCTTTCTGCAGCTGCTGCGGCGGGCATATCTGTTGCCTTCGGTGCGCCTATTGGAGGTGTACTTTTCAGCTTAGAAGTAAGCAAGAACTCCAATTCCAATGGATCTGTTGTGGAGAAATATTGACTTTGCCAGCAATTGTCCTACTATTTCCCAGACAAAACGATGTGGCAGAGCTTTGTTTGCGCAATGGTCGCGGCTGTCACATTGCAAGCCATCAACCCATTCCGCACCGGGAAGATTGTGCTCTACCAAGTCACCTACACGCGAGGGTGGCACCGGTTCGAAATCATCCCATTTATCATCCTTGGTATTGTAGGTGGTCTTTTTGGGGCGTTCTTTATCCGCGTGAACACCAAAATTGCGCAATGGCGCCGATCTCGGGGCTGGTCACGACCGCTCTTGGAAGTGGCTGCAGTGGCACTTCTAACGGCTTTAATCAACTTTCCAAACCATTTTATGAGAGCTCAAAACTCAGAGCTTGTTCAGGCATTATTTGCAGAATGTAGTAGCGAGACGACCGATCGCTTTGGCCTCTGCGTGTCAGGACCTGCATCGCTAGCCATTGTTGCTATGTTATTGGTGGGTGCTGCACTGGCCTTTTTGCTTGCTTCTTTGACCTTTGGACTTGATATCCCGGCTGGTATCATTCTCCCGTCTGTCGCTATTGGTGCTCTGTACGGGCGAGCTTTGGGCATGCTTGTTCGGATGTGGCAAGAAGCGTATCCCAAAGCTTTCCTGTTTTCCAAGTGTGAGCCTGACATCCCTTGTGTAACGCCTGGTCTATATGCCATTATTGGCGCGGCGTCTGCTCTCGGTGGCGCAACTCGAATGACTCTTTCAATCGTTGTCATCATGTTCGAGTTGACCGGCGCTCTTACATATGTAATTCCTATCATGATTGCTGTTATGCTATCGAAATGGTGTGGTGATATTTTCGGCAAACGTGGTATCTACGAATCATGGATCCAGCTAAATGAATACCCATTCCTGGATCACCGAGACGACACGAACCCACCAGATGTTTCCGCCCATCGTGTCATGACGACTGTTGATGATGTGTCCGTGATCACCGCCACTGGCCATACCATCAGCTCACTTCGCAGCCTTCTTTCTAACACCAGCTACCGTGGTTTTCCCGTCATCACTGAGATCTCGAAACCTATCCTCTTAGGCTATATCACCCGCAAGGAGCTGTCCTTTGCATTGAAGTTCTCTACTTCTCCCACGAACCGCAATCTTGGCGACGAGACTCAAGTATTCTTCGTTCATCAACCATTTGCAGACCCTGTGGATACATTGGATCTCCGGCCTTGGATGGATCAAACTCCAATAACGCTCAATAGTAACATCAGCTTCTTGATCGTTTTACGGATGTTCCAGCGTCTTGGCCTGCGTTATGTTCTCTTTTCCAATAAAGGAATTTTCCATGGTCTGTTGACCAAGAAAGATGTCTGGGCAGTGCTCAATGGCATCGAGTTCCGTCGACAGGAGGCCCTCCGAGATGATGGATTCCATGACACTCGTGGAGCCGAGGAGGTTGGCTTGCTACATGCCGAAGGTCGGAGTAGTCTTGGCAGCTCCCTGGGACAAGAATCTTTCTAGGGCTTCCCAACTAGAAATTAATCTCCTGTACATTTATCGCCCAGTTTTCTCTGATGTTCACAGTCTTCTGCACTAGCTAGATCAGCCATCTAATCATGAATATATTACGATTCAGGAAAGGACATTTCGGGTTACGTACTGCTGCTTAGGTTATTGGAACTGCTAGAGGGATCATATGTAATTATTTATCTATTTTTCTCCGACCGATTATCGATGACCTAGTTATAAATCTCCCATCACACAACTAACTGATCGGGCTACATATATTTAGAGGGGGTTAATTTCCCTATGTACTAGTCAAGTCATGAGATGTACGCATATATGTGGATAGGTACATTCAATTCAATTTTGTTGGGTACTTGAGGCTGCCTAGAACAGATGGCACCCATACAAGCCTTAATTTTCCAGGTTGTCCAACTGCATCTCTTCCTCACTTCATTCTTTTTCGTTCCCAGTTATTTTGCCAGCTCAGACCGCCAAATATCTTCGATAACGCGATAACGACAGACTGTAATTATGTCTACTCTTATTCCCTCCGACCCTGCTCTTTCCAAGGACGATCCTGATGCCAGTATGATGACTGACCCGTTTGAAGTGCGTATGCGCTTCACAGCCCAGCTTCAACGCCTGAGCGCTACCGTCACGTCCTCGCAAAAAGCTGCCCACTATGCGCTGAAGTACCGTGATCTGGATGAGGACCTTCACTCGTGCATTTTAGAACAGCTTGAGAGAGTAAGAAATACCAATTTCTCACCCTTTATGTATGCTGATATTATATCTCAAGAACAACATGAATACTCGAGCCAACATCATGTCTTTCATCGAACACTTTTGCGAAATGGCAACCAAAGAAGGCCATCTTCCCTATGTGCGAATGATGCAACGCGACATACTTCGTGTTGTCGATGCAGTCGTTCCACCTGACGGCACCGGTGCAGCAAACGTCAAGCATGTCCGACGAGTGCTAAGCAGTCTTCAAGCCAAACAGATTCTCTCCGCTGAGGCTGTGACCGAGATTGACGCAGCCCTCAAAGACCGCGACACTCACCCCGCACATCTGGAATTGGAGCAGGATGAGGGTCAGGAAGATAGTTCCCATTCCAAAACAGGAACCCCTCGCAATACCAAGGCGCACGTACGTGTCGACAAGCGTCAGATCGAGCAGCGAATTGAAGAAGATCGCGAGCGGAACAAACGCCAACGAGAAAGCGCTTGGGCTGTTAGTGGAGACGACATGGATGAGTGCCAAAAGTTCTATGACGATGTCAGCGACATTGGAGAAGATGATTTTATCAACGCCCGCGAGGAGGCTGAAGAACGCCGGCTATGCGGCGAGAGCGTCATGAAACAAAAGGAGCGAGACCGCTCTTGAACGCCGGTCATTGCGTTTTTACAGGGCGCTTTTCGTCCTAGGCTGTTGATCTGTCCGTTGCATTCGGATTTTCGGCGTTAACTAGCATGGCATGGCGCGTTTTGCTGATTTGAAGCGGCCCGTAATGGGACAATTTAGGCGTTCAATATTGAGGGTTTTGAGATACCAATGCTGCATCCCACCGATTTTATCGCGTTTGATATCGGATGAGAGCTATGAAATTTCGTTTATTAAGATCTTCTTTTTCCACAATTACCAAAGCTGTATATGCTAATAAGAATTCCGAGCGTTCAAGGCGTAACAGCGGGATGATTGCCTCGGTGTCAGAACCTTGCTGGCCCTTCGATGTAATTATAGACTTCCAAATTTAATTTCTACAAGCGTATGCCGATAGTCTGATGCATGCTAGGTACATATGTACAAAATGTACCTACTTGACGCCAATCGCTTCCTATGCTTCGACCTTGGGATAATGTGCCATCAATTGATTCTACCAATTTAACGCCAACCCTGAAAGATTAATTTACAAGTAAATATTATTGAATCAATCCATTAATAGGGCCGTTTGCGAAACTTCTTCGTGACGGAGAAGGGAGGTTTGTGTGTATTGGTGACTCTGCCGGTCTGTCTTTTCTACAGATTGTGCGTCGTATCATAGCATCATCTGCCGGTCCATGTCAGTTTACCGAGGATCATTCACGACACTTTATTCTCGAGGCTTGGATGTAACCCTCAAATTTTTTTGCCTGGGTGATACGTACATATTCCAAGCAATGGACATCAGGTTTTAAGAATTAGTATCTGAGACTATATCCGTACATACCCAGAGCTGTCATTTCCAACTTTGGAACATCGAAGTATTCTCATTAATGATGGTACAGATCAACATTTGACGCTTTAGATGAATAACTAGTCTTTAAATGCATAAAACCAAAAAATTCTCAAGAAAAACGAAAAAAGAAGACAAGAATGTCCAGTTACTTTCATCGATGGACGTCCAGAATGTCGACTCTCTCTAGATATGGAACGGGTCACATGATCTGGTTATCTCGGGAAATCCTAAGGCCGATAACTATTTTTTTTGTAAAGGCGCATCCCGCAACAGCTCGACAACATTTCCACTTGTGGATCGGGGGTTTCTTTTCTTTCCTGTATCTTCAAATTTCTATGCTCGCTCACCTAGTCACTGCGGCTAAGGGTCTATTTACACGACCGGAGTCCCAAGGAAATCTCTCAGATCCTGCTGGCGCCTCCGAAACCACATCCGAAATGGTGACCTCCACTCGACGAGTGACTGCTGCGGCGAAAGATGCCTCCAAGTCTCCCAAGGCCAATGGTGCCGCGAAGCAAGGAAAGCGCAAGGCACCGACAGATGAGCAGCAAACCAAGCGGCAAAAGCGGAGCAGCCCCGAGATTGCGGACAGCGACGATGAGGATACCAGTTCTTCTAAGACTGAGGAGAACAATGCAACCTTATCTGAGCCTAAGGCTCATTTTCGATTTGGCAGCGAGGAACCCGCCGTACCGGAGACGCAGCCTGAACAAATTCTCGAAGCACCCAACCAGGATGAGGAAGACGACAGCAGCGACGATGATGATGCACCCGAGACAATCGACAATTCTGCTCAGCTCCTACAAATGAAGGAGAGAGCGAAGAAGCAAGAAAAATTGAAGCAATTGTATGTACCGCCCTTGGACAATACCCAATCATCTCCCCAGGACTTCCTTTCTAACATGCAACAGAGAGGAACAAGTAAAGAAGGAAAAGCGGAGAAAACTTGACGCACGTCGGAAGTTGCAGGCCAACTTAAAGTCTAAGGAGGTCTCTCTTAGCGACGATTTACTTTCCGAAAGCACAGCCACCCTCCAGGGCTCAATCACACAGGACTCTCGCCGGAGTGCTCTGCCTGCATTGCTTCCCGATGACATTTTGAATGCCGCGCCTGCCCCCCGAGGCCTGACTCCACCAGCAGAAGACTCATTTGTGCCAAAGAAATCGAATAAGTTGAGATTCTTGGACAAGACGGAGAAGGCACCCAAGGATGTGCGGGTCGGCGATATTACCATTCGAGTTCTTGATGCGCCGTCTGCAAAGCGAAAGTCGACAACGAGACTGGCACCGAAGGCTTCTAAGACTGGACTAAGCGTCAAGGATACCTGGTTGAAAGGACAGCGAAGTGTCGGACATGTCAACGGACTGCGCAGAACAGCAGGTGGTTCCTCAGGATTTGTTCGCGGGTAAAATGTTATTAGTTTGTACCAGGCTTTGGCCTTATGTCATTTTCAAAAGTTTTCATAGCGACCTTGGGATGTTAATGTACAAATGGTTCTGTTTAACGAGACATTCAAGAGCTGCTTGCGGCTAATAGATGGCGTAGTCCAAAACAAAAGATAAAAATGAGATAGAATCAAGAGATAGAAAACAAGAAAATGGAAATAGAAATCCCAGATGGAAGAGCAAGTTCAATACGTAACTAGTTGACCAGATGAAGATCGAGTGGTGAATCTTCCCAATTGCGTCAACGGTCCCGATCGCAGCGATTATTAAGGTGGGCACGTGCAGAGCTCCGACCTTGGAAGCTTCAACCTTTGATTTTTCCATTCATTCCATTTTCTCCCCAGCGGAGTCGCCTGTTCTTCGGCCATGGCGTCTGCTGCAGAAGATTCTCCCCTGTTACCCAACCAGCATAACCCGGCGTCCCCGCGGGCGAATCGGACGTTGCGGTCGGTGACATTCAACCCTCTGACGCAAATCAGCACGTATGGCGGCACCTCTTCCGATCCCACCTTTCGTCCATTGCACACCGGCTCTTCTCCCGTTCAAAATATCAATGCCCAAGGTGGCTCGCCTCGGCCTGCCAGTCAGCCTATGCTGTCAGCTTTGAACAGCAAACTTCGTCGCCGCAATAGCCATGGGGCTCCCTACAGCACACCGCCGAACACGGCCGCCGCTTCGAAGATTGGACCACAGCGTACGACCAAGAAAGCACAGAAGTTGAAGTTGCTTCCGGATCCTGTGACAGCCGAAGAAGAAGAAAGTGATGGAGACTTCCCTCGCGATGTCTATTCGCAAATCACCCGTATCAAAGAGCCCGCTGCGCGAAGCCATGCCGCCCGACTGGGTAAGGCCGACCGAGACCGCATTCCTCGGGTGACTGCGTACTGCACGGCCAATTCCTATCGCCTCGAAGGGGTGATCAAATTCCTCAAATCCCGGGCCAAAACCCGTGGCGCCAATCCCAAGCTATACGATGAGTGCGTCTACTCAGGCTTCGACTATCAATACGAAGAGAAGCAAAAAGGGAGAGCCTTTCCTCCCCCTGCCAACAACGGGCATCATGAACGGCGAACCAGCGAGCGCAGGTATTCGGATAGTGTTGTTGAGGTGGAGGACAACACGAAGACCAGACGGGAAGATCTCATTGATTTCCGCGAAGAGGCTGCTGGCCTTGGCGACAGTACAGAACATGCAATTGCCGCACCGCAGACAGAGGAACATCAGTATGATATTGACACGAAAATTCATATGCCAGAGGTCTTCTTGTTTGACTACGGAACCGTTGTGATATGGGGCATGTCGCCTGCACAAGAATCACGTTTCTTGTCCGACATATCCAAATTTGCGACCTCCATATTGAGTCCGGATGATACACAAGTTGAGAATTTCAACTTCTATTATGCGCGCGAATACCAGGCTCGGATATACAACGACTTCATCTCGCTTCGCGAGCCCCGCAACCACATGATCAAGTTGGCAATCTCACATGCCCTGGCCCAATCAGTCAAGACCTCGCTCTTTGAGGACCTGCTATCCGAAACCATCACAGACACAGCCCCATTACCAGCTCAGATTGCCCAGACGGGTAGTGTCAATTTGACGCGGAAGCAAATCAACATGCAGATCGGAGAACTATTTATCTTGCGTATCAACATCCATCTGCAAGGGTCTGTCTTGGATAGTCCAGAGCTCTTCTGGGCTGAGCCTCAGCTGGAGCCTGTGTACCAGGCCGTGAGAAGTTATCTGGAGATGGACCAGCGAGTTAGTCTACTGACAGAACGATTGGACGTCATTGCCGACCTTCTTGCTGTGTTGAAGGATCAGTTGACGCACCGCCACGGTGAATATCTTGAGTGGATTGGTAAGTTTCTCGATGCCCATTAATCCCCCAACCAGGCTAATGAAATATTAGTTATCGTTTTAATTGCTGCTGAGATTCTTGTCGCGGCTATCAATATCGTTGTTGATCTTTACGCCGGCGTCGATTAAGCCTCCAGATTCCCACTTCAACCGATATTGTCTCGAACTAGTGCAAGGAAATCCCGAGCCGGATACCCGCGATTTGATACCACTAGAAATTGGATATCTTGCATGATACAAAGGCACTGGCTGCAAGACACTATTACCCAACATCGTTTATACCGAAGAAACCCGAGCCTGGACTCAAGTTATGCTTTCGACTCTCTGCCTCGCCTCGTAACTGACCCCAGAACATCATCTGATTTTTGGCAATATCGCATCTAGCTGTGTCACGATCGCTCAAATCTGTCTCCGCTGCATAGAGAAGACGTCACATCCGCACACGCTACCTAATCCACCTTGTCTGTTTAATGGGATCGGAGTTTCGCTACCTTCGCTTCTTGAAATTCATGGGGTTACGGCGTGAGCTTATTACTTTGTACAGATCGTCCATGTTCAAACCTTGAATGCATATTAGTCCAGACCAAGTAAGAAACTACTAGAGCTCGTACGATAGTCCAATCTTGAATTGGTAATAGTGAATATGGTATTTTATCCTTGGTATCAATCACATGCACAAGCAGTAGCCTCGAGATGGCCTATGTTTTGAAAGCATGGGAGATAGAAAATGAGAAAAATGAGCAAAGAACAGGTCATAAGACGAGAATGATACTCCATATCAGCGCTGCACGAAAAGACAAACCCAAGCAACAAGCAGAGAGATCAAGAAACAGAAACCCTTTTTCCGTGGAAAAGAAAAGAAAACAAACAAAAAGTGAATCCCAGATCAGCTTTGGGTTCAAATGAAAGAAAAGATAACTTTCCCGTTACTCCTCAGCCTTAGGCACGACCGCATCCATATCCATAGGGGTAGTCCCCGAATCAGCCGCCTCGGCCTGTGCATGCTCTGACTGGCCGCGGTGATCATGACTGTGGGGTGTCTGTTCGCCCTCGTTGGCAGAACCATTGCTACCCGTCTGAACGCGGAACGAAGAAGTCAGATCCTGCTGGCTCGGAGCAGGGGCAAGGCGAGGCAAAGCAACACCCTCATGATCCGCAGACTCATGAGCGTGGTCCTGAGCAGGATGGTCATCATCACCACCATCGACCGGGAGGTTAGATTTGCGGGAGCGCTTGACTCGGAGGGGACGTTCTTCGGGCTACAGATAAAAAAAATCAGCTCAGTTCGCGCATGATCCTCCATTGCATATTTCTGAGAGCTAAAAGACAGGCTTGAAAGGGATATGATAGCTAACTCACAGTGCGCGGCTGCTCATCCGAGCTACCCTCGGTCTCATCATCGAAATATCGCTTTCCAGTCTGTCCACTACCTGCTCCTCCGTTCATTGAACCTGACTCGGTCATCATTGCGGCCAGCCGGGCACGCAGTTCCGGGTCCGCGGCACCGGAATTGGCCTCGTTGCCCATGCTGGTGATCTTGGCAAGACGTTCCAACAGCATGCAAGTTTCCAGGCGCATCTTTTGGATGTATTGCCAGCCGCGCTGGTTGCGGGTGCGGATAATGTCATTCTCAGCCTCGATTTCCATAAGGCGTTTCTTGAGCGCGATGCATTTGCGCTTGTAGGCGATCTCAACACTGGGAGGGTTAGAGGAGGGTACGGAGGTTGAAGGACGGGCTTCCATTGTGAAGGTTCGGTGAATAAGAGATTGTTAGGTGGTGCTAAAGGTGAAGTTGTGTGATTTCTTTGTCAACCGGTCTTTTGGTGGAGTCAAAGGTCGACTCGGGATTGGTGATGGATGGAGATGAAGGAGCGACCGAGCGGGGGTAAAGTGAGCGGCGATGGCAGTAAATGAGGGAAATATAATACGTGTATATATGTGTTGCGGACGTCGACTCGCAAACTTCGTAATTTCAAAGAAGCTGGAATGGTCAGGTTGCAAGGAGTAGATGTGCTCGAGTCGCTCTCAACGCGATTTGTTTCTGCCGTGATATCAAGGGCGGTGAATTCATTGCTATGATCTACTTCGGCTTTTCTCAAGTGCTTTTGACCTTGGGAATTGCTCGATTAATGCTAAGCTAACCTGCTCATACGGGTGAAAAGCCCTTTGAAAAATTATGGAATAATCAATGGCCTAAAATCAAGTCCATAACTATACATACTACCTTTCTACCAACACTTTAAATACCTTCGTCTCTCGACTACCAACGCATGTACATGTGTGACTATTTGGATATTTGTAGTACAGCTCAGAGTCTGGAGTCTAACCCAAAGGGTAGGTGGGTACACTTGACGCTACTTAACAGCTAGAACGGTCAATCTATAGAGGTAAATACTAGACTGCAAATCACACTATGTGATAGGCCACAGAACATGATACACACGGGTACTTGAGGTATATGTATATTATTGGTCGGGCTAATCTGGGTGTGGCATAACAATTCTATATCTAGTGTCCACCAGTAGTCGGAAGACCCAAGAACACCTTGAACGAGTCATAACTGTTTCATAAGTTAGTGGGTGCTCATATATAGACAGACAGGGACAGCTTACATCAGCCACTGGAATCCTGTCAACGTGCCCAGCATCACAATACGGACGGGTAGGCCATTCCACAGACCAGAGAACCCAATGTTACCGTAAATTCGTGACACAGCAGTCATCGCACTCTCGCCAGCTGAAGAAATTAGTCAACAAAGGAAATTCCCAAGATCAATTTCAAACAGGACTCTTGAGTCTTACCTTTGCGATCGGCATTCAACTTGCTCACCATGACATCGGCCGGATGGCTGACAACAGCGCAGAAGATACCAGCAATGTATCCACCCAGGAAACTAACACCGGTCTGGGTCAATTGGCTATAGCTCTCCTTGGGCTTACCCATAGTCTGGTAGATCTTCTCCACAGTCTTCTCAAAGGTTGCAAACTTAGTCATGGTATAAGGGATTTGACGGGCCCATAGAGGGTACAATCCCTTGTAAAGACCAGCGAAACCTTCCTTTGCAACAATACGGCTCCACCCTTCACGCAGATTGTTGGCAAAAGGCGGCAATGTAGTCTGCATGCGAACCTTGATAGCTTCCATCGGGCAGAGGGCCATATCGGCGAAGAACTCAGCCGAGGCACTAGCACCCAAAAAGACCAAGGTACGGTTGCTTTCGGGGAACAGATTGTCCCCATATAAATGCTTGAAGTACTCATACAGACCGTACTTTCCGGCACCTTGGAACGAGTATCCCAGGAAAGTGGGTGACCAGCCGAAAACCACGCCGCGCATGCCTTCCTTGGCGAAGATGGTGCGCCATGCTTGAATGTTCGAAGTGTAGATCTTGGGATCGACCTGGCGACGACACTTGACAAGATCCAGTGGTGTCACGGCGGTGTGGGTTGGTCCTGAAGAGATGGGACTGTCAATTGGGCGCGAAGAAGGTGTATAGAATGATATTACCTACCACAAGCTGCAAGGAAAGGGGATCTTGTTAGCACTGGCTTGACAATGAAAGAGGGGATGCAGATAAGGAAAACCATACCGATAATGCCGCCTAAAGCGCAGCTGTAGAAGTACTTGGCAGAGTTGGGTTCAATCTTCCCAAAGGGAAGCTTACGTTCTTGGAGGGCCATGGTCACGCTGAAAGAAGAAGAAAGATAGAAAGAAAGAAGGAAGGAAGGAAGGAAGGAAGGAAGGAAGGAAAGAAAGCAGTAACCAGAACAGAAATAACAGAGAGGAGAGAGACTGGAGGAATGGCGTCAGAGCGTCGAGCGTCAGAGCGTCTGCGCAGCTTATCGCCCAACTAGGTAATGAATGGGGGTGGCCGGGAGCGGCTAGACCGGCACTGGGGCTTATCAGTGATCAGCGATCGTCTACCAGATTACTTGTAGCTTCAAAGTCATATTGATATTGCTACAATGTAGATCAACATTTAGCTCTATTTAATTATCGAATTCAATGTCTCGAAACTCGAAGTCATCCCAACTGAAAGCCATGAATCAAGTATCTCACGATAATCAGGGACAAGGTCCCAAAATACATGACGTCATGAATCATGATACCCGGTCGTGCCGTCAGCTCCACTGAGTTTAAGTCTTGGTAGTTGGTATACATTAGGTTGCATCAAATTATGTACATAATGAAAAATGTGAATCCTTCATCGCCAATCCATGTGTGAAAGAATTTAAGAAAATAATATAAAACATAGTATGGGGTACGTAAAGATCAAAGGTTTTGAACCCCTGTGGGGCTGATCTGAGGGGGAGGAGGTCTGAAAGAATTGTTATCGCCACGAATGCGTTCAGCTTCTCGGGCTAGGATCAGCGCAAGATTGATACCTTGTTGTGTTCCAATGCGATTCAGCACTATACCAATCTGGTTCGCCTGTTCTGGCGAGGGCATCCCGCACGATACAATGTACCAGAGTGGCCAGAGCAGACCATAGCCTTGCGCGGCTCGGATAGTTCTTTCATAGTCACCCGGCTTTGTCGGTCGGCCAAGGGTATCCACATCTGACATTGAGAAAGGGATGCTGCGGCAGACGTCGGTGGTCATCTCTTGAATGATTGCCCTTATACTCGTCTCATCAAGTGCAGTCTTAATAAGGGGATCATTCGGTGCTTTACCTTTCGAGATAATGGCCGTGTAGGTTCTGTTGAGACTGAGGAGAAGCTGCTGTAGCATGATGCGCACGGCGCGGTAATAGTTCCAGATCACACATATGGAGATGCGATTATATGTGAGCAGAATCTCGCCTTGCGCTGAATAGACGACCAGCGGTAGCCAGCGCTCTGGTAAGTGGAGAGTCCATTGGGAGAGTTCGAAATCGCACTCCTGGCCTACAACAATCCACTGGTGGACAGTGGCTATATCGGGTGGACTGGATGCTGCTTGCATCCCCAGGAAAAGTTGGCTCAATTTGGAGGCGGCTAGCATGAGCCCCTCGACAGGATCGTTGGCGTCTAACTGCTCTATAATCCAGTTCATGTCGACTCGAGGTTTATCCCCCAACGCGAGAATCTCAACGTACTATATCTTCGTCAGAACTGCATTCCGGGGAGAACGGAGGGACGTACCGTGTGTGTATAGGCGAAATTGAACATATCACGGCCATGCCGGTGATTTAGCTGACCCTTGCCTCGAAGCTTCATGAGGAACTCAAACCCAGCAGTGTGAGAGCTGTACAGCCCATTTCGTTCCCCAGTGACGTCCTCAAAGAGGGACAGAATCACCACAGAGGCAAATGTTTCATCCTTTAAAGCCTCAGTAGGTGATGTCAAAGCTTCACGTAGACTGCTCAAAGCCTTCCCATAAGCTCGCCGTGCTTTAAACATGAGTTGTGGTGCTCGTGAAACATTGGCGAGTGTCATGAACGCCGTCGCATCCACCGCCCACCGAAGGCAAGAAGACTTCAATTTTTGCTTGTCGATCTGCGAATAAAGTGATGGCAAATAGTCTAAATGGCCCATGCCATCTTCAAAGTCAGGCTTGATTATATACTGATCAAAGAAGTAACATATTGCACGATGTTCCCAAGTCGCATCCGCAATGGGTATCAATGACAACGATATATTATTGCTTGAGGGGCTTCCACGATGATAGCCCACGACCCCCGAAAATTGCGTAAAAGGTGGCACACTTTGGCTGCTATTAGAAGGAAGAGAGTCCTTCTTTGCTTGGCGCTCGACTTTCCTGTTTTCATTACGGAACACTGCATCAGGTCGGTACCCTGGGCAAGGCCGGCCATAGATGCCACAGTTTCGGCATTCCGGATGCCCTTCATCACACTGATTATAGATGAATTCAGTATTGCACAGAAATTTATGGTTCAAATGAAAGTAAACAACCATAAAGTCACGATGGTTCTCACCTTAATTTTTCGCTTGCGGCACAGGTAACATCCAGTGCTAGGCTTCCCTCCGTACACCATTTTTCAAGGGTTGAATCCTTGTGTACAAATCGCTTTAGCTTGGTGGCGGACAGCTCCCCGCTTCTGGGGTTTGGTGGTTCCACAAACGGGAGGGCGCGCAAATCAATCTGAGGGGCACAGTTGACCGGGCCACATGGGCAGCGGAGACTTTAGAGCAACGTGCTCGACTATAATCAGAACATGGGCCGTATCTAGAATACTTAAGATTCCGCTGGCCCTGATTCGGGAGTGAAATAAGTTCCTCTCAGGCCTTTGACGGCTGCCTCAGGAGACCCTTAGTCAGCACTGTCGGGCCTGAACTAAATTCATAGAGCGCTGTCTTATTACAGAGATATCAGAGCAAGCATTTGAGAAACACAAGTAAATAACTAGATGTGTAATTCAAACATCTTTGCTCTTATGTATCGAGTGTTCAATGTTATCTCATTATAAGTGAACTTGAATCCTTGTCGAGCTTTGACTGCACAAATGTAAAGGTGAGCGAAGTATAATGTACTGCAAATTGATGTGTACCAGTGGGGACATCGTGACATTTGGCTTTTCTCTCGGTGAGTTACAGATTGATACACTCAATCTAGCATTCTGGAACAAACGAAAGCCAAGAATCTTGATAGCTAGCTTTCTTGATCCTGCTGGCCTTACGGTTGATACGGGAGGAAGCATCTATTACACGCATAGCTTATGTTATGAAAGTAAGAACAGAATCCATGATGACGAGAACTCGCTTTACTTCGGGTAACTAGATCTCGCTTGTAGGACCCTGCCAAGGGCCTCTGTTCAGCACGATTTTTACTCGAACTAAGCGATTTAGTATTCAATTTAGGTTCGATTTATGACTTTCATGTAAAACCGCAAATCTTTTCTGCTCAGTCTAGTCCTGGAGGGCGACAACTAAGAATGCCATGGGTTATAAAACGAATGGATGATCCACCTTCAAGTAATTAGGTATAACATTGAGGGAATCAAGGGGTACTTTGTCATTAAGGCGCAGTAAATTCGCAGCAGATCAGGATGGCTTTGAGCTACTGCGCCTCCACAGACTCCTAAGTATTCCCCACTAAGGGGTTATTATACTCGTATTCTGTTTCATCTATTGTCTCTTTGATGCCTGCCAATTTAGGCATTAATTGTGGGGCTCATCCCCACACTTTTTACCGTGGATAGTCTTTCCCTTCTCGTAAACACTTCTTATTTACCCATGCGCGTGCCCTATAACCGGTTTTCGTTTACAAGGCGTGTGCACGAATATCTGCACTTATATGAACACCGCAAATCTCGTGCATTTTGGATCATAAATCAGGGCACTCATCCGCACCAGGCGTGAAGCTGTCTTCCGGTCCCGCAGGTCACAGGTCACAGCTATAAATCGCATAATTTATTTACCGTACAAAAAAGGTCAAGTTGAGGATTCACTGCGCCTTGATATTCTACGTAAGCATTCTCCACTAGGAGGTTATTGGACTCCGTATTATGTTTCATGTCTTGTACTGAGTCACCATGCCAAGCAGGTCAATCTTACCAGGAACTAGTACATTATATAACACGCGATACATTCCCCCGAAACCTTAACAGTCCTTGCCATTGAAAAAAGGATCAATCAACCTTCGATATTCTCACCATGTCCCCACTCATTATATCAGAGGACAATCCGTTCCAAGTGCTAATATCGGAATCAAATGATGATCCGGTAAGTTGAAATACAACCAAATAGTAATTCGTATAAAGATTATGAAAATTGATTTTTGGAGCAGACTGTGTTGCAATCGCGTTATCAGGGTCATCGAGTGACACGAAATGAGCAACAAAGCGCGAAGATCCTAGCAGAAAGCTTTCCTGGTTGGTCCCTGGATAATATCCTTAGCCGACTTGATGGTCCTGGAAAGGAAGAGGGATATGTTGATCCCCGGAACTGCCTGGTCATCTGGGCCAGGCCTCCCCCTCACATCCGTGACCTGATTTGCTTCGTCCAACGGGAGTTGCAGGAAATATCTCCTTGTAAGTCCGACGACCGAGATGAAGAGTTATTCCTGCTTATCGCACTTGACTGATCAAAACAAAACAGCAATCTGGCTTATGCCCCGTGAAAATTTGCACACCACAGTTTTGGAGGTGGCGCATTCCCTGACTGAGAAAGAGATTGAGAATCTCGTCCAAATCCTCCGGTCTTCCAAGGATGTGACTGGAAATAATATTGCCGAGTATCCCGTTGCTCACAAGTCGCGTCTCCTGAAGCCAATGATCAGCTTTGATTCCTCTGCAATGGCGCTCAGCTTTGTTACGGCTGCAGGAGAAAATGCACAAGGGTACTCCGATGATTACAGCTATCACCACCTTCGCCGCGATATATTCCAGATGGTTCGACAGGCCCAAATTCCAGTGGCCTCACGCTATATCGTTCCATCCGCACACGTCACTATTGCACGGTTTATAAACGACGGAGACTTTCTATCCCAAGGTGCTGCAGGTGCCGAGCTTGACCGCGTGCGGGTGAAATTGCTGGTAGATAAAATCGATGTCCTTAACAAGAAACTGGAAAGTGAGTTTTGGCCTCAAGCCAATGGCACCTTTCCTCAAGAGGGTGAATGGATTGTTGGACAAGAGAACTTGGTGATTCGGAGGGGACGGGTTTGGTATGGAGGTGGTGAAGATGTGTCACTGGACCAGAGAATGAGCACTAAATAATAACTACACATGCTTCCTCGGTGACATAGATAGACAGATCTGGGACCATTTCATACATAGAAGTAATACATCATCTTCCTAGCTTCGATTAACACTAGCATTAGACCTTGAAAGTGATGACGTTACTCAAGAATGGCAATGTTTCTCATGATACCGAGATATTTTTGGAATCACAATTTTGCATTGACAAAATACGATTGCAAAATCGCAAATAAGTTCATCTCTAGCTGAACAAAGTATCCAAGGTTTTCACTTTCCAGTCCGGATGTTCAAAATCATTACCTGTCAAAATGACCAAAGATTTATTGGCGAGTTAACCATCAACTTATAATACAATTCCCATCCTGCCGAGAAAATTAGACGGCATCAGGTCCTCATCTTGCTCTCTAATCACCTTCAATCTTTCCTCGCCCAGTAAAAAGCAATTCGGCATCCATGACGGCACTCCCTCACCCAACAGCATTCGAGCAACAGCCTCACCACAGGACCAAGCCTTATCCATACCATGTCCATTGTAACCGGCAGCGATCCATTCACCACGACCCGTACGTCCGGTAAAGGCATTCGGCAGCTGACCTACCATTGGCAGTCCATCAGCCGTAAACCCCATGATACCAGACCAGACACCAATCGTTTTGACAGGTTCGGCACCATGGAGCATTTTAGGCACGATTGAGGTAAGGTTCATTTTGGCCTGCTCAGAAACAACCGAGTCGTCACTGCTCAGTATATCATCAATTCTCTGCATCTCGCCACCAATCCAGAGATCGCCTGTCTTGGCATTCTGTTGAGCATAGTACAGTCCGATGCTGGCGATGGCAGTAGATGGGTCCATGGTTGGCTTGCTTCGGTATGTCCATGAGACTTGATTACCCAGTAGTGGAAACGAAGGCCCTAGTTTCTGGCGCGACATGGTAGCCCGCACTGGCCATAGCTTTCCTACTAAGCCCGGGATCAAGTGGCCTGCGTGGCCATTTGTACAGTGAATAACGTGTCGAGCTCGAATTGACCCTCGGGGTGTCTGAAGGAGATATGTTGCACTGCCTGGTGTGGCATTCTGATCAAGACTGATAGATGTCACGGGCGTGTTGGTTTCGAGCGTAAACCGGCCATGTTTGTCTTTAAGAAGATCTTTATATAGCGCTGTAAACAATCGATATGGCCACAGAGCAGCGGCGCCAGTCTGTTGTGCCGTACCAACGATATTGTGGTTGTATTTCCACTTCTGTACTATCATTAGTTAAAACCTTTGATTATAGAAGACAACCATGTACTTACCTCGATGGCATGTTCCACAGTAACGATTGTTTCTGGCAGTGTGCAAACCGACTGATCCCTGTTTTTTTGGACAAATTCAATGGCATGCCTCGCTTCTTTAAATGTTCCTTCATCCTCGAACGCAATGGTACTCGCCACAGATCGCAATTCTGCTGCGTCCTGGTCCTCTTCACTAAGGCTGCTACAAACCCCTTTCAACAAAGCAATAGTCCTCTCGCTCAGATGTGCCACTTTATTGGCCTCTTCCATCCCCATCGCCTCAGCTATTGGCGGGAATAGTTCATCTGCATTTGAGATGAGATGACCTCCGTTGCGGCCGGTGGCCCCACTGACTGCTCCGCGTGCTTCTAGTATGGTGACGCGGAGCTTTGAAGCATTTGGATGGTTGAGCAAAGTATGGGCTACTCCGCACCCGGTCACCCCAGATCCGATGATTGCAACATCCACTTCGGCTGGTAGGTTAGGCGATTGTGTCGCTCCAACGGTCGGATGAGATGGCTCCTGCCATGACGACACCGTTGGCTGAGACACAGGGAGACCGGGGGACCTATTTAGTAAGGCACGAACCCGTTCTAAACATAAAGGTTAGCTGTAATGTTTCTGGGCCGGAAAAATCAGTACTCACCAGTAATTTCCATTGTGAGTGTCCGAGTAGAAGGTGGGATCATTACTGTGCAGGTTATGAACTTGATTAAGAAATCTTTTTAAAGAATACTTGAACCTTTAAATATGCGGCGCATTTCTTTTTTTTGATGGCTTACATTGTTTATGATCAACCATGTCCAACTGGACAAGGGATAATGCATGGATTGCGTAGACCATGTGAGGCAAGATCTAAACAAGGACATTCAATTACATTCAATGGAATTCTTTGATTGGTCAGAATTGAGTTCCTCATTAGAATCAACCAATCACAATCAAATGCGCCGCTTATCGGTCACTAACCCCGCATAAGGAAGGTGGTCGCATCTGATAACTGACGCATGGATCGGTAGGACCTTCTACATTGAGATTTATCAGTGAAAAAGGAGGCATAAAGAGGGGGAATCTTTCAACTCCGTGACCTCATACTCACTTCTCACTTACCTTACTTCCTTCAACGGTAAACCTTTATCTTGGGTTTTTGCATATACAATTATCAAGTTTAGGCAACACCCAATACCATCAGTCATGTTCTCCCAAAGTTTGTTTACACATCTTCCATAAAAGCAAGATTCAATACTCACATGATATGTAGAGACTGCAGACGAACTCGTCGCCTGCCTAACGGCCGATCCCCAGCTCCCGCGGCCCAACCCAACTGCTGCATTCTGGCAAGAGCCACCTCATCCTACGATCGGCTGCAGCCAGTCTCAACAGCTACCGCAAACCACGGATATTGCTATCATTGGATCTGGAATCACTGGCTGCAGTGTTGCCAAGACACTCCTAGAAGATGCCTCATTGGCTGGCAAGAGTGTGACCATTCTGGAGGCTCGCGAAGTGACAAGCAGCGCAACTGGTCGTAATGGTGGACACCTTGTGTCGGACTGTCTGGAGAGCTTTGGTATGGTTGCCGCTACTTTGGGCGTCGAACAGGCTGTGGAAGTTGCTAGGTTCAGTTTGGCCAGTATTCAGCGGTTGAAGGATGTTGTCGCTGCATTTGGCGATGATATGGCAGAGAAGTCCAAGCTCAGAGAAGTGATCAGCACAGCCGTTATTGGAGACGAAAAAAGTCTAGAGGACATTCGAGTCGGCTTAGCTGCTTTTGAAGAAGCAATGCCAGATCTCAAAGGGATGTTTGTCTTACTGGGGAAGGAGGAAGCTATGGAAGTATGATAAACATTCCTTGCTCCAAATCAGACTAACACTGGCTATTCTATTGAGCAGAAGTACAACTACCGTGACTTATTCGGTGTTATTGAACAACATGGCGCTGGTGCTTTGTGGCCATATCGCCTGATTACTGGTATCTTTGACGTATTACTAAATAAATATCACGATCGCCTCTCAATCGAATCCTCTACGCCAGTGTCTGGCATCACTTTCGCGACTGAGTCCCCAGATGATCTTTATCCATACAAGCTCAAAACACCCCGTGGCACAATCTCCGCAACGAAGGTAATCCACTGCACTAACGGACATGCATCCCACTTGCTTCCTGGCTTGCGTGGAAAAATATTCCCATTCCGAGGAACTATGTCAACTCAAGCCTCCACTCCAGGGTTTCCAAATAAAGGCTCCTCGCTTTCCTGGAACTATATTGGCAAAGGAATCTTGGATTCAGAAACGAATATCTGGTCTTACACCTTATACTACATCACTCAGGACCCTGAATCGGGCGACGTTTTCATTGGTGGCGAGAAACAGAAAGCCCAGGAAGTATTTACCAGCGACGATACAATTCTACCGCCTATCCCTGCTGAAAACCTCGCTGGGATTTTACCATGTATATTCCGTGACGGTTGGAATGATACGAAGCCTGAAGTGAAAAAGATGTGGTCTGGGATTATGGCATTTACTGCCGATGGTCTACCTCTGGTAGGACAGCTCAGTGAGAGTGTGACTGGAAGAGGGGGAGGGAATGAATGGATTGCTGCTGGGTATAATGGTCATGGAATGGACAAGTCCTGGCTCACTGGAGAATCATTAGCTGGGATGGTCTCTGGTAAAGGAGTTCCGGACGGCTTTCCTCAGGCCTACCTTGTTACCGACGAGAGGCTCGCACATTTGAGTCCGGATACGTTCGTGGAGAATCTATTAGGGAGTTTGAGTGTGAGCTAGGTAGCAGCTGAGCGATCAGAAAGCCAGGTCCACGACTGGTTCACACCGCACATGTGAAAGGCTTGATATTGGTGTTGATCCTATAAAATTCAGAAAAGGCAAAAGGCCGAAATTCGCTCGGTGTGGCAGCAATTATTTATGCTCATCGATCGAAAATTTGAAAAAAGACGTCTTCTGACCTTATACCAATCATTTCCTGATAGCACAGCAATTTAGCTGATAAACGCAAAATAATTAATATATAGCGGAATTTAGAAACCTTAGACCGTGGCTAAATGTTGGATTTGATAGTGCTATCAGGTATTTCCTGCAGATAAACTTCAATCCAGTCAACGGAACATGAATTCCGCACACTTCTTTTCTCAAGCAGCGGGTTCATCTATCTGCTTCCAGTCCAGATACCAGAAGTTTATCAAAAGCCAGTTGTATATATGATTCAATTTATGGCGCGAAGTAGCCCAAAATAAAACTTTTCACCTTTCATTCTACTATCTGCCGCTACAATGACAACCATGAAAAACGAGAAAGAACTGGAGCAAGTTCTCAATATCGAGAAAATAAGCTCCGAGGCCTTCAAAGGTACAGTTCAGGATTCCCCCTCGTTCATGGGGCAATTCAAGGAAATGAAAAGGCACAAATGTGCCATACTAGCCGGTAAAAACTCCGATTCCTTGCACTCAATCTAGAGATTGATGCTGACGCGAGTAAAGCCTTTGCTTGCTCTACAACACCAATTCTCATCGAATACGATCTAACTTTGATTGGTTCTATCATCGCAAACTCCCAGTTCGTTGAGCAGTTCGGGGTATACGACCGAGCACTTGAATCATATATACTACCGGCGGGACATAATCAGTTTGGACAATTGTACAATACTGTTCTGCCATTGCGTCTGCCATGGGCTCAGGTATATTGAATGATAGGCTGGGGCGTCGCATCTGCTTCCTCATAACTGTTGGGTGAGTCTCTTGATCCTGCCACACGCCCAATGTGGAACGTCAGGCTGATCTGTTCCATACTCTTTCTTCAGTCTCACCATTATCGGTACCCTGATCGAGCTATTCTCCACAAACTGGAAGGTTTGGATTGTGGCAAAAATCTTCATGGGCGCTGCTATGGGTTCAATGCAAGCCAACACCCACACATATGTCTCCGAAATTACTCCAACCTCTATTCGAGGATTCATGCTCTCGCTTTTCCAACTGTGGATTATTCTTGGTCAACTCCTTGCTTCGTGTATCCTCGAGGGAACGAGCCATGTCCGCAGTGGTTGGTCCTGGAAAGGCGCTGTCCTATCCCAATTTGGACCGGCCTTGTTTTGTCTAGTCATGTTCATTCCTCTTGTTCCTGAGTCTCCTTACTACCTCATCGCCAAAGACAGATTAGAGGATGCGAGGTCAGCGATCGCTAGGCTGCAGGGGAATGAAGACTTCAATTGCGACGAACAAGTACTGCAAATCCAGGAGACTATTGCCCACGAACGGCAGGCGAAGAACGGATCAGCTTCCTTTCTCGAAAGCTTCCAAGGAACAAATCTCCGCCGCACTCTCCTGGCATGTCTGCCCTTAGTGATGCAAATATTCATGGGCTACCCACTCTGCGGTAATTATTTGTCGTACTTCCTCACTCAATCAGGAATGAGCAACGCATTCCTCGTTACAGTCATCTCGGTAGTCTATTCCCGTATCGTCTCTCTTTCTACATTCGTCACCATTGAGCGCTTGTGACGCCGATCACAACTCCTCACTGGCTCTTACGGCATGCTGGTATGTCTACTTGTTGTCTCTTTGCTGGGATTCCTAGGTGTTGGAGAACAATGGAATTACCACGCCTTAGCAGCTTTCTGTATAATTTGGGAAGTCTTCTATTACGCTTCTGCAGGCGCGGTAGGCTGGACCATCGTCGGTAAAATATCTTCTCCGCGCCTACGTGCTAAAACAACATCGCTTGCCGCTTTGTCTAGCTCCTTGTTCAATATGGTGTGGTCTATCGCGATCCCCTATTTGATTAATGCAGACAACGCAGATCTGGGTCCAAAATCAGCCTTCCTGTTTCTGGGATTTGGCATTGCTTTGACTGGCGCTTGCTTTTTCTGCATACCCGAGACTAAGGGTAAGAGCTTTGCCGAACTTGATGCCTTGTTCGAAGCTCGGTCACCAGCAAGAAAACTTAAAGCTGCAGCCAGAATTTGAGCTTATCTCTATATAGCCTTAGAATGATTCTATCGTAATGTTCATGCTATAGCTCAACTACTGATTCAACGACTCGGCGACAACACTTCAAGCGTTTCTTTCTTTGTTCTACTGTATCTGCTGGAATTCATCGACTTTTTTATAAACCGAATCATTGAACAAAGTTCCTTGTCCATGTATGCTTTCTAGTGAACAGTAATTAAGGCCTTTGCAAATAGTACAGCAGTAATTCCGCGCTTAATTTTCACCACGGACATATTAAAGTACAACGTAGCTCGGTCTGTAAAGTAATGACTTAGATATTGATAATGATAACCCGCCTATCTATTTTGATACTAACAAGGGCTAGCTACCCCATAAATACTATATAGCTAAAGCGGAGGGCCTAGATACCTCTAGGCTTTAATAAATGTCATAGCGAGGAAACCTAGGAATAACTTAATAATACTGGCGTCTACAAGAATAGATAGGCTATTCTACCCCTAGGCCACTTTAAACGCTAATATATAGTCCCCTAGTAGGTATTATAAATATATTAATATAATTCCTATGAAAAAATGGTATTAGATGCCGCAGAGATAGAAAGGGGACAGATAGTTACATATATTCAACCGGATATCTATTGGTCATTGGTCCACCGCCCTGATTACATATGTACACATGTTGTTCCAACACAGATCGTTGAAGTCACGTATGAACTGATTTATTTTTCTTTCCCTGCCAAACTCTTTTCAATCTACTGCCAAATCGCCATTCGGCGACTATGCCAACAATGTTCATGCAGTACTCAGGCCTCAGTATCTTATTCCTCAACGCTTTCGGTGCATCTGTATTGCCAATATACCTGTAGGGACGTGCTATTGGTGATAATAATCTTCTGGATTGGGACTGGACGTAACAAAGGCGATCATGATTGTGAGGGATCTTCCGAGAAAATGGAAAACAATATCACTGTATGAGTTACTTTTGAATACAATTTTGTTGGAAAAATTGTGTTATGTAACTTCATCTTGTTGAATTATCTACGTAAACGCGTCTCTTAATATAGAAGGCTTTGCTTGCGGACTAGCTCCAAACCCTTATGGTGCAAAATTGCCGACGGCTGAATCTGAATCTTTACTGGACCTTGAGATGCTAAAATCGGTGCCTAGCTGGAAAGTTTAGGCCTTTCCCCATTGATCTAGCTTTATAGCACAACACCCTGTGGCTGTGTTAAGGATTATCTGTCCTTTGAACTTTAAGTTACCCTAAAACAGATCCTGTAATATAAGTACTTGCCATTCTCTGGTGTATTTCGGACTTATCGAATATTCTTAGTCCCCTGCCAACATCATCTTGGAAACAATGCCTGGCACCCTTGGTGAGCAGACGATTCCTGGGTAGAGCTACCCCACCCCAACACCCAGTCCATATTTACCTACAAGCTGACTTAAGCTTCCAGAGCCAAACTAGATCATTCTTCGGCCCCACCGGAGCCCAGATGCGCTGAGTTCTATGTAATAACTCAACCAGAGGGCCAGGTGATCGCCAATAACAATTTCTGTCTACCATTTGTCTCCCTACAGCCAAAGCTATCTTTTCAGATCAATCAATGTACCTTCTGGAACCAAAGCTCTATTTTCCCAGTTTTCAACATATGGCGTCCTGGATATTTTGGTATTTCTCTTCCACAGCTAGGGCCTGACCCCGTCAAGCTCAGCAGAAAGAACGACTTCGTCGTGACGGGACATGAAAATGACTCAGAGGCTTTCAAGACAAGCAACACAGATACTATTTCCTTCAGCGCGGAAGGCTTAGTGGCCGTTATCGACGTCGACCCACCTCCCTGGTATAGTTGTCGCGTGTGCAACTGTCACCGAGGATACGTGTCTTTACCGAACGGCGAGCGCTGGAACTGGATCGAAATTGACAGCGAGCACTATCAGTTTGATCGCGAAGATGACAGCCGAAATCAGGATGCCCCATTGAGAACATTGATATGGCAGTTCCAGAGCAGCGGGACGGCTTCGGACGGCCTGCCGGCAGATATGCCATTCGCTGTCAATGGAGATACTCGAATTTGTCGGGTCAACGCATCTCCCTCAATATCCGACCCGCTTGTGGCTGGAAATCCTGTTGCCGTGATGAATTGGGATGGGTTCGTCTTCTTTGATGGGATGGGGCCGAAGATGGCTGAGGTTCAGACCGAGGATAACCGAGCTTTGATTCTTATGTCCGGGCTTGCGATTGCGCAGTATGAAGGTTGGCTAGCAGAGTGATGAACCTTCATTGGATATAGTTAGACCTCGCCATGACCCTTAAACGGGTTTCATAAATTATGTAAAGAGGGTGTCTCCACTCTAATGGGCCGTAATGGGCTTTTCAAATAGGCCGGCCCAATGAGCTGCTACAGTCTACGCTTATCATACTTTTCCCCCCCCCCCCCCCCTTCTAATAAATTAGGCTTTTAAGACTTTAGAGTCTATAATTGGATAGATTAATAACTTTATAAAGCCCTATAGATACTTAGTAAACATCTCTTAATCAAAGCTAAAGAAGACAATCCTTGAATATGATTATAGAGGACTAAAGTAAAGAAAGAAGGTTCCTTCCAAATAATAAGATCGTATCTTAAGGATCACTTTTTGGTTTGGCTATGGGACGACATTCTTCATGCAGGCTGGAGTCAGGAGTCAGCGATTCGTATTTGATTTCTCTTATTCTTGCACTGGTGAACGCCATTTCACAGCCCCATCGGCGTATCTTGTTGAAAAGGTTGGCAGGCGAGTGTGCCTGTTGTGGGGAGATGCAGTCATGGGAGGCGCCATGCTAGTTCCTGCTCTTGTTCGCTCCATATCTCCGAACAGCTCAAGTGATCACAATTGTTTGGTTGCCGGAGCAGTGGTATTTATTGCGGCTTACGCTTCGACTTGGGGTTCCATAGATAAGATGTTGCAGCCTTTATATGGGAGAGTATTTTTTTAACACGCTCTAGGCTGGGTCATTATGATGGAGCCCTACACCGAGAGGTTGCAACTCCATCAGTCAACGATCACAATGGCTTTGTACTGGATATCGACCTGGGCCATAGGGTTTTTGACCCTATATCTGGTTGATGCTACTGCGACGAATATCGGTGTCAAAGTATGCTATCTCCGGTTTGGTATGATCATATTGTCCCTCTCGTGGGCTTTACTGTTTGTCCCCGAGCTTTCAGGTCTTTCTGCTTTAGAAGTGAGACTTCCTTGACATTCAAGATATGCAGTGTTTGTAGTTTAATTCTTAGCCTAGGTTGATATGCTTTTCAAGGGAAATATTCCAGCATGGCAATCAGTCAGCTGGCAAAGGTCACTTCGAGCTTATATTGATGGCGAGGAGTCTGAAGATTGTTCGAGGAAGGATAGCTCTGCTAAGGAAAAGGCGAATCATCCCAAAAAAGAGAATTGACGCTAGACTGGATGGAGCGAGGGGCTCTGGAGCCGCAGCGAGGCGGAGACATTGAGGGGAAAGAAAATCTTTTCCCCTTTCAACCTGAGTTCAAGCCGTTTACATCTAGTGAACCCACTGTGAATAAGGACATTATTTGATAGCTAGATGTCGGATTCAACTGTATGTCCGGTGTTCACCCAGGCAGATGTCTCGGTCGACAATCTGAAATATAATTCAGTTACTTTATAATGGCAGATGACATTCCAATTTTCAACATGATCAAACGCTCGCTAAAAAGACCAGAAATAATCAGCATAAGGCAAAGACCTCCAGTTTCGGATGAGATCGGCCTTCAGTTTTGGATAGATCACAATCTGAGGGTTCTTCGATCGATCTGATTCGATCGTGAGCCTCTTCGCGGGCAAACACGTTCTCCACCTTCAGGGTAGCGCGGGTCATTGCGTCCCGCTATGGACTCTCATATGTCATCTACCCCTTGTTCATCGATGATCGCCTCAGTCGGCCAAGTCGAGACTTGAGACGCTGTTCGATTTTTGTGTAAACGCATTAGCAGGTGGTTCAAAAGAAGTGTGAAGCCCAACCAGCGCGTAGAGAGCAGCCACTTTGGAAGGTAGGACGAGAATGAATGCGTCGATTAAATAATTAGTGAGATCGATTCTTGGATGAGCTTCACGAAGGAATAAATCCCTGGGACTTTTGACATTGAATGCCTGAGCTTTGGGTTCTCTATTCCAAATCACTGCGTGGTTTTCTTCTTTTCCTCTTTTCCAACCATTGTTCATCCTCGAAATCACATTGTTCACCCTTTTATTTCAGAATTGAATGATCAATTCCATCTATATCAAGCTCAGAATCATCTCATCGCTATACTACCCACGCACCTCTTTAAGCCTTACTCAGTATCGGTTGTGCTCGGTCTCACGAGGTCAAACCTCGAGCATCCAATCTGAGCGACCTGTAAGCTTAACTCTTTAAAATGACATCCATTTTGGTCTTGAGTGTCATTTGGAGTTTGGCACTTTATATCGCTACTGTGCTTATCTACAGGCTATACTTTCATCCTTTGGCCAAATTCCCAGGAACCAAGTTAGCGGCAGCTACTGGACTATACGAGGCGTATCATGATATTCTCGTCGCTCCAGGTGGGCAGTTTATGTACGAAATACAACGAATGCACAAGAAATACGGTATGAACACTTCTCACTCCAATTGGGCAACGCTAGAAGCGCATTTCTAGGTCCGGTAGTTCGCATCAGCCCGGATGAAATCCACATTAATGACCCAGCGTGGCTGAAGGAACTCTACACCTTCACCGAGGTACGTTACCCATGTGCCTATATTTGTGTCCAACTGCGTTAACCGAAGATGTGCAATGGGTGCTAGGTTCGCCACAAACTTTATAGCGCAGCACGCTTCCTTGGAAATGAAGACGCACGTTAGTACCTGATTTAGATCCAGCTGATTGACCATCTAACCATGGGCAATTGCAGTTTTTGCAACCACCGACCACCACACCCATCAAATGCGCCGTTCAGCTATCGGTAATATCTTCTCAAAAAGCGCAGTGCGAGATGCGGAGCAGTTGATTCACGATAATGTTAAAAAACTTGAACTGCGCATTGCTAAGCAGATTCGCCGGGATGGATTTACCGAAATGCGGACAAACTTTCTGGCTTTCGCAATTACCGTTGTCAATGACTACTGTCTTGGAGCTGTTCCATCACTTCAGCTCCTTGAGGCAGATGACACCAACGAAGGTGAAGCCGTTCGGTGGTTCGAAACAATCAGCTCCCTTACTAGTATGACCTCTATCGCACGTCAGTGCAGCTGGTTGTCGTCATTCTCGATGAAATTGCCGTCTTTCTTACTATCATTGAACCCCCATATTGAACGGATTGTGAACATGCGTCGGGTAAGATACCCATCTTTCACTTGAGGTCAACCCTAACATTACTGCTAGGCATTGGAAACCCAGGCGATATCTGAAATAAAAGCCCATAGTAGTCCGGACGCAAAAGAACAGGCAAGTCCGGCTACAGGAAGGCGCCATTTATTCGGTGCTATTCTCAATAATCCGAACATGCCACCGGAAGAGCAGCACTTCACACGCATTGCACAAGAGGGTGCTTTAGTAGTTGGTGCAGGAGGGGAAACATCTGCACGTATTTTGACGACTGCGAGCTTCTTCCTCGCTGCAGACAAGCAAATCATGTCAAAGCTGCAGGCGGAGCTGCAAAGTGCCATCCCAGACCAGAACTCGACACCTTCCCTTAAAGAGCTCGAGAGCTTACCGTATCTGGTAGGATCCGGCCAATTACTTGGTACTCTGATGTATCATATAACTGACACATAATTACTCATTCTTAGACGGCCGTTATCAAGGAATCACTGCGATTTCAGGGAATTCTCACATCCCGGTCGCCCCTTATTTCAGACAAGCCCCTTCATCATGGGAAATGGCTGATTCCAGCTGGAGTATGTCTTCTATTTTTCTATCATGAGCCTTCTTTCAATTTTAACATCAAGCTTTGACAGACACCTGTCAGTATGACATTCCGCCATCTTCTTCGTGATCCAACGGTCTTCCCGAATCCTGAATCCTTTCAACCGGATCGCTGGCTCACAAAAGACGAAGGCATGATGGAAAGAATGAATGAATATTTCTTACCTTTTGGACGGGGTAGTCGTATGTGTGTTGGACTGCAGTAAGTTTATCTGCAATGATGTCACAGAATTCGTTGTTCAAATATTGCGATTGATTCAACCATTATTTAAAGGTAGATAGACTAACATCACATGCTTTACAAACAGCCTTGCATGGGCAGAAATCTATATAGCTATCGCCGAATTATTTCGAAATTCTGTGTTTGAGCTGCATGGAGGAACAAGCCTGAGGGATGTGGAAATTGTGCGGGACTGTGGTGTTGGGGAGGTCAGCCCTGACAGCCAAGGTGTGAAACTTACATTTGGTACGTTATTCTCCATCGATTCCCTCATAAACAGTGCTAACGATAGTATCAAGCCAAGGTTATCTAGCCAAGTCCCCTCGGTCATTCCTAAATTTGGAGGAGAGGTGAGCCCCTAACTTGTAAGTCAGCGAGCTGAGTCTATTGGGGGAAACTTTGGCATTTCGGGTCTATTTGTCTCGTGAACTTCGTCGGTGTAGAAATACGAAGGGTTTGACACATACTTGGACACCCCATTCGTGGGGGGAGGGACCATTGAAGTTGAAAATTGACTCACAAATCCTAAAATACCCAAGATATACTGAGACACTCTGATAGACCGAAGGTTAGACTCTCTATGTCACAGTAACTTCGTTGCAAGCCTTAGGACGTACCAGTATATTTGACAACCAATGCAACAATAAAGGCAGCCCTATTTAGTCCCAGCCTCGTGGCTGCTGGAGCATTCTTCCTCAAAACAGCTAGGAATGACTTCAAGCTCTGAAAGAACCAGTTAGTAGAAAATCCTTTTAAAGAAAATATCACTCTTACCTGTAGACAAGTTCCCCATTCCCATTGGAAATACGCTCATTCAAGTCAAGAGCTTACATCTCGTTGTACTCTCCGTCTGCATTGAACAAATACGTCATCAAGTATGGTCGTATGGTCCCTCGAGGCGAATGTGACGGGCAGACTTGCTGAAGATCTCACCATCCCACGTAAGTGACCCTTGCATCAGATAATAGCGAGTACAATATAGATAGGAACGACAGTGGAGGAAAAAGATACCATCCACATTGCCAATACAGTCATAAGGAAGCTTCTTGCCAGTCACCAGACTTATTCCGAAGATCACACAACAGGAAGGCGCCGTCTCCTCTAGTCTCAATGCAAACGTCTAGGCTGCTTTAGAAGAATGACATATTTCGAGCTTGTATGATACTAAGTGAGGGGACTAGAAGACCATGGAAAAAAAGCGTGAAGAAGAAGACAGACCTATTATTTATACCCACGAGGGAAGTCAAATCTTAAGAAATGGATCTAGGGACATCTATTTGATCGAGCAAAGGACTGGCGCTAAAGTTTGAAGCGGTGTGCTAGCTAGCGTCGACAGATCCAGCTGGCATAACTTCACAGGCCGTAGGAGCCAATAATATCTTATAGCTGATGTCTACATATCCACTAGAAATCGAAGAATCGCCGACATAAGAGGGGCTCGGAATTGCCAGATCTATTGAAGGTGAGAAACAGCTTATCAATTCATTGCTTTCGCCGGAAATTCTGAATTATACAGAGAGAAATGCTTGCCTCTGTGATCAAATTAGACTTATCAATCCCCATGTGGACAGAGCCATTGAGAAGTTAGAGAGCTTCAATGGCCACTTTGCTACTGAATCGTTGCGACTGATTTGCACATATAATGGATTACTAAATATTGATGGTCTACAAGATCCGGACTTGGAAGCAATGGACAAGCGTGCTCAGGCGCTACAGGGCGATTATATGGAATCAAGGGGTGATCTCTGCCTGGTGTCTATGTGGTGGGACCTTGATTTACCCCATTTAGGTTGCAATTGTCGGCAATACAGATAGATAACAGATAGAACATAAATTGCTCTGTCATCTGTCGATACAGTAAGTTCTTCTGTGGTTTTACTATCTCCATTGGACTAAACCAAGATAAGTTTAGTTCTGAAACAACCTGCATGACTCACATGATAACACCTCAACACGAAACTACAAAAATTGCCCACTCGAACCTTAGAACATTGAATTCTTCACATCAACATGACACCATGGCAAACCACGCGTCTCCTCCACGGAGTCCGCGCGATAGTAGGCGGCCAAGGACCCCCCTTGATCCTCATTCCAGGCTGGCCACAAACAGCAGAGGCATTTAGCGATATCTTCGAGCCCGTTTCAAAACATTATCGATTCTTCGCCCTCGACCCCCCAGGATTGGGCGACTCACATCCACCCACTAGCTACGATACCGCGAACGTGAGCAGAATCATGGCCGAAGCTGTTCACGACCACTTGAAAGAAAGCCAATACCACCTGGTGGGCCACGACGTGGGTGGATGGATTGCTTATCCCTGGGCAGCTCAATTCCAATCGAAAATCAAATCGCTCAGTATCCTGGACGCTTCAGTGCCGGGATTCTTGCCGCAGTTTCAGTTTCCATTGTCTCAGCAGACCAATTTGCGTCTTTGGCAATTCTCGTTCAACGCACTTCCGGAATTACCTGAAATTTTGACTGTTGGGCGTGAGAGGGAGCTATTGACCTGGTTCTTCAATCTGAAGACCGTTCACCCGGATGGTCTACCCAAGGATCAATTCGAACGCTATATTCAGGCGTATTCAAGACCCGGGGCGATGAGTCGGGGGTTTGAGTATTATCGAGCTTTTGAAACGAGCTCGAAACAGAATTTGGAATTTGCGAAGACTCCGCTCGATATACCTGTCCTGGCTTTAGGTGGTGCTAGCTCCGTCGGTTCGGGGATGGTTGGCTTGGTCCAGAATTTTGCCGCCAACGTTTCTGGAGGCGCTATTGATGATTGTGGACACTTTCTCCCCGAGGAACAACCATCTGCTGTCGCCCAAAGACTGCTGGAGTTTTTAGAGGCTAATCAAAAGTAAAATTTCTTTTAACACTTTCCTATGGTTGCCAGAATCTTACTGGCCATCAACGCTAGACAGCCGAAGACCGTACAGAAGTTATGCACAGACATCTCAATGACATATCTTCTTGGCGAGAGAAATGGAGAATGAAGCCAGGAGAGCATCTGGAATGTGGGATGCATGTCTAGATAGTTCTCCCTCTCGGAATACAGATTTTGACACTCTCTTCTCTTTCCCGGCTACCCAGCCTTCTCTGCCTGATACATTCAAGAGTATACTAAATTGCCATATCATTAGTTCTGGGACTACATGAGACTAGAAAATCTGTAAAGTAGGTATGGGTATCAAATCACGGTAAATTGGTGTGTAATATCCTAAGGTATCATCAGGTCCAACAAATGCTCCGAGATTCAGCACAAAGCTGGAAACCACTACATTCCACCTATAAAAGCTCAATTCAAAACTCCGCAAAAATGCCAAACGGCGACTGGACCAATTTATTCAAAAGGTCATGGATATACGGAAAGTGTAAAAAAGGACTATGAGTTCAACAAAACCCCAGATGATAGGCAACACCGGTTATGCAACCGCGTCGTGCTCTCAAGACGAAGCAAGAGGCAGATGATAGCGGCTCATTCTGAAAATGGATAAAACAAAGGAAATGCTCGACGGAGGCCAAACCCCATGCTAGATGGTAGGTGAAAACAAAGAAAATGATGAGGATATCAGGGGGTCGTTATATGGGAATATATGAGATTAAATGGTTCATGAATGGGTTCAAGATGGTGCGTCGGGCATGGCTTGGTCAGCGTCGCTGCCCAAGATGGTCGGGGGTGGATCGGAGAAAAGGGTTCGGCGTCGACAGTTTACTGTCAAGTCTTTGTCGTCCGAGCCGAGTCCAGGTGTGCTGGAGGCACTCTCGATAAGGACACTATCATCGTATGTCTCTGGAGGTGGCGCAAATGACCAGACCTAGAAACGTTAGTGAAAAAACACCGAGCCCCAGAGCTTTTTATAACAAACCTCCATTACTGTCCGGCCAGATCGACTAGCCATGATCACGGCTTTTTCTTCTTCAAATGCGACTCTCCAAACTGCTTCTGCCGGGGTGGAGAGCTCTCGCAGTAATTGGCCAGTCTGCAAGCTCCACACCTTGACACGTCCATCGCTTCCACCGCTGACGATACGATTATTGTCAAACTGGAGACTGGTGACACTGTTATCATGGGCAGCCAGTCGGTGAATAGGCGCCATCTTCGTTAGTGACCAGACGCGCACGGAACCATCGGAGCCACCCGTCACAAGCGTATCACCGCGCATCTGCAGCTGGCCTACCAAAGACGTATGCCCTTGCAGGATGGCGTGACACTGTCCAGATTGCGGGTCCCAGATGCGAACGCTGGTATCCAAGCTTCCCGTTGCGATCCGTCGTCCATCGAAAGTGATGGCGTAAATCTGGCTGAAGTGACCGGTAAGGGTTCGCAGGCAGCGGCCTTGAGAGATACTCCATATACGCGCCGAGGTGTCGTAGCTACCAGAGACCACAATGTCGCCATGGATTGCTAGACACCGGACACTAGCCTGATGGCCAACCAAAACATTGCGACAGGTCCCCGTGGTCAAATCCCAAATACGTAGTGTGGTATCTCTGGATCCCGAAATAGCCGTGTTCTGATCCGACATTTTTAAGCATCGGACCGTTGATGTGTGACCTCGAAGCAAATGGATTCCCGCGCTAAGATTTGTTAGTGTTGGACTTCAACAGGATTCTTGAAGAACTCACCCGGTCGCCATATTCCATACTCGCACATCTCGGTCGCATCCTCCGCTAACCAAAATGTCGTCCCACGGAACCATAGCCCATACTCCCATCACGTGGCCCAGGAGTGTCTTCTGGTTATCGCCGTTGGTGTCATAAACATGAATCTTGGCGTTATCCAATGCAACAACGATATATTTTGAAGTCAGATGCAAACTCGTCACAACCCCCTGGTCGGGTGTGATATGACGCTGTGTGCACCGACCACCCTTGTTCCAAGCGGACTCGACCATATATTTTCGCTTGAACTGCGATCGGTACGAGACCGGTCGAGTCCGACGTCTTCGAGGGAAGCTGGTTGGTGGTAACCATCCCTCTACAGACATAGTGCGGGGGAGTTCCGGGTCACTCTCAACGGTGGGTTCATTGGAATCCGACCGTAGTTGTAAGTCGTTTAACGAGTGCGTTTCCAAGTTCGAGTCCACGGACCGAGGAGTGGTAGGCTCCATGTTATCATCCTCCTGGATCCGCCGTACTGAATATGCATGCTTTTCGCAGAGATTCTTCCAAGTTATATCGTCGTTTAATAATTCACGCCATCGTATTGACACTTGCGATGCCCTTGCGAGGGTCTTTGGGTCGTCGATAAAGGAGAGTACCTAAGCGGGGAAACGAGTTAGTTGCACGCCTCCACCCCACAACTCAAAATTAGACAAAGAACCTACCCTCAAGCATAGTTCATTTGGAAAGACCAAAAACGGATCCTTGCGCAGGCGCGGTCCGACATAGCCTGAAACAAAGCTTAGTTGTTGGCTGTCGCATACGTCCAAAAGACTCTCGAGGAGTTTTTGCTTCCGGGTATTAGACAAGGTACTGAAGTGGATGCGCAGGTTCAGTAAAAATGTATTCTCCTCGTCATCGGACGATTGCCAATCCGGGGGGCGTTGGTGTGGAGTAGGACTCGGCGCAGGTGTTGGTGGAGAAGCGGGAGCCGAAGGCAGGAGGTTTGCGGGTATCGGAGTGATATTTTTCTTGCTGATACTGAGTGATCGGCCGGGGACACTAGTGAAACTGGAGACGGAGTCGCGATTTGAATGGGAATGGGAGTCCAACTGATCCAGCACGGTCGAGCCAGTCGACTCGTCTAATTCGAAGGTCTGGGGATCCATCACGTATAGAGACCCGACTTGCTTCCCTCTTTCTCCTCACTATTGATCACTCTCTTCACAAGTAGCACGGTCGCACGGTGGCGTCAGCAGGCATAGAGTGGAATTCCGGGGTGGTATGAGTAATGAGGGGCTTTTTCAAGATAATGTCGGAAGGCGGTTGGGCTGGCGATGACCGAGGGGGAGGGAGGAAAAAAACCCCGTCGCAGGAGGAAGTTCGGTTTTATATAAGTCAAGATGATCTTCTTATATGGGTTTCTACAGTTTTCCCAAAAAAAGAAACCATCCAAATGGCAAAGATCGATGAAAAAGGGACATTCCAAGCGGAGATGAATGTCGTGACCGTCTCGACTCTGACAAAGCCGCCAAGCTCTCTCTGCCCCGTGTTCTCCGTTCTCCACTTTTGCCGGACTCGAATGAAACTCCGTTTTCTACTCCGTGGCATGCTCCACTTCAGAGGCTGAGACAACCTCGTTTGCCTCACAGATCGGAAGGGCGCTTCCCTTGCAGGATTGGTAAGTCTTGGCCAATGTGAAGCGGCACAGAAAAAAAAAATTCAATCGAATCTGTGAAGAAAACCTTCATGAACTATATGCCTCCCGACTCCTCGGAAAGATTAGATGGGTTCGGTATGGGGTTAGCCGACCATGGATCAACCCGGATAAGGAAATGATTCAGGGTGACGAGACTGACGAAACTTTTCATCACCCGACATGGCAAGATGAGCCAAAGATGAGCATCTGCCTGCAGGATCGAGCTGGTCCCCCGCTCTTATATAGTACCCGTGAGCAACGTCACGCTACGTCGGTGTGATCGTGAGAAATGCAATAATGACCCGCCCAGTTCATCGTACACTGATTCTATTTGAACATTGGTATCCTGTCCACTCTCTGAACACATGCCAAATAAAGGGGTATATGCTCCTGACATCTATTCCGTGGCAAAGATAAGAAAAAATGGCAATGATAAAAGGCAAAACGCATTGACATCACATCCCGTTGCCTGCTAGCGGGCATGCATGCGATACAAAAAAAAAAAATAAAGGCAAATAAGGGTAGAAAAAGCTAGTGAGCATGGCCGATCTGCAGGAAGAGTGGCAGAATCATTCCCACCACAGACGCGATGAGGTCTCTCATCGACTTGTCAGATCCATTCGCGGATTCCCGAGCATCGCCATATCCATTCACAGGTGATTCCCGCGGGGTAGAGCCAGGGCCATTCTCTTGCATGGTGTGCATCGCCACATACCTGTCATAATCAGCATACTGTTAGACGAAAGCGAAAGATTCAGGAACTTACAGAAAAGTACCTCCAGAGAAAAGCAGGAGCATTCCGGTCCGCCACTGAGAGCCAGTCTCGTCGCCGCTAGATGATCCCATCATATGTACAAAGAGGAACGTGGCAAGAGCACCGACAGGCGCAGCCAAACTAAAGATCAACAGATGCGCTCTCGCAGTCCGGCTTGATAGGCCCTGCTTGAGCAGAATGGAGGTCAACCCAAAAGAGGCGGGAGCCTTATGCACCATAATAGCCAGGAAGATGATAAAGCTAAGACTGGAATCGGAGCTAGACGCACCCAGTGCGATACCATCAGCGGCAGCATGAATGACCAAGCCCGTAGTCGTAGCAAAGCTGTGACCACGTTGGGAATTCGAATGGCCGGCATTCAAAAGCCCTCCATCGCGCATGGGGGAGGAGCCCCGTCGCAGCCCGGATCCAAGATTATCGAGGGAGATGTGGTAAGGAATCCGTTCATTTTTGGCGGGCGAGGCGAATTCCGGCACTTTATCAATCAGGTACATCAGAATGAACCCGCTAACCAGGGCGACTCCGATCCAGGCGTGCGGCGAATTCTCTTCTTCCTTGCTCGAGTGTTCGCTGGTATCGTCCTTCCGTATAGTTAGGCCTGCTACTACACTCGATTCGTCGCGACTAGCAAGAGGAGCAGATTGTTGGTCTAGGGATAGGAATGAAACGGGGGTGTCTGTTGTTGAAGCTTGATCGGTGTTGAATCTCGATCGTATGGCCACAGGAATTGCCTGTGACTGCCAATCAACACGGACATTCCGCGTGCTAAGGCTTTTCTGGCCAGAGCCGGCGCTGTAAAGGGTCTCGACGCCCTCGGGTATAATAACAATCAATGATGTTCCCACCAATACGCCCATGCCGATCGAGGATATGAGGCGGAGTTGTGACGGGGAAAGGGTAAAGGCAAGAGGCAATGAACCGACAACAAAGGATCTAGTAAGTGGTCAGTAATCCCGATCATGAAGTCGCCCGTTTTTCATTGAGACTCACGTTACGGCCATCACAATGCTCAGGGCGAGCAGAGTAAAGAGTCCCTCCATGGTGGTCTCTTGTCGCAAGAGCTTGGCAGTTTCGGGCACTAGATAATTTCAATCATGTTGTCCAAGGTGGGAAACGAGTGTAAGATAAACCCCGGTGGGAGTTGGTCAGGGATTGGGAATGGGTGAAGGAGAGAAGGGACATCACGCAAGTCGGACCCACGCATTCCTTGTCAGTCAGGTACGGGTACCGCTCTCGCTCTCGGATCAACCATCTCCGCGACTATTTTTGTTTCTGAAATGATCCGATGTTCTATGCGATTATTCCTTTGCTAATGAAACCATATTGATCAAATAATTTAACAGTCGGTTCTGTAATATGCTGTCCAATTCAACAAGGGTCAACTCCACCTCCCTAGGCAGATGCACAGGGGCAAACATGTCTATTTGGATTAATCCATGGGAATAGAACCTAGTCCACTGCCAGATCTATGCAACCTACTTTAAAGAGAAACCACAAAGCTAACAAGTTAGCTAACAGCTTGGCTTCTTCCAACCTTCCCACCGATCACAATCCCTGGTTTCAAATCAATATTCGCCCAATGCTACGATCCACCAAATCATCCACAGAAGAAGGCCAAATATGGAATGCAGATATAGGTGGGAAGCGACTGAGTGTCAGCCTGGGATGAATGAGTTCCTCTTTGATGAATAGGAGCTATTCCCTTGTTCCCATATGTCGAACATGGTATTAAGCCTGAAGGCAATCACCTGAAAGTGGTTCGATGTTGCATGCTACCTTTCGTTGTTGACGAAAATCTGGCTTGGAAAGGGGTTCCTTTCGTTGCTCATATCCTAACGTTCGGGACAAAGTAAATTAAAAGTGGTAAACATATGAATTAGCCAGATACTTGATCTTACTAGTTGAGGCCAATGCAACATTTGGCCTTTTAATGACTCATTTTCTTGATTCGTCACTTGACCTCCAATTTCCTGTTAAATACAACATTATCATGAAGCGTACTACACAAACTCCTTTTCGCATTGAATTCTGAATCTAACCATGGAACACTTTCAAAACTCCGCTTCCATAGGAACACATTCATTGAGTTACGCACTACGAGGAATCTCGAGAAAACCAGGCGCGCCCCTAGTACTCGTCTTTACCGGAATAACCAGTAGTGCACTGGAATGGAGCGCAGTCTGTCGACACCTTGAGTCAGAAACATCAATCTTCCTTTATGAGCGTTCCGGATATGGTCGCAGCGAAGAGTCCCCAAGCGAACCTGATTCAGTCACCATAGTTGACGAACTGTCCCGACTTCTGGAGTCAGCCGCCCTTGCCCCACCATACCTTGTTGTCGGACATTCGTGGGGCGGTATTCTAGCTCGAGAATTTGTGGCAGCCCGTCCGGTAGAGGACATTTCTGGCCTAGTACTCGTCGATGCAGTACAAGAACGGATGCTCTTTGAGACATGGCCGGATCCTAGCATCGCAGCTGTCACTGAAGGGCTGGACTATTATGAGGTGGTTGGGATCTCAAGGGATTACAAGTTGACGGCATCTGAATGGGGTGATCTTATGGCGGAAGAGTCGAGTGAGAAGCATGCTCGACAGGCAGATCGGGAAATGCCCTATCTTCAGATCAGCCGACCTGTTATCGAGCGGAAGGCACAGCTTGTGCCTGGTCAAAATATATTGGAAGGGAGACCTCTCAGTGTCCTTAGGGGAAACTCTAAGCGGGATCATGAGTTGATGTATCAGGCTGGTGTGGCTAACGGGGGAGGTACTGAGACTCAGAGAGCCACATTCCGTGACTATCTGTCAAGATGGGACCAAAGTGAAGATTTTTTTCAGCGAGAGTTTCTTCACATGTCAAATTTGGTTCGCTACTCCGTGACAACAAAAAGTGGACATAATATTCAGATCACGGAGCCTCAATTGGTTGCAGATTCGATTCGATGGGCGCTTCAAAATACTCCAGTTGATCTTTCGTCTTAACATAAGATTATTGTTTAAATTTTGTACACTCAAGTGGGAAACAATTATTAATAGTATCCCTGACACACCCAGCGAGAAATGCGGACCTTCAAACTCAGAAGCCTATATGTACTTATATATTGGGAACACGAAGCCCAAGGTAGGGTAAGTACCTCCCCGGGTGCCAAATGATGAAAAGCGCAACGCAAGGATAGATAACTAATGCATCAAAAACGTACGCTGTCCATTCATGTGCGTTGATATAGCCGGTGGAACCTGAAGAGAACTCCACGAGACGATAAATAGAACGGACCTATCATTGCAGTTATCATTAGCAACATTCATTCTTATATCTGACGATTTCAGCTCACCAGAATCAGCAAAGTGGTTAAGTTGACAACCCGTAACAGAGCAGGCCAATGTCTATTCTTCACGATTCCATCAATAGAATAAGTCTTCTCATCAAGAACCTCATATCGCCCAGCCAGCTCATCAGTGAATCTCTTCGAGGTAAAGTTAAAGCGCACAGCCGCGACAGAAAAGAGTCCGAATGCCACCAATTGAATAATAACACCCGCCTGGGCAATAGCCTTTCCCTTGAAGATCTTATGAGCCGCAGCTGCATCTGTAACACTGACTGAGGAAATCATCACGGCTCCGCTCAGTTGGAGGAGAAGAGCCACAATATCAAATCCAACAAAAATCGGCGTAATGAACCGAGGAGGTACCCAGCAAAGCTGAAATGTACGAGCGTCATGGGGAACGACTAGGAAGAGGATCCGACTAAACAGTATATAGCAGCAGGCGGCCATGAGGACCGGTGCGAGGACAATAAGGGCAAATTGGAGGACGTAAACCGGTCTTGATGTCACATTTTGGGTGGAAATACATCGGCCAATGTAGCCAACCGCTTCCACTGGATTTTCTTAGTTACGGATATGTAAATAAGAGAAAATGCAACTTACTTGCTGCTGCCAGTACCATAATAACCCATATCCATGCCTTATACCGGATCCATTGTATAAATGTCAAGATAAACGCAATGCTGTAAAGGACGGCGGCAACAATCGCCACTGCTAGCGAAGGATCATAGCGGTAGTATGAGACCCTGGTCTCATGCGCGCGTGATTCCAGTGTCATAGTCAGGGCTCTGTGTTAATTATCGATAGTCACTTACCTCGCAGAAATTTTGTTATTGATTAGAAGTTGACTGGGATTTGAACGGATTTCCAGTCACTGATGGCGGCTCTTGAACCTGCATAGAGTTTCGCTCGGCCATTTGACATGCCGACCTCCGCAACGGGAAATGATTTCATAATTTTGACTATGAATGAAAGAGAAATCAGACTTACATCAAAAGTCGAATCTAGTACAATCAGTGTAGACGAAATGTCCACTCCATTAGGAATAGCGTGCCAAATACTCCAAGTGGATCGACTTCCACCAATTAAATCATGGACGATCCACCGTTTTACATTGCTTACCTGGCTCAGCCTCCTAAGCCACTCACAACGTCGCTTTACAGACAAAGCCCACGATTCTCTTACCTCTTTCAACTCGGGGGTCGAAGTATGACAGCTTCATTTATGCTACGATACAATGCCTTTTTACGGCCGTCCCAGTGCAAACTGTGAGAGCTGTCGGGAGCGGCGAATCAAGGCAAGTATTAACCGGATCCACCCAAGCTTGCCACTAATTTAACGACCTATTAGTGTGATCGTATCCAGCCGGTCTGTTCACAGTGCATAAGGGCGGGCAAGCCATGTGGCGGTTACCGTGATATCCCGAACTTTCTGTTTCGTGACGAAACAGATAAAGCGGCTCGAAGGTCTGCAACGGCCAAATCTAGAGCTGGAGAGGGTCGAAAGGTCCCAGTCGCTACATTATTAAAGTCGGATGCATCGAAAAGATGCGCACAGCAATCTAAGGCTGTGTTATCACAGGCGAAACCCAATCCAATGCCGATTCCCACTATTTCCCTAGCCGTCTCCGCCAGTTTGGAGGATCAGGGACTGAGGTTTTTCTGCACTCAATTTGTAACAGATGCCGCCGCGGCAATGGAGGGGCCTTTCTTTTTATCAAAGTTACCATTCTTAAACACGGTTTCTGTCGAATTGCCGTTTCGAGATGCGGTCCTATCGGTTGGGCTAGCTGCTCTGTCCAATGTTACTCGGGATCCATCTCTCCGGCTAGCGGCAAGAGAAAAGTATGTGGCCTCGCTCCAGACTGTCCGTCGGGCTGTGGAGAATCCACTTCAGGCTCGACCGAATCAAACATTAAATATCATCCTAATGATCGGTCTATATGAGGTATGCCCTATCAGTCCTGTCCTCGGCTAGTCCACTAATTGCTCAACGTTAGATGGTTTGTTGCACATCTAGTCAGCTTGACGCATGGGTGATTCACTTAGACGGTGCCGCAGCCCTGTTCAGGCATGCCAACTTTGGCAAGATGATCCAAGCCCGTGATCCGCGAGCCCAGTTGCAGTTCTGCTACTTTTCCATGGTCAAATATTTTCACGCCAATAAGGAACTGCCTATCCAGATTTTGAATTCCAAAATCAAAATGATTCAATCATCGAATCCTGATGATTTCCCGGCCATCAACCTTGTTGACATCCTGATACGGTTCATCAAGTTCCACTCCACTCGTAATGGCCCAGATTTCGACCCCGAAATTGGGGCGCAAGCGCTCGCTTTCGATGAAGAGCTAGAGGAATGGGAGAGGCGCCTCCCACATAAATGGGAGTTCTTTGTTGAAACATCTTGCAGTGCGCAGCACACATTCCACGGGAAACATATGGTCTATAACGACATCTGGGCCTCAAGAGATCTGAACTACTACTTTTGGGGTCGATTGATCGTCAATGAGATGATACTGAATAATATCGCCAGACTGACAAGGATGGGGCTTTTGAGTGTTTATCATCTCCAACAGCGACAGCGAGCGCTTGATGTGGTTTCGCATATGGCGACGTGTATTTGCGCTGGCGCTGCAGCCCAATTAAGTGGTTTACAGCATGCGATCCCGCTCAAAGGGCAGACTCGCGCTCCTCCATTGAATGGTATCTTTATGTTGCTTTTTCCATTGACGATTGCCGGGGGTTCGGCTGCTGCTCCAGATGAAGTGCACGAATGGGTGACCCAGACGTTTCAGGGAATTGGGTCAAGGATGGGCATCCGGAGAGCCCTAGAGTTGATACCAGAGATTAAAAAAGTGCGAGCATGGAAGTCACAGCTGATAAGGATGGAACTTTAAATGAAATAGAATAGACATGCCTGGGAACTTTCAAGTATTTACCGGGTCTTTTAAGATGATGATGATATGACACAATTCTTATACCTACCTACATTAGAGCTTTGAAATCCCACTGCCGTGATTGACCTAATATAACCAAAGAAGCAAGGGCTGAGAGTGCCATTTCAAACTTTGGAGCAAAGCCGCTGGTTTCTAGCACATGAAAAGTCAGTCAACAGGCAAAGGAACCTTAAAGAATCGAAATGTGAGCGAAATGTGAGTGAACTTTAGCTTGACATGGGAGGCCCGCTAGTCCATATTAGGTAATACTGGTCCCGACGCGGTCAGACGCGCCTTCATTTCTCCATCGCATTTCCCATTGACCTTAACAATCAACCACTCTCCATATTAACCATACACCAAGAATGGCGGGAAACGACTGTAAGACAATCTAATACTCCATGTCTTTATATGAATATGAACTAATTGGTTTCTTAGGGTCGTGCGATGCCAACGATGCGGTTCATATCACTGTCGTGCAGCCAGGCGACACCAAACCAAAGACACTCTCTACCTTCCATCCACAATTTACCTATCCCATCTTCGGAGATGATGAACAAATTTTCGGATACAAGCGTCTGGTGATCCGTTTGCGATTCGCGGCGCATGACCTGCGTCCCCATCTCCACATCTCTTACGATGAAAAGTTCAAGCCAGTTGGGGATACCACAGCACTCGATCTTCTTGAGACGCTGAAGCCATTTGTTTCCCAAGGTTTGTGGGGCTATTGCTTGAACGGAAACTTTCACCTGGCTAATTGAGTATCTGATATAGAGGCCCTCATCAATTTGCCCGAATACGAAAAAGCTGTCCAGGAAGATGCCTCAGCAAAGGACTTTACACCGCCGGGTAAAATGGTATACAGCTATGAGACAAACGAGAGACAATATGAGATCTGGGCTGGATCCCTGGCGGACCCGCAAGTTCGGCTCCTTTTGGATCGCGTGCAGGTTTTGGTCTCATTGTTTATCGAAGCCGGAACTCCCTTAGAAACAGACGATCCTGAGTGGAGTCTTGAACGATGGACCGTTTTCTTCGTGTAAGTCACCTTCTCATCCTGTGAATTTCTTCCAAATTGACCATTTCAGATACGAGAAAGTGACACCCCCAACGCCAACCGCGTCCTCGTATTCCATTGTAGGCTATGCGACGACCTACCGGTACTGGTATTATCAAAGAGACCGGTCCCAAATTCCCACCATCAAGAACGACGACTTCCCACCAGCAGAGATTCAGATTTCTGAGCTACCCGCTCGTCTTCGTATCGCCCAGTTCCTCATCCTTCCTTCACATGCCCGCTCCGGGCATGGAACCCACCTCTATACCACCATCCATGCTTTCTGTATCGCCGATCCCACGATTGGGGAATTAACAGTTGAAGACCCGAATGAACAATTTGATGCTCTTCGTGACTCGGCCGACTTCTGTCTCCTGCGGCCCGAATTCCTCAAACATGATGTGAACCTCAATCCGGATCCGAATGGGGCATATTCTAAAAAGCAACGGCCCCGCGCAGTGCCTACTGGGGCCTTGATCCCGAGCAAAACACTGCTCGATATTCGCACTGCTTTCAAGATTGAATCCACCCAGTTCGCACACATCCTGGAGATGTTCCTTCTGAGCCAGATCCCTAAGAGTCACCGTCTTGCTGGAGGAACTAACCTCGCCCGGCTATTGATTAAGAAGTACAAGGCAGAGGATGTGAATGATCGGCGATACTACTGGTGGCGCATGCTTACCAAGCAGCGCCTGTACAAGAAGCACAAGGAACTTCTGGATGAGTTAGAGTTGCTTGACCGCGTGGAAAAGCTAGATGACACTGTCCGTAATGTGGAGGAGGGCTACGAGATCACTCTGGAGGCTCTAGAGGAACGCCTGGCAGAATCAGAGGATGAGGTTGCGGCTCCGGCTCTTAGTGGTAGCCGTCGCCAGAAGCGCAAGCTCGCTGTTGAGGATGATGACGAAGAAAATGAAACGGAACTGGCCAAGCGCCCGAAGGTTTAGCTAAATGTGTTGAGCTACCAATGCTACCATACTGTACTTTATCACAAGATCGGCTCTCGTCCTTGCCAATTAATGCCATCAACAAATTAAAGATATTTTAAACATTCATCTAATATACTTTCAGTATCATCTGAAGGACATTGGTCCCAGGTTTAGTTGAAGTGACGCACCCACTTGTTCCAATCTCGGCACATCATTTTTTCCGATCTCACAGCTGATGCGGAGCTGCGCCTATTGCTGTCTCCAACCCCTCCAAATCATCGCAACGGCCTGCCGACCGTCCTTATACCCTACTTCTCACATATCAATTATCTTGCGATAGAGTGAGCGTTCTTATCTACACCAAATACTTGCGCCTAAGGCATCCACCGCTACATCATCGATCGCAATTCACAATGGTAAACCCTCTCAACCCGACTGCTATCTACCGCAAACGCTAAAATTATACCAGCTTCCCCTTGGCCTTCTCACGGCCGCACAGGGCCGCCCAATGCTCGTGGAGCTGAAGAATGGCGAGACCCTCAACGGCCACCTAGTGACGTGCGATAACTGGATGAACCTGATCCTGCGCGAAGTTGTGCAAACCAGCCCCGAAGGCGACCGCTTCTTCAGATTACCCGAAGTCTACGTTCGTGGCAACAATGTATGTCCAGTCTATATCTTCCAGATCCAAGCCCCTACAGGAGGCTATGAGACTGCTATGAGACTAAGGCTGTGAGGCTGATGCTAAACAATTATGCAGATCAAATACCTCCGAGTCCCTGATGAGATCGTCGATATCGTCAAGGAGCAACAGCAGAACCAACCACAGAACCGACGCGGTGGACACGGCCGAGATGGTGACCGAGGCCGAGGCCGTGGTGGTGGTCGTGGTGGACGGGGTCGCGGACGCGGACGGGGCGGCGGTCCAGGTGGAGTTCAATAGAAGAATCGGCACGACATATGGATGAAAAGACTACGTTTTGCATGGCTGATATGAGCTGCAAAAATGAGATACCCTACAGAGACAGACGTGGGTAAGATCGCTCCGCGTGGACTGGTAGAACGGATTTGGTCGAGCATGGCCGTGGCGTATCTGGCTCTGTATTTTTCAGTGGAAATTGGGGTTATGGTTGATTGTTAATCTACAAATACTACATGAAATCCCCAACTCTTCCCTCAGCAACTATTTGTAGACATGGTGCGGTGCGGTGCACTCAATCCCTCGAATTGGCGATATTAGTCAGCATCGCGCATTTCATCTTGATTTCTGGGGTCGCGGACAAACCGACCACAGTCCACGAGCAGCGAGATGTCACCGCCGGCACTTGTCCTCGATGGGCTATGGTACTCGCTTTGTCCATCTTTTAATCAACTAACACTGAGACAACCGTCATGTCTGCTGAGATCGCGAAAACACAGCTTCAGGCCATGTCCGCTACCCGCAATTCGCATTGCTCCGGTATTGCCACGACGATGCTATTCCAGTCAACATAAGCTTGATGACTCTAGCACCCTCGAAAATAAAGCTGATCATGCCATTGATTCACACGAAGACACATCCACATCCATATCCTCTCCCGAATCTCAATCCAACTCACTTGCCGATCAAGCGGACGCATTTGACAGCTCCGACTATCCACATCGCCTGCGCACGCACAGACAAAAACCCCCACGATACCTAGAATTACCCTTGAGTTATGAAAGAAAGACAGCTGCAGACCTTGAAAGAATGTTAAAGAGGAAGACCAAATCGCCGGAACTTATCGGTACGACTCATTCTCTAAGGGCTTTGATTCGGGATCTAAGAGTCAAACCAGCTACCCGCCACTACGAGGCGTTGATACTCGCCAATTGTGATAGTAAATGGGGAGCACCGGAGGCAGTGGAGAGTCTGTTAAATGAAATGGAGGTTAATGGCATTAAGGCGGACTCGAAGACCCTCCATGCGGCTTTGAAGGTGAGGACTGAATAACCATCTTGTATAATTTAAGCTAATTGATAACCTCTTTTAGGTTCTTGCCGTTCACCCGGACTATTTACTACGTCAAGATGTTATTCGCATGCTTCGAGACCGGTGGCTGGCTCTTAGTCCCGAAGGATGGCATTTTGTGGTCGCGGGTCTTCTCCGGGAACATCAATTTGAGTTGGCGTTGGATCAGATGTCAGCGATGGAGCGGAAAGGGATACGTATAGATAATTGGCTTCACAGTATGGCTGTCTACCAGCTGTGCGACTTTAACGAGCTTGATGAGGTTTACGCATTAATGCAGGCTCGTGTCGAGCAAAACCGCGAAATGACCCCTGCACTCTGGAGTCATGTGCTGTGCGCCGCAACACAAGGTCTGCACTACGATATGACCCGCTTCATCTGGCGACGAATGGTTGACCTGGGCTATCTGAAACCGGCCCCGAATGTTCACATCGATGCTTTGATCATCGCGTCAAATGCCGGTGATATCGACTTGGCTCTTTCTGTCTTCCGCTCATGTGATAAACTTGGTATTCCTTTGGACGCGGAAGATTATCAACGTGTTATCGATATTTACTTGCGCTTGGGGTATCTTGCCGCTTCATTCAAGGTATTCTGTACGATGCACGACTTTGGGGTTGTGCCTGCGGAGCGCTCGACCGAGTCGTTGGTATCCCATATGATCGAACATAAAACTGACCCACGCGAAGCGTGGCAGATGCTCAAACGCCTGAAGAATGAAAAGCAAAAGGTCCCCATCACCTGTGTGCATGTCATTGCCAAGCTCTGTGAGCGTCGTGCCCACGATGACCCGTCGGTGGTGGAAGATGCAATTGGTTTTTACAAAGAAATCTACAGTCTGTGCCCCGAGGGAGCAGACGTTTACGTCTACAATACCCTCATGCAGATGTGCCGGAATGCCCAGAATCGGGAGTCGGGTCTATTCCTCGTGAAAGAGATGGCATCTTTTGGCGTCGTCCCAAATGCCACTACTTTTGAAGCTCTCATCCTGATGTGTCTCGATGCTCGCAATTACCAATCCGCATACATGTACCTCCGAGATATGCTGGATAGGGGAGATGAAGTCAGCGATGAAAGCCGAGATGAGATCCGCGATCTTTGTTCCCAGTCGGTGCATGAATTTGCGGTACGGCTCCAACATCACCCTGCAGTGCAACCGGTGGAGCGTCCTCCGATAGACAAAGAGCCAGCACTTCCGGCCCCTCCTGGTAATGAAACGGGACATCGTCGGTATGGTCGACCCTGGGTCCGAGCCGCGTTCCGACGACAGACACTTTCGGACGAAGACCGCATTGCATGGAATAAGAAGCGGCGACAGAATAAACGGCGATACGAGGCGATTGCCCGAAAAGCCGAAGCTGAGTCCTAGTCTGTTTCAATATGATGAATAGACAAGGAACAAGTTCTCGGGAATTCACTTCGGGATGTCTCAGACTATGCGGATGGGGCTGCAGGTCACCGGCATCACATTTTTCTCCCAACCCCGTGGAAAGATGCATCCACTGTGCAACGTGGGTAATGCTCATTCCAACCAAGTTTTGTACCATAGAACCAAACTGCACATTATTAGTCCGCATGAAAGGAACAAAGAAAATCATTACCTTTTAGCCGGACTTGGCAACATGAACCTTGGGAACCCTCGCCGTTTCACTAATCCGCAACTCCAACCACGATCGCCAGGGTTGTTAGGCTCCACTTGATCCATTGGGGCTTGATTGGTTCCCCACCTGTACTCCGTAGATGAATCTTGAAACATGACGATGAACTCGACCTGTCAGACAATGAAAAGCAGTGTCCGACGCGATGACTTCCCGTTCAGCCCCCTTTTCAGCCCCTTCAAGCCACCGGGGTGGTTGGGAATAACTGATTCGATGAATGAGCGATTGAGTTAGTATCCCCTGAAGGTGAGGGATCGACAGTGGATCATTGAGAATGAGAGAATCAAAGTGGAGAGAAAGGAAAGGAGTTTTTGTTTCCATTTCCAAGGTTTCCCAACCCCGTTTGAACTTGAACTTGAATCTGAACATTTTTATCTTAAATCCATCTTCATATCCCTTATTCCCCTTTACACATACTTTATTCTACAAGCCCACCATGCAATTCACTCTTCCTATTCTCCTATCTTTAGGCCTAGCCAATGCGGCCACCCTCGCTCAACCCTCTACATGGCAGATCTCCAATTGGGAAATCGTCAGCTCGGGTGGTACTGTCTACTCCTTTGACATTGTCGCTGCCGCTTCAGCCAATTCCCCCGGCTTCAACACCCACTGCGAGGGTATCGTACCCAATGCTACGGCCTGCGATGACACGGACGTAACTGCAACCGTCACTGAGCAGAAGCACCCACTCTGGAACGTCGCCGTTCAGCATGAGTGGCACCTCTACCCTGAAGACGAGTCCGAACAGACCTACTGGCAAGCCGGTTCGAAGAACGTGACTAGCACGCAGTCCAACTTCACCATCACACCCAACGTTTTCTACGGTGTCGCGTAAACATGAAGATTTCCTTTGTTTCTCAATTTGAATTTGGCTTGATCTAATTGGCGTTGAGCTGGAATATCGGATGAAATGTCTACGATTGGCGTTTCAAGGTCCTTTTTATCTATTGGCTTCACTTGCCCCTTTACTGTGATCGCCTACATTCTGTACATAGGGTAGATTCATGTTATGAGGTCACAAACAAGATTTACATGCCAGTGCACTGCCAGGTACGAATTCCAATTCTTAACTCAATATGTGACATCATCGACTGCGCCTCCCGCGCAACTTGTCTAGATATACGTTCCTGAGCTTTCTTAACTTCTTATCAACCTTCTATATCCATGTCATAATATCTTACTCGACGAGTTCCTGTCTGGCGAAGAAAATGGTACTATCCCATTGGCTACAGCTGCGGGCCACAACTGACCTTTCAATCTGTCTCCGCAGTCCTCGATTCTCCGCCAAATAGTGGCAGGTCCCAGATTACAGCATCCAGAAGCGAATCTCGATCTATGCTACGTTACAGATAACAGTAAGCTCCGGAGATCTCCACTCAGCTTGCTTGAATACTCACATATTCTAGTAATCGCTACCTCCGGCCCCTCGGGTACCTATCCCCAACGAGCCTACCGCAACCCCCTCGACGCCCTAGTAACCTTCCTCGACTCAAAACATGGCTCAAATTGGTGTATCTGGGAATTCCGCGCCGAAGGAACAGGCTACCCCGACTCAGAGGTCTATGGACGAATCCACCATTTTCCATGGCCGGATCACCACCCGCCGCCCTTCGCCCTGATCCCTGATATTATGGGCAGCATGCGAAATTGGCTGCACCACCTAGACGAAAAGGAAAAGGATCCAGAGTCAACTGAAACTAAGCAAACCTCGGAATCCGCAAGAACAGAGAGCGACCGCGTCGTAGTCGTGCACTGCAAAGCAGGCAAAGGCCGCAGCGGGACGATCGCATCGGCATACCTGATTAGCCAAGAAGGGTGGAAAAAAGAAGATGCATTACAGCGATTCACGGAGCGGCGAATGCGTGTCGGATTTGGTGCTGGAGTCAGTATCCCCAGCCAGCTCCGATATGTGGATTATATCGATCGATGGACGAACCAGATGAACAAAACGTACATCGAGCGTCCGGTGGAGATTGTCGAAGTCCACGTCTGGGGGATTCGCGACGGCGTCAAAGTTGCTGTGGAGGGGTACGTGGATGAGGGCAAGAGGATAAAATGCATCCACATGTTCCATCGGCGTGAGCGGACGGTGATAGAATCCGGGAACACAACGCCCATGAAACAAGATGGGAATGCAGATGGACCCGTTTCTGCCGCGACGTGGGCGCCATCAGCTATCGCTTCACAATCTGACACCTCCACGTCGGATATTACGCGCCGATCAACCGCTTCCCCGTCAAACACATTATCCGCTGTCATATTCCGACCCGCGAAACCCGTCATCGTGCCCGGTTCCGATGTGAATATTGACTTCGAGCGCCGAAGTAAAGCTTCCTATACTGGGTTTGCGATGGTAACGTCTGTCGCGCACGTGTGGTTCAATCCTTTCTTCGAAGGTGGTGATAAGCATGACTCGGGCGTCTTTGAGACAGAGTGGGACGCTATGGACGGGATCAAGGGGAGTGTGAGAAAGGGGATCCGCGCACTTGAGCGATTGAAGGTTGTATGGCGGTATCCGGATTCTGTGGAGCGTGACAGCACGTCTGGACGACCGATTAGTGAACCGAAGCCTGGCGAGCCGATTTGTGAAAGTCACCCCGCCGATTGGCGGCAGTCACAGGGACAGGAAAATAAACCCCCTGTACCCGAACGTGAAGCTTCAGATTCAGCGCCTGCTGCAACTGGGACGAATACCAGTGCGGCTGCACCTACTATGCTTTCTCCGCATGATCAGCAGACGGATTCTAGTAAGGATGTGAGTTTGGCTGGGAGTGAAGATGAGGGTCAGGTTATTAAAGGCAAGGGGAATGGAAATGGGAATGGAGACATTGAGGGCGTGAGGTCTTATTTCAAGGATGGTCAGGATAAGGGTTAAAGTGTTTTCGGGAATACGTTTACTAGCATGTATCATAGATAGCATATGAAATACTCTGAGCATGAATGTCACGAACCTTGGATGAACAGTGATCTTTTAAAGCAGGGACTAGATAGTTGATCATCCTATGAACTCCATACTCGCCAGGCTAGGCAAGATCAAATCTAACTCTGACCAAATTTCATCTTTAATTGTAGATCCCAGTGCCCAGATGTATGTCTAAATCTATGCATACTATTCAACATTGAAAAACGTTCGGCTATCTCATCCCCAACATTTGAATACAAAAAACCAACCCAAACACCGCACAGTACGCCAATTAGTAATTTATCTACAGGGGTACAAATCCCTCCATGCGTTTGCGTGCTTCTTCCTCTTCCCGACGCAGCCGATCAGCCTTTCTGCGCTCATATACTGCGCGAACAACTCGGCGCACCTGCTCATGACCCTCGGAGTAATTGGCCTTTGCCAATCCAACAACCGAGTCGATCTGATCGGGAGAGTAGACGAAGTTCCATGTAGAGAGGAAGTCGTCCACGTTAGGGTCAATGGTATTAGGTTGAGGAATGGGGCCGTCCTGCTTCTCCTTGGCTTTGGATTGCATAGAATGGGCAGCCGCTAGTGGTCGATTATTGGTCGCAGGTGGAAGTTCAGGAGCCGACGGGTTAGGGATGAGAGGGAAGTAGACAACAGCAATACCTGCATCTGGCCTCATAAGGTGGAAATCCGATTCGGAGTGGTCGGTAGTGGAATCGGGATGGAAAAGACGCTTTGATGGTGGTGGTTCGTCCTTGGAGGTACGTTCTTCTGTCGTACCAACCCAGACGTTGCAATAGCCTAAGTCGAAGTCGTGACCAGATCTATTCTTTTTCGAAGCACCAGGCTGGTTTTCAGGTTGATTTTGGGCTTCGCTCATCTTCTGGTTCACCTTGTCCTCTGTGATATTCTGTGGCTCGCGTAGGGCCTCTTCTGCTGCTTCCAGACTGGTATCCATTCGGGGCCATCCAGCACCCACAGGCCAGCCCCTAACTCCTCGCTGCTTGGCATAACCGTCTACGACTGAAAGCCAATTCTCTTGTTTGATGTCGGCAGAAGCATCAAAGGCGACGACAATATCGACATCTCGACCAGGCCGGAGAAGCGGGTAGATCGGGAGATTGTTGCTCATACCAGCATCCATGAGACGGAGATGGCTGCTTTGGAAAATAGACTCGGGACACGATTCAGGGAGCTGATCTTTCATTCCTATCACGTAGTTCGGAATGGCGGCCGGGTCAATAGGGTGAACTCGGATCAAATCTTTATTCTTGCCTTGGATAAGAGTATCAATTCCACCAAAGCCAGTAAGACCCCGCACCAGAGGTCGGATTTCTTTGTAATAATGAGACAAAGTTGCGCAAAATGCGCTGCCCCAGATTCCCATCAAACCTGGAATCCGCAGTTCGGGAATGGGAAAGTTCTCGGAGGAGATCTGACTCTCTCCCCCTTGGAAGTGCCGTCCCAAAGCCCACGTTGGAATACCAGCACCGAGTTCTTCACAGAAAAACTCGTATGGGGTAAATTCAAACCACTGGAACCAGGCTTCGCGTTTTGCTTCCCTCATCATCTGCTCGGGTGTCGCACGCTTGCCTTGATCATCCTCCTCTATGGGAATTTCGTGGCGCACAGCTGTGTAGATAGGCATGGGGTGTGCACCACTGAGTATATTGGCTTGTTGGCTCGACAGCTTGAGATCCGAGTCCATAACACCCAGTTCTCCTCGCGGGACCATTAGTCTTGCCGCGAGCAAGAGACCGTAGATGTCCACAAGCCCGAAATCTGCGCCCGGGTCTCCTTTAAGTTTCTCGACTAGTCCACTGAGAAGGTACTTGTTGGTTGGTGCAGTGGTAAGGAGGTTCAGCGCTTTCGGTGGGAAGGCAATGTGCACATCCAGTCGGCTCTTGAGATGATCGACAAGCTTGTTGAAATTGCGACCTGTAATTGAGGAGTGGTATAGAGTTTGCAACCAGCAGCTGCCACTGACCCCTGCAGTGTAGGTGACACAGTCCCACAGGCCAGACTCCTGTGCAGCTAGGTACGACCCGGTCCCTGCAACTAGGGCACGAAGTCCACCGCCCGATCCGCACATGGCGATAACAGGTACATCATCCGGGTGGATATCACTCTCGGAGATGTTGAGATATGATGACAATGCTTTAACAGCATGTTGTTTTCGTTTGCTTCGAAAAGCTATTTCCTCCTGGCAGAGATCCCCGCTCACACGCACCTTGGCATTTCTCAAGATCTCTGGATTGGCCTCTGGGTCATGTGCTTCCTTCCAGATCTCGTCTGCCAAAGACCCAGGCGCTACTGAAAGCTCGCGCTGGAGTTTCTGAACCGTCGCTGGTAGCAATCGCGCCCAATCGGGGACAATGTAGTTTGTAATGCCTCCCCCTAGTTCACTCCACTCTGGTACTCCAACAGTATGTTTCACTTCGTCGAGCTTTTGTACAATATTCGTCCAAATAGACCCCTGGTTTTCGGTCGTTTGGGGGTCATTTTCGCCGGGCGAATGGTTCTGAGACTTTGAATTGGCGTTGTACTGAGCAGAAGATGTGGAAAGGTGGGTTTTCTGGAGACGCTTGTTAGGCTGCGTCCATTGGCCCGCAGTGTAGGCCGCAATTGCTGCCGGGGGAACTGTCCAGCGCAGACGTGAGGCGCTTGCAGCACCCATTGTCGCGAGGAAGTTAAAATGAGAAGCTGTAGACTGCATGCAAGTCATCAAGCCAACTCCGAAGTACTTGATTTACCGCGGGGGATGACCTCATATCATGTGACACGGAAGCACAGACGGGCCGACTATTCTTATTTGGACTAGCTTGTTTGGTATGAACTGCGGAGCTTATCTGAAGTTACGAACATCATCCCCCGTGGACCCCACACGGGCGCACATGACTACCATCCCTACTTCACATCTTTAAGTGATCGGCATGGTCGCCCCCAGGAATACCGCGTATGCGGAGGAGAGCGCAGAGGTGGAGGTGCTCTACGCGAATCTCGAAAAGCTTAACCGTCTCACCAAAAAGATTCAAGGGTCCATGGTCCGCCTGGAGACTAGTGGTAAAGTGGTGAAGGAGGCCATTGGCCCAATCTATAGCAACACACAATCCCTTCAGATTACCAACTCCAATATCGATAAGGTCAACGATGCCATCGACCGCCTCCGCCAGCCTCTCGACGCAAAGAGTCGAGAGGAGGGTATCATTCGCGCAGGGTAGGTGGCCAGTACCAAGAGAAGCGATTGGATCGATTGCGGGGCACTGACTGACTTACTATGTAGACCGCAAAGCTCCGGCCTTTCACATTACCTATCGGCGATGAAACGTGTTGAAAAGGCGCTGGTCGACCTTAACACGACGAACCTTCGGTCAAACCAGAAAGCAATGGCAGACTTCAACTCCCTCCTGAGTACAGGAAGCAGCCAATTACAAGAAATGCTCCGATCCGAATTGAAGCAACATGCCACCTCTATCGAGCCATTGCACTATCTCACCAAAGGTATATCTGCCATTGAGATACATGACCTTGTAGTGTGGCATCAAAGCTAAATTCTGGCATCCATAGAACTCCCCTTCCCAACTATCCCTGAAGAAACACTCTCACAACTGGCGCCACTGTGCGCAGCAATTGCCTCGGCATCCACCCTGGGCCCTTCGCGCAATAAAGGGGAGAACCCGGCAATGAAGATTTATGCCGATGTACGCGGGCCGTATATTACCTCTGGTCTGCAGAATCTATCCATCGCATCTCTCAATACCGTGAAGCGAAGACCGACCGACGGGCCTTACAAACAAGGGACCAACGGTATTGGGATTTACTCCAATGCATTGGAAGCATTCATCAATATTGAGCATGAAATCATTGTACAGTTGTTCCCTGGGGATCAGCAAGGGCTCGCTTTGCAAGCCACCTTCCTCTCGGCGATGGGAGAGTACTCCAAGACGCTGCGCGAACTTAACATGTACATCCGGCAAAATCTCATGACGGACTGCTTCCTCGCATTCGAAATCATCGAGATTGTGACTGCGATGTCCTACCGTATCGATTCTAAGACTGCGGAGTTGAAGGGTCTGTTGATAGAGGCGCTGCGACCTGTGCGTGAAACCGCCAAATCTTCCCTATCTGAGCTGCTCGAGGAAACCAAACGCAAGGCAGCCACCGTGGCCTTGCCTCCAGATGGAGGATCCGTCCCATTAGTTGAGGAAGTCATGAACTCCCTTGCCACATTGACTGGTTATTCGGGTCCATTGGCATCCATCTTAACCTCCCTAGGCGATGGCAACTGGCGCTCAAACTCGAGCACCGCCGGTACAGCGCCCCTGGATGTTGGGCCAGACAGTGGCACCCTTTTCTCCCACTTTATTCTGGATATGATTGAATCTTTAATGACCGCTTTGGAGGCGCGTGGCCGAACCTTCCATCGTTCAAAAGCTACCTTGGGTGTGTTTTTGTCCAACGTCTTCTGCATTGTCGATCGGATGATCCGACAAAGCCCCGAATTGGCGCGCTACTTGGGGGCTCCGGACAGCATTGCCCGTATCGACACCTTCCGCAAGCGTGCCACATCAACCTACCTTGACGCATGGAAGGAGACATCGCAATTTCTTCTGGATGTGCAGTACACCTCCCGCTCCGGAGCACGACCTAACTCCGGAGGCGCCGTGGATTCCAGCAGTATCGTGAAGAGCTTATCATCGAAAGACAAAGATGCAATCAAAGACAAGTTCAAGTCGTTCAATGCCAGCTTTGACGATATGCTCTCCCGGCACAAATCCCTTCATATGGAACGGGAAGTACGCTCGGTGCTGGGACGAGAGTTGCAGGCAGTTCTTGAGCCACTTTATGCCCGATTCTATGACCGCTATGTGGAGATTGACAAGGGCCGTGGCAAGTATATCAAGTACGACAAGTCGAACCTGTCGGTGCAATTGGCCCAGCTTGCATCATAGGTATGGATTTCTTTTTGCCAGTGCTCTAGCCTATAATGAAATAATAATTGCATGTAACTGAGTTCTATAGAAGTAGAGATAAATTCAATACCGAGTCTCATCCATCTACCACTTATCACGGTAGTACCAGCGTTTTTAGTTTTATGATTTCACACAGGAATGCTCGGGGGGATCGGAGGAAGTCCGTGGTCGACGTCATGTGCCATTGTGGGAACTCTCCGAGTTCATCTTGAGGAGTCACGAAGAGCAGCCAAGATCTATGTCCCGAGGTTCTCTGATCTGAACGATAAATGGAAGACAGTGAGACTCAAAGGGAAGGTGACTTGGCCCTTGGCAGCTTGGCGAGTTACCGGTAGGTGATCTATCTGATAGCCACATCAGCTACAATCGGTATCTACTGATGGCGCTAGCTGCGTTACTTTTGTTGGCCCATGTGCTCAAGAGCTAGTTGAAAAGGTAGCATGATGAAGGGGCACCGAGTACAGCAAAACAAATGGTGATTGCCACGCTGATCACAGACATCAACCATCCCCGCACTTGTCAGACATCCAAGAAAGTAAAAGATAAGCCACGTCTTTATACGAAATAGAAACCTCCCCGAGCATCCCCGCATTTCCCCAGATTTACCAAAACCTGTCTAATTTTCCTGCCCCTCCCTTTCCCCTCCTTTATCGGGACATGATGCATGAATTCTGTTACTGCATTTCACCAAAGACCCGAGGCAACTGACCACTTCTTATCGGCTACTGTGTTCTGGATCGGCCATTGGATGCTGGGCATTTCTAGGCATTCTTAGAGACAGGGTAAAGTAGGCGAGAGAGCCAATACTATAGGGATATACAATTATGATATGCGTCACCTGTGGAGCAAAGTTTCTACTTGCTTTGGGTCTTCTAAGATCGTGGGTCCTATCTAGCGTGTGGCTTCCGAGCAGTGTACAATGGTACGGACAGGGAAGCATATAGACTAGCAAAGTTCTCTGCAGAGAAGTAGCTCTCTCTCGACTGGAAATCTACCTATCTCAACATTTTGAAGTCACATAAGGGTTCTTTCTTCCTTTTTGGCTTTGATTTTTATTTGTCTCTTGTTCAACAGGATGATCACAATGGCTCCCATCGACGATAAGCCACCTAGCGTGGAACGTGTAGAGGACATCATGGTGGAAAAAACCCCGACACAGGAGGATGAGTTCACGCCTGAGGAGCAGAAGAAGATAATTCGGCGTATTGATCTTCGTCTGGTCACAATGACCGGATTGGCTTACTGTGTCTCTCTCATGGATCGGACGAACTTGAGCATGGCTGCCGTGGCTGGGTAAGACGATACAAACACCGGCTTGCTATTATAGCCTACTGATGTTATTTGACAGTTTGACGAAAGAATTGGAGTTGGAATATGACAATCGCTATGTTTGTGGTCCCTTTTATTGTGATAGTGTGAGAAGTGTACTGACATGTTATCCTTAGTCTATCGCCGTGTTGATGTTCTTTGTACCATATATCATCTTCCAGCCCCCGATGACGATTTTAATTCGAAAGATTGGTCCAACTATATTCCTGTCGACGATCATTATGACCTGGGCTGCCGTTATGATTGTATGGAATCTCCTGTGTTGGTATAGTGTATCTTGCTAATCCGACTAGGGAACCGGTTTCGCGAAGAACTTCGGTCAATTGGTTGGACTACGAGTACTACTCGGTGTTTTGGAGGCAGGATACTTCCCTGGATGTGTATACCTTCTTTCCTGCTGGTATACTCGATGTAAGTGCACCTACATTCGATCGGGATCTATGCTGACTCGGAACAGATGACGTCCAGAAGCGATTCTCCATTTTTTACCTGATCGGATGTGTCGCATCTGCACTTTCGGGTATTTTGGCATTTGGCTTGATGCAATTGAATGGTCAACATGGCTTATCAGGCTGGAGGTGGATCTTCATCCTAGAGGGAGTGATCAGCGGAGCCATTGGCATTCTCTGCTATATCTTCCTTGTTGACTTCCCCGACCGTGCATCCAAGTCCTGGAGGTTCCTCAACGAGGCCGAGTGTGCATTTATCGTCCGTCGTATTGACAATGATCGGAAGGATGGCCATCTGGAGGCCTTTTCACTCAAGAAATTTCTGAAGCCGGCATTAGATCCGAAAATCTGGGCATTTGCCATGATCTTCTTGTGAGTGTCTGCCTCTTTCTCATTCGAGTTAAGTCAGTCCTAATGACCGCAGTTCTCTCACCACCGTTACTTACGCCATCGCCTACTTTTTGCCTATTATTCTCCGCTCCGGCATGGGCTTCGACATCGGCCAGTCGCAATGCCTAGTCGCACCTCCATACGTGTTCGCCGGTATCGTCATGTACACCGGGGCGTGGATCGGTGATAAGTACCACATACGTGGAATGATCCTGATTGCCAACGCACTATTGTGCATTATTGGACTTCCGATGATGGGCTTCGCCAAAGGTAATGCCACCCGATACGCCGGAGTGTTCCTCACAGTCGCTGGAGCGAATGCAAATATCCCATCATGCATGGCGTATCAAGCGAATAATGTGCGAGGACAGTGGACACGAGCTTTCTCCAGTGCCACTCTAGTGGGCTTTGGTGGGCTGGGTGGAATTGCGAGCAGTTTGGTGTTCCGCGACAAAGACGCACCTGAGTATCGGCCGGGAATGTATGCGGCGCTCGCGTAAGTTTGGCTCGCAGACGGTGTGTGATTGTGAGCTGACTTTTCCTGCAGGTGTAATGTCTTGATCATTCTGATTGTCTGCGCTCTGAGTGTGTGGTTCCGGTTCTGCAATCGACAGGCTGATCGGGGCAAGCGGGTCATTGAAGACGAACCTTCATTTAGGTATACCATCTGAGTCGATAGTTTTGGGTGCGAATTGATGAACTTTCCATTCGAATCTACTTTGAAATGAATTTCTTCAAATTACTATTCATTCATCCAAAGTGAAATCAAGATGAGTATCCACCCCTCATCGATGAGCTGGCTGAACTTCGGTCCTGGGCATATGAGCCTCTAGACAATAGTGGAGCTTATAGCGGAGTGGACGTGGTAGGACGTGGACTAGGCCGCCGGCCCGCAATTCAAAATTGTTCCCCGATTAAAGAAAGAATAGCACTGTTCTACCACCCAAGGCGAATGGCGAGGAGAACAGATAAGAAAAGGAATTTTCCCCTTTATCAAATGGACATAAGAGGACAAGAGCAGGAAGAGTTCTTAGAGAGATGCTGTCGTGGCCTCTCCCTACTAATACCGTTTCATATTGTATTTTTGTCGCTTCGAGATGACCGGTACAAATCCTAGTCGCGCCGTTTCTTCTTGAATATTCTTCTTACCCCTACCGCTAGGGACTGGTAATATTGAAGTAGTCTATCGTACTGATATCTGTGGTGATATGGTGGACAGTGTGAAATTGAGGCAATTTAAAAATATCCCCAGGATAAAAGAAAGACTGACACTGTTCTGGTACCAAGGGAGTGGAGAAAAGAATATCGTAAACGAAATTTTCATCCCTTATCAAAACGCACATAAAAGAACAAGACTGGCAGGGATTATTGGGGGCACGCTGGCGTGGCCTAGTGGCATAAACTCCCCCCAATGGGGCCCAAACGCTATGTACCAATATTGTTTTTTGTCGTACGTTGATATACGGTACAATTCCCAGTCTCGCCGTTCTTTTTTGATAATCTCTTTCTTCTTTGGCGCAGAGGTGACCTATGGATACATAGGCAGAGGACCTTTTTCCCGCTATCTCCTTATCTTCCTTTCTTATTTCACGCAAGGTAGAGTCAGCATTTTTGTGGCAGATATTGAGCACTCACTCATGACCCGGGTCCTAGATGCCACTGGCATCTAAAAAACCTGTTGCCGTTTTCGGTATAGTGGATATAGCTATAGTGCAGAATAACTCTATTTGTTCCATGCCATAATGCATCAATGCCTAACTTATGTATGATTCTGCAAGGTACGACCCACTTCGACCGTTAATCTACTAGGTGCTTCTATTGAAATGAAATCCAAAACTACAGTCATGCATGATGTTCAAACTGAACAATAGGGTATCAAATTCTCGCTTGTGACAGGAACGCATACATACACATATTCCCATATCAATCAGAATTCCTCATACAAGTACACCTGGTGCAAGTTGAGTTGACAAACTGCGTCAAGAATCATATCAATCAAAGAGCTGAGCAAAGCAGGTCAATGCAGCCATTCCAAACGCCATATCCATCCATTTTCAATGAAATACAAAATCAACCAAACGCCGTATTCAAAAGTGTATAATCGTAGCCTCTCCAATGGTAGAATAGTATGAGATGAGGGGGTCGGTTCGATTCGGTAAGGGTCATTCCGCGTATGTCTGTCGTAGCGTGGGGTATCCCTGTTCGACCAGACGAGTCTGTTTTTGTGACATTTTGTTTTCCGGGAAAGGGTCCAAGTTTGGAGCCTGTTGCGCAGATAGTCTGCGTTTCCGATGGTAACCATGTGGGGCGACTCGTCATGGCAATGATCGGCATTTACCCAACCATGTCCTCCACCACTTACACACACCAAGAACAGCGGCACGACCATCGTCGTTACGCTCAGTGCCATCTGGGTTCCCCATGACCATGGCGAAGACCCAAAATGCGGCGGCTGTCCAGGCGCAAAGGAGGATGGCAATGCTGAAGAACGGTGACAGGGTCAGGACGACTATTGACATGCCGACGGAGTATAAGATGCTGGAATCGACGACCGGGATGGGTTCCTCGCTGTCGGGGTCGGAATGGATCCATTGTGTAGAGGAGGAGCGATTCGAGGTAGGTGGTGGCATGCAGACAATTCGTTCGTGGATGTGGAGGACTGGGGAGAGGAGATCACATAGTTGGGTTCGGAAGGAAGTCTTGCGGAGGTATGGAGAAATAGAACAGACACGGAGAGGAGAAATGAGGATGGCGAAGATGATTGCGAAGAAGGTGTATATGCAGGCGGCAAAGGAGAAGAGTGGAACCGGGACGGAAAGCCGGAACTATACACATAAGTTAGCACGAGGGATCGACCTTGCGTTTTGGTGTCAACAAACCAGCATAAGAAAAGCATCCTGGCCGGCATCACTAGATGTAGCTTCAGGGACGCCTGCTCGCTTAGGGACACGAGTGTGCTCGCCTGACATCAATGACGGCTGCCAACTCCCTCCCGAGCGTTCCTCCTTGGGAGAACCGTTAGTCACAGTGACCGGCTTAACACCCTCGTCCCCTACTCGAGAGGCACGCGGTGAAGTTTGCGGAGAGTGGGCTTGTGATCCCCGCGGGCCAGATGTGCGGGGGCTCACGTCGTGGGCCATCCACTCGGACGAGGGTAGCGGGCTTGAATATACCGATTTCGGATGCTCTAGTGAAGAAGGGACCAAGGGGGGTATAATCCGGCCCTGAGCCTGGTGATAGGCAGGACTATATGACATCTCCGGCGGCGACATGATTGAGCCGGAAAGCAAGACAAGAGAGCCAAGAGTCGTACAGGCGCACAGCGGGTTAAGGTGTATGAGGCTCACGGCATGATCTCCCCAAGGGCGTCATCCACTCATGCGTGCGGGTAGGTGACCAGTATCCCATCCGGTGCGAGGGTAAGGGCGGAAAGGAAGACTTATATGACGGAGGAGCAGCGGAGGGACCAGGGAGAGCCATGGCAGCGGAGGAAACTGTGCTGTTTGCAGTCGCGCTTCGCCAAGCCGCCCAGATGCCGAGCCCTTGGCATTTGGGAAAAAGGGTTGAGACTGCATCATTATTGCTCACTTTGGAAACCAGCACATTTTCTTCATTTTCCATTCCGTTTTCTCCTTTCTGGATTACCAATTTTCTTCATTTGTTGAATCTATCTAGGAAGAAGCTTACTTTTATTAGTAGGTAACGTCATCTTGGTAGGACAAGTTCTGTGCCACAGTGTCGCAATAGGATATTTTACCAATCGCCAAGATGCCAAGGTGCTTTTCGGATGACCTGTTCATATTGATTGTTGTGATTGGTCAAATCATGATTGATCCGCACTTGCGGCGACTTGGCGGTTGTTTGTAATACAATACAGAAAACCAGTAGAATTGTAAATTACAGCACTATTTACTCACTATTGAGATCCAACGAAATGGTATCCCCATAGTATCCACCTAGGAATCCCCTAGTCCCTCGTTCTTTCAAGGTTATTGAAGGTATTAAAGTATCAAACTAATCCTGTATATTTTCCTTCCACCGGTAATGAAACAACACTGCCCAGCATGCCCAGGCGCCGAGAGATTGGCATCACTTGAAAGTAAAAATTTCTTTCGGGCACATTGGCATTCTTGTCAATATTTATTAGGTAAACCGCCCCTATAGTGGTAAACTATAAGTAGATCTTAGCCCTACAGGATACTCCGTACAAATAACCACAAGCATGAGTAGAATTAGTCCTAGGTAACTAAACACTCTAAATTGTAGAACCCTGGAGTAAGTCCCCGAATACATCAGTGTTTTTACCGTCTTGGCTACTCCGCTAGACCAGGCCGAGCCCCTCAGCATCGGTCATTTCACTCTCTGGTCCCTGCTTCCAAACCTTTGTTGTCTTGGTATTGACCCTGAATTCCTCGGCGTCCTTCACACAGCAAAAGACAGTTCAAAGACAAGAGTTTTTTTAACACTTCTTTCTTGGCTTGTCTTTCAAAATACGAGGCTTGCGCGGTCTCAGCTAATATAAGGAGTGTTGTCACCTCGGTTGACAGACTGATCAACCCCGCGGTCAAGCCCACCCATCTCGGCTGAGACGGTCCCAGCCGCTTTTCGGGCCATCCTTGCCTTTGCACGGGTTTCATCGTGTGGTGGACTATTACTGCGAATCACACATGTCCGCAATACCGGACTAGATTGATCATATTTCTTATGCACTTCTCCCGTCTGAGCTGCAGATCAGTGAAAAAGCCCAGTATTCCAATGCTGGGTTTTTGTCTTGCTTATAAGTATCTCACTGAGGTCATATTGACTGTCGGTCGTGCAATCAGTGTATTACTAATTCTGTGACAACTGAACCAGCCCAGGTTGGTCGGATCAATAGAGCTGATGATGGAACACTCCCGGGCGCGGGCCAAATATGGAGTAGCTGAACCCCCTTGGAAACCATCTCGGAAATACCCATGACCGGGGAAATGAACCAATAGCTAAACAAAGCCAATATTTAAATCTGCATATCACATATTTCTACATAAAGTGGATACATGATCCAGACTTACGATCAATATAGCATTGAAATTCAAATGCATTGCAATCAAACTTTGAATATGATCTCTCTCTGTAGATCAGGTTTGTCGGGCTGCATGCTCGGGGCCCTACAGGAGATCCCTTGCGGCATGCACTACGGATTATGGAGTACGGAGTACCGAGAAGATCATGGCCCCCTGTTTCCTGTCAGACATGCAGTCCATGGATATTGGACATTTAAACACGGAGTAAAAATTGGGGGCCATATGGTGGATTAATAGGGCTGTAGCCTGTAGAACTCTGGGGCTGGTCGTATCCCGTTGGGCCTATAAACCAGCTGCCATAAGCCGCGGGAAGGCGCATGGTTCATTTTAGGGGCAGAAAGATCGGAGTATCTGGGAGATAAAGTGGTCTGGCCCGTGCGGTCGGGCGATTTCATTTGTGGGTTTTGTTAAAGTTCAATCAATTGTCATATCTTGTGGCTGATTAAAATGGATACATAACTTCGATCTGTATTCAGGAGACTTGAGAAACACAAATCACTGTCGTGAGATTGATACAGGCAGATTCTTCCAGAATCCGAGGTTGACAATCACACTTATCAACCGGACGTACGGAGTCGAGGCGGGGAATATATACTTGAGGGCGGAGACTCAACTTGCAGAATCAATTTCCTACTCCTTTGCATGTCTTTTTACTAAAGTGATATCAACAGATCAACACATACTACTATTCGGTCGCTTGGATTTGCTACCTACTAGGTATAGACAAGAGCCTGGAACATTGGAAAGAGGCAGCCCGCAGCCGAGTTACCCACAGCCAGCTATAGCATTTATCAAATGCCATTTAAATAGAAGGCTGCACATTATTGAAATACTGAAACAAAAGTCCCATATATATATGAATATGTATATATTGGTACATGTGATGATAATCTTCCAATGTTGGGCCCTAATTAGAAAATATGGAGCATGTAAACGTACGTATGTGGAATCAACCGTTGCCATGGGATATATATCCCCTTATGGATTCATAACAACCATACCTACCAACATCATGTGGAACCTTGGAACCAACCTCAGGTCTCATTTGTGGCTGCAGTACCTGCAGCCACCGGGGAATCGATGAGACTAGGCCGATAAACAACTCAACCAGCCCGCTTTTGTCCCTTATCTCCCCCCATGCATGTACCTCCATGGCTGCCGCAGGCCCGCCCTAGTGCCGAGTCTAGACAGGATAACCATGACACGTTCCAGCGCCCAAAGATACTTTTGTATTTTCGTTATTTCCTTTAACTCAATCTTTTTTTTGTTTTGTTTTAGGCAGGAGTCAAGCACTTGTAAACATTTGCTCCCCAGGTCGCAGAGTACCTGATCGCTGTGTCGGTCGCACAATAGGGATTGGCAAAAGTACATAGCCTTTCAAGGTTGGCGATTTTTATCTACACCAATCCTGAAGTTCCTTGGTGACCCGGACTTTCGTTTGATTTTAGGGGCTGGTCATTGGAAGGTTTCGATCGGGTTTTCATCAGGGTTGTACTGTGTGTATACTAAGGGAGAACACGTCAGGTCCTTGATCATTATCTGCACTCATATGCAACCAAAACCTTGGAATTTATGGTAGTGATAAGACATCTGACAGAAAGTCTGAGATTGAGTCAGTCTTCATTCCCAGACTTGTCACTTCATGTTTATGATTATGATGTCAAGTGGGGGTAGACAGCTGCGACCGTGAACGAAGCTTCACTCATACTGTATGCCCCAACTTCATCCTGCGTGTTGCACTGTCCCACCAACCACGTCAAGAAGAAACGGCCCCTCAAGTCAGTGTTAGCTAGGGTACGAAACTCAAGTAGAACTATTAATATCTAGGTGTACTCCGTACACATATATTATCCCTTAGGTAATCCGGCTCCGAACAAAGTGACCCACAGTGGATTGGGAGTAAGCTATGCGCGCGGCTGATGTCTACGTTTCCAAGTGGAGTCCGACGCCCTAATAAAATTCCCGGAACACACTGACCGGCCCCTGGTGGATTCCTGATCTGTGAGTTCTTGCATTGGCGACGAGCACTGCAGGGATCCGGTTGGAGGGAACACCAGATCCGACAGACACGGAGATTGTGTCATGGGTAGAGTTTGACTGTGGAAGCTTAGTGGGTGCGGGTGCTAACCATGGCACGTTGGAACATTCCCAGCGACCGTGTAACCCACGCGGAGGGATGTGTCTCCGGAAGTTTGGCTAAGTGGGATTATAGGAGGTTTTTACGATGCGGTCGAGGGGTTGGGGAACCATCGTTTTCTCTCTCTCTACCGTTTCGGTGTTTCACGAATCTGTCACGATGTAACGGCTCCGGCTCCAGCTCGGCTAGGCAAACCCTGGGGAGTCCGGGAACAAATTTCGGGGCAGAAAAAAAAAAAAAAAAAAAAGGAAAAAAGGGAAAAAAAGGAAAAAAAGAGAAGAAAGCGAGTTGCGACTCCACAGGTGGAGCCACATTCGCCGAGTCCAAGGCTGACGACATGCTGTTCTGCCGATCGAAGGTTCTGCTGGATGCGGCAGGGGTGTGGGAAGTGGGAACTAGGATCAGGATCAGAACTCGGGGCGTTTTGGGGGTGTGATTTATTGGAAAAGGAAATAGAAAGTGATAAAAAGGAAAATAAAAACAAAATAAAAGATCAGTCAGGAAAGAGGAAAGGGGGTTGTGCATTGTCACATCCCCACTGTGTAATCAAGATCATCGTGGACATCCACTGGTATGCGGCAAAAGGGTTGTGGCTTTCTTTGTGGCTGAGGAATGGAACAGCGGACATAGTTAACTTAAGAAGAGAAATCAAACCGTGTGGAGGAAGACTAGGCTAAATCAGGTAAGTGGCTTCTATTTTTCTTTTACTAGTCTCGACTTATGTTTTAGAATTTCGTGGCTTGATATATACGGAGTGCTAGAACCAAAGAGACGTGAACTGAGGTACTTCGTACTAACATAATGATGACGGAAGGGGCAAAATGCACTAGCGGGTGGAGGAGGAGACTCCCGTGGTATGTCAAACTCAACCCTGCAGGAAGAACACGGAAATGGGTAGATGTAAGAGGTAGTTAAGTGGAAAGAGCTACCCTCTGTACTCTAGTAGGTACGGAGTACTCTAAGTGCACTTCATTATGTACTCGAAGAGTACTCCATAAGTACTCTTCGTGGTGCGCCATTCGGTACTCCGTACTTTAGATACTATACATAATGTATACATACTGTAGTACAAGATTAGGCCAATCAGGGAGGCAAATATAAAAGAGCAAAATAGTAAAGGGGGTTCTCAGCCCTGAAGGGTCGACTGCATACGTGGGGTGAGTTGGTCCGGAAGAAAAGAGCGGAGTTGCAACTCCCCTGGTCCGACAGGGGGACAGGGATCTGGGAGCTGGGCCAGCGCACGGTCCAACATGCCGGGTCTTAGCTTAGGCCCTTGACCGGGTTAGGTTAGGCTAATGTCGGATTGGCACGGGAGAACAGTCAGTCACACTAGCACACAACCACGGGGGAGAGAGTATCCACCCCGAAGCAAAAAAGAATAAAGACCCACTCTGGCACTCGTCTAAGTAGTTCGTGAATTTTTATAAAAATACCGTATGATTTTATTTCATTTCTCTATTAGATTGAAAGAAGATGTCATAAAAAATATCTCAATGGAACCTGATATTTACCAGAGGATCTAAAAAGTCAAAAGTTGATCAGATCGGATAGGGTTACTGCCTCCACACCGTTGATGAAAGGCCCAAACCTGCTATGTAACTAGATCGGCCCCACTATCACGCTAGACCATTTTTAGCAAGGCACAGCTCTTGTGGGAATTAAAATTGAATTTGATTTTTCCGTGTGGGTTTGTTGGTGGATTTCGCTGATGTCGCTGATGTCTGCGGTGACAGACGGCAAAACTTTCCCCTTCCCACTAGCGCCATTTGACGCCTTTCCTGCCAGCCCCTCGACTCTTTTCTCCTTCCCCGATTCTCTCCTTCTACACCTCGTTTACCCCATAACCCTTTTTAAACCTTTCCCCTTTTTTCTGCTTTGTCCTTCCTTTTTTACTCGATTGGTGTGGGCATTCTCACCTTCCCACCCACACCCATTCTTCTCTTCCCCAATATTTCATATTCCAAGAGAGTAGGCACGCTACTCTTTACCCGAGGGATCGACCATCTCTGCGAACTGGTGTCGCAGGTCCCATCGGTTTCGCGATCCCGTGCGACAAAATTGAAGCGACTTCGGAAATAATCCACCGTTGAATCCTCCATTGACATCCTCATCGCCCCCCAGTGAATTATATCGTGTCGCAACGCCGCCCACATTTGGGTCTCAATACAGATCTACCGTGAACGACAACCATATTTGATTGATAATTGATCATGTCTCACACTCAACCTTCCCCAACTGCGAGTGTCGCCCAGCACCATGCGCACATGGCGACCCACCAGCAGGTCAATGGCCACATGCCCATGCCGGCGCAAGGCCAGAAAGCCGTTTCTCTCACCACCGCTCAGAAAATCACCGCGCTGAATGAGCAAGTGTGGCTTCATATTGGTATGCTTGAATCCGTTCAATGTACGGCGACGCGATCGGATTTACTAATGCAGTTCACAGGCAGCTTGACGGAGCTGATGGGAGATTTGGATGGCTCAATGAACGCGTATGAACAGGCTTTGCGGCACAACCAATGGTCCGTGCCGGCTATGAACGCCATCTCCTGCATCCTTCGGACTAAGGAGCAGTTCCCCAAGGCGATCGAGTACCTTCAGAACATTCTCAAGCTTGACCCGTCTAGCGGCGAGACTTGGGGTAGCTTGGGACACTGCCATCTGATGATGGATAACCTGCAAGAGGCCTATACTTCATACCAGCAGGCGTTATATCACTTGCGCGATCCCAAGGTATTTTCCACTGATCGTGTCTCTATAAGTGCACGTAGCTCATTTTCTTCTAGGAACCCAAGCTGTGGTACGGAATCGGTATACTATATGACCGCTACGGATCTCTCGACCACGCCGAGGAGGCCTTCTCCCAGGTCATGCGCATGGCTCCTGAGTTCGAAAAGGCCAATGAGATCTACTTCCGCCTCGGTATCATATACAAGCAGCAACAGAAGTTTAGCCAGAGTTTGGAGGTATGTTCATCCACTAGAGAAACTGGGATTTCACTGACATCAGCTAGTGCTTTAAATACATTGTCAATGACCCCCCTCGTCCACTGACCGAGGAGGATATTTGGTTCCAGATTGGCCATGTTCACGAGCAACAGAAGGACGTAAGTCATGACCCACCTACTGCGCGGCTCATTTGTATGATTTTTAACACATTCGTTTAGTTCGATTCTGCCCAAGCTGCCTACCGACGTGTTCTCGATCGGGATCCCAACCATGCCAAGGTCCTTCAGCAGCTGGGATGGCTCTACCACCAGCAAAGCACAAGCTATCAGAGCCAGGATAAGGCGATTGAGTTCCTGGAGAAGTCGGTTAGCGCGGATAACAACGACGCTCAGAGTTGGTATCTTCTGGGTCGCTGCTACATGTCGCAAGCCAAATACCCCAAGGCCTACGAAGCCTACCAGCAAGCCGTCTACCGTGATGGACGCAACCCGACCTTCTGGTGCTCAATTGGTGTTCTCTACTACCAGATCAACCAGTACCGCGATGCGCTTGATGCCTATTCTCGTGCCATCCGCTTGAACCCATACATCTCCGAGGTCTGGTACGATCTGGGCACTTTGTACGAGTCGTGCAACAACCAGATTGCCGACGCGCTCGACGCGTATGGCCGTGCCGCCGACCTTGATCCCAGCAATGTTCACATCAAGGCCCGTCTGCAGTTGCTCCAAAGTCAAATGTCTGGCTCTGGCCAGCAAGGAACAGCCCCCGCACCGCAACCGCAAGATGTTCACCCCCAGGCTTACCAGGCGCCTGGTGTTGGTGCACCCCCAGCTCCCCAATGGGGTGCTCCAGCTCCGATTGGCCCGCCACCTCAGGCACCTGCTCCTCCTCGTCAGATCGAGGGCTGGAACCGGGGAATTAATGACTTGCAGTCTCAAGGTCCCGCTCCTCCCAATGGCCTCGAGGCGCGTGATGCGCCTCGCATTCCCGGTGTCGCTCCCCAAGCTAGCCCTCGTCAAGAGCCAGGTCGCGCGTTCCCTGACCCTCGTAGTCTGGCTCGCTCGCCCAAGATGGGTGCCCCAGGTGCTTACCCTGCCCCGCATACCTTGCCCCAGTTGGGAAATGGTCCAGCCCCTGGCCATGAACGGGCCCCCAGTGGCGGTAACGGCTTCAACCCTGCCCGAGGTGGTCCCGGTCTGCCTCCCGCACCCGGTGCCGCTCCTCCCCCAGCTGGTCCGAATGGTGGGGCTCCCCCCGCTGTTGCTGGTGCTCCTGGTGCCGCTCCTCCTCCCTATCACCGTCCTTTCACACCTCCAACTGAGATTCGTCCTCTTCGCGATGAACGTCCTTCTTCTCCTGGATCGGGCTACCCCCACCAGGCATTCCACACTGGCCCTCACCACCCCCCAGGTCCAGGCATGCCTGCTCCAGGTGTGAATGTCCCGCCGGGCATTGACGCCGGTGCCCCTGCCCCTGCGGCAGCTGCTGCTGCAGCTGAAGCTGCCGCCCGTGAGCGTGGTGAAGACCGCCCCGCCTCTGCGATGAAGCGTGGTCGTGAGTGGGAGGAGACTGGTCCGGTCAAGAAGTTGGCGAGCGAGGAGAACCGTGCGCGCCTGGATGACCAGAATAGCCGCCGCCCAAGTCCACCTTCCCACATGCCGTCTCCTGGCGAGATGCAACGCCGTAGTTCCTCAGAGGCTCGTCGTGAAGATGCCCGCCGAGCTAATGAAAACTACCACCCCTCCGAAGCTGCCCACCACCCTCCTACCCTTCCTTCTATCCAGAACATGCCACCTCACGCCGCGGGTGGGCCCAGCCTTCCTCCTATGGCTGAGAGTGCTGCCCCCGCCTCCAACGGGCCTCCTTCTGCCCCTCCATCGACCAATACCCCGGTCAAGGAGGAGCCTCGTCGCCCGGAAGCTCCTTCCTCCCACGAGCCCCCGGCCCGCAAGATGGATGTTGACGAGGATTACGATGACGACGTGGAAGAGGATAAAAAGGCTGCCGTCACCAAGGGCAGTCCCAATGGCAGTGCTTCTGGTGCCAATGGCAACGGAGTTGCCAGCAATGGCCGTTCAGGCACTCCCTCGAAGACTGAGCCCTGAGAAACAAAATAAAAGAACCGATCGTTCTGTCATCCTTCCCTGCTTGGCGCTTTTTGGCTACTATTTTCCCCTCTATGTCCTTTTTACTCTATCCCCCTTTTTCAATTGCGTGATGTATGGTATGAATGTGTCGTGTTTCTGATCTCTCTCTCATCGGCCAGAAGTTTACTGGACCGGAGAGTGGTCTTGTGCCTGTATTCACTCTCTTACAGCTCTAGTGATGAATTTCCTGTTTCTTTTCCTCTGTGAATTTTGCTCTCTGTGGTGCTTAAGGCATCTTTGTGACAGTCAATTTAACCCACTTTAAATGATTTATGAATCCAGATTTTGGTGCATCTCGAGTATTTGACTCCGTAGTTAAGACTTGCTGGAGTAGTTAGTCAGCAGACCCACCTGGAAAGAACGAATGTTTTACGAGTGGGGTCTGCACGTGACCGCACATGACTTGGTCCACTTTTCGGAAAAACAGGTCGCTTATCCAAAATGGGAAGCCTCGCTTAGGTCAGCCCACACTCGTCTAGCGTGCAAAATACACCTCTCCAACACTTTTAGATCGTCACTCCAACACCTCGACGACGACTAACGACACCAGGGTCAAGATGTAAGTCGCTCACCATGTGCTACTCAAAGACTTTTCTCGATGCAATTGCTAATTCAACTTTCCCTCCAGGAGTCACCGGAAGTTCGAAGCTCCCCGCCACGGTTCGTGATCAACTTTTCATCCTCGACAAAATTCGACATTCCCATTGTGCGGTTATACTGATGCTAGGATTACAGGTTCTCTGGCCTACTTGCCGCGCAAGCGTGCTGCCCGCTACCGCGGAAAGGTCAAGAGGTGAGTTATCGCTGAAATGCTGCGACAATGAAAACTTTTTTTTGCCGGATTTCAAGGTATACTGATACAACTCGTGCGCCAGCTTCCCCAAGGATGACGCCAAGAAGCCCGTCCACCTGACCGCCACCATGGGTTACAAGGCCGGTATGACCACCGTCGTCCGTGACCTTGACCGTCCTGGTGCCAAGATGCACAAGAAGGAGATTGTCGAGGCCGCCACCGTCATCGAGACCCCTCCCGTACGTTTTTTACTGAAGCCCTGAAGAAAATTCGGATCAACAATTCTAACTTCCCCTTAGCTTGTCGCTGTTGGTGTTGTCGGTTACATCGAGACTCCCCGTGGTCTCCGCTCTCTCACCACCGTCTGGGCTGAGCACCTGAGCGACGAGGTCAAGCGTCGCTTCTACAAGAACTGGTACAAGTCCAAGAAGAAGGCTTTCACCAAGTACTCCAAGCAGCACTCCGAGAGCTCCGGTGCCTCCATCACCCGCGAGCTTGAGCGCATCAAGAAGTACTGCACTGTTGTCCGTGTTCTTGCCCACACCCAGATCCGCAAGACCTCCATCAAGCAGAAGAAGGCCCACCTTATGGAGATCCAGGTCAACGGTGGCTCCGTCGCCGACAAGGTTGACTTCGCCCGCAACCTGTTCGAGAAGACCATCGACATCGACAGCATCTTCGAGAAGGACGAGATGATTGATGTCATCGCCGTCACCAAGGGTCACGGTTTCTCCGGTGTCACCAGCCGTTGGGGTACCACCAAGCTGCCCCGTAAGACCCACAAGGGTCTGCGTAAGGTCGCCTGTATTGGTGCTTGGCACCCTAGCCACGTCCAGTGGACTGTTGCCCGTGCCGGTCAGGACGGATACCACCACCGTACCTCTTGCAACCACAAGGTCTTCCGCATCGGAAAGGCCGACGATGAGGGCTCCGCCTCCACCGAGTTCGATATCTCCAAGAAGCAGATCACCCCGTATGTTTCCCTCCACGCTCTTACCCGATTGAACTCCAGACTAACGAGATTTCCAGCATGGGTGGTTTCGTCCACTACGGTGAGGTCAAGAACGACTGGATCCTGCTCAAGGGTTCCGTCCCCGGTGTCAAGAAGCGTGTCATGACCCTGCGCAAGACCCTGTACCCCCAGACCAACCGCCGCGCCACCGAGAAGGTCGAGCTCAAGTGGATCGATACCTCCTCCAAGTTCGGTCACGGTGCTTTCCAGACCTTCGAGGAGAAGCGTGGTTTCCTTGGTACGCTCAAGAAGGACCTCGTCACCGAGGTTTAAGATGTTTCTATGTTCGGTCGGTGATAGGTGCAACGTATTTTCAAGTTCAATCAAAAAAAGCGAACAATACTTTTTTACGAATGGTAGCTTGGATCATGATTTAATGATCTTTCTTGTAGATCTTTCTTGTAGATCTTTTCCTGTAGATATTTATTGTAGATGTTTCTTGCAGCTTCAATGTTGGTAGTGCATACTTCCAGGACTTCTATGTTAGCACAACTATGTAGATATGAATCGTAACTACCTTCCCGTCCCTTGAAATATTTGAATTGCCCCATAATGTTCTTACACCTCGAATGGGCATCTCCCTGATACTGTATCAATAATAATATCCTTGAAGTATTTTCCAATCCCCTGCAAGACAAGAACTAGCTTTGAATCTGTATACAATACGGAATGTATCCGTGGAAATGTGCGTGTTGGGATATATATCCATTATACGCCCAGGTGCTCTACCTTATTAAACAGTTGAATTGGAAAATCTACTTCTCACTATTCCATACTCGGATGTATTGTGCAAATTCTGCTCGAAATAACATTTGATTTGAATATTAACCTCCGAATCTATTTTCTTCCCAAATTCTGATTATGATGCGGGCCCCAATTCATTGCGTCATTCCACTTCCTTCAATTACACCTGCACCATTTCACCAAAACCAGATGCTTGCACGCTTTCTACGACCAGCCACTTACGTCTCCCCACAAACCACATATCAACACCTGCGACGCCCTATCACCACATATATCAGTCTACCACGAGCACAGCCCGCCGACTGCCCAAGATCCCTTCGCTTCCCCGCCTTACGATCGCAAAAACTCTCCTCCCCTCGACCCTCACCCTTCTCCACATCCCACATTATGGCATCCGACGATAAATACATGGACTTCCTTAACAAGGCAAATGCCGATACCAACGCCGGCCAAGAACCAGAGCAAGGGATCAAGACCCAGGCCGTGGATACCACCCTCAAATGCCCAGCTTCTCTCAAAAAGATCAAAGTAGATTATGTCTCAGAGGCAGATGAACCCTTCGAACCTGTTTTGTTACGATGGAAGGGTGCTTCCGAGGGTAAATGGCCTAGCGCTGGTACGTACCTATCTACCTCCCTTGTTCTCTCCCTGATTTAGGTATCTACCCTTGACTGGTATCCCGAACTAAATCCGTTGCTATGTAGATGATCTGTCCTCCCTGATCTCGCCCGATGCCGATATCTCGTCGAATATCTCGACCCTTGAGACATCCTCGTTTGATCCCCGGAATCAGTACAAGGAGGTCCTGCAGGCGGTGCGCTCTGCGACTGCTGAGAGTGATCCTGCCAAGGTGGATATCAAGGTTTATAGTGTTCAGTTGACTAGTACGACGCTGGAGTACTATGTGCTGGCGTTAGATTCGGCTGAGGATGGTCGGATTATTGGGTTACGGGCTAAGAGTGTTGAGTCATGATTGACTTTGATTTGCTTGGATTAATTCGGGAATAAGTTGAGAGATTGTCATTATTAATGATTTGTCTAAGATGAACGGCTTTCTTTTCCTGTTTAAGCATCTCGGTCTTCTCTTATAGTATAGAGAATGTGCACTGCCGGGTGAATGGATCATATTGACAGTCTATTGTTCGGCATCGTGGTATTCTCCGACAAAGTTACGGGACGCGTGGTCGGGAATGGTTGTTTCCCATTGAAATTAACTCCGTTGAAGTTGACTGGAAATAATACAGTAGATTGATATGGTATGAGCGTTGAAAATGTGGAAGTCTATGAGTTTATCCTCTTCACGACGTGGTTGTGTAGAAACCATGGGATTTAGGGATCCAGTAGTCTATCCCATCTCCCTGTCTATTGCTCCTATACTCCTGCACTCTTCAACCATGATTGGCCAGAGCTGTAAACCACTCAGCTCCAAGAAGATGCTAGACCCCCAGATTCCAGACTAGCAGCATTCATGCATCTCCATTCCTCGCTGCCCGGGAGGTGCATTCCCGACCACCTTCACCCTGCGATGGCCCTTGAACAGACCGAAGACTCGCGACAATGGCGACCACCATCAGCTCGCCACATCCAAATCAACGCACCGAATTGGGAAAATGCAATGATCGTATGGTTTTGAATCAAACTGCTGGTGTAATACACTCTGTTTCCTAGTCGCGCGATCTCCAACGGGACATACACATACCACGGGTTGCCCCCTTGGGAAGGCCTGTCATTCCTCTCCCCTCGTCCAAACAACAATCCCTCGGCACAATCTAGGCTCTTCTTTTCTTCTAGTCTAGCGCTCTTAGTGTTCTTTTCTCTTTCTCTAATATACCTACGCTTGTCTACCGGCTGCTCGATCTCGGGGACATTGGATACTGTCCAAGTGGTCCTGTCCACTCTTTCGCTTCCAGCACTCAACGACTGTGCGAGTCACTCGGTCGTTACCTCGAAAATCGGTGCTTGGTGTGGGTGAAGTCCAAGACAGGAACGGACTTCGAAGTGACACAACCAGCTATCCATACGCGACATCGAAAGCTTAATGCTTGAAACATCCGTGTGAACAGGACGGTAGAAGAAAGATTAGGATTGATCCTGTCTTGTCCGGTATAGGAGTCAAGATAAAAACAGCAGAGCCCCGAAAGAAACAATCCGATGACAGACCAGGATTCCGAATCGCTGCCAGCTGAGATGCCTCACATTAGACTGAATTCGGGCCGTCATGACCCATTCGTTGAGTCTGATGAAGGTTACGCACCCCTTACAGGTCGAACTCTGCCTCGGCCATTGACACCTGCGGGTGCTGATCTACCTGCACCGGCTATGGGCGCGCAGGGTATCTCCCCATACGGTGTCTCGCATGCACCAGAGTCTTCGGAGTTTCTGCTTCCACCACGGTTACGTCCTACAACACGCGATGACTCGGAGCGGTCTGGTTCACCGGATCGATGGTCAGCGGCTGGATCGAGTGTTAGCTCGATGAGTCGGGATAGTCGTTTTATGATGGATCCTTTTGACGACCACTCAGGGGATCATTCGACGCGTTCTGCGAGTGATGAATACGACATGAATACTCAGACTGTGTCGGAGAAGTTCAATATCACGCCCTCGGATGGCTTGTTGCTGTTTCCTGAGGATGTTGAGAAAGACGACTACTTGCATAACCCGGACCCATTGGATAAAGACCGGGACTGCGATCTGTGGAATCGTCGGGGAATTTTGAACGTAGGTGGTTTGGTGCTTGTGACAGTGGGGATTTTAGTGCTTTTTATTGGATATCCAGTAATGTATGTGTCGCAACTTGAGATGATGGGTAAAAGGCTGACTTGAATTTAGAACATGGGTAGAAGGTGCCATCAAACCCAAGGATCTGTGTCGTCCTGGTGACATGCTTTGTCTCGATGTTGGGGAAAGACCTCTTTTGAACAATATTCGACACGGATTGATTGATCCTGATACACCGGAAGATGCATACACCAAGATCAGTGCAGACGGGAAAAAAATGAAATTAGTGGTAAGTTTCGCTGGCCTGGGCTGTAGACACAATTGTTGATCTGTTTCATAAGTTTTCGGATGAGTTTAATCTGCCTGGAAGAACATTCTACGATGAAGATGATCCGTTCTTTCAAGCGGTAGATCTGTGGTATGGTGTGACTATGGACAAAGAGGTTGGTGCCCATCAGCAAAGCACCTTGGCCATGCTAATATTTCCCAGTGGTACGATCCGGACGCAGTAACCACGAACGAAGGTGTCTTGGAAATCCGATTCGATGACTTTAAAAACCACGACCTTGCATATCGATCTGGCATGCTTCAAAGTTGGAACAAACTTTGCTTCAAGGGCGGCCGGCTGGAGGCAAGTCTGTCTCTTCCTGGTGACGGCCACATCCAGGGATTCTGGCCTGGTTTCTGGGCTATGGGTAATCTGGGCCGTCCAGGTTACGCGGCAAGTACAGACGGTCTATGGCCATACAGCTACCATGATGGCTGTGATGCGGGTATTACACCAAACCAGAGCTCTCCCGATGGAATCAGCTTCTTGCCTGGCATGCGTCTACCTGGATGTGCCTGTGCTGGATCCGATCATCCTTCTCCCGGTCATGCTCGCAGTGCCCCCGAAATCGATGTGATTGAAGGTAGCACTCAGCCCCTTTATAACTCTGAGGGTGGCCCATATGTTGGAAGTGCGTCCCAGAGTTTGCAAATCGCACCCTTCGACATCTGGTACATGCCAGACTATGGTGAATTCATACCTCCACCCCATTTTTTAATCAAGCTAACTCTATTCAAGACTTCGCCGCCGTCTACGACAACCGTGTCACGCAAATCAATGCCTACCGCGGAGGACCCTACCAACAAGCACTATCGGGCCTCTCAAACCTGAATCACCGCTGGTACAACGGCACAGAGTACCAAATTTATGCCTTTGAATACACCCCAGGCGATAAAGGCGAGGTTACTTGGTTCATTGGATCTGAAAAGTCATGGACGATCGACGCCCGTGCTATCGGTCCCAATGGTAACATCGGGCAGCGCCCAATTCCCCTCGAGCCCATGTCTATTATCCTGAATCTGGGTATGGCCGACAACTTTGCTCCGCAGAACCATACTATCCGCCAGTACATGCCTGCCTATCTTCGTGTTGATTATATACGCATCTATCAGGATCCTGATGATTTGTCTGTCACCTGTGATCCACCTGGTTATGAGACGACACAGTACATTAAGGATCACCCGCGGGCTTACGATAATCATAACTTCACTAATTGGTATGTTCATATTCACCGGGTTTTCCACTTGCAATTTTGCTAACTATACTTTTCTAGGGTGGATGCTGGGTACAAATGGCCTAAGAACAGCTATATGGATACTTGTTGAGCATGTCACTTTCCAATGTGTACTCCGTCGTTTTAGCGGCATCGTGTTTTGGCGTTCGGTTGGGGATAGGCATTTTACTTTCTATACTCTTTTCATTATTCCACAAGGTGTCTAGACTTGATACCTGCTTTAAATTCATATCTCTTCTTCTCTTTTCTTCAAGTCCTGAATTTTGAATTCTTTAGCTAAATTATCATCGATCATGAATTCATGGATGCGTACGGCGGAGCTGAGTCAGCGGTTTCCCTCCACTCCATCAACATCACAATCATTCATCCCTGCACAACTATCCTTATCGTTGTTCCAGCTACGTATAAGAAAGAGCTGTATAGTTGCATTTTTGCATATAATACTGTAAGTGGGAGCTGATGCACTCCATGAACAAATTCTTACATACCATACACAGAATAATCTAGCTGTGGGGCTCATCCAAGCTTGAATCCGCTCAAGCGGTTCTCACGATATCATCTACTTGTCGACGACTAAGCAAAGAATATCTCTTCTCTATTTCCAATAATTCTTGCACAATATTCCACGTCCCACAACCATTTACATCATCATCAAAACTATCTGAAACAATACGCATCAACTAAGTCTCTCTAACAGCCATGTCCGGCACAAACACCCCCCACGCACACAGCCAAATGGATTACGACATGGAATCAGAATACGGCGCCGAAGACGATTTCAATGATGAAGAATACTCCGACTACTCTGACGAAGACGCATTCGCAGACGGCATGCAACTCGATAACCCAGACAACCACACCTCAATGAGCAATCGTCCATTGGAGAATACACAGCAATTTTTACTTGAATCGCACAATGGTATGTGGCACCCAGGTAAACATGAATCTCAAACTCACATTCCAAAGCTAGTGATTTCTCAACCCGGGCTTCGAACCCGAATAGCTACCCGCATCGAAGCGAAAGGCGTCTTGCCCACCGTCCAGACAAGACATCTCGCCCGCGAACCAAACTAACTACGGAGGAACATGCCGCCTTGACGGTTCTCAATGATGAGGAGTTGTTGACCATGTATGCCGTGAAATCGGGCCAAGTATGTTTATGTTTATGTTCACTTCATCCGACAATCTCAACTATACATGCTAACGCAGAGCAAAGACCCTCCCTCAAACCCGTCGCCTCTTCCAAGCGAAACTCATCGCGAACGGAGATGCAAATCTGGAAGAAGAACTGTTTGCCGCGAGATTCGCCGTCCCGGCTTCGATGGCTCATCTTGTTCCTGTGCTTAATATGCAGAATCCTCCTGTTGGACCTGGTGCGCCGGAGAGGGCGCTCGGCTTTGATAATACGGCAGCTTACTTGGTTCCTGCTAGGTGGAAGGTGCGTATTGATCATGATGAGGGTGGGTGGTGGGCGCCTGGGCAGAAGAAAAGGGATGGAGGTGCTAGGCGGGGAAGGAAGAGTGGGGAGGGGTTTAGGGGGTGATTTATTTTCATTTGTGAACCGGACTTATCATTGACTATGGATGTGGTTGTTAGGAAACATTTCATATTTAATTCTGCTTTGCAGTCGTATCATATATGTGCGCTAAAGTAAAAATACAGAACCAGAACCAGAATCAGAACCAGATCATATCCCATCGGGGGAGATAAGAGGATGAGAGGAGCAATGGGATAGGGTAGATGAAGTAGGGTAGACCAGTAAAGGGCGAGGGTGAGGAGGAGGGTGAGCAATGGGTATCTAACGGACAAAACCAACAGATTCTGGCTTCTGTTTTCTTTTTTTTCCCTTTTTTCCCCATGTTTTTTTTGTGTTATTTTTCATTTTACTGCCCTTGTATACCGGGTCAGATTGGGATAGCCATCCCGTTGAACTTATATCTTGCTCGTGATTGTCAAGACAAGAATAGAGAGAGCGAGCGAGCGAGAAGACGGTGGATGATTACATCTCTTTCTCTCCTCGCTGCCGCTGTTCAGAATGGAACATACTCTCAGCATCTCCCACCTGCTTACGCTCCGAGACTTCTCGACTGCGCATGCGGGAGCTATGGGCCTGCACATTCATGGGCGTCAGTCCTCGAGGCGGCACGGGCTGGGCTTCCGGTTCACCGTAGAAAGGGTGCAGGCGGTGCGAGGTGGTAGGCCGGACCCGGCCGTCTCTCATGACGGGTAGTTGTCATTGCAGGGGCTCGGAGCTTGAAGAAAGACGGTTCAGGTGGAGGTAGACGTCGGTACCGTATCTAGAAAGAATTAGCGAGGAGTTAAAACGAGCGACTGAGCGAAGGAGGGGGGTTCTTACCCTTCCATACTGATCAACTTCAAATCTCCGCCAAAGTAGCGAGCATACAGTCGGCTTATTGGCAGTCCGTAACCGAAACCGGCCATTGGAGCCTTGAAATCGCTCTTGTCAAAGTCCGGGTCGAGGCTCGGGGTCTGCTCCACGGTCGTATACATGTAGGTCCAGACTAGAGGAATCGAAGACCGTGGGATGCCACCACCCTCGTCGGAGATCTTGATTGTGATGTCTTCCTTGCCCTCTGCCACTATTACCTTGGTCACGGGGAATTGGTCCCGGTCGGCACCGTGTCGCTCGACAACCGCCCGAAGGGAGTTCTTCAGGGTTTCAAAGAGCATGTGGGATAGGTGTCCGGGAACATACATGAAGTTCAAATCGTCCCGGCAGACCAGCTGAACCTTGGGCGACTCGAACAGACCATAGTAGTCCTCACAGACAAAGCGGGCATTCTCAATGGCTTCCAGCGCAATATCCTTCACATTGGTTTTAGTGCAGATTATTCCAACATAGTGCGGGTGTTTGACGTTTGTTTGTTCCGTGAGCGCGATATGTTGACCAATTAACATCCGTATACCAATTCGAGACATATAGAAGCGATCCAAAAAGGACTGAATGGTGGAGTCGATCTGCATGCGCTGTCGTACACGTTTCCATTCTAGGATACCCTGGGCCACCGTGGTGACCACGCCATCGTGGCGTCGCTTGATCTGTTGCAGAGTCTTGGCGAATCGTTGGTTGTAGTCGTTGAGCTCTGGTGGCCATTCCGCATGGTCGTCCGCAGGGAAAAAGTAGCGGCGGCCCGTTGCGGCAGCTTTCCCATTAAGAACAAGGCTATTGGCGCCCATCGGAGAGGAGCGGTATTGGCCCTCTTTCACACTGGGGTTCAAGGTTACTTCGGAGAGAATTTTGGAGTGGCCATTGACGCGGCCCGGTCGCAATAGACGATTTCTGACTTCCTGAGTCAGAGAGGGTCGGGGGAGGGTAATGATTTCCTAGGACCACGTGAGTCATACGATCGGAGAAAAAAGGAATAGGGAAAGAAAGGGCGAATGGTAGGAAAAAGGTAGGATGCAAAACTAAAGGAAGAGAATGGATGGTTTCATACCTCGAATGATTGGGCATACCAATCTTGGACTTTCTTGATGGAGGGCATCTCACTGAGCCCATCGGGTAACTCACCGAGATCCTGTACTCGGTGCGCTAGACGAATGGGAAGCTCCTCAGAGAGGAATTGTGAGGCACGGAAGAGAGTTCCTTGATCCAAAATCAGCAAGAGAAGCAGTATAGATGTGGTAGATACATACCAGTAGATGGACGGTCACCAAACTGGACCATCTGTCGCAGAGAGACACCGGTTGCGGGGAAGCTGGCATAGTGCCTGATGGTCTCCATCAGGCGCTCCGACGGCTTCCACATATTTGTAATGAGGCCGACCAGTGGAGGGTTAGAAGGTATGAATCCGGGGAAAGTGCGGAGGTTTGGAAGTGAGTCGCGTGCGAGAGGTATGAGTAATAGAGTCGGGACGATTCGCACTGCCGAGGTTGAGGTCCGTTCCGACGCCGGAGGAAAGTGAATCGCCGATTCCTGACATGACGCATGGTAACCGGCATTTTAAATAAGCGAATTATCATGATTTCATTGGTTCATTTCAATGGAATTTTATAATTCCGTATTCTAAGTACGTAAGTATATATAGAGTACTCTACTCCGTACTCTACTTCTACTATAGCTACAACTACGTAACCAGACACCCCGGATTCTTCCCCCTTCGTCCGAACGTGGGGCGCATCACATGATTCGTACTTTTTACAGATTATGTAACTTCATATCATCATTCAATTTCCTATTCAAGCCCCGCGTTGGGCATTTGAATCCCAATTCCTTGACCGCTCAAACCTGAGTCAATGCTCTGGTGGAACCTTTTCGCTTCTTTTATCTGTGCGGTTTTCTAGATAGCTTCAATCAATATCATTTTCACCTTTTACTTTCTTCCTGATTTTTCAATGACATTTCTGCAACCAAAACCCTAAAACTCTCCCCCCGTGCATTTGTCTAAGCGCGAACGACTCGGAACTAAGCCGTGTGGCCCCTCCACTCTGGGCCCTGTCCAAATTTATTATAAAAAAAAACCAAAAAAAGCAAACAAAAAAAGCAAACAAAAACCCTTACTTCTATACATAAATCCATATAGGAACTGGATCACATTTGTACCATCAATCCAAGGTTTCAGCATAAAATAAAGCTTGGACATCTTGAACTTTCAAGTGGGAAACCCTTGAACCCTTGAATCCCGTCATGTCTCGTCGTCGCACTTCACACAGCGAATCCATGAACGAGTCATACTCTTTCACCCAAACACCAATCCCTCATCGCCGAGGTCCGATCGAAGGCCCTGATGGCCGTCGCCTCATCCGCCGCGTCACCTGGCGCTCATCAACCTACAAGCTTATGGCCTCGTTATGGGTCCTAGGTGTTCTTTACATCCTCTGGCTGATCCGTGATCTCTACTATCTCCCTTTCGAACAGTCCACCCCACCTATCCGTGCCGAATGACCTGTGTGAGGGTCCTGAGTGGGCCGAGGGCTTGAAAACACGCTCCCGGTCTGATCTGGTGAGGGGGTTGGAATACATTCGACTGTTCCGCAATGCTTTCGCATTGCTTTGGCATTCTGCTTCGCTATCCAATCCTTTTTGGTCGCGGAGAACCTTGAACTTGAACAGGGATGCTTTAAGATGTCTGATATGCTTCTCTAAGCAAGATCGTCTCGGCGGTCTTTCCCACCTTGAACGTGTCATGTTCAGTTGGCGGGTGGATACACCGTTGACGGCTCGTGTGTCCGCGACCAACCGGGTGTCTAGCCGCTCGAGAATACAAACAATTCTTCCTACTCGGATTCCATATGGGATTGACGAACCTGGAATGACCGTGAATGGCCCAGTTTATGAACTAGACATTTTTTTTATCTTTTCTTTTAGGATTCTCGATTTGCATGAGCGTTCCATTGCATATGGCGTTCTCCCCATTGTATTCAAATGTTGTTTCCTTGCATATACAGGTGAAAATTGATCAATTAGACTGGGCGATTCAAGTTTTTGTTTTCTGCATCAGCAATCGAGATACACTAGCTGTCTTTTAATGGTGAATGGGTTCTGACAGAGTTTGGATTGAACACCGGAATATTGATCTCATTTTCATATCTCATGTACACAACTACTATGACGGGGCGACACCAATGTCTCCTTTTTTGACCTCCATAACCATTCTAGAGCATGCCTGTATGGAATTAAACGTAAAGAGCAGAGGTCTCGGACTTGGCAACTGCATCGGCGTAAGGCTTAAGTGCGGCAGCAACCTCGGTAGTGGTGAACTTCTGCACTTGCTCAGGGGCACGACCGACAAAGGTGCGGGCGTCGAGGAGGCTGTCCAGCTCGGGGATGATGGGGGCGAAGAAGGGGGTGCGGCGGATGCGCTCGAGAAGGTCGTTATCCTTGCCGAGCTTCTTGACATTGTCGGAGGCTTGGTGGGAGAGGACACCTAGGAAAGCGTGTGGTTAGATGGGTATAGAAGAGAGAGGGAAACAAAGCGTACGGATCTCCTCGTGGGCATCCTGGCGGGAAAGACCCTTCTTGACACAGGCCATGATAACGTTCTCACTAGAAAAGGTGTTAGCTTGACGACTCTGATGAAGAGAGATTCGTAACTTACGTGGCCATGAAAGGAAGCTCATCGTTGACACGGCGCTTGATGACCTCGGGGTAAACGACAAAGCCGGAGCTCACGTTGTCTAGAGAGAGGTTAGAAATGTCATATCAAGGAGCAGGGTAAGACCAACTCAGCAGGATAAGACAGGCGTCGGCACACAGGTAAAGCTCGGGAAGGCTGATACGGCGGATGGCGCTGTCGTCCAGCGAGCGCTCGAACCACTGAGCGGAGTAGGTATCCAAGCAGTCCTTGGGCAGGTTCTGCAGGTGACGTCCAAGCGAGCAAAGACGCTCCGAACGCATGGGGTTACGCTTGTAAGCCTACAACCAGTTAACCAATTATTCAAGGAGTGACTCATGGGTTTCCACTTACCATGGCACTGCTACCAATCTGGTCCTTCTCAAAAGGCTCCTCAACCTCCTTGAGCATAGCAAGGTGGCGAATGTCAATACCGATGCGCTCGCAAGTGGAACCAAAAGAGCCAAGGGCGTTGGCAACATCCACATCGATCTTGCGGGAGTAGGTCTGACTGGAGATGATGAAGGCCGAGCTGAAACCAGCCTTCTCGGTAACCAGCTCATCAAGACGCTCAACCTTGTCGTGGTCGCCCTCAAAGATCTGGAGGAAGGAAGCCTGAGTACCGGTCGTACCCTTGACACCACGGAAACGCAGGTCATCACGGGCGCGCTCAAGGTTACGCAGATCCATCAGGAGATCCTGGATCCAGAGACAAGCACGCTTGCCAACGGTGACCAGCTGAGCGGGCTGACCGTGAGTGAAGCCCAAGCAGGGCAGATCCTTGTACTCCTGGGCAAATTGGGACAGCTTGTCAATGACAACCGCCAGCTTGGGGATCAGGATATCCAGACCGTCGCGGAGGATGATCAGGTCAGCATTATCAGTGCAGTAGCATGAAGTAGCACCCCAGTGGATGATACCAGCGGCAGCGGGAGCGACAAGACCAAAGGCGTGCACGTGGGCCATGACATCGTGGCGGCGGCGCTTCTCCTCCTCAGCGGCAACGGCGAATTCATCATCCTGAATGGTGGCGTGAGACTTCATCTGCTCGATCGCATCCTCGGTGATGGGAAGTCCAAGCTCTATAAAAGCAAGACCCAGTCAATTGAATGTTTGGCTCCTCAGGTAGATTCACCCTATCCATCCGTTTTGTCGTACCTTTCTGGGACTCGGCGAGCCAGATCCACAGCTTGCGCCAAGTAGAGAAACGCATACGAGGGGAGAAGAGGTACTTCATCTCCGGGCCTGTTCAATTGGGCGGTTAATATGGTTTGGTTCAATCCCCGGATTTCAGACCCCTCATTGACATGGTGGGATGGACGACATACTCGAGTAGCGCGAGTTGAGGGGAGTCTGGTAGACATCGTTGCTGGCGGACATGATGCCGGTTGCTTTAGGATCACCTGAAAGATGAATTGAACGGTAAAACCGACAGGTGGAGGAAAGACGAGGCAGTGAGTAATCCAGCGATGCCGGAACCAATTTTTGTTGCTCGCAGCGGGGCTTATCACATCACGTTATCGTAGATTGGTGGGGCATGAGATCACGTGTGCAATATAAGGTAGATCCCTTTTCCGTTTCATGATTCTATATAGAACTGTAGTACGAGAGTACATTCATCATCCGAAGAGAAATATTAAAAGGGGTGGAAAGGAAGACACATATAGGAATCTAGCCGGTCACTTTCCAGACTAAAATTTTCCCAAAAAATCATAAGAATAGAGGTCACCTCTGCTGGCGATAGAGGGGGATCACGTGGCATTGGGAGTATCATGTGATCCCCCTATCGCCAGCACGAACTGGTCGGTTTTTACTTGATTTGTTTTCATCCAAGGATCTACCATACGAGCTATTCTTCCACATACCACCTTTGAGTCTCTCCAATCTCAAGTTCTGATATCCCAATTGAACCATGATTCATCTCATTCCATGGCGTCTACCACTCTATCCGAACCAAAACCCCAAAACAAATCAATCATAGAAAATGTGACTGGGTTTTGGGTAACCGGAGTGTAGGAGGTCCGAAGTTAGTCTCCGAGTATGTTGTACAGTCCACGGAACACGGCATTGGAAAAAGCCGACAAATCTCAGCTTCCCGAATATTATATCACTGATTATTCTCCCGAGTCTGTCACAATCTGAAATCATTCACATGTGATGTTTTAGCTCAATCAATATCTCTCGCCATGACACTGAGGAAGTTGCTTTCACCCTTCCTCTTCTCCTTCCATAAAACTTATACCCAACTTCAAGTTTCTTCTATTCTTAGTCTTTCTAATACCTCTACCATTACATTCAATTCTGACGCACTTGCTTCCCCTGAGAAACACCCGTGTGGTAATCATGGTATCAAATATGGCTCCAGCCTCTGATGTTGACTCGGTCCTTGAAGAGTCTACGCCAAGCTTTCATGGTTCCATTCAATATACCGAAGGAAAAGCAATTAACTCTCTCGATAGCGACTACTTGAGCACTGGAAAAACTATGAAAAGTTTCAGGAGAGGTTGCTATCTTCTCTCGAGGAATGGCTCCCAAGATTGCACGGACTGTTGCAAACGACTTTGAGCAAGGCGATGAGAAACCTCTGTTTACTGAAACTTCCGGTCAAAAAGAAGTTCCATATGGAATTGTGAAGCAGACTGCGATACATCAATGGCAAGATGTTTGCTATGATCTCAAGATAAAGAGTGAAAACCGTCGAATACTTGACCATGTCGAGGGACAGGTACAACCAGGCACACTGACAGGTAAGAGCACTTTTGGAACATGAATAAGTGACCATTTTTTCTAACTTACACTTTATGCTTAGCTCTTATGGGAGTCTCAGGTGCTGGAAAAACCACTCTTCTCGATGTTCTGGCTAGCCAGAGAACCACAGGTGTCATCTGGGGGCAAATCCTTGTTGATGGCCGACAGAGAGACAGCTCCTTCCAGCAAAAAACTGGATATGCTCAGCAGTTGGATTTGCATCTAGAAACTTTCACTAGCCGAGAGGCCTTATAGAGAGGCCTTACACTTCAGTGAAAAATCTTCGTCAATCCAAACATATTTCCCGCGTCGATAAATTGAAGTATGTCGAGCAGGTCATTCAGCTTATAGAATAAGAGGAATAAGCAGATGCTGTTGTGGGGTCCCTGGTGAAGGTATGCAAATGTATTGAAGTCGATCGGAGCCTTCATATCAATTTGCTAATATCTCCACAGGAGTCAATGCTGAGCAGAGAATGCGGCTCACCATTGGTGTTGAGCTTGCCGCAAAACTAGAGCTACTCTTCTTCCTAGATGAACCGGCATCGGGTCTCGACTCTCAAACATCATGGTCAATTTTGATTTTGCTTGAAAGCTGAAGAACGGACAGGCGATTCTTTGCACAATACATCAGCCTTCTGCGATCCTTCAGCGATTTCATCGACTCCCCCTCCTAGATCAGGGTGGAAAAAGTGTGTACTTTAGACCAACGGGGCCTGCATTGGCGCGGCGCCTGGTCCTCACACAGACATCGACTGGCCAGAAATTTGGCGACAATCACCAGAGCTAAAGGACGTGCGAGCTCATCTGAATGATTGGAACTACAAAATGTCACAGGAGTCGATGATGGCAGCTCAAGACCAACAATTTTACGCGGAATTTGCAGCCTCGTTTCCAGTTCAACTGTATGAGACGTTAATTCGTATCTTCCCGCAATATTGGCGCATCCCGAGCTATATCTTTCAAAGATTGACCTTCATTTAGCCACGGTACGTCCATTGGAATCTTTTTAAGAACTTAATATAACATACACTTGGATCTAGGGTCTTCTCATCGGATTTTTCTTTTTCAAGGCACCAAATCCCAACAGGGATTGCAGTACCAAATGTTTGGTTTATTCATGCTCGCGACAACCTTCAATCTCCTTTCACAGCAAATCATGCCGCAATTCGTTAGCCAAAGAGCGCTCTACGATGCTCGTGAGCGGCTAGCATAGACGTACCCCTGGTTTATATTAGCCAATATGCTCGTTAAAATCCCCTGGTCCTTCTTCTGCTCAATCTTACTACACGTGACATGGTACTACCCATTGGATTCTACCAAAAGGCAGAGGCTACAGATATAGTGCATGAGAAAGGCGTCCTCGTCTGGCTCTTTATCCTCACATTTGTGCTCTTCTCGAGCACATTTGCGCATCTTGCAATCGCTGCAATAGAGACCCCCGAAACAGCAGGAGCCATCGCCAACCTCTGTTTCTCAATGATCATCTCATTCTGCGGTGTTCTGGCTGGTCCTGGGGCCTTCCCACATTTCTGAATTTTCAAGTACCGCATCTCTCCTTTCCATTACCTGATATCAGGTCTGCTATCTGCATCCGTTCTGCTATCTGCATCTGTTGGAGGGGGTCATGTCATATGCCTGAAGCATGAATTCCTCCATTTCGATCCGCGTCCAAATATGACGTGTGGTGACTACCTGCCTGACTTCGTTCGTGTCACGGGGAGAGGTATGTAGAGAATCTTTCTGCTACCAGTTCGTGTTCGTTTTGTCGGATCTCTGAGACGAATAGATTTCCTGGAGGGGACTTCGACAAATCCCGATGTATGGATGAACTTTGGGATTATGTGGATCTTCATCCTCTTTAACATCTTTGGTGCTGTTTTTCTTTACTGGATGTTTCGAGTCCCCAAGAAGATGGAAGTGCATGAGACGGCCACGATTGAGGGAGACCTTTGAAGTTGTCCAAGCTGGACTCAAAATATATGGTTACAGATGTCAATTAGGTGTGGTTATGTCGACCCGTCCAGGTCGGAGGACTAGATTGAAATTTATAGATCATCTTTCCTTGAATAATAATTCTCAGATATCTACACATGTTTAAAGTAAGTCTACGGCCTTTGGTCATTACGCCAAACTTAACATTCCGGTCTTTCAAGGAATGGGCCAATTGTCCTAAAATTATGTAAGTAAAACTTCATTAACCATATACCTTGATTCCATAGGAAATACCGATTAGTTCGCGGAGGATTCTTTGGTCATGAAATTAGGCGCGGATGTTACACTCGAGCCTGGGCTCTTACATGGGCCAGCTAAGACGAGGTTTCTGAATCGCTCCGGACATTGCGGGCCGCGACAGCCGTGCTTGGACGGATTTTCCCACCCTGAGTGGGTATTCCGGTGCATAGATACATTGAGAGGCTATTTAATATTGGTATGTACAAAGCCTCAAGTCTTGGTTCTTGATACCTTACCTCGCGCGCTGACTCCGAAATCCTGCTTTTTGCGCCCGCGATCATAAAAAAATTCCTCATGAATAGAGCAGTTGAGAACTCCAGTTGGCTTTCATCGCTTTCGATATCCAGCTCTCCATGGAAAAGCTGGCACGCTTGAAGTATATTGACTTCGTGAAATCGGCGAGGAATGTCAGCGTAGACGCAGATATTGGATTTCGTAGGAAGTGAGCAGAATGGATCGAATACATCCACGAAGCTGACTGCGTTCGTCGTGAAGCCATCCCATCCCGAAAGAACAAATGTCACTTCAAGCTTTTGATCCTTAACTTTATTAAAATTATATTTCATAAACTCGTATGGACGGCCCCTCTTTAGAAGGGTGTGGTTCGATTGGTGCACGAACTCATAGAACTCCGCGGGGTGGGTCCCCACATTTCCGTATGTGACGTATAACAGCGAATCATGCAGCAACATCATCTTTTTGTCACGATTTGAGGACGTCTGACTCGCACGCGCGATGAACACAACAAGGTGTGGGCAATCCATCATAGAGAAGTGAGGTTGAAGTGAAGAGCGAAGTACATCTAATGCCGATCTTTGCGCTACCAACCGCCAAGAAGTTCTTTACGAACAAGGCAACTCCAGCAGACTTGCGTCCGTTTCAAGATCCAGCTCTCCGTGGAACACTCCACACGTTTGTTGGATGTTTACCTCGTAGAATCGCCGAGGATCGTCGGCGTACACACGAATGTTTGGTTTGACGTCAAGTATGCAGAAAGGGTCGAAAATGTCCACAAAACTAACTGCGTTTGTCGTTAAGCCATCCCACCCTCATTGAACGGACGTCACTCGGAAATTTTGATCTTTGGCTTTGTTATAAATATATTGCATGAACTGATATGGACGGCTCCTCTTTTTCCACAGGGCTTTGAGCTCTCTGACAATCATTGCATTGTGTAGACAAGCGGGTTAGAGTGAGAGATTGCTTGCTGTAGCGTATCATAAGTTGGTGGACAGTAAGAAGGAAAGAAGAAGTTCAGGGTTCACTTTGGTATGTGGAGTAGGTTGGATGTCCATTCGCCGAATAAATCAGTGGCATCTGGACATCTGAAGTTGGTGGGTGATAGGAGAGAAGTAGAGAAGAATGTAGATTTCACTTCAGTGTAAGATGTGAGAGAAGTAAGCAGATGTAGAGAGGAAAGAAGCTAGTTCATGTTGTGATCAACAACCACTAAATGCTGTTGATCAGTCTAAATACAAATCCCAGATAGCTTCGGAGGTAAGGAGTATGATTTAAGGTTGATAAATTTAAAGGTAAATGAAAGATATAAAGATAAAAAGTAAATTGATAGTAAATATGACAGTAAATTGATAATAAATTGATAGTAAATTGATAGTAAATTGATAGTAAATTGGATAAAAGATCAAAAATAACGATAACATTCCATTTCTATGTGCAATGCCCTAACAAACTTTTTGCTCATAATAGAATCATAACAATGAAAAGACAAGTCCAAACCATGAAGACCAGTGAGACCGAGTCAAACCCCTATGAACGGAATCGGAATCGCCATCGAGGGGTATTATAAGGAACGTCTTCGAAAACAACACCCTTAAATCATTGAAAACATCGGAAAGTGATTCACTTTAACGTCTGCCGCGGCCACGATCACCACCTCCACGACCGCGACCACCACGATCTCCACCACGGCCACCACCTCCACGGCTGAAGCCTCCACGACCGCGGTCACCACCGCCGCCGCGACCAAAGCCGCCACGACCGCGATCACCACCTCCGCGGCCACCACCGCCACGACTGAAGCCGCGACCGCGGTCGCGATCACCGCCTCCACGGCCACCCCAGCTGGAGCGGTTCTTCTCGATCCGACCTCCACCTGGAGCACCAGGGGACTTGGGTGCACCAAGACCACGACGACCAGTCTGAGGGCCCTTGTTGCGCATGTCTTCGTTCAAAGCGGCCTCTTCCTCATCGTCTAGATCCATGGCATCGCCACCGCGCTTAGTCTGGCCCATCTTTACCTTACCCTTCTGGCCACGGCGGACGGCGTCCGGACCGCTGACAGCTGCCAGGTAGGCATTGACACCGCCGGCAGGGGCATCGCCGGCCATATCGACGTCCTCGATATCATCACCCAGAAGCAGTTTGCCGTTAGCATCGAACTTGGCAGCGTGCTTGCGCTTGGAGCCGGGGCCGGTGTTCAAGAAACGCAAGCTAGGCTTTGTGGTGGAAATGTTGGCCAGGGCGTCCGGAGCAAGCAGATCAAGCGGGTTATCTTCGGGAGACATCTCGCGGATGTACTGGTTGTTCTGGGATCTGTCTTTCTTGCCCTTGATGCGTGTGGTCTCGTCAACTTCGACATCGGAACCGTCGTCGCCGTCGTCCGAGTCGTCAGAGAAGTCGGAGCCATAGACGGCCTTGTCGAAGGCGTTGCCGGATTGTTGGTCGGCAGCCTTATCTTCATCTTCGTCGTCAGAGCCTTCGGCACCTTCCTTCTTCTTGCGCTTGTTGCGCTCACGCTGCTTGCGGATGTTGACGACGAGCTTTCGGTCGGCTTCGCCGACTAGGCTCTCCATCAGTGGGGCGCCGAAGCGACGGACCAGGCGGTCGATGATACCCTTGACCTTGCTGCGGAGGCGGCCCTTGTGCTCCTTATTCCAGGCCATGAGGTTGGGGACGAGAGTTGCCAGACGGGGACGTAGGGTGTCGTCGGGGAGAACGACAACAGCGACCTTGACGAAACCGAGGACGGAGCGAACAATCTCACGGTTGTTGCTGGTGAGGAAGAGCTCGACGGTTTGGACGAGGTCAGTGAGGACCTCGGCGCGGAGCTTGGTCTGGAATTCGAAAAACAGGCGGGACAGCGCTGTGACCGATGCGGCGACCATGTGAGGCGAGGAACCAGCCAGACCGGCAGAAACCATAGTGAAGAATTCCTCAATGGTAGCGGGAGCGTCCGGGGAGTCATCCGGCATGTGGGAGACCAGGGAGTTGCGGATCACAGTGCCAGCTGGGTTGCGCTCGTCGTCGCCGCACCGGCGGGCAAGGTGAATGAGCAGGTCAAAGGCGGCTGTACGGGCCTTCTCGTTGCTCTCCTTACATCCCAGGACCACCTCGGACAGGATAGCAGGGATGAAGTGGAGCTCTGAGGTAGGCAGGTGCGTGATAAGCTCGTGGATGGCGAGCATGCGATCTCGGCGACCAGAGGCCGGAGTCTTGTCAATTGTTGCAAGCATCAGGGCCTGCAGTTCACCGCTGCGCTCCTGCAGGGCGGCGCTGCCAACTTCGGTCGAGCCAAGTCGGGGAATCAGCTTGTAGGCCTTCTTGATGAGCTGCTGGTCGGGGTTGGGAGAGGATCCATTGAGAATGGCTGCGGCCATGGCGAAGAGACCGGAGAAGCTGGAACGTGGCAGGTAGATAGACATGGCGATAACCAGGTCGATCAAGGTATGCGAGGTAGGCGGCATCTTGTTGGAAGGATCCACCTTGGTAGGGTTGTTCTGCTCTGTCACCAATGACTCCTCGAGCATCGTGGTAACCCGAGTGAAGGTTTCGTTAAGTTCCTGTTATAGTTAATATGATGAATGTCAAATAGAAGGTACTCGGGCAGGTTTCAAAACTTACATTCTCAGGAGTGATGCTCAGGTAGGCATTGATACACTGCAGGATGAACCCGCGGTGGTGTGGAAGAGTCTGGCTGTAGACGTTGAACAGCACAGCCAGCAAGTTACTAGCAAAGCCAGCTAGGTGGGCGATGTTCTTGGCAGCGGCAGCCTTGGTGATACGGCGCTGCAGGATCATATCCTCCTCCTCGGTCTCGACGGACAGAATAGCCTGGTTCGACTCAACTAGGTTCTGCAGGGCGCGGCAAAGCTCGACGCGCAGATCGGTCTGCTTGTACAGAACATTGGACAACAGCTCGGCGAAGCTCTGGTCGAAGGACTCAACCAGATCGAGCGGGAGCTCACAGTATCCGGGAAGAATACCCCAGGTCTGCTGGACGAGGGTTTCGAAGATCTTGGCTTCGACGGGCTTCTCCAGGGATTGGAAGTCCATCATCTTCTGGTAAAGCGCCTCGCTGAGAGGTGCAAATTCGGAACGGAAGTGCCCCAGGTTAGTGTTTGTTACGCTATCACGGAGGATGGGCAACATCCAAACGCGACCGGGCTGGCCGTTCTTCTGGTCAATGATGTTCAAAGGCAAAATCTCGAGAACAGCAGCAGGGCCCATGGCCTCAATAGCACTTCCGAGGACGGCATCAGCCTCCTTCTTGCCGTGGAAAGACTCATTGGTGCGCAGTTCACCGATGGTCGAAACAATGTCGGTCAGGAAGGGAGAGGATCGCCACTTGTAGCAGTCGAACAGGGCCGAGCAGACGTTGAAGACTTCAATCCATGCAGCCTGGTATTTCACAGACAGCAAATCAGAGGCCGCGCGGGCCAATTTCTCGAGAGTCTTCTCATCGTAGACTGACGGCTCAATTATGACACTGTTAGGGATGCAGTTGTGCAGGAACGAGATCAGACACTCGGACGCCGACACGCGGATGTTGTGGGAGGGCGACGCCAAGAAACCGGCGATCATCTGGAACAGTTCCGGGAGCTTCTCGAACGTGTCTTCGGGGGCAATCTGAGCAGACACATCGTAACCACGCGACAGGACGGCGATCCAGGGCGGAAGAAGCTGCGAATCGTTCTGTGCGGGCTTGAGTTCGGAAATGGCGTCCAAAAGACGGGGGAGCTTAGAAGACGAGAACTCATCCGCCATACCCTCGAAAATGACCTCGAACACCTCGAAAGCACCCATAGTGATGTACTCATTCATGGAACGCGAAGCGTTCATCAGCAGCTCACAGAGCGCCTCGATCTTCTTGCTGGGCCAGCCACCGGATGCCGAAGCAATGGTCTTGACCAACTGCAAGGAGTGAATAATCATAGGCTCGTGGTTCTCGCGGGACTGCGCATCGTGGCGGTTCTTCTTTTGCTTTGTCGCAGCTGCGATACCGTCGCTGAGAGTCTTCATGGCAGACTCGGCGCACATATCGGCAGCCGGGTGATCCAGTGACGGGCTCGGTGGGGGGTTCTTGAGAACCTTGATGAGAGCCTCCTGAGCGCGCTTGCGCACCTTGGGCCGATGGTCAACCGACAGACTCAGCAGACCAGCCGTGGCACGGCGCGGACCAATTGCGGTGTGGGGCAGGTTCCATGCAGCCGCATCTTGGGCGATCAGCAGTGACTCGAGACTTCCAATTGAGGGTCGCAAGAGGGGGGCTTCGACCTCGGGAAGTGACAATGCAGGCGCGAGGCTGGTGAGGATCTGGGAGAATTTTGAACGGAGGATGGGGGCAGGGACATAGGCGGTGGTGATATCGAGCAGGTAGACGACGGAAGTTGCCAGATCCTTGTTGACGATACCTTGCTCGGCCGACAGCGACTGAGAAAGCAGGGCAAGGAGGGCAGCGAAGTAAGCGGTAGGTGAAAAATCGGCCTTTTGATCGCGAAGAGTATCCTCCACTGCAGAGAGCACCACAGCAGTCTAAAATGGATCAGTTTGAATCTGCGGGACGAGTCGGGGAACTTACATGGTGCTGATTCTGCAGCTTGGGAGACTTGATCTTCTCGAGCTTCTCCGCCAGAGTCGCCATGGTGACTTTGAACGACAGAAGAGTAGAGAAAAGCTGTGCGGGGGAAGACAGTTCTGGCGGTGATGGAGAAAATCGTGAAAAAAAAGGTACAGCGAGTCTTGGCATCTTTATCGATAAGCATCTATGAACCCAACATTGAAAACCTCCACAATTCCAAGTTTACTCTCCTTTTTTTTGTTAGCTTACATATTATTTTATTTATTGTTTTATTGATTCGTTAAATCCCGTCAATTCATTTTGAACTATCAGACACAAGCGTAAAGAAGATTGAACCCGATTGGGTGATAGTGATGGCAATCGCACCATCCACTGTTGCGAATGACATTGATGTTTCAGATGGGTTAGACCAGTGTCGTCCGTAACATATCATCATGAGACTGAAATCCTGGGTATAAGGTCATGTCACGACTTCTCATTCGCCCGGAATGATATATGAAAACTCTGCGGTGGGAATTCTGTCACCAAGTTCCCGCCTGCGCCCCCTGCTATTGTACACTTCCAACAGGAAATTCAGCAACAGAGATCCTTTGATATCCAGAGTTCTTATACTGGGTACTTTGTTGGATGTGGCCACCTAATGACGCCAGGAACGGTCGAGACGTTAACCGCGACCACAGTAAGAAGTGAAGAGAATGATCTAGAACAAGATCTCGCCGCTGTGCTCAGGCTCGAATCCCAGAGCCGACAATTCAGTGTGTCGTTTCTTGTCACCGATCTTGCGCTTGCTATCTTCCTGCTTCTTGAGTTCGAAGACTTCCTCGAATGGAGCCTTTGTTACCGAAGTAGGAACCTCGTCTTCGCGGTCAAGATCCTGCAGATACCAAAAAAATATTTCATTAGCCATCGACAAATTATACTCTGGACCTCGATAGTACATACCACTTCTCCCAACAGCAACACATTCTCACCACGGACGAGGAAGATTCCGCGCGGGACATCAGCATAAACTTTTCCGGCGTAGATTCGTTCGACGGTATCTTGGAGGACGAGGTTGGCTGTAATGTGCCGATGGCAGGGATGAGACATGATTCTTCAAGATTGCGCGGAGATATCCATACCGAACTGATCCCAGCTCCGCAGTACACCGACTAGCTTTCTACCATCGCGCAGGACGAGGACTAGCTTCTCTGTTCAACGGAGAAAAGAAACATAATCAGCAAATGCGTTATTTTCAAGCCATACCCCTTTTCTCGGATCAACCTACTATCTGTCAAGTCCAGCAGCTGTGCGGCGGTAGTGAACATCTGTGGGGGAAGTTGCGGCGGGCCGGAGGTAGGCGCTTGGCCAGCAGAACCAAGGGCATTCTGTTGTTGAAACTGTTGTTGCTGCTGTTGAGGATTCCGCTGCGCATTGGCAGAGCTGTCATTTAGTGATAAGCGCTCCATGTCGTGGGCTGGATGGAGTGGTGGGGGTGATGAAGTCGGAGGTTGGAGGTCGGTGATCGGTGTCGGAGAAAGGTCAAGCCGGTAGATTGGGAGGTTGAAAATCAGATTTGGAATTTATAGACAGACACTCTTATTCATGGAGGCTGGATCTGTGGAATTGAAAAGGCAGCTTCAACCCGCGGTCATGAAGTTCTCCAGGTCCGATGCGGGCAAGAGAATGTTTGTCTTGTTTGCTTGGTCGATGAGATCTATAAGATCCCGCTCACCTTCTTTTCGCTTGATCCACCCTGCACTTTGCCTGGTCTAAGGTGTCTATTTTGCCTGAATCCGGGCTGTTACTCTCTGAAATGCCCTCTTATGCTGTACGGTGCTTGGATTTGGGCTTTATTACCCACCGATCATGAAAAATGTCAAATGCCAGTCTATCAGGATCTAGCTTCAAGCAATTCCACCAGCCACACAAACGGAAGTATCATTTTCAATCTCAAAAAACCATGGGTTTTCACCGATTTACTCTGGTACTTTTGCTTTGTTTGACCCTGATTGATTAGGTCATTGAAACGAGATCCCCTTTAATTAGATACTTACTGGAGTGGTGAACACGTGGGTAGCTGCCACCTAGTATTTTCAGCAATAAGGTGACATACGAAGCCAACTGCACAAATATATACAAGCTGTTTAACACGAAACGACATTTGGAAGCAAGGGGGGAATATTCGCAAGAAGTACAACCAGACAAACAATCAAAGTCCTTAAGGTCCTGGAGGTTGAAATCCAAACCTCAAGATTCAACATCCAAAAGATTTTCAATATAGAAAAACATGATCAGATAACGCTAACCCCTTTAGAAGCCCCCCTCATCCTCTCTTCTCTCCTCCGACTATAAGGCGCATAATATGGCTCATCCGATGACCCAATACTAGCCCGCACCCCATCCTGTGAACGATGATACGCCGGACTGGACGGCGCAGGTGCAAGCTGCATCGCCTTAAACTGAGCATCAGAAATGATACGCCGGTTATAGAGGTGCCGCATGAGCTCGAAATCCGGTCGACTACCCGCTAAGGTCTGACCACTCTGGTAATGTGCTGCAACGTGGTTGAGCATACGGTTCCAGGCCGAATCTGACTGTTGAACCTGGCTTTGGATATCTTGAGAAGATGTGGGTGAATTGACTTCCTCGCTGCGACTACTCTCATCCCTCGACTCGGATATCGAAAGAGGCGAAAGTAGCATCGACTCTTCGTCGCCGTCATCGACAAATTCATCGGAACAGAGTGGACACCGCGCTGTCCGCGGCGGCGGATGCGTCCGAAAGTGACTCCAAACATGCATCTTCCACTGCAAAACATCATCGAACGAATCATGACAATCCAGCATATGGAACAAACACGTATAAACCCCTCCAGTCGGCGCAACTTGATGATCAACACCAGCCGAAGCAGAAGCAGAAGCAGAAGCAAAAGCACCGGAAACAACAGACGGCGCAGCAGTACTCCACGAGGAAGAAGAAGCGCGCGAAGAGTGCATAGCATCATCCCTATTCACAAGAGTGCTACTCGCCGGAGCCGAGTCCATGGCCGTGATCACAGGAGCTAAAACATTCTCATACCTCAACTCAACACCATCCGCACCAAATCCAAGACCAAGTCCGATCCCAGTGAGAGAGGAGGTCTCTACCGATGAGATCGACGAAGATGATGACCCGCTCGAAAGGCCCGGCGGGGGTGAAGACGACCGCATGCCGCCGACGATCGTTACCTCCACTTGCTTTTTGCGGGAGCGGGTAGTTGTGATGGGGTCCGGGGTTGGAATATGATCTCTCATCTGCGACTGTGACTGTGACGGGGACATGGATGAAAAACAAATATTAATATTCCAGATTAATGTGAGGCAAATCCGATGCGATGCGATGCGATGTAATGTGGTGCAGGCAGCCGCAATATTATTTTCCGGCTGGATTCCAGAAGAGTACTGAATATACTCCAGGCAGCGATGGAGCTGGATCTGTTGCTCAAGACTCGCGGACGCAGAAGCAGAAGCACGCTCCGACCTGCTCCGCGCTCCGCACGATGGGCGCGGGGAATTCACGGGGGGCCACGGGGGTACTGGGATGGCGTCAGAGCCGATTCGATTTCGAGTTTCTCTTATCCGTACATCTTGCACGTAAGCAACGGATATCAACCCGTACCGGTACCAAGTACAGGCACAGGCACAGGTACAGGCACAAACGATATACTCACGGATACAGCAATCTAGAAAAAACAGATAGACCCGCAGGAGAAGAGAAAAGCAACGATCCTTTCCTAGTAGGTAAAACAGGTACTGTCAGCATGCACGACAGCAAGTCTAAAAGTGCCGGCGCAGTCCGACTCTTCACTAGCCCAGTAGCGGCCAGTAAGGAGTGCCGAGTAGAATATTTGACGTACAGCTTGTATAGTCAGGACTGAAGGGTTCTAGACTTCAAATGGGTGCTTAGCTTCACTTATATTTCAAGATCCATATGTACGTACAAGTAGAGGTACAGGTACGTGAAATGGGTGGGATGTACCTTCGAAGTATACGGGTCTAAAGATATGGATATGGGTGCATGGTGTCAACCAACCAGATTCAAAATTGGTTGATAGATTGATACGCGTAGAGTATAATGAGAAAGAATACACATGGAAACGCCCTGGACATGAAACAGTGGATTTTTTTTCAATCTTTTTTTTTTCACGCTAAGCATTGGAGGGGAAGCGGGGGCGTCGGGGGCTAATGTTTGGGCTGTGCAGTAGTACTGTCGGATTGTAGGGAGTCTCTGATGCGTCTGAAGAACTTGGTTTTATATATGGCATGATCGTCAGGTCTAGTTCCGAGTCTATGTGCATGCGAGATAGTGGTAGAATTGCGTGTCATCCTTGTTCTGCAACATCGAAATTGGAGGGGTAATTTCGCACATACGGCTATACTCCGGGGTTTACTCCGTACTCTAATAATTGAACCCTATGTGGATCTTTGAGTGTTTATCCGATTTTTTTTTGATTGCCTGCCAAGCAGGTAGCAAATTAAGTAGATAAAGAACAGGTGGTCAAGTAAAATGAGACCACGGGCCTCAGAGAGGAGAATGACAAGTTTTGGACTGGGAATGAAAGAAAAACAGCCAGGGAATTCCCATCCATCTATTGGTTCGACGCCCCAGAAAATAATAAGAAAAACCGTCCACCCGACACCGTTGATGCCCGCATAACAGGAATGAAAAAAATGCACAAGTCTATTTCGTTTCGTGGCACGCATAACACAGATTGCAAGGACGTTAAGAGGGAAACCGGAAATTAATAACGGTCTGCCAAGTCACCACCGGCAATGGAATTATTGCTCGAGGAGGTTATGGAGGAGAAGCCGGTTGCAGGGTTCAACATGTCCTGAACGGCGACTTTCGGTACCTGAGGGACTGGCAGTTTGCGCTGTGTCCCATCGGGTTTGGACATGATGTCGGAGATACTTGGGCCTATGTGGCCTTGGCCGGGACTGTAGTAATTCGGACCTTCCGGTTGAGGTTCCATCGGGGCCAGGGCAGGAGTGTGCTGAAGGGAAAGATGACGAATGGAAGGCAGGTGCAACTCGTTTGCTCCCAATGGGCGCAAACGAGGAGAGTGTGCAGGAGTAGCCAGAGGGGTGTGGTCGGGAGTGGGAGAGAGTGAATCGTGCGAGAAAGTAGGAGAAGAGGGAGCGGTAGAGTTGGGCGAGTTGGGACGAGAGCGCTTGACACGATGTTGGCCATAGGCATCATCATCGTCGTTAGAGTGCGAACGGGTCATATTTTGGGAGATGGCGTAAGCGGAGAGCGAGGGAAGACCACGACTGTTGTGCTGACGCGATCCAAAGATGGGGTGTCGTGATGAGTGGTATCCCATGTGATCATCCCGCTCCACCTGCGAAGCTGCTGTCGCGAGCAAGTTGATATCCATCCCTGATGAGGCGCGGTCGGTGGTGCGCGAGTAAGGACCCAGATTGGAGCGCATGTGATTGGCATAGTTGGAGAAGGAGTGCGGTGGGGAGACATCGGGCGACCCGACCTGCGAAACCGGGGCGGAACGAGTGATTGGCTTGCTGGGAGGGGGCATCATGTTGGCCGCGCTACCCATGGAGACATCCTGACCGGCAGCTGCGGAGGCCGCCGCAAGGTGCTGAGCCTTGTTACTCCGGCGCGAGTTGGGGTTGTTGTGAATGCGCGAGTGGCGAGTCAGCTCGTCGGAGCGGCTAAATCGCTTAGTGCAGCCAGGGAACTGGCAGGCATGAGGCTTCTCGCCTGTGTGCGTCCGAATGTGACGAGTCTGGTGTTCCAAGCGGTGAAAAGCCCGATCGCAAAGGGGACACTTGTACGGACGAGGCAAATCCTGGCGAACCTCCTCGTTGGTGGGGCGCGCACCCTTCATGAGAGGCGGCAGTAGACTGACAGAAGAAGCCATTGTAGAATCAGAGTCGTGGGATGATTGCGACTCGGTAGCTTCAGGATTCAGTAGATTGGAGAAACCCACTGAAGGAACTTGGGGTGACATGTGAAACTCCTCAGGAATGGGTCGGGGGGAATGATCAGGGTTTAATAGGAACCGAGGCGGATGAATGACCACCGAGATCCAGAGCTAAAGATGGACCGGTCGATGTTCGAGTTGATTGGAGTCAATCAATAAGTGATGTCTTTGTTGTTTTTTTACCCTATTATCCTGGGGGATAAATTAGGGGGAAAAGAATGGGCAAAGGGGGGGGGAAAGAAAGAATCTGGAGATGACGATCTGGGGGAGGTAGTAGATAATAAACGAAAGGGGGGGCAAAAAAAGGAATGGAGGGGGAAAGGGAGAAATCGGGAAAAGGCTTCGGGATCGGATTTGGGAGAAGAAAAAAAAGAAAAAAAGAAAAAAAAAATTTCAAAAACTAAACTTATCGGATTCTAACAAGGTTGAGGGTTTATGGGGAAAAGGAAACTGGGGCAAAAGGGCTTGGAACGGGAAAATTCAAATTTGGAAAATTCGGATTTTTTTCTTTTTTTTTTCTTTTTTTTTTTTTTCCTATTTCCGCAAAAGCAAAATGATGGGAAAAATGATGGAAAAAATCTGATTTTCTTACCAAATCAAATCAAGTAGAATCAAAAGGACTGCTCTGAGATTTGTACTTCTTTGATTTGATTTTATTTCATGTTCTATTTTAATTCTGTCATTATTCTATTCATTCTTTTTTGATTCTTTGATATTGATGTTCATATTTTACTCAACATCCTTCATAATACCTCTCATATATAGGTAGTTATCTGGCATAGAGGTTCATGCAGCCGGGGAGGAACTCGACCGAAAAGAGTAATTGTAGAAAATGAATTAACTTGAACTACGTACTTCGCTCCAAATGTGGGGACCGGGCTAGTCCCGTTGATTACATGAAGAATTCCGTGTGGCGTGACAATTAGTGCGTGTCCCGTAACTGGCACCTTCCCCGGCTATCGCGCGTCTGGAGAAACTGTTATCTGTTTTGTTTGCCTACAACCCCCATATGTGATAGTATGATGTGGGATAAATTGATGATTGACTGATGATGGCACTGGGTGGCGACTTCTACACTGCTCCCTTCTCCTCACCGGGGAATCGGGAAGAACAGTCTAGACTGGTTCACTCATGGTTATCGTCAAGACAGACTTTCCAAATCCGCTATCGCGCCCCTCATGATACAAAAAGAAAAAAGTAAATATGGAGGAGGGTGAATCCTGGGGTTGGATGATTACTCCCCCTTAAAGAATGACGCTATCCAGAATCATCGATGATGTCGACACATGATTTCATGGTTCGAGCATGATTTAGTCATGGGAATCGAGAGGTCATACAGAAATGGCGAGATCGCACGAAAACCACCCGGGTTCCAGTATCGCCCATGGCGGTCACGCAAATCACCGTCGTCGATAACCCGTTCGGATGACATACCCCGGATTCCTTGAACCCGGGGTTTCGATGGAAAGCTTCCCAAATCCCCAATCCCCCAAGATAAAGGCGACATGTGGTCCGTCCTTTCCCCAAAGGTTGAATGAACTGATAGGCGTAGATCGGCCAATAATTGACGACGATGCACCCTGCACTCTGCAGCCGCAAAGCCGCACCGGCCCAGATTTCAATCCCCCGACCCTTGCAAGCTCTCGACCTGTCCATGTCTGTGACTACTCGAATTGCATGATGTATTCTACCTGCATGACATTTCGAAACACTGCCCAGTTTTTGGGTTTCTGGGTTTCTGGTTTTCTCATTTTTCTGGGCTACCCCGGCTGAATCGGAAATTGCCTGTGGGGGAACACGATAACAACCCCGTGGAGTTGTCACACAGGTTCCGGCCTGGGTTGTTTTCACGATCACCCGGATTAGTGGGGCCATATCCTTGTAATGATAACAGCCCCAAAGCCCACGATCGCGCCACGGGATAAAGAAAGATACGCCCTCGGCACTCTTCCCCCTCCCCCTCCATGTGACCGAGATAAAAGATCTGGTTGGATAAAACCGAACCGAATCCATACTCGGCTTTTGTACTCTAACCGAGTCCACGGAGCCTGTCCTGTTCGCGATCCAGGGGCGTGCATACAGCCCGTGGCAGGGGGGGCCTTTAGTGGTAGATCTTAAGCATGACACTGAAACTCTGAACAAGTTCAGCTTCTGTCTTATTCTCTCCGATCTCTGCAACTCCTCTACTGGATAGATCTCTTTAGGGAACCCTTACTTGAATCCCTGGTATCATATATATCCGGATAGGATAAACGGAACAAATAGCAAAGCCAAAAAAATAAATAAAAATAGAAAAAATGGCCCCAAGGTCTGCCGGATCCAATGCCGACTACTTTCAGCAGTTCGCCAATAAACCCATTCGGACAACCCCACCACCGAATGCGGTACACCACGGAAAAAAAGCGGGTTGGCTCTCCACGGGGAATGGCGCCATGGAGAAACTCCGGATTCGGCGCCTCAATCTGCAGGGGGTGTTAGTTAGCGCTCTAGTGATTTCCAGCAGGTACCGTATCAGCAATTACCCGCTTTTTGCCGAGTCGCTTCAATCGATTGAATTACGCGGATGAGTTTCCGCTGACGTGTGGTGAAGTGATAGTGATGAATCTGGCATATCTGGCATATCTGGCTTATCTGGCAGGAAGCGCTCGGTAACCAACTTCCGCTTAAATTAGATTCCATATATCCGATTTTTAGTTTGGGGAGATCCCCAGCCTGCCCCGCGATCGTGATCGACACCATATCCACATACTACAGCCAGTAGAGCGTGGGGGTAGGAACTATTCTGAATTAATTTATTGTCGGGTTAGCGGAACCCGACTTATTCATTTGTATATTTGTTCCATTTCCAACGGTCAAGCCCTAGAAAGCATACACAGTACATATTTCCAAGGATATCACTGGGATGATCGTCAAAGTTTGATGTGCCCGATGATCATCTACTGACTGAGGGCTACCCCGCAACTCTTCATACCAGGATCGACCTGGAATGGCAAGCAATCCCAGCTGGAAGAGGGAGAAGGGGACCATCCTGCAGATCCTCGCAACACGATAAGACGATCGACCTTTCTTCAGTCCGACATCGCTTGTCAACGCGTATGAAAATCACTATTCCCCACATGCAGTCTTATCACGCCATCTCAGTCTCAAAGTTGAGTCGAATCGGGTAGACTGTATAGCCAGAGCAACATTAGGCCGAGTAGACCAGGTCATCCACACATTGAATAATCCCATTTAACCCGATCCAGACTTCCCCAACTTCTTATCTACATATCCATCACCTAGGTATCACGTTATCAAAATTGTCATTCCTCCGCACATACCCCAGATTATTTTTAAATGGAGAATAAATCAGGATTCTTCAGCTGAAACATTCAATGACAGCCAAGCGCTGCAGCCTACGAATATTTCTGACGATTGGACTCATCACTTATCAGCTCAGCCCCTTGCTCCCGAGGTGAGTTGCTCCCGGGTGAGTCAGGTCAAGCCATGACGTGCTCGCAAGTTGAAACAAACTGACGTGGACGGGGATCGGGGATTCGATTCGTTACGTTCCGTTTCCAATCGTGCTGCCTATTGCCTGAAACCTCACCAGGCGAACGCCCGTGGCGTTCGCGTTCGCGAAGGCAGAGTCAAAAGAAAGAGATTACGAAAAAGAAAAGGAAAATACTAATCTCGGAGAGAAGAGGATAAGGAGGTAGATCCTGGACGGATTCGTGGAAAGCTGTTGTTACCGAAAAGGGTGACATGTGGCGCGCTTGGCTAGCATTGTGGGGATAAATCCGGGGTATAGGTAGGTAGTCGGGTGCAATTACTCAGTCCAGCGCGGGAACGGGAACGGAGGAACTGGACTTTCGTGGGTTCAAAGTTCCTTTGATTATCATTCTTTCAGTCAGTGCAACCCTAACCGGCTTTACCTAAGAGAATGCCCCGGATAGTTACGTTATCTGCGAATGCTAATGCTAATTCTGACTCCTTATATACACGGCCATGTGTTAGATCCACGCACAACCTGCCAAGGCGATCCGCGATCCACAGCTTCTGGAAAAGAAACTCCCCTGGTCCAATGAGCGCCACAAACCACCAATGCTGATATCACCAGTTGTGCGGGGCCGACCTTCCGGAGTCCGAGTGGTCAGAGTGCAGGTCCGGGGCAAGATAACGATAACGATATATGGACAAGGTGGCCTTTGAATATGGAGTACAGAAGACGGAGTACGGAGTACGGAGCATACTTAGTGGTATGGATTACCCCACCACCATGTCCAGTTCTCGGTGAAGACCGAATGTCTTCCGCACTGAGTGAATTATTTGTTTCTACCCCACACTCCATCACTATCCACTGCCCTACCCACTTTTGACACATTGATTCCTTCATGGGAAAACGAATGCCCCTGGCAATCCCAATCCTAATCCTGCTCGGGGATCGATGATCACCCCCAGGGTATGGATTTATACCGGACTATCACCGGGCCCTGATGCGCAGAGCTTCCCTTATCCACCAATCCCGTTCCATTGTGAACGATAAGGCTATACAATGAATGCTGGCCACTATCGATTTCACGTGTGGCCCCGACTAATAGATTCACAAGCTAGCAATTTGGATTTCACATGCTTCCCCCTCCAACCATGTGAAAAATGGGGCTTATCGACACATTTGCACTGACCCTGATTATTGAGACCTTGATTATTGAATGCAAGCCACTTGAAGCCTCGGTCGTGCTCCGGTCCTCTGATGTTGGGGATAACGGATAGCCTCACCTTCACGCGGAAACGATTAAATGATTTTCCTGATTTATGGTCGCATCGCTGTACCTGATCGTCATCATCTGATTCCCTTTAGCTCGATATTTCCCCTCTCAGCCCCGGACTCACGGGTACACCGGCTACCTCGATGGAGCACAAAATGGAGGCGCTAGTTAGATCGGGCTAGAATGGGATGAGGAGGTCCTTGCATGCATTAAGTATTGCTTATTAGAAACGATGACGCCAGAGTTGACTTTATCAGGTTACCGTACGTATTCGCTAACGTTCTATATGAAGTACAGGTACATTCCTGGTCTAGGTCGGTCCTAGACTCTAGCTAGACCACCATCTACTGCAGGTACAATGCACTCAATCCAGGTTCCAGGCTTCAAAACTCTTAGCCCATAGGGCTGTGTGAAAGAGGGGCATTCGGGTGAAGTCGGAGCTGACCAGATGGGGTGTTGTGCCACTCTTGCATGCTCGATTGCGGGGACCTTTTGAGTTTTTTCTGTCTTATTTTTCCCAATACTCCACGATGATCTAGGAGGCTTGGGGTGAGGCTTAGGAGGAACGTGGGCATGGACAAGAGCGGACTTGGTCAGTCAGGGGGTTATCCGGTGCATACTCATCGGGTCGGCAGGTATCCGTGTTCTGTATCCGTACTTCGTGCTTCGTAGATCCTCGGATGTGGTCCCCGTCTGTCTATCTAACGGAAGCGTCTAGTCTCCAAATGGTATGTAGACCATTGAAATTTCCAGGGAAATGCAAATAAAAATGCAAATGCCTCTCATCCAAGTCTGATTTGGATTTGCAGTCACGAAAATTTCCGATCGGAAAAAGTACTGTTCGGAGAGACAAAACCGAAAAGGGGCTCGGTGAACACGACGGGAGTCTTCCGACTTCTTTATCAACTTGCCCCCCTAACTGAAAGAAGAAGCTCAAATCTCAAAACCTGGTTTGTATTCCCGTGTCTGGAGCCACGGGCCCGACTTTCGTTCGGGCTGAGAATCGGCATCTGTGCCGGGCCGGTTACACATGATTGGTCTCCAATACATGACTAAGGATTCTTCCCCAAATCTCCACATTACCCATGGAGTACAAGCCAACTTTTTTTTCTTTTCTGATGCCACGCTAGGCACTGGATGCTCCCGGTTTTTCCGAATATTTTCCCCCCGAGGATATCCCGAGGCTCGGTGGCTCTGCCCGTCGGCTGAGTTGCTGCATTTGTGTACGAATGCAATGGTAGCGGACTTGATGTGGCCTTAACCCGGCACTCACCCGTGGACCCTAATACTCCGTACGCAACAATGAACCGGCAATTGTCTCCTGCGCCCATGGAGAAATTCCTTCCCCACTCGGAAGTACGCACTTGGTGGTCCCCCACTTTCATCCGACTTGCGGAGGTTTCAATGGTTCTCCGCATGGAGCGGTGTGAGGCAATTGGAATGCTTACCAAATCATGAAAATTCTGTCAAATCAAAAGTCTGTCGTAGCGGGCAAAACTCGGGGTGCAGTGCGCGTCGTGAATCGTGATCTATGATACCAAATCGGGACATTTAAGAAGCGCGTTCTGTCCTACACCCAAGACACGATGACACCATGACTATGAATGACATCATTGAATAACTCTCTATAGTACATCAATCTACTCATCTACTCACTATTCCAAAGGTTATCATTGAACGTATATTTAATCCTCCCCGGACCCCCGTCCGTACACCGCCCAGTGGCAGAAAAATCATGTCGTGGTTCTGCCGCGTCTCCCCGCTCCCAAAGCGGAGAATCTCTATCGAGTCCAGTGCGCTGCGACCAAACTACCACCCTGAAACAGCCTAGCACGATCATTCCTACCTTCCGTCGTGCTCATTGAACATAATTCATCTCTGTCTGCATTGAGACTTTGTGCCTTTTGCAATGGCACCCCCGCGCCAGCGCACCACTGCTATAGTGGACGACTCCAGGTCCGAAGCTTCCAGCGGTACAAGAGAATACAAATCAACAGCCCCGAGAAGCAGAAAAACAGGCCCAGCCAAGGAAAAGGCATCTGTGACTAGTGTGCCAGTTACCCAAGAGCCTGATGACCAACAACCAAGGGTGAGTCTCTCCAAAGCATAGGGGGGTGTCGATGGCGTCAGGTTTCAGCTTTCAGCGCGGCAAACCGAAGCCAAAACCAAGCATCTGGGATACCCTTTACAATTCCTTCCATTCTCCCGGATTCAAAATCGAATTTACAGGCACATGCCTTATCATGTTACTATCATACTGACAAAACCAAAAGGTCCCCTGGTCCGACCTCCCCCTCGACATCCTCCACGCCTACCGCCACGTCCACAAACTCCCCACCCCCTCAGCCTTCTCAAACGATTATTCCCGCATTGTCCTCTCCCAAGGTGTTGGTCTCCTCTCCCCAACAGCCCTCGCCGCTCGCCGCGCAAACACAATCACGACTACAAACCAAAACAACCCCTCAACCACCTCCTCCCGCCACAACCACTCCTCACACGCTGGCACAGGCACAGGAAGTGGAAGCGGTAGTGGAAGTGGCAGCGAACGCGAACAATATACGCCATTGCGTCGGATAATCGGACAAGACCGCGTGAGCAAAGATGCTTTTGCGCTTGTGGTGCGGAAACACTTTAATAGTGCGGGGTTATCGGAGCAGGAGAGCATTGCGCGGTTTCTGTATACTGTGCGTGAAGAGCGGAGGGGAAGACAGTTTCGATTGCGGTTTCAGCCGTAGGGTTTGTGGATCTGATCTGATCTGATCTGGGTCATTTTCGGGATCTGGTTGGACTGGGTTGAGATGGACTTTTCATTTTATTTATTTTCTTAAGATACCCATTGGCGTTTCTGGTGGGGCTTGCGTTGAGGGATTCAATGCTGTGGATCTGTGAATTCTTATACTTACTCCGTGTCAGTTGTTATGGCAGGATTATCGGAGCTGGACAGCTAATTCAGTCGATTGTTCTATGAGTGCTTGCCTAGTCTAGTGACATTTGTCTACCCGTATCTAGATCTTAGGTATGTTTAGTCATCTATCAATTACAAGACAGTACTACCTAAATACTATATTGATTCATCATGTACATAACTGCATAGCTTCTAAACTAATAACCAAGCGACTTCCAATCCGAAGTTGGCGAGAACCAAGACACAAGAAACGGACTAACAAGGTGATATCGAACGAACACTCAAAAGATAAGAACGCCGGGGTGGATGCCTCTCCATTTTACCCAAGACCGGTTGCTGACTACCAGAGCACGAGAGCACAAGCATGCCTATTTCCAGGCATTGAGTCCGGACCAGGGATCATTGGTAGATGACTGGGGCTGGGATTGGGAAGGAGTCTTGTGATGTCCGTACCCTCTGGGTTGGGCATACCCGCCAGGTCCGGAGGGGTAAGGGCCGGCGGAAGGTGGGTAGCTGGGTTGCTGAGGGCGTGGAGGGGGTGGGGGAGGGATGTAGCCTGGAGCCATGTAGTGCGATGGAGTACCAGCTGTAGCAGCGGAAGGCGCAGGACTGGCACTAGGGTATCCATATGGAGTGGGGGTCTGAGAAAAGAATTGCTGGTTCGGTGGTGGGGAGACGGGGGTTTGGTATGGGTATGCCATTGGGTTGTAGCCTTCAGAGAGCGGGGCCGCGGCGCCTTGCTGGAAGCCCTGCTGGCCAGACGCGTACGGCATGGCCGAGTTGGCTCCTATGCCCACGTATTGTCCATAAGGTGCCGGGGAGTGTGACAGAGGTACACCGTGTGGAGGTGGCATGGTTGGTGGGTAGCGAGGTGACGGCTTCGGGGATGGACCTGTTCCATATGCCGGCGTTTGAACCGGAGGCGGCGGTGACTTCACCTTGGAAGGTGCCGTGGGAGGTCTTGTAGATGGCGAAGTTGACGCTGGCTTAGGCTCGGTTGACAGTCGCTCCATCAGCTGACGAAGTTTCTCTCGCTCCTGATCCTCTTGCTCCGAGACACCGCTGGCTTTGTCGCGCTCAATCTGGCTCAAAAGCTGGGCGCCCTCGGATCGGCGGTTGCTAATGAAAGTTTCGACATTCTTCCGCAGGCTCTCAACATTCTCGGCCATATCTTTGTAGAAGGTTCGAGCCTGGACAATACCTGACGAAAGACCGTTGAATGCCTCATACACTTTCTTGTATCGAGCCATCACCGAATTCCTTTGTCGTGTGATGCCCTCATATTTGGACTGTTCGGATTGAACCCGCTTGTCCTGCAGCAAGTCGGCGTACGTCTTGGTGAGTTCCTTCATCAAAGATGACTGCTTGTGGCTCGCCTGCAACAACCGGTTTTGATGCGGGCGGAACTTCTCCAATTCGGCCTCAAAGAGTTGAGTTTCTTGGCCGGTAATAGACTTCTTATTCAGAATCAACACATTTGAGATATCGTCGGTGTGGACCTGGGAAAGGTTAACATGGATTGAGAACATGAGGCAGGGGCTTTAACACACCTTTTCTTTAAGATCTTTGAGTACTTGGGATCGCTCCTTCTTGACAAGATTGAGCTTCTTCAAGATTTCCTCCACCTTGGCGATCTGTCCCGCGACAGATGCACTACCTTCATTATAGACGTCGTCTAAGAGACTGCCTTCGGCAGGGCTGCTGACCCCATTTTTACCTTTATTATGCTTGGAACCAGCCTTGATAAGGGCTTGCTGGAATAGAATGTCGGCTTCATCCGTTTCTCCTGCAGAGCGCATCTGATCAAAGTCTCCCTCGTACTGCCGTAGTGTAGACGACAGCTGAGTATCACTCGCACTGGCTTCACTGATTGTATCTCTGTATGTGCGAACATCCCCTCGGAGGGTAGTGTTCAAGCGACCACTGGGCTGCTGACTCCAGTCACCACCATACTTGGAGCGCATCTTCTCACACACGCTCTCTTCCAAATCCAACTGCTTTGAGCATTGATCCAGCTGCGACAGGACTTCCGTCTTTCGCTCCTGTAGTTCGTCAAATGCCCGGTGGAATGATGTATGTCCAGCAAGCTCTGAGCACCAGCGGCGAAACTCCTCATCTACAGTCATTTCTTGGTCCATTCCACCCTTGAGAATGTTAAGACTTCCGGGAAGCTTCAAGTAATCTAAACTGGCCGCCATTTCACCGTTGGCAGTCTCGACCTTTTCAGTCTCTGCACGAACCAGCTTGGCTTTCTCCTCGTCATACAAACTAGCCGTCTCTGTGACGGACATAGGAACCAGTTTCTGGAATATATCAGGTCCGATAATGCGCTGAATATCCTGCCCTTGGTATAGCTCGCTCACGGGGATCGCCTTCGCCGCCGGAAGCTTGGCAACGGGCGAGAGCCCGGCCTCACTCGGCACGGGTTGGTGGTAGATAAAATCGTTGTCTTTGATCAAAGTATCCAGTTGGGCCTGCACATTGGCCTGATTGTGCTTGATGAGGTCGACCAGATTGCCTCCCGCATCTGCTGGCAGATTCGACGTTGCGGGAGCCGAGGACGGAAATGATTTGGCCCAGCTCAAAGCAGTTGTAGACTGCTTGTCAGCCAGTTTCAGCCGAGCAATGGCAACGCCATGAGATCCGCTCTCGCTGTCGGCAATGGCCTGGTAGTAGGACGCGACGGAACTCATGTGCGCCCCCTTTGCCTGCACTACAATCGACCACACCTTATCGAAGACGTTCTTGCTGACAAAGTCCTGCATTGTTTCCGCCGCCTGGGCATATAGATAGGCAGCCTGACCAGCCAACTTCGCCAGGAATCCAGACTTCTTCGCATCCGCGATCTGCTTTTCGAGAAATACCTCCTGCGCCTGGGCAAGTGTTACATGGATCAAGGTCTTGACGGTATCCCGGTTTAGGTCGGTCGACGGCGCATGCAGGAAATTTTCATTGATGTACGTGAACATACCCGCGGATGCTTGGAAAGAATGGTATGCAGTCTTGACGCCGACATCCTCAGCTCGATTCTGGTTGGCAGCATGGCAGGAAAGAACGGCGGAGATGTTAAAGATGATAGAAGCTTTCTCGAAGGCCAGGGAGTATTGGGAGGTAAGTTTGTGAGTAAAAGCATCGTACCTAGATCAGCATCAGTATTGGGGTCACTATGGTTTTCAGGTGAGACCATACCATGAGAACGAGATCTTGATGTGATTCTCATCGACGGGGAACCGAAGATCTAATAGCTCCAGCTGTCCGTAATATCGGTACAAAAGATCGCGCCCAGTGGCGCTATCATTGCCAGCACCTCTCATGTCTTGTCGGAGACGGTTGAGAGTGGTACATTCTTGGGTATAGCGCTCCGGGTCCTCGCCATATGTCTGTCGGATGTAATCCTTGAGGGGCTGGATCCAATCAATCTCGCTGGTCTGCTTAAGCGGACACGCAAGCATCGGTGACTGAACCATTGTGTGATGGTCGTCAGGAGCGGTATGCTCCCATCCACAAATAAAATTAGAAGGGGGGGGGACGCGAAGACAGGGGTGGTAAGCGGGGGTGAAACGGTGCGGTTGAGGGGGAATCGGAATCGAGGCTGTGGGGTAAGGTAGGCGGACACTTGTGGTTCTAGTCAGATCAATGACGTAGCTAAGTAGCTTTTAGTCGGATGAAAGCAAAACAGATTGAGGGTGAGAGAGGGAAGGGGTTGGGGAGAAATGGAACTGAGTAGCTGACAAGTGGGATGTGATGAATGGCCTTTAGTGACGGACCGTGTCTTGCACATGTGTCTGGGCGCCAATAGCCAAACAATATATACTATACTAGAACCTTGGAACGTTTGAGTATTCAAATATTCAAATTGAACCGGAATATATGTAATGTACAGATTCAGGTTTTATATTTCTTTTTCTTTGAAAGCAGAGAGCTTAATGGCAGCCTAATAATACATGTGCATGGTCTGCCCCATCTTCCCCAAGGCAGAACAAATGCCCCCAATCCCGCCGGCGCTATGAGAAAAAAACATGAAAGTAAATACAGCCCAGGTGGATATAGAAATACAAAGATTTACACTTGTTTAACTCGACTTCTTCGAGTCATCCTTCTCGTTCTTTTTATCTTCGGTGTCCTTGGACTCGGACTTGGTGGAACCGCCCTCCTTGTCCATCAGTCGATGCCACACGGACTTCAAAAACCCTTCACCCTTCTGGTCACTGTTGGTACCACTTGGAGGGCTAACAGCATGTTAGTAGTGTAATTAGAGACTTGGGTTATTGATGCTTACCTATCCTTGGTGAAGTTCATAGTTCGCCGAGCCGTCTTGTCGTTCATCTCGTCGGCAAGAACCTCCAGGATTGTTCGCTGGTTACCAGTCAAGTACTTCGGCATATTAACCTTGAACTCAACCTTCAGATCACCAGTCGGGCTGAATCGCGAAGAGCGGCCACCTCCCAATTTCTTCATACCCATGCCAGACAAGGTGATTCGATCACCGGTACCAGTACCGGTAGCCACCTTGACCTTAACTTCGTTGTCAAGAGTGGGAATAGTAACTTCACCGCCCAGCAAAGCAGTTGTAAGTGGGATGGAAGCTGTGTGGAGGATGTCTGATCCGTTGCGGGTGAAGCGTCGATCCGGAGCAACACGGATCGTGAGATAGAGATCACCACGCTGGGTACGGGCACCAGGAGCAGCAGATGTTCCAGTGGGAGGCGCATCGCCTTCACCCGAAACTCTCATCCGCATGCCATCTTCCACACCGGCGGGGATGTCCACCTTCAAGGTCTTGCGTTCTCTGACAACACCGTCTCCTTTACAGGTACCGCACTCCGATCCACGGGGTACAGACATGCCCGCACCTCCGCAGGCATCGCAAGTGGCAGCAACCTGGAAGCCTCCCTGCATGAAGTGAACACGGGTTCCAGAGCCGTTGCATGACTTGCACTGAGACCGTTTTGCGCCAGACTTCAGCCCATCACCCTTACAAGTTCCACACTCCGTCAAAGGAGTAATGACGATTTCCTGCGAGATACCCTTGGCAGAATCCATGAAGGAGATGTTACTTTGAACCTCGATATCCTCTCCGACAAGGATCTGCTCCTGGAATGGGTTGCGTCGGCCACGAGGGCCACGACGAGCACCACCAGTGAAAGCACCGAATAGATCCTCGAAGTTAATGTCGCCCGAGAAGCCTCCTCCGAATCCTCCACCGCCAAATCCTCCACCAAATCCGTGGAAACCTCCAGCACCAGCGAATGGATTGCCTCCGGCATTCGGGTTGAAACCGCCGTTCTGGTCAAAGGCGGACGATCCAAATTGATCATATTGCTCGCGCTTCTTGGCATCCGACAATAACTCATAAGCAGATTGAGCCTCAGCAAATTTCTCTTTAGCGTTCGGGTCCTTGTTGGTATCCGGGTGATATTTCTTGGCTAAGCCGTAGTATGCCTTCTTGATATCACCTGCCGAGGCGCCTTTGTCTACTCCGAGGGTTTTGTAGGGATCGGCAATTGCAAGGAACGCCGTAGATTGGAAGGGCTACTATAAGTTAGTTATCTTCTATGGGAAGTATCGATTCAGAGCAGAAGGCAGCTTACCCGGGCCAGGATCACATATGGAGCCTTCTTCCTACAGGCGCTGTCACGCAGCCGTCTAGCAGGAGAGGCAAAAGCTCCCACATGATAAGTTCGTGTCTGAGGCGCACTACAAGCAGAGGGACGGTTCGCCTGTGTCGAGCATTGGGGTTGTGCCCGGAGTAGACGCGCGGGGAGGGCCGCGGCCTTTGGGAATGCCGCGGATGGGTTCATGGAGCAGGAATAGTAATAGCCGGGTAGCGGTTGGCAGAAAGTCGAAGCCGGGCTCCGGCGAGAAATGAGAGAAAAGAATTAAAGAGGAAAAATATCGAAAAAAGTTGGAAAAAAGTCTATAACAGGAAAACCGCCTATGGCTTGTCCACCAGTCGGGATAGAAGCATCTAGTCGACGAGGAGACTGGCGTCACGGAATAAAGTCGGGCCGATGGTGGGACTCTAGAAATCATTGGTCATTTCATAGTATAGACTCTAGCTATCTGCATAACACTTGAGATGTACGAAATTTATCTAGTTTGGACCTATATACCGCTGATTGCATGTTTTTATTGTGTTGTTTCAAGAAAGTTACCACAGGACACTGGTTCTCCCCGCGGCAATATATTGTACAGCTTCCGCTAGTGGAAAACCCCCCATACTTCAGGGATAAACAAGTGTTTGTGCCGTTCTGGAAGCACTGTGAATGGATATGCATCGAGTAACTTAGCCATTTACACCATTGGAATCATAACGCCCATTACTCAGCTATGCACCATGGAAGGTGCGCGTGCTGTATCGCCTCATTTAGCATTTGTAAGAATCGAGCGGAAAAGAGTCGGGCCGAGTGGGTCTCAGCTCTGCTCAGGTCATGAGCAAGCCGAGTGGCCTCCGATTGACGGACCTCAACACCTTTCCACGTCTCTCCTCAATCGTCCTCAGCTTCTTTCCCCACCTGGAGCTGAAATCAGGCTCATTTGAGCTTATCATCTAAACACCAAACCTCCGTTTCCGGAGCCTTCACCCCAAGACACTCATAGTCACCGAGACCTTCAGTAGCATGCTCCGCGGCCAGACCCTCCCCTGGAGAGCTGCGCTCCACCAAACGCCTCGCCCTTTACTCCGCCGCCCCTTCCTTACTGCGACAAGGAATAATGCCAATTTCCGCTCAGCATTAACCGCGACCCATCTCATCCGTTCCCTACCCTCGGCTCCCCGCACGTTCTCCTCTAGCTCCATCCAACGGAAAGAGAAAGCCCCACCAGAGGACCAGAATGACGAGCTAGATCAGAAGCAAGATGAAACAGCGCAGGAGAGTAAAGAAGCGGATCGAGCTCCAGAATCGCGGCGGAAAGCTGTCGACTCGAAGATCGCCGAGCAGACAAGCTCCCGGAAGAAAGATCGAGCATCGAGCGACAAAGAACGGGCAATAGAAGAAGAAACCAAGAAGGAAGCTGAGACTGATGGAAAGGGCGATTCGGGACAATCACCATCTGCCATCCCACCTAGCAGTGGTGCGGCCGACTCGAAGCCTAGCTCCGCAAGTGGCGGCAATAGCGGTAATGATGATGGCGGGAAGAAGAGCAAAAAAGGATCTGGGGAAAAGGCTTTGCAAAAGCCTGCTGTTCCAGATGTCTACCCACAAGTAATGGCGATTCCTATTGCAAAGCGCCCGCTCTTCCCCGGTTTCTACAAGGCAATCACCATCCGCGATCCCAATGTTGCGGCGGCGATTCAGGATATGATGAAGCGTGGCCAACCGTATGTGGGAGCCTTCCTGTTCAAGGATGATAATGCAGATGGCGATATCATTGAAAATCTGGACGAAGTTTACGATACCGGTGTGTTCGCTCAAATTACAGCGGCCTACCCTCTTCGCGGCGAGGCGAGTGGTGTTACTGCCGTTCTCTACCCACACCGCCGCATCAAGATCTCTTCGCTACTCCCACCTAGCGAGACGACCAAGGGTAATACAGAAGAGAAGGCGGAAAAGAAAGGTGACGTTGTGGCGAGTTTCGAAGAGGGAGCTGCTGAGTCTGTGCCTAAAGACCACTATGAACCTACTTCCTTCCTGAAGAAATACCCGGTCAGTTTGGTCAATGTGGAGAATTTAATCGAGGAGCCATTCGACAAGAAGAATGGAATTGTCCGTGCCGTGACTAGTGAGATCGTGAACGTGTGCAAAGAGATCGCTACCCTGAACCCCCTGTTCCGTGACCAGATCTCGGCTTTCTACACTGACCAATTTCCCGGAAACCTCAGTGATGAGCCTGCCAAGCTTGCTGATTTTGCCGCTGCAGTCTCGGCTGGTGAGCTGCATGAGATGCAGGAGGTGCTTGAGACTATGAACATCGAGGAGCGTCTTCCTAAAGCGCTTGTCGTGTTGAAGAAGGAATTAATGAATGCGCAGCTCCAATCCAAAATCACCAAGGACGTGGAGGCCAAGATTCAGAAGCGCCAGCGGGAATACTGGCTTATGGAGCAGATGAAGGGAATTAAGAGAGAGCTTGGTATTGAGTCCGACGGCAAGGAAAAGCTAGTTGAAAAGTTCAAGGAGAAGGCAGAGAAGCTTGCGATGCCCGAGGCTGTTAAGAAGGTCTTTGACGAGGAGATCAACAAACTGGCTCACCTCGAGCCTGCTGCATCCGAGTTCAACGTCACTCGCAATTACCTGGACTGGTTGACTCAGATCCCCTGGGGCCAGAAGAGTGTGGAGAATTTCGGTATTAAGAACGCGGTCTCTGTTCTCGATGAGGATCACTACGGCCTGAAGGACGTCAAGGATCGGATTCTGGAGTTCATCGCCGTGGGCAAGCTTCGCGGCACCGTGGAAGGAAAGATTCTTTGTCTCGTTGGGCCCCCCGGTGTGGGAAAGACCAGTATCGGAAAGTCCGTGGCTCGCGCCTTGAACCGACAGTACTACCGCTTCTCTGTGGGTGGCTTGACTGATGTCGCAGAGATCAAGGGCCACCGACGGACGTATGTCGGTGCTCTTCCTGGGCGTATCATTCAAGCTCTCAAGAAGTGCCAAACTGAAAACCCCCTCATCCTGATCGATGAGGTGGATAAAATTGGACGTGGTCACCAGGGTGACCCGTCCTCCGCGTTGCTGGAGTTGCTTGACCCCGAGCAGAATTCCTCCTTTTTGGACCATTACATGGATGTGCCTGTCGATCTGTCCAAGGTTCTGTTTGTCTGCACCGCCAACGTCACCGATACCATCCCTCGTCCGCTACTGGACCGCATGGAGCTTATCGAGCTGTCCGGATACGTAGCTGATGAAAAGATGGCGATTGCTGAGCGATACTTGGCTCCCGCTGCCCGAGAGTTGACTGGCCTGAAGGATGTTGATGTGAACCTCGAGAAGGAAGCAATCGAGGAGCTCATCAAGTCCTACTGCCGGGAGAGCGGTGTCCGTAACCTGAAGAAGCAAATTGAGAAGGTCTACCGGAAAGCGGCCTTTAAGATCGTCCAGGATCTGGGAGAGGAGGTGTTCCCGGAAGAGGCGGCACTGACCGAAGAAGGCAAGGCGGCCCAGGAGGAGTCAAAAGAGCACGAGTCAACAGATCCAGCTGATGCTCCGCTTGAGCCTGAGAAGTCGACCACCGAGACGCCTCGCATCGCTCTCAAGGTCCCCGAAAGCGTGCATCTCAGCATCGGCAAGGATACCCTGAAGGATTACGTGGGGCCCCCAGTTTTCACTGCAGACCGTCTGTATGACAAGTTTCCGCCTGGTGTTACCATGGGTCTTGCCTGGACTAGCATGGGTGGCGCTGCGCTGTACGTTGAATGTATCTTGGAGAATGCTTTGAAGCACGAGTCGCGGCCAGGGCTGGAGATCACAGGCAACCTACAAAATGTCATGAAGGAATCCTCGCACATCGCCTACTCCTTTGCCAAGTCAGTCATGGCGAGACAGTACCCCGAGAACGCCTTCTTTGAGAAAGCCAAGGTCCACATGCACTGCCCCGAGGGTGCTGTTCCGAAGGATGGTACGTGTCTATATCATATAACTTTGTTATTTCGTTTCGCTAACCTCGTTCCAGGCCCATCTGCTGGTATTACTATGGCTAGCGCACTGTTATCCCTGGCGCTCAACCACCCGCTTGACCCGACCATCGCCATGACTGGTGAACTGACTGTCACTGGAAAGGTTCTGCGCATTGGTGGTTTGAGAGAGAAAACGGTGGCTGCTCGTCGGGCTGGTGCGACCACAGTCATCTTCCCGGCCGATAACACATCAGATTGGCTTGAGTTGCCCGAGGTGAGTCATTGTTCGCAATATATGCAAATAGGTATACTAATGATCGGAATAGAATATCAAGAAGGGCATCACAGGCCACCCAGTTAACTGGTACTCCGAAGTGTTTGACCTCCTCTTCCCTACCCTGGACCATGAGGCAGCACGTACGATCTGGCAGAAGGCGCTGAGCAAGCCCGACAAAAGCGATCGCAGCTCAAATGATGATTAAAAAGGTCGACTTTCTGTTCTCGTTGGTTTCATTTCATTTTTCATGTGCCTGGTATATACATGTTTTTTATCTCTGTATAGGTTGTACTTTATCGGGTGGCGTCTTGTCTTCCCAACCGGAATGCATGGACTGGCGTTGGAACGTTTTATGCTAGATTTGCTTGATTTCCTAGAACATGCTCCTCTCAAATAAGACCCAATGGACTTCTTCCATTTACCGTTCTCCCCTTGGGTACAGAGATGATGCGTTTCAACTGAAATAGATGTATAAGATATCGATCCCACCAATCAAGTGTTTCATCAGTTCCTAATCAGGCACTGAGTGTCAGGCCGCAACGCAGCCTCACTGTTTTTTTTTTCTCAATTGGATCTTTTGATCTGTGCGTAGGAATGAATCATATCATATATTCATCTTCCCCTTGTTTGATTTTATTTTCCCTCGAATTAAAAGCCCTGCAACGTTCTTTTGTTGTTGCTGTGAGACATTTACACCTTGCAGATCGACGCACAACTCCCACCGCTAACGTCCATACAAGAGGTTTTTTTTTTTCATTGAATCAAGATATTTTCATTTGAATCCGCTTGACCGACTTATCTTGGGAGAGAAAATTCGAAATCCTGCACCGCCTTTTTGATTTTAAGCTGTCACGGACCAACATCTTTCCTCCCAGCCTCATCCATTGCCACTGTGTGACACACCAGATTGAAGCTTGAAATCTCGAAACGAAACAAAAACGAGAAAAAGAAAAAAAAAAAGATCTATAGAAAAGGAATCGGATTAAGGGGGCAGACACAACAAACCCCAAGTCCGTGCATTGAAAAGATTACTCTTATACGGTTTATCTTCCTATAATCTTTTCTCTCCTTTCAATTCTTATGGCCGTCGGGGTTTCAGCTAGCGGGGGTGATTGAGTCGTTCCTTGCACATGCCGTATGGCCATCTCCCTTGCAAACAGCTGTAGCCCAACGCGGCTGGGTTTCCCAATGGACGAAAAGGGACCAAAGCAGAGCGTTTGGCAAAGGTTGGGACTTCGAAAATGGCTGGGTCGTGACGATCGAGATTCTCGAGATTCACGCCACGATGCACTTTTCCCCCACCGGACTTCTATCGATAGTAACAAGCAGGACAACCTCACTCGCCGCCTCTCCCGTCGTGTAGGGGTTGGTCTACCCCTATCTGCCCCCTTTAAACGCCAAAGCTCTGACGCTGGGCTCGCGCCCCTGAATATCGAACCCCAACACCGTCGTGCACAATCGGCCGACCGTCGCCCGTTGACCCAAAGATCCCAGTCTCCACCGCCCGCCGTGGGCCCTCGACTTTCCGCGCCAGAGGTTCAGTGGCTCGGCCCGACAACCGCTACCACGGTCGACGAGCCCCTCGATCTCGAATTGGAGGAGGAAAACGATGAGACTGATTCTCAATCCGATTGGGACCCTTCCCCCGACTTAATCGCTGCCCCTGAGGCCGCGCCAAACACACTCGAGATGGAGCTGGAACGACGATGGATTTTGAATTTGAGCATGCACTTCCGGGATCGTTCGGAGAGGGAGAAGTTCTTCGTCACCTATGCCGAAACCCCGACCCGATGGCGCCGAGTCACCATCTCATGCGATTACCGGGGCGCATCTCCGGACTCGCTCGAGCAGGATTTGAAGGAATTGCGATTCCAGCGGGATAAATGTGCGCGGATTTACGAGTCCATCCGCGAATCGCTTCCCGAGATTCAATTCTACGATACCGTCACCAACCTCAAAGTCGAGACCCGCGATGGCCGCTTGCATGTCCATGTCACCGAGGATGTGAATGAGACGATCCCTTATCCCCCGGTTTCCAGCATCGGGCATCTACGGGGTGCCCGATGTGTGCCAGAGAACCTGTTGCACTTTGAGTCCCACCTCTCTGGCTTTGTTTATAAAGTCCGGCTAGGCGGTCACGCGTATATTAAGAAGGAGATTCCAGGCCCCGACACGGTGGATGAGTTTCTTTACGAGATCAATGCCCTGCATGCGCTGGATCGCGCGCCCAATGTGATCCAGGTGGAAGCGATTGTGGTTGATGAGCGTCAAGAGGTGGTTAAGGGTCTGTTGATCAATTATGCGGCTCAGGGTGCGCTGGTTGATATTCTGTACGATCAACGGGGGCAGATCTCCTTTGCAAGACGGGAACGATGGGCCAAGCAGATTGTCCAGGGCCTCTGTGAGATTCATGAGTCAGGCTACGTCCAGGGAGACTTTACACTGTCGAACATCGTGGTGGACGGGGACGACAATGCGCACATTATCGACATTAACCGCAGAGGATGCCCTGTTGGATGGGAGCCGCCAGAGATTGCCGCCAAAATTGAGAGCAACCAACGCATCTCCATGTATATCGGAGTCAAGACCGACCTTTATCAGCTTGGAATGACCCTATGGGCTTTGGCGATGGAGGAAGATGAACCGGAGCGACAGCCTCGTCCCCTCGTTTTGGGTTATGAGGTAGATGTGCCTGACTACTATCGCCGGCTAGTAGATATCTGCCTTAGCCCTACACCTCGACACCGATTATCTGCAAAAGATCTTCTTACTTTCTTTCCGTCTGACCTTTTTTCACGATCTGTACCCGCGGGCCGGGTTCGAGATATCGCCGGTCATGATCTAAGACCTCTTCTCACAAAAAACAACGGTGTTGATGCCTTCCCTGTGGCCCTTCCTGTGACTGACGCCTTCGACCCGCTGCCTCCATTCGAGAACGGCTTCTCAAAAACACATGGCATGCCACAGCCCATTTTCTCAAATCACCATGACCAAGGCAAAGGGTCAACACCCACGCTTGCAGGTTCCAATGGGGGAGCTTTCTTGTCTCGCCAGTCGTCAGCATCCACTTTGAATCATCCTGAACTGGATGACCGCGGGCGAAGATGGGACGTTTCCGATCCCAGCTATGATAGACCCGAGTCCCCCCTATCCAATTATGCCGAATCATCTGCGTGGACGAATAATTCAGGACAAAATATCAACCCGAACATCTCAGAGCAAGAAATGCTCCCTTCTGATGCAGATCTAGCTGAATATCAACCATCCCAGCCATCTATCGACCACGATTCAATCAATGGTGATAACCGCCCACCTGACATGGAGCCTGCCGCATCTCCCAAGTCCTCTGCGCAGATATCAATGCCAGCGCCAGATGATGACCAAATCAACCAACCCAGCGAGCATTTCTCTATCCCCAAACCGACCGAATCCCTAGGCGCAATGCCATTTCTCTTCCATTCCATCCTCCCGATCAACCCAGCTCTGCCGGCTTCTCGACACTGGGCATTTCCTGCCGCAAAAGATGCACAATCCCCTTCGCACTTACCTTATCGCGAGCCTACACCGGATACTTCTCTCTTGGAACACCTCTCTCGGTCTCGACTACCTATAAACCCTGCCTTTGAGGAAGACAAGTACAAGCTTGTCTTGAAGCGCGAACTCCTCGATTCACGACTTCCTATGAAACCGGCTGTTGAGAACGGTTTAACTAAATTTGTGTACTCACCTTTTGAGCCACAACCTGCAAGTGTTGGGCTTGGCTCCATCGAGATTTCTCCTCTGCTCGATTCACGACTTCCTATCAATGCGGCAGTTGAGAACGGACCAACTAAGTTTGTTTACTCGTCTTTTGAGTCACAGCCCAGTGCAAAGATTGAGCACGAGCCTCCCGGGCATCCGTCTCTTGTCGAGTCAGAGCTTCCCATAAACCCGGCTCTTAAGAACGGTGTCGTTGTGCCCGTGTCTTCGCCTCTAGTGTCACAGCCCTCCAGCGCAATCGACCTCTCCCCCTCGCTTGTCGAGTCACGATTGCCCATAAACCCAGCCGCTGAGAAAAGCTCCGCTAGGATCTCGCTTCAAGAGAAACGCCCTACTCTCACAACTGAGAATGTCTCATTTGAACTTTTTCCCTCGCTTGTCGAATCGAGACTTCCCATAAATCCTGCCGTTGAAGATGTGTCTATAACAGTAGGCTCTGAACGACAAACACCAGTTAATCGGACTGCCGAACACGAACCTATTAGATTGGTTTCCTCCATCCTAGAGTCACGACTCCCGATCAATCCGACTGCTGAAGACGGCTCCGTCAGATTTGTTCTCTCGCCAGTCAAATCACAACTCCCCATTAATCGGGCTCACAACACCTCATCCCGACTCATTTCCTCCCTTGTCGAGTCCCGTCTCCCCATCAACCCAGCCTCTAGAGAACACCTCTAGAGCGAGATCCTAGGACCATCCTCTTCTGGCCCAAGGTTATGTAACTCCGAAGAATTATGAACGCCAGATGATTTCCAAGTCCCAGTTTGTGGGGCTATACGATCGATACCCTCTTCATTTCTCGCTTGTATAGTTCTCCTATCATTGTCATTGTTGCGTTCCAAGCTAGCACTCCAAGGTATCTGCGCCAATGGCGCATGCCGGCGAACTTTTGGCGTCTAAAAAGTCTTTTTGCTTTTCTTGTGGTGGATTTTACATGATCTATACATCGTTGCGTTTTTGCGTCTCTTCTATCTTCTGTCAACTGCTTTTCTTTTTCCATCTTACGGAGGTTTTAATTGTCCGGCGTTCTCGCACAGGTCTTTCGAGTGTTCTTTGATCAAGCCTTTCTTTCTCTCTTTTGGCCGTCATGGCTGTATTATTTTCCTCTTTTGTTCATTACTGCCATGCATCATTTGAAAACCATCTTTCCCCACGTCAAGTATGATCCGAAACGTCATCAGGATATTAACTCCGTACAAATGCTTCAAAGCTTTCTTTCCAAGGATCACCACTTGTTGTCAGCCCTCTCCCAATCAGCACAATTTTGCACTGAAGCTTCTTTTCCGCATCTTCATCCTGGCGTTGCTCTGAATCCCGAATCTCGAAAACATCCCTCACGGCCTGGATAATCTTACTTGACCCATCCTCCAACACCAGAATCCCCTTCAATCGATGAATCTCAAAATCTGTCGGCCACGGCTTGGATCCCGCATCAGACACTGGCAAATTCGACTCCCAAAGAACTTCCCGCAACCACTCATCAACCTTCTCCACGCTCTTAGCAGGAAGAGGCGGTGTGGTGACCGCAACGGTCGAAATTGCAGGATCCATGTGACTATGGCCCTTCTTCCGGAACTCCAAATCCGCAAGATGATCATATGCATGCAAATCAAGTACCACACCCTCAATCTGGGGCGTGCGACTATGGTCAGTGACATGGATCTTAGCGGCACTGTTAATTGCCATAATGCGGTCTTTCACTGCATCGAGTTCGGCCTCGGTCACCAGGTCCGTCTTGTTCAGGATGATCACATCCGCATGAGAGATCTGCATATGTGCCATCGAAAGTACTGGCCCTGTATGCTCGTGCTTGGGTTTCTGGCCCCGGTCATTGACGTTCTCTTTATGAGAGTCGGCTTTTTCTTCCGGAGTTGGCTCGTCGAGGAGTTTGAGAATGTTCTTCGCGTCGACGAGCGTCACGATGCCGTCGAGGTAGATTGAACTACCGAGACCTTCATCCATCCAGAAGACGGGTGCGATGTTACCTGGATCGGCGAGGCCTGTTGTTTCTAGAAGAATGTAGTCGAATGTGCCACGGCGTTCCATGAGGGATTCAAGGGCCATGACACCGGAGTCTCTGAGATGATTTTAGTACATAAACATTGACATAGATCGAAAAAATGACAGCATACTTCACTGAGCAGCAGATACAGCCATTGCCGACTTCCATCCACTCTGTAACTTCTTGACCACCCTCGTTGACGGTCAAGGGTTTTTCAATGTCCGAAGCTATAGTTGTTAATGCATGTTCATACAGCAGACATGGGGAAACGTACAATCACCAAATTCTGCCATCGTAGGTTAGCAAAATTCAAGAATCTTCGAGCACCGGGTCCACAGGTTGATACACACCATTCATGATCACGGCTATCTTTTTACCATGTTTCTCCGTAAGGATGTACTTCAACAGGGTGGTTTTACCTGCTCCCAGGTATCCTAAATTGTGTCAAAATTATTTCTCCAGGGGATTTGTACCAATCAGATCATACCCGTGACAATCGTAATAGGAACCCGACTAGTCTGCTCTTCCTCTATAGAGGCAGGCTCGTCTGCTGGCACCGCCATGACGTCGACAAGGTCCGGTGGTGCCTCATCATCCTCGAAATTGTCAGACATGTTCAATCTGACGGGAATTGTGACGTGGTAGAATGATTTTAAAAGCTCAGCCTCACTGAATTTTTATCTTTTGGTAGGCGGCGGATGACGTTGTTCCTGAACGGATGGTAGGGCATACACGGCTCGGACAAGTACACCGCTCGATACATATCTCCGGTATCAGTGACTGCTCAAATTGTATAGTTTTCACTCAATTTTAGCTATATCACATGACTCATTCAGTCCTTTCATACTTACTATCTACTTATTCACTTACTGTATCTACTTTGTTATTCTAATTTATGTATTTGAAGTTTCTGCCAGTCTAAAATTCAAGTGTGCTTACATCATCTGAGCCGGACATAGGACACGTGATGATCAATTGTTGTGAACTGCTTATCTCAGTGCTTCAGCTCCCAAGTCAATGCTCAAGTTGTCTCACATTTTTTCGGGCTTCTTTTGAATCAGCGAGGGCGCGGACTTCCCATTCACTCCTTTATTAACTCCGGGTTCTCTCATTTGATTTCGCGTCTCTTTCGACTTATTCACCCCCCATTCCTCTTACGCGCCATGACTACCGGAGTCTCCCCGTCCAGCTCCCCACGCCTGCCCAGCCCGCCCCCGTTCACAGAAGTCCAGATCGGCCCTCAGTCACCTTCAATCGGCGAGACCTTTGGCAAAGATGGGGAACAGCTTCTAGGAGCAGCCGCTGGGGAGGATGTTGGTTCAACACGCAGGATCCGCCCCGGAACCAAAGCCGCTGACATGGCCTTTGGACCGCCGTTGATTCCTTTGTCACAGGTTTGTACCATCTCTCTAGATACTTCTGAATATTCAACTGACGATATCAGCTTGACTCCCCTTTCCAACTTCAGGAACACCTCAAAGCTTTGTACCACCATTTCACCAAACCCGAAGGCTCTGACACCGTCATCCCGATTACCCGCAAGGTCGCAATTCAGCTCGCTGAACCCCCGGAGGGCGTCGACCGGTCGCTATGGCTTTATGAGTTATGCCGTTTCCTCACCATGAAAGTAAACAACCTGATTATCGCTTTCTTTGCCGAGGAGCCACCCTGCTCCGCGGCCACATGCCCTGAGATGCGCGCGTCTGAGTGGCAGTATCTATGCGCTGTGCACGACCCTCCTAAATCATGCTGCGCTATCGATTACTGCTGCCACACGCTCGACTGGGCGAACAACACCCTCACCTCGCCGAAATACTTTCCTAGCCGCCTGACGCTGGGCTCCGAGGCTGGTGGCGGTCCCCAGGCCAGCATGAGACACCTGACCAATGTCTTCCGTCGGCTGTATCGGATATTCGCACACGCCTGGTTCCAACATCGTGATGTTTTTTGGGAGGTGGAGGGCCATGATGGGTTATATGTTTTCTTTAGAACGGTGTGCGACATGTTTCAACTCATCCCCGAGGACAACTACACTATTCCGCCCGAAGCAGAGGGCTTGGATGCAATCCAGCCTAAATTGGAGGAGCAGCCTGATAGCAAGCGGTTGACTATCCTCCGCAAAGAGGATGTTTCTATTCCCAGTGAGGTGGAGGCTATGGATCCTTCGATTAGCACAGGTGCCACAACCCGACGACACAAACATAGCCCTTCCACTGGGTCGCGCGTGACAACGATCACAGAGAGTGCGGAGGATTCAGAAGAATTCCCGCACATCCAAGCCCCGCTGCGCGAAGTGATACGGGAGTCACCCGAACCACGCCCTGCATCAGCCGTGGAGAACCGCCCGAAGCCTGATGCTGAAGAAGAAGAAAACCCCGACCCAACTGAGCCAACTTCTGAGACCCAAGAGTCACAGGAAGCAATTGGGGAACCGGTCGAGGAACCATTAGAGTCCTTGCAGGAGCCTGAGGAGAAAACAGAAGAATCACAAGGCGAGGCCAAACCCGAAGAGCCTACGTCTACCGAGAAGCCCCTGGAGGGTGAGGATGTGGCTATATCTGCTGCCGTTCAGGAACCGAAAGAAACGGAACCAGAATCCGAACCTCAGGAGTCCCCTGCCCCAGAATCTGATTCTGAGTCCGGGGCGAAGACTGAGGAATCTTAACATATTACGCTTGATTCACGGCCCTTGTACTTATGCTGCGGTGGAAGCACTAATGCTTTGCTTCGTGATGGACGACTTTAATCTTATTCTCTTATTGTAATATAGCTTCAGGATATTTTTCATGGTTCAATGTCACAGATACCCATTTCCTGGTACATCTCTTCATTCCCAGGTTGCGCAGTCCATTTTCTTTGAAGGTGCAGCTCTGGCTCGCAAAATCTCTATATACAAGCATTAGCTTGATCCATGCATAAAATTTGTATCTAGAAATGCAGCTGTCTTAGATTAGCTTATACTTCAGGGTCCCGCTGATTTCCCCGATCTCTTATCCGATCAGATAAGCTCTTATCGCTACTCCAAACATCAAATCCCATCAACCACCAATACCCCAATGACCAACACAAACATGTCCGCATTAAAAGGCGCCACAGCGCCAATCTACTTTGGCTCATTCCTAGTAACACCACAGGTATCAACTCCCACCAAAACCAAGCCCAACCCCACCAAACTAACAACTACAGGTCTTCCACACCACCCCCCTCACCTTCGCATTGGTAAACCTCAAACCAATCCTCCCCGGCCATGTCCTAATCTCACCCCGTCGCGTCGTCCCCCGCGTTTCAGACCTCACTCCCGCTGAAACGAGCGACCTCTTCCTAACAGTTCGGCGCGTGGGTCGGATGGTCGAACGGGTATATGGGGGCTCGAGTTTGAATATCGCGGTACAGGATGGTGTGGATGCGGGGCAGAGTGTAGCGCATGTACACGCGCATATTATTCCGCGGAGGGCGGCCGATTTGGATCACCGTGGTGGGACGGATGCTGTTTATGATATGCTTGATGGGGAGGAGGGGGATGTTGGGAAGGCTTTAGGGGAGGTGGATGGTGAGAGAGAGAAAAGGGGATTCCCAGCTGTGGATAACGAGGCGAGGAAGCCGAGGAGTTTGGAGGAGATGGTTGCTGAGGCGGAGATGTTGGCACGGGAGATGGAGAAGGAGCCGGTTGATTAAGTGGTTGTGCCTAAGCTTGTATATGGTATCTATATAACTCATAGATAGAAGTGAAGAAGTGAAGACCATGCATTTCGTACATCATTGCGCATTGTGAACAATATTGCAGCTCTTCTATGGTATCTAGGGTCCCTCCAATAAACCAACGCCGATCAAAACCAATCGCTAGAACATGCTACCAAATCCCCGGCATGTGATATCTATGCATCGTTCTTGTTGTACTTGGGACGCTCCTGGACAACTTGTTTCGCCCAGGCCTGGATCTCAGGAAGTTGAACCTTGCTCGCGACATGCTCAAATTCCGAGAGATCAACATTGTTCGAGCGCTCATATTCCACCATCTGCAGCAGAAGCTCCATCTTGTCGATATCATGCACAAACTTAGCCTCCAGTGTCACATTGTCCTCGTACTCCTGGAATACGTCCTTAATTTGCTGACCCGACAGCGCGCCACCCGGGACATTTCCCAGCAGAGTAGTGACAATGTAGTCCATCGTAGCTGCTTCACGGCGTGCCTTCTCGGCCTTGGTAATGTCGAGGTCAACGGGGGTGATATCGCCGACCAGTGACTCAGCCATGTCGTGGATGAGAGCCATCTTGGTGCAGTGGGGGATGTTGATCTTAGAGGCCAGCTCAGGCGGGGCAAGCATCGTCATGATCGACATGCGGTACATGTGGTCTGAGATAGATTCGCCATTGATTCCGAACCGGCGCCAGCCTTCACGCTTGGTTGTCTTCAGGCGCTCGATGAGGTGGAAGAACGCGACGGGGGATGTGGAGTTCTCCTCTGGTTGGTGGGGGAGGGTGGATAGCACTACGAGAGTTAGTAAGTGACCGCGCTGATTTTGGCTCACACATACCGGTCTGTGGAGACCAAGAGGAATTGTCGGAACCCATGATAGCGGATGACAAGAAGAATAAAACGCGGTCTAGAGGGAGAGAGATCAAAGACGAAAGACAGTTTGGAAACTGCGGGACCAAAACTGATAGACCGCACAAACAGTGCAAACCCCCGTTATCGCATTGTTGACAATCAGCCCCGTTTACAAACTAATCTCCGCCCATTCGTTCATCATGGCTACGAGGCCAGCGCGCCCTAAGCCCCTGGACTGGTCAGGGCCATCGCATTTGACGGTTTTTGTCCGCAATTTAAAACTATTACGTCTAGACCAGCGCGATGATTGGCCCAAAATCACGCTCCGCAGTCTGTCGTCGTCATCCACGAACCAAAGACAGCGCATCCGCCTAGTCGAATGGGCTCTCTACTACCTTTTTGCCTTCTGGGATCCAGAGGGTACTCAAAATGTGCTTTGATTCAGCTATCAGAGAGAGAAACGTGGGAGTTAGCTAATCATTATACAGAAACTCCGTCCCTTTTTCCCACCGTTAGAACCCCTACAATCTGTCAACCTCCGCGCAGCACTCTTCCGCGCTTTAAGTGAGCTGAAGAAAAATGGCGACCTGGGACGAGAGACCATTCTTCGAAAAACAATGCTGGATGATTGCAAAGGCGACAAATTTGATGAGCTGCTCGCCGTGTTCTCGACAGCTGTTCTGCGCAAGCTGCTTGCAATGTCTGCGATGGATACACCGTGGGGCTCTGCCATGAAGCTGTCTATGGCCAATGCTATATCCCCGGTGGACTACCAAAATATCTTGCCACTCATTCTCGCTCATCAGGTTTCCCTTAATGCGGCAGGGGGGCGTCGCGCACGGGTGCATGAAGTCTACGATCAGTTCTCGCGGCTGCTGGATCAGAAGAAGATCGAAATTTCAGAGCGTGCCAATAAGGAAAGTCGGGACTTGGGTCAAATGCAGGTTGACCCAAACATCTTGACTCGTGAGCTTCGAGCCAATTGGCTGGGAAGTGAGGAATGGGCTACTGCGTTGCTCGATGGGGGATCGCAGGGCAGCACGGATTCTTTCCTGGAGCTACCATTCTCGCATGCCTGGGCTCGTGTAAAGGATTCATCGGTGGATGGTCTTTGTGTCAATGTCAAGCCGGATCTAGTTGTTGATCTCGAGGAACGGGTCTTGCGACTCCGGAGTCGACTACGCAAGTGGCACGATTTCAATGAGTCAATTCACAAGGACCGTGATGAAAATGGGTATTCTGCTAGCGTAAAGCAGCAGGAGCCTCGTCTGCTATTCCGTGAGCATCAATCTCTCACGGTGGCGAGTATCTCCAAAGCTGTACGCCAGCCTGCAGATCGCGGAAGAGTTCTCAAAGAAGAGGATCGATCTTTTATGTCGACCGTTTACGAGGCCATCACCCGTGTCAATGGGAAATCTCGGAACCACAGAAGTCGTACTCATTCTGACGAGGTCGACCTCAAGCCACTGCCGGTGGGGCTAGAGAGTACCAATCACAATAACCCGTCACCTACATCTCAGAACGACGAGTTGCCTCTTCATCCTATAGCTCCCGAAACCACATACACCCGAAGCATGGACCCAAGTCCTGAGCCAGAAGCTGTTTATGCCCAACCATCTCCTTCCATTCGCCTTTCACCCGAGCCTGAATCCGAATTCGATGAACCGAACTTTGAACCAGTGAAGCGCTCTTCTTCCCACTATAAGCTCGTCGAACGCACCCGCAAATCTATGTCACTTGTTCCACCGCCCTCTCACGACGGACCAAGGCCCCGTCCGCGCCGCGGCCCGCGACCTTCTCTTCCGGTGAACCAATTCGAGACGCCCCGAAAGTCCTCCGGACCCCATGCTAGATCTGGTGCATCAACGCCGCAGGACAAACTTTTTGATGAAGATGCTGAATATGCCAGCATTTTCAAGTCACGGCCGCGCGTGGCGCTTAGTCCTATCTCGTCACCGGCAGTGCATATTAGTCCCTCGCTTGACGATGAGTTCGAGTTGGACTACGATGAGGAGTGGGGAGATGTGGACTCGCCATTGACTACAGCCAAGTATAGGTAAGGCCGTGAGCTTGGTACTGTTTAGGTACATGATTAAACGCACATAAAATATATCACTAATGGAATTATTCCAAATCTTCAACCCCATTCTCAACATCGTATCAATCATAACTTCCATAATCCTAAGCCTAATGCACAAATGACGATGTCTCAGCACCTAGGCACTCAACAACTTTGACATACGGTAAATTCTGCTTGACGGTCGTAGCAGTTGAGTCGACCTGTGCCAGTAAGAAAAGAACAAAATCAGCATAATACTATCACTTACGCTGTCAGACCTCGCATTAGATGGTCTCTCCATAGCCTCTGTATCATTGTGGGATGACCGCTTCCGCAAGACCCTCGATAGCAGAGCGAGCACGGCCTCGATCGGATACCATATTATTTGTAGAGAGAAGAACATTCCGAGGGGGTGAGGGAGGAAAGGGAGGGGAATGAGGATGTTCAACATCTTAGTTGAAAGCAAGGGGTGTTGCAAACCATGCAAAATGTATAGAGGTAGGACAAGGTTCATGTTTGTACGACAGTGACAAATTATGGTTTTGAGACACGATGTCACGTACGTTTAGATTATACTAGAGGCTTTTTTGCGCGGCGCCTACTTAGGTGTTAGACCACATCTCCTACTATATCTCCTACTCAGTTTCCTACACAGTCTCCTACTCAGTCTCTGACACACCTCACGAAGCTCACGACAGACGAAGCTCACGACATACCTCACGAAACTAGATCCTAGAAACCAAATAGACCCTTACGAAGCTCACGACGAAGCTCACGACGAACCTTACGACGAAGCTCACGAAGCTTACTATAAGTCTTCTACTTAGTCTCCTACTCGGTATCCTATAAAAATATTCTACCTTCTTTCGTACGGTATTAATCTACTAGTAAAAAGGTCTCCCCATATTCATAGATAGCGGAATAGAAAACAGAGAGAGGAGAAGAGAAGAGAAGAAAAATGAAATGGAAGGGGAAGGGGGAAAAAGTAAAAGTTTGGTGGAGGTTTCAAACGTATGTCCAAAAAGTCTGCAGTGTACCCAAGTAATAGAGGGGGTAGATTTTAGCTATACATATAATTTGGGTCCGCGTTGATCGTTTCCATAGTCGAACGTCTCGGGTTCGTAGTCAGATCACGATACATCGTCCAACGGCTCTGGGGAAGAATGGGGTCATGCGATTGTGAGGCTGCATGTTGCGTGACGTGGCTCCGGACCTAGTTAATTCCTCATCGATACATTATTACTCGTTCCTTAGTCTCTTCTGGCTTCGTGCCATCCCTCCTTGTAATAGTTGGTAGCACGCCCAGCTTTATGTTTCATCGCGATCTCCGATTGGGGTTTTTGTTCTATTCCACCGAGTGCCAAGGTTCATGGATGGCTCGACTGGGAACATCATTGCCGAGTTAAAGTCGAATGGGATGCGCCGTGGTCTAAAAAGTAGGCAGCTTGGTAACACATTCCGCTGGACGCTGGCGCATTGTGGGTGAAAGCTGTCTAGCTGCCACATAGGCCCTGATTGGGATGGTTCTCCTTGGTGGGTTGGGGACTCAAACGAAAGATGCTCTCAGGGTTGCATACACATCGCGTGCTAGTGTATACGGCTGGAGGTGCTTGGTGCCCTTGTCGATCGGAAATGCCAGATTTGGCCCTAACATCTTTCCTGCAAACTTGGTCTTTCGGGGTCCCAACAACCATACTTAAACGGAATATCCCACCCCTAGTATCCCACTCCTAGAGGGGTGGGATAATAAAGATGGTGACATATGCCCCCTCTTAGTGACTTCTAAATACCATTCAAATGCTTCCTTCGGAAAACCTGCACCGCCCTCGGTGCGCAATATTCATAGTTGGTCAGCCACTGCAGCCACGTCCTGACTGATCAGGCGCAAAGTCTCGGACGCCTGAGGAGAAATGCGGGCTTCCTTTGCCAGGCAGGTGATTTCGTCGCTGAGGACACATAAGGATTGGCGGGTTTTGGCTGCTGCGTCCTAGAGGACATCAATCTTGGCACCCAGGACATCAATCCTATCGTTCAAAGCTTCAGTCTTGGCATTCAGGGCTTGACATAGAAATAAGAAGTATTTTAACTTGGGACCATCTTCCAGTGGGCCAACAACTTCCTGGCCCAAGGGTCTGTGAGCGGTAGCACTATAAGCCCAGCAAAGGTGTGACCGTACTCCCACACATAGTGCCAGTATTCGTAGTTTGTTGGCATCTAGAATTTTCGCTTTCAAGGCTTCTGTCTCGCCTTCATCATCCGCAGTTGCCATGCGGGTTTTGATGATTGTAATACCCGACGTCTTCTTTCGCTTGGATTTGTTCGACAACTGCGGAGGCCAGGTGATCGGCGGCAGGGCTTGACGAACCGTGTCGTCAAGCATGTCTTTAACTTTCGCTGTCGACAATACACCGTTGTCTTTGATGACTAGAACGGGGCCATAAAGATCCAAAGCGGGTTGCAGAACTGTCTCACGAGAGTTGGAGGCAGCGGATTGTATAAGAGTGTTCTTAGATTCGGGGTCCACGACCTGTTTCCTTGACATAATAGAGCACCCAGAAAAGTTCCAGAATAGGAACTGGCCTTCAATGAAATGGCTAAGCGTTCTGAAACAGTTTTGTGTGTTAAATGAGAAAACATGGCTATGGCTGGCATCGCACTGGGCACAGCATATCGCACTGAGTTGAGTTTTCGCTTGTTTGACATTGCGGGCGAATTTTCGATCCCGGCCCCCTCCTGTTGAGTTTCTGAACGAATGCTTTGACGATCGTCCAAAAAGGTGATTTGGGTAGGGAGCGTAAAAATCTCGTCGGACCAGGAGACTGTTCGCCGTCAGACGGATCATGGTAATCGGAATGTATGTTGAAGAGATCTAGCTGATATCCTCTCTGCTCATCGAGAGTCAATTTCCCGCATTTTCCGGGGGCCTTCCCAGGATCCTGCCGATCATCGGCTTATGTAGGTCGTTCTCCTCATTCTCAGCGATTCTGTCTGTAGAAATTCGCATGAGTCGGCTGAGCTCGGCCAAATCCATCCAAACCTTTGGTTGGCTTGACATTTTGGTGGTAAGTGGAGGATGTATAGTGAGGGCAAGTAAAGTTCTTGGCTGATGGAGAAGTGATGAAGTTGCTTGATAGAAAAGGGAGAAGGGCTGGTTGGTGGGGAAGTGAAAGGTTGGTTAATAGAGGAAGGAAAAGTTTCCCAAAGAGAGGAAGAAAAAGGTGAAGAAGGAAAAGGTGTAAAGCTTCGGCTGACGGAAAAGTGAAAAAGGTTGGTTAAAGGAGAAGTAAAAGGTTGGTTAATAGAGGAAGGAAAAGGTGAAGGTCAAAGTGACGTGAAGAGTGAAGTAAACAAGAAGGTAAAAGTGAAGTCGAAAGTGAGCGAAAAGGTGTTGAAGAGAGAGTAGAAAAAGGCGCGTTGACAGATCACTTTGATTTCACTTGAGGTCGAGTGATGTGAGTTCGAAGCGGTGAGCGGAGAGATGAAGGTTAAATTATTTGAGAAGGAAAAGAAATCAATGAATATAAGAGATGCAAAAAGGGTTCTTTCTTTCCTGTCACTGGGCATGGTTCGAAGATTGCCACATATGAGCTAAGGAGCCCTCGTTGCCGATACCAATGGCTCAGATCCTTCAAGTTCTTATACCTTCTTCGCCTGGTCTTTACCCACACCCAAGTCCCAATATCAACCAGTCAATTGTGGCCTCGGGCAGTTTTCAGCTTTGTCCAGAGGCCTATATCTTACCAACAATGGGAAGTCTCATCGCCTCAACTTGAAATGAGAAACTAGCACCCAGTACAAATAATACCCTGAGAAAATATTGGAAGCTGAAATTGATGTTTTCTTAGTGCAACGTCACTGTTAGGTAGAGTTCGGTCTTTAGCAGAAGCCGAATAGCCGAGAAGCTACAAGGTCAACAATTGCTATCAACGAAAACCTTGGGAAATGTGATATTCAGTTGAAATTTCTGTATTCTTGGTGTCACGGCTGAGGGTTGTTTTTCCACATTTTCGCCGATAAAATTCAGGCTTGTGGTAATACCTGTGTAGAATAGCCCTGTACTTCTCCACCTCTTTACTATCCCATGATCTACATATATCTCGGGATTTCGGTGACTGCATCACCGGTGTTGCCCAAACCCGTGTGCTCTCTGTCGCATATAAACCTGCACAGCCCGGCTGTAATGGATTTCTACCATCAGTCATGGAGATGCTTTCAATTAGCAATATATTAGCCTTCATAGGCTTTGCCTTTGGACTATTATGTCTAGTTAGTAAGACGTTGCTTATTATGATCCAACTTTGAACTAACCTTTTTCAGCGATTCCTTCACCAAAGACTCACCAATCCACTCACTCAAATTCCAGGCCCAGAATACTCCAAATGGACAGATCTCGTCTACAAATACTACTGGTTCAGCGGGAAAGTCCCACATTATGTCCACCATCTTCATGAAAAATATGGTAAGAACTATTTGAAGTTGAAATATGGTTAGAGTGCTGACGTTCCACAAGGCCCTATTGTCCGAACAAGCACAACTCAAGTCGACATCTGCGACATTGAAGCAGCACGAGAGATCCACAAGACCAACAGCCGCTACATGAAATCGAGTTTCTACGACAACTTGGTGGCTAAGAATTTTCGAACCCTGTTCACAACTACCGATCTAAAGTTTCATTCCAATCGGCGACGTCTTTTGGCTACTCCCATCTCCGACTCTTCTCTCAGCAAACATGAGCCTCTAATATCAAGCCGAGTTCACCTGGCCGTGGACAAAATTGCACAAGAAATGCAAAACCAAGGGTTCGCCGACGTATTCAAATGGTGGCTATTCATGGCAACCGACGTAATCGACGAACTAACATTTGGAGAGTCCTTCCACATGCTCGAGAATGGAGAGGTAAGGTATGTCAACACCCCAGACATGAAGTCCTACTAACAAGCAAAGAAAAACCAATACACCAAAGATCTCGAAATTCTATCAAGCCTCCAACCAATTCGAACCACATTTCCAAACATGGTCCATCTTGCCCGAAGCCTCCCATTACCTATTTTCAACCACGCCGCCAAAGTCGCCAACAGAATGAACAACTACGCCCTCCAATCACTCCAACGCTACACAAAACACCTCGAGCAAAACCCCACCCACCCAAAACAAACCCTCTTCACAAAACTCTTCGACGAGAAAAACGGTCTCTCACTACATGACATCCTACCCGAAGCCCAAGGATACATCGTAGCCGGAAGCGATACCACAGCCGTTACACTGACATACCTCATATACTCCGTCTGCAGCGACAACCGCATACGAGAAAAACTAGTTGCAGAGCTCAACACTCTCCCCAATCCAATGTCAATCTCCGACAAAGATCTTCGCAACTTGCCCTATCTAAACCAAGTCATCAACGAGACCCTCCGGCTACACACTGCCGTTCCTGTCGGATTACCCCGGTCAGTCCCTGCAGGTGGCGCCATACTTAAAGGGATGTATCTTGTCGGCGGAACTACGGTGTCAACGCAGTCGTATAGTCTGCACCGGGACGCGGGGATCTTTCCCAATCCTGATCTCTTTAATCCCGAGAGGTGGGAGGATCCGAGCAATGATATGAAAGATGCTTCGATTCCGTTTGGAGGAGGATCGCGCGGTAAGTCATATACATATATACTGGTCTTGGAGGATGTAGCTGATGCCTAACAGTTTGTATTGGAATCCATCTAGCGCGCATGGAGCTTCGATTGGCAACCGCATTGTTTTTTCGAAGGTTTCCTCGGGCTCGGATCTCTTCCAGGGAGGGGATGTCGGGTGATGATATGACTATGAAGGCTTTCTTCCTGATGGCTCCTCAAGGGCATAGGTGTCTGGTAGAGGCATAAATTGCTAACTGTATTGATTTGTTGTATTGGACTGGTATGAAATCATAATGAACGTAAATTTTTAGGGGCTATATAAGTACTGAATTCCTATGATTGGTAACAATTTGACATCCTCTGGATACATATGAAAACCGAAATGAACAGCGCTAGCATGCTTTGTGGTACAAAGTAAGTCGACAGTCTCCGCTTGTCCCACACTAGTGGTGGAACACCTCCTTCATCGAGCCGTAAACCTTCACTTTGAGTGCAGTTCCGAGCACAGGGCTCTGGGACTCGTTGACGCTGTAAGACACGGAGGTAGCTGTCTTGTCCTTGGCGCGCTTCTCGAACCACACAAGATGCCTCCAGTCGACGAACACCTCGTAACCATCGCCTTGGTCGTGAATAAGGATAGATGGAGTGGTACCCTTGAACCGGTTCTCCAGCGGAACGCGGACCTCCTTGCCCCATGCGTTGTTGATGAGGGTGTTGAGTACAATCTGGTTCTCGGCTCTGCGGAAGGAGAGCAGGAACAAGATGTCGCCCTTTCCTTCCTTGGACTCCGTGAAGAACACCTGGGTGTTATCAATACCATTGCCGGTGGTCTTGGCCGGGGTCATGTTCAGGCTGGCGGAATCGAGGATCACCACAGCATCAGCGGCAAGAGGTTTCTGGAATGCCAGGTGAGAGTTGACCTTGAGGTTGGCCTTGGGGATAGATGGAAGCACTGGGGGAAGTGGGACAACGGGCTGCTTAAGGCTTGGGTCCAGGGCACCGTCAGCTCCACCAGTGATGGTGGGCTCTGCCTTGAAGTTTTCAAGGAGAGGAGCCTTGGTGGGGTCGTTGTACTGGGTCGAGTCATTGGTGTTTCCGATAATCTCAAGGTCCAGAGGGTCAAGGAGAGTTCGGGGGACTTCAACGTTGTGCTTGAAAACTCTCCAGTAAGCACGGCTCTGGATATATTTGAGAACATCTGCCTTGCTCAGACTAGGCAAGTCTTTACCAGACTTGAGAAGACTGATCAGGATCGGGGTGAGGGAGATGCTCGCGGTAGACCTGATGTTCAACTTTTTCTGGTCCTTGCAGTTGCTGCAGGCAAGCTTGCCCTCCTTGTCTTCGGGGCTTTGACTGAAGTTGTAGACTTCAGTGATCAAGTCGGTGGTGGCGTTCATCTTCTCAGCGTCCTGGCGGAAGTAAATGCGAATCCAGAATGGCTCACCGCCATAAGCATATTTGCGATAGCGGATACTGAATGAGAAGTCAACAGACTTGGTGCTGTCCTCGAGATACTCAACTCCCTTGATGTTGCCAGTGGCGTCGATCAACGATTGTCTCGACACTCCGTAGAGGTCGTTGATGGTTTTGCGGAGACTCTTCTTGAAGGGCTCCGAATTGTAGCTCTTACCCTCAAACTTCCAGGCCTGCAACTCCGGGTAGGTGTGACCAAGAGTCCAAGGATAGCGAACGTCAGCGGGTACCATATAAGTTCCAGTAGTGTCCTTGTGGAATGGTCGTAGCGGAGTCTCGGGGCCGATTTCCTTGCCAGGGGCAAGGCCAATAATCTCCTGGAAGAAGGCATTGACCTTGTCTGTCTTGATCCACTTGTCAGGGTTGAGACCTTGCCACAGGGCAAAGATACGATCAATGTTACTATCCGCTTGGTTAGTCCCGTGACAAATTTATCATGGAGGTGAAGATCAATTTACCAGTGGTGGAGCCAGAAGAGAGGATCGAACGACGCCACAGGGATTTGCGACATGTGTCCGTTGAGGTCTCCTCCTACCCAACCGTGGATGTTGTTGTGGACTAGAAAATTGATTAGAATGGCATTGACTAATTGGAAGATTCAGAATAACGTACTATACTCAATGTTGATATCGTTTGCGACATTCTGATCCGGGTCGAGTTGGGCGGTGGTTGCAAATGTGGAGTATTCCATAGGGACGGTGAGCAAACGCCACACCATCTCTGAAGGCTGACCATAGGGAGAATTGGCCACCCACTGTGGCTTCTTCAGGGCATCCTGAACTTTGTAGTTGTTCACCACACCGTTCTTCCATGCCTCGCTTCCGGAGACATTGTCACCCTCTTGGGGCCAACGGCTGGTACCAATACATTCCTCGTACTATGACAATCAGCTTGAGCCCATGTGCCTGGCAGGTTCATACATACGTAGATCATGTATGTGTCCTTCTGATCGACCCACGGATCCGTGAAGTTTTTCAACATCTGAGAGGACATAGGCTTGTTGTTCGGCATACGGAATTGGTAGAGCGGGTTCTGGATAGCCTCTTCACCAGAACCATCCTTGGTTGGCACGATAGCGGTAGGCCACTTGGACAAGTTAGGAACCGATGTGGTGAGACCCCAGTCCCAGAAAGGAAGACGCCAGGCGCGCGCGGCATCTTCCCACTCCTCTTTATTCTCAACCGTGAACTCCTTCACAATACCCGCCATGATCTCCGAGATACGTTGCTATATTATGGTTAACAGATATTGAGAACGATTAGATATAGAAAATATTACCTCGTAGAGCGCAAGGTATGCACGATGCCAGATCGGGAACAAGACGTTGTTGTGAGTGCAATAACCCTTCGAGTTCGCATCCTCTTGGGTGGTACTAGGCTCATCCCAAGGTACATTGGGTTGACCGTGGATACCGGCAATCTGGAAGTACGAGTCTCGCTCTGAGGGGTCAATCTTTTGGAATTCAGACAAGGCCTTGACGAAGAGCTTGACCTGCTTGTCGTTGGCGTGGTCGTTGCTCCATGTGTCGATGTTCTGGCGGAGAGGAACCTCAACATCAACACCCGATGCAACAACTGAGTCTCCCTTGGCATCCTTGATGGCAATACCCTTAATGGGAAAGTACGAGTGCGGGGCTTCGGTCACTGTCATTTTGACAGATTTCACAGATTGCTTAGACGAACGTCGTCGGGGTGTTTTTGGGGGCGTTCTCGGGGGAGTATTGGTTGGAGCGAATTGCTTGAAAAGGAACATGAGGGAAAGTAGCTTTGGTGAATGAAGTGTAGTATTTATATTCAATAAAGCTCCGAGCAAATCTGAAATATCATATCCAACTGCTGGTGTTCCGGTTTCTCAGCCGTACCGAGGTCATCCGATCTGTAAGGGCTAACGCTCTTGGCCCGCCAAAAGGCCCAAAACTGTGTAGCTCATTGAGTCAATGCAAATGATTTCATCCATAGAGGTAGTGTAACCGAGAGTCTGGTGGCGCTGCGTTACCATTGCTGGAGTCCCCGGTTCATCAACCCGCAGGTGCAGCAGGTGCAGGTGGGGGAAGCTGGTGGGGGGAAGCTGGTGGGTACATGTGGAGTGCTTGCCGTGCATAAATTGGCGCCTTGCATGTATTTATCACACCATACATGTATTACTTTTGTTTTCTTATTTCTTTTTCAGCTACTGCGGACTGCATGCAAAATGCAGGGGTTCCTGCTTCGGACACCTCGCATGTCTCTCCTGTTGAGTGAGGCAAATAAGCAATCTCAGTGTAACCTGACACAGCGAAAAGGTCAATCGCTACAGTACTTCTCTCCCTTGTATACAGAACATCCCCTTCGTAGCTATAGACAGTTTATTTAATTTTTTTTGTGACGTATCATGCATTATGGCGAAATTCAGGCTGATGTAAAGTGGGTTGGCCCTATATAGTTTATTTCTAGCCATGGAGGAATTGTTACCAAATTTCCATCCACTTTTTTATCTCACCGTACTAGTTACCTTATTATATTTGGTCATTCAAAATGCAGTGCATACCGGCTATTACGACTGTCTCCCTTGGTTCCTGCAATTTTCACAGTATCACCGAGAAAATTGAACAAGCTGCTAAACATGGCTTCAAGGGAATCGAACTCTTCATCGATGACCTTGAGTCCCTCGCAAGGACCGATTATTCTCCTCCTGGGACATCCACACCTTCTCGAAATGCCATCCTCGGTGCTGCCTCTCAGATCCGTCAGCAATGTGACAGACTCAAGCTTGTCATCCTCAATCTGCAGCCCTTGCGCTTCTATGAGGGTCTGGTGGATCGTCAACAGCGTGATCACATCTTGAATGAGACCCTGCCCATATGGATGGACGCACTCAATATTCTCGGTGCAGACACCATCCTAGTCCCTTCCAACTTCCTTCCTCCACACCCCGAAACCAAACTCCCTCGTACAACAGGTGACTTCGATGTCATCGTCGATGATCTCCGTGAACTAGCCACCCGTGGCGCCCAACATGAACCACCTATCAAATTCGCCTACGAGGCCCTAGCCTGGGGCACGCACGTAAACACATGGGAAAAGACATGGGAAATTGTACAGGCAGTCGATCGGCCTAATCTAGGTCTCGCCCTCGACACATTCAACATCGCCGGCGCCATCTATGCCGATCCCACCGCCGAAAACGGGCTCGTGGATTCAGCCGACGCTATCCTCCGTGCCTCATTGGGCCGCATGGCGAATACCATCGACCTGTCAAAGCTCTTCATAGTGCAGATAGCTGACGCCGAGCGTCTCGAACAGCCACTTCGCCCGGGCCACCCGTATTATGCTGAAGATCAACCCAGTCGCCTCAGCTGGTCTCGCAACTGCAGGCTTTTCCTCTGCGAACATAATCGGGGCGGTTACCTGCCTGTTGTTGCTATAGTTCAAGCTATTTTGGATCTAGGCTGGACGGGGCCGCTAGCGTATGAGGTCTTCTCACGCACTCTGGCCAATACTGATCCACTCACACCGGCGCAGCATGCTGAGAGAGGACAGCGATCGTGGCGGCGGCTAAGTGTGATTGAGCAATATCGGAAAGATCCAGTGATTATGAGTAGCATGGCAGCTTTGAGTTGTTTGGATGATAAGGAAAATGAGGTTGGGCAGAAGATTACGACGATTGACCAAGAATTTTCGCGGGAGGAATTTCTCGTGCGTTGAACTCTAATTTTGACAGCTTTCATGTTTCGGTTTTTGCCTTGGGAAAATATAATTAAATAGCTTTATATAGAGGATGCTTCAATGAACTCATGGATTTCTTTTGAGCATACATGTGCAAGAATATTAGCGACATGCAATGGCTAAGTGAATAACCATTTGAATCTGTCCAAACGCAAGTTTTGAAAATCACGAGTACAGATTATAAAGGCCAGCCCAGTCTGGTCTTTCTCGAGCACAGCAAGCTCACAGTTAGCTCTGTATATTTGAACTATAATTTTCTGTACTAAGCAATTTTCAGCGAGTCACTTGTGACGTGATGGCCATTATTCATGTGTCATTGAAATCGTCAATGGCGCTACGATCCCAGGCAAACCCCAAAAATGTCGATCATTGTGACAGGCTTGCCTCAAATTGCAAACTACAGTGGATACTTTGTGCAGCTGAGGTATGGAACTTGATGAGTGGCTGGCTGAATGTCGATCTTCGAATATTAGTAAGAGTTGCCGAGCTGAAGCCAAAAAGCGGGAAATCTATCAGCGCGTCAGTCAGACGTAAGGAAAATTTTATGCTCATTTGGTTGGCCAGGAGAGAGATCAGCTGCAAATTCTGCGGTTTGTCAAGGCCCACTTCGAGTCCTTCCTAGCTCTTGTGCATGGAGCTACTTTTGTAGCTTGGAAGTGCTCGGTATTAAGTTCCATGATACAATGGTTAGAGAAAGACCCGATCTGGCCCTGATCGGTCTTCCACGTTCTAGACTGACTTTTGTTGGGGATTGTTTGGGATTAATATCCGACATGTGACGAGTTGATTGGTAGACGGGAGATGTGGGGAAATGCAGCTTTGCTTTTTTCTTTTTCTTTTTTTGTACGGGTCCGACCTCGGATGTCACATATAGGGAAGTTGGGCTGAGACGCATGGGTAAATATGTGGCGAGCCGTGCAGAAATCAAGGGTTTAGTTCATGTTCATGCGGACAGAAATTGAAATTGAAAGTGGAGTTGCGGAGAAGGGAAGATCCGCTAATCTAATCGGGCGGGAACTAGTGGGTCGAACCATGGTTGAGGAGGACTTGGTGGATACGTCAGAGGTAGGAATATCCCAAGGCAAATCGCATTTCAAATCAACAATCATCCGATCTTAGGTATAGCTTGCTAATATTGTACATTCTGTAACCCGTTGCGCTCCATTTACCAAAATCATGTGAGCCTCATCTTCGTTGAAATCTATCACATGCAGATCAATCACATGCACTCGTCTTCTTCACTCTCCTGGGCGTCGGCTGGGGCTGACGGGGTGGAAAAGAACGCGAGCATGCCAGCAAACAAACATAAACCAGCAAGACCTACAGTCATCCAGGCCCAGCCAAATTTATGCTTTAACAGTCCAGCAAGTACTGGTCCAATCGCTTGGCCGCCAGCGAATGCCATATTGCAGAAAGCGTAACCCCGCCCCTGTCCACTGCCTTTCTCGGTAACCCCGTAGAGACCCTCGATCTTTTGAACTGCATTGGGAACGGTCCCGATGGTAATAGCTTGCACCGTCGTCACGCAAATCCCAATAATGAGGAGCATGCACACCAAGAGACTCTCATGTTTGATCGTATTTCCCTGCGTCCACCGGAGTGCCAGCATTGGCACCACCATGAGGAGAAAACCAATCATGACGATGGTTCGTGGCGTGAAGTTTCTTGTATAGTGGGCGATCGCAATGCTGAGAATAGCTGGTACCGTCAGGGGAAGGAACACGAACCCCGCGCCCATACTAGTCCAATTATAGGTCTCCATGACGTACAAGGGAAGCGTCTATACCTCGGTCAGCAGCGCCACCAATGCCTTTGGGGTGAAAATTACCGTCTCGTATGCGGATAAAACGCAGGAAACCGCCAGGACAGAGAACATGACACCCAGGAATGTCGGATGCAAGTAGTTGTAAATACTCAACGAACTGTTGCTTGATACTTTGCTGAACAACAGGGGAGATTCTTCTTGGGAATCCTCGGACTCGTAGCAAGGCTCTGCATCCTTACCTTTATCTTCTACTTGCCATTAGTAAACGAAGTCGGGAGACTCACTAGTGGACCTACCTACCTTTCTGCTCATCGACAATCAATAGCCGCAGAACAATGTCTACCACAAGTAGCGCAATTGGGAGTCCGAATGCACCAGCGATGCCAAATTTTGCAAACCTAGCCAAGTAAGATAATTAGCACTGCGATCGTCAAGAATGATAACGGGAACATACAGAAATCCACCAGCCATAGGACCGCATAACATTCCCCATGTCAAAGCCGTCGACCCACAGGCCATGTACGCCTGAAAATGCTCCTGGCTTGCTGTTTCGGCAATCATACTCAATCCCAGCACACCCACCACCGCACCAGATAAACCTTGGCAAATGCGGGCCACCACTAATAACCAAGGGCTGTGCGCCAATATAAATAGAACAGTCGCGAAAACGATGGCAATGAAGCCAGAGATCAATGGAGATTTTCGCGCGTGATATCTGTCGCAGAAATAACCGACGATGGCTGTACAGCTGATCAGTACATGATGACCAACTCAATTGAACAAAAACCTACGAGATCCAACCAGAAGAGCACCACCGTAGCTCGCCAATAGTATCGATGTCCATTTTTGAACTAGTTATGAGTTAGCTAAGCCCCAGTCCAACAAGCGGTAACCAATCACCTGATGCATTTGGTACACTCCCATTTTCCATTAACAGAAAAGGTAGAATTGGTACAATCTGAAGCGGGTCAGTAGTCTGCGACATTTTCTTTCGGCAGCGGGGACTCTACCAGGCCGTACACAAATGTGTCCTAACACAACATCAGTTAAAATTACTAAGTCAAGGGAGCCTAACTCACAGTAAAAAGTGCAAAACACATTGCCACTAGTACAAATGTATCCGAGGATCTCGCTTTCCGCGAAAACATATTTTTAGCACCCATGGCGACTACCAAGCTGTCGTTCAATGCCCGAGACCGATCCAAATCTAGCTGAAGATGAAGGATTGATATTCGGGGTAAGAGGAAGACATGAATAGATAAAAAAAAAAACTTTGAGTCTTTGACTAAGCTGAGGATCCAGTTCATGAGCCAGCATGAGGCTTGCATACGCGGAGCTGATCCCTTGCAAGCTCGGCAAGACCGGCCTCGGGACGTACAGAAAATCGACATCTCAAGTAAAAATATGCACGGACAATGCACGGACATACATGCATCAGGGCCCACAATTAGTGCAAGTTACAACACAGCTGAAATCTGCAATGCATCTCCGAGAACGAATCGCATTAGTTATATAGCCCCGGCTATAAAGCCTTGCTTCAGGGAAAAAACACATTTTGACGGGCTAAATCGCCACTAGCTAATTATTGGTTACACAAATGATCGCTGGTGCGAGCACATGCATTAGGTAGTCGGAAACCCGGGGCTGATCACAATCAATGATATTCAAGAGGTATGGTGATAGATATGTTAGAAGACATGTCATTGCAAGCTGATCAGTTGGAGCAAGCCGACTTGGGGGCTCCGCTGTACTGCATTGGTGGTAATTTATCACCGATGTCTCAGGGGTGTGCATACATACTATATGGTAGTTGTAGATAGTATCGATACTGCTTAATTCCAACCTTGAAAATCTGGCATGAATCAGTCAATGATTTTCATTGAGCATAGGTAGATACTTCATGCTAAACATATGAAGTGTGAAGTAAAGTTTTCACGTTTTCAAGGTGGAACGAGGTTGAACTTATAAGAAAAAGAAAATACTGCATGTGAGAACTAGCTGTGCCATGCAGACGATCCCTTGCAGGCCTTACGAAATTATGGATCTCTTGGAAATTTCATATTAATCCGGAGCTGAATTTCGTCATCCGTGATTCGGACGCCCCTTAGATCAGGGATCTATTTATTTGTACTTGGTAACTTCATCCTCCTTACAACCCAAAATTGAAAATTAACCTTTTTTTTTCTCTATTACAAGGTTATTCAACTTATGCCCTTATCCCTATTATCGAATCTTCGCTATGGCGCCCTCAATTACAAGTGTGGACTATGATGTCGCTCGTCTCCCTTCCATAGCGCCGAGGTTGTTCACCAAGGCTGTTAGCCAAAATCCACGCGGATCAGTTGACCTTGCCCTCACCCTCCACGAATCTCATATTCTTGAGGCTGCAAAGTCTCAATATTTGGGATTCTTGGAACCTGAAATTGCCCACATTCTCGACATCGAAACTGTTCTCGATGTTTGCTGGCTCCTGGTGGTCCACTGCTTCTCTCCCGTGAGAGCAATGTACCTAGAGTTCCACACGGGGTCAAATTTCTGCTACATCAATGACACTTTCCAGCCAGGAAGTGATTGTTATGCCCTGGAATTCTCTTCGGAGCGTCCATTGAAGGAAATTGTTCAGGATTTCTGTCGTATTAAGGCGCGCTTGGACTCCGTTCCTCTCGACGACGGTCCAGCTCCCGACAAGCAAAAGCGCTTCCTGACATCTGCCATTCGGTACGCTGCGGATCTGCGCACTCTGCATGAGGCTCCTGCATTCGTCAACTCCAAGGTAGGCGTTCAATTCTACTTCCGAAAATAAAAAGAAATTAAATTAATATGCTCTAGATCTCTGAGCCAAAGCTGCTCCTCAACGTGACAAGTGAGCATGGCAAGTTGCACGCTGGTCTTGCTTTCTCGGAGCCAGATATCTCTAGGGAATTCGCAACAAGCCTTCTTCATTGCTTCAACAAGGTTGTTGCTTCGGTGCATAAATCCCCAGAGATCGCCTTGGAGACCCTTGATTTATGCTCGGATCTTGACCTTATTCTTCTCCAAAAGTACACCAAGGAGGTCTCTGAGTCTCACGAGGTCCTCTTGCATGACATGGCTCTGGAGCATGCCAAATTGACGCCTGACGCTCCAGCTATTTGCTCATGGGATGGAGATCTTACCTACAAAGAGTTAGACGATCTCACCTCTCGCCTCGCGCTGCACTTGAGCAGCATTGGCGTCGGTCCTGAGACCTTCGTGCTGAGCTGTTTCGAAAAGTCGACTTGGGCAATCGTTGCCCGTTTGGCCATCTTGAAAGCCGGCGGTGCCTATATCTCCATTGATGCGACCGACCCTCCCGTTTTCCTTGGATCGGTTATCAGTCGCGTTGACGCTAAAATCATGCTCACATCACCAGACTATGCCTCCAAATACACTTCCCTCATCTCAAACGTGATATCCATTAACGGAGATATCCTTAAAGAGCTACCCGAGTCCAACGGGGTAGTATGTTCAACCGTCCAGCCCAGCAATGCCTGCCTGATTCTGTTCACCTCCGGAAGCACCGGCCAGCCCAAGGGCATCATCCAAGAGCACCGCTCCTACGCCACTGCCATCCGCGATTACAATAAAGTCCTCGGTCTGGGCCGTCATAGCCGCGTCTTCCAGTTTGACGACTACGCCTTCGACATCAGCAACAATGACTACCTCACGGCCCTGTCTGCCGGTGGCTGCTGCTGCGTCCCTACGCCTGAGAAAACCATCCCCGCCCTGATCGAACATATCAACTCCACGAAAGCCAACATGAGCTTCATGACACCAACGATCGCCGTCCAACTCGCCCCCCACGACGTCCCCTCCATCGAGCTTCTCTGCGTAGGCGGCGAGCCCATGTCGAACGAACTCCTTGTAAAATGGGGCCCCCACGTCAAACTCGTAAACCAATACGGAATGGGCGAAGCCGCCACCTTCTGCGCCTACAACGATAACCTCAAACAAGGTCAGAATGCCATCGTCGGCAAGTCAGGCAGCGGAGCAATCTGGATCGCTAACCCTTCTTGCCCGGAACGGCCCGTACCCGTCGGCGCCGTCGGCGAGATCCTGATCGAAGGTCCCCACCTCTCCCGCGGCTACTTGGATGATCTTTGCCAAAAGCCTGACGTGGGCTTCCTCAGCACAGTCCCCGGCTGGATCGCTGATCTGCACCCCACGCGCGCGGCCACAACCCGAATCTACCGCTCTGGTGATCTGGGACGCTACCTACACGATGGAACAGTCGAGCACATGGGCCGAAAGGACACATTACTCAAGCTGAACGGCGGCCGTGTGGAGTCAACTGAAGTGGAGTATGTTCTTCGGAAAATCCTCCCTTCTCAAGGCGATTTTGTCTTGATCGACATGCTGGGCGCGATCGATGGAGTCGACGACCCAGTGTTAGTGGCCTATATTTATCTTGCGGATAATCCTACAAACCTTCTTCCTGGCGTGTCTGATCAGGAGATGTCGTTTCGGCCGATAGACAGTCGTCTTCGAGTCAATTCGTTGGTGACTGAGATGGAAAATGAAGTCAAGAATACATTGCCAATACATATGATGCCTGGTTTGTTTTTACTTGTTGACCGGGTACCCCGGACAAGGTCCAACAAACTTGATCGGAGAAAGTTGCATCAAATCGCTCAAAAGTGGTACATGGCGAATCGGAGTTAAGGAAGTATTGCAATGTTTTTTGTCTTTCCGGGTTTCACGGTTGAAATTGTATCTGTCTCGGCTGCATGGGAAAGGCCATGGTGTTCCAAACATGTTTATTAACCACATTGTATTATTCAATATGACGGCTTTATTCACCATACATGCTTCTTGTTAGGGTCACTAATAAGGAGTTCCCTTAGCCTGCCGAGCTCCCGGTTATCAAGAACGAAAGCTTGTCATAGTCTGAAGAGGTTTGGCTTCAGGACCCGTATTCACCTTCTAAACGGTGTTCATGAGCGCTTTCAGTATACTCTCAAACCAGTTAGGGTTTCGTCCCATATGCGGAGCTGGTGCTAAAGGTATACTTTTAGATCCTATATTTACCTTCTAAATAGTGTTCATAAGCGCTTTTAATATACTCTAAAACTAGTTAGGGTTTCGTCCCATCTACGGAGCTGGTGCCAAAGGTATACTCGAAGGCGGTGGGAATAATAGCCAGGCAGAATATCCCTGGAACCTCAACATGCAACCAATAAAAGATCATCCTCACGGTGGATCTAGGTGGCTGAACCTTCGAGAAAAATCACAAAAAATACAAAAAGTAAGCGACCGACGCAGGATTCGAACCTGCAACCTTTAGTAGTCTGATAACCGGAAACTAACGCGCTACCATTGCGCCAGTCGGCCTTGGATGAGTAAATGTGGCTCTAAAAAGATCCAGAGACCAAATGAGTTTTTTCTAGATATTCTAACTTTGACTACGACTATGTTGCTCAGTTAATACTAGAAGGGTCTCTATAATTTTAACACTTTGATTTTAATACTTCCTATATATGATATTCTCTATAGAAACTATTAACCATTAAACTTAAATAGATTCAGTAGCGCTCTTCTACTTAGGTATACTATAGACTGCGGATATATACTTGAAACCTCCACTAGACTTTTCCTTCTTCCCTCCTTTTCTCTCCTACCAAGGAAATTCAAATGCTTCTTTTTGGCCTTGAAAATTTTTGGAAATTTTTTTCATTTTTATCTTTCTCTTTCTCTCTTTCTCCTCATCCCTTTTATCTCGGGGCAGGAGACAAAGCCATCGTGCCCAGCTGTAAGCTTAAATGTAAGCAACTGGTCGACGTATGGAACCTGGCAGCATATTTAGGTTTGGCGCGTCGCAGCAGTTTGACATTGATAAGTTCAAATAATTGGCGGGCATGCATCATCCAGGCCCGCTACAGCACGCTGGCCGTGGAGGAGATACCATCAGAAAAAGAGGCTATAGCGGTTTCAGGCTACTAGGGTTAGTATAGAGCCTACTTTCTGATGATCTCCCTTTCTAATGATGGAGTTTCTCTGGCCTGCCGGTCATAGAATAGATACTGCCCTTAATATTAATAAATCTAGTTTTTCTTTCTAAGGGGCTAGGATATTAAAGAGCCGAAAGTTATCTATCTTTTCACGCCATACTAGAGGATCGTCTTAAGATGAACTTACAAGGAACTTAAAGCCAACGGAATCAACACTTCAGATGAAGTTACAAGGAACCTCAAGCCAACGGAATCAACACTGACGCAATGAAAGGTGCCAAAAGCCCACCTACGAGGATCATAAAGCCAAAGCCTTTGTAACTGATAAAGATTAGCCACACTCATTCCTGTCCCCTCTCCACTACCCGGTTTCTTACTTCTAAAACTATCTCTGTCAAGAAAAATCACGAAGGGACAAATAGGCACAGCCCAGATCAATTTATTCATAGTCATAAATCATTACAAAGACACAAGAACCAGTCTCATGCCCTTCGTATGGAATCCTTGTCCATCCTCGCAGAGTTCCGTGTGGAATGAATTTCCCAGTCGGACGTAATCTTAATCTGACCATGGCACCATTCCGACAATTTCTTTGCCATGGGAGGCTGCCTTACAGAGACAAGGGGAAATTCAGGGTCCTCCATATGAGTACCTAATACAACAGTCGATTTGTAGTAGCCAGATGACCTGTATCCGTAGGTCACACCGTCAGATGGGGATGAGAACATAGTGATTCCAAATATTCGTTGGATAGATGGCGGGATGATTGGTAGGCAGGCGACGATGATGCCCAGCAGAGGTATGATGCAGGACATAAGAGATTTTCGGGCGGAGCCAAAGGTCTCGTCATCTGGGTTGAGGTCGATTTTCATGCGAATTATGGTGGCTGTGATGATTCTGTAGAATAATGTGTTAGATTTGAGCAATCTTCAGCAGATAAATACTCACATGATACCAAGAATATACACGGCTCCCAAAGCTATCTTCCTGGCTTTTGAGAGTTGCATGTGTAAGAGTATTGGAATGGGTAGGCAGAGAATAAATGCCTCGAGAATGGTTTCGCTCACTGTAGAGCCCAATTGCAACAACTTGCGATCACCACAGTGTCCGTTTAGATCGAATAACCATATCTTCTTGGCTGGTGTGCAGAAGAATGCGGTTGCGAATAAACTTCCAGCCCAGAGGGCCGAGCAGAGGGCCATAGTAGCATATGTCAACCACTCCACGACTTGATGATGAAAATGGCGGAGGTAATAGTGCAAGATGGACAGCTGAATCAGAGCCACCGCGGTGATCCATAGGAGATCACCAATGTATGTGAGCTGAAATGCCAGGTCAGCTAATAGATTAGAGAAGTTCGGCACTCAGTCTTATGCTAACCTTTTCAAAGAGAATAAGAGCCTCAGATCCGCCAACTCGAGTCACCTCAGCAGTATGCAAGCCCAACCCGCACATCAAGATCAGCATGAGCTCAACTATATACCGGCCCACCATAACCATCTAAGAAAAGTCAGTAATCCTATACCAATAGTAAATCGGGATTCAACTTCAAATAACAAACTCTTACCAGAGAAAGCAAAATCAACCAGTCATTCCACTGCCAAGAAACACCCAGCAACCTTCTCGACCAGAACCTTAAGACAACAACAACAACCCCACCACCCAACAAAACAGTCTGAACAGAAATATCAACCTCGCCTAGCCAGTTATGGCCGAGCTCGTGAAGAGTACCTGACGGCGACATCAGGAAACTTAAATCCAAAGCTCATTCGAAATAGCAGAATAGCAGGACAGGGCAGACATTATCATATAGCCGAAAGATGTACAGCAGAGGACCACGAGGGGGTAATATAAGTGCACGGCCCCGCGCATTAAACATAGACTAAAACTAAGACCAAGACTAAGGGGGTCTTGTCACTGGTAGACTGGAGTACAACGGGCCAAAATCCCTGCATCAAACAAAAGTGTGGAGAACGGAAACACGTAGGTCTCAGACCATGATCAGCAACAAGGGCCCGGGCCAAGCAATTATTAATCCTAGCCGAATGAAATGAAGTCGAATTGTTTCGAGACTATTGGATCGAGATCAACTACTTGCCGGTATCCACTTTTGCCGATTACTCTATCTCTAACATGGGCGTTTCACCATCTCACACCGACTAGTGGAGATTGGAATTTCTATCATTCTTGTCCAGTTAGATCGGTTTCCTGCATGTAACGGTCGAGATTTATCCCGATTTGTCGAGTCTTGTTTCTTATTTTCCTCATTTCTAATTCCCCATTTTCCTATGTATTTTCCTATTTTCTTATACTGCAATATTCGAAATCTGACTTTTGATCTGGGGCTAAAGGTTAATCAAGGATTGTGGAGTCGGCTTATGTTGAGCAACTTAGGGAGATGAAACATGCATGTCTACCCAAGTTACAAGGCTGGAATGGCTTCAACTCGGGATGACCTTAGATTGACAAAGAGATGGGAGTTGCCTACGGTGCAACACAAATGGTCGCAACGGGCCGCGTATGAGAAGACGTTAGATCCACTTAATCCACATAGTTGAGGGGTTAGCCTGCGAGTGCGCTTGGGTCGCTTCTCGGGAGTCGTAGGTATGAGCTACACGAAGAATATAGATGCGCGAGTCGGAGCCGAAACTTGTCACTTCTTCCGTATTGGGATAATGGGCCGTTTGCTCTGATCTAAACCTCATTTCCGACGTCATTTTAAAAAAATGCCGCAGAATACTAGCAGACTATTCGACATGTGATATTTAACGGCTATCTTGTTGAGTAATTACTATTTGTACTCCCTAATTATATACTGAGCTCATATACCCCTCTAACGCAAATCTTTGATATACAGTATACCACCACCCTTTACTACCTACTGGGTAGTAACCTTGAATTCTGGATATACTACAGAGAAATAACATTTGAATTCAATCAGGTATCTGACTCGGATCATGTATATTTTCCTGATCGGGTTAGAGGGAAATAAGATATCTAAGTGTGAATAGCAATTCCTTCATCGAGTTGATAATTAGATTGGACCGGTATCCTAGTTGTATAGTTCATAATCTATATCTGAGATTCCACCTCATCTCCCAAAAATACACATTTCTTCATAATCAATGTCGAATCAGGTGCTCTTCTTCTGAGCATCGCGCTCCGCCTTACGCAGAGCCCGCTTCCGAATACTCTCGTGCATAGTCTTGTTCTGCGAAAGCACAAACTTGTTCATGGGCCCAGCAACCGAAGTTAAGAACCAAGCCATGAGACCATGGCTCCAGTACGGCGACGAGCTATAGGCATAGGCAGAGGAACCACCGTGGCGGCCGATCTTCGAGAGAACGGAGCGAACAAAAGCACGAGGGGTGGGGATGGTGGCCGACGCGCGACGGACCTTGGACATGGCGGAAGTAATGAGGTAAGCCTGGACGAGCTCGACGTCGATGCCGTGCGGGGCTAGCTCAGCGCCCAGAGCAGTGGACCACTGCTGCAGGAAAGCCTTGCTGCCGGAGTAAGTGGCGAGCAGGGGGGTGGGGAGAAGACCGCCGAATGAGCCCATAGTGAGGACTAGACCGCGGCGGCGCTGGATCATGCCGGGGACAACGAGCTGAGTGACGCGCAGTGTACCGGTGCAGTTGATGGTGATAATATCGGCCATCTCGGAGGCGGGGGTCTGGGCGAAGGGGACGGGGATGGAGTGGCTCTGGCCAACGTTGTTCACGAGGACGGACACGTCAAGATCGGAGACGAGCTTGCTCAGCACGGCGTAGTCGGCATCGGCGTTTTGGGAGAAGTCCATGGCTAGGGTCTTGGTCTGCACGGCGGGGAATTGCTTGGTGATTTCCTCGCCAAGAGCAATCAACTTCGACTCGGTTCGTGATACGAGTACAATGTTGAATTTGGCACGCGCCAGCTGCAGCGCGAACTCTTTGCCCAGGCCGTCGGAGGCACCGGTGACCACGGCCCAGCTACCAGGAGGACCGAAGGAACGAAGCTATTTTACATATTAGCTTCCTGTTAAGATCGTGGATGATTGTAGACATACCGGTTTACCCGGAAGCACGAAGAGGCTCAGAAGCACTCGCAAGAAAGTCCAGACCTTGCAGGCAACGGCCAGCCCACCGGTTGCGAGAAGCAACAAGGCACCGACGGTCGGCAGACCAGCGGGCAGATGAGCAGGCCATTGCGAGAGGCACTCCAGATGCTTGGTCAAATCCATGGTGTATGAAAATGAAGTTTTGTTGAGGGGGGGAAGGAGGATAAGATAAAAAAAGATTTAGTTGCAGCTTGTTGGGGAAGATCAACGCCAAGAACCAAACCTAAACATCCTCGGTCTGTCACAACTTCACATTCATACCATTCCATCTAACATTCAAAAAATGTCCGAGCTACTTGCCTACTTGCCTCCATTCGAGGGTCTTTTGCCCAAATGGCTCGTCTTCGTAAGTCTTGTGCTCCTCTCCACCCCTTTTCTTTCTCTCGCTCACCATCTAGGTTGGCGCTGTCTCCGTCATCAATAGTTTGCAGGCTTACACCTCCGCCGACTACACCTCCAAGCTTTACACCAATGGCTCCGTCACCTGTGAACCCCTTTCTGGCCGTGTCTTTGGTACCTGGACCTTCCTCTCCGCTGTGATCCGCATGACCGCCGCCTACAACATCACCAACCCCGTCGCGTACGATCTTGCGCTCTGGACTTATGCCATTGCTTTGACCCACTTTGCTGGAGAGCTGATCGTCGGCAACGCATCTTTGAAGGGCCGCTTCATTAGCCCGTTGATCGTGGCTTCGTCCTCCCTGGCTTGGATGCTGACCCAGCGCGGGGCTTACCTGGGTTAGGATTAGGGGAACTGAAATTTGATATCAGTCAGACATGTATAATACCCAGGGTATGAATGTTGATTCTGCGATGGGACATTTTCTCTTTCTTTATAGCGACATGAATCGCCGAACGATACCCTGTCAACATATGATGCTTTAATTCTATAGATTTTCGGCCACCCGATATAAAGGGTCACATGCAAAAATACTACTTCGACTACCTCCACATTATTGGGGACACTTTACTCTAGTTTCTTACGGTACAATTCACCACCGCAGCCGCGTAACCGGGCAGCAGCTTGCTCCGGTGTGATATCACGCTGGGGCTCCGCCATAAGCTCAAAGCTATAAAAGTCAGTTACATGAAAGAAAGAACGGGATAGGAAAGAAACATACCCGACGAGGAACTTGCGCACAGTGGCACTGCGCAGAAGCGGAGGATAGAAGTGCAAGTGCAGATAAGAGGCCTCGATCTCCTCGACAGTACCATCAAGCGGCGCCTGGTGAATACCCATGCTGTACGGGAAATGTGTCTCAAAGAGATTATCATAGCGACGAGTGATCTCAGCAATCGCCTCCGCTAGAAGAGTGGTATCTGATTCACTCAGATCGACCAGCGCCCGCTTGTGTGTGCGGCTGATGATCATGGTCTCAAAGGGCCAGGTCGCCCACCATGGAACCACCACAACGAACATCTCGTTCTCAAAGACCACGCGCTCCTGCTTCAGGCTTTCTAGTTTAGCATAGTCCTCCAGCATGTGAGCGCCGCCGTGCTCCTGACGGTATCGGCGCAATTGCTCCAGCTCGGCGGCCGGTTCTTCGGGCAGGTTGCTGGTAGTCCAGACCTGGCCGTGTGGGTGGGGATTCGAGCATCCCATGGCAGCGCCTTTGTTTTCAAAGATCTGCATGTAGCGATACTGCTCCCTGGGCTTGGTGACGTTTGCATGCGGCGCGACGGGCGCAATGTGGGTGGGCGGGGCATTCTGGGCTAGTGGCGAGTTGGGTGAGAGATGCGCGGTGTAGATCTCGGTCCAGGCGTTGATGACTGGGACAATCTCGATAGGAGCCAGATCGGCCAGGGTGAGGTTGTGGGAGGAAGAGAAAGTGAGGACGTAGCACTTGCCCGTCACAGGCTCGGCCTTGAGGAAGCGCGATTCGAGATCTGCAATGGTCAGCACAAACCTGCTAGTGGGAACGAAGTTGGACATCATACCATTTGCCTGGTTGCCGTCATAGGAGGCCTGCTCCTCCTTTACGGCGCTGTAGTCGTTCACAAACACGAAAGTGCTCTCGTACTTGGGGTTGACGTCACCCTGTGCGCGCTGGTTTCCAGGGCACAGATAGCACTTGGGATCATATGATGGCAAGGTAGTTTTGGAAGCGCTCTCCTGTGCTCCTCTGTCGATCAGAAAAAGAATATCGTTAGCAAGTTCGGTGTTACACAATTCCTAAAATGAAGACATACTGCCAAGGACGCTTAGTTCGGTGGGGAGAGACCAAAACATGGGACCCACGAAGGGGGTTGAATCTCCGGTGGGAGATATCGTCAAGAACGTTCTCCATCTTGGAAGAGGTGGTTATAAAGAGGACCTTGGGGGATGACAGAACTGACAGAAGGGGGATACATAAGGAAAACGCCAGGGTCGGTGGCTTGGCGGGGTTGGACGTGGGGTGTGGAGTCTCCGGATAAATTAAGAATCTATGAGAAGATTTTCATACAGAGAATGATGTTATTTTCGAATAAAATTTATATTAATTGAATCCTCTACATCATGCAGATATTATGCTGCTGACTGCAGATCTATCCGATCAAATTATGATGGGGTTTATACGACAGCATGTAGGAATCACCCGATTCAGCGGGGAAATATCAAGTTTCGGTGAACGAGAGAGGAATCCGGGATCCCGCAAATTCGGCAAAATTGGATAAAACTGGGGTTTTAATGTGACAAAATATAGATGTGGAGCCTATTTAATACATACAGCAATATGGACTGATGGCATGTCCGTGGTTCATGAATTGTAAAAATGACGTCATCTAATAATCTTCTGATATGGCCTGATATGGCTTTAGAGATAAAAGAACCAAGCATGCGACTTGATCTTCTCAGATCCCGTTATACATTGATTATTACTTATGTATTCCTGTGAAAATATTTTCTCACGTTCGTCGCTCCCCGCTAGACGGCCCTCAAGGACTATGGATGATCTCCCACCTGAGGTAAACCATAAGAGATAAACCTATGGGTTGATTCTAATATGACTCCAGATCACCCGATTGATCCTTGAAAGCTTCTCAATGAAGCACCTCCTGGTCATCACTTCCGTCTCCCGAAGATTCCAGGCAATTGCCATGGCCATACTCGTGTGTCGCTTGCGCCGCTTTCTCCAGCGCGAATACGATAGTGTTTTCTTACGTGTCGGCTGGTATACACCAATGAAAGAAAGAAAGTTGGTCGTTACGTGGGCACATCAAGGGACAGTGGCTCTCGGGAATGAGAAGGATCTACACAAACCAATACCATATACCAAGGAATCAGTACTCCACAAGGCGTCCGAACTGGCCCAGGTAGATACCTGGTACTCAATCTTCCAGCCAGTCGGTCCTCTGAGAGATCCGTGGTCTCGACCATTTGCAAGATGCTGGTATGAGGGGGATGAAGAAGATTGCTATCAGACTCATGTCAATGGGTACTCTGAAGATGATGGCGATTTAGGAGAAGAAGTCACATTGGAAAGTTATGAGGACTTTGTTCAGTTCCGACTTAGGCTGCACCTAGCCGGGCAGAGTGGATTATCAAAGCCCTTCAAGATTGAGAACAGGATAGTCCGGATTTATAAGGATCAACTCAGCCAGTGGAGCAAAGAGCGCAGGGAGTATGTCCCTGAGCTGGTCTGGCTTGACAATAAGAAGACAATTGGTCTTCAAATGACAGTGACACGAAAACAGGGGCAGCACTTATATGAGGAGTGCACCGGATCAGCTACCTATTATGTGAGCCCGTCGGGTGAGTGAATTATTTCACCCCAGAAGACCCAACTTGGGGCCAACTACATCAGCATTGTGGATCCGAACCTCGAGGCTCTTACAGGAGGACGAGACAGCAGAAAAGCGCAGTAAAGAGAACAAGCAGCAAATGACGCTACTTGCTGCTAATTAAACGCACTAGAGATTCAAGAACCTTTTGATGAATGACGAATGACGAATGACGAAAGCATGGCGGAGTATTTGCCTGTTTTAATAATATTGAGATTTCTTATACACCCTAAATTGATATTATCCACTGTTCTCCACCTGGTCACGCATTGAATCATATTTCTTTAGCCTACACATTGTAGTAGGGGAAGCAGACTGGCAGTGTGAACTGACCAAGCACCTGGGCAGTGGTGTATGTAAGTGATACGTTTCAGAGGTTAGACCATCATACCACCTCTTCTGCTAGAGAGTGGGTTCCGGGTCATATGACCCTGGGCAGCGCTCTCGTCCCGTTTAGGCTTGGTAGCACCCGTCCATAAGGCATATCTTCATGGACCTCTGTCCCTCTCCCTCCTCCTTTTCTTCATATCCTCAATATCACACTTCTGTTCTGTGTGATCATCTAAAAGGGCAGTCTGAGCCTCATCCACCCCGACGACGACGTCTGACATTCCTCGGTGCGTAGTCAGGCTCAGCATCATTATCATCTTCATCATCAGACCCATCTGGTATGGAGATTGGAGGTGATAAGTCCTCATCCGAACCGTCAGCCAAGGATTGATGAGAATCATCCACGACGTGCGTCTGCTCATCTTTATGATGCTCAACGATCAAGCCATCATCTCCATCATCTCCTTCGCCAGGTAGCAAAAAGCCACCACCGTGATCCACAGGATTATGATCATGATCTCGAACAGACTCATCGTGGAAATGCCGCTCGTCAACATCATCAACGGGATCCTTCTTACGCGCCACAAACGGGTTATGAGTTTCCCGCTCAAGATCATCATCAGGATCACCTCCATACTCCTCTCGTACACGCTCAGCGATCCGCAACCCAAATAAGAACTTCCGCCAAGTCTGCAAGATCCGCTTCTCAGCCTTCAGCTCCTCACGCTTCCGCTTTTCAGCAGCGTCCGCACGCCATGCATCTCGAAGCAGATCTGCATTTTCGCTCGCCACAACTACGCCCTGGATAACAGGGACTGCCATCTTAGATCCAAACTCGAATCCGGTCACCGCCTCCGCGTAGTCAATTCCGAGCTTCTTGCACAGTCGCACGGTAGCCGGGAGTGGAACGTGTGTAGCGCCTTCGGGCACCATGCTCGGAACGAAGCAGTCTATATTCCCGTAGTCGTTCTTGGGGATCTTTCCATCGCGGATGGGGGGCGGGATGATGAACTCCGTCTGGTCTCGGGCGTATAAGCCTTGCATGGGTTTCTCGCCAGTTTCACGCTGGAGCTCTTCTACCTCGCGCTTGCGGAGGAGGGTTACGGCGCGGATAGGGACGCGTTTTAATGGTACTGAGCCTGGTTGGATCTGGCGGCCTTCTTTGTGCCAACTTTCTGCTGACATGCATTTGACGACGTCTGCCCGGAGGAATACAGGCTCTTCTTTAGCGCGGGCACCTTTACCAGCTATGAAGGTGCGGACGGGCTCAGAGCCTGGTCGGAGGGCTTCCTCACGGCGTAGAAAACGCTCTAGTATGAATTCGGTGGATGTGCGGAGGCTTTGTAGCGTATCGCCTGTTTGAGTTGGTTTCTTCTTCTCTGGCTGTTTTCGCTGGAGATCTTTTTCATCTTCTAGTCTGTCGACCTCGGTTCTTTTCTGGAGGGGTCTTTCGTAGCCGCGCATAACGACTCGAAACCAGTCAAATTCAAAGTGTTCACCTCGGCGGCCTGGTATTGGAATCTTCTCCACAGGCATTCGGAAGCCCTTGGTTTTGCCTGGCCATGTCCGCCTCTTGAGATACCGTGTCGTGACGTCCTTGGCTGTCCCGTCGGCAGAATGCGCAACAACGTAGCATATTACCTGCTTGGCCCGTTCAGCTTTGGCACCGCGAGGCTCAAATGCGGCTTGGAGATCGGCGGTAGGGGCTAGCGGGTTGGACAGCACGATTGGGTCCACGGACGTGATCTCGTGAGTGACAGGGGAGGCAACCTCAGTCCAGTATATTGGGAACAGCAGATCAGCATCGTATGCACTGACTTTCTTTGCCTTAAACCCGTTTTGTTCCGAGTCGGCATCGGACTCTGACTTGTCGGCTGCCGCGGGCTCTTGTTCTGTCTTGGTCTTGGGCGGCGTGTAGATCTCTGCTTTAGTCCAACCAAATCCTAATGGTTGCAGACTTGCTACCAACCTTGCTTCAATGCCTAATGCCCGGATGAGAGCTGTGAAAAGCTGGGCTCCAACATCTCGAGAGCCCTGCATGCTTTCCGCCGTTGCTCGAAATTCTTCAAGATTAGCAATACGCTCCCCGTGACTCTTCGGATCATGATCCTCTTTGTTGAAATCCTTCAGTACAGCTTCAAGTGCAGCAACTGGGCGATAACCATGCTTTCGTAGGCCGGGAGCTGTGATGTGAAACTGTTTCCGCCAATAGGCTACCAGGACCTTGAGAAGGATAATGATCGGATCCCCGCGACTCATGTCAGGCTGCCCGGGTTCCAGTCGCTCTGAGTCTTCACTCCAGTCCTGACTCTTCCGAGCTTTCTTGCCTTTCTTCTTCTTGGGCGGCTCAGGCTTTTTCTCCGGTAGCTCCAGCCCAGACGCAATCCGCCATTTCTTTATTTCCTTGTGAATCCCCTCAGGAAGCTTCTTTCGTAGAATCTCATGGATCTTGGCATCATTGATCCATGAATTGCGAATGGCATTATGGAATAGCAGACACTGGACATGCATGCAATGCGACTGGATGCGAATCTGGCGCTCGATCTTCGTCGGCCCCTTCTTGGGATCCGTCAGATCCACAATTTCAGTCTCATTCCTGTCCAGCGTCAATTCTAGGTCCTGCAACTCCGGAACGGCCAGCGTCGGGGTTGTGTTGGTAGTTTTGGTGTCTATTGCATCTTCCCAGTCTATTTCGTCATCAGACTCAGATTCCTCCTCGTCGTCGGACCCCCCAGCTGGCCCTGCTGTGGCCGCCTTTTCTGAATCAAGGTCCTCGGGGACATCACTGAGTGAAGAGTCGGAATCGGTGGTAGAGTCGGAGTCGGGGACGGGCTTGGCAGGGATATTACGGGCCTGGGCCTGGCGTTTGGCTGGGGGCGGGTCCTCGGAAGAAACGCGCTTGCGGGGGACGAATGGCGGCATGCGCAAAGCAGGCGCAGAGTACACTTAAATAATGAGATATGGTGTAGCTTGTGGAGAGCAAAGTTGCAAGTCGCCGATATCCGGGCGGAGAAAGGAAAATGGAAGGTGAAATGATCATATCGGCAGATGCCGAGGCCGTTTGCCTCCAACATATCTTTCATCTTAAAACTACTTCTAACATCCTGATTTCCTAAATTCCTGGATTCCTGAATTCCTCACTTCCATCTCCTATCTCCCTTCCTATTTATTCAACGGATTACTCCCATCATGGATGCTGTTAAACGATTCTTCTCTTCCCCGCGCTTTGCTGTGGCGGGCGCCAGCAATGACACCACTAAGTTTGGTTACAAGAGTAAATAACAGTAATGTCGGCCTATTATTTTCTAGACTAACACCGATCTAGTTCTCGCATGGTATCACCAGCACTCACTGCCTGTAACACCACTCAATCCACGAGCAGCACAGATCTCACTCCCCTCGCGTGCTTACGATACGGTTCCCTCACCTGCCGGGCTACCCTCGCCCACGCAGACCTCATTGTCCGTGGTGACACCCCCGCCAGTGACTCTGAAGGTACTTCAAGAAGCCCATTCTGTGGGTATCCCTGCCGTCTGGCTGCAACCTGGTACCTTTGATGACCATGTATTGGAGTTTGCGCGGGGACACTTCGAGGCGGTGATCGCGGGTGATGGGGGCGAAGGTGGAGAAGGCTGGTGTGTATTGGTGGATGGTGATGATGGACTTGAAGCTGCTGGAGTCCAGTGGACAAGTCAAAAACTATAGATATTTGTTTGTAAATAAGTAGATAGAAGCTAGGAGGTGAATAAAGGAGTAAAGTAAAAGAAATGTCTTAGATTTGATGATGTTGGGACAAATCATTTGTATTCTTCAGTCTACTTTTTAGTTGTTTTTTTTGTTTTCCCTTTTTACCAGCCACATCTTTTATTCTTTTTCTTCCTTTTCAACTGAGACTTTCCCTTTTCTCCTTTCCCTTTCTCATCTCATGTTACAATAATGCCCGATATGTCTGCACTCTTTCAGGCATCGCCACCAAAGGTTGACTTCGCCAGTGCACACTCACAGCTCTTCCAAGTCCCCGCATCCTCCTCGACATCCTCTCTATACTCGCTGTCCATCAGTCGCAAGCGATCCCGCCGTGACACAGAAAAGCTCTCGTCCAAATTCGACTTTGATGCCCCCATCACCACTTCACCGCTCTTTCACACCGATCGCGCCGGAGTCGACGATTTCAGCGCCGAGTTCGACTATCGTCCAAACCGGTACCGCGAGTCTTTCCTCCCACCGTCTCTATCCGCGAGTTTCGACTATTCTGGAGCCCCAGAACCTTCCGGCACGAGCCGTAAGCGCAGCAGACGCGACTCATGCATAGCTTCACCAACCGACGATGACCCAACAGATACTCCAGTCACAACACGCCCCGGCTGGGGACGCACCGTGATCAATGTGGTCGGCAAGGTCCTCGATCTTTGCTGGTCGGGTGCATTTAGGGGTTTCTACGCTGGTGGTGGACAAGGCTACGACATGGCTGCAGGCACCCCGGCGCCCTGTAATCCCAACTGGAAATCCCCATCCAAGACGGAGAACGAGAATCAGGTGTGCCGAACGCCCGTTCCTGGACAGTATCCCGAGGATGAAATGGATCGCAGCTGGGTCGTGGTTCCTGATTCCACCGATTCCTTCACCGACACCACCAGTCCATGCGTAAAAGCTCGTCGAATTCACCAAGTCTCGAGTCCGCGTCGACGACAGGCTATAATGCCTAAATTAAGCAAAAGTTCGAACCTGACATCCATGCGGCCATCTACTCCATCGCGCAAGCCAGCGCTTGGTTCGCCACGGTCGAAAGATGGGCCAGGGTCCGCCGAAATGCAACGATACGCGGCACGGGTGCGGCGTAAGGAGCGGGAAGAAGATGCGAGTATTCAAAGACTGAATAAACAGCTTCAGGCGATGATTCGCGAAGGAAAAGAGGCGTTGGGGACAACAGTGGAGGTGGATGATATAGACTTGGACTTTGACTCATCATGAGCAGGGTAGTTGGTTTTGTTTGCTTCTATACTGCTTTTTTCCCTTTGGCTTTGGCTTTCACGTTTAATGATCCTGATACCCCCAAGGCCACTAGCTTCCGAGTGCTCTGAACCAGAAACAATCAGCCTATAGCGCTGAACGACTTACGATCTCGGTGTTCTTTTCTTTCTTTCCTTCTCTATTTCTTTGTCATTAAAGTAGGCTCTGCAGTTTAGCTAAAATTGGGCGATCTTCACCAAGTTGAATACGAACAAGTTTGATGATACATGTATATTTTATATCTGGGGTTGTTGCTGAATCTTTAGACAGGATTAGAGCATCCCCTTAGTATAGCTACCACGAGGTTTTGTACTCAGTATTGAGCAAAGATGTACGAAAACAAACGATGCATAATGAAGGAAAGAAGGACCTGCATTTCGTACTAGAGCCATAAAAACACGAATATACCCAAAAGTTCATCAAATTCCAAGAGAAGACTAGAAAGCCAAAAACATTACATATAAGACCCACCAACTCTCATCAGATTCTGACACTAACTCACTAGAAAACAAATACAGTCTTCAAGAAAGTAAGCGACTCAAAACCGAATATCTCACTGCGACAACGATCTAGTGATGCTTCTGATGCAGGGCAACATAACCAGGCCCATCATGAGGCCCAGCAGCAGCAGATCCAGCAGGAGAACCTGGTTGACCAGGAGCAGCCCCAAAGCTACCATCACCCATCTGAGGGGAGTCACTCTGACCAAGATTAGGACTCTGAGGAGAAAGAGTGTGGGTAAGCTTTCCAAGAGGACCGCTTGAGAGCAGAACGTCGGTCAGAGTAGAGCCTTGGATGGGGGCACCGCCGCGGGCCTCGAGCGTGGTATCACGTCGTCCGTTCATCTAAATCATTTGTCAGATACATGATTGGACTTTGGGTTGGGAGTACATACGGGAAGAAGTCCGACACCGTGGTGGGCGTTACCAAAGAGCGCACCGAGGCCGCTTTCACTGGCTAGTTCAGCGAGGGGGTTGGCTTTGGCAGGCTTGTTAGGCTTGTTGGATTTTTTTGGGTCCGGTGCATTGCTTGCAGCGTTGGCGTTGTTGAATGCGTTAGGGCCATCGGACTTGATCTCCGGAGTCTCCTCGCTCATACCACGGCCAGCTACCTGTAGGTTCTTTAGTTGCTGGCATGTATTTTCTTGGGGATCGACACTTACCGGAAATGAGATAAGACTCTCAGCGGTCTCCAGGCCGGCACGGAAGCCAGCAGCGGAGCTGTCTGTGGCGGTTTCTGGGATAGTCTGAGCCAGGCTACTTTCGCCGAGAGGGCCAAATGTGTTCATGCTACGGCGGTGGTTCTGACCGTAGTTCTGGCCCTCATTTTGGCCGTGGTTCTGGCCGTAGTTTTGCAGGTAGTTCTGGCCCTTGTTCTGTCCGCGGTTTTGACCAGCGTTCTGACCATAGTTCTGTCCAGCGTTTTGTCCATAGTTCTGTCCAGCGTTTTGTCCATAGTTCTGTCCGTGGTTCTGTTCATAATTCTGTCCGTAGTTTTGACCATGGTTTTGACCATAGTTCTGACCCTTTATATTCAATGTCAGACTTTATGATATAGTACAGCGCGTGGGAAACATACCTCGTTTCCGAAGGGCAAGTGGGAGCGAGCCTCCTTGTTCGGGGTGTTTGCTGGGTGAGCTTGGTCCTAAAAAAACTGTCAACTATCTACCCAGTGACTTTAATAAACAGGGTCATCATACTCCACCAAGCAGTTCATCAAGGAGCGGGATATGAGAAAGAGTACCCGTGATCGAACGCGACTGTTTGGCACTATTGCCAAAGAGCTGTCCAACAATAGGCAACTCATCAATAAGATTGCCATGTCCGCTGGACTTCTCGCTTTCTCCACGAGGAGTCAACTCCTTGAGGAGACCCTTCACCACATCATTCACCGCGCCACCTTCGGTACCAGCGCCGATGAAGTTTCCACTGCCAGCCTGGTAAACCGGTGCAGCTAAACTCACAGCTGTAAAGAGTGTGAGAGCATAGGTAGTCTTGACCATTTTGCTTGGTGTCGCTGAATATCCTTATTCCTAAATGAGAGTGAACGTCGCGTGCGACGAGTTTGAGAGAGAAAGGAAAACGGTAAGTGAATGTCGTCGGAATGCGAGCCAACGAGGGATGCGGGAGGCTGGTTTGTCTTATACTGCTGATCCCTTGGGTGGCATTCTAAGATTACTCGGATGAAGGGGTTGACAATCAATGGTTGGCCCCTTGTTCCTCATACGCGGTACCTAAACGCGTGTTCATTTTGAAACACCCCCTCTCCTTGAGAATGTTGCTCTCTGCACGTCTCTTGTTGGCTTGGTGCTTGGAGTTCCGATGAGAATGCTCCGATGCTTGTTTGGAGAACATAAGTCGATCATGATTACAGGGTGAGAATGCAAGGGGTTCTTGTATTGCATGTACTGTAGAGGTTCAGGATATCATGTGCTAAGGTCATAACGCGCTTGGATTCCTAAAAGCTAACTGTGGAAGCGGGACTCTTAGCTAAAGGAGATGTCACACGAGTTCTCCATGAGTGGCTTGTTCGCCGCAAGAGCCGTTCTTGCACAAAATTCCTCAGACATGGCCATATGGGGGTCAACTAGTGGGTCCTACTAAATATCAGTAGGCAAATGACTAACTGATGCTTTCTGTAGGAAAGCAAAAACCTCGTCGTCAGTGATAATCCCTCTATGGGTGATGAGGTCGGCATATGGGGTTGCAGACAGTTTCCGTATCTTGTGTAAAGGGGGGTTTGCAGATAATTTCCATATCTTGTGCAATGGGGATGCTGGTCGAGACGGAACTTTGTGGCCCGAAGACAAGGCCACGATCCAGGCAACAGATGTAGGGACTTACGCTGCCGGGCGAGGTCCGAGAACTGTCTCTTGGACTGGCAAGTTCACGATTTCGTCATAGATCTTTTGGTCGATTTGGCCTATTGCGATACGGTCGCTACCTTTTTTGTCTGTACAAGCCAGACGAACCGCTGGAATGTCACACCTTCGCATAACAGTGATTGTGCCGCCTATAGTAGCGGGTGGGATGATAACGTTCTGCTCGAACTCTATGTTCATCGCTGTGAAATGCAAACACTTGTTCGGTTTTCATCGGTTCTTAGGATCATCTTTCTCATTGAAGTAGAAAAAAGTCTCAATGATCTCAAAATCAGTCCTCTTGTACCATTAGGGTACGGTGATATGGGCCGATGTGGACATACGAAGGGTATGACGCACGATGATTACCAAGTACCCGAGGAACATGATTCCCGAATAGCGATCCCATCAACACGTAGCTACCGATTTGGTACAGCCATAAATTCCACAGCATTCAGCCATAGGGGGCAAGCCTTGCGGAGCTTGCTTAGCACGCAACGCACTAGTGCTGTCAAAAGGAACCTTGTAAGACTTCAGCTCTTGGGATTTCTGAACCAAGCGCAGAATGAGCACGAAAGCGTCATCAAGGATTCAATCATCCGAGCAGGGTTGGTGTCGGCAAACTTGGACAGTTCCTTAAAGGAATGTGCTACGGTAGTGCTAATGATCAGGTTGGCTGCATCAGCTGCGGCTGCGTCACGATGGGCTTGGCAAGTGGTGTTGGCCTTCTGGTACGCAGCGATGATCTCAGCGATAGAACCGTCTTAAGGGAAGACGTTCTCCTTTGTGGCGTTAATGCGGGCTTTAGGCGGCATGATGATGGATCGAATTTATTTAGAGATCAAAGAAACCTCTGTCAAAGCTCTCAAAGTCATAGAGAATTGGTGTCAAAGTGAGTTCAAACTGAAGTAGAAGTAATGTTGGCTGATATAGTGGGGGAGGGGGGAGGAAGAGAAAGTCGAGGTATTTATAGGCAGGTAGCAGGCAGCCAGTAGTCGGTAGCAGGTACTGGCAGAATATATATAATGCTGATCTGAAGATTTAGGTATGTAGTTTTTTATTGAGAAAACCCCTGTAACTGCCTAGAGTGTATCTCTTTAAATCTGAAAGGACCGGTTCGCTGCGTGCTGAATTTGTGATGAGTATTAGACGCGACGGTATAAGCCTTATGGAGCAGATGAGAAGGTGTCTCTATGTCCCACGAGGAATAATCTTAGTCGTCAAGTTGGTGCTCTCTCGTCTTGGTAGGGGCAGGTGACTTGCCGCGCAAACTATGTTTAGTACATGGATGTTTAAGCTTGGTAGTGGTGCGCTATAATTGCACCTGCCAAATGTGGGCCGACATCATTTACCGTGCCTTCTACTTCACGTCCCCAGAAACAATTTCCACCTCTCAACTCTTACCTCCAATTTCTTGTGTGATTCAAATCATTGCCAAGCCACGACAACTTCCATTCGGCTGTCGCCGCAAGTTCAGCGGATCCAAAGAAGTTCACCCTATTCCGATGTCTTCACGAATGCCCCTGTCGCTTCCTCGCCTACACGAGAAAATACACAGCACCGCGACCTCACACCCTCTCATGCTCACCCTGATCTCAACCGATGGGAAAATCCTGGAAGTTGGGGTGCACGGCACACCAACGACACAGCTCCGTTTACACTATGGGACGCAGAGAATCGCAAATTCCGTTGGCCAAATCCTCAGGAAATGCAGTGGGTTCGCGAGAAATTCGGTGATGGCAGCCTCGGTCAGTCGGGTTGGTTTATGTGGATTGAGACTGCTAGCCCCTCTCGACCAATCCCTCTGACTCTCGCATGTTTGCCGGTCATGTTTGTTGGAATCGGGGCATATCCCACCGAAGCGCTTCCAGAGACCAATTATCCATACTCGCGAATCGAGGACCCGTGTCCGGCCGTAGCCTGGCCCAAAATGGCATCTCCAACAAAGGAACAAAACATCATTCTCCTCACCACTCTAGAGCCTTTTGCAAACATCCGAGCAGTTTTGTATTTGCCGAATTGGACCATCGTGGAGCTACACTATGGCGATGGCCGAAGCTATGAGCCGCGAACACACCCACGACTTCGAATTCAGTGGTACCTTATCAAGCTTTCAAATTTTCGTTTTCGATACGCATTTTCAATTATGTATACCTTTAATATACTTATATAATGCACTATAGCTAAACGGGTAGATGCTTGGGTAGATACTGAGTAGGTAGTAGAGTAGGTAGTAGAGTAGGTGCTAGAGTAGGTGCTAGAGTAGGTGCTAGAGTAGTTAATAGAATAGGTTCTAGAGTAGATATTAGAGCAGGTACTAGAGTAGGTTCTAGAGTAGATACTAGGGTAGATATAACTAAGTCTACCTAGGTAGGCTATAGGGAGTATGATTTAGGTAGTTGGCTCGAAGCTATGACCTATGGGTATATATGTTCCTGATCGGGTTAGATAGGATGTATAAGAGTATTTCAGGTAGTATATTCAAGCCTTCGCAATTACAACGGAAACTATACCTGACGAATCTATCGGTGTGTCTATTAATAAATACCACCGCATAAATGAAGTTCAGGTACTGGCGAAATGAAACCCTTCTAGACCCTTGAGCTTGCTCAATTGTCTGTTTCTAACATAGGGTCTCGTGTGTAGCTTAGACCCTATATTGGTATGTGTAGCTCGCCCTAGCGCCATACTACTGTCAGTAACATCTCCACAGGGCAGCTTGTGGCACAGATGAGGAAATTTTGGTTGCGCTACGGCTTTCTGTCCAATTACGAGGGGACTATGTTCGTCAAGCGAACAGCCAATTTTTCCTTCCGCATCTCCTCACCTTTTCAAGCCCTGCACACCGATTTGTCTGTCCGGCAGTGTTTGCAGGGTTCTGTATTCTTGCCGAACAGGCGCATGATTACACCGAGGATTCAGACTTCAAGGGGGAGCGAGTAAGTGGCATTCATTTTGTGTTGGTACATATCCGCTAACCTGAACTACCAGCTTCGAGGTCAGAATGGTCACCAAGCTTCTGTCCGCCAGATCCCACGAAGAATTTCTGTCGCTGAAGTCCATGTCGCTGAAGGCCGTCTAGTGATCGGACTGACAGGGAATGTTACCCCGAATTCAATCATTCTCAGCGGCCAAGGAGGGGCGCTTACAATCTTGAATTGTCTCCCAGATGATTTCAAAACCCGGCCAGACAGACAAGGCTATCTTCGTGATTGACCAGCAGGGAACCTGCTACATCGCAAAGTGCTGGGGGCCCAGACATGAGCGGGCGTACGTATACTATTGACCACTATTGTCCTGGTTCTTTCTCACTTCATGTATCATTCTAGGTCGAATACGGAGTGTACTGTCTACGAGGGTCTATCAGAGTTACGACCTGGAGGTTACGATGTGTTCGTGAATATGATACTCGCTGGGAACATCCTATGCTCAAATTTATCTCCTGGCGAAAGGACAATTGCACTCCCCTATAAAGTTGGACAGGTCCTCACCCGTATTTGGAATGATCTTAATGACCGCGAGCGAACTCACGTCCGTGAGGAGTGCGAGAAGGCAATCCACATTTTTCGGTCTTTGTCAATCCGCGTGCCCGATATTGGAAAGCACAATGTTCCTTATGAAAGGAACACAGCAGCCGTGACCATACTTGATTTCAAAACTGCCATGGAATGTCCCCAGTCAGAACATGTACCGTATGTGGAGCTGCTGTTGCTGTTTGGGGACCCTGTGATGCGTGGACGCACGAGTGGTGGGTAGTAATGTCATGTCATGCTGGTACTGCGCTTGCTCTTACTTGTGTATTTTATTTTTGATTATTTCAGAACTCCTCAAGCTCAATTCAAACTTCGAGCTGGCTTCTTGAATTGATGAAACAAACTTCTTCGCAATGTTAAAGGACTGCGAGGTGGCCACCAATGCGCCGACCTCACAGTGACAGCAAAGGAGTCCATCGCTAGCAAGTAAAGCATGTTATGATGATAAACACCACAACTCGAGAACGAATCATGTGCACGGTTTTCCGCGCGGATGTAGAGACACATTTCCCGGTCGACATTTGAGCGGCGATGGGCTCTTTTCTGGCGAGCGCGACTTCCGCAAGCCAGGGCTCTGCGGCGCCACTCCAGATGGTGTGATCAAAGTGAATCATTTTTCCTCCCCACGTCTGCGGGCGATCGAATAATGACAGGAAACCGGCTCGAGAATGAGGCGTCGGCCGAATAATTTCGAGGCCGGCGGGTTCAGCCTTTTCAAGCCAGTCACCATTGTCGCTGTCGCTATCACCGTCGCTATCGTCGTCGGCATCAGCAGAAACATTTTAGAGGGCTGCGATACGATAGAGTATCCATTGCACCTCGAGAAGATCCAACGATGGCAGGGAATATTGATCTGGGTCTGATGTCGTGAACAGAAGTTTCTTACCAGATTCGAGCACTTCCTTTGTATCGCCACAGTACAGGAGTGAGACTCTATTTCCTAGAATCGGGGGCCGTGGTAAGATCTGGTTTCGTTCCGACCAACACAGCCCGTAGCTGTGTCTTTGGATCTCTCCGCCGGTGTTGAAGCGACGTTCATCTTGCCTTTGGAATCACTTTCCTTATGCTGGGCACTTCAACGGACGATTTTGCTAGGCAGGACCTTTAATATTCGAATGCGGTTTACCGTTCATCCACTCAGTACAAAGCAAAATAAAATCTCCTGCCTTAGAGTATGATGCGATATGTATACTCCTCCCTTTTATGTGTTGGGTTTTCGCATCAGTGTTATATGCGCGTTTTTAGAGGGATGGCGCACTTTTGCGGTTAAAAATATTCTGAGCAGAGCGAGCCCTCGCTGGATTACCAACAGAGTAGTTTTCCGAAAATTTCGACACCATTTCTGGAGCCAAGAATAAGATTGCATAATCAGTGAAGGTTGTGAATTAGGTAAATATTTATATGGATTTAAGTCTTGATTTTTCGGTATCTCCCAAGGATATGCAAGTGACTGGTGACTATAGGCTTTCCACCGCTCAAAAAGCGCGGCGCCTACTTAGGTATTAGACCACACCTCCTACTATATCTCCTACTCAGTCTCCTACTTGGTATCCTATCTAGTATTCTACCTGCTTTCATACCGTACAAGTCAAATGGTCAAAGGGCTCTCCAAAATTATAAATCGCGGTATAGAAAGTAAAGAGAAGAGAAGAGAAGAGAAGAGAATAAAAATAAAACATATAGAAAAAGGGGGAAAAGGAAAAGTTAAGAGGTTTCGAATGTACATCTAAACTATCTGTAGTATACCTAAGTAGAAGAGCGCTACTGAATCTATGTAAGTTTAGTAGTTTATAGCTTCTATAGAGAATATTATATCTAGGAAGTATTCAAATCAAAGTATAAATTTATAGAGACCCTTATTATATTAACTGAGCAACATAGTCGTAGTCAAAGTTAGAATATCTAGAAAAAACTCATTTGGTCTCTGGATCTTTTTAGAGCCACATTTACTCATCCAAGGCCGACTGGCGCAATGGTAGCGCGTTAGTTTCCGGTTATCAGACTACTAAAGGTTGCAGGTTCGAATCCTGCGTCGGTCGCTTACTTTTTGTATTTTTTGTGATTTTTCTCGAAGGTTCAGCCACCTAGATCCACCGTGAGGATGATCTTTTATTGGTTGCATGTTGAGGTTCCAGGGATATTCTGCCTGGCTATTATTCCCACCGCCTTCAAGTATACCTGAAGGTTCAGTCACGGTGAGGATGATATTTTTTTTTGATTTTGTGTAACGCTGATGGGCATATCCCGTTCTTATGCCTTAGATCCTTTTTCTTCTCCAATAACACCCCCAAATGACCTTTCGACTTCTCTCCATATCACCTCTATTGGAGTATACGGGGTCGGGTCAGCTGACCCCCTCACGTTTGTCAGCGCTGCATGTCTTTAGCTAGATCTCTCTCTCTCTCTCTTTCTCTTTCTCTCCTCCATACCTCTCGGAATAAATATCCTGTCCCTTTCTTCTGTTTCCACGCTACTATGTAGCCCTTTCTTCCCTTGGACAGCAGATCAGCTGTCGACAACCTCCCAAAAAGCTGCTCAGCTTGTTGATGTACCGCAATACCCACCTAGGGTAGAACAATCCGTTTAAGAATGGTTGTCTAAGCCTTGAAAATCCGGAGCGAGTCAAACTTCATCGAACTGCGATTAGAAATTCACCTGGCTCCACGATTCTCTTCTATATGTGGCCGATGAGTATCGGCTGGCTTACGGGAATGTGAGGACCCACCCCGCGGAGTTTTATGAGTCCGTGCACCAATCGAAGTACACCCTTCTAAAGAGGGGCCGTACATACGAGTTTATGAAATATATTTTAATAAAGTTAAGGATCAAAAGCTTGAAGTGACATTTGTTTTTTCAGGATGGGATGGGTTCACCACGAACGCAGTCAGCTTCGTGGATATCTTCGATCCATTCTGTTCACTTCCCACGAAATCCAATATCCGCGTTTACGCTAATGTTCCTCGCCGATTCCACGAAGTGAATATACTCCAAGCATGCCAGCTCTTCCATGGTGAGCTGGATATCGATGCCGATGAAAGCCAACTAGAATTCTCAACTGCACTATTCGTGAGGAACTTTCTCATGATAGCAGGCGCAAAAAGCGGGATTTCGGAGTCAGTACGGGAGGTAAGATATCATGAACCAAGACTTAAGGCTTCGTACATACTAATATTACATAGCTTCTCGACGTCTCGATGCACCGGAACTCCCACTGGGAGAACCCGTTCAAATATGGATGTCGAGACCCGGATTGTTCAGAGCGTTCCAAGAATACCGTCGTGCTGCTTCTTCATGTGCATCATAAGCATCCAGAGCTAGTCACATTTGATGGCAAGGCCCCGGTGGTCGAATGTGAATGGTGTAAGAAGCCATTTTCCCGCCCTGATGCATTGGAGGCGCACCGAAAGGTGTGCAAAGCCATCCCAGAGTACACGCCGCCTGCGAAGAAGCCAAAGCGCGCCCCTCGTGGGGCTCTCAAGGAGCTGAGGGAGGCGAGCAATCGGCAGCCCGGGGGATCCGACAATGGGGCCAAGCTGTACCATCAGCTAAACGCAGCCGATGCGCTGCGTCTACCCCGGGTAGACGCAGAGTCCCCAGTGATTTACCGCGGTGAAGTCCTCTATCGCTTTGAAGGGTGTACGTTGCCAACTCGGTTTGTAGGGCCGTCGAAACTCCGCCGACACTATCTCCTCAACCACCAACTCTCTTACCGCCCAATACCCGAAAGTGGGGGCGGACGCTCACGAGCAGCATGCCGCTGGACTGGCGTGGCTTGCCAGAGTCGCCCATTTTGGGAAGGAGAACGCAGGCGAACCTCCCCCCGAACCAGTGCTCTGGTAATGCCTTGTGGGGCTGACTTTGTTATTTTGTTTTTTATATTTACAGTCGATATATTTTCTCCGACTCGAGCATCAGCTACGCCTGACTTGTTTACATCGCGGAAAGGCTTTTCCGTCAAGCCCCGCTCTGCAGCTGTCGATGACGATACTAATGTTACCATCACTGCACCCGCTACCGACAATTCGGACGGTACCGATCATAAGACCGTCCCTACACACGACGCCCCAACGGGAATCCTCACAGGCGATAAACCTACGGATATTACCGCGAAAAAGCCTAAGCCCAACGATATCGCCAGGATCTCACATACCCAGGATAGCGGCGCCTCCTTCGAGCTAATTCACTCCGCAGCATCCGCCGCTACTGGCACTGGTAAAGACCACAAACCATGGGCACCGATCAAATCAAAGGTTCGATTGGACATGGCACGCCCACTGCACGACGTTGTCTACAATCTGAGTTGTTCTATGACGCTCATTGACCGCACTATGGTCGCTTTTACAAGACGAATTCGGGAATTGGGTGTTAGTGTATTTCCGCAAGGACGATGGGGAGTATACTAGGGGGAGGAGTATTTAGTACTTTTGGATATTTCTTTCCTGGTTTTCTTGCTTTCGAAGGGTTGGGGATTGGCGGCGATTTTGTGCTATAGACCATCTTAAAGGCTATGAGTATTCTTATCAGTCTCTTACTTGGTCTCCTGGTTAGCCTCCTACCTAGTATTCTCCCTGGTATCCTACCTAGTCTCCAACTTGGTATCTTACTTAGTCTTTTATCTACCTACTTCACGAAGAACTAGATCCGCAGATATTACAGGTGTATGAGCTATACCCTGTCTAGAACGACTCCCCTACAAACAAGCCAAACAGTATGGTTGGCAGGAGATTCGGTCGGCTGTCCGGCCACCTCATCTCCCCTTAAGTCAGCCACATTCACTTCACTAAAACCGTGGACGAGCATGGACTTACGCAGAGACGATACTGATGTGATAGAATTTTTTTATAACAATTAATTTACTCGCCCTACAAAACGCCAGAAATCTGATATAGTCGGGCACTCCACCTGTTGGAAGTCATTTTCCTAATAAGAGTAACATAGGGTAGTATATTTAGCAATTCAGATAAGCAGTCATGATATGCAGATCTCGACATGCATGACGATCACAGTCAAATTCCATATCTTATCATTCGTACCAAATTAATAAACTCTCATCCATCCTCATATTTATCTTACTACCCGGTCATCGTCAACAATCGGGAAGCCGTGCGCCATGAAATCTCTGTTCGGGCCGAAAATTCTATTCCATATCGGATAATCTTGAAATCTCTTACGCACTCTACCCGCTTACATTCGGCAATCAACGCCAAGTGTTGCTCTTATCCAATGAGAGCCGCGCTGGATAGAAAGCTTTTACTAATTTAAGAAGATACCGAGGCTCACGGCTATTAATGTGGGTCTTCAAGTAACCGTGAATCCTTATGGTGGCAAGGATCCCAATTCTTGTTTTCATATTGAAAGCTCTATCGGATCTGCCCTGAGACTATTTTGTTGAAATGGTAGGATCATATCGATAAATCAATTCAAACAGAAGTTGGGTAATTGTCAACAAAACACTTGGCAAGGCAAGCTCTCACTATGACAGCTTTCAACGGGGGCGAGGCCTCGCTACCCTCCAAAATCCCTTTCTGGCGTCTGATTTTCGATCAAAAAGTCATCACGGAAGAAGTAGCTAGATACCCTTATGCGGGATCTGGCACTGAAGATGATCCTTACGCAGTTGTCTGGATACCACGCGATCCTCGTAACCCGATGAACTTCCGCACAGTCAAGAAATGGGCGATTACGATCTTAGTCTCATTTGTCACACTAGCAGTGGCCTTGGTATCATCCGCTTATTCAGGTGGAATGAGTCAGATCATTGAGGATTTTGGTGTTGCAGAAGAGGTAGCCATCCTTGGAGTATCGCTCTTCGTCCTAGGATTTGCCATCGGCCCTCTGATCTGGGCACCACTTAGCGAGATCTTCGGTCGTCGTCATATATTCACGATTAGTTTCGCATTCTTGACTGCTTTTAATGCTGGTGCCGCAGGATCCAAAAATATCCAGACCCTCATCATTCTCCGGTTCCTGGCTGGCTGCTTCGGATCTTCGCCATTCGGAAATGCAGGCGGCACGATCGCAGACCTGTTTCCAGCCTCGCAGCGTGGTATTGCAATTAGCTTCTTTGCCGCAGCGCCGTTCCTGGGTCCAACAATTGGTCCGATCATTGGAGGCTTCCTTGCTACAGGAGCTGGCTGGCGCTGGGTCGAGGGATTCCTCGCTGCCTTTTCCGGTGTGCTCTGGCTGTGCATTATTTTCCTGCTCCCAGAAACCTACGCTCCGGTTCTTCTCCGTCGCCGAGCCGCAAAGCTCTCTGAGATGACCGGGCAGGTATACCGCAGTAAGCTTGATATTGAGCGCGGGCCGGTGCCAATAGGCAAGACGCTTAAGACGGCCCTGTCTCGCCCATGGATGCTATTATTCCGCGAACCGATCGTGCTTCTTTGTTCTATCTATATGTCGATTATTTACGGAACGCTCTATATGCTTTTCGCCGCTTACCCGATCGTGTTCCAGGAAGTCCGCGGTTGGAGTGAAGGCATAGGCGGCCTCGCTTTCTTGGGTATTCTAGTCGGAATGCTCTGCGCTGTTGCTTATACCTTCCCAGAGAATACGCGATACGCAAAGAAATGCTCCGAGACAACCGATCGACTCGCACCGGAGCTCCGACTTCCTCCCAGTATGGTCGGTGCCGTCGCCCTCCCAATCGGACTCTTCTGGTTCGCTTGGACGAACTCTCCCAGCATCCATTGGATGGTATCCATCGCGGCCGGTGCTCCATTCGGATTCGGCATGGTTCTCGTCTTTCTAAGTGTATTCAACTACCTCATCGACTCGTATACGATCTTCGCTGCCTCCGTCTTGGCAGCTAACTCGGCGCTCCGCTCGTTATTCGGCATGGCCTTTCCGCTTTTCACCACATATATGTATCAAAACCTAGGCATCCACTGGGCGTCTTCCATCCCTGCATTCCTATCGCTGGCTTGCGTACCATTCCCATTTATCTTCTACAAATACGGAGCTCAGATCCGCCAGCGGTGCACCTTCGCTGCTGAAGCAGATGCGTTCATGCGCCGGCTCGCTGAGAAGAACCAGGCAGAGATTGCCCAGGAGAAGACGGAGACGACTGCCACGGCTGCAGATGGTAACGATAGTGACAGTGATTCTTTGTCTACTGTCCCATCGCGGATTAGCATTAGCCGACGTATGTCGCGTGCGTCGCGGGCTTCTCGACAGTCTGGACGATCATTGCATCGCACTGCTACTGCGACGCAGTATGAGGAAAATCCGTACGACCTTGACTTGGTCAATACTCGGCAGTCAGCTATCAGTGGCCATCACAAGAATTAAATGGCGCATGCGTGGAATTTCCGCATCATCGTACAAATTCCTTGATATTGAGTTGAACTGCTGGTAACATGTATGAAACCGGTAACCAAGTGGAGGCTTAGCACGAGCGAAACAGCTGTGCGATCATTTGCATAGAAAGTTATATTTTTAATAATACCCAATAATACTTCGAGATCACAAATTTAATTCAATTAATGGTCGACAAGATATGTAGTGCTTAGTTAGTTCTCAAGCGCTTCATTTTACTCATTGCCGGGAATGCAAATTCCTGATCACTCATCAACATTTGCTCCACAGCCTCGGCCCATCTCCACCTCGGCCTAGCGCAGCCATATAACAACCCCTTGAACAATACACCGATCACACCATCAGCAGATTTCCCAAGGAATCAATTGGTGGCGCAAAATCAATCACAATGACAAGCAAGATAGACGCATACGTTGACTGTGGTAAGATTCCAGCCCGCCGCAAGAAAGCGCAATTGCATTGCTAATTCCACTAGTCTCGCCATACTCATACCTAGCAGCGCTCCACCTGCAGCGGAATCGAAAGGCACTAGAGTCCCATGGAGTGGAAATTGAGTGCGTGGCACGATACATCGGTCTAACGGGATAAGCTAATGATCCAATCCGATGGTCCAGGCTCCATCCGATCTTCTTAGGAGGCGTCAATGTTGCCTCTGGTACTGAATCCGTAATTAAGCCCCAGCTATCTGTTGCTAATGCATATTCAAGGAAATAAACCTCCGTGGACATTACCCGCCAAAGCAGCATATGGCAAATTCGACATGCAGCGGGCATGCAAGTACTTCGATGTCCCACCAATCAAGACACCTGATTTCTTCCCTATCCTATCAATCATGGTGAGTACCCACTATCCACACAGTTCAATTTATACTCACCACTCAAAAATCCAGCCCCAACGCTGCTTGATCTATATCAAGAAGAACCACACCCGCGAACAATTTGAAAGGACATTCCTCTCATTATCAGAGTGGATGTACCACAAGAACATCGATGTCAGCAAGCCTGAGAATCTGGCTAACCTCCTTCAGAGCCATGGCTTCTCAGATGAGGAGATCAAGAAGATCTTAGCTGCGGCGTCTAGTCCGGAATATAAGGAAGCGCTTACGGCGAATACGCAAACAGCACTCGATCTGGGGGCCTACGGAGCGCCCTGGTTCTGGGTGAGGAATCGAGAGGGCAAAGAGGAGCCTTTCTTTGGTAGTGATCGGTATGACTCTAATTTGACTTATTTATCCTTGGAGATTTCTAACTCGTTCTAGGTTCACATATATGTGGCAATACTTGGGGTTGCCGTTCCAGGATATCGCTATTATTGGAGAGAAAGCGAAACTGTGAATTTGCTTCCAAGCTTTTGGGAAGTCCCTAAATAGTGGATAGGATCAGATATATATTTGAGCTACCTACCTATGCTTATAATTTATGTGACACAACAAGTGGACTTCAAAATAAACACCTTTTCACGAAACTACTGGAATGAAGAAGGAACCGAATGAAGAAAAGAAACCACAATTTCAAACGCCTGTATGTCCGCGGCTTGGAATAAATACAATAAATGGAGAAACACATAAGTCTCATTTGTATGTATCTGTTTGAAGAAGAAACGTCATGGTCAGTATTATTCAGAGTAAAGACAACGAAATTAAATTAAATCATGATCGCCTTGATAAGTAACACCAGGAAGAGCAACATATTTATCATGATGTCCTAATGAATATAGCATAACCGATAGGAGCTAAAAGATTAAAAAAGCTTTAGTGAATTTAACAGCGGAACATGGTAGACATGATTACTCGATCTGAAAATAAGGTTGAAGTTCTTCGTTTGCCAGGCGTATTCTTTCATAAAGCTATATACAAAATGCAAAATCCATTTAATAGTACGAAGGTCAAACATACATGAACAGAGAGGGAAGAGGGAAAGAAGATGATATGCCTGAGCGTACCTAAAGCAAATGTCAGAGACTTAAACAAGATATATGAAAGATCGGCTGAGACTTTCGATCAAGACCTTCCATAACAGAAACATTTTGCATATGTAATTAAATTTAGCCATTGCTAAGGTTAGAAAGAGTCCATTGATCTTCAATTTCGTTATGGAGTATGGAATTCAGGTGACGCTATGTTTACTCCAGCACGTGCATTTCTAGATGCCTCTCTCTCTGTCTTCATATCTCCCTCTCCTTTTCAGAAGTTAGATGTTTTGATCTTCATTTTGTTTCCATGCTTCATCTACCCCTCTATTACTGACACCGCAGACTTTTCCTTTTTTCCCCTTCTCCTACTACTTCACTTTTCTCTCTTTCTGTTCTATTCCGCTATATTCCGAACCCTGTGATCACTTGATTAATATGGTACGAAAGAAGGTAGAATACTGAATAGGATACCGAGTCGGAGAGTAAGTAGCAGACCAAGTAGCAGACTGGGTAGGAGATATAGTAGGAGATGTGGTCTAATACCTAATTAGACACCGCGCAAAGAGCGCAGCGGCGGAAAGCCTCTAGTATTATGTAACTCCCTATGACGTTGTCCCGGGAAACGCACCGTGCGGAACGACCGGGCCGTGCGAGCCGCATTTATATCCGGCTTATAGGGAGGACATCAGCAGCTTTACAATTAATTATATGCAAACAGAAACACGTCATTCGGTATAAAAGATAAATCCGTCATTCACATGTGCAGATCAAACAATATAAAAAACCCTTTTACCCCCCCCGCAATTCAGATAGAATCCCATCATCTCTTGCAAACCGGCTAAGAACTAAGCCCCAAATTCCAACTTCCCCATTACCCCACGTCTGCCCCACGTAAAGCTTGGATTTAAAGACCATCCGACCACCCCATCACCAAATCTTTTCATCCCGAACAAATTTCTCAATTGCCCATACATCTTCACCATGTCCGGAACAAACGTGACCTTCATTGGCCTCGGCAACATCGGCCGAGTAAGCAAAAAGCTATCCATGAATGAAACCCACGGCTAACAATACCAGGGCATGAGCGCCAACATCGCCAAAAAAGGCCCCCAAGCAAGCCTAACTCTCTACAACCGCACGACGTCCCGCGCAACCGCCCACGCCGCCACTCTCGGCCCTAACGTAAAGGTAGCAACCAGCCTCCCCGAGGCCGTGCGCGATGCCGACATAATCTTCACCTGCGTCGGCGACGATGCCGCCCTCGACGGCATAACAGCCGGTATCCTCGTAAACACTACAATCGACTTCAGCAACAAGACAGTGGTCGATTGCTCAACCGTCCATCCTGAGACGTCACGCCGTACAGAAGCCGCGTACGAAGCCCGTGGCGGATCGTTCGTTGCAAGCCCCGTCTTCGGCGCGCCTAACATGGCTGATATTGGTGCTTTGATTATTGTTCCTGCTGGGAAACAGAGTGCTATTGCGAAAGCGCGCCCGTTCTATGAGGGTGTTACGGCTTCGAGGACGATTGATTTGGCCTCTGGGTCTGGGGCGGATATTGATGTTGGGAAGGCAACTACGATGAAGGTTATTGGAAATACGTTTATTTTGAACACGGTTGGTGTGTTGGCTGAGGCTTTGACGGCTGCTGAGACTACGGGGCTGGGAGTTGAGCCGTTGAAGGAGTGGATGGAGATTTTTGCGCCGGGGCCGTTTGCTAAGTATGCGAATCGGATGGTGTCGGGAGATTATTATCAGCGTGAAGAGCCGTTGTTTGCTGTTGATCTTGCGCGGAAGGATTTGCGACATGCGGCTGCTTTGGCTAAGGAAGGTGGGCAGCGGATGAGAAATGTGGAGGTGACTGATCATCTCTTATCTGTTGTTAAGGAGGAGAAGGGAGCTAAGGGGGATATTGCGGGGGTTTACGGAGCTGCTAGAAAGGAGGCAGGCTTGGAGTATGAGAATCAGAAGTGATTGGCATGTAGACTTATAGAAGTTGTACAGTTTCTTCTTGGTTCAATGCCATTTCATTTCAAACTCGTCTCCGAACTAATTGGAGAAGCCGTAGCAAATCTGAGTTTATATCCACAAGAAATCATTAAGTACTTATACATGAGCCATTTTGAAATGGCTTGTTTTTGATTGGAGGTTTGGTTTTCCAATGGGAAGCTTACTACTCGGTGATCTCCAAGTCGTGGTGCTGGTGCTCACCGGCACCGCCCTCGACAGGCTTGGGCTCGTGAGGAGCATGAATGTCGGCAACAATACCCTCGGGGGCAACCCAGCTGGAAGACTTCCATGGCTTAACGTGCAGAACGTACATGGTGTCGACCTCCTCAAGAGTGCGACCCTGGGTCTCGTTGACGAAGAAGAAGACGACAAGGACAGCAGCGAAACAGCAGGCGGCGAAGACGTAACCGTAGCGGTAGTCAATGGCGCTGGAGATGAAGGGGGTGAAGAATGAGATAAGGAAGTTCCAGGTCCAGTTGGCGGCGGTAGCGACTCCCATGCAGGTGGCACGGTAGCGGAAGGGGTACATCTCACCACAGATGGCCCAGACAATAGGACCCCATGTGGTGGCGAAACCGACGATGAAGAAGCAGGTGAAGACAATCATAACCACACCGGCAGAGTGCGCTGAGGGGTGGGGGGTGAGGATCTCGTGTCCAACAGAGGCCCAGATCATGAAACAGACGAACATCCAGGCGCCACCGATCATCAGGCACTTACGACGGCCGAAGTGCTCCACGATATACAAACCAGGCAGGGTCATACCGAAGTTAACAGCCCCCAGAATGATAGAGGTAACGTAGGAGTTGCTAATACCAACACCGTTGAAGATAGAGGTACCGTAATAGAAGATGAAGTTGGCACCAGTCAATTGCTGCAGGGACTGCAGAGCAATACCCAGCATGGTACGGTGGAACATGCGGGGACCGGTGAGGATCTCGTGCCAGGCAGCAGTGCCGACAGCACGCTCCTCGTCAAGCTTGTGCTTCATGTCGGCCATCTCCTGGGCAATCACACGGTGGTTGGTAGGGACACCATACAGCTTGGCCATAACGTTGCGAGCCTCCTCGACACGGCCGTGGCGGTAGGCGAAACGGGGGGACTCGGGCAGGAACAAGGTACCAATACCCAGGATGAGGGGCCAGGCAAAACCGATACCCATGGTGATACGCCACGAGGCAGTCGAGTCGATGCGAGAGGTTCCGAAGTTGACAATGTAGGAGATGAAAATTCCGAAGGCGACAAACAGCTGGAAAGCACTGACCATGGCACCACGGACCTGGCGAGGAGCCGACTCAGACTGGTACATGGGGACCACGCTGGACAGGGCACCAACACCCAGACCCATGACCCAACGACCCATTGCGATCTGGACCCACTTGTCGGTAGTGGCAATCTGTACAATGATACCGACCATGTTGATCACAGCCCAGAAGGAGATGGAGTACTTGCGGCCAATACGGTCTGCCATGGGAGCAGCAACGAGGGCACCGATCATAGTTCCGATAGACAGCTATAGAAGCAATCCTGTTAGTCTTCCATAGATCGCGTGACCATACATGAAGAAACATACCAGGCCAACAATAAGACCATTGCGGACGTTGCTGAAAGCATATTCACCGGTGGAAGCGTTGTACTCGGCAAATCGCATCTTGAAGTCGGTCATGGAGGTGAAACCCGAGATTTGACCTAGATTTCAACATCAGCACTGTGATCAACCGTTGACCAAAGCTGTCGTGGAACCTTACCAGTGGAGTAGCCGAAGATGAAACCACCCATAGAGACACACAAACCCAGAATGAATGAGCGCCATGTCAAGTACTTGACGGGGCTGTCATCGATCATGGTGTCATCCTTCTCAATCGTTGAGTCGGCGCGGGCAGGGGTAGCAGCCTGTGAGGAGAACTGAGAGTCCTGAGCCTCAGCAGAAGGCTTAAATTTCGAAAGGATGCCCATTGTGATAAAGACCTATCCAGGTGGGTTGATTACTGGAAAGGGGTTGGAAGATCTATGGGAAAGAAAAAACAATCGATCCCATCCAAGGGGGAAAAGCCGTCAAATAAATACACGGAGACTTCCCCCCCCCCCCTTGGGGTACCATGGCATGGGGGCCCGGATCTTACGTCCCACGTTTGGCATCGGAATAAGGCGGAGGAAATTTCTCTCCATGGGCATAACTCAGTCTCCATACTGTTTGGAGGGTTGAGGTGGAGAAGGTGGAGAAGGGTATTCCAAGTGTGAAGTTCACGTGAGCCGCAAACGGGGTAGGTACAGAACATTTGTAGCTATACTCCGGAAATTTCATCTTATCACTTAATTTAGTTCATTAACTATTTCCAAGGTTCTAAATTCTATTCTAGTCTGGCGTCATATTCATAGCTCAACGTTGATGTTTTCAATTCAAGGTTCCCGAATGCATCAAATGTCTTGATTTTTGCATACCAACGCATAACCTAGAATGTCTGGCATGTAAATCAGTACCATAAGCCGAGTTAACTTGCCACCTTCTAGAAACCTGCGAAAAACAGTAACTGGGTCCGGGAATAGCGAATGAAATTGTGGTTCCTGACGGAGCAACGGATAGCGTCCGTGGGTTAGACCACCAAGTTGGGATCAGCCGACGTCGATGACGAAGGAGAAAAGAAAAAAAACCCTCAATCCACGTCATGGGGAAGAAGGGAAACTGTAGCGAGTCTCCATTTCCTTGATCAAGTTGGTCTAGACCTAGATCAGCTAAATTAATCAATGACTTACAAGCAAACATTGAACATTTGGACTTGTCAAGTCTTGCAGGTGCTACTTGTTGCGTATGTAAATGCCCGCTGAATCGGGAGGGCGCAGGGTGAGTTTTCACAATCTTTAGGTAAAAAGTCTTTCCGCTTTCCAGTTTCCAATAAAATGGCATTGTATTAAAATAAAACGTTACCATACTGTACCTTGATTTGAGTGGGTCATTAATCATTCACTGTAGGAACGGCCGAGCCTGTCTCAGATGACGATCATCTAGACAATCTTGGAAGCTTGGCAGCCAACATTCAATTGACACATTATGAAAGTTTTACTGATAACTTTCGTGCCAAAAACTTTACAACAATACTGGGTATTCGTCTAGATTATATATCAACCCCGGTGAAGCTTTTGTGTGCGAGAAAAGTTGAACTGATAAGAGCATGACAACGCAGACGAGCGGTTCGGTGTGTTAATCTGTAGTTGAATGAAGCAGGCCCCACCTAGTGGGTGGCTTCGGTGCAATCCCGTGTTGATTTTCGATCCGTTGGGCTTTGTATGGGCCCCACCTTGACCAAATCGGCACACCGACAGCTCCCTATCCCGAGTCCGAATGGACTCGGCATTCGGGATCGTATGGTCTTGGAGATAGTACAAAAACATAAGTACATGAGTATATCTTTATTCACATGGTCTGGATTTATCTCGGTGATATGGATATCTGTGCTTTCAAATATACTTAGCCATTTTCCATGGATAACCGGAATCAGAGTCGGCATTGAAAACTCTTACATTCTCGGGATGCCGAGTGCAGATACGGGATCGCCTTCGGAGTGGATACCCGACGGAACCATCGTCTCAATTTTCACCGACCCACTCAGACTAAGACCCTTTTGAGATCTGCGGTGAACAAGCTAGGAAACTATCTGGGTCAGGTCACTTATCGAAAAATCCAAAATTGAGAAAAGGGGCTTGGTGGGACCGGTTCCCATGCTCCTTCCTAAATCATGCCAGCGGCTTTACAGACGTCCAATCGCTTCCTGACTCGTTATCTCTCTTGATTTATCTGATCGATTTGTTGTAAGCTCCTCTGTGCTACAGAGCGTAGTGGTCGGTATACACGAAATACTGTGAAGGGGTTGCAATCATGCCTAGGGATGGTTGTGAAAGATATTGACGTGAATAGATGTAGTAATGCGACATGAAAAATAATATTTAGATACATGAAATTTTTACGGTCTGCAATGAAAAATTATTTATCGTTCCAAAATTTAAATATTTTTGACTCCAAATCCTATTATAGAAATATCCATGAAGATCTCAACCATCGTACAGTATGTACTCCGTAGTACGAAGCACTTCTCCAACATGAAACAGGGACCCCCCCCCCCCCCATAATGAGTCGTCATGTATGGAGCAGTTGTGATGCAAATCCTGCAGTGCAGACTCAAATCTCCGCAGTGAGCTAAACAATTCGGCAATGTTGATTGCCAGGGAGTACGGAATAAGCTTAGATATTCCAAGATATTTTCAGGACTTCACCTATGAAATCATATCATCAATCGAGAGTCATAGACTCACAGTTATCTCGCCAAATGAGATATTATAATCGCCCATTCCCAGGGTTCTCACCGGTAACCCTCAGTTGACGGGTCCTACCATTAAACAACATTGGAAAGTCACACAGCAAATACGTATCAAGGTGGGGTAGGACTATCTTTGCTGCACGCATCACCCCATACTCTAGACTCCGCAAAAGGATGTTGTGCGGAGTAAATAGTGCTTGGGCCTCAAAGGGTTGAAAGGTGGATTTCCTTTTCGACTGACTTTTAACTTGCTTTACTCAGCTGAAAAAACTGAATGTTTGCCCACGAAAAAGCTTCTGTAAATGTTAATGGCGATGATATATCTCCAAACTACTTGTATATTTCAATGGGGAATATGGTACTGACAATATGAATTTATGGTAACATTGAACAAACATTCGCTTAAGCACTTGACAACAGATCTCACCATTCAAAAGGCCGAGTTGATTTCCTAGGCGCTGATTCTCATTCCATAATACTACTGCATCATCTAAGTAATTCTTCTGGGCGATTGAGCTAGTGAAGTGCCTCGTAAAATAGCAAGTTTTGCGGATACTGATGATGGTCTGCGTGCTCCATTCGGCCTCTTTGTGGATTTTCAGAACGGCTGGAAACCGGTAAATGAAATAAGATGCATGATAAACGCCCGGTCAAGCAGAAACACCGGAGAATTGAACGACTACTGCGATCTTGTGACTGGGTAGTCTGACAAATCGTATTCTTCTCCCCTCCAGAGAAACCCTTCCTGATAGGAATGGAAAGATCGCAAGTAGAAAAAAAGATTCTCAGTGGGTTGCGAGCTCTGATGGCCTGATCTGTTTCCCCTTTCTGATAAGCAAGAAAGCGACTGCAAGCTGGGCTACTGCGAACCCGATCAGCACCTGGAATTGAATTCGGTAGCTCTCGGAGAAATTGTCTTGCACCCGACTTCGAATGTTCGGTGGGAGGCTTGAGAGAGATTCAACGTTATGAAGCAGTTTTTCATAAGCATCTTTCGGAATTAATTGCGAGACTCCACTTTTTAAACGTCCATTGAAAATGTTCGAGGAAATTGAAACACCAAGAGAGCTGCCCAGGTAGCGCATTTGAACAACAACCCCGGAACCTTCCTCTGTGGTAAGAATAAATTAGCAAATCAAAACTTGAAAGTCAACACGCCTCACTATTGTCTCACTTACGAAGATCCTTGGGGCTCAGCAAATAGGGTACTGAAAAAATGGATATTCCGTATGCAATTCCCATGCCGCAGCCCGCGATGACTTCGTAGCCATATCCGGCAGCAGGGAACACATTTGATGTCGGAAGAGTAGACAGAAGCACTATCCCAACAAGATTCAGAACCGCACCTGTGAGCAGAATAGGCAAAAAAGGGATCCCCAATCTCGTACTAATGACAATGGCGATTGTTGACGAAAAAGCTGTGACTCCGGAATACCCGAGTAGACGAATGCCAGCCATTAAGGCAGAGTCTCCCAGTAGAGCTTGGAAGCGCTGTGGCAGGTACACGATGATGGAATTATAGGGAATCCCAACAATAAAACTTGTTCTGTGGCAGTCAGTCAAGATCTAACCTGGTGAAAGATTTCTCAACGTGTCAAAATACTCACAAGAAAATTCCAATTAAAGGCCAATTTGAAAAGAACCGTTTTGGGAATACTGGCTTTATATGAGGTTCCTTGCTGGAAATAAGGATCTCCCAAGCAAAAAAGGCTGCCCAGAAAGCCGCTGACATGATGATCAAAACAATAGCACTGGCTGAAGACCATGAGATGTGACTATTTGTTTCGTCAAGTATAGTCACCAGCATAAGGGAGCCACCAAGTAAAAAAAACATTCCAGGAAGGTCGATCCTCCACATCAACAAAAACCATGATTTCGTTGATGAATGCAGAATCTTCGGCCCTTTAGAGAAGTGGGGTGGCATTGAGATGACTGCTATGAGCATAGCTACGCAGCCTGGAGGGAGACTAAAGCGTGTTTCAGGAAAAATATCAAAACGCAAGTCTCATGGGGCTCACATACTTCAGATAAAATAACCATCTCCAAGCTGAGTTTCGGCCAAGTGCACCCCCAATGACGGGACCTGTAATCGTTGCTAATGCGATGGTTATTGATATCAAGCCACTGAATGTCGCAAATTTGGCCTTGGGAACCAGCTGATAGACACAGAGCATGACCAATGAATACGTGCCTCCACCACCCAATCCTTGGAAAGCACGGCATATTATCCTGTGAAATCGTCAACACGAAAGCCTATAATAGATATGTGAGTAACGCACAGTTGAGTCCCTGTTTTTGATAGTGCGCACCCCAAGGAGAATGCAAGAAAAATCCCCATTGCTGTCAGGTATGTATTTCTCCATCCCCAGATCCCGCACACCCTTGTCCACAAAACGATGAATCCTTTCCATATTAGCTGTAGTTAAAAAAATATCACTGCCTGCTATGCTAACCGGTATAGGTAATCAAATATGAAGTTATGATCCAGCTTGTTTGAGTGAAGCTTCCAAGATCACTTGTGATAGCGAATAACGAAGTACTCATTATTGTTCCCTCCACATTGACAAGAAATAGACTTAGCAATAGACTAGTTGGGCTCATTAGGATGAAGGTTTGTAACTGGCAAGAAACTCAGTATAACTACCTGACAGCCATTGTATACAGCCTCCACCCATGCAAGTACTGCATTTCCAGTTCTGGCTGAGTGCCCGCATTGTCCTCATCGATGAGCTCAGTACCCATGACTGCGTGATGAAATCTGAGCAAAGCGTTTCAGGTAGCAACAATCAATATTTTATTAATACTGGTTGGAGTGACCGGCAAAACACGTGAGATGAGCCCAGTAGAAATATATTATGAACTGGATGGCTCGTCTGCAATTTTTAAGACCATCCGCGACGTATAGGAATCGAACTGCTAACATGATCATGCGGTGTCGAATTAATCAATGGGGTGGTCAAGCAAGGGATGGTTACACAATCGATATAGATATAGCCCACCTATCTTATAATGTATCTCCAGTCGAATTCCCAACTATCCGCCTATAGAATCCAATCTAGTACCACTCATGATGTTGGAATGTAGTACTGTAAACCCAGCGTTTGACCATTCCAGCTATCTCGTCTTTATTTCCCTCCAGAAATTCGTTCAGCATATATCTGAACAGGGCCATGCCTTAACAGGTCTATGCAAGGATCAAACTTTATTGCTCAGCCAGAGATGTCTATAACCAATAATACAGTACTAACATCACATAGATCTACATGAAAAGGTCAATAGTCCTAATAGAGATGTTAATACTCAACAAATATTAAGGTTCTTGGGCCGAAAACTATGCTTAGCACTGAAAGATAGTTCTTGCCCGATTATACATTATATACTATGTCCTAACTCTTCTCGATCTTCCCCCGATCTCTATTATAACCCAGAATGAATAAAGCTTTCATGGGCCCTGCACCGGAATTCGACAAGAAACCAAAGAACATGTCACTCTATAAAAGAATATACTGGAACCGTCTTATCTTCACTGGTGTAATGCCTCTGATGGCACTTGTAGTGGGTATCGGATGGGTTCCACTACAACTACGGACCGCCATTTTTACTTTAATTTATTCATCTATCTCTGGGATTGGCATTACTGCAGGTGAGTCTAAATAACTCCTTCCCACCAAAAGCCCCTCCTCTATGGCCAAATACTAATGCATAAGTGTATAGGATACCATCGTTACTGGTCGCACCGATCATATTCCGCAACTATAGGGCTGAAAATTGCCTTGGCAGTTCTTGGGGCAAGTGCAGGAGAGGGGACCATCAGAACCTGGTGCAAGGACCACAGAGCGCACCATCGATATGTCGATACTGATAAGGACCCTTACGCTATCCATAAGGGTTTCCTTTATGCACATTATGGATGGGTCATCATCAAACGAAGAGTGGAACGAAATGTCCATGTCGACATTCAGGATCTCGAAAGCGATCCTATTGTCTTGTGGCAGCGTCGAAACTATGCTGTTATTCTTTTCTTGTCGGCATTCGTCTTCCCTATTCTATTTTGTGGAATATTCTTTCAGGACTTTCTCGGAGGCATTATATACGGCAGCTGCATGAGGGTATTCATCGTCCAACAAAGAACATTTTGCATAAATTCCTTTGCCCATTGGTTTGGAGAGAAGCCATTTTCTGGAAAGAATTCCCCTTGCGACAACTTCTTAGTTGCTGTCATCACTTTGGGAGAAGGATATCATAACTTCCATCATGAGTTTCCGGTCGACTACCGTTGTGGATATCATTTACTTGCTTACGATCCGACAAAATGGTTTATATGGTTGTGTTCCCAATTGAACCTAGCCTTCGATCTAAAAAGGTTTCCCACCAACGAAATCAAGAAGGGTCATTTCCAGCAGATCGAAAGTCAGTTAGAAAAGAAACGAACAGGCATTGATTGGGGCAAACCACTGGATGAATTGCCGGTTATAAGCATTTCAAAATTTGAGGAGTATGTCAGAAGTGGCCAGCCCCTCATTTCCATTGACGGCGTCGCTCATAATGTGTCTGACTTTGTCGATCATCATCCGGGCGGACCCAGTATATTGCGACAAAATTTTGGTCAAGATGCCACAAGAGCTTTCCGTGGAGGTCTCTACCTTCATTCAAATGCGGCTCAGAATCTGCTTTCTTCCATGCGATTTGCACGAGTAGCCAATGATGATGAATCGGAATTAGGCCAAATTTTGGGCTAATATGGCTTCAGAAACGCACTTATTCAATAGACTTCATCATCGGAGTTATATATGTAGCTCCCAAATTTGATCATCAAGGTTTTTTTACTTGACACATAGCTAAATATTAACGTAGATATCAAGTATACTATTTGCAGCGCCTCACAAAGTGTCGACAACTGGAAAGCTTTTCGCAGCAAATCGATTCGAATTCCCCGGGCATGATCTGCACATTTTGATTCTCGGTTTCTCTGGGTGTTTGAAAGGGTGAAGTTTTTTTAGAAAATAGGCACTTCCGTATATAAACATTACGTTGTGAAATGACGTTTCTTCAGGAGCCCTCCACCTGTTTGATTTATGCCTTCATTACACCATAAATATATTTTCCCAGTATATATCTATGTTCACCTTGTGTAGTTGAGCCTCGTGATATACTGTAATCAAGCTCATTATAACGAAATGGAACTTTGTTATAGATATCGTCCCTTGGTCTGGGCCTTTACGGGGGCGAGTAGCGGCCATGAGGACAGAACCTTTTAGCGTAGCGCCTAGTACTTAGGTATTATATTATATCCCCTACTAAATCTCCTACTCAGTTTCCTACTCAGTCCCCTACTTAGTATCCTATCCAGTATTCCTCCTTTTCTCGTACCGAATTAGTCAAATGGTCAAAGAGCTCTCCAAATTCATACATAGCGGAATAGAAAAGAAAGAGAAAAAAAGTGACGTGGAAGGAGAAAGGGGGAGAAAAAGAAAAAAAAAAACCTACGGTGTACCCAGTATAGAGGGTAGATTAGCTTAGTAGTACTTACGATTTTCTGCCATTTATGTGATTTCAAAAGCTCTGTCCATGGCCGCTACTCACCTCCGTAGACCTTGGTCCAGTGTAAGCACATGCACTGAAAGCATGTCTGCAACCACTACATCTACTAATTTCCAGTGTTATTCGTAACCAAAATAAAAGGCCTCATCTGTATTTGGTATATGCAACATCGCATCAAGAACTTTTGGTCCTAATGACTGGGAGAACAACCCCCACAAATCGTAAAGCTGTTCATCCGCAAGTGGAAGATGGAAATCTCGTCCAATAAACGAGACGAATCTTGTCATCTAACAAAAAGGAAAAGAGAATAGGCAAAAAAGACATATGGGATAAAAAAAATGTAAACGCCCGACACCATGGTGCACCCGGTAAAGAAACCAATCGACGATGATTATGAATGGGTCTCGTTTCGGAAGCCTGTACAGGCTGTGGAGCCTTAACGGCGCTGGTTGGAGAAACTGCGCTTTCCGGTGAACTGTAATCATAGTTAGAATCATTCTGTACGCAAAGAGAAAAATAGAGAAACATACCAAGTGCTTGGGAAGAGAGGCGGTGGTGTGACGATCGGCCTCACCCTGGCGAGCCATACGGTTCATCTTCTTCTGTCCCAGCTTGAACAGGCGTTCGGCATTGGTGCGAGCCATCTCGTCAACAACACCGTCGTTACGACGATCAGTAGCCGCCTGGCTGCGAGCACGGCTCTTAGCACGAGCAATGGCCGCCTTGGGGTCATCAAGGTCCATGGCGTCGTCACCACCGGCATCGTCGCGAGCAAGAGGACGTCCACGAACCATGCTCTGGGAACGGGCACGTTCACCAGCAGCATCCACATCGTAACCAGCGGAGTCGAGACCACGCTCGAGTTGAGAAAGCTTCTTCGCCTTGGCACTGCGGGGAATTTGGGCGCGGTTCTTGAGCGACTTGCGCATCTTGGCCTCGTTGCGCAGAAGCACACGCTTCTCGCGGATCAGGTTTGCCTTCATACGGTTGTCGGCATCCTCAGCATCCTCAACACTCTCGTCAGACTCGTAGTATCCATCGGCCTCGAGCTTCTCCTCTTCCTCCTCCAAAGCAGCCAGCTTCTTCTCGATATCCGGGTCCACGAAATCGTAAATGTTCTTGCCGTTCCACACCTCGGGAATCTTGTCGTGGTTCCAGTCCTTGTTGGCCAATGTGTAATCGCGCTGCATATCGAAGCTGTAGACACCAGCACCACCATTCTCCTCCTCCAGGTCGCGCTCGAGTCTGGGGCGGTTGGGATCGTTCTTGTCGTATTTCTTGAGATCCTTGACAGCGTCGGGGATGAAGGTCTCGCGCACACCCCCCATGGGTTGAGCAACGTGGATACGGGCCAGGACGTCACCAAGACGGCCACCGGGGGTAGCACTGTTGGAGCCGGACTTCAGCTTCTGCGAGACACGCTCGGCAAGCAGCTTGTCGCAAGCAGCGTTCTTGACAGCAGTAACACCCTCGGTGGTAGTGCAAGAGGCCTGGAGCATCTCAACATCTCCAGACTTAAGGATCTCCTGCAATTCGGCCGCCTGCTCGGGATCGAGGTCCTCAGGACGGCGAACATCAATCTTGTTAATGACGATGTACACAATCTTGTTGGCGAACAAGGGCTTGATGCTGTGGTAAAGCTTGATCTGGTCCGTAACAGAGTAACCGCACTGCTCCGACAAATCCATGAAGTACAAAATGGCAGAGCGCAAGTGAGCAACTGCGGTGATAGACTGCATTTCAATAGTGTTCATCTCCTCAAGCGGGTGGTCGAGAATACCGGGGGTATCGATGGCCTGGAAGCGCAGGTACTTGTAGTCGAAGTGACCGACAAACAGAGACTTGGTGGTGAAAGCATAGGGCTGAACATCGACATCGGCACGGGTGATGTTCTTCAGGAAACTGGACTTTCCAACGTTGGGGTAACCGCAGATCAGGAGAGTGCGGGTGTTGGGATCAATCGAGGGCAAACGACCCAAGTGCTGACGAACCTGCTCGAGGTAGACAAGAGGGTCTTTCAGGCGACGACAAATGGTGGCCATGCGACCGAGCGCAGCGCGCTTCAGCTGCTTGCACTGGAACAAAGACTGCGCATACTTGATGAGACGGACGTAATCGCGGGAAACGGTTTCGATCAGGTGCTTGGCAGTCGAAACCTGACCGAGGGCAATGCGGAAGTGGTCGGCGTCATAGAGGGTGTTCATCAAATCCTTGTCTGATGGATGTTAGACCCCACCCGGATGACATGAGACAGATAAGAAACTTACGGAAAGGATGAATGTCCTGCAGGCGAGGGAATCCATCGAGGATAGCCTGGAACTTATCACCGAAGGTCTCCTGGGTGAACTTGACCTTACGGGTGTAGAAACCTGTCCGGAAAAAAAAAATTAATCAGCCATGCTGCTTTATCGATAACCCGATAACAATTTTTTTGTTGCGCTCGCCACCGGTAAGAAGTGACTTGACGGAGTTGTAATTGGAATTTGAAAGGAGTAAATACCTCTGATACGGCTGATCTTGAAACCGGCACGAATCTGAGTGGGCAATTGTCGCTGAGTACGGCTCAGGACAATATCCAGGAATTCCTGGTGGGTAGGAACAGGCGCAATCTAGCGGTCAAAACGGGTCAGCGCATGGAAATTTTCAAAGAGGAAGTAGAAATAGTGAATTTCAAATGCGATACTTACATCCTTCCACGTTGTCTTCATGATGGGCCACAGGAGTCAAATGGGGGTTGTAATGACTCTAGGGTGGGAATGAGTGTTTGAGTCTGTTTCTCCATGAAAATTTTGGTCCGGATATTTTTCTGCCGGGCGGTACGTAAATGCGGGGACCAGGATTGGATACGATAACCGAGACTTTTCGAGATTTACTTTATTCTTATTTTTTGGAAGGGGTGAAGGGTTTAATGGTCTATTTCAAAAATAGACATACTCATGTACATCGCATTTCAACTATGGTACACAAGTCCTTGTGACCGTTTGGGGGTAGAATGCCCAAGCCTTTGGTTTTCCCCATATCCTTAAAAGACTAGCCATGACAATCCAACCCCAGTAAAAAAAAAATATTAAAACAATCAGTTAACTCCATTTTCTTTCAACCCTGAGGACCAAACCGATGACCGGACATGAGAGTGCGTAACGGGAAGCGTGAGAGAAAGAAACCGAAGACAAGTGGGTAGGAAGTGACGAAATGGAACAGCTAGGACCAGAAAATTGGACTGGTCCACGAATAAATGCAAAACAAAGACAGAGCCTTAGCTAGATTCGTTGCCAAGCTCCAAGACCTGTTGAGCAAAAAAAAAGTTAGTTTAAAATCCGTACAGGGAAAACGGTTGGAGTGATTAACTTACCAGGTCCACCCATCCACCGCCACCGAATTGGCACTGGCTGGGGCCGCGGTTCTCGAACCCAAAGGACTCGTAGAAGGGAACCAAATGGTCATGAGCGATGATCGCAATCCGATCAGCAATCTGGGCCTCCCGGATCCGGTGGATGTACGACTTCATCAAGGTGCTACCGACCTGCTTGCCCTGGTGCTCAGGCAGCACAGCGAGCGAGTGAATGGCAATGGTGCCACCGCACTCTTCATGACCAACTGCCTGGCCGTCTTCGACTGACCGGCGCTCACCTTGCCAGTCTTTGGGTAGGCGCATCGATCTGTCTGTCACGTTGGGCTCCGAGGTACGGGTGGCAATGATATGTCCGATAAGGGTAGCCCGAGGCTTAGGATCGTCGCCGTAGAGGGGCAAGGTGAAGAGGCCCAGACTCAGCTCGGGGCACTTGGAGAGACGGTAGACAAACTATACAAGTGGACCCAGTTAGTCAAGGGTCCCAGCCACATCTATGCAGGGTGCCGAATTGAGGACCTCGAGTAACCTTGAGCAGCAAGCCATAAGCTATGCCACGAGGGGTTACACGCTACGGTCCATTGCCTTTGTAATAAACTCGCAAGGGATCTGCCCTACCTTGTCACGCGAGCAGCGCTCCTGCTCCGGGAAAGCCTTCTCCACGGCCAGACAATCGTCCACGTTAGATGTGGAAAGAAGCTGAACGAACGGGTGCAATTCGTCAAGTTTGGTGCGGTGGTGTGTTGGGGGCCGGCGGAACCAGTATGGGAATTCATTGGAGTCCTCCTCCTGGTCAACTGCGACATAGTCCCCTTCAACTTCTTCGTCGTCTTCGTCATCGTCTAGCGGGAACCCATTGGCCAGCGCGATACCCGCGCGGCCCATGATGTGAGACAGCTCACTGTTGCTAGGGTTGCCGAGCGACAAGTCGTCTGCATTCGACAATGGCCTCAGACCGTTGTCCTGGCCGGGCATGGACTCCGAAGGTTGCTCGCTGGGATCAGACATGATGTATCGGGGAGATCGGGAAGAATTTGGAGTAGAGCGATATAAGGAATTTGATGACAGCTAGGATAGGCGTGCTCGGGAGTGGGTAGGAGCGGGCACTTGGACGATTGGAGAGTTTTTTCTTTCTTTTTTCCCGTTGTAGGGGGACCCAGCTCGGTGGCGCCGATGGGGAACGAGGAGATGTAAATCTAGACCGGAGTGGATTAGTTTTCTCTGCAAGAAATAATAACCCGTAAGAAGGCAGAACTAGTGAATTATGGGGAGATTGAAGGGGAATGAATCGGTGGCTTAGATGGTCATCCGCGCCCGCAGATAAGAATTTGCGACAACTTGCAGTGTGCGCAAGGAGGGGCAGCGGGCGGGATGGGATGGGATGGGATGGGATGGGAAGTAAGGGAGCAAGACGAGCAGAACCTGCGCAACGTTGAACATACTTGATGAAGCTTTCAAACTCAGGAAGTTCAAATGTGTGCGATAATTCAGAGCATAAGAATTGGGAGGGAAGGAGAAAGTGGCGGGGGGAAACAATGTACAAGAAACTCCAGGAGTACGTGATCTTCCTTCCAGTTTCACCCTTGTCAGCAAGTTCCCCATCGGTACTGGTGACTTTTAAGGTCAATGTATTTCAGGAACATGTATAAAATTTGTATATATGCTCAATTTATAAAAAAAATTCAATTCCTTTGTATGTTCAGCAGAGGAATTCGAATATCTAGGGATTTATGTTAGCTATTGTTCATTTGATCAGTGCGCGTCATTATGGTGGGGAATGGATTCTCATAGGTCCACGGAGTATGGGGGATATGGAGAAATTGGATTAGAGCTGAGTACATTGATATATTACAATATTTGATATAACTTGAACATAAAGATCAAATATATATAGTACATAGCAGACATAGTCAATTTTTTGTTGGTGTACCAGTTGATACCAGTTGAGAATTGCCTCTACTTTTAAGCTGTTCAAGCAACATTTGTGGTGTTTGTTGAGAATATTCGATTTTTAGAAGCTCTATAAACTCCAGGATATGAGACTCATTAAAGGTAGCAAACCAAAAGAATGTTAACAACATTTAAACGTACATGGGTTTGTATGCTGGTCAAAGTGGTATATTGTGGTTCCATAGCTCCGGTCAAACTCCGACAAGGGTCGGAAAGAAACACCCTTGATCTACAAAGTAGGTGTGAAAGCAACCTTGAAATCCGGGACAACGATTCTACATGTGTACTACATGTGTATCATAGGAGGCATAAAACTGTCAAATTGTTTGATCTTCAAGTCCTGTCCAACCGGGTAAAATATCTTGACCCTAAATCCAGGCGGTGAATCACAGCCGAGGATGCGTCATGCTCCATTTTCCGGTCAACATTAACATTTGCTTTTCTCAGATATTTCTTTTCTGAGGTTGCTACTATCTGTCACGGCCAGTGGCTAGCGGCCTCAAAATGAGCTCTCGGGCACTGAACTGGCCTCGGACCTCGCTCGCAAAGGTACATATCGAGCTCCCGAAACTCGGAACATCACCGCGCCACAAGAGCTGACCGTTTACCAGCATCCAATTGCTCGCTGCAATGATGCAGCATTTATATCCCCGAAAACATTTTGTTCGCGTGGTCACCAGATTGCCGAGTTCTCAAATACCAACCCAGACCATGAGGGTCTCGGGCGTCGTGCAAAAGAGAAGCTGCTTGACAGGGTATGATCGCATCCACTTCCGACAAAGGTCCCGTGCTAATCATTGAATTATTGACTCGAAGGATTTCTTCCTAAGTCTTCTGAACTCAGCCTCAACAAAGCGAGAAGCAAAACAGTATCTGTCCCGGTTTAAAAATAGTCCCCCCAAGGCTACTCCCAAGCCCGAAGCTCCCAAGGAACAAGAGCCATCTTTGCCTTCCGGGGTCAACCTCGGCTCCTTCTATGGCTCTAGAGCAGTGCATGACAGTCCTGTGTTTCGGCAAACTGCAACACCAGCTCCACAGGGACAGGATCCGTTTGAGAGACTACACCTAGCTCTGATCAAGATAACTACACCACAATTGCTGGATGATTCAGTCATCAATGGTGTGGCTAGGACTCTATCGCAACTTGTTCGTCTGGGAATGGCATGCTGTGTTGTAGTTGACCCTGGAAATGTGGATAGCACTATCGTGCGACAAACCGCCATCGAGCAGGCGAATCGGCTCTCCGCGGCGGTTGATGGACAACCGGACTCGAAATCATATCGCTTGGACTCGCTACTTGAAGTTTCTGATGAAGGGCCAAATCGACCCACAGTGTCGTCTCGGAAGCGGCTTCTAGCACCCCTTCGGGACGGGCATGTCTTAATTGTCGCACCAGTTGCGTATCTCGAGGAAAACCCAAAGGCTGTTCCAGTGTCTGCAGATGATGCTGTAATTGCATTGACTAAGGAATTAGCCGGGCTATCTACCAACCCGGATCCGGATGAAGATCCTGCAGTGACTGCAGAACGAATCGGGGCTTTGCAGAAGGAGGTTTCGTTGGACCGAGTGATTCTCTTGCATCCCCTCGGAGGAATACCTGCTTTTAGGGGCCCTCAGGAGTCTCATGTCTTCATCAACATGGAGCAAGAGTTTAACGATATTGAGAAGGAGCTGCTTGAGACAGAAGGCTCCCTTTGTGGAGGGGCTGGCACAGCCAACGCCGATCTAGATGCGGCGTATGCAATTTTGGACAGCAACCCTTTCTCTAAATTCGCTACCGAGGAGGTGATCTCGCCTCTACCGAAGATACCAGAGCAACAACCAGGTGCCATAACGGTGGAGCCGATATTTGATGGCCACCTGCAGAACCTTTATTTATGTCAGAAGACCCTTGCCCTACTACCAGCGGCCGCTTCAGCCATCATCACCTCCCCAGAAGAAGTCGCCAACTCTTCGCGCCCAACGGAAAATACCACGAAGCTGTCGGCCGTGGGAACCAGACGCCAGCGTAATCCTCTCATTCATAACCTTCTCACCGATAAACCTCTTCTCTCCTCATCGCTCCCTCCAGGCCGCCGAGGCCCTGTCAACGGACGGCCCAATGTGCTTAACCCTCTGACATCCCACACAACCTTCGTCAAGCGTGGAATGCCACTCACTCTCCTTCCAAACCCGCATGTGCAGGTTTGGACGGCTCAGCATCAGCCGCCACGACTGCAACTGAACGACCCATCAATCGATCTTCCTCGGTTAGTACATCTTATTGAAGATTCTTTCGACCGAAAATTGGATGTCCAGAACTATCTCGATCGAGTCAACGATCGCATCGCTGGCCTCATTATCGCTGGCGAGTATGAAGGCGGCGCCATCCTGACCTGGGAAACACCGCCCGGTGTCGTCGACGACGGCAGCCCGGAAAGCGTCGCACGCATGGTGCCATACCTGGACAAATTTGCTGTCCTGAAACGCAGCCAGGGCGCAGGCGGTGTAGCTGACGTAGTTTTCAATGCGATGGTGCGCACCTGTTTCCCCAATGGAGTCTGCTGGCGCAGTCGCAAGGATAACCCGGTCAACAAATGGTATTTTGAGCGATCCGCTGGTACTTGGAAGCTGGCTGATAGTAACTGGACGATGTTCTGGACGACTGCTGGGCTACCAGAGGATTCGCAGCGGTTCCAGGACTATGAGGCCGTGTGTCGAGCTATCCAGCCTAGCTGGGCCGATACCAAAAGTGTGATTGATTGATGCTCATAAAAGTTCTAGTTATGTGTGTAACTTGGTAGCCATCATAAATTAGGAAAAAGTTCTATAATGTTCTCAATTTCCAATGTTGATCAGTCAGGTATAGATCGGCCCGCAATTGGCTCCTGAATCCCCGACATCAAACATCAACTTGACCGCCCGCAATCATCTTTCCTCCTTCACGGCGTCATGTCACGATGCCTATCTGCATAGAGTGCTCATACCCGGTCTCGCACCTGTACAGTGCTTACAGTCGCGCCGATGATCGTTCCCAGGGAAAAGGCGTGCGATTGACTCAGTGCCCGCGCTGTCAACGCTTCGCCGACAAATATGTCGAGTACGACTTCGTCGTGATATTTATTGACCTAGTGCTTATCAAGCCGCAGGTATGACTTCTATATAACCTTTTGAAGCTTGCGACTGACATTTGTGAAAGGTTTATCGACATCTTCTCTTCAACCGACTCGGTCGCGATGATGACCGCTTTGATGTGAGAAGAGCCCTGGCCGCACAAGAGAACGCAATGCTAATGAATCACTTTTACAGCGATCAATCATCCGACTAAGTGTCCTTCTCCTCCTCTTCGACGTCTACTTAACCTGGGCACGTCTCGAGAAAGATCCCTCCTTGGCGACAACATTTATCTCCCGCACCCCAATCATCATCCAATACCTCTTCTTCCTCACCCTAAATGCTCTAGCGACTCTAGCACACCACCTCACGGTCCGGCTAGTCGCCTCGATACTCGTCCCCAATACCCGTCGATATGGCGCATCAGAAGCCAGCAACAGTGGTGTCACCTCCAACAGCAATATAGGCGCAGCCGACACTACAATCACAACACCCTTCCCCTCTGGCCCTCCAACACCTACAGTGAAACCCTCGCCCTCATCACAAGCACTAAACACACAAATACAAGCAAACCCAGCCACCCAACCGAAACTCACACCAAACCTCGCCCCTTCAAGCGACACTCTCTCCCCACAAGACCCATCCCTAAAACAACAGGGCATACCCACCTCCGCATCCACAAGCTCCATCCCCCTCCCACCAGCAAGGCCAGCACCGCTCCGCCGCGCCTCCACAGCCCCGATCCAAAATATCCAGCCCCTCCCCCCCACCAACAGCCGCAAGCCCCACAGCAATCAGCACAGCACTGCTAGTAAGCAGCTGCGCAAAGCTATTCCCCATCCTATTGGTAATCTGGGGCGCAGATGGCAGCGGAAACCAGAACAAAACAAGCAACAACAGTGAAATCGCTAGCGCACGTCCAGCGCCCTACGGCACACTGAGAAAAGATGCTACCCAGACGACGACCATGCTTAACGCCAAGGCTGCTCTCTCTTCTAATCGGGACGAGGAGTACTCTGCGTCTTCTTCGTTGGTAGAAGCGTGGCTCGCGGCCGCGGAGTCTTTTCTAAGACCGTATTTACCGACTAGCTATCTTACGGGCTTGTTTGATATCCTTGCTTCCCTGCTCTCACTTGGTGTTGTTGATACGCATCTTGTTCTGCTGAGTAACATTGAGGCGCTCTATATTCTGCTTGGGTGTGGGTATTTGAGGGCTGTTGCAGTCGCTGTTACTGGGCAGATTGCTAGATGGGCGGTGCAGAAGGTTATTCTTGGGGCTGTAGGGGTTGGGTAATGTACTTTGTTAATGTTGAACTGAAGAGTTCAATCTTCTCTTCACTTCTTTTTTTTATACATACTTCCAGTTCATACATATTTAATTTAATACCATCGCCGAGTGTAAGAAGTATAATGGCCCATGAAATCGACTTTTGATATTGTTGACTTTCACATCAGCCACGAGACCATCAAAAACACCAAACAGGTAATTTATGTCATGCCCAATTCTCTATGGCAAGCCCAAAGCAGGGAATAAGAGACAAGATCCAATACATGATCTCACGCTCAATCCAATGTAATATGTCACAAAAAAAAGAAACCCGGACCCGAAACAGCGTAAAACTAACATGCCAGAACCGACAAGAGAAGAACTAAACAACTTAATTGGGTACCCGTCCAGGACGGATATCGGATCTCTTCGGTGCAATAAGGGGATGCCACTGTGCAAGGAAGATGATAGCTGTATAAGTTATCAAGTTAGAATCAATCCATGCATAAAGGATCCGATCAGGCTCGGGAGAAGTGTATAACATACCCCACATCAAGTAGCAAGAAATGAAAGAGATGACGAGGACACTGCGATAAACACTGTAAACAAGCATATTAGTTTTCATGCTCGTTGCATTCCCATCCTGGTTGATAGGATAGTAGAAATAAAACTCACGTCAGGTTTTCGCCCTTGGGGCTGAAGAACCAGGCAGCCAGGCAGGCGGCAACGACAACGATCAGGCCAATGACTAGACTCCAACTATAATGTATAAGCATTAGTTCTGTCTTTCTTGTGACAACTGAACTGGACAGATGCGATGTAGATTGACGGTTGACACGGTGGATGGAATAAAGACCACCGGTCGAGCGTGAATCCAATTTACATCACAATATGCCCCAAATGAAAATACGACAGACATACCCGTTCGCCATTTTGATGGGTATTTATTTCAAAGGTTTCAAAAGAAGAAAGGACTCGGAGGTCTGGTGTCCGTGTTGAAGTCGGAGATTGGGGGTGGTTGACAGGAGTTCGCAATAGCACAATAACACGTTTGTAATGATGTTATTAGAAGTTATGCGCCGGGGTATAATTGTCGATTGCGCGGAATGTCGTAAGAGATAGAACGTGGGATGTCGGGTCGAGGTGGTCGGTGGATGGGTTCGGAGAACGGAGTCCGTAGCGGAGTTAGTGGATAGGAAGGGTGATTCAAGATTGAGATATGGCTAATATTCCGTGTGATATTCCGTAAAACACTGGTGTAATGCTCCACAAAATACAGTAGTTGCGGGGGTTGAATGGGAGACGAGATGTTGGTTGTTCGGAGCTCCTGGAGCTAGCGGGGCTGCCTCAGGCCACCAGGGCGGTCACCAGCAAAACAACGATATCTACGTGGATTAGGCTACTTATTCGTAGGAAAATACTACACGGTTCTAATTTTCCGATCTATTGAGTGATAAAGGTGGACAAAATGGTCATACTCATGACTACTGAAGCAGAAGGGAGATAAATACAAGGACGCGCCGGGACTACTCTGTAGTATAGGAAAGTATTGGATTAAAATCGAAAATACGCTCATGCGCCTTCACGTGCCTTGCGGTAGCTAGCCTACAGAATTGTTAGAAATTGAATCAGGCCAATAACAATGGGAATTTCTCACCTCCTGCTCCACTTGCAGTGCATCCACAGTTGGAGCAAGCTCGCTGAGGATCTCGTAGGCCTTCTTGTGGAACTCCAATTGAGCGGCGATCAGATCGGCCAAGTTGCGCAGGGGCTCGGGGGTATCAAGGACCTGGAGTAAGGGAGAGTCAATATTGGCCACATAATTTGGTACGACTGCCGGATAAGAAAGGAAAACCTACATTCTTCATCACGCTCACGGCCTCCTCAGTCTGGCCCACGAACTCATCTTCCGCCTGCTCAATCTCCTGTCGGGCATCCTCGCTCAGGTTATCGAGATCGCCGCGAGCAGCAGCCTTCTTGCTGGCTTTGATTGAGTCAAGTGTCAGACGGGCATTTTCGACGTTCTTGCGCGCTTTAGCGGCGAACATCAGGTTGGTGTTCAGGGTGGTGTTCCAGCCAGCCAGGAAGCGCGACTGAATCTGGGAGTCCTGGGCCAAACGAGCCTCACCAACCTTCTCCTCAGCCAGTGCATACTTCTCCAAGGCATTGGCAAGCGGGTCCTCGCCGTCGATGCTCTGTGCAAGGGTCTGGGAGCCAGCGAGCGAGGCACGTGCGATCGCGTGGTTGAAGGTCTTGGGTTGAGGCTTAGCGGTCGGGGGTGCGGTCAAAGCAGCCTGAGCCTCGGCGGGGGTGCTGGCCTGCGACAGAAGGTTGACCTTCTCGTTGATAGTGCGACCCAAGTCATTGAAGGACTCGCGGATATTGGGAGGGTAATCGTAGGCCTCGTTGGAGTATTGGGAGCTATTGTGTGGAGGGGACGAGGGACCCCGCACCGGTCAGTGGATATATCCTATATGCGATTCCTTTTTGACAGATGTGCACTCACGTCACCTGCAACAGCTTCTGGTGAACCAGCTTGAGCGCATCAACGCGCTTCTCAAGCTCGATATACTCATCTGGGAGTTGGGTCTTATCCTCAGCTTGACCAAGCTGCTCCTTGATCATCTGCTGGGTGCGTTGCGCAAAAGGCGTGAAGCTCGCGCTAATCATCCAAAAAGCAAAAAGGAAACGACGTCAGTATTGGGTCAAGAACCGAGGGAGTGTGGGTTTTATCGAGGGCGATCCCCTGAGGGGGAAGCAGAACTAGACACTCACCTGAAGTTCTTACCGAATGCCTGCATTCGATCCATGATTGCGAAAAATGAGAGAGAAAATATTGGGAAAGGAAGTGAAATGGGGGGAGATGAATGGAATATGGACAAGCTAGGTGGATGGTTTATCCCGCGGCGCTGCACCGCCCCACGCACCAGCCACAGTTTCTAATCTCAGCCCGTGATTCCGAAGTATTCAATGTGCTGCTCTGATCGTGATAAGATCTAATTGACTAGGGATGATTTAGGAGTCCTATATATGGGGGTCAAGTTGGGTTAAATGGTACCATCATAACCTGTTAAAATTGAGCACATTTTGGTATATAATGTACGGAATACATACTATGTACAAGCAATCAGATAAGGCATGTATATACTTGGGTAGATATAACTTAGTGAGTACGACTTCGGGAATAGTACATAAATAATTTCCTCCAAATGAAATTGATAAAGAAAAAATACAGATATAGAGGGTCATGAGAAATAAAAAGCAAAAGCCCAAAAGATATCGTCAGTCCGTAAAAATCGTCAAATCCAGGTCTCCTATTGGAGGTTCAATTAAGTCAAGGTGGCCATCATAGCCCGCATTACCCTCGAGCTGGGTTCTACATCAAGGTTAGCATACCAGAAGGAAAAGCGAGGAGAAGTAGAATTTTACATACCTCTGCGTTCCTGGCGGCGAATCTCAGTCACCTCCTCCTCATTGCCCTTGCTGTCAATGATATCCGCCTCACGCTGTCGCGTGATCTCAATCCCACCATGTCGCTCTAACCGCAATCTCCTGGTCTCCTCTTCCAGATCACGAATGTATTCCGATACATCATGGTCGCTCTCACGGGGTCGTACCAGAACTAGAGAACCAGATTCACGAGGCCTCGACTCAAAGCGTTCTTCGATATGGCTAGAGCGAGGCTCAATGTATTGGACAGGAGACGATACCCGACCGTGTGTATGAACCGACAGAGACCGTGGCCGGGAGACGGTATGCCTGCGTGGTCTCTCGACGCGTTCGACCACCTCCTCGTACTCGTACTCAACATCTCTGTGAGAGGGTGGTTCGACAATGAATGTTTCATGACTGCCACGGGGTGGGTGGTAAGGCTCAAGCAGTAGATGTTCCGTTGTGACTCGCTCGCGTGGTCGTGAAACATGCAGATATTCAGCTATAACCGTCAATATAAGGTCCTCCTCAACAAAGTGAAATGGGTTACTCACTCTCCTCAATCGCAGGCCGCCTAAACTGGCGACTGAGAGTAATCACTTCATCAATCTGCTCCTTCGACAAAGCCTTCTGGATGACAATGGTCTCTTCCTAATCGTTATCAGCACTAAAGTCCCACCCATTGGAAAGGAACAAGAAGCCATACCTCTTCCTTGAAAGGATATCCCAAATCCAAAATCGCATGAATATGCACAAACTTGCGCGGGATGCGCGTCTTGCCTTTCCGTGGGTAAGGCTTCTCCTCATGTCGCCGTCTAGCCATACTTCCCGAGCGTCTGCGATGCGTGCTATCTCTCTCCTTGAACTCTCGAAACTCCTCGTCACCGTAGTAATCCGGTTCAGCAATACGAATATTCTCATAAACCTCCCGCTCACGATAGCGACCCTGCTCAGGACGATGCAGAGGTGGCTGAGGCACCCTCGGAGCCCTAGGAGCCGGTTCCATTTTCCGTTTGGGAATGCGATCAAAGGTATCGAGGGAGGATTGTCGCCTAATTAAACGTGGCGGAGCAAACGACGGGCTCTCGTCTCGGCGACGGCGACGATCAGGTGCTACCAGTGGTCCGGATGAGTGAACCAGGTGCTCGTCTTCGTAATAGCGGCCCGGGGCCCGCGCGGGAGGACCGTAGCGGTCTTCTTCGTGCATTCTGAATTCGAATCGCTCGTCCTCCACGCGGCGGGGTCGGGAGCGAGATCGTTCTCGCTCCATTACTGGTGGGCCTCGCGAGTATCTTTCATATCGATCGCGAGAGTCCAGGGTACCTGATGATGAGCGGTAATCCTCGTAACGAGACATGGCTGACGAGGCAGATTTGACCGGGGTTTGTTTGTTTGTGTGGAAGGTGCCTGAGATAAAGGTGAACCTGAGCCTGTACCGTGGATATGACGAGGGCGGCTGACTCGGGCCGCTGATGGTGGGGGTGGAAACCACTTGTGGCTTTGAGGGATAAGAGGCAAGCCAAGTCAAGTCAAGTCAAGTCAAGTTCAAGTGAAAGATAAGAGGTGGTCAGCTCAAGGTCAAACTCAGCTGAAAAATTGATGAGTTTATCTTTTTATTCACCAGGCAGAAGCCAAGTTCATGATGACATTGGCTTTGTTTCGCTATGATTTTATGTGGGGCTTTGCTCCTCCGCCACACTTAGTCCCTTTTAGGTCTCGTGCTACTGTATGTCATCATACCTTATGTAGGTACATGCACTGCGCCCATGCCCGAGTGCACCCGGGTTGAAATGACGACCTAAATCATCTGGCTGCCGGCATGTAGTGATATGGAATTTCTATTATAAAAATAGATAGGGTTATGATGAGGCACTTTGAACTACGAGAGTCAGGCTATATGGATTAAAGACCACGTAGGAGAGCAAGATCGCATGCATGATAGAGTATCAGTCCCTTCCTTAGATTTCTAGATTTTTCAAATCACCTTCTAGACTCAAAAGTCCCATGGCTAAAAATGCTCGGTCGGGTGGCCGGAATGTGACAAATCGTCGATCATCATTAGACAGCTCTTCCGCCTCTCTATCGACAACATATTGTGGCTAGAAGCGAAATATTAGCGAGAAGCGGTACATAAATTACATTAATAAAACTTACAGGGTCATCAGGATCATCACGGTGACGCTCACGTTCACTTATAAAAGAACGCTCATATGGCGGTCCCCGTCCATGCTTAGCCGCAATGATCCAAGAGCTCTCGCAACCTCCCGCAATAGCGTCGGAGGTTTTCCATCCAGTAAGTCGTGAAACATCTCTCAGCTTGGCGATGGTCCAGACCCGTTGCGCATGGTCAACATACTGCACACCAGCAAAGAAGATCGGCATGGTCATCTCCGTTAGCGAAGAACCAAGAGTCGGGCTCAGGCTACCAGCTTGGAGGTTATAGCGTTGCGGATAATATATACCGGCCGTGATGCGGCCTATCATCTGAGCATACTCTTTAGTTGTAGGAGCAGCTACACCAGCAGCGATCATCATGGCTGGGGGGAGACAAGGGTGGAGGCGGTGTAACAAGATTCGTCCAGCGTAATACATTCCCCAGACCACGGCGATAGTGTGTGTCCGGTACTGCAGAGCCGGCCCAAATGGAGAATCGATGACGGACGTCACATCTGCGGGCAGTGGCTGGAAATCCCGGCCCAAGGCCTGAACGTAGACATCCATAGCAACCAGGATCTCTTCCCATTCACGTTCTGCCTCGGCGTATGTTGCATCTTCGTTCTCTGCTCGTTCTGGTGATTTCGGCTGCCCACGACTGTCATATGTGAATGCCGGTGGCACTTGGACTGGATCCTGCGGTGGTATCATGCCGTACATCGGAGGTCCCTCTGGTGGGCCTGGAGGTGGTCCCTGGGCGGGTGGGCTTTCCTGGGAAGACTCTGAAGGAGCACCGGGGCTGCTTCCTATATTGGAATTAGAGGATACAGATGAAGATGAAGGTGGCCCCGGCGGCCCTGGTGGCCCCCGAGGCCCCGGGGGTCCAGAGGGTCTTGGACCCCCAGGCGGTCCAGTCCCGCCAGCAAACCGACCCATGAAACGGAAGAGCTCTGGACCTGGCCTCCAAGGTATGCCTGTTGCACGGGAATTCTTCAGCTTTCGCCTGCGGTCCCGTTCTCCAAAGTCAGATATCCGGCCAAGTAGGAGCCAAAGGTGATCGGCAGATCCATAGATCGCGTCTATTCGACCAACTGGTGCTCGAGGAGGACATTGGCTTCGAAGATACTGAGGTACACTATTGAACCATGTTAGCATGAGAAATAAATGTAGATAGAAATTCACCCACAATGTCTTTTCACCACTGATCAAACTAAGAAACACGTCCTGTTTCGTGAACCACCAATACAAGTCACTCTGGATCCGGAAATTCTCAATGTCCTTCCGAGAAAAGTGTTTTCTTGGAGGTTGCGAGTAGCCTTCAACATGGCCAAACTGATCATAGTTAACCACTTGACCCATCAAAACGCTAATGAGAGCTTGGTCTATGGCCATTTCCTTTTCAGAAAAAGGATCATCTTCGGATACCTCACTGCCGTAGGATGAGTAGTATTGCATCGACGGATTGGACCATCGCATTTGAGCTTGATGTTCATTGACCCTGCGACGATGAGCGCGAAGATCCCGAGCTATACCCGCAAAATCAATTTCGCGAATCAACTGCGCAGAACCAGCCACATGACTATTCCATTTACTGTGATCAGCTGACATGACCTCGTAATAGGCCAAAAGTGTGGTAGCTGCCATAGTGCCAATCTGTTTTCGTCGCCCTGGAAGACCGACAGCACGACCTAGACGCTTCAAGGCGTAGTGGTAATGCTTCAGAGAGACGGTAGTAGGGGCCTGTTGTAGGTACGCAATGTGCAAGCTGCCAACGGCGAGAATGGCTTGCAGAAGGGCTGGATGCTCCAAGGCCTTAAGGGCAAGTGTGTATGTCCACAGACCTTGTTGAGCAGGTGGGACAATACTGCCCAGCATGATCGAGGAGTCAATCGGGTGCCGCTCGAATACAGACATTGAAGGGGCGGTGGAATGAATAAAGTGCGCGAAGATGCGGGCAGTCTTGGGATTATTCAGGGGAGATGATCCCAGCGTCGGGTGGTAGGAGGACAGGATGTTTGGTTCGTTCAGGTGAGTGGTAAAGGAACGCATTCGACGGTCATCATAATTGGCAGAGGCCATGATGAGATTCAGCTGATTGAAGCTCTCCGTCTGGGCTTGGTCCTCCAAATCCTCGTCGGATTCAACGTCATAGTAGTCTTCTGCCTCGTCTTCAAGATATACGACCTGCGGTTGAGAGGGTGGAATGAATTGTGCAGGGGCAGCAGGTTGTAGAGGCTGTCTAGGCAATGGAATAGAATTATGGATTGTCGTCGAGGGATCAAATGGCTGTATCGTGTCAACAAATATCTTCCACGCTTCGAGAGTAAATCTACCTTGGGGTATTGACTGTCGGTATAGTTCCGGGTAGGAATACTTGCCCAATCGGTAATGGGTTGTGGCAACTGAGGATCCAGTCCACTATACTGTGGAGCAGGATTAATCAGTTGAGGCTGATGCTGTGCGTAGCCAAGTTGGGCAGAGGGGATCGTCCCCTGCCCATCTTGCCCTACTGGGTAAGAAGGCCACGATTGTGCGGAAGGCGCTGGGTAATGAAAGTGGGAAGAATCAACTCTCTGCTGCATCTCTGGCTGAGGCATTCCAGCTCCTGCAGCAGGTGGAGCAAGTGGAGCAGGGTATTGATACCCTAAAGGCGTGGGGTAATCTAGTCGTGGGGCCAACATGGGATGCTGTGCCGCCGCCGCCGCCTGTTGAGGCGGCAGAGAGCTGAAATCACTATATAGCGGAACGCGTAGGCTTGGCTGTTGAGACTGGGCCTGCTGAACCTGTGGTGGGCCATATGGCCCCAATATCCCTAGCGGGTTCTTGAAGATCACCCTCTGGGCATAGCCCTCGCAATGACGCTTGGACTTAACGCAATTACCACATGTGGGCTTTTCCTCGCCACATTTAATGCGACGTTTTCGACATGCTAAAACAGATGGTCAACAAGGGTCTTCTGATCGGGCCCATATTCCTGTCCAGTAGACATACTTAAACATCCTGTTTTGGTGCGTTTTTTAGGATGCCTGCGGGAATTTTGGGTTCTTCCCGGCTCGGCAGAACGGCTTTCACCGTCGGATACTTGAGCTTCCTCGTCCGCCATAGCCGCATAGACTAATCAAGTTTTATGGAGAATTATAAGCCTAGCTGAAAGGCATGGCGGGGCTAGGGAAGAAGAGAGAAAAAGCCGGGAAAGAGTCTTGGGGGGGGGGAGATAGATGACCGCGGAGTCCGAGAGTCTGGATTGGATCTAATTTCCAACTCCACAAGGATATAAGTGCCGAGCACGGAAGATCACCCGCGATCAACCATGGAGTTATACAATGTATTGAGTTGTTCTATACTCACTTCTACTAAATATTCTCACATACCACATGGAGATACCACATCTGCTACTCTCAGCTCAAGACACGATCTGACATGAGGCTGGTCTCCTGACCACATGGTTGGGCCAGTCTTAATCTCATTTTCTAATTAAGGGCCTAAAGTTAATTACAGAGCTTATTCAAGCTAAACGATGGCCAATGGCCAATGCTGCGGTTTCATGCCAGGATTTTTGCCTACATTGGACAATGAGTAAAAAATCAAAAAGCACATATGAAAGGAGAATTTTCATTTTTGATGAAAAATGTGATTTAAGAGTCTATAAACAAGTGACTACGGAGTATACTAGAATAAGTTACTTAATTACTATCTAGCTAAATTAGCTCACTTGATGAATCCAAGTTTGTTGCCTAATAATTATGGCACCATGATGGTATTTACTGTAATATTAGTATTAAGGTTACAATACATGTGGAGATGATTTTCTGCCGTCAACTTTTTTTTTTTTATCTCCGCAATTCTTCGTTCAGTTTCATCCAAAAGTTTGGCTGGATTTCCACATTGGGTGAAGCCAATTCTCCAGTGAGGAAAAACTCTAGCTCCAAAATGTTCGCCGTTCCAGGATGGTCGCTCTCGAGCGGTCCCAAGCGGGAATCTGAGGTCGCAAAACCTTCCAACGATTCCAAGCATAAGGAAACCTCGACCCCCAATGACAAGAACAACAAGCGCAAACGTGGAAATGACAATGTCACCCGTGGCAATGTCGATGAGATGTACCGCAAGCACATCGAGGGCTACACCCCGAAACCTGTCAAGCGCAAGGATAAGAAGCAGAAGAAAGAGAAGAAAGAGGCCGACGAAAAGGTTGACGAGCAAGCCGAACCCGCTGTGACGAACAACACCGAAGAGAAGGCTCCCGCATCAGAGTCACAAAAGGATGAAAGCACACCCCAGAAGAAGCAGAAGAAGAACAAGAAGAACAAGGACCAGAAGGAGGGTCCTGCCGCTGCTGCACCTGCGCCCGAAACAAGTGCTCTGGCTGCACCTCCCATAACAACGGCGACTCTGACTCCGCTCCAGCAGGCAATGCGCCAGAAACTAATTTCCTCCCGCTTCCGCCACTTGAACGAAACCCTGTACACGACCGACTCCTCCAAAGCTGTTGAACTTTTCAATGCCAACCCGGAACTCTTCAGCGAATATCACGCTGGCTTCTCCCGCCAGGTGAAAGAATCTTGGCCCTCCAACCCGGTTGATGGCTATATCCAGTTCGTCCGCCGACGTGGAGCCGTGCAGCCTCCCAGAAGAGGAAACAAGTTGGACCCCAACAAGCCTCAGCCTCTGCCCCGCAGACCTAACGGATCCTGCACTATTGCGGATCTGGGCTGTGGTGATGCCGGACTTGCGCGCGCGTTGACTCCTTCCTCGAAGAAGCTGAATATCAAGGTGAAGAGCTACGATCTTCAGGCACCGGATCCTCTCATCACCAAGGCAGATATCTCCAATCTGCCCCTGGAGGATGGATCGGTTGATGTGACCGTTTTCTGTCTGAGTTTGATGGGAACCAACTGGGTGTCCTTCGTCGAGGAAGCTTGGCGTGTGCTGCGCGCTGATGGCAAAGGCGAGTGCTGGGTTAGTGAGGTGAAGAGTCGATTCGGCAAAGTGACGCGCAAGAAGGCGCAGATTGGAGCCCAGAAGCCCCTTAGCAAGACCCAGCAGAAGAAGCTACCAAAGAAGAAGGGCGATGATGAGGATGAAGACGACGCTGACATCTTCGCTGAGGATGCTCGCCCTGCGGATAACAACGATGATACTGATATCTCAGCATTCGTGGAGGTCTTCCGGACCCGTGGATTTATCCTCAAGCAGGAGACAGTTGACAAGTCCAACAAGATGTTCGTGAAGATGGAGTTCATCAAGACTGCTGGTTCTACCCCGTCAAAGGGCAAGCATGCTTCATCTGGTGCTCCTGCTCCTGTTGCTGGGAAGAAGCGATTTGTTGATCGCAAGCCGGATGCCGGCAATGGCATGACACCGGAGCAGGAGGCTCAGGTACTCAAACCTTGTGTGTACAAGATTCGGTAGTTCCATATTGAGATACCAAAAAGTTATGTTTAGATTCGACTACCTTGCCCTCTGAGAACTTGTTTATTGTGACTGCATTATCCTTCAGTAAGCTACCGAGCGGTATACCCTTCATAGTATTTACCAATCCAGTCTTCCATATCACTCAAAAACTGACAGCTCTACGTATTGGACGCACTACATTCAAATGAAGACATAAACTGCTCACAGAGCTCAGATAGAACTAAAACTCAGCACTTGGGCAGTATCTATTGGTTCCCACCAAGCTGTGCCACGGCCCGGCCCATCTCCTCATCATCGTAGATACGGAATCCCTTCTCCTTGGTAACGCTCGCCAACTGCACATTCTTGGAATCAAGCTTCTCCTCCATGACCTGCTTAAGCGTCTTGAGCACCAGAGTCTCGGCCTCGGCCAGAGTCAAAGAGCGGTGGTATTCATTCTGCAGCTCCGCCTGGGCACCTTCACTTCCGGAGCCGATGGCCTTGGCGTCATATCGATAGAACGTACCTGAGGGCTCAGCGTGATATCTGCAGACAACAATACAAGATTAGCGCAAGTTAGAGGTGAATGATTGAGGTCACATACAGCTGAGGCCCATCCTCGTCATAACCAGCGATTAACAACGCAACACCAAACGGTCTAGACATGACGCTCTCCTCATCATCACCGCTCTCTCCGAACCGAAGAGCCAAGTCACAAATTGCCTGTGTGGTACTCTCAACGCGCAGCGGCTCGGCGTAGTTGAAGGCGTGGTTCTGGCATTCGACACGGGCGTGCTCAACAAGGTTCCGGGCGTCGGCCTGCAGGCCGGACATGGCGCAGCCAATGTGCTGGTCGATTTCAACAATCTTCTCGACGGATGATGCTTCGAGCAGGGTGGATGTAACGCGCTTCTCAACACCAAGGATGACTCCCTCCGATGTTGCGACCTAGGGCGTGTCAGTTGTGGACGGGATGGTGAAGTTCAATTAACACGAGGCAAGAAATATCCCGTCATCCTGATGCGAGATTCATTTATCTGAAAAGAGACAGGGTGGACGTACTCCGATCGCTGTGGAACCTAGCTTGATAGCTTCGAGAGAGTATTCAACCTGGAATAGACGACCCTCCGGGGAGAAGGTGCTGTTGGGGGAACAATGTTAGTTGGAAAGGTTTGGATTGAAGCGATGAGGAGCCCTGTTCAGAATGCGTACTTGATTCCACGGTCTATCCAGGAGCTGTTAGTGATGCTGCAAGTGTTGGTCTGGAGGAACGGAGCTTACCATATTCGGATCGTGCAATGAACATATTGAATGGCCTGAATTCAGGATAGAAGTCAAAAGATCAAGAAGTCAAGAGAGGTCCAGGATGATTTATAAGATAAGGGAGAGTATTGAGCGTGAGATGGATGAGAGGTGGGAGCAGGTAGCGGAGCTTCGAGGTGGAAGCTCTACGCAAGTCGTCAATGCCTGTTGGACACCTGACGGATAAGGCAACAAGGCACCTACACGGTGCCCAAGGGTTGGTCAGTGGAGTTTCCACGGTTTGTTTGCATCGCAGCTACTTTGTTGATTTCAGAGCTTAGATTCTTTTTTGCTCGACTCGATTGTCTAGGCTTCATGCCATGCTCTGCCTCCTGTCGGGATCATGTCCGCCAATGACCGCGCCAGCTACATGAACGCTACACGACCCCGCGCAGTCTCCAATCGCGTCGAGGCTGGGCCTCGCGGCGCATCACCTTTCGCCGATACCATGGACCCTTTGCGATCCAGCAGCGCTAGTCAAAAGAACAGAATGTCTCGGGACCAGAGGATCATACCAGAGAAACGTTCAGAACGTACTACTATCACAACCAGAGAGAAATCAGTGCGGAGGAATCCCATCAAGGAGTCAAGCGCGACCAATCGTGGGGAACGCGATAAGTCACGGTCCAAACACCCCAGTCAGCTTGACGGCGCAAGCCCTGGAGGTCAAATGCGGGACAGGGACGCGATTGAAAGTGAGTCACTCCTCGAGCCCATGTCGCATCGCTTCACACATTTAATTTGAGGCTGAACGAAGTGTGTTGACAAGCTCTATAGCACCTTGGGATCCGCAAGCATCATTGATTCCTCACTCCACTGCCCCGCTCGCATGCCGTGTCTCCGTCCCTCCATCAGCTGCAACAGTCCCCCAGTCACTCTATCCTCAACCGTTTCGAGATCTTTCGCCCGATGGCCAAGAAGCCGCCGTGTTGGAGGATTTGCTCTTTGTTTTCATGGGCTTCGAAGGCCAATACATCCACTACCATAGTTCTTATGATCCGTCCGTTGAGAAGGACCGACTCACCGGTCCGGTCTTCCAATTGGCCCCGGGTCTAGACCCTACCTTGCGGGATCTTACACAGTCGATGTTGAAGATGGCCACTCACTATAGCGCAATGGAGGCTTTCGTGGAGATCCAGAGTCGTGCCGAGTATGGCGCTGTCAGCCATGCGCTTTGCGCATCGATTCGGAAGATTCTCAAGGACTATTTGATTCTTATCGCCCAGCTGGAAGGCCAGCTTCTGAACAACCCCACATTCACCCTACACCAACTTCACCTCCACACAATGTCGACAAGCCAGTGCCTCGCTCAACTATACTCTATAGGGCAAGAACTACTCCGTCGAAATGGTCTCCTAGAAGATCAAGATACAGACGAATCGATAGATGATTTCGACGACGTCGACAATATCCTGGAACAACTACGAGAGGGTGGTGATCTGGTGCCTGGCGCGATGGCAAGTAAGAAAATTTGCAAGGGTGGGAACGTTCTCCGGCTACTTACGGAGCGGTTGAATACATTTGCGGGCGATCCAACGACCAAGAGTCTAGTCCAGGGTTTGTTGCGAGATGCTAGTCGACCTTACATGAACATGTTAAATGAATGGCTACACCATGGAGGAATCCGCGACCCTCATGGAGAATTTTTGATCAAAGAACAGAAGTGGATCAAAAGGGAGAAGCTTGAAGAGGACTATACAGACGAGTACTGGGAGAAACGGTACACGATCCGCAATGATGAGATTCCACCACAACTTGATAGTGTTCGAGACAAGGTTCTTCTTGCAGGAAAATATCTCAATGTAGTACGGGAATGTGGTGGTGTGGATATCAGCAAAGCAGTGAAAGATGTGCCCAAGACACTTGATGATCCTCGGTTTTTGGAGAATGTCAATGGCGCTTACACCTACGCCAATGCCTCTCTACTGAACCTGCTCCTTACTAAAAACTCTCTGACGACCCGCTTCCGCTCACTCAAACACTATTTCTTCCTGGATCGTTCTGATTTCTTTTCTTACTTCCTCGAACTCAGCGCATCTGAATTACGCAAACCCGCTAGGGTTGTTAACGAGGGCAAGCTCCAGTCACTTCTTGATATTGTCCTTCGTCAGTCGGGGAGTATTGCCGCACAAGACCCATTCAAGGAAGATGTTAAAGTACGAATGAACAAGATTGGGCTCACCAAGTGGTTGATGCAAGTGGTCAGCGTCTCTGGTATTGACCAAGATCATCCGGAGGCGGCAATTGAGAAACAGCAGGCTTCTGCAGCCCAGGCGGCAGATGACGAGAAAGATATTGTGGGATTCGATGCGCTGGAGCTGGACTACACGGTGCCATTCCCCCTCTCGCTCGTCATCAGTCGCAAGACTGTATTGCGATATCAACTCATCTTCCGACATCTTTTAGCCCTGCGCCATCTGGAGACATTATTGGTCACATCTTGGGCAGACCAGAACAAGATGACGAGCTGGCGACACAAGTCATCTGATAGACGACTGGAGATGTGGAAGCGACGTGCGTGGAACCTACGGACCAAGATGCTCGTCTTTGTCCAGCAATTGTTGTATTTCTGTACAGCTGAAGTGATAGAGCCCAACTGGGTAGGATTGATGGACCGGGTGAATGGGGCTGATGCCGAGGGCTCTGAAGTGACCGTGAATGGCACCAAACAGGTCAACCGGACAGTTGATGAGCTAATGCAGGACCACGTGGATTTCTTGGACACCTGTCTGAAGGAATGCATGCTTACCCAGGCGAAGCTGTTGAAGGTAAGAAGATTCGAGACTTTGCTTCTGCTGAATAAGCTCTAACCCATTTTGATAGATTCATTCTAAATTGATGACCTGTTGTACTATGTTTGCATCATGGACGGCAGCGTCTCTCTCGCGGGCTCTGGCCTCTGCTGACCCGGATTTGTCTGGGGAGGCAGCCACAGGAGCCGAAGCCAGACCTTATGACCCCACTCGGATTGCCAAGCTCGAGGACACGCTTAAACGATATGAAGATCATTTCAACCGCCACCTGCGGATTTTGATGGACAGGTCAGTTCCATCAATCTCACATAAGAAACCATAGCTGACGGGAATAGTCTGAATTACTTCGCCGCCACTGAGAGCGTAGTTCTCCTGAAACTTGCACACTCCCTCAGTTCGATTAGCAAAGAAGACTGAGAATGAAATCATTAGCCATATGCCATTGCTAATATAACTTGCCGGATACCAATCACATAGGTCATATGATAAAGGACGACCCATAGCCGGCGATAAGATAGTTAACTCCGACCTGGAGAAATAAATAAACATTCCAATTTTGATAATGAAAGACCTTACATCCTGCATAGTATGAATAATTACATGTCAAGAGAATCAAAAATAAAAATCAAGGGTTACCTAGTAGTTACAACGGACATCGGACCTAGAAAGCCCCGATTCATTCGCTATCGCTGACACTAGCCAGCCCCGCAGGTACAGGTACTTATATCGCGCTCATCTCATCTGACCGCACCATCGCACCATCGCATCGGCACAATCGTACACCCAACCCTTCGAATCAACTCAGCGAACCACAACAAACAAATATGACGTCCTACGACCAAATAACAAAACACCTCCGCTCCTTCCACTTCCCCTTCGCTCTCCGCCTCCCCCAAACACAACAAGAGCGCTTCGCCCTCGCCCTAGGTACAACAGCCGCAATCGGCACCTCCCTCATCCTCCCAGCTATCTATCGCGATTACCGCACCTTCCGCTCCTACGGCCCTGGCGGCGTCCCAAATAATGTATTCGGATGGTTAATTGTGCGCGCGGTCTTCCAGCCATTGATGAGCGAGATGTTTTCGACGGAGATATACGTACAGCGCGTTCATGCGCTCGAGGGACACGGGGCCGGGGAGGCGGGGTTCCTTACTCTTGCCCCGGAGCAGGCGCGCTCGGTTAAGGAGAGGCCTGTTGTTGGGCCGCATGTTGTTCCTCAGAGGCAGTTGACTCAGTTGCCCGAGGAAGAGATTAAGGATGTGAGTTGCTTTGTCTTTTTTGATGATCAGGAACAGGAAAAGAAATGGCAAGGAGAATCAAGATGAGAATATTAACCCGCATATCACAGAAACTCGATGCTGCATTCAGGGCTTTCGGTCGTCGGAACCATCACCTGGTTAAATTCCAGCGCTCGGGTCAGGAAGCGCATGCTGAGGCTCTCTTCCTGGCCGATCGTCTCCCGCGCTCGGATGTCGTGAAGGCGACCGACGGCGAGCTTGCGCATTTGCACTCGAATGGCGATTATTCGGCGCATTTTCCATTAGCACCTGCTGATTGTAAGTCGACATGAGAATGGTCAATTAATAGACCCTTGCGGTCGAACAAAGATCTACATACTGATATCAATCAGGCAAGAAGGTTATTGAGGCAGGCTGGGGCCAGCGACATGGTTTCTCGGGTACATCGGCCATGTCGTGGCTGAGCCTTGGGATGAGACCTGATATCCCAGCGGAGTTTCTACTGATTTATGCTCCACGGAATGATGCGGAGATTCAGACGTTCATGCAGATTCTGGAGGCGAGCATCAAGTATACGACTGGCCGGGAGGATGTGCGTTAATTTCGGGGCTGGAACTCCACTGTAGAATGTGTGTGAAAGAGTCAGTGAGACAGTTGCAGCTCTACTTGTATTCATCGGTGAAATTTGCATGGGATCTTCGGTGAGATCGAGGCGTGATGTTTTTGCGTTTTATTTATCTGATTAATATACCCAACTCAACTCAGGCGATGAAGAAATGAATGTGTTTTAGCTTATGGTCAGCTGGATTCGAACGCGAGATCTTCTGTTTTCACCGAGTACTTTGAGGGTACATTGTGAATAGCCTCATTTGCATCATCCATGAGTTCACCCACAGAATGACCAACTACTGTATCATATCCCGCGCATGATTCTATATAGATTTTACCTGATTTTTTGATCTAATAAGTGAATGCGGTATCAGAAACAATATCAAAAAATACAGAACAGTCAACCCAGAGGGACTCCTCCTGTGCCTATGTTGGTCACTTTGGAGGGGTCTGCTCTGAGCTGATTTCCCGGTACTCATTGACAACACCAAACAAGTCCCGTAGGCTCACTTGTCTGGCCACATATAGTGCCAGCTGGTGGGAGTGTTTGCCACTCGACCACACGGATGTCAATTGTTAATTCTATTCACCTAAAGGTGATTATAACCCAACCACTAAATCTTCTGCGAGCATCATCACCTACGCCAGGATTCAATTACATCGTCATACTTTCAAATGTAAAAGCCCAAGGTCAACATCTATACCTATGTATCTAATATATGTATTTTCCGTTGACATTTAAGATCTACACGCATTTGTTACTAGTAATACCTAATATTCTGATGTCCAGTATATTTAAACATGTACCACATACTATATAGATCACCTCAAGTTCTATATGGCTCGCTAGACCAGACAACCATTCTCAAGTACAGTCAGGATCTCAGTACCAACCCCAGATATAGATCAACGATCTCAGTAGAAGCCCACATGTGCAGGATCGCGAATCACCTCCATCGATCGCTAAGATCTTCAAACCTTGCAACATAGTTTGATGTATAGGGCAAAACAGAACCCTCTTTGCATGCATAGTACAGTGCATGTATACATGCCACGCACGATGCAACTACCATTAAGAGCCTAGTGCAGCTGACCCATATAAAAAACCTGTATTCCCGTCCCAGAGTATCGGGTCAAGCAAAGGGTGCATGGGGGCGGGGTGGCGACAACCCATGTAACAAATCAGCTGAGAGACCATGCACTGCACGGTGAACTCCGTATGTATGGAGTACAGTAGTTTACAGTAGTCAATCGACGGACTGGATGTTTGTGCCCTTGGCAACGTAATTTGGTTGGAGCTAATGCACGTGGTAGAGTAGGTGGTTGGCTGTGGTCGATAACAGAAATGTGGTAAGCTGTTATTTCAAGGTCCTTGGAGGGGCTAATCGGGTACTAATTAGAAGACCGAGTACTTGACAGTAGAGGAGTCTGAGTTCATTGTGTTATTGGATAGATGTGCATATTTTAGCATGTTCTCTATACACGTAGGCTAGGGTCTGAGGTATAGTAAACTTTTCAGATTAGTAAAGAGAAATTACCAATTTGAAATGCGTCAAATGACCAGGTAACCTCCAAAGCGGGCTTCATATAGTATCCTGCACTACAGTGGAGCCAGGTTACAAAGAGCAAACCCACAACCAATGCTGCGGGAGAAAAAAAAGTAACACGATATTCGATACGATACGAAGATCGGCTCTCATCCTATAGAAAGTGAGCTGAGAACCCGCTGGAATGGCACGCTAAGATTATTTGATTTTCTTTGTCCAGAGTAATTTTACTTCCAAGGTTTAGGGATTCAGTGGTTTTGAGGATTTTTGCCCGTTTCCCCTATTTGTAATTGATCCACTCTGATTTTGAATATCATTTCATATAAGTTTTCGGATCAGTCTCGATCGTTAGCGGCCTTCAGACTAGACTTAATACCGGGTATATACCTCTTGGGAAGGTAGAAGGACTTGGTTTTGATTACATACATCCCGCTATTCCAAAGGCTAACTACTAACAAGGTTAGCCGCTCTCAAGCTGAGGGCCTGGCTTCCCGAGAAGTGAACCATGGCGCTGGGTTCAGAACCAACGGCGTCACAGATAACTTAATTATACATCCCTACCGTAGACCCGACGCTTTGGATGCTTTGCTCCTCTTTCGGGAGGGGGCCGTCCCTCTGCCCCATGCATGAACATTCGGACCAAATGAGGTCATGTGGAGGGGTCAGAATTTTCGGAATTTGTCCTGAATAAAACTCTGACTCCGTAATTGGGAAGGAACAACAGGGAAAGCCGGGACTCGGGCGCAAGCACTTACGAACCTAAAACAAGGCCCAGGGCCACATCATCCCCTTAATGATGGAGACGGTCAATCCTACCGTAACAATTCTGATCTGAGAGCCCACCTTTTTGTTCTTGACCGAGTACAGGGTGGTCGGTCACCGATCATCGCACCATATCTCATGGGGTGTTCCATGGCCGTGGAGTCTGATCTGCACAGAATCTGTTCCCTCGAGATTTTAAACTCATTCACGTTAGATTCTGCATGGACTAACCCGCACACATGTGGTTACCCTGACCACCCTAACATGTATGCGGCTTTTCTGGAAATTTGATGGCGTAAAGTCCCGACAGTCTGGAAAAAGAGACTGAAAGTGGAACCCAAGGGAGAACCCACACCTCCATAGCCTGAATTCTTGAAGTGGATATCTTTTCCGCATCGGCTGTTCAAGATTATCAGCTGCGTACTTTGTCAGCAGAACAAGTGAGGGACTGATTATTTCCCACTAATCGTACATTTGAAGGAGGGAAATTAATATCACCATACTCAATTTGCCAAATAGGACCATTTCACATCTAGTGATCGAATCCAAACCCCGAGGATCGGACAAGCGGTGAAGGAGAAATGAACCAGCTTACCACAAGAGTCCCGAAGGAAGGGAATCCAACGAGGTTCTTGCTGATCTTGACTCGGCCAACCCCACTTCATGTTTGAGGGGTTAGTTTGCCCTCGTCAGACTCAGCCCGGGAACACACCTAGCGCCGTAGCATACTGCATGCACATTGGTCGCCAAGATCGGAGCCACATCGGTGTGCACAGGTGTGCGAACGGATCGTTGTGTTAAAAACCTTGTCACCGAAGTGCTGGCCCCAATTTCTGGTTTTTGGTTTGACTGACAGCGGGAACCAGGGACGATCCATTCCCGTGCCTCTGGAATCTGTAATGCAGGGCTTTCATCTGGCCTGCATCCAGCAAGGGCTGGTTTGGATTCCAATCGATAATTCTGCAGAGGGGACTTCGATCAGACTCATAGGATGTCTTTCTCCCGGCTTCCTATTGTTTCGTATCTCTCAGGGCTTGACGGAACGGGTGAACGCCAGGGGTATATCTGATCCGATAGGAATTTTCTTTTTCTTTTTCGTTTTTCCTTTTCTTTTTTGCTTTTGGTGGTCCTTTGATCCGTGGCTGAAGCTCTGATTACATCATTCCATACCATGTCCGACATGTAACATTAAAAACATCGGCTCTCATGGTGTAAGGGAAAGCGGTTGTGATTTTCTGGCATCTAGCGCTTCAGCCGCTGAATGAGATCGGACTCACCAGCCATATTTAGCCACACAAAAATCAGACCATTGTGCCGGCCGGGGATGGGCCGGCGAGACAGTATTTCGCTTGATCCACTCTGTCGGGCGCTCCTGGATCCTAGAGGTAAAGTATGTCATATGCGATACAGCGGACTGTGCATTAGCTGACGGCACTGCCGCCTAGTGTCAAGGTTTGTTAGCTTGACTTTAAGTAGCAGAATGGGGCCGAGTCTATCCTGATAGTTGGTATTCCCTGGAGTTCCGATAATTGTGAACCATTCCTCGGCTACTGGACCGACCCGCCATTTCCATTCCTCTTCCCCTGCTTGAGTCAATGTATGACCCAGTCTCTCGGGAGTAAGAACAAAAAAAGAGTTTTTGTATATCCAAATTGATAAGTAGCTCAACCTCTAGCTAGAGATGACCACAAGACCCGTCGGAGGTTCCTAGGGACCGCTGGGACGAGTCGGAGGGGAATAACAACGCCGCATTGGTCGTATTTGGGCCAGCGATCAACGAAAAAAGCCCCATTCGAATGAAACAAGACGCACGGATTTGAGGCACAACGTAAGATCACCGCCAGAGATTTTCCTCACCCGAATATAGTTGAACGTGTTCGTCGCATTGGGTGGACTAGTTCTCAGCCTTCTCATTCGTGCACTTGTTAGTACGTACCTTGTATGAGACTTGGGCCCCTCATACAGCCCGTTGACAGGCGCCGACGAAGTGTGTGAATGATCCTCGAGCCGCCATCCAGTCCTAGTCTGTCATTGCCGCCGTCTCCCCTCCAGCGGTACCCGATCGCGTCGATGAAAATCACATAGCTTTCTTTAATTTCCTCTTCCCCCTCTGGCATTATCAGTTGATGCCCCCCTTGGCGCGGAGAATTTATCCCCACTCTTTGACAAAACCGGCCAAAAAGCATTCCATATAGCGGTCGACATTGCCAATTTTGTGCACGACATTCAGGAGAAGAAACAGGATTACAATGACGTACAGTCACTCTCCCTCGCGTTTCTTTCTTTTCAAGGCCACGAATACTAATATCCAGGTCTTCGATCCAAAAGGAGCCCAGATTCACAAACAGTAGCGCTGGACCGCGAATATCTGGATACGATCACTATCCAGGGCCGCGAGTATCAAAAATATTCGATCGACCATCGCATATATTTCGGACCAATCGATGATGTGAGCAGACAATCGTCTTGGTCCCACTTTTTATCTGACAGCTCGAGCAGGAAGAAGCGCAGCGCTTGGATGCCCAGCAGCAAGTGTTCCAGAGAATTTTCGACGACCGTCTAATCTTTCCACCAATTCGCCGACTGCGAAGAGTACTAGACTGTGGGCATGGGGCCGCCTCGTGGGCCATAGAGGTTGCTGAACAGAACCCAGATTGTGATGTGAGTCGCTGCGCTGATCTTCTCCTTTAGGCATCTAAAAATGGTTGACAATTGCTGTGAAGGTCATTGGCGTGGACATTGCCCCGCACATGAGCCCAGATGATATTCCGGATAACCTTTGGCTGCAGGTGAGTGATTGATCTTCTTTTCACATCGCTAGTTAGGACCATAGGGAGGTTGTATGGTCAGCCCAACATTTAGCTCTCTCAATACGCCATCGACGTTTTGTTGCAGATCTTACTGTGCGAAGAGTGGATTGTGGTTGGACTGACGGTCGCTAATACAACATCCTGTAGGTTGACGACTTGAACCGAACATTCACATTCCCTTCGAACCACTTCGATCTTGTGCACTCTCGACTCCTTGCGACCGGTATCCACCGTACTCGATGGCCGTCCTATGTCCGCGACATTGTCAGGTGCGAACACTCCCAGGCAGTTCGGCTGTCATGGAACCCCAGTAATCCAGTCTCTTGGATAGAAGTCGATCGTACTGATCATGTGTTCTTTCTTTTAAAGGGTCTTGAAGCCGGGTGGATGGGTTCAAATGGTTGAAATATACCATAATGTGCAATCTGACAACGGCGCCATTACCGACCAGCATGCCCTTAGGAGATGGAGCACACAATACATGCGTGCCTTGGAAGACAGGAAAGACCTTCGGATTGGATCAAAGTTGCGAGCCACTCTCATTGAGGCAGGACTCGAGGACGTCGACACAAACATGATCCCTCTTCCTTTATCAGCATGGTCGACCGGTGAGTAGCCGCTGCTGTTCTCACTCAAAGTTCTAACCTGACCGAATAAAGACGCAAGGATGCGAGCCATTGGACAATGCAATAGTGATAATGTTCAGCAACTTCTTCGATCCCTGGCGCTATATCCCCTCACCCAACGGTTGCACATGTCAACAGAGACTTTTGACTCGTTGGTGCAACAAGCACAGGAAGAAGCTAGAGACCATTCATTGAAGGCATATTTTCCCTTGTAGGTGCGCATTGTCGAAATGCTGAGGAGAGAGTTTGCTGACATGGCCAGATACGTTTGCATTGGACGAAAACCTTTATGAGCTGGGCCGACTTTGCACATATCGAACTGGCAGAAACCTCACCAAGAGGTGTGCACATATTCTTGTGATTCGCAGCATCTAACGTGGTCTTTATCCTGGGTATTGTATTGCATTTTGTCGCAGTTCCACGCGCACTACCATGTCGAATTAGCCAAGAGACGGTTAGTCAAAACAAATTCTTGATCAATTTTGTACCTCAGTGGGCCAGTCCATTGTATTTCGCTGTTTCTTGACAAGGGAAGTTGTGTGTTTCCCCCGAAAGCCCACGTTGCGAGAAAGTTCGAAGCGGAAAAGGGACTGGGAATCGGCGAGATGGTCGCACAGGGGACAAGAGGATTGGCCGGACTGACGGATGCGCATTGTAGTACAACCGCACAGCACGAAGTAGGTGTTGGAAGCCCAAAGCTAATTTCTGCGCTGTATGGTAGAAGTGGTTTGTTTGTCAGATCGTCATTATGGATCGGGTATGGATCGGGGTCCTGTGCGGATCGGGAGGGTCACGAAGCAAATCGACAACGGCCGACGACCACGCTAAACGTTACCGCGTGGCGTCGGAATCACCAATCAGATGTATACATCTTTGTTGGTTCTCAAAATATCACAACGATCGATGTCCCTCTGAAGTTGGGGGTACGTCAACGATTTGCTGTCAGTGATTCAGTCTGGGAAACTTGGGGGATGAGAGCCTCAACCCGACCATACCATTGGGGCAACAAGCTTAAAGCCATCCCTCGGACCCACAGTCCAGTATAATCAGGATCGTTGTGTGAAACGTACACTTGCCTTTGCCAGGGGAAGATTGAAGAGTGAAGGAGCAAGCCGAAGAAAGAAAGAGGGGGGTGTTGACCCAAACTACCGGGAAGGCAAGAACCAAGCGCATTGAGCTCGACCAACTCCTCCCATTACCTGACAGATAAGCTCTGCATTGTCATGTCAATACCTGATCTTATCACCTTACGCACTACGAGCTACGACCCAGGCAATCATTCTATCTGTCTAAAGAAGAAAAGTCTGACAGAATGTCCTACGGAGTGCAGTGACAAAAAGTCACCAATTCGTGATAATATCTGATGAATTCTTGAGGCATCTTTGAGGAATCTTTCAAGATTCAAGATTGTGGAATGCGAAAAACGAATATCTTGGAGATCAAAGCAAAAGATGAGCTTGGACCGGTTGGTATTTCTCCTATTTGGGAGACTTGTTACCCGGCCCAACGCCCCGGGATCCAACGCCCTATTAGACTTCGTTCCGGAATGCCCTTGAGTGATCTAGCACAACCACCAGGGATCCAGTCAATTTTGTTCCAACATCAGAGTCAACACCCTGTCATGTTGGGCAATTACAAATACCCACTTGCCCTGCTGGCTTTTTGTTTCTGTGTCGCCTATCGTTGCTAGGCACCGAGCTAGCCGAGACGATCTCTATCTCTTTGGGGCTTTGTGATCGGTCTCGACCCAAGCCTCATATCTTTGCACGATTGGTTCGGTCAATAAGCGCAAAGATGACGTGGTTCTCTTTCGCTGGCTGTGTGTCCTAGACGCAGTATAGGCCCCCTGCCCTTAACCGCTACTTTTCCCGGCCGCTCGATATTCAAGACAGTATGGAACTGCTTTGCCGGTTAGAGATAGAAACCAGTCATACATTCGAAAGTAAGTAATTAAGGTCTGTACTCTCATCTAACTCGATTGGGGATAATTTTCAAATTCTATATGGAGTATAGAGTTCTTCATATATGACAGCGAGATAAGCGTCATCGAAGACACTCGTACGTTACTGTTCGGGTTCAAGGGAAGTAGCAGTTAAAATGTAGAAATTCCTTAGAAGTTATAATCAAGAGTGATCCATTATATTATTTAGAAGTTATCGACACCTGGCTTCTCAGGTGTCAATGGCTACCCAATCAGGGAAAGGCGGGGAGAAAAAAAAGTTGCGGAATTTGAGCTCCAGTTGAATTAACTTGGAAACTTCCTCTTTCAACATTTGCAGCCAACATGCCTTCCACCTACAACAAAGAAAAGGCCTGGGATACCGATGACATTGACAAGTGGAAGGTAATAAAACCCCCCCTCTATCCCCAAGAGAAATCTTCGCTAACTCAAACTCATTTAGATCGAAGAATTCAAAGCCGAACACAATGTCGCCGGAAGTTTCGCGGAGGAGTCCTCCTTCATGACCCTCTTCCCCAAATACCGTGAAGTCTACCTGAAGGAAGCATGGCCAACAGTCACCAGGGCACTGGAAAAGCAGGGCATCGCCTGCACCCTGGATTTGGTAGAGGGTAGCATGACCGTGAAAACAACCCGCAAAACCTACGACCCAGCCGCCATCTTGAAAGCGCGCGACCTGATCAAACTCCTCTCGCGTAGCGTCCCCGTCACACAGGCGTTGAAGATCCTCGAGGACGGCGTGGCCTGCGACATCATCAAGATCCGCAACCAAGTGCGGAACAAGGAGCGATTCGTGAAGCGGAGACAGCGTATCCTCGGCCCCAACGGCTCAACCATCAAAGCCCTAGAATTGCTCACAGGCACCTACATCCTTGTTCAGGGTAACACGGTAGCGGCCATGGGACCATTCAAGGGATTGAAGGAAATCCGAAGAATCGTCGACGACTGCATGGCGAATATCCATCCGATCTACCACATCAAGGAATTGATGATCAAGCGCGAGCTAGCCAAGGACCCGACGCTGGCGAATGAGTCGTGGGATAGATTCTTGCCCAACTTCAAGAAGCGCACGCTTTCCAAGCGTCGTGTTCCTCACAATGTTACCGACAAGTCCAAGAAGGTTTATACGCCGTTCCCGCCTGCGCCGGAGAAGAGCAAGGTGGATTTGCAGATCGAGTCTGGAGAGTACTTCCTTTCGAAGGAGGCAAAGGATCGTGCGCAGAAGGAGGAGGTGGTCGAGAGACAGCGGTTGAAGCGGGAGGAGAAAATGCGCGAGCGCGAGAAGGATTTCATTGCGCCCGAGGAGTCGGTGCCGGCCGATGTCGATGGGGAGAAGAAGAAGAAGAAGGAAAAGAAGGAGAAGAAGGAGAAGCGGAAGCGCGAGGCCGAGGCCGAGGCCGATGGGGACGATGCCGATCGCAAGGAAAAGAAGAAAAAGAAGAAGAGCAAGTCCAAGGATGCTTCCTCCGACGAGGAGTAAATTTCTCCCGGTTTCAGTGTTTTCGGACTTTGGCGCTTTATGGCAGAGCATGGGTCTGGCGTTTTTATGTCTCTTTTTTCTTGTGACAGTGTCCTTCACGGGGGCTTTCTACTGTAAAATGACCAATACCAGGTTTTGATATATCTCTTAGGTACTATATGAACAATATTGAGAAGTGAATTCAATTGCTGCATAACAATTAAGATAAAGATCACTAATCAGGCCTATTAATTGATATTCATTGAACTGCACTACCAGATTTCACACTTGAGTGCATTCATCCCTGGAACTCTGATCTCCAGATCTTTTCCATAGAACTGCTATCATATTCCGCTGGGTGCGCTTGAGTAAACGCATACAGCCGCGGAAACTGTGAGTATCCTAGATAGCATCGTGTTCCGTCACAGTGGCCTTTTGCTCGTAGTGGCTAATGCTAGGCTCGACCTTGTCGAGCATGCCCATTTCGTGCGCGAAGGTCTCGTGGGGCACCCACTTAGCGCTGGTCATGGGGGTGGTCTCCTCGAGCATCTTGTCAACCTGTTCCAGACTCAGACCTTTGGTCTCGGGGATGATGAAAAAGGCGAATAAGAGACAAAGGACAAGCGCACTGCCCCAGATAAAGAAGACTTTAACTTTCAGATTACCTTCCGATTCGTCAACCATGTAGGGAGTGATGACCGCAATGACGCAGTTCCAGATCCAGTTGGAGGCAGTTGCAAGAGCAACACCTTTAGCTCGGATCGGCAGCGGATAGATCTCGCCAACGACCACCCAGGCACCTGGACCCCAAGTCATAGCGAAGGTTGCGATGTAAAAGCAGGTGAAGACAATGAGACAAACGCTCCTGAAATCCAGATGGTCAGCATTGTCATTTCGAAATAGTCGGAGGAACTTACGCTGCGTGGGTCCCTTCTTTGGTAACGCCTACAATCGCAACGATGAACTCGCAGAAAATCATGACTGCGGCGCCGTAGATAAGCAATGGACGGCGACCCAGTTTCTCTATCATGTAGAAAGATGCAGGAGTTGTGACAACGTTGACGACGTTCATAATGGTTGACATCAAGAAGGGATTTTTCAGACCGACCTCCTGGAAGAACGTGGTGCCATAGTAGACTAAGCAGTTAGATAAGGTATTCAAAAAATGGACTAACGTAAGCATTACTTACAGATGAAGTTGATTCCAGTCCACTGTTGGAACATCTGCAAGCCAGTACCCATGATGACACGGCGGAGGTTTCCACGCGGAGCAAAGCCACCCTTGAAACAATCACCCCAGGAAGTGCTTGCGATTTGCTTTTCATATTCATAGTTTGCCTGAATCTCAGCAAGCTCTGCTTGGATGGCATTGTGGGTTCGAGGCTGCCCACGGACTCGCTCCAGCGAGCGCAAAGCATCCTCTGTGAGGCCGCATTTGACATAGTACCGAGGGGATTCAGGAAGGAGGAAGAGTCCACCAGCCAAAATCACAGCCCAGATGAACTGCAATCCGATGGGAATACGGTAAGACGAGCGGCCATCAATGTTCTTACAGCCTTGAGCAACACCAGAGGCGAGGAGCAAACCGATAGTGATAGCCCATTGATAACCGAAAACGAGTAGACCGCGAACCTTGCGAGGAGAGATCTCAGAGACATACAAAATGACAGTAGAGGAGACACCTCCTACGCCGAGACCAGCAATCAGACGACCTGCAACAAGACCAGCGACGTTGACAGTTGCAACCTGGACAGCGACACCGATGGAGAAGATCAGACAGGAGATCATGATGGTGATACGACGACCAAAGCGCTCAGAGAGCACACCTCCGAGAAGGGAACCGAAGAAAGTACCAGCTGAGAGAATGGAAGTGATGAGGGACTTGCGGGAGCTGGGAATGATGAATTCGGATGGATCTTCTTTGGTGGGGCTACGAGAATGTCCAAAGTGTTCCTTGACATAATCCATGCCCAGGACTCCAGAGATGTAGCCAGAGTCATAACCGTTGAGAATGCCTAAGTGTCAAGATCAGTTTTGAAGCCAAAAAATGCGGGAAAGGATGTCTTACCTCCAAAGCTGGCAAAGCCACAGATCAGATAGGCACTCAGGGTGACAGGCGCCTCGATCAGGTTGAGATCGGCCGTGCCCACGACCTGGCGAGTATCCGACATCGTTGTAAACTTCAGATAGAATGAGAGATTAGTGATAGAAAGGTTTTATCATTCACAGAAGGGGAAAGTGGAGCGCAAAAAACGTCTTCAGGTGGGGAAGGAAAGAAAGGAAGGTTGAGGTTGAGGAAAGAAAATAGAATGACAAACACTTGAACAAGATAGTAGATACAAACGCAATTCGGAAGGTACCGTCAATTATGGAATCATGTCCAAGGCAACGGTGACACACGCGTAGATTACTGAGTATGTACAACTCAAATAAATAGCGTCAGACAAGCTCATTTCTACCTTGACATGTAAAAGAAATACTCGGAGCCTCAAGCATCATAAACGGCTTAAATTACTTCAATGAAACTGTGATATGAGAATGACCTTTAAACTTACTCGTATTTGGATACTCCTGGCCTATTGCTAATATAAACTGCATAAATGCATAACTGCTGCACAATGACCTAGTTTATAGTTGAGAATATATGTACTATCCATTCTTTCCAGAACCTTGAATGCCCCGGATCACCGTGCAACAGAATCTATCATGGAAGATCAGGAGTCTTTTTAAGTGCAAATTGAGAACTCAATTCATGGAGCTACAACAGATGAACGGAGTCCCACTCCTACAGATGTGCAAAGAAAACTTGACGACCATTTTACCTTGTCGAGTATATGTACCAATACGGCAAACCACAGGAAAGACCACCTGGCGGAAGAAACACGTCATACTAGGAACTCCTTCAAGATAGAGTGTCATGAAACCTTTACCGGCGTACAAGACACCTGACAAACTTGACGGATTATGGCCCTATGGATGCACGTAGCCGTTAGAGTTGCATGGGGACAGCAGCCCATGAGCCATTGGATATACCCGAGAAAAGGAGTAAATGTCAGATAGTCACACGCACTATAGAGATACTACTAGTACTACCATATATTAACAAGAGGACGTCCCATTATCCTGTTTGTAAACAAAGTTTATAAGATGACTTGAGTGCTCCATGCTGGTTGAATATCCGAATTTTCAAGGAAAAAATGCTTAACACCACGTGAATAAAGATTCTACATGGTTTCAAATAAATTTTATCTCTTCCAAAGTAGCCGTGATATGTATATAAAGTTAGATCTGGTAATTGGTATGTAACACCTAAAGGTCGGCAACTCGAAACGAAGCCCGACACAGCGCAGAACCAAGTATGTTCCCAGCATCAGCCTGCAGCTCCACTGATCTCCAAGCAATATACCCATCAGGTCGAACAAGCACCGCTCCACTATCAGAGATACCCAATAACAACTCAAGATCAATCTGTCCAAGGAGCAAAACATCAACTCCAAGCCGAACCGATCGAATTTTAATAGAAGACCTCTTATTGACCTCAGCCACAGGCCCAGTCCACCTTTCAGCCGAGATCAAAGTCCAATCCACACCAACAACATCAAGAATCGGAACCCTCTGTCCATCTCTCTCAACCCAGAAATGAGGCAGATGAGTCCCCGGCTGGCCCCTCCACTCATCAGGCTTCAAGGCCCTCGGCAAACCACCATCCGCACCGATTATTCCATCGGAAAGATAAATCTGTCCAAATTCCATTGCATCATCATCTATCTTTTCGCCAGCCGGTACAGCGGTATCAAGATGTACCTTGTAGTCCGCACGAACGAAGATCTGATCATGTCGCAGCAGCGCAACAGGTCTCCTCTCCTCAGTATACGTATCCAGAATCCTCGGCTCGGATTGTCCTGAAAGAACAGCGGCAAGTTTCCACGCGAGGTTGTACACGTCGTGGATGCCAGTATTCGCTCCGTAGCCGCCACGGTTAGGTGGGAGGGTGTGTGCCGCGTCGCCGGCTAGGAAGATTCGACCAGATTGGAAGGTATCGGCGACTAGAGCTGTTAGCTCCCATTCTGCTGTTGTGATGATTTCTAGGGGAAACTCGGTTCCGATGGCTTGGTAGATTGCTGCGCGGAGAGCGGCGTCGTCGCGCTTGACTTCGTCTTTGAACATTAGGGCCCAGCGGCCGTCGCTGTAAGATGCGAGGAAGGCTTTTAGACCGGGCTGGTTGATATCGAATTGGGGAATCCCTTTTGTCCATTGTTGGAGATCTGCGTGAAAGAGTACGCTTTGGATTGTCTGCATGAATCCGCGACCTTGGCGTGGGATGTGGAGTAGTTCGCGTATGGTACTGCGATTTCCGTCTGCGGCAATGAGGTATGATCCTCGGATTTGTTGGGTGTTTCCTTGGTCATCTTTGACAGTGACGGTGACTCCATTTGAACCTTGTTCCACGTTTAGCACTTTGTGTTGGCGTCGGATATCGGCGCCAAGCTGGAGTGCTCGTGCTTCGAGAATTGGCTCAAGTTTGTCTTGAGGATTGGCATAACCACGAGCAGCCGAGTATTCCATCTTCGGCTGGACAATCAACGGGGTTTGTTTTTCTGTCTTTGCTTTTGTGTCCGTGTCGGACCACGATGACTTGTCGTGCCATTTGCCGGCCACACTCTCGACGTGGGCCCGTTCGAGGACAAAGTCAGCGGGCGCTGGGTCGTTGTTTTCAATGCCGACTTTGTGGTAGATTTCCATGGTGCGGGGGGTAAACCCGATTGCACGAGGGTGCTTGGAAATACCGGCATGCTTCTCCAGAACAATAGTTGGGACATGGTGCGATGCCAGGCATAGGGCTGCGGAAAGGCCGACTAGGCTGGCACCAACCACGATGACTGGTTCAGGGGCGTTGGAAGGCATTGTAAAAGCTTTGAAATGATGATAATCAAATTTCGGTTGAATATTGAAATGTATGAATAGAAGAGCAAGTCAACCATTATATAGAAATCGGATCGATTGCTCGGTGCCGAGCCATGTATATCTCGGCGCCGAGAATTTCATGTCGGGCTGAGATGTCGGCCACGTTAGTCAGGCCTCAAACGACTCAACTTAAGACACAGAAAGCTTACTTTATTGCAAACCTTCGAATGAAAATAGACCAAAATAATGTATTCGTATTCGCCATTATGCAGTACCCCGCCGAGGTTTATCATGCGTATATTAAACCCTTTCACCCGCGGACTCAGACTCATTATCCTTTAACCGTTGGATCTTATCCAATAAAAACCTCTCCTGCTCCACCTGGCTCTTCTTGAGATCCACAAAGAACACTAGAAGGACAAAGCTAAACAGACTCAATGCAAAAAGAAAGTAAAACGGGGTCGAACTGTTTCCAGTCGGGCTTGCATCGATGATAGCGCTCGAGACAATGGGTCCGATGAAGGAAGAGGTCTTGCCAATGATGCTGAAAAGACTAAAGAACAGGAATTCGTGGCCTCTAGGTGTAACTTCTGAGATCATGATTTGCGAGTAGCTGTACCAGGGGCACACAAAGAGACCGTAGAATGCTTGGTATACCTGTGAAATTAAACATTAGCATTTTCTTGTGCCAATGGTTCTGGTTGAATGACATACCCAAACTTCCCATACGTTGTGGAACCCGAAGCTTTCGGTCCAGATTCCAATCATTCCCCAGCCATCGAGCAGGATGATGCAAAATGCGATGGCGTTGAACATGGTTTTGGTTCCCAGCTTGTAGCGCTGTTGAATGACCCAGAATGCGTAAATGCCAACAGCCTAGTTGGTCACAATATGTTAGATACGTTTCAATAGGGTGTGGATATAGACTTACTTGTGCTGCAATACCAACGATTAAAAGGTATGTAAGCTGCAAAGTATTGTATGCAACGATCTCATTCTGTAGGGTAGAGATTACCGTGACTGTAGTGTTCAAGGAGTCTCCTAGCAGGAAGTACCCTTTTCCGAGTTAGCTATCGACCATATATCAGTACTATCTGCTCATTCTTACCAATCAGATAAAGCAAGCTTTGTTTCAGGTGCCAAATCTGCTTCATTGCATGCCAGAGCTGCCACAACCCCGCAACCAGTACAGATCGCTTACCCGGATCTTGACCAGGACGGCGCTTCTCAATGAAGAACCACGGCAAAGATACCAGGAGCCATACGCCTGAAGCAAAAGCAATTAGGACACTCAACCCCCAGTTATTATTAGCGTCGCTAGCATTGACGTCCAAACCAAACATAATGCCGACAATAATGGCCAGGATGAAGATCTCCGCGACAGATTGGACATAAAAGGCGATGTTAGACAGGCGACTGCGCATCATGGTATCCGCGTAGTTGTATTCTTCACGGGTAATCCTCCCAGAAGCGTATTCATCGGCCTTTTCCTTCATTTCCACCGTGTTTCGAGCGAGTCCGGGGAAGGCGGCGGTCCAGAAGGTCAAAGTAGTTTGGTAGGCGATGAGGCCCACAATATATAGACCAACGCCGACGTGCCATTTATCCCAAGTATGAGCGCCCAGCCAGCCAAATCCAATTGCCCACGCGATAATTGATAAAGCGATCAGGATGTTAGGTCGCCAGTAACCGAAATCGGCGAAACTGCCAATCGCCAAGAAGACGACGATTTGGATTGCGAAAGAGATGCCGTTGCATAGTAATACGATACTGTTGATTGTTCGGGATCGGCCAGCAAAGTCGAGCATGCCACTCGGCGGAGCTGCCTGGTACATCAAGTTCTGGAAAGCTGTGGGCGCAAAGTCTAGACTTGATGTTAGCTGATTTCCAATTAAAATGCAAAGCATGCGCTTACTGAACAGAGAAAGTCCATTATTGCCGATATAATAGCTAGATGATCGTAGCGATTAGTTTCGTCAAGCCCCTGGACACGACCATATAACGCACGAGTAATAAGCCCAAATCTCCATCCGGGTCGTGCGATATTTCTCATCAAATCGATCCGGAGCCACATTTTCTCCATCCTGTTTGATCTGGGGTGAATGTGGGTCCTCCTTAACGGTCGAAACCGTGTTGTCCTTGAGTTGATCCATAGCGCCCGAGGAAAAGTCGCGTCAAGAAGCCAGGAACATGAGTGAAAACAAACCCCAAAAACAGAAACCGAAAAAAACCCCCCAAAACCGGGAATGAGGGGAAGCAATCTCTGTCCAGCCATCACGGAAATTCTAGCCAGTTTAAATTACTCACTCACCCGCGGCCCCGCGTGCCAGAACCCTGATAGAAGCCGAGACCAGTCGCGTTGGAGTGATCTTGCCGATCAGACAACAATCACTCCACTTCATGGCCAGGTCGGCCTTAGCGATTGCTTAGTGACTCGCTTGTGGCCTATCACAGTCAACGTATGCCCGAACGTGTATCTCCAAGCGACGGTCGCTACTTTTCGGGGATAAAATGCCGAAGTTCTCCTTGGCACGGGAGGAGTGAAGGACCCGAGATCACGTACTTTAACCCGGACAACCAGCCGTGGATGTGACCTATAGATATCACATCTATTGCCCTACTACATCAATGTCGCAATCATGTGATATAGCAGGGATGTTGATTCGAGTTCCTCTTTTTTCACGCTGGATTTATCCCACTCCCCGCACTGCGCAATGTGGCGAAAACCAAGAAGCGACCACGATGAAGACTGGGAGGGAGACAAGGGTATTTCCACAACATGGCCTCGGAAATTCCTTGACCGCTGCGTCCTATACGAGGTTGCTAAATTTGTCTCCAAATATGCCGACTGCGAGATGATCGACGACGATAATTTGAAAATACTAGGAAAGGCTGGTCGGAATGTTTGCGTGCGAGCGATACCAGATATCGGCAGTGATGCAGTCATAAGATTCTCGCGGCCTGATGTTGATGCATTTCCGGAGGAGAGGCTTCGCAATGAAGTCGCCGTGATGCGATATATCCACGACGAAACATCAATACCCGTTCCTTTTATTTTTCATTGGGGAACGCAAGAGAAAAGTCTCGACGCACTCGGACCAGTCATGGTCATGGAGTATATGGATCATGATAGGACCATGTCTGACATTTTAAGAAACCCACGATTCCCGGATCATTTCCCGCCAATTTTGGACAATAACGTCTATATCGAGGTACTCGAGAGAATGTATGGACACCTCGCAGATATTATCCTTCAGCTCTACATGAAGTCATTCCTCTGTGTCGGGTCATTGGATCATGTTGATGACTTCACTTGGGAAGCGACCAAGCGGCCTCTGTCACTTCAAATCAATGACATGGCATTGACTAGTAATTTACCAGAGTCACACCTTCCATCTACGATTTTCTACACAGCGTCGTCCTACATGGAAGCCCTGGCGGATCTTCACATGCATAACCTGATCCATCAGAAACATCGGGTCACTTCTGCAAATAGATTTCGCCAGAAATTCATCGCTAGAAAGCTCTTTCAAAGACTCGCCCAAGAGAAGAAATTGACAGACGTGACTCTCGAAGACGCACGACACACACTATGTTGTGATTCCCTCCACCCCACCAAGGTCTTGTTAGATGGAGTAGACTTGGCAGCCGTGCTGGGCTGGGAGTACACATATACTGCACCTTTGGAGTTCTCTCACGCACCGCCCTGGTGGCTTCTTCTCGAAAAGCCGGAACTCTGGCCATCGGGCTTGGAGGATTGGCAAACTCAATTTGATTGCCGTTTACAAGACTTTCTACGCATGCTAATCGAGTGCGAGAATCGCCGTCAACTGCCAGATGACCAACGCCTGTCTGGCCTGGTGAAAAGAAATTGGGAAAAGGGGGACTTTTGGGTTCTGTATGCGGCGCGGAGTTCCACTGCGTTTGATGAAATATATTGGCGTAAGATTGATGAAAAATTTTTTGGGACCACAGATGACCCAGATTCGTGGGAAGAAAGACTTCTGATTCTGAGTGAGGAGGAGAAGGAGGAGATGGAAGCACTAGTGAGTGCGAATTTTAAAGAGACAGAATAAGCTACAAGCAGTTTCCTCAATGGTAATCTACCAGAATGTCAGTAAATTTATCCAATATCGTCATTCTCGTGAGATGTAGATCTCGACGGCTACCGCAGGACAGCCAGATTGATTTGTTGGTAGGCTTCTATGACGATTTTGGGATGTCGATGTGATGATGTAAAAATGCAGTCTCGTGTACCCCTCCCTGTTGACAATCCGAGAAACCGAGCATGATGCATTCTGCTGACAGGTTATTTATCCTCGTCCAATGAAAATCCGATGCCAATGTGGGCTGCTTACATACGTCAACCTTAATTCCGGGTAATCTCCGGGTGGTGCGTCATCAACTCATGCATGTTGAACTAGAACTTCGATCAGAATAATAGATCAACAAAGCCGGCGTAATTGATGGATGGTAATAATGTGCTTGGATAAGTAAAGCTGTTCTTATGAGCTAAACCAGTTCAAAAATCTGATATTATCAAGGGCTGGAATCATTGGCATGAATACCTCGAATTCCACAATCTTGAACGGACTTTAAGGTGCTGAAAGATCATGGACCCATAGGACCCATAGCCTTGGAAGTCAGCAATGTTAACTCCGGGGACCTTGAACTCATAAATTCCACCCCTCGCCAATTTATCATGTCCATTGACATTAAAACGATATTCTTCAAATTAACTAACAGCCGTTCATCCGCAAACATGGTCAAGACACTCCAGTTCGGCGATCTCCAAGTCCCAATCCCGGGCTTCGGCGCAATGGGTCTCAGCTTCGGACTGGGTACTTCCCTCAGCTTCGAGGAAGCCGAGCCAGTTCTGTTGAAGGCAATTGAACTCGGATGCACATTCTGGGATACTGCTGTGAGTGCATAATCACGGAGAGAAAATTGATAAAATGAAGTCTGACTCGAAATGCAGGTGGTGTACAGCGCCGGTGTTAACGAGAAGCTGTTGGGAGATTTTATTAGAAAGCACAACGTTCGCGACAAAATTTTCAGTGAGTAGCAGTCTTTCCCTCGCAGTTATTCTACTAACCACCATTGCTAGTCGCCTCAAAGTGTGGATTCCAAGTCATGGGAGGAGATGGCTCTGTTACCAACTCTGCGGCACACATCAAAGAGTACATTGACGGCACCATTGAACGACTTGGATTCGCGCCTGATCTCTACTATCTCCACCGCATTGATCCTAGTACGCATTATCTCAGTCTGAAATACTCACGCCCAATTACTTACTTTCCATAGAAACACCCTTGAGCGAGTCAATCCCCGCCCTCGATGAGATCCGCAAGGCCGGAAAGACAAAGTATATCGGTCTCTCAGAATGCTCCGCCGCCACCCTCCGCAAGGCCAACTCAAGTACATTCCCCACACCCCCGCTCTAACGGTAACACAACATACTAATTATAACAGTTGCCAAGATCGACGCCGTTCAGGCCGAGTACTCCGCCTTCGAGACACTTCATGAAACAGACGGCTTGATCGACACAGCCAAAGAACTTGGCATTGCCTACGTTGCGTACAGCCCCTTGGGACACGGCTGGCTCGTTGACGACTTCAAATACAACTCTCCTGTAGACTTCGCACCCGATGACTTCCGTCGCACAGTCCCCAAGTTCCAGGGTGAGAACTTCTACAAGAACAAGGCTATTGTAGATGAGATTAAGAAGATTGCTGCGCGCAAGGGATGCAAAATTAGTCAGGTCGCGCTGGCTTGGGTTGCTTCTCAGGGACTTATTCCTATTGCTGGCACTACTAAGGCTGGTCGCTTGGAGGAAAATTGGGCTTCGAGGGATATTGACTTGACGGAGGAGGATAAGGTGGAGATGCGGAGAATCATTGATTCTGCTAAGCCTCATGGTAACAGGTATTCTCCTGCACACCAGGCTATGGTTGGACACTAGAAGTTCAAAGTCTATATTTGATATATTAAAGGTTCTGTCCTCATGGCCGCTACTCGCCTCCGTAAACCATCTGGGTAATTCATGCTACTAGTTGACCATGAACAGAGAACTTTACTAATACTTATTAACCTCTTAGATATAAACGGCATGGAGTTCCTCATCAAATTTGAAGAAATTACGGAGTTTTCTGAAGTAGGTAAAGGTCCCTAAATCGTTCCTGTCCCTGGAATTGCAAAGACGTGGAAAGAGAAGGGGTTATATTATTACTGTTAACATATCACTAGGGATTATAATTAAAGTTCAGATCTTGATCCTTTGTTTCCACTTCAATGTCAGAGAGCACAGCTAAGACTAGCCATAATAAAGGAAAGCTGTCGCAGAAAATCAGATACAAAGCCTGTTTGAGTGGAAGATTTTACCGATTCGACATGTGGATCCAATCCTTAGGGGGCGTCGCCGAGTGACCTAGACCAGTCTCATCCCACCCCCATGGCTCACTCTGTACCACGGTTTCTGAGACAACAGTGATATCCTTCGAGGAATCATGCTCAGTGAGGATATGTTCATCACTGCCCTAAGCGGAGACCTGCATGTGTGAGGGCGCTGCCGTATTCGTTTTACCCTTTTTCGTGTCATTTCCACCACGGTTGGTCAGAGTTTGTAAGCCTTGACTTGAGAGAGGGTAGGTCTGTCCTGAAGGCTTTGAGCTGAACAGCTGAGAGAGACCAATCTTGCTGAATCTTTGCGGATGAGGGGTTGGATAATTGGCAAATTGGAGACAACGATGGAGACGAATGTCTCTTGACAGGCCCATATAGAGCCGGCTGACGCTCCATCGGCTCCTGACTGCATAGAGTGTCAGTAACCTGCATTCATTCCCTCTGCAAAGAACTTACACTCATGATGGTAACGACTCGAATGATTGAGGCCGTGATGACGAATGCAGCACCGGAAAAGAGGGTCATCAGGGGGATTTTTCGTTTCAAGCTGATGTTCACAGTCCAGAGGAGAGGTAGCGGAATCAAGAGAAGATAAACATCTGTGATGATGTTGAGAATCACAACAACCATAATATACACAGGAGAGTTGGTTGGTTGACAAACGCCTGCACAATGGGTTAAAATGGAACGGGTTGTGATAGGAATCATGGGGGTACTGACTCCCAGGATTGGGGTAAATCTGCCAGAACGCATGGAAGAGTTGACATGATAGCAGAAGAGACAGCTGTGTTGCGATATAAGTCACAGCTAGAATACCATAGGTCAGTCTTACTCGGGTAGGGAGATTTTGCAGGCTAGTTCTATGATCATTACAGCGCGATATTCACCAATCAATTTCAAAATTACAAGTAGACCATACGTCAATCGAGAGTAGAGAACAGCAAGGCTGAACTTGACAAGGCAGAGAATAGAAACGTATAGCGATCATCCTAGAATCTGAAAATTAGACCCAGCAACACAATTGGACCACTCTTTCGACGTGGGGTCAATAGTCTTTCGCTGTTCGGACGTCATGTAACTGTTGGTCAAGCCCTGGTATTTCGCGGAGACGAGGTAGGCTGCTACTGTCTCCAGGACGAAGACGATCTGTCCAAGATGATCATCTTAGCATGTACTGAAAATAACGTTCGATTGAAGCAATGGCATAAGATAATCATCGAGCTGAAAGTTGGCCGGCCCAACATGAGTCCATCGTACGTAGATATGAATGAAAAATGTGACCAGAGCCAAGGACAGTAAGACCCACGCCTCAACGTTACTCGCCATTGCTGTGAATGCTCCTTATCCAGCAAGCAGACGAATACTTGAGGTGTCAAGTACGTGGAAGGGATGGACAGGGATTGAATGAGGAAAAGTCCAGACCATCTGCATGAGATCTTCGGCCCTAATTCACCCTATTCTTTGAGGATCAACAAAGTCCAAAAATTTATATTCCTTTAATTTCACCGATACGTGGTTTACGACGGAGTTTTCCCCGAAGCCCTATCAGATGAAGCCCTACACGGTCCACAGTCCGAAAGTGGGGGAAGATCAACATTGTTTCGACGCACAGCAAAGCCGCTTCACCTTAACGGGTTAATTTAAGGTCTTCCCCGCCCGCCAAGAGCCGCCACATCATCCTTCAAAGCCTACTTTGTGGATCTTTTTTACCCGAACTGCCAACTTTTACCCCACTAACTGGACCTAGCAATGCAGACCGAAGATCGCAACATAATCATTCAGGGGCTAAACTGGTAGCTGCAGTTCGTATCTTGCCGATTTCTCTAGGAAAAGCATATATACTCACTTTAATCTCTTCGAAAGTAAAACTTTATTTCAGATTTCCCCCGATTTTCTCCTCAATATGTCTACTTTTGACTTTATTATCGTCGGAAGTAAGTAATAGTCTTTCTATAAGATTTGTCCTCAAAAATGAGATCCTATGCTTCAATCAATCACAAAAAGGAATAAAAGATTGAAGTTTATTTGTCATATAACTCATACCGTAATAGGTGGCCCCTCGGGCAGTGCTCTCGCCGCTCAACTTGCGAGCTCTCCTGCCAAGCCTCAAATTCTTCTACTGGAAGCAGGTGAGAAAAAGGAAGATCGCAATCTTCGCGTGGATGGACAGCGATGGACCACTTTCCAGAACCAGTCTATGAACTGGGGATACAAGACTGCCCCGCAGGAAGACTGCAACAACCGTGAAATCGATTACAGCCGCGGTCATTGCCTGGGTGGATCTAGCGCTATCAACTTTGGCGTTTACAGTGTCGGCGCCCGCGACGATTACCAGGAGTGGGCGCGCATTGTCGGCGATGAGACCTTTGCGTGGCAGAATATCCAGACAAGGTTGAAAGATCTGGAAACCTTTCATGGAGAAACGCCGGAAGGAATGGATAAGAAATATGCCAACCCGAAGTCTGATGATCATGGTAATCAAGGTCCATTGCATGTGGGCTTTGCGCGCGAGTGGGAGAGAGATTTGACGGAACTGTTGGATGTCTTCGAGCAGGCTGGATTTCCCTTGAATCCGGATCATAACTCTGGAAACCCAATTGGAATGTCAGTCTTGATTAATTCGGCTCACAACGGCTTGCGCTCCACAGCGGGGGATTTGGTGGCCCAAAGAGAGGGGAGCCATTTGACAGTTGTCACTGGTGCACCGGTTCAGCGTGTTATCCTAGAAGGGAAGAAGGCCGTGGGTGTTGAATCGAACGGCACAAAATGTAAGCTCCAAACATTGCAACCATTTCAGATTGACTGACAGGACTCTGCAGACTTTGCCACAAAGGAAGTGATTTTATGCGCTGGCTCGCTCAACGATCCTCGTATCCTCATGCACTCGGGTATTGGGCCCTCCGCCCAGCTTCAACAATATAACATCGATGTCGTCCTCGACTCCCCCGCCGTCGGTCAGGGCCTTCGCGACCATTGCTTTGTCCCGATGGTGAACACCCGTACAGACACAAGCACGGACCGAAAGTCCTTTTATGGCTCCCAGGAGGCCATGGATGCCGCACAAAAGCAGTGGCAAGAGAACGGCACCGGACCCTGGGCAAAATTTGCCTGTGAACTGGGTATTGGCTGGTTCAAGCTCGCCGAGCAGCTCACTTCCTCCCCAGAATTTTACGCCCTCCCAGCAGACGAACAACGGTACCTTCTCCAGGAGACCGTGCCGCATTACGAGATCATCACCCATTTCCCGATTCACTGGTTCATCCCTGACTTCCCATCCGAGGCACTGAACTACTCTTGCCTGCTTGTATTTCTGTTCAATGCGCAAACTCGTGGCGAGGTCACTCTGCAGTCTTCTGACCCCGACGCTCCGCTCCACTTCAACCCTAAGTTCCTTGCTCACCCCTTTGATCGTCGGCTCGCGATCGAGGCCCTGCGAGACTCTTTCCGGGTCGCTAAGCATGAATCCTACACAAAGGACAATGTGGCTGAGTTGGCTATGCCCAAAGGTGAATCCGACGAGGATCTACTTGAATATTGGCGCCAGAACATCTCCTCAAGCTGGCACATGACTGGAACAGTGAAGATGGGCAAGAATGATGATCCGGATGCTGTTGTGGATCCTGATTTCAAGGTGATTGGTATCGAGAGCCTACGTGTCGCTGACATGAGTGTTGTACCTGTGTTGGTCAATGCTCATGTCCAGGCAGTCGCTTATGTGACCGGTGCAACTTGTGCGGAGAAAATTGCGAAGGAATATGTTCTTGCTTAGATATTTATGGGTGGATATCAGATAGCCAGAAAAAGGAAATATGATGAAAGTTTTTTGTTTGGTTCCGACACTTTTAGTTGATGAATTAAGCACTAAGTAATGCTGTAAGCGTTTCACGTACGTGGTGCTATGAGGTCGAATCGTAGTTTTGCCGTGTAGACGATCGGACAGTGTACTTTTTGTCTACGTCCGCAAGTCAACCGAAATATAGTTTATAAATAAACTTTTCTGAGACATATATGCGGGGTTGAGTATTCTGTTAGACTACTACATATCGGATATGCAGCCTGTGGCATTGATAAGGTCTCTCAGGAACAGGCACTTCTCTCAGGCTGTGGTTACTGCTACCTGTGGCTCGTTACTTTTAAGCCTTTGCATAGTTCTCTCGATCAGTTTTTTTCTTTGCAAGAGATACAGGTCCATAAAGACAGCATTTCAGTGCAGCTTCTCACCGAGTTCAATGGTAGTGATACTGCCTTTGCTTGAAACCCTATGTACCTTGTCGCCATATGATGAGCTCGACTATATTATTTTCAATAATGGGAGCTGGCCAAACGCTACAACGGAACACTTTTGTATCAGCAATTTTCTGCTCTAGAACTTTCATTCGATTCCACGGCTACCGTCCCTATCAGTGATGTTGAGACGTATCTGGGCTGCAAGCCTGGCAATATCACTGTCAAGGATTGGCATATTAAGATTACCTCGTACTAGCAAGATCCGGTATATGCCCCCGAATTCAACCAAGGATTGATCTATTTACATCTTCTTGCAGAATATCAAAGTAGTCTTTGGATTATGATGAATGGTGGGGGACATAATACCTCGCATAGGTTACATCTGGCCAGTGTGACGACACAAATGGTACAGAAGGAAAGCGAAAAGCAGATTGTGGTCATTGCCATTCAGATTGATAGCACTCAGATCTCTAATTGATCTTCCCGATGGACCACTACTTTTTTATACCTGCCAAGTTCGCTTAGTTGCATTGTGAACCGGTCTTATGCTAGGCCTCAGTAAGTTGCCTTCTTCAATTCTACTCACGATTCAAAGTGTGCTAAGAATGGCTCCCCTTCGTACGGCTCAAAAACCCCTTCAGCTTTTTGCTAAGACGAAATTCATAACTCGGACTCTTAGCTCTTCGATCCGGGAGCTCAAACCGGTGAGTTTTTAACCTTTGCTCGGCTGTATTTCCCCACATCTCCATATCTTACGGACTCCAGAGTACCCCGTATGTATTGGTAAATAGCTAGTCTGCTGTATTCTCTTATCTATCCTATAGATATGGAGTTCAGAAAATACCAAGAGAGTGAATTTCTGAAGTTATCTTCTTCAATGTCGAGTCTTGGACGAGTCCTGGAGACCTTTCGAGCTACCACTAATGCATCATCAAAGTACTTGTCAATATAGGAGAGTTGTTGTTTCGGTGGCTGCGGTCTCTGAAGAATTCGGGCTTCCATCGTTCTTGCTGCTGGCTCATCTGGGCCATTTGTGACAGTGGAGTCCATCCGAGGTGACCGATACTACTCGTGAGATTTCTATTATATGTTTGATGACCTTGTGTGCACTGACATTGCCTAGCTCTTTTCCCAATAATAAGGTCTTTAATCGTGGAGGATTTGGACTAGGTAATAAGTATCTTGGTTACACTACGTACTGGATTTCTCCTGGTACTTTTTGGTTGCCCTCTACGTATTAATAATGCTCCCGAGGTCGTCCTTTTGCAGCTTTGGCCCACTGAGTGGATCTAAGCACGGCCTTCGGCTAAGTTATCTGATGAGTCCAAAAAATAATTGCTTCTCTTCTCATGTAGATCAGTATCATGTTTGTGGTATCTAGGTTGATTATATAGCGCCTTATTAATCATTAATTCACACTCAGAGTGTAGAGTGTCCGCTTCCAGTCCCATCTACGGAAGCGAGTAGCGGCCATGTGGTCAGATCATTTATTGTATAAATACGGTTTACCGCTTTTGCTGATTTTGTACTGTATTATACCAAAATATCCATGATTTCAGTATTATCCAGCACTGATACTTACCTAGGCTCATTTAAAATTTGGCTGTCTAGAACATAGATTAATCTCCTACTAAGGAGAGTCGAGTCCCTTCTTAAGCGGACCTGTATACCCTCAAAGATATCTATAATACTATTAATGTCTATAGGGATAGGATAATACTAACTTAATCTCTAAGGACTTTAGAAGTTTAGAGAACTACTCACTAGTTAACCTAGACTGGGCGGGAACCGACATATGTGAGGGTTAGGTACTATGTAACATATGCACAGTCGTTTGCTCCCTTGTAAAGAACTCTCTTCTGCCCTTCAGTATTTTTAGATCTTCTACCATTTCTACCATTTTTGCCTGGTTTTGGGGGAGCTGACCACATGGCCGCTACTCGCCTCCGTACCCATCTCATGTTCTGTTTGGCATGATGTCCTGTATTCTGCTGTTGTACGTCTTCAGAGTGCAGTCCCTCAATCATCAATCTGCAGCTTTTGGAAGAGCTTTTCCAAACTCTCAAGCTCTGTAATCACCCCCCAGTAGAATGCTTCTTGGAGGGCGGGACTTTTGAAGTCATTATCATGGCCAAAGTCGCAATACAGGCATTTCTTGATTATATCTCTGAAGTCTTTGGTCGTCGTTCGACCAGCCAAATCCACTAACCTCTGTGCAGTGAAATAATCCGCGAATCCAGGGATGCCTCCTTTTTCCAGATCCACTGTTTGCTGAAGAGTTCTTAGCGGAGCTTCGAATGCGATTTCAAGGAGCATTATTCCAAGTCCGAAGAGAACTGGATTGCGAATGAAGTCGTAACTTTCTGCAGTTTCCGGTTCAGACTGTGACTTTGAAGAATTGTTTGATGCTCGAATCGAAGTGGTCATGTATGATAAGACGGGTCGTTGTTGATAAAGACTTGAATGATCTCCAAAGAATCGGACACTGTCGCCGCGCCATGCTTGGCGAAGCCATGGAGTGGCATGGTAGTATAAGACGGCAGTAGCGAGGTATCTGGCCAGTCGAATCTGTTCATAAAGACCAATTTCCCCAGTCGAATCGGCTTTAGACGATGCTAAAAATTCAGAAAGAGACAGTGATGGCGCTTGGTGGCCGACTTCTGTATTTATATACGCCAAGTGTTTGCAGATCTCACTGTTGCCTAACAAGCCAAGACAGCCGGTGCATTCTGCCAGTGGTTCTCGAAAAAATCTTTCCAGCACCACGCAAAAGTTCCGCTGTAAATGCAGGCTTGGAATGTTGCCAGCAGGGCCTTCTGGGATATGTGAGGGCTGAAACTGAATCGGTTGGATTGAAGTCTGAAAATGAACACGTTTTTGACGATATTCAGCCGATTGGCTTTCTCTTTCTCTTCTTCTTTTCCTCAAGGGCGTCTCGACCACGTGTGGCGGATTTGTCGGAATAAATGACTCGACAGACTTCATGGTTGATTCCACATTAATCCATGCCATACGTCCTGACGCCTGCGGGTTCTGAAAAGCTATATTAAACCTTACTCGAGTTAAGTCCCCGTTGAGATGTGGCTGGAGTGAGAGATATACGTCATGCACACTGTGTGCATTACATGCGGTTTCGAAAGCTGCATAGAGGCTATGAGCGGCCTTCTGTACGACACGGAAATGGTGGAATTTTTGGCTATCCAATGAGCCCGTGGAAGGAAGAGGATTCTCCAAAACCGAGTATTTCTTTGGCTTGAAGATGGACGATTCAAGATTTTGAACCAATGAGCGCAGATCTTGAACACAATCCTGTAAAATCATAGATTAGATGAATTCACTTGATCAAATGATCGAGTTTTCCCTTCCTACCTTGAGTTTATCCATGGCACTGGGCTTTCCAGACTCCGCTTTGAGGGAAGTTGGTAGACGATTCGTGATATCTTGAATGCTTTGAAGTTTTGCTATAATAGCAGAGCATAGCTCTTAGCAGCTTCCATCGCAAGAAGCAAGTGTAGGATGCGTATAATCTGCATTTCTTGACGAAACAGAGTCGATAACGCTCAAACACACTTTAAGCTGAGTTTTCAGCGTAAGTTTTAGATCAACATCCCGTGGCAGGGACTTTTTCTGTTCCCTTAAAGATTTGATAGTAGCCTTGAAGCTTGGTTTGATCTTGTCAAAGACTATCATATCAAATTAGCCACTATATATATTTTCAGGCTTCTTGATGATTACCTTTGAATAGTTCTTCGTTTTGAAAATCTTGCGGACTCGGAGCGACTGCTGTGTTTATTATTGGTTTAGTGGATCGGGGTTGTTCAGGGGGCATCGTCGACTGATTTTCTTGTTGATCGTACCCGTAATTCACTTGATTGACGGATGCCCACTGTTCCAGTAGAGCCTTCACACAGGCCGCAGCACCTCCAGCAGAACATTTCTGCCAAATTTTATCTTTGTGACTATCAGCATAGTCACACACACCCTTGACCACGATGCAAGGGAGATTGTCATGTACTTCCGCGCTTTCCATCTCAAAGGCGATTACGTTCGCCTCCTCGGCGATCCGATCTCGGATAATACTAGATTTCATGACCGTGTCCGCAGAAGCCATTCGCCCAAAATGAACATCAATACCTTCTGTCGTCGATCGTGAGCGGGCAACCAGTCTCTTCGAACTGCACTTAAGCACTTCACAGGTAGCTTCATGTGCAGTTTCACAGTATGATTTCTCCTTGCACGACTTGCAATTTGATGCTCTGCGATGTTTGTGATGGTAAGAAGACTCAAATAGCCGATCAAACCGTCTCGGTGGATGAAAATACTCTTCCGGTCGCTCTTTTTGGAGACCGGCAAGATGGTGATGCGATCTCTCAATCAGACGGTTATAGCCCCTCGGGCCTTTGAGTTTGTGTAAGAACGTTCGTACCTCACGATTTGAGACAGGAACAGTCTCTGGCTTCTTTTGACTGAATCCTGTTGGTAGCATTTTTCCATAATCATAGACTACAATTTCGTCGCTGATGACTATGTCGCCGAGAAATATCTTCTTGTTCGTTCCATTCGAAAAGGGCGACGGTACTCCTCCACAGATTCCAACAACCAAAGCCAGTCTTATATTAGGAAAACTCAATCGGACGCTTGATGTGGCACTTGCGGCAAAGCTTTTCCCCATACCAGGCATATAAGTCAAAACAACATTGTGATTGCTGATGACACCAGTTCTGTATGTGTTCTCGTCCTCTGGCAGTTTCCCATATTGACGGTCGTCAGGCTGTTCGTTCCAGAAGTTGTCGAATATATATTCAATAGCGTGGGCCTCGAAATCTAGCGCGCATATGATCGCAACGTCGAAACCCCTCCTATCCTTCGGTGGCGCTAAACGATTCATGGCTACTAGCGTGAGTTATGTGAGAGGAATGGCATATAACATTTCCGTGCCTATGTAGTAGTAGTGAACCACGATTTTTCAGGATGGCAAGAAGCTTCCCAGGTGAATGTGTTGCCAAGGTGACTTTGCCCTGTTTGCTGCTTATTTAGCGCCTGTATACTTGCGAGGCTTACGACGCTGAATAGTGGCCTGACCTTGGAATAAAAACCTTGGAAATATATACCATACCGCCTACCTGGGTGGGGGACCACCGGTATAATTACAGTATGAGATCAACTGCTCAGGTCACCTGATGCGTAAGTATTTGGGAAGATCTCCATACTTCTGCAACTATGCATTGATACAAACTGCATAAACAGGACCTATCCTCATCAACTTCAAGTCTTATCGCAATACCCTTATTGAGCAGTTCGTTCAATCTCTCTCGCACTATACGCAATATCTATATGGTCGATCCCTTAACTCCTAATATTACTATGCAAGATAGCGGAACAAGGATTTATAGCCTTGGAAACTTATAATAAATGAGGTAGGAAAAGCTTCAGTAGTCAGCGATTACCTGTACCACAACTGACTAGTAGAACTAAGGGCGACTTCCAATAGTCCTAACGTACACGCCTCTTTCCGTTCTGTTTCATGTATTTTAATTTTCTGCCAATCTCAAGTAGGGTTACTAACCATGCAAATCTTAGGCCGCTATGCATCGTCCTGTACTCATCACGCCGTTCTGCCCCTCCATCACCGGAAACACTTGTGGACCATGTTGGTGTACACTTTCAAAGTCATCTAAAAAAATGGAGCAGACAAAGAATTTATTTGATGATTTGGTTGTTTCCCGAATCGACCATAGCACACAAGACCCAAACGTCGGTTTTGTTGAAACGTTCTATCAGACTTCTGCAAGAGCCCTGACCCATCTGTGGAAAACGCGTTTCCGTCTTCAGGTACGTGGTAAATACAGAAATAAGTTAAAGACAGATATTGCACACATTAAACTGTGGCAGCAGTATTTCCCCCAGGGGCGCCTCGACATTATAATAGAGCGATCAAGCTCCTTGAAAAGAAACGTTGTCGAGATCCTGAGGGGAATTGGAAAAGTCTTGTTGCCTTATTTACTGTCGAGTTTTGACGGCACCTTTGATAAGTCAAACAGCGAAACTGAATTCTACCGGAATTTAGTACAGGACCTGAAGACTCAATTGGAGCAATCAGCCATTATGCTCGTTGCTAACAATTCGGAAGACGACTCTTCTGGTATGGAAGCTTCTGAAAGCTCCGATAGCTCCGATAGCTCTTCTTCACCTACGGAGCGTGATTTTAGTTGGCTTGACAGACTTCACGGTTACATCAATTGCTTGATGGACTTGTCGTCAGTCATCGAGAGAGCCCATTATTGTCTCCAACAAGAGCAGGACGCACCAACTATCTCGCTTAAAAGTAGCTTCAATTTATCAGAGAGCGTGCGACCATTCGCTATGCTGATTCAGGATCGGTCAGTTCCCGAAGAGGCTGATTTCTTACCAAGCTAATTATTGTCGAAGGTTCCCAAAAGCATCAATTTCTTTGGTAGAGCGCTTGGCGGAAGCAAATCTTGAGAGATCTCTTCGTATCAGAGAGCTTATGAGCCAAGAGAACCAGCACGACGGGGACCACCAAGTTCAAGATGATGCTGGGACCTTATTTAAACCTTTTTCAATTTTTCATGATTCTGGGATTGGTAGTTCTGTCCCTGCGAATTCGTATGGCGCTCCCACTGTGGCCTCTCACACCTCGTTTCTTTCCGTTGCGACAGAGGTAGCTTTTGGACGCCCTAGGGTGCCTCCCTTACCACAACTGCCTGGGAAACGCTTCCAATGCGATTACTGCCGGAAATTCATATCCATGCAGAATCGGATTGAATGGAAGTATGTACCGGGGGAAGAAAGATCCTGGCGAGATTGAGAATGCTAATAGATTGATAGAATGCATGTCTACGCAGACCTTCAGTCATACGTCTGTACTCATGCGGAATGCAAAGATGCCTATCGAACATTTCCAACTCGGAGACACTGGGCCGATCGCGAATTTGATGTGCATCAGACTCAATCACAATGGTATTGCTCCAAGTGCGATACTATCGAGTCTACTCAATATTTGTTTAAGATCCATCTGGAGACGAGTCATGGTATCAGGCTAAGTGGTCACCTCTTGGCGGCAGCAATCTCACAAGCAGAAGGAACTACTTTAAGCTCCGACTCTATGAACCGCAAATGTGATATCTGTTCCCAACACAGCTGGACTACAAGAAAGGGGTATATTACTCATATGGGTCAACACCTGGAAGAAATCTCACTGGCATGTCTCCCAAGAGATCCGGAGGATAGCAGTGACGATGGACTAGATGCCGATAGCTCCCCCGAATCTAAGTGAAGCTGGCATCGAGAAATTGCACCATACAAACAGTGCCTGTTTTCCTTCAGAGGGACAATCTGAGCAGCCTAGTCCAGATTTCGCCATTCAGACACTTGCCACTCGGACAGCTACTGGCCCAGAGCTCAAGAGCCTGATGCGAGTTGATGCTTCTAGCCAGGCTTCGCAAAAGCAATTCCATGCTTTCCAAGCTCGCATCGACGAGCCCAATGCGAAATTTCAATTGAGTGAGCAACAGGAGCACGAAGAAGAATATGTGCCTTGTGCACCAGCACAGCCGCCGACGTATCCAGCATCCAGCCCTTCTGGTTGCGAGAAATCCATGTCATTTCCAGACAACAATGACTTACCTTCCGAAGATAACAACGAACATAGTGAGCTTCTCAGCCGAATCCAGTCCGCTATACCGGATATCAATCACTTGCTGAGGGGATCCCAAGATACCTATAGCCACGATGCCGAGTTAAAGACAATCCTAAGTCAACGTGAACATGCTCTGACGCACAAAGGATTTTATATTGAAGCTCTACAGTCTCAGATGAAGAAAGCAGCCACCGAAAGCGCCGGAGAAAGTCGCAGATTGAGAAATACTATCAAGGAGCTCCGGTCCAAGGTGAAGGATCTTCAAGACAGCAATGTCAAGGGACATACTGGCTCTAAGAAGTCTACGATACCGCCCGGTAACGATGAGTTACCTACCAACAATGACTTACCTTCCAACAATGACTTACCTTCCGAAGATAACAACGAACAAAGTGAGCTTCTCAGCCGAATCCAGTCCGCTATACCGGATATCAATCACTTGCTGAGGGGATCCCAAGACACCTATAGCCACGATGCCGACTTAAAGACAATCCTAAGTCAACATGCACAAGCTCTGATGCACATGGATTATTTTATTGAAGATCTGCTGTCTCAGATGAAGAAAGCAGCCACCGAAAGCTCCGAAGAAAGCCACAAATTGAGAAATACTATCAACAAGCTCCGGTTCGAGATAAAGAATCTTCAAGAGGAGCGAAACGATCTATAAGTGGCCCGGAAGTTCATCAAAAGCTGTCAGAGCCTGGAGCCGTAACCCATTGCTAGAAACTGATTGCTTAGGCTGGAGGTCATATATATCTGATTTTGCATGTAATCTCGCAGGATAATCGAAAAGATCCGATTCTATGGATCATTTTGACCAAATTGCTTATGACAATAATTTTGAGCCGAAGGTAATTAATTTATGAATACGATAGCACAGCCACAATATCTTGCAAGTTAAGATAATGGAGGGCCCGCTACACTCGCAGCTGCGGCCATTTGCTAAGTGTCCAAGGAGACCACAAAAAAATGACTTTAGAAAAGGCAAAACGGAAAAGATGAGTCAGCGAATATTCCTGTGATCAGTGAGTGCTCTGTGAGTCTGAGCCAGACTGTAGATCACTCAGCGAGTCTAGGCCTGCAATGAGCACCCTCGTAAAAGGGGCGTTACCCATATCATCTAAAGCCTACTTGCCAAAAGAAGTACAGTATGTACTAGCTGGTAGTACCTATTGAAGAAAGATAATGCCCAATGTACCAATAGCTGTCTACCTCAAATACAAGTAGGAAGATAGTGAGGAACCACACAGAGAGAAGAGACAGAGGTTACAGGGGAGGAAGGTATCTGGGTTGCTCCTATTATGTTAAACAAACTTCATATACACATCCAAGCCCAAGTCGTGTAACTTGAACCTCAATTAATGAATTATATATAAGTTTACTTATTCCTCTGCCTAAAATACCCACTAAACTACTAGTAGGTATTTAACTCGCAAAATCTCATCCAATCCCAGTAGGATCTGTAGTCGAGAACAGGCTAGCTATAGGTAATCGATATTCCTTCACTTGAACTTCTTATTCGCCCGATCCACAGGCCGATTCGCAAATTGACTCCCGTATAGCTGGATGACAAGCTTTATTGACATATTCGGTGTTTCTTCTATATTCGCTTTCTCGGGAACAGACTCCTCGATCGTCGGTACTGGTAGCGGCACAGTAAATTTAAGAACCGTATGCTCCTTCGGGAGGGCTATAGTCATAAATGCATGTCAGTTTCCAGTAGCAATATGCAATAATAGCAAAATCAAAATTAACAATTAACCACTCAGTCTTAACCTCGCCCTTTACCATAAAAATGATAAATGTAAACTTCGCATCTCTCACCACAATCCCCTTCAACCCCACCCTCCCCGAAGACCGACTCCTTACAACTTCTACCTCCGCCCCATGATAATGCGCACTAACAAGCTTCGCGCCATGAGATGAAGATGTCAATAAACACCCAACCCTAGCCGCAGACCCTCCAAGGTCCCGAAGTTCCTGCATAAAGCTAACCCAGAGCGCGTGCAGGCCTATAAAGATCACGTGCTTACATTTGTCCTTTCAACTTTGGAAGGTCATGTAGGCCAGAGGACCGCTTTTCACGCAAAGATAAGGGCTGCGGGCGCTGGTGGTGCTGAAACTATTCTTTCTCTTGGAGTCGGTATAGGCGGCGTCGGGATCGGTCTTCTTAAATATATGTCTCTACCCTAGTATATGTAGAAAGAAAGGTGAGATATCTTACCTCGGGACCACGAGTTCATGTCCATTTGATTAATCCGTTGATAACAGAACACATATTCCAGATGTCGCTTTCTATATGCACACTAGTACATCTATACATGTATAAACTTCCATCGAAAGAACATTGGGGGAATCCCGAAGGTATAATCCATGGCTACTATATTCAGATTGTTCATTAAAACTCAAAGCAACACAAGCCAAAACCAGTACAAAATCTTCCAGTGGATCTACTGGAAACGGCAAGTCCACCGCTTAAGACTCCATCACCATCCCCATCTTCCGTCGTCTTCCTCCTTCGCTCCTTAGCCACCACATACATCAACCGGAAAGCTTTGAAATTCCCAACGCTAGTGTTCCGACAGCCTCCTTACTGCGAACTGACACGGCGCCACCCTTGTTCGGTGCCCTAAGTCTATTCTATGCTATGCTCCTATAAGTGGACAACAAATAGATAAGATATAGAGAGCGCAGATACACACTTTATTAGCCTGGCTTTTTATATCAGGACAGGAAGATAGTAGTCCTATATTTATCGTACAACAGGAACTTACAATCAACAACATTCATGCGGACGAGGAATGGGGTATAGTAATGTTAAGAGTATCATCAGGTTCTCAGGAGCCCATTGTATGAGTGTGATTCTCCGTCTCAAACTTTCAGCGCTGGTCTCTCTCATCCCTGGTTCCCAGCCAGCTAACTAGCGTTCATACATAGGGAGTGATTTTTGCACCCACGCCTGACTGCGGAACAAAAGTGATAGCACTCGCAGTAGCAGGTGCCAGTGAGGTATCCTCTGCAACTGTCTCCTCTCGACGGAAATAGCCAGGACTCAGAACTCAGCACATCGTAATTTGATCGAGTTCTGGACAGGCCGACATGGATTGAGACCAAGGAAAAGAGCAAAAATATCCAGGTAGCTCCATAATGGTAGATTGATGGATCCAATTGATAACAGAGAAATGTATTTCATAGACTACCGTGTACCGGGGTACAGAGCTCACGTAATAACACATGATGTATGCATTCTAGACCCTGCGTTGATCTGCATACTTTGCCCATGCAAGATAATGATATGCCTACACTCGTAACTCACAAGACTTATTTCCAAAATTAACTTGTAAAATGCATGTCAGATTATGACCGCATGCGGACCATGCAAAGTTTGGCGCTGCATTGTCAATGCTGTTCTCCAACAAACCATGGGTCATTGTAGCGCCCGCAGCTGATCCTTTCAATCACTGCGCCAGTGACGTGATACCATTTTAAGGTCGTATTGAAAACTTCTAGACAAGTCCATAGACCCTGCTGCGTGTCGAATAGCGCAAGGGATGTTACAACACTTGTAGAGTGTCTTCTCGTTCAACTCACCCGAAAGAACCGTGGAATGGATGTAGATCGAGAATATATCACCACTGTCAATTGGTAATTATTAATTGGCCAAAATGTGTGACATACGTGTTTCCGCAGACTGCCGGGCCATGGACCGTGTGGTGATCCATAGCTGTGTCAAGTGGATCCATTGGCGGCCCGTTCGGCCCTTGCGGTCTGGCTCGGTAGGAATGGGGCCGTAAGAATGTTAATTCGAGAATGCAGGAAAGTAGCATCTCGGCTCTTAGAACGCCTTCTGGGTATTCCTTGTCACTCTCACTTTAATTTCCTGCTAAGAAAGGGTAGGTTTGTCACTCCTAATCGAAAAGCTCAGGTGCCGAGGGGATGCCTATGTCTGATCGCAGATTAATGTAACCTGAATTCCCAAATGTATAGTCTCTGTCGGCATTTATTTTTGAGGCTGCAAGAAAACAGAGGAATAAGTCATAAAATTGAAATTTCGCGCAGCTTTAATACTACTATTGATTGGCGCAGCGGATCAATACCACTTTTACATTCTTTGCGCCTATGTTAACATGTTTGCTTTCTTCAGGTCGTACCAAGGGCCTTAAAACAATCATTCAAATTTTCTTTTTTTTTTTTGAATTGAGACATCAGTCTGTTCTCAGCCATGGTTCAGCGAGACTTCTGAGCTGGAATTTGCATTGCCTTGCGGAGAATGCCCTTGGTGTCATTTGTAGCGCTGTCTTCAGAAGTGTCTGAGGCTTGCTTAGACAGTGCATTGCGCAGTTTCTTCCATGTGTAGGAGATATTTGCGACGTTGGGCAAATTTGGGTTATCTCCACCCCTGGGAGGAATGGATTCCTTGTCCAGAATGCCCGCCTGGATCATCTCCTTGACACTTGGATCGATGACAGCATCATTGGGTAGATCCCTTGGTGCCCCCAGGTTTGGAGGCAGACGACGCGGGATCCATTTGCCGTTCTCCAACTCAAGGCGGGTGAAAATTGGCAGCAATTCTGTCGATGGAATTTTGTTAGTTGTTTAGAGCCAATTGAAAAGGAAACAGAAAAAGAAAATACATAACCTACCAAGGATCCACCAAAGAAGAACCATAATGAAGTATTCACCATGGCCGAATCGAAGGGTATCATGAGGCTGATTAGTCTTCCTCCGGATTGAGAAAGCATCTGTCCCAGGTTCCTCTTTCCCAGGGAATGCATTCTCGGCTTTTGACACGTCGTCCACATTGAGAGTCTGGAACTGCAATTTACTCTCTGATCCCTCGAGGTTGAGCGCCTCCTGAATCATCCAATTCAATGTTGTGTCGGAGAGTAAATGATTTTGGCCCCTTTCTAGTCCATAACCACCTCCGATGTCGCTGTGGTTACCGGCAAACCAGACCTCTTTAAGGTCTACAGGTGGGCCATCTTCATCCATTATGAACAGAGCTGGCTTGAATTTCAGCCTTCTTTCATGGATAGCTACTGCATGCCGGATGTATCGTGCCGGTGGGTTTGCAATGACCTTGTAGGATGTACGGAACAGCGGAATCTCAAACTGGCCAACACTGTTGACACAATCAAACAGACCAAGGAAGTGCACTTCAACATTTGGCCGACAAAAAGTCTTGTTAAAATTCTGCATGTAAGTCTTAAGCTTCTCATCTTTTTCGGTCTGAGGATCGTTACCACGAGATTGTTGGAAGCTGCTGAAGGTATCCCAAGCAAATTGGACCATCTCCTCGTTACCCTTGGATAGAAGACCGAGGTCATGAATCATCTCAGCGAGAAACCGCGCCGTATAAGCGCCACGGGAGAACCCGAAGATGTAAATGTGATCTCCCGGTTGATAATAACGCATCACAAATTCGTAACCCGCCAAGAGATGCTGCTGGAATGAGCTACCAACCATCTGGTCTAGTGTCGTGATAACACCTGACTTGAGTTTGGCTAAGAACTTCCCGCGTGTCGCACTGCTTCCTTGACCTTTGACATAGGTCCCAATCCCCGCTGCAAGAACTGCTTAGCTACAAATGAATACGGATAGAACACTTAGTGGTTAACTCACGTTGGTAATAATGGAATTGGCCTTCCTGGTGTCGATCGAGCATCTGATAAATTTTCACAATATTGGTATCCGATTCATTGCCCTGGAAATGGTTCCCAGTGCCGTCGAAGCATAGGATGATTCGGCGTACACCGGAGGAAGTATCGGTAGGATGTTCAGCATTTTCGGTTGCATGTGGCATATTGGGTAATTAGGGGGCTTCAATGATGTGCCAAAGTGGCTGATAGTATTTCAAACGAGGAAGGGTCTTGGCAAAGATAGGTTTCGAGACTTATGGAGATTGAGAGAAGCAATTTGGTGTCTGGTATAAATGAGCACCCACTGAGAAAGTGATAGGCAACACCTGAGCTCTACGTGATGCTCGATTACACGTCGTCATGCCTCATTCGGCTTTGACTTTCTTCTTTGTTTGACGTATCTACCGTTTCCAGCTAAGATACCTAGGGCTTAATGCATGAGTATCCATGGGGCAACCCGATCCGCGATGATCCGTAGTAATTTGCATCTATTTTTCGCTCATTGAATCGAAAAGTTGGAATTGTAACCTGAGTTCCAGTGGTCGACAATCCTGGGGAAGCACTGAACTTTCGGTTATCAGGCAGCGAATATGACATAATTTTGGAGAATATCCAAAGTCGTGATTTGTGCAACTCGGATGTCTTGTTCGAGACATTCAGAGAACGCAAGATCACTGATATCGTTTACGTGTTGCAGGTCGACACCTGTAAACCTTGACTGGCACCATGGCCGAGTTGGTTAGGTGAGATCATCAACATTTCCTTCGACATATTCTGACAGATGCATCATGAGGTCTACTGCGAGTGGATAACTGCTTATTTTTTCTGTAACATCTGACCTCTCATTGGCTTGGCGGCAGATATGTGGATTCGCCTTGGGACATTGAGACTGTGTAGTAGCACGAGAACGCAGACATTTTTCGGTTTGCCCTTGCTAGGAAAAGTCGCAATTGCTTATCTTCGACCAGACAGGAACTGTGTTCAGTATTGCAAGAAATGAAGTGCCGCTGTCACCCAATGTTGGTGATTTCTTGGATTCATGACCAAATGCATCATTGTGCCCAGAGGTTACGAGCAGAGATTCTTCTAGCCCTTCGGTAGATATCTGCGGTCGCCATTTACATATTTAAACACCCAACTTGTACCCATTTCCGACGGCTTTTCAATACAAACCAATACAAGATTTGAAACTCTTCCAAGACTATCATATTTCCGAAATATTGAGCAACTGTTGTCCTGTTAGGGATTCAACCTCCATCTCAATTTCTCTCTTTGCGGGTCAGTTCACCCAACATGGGGTTGCTTAGCAATGTTATCCCCAAGGGATTCTCGGGATCTTCATGGAACCCTCTGAGCCTGCCTTCTTCATCTGGGCGTAAGTAAAAAATATTATCAAGCCACGGGGCAGGTATGTGCTAACTCATGAATTGAAGTCTCCCTCCCTAAACTATCTTCGCTTCCTGGAGCCTCTCTCTTGGGATCCAAGGATCAAGCCTGGTTTAAATCGATACTCACGACGTTTGGTTTGAACGGAGTTCTTGCTACTGTTTTCAGTTTCTTTCTTTATCTCGCCTATCTTAAGTTCGTCAAGAAAGACAACAAGGGTGTTCTCGAATTCCTCAAGAAAAAGGGTTCCGAATATGTCAGCAAGGTTCCTGGAATGGGTATGCTTACGAAGGTACCATTCCTGAATAAGCTCATACCGTCACCTGAAAGCACGATACATGTGCCAAAGGGTACACAGTCAGCTTTGAACAGTATATCCGGAATCGCACCTGGCATAGCCTCGAAGCTTAATCCAACCAAATGGAGGATTTTGAACAAGAAAAAGATCGCTGAGCAAGAAGATGATGAGAATTACCAGGCTGGAGAGCCGTATGGAGATCCTACTGCCATGGCCACTGGAATCGCCACAGATCTGAAGTCCATGGGACTCAAAGGTGGGTTCAAGGACCTTCGCACCCTGTTCGAGGTGGCCAAGGCCAAGGGGAAGCCTATCAATGATCGGGATATGACCGTACGTATTATAAAACACAAATGGCTCGAGGAATATGAGACTGATATTTCCTTATAGATGGAAAAGATGATTGCAATTGCGACTTCCTTGCCCCGTACGTCTAAGGCGCGAGGCAAACTTACTGGGATCATTATTGATACTCTGTGGAAGAGCTTGCAGCACCCTCCTTTGAGCTACATGGGTAACAAATTCCAGTACCGAACTCCTGACGGAAGCTACAACGTAAGTGATCATTCTATCAAGTTTGGGTGATTAAACATTCTAACAACTATGATTCAGAACCCTCTTCAACCAGACCTGGGTAAGGCTGGAAGCCCATATGCGAGGACAGTTCCCAAGATGAAGCACCTGCATGGTGTTCCCCCAGACCCCGGCCTTCTGTTTGACTGTAAGAATTTTCTCCTAAAATCATACTCCTTTACGGTTACGCTGACATTTTCAAGTGCTCATGGCCCGTAGCGATGAGACCTTCAAGGAGAACCCAGCTGGTGTCTCGTCCGTTCTATTCTACCATGCGACAATCATTATTCATGGTAAGAAGTAAATGCTTTCGCCAACTCATTGCCAATTACTAACTTTGATAGATGTCTTCCGCACCAACCGTGTTGACCCCAGTATCTCGGACACTTCATCTTACCTTGACCTGGCCCCCTTGTACGGTTCAAATCTCGAGGACCAACTGGACGTTCGGACAATGCAGCGTGGGCTACTCAAGCCGGATTCTTTTGCTGAAAAGCGTCTTCTTGGCCAGCCTGCCGGTGTCAATGTGATGCTCGTCATGTACAACCGTTTCCACAACTATGTTGCAGATGTTCTCCTCAACATTAACGAAAATGGTCGCTTCACGTTGCGACCTGCCAACACGGAAGAGGGAATCAAGGCGGCTCTCGCACAGCAAGACGAGGATATATTCCAGACTGCTAGACTGTATGTATCCCTCTCGGATATGAACCTTCTGGTTCCTGGGTGTTGACTGCGACTTTAGCATCACCAATGGTCTCTACATCAACATTTCTCTGCATGACTACCTTCGTGGCCTTACCAACACCCACCACTCTGCCAGTGACTGGACCCTTGATCCCCGCATTGAAGTGGGTAGAATTTTTGACCCCGAGGGTGTCCCCCGAGGCATTGGCAATCAGGTTTCCGCTGAATTCAATCTCTTGTACCGCTTCCACTCTGTCATTTCCCGTCGCGATGAGAAGTGGACGAATGAATTCATGCAGGAAATTTTCCCGGGGAGGCCACTCGATCAACTCACCCCGCAGGAGTTTGCCCGGGGTCTTATGCGCTTCGAGAAGAGTATCCCAGAAGATCCAGCAGAACGTACGTTTGGCAAGTTGAAGCGTAATGCGAATGGCAAGTTTAACGACGCCGAGCTTGTCGGTATCATGAAGGACAGTATGGAGGACCCTGCGGGACTATTCAACGCTCGAATGGTTCCTAAGGCTCTTCGTATGATCGAAATCAGTGGTATTCTAACTTCGAGGAAGTGGAATCTCGCCTCCTTGAATGAGATGCGTAGCTTCTTTGGACTGAAGCGCCACAACACATTCGAGGACATCAATCCCGACCCCCAAGTTGCTGACCTCTTGCGCAAGCTCTACGACCACCCTGACATGGTTGAAATGTACCCCGGTCTGTTCCTTGAGGATGGAAAGCCCCGCATGGACCCTGGTAAGCAATGGTCAGGGCTGAATGCTGAAATCTGCTAAGTATTGATTTAGGCTGCGGCGGCTGCCCTCCATATACTGTTGGTCGCGCTGTTTTCAGTGACGCTGTCACTTTGGTGCGATCTGACCGGTTCCTCACTGTGGTAAGTGACTGTGGATCTAACACAATATCGCTAGAGCAGAAAGTGCTAAGAATAATGTTAGGACTACACTGCCTCAAATCTCACATCCTGGGGATACCAGGAAGTCCAGCAAGATTATGACATGTAAGTACGATTTCTCCCAAGTATCAAAACAGGCATTGATGTGTGATTTATCCACAGCCTTGGAGGATCAATGTTTTGGAAGCTATTCCAGCGTGCATTTCCTGGCTGGTTCCCTTACAACTCGTTGCACTCCACACAGCCAATGTTCACTCGAAAGATGAACGAGCAGATCGCCCGTGAGATTGGAACAATCGACCAGTACACCTTGAAGGACCCGTCGCCGCCGCCTACTCCCATTGTGCTCGCCAAATATTCCTCCGTGACGAAAGTTCTGAGCGATCAGACTAACTTCCACGTCACCTGGGCCAAGAACCTCAATGACATGACTCCTGGCAAGAAATACGACTCTTACATGCTGGGTGGCGACGCGCCCGCGAATGCCGCTCAAAGGAACCTGGTCCGCGAAATCATGTTCAGCCCGGCTGAGTTTATGCAGCTGCTTTCTCAAACATCGATGCACGCTGGCAAGGAGCTCTTGGATAACGAGACGCTCAGCCTCGCCAGTGATTTGAACCAGCTTGATATTATCCGGGAGTTAGTGATCCTTTACCGTCACATGCTTTGAAAACGCAATTATTGACATGTCTGCAGCATCGCTATTCCTCTGAATACCCGTATCATGGCAGATCTATTTTGCTTGGATTTGAAGACCGATGAGAACAAAGGAGGTAGTTTGAACACTACTGAGCTTTATAAGCACCTGATGAGTGTTCGCACCTTCGGCTTCAACAACTTTGATCCTGCTCTGGCATTGCGGCGGAGAAAGGAAGCCCGTGAAGGCTCTAAAGTTCTGACTGAGACCACCCTGAAGGTTATCTCACATGGACCAAGCCCAATTAGCGATGCCCGTGGAATTTTATCCAAAGCTACTGGAGCTCTTACAAGGGCAGCGTCTAACGTGACGTCAAAAATTCCTTTTATTGGTGGTCTTGTCAATAAGATCGACAATAAAGTTGAAGCAGACACCGGATCTCTGCGATGGTACGGCCAGAATGTCGTAAAGGAGCTCATCTCTGCTGGGAAGACTCCAGAAGAAGCTGCCGACATTTGTTGGTTGACCGCTGTCGCTGGTGTTGGTGCGCCAATTGGAATGGTTCGTGCCCCCTTCACTCTTCCTTGATTCTATCAATGCAGGAAAAAAAATAGTTTCTAACATGGCCATCATTTCTAGTTTGCTGATGTTTTGAATTACTTCCTCCAAGACGAGAACTCACAGTACTGGGAGGCAATCCAGAACTTGGCTTCGATCTCGAACGTCGAGGCTGCTGACAAGGAGCTAAGAAAATATGTTCTTGAGGCCCAGCGTCTGACTAGTAATCAGCGGGATATCCGTGTCTGTGTCGGCGCGACCACGATTGATGGAAAGCAATACAAACCTGGTGATGTGGTCGTTGCTCTATTTGTGGGTCTCCCAAAGTTGGTGAATGGACTGAAACAGTTGCTGACTTTCATGGTCTAAATAGGGCCCCGCATGCAAGGACCCTGATGCCGTTTCTGAGCCTGAGCAGTTCAAGCTTGATCGGCCAGAGAGCGCTTATATCCACTTAGGCTACGGGCCTCACGCCTGTCTCGGGCGCGAAATTGCCCTCACTTTCATCGTTTCCCTTGTTAAGGTGTGCAGTGGTCTGAAGAATCTTCGCCCTGCTCCTGGTAAGATGGGAGCTCTGAAGCAAATTCAGATCAATGGCGACAGATCATACCTCAACGACAGCTGGTCATACCTGACTACCGATCCAACGAGTAAGTTTTGATTTTATGCGGCCTTCCAAAGTAGGACTGATACTAAGATGTCATATAGCCTGGAAGGTTCACTTCGATGGCGTGGGCAAAGGCGTATTCCGCGCTCCCAAGCTCCCTATTGGTGTTGCCAGCGACATCAACTATAATGCCTTGAAGAAAGAGCAGGACGACTTTGTCATGAATAAAGCTTCCAAGCTTATGCCTAACGGTACTGATTCGTCACACGGTACCGGAACAGCTGATTCCATCAAGTCAGCGATCAATGGTGAAGCCGCTGGTGCAACTATGCCGGTACTCAATGGAGTTCCATCCGTCAATGGCGTCGATCAGCAGAACGGCGTGCCAAACAGTCAGAATCTCACGAATGGTCAACCGCAACAGCAACTAGTGCCGACCGCCAAAGAAAGCTCAAGCCTTCTGAACCGAGCCATTTCTGACTTCAGCGCGATCAACAAGAAGACGGTAGGGACCGCCCATGACATCGCCCACGGCTTTGTCGAAAGCATCCCTGGAGGACAATCGGCCTCAAAGTTGACTCACGGCATTGCTCAAAACTTCATCCCTGGCTCCGATGGTGCTTCTGGCAGTGGGGGCGACCATTTTGGCCAGACATAGTAGTCGGAGGGGAGAAGGGGCACCTACCCCCTTTCTTTTGGTGCAGCGAACAAAATTCCTGGTACCAAGTTCAATGACAAGTGGAGGTCAGAATGACCCAGAGAGAAAAGGCATTCAAAAGTTACAGATTCAGCGAATATTCAGGTAGACAGGATAGTCCTGAAAATGATGAAACGCATGGTATGCGGCCTTGTGATGAACTTAAATTGGAATGGTAACGCAAAAGTCGGATCTACCTTGAATATTAATTGTGTTCGTCGATTTTAGTACCAATATGATTCCTTTCATGTTACTATGCGCCAGTGCTAAGTACCTGATGCTTTGACCACTGCTACAATCAGCTGCTATATATGAGACCCAATGTAGCCAAGAATCAGTACCGGATATTTCGTAATGTTGAGCATTCTCGAATTTCAAGAATGATGATATAAAGTCTGTGTAAATGCTTAGCCTATTTTTTTTTTGCCAAGCTACTCTCCATTAACCAGTGGCTAAGTCAGTTATATAACTATTATCACTCCTCATATCTTTCTTCCCTGTGCGGGACTTCGAATCAACAACTCAACCTTACTGTGTCATATAAACCTCAATCATGGACGCCGATGCTTAGAATCCGCTCTTCAATTATTGCCAAGAACTGTTCAGGGGAAAATAATCCTAGAACTTCCAATGGCTATGGATGATGGTCCATATTAATAACATTATGTGCAGGATATCGGTATTCAATCGCTATTTAAATGTGTTCATCGTCAATCGCCACGGCTCGGTCACATTTGATCTGCGCTGATATTGTTATGGAGGTCAGTGCGGCCCACATCTTGGCACCAATCGCCTTTCACATCTTACCTTTTCCCCACGCACCTGCCTTGTGTTCACCACGGCCCACCCGCTTATTTATGTTGGTCTCTTGTTTGCTGTCTTCGCAACCACCGGCGATTTTAGGCGCTTACTGGACATACATCTAACATTTTAATAACATGCTCGCTAGTCACCCCTTAATACCTACCTATGCTACGATGCGTGATAAAGAGAAAAGAAAAATGGGTCTTTGCAAGGATGGAGCTGCTGCATGTGTTGGTCCCAAACGTGTCGAGGCTGAGCCTTATCATGTTGGTCTGTTTGGCCCAAACGTACCACTAGAGATGCCCAAGCGGAGAGATGATCCGTAACAGGTAGCCGCTTCTGATTCGCTGTCACATAAAGACCCTGGTCATACCCCGCCCCGGCACGGTAGACGGGAACTCCTCGAAGTAGTTATATTTGGAAACCTCTCAGAACTAGTACGAACCGCCATCGTATCTCCACCCATGCATGCTGGGCTGTGTGTGGCCTTGTGCAGGAAAATTACCGACCCCATGTCTTCAGCTACGTTGCGCTCAGGAGTGCCGTGCATGATCGGTAGCCACACGAGCTCACGTATTGATGAGTTCACGGTCCTACTATCTCTAGTTGGCATCACGGCTCACGTCTAGGGAAATTCTTCAGACCGAGGTAAGGGCGTACATGCTAGTGTTAGAAGGACCCATTGATGGTAGGCGACCGACCGATTGTACTAGCAAAGGACTACTGCGTGAGCCGGGCGTAGCCTGTCAGATATCAGCTGGGTGTGGATGCCCTATATATCAAACAGAGAAGTGGAAATCACTGAAAGTTGGTTACTAGCGGTATTGAATGACTTTCTCTGCTCGACATTGACTTCTCGACGGGTTTCGCTCGCCCATGAGAGAGCCAAGTTGACTGCGCTTACGACTCTGTCGCCAGCCTTACAATGGTCAGAGGTATTGTTACCTGCCATCACCATCGAGACTTCGAGATTTCTTCACACACTAGTCTATCTATCCTTTTTGTGTGTGAGTTGCATCATGGTGCGTCAATCAACGGCTGCAATCCAATTTTACGGGCTTCATTGACCAAGGACATTACCGAAACCCGATCGACCTATCCTATTTATTTTATTCATGCTAACAGAAGTCTTTAACTAGAGAAAACTATTCAGAGGGAGCAGCAAGAGCAGCGGCAGCTCTTATCAGCCACCTGTTACCAGTAGCCCCTCCGAATCGCTGTCAATGCCTAGCCCACCCGATCCATTTGACTACCCGCAAGACCGTTCCCTTACAACCCATCAGGGACAGCGTTCACAGGATAGGAGAGACGACCCCTTAGGCCTCTCTGTCTTGTATGCCCCCCCAGAACGTTCGGTAGATATAGTATTCATCCATGGTCTCGGGGGAGCAAGTTTACGGACATGGTGCCGGGATCGAGACTTAGATTATCTTTGGCCTCAATTGTGGCTTCCACGGGACCTCCCCTCTGCTCGTATCCTCACCTTTGGGTACAATGCGCACTTTTTGTCAAAGAAAGAGCGGACCTCTCTAACCATCAGCGATTTTGCAAACGATCTGCTGTTTCGGATGAAACATGGAGAAAGCGGATCGACCAGATTGGGCCAAGTGCCTATCATCGTTGTTGCCCACTCGATGGGGGGCCTGGTCTTCAAGAAGGCCTTTGTACAGGGCCACATGAACGACGAGTACCGAAGTGTTGTTGCTACAATAAAGGCCGTTCTTTTTCTAGCTACTCCCCACCGAGGCACTGTTTTAGCTGATACCCTCAACTTGATTTTAAGGAGCTCATTCTTCGGACACTCGTCAAAGAAATACGTATCTGAGCTCACCCGGGGAAGCCCAACGATAGACGAGCTAAATGAGACGTTTCGACACCATGCACCCAAGCTCCAGATGTTCTCATTTTACGAGACATTAGCCACCCCTATCGGGCCGATGTCAGCCTTGCTCCTCGATAAGGCGTGCTCTGTTATGGGTTACCCAAACGAGACATCGCAGCCACTCATTGCCAATCACCATAACGTCTGCAAGTTCACAGGAGAAGGCGACCCAAATTATTCGTCTGTCCTAGGCGCCCTCCGTAGTGTCATCATGTCGGTCACATCCTCAGAGACTGACAGCCACGCCAAGGACCTACAAGATATTAAGACATTGCTTGGTGTGTCCGGTCCTCTCGAGGAAGATATAGACGCTTTTCGTGCGGTTCGAAAACCTGGAACATGCGAGAAATTCTACGCATGTCGAGAAATGAAAGACTGGCTCGCCTCTAAGTCGCCCCACGTTCTCTGGGCCCATGCTCCACCAGGAAATGGGAAGTCTACACTGTGCTCATTTATTGTCGATCGTTTGCAGGAAGAGAATGAATATTGCGCTTATTTCTTCATCAAATACGGCCATCGCAAGAAACAGTCTACGGCATGTATGCTTCGTTCATTGGCATATCAAATGGCTCTTCAAATACCCACGTTCCGGCAGGCGCTAACGGATCTCGCAAGATCTGGAGTGCAAATTCACAATGCAGACACTCTCACAGTATGGAAAAAGCTATACTTGGCCGCGCTTTCCACGGTCTACTGTGAGAAAAGGATTTCTTGGGTGCTAGATGGACTTGACGAATCCGATTCAAGCAAACAGGTTATCGAGCTCATCTCGGCAGTCGGGAGTTTCAACAGCTATATACGCGTACTTGTGTTAAGTCGGCCATTATCCACCATAATCCAGGCTTTCCAAATGGTTAAAAAGAAAATACCCGTCATTGATATACCCCTTCCGGATAATATGGACGACATTCGCATGGTAGTGGCTGGTGAGGTCGGTTATCTTCCTGCAAGCGATGAATTCAAGGCCAAGGTCATCGATGAGATCACATCCCGCTCTCAACGAAACTTCCTTTGGGCTAACCTCGTGCTTTCACGAGTGGCAAATTGTCATCGCCAAGAGCAGATAAAGCAAGTCCTTGAAACCACGCCCGATGGGATGGATAAGCTCTATGATCGCATGCTGGACGCTGTCAGCGATCTTCACACAAAGGAGGACAAGGCCCTCTCTAAGATCATTCTTTCATGGGCTATGTACGCCAAGACTCCTCTGTCGGTGACTGAGCTCTCTGAAGCATACCCAGCCGAGCTACACTCGATCATAGACCTCGATCACACTGTGAGCCAGATATGTGGTCAATTTGTCGACATTGCCCAGGACAAAGTTACCCTAGTTCATCACTCTGCCCGCGAATACTTAAGGAAGACCAAGCGTGCGCCCTTCTCGTTGGACCTGCGGACCGTGAATGAGGAGCTCTTCGGTAAATGCATGGCAACCCTCTGCGATCAGCGCCTCCGTAGAAAGCTCAGCACTCTTAAGCTACCCAAGTTCCTGCCCTACGCGGCTATGTCATGGGCGTTTCACCTTGAGAGCAGCTCACCTGAGTCGGACAGAGGGCTGGACGCCCTTGTTCGGTTTTTTAGCGGGCCTTTTCCTCTCGCCTGGATTCAATACTTTTCCATCAGCGGCTGCCTTTCTGAACTCTTCAACATCTCTAGGATAGTCACAAATTATGTGAGGAAGAGAAGAAATGCAAACGCCGACAAGTCCCCCATGTTGCATTGCCTGTCAGATCTTTCTCTGATTGAAACTTGGGCGATCGATCTGTTGAAGATACCAGCTAAATTTGGTCGCCACCTATCGGAAGATCCCTCCCTAATATACAAGTGCATACCTCCGATTAGTCCCCACTCCTCGGCTATACATCAGAAATTTGCCGTTAATGCCGCCATCACTCTGTCGGTTTCAGGACTCAAAAATCTAGAATGGAATGATTGTCTAGCCCGAGTGTCGGCAAATGCCAGCAGAGCAGTCCGGCTGGCGGTATCAGCCCGATATCTTGCTGTTGCATCAGACGTCCCCAAGGGAACCATCACACTGTGGGATACTATCTTGTTCCGGGAGTATACGGCTTTTTTTGTCAATGAGCATATTTGGGCAATTTGCTTCAACGGGACCGGGTCTTTTTTCTCATGTTACGGGATCAACCACACATTTGTGTGGAAAGTTGAGGACGGATCTCTGTTGTTAACGAAGGACAATCCGTCACATGAGCGAGCCATCGACTTCAAGTTTGACGAAAACGATGTACTTATGATGATTTCCGATCTTCGACGGGTGTACAAGCTGACTATAGAGGCTGAGGGGGAGGAGCAATGTTCCTGGATACAGATGGACCCACAATTACTGGAGGAGACGAGTTTGCCAGAGCATATGTTCCTCGGCAGTCCTTCTTCGGTGGCATTCAACAACGACTGTACCCAGGTTGCTGTTGCTTATCGCTCCTTCCCCCTCACTGTGTGGAACATTGACCCACCTGAGATCGTCGCACGACTCAAGAGAAAGTCAAAGCAAGGGCAAGGGTCTGTCTACTCATACACAGGTGACAACAAGGTCGTCTGGCATCCCTCTGGAACGCATGTCATGGGAATCTTTGGACAAATATTCAAGTGGAGCCCGATTGAAGACGCCTATGAGGAGGTTAAAGGAGAGACAGGTGTAGTACCCTACGGAATCCAGTGCAGCCCCAACGGACACGTATTTGTTACTAGCGACGTTGAAGGCTCAATTAAGGTCTACGACTTCGCTTCATTGTCGCTGATATACAAGCTGAACTCGGAGGATCGCATCAACCAGATCTGCTTTGACCCGAACAGTGTCCGGTTCTACGATCTGCGGGGCTCCTACTGCAACGTCTGGGAGCCCAATTGTCTGCTTCGGCTCATGGAGGATACCGCTGAGCGCATCGGTGACGCGGATAGTGCGGCGGATAGTTTTTGGTTGGACACAGAAGATACTCATAGAACTTCTATCTCTTTGCCGGTGTCCGAGAGCCATGCTGATAGTAAATCAGCAATCACCGCCATTGCAGCGGGAGCCCGGTCACAAGAGCTGCTCGCGTATTCAACTGATGCCGGTGAAGTAGATGTCTATGACCCGATAACCGAAAAGAGGCACAGGGTCGCTAAGTCCCTCTTCGGCATGCCAGTCGAGCATCTCATCTGGACGGTGAAGCACGACCACCTTGCCTACTCCTTCTCTAATGGGACCACCACTATCAAGTCAATCTCTATCACTGCTGGGCCACAGCGAGAGGTGGTGGCTACAGATATCTCCGGGAAGGACCGGTCTAGCACTGATCGAGGTCGGACCCGTCAACTCTTGTTCGATGAGTCAGGGGAGTCGCTGCTAATCTATGGTGCTAAAAAGAGTCAAGTCCTCTCCATACCCAGTGGACAGATTATTGCCGAGCGTGATATGCCGGATAGTGAGTCCGCCAAGTGGAAACAACATCCATCACAGCCAGACATACTCCTCTGCTTTACCTCCGACGCCGTGACTACTTTCACGTGGCAACTAGAGAGAAAGGAGTCAACTCCGCTAAAGCTCCCCACGAATGATCTCTCTATATCGCCCACTGTCGATGCGCTCCTGTCCAGTCACTGCATGCGATATATCCTTGTCCGCACCATGACAAAGCAGCTCAACCGGCTACATTACGGGTTCTTCGTCCTGCCTGCGAGCCCGATATTTGAGGGCGGTAGGGAGGCCATCAGCCCTTTACATCTTTCCCCAACCATCAGCGGTGACGTGGTTGGCATCATACCCGATGGGCGGCTGGTATTTCTGGATCAGAATCTGTGGGTCTGCACGGCACAGCTGAATGGTGATGATAGCACGGTTGCCAGGCACTTCTTTCTGCCGCGTGATTGGGTCACCAGCTCGGGTGTCAAACTGTGCCAGGTACTGCAGGATGGCACGTTCCTTTGCCCTAGTAAGGGAGAGGTTGCAATCATGAAAAGCGATCCGATATCGAACTGGTGAGATGCGTGGACAGGAAGAATTATTATAACTGGAGGGAATGGATGGATTTCCTCTGCAATTTGTCAAGCTTGGGCTTCCCTTGTACCAATTCAGAAAGCACGCAGGAATCAAGAATGAGCCAAGGTGAATCAGCTAAACCCGTTTTGCATTTGTTGCGGAAAGAATGAGGTCGATGGCTGAGGCTGACAAAGTGGCCGGGAGATCGACGGTTGCTAGAGATTATCATCAGCGTTCCTTGGGTGGCCACCACGAATTCTTGAACTTATCAGTGAAAGTCTGATTATCCATCTCAAAGCCGTTACATTGGTATTCTTCCCACGTTGCACTCCCTGACTGAGTCAAAGTTGCGCAAGGGATGACGCAGCCGTGACTATCGGAACCGCCTGGACCAGGCGGTGCAGCCGCGAGCTTCCTGGAGCACGGCTAAATCTCTAGGCAGGGTATTTCCAGCGCGGCCCCATGGATCTCGTTGATACCATTTCAAGGCGATCACGTTTTGTCCGCGGTGCCCAGAACGGACTCAAACAGCCGTTGTCCCTTCTGCAGATATATATCCTTCGGGTCGGAGCACTGTCGGGTCGTGATGGCTGGTCCCTGCGTTCGACCTAGCTTCCTCAAATATTTCGGGCCTTGAGTTTTAACATCGCCAACTCCATCCAACTCACAATTAACCTGCTGATGTTCTGGCTCGGTTCTGGCCTACTTTGTGGCCGGTGCCATTGGTACTCACTATGGTCATCGCATCAACCTTCGATGCTGTGAATTTGCAGGATTGGTTGGGCTGACCCTCCAGGCCTTGTCGACTCACTTTATTAGTATTAAAAGTTACTAGAGACCCATGGCACCTACTTTTATTCCATGTAGCATAAATCTGATCTACTCTGCATCCAAATCCGATATGGTGTAGTGGCTAACATCGTCGTCTCTCACACGACAGCCGGGGGTTCGATTCCCCCTATCGGAGTAATTTTTGATGTTTTTTTTGTTCTGATCATGTCAGGTACTTCTTTTTTGCTGGCTTACCCAAACAATAAGCTATGAAAGTATAGTGGGAGAACGAACTAAAAGAGCACATATTTAGTCCAGTGGCATTAAGTATCAACGAAACAGGACTTGAACAGGATGGCTATCTTCAATGTTTGTCTGTAACATGTGTTAATTAATTGAATGTGGCACCGATTCTTGCTGATCAGCGCTCAAGGATATTGACATCCGAAGCGACCGGATGTATATTTTAATGTGTGGTGGAAACTTAGAAGGTCGCACTCATTCCCGTACCCCTTAGTCACCAAATGAAGCAATTGGCATTACAGATTAATAATTATCTCCAAGATAAGATGTCTCAAATTTTGTCAATGACGAAAGTGTTCCTCGATTTATGCGGGGATTGCTATCACAAAATCTCCTTTAGGAGGTGGTGCATTAGTGTCATGTCAATGTAGCGAATATTATGACATAAACCACGGATACGTCATAATGGCCGATGAAAGAAAAAGTGAACAAGTGGTTTCCAAGTCCAAGCGAATCACCAAGTGGCAACCCCGCACGGAATTATGATGAATTATGATGCATAAAATAGTCCAGTACCAAGATGGAAACTTTGGCGAACAGGTCTGCTCACTGCATTGACGATCACAAAGAATTGGGGAGGGAAAAGCCTTGGAGGAATATTGAATCGAAAAAAAACTTCACTATTTTCAGGGATGAAATCGGTGGCTTGGTGGCTTGGCGGCTTAGTTTGACTTGATAGATAAGGAAGAGCACAAATCTCTAAAAATAATCGGTTTCCTTTGAAACCCTGGAAATTCTGAGGGAACTTGAAAATTCAGACGGTCGGGTTGATCCTCACAAGTGCGGCCCATGGGATGAAAATGAATACGCAAACTCCTGACTGCCAACATGCCAGACGCAGCAAAATGGAGTTCGATGGGGCGGACGGCAGATGTAATCTCTTATAGCGCGTTGTCCCAGTGGAGCAGGAACCCCTGTCAATACTGTATGATTTTGTGATAACTAGTTCACTAACATTAGTTTACGGAATGCGAAAAAGGGAATCCCGAACGGTTGATCCGCAATTTTCTCTCCCTGAGGAGCCGTGGATTACTGTATATGCAAAACAGCAAACCGGGTACGGAGTACAACGGGAGAAGAAAAAAGCCAAAGTGGAGATTGCAGATCCACTATGAAAGCAGGACTTGGACCCAGAATCAACAACCAATTGTTGGTGCTAAGACGCGCCATGGTTGAATCAGGGGGAACACGCTGAGTCCACTGGTGGGTCAGGACAGGAACCTGAGTGGCTGACGCCACTTCCTTATTGACTTGGATTTTTTAAAGCTTGAGTGCGCCAATTGGGAGATCTCGATGATCCAAGGTCATTGCGTCAATTCGTTTTAGCCGAGGAGTTCCATATCTCCCCAGTCTCCCTCCACTCTCAGGATTCGATTTTTTTTTTGACTCTAGGTTTGCAGTTGTTTCGTTTTTCCATTCAGTATCGTCAGGACGGGTGTTGATCCCCGTTGGTCTTGGCGTGCTTGATATCGACTCGGGCGTGCATATAAAATAGGTGAAGTCATAACTACACATCATGGACGCCGAAGAAGGTGATCTCCGACGTCCTAGAGCGACAGTGAGTAGCATTTGATTGAGAGTTGACTCTTATACTTGTGTCTGACATTTGCTTCTTTCTTTTTTTAGTCGGGCGCAGCAAGAAACGAAAATCCGACCTCTCCTACCGGTAGCTCTCGGTTTAGGGATGATGCAATTTCTCCGAGGGGAGATGCAGTTTCTCCGAGGGGAGATGCAATTTCTCCAAGGGAAGGTGCAGTTTCTCCAAGGGGAAGAACCTCGGATTCCTATGACGATGGTGGAGGCCTGCGACGACGCAGTTCAGCCAGAAGTAGAGGAAGTAGAGGAATTCCAAGTCTAGCTCCGAGAACCACTCTGGCAGCCCGAACCCAGGGTAAATTCACAATGGCTGGCCCGGAGGAGACGCCCCAGCTGCGAATGGCCCAGGAGCCGTTCGTCCAACCTGGATATGGCGACCTCAACCCGTCATACGAGCAGCCTGCCAATGCGAAGCCAGTCTGGTCTTTGGCAAAGCCTCTGCCCCGTGTGGTGCGACCAGGCATGGTGCCGACAAAGCAGGAGCTACTTGAACAACGTGCCAACGCCCAACTGCCAGCCGAAAACTCACAGAGGTATGGTTTGGATGTCGACCCTAATGACCTTGAGGAGGGAAGAATCGCAAAAACCACCGACCCCCGGAAAATGGCGGCGCAGGTTGAGGATGCTCGTCTGCAGCGTGAGCAGGCCTTCATGGAAAAGATTCTTAATGGTGAGGCCCAGTCTACAAGACTGGGTAGTTCGCGGCGCATGTCCCGAACTTCCTCCACTCGCCGGAGACGTCAGTCTCGCTGGAACAACGATCAGGATGCGTTGTCGGCGGTTGAAGAGGGAGACTCTCAAACGACGGAGGATGCCCCGGGAGGAAACGACTACTTCGCCAATAACCCAATGAACGACATTCCGGAGCAGGAAGAGCCACCTCTGGACGAGGATGCGGATGAGAAGGTCCAAATTCCCATTTTTGATGATGAAGATCACCCCGAGGATCTGCACCCGTTGATCGAGGAGTTGATCGAAGATGAAGTCCACAACAACCACACCACTTGGTCTGTTATTCGCACCCATCACCGTGAGGCTCTTGCAGAGGCCCTGGGCGTCTTTGTACAACTCACAATTGGTTTCTGCGCCGATCTTTCTGTCACGATTAACGATCAAGGTAACCCAAACACCACAGCTTTGGCCTGGGGCTGGGCCACTATGATGGGAATATACATTTCTGGTGGTGTTTCCGGTGCTCACTTTAACCCGGTTATTACTATCATGCTTTGGTTCTATCGTGGTTTTCCTAAAAGCAAGATGCCCGAGTACTTCGCTGCACAGTTCCTTGGTGCTTTCTGTGCTGCCCTGGCGGCCTACGGCGTCTACTACGAGTCCATCCACCACTATCTCCAAACCAATGCCGAGTCCGGTATCATCACCAGTTTTGTAACCAGCCAACGTGAGACCTGGATTGGACCAGGAACTGCATTCGGAAATGAATTTTTAGGAACCGTCATGCTCTCATGCACTGTCTTGGCACTTGGTGATGACCAAAACGCCCCGCCTGGTGCCGGTATGAACTCTTTCATTGTCGGTCTGGTTGTCACCTGCCTATCCACGGTCTTCGCGTACCAGACCGGTGCTGCCTTCAACCCCAGCCGTGACTTCGGTCCCCGTCTCGCTCTCCTCGCTTTGGGCTACCCTGGTGAGTTGTTCCGTAACGCGTACTGGTTCTACGGACCCTGGGTTGGCGCTCTCAGTGGTGCCATGGGAGGTGCATTCCTGTACGACTTCTTCATCTTCACCGGTGGTGAGTCCCCGGTTAACTACCCTTGGGAGCGGACACAGCGTGCGATGCGGAAGAGTCGCATGAAGTGGGGACGTCGCCTTCACATTTCCAAAAAAGAAAAGGAGGACAACGATGAGCCCAAAGTTTGAGTTATCTTCACTTTAAATCGATGGGGAAGACGCAGACGTCTTTCACATACGATAAACAGTGCAATCAACGAGCTAATCAGCTGTACATTTCGATAAGCTCTGTACTGATGTATTTAATTTAGGGGAAGATTGGACATGTTTCTTGCATAGCTGTTGTTCAAGTCGCTTGACTTGTATTTTTGACATTGTACATATGGTCTCATGAGAGAGACCCATCGTTTTACTTTCATTCTCAGGCACTTGAGTTCTGTGGCCGTTCATTATGGGTTTTCGCACGTATAGAAGCCCCTTCTTTCCTATCATCATCATCATCATTCTTTTTTTCCCCTGACAAATTCTTGAATCTTTTTTTATATACCTGTTGCATTTCCCAAGATGATTGCGTTGTCTACCAGTAAAAACTGGTTGACCCCATTGCTAGGAATATAAAGCCTCCAATTTCACAGCGACTTCCTACTCTAAATCTATATGACTTCAAACAAGATTAATCATGTAGATACATATTAGAGGCTTTCCGCCGCGCAAAAAGCGCGGCGCCTACTTAGGTGTTCGACCACACCTCCTACTTGGTCTCCTACTTGGTATCCTATTCAGAATTCTACCTTCTTTCGTACCATATTAATCAAGTGGTCAAAGGTCCATCAGTAGCGGAATAGAAAAGAAGAAAAAAATAGAAGAGAATAAAAGTGAAGTGGAAGGAAAGGGGAAAAATGAAAAGTCTGGTGGAGGTTTCGAACGCATGTCCAAAAAGTCTGCGTTGTACCCAAGTAATAGAGGGGTAGATAAATCCCAAAATATCATTGTCCCTAACATTGAAAAGGGGGTGGAAAGAGAAGGACTTCTATTGACATTAAGGGCTCATAAGAGTAATACCCTTTTTCTACTATAGATAGTTTAAGGATTTAAGTGCTAGGTTGCAAAAATGATTCCCTCGGGCATCTTACTTAGTATAAGATAGTGTCCCTCTAATATAAACTGGCCGTCCCCCTTGACGTTGCTGCGAACATATGAGATAGGTCTATGACGCTTTTTAAGGGAGCGTACAGTACGAGGAGACCAGTCTGAGCCTCATGAAGCGACAAGCCTCTAAGAAAATTCGACTCACAACCTTCAGTGACTATGTAGCCTGACCTGACCTAGTCAAACTTTGCTGTCAATATTTGAAATAGGCTCTCGACGCTTTACATTGGCCATGAGATTCGGAACGGCGATTTTCCCTTCTGCGATTATCGCGCATTCTCAATTAATGGGGCGAGCAAGATATTAAGGATCGCAGAAACTGATTCTCTCTTCTTTTGGAAGGCTCTTTGGATGAGATGTACCACAGATCCTTTGCTCCCTTGAATCCAGTAGACGGCATGGAATTTTGGTATTCCTGGTTTCGCAGATAGGATAAGTTGCAAGACCCAAGAGCTTTGAATGATGTAAGCGCAGTATCTTCATAACATGAGCGTGTCTGTATTCGAAAAGAGGTTTCTGGGATGGGTTCCTTTCGTCCACGGCACCATTCGACATGGGCCTTCCACCATGGGTTATCTTGAGTAAGACCAGCTCTCAGGTTGACCCATCGTGTCATAATGAGAGCTACCTTGCTGCCTATTTCTGTGATTTCAATTACTGGAATCTGCGTGGCAAATATCACACCTGAAGCTTTGCGTGGTAGAGGCTTTTTTTTCGATCGTAAAAGGACTCTAAGATAGAGGAGATAAGGTCACCGAAATGAGCATGTGCGCAAAGCTCGAGGATCTTTATAGGATGATGTCTTGGTTCACTCGGATCATAAATCAAATCTTCTCACATCCTTATAACCATTATATCCTGCATCCTTATATGAAGACTGGGCGGATTGGCGCATACTTGTGCTTCTCGTGAAAATAGCGTAATTATATCCGGACGGACTTGATGTGGAGGAGAATGGCGCACTTGCGTACATGATAGAGAATCAGTACTGATCCCAGCACTTATTCCATAGTAGAACCTCCTCATAGCAAGCTTAACATGAAGAAATGAAAGGCAGGTTGGCGTATAGAACCAGTACCCGTGGGTTCTCATCGTGAACGAAGACACAAACCACTCACGCCTCCGCACACACGGGAGTCTGCAAGATATTGGTGTAATAGGTTGCTTCCCAACGTGTCCAAACATTTCAGACCCGTCGTAGTGATGAAGAACACAGCAAATATCGCAGGCAAAGTATTCGGAGAAATCTCGTTCAAGGCGGGTCGTGATCGAGAACTTATCTTTGGAACAAGGGTTGAGCCGTTTGATATGTCTCTGAGATAGCTCAAGCAGTCTATGGTTGCATAGGGAAAGGCAGGTAAGTTCAACAAATGGCAGAAAATCGAATATGGACAATAATAGTTCGAGGAGAAGTCCAGCGAGCGTAATGGTATTCCGGAACTCAAGACAAGGGAGATCGCCTTGTTTGGGCGTGCGAGATAGGATTTAACACGATCTATCGGAGATGGCATAGCGTCGACAGATGGTGTTGATAATTTTGATGTGTAGGTGAGAAGCACTGAAGGACTAAAGTTCTAATGTTGTCGGGTATGAACAGTCAACCCTTCCGAAGCCGTCTTATGTCAACTATTCCTTTTTGGGTGAGATTCAAAATGAATTAGTCTTGCTTGGGTTAAGACATTATCTATTAGCCTATATACTCTACCCAGTGCCGAATAATTTTGTTCCCTTGCCATCACCACTGCAAGTCCAACGCCATCTCCTACCTCAAAGGCCTCTCCGCCGGCGAATTCAAGAAAGTATTAATCTTCACGGGCTTCTGGCGCGGCATCCATCCTAGATGAACCCATCTATTGAGACATCGCTGGGTCTATATACTATACCACAGAAGTATTTCGAAAATATCTGAGTACATATCCAAAAATATAAGAATACGTCGCAAAAAATGAATATTTATCAAGAGAATATACATGTACTATAGTACTCTTCTATATACACGGATCATGGTATCTTATTCTAACGAGCCTGTTCACAGTTTAGCCTTTCCTGTCTCGATTTGAGACCAGCCTGACTCATCCAGCCTCTCGTAGTTAGTTCCAATCAACCAGTACAGGGCTTCCGCGGAATCCTTGCGGGGATCCCATCCCTTCTTCACCAGATCACCTTTGGCCTGCTTGAAAGTAACTCCCGTCGAGACCTTCTCAACGAATCGGACCAATCGAGGGAATGCGTAAGATGGTACACCCTTCTTCTTCAACTCAGGGTAAAGCTTGGCCACAAAGCCAGCTTGGAAGGCAGGTGAATGATCTTCCAAAGTGATACCAGCAGCACCAGCCTGGCCATCGTATCCGTCAAGTTTCACTCCATATACAACGGCATCGTGAACGCCTTCAATACGACAGATGTGATCACGGATCTCACCCGCACTGACGTTCTCACCCTTCCAGCGGAAGGTATCACCGACACGATCCTGGAATCTCACCCAGCCAGACCGGTCCTGAACGACGAGATCGCCTGTGCGTTGGAACAGATCACCTTTTTCGAACACATCACGAAGCAACTTGCTCTCGGTCGCTTCGCTGTTACCCAGATACTCAATTACGAGGCCGCGATCACGTACACGGCCAATCGCCTCACCTTCCTCGTCTAGACCCGCACGAACGCAGAATCCAGTTTTAGGATCCCGCCACGGCATCTCAGTGTTGGTATCATACTTCACAATGAAGTTGTCATCCTCCAAGGCCCGGCGAATGGGGCCCGAGAAGCCCACCTTTCCGGCTCCCCAGACACCTGGGCCGTGATTATCGAACTTGGCGACTCCCTCAGTAGAGCGATAGAATTCGCGAATCTCAGGGATGTTGAATCGCGACTTGAAACGCTCCCATATCTCGCCACGAAGTCCATTACCCGTGGCAACGATGCAGTTGTGCTTGGCATCGTAGGGAGAGGGGGGAGTGGCGAGAAGGTAACGGCAGAGTTCACCAATGTAAAGGATGCGGGTTGCGCCGGAGTCGTGCACGTCTTTCCAGAATTGTGAGGCAGAAAATTTGCGTCTGAGACAGAGTGTACCACAGTTTCCGATCGAGTAGCACAGTCCGGTTAAGAATGCTGTACCGTGGAAAAGGGGCAGGCATGAATATGTGCGCAGGGGGTAGTACTTCGATCGGTTGTTTACGTCGCTGGAAAGAGGAGTGGATGTGATGACTGGCAGCATGTTCCGCACTGCGCAGGCTTTGGGCTTTCCTGTTGTACCTGAGGTATAGATGAGAACTGTCAAGTCTTTGAGCGTGCGCTTGGCTGCTTGTAATCCTGTTGTAGGGAATCTTTGCAGATCTGTTGCTGTGATGTGTTCCACTGAGCCAGTGGAGATGCCTTCGAAGGAAGTGAGACTGAATGACAGGTGTGGTAGGTCCCCGCAAACATGTTGTGAGAGGTCGGGAGTGGAAATGATAGACTTGGAACCGGAGACATTCAGGCAGTGAACAAAGGTGTCATCTGCAAAACTTAGTATTAGCGATGATTATTTTGTATCGGGGGAGTGACCTACCTCGCAAGTTGGTGTTGATCATGGCGGCCACAGCGCCCAATTTCGACAGCGCGTACATGGTCACCACCATTTCCGGGGAGTTGGTGGTGAAAACACCAATGAAATCACCAGCGTTGATGCCCCGCTCGTGAAGCAGCGCAGCAAATCGGTCAACCACTAGAGAAGTCAGCTGTGAGCTGGGAACTGTGCATAGGAAAAATTGTGATACGCACAGTCTTTGAGTTGTGTGTACGACCAGGTTTTGTTCTCAAACCAGATAGCATCCGTCGCTCCCTGGCCCTCGACCTCAACCACTCTCTCGAGCATTTTATAAATGGTGGGTGAATCACCTAGCTGGCCGATGCGCTGGCCGATGCGTTTGGCAAAGGCCTTGTCATTGAAGTAAGTTGTCAAGTCCGTGGAGATTGACAATTTCGCATTGAGATAGGCTCCCGCAGCGACAGACAAAGCCGATGCCATTGCTACGGCGGGCACATTGGCTTCTGAGAACAGATCCATTGCGTCAGATGCGCGAAGGCTTTTAAATGAGGTTCAATCGCTGGGTAAGTTTCGAGGTAGCTGCTGTAAAGGTTCTGGACACGTCTCGAACGATAATTGCAGATGCGAAGTCCGGGGAAAGTGTTGGGAAGTTATAAAAAAGACCCACCCCCCACACTTATGAGCTCAAGACGGAAGCTGGCTTGATATGATCTGCCGTTCAACACGGGGTTAGTAAGGCCGAGGAAAGCTTGGCTTGTCACTGACACTCGATTACAGAATTTACTGCCGGGGGTTCTGCCGTGTCTAAACTCACCGTCTCTTGAGCATGTCGAATAGTTGAATGGTGTTGGTAGGCGGCAAGCCATGTATAGAAAGCGGTGAGCTTTGCCGGTATACTGTATTTTTAGCGCCGATTACCCCAGTATTCTTCTAACCAGCAATACAATTCAACTCCCAAATTTCTTTCAATTCAAACTTTAGAAAAAGGACATAATGCAACTACAGCTAGAATAAACTTACATTATGCTAATTTAGGGACTTGATATATGTTCAGCATACCCGACTGCGATCTGCAAACTAGACAAACCCGCTGAATACAAAAAACCGGTAATCATGTAATATACACCATCCCACCAATCAACATCTTCATGTCAAACCGAGGGCTTCTAAATACCAGTATCATACACTTATAGCCGTAATCGCAGCGGCATTTCCATCGGCTGCAAGCCCGAGCTCGGCTTCGGATCAGTCGGTGTTCTTCAATGAGCCGCGGTTCATTTGTTGCCCCACGTTCTGTATCCCCCGGACACTAGATAAAAAAAGACCGAGCCGTCCTATATAGCTGTCCTTTCCTCTGTTCTCTCCGCATCTCCACAAAATTCATCTCAATATCATGTCGTCCCCCCAGCAGCGGTTATCTTCGGTCGCCGGCCAATTGGCACCTGCCTCGGCAAAGCAGCGCATTCTCGCAAAGAACCCTGATGATGTCGTAAGTATCGAGCTCACGCGTAGCTACTGCGATCGGGTCATTAATCAAATTCTTTCAAACAGGTCATCACCTACCTCGCGCGCACACCGCTCACCAAGGCCCGCAAAGGTGGATTGAAGGATACCACCATCGACAACCTCCTGGTCTCGCTTCTTACCGTGAGTACCGAAATTTCCAAGCCACAACGAGAAATCCCTATCTGACAATAGATAGACCGTTCGCGAGAACTCCAAGATCGACCCCAACCTAGTCGAGGATGTCAGCGTCGGTAACTGCCTCGCACCAGGCGCCGCCTACATCGCCCGCTCCGCCGTCCTAGCTGCCGGATTCCCCGTGACAACAGCCGCCTCAGTCTCGAACCGATTCTGCTCATCAGGCCTGCTGGCGATCCAGAACATCGCTAACCAGATTATCGCCGGCTCAATCGATGTCGGTATTGCTGTTGGAGCTGAGAGCATGAGCACCAACCCCGACGGCGGCGCCCCCGAGATGGCTGAGCGTATCACCTCGCACCCGATCGCATCCCAGAACTCCCAGCCTATGGGCCAGACATCCGAGAACGTTGCCACTCAATTCAACATCTCGCGCGAGCAGCACGACAGGTTCGCCGCGGCTAGCTACCAGAAGGCCGAGCGCGCACAGAAGGCTGGATGGTTCGATGACGAGATCGTTCCTGTTAAGACCCAGATCAAGGATCCCAAGACGGGCGAGGGTAAGGATATTATTGTCGACCGCGATGATGGTATCCGCTACGGTACCACTGCTGAGAGTCTGGGTAAGATCCGTGCTGCGTTCCCGCAGTGGGCGCCCAGTGCCACTACTGGTGGAAATGCTAGTCAGATTACCGATGGTGCTGCTGCTTTGGTTTTGATGAAGCGGTCGCGGGCTCTGGAGCTTGGTCAGCCTATTGTTGCCAAGTTCTGTGGTGCTACTGTTACTGGACTCGAGCCTAGGATCATGGGTATTGGGCCATCACTTGCTATCCCTAAGATTCTGGGCAAGTTCAACTTGTCCAAGGATGATGTTGATATCTTTGAGATCAATGAGGCATTTGCTTCCATGGTGAGTTTTCGTCTGTTATATAGCCCGGTCTTGATGCTAATATAATCCAGGGTGTCTACTGTGTTGACAAGTTGGGCCTCGATGAGGCTAAGGTCAACCCCCGTGGTGGTGCTATGTAAGTGAAGTTGCAGTCCAAAGTATCTACATGTCTAACAGCTTCCAGTGCCTTTGGTCACCCTCTGGGCGCAACCGGTGCACGCCAGGTTGTTACAGCGCTATCCGAGCTGCGTCGCCAGGACAAACGCGTCGCTGTGACTTCCATGTGTGTGGGAACTGTAAGTCTCATCGTGGGCATGTTTCATCGCTACTTACTAACTGGTCTGACAGGGCATGGGTATGGCCGGTATCTTTGTTTCCGAGCATTAGTTTTCTTCAATCATCAGGTCGGACTTTTTTATAATCATGTATATATCTCACGAACAAATGCGAATATTGTCTACAAATCAATTGTGTACCTCAATTTCGTACATCAAGTTTCCGTGACTTTCTCTGCGTTGTTTACTTAGCTAATTAGATCAATGGTTGTCACTAAAAACCAGCTTAGTCATCGCATACTTGTTCCTCACACCTCAAACCTTGAAATGTTCAAGCAAGCCATCAAATCCAGGATTTGTTTATCAGAATAGTTGCTCGCCGCAACGTCAAATTGACTGTTGCAAACTGCATACTCCACCAGATGACCACGAACGCAGACGCAGCGTTCGCATATGACGAGCCATCAACAACAACCTTACTCAGTTGGACGGGATTCCTGCTAGCTCTCAACCTGATAGATGTAATTCTCAACAAACTTTTATATTGTGGCTTAATTGGCCAGCTGTTCATTGGTATTATCTGGGGCACACCCGGAGCAAAATGGTTCGACCAGGAGACGGAAACTGTTATCCAAAGGCTGGGATATCTAGGCTTGATAATGCTAGTGTATGAAGGTAAACCTCCCATCCACGACATATGAGTTCTGTTCTAACAGCTACTAGGCGGCCTTTCAACTTCAATAAAATCCGTTAGAGCCAATCTGCTCCTCTCAATATGTGTTGCACTCACCGGAATTGGCGCACCGATCGGCTTATCCTTCATTCTGAAGGATTTAATCGCTGCAAGTTCTGTTCAGGCATTTGCTGCTGGAGCTGCTCTCAGTGCAACAAGTCTTGGTACTACCTTTACCATTCTATCTAGCACGGGGTTGATTGTCACGCGTCTTGGAACGGTCACTACTACAGCCGCAATGATGGATGATGTTGTGGGCCTTGTTATGATTCAAGTGATTTCCAACCTTGGTGATATAGCTTCCACCTCCTTCGACCCAATTACTGTTATTCGACCGGTATTCGTGTCTGTTGGCTTTGCGGTTGGGACTTTTATCGTGTGCACGTTTGTTCTCGGACCTATCTTTCGGAAGATTCAGGCGATGACAGCCAAGGTCCCTGATTTTGTGATGACGATGCAATTTGCGTTTCTTTCGCAGACGGTGCTTTTGGTCGGGATTGTTGCGGCGGCTTCTTATGCAGGCACTTCGAGTCTCTTTGCTGCTTATCTTGCGGGTGTCATTGTCTCCTGGTTTGATGAGATGGTCAAGTCGAAAGAAGCACACACTTCTGATGGATCACAGCAGGAGGTGCATACACAGCAATCGAATCAAGAGATACCGACCGGAGTGAGGGTGTATGAGAAGTATTATAAGGAACCTGTCGGCCGAATTTTGTTACCTCTATTTTTTGTCAGTATCCATGGTCGGTGGGGTTTAAATATGCTAATATGGTTTGCAGGCTTCAATTGGCTTTGCAATTCCCATCACGGAAATGTTCCAAGGAAGTGTAGTATGGCGTGGTGTCATCTATGCTCTCCTGATGGTATTCGGGAAGATGCTCACTGGGCTATGGCTTGTGCACCTCTCCACCAGCGTATCCGATGTGATGAGAACGATTCGAAAGCCATTTACTTACGTTCGCTACGTCTACTCTCGACCCCCTAATCAACAAGGTCAAGCAAGATCCACAAGGCCGGGCCCGAGCCCGAACCCGAGCCCGAGTGATGAACCAACGGTCCACAATAGGGGGGAAGACGCATCTCCGTTCGATAATACTCTGAACGAGCATCACGTATCCACACAAAGTACTGAATCGGTAATTACTGTGCTCCCCCCTAAACCGAAATCATTGTATCCGCCATCTATTCTTGGTCTGGCTATGGTCGCCCGAGGGGAGGTCGGATACTTGATTGCATCGCTTGCGCAAAGCCAGGGGATATTCTTTGGGTCGAACACAGGGACATCGGAGCTATATCTGGTGATTATCTGGGCCATCACGATTTGTACATTGGTTGGACCCATTTGTGTCGGGACCCTTGTTCGACGAGTCAAAAAACTACAGGATACTAGGAGTGCTGGGGCGGATCCATTAGGGGTGTGGGGGATCTAATTTGGGAACGGAGGTGATAATAATAGCGCATAAATTAAATGATAGATTCAATTCGAAATTGAAATTTTGCATATAGGAGTGAACCCTCCAACATTGGGAATCTTCTAGACCTGCAATGTTAAGGTCGATCGAGTCTAGGAGAGTCTAGACTATCATTTTCTCTCCAGGGGCTCTTATGTAAGGGCAGAATCAGGGTTCACCGCCAATATATAAATGCCTGTGGTACAAGGCAGAAATATACCCAATGAGGTATAGCGTGACAAGATCATCCCGATCACAAAGCATATGATATTCTCATATTCTGATTTGTTCCTGGATTGTGGCTTCATTCATGATTCTAAGTCCGAAAACTGAAACATGTGGCTGGTCCAGTCGGTTTTTCACAGTTGATCTGCAATTGTTTCGAGAATATTGAGAAATTCTTCCTTTCTCCGTGTGTGCCGAGGCTTCCGAGCCGAAACAGGAGTTCTTCTGGTACAAAATTCGAACCCCCTCATACCATGGAATAGGGGACTTCAGGGACTCTGGTACTACGAGTCAAATTAGGGTGACCCATCGCAAACTTTAATAACGAAAAGAGAATCCAGCGAAAGAATATATCCGGGGGCAACGAATGACACAATAGGAAGCCGTTCTCCGTCTGCCAGGGCACACATCCACTGAAAATCCATATCCAAGTCGATCATTGGATGTTCATGTATTTTTGGAAATCAATAAACCAATAAGGAAAGACTTACAATAACAAGCAAACGTGTCCTGCCCCACTTTAGGTTCCATCTAGGCAGGTGGCGTTGTCTAGACCAGATGTGATGCCCTACCACGCCTTTTTTTCATTTCCCCATACATATTACATATTCAATTTCCTTTCCTTCTTTCCTTCTCCATCTCTCTTTCTTTTTTTTTCCCACAAAAAATCACTCTTTCTTTGTGACATTCTTTTTTATCACACACACACTCTCTGTCATTTCTTGCTTTTTATTCCCACACATTCTTTTTTACACACATTCATCATGCAGATGAAGCAGATTCTCGCCCTGGCCGTGTCCATCGCATCGGCTGAGGCTGCCTACAAGGGTTTCAACTATGGCTCCACCAACGAGGATGGTACCACCCGCTACAAGGCCGACTTCGTCTCTCAGTTCAAGAACGCCAAGAACCTGGTTGGCACATCCGGCTTCACCAGCGCTCGTCTTTACACTATGATTCAGGGTGGTACCACCAACACCCCCATTGAGGCCATCGAGGCCGCCATTGAGGAGGAAGTCACCCTGCTTCTGGGTCTCTGGACTTCCGGTGGTGGTGTCGACAACGAGATTGCTGCCCTCAAGTCCGCCATCAGCACATACGGTGAATCCTTCTCCAAGCTTGTCGTCGGTATCTCCGTCGGTAGTGAGGATCTCTACCGTAACTCGGTCACTGGTGTTACGAACGATGACGGTGTTGGCATGAACCCTGATGACCTGGTCTCCGCTATCGAGTCCGTCAAGTCCGCCATCTCCGGCACCGTCCTGAGCAGTGCTAGCATTGGTCACGTCGACACCTGGGACGCCTGGACCAACACCTCCAACTCCGCTGTCATTGAGAAGATCGACTGGCTCGGCTTCGACACTTACCCCTTCTGGCAGTACACCGATGGTAACTCCATCGATAATGCCGCCAACCTGTTCGATGAGGCCCTCGCCAAGACCAAGGCTGTCTCTGACGGAAAGGAGATTTGGATTACCGAGACCGGCTGGCCCGTTACCGGTGCCGATGAGGGTGAGGCTGTTGCTTCCACCGCCAACGCCAAGAAGTATTGGGATGCTGTCGGTTGCTCTCTCTTCGGCACCACCAACACCTGGTGGTACACCCAGCAGGACTACGGTGCCAGCCCCAGCTTCGGTATCGTCGGCGAGACCTTGAGCACCACTCCCCTCTTCGATCTCACCTGCTCCAACTCCTCCAGCACCAGCACCAGCACTAGCAGCTCTGCCTCCGCCACCTCTACTGGAAAGTCCTCTGCCAAGTCCACCTCTGGAAAGTCTTCTGGTTCAGGTTCGAGCTCTTCCGGCTTCTCTGTCGGTCGCCACGGTATTAACGGTACAGCAGCTGCCTCTGGATTCCGTTCTGCTACCGCTTCTTCTTCCATTGCCACTGCTTCCGCCGGCGCTAGCTCTGGCTCCAGCTCCAGCTCTGGCTCTGGCTCTGGCTCTGGCTCCAGCTCTTCCGGTTCCAGCTCTGGCTCCAGCTCGGGTTCCACCACCGGCAGCGCCGCCTCTGCCTCCTCCACTGCCTACAGCGCTGCCACCCGCCCCGCTGGCTCCATCTTCGGTGCCATCGTCGCTGCCCTCGCTCTCGCGATCGCTGTTTAAGTGCCTTCTCTTCGGGTGTTTGGAGTGATGAACTAGGTCACATTACAAACTAGACTTTGTCGGAGTCTTGTGGGGTATGGTTACCTTGTTATTATGGCATATTCGATTCTTACCTTCGTTTAAATATGTACATTATAGAATTTATTGAACTTGACTTCGGCATTTCTTCATTGGGTTCTTTTCTAGAATGGTAGATTTGGTTTTCAATAATGAAATGTTTCATAATGTTTACTCTCTCTCTCTCTCTCTCTCTCTCTCTCTCTATATTGACTTTCTGATCTAAAAACCACGGTGTGCGATATCATAAGGTTGTGGCTTGAACTCTGATACGAGCCGAACATTACCAGGATTATGTCTAATAAGATCCCCAAATGATGTCAAGAAACTCAAAAATGACATGTATTTGAACTTTCAATTTTCACATAGTATCATGACCTGTAAACGATTGTATGAACGTGACCGAAGCCGTAATCATAGAGCACAAAACATTCGAGCATATATCCCTTTTCGTGACTTCACATGAGTCAAACGACCGACACACACCTAGAATAACTGAAATTGTCGTTGATTATTCCTTGACTACATTCATACCCAGAGGAATACGGCGGCCAGAGTACCTATCCAAATCTAGACCTTGCGACGGCCACGGCCAGACCTCTTAACCTTCCTAGTGGAGGTAGAGCTCTTGGGCACATACTTGACTCCCGTGGTCGGGCAGGACGAAGACTCGACTGGAAATCCATTAGTTTCAATCCACAAATATAAAAGGAAAGAATGAACTTACGAGCAGTAGAGGGCTCATAAGTTCCATTAACAGCACTTCCATAAACATTGAAATAATAATAGACCTCATAAAGCTCATCATCATCACAAAGCAGGGTAACATCGTACCCGCCGTGGATATCAGCAAGAGCAGCCTGAATCGCAGCAGAAGTGTAGGTCTTGGAAGTAGAAGGAGTGATTCCAGCAGCAGATAGAGCCTAGAATCCCTTTTAGTCACTGGAAAACACCGAAGGGAAGAATATGATTACCGTGTATGTATCCAGAGTCTTGAATAGATCAACAACCTGCTGGAAGAAGTCGCCAATTTCCTCGTTATCGGTGTAATCGGTGTAGCAGCTCGGTTCGATAGTATTGATACACGTTCCGTGCGTGTTCCACTCATGAGACCAGAACTCGTTCGAGGTTTCATCATCGCTGACCCAGTACGTCTCCATGTACGTCAAGAGTTCAGTGCGACCCTGATCCGTGAGGATAGTTTCAACATCACTTGTCTCACGGGAAGTGTCGCAGTCCTCGCCATAATCACCATCACAGTAATCCGGCCTGCGTAGTTCAAGCCGTTAGTTTCTCGTGTCTCAGGAAATTGGACATGGAAGACTTACCAGAGACCGTGGATTGTCCACGAGTCAGTCGGGCCGGTGGCTGGGTCAGTATCCCAGAATTGGACCTGAACAAGAGAACCGCCGGGATAGTTGAAGCAGCATAGATCTGAGACGGCAGTGGTGTTGTGGCAACTGAGGATTTCGGTGCTGGTGTCACAGGTTACCAGGCCAGCATGCGATCCCATGAGGAGATCGAAAGCGGCGAGAGCCAGCAGGCCTCGCGGTGTATAGGAGGACATTGTTAGTTTCAGAATGGACTCAATTAAGTTGATAAATAGATGCTCATTCCAAGTTCTGGGTGACTGACTGGATATTTAAGTCAATGGACATGAAGAAGCTAAAGATTCAATGTGACGGAAGCCCTGAGTAAATACGCCAATCGGGTGCAGAGAGTGAACACACATCTTGAGAAAGACATCTGATACGCTCGATAGGGAGACTAAGGTGGGTGAGTGGGTGAAGCATGAAACTCATCCTACTTTCATATAAATGATTAGAAGAAGCTTCAGATTTCTGCAGGACAAAGCACTCTGCATACCCGATGCAGCTATAACGGACTGTCCGCGGGAAGCCGCCGACGGACGCCCGATGGCTTGCTGCGGGGAGCAGGCTAATCCATGAAGACTTGACGATCAGCGGGGGTTTCTGCCACTTAATTCACATCGTAAGACTGCCTTGAGGGAGCATTGAGACATGTGCACAATTGGATAGGGCTGTGAGGGTCGATGGGCTGTTTTTGAAGATGTGCCATAAATTGATGGCCCCACATGAACTAGAGAGAACTAAAACGCCATGGATGTAGACACGTCAGCAAACAGGGACCGTGTCATCTATTGGTGGACCTGGGTAGAAGTACGAGGGGTAAGCACTAATTGGAAAGCAAATTAAATTAAATTTGGCCGGTTGATGTCATGGGTCGAGTATGGACATGAGCTTAAAATTGAATGAAGAATGTTTTGTTTGGTGCATGGATGTTCCTACGGATTGAGTAAAGGGCAGATTGGATGTGGAATATGTGTATGCCATACTGAAGAAGTCCAAACACTGCGGGAGTAGGAGGATGAACCCCTTTCATGCCTGAGGCAGAAATATCGCCTTTACAGGTGTATGTCGAAACAAGTCAACTGAAAAACATAAGAATCTTACTTATACCTGTTATCGTTAAGTGAATATTATTTATATTACTCACGCTTAGATTTTCCCCATTTATTCAAGTAGTAAAAGGGGTAGATAATAAGATGATACTCAGAAGCCCTGAATTCCTAAATATGTGAACATCCAATAAATGAGTTGAAGTGTTCCTTAAGAATCTTCTTCAGCTTCTTTTTCTCCACTTAAATTTTTCCACCAAATTAGATCTCGAGACCAATTTGATCAACAATACTGACCCTGAAAGTCAAGTGGGTCTCCCAAAGAACAGCTCTGACACTAATCCTGTCCAGGTAATGATTTCTGAAACCTCACTGTTCTGACTCCATAATTCCAACGCTAGTTTCAGTTGATGACTCCATCAGGGAACTGCGCAGGACTCTGATGGAATTTCTTACTCGAAAGTTTTCATTTTGCAAGGGGTCCTCTTGGCCTGTGTATTACTTCCGGATAAAGTGAAGTCACTATGGATCGTCCAAAGGAAGATTACAGGCTCTCGTATGTTCCACTTCAAGATGAACCCCAGAACGTGAAATCAAAGGAGAGACCCTTATCGTCTGCCGAACAGGTGTTCCTGCAATCTCAGACACAACCATTCTGGGGCGCAAGCTGGACCTTGGAAATTCTGAGTTGTCTCACTTCGATTGTGTTCTTTACTGCCATCATTGTGGTGCTCTGGTATTATGATGGAAGGCCAATGCCTGAATGGCCCTACGGAATCACACTCAACGCGCTCGTTTCCGTGCTAAGCACTGTCATGAAAGCTTCTATGACATTCATCGTGGCTGAGGGCTTGGCCCAACTCAAATGGTCCTGGTTCCGAGGTGGAAACAAGCTGAGTGACCTAGCCCTTCTTGACGCTGGAAGTCGTGGAGCCATGGGGTCCCTTCTTGTTCTTTTCAGAACTATGCCTCGGTAAGTGTGCTTTGCAATAACGTCACTGTTGGACTTGGTCGCTTATTATTCCTAGACATCTTGTTACATTTGGATGCTTGGTTCTTGTTGTGGCAACCGCTACGGATCCGTTTGTGCAGCAAGTCATGTCTATCAAAGATCGACCGGTTCGTACCTCGGGCCATTCCGCCGTGCAGGTCTGCAACACCAGTACCTATACTGACTATGGAGAGGGTGCGGGACCAGGAATGAACCAAGTTCCTCTAAGAACCCTTGGGGCTATTTATTCTGGCATCTTTCAAACTTCCAGTCAGAATAGCAAAAGTATTATGATGGGCTGTCCGACTGGAAACTGTACTTTTGCACCGTATCAGTCGCTGGGGTTCTGTAGCCGCTGCGCGGACATCACAGACTCTCTTACGCTTTCGAAGTCCACCATTATCCCTGGTGAGCCGACTTACAAATACAATCTACCCAACGGATTTACCTTTTCAACTTCAATCACCGAGATGTACTTGATGAACTCCACATCCTCACATGATCTTCTCAAGTTAGACACGAGGGACCAAGCTTTGATTCTCAACTTTACTGCAATCAGTTCTGCGGGATACGGGGTTCCACCTGAAGTGAGCGCGACCGAATGTGCCCTTTTCTTCTGTGTCGACACATACCACGCAACCGTACAGGGCGGTTTATTCTCCGAAAACCGCACCGCACTCTTCACCGTAGCAAATACCTCTTCAGTCACGGAGAACTTCTCTTTGACACCAGATATATGTTATTCCAATGGCAGCAGACTTGAGAAATCATACGAGACCGACAACTGCTCATACAACGTGGACTGGCTCAGTCGATTGGCAATGTCAAATTCGATCTCTCCACTTCTCACGGGCCACGGCTCACTCTTTATCAGCAATAGACCAAGCTGGTCGTCTAATGTTGTCGAGGCTTTGTACGGCGTACAGGGAAATTATACGGATATCAACTCCGTGTTCCAATCACTGGCCTCTACACTTACCACCAACGCACGGTCCAAGGTATGCGAGGACCAAGTCGACGGGATCCCGTGGACCGTTCAGTCCTTTGTCCGCGTGAGCTGGAAATGGATGATTTTGCCTGGGATATTGGTTGCTCTGAGCATGATATTCATGGTTGTTACAATTGTGCATACCAGGAACCAATATATTTGGAAATCGTCACCCTTGGCTCTACTCTTCTCTGAATTGTTGGTGGATGAGCCCTTTCCGTTGCGATCAGATCCGACTCTGAAGGGGATGGAAAACACGTCGAGGAATATGGAGGTTTGGCTGGAAACGACGCGGGAAGGGGTTCGACTGAAAGCTGTTCCCACTTCATGAAGTACAACTTCAATTCAGATTCCAAAGTTTTACATACAACCTGGCCATAATTTCTGGATGTAAATAAATAATTGTCATAAGACCATGGCAGGTATCCATGAGAACACATGCACGCCTGCAAGCGCCTAAGTGATAACAGTTCTCGGAGAGTCAAATAGCAGGATAAAGTCCTGGTGCTTCACTTTGAAGAGTTCCTCTAGGATTTTATACTGATCTTGTGTTGAGAAAATTGCAAGGAAGACGGTGGTGTTACCCGACTGGAGGTGTCAGATGCAGACATCTGAGCCCCGTATACCAAGGAGTGTATTTGGAGTAATATCATTGGAGCTTGGTCTGTGTCATTTGACGATGCCGGATTTGATTCCTTCGCAACGGGTGATTGTGTATAGAAAAAGAACAAATCAGATACTGTATGGCAACAATTGCGGACTCTGATGATACTGTACTTTTCTGAGCCATACCCAGGTGCCGAAGCCATGCACAGCAGTCTATGTCCCAATCTGCTTGAGGTATGGGCAAGTCGATCTTCCGGAGAAACATATATCTATCACCCAAGTGCGTGTTAGGGTCTCCGAAAATACCTCATTTGGCAACGCGGCATTCTGAGCTTTGGAAGACAGAGAAAGAATAAGTATGCACCAGAGAACGCGCGGTCAGTTCATCACACCTGTCAATTTCACATCGTTTCAGAATCAAGTTTTGGAGACCGATGTTGCGGCAAGGAGAAGCCTAGTAAACGAAATGGCGGTGTGCCTGTTAAAGCTTGACTGACAGTTGTATTTGTACTACAGAATAGACTGGTGAACATCTCTCATTTAGTCAAATACAGTACTATAGTAGATAGAAAGTCTAGGCGCTGAGGTAGTCACCAGGGTAAGTGGCCTTGAGGTTGCCGGGGTGATATATAGTAGTTAAGTGTCTATCCCTGGTCGAGCTGGACAGATGTACGCCCAACAATTATGGTCATTTCTCAGCACATGTGATTGGTATATCATTCTTTGGCAAATATATGTATGGCAGGAAATGACTTATGCCCAGGTGGTTATCAAGCTTACTCAAGATTATCAGGATCGCTGATAACCAAGTGGGGTAGGTGGATCCACGAGTGTAATCGTTCAATATCGATGAAAAAGGAGATGAACGATCAGAATTGAGCCCAGAGTTAACGTGGGACGACCAAAGAATAGAAATATCGAAATGTTTCAGAAGAGAGAGAGAGCAGAGAAGTCGAGAATAGGACCATCTGCAGGAACCAACTCAAATGAAATGAGGAGAAGCGAGATGATCTATGCCTAAAGCGGATAACCCCAATGAATCACGTGTGAGTCGTCATCAAGTGACACCAGAGACACAACTCAAGCTTGATTAAGCAATCTCTATTCCTTCAACTGCCGGAAATTCCTCTGTGCAGCTCCAAAGATCTTTTTTTTCTTCATACTTTGAATAAAACAAGCCCGACCATCGTTATTCGTTCCCCCCTGATCGGACTAGACGGTCGCAATCATGAAGTTCTTATCGACGACTCTTCTCCTCGCGGCTCCCCTGCTCGCCTCAGCCGCTTCTATCCCAAGCCTTCTTGAACCATGGCAAATCCCGCTCCGGACTGAGGAAGATAAAACACAGGTCCCAGGACAGAATCCGCTGGTGTACTGCAAAGACCCATCCTCCTACGTTCTGACAATCGATTCCGTGGATTTAACGCCCAACCCCCCTAAAGCGTACGTTTCATGACTCTAAATGGTGGTACTTGACTGACCTTTCCAATATATAAAGTGGCACCAAACTCACTATCAAGGCCAGCGGTACCCTCAAGGAGCCGCTCGTGAAGGGCGCCTACGTCAACATCGTCGTCAAATATGGTATCATTACCTTGATCTCGCAGACCGCCGATCTCTGTGATCAGCTTGACAATGTGGACTTGAAATGTCCCCTGTCTGGTACTATGAGTATGACGAAGGAGGTTGACTTGCCCGCGCAAATCCCCCCGGTAGGATATCCACTCCAGCCAGGGAAAGATATGACAGCTAACACTTCGTTCAGGGCAAATACTCCGTTTTCGCCGACGTCTACAACCTAGGTGAACCCAAAGCTGAGCACCAAGTCACCTGCTTAGAGGCACACAATATCGAGTTCAACCTGTAATTCAGCTCACTGTCTGATCCTCCTTTCTCGGGTTGCATAACCCCCTTACATACAATCACCAGGTGGCTTCTATTGATTTACTCGAAACCCCATACTGATCATGGCTTGCCTTGATTTTCCTATGCCAGAAACGCCTTTTCCCACGTCTCGTTACGACCTTGCATTCGTTTTTTATTTGGTTTATCTGCCTTGTACGAGTTCCAATCCGCTCAGACATCACTTTGCCTTGCTTTTTCAACTATCGCTTTGCATTCGTGTTTTTGTCAATATGTAACTTGACTGGAGCTTCACTGAAGCCGCAGTCACTAATATATCTCTCGGTATCATCTTGCAATTACAATACCATATTTGCACAAATTCGCACAGTATTGACCATTCATCTCTGAGACGAAAACAGACCGAGGAATTTGAAAGAATACCAATTTGAATCGGCATGAGTAGTAAGTATCAAGGTTGCTAACCAGATATATTGAGGCTGTATATGCATTCTCAGACATGTTGGGTATCTTTCCTGTAAAGCTTTTGATCACCCACACCGCCAAGCTCTTGAAATAAGCTGATCGAAACAAAGAAAAGCCCGAGACGGTGGACGTACACCGGAATATTTAAGCAAGAATCAAATATGTAAACATGCAACGTAACGAGACACCCGGGCAGATGCCGCCCAAAACAAAGGTAAACCTCAATAAGTTTATTCGCCAAACAGACGGCGCACACGCTTAAGAACACTGTCCTTCTCCGGGTCATAGGGGTGGTCTTTGCTAGGGATCTCGAGAACGGCGGGGAAGGGATCGGTGAAGGAGTCTACGCTGTGCCGAATGCGCTCCGCAACCTGTAGATGTGTGTCAGTACACTGCATTGACGGTATGGCATAGTAAAAAGGAACTAACATGTTGGTTAATAAGAACAACGGCGATGTCCTTTCTCTCCTGTGTGAAGGCCTGGAAAGCGCGCTCGATCTCCGAGGTCTCGGTCTTAGCGTCGACAACCAGAAAGTTGCGTTGCGCGTCTGGGGGGTCGGTGACATGCTGTAAGAAACATTTTGCGTCAGCTTCCACGGAGCAAATGGCTATGACAGCGCTGATAATGATTGATCTGAACAGGGAGGTACATACTCCGATACCCGCGAGAAGAAGGCCGGTCACGGAGCTATGGCCAGTGGTCGTGGTTAGCTGGGGCTATTCGGTAATGGATCCAGAGACCATATATGGGAGAATTACTCTTCATCACCAATTACGGCAAGTAATTGGCGATCCTGTCATCGGAGTAAGTTAGCAATGCTATCGGAGGGGTAGTGATAGGTTCCAAGTGTCTAGGTTACCTTGTATGTTGCGGCGGCGGCCGCCATGATGACTGAACGATAAACAGAAATATAGCAAAGACGAGAGAGGCCGTCAAACGAACTATCTGTAGCTTAACCGTGAGTTGCTGCCAGAGTTGGCGTTGTTCACTGATTGTGGTTATCGGCGAGCGGAGAGACGATGACATAAGCTGATGCAATTTTGTTTACTTCCGTTGCTTTCATGGTTCCATGTTTCGCATCACTGGCTTAGCTCTGCTCTGCATGCCTTTGTTTCGACTCTACAGCTAAGGAAGAAGCTGCCGAGGATCAGCTTCTATCTTCTCACATAATTCTCACTCCTCCGACACCATGCCTCGTCTCGTGCGTCGACGTCCGCTCATGGAGCGCATCCAGGCCTACTTAAACCCGTGGGACTTTTTACTGTGGCTATCCGAGGAGATTGATGGAAATGACTGGGACCAGATGGAGAAGGACTGGGGTCTTACTATTGGCGTGGGGCTCAATTTGATCTTCCTCATCACTCGCGCAAATAGTCGATCAAGTGGTGGCAAAGCCTTTGACGATGTGTTTGGTGAAGAGGAAGGTGTGCCTTGGCTTAGCTGGCTGGTACGTGAATGTCAAATCCGAACCCATTGTGTTGCAAAGCTGACTGTTATTGGGATAATCTATAGGCGACGCTCCTCACCACCGTGCTCCTAATCCTGTCTGTCGCGAATGCAGTCTACACATTCTCCCGCAAAAAACGCTATCGCATGTTCGAAACGCCCATAGACCAAGTCCCTGCGACTCCCTCTGCCCACCGTGTGCGAGTAGAATCAAGCCCAATGGCCTCGTCTCCCCTCCGATACCTCGCAAACGCCCTAGCCGGAGAGTCGGCCCAGTCGCGTGCTCACCCAGATGCCCAACGGGATGTATGGGAGCTTGCCCTCTGGGATCCTCTACCAATCAGTGTCCGCCTTCTGTGCTTGTTCAGCCCAGGGCATGTTTTGATTTATTGGCTCTTCCTGCCAACACAGCTCTCCGACCCTCGCCCAAGTGTCACAATCGTCACAACCATCTTCCTCACGTTCCTTCTATCCGTACAAATGTCTTTGATGTCTTCTTTTTACACACAACAGGCGAAAGATTCTATGCTGGTGCACAAGGAAGTACTGAAGGAATATGACACCAAATTTGTTCACCCTCGGACTCGGCCCCTGATGAGAGATGTGGGCACCCAATTTTCGGAAACAGTCCCTGCGCAGTCGGGCTCGGACGCGGAGAACAAAGTCGAAGTTCATACACCAACCTTTATTATCAATCGCGGTTTCAAAACCAGTCCCAATCCCAACTATGTCAGTCATGTCGACCCAGATGGATTCACTCCGAGACGGCCTACTGCCACTCCTAGCTCTACATCGTTATTCCGCACCCCCACGGTGTCGGGCGACGGTTCGCCACTGGTGCGCACAGCGGGAAATTCCATGCGTCAACCACAGTTCCGACCAGCCTCGACTAGTACAGGTGATGGAGGTAGTCTCGGAGTCTATTCGCATGCCAATTCCCCATTGAGGAAGTCAGCATCAACTGCCTTCGAGCGTCGAGTTCAAAGTAGCGGCGACTTCGTCTACACTCCACGAGGAACGAGTCCTGTGAAGAAACAATCCAGCCCTCTCAAGAGAAGCAGCCTTGCGGCATCTATGAGCCCAGCGCCGGGAACACTCCAAAGACCAGGTAGTCTTAATCCCCGTCGAGAAACGGGGAGATTCTAGAATAAACCCACGAATTGATTTGTTTTCACGATGCTATCATTTGCGATGATGGTTCGATGCGTTCTAATAATCGAAACCATGCTTATACAAATTTTTGTACTGAACTAGATAAGCTTTAGTGGATACTCCAGTGAAAATCGCCGGAAGTAAAGCCATTAGTGCTAATGTTTCTCTAGTTTGCGCAGTACATAGTAACTGCCCTTGTCAACTGCTATTGAACAAAAATTGGTTAAAGGCCCATTGAAAAGCGTCATGGGAATGTCGATAATGTCGGTAATATTTGGCGATTGTTCCTTATCGGGTTATGACAGGGGCCTGTATGTCTACGACGTCTATCAATTCTCATCGCATCCAGACTTTAGTTGAATGCATCAGTTTGACGTCTTGAATTTTCCGTGACTTGCCACACTTAAGAATGCCGAATTAGTCCCCCTTATCTCCAGACTGGATAATCAAGTTCGGTTTGCTATTGTCAATTGTGCCCAACCGCAGGCGATCAACTTTCCAAGTGCCCATTCAACTCTCCAACGATCCCTCATGAACTGGGTCGTGGTCTATTACCGAGTGATAAATGCACAAATTACGAACATGATCGATTAACGTCATACCAAATGGAGGCAGGTTCATATCGAGAGGCATTCCAGCGCGGGGGCTAGCATTCCACCCCGGACTGCATGCCATTCCACCCAACCAGACCACACAATTATTACGTGTTTGGACTTTGCTGGCCTTGGTCACTAGTTTGAGCCTAATGAACCGACGAATTGCACACGTTATTATTTTGGGCTATCCCAACGAACGCCGGCCTAAGCCACCGAACTGAACCTTTCCACACAGCCCTAACTCGCAGCACCCGCCTTCAGCTCACAACTAACAAGTCCTGTAACGACGGCATGGGCCAACGTCAGGGTTAATGCTGGCTTGACAGTCGGAAATACTATCTGCAACATCACTCAGCACAAAATGGACTTCGAAAGTTGCGTCGAACTACCTGACGGACACCTTGTGAACCTCTCTCCACGACCTCAAAGGCAAACCCAGTACCAAGCATACCGAGCTCATTACACGACCACTGAGCTATCTGCAACACCGCGACTACGAAACTCTCATCGGGTGCCGCTTGAAGTTGAAAACCGTCGAATCTCAGCCGACTTCATGTCTCACAAAGACAAAACGACCAAGCTTCCTATGCCGAAATCGATCGCCGAGAGGGCCAGGGAGCAAAGGAATCAAACCCCTAGCCCGACTGGGATCCCGAAATCTTCATCAGTTGCTTTCTCATCTGGGGGATCCGCTGGCCCATCTGGAGACCGGGATCGAGACCTATACATAAAGAAAATACGTGGCAGATTCGAAAAAGACTCGCCTCTGTCACAGCGAGGATCTTATATCCGATCAAGAGAAAGTGATAGAATTCGATCCGAAGGGAGCTCGAATTCCTGGCAACAAGAAAAAATTACGGCCAGAAATTCTCCAGAAGCCCACCCATTATATCGGGCAGCCGCCTCTCGAAGTGGCATCCCAAATCCCAGCGCCAACATTAATAAAACGGTATCAACCCCGCGATATGTTTCTCCTCAGACCTCTGAGCCACTAAAGAAGTGGCGAAAGTCAGGGGATCAGTGGGTCAATCGAGAGTCCCGAGAGAATACGCCCCAGAAGTCAGAAGCAACAGATACCACGACTAATTCCAGCCCGCGGTCACACCCTTCAATCTCGCCGGTTTCTGCTGAGGACTCGATGACAGACTGTGACTGGGAAGACAGATTCGTTGTTCATATGCCGTCTGCTAAGGATCCCAACCCACCAACTATGACTGAAGAACAGATCGCCGAATATCAAAGAAGCATCGAAAAAGTTCATCGGGATAGAGAACAAATGCTCAACCCCAACACTCTACCTAGCCCACGAAACTCGGTAGGCGATGAACAAATAAAATCAGACCAACTCAGGACATCTGAAAGTCAAGGATCGGAGTCACCACAAGCACATAAGTCTCCGCAGAAAGCCAATACGTTGGCCGTTCCAGCTTCTCAACCCCACGGGGCTCAAGGGCAGAGCGACTACTATAGCCCTGATGAGATTGGCAAAAACCGCATCAGCACGATATGGGAAGAGTCTCCCACAAAGCCGAAAGAGAAGCGAAAGTCCCACACCGCAGACGGTTCTTTTTTGGGGTGCAAGGAGATCAATGGACCACCTCCAAGAAATCCGGACGACATCCTTCTCTTTTCGACAGGAGAAGACACCACGACTTTGCAACCTCGTCCACTTGCGGTGCGTGCGAAGAAGAGACAGAAAGAGAAGGATGCCCAGGCGGCACGCAAGTCGATGGAAAAGAACGCGGTGCAAGAAGAATGGTCAAAAGTTTCTCAGAATTCGAAGAACGCCAAAGGCAAGCAGTCACCGGTGACTTTGTGTCAAGATCGTCATTGCTCTAAGCAGGAGGTATCCAGTCCAGACTCTCAGTGCTCAAGCAAAGAGAACTCGCGTCCCAGGGCGAGCATTGAACAATCACCCGGTAGAATGGAAGATGGACGTGGCGATGACGATGTATTCATCATCACACCTACTGTCACACGGACGATGCTTCCAACCCCAACTCCCGAGAAAGCTGAAATGGCAGCAAGAAAGATCTCTATTCTGAAGGCACAGGGGCTGAGGCGACCGGGTGGAACTGGCCAATCTGGGACCGGAGAGGCAGTCAAGGCCGTCCGGGCAAAAGCTCATGTTATTTCTACACCTGCTGGACTACGGCATATCTCAGGCCTCGCGCAAGTCAAATCGGCTGTTCCTTCCCTCACTTCTTCAAAAACGGCGCCCTCGCTCACGCCTTCCAAGGCGACCACTGATGATATCCCTTTGTCAAAGGAGAAAGAGTCCAAAGACAAGGATATCAAATCAAAAGATAGCCCGGGTCAAAAGAAAGAGAAGGAGAAGTCCGAGAAACCAAGCAATTCTATTCGTGGATTCATCCGTACTTCAAGGTCCACAGGGCTTGTTAGGTCGCCAACCGAGAGTCTGGCAACAATACTTCGCAACGGTACCGAGTCTTTGCGAAATCGCGCGGAATCTCTGCGCAACGGTTCGGGATCCCTTAGCCGCAAGAGCGCAAGCTCCCCCGTTTCTCAGCCCTCTCCCCCATCCAGAGACAATTCTGAGTCTTCAAGATCCGCAAGGTCTTTCAGGTCAGCGAAGGAGACTCCACCATCATCTGCAAAGCCTTCTCCGGCCAAAAAAGAATCTCGTGTTGCCAAGGTCTCACTCGAGAAATCTCCCAGTCGAGAGAAGTCCACTCCTGTAGATCCAGAGCCTCCAGCGAAGAAAGCCACGCCTCCTCCTGATAAACCAGAAAAGGAAGAGAAATTATACCAGCCCGAGCAGCTTTCCCGAGCTGAACGACTAGAGAAATTCAAAGAGCAAGCTCGACTCCGCAGGGCGACCAGAGTTGTTGAGATCGCAGAATTAGACGGACAACAAGTGGCTACTTCCAAGAGGAGCCTCCAAGCCAATATCACAGATGTCCACGACGACTTGGAAAATCTGTCTTCAGATGACAAAGACGATGAATCTGCCAAAGACCTCTCCAATACCGTTGCCCTCTCCCTAATCTTCGATATTGTGTTCTTGGCAATAACCTTCATGCACAAGTTCACTCTTCAAACAACCAACAGCCCATATCTCCAGTTTGTGATTTCGAACGTCTTGAACATGACCCGCCATTGCTACCACGTTTTCAGCACAATCTATAGTACCATATCCGTCTACCAGAACACGGGGTCATGGCCCAAGCCCAAGAATGACCAGGCTATAAGTCGTTTTTTGGTGGAGCTCGTTCAGGCTATTGTCTACTTGTTTATTCTTGGCTTTGGTGCCCTCATCGCGGCTCGTGCTGCGGGGTATATGGTTCTCGTGGGAACTTGGGTGGTCTGGTTTGCTAGACCATTTGCATGGGCTTTCCAGTGTGTCACTCGTGCCCTCATAACATGATAGGCTTACGCCTCTTTTGTATCGAATATCCTTTCACTTTGAAAGCTGCACTATCCTGAATTCTCTTGGTCAGTTTTCTTGGGGGGTCAGCGTTTGTTTTTTCCACATTTTACCTGGTATTAAGATGCCCCACAGTGGCTCAACAACATGCTCGAATTTTTGTTAATCATATACGAACTGTTCCATCTCCCAATTTCTCTTGTCGTAAGAGTACTAGGCGCTGTCCGCAACGCATTTAGCACTATAAGTAGAAAGCGGAAACTATTAGCCTTGATTATTCATCATATCTGTTGGGGTTCGAAGCCGAGCCGCGTTGGCCTTTTTTGGCCTAGGAATAACTCTTTCTCCCTTCAATTTTCGTTCTTGCAATTTGACACCAATGCAGCGAGAGACAGAAGTAATCCGCATGCCACCGACAGAGGTCCAAGTACAGCCTGTCGTTGACAATGGGGATCTAGAGAGGATTGCCGACATCGAGGCCAAAGCATACGGAGCGTCCTCAGCCATGATACAACTCATGTTCCCCAAATCCTCCGCTCAATCACCAGAGACTGTTCGGAGCTCGAAGATCTCTAGACACAATCGAGTCTGGCAGTCAGATTCATCGGTACATTACATCAAAGCGGTTACATACGAAACATCCCCTGACGGTGCAATGTCGGAACGCATCATCGGCGCAGCCGTATACCACATCTATGAATCCTCTCACACAATTGATGAGCGATGTCCATGGCCAAGCAGGCCAGAGCAAGTTCCCGAAGGCGCGAATGTGCCTCTTTGTCTCCATTACTTTCAAACATTGACTCAAGCTCGACTGGACTTCACGAAGGGCGCACCACATGCGTTTCTCGCCAATTTGGTTGTTGATCCAAGTTTCCAGAGACGTGGAGTCGGGACAAAGCTTCTTGACTTTATGATTGCCGAAATTGCCGGATCTACGGATGTGAGTTCTGGGCCTTCATTTAGTTCCAAAACACTAATAATCAACTTGCTACAACAGCAAGCTGCTATGGCATGTTGGCTAGACGCTTCCCCTGCCGGGCTGAAGACGTATCAACGCCTTGGTTGGGAGGAAGTTGGCGCGACGAACTTTGAAATGGAGCAGTGGGGTGGTGCAAAGGGAAAATCACATAAAAATGTACATATGATGAAGTGGATATCTGTTTCTACAAGCTAAGAAAAACCATATCAATTTCAATGGATATACTACTCTATTTACACGCTGGAGACTGCAGAGCTGTAAAAATAGTGAGTAGACTTCGTGCTACCTCCAACTCTAATAGTCGGAACAAATTCAATCATCCAATATTGTATTTGCTTCGTTCCCCTTTCCCAGAAAGCTTCGACAGAGGTTCTTTAAATCTGGCTTTCTCTTGCTTCCACCTCCCCATCACATCAGCCGAGTTTACTTCGACTTCACCTCGACCTCATTTCGACACCTGCTTTCTGTGACTTTGAGAGCTTCCACAGAGGTTTCTTTGATCTGTTTTAATGAAGGTTGTTTCTCACTACTATTTCCTTACTTTTGAATTCGATCCATCATCATGCCGCCGAAAGTCCGCACCGACGCCACGAAGGAAAATGTCTACCCTTTCGACGGTTCTGTCCCTAAGATCATCGCTGCTTACCAGAAGGCCAACACCAGCTGCCAAGTCTATCGTGACGCAGTCGTTGCAGGCAACATGATCATTAGCACTACCGGAGCGCATTTCTCCAGGAACTGTCGAAGTTTGTCGACACCAACCCTGCTCGCGATGATCGAATCCTTGATGACGCTTTCGTGCTCATTCAGCAATTGGTTAATAAATCCCAAGAGCTGAAGTTTTACAAGGTTCCTTTTGACAGCACTGGTGCGTTGCGTGCTAAGCGAGTTCCGCAAGGTTTGCCCTTGTTTACGCCTAGCGATTCTTTCACAACTGAGGTGTACAAGAGACAGCATCCGGGAAAGATGAGATTTCTAAGGTTTTTCTTATATTTGGACAGTTTCCAATTCAGTTAAACATGCATCAAGTCCTGCGTTGAAGATGGGAAATTGCCAAACTTTTTGTATTTCTTTCGATAAATTTTGTATCTTGAGTAATAAATAGAATCCCTTCCCGACAGGCTGAAAGACCTACCTAGGCATCGATGGGATCAATAGTGTAAGTGGTTGGGAGATAAGGAAAAGCTAAGAGCTTTGCAAGCGCCGAGCATCAGCATGATCCGAAAAAACAGTATGGAACGAAACACCGCTGCTTGCAAGGAAAAGAAAAGTCAAGTTGTGGATAAGGATGAACATCTCGCCACAATCTCTATATCCAAAATCCAACAGGGAAGATAACGAAAAGAAGATAAAGACAGAAAGAATAGAAAGGAGGCCCACATGGGGCATATATTATGTTGAATTTGGTTCTTCCTTCTTTCAGGTCCTCCATTTCATCTGGACATCCCATGTCAAATGAAGACAGGGACAGACCATCAGAGTAAAGCACCAGGCCTTGGAGGGGAAAGGAAAAAGAAGTACTCTGAAGCGTCGTTGTTAAAAGGGACGGGGTATCGGTACAGTAGGAATGTTGGATGTTGAAATAAAAAAGATGAACGCTCAGGAAGAAATCGTTGAGAGGTCTTCAATCGTTACGCCATAAGACATTGCAGGAAAGCCGGAGATTGGTGTTGGATGAGTGATCTCGGGCTGGTATTCGTTGAGTATCGTTGAGATAGGTGATGTTGAATTAGGTAGAGTGTAGTAGTGGTGACAGTGGGTGGTAAAAGTGGTCGTCAATTTTGTCCAGCGAAGACTGGATTTTCCCGGTTGAGTGGGAGAGTGTTTTAGTTCTTGGTCTCAGTGCCGTTTAGCTCAGTAACGCCATTGGCTTCTACTGGCTTTCCAGTCACTTCAACATCCAGATCCTTGACAACCAAGTCCTTGAACAGATCAAAGACGGCGTTAGATCGGTGGAAGTCGTTATCCACTACATAAAAGTTAGCGGGGCTGTCAAGTATAGAGAGTTAAATGTAGCATCTTACCAATGTTGACGAGGTATCGGTCGTCCATGACGCTTTGGATCAGCTTCCTACTGGGACTGGCAGCATCGTAACACTTGGACCAGTCTTCACCCAAGCGGTAAGCCTCGTCCTTCCACGCCAGGAAACTGATAGTCTCTGTGATGGTAGGTTGGATGATTTCTCGGCCAGCGAAAATACCCCAGGTCAAGGCGTTCGGGCTGTCGTGCGTGTTGGTCTTCAATTCGCCAGACTTGGAAACAGCGTGGTATGTCATATCCTCATTTTGTTCGATGCGGGAAATAAGCTCGTCAATCAAGTATGAAGGAACGAGCAACTCCAGGTAGGCCTTCTGGTAAACGAAACCGTTCTTGGGACCCCAGCCATATACTGAGTGAGAAGACTTGACACCGTTCACAGCGGGCTGGGAGTTGATAGTCAAAAAGCCCCTGTTGTTCAAGTCCACCAAGGGGTCTTTGATGTCATTGGCCTCAATGGTGATCGGTGTGTCACTCCACGGCAAGCGCTCCAGTTTCCCACTCAAGAAGTCAATAAAGATATCGCCAATGTCCTTTAGAGACTTTGGCTCGCCCCACAGCTTGATGTTTTGTTCGTTCGAGCCCTTCAGACCGACACCGTATGCATCAAGTTCACCGAATGCAGGTGAGCGAGAATCGGTCCAGCGACCGTTGGGGTACTCGTCCCATGTCTGAGTGCGAGCCACGTATGAAGAGTTGCGGTTGCGCCAGAAAACTGGGCGCACATCCTCTGATCTGCGGCCCAGAGCGAGAGACGGTCGCCATGGCAGGGAACGTTGAATGGGCGACTCTTCGGATGGAACGAGTCCCAGCTCCTCCAAAACCAGCTTTGTTGCTTGGGCCAGGTTCATGGTGTAGAAGTGGAGGTGGTTGATGCCAAAGGCCAGTATGTCTCTGCACATTTCGGCGATCAGGCGCTTGCCAACGTCTCGGACAGCAGCGTCGTCGTTCTTCACGGGCTCTAGAGCCTCCATCCACTGCGGAGGAACATGGGCTTTGGTCCAGGTAGAGCGGCGAATGAAAGATGCGTAGGTTTGAATAGGCATGATGCCTGGGATGATTGGCACGTTGATACCCTTGGCCCGACACTTGTTGACCCACGTCTTGAAATTTTCCACATCATAGAACATCTGAGTGATGATGAAAGTACTACCGGCATCAACCTTCTCCTTCAAGTGATCGATCAATAGATCCACGTCGGGGTTATCATCGGCACCCTCGGGGTATCCGCCCACACCAATGTCGAAATGGTTTCCATATTTCTGCCGAATGTATTTGACGAGATCTTTGGCGTAGCGGAATCCTCCGTCGGCAGCTTCCCATGCCTCCTTCTCACGCGGGGGATCACCTCGCAGGGCCAGGATATTGGTGCAGCCGGCCTTGTACGCGGTCTGGAGGGCCTGGTCAATCTTTTCCTGAGGCATGTCGGTACATGTCAAGTGCATGCAGGTCTCCAGACCATACACTGACTGAGCGACGCCAACCATCTCGCAAGTCAACTCTGACAAACGGCCACCCGCACCCCATGTGATGTCAATGAACGAGGGACCCAACCCGTGCATGCGGTCCATGCGGTCATAGAGATTCTGTACACCCTGGGCGGTCTTGGGAGGAAAGAACTCGAAGGAGATACCGGGCTCCCCCGAGGCCTCCTTCTGTGCAAGCTTTTCCCGGATATGCATGATTTCGTGTCAATCTATTGGCATTGTCATCAGTAATGTGGGGGAATTGGCAGTTGAACATGACAAGCCATCCTTATCCGCCATGGTTCATCTCACAAGGAACAAGAATCCCTTACCGATGGAGGTAGGATTGGATTTATTTTCCAACTGTAACCACTTGAGGCTATTCTGTTTCTCACAGGGTCTCGCAGAATCACCAGGATTTCCCGACCTGTTTATTTGTAACACCTGAGGATTCGGCGAAGAGTAATCGATCGAAAAGAGTTGAGGAATAATGAAAAAAAAATAAACCCGACAAAAAAAAAGAAAAGAAAGGAGAAGAGAGAACCTAAAAAAGGGACCGTAAGGAGAAAGATGGAATTGGAGGAATTCGGCGGGGAAGGCCGGCGATCGGAGGTAGCACGTGCTCAGGTCAACTGGTGGATTTGGATTATGTAAACATTGATAAAAGACGAAGATTTTAGTTATGAATTTCCAGGACTTTACTAGGAATCATCTTTTGAAAATCTTCCTAAGTTTTATTTCTTTTGACTTTGGACTAATACCTAAATGGATCAATATGTTGTTGGGCCCTTCTATACGATGCCCCTCTATGATCTGCCCCTCAATTACTTAAAAATTTAGTTTGACATTAGCTAACCACTAACATTCGGCGGGGCGATTTTCACGATAAACCTATCAATCACTTTTTTTTCCGTCTTGCGTCTCCTCCTCTATACCACTCCTACCTTCCTAAGTCAATTCTACATATTTCTCTCTCTCAGCCTTAATATCGAGAAATATTCACCATGGCCGCCTCTCAAGAACAGAAGAGCACCCTGCTCCCTCTGCTGATCTCCAACAACGTCCTCTCGTTCGGCACCTACGTCCTCAAGTCCGGTCGCGAATCTCCTTACTTTTTCACCTCCTCCCTCATGCACACCGCACCCTTGCTGCGTGCCTCCTCTGCCGCTTACGCCAGTGTTCTGTCAGCCGAGCCTTTCGTCTCCAAGGCAGCTGACGGCACCACCAAGCCCAACTTCGACATTATCTTCGGCCCCGCATACAAGGGCATTCCCATCTGTGCTGCCGTTACCAACGAGCTGGCCGTGCAAGATGCACTCGCTGCCTCGCCCAATGGAACATGGGACAACGTCAGCTACTCATTCAACCGCAAGGAGGCCAAGGATCACGGTGAGGGAGGCAACATTGTCGGCGCTCCGCTGAAGGGCAAGCGCGTGGTCATCGTCGACGATGTCATTACCGCTGGCACTGCTCTGCGTGAGGCTGTCAACATCATTCAGAAGGAGGGCGGTATCGTCGCTGGTGTTGTTGTCCTGCTGGACCGCGAGGAGCGTGTCAGCGATACCGAGACCAAGAGCGCTATCGGTGTTGCGCAGCGGGATCTTGGTGGAGACATCCCTATCCGTGCGGTCATTGGCTTGCACGATATTATTGAGCACTTGGGCGATAAGTTCGATGCTTCCGACATCCAGCGCTTGAAGGATTACCGTGCCCGCTATGGCGCGGAGTAAGGGAGGAGTAACCCTTTGTTATATGATGCATTGAGAAACGAAGTGAGACTTATACAAAATACGGAAGGTTATGATACCAGGATAGTTCGGAGAGATGCGAATTCATTATCCGCACACACCATATAAAATACATCTTTCCCTCCATCCGGATTGGGTGAAGGGTATTTAATACATCTTCCATGAACCGGTAACACAGTCTATACAAATGTTGACAAATATTTATGCTCCAATCGGGTAATAAGGAACTCCGATATATGGTTTCTATTTCCAGACTCTCAACCTGAAGAGGGGCAACAACAGTTGATATTCCTAAAAGAGACCGATGTAGCATCTGATAGGACGGTCAAGCACAATTGCATGCTTCCTATCACCCCTGTCGGGAACGTTGTACAACCCAAGTGCAACCCCCGAGTTCAACCGTGATGTCTCAGATCTTCATAAAATAGGATCAGGCCCAGTCTGGGAGAGCAAAGCCCAAATAAATCCCCGGGGACACCGGGCGCGTGGATGTTCAACAGTCACACACTCAACAGGGTTGATGCTTTGAGCTGATGTCTATGTTTCTGAGCTAAAAGGGCTGAACCTGAAGATCTACTACGCAAGGTGTGGTGATCTTGCGCTCAGTCAATAAGCAGTATCTGAGAATCCAATGGAAGTACCAATGAAAGTACTCGGAGTCAATCATGCATGGTCTATGTTGGATAAGGGATTAAGAGAGAGAGACACTTCATAAATGGCAGCTATGGCACTCTAGGACCCGTATACCCGATATAGGAAAGTCAGGACATGACAGCGGCAGGTCCCAGGCACTTGGACTTTGATTTAACCTCTCACCTCAGACATCACTGATCATGTTCTATGTCTGTGGATGACAACCCAACCCCTAAGCTTGGAAGCTTCCGGTTATATCCAATGGCTACTTGTGTGTCACAAAAGGTCGAATAAGGACACAACAGGTTTTGAATAGTGCTTGATGAGTGACTACTTGCATAATCAAGTGGATCTTTCAAGCCTCACGCTGTCTGACATCTAGTAGCGATCAGAAAGAAGACTGCCCGCAGTGAATGTCTCGATTTTGACCACGATATAGCTGGGGATTACGAAAAAAGCAGCTGAAATCTAAATTGACAGATCTTGACTTGGCCAATCAGTCTTCTCGAGTGTCTCAGTGAATCAAGCATCATGCTTCAACCCGCCATTACTCGATCTCGGAGAGATGCATACGCCACTGCCTAAGAAAGGCAATGTACCAAGGACTTGGATGCTACCTAGGATGCTCGAGAATTTCACCATGCAGGCAAAATAAATTTACAATCTATTGATGTACATCGATCATCTGATAGATCTAAGAACTTTAAAAGGATGGTTACCAGAGCTCCATGTATACACGAAAACATTTTCATGAAGTACAGCATGCAGATTGAGGCTGCCTTGATTTATCAGGATCAATTGAATTCAATGTTGTATTTGAGCAGACTCTCAAGTGCTTGGCCGTTCTATCGACTACTAGCATGACTTTACAATGCGCCTTGCGGGTCGTGGCATTCTAACGTTGGATAAATAAGCCAACATTGGATATATCTAACATTTATAGACATGTTTGTTTACACAAGTGGGTTAACATCGACTTTTCTTACTAGCGTATGCTCGAGGCACACAATGTACAAAATAGGTCAATCATTAGGGGTGCAGACGCATCAGAGCAGTGGAGGTCCTTCCGATTTTCTATGAAGCTCTAGCTTCGATTATGCTGAGATGAAATGAAGATAACAGTAGATGCCCTTGGTCTTGATATTATGCAACATCAAGAGACCAGAAGTAGGACCTGAGCATTTGAGGGCCATAGAAATAGCCACCACTACTCAGCCTTCAGACATAATCTTTATTAGATGGTCTATGCAACCAGTTGAAAAAAACATTAGTTCTCAGCCTCTCATGAATGACATCATGTGCTCCCGATCTCGTCCGCCACACATGTTACAGCAGTCGAAAGACAAATACAGATACCCGATACGACCTAAACGAGCCTTGGAAGTATTCCTCCGAGCTAGATTCGTGAAGAAATGAATTCACCCTTGGATTCAAACGTGAGAGCAGATGATATACCAGTCAAGTCACATCACTCCAGAATCAATCATATCCAAATCCCGAATACCAAGACTGGGTTCTTATTTTAAGCAACACCTTCCAGGCTCCATCAGCTATTAACATAGTCAATGTTGAAACTGGACCGATAATCAATCAACGCGGCATGTTTCGCTCCCTTTGTCTTTGCATCGCTTGGTCCCTAATCATCCTTGCGAATGTACCACAATGCTCTGTCATACAGACACTGCATGTTTTCCACACTGGGCCTTATCGAGCCACAGCTATTCCATGACGGCCGTCGGTACTGCAAAGAGCTATGGATCTTGCTTGGAGCTTCCAACCGAGGACGTCGCGTCGTGAGACACTCATAAACTTTGACGTCTGAGCTCACATTCTCTCGACATAGCATTCGTCAACCGAATGCTCATCAGAGCCCCGAAAGTTCCAGATGTCTTCTGAGTTTATGCCTCCTATCAGCAATCTATTCGACATCTACCGTTCATTCCGGCGTCAGAGAAAGTCTGACCCTACGTGGTCTAGGTGGTATTATCAAATCGTGTGCGGTGAGAAAAGTGACTTAAGACTCAACAGGCATGCAGTAAGTGTTGACTTTTTTTCTGTGTTTGTGTTCTTACGCTTTCAGCTTTGCAACAAGTCTTCTACATATTTCTACTAAACACATCAAGTTCCATCCTTCTTGTCCAATTTCTCCTTGGCTTTTGTTGGTCCAATCCTTGAGCGGCATTTACTTCAGGTATCCTGAACTTCATTTCCACATTCTTTACTCTGATTCACTCAAGTTTCTGGTTTGTCGACTTTTAAAGTTTTGCTGCTCTACGATTTCCTCATCGATCTTGTCATAGCTCTATGGTTCGTTGTCTGTACTTGTCTACTTCCTCAACCATTTTGTCACTTGCGTTACGTTTAATGGTATCTGATAGACTCGCTAACAGACGAAAATAGTAACTTGACACTAGAAACTCGCTTATCCTCTGCCTACCATAGTGCATTCCCCTACATCGATCTGCTTGACGAAACATATGCTTAAAATTCTTTATTGCTGAGCCTTTGTTCTTTACGCCCCGGGCCTGCAATGCATTGGAAACGAACAAGCTATGTGCTTGCTCACCTCGCATCTGTGGTATATTGTTGGCCATATGATGAGGCACTCACTGAATATAACATCAATGAGAATCAGACAGCTACCAACCCAGCCGAGTACTGGGGAGAGTGGCCCAATCATACCTACCATCCATCACCAGATAACTGGCGCTTTCCAATATATTCACTTTTCCTTGATCGATTCGTGAATGGCGATCCAACCAATGACAACATCAATGGAACACTGTTTGAACATGACCTGGACTCGAATCAAATGCGCCATGGTGGTGATGTTGCTGGACTGGTTGATACACTGGACTATTTGCAAGGAATGGGCATCAAGGTAAGCTCACCTGGTTCTGATCAAGAATGACTTTGCTAATCTTCGCCGAGGGAATCTATCTTGCAGGCCTTGTATTAATGAATCAGCCATGGGGATCGGATGGTTACTCTGCATTGGACACTACCTTGCTAGATCAGCATTTCGGTACTATTGAATCTTGGAGGTCCGCAATCACCGAAATCCACATTCGTGGCATGTATGTGATCTTCGATAATACAGTGGCAACGTAAGTGACCTTGAGCTCCTCATCTTTTCCTTCTCCCTCTATGACTCTAATGCACATTAGAATGGGCGATCTGATTGGTTTTGATGGATACCTAAACACGACAACACCATTCTCCACCAAAGAACACAAGGCGCAATGGAAGTCAGATCGTCACTATGTTGACTATAGCTTTGGTAATTCCTACAACAAGACCTGTGAATACCCTCGCTTTTGGGACGAGACCGGTTACTTAGTCGACCAATATGTTCGCGATGAATTGAAGGGCTGCTACAATAGTGACTTTGATCAATACGGAGACATCGAGGCTTTTGGTGTTTATCCCGACTGGCAGCGTGAATTAGCCAAATTCGCATCAGTTCAGGACCGTCTACGTGAGTGGGTACCTACTGTCAGAGAGCGTATTGTGAGGCACTCGTGTATGATCATATCCTCCCTCGATATTGACGGCTTTCGATATGACAAAGCCACGCAGGCCACAGTCGATGCCTTGGGGGACATCTCAGGTGCTTATCGTGACTGTGCTCGGCGCGTTGGTAAAACGAACTTTTTCCTTCCAGGAGAAATTACCAGTGGCAACACATTAGGCTCTGTCTTTCTTGGTCGGGGTCGGCAGCCAGACATGGTCCCAAAGACGCTTGACCAGGCATTCCACCTTACGAACTCTTCCGATACGATATATTTCCTGCGAAATGAAAACCAACAGGCTATTGATGGAGCTGCGTTTCATTACTCTGTCTACCGCTCTCTCACTCGCTTTCTCGGTATGGATGGTAATCTGGCTGCTGGCTATGATGTCCCAGTCAATTGGACAGAAGCTTGGTACGACATGGTGCTCACCAATGACCTTATCAACGCGAATACTGGCAAGTTCGACCCTCGCCACATGTATGGGGCTACAAACCAAGACGTTTTCCGATGGCCAGCTGTGGAGTATGGACTGGAGAGACAGTTACTAGCTCTCTTCATTACGACACTGCACATGCCCGGCATTCCATTGCTGCTCTGGGGTGAAGAACAAGCGTTTCACACCTTGGATGCGTTGGCTTCCAACTACATCTATGGCCGTCAAGCTATGTCTCCCGCAACCGCCTGGAAGACTCATGGTTGTTTCCATCTAAACTCAACACAATACTTTGACTGGCCGATAAAATCGGGTCGAGAAGGCTGTCACGACGAAACAATCACATACGATCATCGAGATCCCTCGCATCCCATCAGAAATACAATCAAACACATGTACCAGATGCGACAAGACTATCCCGCTCTGAATGACGGTTGGTGGATTCAGTTGCTATCTAATCAAACTCATAATGTCTACTACCCTGGTTCGAATGGGATTGCCACTGAAACAGGAATGTGGTCTGTTCTTCGCAGCCCTTACTTCCAGAAGCAAAATCTTGGAAAAGCCGGGAACCAGACCGTCTGGTTTGTCTACCAGAATGACAACCAAACGGTCACATACTACTTTGATTGTTCAGATCCCAACCGGGCGCTTGTTGCGCCATTCTCCACGAACACCACTGTCAAGAATCTGTTCTATCCGCATGACGAATTGACCTTGAAGAACAGTCCAACAAAGCTGCATCTCAATGGCTCCTTAAAGTGGAATGGCTGTCTGGATAGTCTAACCCTTCGTCCTTACGAGTTCAGGGCCTATGTCCCCAAGACTAAATTCCATCCCCCACGGCCCATGATCACTAAATTTATTCCTGGACATGATGTCCCAGTGCTCTCGAAAGCCAAACCTGGAGAAAGTGAAGATCTTCAGGTCGGGCTATACTTCTCTACCGAAATGAATTGCAGCATGGTTACTCAATCCATCTCTCTTGAATCAACAACGGAGAATGGAAAGATACCTTCAATTGATCAGAACACCATCAGCTGCGACTCTGCGGATCCGGAGGACTCGCCTCTCACCGGTCATATACCAAGCACCTGGGCCTGGACAGCAACTCTGACCGGGGTGTATAATGGAGTGCACCGACTGACCGTCAGCAACGTGACCAGCAGCGATGGGCAAAAAACCAATGCCATCGATCACTTCTTGTTTCGTATCGGACAGCACGACAACCCGATGATTTTCACCTCGGCCAACTACTCCAGCAGCTTGCTCCACAGGCACGAGAATGGCTCATTGTTTATTCGACAACATGCAGCCGGAGCCGACATGTACCGGTATTCGACCAATTGGGGTAGCACATTTTCGAAGTGGCTTCCCTACCAAGGCGGTAGCCACACAATCCAAAAGCAGCATTGGTCGGGCACAAAGGCCCAAGAGTGGAAAGGGGAGCATGTCCGTGTCGAATACTGGAATCGTTTCACGGGCAGCAGCGATTATATCCAGCAGGGTGATACCCCCGACTGGGATGCCCCAATGCCACGACGCTTCCCGCATCTTTTCTTCAATGGACCTTTCAATGAATATGGGTACGACGCCGGGCTGCCAAACGCTGTAAAACAGGCCGATGATCGTCTATGGAAGTTCCGCTTCATGGCCGAGTGGCCTGCGCAAGGTCAACTGAATGTTTGGGGCATCAATCCAGATGGACAGCCCGATCAGAGCTATATATTTGGGGACTCGGATGGAGATTCTGTTTTAGATCGACTTCCTCCTTCATCACTCAAAACGACCGCGATTAATATCACACGACCTCCACCTAGTCCCCACTTGGCTTGGAGGATCGAACTCGATGACGCCACATTGAAGTTCAAGCTTGTGCCAGCGGGATCGAAATATGTTCAAATGGCGCTATTCTTCATGCTTTGGATCATTCCTGTTCTGAGTGCAGTGGCCTGTGCGACCGTTTTCATGAAGACATTCTACCGTATCAAATTCAATCAAGTTGGTGTGAGTGAGAAGAAGACCTTGATCTCATTGGATATTTTCAACAGATTCAAACCGGACATGGATGCTGGAGGGTCTAGAAAATTCCTCATGCGCCTAGCAAACAAGTCCAAATTCCTGCAGAGCAACTCGGCCTTCGGTAATCGAACATCTCAGCTACGCAAAGTCTTAGTCGCGACGATGGAATACGATATCGATGATTGGGGCATCAAAATCAAGATTGGAGGTCTGGGCGTGATGGCACAATTAATGGGGAAGCAACTCGGGCACGAAGATCTCATTTGGGTCATTCCATGTGTTGGAGGTGTTGATTATCCTATTGATAAGCCGGCCGAATCCATGTTCGTTATGATTCTTGGAAACTCCTATGAAGTGAAAATCCAATATCACTACCTGAGGAACATCACCTATGTCCTCCTGGATGCTCCTGTCTTCCGTCAACAAACCGTTGGAGAACCCTACCCAGCCCGTATGGACGATATGGACAGCGCCATCTACTACTCTGCGTGGAACCAGTGCATCGCTCAGGCTATCAAGCGCTTTCCAATCGACTTGTACCATATCAATGACTACCATGGTGCAATAGCTCCGCTTTATCAGCTTCCAGACACAATACCGATCTGCCTTTCACTCCATAATGCTGAATTTCAGGGATTGTGGCCAATGCGAACACAGAAAGAGAAGGCTGAGGTGTGTTCCGTGTTCAATCTCGATATCGACGTCGTCACTCGCTATGTTCAATTTGGTGAAATATTCAATCTTTTACATGCCGGTGCGAGTTATCTACGTCTCCACCAGCAAGGATTTGGAGCAGTCGGAGTCTCAAAGAAGTACGGAAAGCGCTCCTATGCGAGATATCCAATCTTCTGGGGTCTACGCAAAGTAGGGAACCTGCCTAATCCTGATCCTTCTGATACTGGCGAATGGAAGAAGGAATTACCCAAGGAAAGCGAGATCAGTGTGGATAGCGAATTCGAGTTCGGAAGAGCAGAGACCAAGCGCCAGGCACAAGAATGGGCGGGTCTTCATCAGTCTCCTAATGCCGACCTTCTTGTCTTCGTGGGGAGATGGTCAATGCAAAAAGGAATCGATCTCATTGCAGACGTCATGCCAGGTGTTCTCGACACGCGACCAAATGTCCAACTAATATGCGTAGGCCCAGTGATTGATCTGTACGGCAAGTTTGCAGCCCTCAAACTGGACAGAATGATGAAGCTATACCCGGGCCGTGTGTTCTCGAAACCACAATTCACGGTTCTACCTCCATTTGTGTTCTCGGGGGCAGAGTTTGCTTTGATTCCCTCAAGAGATGAACCGTTTGGTCTGGTCGCCGTCGAGTTCGGCCGCAAAGGTGCTCTTGGTATTGGTGCTCGAGTTGGAGGACTTGGGCAGATGCCCGGTTGGTGGTACACTGTCGAGTCCACAACAACAAGCCACCTGATCAAGCAATTCAAGCTTGCAATTAATGGCGCTTTGAACTCCAAACTCGAGACCAGAGCCATGATGCGCGCGAGGTCCGCTAAGCAGCGCTTCCCAGTCGCTCAGTGGGTTGAAGATCTTGAGATTCTTCAGTCGACAGCCATGCTCGTCCATAACAAGGAACGCGCAAAGTCACAATCAACCACGGCAGCATCGGCATATAATGCTTTCTACGGAATGATGACCCCACAGGCTGCGGCTTCAATGCGATCTAATGCGTCCAGCGGTACCCTCACGCCGCCTTTGCAGTCTCGCCCTGGAACCATGGGTTCAATGCAGAGGAATTCCGTGGTCTATAGTCGTGATCCCAGCCCTGGCAGTGAAAGTAGACCGAGGTCAGGACTTAGTCGCCAAATGTCATTTGGCATTCGGCCCGTATCTGCCCCTTTGGAAGCTCGCGGACGACGAGAACATGGCAAGAGCGGAATTGAAGACGTGGATGAAAACGCTGAAAGCTCAAGCACTCCATCACCAGGTACCAACGATGATAGTGATGACGAGATCATGTCCACTTGCTACGGCGAGGACGACTACACCATCGGACCCGAAGCAGCCGATACTGGACGCCGACTAGATACACCTCCACCAGGCCCCCAACCTGTCGGAATTCCTCTAACTCGTGAAATTCTTTCAGCTCGACATGCAAGCCAATCCTCGCTTCCTGGTCGTTTAACTGGCACGCCTTCCAGCTCTGCTGCGCCGAGCACGACAGGAACAGAGGATACTCTTCTCCCACCAGCAAGACCTTGGGCGGATGCAGGGAACCGCCTAGCTAATGCGTCGCAGTTATCATTTGACTCGGTTGTCGGTGATAATAAGGACTATAAGCTCCAAAAAGTGGACCCGACCTTCACAGACAGCAGTGGCGAGTTCTACCGTGCATTTGAGAAGAAACTCGAGGGTCTTAACGGTTCCAATTCCGATTCTCAGCTTTGTATTGAGCAATATCTCGAAAAGAGTGAAAAGAAATGGTTCGATCGATTCAGAGATGCTCGTCTAGGAAAAAACCAATTCCCAGCTGCATCAGTGCAACTTGGCAAAACCGGCAGTGGCTCTGCTTCTGGATCCATCAACAACGATGACACTTCATCTCATGAAAGTGGAGTTCCAGAAAGGAAAGAGGCCACAGGTGATGAGTTCTTCCTGGGCGAAGACTACATCCCCCCAACGGGTCTCAAGAAATGGATGCAAATGCGTATTGGAGATTGGCCTGTTTATTCACTCTTCCTGGGTCTCGGACAGATCATCGCAGCAAATTCCTACCAAGTAACCCTACTGACAGGCGAAATTGGCCAGACAGCAGAGAAATTGTACGGGATTGCAACAGTATATCTTGTCACATCTATTCTGTGGTGGCTTTTTTTCCGATTCCAGAAATCCGTGCTCGTGTTGACTGTGCCATGGTTCCTCTACGGCCTTGCATTCCTCATCATCGGTCTTGCTCATTTTGAGCCAAATTCTTATGCTCGTGGTTGGATCCAGAACGTAGGGAGTGGAGTATATGCTGCTGCATCGTCTAGTGGCTCTATCTTCTTTGCGCTGAACTTCGGTGATGAGAGTGGTGCTCCAGTCAAGAAATGGGTTTTCCGTGCTTGTCTCATCCAAGGCACACAACAGGTCTATGTCATTGCTCTCTGGTACTGGGGCTCAACACTGACCAAAGCATCCAATGCCGGTGTTAACATCCAAGGCAATATCACTAATACCTGGAGAATGACGTACGTATTCCCTGAAACCCCGTCAATTGATATATGGATGTGACCCATACTGACTTTTGCTATAGAGCTGTCTGTACCCCGATCACAGTCTTCTTGTGGGGCGTGGGACTCATCGTTTACTTCGGCTTGCCAAACTACTACCGCCAGACACCGGGCAAAGTCCCATCCTTCTACAAATCCGTATTTCGACGCAAGATCGTGCTCTGGAACTGGGTTGTGGTCATCCTCCAAAACTTCTTCTTGAGTGCCCCCTACGGTCGAAACTGGAACTGTAAGTCTACTCCACCCCATTATACCCTCCAAACTAACATAATCCAGTCCTCTGGATATCAAACCACGCAAAACCATGGCAAATACTTCTGCTCTGCGTAGCATTCTACGGATTCGCCTGGATATCAATCCTCTTCGGCCTAGCGTGGATATCTCGGTCCCATTCCTGGATCCTACCCATAGTAGCATGCGGTCTCGGCGCCCCACGCTGGGCGCAGATCTGGTGGGGAACTTCGGGTGTTGGTCTCTATCTTCCATGGGCAGGTAGCTATACATCCGGTGCACTGGTATCGAGGAGTCTATGGCTGTGGCTCGGTGTCCTCGACGCACTGCAGGGCCTTGGCTTTGGCATGATTCTACTGCAAACTCTGACGCGGATGCATATTTGTTTCACGTTGCTTGTTTCACAGGTCCTTGGTTCTATTGCGACTATTTGTGCGAGATCGTTTGCGCCGAATAGGATTGGTCCGGGGCCTATTTCGCCGGATATTACGGCTGGTGCGAGTGCACTGGCGAATGCTTGGTTTTGGATTGCGCTTGCATTCCAATTATTGATCTGGTGAGCTCTTATTCAGTTATTCTTGTTGCTAGAGTAATATTTTGGCATGTCTGACCAGTTTTAGTGCCGGCTTTCTTATGTTCTTCCGTCGTGAACAACTCTCAAAGCCTTGAATTCGAGATTAGAGACCTTGAACTTATTTCTTTTGTTTGCAAATGCCCAGGCAGAACAAAGTTTTTAAGGTTAATAAGTGGAGTGGGTCATGAGCTATCAAGCTTTCGTTTTTCTTAATTGGTCTATTTCTTACTTTGTTATCTTTTGATCTTTGGTCTCCGACGTCCTATCTAATGTAATGAGCTCGAAACAGACTGACTCGGAGCTCAAAGACATGTACGGACACTTTAATGAAGGGGGTCGCTTTTGATTTCATAATTCATTCTCATTGAGATTCGTAGACTACCAGTAGATGCGAGTAGTCCAAAACTAACTAAGCCCCGAGACATAAGATGCAAGCAGACTAAATAGGGGGGAATATTGTTCTTTAAAGAAATCCAAATGCCACCAGAGCCTAAGCTCCTATTACCGTATCCATACCCAATGCGATCAAATAGCATCAATATGAGCTTACCACTCGAGTGGCTCGCCCTTAACCTCGCCCCGGTTGGTCTTGGGGACAGCGACGGCATCGATGCGGTTGCCGCGCTTGAGGTAGGCAGAGCCATCCAACCAGGGAGTCTCAAGGGTGCGCTTAGCCTCGAAGGAGCGGATCTTGCCCTCCATCTGTAGGGTCAGACCAATATCATCGAGGCCGTTGGTGAGACAATGTCTCCGGAAAGAATCGACCTCGAAGGCAACGATCTTGTTACCCTCGGCGTCCTTGATCTCCTGGTTGACGAGATCAACCTCGATCTCACGGCCAGCCTGAGCCTCGGCAGCGATCTTATCAAGAGCAGCCTGGTCGGAGACGACAACGGGCAGCATACCGTTCTTGAAGGTGTTGTTGTAGAAGATATCGGCAAATGAGGGAGCGATGATGCACTTGATACCGAAGTCGAGCAGAGCCCAAGGGGCGTGCTCACGCGAACTACCACAACCGAAGTTGGGGCCAGTCACGACGAGGATCTTGGCATTGCGGTAGATACCCTGGTTCAGGACGAAGTCGGGGTTCTCGGTGCCATCGGCGTTGTAACGGAGCTCGTAGAAAGCCGCGGAGCCAAGACCAGTACGCTTGATGGTCTTGAGGAACTGCTTGGGAATAATGGCGTCGGTGTCGACGTTGGAGCGGTCGAGAGGAGCCGCAATACCCTTGAGGGTGAGGAACTTGGGGAGACCAGCACTGCTACCACCGCCAGCGGAGGAGTTGGTGTGGGGCTCGTTGTTAGCGGGCTGATCAAGGACACGATCGAGCTCGTCCTCGGTCATCGGGGAATCGTAGCTCTCGGGCTGGATTTCAACAGCGGGCTGGACCTTGGCGGCAACGGGGCTGGTAACAACGTGCTCGCGGACGTCGGCAAGCTTACCGACAATCGCAGCCACGGCGGCCATAGCGGGGGACATCAGGTGAGTGCGACCCTTGGCACCCTGGCGACCCTCGAAGTTACGGTTGGATGTACTGGCACAGCGCTCCTGAGGAGACAGAATGTCGGGGTTCATACCGAGACACATGGAGCAACCAGCCTCGCGCCACTCGAATCCAGCATCGGTGAAGATCTTGTCGAGACCCTCAGACTCGGCCTGCTGCTTGACGAGACCTGAACCGGGGACGATCATAGCACGCTTGATGTTGGCAGCAATCTTCTTGCCGCGGACGATCTTGGCGGCGGCACGCAGATCCTCAATACGAGAGTTGGTGCAGGATCCAATGAAGACCTTATCCACGGGAATTTCGGTCATGGGGGTACCAGAGGTGAGACCCATGTACTCCAGAGCACGGGTGCAAGCAAGCTTGCGGGCCGGGTCCTCGAAGTCATCGGGGCTGGGGACGACACCTGTGATGGGAACGACGTCCTGGGGAGAGGTACCCCAGGAAATGGTGGGGATGATATCCTTGCCATCGAGGAAGACGTCAATGTCGTACTTGGCATCAGGGTCGGACTTGAGAGTAGACCAGTAGGCGACGGCACGGTTCCACTCGGAGCTACCGTACTTGGGAGCAAGAGGACGGCCCTTGAGGTACTCGAAGGTAATCTCATCGGGCGCGATCATACCAGCACGAGCACCACCCTCAATAGACATGTTACAGATGGACATACGAGCCTCCATGCTGAGTTTGCGAATGACAGATCCGCAGAACTCAATGACGGCACCGGTACCACCAGCAGTTCCGATAACACCAATGATGTGGAGAACAACATCCTTGCTAGTGACACCAGCAGGAAGCTCGCCGTCAACCTGGACGCGCATGTTCTTGCTCTTGCGGGTCAGAAGGGTCTGAGTCGCGAGGACGTGCTCGACCTCACTGGTTCCGATACCGAAAGCCAGGGAGCCGAAGGCACCGTGGGTGGACGTGTGGGAGTCACCGCAGACAACGGTGGTACCGGGGAGAGTGAAACCCTGCTCGGGACCGATAACGTGAACGATACCCTGGCGCTTGTCGCTCATACCAAAGTAGGTAAGGCCGAAGTCCTTGACGTTCTCCTCGAGGGTAGTGCATTGCAGGCGGGAGTCGGTTTCTTGAATGAAGGTCTCTGCGCTTTTGAAATCTTTTCGGGAAGATGTGGGGATGTTCTATGCCGGTAAAATAAGAGTTAGAAACCGGGTGACTTGACAGAGAAGGGGTGAGAATATGGCTTTTGACGTACGTGGTCGACAGTCACCAAAGTGCAGTCGGGTCGGCGGACAGGGCGGCCGGCATTCTTGAGACCCTCAAAAGCCTGAGGGGAGGTCACCTCGTGCACAAGGTGCCGATCTATTCATCCCACAGTTAGACATCATTGTGACCATTCAAGGTGAAAAAAACAATCGGCATACCAATGTAGAGAAGGCAAGTGCCATCTTCTTGCTGGTTGACGATGTGGTCAGCGAAGACCTTGTCGTACAAGGTCCTCGGTCCTGTCTCAACTGAAGGCATTTTGAAAAATTTGTATATCAATTGGCCTGAATAGCAAGAGTTGCAGACTTATATTTTACAGCGACCGCGATGTCGCTGAGGAACAGCTCGAGGGGCAACGCCGACTTCGGTCGGTCAGCGGACAATCTTGGCAATTTTATTGGTTGAAATGGCGGATCACTGCGGGTCCGACATCGGCTTACTGAAAACTGCACTGGCGGCTACTGGCGCTTCTGGGCGGATCATCTTGCCCCCCATTGACTCATCTATAAGATATTCTAGAAAAGAAAAGAAAACCATCTAAGCAATTCAAGTTTGAAAAAATCAAGGCCATTATATATAAATACTATATCATTGACTTGAAACTGTTATCAGGCTATTTAACGTGCATTCCTTTCACCGACTCTACATGACGTAGATGACCGATTCCGGGGTTTCCAGAGTAATCGTGTAGGACTGATTGGCTACATCCGCCGGGGTCCGATCGGTCCCCGCCAAAATTCTCATGCAGAAGGAAAGTGGGGGGCAATCCTTTCAAGCTAGTACCGGTAACGGATTCCATGGGGTACGCGTATACATAAGTAAAAATATGCACGTGTTCTAGTTGAGAAAGACAGGAACAAACCGGTATTCCAATGTGAGAGGCATCTAGGCCCTTCCATCACTCACGTACTCTTTGCATAATCTGAATTCAACATAATGATATCTTCCACAAACTAAAAAAAAAGCGGGGAGTTGATGGATCATTTTGTATGCACTTGCACGTCAGTCACCCGTCTAGAGATGGATATTGATACATAGCCTGGAGCGATCTCTCCATGGAATTCCCAAATTCGTATTTCGAGATGTCAATGAATATCTAAAACTTGTCTAATTTATTCTTAAAGCCTTTTCATCCATAAAAACATAAACACATGAATCAAGGCAGAGCCTGCTTGGAACTCAAATCAACCACAATTCTCTTCCCAGAAGCCGTCCCACTCCGGAGAACATCCAATGCAGCATTGATACCTTCCAACCCACCCTCTGCCCGAACAATCTCTGGCAAAGTCAGGGTACCCGATTGCAGCAAATTCTCCAGCCAGGTAACCATGCTTTCACCCACAGCAGGGGCTGTGTGGAAGAGCTTAATAGGCACGGTATGGTATTTGATCCCAGATTTGCGCTCTTGTGGCAGACCAGTAAGCCCTAATAGATGGGCATTTCCTAATGGATCCAGTGTCTTTTCGAGTATCGTCGCTGTATCCTTGCCAACGATATCGATAGCATATCGTAGCTTACCGCCAGTGACTCCACGGATGATCTCCACTGCTCGATCCGTGTCGTGTCGATCCACTACTAGATCGGCTCCGAACTCTATAAGCTTGGCACCGTGTCGTGCAGCGTCTGCCACACAGATGACTCGAAGTCCGGCGAGCTTGGCTAGTTGGAGAGCGACAAGTCCAGTAGTTGTCGATGCTAAAGTACTGTCAATCTTTTGGTTAAATATATAATGGGGATTTTGGTGTCTCACCTCCCCAAATTGCAAGCCAGTCACCATTCTGAGGACGATCGGATTCATCAGACGTAGCGAAAACCTCGTCTCGAATATCGGCAGGAATATCATTCTTATTAAGTTGATTGATGACGTTCACCAAGTTGGGCCCTGGTGATCGTGTAAGACGGGAGAAGTCTAGACCAAATGACACACCCAGAGCTAATACTGCAGCAACAAAGGCCACGCCCAGGGATGCCGATGCATGAATAGAAGTTGAAGATGGAATACGAGCTGCGTTGAAGTCGGTGGCAATCGCGTATTCTTGGAAGGCTGCTTTTCTGATATCCCGGTAGTCTGTAGATGGTACGAGAACAATATCGCCTACACGAAGGCGGGAGGATTCATTAGGGACTTGAAGAACAAGGCCTGCCAAGTCGCGTCCGTTGATCCATGGCAAACTGGGGATACCAAAATTGTATGCTCTATATCATTGTAAGTAAATATCGAACTCGTGAAGGGGGTTGGCACATACGGCCCTTTCCAGTCAATAGGGTTCAGGCCGATCGCTAAAACCTGCCAGCGAATAGTCAGTACACTGCATTCTAAATGAAGTAGGCACAAATCACGGACCTTGACGAGAACCTCTCCTGGATGAAGGATAGAAGGAACGTGATGATCATCTACCAGGGTATACTGTTCTCGGGCCGCCTTGAGAAGCAGCACCCTCTGTTTTGCCTCCACGGGTTGAGGGGTATTGGGTATTGCGGGTTTTTGTTCCTCCGTATTTGTGTTGGGAGCAAGAGGCTGAGACTGAGCCTCAGAAAAAATATAACGATGAAAAGACGACCGCTTATTTTGCAGTCCTTCAAGTTGTAGACAGGTGGTGATGGACATGATGCTGGGTGCTACCAAAGCCATAATGTGAAACCAAAAGGAACCAGCAGACACAGATTCCAAACCAGCATCTATCTATACTTGATTTAGGATTACCAATACGGACCTACCTCTCGGGCGAGAGCTCTAGGCAACGCGCGCTCGCCATTTATAGAAGCGGGGTGATTGATATCAATGCTTACCAAAAGCACGCACATAGGATCGGGGCACGTCCGCCGAACTCTGTATACAAGATATGCGACAAAAGTGGGACATAATGAAAGATAATTGCTTACACTTGCTAGCATCCAGCCTATCCCAGGGTCCCGAGACAAGGTCAGGATGTTGTGCATTGCTCATGGCGGGGCCTGAATGACGTGATGACGAATCCTCGTTGGCCGTCCTGGGTGAGGGGAATGGTAGATTGAATTTAGTTCTATTTGACCTGTGAATCTCCCGTTTAGTACCCCATAATTAACACGCATGGTTGAAGACCGAGGTTGAGCTGACTGACAGTAACTACAAATCGAGAAAAATAAACGATGGATGAGGAAACTCGCATGATGAAATACGATAAGAAGATAAAGATGCATCGAACTGTGGCTGTGCCGATTACGATCGAGCACGACAGTGAAGGTGTTTTTTGGGCTCAAGTTGATGTGATCCGGGGATGCGATGACGAAAGATCTAATCTGTTTGGCTGTAGTTTTAGGAATGCATCTGGATTTCCGCCCTTCGCCTGTGCATTCTAGTTTATCAAATAAAGATTTTGATCAAATTAATGTTACTATTGATTTGAGAATATCAAATCATGGAAAATCTTAGAATTCTTGGCCTGTATAGTTCGGGCCAACCCAGGGTGATCTATGAATATTATTCTTGGTATAACATGTTGGTCAAGAAAATCAGATGTCTCAAAATCACACCTAATTATTGCCATTTTCCTCTCCAGTCCTTCGAATGTTAGTGATTGAATGTACTGTATTGATAAAACTTCACGAGCCAAAAGTCGAAGGCAATAACCGTATATGATCAACGGTGACGGATCAACATCCTTTGTGAGCACGTAATAATGACCAGAAACAACAACATTTCCTCAAATCCAATAGCGTATCATTTTCACGTCTTGTATGCTGCAGCGGGGGAATCTAACGGCAATTGTCGATGTTGCCATGCCGTCTCAAGATAATCATGTCTAATGTGGGGAAGCTTTGCCAGAAAGATATATAGCCTGGCCATCGGAGTGGGAACTTATTTAACTTGAATAAATATTTAAATTAAATAAGAACTCAGGGTCTGGTCTCCATGTAAGCCTTCCATTAACTGATAAATATTCTCTCATTATGGTAAGTGTGGAAAAAAGCGTGCCGCCGAAAGATGAGGAGATCAGCGATCCTTATGAATCACAGGCGAGGAATTCATATCCAGGTATGTCCAACTTCCCAACAATTTAAATTTCAAGCTAACCCTGCCTGAAAAGTGAAATGGTATCGCTCAACCTTCTACAATGCTCTCGTTTTGGGTCTTTGCAACCTCCTTGCCCCAGGCATATGGGGAGCGATGAACTCGCTAGGTGGGGGAGGCGAAGAGAAACCCTACCTTGTTAATGCAGCAAACGCTCTCACCTTCGGTCTCATGGTTGTATCCTGCTTTTTAGGTAGCGTTGTCGTTCGATTCATCGGCATCAAATGGACCTTGATCATTGGAACAATGGGCTATGCGCCATACGCAGCAGGGTTATACACAAACAATCGGTTCGGGGATTCGTGGCTCGTGATTCTGGGCGCCGCACTTTGCGGTATTTCAGCAGGCATCTTCTGGATGGCCGAAGCTGCAATCGCGCTTTCATACCCCGAGCCATATAACCAGGGACGGTTCTTAGGATTCTGGCTGAGTTTTCGCGTGGGGGGACAGATCCTGGGCGGCGCCATCAGTCTGGGTATCAATGCCAATCGTGCGACTGAAGGCAGCGTGTCGTACACCGTTTACATTATCTTCATTGCTCTGCAGGCTTTGGGTCCATTTGCAGGATTGCTTCTCAATTCGCCGTCTCGCGTGCAGAGAAAAGATGGGGTTCCTGTGCGACTTCAAGTGAATAACAGTATTGGGTTTGAGATTCAGCAGATGACAAAGCTGTTCTTCAATCGCAAATTCCTGTTGATCATTCCTTTTATCTGTCAGGCTGTTTATACCGAGGCTGTCATGTTTTCTTATGAGGACTTGTGGTTCACTGTGCGCTCGAGAGCTCTCGGTTCATTCTTGAGTGGTGTGGTTGCACTGATTGCAGGGAATCTCCTTGGGGCTTTCCTCGATAACAAATCCATATCACTCAAGACGCGGACGAGATCTGCATTTTTCTTTGTTGTTGGCTGGCAAGGGATCTGTTGGATCTGGGCAACAGTGAACGCGACGGAATTCCACAAGACAAACCCAGTGTACGACTGGGTTGATCCTGGATTTGGAAAGGCTTTTGCTCTCTTCCTATTTTGGGTTGCCGGTTTCCAACTCAACTATATGTATCTGTGGGTCCAAGAGGTCATTTTATTGGCAGTGTGGCTCTTGCTAACATGGGCAAAGATTCTTTTTGGTCGGTAACTTGGCTGATAACGATGAAGAAGTCGTGCGCATTGCTGGTTTGCTGCGTGGAACTGAGTCGGCCGCGCAAGCTGTCAGTGTAAGTTTTTCTTCCAGGCTAATCTTTCCAAGTTTTTCTTGTGTTCTCTTCAAATACTGACTTTGTATTCTTGTCACAGTATGGCCTAAGCAGTGTAGCTGTCATGGCTGCCGTGGGAAGCGTTTACCTCAACTTTGTTCTTTGGGCAATTGCGATTCTGCCTGCATGGCTCCTTGTTAAAGAAATTGGAAATCTGTTTGGGGATAAGAAGCTGGAAAGAGAAGCTCGAGTTTTACGTGAGCCATCTGATACTGAGTAATCGACGATCTCAAATCAGCAACTTTGTTCCACCCTTAGAGATTTACGGGAAAAGTGCCGAAAGGGAAATCGGCCTTTATATATACAGCTGCTGATAGATTGCACAGTTTAGACAATGGAAAAATATCTAACGTTTGAAAATCTTGGTAAATCTTTTTGAATAATGCCAGCGCCGATGGTCAATGATTATGTACATGAACAGGTTTTCGAGCTCGTTGTCTCTGTGGCTTACTTTTATTTATGGGTACAATTAGCTTAAACTATAGACTGTAATGGTCGGTTATCCGTGTTGAACACCAGCAAAGCCAGTCGATGTCGCACAAACAAGCCGAATAACCCACAGACAGTCTGAACGCCCACCATGTGCCATGCCAGGGTATCTTCCCTCATGGGTCCCATCCACACAAGCCAAAGGTTCAAAATAGTCAAGTTTGTCGATTCGACAATTTGGCCTTTCCCGTTCTTGACAACACGCACCAACCGCAGTGTGTGAAGGAGGTCCAAAGCCATCCCGACCAACGGGGACGGAGGAACTGTCCACTCGGTGACAGAGGTATCCAATAGCCCAGTTGCTGCGTTGAACTTTGGCAGTCGGTGGCGAGGGCAAGGGATTATATGGAACAATTGCGGCGTGGAATACAAAAAATTGAAAATCTGGGGTACGAACAACAAGAGTAGGGTCTTGCTGAAATGCCCAAGGATACCCACCACTGCAAAGACCATGCCCGCAAAGTAACAGTAGGTGTCACCCACGAACACCTTCGATGGGTACCAGTTGTGGCATAAAAGTGCGGCTGACACGCCGATAAATGGCAGCAGAAAGTAGATGGAGAACAGGTGTGAATCTGTAGCCGGATTCGGGTATGGCGTGATAGGTGCCAGGTACATGGCATCATTGAACAGGAGGAGAACTGCAATTACCAGCGACTGGGCAACCTCAATACCGTTGATTCCTGCCAGCATGTTGATTGAATTCGGGCAGAAGATCGCCACGGCTGCCATATACATGTAATACAGCCACCCGAGGTCAATGAAATCTCCGAGATATGCTTGCAGCGGGACTGGTACAACAACATGGGTGACCCCGAAGTCGACGAAGTAGACTATGAGCATGGGAATTGCCGAAAATGCTGGAATTAGGACCTTGTGTCGCCAGCGAATATCAAGCAGGTCGTCCCCGATCCCAAGGATCACAATGGATTGCAAAGATAGAAGACCTGACAGGTATGATGCGAGCTATGAAGCAGTAATTCCGTCAGTCAACTGCGAGTTTGCATTAATTTTTGTAACGAACCTTTCCATGAGGAAACCTGTGGAGATAACGGCCCATTTCAATGTGTTGGTCTTCAATCACAACGTCGCGATTTCCTCCACCTGAAGTTGCCGCCACAATGTCTTTGTAGAAAGCAAATGGAATAAATACGATGAGAGAAATCAAATAAACCACGGCGCATACAGCTCCCATGGTTTCTGGTCTGAACCGGAGTTAGCTTCTGATCATGACGCCACAGATCAGAAGTGGAGGGTATACTTACATTTCCGGTTTCCGTGGCTTGGCCATATCTTTTCCTTTCAAACCAGCCTTGATAAACACTGGTCCGAGCCATCGGATCATGCTAAAGGCGACGGCGAATGATATGCAGGCTAGTGCAATCGAGGCTATCAAGGGTGCGCCATCGCCCTGGAACGTGTTGACCAACACGCCGAGACCAGCTCCTGCAAGAAGCAACAGGCGCCACGTCTCCGCCCGAGAAAGAGTATTTGGATTGTGCATCTTGAGCGTCTGCTACACACACCGACTGATTGAGACACAATTCCTCTTAAAAGTCAACCAAAAGAATAAGAAGTGAACACCTTGAGCTTACGCAATCTGGCTCTAACGCGATAAGCTTATCAGTTCTGCTAGATTTATCTGACCGCCTCAGGGCGGCAGAGAACTGATGATCGCGGCCAAGTAAGGAAACCCGACACACCTTTGTTTCATGTCACGACATGCATATGTGTGAGTGAAGCGCATTATTGGCCCATTGTTCATTACCTCCGGCCGAAGTCAGTAAAATCAAAATAGCTGGTCCCAATGGGGGCTATGGAGCGCCCGGAGATAGCCGGTGGGTTTGCCGATTTCGATGCTGGCCACCGGGATCTGGTTACTGTCACCAAGTTCAACTTTTATGGCAATCGCATTGTCACAGCCTCTTCTGATCACCGCATGAAAGTTTGGGATCTGAAGGACGACCAGTGGCAATTGACCGACACCTGGCGTGCCCATGACGCGGAGATTCGTGATGTAAGACCTCCGCTTGTGTCGCGTAGAAACGCGCTCTAATATAATATTATAGGCAACATGGAACGGTCCATTCACAGGCCAACATATTGCAAGTGTCGGAGAAGACATGAAACTCAAGATCTGGCAGGAAGACGTCACACAATCACCCAATTCAGGTCGGCGATTTAGGTCTATCTTTCGCATGACCGCGCCCCAGCGTCATCCATTTGTATCGCTGGACTTTCGCAATATTGATCTAGAGTCATGGATGGCTGTGATCACCCGCGATGGCTACTTGATGGTCATGGAACCTGTCAGCCCAGATAGTTTGGCAGACTGGCAAACGCTCGACCAGTTTCGCGTATGCTCAGCACCCGAACGTGGAGAAGAAACAAGTTTCAAAGTCCAGTTTCACCATGACCCCACCGATATCACCCACTCCATACAACCGGACTCGGATCGCAAGAGTCTATCGCTAGTCGTTGCAGCAATGGACTCTGTCAAGGTCTACCGTACCGATGCCAGCCGACGTTTCTACCATGCCATTGAATTGAACGGACATGGCAGCTTGGTTAGAGATATTTCCTGGGCCAACGGTTCCGTACGAGGGTACGATCTCATCGCTAGTGGAGGCAAGGATGGTCTGGTGCGAATTTTCGAAGTTTATACGACACCCATCAATCAAGGCTCTCAAACACCTGGTTCCCGGAAGGCTGAAAGGCGGCAGCAGCAATCACCATCCGTACGCGCTACATCTCAGTCTGGAATTGGAAATGCTCTGGCAAACCATGATCCCGGGGCAGTGTCCAATCGACAAGCCAGTGGAGACTCACTGTTTCGGCATTCCTTCAAGCAAGTCGCCTGCTTAGATAGTAGGCATCTCGATGTGTGGCAGGTTGAATTTTCGTTCGCTGGTAAGCCTTCTTATTTCTCGGGGATACTGTGCATTCTAACTTTTTTCCCAGGTGATTCGTTGATATCTTCCGGGGATGACGGCGCGGTTCGATTCTGGAAAAAGTCACTAGCTGGAGAGTGGCTAGAATTCGCGGAGACCGACTTGGCATCTCCATAAACCTAATCTTGAATTATACATGATGGATGATCGAAAATTAATGATACCCTTGCACTTGTTTGATAGCATTGATGTATGTCCTCTGTCCAATATTAATTCTACTTGAGGCTTTCCAGAGACTTGCTAGGCGTGCACCTTTGATTGCCCTCACACGTCGAGTTCCAGGAGGGACATACTTTGTCTTTGAGCCGGGTACCTCATTGGAACATTACTCATTTTGAGTCAGGTACCTGCCCTTGTATGTACATTGGGTATTGTACCTACTTAATGGTTGCCTGTTTGGGTCTGTGATCTTGGGGCAGGGGCGACTTCCGATTCTATTTCTTGGAATCTACCCATGGGACCTCAAATCCGCCTCTATTTCTTGGAATCTACCCATGGGACCTCAAATCCGCCTCAAACTCAACCTCAACATCCTTGGCCCACGTTCGCTCTGGCTGTATTATTATTCTTTGAACGTTCGGAATGGCTATCGGACCGACCCTTGGCACCGGCCTGTTTCTCGCCGGCGGCCAGGCGTTGGCTGTCGGTGGACCAGCCTCACTGCTCATTTCATATACATTCTTATCACTGCTTGTCTACTTCATGGCCACTAGTGCCGCTGAAGTCGCGACCTATAAACCTTCTCGCCATGGCACGATTGTCACTCATGGTTTCCAATACATGGATAACAGTCTGGGATTCGCCACCGCCTGTGTACGCTGGTACACCATGGCCATGTTCGTCCCGTACGAGATCACAACAGCGATGGTCAACATCGCACTGTGGAATGCGGGCTCCAATATCGCCATGTGGCTCATATTGACCACTGTCCTCATTGTCGGTCTAAACTTCCTCCCCGATCGATCATTTAAGAGCTGCGAAACCTTATTTTATCGCATCAAAATCGGCACCTTGGCTTGTCTTCTCGTTCTTTCGCTGTCCATCGCCCTGGGAGGGACGACTGGTCATGGTCACTGGGGATTTCGATACTGGAAAAAGCCTGGGGCTATGCACGAGTACCTGGTACGCGGACCAGTGGGGAAATTCTTGGGCTTGTTGCAATGCATTCATCTCAGCACTACTGCCTTTACCTTTGCACCGGAGCTGATTGTACAACGAGCGGAGCAGAGAGAGGTCGTTGGCCAGCCCGAGACACCAGAAAGCTTCCAGCCTGCGGCAAAGTCCAACATTCCAAGGCGAGTGTTCGGGGACGTCTGTCAGACTGTGATTCCTTATATCCTGGCTTCCTTGGCCATGGGAGTCATGGCTCCGTACAATAATCCTCTTCTCACGAACAGCGGCGCTGGCGCAGGCATTTCTCCCTTCGTCATCGGTATAAACACCGCAAGAATCCGAATTCTTCCTGTTACTGCGACCCTTGCAATCTTTCTCTCCTCTGTCACTTCGGCTCAGTCATACCTGTACCTTGCATCTCGCTCGCTCTACGCCCTAGCAGACGCCGGTCACGCGCCCACGATGTTTAAGAACCGAAACAACTGGGGTGTTCCATGGGTGGCTGTCAGTTTTACAGCAACTTTCACCTGCCTGGCCTTTTTGTCTGTTGCCATACCAAGCTCGACCATGACAACCTACTTCATCCTCTCTGTGAACAGCTCTGGATACCTCTCCTGGGTGTTATCATGTCTCGTCTACCGTCGTTTTCGTGTGCAATTGCATGCAAACAGGATTACCGCCGCTTACCGTCATGCCATCCAACCTGTAGGCACATGCGTCGGGTTTGGGTTCTGCATCTTCCTTCTGCTGTGCAACGGATTGATCTCCGCTGTTTCAGGAAATCGCAATGGACCTCGAGTTGCCAGGATCGTGATGGCATATCTCAGTATTCCCCTGTTCGGAATTTTGTATCTCATTCATCGATTTGGAGATACTGTTCCACGCGCGGGCCCCAACCAGGCAGGCCATATTAAGGAGACACCTAGGGCTCCAGAAACCAGGTATTGCCCTCGACCAAGGCCCATACCACATGAGCGATCACTCCAACCACCGACCTCTATTGAGTTGGATCAAGTCTGGGTGATGGCCAGGGAGGCATGATCAATCTTGCACAGAGGTTCCAAGATTGTAGCATCACAATCCCGACATCCGAAATGGCTGGACATGCGGACCTATCCGTTTTTGTCCTTGTATTTTGCGTCTATTGTTAGTGTCTTGAGTCTGTTCTACTGTTTGTGAATAAATACATGCTACACTTTGGTTCTGCTGTCGCTTCCTCTGCATGTTGCATCAGTAAACCTAAATGTCTTTCTGTAGGTTTGGCTGTTCTCCTCCTAAGGTCGTTTAGACCCATATCTAAGCAGTTGAGACTGTGACTTTTATGTTGGTCTGCACTTTTTATACGTGATTTTATACGGTGAATTTCGTTGACATAATCGAGTCGATTTGAGCTCTTGTCATGTGCTTCAGCACTTGAACGTTTATCTCACTTTATTTCCTTCCCCTTCATCTTCTCAAATCCTCCCACCACTTTCCCTCGAGAATCGCATCAAAACTTCAAGTCGTTTCTCGTTATTTGGTTCTCTTTACATACTACAGTGCTCCGTACACGTCTTTGATATGCAGAATTTCTTTGCGATCATCTCGGGTTTTACCCCTGCGTCTCTCCCACCTACCTCAAAACTGGAATTTTCACGCTGTATCTGATCCAGAATCACCAAATTTCCAAATCCGCCAGGCAAAATCACAAATAGTGAAGGAATTTTCAGACCCAGCGGTGTGGTCGGGTAACATGTTCCCGCGTGCATGCCCTTAAGCGGTAACGAATAAGTTTCAATACAACTTTACTGATAAAACTAACGCTTTGATTAGCCCTTCTTGCGCCTACGTTCAATAGTGGCGAAAAATAACCGCCAAATTACCTGGGATTATAATATCGGGCTGCTCTCTCTCCCCCCTTTTCAGCCAAAGCCGGCAACTGAGACCTTTTTCCTTTGAGAGGATCTTCCTTTTATCATATTTTCATCTCGGAAAAAACCTCCGAAAACACTGTCAACTTGTCATACACCTTTTCCCATTTGCGGTGATCCTTTTTTTTCTCTCGCACATTCTACCCTGTGCCAGATGACTTTCCCCTCCCGAATCTGCGCCACGCTTTGCTGCCCCATCTTTAACGGATGATCGTCCAAGGCCAAATATTTCCCCCCCCCCCCCCATACCCACGTTCCAACGACTTATTCTCTATACCTTCTACCTTACACACATACCCGCCCCATTCCTACCTTATTTTCTTGTCCTTGCACATACATATCTTTATTCTCCCATGGACACCCTGACTTATCTAATCTCTCTCCCACTCCTTTTTTTCCCGATCTCCCCGTGTTTTATGGTTCCTTTGATCCATTTTGGTTCCGAGAGATCGGGTAAGGGATCGGGTAGGTGACTGGGCAAGGACAACCTTTTTTTTCTTCCCTTTTTATTCTTCTCTTCTAACTAAAGAATCCCCTTGACAGGCCACGCTGATCTTGTTCTCCAGCTCTTTTGCTCATGATGTTTGACCACAGATTGGGCTGCCTATCAAAAATTCCACCCACCTACGCCATATGCATGGGAATCTGTTATGTGCAGACAAAATTCTCTTTACCTACAAAGCTTGTTTCTTCATGAAGATCAAGATGATATACCGTCTGTTTCAAATATGTTCATTTGATGAACAACTAATGATAATCTAGATGCTAACCAATCTTCCCTCTACGGAGTAGAGTTCCTCTCTCCCCTTCCATGGTTTTCTGGACCAAGTCCCGTGATCTCTCCACCGCATTCAGTCCTTCCCGCCGCTAGGCTATATTCAGCTTAGCGTACTTACCGTGCGCACTAAAAAAATACACAGCAAAAGCAGGATCATGACAGTGATGTGACAGGATTTCAATACAATCTTGTACACTGGACACGGTTCAGCAGTACCAAGATTGGTTTCCCTCCTGTTTCCTACATGTTTCCCCCTCATTGATCCGGTTTTCCCTGCTGGTCGTTTTCGGGCTTCGAGCAACCAGCGCGCAACTTAAACGCTAATCCCCTTTCGCTGGCTCCTGGTTCGGGGCCTTTCGCTGCCTTAGGCCCGGCCCATCTCCTCCTTCCATCCAGATTCACAGATTCACCCTCTTTTTCTCTCCTTTTCTCTGCGCGTCCCTTTTCTTCCCTTCCCTCGGATCCCATTTCTCCATCTCTTTTGTCCGTCTCCTCCGCTCTTTCTCCATCAACATCTCTTCGCCCTATTCTCTTTTCCTCTGCGCGATTTCGTCGCCCTGAACCCTTTTCGCCTTCGACCTCTCCTCTTGAACCTCTTCAACCTCGCCCTCCAATACCTATCGCACCCACCCGACCGTGCATCTCGAATCGCCTCCTTACTTTCCACCTATCACCGGCCTCGTTCCCTCGATTTTGCACGTTCCCTGCCTTCCACCCTTCACAGGACACGGGTCAGTCGCATTCAACCAGGATTTTCCACCTCGTCCAGCCAGCCTCTGAACGGTCAAAATTGATACTTGAAGGTCTGTGAACTGCTGTGCTAGCCTCGCTGGTCTCGCAAGTTCACAGAACTGGAATTTTGTGTCTGATCACGCTGGTGTCTAGATTAACGCGTCCTGCATTGTTCAGACAAGACGCAAAGATTCACCTCCCAGGTGGTCGTTGACATGCTCGTTGACTAGGAACGGATCGGCCACGCCATCGTTCCACCTTTTCTCAATATCTTCTGACCTGAGAGGGGGTGATCTGTCGGACTATGACAGAAACCTCCTCCCTCGCCATCACGCACGCCACAACGGATCCGTACCCGGTCCCCGCTCCTCCAGGCTCTCCTGTCAATGGTGCACTTTCTGACTCGGGCGCGCCCGATGAAGAAGAACCCTACACCATCAAATGTATCTGTCAATTTAACGAAGATGACGGTAGCACGGTATTCTGCGAACGCTGTGAGACATGGCAGCATATTGTCTGCTACTATCCAGACAAGCGAGTACCGGATGTGCACAACTGCATCGAATGTGAGCCACGTCAGTTGGACAGCCGTCGCGCTGCCGACCGACAACGCCAACGACGGATCCGAGAACAGAGCGAGGACGGGGACCGAAGGAAACGATCCAGTGCGAAGGCGCCCAAGAAAAAACCCAAGGATGGCGACATGAATGGATACGTCCATCAACGCAGCGAGTCTGGCACGCGTGATCAACCTCCATCAAAGAAGCCGAAGACCTCCCATCGATCCTCTACCTCCGTCAGTGCACTCTCTGGGGCTCCTCATCTACCCACCCAGTCTCGCAAACGACGCTCTTCTACCTCTATTGCGCCCTCTCCCACGAAATCCTTCGGACCCTCTATCCCTCTCTATTCAAAAGAATTCCTACACCTCTACGACGCAGATGATGACCATGTAGACATGGACAGTAATCTATTTGTCAATGTGAGTCTGGTGGGGGAAACAGCTTCCTGGGTAAAGAACCCAGATGCCTTGGCGCGAGTCACCAATGGACGCCGAGCCGAAGACACATTTATGTGGTCTGACGCTGCTCTGGATCGCTCTCGCTGGCCCGCCCTCACCACTGATACTCTTACCGACCCCACCGTCACAGTTGGTAGCCGAAACCCCTCATGGAAAATCGTGAGAACTCAAGATGCTGTGCGGAAAGACGACGTTGTTGGAGAAATCACAGGCAAGGTTGGGATGTTTGACGACTATTGTCTTGATCCCAACAATAGGTGGTCTGAACTGCGTCACCCTGAACCTTTTGTTTTCTTTAGCTCTCATCTGCCACTCTATATCGATAGCCGATATGAAGGTAGTATGCTCCGCTACACACGTCGATCTTGTCGGCCAAATGTCACCATGAAGATCTTTATCACCAACGACGTCGAGTATCATTTCTGCTTTGTCGCCAAGGAAGATATCCCCGCAGGCTCGGAGATTACAATTATGTGGTATCTAGATGCGCAGCTGTCTGAGTCATCTAATGGCCTGGTCAAACAAGAATCAGGGGATAGTGCGACGGATGCTGCGGCCGTTTGCATTAGCAATACTCTCGCAAATTTTGGTGGATGTGCTTGTGAGCACCCACAAAACTGCTTGCTAGCCAACATCGACCGCCGGCGGCACCCAAAGTTACTTGAAACCCCAAAGCAGACCAATGGTAAGCGGAAGAAGCCCAAGACAAAGTCTGGTACATCTCCGCTGGATACGCGTCGCGGCTCGACCAGCCGTGCTGGAAGTGAAACCACAAAGCACATTGAAGAGGATGACGCAGTCGATAGTCGTTCCACCTCAGCGTCTGTGCGGAAGTCTCTTAGTCGTGACCTAAGTCCAACTGCGTCTAGCCAGGGCCTTGCAGGGCTTGGCATGTCTAGCCGTGAGCGTCGCAAGATTGCTGATGCAGAGAAACAGTTCCAGGCACTGGAAAATGATCAAAGAACCACTGCGCAAAAGAAAAAGAAACGCACCAGTGCTCTCTCTGCACAATCTCCCTCCACTATCGCAAACTCCTCTTCAACCAACACCACATCAACGCAAACTGGATATTTTGAATCACAACGTGAATTCAACAAGATGTCTAAAGCCGTGAATGAATCTCGGTCTCCCACTGCAGGCTTGTCACCGGGTTCTTTGCCGGTTCCTCGACACACATCGGGGTCGACTCCGGCCACTCGGACTCCAGTCACTCGACCCGTCCATCAGCGCAAAACATTTGTCGACACGGCAGTCCAGGTGGATACCATTGACCTTGGCTACTTCGCAAACCCTATTCGTACCAAGGGCCCCAACCGGTTTACCTGGGTCCCCCATCGAGTGCGGTTGATACGTCGATACGCTGAACAGTGTCGTGCTCGAAGAGAAGCGAGAGAAGAGCTTGAACGACAGCAATTGTCATCAGCTGGTTCTGATAGTGTGGGTCCTGCGGAATCAATGTCTCCTTTCACTCAGTCCCCTACCATTGCGCGGACAGACAAACTCGACATTGAGATGATGGACGCGGAGGTGGATACTTCTCAAGCCATGCCATCGGCTGGGGATGTGGAAATTCGGGGTGAATCTGTTGTCAGCCATGTCGATCAGGACCCAAGCAAGCCTCTAATTACCCCGCCATGGCCGTCAACTGTCGCCCACAACACCAGACTTCCGGGATCGACTACTCCCATCCATCGCGAAAATCTTCGTGTCTCCATGCCTCCACCTAGCATCCCCACCATCCCTCTTGCTGTTAGTCCTGGCTCGGCATCTACCGCTAGTCTTGCTTCTCCTTCCACCGCCGATGGGTCCTCTCCTCATTCTGCCCAAATGCCACTTGCGCCGACTCCGACGCCAGCCAAGAAGAAACTCAGTCTTGGCGATTACCTGAGCCGCCGGGGTACCTTGGCAACCCCAACATCGGAGAAGGCTCAAATTCAGGCCCTTGCTACTCCTGCGCAAAATTCCCCCCCACTCCGGGATCAGGACACGCAGCGAGTGCAGACGATGCACAGACTCCTTCCAGGCCATCATTGGACAACAAGGCTGAGCCATTGCAGTCCCCTGATGTATTGATGAAAGACGCCCCCGATTCGACCCAACCCCACGTCCCTTCCATCTCTTCGTGATATCCTCTTGCTCGCGCTCCCCTATTATCCTATTTTTTATCTCTTTCTCTTGCGCGTGGTAATAATGGTGCGGTCGATTCATGAAACCTCTTCGGAATTACGTTTCTTACGACTTCAAAAATCTTCTCTCGTGTAACTCTTTGACCCTTACAAGGGTGGCAACGGCGTTCGGACTGCGTGTCTGTGTGACGGGTTTTCTTTCTTTTTCTTTTCCGAATGGCGTATTTGGCGTGTCTAAGGAAATAGGAAGGTCGGTTATGGAAATACCAGGATTCGGGTTGGTTATGGCCTTCGGTGTGTCTTTTGAACAGCACAGCCGCTTATCTATGTATCTTTATGATCTTTCATACGATCTACCCAATTTCTTCTCTCCTTTGACATGGAGTTTCTATTCCATGGGCAGGATAGCTTGTATCAACAGTATTTTATCCAAACTTATTCAGAATTATCCAAAGCATTCTTGTGTAGCCGTGGTAAATATAGGCGATGCCTTGACAAGTCTAAGGCCTAGTGCAAATGTTAGCTCAAGTCTAACTTGTGTCATTGTCCCCTGTTACCATTCACTTGTCTATTTTGCATCTCATCCAAGCCCTGCAGATCATTGCTAAACATCTTGAAGGCAAACTCCACCTACCATATGCTTCAGATCGTAGAAGGTGGACTTTAGATCTGGGTCAAATGTTGTAGATCGAGTTATAACTGAACTATTTCTTTTGGTGTCTCCATTCTTGTTTACTTTAGTCACTTGCTGTTCTTGTTGAAGACTGGGAGAGTATTCTGGATAGTAAGGCAATTTGTTGATGTTTTGTCCTCAATAAAGTGGCTGTTAATGGAGTGAAGAAAGTAATCTTATGTTTACCTGCTTGACAGATAGCCAGTGAATAAAGTAAGGACATACTATGCTCTGCGCAACATTGCCTTCTGGTTTACCTTTCTACGTGATCAACGTTTTAGTTACCCAAGTTCAAGTCCTGTCCGTCCCCTAGCCCCTCTCAGCTCAATATTAATCAGATCTGAGCTAACTCGAGCTTCCTCGCAAGATCGACCAAGCATGCCAATCACGAAGCGCCGCCGCGTCTTATTCCTGGCCCTGGGTGTCAAAATAGAGTACACCGATATGTACGACGACCTCATATGCAAGATCAAACAAAAGACCATCCTCCAAGAGACCAACATCGCCCTTATGGCCATCGAAGACCTCGAAAGCCCCCTCCATGCGGTCTTCGTGAATAGCGAGGTCCTGACTCAGACATGCTACATACCCACCTGGAATGCCGTGATAAATTACGTCCAGAAAGGAGGAACAGCCATCTGCATCGGTGATTTCAGCAATACGAAAGAATGTCTCGAGAGTAGACCGGTGAGGAATCCCTTCTCGGCAGCTGGACTGCTTTGGAAATTCGATGAGAAGCATCACGCTACTGTCTATCTCAACAGGGAGTATATCCCATTATCTGAAAGTCGAGTGGAAGCTCTACCTCAATCGTATGATACCCATGCTGTGTTTCTGAGGAATGTCGATACTAAGGACGCATGGTATCGTCCCACTGAGGTGGATATCACCAATCTTGATGTTGTTGAAGCGGGACATGTAAACCCTTTCTCATTTTCGGTTGCGATGACAGAGGTCGGGGATGGGAAGCTTGGTTATGTGGGTGACATTGGTCCTGGGACACCGATTTCAGTGATCATGGCCATGACTGGGTTGGACTAAGTTGATCTTACCTTACGGAGCTTTAAGGGAAGCAGGTATCTGGACTGACTATTCTTTCGGGAATTTTTGTTAACATCAGTCATGAGTGATTTCCATGAAACAAGTTCATAGTTAATTGAAGATCACCTTTCCAATTTTTTAACTTTAGAAGTATCATGTAAGTCTTGATAGATTACAGCATGTATGACTCAAAAGATTCGACTTCGGGCGATCTCCGCTTCAGAAGTAACTTTCCCCCTCTTTCTTCCACTTAACTCTCAACTTCATCCGAGATGAGCAACTCAGTCAACGAGTCTATTTCCCTAGGAGAGATTTTATCTCGTCCCTCTGAAGACGATGGCTTGTCTTCACATGAGATCGAGCAACCCATGCTGGCCCAGCCCGATGGAGGGAAAGCCGCCTGGCTGATGCTGGCATCTTGCTGTCTCATTCAAGTCCCAGTTTGGGGTGTGCTTCAAGTAAAACACTTGAAATGAATGTTTGACTAACCCCAAATCTAGGATTCTCGAGTGTTTTTGGTGTTTTTCAGGAGTATTACTCCTCGAATGACGTACTACAGGGTAGCAAAGGAGACTTAGCGACTGTGGGAACTACATCAACGGTACGCGCATTTCCATTTTCGTTCATTGCCAAATCTGATAAATGAACAGGGACTTCTCTATCTACTCTCCCCAGTCATTTTCACGCTATTGACTCGGTACCCACGTCTACAAAAGTGGTGCGCCCCAACAGGACTACTTATCACAGTAATCGGCTCCTTGCTTTCTTCATTCTCTGAAAAAGTATGGCAACTCATTGCAACCCAAGGTGTGATATGTGCCATTGGCAATGGGCTACTGTTCAGTCCTTCTTCTCTGTATCTGGACCAATGGTTCATAAGGAGAAAAGGACTCGCTCTTGGAATCATGTGGGCCGCAAAAAGCATTACGGGCGTTGCTCTGCCGTTCGTTGCAAGTGCCTGCTTGAACAAGTTTGGCTCGAGTACGACTTTAAGAGCATGGACTATAACTACGGTATGAGCAAAGACTTGCACAGAATCACAATTATCTCAAAATCAGCTTGGTGAATCAAATACTAACAAGAATTAGTTAATCACAACATTACTCGCATTACCATTCATGAAGCCCCGAATTCCAGTGTCTCCATCGGCATCGGCCCGCCCTCTTGATCTCAGCTTCCTTAGGCTGGCTACATTTTGGATGCTACAAGTAGGAAACATCATTCAAAGCTTCGGCTATTTTCTACCCTCAACATACCTTCCCTCCTACTCGACAGGTACTATCGGTCTACCTGAGTTCATGGGCACATTGCTTGTATCTCTTTTCAACGCAACCTCTGTCTTTGGCGGTATCGGACTTGGGATTCTATGCGACCGATTCAACGTGGCAAATGTTCTTCTCCTGTCCTCTGTGGGATCTGCACTCTCGGTGCTGCTCTTCTGGGGCATGGCTTCGTCTGCAGATCCAGGCTCCCACACCGGGGTCGGTTTACTAACCATTTTTGCCATTTCGTATGGCTTTTTCGCTGGTGGGTTTAGCTCAACCTGGTCTGGTGTCATCACGCAGATTAAGCGTGAGTCCTCACCATCGCTGGAGACTGGACTGGTTTTTGGTCTTTTGGCTGGCGGGAGAGGCATTGGGAATGTTATCAGTGGGCCTTTGAGTACGGTTTTGATCCAAAAGGGTTCGTTGGGTCATGATGGTGCGACAGGATATGATACCCAGTATGGTACTTTGATTCTGTTTACGGGCATAACTGCACTTTTGGGAGCTTGGAGCTGGATGTGGCGGTATATGAGTCCTGCGGTGCGCTGTCTCGGCTGAGGGTAGTAGAGCAGATTTAGTGTAGGAGAGAAGTCGATAGGGTGCTTGATACCTGGAATGATTGAGGAGGGTGGGCATTGTTACATCTATCAATCCTCAAAACTATCTTAAATAGTGGACATTGAAGTCAGCGATGAACTATACAGGGCAGCAATCGAACTGGTGAGTAAATCACGTGAGCAACTCAGAGCTTCCACCGCGAAATCCAACCAGCCTCTACCAGTAAACCCCATCACAACCCAGCTTCTCCCAGGGCCTCGCACCCTCAATTCTCACAATGGCAGCGACCGATCCCTCACTACAAGACCCTCTTCTCTCGCTGCGCCGTGCCATTGCCTCGGACAGCCCCCCAACCCCGACAACCTCGTCCGAGCTTTCGAACGAACATGCGACAGAGGATCTAGCCCAGGCAACACACCTCTATTTCTCGCAGCCAATCCCACAAACCATTTCCCTCAGTACACCGACCCGCTTCACCCGCGTTGCATCCGGAGAAGTCGAATCCGCCGTCGACCTACGCAGCATCTTCTTCGCGTGGCAGAAGAAAGATGTCGCTATCCCAGAGTACATTGCCTCCGCACAGGAGCTGAACGAGGCGCTGAAACTGAAAGGCCCCGGGGAATCTGGGACCGTGGAGGAAGTTCAGAATCTCCCTTTCGTCGAGCGGTTGGACCTCATCACCTGGCTCGAGGGCGCTTCTGACGAAAGCGAATATATCAAGCCCTTGGAGGGCGCCGCGGCTGCGGCAGCTGCTGCAGCTGCTGCCGCCGCTGGTGCTGCTCAGGCTGAGGCCTCGGCTGGTATTGCATCGGGCGTGAAGGGTGGTGTTTCTACTGTGCCTAGTGGTGCTCCCGGGGCGACGCAGGCTGGAGCTCAGGGATCCCGCGCGCAGAAACCGATTGATCCCCGACTGCAGGAGATTTACAATGGGGAGCGCAAGACTGGAGATCGAAATACCGTGTTGAGAGGGATCAAGCCTACTGTGAGCGCTTTTCCTAACCGATCGCCAATGTATTGAGAAAGCACAACACTAACATTGTTAACTACAGGACTTTTCTCATGTCCGCAAGAGTGCTGAAGTTTTTCTTGACCGAAACCGCTCTCGTCCTGGTCAACCTACCAAGCCAGGCAGCAAGTCTATGATTCCCGCGCCCTCGGCAGGCCTCTCAATGCCCTCCTCGTCATCCTCACGCAAATCTAGCTCTCGGCCCGACCCCATCATCCTTCTCTCTCCCTCTGCTTCCTCTCTCATCCGCATGTCGAACATCAAATCCTTCCTGCAAGATGGTGTCTTCGTTCCACCCGACCACCCCACACTGTCCACATCCACTGAAGCCAACTTCATGGAACTCAAGCGTCCACTACGTCTCAAGTCGGATCCCTCCAATCCGAGCGCCGGAGCGAGCTCAGCCGGTAGCAGAGGTACCAAGCCTACCAAGTTCATTCTTGTGGATGGAACAACAAACTTCAAGCCGGAGTACTGGTCACGACTTGTAGCTGTGTTTACAACCGGTCAGACGTGGCAGTTCAAGTCGTATAAGTGGTCCTCTCCGCCGGAGCTGTTCAAGCATGCTACTGGTATTTATGTTGGTTGGAGGGGAGAGGACACTCCCTCTACTGTTAAAGGATGGGGACGTGGAGTGCAGAGTTTCTCTGTTGAGCGGTGGGATGAGAAAGGTGGTGTCCAAGGTGGTGGACGATGGAGGGACCGGGAAGTTGTAGAGGGAATCTGGACAGCCATTGAAGAGGGAATGAGGCTTCGTGGTTGGGGGTCGAAATGATATAACTGACCTCCTGTAGCTTCTTGACCTTTTGTTCTCTTGTCTGCTTTGATTCCCCTTTACTTACCCTTGCCTATTTTCTTTTCATACAAATGGAATTTAACGACGATCAATAGGGTGCGCGGTTCGTTGGCGTTGTTAGGTTGAGTTGAAGCCTTGCTTACTTTACATTTCACCCTACCTATAGAGACCATGTTCGAAGTAGGGCTGTACCATACGAATAGAATACTCCATTAAATTCGAGGATCTTATAGATCTAAAATTGACAAGCCAAGACTCCCAAAGGCCTAGACTAGACTAATGAAGTAGTATAACTCGTATAACATGTTTTCGGCCGAATGCATGTGGCAACTTGGCTAACGGAAGTGGCCCATGGTCGAAACTAGCATATAGGGTCCATGAAGATCTAGCCCAGGAACAAGCATGAATCTAGACTCATTACCCCAACTCTTATACGAGACCTAAGTCTTAAGTGGACAAATTAGGAAAGTGGTATACTGTTAAATGAGATCGTAATGTCAATTGCAATTCCGATGGGAATCGATAACATACGACATATACTAATTGACCAGAACTCACTCGCTGTGCCCAAATGAAATGCAGGTTGACAAAAAACAGGATATTCAAGAAAAATCAAAACCAATGCTCACGTCAATATGGGAGAGATCATGCATGCAATAAAGATAAGGAAAAAGGGGGGAAATAAGAATGAAAATGAAATGAAAATGAATAAGAAAAGAAGAAGAAAAATATGGAAATAAGGAATCATGCAGAGAACGCCGTCTGATGCTCAACAAAAACACAAGGCTTGCGTGCAGGAATCAACCACCCGTCTTTTGGTGTCGAATCTTTTTTTTGGGGTCTTTTTGGTCTTTCATTCTTCACCGACTTGGTATCGGATCGGGTAGAGGTGTTGAATGCATGAAATGCAAAGGAACTTTCATATAAAGTAGAAAGGTCCGAGAAAAATAGAAAAGCCATCCGAATATTACAAGTGGTGCCCAATTTCTGGCCTTCTCTATGACATGAGGCATCGATCATAACGTCTTTCATCTGGAGAGTGAAGAAAAAAAAAAGAAAAAGGAAAATCTCGTGACGGAGGGAAATTAGAACAGGGGAATTAACAGTCCTCTGTCAGGCGTTGAAAAGCCCAAGCTGCATAGCAAAAAGCGCAATGCAGAACGAAAGGTCTCGTGGTCGGAGGCGATCATTGGTGACATGGGAAAGGCGGAGGAATTTCCACCTCCTCTCTTTCTCTGGCTTTTCCCAGAAGGCGGCCATTGTCGCGGGTGTGATCCCCGCGTTGCAGTCGCACAATGTGACGGGAGCGGAGCCAACTCGATTGGTCGGGTATGGCACCTATGTAAGCCTGGGGTCGAGGCCAAACGGCGTTGAAGCTTGGCGATTAGAAGCCAACAGGGGTGGAGTGGGCGATTGAATCACGATGTGGCCGGTCGCGGGTCGCTGGCTTGTAGGAAACATCCACGCTGCCTCGCGGTAATTGTCATGTCCGCGCAGAACGGCTCATGGTGCGTTCCGGACCACCGGGGGTCGGTGAGTACGAACGAGACCCGCCGAAGATGTCGACGTCATGCTCCTGCAGGACAACGGAGTACTTGGGGTCACGAAGGAATTTCGGAACCGAGTCCTATAGAAGTTTAGTACAAGGATTCAAGTGATATGAAACGAGTTCAACTTACACTTGACATCAACTTGAAGACAGAGGTCTGAGCAAGTTCAAAAAGACTCACCACCTCTTGAAGGCTCTTGAACATGGATTCATCGTCTCCCACAGCCTTGGTCATACGGCTGGCCAGGCTGTTGCGTAGGGCGTGGTCAATGTTCAACTCGCAAGGGGATCCAGGAGCCAGGAACGCGTTGTACAAGCCTAAAAGGTTGTTAGAACTACCGCAGGTTAAACCATAGTTAGAATTTTACTCACCATAGGCAGCAGCCAAGGTTTCTCGGACCGAGTCCACCTTGCTGAAAACACCGGCCTTCTCGGCCTTGTGGTAGTTGGCAGTGAATTCGGACACATCGAGGTAGAACGATAGGTTCTCTTCACAGAGAGAGTAGCGCAGGAACTCGCGGAACAAAAGACGGAGGGCAGGGTCGCCAAGGATGTGGGTGAGGCGAGCGTTGTTGGAATCCCGAGGCATGCCACGGTTGTCGTAGGTAGTGTTGGCGCTGGCGTCACGGTTCTTGTCGCGGGCGATCCATCCACATACACGCTGGCCGCGCTCGGTGATGCAGTAAATGGAGTATTTGGATGGTTGGAACACGGCGTTGGAATCGGGGAAAGTCTTGTCGTCCTGGATCATGGTGATCAGACCATACTTGAGAAACAGCTCGGCAATCAAACAAGTCTCCCGGCGCTCAATGGTGGTAGAGCAATCCATCAACCAATCCACGGCTCCTTTGCCGGTGAATGTGTTGCCGTAGACCTTGCCATCCTGCAATTTCCGCTCCCGAGCCATCTTCACTCCCACCAGACCATTGGTGTAGTCACTTAATGAGTCGGAATCGGATGTGGAAATGCTGCTCTTGATGTTGGGGCCATCCTGGCCGGCGAATCGGCGAAAGATGACTTCAATGGTGGCGCGGTCATGCGACAATTTATCAGATTCAATGTCTCGCTCCAGGTTCACCAATTGCATAGTATTCCGCGGCGACTCCAACACATCCATGACGTGACGGGCGGTGATTCCGTTCCGCTGGCAGAAGCGCTGCAGGATGTTAATTCCCTTGGGGGTGAGCTGGAACAGGGCACCCTTGAGAGGGAAAACCGGTAAGGCCTTGCCATCTACAGACTCGATAAAACGGGCGTCGACGAATCGCTGACAAACAGAACGAGCCATTTCCTTGGCCATGGAGAAGGTAGTGGTGGTGGTGGTTGTGACGATGCGGGAGGGGTCCTTGGGGTCAGGCATGCGGTTCGATTGGGAGAACTTGAGCGAGCCCAAGTTGTTGATGGCCTCCTCCGAGGTAAAGGTGTGGTCATAACGGGTGAAACGAACCCGGTGGGTGTCCAGCTTCAAACTAACCATCAAGGTGGAGAACAAGTCCATGAAATCCTAAAGAAAGATGTCAGTTTCCGACCACTCTCTCTTCCCCTCTTTCTTGAAAATTGCCCCACTTACCTTGGTGAAAGGGCGCTCATCTTCGGTCATGCGCAACAACCTAGATGAAGTTTGGTGCATCGTGGGCGGTGCAGTTGGCACAGTGGCCTGAGTAAGACGGATCTCTTGGGACGGAATGCGCTGCAGAGTTAAGCGACGTTTATGAGATGAGTTCAGTTCGGTCAATGCCGGAGATTCTGAGCGCGCGAAATCCAGTGAGTTGAACTCTCCGTCTGACAATGGCGGGGTCAAGGGGTTGACGGTCGCGCTGAGTGTGGACAGTCTTGACAAACTGCTGGCGGATGGAGAAGATCGTAATGGGGTAGTTTGATTGATAGACTTAGCAAAGGCACTTGAAGTCCTAGAGGCTAAAGCTGCAAAGGAGCGACGATTGCGGCGGGAAATAGAACCGACGACTGACCCCGTAAAAGTATGCAGGGTAGGCGGATCAGTCGTTGGAGGTACAGTGACAGGGGAAGCGCGAGAAGGAGTAGTTATTACAGGATCAGAATCTCGGTAGTGGTTAATGGATAGAGTTGGCATTGAATGGGTTTTTGGGGGGGGGGGAAAGAATTTGGGTGAACCAGACTTCGGGAAGAGTGTGAAAAGTGGGTATAAGTCAAACAAGTGATACCCACGATCTTTGTACACTATGGCTAAAAGGGGGTGGTGTATGGTGGAGGGGGGATGGGGAATGGGCTAAAGTAGTGTAAGTAAAAGAAAAAAAAAAGAAGAAAATATGGTAACAAAATCCAGAAAAAGAGTACAAAAGAGCCAAAAAAACAATTTATGATTTAAATTGAATATTGAATTATTCACTCTAAAATAATTAAAAAATAAAATACAACTAAAAGCGGAAATGCAATAAAATGGAGAAAAAGAAAAAAGAAGAAAAAAAAAAGGACTAAAACCGTACAATGGTGGAACTCATAGTACTTTTGGAGGTTGGAGAAATAATTGAATACAGGGATTACGATGACAGGATTTTCTTTTCTTTCTTACTTTTCTCCCTTGATGGAATGTAAATCCAAAGCTTATTAGAAAAGACTTAGAAGAGAAATAAAATATAAGATAAAACAAATAGAAACATCTGAAAAAAAAAAAAAAAAAAAAAAAAAGGGAATTTGTGAAGAAACCAGCCTGTCATCCTTGACCCACTGCCCACGCGTGAGCCCGGAAAGAGTTTGGTGCGCTGCATCCAAACAACGTGGGCCAAGGGATTGCAATGAAGATCGGTGGGTTTGTTTTTGCAGGGTCTTCGTATTACTGTATTACATACCATTCAGGATAACCATACTAGTACTACTAATACTAGTTCTTAAAATAAAGGTCCCTTGCACGAATTGAATGTGGAATATACTGTACTAGTAGATTTGAGTATACTCCGTCCTTAAGATATTACATACTAGTAGTTTAGAATTTCCAATTCCCAATGATGGATATCAAACACTCTCCCAAGGTTCTAATACTGCTCCATCCTGTATTGGTATTACCATACACTGAAAGTTGGTCAAATCAGGGAAATCCCCCTACGCTACCAACATTCTTACCTGCTTGGGCATTAGTGTTACCTGATATAGCAAGTCCCCCCTATCGACAATCGAGCCAGTGATCTGACTCTTCAGCCTGCCATCCTTTCATTGGTCATTGATGGCGCCTTTCCTTGTTCCCTTCCCTCGGGCCCTAACTACTTCCTTCTTCTCTGTACAATCTCAAGCTTAACTAACCCCATTTCAATTCAAAGTGGATTCCTCTCGGCCCCCTGGACTGATCAGGCAATGATGTGTCTTTGCCAACTCACGGAAGCTTGAGCCCACGTGGAACAAATTCCCTACGCCCCTCCATGATTACTGTCAGGAACCTTATCGGTGTGGCAAAACCTCTCTCCATCATCGGGAAAAAAAAACCTCCTCGATCCGATCGTTATTGTTTTTTTCTCTGGTTCGGTCATCCTCCAATCGGGCTTCCACCGGAATATTCATTGGGTCATTGTTTCTCCCCGGATATGTTTAATCAATTGTTATGCGACCGTGATGACGAGAGGTTTAGGTCAGAAAAGAAAGAGGGGGCGTACATCACATGTTTCATCCTACGGGAAAATTATCGGATCGGAGCATTTGCTCCAAGAGTGGAGCCTAGCGCCACTGCGCTCATTGTACGAAGCATATCAATTTTTTGGTTTTATAATGTTCCTTTCTAGAGTGTTTGGGGGCTTCGAAACAACGTGGGTTTTGGCCCGCGTGGCGGAGCAATTCCTTCCACGACCTTTCCAGGCGCCTTCGCGCGCGAGGGCCCATGTGGTCCACGTGGACACACGTGGAGAAATAAGCTGCCTGAGCGCACAATGTACAGGTGAGAGTGGAGAGAGCCTCGCTTCATCCCACCCACTTTGACTTTGGTTCGGGGCCTTGCCAAGAGATGATTGGGTTGTGATCAAGGTGGAGCTGTTAGCCCCCGGCTCGGCGGTTCCTGGCGCGCAGGCTAAGGCTCATAAATGAAAAAGAGAAACAAACGAGAGCGCCAACAAACGGTTTGTTTCAGAGTTCTTACCTGATTAACGCTCCGATACCTGTTTTTAGCGACAAACCCCTGCATTCTCCTGGGCGCGTTTAAAGAAGGATTATGGCGCTTTGGCTCCTGATCCTGATCCTGATCCTGGACCTGAAATTTAGACGCACAGACTCTGAGCAAGGAACTGAACTGTCAAACCCTCATGCCAAGGATTGATTCGCATAGTCTAACAGTGATCTGTGGATGACCTTACTACAATTCATTTATTTGGCTATGCTCCACAGAAAAACGGAGGATTGCCGATCGCCGTGTAAACCGCTCATTCCAAGAACAGCCTTCTAGAAAAGAGGAATCAGCCTCAACACTCTTCCAAGGTTATTCATGATTCTCTGCATACCGCTGTTTCTCCCGCCTTGTACCGTGTCAGAACTCCACTCACTCGATCCGCCCCATGCGATCCAAGGAACCGGTAGCACAATTTCCAGGCTCCGATCCAAAATATCTTGTAAGATACGTCAGCGGCATCCTCAACGGGCGAGCTGTGCGAGATGACAGAGCTGGGCGCAATACAAAGATAAGGCTCAACCGAAATCGCAAATCAGCGTCACTGCACTCATCCGCAGCGACCCGGAGCCTTGTTTAAACATGGATGAGCTGCTTGGGACCTTATAGAAACCGGGGGTTCAAGTTTGCGCGTGAGCAGTGTTTACGTATTCGCGGGGTGAGTGAAAGTTAAATCTGACTGATATGAAATTAACTGGTCTATTATACGAACCCCGAGGGGGCCGATCCTATTTGATCGACTCTCCAAATGATTAATGAGGTGTTTCACATATGACACCTCGCAGTGAGATCTATCAACTACTAGAAAGTTCTCTAACCGCAAGCCACATGGCTAGGGATCTGTTATATCCGAATACACTGAGCATCTGTCCGTACGCCAACTCCTCCGTAGTCGAGCCGATCTTGTCGATCTATCAACATCCCTAGTCCCCTCGGTAACTAGTGCAAGGGGGCTGATAATCAATTTGGGGCCATCAGCCCTGTCATGACAACGGCAAAGTATGCCCCGATGCCACCCGATCGCCCCAAAATACCTGAGGCTCATTGCCAGAAAGCATAGAGCTCTGCATCTAGAGGCCATGACCTGATCCTTGGCTGACTCCACTCCGAATTCCGTACTCTATACGTGGAGGAGTCTCGGTGCTTTAGTCGTACTCCGCGTACGGAGTTAATTATATCCACAAAAGCACGTCGATTTCTCACAATATTTGCATGAGCCTGATATCACGATAGCCATGGATAACATTATATGATTCTAACACAAATCCAAACCTGCGGGGCTCGGAGGCTAGTGGAGAAAAACCTTGGATTTTAGAAATAGCTTGGTCACAATTACGGAGTACTATTTACTGTACTAGTTACTGTATTTGTCGCTTCAACCCGCCGCTGAACCATCATAACAATTAAAGTGGGCTTGACTCGAATGAATTGAACTGAATCGAAAAATGGAGTCGCACTGGGTAATGCTTACCGAGAAATCTCCATACCCTAAACTTAACTTCTTCGTTAGGCCCAATTTGCGGTCAGATCGCTGTTCAACGGTGAAGTCTCAACAGCTAAGGACCCCGATTTGGAGGGGGCAAGAGTCAGTAATCGGAGCAGCGAGGGGTATTATTGAGTCATTTATTATTTATTGTATTTTTGAGTGAACCATGGAAACTAGAATAAATCGGATACCACTTAGCCTGTATTGTCATTTTTGTACGTCACTGGAGAGTTACACCTCCTCCCCGGTCCAGATACTGTGTAATTTACTTATAATACGAACAATACTAGCATATTTTCGAGCGTTGGTAATATATGTATTATTTCTGTATTCTTACATGTAACCTAATCCCTGACCGCCACGCGACGCATGCAGCTTGCCCATTTGCGGTCTAGACGTGTTTGCGGCCCGTAGGAAAAGGTCAAAATAAAAATATTTTAATGCCGTGAGCTTCCCAAGAACAGGTTGGTCCAAAACATAAACTCGTGGTTCAATATCTTATCTGGGGTAAATTGAAAAATCGCGGCTGAATTCATCAAACCTTACGAGTCATGTCTCCTACTGGAATCGGCTAGAGTCGGGAGGGTCGATCGCTGACCAATAAAAATGAATTACATGATGGCGTTCAAAAGATAACTAGTTGATTATGAGCTATGAGAAGGAAGGGATAGAGTTTCTCACACTCCTGGAAGATGATCGTCGGTCGGGACTTGAATTCAAGTCTAATGCATCTCTTGCTTGGTCTAGATGCATATTTCCTTCTGTCTAGGTTTTTCTGGTCAAGATAGGGTATGTACTGGGTACACGAAGCTATCAAGGGTTCCGTATATCTGAGGAAGATATGGCGTCAAGGGTGGTACAAGGGACAAACATCTTTTTCCGATAGACCAGTCACAGGGGCTCGGTATCTCTCCCCTTGCCTTGGTACTCAACGGGTAACATTGCTCGACATGGACGCATGCACATCGTTGCGGAAGCCAGCGTGCAGCATGTCGCATGTCGCATGTCGGTTGTTCTGCCATGCATCGTGGCTCTTGGCTTTGGGTTTCAGACCATACTAGATACTGCATTTCTTGGCTGATTTGTTTCAAAGTTTGTTTTTATTTTGCTTTCAACATTGAAATATGATGTTTCGTTGTCATGAGCACTGTACAGGTTATACTTTGTTGCCAAGACCAGATCCTCACCTCCATCCAAGGTTCAGCTTCAATAGCAATATGTATAGTGGAGTCCGTAGATATTTGGAATACATTTTCTACTAGATTACGGGACTCAATGTTGTTTAAAAGTCAAAGTCAAACCTTGGAACTGGAACTAGACGTTTCAGGGGGTTCACATCCGGAGATAGGCAGAAGGATACATTGATAGTCAACAGGTCCGGGATTTGACTCAACAGGGAACAAGGGAATAGAAACAAATCAATTCGTCAACTCGTCTGACAAGAGGATTCATTTTAATATGATTTTTACCTTCCAGCCCTTTCCCAACCAAGACACGATGTGGGTACTCTTCCACGTGGAAAAGAGCCATCCCCTAGACCGACTTTGGTGAAGATCACAGATCACACACTTTCTTCCCGTATTCATGCCATGTGGCTTGCGCATTGGCGTCTATCTGAGTCAGTCGGTCAGCCGCAAGCGGTTGTTTCCGTCCCGAAAAATATTCTAGAAAGGGGCTCCAAGGTTTAGTGAGAAACGAAGGACCCGTACGCCGTATAAGGACTACAAAGAGCGGACTAGATATGAATTATATGATCATTTGGCATCCGTTTCAAGCCCCTGCCTGGGGCTGAGGTATATCATCTAATGCTAAGCTAGTATAAATACTAATTTAGTACTGTCATCAACTGCCGACCCTAAAGCTTTAAAGCTAGTCGGTCACCCCGAAGCTGAACATAACAATCCTTAAATCAAAAAAGGGGAGAATTCTTGGCAACCGGAGAAGATAACAAATACGGACGCAGATCAAGACGGTCTGTAAAATACAGGAAAAGAAAAAAACAAAAATACACTTCGGCCGAAGTGGGGACTCCACTCCCCATATTTACTGTTTTCAGACAAGAGCGAGCAAGATGGACCACGTCATAGACTTTCAAACCTTTCAAATAGATCACACTCTAATTACTGCAATATACTCCGAAGTGGAACATAATCCTGAATTAAGTACGGAGTAGAGAACTTAAGTTTGCAACCCAGACCTTACTTCTTGTCATCAGCTACTAATTACGGCCATTTTCGGCACTGGCGAAACTTCGGCGCTAGAACCCTTCCAGAAGCCTTCTAGAAGACGCTAAGAATTTCCCCTTCCCATGGTACATACGGGCTCCACATGATAGAAAGAGGAGATTGCTCCTTCGATCTTGTAACAGTACCAACGCTCGTGTTCGGTCAAATCGGATTACCGATCTGAAAACGGTCCTTCCCGTCACTTTTTTCTTTTTCTTTCTTTTCTTTTCTTTTCTTTCCCGTCGGTTCCTGAGACCCAAACTCTGGTGAAGCCTCAGAGTGGAGTGTTTTAGGCTAAACGGTGTGTAGAATTTTCTTCTCGGGCTTCACCGATATCTTTGAAAATTAAAGAAGTCCGCTTTATCGCCGAACTCCACCATTCCACCGAGAGCCACCTTTTCTCGTTCCACGTGGCTGATCGACGAAATCCAATGTGGAACTTACTGAAAGTTCAGTCCTGCAGCTAGTGGTGTCGGTCGACGATCGTGATTTCATCAATGACTTGCAGGCGCTGATCTTCCATGTGGCTCCATTTCATGTAGTCTTAGTAAAACCTCCGCGCCTTTTATTTTAATTTTATGGAATCAACATTGAACAAAATAAAAATTGTGTATGGTCATACATACTTCATGCCTTTTGTTCCTGATAACTATTGGACCCCGAAGACTTCGTGGACGGAGTTAATTAAGATTACCCTGCCGTGATATGGGGGCCAAACTACATTATTGACATGACGCCAACTCATTTTTCTTACTTTTGGGGCGTCCATAGGGTGCCATCGCTCAGGGCAACTTGTTTCCAAGCTTGCAAGCTTGTAGACCCGCGAAATGAAGTTCCATATTGTCTGCATAAACCATCACCCGTGGACTCCAGCTTCCAGTTACTCTGGAATATATACTCCATATGTCTATCATGACCCTCCTAGTTAGCTCTCACTTTATCATGTGTGATCACTGTGCCCTGATCGACTCTGACTCGCTGCTATTGCATGGTGGGGAAGACGAAAATGATGATGGCGATCAATAGAATAACGGAAATTATGTTACTCCGAATCTCCTCAAGCCCCAATGTGACCAGGAACTTGTTTGCACGTCCTCTTTGGAAACGTTGTGACTGTGACTCTTACCTCCGAGTGGTTTATGCAGGCCTAATATCCAGTTAAAGCTGATCTGCACTGAAAGCGGTCAACACACATTAGGCTACTGCACCTAGGAGTATAACCTCCACATAGGCTTGGAAACACGTTTCATCTGGGACTTTTACGTGCAGAAATCTATCTCCCAACACTCTCTCCAAATCCCGCAAATCCCGGAAATCCCGCTTACGTCGTTGCACCGGACTTTCTCCCGAATACTTGGGATTCCTCCATCCCTACTCGAATGCAATCCCAACTACCTCGGACAAGTCCCAGTCCAGTCTATTTTCCAAGGCCTGAAGCTAGGCTACCGACCGAATCCTGCAGACCAAATATTTGTATTCGTCTTCATGGCTAACCGGAAAAGACAAAGAAAAAGAAAAATCCAAACTGCAAGTGACTGCACCTGCAGCCACGTAGATGAATTTCCAACGGCCCCAATCCCTTCCCTTCCCCACCTTCCTCCGTACAACATAAAACTCGGGAGAATCCACTAACCACTCACATCCTTTCTTTGGTGGATCCCCATGAGCAAGCATGCGATAGCTGCAGTATTGTGGAGTCCTGCACCTCGACAAAAAACTGCTCACATGCACTGCATTTCCTCCAGATCAAATCACAGCAACGTGTCAAATCTACCCACCCCTGCACACGCGAGGCAGCATTTTGCAATTGCGTGACCAAGGATCGAGATCCATCCAGACGGGACGTAGTGTCCTTAGCGCAGTAACCATGGAGATAGATTCAACTAGCTTGAACCGCTGTGATCCTGCATACCTGCATGGCGTCGGTGAATCGAATCCCCCAGGATAGCACTAAAATAGCTCTTTTTTGAAACCAGTCGGTTGCACTTTTGAGGTTTATTGTACACCGCATATGCGGATAAATATACAAAAATGGAATGATCGGCTCGTCTACTCCGTGATCCTCCCGGCTTTCCTTGACTAAGTAATAAATAGCAGACCTTTTATTGGAACTGACATGTCACTTTTGACACATGGCGAGCTTGCAGGCCGCGTGCTCCCAGGGTTCATATCGGGGCCAATTATGCGTCGTTCTTATTGTGGCGAACTTGTAGCCGGGATTTCCTAACAGGGGTAATAGGAAGGAGTACCTAGGTAGATGATTTGCAAGTTCTACTAGTTTGTAGTTAGTTGTTCCTTCAATGCTGCTGTACCTCTCCGGTGTATGGATTTATATTTACTAAGGTACTTGGAATTGAACATATGAAATAAAAATTTATCAGGCTCTGCCAGTTGACGGTTTTACAAGTAAATCCGAATGGATGGTCAAATGCTTGTAGCCCTGGGCAAGTGTTCCATGTGCCTAAAATTAAGGAATAAACACAAACATCAGATATGTACTACCATGTGCCACATGTGCAGTATACCACAACATCCGAAGTGAAGCCGGGAAACTACTAGTACACCCGTGGCTGCCTACGCTCCAGCCATCAGAATCCAAATCCAATTACATCGAACCTCGAAATAGCGCTAATCCGCTCAGTCAGTCCCAGTCCTCAAAGCTCTTGGAATTCTGTACTCCGTGGCACGGCAAGATGCAGAACGCAAGGATAATGCTTGATCTCTCCCCGGGCTTTTCCTTCCTCCCCGGGCAAGTGATACACATCAAACCTGAGCCATCGGCTTCAACGTCGAATCGAATCTTGTAACATAGTGGACAGTAATGCACCGAAACAGACATCCTATCACATCACATCCTTTCTACTTTTATTCCCGGACACGGGAAACATGTAAATGAAGATCATCACCGCCACAACTCGGTTACCCATAACGTCTTAGCGTGAGAGACCATAGCTTCAGAAGGCGGGGTGGTGTGACGGGGTATCCCTTCTGATAGGTTCGTTTGCTGTGATATGTCATAATCAGGATTTAGGGGAAGTCTTCGATCAGATCGCCGTTGGATGTGAACTAGATTTTTGAGTTGCAGGGAGTCGAGGGTTCTACCTACTTATGTTCGAGAATAAAGGACCGCTAATACAGATCTAGGAAGCCGGATCGGGATTGTCATCGTCGTTGAAGGGTGGTATTTATTGTAGTACCGTAATCAAACAAAGGGAAGATCCTGAGTAGTAAAGGTGGAAACTGGTCACGACGCCATGTGTTTAGGCTTTTTGAGCGGAGTGCCGTTTTAGTGTGTTTGTGAAGAATGCTAATTTCGGTGGCGCTGTCACAAGACATGGACCTGGATTAATACTTCAATCTATTGGATAAGAGATAGAGTGTAGGTTAGGTGAATGTGATGTAATTGCTGTTCCAAGAGTGGGATCAACCATCTCTCCACCATTGGCCAAGAGAACTACTTGAACCAGCCATCTCGACTACTTCCTCGAAACTGATCTCCACACGGAACATCTGTCCATCGGCAGTGCCATTTCCTCCACCCACAGGCGTGACAAGTGCCCAATTAACCAACTTCTCCCAAGACTCGCGCGCCACGTCGCGGCCCCAAACTCGACCAGGTGTAGCTGCAGCACCGGATATGGAGGCGGATGTTTTGGCGGATGTGAGTAACCGCACGTATTCAGCATAGGCAGCTGGGAATGATAGTGCGAGTGGTGCGATGCTCTGGGACTGGGGACCGTCAAGCCCTGGGTCAAAAAGCGCTGCCAGACGGGTTGCGGCAAGTAGCAAGGCCAGTGGTAGCGATGAAGGGCTCGAGGATGAGGCTATAGATGCGGAGAATGGGAGGGGTGCAGGGTCTGCACATGAAAGAGATTGAGAGGTGAAACTCTTTGGGATCGGAATTTGCATGGCAGGCTTGTCGGCTGCTTGTGTGCTGAGGTTCAGTTCACTGATTGGCAGCAGTGCGCTCGTTAGAAAGTCCTTTACGGATTTGGTTTGGTTGTAGATTCGCTTGAGGTGGAATTGGAAGTCCTTGTCCTCCCACATGTGCTGAAGAAGATATTAGCTAATGTAAAGCTAAATTAAATGGTTTTTTTTGGGGCAATACCTTTAAATATACTTTCCAGCCATCTAGTAGAGTTTTCCAGCCTGTCGTTTCCAGAATAGCACGCTCAGAGCCAAGTGCTTCTGTAAGCTGTAGGGCTTCATTTTCATCGAGATCCAGACTTGCCATACAGATTTCCGAGAAAGTTTCATACGTTCTAGGAAGTGGAAGATATACATATCGGTGACTGAATCGACTCTTGACCCGTTTCTCCAGCATCTCAGTCACGTCAACTTTGGTGGTAAGTCCAAGCACCGCGATTGGTGCTTTTCGAGCCTGCGCAATATCGAACAGGTTGTAGAGCAAAGTCTGTCGGGGATGAGTGACGAATAGGTCGAACTCATCAAGAAGAATGATGATAGACTTGGCAGCCGTCACCCCGTTTTTGTTGGTAGAGGTCCCGAATAACTCCTCGGGGTGAGAGAGTAGAGCTAAGAGGGTTGCCATTGTATCGGCATAAGAGTTGATCTTAAGAGTGTCGTCCTCAGTGTTGGTCTCACGACCAAGCTGACGCCACATCTCTCGAAGAGCTAGACGGTCATCTGTGTGGAGAAAACCGTTCAGACGAACAACGTGGAAGTCATCCCCGTGATTCTTTGCAAGAGATGAAATGATCGTCTCGACCATCGCTGTCTTTCCCGAGCCCCGTGATCCCAGAAGAAGCATCGAGTTACCTTCACCAATGGTAACTGTCTGCTCAATCAAGTGGTTGACCTTGTTATATTCGCTTTCGACTCCCTTGAGTGGGATCTGTCGCTTGCCAGTAAGCTTCTCGAGAACGAAATTTGTAAGGACGCGGAGCTCTCTATCAAGTCCCTGGCAGAGATTCTGCACAGCTTCCACATACTCGGGAAGGGGCTCTGCCATCTCCACACTTTCCTCCACCGACTGGCCTTGGTGCAAGCCTTGTTGGAGCTGCAGCGCGAGAAGATCATCAAGGCCATCATTAAATGTCTCTGGTTCATCTGATTGATCCTCATTCACCACTCCAGCGCTGGTACCATTTGACTTGGGTTTGGCTGCCCGTCTCGATCTCGTCCTTGCAAGTGGCTTGGGCGATTTCTCATCAACGTCCATATCCACATCCTCCACAGACTTCTGTCTTGCCTTCGGGGTATTTCTTGCGCCACGTGTACTGCGAGTCGTGGCAGCCGCCCTCCGCGTCGAAGTCGGTGTCTGCTCCCCTTCGAATCGCTGGGGCGCTTTGCGCTGCCGCCCACTGGCCCGTATGCTCCTCGGAGTCTCTGCAGCCGGCGCATTGACTTCGCCATCCATTCTGAGTCCTTCGGGTACTTGTACACTTTTTCTTCGGGTCGATTGTCGTCGGGATGCCGTTGATCGGGGGCCACGGTATTCTTGGTCCTCTTCGGAGTCTGGTTCTGCATCAGAAGATGAGGGCACGGAGTAGACATCATCTTCTTCACTTCCCATGGCGACATCACCGTCTTCATCCTCGGAGACTCTTCTCCGCTTGGATACCCGGGGATCTCTCATGGTTGTAGCTGGCGTAGGTATAATTGATTCGAAGGAAGTATGCGACCGTTGAGTAAGGGGAAAAGACGACAGGAGTGCACTTGAATTGATTGCGATTGCTGGATCAATGTCAATTGAGATACTGCTCAAGGTTGCGTCTCAACCATGTCGTGCTGGGTCCGTTATAATTGGGAGCTCATTGGATTTTCGGCTGAGAAAGGTTCAATAGGAAGGCTTCGAAGGGGTTGCTGGGATGGCTAGGTGCACTGGCCTAGTTCGATTCCAGGTGCAAGGGGAGTATTGACAGTATTCGGCAACAAATCGCAGCCGTGTTTTACGCGCCTCAGGCCACCAACGCCTGTGTCCATGGTTCGATCATCGATATATATCACCAGGATTTTATTTGCATGTTAGCATAATAGTATTGAAACAAAAAGAAAAATCCGATATTATATAAGTCTCATCGCTAGTACGTTTCCATCATCATCTGGTCATTAGCTCAGGCATCAAGCTTTCTATTCATAGTAGGAACATCCTGATCTTGGATTCACAAGCACTACATGGAAATCCAAACCTTCAAAGCACCTGTAGATCCTTAATTCAGATCAATATGCAACGGGCGAAGGGGGTGAACATATTGGTCTCCCATACATATCAGGATAGAGACTGATAAAGCTTGGAAGGCTCCGTGGATTCATCCTGTTCCAGTTCCACTCTCCACTTACATGGAGTTTGACAACGCAAGCTGTTTCTGCAAGTTATATTCGTCAATCAGGGTCACTTGAGGTTCGTACTCTGTAAAAGAAACCCTGCTCTCACTCCTCTTATCGGTCTATCTGGATACATATATTTCTTACTGGGCGGGAAAACTAAACCGTGCTTCAACCTTGAAAGGTAATGTGTATTGAGTAGCGAGCCTGTACAGTACAATAAGGAAAAAGCGGGGACAACCAGAGCCTTAATGACATCTACGCTTGAACGTTATCATACTCAAGTGCTGCTCATGGGCCATTTCGCTCGAAACAAGCAGATTAAACTGAGATCAAACATTTCGATAGCAAACCTAAGAATCATATATCATAAATGGGTATATTTAGCTTACAGCAAATCTAGAAGTATAATCGAACTTCGATAGCTGCAGGCATCGAGCCAGTAGTCGTAGACTCGGATAGTTCCGCGGCCATAGCCTGGCCCCCTGGAATCCGCTGGACCACATCATCATCCAGCAGTACCTTCATATCATCTGGCTTGACATGGAACAGGCGAAGTCTCTGATCGGGACCAAAATTTTGCTTTTGAGAGATCTTCGCCGCCAGTTCTTCCACAGTGAGCTCGGATAGGTATACCGCAGTGTGGAAGTCATCCTGTGGTACGCCACTTTGCTGGAAGCGGAGATAAAAACATCGAGCTGGAGTGTCCTTAGCTGCCCTTGAATGCTCACTTGGCAAGTTGATTTTTGCACCAAGATCCATTGGTTCAACATCCCCAGTGGATAGCCCTGGTGAGCCACTTGTATTTGATGATGCAAGTTCAGAGGGGCCCTCGATACCATCAACACTGGAGAATTTAATCGATGCACCACTGCGGCTGTCCCACTCGAGACTCGCGCCGCCTTGCAGTTCATGTAGCTGAGGATCTGCCGAGTGATGCGAACTTCCCGAAGCGCTGATTGATGTTGATGGAGTCACAGTTTGGAAGTTAGGTTTCTTGACATTTTCAAGCACCTGCTCATTCTCAACTGGAAATAGATCCGGATCATCTTTCTGTTCTCCTGGGAGACAGAAGTTGCTCACAGGACGATTGGAGTAAAATATACTTTGCATTCTTGCCACCTCCGCATCCAAATTGGCTTGCAGTTCACTTTCAGAGAGATCATTACTCCTGAATGATAAGCGACTGTCCCGTTTTCGCTTTCCGAGGTTGACACTTCCAGACTTAGCAAAGTCGGCCTTGCGTTTTTCAATTGCCCGTTTCAGTTGTGAAACATCATTGAACATTTTCCGCTCAGCTCCGTGGTCGCGGAATAGCTTCACGTTGCAAAAGTTTAGCTCGGGAGGACCGGGCAGTGGCATGTCTGCCTCGGTCTTTGCACAGAGTCTGAGAGAGGCTCCTTTCACTCCCTTCGCAAGGCTAAAGTCAGTTGAGAGAAAGTTAAATCGGATACCCATCGTGCAGCTCGATGGCCCTGTAGCGGGGTTCGTGCACCATGTGACGCAGAACCCGTCTAGCGATGTTCTTTCTAGCTGGATGGGATAGCTTTGGTCTTTATTCTCTTGACACAGATCAATCATCTCGACTGCATGTATGCTGCCCCCCCGATGCATCTCATGGCCTCGAGCTTCCTTCCATAGCCTCCAGCATGCGGCAGGATTGGATGCCTGCTCAGGGTCTTCAAAGGACACGCGGATCGAGGTTCGATACGTTACCAATCCATCCGTCAGAAGCGGAGGCTGGGAATCGGTTATCGATAATGAGTACTTGTGACCTTTATTAAGATAGGTCACCGGAGCATCATTCGGATGATGGATCATCGCCGTTGGTGTATTCAGGTTCACCTGATATCTAAAGCTGTGGAATCGTTAGCTTGAACAAATAATAGTTTTGGTGGAAAACATACTCGGTCTGGCCGTGACGAGGAGACTTTTCGCTGCTTGTGACGCTTTTTTCCGGGAAAGAAAGGTGGAAGGCAGATTGTTCGTGATTGCCTAGATCAAGAGGTAGTTGCTCGCAGGGATCATCGACAAACGCATCGGTTAAGTCGGAGTGAACAAATGCGCTAGGTGGGTATGCAGTGCTCTGATTGCTCCAAGGTAGGCCTAGACCTTGAGGTTCTGCTGCGAAATATTGTGAATCGAGGGTCTGATAAGAGATGCCAGTTTTATTTCTATGCAGGGGCGTAACTGCAAATTGCTCAAGAAACGTTCTTGGCGTGAAAGGATTCGATTGCACGCTTGGCGTGTGTAGGTCTCCTGCCGGGCCGTGAAACACCCTGTCCAAGAGACTTGCATCCTGACTATTATAGGCTGGAGTTGCAGATGGTGTTGGAAGTGAAGTATCATCTAGGAATGGCGTGAATCGGAGGCCTGGGGTGTTCTGCGTAGCAAGACTGTTCACGTCGCCCTTGATCGAAATTCTGCATCGAGAATATATTAGCTGATGAGCATAGCTCGAGGAAGGGGAAGTCGTACGCGGGTGGATGATCGTATTTGACACTGGGCCGGACCACATCAGAGAAAGTCTCCTGAAATTTGTTGATGAGGCCCTGGTCGGGCTTTTTGAAGTTCGGTCTGGCGATACAATTAGCTTCGTATTGGAGAGCCGATAAAGAAGTATATACCTGTGGCCAAACATCTGTGATATGGTTAAAAAAGTAGAGAGGTTGAAGAAGTAAGATGTTGCATCATAGAGGGGTAGATTTAACGGTCACACGCTTATCTTTGATGCTCCGCACTATTAAGGGAAGAAAGCTACCGAACAAACCTTGGAATCAGCAGAAAGGATCCGCTTCAACTATGGCCACTGAGATTCATTGAAAATGGGCCCTGTGCATGACGACGAATCAAATCCATCAGTGGCGCACGCTTGGGTTTGATCGACCCAGCTTGCTCCACTGTGGCGGGGTATTCTTTCGAAACTTCTCGTCATGATTTCAAGGTACCAGATGCATATTTGCCATTGCATTGTCAACTTGTTATCTCCGCCCCAAAGCCCGGCTCCACCAAAATATGAGGGCGAACTACAAAGGTCAGTGATTACTCTTCGAGTTGATTTGTAACACAGCCCCGATCCACTACAGTATGGCCTTGTCATACAGTTCTTTCAAAGACGGCAGATAATAAACACCACACAAATAATGCCCAATCATGTTCAGTGCGGGCGCATCTGTGTTGATCAGCGTATGACGAGATTTTCTCTGACCCTGAGCCAATATGCTGAGGGAGCGATCAGCCCGTGCGAGGCTGCGAAGGGTATTATTCTAGAGCTTGACCATTGCTTAACTTGGCTTAGGACATTCAGATGGGAGATGACTACGTATTAGGAGTATATTTAGAAGATATTTTAGGTGTTCATTGGACGTGTCCGTAAAAGAAATACACTTCTAGTAAACTCAAAAGATGAACAATCTGAAACTTCAAGCTCGTGTATCCATCATGCTGACAGCAGCAGGCCGGTCAGGTAAGAAAACGATTTCATTGCCAATTATTCGTGCTTGACCTGCTCTGTAAAACTGTTACAGTGCCGCCCGATATTGCCTTCCATACCTGGAAACACAGAGTTGCTATTTGAAACCCTAATCACATGATACACTAAACCTACTGTGGATTTTGCGTAAATTACCAGTTTCGAATATACAAAGCAACGATACCGGATTTTGTACCTGTTTGTGTAGATACAGATCCTGGAGCCTGGATGACTAGAGGGCTTTATGCCAACCAAGTAAACTCAGCCACCGTTAGCAATCTGATAACTTCCCTCCTCCATCCCTCAGTTTCTTTACTGCATAGGGTTTGACGATGTCCTGGGTGTCCTACGGTGCAAGGAAGACCTTTGATGAAGGTTGCATAAGCCTCGTGTTTTTCCCCTAATCCCCTCTCTCTAAAGAATGTACCTCCTTCCTGTTCTGAACGATGAGGCTATATATAATTGAGTTATGAAGAGGAGGTTTGACACTCCTTGAGAAATAGTCTTGGAATAATCTGACTTGTTTCCTTTCTCCTACCTGATCGACAGGCTTCTGACTTGTAGTATCTTCTCACAAATTGTTTCCCGAAATATAATTTAACACAAATTTTCCTTATGGTAGTAGCTTTTTCTTTCAAGAAGCAATGTATAAGGTGTCGGATTTAGGTGGTTAGCATAAATCCTTGTGTGTGCACGAAGCGCTCGTACACGGTCGAGATCGTGCGATTCAACAAAGAATCCACGATTGTGGCAGATATCGTGCGATCTAGCAAAAGGCAAAAGATCCACGAATGTGGAAGATAACTTTATAACAGAAGAGTCAAAGGTGTTAAACTTGTTCAATTTAGCTATAGAAAACAGGCAGTATTTACATCTTTATGGAACAGGCAGAATATCATAGAAGAATCCGAAATAATCCAGGGGGCATACTAGAGTGTTAGGAAACTCGTTGCTTTTTCTATCAGATGTGATAGTTGATAATCGATATCGTAGCGGTCTACCGTGTATACAGCATTATCTAATCCGATAGGCGTAATCGTGCATGCGCATACAGATAGTCGTAAGCGCTAGTATTAAGAAAGATCTACTTGTAGGGTAGAAGGCCTGTTGATCAGGTAAGGATGGAAAGCACTAAGTCGGATTCGTGATAAGACTGTTTCTTGAGGAGTCTGAAACCTACTCCTCATAGCACCAATTTATATTTAGTCCTTTCCCGCGATATACGTAGTATAATAAGGATCAATAAGTGGATAAGACGCCTTAGCTGAAAAGGTTGTGTAACCAGTTGACATGGCCTGCATGCGGGGTTGCCCTTCAGCTACGCCACCGAGAGGGTGCCAATTGATCGTCGAAATATCACCACCTTAGCGGTGCCCTTCCCCCCCTTTTGGCCTGAGGCCTCGATCTACGACAAGATATCATGACAGCTAGGCGCCGACTGCACACAATCGCACACGCTAAGAGCGGGGTAATTATATGTATATATTAACATAAGATATAGTATTATATTATATATAGCCGCTCTGCTCCTCTCACTATCTATTTCTTAGACCTGGGAAGCTATCTTTTTATAGGAGCAATATCTTCTCGCGTTTTACCTTAAACATCTGCATAATATAGCACCGAGACAACTCTCCTGAAAGCTACGATTCCCTCAAAATAAACGATAGTGGTTATTATTTAGCTTCTGTGTCGGGAACAGAGAGACGCTATTTCAAACACTAGTCATATAAAGCGCTGATCCTAATATAGTTCCTATATTTGAAGTGCTAGTTACTAGTTTAGGACCCACATGTCCCCCCACATTTACAGACTATGAACCGACTATTCCGTATTTAGTCATCAATTGAATTGACTATTTAATCATTGATAACATCATTGGTCATTACGTGCCAAGTCTTCCCTGAAGCAATTTATTGTGTGCCTTTGCATAGGTTTATTAAGTGACTAAACTAGCTTTGTCATGCTTTAATAAAGGGGATTTTCCCTCTTTAAACGTTTGCCTAGTCTTACAGAAAATTATAAAAGCTCACATCTATCAACATTAGAAGCCGCTGAGGTTACAGTTGGTGTTAGCGACCCTTATTCATCTAAAATGTATTTCCCTCTAACCACTCTCTTTTCGTCCGTGCTCTTTGCCATTCTGGTTTCATCCCAGGTTGTCTCTCTCGACAAAAATGTCGAAGCGTGTAACGACATTCTTGGTATCCCGTCGGCGGTGGCGGTGCCCGGTGGTTTCTCTAATGTCGATTGTGACGAGGAGAACGTAAAGGAAGCCGCACAACTTATACAAGTTCCCGGGGCAGAGATTTTGGGGGTCACCGGGCAGGTGGTTGCCGGTGAGAAGTTTGTCTTCTTCGTGGTGAGTGTATTACGTGGCAGTTTTAACCAACAGTATACCAGTATGGCTAATATCAAATAAATAGGTTCAGGATGGAATAGTTCATAGAATCCCTATTTTGAGAGATCTTCACGGTACTCTTAAGATTTTAGAAGACGAAATCTGCCGTGTGAGTGATAATCTTCAATTCTATCCCCGCTTAGATTGATGTTCCTTCTACGATCTAGTGCTAATAGAGGTGTTAACTATAGGATGTGAGTGATCACTGTTATCTAGGTTTATTTTATTCTGATATGCTAACGAAAAGGAAAGGGTACTCCGCCATCTGAAAGTGTGCGAAATTGTCTCTATTAAAGTCCGCCTTTAACTATGTGAGACATGGCGCCATACTATCATCTTGAGGCCAACTATCAAGCTCTCATACCTAAGTAACGTGGAGCCACTGATTCAACGCCCTCTTTTCCGTGATGTCGATTTGTCCGCCTTGATATTGGGCCCCCTTTTTCTTGTAAGGCTTTCTGATATGGGAGAGAAGAGAAGGCCGACAAGCTGAGCTGAATCAGGCCGCTTTCCACAGAAGATATTTCCTGGTTGTAGGTACAATACTTTTTATTCAATCTGTTCTTGAGGGAGGGAAGCTGGCAGGTTGCCGACAGTCGCTTAATCTGCTGCGTTTTGTGTAGATCCTTCTATTCGGCCAGGCTTTCAGAGACTTGTATCCATACAGATAGGTACAAAATCCGGTATCGTTGCTATGTATATTCAAAACTGGTAATTTACGCAAAATCCATATTAGGTTTAGTGTATCATGTGATTAGGGTTGCAAATAGCAACTCCGTGTTTCCGGATATGGAAGGCAATATCGGGCGGCACTGTAGTATCCAGTGATAGAGACTTGTCCCATTCACTTACCCTTGTGGACGTCGGCCTTGATTTCGTGGGACTTCTCGTCCTCCTTGTCAACGACGGCATCCTTGACGGCAGTGGCACGAGTGCTCAGCTTGGCATCACCGTCCTTGGCGATATCCTTGTTAACCTCTTTGGAGGCCTCGGCGCCAGTACTCTGGACGCTCTCGGACACATACTTGGCGGCGTTCCATTTACAAGGTAAGCACGGACAAAGTGATGGGGCACGCGAATAAGCACGGTGAGGAACCTTGATGGTCTCCATTATTAAGAAGCTGGAAGGTTTGAAAGGTTTGAAAAGATGGGTTGTGGTAAAGTTGGATGGGTGGATGGTTGTGGTGAGATGGAAGAAGGAGAAGATGGAAGATGGAAGAGCGAGAAGAAGTTGTTATTTATTTCACTCGCCTCAGAAATCCCAAACATCACCACAACGTTATTACTCCAAGGTCAAACAGGCTACTTCAATGTCAGTAGCTCTACCAAAACTGAACCTATTCAATTGCAGGTATCGTCTTTCCAATTATGGGTTTTATAAAGCTTAAGTTCTTGATTGACTGGTCTCTTCAGAACAAGCCATTGCTTACTTTACGAGAACATTATCACAGAACTACTGTACCTGGATCCTCTACATTGGTTTTTATTGTTCTCTGCCTTGTATACTTGCATAGTCCCACTCCATTCATAATCGAGACAAGTATGAAGTAATATAGTGTAGGCTGAGTGCAGTAGCTTAATGGTTTACGCTTTCAGCAACATGGCCAGATGCATAGATTGGGCTAGGTCTACATCTTATGGAACGATGCTGCACGGGTTTGAATTTCTAATTAGTGATTCTTAATCGCTAAACATCTAGAATAAGTGAGCCTAGAACTATTAAGCCTAGAACTATTGAGCCTAGAACTATCATTATTATGAACTGTAAGCAAGCCACAAAATAAAATGATTATGGCGTTTGCCAACTCTGAATGTTTCGCTGCCAGCTGAAGACTAGCCCTGACATCCACGAACGACTCGAGGGTTTTGTCATGATCATTCGGGATCACAAGAGTTCCTCCTGGTGCATTCGGGAGGGTTCAACTTCGCTGCCGAGAACTGGAGGAATCTGATAACTATACCGTTTTAAGCCACAGACAAGTGCTCATACATACAACAGTCCGGCCATGACTTTGAGAGAGAATTATGCTATTTAGCCCATGGTAGGCATGGACTTTTCAGAATTCTGCTTGTGATTGGCTAAATACCAAAGTGTTCAATTGTAAAGCGGCGGCACTAGGCTGCCAAATCAGGAAAATCGGCCTAAAGTCCGGCATATAACCAACTAGTAAGTATCTACAGTATGAAAACTAGTACCTAAGAAGACGTAGAATGAAAGGCTGATAATTATAAATAAAATCAGCTAGCAATACCTAGTACTAGGTCAGCTAAGCAGTCAAGACTCGAAATCTACATTTAATCGGTGGAACGAGTCCGTATCTGATCCGAGCCGAGGTTCATGATGTCCCCGACCGAGCTACACCCGTTGATAACTACCTTGAGTCTCGCAACATTTTCTCATACATAGCCTGTACATTCCTTTTCATTCCACCCTTTCCAATCCTCTACACCCTCAATCCTCACATACGCACCCACATCATGTCCAATCACCAAATACTTCCGCCAGCGCGCGAAATGACCGAATTCGAGCAACACGTCTACGACTGTACACACATGATAGGAAAGAAAACCGGCGACATTGTTAGTGCACCCAATCGCCCCAAACATCTAATGCGAATACCACTAACAGCTCAACAGCGCTGGGACATCGACGCCCGAGAATGCAGCCTCCGCTTCGAATCCGCAACCCGCGGTCCACCCTCCAAAGTCGCATTCACTTTTACCATTACCCCTTCCCTTAGCAATACACTTGGAAGCTTGCACGGTGGGTGCGCAGCGACTTTGGTGGATATCTTGTCGACAGTGATCTTGTTAGGAGTCTCGTCGCCTGGGAAATTCGGGTTCGGTGGCGTGACTCGGAACCTGAGGTTGACCTATCTCCGACCTGTGCCGATTGGGACGGAGGCGAGGATTGTGTGTGAGATTGTCCATGTTGGGAAACGGTTGGCGCTCTTGCGGGCGGAGATTCAGAAGGCGGATACGGGGGATGTTTGTGTGGTTGGAGAGCATGAGAAGGCGAATACGGATCCGGAGGTTGATCTGAGGATTTGATATTTGCATTAGTGATGACTATTTTATATACTTGATACCCACCTACATGGTTTTGGGAACTACAATGGTAATAGATTTTACAGCATGTAGTGAAGAGAGACAGGTATATTTGCGCTTGCTACAACCTCCTGTTAATCTGACCGGATACTTGTGACCCGTGGAGGAAAACGAAGAAACAACGAATGACAAAGCACCAAACATGTCCAAGAGAATATAGCCATCCTAGCATCTAAGAGATAGATCATCTCATGGGAAGAATATCTTAATTTACTCCTGAGCAAGCTGTTGGTCCTCCCGGAGACCCTCAACCACCAACTCCTCGCCCACAGCACGGCGGTAGATGTCCCGCACGTCGACTAAAATAGATGTGTCAGTAAAGAAAATCAGACAAAATTGTACAGCGAGGTCCTTACTGTTTGTGGTCTCGAAGTGAGATGTGGCATCGTAGCTCTTGGAGATGAAGATGTTGTCACTGGTACCGTCCTCAAGAGGCTCGTACAGTGGGATCGGGGGCGCCTGGAACTTCTCTAGAATGGCACCCAGGCGCTCAAAGCCTGGCTCCAGCTCCATGTGGGGGTTTGCATCGTTCTCGGCGATGGTTGAAACGATGGCGATGTAGTAGCCCTTGGGGCAAACGTTGTGTGCAGAAGAGACCATGGCAATGTAGATATCTACTAAAATCAGTGAGAATTCTCAAGGCTTTGGAAGAGATGACTTACCGTGCTTGCGTCCGACCTGGGACTGAGGAATGATGAGCTGCAGCGAATCACTGCCGTCGGTCTTGTCAATGGGGTGGTTCAGGATGCAGATGGCCTTGAGCAGGTATCCGGTGGCGCGGACCTTGCCAGGGAAGTAGGAGGGGTCGGCAATAATCTTCTTTGTCTTGGTTTCGAATTTCATAACCTCTGCGTTCTCATCACGGTCCTTCATGGTGGCCTTGATACCGGAGACCTTGCCGCCCTCGTACAGCACCTCATCAATGTCGGTGTTCAACATGTAGGTACCACCGTAGATGGCCGAGAGACGAGCAAAGCCCTGAGGAAGCTCGCCCAAGCCGTAGAGAGGGTAAATGTATGGCGACTTTCCGTAGCGGGCCATGGAGTTAACGTAGAGACGAATGCGGTTGATAGCGTCGACAGCCACACCAGGCTGGTTGATGTAGTCATCCGAGGGGTACAAAGCCATGGAGTGACCAACAAAATCACGGGTGTTGTCCTCAAGGCTGAACTTGTCGTAGACGTCCTTCATGGTGACGGCGTGGATGTTCAGACCTAAACTAGAGTTAGCCGTCATACCCCGCATCAATGTTCACATCACATACCCTGGTGAGTCGCAGGATCTTCCTCCTTGAAGTCGCCAACCCACTCAAGGAACTTCTTGGCGCGGCGCTTCTCAAAGAGACCCATGAGAGACGAGCGCAGAGCCTCACCGGCATCCGAAGGCACCTTAGCCACGGTCGCCTTGGGACCCTTGCCTTGTTGAACATAGCTGCCGGCGATCTGCTTGAACTCCAGGTATCGGGTGACATCGGTGGAAACAAGAATGTTTGTCAACTCCCCATTGGCCATCAACAGCTTGGGCACCAGGTCAATGTTCCAGTCGTTGACTCGGCCGTACTTCTTCCAGGGCTCTTCGCCGGCGGGAACATTGCCGTACTTCTTGAACAACTGCGGAGACGGTTAGCAGACACATTTTCTCGATTCATTTGGCCGGCATACTGTTTCGATGTTGACGGAAGCTGCCTCTCTATAGCAATTGTTAGCTATCACCCAATAGTAGTGTTGCACGGAGCTTCGTTACGTACCCTCCATAGTGGTCGTTGCGGTCAATGTGGAGCACCTTGTTACCCTTGACACTCAGAACACTGGAGTAAAAAAGAAAGATTTAGCGATAATCGCAAGTCATGGTATGCTAGGTATATTCTAATTACGTACCCGGACAGAACACACTCCGTCAATCCTAGGTGGCCAGGTCAGTGTTTGGAGAAGAGGAATGGCGGGGTAGCAGTAACATACCAGTGCCGAGCACCACGACATCGTATTCAGGCGCGATCTCGTCCATGTTGGATATAGTGAGGGGATATTGGGGGTAAGATACAAAAGGGACGTTAGTATCCGGAGGCAAAAGAGGGAAGAAAGGTTTCTCCTGTCACCTTGTCCCCGCGGATCAACAGAAGCGGTAAGAAGAGAGACTATTTGACGGGGCCCGCCACTAGTGGCTTAGTTTACCTCACGAAGCAGAACAACTTCATAGAACACCCCCCTTTTCTTCATAAATGGACCTATGAGCATCTATCTCCTTAGATTCAGCCCCTGGATCTATATTTATCACCCCGCTCCAAGATCCCCCTGAGTGGAAGAGGATGAATGATTGCATTTGGTCTCATTTTGAGAATCACTCTAACCCGACTAGGAATCTCCAAGTACACATGGCTTCAAGTAAAGACCACCATCGTCAACCTCATTTTCAAGCTGCTTTTCAATTTGCCTTTCTTGATAATAATCTATGTGGTTATATTTATGCACTTTGTAGTATAACATACGTTAAAAAACACTTGAGGGTACCGGAGTGGGATACAGGTAGATACCCAGGCGCCCATCTGACTCGACCAAAAGTGTCTAAGACATGAATTATATATGCCTAGTCGAGTAAAACAGAGTGCACGTCTGCTAAAATACCAGACAAGCTTTCAAGATAGTATCGCGTTGTTGATATTTTACATTCCAAAAAACTATATAGAGAAAAACAATGATAGATCGACCAGAATATTGCTACAAATTCCAAACGGTTCTCAGCCCATTCTCAGAACTGTGATTGGAACAGATCTGCCTTAGGGCTTGGAGGTCTCAGGCTCGGACTCCATAACATCTTCGTACTCCGGGCGAGCTCCCTGCTCATACAGACGCTGTGCTTCCTCCCAAGCGTACCAGCGCTCACGCAACACATGTTTGATGCTCTTCATGGTAATGACGATCTAAAGCAGTGAATTGGTCAGCAAATAAAGTTCCGAAAATACACGGAGAGTATAATTGTTAAGGCCATCGAAGATAGCAACCCATGTAATGGGAGAACATGGGGTGCCAACGCAAACGCAGAGGGAACTTACAGCTCTGTCCCGGCTCTCAGATTCGTGTTCTCCATATCCAGCCTTCAGGCGCATTCTCTCCAGATTCGAGGTAGCGATACGGTTGCGCTCTTTGATGCAGACCCACCAAAGTCTGTGAAGGTCGTCCCAGCTCTTGTCGCGGAGTTCGGTAACAGCCCATGGGCGACCTGGATGGGAAGTTAGCGATTGTCTGGTAGATAGAATAGATATATATTAGAGGGTCATTTCACGCACCGTGGGCTTGATCGAAATCTGGTTCACTCATTGCCTCACGCGATGGAGGGAAGAATCCCCAAAGTCCATGGTCGGGGTTTTTGCTTCGGGGAGGCAAGGAATCAGCTGCCACAGGTTTCGGCAATGGGTACTTGGAAACACCAAGCTTGAATCGTGGACCGGTACGGTGAATAGCTGATACACCGCGAGTTCGGTTCAAGTCGCGTCCTCGGCCAGCGGCAACGGGAGTAGTCGTGGAGAAGCTCGAGGATTGGGTGGATCGAGTCATCGAGAAATGGAGGGAGGGTGCCAGATATGGCGGGGGCAATTCAGCCAGGGCAAGGCCCCCATATTTGGCCAATTGAGCGATGGCTGGCCGATGCATGGTGTTGGATTTGACTTCGACTACAGGGGAAATGTAAGAAGGGCAGATGCTTTTTTTCGGACTCAACGGGCGGTCACGTGCGCAACCACTCCAAAGTGACGCTTTCCTTTCAGTCAAGATGAAACGTTTATTTTCATTTGTTCGCCAAAGACAGCTTGAATATCATCGCCTCTTATTCTCCTGAAAACTAGCTTCAAAAAGTCGTCATACCCGACAAGAAATTCTGGCTTAGAGTACATTGAGACTGCCTTTGCTCCTCACGGCATCCGCGCGCCTAATTTACCCAATCGATTCGCTCCACCTCCAAGCGGAGCAGTGCCGCATCAAGTTGGAGAGGCCTTTCATGGACTGCCATCCCTCCACAGATTCTGCTTCGGGTTGATATTCTACGGATTCTGACCACAAAACGAGTTTCCGGAAGTTTCTGTTCTGGGATCGCATCTTTCAGCTCTGTACTCGAGGCCTCAGTTATGAATCGACCAGGTTCGTCAGTTTCTTTTACCCTTCCCTCGTCCATTGGCCTTTCCCCGCTATAGAGAAAAAAAATGCCCTGTCACCTCACCAGGCCTTCCCTCTCGGAATTGAACCCTATGAAATTGATATTTACTCGCCTGTATGGAACGATGTCAAAGTTCTATACTGCAGTAAAGTGCCTCCATATGCGACCGAGACATTTTCGCAAGGATCTCTGAATACATTCTTGGGCTGAGCCGAAGCATGAACACTCGCGCTTTGAGATTGTGTAGATCTCGCTAACTCCTTGTTTTCTTGTGCTAGGATCTGGTCCACAGCCTCTACGAGGCATGTCCGGATTCCCCGCGCCGCAGCAAGCACAGGCCCGAAACACAACATTGGCGTCTGCACGACTGCCGAACGGAAAATTGGGTACGTCGTCTTCGGGTTCGATATGGATTGGGTTGTTAGAAGTCGGAGCGGGTGGATGCTAATACGTGGGGTGCTGATCTAGGTGGCGCAGCGAATTGGAACTTCAATCTGCCTATGAGCGGAACTCCCACTCTACAAACCAACCAACAACGAAATATGGGAACTATGGGTAGCTTTGCGCAGAGCTTGACCGGTTCTCAACCAGCAACACCGTTAGATCTTTCGTGAGTGAATTCTTGATTGGATCCATCCTCGAGTGACTTCTTGTGCATGATTATCGAGGAACTGACAGTGATTGTTTCTTTCAGCGAATTTCCTTCCCTTTCAGGTGCACCCCAACAGTCACAATCTCAGAACCCCGGGCAACTTGTTTGGGCCAACGCAAGCCAGCGAGCTGCGCAGCACACTCCTGTTCAGAGACAGCAGCACCTTCCTACTTCTCAACCCCCTTCTCGAACCTCCCAGACCCAACCGCATCCCGTACAACAGCCTTCGCAAGCACCTCACGATGACATTTTCCCCTCCGGCGCCCAATTTGCCAATCGACTGGATGACTTCAGGAATGGTGGACAGGGTATCAGTAGCCAGCTAGGCGCCGGCAGCCAGCCTCAGACGGGTAACATTGACGAATTCCCTCCGTTGGGTCGCAATGTTGCAGCTGAGATCGGCCAAGACAGTCGAAGCTCATTGATGCAGAATACTGCGTTTGGAAGCTATAACACCAGTATGTAATGGTGTTTCCCGTTATGGTGCGGGAGAAATGGATAAAAAAATGAATCGCTGACCCCAATATGTAGGCATTGGAACATCACGGTCGCCTGCCAATCAAGGACCCAATGGAGTTTTGGGGCAGGAGAAGGAGGTAGGTAGATCGGGCGATCGTCTTTCCCAGGCCCCGCACTCACCGACACCACAGGACCCTAACAACACCCTGATGTCGAGTCAACGCAACTTTAGCGACCCGCAACAATTGCAGCAAAGGCAGCAACAGGCCAACGAAGGGCAGGATGCTTCAGTGGTCGCAAATACCAGAAGTGCAGAACAACTACCTCTCGCGCAGATGAGTGAGCTGGACCGATTCGGCTTGGCCGGCCTATTGCGCATGATCCATAGCGAGAGCCCTGACGTGGCCGGACTCGCTGTTGGTCAAGATCTGATGACCCTTGGCCTGGACTTGAATCAGCCTGAGTATGCGCGCCCGCTGTTTGAAATCCATTGATGGCCCTAGCTAATAAATCTCGCGTACCTTAGACCTCTCCACTCCTCCTTTGCAACTCCATTTCCGACAGCTGCTATGTCGGTCGTACCGCTCGAACAGGACTTCTCCCTTCCCTCTTGCTACAACGTTGCGAACATACAAGCCCTCCAATCTCGAATCCCTGGTTTCAGCGACGAGACCCTGTTCTACATCTTCTACAGTATGCCCCGAGATATCATGCAGGAGCTGGTGGCAGAGGAGTTGATGGGCCGCAAGTGGCGGTACCACAAGCTCGAGCGCTGCTGGCTGACCCGCGATGAAACATATCCTGGCCCAGTAGATGTGGAACGGGGAGTGAGCGAACGTGGCGTCTATCTCCTGTGGGACCCTGCCACCTGGAAGAAGATTCGAGTGGGTCTTACCAATCAACATACACAACCAGACGCGCTGACTTCGTCGCAGCGAGATTTCATCCTTCGATATGAGGATCTGGATAACCGACTGGATTCCAACCGGGCAATCAGTCGTGGTGTTAGCCAGACACATCATGCTTCATAAATTGGTATTGGTACGGCTCGGCTCAGTCCTTTGTTCAATCGGCAAATGGCGTTTGGCTGTCTGTTTTCTGTAATGTTGCTCTACGGGTGGCCAATAGTACAGTGTCTTGCGGGACATGGGCGTGTTGATTTACCGGGGAAACTAAATGGACTATATGGGAAACCAAGCCACGATACTATTCGAACGGCCTTTATGACCTTGTCAGATTTGTATTAACCAATGTTCTCGATTCAGATTCTGTTCAAGCTGTGTTTATATCTCTAGCTTCAAGAAGTACAATCTGCTGGCTTCTGCGCCGTCGACAAGATCGCTACCCACTCCCCAGGCACCTCCCCGTCCTCTCCGTAGACACTAGCTAGATACTTCTCTAGCGCTGGTTGAACATTATTCTTGTTCTCCTCTCGCATCTCCTTTGACCAGAAGGTTTCTATCATCAGTGGCATCATGAACATGACCATCTCCACAAACTCAGCCACTGAGAGGGAGTTGTGTCTTGTGACAGCCTTGACCTTGATGTCATGAAAGCCTCGGTCTCTGAGCTGGCATTCTATCCATGTCACGGAGTTCCATTGGCCGTTACCTAACATACCCAGGAACTCCTCAGCCGTCGGCCATGGCAAATTGTTGGGCATTGTTGCAATAGCCTCTCCGGCAGCCGATATCCAGCCCGCTGAATGGTCATTGTTAGTTTTCAGTCCCTTGATATCCTCAACGGTATTGCTATAGTAACAACAACTTGACTTACGCTGAATCCAAGTGGCAAAGGCAATAGTTCCCCCCGGTTGCAAGATTCGGATGGATTCTGTAACCAGCGTTGTTAGATCCTATCGAATTCGATGGAAGTGAACAACTTACCATCCAAGGCAGCCAAGCCTCGGGGAAGGCCCATGTAAGCTAACAGTTGACAGAATATGTAAGTTACAATTCATGAAGACACCAATAATGAGGTATAAGCATACCGAAAGCCGTGAAGACATACGAATAATGTTCAGATGGCAGCTTGGTATCTTGCGCATCAACAGTCTTCACCTCGGTATTAAGCCATCTTTCGCTCTCCATGCGGCGCCTGGTATACTCCAACATTCCATCTGATAGGTCGCCGCATGTCAATTGCCATTTGGCCTTGACTTGGTCGTCCAGCTCGTGTTGAAGGATACTGGAGATGACTCCAGTACCGCAAGCGTTGTCAAGAACCACGAATGGACGGTCTCTGAGGGACTTCGAGTTGGCTATAATGCCACTCTGATTAATTAGCAGTTGAGCAAATTGGCCGGTTGCTCTTTCGCCGAGTCTGTAGGCTTTGATGAATTTATCGTCGTTGAAGATGATGCTCATGTCTGGAGTTTGTCGGGCCATGTTGTGATTGTATAGATGGATTTTGGACGTAAGTATTTGATGATTTTCTAGGACTTCTTTCTTTGAAGAGGTTTTTTTTTCAAAATGAAGTTCATGTTCTTTGTTCTTTAAGGCTGGTCCTTTTATATGTTGGAAGGACTGGCCAGTGATGGACTTGTCACTGATTTCTATTCGTCGAAGTAAGTACAGAATTTAAAAGTGCCCGAGAATGTCTCCGCAGCTTGTTGAGCTAGAAAATTTGGACCTAAACACACGTAAGACGCGATACATGATTGTATCATTGGACCGTCCATCTGCCTTGGCTCGTTCCTTCGTGAGTACCTTCGGAAGAGAGTGATTGAATTGGATATACTGTTTGATTGTGGGGTCAAGACTCATCAGGGTACCTATTTTCTCCAAGTAGTAGTGCTAGTAATGTATGAGATAAGACAATAAGCGGAGCTTAACAGACTCGGAGACTTTCAAGAAAGTGTCCGTATAGATATTAACGTGACTGATGTTGATTATGGTCCGTTGTAACTAGATTATGCTTACATAATCCAGACAGCGCTAGTGCAAAACGGGCAAACCATAAACACCTGATTTGCGGGCAAAACAACACTCGCGCCCCTCTTCATCTCTCCCGACCTTAGATGTACTCCGCCTAGCGAGCCGACTCGCTGTCGCAACCATGAGGATCACAGAAATTGTGATTGACGTACGTTTTCAATCTTTCAATTTCCTGCGCTTGGCTAATTTATGTGCTGTAGGGCTTCAAATCGTACGCTGTGCGTACGGTTATCTCGGGATGGTGCGCAACAAAAGCGAAGACATGGGCGCAATGACGATAAGCTAACATTATAACCAGGGATGAATCATTTAACTCCATTACTGGTCTAAACGGTAGTGGCAAATCCAACATTCTCGATGCCATTTGTTTTGTTCTCGGTATCACCAACATGTCCACCGTCCGAGCGCAAAACCTCCAAGATCTCATCTACAAGCGCGGTCAGGCCGGTGTAACCAAGGCCAGCGTTACTATTGTCTTTGACAATCGCGATACCTCCAAATCCCCGATCGGTTTCGAAGAGTACGCACAAATCTCCGTCACCCGCCAGATCGTGCTGGGCGGCACCAGCAAATACTTGATCAACGGCCACCGTGCGCAGCAACAGACCGTCCAGAACCTGTTCCAGAGTGTCCAGTTGAATATCAACAATCCCAACTTCCTGATCATGCAGGGTCGCATCACCAAGGTGTTGAACATGAAGGCAGTCGAGATTCTGTCGATGATTGAGGAAGCGGCCGGTACACGAATGTTCGAGGATCGACGAGAGAAGGCGATTAAGACAATGGCGAAGAAAGAATTGAAGCTGCGTGAGATCGAGGAACTTCTGAAGGAAGAGATTGAGCCCAAGTTGGAGAAGCTCCGGGCGGAGAAGCGTGCATTCCTTGACTTTCAACAAACACAGAATGACTTGGAACGTTTGACCCGACTTGTTGTGGCTCATGACTACCTGCGTGGGGGAGAACGGCTGCGCGTCGCGGGAGAGGAGTGTGATAACAAAAGGGAAATGGTTCAGGCATTGGAAGAGAATGCAACCAGGCTGAAGGGCGAGATTGCTCACCTGGAAGAGGACGTTAAGCGGGTCCGGTCCGCCCGTGACAAGGAGCTTCGGAAAGGCGGCAAGTTCCAAGGTCTCGAAAACGAGGTCAAGAGCCACTCACATGAGCTGGTCCGGTTGACGACCGTTTTTGATCTGAAGAATTCCAGTATGGAGGAAGAAAAGGAAAAGCGCCAGGCGATGCAAAAGTCTGTCGGTGACCTTGAGAAGGCCCTAAAGGAAAAGCGGAAAATCTACGAGAAACTGCAGGCCAAGTATGATTCCGCTAAAGCTGAACTTGATGCGCAGAATGTCGAGGTTGAACAAAAGGAGGAACTGCTTCAAACATTGCAGACTGGTGTCGCATCGAAGGAAGGACAGGAGAGTGGTTACCAGGGACAACTACAAGATGCTCGAAACCGAGCTAGCAATGCCTCTACAGAGCAAGAACAGGGGAAGCTCAAGATTGCCCACCTCGAGAAGAGAATCAAAGAGGAGGAACCGCGTGCAAAGAAGGCCAAAGAGCAAAACCAAGGTCTTCTGAAAGACCTGGAGGGTCTGAAGGCCCAAGCAAAGAAGCTGGAGTCAGAGCTCACTCGTCTGGGATTTGAGCCCGGTAAAGAAGACCAGATCTATCAAGAACAGTCAGAACTGCAGCGCGATATCCGAGATCTCCGCCAACGGGCCGATGGTCTACGACGAAAGGCGGCAAACATTGATTTCAACTACGCCGATCCCCACCCCAACTTCGATCGTTCAAAGGTCAAAGGCTTGGTGGCTCAACTCTTCACACTGAACAAGGATCAGGTTCCGGCTGCAACAGCTCTCGAGATCTGTGCCGGTGGCCGTCTTTACAACGTTGTGGTTGATTCCGCGGAGACTGGTACCCAGCTGCTCCAAAAAGGCAAGCTGCGGAAGCGCGTGACCATCATTCCATTGAACAAGATCTCGGCATTCAAGGCCTCCGCAGAGAAGATTGGCGCTGCTCAGAACCTTGCCCCGGGCAAGGTGGATCTTGCGCTGTCTTTAATTGGATATGACGAGGACGTCCTTGCAGCGATGAACTATGTCTTCGGTAACACACTCATCTGCAATGACGCCGATACAGCCAAAAAGGTCACATTTGATCCTGCTGTACGGATGAAGAGTGTCACTCTTGAAGGCGATGTCTACGACCCTTCCGGTACCCTGTCTGGTGGAAGTGCCCCTAACTCCAGTGGCGTGCTTGTAACCCTACAGAAGCTCAATGAGATCACCAAAGAGCTGAGGAGCAAGGAGCGCCAGCTTGCTACCCTGGAAGACAACATGAACAAAGAACGGAAGAAGCTTGATGCTGTTCGATCAATCAAGCAAGATCTAGATCTCAAGACCCACGAGATCAAACTTACCGAGGAGCAAATCAACAGCAACTCTTCTTCTTCGATTATCCAAGCTGTCGAAGAGATGAAAGCAAATATCGAACAGCTGAAGAACGATATCGCAAATGCCAAGACTCGGCAAGCCGAGGCATCAAAGGACATTAAGCGCATCGAGAAGGATATGAGTGAGTTCAGTAACAATAAGGATAGCAAGCTTGAAGAACTTCAGACTTCGCTCAATGCTCTGAAGAAGAGCCTCACCAAGAATTCCGCTTCCGTAAAGGAGCTCCAGAAGGAACTCCAGTCGTCTCGTCTGGACTCTGAACAAGCTGGAAGTGATCTTTCAGCGGCGGAAGAGCAGTTGGCCGAATCAGAAAGCACACTGAAGGCCCAGGCTGAAGAGATATATTCTTTGCAGCGGGAACAGGCACGACTCAAGGATGCCCATGATATTGCCCAAGCACATCTTGAGGATGAGAGAGCCAAGTTGACTGGGTTTGATGAAGAACTCCGCGACCTTGATGAGACAATCAAAAGCAAGTCATCGCAGATCACTGAAGAGGGCCTGGAAATGCAGAAACTGGGACATCAACTCGAGAAACTCCAGAAAGACCAACATTCCGCCTCTCAGGCTGTCGCTCATATGGAGCAAGAGCATGAGTGGATTGCGGATGAGAAGGAGCAGTTTGGTCGCGCGAATACACCATACAACTTCCAGAACCAGAACATCGCCGAGTGCAAGTCGACACTGCGCAACTTGACCGAGCGTTCCCAGGGCATGAAGAAGAAGATCAACCCGAAGGTCATGAACATGATCGACAGCGTTGAGAAAAAGGAGGCTGCTCTCAAGAACATGATGCGTACAGTCATTCGAGACAAGAGCAAGATCGAGGAAACTATCCTTAACCTCAATGAGTACAAGAAGGAGGCGCTCCACAAGACCTGGGTCAAGGTCAATGGTGACTTTGGACAAATCTTCAACGAGCTTCTGCCGGGTAGCTTTGCCAAGTTGGACCCGCCTGAGGGCAAGGATATCACAGACGGCCTGGAGGTCAAGGTGTCTCTAGGCAAGGTCTGGAAGCAGAGCTTGACAGAATTGAGTGGTGGTCAAAGGTATGTTCTACAGCCACGGGTCTTTTTACAACTATGTGACTAACTTTTGATTAGGTCTCTTATCGCCTTGTCCCTGATCATGGCCCTCTTGCAATTCAAGCCTGCTCCCATGTACATCCTCGACGAGGTCGACGCCGCGTTGGATCTATCGCACACACAAAACATCGGTCGACTAATCAAGACTCGTTTCAAAGGGTCCCAGTTCGTGGTGGTCTCCTTGAAAGACGGCATGTTCCAGAACGCCAACCGTATTTTCCGCACCCGGTTCAGCGAGGGTACCAGTATCGTTCAGGCACTGACCCCCGCCGATATGAAATAGACATCATGAAGATGTGTTTATTATTGGTCAATTTTGTCTTTTTTGTGTTTGTCTAGCCCGGTACGAAGCATTTACTATTTCAGCTCATTGGTCTGCGTCCGCTGGTGTTATATGGTTTCAAGTGTTTTTGGTCTGGCTTCTTGGTTGGGAAGGGATATTGGTTCATGATCCATGCATGATGAAGATTTGTTTTTCTTGCACAAGACTTTAGTTCTCTTGAGAGGCGAATTTAGATTCAAGTGAATTCCTGTAAACTACTATTAGTCATTTCTTGATGTTATTAAGGTAGACTACCACGGAAGCATAACTCAATCGAGTAGAGTACAGCGCTAGGGAGTATGTACACCCATTTTATTTCCGTTCAGACAGGTGTATGCATAGTAAACTTAATAACGCCTAAGCAATGATTGTATATGTACTTCATGTATATTATCTCAGCATAAAGTCAAGTATGAAGCATACGATCAACTTGAAAGCACATTGTTGTTCCTCTCGGCCCGTTGATATACATCCCGAGGTCGGCCAATCCACATGACCTCCTGCCCAACCCGGAATCACTCCGCCTTCGCCCGCACTGCCTTACCTCAACCAGACATCCTACAGGGCGCACATCGCTCACGGCACAATGCACGACGATGAGCCATCGCTCAATATCCCCTCGCTCTTAACATTAGCTGTCGTATCCTACTTCGTCATTCGATGGTTCTTTAACCGCGATGAGGGTTCCAGCGGAGGCCGGCCCCGCGGCCGTGGCAACGTTGTTGACCCAGCCCAAGTCGAACAGATCGCTCAGATGTTCCCTCAACTCAGCACTCGGGATATAATGTGGGACTTGCAGCGCAACGGTGGCAGCGTTGCGGCGACAACAGAGCGAATCTTGGCCGGGCGCGGGCTGGAAACGGTATGTCTTGCGATGCTCCCACGTTATCCTGATCTAGCCCATCTGGCATATGTCGGGAATGCTTACTGTTCTGTGATTACTAACTGTTTAATATTTAGCCACCTCCATCATTCCAACCCCAGGTCGTAATGCCCCGCGTACATGCTCCAGTCCAGGCTACGTCAACCGCGACAGCTTCCAAGGCGGATGCACAGGATTTGATCTCTCGGTACAACCTTAGCACGAAAATCGCCGCTGCAAGCGCAGAAGCCCAGCCGCCCAGCTCAGCGAGTGCTTGGTCACAGAACAAAGAAGAGCGCCAGCGTCTGCTTCAGAAGCGCCGGGACGAGATGATCCTGGCGGCGCGAAGGAAGATGATGGAGAAGGGCAAGGGCCCGGCCCAATAAGTTAAAACTTCATCCTGTTAAATAATTGCACCATCTCGATTTCGGATTCTGGTTTCTCGAACCTCAGCACCAAAACCCCACAACCCCGTTTCTCGTTGGATGTCTTTCCCACTCACTGCGTGCGGATGTCCTCCCACTTTCGTTTTGTATTAGAGCGTTTCGCATGCTGTATGGTGTTAGGTAAATTGGAATAGCTTGGTTTGAATCGCTGGTTTATCATGAGACCAGGACGGGTATATCAGTCTATATACAATGAATATTCGTTCGGGGGCATTGATCCACGTCACATATGCACCATAAACGCCAAAAGAGAAAATCAGATCACCCAAAACCCCATGCAATGGTTAAAACTCCATGTAATCTTCCTCCTCGTCTTGGGTCCCGTCGTACCCGCCATTTGCGCGCTGCTCGGCCAATTGTTCGCGCCTCGCTTGCTCTTTTGACGCACCGATTTTACTGGTCTGCAGTTAGAATAGAGTTCATCATAACGTTCAAGCAGACTGCGCGTAGTTTCATACCGGAGATTATCGACCACGCCGACCAGAAATCCACGTTCTTCGCCCAATTCCATCGCCCCAACGCCAGTTAGCGCAACTCCGCCTCCGCCAGTGGCAGCTGCATCTAAAACATCCACACCAGATCTCATCTTCGCCATGCGCACCTCTCGCAAGTCTTTCAATAACCGTCGGATTTGATCCGGGTCTACCAGGTCGTCACTCGCGACATCAAGTAGCATATTCCCGACCTCGATCCAATGAAACGGCAGCGAAGGGACCTCCCCTGCGGAAGTTCTCGCTTGGGCGGTATTATGTAGCAGGAATGGCGGCGCAGCAAAATACTTCTCCCCATCTGGCGTGTATTGTGGTCGAGCGATGGGCTGCTGACCGTGTTCGTGGATCCCGGGCTGGCCTGGTAGTGGGGGTGGAGGCGAGAAAGCATTTTTATAGTCTTGGTGTTGTGATTCGACTTCGAGGATCAGACTTAATGGTTCTGGATGTAGCCATGAAGGGGGTAAAATGTTGGCACGACGTTGACGTTTTAAAAGAAGCGCCAACCAGAGGGGTATGGAGGCGCGACGGGGTGGAGCGAGAGGTTCGATAGGGCCCTGGGCAAGTCAATTGGTGATCCTTGAGATTCGAAGCCTAAACTGTCAATTTACACTTACTCCTAGTAATTCCAGACCCTCCAGACGCTGACGAGGCACGATGGTCACCATCTCCATCTCTGCCAGAAAGGCGATCTCCGAGGGCGTAATGCCCTGTGGGAGAGGGAAAGCCATGAGTGCAAGTGCGTCACGATAAAGAAGTAGACGCCGTACGCGTAGTAACAGCCAATCGACAATTTTCCAGGCGGCCACGCCGTCAATGCATGTTCTTGTTGCGGGACCGAATCGCGTCTCGATTTAAGTGTTTGGTGTGTTTGCATGGAGGAGGTAGCTTTCTCGTTTACGTAGCTCTTTTCCTTCAATCCCACCGAACTTCAGCGATTCGAGCTTACTGTCTGTTCTCTAAGCTTCAAGCTTTGGGACAAGATGAGTTCCGCTCTCGAGTCTAATCTGAGCCGCGCCGCGCGTTACTCCATTCCATTCGCGCTGGTGTTCATCGCTCTCTGGAGGACCAAAGTTCAAGCCGAAGTCCCCGAACCATACCTAGACGAGGTCTTCCACGTCCCCCAGGCACAAGCTTACTGGGCACACCAGTGGACACATTGGGATCCCAAAATCACTACTCCACCCGGCTTGTACCTGTGGTCGTATCTGCTATGCGCCGCATTGCTCACTCTCCGCGGGTCTCCGACGAAACTCACCACCGAAGCTCTCCGCACGACCAATGTCGCCACTACCGGCATTTTTCTACCCTGGCGACTCCAGGTGCTTTCGGATGCCGTGCACAATGTGAAGAACAACCGGACTCTAGGCGCGTGGCTTAGCCATTCCGTCTTGAATATTTGCTTGTTCCCGCCGCTGTTCTTTTTCTCCGGTCTTTACTATACCGATATCCTTGCTCTCTTGGTTGTCATCGAGGCGTACAATTGGGATTTGAAGAGGTCTGCAGGAACGGGCCTTACGGCTTTCTTTTCCACCCTGAGCTTCCTTGTCTTTGGGCTGGCTGCGCTTGCTTGCCGGCAGACGAACATCTTTTGGGTTGCGGTCTTTTTGGGAGGACTGCAGGTTGTTCGCAAGATTCGAAAGTCCTCCGAAGCATGCAAATCATCTGGATTGTCAGATATCGTGAAGGGTGGCCTGCAGAATGAAATTTATGATCCTCTTGTCTCCGAGGCTTCCTTGGAAGGTATGTATTAGTGTTTATTATCTATTGATTGTACTAATCGGCATTTAGATTATTTCAAAACTGCCATCTCCCTAGCCACTACCGGCCTCAATAACCCGCTCTCTACCGTGGCTTCGATTATGCCCTACATGATGATTCTTGGAGCTTTTGGCGCATTTGTATTTTGGAACGACGGCGTGGTTCTTGGTGGGTCATCAAGTCCGACTTATCAAAAAGGAAAGTCCAAGCTAACAATTGCCTTAGGTCATAAGGAATTTCACACAGCAGGCATCCACTTGGCTCAGATGCTCTACATCTGGCCCTACTTCGCCTTTTTCTCTTGGCCACTGCTTATCATTCCCGTGGCCAACGTCATTCTTCCCAAAACCTTCTTGCCCAAGTACATCAACTACGGCTTCCCGGAGAAGCAGAGGCGACTTCCAAAGCTCGTCGCTGTCTTCTTTGTCCTTCCGATCATGCTCGCCATCGTCCATTTCAATACCATCGTGCACCCATTTACCTTGGCCGATAACCGACACTACGTCTTCTATGTGTTCCGTCTTTTACTAGGCGTTCACCCCGCTGTGAAATATGCTGCCGTTTTGGTTTACTTCCTCTGTGGATGGGCTGTTATCTCCGCCTTTGGCTTCTCAATTGTCCCGGCACCGCCTCGACTGCTGCGGATTCCCCCAGCTCAAGCTCCAACTCCTGAGCCTGTGCCTGCGGCACCTGCCTCTGCCAATGAGCAAGCCCAAGGAAACAGAAAAACTCGTCGAGCCAACGAGAAGGCCGCAGCTAAGAAGGATCAGCAGCCGAAGCCGAAATCCAAATCCAAATCCAAATCGAAGCAACCCGAGCCTATGTCACCTGAGGCATATGCCAAAGTTCAAGAGGGACTTATCAAGCGTCGCAAGGAACAGCCGGGAGCTCCGCGGGTCAGCTTCGTTCTTGTGTGGCTCGCAGCGACCACTCTGTCCCTTGTGACAGCTCCCCTCGTGGAGCCCCGATACTTTATCATCCCCTGGGTCATGTGGCGCCTGCATCTTCCAGCAATGCCTAGCCTTGCGGCATTCCGGAAGCAGCGTCCTGAGACCGAAAAGGAGAGAGAGATCGCTGATCTGGCTACCAATGCTCCTAAGTTTGTTGAGACTGTTTGGTTCCTAATCATCAATGCTGTGACAGGATATTTATTCCTGTACAAGGGCTTTGAGTGGCCCCAGGAGCCAGGCAAGATCCAGCGGTTCATGTGGTGAAGCCTCATGGCTGACCACGCTATTTCTGTAATGGAATGGCTGTACAATATTAGAATATTGTAATTATATACTACCGAAAATTTTTAATTTCAAAGTTATTATAAAAGTTGCTATGCTGTTCTGCAATAAATCTGGAGTACATAAGTGCGGTGAATAAGATTTCTAGGTTGGACCGGAGTTCCAATCGATGTCCGTAGGCGGTACTTGTAAGATATGTATAACCCCCGTCGAACCGAACTCTCTTTGAAATCTTCCATGTCAACCAAACCGAATGTTCCAGCGAATATCTCGTTCTTGCACACTTTCTGTCTTCGGTCAGGCCCCACATTTAACGACCGATCCTAAACCCTTTTTCGCCTCATCTCGGTTTCTTACAACCCAAGCCATACATTTAAGCTCACCCCTGATGGAACGCCCCTCAAAGCGGGCAAAGATCTCTCTAGATCAGTCCAGAGGAGATAAAAGTCCGGAAAGCAGCGTGTCCACACCACTGGCATCCCTGCAAAGGTCCATCTCACCGCCAGCTAGAACACGCTCTGGGGAGCCATTGCCAACGATTTCAGCGTGTCCAGAGCTTCCTGGCGACCAGAATAATGGATTCCCTGCAAATCAGAGCAATGTCAATCTCTCTCGTCTAATTTCGTCTCCATTTGAACTCACCCATATCCAAGGTCTCACAGACCGAGGAGGCCTCAATGAGGACACAGTCAAACTACGCGACATTCTTGGAAATCCGATGATCAAGGAGTGTTGGCAATTCAACTACTGCTTTGATGTCGATTTCTTGATGTCCAAATTTGACCAGGATGTCAGAAGCCTTGTCAAAGTCAAAATTGTTCATGGGTCCTGGGAGCGGGAATCCATGAATAAGATCCATATTGATGAAGCATGCACTCGATATCCGAATATCGAGGCTATTACAGCCTATATGCCAGAACGTTTCGGTACACATCACTCCAAATTGATGATTCTCATCCGACATGATGATCTAGCACAGTAAGTCTGCTTTTCCCTAGACTGGTCTTTGACCTCACTGCTGATCCCCCAACCTAGGGTGGTTATCCACACAGCCAACATGATTCCACAAGACTGGACAAATATGACCCAGGCGGTTTGGCGCTCGCCATTGCTGCCTCTGCTGAGCCCAGGGACTCTACCCTCATCGCCGGGGAATACACCTCCAGGCACCGGCTCACGGTTCAAAAGAGACCTGCTCACATATCTGAGGGCATACGGCCCCAAGAAAACTGGTTCGCTAGTTCAGCAGCTAAGTCGGTATGACTTTGGCGCAGTACGTGCTGCTCTTGTTGCAAGTGTGCCCTCAAAACAACATCTGAGTGGCCTGGATTCCGGAAAGGCAACATTATGGGGTTGGCCAGCTCTGAAAGATCTCATGACCCATGTGCCCGTGAGGAATATCAAAAAGAAGAATCAGACGTGTCATATTGTTATACAGGTACTCCTCCTTGTCTTCAATAATCAAGGAAAAATCTAACTTGACCAGGTCTCCTCGATAGCTTCTCTCGGCCAAACAGACAAATGGATCAAGGAATTCTTCAAATCTCTTGCACCAACGTCCACCGATCCCCCACCAAAGTACTCAATCATATGGCCAACACCAGAGGAAGTCTATCATTCTCTGGATGGCTATGCATCCGGTGGCTCAATTCATATGAAGACTCAAAGCGCACCCCAGCAGAAACAAGTACAATATTTACGCCCGCATTTATGCCAATGGGCCGGCGACTCAAAGGTCATTGACCTATCTCAGGACACACCCAAACGTGAGGCGGGTCGTGGCCGCGCTGCACCTCACATCAAAACATACATCCGATTCTCCAATGAGACGATGACCTCCATTGATTGGGCTATGGTGACATCAGCGAACCTATCCACGCAAGCGTGGGGTGCGGCCCCAAACGCAAGTGGCGAAGTGAGAATATCCAGCTTCGAGGTTGGCGTTGTTGTTTGGCCTGCACTATACGGCGATTCTGCTTCGCAAGGATCTGCGCAGTCCGAGAGCCCAGATGTGTTGATGGTACCTTGTTTCAAGCAGGACCAACCCGATCCGACTAACCTGGCTCAAAAAGCTGATACTGTGGTTGGACTGCGGATGCCATACGATCTTCCACTTACTCCATATCGTGCATCAGATGAGCCGTGGTCTGCGACAGCTCCGCTTTACATACCGGACTTAGGCCTGGGGTTATAATCAAGGACTTGAATTGTTTGTATGTTTGATAAACTTCCGCTCACGGGCATTTTATTTGTTTCAGCCCACAATTGACTACTCCAAGAGACTGTTGTAGCGAATGAAGTATTATTATAATTGTTACAGAGACTTCAAGTGCATATAATCATACTTTATAATCATGTTGTACATCCGCATTTAGTTGCTTCCATTGAATAGTTGAAGCTCAAGTTCCAGGATCGGGATTTATTGTGTGTATGAGACTAAATATAAGAGATTTGATCAGAAATTCAGTGGGAGACTGAGCTGGAGACTGGGTCGAGTGTGAAAAACATATTGCCCGGATTGATGTAAAATTAGAGATTAAGAGATGACTAGAAGAGAGGAAGGGATAACAGGAGGATGGGAAATAAGGCCTAATGGGTAGGATATAATTGGTCAAAACATGAGAGTAAGAGAGGAAGAAAAAAAACTCAAAAAAATAAAGTATGAGAGATGAAATGTTATAAAAATAAAAATTATCCAACACCCATAACCGCGCGACGGTTACTCCACAAGCCCGCCACCATGGATCAATAGGCCGATCACGGTAAGATGATCAGTGTGAGCATGGGGAGCACTTTTGGCAAGGGAGCATCAGCGCCACATATAGTACCGGTGGCATTCCTATATTTCATGTTATCAGTATGGGATCAAAACAAAAGTTCAAACCAAAGCATACCTTTCTGTCAGTGTTGAGACTGCAAAGTGGCTCCAAATGCCGATCTTCTGCAACCCAACCAGTGGTCCGAGCATATTGTGCACTTGAAAAATCGAGCTTCTTGAATTCCTTGTTTTTCCAGAAATTCTAGCGTTGGCGAAGTTTTCGTTCCAATCATCTTCTATGCCATAGATCGTGAGTTGTCAGGATCAGCGTTGGTATCGAAGGCGGTATTTTGAGTTGCTTTCGTTTCAACGGCAGAGAAGCTTCATCATCAGTCGATGCCTTTGGCACTCTGTCAAGGCATGGTTGCCTCAAACATGGGATAAGCTGCCAGTAATGAGTTTTCGCAACTTTGCAGATTCGAGGGTCTTTGTGCTGGCGTATGGAAAAGCAGTCATGCGCTGGGTTGTGTTACCAACCACCTTTAAATGAAAGCGAGTTGGAGGACGTGGTTGGACAGATGTATGTGGCCTTCAACGCCTTGATCTGGTCAGAATCGGTGTGCGACACGGGTGGAGGCTGCGCCTAGATAGCTTCGAGGACAAATTGAAGGTGGACAGAGTTTCTTGTGTAAAAGTGAAACATCTTGAAAGTGGGACAACGCGAAAATGGAAAGATTCTGAAAATAGAAAGAATCTAGAAACAGAAAGATCCTAAAGACGGAAAGATCCTAAACACCGAAACAACCACAAAACCGAAAGGTTGTGCCAGGACCAGAGTGAAACTGGAGGTGTGTGAAAAAGAAGAAGTTGAAAAGCAAAAAAGAAGTATTTATACTTTTTCTCAGGTTGCCAGGTGACTTAAAAGACTTCAAGATGAGAAAAGATGGAGTGAGTATGCTCTTGCAGCATACGCCTGGATCTTGAATATTATTTTTTCTCTGTCTAGGTAACTGACCACTAGACAGTAGTTCATTCTGGGAATCTCTCTGTAAATGCCACAGTATTATTGCTAGTTTATAAGGTCCTCATGTAACAAATTAATTTATCTCACGAGCCCATATGGAAAGACGAACCCAGACATCAAGCCGAAACAGGGATGGATTGGATGAATGATGGAACAGGGTGTGGGAACCTGACTAACTGATGGGATCAAGTATTAGGGGCCGTTTAGCCTTTGTTACTAAACTTCTGTTCTCGGGACTTGAGAGTACGCACGGGGCGACTTGCGGCATGGTTTCAATCCTCTGTTATGGCATCTCATCTTGGTTTTTATGTAATGACCATGATATTATTACCGAAATTCGACTTTCGCCATAGTGACGATGAATAGAAGAAGAGAGAAAGTGAAAGTGAGCATGAAAGTGAAAATCATTAAAAAATACTATTAAATTAAAGATACAATGAAAATGAAGGCCGCGCGACACTTATTCAAGCAGCCCGTCGCTGAGGATCATCATTCCGATCAAGGTGAGATAGTCGGCCTGGGCGCGGTGGGGACTGTTGGCAAGCGAACACCAGCGCCACATGTAGTAGCGGTGGCTATCCTATATTGCGTATTATCAGTTATGGGATCAAAACAAAAGATCAGACCAAAGCATACCCTGAAGTCAGTGTTGAGACTGCTAAGTGGCTCCACATGCCGATCTTCCGCAACCCAACTAGTCGTCTCGAGCAAATCGCTATTGCAACCGATGAAATCATACTGAACGGGCAGAATCTTCAAGATGTGGCTGGACCAGGTGTACGCTTCCTTCAGTGCCTTGATCTGGTCAGGATTGGTAAGCGACGCAAGTGGAGGTTGCGCGTAGATAGCATCGAGGGCAAATCGAAGGTGGACGGGGTTTATCTTGTCAGACGCATCCTGCAATTCCTTGTTGAAGCGAGGGGTAATTTGCGCATCGGAGAGAACATCGAACAAGGCGCTCAGGGCCGGCGAAATGGGAGCCAGCAGGAGAGGTAGATCAGCCTTAGCAAGTGGGTCGGACATAATCGGACTTAAGAATTTGAGGGTTTGGTCCGGGCGTTGTGGTCACGTGTTTTAGGCAAGTGGGGAAGATGGTTGGAGAAGGAAAAATCACGTGAGACCTCGGCTTTTATAGCCGCGAGCGTACTGGGCGGCATGCGGCAGGCGGCAGGCGGCAGATGACGGGCAGAACAGTCCCATACATTGAAGCGGCCCATTGAAATCCGGATCTTCACACTACCCTTCAGAGATTCAAGTGTATAATATATCAATGCGGCTGAAATAAAAGACGCCTGCCCATGCAAGGTAATGCTGATGCTTGTGAAAACAGTCACTCGCTACGCATCTAGAGAATATGCTATATACAACAATCAAAGGGCTTCACCAGTCCACTGCCCAACCGTTCTTAGTCAAGAACTCTTCCGAAGCCGCCTTGAGAGCATAGTTGTTGCGCAGGTCATGGACAGTCATAGGAGCTCTAGTAAGTGGATCAACGCCAGCTTTCTCCACATACTTCACAATGCCAATACGATCAAAGCTGGTGCCAGATGGTGTAATAACAGGATCATGCATGATCTCAAACGTGATCCCATCAACAAGATAGTCAGGTACAACCTATTACGGTTAGCGTGGTCAGGCATACAAAGGAAACAATAAACTTACCCGTTCTTGCACCTCTCCCTTTGAAGCAACACGGAATGCCTCCCGCACATCCTGAATCATCTTCTCCGCATCCTCCCGCAGTGCCTTGCAATCCTCTCCGAAGCCAATATCCCCAATCTCTCCCGCATCAAGTTGCGCTTTGGATTCAGCAATTGAGCGCTCCAAATTCTTCTCAATAAGCTCCTCGACATTCTTCAGCGTCTCGTTCATCTCCCGCAATCGCGACGTCTCCTTAGCAGCCCAGATCTGCTGCTTTGCCCGTAACACAGCCCGCGACAGGTTCTCCGTTTGAACGTTCTTCTCCGTAAGACTAAGCTGGTACGCATCCACAGCAACATCGTATGCTTCCTGTGGTCGTTGGAGACCGAGGAGCGCCTGGGAAAGGTAGTATGAGCTTTTGAGAGTAGCAATGTTCTTGAGGCCGTAGATATCGATCGCGGCGCGAGCATCATGTTCGACGCCTGCCCATTTGGCGAGCTTGATGCGTGTAATGGCACGGTTGGTGAAGAAGGTAGGATCGTGCGGATCTTTAAGAATACTATTCATACCCAGAGTTAGTTATGCTGCCAGTATTTGCGCTCGGATGGGGTTGAATAGAGTCATCGCGGGTCCGGCGCGTCTGGTAAGTTCTTACGCTTGGGAGTATAGATCCTCGGCACCGCTGAAATCACCCTGTTTGAAGAGCTCGTTACCCTTGGTCTTCAGTGCTTGGGCCATGGTGGGTGCTGTGGTGTGTGCTGTGTTGCCTTCTCAGGACAGTGGCCAGAAGAAAGTGCTTTCGGAGTCGCTGATCAATCCGTTCCCCCAGGTGGGGCGGCCCACCTTGTGTACAGTAGTAGTGAGATCAATAGATCAGGGGTTGAGGTTCTTAGTGGGGCATGAAAATGCAGTGGAATGTAGTACAGAGGTAAAAGCAGATACGGATCCCTACATGGGTATTTTCAACTGTTCTGATCTAAATGCGAAGAGTTGGAGAGTCACAGTTGCCCGTTGTAGAAGTGCATCGATCCCCGCAGAACAGATGAGTCAGCAGATCCACATCGCCATTCTCATAGTTCCATGGATCTTTGGCAGTATGGAATATTGATGAAAGATTACTGGACTGATAAGATCAAGACTGCAGGTTTTCCATTATGGTAAGGAGTATAGAGTTCTTCTATCATCTAATTCAAAACCTATACAGCAGGACTCGACATTCGGTTCGTGGTATCATGATGCGCTGAGTATATCGACAGGAGAAATCGAAATCGAATCAAGTTGCGGTAACTTGATATCCAGCAAAAGCGCGTTGCCCTGCCAGAAAGAGGAAAGCGACAAAGACATAGGGGCACATAGTCTCAGGTCGCAAGAAGAGAAAAGAGCCCCTTTCGGCATGCATTTAAGCCTGTCCAGCGAATTGGGTCTCGTAGTCCGAGATAGCCTGGACCTTGGCAGCGGAGGCACTCTTGGGATCAAAGCGGTACTGCAGCCAGTCCACAGCGAGCTTCTTGGCCAGCTCCACGCCAATGACACGCTGGCCCATACAGAGGACCTGGGCGTCGTTGCTCAGGATGGAGCGCTCAACGGAGAAGGGATCGTGGGCAGTGACGGCGCGAATTCCGGGAACCTTGTTGGCAGCGATTGCGACACCGAGACCGGTACCGCAGATGAAGAGACCGCGGTCAGCCTTGCCCTCCTTGATGAGCTTGGCACCTTCGACAGCGGGATGGGGGTAGGCAGTCTTATCGTCGGAGCTGTTGACACCGACGTCGATGATGGAGGCAACACCGGCGTTCTTCTCCAGGACAGCCTTGATTGCATCCTTGTAAGGGACACCGGCCTCGTCACAGGCCATAACAATGCGGAGGGGCTGAGCAGACATGGTGAGATAGATAGAGGAAGCTAAGAATCTTTGAAGTATAAGGTATTGTAGATTGAGTTTGTCTGAAGAAGAAATGATTCCATTATCTGAGGTCTCTCTGGCTCTCTTTATACCTTTGCATCCATCCGTGCAACCAATACCCCAGGTGGAGTACGGGTTGATGGAACCAGTCCTCACATGTGAGATGCATCGGGACGAGTAAGTCCCCACTCCTGAAATCAGCTTGGGACCTGGCAACTTGCTGGATAAGAAAGATTGGATTGCCCCGCCATAGCGTCATGAAAATATCTGCCGCACTGTGACTGGTCAAAAGCGGGATCGACCATGTCAACGCCGGAACGAGGTTTCACCCCATACAGTTCCGTACACTGACTTTACCCCGTATTTACCAAATCCCGCAAACATCCCATAACTATAACTTTGACAATCTAGATCTGAACACTAGTCAAGGGAAGTATAAGCCATCGATGTCAACGGCGCCAGTGGCTTGTGCCATTGCAGACAAGGTTGAACAACGGGTTGATCTCTATTTGGGTTTCCGCATTAGAACGGCCGTGCGAGGCTTTTACAGGGGCATGTACATGTAGTAACGAGGGGTCAATGCAAAACGGGTAAGAGTCATAAGATATGAGGTCAATATCCCGAGATTTTGATTATTTCCCCTGAGTCCGAAAGCAAGAATAAGTGACACAAAAACCTGTTACATCATCTTGGTTCCTAACAAACTTTACAGATAGATTTCTACAACAGATCTCAACACCAGATCTCTACAGTAGATCTCTAAAATAGATCTCTACAATAGATCTCTATATTACGATATCATCAACATGCGATAAATGCGTCTATCTACTATCGTTTACAGGATCTCTCGCACATGAACTAAGAGACTTTCGACGTAGAATCCTTGATAAGCCTAGACCGATAGACTTCCCCACTTCCCCGGTTATCCCGTTGGTTGAGATCCGTTTACAATTTACTCCGGATTCTGTTCAATCGGTCGTGTGTACTCCGGAATTAATGCACTTGAGTTCGGACCAGATGTTGTATGTATCATTATAATTAGATACCGTAACACTGAGTCCGTCATTTCCGCTTTAGTGCTTACATCGTGCCGCTTTTCTATCTTCTTAAAGCGGCAATAGTACAACGTATACTCCGTAGATCCAACCAACAGGTTTTGTCCTCACAACATCCCGTCCCCCTCAATAAATCCTGGCATCCAACTTATCCTACCTATCAAGTCTAGACCTGCGCTCTGACCTACTAGTTTTACTCCCAAATCGCCGTGACATCACCTCGCAGCTTGCTCAATCCCGTCGTAAGTCGGGAACATCCTTGAACCTAGTGCAGCCACGTCGGCCACTAATGCGCGGGCGGAATTGGGCTGACGCCTACGAAGTACTAGAGACAACTTTCTACACCTTCACATATCCCCTCAATCTCGACACTGATCATAGCGACTTGCGCTATAGGAACGACAATCATGGCACAAACCTACCCCGTCCTCCCAGAGAAACTCCTCCTTATTTCACTCAAAATGTACTTTACCCCATCTCGCACTCTCGATTACATGCGCAACCTCCTAGACCCTGCCAACGAAATCGTCAACCCCGCAAATAGCAACAAGCTCCTCCTAGCTCTAATCCCCGATTTCCTAACCATCTGGCCCTGCGCCGAGATCCTAAAGGAATACGAATCCCAGCTCCTAGCATCCGGCTCCATAACTCCAGGATCCTCTCCGTTCCTCCTCGGCGCTCAGGACTGCATGTGGGAACAATCCGGCGCGTTCACAGGCGAAGTCTCCCCCGCCTCCATCCGCGCTTTGGGCTGCTCAATCGTCGAACTTGGCCACGCAGAGCGCCGCGCGCTCTTCGGCGAGACGGATGAGCAGACTGCGCGGAAGGCTGCAGCCACCTGTACGCAGGGTATGGTTCCCCTCGTCTGCGTTGGAGAGATTACGGCTCCTGGCGCTGTTGCATCAGAGGCGGTCGGACAGGCTGTGAGTGAGTGTGCGGTTCTTATCCGTGCCGTCCTCGCTGCTATTCCGGTCGATGCACCGGTGATCTTTGCTTATGAGCCTGTCTGGGCGATTGGGAAGCCGAAGCCAGCTGGGGTGGACCATGTTGGGGCCGTCGTGGAGGGAATCAGGGGCGTGATCGGGTCACGGCCTGCGAGGGTTTTGTATGGTGGTAGTGCTGGCCCTGGGCTTTGGGGTGCGGGTGGACTCGGTAAGGCCGTTGATGGAATGTTTCTTGGGCGATTCGCACATGAAATCGAGGGTGTGCGGAAGGTTGTCCGTGAAGTGGAGGAGAGTCTAGGTGTTGCGCCATAATCGATTCGATTCGATCAGATCTACGACTACGAATATATGAACAGAACAGAATTTGAGGATTATAATTGCCTTGCAATTCGCATCTCCATTGCAATTCAGCGGGGTGGTATTGTCGTTTCGCATCTTACACTATACTGTCACTGTTATACAGACCAGATTCCACATGGTCAGATGAAAACAATGGACAAAAAAAGGTTCCAACCAGCAAAAGCAGCATCTCCACTTTATGGCTAACGAGTAGGAGAAACCCCGACTTTCTCGGGAAAGCCTTTCTGGGGGATCCCGCAAACCCTCGACTCCACTAGAGGAGCCTTTATGGGGCTACGGGGAACCCCACGTCTGAGGGGATCTCCGGCTTCAAGAAATCCATGACTTACTTTATAGGTTTTCTAGATCAGCATTGGTTCGGAACTCCATGAGCTGGTACGTATTAGTAGGTACTCCTTTATTTTGCATTTGCGTTGACTCTGTCTTGTCAGCAATGGCGGGACAGGAACGTGGGGTCTAATTGTCTTTTAGTCCACTTTTAAGTGGACTCCAAAACTGATGCAGTAACCCGAGCTTTGAGCCCCTCTTTCAATGTCCGGCTTTGGCGCAACTGTGGACTATGTGGAATTGTGGCATTTCAGTTTCCCATTGTCTTATACGGCATTGCCTAAGTAGGCAGGATGTGTACTAGAGTCGAAGCCTCTCGGACGAAAGAGCTCTACAGGCGAAAAATCAATTCGCACGCAATCGAAGAGCTGTGATCAATAAAATGAAATCAATGGATGCAATCCTTCCTATGCTATGTACAACGTAAAATCATCTAGCTTTTTCTACTCCTACACCGCTTCATTTCTTCTGCAGCTCGCGCATCTCCTGCTTCACCCGGGTCACCGTGCCGATACCGCCATATGTGATACCAGTGTACATCATCGCAACAGAGGCACCGGCATCGAGGGCCGCACGTGCCTGCTGGCCATTGGTAATACCGCCAGAAGCGAAGATCACCTTGCGTGGCTGCTCAGCAGGCACGCCATCCTGCTCAGTGGAAGACGGAGGGCCCTGGTCAAGCAAGGCGCGGTAGCGAGCGACTAGAGGAACAGAGCGGTCAAAGAGCTGCGGGCCAGAGTAACCACCTGTCTCCTTCAGAGTCTGCTGCTCCTTCTCAGGGAGAGTAAAGCCCTTGGGCAGAGCATCGGGCCGACGGTTAGTGGTGTTGCCGACGATCACACCGTCGACACCGGAGTTCCAGACAGCCTCACAGATGCCGGCGATCTGCTCATCAGAGTCCTCATCGGGGCTGACCTTGACCATGACAAATGGCTTGGTCTTGCGGCTAATGCTCTTGGCAGAGCCTACAACAGCGGTCAAGATGGCCGTGAGGGGTGCAGCGGCCTGCAGATCACGGAGACCGGGAGTGTTGGGGCTGGACACGTTCACGACGAGAATATCAGCGTACGGGGCCAATCGGTCCACGCAGTAGACATAGTCGCGCGCAATGGCATCGATATCGCCATCCGGGGTGAGCTTGTTCTTGGCCACCTGCACAGCGAGCAGCTTGCCCGGGACGAGACTGCCGGGAGGCACGTTGGCCTCTCCGTTCAAGACACGCTGTTCGGATTCCTCGTGATCTCCGAAGCCAGCGACGTACGCAAAGTCACGAACGCGCTTCTTCAGGACAGCGGCCATGTGGTCGGCGCCCTTGGAGTTGAGGCCGTATCGGTTGATCATGCCATGCTGCGAGGGCAGGCGGAAGACTCGAGGCTTCGGGTTTCCGTCCTGAGGAAGCGGGGTGGTGCCACCGACCTCGACAATAGCAGGACCGAGGTCGAGCAGAGCATCGGGGATATCAGCGTGCTTGTCCAGACCGGCGGAGATACCGATGGGGTTGGAGAGGGTGTAACCGAAGACCTGAAAAAAAGCTCCATTAGTCACTGTAGCGGCACAGCTTGAGTACAAAGCAGAGTACCAACCTCAGTAGCCAAAGCACCGTCGCGATCGGGGTTACCACGTTCCCGGGGGTGCATTCCGTATTCGTAGAGCGACTTCAACATCTCCACACCGAAGTGGTGCGCCTCCTCCGCATCGGGATACAACCACCGGATCAAAGGCACCATAGCATACCGGTGAATGCTAGCTCGGGTATCAGTCCCATAGATGTAGCCCACAAGAAGCGCCAGAGCGAACGATGTGCCATAGATTCCCTTCCGAGATCCACGAGCCGCGCGCTTAGGCAATTCCTTGGCAGCCTCCTTCACAGGCTCAGCAGCTGCAGTAGGAGTCGAGTCCGAAGCATATCGCGCAGCGCCAGGGAAGCGCTCGGCGCGCTTCGGTAGCAATGCCGAAGGGCGTTGCGACCATCGGGCCACAGGGAGCGAACGAGCGCGGAGACCAGCCCTCCAGGCCATTGTGGCGGAAGCAGATGTCATCGGAGATTTAGGACGGGGGTGCGTTTAATTGGCCTTCCTCGGCTTAAGACCGCCGAATTGGACCTGTACAGCTGGTGAGCTTCATTCCTTGATCGGGTAGTTAGATGTGGCTGGGAAATATGGGACAATTGATTTGACCCACGGAACTTGACTCATAGAGCTATATCCCTTAATCCCACACAGAAATGACAATGACAAATGAGCTTGAAATTGGGGGCTACTTACTGCAATTGCTTGATCCGAGGTTCTGCAACGCCTTGCAGATCGAAGTTATCATCATAGGGCGAAATCGGGTTCTGTAGTTGGAAGGCGGTGAGCTCAGCCCTACATTCCTCTTTGGGAAAGACTTGAAGCAACATTCCAAATATCTACAGAACTATCATCTTACAAAAGAGTCTTAGTATTTTGCAGTGTTGTTGTAACAATTCTAAAAATCAATCTGGTGATAGAAGGAAAGCAGAGGATGACATTGTAGTGTGCTATGGGCTATACTTTCCCGCCTCTATCTCTGCTGAAGACGTTCATTTAATCACGCCTCTTCACATCTGGCTTGTTAGAAGGTGCCCTTTGTTTAGAGACCTAAATTTTTCTCTTCGTAAATACTGGCCTGATTCTATGGACAGGGAATAGAACACTTCTGATCTGCCAATCTCTGATTGCTTACTGATTGGACTGGATTCAAGTCCATCCCTGCCAGTTTTCTAACGATCTACCTTGAGATATTGGAGGCAGCTCGGAAATGTCTTCGGGGATTTCTCTTGGGCGTCCAAGCTCCCAATTCCAAACCGGTCGATACACGGCTGGTTGAAGGCCATTGAGCCTTCTTGTGTCCATCGAGGGCTGATCGGGGGTTTCTAATGGCGATGGCAGTGTTTCGGGATCTTTACACTGGATTTTCATGAGCCGCTCGTGAATGATGGGGGAAGCACTGGTGGTATTATACCGGGTGAAATGGTGTATGGATGCATTTCACCGCTGCTTCTTGCTAGCGTGGATGACCTGGAGGGTGGACAAGAAAGCTTTGATTCTATCAGTATGCGAAAGAGCAGTTGAGAACATGTTCTTGAGGGGAACTCACAAGCATTGGTCCCTTCGTCATATCCGATGTCATACAGGTTGAGTCTCAATGCGGCAATTTTCCAATAATCGCAAGTGTTCATTTTCTATCTTGATCGACGTAGCTCTTGGCTTGGGATCCTTTGTCAAGAGGAATAACACCGATTGTGTTCAGTCTAAGTCGCGAGGGTCAGATTTGCGGGTTGTTGATCGGCTTATGTTTTCATTTCTTTGGTAAAGATCGGAATCGGCATTGCCTATAACCCAAATGTTATAAGAAGCTTTCGATAAAATAGCAATAGCGGAAGTCAAGGAAAGAAAAGACAAAGAGTAAACTGGAGGTATTTTGTAATGAAAGAGGAGAGGATGGGGAGAAACTGAAAGGATTTACTCTTTAGATTCAAGCACAGTCTAGTCATAGGAGATATCAGAATCATTTGATTGACCCAGAGTTTATTAGTTGCCTACAATATAAGGTGCTCAGTGCTCAGTCTCTTGCACATGGGCCAGTATAAGAATTGTAATACAAAGATACTACTAGTAAAGAGGAAATGAGAGAAGAAAACAAAGGGGGAATCGTATTGCGGGCGCGCTATTCTAGAGCTAATGTTGATCACATTATTGATCACTCATCTCCGCATCCCCGCCATCATCGGCCAGCTCGGCTTCACCCTGCCCAACAGGAGGAGGACCCAGGGTCTTCGCGAACTCCGGGTCGATGGTTGCCCGATGCAGAGACCGCTTGTAGACCTCCGATACATCAGGGTCGCGGACAGCGACCTGCATCTGGTCCACTTGCTCCTCCTTCGCCTGCGAGGCAGAGGGAGCCAAACCAGCCTGGGCAATGGTACGGGCACGCTCAGGCTTAAGGCGGGTCTTACCCAAGATGGGATAATAGTAAGCGGCTTGCTGCTTGGTCTCGCCTTCATTTGGTTTGAAGAGAGTGAGGGCAAGATCTCTCTGTTTCTGCTCGGTATTCAAGGTTTGAGCACTTGTCGCATAAGTGCGAACACGGTCGTAGCGGTGAAACTTGTTGCCATCAGCACCCTCGTGAGCATAAAGCTCCTCGTTGTCGCGATTGGGATCCTTGAGATCCATGCTAATACGGATATTTTTGACCGACACCGATTTCTCGGACAGGAAGAGATCATAGTCCCAGGGAATTGGACCAGGGTCGGGGTAAACATCCGGGTTGGCCTTGTGCAAAGCAACCTTTTGTGCATGCTCCTCACAGATACGGTCCTCTGGGGCCGAGGGATGCAGTAGAGCTACATCCATGCGCTTGTCCCGCTTGCCACCAACAGCCGTGAAGGGTGCCTTGTCAAACTTGAATTGAACCAAGCCGCCAGGATCTGTGAAACCTTCGAGATCGGGCAGAACAGGAAAGTAACCAACAGGCTTGAGCTTTGCATTATCAGGGTGGACCGGGTTAGCCCAAGCATCGAGCTCAGCTTTTGTGGGAGGAAGGCCCCGAATTCGGCTCTCGGTATCCTCGCCGGTGTGCTTGCTCTCAGGATAAGCGATATCGAAGCCCTTTTGAACAAACTTCTTAACATGCTTGGGATCATCAACCGAAACTTTGGTCTTCTTGATGGGTCGCGGGTGAGTGCTGGCTGCGGTCGTACCGGATGCCGAGGGAGCAGTACGCTCAACAGAGATGTGTTGGGTCCGACGAAGGAAGCTAACGTTGGTATTCTTAGGCGCAGGGTTGCGAATTTGGTCAAGAGACATTAACAAAGGCAGATCAGCAGGGTCAATCGGCTGCGGGTTCTCTGGTGCCATAATCGCTTTTGGGGTGTTAGTCGCTCGCTTGTAAGAAACAAATGGAATGAGTTCACTGACCACTTTCATCTCCAAGGTGCAGGCCTGGAAGACCGACCAAATCAATAGGCATGCCACCCTCGGCATCAACGTCGATGTTTGGTTCTTCACGACGTGCAAGGTTGGATGCGAAACCTGGGGTAAGGAAGCGGCTCAGACCTTCATGCGGGATCTCAAGGAACTTCGGGGGCATATCCGGAGGAGGAAGATCATTGCGGTATCGCAAGGACGCAATGTAATCCTGATGAAAGCTCCCCGAGGGCTGTTCTGCCTTTGGCTTGGAAGACATCTTTTTTTAATTGCCGGCTTGGGTGCGGCTTTGAGAGCGGGTTTGAGCACGGGTGTGTGGAGGGGAGGGCGGAGTAGGTGAGAGTGAGGACGAGCGCGAGGGTGTAGGTGAGGATGAGGGGGTTTCCTCGTTTGGGGTAGAGTCTTGAGAGTTGCCGATGCTGGTGTCTGGGCTGTCCTTGGATTCAGTGCTTGATGCTTCAGAATCGGACCAGTTAGTGGTGAGGTCCGAATCAGTATCAGTGTCCGAAACAGTGCCAATGGTGGACCCGTCTCTGGACAGTTCAGTATCGGGGCTTTCCGTTTCAGGTCTTTCAGAGCTCGAATCAACAAAGCTTGACGGCGCGCAGGAGAAATTGGACGAATTAGACGAGTACACGGGACTCAAAGGGCTGTCGCGTTGTACGGCGTTTTCAGCAGGAGAGGGAAGATCAGACTCGTTGTCGGAGTAATCAGCTGGGCGGATGGGACTCAAAGGGCTAAGACTGCGGTCTTCAAAATCAACTTCGCCTATAAACCAATTATTATGAATTGCGAGTCTATACGGATCGATGGGCTGGTCACAAACCTTCGTTGTCGTGAATAGTAGAAGCCGAAAGTTCAGGAACAGGTTGAGGTTCAGTGGCGGCGGGTTGACGGATTCTCTCGGGAGTCGGGGGTAGGGGTGAGCAGTCACGGGCACCGGCTGTTTGATTCAATTCCTTTAGCCCAAAGCTCCCAATTATCAAATTATTGAAGCTTGAAGAGTCGACTCACTGATGATGGGCATAGTGCCCTCAGAGACCGCCTACTTGTTGTGGTACAGTGGGACTCGGAAAAACTGGACAATTGTAAAGGGATAATAATAATCCGGAGCAAATGGGGAGCGGAAAATTGATAAGCCGATGCGTCAACATAACCCGCCCCACTAAGCAAACACAACAAACCTTTAACTCTCCACATATGTACAACTACACCATTAGTAAACTACTACCAGGACTTGCACAGATGAATATAATAAAATTAGAAGAGAAGTTGTTCAATACTGGAGTTTGAATAAACAATACTGTGAAATTATTCTTTCCCCAACGCCGCATAATCCCGCATAATTCCCCGCATTCACAACTAGCACTCCTTTAATACGCCCACATGCATTTATAAGCCATCAACCGATGACCCAGGCGGTCATACTCCAGCTGGCCAATCCAACTATCGTTGGTAGCATTCAGTTTGCCGAAGATACTCGCACCCTTCCACACAACAACCTGGGGATCTAAATCTCTTGGCGGAACACCAATCATGATTTCTTTCGCATATCCCGGGCGCAAGCTTTGAAGCCGTTCTTCCAAGAACAAATTGAAACCACTGGTCAAAGTACCACCACCTATGACCATGATTCCACCAATGAAGTCTCGCATTTTCTTGTCATCTGAACGAGCGGCGTGAGCAATTGATGTTAAAATCGCATTGTCCAAAGCGTACACAGGCAACACGTCATCGTGGTATTCAATAGTGGGACGAGATGTCTGGGCTGTTGTAACGGCTGTACTGGCACCAGCCTGTGCACCAGTTGTCTCTGGAGCCGGTGAGCCTGGAGCGGAAGAGTGGGGTGTAGCTTCTTGCTCTTGTACTCGACTCAATGCACTGGGGTTTGTAGGCTTGCTAGGGGTTGCTTGGACATCCACGGGGGTGGACTCCCCATTAGCCTTGGGACGCTGAGGAGCAAGGGCTGTCAGGATTTCAGATTGAGCTGCAGAGACAGGGTCGTTAGATTGGCCATCATAGATGTCAACAGACCGGCTGATCAATCTGTGTCGGCCAACAAGCTTCTGGGAGTTATCGAAAATAGTTGGCTCAAAGAAACCCATCGGTGCAAGATGAACCTCGTCAAAAGCTTTAAAAGTGTGCTTCTGGGTGTCTTGCCCGGCTGCCCGGAGGTGGAAGTCGAAGACCTGTGGGGAGACACTAGCTTCATTCATAGTACACATGGTCCTTTTGAGCTCTTCTGCAAGCAAAAAGTCATATCTCCGCCATAGATCAATATCGGCGTAAGGGAAATGGTCATGAAGCATCATTCTGATGAAGGTTTCGGTGACGTCGCGACCACCCATCTTCAAGTTTACTCGAGAGTTCTCCACGCACATGCCTTCTTCCACGCAGCAAATGGATGTTTTTTGTGCTCCAATATCAACCACGCATGCTGAGGTAAATCCAGCACCAAAGGTTGCAGCGAGACTCTCTTGGACGAAACACACCCGGGCAAATGCGAACTCCCGCATCAGCATCTCCAGGACCTGGGTGACGTAGGACTTTTCGTAGAGATCAGGAATAACGAAGACGCAGGAATACTGGGGCCAATCCTTCTTGCTAGTCAAGCCAAGTTGAGTCTTGATGGCATCTTCAAGAATCAACGCGATATCAAGGAACAACATCCGCTTGCTGGTATAGTCCTTTTCGTTGCAGCATCCATGTTGGAATGGCCAGTAGAGTTTGTAGCGAGGATTTGATGTGTCTGGAACCCTCAGTGCAGGCTGTCCAACAATGTACTCCGGCGGGGGATTTGAGAGCTCCGTCCACTCAATGCGCATAGGATCATTGTGCTCGGAGATGGTCTCCGGGACCGTCCTTCGGTTGAAATTGACCACCATTTCCTTAGAGTTGGGCAACATTCGTCGCTTGTTCTGGCGCATATGGACTTTCAGTTCAGCCGACATTTTGCTAAAATGAGCGGACCACTATTCCATGGTTAGCAACCGGTCGCAGAATTCATGGCATACTCCATCAAACTCACATCTGGTCCAAACAGCTGCTCTGGTTCTTCGAATGTCCCATCTTCTCGCTTCTGCCGTTTCGGGTTGGGTTCCTCCTGGTCTTCGCTCTCGCTTGTTTTCGACTTCCTCGCAATCACCATCGGTACTGTCTTTGGCAATGCGTCACTCGACAACCCAATGCGCAAATTTTGACTACCGATGTGAATGACAATGACTTTCGATCCCACTGTCTCGGCCGGGGTCTCCTCCTCCGCATCTTCCATATTGGCATCACCGTCGGCTTCCGCCTCCGCCTCCGCGGGTTCAGTCTTTGCCATTGCAAGCGCACGGTCCCTGTCCTTTGCGGACTTGGTCATCTTTGTTCTCGCTTCTTCATTTTGCAATCTGAATGCCAGGTACTGGTCGTCTCGTTTGAGGTAGTCGCTGTATAGGATAGGATTGTTAGCATTGAGACTCATTGAGTATGCTAGTGACGTACGTATAGTAGTTCTTCTGGTTAATTGCTTGGACTTGTGGCCAGCTAGAAAGATCCATGTTGTTGTCTGTCCGCTCCAGGCCTGATAATTCATCATTAGTCTCTTGTCTAGTACGTTGAGTGGATCATATCTCCATTGCCACTCACCTTCATCCCGAAGAGCCTTTCCTGACTTTTTCCCCACCATGATGGGCACTTTTGCGGCTGTCAGGTACGTTGAATCGTGGACGCCGTTGAATCTAGGGAGTGCGCAAACGGGCCCGCTCGCTATCTCCGAGATGTGGTGGCGGGGTGGTCGCTAGTCCTGGTAGCTTGTTCAGAACTGTTTCCAAGGGTTGTATTGGGAGTGATACAAGGTGAAATCGAATTGAGAAGACAATGGAAGAGTCTTTAGCGGTTCCGGAGAGTGGGAAGCTTGTTCGGGACAGTCTAGGAGCGCCATTCAGCTTGACCGCGATTGACCGCCCACACGCACAGGCCGATTGCTCAAACAAGTCCAATGCGGTTGCCACCATCACTCCCCTTTCAACTTCTCCAAACATCTCTTTGTCTCGGATTGACTCCGTTTAACTCGAAGCAATCATAGCTCATTCACTTCTGTTTCCATACTCGACCATTTTCCTCTATCCCGCGCCCTAACCTTAAACCTCCGACTCCGCCCTCGCTGGAATCACGATCAAAGACAGCCCAACCTCTACGTACCTACTATACACCACCATGGGAGGCTCATTATCTCGTCTCATTTCCCTAGTGTGGGCCAAAAAGGAGATCCGCATCCTCATTCTCGGTCTAGTACGCATTTTACATATCGCGGGGAAAGGCGCACCTATTGCGCCAACGGTCGACACTGGCTTACCAACTTCTCTTAATCTAGGACAACGCTGGAAAGACTACTCTTCTCTACCGGCTTAAGGTAATCATATCTGATCCGAATGCATCGTCGCACCCTGGGTAGACGCGCTTCCCAGCTTAAGATGCTAACAACTCGCGTCTCTAGATCGGTGAAGTCGTCACTACCATTCCTACCATCGGCTTTAACGTCGAGTCCGTGACATATAAAAATCTAAATCTCAATGTCTGGGTATGCTACCCAATGATTCCTTGCCCTTGGATCACACTGACGGCAGCACTATAGGATCTCGGTGGGCAAACATCTATTCGTCCATACTGGCGGTGTTACTACGCCAACACAGCAGCTGTTATTTTCGTCATTGACTCCACAGATATCGAGCGGCTGGGAACCGCGGCAGACGAGCTGGCGACTATGCTGAACGAGGAGGAACTTCGTGATGCAGCTTTGCTGGTGTTTGCCAATAAGCAGGATCAACCCGGTGCCAAGGGCGCGGGTGAGATCTCGGAAGCTTTGAAATTGGGAGAACTTCGTGATCGGAACTGGAGCATCGTCGCCTGCTCCGCCATTGATGGCAAGGGTATTGATGAGGGCATGGACTGGCTAGTGGTTCGTCTTCCTTCCCGGGCGGTTATCGACATTTCACTAATGATTTGTCCTTTATAGCAAACCATTCAGGCCGAAAACGCATGAAAGTCTTTTGATGTCGGGCGATAGATTTTGATCTGTGATATACCTTAGACCTCGGCTTGGTTACGCGACTTGCCGCCGTTCTGCTGCATTCGGAGGGTGTGATTTTTTCTTTTTTCTCTTCGGCTCTGCTGAGACCGGCAGAGTCCTTGTCTTATATTGCTATACGATTTGGGGTATCAGCGTCTTGCGGTTGTTTAAAGATAATAGCTTAATGAAACCACCGTGGGATCGGTTCTGAACATAGTTGATTTTGGATACCCGTTCACGAGGCCTCATAACATTCGACGTTCAAGCGATATTAACATCTAGTCGGCTAAAGCATCAGATATGTACTCGGCTTAGTGGTTCCTATCTTCCGAGATAAGGTATGCACTGACCCCCGCATCTTGGAAATGACCCCATCTGTGACACTTATTTAGTGGTTGCGACCTATGGAAATCTTTCCTTGTCAATAAAACTTACACTCCCAATCATATTTGCGTAAACACCTCAGCGATTGCTTGCCTCAACCGGGCCCCGAAGCCAACATGTCTATTCCATCAACTCAGGTTGCAGCGGTAATCCCGGCATCTGGGGCGAAATATGTTTCAGATGTGCAAATCGACAGTTCGCATCCAGTACCCAGTCCAGGGGCTGGAGAGGTCCTGATAAAGCTGGAATTCTCTGGAGTTTGCCATTCTGATGTCCACAGCATTCGAGGTGATACACCAATGAAGACAAATGTGGCAGGTCATGAAGGGGTAGGAAAAGTGGTTGCAGGTGAGAACTCTCATTTGATTGTCCTGTTTTGCTATTATCTTGGATCCCAGTGCTGATCATACTTGTTTCTTAGTTGGTGATGGCCTTGATCATTCTCAATGGATGGGTCAAGCAGTGGGGATAAGGTGTGTATGAGATATGGTGGCTGCTAGTTCCTCATGAAAACCTCAATACTTACTGACTTGATTAACTCAATATTAGGTGGCTGTATAGCTCTTGTCTCGAATGTGAGATCTGCGAAATCAATCATACGGCATGTCCTAACCAAAAGAATGCCGGCGCAGTAAGTGGTTCAGTTACAACTGCCTGTTTTGGATAAGCTTCGAATTACTGTGCTAATTTGACCATTCACAGAATGTTCCGGGTACTTTTCAACGTAAGTATATACCTTTGAAAATTTTTGACGCAACTTTGACTCGAATATTGAATGCTCCATGCAGAATACATCGTTAGCCCCGCGATTCATGCCACAAAGATTCCACCTGGACTTTCTCTAGACCTGGCGGCTCCTCTTCTCTGTGGTATGCCTACACAGTTCATGAACCCTGCTGTTTGCTCGCCATTGACATAAAATAGCTGGTATTGCGATGTACTCCTCGATCAAAAAGACCAAGACTCGGAAGGGTGACTGGCTTGCTATCCTTGGTGCCGGTGGAGGCTTAGGACATATGTATCCAGATCTTTTCTCTATTCATCCAGTTTGCTTTACTGATTCACATGAGCAGGGGAATCCAAATTGCAGCTAAGCAGGGCCTAAAAGTCCTCGCGATCGATATGTGAGCACTCATGGTGGGATTCTCGAAGATGGCAATGATAATGCTGACCAACTGAAGGGGCGACGAGAAGAGAGACCTATGTCTGTCACTTGGGGCCACTGAATTCCTGGACTTCCGCAATGTCGATATTGTTGAAAGTGTCAAGTCGCTCACATCCGGTCTGGGTGTTCACGCTGTGATTTGTACCGCCAATGGTGAGGCAGCTTATCAACAGAGCATGCAAATGCTTCGGCCACTCGGTACCCTTGTTTGCGTTGGGATTCCCCATACCCAATTCTTGCTCCCAACTTCCCCTTTCGAGATGATAGTCAAAGGTAAGTGTGTGACAATATTACGTATTCGCACTGCATGATCAGAATCGTTAACCTGCTCTTGGCGAGAATGATAGGCCTCACAATTGTGGGGAACTCTGCCGGTACTGCCGCTGAAATGAATGAATTGTTGGCGATGGCAGTCAACGGTGATGTGAAGGCGCATATCGAGATCTTTGAATTGAAAGATATTGTCGACGTCTTGCAGCGGCTTGAGAGCTCTGAGATCAAAGGAAGGGCTGTGTTGAGGATTCCTGAATGATTTCATGTGATGCTATACATTCATATTTTCAAATCACTCATGTCCTTTTGTTTTTGAAAGGCCATGATCATCACCCTGCTGTCAAAGCAGCAACAAGACTATAGCGAAGAATTTACAAACACTGTAGCTTCGATGTCAGGAGCTTCTGGTTCAGCATAATGATAATATCTACGTATTGAATTTGTACTCCCAGTTCTGGGATTTAATTTTCCGGGTTGGTACTAAGTACATACCTTTTTTGGCTCACTGAGCAGCTTGACCTACCCCCTGATCCTGGTCTAAGAGGCAGTTCTTCCAGACAGCTTCATAAAGTGATTTTTCTAATACTAAATTTGAGTCGCTTTATAGTAGGAAACTGTGAGAACCCTCCAAGGTCTTATCGTGGCCGATAGATAGCTTTTGAACATCCTCTTGAGGCTATATTCCAGAAATAGCATCATAGATTCAGTACTTTTTATGGCATATGGATCTACATTAAATCTTGTGACTCTTGCACTCAAATTGTACCAATGGATCTGATGTTGTTGGAAATAATGAAAACCAAATGGGATGCAACCGGGCTATGCAAGCTTGACTCTTCCAGCCTCGGTGTTACATACCGTCATTTTCCCTTGCCATGCCTGCAACGCCATCTCTTCGGCATCCCATTTTCACAGGAATTCTTGCGTCTCTCGATCAGCCCACTTGTCAGAGTTTGGCCCCCCCCCCTTTCATGCTAGCACGGAATTGCTCATCACGGGCCTGTTGATCTAGCCCATCGGGAAGGTGAAGGGTGGCACGGTTGACCGTCCCTGACTGTTGAACTGCTTCTGCTCGGAGTTTTCGGGACGCTTTATACGCTCGTAGAGCCTTAGGGATCTCGTCAAAAGATGAAATCACTGATAAGAGCACACCCAGCGCGGCAGCATCTTCCACTGCCTGAGCTGCGCCTTGCGCGACATATGGACTATCAATAAAATTAGCCCTGGAACAAAGCAATGAAAAATGCTTCAAACTTACAGCACTGGATGGCACGCATCCCCAGTCATAGCAACAGAGCCCTCGATCCAGGTCTGTAACGGTGGATAACTGCAAAGCTTCCATTCCAAGACCTCGTCATCCTTCACCAGGTTAAGTAATTTCGTCATTCGGGGATCCCAGCCGTGGTAATGCTTCAACATGTCCATTTTAGACGCGGTGGTTGTCCACGACTCTTCCGCACCATGCTCGTCGGGATGGAGCAAGACAATGTTGAAGAGTTCATGATTGCGCACTGGGTACGCTATGATGTGCCGATGAGGCCCTATCCAGCGCGTAGCCACAGGCTCATCAATTAACATCTTCAACTCTTCCTCGTGCTCCATCGGCTCACGGCTCAGCATGATGCGATAGGCAGCGTCTCCAGTGGGAACCGGCTGCAAAGCAGACTCTCCTCAGAGCTGACCACGGATAACAGACTTGATCCCGTCGGCTGCGATAATGACATTTCCCGTAACCACGGTACCATCCTCTAGCATCACGGCGGCAGGGCTAGAAGACTGGATCGCCGAGACACGGGAGTCTAACCTAGCTCCACGTTTTCTAGCGCCAGAGCCTTGGCTACCAATGCGCTGTGTAGGTCTGCCCGATGAATCACGACTTGCTGTCCATATGTTTTGTTCACCGGCGTTGTGCCCCGGTCTTGCCATCTGCGGATAGTGATAGCCTTGAGAGCAACATCCTTCTCATGTATTATTGACGAGATGTCCCACCCTGCACAACCATGACAAGTAAAGGAGACAGTCAGCCAGTGACGGTTTTTTGTAATAGTGAATGTCTATGCCATTCTTATTGTCAAATAGCCTCAGCATATTAGGGGATACCTGGATTCCTGCTCCAACTTCCATGAGCTGATTATTAATGTCAGAGCAGCGGTAAGGCAAGTATTATTGCCTCTTTGGCACTTAACATAGTCTGAGAAACTACTTTCGAGGCTGCTTCAAGGATAGTGACATAGTGGCCACGCTGACCCAGCGCCAACGCCGCGGCCATGCCATGCCACCAATACCTAAATCCGCTTTAGAGAGATGGTTCTTCAGAAAAAGACTTGAGAAAGCGTACCGGCTCTTATGTCATGAAAACTGTTAACTATGAACTGACTTAACAAAGGAGATGTTGAGAACATATTTACCCAACAATGACAACCTCAATGGGCGTCTTAGCCTTTGGCACAATCATGACTTCGTGATAGGTGGTTACGAGAATTTGAAAGGCTCTAAACAAAACTTGATCATTTAGCAGCATAGCTAGAAGGATGAAAGTACGAAGAAAATAAATTTAACAAGCCAACTCTGAGTAAATATAGTTATATATAGCTTAACATCCTGCAAGCATCGTACCAAAATGAATGTTCACCTACCCAAGGTGGCCATTGTCCTAATCTGCTCATTTAAAATGGAGCTTTACAGCCGTCCCCACCTTTTAATTTTTATTTACTTCGGCTCAGTGACATGTCAGTACGGGTTCAGGAAATCGGGTTCTTGAGAAGTGGGTAGTTCATATTTGACACTTTGTTTTTTTTCCATTTCTCTACAATGAGGAATCAATATACACTAAGTAACACTCACTCTTGGCGAATTGGGGCTCTCGGCAATGCTTGAACTGTTCATTGCCGAGACTAACTTTCTTTAGGCAGGCACGGCGTCCCGTTAGATTATTATGAGACAAAAAATTTCATTTTCTGCAGAGCTCTCCGGAATGAGTATGGCTCGGTTGAATGGCGCATTGACTAGGCACTCTGGTAATAAAGCTGCTAACTTGTCAAAGTCACAGGGGAGCTGAGTAGGAGTGGAACCCTTGGAAGCCTTATTGTCTAGACCTCCCGTGGTTTAATCGAATATCCCTACCCGCGTGGGGCTTAAACTTTCTGCAGCTAAATGATATGAAACGCACGGTCCTCAAATCCCGTCGCACGTTCGGAAGATACCTGTCAGCCAATTGGAAGGTGGGGATTCAAGTCTCGTTTCTACATGATGGTAATGATATGCGATGTGTAACTGAGAATTCACTACATTTCACGCTATCACGAGGCCCTGCAGGAGTCCTGCAGGAGTCGGCCTAAATGAACTAACTTTGGTACGTGTAGTGGACCCTCTGACAATTTCCTATTGATGTGATGGGAAAGGTTTTCATCCAAACACTCGAGCATTCCTAACCTATCTCTCGGCGTTTAGATACAGTCCGCGACTTGTTAGCAATCCATTACTAGGATTGGTCTTTCGTTTCTTAGCTGGCTTGAGTCAGATATTACTCAGTGTTTTCTAGCTCAACAGCTGCATGAGGCTGCAGTATATCATCAAGACAGCGAAAAACGAAGGCCATATAAGGACACAAGAATCATCTTTCATCTTCTCTTTTTTTCTAATCTTTAGTTCTCGTTATAGACTCCTTACTAAGTTGCTCATCATGCCTCCCCTCATACCCTACCATGTTTCTGCAGGAAGTAATCCCGTTGTCAAGTATGCGCGCTCTTCTCTAAGCCCGGCTCCTCTGGAGGGACTCCCACAGCTAAACATATTTTACTTTCAGATTCGGAGGCGCTCTTGTTACAGAGTTCCTGGAGCCGCCTCCGGGTCGATGCTTTGCCTTCCGTCAAAAATACTGTCTCAAACCCCCTATGGATGAGAATCACCCGGACTACGACAAGATTAATGAAGCTTTGAATCATCCGTCCGGCCCTCCTCTCCACTTTCACCCATTCCAGAATGAGTACTTCCGCGTGGAGCAGGGTCGGATGTGTGTCGAGATGGACGGCGTTCTGCGTACTCTAACTCCCGCAGACGGCGAGGTTATGGGCCGTGCCGGGTCCATTCATCGCTTCTATATCGCCCCAGACAGCACCGAAGACATGATAATCATACTGAGTGCATCTGATTCTGGTCTAGATTATCAGCTAGATCGGGTTTTCTTCGAGAACTGGTATGGCTTGTGGCATGATTACCTCGTGCATGAAGGCAAGATGGATCTCATTCAGCTGCTTTGTGTACGTGTGCCGTTCTGGCCCCCTTTCTTGTCTTCTGCCCCGCCCCCACCCATTCCACTGTGCGGGAACTAGACTGAATAAATCTCTCCTCCTCCAACAGACATACGACGCGGGAGATGCCTATCTCCTGCCACCCGCGTGGTTGCCCAATCGCGTACGAAAGTTGATCGGCTACTGGGGCGGTGTCATTGTAGGTCGTTGGATTGGGAGACTTCTTGGCTACAAGCCCTTCTTCAAGGAGTATACGACCGACTGGGCTTACGCAGTGCACAAGATGGAAGCTTCTTCCTTTACTCGCCAGGTAGTCGGTCGTTCCTTTACTTCGGCCATGAGCTGGGCACAACTCCAAATGTGCGCTACTCAGTGGCAATATGGAGGCGGAACCGAGGGTTTTGTCACTCCCGATGTCAAAGTCCCCATCAGTAACGGACACAAGTGAATATTGGCTTGCTATAGACTTATTTCAAGTTGCGATAGATGGTCAGGTAGAGCAGACTATTAGTAATGATACGAAACCGATTGAGTGTACACTGATCACTCGTAGGATTAGACCCTTGAGCTCTTTCTTTTTAAAATGCGTCAAAGTATACTCCACGTCTTTGATGGAAAATTGACAGGATCTGAAATTCCATTTAGAACTTTTCAACGCCCCCGGGACTGCCCGTCGGGCATACCCGTAAAAAGATCTAATCACATTTTCGGCCCAGACCAACGCTAGGCGGGTGGACGGCGGTATGCGAGCGACCAGTAGTATCTGCTATGTTACCCAAGCTACTTGTATCTAGTATTTTCCCGGGTGGGTACAGGTGGGTATAGCCTACTCCGTAGGGTCAACAACAATGAAGGAGAAGTGAAATCAAATCATTGGTTCCTGCTCCTGTGTTTCCTATTGGTTGCCTCCTCCTGGATTTCCTATTGGTCGGGAGATGAAAATAGCCTCATCCACTTTTTTTATCGACGAACTGTAATCGCAATATTGTTCCCCTCTCTAATTCCCTCAATGCAAAACCTCCACCCTTAGGCTAGATCTTTCCTTCGTCATGATTTACAATTTCACTCCTCTGCAATCAGGACCCCTGGTAAAGCGAAGGAAAGTGCGACGAGCATGCGAGTTCTGTCGCGAGCATCGCGTTCGCTGCGATGGCATGTTGCCGTGTTCACAGTGTATGACGAACAAAGTCAATTGTGTCAAGCCTAAGGCCTCGCATCACCTATCGCCACCTCGCTCGGCTAGACCCCAGCATATCCGCCCATCTGTCCCCTCCTGTACTCCACCTCCACAATCAGTGACCTCGTCCGCTCCTGTCGATTCACCAAGAGACCCGACTCATGTAGTCTCCCGCCATCCGGACTGTCTAACTGGCTTTATCTCACGGATCAATCTATTTTGTTCCGTAGTTTCACAAATATCATCACAAGCATCTCCAGACTCTAGTGAATTAATCTCTTCTGAGACCTCGTATTCAACTCCGGAATTGATCCAAGATGCAGAGCAGAGCCTTACGCAGTCGAGACTGTCAAGCTTGCCAGACCTCCAAGAAAGGCTTCTAGAGATCTTTTGGGCTCGCTATTTATGCTTAACACCAGTTTTGACTCAATCAGACGTACTGGATCTTGAGCCAGACCGAAAGCGAGAGCCTTTGCGAAACGCTCTGATGGCATACTGCTTGCAATCAGTTTATCATGCCGGTCTACATCATCGTTTTCTGGGTATCAATGCAGGACTGAACAAGGCTCAAGAATCCTCATCCGACAAACAGCAGAGCCCCCTCGTGACTTTATTTGCTTCTTACTTCCAAAAAGCCTTGGCGGCAAACAGTCATTATCTCCTATATGCGGAACCATCTGTGTTGGACGTCCAGCGCCATATTCTGATGGCCTTGTTTCTGCTGAATTCTGGAGAGTTCCTGGCCGCATATAACATTACCGGGGCGGCTATTCGACTTGCGCAGTCGCTAGACCTGCAGAAACCACCGGCACCTCTTGTTATTTCAAAAGAGACAGAAATCTGTGGTCGCATATGGTGGATGTTAGTTCACCTCGATTTTCGCTGCTCGAGATACTTGGGTAAACCCATGGTAGTCTCACTAAGAGACACCACACTTCCCATGCCAAATTATAATCCCTCCACCGACCCGGAATGCTCGGAGCTGGTCTTTCACTCAGCCACGATTACACTAACAGTGGTTGGCAAAAGAGTTGCCGAATCCTTGGCGGCTCGGCACGATACAATTAATGCCAATGATTCTGTCTCACAAATCGAGCTGTCAGCGGAGCATCTCACCCACGAAATCAGTCGGTTGTTTGAATGGAGAGATCTTTTTGTGAAGGCGGAGCCATTTAAGTACTTGGACCTTGTCGGTTGTGCCAATCAACCTCAGACACACGCAGCCGGGGAAGGATTGAAACACCATGACGATGCATGGATTTGTGATCAATCACCCACTCGCATCTTGCAGCAAACACTTCTCGAACTCCAATTTCATGATCTTGTTATTTGGTTTCACCGCCCATTCATACAGTTTCCTAGTCATGACCTGGTCCCTCAACGCAGCCCAGGAGCCGACATACATGCGACAACAGCTCTACAACACGCTTTGAAGGTCACAGAGACTGTGCACCGGCGTATGCTCTACCACGATGCTCTTTATGGATGCTCCGACGTATATCAATACGTCTGGAATGCAGTCCTGACTCTGGTGGGCTTTCTATTGGCCTATCCTTTATGCTACTGGTTCCCTGTCGCTCGAAAACATGTCGAGCTATCTTTTCAAATTTTCGACATAGCAAAAGCCTCAAATCCCATTGCGTCTCGGGCTGCCCACCTGACCCGTTACCTCCTCGGTCGAGTCGATGCTCTCATAGAAATACTTAATGCGCAAGCTTCTGCATCCAATCCGCATGCTCATTCGCCTGCTCGCGAGCAAGTCGCGGAAAATTGGGATCGAGTGAACTTGGAGCAGTCCTCCGGCCCTTACTTGCTTACTCCTGGGGCGGATGCTTTGTGGTCCTGGGCTGACACGGTAGACCCCAAGGCTTGGTCGGGTTACTGTAATGAAATCAACGATATGCTAATATCTCTCCCTGAGATGCCCCCAGGCACAGATTATTTCCCTGTTTAACGGCAATTTTTCTTGTGGCTAGCATACTTCGTTATCTCTTTTGTTTTAATGACACAATTCTATAAATATGAGAAGTCCATAGCGCATTCGATTTCTATCACTCGCAGGGTGTTGCGAGCGCTCAAACAAATTGTCCCACCTTCAACTTATCCGAAGAAGCAAATTCAGACTGGCGGGTTTCCAATTCTTCCAGATCCCAGTTGACAGATAGGTGGCGGCCATTTAGATACTCGGGACGCTTAGCCGCCAGGTATACCGTCACAGCTCCAGTCAACTCGGCTATGTGAGAGGTAAAAGGTTAGCAAGAACAATCTCCCAAAGAGTTGAGACATATTGTAACATACCGGTATCTTTGGCAAATGGTTTAAACGAGTCCAGCGTCATGCTTGTCAGAACAATGCCCGGCGACAGACTATAGGCCGTGACGTGAGGGTTCTCGGCGGTGACGAACTCAGTCAGCTTGGCCACGCCCAGTTTGCTAATGAAGTAACTGCTCAGCGTCGGAGGCGTCAGCGCGATTGTGCTGATCAAATTCACCACCGTGGGCTTGATTTCTGGCGTCTGGGCGGTCAAACGCAAGAAGGCCGCGGTTACATGGTATGTACCGCGCACGTTGATCTCAAAGTCGCTCCACCATGTGGCTGAATCGGATTCCGCAATGGAGGCGCCAGGTGCAAAAACTCCAGCGTTGTTGACTAGGGTGTGGGCGGTTCCGAACTTGTTTTTGATGGCGTCGAAGGTGCGGGACACGGCCTTCTCATCAGCAATATCGGTGGGAAGCGTGAGGATCTCGACTGAGGGAAACTCTGCTTGGACAACCTTTTTGGTCTCCTCTGCAGATGACTCGGACAAGGTGATAAGAACTAATCCCTTCACGCCAGATTGTGCGTGGCTTCGTGCAATTGCCTTGAATGGAAGATCGTTAGAACAAATTCAAATCTTCTTTTCGTGACTTAGCCACTAACTCTGCCAATTCCCTTTCCCGCGCCTGTTATAATTGTCACTTTATCTGTTTGGGAGAATTCTGGCTTAGTGGGCTCAATGGCTGGATAGACATCTCGGTAGTAGGTTTTGGTGATCGAACCCCCTCGGGTAAATTGATCAGGGTCAATGGGAGAGTCAGACATAGTGAGGAAGGTATTCAATCGATGCTGGAATAATGAAAGGGAAAGGCCGCGCCCCTCCTGCCTATATAGAGTCTAACCCCTCATATTCAATTCCCTAGCTTATATTCTATATTATTCAATTATTATAAATCTCATTGTTCCATCCCGCTTGATTGGATTCTTCCGCTTGCTCCACCCTTGATGGAATTGGTGGCATCGCTCCACATAATCTAACCAAAAGGAGTAATAGTTACTCCTTTGGGTAATCCATTCCACACTACACCATCCTGGGCCAGAAGGGAGGCACAGGGAAATATGCTTGGATTCATATAATGGCATAACGCACTTCCAAATGCTTCTCGAGTAGCTCTCCCAGTATCAATCTTTCCCCGGCAGCTATGGGTGATTTAACGGAACCAATGGAGCCCCAAGATCAAGACAAAATTGAGAAAGCTCACTATGAGGCTGAGGAGATCGATCGATTGGTGGACGACTTCCTAGCTCGTCAGACCAGCGCGTCAGAGAACCGCGGAGACATTGTTTTTGAGGATCTGTCTGTAATAGGAGCAGGAATTGGGGTTTGTCTATACTGCCTTGGAAATTTTGTTGCTCAGATCACTAACGTTTCACGTTTCTATACAGCATCAACTTGTTAACAATGTCCCCGAGGCGTGTATGCGACTCTTCAAGCTTGCTAATCCCGCTAGATGGTCCAGTAAGCCTGCTCCATCTCGGGTCCTACTCCGCAAGTTGACCGGCTCAATTCGTGAGGGCGAGATGCTGATGGTGGTGGGGCGACCTGGCAGTGGTTGTACCACTTTTCTCAAAGCCCTAGCCAACATGCGGGAAGAGTACCTTGCTATGGAGGGTAAAGTCTGGTATGGATCGCTTGATGCAGCGGCAGCGAAGAAGAACAGACCCCATGACATTGCTTTCGTTGGTATGGTGGCACGCACGCTCATTTCATTCTCCTTTTACTAAACTTCGGATCCTTGGATAGGCGAAAACGATGTTCACTTTCCCACATTGTCAGTAAGCACCACGCTACGGTATGTTTATGTTTTTCACTGTCTCTATCCTTGGGTTGCCATAAGAGTCTTTTATTCACATAATATAGCTTTGCGCTTAATGCTCGGCGCGGTACATCTGAAACGGCTCGCGCATCAAGCCTTGAGCAAGACCTGCAAACTGTACTGCAACTCATGGGTCTCGACCACGCGGCCGGTGTACGAATTGGAAACGATCACATTCGCGGAGTCAGTGGTGGACAGCGTCGGCGAGTATCTCTTGCTGAGGCTTTTTGCACCCGTGCAAGGTCGGATTGCCCATAGGCCTAAATTGTCGATTGGTTGAGCTGACTCTCCTACAGTTTATTCTGCCTTGATAACCCTACTCGAGGTTTGGATTCCTCGACTGCGATCCGCTTCCTCACTGTCCTTCGGAAATATACGACACGCAGTGGATGTGCCACAGCAATGTCTTTGTATCAGGCCAGCGACCTTGCGGTTTCACTGTTTGACAAGATATTGGTTTTGAATGAAGGCCGTGTAGCATACTATGGCCCGGCGTCTTCTGCCAAAGAGTACTTCGAATCGCTCGGATTTTACTGCTCCTCGCGGACTTCCATATCGGACTTCCTTGCATCTATGTCAGGAACTCCGGATGGTCGACTCTCCCGCGAAGATATTCAGCGGCCAGTTCCTCTTCATCCTGCTGATTTTGAAGCCCGGTTCTGGGAGAGTAGCTTTTATCAAGAGGCAATTGAGAAATCCAAGGCGCCCCAACATACGTCGTCGACTATAAAGCCCTCTGGATATGCTCTTCCATTTTATCGTCAGGTCTATGAGTGCACTATCCGTCATTATCGCATCTTTATGACCGACAGGGCTGCTTGGATTGCTGAAGCCGCAGGAACTATTGTGCAAGCTCTTCTTCTCGGTACTCTATTTCGAAACCAACGCGACGAAACTGAAGGGCTGTACACACGCTGCTCAGCCTTGTTCTTCTGTGTACTCATTATGGGTCTACAAGCATCTGCGGAGTTTGGAAATACGTTCGTTCAACGCCCGATTTTGTTGAAACAGAAGTCCCTAGGATTTTACCGACCCGGAGCGTACGCGCTGGGGCAGATTCTCGCCGATGTTCCGTGGAAGCTCATTTTCATCCTCTACTCCCTTCCTATTTACTGGATGATAGACTTTCAGCGCACCGCCGGCCATTTCTTCACATGGCTCGTCTGTCTCTACATGGGCTTGATGGCGCTTTCCGTGATGTTTCGGGCTATTGCGGTATTTACAACTTCCATTACTCGAGCCATCCTGCCTGTTGGTCTACTTCTCAATGTTCTCATCATATACACTGGCTTCTATATCACTCCACCTGGCATGAAGGTCTGGCTGGGATGGATCCGATACCTAGATGTAAGTCTTCTGAGCAAGAGCGAATTTTCTGGGGGATCAGAATCTAACAATTCCTTTTTTTCTCAGCCAATGTACTATATCTTTGAGTCCATTGCCCTAAATGAGATTGGGGACAGCGCGTATCAATGCAGTGCCAAAGATACCGTACCCGTGGGGTTATCATACAATGATACCAGCTATCAGACGTGCGCGATGTCGGGATCCTTACCCGGTCACCTAGATCTTTCCGGAAAGCTCTATCTTATGGCTGAATATGGCTTCCACTCTCTTCACAAGTGGCGGAATGTCGGTATAAATGCCGCCTTCTTCCTTTTTTTCTCAGTTCTGGTCACGTATGTTTCACTGCCGTTCATTTCCTATATTTTACTTCCCATCACTAATGTAACCTCAACGATGCTTCCAACAGAATCGGAATGGAGAGATTCCGTCATGCAGCGGCACACATGTCGACTATCTATTATCGAAAGCTACCATGGACAAAAACCTCAGCTACCAGTCTGACAGATATTGAAACACCACCATTGACCAATGAAATCGGAAAATATGAGAAGACGTCGGAGAGCGAGTCGGCCGCTAACCATTTCGAGCCTAATAGTCATACCTTTGCATGGCAGGATCTGACTCTTGACCTGGGCAATGGAAAGCGATTGCTTGATAATGTTTCAGGTACTTTTACTTACGTGATATCCATATAAAGAGTTTTCACTGATGATTTCATACAGGGTGGCTTCAGCCCGGCTCAATGACCGCGTTGATGGGTATGTCTGGTGCAGGGAAGGTAGGCATATCTAACCCGTCTCGTTTCAAAACATGGGCATTGGAATTGACTTGGACGCATCTTAGACGACCCTTCTTGACGCTCTTGCACAGAGGATCCAGATTGGCGTGTTATCTGGAGGGCTTTATCTCGATGGGGGTCCACTACCGGCATCAATGGGTCGTCGGACTGGCTTCGTTCACCAGAATGATATCCATCTTGATTCGTCCACGGTACGAGAAGCCCTCCAGCTGAGTGCAAGACTCCGCCGCCCATCTGATATTTCTCTTGAAAAAAAGATGGCGCATGTTGAAATGGTCATCAGCCTCTTGGACATGGAAGATATTGCCGATGCTGTCATTGGTGTTCCAGGGGCCGGACTAGATTTGGAGAGGCGTAAGCGTGTCAGTATCGGAGTTGAGCTGGCAGCCAAGCCGGACATTCTTCTATTCCTTGATGAGCCCACTTCGGGTTTAGATGGCAATTCGGCTCTTTCAATCGTCCAGCTTATGCGTAAGCTGTCCCATGCCGGGCAAACGATACTGTGCACGATTCATCAACCCTCTTCTCAGATGATTGAACAATTTGACTCCTTGCTAATTTTGATCCCTGGAGGCAAGACGATGTACTTTGGCCCCCTTGGCCATCAGTGCAGAATAATTCTCGATTACTTCGCTCGCTATACACGCCGCTGTAATAATACCGAAAATCCAGCCGACTACCTGCTGGACGTCAGCGCTGACTCTCAAAAAGACTGGTTTCAGGTATGTTCTTCTAATTATTTCTTAAATTTAATTCTTATATTTCACATTAGATCTGGCAACACTCGCCCGAGTTCGAGGCCACAAAAGAGCAACTTCAAAATCTCAAGGAGAAAGACGTTATAGTCTCTGCAGGATCAGATCGAGCCCATGCCGCCTCATATCTCGAGCAGCTTCAGGTGGTCACCCAGCGTGCGTTCACCAATTACTGGCGCGACTCAGACTATGTGCTGGGGAAAATCCAGCTTAACATCTGGATGGGCTTGATGAATGGATTGACCTTTCTTCAACTCTCTAATGACCTAACGGACTCTCGCGGCCGCATGTTCTCCATCTTTGTGGGCGTCATCACTGGGCCTGTCCTTAGTCTTCAGATCGAGCCGAGGTTCATCATCCTGCGAGACCAATTTTTGGCCCGAGAGAACGAGTCCCACGTGTACCATTGGAGCGTGTTCACTATCAGTGCCTTGCTAGTAGAGATCCCATTCACCCTACTCGGAGGCCTGATATACTGGCTGCTATGGTACTATATGGTGGGATATTTCACCATCTCAACGAGCGCGGGCTATGCGTTCCTCATGTACGAACTCTACTCGCTCTTTGTCGCCAGCCTGGCCCAATTTACGGCTGCGATATTCCCTACCACTCTGGCGGCACAGGTCGCCACCGGCTTCGTGTGGCTGGTAGTTAACACCTTCAACGGCCCTCTCTCGCCGCCGCCCCTGACTCCTCGTGGCTGGCGCTGGTTCTACAACATCTCCCCACTATACTACTTTATCGAAGGTATCGGTAGCAACGCAATGCATGCGCTAGAAATCACCTGCCGAAGCTCCGAGCTAAGCGTCTTCATTACCCCGACGTCGGAGACCTGTGGCTCCTACGCCGCCGCGTTCTTCAGCCAGTCCAATTCGACTGGTTACCTGGTGGATACCAGCGCTACGGGACAATGCGAATATTGCAGTTACGCTAATGGCGATCAATATGTGGGTTCTCTCTTCCCTCTCCCAAGTCCCTGTCCTTTTACCTTTTTTATCTTGTTTTTGTCATTTCATCAGGAAATTTTCCGTTGGGTTACTCGCTAACCACGAAAGTCCACTTAGATCAAACAATATGATTTCAGCTACTCGCAGAGAGGTCGTAATGTGGGAATATTCATTGGGTTCATCCTGTTCAACTACACGATGGCTATTGTGGCGACGTATTCGATCTTCATTTTCAAATGGCGGAAGCGTTCGGCGTGATATTGCACCATATCCTTCATGTTGTATGGGGGATCTATTGAAAACCCTCAGGAATAATAAAATTTGGTCTAACGAAACTTCGCTCCGCTTTTGCCTCGTATATGTGCCAGGCGTCGTTCGGATCTTTGAGTTGCCAAGAAAAAACTTGTGCGATCAGATGTTTCATCTTAAACTATCTCTTCACACAGTGTGAAAATAAGCCAATTTTTGCGTTCTCTCAAACCCGACATTTTGATCAGGAGGTGGCAACAGTCAATTTTAACATTATATCAATGGTCACTTCAACCTCGAGTAAGATCATAAGAATAGTGTTTCAGTTTGAGAGGGCCGAAATTTTTCTAAGCAGGACATCATTTAAATATCCGAAAAACTTGAGAATGTTCATCGACTACCTTCATGGCAAGCTCTACTCGAACTTCTCGGATGAAGTGATAGTATTGTTATCAACTCCCAAACTAAAACCGACATATTGATGGTTGAAAATAAGATTGTGGGTGGAGATCAGCGGCGCAATTCACGTCCACAATATCGCTATCGCCTGTCTTCCCTCCGGTGTTTATGGTACTACATCCGCTGCCATAGTCGCCACCCATCTCAACTCCAACTTCCCAGCTATCCGTTTCAGCCTCATGGTTGGCATCGCCGGAGGCATCCCCCACCCCAGCACTACTGATATCCGGCTAGGCGATATAGTGGTCAGTAAACCCACCGGCTCAACTGGCGGCGTCATCCAGTACGACTACGGCAAAACACAGATCAGTGGGCGTTTCCACCGCACAGGATGTTTGAATAAACCTCCCGCAGAGCTCCTGGCCGCCTTGGCGACACTAGAATCCGATCATCTCCTTAGTCCCTCGAGTATCCCCGTGCATTTAGCACAAATGCAAGCGCGATTTCCGGTCTTGGTCTCCCCCGGTCCGCAGCTCGATTTCCTCTTTAATCCCTCGTATCCGCATGTTGGGCACAGCTCAGAGGAATGCCGGTCCAGGTGCGACAACAGTTATCTTGTTTCTCGGTCGCCTCGCAGCTCTCTCGCTCCACGGGTACATTATGGGCTAATTGCATCGGGGAACCAGGTAATGCGTGATGCAGTTACGAGAGATAGTATTGCGAGTCAGTTGGATGAGGTGCTGTGTTTTGAGATGGAGGCCGCTGGACTGATGGATCAATTCCCTTGCTTGGTTGTGAGGGGGATCTGTGACTATGCAGATTCTCATAAGAGTAAACTTTGGCAGCCGTATGGCGCTGCTACTGCTGCCGCATATGCGAAGGAGTTGCTTGGCGTAATTCCTGTACAGCGGGTTGAGGAGGGGAGTGGCGCTGCCAACGGAGGAAGAAGGGCGGGTTCGAAGCAGGTATGACTGATGATTATCTCTCACTATTTGCATGTCGCGAGCCAATTGCTAATGGATTCTTGATTCTGCAGCGCAATATAGTGCATCAGGGAGATGTTAATATTGGATCAGTTGGTAGTAACACTGGGATAATTATGGGGAATGTTAATTCCACCGGGGAAAATGGTGTGAGGATAGTAGGATCATCTACCGTGGTATGCATGACTTCTTCTTTTTTGATGTGCCTAACTAACTCAAGACGCAGAATCACGGGTATCGCCGATAGATAATACATATATTGACCTGAAATCCACTCTATAGACCGTAGAAAGTATTCATAGCCGATGTACCTACAGAGCCTAAGCTATTATCGTCAACACAGTTCCCGGGCAAGTAGCATGCTATTGTTGTGTTGCTAGAAAAAAATAACTGCGCTCGGCAGAGCCATATCCTGGAACGGGTGCGAAAGTAACAGCCCGGTGCGCTATCCTGGCGATCTCAGTTGGCAATATGCGAGATGTCGTTTACATATTGTAGTGGGGAGAACTGGTCCCTACTACGGATTACCATACCCTTACGGGTCACATTCCGTCCCGTAAGGAAAAGGGTATATTAATACGAACTTAGCACTAGTTACAGAATACACGCTCTTACACATCTCTCACTTTTGACCTTTGTCGAGGGATCCACTGCTCGCCGAGGGCGACCTTCGGTCGTGGTGGGCTTTGCTGAGTATACCCGATTCGTGCGTCGTCAGAGCGTACAGCCAACGAGCGTTCCCCTCTTCAATATGTTTTATAAGTGATTGGTTATTTTGTAAAAAGAAAGGAATTATATTAGTATTAAGGTCCGGATATAGTCAAAAATTGGAAAATGGTTAATTCGAACCCCGGTGATAGGGACCCTTACAGGGACGCGCCCAGGTAGAACTGTCCTAATATTGGTATGCTAGGCCGCCTATATCGCTTACTCTTTGTTAGCTCCTCTTCAAGGAGTGTCCACTTTCTGACAGTATGGTATGTGCGTATATTTCTCTGTACTTCCATATGAGGTAAAACTTGATTATAAGCTGATAGAAAAGATATACATTAATCTTGAGGCGTTGTGAGCAAAAGGAAACCAGCAATGACAAAAAGAAAATAAAAAGAAATGGTTCCAGAGGGGGTCGAACCCTCGACTTTGGCGTTATTAGCACCACACTCTAACCAACTGAGTTATGGAACCAGTTTGTTGAAGATGGCTTCATGTTCAAAATTCATGAGCGAAAAATCAATTTATAGCCAATAACTGACATGGATCTCGAAATTAGGCCTACATCCAAGTCTTCTTCATTTAACGTGAGGAATTGGGCTGCATATGAATCTTAATCTATAATTAGACATACTTCAATCAATTATTCTGCTCAATGTGGTTCTAACATGTTTATAATGCTCAGAGGCTCTATTCTCGGTTTTTTACATGGGGTTTCATCAAGATTTGAACTATGCACATATATATATTTCAAGGTACGCAACATGCATCCCCACTAACATCCGTTGAAACCCAGAAATTTGTAATGAACCAGCGCTAATTTATATGAGAACAAAATACTTGAAACGTAGCTGAGGATATTCAACATTGAAGATACCTTCCTTTATAAATGACAGCTTCAGAACAAAAATATTCAAACCGAGGATAAGAACATTAAATGCAAGCTAAACCTGTACATGGACACAATATTTACCTTAAACCAACTACATTTCAAGATTCGTATAAGGGATACTTAATTCCACCTCTTACAGTAATCTGGCAACGTGCTGTTAATAAATAAGAGGCCATTAACCCATGGCCAGTAAATGACCAAGAGAAAAAAAAGGAGAAAAAAATGAGTTGAGCAAAATGCTGCCATGGAGGATAGATACACAGATGGTCAATGAGCTCTGGGTAAAAGCTAGTTCTATCGAGTCAGTAGATTATTCATTCCTCCTGCTGAGAAGCAACTGAACAAAAAAAATAAAACCTATTTCGTCACCTATACTTTGAATGAAGATGGATAGGGTCAAAAAGCAAAAAGGAAGTGGTTCCAGAGGGGGTCGAACCCTCGACTTTGGCGTTATTAGCACCACACTCTAACCAACTGAGTTATGGAACCGGCTTCTTGAGAAACGAAAAGATTAATGTGATAATGTAGACTTAGAGTTCTGACAGCCAACTTACTGGTGAACTTGAGCTGGCTGTATCCCCTATAGACATTCCAAGGGCTAATAGATTTTCTGCACCAGGGAATATACTATCTGGTTGGCCTACCCATATGATCGTCTCAACTTAACACAAATTTCTTGTAGTTCACTCTGCATCCGAAATTTAATTCGTACAGTAGCATGGGTAGATTTCTGTGCGCCTATTCGGGAGGCCGTGCAGCGGTGCGTGCATTTAAAGTGGGGACTGGCATCCTTTCCGGCCTACCGCGTCATCGGCCGAATTTGACCTGGCTTGATTTGATGGCGCCATATATAGCACTGATTATCACTGCCTTATATTCAAACAAAATGAAGCTTTCTCTGTGGATCATACATGCTGGATTCTATACTAGGTTGATACAGGCTCTTGTGTATAAGCTGCCCTGTGTATTATAGTGGCCTTAGGCACTAACGGCGTCTTGCATCCGAGAGTGATCCACAAGATCCCACTTAGGGCCAAATTTTCGGGGCCGTATAACAAGTCGGTTCCATAACTCAGTTGGTTAGAGTGTGGTGCTAATAACGCCAAAGTCGAGGGTTCGACCCCCTCTGGAACCATCAGATCTGGATTCATCCAGTTTCCTTTTTGCTTTTGATTCAAATCGTAATTCATATTTTTGCTCTGTATACTATCTAACCGCGGGTCCCAAGGAAAGGCTAGATGAGGGTTGTATTTGGATTATAACTGCATGATGTACATTTATCACAAAGACAGGAGATCTATACATCGGTTGCCAAATCTATATGTGCTTCGATACGCATTTCCTCAAATTTTCCATCCATCTCCCTGTTTCCATTTTATCAGACGCACTCCAATAAAAAATACAGACCCTGTTACTACCATGACAGCGGTAAAAAGCTGGGCTTTCCAAAATATCGCATCCTGCAAGTCCAACAAAGCACCTGCAATAGGGTTACCGATAAGAAGACCCGTGCCGGCAAAAGTAAAGCACATTCCCATGCGGGCCCCCACAGTAGCCATGTTAGGACTTAGTCGTGTAATAATGGTAGGCGGCAAGGAGACAATCGCTCCGGATGCATACCCATAAAGACACGCAAAGACAATCGCTCCGGCTTCATTGTGGATCCCGATCCACGAGAATGACAAGACAGAGGCAATCAAGCTGATGGGGATAAGTGTGTTCAAAGAGCCGACGCGATCGGCCAACAAGCCCGGTGTGATACGTCCGAAGACGGAGGCAGCATTCAGGATGGCGATGATATAGAATGATATGTTGGAGCTCGCATGGAGTGAAGAGGAGAAGAAGCTTGGGAGGTAGAAAAAGGGGAAATATAGGCCCACGAAAGAGAAAAACAGACCGAAACTGAAGACGACGAATACCGGTTCTCTGAATGCGCTGACATCAACCAGTGATCGGGCTTGTTTGGGAGGTGGTAGACGTTGTTCCATCGTGATCCAGGCGAAAATAAGACCCGCAAGTGCGATGAACGCAATGATGCGAGTCGTCCAACCAAAGCCAAGGGGTCCAATAAGTTTGTGAAATACTATAGGAAAGATCACGGAGCCTAGGAGGATGATTAGTATGTTTATCACAGCGGAGATTGAGATTGTAAAGGCAACCTACCGATACTGCCACCAGAAGCAGTGATACCCGTAGCTAGTGCACGCCGCGAGGTGAAGTAAGTAGCGACGACGGCTACACTCGGGAGGAAGAGAAATGCACACCCGATACCAACAGCGACCCCATGGGCGAGAAATACCTGATAGTATTCAGTTGATATCGATGTCATCATTAGACCGAAAACAACGAAGAAGGATCCAATGACAATGAGGCTTTTGAGATAGCCTCTGTCAAAAACGGGCCCAACAACTACGCCAACAAGGAAGAGAAGGAAGCCTTGTACAGTGCCGATCCAGGAGATAGAAGAAGCTGAGTAGCTGGAAAAAAGAACGTCTTCGTAGTAACTTTGGAACACACCAAATGTGTTGACGACGCCCCTGGGATATATGTCTTAGAGAACATCCACAACACAGCAAAAACGCTGAGAATAAACTCACCAGGAATTAAAAAAAAGGAAAAATGCACCCGCTACCTGAAGCCAAGCGACAGGTCCTCCATTAGGTGGAGGTGGAGGCGTGTCGGGGTTTTCAGGTGTCTGTTTTTCGACTTCAGAGATATCAAATTCACCCACAGGACCTGACAGGGAGCTTGCCCTTTCGTGAAGAATAGACATGATGTTATATTATAAAGATCAGAAAACCAAATTCAATGTTGACTACTTGGAGAATATAGATTTGGAACGGGCGAATAATGCCATTTTAAAAGAAGTGAATAGTCTATACCTCGCGCCTTCGCTTTCGGTGCTCGGCCTCGAACTTCAGGCGAAATAATTACTAAGTCAGTCAAAGGATCCCATACGATAATAGATCCCGAGGATTGGCTGAAACCTGGGTTCTTTCTAATCAGCCGGGGCTCAGGGGGGCATAGGGGCCAATGGAGGAGAGCCTTACGTGGGGTTGGGGGCTAGCGGCCGAGCTAAGCATTTTTGGATGATTATATCAAAATGACGCCTTAGTTGGAGCTGTTTCTCTGTAGCCGGTAATAGAAATCGCCCGGTATAGAGATGAGCTCAAGTCCGTATGGTGATTAAGTTCATGAACAAGGAGCAATCATAATGCATAGTCACTTGAATTGTTGGAGCCCGAAGCCCCCCATAATGTCTTGTGACCTCCATTAATTAATGCTTCGTACTAGGTATACCATCAGCCTGACTTTATGCTCAATTTTTCTCTGATTGCTCGTAACTCGCCAAGTGGCATGGTATCTAACCACATTTCTAGCATCTACTTTGCTCGACCTTGCTGTCGTCAAAAAGAGGCATTACGACGAGTGACACATGTTTTTGACACCCCAGTCCTTTGCTCAACATGCCCCTACACACATTCTCATCATCGACGACCAACTGCTATCCTCTCTCACTGTCCATCGCACCGGGCTCTGAATATCTGACGGTCGGGTATCTTCATCTTTAGTCAGAGATAATATTTCTCTTGCCATACTACCGAAAAACCACAAGTCTCCTCGATCACTTACAAACATCTCTTTCTTCTGTGGTAGGGAAATTTACCAAATAGTCCCGAAAAGCGGACAAAGACGGCTTATTGTAGGGCAGATAAACGACCAATGCGGACTGGCGCGCTGCAAGCCGAGAAGCTATATCTGCAACTCCCCCTCACCCTCTCTTTTCATCGCAATCACTCCAGTACGTCAGTATATTTCCGCACACAGTTGAAAGAGACTATAACTAAAAACTAATATGACAAGCTCTTCTCCGACCAGAACAACTGTGAGTAATTTGGACGAGACTCACTGGCACTTGAGGATGTCAAGCACAATGAAAATTAGATAAGGTTCTCTAGCTTAGTATGGATTTACTGATAAGAGACTACCAATGGAAATCAATCACGAATCGTTATTCTATGAATTCAAATCGAATAGAACAACCACAATTAATGGGCTTTTTGGATAATTCCATTGAAAACCGGGGAAGACCAAATGTGCCGGTGATCTTGTTGTTGATTGGTTGTTTCCTGCGGGCCTATGAGAGTTCAATATTGCCCCCACGGGGAGATGTTAAGGGTTATGGTAACCGTGGATTTCTTGTCCACAGGCACATGCGGAAACTCTTATCTCTGAATGGTCATAAATATCGGAACTAATGCAAGTAGGTTAAAGCCAATTGCTCTTAAAGTTGTATTAATTTCCCTATCCCACTGCACTTGTGCATACCCTCCCCCCATGATAACGGAGTCAAATGGATGAACTCGGGTGTCGATCTAGTTACTTTCAAAGTGGATCCATTCCAATAATACAAACCATGTACTGGTGACTTCTTGATACTATAGTTATGTGCTGTCGGATCAATGTTCCATGTACACCGTACTTGCCACTTGCCATCCCGTAGCTATCACCCTCCCCGCCAATTTCGGTCATCGTCTCCCTCTCCCCCACCCATGTGTTATGGTGATAGGATGTGGTCGATGCCCCTCCCCTCGTGATGGAGCGCGTGCTATCGGCTTTTTTGGAAACGGCGCTGTATATGAATCTTTCCCTCGTGCTCTCCAGCTTCCTCCTTTACATTCATTTCGCGTGTCTCTCTTGATTAACATGGATTGGTTACACTTCTACATCGGCGGGGCTGCGCTCCTGGTATTTGCTTTGGTTGCACTGGTTCTGCTCGTCTCGTTCCAGCAGGTCAAGGTCAACATGGACCATGGTCCCTTGACTTATGTGAAATTCATATGGGCCAACTTCCTCAAGCCACACGACAGGTCCGGGTCCGGTCAGCAGGATGCGTTGGAAAGCTTTTACAGAACACAGGTATGTGCCCAGAGCAGCATCAAAGCAGAAACAGAAAATTCACAGTATACAGGCCACCGTCTACGATGCCACCCGTCACCGTCTTCTCCGGGGTCGCGAGGATATGCTGGGTCTTGTGGCGGCACAGTTAAAGCATAAGGTTGAGAGCAAGGAGATCAAGCCTGGAAAGGCTGTCTGGGTGGATGTGAGTTTTGAAAATTGGGATTCCATTGTGTCTCATGGCTAATAGATTGTCTAGATTGGTGGCGGCACTGGGTAGGCACAGTGAACAGAAATTGCCGAGAAGATTGAGGCTAACCATGTGCTGGCAGATATAATGTTGAAGCTATGTCAGCCTTCGTTCCAGTGGAAAAGTTCTTCGACCAAGTCTACCTTGTTGATCTCTCACCATCCCTCTGCGATGTGGCTCGCAAACGCTTTGAGCGCCTTGGATGGAAGAATGTCACGGTCCTTTGCCAGGATGCTCGATCCTTCCAGATTCCCGAGCGAGCATTTGATCCGCGAACCAAGGCTGCTGCAAGCGATCGGGCCGATTTGATCACCATGAGCTACAGCCTTTCCATGATCCCAGGTATGTGAAGAGAAGCGAGTTCTATGGACATACGGGTTGAGTCCGGGTTGACATTTTTAGACTACTATAGTGTTGTGGACTCTCTGACTTCACGTCTCACCCCTACTGGTGTGCTCGGTGTTTGCGACTTCTATGGTATGTTACTTGAAATAGCCCAGATGGACATGGACTAACCCCCCGAATAGTACAAAGCATCGTCGATGTATCTTCTCGCAACTACACCGGTGGTGCCTTCAACCGTCACGTTAACTGGCTCGGTCGTGTCTTTTGGCGCGCATGGTTCGATTTCGACCGTGTCAGCCTGGAGGCTGCTCGTCGGGATTACCTTGAGTACAAATTTGGAACCGTGATCTCGGCAAGTGACCGCAATTATCTCCTCGGTGGTATTCCATACTACATTTTTGTTGGTTGCCCCAAGGATATGGCTACCACCCCGTCAAGCCAAACTACTATCGAGAAACTCGATGCCTCGTTCACCGAGTCTCCCTATCTGTCCCCTGCAAACCACAAGGTGGAAATGAATCAGGCTGTTGAACTAAACACCAGCGAGATCCGCTCAAAGGCGTACGAGTCTGCTGTCGTCAACCTGAGTGCGAACCTCCCTCTGCCATCCTCATTCTACCAGAACCATCACTATCGAATCCACTATAACGACATGCTGCCTAAACACACCCAATTTCAGAATGAATACATCTATGCCTTCACCTGGGAAGACCCGCGCGTTGACCACCGCCTTTTGAATATTGGCCCGGACGACGTGATTCTGGCAATCACTAGTGCTGGTGACAACATCCTTGACTACCTCCAGAAGAACCCACGACGTGTGCATGCGGTTGATTTGAACCCTAACCAGAACCACCTTTTGGAACTCAAGGTAGCCAGCTTCATTGCTTTGGGCCACCGAGACACATGGAAGATCTTCGGCGAGGGTAAACACCCCCAGTTCCGCGAGCTCCTTATTTCAAAAATGAGCCCTCACTTGTCTAGCCAGGCATTCCAGTACTGGCTCGAGCATAGCCACGTCTTCAGCCCCTCAGGTAAAGGTCTATATGACACTGGTGGCTCACGCCACGCCATCCGCATGGTTCGCTACCTAGCCAAGATGTTCGGATTGGATGGAGAAATTCGCAAGATGTGCGAGGCGCAAACTCTCGCTGAGCAGCGCGCAATCTGGCCGCGCGTTCGTAAGATCCTCCTGAGCAAGCCCTTGAACTGGGCTATTGTGAGCACCGAGTGGTTTGCGTGGAAGGCCGCTGGTGTGCCCCGTAACCAGCGCAACATGATTGTCGACGACTTCTTCCGTCGTAACGGGTTGAACTCTGATATGAAGCAGAGCAAGGACGTCAGCGGTCAGTCGATCTGGGAATATGTTGTGGACACACTCGATCCCGTGGTCAAAGACACGCTTCTCAGCAATGATAACTACTTCTACTATCTGTGCCTCCAGGGCCAGTTCTCACGCAGGTCAGTCAAACCCAGTGTCTATCTACATTTTATACTGACTTGACTCCAGATGTCACCCGACTTATCTGTCGCCTCAGGCCCACGTCAAACTTTCCACACCTGGTGCTTTCGATGGTCTTCGCATCCATACCGACGAAATCAATGAAGTGATCAATCGCATCAAACCAGGTACATTGACCATCGCTGTGGTCATGGACTCGATGGATTGGTTCGACCCCACAGAAGACGCAGCAGCTGCTCAAGCCCGTCGTCTGAATCACGCCCTCAAGATTGGCGGTCGCATTCTCCTCCGCTCCGCCAGTATCGACCCTTGGTATATTAAGCACTTCGAGAAGAACGGATTCACAGCTCGCCGCGTTGGCGCCCGATTCCCAGGAACCTGTATTGACCGGTAGGTTCAGCGCTACTAACTTTGCCTGGGACTTACACTGACGTATGAATAGTGTCAACATGTATGCTTCTACTTGGATCTGTACCAAGAAGGAGGATGTCATTCGTCCCACAAGTGGCCGGACAATCTCGGCTCTCTCTCTCAGTGACATTTCCATTGCTACAGCAAAGCGCTCAAGTTCAATCAGCGTCGAAGACCTAAAGATTTGAGATTGAGGCCTGGCCTTCCAATAACGTGTTTCCTAACTTTAATGACTACCCCTTGCGTTCTGATTTCCATTGTTACCGCACATACCTATCGGGGTTTACGGCGTGTGTGGCGTCCGGGCTTACTGCCAAAATTTGGTATCTCATGAATGGTGAAGGCTTTTTGTATTGTGATTAGCGAGTCTTAAAACGAATAGATGCATAAAGTATGTCCTCATTATAGAACATGTACCTCGAAATCGTGGCGAAGCCCCAGGTAACATCAAGAAATCCAACATTGTAGCCAGTTTATTTACTAGGCACAAGTCTAATAGTCATATTTCACAGATGAAAGTTAATAGGACAAAAAAAGAACACGGAGTGACGCAGATAATAACAGAAAAAAAAAGAGAAGCGCCTCTAAAAGAGATTTGGGAGTACGACAAAGGACTTCATCAAAACGGGCCATGACTCCCCCATTCAAACATCCCTTTTCACACCCATCGCTCAATCGCTCATAATATCCAATCTCATCCATGAAAAAGCAAAAAAAGCTTCTCGGACACATTCACACATAACCAATGACAGCCTCGAGGTAAGGCCCAAGGTCGAAAACCAAGTATAAGCCATCGCGGCGTTTAGGAGATAGAGGTCAATTAAGGAATAAAGCTGAAAATAATACCGATAGAGTCATGCAAAAAAAGAGAATTCTCGACTCGATTCGTCAATTCTGCTTTCATGACCGTCCATACCGCGTCTTGCCAAACGAGAATGGCACATAGCGGTACTTGATCATGTGCTGGATCTGGCGACGCATCGTCAAGACGAAGAGGATGATCCAGTACACCACTAGAACGGGCCAGAAGACGGGGATATCGAACATGGGAAGCCAGCTGCATACGAAGCCGATGGCGATGGCGCGAGTGGCCGAGTGCCAGAACTTGAATTCGGGAAGACGGCGGATGAAAGGACGGAACTCATCGTCTGATTTGCTAGGGAGGCTGGGGCCGGCGTCGCCGTCCTCAAGTCCTTCGTCTTGGGTGAGGGAGGGGTCGAATTTGGGAGTAAGGAAGGCGAGGAAGAGGTTCAGGAGGTAGATGCCGAGGGTGTAGGCCACTGAATATTGTGGTTAGCTGTTTGTTCTTGGTATATGTAGTGTTTGTACTTTGCATGTTGGAGCCGATTTTTTCCCGCAGATTGACAATCGTCGCTTTCAAATCGTTCTTTCAATTGCATGCGGAGGGAGCCTGGAGAAACGTACCGATATACCATCCTTGCGCGAAGACGATCCGCAGGAAGAAGAGGAGAAGGAGAACACCAGATCCAACCCAGCGGTAGGTAGCGTAAGGAGTGGAGGCATCCAGATAGGCTTGGTAGTGCTGTACTCAAATTAGTATCGTGTCTTGCGGGATCGATGACCTCCGGAATCCGGGATCGAGGCATTCAAGCCCCTAACGAGTACTTACTCTGGTGAGTTTGGAAGTGTGCGCTGTCACCGCAGTGAAGGGCGACTGGTCTGGCTCGGGCACATCCATGGTTGTGAGGGGGAGGTGTGTAGGAGAGAGAGGTAGAAGTCCGATGGAAGTCGCAGATCGCAGTGCTGAATGCGTTGTTTCTGGAAAACAGACGCAAAGTGTCCCCTGGATATAGACCAATCAGCGTTGAGATTACTTGCGTTGCAGCCACTGACTGCTCATGTGACTTGTGGCTATGCTAATGGATTATGTAGCATAAGTTGATAGATTAGTCATTCAACCACATGAAAGCTGTGTTGACCGCCTTCCTGTATCATTGATACAATGTTAGTTGGTGCAATTACCAGTAAATCTCATTGGGAATTTGAAAAGAGAGCTGTAACAAAGAAACTTAAGAATTCGAACTCGTTGACAAGCTTCTATAATGGAAAATATGCAGTCAATATAAGAATTGGGTTATTGGGTTGATCACTGTAGTACTGGGGCCAATTGCCTCGGGACGGTTAACTTCGGTCCCCAATTCGGGGTAGCGGGGACATCTACATCATAACTTACCTCCCTTCCCGGCTATAACTACAAATCGCCCTTCCACTCCGACACTATAAACCTTTTACAACAGATTCATCATGTTTGCGCGTCGTTGTGCCCGTCTCGCTACCTCCAGGACAGCTGTCCCATTGACATCTTTCTTAGCTCGGGCACGTCCCTACTCCACCGGACCTAGCTATGAGCACATCCTTACCTCAACCCCGAAGCCCGGCGTCGGCATGAGTGAGAATCCCCTTCTCAAAATATCCAGCAAAATAAATCGGACACAGCTAACAAGCTTATTAAAGTTACCCTCAATCGACCAAAGGCCCTAAATGCGCTCTGCAGCCCGCTTATGACAGAGTTGAATGATGCATTGAGCAAGTACGACGCCGACAAGGATGTTGGCGCTATTATCATTACTGGCAGCGAGAAGGCTTTCGCAGGTAAGCATATCCACGTTTATCTATGCATATACACCCTCAATGCACAACGAATGAAATTCACTGTATACAAACCTAATAACCTTACAGCTGGAGCCGACATCAAAGAAATGGCCCCCCTCACCTTCGCAGAGGCCTACAATACCAACTTCATCGCACCCTGGTCCCACCTAGCAACCAACATCCGCAAACCCGTCATCGCCGCAGTATCAGGCTACGCGCTCGGCGGCGGCTGCGAACTCGCACTCATGTGCGACATAATCTACTGCAGCAGCACCGCCACATTTGGACAGCCGGAAATCAAGCTTGGGATTATTCCTGGCGCGGGTGGATCGCAGCGTCTGACTGCGGCGGTTGGAAAAAGTAAGGCCATGGAGCTGATTCTTACGGGAAAGAACTTCAGTGGGAAGGAGGCCGGTGCGTGGGGTGTTGCAGCGGAGGTTGTGGAGGGTGGACATCAGGAGTTGCTTGATGTTGCGCTGAAGACTGCTGAGAAGATTGCGGGCAATAGTCGGGTTGCTACTCTTGCGGCGAAGGAGGTTGTTAATAAGAGTCAGGAACTTTCTTTGAAAGAGGGTGTTGAGTATGAAAGGAGATTGTTCCATGGGTTATTTGGGAGCAAGGATCAGAAGATTGGTGAGCTTTATTTGGGGGTTGAGGTTATGGTAATGGATTTTGGCTAACGTTGTATTAGGAATGACCGCTTTCGCTGAGAAGAAGAAGCCTGACTGGTCGCATGAATAAATATAGAGAATGACAAGTAGGTGTGCGCCTAAAGACATACCTGCCCTTCCAGATTGAGAGGAATTTGAATCTCCCATATACACTAATACATGGCTTTGAGTTTCGCTCCATCACCACATTCCAATCTCGAAACAATACCGGAAGTGGCTCTTTTGCTGTAAATGCTGGTGTTTTATTGACTGGCTAGAAATTTATGCTTGTTCTTTCCATGTCACACACACTGGAGATTAACTCTAAGCCACAACCAACCACAACATCTTCCCATCAGAACGTCGCACCTTCTGGCTGAGAATTGCCCGCTGGTGTACCACGCTTATACTGCTCAAGCGACCGGTTGATTCCAACAATACCCCAAGCGAAGACGGCCACCTCGCGGATCGTATCCATGAGGTTGTGTGCCTGAGGACCACCAGGAGCGCTTGCCTTCTGCTCTGACCGGGGAGGAGGTGCTTCGAAGCTGGGAGCAGAAGAGCTTGCGGTAGTTTGGGACCCGAAAGATCCGTCGTCTCTGCAAAGTGTAGTCTTCACCTCTGGATAAGCCGGATTCGGGACAGTTGTCTCTTGGGCAGAGGGCGTTGGACCATAAGAGTAGACCGGCTCACGAGCCCACGGCGCAGCAAAGATGCCGCTTGGGTAAGTAGGTACTGGCTGAGGTGGACGGGTGCTGCTAGTAGGTATAGGAGCGCGTGCCCGACGGAGAATAACAACCATTCCATCCGATGTGCATGAGACAACGGCCTCCAACTCCAGGGGAGGGATTGGGTCCGAAAATGCGACAAGTCCAAGGCGAGCCATTTCGGGATTGTCATCCTGCATGGGGTTCCGGAACCAGAATCGCAGGTAGGCAATTGAGTCGTTCGCCTTCGCACTCTCCAAGCACCTTACTGCATCCCGCAAACAGTGTTCTTGAATACAGTAAAAGAAGCTTTTCGAAATAAGCTGTTCTGGGCTTAGGCCCAGAATTTCACTCACACCGCTGGTAGCATACATGATAGTCGCCGTGCGAGTAAATCTATTAACAAACATAGCCGCCCGAGGCTCGTGGAGCGGCTCATCAAGACGTTGCGAGAACTTGTTGGATAGCCAAGTAAGCATGTGGTACCGCGAGTCATTGGGTGAAGAGTCGAAGAGATGGCGGACAATGGGCGCATCGACAGCGCGATCTGAAAAGTAAATGTGTCAGGAGTTCATCTTCAAATTTCAAGAAGACAATGTGAGGAGAGGAGTGACTCACTCTGACTGCCCTTCCCACGCCCATAGATGGTGGTACTTGCGATCAACACATCGTACACCACCGTGAACACACACTCACACCCGACCCACGATCCGTTTCTGTGTCGGATGGAGCAGTAGTTAAGAACGGCAGCTTTATCCAGCCGCACACCCCGACCATGAACACTGCGCGCAAACGGCAGTTCCTGGGGATGGAAGTAATCCCAGCACGAGCGATTCAACACCTCATGCGGCTCATAGCCCAACACCACCTGGATGCTATCGGAGGCATACCGAATGCAGGCGTCGCGCGAAAGATCTGTGCTTTGCGTTAGTTTTGTTGGCCACAACGCTGGCTTGCAGAGTGCAGGTCGGGGAAGACTTGCCATGGATTGTGATGAATGTCGTGTCCATCATGCAAAAGAGTGGAACCCCCACTAACCCCGCTTAGCTGAAACGAAACGAGACGAAACGTGAAGAAACTGCGAACCGAGGAGAATATCAAAATCGAAAGAGAGAGTTGGAAAGCGGGAAACCCTGGCGGGAGAAGGTGTGGTCCTTAACGGCTGTCAACCGTGGATCGACCCGGTTGGCTGGTCGGACACTTCCGTACCTGATCCAAGTGGGGATAAGGAGATTGTGCTAAGCGTAAAGATTACAGATTAATCTGTACATGTATTGTTTTTATACGTCTAACCCGATTAGGAATATCTTCAAGTCAGGATATTGTACCATCTAAAAGCGTGGAAGATAAGAGACCCTTGGAAATGTGTGTGTACTAATTAAATCATTCTAATTAAGTGATTAAAGGTAGATGCAGGGCAACATATATATACATCTCAACAATCATATCTCCCAAGTCACGCAAATGGTGTATGTGGGCACGTAAAATAAATCTCAAATCATAAACATGAGACATCATATCATTGGCCAGCATTCTTTTCAGTCTGGCTGGGCTCGGCATAGGCAGTTTTTTCTGCCCGGTAGTCATTAATGACGTGTCCTTCAACTGTTTCATCGAAAACATCAACTTGTGTAGTCGCAAACTTGCGAGCGCTGACCCCACGTTCGAAAAGCAGATCCAATTCCGCGAATGAGCGACCACGAGGTTCAGGAATGCGGAAATATGCATATATAATGCAAAGGAAGCACGATCCACCCCAGAAGAAACCCGCATAGTTGCCCCAATCCCAGGCATCAGGATTCAGCATGTACGGTGTCAGAACACCACAGATAATTCCCACAATGTTATAAAGACAGCGACCGAGAACAACTGTCTTGATCTGTAGACGGCGGGTGGACAGTTCGGCGACCAGGGAGTAACAGACAGTACCGACAGTCAGCTGGTAGAAAAGAGCCCAGACCAGCATCAAAGATCCAGTGGCCAGCGAGGCCTCGTTCTTATGCGCCTCTGGGACGAGCCCGAGGAAGCCCATGATCATCAGCATCGTGCAAAGACCGCACAATCCGTTCAGGATGAGGGTTCGGCGACCAATGCCACAGGCCATCAAGAACCAAGCGCCGAATGTACCGACCATGTTGATACCATACTGGCCCATCGCGAAGTTGTAGGAATTGGAAGACGAAAGCCCGGCCTGCTCTAGGAAGTAGGTCGAGTAGTTGGAGAATGAGTTACCGCTGAGGTTCTGCAGCGCCCAGGCCATGCAGACAATCTCCGTCCGGCGTCGATCAATGCCCTTGAAGCAGTCAAAGTAGCTGGCACCTGCTGTGATCTTGGCTTCTAAAGCGGTCGTATGAACCATCATCGAGATCGTCTCATCGGCATCGAAGTCGGTTGTACGGTCTTTGCTGGTCAATCGCTCAAGGGAATGCTTCGCATCCGCCGTCCGTCCCTTCCGAACCAGCCACCAGGGAGACTCAGGCGCCAGCCAAATGCCAATGAACAATGGCAAAGGCCACATCCACTGCAGTCCATATGGGATTCGGTAAGCCCACTGATCATCCCTGTTCAACATGGCTTTGATAACACCAATTCCAATCAATTGGCCGACACCCCAGCAGAAATTGACATAGGTGGTCAGGTATCCACGGAGCGCAACAGGACAAACCTCGGAGGCGTACGTGACGGTCAACGTCTGAAACACACCCCAGGGAATACCACACAGAATCTCTGCAGCCAAAAGTGATTGAATGTTCGGGGCTGTGAAAAAGATGGCCGTCCACGCGCTCACGAGAACCAAACATGCCATGATGGTATACCGGTATCCAAATCGCTCCGAAGCCCATCCGTTGATGAACAAGCCGATGATTTCGCCGACGGACGCACCGTTACTAAGACCCGATTGCCACTAAAAAACGCGTCAATATCAGTTATTCATCCGAAATTTGCACCCAGACCCAAAAGCAAAAGCAATCGCATGGGAATTGCAAGAGAAAAGATGTTGACTTACCGATGCCGATACTTCATATGAACCATCCGCCTGCAGCTGACCGTACTTCTTGTTGAATTGCGGGAATGCATAAAAATTGTTCACAAGACTGATATCGTATCCCTCCATCACAATGCAAGTCGAGATAAGAACACTCCAAGCCACAGCCTTGGGATACAATTTGATTCCCTGTAACAGGCTCATATTCCGCTCCTTCTCCGTAGCCGCCTTGGCATTGTGAATGACCTTGGTCATAGACGAGTCCGAGGACGGTCCCTCAGTAGAAGGGTAGTGCCGTAATGCCTCATCAATGGGTTCAATGGCATCCTGAGCCTTGTATTCCACCTTGCCCGCATGTCCAGAATAAGGAGGCACATGTGCTCCCACCGAATTGGCGGCCTCGTACACATTGTCAGCCATCCTGCAACGGCGTATAGTGCAGAGGCACAAAATTGGGGGGTGGAAAGGGAGGGGGAGAGGGAGGGGGTGGAGGGGTTGTTTGAGGAGAGCCGAAAAATGGTTCTTCAAGAATCAAGGCCGCGGAGGACTGCGGAGGTTAAAGAAAAAAACCGAGTACCCACTCGTGGAAACACCATACGCTCACACTCAGGGGCAGCGAAAATGATCTTCCCTGGGGTAACATAAAAACGTAGAACTGTCTAGAATCGTAGAGGCTAGACAGAAAGAGTATAACTAAAGTCAAACTTTGCGGGGGAATATGGGCACAAGCCTATAGATTTCGAATTTTCGCGGGATTCGACGCTTGGCGGAGGTCAAAGAAGGGAACCGTGTATGATTGGATCTTGTGTTTTTTTCCCCTTCGCCACCAAAGCCAAATATAGTTGAGGTGTTGAATTGAACGATTCTGAAAAACTATCGCATTAAGAAATTTAAGCACACATCTCACTGCTCATGCCATGTGCCATTCCTTGCATGCCAACCTGCCGCATGCGGGATGTGGTCCGAGCGTTCGAGGGTGCAACGTGCGACGGAACAACTTTAAGCTTTTAACAGATCCGGTGCTGTACACCGCTACTCCTAACAAAAAAAACATCAACATTAAAGGAGTGAATGACAAGATAAAAAATTTTGAACACTCCTTGCGCATAATGCTAGATACAAGTTTATCGAGGGGATATCTTCACTGCGGAAGAAGTAGCGGATCCTTTATCAACCGCTCCATATCCTCCTCGCGGAGGTGAATTGACACATCAACCCCATTATCAGTCCAGCTTCCATCCGAGCCGTCTCTATTCTGAGTAGGTGGCGCCTCCTTGATAAGAACACATCCATCCAAATCCGCTATCACCCCCTCAGCATAGCGGATCATAGACTCACTCAGTCCAAAATCTACTTCATAAACACCCGCCCGAGCCCAGCTCGTAACAAGAAGATGGCGTGACCCAAGGAAAGCCTGCCAAATCCTCTGCGGACACGTCTCAAATGCCACGCTATGCAGGTGCGCAGCAATAGCAGCTGGCCGAGTCAGTTGGTTAATAGTCCCGCGAATGCTTTGAGAAATCGCCCGTGTCCGTTCGTCTGCCGGGATCTTGAGAGATGCAAGCTGGGTTCCAGACATTTCGACATTCACCATCATATTAGGAGATCCCACGAAGCGCTCTTCGAGGTGAAGGGCGGGTCGTAGCCCGAGGGTGAGATCGCAGTGTATTGGGCCCGAGTCTTCATTTTGGTTACGCGCTCGGGCAATGCAGGACCAGATATGCGCTAGGATGGTATCATGGCGGCTGATTCGAAGAGCACCGCTTTCGTGCGGACTTCCCTGGATAGCGGCTTTCCATATTGTCTCAACTTGTTCGTACGTCAGATGAATCACATAATGAGAGACGTGGGCTTTGGAATCCCATTCAGCCCAGGGCATGGCGGTGCCGACCGGATGAATCTCCTGAGAGTTGAATTTCTCGGGGATAGTAGCTCCCCAGGGACACCCGGCTGTTGAGATCCACCAGTCATAGCGATGCAAAGGGAGGGCTGCGGCCTGTTTGAGAAATTTGGGATTCGGAGATTCCGCATTGATATCTGGAGCAGCCATAGAGTCTAGTTGGCCTGGCTCGAAGATAGGTTTCAGCAGCGGGGCAGGTCCAGTTGAGCCGGAAAGAATCCAGCGACTGATGGCCGCCCAGTCCTTGACGAAATGGACTAGAGATGAAATGTCGGCTAGTGGGTGGCTGATTTTAGCTGATAGTGCAAAGCCACCGCAAGCCAATTGAGTGAGCTGAACGGCCATCAGGGGTAGAAGCACACCGGCTTCATCGACAGACTTTGGTCGCACAGCATTGGCGATCAAAACGGAGGGAACCAGATCATTGAGGGGAACAGCCTGGCGGTTGTAAATCGGCTGTTCTGCCGGTCTTGAAGCTGGACATAACATCTCAAGGGTAGCCGTGCTCTGAGCAGTGACGAACTCCACACCGGGATCTGTAGATGTGCCGTAGTGAACATAGACTCGGCCATATCGACGTGCATGCTGGGCAAACTTCGCAGACTCCACTGGCAATTCAGACGAAACCAGAGAAGCGATGCTCTTAAGATGACCAGTCCATTGGGGATAGGCGTCAAGAGCGAATTTAAGCGATTGGCGAAAGTGGTCTGTCAAGTCGAAACCATCTTGTTGTCTGTTAGATTTGTCACAGAACCAAATCGCAGAACATGCCGAGAATCCCACTGTTGTTGCATCGATTAAGGACAATGCTACAGCATCTTCCGTTGGCTTGGTTTTCGGGAACAGCCTCTCCGACATGATTCGGTCAACCTGGATAGAACTCATGTTGGAATGATTCTTTGAAAGTTTGATACTTCGGACCGAAATAAAGGAAAGGGGTGAGAAGGTCAAATTTATAGTACCGTCATTCTTTGTGAGGCAACCCTTCAATGCCACCGGTAATCTCGAAGGAGAAAAACTGTAGATAAGCTTTATCTTGACAAACCATCTATGCAAAATCCAACGCTAGTCCGGATAGATTCGTGATTGCACCACTGATGAGTCAATTTGAGCAATCAGATCGCGGGATTCCTATTGGTCAGTACAAAACGACTGAATCTGACTCACCATGAGTAATGGTCGGATATAAACATCCTAGAGTGGAAATGTGCAATGTGCATCTACATCTAAATATCAAACGAGATCCTCACCCGTATCCTTTAATCAATCTTACGCACAACAAAATACGGAAAAGACGAACAGATAATCAACACGTAAGGCTTAAATCTTTAAATTGTATTCATATAATTAACATTGACTTCCCTCAGTAGCCCGATCAAACCAGATAATAGTATCCGGCATATCGGCGAAATCAGCAACGAAGCCAAATCTATCAACTTTGCCTTCAACACCAAGATGAAACTCGGCCTTGACAACAGCGGATGGATCAGGAATCGACATGTATTCAAAGATTTCTGCCAAAAAATATTCACCAGACACATGTTTGACTTGCAGGGTTTGATTGAAGCATCCTGTCACGACAACGTGTAGGAAAGGCACTTCGTCGCTCTGCACCGTTATTATAAGATCTGGATATGCAGGGTGCGTATATGTGCCCGTATATTCTTGTAAAGGGAGTGTGTGAGGGTGACCAGGTGAAGGGGCGGAGGGGTAAAGACGCTCTTTAGCTGTCGAGCGCATTTCTTCGATTAAAGCAAGTTTCTTCTGCTTTCTAATGCTGCGTTAGTAATTCTAAAATTTTCGAATCCGACAAGAGTGCAAATTACTCACATTTTAAACAGGTCGACACGGTCTTCCTCCGGGACATTGAGTAAATCGTCAATCAAATGCCAAGCGAGGACTTCACGCCCTGGACCCGTCGCATTGCAGAAGACAGCAACTCCCCAGTCTCGTTTGGGGAAGAAGATCATTGTCGCTGTCATACCATCAAGCCCACCGGGGTGCAAGATGATAGTTTCGCCTCGGTAGGTGCTCGAAATCAACCCAAGAGTGTAGAAAATCTGCTGCGTGAGTTGCGGAAGCAACTGAGGAACGAACGATCGCGGCTTAAGAAGCTCTTCATATGCTGATTTCGAAAGTGGTCCGGACTGCCGAATCATCGAGCGGATGTAGGTGGCGTAGTCACGGACTGTTGAAATGACAGCTCCAGCGCCGCTGAGAGTTCCTTCGCAATACGGAATCTCTATTGGCTCGGAGGAGGAATCATTCCAGCCATAAGCTTTGGCTATTGTCACGCCTTCCGAAGCAGCGTAGTCTCTAGCATCTTGGAGCGAGAAGAAGGTCGAGTTCATCTCAAGAGGAGTCCATATCTTATTGCGAAGGAAATCGCCTAGCCATTCTCCAGTGACTACTTCGATCATATGTGCCACGGTTATAAACATGGCGTTTGAATATTGCCAGGTCGTCCTGATTTCCTTGTCCATTGGGAAGTGACGCAGACTACGGACCACGTCGCGCACTGAGCCCTCGCGACTCAATGTCAGCATATGTCCGGGCATTCCGGTTCTGTGAGACAGCGCGTCCTCTAGGGTGATATGTGATGTCGCATACTCGTCTTGCACGACAAAATCGTCGCGGATGAGTTGGCTGAGCGGCGTTGTCCATTTTATGTGGGGATATTTCTCGTTATCGTCGACCAACAACGAAGCTGCAGATGCAGTGAAGGATTTTGTCGTGCTGCCTGTGTAAAACAAAGTGTCGGGAGTGACTGGGGTGTCAGGCAAAGAGGCAACTCCATAACCCTGCTCTTTTTAGTATTGACGTTTGGAAGAAGATTGACCACGTACCTCAGACCATGTCTCATCTCCGTCAACGACAGCAATAGATACGCCTTGAATGTGCCATTTCTCTAGTGTTCTGTGAACCAGTTTTGAGAATTCCTCATTGAGTGGAGATTCCTTGCTGGGGTTGGGTTCGGAAACTGCCATTGCATATGCTCAGTAGTTTGTAGGAGGTAAGTTTCATGTTATTTTAACTTTTATTTTTTTTCTACTGGAATTTCTACTGGAATCGACATTCCCCTAATTTGGCATGGCAGAGAGAATACGGGATTGCCCCACATGACTTCTCTATACAGTATGAAACAAGCTGAAGATGCCGAGCCGGCGCTAGACGCTTTAGGCAGCGAAGAACGAGGGAGCTCCATTATTGGTTGATTATTGGTTGATATAACATGCAGTTGTAGTCCAATATTCAGTCATTCTAATCGATTCCCTAGTCTATTGTAACGCAGTATTGATCACAAACTCCCTATCTTCGCTCTCTCGAACTAAATTGTAAAACAGTTCCTTGGCTCTCAAAAGCTCCGCCGGCGTTCCCGCTTCCCCAATCTGTCCCTCATGAATCACAATCACTTTATCAAATGACGCGATTGTGCGTAGGCGATGAGCAACAACGATCAAGGTTCGGTTTAGCTCATTTCGAATTGTATCCTGGATCAAGAAATCCGTTTGGTCATCGACTGAAGAGGTCGCCTCGTCAAGAATGACGATCTTTTGATCCCGAACCAGGATCCTTGCAAGGCAGAGAAGTTGTCGCTGACCTTGGGACATATTCGTCCCACCCGCGGTAACTTTTGACTCGAGAGAGAAGGACCCTGATTCTTCTTCCCCCTTCTCAGTGAGGAGTTTGACACGCTGTAGCGCTCCGTTCAGTTTGTTTCTTGGAAATTCGTTGAAGTAATCAAGATTCGACTGGATGGTCCCCGAGAAAAGAACAGGATCTTGTGGAATGAAGCCAACCTTTGATCGCAAAGACTGTAATTTGATAGTTGAAATGTCGATTCCATCAATGTAAATTGAACCGGACTGAGCGTCCATGAAACGAAGAAGAGCCAGAGTTAAAGAAGACTTGCCAGCTCCGGTACGCCCGACAATGCCGATGCGTTGGCCAGGGTTCACAGAAAATGAGACGTTCTTGAGAACCAGGGGAAGATCAGGCGAGTATCTGACGTTCAACTCCTTCACTTCGATTTTTCCACGAGGTGGCCAGTCTGGCGTGACTTCAATGCCGCCTTGGCGCTCGGTCGCCAACTCAGTATACGCAACAATGTTGCTCGCGTAACCCGTGTACCTTTCTAGCATTCCAAAGCTGTTGGCGGCGTCGAAGCTGGCCTTGGAGAATCCCATCGAAAAAGTCAGCGCGACTCCCATGAGGGACGCATCCAACATCGATGTCGTTGACAGTAGAATAATCCCGGTGCCTGTGGTGAAAAGAATGCCAGCGAATGACATTTGGAGACCAAGCCAGCGATTGAAAATCCAGAAATGCCGCCGAACAGTTGATAGGTTGTCAACTCGGCGATGCATTTGATCCATGAACTGGTCTGTTGCGCCGAATGCTCTGATTGTCGAGACCCCCGACATTGAAGTAGTGAAGTATTCAAGAATATCGGCGTTGCTGTCCGACTCGCCAATTTTAATAGTCCTTCGAGCTTGGTTGTAGCTCTTTGCGACTTGAAAACACCAGTATAGGAGACCCATGGTCAAGCAGCTTGTGTAGATGGAATTGTACATGCTAAGTATGTGCGGTTAGTCCAAATCATACTCCAGGTAGGTTCCTCAGTAGATAGTCAAGGAGCTAGTATGTGAGGTATCTTACCCGATACACATGACAATCATGAGTTTGACAAAACTATCACTTGTTCCAGACACGGCTTCTAACAAGAAATCATCAACCAATCTCATGTCGGCGTTGAACCTTTTGAGCATATCTCCAATGGGAGTGCTATCAAGCCACAGAAGGGGCATACGAATAACCTTTGCAGTCATCCTCCGGAACAAAGCTTTGGAGGCACGTAGAGATCCAGAATACATGTGGAAGTTGAAGAGAAACTCCATCACGACAGCGGATAGAGACCCAAGAAGGTAAATATAGAGGTAGTTATGCGTACTACTTCCCTTAGAATTATACAAGTCGTCAGGTTTTATCCCGATACGCGCTGAATTTATGCGGCCGAGGGCCCTCGTTGTCGATGCTACCACGATCTGCTTCACAACCAGGCCTATAACAAATATACTCACAAATCCCAAGCCTCCTGCATCTGCAAAGAATCTCTTGAAGGCATCCAGGTCAGTCCCTGCCTTGGGAACTTTGCCTCTGGGGGTGCTGCGGATGGGCTTTGGTGTGTTTTTTTTGGATTCATCCAGTCCAGTATCAACTGGCTCTGGTTGATACGGCTTCAGCTCGTTGGAATCAATAGTGCGGGCGCGTGTAGTTTTGTTGTGAATTTCAACAATATATTTGGCGGTTGGTGAACAAAGAGAGACTTGGTGGGTTGCAAGTATTCTGGTGCGGCCTTGACAGAGCTCGCCGGTGAGCGCTCCCATTATTTGACGCGAGACATGAGAATCAAGAGCAGCGAATATGTCATCCAAGACAATTAGCCTGGCCTGAGAATATAGAGCCCTGGCAAGGGCTACTCTAGCCCTTTGGCCTCCACTAAGCTTCACGCCTCGAAGACCAATATATGTTTGATCGCCAAGCTTGAGAGCAGCAAGATCAGTCTCAAGTGCGCAAGCTCGAAGGACTTTCAGGTATCTGACTTCCTCGAAGGAGCTTCCAAACAAAATATTTTCTTTCACGGTGGCGTTTTGCAGCCATGGTGTCTGAGAGACAAAGGCGACCGGCTGTTTTGATGCTGGTGACTCGACCTGACCACGAAGAAGATCCACCTCTCCAATAATAGCCGAAAGCAACAAACTCTTTCCTGACCCTGTTTCTCCATGGATTATGCTGAGTTCACCAGTCGGAAACTTAATGTTAACATCGCTAAGGATAAAGCGGTTTGGTAAAATGACTGACTTCTGGTCATTCTGTTCCTCTGAAGGCCATGCAATGCATGCATCCTGGAAAGTAACATTACCATCCGGGCTAGGATCAAGGATTTTCTTCAGATCTGGCTCCTTTAAGAACTCTTCTATACGCTTTGCATTGACTCGAGAACCGAAATAATCCTGGAATGCCACCGGAAGTGTTCCCAAGGTACCTTGAAGGTGCGGCAACAACTCGATTATTGTGAATATGATGGATGAAGAGACGTTGTTTTCTGTATACGCATAACTGCAAACCGCTACAGCAGCCACTAGGAAAGGAGATGCAACTTTCCATACAGAGCGAATATTGGCGGCAATGAAGTTTTCGCGCAATCTTTCAAGCTCCTCCCGGCGACACAGATCAATGCGCTCTTCCCACTGCGACTCCAGAGCCGAGAATTTGATATGCCGAAGGGCATGTAAAGCCTCGGAAACGACTTTCGTCTTTTTGTCTCTTGCGACCGTAACTCTTTTCTTCGCGGCTCGTTCGTTTTTGACGACCCATTTGTGGATAGGCACAGTTCCCACGGTCGCTATCACCGCGACCAGGGTGCTCTTCCACCCGAGCAGCTTCAAGAGAAACGCCAGAGCAAATAATAACTTGATAAATGAAAATGGCAGTATGTAGTTAACTGCCGTGAATTTGCTGAGAGATAAAGAATCAGACGATATGAGGTTTATAACTGCGGGCTTGTCACCAGTGTCTTTATCTTGGACTGTCAATGCTTTGGAGTATAGAGCCATTATGAGCTGTGCGCGAACCGGAATGCCCATCTCAGACCACTGAATCCAGGCAATGTGGTAATGAAGCACAGTTTCACATAGAGAGGATGCTGCAATTCCAATAAGCCACATCCAAGCGGTATTCTTTGGCCCATTTCTTTCCAAGCATTTAATCAATTGCATGATGCAGTAAGGAGAGCCGAAAGTAACCACCGATCGCACCAGCATGATAGTCCATTGCTTGGTAAATCCATAGTATCTCTCAGCGAGAATATGAACCCATAATGATTTTTTGGAAAGTCTTATCAATGGCTGGGCTCGGGACCGGGTCCGATAATCCAAAATCGGCAGTTTGGCAAGCGAAGGGCTATCTCCAGCAATACGCAGAGCACCGGAACACCAATGCATAGAATATCGCTGAACGGCTGAACCGCTATTTTCAAAATCCACAGGTTTGCCTTCTGGCGTGAAAATATCCGGTCGGCGTGGATACAGAATCTGTAAAATGACCAGCAGACCTGCGATGTACATTTGCCATGAAGGCAAAGATAAATCGCAAAGGGGTTGAGAGTTGTCCAGAGCTCTCGTGTAGACTTGCAAAGCGACAATAGAAAAAGATACAAGGGAGCCTCTCAGGCTGGCGCGGTATAGCTTGACAGGCCTTTGCATCCAATTCAAGCGCAAGCTATGCAATGAAATAAATGGCTAGATCTTCAGTCAGCTCCAATATGATAATTCCAATCACAGAGAAGATTTGTAACATGCCCACAGAAATTTGGCCCAAAGTATCGGTTGATATAGAGTCGATGACTCGCTCAGATATTCTTTGCTCAGAAGAGCAGCCCCAAAGCCCATCCATGATAAAAGAGAAGTCAATGTGCGTAAAGTTCGGATGCGAGCCCAATAAGCTGCCTCTGACTCTTTTGAAGCAGTACCATCTTCGTCAGAATACATTGTAGGACACAATTTTTCCAGAGAAATAAATCGACGTGAGAAATCGAGGTGGGCAGCGGGGAAGTACTTAGGGTGAAAGATAAAGGATTCCGGAGACCGGCGGGGATGGAAAAGAAGCTAATTCGATTTAGTTCGTTCAACTGCCAAAACGAGTGCACACGCGTCTGATAAGATTATATCAAACTTGCTGATTCTATCAATCAAATATTTGGCATAAGACGAATCAAGCGCCTAAGGATAATTTGATTGCCTGGAGCCACTGATTTCTGTCGAGGACATCGCCAAAAAGAACATCATCAGCTGCAACACATCGGGTGGTGGGCATTTCCAGTGCATCATTCGCCGCGAAAATGGCAACATATCTTGACCTTTGATATTAAGAGAGAATCTGTAGGAAATACTAGCCAAAGTGCGAACAAAGTTGGAAGAATCTTGTAAAATTACATGGGTATTAGAATAGGTGGGTAGTGATTGAGTAGGTAGTAACAAATGTAGGAGATGAGATAGGAATTGCAGTAGGATATAAAGATATAATAAAAGCGGGGTTCCTTAGACGCCCCGCAAAACAAGCAGCGGAAAGTTGCTACCCCATAGTTACAATCCTTGGCGGTACTATCTAGTTCACGGTTCTTCTTGTGATGTTGGATAGGATGATCCTCGCAAATCTTCTTGATTTCAAAGATTTTAAATTAAATTATAGAATATGTGCACTATGAACAAAAGCCATCAAAACTATTGATGCATGTCTTCCATCTAAATCTATGAGTCTATTAAATAATCTGGTTGAGGAAACAAAATATTCAAAACAAGGAATATAACAGAGACCCGTGGGAATGAGTAGGCTTGCAACTGAACGTGGCCTTCCTCAGGGCGCTTCATGCCGTCTGCCGAAGCCAAAAAGTCTCTGTTGGGGAACACGCATATGTAGATGAGCAGGATAAACTTAAAGAACAGGCCAACTGTGAAATCGATCAGCTACTGCCAGTTCGCTTTGTCGCTTTGGTCCGGATCTCCATGATCAAGTACACGAAGGCATATGTGGTGAGGGCGAAGAGAGCGGTGATAGCTGTCTAGTGGAAAGATGCGTTAGAACTTGTACACAAAAGGGAGAAGTAAAGGGAGACTCACTCCACGCCAGCCATAGTATTTGGCGTTGATATTGTAAGTCCTGGCATAGTCGCTACCCATCGAGTACTGGCAATATTTGCAATCAGAGGTTGACCTCTGACGTATCAAATACTACTTTAAATAGAAATTCTACCCCTCTATCACTTGGGTACACTGCAGACTTTTTGGACATACTTTCGAAACCTCCACCAGACTTTTCCTCTTTTCCCCTTCTCCTTCCACTTCATTTTTCTTCTCTTCTCTATTCTCTCTCTTTCTTTCTATTCCGCTAGTTATGAATTTGAGGAGACCTTTGACCATTGAATTAATACGGTACCAAAGAAGGTAGAATACTGGATAGAATACCGAGTAGGAGACTAAGTTAAAGACTAAGTAGGAGACTGAGTAGGAGACTGAGTAGGAGATATAGTAGGAGGTGAGGTCTAACACCTAAGTAGGCGCCGCGCTTTTTGCGCGGCGGAAAGCCTCCAGTATTACTATACGTGAATATTTAGCGAAGAAAAAGAATACTAGAATACTAGCGGATATGCTGTCATAGTTCGACTAAAACGTCTGATTCTGCTCCAGCTAAATCAAAAGCAGGTCTATTAGTTCTTGCTACGATATATTACCTTTTGCTACTCACTTGAAGGTAATCGAAGAACTTGTTTTAGGTAATAACTAGCCTATCAATTCGCTTTATACATGAATTACTATAGTCAGTATTTATAGTTATACTATCAAATATATCTTTAATCAAACATCCTCTTGCTTGCTCACTAGCATATAAAATGAAGCACTGCTTACTTACTAGTAAGCAATAAAATATTACTAATAAGCAGGAAAATATGTAGATGTTACTACACAGGATAACGCATCCTTCATATTTTAATTACATGAGATATAGGGCTTATAGACCTCTAGGCCGTTATCAGTGGTAAGTAAGAGAAAAGTAAGAGAAAAGTAAAAAAAGAGAGGATAGGGTAAAAGGGGTAAGTGTTACGACACGTCTAGGAAGACCTATACGAGAGGGGCCAGAACCCAAGAGTATAGGCAGAGGAGTATACTTCTACATGCGAAGGGCCCTAACGGAGTTGGGCCGGAGAAGGGTTGACCCGGTATGCCGGTGATCCGCTTAGCTAAGCCGCACAACAGAAGTAGCACGGCGGGAGAGCTGCATAACAGCTCTCCAGTGATTATATTACCATCAATCCAGACAGCAGCAGTACAGGAGTACGCTGTGCCGTGTTATCACTCCCATCCATCCAACCCCCTAAGACCCTGGTCTTAACATTATAATCACTTCTCACCCCCGGATGAGACCGGTAACACGGACGGAAAACACGCAGAAGGACTTGCGAAGAACCGCAGAAGGACTTGCGGGGAACCGCGGAAGGACACGCGGAGAACATGTCATACAACACGAGGAACCGTGGTATGCGACAAGGAGAACCTGACGACCCAATGGACGAGCAGCGAGAGGATACCGGAGCGGAGAAGGACTTTCGCCCGGACGTGCAGGAGTCTGCGACCGAGGATGCCCCCTCAGTCGGAGAAGCCCCTGACACGATCCTTGGCCCGGAGCAGGTGAACCTTGAGGACGCTCAAGCAGAAACCCCGGAGAATGCCACCATGATGGGAAGCAGTTATCAACAAGCTATCAAGGATGCCGTCGAAAACTCTTAAGGAGATCACGGAGCAAATCCTGAAGACTGCAATTGCAGCAAGGAAACTAGAAGAGGTTAAGGCCCTTCTACAGTACCAAAGGGAAGCAGCAGCTGCCCAGAGGGAGATAGACGAACTCGAGGCAGAGGCCGCGGAGCGAGAAAATGCACGCATTGCCCGCCAGAGAGAGAGGTCAGAGGCTCAAGGACATATGTCCATGCCAATCAGGTCCAGGACATCTTCCCTAGCACCTACCATTAGTACTCAGCCACAGCAAGACCAGGAGCTAGGTGACGTGCCAATGCTAGACGCAGAAGCAGCGTGGAACAAACCTAAGCCGGTTGACCCTGAGGGGAAAGTGCCAGCAACGCCGAAGCACATTAAACCGTTTGCCGCAAGTAGTACGGAAGAATGGGATCTGTTCGAAAGTGGGTTGGATATCCATTTCGAGCAGCATGCCGCCTACTATAAGCAGGAGCATAAACGGGTGCTACAAGCGTCAACGCACCTTGCGGGTAAGCTGATAGTACAATGGAGGAGACATGTAAAGAGCTAGAGAAGAAGGACCCAGAACGTAAGTTCACTTGGAAGGAGTTCAGCGACTGGTGTCACAATCTCATCGCGGACCCTGTGACACGCCATACGTCTATGTTGAGACAGTGGCATACGACCCAGCAGAGGTACGATCAGTCGGTAATGGAGTGTTCAGCTCACCTGACAAATATCCACGCCTCTCTATTAGTACAGCCAGACGAGTACTGGCGTACACAGAAGCTAGCGATGTCAGTAGTGAAAGAACTACAGGACGAACTCGTGGACCACCCGGTAAAGGGGGACACATACGAAGCAATGCTACAGCACCTTCAATATTTAGAATCACGTCTCCCAGCGAGGAAGACAGCCATGAAGAGAGGCAGATTCAGCAAAGACCCAAAGGAGAACATGCAGTTCAAGGGCGCAGAAAGAAACCACCACGCCAAAGGACAGGCACGTGCAGGCAGGTTTTCAACCCCACACGCTTCGAGGCAGGGGGCGAAACGCAAGCACGACGGGCAGGAGCTCAGGTGTTTCATCTGTAATAAGCCGGGGCACTATGCGTCAGAATGCCGCTCGAAGCAGGCAGATGTAAATAGTGAGGCAGACAAGCAATCAAAAAAATGATTCGCCCAGTGTTCCTTGCCGCAGCAGCACTGGGTGTCAACCCCGAAAAGCAGCGGACCACGGGTCCAGCACTAGCGGTAGAAGCAGAGGTCTTCCTTTCGAGGAAGAGCAGTCGAACAGCACTAGCACTGATAGATTGCGGGGCGCAGAAAAGCTTTATCAGCCAAAAATGGGCAAAGGAGAATCTGCAGGAGGACCCCTCTGTACCGAGAACTGTAGAGGCGATCGATGGACACCGAATACAGTCGTATGGGTCCCGGAGGATCACACTCGAACTCGCAGATAGCGAGGGCAATAAGAAGAAGCACACAGGAATCTTCGAAGCAGTCGATATGCAGGGTTTTGACCTCATACTGGGATACGACTGGTTACAGTTGGTAAACCCGGAGATAGACTGGAGAACGGAGACGTGGAGCTTCCGTGCCAGTAAGGGCACGCCCCGGACGGAAGAACTATCCGCCGAGGAGGCAATGGGAGAGATCCTAGGAGGAACCCCTTGCTCTCTCGTCTACCTGCAGATCAGCGGAGAAGAGACCATCAGACTCGGAGCAACCGGTATTGCAGGGGTAAAGGACCTCCCCGACGCATACGCGGAGTACGCAGACGTCTTCGATGAAGAGAGGGCAGGCATCCTACCAGATCATGCAGAACACGACCATGCGATCGATCTGCAGGCTGAGAAGCAGCCCCCATACAAGCCGATCTACTCACTTTCAAATAAGGAGTTAGAAGCATTGCGAGAGTATATCGATGAGAACCTCGCAAAAGGGTGGATTCAACCCTCGAAGAGCCCAGCAGGAGCTCCGATTCTATTCGTACCCAAGAAAGGGACGGATAAGTTACGCTTATGCGTGGACTACCGGGGACTGAATGAGATCACCATCAAAAACCGGCACCCACTCCCGTTGATAGCGGAATCCTTAGACAGGCTAGCAGGATCAAAGATCTTTACACAGCTAGACCTTCGAGATGCGTACCACCGCATAAGAATAAGGAAAGGAGACGAGTGGAAGACCGCTTTTAGAACACGATATGGACACTTTGAGTATAGAGTGATGCCTTTCGGATTGGCTAACGCACCTGCCACATTCCAATCGTATATCAATAGAGCTCTTAGTGACATACTCGATATCTATGCGGTAGTATACCTAGACGATATCCTGATCTTCTCGAGGACAGAAGAAGAACACATCAAGCATGTGAGGAGCGTTCTAGAGAGGTTGAGAACCTATAAGCTTTACGCTAAGCGCTCAAAGTGCGTTTTCCACACTGACCGGGTAAGCTTCCTTGGGTTCGTCGTATCAACGACAGGTATCGCCATGGAGCCAGACCGAGTGGAGAGCATTACAGCCTGGCCAGAGCCGCAGTGCATCTTTGACGTACAGCAATTCCTGGGATTCGCCAACTTCTATAGAAGGTTCATCAAGGACTATTCGAAGAAGGTGATACCATTGAACGCGCTAGTACGAGGAGAAGGAGCGCACGTAAAGGGCAAGAATAAAAAGACCCTTGGTTTCACTCTCACAGAAGAGGCGAAGAAAGCTTTCGAAGGACTGAAGCTATGTTTTACAAGAGCACCACTATTGGCTCACTTCGACGCGGACTTAAAGACGCGCATCGAAACAGATGCATCGGGGTACGCAATTGCAGGCGTATTATCCCAGCTGCCGAAGGACGGGCAGTGGCACCCGATTGCATTCTATTCAAGGAAACTTATAGACGCAGAGACACGCTATGAGACACATGACGGAGAACTGCTTGCCATAGTCGAAGCTTTCAAGACATGGAGACATTACCTGGAAGGTAACAAGCACGTCATTGAGGTTCTGACAGATCATGCGAACCTAAGGCCCTTTATGACCACGAAGGAGCTAAGCAGAAGACAGGCCAGATGGGCCGAGAAGCTCGCAGCGTACGACTTCATTATTCTACACAACCCTGGAACAAATAATCCAGCGGATGCCCCTAGTCGAAGGCCTGACTACAGGAAAGAAGCGCAAGCAAGCACAGACTACGTTTATGATAGTAAGCTGCTGCGAAGATTACAAGAGAGTCTACGGACTACGGAAGAAAGGAGCTCAGTGATAGCTACCTTAATAGCGTCAGTGAACGCAGGATCTCAGCAAGAGAAGCAGAGAAGAAGAGAAGAGGCAGCGACCTCAGAAGCATCAGAGAATGCAGAGCCTCAGCAAGAGAAGCTGAGAAGAGTGAGAGAGGCAGCGACCTCAGAAGCGTCAGCGAACGCACAAAATCAGCAAGAAACGCTGAGAAGACCTACAAGAGGCAGCGCCCTCAGAAGCGTCAGCGTACGCAGGAACTCAATAAGAGAATCTGAAAAGACTAGAAGAGGCAGCGCCCTCAGGAGCGTCAGCGAACGCAGAAGTCTAACAGAAGAAGCTGCAAGGACCACAGAAGGCCGCGTCCTCAGAAGCGTCAGCGAACGCAGAAGTCCAGCAGAAGGTGCGAAGGACAGCACAAGTGCAAAGGAAGGCACGAGAGGCAGCGACCTCGGAAGCGTCAGCGAACGCAGAAGCCCGGTGCGAGAAGCTGAGGCTATACCCCAAGGGCCAATACCCTTGGATGAGTACCCGAATGCTGGTGAAGATATCGGTCCGGAACGACTCTCCACCCGAGCAGAAGCGAGGAGCGCCTCTGCGGGAGAAGCAGCACTCAATGTGAAACTCAAACAGCCCATGGTGGACTATATCAAGAAAGTACAACGAACTGACGTACAATGCTTGGAGGTCCTCCGCAAGATGGAACCCATGAGCGGAGCGGCGAGGTGCAACGGTACGGCCTGGAGTACAACCGGAGACGGCCTCCTAAGGTTTAATGATAGGGTATATATCCCTAGAGATCCTGCGTTAGTAGCAGAGATTATGAGAATTCATCATGATGACCCCCAAGCGGGGCATTATAGATTGAAACGGACGTTGGCAGCACTAAAAGCGAAGTACTACTGGCATAATATGACAAAGCAAGTCAAACAGTACGTACTAGAGTGCGAGATATGCCAGAAGAACGCCGTGCACAGGCACCAGCCATACGGGGCCCTTGAGCCACTACCAGTCCCAGTAGGGCCGATGGAATGGTGGAGCTGCGATTTTATTACAGGACTACCACCAGCGAAGTGGGATGGGAAGGTATATGACGCTATATTAGTAGTGGTCGACCTATTCACCAAGTTCTGGGTCTATATCCCATGCGGAAAAGACATAAGCGCACCCGAACTAGCATGGACGTTCTATGACAAGCTCATACCATGGCTAGGGATGCCGAAGAACCTCGTCAGCGACCGAGGGAGTGTATTCACAAGTGAATTCTGGTCAACGTTCTGCTTCTATCTGGCGATAGACAGGCGATTGTCGACGGCGTACCACCCGCAGACGGACGGACAAACCGAAAGACAAAACCAGACAATTGAGTATTATCTACGGAACTACGTCAATTGGCACCAGGACGACTGGGCTAGATGGCTACCACTAGCGCAGTACGTATATAACAGGACAGACCATAGCACGCTAAGGATGTCGCCTGCAGAGGCTTTGATGAACTTCAAGCCAGATCTACGAGGGACTGTAGAAGAATACCCAAGAGACGAGCATAGAGATGCAAAGTCGCGGGTAGCAGAGATGCAGGAAGTCAGAGAACTTCTTATGCAACGCTTACAACAAGCGAAGATAGCTATGAAGAGAAGCTATGATAAGAAGCATAAAGGACTGGAGCTTCAAGTAGGAGATTGGGTGCTGATGAGGGCAAAAAACCTAGATTCCGGCAGACCATACCCTAAGTTAGACCACCGATATACGGGGCCATTTCAAATTGGGAAGAGGATAGGAAAACAGGCGTACAAGCTGATCTTGACCCCTATGTTCCGGAAGATCCACCCAGTACAGCATATATCTATGCTAGAGCCCTACAAAGGCGAGCCGAGTAAAGGCGAAGAACGACCTGACCCGATCAAAGTTGACGGGCAGGACGAATGGGAAATCGAGCAAATCCTCAGCAAGAAGAAGCTGGGAAGAGGTTGGCAATACCTAGTGAAGTGGAAAGGCTACGGAGAGACGGAGAATACATGGGAAGCTCACGCTACCATTGAAAATACTGTTGCACTCGATGAATTTGAAAAGGCACAGGAAACAAGGCCAGAAAAAAGGGCTAAAATAAGGAAATCCTCCCATACCACCACAAAAAGAGCATGAGTCAAGCGGAAGAAGTGCTGTTACCGGACGAGAGCAGTCGAGCCTCGTGAGCCAAGTGGGCGGCTGGACGACGCACTATCAAAGCAGAGACTGTTCCCCATGCCAGCATGCGGAGACGCGGAGAACGCGCTCCAGCACCCAAGAGAATGGCACAGAGCAAGAACTCAAAGGCGTTCGAAGCCAAGCCAGAGAACTGGATAAGCCAGCGATAGAACCGCACGGGGACAGGAGCAGGAGGCTTCGGAAGTAGTCCTAGGGACACCCCGAGCTGCGCCATAAGTGGACGCATGAGAGCGGAGGCCCTCGCAAAGCGAAGAGGCAAACGGGCCACAGCCTGCAGGAAACGGGGAGAATCAAGAAAAGCACGAGTGCTATCCTCAAAAAATCCCCGTAGCACGGACCGAGTGGGGGAGCGCAGCCGAAGATACACTAAGAGTGGTCGACTAGCCTCCAGAAACCCGAGATCGCGATTGTCACGGATAAGATCCCAGTGAACAAGAGCAGCCGAACCAGCCACTACAACGTATGCTGGCGGAAATGGAAAAACCAGAGCAGGTCGAGCGGATAGGAATCCCAGAGTCGACAGCATAACCTCACGACCCCTTTCGTCCACAGCCCTCACGAGGCCTAGCCCAGAGCGAACTCCAGCAGCTGGAAGTGTAGCGACGGAAGCGAACACTCGAGAATAAAGAGGAATCGGAGGAGGGGGTGGAGGCGGCGGCGGAGGCACGTACAATGGCCGTACAGGCTCAGGTGGTGCCGCCCCTGTTCTGATGGCCGAGGATAGACGGTTACGAGCACCCTTAAACGCAGCGCAAAGCGCTTTTCGATGGGCTCGTTGAGCAGCAGTGCCAGAGGGAGCTAGTATGACAGCATCAGCGAATGTGTCAAGACGAGCGTCCATCTAGGAGCCTGTTAGCAGAAAAGATCACAAGAGGATCATAAGCGAAGAAAACGGACTCGCAAACAGACTGAATTCTGGCCCGTACAGCGCGTACAGCGACTACCAGCAGGATTCGGAGTACAGTGAATCAGATGCCCACCGGGCGTACCTAGGTTCGAGACGCACCGCATACACCAAGCAGCAGCAGGATGAGCGGGATCGACGTTCACAGGAACGGCAAACGTGGAGCTCGCGAGAGCAGCAGCCATACTGGCGGATGAGAGTATGAGAAGATCAAGTTTACAGACGGAGAATACCGAAAGGTTATGCCCGCAACTTGAACAAAGAAATCACCCCAGAATAGCCCACGCTATGCAAACAAAGTGTCAGTTCGAAAGGGCCCGAACCACACAAAGAGAAACCCATGCAAATAAAGTGTTAGCTCGAAAGGACCCGAACTACACAAGAGAACGCTAGCATAACGAAGGTATCAGTTTGAAAGGACCTGAACTATACACAGAGTATGCCAGCAGAACAAAAGTGCTAGTTTCGGAAGGACTCGAACTACACAGAGAACCCCAGTGGATCCATAGGAAGGGTCAGCGAACCAGAGAGTCCTGGTCCATAAAGGAGGGGGATAGTGTTACGACACGTCTAGGAAGACCTATACGAGAGGGGCCAGAACCCAAGAGTATAGGCAGAGGAGTATACTTCTACATGCGAAGGGCCCTAACGGAGTTGGGCCGGAGAAGGGTTGACCCGGTATGCCGGTGATCCGCTTAGCTAAGCCGCACAACAGAAGTAGCACGGCGGGAGAGCTGCATAACAGCTCTCCAGTGATTATATTACCATCAATCCAGACAGCAGCAGTACAGGAGTACGCTGTGCCGTGTTATCACTCCCATCCATCCAACCCCCTAAGACCCTGGTCTTAACAGTAAGTAGGGCTAGTATCTACTTAGAAAAAGTGCCTCAGTCCAATACTTCTAACCTTTCATCCTAAATTTCGTAGTACTTCTAGCTATTTATTATAAATTAAATAAGAAATATAGATAATAAAGGGTCTAGTTTATCAAATTCTACTTTAAAATAGTTTAAAAACGCACTTTTTAGGTAAATTTAGTACTAAAGATAGGATAAATAGAAAAATGGTAAGTGCATATATATAATTAATATATATCTTTATACTTGAGCAGTATTATCCATAACTATCCTCTGATATAACTCATACCCTACCCTTATCCTTAAATAGAGCTATTAAACGAGTAAAGATAGTACTTATTCTTGGTGCCAATAGGCCCCAAGCGGGGAAGATGGAAGATGACTACAATGTGTAGGCTGACAGCTTCACACAAAACGTAAGTGATATTGGGTATGGGGGGAGAAAAGAGAAAAGGGCAGAAGGTCTGGAGGATATGCCCCCAGACCCAAACTAAGCTAGTCCTAAACGGGATGCCAGCGCTGTCAGGTCACATGACCCAGGGACACCGACACTTATCTATATAAAAATAGGGATATTTCATAAAAATATAAGAGAGAAGATAGATAGTAGGGTAGGCGGTATATATTATAACCAAAACAGGGGTAAATAACAGAATTAATTTTAGATAAGTCATCAGGTTATGCAAGGAAATTCAGGCAGAAACTGGTAAATTCAGGCACTCACGGGCTTTCTTTAGGCCCGTGGGCATGCCCGTCACGGACAATGGACAAAGGCCCCTGTCTATGGTGGAAAATATATAGGGATCTTTGTCCATAGATAGGCCCGTGCCGAAGTCTATAGATGGTTAGTATCTTTACGGTTTTTCTACTAATTTAATACGGTAAATAGCTATTCTATTAGAAGCTCTTACTTAGCTAAGGGAAGAATCTATAAAAAGCCTTAACTTTTACCCCTTAGAGGGGGGATAATTATTTTAAAAACTAATAAGGATTATTTTAAAGTTCTCTTATGTGACCTTAGCTAACCTTACCGAAAGATTATAGGGTATAAAGCCCATCTCTCTCTTAGTACCTCTAATTGCTTCAAGAATCAGTTTTGATTATAATCTGATACCTAATATTTTAAACCCATATATTCTCCCTCTATCTTATCTATAAACCCTAATATAGAAGAATATCGAAAAGTTCTATAATTCCCTTAATATGACTGGAAACCAGTGGAGAAGCAGCTGCGTAAACAGACTAATTTGCTTCGTATTTGTAAGAAGCTCACCATAGTCATTACTTTTAATTCTAGGAGTGAAGATGATGATCATTCTGCGACAGCGTCAAGGAGAGTCGACAAGAGAGGCCGTATGTCTGCGATAAGCAAAATGTTGGCTGAGCGAGAGGCTCATATTGCTGACGAGGAAGAGAGAACCGATCGAACCGTAACGTGGACTCCGATTGGTGCTTACTCCCACTTCTTCATGAGAGTGTTGGCTTCGATCTCTTTGTCGAAGTTGACCAGGTGAGTCGAGTGGCACCAGGGCTTGATGCTCTCCTCCTTGCGGATGGTTGTGGAAAAGAAAGTGCACCACTTGATGCGAGGGTAGGTCTCGTTGATCTCAGTGCGGGTAGACTCGTGAATCAGCTCGCCGAAGTTACGAACGTGAGGGTGGAAGCCAGTGTTGTCGTAGGTAGTGGCCAGCTGAATGAGCTGTCCGATGTAGGTGATGGTTCCGTCGACGCCCATGTCCTCGTGGCGGATGATGGCTTCGGCAGCAGCCTCAGCCTGATCGGCGGTGGCACCGAAGAGCTTGAGTACATGCATGGCCTTAATGCCGCCGTAGATGTCAAAGGACATACGGGTGGCGGTCAGGTTCTCCTCAGCAGTGCCGAGATCATGGAGCAGGCAGGTCAAGGCCCAAGTAACCGGGTTCAGGGCCGCGAATTTCTCGGGGAACTGCTGCTTGGTGATGGCCATTCCTGAATGGAGGTTAGATAAAAAATTTTGATGCTGTTGGGGCCATGTGTATGATTTGTGAACTTACCGTAGAAGTAGACTCGCATGGAGTGGCTGAAGGTCTCAGCATGGAGGGTCTCCTTCGCGTACTTGAGGGTCTTTGCAACCAAAGGATCATCAAAGGGGAACTTGATCTCGCTCAGAGGGAGAGGGCCCGGCTTATTGATGAAAGGCTGGTCACCAAAGATGGCGCCCGCGTTGGCGGGCATGGCGGTCCAGCCGTTAGCAGCGATTTCCTGGTTGCACATTGTGAAGTAGAGAGAGAGAGAGAGAGAGAGAGAGAGAGAGAGAGTTGGTAAAAGTCAGCAAATTCCCGAGTAGAAGTTTTCCGAGAAGAAGTGGAAGACAATTAACTTTAGAAGTGAAGATGCTGTTGAAAAAAAAAGAGGGAGTGATTTAACGACGCTGAATAAAGCCTTTAAATATTTATCCCGTCACCATAATAGATCTAATGCAAGGGATCATTTTCTTCCTGATCCGTGATGATTTACAAGCAAGTCCAGAATATATCTCGGACTTTGCAGCCTTGCCAGAGTCTATGAAGTCGCGGGGTGGAACCAGACTTACCCGTTTAGGAAGTTGTCATTGGTGGGTCGATGACGGCGGCTTAGAGGATGGCCCAATGATACCACCGTCGTGGTGCTCCGGGCTGCTGACTCCATTCTCCCGAGAATCGTCCGCAAAACATTTCCGGAGTGCTCCCCCTCCCCCCCAACCATGACACATGAAATTTCTTTTTACCATGGAACGACCCCCAAAACCCCGGTAATCGTTCGATCAATAAGCTTCAGTCGCCAGTCTAGGAAGTTATAGCTTGTAGCGCCCTATGATCTAGGTTTTATTCCGGTTTCACTCATCACCAATCTAGATATTCTAAGTGGGTCTATAATGGCGACTTGCAAAATATTTGCTCCAGACTGCGTTCTCCCACCACGCACTCCTGCACTATAATAATGTCTACACGTGATAACATTACTAACCTTCTAAATATCTATAGAACATCCCTCGGAAAGTCAGCAGTCGGTTTATTAATAAGCTTCAGTAGCCGTAATAGGAAATTAAAGCTTGTGGCGCTTCGGGAGGTGAATTTTAACGGCGGCATGCATTACTCATGCAGATGTTCAACCATATAACAACAAGACCACGGTTTGAAACCCTGTCGTTAAGGTCTCGCAATTGTTATACGGATCGATTATACCTGAAAGCTTCAGCACGACAACACCTTTCCGGGCAGTCCCTCGACAGAAGTCCTATTTAACATGGCTAACAGTCATCTCGCCAATCCAGTATGTAACCACCCTCAATTCTGCCATATATATATGCACCTCAAATCAATTGATATATATGTACCAGATGCACTGACTGTGTTTTCAAGAGTCCCTTAGGATTTGGTTGCTTTGCAACTACCTTGATGACCCTTTCGCTTTCACTGATGGGCTTCCGTGGCGTCTCCAACCAGTCTGTGTTCATAGGAAACCTTTGCTTCTTAGCAGGACTAGGCCTCCTCATATCTGCGCAATGGGAGATGGTAAAGGGCAACACTTTTTCGTACACTGTCCTCGCTGCATTCGGTAAGTTACACATATCAATTGCGCATTAACAGTGCCAGTCTCTCACGCCTCTCACGCCTTATAGGATTTTATTATGGTGGCTACGGCGTAATGCTGATGCCCTCGCTGGGTATTGTGGAGTCCTACGGCGGTAAAACATCCGAATATTATAGTGCATTCGCATTCTATCAACTAAGTTAGTTCCTAATGTCTACCGCACCGTCCAATCACTCGACTAATATCATGCTTAAAGTTTGGTGTTTTCTGAATTTTTTCTTCTTCCTTGCCTCTTTGCCAACGTAAGTACATGGATTTAAGGCGATTAAGGTTCATGCTGACAGTTTCTAAGGAATGTTCCGAACATTATCGTTTATGCTGCCTTGGAGTTATGCTATATCTTGAATTGTTCAGCGAACTTCATGTTTGCAGATGGCAGAATGGCCTTAGGTGAGTCTCTCATGACGGCGGCTGGTGCCTTTGGTGCCGTATCGGCGTCGTCTGGATTTTACCTTCTGGGATATGGGTTATGCCAAGACACATTTCCATTTCAGATTCCTCTGTGTGAAACACGTGTGCTGTTTCGACGTGCATCCTCTTTTCATGAATCCTCTATCCGTGAGAAGAGTGTTGGAGTTGATTCTGTTTGAAAGAGATACCCTGATTGCACAGGGGGTTAGGCACACCCACGCTACCAGCATGTCAATAGAAGGCGATTTTTCTATGTGCATTGCCTTTAGTAATTGAACAAAAGAGCTTGCTTGCTTCTTAACGCATATAATATCGATTCACAGAACAGAATGTTTCAGTACGTAGCAGCTGTAAGCGCTTGGGTGCCTGAGGCAAGCAGCTAAGCATTTCGCCGTTTACTTCCTTATCCAAGGCAGCTTTAACACCGTGGAAGACCTCGATTTTGTCCTACATCAATCAATCGATCAATTCAATACTGGTTAAGTCATCCTTCCGTTTATTCATTTTATCATTTTGACCACTGCGGTGCACCCGGTGCCGGAAGCGCCAACAGCAGCTTCATTCTGGGAGCTTCTACTACCCCAGGAAACTGGAAAAACTCACGCGTTCAAACATGCCAAAGCTAGGTATTGTAAGACAATCGGATTATCAGGGAAGCAATAACGTGGATTAGACAAGCAGCCAGCCTTGTCCTAATACATCGGGGACTGAATTGCCATCAAAGTGCTTTTGCCTCCAATGGCCTTGTAAAATTGTTGAAGCATTGATTATATTTAAACAGCAGGTCAAGTCCCAAAGCGTCTTTAGATACCGCATAACCTGCTGTTGCTCACTCTCGTTCTGGCATTCAAGGCCGACAATGAAGGTCGGCCACAGTAAGCACTTGAACAGAGCGTCTTCGCATTTGAGAGCGTCAATCACGTCAAGTAATTCCCGCACTAATCCATCATAATCAGATGTCACTGTCCCGGTTGATGTCATCAAAGCACGAAGGACTTGATTTCCATAGATTGATGTGGCAGTTCTGTATGATACCGATAGCAGGGACAGCTTCTCAATGTCCACTGTTTGGAGATCTTTTGATTGCACGGAGTTGGACGCCCACTCCACACAATCAAAATTTGCCGTCAAATGAAGCATACTCTGGGTTTCTCGTATACGCTCCTGAATCAAGGCGTCGTCGTGCATCTGTAAAGTCTTGATTGCATGCCTTTGATTAGAGAAACAACGGATAGCCTGCAGGAGAAAGGCAGGGCACCCAAGAAAACTTCGAATAATTGACTCTTGATACTTGCCTTCATCAAGATTGATACAAGAGTGAAGCGTGGACTTTGAACTCGAGAGCGCACCGCCAATAGTTGATACACTGCTGTGATTAGCACATTGTGTACATCGGAGAATATGAAGGAAGAAGCATACAGTGAAAATTGTCGGGCGACAAATCGCCTCGTTTCCTCTACTGTCCCTCCAGAATCGCTGGTATTATGTTGACTGGCATCAGGCTCTAGCATCGATTGAGATATCTTGACAAGGCCCTCTGCCCCATGAAGATGATATTTCCATCCGTCGATGCCAGACTCGAGTATATCGAGAAAAATCAAAAGTAGAATAGTTGCCATAGTCGCATCTTTCTGCGAAGGCTCCGGGTGGGACAAGGATGATGATAAAGCCTTGATAGCTCGGTTTTTGAAGTGGAGTGCATCCACATTGGCATTGACAAATCGAGGTGACGAAGTATCATCAGTCTGATTGAATGGCCGCGCCGAGTTGGCGAAGTGTCGCGCAGCAACAGCCATTATACTCATCTTCAACGTTGAATTGTCTACTGCATACGCGAGTAAGCTCCGAAACGGATTGCTCGGGCTGTCATATAAAATGAACAACTTGGCGATGCGTATGTTATCTTATTGCTGGCATTAGCCTACCCACGATAAAACCTATGTCGCCAGCAACTTACAATAATCAAGATAGAACCTCGATGACCAATCGAGGTCCTCTGTGGAAGGGTCTTGCAATGCGAGTGGGGGAGGACGTGTGAATGCTAAAGACTTTTGGATGCAGGGCGAGATTGATCGTAGTTTGAGTGGCGGATGTGATTTTCGATTGGCGACTTTGTAATCTTCTTCGAGGGCATGTCCGCGCATTTTACCCCGGATTGCCACGCCTTTGACCCATCGTAGCGGTCTGGCTTCGAAACATTCTAGCCCAGCTTTCTCGCATTTGGAGCAAGGGTTGCCGGTTCGGTCACATTGAATGGTGCGTTTGCGGCATGTCCAGCATGCTGCACGCATTGTGTGAACAAAACCAACCTAGCCAAGAGGAGAATTTCAACAGTGGCCCGTACAATGATCGTCAGACTTGCGTTCTGATAAGTTGCAGGATTTCGGGAGATCTCGCCACGGAAGTCGGAGATTATACGGTCCGTGCACGATGACTGGACAAATCCACGGGTAGAGTATACAGCATCCTGACAGTACAGGGCTACCAAGAAACAAATCTCGGTCTCCACTTTTATTCTGCCAGTAATTCATCCTTGATATCTTAGTCTTATGTGATATAGGGCTTATAACTAACTAGTTAGACCTCTAGGCCGTCATTATCTAATCTTCTGTTTCTTCCTTATAACCTCCCCCCTTATGATATTATTAGTTTTCGAAATTATATCTACTAGGAATTATGATATTTCGATTTAGTAGATATTAAAATTAAGCTAAAAATAGATAATTAAGTAGTTCAAGTTAACTAGGAGTCATAATGAATATATTCTTTTACATAGTCTATATCTTATATCGTCTACTTCTACATATCGTTGGCCTCCGCACGACCACCCTCTATATAACCGCCTAGGCGGCGCCCTGCCACCTTTATAGATCCACGTACTCATATTTCGACCAATGATTATATTCGACGACTCATTGAATGATTGCTCTAGTTATAAATACTTTCTCTTTTACACCCCCAAACCTTTTATCTTTCTCGCGTCTCTCTTTATCAGTGTGATTTTCATATCACACCATCAGCATCACCAAACCACCAAAACCCACTAATCACCGGCATTCTAGCAAGATGTTAGGTGCTACCAATATTGCTGCCTCCGGTGCTGGTGGCGGAGGGGGGAAACCCTCGAAGAAGCCAGGCAAGACTCCTGCTGACAAAGTCGCGGAGCTTGTCAATGTACGTCTCCCTGATATCATATATATGAAGTGTGAAAGCTAACTCTTTTCACAGCGAAAGACACCGGAGGCACTCGCAGTCCTGAAGAAGGCTCTTAAGGCGTACCAAACGAGCGTAGGTTCTCTTCAAGACGTTAGTCAATACTCAATATGCTTAAATGTCTTAGGAGGACGCTCCTATCCCTTAATAATCTAAGTTCAGCGCTAGGCGTCATCGTCGCCGCTTAGCGGTGGCTCGAAGCCAGAAGGAGATCTTCGAGTATATCGTGTAGGAAGGCTAACCTCCTATCTCCGGAGTTAGTAGTACATATTCACACTACGAACCCCGTAAGCTTATGCTAATATCTTAAAGAGGCTGCTAACCACATTCTAGAGCTAAAGATTTCGGCTAAGGCTAAGGCCACCGCCCTATCCGAACCCGCCTATATTACTAACGATAAGGCCACTTTTAACGCGGCTATTCCTAACGCGGCTAAAGGGCCCGTTAAGAGGCAAAGTAAGGGGCAGCGTAAGCGCGCCCGTATTACAGCTGCGAAAAAGCTAGAACGCAGCATAGGTATTATAGAGACTAGTACTACTAAGACGGTAGTTAAGGGCACGTAAGTGCCTAATGGTGAGCAGCATTTCCAGTCCATGCATCTTTGAAATAAGCTAATGATACACAGAGAACAAGAGGCCGCGGACCTCATTACCTTCCCTATGTTAGAGATGTTAATCGCCCAGCCCCCAGAAGAGGAGTGGCTTATTGAGTTCTCCGATTCCGAGTAGGGGGCTAGCGCCTGTGACTAGGGTTGGTGTTCAGGGTTCGCGCTGATTGCTTGTATATCTTTCCGAAGTTTAGGTCGTGCACCTGATGACCTCCTTCGTGGATTATACTCCAAGACTTTTGGCTTCAGGCCACTTACTACCACGTCATCGCGAAACTTCTTAAACTGCCGCTGATGCCACTAAAGCACCTATCGCAAATCCCACTTACGCCCACTTTACTGTTCAGAACCATCTGTGGCCTACCGGCTTAGAACACACTTTCTTGGTCTTCATATCATTCAAGAAGCTCCGTCACTCAAATCGAGCACAACTCCTGTCAGGAGCTTAATAACGAAGACACGCCACCTGTTAGAAGACACCTGGATAATCCTGCTCTATTGAAGACGGTCAAGGTTCTGTCGGGACGCCAATAGGAGCAAGACTACAAAGGTTGACCCTAACTGCCATGTACGAAAGAACTGCATCCATTGCGGAAAGACTTGCGTTGTGTGGATCTTCGGGATCGGATTTTTCATGCCTACCTGTCGGCGATGAGTACTGGTGTGATCAGTTTGTGTCATGCGCTGCAACTTGAGAAGAGTCTTCTCAATCCATGGGAGACAAATCAATCGAAACCTAGACTGGGTTCTTTATTTTTCCAAGCAACAGTACTGCCACCGTCACATATCACTTTATCAACCGTAACTCGACTCGTTTTCCTTACCGATCACGAGAAACGTTACTTTTCAAGGTTTCTTCTCTCCATCACACTTTCGTTTCACTGCGCGGCACGAATCTGTTTTCCTTACCAACCTTTGAATTTCACCTCACTTTTGTTTCGCTACGCGGCACGAACTTGTTTTGCTTTACTTTCGAGTCAATGGCCCTTTCGGTCAGCCGACAGATAAGGGTTGATTCTTTTTTTCTGACACTCTCACTCACTTGATGCTTGTGAGCAACTGCTTTTTCATCGTTCATCTCATACAAGACTTCTTTTCTGATCCCGTGTCGAATCTCTCGCACTGCACAACGCTCCAAACGTTAAGCCCCACAAAATTTTGGCAAATTCCAATATTGCCAAACATGGGGCCGGCAAACACTGCCGAGATATTTATCTGCAGACCAATGAGGCCTCTTCCCATTCAACCTTTCTTGTTTCCCAAGTGCTCTGAATCTTGACCCTTCACTATTGTTACCACCACCTGGACCGACGTGACATCGAGGAAGAAGTGTTTTTCAGTCCCCTCCTTGGAACCGCCTTTCAAAATAGAACTGTGGTGCTGGTGCTCTTATAGCACGATTGTACGCAATTTCGGTTTCGACTGTACAGCGGGAGTTCCTATTTATTAGTTTGCGAGTGCCTTGATACTAAATATGACTTCTGATATGGTAATAGGTGCGACTTGAAGTTTTTAGACGTTTTAAGAAATGTCGAAAGGTACTAGAAAGTCTAGGAGAGGAACGTGAATCCTCCGAAAAGTAACGTAAATATTAACGTAAATATTAACTAAGAATTGTTTTGAAATTCTAGGGAATTACCGAAAATGCCCTCACCATAGACCACGAAATACAGGATGTTTTTGAAGAAGAGCCCCTGCTAAGAAAGTAATATTAGTAGCGAATTAAAATATAGGCCTCTTAGATGATTTTATAACTAGAGGTTATGTTTACGACTTTTACTTTTTTGCCTATGATAATGGTTTGAATAATAAAAAGCCAGTAGTGATAATAGCTTTAGTGACTACATCCTAGTTAACTTAGCTTCTTACTACCTTGATGACTAATAACTAGGACTATATGTTAGTTAATATCTTAAGTAGAAGGGTAAATGTTTATACTGAAATTAAATACTAAGGTATCCTAATGTAAAACCTAGAGATATAATCCTATCCCAGATTAAGCGACTCTACTGGAGGTCTTACGGATTTGAAATCGGGATATTTGACATATTTATCCTATCTAGAATACCCAAGGAAATAATCTGCTAAGTAGCTATACATAGCCACTAGCTATATTATGATATTATTTTTATGATTTACTTCTTCATAAGTAAGGCATTAGAAATTTCTTATAGAGATCCTCAAGTCGTTAGAATCTTATATTATCTCTGATGGAATCTTATCCAGAAATGCGGACCTCTCGCGAACCCAAGGCTTAAGCCTCCCGACGGACAGCGATATTCTGGCATCAATACGTATTGTATTATGTCTTCAAATGTGATACCTTGGGTGTGTTGACAGTCATACTGGTAGGTTCAACAGGTCTTACTACAGATCGAACAAATGGCCAGCTGTACAATCTTCTTTTCACGCATGTGTCCAAGCTGTTCAGGGGTATATCCTCGGAACAGCTCCTCATCAAAAGTTCGTACATCATATGATTATCGAAGGAAGGGCAAAAATATCCACGCTTGAAACATCAAGGACCTGTTGACAGGACTCATTTGCGCGGAATAGGTCATGCTGGGGAATGAGATCCTGATTACCCTCGCATATCTCGCTACTATCAACACCACTGAGTTCACAATCGAAGGTGTGGGAGTAGCACCAATTCGCCCAAGAGACTGATTGTTTCCTTGGTTTTCCCAATAAGAGATCCCTGCAGATCACCTACCCCCAACAACAGTCGCCCTTCAGGTGCCCGCATTATATCGAGGTTCAAAATAGTGGTGTTCAGGGCGTTCAGGTAAAAAGACTGAAGGGGCTAAAGAGTAAAAATATGAACAAAAATAAAAAACATACAACAGTCAGGATTCGCATGTGGTCACCCACCATACTACTAACTAACCGGCGTGTGGCTTAAGTACGGCTGAGCGGACGGGAAGCCCTGTTCTCCACACCCTATGGTCGTATGTACTTGACATTATAATAAAGAGAAATATATCGTGCAAATCTGAAAAGTCTCAAGGAATATCTAGCGACCATAAAGATTCGATTATATGGTCATGGAAGGATATATAAACGTGCAAGTGTCAAGTCATATACCGCTAGTACGTAGTACAAGACCCATAACGCAATATATCTCGAATACGCATAGGGTAATCCAGTATTACACTTCGTACCGTATTGATGCCCTTCGCATAAAGACGAGGTGCGAAATCACTCCACCGAAGACATGGATGAACTCATTGCGGTAATCAATAAACTCAGCTAGCCAAGGCTTTGTCTTCTCGTAATCTCTCACACATTGAACTACGCCTTACGCCCCCGAGAAAGCCAGTACCGAAGCTCAATCTCCGTCAGTGAATCAACTCCATACCAACGAAAAGCTTGCTCAATCTGAATATCTTCCTCCAGCATATGATGCATTCGCACTAGCTTTGCCTTCAATCCAGCCAAAACTATTCTCACAGCCGTAACCCGGAGATATTCAACTGCAGACCACCGCTGAAAAGGATAAAACCCATTTCAGCCTCGGAAAGCTAGGTCCAGGTGCCCTTCCAAGTTTGAAATATTACATTAATCAATCCGTGACATTTTGGATACTGTATTTCGAGTCCGGTATCTCTTCTTGGTTAGATTGTTGATAAATGTCACACGAAGACGGCTTTAGTGATTCTTCTTGGGCCCAGAAGAGATTTCTTCGAGCTTTTGAGAGCAATTCAGGCCGTAGTTGGTTACCTCGTGTTATATATAGGCGTAGTTCTATTTGTGTCGATTCCACCTCGTAGGCGCGACGGTGTACAAGAGCTAGGATCACAACCTAACTAAAGATAATATTGACCTTGAGTTTGCCTCGATTATTCATACTGAGTTAAATGAGAATTCGAATAAGTATATGAGGGGAAAGGCAATTCATGAATTCAGATAAAACAGACTCTAGACAAAAAGTCAAAAAGCGAGAAGGATGTCAGAATGCAGTGGGACTCGTATTTTGGGATTGATAGACAATATAGCGAGTCCAAGGTCAAACAGGTAGAACCACCTTGACGCCCATATACTCGCGTTGATGCATGATCTTGCCATCAATCAAAATTTGATCGGCACCCACTTTGTTTCTCACTGTATCTGTTGGGTCTGTCGCGGTGGAGATTTGAATCTCACGCCATTGTCGATTTGTAGGCACAAGTCTTCCTTGTGAAGTGAGGTTCTTGAACTCCTTATAAACGCCTTGCTCCTCGATACAACCCTCTCGTTGAATTAGTGGTGATTCTGATACACGGTCAGCAATTAAATTATACCTTGCTTGCTTTGAATAGATCTACTCACCCTGCGCTGGTGTCATGCGCAAATCTCCTACCGAGCTATTGAACAGCACCAGAGAGAGACGTTCTTGATGAGTCTGATCCACCGGGGGCTTAAAGACACGATGACGAGTAGCTTTAAAATGACCACCGGAGACAATTTCCAATGTGTCACCGATGTTGACAACAAGAGCACCTGGCTTATAGGGTACATAATACCATTTTTCGTCGCGACCCCAAATCTGCAGGCAAGATATAGGAACTGAGAAAAGTAATGTCGTTAGCCCAAAGTCTGTATGACCATGCATGCGTAGTCCTTTGGATGCCTCCTCTGTTTGCTTCTGAACCGGTCGGAAAAGTGCATGACGGAAATATCCTTCTCCAGTTGGGCCACCATGAGACTGCACATTCTCCCAGAGGTAGTCATCGGGAAGCTCCAATACGCGGGAAAACAGTGTCAGAAGACGGCGGTTCACGGACTGGGTAAGATAATTGCAAAATGTTTCAATCTCGTCCATGAATGGATGCAAGCATTTTGGAACGCGATCCAAGGAATCCCAATCGGGCCTGTACCAATTGAATTGCTCAATTCCATCGGCAGGGCCACGCTCCCTCTGAGTGAATATAAAATGCAGTTAGAACAAAATTTCAATTGTTCATAATCAGGAGGGCTTAGTACCTTGAATCCATACGGATGTTTGTAGCCCGACCATACACCGGTCTCAGGGCTAAAAATAAGACGATCTTTATCCTGTTCGCTGATATTCTGGTACAGATACTGAGCAAGACTAAATTGACGATGGAGCTATTGCGCATTAAAGAATAGAAGAAAATTAGTCTGCGAGAACTTGACATTCTCTTTCGTTTTTCTTTCGGCAGTAGTGTGCCTCTTACCTGTTCCAAAGACACCCCATAGTTCTCCAAGAACAGAAAGCCATCATCCCGAATCGCTGCCTTGACCCTTTGAGTCAGATCATCAACAACTGCGGGGTCGTTTGAGTCAAGTAGCGACAAGTCAATGGACTGAAGGTCGGCAAAGTTTTCCTTTTCCTTTGTCACTGGCGGAGGAACCCATTCAGGGACAACAGGCTTGCCGGGTAGATCGGTGGCAGGTGGGTTAAAAGCAGCAGCTGGCATTGTAGCAAGAATTCAATGTAAAGATATGGCGTTTGGAAAGGATCAGATAATCAATTAATGAATGCTCTCACGGCCTGGCAGGAGTCTTTTATATTGAAATGGTTGAAGGATGAGGTTAGGACTATGCACATAGCGCCGAATTATGCGGAGCAGTTTGAATGTGGCTTCGATCGTTTGTCCTTTGCCCTGCAGGTGAACTCTGGACCCGTAGAGAGGAGAGGAGCCCATTAACCGCCCATTCACATTGCCTTTACAGAATTTGTCATCCTCCTCTTTCACTCCAGGCTTGCCTCGCAACCAAGATTACGCCACAACTATGGCTAGATAAGATGAGCTCCTCTAGATGGGCCTGATAAAGCTAGAACCCATAATTAAAAAGCTGTTTAGAGGGAGATAGCCTTCAGATCGTTTATCCAGACCCCTTAACCGCCAGGAAGTCAGGCCCCACTTATTTGAGCACTAAGTAGGTCCGGCGGAAAAGGGAGGAGCTCCTCCGACATCAGGCTTACGAACTGGTCACAGATCAGATAGGATCGCAATGTATGAGCTTGGAGCTCCTCCGGTGAGGACAATAGAAGCCTAGAGGTCCGTGCAAAGAGTGTACATAGCATATAGTGGGTTGAAAGGTAACAAGACAAGCTGAGAAATTGCAAATTCCAGCGCGAATAATTCCAATATCTATCTCGCATCATCATCATAACTCCACCTAATGAACTTCGAAGGTTGAGTACTGGAAAAATGTCGCGCCAACTTATTTCGAGCGAGAAGTTCCCCCCGAAGCCACATAACTGTTAGTACTCAAGCCACCTCTTTTTGAGTTTATTCAACAATAAGGTAGTCTAACAAATTTAGGCCCTGCTGTCAAGGTCCCGGGTCTTGTTTTCTGTGCTGGTCAAACCGCAACAGGTGAAATTAAGCAAGCAACAGTAAGTTGCTCTTTTCTCGCATTTCGTACTAGACCTTGGAGGGAATTGCTGATGTTGATATCATTGAATGACAGAAATTCGCGTTACAAAACCTCAAAGAGGTCCTAGAACTTGCCGGATCATCGCTTGAGCAAGTTGTGAAATACAATGTGTATCTAGCCGATATGAAGGACTTTGCGGCGATGAACGAGGCTTACATCGATTTTCTTCCGCAGCCGATGCCATCTCGATCCTGCCTCCAGGCAGTTGCACCGGGGAAGGACACTGTCATTGAAATTGAATGCATTGCACAAGTGTAAACTATGTAATTTAATACAGAGGAAAGCGAAAAAATCACATTATATATGAAATATGACACATAGTAATTTTCTTACCTCGATGTTATTTGGCACCACTACAGGCGGGTGCCGTATTTAATTATCACCGTGGTACTCGCCTATGAATTGACTTTACCATAACTCTGTAGTCAAAAACCTTAGCAGAATATCTCCAGTCTGCAAGTCTCGTATTGTCATTTCCCGTAGGGCTTTACTCGAATGTGCGAAATAAGAAAAAAGCCGGATGGGATTTCTAGGGCTCCCCACACGGTGAGATAACATAAAACCTCGCAGTTGGATTTATCCTAGAGGGCACTTTTGCTCATTATATACAAAGCTTATCGCGTGAAACAAATCTTCATTTGAGATCTATTATATTGTAAAAATCCATATCGCTCAAGACCGAGCAACATCGAACTCAGACATGTACCAATTTTGAATCGCTTTTGTGTCACCAGTTATGGCAACTGTATCATATCTCTCTTTGGCCTCTTTGGCCATTGCTCCGTTGTTCACCATACGTCCGGCCCATTTTCCATATTTCCGTGCAGCCGCGATAACCTTTTCTATCGCAGCAACAAACTCTGGCTCATCCCCTCTGGCAGGAACATATCCCAGGAGGGATTGTGCAAGATCGTTGGGTCCGATGAACACAAGATCTACCCCAGGAACGGCGCAAATCGCTTCGACGTTCTCAACACCTGCACAAGTCTCGATTTGAATCATCGTGACAATGGTTTCGTTCGCAGATTTCATATATTCCGGAGTCGTTAGCCCATGACCGATGGCAGGGAAGGCCGATCCTTGCCCACGAATACCCTGAGGCGGGAACTTGGAAGAAGCGACAATTTGCTCTGCCTCTTCGGCATTATTGATCTGCGGGACCATAATTCCGTGTGCGCCAGTGTCCAAAGCTCTTTTGATAATATCATGGGCAGGGCCGCGAATCCGAATAACAGGAGATACCCCGAGGGATGATATAGCGGCGACAGAATTGTGCATCGCGTCGTCTCCTATGTGGCCATGTTCGCAATCGATGATGATGCCATCCACACCCGTCAGAGCAACAATTTGGGCCATGCGGACGGAGGGAATAGCCATGAATGTCATCAATGGGAATTCTCCAGCCTTCATCTTGTTGAGTAGCCTCAGACGAGGGTTACTGACTTTGGTTGTAAGAGGCGTAGGATAGCTCATCGTGGGTAGCGAGAAGTGAGATTTGTGTTGAGGGTTGTGATGACGCGTATTGATATGCTTGGAAATCATCACTTGAAGACGCGAATATCATGAGCTTAAGTATTTTGAAGATATCTGAGACACCTTTCCTTCATTCTGCAATCTTTCCTGCTTGGTTGCTTTTGCATTCGGTTGCTGATCACATGCCGGGGACAACTGAGATTGGCGGTCCTGGAAAGTCGCCCCACCGGGAGGAGCTCCTCCCAGCGTAGTCGGAGGTCAGAGCTTTGTTTTGGATAGGGACATTCACGAGACGCCCTACGTGCCCACGGGCCCTCATGTACCCCAGATCGGCTCCAGACTGTTGTGCTGACAATAACCTTTAAGGCAATCTACGTTGTGCTCCTCCCCCTTATCGGCAGACAATCTCGAGTCCCCGCACTCCGTTGACCAATCAATGAAACGCGATTATTTGCAACCGATACTGACACTCTGCTCAATCGCGATCTGTCTATCGCAGGTTGGGAAATGTTGCCAAAGATAACGTTTTCTTTGAAAGGTTCTAATTGCCCTTTAAAAGGGGTTCGTCAGACACCCCGCTCGCAAAACGAGACAGCTTCTTTGAAACACCTGGATTTCCCTGTCAGTGTCAGTTGAAGCCGTCGATTTTCTGATTTTCTATTTCAACTTATCACAATTGGTACTATGGAAAGCAAGAAGTGTCCAGGGTCATTTCTTCAAGATGATGATGCCATATCGTCTGCCGAAGGACAGATAGATAGCACCACGGCATATCAACGACTACCGGAAACACTTCGTAATTTGGGCGACGAAGAGATCAAGAATTTGAACGCCAAACTCGTCCGCAAAGTCGACCTATTGGTTCTGCCAACAATTGGTATTTTATATATTTTGAACTATGTCGACCGTCAAAATTTGGCTGCGGCCAAACTGCAAGGCATCATGGAAGACCTGGACATGACCACTGAGCAGTTTGCTACAGCAGTGTCAATACTGTTCGTGGGATACCTGCCTTTTCAAATACCAAGCAACCTCATCATTACCAAAATATCCAGGCCAGGCATGTATATTTGTTTGGCCGTGGCGATTTGGGGCTGTATTTCGGCTTCGACGGCAGCCGTCAAGAGTTACGGGCAGCTGCTTGCCGTGAGAGCGATTCTTGGAGCCGCCGAGGCTGTATTTTTTCCCGGTGCAATCTACTATCTCTCTGCATGGTATACGAAGGTGGAACTTGGGAAGCGCATTGCCGGTCTCTACATTGCTCAGCAGGTCGGAAACGCCTTTGGAGGGCTCTTCGCAGCCGCGGTCCTGCAGCTAGATGGAGTTCGCAACATTGCAGGCTGGCAATGGCTTTTTATAATTGAAGGTAGCGCTACAGTTGGTGTCGGTGTCATTTGCGCCTGTGTGATGCCCGAATTTCCACATAATAGTCGCATTCTCTCCCAAACAGAACGTGACCTCGCGGTGTGGCGCATCGAGTCCGAAGCAGGCGCAGCGGAAGGAACAGACGATGAAAGTGCCCTACGAGGATTTGCTCAGGCTCTTGCAGATCCGAAGCTCCTTCTACTTATATTTTGCAATATGCTGTCGCAAACGCAGGGTTCAATCGCGAATTATTTCCCGACGCTCATCGCCTCTCTCGACTTCTCCGACACCATCAGTTTGCTACTCACTGCTCCGCCCTATATACTTGCTGGGTTGGTGTATTATGCCATCATGTTTTATTCAGACCGCAAAAACACAGTCTATCCTCTGATACTGATATGCATTGCGATTTCCATTGTGATGTACATCATTCCTATGACTACCGTCAACGTTGGAGCACGGTATTTCTCCATGATGATGTTGCCATTTGCATCGGTCGGGCCGCAACTCCTTCTCTACAAGACTATTAACCTTCATCTTGCACGGCCCGTTTCCAAGCGCGCAGCGGCATCGGCTTTAGTCAATGCGATTGGAGGAACTTCAAATATTTGGGCCTCGTATCTCTATTTTGCAGGCCCGCATTTCTATGCCGCATTTGGGGCATTGATGGGAAGTGCTTTTCTGTTTGCAATGACTATTACCGTCTATCGATGGCTGGTATTGCGTGAAAACCAACGGCTTGACTCAGGCGACCCAGACAAGATTGATAAAGTAATCAAGGGGGGTGTGACCAAGGAGATGGTGCAATTGAATTGGCGCTATGAGATGTTTTGAGGTTTCTGTAATGGACTAAAGGAAATCTGTTGGTCATGGAATTTATCTTAGGCCCCGGAGAATAACAATCAATACTATTGCTTAGATGATTCGAAGTAGGACCACTCCCGAGATCAGATTCAAGATATTACTATAGATGTGACAAGACATGCAGTTGCGCTTGGAGCGGAAGTGGATAGGAATATATGCATTCAAGTAGTTTAAAGATAGACGATGAAGTGATTCAAGACAGGGGCAGAAGAGCTGGATTTTCCCTGGAGGAGGCACACTTCCCCACGAGTGTGTGTACTCAGGGACGTTGCATCCTGATAAGTTCATTTGTCCATCTTATCTAGACAAGCTAAGATGAGCTTGCCAATTTGCCAACGTTCTCTCTGTCGGAAAGCCACTTTTGCCCATGTCAAAGCACCCTCTATATCGCCATCTTCAATGCATATAGCCCTCATTGCACCGGGCAGTCCCCCTCGTAATAGCTGCCAAGCTACCAGGAAAGCCTTATATGCGTAAAGAATGACCCATGGGGCCTCTGAATCTGGTAGAACACTTGAATTCAGATAACGGAGGAACCAGTCGACGTGCGGTTGAATCATTGCAGCATTTTCACCTTCACACAAAAAGTCACAGGAGGGAGCCAGGTAAGTAGAGTGGTTCAAGACCGCATCTATACTTCCTTCCACAATACCTCCTGTGTGTGACGGAGACCACATTTGCATCTCAATCATACCGATTTTCCAAGTCGCCTCACTTAATTCCACATGTCCTGTATGCTGACCTTCCGGCTGTGCTCTGCTGAAAGGACCAAGTGCGACGAGTGACGATCGCAAGGCTCCAAATCTTTCAATGCTCAGCATGCCAGTCATAGTAGACCAGCCTGATACTTCGCGGGCACTGGAAATCAGAAACTGTGCAATGTTGACGGCACCATATGGATCAAAGCATGGGATGGACTTCAGATCCCCATCAGGCGATAAAAACAAACGAACGGCGTCTGCGTACTGCAATGATGGGTTTATGTGACCCGTTGCAAGTTGGAGATGCGCCCATTCGGCAGCAGAAGATGCGAGCCAGTGATCTACCGGACAAGGTAGATCATGCTTGACTTCTAAATGAGAAATGGATCGGGGAATAGATAAGCATTGATACCATAGCGCATCGATCTGATGCACGGCAAATGATGTTCGTTTGTGTGTTTCGGCTTTGATAAACCCGTGCCACAAGGATTCGAGATCATAGGCAATGGTGTGTTCCGTTGGCATGGACTGCATGAGACCCGATTTACGTGCAAGAGCGATCATGGTAGAGTGAACTTTGAGTCCAAATATTGACTCATTTCCACAAAGATACATCATTGAGCAAACTTGAAGCAACAGATATGACTGGACCACAGTGATGTCTTCTAAACGATCACTTGACTTTTCTTTGTCTGAAGTAAGAAGAGCCCGAGCTTTATAAAAGCACAATGTGGACAACTGCGTGCCTGTACCTGGTTTGTCTCCAAGCTCCGGATCTTCACCATACTGATATCCAAGGGAAATAATGCCGAGGACCAAGCTGGAGCATGCTTGACAAGGATCAAATGTAGCCTTGTGGATGAATGGCAAGAATGGTGAGACATGTTTGAAAAACAGAGAACATCCCCGTAATATCTGTTGCATCGATGGAGACCATTCACTCTGAGATTGAGTCAAGCTGTGGGTGGATGTTCTTTTCGGAAATATTTGATGAAAATGAAGGCCAAATAGATCCATGTTGAAAGACTCAGACTCTAATTGGCCGTCTAATAGTGACCGGCAGCCCGGAAACGACGACGCCACGAGCAAGTGATGATCTGAATTCGTAGAAGTTGCCAAGATTGGGTTGGTAGAGTATGAGCCGCTCTGTGCTGGCTGCACATCATCATCATCACCATCACCATGGGGATTGCGATCCCAGGGATACGCCGATCGCATGTTTGTAACATCTTCTTCTGACGTGAGACGACCGTGAGTGATGGGATAATCGTTATCCCCAATGACTGCCTCCCATCCCCTCTCGTCGATGCTGAGTCTTCCACCGCCGGTTGATTTCTGCACTTGGAGGCCGAGCTGGGGTGTTCCAAATGGCAGCGAATCTAATACTTCGATCGAATGATTCTCCCCATCCTCCTGCTCTCGGGGTTCATTACGCCGTGGTCCTTTTGTGGGCGACTTGGGTTTCTGTTCTGGGTGCTTCCTTCTTATATGGCGATGGCGAAGATCAGATCGCGAAAATTTTGTCTGGCAAATCGGACAAGAGAGAGAGGTCTCGCCTGAGATTTGTGAATGAAGCGTTGCGTGGCGTTTGAGGTTTTCATGTCGTGTAAAGCGTCTTTGACAGATGACACATTGAAATGGCTGATAGAGTGGCCTTTCTCGGGCAGTTGAGGGAGGCGGCATGCTCTTAAGACCGAGGAATATGCGTTGTAATGAGGAGACTGAATCCGACGGCGAGAAATATGAATTGAGGGGGCAAGATCCGGGGACCTTGATCTGTCCCCACAGAGTCGGATATTTCCCCGCACGGTAAAACGCCTCAGCTATAATTTATAGCCCGCTCTGACTGTCCTGTCCAAAAGGGTTGTGGAAAACAGAGCAGCACAAGGCACACCGATTCGAATAAAAATGCTGCTAAAGAGCGTCGCAAAAATTGCTATCCCCGCTATCATCGCTATCATCGCTATCAACGGGCTTGCGACAAACCAGATGCCTTTATTCTGCTGACGATGTCCAATAGGAACCCGATGCTTTATCGTAACTCGACTTACCTATCACCCCCACCTCAATAGCCTCAATAGCCGCACACAGCTGAAGTTGTACAGATGCGAGATATGTCTCATTCAGGAGAAGAATAACATAGGAAATTTTGCAAGGCATAAATTTTAAAAGATTGGGTATCTCAAGTATGCGAACCAGATTCTGCCCATTTGTCTTAAACCTTTTACCAGGAAGCGCAGCTGCTCAATCCACACGAAAGGGTTACCAATTATAAATTTAAAAGAGCAGAGCGAAATATGAGTTCATGGTCCCGGAGAAAACTGGGGTGGAGGAGACCTACGATGAAGTACCAGACAAGACAGGGCGAGAACAGAGTGGCTTCCCTTATTATTGAAGGTGTCGGAACATCCCGGAGTAGACATCAAAGTTAGGTATACGAGCTCGCATTTGCGCTTCTCGGGTATTCAAAATGTAGTCGCGGGCACTGCTGTGGAGGAATCGCACCTCGTAGGTGAAATAATCCTGTCTGTCTCTTTCACGGCTGCGCTTTCGGGACATCTCTAGCAGACCCCGAGAAAGGCAATCCAGCGCACACGAGACACGGCAAATGATTAAACAGACTTTAGAGGCGGTGGGCAGCACAACAGCTTTCAGTCTCCAAAGGTCCAGTCTCGCCCTGTTCGTAGAGTTCTTTCCTTTTCTGCCATGACCTCTCCATCTCTTGGTACCATTCCTCCATCTGATCCGAAGACAATTCGATCATGTCAACCGAAAAGTGGTTCCGTTGTAGGCCAAGAAATCCCCAGCTGCTTAGTCGGTCAAAATGCCACATGACATATCCCCTTATACGAAGCCATCGCAGCTTAGGGCTCTGGACAAAGTGTTCATACGGTAACTTCTGGTGCGTCCATTTCCAAGCTTCGAGCGGGCCATTATCGGACTCGGGCGCCCAGGGGGTTCCAATGATTGTGATGAGCTTGTTCTCAGTTTAGTTTTCGAGAATAGTCAAATCTAACACATCTGAAGTGGTGAACCGCCATGCGTCTAGGACCGCTTGAGTATAGTGGTTTGCACGGGATGTCATCTCCCAATCTGATTCCATCAAATCATGACGTTGCTCATATGTTTCAGCACTGACAAGCTGCTGCAGAAAAGGGAGCCTTTGAACCCACTGCCTCGTGGTCAGCCAATGCTCTGAATTTGCGGTTAAGGGATCATCTCACAAAGCCCATCGCTCGACGGGGCCATTGCACATCCCAGACCTCGGAGGCATTATAGTCGACCTCCGATGCTCCCCACTTGATATCATGAGCTGCCACTTCATTAAAGGCTACGTCTTATTAGCTTAAATTTGTGTATTGTTATCGGAGAGACTCACGCTTTGCTATCTTGTGAAACAAGCATTCCCCAACACAGACTAGCTGCTCCTGCTCCCAGATCGAGAATATTTTCAAATGTTCGAGGCTCTGAAAGTACCGAACGGTTGATTTCCAGTTATTCCCGCACGAAATAGTGTACCATTCCCACCAGTAGAAGCTTCGAAGAACCCGGTTCCACTCGATCGAGGTGACCGGCGCGGACTTTCTGATCTTTACCTCATCTTTCAGAGGATGCTTAGACAACGCGTTTGATATAAAGTCTGCCGTGAAAAATTTTGCACTAAGATAAAACTCCTTTATCGAGGCTGCATCTTGCCATGAAAATTCCGTATGGACAAGCCGCTGGCGAAAGTTCTCAAGGTTCTGAGCACCTAATTCCGAATACCAAATGCGTACCTTCGAGGCACGGAGGATAGCGCATGCCTCCGGCAGCAAGTCGGGGGAGATTAGATTACTCAGGACCGAGCGCAAAATGAGATTTCTGGCACCACGAAAGGCATGGTAAAAAGACGAGAGCGAGACAATCGCCGAACGGAGTGACGCGACATTATCAAGGTGATCAAGGATAGATTGAATACACTCGAATGGCAGTAAGAGCAGACCACGACGAGGAGAACCCATGTTTCAGTCCTCCATCACCGTCAGACGTACTGTCTGACGCTAAATCGCCAGGCTTAACACTGTCAGCAGGTAGTGCTGAAGGATCAGAGGAGAAAAGAGGAAGCACAAGCTCAGACAGCTTGCTACTACAAAGAAATGAACAATTAGAGCGAACAACCAAAACAATATATGTATTGTGGAGGGTTGGAGAGAAGAAGCAAGAAGAGGCTGATATGGGTCTGTGATCCGTGCACCACGTCTTTTACCAACCACACCACGTTACATAAGCTACTATCTTATGTACATAATTCAAAAATATCGGAAACTCTCCAAGCAAGTGACAAATAATAGATTCAACTCCATTAAATCTAAAAGCAAGAGAGAGCTCAACCTATTTTTCTCTTGTCCAATTAGAGCAAGGCATCCATTGCAAGTGTGATACACTCTTATCAATATGCCTTTTAATAAACACTCATAGTTCAAAGCTGTGAGATACATTGTTATTTCTAGACTACCATAATAAGATGGGTGCGGCTAGAAGCCATTAAAAAAATCATCCCGGCGGGAAGAAAATGATTATTTTCTATCCATTAGTCGCCCAGATTATCCTAGGGAATATATGAGGTCTGACCAACCGACAAGTACCTATCTTATCGATAACATAACACAAACTATTGACATGTAAACGAAGAAGCTTCATTGAAATCACCTGCGACGTAAGTTAAAACTTTAGGCCAGGCACACAAGTCAGCCGTCCGCAATGGAGGGCTGCTGCTGCCTGTTGCAGACGGCGTAGCAATAGCACGCAGCGTATCCGGCGCTATACCATTTTCCACCCAGTCAACTAGAGCCTGAAAGCTGTCTCCTGGATACCAGCCTATCCCAGCAGTGCAGTGCTCGGCACCGGGGGCGAGGAAGAGGCGATAGTAGTCGTGAACCTTTGGGTCGTTTTCTAGAACGCGACTATAGTAGTCCACAGTCCCATTGAAGAAGATAAGTTGGTCCTTCATGCCGTGCCAAGTGATCATTTTCCCCTTGGCATTCTTGAACTCCGTCAGGTCGGTATCCCGGGTGCCGATGACCGAGCTGAATTGGTTCACAGATGCGCGGAACAGACGAGCAAATCTTTCGTGGTCAATTATGGATAAATCCAGGGAAGAATTTCCAGACAGGAACACTTGAATCCAGTCTGCGGATATGGTAAAAGGAACCTGTTCACAGTGGGATTTTCCACAGAATGTGCAGTTTGTTCCCGCTAAAAACGCCAAAGGGGCGTCGTAATTCAGCCCATACCAAAGGGGCGATCCTTGTGTGTCCTTTGGTCCAGCCCATATGAGAGAGACGAGCTCTGCTCCTTTCTTAGAAATTCGAATTGTTTCATTGCCAGAGGTGCATTGCGCGGTCTTGCCAACCACCGTAAGAGGGTCAAATTGGCAGCTCCCTGGCATAGAAATGATACCATCTTTAACTCCATCGATCTCATCGCAGGCTTCGATTGCATGCTTCGTGATAGCGTCTAATTCGCATTCTGATGGATAATAGTCTAGATTCGTGAATTCGTGAATTGGTTGGCAACTCCTTATATACTCCAAACATTATGGTAACAATTCAGAAGGAACTTACCGAGCTGCTTCATCATAGCCTGTGGCCAGAACTCGGAAGGAATAAACTTGTCCCAGTTGATAGCGGGCGCGCCCGCCAGGATACCATCATATTGAGTTGCATACCGCTGAGCCATCATGTGTCCCTGGCGACCTCCTGTCGAGCAACCATTCCAGTATGAATACTTTGGAGGCTTCCCATAGAAAGTTCGCGTGGCCATCTTTCCCAATGACGTCATCTCGTCAAGGGCAGTTGCACTGAAATCCTGCAAGTTCGGCCAGTTTAGGTTGCCTTCTTTGGTCAGTCCCCAGGAACTGACATTAACCGCCAATGCATGGCCACCATCTGTCGACGCTGCGGCGTAGCCTTGGAAGACAGCCTGGCTAAGGGCAGCCAAGGTACCAGTAGTCCAGCCACCACCACCGATTCCGGAGAACCGGCCGTTCCAAGAGTCAACCGGGAGTGAGACCCATGCGGTAATTTTGTCATTCCAGCCGGGATGAGTGTAATTAATCGTGAGCTGACAGACTTTCACAGTATCGTTTGTCGAAATGGGATAGGCGTTCAGGGTATTTGCTGGATTCCAAGTTGCTTCAGTCACAGCCGCTTCAACTGAAAGGATATTGATGTCTGGGAGACCAAGCGAAGCGAATGTATCGTGGCTACAGGCCTTTGTGGTAGCATTCGAGCTGACTGCTAATGCCGCTATCCCGAATGGGAAAAGTCGGAAAAGTCGGTAGATATGGCCCCAGACCATCTTGATAAGAACTGAAACAGAGAAAATAGAGGCCTGCCAATGTGAGCTTTAATCAGGAGAAATACTAAATTGCTATGCACTTATAGCTTACCGTCCCGGGAAGATAAAATGCCATATTCAAGCCTTCTATTATGATTGCCGAAGATGACTGCCGAAGACTACCAATATATCCTCCGTACCAACCAAATTGATTTCCGATGCCCCTTCCGATCCGCTTATGACGGAACTGAGGCTTCCTTAGATATCAAGATTTAAAAATGCGGGGTCCCCGGTGTTTTGCCGCGCAAACTAACGTGATCCATAAAGCCATTCGGAACCCCTCCCCCCATTACAGAATTTGAAATCAAGATATCTCAACGAAAACGAATCAAAGATAATTCAAATATAGCGAACTTTTACAAACATTGATCCTATCTCCAATCTCACTACACCCACTACATCTCGGTGGAGCCCTAGTAGCAGGCTGATCCGCCTGGATAGGCAATTCGCCCTGCGTATGCAATTCTGCAGCAGGTGCTTCTGCACAATTTTAGCTACGTATTCAGCTATAGGCCCTATTCGACGGTTAAACACTGTTTGTAGGGTATCTAACTAGTTGAATATCGCGCTTCTCAACCAGATTTCTATCCGCTATGCGTAGAATCGCGTTTTCTTGGGCTAGTAGCGCAGTATTGTATAGCAACTCATAGTGGCCTTTTTGATGATGTAATCTAGAGTTTTAAATAGGCTGAAGGGCTGTTAACAACTGCCATAGTAGATCCTTAGGTATGAGTGGGATACTGTATGGAAAACTGCCTAAGCTGTTGTATCTGCGACGTATTGGCTCCAATGCCTGGGAACTGAATCTGCTCAAAGTCCCCCCAAGCTATCAAAGCTCTAATAAAACATCAGAGAAAAAACGAACAGCCGTAGCTTGAAAGTAGGGCAGCGCCACAAAGCCCGGTAGGTCTGAACGGCATTACAGCAAGGTAAGTCCAAGCGGCTTTAGAGGAAGGCGAATCTAGCCGGCATTAGAACAAGGCAGATATAGAAGGTATTACGATAAGTATCCATTGTGAACAAAATAGAGTCAAGGGATAAAGATGATTAGTGGTGAATTCGTAATATTCCCTAACCATAGATGGAATAGCATGAGGACTAATTATACTCCACATGCCTCCATTCCTTTCCCATTGCATCAATTCGGTGAAAGATATGCCGAACATCTTATTTGAAATTGCGGGGTCATCGGGGCATATGCCACGGACTGGTGCGCACGGACAAGATGACTTCCAATCTGAGAGTATGGGGTACCGGGTAGAAGATCGCCAAGCTAAAATGAACTGGAGCTCATGCTAAATTTATATTTCTCTGAAAAAAGGAAAGCTAAGAATACTTTAGCACACGCAATTTGACGTGACACCTTTGCTTGCGTTATTAGGGGCCACTATTGTCGTTCTCTCCTGATCCGTTCTATATCATCCCATGGAAGTTCATCCGCATGCTCATCCCATCCGCCCATCTTCCGATACTCATTTTCTTCGCCGTCACCGCCATTCAAGTCAATCCACTCAAAAGGAAGTACGCCCCGTGCTGGCCACTCTGGCCGGTAAAACCTAGTCACATTGGAGTTCAGTCCAATTTCTGCCATGGGTTGAAATCCATCCTCCGCATCCGTCTTACTCTGTTGCGCGGAGCTTGGGAGCACGCGAGTGGCGAGGAATCCGCGTAGTCTGGGGCCAAGTACACCCTTCAAGTATGCCTCCTGACTCTGTAACATTTTACCAAATTTGAAAATATCGGGCTTGACCAGGAGCACTGTTCCTATATCACTGGCAGACGCCTGATCAATACAAAGGAAGCTCGGGCAGATACTGCCAAGTCCTTCGTACTTGTAGAACTCCCAGACGATATTCCAGATGTCTTCTTGCGTGGCGTCGTCCTTGCCATCCCAAGGAACAAAACAGACGCTTTTGGGGAGCGGAGGGTCATTCTCTGAGTCTGAGTACGTGTCTTCGTCGACGTTATCTTTCATAAGATCTTTTCGGATTTGTCGGTCCCTATTTTCCGGGACATTTCCAGTGAGATAGAAGACTGAGGCATACCCAATGTCTTCCCTTCCGGGACGTAGTTCCTTGTCATCATTTGCTGGTCGCCATGATGGCGGATTGAAGTACCATGGCTGGTCTGGATCGCACACTCCCTCAATCTTTTCAATCTCAAGGCGCTCAAATTCTTCTTGAATGAAGTAAAAGTGCTCTTTCCATTTTATCCTGACAATAGAGCTTAAAGGTGCCCGAATCATGTATTTTGCATGTCTGTGCTCAGAACACACGGCAGCAAATAGTGCCGAGCCTATATCCTGATCTTCGATAGGACGGAGAAGAACATTGAGAACTGGATCGCCTGCTCTCTCGTCACCCTCGTGCAGTCGGAATTTTTCCCAAAGTTCCAACACCTCACGGCGAGACCGGGCCTGATGACGATGTTGTGATATGAGTTCGACTGACATCCCTTTCCGTCCATCATGCTCTCCTTCAGTAAGATTGTTCAGCGCATCTTGTATTATGGTATGGTTTCTCTGAAGCTCGCTTGTCGTCGTAGGAAAAAGGAGAAAAACGATAAGATGTTCTCTACTCTGCCGGTGGTCCCACAAAGGCATCTTAGTAGATAGAGCATAATCCGATTGAGATATCACTTCAGCTACTAACTCTGGTGGAAATTGACAGGCTGACAGAACTGATGCTACAGTCTTGCAGTATTGCTCTCGCCCTGTCGCCATAGCATTGCTGACAGTAAACATACACGAATCTGGATCATAGAGTCTCCTACTACTTTGTATGCAGTTGGAAATCTCGCGTGTTTTCTCCAGTTTCAGGTATTCGGCGAAGAACTCCATAGTTTGAGGTTCAACAACTTCCGAAAGCAGCTTCTTCGAAAACTCAGTAGAACGGTCGGTGAAGACATGAATTTCATCATCTGGCATAGTTGCAAGATGTGGATTCAGCCTTGAGTCTCTATGTGCGATCATAGATGGCTTTGGCTGGACAGTCACGGTAACCAGAGATATATAATCCCTTTCACCAGGACGACAGCAGCGCGTGAGTTGGCGTTTCGTGAGCTCGTCCGCCACGACGAAACTGGTTCCTTTTTTAAATTCCAGGCCAGACCGAAAGGCGAGAATTGCCAGAGCGTACAGATTGGCCTGGCTGTCCCAATGGGAACCTTGTTTCGCAATGGCCCGAAGCAGTGCCTTGGACGGAGTCCATGTTTCCAGTTCCACACCACCAGAGCAATCTTTCTGGTAATGATGGACAAGTTTCAGTTTTTCTTCCTCGGTCAACTCCATCAATATAATCATTAGTAGCACGTTGTCGCTCGCCTTGAATATTGGCATTCGAGCGCCACGCGCGAGTTGTATGGCTGTTGTGTGGTCGCTATTGGCCATTTTGTGCATGGGATTTGATAAGCAGTGAGCAAGATAATTATGGAGTCTTATCCCTCAGTCTCAGCGGGTTGAAGCTGCGGAATGTAGTAATTTGCTGTTATTGACTCCGAGGGGCACTAAGGGGCACTAATACGAGCCTCATTACATGAAGTTTGAGTATGACGCCGTTATCGGTAAGAATACAGAAACATTAATACTCCGGGCCATTTCCCAATATAGCCTAGTAGATCTTGGCATTAGGGTTCGAGAAACAACCGAAAAGTGAAAGTGGTGACACGGATTTTTGGAAGTGCTGTAGTCATACCAGCTTCGTTGAATGTATTGATCACCCTTTTCAAGCCGTTGAATTGAATGAACACATTGATTTGCCAATATTTCAAGCTTTGCTTCTCATCAAATTTATCTTTTTGACTATTTCCAGGGCTTTTCCACATATATCTTATGATATTTCAACATCCTGTTTCGTTGAAGTCTGTAGCTTCATTAGATAAAGTCTGTTCTTGACTATGTTGCAAGGTATTGAGAAAATTGCGAGTCTACCCCGTAATCGTGCCGCTAGTCACGATTCATAATCTTAAACAAAAGCAAAAACATACAACAGCAATTATATGACCATCTTGCTTCGCGCCCAAGGTCGGATATATATATGTAAGTCGCCTAAACAAAATGGATACTTCTATCATAAATTCTTTGATCTTCTTCTCTTCATACGACTACATTAAAAAATTAGCCACTTTCGTTAACTATAAGCTCCCTTTTTTGCCGTGTGCTCGGATGCGAATCTCAATAAGCAGCACTCTGTCGGAACCATTGTGCCGACCTGAACCTATGACCCCGCCACTTCCGGGACTGCGAGAAGAATGCTCTGCAGCATCAATACGTCCAGTTTTTATCCTTTTAAGGGCTTTAAAAGATTGTCTACAAATTGCCACTGCTAGCATTTTTGACTTTCAAATTCTGCTGTTCTTTCAACTATTTCCCTCTAGAAATGGGTTCCTCGATCTGATCACCGTCATTAAGCTGATGAGTGGCCTTGTTTTCGCAATAGTGGCATTCTATTGGCGAAAGAGTATAACAGAATCAGACTCAAGCCCAATTCCAGGTCTATGGGTGGCGGGCATCACGCGACTCTGGCTTTTGAAAGAAGTCTACTATGGCACATTTCCAATCACCAACCGGAAACTACACCAGAAGTATGGTACGTTGTCAATGTTTTCTTACCCACCCACCTCAAGAATTGATCACTAGGTTTGAATCTCAGGCCCAGTCGTGCGTATTGCTCCGAACGAGTACAGCATCGACGATCCCAGTGCAGCATAAGTAATATATGGCGCTGGAAATAAATACATCAAGATTTGATGATTTCTCAGTTGCTCTTGGTCTGGCAGCTATAATTTATGGCTGACAGTTATCTCTCGCTGTTAGTCTTCATGATATGAGGCAAGTGGCATCCAATGAATCCCATATCTGGTCTGTTCGATGAGCGAAATCCTCGGCTCCATGTTACCATTAGGCGTAAGCTCGCCGCTGCGTATTCCATGTCAAATTGTCCAATCAGAGGGCTATGTTGATAGTTGCACATCTTTGTTTCAACAGCGTCTCTCTGAGTTTGGACAATCAGGCGAGCTCATTGACCTCACTCGCTGGTTCCAATGTTATGCTTTCGATAGGGAATATCACCGTAAGTCCAATCACTTCTCTAGAGATTAGCAAGCGCTTTTCTAACTCCAATGCGCAGTTTGGAAATCGATTTGGATTTTTGGATGAAGGAGAAGCTAAACAAGGTATTATGAAGTCAATTTCCAGTTATTTGAAGTATGCCTCAAGAGTTGGAATATTCCCTGAGTGGCACCAGACACTTTTCAGACTCTTCATCAAATCCAAGAAATTAAATGGGCTCGCCCATGTTCAGTCTTTTGGCAAGGAAAATCTCGAGGCGCGGTCCAACGAATCAGCATTGAAGTACAAGAGGGTCAACACTCCGGGACTTACTGACTTTGTCTCCAAATTCCAGCAAATTTGTACCACGGATTCGAGTAAAATAAGCAAAGACGAAATCGCCCTTGCATGCAGTATCAGTATTGGTGCTGGCTCTGATACTACATCCATTAGTCTATCAGCCATTATATATTACCTGACGCTCTATCCTGAGACAATGCGCAAGCTACGCAATGAAATCAAAGACATGGCAACGCAAAATTTACTTTCTAATCCAATCACGTTCCAGGAATCATGTTCCATGCCTTACCTACAAGCAGTGATCAAAGAGGCCCTACGGCTACACCCTGTGACAGGGCTTATTCTTGGACGAGTGGTACCGAAAGGAGGTGCGATGCTGAGTGGTATATGGTTTCCTGAAGGAGTAAGGGCATCTTCAAAAGGAACTCTCTTCTACATTCTATGGCCCCTTGCTAATGAAATCTTTGTTTCAGAGCGTTGTTGGAGTCAACCTATGGGTTGGTCATTTGAAAAAGGAGATTTTCGGGTCTGATGCGGATGGATTTCATCCAGAGCGATGGTTGGGTGATCCAGAAGTGGTGCGGAGGCGAGAGTCCTATTTTATGACTGTAAGAATGATACCCAACAGAAAACTCTGCCAGACTCTACTCTACTAAATTATGCTAAAGTTTGGGATGGGGTCTCGCACATGCATTGGAAAGAACATAAGCATTATGGAACTTTCAAAGGTGGTTCCTGAGCTAGTTCGTGCTTTTGATTTTGTTCCAGAAAGTGGAATACCACAGTGGGCCACCGAAGATGTCTGGTTTGTGAAGCCCAGGGGGTACAGATGTCGCATTAAGCTCCGGGATGAGGTTTGAGTATCTGGAATCATTAACTTCATCTTTATGACTATTTCCAAGGATTTCTTTGAATATCTACTATAACACTTGAACACCCTGCTCCGTTGAAGTCTGTAGCTTCATGAGATAAAATCTGTTCTTGACTATGTTGCAAGGTAGAAGAGACTGGTGCCCAAGATATTTGGACAGCTAGCTAATTGGAAAATATAGAGACGGAACATATGGATATGCAAGTAGTGTGAGTGGAGAAGGCGTACTCAACTGTTGATTTTGTGCTGCCTTGGGCGCCAAGAAGCGTAAGGAATCTTGCATATGTCCTAAGCACTTGAGCCTTAGGCTCAGGCACTGAGTCTTCTCGCATAAGTATGAACATTCACGAAGTCGAGACATATGTGGCTATGTGATAATTTCCTTGAGATCATAATATCATGCCGGTGAGAGTGTCATGATCAACCTTGTCCTCATATTACTCCACCTCGGCGTTGGTGGCGCCACACCTGTGATATCTAACGAAACTCCTTCAATTCGCCTTCGTGAAAAGTCGAATCTAGGTTTTATCGCCGGAGGACTCTTCTCCATGGCTTTCAACTTATTCGTGTCTTATATGTTCAACGTCGATGAGGGAAATCGGGGTGCTACGACAGGATTTCTCTTTACTGGCCTCTGCATTATCTCCGTCCTCGTCATATGGTTTGATATCCCAGAAATGAAGAACCGGACCTATGTCGAAATCGATCAGATGTTCGTTGTTAAGCTTCCTAATAGGAAGTTTTGCATTTATAGAGCTCACATAGCCGATATCGTTGAACTAACAGCGTCAAAATGGATTTAATATTACGTGAACACAAGTTGGGTAGCCTATGATCTGGGAGCCTGAGGTAGAGGGCGACATTTACGATTGAACTTCGGCATGGGCCGGCCTATGAGCTAACCGCTTGTCCAGGCCCAACCCAATGGGCTTTTTGGCCCATTGCTGCCTGATTCTGTCTGATTCTGCCTGATTTTTTTACGTAAAAAGCTGAGTCATCTGAAATGAATTCTGTTATTTACCCATGTTTTGGTTGAAATATATATTACTTACCCTACTTTCTACTTTCTCTCTTATATATATAAAACATTCCTATTTATATATACATAAACATTATCTTTGTTAGTCCAATAGCTATTTATAAGGATAAGGGCAGGGTAGGGGTAATATCAGAGAACAGTAGTTAGTAACGCTACTGAGTATTATGTATAGACCTAGTTGTTGAGCATAATGCCCCCTCCGCTCAAAGGATCTTCGATGGTGGGCCAATCTCGACGAACATTCGCACCACTTAGGGAGAAGGTCTGCTTCAAAGGAAGAGTGATTCCGAGTCACCTTTGCGAACTTGTGGTTTCCATGTCGAACATATCCATTTATTGGGCCGGCCCATGCCGAAGTCTAATTGAGTTGCTATTCTGCTTCCCCGGCTAGGATCTTACGGCAGACTTACTAGTATGGGCTTTACCCTAGAGGTTCCTCGTCCCCCAGTTCAATTCACTGTGAGAGACCCTATGCATTAGTTTAGACAAAAGCCTACTTGTGGCCAAATCACAGAATTGGGTAATCTAATGATTCATTGCATGGTAGATGTCAGCTGATCTGAATCGGGTTAGACTCCAGTGACAAGACTGTCATGAGATATTTCCAGTAACATCTGTTCTCCTGTTCAAAACACTACCGCTATCTGAACAGTAATCTTACAAACGTGCCTCATGCTCTTGAGTCTAGGCCGTGCCGCAGTAACGAAAGAAAAATGAATACTACGCGCTGTTAACAGGACGTATCGAGGAGCCCACCATATCTTCATCGTAGTATGTTTTATCTCCTAAACCAAATTTGAGCCTGATCTGACTGAAATGGTAGTGGACATACGCATCCTCGCATGACAGGGTGCTCATCATTGAACAGAAGCTACCCCACGCATCAAGATGCACGCGACTATATGGAAAGAATGGGAGCGGCCAAGCCCAAGGAGATCATAAAGAGCGAAGCAGAAGAAACAACTCCTTTGGATGGAAATAGACTCCATGAAGTTGCGAATGGGGCAAATTTTGGTATCCATTTTACCAGTGGGTCTTGCTGAAGTGCCCGATGTCGAGACATTCATGAAAGCTTACAAGGTTTAGCGGTGAAAACAGTGCTGAGAGGGAATTCAACAATTACAAAACGGCGTGCAGCGCGGTCACCAAATCAGCGCCATGCATATTTGGTGGTTAGCACCATCATCTGACAATCCGCAGTGGCAGTAGATGTGAAGCCGAAGCTGATTAGACCGTGTTGCTTTGCTACTTTTTCCTTTCAGCCGAGGAGTGGTTATATCCACTCACTCTACCATGGTTCGAGCACGCTTGGCAGTCCTGTATATGCCTGAGGAGATCGGGCCTTGGCACTAGGGTGGTGAGGAAGGACAATATTGCTTCGCAAACCCCTTTATTGTATATAGTAGACTTGAATAGTTGAATGAAAGTAGGCTGCCTATTCAAGTAGAACATCGTCAACTTCATCATTGGTATCTTCATCCTGTAATTCAACAAATGACAAAGAGATGGCTCGAAGAAGAAAAGGCCAAGATCCATGGCAGGATGATGCCACAAACAATTGAGCTTAGCGTCTAGCATGTAATATATGTGGCTAGGAAGCCGGAATCAAGACTCTGAGGTGTGCGTCTGGGTTGTTGATGAAATCCGCATGGGAGCTGAGAAATTCTGCCATGTAGCTGCCACATGTTTGGTTCGGTGGAGGGCTGATGATGTTTAGCTCGCTCTTGGCACATTTGACTTCGACATCCCAGACTGTCTGGGTGAACAGAGATTGCACAACATAGGTAAAAGGATCGAAAGAGTACATCCAGTACCTCCAGAAAACGTTCAAACTGTTGTATGGCACCAGGGCACTGCAGAAGTCGATGAAGATGGCACCGAGAACAAGTGGGTTGACCAAGGAGGCGAAGTTTTCGTTGGACGAGAACACAGCAATTCCTTGTCCGACGGCCGTGTAAAGAAATTTGTAAAGGATCATCTCCAGAAAGAATTGACCGGAGACACTGGCGCCGACGGAGAATCCATTAGTGAAATAGAAGCTGACGAAATATAGCGTACCACAGGAAATCAGGTAAGGAATTTCAGCGACCATCTGACCTGTCACAAAGGCAACCCAGCTGTAGGTTTTGGACTTCTTCTCGCGGGCCTCAAAAATGGCCCGGTTGGCCATGAAGAGTGGCTGTAGCTGAACAATCACACCGCCAGCGACGAAGAGGAAGATAAAGATGGAGAAAAGTCGCAGTTCCAAGTGAAAAACGTCGTGGCTGTGTCCGACTTTCCAGAAGCTGAATCCGTTGAAGAGGGCTTGGAGAATATGAATAATGACCTTGTTCCAAATATAATCGGGCTTTCGCCAAAGGGCAATGGTATGTCTGTAAATGACGACCATCAGCTGCTTTAGCAAGGGGCTAGCGAATTCGGAGCTGGAGGCTTGGATAGGCTCGTGAGAGTATCTTTCCTTAGTGGCTTCCAACTCTCTGAGAATAGCTTGGCTCTCTGGAGCCGCCTTCCATTGCTCATGCCAATCCACACCGGGCAAGATAGGCCCCTGAACAACATCAACAATAATGGATTCTACATTGATGCAGCTTGTTTTCTCCTCATTTTGAATATGCTGCGGGCTGATGATCCTGATCCTGAAGACCTTGATCTTGTTCGATACGGTCTGAACTATTTGTCACAGATGCTTCCCAGCAAGTGGGAAGCTTTGTCACATAGCTCTTACGCCATTGAGCATATGATCGTGCTATTGGAAAAAGGTGGGTAAAACCCTCCATTTCTTGAAATTGAAGTGATGTTGAAGACTGACTCAAATTTCTGTAGAGAAAAATTTGAGGTCCAATAGCTCGTTCCTGGGGTGGAAACCCCGAATTCCCACGAAGCAGAAGTCCAGAACATGCAGCTTCAGTCAGAATTGGACGCTTTAGCTCAAGAGACTTTTGATTCTCTAGATTGGGATTTGATGGGTCCAATTCTAGGCTTCTAGGATGTTGAAAGGTTGCTCGGGCACATTCATATTCATTTATACCTACAAATTGATGTTGCATACAAGGAGCCGACTCAATGTGTAATGTTCTACCTACACAAGTATGAATGCTCCCGAGGTCTCCGCCATGATGAAGGTACACGCAGGGATAGTAAAAATATCTTCTTGTTCCAGCATACACATGTAACTTACACATACTTATATTCATTGGCAATCTGGGCGTAATAAATCTATGTCTACTCAGTCTCAAACTTGGCATCCTACTCTCCTACGCAGTCTCCCTCTTAATCTCCAACTTATTCATACAGTTAGTCATAAAATAAATAAGTAGAAAAGATGTAAAAAGCTCAATTTAAACAATCATAGAGTTACCTATAATGTGTAGGAAACCGAATTATATCGTGAAACTCAAACGATGCCATTATGATATGTTGCATCCAGAGGGAGATCTGTCCATGGAAATGCTGCCGGCGAAAGCCACTGCTCGCATGGAATTTTGGATACAATATCCTCGAAATTTTCTGGTAAAGCCCAAAAATTTGAGTCGATACTGTCTGATGAGCCGGCGGTATCCATTGTCAGGTCACTTGAGTTGACACTACCTGTGCTCTCCAGGGTACTCGCGCCATCAGAGAGTGGAAGGAATGGGGTCCGCGGGATAGTATGCTCTCCTGGTGTCAATGAGTCAAGTATCGAACAAGCTCTCTTGCAAATTTCGCTGGATGAAGCGTTGTCATGCAATAGTTGGAGAGAATTTCGCAATGCTTGGAATATAAGGTGCTTCGGATTTTGTGGAGTATGGGCCTTTCCGAGGAGAACCAACAGAGTAGATATCGCTAAAAAGGCATGAAATGAACCTAGGCCATAAATATACCATCGGTAGGGTCCAAATTCATGGCGCATATTGAGGGTTTCATAGTTCGAAAGGATGACAAGAGCAGCCTGTTCGCATTTTTCGTAGCTGTTTATTATTGAATTCCCGTCGTCGGTTCCGTTTGGTTTCAAAAGGCAGATCCGATGCAGGAGCAGAATAAGATGGTTGGTGTAATTGCTCAAAATAAACGAATGTGCTTGATGATACGTGGGCAGATCAAGTTGATCCGAGAAGCGCTCTGCTTGGGCCTGCAATTCGGTCTCGATTTGGCAATCCAATGCTTTTATCTTCGTCGGTGAGCGAGTAAATTCTTCAACACTCAGGGTGCATACATCAGAAGCCAGAGAATAGAGGCGGAACTTGAAGAGGATATACGACATTTTTGTTGGTTTTTTCCGTCTTGGTGGCTGTTCGATCCCGTGCAAGGCTTCGTGAAGCGAGTCTGAAACAATTTCATCATCTTCCACGTCTGCCGGTAGTTGGACATTGTTCTCAACATTAAATGGAGCTAGGTTACCTAGACAGGTATTCTGAATGGTATAAAGCATCATTAACCCCGCCCATGCTCGTCGCCTCTCTTGAACCTCAATGGGTTTCAGATTTAGAAGCCCAGGATCAACATGGCACCCTATGGCGATGGCGATATTAAGCGTCGTTCCAAGAAGAGCCCAGGCTGGGCCTTGGGCGTGATTGATGGCATATATTAGCAGAATGAGGCATTGCAAGGTTTGCAAATTATGTTGCCACATGAAGTTGTCGGCAGCAAGGCACTTCATTGTCGCTTGTCGATATTTTGCTGCCAAAGACCTTGCACTTTCCGCAGCGGAGGCCTCTCGGCCCAAGTCTAACAAGATAGGACTTTCTTTATCGATAGCAGTGACAGCCAGCCCCAAAGTGACAAATATCAGACCTATAAAAGATATCGGAGCATTCTGGGGATCTTGCTTGAACTTGATATAGTTCGACTGGAATGTCTCGTCATGTATGATGTGGAACAGAGGGGAAAAAACGTTGAGAAATGTGGTGATGAGTTCGTCGCAGTGCCGAAATGGTGGTAACATGTCTAAAAGAGACTGTTTGTTGGGAGGTATGTCGCAGAACAAAAAGGCCCCAGACTTGAAATCCAGCTGAGATTGGCTCTGGAGCGAATGAAACACGTCGGGATCGCGAGAAGTGCTGTAAGGAACGTATCGTACATGGCCCGAAGGGGACGCAATGATACTGCCAACCTCATTACTTTGAGGCTTAGTGACATTGCGGGTAAAATATTGGCTATCAGTGTAGGCCGAGGCGGAGTTTTCAGAAAGCTCATGCTGAAACAGAGGGGTATAATCTTGGGACACGGGCGAACGGAGATCGTGATTATGTTGAGTGTTGGACCTCGAGGTCAACTCAATGTTTCTCACGAGTAGACTTTCAAGATCCGATATCCGCTGTAGAAGAGTTTCTTGGAGGGCGCTTGCCTCTTTTTGTGCTGGTTGAAGATTTTGTTCAAGATCACGCTTAAACTGGCATGTCGACGCCACTCCGCGCTTTCGGCAAGTATCACATGGCACACCAGATCCCAAGCAACGTATTTTTCTCTTTCGGCAGTTTTCACAGCTAAGGGGTAGCCTTTTTGTCATTTCAGCGGGCTGTATTCCAGGTAACATTGAAAAGGGAGGGGGGAAGGGGTGATGCAAAATCAAGGTTTGTTTCCTTACAAGTCTATCGATTTTCTTGGGACCACCGGATCATTGGCCCCACAACACCTCGGGGTTGCGGGGAAAGTTGGGCCGGATGATCATTTGATCCGTGCCGTATGGGGGAATTGGCAGATCAGTCATTCAGCCGGAATAGAGAAGGAACAAAGAGAGAGAGAGACTGCGAGAGAGATCTAGCTGAGATAAATACGTAAGCGCCGGAGGAAACGGATGGGATCACCTAACCCCATACTCCAATAGTAATCTGTATATATCAGCTATAGGATCATACCTCTGCATATTGTAGTGGGGAGACTCGGTCCCTGTACGGATTACCATACCGTTACGGGTCACATTTCGTCATGTAAGGGAATTGGTCATATTAATACGAACTTAGCACTAACAGAATACACGCACTTACACATCTCTCACTTTTGACCTTTGTCGAGGGATCCACTGCTCGCCGAGGGCGACCTTCGGTCGTGGTGGGTTTTGCTGAGTATATCCGATTCGTGCGTCGTCAGAGCGTACAGCCAACGAGCGTTCCCCTCTTCAATATGTACTAGCGTATATCCACCCAGGTGCCTCCAGGTGCCTGTATTACTTGAGTACACTCCAGACTTTTTGGAAATATTTAGTACAGTATATTTAAAGTCCTTAGCCCCCGAATTTACCCCTTTGCCATTCTCCAGTGCTTCTTATTCTCTTTTCTTCTCTGTTTTTTTTTTCCTTTCCTTTTCTTTCTCTTCTAACTTCTAAGCCCGTTGATAAGTTGACTTTATCTATTCTGATAGCAAAGAAAGTAGAACACTAGAGAGGATACTAGGTAGATACCGAGTGGGACACTGAGTATGCAGAAGACTGGGTACTTAGCTGAGAAGTATTGCCTCTATTTCGTTAGATTGTCAGCTTGATCAGATAATGTGTTTCATATGCGAGTGGCGCACAAGCGAGTGGCGCAACCTTAAACAAAATAGTAAATGCGATATCTACCACTTCAGCTTGAATATTTCAACAACCATATTCATAAGATGCTCCATCATGCCCCGATTAGTCTGTGCCATAACCCGCAAATGGGTAGGTAAAGTCAACCCGCAACCCGAACCCGCAAAACCCATGGGTTGGTCAAGTCAACCCGCAACCCGCCCCATGCGGGTTGCGGGTTCGGGTGCGGGTTACCCACGCTAGCCCATCTTTGCATAATTTTTTGACACTATACCTAAAAAGGATGGATAAATCCAATTTTTTATGTAATAACCCACTTTTATGTACAGTTTTATACATAAATTTCTATGTTTGTCCTGTTTGACGACCCATTGGGTAACCCATAAACCCGCGCGGGTTTCCCATCAGAAACCGCAACCCGCATGCGGGTTAGACAGACCGACCCAAAACCCGACCCATAGGGAGGATGGGGCGGGTTCGGGTGCGGGTTTCTGCGGGTTACGGCACAGCCTAGCCCCGATATATATTGATAAGGATTCTTAGAAGTATATATCGACTTGGAATAAATTGAACCGTTATTTACTACGATATCAAAAATTACATTGTGAAGCCCGTGGAATACAGTTATAAATCGTAGCCTTTATAAAATTGATGTTCTCGATACTACCTAAAGTCACTAAATCACAGATGAAACAAATGGAGTTCTTAATGGTAAGTTCTTATAGACCGCTGTGGTTGAGATGATGAGTTATAATGTATCAGATTTACTAATGGTATTTAGGGGTGCGCCACTCGCATGTGAAGCACATTATCATTCCATTACATAATCCATTTAACATATCTCCGAGCTCCGAAGCTTTCTCCGGTTCTCTACTCCGACAGCATCTGTCTCCACATGTTGTCTCCACATTTTGTCTCCGACCTCTGTTCGTCGCTCAAGAGCCGTTAGCTTCGCTATTGTCTTTTTCGCGGTCCTCTTGCCCCATAGAAATGTCGGCTTCGTCAAGGTCTCTAGGAAAGCATGGACCACTTCCCAGGGCCGGAGACGCGACCGCAAAAGACCGACGAGTCCGAAAGCCAGTAAGTTGCAAACCATGTCGACAATCGAAGCTGCGCTGTGACCGGCATTTACCATGCTCCACCTGTAAACGACGCGATTGCGTTGCTTCGTGCACATATGGCAGCCAAGCACCCAAACAACCCCAACGTATCCCCGAACCCGTGTTACCGGTGAGGAACCCTTCAATCATTACACCTGCCGACCCTCCTACGCAAAGGACTGTCGACTATACAGCTGCATATGGAACTTCGAATTCTCAAATCACAGTACAATCACCCCTTGATTTCGCCCATGATCGCTGGGATGCTATACTTCGACGTCCCATCAGTCACATGGGCCCGACACCAAATAATCCCCTCAACAATTTTGGCGTGTCTAACGGTCTCTGCTTTCCATGGTCTCTTGAACCCAACATTGAAATGAAGGAACTATTGGCCATCGTTCCGGCTCATCACAACTGTGAATATTTGATAAATCATTACTTTCAGCACATGTCCCCCTTATTCCACATCCTTCATGGTCCGACTTTCGAAAAAGACTATCGCGCCTTCGTGCAAGATCCTTCCAAGACGAGTTTATCATGGCTTGCTTTGGTATTTATGGTCCTGTCCATGGCAGTTCATGCAATTGATGACGAAGATGCCTTGCTGCGGGAGCTATGTCCGCAGACAATGGACGGCTTCAAGCCAGAGCAGATTGCCCATCAATACCGGACTGCCGGTATGATGGCTTTATCAATGGATAATTTTCTGATTCATCATGATCTAAATACGCTAGAGGCCCTTTTGCTTCTGTGCTACGGTATTAATCACTGGGAAGGGGTAGAATATAGCTGGGTCCTACTAGGTAAGCTTTGTTTTAGGAGGAGAGAGACTTCACTGTGCTAATTTTATTTCCAAAGGCATGGCGCGGAATATGGGCATGTCTCTTTATTGCAACATAAATCCGAGTATACGGTTGGAAGGAGTGGATTATATCGATCTGGAACGACGCAGTCGTTGTTGGGCTGGAATTCTGCTCCTTCACACGAATCAGGCTATATCGTATCCTGATATCGATATGTCATCTTTCCCGAGTAGCACAACAAGGATGCCAGCGATCGTCAACGACAGCGACATTCGATCGAACGGTATATCGACGCCCAAGACGCATATAACTCAGATGTCAGTAATGCAGTTCAAGCTTGAAATCTTTCAATTATCAAGCCGAATATGCAGCCATCTTTCCAACCAGGCGACTCTTTCTCCCGAAACACTGGCAAAATTTGATTCTGAGATCCTGGCACAGCAGGTAAAATGGGAATCCGCATTTCTTGTTAATGGTTCACCCAGCGTTCTCGAGGCTCCAAGCCACGCGTATTGGTGTATCCTACAGCTTTACGCCCATCAGCTTTATCTGCTTCTATACCGACCCACCCGACACTCCTCGAAAGCACCTGCTGGGTCTCAACCCTCCCAGCTATCACGAGAAAAGTGCGTCAAATCGGGAGCAGCTTTATTGGATCTTCATGGACGCTTGTTTTCACTGCCAACCCTGCGCCCCTACCGATGGTATGTCTACGGCGTGACCAGCCTTTACGCTGTCCACGGGGCGGTTGCTTTGGCTTCATGTCTTCTTGATGATCGCGGTGGGAATATTGATACCTCGCATTATCGAATTGCTTTCGATGCCGCCATTGATCGAATTGCGAAGCTTCAAGGTCGGAGCCAGGTCTGTGCTAAGGCATATCCATTTCTCCAATATTTACAGTATGTCCCTCTTCAATGAAGCTCCGCTCCGCCAGGATTGTGGGACGAGAATTGCTTACATGCTGAAACAGAAGTATGTTATTCCCGGGACAGTTCCAGTGGGCCGAGCCCACTGGGGCCCAACTCGGTAATACACTGGATGAATGGATTGACAACGTCGATTGGATTAACCACGATACTGTGAATTGGGTAAATTATCCCTTTTCTCCGGCAATTGGGACTCTGCTTACACATGAAATCTAGGAATTTTGGGATGATATCCTGAACTCGGAATCATTTTCCAACATTGATCCAGCGATTCCGCAGTAGTCATGATTATAAAAGTTTTAATTAAGTGTCGTATCATACAAAATGGAAGAAAAGTACGCAACACGGGAGATACTACTTGATCAAAAGGGTCTCACAGGGTGTGGTTGGAACTAATGTCTTTCAGTAATTTACATCCAAATAACTCTGCAATCCAAGTGCTCACATAGTATCTTCGGCACTATCCCTCCAGTTGCTAGACACTTGGGCCATATCTGGCAAATGCATTACCGGGAAGCTGCAAGCCGAAAGTTTCAAGTATCTTGAAGCGGTGCAGCGAAACCTCCTCGAAGTTTGAAGTACGCTGCGGCTGCTTTTCCCAAGAAAAAGCATGCCAAAGAGAAACTGACGACAAAGAAAATTGACTGAAGCCGCTCTGCATAATCCACAGGACGCTCAAGACCACCTTGGCGTCGGGCCTCGTCACCTTTAGGTAAAGCGGCAGCCATCAGAAGTGCTTAAACAGGGCACTCTGGAAAAATTCCCGTAAAACCCAACCGAAAATCAAGAAAAGCCATTTTAATATATGTCAGAGTAAAGTCCGATACCGCCAAGTCACTGTGGGTCCATTTAATTTTCTCCGAGAATGAGATGTTGCCGACCACTCCATATCTCCTAAAGAGAAATCTTTGAATGTTTAGACTGCGGTGGTCATTAGTAGCCACGAACAATATTTTGGATTTGGGCGGCAGAATTAAATTTTTACTCGCTGTATGAGTATATAAGGCCGAATTACTGTTCGGACTTGATCAAATCCATTATTGGCTCAAGTGCCCACCATCTGGGCACCACTATATGGCTATAACTTACTAGGTATCTTCCTCATAGAAGGTACTCAGGTGTATAAATAAGCTGGTACCATAAATGGACGCTCAAGCGGGTACTTAAGGAGCTATACTTTTACCTACTGGGTAGGCATATTGTAGACACTTCATTAGACCGAAGATGCTCTGATATACGGATTATTGACTTGAAAATTATAGGCGGCGGTCGAGACGGTAAGCCAATTTGAAAATATTCTTCGAGGCCGCTATTCACCGGCACAGTGTAACCGAGCTTCTCCGAACTATTAACTCCGAAATCAAAATATCTTCTCCGATCCATCCAATCGGTGGTGTTTTTGCCGTCATATCCGAAGCTCCATGAAAGGGGCTTAATGGAAAGGCGATGATCAAAATATATAGGCAACGGGATGTAAGGATCGTAAGTTAATATCCCCATGAAATAGGGCGTTTGACATGAACCTCTGTCGCCTCAACGTCCGAAGGATCCCTTCCTTCATATTTAAGTCAACGCATTCATATGCTAAACCAATCATTCGAATGTACAGCAAACCAGCTACAATGATTTCTGTCCAGAAATCTGTGCCCCAGTGCACCACTGAAATCCCTCCCGGCCGGGGATACCCTCTTCATACGAACGTGAGGAAGCCAAAGATCGCGATTGTGGGGTGCTCATACGCGGGGATGTCAGCAACCCTCACATTGACGGCTTTGAAAGATGATCTTTCCATTCCCTTTGAATCTTGGGGTGATTACAGCCACCTTCAAAATGCCCCTTCGGTGCAAGATTTCGATATCACCATCGTTGACGAGAGAGATGGATTCTGTAAGTCTCCAAGAGTCTTCTCAGACATTCGAGCATGAAATTGGCTAACCCGGGTATCCTTGACTCAGTCCACAGTGTCGGAGCCCCACTAGCCCACATATCGCCTGAGAAAACAAACATGATGTGGAAAGTCTATGAAGGATTTGCGGAGTTGAACCGACCGGATATCGAGTTCGTTCAGGGAACCGTTACGAGTATCAATTCGGCGAGTCAGACGATGCAATATCAAAACTCTGAAGGCAAATCAGAAGCATTGGATTACGACTACATCATTATATCTTCGGGCCTCCGGCGCCCATGGCCTGTCGTTCCACGGTCCACGCAATTCAGCTCATACCTGTCGGATGCTTCAACATTTACACAGAGAATAGTGGGAGCTCAAAAGCTCGGCGTAGTTGTCGTTGGAGGCGGTATGTTCAAAAATGAGACCCCCAGAATGGAATTTTCGAAGCGCCATCCGATTAATTTTTCAGGCACTAATCTTATTCTTGGCGTAAAAGGCGCTGTAGGAGTCGAGTTTGCTGGCAAGATCAAAACACATTACCCTGAGACGCCAGTCACCTTGGTTCATTCACGGGACCAATTGCTCTCTAGGGAACCGCTGCCAGAAGAGTTCAAGACAAGAACATTGGAACTGCTCCGGGAGCAAGGAATCGAAGTCATTCTCAACCAGCGTGCCCACGTTGAAGAGCTGCCAGATGGAACATCCTACGTCAAGTTCAATGATGGCAATTGCTTACACACTGCTATGGTCATCACGGCAATGGCCTCCCACAACCCCTCCTCGGAATTTTTGCCACCTGCCATTCTCGGCAACGGAGGCATCAACGCTGATTCATAGTACGTATTCAAACATGCAATTCACACGCATAGAAGGCGCTGAAAATAATCCGCATTGATAGTCTCCGAGTTATCTCCGGAATTAATCCCATCCCTCGAATGTTTGCAGCTGGAGATATCATAAATCTTCCGGGGATCAAACTGGGAGGAACCGCAATGTTGATGGGGAGTGTAGCTGCGGCCAATATCTACTCTTTGCTGGTCGCTCAAAATAATTCAAGCTGGTCATTAGTTATGGAACCATACGTCCCGATTAAGCCGAAGATGGCTCTATCCGTGGGTAACAGTGCTGTTTGTTATACCCCTGGCGGCGAAGGAGTCAGATATGGAAAAGATTTGGTGGAGCCTCTGTTTGGGTCTGACCTTGGATGGTCAAGTAAGTAACATTTTCCCACTTGATTAGAAAAGTTTGCTAAAATACATATCATGCAGAAGTTCTGTCGGCACTTGGATTGAACAAATACGAAAACGCATCAGTGTAACACCACTCCACCTCTCCATCATACTCGAATACCTTTGTGCAATACCATCGAAGTATGTTCCCACGGCCTATTCAATCAAAGCGTTCATCATTTGGAATAGTTGAGCAGGAACAATCCTTCAAACAGCAGTGTACATATCGAATGTGGGCAGCTTGATAGGGGTGACTCCGCCACCCCATAGCCCAGCACAACCAGCCCAGTCTGCTCAGCTTGTCAGTTGTGATCAAGTATTCGACAAAGGTAGTACTCACAGGAAAGAAATGACACCACAAGCCCAAACGAATACCCGGCAGTCAGGAGACCCTGGACATTGGCCATAAACCCGGAAGCAAGCATGAGAAGGCAAATGTCCAAGAAGGCCAAGTCAATCAAAAGAACCCAGGAGGATCGCATCGCAGCGATTGTGAATGCCACCGTTACAATAAACCATGCCCACAGGTACAGTGACAGAGCCTGATCAAAGCTGGGGCTTATGGCCCCGGTCGCAGAATCGGTGTATGCAGCCAGGATACCTGTCCCGGGTAGGTATATCATTGCATAAGACAAGTTGAATGCACCATAGGAGGTGAATACGGTGGCACCGAACTGTGAAAAGACAAATATCAGCAGTTGTTCGAGCTCAATGATGCAAAGGGTGGGTTACCGTATTTCCCGTGATGAATTCCATTATCCCAGCAATAAATTGACCAACGCCGCCATAGAATACCAGACATCCGACCATCACATTGGGTGCAGTTACACCCCTGGCTTGCAGTCCGAAGACGCAGATGAGGAATATGTCTACAGAGTTAGTCGTATATAATTAAAAGAGATCAAGCGCCATACCTGTCGCGAATGAGATCAGTCCCAATGGAGAGGGACTGGCAAACGTGCGATGGTAGACCGGAAGAGCTGGTTGACTTCGGTCGTCCAGGTGTCCACCAGCAGTGTGGAGGCGTTCAAGGTTTGCGTGATCAAGGTGATTTCCATGCGATGAAGAAGCCATGCCTGCCTCTTCGGATTTCGTGGTCGCAAAGTCGTTCGAGTCCATTGCATTGGGCAGAGATTCAAAATTATTGATGTTTTGTCCAACTTTGTTTGATCCATGTACGATTTATATACCCTGTGGAATTAACTAGTACTGAAACAGAGTTCCCTACAACCTGGAATACGGGGAACCACTTAGCACTACACAGCTGTTGAATAGGGGCTATTCTGACGAGTTCATAAATGGCTCCACATTATGTGCTCCCCGCATTCCAAAGTTTTACTCGTAAATCTGGGGTTTGAGTTCCACTGGACAAGGCAGGCAGCGGAGCTCCGCGCGGACATCCGCTCCGATATCGTAAACTGTTTTTGGACTTATGAAGAATATTGTAATGCTTTCTTAAACCAGTCAGGCAATGGTTATAAATAAAAAGTTACTACTTTGTGGCCCTTGCTGACTTCGACGCTTCGGAACGGGCACATAGCTGAACGATGGTTCAAATTTGGCGATTAGTATGGGTAGTAAAAATTTAGTGATATTTAAAATTGGGGAACGCAGCCAATCTGGCGCTTTTATTCTCAGGCCTTTAGCTAGCCTGGCCTAGAATCCCCTATCCTCAAAGAAGATGGGCTCTCAAGTGCTCCTAGGCATTGTTGTAGGGTTACCTTAGCCATTCAAAATACCCTTAGCTTTGAATCTACACCCGTGGACCTGGGGTCTATCAACTGGGCATAACGCGGACCTTTTAGACATGTATTCGACCCTTTGCCTCCGATTTTTTTTTCCCTCTTCTCTATCCACTTGTCTTTTCTTTCCTTTCCTCTCAATTCTACTATTCCTGACTCTATAGAGTCCTTTGACTAATTACCTCTTCTGGTAGGAAAAAAATAGAAAGTTGTGTAGGAGACTAAGTAGTAAGAGACTGTGAACTAATACATACTATTTAATAATTTTTTCCTTGGAGAAAAAGCGGAATGAATATGAGGGACTCGGTTCATTTGGATCTTTCGACGGTGCTATCAATTGTGAAAAGAATCAGATAAGTAATAAGTAAAGTAAAAAAAAAACGGTATGGTAGGAAATCCCCTATTGTACAGTACTCGGTGTTTAAGAAAGAAGAGGGGGTTCTACTCCAAGATGAACCATTTCGTTCGTCATAGAATGAATACCAGTGGCGTCTTGCGTAGGAACGGCATACTCCTTGACCCCCGCCTTGTGAACCCTCCCATTAATAATAACAATGTTTAACCTATCATGATCCTGCAGTAGGTTGATCTCCTTCAGTGGATCTCCATCTACCACCAGGCAGTCTGCATAGTTACCAACTTTGATCTGGCCCATTTCGTGGGAGCGCATGAACAGCTTAGCCATACCATATGTCGCTGCAATGATAGACTCATGTGGTGTGAAGCCAAAACGCTCCACAAAGTGTGCGAGGTCACGCGCATAAGTGCCATGTGGCGTCCAGGCAAATCCATAGTCACTTGAATCTGGGTTAGGACTTTCACTTGCTCCTCTTTCAGAAGGTGAGACTTACCCTCCCGGAAGGACCACAATCCCCCTCCGATGCATCTCTCGCATGGCACGATCAGCGAGATCAAGCTCCTTCTGGTAACCTACCTGTTCAGCCTTCTCTGTGGAGTAGCCGAACATGACAGCATCGTGGAGCGTGGCAATCAGCCAGTTGATGGCGGGTGCCACAATGTGCTTAGATCTGTTCTTCTCCAGTGAATCCATGCCTTGAAATGTCAGCAAGATACGACTAGAGCTCGAAAAAGAGGGAATGTACCTTTCTCGTCGATGAAAGATGCATGGTAGATGACGTCCACTCCGAAATCAATGGATTGCTGAACAGAGTCTCGGGCTCGTGCGTGTGAACAGACTCGCTTACCCATCTTGTGGGCCTCATCAACACATGCTGCTGTCTCTTCTGGAGTGAAGTAGCACTCCTCTGCATCTCGGGTCTCTGTGATCTGATGAGGGTTCGTTAGTGCTAAGCTCTCACACGATTGTATACCAGTCTCACCGATTCTCCAGACATTGACAGCTTCACTTGGTCCACCCCGAGCTCTATATGCTCACGAATACTGATTTTCCTGTCAGCAGGGTACTAGTTAATATCTTGGATATGACGTACACTTCTCTCATCTCCTCTGGGCCATCAGCATACGCAGTGATTCCTCCAACTAGCTCGCCCCCTCTTCGTGCCATTTCTTGACCATTGGCCAAGAATCGGGGGCCGGGAATATCCCCGGCGTTAATTGCATCGCGAATCACAATATCCAGGCGTTTCTTAGCAGATGCAGCTCCGAAGCACATGGTATATCCAGAATCCAAGAAGCATTCGGCGCTCCTGGCGGTGAGAAGTGTGTGCTCCTCAACACCGAGGTCTCCTAGACGATCCAGGTCGCCTCCATTCCAGGTGAAGTGGGCATGGGAATCCCCTAATCCTGGCATCAACGTGCGCCCCTTTCCGACGAAAACACGGACACTTGAATCTGCGAGGAGGGTCTCTTTGTTGGGAACCTCACCCACATGAGCAAATCTCTCGCCTATAGAGCATGTTCGTCAGTGTGTGGACTTTGAGGGAGACAGTAGTCGAACAACATACCTACGATGAGGACATCTCCTCTGTAAGGCTCCCTGCCGGTAGCTTCCAGGATCTCAACATCTAGGATGAGAATTTTCGACGACGCACTTGTTCCGGCAATCTCATAATTGACGGGCTGGAGATTGGGATCAAAATCAAGCTGATCAATGTATTCGATGTTACGTGGTGGCCCATCATAATGATCGATTGGGTAGTCCTTTGACATCCATGACAATTTAGACATGCCGAATGATGTGTATTGAGAATAAGATAAATATGATGAAAGACTTCTGGTTTTCAAAAGAGGCTTTGAAAATGTTGTCTAAGTCAGGGTTCGGACAATGCGAATCTCTCTCATATGTGATTTGTGTCTTGCAGTACTTGCTCAACAATGCTTCCCCACATGACATGATTATCCGTCGTTGAAGAAAGTGGGCACCAATCGGAGCAACTTCTCCAGTTCTCGGACTTACGGTAACTTAGTGCCCTCCGCGCTTCTCCGCAATATTGAAATTGAAGTTCGGGGACTCGAAAAGATGTAATGTGGCCTAGGCCTTCCAAGGTATTCCAACAACAACCATCAAGTTCTTCACAATGGGCTGGTTAAGTCTACGAAGCCGACTCAACGGCTCTAGTCCACATGTCACAAGCTTCAAACCCTCCACTGAACACGTTGAACAAATCAAACACGCCGAACACTTCGAGCACGCTGAACACGTCGAAGAAATTCACCTCGAATATCCAATTCAGGACTCCTCTATCCCCGACAGTGATTTACCCTATATTCCGGCCGCGGTGGTCCGAGACCAAAAGTCAAGCCTCTTGCAAGGCCAGGGTCGTGTTTGGATTGTTGTGGATACTGTTATCTATGACTGTACCCAGTTCATCGACGAGCATCCAGGGGGAGAAACGGTCATCCGGAGTTTTGTCGGGGAAGATTGCTCCTGGCAATTTTGGCGCTTTCATGACAAGGCGATTATGGAACAGTGGGGGCGACCACTGCGTGTTGGTCGAACAGAAGGGATCAGGAATCGCTTCAAAGAGATGCCGAAGTACTTTGGACCCTCAAGGAGCCGATAATTTACATATGGATAGCCTGTCCATGTCAACCCTTGAAAATAGGACCACACAAGAAATGCACATGTATCTACTTGCCACGAAACATGTATATAAAAATTTGATACCAATTGAACCTCAACGCTATATTCATTTCACATATCCATAATGTTTGTTTCCTTCGTATGAAAGCCTGGACTGCCCTTTCGACCCCGCTCATGAGGCCCTCGTGACCGTCTCTACCCCGCCACTCGGAAACCCCCATGCATCTCCGTAATGGAAGGAACCATGGTACGGTTGTAGCCTTAAATCCGAGAGACCTGAGTCGGAGTTCTCAGTCATGATGCGCGGCGATACGCGGACATGTAAAATGACGACATATGGAATGCGGGGACCCCGCCGCGATCAACAGCTTGAGATTTATAAAAGTGGCAGCGTCAAGATGAAAAATTTTGATTTGTGAAAATCCAACCTTCTTGACCTCATCAATCGTTCTAAAATGACGATCAACAATCTCACGAACTATGTCGCCTACCTGGAGCCCAACAGTGGCCCCAGAATCGGCCATCTCGACTTCAATACCTCATCGATCACCCCTCTTTCCTTTATATCCGGCACCCCATTGACAAGTCTTTATCAAGTCATCGCCGTCGGTGAGCAGGGAATCAAGGCATCTGGCGAAAATTCTTTCCCTCTTTCCAGCGTGAAGCACCTCCCCCCGATTTCGGGCCGTGATGTGCTCGCGGTTGGAAAGAATTACGTCGAACACGCCAAGGAGTTCAATTCCTCGGGCTACGATGCAAGCGACAAAACTGATCAACCGACTCACCCCGTGATTTTCACCAAGCGTGCCACTTCCATCATTGGCCCCGAAGACCCTATTCTCCTGCATCCGAAGTTCACGAGCACAGTTGACTATGAGGGTGAGATCGGTGTCATAATCGGCAAGCCAGGCTTCCAAATCTCAGAGGAGAATGCATTGGACCACGTGTGGGGTTATACCATTGTGAACGACATGACCGCACGTGAACGCCAGCGTGACCACAAGCAATTTTTCCTCGGAAAATCACCCGATACCTTCTGCCCAATTGGCCCCGTCGCTGTCCCCAAGGAGAGTCTTCCCAAGAACCTAAAGATCCAGACTTTTGTCAATGAAGAGCCACGTCAGGAGGCTACTCTTAGCGATCTGATCTTTAGTGTTCCTACACTGATCGCCACTATCAGCGCTGGCCAGACCTTGCAAGCCGGTGACGTGATAGCCACTGGTACACCAGCTGGTGTCGGCTTTGGATTCCGTCCCATGAAGTTCCTCCAGACTGGAGATAAGATCAGCGTGTCTGTAACAGGGCTGGGAACGTTGACGAACCGTATTGCGGCTGCAGACGCGGTCAACACCACCTCCGAGCGCGCACAGTCTCACATTCCAATTGCCAATCAAAAGGCGCCCGCCAACTCGAGATTGACCAACATCAACGGCAAGAACCTCTTTTACCAGCGACTTGGTGTGGAGAGTGGATCTCCAGTATTCTTCGTTCACGGACTAGGCGGATCCTCAAGTTACTTCTATCCCCTTATCGCGAAGCTGCAGTCGACACATTCCTTGCACCTTCTAGACCTGGAAGGACACGGTCTTTCCCCGACATCAGCACTCAGCACCCTTTCCATTGCCTCTTTTGCGGAAGACTTTTATAAAATGTCACAAGTGGCTGGTGTTGACAAGGGTGTGACCGTGATTGCCCACTCTATGGGATGCTTAGTGGCTCTCAAGCTTGCTCTGCAGCACCCCGCTCTTGTATCCAAACTTATCCTCATGGGACCTCCCCCGAACCCACTTCCAGAGGCAGGTAGCCAAGGCTCCTATGCCCGGGCTGCTCTCGTTCGGAAAGAGGGAATGTTGTCGGTTGTGGATGCCATAGTGCAAGCCGGAACATCGACCTACGTTCAACAGAACAAGCCGTTGAGTATCGCTGCGGTTCGCACTTCCCTTCTTAGTCAAGATGCTGAAGGATATGCAAAGGCGTGCGCGGCCCTTGCTGGATCCGCCACCGACCCCTTGGATGTCAAGTCTCTTCGCATCCCCCTTTCTATCGTGACCGGTGAAGAGGACAAGGTCAGCCCACCTTCTCTCTGCCAGAAGTACTCTCAGGTGACTGGAGGTGGTCATGTTGAGGTGCTAAAGGATGTAGGACACTGGCATCTATTTGAGGATGTTGAGGGAACCGTGAAGGCGGTTTTGGCGCAAATTTAAGAATGTCATGTTTCATAGCATAGTCTTTTTCACACTTTTTTTTACATTTATAGGTGGGAAAATTTTCATATATATAGTTTGAATCAATAGAAGATTAATCGGAAACATGAGATCAGTTAAAATAAGTTGGAGGCTCTCGGTAGTTGTCATTGAGTAATTTTAAAAAATATGGTGGGGATGAGAATTAACTCTTGGGCCTGTACATTGTTGTACCAGTTGAGCTGTCAAGCTTCACCAACACACCAATTTCATAGACGGTTAATGAAAATGGGACCTACTAAATTCACTCCCGTTTTTACTAATTTCACTCCCCTTCCTGGAACTAAGTGACACATTTTTATTCTGCCGCGACTTCGATGCTATGTTTATCCTCCACGTACTTAAGTCTGTGGAGATGAATGAATTTTACTTTTTAACGCTATTTGATCTAATGTTATTATCTCTCTATCTACTTCCTTTTGTATTAAGAGGAAGATCTAATAGAAGACTTAGAGCCTAGGTATTAGACCTTATCTCCTACTACATCTGCTACTTAGTCTCCTACTACATTTGCTACTTAGTCTCCTACTTAGTATTCTACCTTTTTTCATACCATGTTAATCTACTATTTAAAGGTCTCCCTAAATTCATGAATAGTAGAATAGAAAAGAAAGATAGAGAGAGGAGGAGGAAAATGAAGTAGAAGGAGAAGCCAATATATAACTAAAAACTCTGCGATATACCTAAGTGATAGAGGGGTAGACAAGCATAATGAACATAAGTCACTTGATTTTTGGGCAGGGAGTGAAATTAGTAGAAATGGGAGTGATTTTAGTAGGTCCCATAACAATTGCTGCTAATGTAAGGGCACTATGATGATAAATCTGTAGGATCTTGATTATCTTGGCTGTCAAGGTGCATAACAGTCAATCGATCGACAATTCGGGATTTTCAACATGTTCAGGGTGTTTCAGGTAAGACTAGAATGATATTAGGAGACTCAAAATGCAAGATAACACTTGGTCAATAACGTCCAAGTAATATCAGGTGACGATGGCAGGCAAAGCTGTATCACTGGCGTGGACAGGCCTCCACCGTCACGATTTCTGTCTGATAAACAACAACGGGGATTGCCGCCGGAGTGTTCTCCATGCTTGCCACGGGTGAAGTCTGTAGAGTCGTCGCAATTGAAGGCTGTGCGTTCGCCACAGTGGAGGCCTGCTGGGTCGTGGCAAGTGATGTCTGCAGGGTTGTCGCAATTGAAGTCTGCGTGGTCGGCACGATAGAAGTCTGCAAGGTTAAGAAGGTTGATGGCGCACGAGTAGAGGAGCTGGTATAGTATCGTGATGATGCTACAGCACTCGAAGATGCAGCGCTTTTGGCGGCAGCAACGTCAGAAGCATCCTGGTGATAGAGAAGCGATCCCCATCCCAGGCAATCATAATCGCCAGAATCATCTCCCCAGGCACCAGCACCTGGCTCAAAGCCCCCGAACTCGGAAAGAGAGTAATTCAAATATTTCTTTGTCCAGGGAGCATCTAATCCTTTCACAACACCGTAGTGATTCCATAATAACTCCCAGTTGGGCCTGGTTGAGCCCCGGCTGGAGTTACTGATCTCTGTAAAGTCGACAATCCCATTGGGGTATGGCTCGAATTGGACATCATGACCCAGGTTGTAGCGTGCAAAGTATTCGACACTGACGCAGTATTAGCATAAGCCCCTCAATAAGTTGAATCTTAATGACACGTACCCCTGGAGAATCCGACTGTTGTTGTAGGCGAAAAGGTTATCGCCTTGGTTGTATGCCTGCTGTCCGATTGCTGCCAGAGTCTGCCAGTTCAGCGCAGAGTGACCTTGGTCACGACCAGATTCCTGGCCTTGACCCAGTAGGGTACCCGTGATCGGCTCCTCGACAAGGTTGGAAACCGCATTTCCAATACAACCATTACCGGTACCATTCTTGAAGTATTGCAGAACATAATCATAGGTGCTTCGGTCCTCAGTAAGGACACCAATAGCCATCGCAGAAGCCATGTTGCAAAGCTCCCAATTCGCGAAATAGTGTTTGACATTGTGCTCCGCCGAGTTCTCATGGTTCAGGAATTGTAAATTCATGGAAAGAAAGACATCTTCCATCATGGCCGTGAAGGTATCAAAGCCGTTTTCCATGAACGGAGCGTAATCGCGCAGCAGCTCCGCAGCGTTCGCCATTTCAGCTCCCTGCAGACCGGCTGCAAGGTACATGTCATTGTCACCGCTGATCTCAGTGAGAGTCTCTCCCCAAGCAACAAGAATTTTGGCTGCGGCCTCGGCAAAGTCGGTCTCGCCAGAGATTTTCCACCGCAGCCCAAGGTTGAATGCAGCAGCCGCGTCTTGCCACAATAGATTCACATTTTCCTCGTGGACACCATCAAAGCCACGGTAGATAACGGATACTGCGTTGTTGGTATACGAATCGTTGGAGTATTCAATGCTGATGAGATCTTCCCACGAAGCGAACCAAGGATCCTGCTTGGCTTTGATATGCTTCTTGGCGCGAGTGATATCGGCATCGGTAACAAGAAGACCAGGATGGTTAAAGGCAGAAACAAGAGAAAATAAACAAAGGAAAAGAGAAATGACTGTGGCGCCAGTCATAGTGGCGGATATTTTTTAGAAATTATAAAATATGAGTGAACATTGAATGAATAAATGATCAACAAAAGTGGAAAATGAGATTCATTTTCGCTTTTACTTCTGGATTTGAAAAGCTTGGTTAGCTATTTGATGGGTGAGAGGTTCACTTCAGGGGTTCTATCTGAAACGGCTTTGATTTCAGTGTCAGAAACCCTTTCAGTTCCGGAGCCGCGGGTAGAGTAATGCATTAACAGTTAGGGCTCTAGCATACTCTGCATTAGCGTGTCGCATAATTTTAGTGGGGTGTTAATGCATCTCAATAAGAAAGCGGGCCATCTGGTGGGTCTGGATTGGAGTGAACGGTTCTGTGAACAGCAATAATGAAATCACGTTTTTTTGTTTTTGCAATATGAGATATCGTGTGGAAACAACAAACTTGAGGAAATGTCACGTGACAATAACAACCTTGGAAGGCATATGTATTTTAGGGAACGAGAATCAGGGATAGAGAATTCTCTACAGCACTGTCAATACGGATTTCTCGTATCTTCTCGGATCATTGACTTCATCCTTCACCCCTTGTGTTCACCATTAGAACCAGATCCTGTACTTCATTTATATCATAAATGTCAAAATAAAGTAATTTGTGTTCGCTACTTACTTTTTGCGGGTGAAACTCCGGTGGAAGCCTCGGCAATTCTAGTATATATGTTCAGGCGACGGAAATGTGGCGCAAGATTTCCAGATCATGTTATGTAGGCTGAGTGCCATTGAAGAAGAATCAATGTAACTTAGATCTCGCTCTACCTTTTAGTCAAATTATGTCCAACTCAATATTTAATTGCACTAAACGATTTTAAGAAACAGGTTCGCCAAAAGATTTTGATGTTACATCGTACTTCTTTTCGAAGACGCAAACCACGCGCCGATATACTGAGTTTGTGTGATAGGTAGAATGGCACTTTGGCCATCACAAAAGCCTAATCCTGCCCCTCTCAGTCCCGGTTTATTATATGGGCCCGGCACATTCTACACCCCTCAACTCACTCCAATCCCGTCAGAGTCCTTACTCATACTTAATGGCTAGGTGTACATGATACACTAAATTTATCAATACTAGTAGTATTGGCAAATAAACATATGGTGTTATTTCCCTATGTCAGTCGCATCATAAACCATGCAAAATTCGCTGGACACGTAAGGCCTGGGCCAAGACTATCGACGATGGAAAAGCGGTTAACAGTCACATGTAGTGTCGACAGCTCGATCTCTTGTCGTTCAGGGGAAGAAAAGGCTACTTGATAGTACCCGGGAAACAGAAAGAAGGGACAAGATCTGTATTTTGAGAGGGACATAATCACCAAGTAGACATGCAGACGCTGAAAGTCCATCTGACCCCACACTCCCAGATATAGTCATTCACGATCTAGTGAACCAATGTATCAATTTCAAAATCCACCACAACAACCTTCTGCTCACGAATAATCAGAACTGACAACCTCCTGTCTTCTAGTGCTTCTTGATCTACTAGTGGCTCCCCCGAGTACCCATCACCCCTCCACACCACTTCATACCCATTATACCTCCCCGATGGCTCCTCCAAGTTGGCCCGCAGTATAACCAACTCCCCAGGTTCCCTTCCAGGAAGAACAAAGAAAATTGTCGCCAGTCGTGGGTGGGAAACGATCTTTCCTCGGGGTCCAGTAAATGTTGGTCGCGGGCCAGGCAGCTCTGTGGCAGTCCACACCCCCAATCCACCGCGACAATTATAATGCATCCAAGCCTCCCCTTCCTTTCCTCTCTCACGATTCAGTACATGAACATCGCCTTGCACATCAACAAACTGAGCCTCCTGATTCATGATCCCGCCATCTCGCGGGATCTTACGCGCGCGAAGGCGAGAGTCTTGCGAATCCATACCGGAGCCCTCCGAAGACAAGACAGCCGTGACCTCTCCCCCAGTCCCATGCCATGTGGTTCCTAAATCACGACTGTAGGCATGGTAGAGACCTTCATTATTTTCAGGTCCATTAGGTCCGGCCTGGGCTTTGTGCAGGCTTGACTCCTCGTCGTTGGCGCCCTCGTAGTCAATGAAATGTCGATTCGTCCATGTAACGTGTAAGCTTTGACTGGGGTGATGAAAGCTGAGTCCATTTGGATAGGGATTACAGTTTCGGCCTATTAGATATTTCCCTCGCAACTCGAAAAGGGAGTTTAAGGGGTCGTAAAAGTATAGAATATCTGATCCCGCACCGGCCCTGTATGTCTGGTCAGACTGATTTGACAGCGGATGGAGTTCAATTGCGTACTTTCCAATGCGGCATTCGAAGAATAGCCCTGAATTTGCGCGGATGAAGCGTGGATATGTCACGTCAACCAGCGCGCCATTTTCCTCCACTGCTGATGTAGGTAGGTTGTTTCGGATTGGCCCGAAGGCATCTAGCGTCCAGCTTGATGGTGTGCTATCATCTGCAAGTCCCGGCCGTGAAACCCGGTACTTTAGTTCACTACAGTGGTGGTCGAATGCGACATGAATCGTGCCATCTCCAATACACACGCCGATCGATATGGTATTATGTCCGTCATCCGTCGTTTGATCATAGTCAGTGAAGGTCAGAGGTTCCCATGGTGCATCTTTGATTTGGTGATTGCGGCGGGCAATTGTCACATGTCTCACACCAGAGGAAGGGTATGTTGATGAATAGAAGGCTACATATTGAATTTGGCCGACGGTGGTCAAGACGGATTGTTGGAAGGCACAGGCGTTGAGGCAATTTATTGTTACGGGGTTGTCACCAACAACAGACGTTCTTGGACTAACAAACATGACCGCGTCGTCTACCTTGCGTGGCTGGGTTAGATGACCGATCAATATCCAGTCACATCAAATTAATCGATTCGCCAATGATTGGGACTTTGGGGGAAATTCTGTGTGGTGGAAGATTATCCAGTAGAGAAATTCAACTACGATGTGATTAATTGAATAAATCTCGCTAAATTTGCGTTTCTTCTTCCTTACGCACGCCCTTTACTCGATATTCTATTTGCGGAAACCCCAGCCTAAGATTTCCCACCAATAAGCAGCACTTCTCCAGCCTCGTACTCGGACGATCATGCACCGAATCCTCAGGTGGATTGTTCTGATCAGAGCTACACAAAGAAACAGACTGTTCACAAGCGCACCACGAGCAATGAGGCTTGCAAGATAGAAGTATGTCCAATCTAGTCATGATGAAAACGAGAGTCATTAGATTCCAGCGTTATTTCCAGCATAACATGCCTGGTCGGCCCTATATAATCATCAGAGGATGCTGTGCCTTCTGAGCCATACTAACACTTGAAAATGCATATATCGTGAATGCCGTGCTTATGGCACATGCTTTAATAGGATCATCAGCCATCAAGCATTCCTAAGATAAATCTGCATGTGGGCTAAACCGGAAAAGGCAATGATTCAAATTGCGGGGGTACACAGGTCCTTTCTCGCCTGTGGATTCCTCCACCTGCCGGCTCTGGACGTAATAGAGATGAAAATACATAAAAGACTCCATGTGAAAGCTAGAAAATGCTTTTTGTCGCAGGAAACATCGGGGACTAATATGCCGAAAGCAGTTAGCGAACAAGTTCACGGACGCCACGAACCTTGCAAAGTAGAACTGCATTTGATTGTGGTGGACCCGTGGCCCACCGGAGTCAAGAGATTGCGGGGCCCCGCGTGACCCTCTTTCATAAAGAGATAGCTTAATACGCCAATTTTGCTTCGATTCATTTTCCCTACCCTTGGAGTAGACAGTCATTTCTAAAACCCTTATAGCTCACGAAATCGCACTTTTATAATTCTGGGAGACTCCAGGGATATCGCAACAGAAACCATGGAGCAGAAACATGGCGAGACCCAGCGTATTGAGCATGTCACCGATGATGTACAACCAGATGATGCTGCAAACCATCTAATGCGTTCCAAAGAGGATGATCTGTCAGTCTGGAAAAGTTTGTCGCGATACAAGCTGGTTGGAACCCTCGCCATGGCAGCGGCTTTTAGCGCGTCCTTGGACGGTTACCGTGGGTTTCCTCCTGTTTAAATAAAACTCCCAGGCCCCACAATGTAGCGCTCCATTGCTGACCTTGTTCGATAGAAATTAATCTCAATGGTGGTATCGTGGCCAACAAAGGCTTCATTGCGCAAATGGCCAGCCCCGGAACCTCGATCATCAATGCAAAGTACGTTTCCGCGTGGGGAGGAATCCAATCCGCTGGTCAGACGGTCGGTCAAATTGTGTGTATACTCCAAATCGATAGACAAAACAAAAAGCGCTGACCGAGAGCAGGGAATTCAATTTGTCACTGACAAATGGGGTCGCAAAGTGACCCTTTATATTATCTGGATAATCATGGTCATAGTAAGCACATGAATTCGCTTTCTAATTCAAGAATGGCGCTGACTGTCCCAATTTTGTTCCTATTCAGAGTGTGATGATCGAAAGTTTCGCTACCCGATGGGACCACTGGCTCGTCGCGAAGCTCTTCGCCGGAATGGCCGTTGGTATGCTGCAGTGTACTATGCCTCTCTACCTGTCCGAGATTGCTCCCACCCAGCTACGTGGTTTGTTCATCAACGCATACAGCTTGTGAGTCTGATTTCTTCCTGAACCAATCTGCAGGTCAATGACTGACTCCAATATTAAAGTTGGTTCGTCGTTGGTCAATTGTTCGCATCGGTCGGTCTGAATGAGTTAAAGTCCGTTGATCCGTATAATTTCCGAACCCCTATCTACTCACAGGTTCGTGGGATACGCCACTCAGGGCTGGAAATCAACCCGAAATACTAATCAATCTTAGTGGGCGATGATTGGTGTCATAGCTATCATCTTTGTTCTTCTCCCTGAGAGTCCCTGGTGGCTGGCCAGCGTGAATAAATTGGAAAAGGCAAAGAAGGTCCTCCTGCGGTACCACGGACATATGGAGGGATATAACGTACAGCAGCAAGTGGTAAGCACTTCTGCGATCTTGGAATCCTCCGCAACACCGATGCTGATCATTCATAGGATATTATGACTACTACCGTTGCAGCGGAGCGTGAACAAGCCGAGCGCAATGGAGAACTGGGCTTCTGGGTAGTTTTCCAAGGTCGCAATCTGATTCGGTTCATCATTGCTGGATGGCCCAAAATCGCACAGCAATTCGTCGGCCTTACTGTCTTCAACACATACGCCACATACTTCTGTAAGTTTATATTCTTGATGGTAGAATATTCACAGTTGACTGACGCATTGCATCCTACCTAGTCCAATATGCTGGCAACAAAAACCCGTTCCTTGTTACACTCATTTTGTCCTGTGTGCAGCTAATCTCCATGATAATGACCGCTACCCTCACCGATCAGTATGGTCGCCGACCTCTCACCGTCTATCCTTACGCAGTGACTGTACTATCTGTGCTCTGCCTCGGCATCATCGGTTGCTTCAATTATACTGAAAAAGCGACTAGCTCACTTCTGGTATTTCATTCCACTATCCAAACACAAATCTTAGAAGCTAACGGCATCAACTCAGATCTTCTTTGCGTGCCTTGCCACATTCTCTACCACTGGTGCCTCGGGAATTGGATACGCCTACGCCGCCGAGATCCCCCAGCAACGTCTCCGCGCGCGGACCGCAGCTTGGTCCCTTGCTGTGTCCAACATGATTGGTATAATGTTCAGCTTCTGCACTCCATTGATGATTAACGGAACATCCACAAAGTGGGGCGTAAAGACCGGGTTCTTGTAAGTTCCTAAAAATTCATACAGACAAAGAGTATACTAATATAGGCTTTCAAATGTACAGCTTCGCCGCTACCGGAGCCATTGTTGTTGTGATTGCCTGGTTCATTCTACCTGAGGTCGCCCGTCGAACACCTGGTGAGATTGATGAGATGTTTGAAGAGCGGGTAAATCTCCGAAAATTCAAGAACTATGTGACGATGGTACAGCTTCAAGCGGAGGCCCAAGGCGAGAAACAATCGAAATTCGAAGCCTAGGGGTATGATGACCACAGATAGTTAAAGGGGCCAGTCTCTGACTTCACTGACATGCCAGAGATCATGGAGAGAAGCTTGGTCATGCTAAATGTGTATACTGGCAACATAGTTTCCTCGACATAGGGTGTGGATGATTGAAATTTGTCAAGCTTAGCTGGTCTGAACTCAACACCTTGATGCGGCCCATTCGCCTTGTTTTATATAATATAGCTCTTCTAATGAAGGGGTAATGTGTCGGTGAAATGTCTTTTGTCGATTATCTCATAATTTGTGACAAAAGGTTTTTATACATCGAATTTATCCGTCGATCGCACGAAATCTGCCACGGGTTTGCGACAGGGTTTCCCATCGCGCAGTCTGATGCTAATATGCGTTTTATCACTCCCATGAAACAGTATCAGCAAAACCCTAGGATAGACATTAGATATGACGAGCTCAGAAATCACTATACCCTCATATTCATTGTCTTTCCCCCTCTCGCACCATCACTGCAAATCATATCCCTTTACGTCTACGCATGGAGGACCTCATTTACTCATTTTCTTGGCACTCCGGCGGCACGTCCATATGTTCACTTGGTGCAAACCCGGGCATCGGTCAATCTACCGGAGTACCCCATTTCTCCCGCACATAAAAACATCTCACGATTTTTGTTCACGGCAGCCGGGGGGGTCTACCGGTATACTTCCAGTTCTCCACACACCCCGTGAACAAATGTGACCCTTCCGGGGGAATTCCCGCTACCCGCTATTGAGTGGATCGGATGGGACCATGCCACATTTACTGCAAGACTTCATGGTAAGCTTGATTGAATGGAGTATTGAATAGCTGGTTATGCTCACCGTTGAAAGAGTTCACATGCTACATAGGAACAATACTTCGATTTTCTTAATTCGAAAACGCTTTTGATGGCACAATTTCTAACGTTACAGTTAGAAACCTCAGCTACATAGTGAAGAGGGGAACGCTCGTTGGCTGTACGCTCTGACGACGCACGAATCGGATATACTCAGCAAAACCCACCACGACCGAAGGTCGCCCTCGGCGAGCAGTGGATCCCTTGACAAAGGTCAAAAGTGAGAGATGTGTAAGAGCGTTCATTCTGTAACTAGTGCTAAGTTCGTATTAATATACCCTTTTCCTTACGGGAAGGAATGTGACCCGTAAGGGTATGGTAATCCGTAGTAGGGACCAGTTCTCCCCACTACAATAGGTAGAAACTTGGACTCGGTCATAATGGTGGGATATAATGAGTCGAGGATTGAGGATTATTGACGTTTGTGACTTTTGAGAATCTGACCATCAATGGGCTGCAAATCAGTGATACGATGAGCAAGCCACCATGGTACGCTACATCGGATCCCATTCCAATGTATGTGAATGAGCACGTGAAGGACCTAGTCTTCGATTTATCGTGGACATTTCCTACGATGATTTGTGTAAACATTAAGATCGCGAGTTAGCAAGGTCGCAAAAAATATGCTCATGTCAATTAGCAATTAATAGTGCTATTATTTATGCAAAGAATCAATGGGAAGAAACATACTTTTTTCCAAATTTCTCCTTTCTCACCGTGAGAGTCTTATCTAGTGCACAAGCAGAAGACATTCTATTCGTTATTTTCCCGATATCATTCTCTTTAGAAGGTTATATAGAGAGAGAGGAAAGGAGGGACGCGGAGCACACGAGCTAGGTCTTCGGAAATGGTCTCTTTAATGACAGTTTAATGTTTATGAGGCTAGGCTCATTGATTTTACAAAGTATTCCGAGAGGTCCTACAATATACTCCATTCGAATTCTCCATGGCAGAAAATTCAAATGTGCCAGAACATCAGGACATTCTAGAGAATTACTTTCATTGCACCGCTCGACAAAGGGTGCCGACAGCCTTGCTCTTTGAACATAACATATTGATATGAATCTTCCGAAATTTGTATATCGCTCTTCAATATATTCCATTCTGTCATTCCTTTTTGTCGCTCAGGCTGAGGGTTGTAGTAAAGGAGAATGCTTCTGGTAAGAGTCTGTAGCCTGGGCGTGGTCCTGGCCCACAGCTTCCGGTACCAATACCATTGTGGGCATAGTCCAGGTTCAATATGGTGTTTGGGGATCGAGAAAGCTGATGAGGATGCGCAGCATTGTCCAGATCCTGGACCGTACTGTGTCTAGCAGTAAAGTCAAAGGGTGCTGACATTCGCGCCTCCAAGGAAACATTCGCTTCCTTGGAATGGATCTTCACCCATCTGGTGTCAGTGTGATTTCCATTCTCTTGAGGGTATTCGTAATCGATAGAGAGACCCTCAATAGTGCTGCGATAGAGTCCAAACTTGGTCGACTCCTTCTTGTCACGGTAGGACTCCCCAGGGCCACGGCCCAACCAAGTGCATGAATCGAATCCGTTTGCAAGAGTCATGGTCAGACCAATTCGTGGGATTACCGTAGGATGGTGTCCAACGAAACTCCCTTTGGTCGTGATAGTTAATCTTGCACCGGTGATCCCATATTGAAGCTCCCCTTCAACTGCCCATTCAAGGATAGGAGGTGCGACTCGAACGTGGACCGTAATGAGCACAGGCTGGCTAGGCACATTCTTCCATGTTACCTTGCGAACGTGCGTTTTTGTGAGATGAACAAAGAAATTAGCCCATTCTGCGGCATCACCTCCGAAGCCTTTGTCATTTTGTGTCAAGGCGCGTTGAATGCTCAGCTCCGGTCCGGATTTAAACACAGGGATACCATTTTTGATCCATGTGAGGTTCCCCTGAACAAGATCAAGCTGAAACTCAGATCTACCTTTGAGGCTATTGATGCGCAAGAATCCGTCTTTCTCTGTCAGACTAAAATCTTCAGCAGGTTGCGCTGCATTGACCTTGTTTTCTTCGGCTGCCAAAAGTGGAATTTGGGCCCATGCCACTTCATGTCCTTGATTTGCCCACGAAGTGGCTTCTTTGAGTGTAAACACCACAGTCAGCCACCCTTCCGTTGACTGAGCGCCCGGGTCTAATGGGAGCTCGAGATACGCTGTCTCTCCCGCACGTATCTGAGGCAGAGGTAACTCGACCAGTTCACTGGATTCGCTACCGCCCAAAACACTCCAGTGGCAGATCAGATGACTGAGATCCACAAAGTCGAAGCAGTTTTGAATGTGGAGTTTTCCATTGCGATATGTGATGTCGACCGGCTCGATGGCTTTCTTGTATTCCAGTAGTCCAGGTGTGGGCGAGTGATCAGAAGTAACCAGTCCGTCCATCACGAAGTCGCCATCGTTTGGAACATCACCAAAGTCACCACCGTAGGCATAGAATGGTGTCCCATCTTCCTGGGTGAGAAGACCGTGATTGCACCATTCCCAGATAAAGCCCCCCTGTAATCGCTCTTGCTCTCGGCAGAGAGCGATATATTCTTGAAGCCCGCCCGGCCCATTGCCCATGGCATGACCATACTCACACATAATCCAGGGTCGATCTGACTTTTGGTTCAACAGCTTGATCATATCCTCAATGCTGGGGTACATGACACTGTAGAGGTCGGTCGAAATCCCCTCTCTGTCTCCTTCGTAGTGGACAAGTCGGGAAGGGTCTTTCTTCTTGATCCAATCATACATTTCTACAAAGTTGGAGCCGTAGAATGCCTCGTTCCCCATAGACCAGAGAATGATGGATGGGTTGTTCTTGTATCGTTCCACCAATTGGATTGCACGATCCAGGTATGCCTCCCGCCATTCGGGATTGTCAGTCGTCCATACCTTGGCTCGTTTGTATGTTTCCTCCATCAATTCAGAGTCTGAGAGGCCTGGGATGTCCACTTTCCTTCTTTCCACAGGGTCGAAGCCGTGGCACTCGAGATCTGCTTCTGCGATCACGTACAATCCAAGCTCATCGCAGAGGTCATACAGACGAGGATCATTGGGTTGATGGCACGTCCTGATCGCGTTGATATTGTGCTGTTTTATGAGGACCAAGTCTGCCTTCATGTTCTCATATGGCACAGCTCTTCCAAATAGATGATGATGCTCATGTCTATTTACACCGTAGAAGGTGATCGGTTTTCCGTTGACTAGGAAATTGGCGCCCTTTGACTCGATTTTTCGAAAGCCGATTCTTTGAGAAATAGTCTGCTGGCCAAAGAAGATGAGAAGGGTGTACAGTACAGGATCTTCGGCGGACCATAAGCGAGGCTTGACAGTGAGAGAAATTGAGTTCCTGGAGTCCCGCTCGCCACTGCCAACCAATTTCTCGGTCGAGTCCAACAACTTGACCTGCCAGTTCCCACTTGAACCCTGGACTACAATGCTCGTTCGAAGAGTCGCCACAGAGAGAGTGCCATCAAGATCAGCAACAGCCGTCAAATCGATGACACTGTTTGGAGAAAATGCGATCAGGCAGACATCGCGAAAGATCCCAGAAAGCCACCACTGGTCTTGATCTTCGATATATGAGCCATCACACCATTGGTAAACTCTCACAGCTATTGCATTTACCCCATCGACAAGGAATGAAGTGATATCGAATTCAGAAGAGTTACGACTGCCTTGACTGTACCCAACTTCTTTCCCGTTGATCCAGAGATGGAAAGCACTATCCACGCCTTCAAAACGGACTCTGACCTGCTTGTCTGTCCATTCCTTGGCAACTGTGAACTGTCTCCAATAAGACCCGGTTTCATTGAGGTGGGGGACATTGGGCGGATCCACGGGGAATGGGTAGTCCACATTGGTATATTGTGGCTTTCCATACCCTTGGAGCTGCCACATTCCTGGGACTTTCACCTCATTCCAAGCTGATGGGTCGACAGCGTCCCACGCAGGAGCCTGATAAGGCGAAATATCATGACGGAATTTCCACTGTCCATTAAGGGATCGGTATTCACTTTGGGTTCTGTCAAAGGAAAGGGCTCTTTTCTCGTCGAGATAGTTGTAAAAATGAGATCGAGGGGGTAGTGTGTTTCGATGGAGGACTTTGAGATTGTTCCAGTCCGGGATCGATGCAGGAAACATGTTGATCAATAGAATGATATAGCGACTGTATTCTTTTGAAAGAATAGTGGTTGAATGAGAAAATAATTCGAAATGGGATTCAAGGCCAGAAGCTGACTTTAAAAGTCATCATGTCACGTCTTGAATTCGTACTCTTGGTACTTTTGGATAGCCGCTGCGGAGGGCCATAATAGCCTATTTACTTATTTCCTTTCACCCTAATATCCGACCTGCATCTTCTTCCCCACTCCATTCAACTTGCTTGGATGTCAGATGTTGATTAATCTGCCATTAGTCAAGATTTTTCTCTGCCCAGGCTTTTCAACGTTTCACTGGTTTTGTTGACGGTCGATAGAATCCCAAACAACTATGACATCATCGCTTGAGGATTGACATGAACCCCTCGATGATTTAGCTATTCTGTGGACTTTTATTCAACTACCTAGCTGATACAGTAAGCAGGAAAGTAGAAGGCATACATAGTAGGATACCGAGAGGGAGGCTGACTGTGAGACTAGTTAGGAGACTATGTAGGAGATGTATTTATTGTAGGCGCGTATTTCATGCGGTGAAAAATAATGCACTATATGTCGTATTCTTGAACTAGGCGTTGAATGGCCTTGAATGGATATGAAGTAAATAATCGTGATTTTATCATCTATAGTCGTGATGCAATATGTACAAATAAAATATGAACAGAGAGGATTCCCTCCTAAATATCCTCTCGTCTGACACCAGTATATTCATTTCACAGGCGGTGCTGGACAGGCGAAGAAGGCGCGATCGATTGAACGGGCTTTTCCTCCATGTCCTCCCAGTTCAGAAGGCGGCCCATCTTGTAATATGAGTCAATACCGCGACGGGCGTGGTCAGCGGGAGTGAACGGATCAGGGTTGGCAAGGGTACGGCTAAAGAGCTCCAGAGAAACCCAGCCACGGAAACCAAGATCGTCGAAGAAAGTACGGGCAACATCCACAATGGGCAGGTAGCCACCGCGAGACTCCTCGAAGGGGAAAAGACGAGCGTTACGAGACCAGGACATGCGGACGGGCTGCCCATTAACGTGGAAAGGATGCTTCTCATCCAGAGGCGCATCCAGGCGCTCACCATCAACAAGCTGAACGTAGAAGATCTTAGCGGGATCGATGTTGGCATTGCGCAGACGGTCCAGAGAAGCAGCAAGGTCCGCCTCGGCATTGGGGGTACGGCCCGAAGGCGCAGCCGGGTCGGCGTAGACACGACCGGCAATATTGAAGGAGTCCAGGCACAGACCGAAGTTGGGACGGTTGACATCACGCACAACCTCCCAGGATGCCTCCCAGGTGTCGACGTGGTCGCCCCAGCACAGGGCCTCGTAGACGAAGCGGAATCCCTCTGCGGCGCCAAGGTCGGAGAGGCGCTGGAGGTCCTTGACGATCACTGAGCGGTCGCCAGTTGTGCGGGGAGCGCCAGTCTTAGGGTCGGGTCCGAGGAAGTTGGAGGGCACCTGGATCATGTCCGTGCCTAGCGCCCGCGCTAGGATGAACCACTGGGGAAGCTTCTCGGTGAGGAGGCGTTCAGACTCGACGCGGTCAATGAGACCTTCAAACATGGAGAATGGCTGCAGGCAGATGATGCTCATGCCGAGGCGCTCGCACAAGCGGCGAACTTGATGAGAGGCTTCGAGGTGGTCGCCGTTGAATGTTCGTTGCGCGTAGCAGTCGAGATCGTCGAAGAAGAGCTCAATTCCCTCGAACCCGTGTGCGGCGGCCTGCATCAGCTTTCCAGGGAGGTCGTGAATCCATGGTCGGCCCAGGGACATGGACGCGATACCGGGGCGGTTGATGACCATTGTTGCGGAGTGTATATGATGAGGGGAAGTCGGTTGTTAGACTTGGGTTTCCCTTGGCGGTTGTTCTTCAACGCTGCAGGGGTAATATTCGAGGGAGAAATCAAGGAGTGAGATGTCAGAACTGTGGAGGAGCCTCCCCGGGTTATTATTTCTATTCTATTTTTTTAGTAGAGAGGGGTTCTGCATTTTTCCATGCAATTTGAAGAAGCGCGTAATCCGGATCGTCCGCATGCGGCGGATAAACGTTCTTGAAAGAACGTTCTCCCGCTCGGAACGGATCAACAGGATATTCCGAGAGGGGAAATGGCAGAAATTTGACCGCCCACTCAGGGCCCAGTAACCAACTGCCGGGAGACAACGATTACTAAGCATATCCAGTTCCACTTTGGAAATTTAGACTTGTTGAAGAGAATTACCCCAGGTTATGGAATTTTGTTCATTTGGTTCAACCGCACATCATTCCAGATTAATCAGTTAAAGTGTATAGAAGAGAATCTTCGATCATAACTCCCTTGGATTGCGAATGACCATTAGATACACTCGAGTCTCCAATTTTACCTTTCCTGATGATGCTTAATATACATAATGATGAATTGCTTGGGTCTATTGGCGGTCATGTGCAATTGCTCATGCCCAAGCTAAGGCCGTGAGATTGGCCGAAACTTACTCAGAACTGCATGAGACCGGAATGATCCACACCTCCTACTATGATGACGCAGCCATGTTGGAAGGAGAGATCTAAGACACAGAGGTAGAGTCGGTTAAGGGGGCCGAGGAGAAGACCGAAGGTCCAGAGCAAGAGCTAAAGGTCCTACTACGAGTATTTCTGTTGTGGTGTCTCTAGTATTTCCACGTGATTCTTTTGTACGATTTGTAATGTATACTTACTGTTATGAACAGATCGGATTCTGCAGTAATTATTATTAAAGCTGCTCATTATGGTACATGTCACTGGAGTATACATTATCCACTAATCTAGTTTTTTTTTTCTCTGGGATTTATGCCTCTGTGTGTAGATGCCATCTCAAAGGAGTGACTATATTACTAGGATACACACGGCCCGACCTTTGACGACCGTTTCCCTGAGAAGGACGCCCTTGTCGACGTTGAAGCCACTATCAGTAAGCGGACGTGATCTAAGCCAGGTCGTTTGCCGAAGTCCGGCAATCGGGGTACCTTTATAGATTACCTGATCCAGTGGGAAGTTCAGTCCTCCAAATGGGACTAATAGGTAAATAAATCAAATCTCATCGGCTGTACCGAACCCCTGACCGATTTCAACCACCGCCAATGATAGGGACACACTACACTCTTTCATCCCAATTTTTCTTTTATTTCAAGAAGTATTTAAGGACTTTTTTCAACCTTTCCTTTCTTTCTTTTACAACTCCTCAATCTTCATTTTTCTCAAATTATCTTAACCTCTTTTCTCAACCCATCTTCACCTTTGCATCACTTATGAGGTGGAAGTGATCGTGCCTTGAGGTACCTTTTGGCTCCACACGTAACTTCTAAGCCAGTAGTCACGTGTACGCCAGAGATCCTCGACAATTCCATGAAGTGAACATTGTCCAAGCGTGTCAGCTCTTTCATGGAAATCTGGATCTGGATACAGATGAAAGCACTATCAAAGCACCCTAGAGTTTTCAATGGGCTTGTTCGTCAAGGCCTTCATGGCAATCGCGGAGGCAAAGAACTGGCTTTTCTGACTCTGCCAATGACTCTGCCAAAGAAGTAAGATATACAGAACCAAGTCTTGAGACTTCTATACATACTAATATTAAATGTGGGAGCCAGCATTCCTAGAAAGCGCTTTCTTTCAAGCTGGACTCGACTGGAAACCGAATGCACCGGTCCAGAACAATAAGACGCTGATCACGGCAGGGACAATTGTTGACTGGGATGACGTGACCTCGCAGGCACGATCTCGTGCAAGAGCCCAGGCTTCCTCCTAACACATTCCAGGTCCCTGCCACCTACCTCAAGCGCTAGCAATTTACTTGGGTAGCCTGGATGCTCGACCAGGAGGCATGCCCTCTGCATCGAGGGCTCCTCGCCGATACATGTGGGCTTGGAAAGACATTGGGCACCCTTGCCCTCATTTGGACCGCGAGCGCGATGAAGCGCATTACGGCCGCTACGGCTACAGGGCCCAGCAAGAAGAAAAAGCCGCGCACACCATCCCCTGTACCGACTCCTCCCATGGCGCCGACACCACCAGGATCCAGCAAACACAAGAATTATTAGCCCACCGAAATACCCTCCTAGGGTAGAACAATCCGTTCAAGCATGGTTGTCGGGACCCGGAATTTCCGGAGCGATTCCAGAAACTTGTCGAACCGCGATGTGAAGCTCACCTGGCTTCATAATTCCCTCCTATACGTGACGGGTGAATACCGGCTTACCTAAGGTCATCTCGGTATATACCCCGAGGAATTCTATGCATACGTGCATCAATCCAACCATACCCTTTTGGAAAACGGCAGACCATATCGATTCATGCAATATGTTCTTACCAAAGCCACGTCCCAAAGCCACGTCCCAAAACCTTAAAATGACTTTCGTTTTTTCTGGGTGGGATGTGTTCAGCACCAAAACGTCAGCGCTTGATATGGTTGATATCCCAGCTCTTCGCTTGCCTTTCCCCCCTGATCCGCCTTGTGACAGTGTTGAAGGCGCCGGCATTGAGGACTTGGTCTACTACACCATCGTTGATCTCCCGTTCCAGCTTTCGAACAAAGAGACTCGCCGCATGAAGCCACCATATGGCTTGGTGGTAGTGGTGAACAAGACCAGACAGTGCATGGCGGGACCGCTGTGGCGCCTGCGTAGCTATCACCCACGATGCGCTAACGCTGATGGCGCCTGGGCTGTGCCCCTTGGCCTGTTCCAGGAGCACGACCTTCCTCTGAACCCAGGCATCGCCATCACCTTCCCAGTGACCACATTCCCACGACCCCCACTTTCATGACCTCTACCATTCCTGTGCCCAGCGGGTCTAAGGAAAAGAAGTTACGCGAAAATATATCCTGCGATACTTCACCTATGAGGAAAAAATCGAAGGTCTTAATCGACGATCAGATATTTGTCTACCTTAGGAAGATCGCTCTCGACAGCACGAAGTATAAATAGAACCCGCTATGTCAGACTTTCCCCAAGAAGCAAGATATAAAGGACCTAGTCTTGAGGCTTCTATACATACTAATATTAAATAGCTGCTGAGATTATCAGCGCACCGCAATACCCACCCAGGGTGGATCTCAGCTCAAGAAAAAACCACTTGTCTTTGATGCCAAAGAGACTTTCCTGGCGTGGAAAGTACTGAGTTACTTCTACACGCAGTTCCGCAAAAACCCGTGGAACAATCCGTTTAAAAGCATGGTTGTCAGGACCCGGAATGTCCGGAGTGGTTTCAAAACCTCGTTCTGCAGCTAGCGCACATCCATCACAAGCATCCAGAACTCATTGTACCAAATGGAAGGATATCTACGATCGAATGCAAATGATGTAAGAAGACGTTTTCCCGGCCTGATGCATTGGCAACGCATCTCAATATTTGCCAAGCCAATCCGGAATACCTCGGTACCCTGGACGGGTTTATCCAAAAATAAGGGATAAGGCTGCCTTCACTTGCGCAATGCACCAACCTGGCCAAGATGCGACGGTGGGCTAATGGTCCGAAATATCACATTATGGTGAAATCGGCTGATACAGCGCGCGTCGGACCCTCCAGACCGGTATATGATGCATCCACCTTGGACCCAGAGGATCATAAGCCACCAAGCCCCTCATTACCAGGCGACAAACCGAGCTGCCATGAACGGGTGGTTCCAGTCACTCCACCTCTTCATCGACGTGGAGCTGAACAGTACCACTCGCGAGTGGGAACTTTAAAGTAGGAAGCAAAGCGGCGCAACCCGATGGCTGTTTCATGCCCATTGACAGGAGGTGAAAACGGTTTGCATCGAGGTTGAGAATTCTCAAACTGAAACAGAAATCATAAGAGTTGCTCACCATTGGATTGAACATCCTGAGTCCTTAGCTTCCCACCGGAGTTGGTCAAGCTATCAGACGTGAATGGAAGGTCGGGCGAAATGAATTGCTGGATGAGCACCGAACTTATCGAAAGTACATCCGCAGGCTAGAGCATCGAGCCCGGAAAAATGGACATCTGGACTTGGATTTTGAACCTTTTCCTGATCTTCCTGAGAACGAAGCTGTGGACGATGAAACCCTTCCAGAAGAAAACACGAAGGTGACGCAACTACGTCGATAGATGATGAGGCCTGAGAGATTGCCGATGGACAAAGATTATGGATTGGTTGGGTTTGGGTTGTTTGACTTTCTGATTTCCTTCTTCATTTCTTACTATGCATGTGTTAGGGGCTAATGTCGCTTGCTACGCGGAAATTGTGTCAACCCAATTTGCGGCTCAGGCCCCATATGTTGTGGGCAAAAAGGGATGTATTTATCAAATAGGGAAGAGGCGTGTTGAGCGGGCCCGTGGATTAATTCCACAGATCCAATCGACCCCTTTTCTTCCTTCTTCATCACCCCTTCAATATGCGTTTCTTAATCCACTTCGACTTCTTGTGTTGCTTTTGTATTTCGTGTCCGGACCGTTGTCCCGTACCCTTGTTTACTAGTTCGTTACATTTTGGGCGTTGTACCTCATGCAGAAGCTCGTTGCCCAAGACCCTCGATTCCAATATAACCCTCTGGTGCACATGATATATTATGAGGTTGATTTATCATAAATAGGAAGAGTGTTCTGCCATTGCTAAGTTTTCCTTCTTTAAACACTCTATCTCACTTCTAAAACCCACGGTCTTCATTTCCTAATCAAAAGCACAGATTCGAACACCTTATTCAAAATTTCCCAAAGATGAGATACTGAAAGGACCTGTAAATAAACTCCTGATTCTCTCCGTGATTTTGAAACGGTTGCCAAAGATAACGATGAAATAAGATGAAGTTATTTCCATTTCTTTTTTTCATCCTTCTTGCCAATCATCTAAACACCATTAATATTGGAAGTTTTACTGATATAACAAGCAACACCCTGTGCACCCCCTTCATGCCCACAAATCGGATGACTGCCCGGTTGTGCCGGTTCCTTCCTGTATCACAGGTGCGGTTGATCGTGCTATTGTAAGCAGATACAGTCCAAGATCCTGCAGTGGTGCATAGATGTGATCTATCCCGATATTCGTATCTGAAATATTACCCGGCATGTGGTTTGTTCGTCGGAAGTAACGAGGAGTTTAGAGATACAACTCACGTTACCAATATCATCTCTGGCGTCTGCGGGTTAACACCCTGTTCCTTCCAACCTCCCCGGGGCGAAACCAATAATCACGGTAAGCACTTCTTTCCGACTCTAGATCCATAGTTTTGTTTCAAATGGCCGTTTGAAGATCTGCATTGAAAGATAATGGCCACTGTTGCCCGTCGATGGATCTCGTTTACTATTGTCCGTTCATTCTCGTCTACATTTACTGGTTAGATTGGTTGGAGCAATAATAAAGTGTTGCATAGAGTTGAGCATGCAAATGAAGAAAGAAGAGGTCGAGCCCTCCAATTCTACCATTATGCACCTGAAGAAAGAGACCCAAGTGGCAAAGACTGCCTTTGCGCGTTTTAAAGCTGGCAAGAAAGCTTACTAAAATGACCGAGTTGGAAAGCGAACAGATTTCCAGCTCTGCTGGTACCACTATGGTGGATGCAGAGTCACAGGGCCGAAAAGTAGTGCCGCTTGGCTGAGGGCCACGATTGTCAACAAGACTGCCACAAAGGAAGATGACTTTTATATCCACTTTTTGTAGGAAAGTGGAAACTCGCCCTGGTTGTGTACACCGGTACCATTCAGGAATTAGAATGTATCCTTAATCATCGAAAATAAGAATGGGAATTTTATGAAGTCTGTTCAAGGCACCGCATTCGATTCTAAAGTAGAAATTCTTTTCTTATTGATCGAATTAACAACCTAAATAACAGTCGACACAAATTCCAAGCCGAATCTGAGATTCATTCAAGATCTCCAGCTCGATGCTATGTAATTTCATCAATTGACAAATGCTTACTCACTTGTAGGATATCTCAAAATCCTTATCAACGAATTTCGATAAGGCAGGGTGTAGATCTCAGTTTTCTGAGTATATTCGGCTTCAAGATACATTATCCCAAGGTCCATTAAATATAAATCGTCTCTGCTTACCGCTCATACAATTCCTTGCTCATGACACATATGCAGCATGTTCATCATCTCCTAAAGGTTTCAGGATGGTCCGAATCAACTAGTCTCAGATTTCACATTGGCAGAAACAACACTCCGCTTCCGAACTTCGGCAGCCGTCTCATTAGTAGCAATGTGATCAAAGTGATACAGGGGCTCCAGCTTCACATCCTGGCGAAGGATGTGCCGTCTGAACCACCACGGAAGAACTTTGAAAACCTGGTAGCGCATGTGAACTCTGGTAGGTACAGCGAAGATGTAGTCCAACTCTTCCAGAGTACGTTGCTTTGTCTCGGGGACCCATAAGAATATCATAACCAATGCGGTGACGTTCAATCCACTAGACCTTTGTTAGTAAATTGTGAAAACATGAGATGCATGGATACGAACGCGTAAAAGCCGAATGCTCCTGTAGGGCCCATTGCATAAAGCATGCGGGGGAATGTGATAGAAAGAACTGCGGCGAAGCCTAAGCAGACAGCAACAGCCCAGGCCATACCGACCTCTAGATTTATGTTAGCATCAAGTCGGTTTGTAGAAGCTTGCTAGACCTACCACGATGGGAAAGAGGGAAGACCTCAGCTGAGTATGTGAAGGGCACTGGACCTTCTCCTGGGGAATAGAAGGCCTCGAACAGGTAGACGAAGAATGCAATTAGCCCCAGATGAGCTTTTGAGCTATCGGGGATTTTAAAGCAAAATCCTGCGGCAAGAAGAGTCCAGGCCATCTGAGGGAATGTAAAAAGAAGCAAGGATCGACGACCCCAGGTATCAATGGTCCACACGGCAGGGAAGGCGAACACAAAGTTCACAAGACCGGTTCCCCAAGCAGCAAATAGAGCTTGTTCGTTTGAAGCGCCAGCATTCGCAAAGATAGTGCTAGAATAGAATGACACGATATTGATACCGCACATCTGCTGGGCAATCATGACAGTAAAGGAGGCCAGGGTAGCTCGTCGAACGCGAGGGATAGTGAAAAGCTCCCCGAAACGTGTGATATAGTTGCTGGGCCCAATTATCTCCTGTTCAATCTTGATCTGCGCAGAAATGTAATACAAATCACGAGCTGCCTGCAGGGGTGAATTTCTCAAACGGAGGAGTGATTTGTAGGCCTTACTAGCCGACCCTCTCTTGATATACCAACGCGGAGACTCCGGGCAGAAGTAAACACCAACGAGAAGAGGAACAGCGGGTATGAAAGCCGAGCCTAGTTGTAAACGCCAGGCAATTGCTCCCACTTTCATTACGGCGAGGTTGGCGCTATATCCAAGGAAGATGCCAAACGCGGTCCATAGTTGCCAGCACATTACCAAGCCTCCGCGAATATTAGCCGGCACATTTTCGGCGCAGAAAATTGGGATGGTAGAAGCCTTCAAGCCCATACCGATTCCAAGTAGAAGACGTGTGACGAATAGCTGCGGCCAGCTTTGTGTGACTGCGGATCCGATCGGCGAGAGGAAACAAAAAACTGCGGCAAGGAAGATCGTTCCTCTGCGTCCGAAGTAGCGGTTGCAAGGGTCTGACAACCAGCAGCTGAAAAAGGCACTCGAAAGATATGGAGCGGCATTGATAACACCAACCAGCCATTCATTGCGAATAGCATCAGGTGTACCGGTTTCGGGAATTCCGAAGGCATCCGGGAATGATAAATTCGCACCGTTAGATCCAGTCTGATCCCAACCCCTAAATATTGCAGCATATAATCAGTAATCGGTATCTTTCTCCACGGTGGGTATAGCTTACTGCACAGCTGCGCCCACAGAGCACAAGATAATCGTGAAGTAGAGAGCAGCAGGTTGACGCCATTTGTGAAGAACCTCGTTGCGGAGGGACTCGAGCTCGCTCTCAGTTAAGTCTGGGACTGACTCGAACTCTGCCGGGTCCCGGGCAACCAGGGCACCCTTACGAAGTTCTGGTAGAATATCTTCCAACTGATTCTCCTGCGCGAACTCTTCCACGTCACGAAGGACTTGTTCTTTCGTCAGATCGGCCAATGGGTTTTTGATCCTGTAAGGTTGTTAGAAAAGAACCAATGAACTTCTGTAGAGAAACATACTTTGCCGACACATTGTTTTGGAGACTGACTTTCTCAACGTGGGCCTTCTCCGCACCATTGTGATCGTCTGCGAGACTAAAAAACGGATAAGCCAATGAGAAAAAATTGCGGGGTTTATAACTTTGCATACCCTTTTCCGTCCGCCTGTATGTCGGCCGCCTTCTCCATCTTGCCAATGGACCAAACCGTCAGGGAAAGCAAGGAAGTTGTGGCGCAATATGAGTATGATGCGGAGTGCCGATATATTTGAACGTAAGGGAGGTGTTGGTCACGAAAATTAAGGCAAAAAAACAAATGATGTCAAACAATGACCCCCGAGAAATCACACATCCAACAAGGTCGGAATTAGCAATGAAGCGCGAGTGAGTGATGATCGAAGCTTAGGCGGGATGCGTCAATTTAAATACTGGCCAGACAAGGATCTCCAGTCTTAATTTTCGCGTCTCAGGCTACCAATGCTGACCGGCATCCCCGAATCATGAGACTGTATAACAAGTCAGACAGCCACCGCTAAACCCCAGAGATACTAGCTCTAGAGCCACATTGGATCATTGCTTTGAGCCTGCATGGAATTTTCCTGAATAGGAGGAAGGTTACCCCATCATCAAGGTCCAAGCGCGCGCGGGGCGTATCTGCCCATGGGGTTTTAAGCAAAGCAAGTTTCCCCCGCGGAAACAGATAGACTCACGCCAAGCCTTTGCTCCTTCACTGGATTTACGTGAGCCTGTTTTCGGTCTCACCTCTATCCCTTTAACCAGTTTGATGGAGTCCAAATTCTCATTTCAAGAGTTCTTAGTCTACCACAGTCAAATATCTAGACCCTGAATAATATTCTGCTATTTTCTTCCTACAAGTCGTGCAATGAATGCCGTACCTAGGTTTGGGTGCGGTCTAGTGGGTCTCCCCGCTAAACACGCCCCCCATTTCCCCAGAGAGAAAGCCCCAGAATGATCACGAATGCAACACTAGGGCTCAACATTGCGTCAAAGCGGGTTATTTTTTTACCGCAGACGATGTATGGATCACTTGCGCCACTTATCAAAGCGTTTGGACGGCTGATTTAGATCGGCAACTGGCTTAACTGTTTGTGGATCAGTGGCTTTTTCCTGACCTTTTAGGGTTGAGGCTTCGGGGCCGCAGTTAGGGGCAACAAGCCACGTTTGATGCCTTGCTTGCGATTTTGAGTTTTGCATGGGAAGGTTTGGAAAATCTTGCTCTGATCGATCGTATTGTGTCACATGTCTAAGCATTACTGCCTCAATTCGCTTACTGCTTCTGACATCTAACCTGCCACTCCATACAGTATTTTTCCGGTAATATGCGATTGGTCCAGGCGGGTCCAAAATTACGATCGAAGTTTTCTTTGGTTAGCCTTTTCAACCTTTTCCATGTCAACGTTGAAGGCTAGCCGACAAGCCTTGGCTTTTGCTCGATGAGAAAATCTATCTCACCTGGATTTATATAAGGTCATATCCAGCAAATTACCATCCTCTTGTATTATTAAACAGCAACCGCCTCGAGTTTTCATCCTCCACCGCATTCAGGTTTGTAATCGGAATCCCGACCTCATCAGGTAACCCTTCAACCCGCCATTTCGTCCCCGTTTCTTCTCCCTCTCGGTTCCACAAATCACTCCATGTACCCACATCATGCCGAAAGCTAGTGCTCCCCGGCTTGATCGCGGGAAACTCAGCCGGCACAGGTCAAAGAATGCCGACTAGTTTGTTACGTCTACCCCAGTAGCGACCAGTCCAGTCCAAGGCTCGCTCTGAGACTCACCCTTAAAAAGATTCGCGATCAAGAATTTTTTTTCCAGCGTCTCATGATCTGGAAATAAATCATATCCAAGCTCCATAATGGGTCCTCCGATATGGAGACCAATTCGTGGGGATGACGGGATCCCGTTGCGGACTAGCTGGCGAAGATCCTGGCCAATGCAGCACCCGAGATCGAGATATATTGCCGACGGGTCGAACTTGAAATTTTCAAGGATGAATTGATAAAACGGGTGGGTCAGTAGCGTTAGGTTAAAGAAAGCGATAGTATCCGATACATGGACAGGGGTTGGCTGCAACACATGCATGGAAAGCCGCAGGATCTCTAAAATTCACGCGGACAAATTGAAGATAGTCGAATAGAGAAACATATAATTTCGTTGACATGCCGGACAACCTCCGTCGGGGATGTTTTGGAGGATTTCTTCGGCAAAGTTCGTATCTCGGGGTTGACTTGCTCGATATCGGGATCGTACTACTCCTGGTACCGGCTTGCATTTCCACCTTTAGTGGCGGCCATTGTGGAAAACTTAGAGAGCGGAAGCGGAAGGAGTATATCATTTGGTTTTGGAAAAGTGTGAGTCTTTTTTCTGCCTGAAACATTGAATGAGAGACATTGATAAAGTCGCAGTACCAACCCCGCAGCCGAAGATAAAGTATCGGGCCACATCATCGCCCCTTGCTTCTTGAGTTTGTCATGAATCCATCCAAATTTCTCGACTCTCTGCAATTTCAGGTCTTTTTCAAGTTTATTGACGTGCTAAATATCCGATACCTATGTATCCAACATGATCTCACAAAATATCAAAGTCATCGGTGTAGGCAACAGTAATATTTGAAAAAGTTACTATTGGTCCCCAATTGCCTCCGGAATCAGGTCTACAGGACATACATCCATTAGGACCCGTATCACTGAATAAAGTTCACATTTTGTAAGGTTTATCAAAAACACGTTGATTGATTTACTCCTTGGAAAGATGTTGACGGTAATTTTGAAATTCAGATCTATCATCAAGCATGACCTTCAAAGCCTTATGCTGCAAGCAATTTGGAGCACTGGCCTATAGACTGGGCAGTGCACCTAATCGTGCTTCAACCCAATTTCACCCTCTTGTGTTTCTATGGGCTGTCTTAACCTTCCACTGGCATCATGCTCTGCATCCCAAGTCTCGAGATCTGCAAGTGGGATCTTGACCAGGCGATGCGCAGTAATTCCATTCTCCCCATAGATAATGGTTTGTCGGAGTTGGTACTTAAACCATTTCGGGAGCAGCCACACCCAAACGTAGTAATAGAAAATACAAAATGCAATGCTGTATTCCAAGTTAGCACTGGTAAGCAAGAAACAGTAAGTGGGGAGAATAAAAAGACTCACATGGCCAGACCAGTAACACAATATGTAGCATACCAAAATGACACATCGCCACCATCTGCGCCGGTACTTGGGGGATACCATGGCATAGCAAGCATGAATAGGTTGCAGAGGAGAGAGAATCCCAACGCCACATTCCAGCAGCGGTACTCTGCGGGCTCTAGGTTAAGTCGCTTACGTCGACGACGAGTGACGATAAGACCAATGGTGAGAACGAAAATAAAGAGGTTGCCTGGGTACACGCTGAGGTCGACAATAAAATTGAAAGCGTCGCCTGCAGGCGGGGCCAGGATCATGATGATTGTCAATGCCCATTTCAACAAATAGGGACCAAGAGGAGTTCCAAATGGTTTTGTAGAGGTCCAAAAGCTGGTCCACGGAAGAACACCTTGTCTAGAGAGAGAGGTCAGATTCCGAACCAGCTGACACCGAGTCTCAGTAGACATACCTTCCACACTCTCGAAGCATTCGAGACTGGCCGATCAGTACGGCGATCAAATTGCCAAATGCACTGAGGCAGATCAGGAAATTGAGCGCCTTTGATGCTCCTTCTGTCCCGAATACCTTTTCGAAAAAAATACTTGCAACCACTTGCTTCGACGCGATGATCTCTTCTTTTGTGGCAACTGAGAAGTATGCTATATTGGCCAGAATGTAAAGGGCTGCAGTGATGCCTAAAGACAGAGGGGCGCTCCAGCGAAGGGTCTTGATGGGATTCTGATCCTTTCTCAGCTACCGGCAATAATGATATTGGTAGGGATGGGCTAACCTTGACTTCATTGACGAGGTTGAACGCATTTGTGTATCCGGCATAAGAGAAAACAATGTCAATCAGTGCATTGGTTGCCCCGTACACTGTTGCTTCCTCGCTGCCAGAAAATGCGTGTTTAAAATTAAGTGTTGGGTTTTGAACTGAGGTGTGTCCTCCAAGAACAACAAGTCCGGTGATTCCGATACTGTTATCCGACGAATCTATTAGCCAGCTTTCTGTCTTGTTAACTGAGAACGTACAAGATTAGTGTCAAAAGCTTGATGACACCGATGATATTTGAAAGTATAAGTGACCCCTTTGTGTGAAATATGACAACTGATTCGAGAGTCAGTGACTTAAAGCTTCACGAGACAGACAAACAAACCTAAGACCGCCACTGTATATGCAGCTACAGCCACACCCTTCTCTTGCATTGAGGTGGGTGTTGAGCCAGCAAGGCTGAACAAATACTCCGCCAGAACTACCAAATAAATGTCAGCAACAGATCTTGAATCATTGACCTCTTTGAACCTACCGATCGCATTGCTGCTACTAAATGAAAATATCACTGTCTGTACCGCAAACACGGTTGGAAAGAGATACCGAGGGCGAGGGAAAGATTGTTCCAGGTAGACTACCTCAGATCCAGAGCGAGAGGGGAAGTAAGCGGCAAATTCAAGATAAACAGAAAGAGTAGCGTATGACATAAAGAACCCTAATGTCCAGTAAATCAAGCTCAGACCAACAGAGCCGGTCCCGGAAAGGATAGTAGATGCTGGGTTCCATTGGTCAGTATAGAGCGGGGTTGAGATAAGAAATTAGTACATACGAGTCGAGAACACGCCAGTTCCAATCATCATACTCAGATTGAGAAAGACCACAGTCACTGATCCCACAGAATATCCAAGCGGACTGTGTTGCTCAACGGGGGCACCACTAGCTTCTTGGACAGTGAGTCGATTGGAGTTTTCACCACCTTCTGCTGTGTAGTGCAGACTTCCTTGGTCAATGTCGCTTATGCTCACGTCGGAGGTGACGACCTCTTCAACATCTTCTTTGTTACGCAGAAAACCCATCTTGTTTTGCCGAGTGTCGGCAAATCATACACGGTCTGAAGCTGATTCTGAGCAGAAGAGATACCACGTTCAGGCGTGGGAAGAACTATTTTATATACCCTAGTACCAAATTTACCGTGCTAATTGATGGTAGATATGGCGACACAGACGCTAATGTCTAGGTACATTAGTCCTGGAGCACTACTGGAATGCTAGATGTTTTGAAATGTTACCCGGCAAATACCACATTCGCAATGAGGGGCAATCAAACAGTATCATTGCCATTGATCTTGATCCTCTAATGCATCCGACACTCGCATGTCGTTTACACACTTATAATCGATTCAGAGATGAGACCCATTGTGGCTTACCACCCAAAGCTGCTCGTTGAATGTCTGGTGGTATTCAATCTTGCGTTGAATAGTTTCCTGCGCATGCGTATCATTTCATCTGCCGATGAGCACAATCCAAGGTGGCGATGATGCCATCGGGATGGCATAAGTACTCTAATGTACACACCATATTGTAACAAAAGTCTCAGGCGCGCAGAACAATTTCCCGAGCCCACAAACGAATAGGCATTAAGATTATAAATATGTTAAACGCGTAGGTAGGACGTAGGTAGGACGATACCTCCTGGAATCTGGATTTACGCGGGCCTTCCGAACAGCTTCACACCACTACTATCCACTGTTGCATCATCATCGCTTAGCTTGTTGCACGTCATTAAGATTCATAATTAGAAAAAAGGTACGAGTAATGCTGCGGGGTTATAATCACCCTAATTCTGTTCAGCCATTATCCGATCTATTACATGAATATGATTGAAGAACAGTGAAATGCTTACCTTAGTCATGTGATAAGCCACGCGCGGGGGTAAATGTGAATTCCAAGGTTAGAACCTTAGGGGGCTTACATTCGCAAACTTAGCTCCACATCAATAAATCATAGAAACTCCAGCCTTCGCTATGGCAAGGAAAGGAGAGAAAAGGGAGAGAAAGACCAACATCACCCGTAGCAGGACGGGATGTCATACCTGTCGGCGCCGACGAGTCAAGGTAGCCCAGAACCTTTTTTACCCTTTGAACTCGGGACGTCTGAACTGACATTCCAGCTCAAACAGTGCGATGAAGATAAGCCGTTCTGCAAGACATGCGTCCGGCTTGGGCTGACATGCGATGGCTATGGATATATCGTGAGGTACCGATTCACTCGGCCGACCGTGGTGGAATCTTCATCCCATGGTTCGTTTAACAGCATCGAATGGGCACCCGTCGCAATCTCTTGTATCAACATAGATGATATGGATGTCTCCGATAGCGCATCCGTGCAGGAAGATAGCACATTTTCGCGATCACCAGAGTCGATAAAAGAAACAGAAAATGATACCATGGAATCATCTAGTCAAGAGGTATCACCAAGCGCTCTACTGAATGAAGATATGAAAGCCTTGGCTGGCGAAGAAGATCTCAATTTCGATACCTCTGATGCTCGTACACTCGAGGAATTTTATTTTACCCAGTGGAAGACTTGCGTCATTCCGATTCTACCCCCGGTCTTTGCTGATTTGACTGTCACCATTCCTGAATTTCTACCCTTCAGATATGCTGTCCTTGCAGTATCAGCTTGTCATCTCGCCCATATTGGAGCCTCGGTATGTTTCGGTGATAACGGGAGGTACATTCCAGAGAGGACCCATCGTTATCGTGGCCTTCAGTACTACGGAAAAGGAATCCGGGAGCTGGCGGCTTACGTGAATGGGATTCCTGATGAGGCTCTCGACCACCTGGTAGCCACCTCCCTTCTTTTTTATTACATCGAAATCGATGTAGGATCGATCGCCGGCGCAGTTGGGCAGATGGAGTCGATTAACCGCCTGCATTGCTCTGCCCAACTTTATGTGAAGCAAGGGTCAATAAAACTCAACCCGAAGCTCCTCGCGACATGGAAAAGCTCAAGATCTTTATCAGTCAACAAACAGCTCACCATTGGGTCCGATCGAACACGGCCTCTTGTTGGGATTCAACCTCCAGATCCTGATTCAGTAGAAAAAGGCGCGACCTCATACGATCGTATCATAGAGTTGATTGTTCAGTCTTATTCCACGATCAGGACAATAACCGTGGACTTTTTCGTGTGCCGCGGAACTAGCCTAGCGACTGAGGAGCAGCGTCAACTTGCATTTGGAGCTCTGGTCAAGCATATTTCATCCCCTGATAGTCAAAGTGACTCACCACCTCAATCCAATATCGAAAAGTATTCAAGGGCTGTCGAGCAACAACGCAAAAGTCTGGACGAGTGGCATACGCGTCTCGATCTTTCAGAACTTCCACTCGAGTCGTTCACTTCTGCATCTACTCAGCCGGTTCGGGAAATAGATGGTCAATTGGAAGTCCAGCCTCTCAAGTTCCGAACGTTCGAGGCTGCCATGAACTACGCGTACTATGCCACAGCACAGGCTTGCAGTTCTCAACAAATGTTCGATCGTTTGACACAGTCCAATGAAGTCAATGTCGACTCCTTTAAGCGAGAGAACTTCCCCTGGGAGTGTTTGATGCTCCGGATCGCTTGCGGCCTTGATCTGGAAGATTGCCTATATAAACATACCTATGACATTGGAATCCTCTCCCTGTTGATTTGCTGCGCATCTTCCTGTCCACATCTTGGAGTGGCGACTTGGATTTATGACTGGATGGGAAATCTTGGAAAGTATGGTATGGCGGTTGAAGACGGAATGCCACTGCCAATGGTCATGCGGGTGATGCGTCTGATCATAGCGATGAAAAGAGATGGCCATGATGGATATAGGATCGCCATGATGGACAGTGACATTAAAGAGAAGGTGGAATTTTATCAGAGCAATCAGGAATTTCTCGTGGCGATTTGTGCGAAGGATCGAGAGAAAGGGATAATGTATAATAATGTCGTTCAGTTGCCTAAGTAGTAAATCCACTATGGCATTGATTTCTCTCGCATTTATCGCAGTGATGGACTCTCGGAAGAAAAGAGAGAAAAAAAATGAAGCACGAAGTAATATATGTAAACAAGTTGAAACTTTCGAAAAGATGTCTCACGTTGCGGGGTAAGCCGATGGGTCCAAAACAGAAATTTAGAGCGAGGCGAAACAGGTAGCGTCGGAACGAGCGTCGGAAGAGCGCCCGTGCAGAACTTCATCCCTGAAACAATCCCTGACAAAAACACGTTAACCTCGCACTAATTCTGCAGGCGTTCACAACGCTAAAAGGACGGGATGTCGAAGGCCCTTACAAGGTTTGTATATAAACTCTCGCACTGAACTCGTGCACCCAGTTTTTACTTTTCCAAACACTCACTCGTATTGTTAGCGGTCGATCATGTCCACCGAAGGCCATCAGGATGAAAAGTCCGCAATAGGGGCAGTCGCCGCCACCGACGCAGTGGCTAATGTGGATCCTTCTCCCGAACAAAGGACCGGTCTGGCGGATCTAGAAGGCATCAAGCGCAACTGGAACATTCGCAGTCTGATCGTGATCTGGATCTCCGCTGGTTTGATGAGCTTTGTGGTCAACTTGAATAACCAGTCATCATCTACGTTTACACCGTATGCGGCGAGTGGCTTTAGCTCGGCGCCCCTGGTGGGCACAATTGCCGTCGTTCAAGCAGTTATTGCATCTGGTTGGTACCTTGTCCCTTTGAAATTCTGACATAAGCTGAAAATACTATAGCATGTTTGCAACCACTGGCGAGATTTTCCGATCTATATGGGTAAGCAATGTTTCATTTTGAGAGAAGAAAGCTCTAACAAAGATATTAGACGATTGGAAATGTTTCTGTTTTGCATATTGATGAGCACTATTGGGCTGATAATGCTTTCATCCTCGGCTAATGTAGGCGTCTATGCTGGCGCTCAGGTATTTTGGGTAATTGGTCTCGAGGGTATGTCCATATCATTCTCAATGGATGATGCAAGCTGACCATGAAGGAATTCTATTGATGCTTCAAATCTTGGCCGGTGACTCGAGCGACCTTCGTAATCGTGCGATTATGAACGCGATCCCATATTCGACATCAGTTATTACCGCCTGGGTAAGGCAACTGAACACTAGACATTGTATAAATACTTATGGAAATTCACTTAGATCACCTCTCCCTTTGCGGCGTCTGTTTTAAAAGTCTCGTGGAGATGGGGATTTGGAATTTTCGCAATTCTTATTCCCGTTATTGGAACTCCACTTGTTTTATCTTTATGGCATAGTCAACGAAAAGCGACAAAACAACAAAAGGCCCAAGGAACATACAAGCGCCGCGATTACCTTGGTAATATCACACGACTTGACCCCATTGGCCTAATTCTCTTTGCGGCTGGGCTTTCCTTATTGCTTGTGCCTATCACACTAGCGGCCAGTTCTACGAACACCTGGAAGGCCCCCCATATCATCGCCATGATAGTGATCGGCTTTGTCTGTCTAGTTGCGTTCGTCATTTGGGAGATCAAGTGGGCTCCCTGGCCGATGCTCTCTATGAGGCTATTCAAAAGCAGGACTGTTATCTTCGGCCTAACAGGTAACTGCGCTTAAATGTATATCAAAGGACGTTATGCTAACCAATTCAGCCTCTTTAATCGACTATACAGCACTCTACCTCGTTCAAGACTATATTGTTACATATGAGCTTGTCGCCGCTGAGCTGTCCGTCAAGGCCGCTACAAACATCGCAATTCTCATTCCATTCACTGCTGCAATTGGGCAGTTTACATCCGCGTTCGTTGTTAAGTTTACGAAGCGATATAAATGGATCACCATATCCGGGTATGCAATGAATCTCCTTGGGCTTGGGCTGTCATATAAGTATATCAATGGACATGATCACTTGGGTGCGCTGGTTGTATCCCAATTGATACTGGGCTTTGGAGAGGGGGTGATCAACACCATGCAGCTTGGTATGCAAGTATCTGTACATCAGGATGGTAAGATATTCTTTATTTCGGATTCACTTCTTCATTGCTGACGTTTCCAGACATGGCTGCTGTGACAGCTTTGTTCACTGCCGCGCTTGGAGTGGGTAGTGCATTTGGTGGGGCTGTGTCCGGAGGAGTGTGGACTTGTATGTGTCTTGGATATCCCATATTTCATTGACTAACATGGACTTTTCCAGCTATTCTCCCTCGGAGACTTCGCGAATACCTACCTAGCGATTCTCTTAGCCAACTTGCTGAGATTGAAGGGTCTATTGAAGTTGCCGCGGGATATCCCTGGGGCTCTTCAACACGAAATGCCATCAACCACTCATATACAAGCACATTCCGCCTGATGTTGCTGATTGCCGTCATTCTCGAAGTTTTTGCCTTGGGCTTTGCTCTGCTTATTGAGGATCTCAATGTTAAGGAGGTGGACGATTCGCGAGAGTACAAGGGTATCGTGATTGGAAAGACGGGTGCGGTTGACACTTTGAAGGGTAGGATTCACGTCAAACAAGATGAAGTGGTAGCTTAGGTGTTCATGCCGAAGGGGCCACTGAGGTTTAGCATGGAATTGAGAATATGATCAGCGTTCTTTCTGCTGACCTTGCTTGTGGAGTCCGGAATAGATCCGGGAATTGCGGGACCCACTACATGAACCAGCATCATTGGTCTAGTGGTAGAATTCGTCGTTGCCATCGACGAGGCCCGTGTTCGATTCACGGATGATGCAAGCCTCTTCTTTTTGTTGTGTTTTTATATTCATTTCACCGTCGCGGGGACTTGGGCTGTGATTACTGATCAGTAACTGTATAATCAATAATTAATTACAATCATGGCTTTTGCCGGGTAAAAGCCATGCCAAATATTCAACATTGCCTTATATTTATATGTTTAAAGATTTACTGTGCTCAGAGGGAGAAAGACTGCCGACAAATTTTCTCAGACTGCGCAGGTGGAGGCAATGAAGAAAGCGGAGAAGTTGGTTGAGGTTGTGATTGTCAAAGGAGGGGGCATGGTAGGCATCCATGGGTAAGGGAGAAACGATTCGTGCTTCCTTGGAACCGGAGACGAACTTTTGGGTAAGACTCTGCTTTATAGATGAGAGTATGGTGAGTCAACCAGTAGTCTCCAAGGGATTTTCCAGGTTGCTTTGGGCCCTCGCTTCAAAGTTATTTCTGTGATATTTGATCTCTGGCTCTATATACATGCAGTGCCCAAGCTTGCAACCTCGGACATCAATTACCTATCAAAGTTGTCTTCATGTCCCGAACTATTTGGCAATTGATCCGATACCTAAATATCACTTTACATATCATTGCTTGAACACTACACCTAGGTAGATCTTCATGCCTACATGGAGCATCCTGGTTCTGTGCAACTTTGTAGGAAAATGAAATTGTATAAGTCTTATAGGAACGATCTAGAATCTAGTATATGATCGGCCAAAATTCGGATATCTAATGAAAATGGAAAAAATAATCTCGCAACGCATTATAGGCAAATTCCCATGACTTACTCGGAGGCCTTGAAGACAAAGCGGTCCTCAGGCTTGCTCTGGAAGGGAACGCCCAACTCAAGGAGCTTCACGTAAACCTCAGCGAACTCCTTGAAGAAGACATCACTGTCCTTGGCGTAGCGCTCAACGTGCTGCTTGAAAGCCTTATCCTTAACCAGAGCAAGATCAGTAGGCAGCATCATCAGAGTGGAAGTACCCTTATCAGTGAACTGAGCAGGGCCATTCCACTTGCGCTGGTTCCACTTCTCCTCGACGAGCAGACGGAAGAACTCGTTGGTGAACACAGTCGGGCTGAAGTCCCAGGGACCATCGAAGCCAGAACGGTCAGTGTGCGCACGTCCAAGGGAGTGGGCACCGCACAGGGCGACCATCTCACGGTCATCGAAGCCCATACGGGAGAACACATCACGGATGTGGCGGTGGTCCTTAGAGGCATCGGGGAGACGGCCGTCGGGTGAGCAGGCGGCGACATCACGATCCTCACGGCCAGGTCTCCAGGGGATAGTAGGGCCACCAAGTTCCTGGATGGCGGCGGAGCCAGCCAGGGTCCAGAGGTCGGAGTAGGTGATCCAGGGGAACTGCGCCTTGATAGGCTCGAGGAAATCGCGGGCGTGCTTGAGACCGGCATTGGCACCATGGTCTGACTCCGGGGCGAATCTCATAGTGGCACCGTTGCTGCCACCGGTACCAGTAGCCTTATCGTAGGTGCCACTGGCGTGCCAAGCGAGACGGACGAGAACCTAAGATAGGAAAAGTTGTCAGCTTACGTTTCGATTCGATTCGATGGAAGTTCCCGAATCTCCTGGGGAAAAGGATAGCATACCGGGCCATAGCTGCCATCATCATAATCGGTCTCGTTGGCCAGGCGAAGTGCAATCGCATCGTACACCTTCTGATAGTCGGCTTGGGTGGGAACGAAAGGACCCTTAGGGGTGGCTTCTCCGTTCAGGTAGAAGTAGGCACCAGCACCGGCAGCGACAGACAGACCGATTCCCCAGATACCGAATGACGATGATTTACCGGCGCCTGCCTCGGAGGCATATCCACGGCGAGTCGAGGCGCGAACTTGAGCGGGGAGGGCGAAACGAGCCGAGCGCGCAGCAGGGCGGACCGAGGAGGTGGCAGGAGTTGAGCGCAACAGAGCGCGGGCAGTTCGAGCAGCGGAAGCCATTGTGATTGATAATATGCAAAGGGGATGGAATGAAAGAAAGACTGGAAATAAGAAAAAGAATGGAAACCCGGGTTGGAGAGAAGGGGGCAGGGAGAAGTCGGAAAGAAGCAACTGGAATCTTTGCCTCGGTCTTCCGATATTTGCTCTCCGCATTATGTACTCCGTACTCCGTACGGAGTATACGACTACAACTTTACTTCTTTGATTTCTAGTTATGAATTAATCGTCTTCAATCATTCTGTATTCTCTATGCTATCTTCTACACTGCGCTGATTTCTCCTAGGCCTCACCTTTCATATACCGTGTCTTCTTGCACTTCTCATGTTTGACCCCATTCTCCCACCGTTCGGCTCCACATATATGGTGGGTCAATAATTATTAACAAGAAGTTTCTGTGTGGCTACCACCGACCGAGAGTCTCCACTCATACGCACGACCGAGGCGCTTACCTTATTAAAATGGTCTGGACTAAATACTGGAGCGGAGCCTGGAGGTGGACATAATACGAATTTTTGTAGTAAAATTAGTCACCTAAGCAAAACAATGGATCCTTGGGTCAGATCTAGAAATTAATATGGAGTACCAGACCCAGGAATATTACAAAGCTACTGAGTAACATACGAAAAGACACGAACATTATGACGGCATCATGCCGCAAATTGTGTAATTTATCAATAAAGGGCCTTGATTCGTTATAGAATCGTAGCCAAAGCAAAGGGTATCTCCATTATTTTAGACCGCCGGTAAATTTGCAAAAAAATTATTATCCCACAATTCCGGACCACCTGGGTCCAGTCCCTCAACCCAACCGCCTAGATCCATAGGCTACAATAGTCAGCGTGTGAATTCCCCCAATTGAAGAGAATGGCTTACCGTAAAGTCGCCGAAATCAGTGGACAGAAGAGAGAGAGGGTCAAAGTCCATCGAAGACCCAGACAAAGGGGTGGGACCTCCCATATTAACCGGAGTCTGATCAGTCTGGAACAAATTAGTACCTGTGAGACAACCCAATCCAAGGCCATCGCATACCGATCCAGGTGGACGTTGGGCACTGGCCAAAGCATCATCATAGGCCAGCCCATTCAAAATCTCCCGACACACGCGAACAGACTTGTTCGAGCAGGTTTCCACATTGATCATGGGGTCCTCGCCCTTGATTCGCGACTGGACAGAGGCGAGTATGATAGTCAGGAAGAAATATGATTTGCATCCATTGCCGCCAGGGCCGATGCGACGACCGAAATCACTCAGGGTCCGTTCGACTGCTTGTAGCATTACGCTCTGCTGGGATTGGACCATGCTCATCAACACACTCGAGTTCATACCGTCCATCGTTGGGCCGGTTGCGCTGCCCATCTCATGAGCTTGGAGTGATAGTTCCACACAGACTGTGATCGCGGCATGGAAGGTCTCGTCTCGGAACGTTCCGCTGCCGAGCTGGGTGATGTGGGGGTATAGAACTGAGTCGGCTGGGTTTGGGAGTTCCATCTGAGAGAGGATCTCTAGGGAGGCTTCTAGGCAGATTTTTCGTGAATAAGAGCATTTAGGTAATCGTACCACGCTGAGTGAGAAGGGCCGATGGAGCGCCAGTAGAAACTTGCGCACGATGAAGAGATGCAAGGACTGGGCGAACCGATGCTTGGCAACATCTACTGGATTAACTCCCGACGCATTATCCTCGAATAAGGAAGTTGCGTGCTGCAAGGCTCGAAGGAGCTCTTCGCCCATCCTCAACGCCTCGTCATAGGATAGGTCAAATCGTAGGGCGTTGATTTTCTTCGCGATGCGGTATCGTAGTGGCAGCGTCTTGGAGAGTAGACTTTGGTAAAAGCCGCCGGTGTAGGTCGCGGTGCTTAGAGGCGTCGGATTGGTATCCATCATTTCAGATAAATCATCATCATCCCAGTTGCTAGGTGCATCGCAATCAGATTCGTCTAGATCCACAGATGGCGGGACTCCCCGATCCAGAGAGATTTTGAGATCCAATTCCACAATTGTCGTCCATAGCCGCCGGCGCAGCTCACACCAGAATGGCCGAGCCTTTCGAAATCTTGTCGGATCCCGGTGCAATCCCATCGTTATTGCGGATCGAATCAGCGACCCTGAGGACGCCCATGCCACATCTCCGTCGTTAGCTACCGCGAGGCGAGCGATCAAAAGAAGGGTCTGCGTCTGAATCATCCGGAAATTCAGGTCCGGGCTCACAAAGGTGCACGAGATGTATGACTGAACAGCCATGATCCACTTCATTGCGGGTTTCTGATACACATCGCGTTGATCTCCATTCATATTTGATGATGGAAGATAGAAGCAGCTACCAGCTGCCAGGATTGCCAGGAGCTGGGCTACAAATGCCATATCTGGTTCCTGTTGGCGATTCCAGTACGCTTTGTACTGCTCTAAAAACGTTGGGATGTGCAATACACGGTAGGTAGTTTCAAATGTCTCGAGATAGAATTGAACCAACTGATCGGCCACTCTGCGTGATGGGACCATTTCTTCAAGTCGGAATGCTTGTTCTCGAAATGCTCGTTGGTGGTCCTGGCTCTCGCGAGACCAAAGCTCGCTTTTGAAGCGTCTCATGTCGGAGAGTTCTTTGTCCTTGGTAGCGTGTCGACCTCGTCGCATAAAGGAGCCAATATCTTGGAACTGTTTTCTGTTAGCAGATACTTTGGTTATGGATGAATTTTCACTCACAAATGATATGGTGGTAGTATAGTGACTGCGACCGAAGTACCTTGTCTTCCCTTTCTTACCCCGGAAGCTACAATCTGGGAGGAACCGAACGCGATCGTCGACGCCTGCGCCATCCACAGCAGTCGTTTCTACATCCGAGAAAACATCCCCGATAGAATTTTCCGGTGTTTGAAGAACATTAGGCTTGTGCAGCGCATGTTCCAACACACGCAGTCGGTTTCGCAGCTCATGGAGCTCATCCGGGCGACTGCGTTTGGAAACCCGGTGGGTGTCAGATCGGGGGCCCATTTTAGAATCAAAGACAAACATGCTGCCCGTGCCATTGGCTGGATCCTCGGACCCATTAGGAAGACGCATCCGCGATACTGGTGGCGACATGCGACGCGACGAAGATTCCGATGTTGGTCCTGGCTGAGTACCGACAAAAACACAACAGTCCGCATTTTTCGAGCGCACGCATTGTCCGCAAGGCAACGAGCGATCGCACTTCAATTTGCGCCGTCGGCATTCTGTACAAGAGAGCGGGGGCCGCCTCCGCCGCTGTACCACTTTCGATTGATCTGCATCCTCGCCCTGTGAAAGTGAGTCATGATAGTCGGCCATATTTCCTTGTGTCGGTGCGATTTTGAGAATTTTTATCTTGCGCCTCTTTCAAAGTTCTGGCCTTTGGCCAGAATCAAGACAGTGATGGGGTAATCCTGGATCTCCGCAGCACAAAGAACAGGTCGCACAATTGCGTAAAGTCGCTGTCTTCATCAAACAGCTCACTTTAGATTTTGATTGAGCGTACGAAACTTGGGCATTATCTCAAAAAGAAATAATTAGATGCGACGTGAATAGATATGCGACGTGCAATGGAGATAAAAGTTCCCCGAGTCTCGGAGTTACCGCATCTGGATATAATGCCAAGCCCCGAGTCAATGATGCCTGATCGATAGTTAGTTTAACTGAACGAAAGATTCCACTGCTGACTAATTCAATGTTCCAAGGGTTTTGGCGTCTAACATTTGAAAGTAGGTCCATGGTTATATCTACGGAATACTTCCGATCATCCTAGTAAACCGTGGTTTTTATTTAGTTGCACTTGATCAATACTGGCCGAAGGGTGGCCTAGATCTCGAAGCATAGAGATTGGGCGGACCCCGACTCCCGAATTTGACTGAAAACATTGAACTTGAACTTTGGGACTTATCCATTAAACACTTGGGGCTACTCCTTGATTTATAAGTCGATTCCAAGGAGCTCCACCTGGCCATTTGCAGCTTTATATAGACGTCCAGAAAAGTATCTTCTAACTTCTTAAAATCAATGGGAGGTAACCATCGGCTAAGAGAACATTCGAGTTTAAGACATAGAGTATGAACCTTGAAACATGAACACAAAATATATCTATTTGCCATCTTTGGTCTCTCGAGTTACCTATTTGTAAATTTGGAAGAACTGGAGAGTATCATGTGCTGACAACATTGGAGTACTTGGAACCCCGCTATGATCGACTGCGGATATTGACCAGGACCGTGTCTTGCCGTTGGACGCAGATCCGCATGACGGCAATGTGAGCCCGAGTGATTGGCCTCATGCCCACAGATATTGGGTTTTAGCCTTTGAGGGCGTCTCCTCCCCACATAAGGCTGCGAGATGACGGCAGACGATGCCCAATACGAGTCAGCTGAGAGATTCGCAATCAAAGAGAACGCGATCGCTAAGACAGGGAAGTATGTGAACGAACGGTCTTTGATGCATGAATATAGCGGTCAAGGCTTGGTCCCTAATTGAGCAGGTCTTTGAAATGACCGCATAAATTTGGTGCAGGCAATCTTTTATAATAGCACAAGTGACTTGGCGCGCATCTGCATGCCTGTATAATACGGAGGATTTTGATTTCCCCCATTTCTTATCTTCGATGGATCGCCCATGTGGGTCCTACAATGTAGCTTCTCATTGGCTGATACCTGGTGCCGCAAACATGCGTGTTCAGATCCCATGCGCATGCGCTGATGCATCTAATTGCACTCCGAAGCTTCTGCGAGAACACATTCGAGGTCATCACTCTTTTACCCCTATAAGTATTTCCGTGGTTATCATCCGCTGTTGAGTTTAGTAGCATATCAGAGAAACTCTCTCACCGCCTGATCAAGCCCCCCGCACCCCAATCCGCCACATGGGAAAAAGCGGCCGATCATTCGTGATTCATTCCCGCAGATAGTCCTTCCATATCGCTCCTTTCTTTCTCTCTGCATTTTCTCAAAACACCAAGCTATGGGTTGTGTTGCTCGGTCGCTGCGTGAACTTTATCGCAAGCGCTGATTACTCCTTACGCGGTGTCAAGCTTAAGTGCTTTGATTAAGCAACTGAATTCTCATACCGGAGCTCGGTACGCCGACCTGTGCATCTTCATTTACATTATTCCACCTGCGAATTTGACATTCTTTGGCGCTTGTTCCTTGTTCTCATAAGCGACGCAGACCCTTGGAGCAAATATGTCCTCTTCTGACTCTCCTACCGCGATGGCCGACACTGAAAAGCCCTCACTAAATACCTTTCCACGATGGAGGCGGATCTTCGGAGACAAGCCCGCTCGCGACCAGGGGGAAAATGAGTCCACATATCGCCCAAAATCTACCCTGGGCATTCTTAGCGATAAAGAGACGGACGAGGTACCAGGTAAGTGGCTCGGCTTCTCGTGAATTTGAGTGCGTTGCTAACCATAAACTTGTGTCTTCGATATAGGAACCGTCCTTTTACTCGCATCTGATCGAAATGAACCTCTGGGAATGCGCCACCAGCCGCCGCGGATGTCGGCCTCCTCACTACCCGCAAGCAATCCACCCTCGCGCTCATCTTCGCGAAATGCTGCCCCACAGGAAAAGCGAACAGCGGACGGGCAGATTGTCTTAGAACCTCAGCCTGATGACTCTGTCAATGATCCCCTGAATTGGCCCGTGTGGCAGCGAGACACTGCCCTGGTCTGCTTGGGATTTTACTGCTTGATAGGAGGAGGAATGACCCCCATTCTGGCCGCTGGGTTCAATGAGGTTGCAGCTACCTACCATGTGACGGAGCAGCAAGTGGCATTTACAACGGGACTTTACATGCTGGGGCTGGGCATCGGGTCGGTGATCATGTCCCCAACGGCAATTCTGTTCGGAAAGCGTCCTGTATATCTCCTTGGCGCCATTCTTTTCATGCTCTCGGGCATTTGGTGTGCCCTTTCCCCGAATTATCCCAGCTTGGTGGTTGCTCGCATCTTTCAGGGTATCGCGGTGAGCCCTGTGGAATGTCTACCGTCGGCTACTATTGCGGAGATCTACTTCTTACATGAGCGGGCCTATCGAGTTGGGATTTACACGCTGTTACTGCTTGGCGGCAAGAACTTGGCTCCTCTCGCCAGTGCTGCCGTAATCGGTAGCCTTGGGTGGCGCTGGGTATTTTGGATTGTGTCAATCATTGTCGGCGGCTTTGTCGTTCTACTGTTTTTCTTTGTCCCAGAAACCTTTTGGGATCGGACTCCGCGCCCTCGACGCTCCCATAAGCGTCCGCATGCTCATAGGACAGTTTCTGACTTGATGTCTCACGGTTTCAGAGGACGTCATCCCCATGTGCAGATTCCTGAAGAACCAAACGCACAAGACAGTGATGCGACCTCACCAACTGAGAAGAAGTATAAAAATGCCCATGTCGGATTTGCGAACGATATACCGACGCATGAGAAACCACTGGAGGGTGATGAAGAATACTTTTCTCACGCTAGAAACCCTACCGATGATCATATTCACACTGAACCGACCAACTCGGATCTTGACCAAAATGGTCTACAGCACCCCCAGCCTGCCCACATTGACGCCCATCTGACCCCTGGTGATTTGGAAGCAACCCGGTCCGCGGCCATCTCACCCGCTCGCAGTGAGTCCCGTGAGCCCAGTGCTCATCTCTCCTCTACACTTAAATATACGAATCGGCTCCGCGACCGACCAAGGGTCACCTACGTTCAGCGACTCAAGGTTTGGAATGGAAGAATTGCGCAGGACAATTGGTTCAAGATAGCTGCGCGGCCATTCGTCTTGTACGCCTACCCGTCTGTTCTCTGGTCGGCTGTAGTATACGCTTTGTCTGTTGGATGGCTCATTGTGATCTCGGAGTCCATATCCAAAATCTACGAAAGCGATGACACCTATGGGTTTACTGCCCTCCAGACAGGCTTAGTATACATCTCACCCTTTGTCGGCGGCTTACTTGGGACTGCAGTCGCGGGTAAAGTATCGGACATGGTCGTCCGCTTCCTCACCCGGCGTAACGGAGGCATCTACGAGCCCGAGTTCCGCTTGGTAATGGCGATTCCCATCGCACTATCAACCACGATTGGATTAATGGGATTCGGCTGGAGTGCACAGCTACGGGATGCTTGGATCGTGCCAACGATATTCTTTGGAGTTATTTCGTTCGGATGCTGCTTGGGCAGCACGACTGCCATCACCTTCTGCGTGGATAGCTACCGGCAATATGCTGGAGAAGCACTGGTGACCCTGAATTTCACGAAGAGTATGTGTTTCTCCCCTCTTGTCGTATTTGACTAACATTTCTCGCGATTTAGACATTGTACATGGACTTGTCTTCTCACTCTTCATTGTCGACTGGCTTGATGCCGACGGATTCCGCACCGTGTATCTCGCCATCGGCGGGATTCAACTATTCTTCTTACTCATGTCTATCCCAATGTACATGTACGGCAAACGGGCCCGTATGTGGACAGTCCGCAAGTGTTTGATGGAACGACTTTGATTTATGGGTTGCATATCTGCTCAATGCGTGATGATAATGATTGATCTATTTGGATTAGGATTTTTGATAGAATTGTTGGCCACACGGCCTTTCATGTTTTGCATTGACCTGGAGGATATTGATTTGAATTGAATGAGACTGCTCCGATTGAGAATATCCCTGACTAGAACGGAAGGCCGTATGGTCAGCGCAGGCCTTCGGCGCTGCCGACACCTGAATGGCTAATCGTCTCTTGATATGCAGCCGTGCGGGCTATCAAAGAACTAAGCATGTGTTTCATATTAGAGAGTCATCGGTTGACCATGGCTGGCGTGATAATAAATTTAGCTTTCAAGTTCGGGCCTCTCGGCAGTTCAACAATTTTGACCTGTGGGTATCAGGAGAAACCCAGGGGTCAGAGTAGTCTCCCCTTGGCTAGTCTGTTATAGATATATAGTGATATGATAAAAGAGTTAACACGCCTTCGTCCCACACCCCCTTGATTATCTTGTGAGAAAATACCATCTTCATTTAAAATTAAAGTTGATAAGATCCAGCTATATAATTCCTCACAAAGCGGCTCACACCTCCACGCTCTGGATTTGGGTCTCATCCGAATCAAAGATTTAATCTGGTTCGTCGCTCTACGCTTGAAAATGCTGCCTAAAAAAATTGTTTAGTTTACTTTCCACATTAAGATGGTTATTAAACTTAATCCTCTTTTAGCTAGTGTTCTAGGCGTATTAAAGTCCATTCTCGACAGACCCCGATTCTACGCTCAAGTATACACTTATCTAACCCAAAAACAGAGGCCCAGTCCTATGGTATAAAGTATCGATATCGATATGCCCATCGGCGCCGTTTCACAGCGTTTTCCTTTATTAGATAGACGCTAGCTATGTTATCATCTGCGGAGATTCTCAGCATTCAGAAGGCGTTAGATGAAGCGTACTTTAGCCTCATGATCAAGCCCAGAAAGTAGATCTTCATAGTGTACCCTCGGGTTACCATAGACAGCCTCAAGAATACGATCCTTCTCAGCTTGAGATAGCTCCTTAGACGACCCGAGTGTGCTTTTGATATCCCACCATGTCTTTCAGGCTCTTTTTGATAGTATGTTGGATTGACAGATAGCCGAGGTGGGCTTCATACGATCCATAATCGATAAGAGAGCTGGTTGATAAGTTAATAGTAGATGATAGTAGATAATTGTAGATAGTAATAGATAATAGTAGGTAGTTAGAACGGTTTACTCAAGGATGTATTAGTTATGTACGGGTAATATTATCTACAACAATTTAGCGTGTTTATACGGTAAAATTAGTGGGTCTTTAAGGGTGTTATCACATTTGTCATATCACTAAATGAACCTATATAGTACAAAAGATAATTTATGGCGGGTGGGGCTTTCCTGTCTGGGCTGCCGCCACTACCATGAAGGCGACCAGGCTCAGTCTCACTGAGCAAATGCCAGCATGGGCTCTTGCTTAGTGATCTCGTCAATCTAGTCAAGGAATCGCACAGTGACTAATCGAGGATGCTCAGTGGTCACTCAGTTCCTGCCTTTATTGCTGAGAGGATTGGATGATCTTGCTGTATGTTCAAGATCATACAATACACACCAAAGCCGAACCATCTACGCTAGCAGATGTGTCGTCCTTAAAGATGCCGACGGTTTTTGTGAGTCCGGAGATGCTTCTCGTCCCGCGACGTGACCGAAACCGCATTCATAGCCAGATCCTCGCTCACACCGGCGGTGCATTCAGTACCGTCAGGCATCGGCTGAGAGGCTGACCAGGTGCCCTCAGCACAGCGCTGCCAGGAGGTGCCACTGATGCAGTTCCAGTACCCTTCCTCAGAGCAGAATCCGGTGAGAGCTTCGGAGCTGGAACTAGAAGTAGAGCTAGAGGTACTGGACGCATCGGCCGAGGAAGTCACCTCGGAAGCAACAGAGGTTATGGTGGTCGGGGTGATGTCGGTAGTCTGGGCAGCTTCGGTGGTTTGGCTAGCGACAGCCACGGTAAGCGCGGTGCTGGCTGAGGCCTCTGCGGTAGCCTCGGCCGTAGTAGCCGTAGTAGTCGTAGCGGACGAATCGCTAGAACCTGAAGCTGTAGCTGTAGGGATAGAGCCTCCGGTGGTGCTGAAACCCGCCGTTCCCCAGGTGGCAGAACCACTGTAACACACGTCGGCATCAGTTGCAATGAGATGTTCTGAATTATAGGTCTCGATGGTGTCACCGGGATTGGGGAAACGAATGGCGTACATCTCCTCGGTTATGCAGCCGTTGATGTTGGCAATGAACAAGGGAGGAAATTCTTCCGTGGAGCGCTTTTCAACTGCAGAGGACTCCGATCTCTTCTTCGAAGAGCTGCTCTCGGTGACAGTGATGGGGGCGCAGTTCATGTACATTTCACGGCTACCGATACGGTTGAACCAGGTCCAGGCGATGGTGTACTCGCCCGCCTCGATGCTGTCCGGGATGGTAAAGTTGGGATGGAATGGGGTCACCTCCGTGGCGCTGGTTCCAATGTTGGAGTCACTCTCGGTTGCATCCATACATCCACCTTCAATTGACTCAATGACAGCCCATGTAGTCGAGTTGCTCGGTGCGCGGTCCGAGGTAATACTGATTTGGCAAGAACCGCCGCCGTGGGTAGTACCACCGTGGAAAGTCATCTCCGTGGATTCACCCTTCACCACGTAGTTCTCCTCGGTAACGGTGTAATCACCCGTGATCTTGCACGGGAAGTTGCTTCCATCTGCCTCGAGAGGAGAGTTATCAGACGAATCGAAGTTGTAAGGAACAGGGTTGACCATGACTAGATGAGCTCCAACCAGGGAGGTACCTAGGATGGTAGCGACCGCAACAGCCGATTTGGAGAACATTGTGCAAGAGGCTAGGGAATGTTCGATTCAAGATCTGTCCGAAGCTTCTTGGAGTGTAGAAAGAAATGCGGGTGTCTGCCACAGGCAAAGCACCAAATTTTTCAAGGAAAGAATGGAAAAGAATGAAAAGAGACAGCAACTATCCAGTAGTTGTGTCAAAAAAAGCTCAATAGAAAGGAATGCGTGGTACTGAGGAAGAATAGAAGGCGCATTGCAAAGGTTCTTATAGTAACGGCCATTCTAATGTATATTGAAACACTAACCTAATCCAGCCAAAATGGTAGCCGACAAAGGGGAAGAAGTGGATTGTGAGGCTTGAAACTCTTGGCAGGGGAATGGATTGTCTCGCAATACGCCTTGGGCCAAGTGTAGTCCAGGTTTCGCAGCGTCTTTTACCTCATTACCCAGATTCAAGTGGCAAGCTCCTCTCGATGGAGAGCGAAAACTTCTGCTGATATCTATCTTTGAGACTTCGCAATTAGTCTCGAGTTGACCGTGAATAGAAACATGCTCGTCCCAGTAGCTAACCTATACCTTCACCTACAGAATTTATTACATACAGATAAATGAAGTTGATGTTTATCCTGCCTAAAAAGCCCCAATGTTTCAGATAGAAGGAACATGTACGCTCAACTTTCTTATACCGGTAGATCAGAAAAGAATGTTCTGTGCCCCGCCGTCGCAGCCACAAGATTTCCAAATAAATCCGATGGGAGTTGTCATTGGAGAAATCAGAACAAGGACAAGGATTATTTTAGCTTGGCTTAACCCTGCCTCCGAAGCGAGATTTGTCTACCCCACAGTCCCATATACCTCTCACCGGTGGCGTTGGGATATTTGAATCGGAACGGCTTCGAAAGCCGAACGATAGGCTTTGCCAAGAAGGCAAAAGTCACCAACCTAGAACTCTGATGTGCATCCCTTGTAATTTTGCTTCATCCTATAGATCTAGGAATAAAACGAAAGGAATAGTGACATGAATTACTGGTTACAGACTTCGGCAGCAGTCAAATCCTCTTGTTATTCTCATTGATCAAAAACATTCAGGGATCGATCAGATTGACGGGAACGAGATCTCCCAGGTTTCTGTGACAGTGACCCGCCCGATGTGGAGCGATGATGCCAACTTGTGCCGTCAACTGCCGAGCGGACTTGGCATATTGCATCTGCTCAGAAATGAGATAATTCCCCCACAGTTAAATCCCAGCTATTCGAAGATTTGTGATCTCGAAACAGAATTTGTTTCACAACTGATCTCAATATGACCAGTCACATCCCACTTCGACTCCATACGGAATACATGGGAAGCCAGTAACCTAGTTCACAGGCAAGCGAAGTACACAAGCGAGAGGGGTATTCCCGAAACAGGGGCGAAGTTAAATACCCACTCTTAGTCGCTAGCATGATAGTTCTTCAGGGTTCCTGAACTAGGTGGGGAGACTCACGATAGCCAAGATGGAAGGTACATCCTTTGCAATTTCGCCGCATTGTCACGATTCTCTTCAATCGTGCACCCACCTCATCATTCGTATAATTCTGTCAAGAGCTCATGGTAGCGTCAAACATTATTATGAAGCTCAAGAAATAGTTAATTCGGGTATATGCGGATAGTAGATCCTACGTGTCCAGGCTCTTTAATTACGAAATCACTGACGAACCCAGGGCGCTTAGGGATTCGGTTCTACTCAGTGCGCAAAAGCGGCGGGAATAATGAGCACTAAAATGGACATCTGGAAAGGGACCGCTAAGAGTTGTGAGACGTTTCAACATCCAAAGAGAGCCAGATTTCAATTAAGCAGAATTTCATCGGTGCATGTTTACGTGCATGATGCCTAGCCAATCCACTTAGTATGTAATTTGTACCTTTCCATCGATCAATTGATAGTAAAACCTAGAAACCGTGAAAGATATGATGCCGGGTAGTTTCTAGCACACGACTCCACGAGTTCTCCTTGATCGGGATGTTTCACCTTTATTGACTATATTTTATATCAGTGTTTGAATAATTTAGGATGATCTCTTCAACAAACCTGTATATTTTAGTTCCTGGTATCCGGTATATATTGGATGTGGGCCCACATGAATCAAATTGCTGGTCTGTACCCTTTAACCCAATGCAAATTAATCCTGACATCACCATATGCGTCTGAGCACTTTATATCATACATACTACTAAGTTCAAATTTAAATACTGGAGTGCATTCTTTGTAAGAAAAACTGCCCAGGTGTTCAATTCTTCAAAGTGCTTGGACATCTGTCATGACACTTGCAGTATGTACTCGTAGTGATATCACCATGAACTTCGCAAACTGTATCTGTTTCGATAATGATAAATCCGATTTAGCTATTGGCGTAGCTATAAGGCTAGCCGACTACCAAGAAAAGTATATACATGAACTTGCCATGCTCCATTTGAACTCAGAAAAATCAATCTTCAAAAGACATTCAAGAGCAGAGCAGGCGAATGGGGACAAGTAAAGCCAAGATACAAAAATTTGAACACTGATCCAATACACAACATCGTACCTTCCACCCCTCCCCACTACCAAGTGAAGCTCTCTTCCACATAATCCAAATTGGACTTCGACTGCCTCTTCCGACAAACACGACGAACATCATCGCTTAAGCTCCCGTTACCACAAACAAGAACACCCATAGCCCCAATCTGGTTCTCAACTTCCATGCCAACAAGAGTATCGATATTCGGTCGGCCAGGGAACATCTGCACAGTCGCAGATGGACTCTGGATTTCCTTGGTATTTCTCGGCCGTGTTACAAACAGCATAACACGAAGAACCTCTCGGCGGCGATCCATAGCCAGAATACTCGTCATCCAGGGCCGGATCCATTCCAGATGTTCGGGAGATTGAATAATCCACACAAGGGTCACGCGGCGGGTAGCGACCGTGCCATCTGCGAAGCCAGCGACGAGATGGCGCACGAATGGGACGTGGTGGGTAATACCGACGCCGCCAGCGAAAAGCATGACTGTACCGTAGGAATCCATGGAGTGGATGTTACCGTAGGGTCCCTCAGCGAAGGCACGTAGAGTAATGCGAGAGCCCATGGCGTTTGCGGCGCGCTGGAAAAGTTTATCGGTCATGCCTGTGCGGCGGCGGACGAGTAGCGAGAGGGTTGTCTGTTGAGGAGCGCCGAGGAGATCTTGCTGAGTAATTGGCAAGGGAAGAGATTTCTCGTCGGACATTGTGTCTTCGGTTTCGCTCCAGCCTACGGAGAATGGGTGGGAGGTCCACCATCCGACGGCTGGGATGTAGAGGTAGATGTGCTGACCTGGATGGAACTTCCATGGGCGGGCGAGACGGAGTGTAATACGCATTGCGTCGCCGGGCATTGCTTCGATTGTAGCGGTGGTGGAAGAGTATCCGAGATTGCGGTATATGATGATGAAAAGGCGAGTTGCACGCTGTTGAACTGGTCAGTGGAACTCTATGGAACTCTAGGTCAAAAAATGTACCTCTAAAGCCCATAATATTATAGCTGCAAGTAGATAGTTCTGCGAGGCCATTCCATTCAGGTGTACCCAGAGGAAGCCCATGAAGACCGCTGCGAGAGCGAAGTGCAGGTGGACGAATGTCTCGTAGAAAGCATGGCGAATTGGTGAGGGAGAGTGTAATAAAAGTGCGACGAGAGCACAAGTACCCTGGAAGTTCGTCAATGAATAGAATGAATTTTGGGACCTTCATACAAACTTACAACAAGTCCACAGAGGAGGAAGCTACTTCCAGTGATATACTCACCAACGGCTTTCCAGCTTGCTGCATATTCAGTCAGAATGTGTATCTGTGATGGGGGTAACATTCTCACCATCCTGAGCTTTGGGAATCGCCCACGCAAACGTATGTGCTAGAGCTTCCAAGACCACAATACGCCCCAACCATCGATGAAGAAGGTTCCACGTATCAAATGGCACATGAAGCATAGCAATCAATGGGTTGTTCCTCCCCGCCATCAAGACGAGAGGAATGAGGTTCACAGTAGCCATAGTGCCAGTACGATTTCGAACGATACCGGCGGCAGTACTTTCCTCGGATGCGTAGGGAATAGTGACCAGGCAAAGAATCACATTCATGCCAACTACACCGGCAACCAGAAGCCCGTGAAAGCGGCTGGGAAGGGTACCCATGTTGATGGCCTGCGAGAGCTGAAGTTCGCGATTGTGGCGGTTCCGGAATAGCGGAGCATAGATCAAATGGTTCTTGATCCAGGAAAACTTTTCATGAGCTGGGACGAAATATCGTTGGTTGTCATCGCCGAAAGTGGATAGTTTTCGTAGGTGATCGGAGAATCGGACGGTGAGCTGCCAGATATAGTATGCGGCGGCAGCACATCCCAGGGCGAGGAGGGTGTATCGGGCCAGGTCATCGTTGACGGCTTCGTAGAAGAGCTCCATGGCGCTGGAGCCGGAGTACCTCTTTTCAAGCTCCATGACGCTTATCGGGCCTGCAGGGAAGTGATCTCCGAATTATCAAGCAGTATTCTGAATGAGTCTGGCGATATCCCGGGGTATCTCGCACAAGTCCGGCTTGTTTGAGTGATCTGAAGAGAGTTGATGATTTTATTCTTTCTAGTAAGACGGAGGTTGTAGATTCGCCAATAGCAGCGCCAGGCTGTATAGAATGAAGAGAATGAATTTTTTTGTCAAATGATTGTCGATACCGATATAGAGTGAATGGCTGGGTCTATGATCAGGGCCTGCCTAGAGTGAGGGTATAGGCTGAGGTAAATCAAGAGGAATCGTTGTTCTCATTGATGTCCCCCTCAGATCTAGGGATGCCAGTCAGATTTTTGGACTGTTCCGTGGGCAACGCAAGGAATGCTGGCGTCACGATCAAAACCCGAAGAGAAGTATAAAATGATGGAACCTGTCCGTCAATAAAGATTGTGAAAAAAAAAAGAGTGGAACAACGGAACAAAGAAGAAAAGCAGAAAAGAAGGGAAAAGACGAAAAGAAGATATTATTTTGCAAGACAGACACAGACACAATCCACTTTGTGTCAGGCCTGTCAATAGGGTGGAGATCTCAGATAGATGAGACAAGCCAAGTCACAAATTTACTTGGAAGGACAAGCAAGACCAGTCGATCTCAGTTCTCCCCTGGATCCCAGATGGAGCTCCTGTTGACGCCAGGCCAAGCCTTCATAACTAACATGCGACAAATTGAATGATGAAATCTTTATACCAGACTCGACCAGGGCCGATCCACCAATCCGACTGGTCAGAACACCCCACCCAGGTGAAGCGGCATCTGGAAGAGGATCTTGCGACACGCGACAGGCCAGATTAGGACTTGGCATGGAGAATGTGGCGGACGAATTACCATGCTGAAACGAGACTGGAAACTTGCTAGTTTTAGCGCCGATCCGAGCTTGTCGGGGAGGCTTGGCGGGCGGCTGGCGGTTTGAGAATTGACCCTTGGCAAGGAGATGTCAGGGGGATTCGAGCGAAAATGCCCTAGAGAAATCCTGGTGTCGCATATATAGTTTTTTTCATGTACTTATCTCCCACATCCCCTTTACTGTTTTTATCCACCACTCAACTGATCCAAATGTTGTGTGTCTGTCGGAGATCACAAGGGACAAATTCTGCAGCATTAAGTATTCTCAGACAGCCTCAACAGACATCCGACTAGAGCACAACCTTCACCAACTTCCAATTAATCAATGTCCTGAAGGTGATATACCTAGGTAAAGTATTTCCACACAATATTTCTGAAGCTCTTGAAGTCCATTTTCTTATCTTTCCAGCTTTTTTTTTTTTTGACTGAAATAATTCATGTGGGCGGGCTTAGTCCCCCACGATGCCCTCATCCTTTTAATGATTTTTGTTTGTACATGATATAGGGAGATCTGACGAATTCATACATGAAGTTATCTTGGCTTCAAGAATCATGAACAAGTTGTGACAGGGTACATCCCCTGCAGTTGTTCATGCAAGGTGTTCACTTCATTGATTGGTAGAGAACACGAACGCCGATTCTCGGACATTGATACCCGATACGCTGACAAAGTGGAGTTACTGACGCGTTTTACATAACAGCTGAAGAGCTGAACAAAGCTGAAGCCCGATTTGCCTCCTTAGAGAATGGTACGGTCGGGAAGTGACACATCTTATCAGATTATGAAGATCTCCCTTTCCGTCCCCATTTTCCCCTCCTTTCCCTGCCAAGTCCTCTCTGATGTGGGCTTCTATGTAAAATGGCAACCATACACAGGGTAACCGCGTCATCGTCACACAATGGCCACGATTCCACGGCCGAAGTTCAACCTCTTCTTGGCTCCCCGGCGCTGGCCGTCAAATCACCCGGAGTCGCTAGGATCGAAGTCATTAACTCCTCACTTACCAAAAATGATCGCATCATGATGTTCCTCGGCGTGTTCATGGTCGGATACGCCTACGGCCTGGACAGTCAAGTACGCTCGACTTACCAATCCTACGCCACTTCCAGCTTTGGTGAACATTCACTACTAGCGACCGTGAACGTGGTCCGTAGTGTGATTGCCGCAGCCGCCCAACCAGCCGCCGCTCGCATCGCCGACGTATTCGGAAGATTCGAACTCGTGGCTGTGTCGATGGTTCTCTACTTGATTGGGACAACGGTGGAAAGCTGTGCGACGTCGATCGAGATGTTCTCCGCGGGCACGGTGCTCTATCAACTCGGCTATACGGGGATTGTGCTATTGGTGGAGATTATCATTGCGGATATTACGTCGATGCGGTCGCGGGTGTTTTTCAGCTATCTCCCTGCTACGCCGTTTCTCATCAATACGTGGATTAGTGGGACTATTACCTCCGCTGTTGTGAATAAGACCGGGTGGAGATGGGGAATCGGCATGTGGTGTATTATCTATACGGTTTGCTCGCTGCCTCTGCTTTGGACCTTGTATTACACGAGCCGGCGTGCACAGAAGGCTGGATCGCTGGAGTACCATCCGAGTCCACTGCGGTATTTTGGGACGCGTCGTTTGGTCGTGGATATGTTTCATCAGCTGGACGTTGTTGGTATATTTCTGATGATCGCCATTTTCGGTCTCATTCTTGCACCACTTACAATTGCCGGTGGGATAGAATCACAATGGCGATCTCCGGTTATCATCACACCTCTTATCGTTGGTGTGCTGTGCATACCGATGTTCATATTCTGGGAAACGAGAGGCGCAAGACATCCCCTTGCTCCGTTTGATCTTCTCAAGGATCGTGGGATCTGGAGTGCGCTTGCCATTCGATGTCTTCTCAATTTCTCATGGTATCTCCAAGCAGACTACCTCTATACAGTTCTGATCGTTGCATTCGACTTTTCTGTCGCCACTGCAACGCGGATCCAGTCATTCTACTCGTTCTTTGGGTTGATCAGCGGGCTGATCACTGGGGTTATCATCTACCGAACCCGCAGGCTAAAATTCTTGATTATATTTGGCACTTGCCTCTTCATGATGGCATACGGACTAGTCCTCTATTTCCGAGGCGGTGCTGATGGGGGATCCAAAGCCGGAGTCATCACTGCACAAATCTTACTCGGTCTTGCCGGCGGATTTTTCGCATACCCAACACAAGCATCAGTCCAAGCAGCCACGACACACGAGCACATGGCCGTTCTCACAGGCATTTACCTCGGCTCATTCAACATCGGAAGCGCCCTCGGAACCTGTGTATCCGGGGCCATCTGGACACAGACTCTGTATAAATCACTGGTTGAGAACTTGGAGTTCCAGTCCAATTCCACTTTGGCGCATGCCGTCTATGATTCACCCTTTGAAGTCATTCCATCCTATCCGATTGGTACACCGGAGAGAAGTGCGATCATTGATAGCTACCGGCATGTGCAGAGACTTCTATGTGTTACTGGAATATGTCTTGCTGCGCCGATGATTGCCTTGGCATTCGTTTTGCGAAATCCCAAGCTCTCCAAGGAACAGAGCCAGCCTGAGGCGGAGAGAGAAGATTAATATACGTCACTTCTGAGGCCGGTTTATGATTTGATGAAGCGATCTGGATTTCAATAGATAAGCATCTGAGATGCATTTCGGTTTATATTTCGGTTACGGATGAACGGTCTTACACAATAAGATCTACATACTCATGACTCCTGTTATCTTTCGGGTCGAATGTTCCATTCATTAGAATACATCAAATGGGCATTCACGATCATATTGCACTGACGTAGATAAAACCATAGGAAGCCAAGCCAACCATGGAATCAACCACTCGTTCCAACCATCATATAAACGTGAACCCTTGAAAGAGAACGTAATTCGAAATAATGATGTTATGCATCATTCTTCTCGTACCCAATGCCCACTTTTTCCACCTTGCTTTTCAATCAACCGCACAGCCCCGATAATCATGCCTTTATCCACAGCCTTCAGCATATCATAGACAGTCAACGCAGCACCCATGGTAGCCGTCATAGCCTCCATCTCAACACCAGTGCGACCAAAACAGCTGACGGTAGCTACTATTTGTATGGCACCATGATCATCGGAATTGGCGGGCTGAACCAGCTCCACGCTAACCTCCACTCCCGTGATGCCAATCCCAGGGTGGCATAGAGGGACGATATCTGGGGTTTTTTTAGCGGCCATGATGCCTGCAATGCGGGCGACGCTGTACACGTCGCCTTTATGGGTACCTTCGCCGCGTCGAAGGATTTCCCATGGCTTTTGATTGGAGAAGGCGACCGTGCAGGCTGCGGTGGCTAGTCGTTTTGTTTCTGGCTTTTCGGTGATTTGTGTCATATGGACGGTTTGAGAGGGGGTGAGATGTGGCAGTTCGGAGTCTGAAGCGGTAGGGAGGGATCGGATGGAGGTATTTGTCTTCTGGGGGGGTTCTTGTGATCGTATGCCAGATTGTCCGCTGTGGTAAAGACGGGCTTGGTATAGCCCGGGCGATGATGCAAGGAGATGTGAAGGGACGCTTGTACATTTTGTTCGTGAATTGGAAATTGGCCATGGGTATTTTTTGCTATCTATTTCAACTATCAGCACAGGATTTCCAAAATCCAAGCTCTCAACATGATATCGTAAGTACATGATGGGCCTTTCAGGCCTGGTTTGCCTTAAACTCCATGCGAAATATGCAAGTCGTAATTCATTTCAATAATCAGAAGGCTACCCACCGATCAGAATCATGGGCCGGTTCTTCATATTCTCGAGCTGGCCCATGCCGGCGTGTTTTGCCTTCTTGCGTTTCACAGCCAAGCCAATGATATCCAAGATTTCGCGTTCCCGCTCGGGGATTAAGCCCCCTTCGTCACTAAGGCGAGCTGCATCCTGCACTGTTTCGAGCAGACGGAGATCTTTCAGCGCCTCCTCGTCAATAGGCTGTCCGTCATTCTCCCTGCGAATGATATCCCGCAGAGAGACTTCGGCATTCCCGAAAAGGCAGACTTTCAGATTACCATCGCCAGTGATGCGCAACCTATTGCAGGTTCCACAGAAGTTGTGCGTCATGCTGGTGATAAACCCGACACGGCCCTCAAACCCAGGGACCATATAGGTCTTACTGGTATCATTTTTATGATCGACAACTTTTTCCAATGACGGATACTTTTCTCGAATCACCGCCAACATCTCTTCATATGGGAGCATCTTGCCCTTATTCCACTTATTTCCATCGAACGGCATATACTCGATGAACCGTACTTCAATAGGCTTCTCCCGACCGAGTTCGACAAAAGGGAGAATCTCGCGATCGTTCAGACCGCGCATCACAACGCAGTTGATCTTCAGCTTAATTCCAGCACCAGTTTTATTCATTTCCAGAATCCGATCAATACTTTTCATCACAGCCTCAAAGCCCTTGCGTCGTGTCATGATCTGGAACTGAAAGGGATCAAGCGTGTCGAGACTCAGGTTCACGCCTGTGAGACCAGCTTCGACCATCGGGTCTAGCTTGCGATATAGAGAAATGCCGTTGGTGGTCAGACAAAGTTCTCGGAGCCCGTTCTCACGCAGCTGGCCGATCCTCTGCATCAGAGGAACAATGTCTTTCCGCACCGTTGGCTCGCCGCCCGTCAGGCGAATCTTTGTGACGCCCTGGGAGACGAATAAGGATGATAGATAGACGATTTCCGGCGACGTCAATAGTCGGGCTGGGGGTGACAGCTCCACACCCTCTTCAGGCATACAATATAGGCATCGAAGGTTGCATCGTTCGGTGACACTGATTCGCAGATAATCATGTTGACGGTTGAAGGTATCGGTGAGGAAGTGGGAGAATGGCTTCGCAGTCTTCAGAGCTGTGAGTCTAGGGGCGTGCGGGGAGGTCTCGGTCGGTGTGGAGGAGACAGAGCTCGTGCTTTGCCACCGAGTGGTGAACAACCCACGAGGGGGGTGAGATAAAGCTCGCCGATACAGCATAGCTACTAGTAGGTATAATTCAAAAAAGAGTCATATTGGGGCGAAATAGATATGATCTCAATGACAAGGCGTTCTAGCTTATCGGGTGGACATGCTGTTATCGGGTGGGGAAGCTTAGTAATACATCTTTTCGGTAGGCTCCGTAGACATTTCGCGGTCAAGTCATGCAGTTTCGCCCGCTCAGCAAAGGCTCTTATTGTCTAGTGCGTTGGAAGTTCACCCAATCTGAATGTATAGTAAGACTGTCCAATGATGCACCGATCTTGGTTCCACACTTCATATCCCTCAAGATCATGCCCAACCCCGAGTGTCATGTATAAGGGTAACACATGTTCCACCGTCGGATGGGCATCAACCCAGTCGCCACGAGTTTGCAGGTCCAGAAACCTAGCGGTTCTTTCTTGTGGGGTAGGTGCGTCGAGCGCGTCCTTGGCTGCTGCTTCCATGCGGAGAGCAATGCTCGTATCGCTGGTTCCCGCTCGAGTAGCAGGGAGGTTATGACATAGCATACCAGAGCCTATAAGGAGAATCCGACCACCACTGATGGCTGTTAGCACTTCTTCCGTGTGAAGGACAATTAGTTCATACAGAGTTGAAAGAGCCTTTCCAAGTTCAACATGAGCGTTGAGATCGTCGCCTGCATATGTTGAGATTTGTAAAATCGGAACATCCAACTCGTCTCCTTCGGGGAACATGAGCTTGAAGGGAACCCATCTGTGCAGAGTTAGCCTGTGTGAATCAGCTAAACGGTAGTATACTGACACTCCATGGTCTAAATCCCGCTCAGTACTCTCAACCTTCACGCCCTGACTCTGCAGATGTTGAAACACCTTCTCAGCCAGCGCGCGGGAGGATTTATGAGCATATTCATACTCAAAGACATGTGGAAAGGTCTTTTTCCACGAAGGGCCAAGATCATGCCACACCTTAGTTGGCTCTTTGAAGTTGACTAAATAATCGATTAATCGGTGTTACCGGCTGGATCCACAGATATAATCTACCTTGGATGGCGTCACTTTCACCTTCAAACTCGCCACAGGTGAGAACAATTGCTTCCGGTTTCAGAGCTTTGATCTCCTTTCCTAGTTCACGCAAGCCTTGTCGGACGGCTTCATGCTCAGGCTTGAACATAATACTTACGCCGCCTGAGACGAAACAGTCAGCAGTTTGATATTGGCATGAATCGGCGGGCTTAATCTATGTCTCACCATGACCAATAAAATAGGTCGGCAGTCGCGTATTCGAGGTAAGACTCATGATGGCTTCAGTGTTGTTTGCGTATTAGCCCGCAACATCAGATGTTGGGAATGCATCTACCACGGGTGTAGATTCGTTATGTATTTAAATCGAGGCCGCTTAAAAACAAATCCGGCCCGCACGGAGTCCGTGGTTTACCCAAACAAGGGTTGTAATGCGCCTGTGGACACTGAATTTTTGGAAATTTGAGTCCTGATAATCTCATTGGAAGGACTTAAAGGTCGTAGTTTATCAAAATTTCAGTGTTTATCGTTTGCCCCTTATGACAGGCGTATTCGTATTGGAGTCGAGATGCTTACTCAGCTCAACTCAAAGGGATCTTTGATACTTCAATATAACATTTGTATTCAGATGCCGAAAATAAGCACTTGAGCCCTGGAATGTATGGATGCCTAGAATAGATGTGGAGAGTCTAGATGAATTGCGTACTAAATATGTGTTGTTTTACTCAGGGGAAGTTTCCATTCCGACCGAGTCCCCACCCGAAATGGAAATCAAAATTGCATTTATGCTCTAGAATTTAGCTACATAATAGATGTAAAACCGATAATATAGCTGCGATAATATCAACTACTTCATGCTCAAAATCTGATGTTCAAAGTCACGATTTGGCTCATTCCATCAATCATAGTTATCAGACCCACATTTCAAAGGGAAAAACTCTTCTCACCCCTGACCACGCGTTTGCTGCAGTATACTGCTAGGGGGGAAGCCTAGCCTCCGAATCTATTTTCATCCGTTCCAACAGAAGGTTGTTAAATTGACATCCTAATCCATCAGTGGTACAGAGCTCATCTTTAGTACGTTCCATCTCCAATAAACAAACAACCTTGGAACGAACATGTGCTAAAGCCACCTAGCTACCATGGATCCTTCAACCTATACCGATCCCCAGTTGACCCTACAGGATCGACTAGTGATCGATGCCCTGATCAATGAGCCTGCCTCAATAAGTGAGTTACCCAACCCCGCCCTGTAACACAGTCCCGCTCACAGTAAAAAGGTGAAGCAACATCATCGCATCAGCAATTATCACAGAAGCTCTATGATATGAACGATGTTTCTCATCCAACGTTTGATCCAACCATCTTCCAATTCTGGGATAATTCATTATTACGCGACAAGCTTCCAGCTCCCATCCAGCGCTATGTCCTGCAGCCATATCTCAAATGGGCCCAGGGTGTCGTGCGCTTCCCGACTGACGTCGTGATGCTTACACATCTGATCCTGTACTTCACAACTTTAGTCCCCAGCGCTATCTATCTGTATTGTCATTTTTCCTGGTGGCATGGTGTTCTCCACTGGGCCATGCAGTTATTCTACTGCGGTGCCTTCACTTTAATGAAACACCAACATATCCATATGGGCGGTGTTCTCGCACCTCAATACTGGATCTTCGACAATCTCTTCCCTTACCTGCTTGATCCGATGCTCGGGCATACGTGGAACTCCTACTTCTACCACCACATCAAGCATCACCATGTCGAAGGCAACGGGGCCCAAGACCTGAGTACCACAATGTTCTATGATAGGGACAGCGTCGCTGACTTTGCATGCTACGTTGGCCGGTTCTTCTTCCTCATCTGGGCCGAGCTTCCGCGCTACTTCTGGTCCAAGGGACAGAAGAAGTATGCGTGCAAAGTGGCTTTCTGGGAACTGAGCAACTACCTCGCCATCTACCTGCTCTATAACTACGTCAACGCCCGCGCGACTATGTTCGTGCTCATCCTCCCGCTGACGGTTATGCGTATCGGCCTGATGGTCGGAAACTGGGGCCAACATGCCTTTGTGGACCCTAGTGATCCAGACTCGGATTACCTCTCAAGTGTCACGCTGATTGATGTGCCGGTGAGTTTGATGGGACACTGGCTGTACTTTGGTCGAGATAACTAACAAGAATAGAGTAATCGTTTTTCCTTCAACGATGGCTATCACACTTCGCATCACCTGAACCCTCGTCGTCACTGGAGAGATCATCCCGCCGCGTTTATCAAGCAGAAGGATCGTTATGCTGAAGAACGGGCTTTGGTGTTCCGGAACGTGGATTATATCTTCATTACGGTCAATCTGCTGCGCAAGAACTATCTTCACCTGGCGAAATGCCTTATTCCGATCGGAGATCAAGTCAATATGACCCTTGAGGAACGAGCAGAAATGCTGCGGACTCGGACCCGCCGGTTCCGTCCTGACTCCAAGAAGAATTGTTGAACTTCTGTTAAAGGGCTTGGGAGTTGATGGGAATGGAACTTAGGATCAAAACAGCGGAAGCAGGGAACGGCTCGAATGCTGTGGGTGGAGACGGAGCTGGACTGATTCGTTATTGTATGGTTTCTGGGGGTCATGGTGCTTAGCGTTGCATATTTCTCATACTAACATCAGACATAAATGTGAAGGCTGCTGAAAGTAGCTACAATATGATTTATTTCTCACACCTGAATTCTCTAGAGAAATTGGACGCTGTCGGGTATAGGTGTAGGATTGAATGCAAATTGACGCGATGCTATGTCCAAAAGTATCAACGAACGTAAATAGATCTCATGAAATGCACCAGGGAGATAGGAAAAAGCAAGTAAATCAAAATTGAGGAGCCAGGTTCTACTTTAAATGGTAGGCTCTGCCTCTAGAACTTCCGCATGCTCCTCTTCCTGATATGGTGGGGGGGCAATCTCGCCTTCGTTTTCCGTCCACACTTTGGATAGCTCTTTCTCAATCTCTTCACGACGTTGTTTCAATTCATCGACCTTGTCGAGACGCTTGCGCAGCTCTTGCAGCTCCTTCTCAACGCCAAGTTTCTCCTTCTCCGTGCCAATTCTCTCAAACTCCCAGTGCTCACCTCCCTCTCCGAGACCAAGTCTGAGGTTGAAAGTGTGGTATTTCTTCAAAGAAGCCCGGGTGGAGATAGTAATGAGAGTGATGCCGCGCTCCTTGGCACGCTCATACAGGAGGCCTTCCACATCCGAAGAGACTGCCGATGTTCCCTCATCGAGGAAGGCATATCGTGGCTCATGGTAGAAGAGCCGGGCCATCCCCATACGTTGCTTCTCTCCACCACTCAGAACATCTTTCCACTCCTTGCGAGCATCCCATCCTCCTTCACGCGCTGGCAGGTAGCCTAAATGCGCGGCATCCAGAATTTTCTGCAAGTTTGCATCGGTCTCGCCGGCCTCTCGCATATCGATTTCTGTGTGAGGGTAGAGAACCTGATCACGTAGAGTACCAACGCTCAGATAGGGTCGCTGGGGGAGAAACATGATACCATCTAGACCGAATCCACGCGGACGGCTGACGAGTCCGCGGTACACAGGCCACAGGCCGGCTACTATGCGGGGGATTGCAGATTTGCCCACACCATTAGATCCAGATATGAGAAGGTGATCACCGGAGTGAACGATGAATGACAGGGAGTCGATTAGCTCATCACCACCCATAGGATAAAGAGACGGAGCCACGATGGGAACCTGTTCTAGACGAACTCCATCGAAACCATTGTGTGTTGTGCCTTGCGCATCTGCGAGAGAATAGAGCTCCGAGTATGATCCTCGAGGTGGGTAGTAAGCGCTTGCGTGGACCCGATGCAGGGTAGAAATAAGGGTGTAGACACGCGAAGTGTAGCCTGCAAGCTCGGAGATATCCTTAATACTGTACATCATGCGACCGCCTGCGTCCGCCAAGGATAGCATAAGACGTTTGTTGGTGATAAACTCTTTCATGCGACTCCGTTCACGACCCTTGCCCTCCGGTGTGTCAATCATCTCCATGGCACCACCCGAACCGCCCCAGGCGGGAAGGAAGATAGGTAGAGAGGTGATTAGATAGCCAAATGCTGACCATGAGTATTTCAAAATGATGTCTTCCAACATATTGTATCGAATCTTCAGGCTGTAAATGCCTTCCATCCAGCGCTGCAGATCTTTGAAGCTCTTGACCAAAAAGACTCGCTCGATATCGGCACCGCCATAGAACGAGATTTCCTCAGCATTAGCCAGAAGTCGAGAATGTAAGCCGCGGAAATCACCCTCCTTTTTGCCCTCAACAGCCTTGAGCTTGCCAAACGGCGGAGATAACTTGCGAAGTACCACAGCGGTGCTGAAGTATCCAGCGAGAATTCCACTCAGAGCCAGTGGGCCAAGGGATTGGTATAGTTGGTAATTGAACACGAAGAGATCCACCATAGGCTTGCCCATCGAGGAGTACAGAGAAGCAGCAGCAGAGCAGAAAAGTGTGAGATCTTGTGTGATGAACTGATCGGGACCCTGCCCAATACCTCCATCCAGGTTCATCAACTTGTAGTAATTGTCATTATCGGTCAGATAGAGGTCGTGAATGTATCTCGTAAGGCGGGTCCGGAAGGCGATCGACACCTTGGACTGGAGAAATTTGATCATGGCATTGGTATACGAGGCCAGGGTACCGATGCCTAACCATTTGAAAATACCCCACATGAACGGTCGACCTTTACCAGCAACCAGATCTCTAACGATTTCACCGTCTAATCGTGCAATCAAAAGAGAGAGATATGTTCTCAGAAGAAGAAATAGGCCATGGCCCATAAGCAACCCCGTCTCCTTGCTTCCCCACCGAGGGACCATGATGCTCCCCAGGCTGAGAAACTGGTGCAGGAATGCCAAGTTCAATCCCGGCTTTGTTGTAGGAGGTGGGATCTGGCTCGTCGAGCCCTCAATGCTCCGAGCCGACGCTGGAGGATTCAAGAAAAGTCGCCGATGGGCATCGAAGGTGGTCAGCTTGGTGGGATGGATTATCACCTTGGAGGTACGTGAGCCCTTATAAGGCACATAGATGGTACGAGATCCATCCTTGCCACGTATCCCCGAGTTGCGGCGCAATAGCCGGCGACCTTGAGCGCGTTCCCTTGCGCGCTCTCTCAGCCACTTGTATCCTCCATATCCCGAACTGACAATAGACAAAAGGAGAGCGACCGTTGCGATCAAACGGGTGGTTCGTGTGGTACGACGGACTCGAGAACGAAGGAGTTCGGAATAGTGTAAGTAAAGGGCTAGGAGGGGGTCCTCCGGGCGGCGGAGGGTTGACTGGATGGCCATTTTGAAGCCTGATCGGCTTATAGTGCAGTGCTGTAGGCCATAGGTCAAGAAGAAAGAGCCCAGTGCAGACTATGTTCAAATGTTGGTTTGAGGCGGAGGAGGAGAAGCAAAGTTGACCTACATCATTTGCATGTGAACCTCGGGCGGAGATGGAGCACGTGCCCGGGGAAGCTCCTGTGGGGAGATACTTGTGGGGTACTTTGCTACGGCTGGGCGATCACATTGATACCAATGTATCATCTAAGTACATCACTCTGTATTCATATGGTAGAGATCATAGGAGTCATTAGGTATTCAATAATTACTTGTCCGTGTTTTAAATACTGGAGATCAATGTTGGAGCAAGTCACCCGCGTGTATTTATTCTGTCCTTAATATGGATATACCCCGGACTTCCGGTGTATGACTTCCGGCAGGGGTTTGGTGATTGGATTTTAGCTCCTCACCACAAGTTACAAATAAAAACTTTCAAGCCTGTTCAGAGGCTAAATGGGCTAAAACATTCGTTTTCTTAGACTCATTCCACGACCACTTCATCAGTCTAGCGAGAGCCGTGGCGACAACCGCCATGGACCCACCTGCGGCTAACAAGCCGATATCCGTTGCGAAAAGCCAGCAGATGGCTATATAATTGAGTGAGCGCGGCCCAAATGATAAGAAAAGAACTTTGTGCGCTCGCAGTTTGAAATGCCTCAAAGAAATATTCTATTGATGATCGCCGATGATCTCGGCAAGCAACTGGGCTGCTACGGAAACAGCAAGATCCAAACGCCGCATCTAGATCAGTTGGCTGCAGAAGGCACTAGATTTGATCAAGCTTTTACAAGTACTGCATCGTGCAGTGCTAGTCGGTCGGTCATCTATACTGGCCTCCATACTCATCAAAATGGACAATATGGACTCCATAATGGGCGCCATCATTTCACCACGCACGACCATGTGGAAACTGCTCCTGCATTGTTCTCTCAACACGGATACACCACTGGGCTCATTGGCAAGGTGCATGTTGGGCCATCTTGCGTGTATCCTTGGGATATGAAAGCCGAGAGTGACAGTCGTGACGTTGCCTCTGTCGCCGATCAAGCTACTACATTCTTTGAGAGCTCCAAGTCAACTGAAAAGCCCTTTTTCTTGACTATCGGATTTATCGATCCGCACCGTGATCTCTCACGCTCGGGATTCGGTAATGATGGCGAATATGATCCTCGAGTGAAGAATATTGACTACAAGCCGGAAGACGTCGAGATCCCGCCCTTCATTAATGACCTACCTAAAGTTCGATGTGAATTTGCAGAATACTACAAGTCCATTTCTCGACTCGACCAAGGTATCGGCATGGTCTTGGAAGGGCTGAAAAAAACCGGCCTAAGTGACGATACACTCATTCTCTTCGTGAGCGACAACGGCCCCCCATTCATCAACTCCAAAACGACTCTATACGACGCCGGAGTCTGCCTACCCATGATAATGAAGTGCCCCGGATCCTCCGCTGGTGTAGCAAACCCCAACCTCATATCCTATGTCGACATTCTGCCTACACTTCTTGACTGGGCCCAGCACCCGAATCCCTCGCATCCAACCCGTCTCGGGCGTTCATTTCTTCCCATCCTGGCAGAGCAATCCCAACTCGAGACATGGAGCGAAGTATTCGGCTCACACACATTCCATGAAATAACAAACTACTGGCCTACCCGATTCATGCGTAATCGCCGCTACAAATACCACCGCAACATCGCCTGGAGACTGGATTTTCCTTTCGCGGCTGATATTTACGGCTCGTTGACTTGGGAGGAGATCCGCAACTCCGACGCAAGTCCGAAGATGATCGGTCCTCGTCCACTCAAAGATTACTTTTTCCGCCCGGCGGAGGAGCTGTATGATATTCAGGCCGATGCGGATGAAGTACGTAATCTTGCGAAGGATCCGGAGTACGCTCATGTTCTGGAGGAAATGCGCATTGCCATAGAGAAATGGCAGGGTCTGAGTGAGGATGCTTGGCTCTATCGTGATGGAGTCTCTATGCTTTTGGTTCGGCACCATATTGATGCTGGCTTGGAGGTTCCTGATCGTTGGGATTTTGATACTGATGTGCCGGAGAGCAAAGGTCAGCCCAAATTCGCTTCTAACTTTGCTTGGGGGGCTTAGATGTTCAATTGATAGACCTTCAAATCTATATTGTTTATGGAAGCTTCGGTGCAAGTTGAAATTGTACTTAATTCAAGAGGTGCCTTAACAAACCCTCCGAGTGTCCACCAAAACCTCCGGAGAAATGTCATTTTCAATGGTGAATGTGAAGTGCGATGCTTCATCTAAATATATTTGTCTATTTTAGCTCTATAGGACTATATGGTTATGGCTTACTACTGCCATATGGCTTGCTCTGGTCTTCACTGCGTTGATAGCTCCCCTGCATCGCAATGTCAAAGACCTGCTCGAGGCGCGAAATGGCCTCGTCGGAAACCTCTGTGACAAGTCAGAATATTGACATGGTGTATTGAGATTATGAAAGCAACTTACGGTAGTGAACCACCACTCGTCCTCCAGATAACTTTAACCCTTTCTCCTTACCGATCACAGCAAGATCATTGGGGCCCACCCCAGAGGCCTCCAGATCAAGCCATACCATGTTAGTGTGCACAGGGAACTCCAGCTTACCTCCACGGCTGGTCCACAGATCCGCAATATGCTTCGCTTTAATATGAGTCGCCAGAAGGTGGCCCGTCTTGCCCTGAGGGTCGGTTCCAAAAGTCTCGTCCAGGGCTATCCTAGCTGCAGACGCAAACACACCCGTTTGACGGGCACCGCCACCAATAGACTTGCGGAACCAGCGAGCCTTCTTGATGAATGCCGCAGAACCCACAAGAATGCTTCCGACCGGTGCGCCCAGGCCCTTGGAAAAGCACAGGCTAACGCTATCAAACAGACTCGTGTAGTCGGACAGACTACCAGCGCCAGAGACAACAGCTTCCCACAGTCTCGCACCATCCAAGTGTACCTTGATATCATTAGCATGTGCCCATTCGACGATCCGACGAGCCTCAGCCAACGGCATAACCATCCCGTTGAGTGTATTCTCCAAGCTGATCAATTTGGTGGGACAGTGGTGGATGTCGTCGTCGAGCACAGCATGCTTCTGGATATCCTCCAGAGTCAGGTGAATACCGTTTTTCGGCACCACGGTCTGCACCGTGGCTCCGGTCCAAGCGCTGACACCACCAGCCTCGTAACAGATTATGTGAGCTCGATGATCGCACAGGACAGAATACGGGGGCTGGGCTAGATGCGAGCGGATAGCGACCTGGTTTCCCATAGTCCCCGAAAGGACTAGCAGCGAATCCTCGTGATGTGTTCTTTGAGCAACGTAGCTCTGGAGGTCGTTGGTGGTCGGGTCCTCGCCGAAGACATCGTCCAGGAGGGTGGTTTCGCAGATCGCGTTGAGCATAGATGGCGTGGGCTTGGTCATTGTATCACCTGGAGAAGAAATGGTCAGCTCCTAAAATTGAATTTCTGAATTGAGGTAAAAGTGTCAAAGTACTCCTGAGATCGAATTCCGCGGCGCCGGCGCCGTGCCAGCTGGTCTGACCGCTGGATGGGGTAGATAAATGAGCCATGGCGACCTTGTGTCCAATTGATGCAGATTGAACTGGCAGAGAAGGTCGAAAAGTCCCAACAGAGCGAGTGAAGGTGCGGAGGAGTCGACTCATGTCCTTATCTGCGCGAGAGTTGACTTGGATGCGCAGAAACGCGGGGAAATAAAAATTGTCACATGATGTACGAGCGGGGAACAGAAGCGGTTAGCCGCGCTATCTTTCCTATCCCATCTTAGGCCTATCTCAGATGATCTCAGATACGATATGCGCAGGGAATGGTATATCTATACATAGTATAAACCACTGTAGTACAACAACCTAAAGGATTTAGGGGATAACTCATAAAGACTGACAGTTTACAATCAATCTAAGACCGGCCCAGAGGGCTTTATTTTACATATCCTTTTTTACTACATTTTCAATCTTCAGAATCCAGAAGGCTTCCGCCTAATACAGCCCGGACTATCCTTATTTTCTTCTAGGAAGCTATAGGCTGGACTATTCTTACAACTTATAATCCTCTACTGATACTTCATTTAACACTTATTAAATTTCCGAAAGACTTTTGCTTCTCTTCTATGTATATACATATTAAGGGCTTCCCCTCTCCACCTTTAACTGCCGCGTTATTTTTCCGATGCTCTATTGCAACAAAGCAAAGAGAGCAACCATAGCTCCAAGAGTAGCACCCAAGCTTGGTCCAGTACCGGCACCGGCACCAGAGTCAGTGGCAGTCGCGCTGGTAGAGGAGCTAGTGCTGCTTGAAGTGCTGTTGGATGATTTGCGACTGACGGTCACATTAGTGTTATAGCCGCTGGTTTCATCCCAAGGGTAGGGAGATGTGTAATTATGGGTCGCACTCATGCCACTGTATGTCTTCTTCACCACGTCGAGCACACCGTGACCAGCTGAGCACTTGGCGTCAGTGTTGGGAACAGGCCAGGTCCATGAGGAGCCTGCCACTTTCTTCAGAGTAGACGAAATATCAAAGTACTCATCCAACTCTCCGGTGGTCAATGGGCCAGCGTAGGTCTCGTTCAGATACAGATTGGTCAGATCAACATCATAGTTGATATAGCCGGTCTTGTTAGCCACAAGCTCGAAGATATTAGCACCGCAATCCCAGCGACCCAGGGATGGAAGGCCCCAATTAGCAGATACGGATGCGATGCTCGAGTAGTGTGTGTAGAACGTATCGTCCTTGGTGCCTTTCAAGTTATCCGGAATAGCCCCACCAAGCAAGATGCTATAAACCCGATTGCCCTGATCGTACGAGTATTTTTTGCCACTTACAATAGCACCATCTTCGTCAAAAGTGAGAAGGACAAGGGTGTTGTTCATGAAGTACTCGTTCTTCAGCAAAGAGGACATCCAGTTGCGCTCCCACTTAGCACCGAAGGTAATATTTGTATCGTGGGCATCATTCGTAATGTTCGGGGTGATGAAAGCCCACTGAGGAAGCTTTTTGTTTGCAAGATCTTCTTCAAAGTTGGTGAAGTTCTTGATCTGACGAGCACGCGTCTCATTTTTGACCACAGAATCGTAGAGAACCAGAGGGTTGTGCCTGCGCACATAGTCGTCCTCAAATGTCTCTTGATTAGAATAATTGAAGCCTTGGAAGCCAGGGTACGGCATATGCTCCTGGTATTCAGCCCATGAGATACCCTTGGTATCCAACAGATCTGGGACAGCAGAAACGTTTTCAGGGACCTGGAAAAAATCGTCCCAATCCATCCCAAAAGTATCACCACCACCTGCAGCACAGTAATTGGGCTCCGATGGGTGAGTAACGCCATGGTAGTTGGTCCTTTTTGGGTCAGCATTGGTTCTACAGACTTTGCATGGTATCTTGGCTTACAGCAAGATTCCCTGGGAGGCAAGCCATTGCATGTTGGTATCAGCCGCTGAATCGGCATACCCCTATCGCTTGGTTGTTAGTATAGTCTCCCTTCTGATTCTCTATCAGGAACTTCACGTACCACATTCTCCATCCAAACCTGGTAGAAGCGATCAAAGGCAACACCTTTGACGTTCGAAACGGGAGATTCAGGCAAGGTTGTTGCCATCGCAGCCTTAATCTGGCTGAGCGATGGTTCGGAGGTGGTCGCTACTAGAGCGCGGGCCATAGCCGCCATTGACAACAGAGCCGCCACGGTCTTCATGTTGGCGTGAGTCGATAGTCGCACTCAAATTGAACTTCAAGTGAATGACGTATAATGCAGATTATACCGCTGCAATTTTGTTAGTATAACCACACTCGAAATCAGCCAGTGAGTTGCGGCCGCTCCGACTCTTATTTATGCTGAGAGTAAACAAGGCAAGACCGCATCTTGAGTACATCGCTTAGACAGAGATGTGGAGCTATGGGATGAGCGAGTCTTGGCCAAAGAGGTCGACCGTCACAGAAACTATATTTTCCACAAATTTCCAAAATCAGTCATAAAGTTGTAACCATTCATGGGTTCTACTCGCGTTTAGCATCGGCTCTAACCGCTCAGTGTGCGCCTTTTGATGACCGCATTTGTCAGGTCCTTCCATATAACTTCGAGAGCCAAATGATCAAACACGTGTACGGCACTTGGGCGCGCTAACAATTAGTAAATCAACCGTTGTGCAGGGTTGGGTCTCTTGGCGACTGGAGCCGGAGTAAATCATAGCCAATCAGTATCGCTGTAACCGAACCGTGCTGCATCGTCGAGCATCGGAACTCGCGAGACATAATCCAGATTCTACGCTACCGAAAAGGCTCATCTAGGGGATAATTAAGCGAAATACTGTAGGACGTACGGGATCGATCACACGAGAGCTTGGATGAAAGAACTGGTGACGGCAGAGAGGATTTTGTGCACGCCCATCGGATATTGTCGGCTACTGGGACGCCTCCGGACGCGAAGGTCATCTGGGGGCTGCCATTGTCGCGCTCAACGACCATGAAAAAGTGATAGAATCACAACGAAACCATTCATGTGGGGCCGATAAGTGCCGCCGCGGGGGGGGGGGGACCAGGGACGGAAATTCGTGCGATCAGGGTCCAAAATAATTCGCCAGTTGATCACATACGGACTTCGTCCCGATTTCGCTCCAGTAGGAAGTCATAGACGTTAAATATCACAGACGAAAGGGAATTACTGATGACCAAGATGAACAGTCACTTACTAGAGTAAAATGTTGCAGAATGCTTACTGAGGTCCGTGGCTAATCTGGACTATTCGACTGTACATGTAAAAACGGTCGCCCGAGGCCAAAAGTATATTTTCTCCTCACTTTCGAATAATTATTTGAATCAAATCATGAGTCAGACAATTTTAGGTGCACTCAGTATTGGCAGTTGTTGGGTAACAAAAATTTCCAACGTCCTCAACTCCGTACACAAGAAATCCCCCCAAATCGACTACCTGATTTTTTACAGTCGTCCAGTCAAGCACTGGCAGCGGGTCGATCGTCAACGAGGAACCACCCGGAGCAACACCCACAATGGCTAACATACCCTCATGACCCAAGGCTTTGATGGATGACTGAAGCAGAGGGACACCGCCTGTGGTATCAATGATATAATCTACCCCATCGGGAAACATCTCTTGCAGACCCTGCGCAAGATCTGGTACACCTTTCGTGTTCAAAGTGTGGGACGCGCCAAGTGAGCTGGCTAATTCGAGCTTCGAATCAACAATATCCACCGCTACAACGCTCTCAACGCCCTGAGATCATGCAGCCATCAACGCAGATAACCCGACAGCTCCCATTCCTAGCACGACAAACCGAGACGACGGCCTCGGCTTAAGAACATTCAAAACCGTGCCAGCTCCGGTAAGATATCCACACCCGTAGGGGGCAAGAACAGCTACGTCTGCATCGGTGAATCCAGAGGGAGACAAAATTTTGACGAATGAACTCTCTGGGACGATGGCTAGCTTGCTCAGGGACGACTGGCCGAAGAATTGACCTCGGATGGGCTGACCCGTGGTCGATGAGATGGGTGAATCCGCTGCCGACATGCCTCTGACACCGCCGAAGTTGATTGGCATGAACTGTCGACAGAAATCATTGCGTCCTTCGTTGCACTGGATTTAATTGTTGCAAGTCGAGAAGCTTAAACAGACGTGGTCACCTTCCCCGAGGGTTTTATCTTTTACTGCGCTGCCAACCCGTCGGACAATTCCCGCTCCTTCATGGCTCAGCACTGCTGGATATTCGCCAATTGGAATGACACCTTGTTGAACCACAAGGTCCTGTCCCCTTGAGTCAGAAATTATGCTGGATCTACGTGAGGTAGGAGCTGTGAGCTTACAGTGTGGCACAGGCCTGTATACTTCATCTCGATCAAGACTTCGTGTGGCCGGACTTCGTCCAGAACCACATCTTGCAGAACATATGGGGACCCTGGAGAATCGATTACAAATGCCTTTGTGGGGATCTGCTTTTCAGGTATCATGGTGGGGTGCTTGAAGTTCGTCGATTGTACTAATGTCTTTCATGAAATCTTTGATCTAGGAAATTCCAGATCAATTGAATTGACAAATGGATTATAGTGAAATATCGAGTCCAAGAAAATTTGGTAGTAAGATATCTTTTTGAAGCACGAGCAAAAGATCAAGATCTAGTTATCCACACTGAATCTTTGATCGATATTTGCGGGTCCCTCCCCGCAGAACCGATCAAATCGGTCTGTTTCCCCGCAAATGGCATTCTCGGGAGGGAAGATCGGTACATCAAGGAGGTACATCCAAGGATGAAAACACGCGGAAGCTGCCGCTACATAATCCCGCGCTATTTGATCCGCTAGGCCGAGCGTCAAACATATCTTATTAAACTTTGACTGAGCTTTGAGATTGCTATCTCAGTTTGCAAAATCAGGGATCCGACTGCCGATTGCTGTACCGGTCTATGTGACTTGACGGTCTTCGTACACAGTGAGGCCAATACTATGAAAGCAAATGCCTGGTCAAGCGGGGTAGGGGAGAAAGAAGCACTAACACAAGATTGACCTTAGACCAGGCCCTTCGATGTCCACAGCACTCTTCACGACAGAATGTGGCCGAGCATATATAAAATTCAGATAAACCGACCACGATACAAGGGAAAGAAAGAAAAAACAAAAATGCACTTTTATGTATCCTAACCCAGGTATAGTACAAGATTGCTCTGGAAAGGGTTTACTCTAGGAGCGTATTGTGCATCTAGCCATAACGCCCAGACCACCCAGAAAAGCAGAAACACCCGTAAAGACAATCAAAGGCCCATAACCAGTACCGTATGCCTTCCCAGCAACGCCCTCCCAAGAACGCTGATCAAGCAAAGCCCCACTCAACGGTCCACTGACAATATTACCAATACCCCTTCCAGTCGAGAGAAGTCCAAGGATAAGACTAGGGTCAGTGTAGATGCTCTTCTTCTTCACCTCATTCACGACCGCTGGCCAGGTAGAAGTGAACGAGCCAGCAAACAGCCCGTAAAAGATGCAGAAAATGTACAGTGGCGCCAGGCTATCAGCCAAGCCCCATATCAAAAATACGGCAATAGTACTGCCAACAGTCGAAGCCAAAATGCACGTTGTAGCGTGGTACCGATCAACCAACGAGCCCATAATGACGCACCCAAAGACGGATGCAAGGTTGAAGACCATGACGGTCAAAGTAGATTCGATACCGCTGGCTCCCAGACTCTTGGCGTAAGTGGGAAGATAAATAGTGGGAAGGAAATAGCCCATTGCCTCCATGATATTTCCAGATTCGTAAATTAGGAATGTCGAGTCCAACAGGAAGCGGAAGTCCAGTGGCTTGGTGTGCGACGCACGAGAGATTGGAAGTCGTGGTCGAAGAAATGTGAGAAGCGGACCACCAATAAGTAGGAGAATGATGGACCAGGCGCGCAGTGCCGTTTTGTGACCGAATGTATCTAGCATCCACTGCAGGACAATGGGGAGAATGACACCCGAAAGACCGGTACCAGCCTTTATGGAATTAGTATTTCGATTTGCATGGTAGATCCGGTGATGAATTTACTTACCCACATAATTCCGAATGCGAGTCCCTTTCGGCGCACGAACCATTCGTCCATGAATATGATTGTCGGTGCATATGCGAGACTAGCACCAATGCCATATGCAACACCCTGAGACACAATGAGATGGGTAGTGTTTGTTGCAAAAGAGCTCAAGGAAAGCGCAAGGCACATAATGATAAACCCAACTGGGGCAGCCCACAACTTGAGACGGGGCATCACTTGCAACAGGATGAATGCCACAGGGAGCAACATATAGGAGATACCCTGGTGTAAGTCAGCAAAGATAGATCCAATAATATCACATTTATCAACAAACCATTGCACAAGTCCCGACAATGGCAATGTCACCAGAGCTCTTGAACGGTTCATGAGTGGAGTAGTAATCCTGGAAAATTCCAAAAGAAAAGGTGAAACCTATAGATATATTAGAATGTTTCCCAAGTTTCAAAATTGATCACCATACCCCAAATTAAAGCTTCAATGACAAAGCATGCTGCGAGGAAAAGCCATGCTCTTTTACCTCTATCAACCGGTGGCAAGTTAGCTTCGTGATGCTCCGAGAGGGCTTCTTGGGAGGAGGTTTCGAAAGTCTCCATTCTCGAAATGGACTTTTGATCAAATCGAGAGAATCAAAAGTACTAAAGATCTTACAGGATCGGAAAAAAAAAACTTAAAGAAAAAACCCAATCCACTGCACGCCCTGTCTTGACAACGGTGGGGCTCAGCGGATCCCGGTTGCGGCGGTTTCTAGCGCCATGCAAAACCCAACTTTATGACTTCAAAGTTGCAGAATGTAGATCATATTGACTACATGACCAACTCTCAATTTGTACGGTGATTCTTGAATTTAAAGCCATTTTACAGCCATTTTCTGGCAAAATATAGATGGACTGGTTATTCACCGGTGCATTTGTGGCACGGATCAAGTATATGAGATTTACTAGAGCGGTTAGATACGGGAAGAAATGGGACCAATCAAATTGGCCCATTACTTGATAACAATTTCTAGGGTTTTCATATTGATTTCCAAATTCAAATCTTTGATATACTTATTCCAATGGGGTATCTGATTTTTTCTATATACACAATTCTCAGACTCCGATCGATATGCAAGATATGTCCAATCACTTCTCAGTCTCATTCAACGCAACTGTCACGGCATCCACCTCCCCATGCAGCCCATCCAACCCACTAAATCCCTCCTCAATGGCCCATTTCTGTCCATCGGGACTGTGCAAAACGTGGCAGCTAGCACCGACAACCAACAAACCGGGTGGTCGGGAACCGGCCGCTTCAAATGCTTGACAGATATTTTCTAATGTCGAGCGGACGACACGCTGGTCAGGACAAGATGCCCGCTCAACAATTGCACAGGGTGTCTCTTTGGGCCATAGTGCGCGTGACTGTGTTGAGCCGTCCACGGGGTATGTAGTTAGGGATTCGATGAGGGCGGATAGTCGGTGGAGAGCCATCAGGAAGACGACTGTCTGAGTAGGTACGTAGGCGGGAGGGTTTGGAGCAGCGCCCTTCCGACCGGTTCCTGTGCAGATCAAAACCTGGTCTGCTACGCCTCGGTGGGTTGCTGGGATATCTGCGAAGAGAGAAGCGCTCATGGCGCTGGTAATGCCGGGAAGGACAATGGGGGTGTAGCCCTCGGCGCGGAAGAACTCGAATTCTTCGGCTCCGCGACCGTATAGATATGGGTCTCCTTGCTTGAGTCGGAGGACTTGTTGTCCCTTTCGCAGGGAGGCAAGACCCATCTGCAAGAACTCTTCTTGAGCCTGGTCGGCATTTCCAGGGAACTTGCGGGCGATGTGAACTTCTGTCCTGCGTGGGATCATGTCCAGGACTGGGGCGGGAACGAGTTTGTCTGCAAGAATGATGTCGGCATTTTGAATGGCCTTATATGTGGCACGGGTGAGTAGATCCGGGTGGCCTGGACCTGAGCCGGCAAGGATAATTGTGCCCTTTCTGGAGACCACATTGGATTCAGGCGTCTCTTGTGTGGTGTTGCCCGATGAATAGGCTTGTAGGATTTGGTCAATGTCGCCATCAGTGATAGATACAAGTTTCCGAAGAGGCCAGTATTCACAGATTTGCGATAACCAGCGCGTTCGCCGTGTCTTTGCTGCTGCGACATCATCTTCTGTGACCAGCGTATTGAAAGTATGCTTCTGGCCAGTCGTATCGTCATCATCGCCTTCGAAGGCAGCATCGGTCAGTCCTGCGGCGTGGTCTTCTTCCCAAAGCCTGCATCGCATGGCACCAAGCCGGTCAATGGCAGACCCAAGGTTGGTTGGCAGAAAAGCAGCGATTTCTCTCCTCAAGCGAGACGCAAGTTTGCATCCACGACCAGAGGTTGTGATGCCAATGTGAAGTGGTCCATCTGAGTAAGTAGACAGTAAGGTGAACGAGCACAAAGAAGGAGCATCAGACACATTGACTGGGATTCGAAGCCTCCGGCAAAGCTTTGAAATATGGGTACCTGAAAAACATTAGTAGGGGTTTTTATCAGGGACGACTAGGACTTACTCAGTTCAAGGTTGCCACCCAACGTAACAAAGACCGCGTCTACAACCCGATCAACTTCCTCCCTTCCCAGGGTAGTCAAGTCATCATCCTGGAAATCACGACGTAATAGCTGGACCGCGCCATTGGCAACGTGCTCAGCCAGCGTAAAATGAATATCCGCAGTCTCCGGCGCAATAACGACTGGTTTAGCGCCGGCCTCAATACTCTTTGTGCACCTCGCGGCAGCTAACGGACTAGCTCCGATGATAAGATGAATCTGCGATTCAACATTCCATGCGGTCATGAAGGGTGTCGTAACACCAGAACCATTGATAATGTCCTTCATGGTGTCGTTGATAAAATGTGGGGTACCCCTCCACTGATGAAATTGAACGAGGTCCGCTGGACCTTAGTTTGTTGCACAACCAGCAGAATCAATATGTCGTCGAACAGTATATACCAGAGCCTTGCAGGTTCTTTTATACTGTCATGCGTTATCCTGCAGTACTTCCGCGGAGATTCACAAAAGTGTATTCCGGAATGAGTAAAAGGCCTGTCACGATTGGTGATAGGCTGATAAGATAATTCCGGGGGAATCAACGCCACCCAACAGAACACAATGGGTTTGATAGCAATACACAATGGTTCGAGGGTAGGTTCTGTTGGTGATCTGGATAACAAGATGGCGGCTTTCAATGACTCAAGTAGACTTTTGGTAAGAAAATAATATTAACTTCTTTTTTTCTCGCATACTTCTTTTGACCCAAAGTAGTTTAACGCGGGATTGCGTGATTGACCTGCATGGGATTAGGTAAGCAGGGGTAAATTGCCACCCCAATTGGGAGGGCGGAGTGGAGCTTTGAGGGATGGTAATGAACCATAAGTCTTGTTCAACCTTAATGATTCGGTATGTACTACACACTAGTACCTACTACCGAATACACGTTAATTTTCTTGCCCGGGTGGTTGAGACAGCACTTGAGGAAAGATTGAACTAGCTATGCATGAACTACATCTAGAGTCGTATATCGTAGATATTGTAAGTTTTGCTAGTTTCTTCTATTTGCACACCGTCTATGGCTGAGTTTGATTTAACTCTCTATCTTTGTCATATGGCTTCCATCCATATGAACCTTCCATCACAGGAATAGACAACAGGGCCTTCTTTACAATATATAGGCTGTTGTACGATTAGTATGAAGTGCATGGCGAGGCGGTCTCAAAAGCCAACACACCGCAGAGATCGCACAGATGATCTAAGAGCATACAAGGCTGACAGAGGCCGAGGTCAAGCCTCATGCGCACCCCCAGGATCATCCGGGCCACCCTCATCTTGATCATCGATATCTTCCCATTCCGCATCAATAGGATGGTTACCCTCGACCGAAAACATGTCAGGTGGATCATCATCTTCGTCGAACTCATCTTGAAGCATGTTGATTAATTCCAACAAACCAGCTTGCGAGCGCCAAAGGTCATCAGGATGAGGGTGCGGTTCATCGTCTCCCTCTGTGGACTGTTCGGGGGTGGAGCTGGATGGGGAGGCTGGATTACTGGCCAGGTGGGGGCTCAAGCTGATGATTCGGACGGCTTTGGTCGGGAAGATCCGGGCAGGACTTTCATGTTGTTGCCGGGAGACATCGCCGGGGATGTTAGAGAGTGTTTGTCGCCAGCCGAGAGTCTGGAGGTTCTATTATCAGCCATATCGTTTCTAATTTGGATGTCATGATTCAGGGATCGTATACGTACCGTGAAAGTAGTCATGATAGCATCGTCGCATAGTGTCATAAAACTGACAGGCACCGCAAGCTGTGGCGCGGAGCTAGTGAGTAGCGCGTACGAAGCTCGACAGGGAGGATCGCCCGTGGGAATCTTGTTACGATCGTCAAGGGCGACAACGTAGACACGGTCTTGGATTTCGAACATCACGCGGTGATTGCGCACCGATAACCAGCCACCCAAGTCAAAGCTGGAGCCGTCAGTCTCGCATTCAATGATTGAGGTGTTGGCTGTAAACCCATTTTCATCTTGAATGGCCTTGCGCCAGTCGGAGCAGATAAAGACTCGACCAGCACGAGAAAAGCCGACAAAGAGATCGCCGTCCAACATGCCCGCTCCCCATTCATCTTCCCCATGCCAGACATGCTCTGGATCACTAGGTGGTGGGGAGAGTGGGCCTGTGAGGATTTTAAGCGGAGTCAGACAATCTTTGCGAGGTGGCCCCGAAGGCAAGGCACGGTGGTTTGGACCGTGCCGGGCCCCAGCCAGCGCCGCACTTGCAGAACGGGAACTGGAAGGGGGAGGGCGGATATGATATTTGTTTGTAGTGCACGATGGATGCAAGGCACCCAAATAGTTACCAGATGCCTTGTCATAGATATGGTAGCCTCGGGCGCCTACAGAGTATATGACCACATCCTTGTTTTGATCCAAGTGGCCGACAGCGTTAGGTTCGATCTTCAAGTGTGTCACCAAATGTGGAGGCCGCTGTTTCATATCATACACAAAACCTTGTCCTTCATTCGATACCACACACAGCGTATCATATGATAATTGGAAGCCTCTAGTTTGGCATTCATGATTCAACACCGCGATGCGCCGGAACTCCCCACGCGGTGCATCATCTACGTCGGCCTGCCAAACCTCCACAGCATCACCTTCCCGATCAAAAACAGCCATCCCATCCTGGTACTCGAGGTGCGCATATGGACGGACTGCATTCCCACCCCGATCCAGTGTCGAAGGCAGGCGCCATAGGATGCAGCCGCTGTCCATATCTGTAACGTTCAACCCGCCACTATGAGACGTCGAAACAAAGAAACGACGCTTGAAATCAGGACGGAACCGCCAGACTGGGTCATTGCCGACCTGGAGTACCGTCTCCTGGGTGATTGGACAGGAATCAGCCCAGTTGCGGGCAAGTATTTTCTGGCGTTTGCATAAGTCCTTCCATGACGTGGTGCCCTCGAATGATTTGGAAAAGCTACCAGCGCTTGACAAGAACGAGAGATCACGGGTGGTGCCGGGTGGGTGGGAAGTCTTGGAATCGGAGCTGTAGATCGCTTCTCGATGGGTGACGTCGATAAACTCGTGCCAGGCGGTGGAAGTCGCAGTGAGGGACGCGAGGGTGGAAACCGGGGTGAAGTCCAGGATACGCAGGACAATCTCCGGGGGAAAAATAGCTAGGGGATCTTCCACTGCCGAAGTGACGGTCATATTTAGGGCAGGGGCTTCGAAGTTGTGGAAGGAAATTGAATTGGTCCACTGAGTGACGACATGAGGGACAAACTCACCGCCTGATAAAGCTTATCGATAAGCTTATCGCGATGGCGATGGACGAGACTTGGGCTTCTCTCACTCTATGTGATGTGTTGTATGTACTTCTTTATGAACGCAGAAGAACCGGGTGGGTTTGGATACTACCTGTGCAGAATATTTACCATACAAAGCTGAATGTTCTTACCCCTCAAAATTTTTGGGGCTCGTACTGCATGAGGCGCGCTTAGCGCACCCCTGTAAAATGTAGCAAAATGTCGTGGAAAGATTGAGAGACTTACTTGTCTAAATTAGTAGATCAGGTTTTTTTTAAAAAAAAAACAAACGTACATTAGAATTCAAGCCTGTCAGAGAGAACAGAAGGAGAAGAGGAATCAAGGCTGGACTAAGCCAAAGCGGACGTCATCTATCAACCCACCCGCTCCATGTACATCGCCACAAATTTCCTCTTCTCATTACGAGCATCGTGAGAGCATCCTGAGACCATAACAACCAATTACCATCACTATTGCACTAAATACTTAAGCATATGACAGACCCACCTACCCTGGTAAGCAGGATTGTTCAGCCGTCCACGTTAATATTCGTGCGGGGCTGATCGGTTGACTCCGATCTTCAGTTCCTCATCGCCCAAGCTTTAATTCTTCAGAAGTCTGTTTCTCTTTCCCTCTCAAATCCAATACAGAAACCAAAAATCCATCATGACGGCTCAGTCGCTGAGGGAAATATCTGCTCACAATTTACGTACCTTTAAACAACATTATGTTTCGGAAATCTCTGGGTCCTTGGGAGATCTGGGAACCTTCCTGCCCATCGCTATTGCACTAGCCGTCAACGGTACCGTCTCCCTAACAAGCACCCTTATTTTCTCTGGTGTTTACAACATCCTGACGGGGATGTATTTCGGTATTCCACTCCCAGTCCAGCCGATGAAGGCGATCGCTGCAGTGGCTATCGCTCGCAACTTCTCTAACGGCTCGATCGCCGCGGCCGGGATGTTCGTTGGTGCTTGTATTCTAGTGTTCAGTATCACAGGTCTTTTGCACTGGTTTGCGAATGTCATCCCTATTCCAGTCATCAAGGGAATCCAGGTCGGTGCGGGGTTGTCTTTGGTCATCTCTGCATGTGGCAGCATGCTTGCACCCCTTGGTTGGATCAGCCCATCTTGGGCCGATAATCGGATTTGGGCTCTTGTTGCATTTGTTGCTCTGCTTACCACCCATGTCTATCGACGTGTTCCATATGCGTTGGCTTTGTTTGCTCTTGGTCTCTCATTCGCGATCATTCGGGCTGCTGTGGTTGGCCATTTGCCTGCATTTCAAATCTGGCAGCCTTTTATTGTGGTTCCAACGCCTTCCCAATGGAGAGTTGGTGCCATTGATGCTGGTATCGGACAGATCCCACTTACCACTCTCAATTCCATTGTCGCCGTTGTTCACCTTGCAAATGACCTGCTACCAAGCGTCCGCACTCCATCTATCACTCACATTGGTCTGAGTGTCGCTGGAATGAACCTGTTGGGATGTTGGTTCGGCGCAATGCCTGTCTGCCATGGATCTGGTGGTCTGGCGGCCCAGTATCGGTTTGGTGCACGGTCGGGTGCGAGTATCATCTTCCTTGGCATACTAAAACTTGTCATTGGGCTTCTCTTCGGGGAAACCCTTGTCGACTTGTTGAAACGCTTCCCTGCAGCATTTTTGGGTGTCATGGTTATCGCGGCCGGTCTTGAGCTCGTGGGTGTTGGCGAGAGCCTCAACACATCTGGTGCCCGGGATATTGGCCAGGCTGGAAGCGGCATGTTAGGGATCGCAGAGCAACACATTGGCCCTGTACTCACTGATGAAGAACGCAAACGACGATGGACAGTGATGATGGTCACTGTTGGCTTGCTAGTTGGATTTAAGAACGATGCGATTGGTTTTATTGCTGGTATGCTGTGCCATTCGGCTTATGAACTTCCAAAATGGTGGGAGCAAGCCCGGAGCCGGTGGTCGGAGGGTCGACTTCGCCTTGGATAAACATTTCTCATGACCTTACACTTTCTCTTTCATTGATGCTCTTATTACTCTATAATCTGCCACCCCTGCCCATAACGAACAACCGGTGCGTCTAATCATTCGTTTATATCCAGAAGTCCATTTCTGAATTTGCGTTCATATTTGAGAGACTTCACATGTACTATTTACGAACAGTATGTGCAAGGTTTCTGATTTCGGGGTATAATAATGAAATCCATTTTATCCAATTATAGTAAGCCAGCCATGACTCGCGTCAGCTCCTCATCCTCTGCCTGAAATGCATCTAGTGCATTGGGCGATCGATCAGCAACTCCGCAGTTTGAGATCCCTGTATTCGCTCCTGTATAGTCAGCCCCAGCTCTTGGGTCAAAATACAGACCGCCGGCGATCTCAAAGAAACTACTGAGATCCTCGCATTCATTGGAGTCTGCTTCCGGTGCTGTCCCAGGTGATAAAGGCCAGAATGTTGTTGAGGATTGTTGAGGGGTCGACATTCCAGGAGTTTGATAGAGACTCGGGGGGTGTTGAAGGGATGGAGAGTCAACATTTGAGGATCCTGGAGTGGAATCCCATAGAACGCGAGATTCGATGTGCCTTGAACGGCTTGGGGCACCGGAATTCGAGTCGGAGATAGTAGAACCATTTGCAGGAACAGCCCGTGAATGACGATCTGAGGACTGGCGACCTGGGTTTTTTTGCCAGTGCACGTTGAGCTGGATTCGCTTCAAACTGCGAATGATTTTTTGAAGACGTCGAGATGTGCGAGCTCGTGTGGCAGATCGGCGCACCATATCAACCGCAGTGTAAAATTCTTGTCGGCAGGCCTGACTGAAGCGAGCCGGGGCATGTAACACAGCCAGGAACAAAGCCGCAAGAGCTGAGATCAAAAAGTAGTTGAAAGGTTCGGGCCACTGGAAATAAAAATTGGAAACACGACTGAAATAGTCCAGCATATGGACGGTACTCTTGGCGGTTTCCACTGCAGTCGAGGCACCAGACAGGTCTTCTGCGATGCGGTTGCTACTAAGAAGGTTTTGACGATAGACCAGAATCCGAAGCTGATTGGCTTGAAGAGCTAGAAGCACCTGCAGCATCATTGCTCGATCGGTGTGCTCTCGTCCTGCCGAGGAGCGCCAGGTTGGATCGAATCGCAACTCCCGTGGAATGGAGTGGACCCATTGCTGTACCTGTGCGTCTAGGAATGCGCATCTTTCCGCTGTCGCCTCCCGTGACCTGTTTGGCCACCCAACCACCAGTCCCCAGACCTTCGTGCTGAGGCGGGAATAAGATATCATGCATGTCAAATAGGGTGTGGAATGGCCAGGCTCTGGCAGGTTCGTATCCATGTCCGACTCCTGGATGGCAAATGGAAGTCCAGTTCCAAAACACCATTTCCGGTCTAGCACGTAGATGCACCAGAATAACCGACTTGCCCACATCCACTCCAACGCACCTGGGAACACTCCTCCTGTTTTGTGCCACGTATCCTGACGGTGTAGGCCGAGCTCCATACTGCCCCGTGCAGCCATGCCAGTTAGCCGCCAGGCAATGACTTCGTCGTCTCGATATGAATGGAATATAGACTGCATTTGTTAGATGAGATCATTCCATAGAGAAGCAAAGGAAATACCAGCAGTGTCAAAATAAGAATCTCCTTCATGTCAACCTCGGCCACCTTGAGTCGGCTAGCAAAGCGATCCTCGACACTATCCGCCAGCTGCGCCGCAAGCTCACTTCGACCGTGCGATTCAACAAGCAAGGCGGTGGCCAACAAAATCTTCAGCACCTGAATGTCTCTCGCATGGAACCAGTCTTGATCTGAAGCTCTCGGTGCGGGTCCAGATGCACGATCGATAACTGGATCATATCGATGGTGAAACTCGACAACATAGGTACGGAGACTAGCCAGATCAACACACGGGTACATAATACCAACAGTGTCCTCGTAGACCTGAACCAAACGCAATATCTCCTCCAAGCCCATAGCCTTCAGAGGATCGCCAGAAATCACATCCACTTGCTCACCAGAGGGCGCAGGGCTTGGGGCAGTTGTAGAAAGGTCAAAATCCTCTTCATCGTCGTGATCGCTATGGTGGCTGTCTGCGGAAGCTAGCCCACGCTGGTGACCGAGCCCAAACTCAGCACTCGTTGGACCAACATACGTGGGAGATTTGGGAGCATTGAGGATACGGTGTAATCCAACGGCTGCTGCAGTTCCCCTCGCCGATAGTCTCGATGACTCGACTGGGCTGTTTCCAGATTCGAGTTCTCGGAGCCGAGCGGACATAGTGCGCATCTCCCTCTGCAGGCTCTCCAATTGTTGATTGACAGCTTCAAATCTGGCATTTACTCTGCGTGACATTAGTCTAACGGGCCCTGGATGCCCAGCTGCCAGGTTGACAATAAAAGGACTTTAGGAATGCTGATAGGGGCCGCACCGGTCATCTTTGGCCTCATCCTCGGGCGTAGTAGCGACCGGCCTGTGCGCCGCATAAAGACAAAGAATATCATCTCGAGCACACCGAGTGCAGGTATTTCCTCCACTACATTTTAACTTGCGTCTTTTGCATTCGTTGCTAGGGCGGTTAGCATCTCGGCAACTCGGAACTGCCGTGGCGGCGCACATACCATGCGACCTGTGTATACTTGGCTCTCTTCCTTGGCCGTTGGTAATTTGAACCATCCCCGCGTCTTGGTGAATCGGGATTCATGTTATCAGTCTTCTGACTAGATTCGTTATACTGGTGGGTGAGACAGAAATTATTGTAAAAGAGTAGCCGGAAAAGCGGAATTGACGAGGCTTATCAGAGCCGATAACGGTTCAAGTGGAGCATCAGCATTAACTTTGACCGATAAACACCTGAACATTCAATGTTTGAAGTAGACAGACGAGTTTATATGAATTTCAGGTCGTAAAAGAATATTTCAACGACACCTGGGCAACTCGGAAGAATTAATGCATAGGTAGAAAAAGCAGGAGAGTACAGGTTCGAAGGTTTTCACCACAATTTGAATCTGGCTTGAGGTGGTCCCGAGATCCGATTATATATTTCATCTTCGTTTAACATTCTTTTCAAACATTATGTCCTTGAACTCTAGACAGCGACCCCGTTGATTGATTCAAGAAAGCTCTAATGTCAACTTCCAAGTGATCATCCCATTGCTCAAATAGCCGACTTCTTCTCATAGGTTCGTCGGAATAGCTCATCAACATGGACAAGGTAGTAAGTATTGGGAGCCAGGCTATCAACGCTTCCCACAGGCGTATAGTTCTTCTGTTGGTAGGCTTTCTCCCGCATATTGCAGACCTATCATTGAACTTTGTTAGAAAAACATATAAAAGATGCATGTTTAGAAGAAACAAAAACCATACCTCATCATAGAACTCTGCAGACACTGCAGTACGAGATTCCAACCGCTCATTCAACCCGACCCGTTCCGCAATTCCGGAAGTATCTCCCCTGACACGGAAGGAGAATAAAGTACTGGCCAAACCACCGCCATAGCTAAAGACGCCGACCCTCCTGTTCTGTAGTTCCTCACTAGAAACATTGCTCAGCAAGCTCACTAGCCCGGAGTAAACACTAGCAGTGTACATATTGCCACAATTTGTAGGCGCTGTGAGGGATGGTTGAACGCGGCGAGCGAACTTTTCCTTAGTCAATCCGATACACATCCTTTCGATGATTTTGTCTGTCCGTGAAGCAGCATAACCGACGTCACAAACAGCATCTGGGATTTCATCATAGTGCTCGGGCTCTGTCCGAAGATCGTTGAACAACAAACGGCCGTAGGCCTTAGAGACGAGCTTGCAGTAAGGTGCATGGAAGACGAAATACTGGAATGTCTCCAAGAGGCTATCAGATTTGCACTCTGGATCTCCAATTATGAGCTTACCACTCTTCGCCATTGATTTAGCCCGGTACCGAGCGTAGCAATTATCCAATGCTTCAAGGTAACATGCGTTGGAGTATTGCCCATCGAAACTTGGGTACTCGCATTTGAAATCCCCTTTGTAGAAGTCATAGACATGTTTCATATAGGTCCCACGGAAGGGCTCCAGCACCAAAGGAGCATCGGCGCCGATCAACATGGCTACACAGCCAGCGCCGCCTGTGGGGCGGGCGGCAGGCTTGTCGTAAAGAGCGATGTCGCAGGAGACAACGATGGCATCCCGACCATCCCAGGCGGATGATTCAATCCAGTTGACTGCATTTAGCAGGGCATTCGTTCCGCCATAGCAAGCGTTATAAGTGTCAGCACCTTCAACATCCGTGTTATCGCCAAAGAGTTGCATGAGAACAGACTTGCATGACTTGGATTTGTCGAGAAGTGTTTCCGTTCCTACTTCCAAGCGGCCAATTGTGCTTGGGTCGATCTTGTATTTTTCCAGCAGAGAAGAGACTGTAGTGAGTGCCATTGAATAGGTATCTATAAACAAGTAGTTTTTTAGTATAGAGCAGGCAAGAAAATGTGTTTGGGGTGGTTGGGAGCTACCTTCACGGTCATCACAGAAACTCATCTTCTGCTGACCTAATCCAATAGTGAATTTTCCCGCACTAGCCCCCAGGTGTGTCTCGAGCTCGGTTTGTGGCACATACTGTAGGCTGCTGTATCAGTTATCCGAGAGAGTCAGTTGCGGATTGAGCGTAGGTGTATACGAACACGACTAGGAAAGTAAATTTCCATGGCCTTGATGCCCACATTGCTGGCGAGAGACCGCATGATTTCAGGACTGGAGCTACTGGAATGTCGTTGATATGTAGCGATAGTGGATATAAGAGTGAAAATTGGTAATGGTTGAAGGAGTCGACGAAGAGAGTGTGAATACTGTATTGCAAAGTAGGAGAAAAGAAGGCTTAGGGCATTTTATACACAATCAACATTCCCTACATTGTTTGTTCCTCATGATTAGGCTAGGTTAGTGAGGCTGCATACTCGTGACGAAAGATACAGCGTAGTCATAGCCACTGCTGCCTACCATTATGGGGTCATGATAGCTACTACAGTGTATATTCAAGTATCACTTCCTTTGACCCGGCCAGAATATACAAGGTGATGATTTCAAGAACTCAATTAATCTTAGGAATTATTCAGGTGTTCTAATTTGATGCTGCTCATGCATGCCTAGTCCTGTAGCCATTGTTTCACAGTGGCTTAGCACGAGAGAAATTCCCTGATAATTCAATGTTCTTCAATACTCAAACAATCAAGAAATCTGGGTTTGAATCTGTCGAACGGCCCAGCTACTACACATAGCCCGGAGAAGGGAGCAAGAGAATGGTAATATGAAGTGGTTTGAAGGGAAGTTCGGATAGAACAGAGAGAAGAGAGAGAAAAGCCCCACTGCCCAACGCTGGAAAACGCCAGAGCAGCACATGCTTTAATCGAATTTTATAATTTATTGATTCTCTTCATGCGTAAAATAATGCAGATTTAGATAAAGAGGCCAGGCAGAAGGATTTAGTTCCAAATGAAAAAGCTCCACTTAATCCATAGCTATCAGTCAATAAATAAATCTGTGGAACTACTGTGATTTGGAGTTTACCATCGAATGAAATTTATGTGTCACGAGTGTGATATTTTATCGCGATGGATTTACTTCTGGGTCTGGATCATCGAGCTAAGAATCAATTCACCGTCTAGTATGGTATAAATTGCCGAGTGTTGACTATCGTAATATTTGTAGTACCACGAGTAGGAAATTGCCAGTGAAATGTGACCACATAATTTGCAATCACTCAGCATTAGAAGGATAAAATTGAGGCGGTAGCCAACCCTTCAGTCCCCGCTATGATCAATTCAACTTGTACTTAGCTTACCGGAGTGCTCTACAGGTTACTTTTCTTTTGAATATTAATCTACTTATGTATCAACACATGTGTAGACTCGTGCCTTTACTGCTTATCTTTGAATTCGTAGGTTCATCAGTCTAATAGACCGTCATGTAGCTTCCCTTGAATGCTCTCAACGCAAAGGACCCGTGTGTAAGCCTCTTTCAAAAGCCCAACATAAAAGGCCCGTCTTCGCCGCTCCTTACCATGTGAATTCTCTATTCCTCTGTATTCTGATCCTACAACCACCAATTTCCGATATCATTTTGTGCGTTTTTCCTACTCCCCCTTTATTCGTTACGATCATGCCCTTTCTTTCTTTGTTCATTTTGCCCCAATTTCACTGGTTGCTTCATGATTATACTAGTTCGTCCTTTCCATAGATTGACCGGCATAGCTAAGTTCTTGATACCTAATTAATAGGAACTTCCACTTCAATCGTTCCCTTTGAATGTTGGACTTGTTTTAAGGTATATTTACTGGAGTGTACATGTGCATATGACGAGATAAATGACCAATGCGCTCGTAGAGATCCTTACATACCCCGCACCTTCGATAGCTATGCAACGTTCCATCTTCACCTCCATCTTTCATTTCTTGTGCTTCCTGTGCTTTTTGACAACCATGGCTGAAGGTCTTACCCGGTACCATAGCGTTCCTCCAAGCGATGCCATTATCATTCACGATATGCAATCCCTAAGAGATCTTTCTAAGGCCAACCCCGAAACATGTCTTCATACAGAGAATGGAGGATACTACCTCAAGACTCAAAGCCAAGAGGTCATTGCTATTGCTGCCGACGACCTATGTAAGGAGCTAGATATTGCTGCAGCTAGTGCTTATGCTGTACATGTCGCCGAAGGCGATGGGTTCGAAGATGGAGAGTCTGTATCTTCGCCTGTGCCAGATTTTACGAAGAGGGATGATCACGCAAGTAGCTCACTTCCCGAAGGCAAATGTAGCCACCCTCGTTGTTTCGTGACTCCTACCTGTTTGGAATATTCATTTTGCCACACCTGCCTTATTGACGCGCGCGTGAAGCGATGTATCTAAGATGTGTATATTCATTGATGTTGAGAATGATTATCTGATTGGGACTAGTAGGATTAAGGCCCTTTTTCCCTTTTTCCACTCCTTTGTTCGCTATTCTTCCAGGATTGATTTTTCTATCCTTAGCTTACTTATTTTGATATCTTGCATTTCCTCGTGAGATTGATCTACTTCGTTCTTAAGTGTTTTGAAGCTTTAGGCTTAGCCCAGTCTCCGCCCCTAATTTGGGGGTTCTCTTAGGTTCCGGTGCTTAGGCCTTCGTACCTTGCCCGTGAATTGTAATGCCCCGGGCGCACCTGCCAAGACTCCCACCACTACTGCAAAATCCGCCAAAATCCTTTGGAATTCTCCCCAGCGCTCGGCTTCAATGGTCGCTGAAAGGACTGTAGCTGATGTTTTGAACTCTGAGTTCTTGCATTGTAGGTCAAAGTGTAGCTCTCACTTGATCCGTTACTACCCCTCTACCAAGCTTTAAATGGATGAAGATATTTTTTCATGTCCTTCGCCTGCAGAGCATGATACTTCAGACCAGGATGATACTTATTCCACCAAACACAGGTCGTTCCGTCATCGTCTATGCAGGTATTATTCGGATATCCGTATTTGTGCGGATCATTCAAAACGCCCGTCATGAAACTCCAGGAATCGTAGATGACGGTTCGTATCTGCAAAGTATCAGCATCTTAAATCATATTATTCCCCAGTAAATCCAGCCTACGCTTACATCTGGATGCTCATTTTGAAACACTTGCACCATCAACTTCAGATGCTCGTTATATACCGATAGCCACGACGCATGAGCTAGTGATGCCGATATCCCTTGATCCAAGATATAGGGACTACGACCAGTAGGTGGGACATTCAAAAATAGAAACTTCCGTCCGCCTTTGGCGTATATCTGCTCCACGAGCGATTTGTACACGGCCATGAGTTCCGGTACTAAAACACTAGCATTCAGGCTGGAATAAGCCCAGCCGACGCTTTGGATAAGTCGTCAGTAAAGAGTGGCACCATGAGATATATCATTGAGGCATGTACTCATTAATGCCAATCCAAAAACCGAAAACTGTGTCATCTGAGCCCCATGGTGCGATCCCTGGCCTATCGCCATAGACGGACAAAAATGTCGCGACTTGCGAAGCCATATCTTCAACTCCGGCATTGATAATATTATTGTCGATAGTCGCACCTCCGACTGCGAGGTTATAGCTCAAAACGAGTGACGCATTATCTGCGGTCGTCAGGTCTCCTATCCAGTTGATGCCTCCTCCTGTTGTACCGGTTCCTGTAGTGTGTCAGTGCTTTTCGTCGGATCTTTCTTTCATTTAGATAATACTCACCCAATTCGGGGTTTCCCATCGGATTTTGAGGCGTTGCTTGTTCACCGGAAACATTGAAACTAGTCATGCTGTATGAATCACCGCTGTTGGAATTTAGAATGTGTTTTCATAGCATTAAGGTAGACCAGTAAAGCCTACAATGTGAAGAAATACGTTGGCAATGATGCCATTCCTGAATGCGATGCTGCTGCCATGGCAAAAACAGTAGACCAGCAAATCAGTGGCCATTTCATCCTGAGGGATGGCTTGTGTTTAAATGAAATATGCTGGAATAAATCCGCTTCGCTTCTGATATATGCAGCAAATCGCGGGTGAAGACGGCTCTTGACTTTATGTACTCGTGAACTATCAATAGAGAGTCGGCGAAATTCCGTGTGACATACACTATTTCATGGTTTTGGAATTTTGTCACGGACGGTGTTCCGTGAGGATAAGTAGTTCTCCTTGATTATCCGAGATTGTTCTAAGCTTAACGGCGAAGCGTCCGTTCACTGCGGGGTCGACCTAACATTTTAATGTCACCACATTTTCATATCTATGCATTGATTCCGGTTTCAATGCAACCCCGACATGGTCCTTGCATGTGTGATCTTTCTACTCTTCGACTAAACTCTTTTGGAAACGGGACTGGGATGAGTTGGGCAGAGCTACATATATTCAACCAATTGCATTGTGCAAAACTATCCAAACATCTAGGTCGAAATTCCGTTTTACATAGGGTAGTCATCCACATATACATGAATGCATAAATTCATCACCGTACAAGTCTCTATGTTTTGACCTTCAACATCTCAATACCAACACCACCGACCAGGAGCGTGGCATCTCGTCTCTCTGAAGGGGTATCATGATCGGTGCTTAGGCACACACCATGGACGAGGGACATTGAAGAGATATCAGCCACGGCACTGTAACGGTCTAGCAAGAATCGGGCTTCAATGTTTGCTGATGTAGATAGAGGGACAATAACCGACCAAATCTTGACTCGGTGATCATTTCCTGCCGAGGCTAAGACAATCTCCGTAGTTTCAACACCAGCGTCATTTTTCTGAGGGGGTATCTGGCTCAGCACTTTGATGGCTGTAATTGAGGCAGCATGTGCATCTGGAACTGAAATTGTCAACACGCGTGGATGTGACTCCGTCTCCGGGTTTGGCGAAGTTTGTAGAAGAGAAATTGACAACGAATTGTCATCGCCACCAGACAGAATCAACGTGGTTGTCTCAGATACGGACACCAGTTCCATAGCTTTGATGCTGTTTGAGTGGACTTCATATCGATTCTCACACGTAATTTCCTGCGGTGATATCTCCGAGATATCAAATTGTCTGGTTGCTTTCAAAGAGGAGAAATGGATGTCGTAAAATGGTTGGAGGGTATCAGTCAGGTCCCAAAGTGTGAAGTAGCCGTCAGTAGCCGCCGTGAGGAGCGACACAGAAGATCCTTGGACAATGAAGTGGCCCTGTGTCAAACAGTTGGTCATGTATTTTCCACGGGCCAAAAGCGTGAAAGAGTTGTTATGGTGTGGGGAGTAGTGAAAGATCTACGCGATATTAGCTTTCATTCCCCAAAGACATGGAAGCGGGAAGAAGGATACTGACCTTAATAGTAGAGTTCGAGAGAGTGAGACATAAAAGGAATCCACGTTCTTCACCTTCTTCTGCGACGTCCACCAGATCAAAGCTTGTTATCCGAAGCTCGGAGTCTGGGTCATCCTTCGGACAAACCGCTGCTAGGATTGTAGCAACTCCAAATGACGGAACCCATTGTACTCGCCAAACAAAGAACTCTTCACACGCAGCGCTTGTGAATAGGTACTTTCCACACTTAGACCATGAGGCCTGTTGAACCCCAGAGACATGGGTACTCAAAACGCGGAGAGTTTGTACGGATCCCCAATGACCTACATTATTCGAGTCGAAGATGGTGGAAATTCTGACAGTAGTATCCTCTGCGCCCGTGACAAACAGAGGTGGCACATCCTTAGTCCCGTCTAGGCCATCCATAGCCTTGATCTCTCTTCCATGGCCTCCAGCTCGAACTAAGCAATTGACATCATGACGAACACGCTGGCATGCAAGAGAAGGGCCTTCTCGCCAGACAAGCAGATCGCCACTTCCACCCTTGATGCGTCGCTGAAATTCCCAGGGCCTGCGTGTGCCTCCAGATCCAATTGATACGATATCAGTTTGTTTCGACTCGTTTCGTAGGACAAAGTCTTGTGATTTGAAGCCGTACATCATCAAATCTCCGGTCAGTTCATCAAAGTAGGCGCCTTCGATGTTTCCACCTAGCGCTGATTCCGTTCTATGCACTGTGACGAAAGTGACGGCGTCACCTCTCTCCTTACCAATCTTCACTTCATGGACGCAATATTTTCCATCACGCCCACAAGTCAGCACGTATTCCAGATCTGAACCATCCGAGGCCTTCACTGAGGAAAGCAATTGGATGTGGTTGGTACCGTGATGGCCATGAACACGGCGATCCACATGGAGAGGATGAGAGGAAATTTCGTCGCTTGCGACCCGGTGTACTGATAAGCCACCTAGCCTAGATCCTAGCAACAAATACTCGCCGTTGCCAAGCAGCGATGCCGAAGCCACATCATATGGTGACTGGGGAAGAAAGACGGGAATGGCTTCTATCTCAGGGCGATCACCGTTCCACGCCGAGATTGTCACCAATGTTGCAAACTCATCTTTGGCATAAGAAGCAACAAAGGAAAGTCTCTCCAGGTCATTATTTGGTTCAACAAATAAAAGTTCCATTGGTCTTCCGGGCAACTTGATAAGATCAGAAACCGATTTAAGACTGTGGTTGTACAGGCGGACTTGTCCTCGAGGATCACTTATCAACGCCAGACCTTTATCTGGGTTTCCGGCTATCAGGGAGATTGGACCCAGATCTTCAGAGCTGTGCAAAGCTTCCCATGTAATAATGGCATCAAGTCCGGGGCTCACGTGTCCAATCTGGAGCTGGCTCGCTTTGTTGGACATAATCAGGCAATCTTCACTGACAAAAGCGAAATATTGAACGCAACTGGTTTTCGCGCTTTTTTCCCTGGTCGCAGGCCTTGCCAGTGTCGCCGAAGATCGGATTTCGTTGATTTTGAAATTCCTCAATGCTCCATCGGCACCTCCGGTATAAACCACAGTCTCGTCACCCCGCCGACAAAGATCCATGGACCAGATATGCTTCCCTAGGTGTGCCTCCGAGGAGAAATCCTTGCGCAAGTGGTACTTTGTAGTACCGGGGGAAGGTGACTCCCAGGTCAAATCCCAAACAATGCACGTAGCATCCTCACCACGAGTCACAAGTCCGATCTTAGAACAATCTTGGGATATATTTGATCGAAATCCGATACTCCAAATACGGGCGGCGTGCCCAAATGCCTGTGCGATACAGGACTCTGAGCCAGCACCGGAAGCATCGACATCTGTAGCACCAAATCCTGTGCTTCGGAGATCAAAGCCGTCTGTGGAGTACGCGGAGGGATCATTGGGTGACTTGTGCTCGCAATCAGAAACATCCCAGACTCGCACAGTTCGGTCATCGCTGCAACTAGCCAGAACACGACCTGGCTTTCCATCCTTCATTGATGGAATGATGGGCGAAATTTGTACGCCGAAGACTGTTCCATCGTGCCCGGTGAAGAAGTGGTGAATCGATCCAACCGCCTTTGTTGGGAAACTTTCGCTGATATCCATAAAGCAAGACCAAACAATAATTTCACCGAAGATGGTTCCAGCGGCAATAAGCACATGGGTAGGTGACAGTGCAACTAGGTTTGCCGCGCAGAGGATAGACTTGACACTTGTTGCAAGTTGGTGGATGTTGATCACCATCTTATCAATAGAACGAATGCACTTTGTAAGGTTCAAACTCAACAGTGAATTGTTCGCAGTGATTAAGTACGCAGTATCTTGATCCTTCGCTGCGGCACATCCACTCATAATCCAATCTGGAGCCAGGAATTCCGCAGACGAAACGAACGATACGATGGTACCATTCGAGCCTGACCTTAGATCAACAACCCGTAAGGACTGGCCACCCCAAACGATGAACCGAGAATGTCTTTGGTCATTCTCATCCTGCCCCTCGGCCAATGAGATGAATCCATGTAGATTGTTGCGTTTAAAGACCCGCACTTGAGTCACAACATTCCCAGATTCATCGTCAACGACACGCAAAAACGGACCTTGTCCTTGGAGAATGAGATTCTGCCCGTCCCACGAGAGTGCTTTCAATGCTGTTGTTGGAACACAAGCATCGATATGCTGCATCTTTGAGTCAGCGAAATCAAGTCACGCGAAGGAATTTCCTCTCAGTATCAACAGACCTCTAGAGAAAGAGACATTTTTCCTCGGACTCCCCAAGCTCATTGACGTGGAACGTCTCAATTTGTCTGATAATCCTACTATCACCCTTGTTCAAAATCCCACTTTCCTCATATTATCTAATTCTTGCCCGCACTAGTCCCAACGTGGACGCTTTATCTCACGTGATAAGCGGCCCCGCGAACATTTTGCTTTGGCCTTGTCGCCTTGTGGCCTTAAATATGTGGCATGCCAGTCTTCTCTCGTGTTGACTCACTATCCTCACCAATTCCTATTTTCTTTCTTCATCCCTGCTCCATGATTCCGAACAAAACAAGCCAATCCCATTTCGATTTTAGCTGTTTTCCACAATGTGACTTTTTACTCCTCTGCCCCCAAGTCTACTCCGTTCCCACCTCGAGAAATGCATGGGCGAACACCGACAAACAACTCGAGTGTTGTGCCCAGATTTGTATGGCCCCCTATACTTTCTCAATGTCGCTAAGTCTACGAGGTTTAAATTCAGGTGGCAATCAGGTACCCGCGGTCCTCGGCATGCAAATGGCTTGGACACCGGGCCACGCAGCCCCTACGAATGCCAACTCCGATTAAGCGGGCCACACTACGGAGTACATATTGAGTGTATTCCGATTAGGGGGGCTGCAGTACGGAGTAATTCAAGCCGTTAAGACCAGACCTCGGGATCTCTAGGCATAACTTCACGGACCCGCCGACAATAATTTTCGCTGGGGTCCACACCTCTATAATTCGGGTATCACTGGGTTTTTTTGGCCCCTGACTGGCCAATTTTTGGATATTGAGTCGTCCCTTGATTTGGGTACATACTGAAGCTGTAACTAAATTAGAGGACTCCAGCGATTGTAAATTGTAACTGGTATGCCACGAGTCCTGCAGAGTTTGTCTCAAAATGACACGTTTGGCAGCCTAGGAGGCATGGCGCTAAGATGAAACACCGGAAAACTCGGGAATCGGGCTAGAACGAGAAACCTTGCGATAGTTGTGACTGATCCACTCTCCCAGAAATTCATCTGCGTTGGCCAGACCCGACGTTTGATGAGTTAGATGGCTTGTGCACATATACGGAGTGGAATGGGTTCATTTTCCCACTATTTCCTCGCGATCGACAGTTTTATTGACTGGATTGACGATACCTTATATCAATGGTGTACTCCGCACATATCTTGTTTACATTTTAGTCTACCTTACGATGTAACTTTCCAAGCTTTTGACTCAATTTTACTGTTAGAGTCTACGTAAGCTTTTTCTCTCGGAGATGCCCCACTCCCAGCCCAAGCTCTAAGGAGAACGAAACTTGGACAGCACACAAATCAATTAAAGTAATGACTGGAACCTTGGGATTTTGTTGACAGGTGGATCGTACCAAATACATGATATGATAAAGCGCCAAACGAAGCTGTCAAAAGCTTTAATGCATCAGGCCTTAAATCTTGGTTCAGCCCTAAAAAGCCGGTAAATAATTCGAAAGACCTCTCTTTAGTCCCGGGAGATAATAACCGACCACTAATTAAAACATGCACTAATTAGCGCCTTCAAGCTTGAGCCCGAATATACGTACGCCCGCCCAATGGGAATTCGATAGCGGCTTGCCATTTCCACCTCGAAATTGACTACTGACGATCCGCCAATCATCCGTACTCTTGATCTCCGGAAAAATGCCCACTTTCTAGCCCTCGATTGGTGGCCCACTGAGTTTTGGGGCGAAAGGGGAAGGCCGACGATTTTCGTTTGTAGTACAGCCCTAACGGGTTAATGGCGTACGCAATAACGTCGCCAGGCCCAGATGCCTATGTATTGAGGCCATCCCCTTGTTTCATCTTTTCATCTCGACATCCTTTCTTTGCAAACCCTTCAGTGCTGTGCACAGAAGCTTTCATTCCTTTTCGACAGAAGCCCTTCGGCATCCAGTCATTCCTTCTACGTTCGAGTAGAGCGTGTCCCTCATTACATCGTTGACTCATTCATTTCAAACGATTCAAATCAAAAATATAGACATCATTTCAGCCAATTCAAGCCTGGACAATGGCTTCGCTTCTCAAGTTCTTCACCGCAGGTTTGTTGGTGGCCTCCGCAGCCGCCCACCCTGTGCAGGTGCGCCCATCGCCCATTCAAAAGCGTGCTGCGAGCTCGACCAAGCGCGGCGCTGCTTACAACGACGCGACTCTCGTTTCCGCCTTGACCGACAGCTCTAGCGTTATCTCTTGGGCCTACAATTGGGGTAGTACGATCGATGGTGATATTCCTTCTGGTGTCGAGTATGTGCCTATGCTCTGGGGTTCCGACGATGTCGACAGCTGGGCTGCCGCCGTCAAGACCGCTCTTGCAGATGGCAGCACTCACCTGATGGGTTTCAATGAGCCTGACTCGTCCTCCCAAGCTGATATGACTTACTCTGACGCTGCTGCATACTACAAGGAGTACATCACTATTTACTCTGATGATGCCACTTTGGTCAGTCCTGCCGTTACTTCGTCAACTAACACTGGTGAGGGTCTGTCTTGGCTCTCCTCTTTCTTGGGTGAATGTGAAGACTGCAAGATTTCCGTTGTTGCTATTCATTGGTATGGTGGCACTATCGCCGAGCTCCAGACCTTCGTCAACGAGGCTATCGAGACGGCTTCTGACTACGGCATATCCGAGGTCTGGTTGACTGAGTTTGGCCTGGATACTGATGAGTCTGGTATCACTGATCTGAGCGTGGCTGCTACTTTCGTTGAGGAGGCTAGCACGTGGCTCGAGAGCAAGTCCGCTATCACTCGCTATGCATTCTTCTACTGCGCCAACGACTTCATGCTCACAGATGGTGTCGCAAATTCTGTTGGCAATGCTTACGTCTCTGTCTCTGGGTCCACTTCCTCCTCTTCATCGGAGTCCTCCTCGTCTGCATCGACCTCTACATCGACCTCTACATCGACCTCTACATCGACCTCTGCATCGACCTCTGTATCAACCTCCACATCGACCACTGTCTCCGTTGCCACCGAGACCATTTCATCATCCGCATCTGAGATCTCTTCATCGGTTTCCGTGTCTATCGAGGTCCTCGGTGAAGTCGCCGCAGAATCGTCAACCTCAAGCTCAGTTGCTTCAACAACCTCGTCCACATCCACCGTGACTCTGACTATGACAACTACTCATGTCGCCACTACATCAGCAACTGCATCAGCCACTACATCAGCAATCGTTTCATCTACACCTACTCCTTCTGCGGTTGCGGTCGCTTCCACTACTCCATCTGTAACCCCTTCGCCCTCGACCTCAGCGACCCCTACATCCACAGTCGAGGTCGTGCCTACTGTCTACGTGACTCAGGTCATCCCGGTCATGGCTTGTCCCACTCACAGCTCCTTGGCGCAGTAGACCTCATCTCCGTGTCAAACAGCCCAGCCGGATATACCCAACAATTATAGCCCATGCTATTTCATTCTTTTTTGCTCCTGAACATAGCGCTTTCGTTCTTTTATACTTTTGATTTCTCTTCAGACTATATTCCATTCTTTCTTTCTCGTCCTGTTATCTAGCTATGTTTTTCAATTGTTGAACAAATCTACGCTGGCTGCAAGGCTGGATCGTCTCCGATTTCTGATTATAATTCATCCTTCCAACGTATTTCAATATATCATACAGCACTGGTGGAGGAAATATTTGAGCTTAACAACTCCTGCTAGATACATAAGACTAGAATTTGGGAACAAAAGCGTCCCAATAACATTCTTGTTCAATGTTTTATTGGATTTATATTTCGCAACTCTACTTTACAATTCGACATTTGCAATACCCTAGTTGTGAACCAGGGCTACTAGCACTCTGGTCAAGGGAAAATATTGGAAATGCAGGACGCTCTTAACGTCAACCTTATACCATCCCATTTTCAGGCATTTGAGGTGTTCAGATCTTGACCTCGGGAATTGATACCGAAAATTAATTGAAATGACAACATTCGAACGAACGCATTCATCAGTGATAGTAATGACGGCATGTCGACGTGTGATCGATCCCCTCCATCATAGCCAAACACGGAAAAGTAATTTAAGTGTTTCAATTTTTGTCTAACAAACATTGAAGTGGTGTAAAGCGAAACACTCAAAGTCCTGCTTATTCGGACCTAGATCTATCCGTCATGCCGGAAGCAGTGGTTCAACTACGATGTGGTGTCAAGGCAAGTGTTTCTGTTCTACCCCAAGAATATAGTTAACGGACTAGGGAAATACAGAATGATTCTTGGGGAAAGAAAGGCAAAGACTCGTTGGTGGCCCAATTGTGGTCCAAGACACCAGGGAACGCGCCAATTGACAATGACCAGACCTACTCAGAGGTATATTTTTTTATCGCCATTCGAAACCTCCAAATAAGCTGATGTGAATGATAGATGTGGATGGGGACGTACCCATCTAATCACTCCCACCTTCTTTCCACGGGAGAACCGCTGGGAGAGTACCTGAAAAAGAACCCCCAGCTTGTGGGGAAGTCAGTTCTAGATCGATGGGGCGCAGAGATCCCATTTTTGCCAAAGGTATAACAGCATGGCAGTGTTTGAGGCACCAGGCTGACCAAATAGATCCTGTCTTTCTCCCAAGCTCTCCCGCTCCAGATCCATCCAGACCTGGCATTGGCAAAGAGGTTGCACGCGCAGGACCCAAAGAAGTACGGCGATACCATGCATAAGCCGGAGATAGCTATTGCTCTTTCTAAGTTCGAGCTCTTCGCAGGCTGGAAGCCATTGGAAGATATCAAGGCACTCTGCAAGCTGGAACCATTGACAAAGTTCCTCCCGGAATCCAAGACTTTCGACGACGAGACGCTGCGACAGGTGTGTATCTTGATGTTGAAGGCATCACCGGAGACGGTAGCTTCGACGATCAAAGCGCTGCAAAGTGTCCCCGAGTCTCAATTTGGTTCAGACTCGTATATTCCAGGTCTATTGGTTCGACTCAGCAAGCAGTACACCGCAAGTGACAATGGGAATCTGGTTGCGGCGATCTTGATGAATTACATGACTCTGGGGCCTGGAGATTCGGTTTTTGTTCCTGCGGATAGTATTCATGCGTATTTGGAAGGCGATATTGTGGAGTGTATGGCTCGGTCGGATAATGTCATCAATACTGGGTTTTGTCCGGCGACAAAACGTGATAGCGTTGACTTATTTGGGCAAGCGTTGACCTTTGTGCCTCATAACTCGACAGATGCACTTCTGCCACGGCAGAAAAGTGACAAAGGTATGAATGGAAAGACGGATGTCTATGCGCCGCCCATTAGCGAGTTCAGTATGTTATGTACTTGCCTCTGTGGAGGCGAGAAGGAAACGCACAAGGCTATTCTTGGTCCCAGTTTGATGATTGTGACGAAAGGATGCGGATCCATGAAGATCCCGGGGGATCAGACGATAGAGATGAAAGAGGGATATGTCTATTTTGTTGGACAGGGGGTTGCATTGGACTTCAGCACTGAGAAGGGCATTGCCTTTTACCGCGCCTATGCAGAGTAGGGAGATTGAGGGTCGGCCGGATCTTCCCACTACCCCGAAAACGGCTAGAAGAAGAGATAGATTCCAGCTGGCAGATGGGAGTTGTGGCAATTGAATTGAGCCAAAATATACAAACAAGAATAATCCTAAAAATACATGCTATTCGGAGTTAGACGACTCGCTGCACCAAGGTTCCGACAGGTCGCTCGACAACAGTCATGAGGCCGTCCACAATGCTCTGCCTTGCGCTTTCACTGGAAACCTTCTTTCCTGCCAGATAGTTGAGCCACACGAAACGGCTGATTCTTTCATCGGAGACGCGACCCATCCAGTGGATTGGCTCCTTGGGATCAGCCTGGAAAAGTGCATCGAGGGCGCCGTGAGCATTGCGAAGAAGAACGACCGTCTGGCCCTTGGGTATATTCTTGGCCTGGCCACCACCAACAATGGCCTTGAATTCATTGATTGCCGAACCAAAGGCCAAATCCTGTGCATCTCCGGTTGAGCCCGGGGCGGCCTTGTTTTGCTGTGCGCGGGCGGTGATACCACGGACCCAGGCATCGCGCAAGTGCAAGAAATCGGTGTTACGTGTGGGAGCGATTCGGAATGCAGTTCGGATGCCATCCTCCTTGATCAGAGCTGTCCAGGCAGCATCGCCATGCTCCGGGTCCATCAGAAGTGCTCTCAGCTGCTCGCGCTCCGGAGGTACCAGCGACGTCGCGGCGTCAGCACCAACTCCCGAGATCGCAGCGGCTTCATCTGGAGATGCGATTGGGGGGTGAACCGCCGTACGCACAAGACGCTGCTGCAGCTCCGTGATATCCGACTTGGCGACATATAGCCCAACAACATACACCTGGATGGAGAGGAACGAGACGGTACGAATGCCTAAACCCAACAACTGGTATTCATCCCCATCGGTTGTAGAGAGCTCATCTCCGGGTGTCTTGTTCTCCGTCCCAGAAATCGACGGTAACCGGATAGTAGTGGGAAAATACGGAACAGAACTGTTGCCGGTCGCAATTTGGTGAATATTGTCTTGGCCTTGGAGGGGAATCACAGATGGGCCACCATCACTGGGAAACCCAGGGGGTCCATCCATCTTCATGGTGCGGCTTTCTGAAGTTGCTACTGTAGCTTCGTGCGGCTTGGTTGTCTCGCCGTTCTTTCCGACCTCGAGTTCATCCAGGCCAAAAAGATCCAGCTTGATCACTCCATACATTGCAGCTGCGCTAGCGACCATCCCAACCGCAGACCAAGCAATAGATCTTCGGTACTTAGCATCTTTCAGCTCATTGTTTGCATTTTCGGCGGGGCGGGAACGGAGAGGGTTGACACCATGTTTGGTTGATCGAAGGCAATTAGTGGAGGAGATGTAGCGGGTACGGGGAGGAGTGCGGAGAGTTTGGCGTGTTAAACATTGACATGTGCGCCAGGGCGCTGTGCGGAATGGAGATGACATGGTTGACAGATTGGAGGTAAACGTTGGAGATGTTGCTAACGTTGATTCGGAGACGGACCTCGGGTGTGGGGGTACACGTGACCTGTTTCGATCTATAGATTCTATACAATGCACCTATGAAGAATGACGTGAACATCATCTACTGTAGTCTCAATTTTGACGATTACAGCTCAGTAGATTTATTCTGCATTCTGTACTAGGAATTCTCCATTGGCATCAAGATATGGCGCCTCCAAAATATTACGTCACGACAATCTTGTGAGAGCCACCTCCAACTGCAAATGTCGCTTTGCTATCCGCATACACCACGCCCTTCTTCACTAAGGCACCATCGAGGATGATCGAAGGCTTCTTCGATGATGTAACATACGGAAGTGTGACATTCCCAGTTGTCCCCTTCGGAACTGTGAAATCCAATGCATACCCACCAGACTTCTTCGTCCAACCTGCTTGGAACTTCCCAAGAGACGTCACAAAGCCCGCCTCGGCGTACTCAAGATCTCCGAATTGTGGCGAAATATCCCACGTCAATCCCAACTGGGAGGTGACAGAGAGGCCAACAACGTAGTTGGTTAGTGCGGATGTTGGGCCAGAGGACCAGCCATGAGCGTGGGAGACGTAAGAAGCATCATAACCATACCCACGACTGCTTCGGTATCCAAATGTCCCATTAACAAGGTATCCCTCGATGACGGTAGACTCTGTTCCATTCTCATTGTTGATATACCAGCCCCAGCTCCGGCGAATGAGGTCTAATGCCCTGGACGGATTCTGAACAAGGAAATGACTTTGGATCTCGAAGGATGATATGAAAGAAACGATATTTTCTGGTAGCTCTGGAGACTCAGCTCCAATTGGTGTCCAATTCTTGACCAGGTTGTCAGAGATACGTTGGGCCTGGTCGGAGTCAACAACGCCGAACAGAATAGCCATGCTATTCGCGTCTTGGGGATGCAAGGTAGTGTCAGTCGCGTTGTCTCTGAATGCTCCGTACGACTCATCCCAGCAGTAGGTGTTGATGGCTTCTTTCAATTTCTCTGCTCGGGAAACCCAGGTGCTGGCGAGGCCTGTTGTGTCTCCGGCCCACGAAGCGAGAGATGCACCAGTGTTTAGAGTATGGTAGAGACTAGAAACCAATCAGTCAACGGCAAGTAGGGAGAAGATTGTGGTACTGCGTACATCATCTGTGCTTCTGTGTTATTGTACCCTTGCTGCCAACGAGCCCAGTCACGGATACCAGTCACATCCAGGAGTCCACTGGCATAGGTCACTTTCCCATAAATGAAATCCATGGCAAGAAGATACCCATCCCAGTTCTTCAGCAAAAACTCCGTATCGTTTGTGTACAAAACATAATTGTAGGTACCAATCATTGACCACATATGATAAGTGTCTGACCCAGTTTGGCTGAGAGGTGGCCCTGACTCATCAAACGCGCCTGTTGTCTTGTCCTATTCCAATGTGAGCATTATTCCAACTCCAAAGGAAGAACCCACATACCTGAGTATCATACATAATCTGCAATGCGTTCATAACACTATCCAAATCGCCCAGGCTGACAAGCGTTGATGGAACAGCAATACCCATATCACCAGGCCACACTGCGCGATCGCGCTTGGCCCCATCAACAATTATCGTGTCTCCCGATCCCAAAGTGCCATTGTTTAGCCATCCAGACTTGAGACCAGAGGTAATTCGTCCAGTATCAACGGGGACCTGATTTGTCTGCAGCGTATAGGCACCACTGTACCAAATACGATTGAGAAGCTCATCACTGCAGTGGAAGTATCCCTGATATGCCCGCAGATTCGACCATGTCGGATGGAATGCCAACTCAACATGCATATCCTCAATCTTAACCGTTGCAGCATCATCCGTAATCAAGAAGAGAGTCAAGTACCGAAATCCACCCCGGAGCTTGGGGTCGGGCATGACATAGGACTGAGAGCCAGATGTGAAATTGTCGTATAAAGCACCATCATGATACAGAGCGTTGGAACTATCGGACCATTCCCCGATCCAGTTCTTCGCTTCTGAGAAGGCGATTCCCAGAGCGCCACTGCCGGTAGCGGTGTAGTCAATGTGCATGATGCCACCTACTTCTAGGCCGAAGTCGAATACCACGAGGGAGCCATTGCCATGAAGAGTTGCCGTCGCGGGGTGGGCGCTATTAGTTGTAGCGTCATTCTTCAAATCGGAAAGGGTGGACACAGGCTTGACTGTTCGGGACGATGGCGCGTATATGTTTTTATCCCACACTCCACTGAAAGCGGCTGTCGTGGGACCGGAGCAAGTGGTATTTCGCCAACATGTTTCAGCTTGAACCTGGGGTATGGTAGAGCATGCTCCTAGGAGGCTAAGCCAAAATGCGCGTCGCATATTCGATTATATCGATGAATGCCACAGCTGATCCTCAGATTTTTTGCTCCTGCAGGGACAGATCTACATCTCTGCCACATGCCCCTACATATAGATTTCCATGCGGCGGAGATGAAGGGCGCAAATACTACATGGTATTTCTCGGCATTTTCTAGCACGAAAGCACGAAGTGTCATTCTCCGCACCGTTTTGTTTGCTAATGGCTTAATGATGGCTTAATGAAATGAGCTAAAAGACTCCGACCTTCACTCATTGGTGGGAAAATCTCCATATGAACGTTCGAAAGAATCCAGGATCGGCGCGTCAAGCACTCCGGTGGCTGTGATATCCCCGCGATTTCATGTAAGCGATATTAGTGCCTTGAATTAACTGCGATCATTTCCCCGCAGATCTACTACTCCGCAAATTACTCCGTAATTGTTCGGCACAAACGTTCCCGAGGTAGGAGTTCAGCATTAATATTTGGAACTGAAAGTGCATCTTACTCCTTTTGCGGAGTTCTATTATCCAGTCTGTATTTTCAACTCGCAGCCATTGGACATTTAAAGCACATTCCGTGCACACTTCCATCTACAAGATGTCCCTATAGCCAACGCAGGGTATTTGATGGAATACATATGTCAGGATATTCCTTTCACTTCCGGGTTGGCTTTGATTGATTCCTCGAGAATTTCGTTCCAAAGCCTCTCAATGTAGTTCTTTCCTGCTGATCGAGTCAAGAAGAGCGCGCCACTACTAGTGTTAGCGAGAAATAAGCACACATTATAGTGGAAAGGGTTAATAAATACCGGCTAATCTTATCCAGCTCTAGATATTTTCCATGGCTTTCTTTGCCAGAGACCACAGCATTGATCAGAATTTGACCACCCACAAATGGGTCACGACCTTTGACCTTGAAATACAGGTACAAGATCGGCTTTATCCAACAAGGCAACTCCCTGTTCAGGTTTGTTCGTATGGCTCCGGGACATACAGTATTCACAATAACCTCCGATGGAGATATAGTGGTTGCTAGACGTTGAGCGAAAGCATTTATCGCGAGTTTGCTGTTCTGATATTGGCGCCGTCCATGGAAGTTCTCCTTGCTATCATGATACGCAAGAATACTCTCATCTTCACCAATCGTGTTCTTCTCAAGTGTATGTTGAGTATGACTGAATGAGCTCAGGAATGTCACTCTGGACGGAGAGTCTCGCTTTGCCGCAGTCGCCTTCAAAAGAGGGAGCAAGCACAGCACAATCAAGAAATGGGTATAAGAGTTCACTGCATATTTGAGCGCATCAGTAGAGGAACAAATGTTAATTGTTGAGTTATGCAGGTAGAATGCATACCTTGCATAATTCGCTCATGGCCACTTTTGCTCAGTTCGTAGCGAAATTGATTTGTGCCTCCGTTGCAGAGAAGAATATCAAGTTCGGCCACCTCTTGCTTCACACTTTGAGTGAAATGAATCCCAGATTGGTAGTCATCGAGATCTAGATCAAAGAGTTCCAATTTTCCAGTAGCGTTACTGGATTGAACGATAGGGTCCGCTCGCAGAGCTTCGATGGCTGCAATCCCCTTATCCTTGGAACGGGTAGTGATGATTACACGCGACGCGTTTAATATCAGGGATTGCCGTGCAAATTCCCAACCAAGTCCAGAGTTCCCTCCTGTGATGATAACTGTTTTGCCAGCGAGGCTGGTCTCGTGGATGATCAGTTTTGCCATTAAGGGTGGTTGGCTTGATGAAGCAAGGGATACGGATAAAGATTTCAGTCTCCAATTCATACTTCGAGGGTGAACCGAACTCACCGGAAATGATTGTTTAGGAAAACTGTCCGACTGGATCGTCGGTTGTGTGTTACCATCTTTCGTGTGACTTAATTGGATGGGGGAAGAGTCTGACTCGGTGATTAACCAAAACAAAGTGATCTAGATTTGCGTTCCGAGTTATCCATAAAACAAGCTGTATTCGCTCTAGGAGGAAAGCTTTCGCAATCTATTATACCTGGTGGACCCTATCTCTTTTCCCGTCTAACTGGATCTAGAGTGTTTCTCCTGTTTAAACCACCATCCACTCCGCCTCGAACCATTGCATCCCCCTTTTTCCCTAATACAACTTCAAGTGCTTGAACCAAAGCTTTGGAATCATATTGCATGCCAACAACAACTTCTTGGCCTTGGTGTTTGGCAGTAATCTTTCGTCCGTAAAGGCGCAATGTCTCGATTCCCATCTGAGCCAGCCTCTCCCTGTCAACCTGGGGGGTACCTGGTCCATCCAGGTGAAGGATGTGTGTCACATAGGAAGTGTAAGGGATCGCGTTAAATGGCCGAATGGTCTCTGGGGACGAAGGCGAGTCATTGGAGCCTAGTGGGGGAAATCTCTCAGGACGTCTTCCACGACTTTCTTCGCCGGCCCGTGCGATAGCTTCAACGAAATCCGATGCCAGGAATGGATGAGATGGGGGACCAGTCTCTCGGTCTATTGAGCCGTTGAGAATAAGAATTTTGTGACGCGCTGGGCTAGTCATAATACTTTTCCCAACGCCGCGAAGGATGATAGCCGGTATAATGGACGTATAAAGTGAGCCTATGCTGTATACAATGGCCTGTGCGTCATTGAGAGCCTCCAAAACGCGTGGATTTGCCGGTGGGCGAATCTCTTGGCCGTAGGGATTGATGTACCACACACGGCTAATGCGACATGGTAAATCCTCGTTGTGGGCTTTGCTGAACGCGATGTTCTTATTTCGCAGGGTGGCAAGTGAGCCCGGAAGGTGATCCTCTTCGTATGAGACTGGTTCCGAGGTATCTGACAAGTCCGTATCCTCGTATTCATCCCCATCGGCAAGTAGTAGGCTAGGGCGTCTGGCTCTTTCGGTGCTCCCGAGTGCCGTTGCTTCACTGGGGTGGGAGATGCTGTTTTGCCCAACAATCACAGTTCCATCAGTGAGGGTAGCAGAGATATGATGAGAGAAATTCGAGTTGATCGCCGGAATGACCCGTACAATATCCGACTGGACACCGCATATGCTTCCGAGAAGATAAATAGCGCTCTCGAAGCTTCCACTGAAAAGTCGCGCTCCGGTTAAAAACAGGTTCCCCACGCTGGCTGAGGTGAAATCAAACGTCGATGACGGTGGTCGGGCTCGTTTGAGGATCTCCAAATTCAACATATTGAAAAAGGAGCGAATTAACTCCTTTTTCGCCGGAGTGATGGATTTCCACAAGACAGACGTGCCATCCACGATAGACAACCATTCAAGGGATGCCGCAGCTGCTTCAGCGGGCAGACGATGATTAAACAAGGTCTTAATGGCCATACGTTCTGGATGAACTGGCAAGTCCGGGATCAACCGCACCAATCTACCTAATCATGACATGAGCAAACGGTCGAACGTCGCGTGCCAGGGGCTTACTTCGAACATCACCGATCCCCGGCCCTCCGAAAATTCGAATCAACTCGGAAGAAGAGCCTCCATTATCGCTGATGGGAATGATATAGCTGAGTGGGCAGTTTTTGCTTTGCCGGATGGCGTCGAACACGTCGACCAGATTATTTGCCGCACTTCCCCCCGAGATCACGACGATTCCCCGGTTCGTGGCCATCACTCGAGCACGCGACCGACCTATATGTAACGAAGAACCTTCGAAGCCTTGACGAATGTATTAAGTCTGAATCGCTTCGATGTTGCAGAATGTTTTGGTCGGTCGGTATGTCGGACCCGAGAATGACAAGTCTGGAACCGCCACAAATGCCCAAGCCTCGAGTCTCGAGGTCTCTCACCTTCCAACTGAGCATTGAAAATTCATGGGAAAATTTAGCCGCGTCTTTACCCAGGTATAAGGGGATGGTGGCAATTTTTATAAATCATTTATATACCGGCACATATTCAAATGTTTAATTGAGTGACTATCTAACTGTAAAATTCAACGAAAATATATATATTGAATCACCACCAACCGCCTTGAGGAGGAAGCATCGCGATCTTTGCAAATTCATCAAAACTCAATTGGCGTCAATCTCTCGACAGTGTCTGGACCAGATATCGTTTCACTTCTTACACAAAGAAAGAGAAAGAAAAGACAGCTAGTTATAAGGTTCAATATGAGCAAGAATTCATATTGTGATCCTTCAAATGTTCAGCAGTCTAGTCTGTATTCATCAACATTGAACCTTGGAACACATGCATCCCTTGAAAACCCCCATTGCCTGCAAAAACCCCATATTATATTGTCCTCCATAATAATCTCAAGGACTTCAATCTTTCACCCAGACATTCAAAAAAAATATGAATTCTATTGATAAATCAGCGGCTCAGGGGAACCTTGGATCCTCATCTGCAGTCTGAGTATCCGTGTCTGATTCTGGAGTGTCTTCTCCCATTGCTCGATTCGGGCTTCACAGTCAAGAATTCGACTGCGCATTTCCTCTTTATCCATTTGATCAAGGCGAATCATCTTTTCTCGGAGCCTGGTATCTGGCTCATCTGGAATTGATGCTAGAGGCCGTTTGGCGGGTATGGTCCCCGTGGAGCTATACCATTCATTCCTCAATCTCCTTCTCAAGTACCTGTTGAAGATCAGAGGACTTTGCTCGTGGTTGGACCTGAAGGTAAACCTATAATGACTGGGACTGTGTTGTCTGTCGAAAGGCGATTTCTGTGGGAGTGAAGAATCCTGGCACGTACAGCTGGTATTACCTGGACTCCCGACTGTGGAAGATTGATTTGATGTTGTGGGATGGAGTGAATCGGTCTCTTCTTCCATATCGTTCTCTGAGCTATAGCACTCTGCGTCTTGACTGGCTGGAGCGCTAGGTGTACTTCAGGAATCAGAACAAGTAACAAATAGGCTAGACGAGGAAGCGATCGGGAAAATTGGACTTACTCTGAATGTGCCTCTTCTTCATCGTCAATTTTAGCCCATGTTTGGCCATCTAGTTCAGGCCTTCGACGAAGAGCCGTAGCCGTAGCTGGACGTGGGAGGGGCTCTCGCTCCAAGCGATCTTGTCCCGCCTCATTTCCCGAGAAAGTTTGACTTCGTCGAGGCCTTGGGAAAGCAGGTACAAAGCGATCTCTGTTGCGGGGTAGTAAGCCTGTATCTCTCACTTCGTGAGTCTCCTCATCACTAGACCACCTTGCCCTATCAGGACGTGGACCGAAATGAACACCCAAGTCCACGAGATCCCCCATAGGTGTCCGAAAATGAGTCTTCGTCTTTACAGGCCGTTGCATTAGAATTATCTGCATAGATACGATCTCATAATCATCGCGACGAGCATTGCGAGCTTTGGAAGGCTTCTCACGCTCCTTGGCATACACGCAACTCCACTCGACCTCAGGAGTCAACAGCCGTCGCTCAGCGATCAGTTGATTAATATGTGCCTGTCGAATTTCAGATAAAAACTGATACTGCTGAGCTGCAGAGATTTTGTTCGCGCGCTTCTGAACCTTCCTGCAGTAATCGCTCTGTGTCATGAGCATCTTCGTGCGCTCGACCTTGGTCCATGAGGCCTCTTCGCCTGGAATGGGGTCTGCTTTAAAAAACTTGTAACCCTCATATATGACTGTAGGTGGTTCGGAAGTGGAGGAAAAACCTATACTTCGCGTGAACCAGAGCTTCTCAAAGGACTTGACCTGGATGGTATGCTTACCTTGAGGTGGCGTGCGAGAAAATTGATTTACAACGGTCGGACCTTCTTGTTGCCATGCATTTTCAAGACCTTCAGAGTCCCTGAGAGTCATTTTTTCGAAAGAGACAGAAGCGTGTTAGCACTTAATGCAGTTTGGTAGTACTGTCTGAGGCTGCAATGAGATTGAATGTGCTGAGCACAAATAAATATGACCTGGTTAATGGGGATTCTTATAGTTTTTGGTTCTTGAGCACGAGGATATTTTTTACAAAGACCGTCTAGCCTCAGCCCGGGTAAACCAACCCAATGCGGGTACGGGGTACATGTATCCAAGCGGCTACTGGCGCAGTGGCGCCTATGATTGGCTGGAGATCCTGCGCCGTGTTTTAAGCCTCAATCTATGCATTAACCCGGGCTGAGTTACAAGGCTACCACCAACTTACAATGAGATCTACGGACCAAAGAAAATTCGAGAAAACGACGTACAATATGGTTTGCCTAATCACACGCTCTAGTTGCGGCTCTAGTCAGCCTTCGCATAGCATCGGGCAGCTACAGGATCTGACCACACACATGCATGGTTACTAATTTAGAAACATATAACTGCCACGATTCTCGACTAGGATGATCAAATACGCATTTCTAGCTACCTAGTGGGGCCAGGTAAGGAGACTCTGAGACATCTAGCCAGGAATGAAATGATCTACAGGTTGGAAATTGTTGAACAGTTCGTTAATATAGACTACGAGATCTGCCTGCGTGGCACATTGAAAAGAAAGTGGTATTGAGGTGAGGCAAGGCACTTGCATATCCTATTATAGCTGTCATGGTCGTTGCTGATGGATCCATCAATCTCATCCATATGCGCTAGCCCCCAACTATGGATCAGCTTATCCTATATAATCACACTTCATACGATGGGTCCGCACCCAAGCGCATATCACTCGTATTGAGTTCCGTGGATACCAAATAATGAACTGAGACGATAAAACCAGGGCAACAAAGAAAAAACTAGCATCATTCCAGGCCCTTCACAAATCAACAAGAAACCCGCCAGAATACTGGAACTTCCCCAATTCCAACTCCTTCATTTGCCACTGTTCAGGTTCATCCTGCCACTGATTGTAAACAGTTCTTCCCCCAGCGACAAGGCGATGGATATTCAGCTTCGCACTGTAAACCATATTATACGACCTCGCCTCATGATACGAATCCTTGTCATAAGTCTCAATATCCGAGTCTTGAGCAGCAGACCCAGCCCGCCTAAAGGTACCAATAATGCCAGGAGACGGGGCGTAGCAATCAATTCTCGGACGATCACCTAAACCTCCACACATATGACTCAAAGAGTTGTCCACCGGTTCTCCCAGGTGATCAATAGAGAGCGCAGCCAGGATTCTTCTCGCCCCGCGGTTCGACACAGCATATCCATACAAACAACATCCATTTTCGGCGTGGTAAACGTATCGTGTTGAGTCTTGGGGGTAACGTTGGGTCCAACTTTCTGGCATTTTGACCGCGCCACCTCTTTGCTTTACACTGGCGACTGTGGGGTCGTGTGGGATTGCGTAGAAGTGGGTTTCGTTCGAGCTTGGTCCACTGATACAGGTTCCTACCCATAGAACGTCCCAGTCTGTTCCGTACGGAGCGTCACGGGAAATATGTTTGTTGTCTTTGATTGTGTGGAGACCGTCCGCGAATACGGTGAGTTGGCTTTTGAGATTGACGTCCCAGTCTGCGTCATCTTCCAAGATCAGTGCAGTTGAGATGGAGTCTTCCACTATCCTGTAAAAAATTTTGTAAGTACAAGCGTGGAGTCTTCGGAAGGGTAGATGCTCACTTGGTCAATACGTTCATGTGGGCACGCCAGGCCGCGTAAATCGTCTTTGTTCCCTCCTCAAGATTGATGCCCTGGAAAATTTTAGCAAAAATCACCACGTCACTCAGGTCGTGCGTACTTTAGGCATTGCCTTCTGGATTAGGCTATCTGGGCGTACTCCATTTAACCATTCTACCTTGAAGCCTGATAAAGAGGCTGCCACGCTGAGGAAATCGCGTTTGTCGGTACGCTCTGGCAAGCCGATAGCGTATACCTTTTCAAACTGAGAATTTATGGTAAGCATAGTAACAGATACATTAGAGTAATTACCAACCCCGAGAGTTTCATTATGAATGTGGTCATAGGTGCCCGACGCAAAAGCACTTCGAGCAAACTCGGGTACCTGTGTAGTCCACGGAGCGTGCGCGGAGCGGGTGAGCAGTACGTGGAGGAGAAAGTATGCGGCCGACCCTGCAAGTAATATCTGAACGACTTGAGTGACTTTGGGGATCATCTTGTAGATTATCGTATTCGATTGGAGATTATTGGCAGCGAAATGATGTCCACATTGGACTCGATCGATTGGTGGATGTTGTTTGAAATGTTTTCCCTACGATTTGTGGAAATTTAGAAAAGATGGGGTTTAGCTTCTAAAATGTCAGGGAACAGCTTAATTCAACCGTTTGCGTAAAGATGATATTTGCGCGGATTCATCTAGATATTGTCGCCAAAATCCTGAAAACGGAATTGGAATGCCGATCTCAACGAGTTGCCGCACGTTCAGCCAAAGCCCGATTTTGAAAATTCTTCTTTGTAATATACGAGGTAATATGCTCAGGAACCTCAGATAATTGATTCCCATCACTAGGAATCGGCTCTCCATAAGTCTCATAGACAGGAACCACCCCCGTCCAAACGCGGTCGGTGACCTCCGGTCTCTCTGTATCTTTACGGTCATCAGACGGCGGCCCGTCCCGAATCTTCCCACTGCCATCAACAATCTTAACTCTCAGAATAACAGTGGAAGACATCTCCGCACGATCAGGAGGTACACGCGTATTATCCCAACGATCGGCCACCACGGAGTTAGTGATCAGCTTCATCGCCCAAAGCTTCTCTTCTTCATCCGTGACCAGCTTTGCATATCCATGGAGAACCACTGAGCGATAGTTATAGCTATGCGAGTTTGGTGTCAGGGACATGACAAGTCCATCTACCTTGCTGGTAGCGATGCAGAGAGGGAGACCGTTGTCGGAATTGCGTGCTAGGTTCATAATCCGGGAGCTGACATAGCCGTGCAGGTAACATTCCAGAGGCTCATCGATGCCCGCAGATGGGAATTCGAATGATCCCATCTGTCCGATCATGGGTAAGATTGTCGGAAAGGGATCCTCCGGTCCTGGATTGAAGGAGACATTGAGAACCTGAGATTCGTTGATAATTGAATGAATTGCGCCAAGGTCATATGTTGCTATATATGTCAGTGTGATGGTTGTGCTTCTGTTTGGGTCTACTTACCGCGAGTGTTGTATCGGTTGACTGTGTTGGACGAGCGCTTGGGATAGGTGAGGGTTCGTCCCATCGTGGCTGGTACAATGTTCAAGAGCAGTTGACTTGAGCGATGAAATGTCTACTGATCAAGATGCAAAAGGGAAAATAGACATGGCTTTATACTTTGGGTACTGATAAGCTACTATGGAAGGAAGTACCTTGCCAAACCCATTCTTACATATTGAAATTTATACGAGTGGTCTATTGATTGGTTTAAAGATCAGTTCATTCTAAATTGGTGACTCATCGCGTTTAGAGTAACTTGTTGCCCTTCGGTGACTCCCGACTGTGGGGTCGAGTAAAGCAGCAAATCGGCTTGCACTGATTGGTTCGTCGCGCCGACGCCTTTTAAGTGCGCCGAAAGTCACGATAAACTAATGGCGTACTATGATGAGACAATGTTGCATTTTATAACCAGACTTGGGTGATTTCAATAAGGGCCAGATCATATCGCTAACCTTGGAAACGTATTCCAGCCTGAATCCTGCATTCCAGAGCCAGTCTCACCACTCCGATGACTCAGACTTTAACCTGTGAACATTATATTTTCTATAGACAAAGATACATCCAAGGTTAATAGCTCCGAGGCAAATCCAATACCTTCTCACTAACATAATTCAAAATCATCTCCCGACTCACAGGCGCAATCCTAGGAACAAAACATTCCCGCATATATCTTTCCACATCATATTCCATCGCGTAGCCCATACCACCATGTGCCAAAACCGCTCTTTCACAAGCCGTGAAAGCCGCTTCGGCTGCCAAATACTTCGCGCTGTTACAAGCGACGCCGATCGCATGCATGGGGATAGTACCGTCATTCGTATCGTAAAGTCGAGCAGCATGGTACGTCGCAAGCTTCGCCGCCTCTAATTTCATATACGCATCCGCCAAAGGATGTGAGACGCCTTGATTCTGACCTATAGGTCGGCCGAAAACCACACGATCTTTTGCGTACTGCGCGGCTTTTTCCAGCGCTGCGTACCCAAGACCGAGAGCTTCGCCTGCTAGCAAACATCGCTCGGCATTCATACCGTGTAGGATAATCTTGAAGCCATCGTTCTCTCGGCCGATGAGTGTGTTTGCTGGGATGGTATAATTGTCGAAGAATACTTCATTCGCATCCACGGCGCGACCGCCCATTTTCTTGATCTTGCGCATATCTAGACCTGGTTGGTCGCGGTTGAGGTCAATGCAGAACATGGATAGACCCTCTGTTGACTTTTTTACCTCTTCGAGCGGGGTGGTTCGAGCCAAGAGGATCATTTTCGACGCAACTTGTGCACATGTAATCCAGATCTTTTGACCGGATATGGAGTACCCGTCTGCCGTCTTTGTTGCCAATGTCTTGAGCTTGAGGGTTTCGAGGCCGGTGTTTGGCTCGGTGACTCCGAAACAAGTGCGCCATGTTCCATTAATGATGTTGGGAATAGTAGTCTCGAGTTGTTCTTGAGTGCCAAATCTTGCGAGCGGCTGCGTGGCATATACGTTGGCGTGGATGGCTTGCGCTCCCGCCATGCCTGCACCAGACTGCGTAATAGTCTGCATCATCATTGTAGCTTCGGATATACCTGAAGTCGATCAATATCAACAAAATTTACTCTCTCGACCGGGGAAATTACATACCTAAACCTGCTCCGCCAAGAGCTTCTGGTAGAGCGATTCCGAGCCAGCCATCCTTTGCCAATGCGGCGTGAAACTCCCTTGGATCTTTCTCCTGCTGGTCGTGTTCCTGCCAGTATGTATTGGGGAACTTGGAACAAATATTTGAAATAGCGTCTCGAACAGTAAGCTGTTCCTCTGTGAAACCCGTCATCTCCATGAGCTCACATCGAGCCGAGATGGAAAACGATGCGCGCGCCAGGGGCAAAGGTCCTGACACCTGGACAGGTGATACGCATCGCGACCGTAGGAGAGTCTGCCAACTAGATCGAAACATGATTGTTGTTGTAGTTGTCTTGGTGAGCTTGAGTGGGTTATTTAAGGTGCGCCATATCCGGGACCCGCATTTACACTGGCATACAGCCGATTTCGTGAGTCTTACTCACCCCGTGTCATGTAGCCGAATTACCGAGCTAAGCACCATGCAGTAATAATATGCTTGCTCCATTCGTACTGGAGCTTATCGACTAATTCTACTTCAAATCTATTAGAGACCGTGAAAATATGCTACTTTAGCTCATGGTGCGAAATAGATGGCAGTTTGACCGGTGCTTGGATCCAATGACCTCACTGAGGATAACTGCTTCGTCTGAAAGTATTTGATTCATTGAAATTGCGTAAAGTGTAAGAAATCATATCTAGAGGAACTAATTGCACTTGCGATAATCTAAAGCGCCCAAAGCATTTTTTACATGCATAAAAAACAAAAAGAATGCAGGAAACCGAGGAGTCATGATGAATAGCGCCGGAAATATCGCTCTCGATCCAAACAAGCAAAAAGAGTTCTATGCGAAGAAAGTAAAGCCTATCGCAGCAGCAATCAAAGAATACTTAACGGACAGCCTATCAGCAGCGCCAGTGAAGAAGGGGCTGGCTCCAGAGGGTGAGGCACCAGGGACAGGGTGGAGAGTGTGTTCAGGCGACAGAAAGCTGCCCGAAGGCTTCGGAATGACAGGCTTCGAGGTTTGTGGCGATCCCAGAGGGGTTGCGGGAGCTGAATCTCCTCCAAGGCCAGGGTTGAGAGTGTGTTCAGGCGACAGAAAGCTACCTGAAGGCTTCGGAATGACAGGCTTCGAGGTTTGTGGCGATCCCAGAGGGGTTGCAGGAGCTGAATCTCCTCCAAGGCCAGGGTTGAGAGTGTGTTCAGGCGACAGAAAGCTGCCCGAAGGCTTCGGAATGACAGGCTTCGAGGTTTGTGGCGATCCCAGAGGGGTTGCGGGAGCTGAATCTCCTCCAAGGCCAGGGTTGAGAGTGTGTTCAGGCGACAGAAAGCTGCCCGAAGGCTTCGGAATGACAGGCTTCGAGGTTTGTGGCGATCCCAGAGGGGTTGCGGGAGCTGAATCTCCTCCAAGGCCAGGGTTGAGAGTGTGTTCAGGCGACAGAAAGCTGCCCGAAGGCTTCGGAATGACAGGCTTCGAGGTTTGTGGCGATCCCAGAGGGGTTGCGGGAACTGAATCTCCTCCAGGGCCAGCAGTGGGCTTGTGGTGGTGGTGGTGAGTGGTGGGTGTAGTCATGACAGGTGCCCACGGGCTAGTAGGGTTTAACAAGGCTGCATCTGCACCACCCGGTGCTTGATAAGGGGAGACCAGTCCCTTGGAAGTAGTCTTCTGCCCAGCTGCTCCTTCATGCGAGGTTCCCCCCCCGACTTGAGGTTCAAGGTCAAAGGTTGGTGCAGCAGGGGTGGTCTGTGAGACGTGGGCGGAAGGAACAACAGTTGCTGCAGCGTGGGTAGTCTTTGATGAGTGTGGGGTATGCGTGGCCTCAGCAGGGATATCGTAAGTAATCTCCGACGCGTGTGAGGCGGTCGAGGCATGGTCGAAGGGTACAGCTGACGGTTCAGCGTGACTATTCTCCGATACATGGGGGACAACTGAGGCATATGCAGGCGCAGCGTGGGTAGTCTCCGATACATGGGGAACATCTGAGGCGTACGAAGACGCAGCGTGGGTAGTCTCCGATACGTGGGGGACATCTGAGGCGTACGAAGACGCAGCATGGGTAGTCTCGGATATATGAGGGACATCAGAGGCATACGCAGGCACAGCGCGGGTAGTCTCCGATACATGAGGGAGATTTGACGAATGGGCCGAGAGTACGACGGATGATGCGGGGTGGATAAACATAGACGCATGGGAAACTTGTGAGACATGGGTAGAAGAAACGGCGCTCTTAACGACCTGATGGCTGGATAAACTTTCAGACGAAGTGCAGATGGTCGTAGTGTCAGTGACGAACTCCGTCACATACCGGGTGGTGACAGGTTTCGCATGCGTAGCAACAGGCGCTTGCTCAATCGATGCTTCCATAGTGGGCTTAGAGAATGTTGACTTAGCGAATGAAATTGGATGAACATAACCCAATGTCAGAATAACGTCTTCCGCATCGGAGGCATTGTCGGATGAGTTGATAGATTCACCCGTTAGGCGGTTAGCCACCGAAGCCGAAGTATCAGAAGGTCGGTTTACGTGGGTCTCAGTCGCAGTCTTAGTCGCATGAGTGTGCGTGACTGGCAATGAAACCTCGTGGCTAGCAGAGACATGCGAGGGAGCCGAGTCTGTGGCTTTCACCCCAGTCTGATACACCTTGACGGAGTTGATTTCCCAGTAGGTCTCCTTGAACTTGGCGGGGTTCTGTGCGACATAGTTGGTGCAGCTTTGGAAGGAATCCGTGCTAGTCATGGGGCAACCAGAATCCCCAAAGACACCGCCAGCCCAGTCGCCACAGAATGTGACGTCGAAAACGAATGATTGCGCTTTGAAACTGTTGGCGACATCACAGCCTTCCTGTACCAGAGCCATTGGAATTCCGAATTCGCTGGTATCGGGATCATCGCTGGTAATCGAAGCAGGAATGGCGTGACGCGGGAAGAACCAGATCTTGAGAAACTCCTCTGTCCACTCTAGAGCGTACACACCTCCACCCTGGTTGTTGAATGAAGTGCCATAGCTGCCCTGTTGGCCCTCCACGACACAACCCACAGGTCCCAGTGCCTCGCCGCATCCCGTCGCGTTGACATATCCGCTCATGCCTTGATCGGTCAAGGCACAAGTACCAGCTGTATGCATAACAATCTCGTTGTGATCCTGGAGATTGACTCCTTCAATAATATCAATCTCACCATCCTCTGGCCACTTTCTGCCAACGGTCCAGAAGGCAGGCCAAGAGCCACAAACACTTCCGGGCATGTGCGCGATATCGGCAATGACCAAAGATTGCTCGTAGTATTTTGTGGTGCCGATGCGCACCGAGTCACGCCCTTTGCCACTAGGGCTGAGGGTAGTTGTGTGATCAACACCGATGTATACAGTGCCCTTGTCGGTGATCTTGACTAGTCCTGCGCTCTCTGCACTGTCCTGGTCAACATAAGTGACCCATCCCTTCGTTGGATCCTTCCCGGTGTAAAAATGGAAGTAGTCGAAGAAATCCTCTCCTTGCCATGTCTCCACCAGTTCATAGTCACTGGCGATAGCTGGCGATGCGAGCGATAGAAGAAACAGCGATCCAGCGCCGAGAGAAAGTGACGAGGCCTTCATCTTGCATGAACTATTGAACCACGGCAACACAATTCGGTGCTCGTTTGGTCTGTAAGAAAAGATGGTCACACCAGCCGATGTGGAAGAAGGGATATAAAGGGATTCAACCATTGACGAGAATAGAAAGAGCGCCAAAAAAGGTTTAAATCAGGAATGATGACAATCGTGGGTTGTCAACACAAGTCAACAAAGAGAGCAGAAGGAATGTACGGAGTCACCATGGGGTGAGTGAATGGCATTGAGGTATTTTGCCTGGCCCACACCAGGACCATTCACTGCTCATCTCCACCAGGAAAAGTGCAGTCGGACCCTGAAGGCTACTCGTTCCCCTGGAAAGTGGCATATTCGGGATCTCGGTAGTCAGGGCCCGGCAGATACATTCACCCAATGGAAGCGATCGTCCATTCTTCACTGGATGAGAAAATGGAGACATCCGTGTAGTGAAGCAGCCAAGTGGCGCCTGTAGTCAAGATGAAACGCCAAAGCTCGCCAGGGTCGCCTCCAAACAATGTGAAACAGGAGAATCCATCACCAGTTCGAAGAACATCCAGGACAAGGTTCTCCAGAGCTGTGTTCAGGTTTCGTGGATGTACATTTGTGTTCTATCCCAATTTAATCGTGTGGGGCCCCTTAATCGGCGTCGCATACCGCGACAAGTGCCATCTCACATTCTTTGGTTGCGAAGCGCGACCGCGTCGTGAAAGTAATGTAAATAGTCTGGAACGCATGAGAGGCAGCGCTTGAATAAAATCTTCGCCAGGTGATGACAACAGGTGTAGGCACGTAGACAGGAATTGCAGGATAAGATTAGAAAGAAGATCGCTCTCCTAGATGTGTAGTAAACATGGGCGGGCCGATCCTCGGCAGGGCCCGATTGGACTCTAGAGACACGTCCACCCAGACACTTTGAAGCCTAGCTGTTAGTCATCCTCTATGTGCCATCTGGCTAGAAGTACCTAGAAGGCACCCTGATGCAGTTTAATTTGGACTAATTATCTTCTTTGCTACATTTCGTCTTTTTACATCACTACTCATTCCTTGTTTGACTGATCAGGGGCTATCGCTGCGAGCTCATTGAGAAGGTCGCAGTTGCCGTTAATAATTAATTTTCAAGAACTTGAAGCTCTAGATGTCAAGTTGGACTAGAATATTACGTGAATCTTGAAAGACAAACGCACGTTGAAGATCATCATCATTATATTTACCTGAAGGGTATCAACAAAAGAAAATCTAACGCTTATGGAAACAACCGAGGACTCCAGATTTCACCAGGAACCAAAGCGATCCAACAAATCGGAAAAGTGACAGACCAACCGTCGCCCACATAACAGCCATAATATAACCCCAGACACGTGTTGTGGGGTAATCCGTTAAACAAAACCTACCGATTCCATTGCTGTTTAGCACAAGAACCATGATGATGTTACTGAACGCCCATAACAGCACAAGATTGGTTCGGAAAAACTTGTACGAATCATCCATGCTCTTGCTCTCCTCGTCTGCGGGTGGCTCGAAGGGAGCAAGAGCTCGCTTGACCGTGACCTCAAACGCGGAATCGATATCGACTTGAGGTCGTTCCACTTCTTCGATGACTCGGGACTTTCCTTCTTTCGTGATCTGCGCTTCGGGAAGCTTGTCACCCTTGTCTTTCACTGGTGTGCCTAGTGAGACGTCATGCCAGTTGCAGAAGGCGTATACCATCATGATGTTGGTGGAGCATATGGTTCCGGCGTAGGCAGCCCAGGAGGATGTAAGGACGTGCCAGGGATCCATGTAGAGGAGACTGGTGACGATGTGGACACCATAGGTACAAACGATAGAGATCACAACCATATTCGAAGCTGAGGCATTCCAGGTCTCAGTCTTGATGGCATCTTCGTCCAGATCAACGTTGAAATTGCCGTTGATGTTGTTGGCGACGACGTAGAATGCCAAAACTGTCACGTATAGCTGGATGAAAGCGAAGTACATGAAAGTGAGGAGGTACAACAGGCGAGAGCTAATGAAATTAGTATGGCTGTGAGCGTAAAAGAATTTACCACTTACCCTTTCGGTCGGTTTCCGAGAGATAAAATGAATTGAAGAAGCAGGAACACACCGTAGCCGTACTTGAAGAATGTATGTACGATCGGAGAGGCTTCATTACCAAAAGGCCACGCGGAATCATTATTGAATGTACCAGGAGTACCCACGAGGTTCAAGATGCCTGTGCTGATCAACCAGAATGAGGCTGCATAGGTCAGTAAGGAGAAGCCACTACAAGACCAAGAGACATACCGAGTGAGAACCAAGTCAATATCAGATTCGAGAAATCATAGATCACTTGCAGGTAGAAAAGCATCAATCGAAGTATGTTATGCCGACTCCTCAAAATGCGATCAAAATGGATGAAAGCGTAAAGATTCGCAGCAAACGAACCATTCAGCCAAATTCGTCGCTGATTGATGAAATCCGTAAAATCCCTAGGAACTTCCGCTTCACACTTCGCAGCCTTGACAAACGACAAATGCCATTTCGATCCAGCCTTGGCAACCAACTCGAAGGACAAGATTCGATCTCCAGCGAAGAACATGTTCTTCTTAAAAATGCTCATTCCCTCTATACCCTTTTTACCAAGCTTCTTCGACAGGCCAATATCTCCATTGAAATACTGTTCCAAGGGGCGGCCCATAATGGCTCGGTAGCGGTATGCCGAAAATGCACCAAGGTAAACGTGTCCAAATACACTTTCCAATGGTTTGTCGAGGATGTTGGATTTCATATAGTCGAAGGTCTGGGCTGCGATGAAGGGATTGATGATGGATCGCTTATCCCGCAGTGCACGAGTCTCGCCGCAGGATCCACCGAGATTCTCGTTGTTGTAGAATGCTTGCCATAGGTTTAACAGGGATCTTCTTTCGGGTTTTGTACCTGCGTCCAGAAGCACGACCACTTCTGGGTTCAACATGCGACAGAAACCGTTGAAGAGCCATCGGTGAGAGTTGATTTTATTGCTGGTCTGTTGTTTTAAGCACAGGATCATCTGTACGGGCGGAAGATTGGTTGACTCATCACCCTTTGGTCGAACAAGCTGCTGATCCGGTGTGACGGAAAGTTGCGTGGTATATTCAAACTGCGCATGTTAGTCAGGGAGTCAGAGCAAGATAAGAGGATCACTCAACGATATGTGCCACCGTCTCTCTGCCATCAACGGATTTCTTCATGACACCCTCCTGGTAAACACCAATAGTCGCCAACACATCCAAAGTATTCTTGTCACATGGATCAATTCCATCGAATACCAGGCAACAGACAATCTTCTGCCAAGCCGGCCCACCCTTATTCCAGAATTTGGACTTTCTGAGACTGGTAATATCCCGAATATTCTGCATAACGCCATGTAAGGTCCGTGCGGTGAGAACCTTGTTCTCACTTTTGCAAGTGATTCCAATCATCAACTCGGTATGCCGACTATACATTGTTGGGCGAAGGTTATAACCATTGCGCATCACGAATTCGTCAGGGTCGCATGTTGCAGCGGTATCTAATCAAATCAGTATAAAAGATTCCCAATCGCGATCAGAACGACTCACATCGCATATGAGAAAACTCCTCGGCGAATTCCTCGGTGTCTCGATATTCTTTTTGCATCGCATTTTGAATTGCGCTTGGCACAGGGTAATCAGCACTCAAGACGAAACCTTGCACGAGTTTAATTTTTCGCGTCGGATAGCGCCGAATGCCCTGTCCCTGCGCAAATGTTTGCGCAAATGATCGCCGCTGTACTGGGGTTCCATTGCCATAAAATGACTGTCGAGTGCCTGCTCGTCCTTCGCCATAGAATGACTGCCGAGTTCCGGGTGTATCTCTCCCATCGTAGCCGAATTTCTGCTATATGTCGCGTAAATCGCATTAGCCTATGCGCTGCAGAGAGATTCCCCGGGGGCTCGAGACCTACATCAAGTGACAATGAACCTGTACTCTCACTATATTCCCTCGCATGTGAATTAAAGTAATCGGTCGCGTGAGAAGGGGCGGGGGATGCCGAGCCAGGAGTACCCATTGCGCGTAGCTCCCCGATAAAACTCGAACTCGAACTTGAAACTTGAATTGAAAGTCAAGAAATCGGAAGATGAGAAGAGATCTCAATTAAAGCTGCGCGTTTGCAATTTAGCGAAATAAAAACATGGAATTGACATGCGCTAGCACATACGGGGAAATGCCGCGTGTTCTGAACGTTGACTTGGTGCGAATTATGACGGCGATCGGGTTACGAGATTAAGATTAGGACTTGATGATCGTCAGCCCTGCTAGAAAAGACCTCGGGGATTTGCCAAGACCTAAAAGATCTACTACGGAATAAAAAAAAGATGTCTCGGCGTTAGGACCGAGAGAATCTAGGGAAGGTCCAAGTTTTTTTCTCTTTCAGGACTGGATATGATTGGAGACATGGGACGTGTGGCCCATGGACGACGAAAAGGATGATGGTTTTTCTAGAAGCTGCGCAACGGTCGTACGTCAGCGGGCATCGTGGCCCACCATGGACTGATACAGAGACTGGTGGACAGGGCGTAATTGGGGTGGAATTCATTATAGTACTACGGAGTACAGTGACAGCTAACAATCTGTTTGAAAAGAAATTGCTCGACAGATCCTGTCAATTCATGTCATATTTTCGTGTTCCATTGACTTTACAGGTAAAACATAAACCATGGGCCACTGCACGCTGCAATAATTATTTGCCGAGTGGGGAAGATGTACAATCTATCATTGGTTGAACTCATATTGCTTCAACGACCCACTCCATCGCTCCCCGGTAACGAACGCGAGGGCCTACGTTGTCAGTATATTATTAGAGTGATGATTCCCTGGTGAAACATGAAGGCGTTGTAAAGGAGCTTGTTGATTCCGTGTACCTGAGAGCTTGGGATAATCATTTCCCACTTCACCTTCCCCTGACCACGTATTATTAGGATCTGCCGCAGAGCTCGTCCCGTAGTGGATTTTTTGCGGGTGTTTTTAGTGGTTGAACTGTGGGTACTGGGAGGGAAGAAATCAGAAGTGCTACGCTTTATTGAACTTAAACTTTCCATTTATTGATATAAAACATCTCTGAAGAATATTTGGTCACTTTGATGGGGGTGCAAAAGAAAATTGAGAATCCAAATGAAGATCAAGGTGAAAGCTACAATCCCATGAGAATCGATATATGTCTACATGTCGGGATGTTCAAGTACAGATTCCGTGGCGTGGGTCTTTTCTAAAAAGCTTATCCAGGCGATGTCAGAATGTCTCACTTGAGTCTTGATCTATTTTTACAATTCGCTCGATGACTCGGAGTTGGATACTGTGATCTAATGACAACCAATGAATTGATCAATTTGAATTTGTAACACAATCCGCTTATATAGGAATTGGCCCCTCATGCACCATTTCCCCGCTTCTGCAGCTCCCCGCGCACCCCGGGCAAAATATACCGTCCGTAGTCAATAGCATCGTTAAGGTTATCATACCCGCGAATAGATATAAGCTCAGCACCAAGATCAACATAATCTAAAATAGAATCAATGATAGTCTGATGCGATCCGACCAAAGCGGTAGAAGCTCCACGCGCATTTGTCGCAGTGACAGTAGGGTACCAAAGAGCACGATCCTGAACTTCACCACGAGCAGCAATATCCAGCAACCGCTGGGATCCCACATTCTGAGGGGGCGGCGCATTAGCCGGCGCTTTCCCTTGTCCATTCGCGCGATGTGCGTTCAACGCATCCAAGGTCTTATGTGCCTTTGCCCAGGCAAGCTCATCAGTCTCCGCGACAATAGGACGGAACGTAACCCAGATACGTGGTCGTTCGCTCACAGGACGACCCGCCTTGTCTGACTCGGCGTAGATTCGATCGATCTGCTCTTTTGTCTCCTTGAGTGGCTCGCCCCAGAGTCCGAAGATATCCGCCAGGGAACCGCCGATGCGATAGGCTTCATCTGAGGAGCCGCCGACCGAGACGGGGATGGTTCCGTTGACGGGGCGCACCTTGTTGCTGAACTGTTTGAACTGGTAGTACTCGCCGTCCCAGTCGAATGGGTCAGCGGATTCCCATGCTCGGCGGAGGATGCGGATGTACTCCTCGAGACGCGCGTATCGCTGTTCTTTGTTGAGGAAGTCACCCTCTCTGGCTTGTTCCACGTCACTTCCACCGGCGATAAAGTGGACGACGGCTCGACCGTTGCTGAGCTGGTCCAGCGTTGCCAGGGCCTTGGCGGCGACGGTTGGATAGAGGGTATTTGGACGGAGCGCGATGATCACTTTGAGGTTTTTGGTGACGGCGGCGATAGTGGCACCGACGGTGAAGGGGTCAAAATAGGAGGAATCGTATGGCACCAAGGTGTAGTTGAAGTCATAGTCATCCAAGGACCGGGCATATCGGGTCAAGTACGCCGGATCAATCGCCGCACCAGGAATTGGGTTTAGCTCCGTTGAAGCATTGGGAAAGGTAAGACTGATAAATTCAGTAGGCATATTGGATTAAATGCAGTTATTTCTTTGCGTGGACTAAATCTCAGGTCTTTCACGATGGGGAAATGCTTTTTATACTTGTTAATCCGGGGAATTTCCGATTATCAATATCCGAGGTGCAGATGGTGCAACCTGGTCCAGAATGGCGTCTTATCACGAACAGGGGATGATTGTAATCCATATCAGTATTCACTATTAAGAGAGGTCTATGAACTCGCGTTCTAACCGTTTCGAGGGGTTAGGGTGAGGTGTGATGAGGGGTTTGTGCATGGCATCAATAGCCCCGGAATCACGTCATGACTTTATGCCTTTGCTGACATATAATCATTCGCCTTATCTGATTAATCTCAGCAAGTCACTAATATGCCCTGACCAATAATTCCAAGTCTTGAGATACCAAAGAGTCGACCAGTGTCGTTGTTGATCTGACCATTTTGGGTCTAGTGCCCTTTGAGGCTCTAACATACCTCAAGCTTCTCCCACGTATATTTTCTTCACCTTTTCAACCAGCAATCTGATTACTTCATTATTGTATCTTTGCACTTTTTTATGTGCAGCTTGGAAAATGATAAATCGCACAATTGGGTTGACTGGTGTAGTAGTAAATTTCTTTCACATCACTGTTAGATTTATTTTAACCTTTCACGGTCAGGCATATTTACCCAGCAGGAACACAATTAGTAAAGGAGGGCTACAGATAGCAATTGTTAGGTTTTCGTATTCTATATCCATGTACACATCAGTGTTTCGCGTGATGCATATTGGTGTTCCCATCACTTGCCGTATATGGTAGAGTATTTACAGATCAAGCTCCATTGTGAATAGAAGCCGAAAACCTTGGAGTCAATACACCAATCAAAAGGGTCAATTGTCATGAAGAATGCAGGGCCTCCAATCATCTCCAGTCGCTTGGATAACCTCAACCCGAGGGCCCATCCGACCACGGCATTGGCTGGACGTGGTTTGCGATGGCGATAATCTGCCCCACCAATCCACCGGAACCGAATAAATTCTCTCTGGAATGATTCCCCGAGTAGAAAAACTGGAGAAAAAGATTTTGCCGGTTAATTCCCAATTGCGCCAACCGTAAAAAACCACCAACCTCCAAGACCCTGTTATTACATGGGTCTGTGATGCGCCATGTCCGAAATTGTATATATCACTGTTGAACCATCAATCCGGGTAGACGGAGCCACTCCAACGCAACCCGACTGGATCCATCCACACTTAATTGACAGTATCGATCCAGTCAAGGGTCGCCAATTTCGGGTTTCGGATCATATTCCCAAAGGAACATGTCTTCTTGTCGACCGCCCTTACGCAATTATTCCGGTTGTTGATGAACCAGCGGTCAATGAGAATCTTATTTGCAGCAATCCCGCTTGTAATCGTCGGGTTCCACTCGATTCTCAACGATGCTCATGCTCGAATACTTGCATAGCAGATGTGGCATGGTGCAGCTGTACCTGCCGAACCCTAGATCAATCTCGCCATACCTTTGAATGCACATGGTTGAAAAAGTATGCGAATCCAATTCGATCCAAATGGGGCGAATATGAATTTGGAATGCTGTGGTTGATTGTTCGTCTACTTGCCACCCGGCAGGGCGAAGTTCAAAACCCATCAGCTATCAATGATGTTCGATCTTCGCGGGGGAAACACGGCTGGGATGGTATAAACATGCTTTGCGGATCTTCTGAGACTTGGCCTCATGACAAAGTTCGATCTTGGTCCAAATTGGTCAAGAAATATCTCCAGAGCAGCCAGACATTGCCACACGGGCTAAGCACCGAGCGAATTCTTCATCTTATATGCCAAGAAGAGGCAAATTCGTTTGGCCTTTATCCAAGGGAAACTGGCGTTTTCCCTATCCCAGTCCCCTTCGTTGACAGGGGAGAACAATTTGCGGCTGCCGTATATCCCACCGCAGCAATAGCCAACCACTCATGTTTGCCAAACGTAAGTTGATCAAGCCGGATTATTATGAATGAAATACCTAACCATCTTATCAGATTATCCACAAGGCCGATGATCAAGGCCGAATGGTGTTTACTGCATCTCGAGACATTCTCAAAGACGAGGAATGCTGCATCTCGTACTTCGATCTCACAAAATATACCGAAATTACCATACGCCGTCGACATCTTAATAGCGCCTTTCGGTTTACGTGCAAGTGTGAGCGATGTGTTTCTGAGGAGACTATTGAGGACTCATCATCTCAGAGCACGATACCAATGGATGTCATGGGGTTGTCATGAGGTGGATGGCTGCCATAGTGAGAATGCCGCCCTTTATTTTGATTAAGTGCATAGCGTATACCAGGGAAATTTTCTCCGCCCAGTGCTCCTTTCTTTCGTTTTGTCAGTTGATTGTACGACGATGTCAACCAAAAATGGGTCTATTGCTGTGAAATATAAAGTATAGATAGAACATGTGAAATAAACATTAACAACAACTAGACAAACACAAGCAAAATGACTTTGGCAATGGCATTGATCTGGTCGATTCAACTTCATATTCAGTTGTTAATCTCACGCTTGAGCTTTCAAGTCCGTGCTCAATCAGTTTCTAGGACCTTCATAGCTCATCTTTACCGCTCTCTTGAAACTTCGTGAAAGTCGGAGCCGTTTTCTTCACCATGGCCGCCAATATATCGATAATCAAGTCCGCTGCCGCGACCGAGGTTGTCTCCGCAGTCGAATCATAAGGTGGACTAACCTCTACGACATCAGCCCCGACCAAATTGAGTCCCTCTAAGCCACTGATATATCGCTTAAGCTCGCGAGTCGTCCATCCACCAGATTCTGGCGTTCCAGTCGCAGGTGCAATACTCGGATCCAAGACTACCCAATCCAAACTAGTCAGCACCACCAAACAACCGCAAGGAATAACATACCGTCAATATCAATAGAAAGATAAACCGGATTATCTCCAACAACATCCAAAGTCCTCTTCACAATCCCATCAACCCCAATATCATCAATCTCTCTCGCCTCAATCCTATGAAACCCAACAACCTCATCAATCTCATAATCCCTCACCCCAAACAGCTTCGTTCCCAACCCCCCATGAACACTAGCACCCTTATTAATACATGCCTCCCGACTCGCATGCCAAAAGAACGTCCCATGCGTAATAGCAGACTGTTCCGACGCAATCCCCGTATACCCCTCATATGGATCCCAAGTATCCAAATGCGAATCCAGATGAATCACCGAAATAGGTCCATACACCTCTTCAGCGAGCGAAGAATTGGTAACACGATCGAATAATCTCCTCCTAAGCTGATGATTCTCGGATGAGTCCACCCATCAGGCTTGGTGTCCGTCGTCGGGTGGTGGAGGACTTGTCGATAACCCTGTTCCATTTGCTTGAAGGCGTGGGCTGCGTCAAAGGGGGTGATGGGGATGTCACCACAGTCCAGAATGCTGAGACCTTCTTCGAAGGGGTCGATTCCCCATACGGGATTGTAGCTTCGGCCTTTCTTTTCGCGGGAGGAGCCAGTGCGGATGCCTCGTGGTCCGAAGCGGGCGCCAGGGCGGTAGGAAGTGCTTGTGTCGTAGGGGAAGCCTAGGATGGCGATGTCTAGGGGCTGTTGGGGTGTTAGTTCATGTGCATTGTGGATGTGTATATATGCTGAGGTTGGATGGGTTATATAACTTGTTCGTGATCTGCAGCTAGACATCTTTGCCATTCGAGATGAGCGAATGTCACGGGTTGAGAGAAGGGAAGGTCTTTGTCGAGATCTGCATGAGTCCTATGCATGAGCTTTTCTGATATTGTTGAATACGGGAGAAGTTATGGATATACCTTCAATTGGATGCCCATAGTCGCCCACGTTGAGAGCAGAGACAATGGGAAGAATCCGTAGTAGTGATAACTGAGATAACTTCATTCTGGATTAAGGATGATTTTGTAAACAATTCAGCATTGCAACACTTTGCTTAAGCGATTTTATAGTAACTCGACTCCCCTCGTGCGGGGTTATCGATTTCGCTGGCTCTTACCTTGATAACGGGATCCCCGCACGACATTGCAGTAATCAATACATGATTGGAAGGAATAGCGAGTGGCATGCAGTACTAATGCATAATCGACAGCCATGGAAAAGAGCTGTAAACTAACCTCTTACTAAGTACTCCACTCAATGTCCTAATAGTCTGTTTTGAGAATAGCAAACTCAACATCTGAACCTCATTGAAGAACCTTGAAGTGTTACTTTGAATTGGAGCACCCGGATATTTAAAATTCTGAATCGTCAAGGGCCTGGTATCATAAAGCTTCATTTATGAAATTGCGAAGTCCAACTCAACTACCTGCCAAGTCTAGGATTGGAATAGATTATCATTATGACCAACCTTTCATGTCATGACTTCCTCCAAGGGTGTGAGTAATCACACCACTTGAACATCATCTAACGCAATGCATGTTGATCAGCCAATGGGGAATAAGTCTGATTTGACTTCCTGCCCTCCAAAGCACCTCAAGGGTAGATAAGATAAGATCGGTAGGGTCTATTTGTGCAGTATCTTGTGAACGATGTTGAGCAGTAAAGAAAAAAACTAGATGATCATTCAGATCATTGGAATGTAGATTAATAGATGCACATGCTAGCTCATGAATTGACAAATAATCCCAAATGAGACCATAGCTACATAGTCATGGAGGGGGAGGGGCATCGGATGATGTCAGCCCCTCCGCGGTTTCGCCATTGGCCGGAAGCGGGAAAAGCGGCGAATCAATAAACTTTTTTTCTCGCGTGGACATTTGAAGAACTTGATCCCGACGACACCAATTGATTGTTCATTGGAAGTTCTCGAGGTTCTGCATTTTGGCGCATTTCTGAACATACTGAATTGGTACATTGGCATAGAATTACTGCGATGTCGGATCTAACAAACTCTCGAGCCGATGAGGTGCAAAACGTGAGTCACTTGATCTACTTCCAGAATGTTTTTTATTGTTCATTTTCATGTGGCTTTCAATCATTGAATCTATTCAAAGCTAATTGAATGGAATAAAGCTCCTCAAAGCCGTCGAAGACCTTCTCATTCCTTTTATTCGATCTGCAGACGAACCTCCCGTCCACGCCCACGAGAACGGAGTCAACGGACAAAAGAACGGAGTCAATGGACATAGCACACCTACTGGATCATCACTAGTGGACTACAAAAAGCCCGAAGAGCTTCGCGACATTCTCCAGCTAGAAATTCCAGAGAAAGGCAGACGGCAAGAGGGCCTGATAGAAGTTCTGCAGAAGGTTCTGCGGTACTCGGTCAACACCTGGCACCAAGGTTTCCTGGATAAGCTATACGCGTCCACCAATGCTCCTGGTGTCGCGGCGGAGCTCATCCTCGCGACCTTGAACACCAATGTGCACGTTTACCAGGTCTCGCCTGCCTTGACGGTCATCGAGAAATACACTGGCCAGCGGTTAGCGAACCTCTTTGGTCTACTTGGCCCACGGGCAGGAGGAATTTCGGTCCAGGGTGGCTCGGCTTCGAATACCACGTCAATCGTGATTGCGCGGAACAACCTATACCCCGATACAAAGAAAGAGGGTAATGGAGGGTACCGATTTGTGCTCTTCACGAGCGCGCATGGGCACTATAGCGTGGAAAAGGCGGCGCAGATGCTAGGCTTTGGTAGCAGTGCTGTCTGGCCAGTACCCGTTGACAAACAGGGACGGATGATCCCGGCTGAATTGGAGAAATTGGTTCAGAAAGCCCAGAGTGAAGGCCGGACGCCGTTCTACGTGAATGCCACGGCAGGAACGACGGTTATGGGCTCCTTTGACCCGTTCAATGAGATTGCGGCCATCTGTCAGAAATATAATCTGTGGTTCCACATTGATGGGTCCTGGGGTGGGTCTTTCGTTTTCTCCCAGAAGCAGAGACATAAGTTGTCTGGGTCGGAGAAGGCGAATAGTATTGCGATCAATCCACACAAGATGCTTGGTGTGCCGGTGACATGTTCGTACCTGTTGGCTGCTGATATGCGTCAATTTCACCGCGCCAATACCCTCCCCGCCGGTTATCTTTTCCACAACGAGGATACGGAAGCAACGAATGGCGATCACGAGTCAGAGATCGAAGTCGACTCCCCGGAAGTCTGGGATCTCGCGGACCTTACACTCCAGTGTGGTCGACGTGCTGATTCGTTGAAGTTGTTCATGGGTTGGACGTACTATGGAAGTGAGGGGTATGCCCAACAAATTGACTCGGCATGCGAGGTAGCTGCTCACCTTGCCACACTTGTGGAGAAGAACCCAAACTTCATCTTGGTGAGCGAAAACGCGCCGCCTTGTCTGCAGGTCTGCTTTTATTACGCTCCTGGCAAAGAGTTCGTGTACCCGCGGGGTGTTGTGTCGAATGAAACACAGCGCGGGAAGGACAATAGCAAGGTTACTGAGCAAATCACGCATGCAATCGTCCCCAAGGGTTTCATGGTAGACTTTGCTCCGCCTAGTGGAGATGAGGATGCAGTTGGAAATGGCAAGTTCTTCCGCTGTGTGGTGAATGTTTTGACCAGCAAAGAAACGGTTGAGTCTCTCATTTCTGCGATCGAGGAATCTGGTCCGGGCGTCATCGAGACTTTGAAGACCAATGACCGACTTACTACACGGAAGCGACATGGTGAGCATGGTCACGGGCCAGTCGTGCATCCTAAATGAACTGCAACATCCGATTATAGACGTCCTTGAACGATTTTGAATGACCATAAATTTCTGTCTCATACCATGGAATTTTATCAACATAGACCGAATTCATATATTAAAACTTAGCATAGCACATGGACTAAATACATTGGTATCATCACATCACATAGAAGCCGAGAAACTTCCCTCAGCCGCCTCAATCTTCTTGACGGCAGTCTTGTACCCCTCTACCTCCTGCAAACGCTCAGCATAAGAAGCAAGCAGAGGATACTTCTCTCGCATCTTCTGCTCCTTCAGCAAACGCCCACTAGCAGCGATAGCCGGGAAACTCAACAAGATATCCGCAGCTGTCAAATCCTTTCCACAGATCCAAGGGCCACCCTCCGGTGCCGTCTTGAGCTGATCCTCAAGGAAATCAAGGTTCCCCTGAATATTCCGATTAAGGAAAGACGCCTCAACCTGCGAAGCGACGAGGCCGGTAATCGGGCGAATGAAGAAGGGTGGCGAGTTCCGAATAGCTGGGAAGAGACATTAGTTCCGCGTGGTCAGGCTCGGTTTAGGGGTTGCAGGTAGGGGAGATAAACGCATTGCGCATGTGCATGCATTCCATCCCTGCTCCTGCTGCTCCACTTACTATCATTCACAAGACTCATAACCAAAAATGGCATCAGACTTCCTTCAACGTAGTGCATGAAATAGCGGTAACGCATGAACTCTTCACGTTCGCCACCGACTTGTCCTTCCTTGCCTGCAATGTAGCGCTCGGGAACGAGCGACGGGTTGGCCTTTCCGAAGTGATCGCAGAGGTACTCTACGATCGCGCCGGATTCTGCGAGGACCATGGGCGAGGAGGAACCGGGGGCTTCGATGGTGATGACCGGTGACTTGCCGAGGGGGTGGACCTTCTTCAGCTCGGGTGGTGCGAGTTTGTCGGCGCGGCGCTTGAAGGTCTTGAGCTCATACTTGAGCTTGAGTTCCTCCAGCAGCCAGAGGATGCGGTGGCTTCGAGATTGTTCGAGCCTAGCTTGTTAGTTGAGCTTGGGAAAATGGGAGTTTGCGATGTACCAGTATAGGGTGATCTTGCAGCCTTGGTTGTTGTCCGCCATTATGAAGATGAAGACAAAAATGAATAGATGTCTAGAATAATCATTGACTGGAGCAGATTTGTTGAAAAAGTGGCAGTTGGCGGGCTTATATCCTTTCTAAGCTTGGATGATGTCAATGGCCGAGGTACGAACCTGGATTGATAAGGTTAAAGCGCCGAGATCCGCAGATCTCATGTGAAGCGTATTTGTTGGGGTTCGCATCTTCAGCCTTTTTAGTCTGTTCTAGAAGCTCCACTGATCAATTAAATTCTATCTCTTGGTCCCTTCCCATCCGCACTGATTACTGCATGCCAAAAGTGAAAATATAATTTCGCTTCGTGGCCTGAGGTTTCTGGCAACAATATAGCATCTTCCTTACAGCTTTACTATAGGTTTTAATGAGGAAAACAAATTCAATATGAGCAAATGAATTATACTTATATACCAGCCACTAATCAGCAAGAAGCAATATTAAATCCGTCAACCTCTCAATCCTGCTTTAAACCTTCCGCCTGATAAACACTGAAACTAGCAAACTCCCAATAAGCCTCCTCAAAACTCGACGGATTATTAGCAACAAAATCATGACAATTCCCAGGACATTTATACATCTTCTTATAGTACTGCGGATCAGCTCCCAACTGCCCACAAAGATCAATATTCACAATAATACTTTGGTTCTTGAAATGAGACGCAATATCACACTCCGTCCCAGGAAAATCAGCCAACGCAGTTCCCCACGTCGAGGGATCAGGCGCCTGCGCAGGATCCTGAATATCCGCCGGAATCAAAGCCCGAGGCCAGAACCATACACGAATACCCGCCTGTCGAAGTTCGAGGGCATAAACTCCACCTCGATTCGCATTCATCGCTGCTCCGTATGTGTCCGGATCACCAACGACACCGCAGCCCGCGTTTCCGTGAGTGACGTTATCACAGCTCGAGTAGACGGTGTTCCCTGTCTGTTTGCGCTTGACGTCCATCGTGCATCCCGTTGTTGTATGGAGGGTGACTTCGTTGCCGCGGGATCCTTCGTTAGTTGTTTCTAGGATGTCGATCTCGCCGTTATCGGGCCAATTTACACCGTCCGTGAGCCATAGGGCGGGCCATGTGGCGCAGCCGTACGGGGTGTGGATGATGTCGAAGATGAACAGGCCAGTGTCGTATGTTGGGATAGATTCGATGCGTACGGAATTGCGGCCGGCCAGGGCTTTGGGAGTGAATGAGTCGACTCGTAGGATGGCTGAGGTATCGGTTGCGTAGGTGAGGTTGAGGTCGTGGGCTGCTTGCTCATTGACGTATCTTTACTTTTATTAGCTCTGATAGTTGAGGGATTGAAGAAGTGAGACTTACACCACAAACCCATCAGTGGGATCATCTTCGGTGAAGTAATGGAACTTATCGAAGAAGGATGTCCCTTCGTATTTATCGACCAGCTGATAGTCTAAAGGTGTATATTTTGGGTATCGGTTCGCCTTGATGCCAAAGAATGTACCGACTGAGACCAAGATGATGATTACCAAGATAGCAATGACCGACAGTAGCTTTTTGAGTGGTGACCAACCACGAGGATCATACCACTGGAGTGTCGGTTGTTTCCGCTCATCTGGCTTGTCCGAAAGTGGTACTGCTGGCGACAAAGGGGTCTTGGGGATCTTGGCTGGGTCTAGCTTTGGGATCACCGAGGTGGCACCGCTATAGCGAGTCAAATAATCTGGTGGAAGATCTGTATCGTTCATATTGAGGGTAAAGTCCTAAGGAATGTATACGACGATGTTGTATAGCTTGTGTTCAAGACGTGAAAGAGGAATCTGGAAGAGATTCAGATTCGCAAACTCATCAAGGTTGAATATAGACGCGTTTAAAAGAAATTGAAAGTGTTAATGCCGTCATGGTTGTGGAATGTTCTTGATTAAGTCTAGTTGTTCAACGCCGATCATCAATACGGACGGGTGCGGCGCATCAACCGTGGATCAGCCAACTCTAAATGACAGGAGAAGACTTCAATGTTTAATCTTGGAATAGTTTGACGTTTCACGTCATTGAATACATAAAGGAACGCGGGGATAATTTGACGTCAACTGCGCCTTATGGCTGCCGAGAACGGAACGAAGTCCGAAAACAACATCTACACATGTATATAGGTCTCATATGGTAGCCCTGGAGCGTGATATGACAACATAAATGGCACATGGCTTCGATCGATATGGAAGTACGTCTAGGTAGCGAAATTGTTCAACGGGTAGGTATTGTAATATTTTGCCATTCTCCATCCAAGTGGTTATATGCAACTGGAATGCAACCCAATAATTCCATTTCCGTCTATATCTACGAACAAACTCCGTCCAGCCGGGCCTGAATCGTCTTTTCGTCAAATCGTCCACTCTCTCCCTCGTAGTTTCGGAGGACCTCCAGGGTCATCAACCTTCGAGGGGCTTTGCGGCCGGTCATGAGCTCCCACTGCGCAATACCCTGTTCGATAACGTTTTCTAGTCCGTCAGATAGAACCCAGGACCGGCCCGTGTCAGTTCGGATCCGACGTATCTGTTTCAGTAATGGTGTATCTAGAGGTTTATAGGCAAGCTAGACGAGTCAGTAGAGGATACAATGATTCAGACTGAAAATGGAACTTACCTCTACTACAACACCCCCAGTGGGACTACCAAGCCACTGCAGGGGCATTTCAAAGTTGGCCGGCGCCTCATCTTGATCTGGATCGGCCGGCACACAGGACACAATGAGGCTGGGTGGGTTGAAGTCTTCAGGCCAGTCATCTTGTGTTGAGCGCAAGACCCGCACCACATCGACCGAGTCCACTTGAGACGACGCCCAAGAGTTGAAGTGACGGGCCACTTCTTCCGCTCGGGATTGAGTTCGGTTGTAGATGAAGATCTTGCGGCAGCCCATGCGGAGCATAGCGTAAATAGCAGACCGAGCCATGCCACCGGCTCCGATGACCAAGCCCGTTGTTTTCGCACTGATAGCGTTGCGAGGAGAAAGATGGCGAGTGATACAGGTCATAATGCCGACCCAATCCGTATTTTCACCGTACCATCCGAGCACCGGACCTGCCTGGTTGCGTCGGCTGGCTTGCTCCTGAAGCGAGTACATCCCTCCTTCTGATGGTCCCCGCAAGGGCATGATGGTATTGATAGCGCCAATCGCCTCGGCATGTCGACTCTTGGCTGCAAGTTTATGGTAAACCTCTACTCGCCAGGGTTGAACAACACTGGAGCCGCCAAAGTCTGGATCACGACGTAACTCGTCCAGTATGTCGAGAGAGGGAGAATCCGGAATGCGGTAGGTATGGCTCATGCCCGAATGTTGGTGAGCTCCGTTGTGCATGAAAGGCGATAAACTGTAGGACACACTCGAGCCAAGAATGCAAAACTTCAGCGGGTCAAGGACGTAACTTTGAAAGAGGGCTTGAACAGCGTCGCGGGATGTGATCAAAGGATCACGTTCATTCTCAGTGGGACGAGTGATCGCCGGATGGGTCACACTTGTCAGAATAGAGTTGAACACCTGGGACGTCCGTCCAAGGCGTCCAATGTTATAGGCGATCAATGGCGCATGGTCCCCGGGTAACGCGCGGATTTTGTTGCCGAATTCCAAGACACTCGCATTCTCCTCGCGATCTGTAGCCACGCGGAGAAGACGGACAATCTGACAACCAAGCTTCTCTGCTTCATTGTATAGTGTCACACAACTAGCATCGCTCCATTTGACTCGTGAAGTTGCTTCAAATACATGTTGTCCAATAATCTTGGTATTTCCTCGGGCGCGAATGATCTGCGCTAGTTGAGATCGATTCTGTCCAAGATCTACAACCAAGTATTCCACTGCCAGACGTAAACCGTGTTCCAAAATATCGAAATAACATGAAGTCGATTGATCTCGTCGGCCAAGCCCAGATGATGTCGTATCGACAGAGAGGATAATAGGCGTCCGGGAATTGCGGCGCAAAACTGCGACCTGTTGGCTGATGATGGCTGGCATATTTGAGCTCCAGCGGTCAACAGACAACTCAATTGCATCACCGCCGGACTCCAATTCCTGAAGATTCACGTTGTCGTCGATCAAATCGGAGGAGCGAACAAGGATAGCATGGGTGTAAGAACGAAGCTCAGGAGGGGTCTCTAACAGGACAAATGGCGAGTCATAACTCGACTGGTTCACATCGGCTCCCGTAACAAAGCGGACAAAACGGGTCAGGTCCTCCTTGACCTCTTGCAGCTTGAATGAATACGCAGCCGATCGTGGGTCGGGACTTCCATCGTCGGCAACAAAGCGCGTGCGGTCTTCCAGATTGTAGAATTCAAAATTCGAGCATGTACGATGCAACGGGTCTCCTTCCCGCAGTAGGCGGATGGACTGATCTTCAAGCCCCAAGAGCTCTTGAATACGATCGATGTCGCGTAGGATATGCACCACGGGGCAGACCTGCGAAATACGGCGCAGGTGGTCCTGGACCGGTCGAGTAAGACTTCCTAACCCGCACTCTATGACACACCCTGTCTTGTGATTATCCAGCATCTGTTTCAACACATCAATGTCTCGGCGCTGGAATTCCTGGCTGCCATGGCTCTTGAGGTACTCGTGTCGCGTGACCCCGGTCACTTCTTTGAAGTAGTGGTCCTCGGTTATGAAGCGTCGTTTAAGGGCTGCGGCTGCGACGAAGCCAAGGGAGCGCTTTCCACACCCTCGGATGCCCACCAAGACCAAGGAAGCATCAGAATCAAATGTGCGGGGCGTGATAGTGGGCTCCGGGGGATGCATAGGGTGGGCAGAGGATGCTCGGGTCGATTCTGAGTGTGTTGAAGGAGATTCAGGCTCGACAGGATCACGAATGCGGGATTGCCAGTCGAGCATGGCGGGCAAGTGGATACCGACGAGAGGCGGTAGGCGGTAGGTGGGAGGTGGGATGGAGGAAAGAAGGCGGGTGGAATCTGTTAGCTAGGCTGAGGGCGCGGCAGCCATGATCGAGCACGTATACACAGTGGTGATCGCATCAAGGTATGGACTTGAAGATCTTCGCTAAAAGAAGAAGGGAAATCTGGAGAAGGCGCTTTCGCTTTTTCCCCGGATGCCGGATGAGGTACTACCCTGAGCAACCGTGTGGGGCAAATTGGGGCTTATCGCGTGGTCTGATTTGCTGATCGGCAAAAGCTTTAACCCGACAGTTCACCGAGGATAGTAAGAAGTCAGCGATGTTGATTAATCGGCCAGAAAGCATTATATTTTGGGGTTTCTTGTTGTATGGTGATTTGTGCGACAGTACATGCTTGTATCCTAGGATTGACCAATCACGCGGACCTTCATACTTACCTGGTGCTCGTTTCATCCCATTTATCTTGAATTGCATTTGATTGTTTGCGTTACTAAGCATACTACTAATCTTGAAGTTACAGTTTATTCATACTAAGTACTATGCTTGATATCAGATAGAGTACTAGCCTTCCAGGGCCTCACAGTCACGTATTCTACATGAATCAGAAATGCTTGAGAAATGGTGTCATGAAGAGCCGCACCTTTGTTCTTTTTATGAATTACTAGTAGTATGTTCTATTCATATCATTTACTTGCTAATATACAGATATTCTGATCCAATAGCCCGGACAAGCCCGCAGCAAAACGCTTCATCTACTTTCCAACACAAAACCTGCAATTTATTAGTAATTCATGGACATAATTTGATGGGCTGATGTCAAGACTTACTTCTCGAAAACAACACCAAGAACATCCTCCACATCCCCACTTTCGCCTTTCCCGGTGATCCTGGCTAGCATGTCCGCTGCATAGCGCAAATGCTCAGCAGCTGTAACTATGTCGATTTCAGCTTCGTAAGAGTCAGGCATGGCGCCGAAAGAAGATTCACAGTCGTGGGTGGAGGATGCAGATGTTTGGGACAGGAAGTCGTCGAGATGGTCACGGCATTTCTGCAGATTCGAGCTCTGTCGATGCGTAACTCCCAATGAGTCCTCCCAGTATGATATATCGTATTGGGGCTTTCCTTCTTCAGCACCCAGTGGTGCGGCAATCTGCTCAAATGTCGAAATCAATCCCTTTAAAAATTCTTGCAACTGACCAGGGTCAGTTTGGGCGGGTGAAGAGGGTGTCCGCTGTGCCTCATCACAAGAAATGGCGAAAACTCGATTTGTTGGTACAGTGGGTAAGATTTCATGAATAAATTCAGTCAGATCCTTTGGTAGGGCACCCTCCGTTGACCAAGATGAAAGCTTGTCACACTTGTTAACAGCAACCACAAGGCATTTCCCAGCCTCAGCGCATTCGTTGACTGCATCAAGAACCTCGGGCTCTATAGACAGACGAGCGCCCTCAGGAGTATCTTCCAGCGAAAGAACAACAATGACAACATCGGATTCTAAAGCTCTCGCCCTTGCCCGTCGAATGCCTTCCTTTTCGACCGCACCAATCACGACAGATCCACCAGATTCGGGGCTAGCGTCAGCACGAATACCAGCCATGTCTCCGAGCTTACAGTACCAGCCCCCTAGATCAACACCAACATCAACAATATCGCGAGTAGTGCCCTCTTCAGTACTGACAATCGCAGCCTCTTTTCCAACAACCCGGTTCAAAAGTGAGCTCTTCCCGGCGTTCGGGGCACCCAGCAGCGCAATACGGATACCATTGCGAAGCAGCTCTCCCTTGGAAGCATTCTGAATATGGAAGCCAATTTGAACCTGCAGCGCCTGAATTTGGCCAGCGACAGAAGATACCAGTTCTTCCGTAGACTCATCAAAGTGCTGGTCCTCCGAAAAGTCGATCAAAGCCTCTAGCTCACCGCGCGCATACAGCAGCTGCTGGCGCCACAGCTCGTACCGATTCACCAATGCATCACTGGATCCCCGCACTGCTAGACGTCGCTGCTGCTCTGTGTCCGCTGATAGTGTATCGCCCAGAGCTTCGATCTGCGGAAGACCGAGCCGGTCGTTCATGAATGCGCGACGTGTGAACTCTCCCGGCTCGGCGTAACGCACGACAGCGTCTATTTGGTTGGTGCGTGCAATAGCAGCAAGGACCGCTTTGACAATCGCAGGACCACCGTGGATATGGAATTCGAGAATTTCCTCTCCCGTAACTGTTTTCGGCGAGGGAAAGTAGAGGACGAGGGCACCAGCGTCCAGGACTGTATTGGCAGACGGTGGGTGTGACGGGTCGTAGAGGGTGCGCAATGCGGCGCGGCGCGGCTTCGGGAGAGAGGTTTCAGGACATAGCGCGTTGTATATCTGCGCCGAGACTTGTGGTTAGCAAGTAATGGCCGAGCTGCGGGGGTTGGGGAAATGGGTATCTTCCTACCGAGACACATGCTGGACCAGAGACCCGAACTACCGCAATTGCAGCTCTTCCTGGCGCTGTGGATAGCGCATAGATCGTAGAGTCTGAGTCGAGCATGAACCTTCTCATTGGGGAGGAGGTAAAGCTTCGACTGGGCCAAGAAACTCGCTGAGCTGGCGGATGAATCACGATGCGATGGCGTAACGAGCTACGCAGGCCTGCAGCGGGTGCTCGATTCCATGCTGGGCGAAATGAAGCCCAACGCGACACCCAACAATGAGATGCTTGCATGCGTAAAGTGGCGAATCTAAAGTGTATTTGCAAAAGAGCAACTTGCAGACGCAGACGCAGGCACGCTTGGATCTGCGATGTTGATAAGACCGATAAGAAAATAAGCCTTGTGGCCTGATAGATCAGGCGTAAAGTAGGCACCAACCTATCCTTTTGATTACGTGGCTGGGACGCCTGAACTAACTGTTAATCTATTAATAGTTGACTGCAGATGAGAGAACCTTTGATAAGGTGTGGGCCCATTGTGGTGAACTCGTGACTGGTTTAGCTTAAATAGAAAGCTGATGGCCACCTGGGCAGGAACATCTCATTGCTTCTTCCCCGCATCCAGTCCGCGAATCAACATGTCCCCTTCTTCCCTCAAACTCGAGCCATTGACCCTGGAGGATAATGCCGCTCTCACCAACCTATGGTTCGCGGCCTTTACAGCCCCCGAACTACAAAAGGTCTTCCCTGATACCCCTGGAGTCCGTCAATGGCTACAAAACGCCAACCAGCATGACTTGATCAACAAGCCATTCCAGAAGTACATTAAAATTGTGGACACGAAAAGCAAAGACGAGAATGGTCGACCCCGCATAGCCGCCTATGCGAAGTGGGATCTATCAACACCTGAGGAACGAGGACGTCGCTATCCACCGTGGCACGCTGAGATGCCTGGGGACATGTGCGAAGCGTTTTTCCTCAAAGAAGAGGACAATCGGAGACGTGTGATGGGCGATCGGAAACACTACTGTACCATAAACCCCTTTGATTCTTGAAATAGAAGTCCTGCTAACTGGGTTGAATACAGATTTGGATACCGTCGCTACACACCCTGACTATCAACGACGAGGATGTGGCTCTATGCTTGTCCAGTGGGGTTGTGATTTGGCTGATGCTGAGGGTGTAAGTGCGTATGTTGATGCTAGTAAGGATGGCGCACCTCTTTACGCAAAGCATGGATTTGTGGATTACAGCAATCCAGGAGAGGAAATCGCTTCAATGGCTCGGTATTTCAAGGGCTCTTGATCTTCCCACGGGAGCCGGGAGAATTCATTCTTCCTGGTGACTTATCTGTTGAATTCGGTTCATGGTAAAAAATGCTTAATCTGTACTAGAGACTTACTTATCTACTAGGTACTCATCAGCAAGCAAAACCCTCCTATATTGGCGCTTTTTGTGTCTTTGCCATGCATTACAATGAACAGCTCGACAAATTTCCCCTTATAGTGTGCCAGGCGGAGTGACGTCGGACGTTTTGTAACGCTTACAGAGGGCATATTCCACTTCCCTCTCTTAGATCCTTTCTCTTCTCTTCATACCACGCCATATTGAGCTTAGTACTTCTCTTGGTGTATGCTACGCATATTACCTTCAACAACATTGTTTCCCGCATCGACTGCAACGCTGTAATCTGTCATACTTTACCTACAGCACCCTCTGGGAGTTTCGCGAAGGGACGAAGTGGATGTAAACACTCGTATCTTGGCCTTGTGGATAAATAATTACCCACTCTAAACCTCAAATTTCGTCGTGAGTCATACATGTATCGTCACAGTTTTTTTCTTTTTATCGAATACCTGGGAATTTTTGCATCAACTTAACTCTTAATTCGAAAAACAATCTTTTAAGTAGGTCCTAGTTTCGACAATATTTCCCTTCCCACATATATTCGTTTGGAACTGACGTTTGCCTGGTAGCATACAATGGCTTCTCCGACATCAACGCTTCAGCAAAAAAGCTGGAAAAATGGCCCATATTTGATATCAACAAATTCATCCATGATCCCTGTTTCCATCTTGAATGCTTGGTTCGCAACTGAAGAAGTGTACTGGGCAAAACCGATGCCCGACGACGTTATGCGTGAAACGCTCGAACGGTCTCTCTGCTTTGGACTGTACTACGGAGTGGATCAGCAGGAGAAAGCGCCTACAGATAAAGGCTTTCGCGAACTAGATTTCATCGGTATCGCGCGATGCATAACCGACTTCACAACATTTATCTACTTAACTGATGTATTCGTTCTTCCCACGCATCAAGGTCACGGACTTGGAACATGGCTCGTGAAATGTGTTCAGGAAGTTGTTGAAAGTATGCCTTATCTAAGACGGTCTTTACTGTTCACGGAGGATTGGAAGCGATCTGTGCCTTTCTATAAGAAGCTCATGGGGGTGGAAGTCCACGAATACAAGGCACCATCTGATGGCAATGAAGGCGAAGGATTAGCTGTAATGATGCGAAAGGGCAAAGGAAATCCCAGTTACAAGGAGGATATCTGACCATCTGGGAGTCTACTTCCTTTCAAGGTTATGAGGTGATCAGCTCAGTGTACGCATAGTCATTCCAGATAAATTTTTTTTTGCTGACAGATTACCCAGTGGAGGCTTGGGAGGCATCTGAGGAAAAGGATTTGCATTCAATTACCCAACCCTTTAATAATCGATATACTACTGAGATATAGAAGATATACAACGCAGCTTTTTGTAATCAAGCCGGAAAATTCGATTGCTGCTATCCTTTAAGCAATATTTTATAGGCCCTTGAAGTACAATTCGCTTCTTGAATCTTGTGTACCCACTATGGTTTTTGACAGCATTTTAAGATTCAAGTACATAATAATCACTCATCAGTCTTCTCCATAATATATAGTCTCCTTGCGGTTGGATATAGGCAAAATGTACATACAATTTCAATCAAGCTGCCGCAACATGGAGGAATATTGACCTCTTTTCCCGCGTGGATTGATTCGATGCATAGATTTATGGGGTTCCTAAGAGCGGAGTGGAGTATCTGGCGATGAAGTAGACTGTCCGAGCTTGCGGACATATGGCGGAGAAGCATATACTTAAGAGATGTAAAGATCATTCGTGTTCTCTCTTTCATCCATTCATTTGCCTTTGGACAAACTTCATCCAAACATCAAAACACCTATTGGTGATTCTAGATAAACATGGGCGCAAGTTCAAGGGCTAAAATCCATTCAAAACCCGAGTCTAACTACCCAAGAAAACAAACCGCTCACTCATTGTACGCGCTGTAGAGGATGTGGCTCTCGAGAATCGACCTAGCCCAGAGCTGACAGACCCCTGGGATGTCAGAGTCCAATTTGCGGAGAATGGTACACAGCCAGGAAAGGGATTCAGCCAAACTCGCGCGGATTTCGCACGGACCTTTGGTGTAGATGAAGCTGTCGTCCCCCATTCTAGACCTGAGGACAAGGATGATCTCGTGTGGAATGAGGAGGTAGCACGGCTTATGAAGGAGAAATCTGATTGAGGGGAGGGGCCAGATATTGTTCTTGAAGCGATGGGTGCGCAGGCTTGTATCCCGACGGCAATTCATTTAACGACAAAGGGTGGGACATATGTGCAGGCTGGTATGGGGCGAGAGGTTATTTCCATCCGACCTGTCACTGAACATGTTTAACAAGTGCAGGATGTTGTTTTCCTTATCAAAACGGCGTGTATTCGTGACTTGTACATTCGGGGATATATTCGGTACACTGTCGGTTGTTACCCGATGGCCGTAGATGATTGCTAGGGAGAAGATTGATGTCAAACTGTTGATCACCAATCGGTTCAAGTTCGAGCAGTCGGAGGAGGCGTTTGATTTGGTGCGACACGGTAGGGAGGGTTTCATTAAGGATATTATTATTGGAGTATCTTGTTTCTTAAATACAAATTGACGGGCAAATATGGCCATTAGATAAACTTTGGGAATTATAGAGTAAGACCAATCTCGGCAAGAGCCTTGGTGACGTTCAGTGAAACGGTCAGGTTATTGGCCTTCAAGGCGTCGGTGAAGTAGGGCAGCTCCTTTCCGTTGTACACACTAGACTCGCCGACAATAGTAAACGGCACAACACCATCGGTGAAGGGGTTGCTGGACGAAGTGAGTAGCTCAACAATGGCAGTCTCGTTCACGGTGGCAGTCATTGGAACAGAGTTGTTTCCAGGCTTGACGGTGAGGTCGTCAAGGTAGCATTTACCCAAGACTGTGCCGAGTACTACAAGGTCGAAGGTGGTATTTCCCTAGATGAAGTAAGCACATAATCAAGTTGACAGTTAGCAAGCAGTTCGACGTACCATGGGCAATGTCATCACGGACGCGTTAGGAATGAGGACGGTGCCGTTCATGTTGCGTCCATTGACAGTGGTAGTCAAGATGTGGAACTCGGTAATATCGAAGCCCTTCAGCTTGTTGAGGCCTGTCGAGTTACTTCAATTAGCATGGCAACACATGGGACAAAAAGAACAGGATTTACCTTTCATCTCAACAGTCTTATTGTAAGTGACGGTGACCTTGGGCAAGGATCCCTGCTGCAACTTGGGCTTGCCATAGATATTCAACGAGAGATCTTCGCTGACCATGGCCGTGGTGCAGAAGTCAGCAAAAGCATCAGCATCACTCAGATCGAGAGTCTGAGAGATATCGACAACAGCGCCATTCTTGGACTTGACTTCGGGAACATTGACGGTGGCAAAAGTGGCAGCTCCCAGCAAGGAGACAGCGGCGTTGAATGCAAAGATTTTAGGGTGATAGGAGCTGTGGCTGCCGATGACTTGGGTCTGGTTAAGGACAAATGACTCGGGCTTGGGGTCGCTGAGAACCATGCTGCTGATAGTGAGAGTTGAGTCATTGATAGCGTTCTGAGCGATCTTGGGGTAGCCGACATAGACGCTGTTGTTGATTAGACTGAATTCGCAAAAATTCCATCAAGCTTTGACTTACACTGGCAGAACCACCACAAGCACAACAATGATGAGCGCGATCAGGTATGCCCACCACCACTTTTTGAAATGAGCGCCGACTCGTGACCCAAAGGATTGGTTCGGTGAGGCGACAGTGGTAGTCTCCATGACTTCAGCTTTCTCGGACATGGTGCTATAGTCCAACTAGGATGATCCTGGTTTGGTAAGCTTTAAGATCGAAACCGAAATGAAGAGGGCATACCGAGGATTCTAGTAGATTGTCAAGGAAGAAAACGAAGGAAAAAAAAACAAAGGATCGGAAGACTAGAGCAAGTAAAATAGACTAAGTAAGGCACCAAGAGCTCCGAGCATACATTTAGTCACGGAACGCACCGGCTCTGTTATATTTTATTTTTATTTTTACTAATGCTAACATAAAATTTATTTCCTATTTTCTAGAGCCGCAGAGATTAAATCTTCATGTGGAGACAGGTTTAGCGAAGTAAATGGAGTCAGAAAGCGGGATAGATCGAGAAGCGAAAGAACTTGGTGGAAATGAGATCCACATGTTCTCACCAAAAACTCATTGAGGCAATTCCCGCCAATTTGCGGGGATGATCACCCCAGCTGACATGTTTCATATTACATCTAACTAACTTTCGAAGGTTACTTTACTTCGTTCAAACTGAGTTCAATCGGGAACCCTGACTTGCTCCGATCCATGATTTACCATGGTTGTTGGTCATATGCCGATGGTCAACAAATATGCTTCTTAGTGTAACCAGGGCTCTAGAAATTGGAGGGTTCCCCTTGCCTCGTGCCGTTGCATTGACTAGAAGTTAACCCATGATCCTGATTGGTTCATGGTCAAGCTAGCTGCAACAAGGGCGCTTGCCAAGGCTCAGCCATGGGAAGCAGAGGGTCTGCGGGTCAAAGTAAAATGGGACTAGTGGACGCCAATGTCCACTTTCATCCGGATATATGACTTTCTTTAGTTTGGATCCCTCTGATCTTACTCCTATTGGGGGAATTCGACCGAGCTTTGATTCACGCTAAAGTAGACAAAGGTCTCCCAAGGTTGCTTTGCATAAGTTATCCTAATGAGTACTAAATTAGTAACTCGCCTCCGTACTGCATAGCCCTAGGATCAAAGAACAAAGACAAAGGGGTAGGTATGATGGTGACAAAGGCCTTTTATCATTGATGAAGTATACAAAGACATCTAAGCACATTGTGTCGCCCTGCAAGACTTGAGACTCACTACCAATTGTATTGATTCACAATGGTGTTTATAAAGGACGAGAATCTCCTCTGTTTCCTCGAAATCAGAACATCAGAATCACTTCCATTCATCAAGTCGATGAGCGGGAAACATCCGGTAATATTTGAGACATTCATCTTTTCTTCTGCAATTTACACTTGCTATAACACTCATAAATACCCCATACCCCCTCTGATCCAGGTACAACATGCATACTACTGACCTTTCTAGTAATTTCTGGCACCGCGAGCAGTTTGATTGGGCCGAAGAGGTCGAGAACGAGATTATGAAAACTCGGTTTTCTGCAAGTTGTCCCAAGAGCTGCTTGGAGGTTGACGATCGCACTGACACAGCACAAACCGATCTACCTAGACCCGAAAGTTGTCGAGACAGTTACGAAACAGAGTTGCTTGACCGATTCGACGAACCAGAATTGTTTGACCCATTCGCCGATGATTCTATTGAATTCATGTTGGACAATGGCTTCGATCTCACTTGCGATAACACAGAGAGCCCATCATTTTATCCAGAATATTACACAGAAGCATGGCAATCCATTGAGCAAGACGTCACCAGGGAATTTGCTTGGCGTGAGCAGTCTATGTTTCAGTACAGCAGTATCCATCATTTCAACTGGCTAGGGGAAGGTGTCCTAGAGCGCAGTTCCACCCTACCAGAGGAGTCGTTGGCCGTAATGCTTTCTTGTCCCAAGGTTCCCCAGGCCACAGACAATTACCGTATCCAGGCTATTCTCCGTCGTGCCTATACATTCCTGGACCCTGTACTTCTCAGTCTAGACGATGTGGATGATTCCATCCTACTTCTCCGTGGCTCTGCCCTTCAACGTGCTGCAAAGGACCATGTATTCAAGTACTACACCGCCCATGGCCAGTGGATGTTTGACGATACCGAACCCATTCAAAACACCACATTGGATATCGGCGAAGTTAGCACATACGTTGAGCCCAATGTGGTGATTGGTAATGGGTTTGTCAAGCATAACCTACTTCGATCCAGAGCGGAATTCCATAAGATCCGTGATGATACTATTGCCTCGTTGTCTCCTGCACGTCGAGGGAGGCATTGGAAACCCAGCCCTTCGAGATTGCAGACAGTGGAGTCTATCAAGCATGTAGATGATCAACCAATGAAGAAGCCAGTTCCTCTCAGCTCCTCAGAGGCAGGACCTTCCAAATCCAACGAGAAGAACACGAGAGTTATCTTCCTTCCTCCTACTAAGCCAATCATGCACCCTAGTAGAGATCCCGATGTTTACTACACCTTCCCCCCATCTAGAATTGGAGAATCCAAGCTGAGACGTTTCTTCAGAAAGACATGGAAATCTGTTTTGTCTGGTCTTCGACTAACAGAGTCATGTTGTTCTAAATAGTTTTATTGCTCTGCACGTATGTTTAGATTGTATAATTTTGTGGAAATAAAAAGCTTTTGAATTGAACAGTGAATAATTGATCACATACATGAATACTCCTAAGGGTAGGTAAACTAAATCACTTCAAATTTCGAAATGTTCAGTTGTTGACTACTGACTCTCCCACTAGTGTGGCGTGATGATGATCTCCCGGGGAAAAAAAGATTCCGCATTACCTACCTCAACTTAAGAATTAAGGGGTCACGTCACTTCCACCACTCTCCGGCAGAATGCCCTCAAGGTCACTTGTTGGGCTTTTCTCCAGCTACCTACCGCAATCATTGCGCGAGTCGGTGGAGCCCAACGTCCCTATTTACGAGACACTGGTTGTCGTCGTGTTCATCTCCCTCGTCCGCTACCTGGCATACCCTTACATCCAAGGCCGCAAGGAAGCTGCCGTCGCGTTCAACGTCCCCGTACCACCAGAAGTGCGCAAAAGCAACACCGGCAAGAAATGGGATGAGGTCTCGGGCGAGCAGAAGCAGGTGTTGGAGGATCAAGCTCGGGGGGTGAGTGTCAATGCATTCTGGGTTTAGGCCGAAGCTAACCACTGTGTTCTGTGTTACCTAGAAATGGAACGACAAGTTGATTATGAGCTACTGTCCCGCCGACGGTCGAGTGTTAGGGAATGGGATTCGCCCCGCGACGGTCGATGAGGTCGACGAATCGGTGCGGGCGGCCAAATTGGCCCAGCGCGAATGGGTCAAGACTACCTTTGCGGAGCGCAGGAAGGTTCTCCGGACTCTGTTGAAATATGTTCTTGAGCACCAGGACGATATTGTGACTGCTTGCTGCCTCGACTCGGGAAAGACAAAAGTGGATGCCTCGTTCGGCGAGATTCTCGTGACGGCCGAGAAGCTCAAGTGGACAATCGATCATGGCGAGAAGGCCCTGCTGCCTTCGCGCCGACCTACCAATTTCCTCATGATGTACAAGAAGAATATGGTCACCTATGAGCCTCTCGGAGTAGTCTCCGCCTGTGTATCCTGGAACTACCCCTTCCACAACTTCATCGGACCGGTAATCAGCGCTCTGTTCACCGGCAACGGTGTCGTCGTCAAGCCCTCCGAACAAACCGCCTGGTGTACCGCTTACTTCCTCGATATCGTCCGCGGAGCCCTCTCAAGCTGCGGACACTCGCGCGACCTGGTCCAAACAATCGTGTGCCTTCCCACCGTCGCAGACAAGCTAACCTCACACCCGGATATCTCGCACCTAACCTTTATCGGCTCCCGACCCGTCGCTTTCAAAGTCTGCGAATCCGCAGCTAAATCCTTAACCCCTGTCTGCGTGGAACTAGGCGGCAAAGATCCTGCCGTCATTCTCGACGACCCCCGTACCATCCGCAACCTACCCAGCATCGCCTCGATCCTCATGCGTGGCGTCTTCCAATCCGCCGGCCAGAACTGTATTGGTGTCGAGCGCATCATCGCCTTACCCGGTATATACGAGAAGCTTGTCGAAATGGTCACCCCGCGTATTCGCGACCTTCGTCTCGGCTCTATCCTCCTCGATACCCCATCCACTGATCCCTCCGCTTGCACCCCCGATATGGGCGCTATGATTTCCCCGGCCTGCTTCGAGAAGGTTGAAGCTTTGGTTGCCGAGGCTGTGAAACAAGGAGCTCGTCTGTTGGCTGGTGGAAAGCGTTATGAACACCCGAAATACCCTCAAGGCCACTACTTTACGCCTACCCTCCTCGTTGATGTAACCCGGGACATGCGCATCGCTCAGGAAGAGCTATTCGCACCTATTTTTCTCGTTATGCGCGCCGATTCCGTCCCCGATGCTATCGCCATCGCTAACTCGACCATGTATGCCCTCGGAGCGAGTGTCTTCGGGCACAATTCTGCTGATGTCCAGGCTTGCGTCTCCGGCATCGATGCTGGTATGGTGTCTGTCAATGACTTTGGCGCATACTACGCCGTTCAGTTACCTTTTGGTGGCGTTAAGGGATCTGGGTACGGTCGGTTTGCAGGTGATGAAGGTCTGCGCGGGCTTTGTAATACCAAGGCTGTTTGTGTGGATCTATTTCCTAAACTTGTGGGTACTGCTATCCCTCCGCGGGTGGACTATCCGATCCAGAAGCGGGAGGGCAGTGCTGGGGTCAAGGATGGTAATTCAGCGTGGGAGATGTGTAAGGGTGTTGTTGAGACAGGATATCAGTTGACGATCGGTGGACGTATTGCTGGTATCTTACGCTTGTTGAGCAACATGTAGTTAAGTTGAAGTGTACCATATGTAATTGTCTCGTGGCAATGTCCATCGAGTGTGATATTCTATTCTATGTACATGTCTATTCATCTAGAAACCTGTGATACTCGGGAATCATCAACGTCTAGTTCACACATCTAACAAAGCCAGGCGATAGCTCAGGACCAGCCCTCACTAACCAATGATCCTCATTCCGGAACGAGGATTCATCCAGCCAATTCTTAAACGCTACTCGATGCGGTTGAAGTGCCTCATCAAAGAAACGTTTTCCCGGCGCATCCTCTAAATTCTGCTGCCCAGCGATAAACAGCTGGCGAGTTGCGGACTGCCGCACATAAGCGATCTGACGCGGGAGATCCAACATGAAATCCGACAACCACTGCGAAAAGCGCGAAATAATCAGATTTTCAACAGTGGGTCGCCTGAGAGCACGTTGGACATTATCCATATTCCACTGTATGATAGCGGGTGAATTTCCTGGAACAGACTCCGCACTAGCCCGAAGCACAGCTTCAAAGAACTTGTGACAAAGCTGCGACTTATCCTTAAAAACACGGATGACATGCTCGAAATGCTCCGAGGGAATGGTATAGAACACAGGCTCACCTTGATTGCGAACATGCCATCGGAAAATGTACTCGTCGAGTTTAAGGAGAGAGATAAGGGCTTCGTAGTTCTGTGTCTGGATAGCTCGCGATACACCCTGGTGCAGAGCTGAGCGGTTCAGCATCGAGGTTGTCCCAGGATCATGTTCCATATCATCATGCGCAAAGTTAGCCGAAGTCACCCGCAGCATCTCAAGGAAGGCGACATCGTCCGGGGTGAAGCCTGTTTCGCGGCCACGGAGTAACTTCTCCGGGAAGACGCACACGCTGATTGCAGGCCAGTGCAGGATCTGCTTTAACGAGAAGTGGACGATCTGAACCTCAATCATCGGGATAACCATCATCTTGTAGGTTTCTGGCTTAAATTTGGAGATCTTCTCATATTCCATCCGTGTGAAGCCTATCGCCTCTATGAGTTGGGTGCTCGTGATCCCTTTGCCATTGAATGTAGTCGGGCTGTCCGTTTTCCGATTCATGAATCGCTCTAAGTTTTTTCGCTCGGTTGCGTCCATTTCTATTCCCTCATCGAGCCAGTGGCGTTGGATATGGAGATTCATCAATGTCGGGATATGTTTGATAATGCGGTCCATGGTACACCATTTGCAGGAAAATACGAGCGCTTGAATCATTGAGCGTTCGCCCATGTGCAGCCGGACGTAGTCTATCGGGTTGAAGATGGCCTTGATGGCAGGGCTTCCATGCTTCAGAGTGCCTGGGTGGCCGGCAGGGTAGTATTTTTGGAAGACTGGAGGATCCTCCCAGAAGGCAAGGAGGATGAGGAGGCGATAGATACGCTCGCTTGAGAGTGCTGCAGCCACGACGTGTGATGCGCGGGGGAGGTTCACGTTCATCGAGTATAGGAAGATCTTTTCGATGATCTCGACTGGCAGGACTTCGAGCATGGATAGGCGGCGGGGTGGAGATACGTCATGTACCGGCGCAGGCAGCCGGCTCTGTACGGTGCTGAGCATGGATGGAGAATCATCTGCCGGAGCAAACGGTTCGCCCTCTACAGAGGTATTGGAGCTAATATTCGAGGGTAGTCCTGGGGAACGCTTTCGTTTGTGTTTGGACTTGGAGATGGAGCTGGAGCTGGATTTTGATTTTGATTTTGGTCGAGGCGAGGCGACAGATCTGAGAATTATTTCTAAAGGAATGGGGTGACGGTGTGCTTCTCGTGTGTGAGTCCTGTCATTGCTCCGCACGGGTCCCATGGCAGATGGGATGAGGATTCATGCATACTGCAAAGAATATGATTGCTTTTGCTTGGTGGCGAATCGGTGATTGGCTGATTCCGTTGATTGCTTACATGCACGCAAAAGTTCTAATAATACCGCCTTCCTTATTTAGCTCACCGCCTCTTGCCATGAATGACATATGAAGCCAGTGAATGTAGTAACTAGTTGATGTGTTTCCATATTTCATAATAATCCCGTGACAAACTTCCGGCGCAATATTTGTTTGTCATCAACGACGTCATATTAAGGATCGTAAGTGCAGAATGAATTAAAGCAAGTACAAAGGCGCAGAGCAACAAGTATGTGTAAGAATTGGTGGAGCATTAGAATTGCACGACCATCATCGAGCCAAACAAGCATAGCTAAGAAATAACTCAACCCCAATAAATCCAAACAGATACCACCCAGATTGTAGTCTATGAGTTTGCGCCAAGGCCTGAAGGAAGTTAGTACATGGGCAAAGTTTCCAGACTAGAAGAACAAACCTGCAGCGTAAGCAAGGTACCAGGTTCGTGATGCACCGCCATCAATCCAGCTATAGTTGAAATTTTCTTGAGAGAAGAAATCCCAAGATGCATCCGGATCAATGAGGGCCAGGTTGGCATGTAGCACACCTTTCCAACCACCCTCGACTTGGGAGGCTGGGGTGGAGGCTGTGGCGGAGAACATGTCTTTCCACTCTTGTGCGACAAAACTGCGTTGACGGATGTAGGCAGAGTGTGGGAGGAGGGGCAACATGTGAATTCTGGGTATGTTAGTATTGAAACACGGTGTTGTGAATAGGACCTACCCTTGAACGAATTCGAGGTTGTTACCGAAATAGGTTGTGTGGTCAACCTTGTTCTCAAAGAGCTGTATGAATGTTAGCATCCATGTGTGAAATAGAACGAAACACACTTACGATGCCGGTCACCCTGTTTTTAATAAAGTTCGCTGGCTGATTGATGTTATTATCCTGCATCAGGAAATAGTTATCGAGGCTTCGTCGCATGATTCCCAGCATCATGTTACCACGGGCCTCCATGCTGGCATCCCCAATTGTACGTCCCCACATCTTCACAGCATAAGCGAACAAGGTGTCTTCGGAGGTAGACTCCTGATCCTTGCCATCATAGGACTCGAATAACCCCTTTGCCCAGGAATGGCCATTGTACCAGTCAAAGCCACGTGAGAAGGGGAAGTAAGGGTCATTTTCCACCGAGTTGCCCGCATCGCGAACCAGCATGTTAACCCAGTCTTTGTTCTTGGCAAGCCAAGAGGGGTCGAGAGCACCAATAATAGCAGCAGCTTGAATGAAATACCCATAGTGGAAGTGGTGATCGTTGTAGGCGGTATTTCCAAAATCGGAATTCAAATCTCCAGCGTAACCAGCAGTGGACACAGCACCCTTCCATACAGCATCATAGGCCAGTGGGAACTGTTGTTTGTTCTCCACAAAGCGTGCAAAGCTCTTCGTCAGGTTCTGGAAAGCTCCACTAGCCATATCAGCCATATCAGCGTCGTTGCTAAACTGATTGGCAGTGTAGATCAAGGTAGCAAACTTGCTCAGAGCCTTGCCGCTGTAGTACATGCTGTTCAGATCGCTTTGGACGCCGATGTCTTGCTGCAATTCTATAGGGGCAAATTTGAGGATAGCTTCCTGGGCGCTTTGAGACAGGGTGTTCGCAGTTCCATCGGCGGTCGACCAGGGAGCAAATTCGATGTCGATCGGTAGATCTTCCTCGGTCATAGTCCAGGTCTCGCCAATTACTGCAGTTGCATTACCTTTGGTAGTGCTTCGCAGATGAATATTAGTCACGCGAGCCTGGGTGTTGCGATCAAAGGACTGAATGTGGTGTGGCAAGGCAAACGTGATGAGTGGACTCTGATGTGCGTGCTTTCCAGCCTTGATCCACGAAAGGCTGTATGTGCCAACGTCATCGGTGACGGAGCCGGTGATGTGGCCACCCACGGCATAAACGCCAGCAGAGTTGTCGTAGAACTTCTCACCTGCCTTCCCTGCAGGGTTCTTGGCAACCTGGATACTACCAGAGAATCCCTTTGGACCATGGATGCTAGACTGCGAGGCAAGCTTGAGTTTAGGATCTTGGCCATCCTCGGGGGCGGCATACAGAAGCCAATGAGTATCGTCCTCCAAAATGACTTGATACTTGAAGATACCTGGCTTAGGTGACCCTGCATTCACCACTTTACGGAAGAACACGCCACTCTCAATCAATGGCTGGAGATCCTTGTACACGCCAGTGATGTAGCCCATACCCTGGACAACGGGGAACGTGATCGACCGAGGAGATCCAGCAGATCGCCTCAAGACTGCATGGGCAGAGAATGCCTTGGGCTCTTCGACACTTAGGACGCTTGACGCATCCAACTCCTTTGCGGAGAGAATCATATGTTGAAGCCCAACGGGATTGATATAGTAGTCGACAGGTGAACCAGGGATCTTGTCGTTCTTCGGGCCAAATGCCACCACATTTGCCTCAATGTGGGTTGCCGACATACCCCAGCTCTTCAGAGTGCCAGCGCCCTTAGACCATCCAAGGGAGTAAGGCTGCGTAAAGCTAGCATTAGTCTGACTTCCAAGAAATAGACCCGCGTAGAACTTGTTTGTTTGAACTGGCTCTGAAGTGTTGGCCTATGATTGTAAGAGTTAGTACAATCTTATATGTCAAGTAGAGATTTCCTTACGTGATTGTTGGAAACGGGGTGATCATGGCGACTTTTGATATTCGCCGGGGGCGGCCCCATGGCGACAGGCCGAAAGATATCTTGGTTATCCATGCTGGAATAATGGTCAGGTATATCAGTGGGAATTTGAACTGGTGATAATCAGCTGTATGTTTAACTGAAGTAGAATCATGCGCGTCAAACGAACCTTTTGTCAATGAAGGTGGTGTTATTTTAGGTGTTTCTGCTGTAGTTTTTACTACAGTGGTAGTAGGATGATGTTGTTTGTGCTTGTAAGTCGATTGAGATTTCACCAATCCAGTAACACTCGCGATAATGTCGCCAATGTCAACTGGTGGGAAGGGAGCCTGTGATGGATGACCTGCGTTCTCCAATGCCACACGATAAATCTGAAAATTCTTGTCAATATAATATTGTACACTTTCATCACTATAATTCTTACTGGCGAAGCTTGCGGGATAAGAATTCTGTATTCCTCGTTTGATGGAGGGTACTGTGTCTCAAAAGCCCTCGCCGGCTGTGTGTCTGTTTGTTGGAGAATCTTCTCTACGACAACACCAACACGAAGATTTGGCGAACAGTGTACCGTATCTGCAGCAAGAAGCCAAGTTAGCAAGGCTGTTGCCTTCCATCTTGACTCAATTCCCATTCTGCAAGCCCAGCAAAAGTACTCGAACAAGTGCAATAGACGAGTGTAAAGTGTAGGATAATTCGTTCTATCGGCTCAATTGGTCTGAACGGCCAATTCCACAGAGTAATTTGTGGCGTTTGCTGGGCGTCGAGTTGCAGGTCGAATACAGGCATGGGAGAGAAAGAATCCAAGCATCGAGGGCGGACTAACTACTTACAAGTAAAGACAAATTCCAGATAATCTGACTTGCAGATCGTTTTGCAGAAAGAATTCCGGGACTGCAGATCTTCACGGAACTCAATCGCGCGAACAAGGCGGCAAGGGCGCGTCTCAGGCTGTCTCGCGGCGATTTGCGCAGGTATCGAGTTTACCAGCAATGTAGGGCTTCGATGACAACAATGGCTTGTTGCGAGGGCCAGCGATCCCCACTCCCAAGAATGTCACGCGGGGTGTAAACAACGTGATCAGTGCTGCCAGTCTGACGGGGGCTGGATTGCGGATCGAACTATTTAGAATCAGTAAAAAGTCGTGTTAGACTCGGCAAATTGGAGAAAGTTCGTGAAGTTTGCGGAGTCTACATAAAGTTGTCCATTGACGTCGTAGGCAGCGACGTAGTGCCAAGGGATGTGGAGCTTTCCAACCATCGTCAACAACTTGCCCTTCACAGATGAGAATTGACACCCATCAATTAGCGAGCCTTTGGAACGATTGAAATATGATCTTACCAACAGCCAGCGCCAATTAAACTCGACTGCTCATTACAAAAACATTTTTCATAGTGCTAGTCTGACCGCACGCGTCACCGCATCTCCACGTCCATGCACCAATAGCAGAAATAAACATCCCACTATAACTTCTGTCTGGATGCTAGAACATGGTTTTTATTCAAATTATCTCTTCCAGGTGACTTTGGGATTCGTGGAATATCTCGGGCCTCCACATCTATTTAATTTTTTTGTAATGCTGGCGCGGGATTCTCCAGCGTAAATATATATTCCAATCATCCGTAGTAACATGGCTAAAATCGAACTGAAAGAGACAGTCGCAGCCAACTCTTGATAGGGAAGTTTTTAGTAGATCACCAGAATCGATTAAACTGGCTGTCAACGTGAAGAATGTTGATACCTACTCTGGCACATCAGTAATATTGATTTCAATGAAATTAACAATTGAATCAAAGTGTATGTAGGCAAAAACATGGAATCAATCGCAGATACCTGAAGATGGCTGGAGATGTTGTGATTTAGGCGGCGCCTGACATTATTATTTATTAATTCAGACCTACATCTCAGGTGGCCACCTGGGCATCTGAGCAGGTGACATGCACGCACAGGTAGGAATGTAGAACAATTCAAACCATTGGAATTAAATTTGAAGTTAATCACAGTGATACTTGTTTTTCACCTCCATGCAACTTCCCCTCCACAACCTGTACCTCAAGTCCATTTTCGGAAAGATCCGACCCCACATATGTCTTTGCCTCTTGCTCAAATGTCAAGCCTTGTTCACGAATCATTTTCTGGTTCTCCGTCGGCCAAACCCAGCAGATAAGGGGGTAAAGAATCAATGAGGTGAAAAAGGACAGAAGCCAGCCCAAGTCAAACATGTCTGAGGCTGATTGGTTAAGTCCAGACGCACCAAGCGAAACTGCGAATCCTGGAAAGGGCAACGCAATACCAAATATATAAGCAATAATGGCTTGGATATTGAAACCTCCGGTATACCGGTAGTGCGCGTTTGACTTGGTGGGGTTGAAAAGATGCGGGACGAACACGTTACCCCTAGCCATAATGAAGTCTGATATCGTCTTAGATTAATAGGTCTGGGTCGAGTTGATAATTGTCGTGACTCACATTCTGCGATCATAATGGCTACAACGCTGGCCATGAATAGACCATACCCTGATAAAAATGTAGTAAATGTTGCAGCTGACGCCATGATCTTCCATGGTACGATGGCGTAGGCAAGGAACTCCACGATGAAAAATCCGCGGCGCATATCGACGAAGCGTGGGACGAGAAGAGCGGAATCTGACCCGAAAGGAATCATGTTGCAGGCGATGTTTGTGCCGAGAACTCCGATCATCCAGCAGAATGCAGCAAGGAAGATCGCGAACCTAGCGCCAGGGTGATTGTTGCGCGTTTGAATCTCGTCGAGAAGATCCCAGGGATTCCTATGAGAAGGTTAGGACATTCGCGTAATTTGGAGACAGATCTGCGTACCATAGTTCCAAGCCCCACTGTCTGTTAATACCAGCAGTTGCCAGGATACCGAAGGTAGCTGAAACAGTTACAGCGATCGGTTGAACAAACTATAGATTGTTAGGCGTAAAATTGACAGACAATGTAGAAGCACTGACTATTTGAGATGTGATGGCCGCATTCTTGCTAGTACTCCAACGTGCAATGTCAGGCTGGTTCGTGATCAGCGTTGCTGTGTTTCTGGCGAAGGATACTCATCAGCATGAGAACGATAGTAAAGAATCTTTATAGCTTACCCCATTCCACTGTTAATTGCGTGCATGATAAACCAACCCAGCGATCCCTTTGTAGAAGCCGGGAGTGCGCCACTGACATCGCCGTGGCAAGCAATCATGCAGTAGATGAAGACACCCACAATACCTGGAACCATGACGAATCCCTTGAACCAGAAAAACTTCTTGATCTGATAGGGTCGGAAGAAACAGAAGAAGAAATGGATGAGCCAGAAAAGGAAGAAGCACAACATTCCCTTGGTCGTGATACCCATGGATTCAGGGATATGATTTGGGATATTCTCAAAGTGACTCCCAAAGATGGCTCGCATCATATTTGACAGGTAGGATGATCCGGTATATACTAGTGAAGATCAGTATTGGAATCCAAGAATGTGGAAGGCACTTACGTTGAACACCGAACCAAATGATTGCTAGGGCGGCTCTTGCAGCGACAAAGTAGTAGCTACCGTACATACCAAAGACAGCTCGAGCAACCGCGGGGTATCCGATATGGTACATTGTGGCAGCACGAGAGTTGAAGGCCATTGCAATTGACGAAATGAGTTGAGAAACAAATATGACTACGATCGCCTGCCACCAGTTGAGACCGATGCCAACCATTGTCTGTTTCAAATATCTTGATCAGCAGCTATTCATTCATTATTATTTTCAATTCGAATGAATGAATGACTTACCGATCCAAGGTTCCAGTTTCCAAACGAAATTCCGAGATACAGTAATATATACGTCCATGTGTCCCATGCTGTGATTGGCGTCAGAATACCGCCTGTACATGTACCATTCCTGCATGTGGGCGATGATCTAACTCACTTCTCTTTTCCGGCGGAGTAGGCTCCAGATCTAGGTGATAGACATTAGCGGCTGACAATTGAGAACCTCCAGGGCTTAGAGTCAACCGTGGAAAATGGGAAAACAAAAACGAACCTTGATTCATCCATTTCGGGTCTGCATCAACATATTTATTATCACCGACCACAAGAGTGTCCTCGACACGAATAGCATTTATGAACGCATCTTTACTTTTGAAAGACTCAGACGAAGGCAGAATCCTCGAAAGGAAACTACCTGACGACATATTGAAACTACGATATGGATGTGCAAACTTCAACCTCGACCTTGGTCTCTACTAGCAAGGGGTGATGTGAGACGCTTTAAATGGGGAATGCGAGGCAAAGGAAAGAAAAGGACAAAAGAACCGAGTGGCTTATCACGAATCTAAATCCAGGAAACCAGATAGACCCATATCTAGCCATCTGACCCGGCATATAGACTAACCTATTTAATCCATTGATATCTCATTGTCCTCTTGGGTTGCATTTGCCGCTCATTGTCCGTGCGCCACATCCCAGTCATAACAGATAATGAAAAGATAAGGAGGGGGCGAGATAAGGAGTCCAACGATAGAGAGATGAGTGATCTTAGTGATCTCTTAGGCCCATTCGTTTCCAATGCTTTCTTAATTGAAGAAATAAGCATATTTGGTCGAGGAGCGAGCAGTCAAGCTTTAAATTTCCCCGCTCGAATACAAGTCGGAGCCGAATTGCCTCCCCAATATACTCCGTAGATAAGCCTTGTATTTCCCCTCTTTTCGCATCAGCCACATGAAATCAACATCTTTATCTATTGCCACTATCCGCCCTTAACCGCCAAATCCCATACCTGCGCCATGACGGTACGCGTCCAATCCGAAGTTCGAACGGTGGTTCTATCAGATGAGGAACGCCAAAATGGAAAATACTCTGATTTTTCCCTCCAACAAGCTCTTGAGGCGATGCACCAGGATGGCTTGGTCGTGCTAAAGGGGGTTGTCGATATAAATCACATCGAAGCTCTGAACCAGCGGATGAGTGCGGATGCCGAGAAGAAAAGGGATGACCCCGAGCAAGTGTACAATCATTCAGTGAAATGTAAGCTCCGGAAAATCATTTCACAATAGATCAACCTGACGAGTTGATTAATTATAAACAGCAAATTTCCTACAGAGACCACCTGTCACTGAGCCAAATCTCTTATACGATGATATCTACTACAACCCGTTTGTTTTACAATTAGCCAATGCGTAAACATTCCCATAGCACCCTGAAAAAAACAAAGCTAATAGTCTACATCAGCTATCTTGGCCACAAACCAATCTGGAACTGGCTAACAGCCAATACCGCTCTCGCCAACACGGGAGGAATGCGCCAGGCAGTCCACAAAGACAATGCCTTCATTCATCCCCAATACCCATACTACTTCATCGCAAACATACCCCTATGCTCAACCAGTGTAAATAACGGTGCCACTGAATTCTGGCTCGGGTCCCACGCCCACACATCAAATCATGACCAACGCGTCGCCACTAAGCCAGAGGAGATCACCGCGCATTATCTACTTGGAGAACCGCTTCCAGCTGTGACGGAAGAAGCGCAGGAAATCCGACGATCGATTCGTCCTCCTATCCAGGCGACATGCTCTGCGGGAGATATCATGATTCGTGATATTAGACTCTGGCATGCGGGTATGCCTAATGAGACTGATTCTCACCGGATCATGCTTGGACTTGGGTATCAGGTAAGTGTGGTTCATTCTGTTATACTGGGACTAGACTGATGCTTGCTAGAACCCTGTTTTTCCTAATTCTAGCATGATGTGTCATCTGCCTGCCTCACAGCGGAAATTCTTTGAGAAAGCTCCTGGGAATTTAGAGGTTCGCGCCAAGTTTTACGAGGAAGAAGAGTTCGAAAGAACGACCTTGGATTCTGTATTCAACCTGAGACCAGTCTATTCAAAGTGAATGTCACTACTTTTAGAAGTTTAGAAGAAGTAAGAGGAGTTTCGCAAGCCTTGGAGAGTATCCGTTTCTTAAACGTATGCAGTGATCTGGTCCCAGTAGTTACAGCCTTGGAGCATTCTTTCCAAATATTATTCACAAACCCTATACCTCAAAGTACGCCAAGTCTAACTGTCAAAAAACAGTATAACAAACATTAGTCACAAGATTCATGGACCTGGTACATAGAACTTTCAAGCCATCTTAGCACGGAGATGCAGATTCGGCCCTTGCGCGTACTCCATGCTGTCATCCAGGTTACCCTTAGTAGCGAACTTAATATCCTTCAAATAATGATCTCGTGGCTGCCACGGGCCCCGATCAGCCGCCAATGGCAGAACACGGCTCGCAACAGTGACATAAGTAGAATTCAGGTTCAGCAATGGGCGCGTCTGGATCACCTCGGCCTCCTGCGCCTTCATACGGGGTGTAGCAGCGAGAAGCTTCCTCGTCTCCATAGACTTGAGCAAGCGAGTCACGAATTGCGCGGTGGCGTCCGCACCGAGAGTCCATGAGGCATTGGTATATCCAATGATGAAAGAAGCATTAGGAACATCCTGAAGCATGACTCCGTTCCACATGTACTTGGATCCGATATCGATCTTCTCTCCGTCGACGGTGATGATGGCGCCCCCTGCAATTTGGAGTTTCAGACCCGTCGCAGTGATGATAATATCCGCGTCAAGAGTCTCGCCCGAACTCACGGTGAGGCCGTTCTTAGTTACCGTCTTGATGGTGTCGGTGCGGACATCGGCCTTTCCGCGGCGGAGGCAGGCGTAGAAGTCGCCATCTGGCGAGACGCACAGTCGTTGATCCCAAGGGTTATAGCGCGGCTGGAAGTGTGGGTTATAGGGGATGTGGCTGGGAAGTTGTCTTTTCGTTGTGAGCTTGAGGATCCAGCGGGCTAAATTCGGGAATCCTTGACAGAAGAGGAAGAAAAATCGGGACTGAAGGATCCAGATCATGCGCTGGAAGCTGTGATATGCTTTCGTCGGCAGGATCCAGCGAAGTAACCAGTTACGACTGCGGTTTGGGAGAGAGAGGATGTAACTGGGACTGCGCTGAACCATGGTCACGCGCTCCGCCTTTTTGGCCAAGTTGGGGAGGAGAGTGATGGCCGTAGCACCACTGCCGATGATGACAACCTTCTTTCCCGTGTAATCGAGATCCTCGGGCCAGAATTGAGGGTGGATGACCTGGCCCTGGAAATTCTCTAGTCCGGGAATGGTAGCCTCCAATGGTTCCTTGTAGTTATAGTAGCCGGAACCAAAGAGGATGAACCGTGCATTGATGGTCTTGGCGGTGCCATTGTGATCGACGTTCAGAGACCAGTAGTTGTCCTCGCTGGACCAGTTTGCGGCGGACAGACGGTGTTGATATTGGATGTTCTTATCGATACCAAACTTCTTCGCGGTGTCTCTGACGTAGCCTTTGATCAAGTGGCCTTCCGCGATGGGGTTGGACTGGCTCCAAGGGTTGAAAGAAAAGCCAAAGGTGAATAAATCAGAATCCGATCGGATTCCAGGGTACTTGAACAAGTCCCAAGTGCCACCTAGATCGTCCCTAGCTTCAAGGATGGTATAGCTGTAGCCTGGGAGCTCATCTTGAAGGCGATAAGCGGCGTTAATACCAGAGATACCCGCACCGACGATGACTACGTCGAAGCGCGATTCAGATTCTGTATGACCGTTCATGTTGTATGTAAATGTAAAATCAATTGAGGGGAGAAGGTCATTTTAAAGGAAACTCACATGCCTCGGAATCTCCTGTGACGATCCTTGGAACCGATTTCTCACACAACTTAAGTCCGTGCGTTCCTCACCAAAAATCAACTTGGTGGGGAAATGGATTTTCATGCATGAACTAAGGAGTATACCGATGACATACTTTTCTATTCTTGACCGAGGCCTTTGATGTCTTTGATCTTATTCTACTCCGTACTCCGTGTATAATGACATAGGTTATTCCCGATCGGATGACGGTGATCCACTCAAATCATGGACTCGCGCAGAAAACAATGCATATTATTGAAAATTGTGATACACACAATCATCCTATTCTCTACTCCGTACTCTTCATCTTCCTGTACTCTACCTCAGCTAATGAACCTCGGCCCCGAAATTTGAGACTTAAAACTCGCAAGATGTGGATCAGCCCGATCTTTACCTTAATAGGATAGCATTGCGAAAGATCGTCCCCCACGTTCCTCCGAGGTCTAACAAGCCATCGTCAGCCCCAAACTTATCAAGCGTGACCCTGCGCTACTTTAGAATAGCATGATTTCAACATGTCTTTAACCCAGGCCAAATTGACCTTCGTCGAGAAACTTGACATTTTGCCGGCTCTCGCCAGCATCATTGTCGCTGCCTTCTATGCTCTCCTGACCGGCCTATGGCGCACTGAGCGCCAGGCCAAATCCCTCCTCTTACATTTTGGCTATGCCATCATGCGCAAGTCCACAGCGCGATTGTCGTCAACTCAGATGCAGTTCATTCTACCAGGGTCTGCAACAATCTATGACCGGTTCTCGAAGAAACTGGGCTATAAGCCGGAGTCGGTGGAGTTGGGACACGGCGCTATCGGCCACTGGATCGGGGACCCCAATGCGACAAACGTGCTGATTTGGTATCACGGCAAGTGAACACCATCCATTCTAAACAAATGCAAGTACTGACAAAAATCAATTCAGGCGGTGGATTCTGCTTACCATCTAATCGTGGCTACATTAATTGGTATGCGCAGCTCGTTCGCCATCTAGAGGCTTCAGGCAAGAGTCTCGCTGTTTTCTCTCTCACCTACACTCTCGCCCCCAATGCCACATACCCGACGCAGCTCAAGCAAGCAGTTTCTTGTGCCCGATATATCCTCACCCAGCCAAATCGGGATCCTGCAACTGTTTTTCTCGGCGGTGACTCCGCTGGCGGAAATTTAGCGTGTGGTGTGCTATCGCACGCCGCCCACCCCCACCCCCAGATCGAGCCTTTGCCCGTGAATGGCAAATTGGGTGGTGCCGTCATGATCGCTCCATGGACTCTGCTCGACACTGAGTTCCCCGAGCAGGAAATTTACCCAGGTGGTGATTTGATTACACCAGAGGTTGCGGGGCCTTGGGCGTCAGCTGTGTTGGGAGGTGCGCCGCGAGACAACTACACGGATCTTTTCCATGCCCCTGTGGATTGGTATTCGAAATTTCCGGTGAGTACCGTGCTTATCACGGCTGGTGGTAATGAGATTTTGCTGCCGATTATTCTGGAATTCGCGAAGAAGTTCAAAAATGGGTTTGGGAACGTAGAGATATTTGTTGGACATCGCGAGTGTCATGTTGCACCGGTTTATAATTCCATGTTACACGATCACACGGAGACGGAGCAGGGGAAGATGATTAAGTCGTGGTTGGCGGAGCTGGCGCACTAGATTCTTAAGTTTCAAACGTTGTACATATGCCAAAAACTTCCGGTATCAATGAATGCGAAGGGTGCAATTTATGAATGTATGTGAAGAAAATTTTGACAAATCCCTCCATGTAAAATTTATATCCTCTTTCACCACTCAAATAGAGCTTTTCGAATTACGACTGGCCGCTATAGCTTTCGGAGGAAATCAAGGCGGCGCAAGAGTTTTACGCCCTATGGTGAAGCGGAAATAAGCTACAGTGTTATTTGTTATAGAATTGTTGATCAGGTCCCGCAAGGTGAGAATTGATTTGTAACAACTATCAAATTACTTCTATGAGTTCAGAATCTCCACAGCTATATCATATGCTTTACATCGCAAGTCCCATTCTCGTGTTCCCGGCTCAGCCTTCTGGTCCCATCCATGATTACATCGATCCATCCGTTCGCAAACCACACGTCGATCAAGATCACGTCGAAGCTTCTCTGCAAATCGTTCACTTTCCTCAGCCAGATAATCGTAACCAGCTGTAATCATCAAAACATTACGAGGAAACCTCGCCGAATCCGCAAGACCGGGAGAAATTCGCGGGTCCCTCATATCAACCCCTTCTGGAATCCAGCATCCCCAGAAAACACGCATTATAGAGGGTGGGATTGGCCTCCCACCAGCCTGTGGAGATACCAAAGTTCCCGGATCACGATAACACTCAGTACCAGGATAAAAGGTCAGGACAGAGTGGAAGGTGTCAGTTGGAAATGTCGAAGAAACAGTTGAAAGCGCAAGATTTCCTCCGGAGCTGAACCCAGAGAGAGAAATACGCGAACAATCAAACACAGAAGGCTGTCCAAGAACCCATTTCACGACATCCTCTGCGTCGTGTAACTGTGCTGGGAATGGATTCTCCGGAGCGAGTCGATAATAAACGTCCAAGACTACACAGTCTGTTCGTTGGCTTATTTCGCGACAGAATCGATCGTCACTTCCATGGAGAGGGAGTGTATAGCCTGAACCGAAGAAGTTTATCAAGACAGGTCTTGGTTTTGATTCCTCGACTTCTTCTTTTGATCGATATACATGGGCTTTGATGGTCCGATGTGGCTCTCGAGATGGGATATGCTCAATGAAATCGGGGGACGGGTCGATGTTTGCTCGTAGCTTTACTAGTCCTCGCAGGATGAGGACTACGAATCGGAGATAGATGTAACGGAAAATTGACATTTTGTTTGTTCAATGCTATGTAGATTTGGTCTGCTTTTATTTCAATCCAGGTGGTCCGTGCGACCAGCGCAGCCTAATGCGGTCCCCGACTTACTGAGGCCCATCTTAAGGCTCCTGGTACTGAATCCTGAGTTAATAAGGTATGTAATTTCAGGATGCGAGATTATTTTTAGCGCTGACTTAGGTAACAAGCGACTCACATCCTGCCTATCCAGGCCGGATCCACTTCTAAACGGGACCTTCTAGAACAGCCACCGTGTCGTGACGCAGAATCGGTCCGAAATACTTTTTTTAGTTGTGCTGACCGTCACCTAAACTGTTAGGCTTTTCCGTGTATATGTGGAAGTCACATGAAGCATTTTATAGATTGATGCTATCTTGTAAAAAAGGAGCTAAGAAGTTCCCATGCAGGGACTCCCTAGTCATCTCGTGACACCCACCCGGAAAGTATCGGTACGGTGGAGCCTAACAGCTCTGTCACCCCTGTCTCCTCGGCTTGGCTGTAACAAAATACCAATTCGTATCAAATAATCCCTGAATAACGGAAGTTCTGGGTGTTCAACCACCATACATGTACCGGTCCAAACCGGGCCCGGATCGGATCTGATAATTTTTCACCGATATCGCATCTGATAAGATCCCTGACTCCGCAATAAAATGAATATATTATTAGCTACGCTAATTTCCCTTCAATACTGGTTCGCCACGTTTTACGTTTTCCTTTTTCCTTTTTCTCGTCCCACCTGGTTTCTTTCAATACCTCCTCCCCCTCTTTATTCATATAAACTATAATGCCCTCTAACGATGGTGTGCGGGCTGTCGCTCGGTCCTTTCGGGTCCTCGTCATCGGTGGCTCTTATGGTGGTCTTGCTGCTGCATTGAACTTAAGTGATCTGGCTCGGGGTCGGGTATGTCGTTTCGACTCTAATCCCGATGCTAAACCGCCTTCATATCGGATTCCTCTTCACATTACCGTTGTGGATGAGCGAGATGGTTACTGTACGTCCCACTAGCTTTGGACGACTTGCCCTTTGAACATTGCATTGATGAAATTCTCTAGTCCATCTGATTGGATCGCCCAAATCTCTCGCTTGTGAGAAATTCGCCGCAGAGTCATGGACGCGCTATAAAGATATTCCCGCGCTCAAGTCCCCGGATTTCAGCTTCATTCAGGGGACAGTCAGCAAAGTAGACAGTGCGTCCAAGGTCGCTCATATTCTTGATATAGAAACAAAGGAAAATCGGTCGGAAAAGTATGATTACCTGATTGCGGCGTCGGGTCTGCGGAGGGTCTTCCCCGTTGCGCCCCAATCTCTGCGTCGAGAGGAATTTCTAAAGGAGGCAAAGACACATGTGGAAAATGTCCGCAAAGCGACTCAAGGAATTGTGGTAGTTGGTGGAGGTATTTATCCCAAATTGGAGAATTCAATGGCAATCACTCATTTAAATTAGGTGCGGTCGGGATCGAGATGGCAGCAGAGTTAAAGATCCTCTTTCCAGAACAAAAGATCACCCTCATTCATTCTCGGGGCCGGTTGCTGTCATCTGAGGATCTACCCGATGACTTTGCTGAGCGTGCGCTTGCGATCCTTCGCGAGGAGAACGTGGAGGTGATCCTAGGACAGCGCGTCATCGACACAACTGCTGTCAACTCAGGCAAAAAGCGTGAGTGGCTTTTGACTTTGGCGAATGGCCAGCAGCTCACGACCGGGCTTGTTCTGAGCGCGGTCTCGCAACCAGTGCCTACATCCACATACCTGGAATCAGAGGCACTGAATGAGCAAGGTTTAATCAAGATCCACCCATCGTACGTGTCTCTATTTAACATTGGTATGCATCGATCTCACGTTTCGCAGGCTTCAGTTCTCGGGAAATATACCCAACGCAGAGCACCATTTCGCGGTCGGCGACCTTGCGGCATGGTCAGGCATCAAGCGCTGTGGTGGAGCAATGCATATGGGCCAGTATGCCGCCAACAACATCCACCAACACATGTTGGCAGAATGTACAGGCGAGAAGCCTAGATTTATGAACTTGACCCCCTTTCCAAACGTTATTGGGTTGGCTCTTGGTAGGAAGTGTGCGACCTACAGCGCAGGCGAAGGCACCAAGGATGGAGAGGATCTCATGGATGTCATGTTTGGGAAAGACATGGCCAACAGCAGTAAGCCCATATTTCCACCTAGAACTATCGCAGTGGCTAACATTTGAACCAACCAGTCTGTTGGAATTATATGCGCCTCGGGGATCCTCCTCAGGCATGACGTAGTGTGATTTCGACTGGTCTTTCGCATGTATATATAGTATCCATTCACTCGACGATTGTCTCACTCAAGGAATGCAAAGAATGTTCCTGCCAGCATGACAAACATTCCGAGATATTCCGCCCAATTTTATCATAAGCACCCGGTCGGAAACGCCGACAAGAAAGACAAATAACGAATAATTGTCCTTGGATAACCACCTGCGCGCCGGGACCATACCGAGCCATGCCGTCCCGCGGTTTCAGCCCACACTCAATACAAAACCGCTTATCATTATCGGCGCCCGATCGACTTCGTCGGCGCCGTAGCATGCGATCGGCAAATTGACTTGCGGGGCGTAGACGTAAGCAGTAGCGACAAGCGTAGATATCTTTGTGGCGAGCCCATTCGGTTGATTCAGCCTGTAGAAGCTGATTATGAGAGGGACGAGGGAGCTGGTCGAAGAGGTACGCGCATGTTAATCTTAGTTTGAGGATGTCATGAATAGGTAGGAATTCCGTAATGAGCGAGAGTAGTTCTGGTGGGAGGTTTAGGAGGTGACGCATGGAGTGGGTGAGGAAGAAGCTTGAGCGGGGTAGTTTCTCATGGATTTTACGGCATTCAATTAGGACTTTTATACGCATAAAACGTCATAACTCGATAAAAGTGACATTTTAAAAACCATAAAGCTGTGATCTTTGAATCTACCGTTCCAAATTGGATTTCTTCGTTGCCTGATCAGCCATGAGTCAGATGAAATTGTATCTGGCCCCAAATCCGTAGCTATAAAAAGGAAGGATGTCAGCATGTCAGTCCATCTCACCTCGATCCCATCCACCCAAATCTGAAACATACAATGGCTCCATTCGGTAAAATCTGGTCCTATATGCCCAGTCCTCGGGTTAGCAAGGTACAAAATCAACTCAAGAGTAAAGAAGTGTAAAACACTAAACCATCCAGATCGAAGCAGTAGCCAACCTCAGCGGCCTAGAACTAGAAATTTCCCAAGGCTTTGTCCTGCACAAAGACAACCAGACAGAAGAATATCTCTCGAAATTCCCACTGGGAAAAGTTCCAGGCTTCGAAGGCGCAGATGGAACCCGTCTCGTCGAATCCGATGCCATCGCGCAGTACGTCGCTGAAAGTGGTCCTCTAGCCGATCAGCTGCTCGGTGCGACACCTTTGGAGCGAGCATCAATCCGATCATGGATCAGTTTCTCGGACCATGCGTTCTTGCGCGTTATTCGTGAACTGGTTATGTGGAGATTTGGGAAGTGGGAGTATGATGGGGAGAGGGAGACGACGCAGCTTGCGTTGTTGGAGCGTGGACTTGCTTATATGGAGGGTCATTTGCCGGGCCGAACTTGGTTGGGGGAGAATGGGAGGTTGAGTTTGGGTGATATTACTGTTGCGGCACCTTTGCATGTGGGGTTTATGGTAATTATCGATGCGGAGATGCGTGCTAAGTATCCGCTTGTGACGTCTTGGTTTGAGCGGGTTATGGCTGTGGAGGGGGTTGGGAAGGCTATGGGGGAGATCACGTTTATTGAGAAGCGACAGGTATATGAAGCAAAGGCGGATGCTTGAAACAGTATTTACAACTCTTAGATAAATTGCATGGAAGGGGTTTGGTGATAAAGTTGATTGATGCATAAGTATATAAAAAAGATAAGATGCGACACTGGATATCGTTGAGACATGATAGATTTCCATATGACTGTAAAAAGCTGACTAGAGACGCGCCAGACGGCTCGTTTCAGTTCGCGGTTGGCTCATGAGCCGGGCGAGATTTCGACTGGCCCAGTCGGCAATGGCCATATTCGTAACCATTGGGTTCACACCACTGGCACTAGGGAACACAGATGCATCCACAACATACAATCCATCAGTACCCCAGACCTGGCAATGTGGGTCCACAACGCTCGTCTTAGGGGACTTGCCCATTCGGCAGGTACCCATCTGGTGAGCACTGGCAAAAAGTGCCTTCTCTGCGTCTAGAGGTGATTTCCGACGCAGCTCAGCGATCCATTTCTGCAAGGCAACGTTGTTGGTTCCCTCAGGGGAGTCATGGTCTGATGAATCCTCCCGCACAAACGGTTCAATATCGCGATAGGTGGTGGCGAATTCCTTAGCTCCAGAGATATAGGCAATCTTGGCGGCAGCAATTAAGCCTTCCACGATATGCCGTCGGTCAAAGCTGGAGACCTGGTAGTCGATGCGGACACGTCCATCATTCGGGTCTGGGTATACACGTCCGCTGTCTCGGTCTTTTGTCAATGTGATGAAGCTTGTACTACGACGCATTTTGGCCGCAGCCAGCTTGTAATCCAGACCTTCTTTCCAGGGGAAAATAGGAATAAAGACAGATGGCAGCATTGACGCTGATTCGAGCTTAACACCATGACCATGCCCATCAAGATCTTCGAATTCATTAACCACCGTGGTCAATGCTGAGCCTTCCCATGGGCGAGTATCCTCGTCAAAAAGAGCAGCGGCGCCTATGACCGGATGCAAATGCAGATTCCGACCAATCTGGGAGTTCTTGAGACCACTTCGAAGCAGCAAAAGAGGGCTCTGCAATGTTCCAGATGAAACGACAACCTTCTTGGCCTTGATAATCACCTTTCTTTGCGTGGAACCACTTCCACCAAGGCCGAGATACTGATCTCGGGACGTCCAGGTTCCTTCCACACCGATGGCCTTCTGATTTGCGCCCTTCTTGTCGAACAAGACCTTGTCAGCACGGAATCCCTCGATGAAAGTGGCGCCTGCCTTCGCAGCATCTGCAAGAAAGGTTTCTGTTGGGCCTTTCTTGCCGGCGGCCGCACAGCCCGTAGTGCAGTATCCACAGTAATGCTCTGCATTTCCGGTATTCTGTGGAACTGTTTTAGCTGCATAGCCTAGCTTTCGTGCGCCCTCCAGAATCACATTGTTCTGAACATTATGCCGAACATGCTCAGTATTGACACCCATCCGGTCGCAGACACGGTCCAGGCTTCTCTGGAAATCCCAAGATGTGAAGAGTGGGAGACCTCCATCCGCCCATTCCTGGCGAACATAACCTTGAGTCTGTAAGGCGGCAGACCAATTAACAGTACCGCCACCACCCCATGTCGAGCCCGCGAGGACAACCGTCGCACCGTCATCACTGACAACGGCACCTGCAGCCTCGAACATATTCACGTAGGCTTCATTTGCTGTCATGGGAAATGTCTTGGATGGGTAGGAATATGACTTTTCAACCACAAGCACTCGAAGCCCAGCCTCGGCGAGGTTCTTCGCAGTAACTGCTCCACCACAGCCACTGCCAACGATAACGATATCAGTTTCAATTGTCTCGGGGCCATCACCGGGCGGAATCTGCAAGAATTCATGAGGGAATCCATCAGCAGGCTTTCCATGAACAGGCACACGTGGAAAGCCGAGAACTTTGTCGATATTGGGACTGGCCAACACCCATGACTTTTTCACAATTGCTGTCAAGCCTCGGAAGGTGTTACGCAGAGGAGAAAGCCGAGAAGTGTCCCAGCCCCGGAATACTTTCTCCCGGAAAGCAACAGGTTGCTGATGGAGGGGGGTTGTGGAGCCAGTTAGAATCAGCGAGCCGGCCCGAGTACTAAAAGTTTTGTCAGTGACTGTCTCTGTTGGACGATATCAGAATCCTTACTTCAACGCGTTCAAAATTAAACCAAGGCCATTCCTGCCTTCGTCGTGCACGTAATGACCCACGGTCCGCTCCACGATAGCACGAAAAGCGGGGTTAGTAGAAACATTCTCCTCCAGGTACTGAACCGCAACCTGTTTCGCATCTGGGCCCGAAACCAGGGATGTGAGCTTATCAAGTGCCGCATCATATTCAATCTTCGAGATGACTTTGTCATTTAAGGACTGGGGCGCAGTCCGAATAGACGGTACAATCGCATCACAGATCGCAAAGAGAGTCTTCCATTGTAACTCAGACCAGAACGAGGTATCTGGAGCTTGAGGAATAGGCACCGCCTGCGGTACGTAGTCGGTCATTGAGTTTGTAGGCATGGTTCAGAGTACGAGGAGCCACACAATGCCTTTCAGGGTGGTGAAGGAACAATATCATTCATCCAATAAGTTGGGACTGGAATAAATATGGAGAAAGCTCGGATATACTAGCTCGACAAGTTTCCCCGCCGAAGTACCTGGCCAGTGCTTGAGCAAAGATCAGAGCAGCCAGATACGTTCCCAACCACGTTACAGTGAAGGCACACGGGCCGAGGCCTGCGGAGCATGATTCGCGACATACAGTTTGACCTTTCAGTGGGGGCTTGACGTGTTCTTCCACTCATAATGCGTGGATCCAGTAGATCGTTCCGCCGTGCGGGGGCAGAATGGACGGAATAGCCGAGTGCCCACCCCATGTGACCGATATTCAGGGTTCAAAATTCACTAAAAAGGGTAAGAAGTCACCGGCTAGATTGAGTTGAGAATTGGATCAATTTTCAGAAACCAAGAAGGGAATGGATGAGATTCTTTTTCTTGGTCAATGCGCTTTCACGCGACACAGAAACGTAATCCAATCGGCGTCATTTTGAGCTTTATTTACTCATAGATCAGGATATGGCTGTAGATTATGTATGAAGACCGATTTATATGAATTTCAGCCCTAAAGTAGCTGGATAGATTTGTCTCAAGTACGAAGTAAATAGATGCACGTTTTATGTATGTGACGTGTGTCCGCCTTTAGCCGTTGAGATCTCCGATCGGCACTTCTCAAAGTTACATCTTTCAACCATGGCGGACGCGTCGGAGTCTACGCGATGCAGGTTACCCACAGATAAGGTCTTCTCTATACAAATAGGCCAAGATCTATTTCGTCTATCGGGAGCTTCAATTGCCTCAGATGGTTAGATCTATTGTTCCTTGGTGGTCTCCAAGCTGACCCCTCACAGCACCTTCCTACTTCTCGCGATTCTTCGAAGAGCAGATGCGCTTCCCTGAGTCCCACTCTATCCGCACCTTATATATCGATCGCGACCCGGAGACCTTCAAAGAGATCGCAAGGCATTTGCAAGGTAGTCATAGAAATCTTACGACATGGCAGAAAGACTGATGGGCACCAGGATACCATGTTCGGCCACGAGATGGTGCGCAGTTCGTCAAGCTGTTCGCTGATGCTCAATTCTATAGCTGTCAGCTTACCCTGTCCGATAAGAGAGAGCATAGGCTGACCGAACCATAGTGCCCCGATTGATGTCCCAACTCTTTGAATCCGAAATCTTTATCCAAATCGGTGACCGCCACTTCCAGATCCCGCGCGATATCTTCTCGAGCCCAGGCGACTCGCCCAATTTCTTCACATTAGGCTTCGGGGCTTTCTTCGCATCCCCCTCAGAGGTTTTCCCAGGTCTCGACCGTGTAGGACTCCTCCGCCCACCAGCTATCACACCCCCAGCCGTACCGAACAGGTCAGCGGAGGTCTTTGCGCAACTTCTACACATGCTACGCGGATACCCACTTCATATTCGAAACGATGAACACCGAGCCGAGCTTCTGCGTGATTGCCGATACTTCCATCTCCGAGGATTGGAACAGAAGTTGATACCGCACAATATCAGCGTGAACCCTTTCAACCAGCGGTCGGAAATCGCCATACGACTCGAGGATGTCCGGCCCTCAGGTATCCAGCTTGCCCAAAATTCCATAAATCCCAACTCTACAACACACTTGGCTATAGGCGGGTTCGTGATGTACGCTCGTCCCTTCGTGGATGATAAGCCCTTCGATCTGATGCTTGAAATCGGAGGGGAATCGACAATAATTAGTCGTGCAGGTCAACTTGCGGACTTCATTGGCCAAACTAAGTCTCGTATGGCCAGTCTTATACAAGTGGTGGGCAAAAAGACGAACCTGCCTGACACCACTGTGGCTGGGCTTCCTCTTAAGGTCCGGCTGGGGCGAGAGGCTGATATCACTATTGACGGGGAACGAGATCCTCAGCGCATTTCAAACCTAATAGCCAGTGGTGAAACGGATAATGAGGGGCCTCCTGCCAAACGTCAGCGCTCAGATGGGTCGGACGATGGTCCTTGGGTAGTCCGGACGGGACAATGGCGGCTGCTAGTACAGCAGGTAGATCCTACTGGTCCTTGTGAGGTTGTCCTAATCGCCCAGAAGCTGGATGTTTACACCCATCCGCGCACTCGTAATCAAATTAGGAATTTCCTATGAGTTAGGAATGCAGCTATGAAGCCAAGACTATGATACTAATATGAATTAAAAGAAGTTATATGGACTCGAGCCATGCTCATTTTTTTTTTAATCTAATCAGAGAATCCATCCCAGTCATCGTCGTCGTCTTCATCTTTTACCTCCTCCTCCTCCTGCGCAACAACCTTCTGTCGCTTAGAAGGCTCCTTTTTAGGCTCCTCCTTGGGTTCCTTTTTAGACTTCTTTCTTGATGTTGGGGCTTTTGTATTCGACACAAGTTTGGGATCACGCACGAATCCAGCGACGAAAAAGCCTCCCAAACCTTCAGCGTCACCGGACCAGCAACGCAAACAGGCTTCTAGGTCCTCGTCTGAGAGATCCACCGTAGCAGGGGTAACGTCATCAGTATCGTTCTCTGATTTTCGATCCTCCCGCACACCCCGATGCTTCCATTTGCGCAAACCACTAGGTTGCTCATCCCGTCGCAGAAGACGCCAGCCGCCTTCTTTGGCTATATCCGAGGCCAGTACACGCTCCACAACAGCCTCGTTCTCAATCAAATGGATCGAACATGTACTGTAGCTAACATGTGTTGCAGTAGGGAAACTTAATGCATGTTCCACGATTCGTGCTTGGAGATTTGACAATTTGATGAGACGTTCTTGGTCAACAGCACCGCTGGGAATATCATTCTCGTCTGACGGGGAGGTATTCAAAGCGGTCGGTTTTGCTTGTGATTGTTGCACTTCCACCTCTTCCTTTTCGTCGGGTCGTTTCCGTTTCTTGCCCTGACCCTTGGGGTTGGGGGCTTTGGATGCCGCGGGTTTGGGTAGTGTGAGCTGGGGAACATCATCGCGACCGATAATCCCACTTCCCGAGCAACTAGGATCAAGCAAAAGACCCGTGACCTTCTCAAAGCGCTCATCCATTGGGTCGAGGGCCAGAAAGTCTTGACCCTGTAGTACGGTAACGGTGGGATCTGCCCCGGCCATAGAGACCATTTTCTGTAATGTCTTCGAACGCACTCTAGAAGCATCCATGCAAATGATTTGCTTTTGGGGCTTCTGATCTTTGATCTGTTGCTTTGCCAGAAGAGAAGCCATGTGGGTGGTTTTATTTCCCGGAGCAGCGCAGCCATCCACGAGGTCGCCTTGCCACGGATCCTTTGGGCCGCGATCTCCCAGCAGGAGATATGCGGGGAAGCATGATGCCTTGTCTTGCAAGATGATCTCGCCATTCTTGTATGCGGTAGACGATGTGAAATCCGCTCCGTAAGGCACGGCAACAAGATCTGGGATGTTAGGATCAACATACAGCAAGTGCTGAGATTTGCGATCGTCTCCCTCGGGTGCCAATTCCGCTAGAGAATCAACGTGTCGGTAGGATGCAAACGTCGTGCGCATTTGATCCTCCAGAGAGGACCGAATATTGTTCACGCGCACCCAGCGTGGATATATGAAATCATTGGGCCCAGCAGCCTCCCGCTTCTCTCGCAAGATCGCAGCCTTGAATTGCTCAACCGAGGCACATCCCCGACGCACCCGAGCCTTCACAAACTCAGCTCTCAAGCGAACTTTGTGGCGTTCAACAGCCTGTCGGATTGTATGCGCTGCCGGGGCCGCGATGCCATTTTTCGCGATAAGGTGGTCATGTACAAGGAGGAGTGCAAGGAGTGGAGATAGCTAAAGAGAACGATATCAGAGCTGAACAGTCAGTGGGCATCTTGTGTGGAATGCCTGTGATGTCTTACCTTGCGCTCGGCGTCCAAAAGACCAGAGCGGTCGATAACGTCGGCCAGAACAGTATCCCATTTGGCAGCTTCAATGATAAGAGCGTAGATCTGTGCTGGCTTTGCGCGCAGGTCACGGGCGCTGTAGATTCGAGATTTGAAAGAGCCACCTGAGGCTGGCTCGGTCAAGATATTGACCGCATCAAAATAGAGGGACATTTTGTTGCCATTGATTCCAAGTTGTTTGCGAGAAATTAATTTCGAAGATATGATCTTGTTTGGTCTGTTTGCACCCTCTATCCAATCAACAAGCTCTGTCAGATGTACATTCTATGTTCGACAATTGTGATTTTGATTTCTAGTGCTGACATTGTCCCCCCTTCACCTATTGTTTTCGAGATGAATTCATCCCTTGTGTCATAGAAATAGACTGATGGCATGATAGTCAAGCTTTTGGTTCAATGTCAACCTGGGGCGTCTTGTCAAGTCCCGCAATCTGGAATGTGTATCGGAGATAAGCCAACAGATCGCCGTTCCCCGCCATTGCAACTTTGAAGCTCACTTCTGGGCGAGACATCTATACATATTCTCAATTCATTCTAAATATCTTATATCAATCATTCAAATGTCCAACACCTTGCCACCAAATATGTCTTTTACCACGGTGATTCAGCCACCTCCAGGCCCAGATACAAAGCTTGAACTCCCAGGCGAAGGAACAAACAACCCACCGATCTTCAACGATGCGATGATTGTTCGCATGCGCGTGTTTGTGGACGAACAAAAATGTTCCGCCGAAGCTGAGATTGACAGTGACGATCAACGCAGCTGGCATTGGGTCATTTATGACTCAAGTTCAGATAATCCGAATGCACCTATCGCAGTCATCCGTTTGGTGCCCCCCCCACAGCCACCACATGCTCTCCTCACACACCCAGATGATCCGACTACCAAAGGCCTACCTGCATTTGACTGGACCCACGAGGCATGCATCAAGATAACGCGTGTCGCCGTTATTCCAGAATACCGGGGGAAGGGTCTTGGGCGGCGTCTGGTGGATACGGTGCTAGACTGGGCCCGTGAGCACGCGGCCGAGATTGACGGGGCTATCAAGGAGATGTCACTTTCATCAAGTGGGGGGTTCTTTATTAAGTGGAAGGGGTTGGTCCTTGTGCATGCGCAGGTGGATGTTGAGCAGATGTATCGAGGATTAGGATTCCAAACGGATGAGTCGCTTGGTCGGTGGGATGAGGAGGGCATTGATCACGTAGGAATGTTCAGACGATTGACGTTGGCTTGAAATAATGATGCATAGGAAAGTGTAAATACAGGGAGCGACTTGATGCACAGAATTCTACAGCCAATCGAGTCGATCATTGCGTTTCTCTCCTCTTTTCAACACTAACTAACAAATCATATGCCAACCATACTTTCCTAGAGCTTAATATCGGATTTCAACACGAAGAGATAATAAATCTGATGGCGATTGGGTGAACCTGGTGGCAATGACGTGAGGTACCCGGGGCGACGCATCAGTGGCGGTCCATAATCTCGCCTCTCCACATTCCCTCAATGTTGAATAAGGAACAGCCAAACTATATCAAGATCCTTAACCATGGTCATGGGAGTGTGTCGTCTTACATGAATCTTGGTGGTTTCACGCTTGAAACTTCCTCTTTCCAAATCCGACAAAAAGCACAAGACTGCACATCCAGCTCAACCTAATCCCCTTGTGCAAAGAATGCAATACGATATCACTACCATGTCCTTGACCATAACATCATTATCTGAATCATGACTGCCATTGATCAGCCCCCCAATCCGGTCTTCCCATCCGGCAATGGGGACTTGGCTCTTGGAATCGCTGTGATTGTCTTCATGTCTATTGCACTATATAACGCTGTCGAGCTATCGGTACTCATTCCGCTGAGCTTCAAGCGATACAGCAGCCTATACTTCTGGGCCCTGGTGATATCCACTGTTCTAGGTGTGATCCCAGCCACTATCGGGCCTGGTCTTCAGTTCTTTAATCTTGCACCTCTATGGCTAAGCTTGACTCTATCCAACATCGGTTTCATATGCATGGTGCCCAATCAATCGATTGTGCTCTACTCACGACTGCATCTTATATGTCTGAGTTCCATGGTGCTGACCACTGTACGGTGGGTGATGATTCTGGGTGGCTTCGTTTTGATTCCGGTCATCATCTTCAACTATGGATCTAGCTATCTTCCGCATCAATCATCATGGACTAGCGGATTCCAAGCCATGGAGCGGGTTCAGCTGACCTGGTTTTCGACACAGGAGATGTTTATATCTGCTATCTATATCTGGGAAACTGTCAAACTGATTCGTCTCAGTCCACATGGTGACAAAAGACGCCATAAGATTTTATATGAACTGATTGCCATCAATGCTGCAGCTATCGGCATGGATATTTCTTTGTTGGTACTTGAATACCTGGGATATTACTTCACACAAGTGATTTTTAAGGCCACAGTTTATAGCATCAAGCTAAAACTGGAGTTTGCGGTACTGGGTATGTTAGTCTCGATTGTACAATCGGGAGCAAGCCCGGGCCCACCAGCGTGGCAAGCAGATTGGACTACATCAACTTTCACATGACAGTATACCCAATGAATAATGATGTTGAAGAACTTGTTGAACGATGATTTCTTCGGCTTTCACGTAATCGATCAGATGCATGAGTAATCGTGCATGCCTAGGCCTTTCCTAATTAGGCAGGACTCAATGTATTACATAATACGCGCACGTGATGATACCGTGTCTTCCGATATTTGTAGAATCGACGGCTTCCGTTCTACTCCTTTGATTCTCAAGCTTTGTATTTCTTGTCGAAGAAATTATTCTTGAACTATACTGTGAGCTCGAGGTAACCCATTCTTGAGTTGTCTCTTTGTCCGGCTCTCAGTGATATCATGTTACGCTCATCCGTGGGCCTGGGCAGGACCCGAGTCCTAGCTTTGCGCCAGCCGCTTCCGCACCGTTTCCCGAAGGCATTCAATTTTGCTCGTACAAGAGAAAACTCTACCGTGACAAACTTGGAAAACTTCCCTGAAATCGGCGAGAAACTTCACGGATTCACCGTTCGCGAGAAGAAGCATGTTCCGGAGCTGCACCTCACCGCGGTCCGACTGACTCACGACAAGACCGATGCCGACTACTTGCATGTGGCCAGAGATGATAAGAACAATGTCTTTGGGATCGGATTCAAGACCAACCCGCCCGATGCGACAGGAGTGCCCCATATTCTTGAACACACTACATTATGCGGAAGTGAAAAGTAAGCAAACTATACAGGCGATTACTTTGCTCAATTGCTAATGCTTCATTCTTCTAGATATCCTATCCGAGATCCATTCTTTAAGATGCTTCCCCGATCACTGTCGAATTTCATGAATGCTTTCACCTCCTCCGATCACACCACCTACCCGTTCGCCACAACGAACCCCCAAGATTTTCAAAATCTCTTGTCCGTGTATCTCGATGCCACGCTGCACCCTCTACTTAAGAAGGACGATTTCCGACAGGAAGGATGGCGATTGGGCCCCGAGGATCCTCGCGCTCTGCTGGCCACACCCGAGCTGAAGGCCAAGTTGGAGGACATTGTGTTCAAAGGTGTTGTCTATAACGAGATGAAGGGCCAGATGTCTGACGCCAACTATCTCTACTACATCCAATTCAAGGAGAGCATCTTCCCGGCGATGAACAACTCCGGAGGTGACCCGGAGTTCATCACGGACCTTACTCACAAACAACTGTATGACTTCTCGAAGCGCAACTATCACCCAAGCAACTCCAAGATCTTGACATACGGCGATATGCCGTTGGATGGTCACCTGGAGCAGATTGGGGCTGTCTTGGATGGATTTGAACTGGGCCAGGCTGATACCACTGTGAAACTACCCCTGGATCTCAACAAGCCGGTAGAAGTGACTGTCTCTGGACCGATTGACACCTTTTCCAGCGAGGATAAGCAACACAAAACATCCACTTCTTGGTACATGGGAGACTCAACAGATACCGTGGAGACATTCTCCGTCGGAATTATATCATCCCTTTTCCTCGATGGTTATGGTTCGCCCATGTATCGGGCCCTCATTGAAAGTGGTCTGGGATCTTCTTTCACACCCAACACTGGGTTAGATTCCTCTGGCAGGGTCCCGATCTTTTCAGTTGGTGTCACTGGTGTCAGTGCTGAGGAGGCCCCCAAAATTAAGCAGGTCATTCAGGATGCCTTCCGAGCATCCGCTTCGGCTGGTTTCAGTGAGGAGAAGGTGCGTGGATTCCTGCATCAATTGGAACTTGCACTGCGACACAAGACTGCGAACTTCGGTATTGGGGTTATGCAGAAAACCATTGCTTCTTGGTTCAATGGTTCGAACCCAATGACAGAGCTGGCTTGGAACGATGTCATCGAGGAGTTCAAGAGACGATATGAACAACCACGCTACTTGGAATCACTTGTGGAGAAGTATCTTCTGAATGACCGTTCCATGACTTTTACCATGGTTGGCTCCCCAACATTCAACAAGGAATTAGATGACAAGGAAGCCGTGCGAAAGGACCAGAAATTGGCCAAACTCATTGAGGAGCACGGTTCAGTTGAGAATGCCGTAGCCAAGTTGAGTGAAGAGGAGCTGCAGCTTTTGAAGGTGCAGGAAGATGCCCAGAATGCGGACTTGAGTTGTCTCCCATCGGTGCGAGTAAGCGATATTTCTCGCCAAAAGGAACGCAAGCTTGTGCGCGAGTCCAAGGTGGACGATGTCGATGTTGTCTGGCGCGAGGCTCCTACGAACGGTCTAACCTACTTCCAGGCTGTCAATACCTTTGAAGGCTTGCCGGCTGACCTTCGTCTCCTGATGCCCCTCTTTAATGACTGCATCATGCGATTGGGCACTCCGAATAAGTCTATGGAGGAGTGGGAGGATCTCATCAAGCTGAAGACAGGCGGCATCTCGACCTCTGACTTCAACGTGTCGTCCCCAACTCATTTGAACCAATTCAAGGAGGGCCTGGAGTTCTCTGGATTTGCCATTGACAAGAATATCCCTGAGATGTTGGAAATGCTCTCGACTTTGGTGACTGAAACCGACTTCTCTAGTCCTTCGGCACCAGCAATGATCCAGGAGTTGCTGCGATTGACAACCAACGGGGCTCTCGACTCCGTTGCTGGAACTGGTCATCGCTATGCAGTCAATGCCGCTGCTGCCAGTATCTCGCCAAGCTTCTGGGTGCAGGAGCAACAGTCTGGTCTCGAGCAGCTGCAGGCAACTGCCAACCTTCTGCGTGACGCAGAGTCGTCCCCCGAGCGCCTCCAGGAATTGATCGAAAAGCTGCGTCTCATCCAGTCGTTTGCGATCTCAAAGAGCTCCAGCCTTCGTGTTCGCATGGTCTGTGAGGCTGAAAGTGCCGCGCGAAATGAATCAGTATTGCAGAAGTGGATGGCGGGTCTGCCTCGAGTTCCTTCGCCGCAGTCCACCACATCCATCTCCGGCTTCCAGACATTCGACAAGGCATTCTATGATCTCCCGTACAAGGTGTACTACTCTGGACAGGTCTCCCAGACTGTGCCATTTGTCGACCCCGCTAGCGCTCCACTCACAGTGATGTCCCAGCTTCTCACACACAACTACCTGCACCCTGAGATTCGAGAGAAGGGCGGCGCATATGGCGCCGGAGCTAGCAATGGCCCCCTCAAGGGCATCTTCACCTTCATGAGCTACCGCGATCCGAACCCCATGAACACCCTGAAGGTCTTCCAGAACAGTGGTGTTTTTGCGAGAGACCGCGTGTGGTCTGAGCGTGAGATTGAAGAAGCCAAGCTTGGTATCTTCCAAGGCCTCGACGCTCCAGTGAGTGTTAACAGCGAGGGATCCCGTTACTTCATGAGCGGTGTCACCCATGAGATGGACCAGCGCTGGCGAGAGCAAGTCCTTGACGTGACCGCCAAGGATGTGAACGAAGTTGCTGATCGATTCCTGGTGAATGGTTCTCGCAGTGCTACCTGCGTACTCGGCGAGAAGAAAGACTGGGCTGGCTCTGAGTGGGATGTGCGAAAGCTGTCCATGGGCCAGCAAGAAGCCTCTCAGTAGAGAACCTGCCAGTCCAGCATCGCATCCTCGACTAGTTGATATATCACCGCTTGTCGAGATCCAAGGGAAGTTACATCGCGTGCACTTCCCGTGTAATTTTATCGCCCATGTTCGAGTATCTATGCATCACCCTGTACATACATGTATACTACTGACCTGATGAATCTCCGGTCTTTTCTTTCTTTTCTTTCCCTGTTTCTTCCCTACCTTCCTACGCCGCGCTGAAAGATCTATACGTGCTTCGTGCACTGAGCTACTCACGTCTCCAACCAGCTATCTCTATTGGTTGATGGATGTGGCATCTTTTCATCGTCTATCGGTGGGATGCAAGCGCAAGAACAAATGGAATGTGAGCCCTTGAGACACACTTCTTAACCCGTTTATCGGAACCGCTCTGAACTTTAAGCCTACGCAGAGCGGACTAAAAACGTGAGAACATAACTAGAAACTCTCGTATAATACTTTGGAAATACAGCGATACGAAATATGAATGCATTTATGAGTTCAACATAGACAAAGTTTGTTCACTCATAACGATATCAAGTAATGTATGTGGATAGATGCAACCTTGGGAACAAGAAGTAGTTCACTTTCGCCTAGGGAGTTATATGTAGAAGAAGGGAATGAACTTTTATGTCCACATTCTTGTCGAAACTCCAAACACTACTCTTCTGGAGCTCTAAGATACTTCGCAAGCGTGGGTTTTTTAGAGGCAAGGGGATGTTCCGGTCGAGGTGTAGATATAGAAGTCGATGGAGTCTTATTTCCCGTTGTAGAACCCAGCATGGTGGGGATATGACCTTGTTGCATAAGTGCTCTGCAAGTACTAACCTATAAATGTCATCAAGTGACATTGTTCAAATTAGTGCATCTAGAATGAGTCTTCCAATTGAACACTCGAGTTCAAACTTCATTACTGATACTCGACGGCGATCTATAGTTGATCGTGCACCGTGGCGTAGAAAATATCTACAGTGCCCAGCAATAGAACCATGGAAGCAAAGGCATCAACCTAGAACTCTTGCCAGCAAGACTCATTCTAATGTTCTTAGGAGACGTACATTTCCCAGGGGTAAAGAGGGCCGCGTTATCATCCGATCAGCGCCGAAATTTGAAGATAAGAAAGAAGAGCGCACATATCAGAAGCAGGACTCGACTGTTGTATTTCATGCACTCGCCAAACAAGGCTTTGATGAGAGCGTTGCAGGACGTGGCTCTCTAAAAGATCTAATCAACCCTGACAAGTATCGCATTGCCCCGAAGCTTTAGTTCTACTGAACCATATACAGGCGAAGAAAACATCTACATTAACCCCCTCAGCATGCACCTCTCCATTATCCGAGTGTCAGATCTAGTTCTATTAAACGATTCCGGTCAAGTTCTCCCAGGAGGAGCCCAACACTCAATCCACCGCGAAATCCATAGAGCACGGCCAGATGTCAACGCGGCCTGCCACGCACACTCCATCTACGAGAACGCAGTTTCCTGCTTTGATCGGCCTATGGAAATGCTCTACTAAGACGCGCTGCCCTTCTACAACGATCCATTAGTCTACAATCATTACGGCGGCGGGACGGTGATCTCCACAGAGGAGGGAGCACGTGTCTCCAAAGCGCTTGGACCTACATGTCAGAGTATGATTTTGCAGAATCACGGGATGAAGACCTGTGGGAGGACGATATACAACGCGGCATTTTGTTTTTTCAAAGCATTGGATCGTTACTGTCATTCGCAGTTGCTTGCTTATGCGGCAAGTGGCCCGGCTAAGGAGAGGGGTTATATTGGGAGAGAGAAGGCGGAGGTGTTCCATAGGAAGAGTGGGAATCCGAGTAAGATGTGGTTGGCTATTCAGCCGTGTGTTTATCAGGTTGTTTTGGATGATCAGTCAGTTTTGGAGTAAGGGTGCATGTGCTGTTCACATGGGCGAGGCATGATAGGGTGAGGGCTTTGCTCTCAAGATTAGGCGCTGGTCTAGATTGCTAAAAATATCATTGCGGGAATTCCAAGATTAAAATGTTCTAAGAATACACATCAGGAGATTGCATTCCAGCTCACCGGGTGATAGGCACATGCACTTTCCAAGGCTCTGGTATTTCGTTAAGGCATGACGGGATGTCTGCCAATTATCATTCATGCACTATGTATTCAAACCATGCTAATCCAAGGGTATAAGCTAATCAAAGACTCTCCAAAAATGCCCAAAATCCATGCTCCCAAAACTAGGAAAAGGTGTAACGTTCAATGTTATGAAGATGGATGAAGGGCGATTCGCTCTTCGACCCATATCTATCATGAGTCAGCCAGTGTAACTTTTTCGAATGGAAGATAACATACCTCCATCTTGCCCATCTCGCTCCCTTCCCGTCGAGCAATGTCTCGGGCTGAGCTCAATAATAGATCTAAATCCTCCTGATCTACCATGGTAATCATGTCGCCATCATCCTGCACCTTGATCTTCAAGGGGTGTTGGAACCCGAATTTCTCCCGAATGCGATTTTCGAATTCCGCATACTCAATTGTAGGCCCAATTATGATATATCTGATATCTTCTGGTGCATGAACCTTTGTCCGGAATTTTCGTACTTCGGGTCGTCTGGAATTTGCTCGTCTTGAGAACTGTCCTGGTGATCGTGTGCGTCGTTGCCGAATGGGTGAATCATCTTGAGGTGCAGCGCCTAACAACTCAAAGCCTCCCTCTTTTAGGGGTTCTCCATTGCAGACTTCATCTGCGTATTCCTCCTCTTCATTGATGTATTGTGGGGGTTGATATCGGCTTCCTCGCCCATAGCCTGAGCTGGTATGGGAGCGAGAGCTCGAATATAGGTCATGCTGGTCGACCTGTGCGTAATCTTGACTTGGGGAAAAGTCATTTTCACTAAGATTCTTGCGATGTCCTTCTTGTGGAGGCCAAGAACGGTTAGGGTCTTGCGAAGCGTGAAATTTGGGATCTTGGGAACGCCCGCGCATATTCTGTTGCCGAGAAACCGGACCACGAGGTTCCGATGCTGTCCGCGTTGTGCCAATGCGCGGCTTCTCTGTATATGCCTGAGAAAGCGGAGCTGCCTCTGGCCCACTGGGTCGACGGTCCAAGCCTGCGCCTGTTCGCTCTAGTTCTAATCGTAGGGGTGGCCGCGCATTGCGAAGTGAGGCGGAACGATGGTGGCCGTGGCTGCTCCCTGAAGTGGATCCAGTACTGGTAGAACGGTCATCGGGAGGGGGCGTTGGGGGAAATACGTTGCGGTTCAATGGGGGTTCTGATTGTTGTCGAGTGCGGCTGCTCAGATTCTTATGGACCAAATTTGTAGCTGCATAAGACATTCCGTCCCGGTCTTCGAACGCTGTCTTGTCGATAACAATCGGTCTCCAATTATCCTCTGCGCCATGGTTATTTTGCATCTGAGCAACCAAACGGGACTTGCCCAGGTAATCCTTAGATTTGAGGTTCTTGACTTTGGCGGCGTTTGGACGATAGAGAGTCCCTACGGGAATCGAGAAGACGGTGTACCCCTGGTTCTCAGTCTGTCAGATTTGTTGATTGGCGGATCAAGAACACATACATCTGCATTCTCACGTATAGCATCCTCAATGACATCGTGGTCCTCTGTGACTTTCTCCCTAGCAGCAAACTGCATGTCTTTCATGCCAGGTTCGATTTGTTGAAGATAAATGTAGCAAAGACCACGATTGAACAATACCTCACATGAATAAAGCCGAAATCTGAGACCCAGCTGTTCATAATCAATGGATGTGTTCCCCCGAAGATAGAGTAATGTGTCGTTGAAATTCGCTAACGCTTCCTCAAAGTCCCCTAGTAAGAAGTTGGATACGCCTTGTTGAAAATAGGCGATGGCCAGGTACCGATCCAACCCAACTGATCGTTGATAGCAAGCGACCTGCACGGCATAGGGTTAGCGATAAATCCCACCATTCCACCGCATAGGTCGACGTACCGCTTTTTCATGCTCACCTACAGTGGCATGGATTACTCCAAGGTTGAACCAGATCTTAGAAGTGTCGGCAATCTCATTGAAGAGTCTCAGGGCTTCTTCGAACTCGTGATTGTCGTAACAGTCCAGAGCGGCAACCCATGTTTCAATTTCCTAGCTAGATCAGTATCGGCTATACAATGCACCTTTATTTCTACCTACCTGTTTCAATGACATCCTGTCAATGGGATGGAAGCCAGAATAAAATGGCGCCTCAATATCCTCAATTGACCACAATCCCAGGCACGATCAAGGGAAGTTTCCCAGCAGGCTGGCTCAAATAACACAGATAGATCCAATGTGTACACCGCTAATCGGCGGGGCGGGACGTCACTTTGGCGGGGTCCTCAAATGACATGTAGGGAGAACCCCCCCTTCAACTATTATTAAAATTGTTGATCACCAATCCGGACACGATCCCGATACGAAGATGAGAAGCCAAACTCTCCAACGACGCCAAGGCCAGTCACCCAAGGTTCACTCAAGAGGAAATGAGCTGCGGGACGGCCTGGGAGCGGGTCACGACCCTAATTGGAATCCCTGAAGGTCGCGAAAGGGCGGGATATCGCTTCGTCTTCGCAGGGAGAATGACTGGAGGTTGGGTACGATGCACGGGATAGAAACCGAGGCGATCCCGTCCAAAGAGGAATCAGGAAAATGATCAGTCAAAAAAATGTATTTATAGAATCGACTGCGATACCTCCAAAAGACCCGGTGGCTGACCGAATCAAGATCCTAGCACCCACTTTAGGTTGAGTGAAGAGAGGTTTCTCACCTCCGATCACGGTGGTGAGGGGATCCGAGGTGCAAACGCCGCGAAGTGGGTATCCCGGCAACCTGGAAGCGCCCCATGAGGCGGATAGGGGGCAGAACGTGATGCAGCGGAGAGTAACCGATAAAAAGGGGGGGTAGGGGGAGAATAAAAGAAGATTAATCGGAATCAAAGCGAACAAAAGCAAAAAACAGCAATAAATTAAATCGAAAAAATCGCGGAACCTGCAGAGGGGCAGGAACAGACACCTAATGCAAGGCTACTGGAACGGTTAGACAACCCGAAGAGAAGCGCCCAGTGATGGACCAAAAATAACTTGCGTTGCACCTGCAGGATATTTATGCAAGTCTCGGTCAATCAGATCAAAGAACTGACGATTTCTTGAACGAGGGCTGTGAGTGGGCAGCTTGGTTGTTTTTTCAATTTTCATGCATGCACGATATGGGCCCTTTCTGCTGCTTTAACTTATCGATGATGGTATAGCAGTGGGGGACATCGTTGGGACGCATGGCCAATCGCCTTGGTAATCCTTTAGGTTCAGTAGCTAGTAAAACATGACCGCTGTTACACAATCGCGCTTGTGCAGATGCTCATTTGTAGGAGATTGGCTATTTCCATCTCAACCAGTGCATGATTGGATTGAGAGTCGCAAATCTTCATTTCCGATGCAGAGGGGGGCGGGGGAAACTAAGCTGTGGGACCAGGACCCATCACAAGGGAACGACGTTTGGACCGACAGGGTTGGTGGTTGGCTCGAGCGAACGGGCCGCGATGAACCGGAATATTTCCAAGGCTGAAGATATTTCTGCAGCGAATTGAACGTGTCATTGGTCAAGCCCCACTAGACACTTGCCACGGCGCTTCCAGTGCTTTATTTAGTTGTTCACCAGCCATCTGCGGGGAACTTGATTCCTTCTCGCTTGAAACATACCCTTTCGGAAGAGACAAGTCCTGGTTGGGAATATTGGAAGCGAGCTGGGGTTAGCGTGAGGCTTAAGGCGAATGCAGATTGAACTAACGAATTCAGCAAACCCAAAGGAACTTTTGGAACTTTTGGAAGCTCCAGGGCTGGATCGATTTTGATCACCTGATATGCATCCAGAGTGTCGGGACAATTCCTTATCGTTATCGTTATCGCTATCTTTATCGGTGATCAGATGACAATTGTCCCATGCAGAATATGAAATCGAAAATTGTTTATATGCTAGTGCTAAGATCAAGATACTACTGCGCTGGTACTGAGTAAGCCATATTTCAAGTGAATACCATTCTTCGTTGAGGAGAGATAAAGGTGATATGTTTTAGATTTGGACTATATGCCAAGCACAGAAAATATTAATATTCCCTTATTCACTTGCCTGTGACACTAAACCATTTTGGGACTCCGCCATATAAATTGGAAGCGGCTCAACTGGGCGGTGGGTGGCTTCTGCCGTTATTAAACTCGAAGAATAGATTGAACAACTAGAGATACAGCGTAACAATTCGCAATTCTCCATCCCTTCACAACTTCTACGCAATCGTTGATCGGAAGGGCATCATTAAACATGCCATAACTCACTAGAACTCAAAGATTTCATTTCAAAGAAGGTCCTTTTCTCTCACCGCCTTTCATTCACTTAGTTCACTTCCGAACTACCGCCACTTCCACATCATGTCTTCCAACCACCATACAGACGCTGCTGATGAGGCAGCCTACCTACAGGCATTAAATGTTGATGTGCAAGACCAGGATCAGTTACAACGAGATGTTGCACAAAAGGTCCGGCCTGAACCCCATTTTTCCTGAAGCGCTGACTAACGTGTCTTAGGCCGACAAGTTGCTGGCTGAAAAGGCCGAGGAGAACGAGACCAAACGCCTTGATAAGGCCTTGACCGAGAAAAAGTGTGTAACCTTCCATACCTAGTTTATCTGGCTATGATTCTCACATTTCGCTTAGCCGAACAGATGCCCAGATTCGGCAGATCGAACGTCGCCTGGCCCAGCCCGTCGGCACCGCCACCCAACAGCGCCTCCAGACTGAGCTTGGCCGCCTCATGTTGCGTCAGACTGAGTTGATCAGGGATGTACAGGATATTCAGAAAAGAATTGATGGCCAGAAGGAAATTCAACAAGCGGCTTCCTCCAGCCATGGGTCCGGTCGGCTGGTGAACGAGTCCCGGCGCGACTTCCTCCTGCGAACAGGTCAGATTACCCCGTTCGACCAAATCAGCACTGCTGTGTCGGAAGGACCCGCTGCAGGCCTGCGTGATGTTCTTGCGGGCGCGGAGGATGAGCAGATGGTCGAGGAAGAGCGAGCGCAAGCCCGTCACGATGCCTCCCACCGCAACCTTGTCCGTCCTGGCCATGACTTTGACGAGCCCAGCGAAATCCGCCACGTCGAGATTAGTTCAAAGCGCCGCAAGGTGGAATCTAGCCCTTCGCCTCTCAGCTCAACGCCTAAATCAACACCAATCCGACAGAAAACCCCCAAGACTCGCCGCTCCCTCTCCCCCGCGTCATCCACAAGCTATATTGCCTCTGACCCGAGTGTCAAATCCGAAGATGACGAGTACATGCCTGATACCCTACCCGAGACGAAATCGACTACAAAGCGCAAGCGAGGCTTAGAATTTAAGACCGCAAAAGATGATCTAGAAGACCTCAGTGGTGTGGACGACGGCAACGAGTCTGTCTATCAGGACCGTTTGACACTGTGGACAAAGACCCGCAGTGAGGCTCGTCGACGCGAGCAGCCTGATTATCAAGATGATCCAGCCGATCAGGAATGGCACAAGCCACACCCCAAGTTCCCCGACCTCGAGCTTCCCAATGGACTGAGAGTCCCGGGAGATATTGCCCACTACCTCTTCTCATACCAGAAGACTGGTGTGCAATGGCTATGGGAACTTCACCAGCAGTCCGTTGGGGGTATCGTGGGGGATGAGATGGGACTGGGTAAGACCGTGCAGGCGATCACCTACGTTGCTGCGCTGCACCACAGCAATATGTACACTAAGCCTACCATTGTTGTCTGCCCAGCAACTCTTATGGTCCAGTGGGTCACTGAATTCCATAATTGGTGGCCAGCACTGCGTGTCTCAATCTTGCATTCTTCTGGAAGTGGCATGCTCAATCTGAAGAAGGAGAAGACCCGGGAAAGTGCGCTGGCGTCAGAGATGATGGGCACTGGTAGTTCTCGACAGCTTTCCTCTGGTCAGAAAGCGGCTAGGAAAATTCTTAAGCGTGTGGTCGAGGAGGGCCACGTCCTCGTGACAACCTACTCCGGCCTCCAGTCCTATGCAGATGATCTGACTGGCGTTGAATGGGGATGCGCCATCCTCGACGAAGGTCACAAGATTCGCAATCCAGACACCGGCATTACTTTCAGCTGCAAGGAGCTACGGACGCCACATCGCATCATTTTGTCTGGAACTCCCATCCAGAACAGTCTCATTGACCTTTGGTCGCTCTTTGATTTTGTCTTCCCAATGCGACTCGGCACACTTGTAACATTCAAGGACCAGTTTGAAATCCCCATTCGTCTAGGTGGATACGCGTCCGCCTCTAATCTACAGGTACAAACAGCTGCCAGGTGTGCAGAGACCTTGAAAGATGCGATCACTCCATATCTACTCCAACGATTCAAGACCGATGTCGCATCCGACCTTCCAAAGAAAACCGAGCAAGTCATTTTTTGCAAGCTCACTCAATACCAGCGCAGCATGTACAAACGATACCTCGGGTCAGAGGATGTGCAGTCTATTGCCAAGGGAAAGAAGAGATCATTTGCAGGGATTGATATTATGCGAAAAATATGCAACCACCCAGACCTTGTTGGTCGAGAATTTACTCATCATGAAGTTGACTACGGGCGCGAAGATCGCTCGGGTAAAATGCAAGTTCTGAAGAGTCTGCTCGAGCTTTGGAGGGACACGGGACACAAGACTTTACTATTTTGCCAAACTGTACAGATGCTGGACATTCTGGAAAAATTCATTCATTCTCTCGGAGGTTTCGCTTTTCGTCGGATGGACGGAAAGACTCCGATCCCCAAGCGAAATGCCATGGTGAATGAGTTCAATCTTGACCCAAACCTGCACGTATTCCTTTTAACAGCAAGGGTTGGAGGTATCGGCATCAATCTCACTGGTGCCGACCGGGTCATCATCTACGATCCCGATTGGAATCCATCTACGGATATGCAAGCTTCTGAGCGCGCTTGGCGCCTTGGCCAGAAGCGCGATGTGACTATTTTTCGTCTTTTGATGAAGGGTACCATCGAAGAAAAGATGTACCACCGTCAGATTTTTAAACAATTCATGACCAACAAGATCACCAAGGACCCACAGCAGCGTGAAAGCTTTCAGCTTAACGACCTCTATGACCTCTTCTCGCTGACCGAGGAAAACGATCAGGAGCTGGAAACAGCTCAGCTGTTCAAGAATGCAGAGGTGACATTTCAAGAAGAAAATAAATCGACGCCAAAGTCCAGCTTTCCTTCCCGAAAGCGTCCCAGTGCTAATAATGTCCTCCTCAAGCCCAAGCCTGAGACTATCAAATCAGAGGAGGAACCCGAAGACCTTAGCAAGCTTCAGGGAATCGCAAATGTTGAGGAATACCGAGCTACATCTGGGATCAAGGAAGAAGATTCTGCTGATGGTACAGGCACAGACCAGAGTGAAGGAAACAAGGAGACAGAAGATCGACTGATGCACAGTATCTTTTCGCGGTCGGGTGTCCACGCTGCACTTGAGCACGACCAAATTGTGAATGGCAAACGGGCTGTACAAGCCGATGCCCGGATGGTTGATGCCGAAGCTCGCCGTTTCGCAAGCCAAGGCGCCGCCGCGCTCCGCAGGGCCGAAGAAGCTGCTCGTTCCGTCCCTATTGGACTTCCCACCTGGACCGGTCAATACGGTGTCGCCGGCCGTGACTTGGGTGGAAGCTCGGCGCGCCGGGCTCGAGGAGGCCCTTCCTCCGCTTCCATTCTCACGAAGCTCAATCCTGGTGCGGCGGTGAACACCCAGGCCGGCCCTTCTAGCTCGACGCCAGGTTACATGCCCCGTGGCAAAGAGTTCGAGTCAATGATCCGAGACTATTTCAGATCACACCGTTGCGCCATTACCTCAGCGCTGCTCATCCGCGACTTTGAGCAATACTGTCCGACTGAGCAGCGTCAGGAAGAGTTTAAGACTGCTTTGAAACAAGTAGCCGAGATTGGTCCATCCAAGACGAGTGGCCGTAAGATTTGGACCTTGAAAGCAGAGAAGACGGGATCCCCACGTCCCCAAACTTAAAGGCACCGACTGAAGAAGACTGAACCTGTACGATACGCGAGGCAACGATGATATGACTGAGAACATGAATATGAAAGACCAATATTATTATGCTTAAATTCAGATAGTGACCATAGAAATACCAAAATAATTACAAAGATTCTCAACGGTCACCAAGGTCGGCAGTATCTATTCACAGTTGAGTTGATTGAACCTTACTTAGCATTCACTAATCCCTCTGACGCCTGATGCCCATCCTCTTCTTGAACCATCTTGCCTCAGAATCGATTCACTTATACCTCACTTTCCCTTCTTGCATCGCATAACGACTCGCTTCCCTCACTTCACGCCCACATTGCTTACCACAACTGCAGCGACACAGGGGCATAGCGTAAGCACGTTTTGTCCAGTCAAGTGCAGCATACACCTCTTCAAGGCTTACCCTTTCTCTGTCATACTCCTCAACTTTTCCCCAACATTTTGCTGCTTCCACAGCGTTACCACGGGTATCCACAGAAACACGTTCTCACTTTTTCCTCGCCTTGCTCTCATTATGAGCTTCGTTGACCTACTGGCGCAGCTGGGCCTGCGACAGCGAAGCAATGCGCACGCTAAGAAGGAGGCTACGTTTGGTCTCTCTACAACCGTCGGGGCTATGGCCAGCGCGCCCGGTATGCTCAGTTCTAACGGCGTATGGGATGTTTGGAGCTGGGAATAGTGTCATCTCTGAGTAATTGCAACCTCTGCTCACCATTGTATTTCCACTTATCATGTAACCGCTATGAGATTTTGGCATGATTCTATGTCGAGGGCTATAAGCAGAATAAAAGAAGAAACTATACGAATTATGTCGGGGTCCGAATTCAATCGAAGTTCGGTTTCGGTGGTGTGAACACCGTCTCAACTTCATCGTCCCGATCCCACAGTTCCCGATATTCTTCCATCAGCACACGTGCAGCTGGCGCCCTTGCAACAAAATTCACCACAGCAGGCGCAGGGAAGGAGAAGTGAAGTGCACAATACACAGCACCACTAATCACAAACCCTGAGAGAAAACAGATGTAATATAAATGGGTCAAGCCCAGAGGAACATCAATGCTGGTGTTCACATATGCGATGAAGCCAGGTAATGAAGGGGCGGTTCCACAAACCCACTAGATGCAGTTGCGTTAGTTCATGCTTTCCAAGTATCTTCAACCTCAATATCCAGCCGGGTATCGATATCACTTACTCCGATAACAGCTCGCCAGTCCACGCCCCATGAGTACCAGTATATACTAGAACTGTTGCCAACGAACAGATCCTCAACCTTGATCTTGCCTTTGTTAACAAAGAAGTACGACGATATCATCAAACCAGTCATCGGACCCAAAAAGACTGAGTAGCTACTAAGAACAGTAAGGAATGTTGTGGCGGTATTCACAAGCTTCCAGGGGTTGCACGCGATAGAAACGAGAGCTGTGATATATGCACCTCGGCGGATATTGATATACCGAGGGAAAGTAGCAGCCAAATCAAAACCTGCAGACAATGTTAGTAAGAAAATGACCCGAAGGCATTTGAATATACTCACCTCCCGCTAATGAATTCCCAGGAACATTCACTCCAATCTGCGAGATAACAAGCGCAGCACCAGCAAAGAAAGCCGCAGCCCGAGACCGCGAACCCCCATGTTCAATAATAGCACTAAGAAGTGTTGGCAAATTCCAATACGCCCCATCATACCGATTTTGCGTAGCAGCCGTGACCAGAATCCCAATAATGGAACACGTAATCCCGTAGAAGGGGAAGCTGATAGCCTGGCCCCAAATCGCATCTGTAGGCTTCCGAGCAAAACGTGCATAATCATTCTGATTCAGAATACCAGCTGCGATACTTCCGATAGTGCTGATAATCCCGAAAGCGATGTTCCATCCGGATGTACTGGCGCTTACGTTGGATATTGTGGAGCCAAATCCACTTTCACCCATTGTTGCGAGGGACCAAATGAGGAGCACGATTTCAAATACTAGAATCGTTGCTGCGGAGCCGTAGAAGAATTTGTTCAGCTTGTGGGGACGGATGTAAATGAATGGCAGTGAGATGATCATGAAGATTATGTAGGCGACAAAGGTCGCTGTTGTGGTACCTGTTGATGGGGAGAGGTGGTTGGGGATTCGGGACTCGATATTTGGCCATATAGCTTGTAGGCAAACGTAGACACATTCGCCTCCGATCCATGCTTGAAAGCCGTCTTCATCCCGGATTAGGTACGCGATTAGATGGAATTGGAGACACGGGATACTTACACCACACTGTCGAAAGATAAAGTCAGTAAGATGAAAAGATGAAAAGATGAAGAGATGAAGGGATGAAGAGATGAATAGATAAAGAGATGAAGTTATTAGATATTCTCGCAGACAACGGGTAGCTTACCAATAGAAAGAAGAATCCGATTCCAGATCACAAAAGCACTTCCATACATGCCCCATACATAGCGATTCACCACTGGAAACCCCACTGTGCAGATGTTAGTATATTGGGTCTGCAATTGGAAGATTTCATACAATAATAATAGGCCCCTGGAATCGAGTTCAAAATAACAAAAAGGGTTGCCAACAGTTGTCCAACGACAATGGCAATTATAGCTTGCCACCAAGTCAACCCGAGTGCAATGAGCGAGCTACCAGTCATATAGGTAGAAATATTGGAGTTAACAAGCACCCCTGAGAAGAATATTAGCAAGCTACCATTGGGTCATTGGAAAGGTCTTACAGAAGTTATGAAATGTCCAATGACCCCATGTTCGTCGGCCAGCCTCGATAGGCTTGATGTCATTGTTTATCCATCGGTCAGGTACGAGGCCACCCTCCGCATTGATCTCTAGCTTCTTCAGGAAAGCCGTAAGTGACATGGCGACCAAGTGAAGAGAATCTTGGCTGATCAAAAAAATTACAAAATGAGGTGATGCAGAATACAGGGTTTATCAATGGTTGGGGGACGCTGCTGTATTACTACTACACTGATCTACTCCGCACTTTGTTTGCATTGGTATTTATGTGACGAAGAAACTATAGTATGTGCAGTCTTCTAGCTGCTGAAAATTAGATTACATGTATTAAGCGAGAACAAGGTCCAATTCGCGTCATACATTAACCAATAACATCATCTGATCAATACGATAAGCAACCCCGCTCGTTAGTTGCTGCCAAGTAAACCGACCAACAGTTGATAGGTAGATAAGGCAAGAGTAAGAGAACAATCAATCAGATAGTTACATCGGCAAAAGAATGACAGAGCCTTTCAGGCTCACTATCGACGTGAATCGGCTATCTTTCATCTACTCCAACCTAACGAGCTAGATGATTTCCACCTCACCCCCACTTTTTCTACTACCCCCTCTTCTAAGAACGCCATCTACATTTACAGAAATTCATGATGACTCGCCGCGGACCATGCAGAATTGGCGTAGATGTAGGCGGAACCAATACAGACGCCGCCATCATCGATATCACTGCATCAGAGACAGAATCAAGAGGTGTACGGGCTTCAAGCAAGACAGCTACTACAACCGATGTCACTTCTGGAATACATAGAGTGATTGAAAATGTCTTGGAAATATCATCTGTCAAGCGTCAAGATATTCTCAGTGTGGCTATTGGCACAACTCATTTCGTGAATGCTGTCGTGGAGGCGGATGCACGGCGGTTGAGCAAGGTGGCTGTTATTCGACTCTGTGGACCTTTTACGAAGATGGTAAATAACCCAGTCGAAGAATGCCATTAATAGGAAAGTGGACTAACTAGCATACTTACATTGAAGTTACCACCATTCTCCGATTTCCCCCCTCTTTTGAAGGATATCATGGGCGGACCGGTGTTCTACCTAGATGGAGGTATATTAGATAACCTTATGTTTTACAAGCTTGACTGAATATCATCTTAACACGGCATACAGGTCTTGAAATTGATGGTCGTGAGATCACCCCTCTCAATGAGGTCCAGATCAAAGAGACGGTTCGTGCTATCAAAGCCGAAGGAGTTGACAAGATAGCCCTGGTGGGTGTATTTTCTCCACTTGACGCACGAGGTCTCCATGAAGAAACCTGCAAACGACTCATCCTAAAAGAAGACCCATCCCTGTCAGTGGTATGCTCCCATACAATTGGCGGAGTGGGACTTCTGGAGCGCGAGAATGCAACAATTCTGAATGCTTCGATTCTGGATCTTGCGCGAAAAACAGTTCGAGCATTTTGCGAGGCTATGGAAAGACTTTCTCTAGACTGCCCACTGTTCCTGACTCAAAATGATGGCACATTGACAGATGCTGCGACAGCCGCAGAACTACCAATTAAGACATTCCTATCTGGTCCGACGAATAGCATGATAGGTGCAGCTTACTTGGCCTCTTTGGATCGTGGAGAAAGCAAGATCCGTTCTGAGACTCAAGTTCTCGTTATTGATATTGGAGGTACAACAAGTGATGTTTGCGCATTGCTTCCATCCGGATTTCCCCGGCAAGCGCCGAATTTCGTTGAAGTCGGTGGTGTGCGCACTGCCTTTTCGATGCCAGAGGTATCTTCCGTTGGCCTTGGCGGAGGAAGTCGTGTCATTTATGACGAGAATTCAAATAGTGTCCAGGTTGGACCTGAATCTGTCGGGCATTATCTGACTTCCAAGGCTTTGGTCTTTGGCGGCGACGTCTTGACTACCACCGATATAGTAGTGGCCTCAGGGAAAGCTTCTTTGGGGGATGTGAAGAGGACAAAGGCCATATCTTCCGATCTTGTTGCCAAGGCACGCGTTCAGATCAAGAAGATTCTACATCGAGCAGTCAAGGAAATGAAAGTCTCCGATTTGCCGGTGACTCTTCTAGTTGTTGGTGGCGGTTCAATCATTCAGATGGATAACCTAGAAGGGGTTGCAGAATGTATAATCCCGCCACACCATGATTGTGCAAATGCAGTTGGTGCTGCGATTGCGATGGTTGCTGGTGAAGTTGACATTATTGAGATCTTGGCTGATCGAGACGAAAAAGCTGTGCTGGAGAGTGCAAAGCAGCAGGCCATTGAGGCCGCCGTTGCCCGTGGTGCAGATAGAAGTGACACCAAAACCGTGTCTGTTGACAAACTTCCTCTTCAATATGTCACTAACAAGGCTACGCGGCTTATTGTCAAAGCAGTTGGTAGGCTGGCGTTACCTGGTGATCCTCCTAATCAGTCTTCTATTACATCCTCGTCCAGAATTGGAGCAACGCTACCTGGAAGTACCGTGGACGACGTCAACGGAGAGAGTGAGCCAGCGCCAGAAAAACAGTTCAAACAAAAGGTCCCAGCATTGCTACAATCCCGCGTCAAGTTTTCTGCCTTCATGGATATCGAGACTTATCGACCAGATGTCCGAAATGGTGTATGGTACATCTCCCCTGTCGACCTAGAATTCATGGCAACCGGCACAGGCGTCCTGGGCACCGGCGGCGGCGGATCCTCATATCTCCAATACCTCCAGTGCTTGGAAAGCCTCCAGAGCTCCGAACAGAGAATGCGAGTCGTTTCCCCAAACTATATGAAAGACTCGGACATCTGCGTCTTCGGATCATGGTATGGCGCGCCCAGCGTGGGAAATGAGCGGTTGCCCGCGGGAACAGAGATCATTGACGCGATCAAATTCTCCCTTGAAATGGGAGGATTTTCCCACTTTGAAGCTGTAGTGGCGGATGAAATTGGTGGTGGGAATGGTCTTTCGACGTTCCCCACAAGCTTCTATTATGATATTCCTGTGGTGGATGGTGACTTGATGGGACGTGCGTACCCAACAATGGAACATGGTCAGTCTATCATTCCCGGTTTTCGTACAAGTGCCTGAATTTGTGTTCTCAGGTACTGCATACGTCTACGGCGAGTCCATAACGCCTTGTGCTGTAGCAGATGGTAGAGGAAACGCATCTGTGATCTTAGTGCGTACCTCTTTGTATGGAATATGCAAGCATCTACTGAACTTGAAGAACAGAAAGCCGAATCAAACCGACGAGTCGAAACCATGCTACGCTCTCAGTGTGTTGATCTGGGGCTCAGCATTGCCGTTTCTGCGACTCCTTTGACTGGAAAGGCAATTAAGCAATATGCCATTCCCAACACCGTATCGCAAGCATGGTATATTGGACGTGCTATTCACAGAGCGAGAAAATCGAAAGCCAATCTGGTCAACGCAATTGTGAGTCAAATGCCGCCCTAGTTGTATGCAAAATTGTTAATTGAATGGTTAGTTCGAAACAACCCCCGGCCATCTTCTCTTTAGTGGCAAGATTGTCGATGTAAAGAGAGATGTCAGCAAAGGTTATACAATTGGACAATGCACTATTATACCCCTGAACAGCGAAGAATTGGATGATACATCAGCCAGGGAATCTAATGGCCCCGCCTTGGAAGATAATCGCTGCTTGATCATTCCCTTCCAGAATGAATTCCTCTATGCTGCTTACGCGGACATTGCCAATCCAGATGATTCATCCCGTCATGAAATAATCTGCATTGTTCCAGACCTGATTTCTATCCTTGGACAAGACGGTGAAGCGATAGGGTCTCAAGACCTTCGATATGGCCTTCGTGTAAGTGTGATTGGCATGGCTGCACATCCACTGTGGACAGGAGATGAACGGGGATTACGAGTTGGTGGACCAGAAGGCTTTGGGTTAGACATGAAGTGGAAGAGTATTGGGCCGTATCAAAGGCCTAAGAGTGTGATCGATGAGTTTAATAGAGAATAAACTCAATTCATGATTTCCAAATTGTTGATAATAAATGTCGCATCTCCATAAATCCTGAGCATTATGTTACAGACGAGCACCCCCGTTTGTCAGACGTTCCCATTCCTTCTCCCCGAAGGGCCTATATGACTCCTCGCCAGGAGCGAGCCACAAAAACTGGTCGTCTTTTCCATTGGGCACTTTACTGCCAATTAACGCCGGGTCAACCCCTTCATCTCGGAGTGGCACTTTGTTCTGCTTGTTATTGTGGATGTGGAGGGGGTTCTCGACCACACGCAGGAAAACAGGGACAGCATATCGTGGCAATTTAGATCGAGCAAAGCGAGCAAATTCCGCAAAATCCAGAGTATGGCGTGCTTCGGGAGTAATTTGAAGTGCTGCACAGCCGGCGCGACCTTCATGGTTGGGGATGAGGACACCGTACACGTTCGCCTCTTGGATGCCGGGGAATCGACCCAGGACCTCGGCAACTTCTGCTGTTGAACTGTAAGAATATAATTGTCAGCATTGTGCATCTCAAACTTCGAGCATCCCGCAGAAAAAGCACTTACACATTCTCACTCTTCCATCGGAATGTGTCGCCAAGCCGATCTAGGAAGTACCAACGGCCGTCATCCAGACGTCGGAGAGCATCACCCGTTCGGTAATACAAATCGCCTTTAACGAAGACATCCCGTAGAAATTTCTTTTCTGTGGCTGACTCGTTCTTCCAATATCCCTGGAAAGCCTGCTCGTTCGGAATATTCACCAGGATCTCACCACCTTCCTCCAAGGAAGGACGAATAGCGAATCCAGTCTTGCTATCGCGAAGAACGTCACCAGTTTCCGAGTCAATAGAAACAGGTACATAGGTATTGCGGAGAATACCACGTAGAAGCATTCCATGGTGACCAACAGCGCCAGATGTAAACGGACCAGCGTTGCGGTTGATCATGTTGAAAACACCCTCGCTACTGCTGAAAAACTCAAAAATTTCAGCGACGCCGAATCGGTCACGGAACTTGTCCCACACATCAGGACGAAGCCCATTGCCATACATGCCTCTCACTTTGTGCTTGCGGTCTAGGGGAGAGGGTGGAGGTGCGAGTAGATAGCGAGCCGTCTCTCCAACGTAAACGAAGAAGGTGGAGTCCGAGTCACGGATATCGGTCCAGAAGTTCCGAACGCTGAATTTTGGGGCCAGTGCAACACTGACCCCGAGAGACAGAGCTGTCGCGACACATATCGCTGCAGTGCCGTGGTACAATGGCATGCAACTGTACCAACGATCACCATCCGACCCTGGGGTATCACCAATGCTCACAGATCGCAAGGTGAACTGGCCGTAAAGTCGACTCATGGTGAACGCAGTGGCTTTGGGCATTCCGGTTGTACCAGACGTATACAGGAGGATTGCGGGAGATTCCCCGTCCACATGAAGGGCCATCTCTGGCGGTGGGTTGGTGGTTACAAAGCTGCTTATATGATTCCTGAATGAGTCGTCCAAGGTTACGGGCTTCATACCCATTTCGGCAGTAAGGATGGTCTGACAATCCTCCATATTCGCACGACAGGTTGGGTCCTCGTCGGCTAAGATTAGTGTAGCACCGCTAATCTTCAGGCAGTGAATCAACGCATCTCCAGAGAGGTTGTAGTTGACTGCGGCGGGCGCACATCCAATACTCCACAAGCCAATCCACGCGATCAGGAACTCTGCACGATTCTGAAGGTAAAAGGCCACAAGGTCGCCCTTCTGAACTCCTTCGGATATGAAATAATGGGCATATTGGCATGCTGTTTCGTGAACATAACGGTAGGTGTATGTCCGTTCCCGGGTCCAAATTGCTGTTGTATCCGGGTACTTCTTTGCTGTCTCCAAAAAGACGAACCAGGCGCTCAATCGACCCTCTGAAGCTGTTCATAGATAAGCATGAGGAAATTGAGTTTCCATATTGCGAGAAGAAAACGTACTTTCACGAGCTATGGTACGCTCCCCTCGTTTAAGTGCCAACAAACCTCGTGCGTCTTTGCGCAGGTGAAATTTGGCATCCAGATAAGCTGCGAGGGTCGTACCCCCAGCAATAGCAGCTATGGTGGTACCTGAAAGGTATTAGATACTTGAAATGATGCACATAGACGTGAACAACATACCGAGGTCCATTGTTAAAGTGGCCGGATTTTAAGTTCCACGATGTATTTTCAGTGGAGTACTAATCCAAAGACTAAAGAATAAGTTATGAGGTGATATTTAAACAATGAGAGAAAATTGAAATATCCTAGAAAAGAAAAAGTGATGGGCTCCATAGAAAACAGATGCGCATTGCCGTTAAGCCGAGAAAAGCTTGGATGTTCCTCGGTACAATCTCACCGCGGGGGCGGTTTTGGAACAAAACAAGTCAATTCGCCCCCACTTTTATAAATTGTTTAAGCCACATCGATTGTCGAACAGGATACCTATTCCAGCTGAGGGGGAATGGGGTTTTGCGGGGAAATTAAAACACACCTCGGTTCGATTGGAGATCCACTCTAGCTCATCTGCCCCCAACACAAAATGGAGTTCAAATATAGTAATCACGGAGTTCCTTACTGGGCATAAGACTGGCGTGAACTCCTCGACCTGCCTGTTCTTCTTTCCACCCCCACGCCTTATCGCGGTCGGCCCCGTTGCTCACACCATATATGACATTCTTTACGTAGCGTCCGATGACGGGGAGGAATTTCCAGCAGTGGAATGAGCCTCCGACGGCGAGATATAAGTTGGAGAGACGAGGGTGTGGATGTCGTGTGATTAAAGGGTGCTGCTCTGGTGTGATCGCATCCCAACAAATGCGATAAAAGTCGACTTGGCGATCGTTCGCAAAGAGTTGAGGCAATCGGCCCCTGATTGATTTAACGAACTCCTGACGAAGGCCAGCTGGGACAGCCTGTTGGTCAGTCGAAGGTGGGATGGAGATGATATATCCACCATCTGTTCGAACGGAGTTCTTGAATGAGGCCGTGTTTGTGAATTTCAGCAAACCTGAAGCTGTTGGGGGAAATGTTTCACCTAAACGATCCATTAGCCAAGAGTTTAGATGGATCACATCTTATCATCACCTTCTTCACCATACACGTAAACCGGAAGATGGTCATAGGGTGACCGCTCGGTGTCTGACAATTGGAAATGCGCTACACAAACGCCTGCTGCGGTGAGTTGACTCTCCATTCTAGACTTCGCAGCCATATGAAGTTGGTCCTCAGTTGAAGCCATCAGCTGGCTAGTCCAGGCACCTGTGGATAAAATGATCTTCTTGGCCGTGTATACGTCCCCGCCGCTAGTTTCAACTCCAGTGACTCTGTGATCATCTAACACGAGTCGACTGGCCTCGCCGACCTGATACTGCACCCCCATGTGAATGGCCTCATCGGCCATGATTTTCAGGGCATGACCAGCATCCGCCCATCCAGCCGACGGGTTAAAATAGTACGATTCGAACTGACTCATGTCTGCATCTTTCAATACTCCACCCCAGTTGCGACGAACTTCATCTTCTGTCATATCTTTTGTCGGATCGAAACGTCCGCTGGTTTTGAAATTGTTGCGAATTCTCGCGGTGACATCGCTACCCCGCTCTCCCATAGAAATCCAGCCAGTTTGGTGATAGACTCCAGCGGTGGTGAAGAGTGGATCGCTTTTCCAGGCGTGAATCGCTTCAAATGCTAGGTCCATGTATAGAGTGCTTGAGTAATCCGCTCGAACAATTTTGTTGATGTCTGTGGATGCAGCATCGCCTGATGGTGGAAGGGCCCGATCAAGAATCATGATGCTTGATGGGTTGGAAGATTGCTTAGCGAGATGGTAGGCGGTGCTGATGCCGAAAATCCCAGCACCAATGATCAATATTTCGGCCTCCATGGAGATTTGAGGGGATGAGACTTGTTGAGAACCTTATGCCGCAATTATACCGGGGGAAGTGCTTACTTACTGGTTTCTTGTTCCCATCTCAATTCGGACTAGTGTGACATATAGTGCTCAATCTCCTCTTTTTATTCCTCTCTACACTCGATAGTCCGATCTTCTTTTTATCACTAGGCCCTATTCAGCGTCTCTAATGCGTAATCTCTTACTATTACATTAGTTTTGTGCAATTTGGGTCGGAGGTAAATCGACGTAAAGCGCTTTAACAGACCTCTAAGAATCTCTCAACAGATTTTCACAATATATGATCAGAACATAAAACTTAGAGTGATGATGGGTTCATTGGAGAAAACCCAGTCTAGCATTTACGAATTCTCTGCTGTATCTAATGGCTCTCAAAGTGCCGTCATATGATTCATTGCTGACTCCGCTTAATTATATAGCATGAGCAAACAATAAAAGCACTAAAAGCCATGCAACCACCTGTGAAAGCAATAAGAGCAGTATATCTCGTCAGCCCGTAGCTTTCCAATGATATCGCTGGAAATATCAAGTTCCCGCTGAGAGGCCCGGCCAAAACGTTACCTATCCCCTTGCCAAAGCAGAATAAGCTGAATATCATCGGTGTGGCTGTTGGATCAGCACTGACGGATGTAGACATCCTTGCCCACGTGGCGGTATAACCGGTGCCAAAGAAACCATAGATCATTGCAAAGCAAATCAGGGGTGCTAATGAATGTGCTAGTCCCCATAGTGTCAATGAGGCTGCAGCCGCGACAATGGTCGACAGAGTGATAAGGACATTGACAGAGACGTTTCGGTCGGATAAAAGCCCAAACGAAAGCTGGCCTATCACCTGCGAGACGCTCATCAATGTCAGAAGCAACGCACCTTCTGCATTGCTTAATCCAATAGATATGGCGTAGGAGGGTAGATATAGAGACGGAAAGAAGTATCCTAGCCCTTGACTGACATTCGAGATTGTGTACACCCAAAAAAGAGGGGCTTGGAGAAATTTCCAATCTTGTTTAGCGGTTGTGGTGTATTTCGAAGCTGGCAAGCGACCATTCAAAAAGGGAATCAAAGGACCTGTCAGCACGAAAAGTGCAATAGCAACGGCTCGCAGCGTTGTCCGATACCCGTATGTGCTCAAGAGCTTTTCCAAAATGAACGGCATCACAGCACCCGAAACCCCGGATGCGCTGCAAAGAATTCCATATGCCATTCCTCGCCGAGATATCCAGTACTCATTTACCATGTTGAGGATTGGATAGTAGAAAATCAAGAAACCAAGTCCGTAGGCCACTCCTTGTGTCAGGATAAGGATTTCAAGCGTTGAGGCAAAAGAGCCAGCGAACAGTGCAACAATGCAAATCGGCCCTAGGAACTTGAGGCCCTGTTGCAGTATAACTGGAGACTGGTAAACTTACACCCAATCCAAATCATCTGACGCTGAAACCTTTGGTAGCGCTTGATAATCGGAGCCGTAAGGGGTGCTCCCAGATACGAAATTCCTGAGGCAACTGTGCCCACAACAGATATATACAGGCTGTGGCAAAATTCGGGCAAAATAGAATAGTAATTTTGAAAAACACCAAATGAGAGAGGAAATCCTGTGATGTGTGAGTATGCTAGCCTGATCTATAAAAAAGTGATATTCACCCCATAGCAAAGCTTCGAAAACAAATGCAGTGCAAAGCAACCTCCAAGCAGCAGTCCCACCATCAGCTGGCTGGAGTTGTTGGTTGACATTCTCGACTTCATCTTGTGATTCATTCGTTCCTTGTTCATATGAAGGCGAATGTAAAGTTGATCTGCCTTCCGGTGTTATTGGGGCCATTTCAATGGATACGCGTGACATTTTGGCAATTTGTATTATACGGAATTCAGATTTTTGAGAAATTCGATCAAAATAGTGCAAGATATACTGCATGTCGGAGCTGAGGTCGTAGTCTGTACATGGCCTTGTAGCGGAGCGGGGCCTTGAGATAATGCCGAGGTCTAGCAATTTTGGTGACTGGGCAATAGTCATACTTTCCCAGCATTTTTGGATATTGTATGTTTTGATCAGCAGCAAGATTCCCAACAGAATGTGAGGGTTAGTCTCTTGCTCTATTATTTGCATCGAGTGCAGATGGATGGGAGATTGTTCTACGTGAACATTATGTTTCCACCCGTGGACCAGGTTAGATCTATAACTTGACCTCGGGGATCGTGCAAGGTTTCAAAGCAATATTGTTTTTATCCAGTTAAGAGCCTTTAAAATTTTTCGATTGGGATTTGAAAACCATTTGTCAACAGCCTCCATGGATAACCATAGCTCTGGAGGATGTTCGCAGGACACAAGGTGGAAGAAGTCGGTGGAGATAAGCGGCAGAATCTCGTTCTTTTTCCGAATCTCGTAGCTTCACGACTGGCACCTTATCGAACTCGACTACCACACCATTACTATGAATGAGAGCTACTATTTACACTGACTATATTCACTTCACCTCGAGTGCTACAACACTCACCTAATTCTCCGAAATGCCGCCACAAAAACCACAATCTCAACCCCAGCCCAAACAACGCATCTTGAATCCCCAAGCCGCCAAATTACTCGCTCAAGAAAAGAACAAACCCGAGTTCAAACCAATTGAGCAACAATATGCCTCCCTTGAACACCAAAAACCATTAAAACAGGGCTCTCCACTTGTCTCCAAGTGGCACCTCCCCTCAGCCTTCTCCCGCCTCCGCCAACGCTACGCTACTCTCCCATCCCCCATCCGACGCACATGTCGCATTCTTCGTGTCCTCGCCCCTATCATCCCGATCAGTCTCTTTTTCTCCGAACATGTCGCGCAAATCATGTGGGTTCGCGGTCCGTCAATGACCCCCTACCTGAACGAAGACTACGACCAAATGCAAACAAAATGCGACATGGTACTGGTCAACATGTGGCCCTGGGGCCCCGTCTTCCCCTGGGCTCGGTCAAAACGAATTGAGCGGGGAATGATCGTGACATTCCGGTATGATCTCTGTACTTTTGACTTTTGACGCAGCCAGAATCTAGACCGGCGGAGCTGGGACAAGACAATTACAAGGCCGCGGATACTAACATCGGTTGACTTCTAGATCACCAGCCAATTCCTCTCACATCGCCATTAAACGTGTCGTCGGTCTTCCAGGTGACCGTATTACCACCCGCGAACCCTGCATGAAACCTACCCAGATCGTCCCATTTAACCACGTATGGCTGGAGGGTGATGCGGAGGATCCTCGCAAAACGCTCGACAGCAATACATATGGACCGGTTAGCATTAGTCTGATTACAGGACGCGTGCTCGGTATTCTAGGACCGCGGATGCGTTGGTTGAATTGGGAAGATTGGGAGACTGGAAAGTCAGGCGGGCCGTCAACGGACAATTCAGAGGAGAATTACCGACAGAGTGTGCGGGATCGGGTTGTAAAAGAGGCTGTTAAGTTGGAGCGTCCGGACTTTTAGTCCTGTGCGATATCACCGACTGGCGATCAAGGCTTTGTAAATATACTGATCTGTAGATGGCACTTGGATGCCTTGTATTATTATTTAAGATCATCACTTCATATAAAAGCATTTGATTTGGCCATGCGTAGAGGTTGCGGAGGGACAGCAATCGGTATATAAACCAAGCTGAAATGCAGTAAAGAGCTAGTCGAGTAGATCTGTTAGGCTCCCCACTCTTCGGGATAAAACCCACCGATGGTAATGACAACAACATCCGGACTCTCAATTTCGTCCGGAGTATCTTCCTCGATAATACTTCGAGAACTTCTACGAGAAGCACCGGACAGCCTTTTGCAACTATCCCTGCACCGGTTATCACAACCTGCCAAATTCAACCCCGCACTCAAAAGCCGACCAAGTCGCAAGAACATAGCATACAATGCCCACCCCAATTGTGGACTCTCACATCCATCTCTTCCCAGTCTCGCACCTACCAACACTAGCCTGGCACAGACCAAACAATCCCTTAGGCTCACAGCACAGCATCGACGAATACCGCCACGCAACATCATCTCTTTCAGCCTCATCAACGCAATCCTTACGTGGATTTATCTTTCTCGAAACAGACCGCATATCCTCAATCGCGGAGGAAGACTCAAAGAATCCAGGATGGAAGCATGCTTTAGATGAAGTGTCATTTCTCGCGCGCATTGCGCTCGGTGAACCAATCGCAGGCGAAGGACATGACACTATCGATAAAGATCTTTGTTTAGGAATCGTACCATGGGCACCGGTTCCAGGGGGTGCAGATGTACTACAGAGATATATGGACGAAGTGAAAAAGCGCACGAAGACGGATGATATCCGGAAGAAGGTGTGTGGAGTGAGGTATCTTGTTCAAGATAAACCGGCGGGTGTGATGCTTGATCGTAAGTTTGTGGAGGGGTTGCAGTGGCTTGGGAAGCAGGAGCTTGCTTTTGACCTTGGAGTTGATGCGAGAGGAGGTGGTTTGCATCAGTTGCGCGAGGCTGTTGAGATGATGGATGAGGTATATCGGGGATTGGACGAGAGTGAGCAGGTGACGATTGTGATTAGTGAGTTTGAGATTCTTTCATATTCTAGCTTTGCATGCTGACTATCCAGATCACCTTTGCAAACCCAATTTACGCTTGGATCCTGTGTCAGTGGGTAACCATGTTGAGTATCTCGAGTGGAAGGATCTGGTCATTCGCATGGCAAGGGCGAGCAAGAATACCTATATGAAGCTTTCTGGTGCTTTTTCAGAGCTTCCTCCATTGAGTGCAGATGCCGACCTGGATATTGCCTCGTTGGTTGAACTTCTGCAGCCCTGGACAGATGTTGTTTTTGATGCGTTCGGCGCAGAACGTGTGATGTTTGGGTCGGACTGGCCAGTCTGCACTATTGGTGGAGGTGGAAATGATGTTTCATGGAATAAGTGGAGAGAAGTGGTTGAAGGAATTCTGGAGAAGCGAGGGCTGACTGAGGAAGACAAGGACGGTGTATGGGGAGGAGTAGCCATCAAGGCATATGGAATTGTGATTTAAAAGAACATGTTTAATCATCTTGGGAAATCTTAATTCGCTCGACATTTACTGTAAATTAACAAAGAGTCCACCATCAACTAAAAGCTGCGCGCCAGTCTATCCGCAAAACAAGAATTAGCGAAAATCTGTAACTGATAGTCATACAGATTGAATAGTATCAAACTCACCACATAACTACTCAACTCATCACAAGCCAAGAAAACCGCGGGTCCAGCCAAATCCGGTGGCTGACCCAATCTGCCCAACGGAATACGTCCTTCCATATATTTTCTCTTCTCCGGATCAGCCATATCCGCATCATTCAGCTGTGTACGAATGGTCCCCGGCAGCAAGGCATTGCATCGAATCCCGTATTTGCCTAATGCCACTGCACACGACTGCATCAAACTGAGAACACCGGCCTTAGTAGGTGTATAATGTGTCTGTTCACCACCGCCGACCAGCGCTGAGATTGAACTGATACCAATAATCGAACCACCAGGCGGAGACTGAACTAATGCCATTTGTCGGGCAGCGGCTTGTGTCGCGAAGAAGGCCCCTGAAAGGTTGGTTGAGATGGTGTGATTTAGGAGAGAAGGCTCGAGTCTAGATTGATATCATCAGCACAATGTTTTTGTGATATATCAAGATCATGACCTGATAGGGAGATTGTTCGCTTACTCAAGAAATTCCGCAAATTGACAAACCCCCGCATTGCTCACAAACACGTCTAGTCGTCCGAACGCCTCGACGGTCTGCGCAACGAAGTTCTTCCCTGTCTCGGGTTGAGAGATATCACCCGAAACTGTGATAAACCGGGTCTTGGCTGCGCCTTCTTCGATCTCGTTCACATCTTTTTTCATAGCTTCTAGCAGGTCGTCTTCCTTCGGTCCACCTAGGTGGCTAATTGCGACCTTTGCGCCGTGTCGGATGTACTCGAGGGCAATTGCCTGAGATAACATGTCAGCCAAGCTATTTGGTAATAGAGAGGATTAAATGTACTCGTCCAATGCCGGTGAGACCACCAGTGATGGCGGCCACTTTGCCAACAAGCAATTGGGGTAGAGGCATTGTGGATGATTATGGTGCTCCGGGCGTTTTCGTGAAATGAAAGCTGACAGAAGCTCTCAGTGGTCTAATTGTCGTGTACAGAAGGAATTTGAAATTGGGGAAATGTATTGGTAACTTTTCCCCTGTGCGCTGGTCTATTTCGCGTCACCCCGCGGACAAGAGCTCGGGTTTCGCGATGATGTTCGCCCGAGTGTGGGGTTATTTCCCCCACGTTGGGGGGCGGAGGGGCAAATTCTTCCGTGGATAGCGTGGACATATGCGAGGTAAATTAAGCCGAGCAAACGGCAATTTCCTGCATAATTTGGCTGAATAGACCGATCGGAAAATTGGTGGCGAGTTCAAGTTTACGACGAATTCTAGGACCGCCTTAGAGATGACTACAGAATCCTTTATTAGCCACAAGCTTTCTCATCCTGAACTTCAGTCTATTGGATAAAGTAATCGTAATGCTATTTATATACATAAATTCGTATTGCAGGTGAATGTGTCGTAGAAAATCAAAAGAAATGGACATATATGCAACGCTGGGGAAGTGAGATATTTAGGCGGTGCCATTGGCGAGATGCTCATTGTCAGGAGCAGGCAGGCTCTTCTGGGGTGAAGGATTCAACAGGACGGAGCCTGGGATCAGAGGAGCGTTGGGGTTAAGCTCAAGACCGAAGCCAGGCTTGTCTAGAATTGAGACATCAAGGAAGCCCTGGGTTGGGATAGGCTCGTTCAAGAAAAGATTTCCGAACACCGGCAGAACAGACTTGCCATCCGGTGAGTTGGCCAAGTATTCTTGGAAGGGGCAGTTGGATTGAGAAACAACATAATGGTAGGAGTAAGGACCAGAGGCGTGGGGGACGACGGGAATATCGTAAGCGGCAGCAAGGGCAGAGACCTTGAGAAGCTCGGTGAGACCACCAAGCCACATCACATCAGGCTGGATAATATCAAGATTGCGACCCTCGACAAGCTTGCGGAAACCGTAGCGGGAGAACTCGTGCTCGCCGGTAGTGAACTTCACAGTGGGGTGGGCACGCTTCAGCAACTCGTGACCATCGAAGTCATCGGGCGACAGGCACTCCTCCCACCAGTCAATGTCCAATCCCTCTTGCTCACAGCGCTTGACAAGCTGAATGGTGTAAGAAACAGTAAGAGACATGTAGCAGTCGACACGGAGCGGAAAGTCTGGTCCAACGCTGGCCCGCATTTGACGCAGGTACTCGACGTTCTTGAGCAGGCCCTCGGTTCCCTCATCAGGTCCGTGAGGCAAAGCCACCTTGGCACCGATGAAACCTGCTGCCTTGGCAATGCCAGGTTGGGGTCCAGTGCAGTAAAAGTCCAGGCGAGACCGGGTCGCACCACCAATCATCTTGTAAACAGGCTCCTTGCGAATCTTGCCAATCAAATCCCAGAGGGCAAGATCGACAACGGAGATTGCAGCCACCGGCAGACCTTTACGACCGTAGAACATGGAAGCGCGGTACATCTTCTCAAAGAGGTTGTTGGTATCGCGGGGATCTAGTTTAAGGAATGCGTTAGATGATATCGAACATCATGTATCTCATGCCAACTTACCTTCGCCAATCAGGAAGCGCTCAAAGTGCTGGTGAACCAGCCAACAAGCAGGAGGACCACCGAATCCAGTTGCGAAGCCCTTGGTACCATCTGTTGCCTCAATCTCCACACAGAAAGAACCCAAGACATTGATACCCCAAGAAGTACGCGAGCCTCGGTATTCTGCCCACTTGGTCATGGGAGTAGAAATGTTGCTGTCAATCAGCCAGTGGCCTCCTTTGACCTGTAGACAATCCATTAGACACCGAACTCCCCAGAATTGAAGAGATATTTCTTACATTGTGGTAATCACCACCGGAGCCGACGCCGTCAATGACGAAGGTGCGGATCTCCTTGATGCGGGGAAATTCCGATACTGAACCCATGATTGCGAGTTAGAGATGAGATCAAGGCAAGAAATGAATTCCAGGATTGAATTGTCAGAGATCAGAATGATGAAAAAAGAAAGAAAAGAGAAATAGAAAAACGTGGGGGACTTACACTTTTTCAGCGAGCGCGTCGAGGGGAAATCCAAGGCCTCGGGCGAGCAATGCCCCGAGCTGCGGGACATCGGAGTATCACCGTGGATATCTTGAGGAAGCGGCGAGACTGTCCACATTTAATCTATGACCTCAACGGTCTTGTGTCAAATAGTTTTCTTTCATTTCCATTCACAGACTTGCATCAAATTATTGAAATCTAGGGACTTATTCCCAATTCGTACAGTGGTAGAGTGACGAGTCTATCTCTAGGCTTTGCTCAATGTCTCGTCGATAATAGAAATGCTTGCCATGTAAGCAATTCAACATACCGAAAGTACTATTTGAGCTGATATGACCTTCCTTGTGAATAATCCCGAATTTATGCTAAGGGTCCATGTTGCATGTGCAATACATAAAGTGGAGTAACGCGGGGATTGCTGCCTGCAGTGGGCAATAGCCAATTGGAATCACATGTTAAATGGCAGGAAATCATAAAAACCAAGCTAGTATGACAATGCCCTTATTATATGCACCCTATAGATACACCAACCGGCGACCGCTACAATAACTAATTAGTTTATGTTCACAGTAAGTTGTAAGTGGTCCAGTAGGAGATAAGGTAGGATAATACTAAGTAGGAGACTGAGTAGGAGACTGAAAAGTGGGGTCTCCCAACAACAATATCTAGTACAATTCAATACAGAGTTAGTAAAGGCGATGAAATTAAATCATATGATCTCGGAGTTTTGTTGGACTGGTCCCTATTGTCCACCGTCGCTACCTCAGGTGTCAATCTTGTTGTAGTATACAAATCTAACATTTTATAATTTTTCCGCTCCTGCCAAAGTTACACGGGTCCAATACTATGATAAATAAAGTGAAAGTTTGAGAATATTGGTATTGTCTAGTATAGTGTCCCTTTCACAAACTAAACCTATTCAGACGGAATACTAAACCAAATTAGGCGGCGGCTCTAGGAGTATCTTTAGTTTGTCTAGTATAGCGCTTGTCTAAACACTAGAGTACTTAAACTTTTTCCCCTGGTATGCTTGTCTTTCTGTCTCATACTCTCAACTCAAACGATATTTTCATCCTTGCTCGTTCACCTGCTTTACCATGTACAAACAACGAGATCGAGCCATGGCCTTCACCGGTCAAAGGCCAGCTTCTTTGGTCTCTTCGCAATTGAATCCTGGAAGTACTAGTGCTCCCCCGGGTGCTATTTACTCATCGGAATCCAGGCAACATGTCGAAAGCTCCCAGGAGCCGGCTCTATATTCGCATTATCCACTTCCATCGGAGCCTTTTGATACGTCCTATAACCTCTATGGGCCTAGCGGACCGTTCCATGGTGGTCAACCTGTTGCCAATATCTCCAACATAAACATTCATAATGTTAACCTGGGATTCCGACCAGACTTTTACTTATACGATCAGCCCTGTATTGGGCAGCCGTCCTCTCAGATGGACCATGGAGACCTGTTTTCCAATCGATATCCCACCACAAGATCTCCTTACCAGGGGAGTAGTTTGACAGCAAATTCTCAGGAGCTGAATCTTCCATCAAACGCAGTCACGGAGTTCATAGGATCTAAGATCTCTTTGCCCGTCCCGTCTAGTCAATACAAATATGTGCCGAGTCGTTACAGCGAGGCTGCTGCAAAGAAACTCATGATCCCATCCATGGCAGCGCCATTTAATACCTCTCTTCAATGGATAGCCGAGGACCCCAGAAGCAAACAACGTCATCGTGAAAAGAGAGTCAGGACGCAGTTGGAGATTGAGAACCGAAAGGAGGACATTCAGAAGCTCAAACAATTTGGCGGAGCGTGTCTTTGGTGCCACCGAAGCAAGAAGAAATGCGACCCTGCTCAAAATTGCGAGCTTTGTCGAGCTAATAAGCGTAGATGCATTCGGAGCCATTCCCAATTATGCTTGATTGGGCAAGTTGAGCCCAGCACCAAACAGAACTCGATTCCATATTTTGGACCTCCCTCTCAAGAGGCGCTGAGTGCTATGCGCCTCATGGCTGATAATGCCTTTTCAGATAGGCCGACTGTGAAAGTCTGTCTGTATATTCAGCATGCAAATGGCTTAAAAGGTCTAGAAATGACTAAGGATGACATGGACCCACGCAGGACTGAAACACAGCGCCTAATCAACGACTTCAATTACCTAATGAGCACTTGTATGCAATCCCTCGACTTAGAAACGCTCAGCGAGACCTATCCAGGTCACCTGCTAGTTTCTCCAGTTATCAGGATGACCAGATTGTACATGATAATTCGAAGCCTTGCGACAACTAGAATCCACCTTTGTTCATCCGATACTAACCTCGCTCAGTTGATTCTACTTCTGGTATTGATTGTCAGTATACAGAGCTTGGTAAGGATGTCTGAGAGCTTTTCGATTGACCTGTGTGAGGCCCTCCGGCGACGAAACACAGAGACTACTAGACCGAATCAGAAACGTCGTCAGCATAAAGGCACCTCAAATAAAAGCTCATTGTCTGTCACAATGGAGCTTTATTGTAAATTGGTTGTTGGCTTACTGAACCTGATTGAGAGTCCTGTCATTGCACTAATCTTTAAGCATTTCGACACACAACTGCTGGAAGTCCGCGATAACTTGAAGGGCATCCTTGCATCAATGAACTCCATTCATTCAAAGCGTGCCAAGGGTGCAATCAAACGAGGTCCAGATGAAGAGGTTCCTCCTTTTCCGCCCGCTCAACACTTCGAACTAGCTTTCCGAGTGGAATCCCTAGACACTAACGGCTACTCCGAATCAACAAGAGCTAATGATCAATGTTACATCGAGGTCCCAGAGCAAGCCATTCACGATGTTGAGACCTTTCTTCAAAGTGGAATTGACAATTTAGAAACCTTCCAGAATCCACTGACCAAAGATCCGAAAAGCCTCGTGTTGGATGAGGCGCCCACTCAATCGGTGTCTACTGAGACTGCGACGGATATTACTTCGCATACAGAGTTTCTTGATACCCCGTCTATTGAGTCTGACACATTCGATGAGATTCTAGGTTCCGCTCCTTGGGATTGGGCTGATGACGACTTATATTCAAGTATGATGTACTATCCGTGATGGGGGATAAGATTTCAAGGTTATTTTTTTTTCTTATTTTGCTACTCGTCTTTTACTGCTTTATTGTGAATTTCCTTGTCTGGCATATTGCGTGGAATATGTTTTGCTGGAATTGGTTGATATTGATCGATGGGACTTGCTTAAGGTTGCAGTTACAATTTAAGGCACAGGAACTTGGAATTTTGAATAACAGTCTCCAGGCTATCTCCTTGTTCCAAAGTGCGCTCATTCACTAACATTTGAATCCTTCATCATAGACAGCGCTACTAGTACCTTTGGCAGAGATTAAAATAACCTGAATATGACTTACTGTATATGTTCATTAGGAGATAAACGGAAATCCATACCCAATTTTGCATGCCCAGGTGTGTACTGCACTGAATACCACTGACTTGGGGCGATGTGACGTTGATGTAACTGATATGTTTACATCTAAATGACCATTGATAACTAATCACTAAATCCATGTCCCAAGGCAAAGCGTGCCGTTTCCAATATGTTCCGTTCATACAGCCAATTCTAGATTATAAGCCTATGTTTCCTTGAACTCATAGAGACCCTCTGAGCGATCCTTAACCTCAACCTCAATGCGACCCTCCTCAATCTCCTTGCCATCGACCTCAATGGTAGCACGCATAACATCACCAGCCTTAACCTCACCAACACCCTTGGGGGTACCAGTCAACACAATATCTCCCTTCTCAAGAGTCATAACACGAGAGATCTGAGCAAGCTGTGTAGTGATGCGGTGCAGCATGAGGCTAGTCGAATCAGCCTGGCGATCAACACCGTTCACCTGCAAGCGGAGGAAAGCGTCGTGGGGGTTAGGGATGCGCGACTTGGCGATGATTTCGGAAATGGGGAGGAAGGTGTCGAAGCCCTTAGCAATAGACCAAGGAAGACCCTTTTTCTTAGCCTCGTCCTGGACATTGCGGGCAGTCATATCAATAGCCAGGATGTAGCCTTGAAATTTGAGCAATTGGTTAGCGGCGCAAACGTGCGGGGTAAGAATCGCGATACTCACTCTCAATGGCTTCCATGGCGGTCTTCTCGTCCTTCGGATCAAGATCGCGAAGGGTCTTGCCAATCACGAGACCCAATTCGACTTCATAGTGTAGGCTGACACCCTTGGGACGGAGGACGGGGCCCTGGCCGGGTGTGAGGATGGAGGAAGAGGGCTTCAAGAAGAAAAAGGGCTGCTTGGGGGTCGCGCTGTTAAGCTCCGCAATGTGTTCGCTGTAGAATTGCAATCAAAGGTCAGCATTTGTGTAGATTGGCTTGGAGTGGGATTGGTTGCGAGGCGGGATTTATCCGGGGAAGACGCACGCGTAGTTTCGGCCGATACACATGACCTTGCGGCAATTGGCTCGGAGTGCTGATGCCATTGTGTGGTAATTATGCTGTGCGACCGAGAGGTTTGTCTAGGTTATACAAAGTGGTAGAGAGGAAGCAGGGGGGAATATCGAGATTATGACTCCGATCAAGCTCCGGTGGTCGCTAGTCCGGTGATGCGGAGAAATCGGTCATGGCCCCGGCCCGCTTGTATCTTTATCCACAGAATTTTGTGAATATTGATCTCAGATCCTCTGATTGGGTCAATTGTTGGATTTATTGTTCTTTTTCATTCATGAGCGATTGAAGAAGCCATTTACCTGGAGTCAATACAAGATTGATTTCCAACTTAACATTTGATGCTCCGGGCAGCTTTGATCCTTCGGGCGGTTGGCCCGAGCATCGGAAGACATGGCCGAGGCACAATTAGCAACAAGTTGCTTAATCTCCTCCCGCGAGACAATTACAAACAGTCACTTCAAAGCGAATGGCAGAGTTTCTGAAGTTAGCTATTATCTGCCTGATAATTATTATTGCTGGTCAATTGGCTGTTTGAATCTCACTCGGCCTTCGGGATACTTTCAAGACTCATGTGCAGCACAAATCTCGATCCAGTGGATATCTTGAAATTCATAAATTTACTTGATCAAAAACATATATTAAAGTACTTGAGTATCTAGGCAGCTTCAAACGTTACAAACGATCAACGAGGGCAGTAATTATAATAACATCTTTTGATAGATCGACCCTTAAGTCCCTTCTCATGTATGGGTAGACAGATTCATCGTATCACATTCAAAGACGTGTCTTTGCTGCACATAGGCTGACAAAGATGCACCTCAGTAGTAGACGTCTAGACGTGCAAGTGGGTTGCAAAGCTGCGAGCAGCAAGGCTGGAAGAAGTCAGGTTGGCCTCCAGAGGACCGACCTTGAGAGTACCGCAAGGGCTCGAAGGCGCAGAGACACAACCGCCGAGGTACGATCCCAGACTGCCAGTCGAGTTGCTAGTCGAGAGAACGGTCGAGGGGAGGTACGCGGCGATCAGCGAATTGGAGTTTGCCAAGAACATGGTAGAGTTCACACGGGCACCGATATAGGTAGCCTGCGAGGCGTGCTGAGCAGCAAGACGGGCCAGCAGGAAAGAGACCTCGGGCGACGTGGTATAACCAGCAGCGCCGATGAAAGCACCAGCAAGAGTGGATTCAAACTGGTATGCGTATTTGACGAGCGTTTGAATGCTGCTGACAGAGGGGTATGTGTAACTGCAGGATGGCTCACTGAAGCCGGAAATCTTCGAGGCGAGCTCTCCGATGGCCTCAATGGTCAGGTTGTTGGCGTTTGCAATTCCTTGAAGGTTTGCGAGAACGTTCGATTCACTGGAACCGTTCGAAACCTGGGAGGCGACGCTTGAGTTGATTGCAACGGATGCGTAGAAGTTGGTGAGGAACTTCGAAATCGCGAATGAATACTGAAGGACAGAGCTATCCGCGGATGTAAGAGCACAACTGGCGGTAGCACTAGAGCTGCTCGCGGCAGCAGAAGAGCTAGTTGCAGTGGCAGAAGAGGAAGACCCGCTCTGGGCAGATGTCAAGGCACCTGCTGTGGCCAAGAGCCAAGTGATCTGAGTTCCGAAACGCATGGTGCTTTCAAATAGATATTTTTCCGCGGGAAAGGCTGTTGTAGATGAATTTTCTTTGACAGTTTCTCAATTGTAGGCGAGCGATTTCTCAGGAGCCATTGCGGCTTTATATTCGAAAAAATATGCTGTAGCATATGAATGGTGTAAGATGTCATTACTGCGCCCCCCCCTGGAAGACAGCTCATCATACAGAAGATTCTGCATTCCCAGAGACGCATGCAGTAATAGACCCATTTTATACAAAATTAATTCCTGTTGCCTGTCTTGTTTTCGCGAATCATGTCGACCGCTGAGTTGGATGTGAAGTTTATTTATCGGGTCTAAAATGTCAATTCTCATGGAAGCCAGTGTAGTATTCTGCAGTGGTAAAAGTCTTAGAGTTTTCATTGGCTTAGAATCATTGATGAAACAAGAAAACTGGATTTAAAACGCTAGAAATGGTGGTTCTTTTACGTATAAGTTGAGCTCTTCCTGCATTTTCTAAGGTGTGAAGTTTATTTTATAGTTGCGGACGTCATCGGTACGGCTCTGCGTCAACGACTCCCGCCATACTAGTGATGTTGACCAGTATACCTACAGATTCATGCCGGAAACTGCCGATAAAAATTAGATTTGGGCCCCTTGCAGATTTGAGATACCTTGGGCAAACTAATGTCATACACAGAGGGGTATGCCCTTTGCATTTGAGGGTAGAAATGCTTAGTCATGCATGCTACATGTGAAGCTGAGATACTTCCATTTACAGTAAACCTTCAAAACTATCACAATTCAGCAAATTTGGAACTCTCGACAATTTCTGGAATCTGCTCCTGATGTTGGATAATAGATTCCAGGTTTTTTTGAGCATCAATTGTTGGACTATCGCCCGATAATCCTGCATAGCTATTTCTGGCATTTTATTAGGGGTGCCAGGTGACTGTCTTCGCTAAAGGACCACCGCGGTCATAAGTGACCAAAGCTGTATGATGATCGATCGCCATCACACCGGGCCAAAAGCTCGACGCCGGCGATACGACACTGGGCTCGGTCCATCGAATTTGCCCATTCTGTGGCGGCGCAGCGAAAACGGCCTTGATGGAAGCATTTTTAACCCAATCCACCTTGGGCGAGTCCTCATCAGTCATAAAAACAACGACCATAGAGCCATTGGGAAACGACGTAATCTGTGGTGATCCCGCATTATGTCCAGGTTTTGGCCGGAACACCTCTTGGCGGTGATTCCAGGAAGTCCCATCATCGTAAGAGATGAGCGCTTCAATACTAAACGGACCATGTCTTGTAGTTTCAAAAACCATAACCAACGCTTCGCGGTCATTGTCGAAAGAAGTCGCAATGCCGTTCATGCCATCGCGCAGGGGATCATTGTCGCCGTGCAAACAGACAGCACGACTCCAAGAACTTCCCTGATCCTCGGACGTGACGAGCATCGTGCACTGGTTGTTTGGTGCAAACTCTTGCGAGTAGGTGAGCTGGACTTCTCCCCGTTTACCGAGTCGCATAAAGGGTTCCCATATACCGAGTGGGGCACCTTTCTCGGCTGCCTGGGATGCGAAACGCCATGTACGTCCTCCATCCTTGGACCTGCATACTGTGATACGGAAATGAGTGGGACCGCTCGGTCCGACGTCGTGGTTGCGAAAGGCCGCTAATACAACTCCCTGTGCCACCTCGAGCAAGAACATGTTATCCACATCCCCCTCTGCGCGAGTCACTTCGGATAAGTTCTCAAAGGTGCGGCCGTTATCCGTGCTACGGGCGACACAGAGAGCCCTTTTCCCATCTGGGAATCGGGTAAATGAGGATAAAATTGATCCATCGGAAAGACGTGCGAGTCGGGGGTAGGTGCCCCCGTTTGGTGGGGAGGATAGCGGGCGTTCGTCGTCGTGTACCATCGCACGACCCGGGAGGGGCTGCTGCGGGCGATCATGATGTGAGTGACCTCCCAAGGCGTTTATTATTTTCTGACCGAGATGTCCAGGCATTATGGTTGATAGTTGCAAAGTCAAGGTTTGAATGTAACAGTCGCTCTTCTACGGTCTGGCCCCTGGTTACGTCATATCCTGCAGCCTTATTCCTTGGCGACATTCGATTGGAGCTTTCCAGTGTATATAGTAATGAGTCCTTAAGCTGTAGAAAACTTGATCATTGACACCCTCGGACTGATTGATGTGCCGAGAGCGAAATTCGCCGTTTCTAAAAGGGGAATGGTGGAGTCTCGGGTTCATCGCATTTAAGCTATGATACGGAGTTAACATGTAATCTCCGTGCAGACATTCGTCACGACTTTGCCTGCAGAGATTGTTATTTAAAATTCGTAATGTGATCTCTACTTACTTTACCAACATCACAAACTTATTGTAATCATGCCTTCCTTCTTATACTCGCAAGTCTTTGTCCGTCCAACCTATCCCGAGGGATCCCTAGACGGCCAGACAATTCTCATCACCGGTGCCAATGTCGGTCTCGGTTTAGAAGCCGCCCGCCATGTCGTACGTCTAGGAGCCTCCCGCGTTATCCTGGGAGTTCGTAATGTCCCAGCAGGTGAAGAAGCCAAGAAGGATATCGAAACTTCCACCAAGCGCCCTGGAGTTTGTGAAGTATGGGAGGTCGATCTTGCCTCATACAGCTCTGTCCTGTCCTTCGGTGACCGAGTCTCCCAACTTCCACGTCTGGACGCCGCTATCTTGAATGCAGCAATTGCTACTGGTGAATTCCAGCTCGCCGAGGGTCAAGAGCGATCAATCACCGTCAACGTTATCAGCACCTTACTTGTGGGACTTCTCATCCTCCCAAAGCTCAAGTCCACCAAGAAGGAAGTGCCTTCCTGCCACCCACACCTCTCATATGTGGTCAGTGAAGTCCACGCGTGGGTGAAATTTGATGAATGGAAGGAAGAAAACGCTCTTCAGATCATTTCGGATCCCGAGAAGGCTAGGATGGGCGAGCGGTACCCTCTGTCAAAGCTGCTGGAGGTCCTATTGGTGCAGGAACTCGCTGGGAGGGTGCGTGGCTCTGATGTCATTATTGACATGGTGAATCCTGGTCTTTGTCATTCACAGCTTGGCCGGAATGCAGGCTGGGGGCTCTGGTTACTGAAGCAGATTCTTGCGCGGACGACCGAAATTGGATCGCGCACTCTTGTTGCTGGTATCTTGGCAGGCCTTGAAGCCCATGGTGCATACATGACCGATGGTCATGTGGAAAACAACGCCCTCTCGGAATTTGTACGCAGCGCAGATGGAGCAAAGGCCAGGGAGAAGGTCTGGGGTGAGGTAACTGCCATCCTCGAGAATGTGAGACCTGGGATCTTGGAGAACATTTAAGGAGGCAAAAATTTCATACTTAATCCCTGTACATACTATTATTCGAATTACAATGCTCAATTCGTATCGGATTTCTGTCTAGGATTCTTGTATGCATGTTTCATTGTCCAGTGGCGCACGGAAGGAGTGAACCCAGAAGGGGGAATGAACGATGCCACGGATCACAAGCTTCTCTTTTATTTAGTGGGCAATTTCCACTCACAGTCGAGGAAGAATGTGGTACTTGACAGCTTTGACCTGAGTCCAATTCTCGAGGGCATCCTCGCCCATGTCGCGCCCAAATCCACTCTCCTTCACTCCACCAAACGGAACATTTGGACTCAACATCGCCCAAGCATTAATAGTTACTTGTCCAGACTCCAGCTCCTTGGTGACACGATGCGCACGGTTGATATCATTTGTAAAGATGGCAGCACTCAACCCGTGAGCAGAATCATTGGCCTTGGCGATGACTTCTGCCTCAGTTGAGAATTTGGCAATGCTCTGAAAGTAAGGTCAGCGTGAATGTATACGTGATTTTGAGAAGTTGACTTACCGCGACAGGACCGAATATCTCCTCCCGCATAATCGTTGCGTCGTCGGCAACGTCTGCAAATGCGGTGTTCTGCACAAAGTATCCCTTCTCACCAATGCGTTCTCCACCAAACAACAAACGAGCTCCACACTCCTTGCCCTGACGAATATAATCCAAAACCTTCTGATGTTGAGCACTGTTTACAATAGGGCCCTTTGTGGTTGATGCATGCAATGGGTCGCCAGCCACTGTCGGAGCATCAGCCGCGGCCTTCTTATACGCCTCAATGAAGCGGTCATAGATGGAATCCTGAACATAGATTCGCGATCCAGCCGCACAGATCTGGCCGTTGTTGGCAGTGATGCCGATACGGGTCCAAAGTAGTGCATTATCAAGATCGCAATCATCGAATACGATCGACGGCCCCTTACCTCCGAGCTCGAGGCTCACCTTCTTCAAATTCGTCCTGGCAGCCGCTTGGAGAATCTTCCGTCCGGCGACAGCGCTTCCTGTGAAAGCAATCTTGCGGACTTCCAGGTGCTCGGATAGAGACTGGCCTGCGTTTGTCCCGTCACCGGCGACGATATTCACCAGGCCAGCTGGGATACCAGCCTCCTTGACTAGCTCAGCTAGCCGCAGGGCGTATAGGGGGGAGTTCTCGGATGATTTGATGATCAAAGCATTACCAGCAACGATAGCCGGAGCAAGTTTCCAGATGGTGATCATTCTGCGCATAAACATATTAGCACGGTGATATTTCACTGTCAAACATAAGGCCACTTACAATGGCGCATTCCAGGGCACAATAGCACCACAGACGCCCAAAGGCTCGCGGTGAGTGTATGCGATACCACCATCGATCTCAAGCGTCTTTCCATCGATCTTATCAGCCCATCCGGCATAGTATCGAAGACACCCAACCGCCTGCGGAATATTCAGTCCCATGGAGTCGGTAAAGAGGGTGCCCGAATCGACAGCTTCCAGAGACGCGAGGTCCTCAGCATCACGTTCGAGCAAATCAGCCAGCTTAAGAAGAATACGAGCCCTCGCAGGTCTGGAGACAGCTTTCCAAGCTTCGAAGCCTGCTTTAGCAGACTTGACTGCCTTGTTAATATCTTGAGGCCCAGCGGCCGAGATTACTCCGAGCTGTTCACCAGTCGACGGGTTCTCCACGGCTAATGTCTCTCCTGTAGACGATGGAACAAATTCATTGTGAATGAAAAGTCCGGTCGGCACTGGAATGCAAGTTATGCAACGGATTAGTTGTGAGCGCTTTTCCGCAAGGACACTATTACTGCTCACCGGTAACCTTCCGACCGTTCACTCCGCTGATTGTCAATGATGGAGACATTTCAGTCAAATTTGAAAATTATTACAAGGCTCGAGCTCTTATAAGATATCTTTCAGTGCATCTGCTGGGCACATCAAGCTGCTTTTCAACGTCGCGACATGACGCACGGTGTCATGCGGGACAGAGCCGTCGTTCCGCGTAATCATTCCGCTTCCGAGGTCGCTGATCCTTCATTGCGGAGTCAGGAAACAATCAATTGGTTCACTCCGATAAAGCGGGGAAGTCTGCATGTGCTAGGGAGCAAGTCCGTATCAGGTTACTTTAAATCCTTGGCTAGTGCACAATGGCTTATCGGGGCCATTCCGAACACTGGGTCTACAGTCGATTGACGATTGACTAACGAATCGCTAGATATGATAGTTGAGCGTTGGTCAATTTGTAACATCTGTCAAACAGGATATGTAGTGAAACCCGGAGCCAGATTATCGTTAAAGAATGATCAAGTATCCTAGTTTAATAATCAGTATTTCTCCGAAGAGGGTCTGATGTACTGGGAGGTGTTGCTTTATTCGTTCAGACAGTGCTAGAGGAAAGCAACAGACCATATTAAAGATACAGTAATAACTTCCATCATGAAATTTAACAATGACCAGACAGCAAAGCCCAAGGAAGTTGGCTAAATTGCGGAGAAGCTCCGTGGCTCAGGAACGATCTGGTTCGAAGTCCGGCCTCTCACTGGGAGTGTGTTGAGTAGGTTGTGCTGATCCTGCCTTGACACCCTGATAATAGTAGAGTTTCTGATTTATTTGGGGAGGAGAAAGTCTCCCTTGATCAGTATTGCCTTTCTTCCGACGGCTCTCTCAGAATATGGAGAATTTGCCTTTAATCGGGCCATAAACTCTTCACTAGCTTATAGAAGAATGAGGAAATCAGTGATGCGTGGTGAAGTCATTATGCTGAGGACCTATTAGTCAGATGAATATCAGTGTAGTAGTGACTGAAGGATTTTAATATGGAAGGGGAAGGGGGGGTTGAAATGGAAAAAAGAATGAGAAAAGGAGGAGATTGGGGCTTTTATAAGGACTAGGGCCCTTATTTTCAACAACCATCTTGGCAATTTCGTGGAGAATGACATGGTCATAACTTTCAACCTATTTAAATCCCAGATGTAATGGTAATCCCGGCCGACTGGTCAAGAAAACTCTTAGCCATATATTGGTTGACTGCTGTAGCTGTGGTAAAATTTATAGCAAAAGTCGGATGTTTTTGTTCCCTTCACATTCGTCTAATACGTCAATAACAAGCCCGAGAGTTTGAGCCGTTTGTCCGGGCAGATTTTAAAATAGACGAAGAAGAAATTTTTCACACTGATCCCCGATTTTCTTCATGGCAACAGCTGGGTCATCTTCCATTGCCTTCCGAATTGCCAGCTTCAACCCTTCAAGGTTATTTTCCAATTGCCATGCGATTGTGGGGGAAAGCTTCATGGCATTTCCTCGATCGCCTTCGCCGCGTTTGAAGAAAAGCTTGCACCTTGCGACTTAGCTTGATCGAATGACTTTGCCACAGTACGAGAGATGGTCAATTTCCCGTCCCGGCCATTCCATTAAACCAAAACATGCATTTTCTGGTGCGGTAGAGGACCCAGTCGTTGATTTGACGAAGAATGTCACCCTTGGTGTCTGAGCCCTCATCTCGGGCCTCAAAGAAGTGAAGGCGGGCCCCATGGACCACAGGCAGTCTATCTTCGACATCCATACAATGGTCAGGATTATCCACTTCGTATCATACATTATGCCGCTTACTTGGAGGAGCATGAAGATGGGCAGTGATAGGAGCATCACTGAGCCCCACCTGGAATCCTGAATTAATACCATTGAATGATATCGAGGTATCTGGCCGGCGAAAAGAAGGCCGCTTCTCAGGAACCGCTTAACTATTGAACTGAATTGAAAGGATCGACGAGACCAAAACGGCTAAAATAGTGCGGACTGAGTGATTTTGGATTAGCAAAGGCTCCATATAGCTGGGCACTATACCAAATTAGTCCTGCTTTCAGCTGACATCTAATTTGTGATTTGTCGAATTACCATACTGTAGTCAGCTCGGCTCTTCCAAGTGCGGGGTTCATATATCTAGTCCTCTTATGCATGATATGTAACCTCCTTGTCAAATGATACAGCTACCCAACTCATGTCAAGCAGAGTGAGTTCGAGCCTGGACTTGTTTTGGAGAGTTCTTTGGGAATTCCAATATACAGGTCGCAAAGCTCGGCTTCTCGATCAGGTATAAACTTCCCGTTATCTTGCACCACCAGATAAGCGTCTTCCCCCGCATGACTCCAAATGTGCGTCTCACAATACCGGACTTTGTCGCTTTTGACTGCTTCGGATCCAGATATTGAAGATGCGACGAGTCAAAAAATCTCGCAATGGTTGTGCAAGATGTAAAAGCAAAAGGGTGGGTGTCTGTACGCGGTCCGAGCTTTCTTCACTAATACTAGGACAGGTCAAGTGCGGAGAGGAGAAGCCCCAGTGTAATCGCTGCACCCGACTTGGGGTCAGGTGCCCTGGATATGCGCAATCACTCCGATGGGTAACTAAATATGAACAACAAAGCCCCGGCGCATCATCAGATAGTCAACTGCTTAGCCCAGTGCTCACTTCCTCGGTGCCAAGAGAGCCCCCCACTCCAGCTCCAGTAGAGGACGCATTGTCGCTGGACGACCCGAATGCCGATTCTCAGCTGAGCTTAGAAGCACCTGGCTTTGAGCTTGATGATTCGAATGTTCTTTGTGACAATTTATGGGACCTCCAGGGCAATCGATCACTCCCGGAGTTAACCGACCTCTGCCCGTCATCCCCAGGTCCAGTGTCAATATCGGGTTTCTCGCAGGCTCAGAATTCATCATATGATTTCACTTCATCTGGAGACATGTCTGCCGATGTATCTCATTTCTTATCAATGATTGGCCCGCCCCAAGATGAGACTCGCAACGGTGATAGCGTTTATCGAGAATTCTCGCCATCAAATGTTGTGCGCAGTTACCCGCCCGCCTCACAACGCTCAACTTCTCGAGAAGTTACGTCAATATCACGTCCGATGAACAATCCATCATGGACCCTTATCGAATATTACTTTAAAGAAGTTGCAGCACTCTTCTCTAGCTATGATAGCCAGATGAACCCGTTCCGCACGACCGTCTCCAGACTATGGGGATCATCACTGGCTATGTGTCGTACAATGCAGAGCATGGCGGCTGCAACTCTTGTCAACGATTTCCCACAATTTGGACCGATTGGACGGAAAATGCGGGATGAAGCTGTCAACATCATTACTGTTGAAGCTGTGATGGATGACAAGTCTTTGTTGGCACTCCTCATGCTTGGACAGACGGCTAGTTGGCATGATCCAAAAGACTTGGGTATCTCATTCTTCAATCTTCTCCGAAAGCATCTTGATACCGTTTCCGATGGTTCTAACACAGAATCCCCTGGACTCACTGAGAGCCGCGGTAATAATCACCGTTTCTTCGAAGAGGCTCTGGTATATTGGGAAATGCTTCTATCGTTCGTCGCGGACAATGATTCTGCGATGTTTTCGCACGAATCGCGCGCATCATCTTTCAATGAATCAATTGTCCTTCAACGCGTACCTCACCCCTGGACGGGAATTGCTCGAGACGCACAATTTGCGGTACACGAAGTGGGTCGCCTTGTTCGCAGAGAACGGAAACGTATGCGTAGTCGAACCTTCACCTCTCATGATGACATCAGATGTGCACAGATGGCCATCGGAAAAGCACGCCAGTTAGAGGAGCGCTTGTTGAGCCTTGCGCATCTCACCGAAGCCGAGATTGTCAGCACCGGCGATGATGAAACTCCAGTCTGGCATCTTCTTACTGTTGCAGAGGTCTATCGATGTACTGGATTGATACAGTTGTATCGAGTCTTTCCTGACCTACTCCGTGATCGTCTGCCAAACCCCGAGGCAGCTCAATTTCCAGATTTTGCAGCGAAAACATCTGGTGATCCTTTCTTCCCAGTCGATTTGGACTGTATGCTCCTTTCTCCAGGCCTAGGTCGGACAAGTGCCGGTCATGTATTGAATCAAACAAAATCGGATCAGCATACCAGCCACCAATCCCCGTCGCCGACCTCGTCTCATCGAATAAATATATTTCCCCCCTCACAGAATCACCAACCTCAGGCTCCAAAATCCACCGCCCAGGAAAGATTGTGCGACTCTTTCTACGACGCCTGGCTCACCGATTTTGCCGTGACGCTCCTCTCACGTCTAAAGACCATACCTTTTGAATCCCGCACCCGCTGCCTTCAACCACTGCTACTTGTCGCTTCATGTAGCGAGTTACGTCTGCCTTCGTTACCTACCGGAAAACGTAAGAACGAGTTTAAGAGCAATCCAGAGGGAAACGCCGATAATGAATCTGGATCCGGTTCTGAGACGCCGAATATATCAATGGAAGCTATCGAAGTCTCACAAACACGCAAATTTATTCTTGGCCGTCTCACATCCTTGCTCCATGTGCTGCCACCCAAACCAATCGATGTATGTGTCAAGCTTGTTAAGGAAGTATGGAGACGAATGGATGCCGGTGAAGCCAACACCTACTGGGTAGATGTCATGATTGAAAAGGGATGGGAGACAACGATGGGTTAAATGGATGCCAATTTTGTACATACATCAATTAGGTGCTCACATCGAGGCTATACCCGTGAAATCGATGACACGCAAATTGAAATCAACGATGAAGCGCCGGTCCGGACTAAACTGCGGTTTCAAGCCTTCACCAGGAATGGGGCAACCGCGGGCATGCATATGGCGAGCGGAGTATAATGCAGCGGATAAACGAGTGACATCTTAGAAGATGGTGCCCTTCACCTGTGGCTTCTCCTTGACGTTGATGTCGCGGATCATAATAGTCCAAGGGATAGCGAGTACCATGATACCCACACCTATAGCAAGCAAGCGCAGCTCAGCATACGAATAGGCTTTCTGGATAGCAATTCTGGTGGCGCTACCTAGCGGATATCCTCGCTGGGTAGACAGGTCGTTATAAATACTCTCAAAGTTTGACATTGCCGACTCGGGCAGGTATCGCTTTAAGGCAACGGGGTAGGTGTTCTCCCAAACTACGGTACTAATGGTAAGACCGGCACTATCACCAATTGTCCCGACGACGTTAAGTAATCCAAGGGCTGAAGCGAAATGTTGATGGTCGACAGCAGCGAGAATAGCCAGTTGCTCGACAATAATGAAGATCGAACCACCAATGGCAATGAAGATCTGGCACATGATTTGGTATCCCACGCTCATTCCTGCATGACGAAAGTAAATCATGAGACCCTGAGCGAGGATGTAGAGTGGAACACAAATATATAGGAGCCACTTGTAGTGGCTGGTTTTGGAGATTATGAATCCGACAGCCAATAGCAGGAGACCGGAGACGATATCGAAGATATGGTTAATCCATCCTGATTGCTGGGGAGTCAGGCCGTTGACAACCTGTAGGAACGATGTGAAGTAGTAGTTCCAGCAATAGTAGGAGAGTTGGTATGTGGCATCGAGGAGACAGGCGCCGATGACTGTGCGGTTCTTGATATATGTGATGTCGAGGAAAGGAACTGGAGCGACGAAAATCTCCCAAATAGCGAAGAAGAACAGCATGGAGAAGCCGACGACAAGCATGGCGATAATATAGCCCGATGCCCAGCCGTCAGGGGCGTAATCGGCGATGTCGAAAGGAAGTTCGAAGAGGACAAGACCAACGGTGAAGATGAAAACACCGATCACTGTTCAAAATGGTCGGGATTAGAACACGGATTGGCTTCAATTTAGAGGTCAGATGGTAGAACTCACAGTCAAACTCGTGGTCAGATGGTAGAACTCACAGTCAAACTCACGAGTCCAATGCCACACGCTCTCAAAGAATGTGCGATCACTACGCTGCCTGACTGCATGGCCTTCTCGTTGAGCCTTGCGAAGGGTATACTTCAGTGTTAAGAACAGAGGAGCAGCTGTTAATGGGAAGATGATCGCCCAGGTACCGAATCCCCATCGCCAGCCATCGCCAGGGAGAGCATAGAATTCTTGACCAACAGTCGGTCCCGCAAATGCCGTGATAATGTATGGAGAAGAAGTGAAAGCGTAGGCAAAAGCTCGATTCTGCAACTTGGACATATCGGCCGTGAGAACATCCACACAGTACTCCATACCCATGAAGCCCATAGAATAGAAAACCTGGTCTTGAGTGTTGGTATAAAGATACTCGCGGAGGTTGGTTGTTACTCACATAGCCAGCGCAGTATATTGAAAAGCCATTGCATGCTGCCATGAGAATCAAGCCCAGGGTGGAGAAGATAGTCATGAGCAGGAAACCCTCAGCTCGACCCCAAGTGTCAAGCATTTTGCCTACCGGAATGAAAACAGCGGCAGAACAAGCATCACCGATAGCAGTCGGGAGGCCAGACAGTGAATGATATTCGTAATAACTCGCAACATAAGGACTGATGGTATCGTAAACCGATGACTGGAATGCATTGACAAAGTATAAGAACCAAATGCTGTATAATCAGAGCGTCAGTTTACAAATCATGCGCTATGAGAGAGTGGCGAGAGGACAACATACTTCAGAAAGACCAGGAAAAGAGTTTTCCTCGACCAGGTCAGCGTCATGGCCTCGGCATCAGCAACACCATGTTGCAGGCCTTCCTGTGGTAACTCCGCTCCGGTCTCATTGACAGGAACCACATTATCAGTGGGATTAGGAACCTTCTTCCCCGAAGCTTCCTGGGCAGAGTCGGTATCAATCGACGAACTCCTTGCCTGGTCATCATCTTTCGTACTGTGACCAAAAACTTTGCGAGCCCTGCGTAGCAAAGGGCGCATCTGTGTTACCGCCATGACGGGTGCCGGCTGAAGTGGAAACGAATGGGGAAGTACTTTGTAGAAGAAAAAAAAAAAATCAAAGTCAAGGTTCAGAGCTTGAGAGATAAAACTCAAGTTAAAAAGGCAAATAGGTCGTGGACTATCTTTACCCTTGAACAATACAACCACCGAAGTCGGATGCTTGTCGGAGCACGCGCAAGTGGAAAGGACCAACCAACGCTGGAGATGATTCGTCGGATGCCCACGAATGGAGCTGCGAATGCACCCGGACTCCACCGGGTACTAACAATAATCAAAAGAAAAATCAGATTTCTGTTCAGCCTGAGACCAAAACTGATCGACGCCAAGAACCCAGTGATGGGTGTGGGTCAGTACGTCTTGTTGACCGTTCCAGTGAGTCGGTTCATTCGGTTTCGTAAGGGAAATGCTCAATTGTTAGAAATTGGTTTGTTATGATCTAAATATTTCGTCCTAATCCTTACGTAGAACTGTGCCTTAGGTGGTAGACTTGATACAAAAGCGTGGTCTCGATACACATTGAAGAGAGGCTCCCAAGTATGAAAATATACTGATCATGAAGAATATTCATATAATGTAATAATTGATGAAAAATTGACCATTTATTTAAGAAACTATTGACTTGAGGACAATCCCCGACATGAAATTCAAAACAAGGATCTAATCAGATGTAATCTTATCTGGAAGTTACAGGGTTGTTTACGTAGTGCGCAATAGGTGGGTCCAACCCCAAAAGACCCTGAAATATGAATGGATACCTACTTTCGCCCCCCGATGATCCTTTGAACTTGACCATTCGGATTCGCCCGCATCTTACTCTCTACAGTACGGAGATTTACTGTGGAAACATTTGATCATCAAGCAATGAGATTATCTCGGCATCCGGAATTCACCGTAACAAGCAACAATTCCAAGACATTCCAAAGCTTCCCTTCCCAAGTTATCAGATCTTCGCCCCTGGGCCACCTTCAGTTGCGTGACACCGAGTGATCAGCCCACTGTCAGATGGCCAATGGGCTTTCATTGTTATTCTTGTGCGTCATCTGTTCTTAACTGAACATCTTACCGGGCTAGTGAGGTTTTTGCCGTTTTGCCCTTTCTATCTATTAGGGTATACAGTATGGCGCATTTTGGATTAGTCAATTATCAATCTTCGAATGAACTTGTTTGGGTATCCAGTGCACTTGAGATTGATAAGCCAAAGCCACCATTGCCGCGCCCGAAATATCGGCTACCCGTTATACATTTACTCTTGCCCGCAAGTAGCAAACGACTCTATCTCACATCGACGGTTCTGGGCATCAAGCTATCTACATTACCGACCAACTTCTCATTATGATCGGCGATATCGACGTTGAGGCAAGATCAATGGTTCGTGTGGTGGTACCCAGTCCAAGGGAAACTTTACATACAGATTCTTGATCTAATGTTGGTTTCACGGTTGTGCGTTCCTAGGCAGGAGCCTCAGATAGCCATTCACGTTGGAACGAACCAAAAGATATAAATGTATTTTCGATGTCAACGAAAATTTGACATTGACGTATTCAATTCTCAGAGGCATCCATGGTTCCTTGCATAGAGTGCACATGCAGGATTCAACCCTTTCAAAATGTTGTTATAAGCTTCTGAGCACTATTCGTTTCATGAAGCCCGAAATATTCATTCATGTACAGAGTAGGTGGAATTACCCAGGCAACATTGGCGCTTAAACAAACACCGAAAGTGGGCTAGCACCTTGGTTTCCCGAAGCACCTGAGTACAAATTTCATGAAATTCAAAGGCTGATCTGAGCTAAATCACTGAGTATATACTCACAGAGCCCATATCTCATTCTGACTTTCCTAGAAGAAAATCCAGGGGTAACCTAGATGCCCTTGGGAACTGGTCAATCTGGAGCTCAACGGATGTGACCGGCTACGATAACTCCTGACCACATGTGCAGCTAGTACTGTATATCCAGGCGGCACGGACGCTGGGTCACAAGTATCCGAAGACTGCACGGTAGTCGTGTGTTCCAGATTTCCATCAGACTCTCCCTTCAAATGGGAAGTCCATGGTACGGACCCATGGTTTGCCACAATCCGTTGATTCCGTACCACCTTTGGTCAGACCAGCAATCAACAGGATGCTGCATGCCCTTATTGATTCCCCCTATTTGATCCCAAAAAATCATTAGCTACTCTAGCTCGAAATCTCTGCAGACTAAACCCTAACGCGTACCGCGACCCAAAGACAGACATGACGATATTCCATGCCCAAAGGAAAAATCCTGACCAATCGTTAGTAGTTGGTCCCTCCACACTAGACCAAATCAGGTGACCCACTCCACCCCTGAGCTTTTTTTTTTCTTCTTCTTCTCCGCCGCGTTATTTTTTTTCTTCTTCCCCCACCACTCTCCTTTCTTTTTTTCTCTTTTCTTTCTGTTTGTGATACCCCCTCTTACTGAGTTGTTTGTCTAGCGACAAGCTGCTCGTTGTCCCGCTGCATATACTCTTTTAGAGAAGCAGCTTGGGGCGGAAATCTTGTGAAGAAGAAAAAAAGGAAAATTTGTGTGACACGATACCCTCATATTTCTCCCATCATGGATCAGCAACGATTCCTGCAGCAATTGCAGATCATTCTCGACCGTATGTACTCCACGAGTTCCAGTGATGTGTGCTGCGGCATATACGACAAAGCATTGCCCATTGGAGAAAATTCCCGCTGACCCTTGCTTTCCAGCCTCCCAGGGCAATGTTAAGGAAGCGACCGCTGTTCTGCAGAAGGAATTCTACAGCCAGCCCGAGTCTCTAGTCCTCCTCATCCAGATTGCCACCGCCCACGATGACTCCAACCTCCGTCAGCTCGCCGCTGTCGAGTCCCGATCCCTCGTTGCGAAGCACTGGTTGAAGGTCGGCAATGAGCAGAAGCCCCAGGTCCGGGAGCAGCTGCTCCGCTCCACCATGGGCGAGAGCTCCTCCCTCGTTCGCCACTCTATTGCTCGGATTATCTCGGCCATTGCCAAGATTGACCTGAACGACGGCGAGTGGGGTGATCTGCCCAACATTCTCCTCCAGGCTGCCGACAGCGGTAACCAGGACGAGCGGGCCGTTGCCATCTACATCCTCTTCACCATCCTCGAGACTCTTGGCGAGACCTTCGAGGAGAAGTTCCAGGACTTGTTCACCCTATTCAGCAAGACCATCCAAGATCCCGAGAGCGCCGAGGTTCGCATCAACACCCTGCTGGCTTTGAGCAAGCTGGCTATGTACATTGAGCCCGAGCTGCACCCTGGTCCTGTCAAGGCTTTCCAGGATATGGTTCCCTCTATGGTTGCTGTCCTCAAGAACGCTATCGACCAGAGCGAGGAGGACCGCATCATGCAGGCCTTCGAGGTCTTCCAGACTCTCCTTGGCTGCGACTCTGCCCTCCTGAACGTTCACCTCAAGGACTTGGTCATGTTCATGAACGAGTTGTCCGCCAACACCGAGGTTGATGAGGACACTCGCACCCAGGCCATCAGCTTCTTGATGCAGTGCATTCAGTACCGTAAGACCAAGATCCAGGGTCTTCGTGTTGGTGAGCAGCTTACTCGCACTGCTCTGCACATTGTCACCGAGCTCGACGACGACTCCGCTGCCGATGACGATATCACTCCTCCCCGCTCTGCCCTGGCGTTCCTCGATTTGCTCTCCCAGACCCTTCCTCCCAGCCAGGTCGTTGTTCCTTTGCTCCAGGCTCTCGGCCAGTACTTCAACAACAGTGACCCTAACTACCGCCGTGCCGGTATCCTCGCCCTGGGCATGTGTGTTGAGGGTGCTCCCGATTTCATCAGCACTCAGATGAAGGATATCTTCCCCATTGTTTTGCAGCTGCTTGCCGACGGCGAGTACAAGGTCCGCATGGCTTCCTTGCACACTGTTGCTCGTCTCGCCGATGACCTGGCCGAGGACCTTGCTGCTCAACACCAGGCTCTTATGCCCCTGCTCTTCCAGAACCTGACCAGTGCCATGCAGGAGTACAAGGGTGAGGAGGAGGGCCCTATCGTCGATATCATCAAGGCGGGCATCAGCGCCATTGATGCCGTCGTTGATGGTCTCGATGAGAAGGACGTTGCTCCTTACCAGTCTGAGCTCGTCCCCATCCTCCACAACCTGTTCAAGCACCCCGACTTCAAGATCAAGTCACTTGCTGCCGGTGCCCTTGGATCTCTCGCCTCGTCCTCCGGCGACTCTTTCCTGCCCTTCTTCGACGACTCTATGCACTTGCTGCAGGAGTTCGCCGCTGTCAAGGATAGTGAGGCCGAGCTTGACCTGCGCGCCAGTGTCACTGACGCCATGGGTGAGATGGCCGCTGCTGCTGGTCCTGAGCGCTACCAGCCTTACGTGGAGCCTTTGATGCGCGCCACTGAGGAGGCTCTCAACCTTGGTCACTCTCGCCTCAAGGAGAGCACCTACATCTTCTGGGGCGCTATGTCCAAGGTGTACGGTGAACACTTCACTCCCTTCCTCGAGGGTGCTGTCAACGGTCTTTTTGCCTGTCTTGAGCAGGATGAGACCGACTTTGATGTCTCTCTGGGTGAGATGGGCAAGGACCTTGTTGGCCAGGAGGTGACCGTTGCCGGCCGCAAGATCAAGGTTGCCAGTGCTGACGATGACGATGAGTTCGATGGCGAGATTGAGGACATCGACATTGGTGACGACGAGGATGATTGGGATGATATCACTGCTACCACCCCTCTCGCTCTCGAGAAGGAGATCGCTGTTGAGGTCATTGGTGACCTTGTTACCCACACCCGCAGCTCCTTCTTGCCCTACTTCGAGAAGACTATCGAGCAGGTCATGCCCTTGTGCGATCACCACTACGAGGGTGTTCGCAAGAGCACCATCAGCACTCTTCACCGCTCCTACGCCATGCTGTTTGCCATTGCTGAGGAGAACGACCAGATGGCCAAGTGGCAGCCCGGTCTTCCCTTGCAGGTTCAGCCTGCTAAGGAGGTCCAGAAGTTCGGAGAAATCCTCATGACTGCCACCATTAAGATGTGGACCGAGGAAGAGGATCGGTACGTACAATCATTCCCCTTCTTATTTTGCCTTCATTTTCCCTATACCCCCCCATGTTAGATGATTATACCTATCGCTTAACCCAGCTCACTTTGACGTGCCAAAGAGCACGCGTGATGTGAACCGCGTTTATCACGAATGATAACTACATGGAACCCCCTCAATGCTACTTTATTGGACAATATTTGGCGGTCATTTGCTAACTGTCCGTAATAGTGCTACCGTTGCCGACATCAACCGCAACATGGCTGAGAACCTCCGCTTCTGCGGTCCCGCCCTCATCGCTGATGAGAGTGTTCTTACCAACGTGATCCACCAGATCACCGACATCATTTCGAAGAAGCACCCTTGCCAGATGGAGTTCGATGATGAGGAGGAGACTGCCGAGGAGACCTCTGAGTTTGACTGGGTCGTCGTTGACACTGCTCTCGATGTTGTCTCCGGTTTGGCTACTGCCCTTGGCTCCAGCTTCTCTGAGCTGTGGAAGGTGTTCGAGAAGACCATCCTCCGCTACGCCAGCAGCAGCGAGTCCCTCGAGCGTGCCACCGCCGTCGGTGTTCTTGCTGAGTGCATCAACGGAATGGGTGGTGCCGTCACTCCCCTCACCAGCACATTCCTCAAGCTGCTGTTGCACCGCCTCGCTGATGAGGACCCCCAGACTCGCTCTAACGCTGCCTACGCCGTCGGTCGCTTGGTCGAGCACTCCAACGCCGGTGACGAGATGGCCAAGGCCTACCCTACCATCCTCACCCGTCTCGAGCAGTGTCTCCAGATGGACGTTTCCCGCCTGCAGGACAACGCCACCGGCTGTGTTAGCCGCATGATCCTCCGCAACCGCGAGGCCGTCCCCATCGCCGACGTTCTCCCCGTTCTGGTCAACATTCTTCCCCTGAAGAACGACTACGAGGAGAACGACCCCCTGTACCGCATGATTTGCCAGCTGTACAAGTGGGAGGACGCCACTGTCCGCGAGCTCACTCCCCGTCTGCTCCCCGTCTTCCAGGCTGTTCTCAGCGATGAGAACCAGCTGGAGGATGAGCGCCGTAGCGAGCTCATTGAGCTCGTGAAGTGGCTCAACCAGATGCAGCCTGGCTCTGCCCCCTGGGCTGAGCAGCTGTAATGCTGAACATGACTTATTTTGACGACCTTTGAATGGTAATAGACGGATGATTTGATGTGGTTCCCCCCGAGATGACTAGAAGATACCCTGTCTCAGCGGCGATTCCGCGATGAGTGATGAAAATAAAAAGTGATTGCTGTACATAGTTCAATTGATTTACAATATTCTTGTACTTGTTCCTTCCTATTCCCAATCCTTAGTCCCTAGCCCTGCGTTAACTTGCCTTGCCTTGAAGGTTGTGAATCTGTGCCAGATCCCCTTGGACATGAATTTGAGTAGTAGCGAAAATACCGACTAATATGAACAACTAATACCTCGATCCTATTTTCACTTCACTTGATTCAACTCCTTGCAAATCGCCAATGATTAATTAAGTCGGCGAACCGATACTTCTTAAACCGGAAACATTATCTTTCATTCGCTATTCTCACGCTCACTCCATATTACCCAAAGTAAGACACCGGACAAGTGCAGAATCCAACTCCATGCAAAGGAACAAGCAACCATCAAAATAAAAAGCAAAAAGCACAAGGGATATAATATTCGTCAAGACAAGCACCCTCATTACCACCACTCATTCATGAACCGGCCACAGAGACTGCAAAAGCTCCAAATCTTGCGCAACAGCCGGACTATGTCTCGCCCAGTCCTCCAAAAACCGCATCATCTCGTCATTCCACCGTTCCCAGCCCGATGGCAACGTTTCGCGCACACGGGTACTGGGCGAGTGCGCAATGCAGTAGAATAGAAGGATTTGGCCGAAGAATCTAGTAATGTTAACATCGTTGCTACGCGCAGGATAAATCAATGAAGGAGAAGAAGATTGAAGCAAGACTTACTGCGAACAGAAAGCAAATTTAATCGGTATACAAGTTTTCATCTTCCGGAAGATACCCTGGGTGATAGGCCAGTCCATTGCGTGTCGGAGACCGCTTTTGATTTGTTCGATGTCGTCTTCTGTTAGTTTGTTCGGGATACGAAGGGCTTTGTAGAGGTATGGTCGGCCGATGTGGAATTGGGCGATCAAGTATCTGCCACGGAGCATGGCATCTGTTACCGCTATTGCTGGGGAGAGGGGGCGGTTCGGATCAACGGGTCTGGGAGAGGATATTGGGTGTGGAGAGGCTGGGGTGGAGGGGGATGGGTGGTGCATTGTGTGGTCTCCTGGTGTTGAGTGGGAGGGTGGGAGACCGGTATCAGGGAATTGGATGGCGGGTGGGAGGTTGTTGCGCCATTGTTCGAGTTGGTGGCGGAGTTCGGCGTTGACGGCGGGTAAGGGGATGGCTCCGGAGTCGGCTGTAGGGTGTTAGGAATGTGTGCTTGTGGGGAATTGCTATTGGGTGCAATAAGACTTACAGTAGAAGTAGAGGGAATGTCGGATGCGGGTGAGGATGATTCGGTGGGCGACTTGGGCGAGGAAGTGGTATTGGAAGTAGGAGTCATCGACCACGTTGGATAAGGGGAAGCGATTCGATGCATAGCCTGTTGCGTCGAAGCCGATGAATTTTGGTAACGGCACTGAATCTTCTAGTCTGGAGAGACCGCTTGGTGGAAGATGGAGCTCTTGTACGAGGATCGTTTCGTTCATTAGGCAGTTCCAGTAGACGCGGGATTTCATATCGCCTTCCCACTGGTCATAGTTTACATCGTGGCTATTAAGGTTAGAGAAGTGTCCATGAAAGTCCTTGCGTTGAGTAACTTACTTGGTCAACATTGACAAGCAACATGTCGCGGCACGGTGAATCATTGCCCAGGCGTCCATTGGACGAAGAATTTGGCTATAATATAGACTGTACTGAGTTAGCAATAGACTTGATGTTGATCGTAGAGTAGAATTTCACGCACGAAGAAAGAAGGTAGAATTGACAGCTCTGAATGTCATTGTCGCACATCAAGAATCCGATACGTCGACGCGCTTCGTTAAAGAAGCGGAGGCCAGGCTGTTCTTCGAAGACAACATTCATCCATTCCGGAGGTTCAAAGCGATGGCTTGCAGCTCCAGGAAGAGGATAGTTTCCTTCTTGGTGGGCAAGCACTGCCTGACAACCCAGCGCCATCACTGTAAGAACAATGCAACTCTCCATTGAATACCCAAACCCACTTTCAAGTGCCGAGCCAACGGTGAAGGAAAAAAAGAAACTCTTATCCATGATAGGCGTGAATGGATTGAACACGCTGAAGAAGGCATCTGAGAGACCTTTGATCATAGACAAGGGCACTAATTCCAGCCATTGCTCCCCCGCATGCAGAGGATAAGGGGTTGTGAACATAGGCAACGGTCGCCGTGTTGATTCCAATTCAACCACATAATTCTTGCCTAATGTTTCGTAGGCCGCAAGTAGTGGCTTGGGGAGAATACTTCGCGCACCGGGCCATAATATGACACCGTGTTGACTAAATGAAATTGAGACTCGACCTGTTGGGTCCGGGGCGGATTGATTATCTTCCCAATCAAAATCATCTTCCTCCCGCGCAGGCGTGAAGGTAGTTGACATGGCTGCATTTCGGCGATTTTCGCGAACCACAGCCGGTGATGCGTGTGTCTCTTGTGCACCAATGGAGACCTGACGCATTTGACCACGGAGAGTGTGGAGATCACTTAAAATGGAAGTTGGGATATTCTCCAGCTTTGTCTCCAGGCGATGCAGAGTGCTCATAATCATAGTAAGCGACTGATCCCGTCTGTGACTTATTAGCTACAAATTCAATTACTATAGCTCCAATGAAGCTCACTTGGATGATTTCCGCTCATTGTAAACACAGTCGAGACCAAGGGACTTGCAAAGTCCACATTTGGGGCGCGACTCGTCGCATCTTGTCTTCTTCAACCGACAAGTCTCACAGGCCTATATCAATTAGCGGGCTGGCAGTCAAGGGCAATGCGATTAGATCACGGGGCCATAGATGCATACCACCGTGGCGATGAAGTTCCGGGGCTTCTTTGATGAACCAGCGCTGGGCTCCTGCTCATCCGGGGAAAGGAGATCGTGAATGGGTAGCAGGCCATTGCTATCACTGTCGGGCGCCTGGCTTTCCCTGGACTCGAATGAGCGCTTGCTCATCATGCATAATGGAGTCGCGTGTAGCGCGTGACTGGGAAAATACGCCAATTTCCGACCTTTTTTTTATCAAGTGGGGCTCTTTCACATCTCCACCAATAGAAGTCATATAAGTGACTTGACTTGAATCATGACTCGGTTTGCACCGGATCAGTTCGAAGTATGGAAATCAACATGTAAATCGTCTATATTCTATCGATTTTTATATTTACTCTAATCGACCTGTCTGTACGTACAGGTGTCGACGGGTACCTTTTGGTCATTCATTGTTAGCCCACGGGATCCACTGGTCGACTAGCCAGCCCTGTGACCTATGGTAGGGTAGCTCACTCCGGGTCGAAGATTTTCTTTTATTAGGCGGTGCTTCTATGGCGATATCTATACATAATTTAAATTTCTTCTATCAGATACAGCGAAATGCAAACGAAAAAGGTGCTCGGGTGATGTGGCAACCAGGGTCCCCAAGACTATATAGTACAAAGGTCGGCCAATTACAAAGTAAGATGATATAGGTTAGTACACTGACAATCCATATCTAATCGTTGGGCATATTTATCTCCACTTGCATCAAATGTTTAGCCTTTACCTTATAACGCCACTCCGTCCCGCCCTTTCCTATGCAGTTTTCTATGCCCATGTTGCCAGCACGCATCATCAATGGGTGCGCATCACAAGGGTATTTCGACAATATACACAGATGATCCTTCAAGTTTGTATTCTACAAAATACAAGACTCCTTGCGTGCGGCGAGGCGTTCGATCACGCCTCCACGAATCACAAGCCACTCTCAGCCCATGCGGCGTAGATCATTGAAATGTATGGCCCACCCAAAACAGTAGGCCTTTGCAGTCGAGCTTAGAGACAGCATGTGCCCCCTTCCTCCTGCGAACAGTCACTATCAGCAGTCGAATCGGCGAATAAAAATGGAAATAAAGATGTGTTTGCATCAAAGAGTGTCGCCCTCGTGCGCATAGAGCTATCCATCAGTCTGGGTGATATAATAGATCGTCCACATTCCTTCAAACCCCAGATTTTGAAGCATGAGTCCATATCTTTATCACGCGACCGGCCTTATCCCATCGAGGACAGCGATGTATAAACTTTTTCTGACTTTGTTGGCCCTAACCGGTCTTTCCACTGCGCGTCCCGACGTGTTTCTCATCCGACATGGTGAAAAGCCAAAAAATGGAAACGGCCTTAATAAAGATGGCCTGGATCGAGCAGAGTGTATTCGACATATCTTTGGGGAACACACAGACTACAACATTGGATACATACTTGCGCAAAAGCCTAAAAAGAGTGAGTCCATCATGGGGCATTATATCTCGGAATGAACCTTGAGACTAATCAAAGCTTGTATATAGACGGGAGACGAAACCGACCATACGAAACTGTCAAGCCACTTGCTCGAGACTTGGGAATGAAGGTCGACATATCTTGCAATCGCGATGATGCAAAATGTGTGAAGAAGGCTATCGCAAAATACAATGGGGATGGAAATATTTTAGTATGCTGGGAGCACCATCGAATGACCGATCTGGTAGAAGAGCTTGGATACAAGGATGTGCCACAATATCCCGATAATCGGTTAGTGTTCCATCATTCAAAGCAAAGCATAATGCCTACATAACACTATCGCTAAATATGATGACTGAATAGCTTCGACTTGATTTGGACTGATCCATACCCATACACGAAAATCACGGAGATAACGAGTGAAAAATGCATCGGTCTGGATTGGTTTCCGGAGGAGCTATGATATGTGAATGATTTGAATATGACATAGAAATCTAATCGAAAAACTCTATTATGTCTGATGTACAGTAGCTTCTTGTATTTCTGGCCAGGTGAATACATTACGTACGGAGGGCATTATTTTCCCTGAAATATCCGTCAACAGCCGGGCCAGTGCGGGCCATGAATGATATCCGAGTCACAATGGTTATCACCAAGTTCAATTACTGTGAAAGTTCATAAAAGGATCAGATAGGAAGAATTGAGAAATAATGAGTGAGAAATAAGGATAAGAATCAAGAAATATTTCCATTTCAATCTTTTCGAGCCACGAATTGCTCATCCATCCAGTATCATCAGTTCATGCTGAGATCTCTATTTACAAAAAGTCCAGGTTCACAGCTATCAAGCCTTGTTGGGATTCTTAAAGTGGCGCTTCAATGGTGTCCAGCTGTGATCATTGTACTCCTCCTGGACCTTCTGGCAGGTCTTCAGACCCCATTCAGAGACACCGACCATCAGAGCACTGCATCATATTGTTAATATAATTCATACCAGAATCAGAATTCAAAACTCACCTCTCAAACATGAATGCCATACTGCCGTCTCCAACCTTAGTCGGCTTAAGCTCCGCATTGCTAGCACCTTCAAAGGCAGAGGCGTCCGGACCGTGCGCACTCATCACATTGTGCAAACTAGCTCCAGCAGGTTGGAAACCACCACCAGTCTTGGCATCATAGTTACCAGCAATCAAGCCCATAAACTCAGACATGGTGTTACGGTGATACCATGGTGGACGGAAGGTATTTTCCTGGACCAACCAGCGAGGCGGGAAGATGACAAAGTCCGCAATGGCTGTGCCAACATGGTCCGACGGACCAGTAAGGACAGTGAAAATCGAGGGGTCGGGGTGGTCGAACGAGATCGAGCCAATAGTGTTAAAGCGACCCAAGTCGTACTTGTAGGGAAAGTAGTTCCCGTGCCAGGCGACGATGTCGAATGGTGTGTGGTCCTGGCGAGCTGAGTACAGGGAGTTGGCGAACTTGCTGTAGAGCTTGTATTCGGTTGGTTCATCCTCGTCGTCGAATGCTGCGACTGGGGCTTGGAAGTCACGGTCATTGGCCAGACAGTTGGAGCCGATGGGACCTAGTTCGGGTAGCTGATAGTGACCTTGGTACAGCTCGCAAATATAGCCTCGAACAGGGCCATCGGGGAGAGTGACCCGGTATCTATTAAATCATATTAGACAAAGGCAAAGCTTTTTGGTGTAGAGAGTTTGTTCCTACCGGATGCCACGAGGAATCACGCAGATCTCATTTGGGCGCAGGATAATGCGGCCCAATTCCGTCTGAATGTCCAATACACCATGTTGTGGTACAATGAGGAAATCTCCATCGGCTGAGTAGAAGGCCTCCCTGCCCATGTCCTTGCCTGCAGCATAGAGTAAAATACCTAATCCCTGCTTTAAAGTTGGGTCACCGGCTCCTGCAACCAAGTGCAGGCCATGCACCCAGTCGACCTTCTCATCCAAGTCAAATGGGTTCCATCGGAGCTGGTTGGGGATATGGTGCAGCTTATGAGTCTCAGTTGTCATGCGTGTGTGGTATGTATCATGCTCCTCGGCTACAAAGTTCTCATGTGCTGCCGCGGGGATACATCGATAGACCCAAGTTTGCTTATTCTCATGGCGTGGAGCTGTGAAAGCGGTTCCCGAGAGTTTCTCAGCGTATAACCCATATGGGGCTTTTTGGGGAGAGTTATGACCGATCGGCAGAGCTCCTTTAATAGCTTCAGTCCTGCGAATTGAGTTCAGCCTTAATCCAACAAAGCATATATTGAAGACTCACTCGTGATGAGAGTTAAAGCCGGTTTGGTATGAGTATGGATCAGGGTGAGTGAAGTTGGTGACGGGCATTATGGCGGTTTCAGGTTATGGGAGGAGGTATGGACTGGAAGACGAGACTTTGTATTCTCTCAGCGACCGACGAATAACCGCTTTGTCTCACAGAAACTCCGCGATTAACCTTTGCGTCATTCGCTTTCATTTCCGCGCTTGGATGCGGGGACGGGTAAATTCCGCATGTTCCGTTATCTCAGACCGAGGGGGGGGGAAGATCCGAACAGTTAAGTTGAACAGAAAATGAACTTGTCTTCATCTTTCTTTTCAGTAAAAAAAAACAATCTTCACAATGTCTTCGTGGCTTCAAATCCCTAAGAATTCGCCCTTCTCGTTGGCCAACATTCCGTTCGGCATCATTTCGGCCTCCTCATCCAAAGTCCCCGCCATTGCAATCGGTGATTATGCTTTGGATTTGAACAAATTTGCCTCGTCTGGAGGTTTCTCTCAGTTGCCTAGCATTCAGCAGCATCTGAGTGTGTTCAACCAACCTACCCTCAATGCCTTCGCCGAGCTTGGCCGTCCGGTCCACCGTCAGGTGCGCGAGTACTTGCAGAACGTCTTCCGCGCCGACACCCAGTACCCACAAGTTCTAAAGGATAACGCGGCTCTTCAAAAGTCTGCTCTTATTCCCCGCTCAGAAGTTACCAATCACGTCCCGATGCAAATTGGTGATTATACCGACTTCTACGCTGGATTGAACCACGCCTACAACATCGGAGTTCTCTTCAGAGGAAAGGACAATGCTCTGCAGCCCAACTACAAACACTTGCCCGTTGCTTACCACGGCCGTGCTTCATCCGTCGTCCCCTCCGGCACCCCCCTGCACCGCCCGAGCGGTCAAATCCTCGCCAACCCAACCGCTGATCCCAAAATCCCGACTTTCTCTCCTTGCAAGAAGCTAGACATCGAGCTGGAGTTGGCAGCCTTTATCAGCAAGCCTAATGATCTGGGCAAGCCCGTCTCGATCGACGAGGCCGAGGACCACATCTTCGGTCTGGTCCTTATGAACGACTGGTCCGCTCGCGATATCCAGGCTTGGGAATACATTCCCCTGGGCCCCTTCAACGCCAAGAACTTCGGTACAACCATCACTCCCTGGATTGTTCTGTTGGATGCCCTCGAGCCATTCCGCGCCACAGGCCTTGAGCCTGAAAATCGTGAAGGCCTCCTGCCTTATCTTCGCGAGAAGCGGGTCGAAAACGCTTACGAGATCCCGCTCGAGATTGAGGTAACCAATAAGGGTGGCCAACCCACAATTATTGCCAACAGTAATGCTCGCAACCTTCTTTACTCATTCCCGCAGATGGTTGCCCACCACACTATTACTGGATGCAACTTGAGATCTGGTGACTTGCTGGGCTCGGGTACTATTTCCGGCACTGAGCCTAAAACTCAGGGCAGTTTCTTGGAGCAGACTAATGGCAAGACCCCACTTAAGCTTGCTGATGGTTCAGAGCGTATGTTCCTGGAGGATGGAGATACCGTTGTTCTACGTGGACTTGCTGGTACTGAAGGCAATTATGTCGGCTTTGGTGACTGCACGGGTACGATCCTGCCCGCCGTTTCGTTCTAAAGGAAAATGAAACTTAAAAGAAATGAAATTAGATTGATGTTGGCATAGCATGAATTGACATGAAACCTTTTTCGAAAGGTGCCATACATTTTACAGTTCCTTGTCTTGGTACGATTTCAGTACAACTGTAAATAACAGCTTGAAATTGGGTTTTACATCAAGCGGCTCGAATAGAGGAAAAATCAATGGGCAACGTTTCTGCTTGTACTTAGGACCTATAATTGGTCACATATTCTACAACTTCGAAGACTAGCCACGCAAATAGCCATATATTAGATTATGAAGAATATTTTGAGGGCTGGAAAAATCAGTCTCACCATTTTTGAACCCTTCCATCGCTTGCTCTGAGATCTCGATGCCGAACTCCTATCTATGATGTGAATACTTGATGATAGCGCACACAGGGCATAGAAAGCGCTTCTGTATCTCACGTACCTCATTTAATGTTACACGAAATTCCGAAAAGTCTAAATCGTCGTAACGGACATCCTCCTTGAATGTTGTTTCCATCGTTATCTGCCGAACTTGAATGAGCAAACATTCGATGGCAATTTTCAGAATTGTGGGAGAATGTTACTTCGTTTTCCTCCAGGCTTGCCTGTTCCGCTACAAGCTCAATGACTCTCCGCTCAGTATCTGACATTGCGGTAGATAATGTCAGTCAAAATGCTGATATTAGGCTAAACAGTTTGCCTGGTTTCCCAATATGGAAGACAAAGCTCACACTGAAAAGTCAACGTTAAAGCAGTATAACCCGTAAGAATGACTGGAAGGAAAGAGGGCTCGAGCAAGGTGTATGTGCACTCAATTTCTCGCTTCTTCGACACCTCTCTGCAACGAATTGAATAGCTAGGTTAGTTGATCAATACCGTATGCGGTATAGGCATAATTCATGATGCATAGTAACATCAATGTATACATTATATTGGGCTTGTACCTTGGTCACTAGCAATTTTAATTAAGACAAATGATTGTTTGAACAATGTTAAAGATTCGAATTGTTCTGGCTCCTTGTTTGGACCTCTGCTATAAGTTGACTCATATTCTATGAGTGAGAGAGAGTCCTGTCCTAACCCATATAAGACTCGTCTCTCTGAATGAACTCTTTTCCGTATACTTTTCATGATCTGTCTGTGGAAATTGTCAGTTAAAATAATGGATAAGCGTATATCTCCTTTCCAAATCGGAAGTTATCGTGCCTACACCGACAGCGACAAAGACACTCTGATACCTCACTCAACAAGGCATTGTCCATGGTGCCGAGAGCGACTAATGTAAACAGTCTACCACAGATTTCTCTATGAACTCAGGGTAAATCTCTCTACTCGTTGCTATTTGCCACTCAGACGACCACCATTGGAATGGGTTCACCGATTATTCTAAAATGGACGAATGACTTATTAATCAAAATTATCGTATTGTTTTCAAAGGCACTCGGATCGTTGGATCTCGGTTCCTACATTGGGTTATGACGATTTATCATAATCCTCTAGTATCAATGTGCATTCAACCATGCTCTTCAAACTTTCAAATTTCCTTCCGGGGTTTGCAAGCATTGAATACTCATTGGCTTAGATATGCACAACTAAAACGCACCGCCATTTCCTATAGAAAAACCCCCATGATTAAGAAGTGATAACCCCGACCCTTACTCCTTCACCCTCAAATCTTCCGGCGTATCAGGCTGCGTCTGCCAATGACCCTTTTGAACAGCCTCCTCCTTCTCCAAGTTCTGAATAATCCTATACGTAACAGGAAATGCCGACAAATCCACCCCAACCCGCTCCGCACCCCACGCCGCCGGGATCAGACAAATATCCGCCATAGTCATTTCATCCCCGACGCTGAATTTCCCCGCACAGCGAGACACGGTAGCTTCGTACGCTCGGAGTCCTTCCTCAATTAAATCCTTCGACCAAGATACTCGGTCTGCGCCTAGTGGGGCGACCCGTTTGAGGATTTTGAGGTTGGTGACGGGTTGCACGTCGCAGGCGATGATGGAGGCTAATGTGCGCACTTGGGCGCGGGATTCGGGATCAGAAGGGAGGAGAGCGGGTCCTTTGTCCGGGAATGCTTCTTCGAGGTATTCTAGGGCGGCTAAGGATTGGGTGATTGTTACTGTTGTGGTGTCGTGTTGGATTATGAGAGCTGGAACGAGGCCGGATGGGTTGATAGCTTTGTGAGCGGGGGATAATTGTTCATCTTTTAGGAGGTTGACGAATACCGGGGTAAATGGAATCCCTTTGAGATGGAGCGCGATGCGTAGTCGAGCAGAGCATGAGGAGCGGAAATAGGTGTAGAGACTTACGGACATTTTGAGCTTTGGTGTCCTCAAGATGTAGATTCAGGTAGGATTTGTGATTATAGTAAGTTTTCGATGCTACGAGGATACTGGGATATGGTTTTACCTACTTTTTACTTTTTCTGCTCAGGTCGGTTATACTCTGTTAGTCTGCTTCTGTCTCGGCCTTCTGATGCCGCGATGAATGTATACTAGACAACGGAATAAGTTCCGTTGTCGTAAATCCCGTTGCTTTCCGTCCCATAGTGGGGCTGTACCCCACATCTTGTGGCCAATTATATATTATTTTCAACCCCCGCCCAAAACCAGCGGTGGGGCATTGCGGAGGGAATTACCGTTGCTGGCTTTGTCTCTAGAATCCGCATTACCAAACATATACCTCAATCAAATCTGGCTGATATACCAAGAAAGTATTGACTACTCCCTAAAGTCCAGTAGTGTTAAAGAAGTAAGTAAATTCGTGTAATCTCGGTGCTAAATGCTTCTAGTAAACAAGGCATAAACGTTAAAAATGAGGAGAGCAATCATGAATAAGAGCCTGGGCGGTAAGGGAATGGAACAATAAAAGGGATATTCAAAGTGAAGATCAGCCCCAATCCAAATATGCATAGAAAGAATCACTAAGCTCATCTCAACCCAAATGAGGAGGTACCAATCACCGACCATGTTCCAGACTTGGCACAATGACAGGCCCATATTTGACCACAGTTGCATAGGCCCCATCGCCTTGGACCATGAAGTCAGCGGCCAGGCTAAGCTTAGGCCTAGACTGTGGAGTAGGTGAACCGTAAGGAGTAGCAGCAACAACCTCGGGGTCGTAAGCGACGATGGCAACGTAATTCCTTCGACCCATGAGCTTGCGGTGCTCGCGAGCCTGCCCATTGGTGTCGGTCTGGAATATCTCCATCATGTCCTCTTTGGTATCGGTAGGTTGAGATGAGGACCGATGGCCATTGGCGGGGATGTACAGGGGCTTGCTGTTACTATGGAGCATCTTGATAATGTAAGATGGGGGTGGGGTGTTGACAGAAGGAGATGAAATCAGCTGGTACATGGTCTTATGGTCGGAGGGTTGGCTCGGATCATGAACAAGACCGGCACCGCATACATTGACAGCGCCGGAGAGGAAAGTCATGCGGACGGATTTCTGATGGGCTATACCCTGCAGTGTACGGATAAGATAGGTCCGTTCAAGGTCCTAGAAAATGAATGTTAGGAAGCGGTCGATGTTATTTAGAAGTGATACATACCTTGGATTCGTGAGTCCATTGGTCCCGCAGCTCATCCATGAGATCAAACTCGCCAAATGGGCTCAGGATCCCACCCATCAGACCAGACTTGCCAACAGCTCGCTTGACTGATTCGAAGCCAGAACCAACAAAGTCCTTGGCTCCTACCACACCAGCCACTGAGCTGGTGACCTTGCCCAGCAAGTTATAAGTTCCGGTCACAGCCCGCTTTCCAGTAGCAACAGTTTGGGCAATGTGTTCAGCAGTCTCCAGTCGAGGGTAGATAAGTGGCACAGAAATCATCCACAGACAGTGCTGTACACTGGACGGCAACATGGCGATCTTTGGGAATAGTCCTTGATATGTGGGACCAGCCATGACCTGATGAGGGTTGCGTTCTGACCGACAATCAGGTCCAACAACCACAACACCGGGACCAAGATATTTGACAAAGTGCCAGCCAGTGCCAGTGATAGTGAAGAGATCCAAATCATTATTCACGTTGCGGAGAATGTCTAAGGTGGTGTGGTGCTGGAAAAGAAGGTACATCTCGATACCGATGCGGCCGATGTTTTTAAACATGTTTGAAAATTGCATGTGTTCAGGATAGGAACCGAATCCATCGAAGCTGTAAAGATATGAGCCATACTCGAATAAAGCCAAAAGATTTTAATACTGACATGTCATGATCATCGATCTGGCTGATGTAGGGGATCTGAGCAAATGATTCCCGGAGGTGTGGCTGGTCAAAGTGACTGGTATAGTAGTGGAAGTATGCATGGGATACATCTTGTTGATTTGCCGCAGTCCACGGAGCGTTCTTTCTGGCTTCTTTTCCGCTGATTGCCAGCCACTGTTTGAGGCATGGGATTTCCTTCCACATGCGATCTGCATATATTTGTCCGCCCAGACACAACTGCGCATGGAATCCACCAATTTCATTGTGCTTTTGCATAATGTCCTTCCACATGACGCCCACGCCACCAAGGCGAGCTCGCTCATTGGCGTTGACGTTGATCGAAAAGTCATTTCCAGATGTCGCAATAAATCGCCAGTTAGTCTCATGTCGGCCGGCGACAAGGAACTCGTAGCGGGTGCAACCTAGGTGTGAAGTAATTGCATAAGTCCATTTTGCGGGTCCCATTTCCTCCATTTGAATGTCAACATCATACTTGTAGAATGTCCAGCGTTGATGGACCGCAATATTGACCGCTTTCAACTGTCTTGGGTTGGGAGACAGATCAGCACTCTGGTGAAGGTGAATGGTAGGAGGCTGCGCGGCATCAGTCACCAGAAGGATGGAGCCGAGCCAAATTCCACGATCGATATCCATATTCGTGTATCGCAGGTACGGACCGAAATAAACACCATTTGTAGGAGCAGTCTTATACATCTCCATCCCGCTGCTTGGTGGAGGTCCAGAAAAGCCTACCATAGGAGATTGGAGGCTCTCGAAACCTGGGGTTAGTGGAACGCCGGGAGAAGCCATGGGTTTCCCAAAAGCTGATAGCCCCGGTGATGCCATAGGATGACTACTGTACACACTGCCAATGGGTGACATAGGAGTCTCGTTGAGATTTAATGGCGTGGGACCCTTCGGAAACTCCCACTGAGTGGACTGTGATGCCAAGTGGATGTAGTAGTACTGGCCAGAATTTGGATCCATGTGCGCAATCCAACCCTCCGGGAGAGGCGGGGGAGATGCCGGTGGAAGTCCAGAAGCCGGTCCAGGTGAAGTCACTTGAACTACTTGGGGAGCCTGTTGGTAAGTACTAGGTTTTCCATTAGACATGAAGCTCTGTGGTGATTGTGTCAACTGAGGCTGCTGACGAGGGTCATTGGCAAAGGCCGGATGATCCTGTGATGAAACCGTGGGGGCTGGAGAAGTGGCTGCGGCCATAGCAGGGTGAGGTTGGCTTATATTTGCTGGATGCTCTCCCATGGCAGAACCGGCAGCTGCTCCGGCGGCCGCTCCGACGGCGGCTCCAGTAGCATCGCTGCGCTTTTCCGGTGGGTAGTTGTTTCTAGGCGCAGATGCAGAAACACTTGAGTAGGCAGGCGGGGGAGATGAGCTTAAGCGCATTCGATCGAGATCTTGTTCTAAGGCGTTGGGTGGAATACGGGACTGTGGTGACTGATGTTGCTGTGGTTGCGGCTGAAAATGGGGCTGCTGAGGCTGAGGGGGTGTCCCCGCGGGTTGGGGCTGCGGCGAGGGGCTGCTCTGTTGTAGTGGATGAACTGGAGTTTGGTTATCACCACTGACAACATCTGCACCTTGGTACACTGTAGGTGGACCATGTGGCTGCGAGCCTGGCTGTTCAGTGGGTGTCCATGGTCTTTGCGGCGCGGGCTGCTGCGGTTGATTAGGCTGCTGTCCAGCATACTGTGCTGCGCGTGTTTGCGCTGCAACGCTCTGTGACTGTAGACCAGCAAGCGTTCCCGTGCCAGCAATTCCAGATGCAGCATAACGAGCTTCAATGTCTGAAGTAGGATGCTGGCCCGGGCCCACTATCGGTGTCTCTGGCGGCGGTGGAGATCCGCGCTCAGCGCGAGTGGTGGAGGTGGAAGCAGTCGAATTGATTCGATTAAGCCCGGTAGATTGTGGAGCATGAAGAGTAGAAGGAGGCCGGGCGGAAGAAGGGCGCGAGTTGGTGCGCTGAGGGGGTGGGAAGTACTGTTGGCGATAATCATACTGATGCCCCTCCGGCGCCACATTTGTCGGGGCGGGAACAGCCGCTGGAGGACGAGGGTATTGTCTGGCTGCCAACGCTTCCCGATCTGGCGCATCTGGGCCTGGGGATTCGGGTAGCGGCTTTGGTGCAGCCCCTCGTCGCTCCGCCAAGGTTGCGATTCGTGGCTCACGACCATCGCGCGGGCGTAAAGCCAAGGGGTAATCACCAGGGCTCACAGAGCCGGAGCTTACGGGCGGAGACCCCATATCTAGTTGGGCCAGTGGGACGGCCATCATTCGAAGACGAGCTGCGCATTTGGGGACGAGGTCTGTCATCGGGATAAGGCAACGGAGCGTTGGGTGGACTGGTGGCCGATGCAGGGGAGGCCGAATCTCTCTTGTTGATTCTCAAGGGCTCGACCCTGGGCGACTCGTCGGGCTTGTTCGAGGAGTTGTTAAGAAACAGCTCCTCGTCCGGGTGAATGCCGCGACTGTCGCCGGGGTTCATTCTGCAGGATGAGACGATATGGGGCCGAAATGAAGTTGCAGGACGCACGAAGCCACCCGGGAATTTATTTCAAATGCCTTGTCACAGGGTTAAGCGCCCAGCTAGATTTGCTGTGATTGTCCTCAGCAGGAACAGAGCGGGGCATCATCATAGAGGTGATATGATTCGCTGGTTCAAGGGGACTCCATTCGCTGATGGATAGGTGATTGGTGGCGGGGTAGCACATCCTGGGCGCTTCGAGGGCTGAAGGCAACTTCATTACGGCCCAATCCTGTTTCAAGGATGCGAAGATTTGGATCAGAGATACTTGGCTCTCAAATAACAAATGAATCAATTCAGCAGTTATTTGCAACAATTAGATGTTTGGTAAACAAAGGAAACCTGCAGTGTTTACTAGTCTATATTTAGAAACTACTATATATTCGGAATATAGATTTAGATATAAAGCAAAATTCATATTCAACAGGTCTCCCAATTGTATGTCTTGAGCTGTGTAGTGCAGGTTTTATCTGATATCTGATATTAAATCAACAGAGGAAAAAATAAAGTTGAAAAAGAGGGACAAGCCCATTGAGTATTCTAGCGGTATACATGAATATATATCCACGCCCGCATGGTTGTTGACCAGTCTTGCACTTTGCCTCAGAACACGGATCTGTCAAATACAGTAGCAAGTATTTTGACTGGAAGGACTTTTTACGCTTAAATACCCCGAGACTATCATTAAATAATCTTAAGCAGCTCAATAAAAATCAGAAATTTGACTTCATACTTTATCGCGGACTGCAGCGGATACTTGGCTTAGATCTGTTACGTAATCATCGGAATGATCGATTAAATGTTGACCACTTGCAGGTTTGCGCTTCATCACATCATGGCTTCTCTTCGATTCCAGGGATTGCGTTCTGTTTTCCGGGGTCAATGTAACCCTCTGAGAACCCAGCAGCGTCGCTGGGCTCAAGTCCACGATGTTCGCTTCCTCGCCTCGCATCACAACCCCAATCACGTCTTGGACAGGTATCGATCCAAGCTAGACCAGAAGGCTAAACAGTGAGTCTAGAAGACATCTCGCAATAAAACTCCGCTGACAAGGTTTGCGTTTCTTTCTAGAGAAGGACATGAGTCTATTGACTCCCTGAAGGAGGCCTTCAGCGACAAGATCCAAGATTTGCGCTCCAAAGCATCCACAGTGACCACCCCAGAGCCAGAGGCGCCCATTCACAACACCACCCAAGAACCGGCAGCCGCTAAAGCCCCTATTTCTCATGCCGCCCGCGAAGTCTCCGGCAAAGCGAGCCCCATAAAGCCGCTTAGCTCTTTCCTCGATGTCGAGAAGATCCGCGAGCTCCCCCCCAAGGAAATTGAGGCCCTCTGGCGCCTCCGGTTCGCAAGTAGCTCGACCTCCATCTGCGCGGCCATTCCCCTCGAAATATACCAGCGCATCATGAACGCTGCCCGTCAGAACCCACAATTCGTTCTCCCGCTTCCGCGCGGGGCGACCGAGGATCAGCAAGAAACCACCGCCGACATCCACTTCCTGCAGTGGGCATTCCACCCGCCCGCAGGCGAACCCGCCGCGCCTTCTGGAGAGACTGCCAACACCCATATTTCCACCGTGATCTTTACCCATCTCGGTGCGTTCAAGATGCACGGGTCTTTTGCTCAGCCGCACACAACTATCACACATTACTTGGATTTGGCGGATGATAAGGGACTTGTCCTGATGCATGGACAGGTTGTGCCTGACCGTGGCGTGTCCACCATGGAGGCTACTTGGCTGGCTAGCTGTGTGCAGCGCTTCTACGATTTTGAGGGTCAGGCGAGTGGCCGGAAGAGTGAGCTCGTTCGCATGTTCACCCAGGGTGATGCTGAGAACTTCAAGGTTGAGGAGTTGATGGCTGAGGCTGAGAAGCTCCAGTAGATTTCCTGCATCATTCCGGTGCCTGTACTATATGTCAATTTTAGATGAATATATTGCCAAAAGCCAAAAGGCCTTATGGGTGTTCTTACATCGTTTATACTCTTGTATCGTTCAATTCCAGGATTTAAATGCCATGGTCTCGTATAAAATGACTATGGCGTCCAAGAGGGCTAGCTCTATAAGATCTATCTTACTCCTTTAGATTTACACGTCACACTCCCCAGTACTTGAGATTGACAGCATCGCTCGGATGTATGATACTGCTGTTTTTTTTTTGAAGTGATTAGTATTGAAGAGGCGTTCGCATGACAGACAACTAGGATAGGTGAGATACATAATGGCCAACTGAAATAAATGCTCTCTATATCTCTCGCTCGCTTCCCAATATGACTGGCTCAAATCTTCGACTTTCTACCCGTGACATTTGGGACTTCCTCGCCAGACAAAAGGAAGTCCGGGTACTGGAGGTTACCTTGAGAGGTAGTTCCTCCTGAAACACGCCAGTTTGCGCCGTCCACTATCTCATGTGAGTTTTCACTTTGAAACATGCGGAAAATTACTCGGGTAACATACCAACTAATGTCTGACCGCTTACATAGCTTCCGGCATCAGAGAAGAGATAAACAGTCGCGTCCGCAATATCACGAACATGGCCAAAGCGACCCAGGGGCTGGGCCCTGGTATACTCCGCTTTAGCGTCTGATGGAAGCAGACGGTCCAAGCCCTATTGAGTAGTCAGATAAATGTCTCCAATTGAATATCTTACATGTTAAAGGGACCGACCTCGGTTGATTCAATAGGGCCCGGGGCGATAATGTTAGATGTCACGCCTCGAGGACCATACTCGATGGCAACGGAGTTTGATAGAGAGTCGATGCCAGCTTTGGCGACGGAAACGTGAGCCTGGAAAGGCATACCGCGGTAGTGCAGGGTAGCACTGACGAAGATGATTCTGCCGCCAGTACCCAGTGGTGACGGGTTGACTGAGGCCACCGTTAGATATGGCCATGCGCTAGTAATTCCAGTGGCACTTACGTTCAGAGTCGACTCTGTGTTTCTTACCCGACTCGATGAGATAAGGCAGAACAGCCTTGAGGGTATTGTACGAGCCTAAGACATCAATATCCATGACAGACTTGAAAGCATTCACAGAAAGCTGCTCAATGGAAGCCAGGAAGTTGCCTGCGGCACCGGCACTATACACACGAAGTTCAGTAGAAGATTCCGAAGCTGGATCCAAAAAGCCTTACATGACATAGTCGATCGAGCCCAGCTCCTTCACGCAGCGCTCCACGGCATCCTTTAAGCTCTCGAACTTGCGAACGTCCACTGCGCCGATACCAATTACTTTGGCACCGGGGCGGAGAGTCGCGATCTCCTTGGCGGCGCGCTCGGTTTTCTCGACATTGCGACCGATGATGCATGCGTTAGCACCTAAATGAACCAGTGCCTTGACCTGAGCGCTGCAAATTGTGCCTGCGCCACCCGTGCAGAATACCACTTTGTTCGCTGTGCTACAGGTCAGCAAGCGGGTCTCGGGGTCTTGACCAGACTTGGGGGGTAAGAAATAAATTTACCAAAGATGCCATCCTTCCAGATGTCACTGATGTAATCTTTCTTCTGTAGCGGCATTGTGAAAGAACACTCTGGCAATAGATGTTGATGGTAGGATTAGCAGACTGATATCAGTTCTGGGGTCAAGTGCAACACCGTCGCCTTTTCCCCACAGCCGCGATTGGACCTCGGCTCTTTCAGAGTTGGCATTTATACATTTATAATCCACAGATAAGATTATCAACCGGTTAAACTACGACCTTGTGGAGAATTCTAATGCTAATTTCCCCTCTGTGGCTACATAAAGCTTACAGATACATCCCTGATCAGTCTATGGCTTTTCGATATAGAATTATAAGGTGATGTTCTTCTATGTTGTACCTACAGCACTGATGAAGTCTTCTTATATTTACACTCAGCGCCCTAGGAAATGAACAAGTAGAATTCATAAAGGAATTCACTCTTCGTACTTGGAATTATTGATTGTATCTCCAAGGATTAAACCAATGTGTACAGGCGCTAAGTGCACGATGAAGAACTAGCGAGCGCTGATTGGCCGAATTCTGGAACTGGCGTCACCTCCGCCCTATCCACTTTTCTTTCTCAATTACAGCATCAACCCACCTTTATCCTCCCAGTCTTCTTGGATGAATAACAAATACTTCCCAGACAGCACTATGATCTGCCCGATAACTGCCACCAAGTTCGTTGGGACTGTGTCCCTCGGGCTGCTGACGGTAAGCACATCTTGGAGACCGTTTCGCGCTTCGCTCGACAGTATCAGCCTCGGTTGCAGTCTCTCAACTAATCGAATTTATTCTCTATCCAGGGAATGTCCTACTCCACTGCCTCAATCACGATCCCAGCTCTCAAGCTCCTTCCCTCCTCAACCACCGCCTCTCGCTGCCTGAATGAAGTGAAGCGCCTAAACCGCAAGCATGCCCTGCGCCTATCCAGCTTGACTAATGCATGCATCCTTTTCGCCTACTCTGTCTCTCCTCCCCGCCGCCAACACCCATACCTTATCTGGATGTGCGTTGTCTCGACAGTCAGCTCATACGGCCTCGATTTGTTCTTCAACCGACACATGGGGCTCAAGAACTGGGTCCTCGCCGCTATCCAAGATACTACCGGTCTGAGCCTCGGACTCCAACCCACTTCTAAGAAGGAAGATGATCTAGTCGTAGTCGAAGCTGAGGAAGATGTCAACGGCGAGAGCGTACAGCGCGAGATGGACGGAGAGCGTCGGCTGCAACGTGCGCGGGCCTTGCTGGCCGGGCTTGCGCTGTCGATGGGCATTGTTGGACTGTGGGGAGACAAAAAGTGATCTGTTTGATGACGGATTTTCATTAGCTGTGAATGCCTGAGCTTGTTTCGCGAGCCTTTCCTATTCTTGCGGGACAAGGTTAATTCTTAATGTGGGCGTTGGGGCGAAACACTGGATGTTGATCGCATTACTTTCTCTCGGAGCCTTCACCCAATGAGCTCCGGTCAGGCTTGAATATGTGGCTGACCGTTGGTGCCATGTATTTTATTGCGATTATCTTCTTTATTGCCTGCTATTTACCAGAACTTGCTTGTACATCGAAATGAATATAGCGTAGATACTGTTCAAATCAAATTCTGGTGTTGATACAAGTAACGATCAATATTCGGTGTTTATCATGTCTTGACTTCAGACTAGCTTTACAAATGTCGATACCGATATCCATAGATGCGGGTGCTGATTCACGGGGCTTGATAAATGACGCTTCTGAGTGGATGGAATCCCCGCCACATGATGGCACAAAGCGGTGGTGGGGGTGGGGGTGGGTCGCCTTGCCAAACTGTAGCATCATATCCGGGGTAAAGGTATAAGAATATCGCCAGAGTCGCTGACACATATTTTCGTTTAATTTAGTCTGCAACTATTTCTGCAATGCACACTCATCTGCTGCTAGTGGTCCCATTCCTTTATCTTGGGCTTCAAGTCCTACTCAAGCTTAGCAGAGCCATCTTCTCCCCACTTAAGCATGTCCCTGGTCCGTTCTGGACTCGATTCACCAATCTATGGTATTTCAATCGAGCTCGCAAAGGCAAATTTGAACATGACAATATCCATCTCCACCAAAAGTATGGTCCTGTTGTCCGGATTTCCCCTGATCATTATAGCATCAGCGATATTTCCGCCGTTAAAATAGTCTATGGAACTGGCTCCAAATTTCCCAAGTCTGCATGGTATGATGGCTGGAAACATCCTCAGCAATGGAATGTATTCTCTGATCGAGATATCAAGAGACATTGTCAGTTGGCAGATTTCTTTTCTGAACATCTTGTTAAGTCCCAAGAACTAGCTAACATTGTTACAGCTGAAACTCGAAAGAGATTCACGAGTCTATATTCCATGAGCTCCGTGATAAGCTATGAGCCATTTGTGAATCGCTGCATTGATATATTCTTCCAAAGACTGGAGGATTTTGCAGATCGAAAGCACTTCTTTGATCTCGGGCACTGGTTCCAGTGCTATGCATTCGACGTGATTGGTGATATCACTTTTGGTCAGAGATTTGGTAAGGCTTCATATACGCAGATATCCCATAGGATCCATGAGACTGATTCTGCTCAGGGTTCTTGGACCAAGGCGATGATATCGACGGTGCCATCAACGCAGTGCACCAGGCAACGGTCTACGGGACCCTAATCGGGATTTACCCCGAATGGCACCCACGACTTTTTGAGACCCTGAGCAAGTTCAAGGGGTCCGGAGCGAATGGCAGGGCCTATATTGCCAAGTTTGTTCGCGACAAGATCGGTCTTCTTGAGCAAGAGCGCAACAATATGGATAAACCAGCCACGGAGACACCCAAGACGCAAGACTTTTTGACAAAAATGATGCAGGCCCGCGATCAAGACCCGGAGAAGGTAACGAATTACCATCTTCAGATCATGGGTCAATCCAATGTAGCTGCTGGATCCGACACAACAGCCGTCAGTTTGTCGGCTATCATGTGGTATCTCCTGAACAGCCCGGATGCACTCCGCAAGCTACGAAGGGAAATCCATGAACTTACCCAACAGGGTCGGTGTAGTGTCGACATCACCTTTAAAGAAACCCAAGAAATGCCGTATTTCCAAGCTGTCATGAAGGAGGCTCTTCGCTTGCATCCAGCCACGGGTCTACCCATGTGGAGGGTGGTCCCTGCGGGCGGGGTGCAACTGAGTGATCGGTTTTTCCCTGAGGGCACAGTGGTAGGAATAAACTCCTGGGTTGCACATTATAATGAGCAAGTCTTCCCTGATGCCAAGGCATTCCGGCCGGAAAGATGGCTGGAGTCGGAGACTGAGCCGGAGAAGATGAAGGAGATGAACCAGATGTATATGCCGGTGAGTTTGAACAGATGTTGAGGTCACCCTTATTTGATTGGCTAATGAGTGAACACAGTTTGGGTTGGGATCGAGAACGTGTCTTGGAAAGCATATCGCCATTCTTGAGATGTCCAAGTTGATCCCCCGCTTAGTGCGCGACTATGATTTGACCCCATTGCGAGATACCATGGATACTTCCAACTTTTGGTTTGTGAAGCCGACGAACTTTGACGTACGTGTCTCCCTACGAGCTCAGGGGTCTTTCGAGTGATTTAGGGTAATAGTTATTGTATAGAAATGAAATGTTATATTGTCCCCCCCTTGCATCAGATCCAGATCTTAAAGTATACCTGTATAGCCGATGTCATAAAACGCACTTTTCTATCAGCCAATTGATGTGAAGAACCAGTTCACCTACAAGTAAGATAGATCAATTCCAACATGTCACATCTAAGTATTCTGACATATAAATCCATTTTTTTTTACCCTACCTCCACTAGTACTCCGCAGTACACGTACAACTCATCCGTTGTTCTGTGCCAGGATCGACGGACGGTCCGTGCAAAGAGTGCAAACCCGCTGCCCGTGCGCCCGTCACACTCCAAACGCCCCATTCATCATCTTTGTACCCCATGTACGCTCGGTATCTCCGTAGGTACTAAGCAAATTGGACATGTTCATTGATCTCCTGCGTCAATGAATCCTTGGACATCCTGGTCCAATCATATCTTCAACCCTTTGAAGGGAGCCTCACTCCAAGCTCACTCTTTGATCCTGAAATCCTCCCCCTCTCAGCTTCTCCCCCCGGCAATCCTCGGTTGACATCTTTGAGCTTCTTTCAACTTTGCCTGGACCCGCCTATCTTACGACTTACGACTTTCCCTCGGGTCCTTGGTGCTAGTTCTTCCGCCCGATCTGCCGATTTCTTCGGCATTCTGACGACCGGACACGAAGATCATCTGAAACCCTCCCCAACCACACACCGAACGACCCTGTGATCCAACCAACCCCAGCCAGACCTGAACCGCAACCACTTCTTTCGAGAATATTATGATCTAGTGGTACACTTGGATCATCGCCGCGCCCGACCATTCCACACTTGTGCTCGCCCCTCCCCACTCAACTTGCGGCTGTGCTACGCGCCCTCTTGGATCCGCATCCACAGCAAACCCACCCGTCGATGAGGTCTGCTCGCCAGCACCATCTTTACCTTCTATAATCACAACTTTGATAAACCGCATTTTAGGCTTTTGGAATTGCACTCGCGCCTCCGGGTCCAAGCTCCGAACGCTGGCAACGGCGCCACGGCACGACTACAGAACACAGCTGCACAACGGCTGATTACGATACGCTTCACGAATATTGATGGTGACCTACGCCGGGCTTTCGCGATCCTTAAAATCCCAGCTGGCTGTGACTTGATTTGATCGCGCCCCCGCGGAGGGATTCGACTAAGTCTCGGATCTGCAATGCCCGTCCGTGAGCATGGAGAAGCTGACCGACAGGGCTCCGAGAGCTCCGGGAATACTAGCTGGATATCGCAAGAAACAGTGCGGGATAGCGAGGGACCGCCTAAGAATCTGAGCAAGTCGGTATCTGCACGCGATGCCGAACCGTTCCCCGGTACTTTGATGGCCAGGTAAGCATCATCTCCCCCGGGCTCAGTGGTTCGCGTTGGGGCTTAAGAACATGTACAAGAATGTCGCGCCACATATACTGACCATAAATAGATCCGGATCATCCCAAGCTCCGAGAATCGACTGGGGGTCTTCGCATTGGTCATGGAGCTCACCGGATATTTCGCCCACCGAAGAACGCAAAGGCTCTGGATTTAGCAAGGATCGAAAAGCGCTCGCGATCCTTGGAGCTGGTGATGATTTTACTCGGACATATAACTCCAGCCCACACCCTCCACACCCCCCACCGAACAACCCCGCTCGCTCTAGTCGGGATGGGCTCGACTCGATTGCTCCGTGGGCCACAACGGGTGCCTCAGATGGAGCTGGGACGTTTTTCAATGAATACTCTGAGCATGAGGCATCTCCAGCCTCTGCAACGTTTCGCCCCACGACAAGCCGGACATTCGCCAGTGAACCGGCTGATATGGATTACAACCGCGACCACAGGAGGCCTTCTACTGCGAGCATGACCAGCAGCCAAGGATCCAAATCAAGTCTTAGCCATAAGCCATGGAGGAAAAAATCAAAAGGAATACCCACCGATGAATATACGGCTTCTGACGAACCAGAGGATGGTCAACAGAACCCTCCAAGCAGACGAGGGGGCCCTATTGACCAATTAAAAGCCCGTGAAAGAGCGAATTCTGACGGATCAGATCCATCACAGCGGCCTTCACGACCACGACCCGAAACACCCTTACCATCAAGCGATATCACTCCTTGGGTGTATCAAAATATCCAGGATGTCTCTCATTATGGGGAAGCACCTGTGCGCCAAGTACCCATCGGACCTGATGGCCAAAGACTTGAATCTCGAGCTGGAACTCACTCAGGAACTCGGGAAAATAGTCGACGCGGCGCCAATGGACATCGTCATTCCCGAAGTAAAGAGGAAAGACCTACACTGGCAGGCGACTTGGCTGGGTACCATCGCCCCTCCGGTGGGCGCGATGACCTTTTCTTGGGACTCAGGCCTTCCAATGAGAGCTATCTAAACTCATCCACAGCCATGAGCTCAGTGACAAATCTTGGTGGTCGCTCAGCCAGTCCAACACCAAGCGTGCAGAGCGCTATTTATCGTGATAGCGGCCAAAGCTCTCCAGGTGGTCCGCCAACCAAACGTGGCATCTTCGACAGGGTGACAAGACACCTTAAACCAGGTCACAAACAGCACGATAAAACCAAGCGCGATCAGTCCCCCAACCGACGCAGACAGCCCAGCATTGAAGGAACTTCCACCCCTCGCCATGCTGATGCAACGGACTCAGACCGGAAGAAGGAATCTGGCAAAGGTCTTGGGATCGGTGCCCGCAAGTTTCCTCGACGCGGCTTCACTCATCTGGGCGAAATCCCCAAAGATGGTCAAACCCAAAGAGAAGACAGTCATGTTTTCAAGCTCAATACTGATCTCACAGATCTCAATGGTATTGTCACTGATCAAGGATTGATAAAACGGGACGGCATGACTACACCACGCGAAGAACTCAACTTGCCAGACATGATGCAGCAAGGAGACATTGGTGACGACAGCTGGCACGCACCCGATAGTTGGCAAGTCAAGAAGCAGCAGCATGATATGGAATTGGAAGCTCAGGATAGCGAGCCGAAGCCCACTACAGGTCTTCGTGATCGCGCCGGGCCCTCTTATTTCATCCGAGTATTCCGCATAGACCACACATTTGCCACACTTTCTGCCGGTTTGAACTCGACAGTCGCCGAGATTCTCTACATGCTTGGACGGAAATCGTTCTTGTCTGATCATCTGAATAACTACGAGATTGTACTCCGAACGAATGATCTATCGCGGCAACTTGACCATAAAGAGCGCCCGATTCTTATGCAGAAGCAGCTTTTGGAGAAAGTCGGATACACGGAGAAGGACCGTATAGAGGACATTGGTCGTGAAGACCATAGTTACCTCTGTCGCTTTATCTTTTTGCCCACCAAGCTGAGCGGATATACAAGCTTGGAAGCTGATCCTGGTTTCAACAAGATGCAAAAGTTCAGCCATGTTGATCTTCAAGGTCGAAGCCTCGTGACCATTCCCATTACCCTCTACAAAAAATCATCAGAGATCATCTCTCTAAACTTATCCCGAAATCTATCACTGGATGTACCGAAGGACTTCATTCAAAGCTGCATCAATCTGCGGGAGATCAAGTTCATTGGCAATGAAGCCACTTACCTCCCGACCAGTTTCAGCTTGGCGAGTCGATTGACCTACCTTGATGTGTCCAATAACTTCTTGGACCAGCTGGAGCATGCGCGCCTTGACCGACTCACTGGCCTTGTTAGCATAAAACTGGCAAACAATCAATTGACGAAGCTGCCTAGCTATTTTGCCAAATTTCAGTCTCTGCGAAGCTTGACCATGTCGTCGAATAGCTTCAAGATTTTCCCTGAATGTCTCTGCGAGCTAAAGAGTCTGGTTGATCTGGACATCAGTTTCAACGGCATCGAGGAGCTGCCCAACATCGGTCGATTGATCACGCTAGAGCGACTTTGGATGACAAACAATAATATGAGTGGGCCGCTTGACCAGTCCTTCCAGAGCCTTGTGAATCTGAAGGAAATTGATGGACGATTCAATGCCATCTCCAACATTGATAGTCTTTCTCGCCTTCCGCGCCTGGAGCAGGTCTTCTTTGGCCATAACTTGGTATCTCGGTTCAAAGGTGCATTCCCGAGATTGCGCAGCTTGCACCTGGATCATTGTCCCTTGACCCAGTTCGATATTGACGCCCCCATGCCTACCCTATCTTCTCTCAACCTTGCATCTGCCAAGCTCTCTAATTTTCGCGACGGGATGTATGAAAATATCGCCAATGTTTCCAAATTGATTTTGGACAAGAATCATCTTTCATCAATTTCGGTACAAATCGGCAAATTGCGTCGCCTCGAACATTTCAGTATCATCAAGAACCCACTGTCTTCTTTGCCTCCCACCATTGGATGCCTGACTGAGCTTCGGGATTTCAATGTAAGAGAGTGCAATTTGAAGGCCCTGCCTGAGGAAATTTGGCATTGTTCTAAGTTAGAAACACTCAATGTGTCCACCAATATTCTTACGACTTTCCCAAGGCACGGTGCACCAGTCCCACTGGTGCCCGGCGAACCGCCGCCAACACCTGTGGCAACCCCTGGATTGACGGGAAGTCCGACCTGGGAAGATCTAGGACCACTTAATGAAGTGGATTCTCGCCGTGAAAGTGAAAGCTCTGGCGGACCTCCTCCGTCTGGTACATCGCCAAGCGGATCCTATCGAAATCCGTCTATTGTTCCGTCTGTAGGACAGTCTAGGAAAGTCTCAGCAGCATCGCGATCGGCCAATACAGAAGGGAGCTTGAACTCGAGAAAGGACTCATACTTCTCTCAACAAGCTGTAGCGATCACGTTTGCAGGCTCTCTCCGGAACCTGTATCTGGCTGACAACCGCTTGGAAGATGATGTGTTCCGGGAGCTGATCCGCCTTCCTGAGTTGCGGATTGTCAATCTCTCGTACAACGAGCTTACTGAGGTGCCGCCGGGAGTTCTAAGACGATGGCCCCTAATCTCCGAGCTCTACTTATCGGGCAATGAGCTGACTTCCCTTCCATCCGATGATCTTGAAGAAATCAATCAGCTCAAAGTACTTCACATCAATGCCAACCGTTTTCAAGTTCTGCCGGCGGAGTTGTGCAAAGTGAGCAAGCTGTCTATTCTTGACGTTGGAAGCAATGGCCTCAAATATAATGTATCCAATTGGCCCTATGACTGGAATTGGAACTGGAACCGCAGCTTGAAATACTTGAACTTCTCAGGCAACAAGCGACTTGAGATAAAACCCAACATATCATCCTTGGGTCCACCATCGGGTAACGGTACAGATCTCACTGATTTTACATCCTTGACTCATCTACGGGTTTTGGGATTGATGGATGTGACCCTTACCATTCCCACTATTCCGGAGGAGACGGAGGATCGCCGTGTGAGAACATCTGCCTCGCTGGCTGGCTCCCTCGCCTATGGAATGGCAGATACACTAGGCCGGACCGAGCATCTGTCCATCATTGATATGATCGTCCCTCGTTTAAAGCCAGATAATGTTGAGACGTTGGTCGGCATGTTCGATGGCCAGGTCAACTCAAGCGGAGGTTCTCGGGTTGCAAAATACCTACATGAGCATTTCACATCTACCTTTTCTCATGAGCTAAAGAAGCTTCAACGGGACCAGGGCGAGAGCCCAATTGATGCGCTAAGACGGGCTTTTCTAGGCCTGAATAAGAATATGGCAGGGTCCGCGTACAGATCGATTGATGATCGCGAGCTTCGGCAGTATCATCGCGGATCGAATGCCTCCAAACAACTCAACCAGGATGACATCCAGTCTGGCGGAGTTGCAACGGTACTTTATTTGAACAACATGGAGCTCTACGCTGCAAACGTTGGTGATGCACAGGCAATTCTTGTCAAGTCGGATGGTTCGCTCCGCTATCTCACCAAGGTTCACGATCCTGCTGAAGCGACTGAACGAGCTCGCATTCGTGCTGCAGGTGGATTTGTAGCCCGCAATGGCAAGCTGAATGATTCGCTCACCGTGTCGCGATGTTTTGGTCATTTCCCGATGATGCCAGCTGTTATTGCCGCTCCTTCCACCATGCACACTACATTAACTGAACAAGACGAGATGATCATTATAGCCTCAAAAGAGCTTTGGGACTACGTGACGCCTGAACTTGTCGTTGATATCACCCGGGGAGCGTACCCGGACCTCATGTTCGCAGCCCAAAAGCTTCGAGATTTAGCAATCTCGTTTGGTGCTACTAACAAGCTAATGGTGATGATCCTCGGCGTGAGTGAGCTACAGAAGAAGCAAAAGAAGTGGCCACGACCCAGTGTTTCCTTGGGGCCTTCTGCCTTCCCAGAAGACCAACTCATTTCTACTTCCAAACTTCGAAAGAAGCCTCGTGATATCCCCAGTGACTCTCGCCTTGCACGGTTCGATTACGTGGATGCTCCCATTGGGGAGCTGGCCATCATTTTCACTGATATCAAGAAGTCGACCGGTCTTTGGGAATCATGTCCGGATGCCATGCGGTCGGCTATCCAAATCCACAATGATATTCTCCGACGACAACTTGGTATTATCGGTGGTTATGAAGTCAAAACAGAAGGTGATGCTTTCATGGTGGCGTTTGCCACAACGACCGCTGCCCTCCTATGGTGCTTTAACTGCCAAAACCAGCTTCTCGAGGCTGAATGGCCCACCGAAATCCTTGAGCAGCCGCAGTGTCAAGTTGTGGTGGACATGGACAACAACATTATTTTCCGTGGTTTGTCTGTCCGCATGGGAGGACATTGGGGTGAGCCAGTTTGTGAGAAAGATCCTGTGACCAATCGTATGGATTACTTTGGTCCCATGGTAAATCGAGCTTCTCGAGTCTCCGCTGTTGCCGATGGTGGTCAGACTTTTGTCTCGTCCGACTTCATGAGCGACATCCAGCGCAATCTAGAGGTTTTTGCGGATGCTGAACGTTCCGCATCGACCAGTTCCACCGACAGTCAGTCGCGAGTTGATAGTCTAGGCCACAATATTCGTCGTGAGCTACAGCAACTCAATAGTCAGGGCTTTGTCATCAAAGACCAGGGTGAAAGAAAGCTGAAGGGCCTGGAGAATCCAGAGCCCCTCTATCTCGTCTACCCGCATTCGCTTGCTGGACGCTTGGCTGTTCAGGAAGAATCCGGCGATCAAGGTGGCCCGGCTCAAGTCCAGTCGAACTCGGAATTGCAGCTTAAGACTGATGTTATCTGGCGTCTTTGGGAGGTCACCCTCCGACTGGAACGGATTTGTGGTGCTTTGGAAAATCCAGATGACCCACAGCTCAGAGAACCCAATGTTGCTCTGTTCAACATGGTTAAGAACCACGGTGGTGAATTGAACGATTCCACAGTGATCAGCCTGGTTGACCAACAGGTCACTAGAATCGAGGTTAGTTGTGTCTCTTTCCCAAACTCTCTTCGCAATATAACTAAACAATGATAGGCAACTATAAATACTCTTTCTGTTCGAAACTTGATGCGTCCTTTCAAACCGGGCGATCGTCTCGAAGACCACGCCGTACCCATTGGCGAAGTGATGCAACAATTGCAGACCCAAATGGCCGAATACCGGGCCCTGAAAGAGCAGATGGCCACCGGGAGTGCAGGCATTCCCGGCGGGTCACCTCCATTTGGTAGCACTCCTATGCATGCATCCGATAGTGTCGAAAGCAACGTTACATCCTCCTCCTCTTCTTTTCTCCACCTCGCTGAGGCAGCCCATGCCCCTCGTTCCTTCGACATCCAAGGCATCAGTCCGTGATCACTGATTGATGCCTTGGTATCACTTCTATAAATTTCCCTCTTAATGCCCTGGCCCACTGGGCCATTCATCCTTGGTTTGGTTTCGTTTTTTCACGTTACGTTTTATGGACGGCGTCTTTCGGTGGAGAGTCTTTCGGTCCTCCCTATGAAGCATCAGGACATGGGATCATGGAGGTTATTTCTTTTCAAGGTTTTTTTTTTTATCTTTTGCTCTTCTTGCTGTGTATCTTTATTAAATTCTTGGGGGGGTGTTTCGCAATATCTGTGAATAAATTATTCTACACGTACCAAAGTCCGAGACCGCGCATTTTATTCACAAATTCGAATAGCCTGTGCCACGATTCCATGGACAGGTTCCATAACCGGTTATACAAGCCATGGAGCGTAGTGGAACTCCGAGACCTGCAAATATTTCTAGGTTGACCAATTAAAATGCACAGGATCTGCATTTCTACATGATGACCCTACACCCAAACTTCTCAAGCTTCAAAGATAATATCATTGTAAAATAATTAATTGGCTAATTAGGGGATCTATCGAGTCTATGCTTGGCTCGGTTCTCCCACTACGATCCACGCTTGATAGCGCTGAGATCAGCAGAGTGTATACTACTAGTTTACTCCGCTTAGATCTTTCCCAGTCGACCACCGCCGCGAACCTGAGATTTCTTAGAGCTTGAGGTAATGGGCTTTGCCGAGCCACCGCCAGGAAGGCTAATAGTCTTTCCCTTCAGCCAGGTGTTGACGGTAGAATTGTAGTAAAGTGTGTGTCCCTGGCTGTGAATATTCTTCAAAGTCGTAAGGGAATCCGTGAAATTTTGGAGAACAGTATCGGCAGTCAAAGTCCAGCTGCTTGTCTCATCGAGGCTGACACCAAAAGTCGCGTCTCCGTATCCGGAATAAGCAGAACCAGTCCACGAGCTGTATTCGCTCAGAGACCAGTCGATAGAACTTCCGTTGTAAGCGACCAAATCACCAGTCAAATCAGACTCGGTAATAGTAACCGTCACCTGAGCAGGGGACAGATCATTATTATCCACGTATCCGGCATAGACATCAAAGTCCTGGGTGATCTGCGAATAATTCGCAACGACCAGAATACCCGAGTTGGTGACAATCTGTGAATTGGCCAAAGTCGCTTCAGCAATAATGTTTCCAAACCACAGACCCGGCATCTCACGGCCAGTGGTGGTGAACTTGGTATTGGTCAAGTTCAACTTCGCTCCACTCGTAATGACAGAGCTGCTGAAAATAGCAACTCCACCCAGCAGACCGGCCGTGCAATCACAGTCGATCAACGTAGTCGACTGAGCACCATCTGAGAAGACAACGGGTCCGTTCTCAGACAGACCAACCACATTAGTAGCGTGAATCTCGCCAAGTGCGTAGAAGGTAGCGGAGCCGATTCCCGCTGCGTGTGCTACGCTGTCGTAAACGTAGATGTAACCCCCGGGACTATCACCCGAGAAGCTAGATGAGCGCTTGCCTCCGGAGTAAACTTGGAGATTGTGACCGATGGCAGTTCCGTTGCCTGAAGCGTAGAGACCGTGACTGACGGGACCGGAGGAGTATAGCCACGAATTGCTGACGTGGACAACAGTGTCGGTTCCGTAGGAGTAGAATTGGGCTGCACCATTATGAACAGTCACGTTGACATGGTCAAAAACAGCGGTCGAAGCATTGGCCTGATACGAAAACAATTAAGGAGGATTGAATAAAGCAGGAGGTAGGGTTAATGACTTACCACGTTGATTGCAGCATTGAAGCCCCAGAAACTGGCATCATTCAGATTGGTAGAGTAACCGGTCTTTTCAAAGTTGATATATGAGCCAGTGAACGAGGCATCGTTTGCAACGAGAAGGACACTGGTGTCATTGGCCGTAGCGGACCAAGTAACATGCTCAGCGCTGGAAGTTTTCCCATCCACCTTGTGGGTCGCCTTGACTAGGTAGTTGTGTCAGCGTGAGATTCAATTTCTTACTTCCCATGCGTTATGCTTACTAGCAGAAGGCTGCGTAGAAACCTGGGCAATATCATAGTCAGGAACGATAGCATTGTCCTTCGCCCAATTAGCAGGATTGATCACATTCGAGGGATCCTCAATTGTGATCGATGCTAGCGCAAGCGCAGGGAAAAGCAGAAGAGAGCGAGCCGCCATTGTATCAGGGACTCTGAGGATCTGGAGGATATTCTGATGATCTGGTTCCTTGACATGATTTTCATTACAGCTCTGGACTTTAAATACTTTTGCTTTACCCTGTCCATGTGGACATATGAATCTACTTTGATTCCCCGCAAATTGGTCAATTGTCCGTGTTGACTTCGGGATGATGTGGAGAAAAATGGCATAAATATGGCATAATCCCTGGGGAAAATCTGGGGAGATTAAGCTCAGAGCGGGGAATTGCTTGACATTCAGGAGAGAAGCTTCTCCAGGTTCTCAGGTTGTGGACCACCAGATCAATGTCCCCACATCCCGACTATGTGGAAATAATACTACGCGAATCTCATAGGAGGCTTGACGACGTGCTAGTTTCCGCCAAGAGGGGGTATACGTCAGCTTCAATATTGCAGTCCGCGCTGACATGGGCCATATCCCGAAGGAGGGGAAAGTTGAAGTATTTGGGTTCTCGACTGCTTACATTGAGCTTGAAATATTTTCATCACTGAGATCCCTAGGGCTTAGAAGTAGTCCTTTCAACGATTAAATAATGCGAATAGATTTGATTTATAATACGCAATCAAATTAACCACTTAGTATGATTCCTCGGGATAGCATTCCAAAATGCCATATCACTCAGCTACCTTGTTGTCCCTCCACGCCAAATAGGTCTATACTCTTCCCAAATTCATTGCAGCGAATATTGGTTGCGGATTTCCTGAGTTTTCGCCGGACCTCGTACAACATGTAAACTAGACCAGCTCACTAATTCCTCAGTCTCACAGACAAAGCGAAACGCATATGACGTGCGATACATATCGTTAATACAAAGATGATCCCCTCGCGCCCGAAGAACATAAGTCTGATCCTCCCGAGTGTTCTCAGGAAGAGCAGGAACAGGAGGGAAATGTTCCTCGCCGCCTTCTAAAGAAATTCTTCCATCATCGGTGAAATCGAAGTTGTGGAAGAGATAGTCCGCCTCGTCAGGACCGGAGCCGATTTTCACGAACCACGCACTCAGCTGGGCTGTGGCTTCGTTTAATCGCCAAATGTACTTTTTTGACCAAGTCGCATTTGCCATGCCTGCTAGCGCAGGGGGAAGTGCCGAGGCGGGGAACTGGCCACTTTCGGTGTAGAGCCAATCTTGGTTGGGGAGTTGGGTGAAGGTTGCTGTGCCATTAAGCTGGCCGTTGATCTCGTGCACATTTGTACTGCGTAGAGTGCGAGTAAGTGACCATCTCGAACTGCCCAGTGACTTGAGTATTGTCGTGAGGGCAGCATGCGAGGGGGCCATGGCGTTGGTGGTAAAGAAGAGAAAGTGGCAGAATCAAAGCGGGATCTACAGTAGGTGCGAATCTCCACTATGACCAAGAAGCCCGCCGTGTCTCTAGGATCCCCAATTTATTCACTACGTTATTGGTTCCGCAATTTATTTCTTGTTTCTCTTAATTGGAGTCAAAATGATCTTTGAAACTGCTATCTGAATCATTAAAACAAAACAAAAGTTCAGAAGCCAACTTGGTTCTCCCTGGCAAACGAAATCTTCTGAATATTGTTCATGACCTTGTCAAAGAACCACATCAACTCTGGCAGAGACTCCGTGGTGTCTCCTGTAGAAGACGGTTCTTCCAGCTGCGCATCAGAGGAAGGTTGTGGTGCTTGAAGCTGCGTCTGAAACTTGGCAATGATGGCACCAATCTCCCCCAAACATTCGAGGATTTCCTCGACGGTCTTCAGATCCCGAGGCTATTCTGACTTCCAGAGACGCTCCTAGTGAAACGTGCAATCCATTAGACAAGATAAAATCCTCAATACTTCCCAAAGCGTCCTCAACCCAGTCGTCCTCCAGTTCTGGGATCTCCAGGCACTGGGACAGGCCTTCGGCGCACTGCCCCACCGCTTCTTTGATGGACGAGTTATATTCCATAACTTTCCCCGTAGAATTGCTAGACATATCGGTTGGATCTCATTGACGAAGAAATGGTTAAAATAGGTTCAAAAGAAAGCCAAGTAGGGCATACACTTCTCAAGGGTCTGACTTGAAAGGAGACTGCAAGGTGTAGGAACTTTTGCAAGGTGACGACCTAGATCTGGGATTATCTTGCAAGGCCTCAACACGCTGACAGTCAGTGTATAGTGGATGATGTGGTCTTAATGATGATAGACATTCTTGATCGTGGGTGGATCACCCGTAGGTTTTTCTATATCGGACAGACCTTGGCTGAATCATCAGCCTAAGATTTTCCTGTCAGGTTGTGATAACAAAGGTATTGAAGCTGAAGATGGGTGAGAGAAGAAAAATTGAAGAAAGAAAGAATCCGAAAACAAAAGATATATAAGTGCTCTCCATCCGGCTGGATTTTTAAAGACAAACAACATTGAAGTAATTTGTTGAATCATCAGGTGAGGTCCCCAAGAACTCCGGTTTGCTAAAGGCTTATAATTGCTTCACCTCTCGTCTTCTTACCTTTCCACGGGTAAATTGTATTAAAGCTTGTGGTCCTTTCTTCTTCTCTCTTCCATGGTTTAATAATTGTATATCGCCATCAACAGAGTCTTCTGTAGTCTTACAAGCAAAATCTCGCAGCATCTGTGCCAAGCAAAAGGATCTGAAAAGAAGATCTACGGTGGGTGAGCCTACCCGGTTCAAGCGAACATATTAATATGTACCACTTGTAATCTCAGCCTGCCAGTTGCGTGTATGGTTAGCATGAAACATATGCTTCTTCTATGAAGTCAACCATTACCTGTAAAGAAATACAAGAACTGATATTTAGACTCCTGGTATGCACATGTGGGGTATAATATTAGCGGCCTGTGTAGCTCCATGAAGGTATCACTCTTATAAATAATCAGTACAGATTCCAGTGCTGACTTGCATTGACACAAGCCATAGAGTTATTCCCATCATACATTAAAGCATAGTCAATGCGCCCTCGAATCGTTGGCCACGATCTTCCTAATTTAAGCTGAAAGTGGGATGACTTCTTTTGTGGAACCGCCAACTCAGCACTAGGAGAGGTAGATGCCCAACTTAGACATATCTACTTGTGAGAACCTTGTTAGCAAAGCCTAAGGCTAATTTCGACGAGATAAACATTTCGATATCTCGGAGACCCAAAGTAGACATCCATGTATGAAACCAAAGCAAGGTGGGGAATGTGTTGTTCGGGGATTCACCAAGAGGACGGAACGGCAATGGGATCATCTTGATTCGAAATGGATTGCATATATTGACAAATCTACACCTCATTGAGTTTCTGATATCCGCCCATGAGAACCAAAGAGGGAGATGGACACATGGGAGTGGGGACGTGGTACGCATGGTGGTCTGCATGTGCATGGCAAGGCAACCAAAAATTTCCCAAAAGAGGGGGTGTTGGCCTGTGAATTGAGGCTCTGCATTGGGAACGTCTCAGATCTTGCCACCTTGTCGCGCCTTTCTGGTTCATTGATTGGTCAAAAATCTTCGTCGGCTACAACTGACCCCATGTTCAACATCTTGCATCCGCCATCAATCCACAAATATTTCCTCTGAATGGCGCTCTGATTAACACGAGCAAGGAAATTGATATTGCTTTTTGAGCCATGAACGCGGAGATGGCTATAAAGTGTCGCCGTCCGGACTGTCGGTGGGGAGGTCCCCATGAGATGCGCTTTGCTTCCTGGTGGACCTATCTATCCTGAAGTGCTCTACATATACCACCACCATATTCATAGCTGAAAGTCCACATTCAACTACTGCTTCCACCATGGAGCCTAAGAAGACACCAGAGAAGAGTCCTCCAAAAGGGGTCTCAAGCCCTTCGAGTGCAGGCGCCGCCAATACGGGTTCCATCCAGACTACCCCTCCAAGGTACACCTGAGATACCTGAGTGCTACACTACCCATCGAACAGCAAGACTGATGTTGATTTCTGGAATATAGTAAATCTCAATCTACTATGCAGGATTTGCGGGAGATCGGAAGCTGGGTAAACAAAAGACATCAGTTCCAATCCTGATCCATTTTACTAACCTCAATATCCAGACCAAGCCGGGAAACAGAGCTTGACCGTGTGACTGTGGTTATACGGGGAAAGGGAACAAGAAATCACAGCATTCAGGAAATGGAGAGCTTTGACGCACCAACGATGAGCTGGCAGCATGCATCTAACTACAAATCAACTGTGTCCGTGAATACCCGAAATACACATCTTCCCTGGAGGAAAGCGATACTCACTTGTCGACCGGTAGATAATCCCGCCCATACGGAAAAAGCACAGATTGCGATGGGACATCATTAAGATCATCAGACTGGAGACCGGGATTAGGAAGGAGTCCTTTCAGTGAATCATGCATGCATATCCACAAGAAAAACCAATGGCGACATGGTCAAGATGATTGTCTGCAGATTGCAGCTGCACCTCCACCCGTGTTTCCCCTCTTTTTCATTTTATCCATTTATCATCATTCATCATTATTGATGAACATTTATTTGATTTATATTCTCTATTTTCTTATCTCCGAGTATATGCGAGATCGTTTGCTTCCTGCCATTGATCCGGAGACTACGGCGTCCTGAACAATGTACTGTCCAACCATTCGAGTTCGAATCGCCACGCAATGCACATGTAGTATCGTTTAGTTACATGCACACATTATTACCCTAAGAGAGATCTAAAGATAGAGTTGAGCCTCCAGAATTTGTCCAGCCTGAGTCTGCCGTAATTTCTGTTTGATACATCTCCAGGGTTTGGGGTAGGGCTGACGGTGGAGAGAAAGACCTTCGGTTGGCCATTTTTAGCTACGTCACTCATTTGTTAATCGTGACCCAATGAGAAGTCTTGAATTGGCAGGGTCGACACCTGTGAATGAATCGTCATTGGAAAATGGCATGGGGAAACTCATTTCTCCAGTGTGTCTGCTCTAGCATACTGGAGCTCTGAACATTAGGCTCCAGCTTTGCATGTTAAGGGTTTTGCATTTTCGCCTGCGAGGATTGGTTATCATCATCCATAGGGTAGCACCGCTGGTGGGTTCACCACTCCACCACAAAGTTGAGTCTTGAGAGAGTTGCCAGTGGCTAGTTGTTTTGATTGTTGATCGCGGGTAAGGTGGTTGTGAGTGGGACCGAAGGCGGCCCTACAATAACAGCCTGTTATTATGGAACCGAAGAATTATTTCTATGAAAATTGAAGGCCAAAGAGCACCGATCATAACTAGCTCTTTGTCATTTGGACTCGCATCTCGAGTCCGTAGATGAAAAAGAAAAGAAAAGATGGGGAATCATGGGATCTTGAAATCGTTATCGCGGGATCATTACCTCATCAGTCACGGTCATTGCGAAGTCCCCGCTAAAATGAGGACAATTTAGCCGCACGAAATCCCTAGTGACTCATATCCTCTGCCATTCGACGTTGGTTTTCTATTCATTTCTCTTGAAATCCTAGCAAAGAATAATTTCGACATGGCTGAGTCCGCGGATACCGATTCCCCCTCCATTGAGATCCAAAACCTCTCCTATAAGTTCCAAGATGGCTCAAATGGATTGGAAGATGTGCTGTTAAGCCTCCCACCAAGCAGTCGGACCCTTCTCATTGGCGGTAGGTCAATACAAAAGGGATTGTCTCCTGGAAACCGCACAGCAGCTAATACTTGCAGGCAGCGAACGGAGCGGGGAAAACCACACTGCTTCGTCTGGTCTCGGGCAAACGCCTTGCCCCCACCAACACCATCGCTGTAGGCGGCAAAGATCCATTCAAGGACAGCCTTGAAGGGGTAACCTACCTTGGCGTGGAATGGGTGCTGAATGCCATTGTTCGCACCGACATCGATGTCCCCACGCTATTGGCCTCCGTGGGCGGAAATGCTTACCCGGAGCGACGTGATGAGCTTGTTGATATCCTCGATATTGACCTCCGTTGGCGCATGCATGCCGTATCCGATGGTGAACGGCGCCGCGTCCAGCTGGCCATGGGTCTGTTGCGGCCTTGGAAGGTTCTGCTTCTGGACGAGATCACCGTTGACCTCGATTTGCTCTCCCGAAGCAACTTCCTCGCTTTCTTGAAACGAGAGACAGAGTCGCGAGCTTGTACTATTGTCTATGCCACCCATATCCTAGATAATCTTGCACAGTGGCCCACTCACTTGGTGCATATGCATCTGGGCAAAGTCAAGGCATGGGGAACCGTGGAAAAGTTCCACGATCAAGTTCCACAGTGGACGTCCGAGAACAGTCGCCTTGGAGAATTGGTTCTGAAGTGGCTTAAGGAGGACCTTGCTGTTCGGGGTCCTCGGAATGGAGAGGCGACCCAGGCTAAAACTTATGATGCCGGTGGTATCGGGGGTTACGGCTTTGAAAAACACGACTAATAGGTCGGATGCCCGAATTTTGTGTCTTTTCTTTGCATTCGGATAGCTGTTCCTTTTTCAGTTTCTTTCTTTAACGGGTGTTTTTAACATTGTGCCGTTCAACATTGGATTCAACCAAAAGGCATGGGTAGGGGTTTTGTGGGCATCTGGGAGGATCGATTCAACATTTGGGAGTATATGCAACCATGATTCATGAAATAGAGAGCTCGCAAGAGGTGACTTGGAAGAATAAAATAAATTTCATACTCAAATGTCAGTATACACACGCAATTATACTTCTTCATGTTCGTTGTCATCGTTATTCCCAAAACGGGTGATATTGATTTTCTGCCTGAGGCATTAAATTTGCATCATTTGTTGACGCGGCGCGACGCGCCCTCACCTCGAGCGGCAACACCGACTGTCTTGCTATTAACATCCCACGCTTTTGGACATTGAAAGGAAATTCGGTCTCCTCAGGGAAGTGCAGCCCAGTTTGCAACCTGACTGGCCTCGCTAGCCACCGGTTACTGTAAAGGAGGACAATACATACTTCCTGGACCCGCCTCAGCCTACTACAACCCACGGCAATGCGCTCTTCTGACTACGAGTCCGACTACTTCGATGATGACAATTTCGTCGTTCCCGATGATGGTGACGATGTTACGGAGTCCCGTCCAGCAAAAAGGCCTCGTGTACGACCCCCGACGCGCCTTGAAGACCACAATGCCTCGTCAGACGATTTCTCTGATATTGACGAAGAGACATTCCACGAGAGCGAATTATCTGCAGCTCACAATAGAGCGGACACACGATCTAAAAATCGAAGCTTCGTACCAAAGCGCAGCAACATTCAAGAAAACATTTTTGTCACTCAATTGACACAACCCCACTCCAGCCCTGATCGAATACGTGGACCGAGGTGGAAAAAACCCGAGCCTCTATCTCCTCGCCCTGACATAATTTCAACACCTCAGAACAGTGAGAGGCGTCGACAATCGGATCAATTTTCAGATGATGATTATGACGAATTGAGGGCTGCGTTGGCTGCTTCATTGGATTCGTTTGAGGTAGAGGAAGCTGCACGCAGTCCGCTGAGCATAAATCCTCCAACGAAGGCCATTCCTGCAAAGCTACCGCCACCTGTTAGTACGAATCAAGCCGTACCGCAAGATATGTCCTTCGAACTTGATGATATCCCGGACGATGCATTTGACTCATCGCCCTGCTTATCGCCTGTTGCACGGCCTGCCCAACCAGCGTCGTTTTCCTCCAATATCTCCAGACATCCTTCATCCTTTAGGCAAACTACGCTGTACGGTATGATTCAATCGAATCCGGGTCCATCACAGCAAGACCAGGACCCCGGCCCGCCAGATAAAGTCGAATCCCCAACACACCACAAATTAAACCACGATGCACTCAACACCTGGTGGTATCCCACGAATTTGGGAACCACTAGAGATTACCAATACAATATCACCCAAAAAGGTCTCTTTCATAACTTACTGGTGGCTTTGCCTACTGGTCTAGGGAAAACGTTCATTGCAGCGACAGTTATGTTGAATTGGTTTCGTTGGACGAAAGACGCTCAAATTATCTTTGTAGCTCCTACCAAACCATTGGTGTCGCAACAAGTCTCAGCATGCTTGGATATTGCCGGTATCCCGCGCTCTCAAACGACCATGCTGACTGGAGGTGCACCACCGGGCGTCCGTGCCCAAGAATGGCAGTCAAAGCGCGTATTCTTCATGACACCGCAGACACTGATCAACGATTTAAAGACTGGCATTGCAGACCCAAAGCGAATCGTTCTTGTGGTTGTGGACGAAGCCCACCGTGCTACTGGAGGCTATGCCTACGTGGAAGTGGTGAAGTTTCTGCGGCGTTTCAGCAATAGTTTTCGGGTTCTTGCCCTGACAGCCACGCCTGGGTCAACAGTTGAAGCAGTACAAGGCGTTATCGACGGCTTGGAGATCTCACGGGTAGAAATCCGGACTGAGAATTCCCTTGACATTCGTGACTACGTACACGCCCGCAATATCGAGATTGAAACATTCGAATATTCCGAAGAGATTCAATTATGTTTGGATCTCATGTCTGCAGCTCTGCAGCCCCAAATGGATCAACTTCGAACACTAAATGCTTACTGGGGAAAAGACCCTTTGATGCTTACTGCTTTCGGATTGACGAAAGCCAGACAGCAGTGGATGGCCTCTGATGCTGGCCGAAATGCCAGTTTTGGACTGAAAGGCATGGTGAATGCAATTTTCACCCTTCTTGCTAGCTTGGCCCACGGGTTGGACTTGCTGAAATACCATGGAATTGTCCCATTTTATCGTCATTTGTTACATTTCAAGTCGAATACTGATGGCCAAAAGGGTGGCAAATACCAAAAGCAAGTTGTGCAGAATGAGAGCTTCAAGAAACTTGTCAACTATGTCGATCCCTGGTCTAAAAACCCCGAATTCATTGGTCACCCTAAGCTGGAGTATTTGAAATCTGTGATCCTGAATCACTTCATGGATGCAGGTGAAGGGAAAGAGAATGCTGACAACACCCAGTCAGGTACGCGCGTCATGATATTCGTTCACTTTCGCGACAGTGCCGAGGAGGTGGCGCGTGTTCTCAAACGATATGAACCCATGATTAGACCACATATCTTCGTTGGCCAATCTAGTGCCAAAGGATCTGAAGGGATGTCCCAGAAGACCCAGCTTGACATCATTCAGAAGTTCAAGGGGGGAACATACAACACCATTGTGGCAACCTCTATTGGTGAAGAAGGTCTGGATATTGGCGAGGTGGATCGCATCGTGTGCTATGACTCTTCTGCTTCACCAATCCGAATGCTACAACGCATGGGTCGAACCGGTCGCAAGCGAGCCGGAAATATCACATTGCTTTTGATGAAAGGCAAGGAAGAAGACTCCTACGTCAAGGCCAAAGACAACTATGAGAAAATGCAAGAAATGATCGCCAGCGGCACTCGGTTCAATTTTCACGACGATTTGTCCGCTCGTATCCTCCCTCCTGGGATTCGACCGTTGCCCGACAAACGAATCATCGAAATTCCCCAGGAGAATTCGCAGCAAGAATTGCCCGAACCGAAGCGCAAAGGCCGCGCGCCCAAACGGCCACCGAAAAAGTTCCACATGCCTGACGATGTCGAGACTGGTTTCACGCGTGCCTCGACTTTGGGCGAAGACGGCGCACAGAAAGAGAAATCACAGAAAGAGAAAGCTACCAAGACACCCAATAAAAGAAAAACTGCTACGCCCAAGCGAGCTGCAAACCCTGAACCTGAACTAGCAACACCACCGACAATGGCAGAACTGAACAAAGAGTTTCCGAACGCAATGAGCGAATATGAACGAGCCATGCAGCAACTCGGCGACATAACAAACCCTCGCACGGGATTTTGGCCGCGTCCCGAGAAATCCGTGAGGAAATCAAGCAGGCCGACGAAGAGAATCCCTCATAGCTCTCTGAGTCGCCGCATTGGTAAACTTGTACGGAATATGGATCGAATCAGTCCTCGAGGCTAGGTAGAAGGCCACACGCATAATGCCCCTCACTTTGTTCATAAAAACTGCAACTATAAACTGCAACTTTGGAGTTTGCTCAGATATACCCAATCATTTTGAAATAGGACGAAGATCACAATATACCCATCCCGAGGACATCTTTCGAAGCTAAAAATCAATCTCCCGCTGGAGTTGAAGCCTTGCCCGCTTCGAAGCATGTTTTGAGTAAATAATAAAAAAAGACGTCAGAGTTATCATAAAAAAGGTTTTATAACATAGTAGAGTCTACTCGTAGTATCAGCAACATTCATTGGTACGTATTAGTTTGGAGCTAGTCCAGTAGGTATTGATAACTATAAACAGCGGACGTATCTTTCAGATCAAGCTAATCTTGAGCAACCTCCCGAGATCCAGCTATGCCGATAAATTGGCAGTTTCAAGACCATATTCTTGCGAGGTGCGTGAGCACATTAGTTCTCTCTTAAATATTGGTGATCTTCCAGATTTGTTTTACCATTTATACCTGATTTGATCTCTGTAGATTTCATTGGAATAAAGTATTGCTGCTACTTAGGCTTTCAATTTCTTCCCCGGTCTTTCTACAGGCCATGCAGTATGCCTTTGATGATTAATAGCTCTGGGCAGTAACCAGCGCATTTGAATCATCACTGCATATTTCCTCACCTAGTAATTAGTGATTGCAGATGTATACAAAGAAAAATGTGATAATATTTAGACACATGGGAAATATGTCAGCCAGAAGGGTTTTGGTAGCAGGGAGAGTATTGTGGCTTGTGCAATAGACATGTCTAGGATAGAGTCACTCTAGTGTAATCCATCCGAAGAACATATCACCTTAATTGGTGGTTTCACAAAGGAAATTATCTTCTTGTACACCGTCCACGGTGAGCATTCTTGCCCTTACTTTAAGTGTTGGCTAGTTCGATCGAGTTTATTGATTCGATCCGGTAGATAAGAAGTGATGCTATAACTTCAGGAATCTGGAGCCTTTGTCATTGGTCAATGATATAAAATAACTGCAACGTGGGGGCCATATTGTTTAGTAGCAATTTGGGGGCCATATTGGTATAGTGACAAAGAGACGGCAAGTGGCGGGACATCTGTCAAAGGATATTGTATGCAAATCATCTATATCATTGTTAAATACATGACTTTGACCCTCACCCAGCGACATCTTGACCTTAGTATCACAGATTATTGAGCGCGTGATGCGGTCTAAGAAATGAAAGGAGCGGCCAACGTGGATTCTCGACTAGTGCTAGGATACCCACTGGGGCCATTATTTTGATTTAACCAATCATAGTGAATTAATTAGATTATTTCCCCAATAACAATCCTTCGCCTAGAAATAATTATATCATGTGCATGTGCAGGCATCCGTATTGTTAACTTTCATGACGTGTCTCTTATCCCCCCACATTAAAGAAGCAACACAACAACTTCAAACCTTCACTTTTGCTATTGAAACCTACCTCTAAATCAAGATCGAGTATCAGAGTTAAATCCTAGTAAAATTCAGGATGGCAGACGAAGGACCACTCCAGCCTATGCTTCCGCCGCTCGGCAAACCCAGTGCTGCGGCGGCGAAAAAGAAATCTACAATCATCCAGTTCAATGTGAATATGCTTGAAATGGTCGATTTTGAAGAAAAGCTGACATATCTTGCTAGATATTGAAAGATCAACTCTCTATGACAACATGGTTACTGCTAGGGGCGGTGATCCAAGGCCTGGCAGTACTGACCTTACCTGCTTTCTACGCAATTCTTCCAGCTATCCTCCTTCTTTCGTACCGAGTTCTCGATAATCTGCTTATGACGGCTGGTCTGAAAAAGAATCGCTTCATGGATAATGTCATCATGGGAAAATTCACGGGGCAAATCCCAAACACAGATGGCGTGTATTCCAGCGAGCCAGCCGACGAGAATGTGGTCTCTTTTCAGTTGATCACACGATCAAACCAGTAAGCTCTTATGGTCATTCTCTCAATTATGTTGCGGTCTAATAAGGTTTTCATAGTCCTCTAGGTGTTTTGGCGCCTGGGGCTCGCGAGATTAATGCACTGGCACAAAACATGTTCCGCCAGTTGGCCGAGGAAAGGGAAACATACGGATGTGAGAATATACATCAGAGAGTGTTTGGAAACATTGAAAGCTGACATAAGAAATTAGTCCTTGGCTCAAAGACCTGGGTGGGAACAGATGAACGTTCCGGCGGAAATCATATTATGACAATGATGTATTTCCGTACCCTGGAAGGTGTCCATCGCTTTGCACATGGGCCGCTCCACACTGATACGTGGAATTGGTGGAACGCCAAAGGTAAAAAGTATGGATATCTTTCTATTGCACATGAGCTGTATTCGTCGCCGAGGAATCAGTGGGAGAACATTTATATCAACTCGGAACTTATGGGTCTCCGTAAGTCAAGCCTTTCCATATATATGGTCCATGAACTGATTAGGTTTTCAATAGCGGGAACCATGGTGAAGGTGAAGAAGATGCACAAGGAAGGCAAAGAGGATGGGTGGGAGTATGTGAACCCAGTTATCGATGCACGGAAGGGAAAGTTGGCAAGACAATATGGAAGAGTGAATCGCAGTTACGAGAATATTGGTACAGATGTTGACTACAATTATTGAGATCCAAGGGTATTCGAATAGGCTAGATGGAAATCAGGGGATGCAATTGAGTTGGTAAAAATAAGGAAAAGAGAGGGAAAGCAGATGAAAAAGCAAGTCTACTATTGACTCCAGGCACAAATTGCACTGTATTCAAAACCCCCTCACACGACAGAAAATCTCTCAAATAGCCTGAACACCAAAACGCATATGGGCACCGTCACTTCCATATGTCTAGGGTGAAAGCTCTTTTGATAAAGCGCCTGGGTCACATCAGAGGCCCTGAGCGCCCCCCGCGCCAGCCGGAGCAAAGTGTTGATGATGATCACACCTGGCCCCATGATACCTGACCAGTTTATATCATTGGACTCAAGTTCAAAGAATCGATATGCCGAGAGATCTTAGATTATCTGTCGGGTTTGTTCCAGTCCTTTGGTTTTCCACGCTATATGGGGCATGATATCTTCAAAATCCACAATTTCGATAGTTAGTAGTTCGCGGTATCTATCTAAAACCTGGGAAAATGTCAGGGTGGATGGTGGAATGATGCAACGGGGCTCATTTGGAGACTCGATCCATTTGCGGCGCAGGCGTCCCTCTTCTTGAATAGTACCGAATTGAAGCATGTTCGACAGAGTGTTATCAGATAAGTCATTTGTACTAAATCTTGATGCTCGCTGAAGAGGGCTACTTGGAGAGACGGGCTCGCCTGCTGCTCTTATACCCCAGACACGACTTCAATGTTTGGATGTTGAAGAAATATCTGGTGTATGGCGGAGCAAAGACACTATATAAATTTACCTTCAAAGCCTTCAAATTCAAGTGATGATACTTGAGGTTTTGTTCAATGTTCTTATTGTTCCCAATGTTTTTATCTCAATAGGCGATGTCTTCATCATAGCAATCGTCATTGCTAATTATATTTAGTTGCTCCAGTCTCAAAACAAAGCGCATAGCCTCGGAATGGCGCGAAGCCAAGAGATAGAGATGGAGCAAAAGGGAGATCAAGTAATTCTAGGATTTAAAATGGAAGATCTCTTAATCCAGCTTTCCCTCAGTCTTTCTCTTGCCACAAGCACGCTCAAGACAGTAGTTCGACGGGATTCGCTTGCAAAACAGGGTATAATCAAGTCTGATCTATTTACCGGCCATTGTTTATTTATTCTAGCAATCGGTCAAAGTTGCCCCCTAACGCAAGTTTCAGGGTTAGAGGCGCCCGGTGATGATTCTAGCATGATGGAGTAGATGTTATCTCAAAAGGAGGAGCTGAGATCAATTGTTTGTTGGTTCAGGTGCCATTACTTCAATGTTGAGTGGATTATGCCTTATGTTCATCAGTCAATGCATTTTTATATGTCCATAAGTCGTGGGATCATGTATTTACATCCCATATTAGTCAAAGTCCACCGGTGGTAGTCCTCGAACTTCCAAAGCAGTTTGAACACACGCCTCTAATATCTCGATGGCTTCTGTCCAGCTCACGAAACCTTGCTCAGACCTCGGGGTTTGGTTTTCAATAGGTTTGCGACCAAGGTTATCGTCTTCGACGAGCCAGATTAGCCATCGCACTACAGCGACGGCCTTCTCAATGTCTTTCTCTTCGACAACGACGCGACCCAGGTAGTTACATAAGACTTGCACATCCTCATTATACGGACCATGGCTCGCAAAGGCAGAATGCCATTCACCGACAGATTCTCGGAGGTCTGATAACCGTGAGAGACCTTGTGACGTAAATACAGGTCTCTTTGGTAAAGGAGGTAGTGGCAAGCACTTCTCCTCCGCGGGAATGGCAGCAGGGGCATCTGACTCGGTGTCACGGCTCGAATAGATGGGAGCGGGGTTGGAAGGAGGCTGTTGAAGCGACGTTCGCCGTTGTTCATCCAGGATCTCCCGTCGAATGTCCTCGGGGAGAGCAGCTAGAAAGTCTGCTGATATACCATGTTGTTCATCTACAACCGGAGAAGGTGGCCGAGAGATTTCATACTCCACGGGAGAAAAGGTTGGCGAGGGCTTCGAAACAAAGCTAGTCAACCTTTGTGATCCGTCGTCTAGTTTTGAAAATTTGGGTGGACGGCCGCGCTTTCTTTTTGGTGGTATGAATGGTCTCTTTGTACCAGCAGTTCCGGAAGACAATGGTCGAGGAGGCTCGGCAGGAGCCATCGATATTATATCTGCGACAGGTTGGGTCGATATCGATGGCTGCTGATTGTAATAACCCAAAACCTCATGACGCAAGTCATCTGGCAGGGCGGCCAATATATCAGGATCCAACTGGGACTGAGGGGGCAGTGATGGAGTAATGGGTCTTGGAGCTGGTGTTGGAGACGCTGGTTGAGCATCATCGGGTGGCCTTGTCTGCGCCACGAGTCTCGATCTTATGTCGCTAGGAAGTTCTGACAGGACGGTTGGGTCAACCTGAGTGGGCATAATAAACTGAGAGCCAGGAACGTCCGGAATTTTGTTGACAATATGTGTTGGCGTTTCATTTTCAACACGGGGGGGATTGTTCTTTGAGGGGCTCTTTGAATCAGCACCAGTGACAGTCTTCTTACGCGATGGGGATTTCGCGAAGCTGAGTTGCCGTTGGCTGCTATTGAGACTCGCCGATGAACCAGACTTGAGTAGTTCAAGTTTGGTCATCTGTACACCAAGCCCTCGCAAGTCGCCTGGAGAGAAATTGAGACTTCTCAACATCGATATGGCCTCTTTAGCTACAATATCGGTGGCATTGGTAGCAACACCCAGAATAATGCTCTTGTTGAAAACGTCACACTTCCCATGCCCGAGATGCTTGACTGGCTCCAGTGGTGCATCCATGGATCGTCGCATAACCTTCAGGGTGAGCTGTTTACCCTTGACTAAGTTTTCCACTAATCGGCGGTTGAGCTCACCGCAGAGGGACTTCACAAAGTCTTCTGCTTGGTCTTGATTGGTGAATCGAATGCCCCAATTGACTTCAGCGGAGACCGACTTTCTAATGACCTCGTTTCCGACTTCCGATTTGTCAACCCCTCGGGCGTATTCCCACATCCGGATCCCGGTTTTTGGACCTAGGCTAGAGATCAATCTCTCACGAGTGAGAGTCCTGATGTCCTTGACTAAAATTACCCCAAGGTCTTCTAATTTGGTACTCAAGCTATGTCCAACACCAGGAAGATCTCGGACCGAGAGGTCTCCCATGAAATCCAAGACAGCCTCGGGCTTCAATTGAAATTGTCCAGCGGGTTTCGCCTTCCGCAGAGCAACTTTCGCCTGTAGAATATTTGCACCAATGCCCACTGACACTGCACATCCAGTCTTATCTTTGACAGAATCACGGAGTCCTTGAGCAATTTCATCTGCCTTGGATCTTTCTCGATCAACAGACCCCTCCGAGACGGCTCTCCCGTCCGAGCCACCCGCCTCTAGACACAGCTGAGTGACATCGATGAGGGCTTCATCGATACTGACACTCTGGACAACTCCATCGATTGCAAGGACCGAGTTATAGAACTTCCGACTAGCTTCTTCGTAGGCAGGAAAATCATACGGTAAGACTTGAAGCTCGGGGCACGCCTCCAAGGCACCCTTCATCCACATACCATTCCGGACACCGCGCCCACGAGCAGCATAGTTGCAGCTCGCGACTTCGGAACCTGAACCGGAGCCATGCGCGATAGCGACAGGCTTGTCGCGGAGTTCTGGGTGTTTGAGAAGGGACACAGCCGCAAAGAATGAGTCGAAATCGACATGGAGAATATATCTCCTTGCTCCGTGGACGGGCTTCTTTTTCGCGACCTGGGACTGAAGCTTTTCTTTTGTTGCCGCTTGAAGCTGCGCTTTCAATTCCGCTTTCCACGTCGACAGATGGTGAAGCCGAGACTCTCGATAGTATTGTTGCAAGAATTCTGGGTTCCCAGCACTATTATTGGCCATTCGGGGATCGGAGAGGAGTTGTGCATTGTATTCTTCGGAAGTCATGTGCGTATTTGGTGGGATGGGTGGCTTTCGAGGTGGGTGCATCTGATCACTATCCAAGCGCGACTTGGGTTCGTGGTCGGCATGACCAGCAGGCGCGCTTCTAGCTTTGGGTGTATCCGGCGTGGTAGATGATTCAGTGTCTGGCGAATCCAAGGACGTGGCTTGGGGCTCCCCATCAACGGAGGTGAAGCTGGGAAAGTCACCGTAATCTGATTGCGAAGGTGGGGTTGACGGGGCATTTGGTTGGTATGGAGAATCCGATCTCCTCTCAGCTGGGTTCATAGCGTACTGCGGTAGTTTGTGTTGAATACTGCTGCGTCGGACTGCAGCAAACGCGCACCACGGCCATGGCCCGGGCTAAAAGCAACAGTAACCTCCTGACTGCGTCCGAGACCACAATTTGTTGATGATTTTCAAGCACTGCCCAAGAAAGTCTTGATAATAAGGCCAATGCTCGAGGGAGGGGGAGTATTGACGAGTACTTTCGAGGCCCGGAGATGCGGAGATAGAATCTCAACTGGTTAAAAGCGGTGAAATAGGTCACGAAGTATTTTACTAACAGTGAAATCCAAATTTACGGTTGAGTCTACCCTGTTATAAGTAAAGATAACAAGAATTTCTAACATTCAATGTTCATGGATATTCTCATAACAACTTGAGGTAACCGTCTAAGGTATCGAAAGAAAAAGAGAAGAAAGAAAAGAGACATAATCCAGCAAATCCAGTGCTGTTGGTTTATGCTGAAACTGTTGTTGGAACACCGTTACCATTGACTTTCTCCAAATGTTCGACTGCTGACGCCTTACTCGTTCCATTGGATGTCTCCTTGGGGTAGAAATCAACCTTGCCACCCTCCTGGATCACTCCCAGTCGGTCCAGGCCGAAACGAGCCCGAACGTAAGGATCCACCTTCCAGTGGTTGACCCGCAACCGCTCTGCCAGGAAAGTCCTCTGGCTGGCCGCAGACTGGATCCTGCTCTTATCTTTGGCCTTGGCTGCGTCGATCCATTCGGCAGTGGCAGCGAGGAACTCCTCGCCGATCTCACGTCGCTCCCGCAGAAGTGCATCCCGGGTGGTGGTGTCTTCCATTCGGGCATTCTCACCCTCCTTGGGCTCGATATATTTGTACTCCCAGTCTTCGCCACCACCTACACCCTTGGAGAGCTTGCTGCGATCGATAAATTTGGTGAGGTCGTCGGCGGAGTTCGTAAACTGCACCTTGGCGGCGATATCAGGGTCCATCCAGCCGCGAATGAGCTTCCAAATGCCTGTCACAATATCAGCCGATTGTTTCATTACGTGCGATGAGTGCGGAACGAACCAGAGAAAATCCAAGGGGCATTGTGAATCAGCATGATTCCCAGCGACTCTGGGTAGTTGGCCTCAAAACATTTCAAAATAAACTTCACTGGCGGGTATTCCATGTTCGAGAGACCAAAGCCCGTCATGTCAAACAAAACACACTATAAAGTACATCAGCATACTTCCTATGTTTTCCGTCGGTAGGTTCCACCCACAGCATTCTCAACCGAGCCAGACATAGTAAGTCGGACAGACTCGATGACATGAACAATATACCGCTCCAAGGTCTCTTCACTCTGTGCGCCAGGCTTGTGCAAGCGGACTTGGATGACCACAATGGGTCGACCCAGCTTGTCAATGCCGTGAACATAGCTCTTGCCCATGCGCATCTGATCAAGGAAATCTTTTCCTTCCTTCTTCTTCCGGGCATCGGATCCCTTCTCCTGCTGCAATGCGTAGAGCTCGCCCTTTGCCATCACATCATCGTCCACGTGCATCTCCTTGACTCGCCAGACAATGGCTTCCATCATCATCGCGAAGGCCTTGCAGACATCCCACTTGCGCGCACGGAGGAACCGCAGCATCATGGCATCAGGGTGGTCATGCTTCAAGATGTCCAAGACACCCTGTCGCAGCTCAGCGGGGCTGATCTCCGACAAAGCCTTCTGGACCATCTTGGTTTCATTAGGACCAATCCCATATTCACGGAGAAAAGCCATGAACTTTTGTTGGTAGGGCCTTGTAAGAGTGGGTGCAGTCTTGTCGGAGGTGGTGCTTTGCACGGTTGAAGTGCGACTCAGAAGGGACATTCGTCGCGGGGGTGCGGATGGCGTCGGGCTTGCCGGATGCTCCTCGACGCATTCACTGCTGTCTTCGTCGGAAGGCAGCTCAGCTGCCCTGAGTAAAATAGCCCATAGCTTCTGTAGCTTGGCCTCCTGTTCATCGTTGAGGTTGCCCAGAAAGCCAGGGCGGGGTCCTTCCGTGGCCATTGTGACTGTGTGCTTCTTGTGGGTATGCGCAGGTTGTTAGAAGACCAATTGGGTTTCGTGATCTGGTGAAGAGATTTGACGAGTGAAAGCTTCCATCAAGAGACTATTGTGAATGATATATGGTGAATCGCCACCCCTCCGATCGGCCCCAGTCCACATGAAACCCCTCCTGATTCTAGCGTCAGCCTCGGCCCTAAAATGGAAAGATAGAAAAAAGAGTTGAGGTCCATGCCACACGCTCCTATTACGCCATGGACGATTACATCCGATCGTGGGTAAAGATCAGCTAGGCCCGACTGGTTCCCCGGATTTCCCATCAAGGTGGAATGGAACCTCGGCCCTTTCGGGAGTAGTGAAGATCCACTCCATGTGTTGGCCACAATTTTGAGTGTCGTTATCCTCTCAACCTGCAGAGACCCTGATGAGCCCCCATCTAGTACAAATCCCCCGGCGCCATGACCCCCGTTTAATTTTCTATCTCTGACCGAGACTTTGCTTGGCACTTCTCAACTCTTATTCGTTAGACTCGGTTCGACATCATATCTGCAGGTCATGGGACCAATAATGTGATAAACTAGGGCCCCACATTATCCCCTCGTTCCTGATGAGGTGAACCGGAGAGATATCTCTCAGTTTGGTTAGTCTATCGATACAGATCGTCAAAGTCCTTCCCCACACCCCCAACTTTACAATGGCTGAACCCTAGTTATGACATTATAAACCGTTACCCCGCGACACCTCAATCCGATCATCTAGACTCTGCCAATGACCAACCGGTTCTATGGTCCGAACATTATCATTTAACAGAGGCCGAAATCATGCAGCTTTCATGTGTTATACCGGGAAGATCACGTCAGGGAAAGTAGGGACTTTGTATAGACTAAAAATTTGGCATTCCTCAGATTTGATGGAGTACATTTACATGTAGTACCCACTTACTACTGGTAGCTGATCTTCACCGGTTGTCCTTTACATCTATTAAACTGAGAAAAAGTATAATCGAGGTTATAAAAGTAGGGCGATGCAAATCAAAAATGTCGAACTCAACGTAATCACACCAGATTAATCAAAAAGGGAATCAACGCATTAATGAGGTTGTCGAACGCCTATAACACTGGTAGCAATCACAATCTTCCACACGAGCATCATACACTATTCTCAATCTTTGCCGAATCAAGCAAAGCTCTTTACCTGCGATTTCGTCATCTAGTGGGGCTGGCAGTAGATTCCACTCCTGAAATTCGTTGTAGGCCATATTGTGCATACGGAAGGCTTTTTTATCATCACGACGCTTCCAACTCGGAGCAAGTCGGCCAACCAGGTAGCAGAGGATCTGTAAGTTCCTCCATGCGTGCTTGGGAAGACATCTTTTAGCCTCGAAATGATCAGTCAGTATATCAAATTCCGCCATAATGCCGTTGCACCGAGAGTAATAGCACTTCGGAACACTTTGATAATCGTTTTCTATACTTTCTCCGTGAATGATTAATTCATCGATCGCTGACTTGGCGCTGGTGGATAGGTACTCTATGATGAAGGGGGCATATTCAAATCTTCCTCCCCAAGAGGAACATCTTAGTAGTTCACTGTAATACAGGAGGTCGTCAGCCAATTTGTCACGGGTGTTTTGGAAGGAGAGTTTTATCTCAGGTTGTGGCATCACGCAGAGACTGACTGGATATTTGCGCTGTATGTGGATTGAGAAAGCGCTGATTGATTGAACTTCCAAGTTTGTGATGGTTCCAAGTTTATCAAATGTTCCAATCTTGGATGTATATCTTTTTTATATTGCCAGCGACCTTGGGAGGTCTAGACCTACATATCCATGCACAGCCCTTGACTTTCTTCAATGCTGTAGACTGAAAGAATGATTCGAGTTCTTTGTAACATGGTTCATCAATATTTTCAAGCCAAACACATAGATTATTGTCAACCCGCCTTGAGTATTTCGCATCGATGTGAAAGGTGTGTTGTCTTGCACTGTCTCAGATAACAATGATAATTGATGGATGCTAGAAATCTTGGATGAAAGGGCCGTTTAATAAATCTCAAACATTTCAAACATCAATAATGGAAATATTTAAGAGTTATTAAACAGAAAAGGAAGAAGGTTCTTTACGGCAGTTGGTCATAATACCAGCTCACAGCTATTCTCTGAGAAGCTTTGGCATAAGGCTCCAATATCGATTGGAGAACCTACTGAGCATCAATTGTGCGAACAAAGGCTAGATAATAACAGTTTCACTATCTCATGTTTGCAGATACAACCCATAGCAGTTATGTGAATCTTGGCCGAAAGAAATCCATTGTCTATACTTTGTAGTAGGATGTTCTATTTTAATATGAAACATGCGTTGAAGCAATGATGAAGTAGCAGTATGCGCCAGTAACTCCGATGGTGCTTTCTAGTAAATAATTCGCCACAATAGGCAGTCTATGGATGACGTTATACCCAAAATGGATTTGGGTCCTCAATCTTGCTCAGAAGTTCACAGGGGAGTCTCTCCTAGACCGAACATCCTGATCGAGTTATTCCAGGCACTGATACATATGTTAGCAAGTAATTCAGCCCAAAAGACTTGAGTCGACTTACGCTTCACAAACTTCCTCGATGGAAATGCCCTTAACCTGAGCAATAACATGAGCAACACGAGCGATGGCCACAGGCTCATTCCGACCCTTGACCAAACATCCCTTCTGCCACTTCTCCTTCTTGACAGCCTTCGGTAACTCCGGGGCGCCAGTCAAAAATTTCGCCGACGCGTGTGAAGGGCGAATTTCGCACTGGTAGCATTGTTAGTGCTGAGTTATAGTAATTCCGAGAATATGCACTTACCCATGGTCCGTCCGTCTCAATCTGGAGCCTTTCTAGCGGGACAGCCTTCACAACCTCCAGATTTTCTTCGGTCTTCATACTGCAGCCATTGATACCGATATCAAGACCTAAGGCAACCAGTCTTTGCATCTCCTCCATTGTGCCCGTAAAGCTGTGTACAAGGCCACCTTTCGGCAAGTGAGGAAGCTTCTCGCTGATCAATCTCTCGAAATCCTCGCTTGCGGCGCGGGAATGGAGGAAGAGTGGCATGCCAATTTCTATCGCAAGGTCTAATTGAGCCTCAAAGTATTTCAGCTGAGGCTCCTTAGCGCTGTGGAATAGTCGGTCGTAATCAAGACCAATTTCACCAAAAGCGACAGCGAGCCCGGCTTCCTTGGACTTGATTGCTAGCTTCCGAAGCTCCTCGAGCATCTTGGCGGGTCCTTCAGGATATTCATCGAACAACTTGGCTTGACAAGGATGCACACCGACTGTGGCATAGCAAAATCCGGCTAAAGGATTCATTGTTAGAGCCTTGAACCAAGGACTTTGGAGAGGGAGAGCGTACGGTAGTTGCGAGCGATTTTGATGGCTTCCTCAGACTCTACTAGATCTGAACCTGTGACCATGAACTTCTGACAGCCCACATCCCGAGCCCGTTGGATAACATCATCCAGGTCACATTCGTGAGCTTGCTTTCCATGATAGGTGCCACTGAACATAGGATCACTCAAGTTGATACCGATCTGAAAAAAGAGTTAGCTTCAAATGTACTGCTGGTCTACTCGTAATCAGGAGAAACAGACGTCGACATATCTCGGTGGTTTGCTTTCTTCCCCCATGATGGTTGAAATGCCGCTTGAAGAGGCTGGGAATGCTGAACCAAAATATTTTACACTGCCCAGGCTAGGAACAGATCCTGTTCATATTGTTAGTTGATTATCAAAAAGAGGCCTATTCTGCCAAGTGGGGCCAGAAGTGCACGGAACAAATGACTCAATAGAACGCTCGGTGGAACATACTTAGCTTCCTCTGGGAATGAGTCAGAGAAGGACTTAAGAATACGATGTTTCTGTTTCCTGTTCCTGTCCCAATCGGGTTGCTGATATAGCGAAGTACGTTCAGGGGGGTACTTTTCAGGGACCTGATATGCATTCAAAGGGCGTTCTGTCTCAACCTGCTTGGCTTCCGACAATCAATACTGTCCTGTGGTGACAATGAGGTTTGACTGATAATATTGACACAGTTTGTGTTGAGGCACGAACCCCAGCCACATATATGGCTGAATTTTCGTAACGTGGCGGTGCATTGATAACGTAATCCCCTTCACACGGAGAGAAGTCCGCGTAGTAGTCGGTAACTCGCCGCGATCTGTTTAGGGTCCCGGTTCCCAGGATCATCAAGATCGATCGAAGTGACAGAGATCGAATACTGTTCGAAGCGTTAAGATTCAACATCAGAAAAATGTCCTGAAGACATGGAGTTGTCCTAGGAGTCATGACTTTTATTTCCAGGGGTCTGGAAGGACAATTCAAGTTCATACATTCCAAGGTTGGAAAAACAAACTTCTAATTTGTGAAGCTTCTTTAATTGGTGCCCCGGGGTAAGTCCGGGGACATTACCGGGGTAGAGAGGAGTGTCTCAATCGCGGAGAATGACCGTGATAAGCGCGCTCCGCCTTTCTACCTTGCTAACTATTAAACTCCTCTGGCTGGCTGGCTTCCACTTCATCATTATTGAAACGTTCTATAAACAATCAGCCCGGTCTGTCATTCTAATTAGAACTATCTTGGTACCTTCGCACTACTCTCGAAATGGCAAACCAGAAAGTACTTTCCATAGAGGAAGTCTCGGGGCATCGATCGCCCGAGGATTGTTGGATTGTGGTAGAGAACCAAGTGTGGGATGTAACAGATTTTCTTGAGGAACACCCTGGAGGGTCTGCCAGTAAGTGAGCTCTCAATTTGTCAAGGAACTTCTATTAAAGAATTCACCAGTTATTCTGAAGTATGCGGGCCGCGATGCTACTAAGGCCTACTCAGAAGTACATTCGCCGAGTGTTTTGAAAACAGGCCTAGAACCAGAGAAGCTCAAGGGAATTCTTGATGAGTCAACAATCGACGAAAATTGGATTAAACCCCCACCAGGTGAAAGTGCCAAGGTGCTTCTCGACAACGAAAAACCTTCATTGGAGACCCTGATCAACTCGCATGACTTTGAGGCTGTCGCTTCCAAGACTGCGAATAAGAAGACATGGGCTTTCTACTCTAGTGCATCTACAGACTTAATCACCCGAGACGCGAACAAGTCGTGCTTTGATCGTATATGGTTTCGGCCGCGAGTACTCCGCAATGTGCGATCTGTGGATACTCAGACAAAGATTCTAGGTGGCAATTATAAGCTTCCTCTTTTTGTTAGTCCAGCCGCGATGGCCAAACTCATTCATCCCAAGGGAGAATGTGCGATAGCTCGAGCATGTGAGAAAAAGGGTATCATTCAAGGAGTGGGTTCAATTTCTCCTCAGAAATCATTGTTTGCGTTACTAATATCAGTTCAGATCTCAAACAATTCTTCTTTTACTATGGATGAACTGCGAAGCACTGCTCCTGATGCAAGTTTCATTTTCCAACTATATGTCAATCGGGATCGAGAAAGGTCCGCCGAGCTTCTCCGGCAGTGCTCAGCCAATCCCAACATCAAAGCCATCTTCGTAACCGTAGACGCCGCATGGCCGGGGAAGCGAGAAGCAGACGAACGTGTCAAGGCAGATGAAGGCATTACCGTCCCAATGTCACCTTCCAAAGCGCAGAATGACAAGAAAGGCGGTGGTTTGGGTCGTGTTATGGCCGGGTACATTGATCCTGGTCTCACATGGGAGGATCTGAAATGGGTCCGACAGCACACCCAAAAGCCAGTCTGTCTCAAGGGCGTGATGTCCGCAGACGACGCTCTCATGGCGATGAAGGCAGGAATGGATGGAATTCTTATTAGCAACCACGGTGGTCGTAATCTTGATACTAGCCCACCGTCCATCATTACTCTGCTGGAGATCCAGAAGAGGTGTCCTGAGGTCTTTGATGCTATGGAAGTGTATGTCGATAGCGGAATCCGTCGTGGAACCGACATCCTGAAGGCCGTGTGCTTGGGAGCGACTGCAGTGGGAATGGGTCGAAGCATGCTTTTCGCCATGAACTATGGACAGGAAGGTGTTGAGCATCTCATTGATAGTAAGTTACCGCATCTTCCTACACACCTTCGATCCTTTCCTAGCCGTCCAATGAAGTTAACAAAACTCGTTCCAGTCATGCAAGATGAATTAGAGACTGCAATGCGCAACATTGGAATCACGTCTTTGGATCAGGCATCCCCAGACTACGTCCACACAGGAGATGTTGATCACTTGGTCCCGGCTTCTCACTCACACCCGTACGCTCGAGGCAAAGCGAAATCCCGAAAGCGGGGCTCGAAGCTTTAATGATTGAATTCTCAGAGGTTTTAAAAAGCTCATTTGAGGTTCTAATTATTTTCATCTTCAGGAAATATATATAACAGATCACTTTCAACTTCCATCGAAACATGCACGTTAGGGAATTGATCAGGATATCATGTAGCAGGTACATAAAAGATAGCCAGGGAACCGATCAATAGTTTTTTATTTTGGCACATTCTGGTTGCTTCTGTAGATGCAAGTTCCTCGGAATGTTGAATATTTTAGGTCACAAAAGAAATGATATTCAGAAGTCACTAGCGGGAGAAAAGTGGCTCGCGTCCCAGTCAGGTTCACCGCTAACCCTAAACTACACAAATTCTGCCACCCCCAATATCATGCCCTTGAAAACGCGCACATTATCATGGCGACCATGAGCCTTGTCGCTGCATAGACGGCCCGAAATTTTTCGCATATGATTCACCTGTTCGATTCGGCCGAGAGCATGGTAATTTGTGACATCAATGACGACATTTGTTCATGGTACCGACGCATCTCTGACTCAATGATACCTCTCTCTGTTCTGTAGGCTGCTCGCTCCATCCACATGTCGAAATATGAGGAATTCAGATTCCAGTTAGGGTTTCCAGATTCATCCCGCATGGTCGTCGCTTCCAACAAGCCGCGAATCTCGACATCCAGGCGGCGTATCTCTGTCAGAAGGGCATGGTAAAATTGAGTGACAGATCTAAGTTTTCCCCCCGTCTTGTTGAGCTGGGATCTCAATCGCTGAATTTTGAAATACATATCGAGCATTGACTGAGTTCCTTTGTTCCCATCTTGGTTCTTCTCATTGGAATGAGGTTGGGGGTCGTTGGTCTCCGAGGTAATTTGGGACTCTCGGTACTTGACATCGTACGCTTGGCGAGTTCTCGGTTCAGAAAGCGTCGAGTATGCCTCTTGGAGCTAGTCACAGTTAGTCACAGACATAGGAATACTAAGACCAAGGAGGATCGTGACCCACAAGTTGGAATTCGGCAGTAGCGTTGGGAGATGGGTTTTTGTCAGGGTGTTTAGCCAGTGCAAGGCGTCTCCAAGCTGCCTTAATTTCGTTCAGATTTGCACTAGGTGAGATCTGGAGGATTGCATAGTAATCATCCAAGCCCTGAGCAGGGGGCACGTATCGATTGCTCATTGTTGTCGCCGAACAAAAAGATGCACGCTAAAAGTTGGGTGCACGACTGAAGCACGTTTTTGTTCGAGCCTGGATCGTGATTGTCGGAGTATGAGGTAAAACGAACCCCACCGTTGGTGCCATCGTTTGTCTGTTCACATAGGTCTTTTCATGTAGTTCTTTTCGCTTTGTTTTCCTCCATCTCTTTCGGAACAAAGAATGTCATATCCTTATAATACTATCTTCCCCAGGCCGGCATTAGTATCCAGCTGCCGACAGCTAGTTATATGACCCGCCTCAAGCGCTGTCTATGTCAAGAATCTTAGTTCGTGAAATGGGGTCAAAAAGGCCCAAGTTAGGTAACAAAAAACCCATGGTTTCGGTTGAAATAAATGGATGGAATGTCTTCAACTCTATTATATGAAGTTAGAGATAAGTTCGATGGTCAGATAGCAAGTGTCTGTACATGAAAATACTCCACTACCTCCTTTCTTGATCCCATTCAAGTTCTCCAGCTCGCTCTCGTTTGCGCTCGCGTTCTCGGTCCCGTTGGAGACCTCTCTTGCGACCACTGCTGCCAGCTAGGTCCTTCTCTTTCTCACGAGGGTCAATCACCATTAGCGAGTCCACGTCGGCCTGGTGTTCTTTCTTCCAGTTCAAATCTTTGCCCAGGGTATCCTTGCCAAAGCGGAGCTGGTGGGACATCCATCCTGCCTCGTCAAAATCTCCATTGTCCGCCGTTGCGGCTTCCGGGTCATCCCAGGATTTGCACGACTGACAATTGACGATGAAATGTAGATCACATAGTTGCTCTTCTTCATCTTCTTCTTGATCTTGGCTTTTGGTATCTTTGTTGGTTTGTGGTTGATTATTTGATATTTGAGCTGAGGATTGTGTGTCTGCGCTTTCAAGTTTGGCTTTGAAAGCGTTAAACATACGGAGTGCTTCGTTCTCTGCTGAGCTTCTCGGCCCTGAGCTAGATGCGCCGTTGGTGGAGCTTGGGTGAGGGCGTCTCCGGCCTCGAATTGCAGTCTCAGGAATCATTGACTCAAGGGCTGATTTCTTGTGGCTCGAGTCGGTAGATCCAGTGTCAACATTGCGACGCATGGAAGCTTTGAGAGATGCAATTTCAGCATTCGTTCGTGAAAGCTTGGTTTCTTTTGCAGGTGTAGGGGATCGTTCAGGTTCTTCGGGGTCTTGTATAGGGAGTTGTGCCTGGGGTTCTGGTGTTTTCGGACGTTGTTTGCGCTCCGTCGATGGAGATCGTTTCGGGGACGGAGAATGTGCTCGCTTTCGGGGTTGTTTAGACTCTGCTTTTTGTGACTTCGGGGCAGGCGCGTCGCTAGGTGCACCGGGCAAATCGGCGACTAGTTTTGTGTTGAACTTCGGCTTCGCTGGTCGCATAGGCATCTCCTCTTCGCCTACGTCATCGCCAAAGCTCAGTAAGACTTTTCCAGCTTTGGGGTTCTTCTTCTTCTTTTTGACCGCCGGCTTATCCCCTGTCGATGTAGAAACAGTCTTGCGATCCTTCAGCTTGCCTTCCATCGGGCCCAATTCTCCGACCTCACACGAGATTACTTTCACCGGGTATACGGGCTTTTCGGTGCCCTCGACACGCTCTGCCTCGGCAATCTTTAACACATTGAAGATACTGTCTCCCTCCAATCGGCCAAACATCGTACATTGCCCATTCAACTCCCGCTCGGTATTGTCAAGTGTGATAAAGAATTGACTACCGTAAGTCCCATCCTCACTCTTGGCCATTCCAACTAATCCACGCCGGTTGAAGCGCAGGCGACTGTGTAGTTCATCTCGCAAAACCACTCGCTCGTTCGGATCGCGCGCTTCGGGGTCGTATTCGAATTCCGGGTATTCGTAAATGGAGGTACCACCGGACCCAGTCCCCGTCGGATCACCACCTTGGATGACGAATCCTGGAGCGACCCGATGGAAGATAGTTCCGGCGTAGTAGTTGTCCTTGCAGTGTTGGAGGAAGTTCTTGCAGGTGAGGGGGACCTGGTTTGCGAAAAGAGCGATATGAATTGGGCCAACGGTTGTGTTTAACGTGGCCGAAGCGGTCGGAGTCGGCTCAGTGGCATACTGAGTAGACATGTCGAAAGAGTGAGCGGCCGAGAAGCGACCCGGTGGTAGATAGAGGGTCAATCGGGGAGAACTCAACGCTCGTCGTCGAGTTCGAAAGGGCGCAGTAAAAAGTGGACGGACGTCATGCAAACACGTGACAGCTCCTCTATATATCAACTCAGAAAATTATTCAATCGAAAATCAAACTAGAGAGAAACACGCCAATTGCTATTTCTCATCTTCACTAGCCTAGTGCATATGCCTGAAGCTCAGTACAGTAATTTAACTATATTCCTGCCGGTTGCTCATGGACGTATATGTATGTTTGCCCACAGAAGCAACCATCAATTTCCCGAGGTCCAAGACACAGTCTACTCTAAATCAATTTGAAGATAGAACGCCCTGTTCAATCCATGCCTAGAAATAATGCCTATGTAGGTATGTAACAATGTTCACGCGATTTAATCTTTTCAATCGCTTTCATCGTCGGAATAAACCTGGCCCCCAGATCGCCATTGTCCATATCTGCCACCTTCGCTCCCAGAATTGTCAAAATCAAACTCCTCATCATCTGACGCTGCACGTGTGCGATATTTCCTGTAGACAGCAGTAGGGTCATCTTCCTCATCTGACGAGGACAGCTCTTCTTCCGGATACTCATTTGCAGGGTGATTTTCAGCTGTTTAGTAAGACATGATCAGTAAAGTTTCGAAGACGAAGAACGATAGTAAAACCTACCATTTGAGTCTGCATCCTCACTATCCCATTCCTCCTCATCGTCTTCGATGAAGTTCTCCCAGTACTCTTCGTCTTCTTCGGTGATGACAATAACACCAATACCCGAGTTGGGAGCTTGGAGTGCCTTGAGCTGCTGCTCGGACTGCAATTCAGCCAGCGGGTTAGAAAGCATATCACTTTCCTCGATCGGGCGTCGAATGTAAACATCATAGACGTAGTCATCATCATCGCTGACTGGTGTTGCCACGTCTGCTTTTATCTCATCGCTGCCTGCAGAGGGCTGGGATGGCACAACTCTGGGTTGTTTAGGAGGCCGGGGCTGGTGCTTCAAGGGCTGCGGAGGTTTGTATTGTGGCCGAGGCTGGGGTGATGGCGGAGCAAAGTTATCGTTGAAATTCCGAGGTTCCACCTCCATATCGCGTTCGATATCTAGTGCAACCTGTTCAAATTCCTTGGCGAGACGCTCGGATTCTTCGTCCCAGGTGCTCTGCTGCGCCCGCGCAGACTTCTCTAACGTTTCTGAAATATGTTCCTTTGCAGCAGAGATAGCGCCCTGTCGCTCCTCTCGCCACTTCTTCTCAGCTTGATTCACCACAGGCCGCTTTCTGGGCTTTGCTGGAGGTTCTGCCTCCTCAGGGGTCTTGGCTCTGACACTCTCTTGGCTTTCAGTCTGTGCTTGGTGCACGAGGTCTGCGATCATAGAAGCTTGACGCGAATGCGACTTGCGCTGAAGCTGCTCCACTAGAACAGCTATTCCTGGGGAAGGACCATCGGCCCGGCGCTTCTGAATACCGGCCCGGGATCCTGGACGTGAACCCGGAGTCGAGGCACTGGGTCTGGAGATCTGGAAGCGGCGCACAGACTGCGCATGGCGCGGCGAAGGTGGTACAGAAGCAGAGCCAGAATCCCGTCTAATTGGTCCTCTTTCAGAGATGGACGTACCCCCCACCGACGCTGGGGAAACAGATTGCGGAGCAGGAGAACTGTGGATTGCCCGCTGGCGCTTTTCTTCGGCCTCTTTTCGAGCAGCTGCGGCCCGCTGGACTTCACGGATCTCTGCACCTGGTGAGGTTGCTCGCACTGTGGGGATTCCATTCCTAGAACCGGACTGCGCAGTACGGTGAGGTGGAATGTGCAGACTACTCACTGACCGAGGACTACGAAGCAATCTCTGTGTGGCCGGATGAGAGGGCGCGGAGGCCCCAGAATCAAGAGGGCTGCCATTGCTGTTAAGTGTCACCCGATGAAAAACATAGTCAGTGAAGCGACGCTTTGTCAGGTGGTCAGATTGAATGTCTATGTTGTATTAGCGGACATTTTGTTATGAGGAAATAAACTTAGATATAGCGGGGTAAATTGTGGAAAGTTATATATTTGGATCAAACCAATATGCAAATTGGAGAGTCAGACTGTAACAGCAACAAGGAACCAGACGAGAAAATGCGCAATTGCAAACATGAAACGATATTGGTGATGCAGCATGCTCGAACAGTGCAAAATGTGGGGTAGAGAAGAGACGAAAAAAAAAAAAACAGAGGGAAAGGGGCGAAGACTTACAAAGTGTTTCCACGGGCTCCTCTTCACGTCGCCGCTTGATATTAATCTGTTCTGGAGGAAGTGTCATTTTCAAGACTTAAAAAGAGGTGACAATGGCTCGACTTGGAGAGTTTCAAGGTTGGAAAGATGGAAAGCTTGTCAATGACTCCAGATCGGGTTAAGGAAGATGCACGTGACTCCTTGCGATTAAGTCACTGCTTTACCTTAGGTGTCGCTATAACCTTATTTTATGACAATTTTTTTGACTTCAAATTCCATTATATCATAAGAGCCCATTTGATATGAATGCCCCACAATCCTATGGACAGGTTACAAAATATAAGGCGGCGGCAATAAGTAATGGCAATACTGACTGATGGATTTTGATATATGAAAATTGCTGTACTTTGCTTACTGCCTGGTTCTACTTTTGCTGTTTTATCAAAAAATGCACAGGTTTTCATGTACAGAGATGAGTTTTTGGAAGATGCACATGGCTCTATATTATTGTAGGATAATTGTTCATTCAGTCATCGAATAGATTCTTCCGGAAGAACGAAAAGATCCTGCGAGCAGATTCTTTGCCGACCAGCGGATCTAGTTGATCTATCTCCATATTTGCTATCTCACTAATGCTGTCCGTCTCCAAAATAAGTCGGTCAAGTGCTTGCGGTGTCACACCGGGGACAGCACGCAGCATATCCTGCGGAAGAAGATTGAAGGTACGATGCTCAATGCCAGCGGCAGCCATGACATCACCAGATCCGGATCCAGAGATATCAATGTCTAAGCCAATTTGAACAGCCCGAACGGGATCAGGCTCTGGGTTGTTCTTTTTGAGTTCGGCAAAGATCTCGGCGGTCTGATAAGGCGAGGATGACCAGATAACTTTGAGGCGTGGGAAGGCAAGCGTAAGAAGAACAAGTAAGTGCTGGGCACTTTTGGGGTTTGAAGAATTCGTCATCCCACTAGAGCTGGTGGCAGCCCCAGTGGTTGAGAATCCGGAGTCAGTCCTAATGTTGCCGCCTGTGAAGGCGTCAAACGTAAATGCCTTGTTTTGATCGAACTCGATCAGAAGAAGAGGATATTTGTAGTGTTGGAGCATGGTTTCGGCTTGGTTATACAGGCGACCATTCCTGAGGGATTGCATGAGATCCTGAACCGATTTTCGCTCCACGCAAATATCGGGACTGAGGATATAATCACCTACCGTGAGCTGAACTGGGACCACGATGGTGTTGTTTCCGTGTAAAAGAGACGGAAGGGCACTTCTGAACTCGCGCACATCGACTACCACCAGTGGCGGGGATGCAGTTGCCGCTAGTCGCCCACCTCCAGCGATCCGGGTATTGACTGTGCGGAGGAACTGCTCTTGTGGATTTTCAGCACTCTTGTCATGAGTCAAAGTGACAGCCATGTTCTAGATGATAGTAAGTTAGAGACCATTCGAATATGGTATGAACTTCGCGACTTACCCCTTTCTCCCTGATCAACTTGGTGAAAGAGTCCTTTTCTCGACGCACGGCACTTAGATATCGCTGCTCTTCAACCGAGCCACCATAATACATGAAATAGACCTTCACATTCCGTCCCGAGTGCGAGCTACGGTAAACCTCAACCCTCCGAATGAATGCAGAGTCGGGCTCATACATGATGATGTACCGCGGCCGAACTTCCTCAAGAATGTGTTCATCCATGTCCCCGTCATAGGAATGAATCGTAATGAGATCATTCATATCGTAAAGTTGATAATAGTCTTCCATGTCCTCAAGTTCGTCAATATCGATTTCGATCTTTTGCGTTTCCTCGACCTCAGTTGGCTGAATCTCATTAAGAAGATTGATGACTTCACTAGGCTGTTCAACCTGGGTTTGAACACTGCTGTTTGGGACACGAGCAGCTGCAGAATTTACTGCCCCTCCACCTCGGACTCTCCGACGCTTGTTAGGAGGAGGCCTTCCTTGTTGTTGCCTTTGACCTGATGGTGTCCCTGGAGTTCCGGGCTGGTCCTCGTCCTGTGATAGATTTTTATTCACGTTTGAAAGTGATTTTTTCCAATTGAGGTAACTTCGCAATCGCCGCCTCATCATCACATCCGCTGAACCCTCTTGATTTGGTTCATCTTCATCTTCATTTCCATGTCGGGGGTTGGTGACTCCTCCAATCTTGGTACTCATGGTGCTGATGTACTCGCGAAGCTGATAACACGTTTTGACCGCACTGCACATGATCAAAATGGTGTTATTTGATTCATCTGCACTGTTTGGGTGCAAGTAAGCATCATATTCAATTTCCTGGAGTACGTCCGCAAGTACGCTCCATTTTGGGAGAGGTTCAAGCACGGGTTGCAAAGCGGCCGAAAATGCGGCCGAAGATGTTGTATCAAGCTTCCCTTCATATGCTCTTGACTTCGCAGTTTGGAAAAGAACATGGGCAGCATCAAGAAAAAGCCACGGCGAGTAGTTATAAGAATTGGACCCAGGAGGTGGCGCATTGGCCATAACAATTGTATCCAAGAACTTAACGAAAGACACCGCGTCGTATGTAAGTAGAGCCCTGTATTATCATTAGCGCCATAATAGGAAGACAAGGACAGGGGACATACTGAAGAATTGATTGCAGATCTGTCAGATCGTTGACAATTTGCTTGGTTCGAAAGGTCACTCTATGCCATATTGTTTGCAGCTGCCGTCTGATCGCTGCAGCGAAGTTTCTGTGAAGGGCACTGTCTAAGGTCCACTCTTCCATATCCAGACCAGTGTTGGTTTTGCGAAGTTCTGCAACACTGAGCTCAACGCATTCAAGAACTGCGTTCTGAATTTCTCGCATTTTATGGCTCATTGGAACTTCTAATTCGATAACTTCGGCCTTGCGATCTCCTTCCAGTGCCTCCGACACGGAGACGTGAAATCTGGGCCACAAAGATGCCTTTCGCAGAAAAAGATTGCGGAGCATATTAGCCAAGGGCGCAAATCCTGTGGTAAATGGCTCTGGAGATTCTGAAAAAGCTTTTAAAAAGCCTCGCTTATTGGATTGTCGGTATATGCGCACGATGAATGCCTCCAATGACGTTGCAATCACCTTGTCGGCATGCAGGATGACCATCCCTGTTACTTTCTCGGGGTCGAGCAACTTTGACAATAAATCCGTGACCAATATCCTCGATGTAACACTCAGAATACCACCCTGGGCGTAGATTCGCTCTCTGGGAGATTCAATCAGCACAATAGCAATGAACCTGGAATGTAAGAAGCATTCACCTCATAGACACAGTCGCTTTATCAGTATTGATTGCTTTCAATCCTCTGGCCAGTGGAGACTTGCTGCGATCGTTATGCTCTGAAAGCGCTGTTCATGCGGAGTGTAAGTTACCACGCTGCGTAAGCCCAGTAGATATCGTACCCTCTCCAATCCACTCATTCTCTCGATCATCCGCCCCGACCACCAACACCAAATTATTGCCAGCCACATCGTGGAAATGAAGGAAATTCGTTATCAGTTGTAGAAGGCCCAGGCCGCGAGCAAGTACGACTAGCTCATCCTCGGCGCGTAGTTCGGTGAAGATGTCCTGCTGATATTGCTGGTTGAGAGCATTAGTGATGTCACTTGATGATCTGAGAAAGGTTGGGAGTTTACCAGGGGCAGTGACAGCTTCACCGGCGCATTGTTTCGTTCCGGAGGCATGAGGAGCCTGTCTTGACGCGTTGTTAGAGTACAAGATCCCGCGGGTGAGTCGTCGCGAAGTCACGTGGTGACTTATGATGCAATGAGCGGGAGCAAGTATCGAATATATCAATGTGATCAAGCCGACGTGCGTCCTCCTATCGATAGCTGCATATGAAGCATTTTCCCAATGATACAGAGTCTTTACAAATCGGACACCTGGTCTGTAGATGTAGCGAGGTATCGTCACTTCTCTAAGTAGTATTTCGGAGTGATATATTCAATTATTGTACAAAGTTTACATATCCTGATCATCTTTATTCCAGGAACTCCATCACCAGTTTAGGAATCTGAGAAACGCCCTCTCCTCGAATAGCGCTGACAGGCACAGCTTTCACTTTCTCTTTCCAGCCATCAGGATGTCCAGATGGGTGATCAACCGTGCCTTGCTGCACAGCGGATAGATATTCTTGGAGAGCTCGGTATTGGGGTTGTGTGTGCTCGAGATCAGCCTTGGTAGCCACGACAAACCAAGCCTTGGTGTGAACAGGAGGCATTGGGAGGCGAGGGAGAGATCTACTAGGCGTGTTGAATGACTCGTGAGTCGTTTCGTCTTCGAGCTCTGGGAATGCATCGGAAGGCGAATCCCAGTCAATCACACCCTCCGGCTCATCGGCAACAGACTCTGCTTCTGTGTCACGAAGTCTTTCATACTCGCCGAGTTCATGCCATAGCTTCTTCAGCTCTTGTACGGGGTCACCGTTGCTCAGATCCAATACAAAGGCCAGGATGCCCGCCCGGTCAATATGTCGAAGGAATCCGAGGCCAAGGCCTCGGTCTAGGTGTGCATCCTCAACAAGACCCGGGATATCTGCAATTGTGAAATGAGTTCGGTTTTTCTTTCCCCGGTTTTCGACCAGCGGTCGACCTTTATGATTATCAACGATGACAGTGCCAATTTGTGGGGACAAAGTAGTAAACTCCCAGTCCCCAATGCGAGTGCGGCTGTTCGTCAAAGATCGCAGGAGAGTACTCTTTCCCGCGTTAGGCTTTCCAACCAGGCCAACATCTGCCAGCAACTTGAGTTCAAAGTCAAGCTCCAGCCGCATTCCACCCTCGCCCCGGGAAGCAAACTTCGGCCGGCCCCTAACACGACCAGCAAAGTGAGGGTTGCCTAACCCACCGGCACCACCAGCGGCCAACAACATAGGCTTGTCCATTGGTGCTGACAGATCAAGAAAGATCGGGGCTTGAGGTTCCATCGCAGCAATAGCCTGTCGGCGCGGTTTCAATCGAGGAAACTCCACCGTCAAAAAGTCGGCTGGATTGGCACCAGGATAGAGCACCCAGCGGTCAAAACGAATAGGAGTGAAATCGGATTCCTCCTCCTCTTCCATCTCCTCCATCTCCTCCCCCTCTTCCCCTTCTTCCGTTTTCGCCGGTTTTCCATGTAGGGCACGTTGCTCACGCCGCTCTTGCTGCTCGAGCTGCTGCTCCTCGTAAATTTTCCGCCTCAGAGCTAGCTCTTCTGCAACCGGATCATGACGAGATACCTCGCGAACCACTGTGCCAACGGGAACCTGGATCAAGACATCATCACCACGTTTCCCACCCATGCTTTTGCCTTGTCCGTTTCTCCCTCGGCTAGCTCGGATTATACCCCTTCGAGCAAGTTTGTGCAGACTGGTCAAGCCCTCCACAGCTTGGATGTAAATGCCTCCTCCGCTGCCACCATCACCTCCATTCGGAGGACCTTCTTCAATGTATTTTTCTCGTAGAAAGGCAACACAACCGTGGCCGCCAGCACCAGCATGCATTGTGACTGTGCATTTGTCCTGGAAAATGAAGCGGGAGTAGTCTTCTGGCGACGGGTTCAAATGCGACAAATCTTTGGCTTCATCTTGAGGAGGAGTATCGGCGAATCGTGGGGCTTCGTTCTCGGTGGTATATAGTCTCCGAGGAGGAATTATGGCTCGAAGGATTCGGGGAAGGAGGATTTGTGAGTAGGTGAGTCGTCCAGCTCGAAGCGGCTGCTTCGAGAGAAAAAGACAGGCCCGTTGATGCGCCATCATGTTGTAGGTGTTTTAAAATCAATTCTTATTCTGGCAAATGCAAGGTGTGCGCAACCAAACTAGTTGTTGAGCATGGTTTGTAGATTGGACCAATATGTATAGGCTCAGCTCAAAGTCGACGTTGATGAAAGAAATGCTAGACCTTGAAGCTGAGCTGCAGTCCGAAACCAAAAACCGAGCTCTATCGATAAGCGTCACGTGGTGATAAGCCACATGTTTTGGCACGTTTCTCACCGTGCAGCTCCTGGCTGGTACTTGAGAATCGAGATAGAACTCCTAGATTTATGATTGTATATTTTCATTATTAGCGTCTCAAAAATGCTGGCCCACAGACTTGATCATACCAAGCCCATGTGCCCAGCGGCGCAGCTAGTAAATGGCCACAAGTTGACAGACTGGCACCTTTACACCACCCCAAATTCTAATCATACATTGTCTCGACATGTCTAACATTATTATATACAAGAAATATACGGATATACGGTTCACATAATGGCTCCTTTCACTATCAACTGGAATCAAAGTCTTTAGATCAAAATAATAAGCGTCAGACACCTCGGCTAATTACCAACGGAATTCGCCGTGTCTCCATGCGATAAGAAACTGATAGACTCCAATTTCCCCAACGTCAGAGCAGCGGGGTATTGCGCCGGCCCCTCTCTTTTACCCGATTAAGCAGGTGGTCGGACATTCGTATCTCATGCAACCATAGCGGGGATATTGTGCAGCTCTGTATAAACGAAGTCTTCCACGCATTGCTGACACGCCTTAAAGGATTCATTCCAGACCATCAAGATGCCGCTCAACTCGAAGGCTATTTATGCAAAGACGGACGCTGATTTTGTCCCTTTTGCTAGTCGGAGAAGTACTGTTCACAGCAAACATGGCATTGTGTCATGTACGCAACCGTTGGCAGCTGCTGCGGGGCATCGCATTTTGAGCCAGGGTGGAAATGCAGCGGTATGTTGATGTTTCAGGATTACTAGCCTATTGGAAGAGAATTGAAGACTAATCGTTAATTCGTTTGCCAGGATGCTGCTGTTGCTGTTGGTAAGTCTCGAGACTCTTGTAAAATCAATATGAAGACTACAATCTGATCGCATGACATATTATAGCTGCCGCAATGAACATGTCTGAGCCTGGCTCGACCGGAATTGGCGGCGATATGTTCTGTCTATTTTACAAGGCTGAAACTAAGAGAGTCCATGCGCTGAACGGCTCAGGTCGATACCCCGCTAAGGCGACATTGGAACAAGTGCGCAAGGACCTGAACTTGGCTCCCGGTGCACCAGGGAGCATTCCTTTCTTGAATGCTCTCGCGGCAACAGTCCCCGGCGCTGCAGCAGGCTGGGTGGATACAATTGAGAAGTTTGGAAGTGGCAAGCTGTCATTGGAGCAGATTCTGACACCTGCTATTGAGATGGGTGAAGAGGGCTTTGTAGTCTCGGAGCTTGCGTCCCACGGTGTCAGTGATTGCTCTCGTTTGTATTATTTCTTATCTATAAGCTAACATAAGTCTAGTGGCAAGAAGCTGAGAAGGATATACGTGCCGCGTCACCTAACTTCCGCGAAATGCTAAAGAAGGATCCAGCCGCTAAGGACGGAGTGCGTGCCCCTCTCCCTGGCGAGATAATGAAGAACCCCACATTGGCGAAGACTTTCCGTGCTTTGGCAGCCGATGGAAAGAAGGGCTTCTACCAAGGTAGAATTGCAGAGGAGATTGTGAAGGTAGCCCAGGATCTGGGTAGTTATTTGGACCTCGAGGATCTTGCTCAACATGCCGCGCAGGGTACACAGGAAGTGGATGCCATCTCACTCAAGTTCACCGGCCAAGACAATGCATCCAAGCAGTCACCAGGGACCAATGGCACTAACCAGGGTGTTGAAGTCTGGGAACATCCGCCTAATGGCCAGGGTATTGTCGCACTCATGGCCCTCGGCATTATGGAAGAGCTAGAGCGGGCTGGCAAGATCCCCAAGTTCAGCCAGGACCAACACAACTCTGCAGAATACCTCCATGCTGTGATTGAAAGTGTAAGAATCGCCTTCGCTGACGCGGGGTGGTGGGTGACAGACCCTGATGTGGAGCGAGTACCCTCGCAAGGCCTTCTCGCTCGTAACTACCTAGCCGAACGGGCGAAGCTGTTCTCGCCAGACGGTGTGGCCGAGCTTTTAGACCATGGCAGCCCAGCACACAACCATTGCGATACAGTTTACTTCGCCGTGACAGACCGCGAAGGGAACGGCATCTCGTTCATCAATAGTAACTATGCTGGATTCGGCACATCTATCATTCCCGCCGGCTGCGGCTTCACTTTGCAAAACCGTGGTGCCAATTTCTCCTTGCAGGCTGGGCACCCGAATGTCCTGGCCCCACACAAGCGGCCCTACCATACTATTATTCCCGCCTTGATCACCAATGTGGAGGACGGCTCTCTGAACTCCGTGTATGGTGTGATGGGTGGCTTCATGCAGCCACAGGGCCATGTACAGGTGCTACTCAACATGCTTGCATTCGGATACCACCCTCAAGCAGCTCTTGACTCCCCGCGTATTTGCGTCAAGGCACCAACATCTGAGGATCACGACCGCACAGTGTGTGTCGAGGAGGGGATCAGTGAGGAAGCCATTGAGGGATTGCGCCGTCTAGGCCACAAGATTGAGGTGTTGAAGGGTTGGGAAAGGTCGATGTTTGGTCGGGGGCAGATCATTCGTCTACATTATGACGATGATCAATTGGTGTATAGTGCAGGCAGTGACCCGCGTGGCGATGGAATGGCCTTTCCTCTACTGTAAATTAGTGGGGTTCTGTGCCGCTTGAATACTGATATGCCACCAGACCTTGGACTTGGCCAATCAGCGAAAGATACGACTAGATAGACTTATATGCTCGGTATTTCCCGTGGGAGATGCCCCAGTCAAAGTACGATGTTTCAAAGGGTGGTGTTTTCGAGCCGTTTCGAATGATATTGCCAGTAAGATCTAGAAAAGTAGATAGAAACATCGAAAAGCATCCAAAAGTATTGGACTGATGACCAGGCAAATACTTCTCCCGGCTCAGGTCAGAGTGAAACTCTTAACATATAGACGAAACAAAATCCTAAACGCCCCACAAGTGCCGAGATCGAGAACGCTTCAACAAAGATATTGACACGTGACTGACTGATAAACTGACAACGCCATGATGGTATTCAAAGACAGGAAATTTAGATGAATAAGTGCAAGCAATGGGTCCGAGGATGGCAGTATATGCACAGGGTGGATATCAGCTCATTAGAAAGATTTCATCAAGAGAGGACCCAAGAAAATCAGTTCAATTCGTTGTCCTGCATGCGCAGGATAAAGTTGACCACAACAGCGGCCAACAGGGCGATAGCCAAGATAGTGGGACCAAAGCGGTCATCGAAACCGCTTTGTCCACGGCGCCGAATACTTTGAGCGCGCCAGTGGAATGTGATGACTGCATAGATCATCGCAGCCATTGCGATAAAGGTGAAGAGGGCCGCAGAGATGCGACCGATACGATCACCGAAGTTCAGCAAGCCGACGGCCAGACCGCCCAAGATAACAGTGAAGTTCAACCATGACAGGAACGTGCGCTCGTTGGCGAAAAAGACCTTGGGCTCGACACGGGTAGGGAGGGCGATCCGCTTGCCTGGAAGATGTTAGTTTTCTACCTTACATTGGAATACATTGGGAGGGATGTGAAGCGGATCGACGAATTATGGCCTCGGAGATGCCCACGTAGCTCGGGGCTTGAAGCCTCAAGCATATCAATTGATTTGTTGGCATCCCATCTGCAACCTGCATTGGAAAAAAGCAAAATCACTTACCCGGCGCGGTTTGGAGAAGAGGTTGGCTAGACATGACTTGAGGGGTGCACTGGCGGGAATGTGAAGTTGCACAGAGGGTAAGGGGTGAGATTCCAACAGCAGCGACCCGATTGAGATTTTGTACTTTTCCAAAGCTCTCGAGAAATGTGTGGTGATGAAAGAAAGAGAAGATCGAGAGTAATAAAAGAAGTGGCAATTAGCCAATCCCCGCCGAATGACGAGGGCAGTCGCGACCGCTGGTGCCAACTTTGGGACCTTACCGCATTTGGACTAGTGGTGGTGTAGCTCTACCGCTGGTGTCTGCACGTGCGTCCACTGCTTACATCGCTTGGTTCACATTCATTTCCTTTTTCTTTTAGCACGAAAAAAAAGTCACGAAAAAATTAATTTGGTCTGAGACTTATACGAAGACACCTTCCAAGCTTATATCCATGGTTATATTTCTTTTCAAAACCTAGAAAAACTCTGTAAGTATTTCTGAGTATTCCAATGCCAGAGAATATCATTACCGTTGACCTTCCAAGGTTATTGGCAATTGCTTAACAATGGCAAGACTTGCAATAAATTGGCTGGCCATGAACTAGACCCCACTATGTCTATCCGCTAACAATTTAGACTCAATTGACCTTTACCAATAGGATAAATCATGCACCTGTGGCTAAATTGTGGTCTACGAACGACTAACCTTCACAAGGTAATTACCCTGCAGCACGGATTAGCAGTATCAGTGGCGCGGTGATCATCCGATCTCTTCTCAGATTTTATCTCCATAGTATCACTATCATATTCCTTTTCAATTTTCCTTTGAAGTAATAAGTGACATCTGCGCACCATTCATGTCAACTTTAGAACTTTAAAAACGAAAGCTTTACGATCTGAAATCAGAAACCCACAGCGAGTGGAATCTGGGCCCTTTTCATTGACCCGCCACATCTTGCGGGAATTGTCGGCCCGGAGTGGACTCTCGGCTCCGGGCTTGGTTTCAGGGAAAGTCCCGATGTCTACGGAGTACGGAGCTCACCATGCCATTTACCAGCATATCTTGCTCTACCATTTTAGGTAACCGAGCACGTGTCAGGTGCGTTTTAGGTGGCATTTGATTTTTCTTCTTCTATTTCCATTAGCCTAGTCCACTAAGTAGATGCAGCCATTGACCAGTCCATAATAGGCAGGAGTGCATCTAACTATATTTTACCGAGGTGGGGTGATTTTTCAGCCACTTGGGCATGGACCATGCGAGCACCAGTTTGTCGCATCTAGATGCTTCCCTTGTTGTTGACCCCGAGACGAGATTTCATGACTCACGTAGTATCTACAGCCCCCACTTCCACGCTCTCTCTTTTACAGATCAATCTACTCACCACCGTGCATGAAATCCCCGGAGTAGCTATTTTACACGACCAAGAAATATCAATATCCTGAATTCCATGTATAGGTGCAGAGTAACTGAATCGACATTCAAAAGTTGCCACAGAGATCCTATGAAATGCCACCCGATCTGGTGCAGGGACCTATACGAATGACTGACCGAGCACATGGAACTAAAACGTGTTATGCGGAAGTGAAAGGCTGAGAAAAAAAGCAGCTTGTGTTGGGAGCCCCAACGCGGCCTCAGGCAAACACACAACCACTAAGCCCAATTAACCTACTAAACAACCTTATGCATAGTGGACCTTCTTCTAACCTTATTGTAAACAGGTTTAAATTTAATCCTTTATCAAATTCTGCTAAGTGCATATTATGCGGAATGATCGTGGAATTATGAGCAAGAACTGTATGTGTTTTCTGCAAAGATAGGCGCTTCCCATGACTGCAAACTTCATGTGAACTACCATCCATATAGGGTGTAAAGCATTTATGCCCTGATGATCTCCACAGTTGGTCTAATCAATAAATCAGGCTTAAAAATTGTGGCCTGAAGATGCGTTGTTGCAGATCATGATCTAGCACAGGTGTGGCGTGACGAATTAGATCTGCATTGCATATCCCATTCTGGGTAAGCATTGCGAGTATCCAATCGCAGTTCGCTGCCAATTATTCAGATCCCACCCACGGCCCCTTGAAGCAAAGAATGTGGTGGGCCTTGAGAAGAAGCAAAACTCAAGCGCCACAGGACCTCGGTTTGATCATGATCCCGAAAACACATGAGGAACAACTAGAACCAAGGCATAGAAGTAATATCTAGTCACGTACCCCCATTCAGTACTCCGGGAGTCTTCACCAGTAGATCAACATGGGCGTTCCCAACAATCCTAGAGACTCTATGAAGTCAACCTGGCGACAAGACAAGAGTCAATGGTCAATCCCTCACAAAATTCTGGAACATGCCAATGTCTACCATGTGGATCTTGACAGAGAGGTTCCCGTCCATCCTAAGACAGAAAAAGTGCCGTATTTGTCTAACTGGCAAATGCAACGCTGGATCCTGTTCTATGCCTGCCTTCCACTTGTCGCTCACCAGATATTCGTATCGGTCTCGGGATATCAATTTCACCCAGTGTTCGCTTTCATCTACTACTACCAAGCCGCACGTCTGTTTACATTCCGGGAACTGCGCTCGATCCGCGAACTTGGACACAAGCACGGATTCCTGGACGGGGACAAACATGAGCGAGATGGCGTCCCTGATGCAGGAGTGGGGAAAACACTTCTCTCAGTCTTCCTCGGGGGACTTTTACGTCCATTAGTCTCCGTCTACCTTACTTACAACAAGACCGAAGCACCTCTGTCTCTGAATTGGACATGGGTGTTTGTCGAAGTGAGTCTTTACAGCGTCGTTGTGGACTTTTGGTTCTACTGGTACCACCGCCTTATGCACGACGTGAACGGTCTCTGGAAGTACCACCGCACACATCACCTTTCCAAGCATCCTAACCCGCTACTTACAATATATGCGGACTCGGAACAAGAATTTTTTGATATTCTCGGCATTCCTTTGATGGCATTTTACACGATGAAGTCCATCGGTTTGCCTATGGGGTTCTATGAGTGGCACATTGCCCAGTTATATGTCTTGTTCGCGGAGATCGCAGGACACAGCGGTCTTCGGGTCCATGCTTGTGCCCCAAATCCCATGTCTTGGCTGATGAAGAGGTTTAACATGGAATTGGTTATTGAAGACCACGATCTTCATCACCGCAACGGGTGGAGAAAGAGTCATAATTATGGCAAGCAAAGTCGTGTCTGGGACCGGATTTTTGGAACTTGTGGAGAGCGGATTGAGAGTGTTGACTCCAATGTGGATTATGAGAACAGAGCAACGATGCCTCTATTTTAACAGCACTTGAGAGTTTACTTTTCATTAGATCATTATGGTCTTTGGATCGGTTAATGAATACGATAAAGTAGATATACAGGAACCAAGAACATAAAGAAACCTTCATTTCTATGTTCATGTATTGTAAAACGTCTCTGCTATTCTGTGGGAGAATGAAAAGAATCATCTGGTAGATCTTTTGATGCTGAAACTACTCAAGGGGGGAGGTAATTTATAGTATATGCCGGCGTATGGACTGTGTCGATATGACCTTGACCTCTGACTGCTATAGGTCAAGAGTGGCGAGTACATTAGTATTGATGCTTCCTGTTAATAGAGCATAAGGTGTTTATGCTGCCCAGTAGTAAGTTGCGGCTGAGGTTCTTTCCTAAGAGCCATGCATAGAGGACATAGTAATAACATTGATATCAGCGACACGTCGACCCATGCTTGACTCCAGCTCTTGTCAGTATTCTATGCGTTTGTTATGTTTATTGATTATGAAAAATGTTTCCTTTATAGGGCTTCAATTAATTGAGTGTATACATTTGCGTTGCTCATTTAATTGCCGGATAAATTTGCCTCAGCCCCTCTAAACCTCCCCACCCAACCTCCCCACAGTCGCTCCGCAATCGCTGTTTCTGGGTAAAGTGTGTCGCGCCAGGGATGATGCAACGCTCCGATCTTTACGCCCCTTGGCTTTCCCAATTTTCGGTCATACAAAAATCCTCAATCCCAATTGCCTCTATATCGCGACTTCGTGCCTAATACCCTTTATACACACCCCTTGACCAATCGCTCACACCCCCACGCCCCACGTCCCGATGCCGCTCCCCTCTCTCCCTCTTTTCTTGGCAGCACAACAGCATGCACAGAATGACCCCGGCAAAGTCGCTGTGATTGATGCCACAAAGCAACAGTCATTTACGTTTACACAACTTCTCGAGGATGTCGCGGCGCTTCGAAAACAGATCTTAGAGCAGCTGGGGCTGACGGCCACCGGTGATTTGGAAGAGCGTCGCATTGCGTTCCTTATCCCGAATGGCTACGATTATGTTGTCACTCAATGGGCTACTTGGGCTGCGGGTGGAGTTGCCGTTCCTCTTTGTAAGCCCCTGCTAATTATACGCGCGACCATGTTGATTGCTAACAGCTCCCAGGCACAAGCCACCCTGTCAAGGAGCTCCTATATACTATAAGCGACTCGGACCCTTCGTTGATCCTCATCCACCCTGCCTTCGAGAAATTTGGCCCATCATTGCGAGAAGTATGCAGCACCGATATTCAATTCATGGGACTTGATCCGTTCACCCGGAACGACTCGCCCTCCCTACCTTCGTTCGTCCCAGCATTTCCGCTCAGCCGCCGCGCTCTTATGATCTATACTTCTGGAACGACAGGGAACCCCAAGGGAGGCGTGAGCACGCACGAAATCATCGAGTTCCAGGCAAGCTGTCTTGTCAAAGCGTGGAAGTACAGTCCCTCCGATCACCTCATCCACGTGCTCCCGCTCCACCACATCCATGGCATCATCAATGGATTGACAGCATGTCTTCTGAGTGGCGCCACTGTAGAAATGCATCCAAAGTTCGACCCGAAGGTTATCTGGGAGCGCTGGCAGGACAGCGGCTCTTCTACCATGTTCATGGCTGTACCGACCATCTACTCTCGTCTAAATGATTATTTCGATGCCAATATGCGTGGAACAGATCGTGAAGAAGCGGCAAGGGAGGGTGCAAAGGCCTTGCGTCTAGTAATCAGTGGATCGGCTGCGCTGCCAACTCCCGTCAAGACCAAATTCGCGGAAATCACAGGCCAGATTCTGCTGGAGCGTTTCGGAATGACCGAGATCGGAATGGCAATTAGCTGTGGACTGGAATTGGACAAGCGAGTGGATGGCAGTGTGGGCTGGCCACTTCCTGGAGTTCAAGTCCGACTGACTGAGAAAGAGACCGGACGCATCGTCGAGGCCATCGACCAAGATGGTATGATCGAAATTAAGGGTGGTAACGTCTTCCTCGAATACTGGCGAAAGCCAGAGGCAACAGCATCCGAGTTCACAGCAGATGGCTGGTTCAAGACTGGTGATGTTGCCAAACGGGATTTTACCGGGGCGTACTTCATTCAGGGTCGTGCATCCGTTGACTTGATCAAGTCCGGTGGATATAAGATCTCCGCGCTGGAAGTAGAACGCAAGATGCTTGTGCTTGACTCTATCCAAGAAGTGGCCGTCGTTGGACTCAAGAATGAGGAATGGGGCCAGCAGGTGGCTGCAGTTGTGAAGTTCCGCGAAGGGGTATGTTGATAACTCGCAATATTGTCTATATTGGACGCTACTGATATATTTTAGGTTACCCCATTGGAGCTCCCTGCACTCCGTGCTATTTTGAAGACTGAGATGGCACCCTATAAGGTTCCCACAGTCTTGAAAGTTGTGGATGGCATTGAGCGCAATGCTATGGGCAAAGTCAACAAGAAGACAATCATTCAGAAATATTGGCCTGATAAGGCTTGAGTGAGATTTTATGAGTCATGATTGAATGGCTGTGCTTAGCGAATATAACATAGAAATTGAATAGGGATAGATGCGACTGGTAAGTCTTACTGAAAGGGCTCTGCGTCCATGACGTCATGAACCACAAGTTCTGAATAGTACCTTCCTAAACTCGATATTTTTCGGTTCTAAGCTGGTAAAATGGTTCGCAAATATAGTGACAAAGACTTGATATTCATTTATCAACATAAAGACGCCCATCCACGGTAGAGAGCTACATTCGATTTGAATTGATCGGTTCGGCCACTCCCCAGCCTTGGCAGGATCACGTGCAATTACATAATCACTCTAGCGTCCCGCTGGTTTTTCTTCCCGCGAAAACGCAAATGTGTTTTTCTTTTCTTCAACATATTCACGGTCTCCATCATACCCTTGTGGACGGAACCCCATTCCATTCGCAAATTTTAGCATGAGACCCAGACCAATTGAGGCTCGTTCTAATCCTGGCCCCTGCCGTGGATGCGGTTTACCGTTCCCCCCGAGGAGTTCAGGTTCGCTTTTGAGCACACAATCCTGACCACGAAATTTGATCTTTTTGGATCAAGTCTTGAAGTCTTGCCTCCTGGAAGGGGTCTTTGTATTTGAGATGCTTGATGGAAGTTGATTGCCTGGTTCTTGACCTTGTACAGTCGCACCGCTCTCCAAGCTTCAGCCATGCCTCTGCAGAATATGATGTTGTTCTCTGTCGCACGGCTGTTGCTTCGGGATAAATAGGATGTCTTTGATCACATTTACTAACAAACAGCATTCGGACCGCGTCGAATCCCAAATCGTTTCGCGTACTCCAACCTTCGGCACTTTCGAAGTCTCGTTCGTCTATTGCCCAATGATATTCGAGGTCAAATTTGTGCCAATAATAAGCTCCTTCAGTTGGACAAGATCTTTCTGGAGCTCCTTCGTGTTGCGTCCGCTCCCTCCATGGGGCTGGATGTGTCTAAAGTGGGAGATACATTCCTGTCAATCTAGTTAGACTTTTACCAATCGCATTATTTGATCTACAACTCCGTACCTCTCCATTACTCGGCTCTTGTATATGAAAGCATGCTAAACGTGTACTATGTTTGGAAAATCCACCGTGGATCCTTATCACCTAAGAACTCACCCTCTCCATCCCTGATATCCTCGCCAAACGGCTTCAACCCCTTAGCCTCCATTTCCACAGCCTTCCCGGCATTCTCTCGCCGCAGCACAACCCATAAAATTCCGACAACAAAAATATTTGCGACCAAATATCCTAGCGCAAACCCATGTCCAAGGAAAAAGCGCGGGCTGGTTTCAGTCCGGTACAATTGAGTCCCAATCACGGCTCCAATATTGCCAACACTGATCTGTAGCGCGTTCGCAATACAACGTTTCGTTTGCCCGGAAACATTGTTCGCCGGCCAGGACAACACGATAGCAACCGACGGATATATACCCGCGGCAGCGAAGATGGTGCCTAAATAGGACACACCGGCTCTATGGTCGGAGAGCAAGAGGATATAGCCGATGCAGGCGAGAGCCGACGTACCCATGATAAAGGGTGCCCTGATGCGCAGCTTTTCCGATGCTACAGCGACGCTCAGCGTGAGAATGAAAGCGACGGCGTATGGAGGAACGGAGAGCAGCTGTGCTTGAGCGGCTGAGTACCCAAGCTCTTTAATAATAGTCGGCTAGAGCTATCATGTTAGTGCCCTTGTGGATTATCAGTGCCCTACCTTGAACGTCAAACTCACCAGAAAAAGAGATAGTGTGTACAGTGGTAGCGACATTGTATGGAAGCCCAAACAGTATAGCCACACCTTTGGATCCTTGAATGCATCCAGCACAGCGGACCAGGTGAAGCTCTCATCTCGCGTGGCATCGTTATCATTCTTCAAGCGGAATTGAATGAATTCCCGCTCCGCAGGAGACAGGAATTCCGCCGTCGATGGGTAGTTGTATACCCAGAAATAGGCGACAACAGAAGCGATGACAGTCACGAGTCCTTCCTATTTGTGCAAGCCATGTCAGTCCATCGGGTCGAACAGCTGGACGTTGAAGTTATTCACCAGAATGAAGATCCATCGCCATCCACTATATCCTCCCACACCACTCATATGTCCAATTCCCTAGCCACTGCATAAGCTTTGTCCCTTACGTGGAAAGATCTATTAAGAACCCACCCAAGCCAGAATCCCACCAAAAGCACCCGCAAGACTCGCGGCACTGAAAAATAGACTAATTCGATAGTGCTGCTCATTCCGTTTATACCACATCGAGATATAGTAAACCACACCCGGGAACAGTCCGCTTTCTGCAACGCCAAGGAAGAATCGCGAAGCAAGATACCCGGAGTAGTTCTGGACAACTCCCAACAGAGTTGCGACTATGCCCCAAATCAAGGTCAGGGTTGGGAGCCAGGTTCTTGGCGATGCCTTTTTGAGAACGATGTTGCATGGAACCTCGAATAGAACGTAGCCGATGAAATACAACGTAAGCCCAGTGAGGTATTGGTCTCCGGCTGCAGAGTGATTCCTCGCATTAACTTCAATTTCCTTTGCTTAGCTGTCATTTGAAACATACTCATTTTGATATCGGTGGTCATTCCCTCCAGTTTCGCATTTCCAACTGTAGCAAGTAATGAGTATGGAGTCTAGCTTGTGGAGAATTCGAGATCCGAACCATTGCTTCGATCCAGAAAGGATAGTAAATAAAGTAGCGTTAATGGGGGAAGCAATCGATAGTCTAGTTTGCGTAGTAGGGACTTTTCGTTGATACCGACCGCCTCTGCATCACTACTGGATGATGGCGAAGTCGTGATATTCCTTCCTTCCAGATCGGCAGGGGCATCAATCTTTTTTTCACCGGTGGAAGCCATGATGATAAGAAAATCGAAGAACGCTGGACGCAAAAGATAAGTGTGAAGAAGTGAATGCCATTTCTGCTATTACTAGAGTTCGAGAAATACCCAGAGCACATCATTAACAGTGCGCTTCACGCGATTAGCAACACGAACGTACCGTATGGTTCCAATGATGTTACATCACAACAACTCCCGGCCGAGAAAGTCAACCTTTGAAATACCCAATGAGAATAAGCTGATAAGTGATAGTGATACACTTTGCTTCAGGGTCAGCTAGTAAAAAGGAGGCAGAAGATGAGCAATTCGGGGGTTCCGATGACGAGCTCGGGTGGATACCACCACAACTTTGCCATGTGGATATTGGAACTGATCTCTGGTTGGCTGATATTGTGAAGATATGTTGTTTAATTAGAGTGTCTGAACTATCAAGGGAGAAATGCTGTCATCCACGAATTACTAATTACGGAAAATTAATAAACAAATTTTCAAGTGATAACAAATATCAAACTGTTGGATTTCATGACCAGTGATACAACGAAGGAAGTACATCTCACACCATCAAGTGTTCAGAAATGATATTTCTTCATATGCTGCCACAAAGGGACAGCCACTAAATGTGTCTTACAGTCACAATTTCCCCATCTGCATGTCAAATTTTCCATGATATGATCCTTCATCACATGCGCTTGCAAACCAGGTTCGTCAGGGAATTTCTTCTGGCAGAGAATCCACATACATCGAAACGAGTGGCTATCCACGGCTGTTTCTTTGATATTCAGTGGCTTGGGTCTAGTAACAGCTTGCTCTGGGCGGCGTTGACTTTGTCTCATAGACATATGATTTTGTGAAACTGGAACGACGACCTTTGGTTGAGGTGATCGACTTAAATATGGCGAAAGTAAAGATCGATCATCCGTCTTCGAGACCTTAAAAGCCGTTCGAGTGCTTGATGGCTTTGTCACTTTGTTGGGTTGGGTTGGTGTACGTGGAGCTGGTCTTTGAAGGGTCACTGGTCCCCCAGCCGGACAAGGGCTCGAGGGGCAAGGAGACTGGGGGCGGATGTATTCCAAATAAGTCCTCTCAGGTGAGAACCGTGTTGTTGGGCCAAATGAGTTGGACATGTCTTCCATCGAAGTATCTGAACCATCTAGAGAAGTATGGGCTGTCGTATTTGTGGTTGAGGGGTCGGGGTCAACGATATCCCAACGAAAGGTTGCCAAATCGGAAGAAAACTTCACCTCTGGGAGATTCCTTCGCAGACACATCAAATGGTGGTTTAATGCTTTCTCCGTTGGGTGCTGGTTTGCGGCGACCAGAATATCCCGGGCGATTGTGGTGGGGTCATAGGTGACTTTGATGGCCACATCTTCGTCGTTAAGAGGTTTGATAAGATTATTGCCCAAGGCGAGACGAGCTCGAGATGAATCGGGTCTTGTGTAATCCGAGAGCGTAATCCACTTTGTTTTTTCAAACAATTCTTTTTGGGAAGCCTGAAAGTTGCCAAGGGTAGATGCCTTAGGCTGCTTGATCTGTTCTTGAGGCTCTGGCCGCCCCCGAAGGATGAAGCTTGAGGTGATGTGATCTTTTCCAGCGAATGGCAAGGAAGAATACTGGGGAGTCTGACGAGTTGATGGCTTCCTTGGAGCCATGGTGGGATTTCAAGTAGTGTATGCGTTACTTTGACTCAGGTACTTGAGACTCAAATCGTGAGAAACAAAGGATATCTCAGAATTGAAGGTGGGAAGAATGTGGTCAATGTCGTGGGTTGTGTGTTGAGAAGACCAAGTGAGAAAGCCAAGTAGAAAGTCAAGTGAAGAGGTGCTAGGACCAAGATACTTGACATGAACTTGAAACTTCACAGAAAGTGCGAAGTCTGAGGCCTACCTTTTATTGCTTGCTGTGGGCAGTCCACTATGGACCCTCGATTTCATTGCAGCAGACACAGACATCAATTTAGCGGAATCCCAAAAGTTCCTTTGCTGTTCATTTTCATACCTCTTTTTCATTTTTCCCCAAGACTTCCTTTCGGCCATTTTTCTTATTCCATTATTAAATGTATACTGGGCATACATCGATGTGTCTACATCCAAAGTCACCTTTACATGCATTTCGCGCCAGCTTGTATTACGAATACCTAGCCATGATGCGCGGATCTAGCCTTGAAGCAGACTCCGAAGATGAGAGATTTGGACTAACAGGGGATGCGGACCGAGGAGAGAAAGCAATGCACTTGGGTCATCGAGATTCCTTTCAAGAGAGACGTTGTCATCTCATTCAAAGTAGATCTAGGAAAGACAACAATGGTGTCATAGCCCTGCTTAAGCTGATCACATTTGGATATTCGTGTTCTACGATAATTATCAAACAGATCATTGAAATCCGTGCTATATCAATTTCAACCGCCAGATAATATCTGAATATAATCTAAAACTCAACTGTGATCTACCGGCGCAGTGAATCTAGGGCTCCACATGAAAAATCTCGTTCGTTCAAACAACTCCACACTTTTCCTCCCCACTAAATAATCAACTCTATTTTAGTGAGATGAGTGAGATGAACTATGCTCGCGGACATCTTCCAAGGAATCCGCCAGATATCGTTGTACTGGGTCCGCATCGCCGGAGCCACATTGAGAAACTCTGCGCCCAGCCTTCTTTCTGTCTGAAGCCAGTGTCTGGGCGAAGGGGCACTTTTCACGGATTCGTGGTCCATACCAATAAAATACGTATATGGGGATCGTGAATATAATGGCCAGGAATCCGAGGAGGGTGCTCGGCCACTCAAGCTTGTGAGTGGTACCCATGTTAGAATACACTGATTGATGTTAGAATAATTATGTGCTTTGGTGTTTTTTTGGAAAGAGGTGATGATTATGCTCACTTGGTATAGAGTACATGGCAGCCACACCGGCCAGGAAGTCGCGAGCGAAGCCATTTCCTCCAGTTGCCGATGCGGCGTATGGGCCATATGATGCTATCATGTAATCGACCGTAGCCATGTAGATCGAGTACTAAAAATAATGTCAGTTTGAGGCCAAGGGGCTGCATATTGTACAACATACATTGGCTATTGCAATCAGACATGAAAATATCATCGGTGCAATCCAATGCACATGTGGTGGACCAAGACTAGTCCATGAAAATCCGAAAAGCCCAATTGCCAAAAGAGGGGCCACTATCGCTCGTTAGTAGATGCATGAGACATTGAAATGAACTATTAACAAAACTAACCCCATAACAACCAGTATAGTCGGGTCTCTGGCTGTAGACCGTCCGGATCTTTCGCACGCATATGGTTATGATGCAGAATCCATGGTAAGAACGAGAAATAGGCGATCAAGTATCCGACAAGGATACTAATTAAATTGTCAGCACAGTGATCTCCATCATTCAATCAAGTCACCTACGGGATAAATGCCAAGCCTGTGTCAATGGTACTGAATCCCCATTGCTTGTAAACCGGGGTATAAGATTGCAAGAAGGTGAAGATCAGAGCATCACTGAAACCGCTAAAAAGCGAGAGACACAAAACAATCGGCTCACGAAGGAACATGATGAAAGGGCGAGCCCAGATCATGAGAATATATCGAAAAGTTAGACGACTCTCCTTCAGCTCATCGCCACTATAAACCATATTTCCTTCCTTACGTCTTCTCTTCGCTTCTCTGGTGATGAGAATACTGCACCTGGTCTCCGGAACAAAGAGATGCAGTATTTGCACAGACCCGCCAAGAATGAGCTGAAGCCAGAAGTTCCAATGCCAATCCAGGTAGGTCGCGACAAAGCCACCCACAATGGGCGCGAGCACAGAACCTGTCACCGAGGACAACACCACATAAGCTACCGCCCATTGCTGATCATCTGCCTCCCACATATCGGCCACCATACCTAGTGTCACTGACCCTCCCGCGGAGGAAAGACCCCCTAGCAGGCGACAGACAACAATGGTACCAAAATTTGGGGCTAGCGCACACGGGATCTGCCAGATATTGACCAGAAGTAGGCTTGTTTGCATGATGGGCCAACGACCGAATTCCTCACTGAATGGGGCCCAGAACTCGCATCCAAAGGCATACGCAATTAGGAAGTCCATTTGACCGACGCGAGCCGCTTGCTCCGATATTTTAAAGTGCTTTGAGTAGAGAGTGATGCTGCTGGCATAGAAACTTGCATTCCAGTTCATGGAAAGTTGCACAAGGAAGATTACCGAGATGATACTCCATTTCTTGTACCAGGGATACGAATATCCCAGTTTGTCATAGCACTGCCACTCCTTCAGCTCGTCTTCCTTTTCCGTATTGCCATCCGCAGCTCCATCCACTCTTCCCTCATAGTGGCTGTGACGATGAGATGTTCCACCTGGGGAGCGGGCCTGTCCATCTGGACGATTCTGTTTTTCCACATCTCCGTTTGAGGCAGCCGTGAACGATGATGCACGCGACATTAGCAGGGTATATTAGATCGGCCGAAGGTTGTTCTTTGGCATTCGACGATGTGGCTTGTTGGCGGAGGTTTCATTCTCCCAGAAGGTAGCGATTGAATAGTCCACAGAAGAGGGGAATCGGCGGCTCTAAATACCCCGGCCTCATATTCCTCATGTTGGAGATATGGTAGTATGTTGAGAGCAACTGTAGGACTATGGGGAGATCTCCGATTGGCTCGAATGCACTATACCAGTGGGTCAAATAAGCTTTACCAGACTATCTCATGTGTCGCCTGGTGTGGAGGAAAGATCCGGGGACAATGATCCGATACATCGTCACGGATTCCGTCTCCGCAATTCGGGAGTGCGATTATAACAGGCCGCGATTGTACCCCGGAGGTTTGCGGCGAAAGTGCAACGAGTACAATCCCTTTCGAGACCGGATCTGAATTTCCGATTTGAATTGTTCTGGAGGCGTTCCATCCATACTTCCCCAGAAAAACCAGTCCCCCAGGTTCTGTTTTGGGTTTCTATGACAGTCCGAGGGTCGATTCCTATTGGGACTTTTCTTCTCTTTGGCCATTGAACAGCGTAAGAAGAAGGAAGAGAGACAACCTGGAAGAGCCTATACCGACCAACAAATCAAGAAATCATGTATCGGAGAGACTTCATATCGTACAAAGAGAGAAAGGAAGGGACCGAGTCAATGGAACAGAGTGATATGTAGGAAAAGTCTATCAGAGAGAGATAGGAAACTGGCTCCCAGACTCCCTCAGGCACATAACCTTACACACCATTTTGGCCATTCAAGCTGATTGATCGTCACTGGATAGTTACCAACTGCCACAAAGTCATTCCAACTACTTAACCAACCTTTAAATCAAGATTTGAAAATTGATTGATGGAGATCCACTGGCAGCAAGGTCTTACATCAAAAGTTTCAGTCCATGCCTGCGAATATTCGAATTCATAACTTTTGCCGACTATTTTATATTCCAAGGTTTCGAGATACCAAAAGGACATATGTGGCGACCATTTATATAGCAGTATTCATCTATCTGTTCCCGCTTAACACGATGCCCAACATTTGAAGGTTCGAAAAATCCCCTGTGCAAGGTTCGACCTCGATTTCTACATTTTTAGAACAAATATGAATCCCAGAGCTGCACAGAAAGCAAGAGACCCGGAAAAACGCAATAAATCAAAACCTCCAATTACATTATGTATCCACGGATTAAGACACGTGTACACAACCTTGGAAGCCAAATTCCTGCCATAATTCTAGCGGTGAAGCCAATGACACCATCAGGCCTTTAAGTTCGCCAAATGTATCAAACAAGCTAAACGAAATCAAGCTCCCGCTGTCCAGAAAGGTGTGGAGCCTGGTATGTCGATCTCTCCGGGGAAGAAATTTAATTGGGGTTTGAGGTCTGCAGCCGACAGCCGACAGCGCAACCCGGTGGAGACATCACGCCATGCGCCCGTTTCAAAAGCTAGCTCATTGTCCGTAGCTTTCTATGGAGCCGGCTAGGAGCCGAGTCCATGTCGATTTAACGGTTGGCGACGAACAAGTTGTGGAGCTTGAAGCTTCCCCGCTTTTCGTTTCAGCCAACGATCCGAGCTACTATACTTTAAGTAGGTCAATGGGTATCTAGGTTCTCTCGGGTGGGTGCAGGCTTGTAATATGTGAGATATATAGAACTATCTGCAGGCTGACATGAAAAGAGGATGGTCGTGAATATAAATGTGGTAAGGTTTTTCGCGCATCATCGAATTAAATTTAATGTAGAACCAATGAACAATGCGCTGTAAAATGCCAATAACTCCGCCCAATATATCTCCAACGCCACTTAATCATAAATCGGGAAAGAAAGAGAACCCAGACATGGACCTCAAGTAGATTGAGTCCACTCAGTCCAGGCCAATTGATCTGATTGCGCAAGGCACTTGATCATGTCAGGTGGCGCCTGTTGCCACTGGACCATCTCTTCTTCATCTAAGGTCGGCTTGGAGGCGTTGACACGATCCCGGACATAGCCTCGGGTCTGCTTCGTCTTGGTCGCTTCGTTATCGGAATACGCCACATTAACTGATGGCACGGCAAGGATTTTGCCAAGGTCTTGGTTAAAAAGGTCCTTGGCAAGTAGCATGGGTTCGCCGGTATAGCAGTCCGCGTCACTTTGCTCAGCAGGACGGAAACGAATAGTGTCTTCCGCAAATGACACAGCGTTCAATGTCGCCATACCGCCCCAGCATGAGTACACCTGTAAAGGCTGGAACATGTCATATCGCCGCTTGCTGTCTTGGTCGTCGAAAAACATATCATCGCTTCTGATCAACGTGCCATTGGACGCAAGCGCAATTTCAAAGAATGTGTTACCAGTCAGCGACCGGGATTCCCAGACATCGTAGAAGACAGACCCATCCAAAATCCAATCGAATGCACAAGTCATCTGAGCACCTTGGTTTACATGCTGGAATACTAATTCCAGGATATCCTCGGGACACACGACAACATTATCCAGAAAAATGACGACGGCGTCTGGTGAGTACGCGCTTGCTAGTGCACGAGGTTCCACCCCTTTAGCTTTCAGCGGCCGCAGTACTTGATTGCGGAGATCAGCAAGGGATTTCTGGCCACCGTTATCCAATGATGATGATTGACCACTGGTGGTGAGAAAATACTGCACACCTAGGTCATCTAGCCATGGCGTTAACGCCTCGAGAACCTCCCACGTGCCATCCTCGGACCCATCATCGACGATCGAAATCGCGCAGTGACTCGGACCTAGATGTTTCACCGTCTCGAGAATACTGCTCATCAATCGCGGAAGAGCATCAACGGCTCCATACAGGTTGAGCGCAAAGAAGTACCGCACTTGGTTGCTATCTTCTGTATCCCGCAGGTTCTGATACCTATCCCCAATATCCCCAGGGCATGAAACGCGCTCAAAGGGCCAGTTGTCTCTGAAATCCAATATAGAATGAATATATTTATCGACTTGTTCGCGCAGCATATGGGATGTCGGTGTTTGCTGTTTCGACCATGTGCTCTTGTTATTCCACGCTGGATCGAACTCTTGGATTTTGCCCTTAGATAAGGTAGCCACTGCCGTGGACGTTGAAGAGGGTTCGCTCGGAATATTGACTGCCGACACATTCGCCAGGACCGATATCTCAGCTTCTGCGAAATTCGACGAGTCGGCGAATCGATTGTATTGCGGAATAATGGGTAGCTTGCCATTGAAGACAGACATCCCTAGGTCGTCATTCCAGCGGTGATAATATATAAATAGTCTGGATCCTAGGTACACCAAGCCCATGACAATCGCAGACGCGGCCAGCAGGGCCTGGCACAACCTGGGCCTCATGACGAACATACGTCGAGGATCGGTTAAGGGGAGGCAAGGAGGGGAATTTATTTTCTTTGATCCATCAGTTTAATCAAGGGTCAATGATCAAAGTGAGACAAAGAGACAAAAAAGACTTCGAGAGCGCGTATATGTCTCTTATCTCGAATTCATCACCCCGTGGGTTTCATTAGGATAATAAGCCGAGATTGCGGCATTACGAAGTCGCATGAAAGAAGGCTTGTGTGAAGAGAATGGGAAAGTCGGTCGGATTTCCACTTCCTGCCGAAAACGGCAATAGAACGCGTGTACACCAAACAATATTCAATACTCGCGAGGATCAAATAAACAAACCAAGATATACTCACATGAGATTTCAATTTCTATCTCACTCGTCAAGTGAAAACTGACTTGAAAACTCCCAGATGTCAGTTTCTATGAGGACCGTAGTTGGGTAAAGTGGACAGCGATCGCAGATTGAAAGATCGGCGATTTTAAGAACTCCTTGAGTTGAACCAATAGAAAAGGGGGGGGTCATTGGACTCATCATTACAATCACGAGAATTTATTGAACGCTAGATGACTTATCCGGTACTATTTGACACTTTCCTTGTTTATGATCTTCTTCACTTGTAAAGAACGCTCGGACCAAGAAAGAACGGAAATTAAAGCCGAAGAGATGACTAATGTGGCTGGAGCATGAATGGGGCTGATAATGCATAAACATCGATCCACTTCCAGCCGATGGCCGACTGGCGATAGATAGCTGCCGAGCACGAAATGAGGTACCGTCATGGCGCAGATGCAGGGATCACCTGAACATGCCTATAAGTCTCCTGCAGCTACTCTTCCCTGTCACTTTTCTTTTGCATAGTACCGTGTCTTGTTTCTTGGCTTTCATTTACATTGATTGACAATGACTACGAAACGCCCCAACTTTCTTGTGATTGTCGCCGACGACCTTGGCTTCTCTGATGTGGGGTGCTTTGGTGGCGAGATTCGAACCCCGCACATTGATAAGATCGCAGAGGAGGGCTTGCGCTTTACTGATTTCCATGCGGCAGCAGCATGCTCGTAAGTATAGGCCATCACGGAAGTAGACCACAAGAAGGTCCAACTAACCTTGGTCCGAAAATAGTCCTACTCGCGCTATGATAATGACCGGTACCGATCACCACATTGCAGGTTTGGGGAACTTGATCGAATGGACCAACATCTCCGGTCAGAATGGCCCCAAGGGTTCTTCCATGAGTACTGCCCCGCAGCGTGGTATGCCTGGGTATGAGGGTTATCTGAATGAACGCGTGGTTGCGCTTCCCGAGGTTCTGCGGGATGCGGGGTACCACACCATGTTGTCGGGCAAGTGGCATCTAGGCCTAACACCCGAGCGATCCCCTCACAAGCGTGGATTTGTTCGCTCATTCGCCCACCTCCCCGCTTGCTCAAACCATTATGCCTATGAACCCCAATTGCGCGACAATGACGATATCCCTACCTTCATCGAGGCGAGCTATATCGCGCTGCACAGCGAGGATGGGGAATACGTGCGCCATCTTCCCGAGGGCTGGTACTCATCGGACGGCTATGGAGATAAGATGATTGATTACCTGCGTGAGTGGAAAGAGACCGGGGGCAGTGCTGGACCGAATGGAGACGGGGACCGCCCGTTCTTTGGTTATCTTCCTTTCACAGCACCCCATTGGCCACTCCAGGCACCGCGCGAGTATATTGATCACTACCGTGGAGTTTACGATAAGGGCCCAGATGCTCTGCGGTTGAAGCGCCTGCAACGCCTGAAGGAGCTGGGCATGATTCGTGAAGATGTGGAGGCACACCCTGTCGTCGCCGAGGAGATCAAGGATTGGGATGCATACACCGATGAGGAGAAGAAGAAGTCCTGTGTCTCAATGGAAGTCTTCGCCGGAATGGTGGAGTGTATTGATGCGAATGTGGGCAAGGTCGTCGAGTATTTGCGCTCGATCGATGAACTCGACAACACATTCGTCTGCTTCATGTCCGACAACGGCGCAGAAGGCGCCGCCTACGAAGCCTATCCAATGGTACAAAACGGCGTGATGCCCCACCTGCAAAAATACTACGACAACAGCCTCGAAAACTTGGGCGCTGGCAACTCATTCATCTGGTACGGTCCGCGCTGGGCGCAGGCTTCAACCGCTCCGTCTCGTCTGTACAAAGCATACACAACTGAGGGTGGAGTACGAGTCCCCTTCACTTGCCGCTTCCCCAAGAATTTTAATCTCAAGCCCGGCGACGCCACAGCCCCCAAGGGCGGTATCACCGATCAATTCGCCACCGTCATGGACTTAGCACCCTCCATTTTAGAGATGGCCGGTGTCAAGCACCCAGCACCGACATATCAGGGCCGAGAGGTTGTATCCATGCGCGGCCGCAGCTGGCAACCTTGGGCAACTGGACAAGCCGAGCGTATTCACCCGAAGGACTTCATCCAGGGCTGGGAAACCTGTGGCCGAGCTGCACTCCGCTGCGCCGACTGGAAGATCGTCTTCATCCCGAAGCCTAAGGGACCCGAGAAGTGGCAACTATACAACCTCGTCGAAGACCCCGGTGAGATCCATGATCTGGCAGACCAGGAGCCAGAGAAGATGAAAACACTACTTAAACTGTGGGACCAGTATGTTCTGGAGACAGGTGTCATCCCTCTATGTCCCGATCTGGGTGCCTTTTTGGAGGCGACCGAGGCACAGATGCCCGAGAATGCATGGATGGAGTTTGATTATTGGAAGAACGGTGCTCGGGATACACCTGAGAAGTTCACCCGTGAACCGCCTCGCTTTCAGCGAAGTGTTCAACAATGGTAGAAGCGAAGCAGATGGTTTTAACAACATAATGATCGATACTCCGTAAGATTATCAGATAACGAAAATAGAGACTAAATTGTTCATTCAAGACTATAGAATCCTATGTCCCCTAAATGCTTGGCAGGCTACACTCCCAACGCAGAACATTCTTCATAGTCGCATATTCATGGCAGCCCTCTACTCAGGTACTGAGGTGATATTGCATCAGCCTCCTCCTTAGGACCGCATTCCCAAACTCGACATTTTTTTCAGTATCCAACTGAATCATTTGCCATGCAATCAACAATGTCGATACAGACTTGTTCTTCTGCAACTGCTGCTGAAATGCTGAAAGCGAGTGTAAGAAACGTGGTCCAGAGGAATTTCATCTGAATATAAAAAGGTTACTATAAGATCTCGAAACTATGCCCGACCGGTATGTACTTTAGTGGTTTGGGATTTTGGGAGACACAAGGTCCAGATGCCCTCTTGGGAAGTGGGAGTGTTGATTGATTTGAATCGAGGCGATGGAGGTTGAGGATGGACCTGAGCAGAATATGTGGAAGAGCGAGGAGCTTTAAAGGGATATGCACATAGCATATAAGGTTTTATACCCCTTGCATAAAATCCAATACTACTGTATACGAACTCACGTTGTAGTGTCGATTGTAGATCGACCACTAAATTTACCAGCAATAGGAACCCAACAGCCCCTCCGACTGCAAAAATATAGTAAACTGCCCTCAATCCGCTAGCCTGTCCACATCTCACCAACGTACTCGCCATCGCAGGCAGACCGACAACGACAGCAACAACAGAGATTCCGTCCGACCTCTGAACAGCACCGCTAGACTCGCTAGACTCTTAGTCTTCACTTGTAGATCTTCCAGGCGGTAAGCTAAAATTGAATGTAGAGTTATAGTAAATCAAATTCCCCAAACAAGGATGCCTTCTTTACCCAGTCTTCAGATCACATTGAACTTCCCAAGATCATGGATCACATAGTACGACTAAAGCCCAGGTCACTGCGATGCTTGTGCTTCCAGGAGCGACTGCATGGCGTGATAGCCAATATCGACTACGCTGACCTTACTTCAAAAAAGAGCGGCATTCACTGGTGGGGGAAACGGGAGGTGGATTGGCCTTAGAGTCAGTGCGTAGGGGTTGGTAAGGGCAGAGCTAGAAGAGAGTAGGGATAAGTGCAAGATGAAGAGGGGATTGCCGGGCGAACTTTCTTCATATGTGTACATGTATGTGCAGTCAAAGCCCATCTTTCATATATAGCACATCCTAGCGCTGACGCCTAGCGCCCTCGATAATAGCACACTCTTCGCTTGGATAGACCCACTATTTTACTCACAAATTCTGCAGTTAGTGCACCTTCACCTTTGTGTATACCTTTCGTCTCAACCTTACTGGGTCATCTTGCTTTAAAGGCCCTATCTACCAATCAAAATGCCTGAATCTGAGAATTTTGCCCTACCCTCAGGCCTACCTCACACCTCCACAACAGTCGGATCGACCGTCCATACACCTGATCAACTATCGGACGACGGTGAATCATCGAACGGCTATGGACCAGCTCCGAAGCTTCCGTCTACTTCAGACGCGATAATGATGCTCCAAGATATACTGGTATGGGCTAGTAGCAAGGAGGCGGTTACTCAGGAGGATATGGACATGATTTTTAGTTCACTCAAGAATTTTTCACAAATTGAGCGAATCGAGATGGAGGAGAAACGTCAGGCGACATTAAACCGTGAACTGAGATGAAGGTATGAAAGCCGAGAACTTTAGCCATTGGGGCTTAGACCCAGCTCACCAAAAAAAATAGTCACCTTTCGCCTTTATGCCTGTTTTCACTTTGATATTGGGGTGTGCACTGAGTTAGCTTTGACTGTATTCGACTTTCCGTCTTAGGAACATTTGAAATATATGAGATATATGTACATTAATTATGAGATTCATCGCTCTCACGATAAATACATATATCGCTTGAACTCCAGGTCCTAGCCTTTGCAAAGTATCAATGAAAATTCGAGCTCAGCATCTACCTGCAAATACGGCAGCTACATAGCTGTATCATGACTCGTTCGCAAGTTTTGGTTCTTACAAGTTATGATAGGAGGGGAGGAAGCAAGTGCATGGACAGATATAGATTGACACTAGAGCGGCAGCGTCTGGAGTGAGAGGCATGAGGAGAGAGAAGGCCCACCACGAGCAGGATCTACTAAGATCAATCGTGATATCTCTGGCATCCCAGAGCGCAGCTTGACATCCATCCGTTAAAGAGCGATAAGTAATTTTAACGGCTCGGTATCGTAAGCTATAAGTACTATGTATAATATATGTGATTTACAGTATTAAGGTTAATAGATCAATGGATACCTAGACCCTGAGTATTATATAGCGGATTGGGAATCTTTCCCCGCTTTTCTGACGGTTGAGGAGCACCTGAGAGCGTTGGTGGTATTGTGAAGACGAGTAATGAAGGGACGAGGGAGTCGGTTGGTGGGCAGTTGCGCGCGTGGGATGGATCGCAGTTCCAATGGTAAGAAATGGAAAGCAATACCTGTGACAATTGTTGATAATGGTCATGGAAGTGTCGTTTGCATTTGAACACCTAATAAATGGATGGAATCTATATCTTAATATACAACATTATCGTACAAATGGCAGCTCAAATGTTCAAATGCCCCTCTTTATGGCCCAGAAGTAGTTGCCCCAATCCTCAGATCCAGGAACCATCTTCCATCCCAAACCAGGCACATAAATAGTACCCACACACTTCCACTGCGTGCCTTCAAGGGCAGCAGCCCCCGCACGAGTAACACCGGTGTCAGCGGCCCGCATCAAACCCTCCTGCGACCAAGCCTGCAACTCGGATGGGTTCACAAACTTGCTCCACTCATGCGTACCACGCGGCACGACACCGATCGGCCATGGTGCCTCCGCGATAACCTGATTCAACAGGAATGACGGGAATGTGCGCGCGATAGTGGAGCCGACGAGCCAACCACCAGGCTTCACCGCACGCAGGCAGTTAGCAAGGAATGCCTCTGGAGTGGTAGTCTTGAAATCTATGTGCTCAATGACTTCAAAAAGGGAAACGACGTCAAATTGCGGATGTGTAACAGAGGATGAAGATGGGGATGGGGATTCAGATTCAGAAGCAAGCACATCTTCCAGGGTGGTGTTCAGGTAGCGGAATTTTCCGCTGCGAAGGTGTGCGTCCACTGTAGGATCCAGGCGAGCATGGTTCTTCGCGATCTGGATCAGGGCGGTCGTGGGATCGATAGCTGTCATTGATGCGGCGCGCGTGGGTGTCGGTGCATCGGCGGAGGGGTCGAGTGGGATAGTGCGCGCAAGGGATTCGGCGAAAATACCACCACCGCATCCGATATCGAGGTAGTGTAGGTTTGCGGGGTTTGCGCTAGTAGATTGGGGATCTGAAGGTGGGGGACCTTCGGCGAGACATGATGCGATGAACTCGTGGCGGAGGGGATTCATCAGATGCAGGATTCGCGAGGGGCCCATTGGATCCCACCATGAGCTGGCGAGGCCGGAGAAATGGGACACTTCATCGGCGGAGACAGAGGATGTAGAGTGACTGCGGAAGAATTGTGGTTGTTGAAGCGCCGTTGAAGGCCGGGTGATCTGAAGTCGGCAAGTTGGTCTTGAAGTAGTTGAGGATGCGCGCAAGGCACGAAGAGTCAAGGAGCGAGATCGAAGGGATGCCATGTTGAAGAAGGAAGAATTCAGGGCGTTGCAAGTATGGTAGGGTCAGCGTTATAGCCCCAGCAAGACCTGCACAGCTCAGCTTTGGTGAGGTCGTGTTCTGTGGTTTCCGCGATCTATGCCGAGGTTTAGAGAAATTTTCAATGGACTTATCTTAACAAAAGTGGTGTTAGAATATAAAGCACATACCAGGATGCAGGCATTATCCGGGGCTCCGGAACGTGGGCAAGAAAGTTGAAGCTATCCCCGATGGTGGAATCCTCGTGAAGCAAACAAGACAAACATGCCGAGAACCACAAAGCTTCGACGAACATTGAGACTGCTGACATCAGCATATTTGCCTGAATTTACAGGCGCCTTGACACGTGAAAATGATTAAATTGTTGGGAAAATAATTTGACATGTGAAAGTTGTTAAGTGGGGTTTGGATCCAGTTACCAGTTAACTAACATTGGCCCTCACAGAGACCATACAGTACAGTACAGTATTGATTAATCTAGACAGTGACAGACCATTGGGACACGAGATCTCTTTCCTGTTTTTCAGCGCAGATCTGCAAACTCTGATCCTGGTCGAATGACTGCATGCGATTGCACTGGATGGGAGTGACCCGGGGAAATCATTGGCCCTGAGCGGATGTGAACTCTATCACTAGACAACATCCAGTTAGCGGGGACCTTAGGGTCCATTAACAGCATCATAATCTTCCCATCTCAACAGATTTTGTGGAATGGAATTAATTAGAAATGGGTCTTGGCTTTTCCATATGGACCTGCCAAGTTCCCTCAAGTCCTTCCTACTTTCTACCTTTTACCAACTTGTTGTTCAACCTCGATGACCTTAACCATATCTTGGCTCGTCTAATCCTATACCCGAAATTGAACGGCTGCGTCCACTGTTCATGAGGCCCCGTTCCGGTTTCCTCCTTGTCTAATTCTAACTTTACCCGCAATCCTTCGTCCTGAAATAATTCACAATATGTCTGCCATCGATATCACCAAAGACCTCCCCGCCCTCTTTAAGAAACAAGTCCAGTCGACTCCCAATGGCATTGCCTTGGAAGATGGAACCACCACATACACATATGCCGAATTAGATCAAGAAGTCGATGCACTGGCCACTCGACTCCGATTATATGGCGTCAGTCGTGACTCGTTGGTTGGGGTATTGCTTCCTCGTAGCGCCCACTACGTGATCGCCTGTCTGGCTGCACTTCGCGCTGGTGGTGCATTTCTGGTGTTGGAGCTCGCCTACCCCGCGGGGCTACTAGCCGACGTTATCGAGGATGCCCGCCCCGCCGTTGTCATTACCCACCAAGTGGAGGCTCCCCGAGTGAAAGCACAATGCCCTGTTATCGCATTAGATCAACCCACGGCTGAAGTGAATGGAAACTCCAAAGAAGCCGCACCCCTACCAGCGGAGGATGATCTGGACCGTTTGGCTTTTGTTTCTTATTCTTCTGGCACCACAGGCAAGCCGAAGGGAATTGCCAACCCCCACAGAGCACCCGTGCTCTCATATAACCTGAGATTCGGAATTCAGGATCTGCAACCAGGTGACCGGGTAGCTTGCAATGTGTTTTTCATTTGGGAAATGTTGCGCCCGCTGCTACGCGGTGCGACGGTTGTCACCGTTCCTGACGATGTTAGCTATGACCCAGCCGCGTTGGTGGATCTCCTTGCCTCGAAGCGCGTTACCGAAACCCTCATGACCCCGACTTTACTAGCCACTGTGCTTTCTCGATATTCCGCCGGTCGCATTGCGACTCGTTTACCGGAGCTTCGGACACTGTGGCTGAACGGCGAGGTCGTGACCACAGATCTGGCTCGTCGAGCGATCAATGCTTTGCCCCACACGCGCTTGCTGAACTGTTATAGCGCATGTGAGACACATGAAATCGCATGTGGAGATATTCGGGAAATGGTCGACGATTCTATTTACTGCCCTGTTGGTCCTCCTATTGACCCAGAGCACATGTATATTCTGAACGAGAGTGGTGAGCGGGTAGAGACCGGGACTGCTGGAGAGTTGTTTATCGGTGGAGATCTTCTCGCCCGCGAATATCTTAACCTCCCCGAAACAACGGCCAAGGCCTTCACTTCGGACAAGTTTTCTGCCACACCGGGTGCTCGGATGTACCGAACGGGTGATCTGGCTCGACAACTACCATCTGGTCTTCTGGAAATCACTGGGCGAGTAGGCGCGATGATCAAACTTCGCGGCTACTCGGTTGTCCCTGCCAAGGTGGAGAGTGACATTTGCCAGTATCTGGCTGTGAGCCATTGCGCTGTAGTCGCTCACGGAGATGGTCTGGAGCGACAGCTGGTCGCATACGTTGTGGCAGATTTTGAGGCGGGTGATCGTCCGGCAGTTGAGGTTGACGAGGCCGGTCACAGCCCGGCTTCACGTCGCGTGTTGGAGGCGCACCTTGCTCACTATATGATTCCTGCACAGTGGGTCATCTTGAAAGAGCTCCCCACTAGCGAGGTCTCTGGTAAGGTCAATCTCAAGAGCCTTCCTCCCCCTCGCAGTGCTAGCCCCGCTAGCAGCGAACAGTCTATAGACAAGGATCCCATTGGCATTAACGATATTGCTGCTTTCTGGGCCAGTGTTCTAAAGACATCAAAGACCTTTCTGAAGCCTCAAGATAATTTCTTCGACTTGGGTGGTCACTCATTGTCTCTTGCGGATTTGGCATCCAAAATCTCGAAACACTTTGGTTTCCGCGTGCCCATTCCACGTCTCGCAGAAAATGTCACCCTGTCTGGTCATCTGGATACAGTTCGCGCTATCCGAGATGGCCACACTGCAGCTGTTCAAGCTGATCTTCCAGCTGTATTGTTGGCTGACTCTACCCTGGATGACGAAATCAAGCCTCTTCCAAACACCACAATCACTTCTCTTGCCTCCGCAGACACTGTTCTTTTGACTGGTGTGACTGGATTCCTGGGTGCCTTCTTGTTGAGTGATCTTCTTGAGAATACCTCGGCTCAGATCATTTGCTTGGTCCGATTCAGTGATCCAGAAGACGATGATCAGGCCGGCGGTGTTGCCCGTATCCGTCGCAATCTTCTGGACCTGGGACTGTGGCGCGACACAATCATGGAGCGTGTAGAAGTTCTCCCTGGAAACCTTTCCCGACCTCGTTTCGGGTTGTCGCCTGAAACATTCGACGACCTTGCTTCTCGGGTCCAGGTCATCGTTCACGCGGCGGCTACCGTGAATCTGGTATACCCCTACGCTGCCCTCCGTGACGCTAATGTTGGCGGAACGCGAGAAATCCTCCGTCTAGCCGCCAAGGGTGGCGCCACAGTTCAATATGTCTCGACGAACGGTGTTTTACCCCCCTCTCCCGCCGGTGGACGCGGCTGGACCGAGGATACTATGCTGGATATTAAGGATGTGCCTACCAAGCTGTTAGACGGCTACGGCCAGACCAAGTGGGTTGCTGAGCAACTTGCGCTTAAGGCTAGTCAGCGTGGATTACCAGTGAAGATCCATCGATGTGGTACAATCAGTGGACACAGCCTGAATGGTTCGGCGAACGCGTGGGATCTGCTAACTGCCTTGTTGGTTGAGTCCATCCGGCTAGGCTACGCTCCAGACGTTGACGGCTGGCGCGCAGAGATGACCCCTGTGGACTTTGTCAGCCAGTCCATCGTTCACCTCGCCACACAAACACAAAAGGTGGAGAGCCAACCCGAGCAGACAGTCTACCACCTGGGTGATCCCGACCCTATCAACACTCGCACTGTCTTTGAGAATCTGGCGGAGCTCGGCTATCCCACTAAATCACTCCCGTGGGACGAATGGGTTGCTCTTTGGACAGAGAAGCGTGGCTCGACTAAGGGTGGAGATGGTGCATTCACTGTCGATATTCTTCGCAGCGGCATGCCTACCGTGGAGTTCCTTCGCGGTATTGTGGTCCTGGACAATGCCTTGACCAGACCATTCCGCAAGGCTGTCGAAAGACCCAAGGTGGACGCTCTCCTGCTGGAAACTTATGCCCGCCATTGGTTTGCTCGTGGTTGGCTCCCCAGACCCCCGTCCCGTCGCCAGGCCCTCGGCCGCTCTGTCGCCCGGGCTTCCCGCGGCCCGCTCAGCGGACAAGTGGCAGTCGTGACAGGTGCTTCCTCAGGAATTGGTGCTGCAGTCGCAGCTGCACTGGCCAAGCAGGGGTGCGCCGTTGCACTCGGCGCCCGACGACTAGACGCCTTGGAATCAGTCAAGCGCACTGTTGAATCATTCGGCGTGAAATGTGTCATCCGTTCAACAGACGTCACCAAAAAGACTGAAACTGAAGCTCTCTTCCAAGCTGCCCGCGACGAATTGGGTCCAGTGGATATCCTCGTTGCCTGCGCCGGTGTCATGTACTTCACCATGATGGCCAACACCCAAACAGAGGAGTGGGAACGCACTGTAGACGTCAACTGCAAGGGTCTACTGAATTCCCTGTCATCCACCGTCCCTAGCATGCTCTCCCGAGGCAAAGGCCACATCGTGGCTATCTCCTCTGATGCAGGCCGCAAGGTCTTCCCCGGTCTGGGTGTGTACTCGGCCAGCAAGTTCTTCGTCGAGGCCACACTCCAAGCTTTGCGTCTTGAGACGGCCGGTGCCGGGCTGCGGGTCACGAGTATCCAGCCGGGTAACACATCGACTCCGTTGCTGAATATGTCGACGGATGCCGAGGCTGTTAAGAAGTATGGCGAGCCATCTGGCGCAAAGATCTTGGATCCTTCTGATGTGGCGAACTCTATTGTCCATGCTCTTACTCAGCCTGAACATGTCTCTGTGAATGAGATCCTGGTTGAACCGCGGGATGAACCCATTTAATTGCTTTGTTACATCTTTTGAGTTCAATTTTCTGAGGGGTATAAAAATAGATTTCCGGTATATATTATGAATCTAGATTTTGGAGTATTCAAGTCATCATCCCAACCTCACTACCTAGTAGGAATACGGGTTCTCTGTACACTTCGGCCAGTTCGAATCATAGAAATCAGTTCTATATTCCATATAGTCCTCTACTGACCAAAGTAGATCTCTTAAGCGTGTATGTACAAAAAAGCAAACGATCTATATAAGCGCCATGGTATCATAAGTTAGACCAACTCAGAAGGCAGACATGAAGATTGAAGGACATGAAGCATAGCAGAATAATTGATCAAAAGTCAAGCCCAATGCCTTGATGACCAAGGCCCAAAAGTCCGTGTGGATTCCCATTCCCATGCCCATTCTCCAGATGCTCACCTTCCACTCCTACAATCTCATCCACAGTCCGATCCGTACCCAAAAGCCACCCCGGATCCTCGACCCATGGGTTTCGCTGAACAGGCGCCTCACCAAGGGTTGGCAAAAAGTTGCCAATGTTAACAGTACCATCAAGTCCTATCACACTCTTGCATCGCTCCAACAGCGGAGGGAACAGATAAGAAGGAGACCCACGGATCTGCGAAAGAGTATGTAGTATACCCCACAGAAGCTCACGGGGATCAACTGTTGATTCCGAGAGTCGATGAACACCCTTCGAGCCGAGAGAGCGAGTGACATCGGCAATGGAGACGCCCATATCGAATAATTTTTGTTCCTGTCCAAAATTATTGGTCGATTATCCAGAAATCAGGGATTTAGACATACCATTCCAATCCCATGAGCATCCACTGCACCTTGCGACGCATTCCCGATCACGCTCATAACGGCCTTCCCAACTAACACAGGTAAATGGAATGGTAGAACCGAATCTTCTTTTGAGCCGTGCGTCGCGTGGCTCATGGAGAGTTTCCACATCATGGCTTGGAGCCATTGTTGCGTGATAAGAATATCTACCTGTTGGATCTCGAGGACACCGTCCAGTGTAATTGGTTTACAGAGACTGGACTGGATGCCCGATGTAGGAGCACGTTCTACTAGACCATCGCCGCCACCTGCGGAGATCCAGTCGTAAAGATTTGCGGTGAGTTTCTCAAAGATGTTGATTAGGTTGATGAAACCGTATGCTAGGATTGGGTCTTCGGAGCAGAGGACCTGTGGTTTGTGAATTGAGCTGCGAAGCATTACGGGTTTAGATTGTTGGAGGGCGTAACCTCTGACGCAGAGATCAGTAACATGTAAACCAGAAGAGAAGGTGTAAATGTCTTACCTTTCCGTAATAAACAGAAGCCAAAATACCCGCCTTCTCTCCTCGGCTTCTTCAACTGGGAAATCCGCATACGTCGACTCGCGATGCAATCCCAATGTAAAAGCCATGGAAGTCGCCTGGCACAGATAAAACCATGCATGAACCTGCTTATCCAGATTCCCGTAGGAGGCGAACAGAAAAAACGACGTGAGCAAGTTCTCAATGCTAATATCCTCCACCACGTCACAATCCCGCCGTGCCCGCACAGCTTCCTCGAGTAACTTCTCTCCAGAGACGAGCGCATCTCCATCCCCAAGACTATGCAGCCGCGCCTGGTCCGGAATAGGATTGGCTCCATCAAGCTTAAGCTGGATATGCGTCGCAGCGCACAAAGCAGCCAGAAAAGCATATCTCTGAGGCAAAAGGCGCTCTGGCTGATGACTATCGCGACGGAGTTGATCACCCCGTACGACGGGCATGATGGGGAAAAGATATTTCAGATAGACGTTAACATGAGCGAGAAGGATATGGGGAGACAACCGTGCTATTTGGGGAGGGACGATAGGCCCATATGAGGAGTCGACTGTGTGATCTGTTGAGTCCGGAGAGGAACCCAGTTCCGGGGGCGGGAGTTGGGAGAATGAGTCGGAGATATCATAGTTGTATGATGTATCTTTGATACCGAATGCTGGGGATGCGGGAGAGCTTATTCTGAAGCTTTCTGGGAATGTATCTGGGTATTGGTCTGGGGTTACGGTTTCTGCCCGTGCGGGGAGTGGGTGTATCGGCGCAAGGGGGTAAAGGGTTCTGAATTTGGGGCCCTTGCGACGAAGTACGTCACTGTATGAACATGAGAGGAGGAGACGTTGACATTTATCGCAGGGCAGATCGCGAGAGCATTTGATTTTGCGACGGCGACAGTTGTCGCATGCTTGGTTGGGGGCTTTGAAGTCCATGATAATGGTCACAAAGGCATGGTTTGAAGATCTGGGGAAGGCAAATGCAGGATTTAATCCCTATAAACCTCGGAATGATACTAGCATGTATCTGGGGAAGCGCGGGGCGTAACAGAGTCCAACCCCGCAAAAGGTCCATGCACTTTATACTAAACAGTCTGAGGTTATTGCCCGATTTTGACACCGAAATCCTTTGTTGGTTTAGAACTGGATCAATGATTAACAGGTGGATTGTTAAGTTTACGCTAAAATCACACATATATACTGAAATATACTCTAGAAGCCCATGGAAAACCTTCCAATACGGTAGATGAATGATAATTCCTTCCATGCAGGGGCCTAAGCGAAGTCCCATCCCCAACCCGATCACCGCCAAGTCAAGCCGACGTAAGCCATGACCTCGTTCTAGAAGGTTTAGATCATTCCATCCCGTCAGCAAGTCTCATTCTGCAAGCCATTTCCCCTCTTTAGAAGAAAGGAAATGACGGGGGACCAATGCGCGATTTTCCGGGCTGGCCTTGTCTTCCCTTAGCGTTAGCCGCTAAACCATGTCTAGCCCGTCTCCGCAAATCTGCAAGGGAATTGAAACGGGGTCATGAACCTCCATAGCCGATCCAATCAGCTTATTCTTTCCCTCATAGGTGCTGGAGGGATTGTTGTGGTTGGAGAGAGATGCCGAGATTGGACTTCGCTCGGGAAGCCGAATTGTCAAGCCCTCATAGGCTGTTTCCTTTTCCCTTCCCACCTGGCATGAAGTCATTCATCGCTAATGATTGCATAGTGGGACTGTCGGAGACTGCCGCTTAACTCCGGGGAGCAAGTTCAAAACCCCCCGAGCACTATTTACTCACTCCGCTCATGGTGCTATATTGTTTCCCCACAGCTGCAGCTAGGCATAATTGGTCATCCGTGTTCTGGCCAATCATTTACAGAAATTCCCTGTTTTTGGATTCTTAACTGGCTCGGTGCGGAGTGAATGGACGGGAGATAACATGACAGGGTACCTTGGTGCCTGACAGCTGATAGTTTATACTCGTGCTCAACATGTACATAAACAGCCTAGACCACAAGACTCCCGAGGGACTCCCGAGGTCCAGCTATACTCCCCACAGTATCCACATTTTTTACTTCCCTGTTTACTGATGCTCAATCTTGTTGATGAGTGTGCCCACATAAGGCAAAAGCTCAACAGCAAATTCGTCCCCTGCCTTGATGAACTCTTTCGGGTTCTTAGCCGCACCTACTCCAGGCGGGGTACCAGTAAGGATGAGAGTTCCGGCGGGCAGGGTTGTACCCTGCGATAAGAAGCTAATCAACTGTGGGACAGAGAAGATCAGATCCGTAAGCTGGCAATCCTGCATAACACGACCACTCTTTAGACCGCGAATCTGAAACTTGCTAACATCCGGCATTAGAGCAGCGGACACGAGCACGGGACCTGTCATTTAAGGATTAGGGTTAGCTGAGATCAGCGGAGATAAATGGTAAGAGGAATCATACCGATCGGACATGCGCCATCGAAGCCTTTCGAAAAGGACCATTGGCTCTGGTTCGTCTGTGATGTTCGGCTGGACACGTCATTCGCCGCGGTGTATCCGAGCACATAGCTAAGGGCCTCGGACTCTGGCACATCCTTGGCATCACGACCTAGGACGATAACCATTTCCGACTCGTAGTCACCGGTGTTGTCTTTCTGGGTGAGCTTTGGGAGGACCGTAGGCGCAGGCCAGGGATCGGCTAGTGAGGTTGAGGGCTTCATGAAGAGGGTAGGCACATCCGGGAGGGGTAGGGACATTTCCTTTGCGTGTGAAGCATACTATTGAACAAATCTGATCAGTATCGGACTTCCGAAGCTATAGATGTGAGTCACTCACGTTCAACCCAATGCAGCGAATCGTTCCGACCTCGGTCTGCGCGAGAGGAGAAAGAATGCGAGCAATTGACTCGGTCGAATTGGTGATGGAACCCGGGTTCAACATGGACGAGCCCGAAAATGGGCGCACCGGGACATCCTTGCCCTGGTACACAGCTAATCCGACATCTAGGTGCGGATCGATCGGTTCGCCGATGAGAACCTTGGCAGGGTTGGATCTAGGGACGAAGCGCACCAGGCCTAAAGATTCTCAGTTGAAGTTTGATTGTGAAGCTGAGGTCAACTTACGCGAAAAGGTAGATGCGATCTTGGACATGGTTGATTTACAGAAAAGCTCCGGAGAAGACAGTTATCGGAGTATTTCTACCCCGGAGGGATCCCACAATGTGGGGAATGACGGAGCGCCCACAGTGCAGTGGGAACCATAGATTATGTGGTCAATGCCAAGGTAATTAAAGCATATAGCAACATTATGGGATATCAAGTAGAACTGAAGTGTAGATCGGACTAGAATTTACTGTTGCTGTTACGGTGAATTGATTTCACCGAGGATGACGCATCATCGAATCCTTAACTCCGCAACGCCGCAACTCTCTCTTTCTCTCCGATTCCTTTAAATGACTTCACTTTAAGCTTCCATTTCATCTTCACCTTCCGCACAATGCGCTGATATCACTTTCCTCATCATGGCGCATGCGACAGTCCGGTCTTTACGGCCAACCTCCCTGCGTCCTCTCCGCCCTCTTCGATATATCCACTCTGGCCAATACCAACCTTTTGTACCACCTTCACCAAGCTCCCTAGGCAAACCCCAAGCAGCAAAAACATACACCAGAACCCGCAAATGGCTCCGACGATTATTCTATACCTCCCTCGCAACGGGCATCATCTACGGTGTCGACAATCAATTCTACGCCGCCTCACTGACCCGCACCGCGCGAACATTCTCCCTCGGTCTCATAGTCGCACTCGACTATAAGATCAATTTCCGACCACATCCTCCCCTCGCAAGCTCTATTGCAGCCGTGCATGCTCGCAACGCGGAACGCTTGTCGGATCTCCTACGTCAAAATGGGGGTCTCTACTTGAAGATGGGTCAGGCGATCGCTATGCAGTCTGCGATCTTACCGTCGGAGTTCCAGGCTATGTTCTCGCGAATGTTTGATGATGCACCGCAGAATGACTGGAAGGATATTGAGAAGGTTATTCGGGAGGATTTTGGAAAGTCGCCAGAAGAGGTCTTTGGCGTATCGTTTTCGGGGGAGCCTGGGAAGGGTGTGATGGAGCGCAAGGCTCGCGCGAGTGCTAGTGTTGCTCAAGTGCATTGGGCTCGTCTCCCGGATGGAAGGGAGGTGGCGATTAAGGTCCAGAAGCGTGAGATTGCGCAGCAGTTGGTTTGGGATTTGTGGGCTTTCAAGTGAGTGTGCTCAGGAAGTTGTTGTGGGGGTTGAATACTGACATTACGCAGAGTCGTAACCTACATATACAGCAAGATGTTTGATATCCCATTCTACAGCTTAGTTCCTTATATCAGTGAGCGATTGTCGCTGGAAACTGATTTTGAGAATGAAGCGACCAACGCCGAGACCATGACTCGGCTGGTCGCTGGCGAGCCTAGACTGCGCGACCGAGTGTATATCCCGAAGGTCTATCGCGAGCTGAGCTCGAGACGTGTTATGACTGCTGAATGGATTGAAGGTGTGCGACTATGGGACAAAGACTCGATCACACGGACTTGGCGCGGTGGTTGGAGAGAGGGTAGCCCAGGGTGCCACGGCACTCCTCTGGACCGACCGAACACCACCCCTAGGCCTCAAGATCCTCTGAAAGAGAAAATCAAGCCTGAACGGAACTACTGGAAAGGAAAAAATGATCGGGGCGGGCTGGGCCTGTCTGTCAAGGACGTCATGACGACCATGGTCGATCTGTTCTCCGCCCAAATGTTCCTATGGGGGTGGGTGCATTGCGACCCGCACCCAGGAAACATCTTCATCCGTCGCAAGCCATCTGGAAAGCCAGAGCTGGTCCTCATTGACCATGGCCTATACATCCACATGGATCCCGATTTTCGGCACCAGTACGCCCGCTTCTGGAAGGCTCTCTTAACCTTTGACAACAAGACTCTTGGTGAAGTCGCTAAGGGATGGGGTGTCAGAAACTCCGATATGTTTGCTTCTGTAACACTGATGCGCCCCTACAGCGGAGGCGACTTGTCAACGCAGCGCGGGATCCAAGGACTGAGTAAACACGAGCTCCAGGAACGGCACTATGAAATGCAACAGGCAGCCCGCAAGGCGATCCGTGAAGTTCTCGGCGATGAGCAGAAATGGCCCAAGGAACTGATTTTCATTGGACGAAACCTGCGTATTGTCCAGGCGAACAACCAATTCCTTGGATCTCCCGTGAACCGGCTCAAGATCACCGCGACGTGGGCCTCGCGGGCACTTGTGGAATCACCCGATCTTCCTTTGTTGGAGAAAGTGCGCAACTATGGTCAGCACCTTTTGTTCCATTTTGTACTCTTCAGCAGTGATGTATTCTTCTATTTCACTAAGGTCCGCCAGTTCCTCCATCTGGGTGGGGGCATGGAAGACGATATTGAGGCCCAAATGCAGGGCATGGCTAAGGAAATGGGAGTAGAGCTAAACCACAGTGTGTTCGAGGGATAGACTAGTTTAGATGACGATTTAAAATACCTCTCCACTTATCATTTAATGCAACCTTTAGAGGTTACGATTGCTCACCGATGTTTCAGACATGATCATAATTTCTTTGACAGCTTTCATCTCATGAACAACTGGCTTGACGGTATAACTCTCACTGCAAAAATCAACCCCATGCTGAGAGTAAGCAACGCACTAAGTGCAGCAAGAAGTCCCAATCGCGCTAGACTTTCAACCCCACGTCTCTCAAACTTGGTTGTCCTTCGCTGCCCCAGCCGGGTAGTCCGAGTGAGTGTTGGAATATACTTAAAATCAAAGTGAGATTCGCGTCCAAGGCCAATCTTCTCATCAAGAATCATCTTATAGAAGTGTTCTCGTCGGAGCTAATTCTCTTTTAGCGCATCAAAACCCCAAAGGAACAGAATAAACATACTGAGATCATCGACCGATCCAAAAAAGAAATCCGCGGAATAACATAGGACATCCCAGAAACCCAGAAACAATAACCCCAAATAAGCAACCGATAATAAAGACTCGATCTCGGAATCTCCAACTCATCCGACAACTGATCCCCATTCAAAAGCCGACTCATAGCCTCCATAAACTCCTTCGAAGCATAAGCAGGAGCTGTATTCTCCAATCCCAGAATAATATTCTTCGCAAGAACCCTCCCCACCTCCGTAGGATCGATCTCCGAAATCAACAAAGACTCCATAGTAGCTTTTGCCCTCTGCGTACTCTCAAGCGACTCCGTCGGCGTACCCATATACCACGCCACAAGCCTCCAAAGAGCAATATAGTCCTCGATCTCGGTCTCGCTGAGAAAGATACCCTGACGTGGTAGTCCGAGCCAGACGACCGAGCTGCAGAATGTGTTTATCGTGCCGATGCAGTCGAGATCGTTCACTGGGATTCCGTGTTTGGTTACGTCGTAGTAGTCTGGTTTTTGGTCGACTAGACTTAGGATCCGGAGACGGACTGTTGAGTGGAGGAGTCGGACTCGGACTGAGGATATGTTTCCTTCGCCGCCCGGTTTCATAGCTTCGGTGGAGCTGTTCACTTGGAGGACGTGTTGGAGGGTTTCGAGTAGGCGGCGGCGGACTACTTTTGCGCCAAAACCGCCTGTCCGGGAGAGGGTTTCTACCACTCGGATTGCGCCCCTTCAATATATGGTCAGCACTTGAGTGTTTCTGATCTAGAATGTGTTTGATGGGAGGACGTACATCCCGCCTAGTAGGCTTTGAAAGCTAAGCTGTATGGTGGATATTAGATGCTGTCAAAGTCAGGGAATCTATTTTACTCACCACGTTCAATATTGGAACTCCGTATCGAAAGAATACATCTTGCCCTCTTTGGATTTGCTTCCAATCTACCCATTCAGGAACTGTGTTGACCTGAGTCCAAAGTTCTTGAAGCTTTGAATCCTCGTCGGCATGGGTCTTAAGCAGAGTATATAAATCCTTATGGAAAGGCTTGTCCGAGTCTCCGTTTGTGGGTATCTTATTGAGTCGTTTCACGCACTCATCAGCCAGAGTGTCATAGGTATGGGCCATAGGACGAAGTTCCTCTTCAGACTGATGAAGGTCGGACCAATGAAACGAGTATCCCCAGTAGTGGAATTCGGTGCGATTACCGTGCCGAGACGCTTTCAACGCCATGATTGTGACCTGCTCAGAAGGACTCGATAAACAAACTGGAAACAAGAGATATACTATGCTTCTTTCTATTCTTTTGTGGGGCTCTCATGATAATGGTTTATGTGAGGTTCAAATGTTCTGCCATATCACTGGCGCAAACTGTACCGTGGTCCGTGGTCCGGGGGAACAGCGGGGCTGGGGCATGTGAATCCGGTTTCTGGATGATCATATCTCTTTTCACCAAACAGACATGCTTCCTCATAAATTATTGGCTCCAGTAAAATTGACAGTTCCTCGGAGAAAATAATCACATGTACTCCGCACGAGATGAAGCTACACGTGGATGTTTTGTGAAATCTTGCTCGTGAATTGATATTAGATGCCTGGGTCTTCCTGGTCTATATCTCCATTGGAGGATTAATATTTTTCATCGCTATGACGTCTTGGAAGTGGCGCGAGTCTTCTGTTTCTTATTTGCGCTCCTATCCGTTTTACTCGATGTACTCTTTTTCTTTGTGGACGTCGATGTGGGGTCGGCAACATCACCCACTGGCTCGTTGGAGGTAGAACCCTGGGCTATCTGAGCTTGTTGTTGTAGGCGGCCAAATGCTTTTTCCATGCGACTCACACCGCCATTACGGACTCGAGGTGCAAATGCTCCGGCACCTTGAGGGCCCGGCATGAACTGTGTGATGTTTGACTGGGTACCTTCTTGTTCCCTGCGATTCATATCTCGGATCACAGGTACTAGCACCTCGTCTGTCCGCTCTGGACTCCAGCCAATAGTCGACATGAGAAATCCTCTCAAGCCGTTCAAGTCTGGCACACCCCATTGGAACTGCGAGGGATCAGAGTCGACCTCCGGTTCGAGGTAAGCAGCCTCAACGCGCTCATCGGGGAATGAAGGAGGTAAAAATATCTTTGACGCCTTCTTGCGGAATTTCTTCCGGAAAGCAACGTGTTTGTCTTTAGGGTCATTTATGCCCATCTGAAGTTGCGAACACCAGTCACGGAATTCCTCCAGACTCGAGAACTCGGTCACTATTTCTAGTGCCGTCACCGGTCCAATACCGGCAATACCCTCAGTGTAATCACTCCCTAAAAGATGGGCGAAGCTGATAAGCTTTTTGCGGTGAAGGGAGTATTCTTTTTCAAAATCGGAGGTCAGGTAGCATTCAACGTATTTGCTTTGGTTGAACATGTTCTTGTATACTCGGGTCCCACCAAACAGAAAAGTATCGCTGTCGTCGGTAACGATACCATCCACAAGTCCCAACGACACGAGCTCGGCGCACTGGGCCTCGGCCTCCATAGGTGCTGTGATATAGGGTAGCCCAAAGAGTTTGAGCAATTGCTGACACTCGTTGATCATGATTTGGGTAACCTCATCCGCGTCACGTCGGTCTTTCTGTTGCTGATTCCGTAACTGCTTAAGCTCTTGCTCGTAGTCAAGTGCGGTCTGAATAGGTGCAGCAGAATTCAAAGTCTGGGCAAACCTGACATGCTCTTCAGATTCCTCAGCAAGCTGTTGCATAAGCTCTTCGTCTTCAGCGTCACTGAAGTCCCCATCGTCTTCCATGTTTGACTCATTATGGACAGGCTCTTGGCGTGTCTCGGCACGCTCATTAGAAACCGCGGCATGCGAGACGACCGTGATTTCTGGGCCTTGGGGAGGTTCAGCCATGACGTCTTCGAATTCTGGCTCAGGAGAATCCTCGGATTGTCCGGCTTCTTTGTGTTGCGCGTTGCCAACAACAGCTTTCTCGCCTGGCGACCAGGGTTCATCCGGAGCTCTAAGCCCGGGAGGCTTCGAGAGTGAGGGGGCGATATCTTCGAATTCCGCTTCGGAGGATAACTCAATGGGAGGCTCACTTATTCTTGTTTCTCTATTCTCCTCGAGGGTTGGCTCTTCGTGGAAGCCGGCAATGACAGTCTCTGGATTCAGGATTTCCGCGTTTTCAGTAGGCTTCAACTCTAGCACATTTGAGTCTGCGCAATGTTCGTATTGTAGATCTTCGTCCAGTTGAACAACTTCTTTGGTGTCCGACATCTCATCAACATCGATGACCTCCGGTGGTCGGCGATTAGACAGAAAGAGATGATCAGGGTCATTTGACTCCTCCTGATCTCTAGGGTTCTCAAAGCTTTGATCTGAAATGAATTCCTCATTCAATTTCGCGCCTACAAACCATGGTGGTAGAGGCTCCTTCTTCTTCTGGGATGAATCCTTCAAGAAGCCACCCGCATTCTCGTCAACTTGGGCGGATTGGTTGTCCTTATGTACTTTGGTCACTTTGATTGACTCGAATGGGAGAGGCCCGTCAAATGGATTCTGTGGTCGAGGTTTGTTCGTAGAGACTTTGGTTTGTGCCACTGCAGCTGCAAAATCCATCCCGTCGTCGTCACTGTCAGTAAGTATTGGATCTGGCACGGCTTCGTTGTCTGTCATTTTGTTCATCGGTCGATTAATTGGAATATCGGGCATCTCATCGTCATGTTCGTGTATCTGCATAGATAGGGATATGGCTTTCTGAAGTTCATCGTCTTCGTCATCCTCAAAGTAATCATCAATATTGTGGTTTTGACTCTGTGGCAGAGAGCCTTCGTTTGGTACGAAAAGGGAGTCATTTTCAGCCTCTTGCCTTCGAGATTCTTCTAGAGCCCTTCTCATGTCAGATTCTTCGCGTGATTGTTGAAGCGACGAATCAAAGATACCCTCTTGAAGAAAAGGCAACTTAGGTAGGCGGTTGAGACCCTCGATGGGCACATCTTCAAACTCTTCATCTGAATCATCTGACCCAGACAATACCTCTGGCAAGCCAAGTTTATCCACATCAATCGGTTTATCCTCTTGTCCCTCATCTCTGTTCCCCACCACACCAAGAACCCAGCCTCCTGCATGCTGACTATCCTTAACGAGGACATATTCCCTGCCACGTTCGCCCGCAATACGCTGCCCAGATTTATAGAACGCCTCCTCCCCATTCATGCCGTTGATGTTCATAAGTCGTTGCGTGAGATCATTTCGTTCTGCCACTCGCTCGATTTGAAATCTGGAGAAGTCCATGCGGTTTGGGAACATGACATCTAGCTGCTCCTTCGAATAACCCATCCTCAGTCTACTTCGGAGTCTAGCCGCATTGAGGATGTTGTAGCGATCGGTGGCTGGGAGGCTGAGGAAGAACGGGCTGTCAAAGTCGATTTTGGAGAAGTCATAGAGGTTGATATCTTGCCCCTGGTGAAAGTGTCTTGCATATTCCTCCAGCTCTTCTTGTGACATAATTCGAGGGTCATTCGGTGCACCCATCTCCTCCAGCGAAACATCCAAATTTGGGAGATGATAGGCATCCGTCTTCTTGAATTTTCGATTTTGCTGCCTTTCTTTGTCTGTCAAAAGGGCCTCTTCGGCGTATACCGGGGCACCAATGTCTTCTTCGTCTGCTCGGCCACGCTTTTTGCTTTGTCTCCGTTCTTCGGCTTCTTCTTCGGCAATTCTTTGCATCTGAATCGCGAGTAGCTTGCCAGCAGTTCTGGATGCATCCTCCCTTCGTCCCTCCCGCCTTCTTTTCCGCTTATTGATTGTCTCCCGCTTGAGGACTGGAGCACCACCATCGAAGACAAACACGGGCCGAATGCCGACATACAGGAGCTTGCATATCCTGCGAAAGAATCCAACAACGTGGGAGTTTCGTAGTGCATTTCCCTCTTTGTCGCGTACTGCTTTCAGGAATTGGTAGATCCAGATCGACGCGTCGACGGCCAGCCGTTTCTTATTAAGGGTTTCGAGTTTGATAGGTCGGGCGCAAGGCTGCACCACCGTCCAGAGGCCAGTGACACCCATGTTTTATCGTGACGGTCAGCCAAAGGGCCTGGATGGGTTGAGCTGGGCTCACGGGATGATCAGCAAGAATCTCATGAGTTGGAAATGATGATGACATCAGTCGCAAATGGAGTTGAACGGCACGCGTGTGGGGTGGCGCGCAATCACGTGAATGTATTATTTGGGCAAATAGTATGAACCTACTCTTTAGCTTGATAAATATCTTTCAAGTGTTAATATTTATGTATCGCATCGAACAGAGCTGATATTTTGGTATCTAGTGGTTTACTATCAATTCTTATTTGGCGTAATCGAACGCCATCCCACGACATTTCAGCCAAAGAGACCGAACAATCTCCAGCGACGGCGATCTTGCACCCCTAGCAACAACAAGGGACTCTAAAAACCGTGACTTGTCCTGCGCTGAGAGTACCGGGGTTTGCTGGCCATTAGCATCGGTGACGTGTGCATCTAGAGCATTGAGTGCACTCATAAGGCTTGGCCTTGCGAGTGCCATTTTCTTGAAGATAGTTCGCCGAAGAACATCGTTGAGAAAAGTCAAGTCAGACCGTGCACAGCGACCAGCAATCTGCCTGATCAATGTTTCACATAAAGACGGGATGAAACGCTCCAGAACTTGGTCAAGAGCCATAGTCTCTTCTGGGGATCCACTACGCAGATCAATCATAGCTATCCAGAAGGCCGATCCGGCACGAAGAACGAGAGGTTCTGGCCGGGTCAAAGCGTGAAGAGCAAAGTTGAGTAATAGGGCAAAAGTCGGCGTGCCTTGTGATACAGGACCAGCGGCGGAAGGAAGTGGTTCTGTGAGAGAGAAAAGAATAGCGTAATATTTTGGTAAAAGGCGTGCGAGGAAATCAATCCCAGCGTTGGCAGTTTCGGGATCGTAGACATCGGGGTTGTCAAGCATTGAAGCAAACAGCTGTGACACATGAACGATTAATTCCACAGCCTGGTCCCGAATCTGCATTGCATGGGAGCCATGTGAGGCAAGAAACGAGGATGCAGTGGCCATGATAACATCTGTTCCTGAGATCCCTAGAGGGAAGCTTTTGATAAAGTCGACTGTTAACGTCGGAGGGAAGACGAAAGGGCCAGATGACTCAGTATAGCCAGCTTTGAGAATATCGCATGCTGAATCGATTATACCGCTGTCAACAGGGAAATCAACAATCAAGAGCCGCATGGCCTGCATGATGAGCTGTTGCGCTGGGGATCCAGGCCCCGCATTCCAAAATGATGGAGGATATGGATTCTGCTCTTGTGTAGCATCAACGTTAATAACCTCTTCTCCGTCAGATCGAAGACCTTTTCCAAGACTGGCAATGCAACTTAGGACAAGATGGCCGTGGACCCGAGCGATATCGTATGCAGAGCCAGCTGCTTCCTCGCGGGCTTGATTGGCCTCTTGGACAAAAAACCCCAGAATTCTCTCCAAGGTTTGTACTTTTTCTTGGTCTGAATCTAACTTTTGTATGATTGCCGCAATTCCCTCGAGAACTTTGGGCATGGTAGAAACAGTTGCCGTGGGCTTCGTACGGAACTGATTCAGTCGATCAAGGAAGGTGGGGAGCTCCGGAATCAGCATTCGAGAGCATGACTTTGAAAGAGTCAGGATAGACCGTGAAGCCGGCTGAGCGCAGGACTCGAAGCTTAGGGATTCAAATAGGATGTTCAAAACACTAGGCAGGAGGAAGCTATGGCGTTCAAAGTATGACTCGTATTTACCGAATGAGTCAACAAGTGTTTGGCGTGCCTTGAGGGGAATCCCAGTCTCACCACCAAGGCACAGTTGTGCAAAGGCGTTGCTTCCAAAGATGGAGTCCAAGCACTGGTCTGCATGGCCATTTTCATCAACGGCCTCTGATAACTGAGCAAGGCAGAACATAGCCGCTTCGAAGCCTCGCCAATCAAGCTTTTGCAGATTAGTTGTTGCACTCTCTTGGAAAACGCTGACAAGCTCGACACCCAGAATTGGATAAGCCGACAGTAGATAGTCGCAGGCTTCATGACGGAACGCGTTAAACTCGCTCCGTTCGTCATCTCCCCAGTCAGCCAATTCACTGGGGCTGGGATAAAGCAGCTTGTTGAACATTCCTAAAACGACTTCGGCCATTTGAGCCTTAACTATTTGGTATCTGGCATCGCTGGACTCTAGTTTGTCTGGAAGGCACTCAGCAATCTCGCCCCAGTACTCCAAGGCACGCGTTGTGGCTGATTCGTCAATGGCAGCGTAGCCTGGAGTTTTGAAAATATTATGCAAGATGGCAAGTATTTGAGTGTTCTGGGGTTTCATTGGGTCACTGAAGAGGTCAAAACTGACGTGGGAGACATATGCCACCAGGAGATCAATAAAAGTCATGCTGTCAGTATCTTCGTTTTCATCAGTGATTGAAATCAGATGCTTTGTGACAATCGAGTCGGAAAGAATTTGCGACATGGTAAACATCGAGTGGTTATCAAAGACCCAGGAGCGGGTCTCAAGGGCAGAAGTCAGTACAGTTGCTGCACTTTCATTAAAGACCGGTAAACGGAGTGCCTCTATGATATCCTGCCCACATGAAACCGCGAGGTTCTGTGTTTGCTTGTCACTCGAATGGCGATGGTTTCCATAGACGCTAAGCCAGGTCTTCAAAATTTGGGATTAGCCACCTTTGACGGATAATTTTATTCAGGAAAACATCTCACCTTCCAGGAGCCCATGGCCTCATTCCCTAAAGTAGATTCCATGGATCCACTGCTAGCTTCCGAGACATGATACGCGATCTGCCGGATGATATATTGGACGAGCAAGAAAGCGTCGCCAATGTTTGCCACCACACGCTGAATGGCTGATCCGACCAAATCTTGAGGTTCAGTCTCCAGGCGCAAAGCTTCCTCAGCTAGTGCGACCGAGAAGAATAGAAGAGCTGTAGCCTTCTGAGTATTCAAGACCGGGAGGACTCCATTCAGGAAATCTACTGTCTGGGAGTCTGATTCGGAGACATATCCACCATGTGCAAGGCTCGCAGCTAGTTGCCACAATGCTCTTCCCCAAGAGCTGGCAGCATTTCGGAAGACAGCAACAAGACTAGAAGCAAGTTTTCTGACCACCATAGCCTGCTCGCCCTCATTCACTATTGTGATGAAATGATTGATAAGGCGTTCTAGGATTTGCCAGGTCATTGCCTCCTCAATATCATTGCTGAAATTAGGAAGATTAGACAAATTATAAATTTTGTTGAAGCTTATATAGATTTCCGGTGTTTTATAGAAACTTACCCAGACACATTGATCTTCACTGTAAAAGTGAGGGCACCCATAAAGCGATGTTGGGCAGAAGGCTCACGTAATAGTGAATCTGCAATTTCCCAGGCATGGTCACCTTTCTGTAAGTGTTGTAACCGATTTTGAATTTCATCAATACGGGCTGGGTTGCGCTGGTTTGCAGGATCATAAAGTTGGGTTACCAGCTGTGGCAGATCAGCACTCGGTCCGAGTCAAAAGTTAGACAATATTACTTACCGCATGAGCTTCCATTATGGGCTCGGTGGGCTCAGGGCCCATGTTTGGGGCACGCGTCGCCATTGCTGAGGTAGAAGAGAAAGAAAGTGGGATGCGATTAGAGAGTATACAATGTCTATCATCACGTGGTGATAAGGTAATTATTCACGGCCGGGATCCACCACAGCCATTCAGGACTCGAAATTCCTTCGGATTTTAAGTACTCCGTAGTATGTGCTCATTGTGTTATTGAAAGCCATATGGAGACTATTTCACGTGAATTTTGACAACCAAGAATATTGAATTCGTCCTTAACTCACCCCTATTGATCTAAGATTCTCCATGCCGGCTTCATATCCTAAATCCCTTTCAATCAATCGAACCACAACTCTCTACCTCAAGTACTTGTCTAGAGAGCGTCCCCTTTCTCTCTGGAGACAATCAATTGGTTTTCTGTCCCTCAAGAACGGATTCTTTCTTCACATCCCTTCCATTGGATACATTGAGCTTGTCAATATGATCAAGGGGCAAGCGAAGGAAATCATGCTTGTTCTTCCAAGTGACTTGACTCTCGGCAAAGCCCTCACTCTCAACGGGGGATGGTGGCGGATCAGTAATTTTGGTGACAAGATATGCCGTAGATGCTTCAGCAACACCATACATAACAACGCCAATGAAAGGAGTCTTCAGAACCACAGTAAAGGCAAAGGAAAAGCCGAACAAAACACCCTCGCGGTCACGGAACCAACGAATCTTCTGCTCAGGGGTGAATTTGATACGACGGAAGTACGGTTCGAGCTAGATATTCCAGTTAGTTGATTCTCAAAGCGCCAATATGTTCATTCGGCCTTACAAGTTCACGCATCAGACTTCTTGACGCAAAGTAAGTGTGAAGGAATTGAATGATGTATGTCTTGGGCAGGACTAGGCCAGCACCAAAGATGGCAATAGCTGGAGCTGTGCCGACATGCGATTTGAATGTATAGAAACTGGCCGCTGGCATCACAAAGCGCCCAACGATAGGGAGCATGGACAGGAAATACACCCCTAACCCTAGGGCTATCTTCTTGCCATATCGATTGGCAAAGGTCATAAAGATCTCTATTTTGGGACGTGATTGACGAGGACCTCCCTTGGTTGGAAAAAGTTCCAGGTTTGGATAGTACATATCACGCAAAGTGTCAGGATTCTCAGACTTATGCTTCTGGGCGTAAGTTGTGTCCACCCAGTGGATTGATTGCATGAAACTATACCATGGTCAGCAAGGGTCTACCAAAATCGGATCTCAAAAAATTACATCTCATCAAGAGTCGGCGTAAGATGACCCATCAAGGTCATCAAAAGAAATGGCACTTGGAGAACAGACTTGGATAAGAACTCCAGGCCTTTGAGAAGATCGTCGTCCCATGTTTCACTTTCCAAGTCGATAACCCACGAGATAATGTATAGAGCAAACTTCAGGCCGATTATCTAGAGATATAATGTTAGGAAGTTACATTCAATGACTGTTATAAACATAAATTTCGAATTTTGACGTACCGGGATTTGAATAATTAGTTGGATAATAACACCAACAGCAATTGCTATAGCAGCTTGACGAAAGTGCTCATGTTTGAACAGATCTGGATTCCGTAGAGCGCGAACAGCTGGACAAGGTAATAGTCAGCGTTGAAAAAACAGGGGGTCTAGTCAAATTCGCAATTTCCAACTAGCTGCTATGGTGGGCCCTTAGAATAGGCAACACAGATGTACTCGTCAATGGGCCACGAGCCATCTCCATCCAACAAAAGCCCCACACAAATACTGTCTGTGAGCCGACTGTTCCGAAAGAAAAGACTTTCTTGTCTGCGGAGCTTGAGATGGGAAAGGAAACATGGGAGACAGACTTCCTACCACAGTGAGCTGGAAGCCACGAATGATGGCATTGGGCTCGAAGTTCGACATGATCGAGCCCGATTGAAGCTTCACACACACCAGTGGCGACTTATCCTGGAATATTGGAATGTATCGTATGTTAAAAGCAAGATGAAGAACAGTCAAACGACAAATTGCAAGGCATCCACCGTTTATAAAGCTGCTGCGTCATGTCACATGGACTTTTGGCCTGAGGCACTGAAATGCCTCCCCACGCAAAAGGCACGCGCTCATTGCGATAACGGTCCTTCCCCCAACTACCAAATGTGTTCACCTCGCGGTATCGCTTTGTCCACCCATGACAATGCCCGAGCCTCAAAGTGAGCCCCTGGGTCAGATACATTCTATCCGGCGCTCGGTTACTTTCCCCACGAAGTTAATTCCGCAGTCGATACGCGGTTCCGGTGCGCCAAATCCAAATGTCGCAGAGAACGTCATTTTCTATCATCCCTCGGCGAAGATAGTTCACTTCGCTCCCAGGGCTCTAGCCCCTATTCCGTCCAGCTCTGCGCCTACCGATTTTGATTATCCCGTTGATACCATCGAAACCCACCCCTGGCGCTCTGCGACGGAGCGGACCGTCGCAACTGCGCCACTGAGACTCGAGAAGGTTCATGGACTGACCGTGTTCCTGAAATGTGGAAATGTCGTCCATGCGATTCTGAAGAACTCTCAGTGCTGGTGTGTGGATGGAGTTTCGAAATTTGTCCTGCGCATTCGCCCTCTCACGTATTATCGCATCGAGATACCCTATGAAACACAGGAGGATAAAGGGCTAGTGGAGGAGTTGAAGGTTGCGTTACCAACAGTACTCCGATATGAAGTCACTCCATGTCCTTTTAAGCGGGAGTTCACGGTCGAGCTCCCCGAGGAAGCTATGGCGCCGAGGCGCAAGAAGGCCTGGCGTCCCAAAGTTCGGAAAGATAACGTGACGGCATCATACGGGAGCGAGCAAGGTCCTTCAGGAGATATCAAACAAGAGTGGCTTGAGTCTGCCAGTACCGGGGATGACACTGATGGAGCCGCAACCGACGATAGTGCAGTAACACCCGAGCGGTCTGACAGTATAACTTCGGAGTCTTTGCTAGCGCATGAGACATCACATCCTCTCAGTCTATCCGATCCTCCACAGCTGAGGGTTATAAAACGATCGTTTACCGAAACACCGCAAACATTCAGCAGCCTTCGGGCGAAGTTTGATGTTCCTACGGTCCCAGAAGAGCAGCCCAATACTGAACCTGTGCCCGAAGAGCCTTTGGTTGAATCAAAGCCTTTCTCTGTGATCGTGGCCGAATCAGAACCTGTGGACAATAAGCCCAGAGAGCCATTGATTGAATCGGAGCCAGTGCCAGTGCCAGCGCCTGACTTTGAATCTGAATCTGAACCTAAGCTTGCTCAACCTGCACCGGTTCAGCCTCGATCTACCGAGCCCCTTAAACCTTTACATATAAAGCCGGAGTCCCCAGTGTCTCCCCAAGAAAACGATGGGCCTGCCGAGGTGATCACATACACAGATCCACCCGCTGAAGCCGACAAAGAAGCAGTCCAAATTTCGCCATCTTGTGCAGACTGTAACTCCACCAAGGTCGAAAGAAATTTTGTTAGCAATATAGTTGTGGCTACTGACTCGAGAATTGAGCTACCAGAAACCGTGTCGGGTGAAACTAAGCATGATGATTTGGAGCCCATAACCACCAAAGATAAATCATCAGAGCCTAGCAAGGCGAATACTTCCTCCGAACTTGAATCTAAGGGTGATGAGGTCGCTGACGTTATTCCTATTGAAGCTGAGCCCACTGAACCCCCAGTAGGCGAGAGCGAAACGGCCGATTCCAGCCAAGATCATGCTCTAGCCTATTGCCAGATCTCCAAGGGTGAACCAGTGGATGAGATCGTCACTGCCGCATATGAAAATGATCCCAATCATTCGTTCTCATCCACACCTGAATCTTTCCATTCAGCAGAACCCCACTCACCATCTGATTCAATCTCCACCCATGCTACTTCCTGGGGCTCTCCTAGCACGGTGCAGAAATATAAGATAGACCGTGACCAAGATTTATCGTCACTATCTCCAACTCCATCATCACTACCATCTGATATACCTACCACCAGCCCTGTCTTGAAAGCCGACATGTCAATGAAAGACAAGCCGTCCAAGATTGATAAATATCAATTGGCTCGAGAAGATCCATCGCAACCTTCATTGAACCCTCCATCGAACTCGAGACAATCCACCGCAAAATCCTCGTCGCCATCGGATCTTTCTCATATGAGTACCGAGTTCCGTCGCCGTGCACAAGCGACCAGAGAACGCGACGTCTCCCCGATGCCGGCCTCGTCCGCTTTATACCGACCGACACCTGGTGAAGAAGCCGCCTCGCTGATTTCCAAGGCATTGGCCCTGGTGTTGGTACCACCCATTCATCTATTCATCGTTTTGCTCCACATTGCCGCGCGAATTGTCATCAATCCATCTGCTGGTTCCTCCAGAGCCGAATTCTCCAGATCACAGCCGTCTTCTAAAGCTACTGTTCCAGAAGATGACTTCAGTTTTCCTCTTCAACGTGAACCGTCTTCTGATTACGAAGATGCCCAAATGACGAAAAAGCTGGATCCGTGGGATCTTGATTAGGCCGATTCAGTTTTGTGACCATTACTTGTCTTAATACTTTCACTTCCTCTGTGTGATTTTTGCACCATTATTTTTTTCTAATACTTGCCTTCTCTCGCATGTGACATTACGACGTCATTTTCGTTTATGATTATCTGGACATCGGTCTGTACGATTCATGGGTTGGACTTTGGGCAAGATGCCTATGACATTTTGTATTCTAGCGCTGCATAATCTAATACGAGGCTTTGCTCCGACTGCTGTCTGCTATTGGCAAAAATACTTCTATTCACATGCTGAAGGTAAGGAGATAGGGTTCTTATTGATGTACACCATCTCCTGGAATTCCTCAATTAATACTCCTTAGCTGCACGGCTTTCAAGCTGGGCCAGTGCACTCAGGCCCAACGTGATCCAAGTTCGTGAGGACTCTAGTGTTCTGACTTGATTTCGTCTAATTTGTAAGCGAATCCTTTACACATAACCCAGGTGAATATGGAGAAAATTCATGTACCGAGAAGAAGAAATAATGCTATTTGATTGAGGTACACACGCGCATACATAAGCGCAAGGTACAATAAATAAACAAAAAAAATCAATGTAGAGGTATCCCAAAACGCCACAAGTGCCAACTTCACTAAGCTGCTCTTCTCATGCTTGCACAAAAATGCCTAATGGCGGCTTAAATCGAAAATTTGATATGTTCTGCCTTCTTTTCCATGTCACACCAGATTTAATAAATCTAGTTGGAGTGAATCTTCTTGATGCGCATACCACCCTCGTAGAAACCACGGTCCAGAGCCGCAGCCACAGTCAGGGTTCCACCGATAATAGCGCAGACACCGGTCAAGAAGTTGGTAAAAGATTTGGGGCGGGTCTCACGGTTGATAACCTTCATGGGGGAGATATCATAGTTGAAGAAGACACCAGGGATACCACCTGCAGCGTGCATGCGCTCTTCGTGCCCGTCGGCAGCATCGTTTCCACCCTTGAGGGACCGCTTGTGAGAGGTGACGGAGTACTGGTGGGCCTCGATGCTGCCTTGAGAACCATAAGCCAGTCCGTGAGTACCAAGAGGCGCCTTGTCGTAAGCGCTGTGGATAGCAGAAGAGAATGATGGATCCCATCCCAAGGGCAAGTAAGATGTCGACACAATCTTGAGGAAGTACATAAAGTTATAATCGGGCGCATCTGTGGTCTGGGAGGTGCCGTCTAGCGGGTTCATGTGGTGGTCATCGGTAAATTGCCAACGTTCGGCAAGCTCTGCGGGGATTTGGGGACCAAACCGGAGCTCGTGAATTTCGTGGGCCATTGTGTGCATATTCTCGGGGGCCGATTGGCTGTCCAGATAGTAGTTCTCCAGATCATGGGCATGCATGTTCATGTTGGTGAAGCTGCGGCCGGGCGCGATGTGGAAATTGCCGACCACCTTGTTGACTCGAAGGACACCTTCAATCCGGCAGCCCTCGCGACGCTGGGCTTGCAATTTCTCTCCATATCCTTCGCGGGTGCACTGCTCCACATTCTCTCCGATACCGAAAGCCCAGGACTTCTCCGCGTATGCCTCACGTACTTCATCGCAAGTATTACAGCAGCCTTCTTTTGATGCCTTAGCAGGTGCGTTTGCTCCATAGCACTCACCGCAGTAGTCCGGGTCCAGGTGTGTGGCAGCATCGGCGGGGGAGTGTCTACAAGTCGGATCAGTTAGTATCTTGGTGAAATTGAGCGAGTGATCCAAAGAATGAGACTTACAGGTCCAATGATTGCACATCAATGACCTTACCACCCTCCGAGGGAGGGGACAAGCGGACCTTGTTCACACCATGCGCAACACCCACCTGCTGCTCACCAGACACATCCATAACATCCAAAGTCAAAAGTTGACACGGTAGTCGGGGAAATGTCATGTTCAAGTGAATTTCCATTCTCTCACCTATCCGCATGGATTTTCAGAGTCAGCAACCCCTCCATAAGACCCAATGGCTTGTATGCGGGGATGTCTCATACCTCTCGACTTGTCGACAATAAGCTCCGGATGCACCACAACGCGGCGGTAGTCGGCCCATTCTCCCCAAACCAGCCACATGACCACTAGCAAGGAAGCAATTGTGATGATACCGCCAGAGTTGGTGCGAATGCGCGCATCTTCGACGGTCTTGGCGAAGGCATCTAGCCTTGTGAATCGCGATTTTGCGGGCATCTCAACAGGCAATCGACGACCGAAGAATTGGTCGCCAGGCCTGTAGAAATGGTTGGGATTGACACGTAGTCTATTACTCAAAGAAAGGTCACGTTAGCCAAGTCCACGAAGAACGCGCAAGCTATCAGTGGAGTAGCTCGAGAGTTTCTAATTGCGCCGAGAATTCTAACAGTATAATGAAAGGGAAGCCATGGGTTTCGTCATACCTGAGCTGGTGGAGATTAATCGAGTACCCTTGGTGCCTGAGGGAAACCCGACAAGCCAGTCATGAAAGAGCTGTTGGAAGCTGGTCAGTCCGATCTTGAATGTATTGGCATTACTCCATTCTGAAAGGACAGAAGACAAGCCGTGATTGGTGGGAAATGCTGACTCATGGTACGTATCACATGACCTGCTTCGATCTATATCAAAGCTCTTTCGATATTACTCTCAAGTCTCAAACTCGAAAGAACCATAATCATGTTAATTTGGTATATCTAGAGCTCTGAGATACTACTCTGCTTTGTCATACAGTAAAAGTACATAGCTTTTCCAAAGTACTAGTACTCTTCAAATACCATAACTACTTACCCATCACAGATCGAGTTGAACCACTACTATGTATTATTATTTTACAGTACATTAGATCCCTCTAATTTCGGTATGTCTTTTGGTCAGTGTATAATACAACACATGCAGAGAGACATCGAGAGATATCTTATGGATGCCAGTTCCAGAGCACACGCCACACACATCAACCAATTGCTCTTAGACCATCAAATAACATTCTTTTGAGAAATTACAGCCTATGATATCCCACTCAAGGGTGATGGTGACTGCATTCCACTCGTTCAACGGGCACATGTCCAGTTGAGACACGCGGAATTCAGGCCGATCTCTCCACAGGATTCATCGGGAGTTCTGATTGTTAGGTTGGGAAATGGGGAGAGGGGAAGTACCTAGAAATGTAGGGAAATTCTTTGGTTTCTCATATACCTTAATTCAAGTACTTAGTACGCAATGCATGCAATAGTCTGGATTTCGAGGGGTAAAACTTGTGGATACATAGTGGTTACGACCCACACTGACGAGGTATCTGCTACCAAAACAAACTTTCCCCAAGTGCGGAGTCATGCAAACAAATGTAAACAAACCCCAACTTCATTTAACCACTTTGCTTTCCTTCCTACTGACTGCGCTTATATTCTGTTCAGTATTTTTATTCCTTCCTTTCAGGTCTCTCCATCGAATCGGCTTAGCGCAAGTGAAATTCTTTCTCAAGGGCACAGTCCCTAGAGCAGGGATGATGAACGAAGTGCCCAGTGTGATGGTGCGCTCCCTTGCACATTTCCGGTCCTTGATTCAAGAAAGCATTGGTTACATTAAAGAACCGAATAATCTGACTTTTCTGCGACCAGATCCAGCGACCCGACAGCTCAGACGATATGGACATCGACCCCGTCTCCGCCCAGCAACGCTCCTCCCGTAAACATCTACGCAGCAGTGACGATGAAAGTGATTTAACGTGGAGCTCCGATGTATCAGGACAATTTGACGATGCTGAAGAGCCCGAGCCGGAAGACTACAAGTCTCCATCCGCAAAGTCCGCGAAACGGCGCCGGTCCAACGACTGGCCGCTGCCGGAGGAAGCGGCGGATTATGGAAACAATGGTAGTCGGAGTGCGCGCAACGGAAATTTATCCCTGGGACCAAATTACAAAGCCTCGCCTCGTGCATCGCCTCGGGGTTCAGCTACATCTTTGCGTAACAGACACAAAGCGTCTACCAACAGCCCTCGCCATCACTTGACTCGTCGATCACGTTTCATCGAGGCGAATATGAGCGACAGCGTCAGTGAGAAGCCACCGAGCATTTATTTTCGTGAAAGCAAAGGCTCTGGTCCACAAAACCGTGCATCTGGGATCTTTCGATTTGGCAAAGCAATTGCATCCGCTTTCAACCCATTCGGCGGCTGGGGCAAGGCCTCTGAGAATGCAACCAAATCTCCCCAGAAAGATGCGCTGACTCAAGCCGAGGAGGCGTATGCCAAACTTAAGCGCGCTGGCTATCAGGGCACAAACAAGGGATCTTATATGCAAAGCCAAAATGTCAATCCCTCCAACGCCGACCAGACATGGCAAGCCATTCAAGACAAGATGGGCTATGGCAGCCCCGTAAGAAACACAAGTCCTCAAGTTGAACCGCTATCACCTTTGCGATCTCCGTCAAAGTCCTCCAAGCGTTCATCCTTTCAGGATCTTCGCATTCCATTCATAAAGTTCCACGACCAGCCTATTGCGACATCTGCATGTCTAGATCATCCGTCCGAAGACTCTGAGAACCACGGAGTGCGCAGACAAAAGTCACGTAAGGAACTTTCACGCGAGTCGAAGCTTCTGAAGAAAGTTAGCAACCTCGAGGATAAGCTGGACCGCGCGCGGCGAGAACTTCGTCACCTGAGTGGTAACGAGGAGCGATTGCCATCTCCGACAATGGATTATCGATCCATGAGCCAGGAAATGGATCCAGGGAGTTACCCCCGAAAATTCGTTCCAGGCGCACTGCCATCCGTGCCGTCTGAACGGCTGCTGGATCAGCAAACTTCCGTTTCCCAATCTCCAGAGCTTCATGCCTTCGCCTCTGAGCAGGCCAGAAGTACTTCGCCAGAATCTCAGTCAACGACCAAGTCTCCAAAACGGCGACCATCGTCAATGGGTAAGGAAAGCTCTTCCCGCAAAAGGAAGTCAACAGTTCCTGAACCAATCGCTAGTCGGAAACCTCTTCAGCCCACTGCGACGAACCGCAACCCCGATGACCGCCCTTCCGAAAATGAGCATTTGATCGAAGTTGGTCTGCTTAGTCCACCTCGCCGGTCGAAGTGGCAGAAATTCGAAGCCGGCGACAGCCCGGGCTCCTCGGAACGCAAACGAAATGCGGACCATGGGGCCTCGGCGAAGGACGCGGGCTCAATGCATCAAAGGTCCCCATATGTGTCCCGAAAGTCCTATCCCAGCGCCAATCGCTCACCATCAAAGAACATAAAATCCTCGCCTTCTCTCCGCATGCAAACCAATCGATCCGTCTCCACAACCCACACTGCTCCCACCTTCAAATCCGACCCCATCTCTCATGATTTCTCTTCTCCCCCACCACCATCTAGTGAAGCCCATCAAGCATTTTATCTCCAGTCCCATCGTCAAATTGACCCTGATTGTCCGGCTCGCCCGTCGCCCACCAAATCACGACCTAGTCCAAGACGTCGACATAGTTACGAGGTGGACATTCCTCCTGTGCCTCCGCTACCTAAAGAACTCCGCCTGAACGCTATAAAGGTAACCGGCTCGCCCATCAAACCAAATCGATCTATAAGAGATTCTGCTCCGCCAGTTCTGTCTCAACCTATTTTGCCTGGTCTTGGTGATCAGGCCACAGAGGAAGAAAGATTTCTTTGGCCGGAGGATATCTTTTAGCTGATCATTGATGGTCGTATGCACGCACAAGTTCGGTTTTTGTTGCGCAAGGATACGCCTGTGTTTGCTTTGAATGCTTTTTTATCGCCTAGCAGGTGATGTGATGAGGTTATGATTTATACCCTGAGGTTTGGCTTGTGAATCCCTTCTTGTTTCCCTAATCGTTCTTGCGATTTTTCAATGTATTGCCATGATTCAAGATTACGCCGTCGAGTTTATAGTAGTGTCATATCAGGAGTAGATGTACTACACTCGGTAGAATATTGTCTCATCCCGCAGGCCCAGGGCATTCTCCTCTCTCAAAACAGAAATTCACACAACAGTAAGACGATCAGTCTCCCAAGACAAGTCCTCCTAGCTTCTTTGAACGACACAAGCTCTTTTTCAACTCCGGAAGTATCTCTCCCTTCTTGATCATCTCTTACAACAGCCATTCAAAGTCCAGAGAATTTCCGAACTGCGAAGTGGAACAGCAACAGGGGTGGACTTTTGCATGTCTCAGAGGTAAGAGGCGAAGAGGACCGGATCACTTGCTTTCCAACAGCACGAAATGGGAAAGTAAAGCATGCATTGAAAATTTCAGTCATCCTTGGGTTCCTCAGGCTCAAGTACAGGCTCCTTTGTCTCCCAATCATGAGTTGAATCAACGCACTTGGCTCCAAAGCCGACACACTGCAAGCAAATATCGAAGTCATAGCAGTCCCCACAATGTCGCCATGCCTCTCTAGTCGGAATACATCGGGTACACACATCACACCAACGAATTTCATGATCAAATTTGACCATGGAGCATTCGACGTGGGAGCTAGTCTCAGAAATATTGGTGCTGGCTTTTTCGGTAAATTGTCGCACAAGCTGGATCACCTGTTGACTTTCACTTCCAAGAGCCCACCAAAGAAGGCTCCGGTCAAACCCACCCTCAATAGAAACTTCAGATGGACTTGTCAATAAGAGTAGATATTGCACAGTCTCTTCCAGTCCATTCCTAGCCGCCACTATCAACGGCGTGGCACCATACCTATCCCTCACGTCCACAACAGCAGATTTTGAGCGTAAGAACTTCAAGGTGGGCACATGTCCTTTCACAGCGGCGAGAAAGAATGGGGTACGGCCACACTGATCTTGAGCTTCCAGTTCAGGTTTTGCAAACTCAAACAACAAGTTGATTGTTTCAAGATCCCCAGCCAGCGCGGCTGTATGCAGTGGCCGTCGTCCGTTGATTTGTGCGCTTTCCACATCTGCTCCATGTGCGAGAAGCATCTTGACAATATCAGGACTTGCTCCAGCTGCCGCGTTGAGTGGGCTCCATTTGCCTTCTCTGGATATGTTGACGTCAGCTCCGTTTTGAAGCAGCACACGGACAATGTCAGAATGACCTTTGACCGAGGCACTATATAAGGGTGTTGCGTTGTAACAGTCCGCAATCGAAATATCTGCTCCATTTTCTAGAAGTAACTTCACGACTTCTGTCTGGCCTCTGAAAGATGCTGCATTTACTGCGGTGTGTCCAATCTTTGTCTGGGCATCGACATTTGCTCCCCAATCAATAAGGATTTTCAAAACTTCGGTCCATCCGTAGAGGGCGGCGCTGTAAAGGGGTGTATAGTAGCTCCCATTCTTCGTCTCTAACGTGATCTCTGCTCCTTTTTCAAGAAGTAGTTTCACAATTTCAACGTGGTTGTGATCTGATGCTGCATTCAACGGGGTGTATCCATTTAAATCACACTCAGTTAGGCTAGGTGGAGGATTCTGGGCAAGGAGAAGTCGGACTACCTCAATATGACCATTTGAGGACGCGACATTGACTGGAGTCCATCCATGCTTGTTCGGTACTGTGTAATCCGCACCTTTCCTGATAAGTGCCCTGACCACTTCCAGATGACCTGCAGAAGCAGCACAGTATAGGGGAGTCGATCCAGTGGTGATTTTTGATTCAATATTTGCGCCGTACTCAAGAAGTGTACTTACTACTTCAAGATGGCCACTTTCGGCGGCTGAATTCAGCGGGGCCCATCCGTCTGTAGCAGTGATCATGATATCGGCTCCTTTGGCTAGCAATTGTTTGACAACGTCAAGGTGTCCTCTTGATGCAGCAGAGTTGAGCGGTGTCCAGCCATTCTTGTGTTGGGCATTGACATCGGCCCCATTGTCTAGTAAAAGCCTCACTATCTCGTTATGGCCGCCGAGTGAGGCGCTGTATAGAGGTGTCATGTTGCTTTTGTTTTTGGACTCGATATTTGCAGACTTTTCAAGAAGCATTTTCACAATCTCGAGATGCCCACGATTGGCTGCTCCGTTGAGAGGCGTCCATCCACTAGGGTCGGGAGATTCCAGATCGGGGGTCTGTTTAAGAAGCAGCCCGATAACTTCTGCGTGGCCCTGGGAACAAGCAGCACTGAAGGGACTCCATCCAGTTTTGGTTACAGTCTTATAGTCTGCGCCGTGTTTGAGAAGGATATTTAACACTTCGTGATGACCATAGAGCGATGCAGTGCAAATGGGTGTCATTCCGATATCATTCGCAAGTTCCAAATCTGCTCCATGATCAATAAGCCTGTTGACGACTTCGACAAAGCCGCCCTCAGCTGCGCAGTTCAGTGCTGTCCATCCAGTATCGTGCTGTGCGTTTACATTGGCGCCATTTCCGAGAAGAAACTCCACAACTTTCAAGTGATTTTGAAGTGCAGCAGAATATAGCGGTGTCATTGAATTCTCATTCAACGTTTCGATGTCAGCTCCATTTTCGTACAGGATTCTGACCACTTCTAAATGGCCACTGTCCGCTGCTGAGTGCAATGGCGTCCAACCATGGTCGGTTCTTATGGTCATGTCTGCACCGTTTCCGATTAAGAACTTGACAACGTCCACATGTCCCAGGTCTGAAGCCGCATTGAGAGGAGTCCACTGATGAGATTGTGTGCTAACGTTGATATCTGCGCCGTGCTCACACAAAAGTCGAGTCATGGCGATCATACCCTTTCGCGCAGCAGTGTATAGAGGTACAATGCCCGAAATGTTGGGGAAACTGACGTCTGCCCCCTTATCAAGAAGAAGCTTCACAGTATCTATATGACCTTCTGCAACGGCCGAGTGCAGTGGGGTCCAATCGTTGATATCGTGCGCCTCGATATTAGCTCCGTGATCAAGAAGTAGTTTGACAACCGGAAGGTGTCCCTTGAAGCTGGCACAGTAAAGTGGCGTTACCAAGCGAGCGTTTGCACTTTCAATGTTAGCCCCGCTGATCAGAAGCAACTTGGTGACTTCATAGTGCCCAATCGCCGAAGAGGTTCCGAGTGGTGTTTGTCCATCATCATCCGTGATTGTGTGATCAGCCCCGTTATCGAGAAGTTTCTGAACAATATCCACGTTCCCCGTTCCACACGCTGCTACTAAGGCCGTTCTTCCCTTGTTTCCTTTTTCGTCTATGCGTCCTTTGTCCTTGACGACCAGGTAGTCCACAATTTCGGTCAGACCCATCCATGCTGCATAATATAAGGGACAATCTGACGTGCTTGACGCAATGGAGTCCGTTTGATTAACGAAATTCCCTTCGCTCTCTTCACATTCAAACCTTTTACCTGGAGTCTCTCCCTTGCCACCCTCCTTGTCATTTAAATCAAACCAAGTCTTCCATGAGCTCCAGCTGGGATTTTCGGTATCAAAGAGCTGTTTCACGAGATTGATAAATTTCTCATCTTTCAAATCGCCAAGGAAGGCATGTTTCTGCCATGCGCCAGCTGCGTAGTCCCGAAATGCAGTCAGAACCTTCTTGTCTTCGTCGTTGTCTGGGCTCTCGGCCCAAACCTCCTCACAATCCACGTAGCAAAGACACATGCTGGCGAGTAATGTGCTTTCTAATGCTTCCTTGGAGGCTTTCAAATTTGAGTTTAATTGCAGAATCTTCCCCTGCGACGGAATGTTGGATAAAAGGTATTGTTTGACCGAAAAATGCGCCAAGTGCACCGTTCTCAGCCCAGGGTGAGATTCAGTCAGAGGAATCCGAATTTCGAGAAGAGAACCGCACAGATCAAGGATCTCCGTGTTGATATAATCCTCGTCAACGTTGTCGGGTAACTCGTCAAGTCGCACTTCGTCGCAGGCAGGACTGACAAGCAATGCTCCTGTGATCTCATTAACGGTTAATGGCCTTAAAGCAAAAGCTGTCCAACGTAACAAAGAGATTGTCCTGTCCCTGTCTTCATCGGGAAGCTGCGAAATCTTCTGCCAGTTGCGCTCGTATGTATGTTCAAGGCCAGTAGGCGTAGAACTGATAGCCTGCTCGATTTTCTTCTGGCTCTTGCCGCTGCGCAAACAATCCTCTTGCATCTTGACCCAGAGGAATTGCCCGTTGCAGCGATTGGATAGCTTCATGGCGATGTCTTCTTTGGTAGCCTCTGTACGATTCGACAGCTTTTTATTGACAATAATTCGCGAATATGTTTCGGTGTCAGAACGAACATCATCCGGCGTGATTCTGTGGCGATATATAACAAGAGCCTTTGCGTTACCGGAAAGGCAATTCCGGATCTCTGGCTCATCACGACTCACGATGAGAATGCGGGCTTGAGTGCCTTCTACCGCCTTCATGAGAGTCTCTAAGAAATCAAAGACCGATCCGCCATCAGCTATCTTTTGTCTATCTCCAACCCAGCTGCACTCATCTAGCCCGTCGATAATAAATGTGCAATGAGGGATGGCCGCAACAATCTCGCACAGAAGTTGGACTATGTCAACACGAGTGGACTTTTGGCCTTGGTTTTCGGACGCTTTCTGGCGAATCAAGCCAAATGCTGTTTTATTGGACATTATTTGCGAAATCCAGGAACGCATGGCGATGAATGGGTCGCGTCTGCTTTCGAAGTCAGACGAAAAGAAGAAATGAGCAACCGGAGCTTTGGAGGTTAAGGTCATATGCTCGACAATCTTCGCACATAGAATGGACTTTCCAAAACCGGCAGGACCATTGATCCAAAGTACCTTGGCGCCTTCCGAGAAATCGGACGAAGACCAATCCAAAAACCAAGTCCTAGTCAGAGCCCATTCGCAAGTACCTTGGATTCTTTTCCCTGCTGATATCTCAAAGAGCTCGTTTTGAGAGCTGGGGCCTAGTAGCCAAGGATGAAGGTCCCGTTTGATTTCGTCTATTCAAGGTAAGTAATCAAAAGCGAGAGCCAAGAACACCTGAGATAACAAACCTTCAATCTCATTCTCTATGCCACTTAGAATATGTCCAAACTCCGTGATCCATCCTCCTCTATCCACGGCATTACCTAAATTGTGTCAGGAAAACATGCAAAACCGAAATCCCATCATGGAGCTCATACCCTTAGATATATCGTCACCTGGATCCGACTCTACATCCTTTGAAGAAACAACATCGCCGCGCCCTGAGACCGGAACCAGGTCATGGAGATTATCGACAAGAGAGCAGAATTGTCCCACTTGAGCCATTTTCCTCGCCTTATTCCTCAATGCCCAGCTAATTTTCTCTCTCTTCGAATCATGCGGGCCAGTGAGACGGCCCTGTCTTGGCCACAGTTGATCCCTCAAAGACTGACGATGCTCAATAGGCGAGCCTGGTGCTAATGTGAGATCATCCTCATAAGTACAAATCCCCCGAATTGCAGACAATAGCTCCTCCACAATGGAGTATGTCCGTGGATCATCCAGCTGCTTGCTATGCTTCTCCATCAACGTATCACCTTGCAAGCCCACATCTTGACCCCATTGTTGTAAGCGCAGTCTTTGGGCTTTAAATTGCGCTCTTATGGAACGAGACTCGATACCAAATTCCTTGAAGGAGTCGAACTTTTCCACAACTTCAAGGCAGGTGCTGAATAGTCCTGCCAGACCAATGATACCGACGGCAAAGCTGACTGGATCCATCGGAATGCCAATCTATGATGGTATAGATCAAATACAATATGGAGGGGCATGAGACAATGTTAACATTGAAGTGCCATGGTTTGGACTAAGGGTCTAAGCGGGGTCAGGCAGCCTGCTGATATTATTCGTCAGGTAGGAAAGGGGGCGGAAAAATCAGCCACAGTGGATCTGTTCTCGTATTATGATATAATCACAGTCTTTTCTAGGGCAATGCTATATGCTGACACGCAGTAGCTAATGTGTTTGACTGCTGACAAGAGAGCTGTTTTTTTGAGTCCGTGGCTTTGCCGACGATTCATCGCAACCAGTCAAGACATCTGGAACTTTGCTGACCGTCATACTGTTTTCTACTGGTGAAGAAAAATAAGGACATACTACTTTATAATATTACACAGAATTTTACTAGACCTTTGTATTTGATTTATTTGAATATTTCATGTTAAAGCTATTTGATGGCCTCGGAAGGCACCGCAGATATCCAGTCGTGTTTCCTTTTTCCTACATTCATGATAGTCTTTTTCTTCTCTTCCTTTTTCACTGTTCTTTTGATGGCTATTTTCTTTCTCCCTACTATTAGCAAGCAACGGCAAAGCAAATTCTTAGAGCAAGGACATCCAGGTTGATATACTCTGCGTATCAACAACCTCGCTTTGAATTTCCAAAACTTCATTGTGAACCCACGACTCAGCTTTCTCATAGACAAGCTCCCAAAGAGCCTTGGAATCCTGATGCTCTCGCTTCAGCAATCCCATGATCATGAGAGTAGCGACAACATTCGCCTCACGTTCCTGCAACACGTCACGTTTGCCAGACTGCTGAAGCGTAGCAGCGACTTTGCTGCGAATTTCCTCCATTCCTTGCCCAATGATATTAAAAAGCTGCTGTTCCCAAATCCAGCTTCCCTCAAATGTCTGCAGCTCAATCAACGAATAAACCTTTGATTTCGGGGCTTCGGGTGGAGATGACGTCGAACGCCCAAAGAGACTTCCTCCAGAGACAACATTGTGAGCGTTTGGCAACTGGGATGACGCAAAAGGTTGCGATATGTTTAGTGAGTAGGCTGGTGAAGATGATCCAAAAATTCCACCTGCTGCTCGCGCAGCTTGAGATGGCGGAGGTGGTGGAGCAGATACGCGCAATGAACGTTTAGAATGAGCGTTAATTCGCCCAGAAATTGGCGAAGGAGATCCAAACAATTCACCTGCTGCTTGCGCATCTTGAGACAGTCGACATGGTGGAGGCGGTCGAGCAGTTTCAAACAATGAACTGCTAGCATGAGTGTTCGTTCGTCCAGACATTGGTGGAGGAGATCTAAATAATCCACCTGCTGCTCGCTGAGCTTGAGGTACTTGAAGTATTGGATGTGCCGGAGACGATCCAAATGATGAACGACTAGCTTGAACGTAGGTTCGCCCAAACATAGCCCCACCTCTGGACCCTGGTGGAGGAGGGGGGTGTGCAGGTCTCCGTGCTGTCAGTAGTTGTAGCGTTGCTGGTCCCGCGTCAAATTCCTTTGGCTTCTTATTCTCCAATGTTTGAGTTTCTTCATCGGAGTCGCTCTCCAGAGCAACGAAGGAACAGTATTTTCCCGTGATCTGGTACTTGATACCGAGATTCTGACATTCACGAGCGACGATCTTTTCCTGTGTTTCTGAATGTAGATTTTTAAATGGGTTACCACTCTCATCCTTAATATTCTCTAGCCAGCCATGTCGCTCTTCCAATTCGACAACGGCTTTGCGAGAGGCAAGCTGATGAACTGTTTCTCCCTGACCGATGTCAGTTATGGGGATTCGCAGGCACAAGGGTCCTTGTTTGGAGGTTGCACTGAATCTAAGAGAGCGCGGGATTCTGTCAGATTTGGGATCCAAGAGTAGGTATGCAGTCGTCCTGATGAATGGGTAGAGAGGGGGGAGGTTGTGTGGGGCTTGAATGGTTGTCGGTGGGGAGATCTTGGGCAGATCGGCAGGAGCTCCTTCAATGCCGTGGGTTGACTCGGGCTCTTTGAAATCATCGCTGAAGAGTGAAATTGGCTGAGCAGCTGGCTCATCAGTGACATCGTTATCCTCGACTTCAGTGTTTGTCATGGAGGCGTCGTCGGGAGTGACGAGTTCAAAATCTTGATCCGCCGCGGTATCATAGTCAACCTCAAGCTTGTAGTCGTAGATATGAGGCGTGAGAGCTCCCTTGAGCATCCTGATGACACCCCTATCAAGTTCTTCATTTACAAGCACTGACTGAGAGAACCCCTGGCCCGCTCGGGCAACTCCTTCGATCAGGGCGTGAGATACCTCATTACCGATACCCAGAGAAAAGAAACGAGCGGTATGATCCTTGGCACTTTCACGAACAAATTGGAAAAGTTCTTGCTGGTTGTGTATCTGACCGTCTGTAAGTAGTAGGACTTCCAAGTCCTTGTCCTTAAGCCGATTTTGAACAGTAGCCTCCACGGCCGGTAGCATATTAGTACCTCCCATATCAGAGCCGATGGAATTGACAAGAGCAAGAGCATGATTGAGACTTGACTTATCATAAATTTTGCTGCTGGGCCATAGGAAGGAATGATTGGATCCGAACGAGCAAATATTGAAGCACACTCCAAGTGGCAGAGATTTCAAGAAAGCCTTGAGAGCAGTCTTCAGAGTGCCAATCTTTTGGTGCATGCTTCCACTTCGATCGATCACGAAAACGATTTCTGGTTTGATGGGTGTCAAGCTGAATTTAGGAACCAATGTAGCCATTAAGGCTCGTTGACCCGGAATAGTCTTGTGCGACTCGAGGAGTGCGCGAGGGTTATCAAGTCCGTCAGCTTTGGCAACAAGCACAAAGTCACGCTCCAGGAGGGGTTGGCTATCCTTGCCCAGCGTTAGCGTAGCAGAGGCATGTGATGGCTCGAAACCACGAGCATCTGGTGAAGTAGAGGACACCCTGCCAAGAGATACCTTGGGGGAATGACTTGGGGACTGAAGTTCTCTAATGACCGATGCCTTTTCCAGATGGATATCAGCTGTGATGGAAATTCCTTCCAGTTGAGCAGTAAAGCCAGGGGCCTGCGTTTGTGGCGGGGTCATCACATTCTGATACCGAGGAGCGATGGAGTTAGGCAATGTGTAACGAACTCCATCCATTTGTGCATCCTGCTTGAGTTCCCCAATGAATGTAATTTCCACAATCACAGTTTCATTTACTGGAACATTTCCCAGACGAATGGTAAAGACATCGCTTTCAGTGTCAGATTGATCCATGATGGCAGCGGACTCTTTCCTCTCGATAGCATTTTCGTAGTCGGTGTTAGCCTGTTCCTTGGACTTGACCTTGCTGTGGAGAAGGCGAGGGCCGACATGACATTGGAAGCCAACAACACTGACGCCATCGTAGAGAGGAAATCTGTAGGAAGCTTCTTTCAAGATACAGTCTGAGGGGTTGACAAAGGTCTGTGTCAATGTGGTACGAGCTGCGGTGGAGAAGATGGTTGCATGGGCTTTGAGGGAGACCTGGGGCAAGTATTTGATGACATTATCAATGTAGACATAGCAGCCACAGTGGACTGTCATCATGAAAGTTGGTTTGGTTTGATAAGTAAAAGATTGAAAAGCTTTGAAAGGGTTCCAAATTAGTGGAATATTTAAGAGGTTGAAAAAAGAGAAAGCAAAAGCGAAAACATGGAGATTTATAAGTGAATCGCTGTCGATAGGCATCCATCTAGTCCCTTGTGGGGCTCAAGGTTCCCGCCAAACTGTGGTCCGGTCCTTTGCAGCCTAGAATAGCACATGACTCATGTTTGCTATACCAACCTTGAAGCCGATTAAACAATTTATGACTCTGCGATTGATGTAACATCTTCAGTGAGTCAACACAATGCACACAGTAGATCCTTGCCTGTTCTAGTGCCAAGGCGACACCTTCAATGCTTCAAATTATGTTATGTTTTGCATTAGAGCGCAGGAACTTAATTTCAATGCTAAGTACATATTTTATAATCCTAATCACTGATATTCCTGCGGTTTCTCTGATTTTCAATACATACAATCAGAAGTGTACTGTATATCTCCTAGTACTCTACAAAGACCTCAATAAATCCTCCTCATGAACCTGATAAACCTCATCGATCTTCTCCCCATTCTTCTCTCCACAAGCAAAATCTCGATTGACCCTCTCAACAAACCTTTCCACAAACTCACTAGCAACATCATCAACTCCAACCCCATGAACTCCAACTCCCTCCAAACTCGTCGCCTCCTTCCCCTCCAACCCACAAGCAACAATCTGCTTAAAGAACCACATCGGCTCCTCCGTAACATTCAAACCAATCCCAAAGCTACTAATATTTCTCCGCAGATGCACGCCTACAGCTGTGATCTTCTTCGCTGTGCCGGCTGAAGCGGGATCCTGGACCCAGACGCCCGGGTCGGCGGTTGTAAATCCGTTAACACCGTATCGCTTTAGTACGTCGATGACGCTGTTTTCGAGGACACGGATGTGGCACCGCGGTGTGAGACCTAGGCGGCGGAGGTCGAGGATTGTATATGCGACCATTTGGCCCGGACCGTGATATGTTGTTTGACCACCGCGGAGGGTGGGGTGGTATTCTGCTAGTGGGGCATTGGTGCCGGAGGGGGTGAGGATGGAGCGGATCGGCTCGAGGGGTGGTGGGAGGGAGAGGTGGTTTGTTGGTGAGTTTGGGCAGGTGTTGGAAGGTGGAAGGTCGCGGCGGCCTGTGGTGTAGACTGGGTTGGGGGTGAATGTTATGATAGTTGGGTCGGGTGGTGGCGGGTGTGCATTCCCTGGGAGATTGGTCTTGAGGTCTGTTTGCGATAATATTGAGGCTGGGGAGGCGAGCTTTTTATGTGCGAGGAAGCGGGTTGTGAGCGCTTGTTGGAGACTAGACACTCGCGCGAAAGGCGTAGTGTTGGGAAGATGGAGGTGGGCGACTCTCATTATAATGATTTTGGGGTGGTGGTTTTGGTTGGAGTATGTTTTATTTCCTGCAATCCATTGTAGAGTAGGGGATTGAGCGATTCGGTTTCCCTCGGAGTTGGAAAAGACAGGAATCTGAGTTGCGGAGAAGCTAGGAGCTTGTCCGATAAGCTGATAAGTCATGCTAGACTCGTTAACTATGACGATCATGCTTACCAAAAGGTTCTATATATTTTACTCAGAATGTAGACTTTGCCACGTTTCTCATTTCATTCAACTTCGTTTCCATATGATAATTGAGACATTGCATAATATAATGATAAAACATCCCGATCACTTGGCTTTTTCTCACTGTATGGTGGCGCCACTGCAACTCAATCCACTTATGAAAAGCAGTCTGACAAAGGAACCAGTGAGTAATAATCCCATAGGACCGCATAGCGAAAGAAAGTCCATTAGGTGACCAACTATGAGGAAACACCGTTGACAAGACCCTCGTGCTCGTCCGCTGGGGGAAGCAGGATCCAATCCCGCACACCACCCTTCCAATCCGCAATACGGCCCTCGCGAACCTGAACCGTAACGACCCGCACATCATTATCAATGGCCAGACTGGGACGGCGCACGGCCGGATCCGTTCGCTGCTGCTGACCAAAAAGGGATATTTCCTCCTCCTCAAAGGTGTTATTCTCCAGATGACGCTCCTTGCACCAAGCCTCTTCCTCCGAGCCAGGTTCTAGGAAGCGCGCTTCTCCAGTGATGGTGGTAGAGATACTGGACAGGGCGCTGGTGTTCAGATTGAGAAGCAAGCTTGCCAATGATGAGCGGGTGGCGGCGGGAGGGGGAGACCCATCGCGCTCACCATGGGGGTTGGGAGCGCGGGTTGGCGGACGGTGGGAGACCCAGTCGTGGACCAGGAGGGATAGACGAGGGTTGGAGAGAAGATGGTTGGTCTTTCGGGATGCGGGGTTGGTGGTCATGATGATGGTTGGGTAAGGGTCGAACGGGGTTGAAGGGAGGTAGGTGTAGGACATGAGAGAAATATGCGGAGTGAGTTTATCGTCACATGTTGCCAGATGAAGCTGATTGATTTCATAGTCAGTATTGCTGGAGGTTTATTCGGGCGGAAGCGCTGGGTATTGGGAGGCGTACGAAGCGGGAGTTCTTCAGGCAGGCGACAACCTCGGTAGGCAAGCATGTTGCCTCATGTGGATGAGTAGTAGTGGCAGATGCCTCGTAAGAGAGGGGAGGATTGAGGGAGTCAGCCATAGTGATTAAATTGTAAGCTTGTTTGAAGCTTGAGCGGAGGAGTTCGGGATGGATGGTCGATCTGTCGAGGGCGGTGTCAAGGTGGGCTGACATCAACGTCATCCAATTGGACACCACCATGTCACCCTCAACACAACTTTTCTGGTATGCCACCGATATAAAAATAATGGAACTAATTGATTTATTTACAGATACATAGATAGTCTACAAATAAATAATTGAGTCGAAGTACCTGACTTTAAATTACTGGTAGATTCTTGATCAGGTTGTACACTGGCAGCGGTCTATTATGGAAGACGGGGAATTTGGTATACGCATCTAATATTATCATAATCACGGTTTGTATTGTTCAAAAAATGCTATCTTCACATATCAGGGTCCGTTCAGCCTTCCATGCTAAGCTCGAATCAAGATCAGTACCAACTCCATGCCATTAACCGTAAAATTCAAATGCGAACAAATATTCAAAAACAATGTCTCATCAAGATCGTAGATCGTCATGCATATCAGTTTTCAACTTCATATGCCAGCATATTATGGGACCCCTTTATTCGTCGTACAGATCCATGTCGCCACTTCCATCCTCCATCTCAGCAAGGGCATCATCCGAGTCGACCATTTCTTCATCGTCATCGGAGGCGCTTTCGCCAATTTCATGATTGGGGAGGACATCGATACGCCCGTCAATCATGACAACGCGAGCAATTTCGCCATCCTGGATGCTGCCGCGCAAGATGAGAACGGCAAGCCGGTTGAGAACCTCTTTCTCGATGATGCGGCCAAGAGGACGGGCACCGTAGGCTGGAGAGTATCCAGAGGCACCGAGGTAGTCCTTGACTTCCTCGGTACACTGGATAGTGACGTTACGACCGTTGTGCTCCAGTCGCTTTTGAACCTCGTCAAGACGTAGATCCACGATTTTGCGAATTTCTTTTCTGGTGAGACGGTTGAAGATAACAGTGCTGGATATACGGTTCAAGAACTCGGGGAGGAAGTAGTCGCGGAGAGCGCCCATAACCAGCTCGCGGGTTTGGGGGTCAATACGACCGTCTTTGGTCGTGGGCCGGGATAGGAACCCAGCGCCCAGGTTGGAGGTCATAACAACAATGCAGTTCTTGGCATCGACAATGCGGCCTTGTCCGTCGGTAATACGACCGTCATCCATCAGCTGCAGAAGAACAGTGAGTACCTCCTTGGCGGCTTTTTCGACTTCGTCAAACAGGAGAATAGAGAAGGGGCGACGGCGCAGGCTTTCAGTTAGTTGACCACCGGCGTCGTGACCAACATAGCCAGGGGGTGCACCGATCATTCGGCTCAAGGAGTGGCGTTCTTGGTATTCAGACATATCGAAGCGAATCATCGATTTCGGATCGTCGAAGAGGAACTCTGCGAGGGCCTTGGTAAGAAGGGTCTTACCGGTACCAGAGGGACCGCAGAACAAGAAGCTGGGGGGGAGTTCGGATTGCTGAGACCAGACCGTTGAAGTCTGATTGCGTTGGAGACGGAGACAACAGCCTCCTTCTGACCAACGACGATCTTGCCCAGGTACTTTTCCATGTGGAGGAGCTTGTCCTTCTCGGTGGTCTTGAGTCGGGTGACAGGAATACCAGTCCATCGAGCGACGATCTCGTTGATTTGATCGGGGCCGACGGCATCGGCGAGTAGGGCTTCACCAGCTTCACCGTGAGCAGCATGACGCTCAGCATCGGCGCGAGCACGGTCAGCTTCAAGACGCTCAATAAGGTTCTTGGTTTCGGGAATGGCGTAGTATTCAAGGTCGGCTGCGGTGACGGTATCTCCTAAGCGCTCTGCCTCGTCACGCTTAACCTTGAGGGAGTCGAGTTTGATCTTGGCATCTTGGACCTCCTTGCTGCGTTGCTTTTCACTCTCATACTTCTGTCGCATGGGACGAAGCTCCTCGGCGACATTGGCGGCTTCTTGTTTGGCAGCCTCGAGTCGAGCTTTGGATGCGTCGTCCTTTTCGCGCTCCAGGGCATGGATTTCAATCTGGAGCTGTCGCAGCTTGCGCTCAAGAGTATCCAGAGCCTCAGGCTCAGACTCTCGTGTCACACGAACTGCGGCAGCAGCTTCATCGATCAGGTCAACAGCGGAATCGGGAAGACGACGAGCTGTCAGGTAGCGGGCAGCGAGAGTTGCTGCTGTGACAATGGCGCCATCAAGGATGTTGACACCGTGGTGGACTTCGTACTTCTCCTTGAGGCCACGAAGAATGGAGATGGTTTCTGGGACTGAAGGTTCCTTGACCAGAACCTGCTGGAATCGCCGCTCAAAGGCCTGGTCCTTCTCAATGTACTTGCGGTACTCGCTCAGGGTAGTAGCGCCGATGCAGTGCAATTGACCACGCGCCAACATAGGTTTGAGAAGGTTAGCAGCATCCATGCCACCTTCGCCGCTAGATCCAGCGCCCATGAGCAAGTGGATCTCGTCAACGAAGAGAACGATGGTTTCTTTGGAGTCCTCGATTTCCTTGAGGACGCCCTTCATGCGCTCCTCAAACTCGCCACGGTATTTGCTGCCAGCCACTAGAGAGCCGACATCGAGAGAGAGAAGTCGACACTGAGCAAGATTGGCAGGGATGTCCGCATTGACAATACGGCGGGCCAGTCCCTCCACGATAGTCGTCTTACCCACACCGGGCTCACCGATAAGGACGGGATTGTTCTTGGTACGCCGACTCAGAATGCGAATGACACGTCGGATCTCCTCCTCACGGCCAATTACAGGGTCGATTTTACCCTCGCGAGCTAAAGCAGTCATGTCGATGGTGAATTTCTTGAGATTTTCGCTCTCACTCTCTGCGTCTGCTGTCTTGGAGTCCACGCGCCGTGTGCCACGAATCTGCTGGACAGCGGTATCTATTAATTTGACGTTGGGGATGTTGGCATCAGCCAGTGCGCGCTGGACCTGAGAGTCTTGAGCTGTAGCCTGGATCAAGTGGTCGATCGCCACGAAACTGTCCTTTTGGGTCTTGGACAAGTCGGTGGCTGAACGGATCACCTTGGCGAGTGCGGGGGAGACGCTGACGGTCTCTGGAGGGGGGTCTTGACTTGGTAGTCGGACCAGCAACTTCATTAATGAGCGGTCCAGCAGTTGAGGGTCACCGTGAGCCTTTTCCACCACTTGGCGGAAGAGTGGTGCGGTCGCGCCATCATGTGAGGAGTGGCCGGCGGGCTGTTGGTCGTCTTGTCCGTCTTGGGAGGGGTTTAGCAGTGCGACCGCCAAATGGATAGGGAGGATTTGGGAATGGGCATATTGTTCGGCCAAAGCGCTGGAGTCCAGCAAGGCCTTGTTGGCCCGGTCTGTAAATTGGGCGCCGTTCATTGTGAACGGGAAGATATTGATAGTATCAGTAGAGGGGGAAGGATAAGGTAGATGTGAGAATAAATGGGTTGAAAAGATCAATAATTGTGAGTGATCGTCAGTTTACGTTGTATGATGAAGGGGGGATCAGACGGTAATGATGTAGTTAATATAGTTGTCGGCCAAGGTATGCACTGAGCACTCGGGCACCTCACCAATACCTCATCGATACCTCATGACGCCACGACAGGCATCTACAGCGTTCCAGAAGGTACGCGAACCATGGGAGAACCTTCCAGTATGTTCCTCATGTGATTGGTCGGGATCTGCATGAGTGGATCCACCACTTCCCATTGCGGTAGATTATTTACAGACGTGGTATGACTGTTGAAATGAAGTCTTTTACTTTGAGTAGAAGGGATGCAAAGATTGATAATAGTAGATTTTACCTAGGAAAAGAAGATCTATTGTCGTTAAGTTTTGTCCCAACTCAAGTCTCATAGAATACTAAAACAATGATAAATTCACTCTCAACCTTATAACGCTTTAGTCTCCTAGTACTGCATATGTACTTGGATTTGAACTTACCTGCCCCTAAACAGCCCAGTGAACATGTCTCTCCTGTTGCTGACCATCTGACCCATCAGTTTCCCCGTTTCTCAAAGGTCGATTGCGTGGGATATTCTGTCGGCAAAGTGGGCAAGTGGGATTCCTAGTGACCCACTGTGTGATACAAACATCATGAAACATATGTCCACAGGGCAGAATAATTGCTCTCTCTCCAAGCTGTAAATTGCTGATACAGATGGCACACTCTGCTCCCGAATCAATCATTACCTGGTCAACATCTGTTCCGGGCAAAGCCCCAAAGACATTTGCACTCCCGCGCTCCTCTGGCCATAAGTGTGCCTGTTCCTGAATTAGTTCCTCAATTTCATCGTTAGCCCTGTCATCTAAATCAATGCTGAGTCTCCTTGCCATAATAAGTAGTCTCAGGTAATGCCTTCTCAGCCCCGCTTTATCCCCACTGATGATCAAATCTTCGGCCTCTCCCTCTAAAATCTCTATAACGCTCTCGTCAATCTCAGAAAGAATAGAATCTGAAAGGTCATCTTCATGCTCTGTGAGATAATCATTGTCATCTGGGACCAACTCTGGTGTTTCTTCTCGATCGTTATGGGACATTGTATCGGCTACTTACTTCAAGTGCTTGAGCTAATCGGCTTCGTTCGGGATAGGGATTAGAGGATCAGTACATTCAAAGGAGTTGGAGTACCATTGCTTAGGCCGTGATAGGAGGAATGATTGAGAGGTGAGATGATGACTCGATACTGTACTGGTGCAAGAACAAACGCGGTTTTTATATTTATCAGTTCATGCGTCTTCCAGGGTTCCATATCCTTTTCGTTGCGATTATATTCATTGTGCTCATTGACTCTTTGTGCGTTATCAAAAAAAAAAAATGAAATTGTTTCCATTCATTCAATGTTTTTATACGTCAAAGAACAGACAAAGGATGTGTAATTTAGTATATTCTACCCCTTTATTACTTCGGTACACCGTGGACTTTTTGGACACATGTTCCAAGCTTCAGATCCGGGAAATCTTTGTTTCCGGTTTGCTGATATTCATTTTAGAAATATTTTATAGAGAAGCCTTCAAGTATTTCACCGATACGATAGGAAGGTAGGAGATATGGTAAGAGACTAGGTGGGGGGTAGGGTAGTTAAATATGATAGGAGCTATAGGAGAATCATTATGTATTCTACACACCGCGTGAAATGCGCGGCGAGTAGCCTCTAGTATAAAGAAAAGAACATGCGGGTCCCTCCGCCCAGCGGGTCTTTCCCTCGAAATCGTCTTAAACGCCGCCACTTTAATGCCAGTACCCAAAGTCAGACTCACGGAATACATTCCAGGGTGTTTGGCGAGCGCTTTGCCAACTTTATTTTGCCAGGTATTGCGAGCCTTTGCGAGAACCATGCACCAGCGACCGAACACCGGTAGCAGAGGGCCGAGCAGATTGTGCCCCAAGGCTCCATGGTGTCTACGTGCCGGTCTCGTTCTCAATAACCCACGTGTCAACTGAGTCTAACATATTAAAGATCTCGCGAGCCTTCATTGCCTCATCTCGCGTTTTGTCGGTGTTAAGAAACCTGTTAAGTGGAAGCGGCTCTGCACTGCCAGATGCTAGCGTCGATGACCATTTCTGCTCCCCATAAGGGCGAATTTGTGCTTTTTACTGATGGATTCCTTACAGTCGCTAGAGGAAGGAAAGTAGGCACTGTGGCAGACGGAGAACCTCTTGTATGGTAATGATTTTCGACAAACGATTATATAACCGATACTGTCGGGCATGTCAGTCAGAAGTCATTTAGTTCGTGTCAGGGGAAGGACTGGAGTCAAATGAGCAAAATCCATCCAAGATGTACACTTGGACGTCAGGTTGGGGTGGTAGGAGCCACCACCTTTAGAGACGCGCTCGGATTGTGGGACGCATCAGAATGAACAGCTACGAATTAGGCTGAAGGCCCAGCCTCACCCAAAGATTCATCGAATTGTTATGTCCCTTTGCCAATCAAAATAGACTGAGCAGTCTAGATGTTCGCAGGCAGCCTCTCCATGCTCTTGAGCCTATCGCTAATCTTTTGTCGTTATCCAGAATACGAAAACGTTCGCCTCAAGATCAAATTTGCGCTTTACCCCGAAAAGCTGTTTCTTCAACAGAAACCCAATGATGACCGCGACACTCGGCCCATAGACCGTCATCACGGTCAGGGCAATATCATTTGGACTGGTTTGTTCCTGTGCGACGTTCTACATTTCTGGCTTTCTTTTTGTGGTAAAGAGTAACCAGACAACAAATAAAAGACGCAGAATATGAGAAAGGAAGAGAATAAAAAGAAGACAGTTGACTAAGAGGGTCGAAACAACTCTGAAGACTGAAAAGTATGTTAGGCCTGCCGATATGACGCCAAAGATGAAGTCGCAGCAGGCAGCAGAGATAGTATTTTTATAATGGCGAGCAAGCCTGGTCAAGAAGTCAATCCGCAGAATTTGACCCGGCGCTCCTCAGTGGACGCCAGAAAAGAATTTACCGAAATTACCATCGAAAGTAGGAGGGAAGTCCATCAAATGATGACTGCACAAAGCTAGACAGGGAATAACCACAGTTGAAAGGAAGCTGATCATCAAGTATATGAGCTTTAGTGTCAGAGTATCCAGCGTCCTTCGTGATATTTTTGATTCCGGGGCAGTGCCGAGGTTGCTTACAGTTTAGCGCCGCACAATCATGGGATTGGTTTAGGGGTCAGGGCGACAGGCTCCGTCGTGATTCGTAATAGAAATCTCGAACCCAACTGACAGTTTCCTTCCAATTGAGTTGGCGGGTAAGTAGGTACTTGGTATCCACCACTGCGCAAGGTAGAAACGCCTAGAACAGGACAGATCAGGTTGCTCACGTAATGATCGTATCTATGTTCTCAACTATCTAGTGAGTAAATTCAAAGAAAATGCTAAGGCTTTAGGACCGAAAGAAGAGGAGGGTGCGGAGAGAATTTGTATGTAAGGTCTCAGAGATTCATAATTCGCGAATGAATTCTACAGTTAAAAATAGCATACCCGAGGTAGTGGAATATAGAAAATGGAATAGGGGTAAAGATAAATAAAGGTAGATCATTAAACATAGCGAAGTAAGCCTGGGAATACATACTGACATACAGTAGTATTATAAGGTTTATGGAAATTTACTGCGCTCTTCAGCTTTCAGCACTTGAGTACTTGAAATATGATAGAATTTCCCTGAACTTGGAATATGTGTACAAATGGCAGACAAAAGTGGGACCAGGCCCTCCACATTATGAGATCATCTCCAAATCACCTAGACATCTTGATACTATACCCTGTACCTCATTCAAATCAAAATACAAATAACATCTTTCAATTCTGCGAATTAACATTTTCAATGCTTATACTGTATCTCTGTAGTGGTCGCACCGAGCATTGAATGTTATGGTAAGGTAGTCATGACATCATCGGCTCCGCCCTCACCCGCTCTAATATTTCCGGATGATGGCCCGGTTGACTATCCTGTGTTGTTGACCGGGGCAGCCAGAATCGGAGTGCGAGATCAAGTACAGGATTAAACCCGGCTTGCCGGAGGAGTAAGTGGCCACAAGGACCACTTATCAAGTATGCCCAAACTCCATTATGAGGTCATGGGCTTCGCCGAGACATATGAGGGGTATGCAAAGAGCTTAATCAAGGCAGCTTACGGTTGACCTCATCGCCCAGTCGCCCTACTTTATAAACTACCCCTCACCCCTGTCTCAACATAATATTTAAACCTTCCTCCAAACAACCTCCCACCTCCATCTCAACCTTCCACAACTCCAAACCTCATTCCACCCACCATGCCTATTCCCGTTCCCCAAGCCGAGAGCCTTAAGGACCTCTTTAGCCTTAAGGGCAAGGTCGTCGTCGTCACCGGTGCCTCCGGCGCCCGCGGTATGGGCATTGAGGCCGCTCGCGGCTGCGCAGAGATGGGCGCCGACCTCGCCATCACCTACTCTTCTCGCCCAGAGGGCGGCGAGAAGAACGCCAAGGAGTTGGCCGAGACCTACGGAGTCAAGGTCAAGGCCTACAAGTGTGACGTCGGCAGCTGGGAGAGCGTACAAGAGCTCGTGAAGAACACAATTAAGGACTTCGGCAAGATCGACGCCTTCATCGCCAACGCTGGCCGTACCGCCAACAGCGGCATCCTCGACGGCTCCGTCGAGGACTGGGAGGAAGTCATCCAGACCGATCTGAACGGTACCTTCCACTGTGCCAAGGCCGTCGGCGCTCACTTCAAGGAGCGCGGTACCGGAAGCTTCGTCATCACCTCCTCCATGTCCGGCCACATCGCCAATTTCCCTCAGGAGCAGACCTCCTACAACGTCGCCAAGGCTGGATGCATCCACATGGCCCGCTCGCTGGCTAACGAGTGGCGCGACTTTGCACGTGTCAACAGCATTTCTCCCGGTTACATCGACACTGGTTTGTCGGACTTTGTTGAGAAGGATGTTCAGGACCTGTGGAACTCTATGATTCCCATGGGTCGCAATGGTCAGGCCAAGGAGCTTAAGGGTGCCTATGTCTACCTTGTCAGCGATGCCAGCACCTACACCACTGGTGCTGATCTCATTATTGACGGCGGTTACTGCGTGCGGTAAACGCATTTGTTTACATAAAACGATCTTGGATTCTTCGGCTGGTACCACCTCTTCGACGATAATGTTGCTTCGGATTAATGAATGAAAAGAAATTAATTTACCTATTTTTCCACATCATAAAGAAAACAATATCACGTCCTTGTGTACTACTCGTAGGACTTAAACCAAGTAGTCAACCAGAAGGATCTGAATTGATCAGGATAACCAGTCTGCTTATGCATGCCATGATGAACTAGCATTGAATCATCTTTAGGCCTAGACTGGGAAACATGCTGCGAGTTATGGAAGTAAGCGTATCCAAGTTTCTTTCGCCGCTTGATGTTAGCTGATGACGAAGAACACAAAGAAATATGAAGACAAGCCTGTGTGATACCTATCAATAAATGGTGAAAGGGGATGTGACTGAAACAGCTGAAAGAACCAGAACCATGCCTTGCAGCCAACAATGCAGTTCGTAGATGAAGCATGGCATGCAAAAGCACGGCTGCTGATTTTGCCTCACTCTTTTGGCATATAAAAGCCTGAAAGTTAGTTTGCATTTACCAAATACCATAGCAGACACTCGCTGCTGGTTGATGATCCGATATGAAAACCAGTCAAGCTTCTAGACCCTTCAGCCTGCAAGTCCGCGGAGTGAGCTTCGTAGAAGCATACCCGCAGTCCATCAGCGAACTGACTCGCAGCGAGGTAAAAATGCTGATAGAAGTCCTGCATGTATACACCACCACCCCTTCTCAGCGCGAGCAAGTCCAGCAGCTCATCAAGGATCTTCCAAAGCGACTTCATCGCCAACGCGTATCCCTGTTCAGTCTATCCATAAAGTCATCGCGCCTATGCGATCTCCACTGCCCAATGAATGCCGACGTTCTCCACGATATTCTAAGCCTCGTTCAGCGAGAGGTAACCCAATGTTTGCAACCATTCGATCGGCACCCGGAAGTTGTTCGCGCTACAGAGACATACATTCTGGACAGGTTGTGTGCGTTGAAGGGGATGTGGACCAAGCCTATACCAGGCAGCCCGGTCGCGTCGGGTGCTTGGGCATACCAGATCAACAGATGTGCGGGATGCATGCTCACTCGAGTCACAACGCAGGGGAGAAGTCTTCTTCTTCTGCGGGTGGCATTGCAGAGTCGTACCCGAACGGGGAGGAATCATCGTCCCCGCAGACTGATGATGTTTGTGGATGAGTGCATAAATCGTTTCGGTCGTGAAGATGCTGAAACGATATTTGCTATTTCGAGCAACTTGGCTTATCGCATGAAAGCCACCAGGAAGACCTGTAGTCGGGCACATGGGAAACATTCGAATCGAAAGAGGTCCGATCGAGCGAAGCAGAGAAGCACGGGGGATTCATCCGAGCCGTCGGAAAAGAACCCTTGCAATGATGGTAGACATCGTGGGAATGGAGTTTGTGTTTCTGAAGAGACAGAATCATCACAGCAGGGTGCTTTCTCCGCCAATGCTGATGCCGAATGGGCTGTCCGGCCAGGGCCGCGGAGCTCGGGGTCACTATACTCCCCCTCTTCTGCTAATACTCTGGACACGGAGCGTTTGGGTAACGCATATTTCCAAGCCATGCCATACGAAGTGTTCGAGATGTATAAGGAATTTTGCGAAAAGACCCCATTCTCATACCTGGGCGAGGACTTTGAAGGTAATCTGGCTGGTGAATCAGATGACTTGTGAATTAAAAACAAAGGTTGCAATTGAAGGTGTAAATAGAGAACAACGAATGATTAAAAAGAAGCAAAATGGTTGTCTCACCAAGTAGCCCAATTCCTTGTAACAGGACGGTGTATTCTGGCGACGCCATCCCAGGGTGGAAGTGTCTCTGCAGAATTGCTTCCCTCAAGGGTCACTTCCATTGCTTAGCGCCTTCCAGCATCGCGGATTACTCACGCGAGTGAAATGACGACCCCAGGATTCGTACCAGGCACCAGTAGCCTGCTGGTCAGGTGACCGAAGCAAGGTTACGGACTTAGCGGTGAGTCTTCCACTAGGTTATCCATGACAGATTAACTAATTGTGTCTTATCTTGTATACATAAACCATCCATATATTACCACATTTGTTATGAAACATCGATCTTCCAATAGCTGCGTTGCCACGGTCTCTACCTAACCGGATCATTTGCAGAATATTTAGTTACTTGAATATAATCTTTTTCATTACCTGTTACTTGTACTCCACACTATGGTTTAGTACCCTGGACACAGTATAATACTCCCCTGAAAGTAACCCTTGAAAGTAAATAAATCATAAACACTAGCATTGGGATATGTACTGAAAATGCATGGCACTCGCTAAAACAAAACACCATAAATGACCCAGGTGCCGCTTCTTAACCATTCCTAGCGTCAATTTTAAAGATTTCCAAGAAGCTCCTTTCCGCACTCAATGACCTCCTATTACTTTGCATTGCCAGTCTTAACCTTAAGTCAGGTTCCCACGAAGCTCCTGTTCACGTTCGATCGCCTCGAACAAAGACTTGAAGTTCCCTGCTCCAAAGCCCGAGAAGTTGTGCCGTTGAATAATCTCTAGGAACACAGTAGGACGATCCATCATGTGCTATAGCCCAAGGTTAGCACACATTCTACCGCACAAAGCGAACAAGATCAGATACAACTCACCTTGGTGAACAGCTGTAGCAAGTAACCACCCTCGTCGAAGTCAATCAAGATATCCAAGCTACGAATTGTCTCAAAGTCTTCGTGGAGCACCAGCCCGGACTTCTTCAGCCGAGCCCTCATATCAGTGTAGTAGCTCTCGGGGACCTTGATGAACTCCACACCACGAGCCTTCAGGTTGGTAATGTCGCGGATAATGTCGTCGGTCAGAAGCGCGATGTGCTGCACACCAGCTCCATTGTAGAAGTCCACATACTCTTCGATCTGAGACTGTTTCTTTCCCTTGGCCGGCTCGTTGATCGGCATCTTGACGAGTTCGTTGGGCGATGACATGACAATACTCTTCAAAGCGGAGAACTCACTGTAAAGGTTAGGTTCATCGTCCAATTTGAAAGGAGTGGCCTCAACTTACGTGCAGATCTGGCTGTCATCCACGGACCAGAAACGGTGGAAACCCAGTGCCTTCTCGTAGCTAATCAGATTTTAGTGCTGAACTTCATGTGTTGAAAAGGAAAAGGTTCCAAAGAGACTCACTATTCGCAGATCTTGTCCATCTCATCCCAGTCCTGGTTTCCAACGCAGTGATCAATCCGTTTGAGGTGCACGCCAGGCAGGAACTTTGATACAGGGTCCTCGGTCTCCGCCTCCAGACGATAGCCTGGTAGGAAGGCCCCGCGGTATTGGTTTCGCTCGATCAAAGTGTGTGTAGTTTGACCGTATGTTTGGATGGTCGCAACCTTGACCTGGCCGCCCTCATTCTTGAAAATACGGGGAGCAGAGACCGCCTTGGCACCGTTCTTGACAGCGGCAAAGTATACCGCATCCACGTCATCCACTTCGAATGCCACATCCTTCACCGCGTCTCCATGCTGCTCAAGATGGTGATGAATCTCACGGAGCTGGTCTTGTTCTTCGGCAGCGAAGCGGTCGATCTGGTCTAGAGAGCGGAGAGGTGAGGTAAGAATGAAAGTGATATCTCCGTTTCGAATGACATGGGAGCAGATAGCGCGGCTTCCCGTCTCGAGACCGCGATAGGCAATACGCTTGAATCCCATTCGAGTGATGTAGTAGCTTGCGGCTTGCTTGGCGTTTCCAACATACCAGTGGACATGATCGTAACCACGATAGCTGTTAATGGAAGATGCCTCGTTCACCGTGGAAGGTGGAGGAGTACTGGAGATCGCTGAAGGGGCCATTTTGATATTCTACCCTTTCAAATCGTCTTGGTTGTTAGATGATACTTTGTTCAGGCAAGATAAGTAGTAAAAAATGGGAGTAGATATAAGATGAGAGTGATGATCCGATATAAACGACGCCACCACTTCTATTTATAAGAACCACTAATATGACCCTCCATTAACCGTGCCGAATTTTCTGCGGATATCTCAATATCCATCGTCACTGGTGCTATCACTATTGTAAGCAAAAAGCCGTGCGCTTGGGACCGCATCCTGGAATATCCGGACATAGCCGGTAACAGCCGGGCCGGAGGGCTCGCCAGAATAGCCGCCCTTTCATACTAGCTCCATATCTCACATGTGCAGCTCTTCCATCTTTCACTGGTCATATTCAATCAGTTAGTCTTTATTCTCTTCGAGAATATTTTATTTCTTCTGACAGAGACCTCGACAACCGCACCAACTTAACTATCAGAGGCGATACATACCATCCATGGCATCAGTCGTATCCTCTCGCCCATCATTAACATCAAATGATGCGGCCGTTCTCCAAGCACTTTTCGACGCTGAATCCTCGCCCTCATCCGGAATTTCCATCGATTCTTCGCTTCCTTCATGGCCAGCAAGTGTGAAAATCTCACAAGAAGACCTTCTCGCCTTGAAGACTCGCGAAATCGAAATCATTCGAGAGCTACAGCGAAGCACAAATTCAACCTGCGATAACGTACAATCAGCGGTGAACAGACTTGATGCTCTTCTTACTCAATACCCTACCTACCCACCCGCTTATACCAACCGCGCCCAAGCCCTACGCATGCTGGTAGATCTCCAGTTCAACAATACCGACACAAGCACCGAGCAAAGCTCAGATGATGCTCTATTTACACCAGAAGCGGCGAGTATGGCATCTCAAATTTTGGAAGATTTAAGTCAAGCCATCACCCTCGCTACACCCGCTTCCCCAGCAGATCCGGTATCATCAGTACAAGCTCGGTTACTAGCGGATGCGCACACACACAGAGGATACTTGATCTTGAAAGCCGCGAGAGTGACGAAGAATCAGATTTTACGAGAGGAAGCCGTAGGCCCGGACCGCTTGCGAGGACTCGGGGCAGACCAGCTGGAGGAGATGGCTAGTCGGGATTTCTTCTTCGGGGGACGATATGGAAATAAAGTGGCGCAGCAACTTGCTGTGCAAACAAATCCGTATGCGAAGATGTGCGGGGCCATTGTTAAAGAGGCGATGAAGAAGGAATTCGAGGGGTAAATGTGACCTTCAGCATAACTCAGGTCCTGTCTTAGTTCATGATCATTAGCGTTCAAACTTAGCAATTCATTCAATTATTGTCTAATTCGGTTCTTTCGTAACTATGGAATCTTGAATATGCTTACGTGATCACAGCATCCGATCAGGCTTATCGTGATCCGAAAACTAGCCCTGCGGGGCACTTTCTGTTCGGATTTCCATATGTCCATTTTAGTCTCAAGATGCTTCTTATTTTGGCTCATGGGGTAAGTTATGGCTTTGCTAAAGCCGACGGCCGGCGCATAGCAGTTGGCGAGCCGACCAAGAAATGCCGACTTGACCTCGGAACACGACAAATTATATAGGAATATTTCCACCATGACTTAGCTATTGAAGGTCGGCATTTGAGGGCAATTAATCCAATGTTCATAGAAGCATTCACTACCCGCAAATGAATATACGTGCTTTACACTTTAGGCTGTCTTTTGAACGATCTATACCGCAATTTGATAAGATCGGATGTGGAATCGGCTATCGGGCCGACGCATCCTGCGCCATGACGAAATGCACCTTATACGCATTTGACCAGCTCCATTTCTATTGTTTTCTTTCTTTCCTCATCAATCAGCAGACCTCAAGCAGATAGAAGACCAGGATCTTGCAAATCAATAATCGCCCAAAATGTCTTACGAAATCCAGTACGACACCTCCCTTGCCCCGCCCCGCGCGGCCGCCATCGTCAACTTCATGCAAGACTTCTACCGCACCAGCGACACCGAGTCATTGCACGATAAATATGTCGAAAGCTTCACAAGCGATGCAACTCTGATCATGGGACCTAAGGAGGGAAAGGGTAGTGATGGTATGTTTCCAACAAACCCGAGAACCCCGAGTCAATTGCGTGTTCCATACTCACCTCAACGCCTCTAGCGATTCGGACTATTCGACACGGTCTCTGGACTCATGTAGCGTCGCGGAAACACACTCCCACCCGGATTTTCTTCAGTGGAGAGAATGAGATCATGCTCTACGGCGGAGTGAACTACCGTCTTAAGGCTAACCCTGAGAATGACGTTTATATTCCGTGGGCTGGACGGGTTGTGTTTGCCCCACAGCAAGAGAGTGAGGTCGTTAAGATGCAATTTTACCAGGTTTATTTGGTAGGTATTCCTCGAGATAACTAGATCGAATACTTACTAATGTGTGTAGGACCCGTCTGCGCAATCTGGAAAGAAATAAATGATGGATTTTGGGAAGAATTTTACGATATGATTTTGGACACTAGGGATTTTCAGCAAGGAAACATTTGTCGCCTTCATTGGTAGCCCATGAGCTACTTGCACAATCATTCAGATTTCCCATAGACATACTATCTCGGAACTTAAAGTCTTCGCAAAGGAGCTAGTACCTTCCTGACGGCTTTCTCAAGAGATAGGGTACACACTCCAAGTAAACAGGGGATAGTGCACTGTATTTCAATGTTAGACAGTCCACTTCGGGGAATTTGATAGATAAGCTTACGCAAACGTTCGGCCCTGGGGCATTCAGGAGAGTAGGACAAGCGAAGGCATTCGGGCAACAACCAATTCGTGATCCTGAGGAAATGCATGTAGTATTTTTTACGCACTGAATTGTTGTCAGTCAAGCTGATGAGCGGTTAGCTTCTTGATACTTACGTAAGTGTTTGTAACGTTACAGAATGTTTGGTCTGAAGCGCAGTTTCCGCAAGCGCCGTTGATACAGCTCTGAGTAGATGTACACTAAAATCAAGATTCGAACTATTTAGCAGGTCGCGGGTTTATAATACCATTCGATTTGAATCATGCGCACCCACCGTGAGTAAGATTACTGCTCAAATCGACACAATTATTAGAGCAGCAAGATAGGTTTTTACCTGCTGTGCATTATGTCATTTTCGAATCAGTTTTTGGACCCAGAAAGTAAGTCATAAGTAAGTAATATGATGTCGGACATCCTACAGGCGTACTGCATGCTTGTACATCAGGCAAGAAAGATGGCTCGGAGAAACTGTTTGCGCAGGCGGATTGAGATACGCTCTAGGGTTGTGGTTAGAAATCATAAAATTTTCCAATTCATGGATATGGCACGCGACTTTGCCGAATGCTGCATTCAAATGTTGAATCTTTAACGGACTTGTACACCTACATTATCCCAAGGAAGATTGTCAAACTAGGCTTTTTTTTTGGTATTCAGAAGGGTTTGTTGAGGAACCACTGGATTTGCGATGGTTATAGATAGCATCATGAAAGGTGGAAAAGATAAACTGTGTTGGTTAGAAAGATGGATTTTAAGATGAAAGATGCCTTCTAGCCACCAAGTCTGAAAATAAGAAACCTATCTCACTACATGTCAAAAGTGAGGGTGCCAATAGCTTCACTGTCTCGAAAATCGCCATGCCGAGTCGAAATTTTTTATTTACTATCTCCGCTGTTCGTTCGGATATCGGAGGTCGAGGAGTTGATCTCGAAAATCAAACATTTGAACTTGAATCATACTGTGAGGAGCTAGAATCTTCAAATATACTGATAAGAAACTACATGTATACCTGTGTCACAGGAGACAATGTAACGGTGGGTTGAACCACATCGGTCGTCTAGTCCTCCGTGTTACTTCTCCCCAGATGTGCTACCAACGGCTCTAGCAATGAATATTGGAAATGAGTGGTATATAAGCTTGCTTTCAGATCTAAACATATGGTACATAAGCTAAGCTATGAACACCGTTTCTTCACGCACAATTCGATTCAAATCCAGTGGCTTTGCACTATTCCGCCGCTAATATCGTCACAGGTGCCTTTGCACTTAATAAAAACGTCTCGTCTGCCACTGTGACTGATATATCCACCTTGAGCCAGTTCATCACTCGAAGGTTATATACATCAAAGCTGGGAGTTAGTGGCTGCACTTTCTGAAGTCTGTTTCCTGCGACAGTCAACCCATCGGAGCGGAGGGTCATTTGAAGAACACTCCCAAGATCAATCGTTCCCTCCCCAATAGGAACCTCGAAAGGGAAATTATTTATTCTGCGAATTGTAGCCTCTAGGTGCAAGTCCTGGATGCAAGAGTGGCTTCCGACCGACTTTGCAGGAGTTGAACAGGCAGAGTTAGTGGGTTTGCTGTAGTCGGCTTCTAGAGAGGCTCCGTGGTACTTGACGAAGGTGCACGTTTCGATATAAAGTGCCACTGAATTGATCAAAGCATTTCTCGGAACATTCTTAATCTCTTCGCTCGTATCGGCATTTTGGACAATAATCAGGTTCAAGGGCAGAACCGCGGAGTTGTCAAGCTGAATGGTGGTCGGCGTGTAAACCTCAACTTGGAAGAAAAGCTCCGGCACTTTGGAGGAACCAAAGCGTTGCCGTGCCTTTTGCTTCATAGTTAAGCTGGAATGACCCACACCCGGGAGTAAATGATGGCCTCGGATTTTGCGCTTGAATATTTGTTGTGAGATACCAAATTCCTGAAATTCTTGAAGAGGCTGATGCCGCATTATGATTGGATGGATTGCAGTAATTTTTCTTTCGATCTCATTCTGGCCATTGCCTTTTTGCCAATATCGCAATTCAGCTTCGAGATAATAATCTATCCACGCCGTCGACGTGGCTAGGCCCCCACGACCAACTGAACTGGTTGTGCCTGGTAGGTAATCATAGGAGACATCGAATTTCCCATACACTCTTCTTGGGGGATCGGGACTAATATTTGTCGTAAAAGACCAAGAAATGGGATTTCCACCTTCGGGAATACATAAGGGGCCTTGGAAAATAGGGTACCGCTTGGCGAGCAGGATCTGCTCGGAAGCAACGGGTTGGCTGGCCGCACTGGTCAGTTGGGATGGAAACGAGCCATTACCCACGCTTGATCTACCAGTCTGTATACGACCTCTCAAAAATATTGTTAGGTCCGCATTGCTAGTGACGATGGGAGAACAGCGAACCACGTCGCCGATGACCCTGTCACCCGGAGCAAACGTCCAGCCCTCGGGTGCCGCCAAATCGATCCGGAGAGCATCGTTCCCCTTTTTGACAAGTGGCATTCTTCTCAAAGGGGTTTGTGCAGTGATGGTCCCCGTTTAATCTCCTGCAGATAAAGAAGCTAAAAATAAATATTGTGTCGGGTCATTTATCCTGGGAAGGTGGGGTAATGATTCGGCGTTTCAACGAGGCTGATTGGTAGATGGGATGATTTACTTCAATTTGGGTAATGACGCATGTTTCCATCCAAAAAGTTGTATTGAGCCTCAATATCGCTTTTCCATTTTCTAGTCCGCGGATGAGACGTTGACTTGACCTGGAAATTGTATCGCAAGAGGAAATGATCCTACAAGTTCGTTCCTACCGAATGGTGTCTATATTCACACGCCTAAAAAGACTATTCGAGACTGTATCACAGTGGTGCCCACTCATGTGCGTAATTTATATTCAGACAATGCCATAACCCATCCACCAAACGCCCCATATAAGCGGTCCCAGTGCTCCCAGAACCGCTGGCCCAAATGCCATTTCGAGTATACACCAGATCCACACCGTCCCATACGCAGGCGCCTTCTGCATCACAGCGTAGTATGGGTCTTCGTTCGTAATGGTAATAAGATGCGCACCCAGCATCGCCGCGAGAGGTAGGTAGAAAATCGTTCTAAGAGTCGGAGGTAGGATCAAGCGCCGTAGGAATGACAGGTTAAATTTGTCTTGTGTGAGTGGGAGGACGGAAACAGGCTGCGGATTCAGAAAGCTCCATCGTGGAAGTCGAAAGGAGACGACGTGGCCGTGGGCAAAGTGAACGAGGAATGTGAGCAGTGGGAAGGTTTTGATGATTGCGGATTTTATCAAGAGTGGAACGTCTGTGGATTGGGCGTACATGTACGCAGCCATGTAGTCGAGGGTGAGATGGAGGGTTGTGAGGGGGATAGAGAGCAAAAGGGTATCGAGGAAGGGTGGAAGGGGCTGGTCGATCTCGAAATCGTCTTCATTGTTGTTCTTGGTCTTCTTTCCGATGCTCTTCGCAATATCATCGCCTCCGGTGTCCACAATAGCTCCGGACGCATCCACGGTCACGAAGCGGGTTCCCGTTGACTGGGCGGACTGCCTTGTTTTCCTTTCCGATGCCGATATAGGTTTTGAGCCTGTTTGCTTGCCGCGAAGCTCATTTTGACGCTCGTCAATAATATCATATAGTGTTTTCTGTCCTTTGGGTTTTGATGAATCGCCGCGTGGCGGAAGCGCGAGGGGAATGTCGGACTCGGTGGGGGCAGACTCAGCAGCCGCGGCGCGACGCTGCTTTCGATTTCGTGGAGGATCCATGGTTTGAGGATATGGATCAAGGATCGGGTTAGAGAGGATTGTAGATGGTGAATTTCACCAATTGACCGAGGAAAATTGGGCGGAGCGAGGGAATCGGCGATAAACCCGGGGTTAAACTGGGGGACAGCTTATCCACAGGGGAGTGTGTAAGCTGTGTAGGTGTGAAGTATTTTCGGAAAAGAGCCCTGAAGGGTAACCCTTTTACAGTGAGTGGTTGATTAACAAGGTCCTCCCAAGCTTATCAAGTTGAAAGATGCATTTGCAGATGTCAAGTGAGACATTTCACCAAGTTCAGGACTTAGGTCAAGGTGGTCCCACTGAGCTCTCAAAGGTTTGTGGCCTAGAACGTAAGGCATGAACGAAAAACGAAAGTTAGCGTTTTTATGCCTGGATAATCAGGCATCAGGCACCCATACATAGGCACCCATACATCGACGTACATATTTCGGAAAAGTTGAAGCTTTTCATATGTAAGAGGTCTCAATAACTCAATAATTATGTCGTTTCTAAGTCATTCCCAAATATCTTAGGTAGTTTTGCTTGTCTTTTCTCCTGTGGTATAATGTATGCACATACATATCATTATATGTTCCACTGTTCTAAGCACTCAATTGCTGGTTCCTTTGACTTCCTGAGCTTACCTATTGTTCATCCCGGGGCCGTTAAATCTTCCAAGGTTGGAGTGTACCAATTCAAGTCAAATCCTTTCCTAGTGTCAGCGTTACTCTGTAGTGAAGTGATTTAAAAATATTTCTTATGCCTATTTCATGTCAATGTCATTGATTGACGAAGGTAAGTGGGCTAGTAGATGCATGGGTGTCAGATCTGTCAAGAAGGAGCGGTGAATTGATGACACCGGGGCTGACCGAAGTTTAAAATCGGGCAACCAAAGTCGTTGTGTCACCAAGAACATTCGAGTATAAAACCCACTGTACCCCGCAGGTCCCGCAGATCCCCCAAACTCCACCATGTTCCCTCCACCACCTGCCGCTCTCGACTGGAAAGACATTGGCTTCAAAGTCCGTGACGGTAAGATATCTCCAGATCATTCCAAAGCCACCTGCTAAACAGCCATAGTCAATGGCCATGTTGAATGCCACTTTTCTAAGTCGGGCTCGGGCAAGTGGTCTGCCCCCCGATTCGTTTCTTCGCCCTTTCTGACGGTCCACGGTATGGCGCCCGGCCTGAACTATGGCCAGCAAGTCTACGAGGGACTCAAGGCATTCCGCCATGCAGGAGATAACAAAATAACTATCTTCCGACCGGAACGCAATGCAAAGCGGATGCAATATTCCGCCGAGGTCGTCTCCATCCCACCTGTTCCTGAAGAGCTATTCCTCGAGGCCGTTCATTTAGCCGTAGCAGCCAATGCCGAGTTCGTCCCGCCTCATAAATCCAATGCTGCCATGTACATTCGTCCGTTACTGTTCGGGTCTTCCGCGCAGCTGGGCTTGAGTCCACCGGATGGATATACGTTCGCAGTGTTTGTCATGCCGACCGGCGTTTACCATGGGGCTAGTGCAGTCGATGCTCTGATCCTGGAAGACTTTGATCGATCTGCTCCCCACGGGACAGGCGCAGCCAAGGTTGGGGGTAATTATGCCCCTGTATTACGTCACAGTGATCGCGCGCGCAATGAAGGGTTTGGCATCACGCTTCACCTTGACAGTGCAACGCGAAGCGAGATTGACGAATTTTCTACATCGGCTTTTATCGGAGTCAAGGGCAGCGGTGCGGATGTTACAATTGTTCACCCCAATAGTCCAAATGCTATCGATTCGGTCACTGCCGCATCTATTGGCGATATTGCGCGAAAGCTAGGCTTCCGTGTGGAGAAGCGTCGGGTTACCTTTGACGAACTCGCTGAATTTGATGAGGTCGTTGCAGCGGGGACAGCGGCTGCCCTGGTGCCGGTGCGAAGCATTACGATGCGGTCCAAGGGGGCCAAGTTTGAATACCGTTCTGGAGAAAACAACGAGGGTGGTGAGGTCTGTGTAAGACTTCTACAGAACCTACGTGGAATCCAGGCTGGGAAGAAGGATGATACATTTGGATGGAATTTTGAAGTGCAAGCTCCTCCGAAGGGATGGATCGAAGATAGCAGCACTGAAAAGACGGAATTCAGTGGAGCAAACGTGCCTTGAGTATCTCGATGACAGTTCCCTAAATTCCATGCAAGTAGAAATGTTTTGAGTGAAGGGTCCAGTTCATCCCTTCCGGAAAGGGATAGACGTGACAACACTGGAATGCGGCGTTGCACTGGATTCGTTTGCGGTCGCGAGCCACGTTCAACATCTTTTGTTCTTTAGTTCTCAGAATCAATTGGCTTTAAAATATGGACGTTCCCGATAGTGTCCTCTTATCGATTAAATGTCACGCTTGTAAACCCCTGCCCGCATTCCACCCCCACCGTAGATCAGAACCATGGAAAGGACGATACAATGACAGCTCTAGAATCACACCTCAATTGACCCAGGCCTGCTTTCGGGTGCAATTGACGATTAATCGAGATAATAAATCCCCATGCGGTTCAATAATGGTACCTATTGCCCGCTCCTGGGTCAGGGCGGGAGGTGATCCGAGGGATAAGCCTTGTTACCATGCCGGCATCCCCATTGTTTTAGGAATGTGACTTGTGATCCACAAGGTCCATATTGTGGGCCAGACGTGGATGTTACGTATGGTCGTCTTTGTCTCCGCGGGATTTCCCTTCAATTTTCTAACCTTTCGTTGAGAGGTTGTTCGGAGGTGCATGATAGCTGTGCTGCGTGTTGATTTTGAACTGCCATTAGGAAACGCCACAGACTCTAGTGACTTGCCCTGAGTGACTGAAAAACTTATCGCATTATAACGTCTCGATGCGCATGTTCGGCGCTTCTCAGCCCTCATGGGCGAGAATATTAACTGTCGCTCTTATGGGAGCGTCAACAGTTCGAGCCGTCGAAATGGATATCGAAAGTGCCGGTAAGTGCATGGAAATGGAACTAACCTCTGTCCAACCATTAATGCCCTCACAGATTCTATCAAGAAGGCCGCAAAACAAGTAGCTACGAACATGATGGCCTACTACCACGGAAATAAGCCAGGCGACAACCCGGGAAACTTGCCAGATCCATACTACTGGTGGGAGGCTGGTGCTATGTTCAACTCATTGATCGACTACTGGTTTTATACGGGGGATGACACATGGAACGACATAACCATACAGGGCTTGCTGTGGCAAGCAGGCGATACGGGTGCCTTTATGCCTAACAATCAAAGTAAAACGGAAGGCAATGATGACCAAGCGTTCTGGGGATTTGCAGCTATGTCGGCTGCGGAGCGAAATTTTCCTAACCCCCCTTCTGATAAGATGGGGTGGCTAGCGATGGCCCAAGCAACGTTTAACACACAAGCACCTCGTTGGGATGACTCTACTTGTGGAGGAGGACTGCGGTGGCAGATCTTCACGTGGAATAACGGATACACTTACAAGAACACAATTTCTACTGGTGGATTTTTCAACTTGGCTGCACGTCTTGCGAAGTACACCGGAAACACGACATATCAGGAGTGGGCCGATAAAGCCTGGGACTGGACCGAGGAGGTTGGATTCATGACGCCCGACTATCATTTCTGGGATGGCGCAAGCGATTTGAGCAATTGCACCGATATCAATGAGATCGAGTGGACCTATAACAACGGTGTTTTTCTCCTCGGTGCGGCGAACATGTGGAATGTGGTAAGTTTACGTTCTTTCTTGAACCCATGCAAATCTAATTGACCGACAGACTTCGGATCCCAAATGGAAAACCCGTGTTGAGAAAATTCTCGAATCCTCATCCGTTTTCTTCTCCGACAACCCTAAGGATGTCATGTTCGAACGAGCCTGCGAGACAGTCAATACCTGCATGGTCGATCAACGATCCTTCAAAGGTTATCTCGCCCGCTGGATGGCAGCAACCACGCAGTTGGCCCCTTTCAGCTACGACCTGATCATGCCAAAGCTCAAAGCCTCGGGGCAAGCAGCTGCACAGGCCTGCAATGGTGGACCGGATGGCGTTACCTGTGGCCTTAAATGGACAGAGAAAAAGTGGGACACCACCATTGACTTTGGTCAGCAGATGGCGGCCCTCGAGGTGATCCAGGCGAACCTCATTACGAAGGTTGCTGCCCCGGTCACTAGCAATGATGGAGGTACTAGTAAGGGAGATCCTAGTGCGGGTGGAAAACCTCCCCAGCCTACGCCTGATGCGCTGTCCTACCGCATTACTACTGCCGATCGAGCTGGGGCTGGTATCTTGACTGCTATGATGATGATCACTCTTGGAGGGTCTGCAGGGTGGCTTATTTGGGATTGATTGTCCATTTCCTTTCTTCAACGGTTAGTCTGTTCTCTAACGGTTTCGTTTTTATCTTTGTTTTTCATATTCTCAGGACTTTCCTTGGGCGTTGTGCGATTAATTGACGTCTTGGGCTGCCCCCGAACTTTGTATATAACCGTCGCATTCAAATGTACTCAGTTGGTAACAATGGATATTAATTTCGATCAAATCATACTACCGAGTAGCCGGGGAGCCTTACAAAGTACCTGTTTGTTGGTCCCAACCGAAGTTCCGTTATTCTGACAAATAAAACCCCGACCTCAACACTTGAGGGTAATATCGCGGTCTCAACAGACCAATACCAGAGTAAATAATAATCGAATATACGAACGATGATGTCATCTAGTATATGATTTTCCAGCCCTATGGGATGTGCAATTGCGATTCGACTACCTTCGGTTTCGCGCCCAAATAACGGGTTTCCTCTGATCCAACCAAACAAAAAGGAATGAATGAGACCCGTATCTGAGAGGCCCGAGGGTACCTGATTCTTCTCCAGATCCGGAAAAAGAGCCGAGGTTATATGAGGTCGGAAGGATATGTAAATAGGGGTTACTAGTGCTGTCCCTAGGACCCGTTCGCAAACCTTTTACAATATGTTACCTAGCGACACGGAAAGCAATTTGAAGAGATATAGCTAGAGACTAAAGAAAAGTATACTGCGCGGCTATGCGTATCGCTTAAAGCTTTCCAGAGGGTGGGGCATACACCAAATGTTGGTTTTGGCCCCCAGGGCCGTGAAGTGATCTCTTTTCGAGCTATTCCTAGATGAGATATAATCGGCGCAATGTAGAGTCAGAACCATGTTATTGTTGTAGCTTGCACGATTTGCTTAAAATAGTAAGAGATTGACTATATAATCTCGATGAATATTGCATGCTTCAAAGGCTTTCATTTATGAGGGTCACAACAAGGTTCTAAGAGATACAGCCTCGGGGCTTGGTGGATCTCTTAAGCGGACCAAGTTAGAGTCCGCAAAGGATCCATGGATTGGATTTAGGAGTATTTTTATTCGTACGAATAACCTGTTGCACAGGCATTCTATATTTATATAGATCAGTACATGATGGATGGAGTGAGCTATGCTCACGAGCGCAGGAACTAGTTAGGGAACTATGCTTCTTAGTAATTGATGCGGAGTATTCGAAGTCCGGTAGACTCTAGTTGAATTATGAGATCCTGCGCGACTGATCTGAAACGAACTATAGTAGATTGACGACTGCGATATGAAACAGTTGAGCACATGTGCATGAAACAACTGATCATTTCCGAAATACGAGATATCGAATTATAAGCCTTAGTACGTATAGATTTCTCACTCTATGTACGGGAGAGGATGCATAAGGTTGCATATCCACCCCGGGCCCAAACTTACTAGTAAAAGCCGATGCTATATCTCGTGGGAATCCTTCCGCTTTGCCACATGAATCTAGCCCGTCGCCCCTGGATTGAAACCTAGGATGGCGAATACATTTGTCCGGTCTCGATGGGTGGGGGATTGGATTCTGACTATCGGAGCAAAGCAACGTTGAATAGTGAGAACTATGTTCCTTCCTCATATTTGACGGGGTCCTTATGGTGACTAGTGCTTATTTGCATTTGATATCCATGCATGATTTTTGAGGTTATTTCGGCCGGTCGGAGATTTATGGACTGCGCGGCAAGTTCCCGCCCCTATCTATACATAGCACCTTAGTCTGATCTATGAATATATGGATTGTATAGATGTTCTCGAAGACATTCAGTGGTCCAATAAAGTTCGCAAAGACAGGGCCTTGGTTCCTTTTAGCTTGGGGTTCCTTTCTAGGTAAGGTTGCCTTTTTAGGTAGGGAATCCTGTCTAGGTCAAGCGTTGAGATGAAACTGTCCGTGCTTGGGGGCATTTACTGTTCGGACTTGAAACTACTGGTGGAGTAGGCATTGTGTGAGATCGAGATGTCAGAGATCGCAGATCAGGTAAATCATGAACCCAAGGTTGAACAGTTCTCACATCTGACCCAGGAACGGGTAAATTTCTCATTTGAGTATGACGGATAAGATGAAGACCCTGGAAGTTCCACTTACCGGCACGGCTCCCCATGACCCCGCAGTTTAAGTGGTGGATTCGCGCATTTTTGTGGATTCCCGAGTATGGGCGGTACTAGTGGCGAATTGATCCGTATCAGTTGGGGGCCGTGTCCTGTGCAGAGAGTCACAGTCCATAATGTTTCAGACTCACTCCCTCTACTGCGGAGTAAAATAGTTATTCAGATCAACTCAACTAGGAAAGATCTCAAGTAGGCAATCTGTCAACCCCAGGCTCACAAACCACATGGTGCACATGGCCCTTCGTTTGTGGCGCTAGAGGTATATTTTTGATTTGGTATTTTGAATCTTACATACATTTCATACGTGTTAAATGAATGGGATGTAACCCTGGTAAGTATATCGGCATGCAGATCAAATAATGTGTCGATACCCGTAGAAATGTACCAGATGTGATTCAATTTGCATCAAGACTACAATGCAAGTACTACTCATGCAAGTTAACCAAATTTGCAACTAGAAATAGATCCAACAGTAGGTCAAAAAGTGCATGCAAAGGGTGCTACTCAAAAGGGAAGATTCCGGCCCCCAACATGTTCAAATGTTGGTATTGAACCTGGCGTATGGTATTTTTGTATTCAGTGACACGCAGAAAGTGGGCCCGTTTAATCTGAAGAGCGCAGCTTATTTCCAATGATATCAGCGTATGTGCAAGTGCAGGTACTGCATGATTAGCCCCCAACCAACTTCCCCCCTCCCCTAAGACAAAAAACGCTTGCTCCCAGGATCATTTTCGAACCTTCTTCACCCTTTCTTTGTTAACATCCTACAAACAAGCCACTGTCTCTCCTATCAATAATCGAGTTCTTTGTTCAGTAAGCCAGTTTCGACAACCAAAGAATCCATTGCAACCACGAATCCACACTCGAGATCATCGGTCCCGGAGCGCCGGTAGGTGAAGAATCTACTATTCGATTTCACTCGATTTCACTCAGTTTGACTCGAGAGGATAGAGATCGAGAGAAGACCTGATAATATGACATTTAAGACATGACAGACTAACATCTAATGATAGAGGTAGATCTACGGGCGATGCTCCAGGGTTAGTCGGAGCGACACCTAAAGTTGACCGGAACATCAAAGATGGTCTCGCCGGTCACATTCCCGTATATTCGACCAAGCGAGAATTCTCCCACAAAAAACAAAGCAGTGAAGACACTCCGTCCACCGCCACTAAGCCTCGAAACTGGAAAGAAAATCCAGTTGCCAAGGATCAAAGCCATCCGCGGCAGCGTATCCGGGGCCGAAGAGGGGACAGAAGTACCGTTAATCCTCGAACTGGCGACTCATAGGCCAGTCGTAATCGACGATTCGGGAGGAAAGTCCGATGAGTGGATCGACATGGATGTGTCTAAGAGCCGACCGTGGAAGGGCGACGTGGACACTCGTCCAGTCTCCCCACCTCGGTCTCTGCGCACTATTATTGACTTGGACTCACCACTGGGCTCGGACGACGAATCTGACATCTCCCCTATCTCTGAAGAGCGACCTGCCGATCACTCAAGTAAGGTTCTGGCTCGCTTCTTTCCAGAACTTGAGAGTAACTTTGCGGTGATGGCCCCCGAAGGTCTGGACACAACTTCGAAACCGAAGACAGGTCGCTCACGAGTTGAAAAAGAGATCCAGGCGCGAGTAAAGAGCCTTTATCGCAACTCGGGGGATAACCTTAGCCAGGTTTTGGGGTCCAACACTCCAGATGAGAAGTTAAATACACCTGCATCATCTGACTATAGCCGACAAACTTCCATGGCGAGTTTTGATGCAAGTTTTCCAAAGAAAAACCGGTATAGAATGACCACAGACTCATCTAATTACTCACCCGTCCAGGCGGGAGTTTTTGATGAGGAGAGATTCTCAAGTGTCAAGCCAGTACCAACCAGATACAATTCGACTGCCTCGAAGAAATCGAATTTCCGTGATATTAGGAATAAGCCCTTGCCTCTCGCGCCACTCATTGAACCTAGTTCGAGCCATTCCCGCTCACCGTCAACTCCTCACCGTCGTTCTGCGCCACACTGCACAGACTGTACTCAGCATGATAGTATACCCCACTCGGCTTATGCAAGTCGCAATCATCAACCTCACCGATGCCGAACATGTGGACATCGGGATAGTCGTCGTCGAGGTAGCAACTCACCAAATCGTCAAAATCGAAATCGTCGACATGTGTCAACTTGGCAACAAGATGCGGATGAAATGGAAATTGAATTAAGTTTGGACGGAATGAAGAGAAGATTAGTGTTGGAAGGCCCACTTCAAATCAGTCGCAACAATGGTGACTTGGTGGCGGCGCGGCCCGCACCCCTGCCTCCATCCCAGAAACCTTACTCTCTGAAGGAGTCTGGGAGTGTAAGCTTTAAACGGGATAACTCCGTGTCCGGGAAAAAGGGTCACAAGTATAACCGATCCAAGGACTCCATCGAATCAAACAAGGCCAAGAATCCCAAGGTCAAGGACGAGTCGAAGAGTCGCTGGGGTGGAAACTCCAAACCTAATGAGGGGAAAGGCGATCTTCTGAAATTGAAAAAGTCTTTCTCTATCTCCAGGGCAACGTTCAGCCGGAAACAACTTCCGACACGCGCGGACCAGCACAGATTGAGTACCTTGAGTTCACGGTCGGAGACCTCGGTGGACCCACAGGCCGATCATGCCAACTCGAATGACAAAACACGTTTGTCCTGTCACCTTTCGCAGTCCGATCCCAACTTGGAAAAACTGCTCGATGAGGAAGATCCATTGTCTCATCGTCACGATCTCCTGCTTCAATTGCCTCGTCTGCAAACCGATAACCTAGGCTTCAAGACTCTGCTCGAGCAGTTTGCTCCTGACTCGCAGGTTGTCACGGGGAACCCCGCAAACTCCAAATCTTCCTCCCTGCAGACTGACAGCTTGGGCTTCACAAGCGTGTTTGAGCAGCTCGCCCCTGCACAGCGATCTGTTTTGACCCCAGCGCAGTCGTGGCAGGACGATACAAGAGATGCCAAAGAAGTCATTCCTTCATTCACCATGCATCGACCGATAAGAGACGAAAAGATGGTGGTTTCCAGAGCCTATTCAATGAGGCACTCAGCTTTTATTTCCACTTCAAAAGCGAGCAGTGTGTATTTCCCGCCAGAACAAGTCTATGAACTTGCTGCGGGACCAATATCCCCAGAATCAATCATGGCGCAAAGGTCTGCAACCGCTGTTCAGTTCAAGGTAAACTTCCCCTTGACTGAGATCGTAGACTCAATTGTTGAGATGATCATGGAGAGGATCACTTCGCTTGACGATCTCTTCAACTTTGTCCTGGTGAACAAGCGATTCTATCGCGTGTTCAAAAAACGTGAGCTGCCGATCATCAAAAGTGCACTCTATCAAATGTCGCGACCTGCATGGGAGCTCCGGGAAATGAGTCCTCCATGGACCACTGAGTGGCAACTCGTCTTGGATCCGTACTCCCAGGTGCCCGAGTACACCCCGTCTCTCTACCTGGATCGTTATGCCCAAGATATTTATACCTTGGCTCAATTGAAATCCATGATTCTGATGCGATGCGCCCCTTTCATGCGCCGGGATACTGTGCGTGGCTTGGCTGGATTGGATGATCAGCGGGCTGAGGAGGTTGATAATGCATTCTGGCGAATTTGGACATTCTGCCGCATCTTTGGTAGCGGCAAAGGCCGGGAAAACGACCTTCAAGGCCAAGTGGATTGGCTGAGAGGAGGAGTGAGGGCCCGGAAAAACAATGGTTCATCATCATCCATGACCGAGCCTTTCGGCATTAACAACGTTCTGTTCGAGCCACCCGAGGGATTTGCTCAGGGCAACTACAACGGCCTCACACAGAGAGAGCTGTATGACATGACAGAGATCTGGACTTGCCTTGGTGTTTTGGTCCAGCCCCTTCACGCCAAGTGTATCGAGGCTCGCAATGTCGGTATTTTCAATGGCATCGATGTACCCAAGGATGACCCAGTCCGTGAGGAGACTGTTCTCGGTAAGTGAAATACTGATAAGGCGTAGGAAGCAGGCTAATAATTCATTAGAGGAATGGACATCCTATGTTCTCACACTAGGCTTGTCCGCAGTCTTGACGGTCAGCTCAATCAACCCCACGGAAACCACAGCTATCACCTTCGAACGTGCAAGAGCGGTCGGCCTCACCAAGTGGGAACTGACGGGTGGGCAGACCACTCGATCATCGTTCATGAAGGAAGCAGTATCACGTGTGTACGAAGACCGGGACCGATATTCTTTCAGTCTACCCTCAGGCTCGGCCGATAGCCCCTGTGAGCTACCATCGAATGAGGTGACAACCCGTGGTGAAGATAGCGAGCGTCGGCAGGTCTTTTCACAAGAGATTCGAGTTCAACGTCGCGAGGGCAGGAACCAGCCGGGCGGTGACTCCTTCGCAACCGAGCGACCCATGTCAACATACAGCACGATCCTCCACAGTCTCGAAGGCAGTTTCGCAAGAATTGTCATCGAACCGCCCACTGTACCACCCGTTCCCCCTCTCACCTTTGACCGGTCATCAACATCAACCGGAAGCCGTAGCCCTCCTCCCCCAGGGACACCAAAATATGCACCAGGCACACCCACCCAACCAGGCGCGAACTACGTACTCGGTACAAACCAAATCCCCACCTTCGAGCCAAAGACACCTTTCCGCAGCCCCCCTCTCTCAGGCTCGTTCATCCCTACCGCCCCCTTCCAATCCCAAGTCCAAGACCCAGTTGACCGAGCAATTTCCCGAATGGTGAACGAACTCGGTTTCCTCGAAGACGACGTTAAGTGGGCTCTCAAGATCACCGACACCGGTGAAGGAATCAATGTCCAAGCTGCCGAGCAGCTCCTTCAACAACAAAAGAAGAAGGCGGATCGTAATCCATTTGTACCTCGGGGACGCAATAATGGGAAGAACCGGTTGCTCATGTCGGTCATGAAGCAGCAGGGTACCCAGGATTCAGGTTGGCGTTGGGCCTAAAGTAGTGCCATTTGTGCCATACCCTTGTAAACTTCCTTTTCATCACGAAATTATTATGTGTTTTAGTCCTGCTCTTAGCGATGTGCCCATGGCTTGATTTCTTTTGTTCAATCCTCCCCACAGGATATTCATACTCAGAATACAATGTCTAAGATTATTATGATATTACCCGCCGCTATATTAAACTGAGTACATAGAGACTGAGAGAAAGAGAGGGGTCTATGGCCTACACTCCGACCCTGCACTTTCAAATACGACCATGGTATTGCAGGGTAGATAGAGGTTGAACAACCGAAGTCTTGATATATCTACGTCAGATTCGGGTTGTCCATTCAAATAAATAGAGAGAAATAAATTTAAACCATCTCAAGTAAAGGCGTAATTTCAATGTATCATCCAAATGTTGCAAAACGTCCCCAATCCCAAAAGTAACGGAAAATTTATCTAGATCTCCTGCGGCTTCTGCTTCTTCTTCTGCTTCTGCTGCTGCTCTTGCTCCATCATGTATCTCGCCCGGGCGACTGACTCTTCCAACTCCTCGGGGGTAGGCATGTTGACAATCATGAGATACATGACATCCTCCCGAAGAATTCGAATTCTGCTTCCAGTCTCTTTCTTCTTTCGTGCAATCTTCTCCTTCAACGTCTCAGTCTCAACTGGGGGTAGACCCTGAGAGGCGCGCTTTCTATTTTCCCGTTCCCTCATTTTATTGGTAGCTTTCTCAAACATACTCGGACCAGGCTTGACCAAGCCACCAGTCAGGGCCGAGATGAGATTTCCATTATTCGCGGCGTGGTTGGGGTCGTTGTAGCGAGAGGTAAACCCACTTCGCTTTTCCTCGGGAACAGCCAGACCAGAACCCTTGTGCTCAGCTTCCTGTTTCTTGTTAGCAGGTATCCTTTGACCTTGTCAAGTTCAAAATAAGGTGATACTTACGAAGAACATTTGTCTTCTTCTATCCCAGTAATCGCTAGCCCAGGTTCTCGAATTTTGGAAGCTGGTCTTGGGTGCTTTGCCCTCCGCTTCGCGCTGTGCTGCCTTGTCGATACGGGGATAGATCAGAGGTGCGGACTCTGGAAGCGCCAGATCACCATGAGTCTCGCCACTCTGGAATCTGTACCCCTTCATGCGCTGCTTCCACGCAGGCATATCGGGATGGTTCTCCGTATGGGTATACTTGGAGATTGTTCGGGCTGCATCAAATTCCGAGGGACCAGTGCCAGCGGGGTTGGGGCTAGCAGGTTCTACTTGTGTTCCATCAGCTCTAACCTGTTCCATACTGAACACGTCACCAAGTGCGTCCGCTGGCTCCTTGGAGGCGTTCTTCTTTGGCTTGTCGGGCTGATCCTTGAATTTCATGATTAAGCAATATTGACCGCGAGGAATGAATAATTCTTCGTTGATCTTGTCGAGGAAATTGGTCGTGCGCTTGCGATTTTGAAATTGCGCGACTGTTTCAAAAACGGTTTGAACGGCGATGGCAGCCACCGACACTTGCCACATGTAGCCCCAGCCAGCGATGCTGGCTGTGACAACGATGACCCGGATCCACAAATCTGCCTAAAATTTGAGTTAGCCCTAATAACATAAAGACGGAAGTTGTGGTTACTAACCAGAGTCGCTTTGTTAAAGTCGTTGATGAACTTTATGAACACTTCTTGACTGATACCAGTTTGTTCCAAGATAGGAGCATAAGCATTGACGAATCCACGCTTCTTTGAGCCAGGTCTGCGCTGGGGGATAATCACAGGATATGGGAGTCGTGTCTTCGGTCCAGGTGGTCCAGCCATTGCCACGATGTTGCGAACCATACGCTCTATCTTCTTCTCTTTGGTATCTTCAGAATCACCCTCACGGATTGTATCAGGGTCGTTGTCGGTGTTGCTTCTAGAAAGGGATCCCGGTTGACCTTCCACTTCATTGTATGTCGGCAAAGCGTCGGCCATTTCGTCGAGCTGCCAGGCTTCCTCATCTCCACCGTCTTCACGATTAGTGTCGTGTCTGTAGACAGACTCGCCATACATGTCATCCGAGTCCTGGTCTACCTCATGGAGGTCCCTATTCTTCTCATCGCCATCGGATGTGTTCTGCGGCCTATCGCCAGGTGAGTAGGCGGGAAGTTCTTCTTCGGCGCTCAAGTCTCTCGATTCTTGGCGACTAACATTTTCCGTGGTAGGGAAAGTAGAGGCATCAGAAGGGAGACCGCGAGGGGTAGAGGCAGAGACAGAGGCAGAGCTAGATGCCACCTCCGAACCAGAGTCTTTGTCTTTGTTACGGTTTCGAGCTGCATGGATGGCTTCAGAAGTGAAGCCGATGCCCGCGCCGACCAGTCTTGAAATTCCGCCCATTTTGGGGCCGTAATCGTTTTGGAAGAAAATGATTGCAGGGAACTAGATCCTTTCTGTTTGGGTGTTTGCCATTTCTTATATAGACCTGGGGCTATAGGTCTATTTTCAGCCCGGCCCCCTCCCCTCATTACCCCTCCGTCCCACTCAGCTTACCAGATCAGGACACCAGGATGCTAATCTACGGTATCACGATGGTGATCTGCAAATCTCGCTGAAACGAGACAAGCCTTTTACAAGGATTAAGCGCTAAGGCCCACTTACGCTTTTTTGCTGTTGGCTATGATGGAGCCTTCTGATTGGATCACAGGAGTATCAGAATCCGCCCCCAACTCCCGAACCGAAATGGCTTCGTCTTCTACACATGATAGGTCGATAAACACTAGCCAAGTCTTTAGTTTGACCCAATTTATCCACTTAAATCCATGTATTGTCGGCCCCCAAAACGCCCCTTTATCCCTCATATTATGCATATTGCCAGGAGCTTACGACTCTCCGCCCCCAAATACGGTAATCACATGACATGCGTCACTGGAATGTCTGCCCCGCCGTAATTTATTTGGAATCGCGATCTTGTATTCCAATCAACAAGAACGAATCAAACCAGCTTCCCTGCTAGCTGAAACCCGATCTACACAACTCAACTGGGCAGTGTGTTTATCCACACCCCATATTTCTCAAAATGTCTACCCAACCGCCCCAAATAGAAACGCAACTCCAGCGACAAGCCGATTTCGAAAAATTCAAAAACTACACTGCCTACACCTTCCTCATCGCTTCACCACTCTTAATCGCCCTCCCACCTCGCAAACTAGACCACCTCACCGTCCTCCTAGTGGGTGCATTTGCCTTTTCCGCAAATCACGTCACCCGCGAACACACCGGGCGCAGCATCGTCGAGCGCATGGAAGCCCGCATCGCTCGTCCACGTATCTTGAACGAGTTACCCTCTGAGCGCGCGCAGGAGGTCCAGATGCGCTTGCGAGCGGCCCGAGAGGCTCAGTTGCGTGAGGGTGGTATGCCAGCTGATGAGTTGGAGAAGTGGAAGGCATTGCAGAAGCAGCAGGAGCAGGGTCTTGCGCAGCGGGTCTGGTTGGGTGGGGAGAAGGAGGGATGGTTAGAGAGACGTCGGCAGGAGGAGCAGAAGGCTCTTGAGGAAGGGAAGGGTTATGGAGATTTGATCTCTGAGTATGTTTGGGATGTGTGGAGCTGGGGGAAGAAGCAGGAGGAAGAGGAGGATGATGATTGAGGAAAATCTGCTCATAGGCGATGGGCAAAGACGTCTGAACTGTTGGCTGAGTTGAGACTTGTATATTATGGTGCTTGAATATTTAGACGGTGTTGATTGGGTTGAGACTTGTAATTTATAGTGCTTAATGAACGGCGTTGGTTAAAATAAGACTTAGGATTGATGGTGCTTAACAGACAGTATTGGAAGATTATACTTAACCGGGGCGATAGGTAAAGACTATCGCTAATATAAGACTTAAGTTTGATATTAACGCAAAAGTGAGCTTTTCTTTGGTTGAGAAGTTTAGAAGGCTTAGGGCCGAAGATGCAAATTATACATTTAGCATAGAAAGATTGAGATAGTACTATAGATTAAGTTGAAAACTCATGATTAATGGTAATTAATGAAGTGAGCTGATACAAGACTTAGAATGAATGATGCTCAAAAGTTGTTTTGAAGTTTTCAATTTTTAGAAGGCTCAAGGCCTGAGATGGATCTTGAGCTTTACGGCAGAAAGATTCATTTGACATAGTATTGGTCTGCTGCATCTGAATCAATCTGAATGTCATGCTTCTCTACTCCAGATGACCGGCGATGTCTGTCAAGACCCCTCTACTACTTGGGTACAACGCGGGCTCTTTGGATATGTCCGAATAGCATAACCCCGAATTTTTCTTTCCTTTAATTATCGATTCACTGCTTGTTGTTTTGGGGAGCCCTGAGAATATTTGATCGACATAGAAGATACATAGAGATATGGTACATAGGAAAATGGCTGGGTAGGAGACTGAGTAGGTATATAGTATAATAGATATAATGTAGTAAGAATTTGTTGTTCTGGGCGCCGCGCGAAATGCGCAGCGAAAAGCCTCTTCTATAGGATTTACATTCTTCTACGCTTGCATGAAATTTGAGCCCAGGAAAAGGAATTTTTGAAAACATTTTGATGAAAGATCATACATGTAAGTATGAAATACATACATTGATGCTGACTATGTATACAAACGTTGGATCACAGGTACGAATCCAAGTCAACCAGATAACATTCCTCGAGAGAAGGGGCCTCGGCCATTCTCACATCCCCATCTGCGTCAAAAACCCAATTGAGACGTTTCAATTCTTCAACACGTCTGCCAGAAGGCCGTAAAGGGCGGTTCACAATCTTCTGCACATTCCTGTTCACTCTCCCAGTCATCGGCTTGTTGGGCGGACAATTTCCCTGGACATAACGTTGCCCACGATTGTTCTGGCCGTTTTTCTGACCGTTTTGGTGATGCATATTGCGGTACTGACCGTTGTTCTGGCCGTTGCAGTACTGGTCATCGTTGCTCTGACCGTTGTGGTACTGAATCTTGCGGTACTGACTGTTATGGTACTGCACGTTGCGGTACTGCCCGTTGTTCTGACCATTGCACTGACCACTGCTCTGACTGTTGTGGTACTGCGCGTTGCGATACTGCCCGCTGGTCTGACCGCTCCGGTACTGGCCATTGTTTCGATTCTCGTCTTTGCCCTGGCGATTCAGGGGATTGTTTTCTTGAGTCCAAATATTTCCATAGTTCCTTATCGGTCTCGGGCCATTGGCCATAGGATGAACGAGACCTCCGTCGCCGTGACCATGCCCATTTCTGGATCCTTGGTAACGGGGGTGTCCGCTGGTGGAATGCTCGAATTGACTTCTGGGAGACATTACACCTTGATGACGAACGTTGTTGTGATTCCGTTGACTGTCCAGCCTGGGGTAATACAAGCAAGGGTGGCCTTTCATTAACAAGCAAGCGCTAAGTTTCGACTTCAGAGGTTCCCAAAATGTTCTTCTTTCTTTGATTTCCAATGACAAAAAACAATATTCGCAGTTTTAACCCTTTTCGGCTGTTTAAATCAAAGTTCGCGCGCAGAATGGATTTCTCAAGAATAGACCTGGCCCCCTACAAGCTCAATCACTTCAAGTAACTTATAGCCCGCGCCCGCTTGCTTGCTAGAACCCCAGGGGTATGTCGGTGGAATATGTGATTTTTTTTGATTTTGACGGTAACTTGGGAAGAGTGTTGGATGATGAGGGAATGGGCAAAGACTGTAATGAGACTTGGGATTGATAATGCTCAAAGTTGTTTTCGGTTTTTTTTTTGAGGTTAAAAGGGTCGGGGCCTGAGATGAAACTTTTTGGAAGCTTTAGTATAGAAAGAATTCTTTGATTTGGTTCTTTGGCTTGATTTGATGATCTCCTGGCGAAGGACGATGAAGAAAGAAAGGAAATGGGAAAAAATGCAGGCATGTATATTCACATGAGTCTGGGACTCCGAAACTCGAAATGAATCGGAGTGAGAGTACTAGACTCGAAATGGATATAAGAACAATGGTACTAAAGCTGATGCTCCGTCTCGAAGTATAATGTCTAGTCGATTGGACGGTCTGGAGGTTCCGTATACAAATTGATCGATGGAGTCTCGTTGGCCGAGGATCTATCAATTGATGAGGGCCAGTGCGAGAACCATACAAGGAGAGTACTTAGGTACGCGTTATTTCGAACAAACTATACAAGGAACATCGTAATAAAAATTGACTTACATCACCTTGATCTGAACTGTAAAATGATTGTTATTAATATGTCCTTGATCTGTCATATGTAGATCTTGCTAGCGGCTTGTAAAAGAGCAGCTGAATTATCGATAATATGTCACGACAAGGTACAAGTACATGTACACATGTACTTACCCGTATAGGACTAGTCAATTAAGTTCCTGGGAAGTTCAATGGCCAAACAGGGCTTAATGGCGTAGACCCGTGGACTCTTTAGTTATAAGGATTTAGGGCAAGTTTAATTATAGATTCACCACAAGGGTCTGATGATGTCGTACAGTGCTAATATGTGATACGCACATATTGTCACATAATATCTATCTATGGGGAACCTTTTCCTATCAAAATGTTGGCACAAATTCAGTCGTTCTAACCAAGGAATCGCCTGGTTTTTCCTTTCTATACTCTAAATTTCCTAAGAATTGACTTTTTTTTTTTTTCGCGCCGATCCAGTTCCCTGCTTCAGTCAAGATAAGCAGAATATTCAGTCGAGATTCCAATGGACTTTGTGGCTTGACCAATCAAACGCTTACAATATAACGGGCGACTCCACTGGTGCCGTCATTCCCTTTAGCTGGTAGTGACAGCTCCCTGCGGAGTAAAACCTGCTGCCCCTCCCCGATTCTTCTTTCCCTACTTTATCATCTTTCCTTTCTTCGCCTTTCCCCTTCTTTTCTGATCCATATCAAGCTCATCTTGCCCTGACCTGGTTTAACTCGGATTCCATTAAATATCGAGACTGATCTCTCTGGAATTGCCGGGCTCACCATGGTGCTGATTGACAAGCAAGAGTACCTCTCCGAGGAGGAGAAGCGTTTGAAGGAGGATCGCGAGCGAACTCGCTACTGGAAGCGATGGGGTCCTTATGTGGCAGAGCGACAATGGGCGACCGGTAAGTCCGATCGGGAATGTGGGGTGTGGGGTGTGCTAATCATCTTATCGTCGCGATTCAGTGCGTGAGGATTATTCGTAAGTCAATTAGGATCCTCTCTATGAGCCAAATAAGCTAACATTCCCAGTGATAACGGTGATGCTTGGAGCTGTAAGTTAGCATACGTCGCATGAGCAAACTGCGGCTAATTACTTCAGACTTTTCCCATGACCATGCCCGATCGCGCACCTTTCGGTGGGGTGAAGATGGAATTGCTGGTGTCTCCGATACCCATGGAATTCAGAACATTGCATTTTCCTTTTGGAATAAGAAAGAGTAAGTCGGTCGGAAAAACAACCCACTGACTAAATGCTAACATCCAACATAGTGAGTTCCTCAAGGAGCGTCTCTTCGGTCTGTCCAACCCACAAGGTAACCACGGTGAGAGTGTGAAGGAGGCGCATTTCCATGTGGATAATACTCCAACGGTAGGAGAATTCCGAGCTAACCACTGGTGTTTATTCTAACATGATTCTTCTATCAGCATTCGTATATGAAGTTTCTATACAAATACCCCCAGAACAAGTTTCCCTACGAGCAGCTGGTCGAGGAGAACGCAAAGCGATCGCGGTTGGAGCCAGAATACCAAATCCTTGACACCGATGCGTTCAAGGACAACCGGTACTGGGACATTTTCATTGAGACTGCCAAGGAAGCTGATAATGAGGAAGAGCTGATTTTCCGCGTTATCGCGTACAACCGTGGTCCAGACCCGGCTCCCTTGCACATCGTTCCTCAGGTCTGGTTCCGGAACACCTGGTCTTGGGGCTATGAGAAGCAAGGTGCCAAGCCGATAATCAAGGAGGATGGCCCGCGAGTCGCCAAGTCCAAACATGAGAAGCTCGGCGAGCGCTATGCCTGCTTCGCACCATCTCCCCCGATGGGCGATGGAGATGACGATATCCAGCCAGAGTTGCTCTTCACAGAAAACGAAACCAACAATGAAAAACTCTGGGGAACCAAGAATGATCAGCCCTACGTGAAGGATGCCTTTCACCGTTACATCGTCGACGAGGAGAAAGATGCCGTCAATCCAGCCAAGGAGGGCACGAAGCTCGCGGCCTGGTATGCATTTGACGACGGCGATGAGGTTCCCCCCGGCGAGTGTGCCGTCGTTCGGTTCCGTGTATCCCTGAAGAAGAACGACTTTGTGGATGAAGAGGAGCTGGACAACGTGATTGAGGCGCGTCGTCTTGAGGCGGATGACTTCTACCACAACATCAGTCCGCTCCCCATGAGTGACGATCTCCGGAACATTCAGCGCCAGGCTTTCTCAGGCATGATGTGGTGTAAACAATACTACAACTTCATTTATGATCAGTGGAGTAATGGTGACCCGGCTGAAATCCCCCCGCCACCAGGTCGAAAGGGCATTCGCAATGAACAGTGGCGCCACCTGTACATCGATGATATCCTGTCGATGCCAGACTCGTGGGAGTATCCGTTCTTCGCTGCATGGGATACCGCATTCCACTGTATCCCTCTCGCAATGATGGACCCCGATTTTGCCAAGAAGCAGCTTGATCTCATGACTCGTGAATGGTACATGCATCCCAATGGCCAACTCCCTGCCTACGAGTGGAACTTTGGTGATGTCAATCCACCGGTACACGCATGGGCTGTTTTCCGCACTTTCAAGATTGAACGCAAGATGTATGGACGTCAGGATCTGGATTTCCTCGAGCGCGTTTTCCAGAAGCTGCTTCTGAACTTCACCTGGTGGGTCAACCGCAAGGACTCCGATGGCAAGAATGTTTTCGAGGGCGGTTTCTTGGGTCTCGATAACATTGGACTGTTCAACCGATCTGAGCCGCTGCCAACAGGTGGTGTACTTGAGCAGGCCGATAGCACAGGTTGGATGGCTTTCTATTGCCTGTGCATGCTCAACATTGCCCTGGAGCTGGCCAAGCACCGGAGAATTTACGAAGATAGTGAGTATTTCCATTCAAGCATCTGGGGTCAAACTCTAACAAACAATAGTTGCATCCAAGTTTTTCGAACATTTTATCCTCATCAGTGATGCGATGACCTTCCGCAATGGCGAGGACAAAATTCAGTCCCTGTGGAACGAGGAAGATAGGTGAGCTTTGATATGCAGGTCTTTTAATGAGTATAAAAGCTAAGTAACGCAGCTTCTACTATGACGCCATCTCCTACGGCGGACCCTGGACCCAACAGTTGCCCATCCGTTCTTTGGTGGGCTTGATTCCTCTATACGGCGTTCTCACCCTTGAGCCGGAGTTGATCAACAAGTTCCCCTCATTCAAACGACGACTGGAATGGTTTGTCGAGAACAAGGCAGATGTGGCAGAGCGCAACATTGCCAGTATCAAGCGCCGAGGCAAGGATGACCGACTCCTCTTGGCACTTGTCAGCAAGGACCGCCTCGAGAAGATTCTGAAGCGAATGCTCGATGAGACCGAGTTCTTGGCCAAGCACGGCATTCGATCGATGTCCAAATACCACGAGGAAAACCCCTATTCGATGGACGTGAATGGTGAGACTTTCAAGGTTGGATACGTTCCTGGCGATTCAGACAGCGGCCTGTTCGGTGGCAACAGCAACTGGCGTGGACCGATCTGGCTGTGCGTCAACTTCCTCCTGGTCGAGTCTCTGCTCCGCTTCTACATGTTCTACGGCGACTCGTTCAAAGTAGAGTGCCCCACTGGTTCTGGTGAATACATGCACCTCGGACATGTAGCTGAGGAGCTCCAGCACCGGATGCAGCATCTCTTTGCTCGGAATGACGAGGGTCGCCGTGCTTGCAATGGCCAGAACGATATTCTTGATTTCGATGAGCACTGGAAGGACTACATGTGGTTCAACGAGTTCTTTGACGGTGATACCGGTCGCGGTCTGGGTACCTCCCACCAGTGTGGCTGGACAGGATTGATCGCAAAGATCATCCACGATACAGGGCAAGTCCAAATCCTTTCTACCTCTGGAATCCACTAACTAACTGTTCCTAGTATCAACTGCCGTCTCCCCCAGACTCCACGTGGTCCCTTCGCCGCCGCCTCCCACTACTTTGATGATATCTTCTCGCGCTCCGGACGTGGTCGTGGTATCGGCTCCAGAAGACCATCCGTCCGCCGCTCTTCTACAAACCGGTCTATTGGAAACCGCAGTGACTTCCATTCGACCATCGCCGGCGATGCCACCCCTGCCCCTTCATCTATTCTAGACGACGAAGAGCTCAATAGCCCCGCCAGCCGTTACGATAGCACAAACGGGGATGGTGAACGTGAGGAGCACATCAACAACTACGTGGAAAGCCAGCTGCAACGTGTGCGCAGCTCTGCGTCGATTGCGACTTACGAGGATGAGCTTGAGACGCAGGCCGAGAGGGAGAATGGAGATGCAGACCACTGATTTGGTCACACATCTGGCATTTAGATTATGGATTAAACTGTTTCTTTGTTATGTTGTTACGCTGGCACGGCCTACAATTAATAGATGTCATCTAAGATATCAGAGTTAAGCATTTCCTCATCAGAATAAACAATGTTTGCATTTACGCCTTATCTTCGAGGGAGCTTTATGAGTTACTTTTTCAATGTTTGAATCTGGGAATATCTACAACCACCATCGTCTTAGAGTGACTAGTAGACACGAGTCATGTTCAGGGTAGAATTTCTGTCCAGGCAAGGTTAATGGACGGTTACCCAGATGCTGGAGTCCTCTGGTAAATTACATTTGTAGCTAGCACTAGTGTTTACACGGAGGCATGAAGGTCAAGAGTAAGCGACAAGGGCTGTAAACCTCAGAATATTGGGTATCTGTTATGCTCTAAACAAGTTCTTTTGAGTAGGCAACATGGAATAGGTAAAATAAGAAGGCAATAAAAAATGCCTTGGAACGCCACGAAGATCCCAAACTACATAATATGCTAGTCGAATAAGAATGGGACTCGGTCTGTTTTTATGTTTGTGAATTATGTGGTAGTGATCATGTCACAGGGAGGAAAGCATCGGCAGGAAGAGCACCCTGAGCCTGATTATCATATGTTAGTTCGGTCCCTGAAACGGGTTGTTGACAGCGTGGCTTACCTTTAACTGTTCAAAGTTGTTCCATGCAGCGTCGAGATTCCATCCGTTGCTCGAAAGAGCCATCTCAGAGTACTGGATTGTCATGCCGGACTTTGCGCTGATTTGCGAAATCATTTGTTCCTGCTGAATCTGTGTGTCGGTTTTGCCGGGAGCAGGCAGACCGTAGCCAGCTGGGAAGCTGGGGTGCGGGGCGACAGGCATAACAGGAAGAGCGACAGGGGTGATAGGAGCCGCGACAGAGGGAGGGGCAATGGCTTGGGGGATAGCCTGAGGGATAGCGTTGGGGATAGCCTGGTTCTCTGGGCTCCAGGCTTCATGTCCACCGTAGGCACGAAGGGTGAGAATGTCGTTGATGACTGTGATCCCAAGGGCACCACTGCCAGGGCCGATAGTGAAGGATCGATCAAAGCTGCGTGTTTCCACTTTTCCTCCCACACTCTCCTCGAATTTTCCGTGGACCATGACCAAAAGACCTCCAACGCCAGTCTCGCTCTGGCCAGTGTGGTCGGGAAGTCCAGGGACCGGGTGGCATTCGATGAGCATCTCTTCGGGGTGAACGGCCATATCAGGGTGACGAGTTGCCGGCAGAGTGCTCCACAACTCAGCGATCTTTTCCTTGCCAGTGAAAGTGCGTGCCATTCGTGCAGGGAGGTGGCTGATCTTCTGAAGGTTACGGCTCCGTTTGATGTAAGGATCCCAGCTGGCAGTATCGGCCTGGGTGGCCTTGGGCGCCGAGGTGTTTATGTTCATAGAGAAAGTGGAACGATCGTCGTAAATGGTGTTCAGAAGAATGTTTCGATCGGTATCGTAGCCAGTAAAGAATGCGCGGACGAAGTTCTCTGCGATCTGGGAATCATCTTGGAAGTGGGGTGGCTGAACAGGAATAGGCGTCTTCTTCTGGGCCGCGATCTCTTCTGGCGTGCGAACCTGGACGTTGTTCAAGGTTTGCAGCTTGGGATACCATTTCATCATGGTGCTCTTGAAACTTTCCACGGTACTGTAAGGGTTGCCAGTCAAATCCAAGAATTCGAGATCACGGAATTTCCAACGCCAGCCGATCAGCGAGCTGGCATCCTTGAAGTTGTTGTTCGAGAGGTCGAGATTTTTGAGGCCAGGGATTGTCACAGCAAGAGTAGTCACAACTGTGATGTTGGCAAGTTTGTTGTCAGCCAAGCTCACGCTTTCCACTGCCTCGCGTCTCTGCTTTGCATCGGCAAATCCCATTTCCCAGACCTTCATCAGGGCCGGGAAAAACTTAGACTCTGTCGATGTGCTGTTGAAAATTCCCATGGCCTGGAGATCGGGGTCGGTACCCAGCTTGGAGAGATCAAGGAGTTTGGGGTCGGGGAAGTACCGTCTGGCCAAGATTTCGGTCATCTTGGTCTTTGTGTCGATCGTTTCCTGGGAGAGACCATTGGTGGTGCGCAATTCGCGATCCAGTGCCTCACTCGAAGCTGGATCGTATCGTTCCACAATGATCTTAACCCCAGCGAAGGTGTTGCCGTCCAGGTAGGACAATTTAGTTCCCACATCCGGCTTCACAGATACAATAAGTGAGTCTCCTTCAACCCGCGACTAATTTGAACGTTAGCAAGGCGCAAAGGACCTTGAAAATCGCAAAGCCACCGAAGACAAGAAACGCCAGGAATCCCGGGAGGTAGCGACCGTCGTCTTTCCAGGTAAATCATATTTGACCAAAGAGCCAACGTCGGACCGGGTGGTGTCGAAGTTTATATATATAGTGGTCGCAATCTCGAATGTCATGACATACCTTGGTGATTCTCGCGCGGGATGATCCGGATTTCGTGTGTGCATTCATTCGTCGTTCTAGGAATCCAAGGAGGCTGTCGACACCGCCGTCGCGAGTGGACGATGCTTTGCTGTCTTTCCAGCCACGGACGCTGTACTCTTCCAGATTGGTTGCGTTGGCGTTTTTGCCGGACCGAATGTTGAACTGCGAGTCCTTCGCACCGGAGATGGCCCGCTGAATCGCATCAATATTCTTGTCACGCGGCTGTGTCCGACCAGATCCAGAGGGTCGGGCTGTGGAAGATCGTGCAGGTTTTCCTCGGCCTCCCTTTCCCCCACGAGCGCTTGTGTCCATGTCCATGTCTCCATCTCGGTCGGTGCGCGTTGGGCCCCGCTTTCGAATGCCGCCACGGTCTGCGCCACCAGAGCGGCGAGACTGGGACTTCATGGTTTTCATGTTGCTCAGGAAGGTGATGTAGGAGTGAGCGGGTTTGTCGTAAAAGGTGGGAGGATTTGGGGAGGAAATGATCGGCCTAAAGGCCTGTTCGTTGATTGCGCGCGGCGCGCCTTGGTTAATGAAGAAGGTTCGGTCGCATACACAGAATTTCAAGTCGGTGTTCGAAAAAAATGCAGAATTGGAATAGTAAGAGAGATGAAGAGAAGTGAGGAAAACTTTCGAGAAAGAAGTAAAGACTTAAGGCAGCGAACCTACCCTAGCTGTAGAGTGAATGAACAAAAAAAAATGACGTGCAGGTCACCTGAGGCGGTGAATGAGTCATGACTCAGCAATGTACTTCATGTTAATTGGGCTTTAGTGTATTTGTCTGGTAATTCTCTATTTGATTATCTCATGATCATCAAATTTGACACAAGGTACTCCCCTCATTAATTGTCAGCTAATCTATAATCTGATCATGAGCATACCCATATCTTCAGTCAGGTCCTCAGCGTCAGTATGTCTACCAAAGTGGGCAGGTACCTACGGCGTACTACCAACCAAGTGTGCTGAAGGTCTGTATAACAAAAAAATAGATGAAACACAATAGCATGCCTATGTAATTAACTCGATGCTATTTTTAGAATTCCAAAATCATTTGAAATTGAGTTAAATAAAAGGGAGTACAGTCAAACAACTCCGTGCGCACGCTCTGCAACTCTCAACATGAGGGTGTATAGATAAGGTATTCAACCTTTGAAAGCTGATATTTCGTCCAGATAAAAGACATTCAAAGTCACCGGAAATTATAGAACAACAACAAAGCAGCCAATGAACCTTTCTATGCTCGAAGGCGCTCGCCCTCTGTTTCGTCCTCTTTGAGAGCCAGGTTTTGTAAACATGGCGCATAAAACAAATTTCCACGCCACGATCCAAGAGCTGTTCGAGACGCCACCAACACCCATAATAGCAGAACGGCAACACTTAGAATCTAAGGGATATTACGTTAGAAATGTTGGGATATTTTCAACCCACAAAGCATCTTGTGAGTTCAAACGTACCGTTCCAAATATCTTGAAAAACATGAGATCAAGTTCTTTCCCCAACTCCATTGTATTGGCCGCATACACACCCAGTGGGAATGTAAAGCCCCACCAGCCCATGTTGAAAGGAAACGGAGAGCTGTATAGAACAGTGGCAAAGGCAAAGACAAGCCAGATCAATCCAAAGCTCCACATAAGCAGAGAGATAAAGACACCAAGGACATAAGCCATCGAGCCTGCAATCGGATCGAGAATGTCCGACCCTTGAAAGAGTTCTCGAGCGACTTTTCCAATGTAGATGATACTGAAAAAAGTAAGCGATTGTTTACTTTTTTATCATGTAGACATGAATCTTACCCGAATCCACCAAAACCGAGTGGTCCTAATGGCAGGAAGCAGCTCACAATGGCCTCACGTGGAGGCAGCTTATGCACGGCAAGTCGCTGGTAGTAAATGACAAGCACTGCCATGGCTAAAGGAGTACCCATCCCCCATAAGACAAAGGAGGCAAGAAGGGTTCCCATCGCATGAGTCTTGTTAGGTAGAATGCTGGCGACCTCGGCGCCTACACCAGCTGCGACAATTGTAGCAGCTATAGGTAGCAGTTGAAGCGCCGTGATTCGGTCTAAAGAGGTTATGTGTCGTTGTGATATCCTAGCCAAGGTTGATTAATTCCACCATCCAATGAATTCTTCGGACAGTCACTTACAAGATGAAGGAGAGAGAAAGTGTCACAGAAGCTGCTGCGACGACATCCACCATCCATAAGGCCCATGCAAAGGACGAGGCCCACTCTCCCCAGCGGGGAACACAGATGAACACCCACATCTCAATTAGTGTAGCAAAACCCATGGGAACAGTTGCTAGGAATAGCGAGTTCGCTGGGTCTTGAATCATCACTCGCCAGATCTCGGGATATATGGTGTATCGCACGATAGAGGTGATGAACGCCATTGCGAAGATGGCAACGTTCAACACAAAAAACACAATGGAGAAGTAGTAGAGGACCGGCGATGAGAACGGAATCGAATGAAAGAGCACCGAGACAATTCCGGTCCCCATAGTGACTGCAAACCATCTAAAGTCATCGTTAGCGGAAAGCTAGAGATATGATTCATGCAAGCGCGTACGATGGGCTGAAATTGCGGACAACTCGTCGCCAGCCAACGTTATATTTGGCGGGACCCTTGACCCCTGTTTTCTGGGCTGGTTTGGCCATGTCCAAACTAAGCAGATTCACAGCAATCAACAGACAGGTTTAACTTGTCAGAGATCCCGAGGTTTGGAAAGGGAACGAGCCCCGCGGGCAACCCAGTGGATCCCGCGGGAGCCAAGGACAATTTAAGAATATCATTATATCGCAAAATTTCCCAAATAAGTTGATTTCGACATCAAAGGATAATGGATATTTCGATAAAAGAACCACAAATTTCTATACAATATAAACAAATAACAACGCCAAAAATTCTCCCGCTTTCCATTTCAAATTAAATATTCACCACGCACCGACAATACCCGCAATTGGAATGTCGATGCCGCTCGTGTATGAGCTAGCATCGCTAAGCAGGTATACGTAGGCACCGCCCAGCTCACGTGGGTCAGCTAGACGGGGCATACCGCCATAGTATTGCATCTTCAGGTCCCAGTCGGGTGCGGTCTCAACGTAGTATGTCATGGCGGTGCGAACGAAACCGGGGGAGATACTGTTGACGCGGATCCCATGCTTGCTCCATTCCATAGCGAGGGTATGACACATGTTTCGAACTAAGAGGGGAAGTTGGTCAGATCTATGCGAACCTGCGCTTTGGATTGGTGAGCTTACCGGCAGCCTTGGTTGCTCCGTAGGGGGCGGAGGGGGCGGCCTAAGTATAACGGGTTAGTAACAGCTCACAAAGAATGTTCGAAGTAAATTACTCGGTTAGGACGGTAGGATGTCATGCTAGAGGTCATCACAATAGAGCCCTTGATTCCGAGCTCGATGAACTTGCGAGCAGCAATCTGGGCGCAGAAGTAGGCGCCGTAAACCTAGCAATTGTCAGCACAGCTTCTCGGATTTATGGTTCGGAAGACTTACGTTAAGATTGAACAGCTTTTCCAGCTCGGAGCGATCGAACTTCAGAGCAGGTTGGTGCTTGGTCATGCCAGCATTGGCCACAAGACCATCGATGCGACCAGTCTCCTTAACAACCTGATTGATGGCCTTTTCCACGCTCTCTTCCGAGGTAACATCGGTCTGAATGAATTTGAAGTTGAGATAGCGCTTCTGCAGAGCTGCAAAGTCCTCGCCGGGCTCCATCAGATCCAGAGAGTAAACCATCTTGGCCGAGTTGGCCAGACACACCTCCGCAATACCAAGGCCAATGCCACGGTTGGCACCGGTGATGGCGACAACCTTCTGGCCCAGAGTAATCTGCCAGCTGAAGTCATTGTCCGGCATGGTGCTAAGATACGGAGCAGGAGTCTCGACCTTGGCGGCTTCGGTCGCAGCATTCTCGGTAGCAACGGGAGGCATGGTGATGATGTGGACTGGAGAAAAGACTTAAATGGAGGCCGAAAACTTCCAGAAGAAGATGCGATGCGAACAATCTTGGACCATTATCAGTGGCATACCCCAGCTTAAATAGAGCTTCTGGATCATGACGCTCCCCGCATTGACAAACAAGAAACCCCTCCACCCCTCCATGTCGAACCAGGCTGGAGTTTACCCCGAGCTCGGAAATTGCTTCGAATCGAGGCTCGGGTCGAGGCGTGTGATGGTTTAGGCTGACCAAACATCTCTGACGTCACAACCCAGGTGTTTGACTAGAACTGTACCTGAGATTCGGTTTTAATGTCGTTAGACAAGTCGGAGTCAGATCGAATGTGTCAGCTAAGTTGTCTGATCCTTTCATCGTTGTTCTCGGTTGGTAGCAATCTCAAAGACATCCTGCACCGACAAGGACAATAGCCGACGGGGTGTACAAACACTGCATGTTGTTTGCTGCATACAACCTATGCGGGAAAACTGGGAGCCTCATGTTTCGTATTGGTCAATTCAAGTCCCACACGGATGCCTCGAGACGAGACGAATGAAACACCAATCGCGATAGAGTTGTGGGGACGTGCGCATGGCGTCGCGAATTGCGGAGGTGGATCCTATCTACCCCGACCTTGTACCAGATCAAGGATACCATGGAAGAAGATATTTTCAGGTATATTGCCGTCATTGATGACTGCGAAATACGGAAGATCGTCAGCCTTGGCTGTTCAAGGAGATATAAATATCCTTTGCAGATGTTTGACATGTTGCAGAACAGGTGCTTCGTTAATCGCCGTTCCTTTCTGCTCAATTCAATATGGATTCGTTTGATTTTGAAACCACGTCTCAGAAGGAGATCTCTTCCAAAGAGATTGAACATGCTGTCGCGGATGAGCCCTTCTCTCCTGAGGAGGAGAAGGCTCTGGTCAGGAAGATTGACTTGATGCTGTTGCCGGTAATTTGGGTCATGTACCTGCTGTCATACATGGACCGTACGAAGTAAGTTGCCCAAGTGGTCATTCATGTCAAGTGACTGTGCATGTGCTTATGTTGTTCCTAGCATTGCCAATGCAAAGGTCTCTGGGATGGAGCAGGACCTCAACCTGACCTCGAACCAATACTCTGTTGCCCTGGTGGTCTACTTTGTAGGATATGTGGTATTTGAAGTACCTAGCAAGTGGGTTGACTGGTTAGCATGGTATACTACAATTCACTGACCATGAATTCTCAACAGTCTTGTCCTGGGTCGAACCCGTCCTTCGATTTTCCTCCCTTCCATCATGATTATCTGGGGAGTTTTGACCTGTCTCATGTCCGTCATCAAGAGTTACACCCATCTTGTTGTTCTTCGAATTCTCGTCGGAAGCGTCGAGGCTGGATTCGCCCCCGGTGTCCTCCTTGTTCTATCATCATGGTACAAACGTACTGAGCAGTCTAGGCGCTTTGGTGTATATATCTCTGCTGCCGTCCTGTCTGGAGCCTTCGGTAGTCTCATTGCTGCTGGTATTGTGGATGGACTCGAAGGTGCCCATGGAATACGTGGCTGGCGGTGGTTATTCATTGTTGAAGGTGCTGCCACCATTGGATGCGCTCTGATTTCCCTTTTCATCCTTCCCGACTTCCCTGCTACCTCGAAAGGTCTATCTGAGCACGAAAGGCATATTGCTGTGGCTCGCTTGGCAACCGAAAATGTGACTGCTGTGACTGAAGATAGTGCCCCGTTAAGCAACTGGGGTGCTGTCAAGGTGGCTGTGAGAGATTGGCGAACTTGGGGATTGGTTGTTGGATATATGGTAAGCACCCCTGCTGCTTTCCCAGATATTTCAGCAAAACTAACAAGTCTTTACTACTAGGTTATCGTCGGATCTAGCACCCTCACATACTTCTACCCAACACTGGTCAAAGGTCTATTTGGTGATGCCTCCACCTATAAAATAAATCTCCTCACCGTTCCAATCTATGGCGCCGCCTTCGTTGCCACTGGAATCACATCATACTGCAGTGACAAAATAGCGAACTCGAGAGGACTGATCATCGCCGGCTGGCTGGCCTTCTCACTTGTATGCTCGATTATTGTGTGTACAGTCTACAACTATACAGCCCGATACGTCTTGTTGGTCTTGATGGCATGTGGTCTCTGGGCTACCAATGGAGGTACATTGGCATATGCCTCCTCTGCCTTTGCTGGCATGCACCCCCAAGCTCGAGGTGTTAGCTTGGCCTTGGTCAATGCGATGGGGAACTTGGCGCAGATATATGGCTCTTATCTGTTCCCTGACTCAGACAGCCCGAAGTACATCATGGGTTTCTCTGTCATCTCCGCTATGCTTGCATTGGGAGTCGTCGTATTTCTCGGACTGCACATTTGGTTCCGCCGCCGCGCAAAATCATTTATTCAGGAATGATTTGCATGCCTTTATTTCTTAGTTTTTTGGTACTACTGTGTAAAACGTATGTATTCCACAATCAATGAAGATCCATGGATTTCATAATATGACAGATCCAGCTGAATTATATATACATTGCGTAGTTATACACATGAGAATGGACACTGCCAGGTCCAAGGCAAAGTAAAGTCCGAGGTTGTCTGGGCTCAGATCCCGTCGCACGCTAGATGTCTGGCTATCCATTGCCCTGAGAACGCGCAATTTGATGCCAGCTTTCGAGTTAAAGCACCGGTATATCCTTGGTGCCCCTACTTAGAAGCACAGTGCAAAGGACAAAAGGCTTTTTGAACAGAACAAGGTTACCCCCAGGGCGGGAAGGTAGTAGGGCACCGTCTCACCACCTCTATATTGTGTAGTGGAGTAGTGATTTTATTGGTGGCAGAATGAGGTTCGGCGAAATATCCTATGAGGACTTGCCAAATAGTCGGCGTGTTCCTGCGCTGAGCAGATTGAAATAGACCCGTTAAGACTTCCGAGATTCCAACGCCGATCGCATAACCCAGAGCACAAGTTTTAGGGACGGAATGTCCCAAGTGTCAATAGATATCATCTCATTGAATAATGAGTTGCGTCCTTCTCATATTCAAGCTCAAGTTCCTTTCTTAGTGATGCCAAAGGCCAGCGAACCGTGCGCTGACAAGACTCTAGCAGGTCCAAGAGAGCCAAGCGTTCATGGGGAGTGTAAACACACATTCCAGCTGCTATGAATTAGAGAAAAGTCTGCGATAGCTTGCCGGAGTGAAATACTTACCTCCAAAAAGAGCATGCAGAGAGACTATGTTCGCTGGATGATCTTGGCTATCCACCGATCGCGCAATTCCGCAAATGGTGTTAACAGACATTGTCAAAAGCTTCTGTGCGGCCCTGAAATCATCAAGGCCCCCCGAAGATGGCCTGTGTAAGACCACTAGGATTCGGGCAAGGCTATGGATTTGCAATGCTCCTGCGTAGGGTGCCGGATAGACCCATATTGGAGGGAATATTTCAGTGGTAGATATGATGGGGAGGGGACTATATTCCGGTGGGAGATGATCATGCCATTCCTGTAGCATGAAAAGCAGCTCGCTCCCGCGGTCCAAACGACGCTCTATATCTGAAGCTTTCTCCTCTTCCTTCGACGCGTAGTTGACACATTGCGCGAGCAGATATGTAGCTCGCATTGCGAGTTCAGAGGCAGTAAGTATTGACACAGGCTTCTTGGGGCTCCAGAAGCTGAAGACTCGACGACGCTCGCGCATAGCGACCCACACATCCTGTCGAAGCCAAGCCCACCAGACGGCCGATCGGATTCCTCCTGACTCGCCGTCGTTATTCTGGAACCGCTGGATCCAGAACACGCCTTTCAAGTGTCTTTCCCAGTCCTGATTCGATCCATCGATCATTTCGTAGGTGCTGATAAGCAGGGCAGTTGCTATCAGTTCATGGCTGCGAGCGTAGGAAGAATTTTGCATATCTTGGTTCAAGTAATGGAGGGACTCGTAGTAGAACTGGACAGCCAGATTGCGGTCGATGATAGCCCCCTGAAGTGGAGAAACATGCTTGTTTCCGACAAACACAGGACTTGAGTGATCTGACTCAAGTTCTAGAAGGGAGTGATGGCGTGCGGAAAGGGCCAACAAGGCTCTCATCAGCCCAACATTCCGAAGGGCTAGGTGTGGAACGGTAGAAGCAAAATGTTGCTCCGGGTCATAGAAGTCCAACCACTTGCTTGAAACACGCACAAAGTGCTGGAACAAATAATGTTCCAGGGGTGATAGTTCAATTGCGAATGTTTGACTCCATCCAGATGGTGCACTTGATACCATCGGTTCAACCTCCGAGGGTTGTGAAACCAGTCGCTGCGTAATTTCCGGATGCTGTGGAAATGCAGCTGCATTGAAGCTTTGACTTTCCCGAAGTGTTCGAGGCTGTAAATTATAACTATTACGTGGGTCTTCACCAGTATCAAGTTGGGGTTGCGACATGTTCCGAGGGAATTTCTCGCGGGGAGACAGGAGAAACCTCTCGTCGGCATTTGCAGCGTCCGTCGCTAGGAGTTCAAACCAGCTCAATGGCGCGGCTCGTGATGAATAAGAACTTTCTGTCCCTGGAGAAGGAACATAACCATACGGCGACCTTGCTGATGAAACAATCGCACTTGCCGACCCAGGGTTTTCAGGGAGGATCGTGCTGGCCGCGGGCTGTGATTCTATGAGTGGGCTATCCTGGATGGGTTGTTCTTGATCACATGCATCGACTAATATTCGAAGCGGTTCGTGAACAGAACTTCGGCGCTTCACTTGCTCTAAAAACGCCATGTGTGTGGGAGTTTCAGGCGCCTGCGCCTCTGCTGTTGATGTACGAATGTACGGTGAATCCCGGGGTGCATACACACATGGGCGCTGGCCTTTAGCACAGGGACCACATTGTGGCTGAACCTGATAACCCAACAAGATTAACTTCATAGTCCCACACGTGGCGCGTGGGTAGATAATACATACCTCATCGCACTTGACATGCCGCCTCTTGCAGATTAGACTAGTGATGCGTTAAAGGACATGATAATTTCCGAAGACTGGGGAAGAAACTGACCAACCAGTGGTCGCACGGAGCCCGCGACCTCGCGACTTACGCTTTTGCCGGATAGCGCCCTGCGGCTTCGCCATGGCGCAGTGAAGAGACGCATAAGAGTGAAAAATGATCGCGTCGAGGTCAGCGGGGGAATCCCGGTGCTACTGAAATGTGGGGAAGGACGAAACCTCCGGTGAGTGGCAGAGTTGGAATTGGAAAAGTGGAGTTCCGCGGCAAATTGTCTCGGGATTCACGACGATCGCGATTGCCTTGCAGCTCATACCTATAGTTGTGGCCTGAACCTACTGAAATCAAGAGGGAACAAATCGATAAATGCGGTATGTGTATCGAAGGACATTACATAAGGTTTTCTATTGTACCTGTAATTTTGTTGCGGATATGGCATCTTCTCTACTAGCCTCGTCCTAGTAGTAATGACAAGACTGTAGACAGGAGTTAGTTCACTCTGTGGGGTATCATCAAAGGCAATTAAGGAAACCAATGTCTAAAATAGGTGATATGGTATCCACTGGGCTTGAAGCATACCATACCCCAGATTATCGGATACAAGTCCCGAGCCTCGAGACGAGGTAATTGAGTTATATCAATCCACAATTATTCATCTTGATTCATGACGCGTGGTAAACCTAAACGTATAGTCGCTTGAAGCCAATTTGACAAATACACTGCATTACTTTAATCCGGGGAGCAAGCGACCGTTTCCAAGATTACGAGGTTTTTGGCATAAACCACCGGGCTGTTAAGTCAGATTCTTCTTCCAATGTGCTTCACCTACAAAAGATCTTGACCGAAAATTTCAATTACAAATGTTCCATCCTCAAAATTCAGTAATATCGTCATGAATAAGTTGCATTGCACTGGATATCGACAAAATTGAACATCATTCGTGATTACATTCTTCTCATCGAGTCGGAGATAAATCAAAGTCCCATCCAACATTATAGGTACCAATATCATATCTATACCTTGCATTCCTGATGGGTCACAATTCTCCACTCCCCATCAGAAGCCTGGCTCCATGTGGTATGCGACGTTGCCCGGTACTTTTTGTTATCCCTCTCCGCGTAGACCTTACAGGTCACTGTCGCTGCCATCAGGTCGATGATGAAAATACGGACCTCATCGAGGCGATAACTGTCGAATCGGTGGAATGGAGCCCTCAAAGCCTTTCTGAATTTGTCATGATCCTCCAGAGTAAGAACTTCTTTTTTCGGGAACAGGAAGTTGGCTTCTGGGTTGCTTAGTTTGATTAACTCAGAGGCTGGATCGGCACATGTGAGGGCTGTCCATAGGGCAAGTTCTTTATCGGACACTTCACTCCGGATCCGGTCGAGGATGTCGGGCATGGTGGGTAGAGGTGGAGGTGGAGGTTGATATCTAAGTTGCGTAGTGATCGTTAATAAGACATCTATAACTGTTATGCTGAGCCTTTCGAAAACATACCAGAGCAGCGTAGCGAGCAGTATCTAGAAGAGCCTTGGAAGATGCAGAGCGCCCTGGAGGTCCTGGAGGTTTTGTTCAATGGTACACTTGGTTGGACCGGTATATTAAATGACGTCAGTGGGATGACATAACGGGCTTTAATTTATTCTCCGACGATCAGCCACTGATTCGGTCATCCTGTTACTATTATGGTCCTTTCAAGGCGAGTCAGATCGTGTCACGGTGGCTTGTGCCCACGCGTCATTCTGCGTTGGCGTCATCAGCCTGGTGATGGCCCTGCTGACAACTAATGAAGCCTTTTTCGTTTCATGGTATCTTCACAACACACATTTGAGGTTAATTAAACCAGAAACAATCTTAGTAACCCCAAGAGTAAAAATCGAATATGAGTGCAAGAAGACACCTTGAGGTTTCATGGCTGTCATACGAGCGAGCAGTCGGAACCCGTGGAACTGTCGCTAATAATCTTGCAACTGACCACCACATGGTCAATCGACAGTCATGTTTGAAGATTTATTTCAAATCGCGATATGAATCTACTAGTCCTTAAGTAAGCCAGGCTGCATGTCCCCATTAGCGAGGGCAGATTTGGCGGGAAATTGATTCTCTGCAGTGGGGCCCATCAACTCAACATGGAACTTGAGGCCGATTCCTGTTGAGTATCCCCACATATGATGGATCGATCATACCAATCTGAAAATAACCATTTTTGCTGGCAGCCTTAGCCACCAAAGGAGCTGAGACAAGGGCAACACGGATGTTCACATAAAAGGCAGGTTGACATAAGTGTGTTTTGATGAACCCCAGACTAATGTCTGTCTTTAATGACTCACATGTGCATGTGCAAACCATTAATAACCGAAATCATTCCGAATATTTTCCGGAATCCAGTCGGTCTGAGGCTTTGCCTTTTGTGCTTGATGTGAGCTCAGGGGTATTTTGTTAATCCATTTAACCCCAGATTTCCTCGGTATTAGCTACTCCGTAGGTTATCTTAATCCACTCAGCATGGCGCGGTTATTTATTCTGGACCTTCCTTTGAACCGATTCTGCACGGGCCGTAATCTGGCTAATATGATGTTGATCATTGGTTGCAGGGTCAGGGCCTGGTGGATCCTCCCGTGGAATGATGCAAGGGAACTCAACGAATGCGGGTTTGCCACAGTAATGGTAGAAAAAGTACAGAATGAAAACCACTGCTGTTCCTGGATACCGGGAAACAAGCATAGACCAACCTCGGTTACGTACGGACCGATATCGTGGGAATTGAGTTCAAGGTTGAAGATCATAGAAGAAATCCTTCTCCGAGGGAATCTATGCTTGTTGGGCCCAATGGGGCTGGACTCAACCCTTTTCCTATTTCGCCCGTCTTTTGAGAATTTTCTTCATGATGCCATTGAGTGGTCTGCAATAGTTAAGGTTGACGGAAAGATCCAATAACAAATCAATCCTCGGGTCCTACCTTCCCCACATCCGTCGAGCCGGTGAATCTTCCCCTCCTCATCACAGAATAATCAACTTCCTTTCCTCTACAATTTGATTTCCCCTAAAACACATACCACTTGCAATGTCTCGAGTCCTACCACGGACCGTTCTACGGTCTTACGGCACCGTCCAAGGTTCTCCTAGCGCTACCTCGCTCGCCAGCCGCATCCCCAATGTGCTCATCGAGGCAACTGCTGCTACAGCCCCCCGCACCAACTGGACCCGAGAAGAAATCAACCAGATCTATAACACACCCTTGAACCAACTCACATATGCATCGGTCAGTAGAGTCGGTCACCGGTACTAATTGATGCCCAAATTCACTTCCCCGGGACAATCAGTATAGCCTCGGATAGGCAAAAAACACCCAAATAAATGCTGATGTCGTATAGCAAGCGCTTCACCGCAAATTCCATGACCCATCGGCCATTCAGATGTGCACATTGATGAACATTAAGACCGGTGGGTGCAGCGAGGATTGCTCATACTGCGCCCAGTCCTCTCGACACAACACTGGCCTGAAGGCAACCAAGATGAGCCCCGTCGACGAAGTTCTCGAGAAGGCACGCATCGCCAAGGCCAATGGCAGCACCCGATTCTGTATGGGTGCCGCCTGGCGTGACATGCGCGGTCGCAAAACCAGCCTCAAGAACGTCAAGCAGATGGTCTCGGGTATCCGCGACATGAACATGGAAGTCTGCGTCACACTGGGCATGATTGACCAGGACCAGGCTAAGGAGCTAAAGGAGGCGGGTCTGACTGCATACAACCACAACCTCGACACCTCGCGCGAGTTCTACCCCACGATTATCACGACCCGCTCCTACGACGAGCGCCTGCGTACTCTGGATCATGTTCGCGATGCCGGTATCAATGTTTGCTCAGGTGGTATCCTTGGTCTGGGCGAGACGGATGCGGACCGTGTTGGCCTCCTGCACACCGTTTCCAGCTTGCCTTCTCACCCTGAGTCTTTCCCTGTCAATGCTCTTGTCCCTATTAAGGGAACCCCGCTCGGAGACCGGAAAATGATTCCATTTGATCGTTTGCTCCGGACTATCGCTACCGCTCGTATCGTTATGCCTGCCACTATTGTTCGTCTCGCTGCCGGTCGCATTGCTCTGTCGGAGGAACAGCAGGTTGCTTGCTTCCAGGCTGGTGCCAATGCTGTGTTCACTGGTGAGAAGATGCTGACTACCGACTGCAATGGATGGGATGAGGACCGTGAGATGTTCGACCGCTGGGGTTACTACCCCATGAAGAGCTTCGAGAAGCCGCAGGTCCCCGGTGCCGAGAAGACCACCGTGACCCCACCCCCTGCCTCGGAGACGGCTGCGCCGGTCGCAGCTAGCGCTTAGATCCACTATCGTTATCTGGTTTTGTTCATGTCCACACTTAGATACTCAGCTTTATGTATCGCTTTTCGAAAAGGATTAGCAAAATGAGGAATGTGGTCACTGGCAAATGATTGACCGTCTGCAGTTCCCGAATCCGTTCCTGTAGAAGATTTTATTCTCCTAGATGGCATACATGGTACAAAGAAAGAAATAGTCTATTAATGGCCGAGCCATCCATCTAGCCCGAAGGCTCAAATTTAGGGGTATCAATGAATCCCAGGGATTCCAACTGGAGTCGACTGCCTATACTGGACATACTCAGCACCAAAGAAATGAATCAAGAAAGTCTCCTCGCCTATTAAATCAAAATGTCAGCAAACATCCACTCGCACCAAGGAAGAAAGTTTGAAACAAAGAGTTTCACTCACGCTTAATCCTAGTAGAAAAGAACTTCCACAGCACCAACGAATACGCAACAAAGCAAACCATATTCCCAAGCACCAACTGCGTCCCCAAACCCCACCAAAAGAATCCAAAGTAACTCGGATGCCGCAAAAACCGATACAGCCCATGTGTAACAAGCACATGGTCCCGCTTATGCTCCGACTGCACATGGTGATTAAAATTGCTAGCCGCCTGCGACATAGCAAAAGACCTCACAGCCTGCCCAACACCCGTAAGCAACAATCCAACCACCAAAAGTACCGATACAGATGACCCGTATACAGGCCCAACGGAGAACATTCTCCCCAGCGCAGACTGTTCAGGCCAGAAGACGTGCGCCACAATACATTCTACGACAGCGGACCCGTGCGCAACATTGTAAGCCCAGCCGTTACTCGAAAGGAGGAATGCTTTCACATCCGCCGCGCGCGGGTTGTACGTTGCCGTGATGTAGAACTCCAGGAAATGGAACAGACTGAGCGAGGCGATGAAGAACGGAACGCGCCAGAGGGGTGTAGGGAAGACGGTGCATAGGAGGATAGTGAGTGTGCCAGTAAGGCCGAGGGATGAGCCGAGGAGAAAAGCGCGTAGGGAGATTCCGGAAAGTGATTTCGTGCCCTTTGGGTAGTTTGAGGGGTGGGTGTCTGCGTCTGCGTCTGTGGTGTCGGACTCGGCGGAGGTGGTGCTATCGCGTCGGCCCGGGATCAGGGAAGATGGGTGCCATTCTTCGGCTGGGGTAGGGCGTGGGATGCGCTCGATTGGCCAGGAGATGTTGGGGTCGCCCAGCGTAGGTTCTGAGCCTGTGGTTATGGAGTCGATGATCGAAGCCATTGCGTAGGGGTTGGTGTTTCGGTTAGGGGATGGAGGGGGTGGAGGGGGAGGTTGCTGGATGTTCGTGTTCGAAGCAGTGAGCAGCTCTCGAGGGCCTTTTAAAGCTGGGCGTAGGCTGGGTTCATGGTGAGTATGTTGGAGAACAATGGGAATTTGGAGAGATTGTTGTTCTTTTTCTTCGAAGGTTTCCTCTTCCCCACATGGCGGCCTTAGCGTTGTCTAGATCGACAGGGACTGTCAGTACTGGGTAGAATAATGGAGAAACATTCATTATACGATTATTAGAAATTCTACTATGCTGATGATATTTACAGAGAGAGTCCCTATATTGTTTAATACTTTGTAAATTCGAGTGATGTGTAAAAGGATCGGATAGGTAGGCTGAAGCCGACTCTAACGTCCTGGTTGAGGTGGTAGGTCTACTCACTTCATCACGTTCTCGCAAACCTCGGAAACTTAGCTTCCTCTAATCATACCCGTAAGGAATATCGTCGGGTTTACTGTAGGCCTAAATTATCAGTTTCTCGCTACTTGAGTGAATGGTTGACTTAAATCTTCATTCAAATGGTATTTTGTTTTATAAGACCAGACCTGCTGTCCTAATGTGTAATGTATTTCCATGATGGGGTATTTAACTTTCATGTCAGGTATGTGCATTTTGTTGTGACTAGGACACTTTCCGGAATCAAGCTGTACCATGAACAGCCTGCTGAGGCTTTGTGCGGCCCAGTCCCTCCTTGGCGTAAAAGTCCATAGGATACACTCCATTATTTTCCTTGTCCCAATTTTCGCGTACACCGAGAGCGATGAGTGCCTCATATGGTGTAAGCAAGGGTCGGGAAAATGCATAGCCCCAGTCGATACTGAGTCGAGGACAGGCAATTTGCACCCAGCATTCAACATCTGACATAGAGGCCAATTTACCCGGGAAAATCTCACTCAACAGAAGGTTGACAACAGGAATACCACGGTCGGCCAAATGACGCTCAATCATTGCCATAGTGTTAGGATTTCCTTGACGGCCCAGGGAGCCCAGGATGATTCCCCATTTCTTCGCAGATTTGGCAGTAGCAATCGCATCACGTCTAATTGTATGCATCTCCTCATGATCATAATTCTCCCGTGTTAAAGTGCGCGAGTATGGATCATATCGGTATGCGGGGATGGTAGGATTGTGGATCATCGCAGATTCAAGATGGAAGCGGCCATCTCCAAGATAGAGAATGACATCAATTTCGGACTCGGATAGCTGTGGGGATGTGCAGCCAAGGATCTCGCCTTTGGAGAGAGGCATGATTTGCGGAACGATGACACGGAAGCCCGCACGCTCAAGCACGGGCTTGAGACCATGGAGGGTAGCGTTGAATTGGATGGTACCAACTGTTGCGATGGTTTGGCCGGGCTTGAAGTTTCGCTCAAGAGTGGCAATGAGGTGTGTGGTATCGATACTGATATCAACGAAGATGTATAATGTCTTGATTTGAGTCACGTCCACGGGAATCAAGCAACTGTGCGCGTAGTGGACGAGCAAGTCGCAGCCCAGAGCGCGGGCCGTGTAATCATCAATGCAGCAGGCGCCGTAGGTGACATCACCCATGATTAAAGTCTCGATGCCAGGACAGAATTGTTGGAGAATATCGGAGATTGTTGTGGCGAAGATCAGCAGGCCTTCTGGGAACTGTAGAGCGACGCGCTTGGCTTCGGATGTGCGGACACGGTGAATAGTCTTAGGGATCTCGAAGGAATAGTTCTTGGGAAGCAATTCAATGGCGGCTTGAATGTCGGGATCGTTCAAAATTTCTGGCGGAACCTGGTTGAGAGTTCTCGGAGTTCGTCGGGGTGCAGCTAATGCAAAAGAGATTAATTAACGCTGTCTTGTCTTATATGAGGGGTTGTGAAATATACCCTTTTCAACAGCCGTGGACTCGACATCTCCGGTAGTTGGGTTTGACTGAGCCTGTGCTTCGGCAGTCCGTCTACCGACGAACCGCTTCTTGGGTTGGCGGAGTGTATTATCCATGTTGAATCTGGTGTTCGCTTCCAGATGATGGAGGGGTGATCGCGGATCGATAAGACGACTTTTCCCCCGCGATAATCTTTTTTTCTGCAAAGGCGGTGTGAAAGATGGGACGATCACTAGCAAATACACGCTAGGCCATAAGTGGGCAAGTGCTCTCCGCATCTCATGAGCTCCCCTCAGTACTCGCCCTTCTCTTCCTCTTGAGTTTCCCTTACCTCATTAAGACTCCTTTGGTATCCATTGGAAAGTGGTATATTCTGGTTCTTGGACCTATTCACTATGCTCACTCGACCTCGCCTGCGCTTCTTCACAGCTCTTCGATCGCCTATATGCTCACGGCGGCTTGCGACCGAGTCGCGGCTAGCCTCGGACCATGTTCGCATCGTTGAAGTCGGTCCTCGAGATGGACTGCAGAATGAGAAGCAGTCTGTCTCAAAGGAAACGAAAATAGAGCTGATTCAACGACTGGCCAAGACCGGCGTCACCACCATAGAGGCAGGCTCTTTTGTTCCTGCGAAATGGGTGCCACAGGTGCGTACACTCGAAAGTCGACTGCTATATTAGCAGATTATTAATACTACTATATCTGCATAGATGGCTAGCACTTCGGAAATCTGCGAACAGCTTCTTACGTCGCCCCCTCCAGCTCAACATACAATTGCCTACAACTACCTTGTCCCTAACATCAAGGGGCTCGAGAGCCTAGTAAAAATCATGGATGAGACAGGGGTTCCGGCTGATGTGACTGGGGTCGATTCAAAAGCCGCTACTACTACAGAGATATCTCTCTTCGCTGCGGCGACCGAAGCTTTCTCCAAAGCCAACACGAACTGTACTATTGCCGAGTCCCTTGAACGGATCAAGCCAATTGTCGCATTGGCGAAGACGAAGAACATTCGGGTGCGTGGGTATGTCTCTGTGGCTCTCGGGTGTCCTTACGAGGGTCCAGATGTGAAACCGTCAACAGTGGCCGATATAACTGCTACCCTTCTGGAAATGGGTGCCGACGAGGTCTCAGTCGCCGACACAACGGGCATGGGCACGGCGCCACGGACGATGGAACTTTTGCAAGCCCTGAAGGCAGCCGGGATTGCCAATACGGATTTAGCGCTGCACTTCCATGATACATACGGACAGGCTCTGGTGAATACACTAGTCGGCCTGGAACATGGCATCCGGATATTTGACAGCAGCGTTGGTGGTTTGGGTGGCTGTCCATATTCTAAGGGTGCAACCGGAAACGTTTCGACAGAGGATCTCATCCATACTGTTCACAGCCTTGGTATGCACACGGGCGTCAGCCTGGAGGAAATGTCACGCATTGGGTCATGGATTAGTGGGGAGCTTGGTAGGGTGAACGACAGCCGAGCAGGCAAGGCCACGCTCGGCAGGCTTGCAGAGTAAAAAACGATTTCCTGTTCTCAATTTCCCGGATGGATTTTAGTAGTTCCTTTCGAGGCAAAGCTTACATTCACAGCTGTAGTGGATCTCCTATGTCGAAGTTTGATTGTTCAAATGTTTAAAAGAATCCTACTGAATATATCCTCGGTCTTCTCAATAGCAGAAAAAACACATATGACCTGTCTGCTCAATTCAAGGCAGTACAATACAAAGTGCGTTGTTCCAAGAGATGAATAAAAACAGATTGTTTTATTCCAAGTTTCACATCTTGTCTAATGACTTTTGGTCTCTTTGTTTAAACTCATTAACCATCGGGTACGAAACGTACTAATTATACACGACAATGACCTTTCAATGCTGATAAAGAAATGCACAGAACAATGCATCCGCTCGGAGGCATGTCTAGATTGAAAATATATAATGAGACAGTAGACTCAAAGTCTAATTATCAATTCATCATCCTCAAACTCCCCTTTCTCGAACTCAATCGAAGAAAAACTCACTCACATTCATGTTTCAATGGCTTCTCCGGTTGACACGCGTGTTGGTAGGTCCCAATGCCCTACAGCGTCTGCAATGGCCTATAATAAGGCTTCAACGTTTTGCACACCACTGCCTGAGCACACGTCTTCGCGTTTCATTGGAGATTTAGGTGTGCTATCTTTGGAGCTGGTATGGTTGATTTGGGATCATATCATCATGAACACTCCCCAGCTAAGTCAAAGTGGTCTTTGCTCTGTTCGGAACCTCGCGCTAACTAACAAGCAATTCGCAGCACATATTGATGAATATCTTCATAGAGACACCGCCGTTAATTACATTCAGCGAACTGCTCAGAACACTACGTGGTGGACCTACAATACTGCCGACGGCAGCATTAATGAGAATGACACACCCTTGAAGCCAATAACTAGTGAAGAGTCTGACGTGATTTCAGGAACAATTCGATATGATTGCACGGACTGACTTATGTGGCTACCAAGATTATCCCGGGCCTGGATGTCACGGGAGTAAATGAATATGGCTGGAGCTTCATGGCCATCGCTGCACATCATGCGTCAACGAGAATGCTCAAATTCTTCTTCACTACGAAGGGCTACCACGGACCTTGCATTCAGTTGCTTTCTTATCCAGCAAATCTGATGCGTCCAAGAACAAGTACGATGCGAATGATTACTGACGAGCATAATTTTGAGTTTTTTCGGGCTCTGTTTGAATTCCTGGGGCCTCGAATACATGAACTGAATTACCCAGATCGAACTGACGGCAAACTAATCCGTGAAGAGAAGTACTGCCTCTGTACATTTGTTACTCCAGCTTTTGCTGAACAGCTTGAGAGTATTGGTCTGGCGCTTTACGAGACCCGTGATACCCCGCCTTCTAACCGCAACGCATACCACGCAGCAGTTACTAACAGTGTCGAGTTCCTAGACTACTTGCACGCAAACTCGTCTCTTCCTATGAACGAGCCTGATAGCGCAGGTGGTACCCCCATTCACTATGCAATTAGCGCTAATCGAGTACAGTCTGTGCTTTGGCTCAACGAACATGTTGCCAAATAAGACAATAACGTTTGGTCGAGACTGACAGCAGGTCACATCGCAGTTAAGATGACGTCTCAGAAAGCGAGGAGATCTTGAAGGCGGTTCTCCCTATATCTGGTTTCGGTGTGCTCGATTATGGCACCTCTGGTACTATACTAAAGATACTGATGGAGGGATTGAGAGAAACTATTCTTAGCAAAGCAGTCAGCTCTAATATACTAACACACCACTACGTTGCGTTTCGAGATATGCATGAAGAGAGAGCCATCAGGAAGTACAGGCTGATCCTGCATGTTTTGACTGATGATCATATGTTTTGGTTTGAATGTTTTGAGGTAAGTCTTAGAAACTTCCATCGTTCCGGTGTTCGTCAATTTAAGTATGCGAAGGACATGGCCGTGAGTCTTGGTTTTCAAAACCTAAGTAGAGCTCTTGAAGCCTAGCTTACGATCTATAAGTACTAGATTGAACAAGCATGTCCCCCTTCCACCAAGATGAAATATCAAGCTTAGTGTATTTCTGAATATCATTCAATGATTAATTACTTCTACTTCTAGGTCTACCTACATAGGCCTGGGGGTATCGTGCCCAGGTGAATCATTCCAAAATATTGGGTAGTACTGATGATAAATAAACTCTGCACAGACCTCTGTTTACGTAGAGATCTTCAGTACTAAGTGTGCGAGGTCGCCAATAAAACAGCCCTCGATGGGAAATGAGGCAAGCTCGTATATCCTCCTTGGTAACGCAGTAGATCCATCAATATACATGTGCAATCGCACTTGAGGTAAAATACCATTTGAAGGCTATCCTGATCCGATTACTGCCCAGCTGCGTTACGGACTAACTGGAAGGCTTGAGATCTAACATTTGAAACTACAGGGCTGCCATTCAAATGTCCAAGTATCTCTTTTTAATCTCGTCAAGTGGGCTCCGATGGAATATATCCACGGACTACACTTGACACTCATCCCCAAGTCCACCTGAATATGTATACTTTTGTCTTTACAGATCAAAATGCATTTCTGAAAAATGATACAGTATAAATATTAACAAAATATGAGTTTTATGGTTAATGGGAATTGGAAAACAAACATTCGAAGATATCAATAGGACTCGGCGTCTTTGTTCCTTTGATCTACTTTGAATTTTGCTAGACAAAGATCCAAAGTTGCTAGAAGGCATTGTTATCTTCTTAAAATATCAAAGTGTTTCTTTCGATACAAAGAAGCAATTAATGAAACAATAGCGCTCTTCAGCAATAAACGTAAAGTCGCGAGTGTATAAAAGAACCGAACTCCCAGGTTGGGTAACAGCATCAAATCAAACAGCCCCAATTGTAGTCTGTGGTATGTGGTAAGTTTGCTTCATTTCCATTTCCGGGATCAAAATAAGCCGAAATGCTAGGTACGTTAAGCAACCCCTTTGCCTATGATGTTGTGATTTCAAAAGATGTACAGGACTTCCCAAGCGCACGAAAAATTCTATTCACACTGCTCATGGAATGGAGCAAAAATCTTTCAGACCCCGAGGATGATTGTGTTTGTGATATTGCTGAAATGCTAGAAGACCTTGGAGCGAAATTCGACATCATCAAAATGATCGCCTATGAGGATGGCGCCTCTCCTGGTCGTTGTTACGGTATGAAATGCGATGTTATTCGGACCACGCTTCATGATGTACGGAAGAGACTTACAAAAGACCCAGAAAGCAGATTTCAAATGGCAGAAGTGTTGGATATGCTCAGCAAGCATATTGGAAGACTATCAATGAACGGGTATGACTGTGAAGATGTGTTTGCGTTTAGAATGGATACAATGATAGATGTTGTGGAATTGAGATTCCATGAAAGGAACCCTGAAGAGGATCCAGAAAAAGAGCGCAAGCAGATTGAACTGTATGCCATGTGGAGCCGTCTTTGTGTGGCTATGCCTTCTTGTGCATGTCTACAATGTGGCAAGAGACTGGTACTGAATATTGACAGGTAGTCTTCCTTTAAATGTTTTACTGGAACCAAGCGGAATAGATATATTAAGAAAACCACTTGAAATTCAATACTGATTAATTTCATCGTAACTGGTCTGATTCTTGGTCTGCTCTTAAGTCCAATCATGACTCCCGCGTGGGTCTCTCGTACACAGTAGAATTCGAAAACAGTTTACCCCTCGGACACACGGGCTTTCTTTCTCAGCGCGCCACTTAGATCGCGCTAAACCGGATTTTCCATGGGCAGCCCCTCCATCTTTTCTTGATGTATCTCTCAGAGGGTCGATCCTTTCTATTACTGGAATTACAGGTTCCGGGTACCGGGTGAATCTTCGTCGCCAAAACGCACCGTGGCCATCCGCTAGAATACGAACAGATTACCCCTCAGGCAGTCCTTGCTTGACTCTCGATATGTACCGCCACCTAAATATTTCCTGTGGAGCCATCCTTTGCAGCGTCTGTTGAGTCTCCAGAAAGCGACGCACAACCACCACAACAGGATACCAGACCGATTACAAACTATACCAAGAGAATAAATGCACTTTCAACTCTTTGCTCTGCATCATGACTCCTCAAATGCGACCTCTCGGAAAAGATGAGCTCTTCTTCACCCTCCGCAATAGTCTAGGGTACTACCAAAACGTTGCTCTGAGCATATCCCTGACACTGCGTGGTGTAGCAGAAGAAGCCTTGCTACCACTCATTTACACTGCACTGTCACAGGTGGCTGGGAACCACCCAGTCCTTTTCGCTGTGCCGGTGAGCGAGCCTTGTTCTGAGTCTGATCCTAACCCTAGCGCCAAAGCTCGCCCCGAGGGGTTCTTCCAGCAACTTCCATTTATCAAGCTCTCGGATGTTGTATCTGTTCTTGAACGTAATGACTCCTCGCTACCGTGCGAATGCAAAACCTCCGCCGAAACAGCCTTTGATGTGGAATACGATCACGTGTTGCAACTGATGCACAATACTCCCTTTAAAGAGAGACAGGTGCAATGGCGGCTCCTTATTTTTCGTGACGCAGGCCTTCCTGCTGTCTCAGATGCTGACACGCGCTTCAAGCTGGCATTTGTATACCATCACGCTCTTGCGGATGGTCTTTCAGGCGTGGTGTTTATGAAGGGGCTCGTTGCTGCGTTGGCTGGGATGCTAAGCAAGGAGAAGCAGCTTGGGGATGTTGATGTTGTATTCGCTAAGGAGGAAGCGCTGTTGCCACCGCTGCAGAGTTGGAAGTGTGCCGCGACGGTCGAGGATGCATCACCGCAGGAGCAGCAAGGACCTGCGAATCTCCACTCTAAAAAAATGTGGCTTGGTACTCAACCTCTCAACGCTACCCCCGTTACATCGCGCTTCACGTCCTTCACAATCTCTTACCAAACGACCAAAGCCCTGCTCATGACCGTTTCCGAGCACAAAACTTCGCTTACGCCGTTCCTGCAGACTCTTCTAACGGCTTCGATATTCCACGCTGTCGCAAGCGACTTTGATCAAGTACGCGGTTTATGTTCTATTAGCTTGAGGCCTTTTCTCGAGGCATTTCCGGAGGACGCCATGGGCTGTTTTATTGGCGGAAGTTCGACGGAGTATCTTCGTGATCAATTTTACGACAGCGCTAATGGCGAAACTTCGCGTGATGTAAATCTGACGAAGGGGATTGACTTTTGGAACGAAGTTGATAGGACGAAAGAGAATATTGTCACAGCTGTCAACAAAGCTATCAAGGCTTTGTCAATTTCCGAAGCAGGTGTAGGCGAGCAAATTACCATGCTACCTTGGGTGAAGAGTCTGATCAACGCTCCTCGCATTGCGAGTTTCGACATTAACAACCTCGGTAAGTTTGACGCCGATGGTCTTGCTGGTTGTCTTGAAAATTCGAAGGAGAGTCGCATTTGTCTAGGAAGAGTTGTCTTTAGTTCGAGCCAGTCTGCCATCGGATCGGCGCTTAAACTCAATGTCATCACAGGACCGAGAGGCGAAATGACTGTTGGGTTCGCGTGGCAGAACGAGGTTCATAACGAGCAAATTGTGCAGAGCATTATAGATAAATTCAGATGTGAATTAGAGCTGATTCGATAGTCTATATATCACGGTTGCTAAGCCATATTTTATAGCTTGAACCCGGCCTGTGAACTCGCCAGTAAGGTAATTGAACGGGGCGAGATTCTGGTGGGCAAGGGTGACGGGGAGAGAAGTGAGACCGCATGTCTGGGGTGGGGTTTTGGTGAGGTAACCAGAAATGCTGTCTATGAGAGCCATGCTCCGAAAAATGTAGTTATTGACCGTATGCCGGATTTCATCAAGATTAGGAGTGAATTTGGATATATTAGTGTTCGCTCTGGCTCCCCGAGTAACGAGGCCTGTAAGCTCCATGACAGTCACCGTCTTCTTCTGGGGTGGCAGTATAAAGTCCCGAAAGGACATAAAGACACTAATATTCGGTGTGGCGTGCCTTCTGCAAAAGGTGATATATACATAAACAACCCTTTATACTTACCCTGGTACCTTACCAGAAGTACAATTAGTCCATGAACGCGGCTCGCTTCGATAACTCCGGATAGGTCTCACTTATCGCTTCAGAACTAGATGACAATGCGATGATCGGCATGACTAGAACGAGCATGTAACATAGCTGTATAGCTTATGCTTCCCTAGCATAGGCTGGGTTGAACTTCTATATTGCCCGTAGTGTTCGGAACAAGGACCGGTACAATATGATGCAAGACGAACTGGAGACAAGATTCCTGGGAGAGGTTTAGCAGTGGTTCGAAGAATTGAGCCACAACGAGTCTGGTAATTGTTCATTGTAAGAGCCTACCCTCTCTAGGATTTCTCACCGCTTTTCTAGCTGACGTCAAATTAATCGCGCGGATAATGTTTGTCCGGTGCTCGTGAACTCAGAGACGCCACTAACCCTTAGATACGGCCTGATCGCCAGATTTACCCCGCCCTTCCTGATCCTTCCCAAGCAGCCCGTAGGAGAAAGCATGATGATTACAATGGACTCATTAGACACTTGAATACCCAAAACGTTCTATACCGCGAGACAAGGATTGTGACTGTGGTGTCTTATTATGGATTAGCGTGGTTCCGGGTGCAGGCCGAGAACCATAGCGTGAGTGTCTGAATATAATCTGTTTTCAATTTCAGTGTACATGAGGCGCTTCGGCAAGTATGGATGGTACACCCGAATCCGGAAACTGCTATCACAGTAATTTTGGTGATCAAGCAGAAATTCATTAAGAAAGGATGCTGGGCCTTTCCGGGACCTAATTTAGTTTAGCGCGATTTGAGTGGGGCGCTGGGAAAGAAAGCGTGTGTGTCTAAGGGGTAATCTGTTTTCGAAATCTACTGTAACCGAGGCCCTTTTCTTCCGAACTCGGAGCCACCAGTTGAACGGCGCAAGGTTTACGTTTATGAACTTAAATTTTAAAATTTGCGGCAATTGTGGCATGCAAATTTTGAAATAATACTGTTAGCTAGATAATCTGTTCATTTTGATTGCAGATACAGCATATGTTAGCATGCCTTGACCGACAACATCGGCCGGGTCCACAACGTAAATTGTGGGGGAAACGCGATTCCCCGCGTTTTCAGCACAAGCATAAAGAGTGGGATTCCGGGCACCAATTGCAGCTTGACTGTCGCATGTGCATTTGAAATAGATTGAAACTATTAGCAATCCAACACCATGGCGTCCGGGGTTTGCATAATTACAGGGTTGCGAGGGTGGAATCCCCCGGAAATACACTAGTCCCATCAGATTAATTGAGGGTGGCACTCATGTTGATCAACGGCGGACGCCGATGCCCGCACAAATTCATCAACTTCTGTTACGTATTAGACCTGTGAGCCTAGGTTAACCTGTAATAGACCCATATTTCGCATATAGGGACCTACATGCCACTCAATGCTAGTTGATATCGTTGACATACATATCCATCATTTCTTCCAATTGAGCTGAAATATGGGGCTCAAACCGTATATGGGCCTGAGGGGCAATGCTCTCCTTCGGGCGGCTGTCATGCTGGTCGTGTGCCCGACTTTTACATGTTATGGATACAATATGAGTGTCGCAGGTGGTTTATTAACCCTTGAGTCGTTTAATGCTCAGTTTCCACGAATGGATACATTGCATGGGAACGCAGCGACTAAACACGAAAACGCCACTATTCAAGGTTAGTGAGGCTGAAAGATGCGTTTGGATTCGGCATTAACATGTGTGGCATGATAGGCACAGTTATCGCACTTTATACTGCCGGAGGTATCTTTGGCGCTTTATCCTGCATCTACCTCGGCGATCTCCTTGGCCGACGAAAGGTCATTTTCATTACCAACTTTATTGCCGTTATCGGTGCCATTCTTATGGCTACTTCATTCCAATTTGCCCAATTTATTGTTGCTCGATTGGTTCTTGGTCTAGGCATTGGTGGTTATCTCGCGACAGTCCCCGTCTGGCAGTCCGAAATTTCCCCTTCACATAAGCGAGGTTCCAACGTCGTCACTGATGGCATATTCGTTGGAATCGGTGTTACCAGTGCACTATGGATTGATCTCGGCTTCTATTTCATCAAAGGTAGCTCGGTGTCCTGGAGATTCCCGCTTGCCTTCCAGGTCGTGCTATGTCTCATTGCTATGACATTTATCATGCTACTGCCGGAGTCCCCTCGCTGGCTCATTAAAGAGGGACGAGTTGAAGAAGCCAGAGAGGTCCTTCAAGCTCTTTTGGATGTTGATCACGATTCTGAAATAATCACAAATCAAATTTATGACATTGAAACGTCTCTCGCCAAAGCCGGATCTTCATCATGGCGCGATATGTTCACCATGGGTGAGCAACGACTTTTCCACCGCGCATATCTCGCCGCAACTGGCCAGATGTTTCAGCAAATGTGCGGTGTGAACTTAATCACATACTACGCAACCACAATCTTCCAGCAGTACCTCGGCATGGACGCCGTGCAGTCCCGAATTCTTGCTGCTGCGATGGGTCTCACACAACCGTTGGGCGGCTTCCTTGCCTTTTATACCATTGATCGACTGGGCCGCCGTCCGTTAATGCTCTGGTCTGCTGGCGCGATGTCCATATGTATGGCCATTCTCGCTGGCACAACTGGGCAAAAGGGTAATACCGGTGCCCTTGTTGTAGCGGTGGTCTTCCTTTACGCCTTCCAATTCATCTTCACAGTCGGCTACTCAGGTTTAACATTCCTGTATGCTGCAGAGATGGCTCCACTGCAAGTTCGCGCTGCCGTGAACGCTGTCTCAACTGCAACTGTGTGGGCATTCAATTTCCTATTGGCTGAGGTCACGCCCGTTGGCTTCGATACGATCTCTAGCCGATATTACATCATTTTCGCCGTCACAAACGCAGCCATTGTGCCTTGCGTGTATTTCTTTTTCCCAGAAACCAAGGGACGCACCCTGGAGGAGATTGATGAGATTTTTGCACAGTCCAAGTCTATCTTCGATCCACCCCGTGTTGCCCGCCGTATGCTTCAGGTCCAGGTTGGCCAGGCGCAGTCTGATAGCGGTGATAATAACACGTCTAGTGATGAAGCTGTAAAGATGAAGGTATAGGTCAGTACCAGGTATCTGGATACAGGAATGATCCGCCTTCAGAAGTGACACCACGTATATATCCCACGGGCCAGTTCCCCTATATCTGATTTCTATGACCTCTTTGATGAAGTATCAATATATGATGAATGGGTCTTGATCCAGATGAGCCTGCATCTTGAACTATTCCTTCAGTAGCTTACAGTAGAAGATTTATTTCCATGAGCGTTTGAAATTACATGGCCTTGTCCATACATTGGATAACCTCGGAAGTTGATGCCAAGGATCAGGAGTCCAAAGCGCAAACATTCGAGAGGTTGACCCCGCTATTTGATTCATTTGAAAGTACTTGTTACATGTAGTATAGAAACCTTATGACACTCTTAATAGCGAGATTCAACCCGATACTCCGATTTTTATAATGGCCTCGGCGATAGATCTGGTTACCGAGCGCGACATTCCCCGCATTCCATTCGTTTCTCCGAAAATTTGGAGTACAAAATAGCCGATCTGCTCGTCTCCACCAATGAAATGCTCCACCTTGGGTGTTTATCTCGGCAACCACTATCGAGAACAGATAAGGTCATAGCGGAATGACGGAATCATTACCTGCAAATAATAAAAGAGCAGCGTGTCCTAGATAATTATGTAGAATTGAAATGATCTCGCAACTGGAGAGTTGACGTCAGGAAGAACATCTTCTATCCGCACATCTGATACTTGGTTGAACCTCAGTCGCGTATCCGCCTCCATCACACACCTTTCCGAACTTGACTGCGAAAAATGGAAACCTCTCGTCGCCCCTATCAGAAGGATCTCGCCCACCGTGGTGTCATTGAGGGTGCCACGATCTCACCCCGTGATAAAAAGGACACGGATTTCTGTCACTACTTTGGAGGCGTTCGATACGCCCTGCCTCCTCTCCAGCGATGGCGTCGAGCTCGGCGTCTGCCGTCGACATTCAGCTACGGTACCCGACAGTCACCTGGTCAGTGCGACAGTGGAGCGGGGTTATGTCCGCAACCTGGCTTCCTGAATCTCTCGCCCCTAAATGAGGACGCCTGGACAGAGGACTGTTTTCAATGTAATGTTTGGGTTCCAACAGGCGAGCCTCCCAAGGGTGGTTGGCCTGTTTTTGTTTTCATCCGTACGTTCAAAATTCTTCATATTGAGCTTATGACCATGGGAGACTGATATACGGATGAAAGATGGCGGCTGGCTACAATTCGGCTCTCCGAATGGGTTCAATGCAGGAGCCTTGCTAGGAGAGACAGGTTTAAATGCCGTGGTTGTCTTGCCTGCATATCGCGTGAACTTGTTTGGCTTCCTATATTCGACTGAGTTAGCAGATGATGCAGCTGCTGTTGGGGAGACAGTGGGAAATCACGGATTCTGGGATCAGAGGCTGGCATTGGAGTGGACAAAGGAGAACATTCATCTCTTTGGTGGAAACCCTGATAACATTACAATCTCCGGCTATTCTGCTGGTATGAATCAGGGTCTGTCCCAATATCATAGACCGCAAGCTAACATATGTCGAATAGGTGCCAACTCCGTCTTCCACCAATTAGCATATGACCTCCGCCAGCCAGATTCTCAAGCCATCGTCCGCCAGGCGTGCATGTTTTCCAATTCTCCCGCCGTGCAACCGAAGAGTCCAGCCGACACCCAAATCCAATTTAATCAGCTCCTCACTGCACTCGAGATTCCATCGACTCTGTCCGGGAACGAAAAGCTGGCCCGGCTTCGATCACTACCACCCAAGGCTCTTCTCGACGCAGTCAATAAAATTGACTTTGACTTGCATCAATTCAGACCAACAACCGACTCAGGATTTATTCTCCCCACACTTTTCACGTCTCTTGACAGCGGCGAATTCGCGCGAAGAATGCTCGCACGTAACGTCCGTTTGATGCTGGGTGAGTGTCGGGACGAAAGACATCTATACGCCACTTGGTTCCCGCCTAAATCGAATACACTATCCGCACTACGGACCCGTCTTATCGCGGACTACCCCGAGCGAGTGGTTGACGCTGTTCTCCCGCTGTATTACCCGGATGGTAAACTGCCATCTAACTGCAAGGACTGGGTCTCCGATGCCTGGGGTAGGATATATGCCGATATGCAGGTCTATCATATGCAGCGTGGCTTTATCCATGCGCTTACTTCGAATGCCGGCGGTGTGGATGCGTCGAGTCTCTTGTATAGGTATCGTATTGAATATCGTGCGACGTGTATGGATAAGGCCATGCCAATTGAGTGGGGTGTAACACATTCGTCTGATTACCCGTTGTGGTTCTGGGGTAATGGGGATGTACTTACCAGTGCTGAGAAGAAGAACACATACGAAGCCCTGATTGGTCCCTTGAGCCGCTTTTTGCAGGGGCCAGCTGTGGCTGGTTCGAATGAGTTTGGCTGGGGAACTAGCGGTCATGGCGTGCGAGCTTTTAAGCCAGATGGAACAGTCAAAATTGAACGTGATGCAATGTGGTATGAAGGAGTGAAAGTGTGGAAGAGAGTTAGAGGGGTTGACACTTTTAAGCCAAGCTTGTAAATAAATAGCCTTCCTTCAATGTTGGAACTTCGTTTCAAAGACACGCAATTTACATATACTGAGGATTTGTACCTAAGCAGATAGGTTCACGTCCATGGATGTCCAACATTGAAAGGCTCTATAGTACATGTGCATATTCGCAGCAAATGGAATCACCAGACGAAATTTATATTCTCAAATACATGCATAATTCATATCTGATGTAGTGCTGTGAGCTCGGTCACAGCTTCCATTCATGAACGTTTTTCAACCCATTTGTTCCCGACTTGTCGTCTTGATCCAAGTATCCACAAACCCGACCTTGGGGATCCCACTTCCGGCGAATTTTCATCAGACGCTCCGCATTATCATCAGCCCAGAATCTAGTTCTTCGGACCTGGAAGTCTGAATCACCCAGGTATGCTCCGACTGATTGGCGTTCAACCTTCTTCATCACATCCTTTACCCAGGATTGGCACCGCTGATCATCGGATTCATCCTCCCAAACGGTGTAGAGGGCAAAGTAATGATCGGACTGCATGCTTAGAGCCATATCGGGCAGCTTCCGACGGCTGCATGGGTTCATGGGGAACCACAATGCGAATGCCTTTCGGTGTGGCAGAGTGGTGAAGGCCTCCTCTAGTACCGCGGGAACGTCGGCGTCATTGTTGATGTATGCATTTTCGGCGCAGTAGCGATGCTTTTCTGGGTTGGCGCCTTCCTGGTTATCGTATTGCTCATCGAGACTATCTTCCTTACAGAACCATTCATTAAGGGTCCCCTCGGGGCGAGTCTCTTGTGCTTGGCGGAGTGCCTTCTCTGCCTCTTCGGGGGTATCTTTCATAACAACGAAAAGAATAAAGAGACTCATTTCATCAGAGCCTTCTGCGTATTGCGCGACCGCGGCGATTTCGGTGTCGTTATCGAAGGTTTCCGTAATTGATATAACCCAGTCGAAAGCCTTTCTGTATAGACTGATAGGGTAGAAATAACCGGAGGATCGGAAGCCGCCTTTCTTTGGGTACGGGTTTAAGCTGAGATGGAACTTGGTGACAACACCCGGGAAGCCTTTTCACACGAGATCAGCATCTTGATTCCCCATGAGTACTAGTAATGCATCCAACATACCAGGTCCAGCTCCGCGAGCCGCCCAATACATATCTTGATTCTGAGTCGAATTGCAATGAATCAATTCGCCCTCGGCGGTAACAACATCCAAGCCCATGACTCTCTCGCATGCCCACCCCCAGTTCTATAGAAAGTTTAGTTAGTGATAGATCACCCAAGTCACATATACCAACGTACCCGACAGTTCCAACCCATGCCACCCTGAAGCAAGAACCCACCCAACCCTACGTCCGGACAATGACCACCAGGAAACATCAACCCGTGGTCCTTGACCAGAACAGAATTGAGTTCACGGCCAGTCATACTGGGTGTTGCTCGTGCCATTCTATTCTCCGGATCCACCTCCACCTTTTTGTAATTCCCAAGATCAATCAGAATAGAATTGTCGCGGACACTCCATGCCGCCCATGAATGTCCTCCCGATCGAACAGCAACGCGACAATTCATCTCCACTGCCATCTGAACAGCTTTGACAATGTCATCTTCGCTAGTCGCCTTCACGACGGCTAGGGGAAACCGCGAGGGGCGGCGGTGATTGAAGACGCGACCGATACGGGCTTCTTCATAAGCCTCCTTAGTGGCGGAGTCTCTCCAGGTTATGTCCATGGTGAAGGTTTGGAGTATGTATGTTCTCGTGCGGGGTTGTAATGTTCGAAATATGAATTCGAGTTCGTGTCCTTGAAACTGGGAGGCTTGGTATTTGTACTACCCCGGATCTATTCTCAGCAGTCCCACCGGCTTCTCACAGTGGGGAAGAGCCGGATCACCGATCCGGTACAGCATGGTGAGGGTAATCGATGTGGGCGAGTCCCGTGGGGTCATGATGCGTAATAGCGGTCCACATCCCGATGAGGGGGTACGTCTCATCGTTTTGACCTTTTTTCTCAGGCCAACATCACCAATGCATTGTGTCTCACGTTGCGTACACATCTCTTCCATGAATATACATATACGCATTCTGACATTGAAATAAGATATGTATCCTTTTGATCTTCAAAATACATAATAATGTCCAACCTGGGTTCATGCCTGAGCAACATCGACATACATTTGCATTCAATATTGCCCGTATCCATGGATAAAAAAGCCAATAACCTTCGATATTCCCGTTGTCGACCTCGGAGCATCTCATATCATTAAATGGGATCTTTGGGACATGGATATTACATATAGCAGATTGCCACTCGGGCCGACTTCATTCGAGATTTGGTGACGCTAGGGTCCCTGGAGAGACATGTGTATGGATAATCCTTCCATTTCAAATGTTCCGAGAATCAGACCCCTGTAAAAACCCTATCAAATGCATACATGACATTGGGTGTGTATTAATTTCAAGGATTCTTATGTAGCCTCTTGCGAGATGAGCTGAAACTGAAGACAAATAGGCTACCATTTATTTAGCTTACGCTCAGGCTCTATACCAATTCTATTCCTAAGGTCAAAAATACGTGTTCAATAAATTTAGTGATTAAAACTTCATGGCCTTAAAGTGAGAATGTTGTCTTTGAATATCTGAAATATAAATATTTGCCAAGGATTAGCGATCTCGTCATCAATTCAACCTGAGAGACTCCTCTTCACCCAGGCTACTGACATCAGTTTCAAAGGTCCTCAGACACACGTGAGATATTGCAGCAGCTATGAAGGATTCCCGGTCCACACCTTGTCGTACATGTGACAATGTTACTCGCGATTGGCTATTGCATTCAATGACATATAGTAACATTCTTATTTTGACATTGGCCTAGCTATTGTTTCCTTGATTATAGCCATCAGATTACGCACAAAGTGCAACATTGTGTTTGGTGATTCCTTGCTAGTAGGACCAGGAGGGACGTCATTATGCTATTTCCAAGCCCATTCCATGTATTATCGCATCATGTCGCTTGACAACGCCACGTATCAGATACAAGACCGAGTGCAAAGGTCGAAGCCCTGAAGAAGCTGAGGGAATCCGTGTCACAGTCCAGGTCGACCTACGGAGTCTATAAAATGCCATTTGCCCCCTCTTCTTTCACCATATCTTAACCCACCGGACAGAATATTCTCAAAGACAAAAATTAACTTATCAAAATGCGGCTCTTCATTGCATCATATTTTATGGCACTGGCTGTGACCACGACAGGTAAAGCATTGAGGGACTCAATATATGTATTGACTAATAAATTACAGGAATAATAATCACGTCGCCCATAGCAGGTCAATGTGTGGACTTGAGCCAAGATCTTATGGTCAATTGGACTTCCGTTAGGTAATATGGCTATCATTGTGGCTTTCTACTGACTATGAAACAAAATCCTGACTCTCGTTAGCACTGATCCACCTAACATCGAATTCAACATCACCAATTATAACGGAGCTTTTCCTCCCATTAACCAACGCTATCCATCTGCACCGAATACTCCTGTGCAGACATCGTTGAACCAGTACACTCTACCTGGTGTGGCTCAAGATGCAGCTACACTTCTAGCTAGTGCCAATCATGGGTGGGTCAATGGCTCAAATAGTTCCTTTCTTTATCATGTTCTAATTCTTACAGGCGTGCATTCGAAATCTGGATTGTGACACCTGATGATAGCTCTCATTTTGGTTCACAGCAATTCAACCTTGGATGGGCTACTGAGGGATGCACTGCGGGCTCAACTAAGTGAAATTTCCATGCCATGAATGTGATATTCTGTATTCGGACCTTCTGGTCTTGAGCTCACTAGCTGGCTATACAGAATAGTGATAGTAGTGGCCGTTCTATAATAGCCCCTTATTCGTATCGCATATGAAAATCGACTATTTCCTTCCATCCTGCTAAGTTTCCATCTAGTAATCGGGGGTTAATACATATATGGAAGCTCCCATGAAACACAATGCTGGGTAAATACTGCCCGGCTTTCGGTCCATCAAATATGTCGAGGTGAGTTATTTGCTCGGAGTACGTGCTCAAAGACCATCATCGGGAATACATACCAAAATCGAAACGAAAGAAAAGCCAAGGTGCTATGTAGGGATGCAGCGTGTGAGGAAGCGGGTAGCGGCCATGAGGACAGAACATTAAATATCACATATAAATGGTAGGAAATCATATATACTACTAAGCTCATCTACCTACCCCTTTGTCAATTGGGTATACCGCAGTCTTTTTGAACGTACGATCGAAACCTCCTCCAGACTTTTCTTCCTTTCAGCTTCTCCTTCCACTTCACCTTTTGCTCTTCAATCGTTTCTCTTTCTTTCTTTCTTTCTATTCCGCTATATATGAACTTGGAGCCCTTTCACCATTTGACTAATCTGGGACGAAAGAAGGAAGAATACTGGATAGAAATCCTAAGTAGGAGACTGAGTAGGAGACTGAGTAGAAGACTGAATAGAAGACTGAAGAGAAGACTGAACAGAAGACTGAATAGGAGACTGAGTGGGAGATAGAATAGGAGGTAGGGTATGATTCCTAAGTACTAGGCGCTACGCTAAAAGGTTGTGTCCCTCATGGCCGTTACTCGCCCCCGTAAGCGTGACAGCATTGATGCAAAAATATGTTATGGGCTCGAAAATAATCCATGTAGAATGAACTAGAAACAGGGCGATATCCCCGAGAGCTGGAAAAGGCGACGTTGAGGCCTCAAGTTGAGGCGAACCCCTGTGCTGTTGTATTTGCAAAGCAGCTCACCATCACGTGGTCAAACATATGAAAGCCACAAAAGCAGTAAGACCTCCTGCTCTAAATAAATACCTATCTAGGGAGGCATTTCCTTTTCTACTATTGACTTACTAGGCATCAGCTAGTATACTACAAAATGGTATGTACAGGTGGACTTTGTGGATATTGGATGATTCAATTTTGGATATCCGAGTACCACGACACCGATATAGAGATAACGGTGACTAAAAATCATATGATTTAGCTCATCTGTCCGCAAAATCCCCATGGTCCACCGAGCTCCTAGGAGATCGGCTTTGAGATTGGTTGCTTGTTATAGGCCTGTGCATGGGCCGAGAATTGACGTGATCCTGTCTGTTATCATCGGACATGCTCCGTGGAATGTAGATGCTTTACTCAGTTTATGGGTACCTAGTCTATACGTCCCTGCCAATGCCTCTTCGAATCAACAAATAGTTCACATCAAGGACATCCTAGCAACATCCTTCAACTCAAGGACAGATGCCATTCACATTGAAAAGGCCTTGAGTTGAAAGTTCAGTGGCGCCCCGGAGATTCTCCGAGGGCCAACGTGCAGGTGAAGCAAAAAAGTAAAAAGCACGCAAAGCCATACGTATCATCGGGTTCTTGACGGAGATGCAAGGCGACCGGCGCCATCCTAAGATCCCGGTCGCAACAAGGTTGGGTGATCAATCACCTTTGTCGGTAACTAGGGAAACCCTGCAAAACGAATCGGACACGCCTTATCGTCCGGGTTAGGACTTGGCAACGGGATGTCTGCAGGGTAATGAAACGAGATTCGAAGAGTATTCTATGAACGGGCCGGGCTACCGCTGCATCCGCCAGAGCCAATCTGACGCGCGATCGCGCGGTGGAGCCTCCCACCATCTGGGCGCGGGATGTTCTCCGGGTCGCGGAGATAGTTCCTGTCACGATAAGGAAACTGTGGTTGAAATATTTCGGTTTTGGTCTGTCTTGATTCAGATACAGGGGCGACACAGTCATAAATAAACGAATGTCTCGCGAGGATGATGGTAGATTGAGGCTGCTATTTCCAAATTGTGGAGAGAAGACCAACCAACATGGGATCTATTGTGCAATCCACTTTGCCGTCCGATTTTCTTTGGGGATTTGCGACAGCTGCGTATCAAATTGAAGGTGGTGTTGATGAGGATGGTCGTGGACCTTCGATTTGGGATAAATTCTGCAAGATCCCTGGAAAGATCGCTGGTGGCGGATCGGGCGATGTGGCGTGCGACTCTTATCATCGAACTCACGAGGATATTGCCTTGTTGAAGACCTGTGGTGCACAGGCTTATAGATTCTCGATTTCATGGTTGGTTGAACAAAGGAAACCATTCGAAGGATTCTTTTCTGACCATCTCCCAGGCCTCGAATTATCCCACTTGGCGGCCGCAATGATCCCATCAATAAAAAAGGGTTGCAGTTTTATCAGAATTTCGTCGACGATCTTCACGATGCAGGAATTACACCGATGGTCACTTTGTTTCATTGGGATGTGCCTGAGGAATTGGACAGACGGTACGGTGGACTGTTGAACAAGGAGGAATTTGTCGCCGACTTTTCACACTACGCTCGAGTCATATTCCAGGCATTCGGCTCCAAGGTCAAGCATTGGATCACATTCAATGAACCATGGTGTAGCAGTATTTTCGGTTATAATACTGGATACTTTGCACCAGGTCGCACAAGTGATCGCACCAGAAGTGATGTTGGCAATGGATCAACAGAGCCATGGATTGTGGGCCACAACATTCTCATAGCACACGGATCAGCAGTTAAGATATATCGTGATGAGTTCAAGACACAAGATGGAGGTGAAATTGGCATCACATTGAACGGTATGTACCCTTTGTTTCACGGGACGATTGCCTGACTGATGGTCAAAATTCAAAGGCGACTGGGCCGATCCATGGGACCCAGAAAATCCAGCCGACATTGAAGCCTGTGATCGCAAAATCGAATTTGCCATATCCTGGTTTGCAGATCCCATTTACCACGGAAAGTACCCAGACAGCATGGTAAAGCAATTGGGCGATCGACTGCCGACGTGGACTCCAGAGGAGATTGCACTCGTTCAAGGCAGTAATGATTTCTACGGAATGAATCATTATTGTGCGAACTTTATTCGCGCCAAAACAGGGGAGCCTGAGCTCGAGGATATTGCAGGTAACCTGGAGCTACTTCTCGAAGACAAATACGGCCATAGCGTCGGACCTATCACACAGTCGCCTTGGTTAAGGCCGTGTGCACTAGGGTTCCGAAAGCTACTCAAGTGGCTCAGTGAGCGCTATGGGTATCCCAAGATCTACGTGACCGAAAATGGAACCAGTGTGTTAGGCGAGAATGACATGCCTCTTGAACAGCTCTTGAATGATGAGTTCCGCGTCCAGTACTTCCGAGATTACATTGGCGCGATGGCTGATGCATATACCCTCGATGGGGTTAATGTCCGTGCTTACATGGCCTGGAGCCTGATGGAGTAAGTGCTCCTCTTCATTCTCCTCTATGAACACTATATTAATTGTATTGGCAGCAATTTTGAATGGGCTGAGGGTTATGAGACTAGATTTGGTGTGACCTTCGTCGACTATGAAAATGATCAGAAACGGATTCCGAAGAAGAGTGCAAGGACTATCGGTACCATTTTTGAATCTCACATTGAAAAGGTGTAACTGAAACACAATTAGCTGGATCTTCCGGAAATTGTTACATGTAGCCCTTCCGTCTGCCTTAAAACCCCAACCTGTTGACAATGAATTCAAGATGAATATCCTTTTTGAAACATCATTTGAACTATCTTTTAGGTTTTCTTTGTTGATTCATATCAACGTTTCCAACTCAAGGACAGATTCATCAATTAATTCAAATTTTGGATCCTGTAGAACTGGTCAGATATGCAACAATCTGACGGTCCTGTGTAGCATCATCTCCGAACCTGCAGTTACTACTCAGAAGATCAATAATTTCGAGAAAGGCTACCTTCTCTAAGAGATATGTCTCATGCCAACTAAACACGTACCTTACTGATACTGAGAATACTTAAACCTTGCCGCTTAGGGTGGTCATAATGGGACTTCTCGAAAGGTTGCGCCGAGTCTTTGATAGAATATCCAATAGTAGATCCAACACACCACGGTATAATTATCAATTACCATACGAAGCAACACACAGCGAAATCCAACGAGGGAGATACATCTTCCCTAGCGAAAATGAACACCACGAAGCCACAATCCTCGGTTTCCCCTCGCGCTCCTCTCTGCCACCCGACAAATACGACGCATTCTGCATCGAGCTCACAGAACTAGCCACTGCCATCGCAGAGTTCGAGCCAGTCCGTATCTACGTGAGTCCGGATGACAAGCCACTCTTAGAGACTCTGCTCCAAAACACCGGCAAGGATCTGTCATGCGTGGCCATAATCCCAAGCCCAATCAACCACAGCTGGGTTCGCGACACGGGCCCAGTCTACGTCCGTGACGCGACAGGCAAGTTCCCCGATCGACGTTTTGCAGTGAACTTTCGTTTCAACGAGTGGAGCGGCAAGAAATCTGAGGGTGATGGTCTATGCCGGGGCCAGAAGTGGCCATGGTTGGATGATAAGGCGCTGCAGGACAATATGAATTTCGCACGTTGGGTCATTGATCATGACAGTCAACCTGTCCCCGTGACTCGGATTGAATCCCCGATCTGTGCCGAAGGGGGTTCGTTCGTTACGGATGGGGAAGGGACATTGTTGATCACGGAAAGCAGTATTATTTGTGATATTCGCAATCCTGGAATGTCCAAGGCTAGAATTGAGAGTGAACTGAAACGCTCGCTGGGTGTTCAAAAGGTCATTTGGCTCCCTGGTCGACGCAATGTTAATATCACGGATGTGCATATGGCTGCTAAGGCGCGTTTTATTCGACCCGGTGTTGTCGTCTACTCAAGGCCACATGAGACGGCTGGAGATGTATGGAAAGAAGCATCTGAGGATATCAGAGGTATTTTAGCTCGGGAACTTGATTCCAAGGGTCGGAGTTTGCAGATTCATGGTATTGAAGAGCCAAACCCTCGGGGCTTGACCAGCAATGCCGATGATGAACTGGCGGCTAGCTATGTGAATTTCTACTTTGTCAACGGGGGGCTGATTATTCCTAAGTTTGGAGACGAGGAAAGAGACCAGAGATCCCTTGAGCTTTTGTCGTCATTGCTTCCAGATCGAGTTATCCGGCAGGTTTATACTAACGCTATTCCTCTGACGGGGGGTGTGCTGCACTGTGTGACCCAACAAGTACCATCTATAAGGTGATAGATACATATAGTGAGGATAGTAGAGTCATTTTCGAGTACTCACTGATTCATAGCCGCTTTTGCATTGTTATTCTTATCTATAATTCGTGAAACATTACGTGGGGCCAGTTCGAAATGGGCTATCCGGGTGTCCGTTGTGCATTCATCCGATGCCCGGCACGGATTGTTTGCAAAGATCGGCAATCTAAATTGGGAAAAGAAATTCCTGCAACTTTTCACCGTCACAAGATTACTAATTTGAGCTACAGTAATGGCTATGTGAGCCGAGCAAGCGTTGAATGATGTCAGGTGCTTTTTGCCGGCTAAACTTCGGGAAACGGAAATAGCTCCGTGTCGGGTTAAGTGAGCTTCAACTCCACTCACATCACCCCCACGCATAAGCTCTTACGGGGAGCTTGTGATTCTTCCAAGGCTCCATTTCAATCATAAAAGTTCGATCTTCCCCTCTTTCACTGTTTCAGCCATCGATTTTTCCCATCGCAGAAATCAAAGTGGTGACTTTTAGGCAAAGCAGAACCTCACAAGAAGTTATTTTTACAACTCCAATCTAACGCCAAAGAGCCTCGTTACCATGGCTCCTATCGATGTGGAGAAGGCTATTGAGGAGCTTACACTGGGTGAGAAGGTCGCTCTCACGGCTGGTAAGCTTCTCCTTCAGGCGTATTTCAGCCTGCCCTTCCTTACCCCACCAACCCCCGCTATCCAGAACAATGTTAAGTAAATGCATCCATGACCACAGGACGCGACTTTTGGCATACAGCATCAGTTCCACGCCTAAAGATTCCTTCACTGCGCATGTCCGATGGCCCGAATGGTGTCCGAGGCACACGGTTCTTCAACGGCATTCCCGCTGCCTGTTTCCCATGCGCCACCGCCCTAGGCGCCACCTGGGATACCGAGCTGTTGTCCGAAGTCGGCACATTAATGGGCGATGAAGCCATTGCTAAGGGTACCCACGTCGTCCTGGGTCCCACAATAAATATTCAGCGATCGCCTCTCGGTGGTCGCGGATTCGAGTCTTTCTCTGAAGATGGTGTACTCTCCGGTACCCTTGCGGGACATTTGTGCAAGGGTTTGCAGGATAAGGGTGTCGCCGCAACTCTCAAGCATTTCGTGTGCAATGACCAGGAGCACGAGCGGATGGCTGTAAATAGCATTCTTACACAGCGTGCTTTGCGCGAAATTTACCTGCTTCCTTTCCAGTTGGCTCTGCGGATCTGCCGGTCAGCGTGTGTTATGACTGCTTACAACAAAGTCAACGGCACACATGTTAGTGAGAATGAGTTTTTGCTCAATGATGTTCTGCGGAAGGAGTGGGGGTGGGATGGATTGGTTATGAGTGACTGGTAAGTTGGTATTCATCTGGGAAATTGTGGGAATTTCTGACAACTTTCTTCCTAGGTTTGGTGTATATAGCACCTCTGATGCGATCAATGCTGGTCTCGATATTGAGATGCCTGGTAAGTCTCGGTGGCGCGGGGAGGCCCTTGCACATGCCGTGTCTTCCAACAAGGTAGCCGAGTTCAAGCTTGATGAGCGAGTGCGTAACATCTTAAACTTGGTCAACTGGGTAGATCCATTGGGGATTCCTGAAGGGGCATCTGAGATAGCACTGAACCGACCTCAGGACCAAGCATTGATGCGCCGAGCAGCAGCGGAGTCGGTGGTTCTATTGAAGAATGAGGGCGCCACTTTGCCTTTGAAAAAGGATAGGTCGGTACTGGTTATCGGACCTAACGCCAAGCAAGCAACCTACTGTGGCGGTGGCTCAGCTTCCCTGGCTCCTTATTATACAGTGACTCCATTTGATGGCGTTTCGGCGAAAAGCAAAGGAGATGTTAAGTTCTCTCAGGGTGTCTATTCCCACAAGGAATTGCCCCTCCTTGGCCCGCTATTGAAGACAGAAGATGGAAAGACCGGCTTCACATTCAAAGTTTACAATGAGCATCCAAGTGCTGGCACAGAGCGTACAGTTGTGGATGAGCTGCAACTTGTTTCCTCGGCTGGATTCTTGATGGATTATTACAACCCCAAGATTAAGTCCATGACTTACTATATCGACATGGAGGGATATTTCACCCCTGAGGAGACTGGACTGTATGACTTCGGCGTGACTGTTGTCGGTACTGGCCGCCTGCTTATCGATGGTGAGGTGGTTGTGGATAACACCAAGAACCAGAAGCAAGGTTCTGCCTTCTTCGGCACTGCTACCATCGAGGAGCATGGCGAGAAGGAACTCAAGGCCGGACAGACTTACAAGGTCCTCTTTGAGTTCGGTACTCCACCCACCTCCGATATGGACACTCGTGGAATCGTAACATTCGGTGCAGGTGGCTTCCGCTTCGGCGCAAGTCGTCGCGTCAGCCAGGAAGAGCTGATCGCCTCCGCTGTGGAACAAGCAAAGTCAGCCGAGCAGGTTGTCATCTTCGCAGGCTTGACAAGCGAATGGGAAACCGAAGGCTACGATCGTGACCACATGGATCTGCCGCCAGGTAGCGATGAACTGATTACCCGTGTGTTGGCCGTCAACCCGAATGCCATTGTGGTAATCCAATCTGGCACGCCCGTAACTATGCCTTGGGTAGACGATGCGCGCGCCGTGGTGCAAGCCTGGTTCGGCGGCAACGAGTGCGGCAACGGTATCGCAGACGTTCTCTACGGCGATGTGAACCCCTCCGCCAAGTTGCCTATTACCTTCCCTCGTCGCCTGCAGGATAATCCGTCCTACGTGAACTTCCGCTCGGAACGCGGTCGCGTACTCTATGGCGAAGACATCTACGTGGGCTACCGTTACTTCGAGAAGAGTGATCTTGCCCCTGCCTTCCCCTTCGGTCACGGTCTATCTTACACGACCTTCACTCGATCGGACCTGGACATCAAGACTGCTCCCGAGCAGGCCAAATTCTCCGAATCCGGCGAACCCATTACCGCCACTGTCACTGTTACCAACACCGGCTCTCTTGCTGGTGCTGAAATTGTCCAGCTTTGGATTGTTTCCCCTAAGACTGATGTCAATCGGCCCATTCGTGAGCTCAAGGCTTTCCAAAAGGTCTTCCTTCAGCCTGGAGAATCTCAGACCGTGCAGCTCAGCGTCGAGAAGAAGCTTGCGACGAGCTGGTGGGATGAGCAGCGCGAGCAATGGATCTCCGAGAAGGGCGAGTACGAAGTTTTGATCACCGGTACTGGTGCCGAGGAGCTCCGGGGTAAATTTGAGGTTGGCAAGACCCGATTCTGGCTTGGCCTGTAGATGCTACAATTGACGATGGTGCTATAATGATAGAAGATTATTATTTCCGGGTTTTTGTATACTGTTGTGACATGCATGATACTTATAGGTCTTACATAAGATCATTCTTAATTTTCAATGCGCTCATGTCCGTCATACCGTCCGCACATGTAGCCGGGCGGGTGTTTTTGGATTACGAATGTACGTATTGATACACCGAATTACCCGCGCCTTCTGGAAACATCATGACCCACAACGGGTACTCTCGGTGAAGCGATCGACAGGCGAATTGTCTATTGGCTGTGAAGAGGGGCAATAGAGGGGCAAGATCAGGCTCCAGGAAAATGGTGGACCTTGGTTTGTCCGCCTCCCATTGATATCGATATCTCTACTTTCGGCGATCGGTCGGAGCAGACAGCCTATCACATTTTCGCTGGAGCTCCTGCATAGCTACCACTGGCACGGACATGACATTCCATATTCACGCCACGATTGGGGCAATCGGAGGCGATAAAATGCGATCGCAATATTCATGTCACCTGTTCTTATTCTTATAGATCTTGGGTTAAGCTCGTATGATGCTCGATCTGGCCAAACTAAATCTACGATTAACTTCATATCATCATAATATCTAAAACATTTATTTCATCATGCAATAAATAAGGCTCGTGGCTCATGTACAACGAATTTTGAAGGCCAAAATCAGGCCGAAGAAAAAGCAAAGGGAGAGGAACATATGCAGAAACAACTCTACCATCCGCGACCAGCCAGCTTGTCAGCCTCGGGCATCTTGGCCACGTTAATACCGACCATGGCCTCACCAAGGCCCTCGCTAACCTGAGCGAGAACCTTGGCATCCTTGTAGTGAGTAACAGCCTGTACAATAGCCTTGGCGCGCTTGGCCGCGTCGCCTGACTTGAAGATACCCGATCCAACAAAGACACCGTCACAGCCTAGTTGCATCATCAATGCAGCATCCGCAGGGGTCGCAACACCGCCAGCAGCGAAGTTAACAACGGGTAGACGACCCTTTTGGGCTGCGTCAAGGACAAGCTCATAGGGAGCCTCGATCTCACGAGCGAAAGCGCGGAGCTCAGGCTCAAAGTCAGGGCTGGACTGCATGATACCGCGCGCCTTGGCAATCTGTGCATTGACAGTGCGCATGTGCTTAACAGCCTCGACAACATCACCAGTACCAGCCTCACCCTTAGTGCGGATCATAGCAGCACCCTCAGAAATACGGCGAAGGGCCTCGCCGAGGTTCCGGCAGCCGCAAACGAAGGGGACCTTGAATGTAGACTTGGTGACGTGGTAAACATCGTCGGCGGGGGTGAGGACTTCGGACTCATCAATGTAGTCAACGCCAATGGCCTCGAGGATCTAAGTATCGTAGATGATTAGCTTTGGAATGAGATGGATTTTAATTTTTTTGCCCCACGGCGGATGCGTCGATCCGCCACTTTGCGCTAACAGTCGCAGCACGATTAGGACCACTCAATTGTCTTGCACGTACCTGGCACTCGACAAAGTGTCCAATGCGAGCCTTGGCCATCACTGGAATAGTAACGGCTTCCATAATCTCTTTGATCATGCCTGGGTCGGACATGCGAGCAACGCCGCCCTCAACGCGGATATCAGCGGGGACACGCTCTAGCGCCATAACGGCTGCGGCGCCGGCCTCTTCGGCAATGCGGGCCTGGGGTAGGAAATGAGGTGTTAGCTATACTTTCTGGGGTGATGATTCGGAGAATCAAAAGAATTGTCAATGACTTACCTGCTCAGCATTGACGACGTCCATAATCACGCCACCCTTCAACATCTGCGCGAGGCCAGCCTTGACAGTGAAGTCATTGCTGTAGGTACCGTTCTGTGCCATTGTTGGAGATGGAGGGGTGGAAGGTATTAAAAATGAAGTTAGAGAAAGAGAGAGAGAAGAATGTAGAAAAGGAAATCGAAAAAGCTTGAGTTTAAATTTCCCAAGCCAAGTGAGTCAACAGGAAGTAAGTTTCCCCAAGGTTTCCCAAAGTTGCACCCCAGGCCAATCAGGTGGAACCTGCCCCTCGTGGAGAAATTACCGTTTATTCTACTATAGCGAGATCGGGCTTTTAAGTTACCCGAGGATACCGGTTTCCCTTTGGAAACCTCTGAACGTATTTATTACATGTATTTTTTCCATTTAGGAAGCTGGATTCAAATGACTCAATTGGCTCCTTAGATACATCCAAGGGGGTCCCGCGGTAATTTCGGATCAAACATTCTTGGTGGAAACATGGAAGGCACCGGAGCATCCAGATCCACATGATCGTCATACTGAAAACGGTCAATGGACGGAAAGTGTCTCTCACATGACTTCAAGATGTCTAAAGGTGTATAATATTATTAAATGAACATTCGAAGGGCAAATATGAAAAATGTCTGGTCTCAATTAACATTTGCATTTTAATGTTGGCATCAATTGATTCAAATGTTGCAAATTATAACATGTGATCATTTGAATCGATATATATCTCGTACACGCTTCCCTCACTTCACTCCGAGATCGGACCAATGCGTACATCAGTAACTATCGGTCTCGTTTTCCTATAATTCATACCCTGAGAGGATACCTATTTGCAGTTGAAGAAACATACCAGGGTTTGAGTGCACAATAGCTATTTCCCATATGCAGTAACCTTGCTGATGCATTTGTCCTCCGCATCAAATTGTATGAACGTCAAGAATGACGTCATTATATACATGTCCAACCCTGAAAGCTTCGAGCTACAGTATACATGCGGTCCAACATGCGTCGATCTTGCTCTCTGATTACTAATCCCTTTAGACAATCGGCGGCGTTGGACATTGCTTTGGCGCAAAATATGTCGCTCGTCTTCAGTTGAGCACCCAGAAGATCGATGTTGGATTCTTTGCACACCCTTCAAATTTTACTTGAAAAGGAGCTAAGAGCGATTAAAGAACCCCTGGTAATTGCTGTCGCTGAGATCAATAGCAAGTTTCCAGCTGAGAAATGGCAAAGCAGTGAGTAGATTCTCCAACAGAGTGTATTGCCTTGCCAGATAAATCTGTATAGAGGGGTAAATCATGGATATGTTTATCAAGAAATAGAGCACTTCCAAGGTTTTATGTATAGCTAGCTCTCAAATTTTTTTGCGGGACGCAGTGATCTGAGCAAGCGGGTCATGAAGTATGCCAAAGAAATTTCCGTGGTTACTGAGCCTCTGTGAACTTAACCGAGAATATAAAATGATGCAAGACAAGATGATTTGCTACATGAGGTATCTATTCCCGAAGTCATTTTGAAAGCAGTTTATCCACGGATTTTTTGCAGTGATCAAACTGCATTACATGAAAAATTGCTCCAACATCGATAACTCCATTCACATTATCCACTAAAACCAATCAAGACTATTACCTCGCTCCTTTAATCAATCTGGGGAGCAAAACCTGTCCATCTGTAGCTTTCCGTAGGTACATTCCAAGCAAGGGGCTCATCCCTGCTTTCTCGGCAAGATCAACCCACTCCGTAACAGAAACAACTTCAAATTCTGCACCAGTTCCAGCCTCCATGACATCTTGAACTTCCTCTTGTCTCAACTCAAGCTCTCCAGACGCAAAACGAAATCTCAAACCATCTCTGCCTTCAGATAAACTTGACTCGTGCACCGCTTCGACAATTTTCTCTGCCACAGAATCTACTGAAATCAAATCAAAACCCCCAAGCCATGATTTCGTGTCAGGAATCCTTTTTGTCTCCTGACAATATTGCATAATGTTGCTCATCAGATCTAGCTCTGGCGCATCTGCCCCCGAGACGCTGGAAGGACGGTGGATCCAGACCGGAAGACCAAACTGCTGGCTGGCTCGCTCCAGATATACTTCGCATACCCACTTGGCTGCCATGTACCCATCATCTGGAATGGAAGCAGGACAGTACGGAGCAACTGAAACCTCCCCAAAGCTGGGTTGCGATGCAAGGCGCGTAACGCTTGCAGAAGAAATGAAATGAAAGGGAATGCGTCTTGGCAAGGCCAGCTTGGCAAGTTCCCTTGTGGATGCCACATTCGTCAATTTGAGAGATTGGTAGGTCTTCATAAAAGACACATCGGCCCCGTTGTGGATGATGACATCGGCGCGAGTGAATATTGAGACCGCGTCGGAATCTGTCAGCCCTAAATTGGGGGCGCCCAAGTTGCCATTGTGCAAATAGACCTTCGGGTGGGAGAAAATCTCTGGTAGCTCGTCGTGTGAGCGTCGGACAGCAAGACAGTGTACAGCCTGAACAGTGTCTTCATCTAGTAGTTTCCGCAAGATCTCCTTGCCTATGAACCCGGTTGCTCCTGAGAGAACCACAATGCGGAGCTCCGAAGGCTCCTTCTGGTTGGCAAGGCCAGGCAGGGTGTCTTGAGATGATGCAATCATGGCGTCGATTTCCTCTTCCCAATTCACGGACATTTCTAGGTTGATAGTGGATTTTTTCCCCACAAGAGAAGCCATGGCGTGCAGAGTACTCGCCTCAAAAAGCTTATGTAAGGACACAGATACATCAAGCCGCTCTTTGATCAACGATTGCAGAGTCACCAGTGACATAGAGCTTCCGCCAGAATGGAAGTAATCTGACTGTGATCTGATTGACTGATGAGAGAGAACATCTTGAGGAATAGTTTCTTCCCAGAGCTGACGTAGAGAGTCTTCCAAAGGCAGAAGACCTTTTGGATTGATTTCTTGGTATGGGCTCTTTGGAATAGGAAAACTGCTCACGATCGAACGGTCCACCTTGCCAGAGGTATTCTGAGGCAGATCGTCAATGGGAATGATCGCAGCTGGGAGCATGTACGGCGGCAGCGGGAGGTCCGGGGTGATTTGCTCTAGATACTGTCTTTGAAGTTCGATTGTGGCGATGTCAACCATAACGACGAATGCAACGAGGAACTTTCGTGAAGCATCCTCGGCGGATGAACGAGGTGACACCACCACTTGCAAAACTTTGCCCTTGGAAGCCCTCAAAATCGCTGCCTCGATCTCCTCAAAGTTGATACGTATCCCATTAAGTTTGATTTGATTGTCACCGCTGATACGACCCATGAGATCAAGGCCACCATCCTCCGTCAGGCGAGCCCGGTCGCCGGAGCGATGAATTGTAGTCCATCCTTGGCTCCGGAAAAAGGGGCTTGTGTGTTGATCGGTTAGAAATCGATCCTTATTCTTGTCCACGTCGAGATAGCCCAGAGCGACACCTGCTCCTCCAATCACCAGCTCTCCTGGGATACCAATAGGGACTGGATTCAGGTCCTCGTCCACGATATAAACAGAGTTGTTTGGTAAGGTGTAAAGATTCATGGGCCTATATGCAACCAGGGTGTCAGATTCTATGTACGGAACCTCCACTGAGCTGCAGGCCATGGTTACTTCAGCTGGGCCGTATGCGTTAATAAGCGTTAAGTCTGGCTTGGCAAGAGATTGAAACTCCAGCATCAAGGCGTTGGAAAGAGTTTCACCACCGGAAATGGCCAGACTCCACTTAGTTTGTCCTATCTGCAAGCCCCCGTGACGGATCCATGAGAAATACTCGGTAGGGGTTGCAACCGTGGTGGTGATGCTTTCCGACTGAATGAGACTTGCAATTGCAGCGGGATGAACGCGATGTTGGTCGTCAGCAATGATCAACGTTCCTGCGTTGCTGAGTGAAAGCAATATTTGACAAATGGACATATCCCAGGCGTAGGACGATTGATGGAGCACTGTTTCCTTTCCTTCTCGGATACCCCAAGTCTCACTAAATGCGTGTATTTGATGCGAGAGTGCGTTATGGTTTATCATGATGGCTTTGGGAGCGCCAGTCGAACCACTTGTATACATAAGAAGAGCTGTCTGTGTCGCCTTCGATATGTTTTGCACGGGGGTTCTGCACACCGATTGAAGACAAGAAATATCGAGTGGTTCCGTTGAGATGTGGAGTTGATGATAGTCTGAGGCAGTGGTATTACTGGTCAGAATAAGGCAGGGCGCTGTCTCGGAGATCATGATTGACAATCGATCAATTCCAGACTTCTTGTCCAAGGGCACGTAAGTTCCACCAACATGCCAAATTGCCATCATAGAGCAAATCCAATCTGCGCCGGGGCGTTGGAAGACCCCAACTCTGTCCCCTGGGAGTATGCCTCTTCGAAGCAATTCAGTCGCAATTGCCGAGACTCGATTTACCAACTGCGAGTATGTAAGATCGAAGCCCCTTGGCTCTCTAAGAGCAATACGATCGGCATAGTTTGTTGAGATGTCGCCAATTCGATGAATCAATGTTTCGGGCCACGGATTCTCGATCACGGATCCTACCACCGGTCAGTACTAAAGAAATGCACCAAAGAAGGCCAACTTGCCTCTACCGGCAATCAAGCCCTTCTCGACATCATCCTTGGAGAATAATGCTGGCCAGAAAGTCCTTGTCGCGGGATTATCAATGAATGCTTGTATGAGACTGTGATAACTGCGAAGGAGAATCTCCGCATGTTGCAGGTCATACAGCTCCTTCTGGACCAGCAAGTAAATCGAAGTCTCTCCACCGACAACATCTACAACGTCGAGATGAAGATCATAGGGGATGCCACCAGTGCTCAACAGAGATGCGCTAGCCTCACAACCACAGAATTGGCGAGACTCCGCAATCTTAGGACGGTAATTGAAGGAGATCTGGAATAGGGGACTATGGGCAGTTGATCTAGGCACACTCAGTTCAGACAGAATGACACTCAATGGAATATGAGCATGCGAGAAAGTCCGTTGGGAAATCGACTTTGTATCCTTCAACGCCTCACCAAATGACTGAGATGATTTGCGATGGAATCGGATGGGAACAAGGTTGAGGAGTAACCCGATGGTGAGCATGACATCAGGGTCCGTACGATTGCCGTTCCCAAGGCCGATACAGACATCCTCTATATCAAAGAGCCTAAAAAGAAGAGTTTGCCAGATCGTAAGATGGAAGTGATACGGTGTCACGTTGAATATCGACGCACACTTCTTGATTTTGTCGGAGAGATCCCGGTCCAGGCGCATGTAGGCACTGTGAGTTCCGATATCAGAAACAGCGGGCCTAGCTGGTAGGCGAGAGAATGGAAGCAACGGTGCGACCGAGGGAATATCGGTAAACTCCTCTTTCCAGTAATCGAGACTCTTTTGCCAAGCCCCTGTTTCGTGGTCGCGTAGCTGTCTCAAGGTGAAGTCTGGGTATTGAAGCATATCGTCCGACAGAGGCACTCCACTGTAGGCTTTCTCGAGGTCTGACCATAATATCTCGACGCTGATGCCGTCCATGTTGATGTGATGAAAGCCCAGTATTAGCCAGTGCTGATCGCTAGACAGAGAAAGAAGTTTCATGCGAAGAGTTTCACCTTCTTCAATTTTGTAAACATGCAATCTCATCTGATCTTTGAAAGCCTCAATGTCTCGCTCATGACTGATGAGCGATCGTTCCAGTCGTAGTGTAGACTTGACCCAAACACCTTGCATTGCTCGTTTGTCCTCGCCCAAGAAGAAAAATGTTCTCAAAGCTTCATGATGCTGGCCCACTGCTTCAACTGCTCGGGCAAAGTCTTCAATCTGTAAGTGTCCCTTGAGTTGAAAGACTGCAGTGACATTGAATGCTGTCTGATCTTCGACGAAGGATCTTAGGAAGTAGAATCGTGACTGCCCGTGTGACATGGGAAGGGTTCGTTGAACTTGTTGTTTTCGAACAGTATCCGTGTCTGAGACATCATCGACAGAGCTTGCAGATGCTGATGTCTCCCCACTATGTTCCGAATTCGAATCCGTTGTCCCTACAGATGTGACTGAGCGCACGCTACCATTATTGTATGACGGGATGTACTCCAAATGGAAAGTCTTGACCTGATCACTTGATCCAGAAGTTGGTGTGTCCTGTGCAGACTCAAGATCTGGAGAACCCATTTGAGGCGTATGAGGACGCATCGCAGCAGGAGCGTCGGAAACATCTTTATCTGTCTTAACTTTAGGGATCAGCGTATCTGGGAGCAGACTGGCTGCCGAGTCGATGAGATCTCGAACTGATGCTGCATTGAAAATCTTCAGCACCGGCATATCAACGGCAATCTCCTTGAGGAACCAAGATCGAATCTCTACCGCGTTGAGAGAATCGACTCCGTGAGTATCCATACTAGTGTCGAGAATAGCCTTATCCGGATCAAGCTGTAGCATAGATCGCAGTTTGACCGTGAAAGCATCTTCATATTATGATTAATTGCCAGGTCGCTCACAGTTTTTGAATTTCAACATACCTTGCAGGATCTCCAAAACCTCCTCTTTAGAGATGGCATCAAGCAGTTGCAGCCTGACAATAACCCCTCCCTTGTTTCTCTTGCTTGTCACAGCTAGGGGATTGGCCTTTATTACCAAATGTTGGAAGATCGGGTTTGCAACCCAATTTTTGGACTCATCCTCGTCAATCCTCAACGAGCTGCACAACTCAGAACCACCCGTTCTTGCCATGCAAGAGAGAATTCCTTCGGCAAACACCTCACGAAAGTCCTGCTCTGACATCCAGGTGTGACCGACTCGGTAAAGATAAGATTGTTGGTCCATGTTTAACTCCCTTGTCACATAGCCATTACCAACAATTGCACCAATGTTGATGGCGTATCCGGCCAGTCCTCTACTCCGACGTTGATTTGCCAGACTGGCCATGAACATGTTTGCAGCATTGTATGCGACTTGACCGGGATTGCCGGTGATCGCAGCCATAGACGAAAAGAATATCATGAAATCCAACGTATCTTCAGAGAAGAGCTCATCGAGTAAAATGCTTCCCTGAATCTTAGGCTGCAGAACCTTCTCAAAGCGAGGTAAGTCGAGGTCAAGGAACATAGTGTCTTGAAGAACCATAGCACCTTGTGCAACCCCAGCAATCCGCGGCATTGTGTTCGCAAGTTTGTTGTAGGTGTTCGTCACGGACTCGCGGTTTGTAATGTCACTAATATTGTTAGAACATAATAGTTCACGAATTTCGACTACCGAAATAGCCTACCAAGCGAAGACACGGACTGTGCATCCGTTGTCAGCCATCTGCATTATCCATTTCGCGTCCACCTCGGGTTTGCGACTAGACAAGGCAATATACCGGGCGCCCTGCCTAGCCATCCATTGACATAGAGAAAGGCCCAGCCCTGCTGTTAGCCCGACCAGCCAGTATGTTTTGTTTTGATCGAACCTGACCACTCTTGTTGCGGGGAAAATCTGTAAAGGCAGCTTCTCACTTTCCCATCTGAGGATCACCTGTTTACCGGGGTGCGGCTGACTGTCAATAAGGCTTGTTAGGGTGAGGCTTGGCAGTCTGTCCAGGTTGATGGGGCTCTGGTCCATCTGAACCCTCAACCATAGATCCTGGAGCTGAGAGGCAATATCATCAGCAGCGGCCAGAGAAGGCGAGTGTCTTGAATATTGCATTGTCAGTGAAAGCTCGGTTTCCAGTCGGCACTCATCTGGCAAACACCCTTGAAGAACAGAAAGCAAGTCGTCATCGCCATAGAAATTGAACAATCTGATTACTTTCGGCGGTATATTTCTCATGATTTCGCGTCGCGTGGAGTTTCGATGCATATATATCCAGGGTCTTGAGCAAATACTGTTGTTTGTGGTGAAAAGGATCAGTCCAATTCCTCTTTTGTTTGCGAGTTGCGTGAGTATGGCAGCTAGGGAGAAGTCAGGTTCCAGGACCGCGATGGTGTTTCCCGGGAGCACGTTGCTGAGCAGTGCCCGAGCAATCAAGTGCGAGTAAAGGCTGGCCATTGACCGTAGGGATTCGTCGCTTGAATTCCCGCATCGAACACACCAAGACAGTGGTACGTGGATGCATGAGCTAAGATATTCCGAAAACGCGACAACATCGGCACCCGTTTCACACTCTTTTCCAGCCACCAAAAATAGGTGGTCACTTTGATTTATCCTCACAGGACGCAGGATTGAGTCTGTCACCTGGATTTGCACACCACTGTTCAATAAACGGGAATGACGATTTTCTGCTTCCAAGACTTGGTAATACCCGTCGGATATCTGAACTGTGACCGCAGAGGAATTCCGTTCCACACTTTTCACGATCAGCCGTTTAGAAGAATTGTATCGGTCATTCCTTTCGGTGTGCATTTTCAGTCGAGGAATGAAGAACTGTCCACTCCGCAAAGTTATTTGCGGCTCTGTATACCACAGAATATCTTGGAGCTGGCCTTTTTGCTCCCAGGAGTCCGTAGCCTCGAGCTGTATAAGCTTCTTGGCTATGAGATCGGATCTTGCATCTTCGAGGGAATGCAGATTCAGAATTTGCATTCGGAGATGAGGCATTTCAACCTGCAAAGTTCGTTGAACTCCGACAATCATGTTGGCAGATGGATTTGACCCCTGTGCACCATAACCAACCCACAGGATGTTCTTACTTTTCTCAAACAGTCCTTTGAATGCTTTCAAGCTTCGTGGTGTCATAGAAACAAGTGCAGGCTCATCCAGCTCGGACAGGCAGAGTACTGAACCCATTACTCGAAGGTCTGACAGGGAAATATCAGCCAATGAAGAGTAAAACTTGATTTTGCCGTAGTGACGGCCAACTGCTTCTCTTATGTCCAAAAGTAGAGATGTCGTCAATGAGGTTCGGCCGCCAACTATGGTCAAGGATTCAATTGCCATCACTTCATTCTTTGGAGCTAATGGGTCTCGTAAAATATTCAATCGTTGATCAACAGCCTGGGTCAACATGACCGAGAATGGAACCGGTAAATCCAGTTGGGAGCTTATGGAGACATCACAGCGAGAGAATCCTGTCTTGCCCATCAAGTCATTCCATTCTTCAGTGGATATACAAGGGGATAGGGTCCGGCCCTCAGAATGGCCCATCCACCATGCTGGAAGTCCACCAAGGACAAGGCCAAATCGCAACACACTTGGATTGACCAGTTCTAGGAGCAACAGATAGCCCCCGGGCTTGATAAGACGGCGAACGTTGGACAGCGTTGTCTCAAGACTGCTTGTCGCATAGAGAGCAAGTAAGGCAATGACCAGGTCGAATGATTCCGGGGCAAATCCTTGCTCTACAACGTCTTTCTCAACATCAAGGACTTTGAAAGCCATTTTTGTTTGGTATTCTTTGAACTTGTCTTGTGCCTGATCAAACTGACTGTCCAGGATATCGGTGTAGGTGTAGGAAGCGAAGCTCCTTTGCATGCCACTGAGGATCCATTCTGTATTCTCCCCAGCCCCGGCACCTGTATATCTAACATTAGAAGATAGTCATATCGTAAATTTTCAATTGGCTTACCGATCTCCAAAGCATTGAGGTTCGGGAATCGGTTACTTATCTGACCAGCTAACCGAGAGAGTTGTTGCAAGTAAAACTCGATTCCAGTTGTGCTGGAATAAAATTGGTTTAGTAGATTGTCCCTGGTGAGAATTTCAAATAGATTGGCTTCTCCTCGAACAACAGACGGTAGTGCTTCGCCAACTTGTCTCATGATCTTCATGTCAATGCTACCCGGGTACCTGAAATATGTCAGTCTACTAGATCTCAGCAATTTTTGAGGGGCGGAAAATACCGAGAGATGAGGTGCAAAATGTCTTCTGTCGTATCATCACAGCACTCTGCTGGGACCCAGGGGTTCTTATCTAATTTCACGGTTGAGACGCAATGGCTGGCGTATGCCAGTAATTGGGCGTGATGTGTCGCGACTGCTGGAATCTCAGACCCCTTCACTGATGACCGAAGGCTTTTCAAATAAAAGTGCGCAACGCGTTCTATTGCTGAGAGGTGTACTCGGTGTTCTTTGGAGTTCACATCCATATCAGCGACATCCCCTGTTGGTTCCTCGGGGGCCCACTGGATTTTAGTGAACATTGGAATATCATTTGCGGCTGTCAAGGGGGCGAGGGGAGTTGTATGAAGCCCCTGAAGTTGCACAACTGTGTATTGCCCATCGGCTGAATACAAATCCACATCTCCAGAGAGCTCTGCGAATCTCGTAGTTGCGACCGAAGCGTAGAACGAAAGTTCCGAGCCGGGCCCCGCGAAGTCGTGGTAAACAGTCAGATTGATACGGATGCTGTCAATTCTTGTAGGCAGGTAAAGCGTGCGCAGACGGCCGTCACCAGGAAAGGAGTACGCCAGCATGATTGCCTGTATCGCAGCGTCTAGTGATCCAGGATGAATCAGTAAAGGACTCTCCATGCTTTCATCTATCGGAATGGAAATGGATCCTGTGGCATGGTCCATCTTTCTTCTAAGGTTGGAAAGTGCACGGAATGGACCGGTATAGCCAAAACCAAGGTTGGAAACAAAGTTATAAAATCGGTCAGTCTCAACTTCGAGGAACGGTCCTTGGTGTTCAGTCCCTGGTGGTAGATCGCTATGACTGGGATTGCCAAGTGTAACCTTGATCCTAGCAGAGGCATGCAGTGATATTGATGATGTTCCTCTATTTGAATCGGAATAGCAATTGAATTCTGCCCATGCGACATCATCGTGCAGATCAGAGAGCTTCAAAGCATATATGATCTCTACCGGAACATTATCTTCCAGGACAAGAGCCTGGCCAATGATGAAATCTTGCAAATCCACCACTCTGATAGACGGAAGTCCGAACTGTCGAATCAGAATCTCAACGGCAGCGGATACATAGCCTGCCGCAGGAAAGACCATCTGACCCTGGACCTGGTGGTGAGCGAGCCACGGGATTTCTCGGGTATTGAGATAGTTTCGCCATCGGACCTCTTTCTGGGCGCCGTCCGCACATTGAGCTCCAAGAAGAGGATGGAACTTCTCGCCGTCTTCGCGAAATGTTTTCGATAAGCGAGACTCGTGCCAATAGACACGATCATGATCCCATGAATAAGTCGGTAGCCCGGTCACTAGTCTTCTTCTTTGGTCATCTGGAAGCACTTCATTGTCGAATTTTGCGAAATCCACGACATTCTCTCCCATGGAAATCCATATAGCTCCAAGTGCAGAGGAAAATGCCTCTCGGCTGTCTTTCCCTCGGTTGAATGTTCCTGTGTAAGGAAGTTCGCTTCCTGACACCTCCTGAATTGTTTGCAAAACGGGTCCTTTAAGCGCCGGATGGGGGCCAACTTCGAGCGCCATGTCAAAAGGTCCAAGTGCAGCAGTTGCAAAGCTCACTGCTTGCGAGAAGAGAACGGGATTGACCATGTTGTTGCTCCAGTATGTGTCTACTAGGCTATCGTTGACGTTCTCTATGTTCTTTTCATAAACACTGGAGATCCAAGCTGTACCTATATCTGACCGATCCTGGATTCTGATTCTGCAGTTCTGAAGGGCTTCGATGTAAGGAGCAGCGCAGGGTAGCATATGATGAGAGTGATATGCCTTATCAACTTTGAGCAACCGTGCGAACTTCTTCTCGTCTTCAAAGACCTCCTTCGCCTCCTCTATAGCATCCAAATCACCAGAAAGTGTGACACTGGCAGACGAGTTGCTCGCAGCAACACAGATTCGTCCCTCGAGAGTCGGCATATCACAAAGTTCCCGCGCATCTTCGATAGACGTTCCTGCGGCCATCATTGCTCCTTTGACTCCATTGACATCTGCGGAGTGTTGCAAAGCCCAACCACGAAAATATGCGATTTTTATGGCGTCTTCTGCTCTGAGATATCCGGCAGCGTATGCCGCGGAGATTTCTCCTGATGAATGTCCGACGACTGCGGTGAAAACAATACCCGCCGCGCGAAGCAGGTCGACCAGCATTATTTGAATGGCCGTGCACAAAGATTGGGAGAACAATGCCTGCCCTATTCGTGACGAGACAGAATCTTTCAATATCTCATCTTTGAGTGACCATGTAGGGCGATGCTCTTCTGGAAGGTTTTGAAGAGCAAAGTCCAGACGGGCAATACATTCAGCACCCAGCAATGACCCACTGACCAGCTCTGCTCCCATTCCAGCCCATTGTGCACCCTGACCAGTGAATATTCCGAGGAACTTTGGCCGGTTGATGCTCATAGACTTAGAAGCTGGAGTGGATCCATGATCTGAATGTGCCGCCCTGTTCAATTTTGCGATTAGATCAGCTTGATTGGATGCTGAGATAGATACTCGCACAGGCAGAGTAGACCGACGACAGTTCAGGGTCCATGACAAATCGCGGAGATTAACACTAGGTCGACCTTTTAAATATGCCGAATATTGAGCGAGAGTTGCAGCGAGGGACTTTTCTGAAGCAGCTGAGAAATTAAAAGGTGTGAATGCAAGAGAAGCGGAATTGGTTGCAGTGATGCTGTTTGTGCTTTCAAATAATTCCAGGATTGCATGCGCGTTTGCCCCACCAAACCCAAAGCTGTTGACACTAGCACGGCGAACTGCATTTTGTGGAAGATTGGGCCAGTTCTCAGCCTTTTTGATGATCTGAAGATCGCTATAGAATGGTTTCACAGCTGGATTTAACTCGTTTAATAGAAGGTTGGGAGGAATAACACCATTTTGCAGCGCCAGTGAAGCCTTGATAACTGCAGCGAGACCAGCTGTGCCTTCTGTATGTCCAATGATTGTCTTGATCGATCCGACGAACAGCGGGGGCTCCTCGTTGGATTTCCGGTAATAGCCCGCCTTGCGTCCAAAAAATGCCGAGCTGATGGCTTCCGCCTCAACTGGGTCTCCTGCCGGTGTTCCTGAAACGATTGGTCAGTTCAATTACTCCTTGCTATCAGGCTCAGTGGCTCTACTCATACCTGTTCCATGAGCCTCGAAATATTGAGGCCGATCACCAGCTTTGGTTATGTCAAGTCCCGCTCTGAAATAGGTGGATCGAATCAAGTCTGCCTGGGCCACTGGATTAGGCATTGTGATTCCTTTGGTACGCCCATCTTGATTTGTGCCAGTTTCACGAATGATACACTCGATATGGTCGCCATCAGCCAGAGCGGCCGTGAGTGGCTTGAGGACAACAACCGCAATGCCGTCACCACGGGCGTATCCATCTGCATCCTTGTCCCACATGCGCGACCGACCCGTCGGGGAGAGCATTTTCAATTTGCTCTCAGCGACATATTGTTCCGGGCCCAAAAGAAGATTCGTGCCTGCCGCCACCGCTACCTTGGTTTCACCGGTGCGCAAACTTTGCACCGCCTGGTGCATTGCGACCAGACTCGAGGAGCAGGCAGTATCAATGGTCATCGATGGACCATGCCAATTGAAGAAGTATGAGATCCGGTTTGAAAGAATGCTTCGAGCAGTTCCAGACGCGAAGTATGCAGGAATGTTCTGGATATCTCGACCCACAAGGTCTGAATAGTCGTTCGTCATCAATCCGACATAGACGCCAGTATCGGAGCCTTGCAATTTCTCCATGGGTATTCCTGCCGATTCAAGACTCTCGTATACTGTCTCGAGTAGCAGCCTTTGCTGAGGATCAATTGCATTCGCTTCCACTGGTTTGGTCCCGAAGAATTGGGCGTCAAATAGCCGGTGATCATCTGACAGGACATAGGAGTGACGGACATTGCTTGTTCCATGATGAGAACTATCTGGATGATAAAAGGCATCAGGATTGAACCGACTTTTCGGTATCTCGGTCAAGACATCTCGAGGGTTCTTGAGCAATTCCCAAAGCTTGGATGGGGATGTCGCATCACCGGGGAATCGACAAGCACTTCCCACAATCGCAATGGGCTCCCCGCCAACTTGGCTGTTGCTAGACATGTTGCGTTTTGGTTCTCGCGCAGTCTTGACGGCTAATGTTGGTCGGATGGCTCTTTCAGGGTTGAAAATGGAAGGAGACAATTCGGGAAAATCCAACCAAAATATCAATCCCGTGTGGCCCTGATCCTGGACCGACCTGCCATAGACGATATATATCAATAATTTCAAGACTCGATTTGATGCTACTGATCTTAAAATATTCGGAGATTGCGCTTCTTAGTAGTCAGCCTAATCCGAACCAACATGTTGCTTTAGGCATGTGGCATACATCCTAGCAAATCATGTTCCAATCCTCGTATTTAATTTCCAGTTTGATAGTTAATCTGGGCTGAACCTGCGTCCCGGGTAAATCTGTCCTTCCACTATGGGTCTAGTTGCCCTGGCAGGTCTTGTGGAACGCGCTCAACTAGCGCGTTTCCACGTTGGAACATTTTGATCGAGACGAAAACGGAGGCCGACTCCGACTCCGAGGCTGTCGATTGACTCGAGGATGTTAGTAACCAGGCTATCAGCCCTACACACAGCCTAATGATATATTGGGAACTTCATTTCATATTTGCTGCTATTTTAGCTGTACGACCCTCTATGGCTCGAATACCCCAGCATTCACCGAGGCATTGGCAAATGTAATCGGAGAGCGGATCAGACCATTGGGCTATCAGTTCATAGACTGGTCTGATGACATTATCTTTGCGTCTGATTCTTTTAAGAATTGTAATACGGTGTAGGGTTTTTGGATAGAATCGGGGTAATGATGGAACATTGAAGCACACATGGTGGCCAAATTTCCAACGCGACTGGGCGGGTAAATAGTGACTCGCCGCCTCTATCACTGCCTGTAGTACGCAAGTCAATACATCAGACAACATCTACTAAATGTTAATATTATATTATATTTATACAGTAGCCAGTTAATACCAGTGAGCGGGGGTATAAGAGCAAGAAGTTAGTTAAAATGAGGGTGATGCGTACAGGAACATTATGTTCGAACATGGAAGATTGGACTTGGGAATACGCATTTATTTTGGCTCTGGATGTACCTAATTCATCGACTCCTACAAATATGGGACTATCACTATTAGTTTGGTGATGAAATCCTTGACATTCAACAGGTTTCAAGCCAAATGTGCTTCAAATAAGACCTAAATTGACCAATTTTGACCAATATGTATTACCGTCTTGAATACCCATACAATGAGAAAACTTCAAGTCTGCCGCCGAAACCCCAAATTTCTTTAAGGCCACTGTTAACCTGCGCACGCGACGTCTGATCCAGTGTATTTCTAAGGAGAAAAGCAGGGTGTGCAGCTTCAAACCTGCAAGGAAGTCGGTAGAAACAAAAGATTCGTGTCAAGAGCATGCGAAAAAGCAATTTTGCAGGTAGTTTTGGCCGAAAGTGGCAGGAGAAATGCCACAACCGATGGCGCACGGACATGTGGTATGAGCCCCTTTGCTGCCTCTAATATCCGAATATTGAGACATTGCCTCACCTCATGGCCAGCTAGGATATTCTTTGTGAGCAAGCGCTTGAAATGCAAGGACTGGTGGCTATAAGCAACATTGCATGGTCTGGTTGTCAAGGATCCCGACCAGGTACTTTATTTGAATAAGCAGTGACCAGATTAAACGTGAATTGAAAAGAGAAGAATTCCAAACATTCCACCTGCGACGTTGTGATAGTATTTAGAATCTAAAAAAGGTTGGAAGACACCCAAGAGAAATTTTGAGATCAGGAGAACACCTGTACTAGGTGTATATGGTTTACAAGCCAGCCCACCGCGCTTCCGCGCGGCATCAGTATCATGCCGATGATGAATTACCCGAGTAAAGCTAGCGAGGCATATTGAAAGGAGCGAAAGGCAAAAGTGAAGATCCATATCTGCGGCAAACTGACCAATAAGATGCTGCAAAAAACCACATGTTCTGGAGTAGTATAGGTGTGGATATCTTTTTACATTCAAATTTACTCTTTCAACGCATCATGTCCCCAGTTCTTGAGGGATCTGTAACTCTTGCTTTCCGTGTTGCGTTTCACGCTCTCCTCCTGGGCTAGGTGGCGTTTGCAGTAGGAAACCACACGTCGCATGTGGTCAATCTCAGAATCCGAGTAATCAGAGGGATTTCCATCGGGGTTGTGCTCAAGGATTTGCACAATCTTCTGACCACTGTTTGACTAGTCAATGCTGGTCTAACCTGAATCGGGCACTAGTCAACCCCACCTTTCGTGACCAATCGTCTCTCCTGAATCGTTGGTCCAGCCCGAGGACATTGATTGCTCTTCATTAAGCCAATCACGTAGTTCAACGGGAGTCATGTTAACGAGATGGTTGAACTCGCTAAAGAATAGCTTCATGTAAGTTTCCATTTCAGGACTGTTGAGCGGAACGGAACGGAACGAGTCCCACCTGATCACCGTATTTCTCGACTTCACCATGGTTACTGAGAAATCTTTCTAACTTGATATGTTTTAGTTAATGTGCAAGTTTGCAAATTTTGTGATTTGGAAAAAGTTCAGAAATTGTCAGCTTGATGAAATTTGTGGCAAACTTTGGCAGATTTTGACGTCACAATCACCTGAGTCACCGCATGCGTACGATCCAAATCTTAGTTTTCCAATTAACTAGGATAGTCCGTACAGAACAAATAAATAAAAGGCTTGACGGCTTAATCCGCAGATTTTCTAGTGGATCCAGGGAATGGAGAAATGTGGCGTGCTTGCCAAGGCCGCCAAGCCTGATTAAGAATGTAACTTTGACTGGTCAAAAGATAGGCGTATCGCAGCCCATCCTCTAGATTTAAGCCTACTGAATTTCTTCACCCAGTGAAGCCATGCATGAGGATGAAGAATTAGCTTATCTATATCCAATTATGCTTGAATTTTCTGTACTTTGGGTCCAGTTCTCCCCAGACCAAAGAAAACATTTGAAGAGATCGACGGGCCGCGCCCCCATTAGTGCGTAAAATATAAGTAAACAATTCGTGTTTCAAAGCTCCACTCCCCACGCCTCATTCAGCTAGTTCATTAGTTACAGTCTGTGCTCCGGGGCAGAATTTCTCCAGTCCCCGGAGATCATTCGTATAAGGGGAGGCTTTTTTCCAAGACTTTCCCGTTCTTCTTGGCTCTACTTAAGCTTTTGTGCTTGCGTCTGATTTCCACTGCTTAAGCATTTGGCAAACCATACAATAGCCCATCATGTCGTTCGATTCGCTGTCGCCCCAAGAGGTCATTGCGAACGTCGCAAAGGCTGGAGTGGTGAAAGGTAACATGAGACTGGACAAAGTGTTTCTGAGCGCTGTCTCCGCTGGTTGTTTGCTTTCTTTTGCCTGTGGCACTGCTTTGAGCACAAATGCCTCTCCCTGGTTCTCGGAAAATGCTACTGGTTTGCTTCGTACCATCGCTGCTTTGGTTTTCCCGTACGGATTGTGCATGATCATCTTGTCGGGCGCAGACCTTTGCACTGGAACGTTCATGGTAAATAATATCTATTGACTATCGCTGTTCTCAATGCTAACAAGACGTCAGTATACTACTGTTGCGGCCTTGCAACGACAGCTTCCCTGGTGGAAGATGTTGACTCACTGGGTCGTCACATTCCTTGGAAACTTGGCTGGATCCTTGTTTATGGTGGCCATCATTTACGGCTGTAAGTATCCCCTTGCCAATTTTTTATCATTTGGACAAAACTAATATCTATTGTTAGATGGTGGAGTCTTTGACGATGATCCCTACAAATCGACGGTCATTTCATATGCGACAAAGAAGCAGCTTACTCCTGATTTCCACATGATATTGCTCCGCGGAATCGGTTGCAACTGGCTGGTTTGCCTGGCATGCTTTTTTGGTATGCAGGGACGTGATCTCGCATCAAAGATCATGGGAATCTGGTGGCCGATTTTCGCTTTCGTGTCTCTTGGATTCGATCACGTTGTCGCCAACATGACATTTATTCCCATGTCCATCTGGTTGGATGCACCTGGAATCAGCGTTGGTTTGTATATCTGGAAGGGCATCATTCCCGCTCTCATTGGAAATATTATTGGAGGTGGTGTTTTCTGCGGTAAGTGGAGAATGTTCGACATCAGTATGAGCATTTCCTAACAGTGTCCAGGAACTTACTATTGGTACATGTACCTTCTGGATCTGAACTCGCTCTCAATTCCTGGCCTGAAAAGGGGAGCAAATGAAGCCCGAGTTGAGAACCAGGAAAGATTCTCCACAAAGGAGAGCGATATCGAGGCAACTGCTGGAACCTCGAACGCAGTGTAAACAAGAATTACCATGACTTTAAAACGTTCTTGCCTATTTGACATGAGTTACGTGACAAATCGAGGGAAAGGAAGAAATAATGTTATGTTGGACCTCAGGAAGGTCCACGGCACCTGGGGTCTTTCGAACCACCCGTTTGAGGGTAGCATTGATTGTTAATCTAGATAATTTATGACCTTGGGAGTAGCCCTGGAGGTTATATGTATATGACACTAATATAAAAGGGGTTTAATACCACATAGCCAGAGCGACCACTTTTATTGAAGAAAAAAATCATCTCAAGTGCTGAGTCAAGGATAGGATGAAGTTCTAAATGCTACAATCCGGACGGCTCAAGCTGATTTCCAGGGGCAGAATTGGTCAAAGCAACATTTGAAATGTTTGAATCAAGCACTTGAGAAGTCATCAGAAGAGTGGAAATCTCGGCGTGATCCAGAAGCCTGGGTTCTGGTTTCAATATTTGAAATTGTTGTTCGGACCAAAGGTCTGACGTCTCAATATGGACATGTGGCCTCCGTTACCATATCCAGATTGGCTTTCTCCTTTTGCTCAGTACATTTCCATCTCCACATCACTCATTAATACAACTCTCTTGTGCCTTCTGATTTTGGTCACTACTGTTCCCCTAGTGCGCCGCCTAGCACGTTGGTATATATATTATATATTTTCAATGTGTTTCAAATTTCAGGAGTATGTGGTTCTGCCCAGGTGGGCAAATTTATATCACCCAGGTCAACAAGCCTTGCAAGACTTTTTGATTCGTAACAGAGGGATACTGTACATGTGAGCTTTATACCAATTGACCAATCGCAGCGACCTTGGATCAATGCCTTAGGCACTTATCTTGACAAAGGACCACGTCATCTCCCGTTCCGGCCCAGACGCGACGAGAGTGGCCCTCGCCCCGCCAACCCCGCCGGATTCACCGAGTGACGAAAGGGAATCTTCAACACCGCAAGAACTCATTCTTCCAAATCACAACACCTCAGCCATGACCGGACAACCCAACCTCTATAGCTTTCCCAGCACAAATGCCCTGGCAGAGCAATTACGCCCTTACGTCCTTGCTAGCCAGAATGCCGCTTTAAGCCGCCACGATACCTTCCGCGTTGCTGTCTCCGGTGGCTCCCTGCCCAGCGTCCTCGCCCGCGCCTTGTTGGCTCCCAGCAATGGCACTCCGGAAGACACACCCCAGTTCTCCAAATGGCACATCTTCTTCGCCGACGAGCGTGCCGTGCCCCTCGATCACGAAGATAGCAACTACCGTCTCCTGCAGGAGGAGCTTTTGAACAAGATCCCCGCGGAGCTCGGAGCTCCGACCGTGTATCCCATTGACGCCGACGCCGTCCAGAACGATGATACCCAGGAACTGGCTGATCTCTACCAAGAAGACCTGATGCGTGTATTCGCCGCCAAGGACAGCGTTAAGCTGCCTATTTTCGACCTTATCCTTCTTGGCTGTGGCCCCGACGGCCACACTTGCAGTCTATTCCCTGGCCACGAGCTCCTGCGGGAGAAGGATGCCTGGGTCGCACCTGAGAACAACTCGCCCAAGCCCCCACCAAAGCGCATTACCCTTACTCTCCCTGTTGTCACCTCGGCCCTTCACATCGCTTTCGTGGCTACCGGAGCTGGCAAGAAGGATATTATGAAGGCCATCTTTGATAGCGAGGAGGGTCGCAGCCTCCCATCGGCCTTGGTCAACCAAGGCGGCGGTGAGAAGGTGAGTTGGTTCACCGACCACCCCGCCATTGATGGCGTTGCTTTTCCCCGTCGCGGCAGCCTGTGAAGGAGTTATTTTGATTTGAGCTTCTTGGGACACAATCAAATTTGAAAGGCAAGACTTATGGGCTTGATGCCGGGCGTCGTGTATATGTGCACTTTGGATGTGTGATGGCAATATTTATTGACCTTCTGCGATTGGCCGAGGCTCTGTCGCTTGCAAATCAGTATGTTCGAGATCTAACTCGTGCATGATATTTCTTGCCCTTTGTATTGAAAGGTGTTTCCAAAGGGCCGATACGAGCAAAAATAGAGCGTGACGATGACCAATGAAAGTACCCTCAGTCAATTCACTGTTTCCTAGAACGGGCTAGAGCTCGTAGCCAAGTTGAATGATAAGAATGTTGTGTAATTCAATCTGAACTTCAATTCTGCTGTGGAAAAGGAAAGACAGGAAGCCAAGGCTCCGCTTGTGTAACAGGATGTCCACCAGCCCAAGGCATCAGGCCAGCCCCCTCAATGCCCGATCCAACTGCTGTATCTGCTGGTTGCCATGTCCACCCCAGATCCGACATGAATAGTGTCTGAAGCTCTTCAAGGCTTGCATGACCGAACTCAGCATCGGCTGAGCTACCTGTTGCTGGGTCCTGAGTGGGTGGTCCGGTAGTTGGGTAATCAATATCAGAGCGGGATTCAGGAATCACACTGTTGGGTGCAGATGAGGTGGACGCTTTTTCTGGGGCGTGTCTTTCCGGTATTGACTTGCGTGCCATGCGGAAGATAGACAGGGGGTTGAGGACATAATCTGGGGCGCTCTGTATTGGAGTCCCGGGAAGACTTTCACTGCATGTGATGTTAGTAATTTGGTTTGATAGAATCTGGTGAGCCGTATTTACCTTGGATCTTCGTCACCTGTTTGATATGGATCATCTGGGATGCTGTTTTGAGCTACCACCTCAGAGCCGATACCGGATCGATCAAACATAGTCTCTGCAGCTGAGCACTATGAGTGGAGAATGGGTCAGTAAATAGTAAACAAACTATCACATGTCACGATTAAGACACTTACTAAGGAGTTGGCGATGATATTGAGATTTCCCATCAATTTCAAAGCATCAATGTTACTCTTCAAAAGAGGCAAAGTTTCTGCCGTGATAATCCTTGTTCGTTCGGCGCGAGGGTCAAGAATTTGAGTTAAATGATATACCATGATCCGACAGCTATCATACGTGATGGTCGGGAGCCATGAATCTGCCAACGCCCTAGTGCCATGGCGGGCTGTTTCACCAATTATTGTTGCTAAGGCCCTTGCAGCATCGAACAAGACTCCCTGCAGATGCCGAAGAAAATCGCTTTGTTCCAGAGGAAAGTCGAAGGCAGCACGGAGCTTATAGAGTGCCGGTGCCCCTAATCGATACAAGTCGCATATTGTTTGATAATGCGCGCAATGTAACACACACAGAGCGCCAAGTTGAGCAGAGTCCTTTCGGATGTAAATTGCATTCGGCGTGAATTGTAGGCTCGCTGGTAATGATTCATACCAAGCGCGACAATCTCTGTCCAGGATGGCAAACTCGGATTCTGGCAACCAAGGAACCATTGCTTCGTCGAGATGCTTGATGTACCTGCATGTAAAGTAAGTATAGGAAACGACTAAAGATATTATGATTCATCAATTCCCTTGTCTCACTTACCTTAATACTCTTTTTCGAATTGCAATGTGGCGGATGAAATAGGCCATCATTCCCATGTTCGGCATGAGTGCATCGCTGTCGAGCTCTCCAGGTATGAATTTTAACCAGTTTCCAGGCTCCAACGTCTCAGTGAGACATGGAATTTGCCTAATGAAATTTCTTTCGTTGCAGGGCAATTGGATCTTCATGTCTTTCTCATCAACCAGCGTGAGTTGATCCACCCCACTACCAACCAGGGCATCCATAATATAACAGCTCCACATTAATCTTCGCCGTGATTCTCTCGCTGTAACAGAAGGTCCTATTTCCACGTTCTGGCAAAGAACATCGGTATTATACTCCAAGTTGATCTGAAGTGCTTGAGTCATTCGAGTTATGAGTCCACTGAGCATGAATGCGTTTGCAAAGTTCCCCATGCGGACTGCGTGATCATGAAGCAGAACCGATGCCTATCATGCTTTATTAAATCTAGTTTTCTCCAAAATTAGTGTCTAAACTTACCATCAACTTTTCGATCGTAATCGTATCGAGCGCCTCCAGGATCAGCCTCTGCGCAATCTTAGCCCATTCGGCCCCGGCGATGACGACGAATTTTGCTGGAAGAGGCGTCATTGTCTCACTGTATGAGAGTGCATGGAATCTGTACCCTGTTAATATGATCCGATGTTCAGAATATGAAAAATAGGTTCTAGCTTACTGGGCGCCCAGTGCGCATATTATATGTAGAAGTGCATGGCTCTGATATCTCTTTGGGCCATCTTTGTCGAGCCTTTGGAGGAATGAAGGTCTATGAATAAAGGCAAAGCACCTTAAAGGGTGGATATTGTTGAAGAATTCTTCGACCAAAAGCCCAATTTTCCCTCGGTCGGGCAAATGTGAAGCAGTCAACCTGACGACAGTATATTAGTCAAACGAATCCCGACAAGGGGCTGCCATTGACAATCTCACCAATATAGAGATGTGGGAATTGGCTCAATAGTTTCTTTTACGAGAGATTGAAACAATGGACTTGGGGTTGAGGAATGCGAGGAAAGATGGTCAAGCCGCATAGAGTCATTGTCCAATTGATTGTCTCGCGACTGATCAGAAATAAGCGAAGGAGGTGAGAGAGGTTTCTTGTCTGTCGAGATGCTCTCAACACGCCGGATCCAACTTGGCTGCGAGGATTCCGAATAGACACAACTGTGACCTTTTTCCTGGCATCTTCGGCAAATCGGTCGGTCCCCCGAGCATTTAGTTTTGCTCCCACGACAGGCCGTGCATGATCTATAAGTTCTCTTACGCTTGGAGCTCTCTGTTCTGTCCTTTGAAATCTCCTGGACCTGTGAATTTGGTGAAGCTCCATAGCCGGAGCAAACTAGTCGCAGTCGAGCACAGTTTCCACATTCACCTGGCTTTTCGTCACACTTGACCTGTTTTAGAAACAAGAAATGTTAGACAAGAAAGGCGCCGGCAGATCGACTGAATAATCTCACTTTACGTGCACGACAGGTACGACAGCCTAGTAAAGTTAGTATGTTGACATCACTTTATGATGGTCTTCACTTACCGAACCGCGATCGGGATGGTCTTGGGGCGGTTTTGGAACCCATGCCTGTCGCCAATCTGGTGTCCGCTTTGCGAGTATCCCGAAATCATCAAGCTGTTGACAGGGAGGCATTGTGCTGAATACTTGTCGGGCCATCGGCAAATAACGGCCTATCGGCTGACGTACTTAGCGTGTGGTGAAATCCATGTGTTAAATGACGAGATGAAAAAGCGGAGAATGCGGGGCAGCGGATCTGCAAATCAAATCGATTTTCTTCTACTTGACCAACATAATCAACATTTAGCTTCTTATTTTCATGCTCAGAAGAACTGAGTTCATCTCCTGATAGGCCCATACAATTTAATAACTTTAATGAGATGAAGTCATTTATTCAAGTACGTTTACCCCTCAAAAAATGAACTAGTTGTGAATCATTATATCTCTAGAGGGTTTTTTTGCATTGCGATATCTATGGAATTTGAAAGGATTAGTGTTGTGCTCTCACTGGGAGGCCTCGTGAACTCACCTTTCTCTTGGGCGGTACTCTCATATGTATTCGAAAGGTATACCAATGATCCTTTCATTGATTTTAACTTCATCTGGGCAGCCTGCTCCGCAATAAAACTGTTTTTCATGTCCTTCGGCCATGACCCCACTGCTATCTGTCATCCTACCAATGCAGCTTCATGTTCGAGGCTGATTCTATCCGACTATCGAACATTTGAAATCGGGCGAGGTTTCCAGTCTAGCGCTGTGACGCAAGCTGACTGGAGCTTACAGATACGTACACTGACAATTGACATAAACAGTTACAAATGCGCACTTCTTCCAAATACCACCTCCTTAAGCCCGCATGCGCGGAAGCCCCTAAAGAAAAATCAAGTTTCGTTGCAGTCCTCATATCCCAGCCAACCCGCTGAACCTATTTCATTTCTATTGTAATGATGGAGTTTACTGAAAAAATCCCGGATTCTCAGACAGCAGTCATTCAGCATGACGATGGAGTCCTAAAAGTCACCCATGGCTTGCCCATTCCAAAACTTAGTTCTCATCATCTCCTTGTGTCGACCAAGGCAGTGGCTCTGAATCCCTGTGATTTTAAAATGCCCCTAAGATTTCCCACCCCGGGTCTTTGGGACGGTTGCGACTTTGCGGGCATCGTTGTTGCATTGGGAAGCCAGGTCGCTGCAGATGGTCGATTCCACCTTGGAGACCATGTTTTTGGGGCAGTTCAAGGCTCCAATCAATCCGACCCTCAATCTGGTGCATACTGTCAGTACATTCGTGTCGTCGCGGACTTCACGTTCCATATTCCGAAAGAAATGTCCTTTACAACCGCCCCAGGCTTATCAGGAACGGCAATCGCAACCCTCGGGGTGGCGCTGTTTTGGTCACTGCAACTTCCAGGAAAGCTGGATGATCCAGCTAGCAAAAGAGAGGATGTTTTTATTTATGGTGGAAGCAGCACCATTGGGCTGCTTGCCATTCAAATGGTGAAGCTGTAAGTCGACTTTTGCTTGAATATCAATACCCGTTTTCAAATTAACACCATATAGGTGCGGCCACCGGGTCATTACAACGTGCTCCCCTCACAACTTTGACCTGGTCTGTCAGTACGGAGCCGATCTTGTGTTTGACTACAAGCTTCCAACTTGCGCGAAAGACATCCGGGACGCAACCAAGAATACTCTTCGATATGTGCTGGATCCCTTTTCTGAGGTGAAAACATTGCGCATATGCCAGGAAGCAATGGGCCGGACTGGTGGTCGCTACTGTGCCTTGGAACAATACCAAGACGACCTCTTCACACGCAAAACCATCAAACATGAGCTGGTCATGGGAGGTGCTATATCTGGTGAGGGTGTAAAACTTCCGGAGCCATACGGTATTTCGCCCCGTCCGGAAATTGGGGAATGGGCTCGAGGCTGGTACCAATCCGTTCAGCAACTTATTATTGCCGGAAAGTTGAGTCCTGCTCCCGTGGAGATCATTCCGGGGCGGTTCGAAGGTGTCCTCGGCGGGTTGGATACTCTTAAAGCGGGTAAGGTGTCTGGAAAGAAGCTTATTGTCGCTATATAAACCGGAACCTTAGATTAAGTAGCTATTTGAGACTATTTATGCAGAAAATGAAATATATGACGGTGGTTTCTAACGCTCTGAGTTCTATTATGTCCATCAATGACTTGTTTACTACTACCCTGAATCAGCGTTGATAGGGACCTACTAGCTTCGCAGGCTTGAAAGTCCTTCGGAACGTGTGATATTTGATGAGAAGTAGAACAAAGAAGGTGAAGGAGAAGAAAATGAAGAAGCAAAAAGATGATTACTTCTAAATATAGCTCGATTCCACCATTAAATTTCGAATGCAGCCCGCCGTTCCAAACTAAGATTGGCGTGGTCTAGACTGACCCCTTTTCGACTTATTATCTTTCATTGACTCTTGAACACAAAGTATCTGGATTCAAGCAGCATCCACCATTGTGTCATTACGTCTCATTATGCATGATAATCATACACCATTCGCGCAGTAACTGTCTCATCCTTCTTCAAAGTCTTCGAAGTCACAGCAGTGCGGGTGAGGTATCGCTTCCCGTTGATCATTTCGAAGCCCCAGAGCACGTGGGCAGTCCAACCCATCCTCGTATTATAAGCAGCCTCATCAATCACCTTATTTGAGCAACAGCCATCTTCAAATGCCTGACGAAGCATATCGTCTTTGACATCAGCGGTGTTCATGTATTTCAGCTGCATGACGATATCTCCGAAAATAGGAAGTGACATATCCTGCCCGACTCCGTTCAGGGGGCATGATGTTTCACTGTTAAAGCCACCAGGATGAACAACTTGCTTTACGTGCATGGTCGTGACCGAGCCAATGTCAGACGAGGAGTCGGTGATACTGTCGCTGCTAGCATCCGACAACGAAACTGACTGGGTGATTTGCAAAGAGAGACTGGCAAAGCGGAGAGCTTTTCGGGTAAACCAGGGTACACCTTGCTATTCTTCTTCAGTCATCGCCAAAGAAGATCAAATTAGGGCAATATTCATACCAAGGCAAATACTGCATCCGGATCATCGGAGAGTTTCCTGTCCTGCGGGAAGTTATTAACCTTATGGTTCAAGTCTCGGGAAGGGGAAACATACCAGACTCCATGTTCCAGCCAAATCGGTGATATCTTTCGAGAAGGGAGCAGCCATTGTTTGATGCAGAAATTTTCTTGAGTAAAACACAAGGGAAGAATTCGCAGGTCCTGACTATTCACCAGGGTAAATGTGCTCAAATATGTCTATTCTCTATGGTTCTCTATGATGCGAAGCGCAAGGGACACCGAGGATCGGACTCGGTATCGGTATCGGATTTCGAGGCTGAAGCTGAATGTTTGATTAGTAAGTTAGTAGGACTCGGCGATTTGTGGATGTATCCTCAGTTCTAGTATCAATTCAAATGGGCAGTTTTTGGATACTCAATAGTTGATGAATCCCACCGGATAATAATCCGCCGAAGCCCAGCGAGCATCAGTAAACATTAGATGAACCCAAGCCAAGGTCAGATATCATTTGGGTAGTAGTATCTCCATTTCGGGTCACCAAATCCAGATGCAGCTTGTGCACATGTGGGTTAATATGCACTGGAGAATTCAGAATTTTCATGGTATATTTTCTGGTTCGCCCCCACTAATTAACTGGATATCCGAGTATTCGCTAGTAACGATGCCAAACATGACCACCAAGTGCTACATAGTATCAAGTATCTCCGCGACTATATTGCCTTATTAACTGCGCCCATTGTCAGATATCATGTGTTCATGTTGGGTATTGAATAAAATTCCGGCAGCAGAATGAGTCCCATGTTATAGTCACGTCCACAAAGCGAACAAAACACCAGTATAAATGGTATCATTAATCCACCGGATCCTTCAAAAGCTCGCGCAAACAGTTCATTGTTTCTTTCAGAGGAATCCCACACTGAACTTGCTCCTGTGTCATAATGTGGTCTCGTACAGAAGCCAAAGGGCCACTTCCCAAAATAGATGCAACGGGACTCGTTACTCCATCCATATCGCTGCAAGGCATCCCTAGAGCCTGCTCAATCTTTGCCAACATTTCAGTACTGAAGTCAATTAAGAATTGCATTTGTACAGTCAGGTTTCCGTCCATCTGAAACTGTCCGTACTGTAAGCCTGGCAGTAGCAGGAATGCAGCCGCGTCGACCGGAGGAACAAGAATAAAGAGTTGATAGATTTGGCTGAAAATGGCTCGATAGACGCGAATAAGATGGCAGTATACTGTGAGTATTCCCATGGACGTTGATACGTCACATTGAGGTGGTAGTAAAGTTCCTGGCTGATCCAATAGGGATGGATTTATTCTGCGATGACTCGAATCATTGGATGATGCGGTAGATGCGCCCCGTTGCTTCACATTTTGGGGAGAAGACTTCACGTCCTCAAATGTATTCAACTCCCCGAGAGAAAACTCGATACTCGGGATGACATGAGAAGGGTTTTCCGATGAGCCAATTCCAGATTGAAGGATCTCTAAGAATTGTGTGGAATGGCTGAGCATGCGAAAAATGGGTATGTCAAGCTTCCCGGCCGAGAAGCTGATGTCGTCGCCAAAGAAGGCTGAAGGTTGCAAGATATCCACGTCGGCTTCTAAAAGTTCGAGATCATCTATCAGTTCTAAATTCAATATAAGCAGCCTTTTGCGCACATTGTAGTTGTTTGTCGTGCTCCAGTCAGTCGTGCTTATTGTTCCTTGCTTTTCATTTTCGGCGACCGCAGGTATCCTGTCCCAGGAAGCACCCCAAATACCGTCCATGACAGTTGAAGGGCATGGGTCTAAGATGTTAGGAGGCTCTGAAGGCAGAGATGATACGACACTGTTGTACGATTCATCTTGAAGATTGAACGGCTCCATTAGAAGGGCATTTGGGACCAATTTTTGGGGATATAGGCCATAGTCTGACTGGATGAAGAAATCTTCGACAGGGAGCTGTTGAAAATTCAGTCAGCAGTATATCAATCATAACAGAATCTGCAAATCCTCACCATCGGGTTCAAACCTGTTGTCCAAGGTGGTTGTTGCTCGTTCCATTGATCAAATGGGAATACGGTAGCAGGATACGAAGCTGCCTGGAATCCCATATCCACCGAGAAGGGGGTCGTATCTTCAGTAACCCAGGGTGAAAAATTCTCTGGATACGGCCAACTGTTGTATTTTGGATACTCGGGCTTCCGGACGTTGCCTGCTGATAGAGACTTCTTCACTTTGGAGTTGGTCGATTTGTGCAGAATAGGCATAGAATGTCGCTCAAAGCCCATAGATCGTGGATCACAGTCCCCTTGGTAAGAGCAATGTCCGCTTTTTGAAGAAAGGTAATTTGAAGAAGGATGGTTGATGCTTGTCGTACACAGGACCTGAGCTTTGAGACACCTTTCGCATGATCTGCCATTCACATGATCGCGCTCACAGCGCAGTTTGAATCCTCGGCATCGATCGCAGGCTGACCTTCGGGATTGCCGATAGTTGAGAGCTGGATTCATAGTGATCGAAAGTAACAATAATTGATTGACGGTAGTACTTTGGGGAGATGTAGGTAACCAAGTGTGGCGGAATAGGTACTTTGATGACAAGTCAGAGGAAGTACTGACTTTCCGGCATATACTTCAGATATGTCCAATTCTAATATGATCGACTTGTAGATTAGACCAAGATACAGGCCCAAGAGATGTGTGGCTGTATTTGAAATAGGTACATGGCCACGGTACTGGGTCTCTGAAAATGTTCCAATAACAGAGCATCGGAATTCCATGACCACATGCGGTTTATTCGTTCAAATACTTAGTGTATGTTAACTCGCGTTTAATGATTGATAGAGTGTATTAACTAACGAATCAGGGTATTCAAAGAGCCAAAAGAAATGGTACAGTACTCCAAATGCCCCCCGTACTTATTTGTGTCATAGAACCTTCATATTAGAGTCGATGAGCTAAGGCATCTATCCAATGTCCCTGGAATAGATATGACAAATTTCAACAAGATTCTACTTTTTGAGATGTGACACAAAGAAAGCATGGTAGCGCGCGCTGGAGGTTGAATACACAAAAGTAACTTTAACATTCTGATAAGAAACAAAAGCAAGGGAGGTCAATGTTAAGGAAAATGCCAATTTGGTATGGTATCACAGGTTCATGTTATCAAGGATACCATGTGAGCTTCTGTATGACAGAGGAGCACTGACAGCGCGTTATCTAGAGCCCGAGCTTTTGGTTTGGGAATAGCCGCTAGAGTCGTACATATCCCGGGCAGCCGGAAAATTAAAATCAGAACCCAGCAGGGATATAAATGGAACCATCCTTTGGATTGGCGGCCTTTTTATAGAAGCCCATATTTTATGCCCCATTGCCCTTGCACCGTCAGTTCTGTTCTGAACTAAACCTCATGCTTGAGTTGCACGGCGTCTGTGGCTTTAGTTCAAACGGCAAAGTGAATTCATTCATGACAAAAATAGCTCGAGTTGCCTGGCATAACATATCGCGTCTTCCAATTTGATGCATTTCCTGATGGGTCTACATCACCTGGGCGCGAGGAAACCTGTAGAAGATCAGACATGACGTCTCTCGTGAAACAATTGTTGCACCGCCTATGCTGTGATACCTAGCTATTTGGCCTCTTTATGCCCTGAATTTTCTATACCGTCTATCTTTGTATAACATGTCGACCATGACACAAACGTGGGCCTGTGCGATGACTAGGTTCGTTCGTGGCTCTCCTTGGTACTCCATCGGTACCAATTGATTGGAATTGTCCACACTTGCGTTTTTGCATTATAGCTCCTGCCTAGATGCTGTATGACAATCTTAGAACCTTTCTCAATCCAGGCTGGGCAAACTTTAGACATTATTTCACAGACCAAGGGTTGAAACATGCCCAAATGCAATTTCCTGCTAGATAGTCCCCTCACTCTCTCATCGCAGTTACATACTTCTCGTCAGTGGTTTTCTGCAGGAAAGCGAAATGCGGCAACCCTTTGATTGTGTGGAAAACAATGCACATGTGCGAATTAAAACGTGTTGGGGCCACGAGTGATCCTTGCAAGTTCTCATGTATATAGACTAGAGATTATATTAATTGTCGTGGCAAGTTTTCAGGACAAATCAGGCTTCGTCCTGTGAGTTTTGTCCACAGGTATCAACGCCTGCATTGGATTATCTCTAGCTGAATCAAATTGGTGGTTGCTACGATAGAGAGGTATACGCTCGCACCCATGTTCGTCAGCCGCCATAACATGAGATCTCATCAATTCATTGGACCGAGGAAAGATTTGAAATGTTGTGGATGATAATCTGTCCCTGTGGTTCAAATCATGATTGATCAGAGGTCGGACTTTTTGTGGGCACAGACAAGGTTACAAGATTGGTTGTCAGGGGCGCAAGAGAACTTTCAAGTTGATGGAGCCTCCAGGGATACAATTCGCATCATTTTCAAGGTTCTTATGGAAGAAGGGGGTGAGAAACAAGATAGTTGTATATCTCGAAGTGCAATAGCGTAACTTTCATAATGCCTAGCCGTTGCCAAGTCAGGTAAGAATCCATCCAGGCTTCAGCAACATATAAGCAAGTAAGCAGAACCAAGATTTAGTTGCCAACGTTTTACTACCAGGGACCGAAAGGAGAGCATCGAAACCAACAAACATGCCTAAGTGGCTGGGTGAAGAGGGGGTCTGAGTAAGCCGAGGTCCGCTCCCGTAGAATGCGGGGAAGTTAACTGCTGCTCTTCCATAAATAATGCGTAGATACAATAGAGAAACTGGAAATAGAGAGTCTTGTACTCTGTAGAGCATTATGAATTTCGACCTACCCGCAGAATTGAAGTCTCACCTCCAATCAATAGATTCTTTTATCAATTCCATAATAATTCCCCTCCAACATGCCGAGGATAATAACCGGTTCTTCGACCACAGACGAGAGCACTCCCGGACAGATTGGGATAACGATGGCAACCCGCGACCAGAATGGGAGACCTTGCTAAGCCGAGCTCGCCAACTTAGCGATGAAGCAGGCTTCTATCGTTTCGCGCTACCCAAGCAATATGGAGGCGAGGAGCACCCCAGCACAAACCTTTGGATGTCCGCGATTCGGTATCATTTATCCTCGCACCCCACATATGGAGGCGGCCTTGGACTTGCGAATGATCTGCAAAACGAGCATAGTATTGTCGGCAATTTCCCTGACATCTATATGATCCACCATTTTGGGAGTGAAGAGCAGCGCCGCACCTTGATTCCCGCTCGTTTGCGCGGCGAGTTTCGATCAACATTTGGTCTGACGGAGCCCGATCACGGGAGTGATGCCACCTTCATGTCAACAGTGGCTCGTCACGACCGTGGCGGTTTCGAAATAACTGGAATGAAGAAGTGGCAAACTGGTGCGCATAATTGCACCCATCTGATTGTCTTCGCCAGAACTTCCGGCGTGGCAGGGTCGGCGAAAGGCATTACGGCCTTCTTAGTTCCACGGGAAGCATCTGGTGTTCGAATCCTGAGCTATGAATGGACAATGAACATGCCGACAGATCACGCGACCGTCGAGCTGGATCATGTGTGGGTGCCAGAAAGTGCGGTATTGGGATCGCTTCATCACGGCTTGGCAATTGCTCAGACTTTTGTGCATGAGAATCGCGTCCGGCAGGCTGCAAGCGCGTGCGGTGCAGCGCGATTTTGTCTTGAAAAAAGCATTCTTCGCGCTCGTGAGCGCAAAATTTGGGGGGAGGGTAAAGTGCTCGCCGACAACCAGGCAATCCAATTCCCGGTGGTGGAGCTGATGACTCAGGTGGAGATGCTGCGATTATTTATACTGAAGACAAGTTGGGAAATGGATTGTATTGTTGCTGCAAGTCGTTTAGTAGAGAGCAAAGTGCCACCGTGGTTTGACATTGAGCGGAAACTGAGTGACCAAGTGTCGATGTGTAATTTCTGGGCAAATCGCTTGTGCTGTCAGGCAGCCGATCGAGCGATTCAGGTAAGTCTTGGATTATCTTCGTACCGGCTGATAGGAAAGGCTGACATGACAGATTCATGGCGGGGATGGGTATTCGCGTCATTATCCATTTGAGCACATTTATCGACACTTCCGACGGTATCGGATCACCGAGGGTGCAGAAGAAATCCAGATGCGCAAGATTGCTGCATTTATTTTTGGGTTTGCGGGTCCAAAGAAGGAGCTGGAGGCCCGGGGTAAGCGGAAAGCTAAAATATAACCTCCCCCTGGGCAATTGAAGGTAGCATCAGAACAGATTCGAAACAAAAATATCACTTTTATATTTGCATGGTATCTCTGGTAAACAAAGCGCTAAAGTGACCGTCTATAGTCGATATGAGAGCAATAATGAAAGTCCGAAGTAGCGCAATATAAGAAAGAAGTGCTGACATCCGCTCATCCTTATAAAATCGGCGGTGCGACGAATGAATCCGGGATGCCCTCAAAAACCCAGTTAAGAGAGTCGAAAACTTCAGAGAAACCAGCCTCGGTGAAAAATGCGCCGCTTTCATCAAATTGAGTCGGTAACAACAAGGACGGGTCCTCGAGGGAGATGTCTTGTTGCCGCATGGGTCCGGCTGTTGTGGTGATGTCTATATTGGCCGCAGCAGCCGCCGCTGTAAAAATGAAGTGTTAGCAGAGCTTTCAAATTCCAAGCCCGAATTGGATGTCATCTACCTTGCATTTCTTCGATACTCTTCACTGGCCGGAATCGTTGTCGCCAGCGCCATACAGTATCATAGACATGGCTCATGCTCATTCTACAACGAATTTTTAGCTGAAGACCGTCTTCCCCAGCTGGCTCTGGGCCAGTCGCATTCCACATCTGAGCGAGAATATCAGCAAGGCGAATAGGGCGGTCATGGTCCATAACGCTAATTCGGCGGATGGCCGAGATGGCGCCATTGAACAACAGCTTGCCATGATTGAAGTCAATGTGTCTGTTAAAGCTGCTCTTCAACAGCTTCATCAAAGCAAAAGCAGCGGAAACAATCATTTGAAGGATATAGTTGGTTGAGTGTCCAATGAGCTCGCCCGGGGCAGTTTCAAGATCCAATACTCGTCCTAGGAACGAAGTCGTTGCGATGAAGAGCTTGGTGAGATCGTCACTCCGTGGGCTGGGGCCTAGGAAAACAAAATACCGGAAATGTAGCTCGGCAGCACGCAGGTGAATCATGTTAATCGCTATGATGGTATTAGTCAGGTTTTCGAGATAATCAAATCAAGGAACCATACCAGAAATTTCTTGTCCAAACTCAACCTCCATCTCCCTCAGTTCGCTCTCGAGTAATTGAACGATCACGAGTTTCTCCACACTAACAAATTCACCAGGGTCGGGCCTACTACTATAAAGAGCTTTGGTCACCCGATCACAGAACTTTTCAATGCGAAGTCGAATGGCAAGGTCCGTCTGCAGGCGGTAGTCCGCATCTTTTAAAGACGCAGGCTCAAGAGCCCAGTCGTACATCGTGCTTGGAGGTTGACCATAACCAGTTGCAACGCTATTGTATGATAAGCCACGGCCATTGGGATGGGGTATCGAAAAATACATACTTCTGGGCCACTATGTTGCAGATGATCCACGTATGCAGTCGATCTTTTAGTGCTTCGCCTTGGACCCCCATTTGGAATGTTGTGAACTCCTCCGGCTGAACTGGGCGGTGCAAACCCAGCTGCATGGCAATCTGCATCATCAGACCACTAAGCATGAACGTTGCATCGGTCCGCTGGCTTGTCGTGGGGAGAGGCCATGTGCATAAGACACATAGTGCCTTGACTACTCGGTAATCCTGAGGAACATTGGTAATGGTTGACCATAGTAGACGGCTGAAAGGTCCTGACAGTGCACTCAACAACCCGGGGTCAGATGGTGATCGCCGACTAGCAACACAAACAATAGTCCATGCCAGCAAAGGACAGCGACCAAGGTAGACCTCAGGAGGTTTGGGTAGATTCAGAAGCGGAAGAAAGGGGTGGTAATAGTTGTAGTATCTTGGTAAGGAAATTAGTTGGAGAGCATGACACATCTGTGGGAAACCTACTGTTCAAAGAGTCGTGCGACGCGAGCTCGCGATAGGGTAACATCTTCGAGTCTCCATGGGGTATTCTCATCCTGTGAGAGAATGGAGCCAGACCGCTGCATGGTGAGAGGTGTTGACATGGAAGGATGAGGCTCTGCCGGTACTGATACCGGGCGTGACCGATCCACCGCAGAAGATTCACGCCGACGGAAACCTTCTTCTGAAGTTTGTGACATCTCGTCAGCAGTATGATGTTCACCTGCATGTTCTTCAGGATTTGTTTCAAGCCGGCGACGAAGGTCTGCAATTTCCTTCTCCATCTCGGCATTGCGTCTTTGTACTGTTAGTAAAATTCATTATTAGAAAGGATTAAACGGGAGTTACCTTCGCTTGGAGATACGTTTAAACGATTGTTCAACTTTGCAGTCAATCCCGAGCCTACGGCAGCGGGAGCATGCCGCAGCGGGAGTTTGTACAATATCACATCGTAACTGGGTAATGTCGCGACGGCTTCAGCTTCAGCGCGGTGCAGGGGGGATGTGGACACGTCTAGTTGGACGAATGGGACAGGGCTCGGAGAATGTGCATGTGGCTCACCTTCTGTTGCTTACACTCATTACAGGCCTTTCGGCTTCCACCTCGGCGCTTGCCCGTGACAGGCGGGGTCTTCTCCATCTCGCCTGATTCCGGGCTTCGTTGCATGAAATTAACGCCCGGGGGCGGCCGGGGAAGACTGGGGGACCGAAAGTCGCTTTGGGGAATCAGGTGTGGCCCATTTGGTGCCAGCAGATTCCGATAGTCTAAGTCCATTAGGATCGGCTTGCTTTCGCCCGATATAAAACCCCATCGAACGTGAGCGGTTTGCTCGTGATGATTATCTGCCGGAAATCGGAGAAATCGACAGGTGAGGAGACTTCGAAAGGGGGCAGAGCCAAGGATTCGTCGTAGTGGGGCTGCTTTGTGGATGATGATTTGAGGGAATCAATGAGCGGGAGTCGGCGGTTCTGGCTGAGTCAGCTTTCTGGCCTTAGGCAAAAAAATAACAAGGTGCTAAGGCAACAAGGCAGCTTTTCATTTTCCCTACAATGTCCAAGTGCGATCTTCCCTTTAATCCTTCAACTTCCCATATCTTATTGTATCCATAACTTTGTATGATTTATGTTGTAAATGACTTGGCCTTTTAAGTTGACTTGGTATTGCCATAACCGTAGTCCATGGCAGAACAATATGCACTCTGGCATACGCGCCTTCAGCCAACTTTTTCTTTGGTCTACAGATGTACGGAGTACAAGCAGGCGATCAAACGTCCTCGATTCCCGTAGCCAATGATCGGATGAACTGTAAACATGCCAGCATGATCGGGTGGATCAAGTGGAGCAACCCTGGAAAATGAGGGGAAATCAAGGGATCGGCACATCTGATACGCTCTTGGAGTGTTTGCGACCGAACACAGGGTTTGAACCAGATCGTCTGGAAGACCTGGAAGAGCTTTCCTCTCCAAAGAACAAAAATTCGCGGGGTTTTTTTTTTCTTCACATCACCCGTCATGGCTCGATTATTGGCGTTGCTTACGCTTGCCCTTGGGGCTGCCTCGTATCAGCAACCCTTATCGTTCGACGAGGCGGAACAGCTCAGTAAGCTTCGCGGTGCGATTCGGAATGTCGTGGTGCTCGTTCAAGAGAACCTCTCTTTTGACCACTTCGCCGGTGGCCTCACATATAACAGCAGCATCGATGGCTTAGTGAACCGAAAATATTGCAATCCAGCAAATGTGTCTGTACCCGATACCTCCCGGCAAGTTTGCGCAGCCAATACCGCTCAGAACATTGCTGCGGATGATCCCAATCACAGCATTTCGGGGATCAATATGCAGCTATTTGGATCATATCACCCTCCTGCTTTGGCTGAATCTTCCATGGATGGATTCATTACCGAACAACGAGTTTCATACAGACTGGAGCGTTTGCAGAAACAACAGGAATTAGAAAGGCCCGGCAGACCAAAAATCCAGCATGATGAAACCCGCGGAATGTCATCAGAAATGATCGCCCAACTCGAGCGAGAACGCGCAGCTGAAGTTATCGATTACTTCACCCCAGAGCATATCCCTGTTTTCAATACGATCGCAGAAAACTATGTTCTCTTTGACAGGTGGTTTGCTGCAGTGCCCGGCCCTACCAACCCCAACAGGGCATATCTCACGTCGGGTACTTCATATGGCCATGGCAGAAACGATGAAGGCTTTCTTCGATCAGAAATGCCGCAAAAGTCTATCTTCCAACAATTATCGGAGAAGGGAATTAGCTGGACCAACTACGAGAATTCAACAAAGTCAAGTCCTGCGTTTTTGCCCGATGCAATGTTCTACGAGTGGACCGCAAAATCGATCACAAGCAAGACAAGTGTGAAACCTATCGAGAATTTTTATCAAGATGCCGCCAATGGTGATTTGCCACAGTTCACTTGGATTAACCCCGAATGTTGCCACTACATGTCCATGCACCCCCCGTCTCCAATAAACATGGGTGAAAATTTTGTCAAGGGTATTTATGAAGCCGTACGGAATTCGCCTCAGTGGAATGAGACGCTGTTTATTCTGACGTGGGATGAGCATGGTGGATTTGCGGATCATGTGCCCCCTCCAATGGGAGTGCCTGCCGGTGACAGTCTAACATACACAGAAAGAGCTGCCGATGGTGGTGACTACAAATTCCATTTTGATCGTCTGGGTGTTCGCGTTCCTACGGTGTTAATTTCTCCTTGGGTTGGTAAGGGTCTTGTCCAAAACAAGCCGGATAGAGATAACGACTTTACCCACACTTCTATCTTGAAAGTTCTTTCTGAGCTTTGGGATTTGGAAGTCCTCACGCCTCGCGTGGAATGGTCACCTTCCTTCAAGCATTTGATTACAAGTGAATACCGGGACGACACACCAGAGTGGCTTCCAGACGCAACGGACTTTTAAAACCGGGGCACCGGCGTCAAGGGATCATTATGCAAATCTTTATATATTATTTTCTATCATAATAGGGGGTATTGAATATGGTATCACAATATCAAAATACAAGGAAAACAAAGGTTCGACATCCGGGCTAGACTTTTGGTCATTCCATGTGAATCTCATTCGAGCGTGAGTCTCACTTGCGGCCGAAGCCAAAGAATTTGGACACGCCACCTTGAGCAGTCTTTGATTGTTGTGTGATGGCAGAGTTGCGCGTATTCACACGGTCGATATCAAAGGGATTCGCTTCGTATAATTCAGTAGATTCGAGAGATGAACGAGAAGACATTGACTCGTTATCCACGGACAATCTCGGGGCGTCCGCAACCTGGTTCTCTTGCAATTTTTCAGCTAAGACGCCTTCGGTCTCCATCGCAATCTCCTTTTCTTGGGCCTTTCTAGCCAATGCACGCATAAAGTCATCCGCCTCAGAAGCATACTTGCACTTGCGACGGATAGCCGGTCCATAGTGGTAGAAAATGAATGGGAATGGGACGCATGCGAGAGAAAGGAACGCGGGAACGCTCGATGCCCAGTGAATCCCCAGGTTGTTGAACATGTATGTCGTGAAAAGAGGGAATACAGCACCAAAGCATGATCGGATAATGGAATTGGCAGCCAGCACAGATGCCGCGTAGATGGTGTATGCATCAATGAGATAATTCATGATTCCAAGGAAGACAAATACCATACCAAAGCCGAATGGTGCTGTTGCGAGCACGCAGACGATCCATGGAATGGATGAGTAGTTCGTCCACGCAAACCAGAATAGACCGATAGGAATTGCTAATCCACCATACATGGTTGGTGGTAGACGTGCTTCCGGTGGCGCAAATCCGTTGTGCTTATGGTGGATACGTACATAGCGTTTGTTATCGAACATGTTCAGACCAACAGCGATCATCATTCCTATCATCACAGCAAGGAAGGGCAAGCTGCCGACTCCTTCACTCCAGCCTCTAACCTCTTGGAAGACAATTGGGAAGGCATCGAAGAGCATATATAGCGTACCGTACACGATAGCCATGTAAAGTGAGAGCAAGAAAACAATAGGCTCGGAGAAAAGGAGAATCCATGGTCGTTTAAGCGCAGTGCCGAACGCAACACGGGCGGAAACCTTTCCTCGATCAATATCCATCTGACTGCGATAGACTTTTCCAGAAAGTTTGGACAATCGCTCGGCTCTTTTCCGGAGCAAGACGGGGGCGTAAGTTTCTGGAACAATGAGAGTTTCGCATATCCAAATCAGGCCTGTGAAGACAGCCAAGAATCCTTGCACCCATCTCCACCCAGCGTTTTCTCCCAAGAAGCCTCCGATAACAGGGCCGAGTGTAGGTCCAAGGAACGGTGCGCCAGCGAACAGGCTCGTAGCCAGTCCACGTTTTTCCGCGGTGAAGATATCAGCAATGACACCACCCGCGTTGGAAAAGGGAGATGAACCAAAGGAACCAGCGAAAAAGCGAAGGATGATAAGAACGTAGGCATGCTGGGCGCCTGCTGCACCCGCACAGAATGCAGAGAGGGAGAAGAAGGTGATCACAAACACAATCTGACGTCCAACCAGCTCACTTAACGGAGCCCAGATTAGAGGACCGACAGCAAAGCCCAGAACGAACAAGCTCACTCCCAGAGTTGCAACTTCCTCGCCAACATCCAAATCTTTGAGGACTTCATTCATTCCGCCTGCATACGCCGAGGACGATAGCGAAACTGCAAATGTCGCAAATGCGACCAGAATAGTGTAAGTCCATTTCAGGCCGGAGGAAAATCCCATAGGATTGCGGGGATCATTGGGGATCCATTCGACGACATAAGGCGACTCTTCGGTACCGGCGCCAGTATAGGGAAAGTCGATTATTTCAGGTGTGACAACACCCTGGTCGGTCAGGATGCGCCAGTAAGGGATGCGTTGTGGTCGCGGTGCTTCGGGAGAGCCTTTCTCCGCGGAAGACATGATGAAATGCGATCAATTGATGAACAGGCGCAAGCACTCCAAGAGTTCGCAAGGGGGAGATTCTGTTTTTTAAATAGAGTCCATGGTCCAAAAATTAGGCACAAATCTGTCGATCGCCCTACATATTCATTCTAAATGTCATAAATCGCATCAGCTGGACTCAATGGATAAACAATCACGCATCCTGATTGCTGGACGGTCTTTGATCGCCCCACCAGATGGGGCGGGCTTGCCGTTTTCCCGGAATCCACAACCTGATTCGGTTGTCGTGTCGGCAAGCCGAGCTGTCGAATTTACCGCCAAATGTGACTGCCGTAGGCTCGGCGTGCCTCGGCAGCCGCAAACGTGTATGGTACAGATATCTGACAGACCCACAGTGTGTTGATCACTGCCGACGTACAGTATATCTTTGAAGAATAGAATGCACATTTGACCTTGGGTCTCACAAATTCTGCTTGAGGAACAAGCACGAGAGTAGGCAATTAACCAGGTGCAGGAATGAAACAGAAATTTATGTGCATGTAGTGAGTCCAAAGAGTGCTCCCGAATCATTGTGGTCTATGTATTAATTCTCAAGCGTCTGAAGATTTCGAACTAGGTAAATATGGGCGAGAGAGCTATACCCCTATCTTTCAGCTTCAACAAGTTCTTTTAAAGTAAATACCCCGACATCAAAGCGAACAAATCTAGAATAATATGATCAGCGGATTTTCTGCGAGCTTTTGAATAATTGACATGAATGATTTACAGCTGTGTTTACCGGACAGATGGTCCTGATCAAGGTTTTCCACGATGAAGAGAAAACAAGGTTTGAGGCTAGGAAAACACTGTAATTTTGAATGAAAACACCGAAGGGTCTTCGACTGTAAACCCGTAAAGACTCGTTTAATGCCGAGTGGGTCCCGATTGACTTTTTTGGCATACCTAGTTATACGCCGTAAATGGCTTCACTGATTACCCGATTAGTATAACCTACTCATCCCCTTTCTATATGGCCGTAATTACTCGCAGCAAATGTCAGTTGATGATAAATATGCACATAGTACGAATGGGTTGACTAGCATATATATTTGTACGCCATTTACTTTGAAGTATTTATCTCAGCAAGCAAACACATGACTTCTCGCGCTTTGAAACCTTCCTTCACATCCACTTCAATAATACTCCTTTGTAGCAGGTTGCTCCCACGGTAAGTATTGTGTCTTCAATCAAATCAGACTTGTCGCCGAGACACCATAATCTGATCCACTCTGTGCTTCGACTCAGACTCCCTCTTCCAGTCAACATGGTATCGAAGGAAACAATGGCATCGTGAGCTGAGAAGGCGACCATGTTATCGAGCTTCAAGGAGCTTCGTATTCCACAATATTTCCACATTCATGTGAGCACCTGACCTGAAAAACATTCTTTTGTTCCTCTCGCCTCAATTTGGAACCATATGGGCTTATCACAAGGCTGGACTGCCAGGCTCGCAAGTTGTGTACCTCTGTCAATTCGATTATCTTCAATTGGTTTAAGAAACCCAGGTCGAATAGCGATCCCCTTTACGACTATAGGTGGTATTTATACCCCTTGGATGATCCTGGCTTCGAAATACAGAAACTTTCTTCAGAGAGCTTTCGTTCCATACCAGCCACGACTCATTTTTCGTAGGAAAATAAGTGGCATCCTCACCCACTGGACTCCAGGGTCATTGCGAAAATCTTCGATTTCCCATTCATGCGTCACTTTATCTACTCTGTCGCTGCCACCAGTTGACGCATGTTCGAATCAATCATGCTTTGGCCAAAATGAGAATCATCCAGGCGGCCAAGGGTCATTTCAACATGCCCGGCTCAGATGCTGCAATATTGTACAATCGGCGTATGTTCATAACCGGAGAGGCATGATTGGGAGAACATATTTGTGGGGTGATGCGTATGGAATAAGGGCTTGCATGAGAAAGTCATCTAGTTACTAAATACAGAATACTGCATTAGTACAGCAGTCTCTTATCTTAACTGGTGGGGTGGAATGGCAATGGAAGTCTCCACTATTTCAGCTTTAGTGGCAAGTAAACGCAAGCTACTTGACACCTGCTGCTCGGGGCGTGAGTTCCGAGATCACGTGATACATGTCCTGTTTTTGTGCTTCAATCTAGTTTGTTCTCTATTCCGAACAGATAGCCCTGGCTATTCTGTCCTTAATTCCTGATTCAGACCTTTCGAATCTAATGACTCGGGAAACCGATGCGGATCGTGTTGTCTTTCCTTTTCGGTTCGGTTTTACCTAAAAAAAATCTCATCTCCGCGTGTTAAACATGTGGGTCTTTCTGTCCGAGACCCACTTTATTCAAGCGAATGCGGAAATTCTGCAGTATCCGTAGAGAAGAAAAAAAATTCTGATCTTGCGATCTCCCTCTAAAGTGACATAATCTGGTCGCTTCTGGACAGCAGTTCAAGCTCCAACTAGCTTGTTAGGCCGCAAGTTCTCGGTCGCTCTGGTCCAAGATGCCTCCTCGGAATGTCGCCTCAGTGGCGCCAGCCAACAGAAATTCTTCGACCTCGTACGTCTCTGGCATTGATTTCGGCTCCGATCACAAAAAGGTGTCCCAGGACATCAAGATCTCTGATAGCGAGCAAAATAATGGCGAGGAATCAGAGCCGGGCCAGCTGAAGCGTCGTCTCAAGAGCCGACACTTGCAGATGATCGCAATTGGTTTGTCTTCCCTACCAAGATTCATTGAAGCTCCCCGTAGCTAACAATATTATTTAGGGGGAACTATTGGAACTGGTAAGCACCAGATGAGGATATTGAATCAATATCTGTTTACTGACCCTCTTAGGTCTCTTTATCACGAGCGGTACAGCCCTCGCGGAAGCCGGTCCCGCCGGTGCCCTGATCGCATATATCTTCATTGGTACAGTCGTCTTCTCCGTCATGGTCTCTCTCGGTGAGATCGCGACTTTTATTCCCATTACCGGTGCCTTCACTTCCTACGCCGCGCGATTGATCGACCCCAGTCTTGGTTTCTCTATGGGTTGGATCTACTGGTTTAATTGGGCCTCTACTTTCGCAGTCGAACTTACAGCTACTGGAACGATTATACAATATTGGCGGCAAGATCTGAACATTGCGATCTTTATCGGAGTCTTCTGGGTCTTGATCACGGCGTTGAACTTCATGCCAGTCGGATTCTATGGCGAAGTGGAGTTTTGGTTCTCCACCATCAAGGTTACGACGGTCATCGGCTTCATGATCTTTGCGATTTGTGTCGATTGTGGTGTCGGAAAACAGGGCTACTTGGGCTTCCACTACTGGAAAGATCCCGGCGCCTTTGCGTCATACCTTGTCACAGACAACGAGTCGTTGGGCAAGTTCGTCGGTTTCTGGGCGGTGCTGATCCAAGCTGGCTTCTCTTACCAGGGAACCGAGTTGGTCGGTATCGCTGCTGGAGAGACCGAGAATCCCCAGAAGACTGTCCCTTCTGCCATTCGCAAGACTTTTGTCCGAATCGGTCTCTTCTTCGTGTTGACGATCTTTTTCATTGGCTTGGTTGTGCCCTCTAACAACAAACGGCTCGCATCTGGCACGACCAGCGGTGCGTCCTCGCCTATGGTTATCGCAGCTGATCTTGCCGGCATCTCAGTGCTCCCGAGTTTGATCAATGCCGTTCTTTTGACTGTGGTCTTGTCGGCAGCCAATTCGAACGTGTACAGCGGTAGCCGTGTCTTGACCGGTTTGGCCCTTGAGGGCTTTGCTCCCAAATTCTTCGCCAAGGTCACCAAGAAGGGTGTACCCTATTATAGTGTCGCTTTTACTGCTGCATTCGGTCTTCTCGGTTTTATGAACGTGTCCAACAATGCAGTAACGGTGTTCAACTGGCTGGTCAATCTCTCCAGTGTTGCTGGATTCATCACCTGGTCCTGCATCAACGGATGTCACATTGCCTTCATGCGCGCATGTGCTGCGCGGGGAATTTCACGCGATGATCTGCCCTACAAGGCGGTTGCCCAGCCATGGCTGGCGTGGTATGGTCTGTTCTTCAATATCTTGATTGCTCTCACTCAGGGATTCACCTCATTCATCAACGGCTTTAATGTCTCCGATTTCTTCGTGGCTTACATTTGTCCGATTGTGTTTGTTGTCCTTTATGTTGGTCACAAGCTGTGGACACGCTCATCTTTCATTTCCGCTACCGAGGCTGATCTTGATACTGGCCGAATCGAGTTTCACAAAGAGACCGAACTGCCTACCCCGTGGTACTGGCGCTTGTGGCACTGGGTTTCCAACTAAATAAAATGACTGAAGATTTTGTGTTCTGAATATACTATTTTCACTTGTGATGTGGTCATGTTTGGTAGCGAATTCAAATGCATAATATACCATCAATGTTCTAATAACCCTTCCACCTCCCTGGCCCTTCACGTGTAGTCGTATGTTCATGATTTCGTGTGCAATTCCTCACTCCTCTCATACCCAGTTAAATTGCCGTGCTAAGATCGATACGCCACCTATCAATGCCGTTGCCCCTGTACAAACAACAAGTGTGCCATAACCACTCCCATATACGCCAAATGCAGAGCCTTGCCAATCATCCGCCTTGAGCAACGCTTCACTGAGTGGACCGCTAACCAGATTCCCAATCCCTCTGCCAAATTCCATGAAAGGATATATGACGCTCACATCCGCTCCCGGATTCGCTTGTCCAATTTCCTGTGCCACTCCTGCCCATGTCGCTGTATATCCGCCCGCCAAAAGTCCATAAGTAACGCAAAATAGGTACAGAACGGGGATGTTGGTAGCAAACCCCCAAAGGAAAAACACCGATAAGACCGTGCCAACCGTCGATATGAGGATGCAGGTGGTACAATGGTATCTATCAGAAAGATATCCCATGATGACGGAACTGAAGACCCAAGATAGATTAATTAGCGTGACTGTGAGTGACGACACAATCTCGCTGGCGCCCAGGCTGCGGGCGTATGTAGGTAGGTATATGGTCGGCAGAAAGAAGCCCAATGCTTCAACGGTATTTCCAAGCTGGTATATGTTGTAAACTCTGCTGGATAAAAAGCTGAAGTTGAGTCTGTCGTAGCTGGGAATCTTTGGAGGTGGTAGTCTAGGTTTGTGCCAGTAGAGGAACGGCACAGCAAGAATGAACAAAGCCACTGCAGAAACTCTCAAAGTTGTTTCGACTCCGTATTTACCAAGAAGCCATTCTATCAGCGGTGGAAATATGACTCCAGAAACCCCTGATCCAGCCTATCTTCCGTGTCCATATTAGCAGGAAGTTCACAGACTTACGGACAGACGTGTTACAAGGGTGGAGCTGAGTTCCATACCAGAGAAATCCCAAAAGCCAGCCCTTTGCGCTTGACAAACCACTCGGACATGTATAAAATTGACGGTGTATATGAAAAGCAGGCTCCAATGCCATAAGCAGCCCCTTGTGACAAAATGAGCTGTGTCGTATTATTGGCGAAGGAGCTGAGTGCCAGGGAAACACACACAATTCCAATGCCCACCGTGGAAACCCAGCGGGCGAGTCGGGGAATCAATATCATCATAATGATCGTAAAAGGGGCAAGTAAGTATGCAATGCCCTATGTCATTGTCAATTCCATTTAATCTAGCTTCAGCAGGAGAGACAACAAACCATAGCACATGTTCCAATCACAGCTATATTTTTAGATCCTTTGAATGGCTCGTGCACGCTATAATAGTCTTGAAAGATGCCAAATGAGAAGGCAAATCCTTCGGAGTTTGTTAAATTCCTTTCAATCATTCCTCGGGTCCGTTTCAGGTTCCAATGACTTACCCCATACCAACGCTTCTAGCATAGTAGCGGCTAGCAAAAATAGCCATGCATGAACCCCTCCATCAACTGGAGGCAAATCTTCTTCATTCATGCCATCTTTTAGATCGATTTCCTTGCACGATGTATTCGCCCGACAGGCTTGATAACTGTCGCTTGCTGTGCTGGTTGGATGTCTATCAGACTTTGTTGAGCACAATGCAGAATCGAGATCTGCAGAAGAAGATGAAGACATGTGGGATAATGCTGATTAATTGCAAGGTCCGGCGGACACCTCTATATAGAAATCTACGACACAAGGGAGAACGGAATAGGGTTGGATCAGCTTGGTAAGTGACGAACCCTCTCATCTGTCACTGGGACGAATCAAGGTTCAGGAACCAAGGAGTAGGAAGCGAGTGCATGCCTGGAGGATAACAAAAGGCAATGGAATGTCGATCAGCTCCTTCATATCATAACACCCTCACAGACCGAAGGCTGTACCATTCATCATTTCAAAATATTTTTTCCTAAAAACCATAGAAATACCTGGCTATACGCCTTCCTTTGGGTAAATTCTATCGTGAATCATTCCCTCAACCCTGAACTCAAAATCACGATATCATTAGCCGAGCTTGTAGCAAGACAAGGGATTCATAATTCAAAATGAAGCTACTTTGTATTCTCACCGCCATGGCATTTACTGTTTTTGTTGATGCGCAAGAGTCTTTCTGTGATGGGGTATGTCTTTTCGGCACTGGCGGAAATTCACCTTGTGTTGCCCCGCTTGTTACAGGTGCTTCAGACCTTAAATGTCTTGAGGACGGTCAAGTTTGCTGTGTCCTTAGCTCCACCTCTATCGAATAAGCTGGTAAGTTTTCAACATTCAAAATCCGTCGAATATAAATATCTGTACGGATACTCACTGCATTTGATAGTTTTTGGCCCGGTTCTACATTTTGGTATTATTGTCTATACCGAAGAATCTTGAAATCAGTCTGTGGGACTGTTGTTGCACCTTTTTTTTCTGTCATGGGCTACTACCTCTCTGATCAGATTTTCTTCATTTGTTCTGTGACCTATGATCAGTCACTTCCTGGCTGCCTTTGTGTGGGAGGGGGTGAATTGCCTGATTTGGAAGGCCTTTGTTGGCTATTAAGCGCTTTTTCCTGTTTTAAATTCCTAGATTCAAAGAGGAAAGTTCCTTTTTGTGCATTTGACGATTAAGGTAGAGTGTTGATTGTTGCGGCTGTAGCCCCACCTGAACAATATCAAGACCATTCATTGTTTTCCACCATTATAATTGATACCTGAAAGTTGGGAATCTCCCTGCTGAATGACCCTCTCATGGTGCTCATCTTTTTGCTATTTTCTTATTTTGACTTCCCTGACAACAGTGCATGGAGCGAGTGATAATTGTGGGAGCAGGTTAGTGGCCTCTATCCACACAAGCGACCCAACTAATTCACCTAGGTCTTTACGGCCTGATTGCCGCGAAGACCTATCTACAAGTGAAGGGTGTGTATGCTGGCGAAGGAGAAACCAACTCCACAGCTGAGCTAGAGGGCATACCACCATGTTTTGCCCATCACGGTCATAAGGTCAAGCGTGCCGATGGGTGTCATTTGCTTGTGCTCGATGCTGCATCGGATATTGGAGGTACCTGGGCAAAAAGACGTCTCTATCCAAACCTTCTCAGCCAAAACTCCTATGGTCTGTATGAATTCAGCGATCTGTCTCTTGCCGATGCTGTCCCCTCCGAAGAAAGCAAGGGAAATTCGCAGTTTATTCCCGGGTGGAAGATCAACCAATACTTGCACACATGGGTCGGTAAATGGGACCTCCAGAAACACATCAAGTTGAACTCGAAAGTTGGCATATCTTTCTCATGTTTTATTCGCTCGGCTAATCGTTATCAGGTCAACAGCATCAGTCGCCTCGAAACCAAGGAATGGAACCTCAACGTTGCTGTCATGGACCACCTTGGTCATTACCAAAATATCCACATAATATGCGATAAGTTGATCTTGGCAACAGGGCTAACCTCGGTCCCAAATTTACCAGATATAGATGCATCCAAGAGAGCCGGCAAACACTTTACACAAGAGATACACGCCAAGGATATCGGGAGCTGGTCTCGCATGAATCTAGGGTACCAGCCTCTCCCCAGACCCGACAAGATCATACAAATTCCACAGATTCCACAACCACCGCCATCTAAGATACGATCTGTCGTTGTCTATGGGGGAGCCAAATCTTCGTTTGACTTGGTTCATTTTTTTGCGACGATTCATCGAAAGGATCCTTCCTTGCATCTACAGTTCACACCCGAAGACCATGTCCAAGTACATTGGATTGTTCGAGACAACAGCCCAGGCCCAGCATGGATGGTTCCACCGACCTCCTCACTTCCCTCTGGAGAGGTTGTGGCCACCGAAAAGGCAGCAAGCACGAGGTTCATCCATTATCTAAGTCCATGCTCTTATGAGGCGCCCAAGCGCCTCTATGTACGGAATTGGAGAATACATGGAGATGGATCATGGCTAGCTCGTCTTTTCCATGGAAATATCTTTGGGAGATGGTGGATACGTTGGCTATGGAATTCTGTGGATCGGAGCATGGAGGAATTCGCACAATATGATGGAGATGAAAAACTGAAGCTCCTTCGGCCGAACAAGAGGTAAGGTTTATCTCGGCTCAAATGTTTCTGGCTACTCAAAATTTATAGCATCATTTCCTGTGGTGCCAGTCTTGGTATTGCGAACCAGCACGACTTGTGGGATACAATTAGGTCAACGAATGTGAAGGTTTACCGGTCCACGATCCAGTCACTCGCTGAACCATTTTCGGGAAAACGATGGATCGACACAACAGTGTGCTACAGTATCATTGGCAGATGGCAGAAACATTGATAATGTTGATCTCGTTGTTCATGCTACTGGTTATAAGCCAATCGTCCCAATCAAGACTTCGCCACCAAGTTTTCGACTCACCCTTGGTTTGTCAGGCATTGCCAGCTCTGACTTCCTGGGAGATGTTGAGGATTCAAACGAGCCTCAGAAAATGATTGATGTTCCTCTTGATTCCACTACAAAGGATCAATGTCAGTACTGGCAAATCCTTGACGCAGCGCTCGAGCCAGCGATCAAGCAAAGACTAGTCGATTGTGGATGCGTCCCGCTGGAAAAATCCGATCCATCATGGAGTAGGCCAAATAAATTCATTCCATATCGGCTATTTCGTCGCATGGTTGCTCCAGAACTAGCTGCCGAGGGAGACCGTTCCTTCGCAACCCTCGGGATTGTTCTCGGTTCCACGATTGCAGTTATCGCTGAGGTGCAAGCATTGTGGGTTGCCGGATTTCTGACCGGGGGGTTTGATCAGCCACCTATAGGCAATTCTGCACTCAAGTCTGGAGTACTGTTCCTGCCGGATCTATCCAAGGAGACCATGAACCAGAAAATTTCTGAAGACTGTGTTCTTGGATCACTCACAGGGAGTGGGTTAGAGGTTGATGCTATCGATGTAAGTTAGATTTGTTTGTTTTAAAATGAGTAAGACTAAGAAAATATTGGTGACAGTACAATGATATGCTCATGCGAGACTTGGGCCTGAACCCATATCGCTTTGGGGGAGGCATGTTGAAAGAGCTTACTGGTGTTTATGAGCCGCGCATATACGCTGGAATAGTTGAAGAGTGGCTCATTCGTCGGGATTTCTTGCACTTATCCTCGCGGGGCTAAGAGCGGTCCTTCACCTGCTTTGTGGGCTTGAATAGTATGAGCAAATGTAGTTCTGATTGAACCAGACATTATTAGCCGTGTGTGGAAGCGCAATAAATGAGGAATATTCACCCTAATGGCCTTCAGGCTCAAAGCTAATTCTGATGTAGCTTAGATTACTACCAGGTTTATTTTAGCCTGCTAGAGTGTGGCAATAATTTGAGGCAGATTTTATTGAAAGTTTGAAGTGTAGTCAGACTTTACATACGAGTGGACCATGAAGACTCAATAAAGGAGCAAAAATATGGAACTTATCTCCAGCAAAGGCAATCTGGACCTTTGTCTTTTTGTCTCTAGTTCCTATGAAAGGGAAGAAACGTCCCTTGACGCTGTAGAAAGCATCTAGCATCCAGTCGGTGTTTCCATTATCCCACACATAGTGCCTTCTGGGGATAATAGCACTTTCGAGGTTCTTTCTTTTTTTCCTTCTGTGAAAAAGATGGTGCCATTTAGAAATTCGGTCGATTCCCAGGCCAATTGGACTTGCACGTGACCAGTCTCGCTCGTTCGGAGAGCACGCGACAAACTCAAAGAGCGACCACATTTTAATTAAGCCACTATGAGGGAAATTCCTGGTCCTCTGTATGGGAAGTGCACGAGAAATTGAACATGGTAGCAAATTGTATGCCGCACGTGCTCTCCGTCTGTATATCCGGCATCGTGCGATGCGAATGCCGAGCCCCACCACTCGGATGGATCCACCCACGTGCAGTCGCAAGGTGTATTCACTGGGCACCATACTACGATCTAAACTTTTACTACGCGGCACCAGAGGCATACACATATGAAAAAGATACGGTTCTGTCGAACTATAAGCTAAATGAGAGAACGTAGAAAATGGACCAAGCCGCCTTGACGATTCAGTTAGTTTTTCTCAACTCTCCAATTGACTGTCTCGCTTCTGCCATCTTTCCAAATGTTGGCTCGCTCAATTGTCTCCCTCGCGGCAGTAGTCTCCGGGGCTAAAGCAGCAGCTATTGACCCACGAGCAGCTACAACAACCACTTTGGTCACTAGCACCAGCACGGGGCCCAATTGGTTCCAAACGAGCCCAGAGTCATACGCAGGTACGTTCATTCTGTGACCCAGAAGCTGTCTAATCACAAACCAACGGAAAAATAGGGACCGTCGAAACTGGTGTCGCTCCGTTCCTCGTTGAGGTCAATCCAGTCACCTTCTCGGGTGTCAGCTATGCTCCCAATGCCCCAATTCAGACGTCTGAGCCAATCAAGGGTGCCAATGGACGAAATATCTTCCATATAATGGGCGACCAGGGGTGAGCTTAATGTCCCCAAAAGCGCTCTTTAGCTGTTATTATAGTATTGACGCAATTTGTTAAACAGCCCATATCACTCTCCCGAAGAGGGCTTTGGGGTGGACGAATACCCTCTTCCCAAAGGTGCCAATGTCACTCAGATGCATATGTTGCACCGCCATGGATCCCGATATCCTGGTGACACCAGTCTCAGTACCTGGGCGGCGAAAATCGCCAATGCGACCGCTAAAGGCACTAGGTTCACGGGAGAACTGGCTTTTTTGAACGACTATACCTACGGCCTAGGTGAAAATAGTCTGGTTGCACTTGGTCGCCAAGAATTGTTCGACAGCGGAGTGCTTAACTGGTATAACTATGGCCACCTATACAACAACGATAATGGCACTAAGCTTGTCGTTCGCACAACAACATCCGATCGGATGTTAAACAGCGCCGAGAACTTCTTAGCCGGTTTCTTTGGACTGGACTGGACAGAGAATGCAAACCTCCTTCCGATCATCGAGGCCGTCGGTTTCAATAACTCCCTTATCGGTACCTATGGGTGTGCCAATGCGCTCGAGTATGAAGAATCATCAGCGATGGCCTTGCCAATGGAGGAATGGGAAGCCATATATCTTAAGAAGCGAACTGTCGCGCTACAGCAGTGGGCTGGTGACTATAACTGGACTACAAGCGATTCTTTCAATGCCCAAATGCTGTGCAGCGCCGAAACTGTGGCTTTAGGCTGGAGTGACTTCTGCCAGCTGTTCTCCTATGAAGAGTGGGAAGGTTTTGCGTACTACTATGATCTGTACTTCGCTCAGATGGTCGGCTTCCAGAGCCCTGCTGGTCGTGCCCAAGGGATTGCCTGGGTAGAGGAGTTCATCGCACGTATCGAGGGCCATCTCCTCGAGACCACCGGCACTGACGCCAATATGACCCTCGATACCAACGAAGAGACCTTCCCCATTAACCAAAGCCTTTATCTGGACTTCTCCCACGATAGCGGAATCGTTACTACTCTAACAGCCTTCGGCTTCGAGCAGTTCAAGGAGGTTCTACCAGGATCCAGCATGCCCGCCAACCGTCAGTTCCAGACCAGCAAAATCGTCCCCTATGCCGGTCGCATGAATATCGAGATAATCAAGGCCCCTGGTGTGGTGTCCACGAAACGCAATGCTAAGGATGTATACGTCTCTGGCACTAGCGAGACTACCTATATCCATTTCCTGCTAAACCAGCGTACCCTGCCCTTGCACGCCAGTTTCTCGGCCTGTGAATACCGCGATGATGGTTGGTGTGAACTTGATACCTTCATGAAGATCCAGCAGGAGAGTCTGGCAAAATCGCAATTCGATTATACGTGCAATGGAAATTGGACCTACGGCGGAGTCGGTACTGTCACTGACGGTGTTCCTGCTTAAGTTGAGCGGCACTTGCCCTGCATATTTATGCAAAACTATCCTAACCAGGGTGGATGGGAGGCTTCCGAACTGATTTACATATGTTTCTGCGGATAATTTTTCATCTTGTACTCCCTGCAGTCAGCTGCGTCGGTCATTTGAGGCGTGGTCATCGACTAGCTTTGTATCATATCACTAACAAATTTTACTTTTGAGGAGAGTCTCGCTGCTATATTTTGCAGATGGATAGTAAGTCTCGAGATGCTGGTGTTGCAGAGGGATAGGTATTAGGCAATGGGAGATCAGTGGACAGATATTGAGAACCTTGAGGCCTGAGGAGATAGAAGTTGAGAAATAGAAGATGGCTGGGAAGATGTATGACTTAAAGAACTTCTTTCCTCGTGGAGGAAAGCGGGTAGATGTATGGTGGCTCTAGTATGTTACTGTATAGTGTGACAGTGAATAGCCGAGGACTGCCAAATCCTCAATATCATTTGCCGAATCAGTACCGCGCCTAATGTTTATCACGTAGTTACTCGGAATAGATGATTGGATAAGTAACCTAATATTAGTTATTGGCTGCTGTCGTTCTTGAGCGTGCCAATAATGGCAATCAAACTCCCTTTTTCCTAAGGTGTTTTGGCTCATTGCGCTGAGGAGCCCTCAGAACTAAGTCGATAATCAAGTTGGAAATACGTGGAAATTGAACATTTTTGCATGACTACTATATGATTCAGAAAAAGAGGTAGAAAATGAAGAGGATTGAGATCCTCGAAATGCTGGTAGTTTCTGTCACTCTTTATGCCGATCTTGATTAACTATCTAACTAATCGGCGTAATCGTGCGTTAATCTACTGTTCGGACTACTAATTAGTTCTAATTATATATGAAAATTACAATTTCCCTTCTGCTGCGCCACTGCCTCCCCGCAAACTACACTCCCACAACTACGAACCGTAGTTCGGACTTGAGATTGATGGTACTTGATGTTACGAAATAGGACAAGTTTCAATAAAGATATAATTTCTCATTTAATTTTCGGGAACATGACATCCATTCAGTCTATCAGCTTTGGTTATAACAAGGTTGAGTGGTTCTTCTATGCGCATTCAGATGTGCGCTATGATCTCCGAGGCATGCTTTAATCAACCCGGACAAAGTAATTCCTACTGGCATGCACAGATGTACCGTGTCGTCTTAGCATGGTAGGATTCATCTCCAAAGATGATAAAAAAGTATCCATTATAATTATATTTATCCTCAAAGATGGCGGGCCATCAGAGACGAAGGAAGTCGGTGGTTTCGGCGTCACTGCACTAGTAGGGACGCTTTGAGTGGCAGTAAATGGATCCAATGGGTACTGGATCATCATGTGAATGGTCACCAGGCGAAAGCAATGAGTTCCGACCGGTACATTCGGGGCCACTATGACAATATTATCAGTACAACCTATCCACAGGATGGCATGAGTATAGGGTGATGGGCAAACTTACGTGAAAACTCGGCAGTACTTTTTGACGGCGACGGTGAGAACCTCACTGTAATAGAATTAGCGATGAGTATTTCAATTCCAGCGAAGATTACTCACTCTTGCTCGACTTCGTGGCATTCATCCAGCAGCACATCCATGCCCTTGCTGATATCGGTGGTTTCGATGCCAACCTATGAGTAAAGTTAGCACCACGAATGATGTATTACCATATAATAGGTCCAGACCATTGTATGTTTTGAGTCTTTAGTCGCAGAAACCGAAAGGAGCATGAAGCTCAATAGAGCAAGTTGTTTAAGTCCATACATTATGGAAGCGTCGGCTCGAATGTCAATGGAACATGGATTGAGGATATTTACAGGAGATGAGGCCATCCGCCAGAGAAATCGCTTTTTTGAAAATAAATCCCTTGCTTCTATCTAAACAGGGAGAATCCTTGGTAGGGATCGGAATGTAGTCGTGGACTGGACTTGTTTACGTTTTCCCTTCCCCACAATTTCCCCCTTCTCCCTTCAATTGTACCATGCCAACCACCTCACATCCTATTCCCAATTAGCCTGCATGGAGGCCCTTCTGGCCTGTCCCAACAATAAGCACATACCATGAGTATCGACTGGTCACCCTCCCCGCAATAAGGTCAAGCTCCTGCATATACGCCCTCCGATCCAAACGATTGCCCCCACTTGGGCCCACGATAGTCTCGCATGACCCAGAATTCCTTGCATCATAGGAAGAATTGCAATGCATGGCTATTCAAGATCGCCCAATCCGCCCCACTAACACGGGCACCGAGTCGAGGGGAATAGCAGGACACCGAGCCGCTGCAAGTTTGGGGAAAAAAAAGCCCTTGCGACCGGTTTCGTCGAATGTGCGAGACTTTCAGTATTTGAGATATCATAAGTGACAGCTTGCGCCATGAATCAGTGGACCCGCGAGACTATGATGTGGATGCGGCCGTGAAACAATGGCTTGTCGGTTGACAACGCAGCTCGACATGTTTGATTCCAATGCACATTTCGTGTCCAGGTTCCGGCCCTCGCTCCACATTTCCTGCACTTCTCGATGCGGTTCTCGCCATATCCGCCCGACAAATGGAGAGGAAGGAAGGGATTCAGGACTCGTTCATAGCCTCGAGCTGTACCAAGAGGCTATTCATCTACTCAGTCCCTGGTCGCAAATTTGGGATCTCAAAGTCGTGATAGCCTGCGTGTTACTGTGCTGACTAGGGATGATGTCTGCCCACGCACAGGACTGGCGAAAACACCTGAAAGGGTGCATCGTGCTGTTTGAGGCCTTTGAATACATGACTTCAGAAGTGGAATAATGCAGGCAACATTCTGGTTCTATATTTGAATAGGTGAGCAGTTCCATCTCTGCTACACCACGATCTATCGCTGACCAGGATAGATGTATGTGGTGAACTGATCTCTGATGGGACGAAAAGTACCGTCCTTCGCCCCAGCAAGTGGCTTGCCCCTCTTTGTCACGATGGGAATGCTGCCCGATTATTCCAAGCAGCGTAATCCCTAGATATGCATGCTGACTACGCAGTTTATCTTTGCGCAAAAACCTGCGAGCTGTTTCTGACTGTACTCAATTTGTAGAGCTTGGTGCAGAGAATGACTGTACCGGTGATATTTTCATCGTTGCTGGATCATCCTCTGGGAGGAACTGCAGCGATGGGTCGAGATTAGGTCCCTCGCAAAAACCCATCAAAAGATGTTTGAACAACGCCGTTCAGCCTCTTTGGATCGCTGAGCGACTATTCAGTCACATTTCTTTGGAGATATATCGCTTGTTTAATTTAAAAGATGGGTGCTACAATTCAAAGTTTTAAGAGAAGACACAACACCAATCCCAGGCAGCTTTGAGGGTGCAATAGCTTGGCTCAACCGAGTCTCTATTGCAAGCAGGGAAGTGGAGAAGTCCGGCAGGCTCAAATCGAGCACCATAATATCATTCCTACCCGTCCCCAATGCCAACAATCCTGCCACGGTACATTCATCATTGTCACTGTTCATTCTTGTCATGAGATCTGAAGGGCCATCATTTGGTTATATTGAGCTTTCGCCGTCAGGAGCCTGTGTCTCTTTAGACGGACTTAGATCTCAAGGTTCATATATTTCCTCCGACTCCGCGAGCTGATTGGCAGTTGATGGTTCCTCTCTGAATATATCGGTCTCATAGTCTTCCTTCTGTGGGTCCTCATTGACAAACTGACGCTAAATCAGGAGAGGTACAACTATGTGTATCTCGAAAGCCTACCTTAGATGGAGTGCCTGCTGCAGATGTTTGGACGGGATGTGCGTTTATCGTTAGAGATATCAGCTGGGCATCATATTTGCATGGTACATTTTGGAAGATGCAGTTCCGGCATTGGGGTCTCCCCCCGTTGCCTCATTTCGGGGTGAGTTGCAGGAACATCTTATCTTGTCGAAGTAAAACATAAGTATCTTCATTTTATTGCACGAATGCGACAGCGTATACATCCTGTTCGATACCGTGTCAGCTTCCGGGTATCCTGTTCGTTATCCGGCATGACTTGTGATGACGAGGAAGTGTAAGCACTTAAACGAAGAGGAAGGTCTAGGCACTCATATGAATAATTTTGAATGGTTGTTAGTACATAAACAATTCTCGCTTATCAAATCACCGCCCGGATGGTCTAGTGGTATGATTCGCGCTTCGGGATAACCATATTCCCAGTCTATGACAATAGCCTATTGTGCGAGGTCCCGGGTTCAAATCCCGGTTCGGGCCCATCATTTCATCCTTTTTGTTTTTGTTTTTATTTTTGTTAGTTGTCTGAACAAATCAAATCAATTATATTTACTATACGTACGACCAACCATTCGCAAGTTTTCCACCAATTTTAGAATCTTCTTCACGTTCACTGTTACACCGAGTCAAAATTCCCTGGATGGCCAGCTGTGCTTGGCCCACAATGGCCATCTCTCTCTCTTTCCCACCCTTCGCCAGTTCCCCACCCTCAACGAGAATTTCACCATTCACCACTGTAATGTCTACATCATGACCGGTGCAACCATGAACAACAGTTGTAACAATGCTGATCCCGTAACTCGGAGTGTCGGCACTCCAAGGTGCGGCTCCAACCCCTCCGCGGCCATATGGATCGAGCACCACAATATCCGCCTTCTTCCCTACTTCAAGACTGCCAATATCGGCTTCTAATCCCAAAGCCTTAGCGCCGTTGAGTGTCGCCATCTCGAGAGCGGTCTCCGCCGGGATCAGACTTGCATCGTGGTTCACCCCTTTGTGAAGTATGCCAGCCAGGTGCATCTCCTGGAACATGTCATAATGATTCGAGCAAGGAGCCCCGTCTGTTCCCAAAGAGACATTGACAGGAGGATCATGCGCAAGCATAGCTGGAACAGGTGCTACCCCAGAGGCTAGCTTGAGATTTGAGGTTGGGTTATGAGCCACCGAAGTCCGCGTCGTGGCCAATAAAGGGATATCAATTGCTTCGTCAAGGTTCACCATGTGTGCCAGAACGAGATTATGTTTTCCTTGATTTTCCGCTGATTCATCGCCTTGTGGACAGAGCTTTGCATCCCGGATGAACTCCATGGCACTGCAGTCGTATGAATCGTGATAAATATCCCGATCTCTGGGAGCTTCAGCACAGTGCATCGTAGCGGATATACCATGCGCAGCACATGTTTCTCCCAGCTCGAGATATTGAGAAATTGGTGCACCGCGAGGTGTACCTGCCGCAGCCCAGACATGAGTTCTACCATCATGACTACCGTGGTGTGTCTTGTGTGCTTTAACGAGTTCAGGAATTGACATTGCAAGCAGGTCTCGGTCTCTCGGATCCGAAATTGACAGTTGGCGATTGGTTTCCGTGAACTTGACCAATTTCCCCTTTAAATAGTTAGGAAACAATAAATGACAAAGAAAAAGGAAGAAATCATGCATTCCCACTTACCAAGCATCCTCTAATCCCCATTTGTCCCATGGCTTTGCAGATCTGATCAAATCCAGCCCGATATGTCAACATGGGATCAAGAAAGCAGGTTGTTCCGGTCTTGAGCATTTCCATCATAGTGAGATTTGCAGCATGGACACCGTCGTTGTGCTCGAAAACCGCCTCTAAGGGCCATATCGCATCGCATAACCAGTTGTGCAGCGGTAAATCTTCCGCCAAGCCCCGAAGCACGGACTGGACAAGATGAGCGTGTGTGTTAATGAGCCCAGGAATAATGATCTTGCCGGAACAGTCAATTTCACGCGCCCCAATGGGCAGAGTGTCGGGATATGGGCATTTTCCGATCGCTGTGATACGATCCCCGTCAATTCGAATATAGCCGTTGCGGAATACCTGGCGTTTTTCGTTGACAGTAATTATCGTGGCGCCATGAAACAATTTGCAGCCAAGAGCAGAGGCAACTTCGGTCACAGCCATGATGAATATGTTTATGCTGGGACCCAATAGAAGAACAACTTACCAGGTTGGCAATGCCGTTTTGATTAATGGTTTTGATCTGGGGATTCGGGGACCCCAGATACCCCAGACCCTCGGCCGACGCTAAGCAATCGGATTCTTATCAACAACAATGCCCCGATAAGGATCTACGAGATACAGCCCGCCATACGAGATATGATACAATGCATTAGCAAATAGGACTATCAATGACAATCTTTCTTAGCTCCCAAAGGCAAGATGATATATATCAGACGCTATCGACCTTCATTTCGTACGTGGTTTCCTTGGGACTACCAGCGAGTGTCCGGACAACTACGTTCCATATCATTGAACTTAGCTTGAGTGACGATCATGGATGCCAATCGGAGATCGCCGGAGAAAGAGGACAAATCATCCGGAGTTGCATCTTTCGAAGCAGCCGACCGAGGCTCAGATATTACTGAAATCACGTCGGTCGCCGAAACCCGATGGCAATACCTTTGCCGTTACTTTACTACCTGGGAGGGATGGGTCGGCAACTATGTACAGTCCCTCCATTCATATCAATATTTGCGAGGTCTTAATACTAACTAAAGATGAAAAGGATTATGTCTACCTCATCACCCCAAATATTTGGCCCCTCAACAAGCGGTACAAGGACTATGAAGCACCATTTTACGGCCTGAACGATGAAGTGCCAATTCTCCTCACCATAATCCTTGGCCTCCAACATGCCTTGACAATGATCGGATCTATCGTGTCCCCACCTCTAGCCATTGCAAGTGGTGCCTTTTATCTGAATACAGAGCAAAGCCAGTACCTTGTCTCGGCAGCTTTCATAACCACCGGGATTGCGACAGCGATGCAAGTTACTCGAGTCCATTTAACGAAAACACCCTTCTATATTGGAACAGGTCTTCTAGCGGTAGTCGGCCCTACTTTTGACATTCTTGCGATTGCCTTCAGCTATGCAGATATGCGTTATGCGAATGGTACATGCCCAACCTCATCAGATGGCACAAAACTGCCATGCCCGGATGCGTGGGGTGCAACACTTGGAACCATGCTATGCACAGTCTGGATCCAGATTTTGCTGTCATTTGTTCCTCCAAGAAAACTCAATCGTATCTTCCCGAAGATTGTTACTGGTACACTACTTTTACTGGTTGGAGTGTACCTGATCTCGAGTGGCATGGAGAACTGGGGTGGAAGCTCAAATTGCGACGGTGGAACAGGCTATTACAGTCTTTGTCCTAATACCGCAGCTCCAAAACCACTACCTTGGTGAGTAACATCAAACATTCTAACTGAAAGTAAGCTAATTTTTCGACAGGGGAGACGCAAAGCTCATTGGTCTCGGATTCAGCGTATTCATCACCATTATCATTGTGGAGCTTTTTGGATCACCACTGATGCGCTCCGCATCTGTCGTCTTTGGTCTCGCTATGGGATGCGCAATCTCCGGTGCTACTGGGTACTGGTCGCGTACTAATATTGACGCAGCCCCGGTAGCCACTTTTCTCTGGGTTCATACATTCAAACTATCAGTAGATGGAGCGCTTGTTCTCCCGCTTCTCATCATGTTTATCTGCGAAGCTGTCAGCTGCATGCCTGATATCCTCGCTACTGCGGAGATCTCTGGAGTTGACATTGATGGGGTTGAATTCAATAGCCGAATTCAAGGTGGAATCCTGTGTGATGGGCTTGGGAGCTTGATCAGTGCCTTGGGTACTGGGCTTCCAATGGTCAGTCAGGCGGGAAACAACGGTGTCATCTCTCTTACTGGATGTGCAGTATGTCTTTCAATTTCTTTTTCATGTTCTCGTCACTAATGCGTCCTTCTCTAGAGCCGCAGAGCTGGCTGGTGCGCCTCCGCTTTTCTCATTCTTATGGGGGTTTTCGGCAAATTCGGCGCAGTGTTCGGTTCCATGCCTCCATCTGTGCTGGGTGGGATGCAAGTGTTCCTTTATAGCACTATTACCGTTGCAGGTATCAGAGTACTAAGTTTAGTGCCATTCACAAGGCGCAATCGTTTCATTCTCACTGCTGCATTGGGCATCGGCTTCATGGATATTGTTTCCCCAAGCTGGTTCGATAAGGTTCTCGATTACAGTGGATCGAATGTCAACCTGGAAGGTTTTGAAGAGGGTATCAACCTTATTGTTGAAACTCCATTCATCATTGCTGCTATTGTTGGCGTATTCCTGAACTTGATTCTACCATATGATGGAAAACAGACGGACGAGCAAGAGCGGTCAGGACTTCCTCATTAAGTACGTACTTCAGTAAGGTGGCGTTCGCAATTTATTGTACAACTAATATATTCTGGTTTATCCACCATGCATAAAACTGGTGACTTCATATGAAACGTAATTTCCGCATATTTCTGGTGATTTTGTCTTTGAATTTCACCCAGAATACAACAGCCTTTTCATTGCAACCGGTGGTAGTGGACAATAGGTGATGCCAGCCCAGTCAACTCAGGTACATTTACTAACAATTGTCTTATTTTAGTGCATTTAAATTCTTGCCAGCGATTGGAAAATATGTTCTTGAAAGCATTCAACACAATACATCTCAGGACTTGCTCAACAAGTGGAAATTTACCCCACAGTTGAAGGAACAGTTTCAAGGGAATGTATATGGCGGAGATGGCAGTTGAGGTGGATCAGCAAGGAGGGAATTGGCGGGAAACGAAAGAAGCGCTTTCGATGTTGCTCTCCTTGCTTCTGCTCTTCAGAGCAAGATATGATGCAAAGGTTGTTTCTTTGGTCAATTCAAATACACAGCGAGGCCAATACCCTTATATTCTTATCAAGGAAGGCCAATTGTCAACGCGAGTATCCTTTTATAGAGAGGTTATCCGATTGGCAATTTCTGCGTTCTATTTTTGCTCTCATTTCCGCCTTTCCCAGGTTCTCTGCCCCGGAAAGAAAGTTAATATCGATCTCAATTCCAAGTCTTTCATTCGTGCCCCGAAATTTAGCATTAACTGATTCGTAACTTTTACTGTGGCGATTTTTAGTCTCAGATTACCCACGATCTGCATTTAATACACGATAAGGTAAACCGACAATGTACCACATGACAGCTTGAGGTCATGAACCTATATGTTCGCTACAGATAAGTTGTTGGAGTAAATTGCGGGGTACATTTTACCGGTCGACATTTGAACCTGGATAGATAATTTTTAGGAAGAATGACGCGCTCTAAAAGAAGAGGCTACAAGTATATCTGTAATTTAAATTTTCCCTATCTTCCATTACTCTGATAACAACAGCAGCCAATAAAGTCGAGCAACGTCACTCTTTGTGCAAGAAGTTCAGGGATTCGGGCGGGTCCAATGGAACTGGTGCCCGATCTGGAATGCTTTTCCCCCTCATTTTAACACGACACTAAACTCCTTAAGCCATCGGCGATGACCCTCCGCTTCCGCCGGCGCTCGGTGCGGTGGACCGTTAACCCCTGCAAGTGATACGTGGTCAACTCGTGATCATGCATGACAGCAATTATACAGCGACTGTGTAGAGATCTACCACATGAGTGACTAGGAAGTCTCCGCGTCATGGTCGATGCTGGGCCAGCAAACAAATGCAAAGCTAGAAAGGTTCGCTGATAAGCAGCTGGACTCAGTGGAATCCTTAGTACATATTCAACCTAATAATGAATTTGCGGTCAATTGATCCATGGATACAACATGTGTTTACAGACCGGTCGCTGAAGCCCCAAATCTTATAACCATGTCCAGGTGTTTGTGAGAAAAAATGCGACAAACTTCCCACGCCACTCAAGTGATTCAGCTTTAAATTCAATGTACTATCGAGACTCCGATAGCTCATGTGATCAAAAAGCGCGTGACGTGAAGCTGTGCGGGGTGAGTCATGTGTTGCGCCACAAGAAGCCTCCAGCTTCGGATGTTGCATTCCTAGATAATCGTAGTTTAAAAAACAGTGCCAATACTAGTACGTATTATTGTCTTGCTCGAGGCAATATAGATTAATAACCATTTTCAAGGTTAATTGAGGTAAATTTGTGAAGATTAAAGTATGATCATATGTATCTCCCCCACGTTCGGAAACAAATTACTTTATTTGACCAAGAAGCAGAAGTAAGTACTTCTCATGAGCACATGTGCAGACAGTCTTAGACGTTGTAGGTCGAGCTTGCCAATCGCATCCACAACATGGGTCGACTTCGGTAGTGCAGATACTACTCTTGCAGTGCATAGATAGATTCTGACCAAGACTTAATTAGTATAGCCCATCGAAAAATCGCAAGAAGCCCAAGTTTCGTTATAGACACACGAATGGGACCCGAAGTCACAGGAACTTGTGCACACGCTAAACCCTTTTTCAACCCCTGCCAGGAGACACTAGTCCTTATTGGCTGTGGTATAATAGAGCTTTCAAGATTAACAGTCTCAGGAAGAGGGGGTTGTATTAGTTTCATACTTGACTGAAACTCATAATATGAAATGTTTACCAAGCAATCGGAATTTGAACTAAACATTGAGACCTGAACATCGAACCAAATATTCTATAAGAGTACTTTATCGCTATTTCTCAAGGATTTGAATGTTGTCCTTTCATAGACCAGGCAAAGTTGCATGTCCTTGACTATCATATAAATCACGGTATATGGACCGATAAAGCGGGGTGGCAGTTCGCAGAGATCCGGCTGTCGCAACCGCTAGCCGTGTTATCTTTCTATCTTTATTTGCGATTCCAAAGCTACCAGAAGCTGATTCGGTGATGCAGATCATCGCACCCCGGAACCAGATACTGGAGCCGGTCACAGGACCGGCACGGCCTCTTAGCCGTGGGTCCTACAACGCCAATCACAAATGCCAATTCAGTGGTATATATGATGCCTTCTCATCACCAAGCCAGAAACATGAATCAAAATTCAAGATCGAGACATTCCAAACTCCTCACAACATGACATCAATGCTAAAGAGCTACCTGGGGTATAGTGACCCGGCGGGTGACAAGAGTGCCCAGGAAGGCTCCCCCACAAGAGCTCTCCCTGCCAATTGGTACACCTCTCAAGAGATGTACGAGCTTGAACGACGAGCGGTCTTCTCAAGAAAGTGGCTTTTGACCACACACAAGTTGCGTCTCGCAAAGACCGGTGACTATTTGAAATACGATATCGCGGGATTCCCTTTTATCATTGTCCGCGACCGCGATGGGAACATCAACGCATTCCATAATGTCTGCCGTCATCGTGCATTTCCTGTTGTTGCCGATGATGCAGATAGTGGAACCGCTCGAATCTTTGCCTGCAAATATCACGGCTGGTCTTATGGCTTGAACGGGAAACTCGCCAAAGCACCAGGCTATCAAGACCTAGAGGGATTCGATAAGTCACAGAATGGATTATTCTCTATTCATGTTCATGTGGATGGCAACGGGTTCATTTGGGTCAACCTTGACAGTGCCGAGAAACCCGAGATTTCATGGGAGGATGACTTCAAGGGTATTGACCTGCAGTCGCGGTTCCAAGACTTCGACTTCAGTGAATACCAATTCGACCACACGTGGGAGATGAACGGCGACTATAACTGGAAGGTTCTCGCCGACAATTATAACGAGTGCTATCACTGCCAGACTGCTCATCCTGACGTTCCATCGGTCGCCAGCCTCGATACCTACGATGTTGCCACGAAGAATGCTAGCATTATTCACCACCCCGGCACTACGGAGGAACAAATCGCCAAGGGCATGAATATTTGCAGCACATACTACTTCCCCAGTGCCTCTATGACCGTCTCGTGAGTTCCTCTACAATATTATAACTTGGAGACGTTCACTAACGACTAGGCAAGTCCACACTTCTTCTTTATGCAGCGCTTTGTTCCTACCTCGCCAACTAGCTGCGTTATGCGCTATGAAGTCTACCGTCACAAGAACTCGAGCGATGGGGATTTCGAGCATGTCAATCAGATGTTCAAGCGGATCATGGCCGAAGACAAAGAACTCTGCACCGAAGCTCAGAAGAACTTGAACAACGGCGTCTTTGTCAATGGTGAACTCCATCCACAAATGGAGAAGGGGCCACTCTACTTCCAGGGCATTGTTCGTGACCTTGTTATCAACTTCCACAAACGTGAAGAAGAGACTGGACGACAGATTTGGCCATCTCGCCAGGCTCTTCCTTCAACTGCTACCACCAGTCAGGAGGACATGGACTTCTGCACCAATCTAACCACCCAGAAACAAGGGGCTGATTGTGCGACGCAGGTCAGTGGGTGCTGTGGGGGAGGATGTCAGACAGCTGGCAACCAGGCACTTGCCTACTGATTATTTTTAACGGTCGCATTCTCATTTTCATTTTCATTCTAGCGTACTGATTATATAGCGCTTTTTGGCTTTGGCTTCTTGTCCTTTAGAAGTTCACGAATAATGCAACATTTGAACTAAACATCTCACGGCCGATCATGACGAAATCCATATCTAAGGTTCATAATAGCCAAGCACTCTATCAAGAGGATAGAAAGTGGAACCAATCTGAACCGTTTGGTCTGTGGGGACCCTTATCTTCATATGTGACAACAATGGAAACCTCAATCAACCTTCTGAATTGGGAAAGGTAGATAAGAGAGATAAAGACCGTCAATTCCTGGCAAATATAGTTCTACATATATGCGGGGGATGCTATTGGTACGAATCGACTTTAACATGGATCTGCGACCGGGATTCTATACTTTCCGGGATACATTTGCCCCTTTGAGTGGGTTAAGTTACATCGTATTAAATGTACACAGACCGTTTTAAAGGTAAAATAGCCTGAAATAGGTCCAGGCGCGATCTAGAATGCGAGTTTTGGTTTCCCGAATGACTTTCCATTATCGCGTTTCCCCGCACCGATCGTCATTACCAACTTTCTTATCCCCTCCATTTACCCTGACGAGATCGTCTATTTTGCAAGGTATTCATCACTCAAAATATATTTTCTATTTAGTTTCCTTATCAATATCGAGTATCATGCCACGGGACGGCAACCGTGGTAGATTGCGTTCTCACGAGGCTTGTCTCAATTGCAGGTAAGTTGTACATGGGATATTAGTGATGTTTTTGTTGATTCAATCCTGACTGAATGACGTCTAGGAGGAAGAAAACAAGATGTCCAGCTGAAAAACCGTCTTGCTCGAGCTGTGTGCGCCTTAATCAACCATGCCTTTACACCACCACCTCTAAAGGCTCCCGTGGAGGTCCATCAGTATGATGTTTCTCCTGTGATTCTATGCCAACAAACTAATTCTATCAAGGCTGACCGACTGGCATATCTTGAAGAGAAAGTCAATCTAATCCTTAGCGGCAAAGGGTGAGAGCGAGATACCAACTGGGCACGTCGTATGCTAACATCATGAAGATCCAGCCCTCCAGATCAAAACAAAGCCAAGCCGCAAGAAATTCCAGAAACAAGTTACTCCATCCCCTCTGGTCCATCGTCAAACGAGTTCAGTGGTAATGTGAATGAGCCTTTCTTCGGACTTGGCTACGATGACTCGAAAGGTCACAACCCGTCTCGAGTTTCCCGCGCAATCGAACTCTATTTTCAATACTGTCACCGACAACCAATATGGTGCTTTGAGCGAGAAGAAGTGAAGGACCCGAGCTATCTCTCTGAAGAACTTGTTTGCAGCATCATAACATTGACTTCGCGTTTCTCTCAAGATCGCGACGAGGTGCAACAGTATGGTGATACTGCACGGACATTGGTCATGCTTCGCATCGCGAATGGAACTATCGAGCTTGAAACGATTGAAAGCTTGTGCCTTCTCTCTTATTCCTCGTTCTTAGGTATGATTGATCTACCCAGCAAGAAACAATGGATACTAACTGTGCTTAGATGGGAATGGCCCTCTTGGACGATTTCATCTTGGGCTCGCTCTCCAACTTTGCCGTTCTGCAATGTTAGATTTGAACTCTACGTATGGCCTCGAATGTCCCGCCGCCGAACGCAAGAAAAGGCTTTTTTGGAGCCTTCAGTCCTTGGAACAGACTTATGGACAACTGGGTGGCATATTGAGTGTTCAAGCAGAAGTGTTACGTTCCTTTTATCTTTCCACGGGCAACGATTCGGTTCTCGAGAAATCGGGACACCATCCCCCGCCACTACCTAATGATACCCTTGGATGCACGAGTCCATCCGATATTGGCATTTGGAACTTAGCACTACATTTTGGATGGGTATGGAATCGAGTCAGAGGCTATGTTTTTGACTGTGCGCAAAACAAGTTGACAGAGCCTTGGCGGCATGACTCGATGTACGCGATGGTTATTTCCGACCTCACTGAGCTCGAGAATAAATTGTCACTTTGTCATCGATATGATTCAGTCAAGTTCTATGAGCGTCGAGCAGATGAGCTACGGGGAAACCGAGACTATTGGGCTTCTTGGCTCAAGTTACAGTTCACTTACCACACTATCTTGACAGTGCTGAACCATCCCTTCCTTTATATCGTGGCCTCACAATACAACCATAAATTGACGATTCCAAACACATTTTGGCGACGATCCTCGGAAATGGTTATGCTCCATGCCACTTGGATCGTCCGCATGATTGATATGGTCACTGACAAGAAAATGAGATTGATTGATCCGTTCTTCGGACATGCTGCTACGATTGCTGCCACTGTGCATCTTTATTTCTGTTGTGCTGCCGATCCAAGACTGAAGTACAAGTCCAAGACCGACTTTTCAAAATGCAGGAGATTCTTGAAAAGTTTTGTTTCATTCTCTCCTGCCTGCGAAGATCTGGTATGCATATCTCATTCTGATCAGGAGTCGTTACACTAATACAGCAAATTAGGACAGGACATTGGATAAAATGACACGCATTGCCTCTGGCTCGGAGAAGGTGGACTTTGATTGGGAACCGTCAAAGATTCATCTCAGCATTCCTTTGATGTGGGATGTGCTACAAATCAATTGTTTACCAACATTCGACGAGACACCTACAGCTGGCCTGCTTCACTCTTCATTGATGCCGGTCATTTTCCCAGAAGATAAAGAAAACTCAGCTACCACGATTGAAGTTATTGTTGCCATGTCTCCAGACATCACGGTGAACACTGCCGACGGTGGCTCGGCCGCTCATATGCCACCTAAGATGCCCCGTATTGCTGCATCGGCACCAAACTCTCCAACTGCTCCCCTTAATGATAAACTCGTCGCTCCTGCTGACAGCCTAATGGCTAATGCTCCTTGGCTATGGGCCGACTCTTCACAATTTGTTGACATGGAGACTCTTGGTTATCCGGAGTCGGAATCAACGTTGGGTAATATTGACGGATTTTCCACATGGTGGGATTTTGGAAACTTATAACGAGTATTATATTCATTTCATCTTTATTCCTTAACGAGGATTTCAGGTTCACAATACTGCTCCAGAGCTATCACAGCTTCACAGCTTCACAATGAAGCAAATTCCTCCCTGACTAGTGCCCAGATGCACCCTACACGAACAAAACAAAACAGAACAAAACGAAAGCGCCCAATCATGCCGCAGCGACCGTCTTCAGCTTTTCCTGCAACGCAGCAAAATTTCTCTTCATCGCACTCTCGGTAAATTGAGCCCCGGTCACCATTGGATATTTCTTCAAAGGCCCTTGGATCAACGCATCCTTGCAGGGCTGATTGAAATAAGCGATGCTGTACCTATCCCCAAAATAATCACCCGGCCCACAAGGCGCCTTGACCCGATGGAAAGTGGACTTGAAACGATCGTCCGACCATGACATGAGTAAGTCTCCAATATTGCACACGATCTCCCCCGTCTTCGCCTCCACCTTAGTCCACTCGTCCCCAATACCAAACTCCGTGACCGACTCGCGCCCCGGACATATCTCCAGCCCACTCTGCCCCTCCTTCTGGAAGAGTAGAGTCAAGAAATCCCAATCGGCATGTGCCCCAGCGCGATGATACACTTTGCCGTCCGATTCCTCCGGCAGAGCAAAGTAATGAAGTAGTCGCATGGTGGTTTGAGAGTCCGGTCGTGCTACATCATGACACTTGATGAAGAAGTCGTCGGCAAATCCCAGACCGCGAGCGAAGCAGCGCATTAGTCTCTCTGAGATCCCTTGCACACGGTGCATGAACTCCAGGGAAGTAGATTGGAACCCTGCGAGATGCTCATCTGCCACCCATAACCCCTCCATATTTTCTCCATATTGCAGTTGATAGGATTCCTTGCTGTCAGGCTTTCCGGTCGATGGTCTGATCTGTGAGTTCTTCTCCCATCCCACGTTGTTCTTGTTCCAGGGTACTGTCTTCTTTGTCTCGTCCGGGAGCTCAAAGAAACTCTTAGATGTCATGAACATGGACTCGATGTCTTCTTTGGTAAGCCCGTGGTCGATTAGAGTGAAGAATCCGACATTTTGCGCAGCGTCGACTAATTCGCTGGTGATTTGATCGATGCGATTGTCGAAGTCGTGGAGGGAGATTTGGGGGATCGGACGGTCAACATATCTAGTTTCGGCCATTTTCAAAGTGATTATTGACGGAACACAGCTTTTTGGAGATGTTTCGATGCTAGAAGATGAGGGATCTCAGTCACATATATAGAGATTGATAGAGTAGGTAGAGTCGCCTTATTTAATGATCTTACCTATCAGCTCCTCGGCCGAGGTGGGGGTAGTGGGGTCGGCCGACCTTGTAAATCTGACCTCGTATGGTTGGAGGAAAAGACAAAGGATCTGACTATCCAATAATGATGACTTGCAAGATTTTGCTCGGATTTTATTTTCCGAGCTCTTCACATATCCTTAGAACCGATGAATCGTGTTAATAGGAGGTGGGCAAGTGCTTCGTCGTACTAAACCAGTGGAGATAAGAGGATCCGCGGCTTTCGTAATGCCGAGAAATAATTGGCTCAGATCAGCGATAACAACATTTGAACACTCAACCCCTTCATCTACTTTCAAAATGATCGGCATTCACCGAAAACGTCTAGCATGTGTAGAATGCACACGACGCAAAGTGAAGTGTGACAAGATTCTTCCATGCCGCAACTGTACCAAGAAAGGAACAGCTTGTACTCGGCCGCGCGAGCGGAGTTCTCCGAGTCCAAGTCAATCCGAGCGCATTGAGCGACCTATCCAGCCCCGGCCGAGCACAGATGCTTCAGTGGATGCTATAGCGACTATTGAAAGACTTCAGTCCAAGGTCAATGAGTTGGAGGCCGCTCTAAAGGAATCCACCTCCCGCATGTCTAGACCCGATCCCTCGGTCAACAGTTCATTTTCTCCCATACCGGTAGAGTCAGAGCCATCACCATTTTCTCGCAATTCTACACATATTGGATCGGAGAATACGCCCCGAGAAGTGGAGGATGCTGCGACGATACTCGAGTTCCTCGCGTGGGGTCGTCGCAAGGATCCTACCTATCAAGATGAGATCGCAAGACAGAATAACATCGAGCACTCGCCTGGTGATGTAGCCGCTGAAGACGAATTGGAAAATGTTGGCGTATCAGGACTGTCAGCGCCGGCCCTCTGTCTGTCTTTACTTCCGGATAAAGCAAAAGTTTACCAACTTGTTCGGTATCACTGCGACTGCCTACTCTGGCGTCACGGATCGTTTCATACAAAAACATTCCTAGCGCAGCTAGATCGATTCTACGAGAAAGACGAGGGGCAGATTCGGGGATCAGGAATTCACTTACAATGGATAGCACTTCTTTTCGCAATCCTCACGGGTTCAATGGCCTGCGCGCCGAGGCCAATTTCCCAATCCTGGGGCTTCCGCGACCGGGAAAAAGACACTTTATCTAAACGCTGGCTTAAAGCTACAATCGCATGTCTTCATGAAGCAGATTATATGGCCTTTCATTCCATTTATTCCGTTGAGGCGATTGCGACTCTTACCATGTCTGCTCATATGTTGGGTCACTCGAATGAATTCTCAGTGCTACTAGCCTCCGCCGTGCGAATTGCACAAGGGCTGGGCTTACATCAACTGGATGAAGCAAGTGATTCTTCACCTTCTGGACTTGTTGATCGGGAGATCGGCCGACGGGTCTGGTGTCAGCTCTGCATCCAAGACTGGTTTTCGATTCCATTTACAGAAAGCTATTTGGTTCATAAGTTGGGGTTTAGTACGATAAAACCACGAAACTGTGATGAGGAAATGAATTTCCTGGATGATGATCAGCCGTCTGTGACGAGCTACTCGCGGATCTTCTATGATATCGCGGCTTTGATGCCAGATCTGCAGGATGATTTCATCTCCTGCAACACTCTTTACACGCGATACGAGGAGGTCTTGAAATATGATCGCCGTCTGCGCACGCTAGCCACGCAGCATCTTCCTCGCTACCTGCAAAATGTTCCGTTAGATGCTGGTTGGCCATGCTATGTTCCCTGGGCACGAACAAGCTTAGCTATCAGCTCCGCTCACAAGGCTATCATGATTCACAGAAAATTCTTGAGTCTGAGCTTTTCAAATCCCATGTTCGAATTCACGCGGAAGACATGTGTAGCTGCATCGCGAACGATAATTAAAGAGCAAAAAGAAGCGACTCGGAGTGGGGGGCCCATACTCTGGATACACCAGGCATTCAGTGTCACGGCCAGTGTGAGCAATGCATCCGAAAAAGCTACCCCTGTTGACTAACTGATTTGCAGATTATCTTATGTTTGGATATGTTCCATCAGTCTGTAGCGGACCGACAATCATCAGAACACCGACAGTTGATCGAAGATGGTATTGAGATCTTATCGCATTGTGAATCAGATATGATCGCACAGCGTGGTGTATCTCTATTAAGAGCAATGCTTGAGGCTGAACAATCACGCAATAACGGGAAATATCTTGTTCCTGAAATACCCGTCCTCCCAGGGACTCCGTCGGAAAATAGGCTAGATATCGCCGCCATCATTCGAGCCTTTTATCACGATCGTGCTGTACCTGGTCGGTCCAAGTCGATCCTGCATGTCCCATCTACTGCCAGAGCTGCAGATCATAGACACTGGTCTGAGATCACAAGTATCGAGCCGGGTATGATATCGGGGGATATTATGGGGTCGCTTGGGGTCGATTATGCAGAAGGATTGGAGGACATTCTTAACTTGGCGACAAATTATCTTAACTGAGAAGTGCATTTATTGAGCATGTTTTTTCTGCGAAAGTCTCTGCTATGTACTGGCTGTGGCCATATATATCTAAAGGGAATAATTAAGTGATGCATACACTGTAACAATGACGGGCCAGCCCAGATCACGAATAGTGCTTCAGGGTAAATGATTAAGGAAATTAAAAAAGAAAGTAGCGTATCCAAAAGGCACAATACAGGCCTATTAGTTGGTCTTGCGTACTTGTGTAACAGGCGCCTCGTAGATACGAGTGCCGTGGACGAGATATTGCACAACGGCGAAGATGACGACAACGCCAAATACCAGAATCGACCAGTTCATATCAACGGGGGTCGGGTCGGCGGCGGTGGGGAAAAATGTGAAAATAATCGAAAAACAAAGCCAAGCAACTGCGAACACGTTGATGGGCATGCCAAGACGACCAAGCGAAAAGCGAGAGGGAGGAATTCCGCCCGGAAGAGTTCGAGCTCTAATGAAGGCTGCGATGGAGAGAATGTAGGTTGTGAACAATGCGGCGATCATGACCGATGCAATGGCGTTGAAGGCGGCGGTTGATCCGATGTTAATCAAGCTCAGCAAGACAGTGATGATGGTGGAAACCAACACGGACGTGACGGGAACCCCGCTACGGCTGTTGACGTGCGACAGGGATTTGGAGAAAGGCAGAGCATTGTCGCGAGCAAAAGCAAAGGTCTGACGGGAGGCAGTGGCCAGAATACTGATAGCACTGCAAACTTCCATCACAAGGATAATCGCCGCCACGCCGTTTGTGGCCGCCACGGATCCAGTGGCATGTTGAACAGCGGGGATGAACGAGAAGCCGCTCGCCGGGTCAAGAATGGCATCATTAAGGGGGCCCATGGTGTATAGAAGGGTGACCAGGATGACGAATCCAAGGCCTCCATTGATCAAGGCAGTGGAGACCATGCACCAAGGAATGATAAAGGAAGCATTTTGGACCTCCTCGGCCATGTGAGTTGCCGCATCGGGTCCAGTCCATGAGAAGATCGGAGTCAGCTGGCCGACCAAACAAGCCAAACCCATACTGGACCATCCGCCCGAGTTTGTGAACTCTTTCCACACCTCCTCGTTGGGGGCTTTCCCAGATGACATTGCCCACATCGTGGCCAGAACTGCGACAAATCCGCCCAAGTGAAGACCCAAAATGACACCCTCAAGGGAGGGCAGGAACTTCGCGCCGTAGGTGTTGATGAGGGTTCCGACCGCTGCGATGGCAATTGTGAGCAGAGTTCCGTGCCAGCGGTGGTAGTCGTATACATAGCCGGTGTCTCCGGAGTAGTTGAAAACAAGCAGTCCCTGAATCAGGGTACCGCACAGGAAGCAAATACTAGCAAATGCAGCCTGCCAACCCAAGACAGACAACCAACCAGTGAGGTAGCTCAAGAACCGTTGCGCTCTTGGGGGGCCAAATTCGCTGACCCAATGGTATTGTCCAGCGGATGTTGGGGAACTGGAGAATGTCAGAATGAGATATCAACGAGCCAATTAATTGACAGTAAGACATACACCGAAGAGATTTCAGCCATAGATATAACCGCGGCAAAGAATCCCACGAAGGAACCGATATAGACATAGACCATACCGGCGCGACCGCCATCAGTTAAACCATAGGTACTCGTCCTAAGGAGAGTCAGTATATCGCATGCGACCGGAAGCGGCAGCAATCCTTCTCACAATAAGATCGACTCCCAAGTAGCCATCAAAGTAGTCGTGAACCCCAGGATCGAATAGAATCGGAAATTTCTCTGTGGTGAGCTAGTCAGTCCACGCGCTCCACGCCTCCCCGCATTAGTTCCGACGCACCTTCAACTGCTGGACCTTGCCCAGACGCTGCATATCCCAATCATCCTGATCCGTAGGTTCCAGAGCAGCCTCATGGGCTCTAAGCTCCTTATCGCGCGACATCTTTGTGAGAAAATGAGACGTCAAGTCGACAAGCAAAAAGTTATTCAAAAATTGGAGATGAAGAGAACAGGGGGGTTCTTACCGAAACCCTGGTAATGACCAATCACAATTGACGGAAGAGTGGACAGCCTTTTTGCCGGTGGAGTTTAATCCTGCTGATCAGCATATCATTTTTCCCTAGTTGTTCACTAGTCGCGCCACGCATTTCCGGATTTTTATTATTGGTTCATTCATCTTTGTTCCATGAGCGGGTTTTGCATGGAGTCATTGCCCATGTGTTTCCGGAACGCGCATCCTCGTGGAGCTTCAATATGTGAAATCGCTTTGGCCTTGACCATTGCGTGCTGTGGTCGCACCCACTTCAAGGGGGTAGAAAGCAGCTCCGTGCGTTGCCGTGTCTGTTGTGGCGGGCTTGGCTGAGTCTCGAACCAACAGAATCCGAGGTTCGGCGTTCCCCAAAAGTATGCAGCTTTGATCCACTTGGAAGAATCGTGGAATTATCGGGTGGCGCCGCCGGGCCGACTGTACTGAATGGATTTATGCTGAACAGGCATATTTCCAGAAATATCAGTAGAAAATGACCAACGAAATGGATGACGCGCATCAGTCTAGAGGTGAGTGGGGGAAAGTTGATCAAAGCTCTAACGGAAGACAAGCTCAGACGCCCATGGGTTGAGACCAACATGAAACTCCACTTTGGGATTTCTGAGTCAATTTTAATAGTTCGTATGTTTCGGAATTATGCTGGAAAACTGACTTCATCTTTCATTAAGTCATTCCATCCCACATTTATTGTTTCGACAATAAGCGACCGTATATAATACCATACAACCAGTCAGCACACAGTACTTGTAGGCACCAAACCTAATCTAAGCATGCATTATACAGTAAATGCAATAGAATTAAATGCAATAGACTCAAATTATGAATTTGAAACAAAAATGACTCGAAAGTAATCATGAATTCCTGTAGATCACTCAGTCCATAGCTTGGAGGATACATTACTGGAACTGGCCTCACTTTCACCACCTAGGCAGCCTTATACCTGTTTACTACGCCACATTTCGCCAAATATAAGATCCTTATGTTTATCAGGCATGATCTTTGAAATTTCAGTAACAAACGTTCAAAGGCGATCCATTAAGCTCAGTTAGGCGCAGATATGCATGTGCAGGTAGATGCACAGGTATGCCGGTCGGATCGGAGCCAATCAGCGTCTAATACGGTAATAAAATCTCCAACACAGACACCGATTTCTAAGTGTTTGAATATTCTCCGGATTCTCGATGATTCAACTGTTTGCCGACTTGTTTACCTACTAATGTGGCTAGTGAGTGGTATAACTAGCGCGAGGCTGAGCAAACCGTGGCGGCCTCAGCCTCGTCTAAGGCGGCGCGCACAAGACTGGACCCTTCCCCATTCATTTGACTTGTTTATAAGAGCAGCCTCTAACGCGAAAACATATCAGAGCTCTTGATTTTCTTTAGCTTCAAAATGCCTCCACATTATAGCACTGGAAGCCCAGCTTTCATGTTTGACCTTGCGGCCCCTGAGGAATGGGCTTATTCACCTGGTGACACCATCATCGGCAACTTGGTGCGGAAACTGCCAATCGTTACCCCTGAAGCGTCCGTGAAGCTATCATTTGCTGGCCGCGTGAAGGTCAAGATCGTCGTGCAGTCAGGACGTACCAAAAAGGTTTATCGTGACAATTGGCAGCTCTTGGACTTCCCAGAGATCGTCCTTTTTCAGGGTCCACTGCATCTCCCTGAAGGCAGCGATGAGTCGCTTAGCTGGCCAATCTCGGTGAACATTCCATATCAGCCCATGGATTCGTGTAGACAAGGCCATAGCCAGAAATGCAGCTTTGCCCCGCTGGCCAGCGACCACCCAATTCACCACACTTTGCCGGGGTCCTTTCTGTCCGAGAGTACAAGTTGGGGTGCCAAGTGGAACCCTGACTCACTCGAATTTGTAGAGTACTATCTCAAAGCTGAAATTGGATACAACTTTGGAGGGCACCACAAGTCCCACGAAGCCATCTGCCCTATCACCATCCGGCCCCCGATTGTACAGAGCACCGGTGTGCCAAAGATGTTCAAACAACCAAGGCATATCACCACGCAGCGACTGCTTCCAGGAATGGAAAATGCAGATCTTTCGTTCAAACAGCATGCGCAGAAGCTCTTCTCCTCTTCAAAGGTGCCCAGCTTCCACTATGATGTTCTTCTCACTGTCCCGACCTCCATTCAGCTCGACGACCCAACTCCGATGCCAATCCAAATCCAGGTCATGCCAAATCTTGAAAAAACCAGCGACAGCATCAAAGAAGTTGCGCAAAATATCCGCATTCTGGCCCTCGAAGCAACCCTCCGCCTCAATACCCATTCACTGGCACCTGGAAACTTTACAGATTCCGTACACCAGAGTCAATACAGCGAGAGTATCGGCCTGGGTCTGCAGCGCCTCATGGAGGCTCTCGAGCAACCACTGGTAATGACCACTGGGAAAGGAAATGAGCCGTTGAATATCGGGGATCTGTTCCAGTTGACCCTTCACGATTGGGGTGTCATGGCTGGAAACAAAAAGCTGCCTTTGGATTCATGGAGGAATACCAAGCTCACGCCCGATTTCACGACCTATAACATCCAGCGTACCCACCAACTGGAGTGGAGAATCACTCTGGAGATTGCGGGAGAGAAGGAAAAATACAAGTTTATCAACCCGGTGGAGATTATTGCTCCGGCATACTAGGCTCCAGCATAACGGGGGAATGTTGGTGGTCTTTGTTTAGCCTTGATTTTTTCATGTTATGATACCCAATACCCACACGATATCCACATTCGCAGAGTTTCAATGGAAAGGCTAGCATGAATTGAACAAATTGCATATTTGGTTCTTTTTAGAAGATATCCGGGGTAAATCTTAGTTCAGAAGTCAAGGGATGAGGCCCGCATTGAGCGAGAAAGGCTAGCTCCTCGTAACGAGGAAGAAAAAGCAGCGGGGGTGTCAAATTTGCTAGTTCAATAATAATTTCGAGACACTTGTTAATTAGTGAATCTGGAGTGCTAGTATTTCCATAAAAGCTCCACAGCTCGGCAAGATTGACAAAGATTATGTACGCAACTGTGGAGCAAAGGAGAGATATCTGGTCGGCTGGCAAATCAAGATTTAATGACAGAATAGGTCCCACTATGATAAGATCTAGATATGTCGTACTCGCAAAGAGAAGCGAAGTTATAAATACCTGTTTGTACGGAGTACTACGTAAGCCCGAAGACTTAGAGTAGTGGCTGAGTAGCCGTGGCGCTCCATCGCGAGTCAGTATACTTAATGGGGAAATTACATTCGTGACTCTGCGGGACCTTAAATCCGCTAATTATGGAGCTCGGATATACAATTTATTCTCCGTTACGTTCTCAAGTCCATTATCTTTTAACATTTAGCGCAGTTGGTAGACGGATTCGATCACTAAAGCCGAGTTCAACTGACCCTTTTGCATTGAAGTTTAACCCACTGAGGTTCCTTCACCCGAATTGATCTAGAGTAATTCAATGACGCAAAATTGGCAATGAATGACAATATAGATGAAATTCAATTGTTTACGCTCCGCTCGTACATCGTACTGCCCCCTGCTTTCAGAAAAGGAGAACAACCGGCAGGTTCGGTGGAGACAAAGTAGTTTCTCTTTGTTCCCACTTAAACTCTACAAACTTGGAAATTTCACTTTATACGAAATACATGTTCTATTTTATTGGATTTCGTCCCTCTGTGAATCCAGGGATATCTGATCTTTCAGTTGTTGGATGATAATATGATTGGCTGTAGATTGCCAAGTCCGAGTCCACATCAGGAGTTCCGGAAATGCGCCACACTTTACCGGTTGCGACGGAGGACGCGTGGGCGATGGCGCTACGGTCCCTGAGGGACCCTGCTAAATGAGACCCACAACTCACTATGACTGGTCAATCCGATTTGGACCAAGGCAATGAAATCCACAGATAACCAAACGATCCCGACCGGGTAAAGAATTGACGGTGCAAGTACGCAATCCCGCAACGCAAACTCCGCTTCATTCTTGGCAGGTGGAAAACCTTCTATGGAAGGCCGAATCAGGACGCTCAACCAATGATGTGCGCCACGTTGCGGATCCGGTAGATTCGCTTGCGGGGAGTTCCAGCAAGGGGAAAGACTTTGTCCCGGATAGTCGGCGAGGCAGTTTAGGTCATGGAAAGGGTGGCGTCGTAAATAGTTATATCTGCTGTGGTAGTCCCGTCCCCGCTCCGCTCCTCTGTCACTCCTACCACACCCCCCCTCCCCTGAAAGAGTCGTTGTCGAGGACTTGCGATGATCCAATGTTCACGCGGGCTTCCTCCGCCACTCTGCGCTTGAGCTCCTGGCTTGGCCGCAGCGATAGACCACACAAACTGGGTCCTCGCCGTCTATTGCCGGCGCTCCTGCTCGGCATTGGAGGCTTCATTCTATTCTACCTTGTCGTCCTGCCGCAGATTCTTAGGTTTCGATTTCGGTTTGGCATGAGCAGGTATGATTTGGGATTTTCGGGATTTGGACCTTCACGAACATACCACTCTTTCGAAGAGGAAGCGCCCATCGTTGAGATTTCGCCGGCCGGCGCACAATGCGACCAACGATATACCTTCCTCGCCCCACGGGGCGACTCCGTTCGGCATCCGGGGCCAATGATTCTCGACGCTCAGGGCGAGCTTGTTTACAAAAAATACAACTGGGGGACAACCCAGGATTTCAAAGTACAACACTTCAAGGGCGAGGATTACGTCACATATTGGCAGGGAGATGAAGAAGATGGACATGGTCGTGGATCATGGTATATGGTAGGGAAATTCGGACCTTGGCAACCCTTTTGGGGGCGGCTGTTTTTTCTTGGCTGCAGGGGGCTAATATTTGGACCTGACCGCAGCTTGATTCAACCTATACCGCTAAATACATCATATCCCCCGTTGGCATTCTTCAGGGGGATCTCCACGATTTCCAAATCACGGTCAACGATACGGCCCTCCTCACAATCTACGAACCCATTCCGGCCGATTTGACATCCATCGGTGGTCCCGAACTCGGATGGCTTTACGAAGGTGTCGTGCAGGAGATTGACATCGCGACTGGTGAACTTTTGTTCGAATGGAGATCGTCGCATACCTACCCTCCGGAAACCAGTTATGAACCACTGGGCGACAGGGGACACGAGCGCACCCTGGGTTACGATTACTTCCATATGAACAGCGTGGACAAAAACGATGACGGTCACTACCTCGTCTCTGCGCGACACACCCATACGGTTACTTGCATCGACTCGAACGGCAAGGTACTATGGACCCTAGGCGGAAAATACAACGAATTCGATGGATCCGATGGCGCAACCGACTTTAAGTGGCAACACGACGCTCGCTGGCGGGGACCCAACCGAATCACGCTTATGGATAATGCGGCGATGGACTTCGAAGATCCGTCTGCGGTTAGTAAAGGTCTCCTGCTTGAATTGGATATCAAGGCACGCAAAGCCAAGGTGGTCACCGTATATGACCACCCGCAACACATGATGGCCGTTTCACAGGGTAACGTGCAGGTGCTCGATACCGGGAATGTGCTTGTTGGCTGGGGCCACAGCGCCGCGTTTACGGAATTCTCGGCCGATGGCGAAGTCGTTTGCAACACGCACTTTGGCGCCTCGGCCTATTTTAGTTTCGGTCGAACAATGTCATACCGGGTCTTCAAGGACAAGTGGGTCGGTCTGCCAGACACGATCCCGGATGCTGCGATAGTCGGAGACAGCGTCTTTGTTAGTTGGAACGGAGCTACTGAAGTTGCTTCGTGGGCCCTCGAAGCCTGGGACGGGGACAGCATTGCGAACATGACATTTGTCTCTATTGATGAGGTCCCACGATCTGGCTTTGAGACCAAAATACCATTTTCCGCTGCCGTCACCTCTTACTTCCGTGTTGCCGCTATAAATGCAAACGGTGAGGTCATCGGGAGAACAGAGGTCGCTTCACGGGGCTCGGCGCCTCAAGCAAGCTTCTCCTCGGATTATCCGTGGGGTATTACATTCATTATGATTTTTTCTTTGGGCTGCCTTTTATGTGGATTATACTGCGCTGTGTTTCGTCGTCTACGGCGCCACAAACCGGATATGGGATTATATCAGCTCGTCATGCCCAAAGATGGCGACGACAGTGATAATGAACATGACCTCCCGATCTAGATACTAAGCATGCACCGGCGTCCTTGATACCCCTTGTTTATAGAATATATTTGTCCATATTATCGAATGCATCTGTACAAACATTTCATCCAATCTTGACTTATCGCATTAAATTTATATCTGCATATCGAGTATCGCTTTCACATTGGCGTCCCACACTTAATGGTCTTACGCAATGCCTGAATCCCAGCGGTATCCCGTTCAGCATTTGAATTTAATTAGAATCCTTTGACATTTTCTAATATAATGAACTGAATCCCGACTAGTGAGGACTGGAGAATTGATTGAAAATAGCTGGTTATAGGCAAAAAAAACCGGATCTTCCGTAACGATCTTAGTATACTTAAACTTCATCTACCTATGACTACTGTAATTACCCGTACTATATGGCTGTTCTAAGTTGTACAGCCCCTGGACTCTGTTCTTTGTCGGTGTTACCAGAGCCACTTACGCCGAATGTGTTCCTGGCGTATGCTACAGTGGGTCAAAACTGTCAGAGTAGTATCAACATGGCCCCCAGTCCTGGGCAATTTGTACGTATAGGGCCTGGTGCGAATACAGATGCAATCCACACTTCCCTGGAAATCCTTGCGCTTTACTTATCTGTGCTTCTGGAAAATCCCTTCATCCATCTCTCTATCTCGCTCGAACGGAACTGTTATCGCGCAGCATGCCCAGCATGCAGCTTGTCTCTCCGGTGAGCCCGACTCGGCGCGATGGCCTCGGCACCTCTTGGCACTTGCGGGGGGATTGTCGCTGTTTCACGTTCACTTGGTCTCACTGATACAGGCACGGAGGTAAGGAATGGGAAGAAAGAAGGGTTTTGGTCATCGTCTAACGGCCGATGTTGTTGTTTTGCGAGGAACGTAACAATATAGAAAGGTGGATAAGTGGAAAATTCAGCCCTACGGAAGTGGAGAAAGGGAGGTTTTGGGCAAATGTCGTGATTGAAAATACGTCGGGAATCTAGTTCGCCGCGGCGACCCAGTTTTTCATTTGCCGTAACTTTTCCCCCTCAAGACTCCGCGTCTGCATTCTTGCTTTGTTTATATTCCTTGTCCTCCGGATTCTCCATTCTCTGTTCACAATCTTTCATCAAGCTCTCAGAGATGGAGAAGCCCTCAGAAAAACCAACACCGGACCTTGAGGCTAGCCCCTCTCCAGAGATGCGGAAGGAGTCAACCATCACAAGACGCTGGAAACAGGACTTGAGCCCTAACCATGCTGATCTCGTCTGTCTACTTCTCTGTTTCTTAACAGGTCTATGCGACAGCAGCGCATACAATGCGTGGTCCTGCTTCTTAGGCATGCAGACGGGTATGATTCACCTCGAAACGCCGAAACCCAGCCTTATTGACTTTCAACAGGTAACACTATCTTCCTTGGCCTAGGCGCGTCCAACCAGCCAACCACAAAGCCATGGGGTTGGCTCAAATCCCTCGCTTCCATTCTCGCTTTCTTCTCCGGCGCGATGATCTTCTCCATCTCAATGCGGACCGTCGGCTCCCTCCGTCGCGGTACTCTTTTCGTCTCCTTCCTCGTTCAAACCGCCCTCATTATTATCGCCGTCGCTATAATTCAGGCCGATCTCATCCCCCACACCTCTAAGGATATGAGTCTTGACAGTGGCCCGTTGTTCTTGGAACTCATCCCCATTGCGCTGTTGGCGTTCCAGTCCGCGGGAGGTATGACGTGCAGTCGTGCGCTGGGATACAATGAGATCCCGACTGTGGTCTTGACGAGTGTGTACTTTGATATTGCGTCCGATGCGAAGCTTCTTCAGAAACCAACAGAGAATGCCAAGCGCAATCGTCGGATCGGCGGTGTGGTGTGTTTGCTTATCGGTGCGATCGTGGGTGGCTGGTTGAGTCGCAGCAGTGGTGGTATGGAGTCTGCGCTGTGGATGGCGGCTGGCTTGAAGCTTATTGCAGCCTTTGGTTGGTTGTTCTGGAAGGCGAAATAATTCACTAATCGTCTACATCTTGTGTTGTTGAATGGCTCTCGCAGCGATCCCGCTAATTGTCGCATTTTGTTGCATTTGCATTACTTACATTATACATTATAGAATAGCGTGTTGCTAGACTTTGATATACCATTTCTCGGTATCAATAATCATTTGAATTTATCCCAAACCCGCTTGCAAAAGTTCACAATATCGACCAACGCTCCAATTAGCCATCCCCGGCTATAGCAGTCATCAATCTCGGACATGTCCCTCAAGCTTCACATCACAACCATCTTTCGGGCTCTTCCGGCTCTCGCCGCTCGGATTCAGCTATCTTCTCCCGTATACCATCCAACTTGTTCACGGCCCGTTGAGTCAAATAATGATTCACGCCAAGCTGAGTCGCCGAGGTCTCCATGATCTTCCGCTGCACAGCCTCCGCATCTCGCAATCTGTCCTGCTTCAAACAGAGGAAAACAAGATTATCCATGCTCGCCAAAGTACTAAGATGATCTTCGCCAAGCACGTTCCTCTGAACCTCAAGCACATGCAGTTGGAGCGCCTCAGCCTCCACCCATCTGTTCGCACGCAAATGCATATCTATCAGGGAATGCATACTATCCACCGTACTAACATGCTCGGAACCACAAACCGCCCTGCAAATATCTACGACCTGGATCTGCAGTGCCTCCGCCTCGAGAGCCCGAGCTCGCCCCTGCGCCATGAAGATTCTTACCAGGCTCTTCATCCGTTCGAGCGTTTCTGTATGACCTTCCCCGAGTCTTTGGATGCTTCCATTGACCGCTTCCTTGAGTGCGATTTCCGCTGCCACCCATTTCTCCTGCATTGCGAGGACCGCGGCGAGTTTGCTCAATAATTCGAGGGTATCTGGGTGCTGGAATCCCCAGACCAATTTTGAAGTTGTTACGAGATCGATGTAGCCCGCTTCGGCATCTTGATATCGTCCCTGTTTACTGTATAGCTGGATCAATTTTGCCTGGCGGCGTAGAGTTTCAGGGTGTTTGTGTCCGAGGATTTTTCTGCTCTTGGCTACCACGTCTGTGCTTAGGGCTTCCGCTCTTTGCCACTGGTGGGCTGAGCAGTAGAGCTCGCCCATCAGGTCTTCGGTTGCCAGTATGGAGGGGTCATCTGGCCCGAGTTGCTCGGTTTGTTCATCTATTGCCAACTGGATCAATTTTTCTGCCGCCTCAACATTACAGCATTGGCAGGCGAATGTTGAGGCGTTGTAAACGAGGGCGACCCATTCCGTGAATGACTCGCTCGAATATGTGCTTGGAGGGTGTGCTATTGCTTTTTGCACGTGGGGGAAAAGAAGTTGACAGGTCCCCAAAGTGCTCGAGTGTGGCACTGGGAAATCGTTGCACATTTTGTTGAGGAATATTTGCTGCCACTTGTCAAATTCTCCATTTGCCTTGAGCCATTTCTTTGTCGAGTCCTGGATAAGGCTGTGCATTCTCAGTGTCTTTCCTGTGATATCGGTGGTGATTAAACAGAAATCTTTCAATATCTGAATATCATCCTCGAATCCATCCATGATGGTAAAAGACGAAGCATCTGAAAAGTCAGGCTCATTCGTATTTGCGCACTCTTCATACTCGGGTTGATTCCGCAGCAGGTATTCGGGAATGCCTTGTTCGTCAAAGAAGCTTGCCCGAAACAGAACATCTACGGCTGATGGTCTGACGTCGAGAAGATACTCGATTGACAATTGACATGGGGTGAATAACGACTCCCTCATGTTCAAATGGGGTTCAACATGACCAGCAAGGGTAAGCGCACTGAACTCGCCGTTGCACAAATCATCGACATACTGCTCTACCGAGTAATTCACGCCTCGGTAGTTGATATAGGCAGCGGCGACCATAATTCCAAGCTGCAGGAATGTCAACTCTTCAAGAACCATGCCGACTTTCTCGGGGTCCGTTTCACGCCGCCCTAGCTTTATCTCCAGCCAGGTCTGGGCTGGGGAGACCTCCATCCGGTGAACAAAGACAAGCTCCCAAGGTCTCTTGAATTGCTCCAAGACGTCGGCTTTTCTGGTCGTCATAATAAGCGATCCATTGGGGCACAACCGAAGCAGCTCGAGTATGGAAGAAGGTCCGTTAAGGCCCGTCTTGTTGAATAACCGGATATCGACGTGATCTAAGACCATTATCCATTTACGCTGAGGCCTCTCCTTCAACCAACTACACAAGACTCCAAATTTGTCATCTTCGAGATTCCTGTACCCAGGAGCCTTGACACGTGCGGTAACATTGGCGCAACTTTGCTGGAAGCGAGCTGTGCTACCCGAGTCGATCCACAAAACCCATGTATCGGGTTCCCTCTCTCGGACTCGGTATGAATACTCGATGGCTAGGTGTGACTTTCTTCTCAGTATTAGCGGTAAAGTACCCGTCCACGAGAGTCTCGACGAACCCTGTTCCGCCTTCTCCAAGAAGCAACACTGGACTCGCTGCGGGTGATATGCATCTGATATCGACTTGAGTGATAAGGCTTCCAACTTCCACGAAGTCCGGATCACGAGGGTAAGGCACGGTGGAGAAAGGAGGCGGCGACTCTATATCTAAAGACATTTTGGAGATAAAACTGGTTTGTGTTCCGATCTATAGAGTCGATATGGATATGGTGGAACCGAAGTTGTCCAGGGTGTAGACCTTTGATAAGGTCACAAGATTTGATTGGTACTTTTGTCAGACATATGGAAGTGGGGAATGGAAGACACAAATTCAGGTGGGCAAAGCGTCAATAAATACTCGAGCCTCGTCAGCCTCAGCCTCATCATGTGACTGTAAGGTATAAAATGCCCCGCATCTACCGCATCTCTGCATGGATGCCCAGTTTGGAGGGCTTGCTTCAAGGTGTTTTGTTTGTTTTCTTCCATTTGGGGTAATTGGGGACTTTGAACCACATAGTCAAGTTATATATCTCCGGTTATGACATTATAGATTATAGAAATATTCGGAATGAACATTATGAACAGATCTATCTAAGAGGAAGTATATTGGATGGAAATCGATGACTTCCTCGGTCATCATGGTTGTTAAGAACTTCTTTTCGGGGGTTGAAGTCCAATTCTGACACATCACATTCGCTTCCAAGGTCTCGAAGGTTTTCTACCGAGCCGAAACTGAAATTGCTAGTTGAGTTTGGGCTGAACAATGCGGGTCGAGGAGGAATATGCGGGGATCTTGATGGCATTGGAGGTGCATAGATTTCAAGACTGGCTCGGTCCTGAACCAAAAAGTTAGTGTGAAGATTTCTACTTACTTATGATGGTCTTACCGGCAGCTCTTGAGGACTATCCGGTCGAACATGCTCCTTGACAATGGTTTCAACGGATCGTTTTTCTTGCAAAATCGAAACGTCGGACCGTGACATGTTGTCTTTCATTGTCTGAAATGAATATCGCCAGCCCATGCCAACACCTTTTGGTTTTTCGCCTTCGAAACAAGGTCCATCTTGTTTGTTATGGTCTTCTTTCCGAAATACGTTCGACCACCTATGCCCCTTCCTGTGCCCTGAGTTCTGAGACAAGATGGCGTCATCCGTTTCTTTCGATGTGGTAGATTCGCTGATTGATTGCTTTGAGACATGTCGCTCGGGTTTCGTAAAGACCTTGCCACTGAGTTCGCTGAATTTTCCCCCCAATTGAGTGAGTTGGCTAGACTTTCGAGTGCTTTCGGAGGCTGCGATACTTGCCACATCGCCAGGCGTCAGGTCTCCCTGGTCGTTAAGATATGTGACGTTGTTGACAAATGGCTTTATCATGTTGCTCAGATCATGAAGGGCTGCCGCGCTTGTCTGAACACGCAGATATAAACTATCGCACCCCATTTTCGACCCCTTCGCAGAAACCGAGTTTTGCAGATTCTTGACATGCATGCCAAGCGTGCTAAGAGCCCTTCTAAGGTCTCCTTGACTGGCAGCCAGCGCCTTCCAGCGCTCTCTCATGATATGAGAATCATCCTTGAGTTGCTTGCTATCGTTGACTGCTTCTTGCGAAAGCTGAACCAAAAGCTCTACCCCAGTCTTGACTCCACGCAGTGCACGACTGATAGTCACCAATCTTGTTTTCTGCTCCACAAGTCTGGCAGAAATATTTGTGGCCTGGCTCACTTCATAGACCAGGTAATCCACAAATCGCTGCAGGGTTTTGATATCAATTGAGATATTCATCCGCCAGACCTCTTCGGGGGCGATCGTTTGTAAAAGCTGCTTGGCATAGATTGAAGCAGACGCAGCAGCATATCCCTTCCATACGTTGTTGTTGTGCGAATCGGCATAATCGCAGATTCCTCGAATATGCAAACAAGGCAGTGTATTAGTCGGGCTGGCTGGCTCTTCTTTCGAGCATAATATGCCAAGTTTGTTCCCGATATCGTCTCTCGCCCCAGCATCTCTCGTGCCTTTGTCTGTTGAGCCGATTCTTCCTGAATGTACTTTTATGCGATCGTAGTCAGGACGATTGGGTCGGTAGACGAGCTTCGTTTCATCGGCGGAAGAAAGGCATTCGCAGGATAGACCATGATCGAAATCGGCCTTCCAAAGAAGGTCGATACCATTCCGAGGTTGTTGATAGTCGTCTTTGATTTTCTGGGTCTTGGTAAATGTCTTCTCCAGCACTTTATGTAGGTCTAACCCTTCATCTAATTTGACCGCAAGACCTTGTGTGCCTGTGAAGAGAGCCCGGCCCGGTGGCTCGACATGAGTGAAATGTTCGAGTTCATCGGTCGCGGTCCGCACATACCGAACGATTTCAGTCCCAACAACGATATCGCCGAGGCGTATGTCATTGCTTGAAGTCGGTATTCCTCCTGCTATTCCCACGATCAGTAGCAATCGGATCATGGGAAAACTGCTCCTCATATCATCGGCTGCATCAGAGGCGGAACTGATGCCATACTGCGCACTTTCGAGACATGTTATCAGCACATAATGGCTCCCGATGCGCCCGTAGGTGTAGGTGTTGCGATCGCCTCTGGGAAGCACGAAGTTTGTCGTCTCAAACTCCTCATCTAAGACCTGTCGAGCTGCCGTGTATTCCTTTCTGATCGTAGTGACCCATCCGACAGTAAATTCACCATGTGACGGAATCATATTGGACAATCTCTTGACCAGGGGAACCACGCGGGTGCTGCGGGAGAGAGATTGACTCTTGTAATCATCTCCTGAGTCAAGCCAGATGCAGCTTCCCACATAACTCGAGTCATCTGCCTTTTGCCGCGCCGGGATCTGGTGGATAGAATCGCGCTCGGCTGCATATACCAACCTCAATAGGAATGGACTGTGACCAAGGTGCAGGAGGCCGAGAGCCAGAGGATTTTCTGAGCATCTCTGATTTGTTGCTTTTTTCTGACACGTCATATCGGGAGGGATTAAAAGGCGTCCGATTGAAAATGGGTTAGCGGTGCAGCACGAATCATGCAGGTTGGGGGCCAATTCAAGCCCACCGGCGCCTAGAACATTCGATTTGGAGGATTGAGGGGTAGCTTGTGCTGGCCTGGAATGAAGGAAGAGGCAACTAGTTGATCGGAGGATTGATGTTTGATCGATGTTTCTACTTCGTACTAGTATGGTTGGAGGCTTTCCAACAAGACCAAGTGCAGCAAATAGCCCCCAACCTAGACCGCACCGGTTACAGGGATTACTAATAGGCCAGTCATTATTGCAATTCTAATTTGAAGGCCAATAACTACCTATCTGTGATTTTTTTAAACTCGTGTTTCAAGGTCATGGGCTTCAGTAAAAAGAATTTGCCTGCGCTATGACTTGATATAACAGTCTCCTCTTACCACCACTTACCCCATTCCAATACCTACGGCGCTAAATATTGGCAGTTTTCAATTCTCTACTATACCCAGATGCAGGCAGCTGAGTGAGTCGCAAATTTTTGGCTTTATATCTCCGTTTAATAAAGAACGCTCAGACATGTTACTGAGTCGGCTCACCTGAACGTTTCCATATTATAGTGGCCTCCTTAAACATCCCTTATCTTCCTCCAATACTCCTGACCTGGTAATTGTTCAATTGAGATACGAAATATTGCCAGAAAAGTTGAAATGCCGATAAAGACATGAGGAGTTGATGTTTCGGGTCCCGGCCCGTTCGGAATCTTCGGAACTGCCCCTGGTGATTCAGGGACCGTGTATTTCCATGGAACCTTGAAGGGGAAGCGATGGGAATGTTTATAAGAACTACATTTGCGTTCATGGTACTGAAATTTGAGCATCAGTTCCCAAGTGCCATAAATAACAGCCAGTGAAGAGTAATGTCCTTCATGAAAATATACCATTTCGCGTTGAGATATGTATAGAGGTTGGACAGTCAGTTTGCACCTTGTAAGACTTGAGATGTCAAATATTTAACTGTACATTCCTATACCCTGTCTCTCTCATATATAAATGGCGTAAACTAGATCACAGTACCCTTGACCTGCTTCTTGTCGACGTTGAAGTTCTTCCACAAGAGAATGGCTGGAATACCCAGAACCAGGATACAGGTGGAGGCGATGCAGTTCATTCGCTGCGAATAGCCCCAGGCATAGGCAGCGGCCTCGCGAACTGGAGATCCCACCGGGTATTTCAATTGAGTCACAAAGGAGCCCTGGAAGATCTCAAGAGCATTTGCCTGCTCATCCGAAGGAAGCCGACTGCGAAGGGCCCCAAGATAGGTGTTATTGTAGATAGCAGCACAGACTGCATAACCGATCGAGCTCCCCACATTGTTGAACAGGCTGATCAGCGAAAGGGCAAGTGGGATGCCTTCACGATCACCGCCAGCCATGGCAGCCATGTCATTGCCAATGACCAGGGTACCACCAGCAAATGCAATGAAAATTTGGCACATCACAATATACCCGATGCTTTGATCCGCACCACGGAAGTAAATCATTAGACCCGAGCCGAGCATCATGAGCGGTAGGCCGAAGCATAGACAAGCCCACTTGAAGTGCTTGGTCTTGTAAATGTACAGTCCCATCACCACTGACCAGAAGCAGGAGCCGACGTTGTAGGTCTGCATCAAATAACCAGCCTTTGTGTAGCCTAGATCGTACACAACGAGTAAGAATGCTTGGAAATATGTGTCCCAAAGATCGAAGTTGAAAAATAGAACGAGGCTAAGCAGACAAGCACCGGCGATAGAGCGATTCTTGAAGATCTCCCACCGAATGAAATGCTTGCGAGCGAAGAATTTCTCCCAGGCGGCGAAAGCGAAGAAGAGGACAAATCCAACCACAATCATTGCAATGAATTTGGCGCTGGAGTATTCGGCGAGGCCGTAAGATGTCAAGCTGAATGGCAGCAAAAACAGAATAAATGCAGCCATGATGATGAAAGCTCCAATCACTGGAAGGGTTTTAGCTTCGGAAGGGAGTACATTGTATGGAATGACTTACCATCAAACTCGTGGATATAGTGAATGATGGATTGGAAAGTGGTCCGGCCACTTGGTTCCCTCTTAAAGACCCCCAGACGCTCGGCTTTCTTCTCGTATATCTTAAAGACACCACACAGAGGAATGAAGACGAACGGTTGCACAATAGCAAAGACACCGAATCCCCAGCGCCATCCAGATGTCTCAATGAAAGAGGTCACTGCCAATGGAGCCGTAAAAGCGGTACAGATAAACGGGGTTGTGGAGAAGGCAAAGGCCCAAGCTCGGTTGCGCAACCCTGTGGTATCGGCTATGAAAATCTCTAAAATGAGATATATGAAGTAATATCCCACCCAGTAAAGAGTATAGCCAGCGGCGAAAGAGTTGGGACCATTGCATGCGGCCAAGATGATCATGCCCACCACATAGATCACAACCGAGACGAACAGACCTTCCGCGCGGCCCCACAAATTCAGGGTCTTTCCCAGCGGCAGCTTCAACACACCTCCCACGATGGCCGAAGTGATATAGGCCGTGGTAACCTGTGGCGCGGCACTAAATGTACCTAACACATATTGCGACAGATTCGTCAACATGGTTTGGTGGAAGGCCAACATGAAATAGCACACCCAGATCCTAATCCGATTGGTCGCAGATTAGCGCTAGTCCCTTGCGGAGAAGACCCCTATGTCTTGATCTTTGAAACCACAACTCACCAGCCATAAATTCCGAAGACAACCTTCCTGGTGTAGACCAGAGCAGCAGCTTCAGCCTTTTGCAGACCAAGATCGGCATTCGAATTGATCTGGTCCGGGTGTGCCTGGACTTCTTTTTCATCGTGCCAGTCGAGAGAATCCTCACCCGATGGGGCATCCGAAATCTCATTTGTAGGTGTATCTTGTTCAATGGAATCTTCATAAGCTGGTGGGAAAAAAGGCTTCGACATGCGGCCATTTTCATCTCGACCCCGAATAACGTCGATGGCACCCATGCTAGCGGTGAGACTTGAGACCTGACGACCCGTGCCGCAACTATCTATAGGTGATACAGAACACCGAAGGAAATGCAATCATGCAAGGAGGGAAAGATCAGCCTTTTCTATGTGGGAAAAAAAAAAGTCCAAAACTGGAGAAGCTCGAATTTACGATTCTACCCAGTTTCTGGAACCGGGGTCCACATCTTTTTCTTTCATTCGTCTGTCAGAGGTTGCTCAAGCCTCGTCGGAGTGTGGCGGGATCAGATAATAAAATCATCGTTTTTGGGGGATGTTGACTACCAATCACCGGCTCCGAAGTTTCTACTGTAACATGGCCCTCCGATCTCGGGTTACATGCTCACGGCAATGAGGATACGATCCCTTCCTCTTTGGGAAACTTCTTGGCAGAGAAAATCTAGACATCAAATCTAGATATCAAATTGATTGTGAATTTGGCAGTAAAAATTACGACGAATGAACATATGATTACACTTTGCTAAGGCTGTCTAGAACCCATTGCAAAGCAAATTATCAATTCATCTTCGAAGTTTCTCTGCGTCAAATGGAAGAAGCGAACGGTCTAGATTGAATGATTTTGATTTTTGCAACAAGTATGAGACAACCAAGTCACATAACAAGGCGGGAGGAAGTGGACTGAAAGGGTTTTCATACTAGAAGATTCATAGCTCACGGACCTGGCTTCTTCAACAACCATTTGCTCACCAAGGACCATGCCCTCAAATCCATGGTAGAGCCTTTTCTCTGTTTTTTTGTGAAACCTGGATTTCGACTCTTACAAACTGCGTTGGAATTATCATCAAAGGTATAATCTCCTGGCCTCGTTCGGAGGCTGGTTTTTTAGCATCTCTCGGGTACGGCCACGGATAGATGTGGGGTAAGTTTATACATTCTTCTGCATGGCTTCCCACATCCCCTTGGCAAACTTTTGTAGGATGCAGACAGATACTTTAAAAATAGGTACTAGGGTAGATACCGGTAGATATACAGGATGCTAGATAGTACCATGAAAGGATCGGCTCTCAGCTGGATATTCTCGACGCTACTTGGTTGACTTGGTTGCAGAGTTTTATGCGTGGATCAATGAATTAGAGAAATAACCCAACGTGTCAGAAGGCTACATCTGTTGCATAAGCCCTTGCAGATGGAGAGCAATGAGGCTCATAACCCTTTTCACGTGGAGTTGCTGTTAAGGAATAAAATGGGTCAAGCCCGCCTGGTGTACGTTGGTTTATGAAATATTAAACCTCTTCCTTTTCTCTTCATCCTTTCCATCTCGTTTCCAATCATCACCTTTCACCCTGTCAGCAACGCTTCGCAGCCTTGTCTATCGTCCATCACTGACTCGATAAATCCTCTTTTAGCCAGCAAAATCAAAACCCACAAATTTAAGATAGACCATCATGCCTATCACAGAAGAAGTGCTTGAGGCCACGACTCTCGGTCGCGCGATCAACAAAGCGTCCGACAAGACGGTCCGCGCGGTTCTCAATTCCATCTGCGCGAAAAACGATGAGGCCCGCAAAGAAGCCGAAAGTCAACTGTTGGTATTTACCGACAGCGAGGAGGGGTCTGTAAACGTCAAGATCTCAGTACCACGGTACGCCCTTTGTTTCAATTGCGGGGAGAAATTCGATGTCACAGCCAATACGAACAAAAGTTGTCAATATCATACAGGTAAGATTTCGCAACAGAAGAGGTGGTGGTCCAGTGTTCATAATATTGCTAATTCATAACAGAGAAAAGTGAGCCTACTGGTGAGGACCTTTATGTGGACAACTATGGTGAATTTGATGTGGAAGAAATGCGCGATGATTGGCCAGAGTGCTTTACGTTTGCGTGCTGTGATGGAAATCTCAGAGACAACCCTGATGGGTGTGTATTTAACTTCCATCAAGAGCCACATGCCAACAGCAAGCCGTCAAAACGCGCAAGAGTCTACTAAATCGGGGTCTACTTGGGCTGAGACACAGGATTTGACATTAAAATCCTATTGGCAATTACGTGGGTAGATCTCGAGAACGTCCATGAATCAATGAAATAATTTCAATCGGGCATAACCGAGAGATTGAAGATTCCACTTGATCATATCAATACTTGTTGTGATTTGAAATGAGAAAAAAACTAGCATACAATCTGAGTTGGACCCATTATTGAAAGCCCAGAATGTTTCAAACAACAAATTTGCGGTATCGGACTTTAACCGTGACTGAGATCACATGATCAGATTCGTCGATAGCATGTAACTGATTATGTAATACAATGCTCCATGTTACTTAACTAGTACTAGTAATGCTCCTAGTCCGTTTAAAAGCCACCTTCTTAGCTCCCATGCATTGATGGCTGGCGAGTCGTTATTCTAGGCCATAAAACGCCAAATTCTACCCACAGCCTATTTCAATTAAATGGAGTTTCAAGGTGGGGACCAACCCACTGGAGGTCCACTTACTTCTCATAACGAACCTCTCGAGTCTGACAAAACGCATCAGCCTCAAAATAAGAGGGCGAGGAGAGGCACTGGTATCTACCCAAGGAAACGTGCTGCCCTTGCATGCCAGTTATGCCGTCGTCGGAAAACCAAATGTGACAACTCTCGCCCCACATGCGGTTTTTGTAATAGTCTTGGTGTGAATTGCCTTTATGGCGATGACAGCACAGACTTAACGAGGTATGAGAGAGCAAACAGACCCCCAGAATAGGGATCCAATAAATTCTGACCTTTCGCAGTTACGATAGTGCTAGTCTAGCTATCATCGACCGCTTAGATCGCCTAGAAAAGTCGATGAATACAGGTTTCAGCGGCATCCGTGAATCACAGAAAACCCCCAAGATGTCAGTATCTGGAAAGTAACCCATCCATGAAACACAACCATCATTTAATTGGAACACCTCTTTGTTACACATTTGCCTTGTAAGTACGGTATGCTGACCTCTCAGGAAGAGCGGATGATGCACAGACCAAGGATGCCACTCGGATAGCAATGCAATATATGGTATTGGAGAGCATTCTCGAATGGCCATGCTTCTCTGCCCTCAATTTGGATCTCAAAGGGCAGTCCCTAGCACTAAAGCATGACTTATTTAGCCAAGGGCTTAGTGTACCATCCACCGCCGAGAGTGCTGCATTAATTACATGGCTTCAACGAGGAGAAGCCGAAGACAACAACTTCAAAAGCGAGACACTTTTTTTGTGTCAAAGTTTTCTCACCAATGTTCATAGCAAGAATCCGATACTTAACCAATCGGACTTTTTGAATGACGTTGATCATTGTATGAAGTATGGATTTGAGGAGAATGGACGGTCTTCTTTGGTGGTAAAGTGCAAGTTGATTGTTAATGCAAATGTACCTTGCCTGACTATAATATACAGTTGATCGCCTGTGCGCTTGGAGCCGTCTCACGTCAGTTTTCAGCACACGATATTACCAATCCAACATGCAACCAGGCCCTTTCAATCAACCCCTTGGCTGCTATCTACTACCGTGAAGCTAGGCGGATATTGGGGGTTCTGCAACCATCATTGGGCACAATCCTCTCCCTCTTTTTCTGTGGAATTTTCGAAATGTTTATGATGAAGCCGGTAAATGCTTGGTTCAATTTCCAACAGGCTGCTGTGCAGCTACAGGCATATTTACTTGGGCAGAAAGCTACAACGTCCGAACCTGGTGATCCTATTGGTGGCCACTTAGAGGGAAGGCTTTACTGGTCATGCATGCAATCTGAATGGTATTTCAATTCTCTCATCGCATAGCACAGCTGTTCTGACATTGATATAGTGAGCTGAGAGCCGAATTACGTATCCCATCTTCTGGGCTTGAGGGTTTCAACTTCCCCTATCTTTTCCCGGCTCCACCAATTATAAGCGAGGATTCAGATTCCTCTCAGATCAGTCCGCTTGTACGACAAGAATCAAAAAACGTCCAAATCAAAGAGTGGATGTACTATTCAGCAGAGACTTCCATAAGAAGATTTCAAAATGATATCATGGAAAGCCTTTATAAACATGGCCCTAACTATTGGCTAAATGATGTGCACTCTGCAACTGAAAAAATAATCGAACTTGAAAACCAGCTTGAGCTTTGGTAAGCCTTCTTTTCGGCGTTTGTCATGAGATTCATTGACTCAAGGAAACTGCAGGGTCTCTCATCTGCCCAAGGAGCTCCGCATCAACGGCTCAGTCACCACATCAACAGTTGAACTCGCTCTCCACATTCGCACAAGGACTCTGTCATGTCAGATCAAGATACACCGACCTTGTCTGTACTACATTATTCACACGCCTCCCGAAAATCGTGAGCAGAGCGCTTATGCCAGCAGAGGTGCCTCCCTCTGCCTTGACAACTGCGTGCTCTTACTGCATGATGTCATATTTCACCATCGACACCATGGCACTTGGTATGTGCTGAGAAATGGCTTAGAGGCGGCATTCTGTCTACTAGCTGCAGTCAGAAGTCAACAAATTCCAGTATCTGACAAGTGGCACGAAGCAGTTCAGAGGGCCTTCCGGTTTCTTGAGATGTGGAAACACGAATGTCCAAATTTGGAGATTTCATTTGCGATATTACATCAGGCTTATCTGGATACGATTTATTCAGGCAAGGGCAATGAACTATCAACGTGAGGTGAACGGCTCCCGTCAGAAAATGAGGAAATTAGCGCCCCAATAAAAAAAATATGTCAAGCTTACCATCTTATACTACGTCCTCTTGGAAGAGACAAATCTGACCCATTATAAGTCCAAGACACGAAATAATTGACATAAAATTGACGTTAAAAAGACGGGAGTGACATTAGAGAAGATATAACATGAGAGTCCAGTAACATATCCACACCAAGATCCTGACCAATCATAAGGCATATATCATTCACATCCAAGATCGGGATATGTAACAGATACGGCGAGGCGTTCAAGCATCATCCAAATCCCAATTTTTAATCCAGTGAGCCAATATCATCGATATGAGTAATCTCCTTCTCAGGAATTTTGCCCTTGGCCTCTGTTTCCTCATCCCCGATTGGCTCATCGTCAAACAACTGTGAAATCTCTTCCAGGGAGTATCCCTTAGTCTCTGGTAGCAAAACCCAGTTGGTAATGACTGAAAAAGCAGAGACACACGCGAATACGATGTAATATCGCCAGCCGATGCTATCCAGCGCGACTGGATTGATGAACGACAATGCAAGCTGGGATCCATAGATCGCTAAAAGCTCGACACTGATACCTCTGGACCGCATATTGTAAGGCAAGATTTCCGTGGGGTAAGCAATTACCAATGGGGTGTACGCAATGTCGTAGTGGAAGTAAAAGATGAAGATGAAGGCAAGTACAGCAGTACCGAGCGAGCTGCTGGAGGTCTTGTCGAAAAGTGCGGAGCAGATAGTCCAAATTACAAAGGATAGGCACATGCCGATCCCAGACCAGTTCCAAAGAACTCTTCGGCCGAGCCTGTCGACCAGGAATGATGCAACTAACGCACAAGCAAGGTTGAAAATCTGGAGGATACCATTGATCAAGGTCTGGGTTTCCGGGTTGGTGATGCCGATAGTATCCAAAACGAGGGTCAGGTAGTAGGATACGACGCTCGAGCCCTAAATCAATTTTTTCACTTAGTTGTGGGAGGCAATGGTTTGTTGTAAGGTTCAACATACAGTCCACTGGGAGTAGAACCCAAGCATAATGGTGATAAATATGCGCTTTCGGTTCGCTGGAGTAGCAATAAGGGTTGACCAGCTACCTTTGGCCTTACTTTCATTTTGCAGGTTTCCGGAGATCTCCACGATCTCCATTTTAACAAGGGGGTGGTCCTTCTCGCCACCGGCGTGGTATTTTTCGAGGATTTCGGTAGCTTCGGCGTGGCGTCCATTGGCAATGAGCCATCTGGGGGATTCTGGAACCCAGTAAATCTAGTAAGTAAACACTGAATTAGCATTGGTGTACAAAGAACAAGTGATGTAAATTCATACAAAGGTAAGTTGGATTATAGGGCACGCTGCTTGGACGATTGATGGAATCCTCCATGACCACTCTGACCCAGCCATATGCTTCTGGGTACCATAGCAAGTCCAAGCCGCAATGATTGACCCTAGATAGAACATAGTCCAGTATAATGCAGTATACTTTCCTCGATGTGTGGGATAGCAAACTTCACTCAGGAGAAGAGGAGCTGGCTGAACAGTCAAGACACTACCAATGCCAGTCAACACACGAGCGAAGATGAACATTCCCAAGTCAACTGAGCCGGCTTGAATGGCCGAGGCAACGATGACCACGATGGCTCCTAAAGCAAGCGTGATCTTTCTACCCCATTTATCAGCGGCGAAGCCAGCTAGTGGCAGACCGACGATGCTACCACAAGACAGACCAGCGTTCACTGCTCCAAGAACTTGTCCTTGGGGGTTGCCAAAGTAACTTTTCCAGGCATCCACAGATTGTAACCCATTCATGAGGGAGCCTAGAGAAAGAAGACCCCCCCATTTTAGTTCAAAATCCCTAGGTTTCGAGCTGGGAAAGTGACCATACCATCAAAACCACACACGGAAGAGGAAATCAAAGGGATGAGAAGAAGCAAGTTCAGTCTCAAAAGATGAGGCACCTTGAACCAAAGTTTGTCATGTTGAGGGATGAAGTCGGTCAATGTTTGGACTCTTGCGTTATCTTTGGCCATTTTTAAGCACTTTCGAGCTGAAACTCGAGACCAGCTACCCAGGATTGGAGCTATCAATAATGGATATTGAAAACAGAACCGATCGATTTCCGGAAAGCTTCGCGTATATATATATATATGTATGTATCCCCAACTGATCACCCGAGGTCGGGGAAACAGTCGGGCTGATTATGGGGTAGTGGAGTCGCTAACCTCCGCCCAGTTTTCGTGATAAATTTTCCCCCCTCATATGACCACAATGGCGACGCATTGTCTGATGCATGACGCTTTGCAATAAAAGATATTTTGCCGATGAGCGGCGATCAGGGTTATAGCGATAAGTATGGAGTTTGTGGCGGTTCCTTTCGGGGACTGTCGGCTACATTTGTTCTTATTGGTTGATACGGTGGAGCTAGTGGAGATAGTGAATAACTACCGGACGACTGACCGGACAAAGAAGGAACATCCGGGGTAATATTAAGAGAGGCAGAAGGAACTTCAAATGTAGCGATTGCCGGGGAAAAGTCGTAAGTTTACGCGTTTACACCTTTCTTCCTGAGCTCTGCACTGCGGAAAATCGACAACAATGCCAAGCGAAATAGACATTGAAGAGGCTATTGGCAGTCTCCGACAGTCTGACAAAATCCAATTGCTCTCTGGTATGAACATTACGTGATCTTGATTTACTGATTTGCTGCTAATTTATGTTTTAGGTGTCGACTTCTGGCATACTGCCAACATCCCTCGTCTATCGATCCCACAATTGCGCATGTCAGATGGCCCAAACGGAGTACGAGGAACCAAATTCTTCAATAGTGTTCCTGCAGCATGTCTTCCCTGTGGTACCGGCTTAGCCGCAACGTGGGATACACAACTTATCGAGGAAGCTGGCCATCTCATAGCGGAAGAATGCAAGGCCAAGGGCGTTCATATCTGGCTAGGGCCAACAGCTAATATTCAGAGGTACGCGTGACTCCCTTACGCCTCTGTTGCTCCTTGCTCACAATGTTGAGATTTCTAACTTGCCCATTCGCTTCAGGAGCCCTCTTGGTGGTCGAGGCTTCGAATCCTTCTCCGAAGACCCAGTACTTAGCGGCAAAATCGCCGCAGCTATGATAAAAGGCGTCCAAGCAGGAGGTGTCGCTTCGGCAATGAAGCATTTTGTCGCAAACGACATGGAACACCAACGAACAGCTGTGAATTGCATCATTAGCCAACGTGCACTACGGGAAATTTATCTGCTTCCGTTTCAAATCGCAGTACGAGATCATCCTCCTTGGGCGCTCATGACCTCCTACAATAAAGTCAATGGGACGCATATGTGTGAGAACAAAGACTTGTTGCAGGATGTGGTGCGCGATGAATGGAACTGGGAGGGAGCCTTTGTCAGCGACTGGTATGGGACTTACTCGACATCCGAGGCTGTTATCGCGGGATTGGACATTGAAATGCCTGGCCCCTCGCAGTGGAGGGGAGAAATTTTGTCTAAGGCGCTCTCTGTCTCGAAAATTACGCAGAAGCAATTGGATGCCAGGGTTCGCAACATTTTGAAGCTTTTGAATCGAGTTCAAGCTGCCGGAATCCCGGAGCGAGCTCCAGAGCAGACCCGTGATACACAGGAGACACGAGACAGGCTACGACAACTGGCTGCAAGCGGGTTAGTGCTATTAAAGAATGAAGGAGGTGTCTTACCTCTGAAAAGAGATCAGAAGGTATTGTTCTCTACCGACTGTCCAAATGAAAAGAGAATTCTGACAAGGAAATTAGATCGCAGTCATCGGGCCAAACGCAAAGGTTGCGCGTTATTGTGGAGGTGGCTCAGCCTTTTTGAGGCCTTGCTCAATTACTTCTATATATGACAGTATTCGTAGCATGGTCCCCGATGCTAAATTTGCTCAAGGGTGCGAGGTTTACAATGCACTTCCTCTGATGGGAGATCTTCTCAAGACGGAGAATGGACAAAAGGGATATTTCACCTTCACCATTTTTACTGATCCCCCAACACACGCAGAGCGGACTGCAATTGAGGTTTTGGAGATAAATCATAGCTATGTCGTGCTTTATGATTACCAACATCCCATGGTACCCTCCAACAACCTGTTATATGCAACTATCACAGGAGATTTGGTTGTGGAAATGTCTGCGGACTATATCCTTGGCCTGACGGTGGCTGGAACTGCAAAACTCTATATTGACGATTGTCTCGTGGTCGACAATGAAGAAAGCCAAACAATTGGAGAGAGCTTTTTCGGTTCGGGTACGGTTGAAGAAACCGGTCAGTTGTATTTGGAGGCGAACAAAACATACAAGCTGCGAGTTGAATTCGGCAGCGCGCCAACATCAAAGACAAGTCATGCGGGTGCACCAGTCTTTGGCGCTGGTGGAGTGCGGGTCGGCTGTGCAAGGGTCTGTGATGAAGATGCAGAGATCCAAGCAGCTGTTGACTTAGCCCGCGAAGTGGACTGCGTCGTTCTCTGCTGTGGATTAAACTCTGATTTCGAGGCGGAGGGCTTCGACAGAACTACGATGGCTTTACCAGGTGCCCAAGCCAAGCTTATTAAGCTTGTCAGTGAAGCGAATTCGAACGTTGTCCTCGTCACTCAATCCGGAACTCCAGTCGAGGCACCGTGGGATTCGGTTTCCGCAGCTCTCCATTCATGGTATGGTGGTAATGAAGGTTCTCAGGTAATTGCAGATGTTCTTTTTGGGAAAATAAACCCAAGTGGCAAGTTGCCTTTTAGCTGGCCGCATAGAACAGAGGATAACCCGGCGTTTCTGAATCATCGCAGCGATGAGGGCAGATGCATATACGGCGAGGATATTTTCGTCGGCTATAGGTTCTATGAAAGGACTCGGAGGCAAGTGCAATGGCCTTTTGGATACGGGTTGTCCTATGCAACCTTTGCTATTCAGAATGTTCAGGTGAACTGTTCCGATGACAAGAATATCCTCAATCGTGTGCTGGATGTTTCGTTCGAAGTCACAAACACGTCATGCCAAATGGGTGGCTCTGAGGTTGTGCAAGTTTATGTGCAGGCCCCGTCACTTTCGAGGGTCAGTCGACCCATTAAGGAGCTCAAGGGATTCCAGAAGGTCTATTTGGCTGCCGGGGAAACAAGATTTGTTTGTGTTTCAATGCCCTTGAAATACACTACAAGCTTCTGGAGTGAGCTGGAGAACGCCTGGGTGATGGAAGCAGGTTCTTACACAGTCCTTGTGGGGACTAGCAGCCATGATACGCCACTGACTCAGGATTTCCTTGTTGGCTCTTCCGCAACCTGGAAAGGAATCTAGTCGTTTTAGATCCACAACACTTAGTTTTTCCACACCACTTAGTTTTTCCATTCCACTTAGTTTTGGCCACCAAGGATCCACTGTGGGCTATGACCCTACTCATTTCTCACTGACTGATCTTAGATCAGTAATCGCTGGGTCCTGATTGATTTTATTGAATTGACGATGCTAAAGTCCACCCAGTGGAGCAGCCTCATAAAATGCCGGCGGCCCGGGTATAAATACCCCACTTGGCTATCAAGCCCCACCCGAAATACAAGATGCAGTCCACATATTGCGGGAACATATTTTTTGGAATCCAAAAAGAAGTACACGACTTGGAAGTTGGAATAGTTGGATTAAATAGATGGAGAGGTTTACATTAGTCGTGAGTCATGAACATTGGGCTACATCCATATTTCCGAATGTTTACACTACTTCCACCGCCGGCAATTCCTACATTCTGATTGGAGCAAATTAATAGTTCTGCCACCTTTGACCGCATACCGGCCCTATCTGTGACTCAAAGTACTGCGGAACAAATATTATTCCGTGGGTCCCACTTGAGAAAACCATCCCACCATCCCACCAGGTTTCGCTTTCCCTGTGCTCCTCTCACAAGTATCATTCTCCGCCGCAATGGAATTGACAGCGAAGGAACGTTTCGACCTCATCAAGGACAACCTCGCGGAGGTTTTGAACCCCGAGATCATTGAAGGAATTCTCGCCGAGGGCCGCAACCCCCGTATCTACTGGGGTGAGTCAGTTTAGATGCGCAATTATATAGACTCCAACTAACTTTATTTGATCTTAGGAACCGCAACTACTGGTCGCCCACACGTCGGATACTTCCTTGCTGCCTTGAAGATCGCTCAACTGCTCCGTGCCCAGTGCGACGTCGTCGTCCTGCTCGCCGATATCCATGGCTTCCTCGACAACTTGAAGGCGCCGCTTGAGCTTGTGGAGAACCGTGCTCAGTACTACCAGAAGATCATCACGGCCATTCTGCAGTCTGTTGGTGTACCTACCGATAACCTTGAGTTTGTTCTTGGCAGCTCCTACCAAAAAAACCCCGAATACGTTATGGATGTGTACCGCCTATCAAGCTTGATTTCCGAGTCTGATGCTAAGAAGGCTGGTGCGGAGGTCGTCAAACAAACCGACAACGCTCCCCTGAGTGGTCTTCTTTACCCGGTGCTACAGGTGCTCGATGAGGAGCACCTCAAGGTTGATTGTCAACTGGGAGGTATGGACCAGAGGAAACTCTTTACCGCTGCCATTGAATGGCTACCCAAGCTTGGCTACCGAAAGGTATGGCTCCTTCTTCTTTTATGGGGTTTCTAAACTAACTTTACCTACCTAGCGCGCGCATCTGATCAACCCTATGATAAGCGGATTGAAGGGTGCTAAGATGAGTTCTAGCATTGAAGGTAATGCATCTCCTATGATGTTTCGCAAGGTCGGCATTAATACTAACATACAACAGACAGCAAGATTGATCTTCTAGACTCCGCCGAGACTATCTCGAAGAAGATCAAAAAGGCGGAGGCAGCCCCTAAGGTCGCTGAAGACAACGGAGTCATCGCTCTTGTAGAGTTTGTTCTCCTGCCTGCGGCCGAGCTCAAGGGCCAAAAGGAATTCCGAGTCGAGCGCAGGGAACAGGAACCATTAATCTACACCGATATCAAGCAACTTGTAGAAGATTACAAGAACGATATCGTACGTTTCATCTCTATATCGTTCTTCTTTGTCATAACTAACCACTTTATAGTTAACACCACAACTGCTCAAGCCTGCCGTAGCAGCGGGTCTTATCAGTCTTATGGCACCTATAGCGGCGGCCTACGAAGCCTCCGCTGAATGGCAGGAGATTACCTTGAAGGCCTACCCGCCTCCGGTCTCGCAAAAGAAGGTGAAGAAGGTGAAGGACAAGGGCACTCGCTTCCCGGGTGCTAACCCAGGCCAAGAGCAGCCCAAGGCTTCTGCCGAGTAGTTTATAGTAAGGCTGTGCCTGTTACTTATCAAATCAAATACAACCACCCAGAATTTCACCAACAACACATTTCAATGCTTTTAATGGATTTCTGTTTGTCAAGGAATACATTCGAGCAGAAGTTAAACGACGGCGAGGAACTGGAAATGGACTGGAAAACAAGTGGAAGTTGAGCCGAGAATCCCCAGGCGGACCAATTCATCTAAGTTTGGCCGAAATATGCGAGGAGTTGAGATATCAAGATACTCGGCGGAACATTAGCGCCAAGGGTGGCCAAGGACTCAAACATTCGGGGCTACCAGCACGCCCGCTGAGGATACAACCTAGCCTGTACGGTGCCCACCGAGGCCAAGCCAAGCCAACCGCAAAGCTTCCTAAGCCACACTGTGCATATTCTTCCTTGGTGAACCTTCCATACTCACCAATCTCATTTGAGTAGGATCCGGTCTAATCGCTTCCACATAATTCAACATCCTGACTTGGATCCAGACCGGCACGACATCTTGTTCCGACGCATTCTTCCTAGTCATTCAGCAATTAGTCCACTTCGGTTTCTTATTTGCTATTCACAATGCTGATATCTGAGGCTCAACAAGCGCCAGGCCCAGCGACTTGCATCCTGTGTAATATCACTCGTCTTTTATCCAAAAGTCACGGCACATATCTTGAAATGAGTGTGAGGTACCTCCCACTTAATCGCGCTTGGATACTTCCACGGCGCCATGGTTACTCGACACGCGCCATAAATTCAGCCGCGGGTCCATTTCCTGTCATGAGGCGGGTCGTAAAATCCCAGAATGAGCCCAATTTCTCAAAGAATACCCCCACAGTAGTCTGGGGTTCTTGTGGACATAAAGACGGGGTGTCCGTTATTGTTTTTTTTTTCGCTTTCTTCCTCAATACATAACTTCGAGTCTCTCAATTCCAAGATGCCTGCTCCCAATTTGCCGGCTTGTCTGGAAATTGGCTTATGAGAGCCGTTACCACTTGCGCTACAATGGGCTTTCAATTGTTTGGCTATGACCGTATATTCATATGCTCATTCCCCCCTGAAAAATACTCACATGAAAAAAAAAATACACAGAGGGTGTCATGATAATAGGTATACAGGCTTGAGAAGGCATCAAAAAAAAAAAGTCATAAGAGGAAAAAATAACAAGAGTGATAAAAAGAACTTGACCAGACTGGGGCTCGATCCCAGGACCTTATCGGTGTTAACGATACGTGATAACCAACTACACCATCCGGCCAATCATATGGAGGCAAGGCTTCCGCGGACACTAAGTTGAAAGACGAAAATGCAAAACTATAAGGATAAAAAGATTGACCAGACTGGGGCTCGATCCCAGGACCTTATCGGTGTTAACGATACGTGATAACCAACTACACCATCCGGCCATTTTGTATATTAATCTCGATGTATTGAATATATATTCCCTTTTTTAGATTATTAACGCTAAACTCAATATCATCATCCACAACAATGCTATTGACACGCAATATCGAACTACAAATGTTTGATGAAAATGTCAAACTGTGAGCAATGAATAGACTGGCATTTAATTCTAAGTTTCTCATGCTCCATTAGACTAATACCAATCACTTTGTAAGTCCACTCAACATTGATAAATACGACAAAATTAACCGCTGCGCAAGAGTCAAGTGGATATATTCCTTCTCATAATATATCCATTGGTGCTCGGTTGGTCATCTTAACTTGTTATGTAAAGAAGTGAACCCTACGTGGGCTCCTAGTAACTGGTTGAGATAGATAATTCCAATATGAACTTGGGTACAGTATATATATGTACTGGGGGCTTTCCCCCGCATGAAAAGCGAGGCGCTACTCAGATGTCATATTATATCTCCTATTATATCTTCTACTCTCCCACTCAGCATCTTACCCAGTATCCTACTTAGTATTCTATCTTCTTTCTTACCTGATTGGTTAAATAGTCCAATGGCTCTCCAAATCACATATAAATTATTCACTTAGACCATTCAATTAGATCATTCACTTAAATCATGAATAAGAAACAGAAACAGTAGATTCAAATGGAACTTTCTAATTTTTGCCATGACCAAATTTCTGATCTTGAGGGCGTTTCTCATCTGCCTCGTCCAAGTTCAAGCTCACAATGGCCTCCTCCTCTACCACCCATGCCTCTGCACCTCACGCTTCTCAGGTACCCGTAAGTTTTGTTCGATTTAAGGAACTAAACCTCGAATTTCTAAGCTAACATTTTATTTAGTACCTAGAACACCTACTCCTATCACTCTATATAGGAAAGGTTGACGACTTAAGCCTAGAGGCGCTTATTGACTATTCATGGTTTAATGTCTTATAATCCCACTTTCCGCTGGCGGAGAACCTTGGGCTTGAGAGAGAGGCCTACATTAATGAACATGAGACAGCGCGTGTGAACATACTTGTCTCCAATGTATTCTGCGGTACTATCGACAGAGCATTGTTCATTGAGTGTAAGAGACTAGTGGAGAGTCGAAGCCTGCCAAGCACTGATCCTTGGACCTCAAGTCGACGTCAACTACGGAAGTATATGGTTGGCTGGGATGGAAGTCACATCGATAAACCATTATTCGGAATGATTTGCATAGGCCCAATTGATAAATATTCGAAGGAATGAACGAAAGAACCACCATTCAGCAGAGTCTCTGACCTCAGAGGAATATAAATTCAGGTTCATATAATGTACACGGATCAGGAAATCCAAAAGAATACTTAGAAGCTAGCCATCTCAATCCAACTAGCCACAAATGCCAGCCGACGCCCCTTATCAGCTGACATTCGGCGAGCAAACTCATCAAAGTTGAGTCTTCCGCCATTACCACCACGTTCTTTGGCTTCGCGCTCAACCTGATTCAGGTAAGACCAGCGCGCAAGGGTCCTTGCGGAAGGTCGGCGAAGAGTGCTGGTAGTTCGGGATGAAGGGGGTGATCTTTTTGGAGCGGGAAGAGGCTGCATGGGAGAGGGAGGGAGAGGGACCTTGGGAGCTGTTTCTTCAGCTTCTGGAGAGGAAGAGTGGGGTGATGAAGGGGCGGGCAGGGAGGTGGTGCCATTAGGCTCAAGACGAAGTCGTTCCGGTAGATCGGAGTTGGAGGCGTGAGAGGATGTTTCGCTATCTGGTCCATCAGTGATCACTTGTGGCTCATCTCGGAAAGAGAGGCGAGGGCGGAGTGTTTCTGCATCCGGTCGGAACTGTGGAAGGGTTGGGTCGTAGTCAAGAGTTTCGTCAACGGACTCTGTCTCCTCATCTGAAGAGTCATTGTAGGAGGCGGCATCGGAAATTTGGAGTTGTCCGTCTGGGTAAGATGAGCTGGTGACTGAAGCGGTGTCGGAATCATCATCATAGGATATATCCTGACCAACTCCATCTTCGCTCTCTGGGTCGGCGAGGTGTGTAGGTCGGATATCATCATCTGAAGCTACCGCATCAGTAGACGGAGGTGCTAACACTGGTCCTAGAGTAGGGCTTTGCACACCATAGCCGGCGCGTTGCAATAGCTCCTCAAGAGATCTTTCACTCGTGAGTTCTTCAAGATCCTTTTCATCTATTGCCTGTTCAGGTTCCTTAAGAGGCGGCGGCGGAGGCGGCGACATTTGTACGAGGGCAATCTCATGGGCCCAGATCTTGCGATCCGCACGAGTTCGATAGACTTCCATGAGCAAATCTTCCTTTTGCTTGAACAGAATATCAAGGAGCTCATTAAAGGCTTGCTGCGTCACTTGGTACAGGATCTCCTTGCCAGCGTCTTTTTCAACCTCTGGGATCTCAAAGCCACCCCATCGTTCACCAACAGGAATACTTCGAGAAGATGTCGAAGGGTTGGATCGGACATCATAGTCATCAGCAATATCATCCTGGAACCGAACCTTGGAAGAAGAACGTGAGCGGGGCGATGGCGGGTGTGAATCAATCGGCGATTCGTAGTCTTCGTCGCTCAAGTCGTCAAAAGTCGGGTCTCTTTGGTACCCCTCGGGGATGGTGGCGCCGTCTTCTTCGTCGGTGTAGAAGGCACGGCGTCGCCAGCGTTCGTCAATTCCGTTTCGGCGGGTTTCGTCAATTCTTCTTTGATCTTCTTCACGCATTCTGTTGTATACGACTGTCACGAGACGGGCCCTATCGATCGGATCGTTGATTTGTTGAAGGGGTACATACGTTCCGAGGGCCTCAATAATATCCTCCTCACGAATTTGCTCTGGTGGCGGCCAACCGCCACTAGCAACCGACGAACCTGATCCATCAGAATCACTACCATCTTCATCTTCGTCATTGTCCCCATCATCCATTTGAGCGTGCTCTACGAGGTCTCGACGGCGAATCGACACAGTACCTGGAAGCTGCAAGGTAGATGGAAAAAGTGGTCTCGTTCGACCAAATTGTTCTCGAGCAGCAGCGTCTCCCACTACCGAGTAACGGTCCCCAGTGTCAGGACTGTCTCGTCGTAGAATTCCTCCATTGTCGAAGATTTCCATATCGCCATCAAGATTGCGACGCTTGCCTTCATTAGTTCGCGAATTCTCACCAGAGGGAATGTTGCCAGGGAATGCAGAGCTAATGGGCTGGCTGCCAAGAACAACATCACGAGCACCGCCTTCAAGGAAATCGTCCTCCATGCCGGCTACCATGTCGCGAGTAAGTTCTCGAGTGAGCGTATAGTACGCTCTGAACACTCGAAGGAAGTCCTTTCGCTCAATATAGCCATCGCCGTCAATATCATACCCTCGGAAAACACGTCGCAGTCGTTCGTCATTGCTCTTGTTGTTGAGACTAGCCAATCCCTTCAGAAATTCTTCAAATCCAATCAGGTTGTCCCCATTCGTGTCATAAAATGCAAACATGCGATCGTAAATCAGACTGGGAGGAGGTGGTCGAATTGATGTGTTAGGCACAAAACAGCGGTCAAAGGTCTTGCGATCAATAGCCATGTACAGCTTGTTTGGGTCATCTGTCCATTCATGATTTGCGAGGCAGCGGAACTGGTCCCAAAGGGCATCAAGTTCGGTATTTTCAAAGTTGGTCTCTCGGGTTAGGCGCTTTGCCAGCGGCCGTGGAAGGCTTCGTGGGAGCATTGCAGGCTTTCCAGGATACCACACAGGCTGTGATTGACGCGGATTCCCCAAGAAAGGAGCTGGGATTCGAACTTTGTAGAACAAATGCGTTTTGATGTGCACTTGCATTGCCTCACATGTCTCACACAGATCGTAATCGATGCAGTTCGCACACCGATAGCGGATACCCTGGATGGGCATAGCCCCGCAGCTATTGCAAGTGACACCTCGATGAATGTAACCATCTCTGCGTGCCTGGTCCTCCGCAATGTGGTAGAGCAGGTTGAGTAGGTTTTGGCCTTCACGAGTAGACGATCCGTCAGTATTTCCATCACGCCAAGAGAAAACACTCTGGTCGTCCACGCCTGGCTCCCCGCCATCAGGATTAGGAGGAGCAACATCGGGGAAAGTCGACGTCGAAAGGGTGACACGTTCGCCGTTTTGTCTTCGCCGGCGCAATTCATCTCCATAATTGTTGTCAGCGTTGAATCGGATAAGCGCCCGCTCGATTCCCGCACTGGAGATTCCTCGTCGCTGAAGCTGCTCTGTCAAGTACGCCCGCTCGGCTGTTTCTTCAGGGAGGGTATGCGATGCGGGGAAGTCAAGTGCAAGGAATGATTCCAAGAATGTGTCCTCCATCATCTCGCGCATACGCTCCGCATGAGCGGGTGGTACGCCGACTTCCTCCATCAGCTGGTCACGGGTTGCCAGCAACGATGGAAGCAGACCGCTTTCCACGCGCCGACCATCTTCTGTCTCAATGCGGAATGTACCGTAAACACCATTCTGACGCTCCAGTTGTTCCAGGTGGGTGATCGCGCGATAAGAGGGGGTTTCTGTGATTGGCAGCTCCTCGACTTCGGATCGTCTTGTGCGGCGTACGGCGCCTCGGCGGCGGAGGGAGGGTTGGGAGGTATTCGCGGAAACTACATTGTTGCTAATGTAGAGAAGGGCGTACGCTGCTGCAACCCCGGTGAAAAGGTATAGAAAGGGTCGATACCGTGTCAGTGACACTGGCCCGGAGCGCGTCCCGGCCATGGCGGAGCTTGAACCGGTGAAAGCTGCAGGGGGATTGTCACGGTGAGTGGACAGTCATCATTTGATAACGATAAAGGTTTAATATTTGGACAAGCCCGGGAGACGTAGTACCTCACGCCCCTTGTCGAGTTCTAGCTTGGGGTGTCATGGGATTCGAACGTGGTGGAAGATGAAATGTCACGGGGGTGGAGCCCCAGAATTAAGATGTCACACACTAGTTATGCAAGTGCTTACCGCCACCGACACACCTACTCCATGAAATATTAGCACTATTTTAATTCCTAAATCAAGATTTTCCAGATTCGATTCTCTTATAAATAGCAGAGGTCTATTATAAACAACTTTGATCCTTCTGAGGGAACATTTGAGCCTGAGAAGGCATGCAACAATTTTAGGCCGTGGATCTTATGCAAAGCCTGACCGCTCAAGTATGCAACACGAACAGTGATAAAGATGGGGTATGAACACAAATAGCTCAGAATCAATAACCGATCACCGCTTTAGGTTGGCCTCGCGGATAAAGCAGGCACTGAAAAAGGCGAAAAACACCACAATGGTCAGAAAGCCGAAACCCTTGTTAGTCGACCACGCGTAGCAGTTACGGACAATCTTGGCGATCTCCGGGTCTAACTTTTTAATATAGTCAAGACTTTCTCGAACACCATTAACAATTTCATCAATATTCTTGCTGTCATGCAAGTCAGATCGAAGTCGCTCCCGCAAAAGCTGTTGGACCACACTTGAAGACAGTGAAACCCCAATCATGGAACCCATGGACCGGAACAAATAAGAGCAAGCAGTGACCACGGCCTGATCTTCGACAGTGGAGTTTGATACTGATGACGTGGTTAGTGGTTGAAAATATTGCACGATAAAATTAAACTCACTCAAGCCGACCAATGTCGATGTGACTCCAATTCCATTGCCAAATGCTGACATGACCATCCCAATCACCATGGCAATGGTGCTTGTCATGGCACCACCCGAAGAAATGTAGATCAGGAAACAGCCTGAGGTCAAACATGAGTATGCTGCAAGTGTGAGCCAATAATATTTTCCAGTCCATCTCATGATCAGTCCAGAGAAAATTGAGCCGGATGCACCGGCCAAAATGCTGGGCAATAAGCGCACTCCAGCAATAGTAGCTGACACACCATCAACTGCTTGGAAATAGAGCGGGATGTAGAACAGTATGGCAAGCCAGCCCCCAAAACTGAAGAAGTTACAGCAATAGAGGGAGAAAAATGTACGGTTGAATATGATGTGACCTGGTGCAAAAGGTTCGGTTGCGACATAGGTTTCCACCAGGATAAAGAGAATGAAGAGGCAGGCCGACACGCCCAGGGAAATGACGGTCAACGGCATGGTCCATGAAACATTGCTGCCACGATCCAAGCCTACCAGGAAGCCTAGAACAGCACCAACGAGGACAATAGCGCCAAGAAAGTCAATGCGCTTTAGCTTCGTCTTCCAGTGTGTATTTTCGCTGGCTGGAAGCTTAAGCATGAGGGATACGGAAATTATAGCCATGATGCAGACGGGAAATTGCGCCAGGAAAGCCCTGCGAAAAGTTGGTTAGAGGATCAATTCACCTCCGGGAATTCGTCAAACATACCAACGCCAGCCGATATAATCAGCCAGAATGCCACCCAGAGGTGCACCTGTGCTTGATCCAGTGGCATAGGCGATATTTATAATCCCTTGCCAAAGACCTCGATCGCGCAAGGGAACCAGATCACTCATCAAAATAGAGACAACAGTAGTCATCCCGCCACCTCCAATGCCTTGCAACACCTAATTCCATGTTAGTCCTATACTTCGAAAAGTCTGTTTTAAAATAAACATACGCGTGCCGCAATCAACTCATTGATATTACGTGAAAGGCCACAGCCAAGATTGCCAAGTCCAAAAATGGCATAAGCAAAAAGCAGACACGGCTTCCGGCCAAAGATATCGCTTAATTTCCCGTAAAGTGGTTGGAACGAGGTTAGGGTAAGGAAGTAGGAAGTGGCAATCCAGCTGGTCAAATTCAGAGCATTCAAGTCACTACCAATCTGACCATAACTGGCCATGATGATGGTCTGATCCGCAGCGGACATGAAGACCTACTCTTCGATTAGCCGAGGACCGAGAGTCGCATAGATAAGAAGCATCTTACACCTAATGAAATTGCAGGAACAACATATTTAAGTTGAGTTTGTGTATCTTGAAACGGCTGTTTAACCTGATCATCCTCATCTTGTCTTGGTTCTGCCAACTCTTCATGGGGGATGTCAATTGCTCCCGTAGTCGCAGTGCCGTTGCCGGACACCAGCAACGGGGTAGTCTCGGAAGGATTCCGCTCAGGCGCCATGTCGACAAAATCAATCGCTCACGGCTCAGTTCAATTGCCACAGATATCCTACCTCTTAAATGGACGACCAGATTGACTTTTTTGAGTCAGGGCTTTGAGTGAGTCAAGAGGCAGAAGCACGTCTTAGTCTATTTCAAAGTCATCAGGCATTCACGTGGTGATAAGCATCCTTCCCCCGCCCCGAAAAAGGCAAAAAAATAGTCAACAAACCAATCAACATTTGAGATTTCTCGGATTTCTCCCCGCTCGCGTGCTCAGACCCCGTCGGCAAATATGAGCCGTGATAAGGAATTGATGCAGATACAGAATTGCAACTCCATAGATACAATGTAACAAAGGTAAAAATTCATGTATTTCTGTTTAGGAAAAAACTTCTTACTATCTTAATATGCCGGCCATAGCCCCGTTCGTAATAAATATGCCCAGTTATGATTTTCTGTAGTCAATATCCCAAACTGCAATTCAGGGTAGATTACATCTAACAATTTGCATAACTTATAAACCTACTGCTCTTCAAAGAGAGAAATTCCACATATTGAGGAAGATAATTAGTTTACAGAATAGCAATTGACATACCAATCAGGTGCTTTTCTTGTGCCACTAGGCTTTTGGTGGCATTCGCATTTAATAATCTGATATTAGATGAAGTAAGAAAGTGTGTATATTGTATGATTTACCTACCTTCTCAGGTGTCAACTCAGATTCAATGCATACCTTCACATTTCGCTTCAAGAGTTCATGTCTATCTCATCTTCTCCTCTTCGCTTTCCACGAACATCCTCATCTTCTTCGTGTTTACACTTCTTGCCTCTCCACCATAAACACACAGTGTCGTGACACCCAAGCAATATGTCGACTCCCAAAGATGAGTTGTTGGATGAAGAGTTCAAGATAATCAGCGACTTCTTGAAATCCGCATCGACAATATTTGCCAATCTGCTGCGAGTTCAAGATGAAGTAAGACAAACAAGGTTCTATCCTCTCATTTTGATATCGTATATATAACCATGGTGTATTTCTTAGGTGTGGAAGTGTCCCAAGGCCGACGAATACTTCAAAGTCCAGAAGGAAAGCGCTATTGTCGACGTGTCTGACGAACAAAAGAAAGGCTTCTACCTCATGATGACGAGAATCGGTGACCAGCTTCAAATGAAAGAGAAGTTAATCCCTCCTGTCTCCAAGAGAATGAACTTTGATGTTCTTGACTTGTGCATGGCACCCGGAGGCTTTACGGCGACGGTCCTGAAAAACAACCGTTTCGCACAAGTGTGTGCCATCAGCCTACCCAGGAGCGAAGGTGGACTTGAAATCTATCTTCCAAATTGGAAAGAGAATAAACGTGTCAAAGTTGAGTTGGTGGATCTTAACATCCTTTCGACAGAGCTGGGGTTCCCCAACCTAGCCTCACAAGATCACTCCTCTGCATCCAAGTTTTCAAACAACAGACCATTCCCAGGCCGGAATTTCGACTTGATCTTTTGTGACGGTCATATTCTCCCCTCGCTTTCTGCAGGAAAACAAGAGATGGACCAGGCCCGTCGACTCTCAGACGCTCAGGTTGTCATGGCATTGCAGAGAATTAAACCTGCTGGGACGTTGGTCATGCTTTTGCACCACTCCTACAGCCCCCGAGTTTTGCGACTCCTTGAAGCTTTTTACAACTTCTCTCAGATTACTATTTTCAAGCCCCCGAAGGCTCATGCCAGACGGACTTCGTTCTATCTTGTGGCGAAGAACGTGGAACCTCAACATGAAAGAGCGCGTCGTTTGATTCGAGAGATGAGACGTTCATGGAGACTGCTTACCACCAATATTTTTGGCGTAAAGATCCCAGAGATCCCCAATGAAGAGAATGATACGGAGGAGGCCATGGAAGCCATTCTGCAGTCATTTGGAACAACATTCATTGCTCTCGCCGAACCAGCATGGAAAATTCAGACAGAGGCGATGGAGAGTGCATTCTTGGGGGGAAAGAATTGATGATATTGAAGCAAAAGAATGGGTATCTGACGATGGATCCTATTATATTGTGATATATCTTAAAGAAAAATAACGTTATGGATTCAAAATCAGAGTACATAGTAGAATTTAATTGAACTAGTCCTAAATAGCACTAGCTGATGATGCCATTCATACCCTCAGGCACCAAGACGGTTAAAGCACAGCTGACTAATCACCCGGTCGATCAATTTGGCAATATCGCTGAATTAGGCAAGGGCCGATACCGCAGCACGTGACTGGGTTTTTGTTCCGGGGTTCTCCAGAATCCAGGATCCTTGCTCTGTTCGTGAAACAATTTTATATCCGGCTGCTTCATGGCTGCTATTACCCCCAGACAGAAGGTAGTTGTGGTGGGAGCGGGGCCAGTTGGGTCCCTCGCGGCGCTGTACGCGGCTTCCCGCGGCGACGAGGTGGAGGTATATGAACTGCGCGGAGGTATGTGTCAGATTTCATTGACTTGAGTCATTTCCCATTGCGAAAAGAGAGGAGAGAAAGAGAAAACCGACGATGCGCAATCCAAAAAGGACTGTTGATTTCCTGATGCGTCCAACAATCTGACGGCAAGAAACAAATTTGTTGCCTCGAGTCGCAACTTGCAAGGTTCCCATTGAACTCAATTGGCCTTGAATTTCAAAACATCACTTGGACCTCCTCTCATCCATCCCTGTCGCGAAAATTTCCGAAAGAAAAAGTCAATAATTTTTTCCGTTTTCATTCCGGCTCCGTAGATCTCCGTGACCCGACTACTGTGCCATTGAACTTCACCAAGTCGATCAATTTGGCTATCTCAGAGCGCGGTATCAACTCCATCAGAGAAGCGCACCGGAGTGGACTGATCGACGATGTCCTCCGCCATACGATCCCCATGTATGGGCGGATGATTCACGGCCGAGACAACGGGGCCCTGTGGGAAGCCGCTCAAGCCTATGACGTTCATGGCCGGGTATGTACACCCATGCACAACCCCATGTCTTGCATAACAAGGGCGCCCACTCCACACATCGCGGATGATTGACTAATCATGTGTATAGGCCATCAACGCCGTTGACCGAGGCGCATTGAACAATGCCCTCCTTGACGAGCTAGAGCGTACACCAAATGTCAAGCTTTTCTTCAACCACAAACTAACAGGCGCGGATTTCACCACAAATAAAGCCTGGTTTGAGCGCCGTATCCCAGGCGATACACCTCAAGCCGATGATCTGGGCATCGCAGGCCGAGTCCCCGAGATCGAGGTATCATTCGACTGCCTTATCGGGGCAGACGGCGCCCACTCCGCCACTCGCTTCCATATGATGAAGTTCGCCCGCGTCGATTACCAACAGGAATACATCGACACGCTCTGGTGCGAATTCCGCATCCCGCCCAAGGATGGGGACTTTGCTATCTCCCCCAACCACCTGCACATCTGGCCAGGTCGTGAATTCATGTTTATCGCCATTCCTTCTGCCGACAAATCGTTCACATGCACCCTCTTCGCACCCTCGGCCCATTACGCCACACTTCATGACTCCCCACAGGCTCTTCAAGCTTCCTTCGATGAACATTTCCCCGGAGTCTGCCCCGAGCTAATCGAACCCCAAGCCCTGGTGGAGCAATTTGCGGTCAATCCCCACCTACCGCTGATCAGCATAAAATGCAAACCGCACCACTACAGCTCTAGCGTTGCGATCATCGGCGACGCAGCACATGCTGTCCTCCCATTCTACGGCCAAGGCCTGAACGCCGGAATGGAAGATGTGCGTGTACTCTTCGAACAGCTGGACAAGCATGGCGTCTACGACTCAGATACAAGCGTTTACACCCGTAGTGTGCGCCGACAAGCTGCATTCCAGGCGTACACGAACCAGCGATGCGCCGATACACATGCTATTAACGACCTCTCGAAGGAGAATTATCTTGAAATGCGCTGGGGTGTCAAGTCGCCGCTGTATAAGTTGCGGAAATCTATCGAAGAGACTATTGACCGGCGGTTGCCTTTCTTGGGGTGGAAGACACAGTATGCGCGAGTCAGCTTTAGCAACCAGCGATACTCGGAGGTTGTGGAGGCTGTACAGAGACAAAGTCAGATGCTGGGGCTGGGTCTCAGCTCAGCTTTGGTTGTTGGCGTGGGCGCCTTGGCTATGCTGATCTGGAGGTATCCGCGAGAAGTCTCGCCCGTGGGCTTCGTGCGCTGTGGTTTGAGACAGCTGGCGAGATTCTGGAGAGGGTTCGTCCACAGATGAGATTGGGATGGTATGAAAATAAGTAGGGATTATTGAACGATTTCAAAGCATTTTTAGATAGGAGGTAATAAGTTTCGAAATGTTCAAATGGTTACTTGGGCCATGGATATCTATCCAATTGAGAGTATTAACATGCCGAAGTAAACCAATAATAAGTAATACCCTAATCCCAATACTTGATAAGCCCATCCAAACCACCAGTAACCACCTTACTTGTTTCTTGCGGATGCCAGTCCAAGCAGGTAATAGCACCACCCTCTTTTCCACCAGCAAGAATCTTGTGATACATCTTTCCTGTCTTCCAATCCCAGAAACAGGCATAGCCACCGCTATCACCCGAAGCAAGGAACTGACCATCAGGCGAAATCTTGATATCAATTCCATATCCGGCATTGTTGTGGCCACGGAAGCTCTTCTTGCGGTTCTGACGGAATTTATCGGTCGCTCCGTAGACGACGATCTGGTTGTCGCCCGATTGGAAAGCAACATACTTGCCGTTGGGATGGGGCGTAGCGCGAGTAAGGGCAAACATGTATGGCTCTGCAATGAACTTGATGGGTACGGGAATACCGTATTCCCACGCGCGAAGCGACTTATCATCCGAGGTGGAGATGAAGCGGCGGTTGTCATCCACGAAAGTAATGGTGTTGACAGCAGCCAAGTGGTGGTCATATTCCTGGACCAACTCGCCAGACCGGGTATCAAATTGCACGATCTTCTTGTCGGACATACCGGCCAAGAACTCGTGCGAGTGTTCCGGGCTGGGGTTGAAGCGCACAACGTGCGGCACCTTGCCCGTCGAGAAACGGCCAAGACACTTGCCGTACTCGGTATCCCATAGCTTGATCTGTCGGTCGTACGAGCCTGTAAGGAAGGTCTTGCCTGTTGGGTGGAAGTCTGTGTCTGAAATGGCTTTCGAGTGGCCCGAGAAAGTGCGCAAGAGTTCGCGCGAGTGATACGCATCCCAAATCTTGGCCTTTCCATCCGCGGCAGACGAAAGCAGAAGGTGTCCTGAGCCAGGGAAGAAGCGGAGCGAGGTGATGGCCTTGGTATGCGACTTCCAGGTGTGAACAAGCTTCTTCGGCACATAGTTCTTGATACTGCCGGGCTCCTTGCGCAAATCGATATCCAAGTCCTGGGGGACATGCATATATGTACGGCCCTGGTAATCGAGCTCCTGTGAACCATGGAACTCGATTGTTTCCTCTCGGGAATAGTCGCCCGCGTAGTCGGTGGCCTCTTTGCTCATAGCCGGCATGAGCGCGGGCGCGGAAGGCTCATCACCTTCCTCCACGTACTCCTCATCACTTGCAAGCTCGCGCTCCTCACCGGAACCTACCTCGATTTCCTCATACTGTTGTTCATTCTGGTATTTCGCCCAGGGACCTAGGTACGCGCCTTCGCCCTCGACGATACTCGAGTCGCCCTTCCTTTGGCGCTTTGCGCGCCATGCAGCAGAGGCCTGCTTGTTAACTCTCATCTGAACGACGTCCTTTCCTCCAAATTGCGCGACATTTTCCATGTTCCCCACAAACTCATCTGGGCGAGTCGGGTTGCGGGTGTATCCCAAGCTCTGGAACGTGTGATGTTGCGCATTAAAGGTGGACTCGCTGATGGCAGCCTCCTCGGCAAATCCAGTTGGGACGTTTTTGCGCTTGATACCATTTCCTGCGCCCACGGGTTTGAATGGGTTTACGGGCCCTTGGGAAGGTCGTGTCAGATCATCGTAGGTGGCGTTGTAAGTGAGGGCTTGCGAGGAGGTGTTGGCGAGGGTCATCTGCATGTGAGCTTGATCCTGTGCGGTTGTTAGCATTATCTGTGCCAAGTCAAAGGGAGATAAAGCATTGCAGAGAAAAGGAACTTATGGGGGAGGGTGGGTAGGGAACCAAACCTCTGTATTGACTTCTGGTGCAGCAACGACCTTGGTTGCGGCCGTCACTGAGGGTTTCGGCAAACCAACGGTGTCATCATCACTGGAATAATAGCCAGCACCTAATAAGCCTGACATTGTGAATGTGCCTGAGCGAAGTATAGAGAATCAAGCTCGCGACAAGGTGAAAGTTTAGGGTGGTGGTTTGGCGGTGGAAATTTACGGTTGACGGCAGAAACACCGAGCGAAGACCGCAGCATTTCATGACCTCAGATCTCAAGGTTAAATTATGACCAAAGCGACATGCCTATAATCTATGTATTCGCAGATAATTCTAGTGGATTTCGAGTCATCGCAACGCCACGCTACATGGCTGACAAAATCAAAATATATGGACCAAACTGGGTATCGTACGCTTTCATTACCAACCGCTTGGGAGGTTATATACAGCTCACAGGCCGAAAGACATGATAAGATAACACAGAATGACGGAACATGAATAGTTAAAAACAGAGTGAACAAACACTGAGCAAGACGTTGAAGGGAGTACATGGGCATCCTCCGCACGCTTGCTCAAGCAACCAACACAACCACCGGTAAATCTCTATCGTCGCCGCACCGGAGGTCCCACCCTCTATCTCAAAAATGGAAACACAAGTTCTCACATATACGGCATTAGTCCATTCCCCCAAATAGCCAGGGTAACAAATGAAATCGTCAAAATCGTGGCTGCCCAGAAAACCTGGTCGCATCGTGTCTTGCAGGACTGTCAATTTTAGAGGCGGGCATCGATCGCGAATGCTGATGTGGGTCTGTGGGAGAATACGATGCCGGCGAGCAATGTCTTGAGCTAGTGAGAACGACCATGGCGCATAACATAATCAGTCTTATCGTGGAATCAGTGTCCCTCATCACGGATAAGAGCTACAATCATGCTGTACAGATAGAAGAAGAACATCAAGAGACTGAAGCCGAGCTTGATGAACGATTCCTGTCACATAGATGGGTTAGCTCCCACTCGATATTTCGGAGATGACACGGAAGCTCAAGACCAACCTTCTTGTGCACATTCAGCTTGCGGAAGATCTCAGTCGCATCCAGGAGGTGCTGGTTCTCGTAGATCCTATAGAAAATCACGAATTAGCTCTTCTACTTCACCTATTGTGGACGGAGCTCAGGAGTGGCGGCACGTACTTCTTAGCGTTGAAGGCGAGCAGAGGCAGGTTCAGGACGATAGCCAGCCAATAGCCGTTGATGATGAAGAGGAAGGTCAAGAATGCGTGAACAGCGGCCTCGGGGATAATGTAGGCATTAAGACGGTTGCAGAGGTCGATGGGGTTGATGTAGTCACTGGGGAAAAAGGGGAGGCAGAAGTCAGTTGAGCTCCCAAAAAAACCACACAGAATCATGAAATGGCCAAGAAGTCTATATCGAGGAACTCACCACTCCAGATCACTGTACATGATCGTGAAGAAAACCTGGAGGAACAAGTTGACGGCGTTGATCAACACCGCCAACAGGTAGAGCCACGCTTCACCAGACATTGTGGGCAAGAAGTCGACTCGACGGGAGAGGAATGGAGGTCAATGACTAGGGAGAGGCTTTAAGATATGGTCAGCACCAGTGGAGCGGAGGAGGCGGTGGATGCGAATGCTGTGTTTTAGGCGGAGCGGAATTGGAGATGTTTTTTGTGGGGTTCGAGGCCCAAGGAACACAACGGAATCACGAAGAGATGTTCGGGGAGGAGCGCACTCACAGATCAACCTGCGTAATACCTGAGCTCTCGGGTGGAGCAGATGAGACGCTGTGCAGGGAAGTGAGGAGGTGGATCGGGGATGATTATTGGGAAATGCGGTTTGGATTAGCGAAATCGAGCCAACCTGAACGGGCGGCGGTGGACAGAACTGGCGCGGGCATTAGCGTCATTGGGTAAAAAGTGGAGGGGCTGGGGGAAACCACGTATTACCTGAGTCTATGCAGAGTACAACGAAAATGAACGAGGAAGCTGCAGTGAGGAAGAGATTATGATAAGTTACTGCTCTTTGATTTCTGGAAGAACTGGTAAGAAAAGTAGAAGAGAAGAAGAGCTAGATGTAGCTGCGAAAGATGACGTCGCACACGTGTTCTCGAATGCAACGCGGGCGTCGTCTTTATTACATGTGGGATATTGAAGAAAGTAAACTGCCCAATCGAAAATATCAGTCATTATATGACCCTCGGAGTCTATAAAAAAACTCAGAGCTCAGAGTATATACATAGGTCGACAAGCACTCTTGACTTGTTACTTGAGGTTCTCATACAACAGTAGCAGGCAAGATCTGCCCAATGCACTAAGCAACAGTCCCTAGAAAGATAAGAAGATGACGCCGAAAACTATAAATTATGGATGAGACGCAGATCGTGAGTCTAACGTAGAGACCTTGGCAAACTATGCCTAACGCTTCTCGACAAGAAGGAAATGCATCGCTCCGTACGCAATAATAATGAAAGCTCCCGAGATGACAGCTAGTCCAATAACATCGTGCCAGTAGGCCAGGGTATTGAATCCAAAAGCGCTCAGGATCGATGCACCAGGCACCTCGATATCCAAGCCGTACTTGTGGTCGATCAAGGTGAGGAAAGTGACCTCGTTCACGATGAGGGCCTCAAAACCGTAGTGGAAGATTGAGAGCTATGGTAGAATTAGTAAGTTCTAGAAGAAATCCGGGTATGCAGTTCAACTTACGCTTTGCAACCACAGAGCGGACGAGGGGATGGCGTCATGGTTCAACAGGAGACCGGCGAACAGCAAGCTGAATAGCATGACCAGACTACCGATCAAATTGGCAACGCCGCCATCACGGAACACAATGCCGATAAACAAGCAGATGTTGGCAGCCGCGAGGTTAAACAGAACCAATACCAGCATGAATCGAACGAATTCGGGCCATGCAGGAATTAGCCCGGTCATGGGGTAGACAATGATGCCCATGAAAATAGGGGGAATGAGTCGCAGGGGCACGATGTCGAAAACAACCTTCGACGCGAAGTAAGTGACCGGATGGTAGTAACCATTTGCTCGCTCCCGAACAAACAGGAGACGTTCAGTAGAGAAAACCGTGAGACTAGTCAAAGTGCTGAAACCGAACAGAGAAAGAATGAAAAAGAAGAGACCAAGACGGTTCTGGAAGCCCTTGATATCGTCGGTTAACCCGTAGAAGAGGTATCCGCAAAGCACAGCAAGAAGAATGGAGATTGCATAGTGGGTCAGCATCAGCATCGGGTTACGATAAAGATTGCGCCATGTGCGCTGCGACAAAATGAGGAACTGTCGCCACAAACTGACACGGGCAAAGCTTTTGGGCGGCGCCGAACCCTCCAGATGGTAATTTTGCGACCCATTGGCAGCCTCAGCAGTTTGAACTGCTGTCACAATCTCGTCGTGGACAGAGTGGAAAACATCAGAATCGGCGTAGCTGGCAACGAGAACATCAAGATCGCTCTGGCCCGGGGCGGGGGGTGGTAGCTGATCCGGATCATCGAGGATCTGCGGGGGAGCGTTGCCCGGTTGGCGAGAAAGACGTAGCCATTGTTGAGTGTTCTCAGCAACATCGAGCGTGGCATCTTCTTCATCGGTCTTGGGTGTAGCGGGAGGCTCAAGGTCCTTCTGATCCTTGCGGCGTGAGTAAAGTTGGCGGTCTTGCTGTTGCTTCAAGGAAACCCGCCGACTGCTTTTGGGTCGTCGACCCGCCTCAGTGGTGATGCTAGAATTCTCTTCAATGCTCACGTTGGATACACTGGCAACAGACTTAATAGCTCTCAGACTACTTGATGCAGTCTTCAGCATCCGTCCGTCCACAGAGGAATTGACTTCATCCGTGTATGAGCGTGAAGAGCCGGCATGCATAGTCAAGTCGACAAGATAGTCCGCGATGTTGAAGCCTGGAGGGCAAGTGTACCCAATTTTATCGAAGTACTGTTGGCATGTCGAGAACGGTCCGGAGTAGACAGTACGACCATTTGCAAGCAAGATAAGTCGGTCGAACAGGGCAACAATGTTTGAACGTGGCTGATGGATGGTGAAAATGACCGTGCGATTATACGTCTTGGCCAGAGTAACCAAGCACTCGACCACATTGAAGGCGTTGTAGGCGTCCTGAAAGAAGTTATGAGTAATGAGATCTTTATCACGAAGAGTTGTTTACCTTACCAGTCCACTAGTAGGCTCGTCCAAAAACAAAATGCTTGGGCTTGTCACAAGTTCACAAGCAATACCTACTCGGCGTTTCTCGCCGCCAGAGATGCCGCGACCGCTGCCTTCTTCCGATCCAATCAATTGGTCTTTAATATGGTAAATACCCAGCTGTTTCTCGACCTCCAAGACCCTTTGCTCTTTCGCCGCCCGACTCATATCCCGGGGCAGTCTCAGAAGCGCACTGGTCTGGATAGTCTCGTGAACAGTCAATGTTGGAAGCATAGTGTCCTCCTGGTCGACAAATCCAATCATGCTCTTGAAATCGTTGTCACTTATCTTCTCTCCGTTAACGAAGAAGTTACCCTGGACTGCACCGCGCTTGTTCTTGCGAGCCAGAATATCAAGAAAAGTTGTCTTTCCAGCGCCAGACGCACCCATGATCGCCGTGATCTGTCCCGGAGTTGATGCACCTTGAATACCAGACAGTATCTCCTTGCCATTCAGGTAATACGACACATTATCCCAGTAGAGAGATGCGGGGCGGTGCTCTGCAAGTAATCTTGCTGTCTCATCATCTGAATCGTCCGACAGGGACAGACGCAAATAGCCACGGTTTGTGGCCCGACGGGACATGTACCAAAGAGCCAGAATGACCGCGACAACAAAAAGCGCACAACCAGCAATGACACCGGCAATGAGGGGTGTATTGATCTTTTTGACGGGGCGCTGATAGCCGGGAAGATCAGTCTTGTATAGACACTCTCCAGAATCGCAGGATAAGGAGATGGTCGGGTCGCCGAAGACTGCACTGATGAGACCGTTCATATTCGGCTCCGAGAAGATACTCTTGCTGCTCTGTGCGTCGGATATGGTCTGGAAACTGGCTGGACCTTTGATAGATTGGTCGAGGAAGTCGCCGAGATCGATGGATCCGTCCTGGCCACAAAGGAACCGGCCCGGGACACACTTGCAATGGACATTCTCACATTTATAGCTGGTGGTATTGGTATCGAATCCGGTTTCCAAGCCCCATTCACAGGTATCTAGGCCACAATAGAAGGACTCCTTTTGGTCCACCCAGAATTGGAAGTTGCAGGTATGGTCCTCAGCCTTACAGGAGAAGGTCACTTGTGGCTTCTGCTTACCCAGTTGGTCGAGGATTTTTCGATTAGTGACATCGCACATCTGAAAGTTCTGCTTGACGGTAGCACCTGACTTATAGCACACCCCATCTTGACCTTCGGGCATCATCGAATCACAAGCGCTATCCTTTAGGCAGACGTTGCAGTTGACGCCGCCCCAGCCATCCTTACAGTCACAGGTTGCGCCAGTTCGCGGCGGACGATTCTCGCCATCAGCAAGTGAGCCACAGGTAGGCACAGAACAGTCATCCCCTCCAAAGCCAGCGGGACAGGCGCATTTGCCATTGTATTTGTTGCAGGGGGCGGAATGGGTGCAGTTGTAAGAGTCTAATTGACAGTTGAAGCATGGAGGGCAATCGGCAGGTCGGTCATCGAAAAGGGAGACGGATCGGTAAAATAGATTTGCGTCAGAGAAGTCTTCCCAGGCTGCCGTAGGGATCGCCTGAAAGGCTAGCGCAATTCCAAGGAGGAATGCCGATGCGGACCGCATGGCGAGGGAATGAGTCGAGGACCCCGTTCTGAAGAACCGCTGTACCGGCGATCAGAATAGGAGTGCGAGGATCGCCGGGAAGAATTGATGGTGAATCGATTTGTTGAGCATGGGGTGGTTGGAGGAAGGAGGACCAAGTGCGGAGTGGAGTTGTCAGATGGCCGATGACGCGGGCGGAGAAGCTGGTCACTGCCTCGTTTGCCAGGAACCCGCCCGACAAGCAATGTGATGCCGAGCTACACTGTGATTGGAAGCTTATTTGATTTTGTGCAGGTACCTGATCGGCATGTTTAACTTGCCATTACTGTTTTCTAATGCAACATCGTTCTTGTCAAGTTCTCAGATCCTCACCGCACATTCCTCGATGAATCCATGCGGGGACTCCACATGGGCTTCGTGCCCGAGGATAAGATGAACTCGGTACGATAAGGGCCTGAACTATTGTTTCTTCTATACCTCCTAAATCATTCATCTACCCAGTATCCCACTCAGCTTTCCACCCAGTCTCCTACCCTCTTTCCTATCCTATTAGTTGAATAGTCGAAGGGCTCACTAAAAAGGCTCTCCAAATTGATGATTAGCGAACTGGAAACGCGAAGAATTACAAAAAAAATTTGGGACTAGGAGTTCGAATGTGTCCAAAAATTCCACGGTGAGCCCAACTAATAGAGGGATTGATGATAATGACTGGATACTATTATTAAATAAAGCTACAGTGAAATATGCATATAAGATTGGGTACCCACATTGCAAGAATATCTTATTTACCACATGGTCGTCACGTTAAACTCCCTAAAGTCCGACACGACAACCCACTTCTCAAATAGCACTAGTACCACATGTCACAACCAAGTCCACTCCAAGTGTAAAGGCTCTCACTGGAGTCATACTTGCGTTTGATCTCAAGAAGCTGATCATAATCATCGCCATAGAAATCATGCTTTCAAGTAGTACTGAAAGGATTTCCCTCGTTTATGTAGGCACCACTATTCAGTGCCATATCTGTCCAAACAGGCTCCCTGTGTTCCTCATACCACTCGGTGCCACTCTTTGAGGACTCAGCTGCGCCTTCAGTTGTGTCGATCGATGCTCCGTAGGATGGGCATGTTCCTGACGCTAGGCCGGAGGGACAGAGTGATATGAAGCGTAGGTCCAACGGTTCTCCACATCCGTACAGTTCTCTGATTAAAGGAATATACTGCCAGGGTAGTATGACGAAGCTGCAAGGGATGTTTGATAAGAGCTTCCAGTACGGTCCGATTCACTGCACGCCATTCATTTCTGGATGGCCATGTCAAGTCGTTGGGAGAAGTTTTGCAATCTCGGCTGGCAGAAACGGCAACAGTGAGAAGCAGATACGCCAATGCCTTGTAAAAGAAGAGCATAGTCAATATAACAATGAAGGGGTTAGAGTTCCAGTCTGGTAGCTGAATTTGATGCGAATAAAATGGACTTCTTGTCTGATAGCCCAATGCTTTATAGTATCGATTATAGTTGTAAGCAGACGAGTACGATTTAGTATCCTAAAAGACCATGCCAAGAGGGCTGATCTGTTTTGAAATTTAGCAGTCGGAATATCTTGGTAAGAGAGATGGGATCCTTCTTAACTCGTTTTTACCGGTGCCTAAATCCTGGTTTTGAAACTCGATATGAATGTTTGCCCAAACATTGAAACCTCGAAGCTATGAATTCAAGTGCAGAATATTACATGCACAAAACACCCTTTTTCCATATTTACCCATGTGGGTCTATGTACAGGACTGCAACAAAGACATAATAGACCCAAGTTGCCATGTCCTGACAGGACCCACAGCGTATTCGTTTTTGTGCTTGTAGCCTCAACAACCATTCTTGGAATTTTCACTGCCTGGACTATCTCGCCAACTTCACAAAAAGACTGAGAAAATTATTTGATTCTTGTTCTGACAGATGATCGAGATAATGAATTGAATCCGAATTTCGCAAAACTAGGTAATCCATGTTGGATTTTGATGCTTATGGTGAATCGGGGGCTTCTGCCTCCGAGCCGTAAGCCAGAGAATCATTTACATAATGAGCTAAACCTAGTTAAGTTATTTGACAATATTTGCCTGATAATGCAGGCTTAAATGATACCAATGTCCCAAAATAAACGGGAATCCGAATCGTACTCGTATTAGCGTATATCCACTATGGGCCTTGGCGCTGTAACAGACCTGCCGGAGAGCCGAATCTGCACGACATCTGTTTATCTCAGTTTACACTCGCCTCAGGTGTGAAATACACTGTAGTGGACGGAAATCAGTATACAAAAAGGGTTTCATGGCTTCAAAGCTGAATCATAAGAGGAGCTAACTACCGCAAGCTTCCAACACAATTTTTTTCAATCTTGGGATTTGTTTTGAGCCTTTGAACTTTAGGTGTCGAGATGTGGATACCTAGCTGTGGATGGGTTGAGTGGCTTGCAATTGAGTCTAAGGTGCTAAACAAGCCACACTATCTTTCATTGCCTGCTGCCTTCGTATCCTTCGCCATAAATCCACATTAAAAGGGAGTGCTGATGTCAAATATGGGATTTGCAATGCTAAGAACCTAGTCTCTGTTCAGTATAAGAAGACAGTGATATACTACTGAACAATGTAATTGAAAGTTTTTGTTTGAAGTTTCCTTGCCGAAATCCACAGCCAGGATGATCTACTTGGTCGACATGTCATCTGTCGATACAATGTCCCCCTTACTAGATTCTTGTCTTCATATCCCGAGGCACAATTTTCTCTTATCTTCATTGATCTTCTTCTACCTACACTGCACAGGTTCTCTGTTCTTCGATGTTATTCATCATATGCTCCACCGGTGCAACAAATCCTCTCATCCTATTTTTCAACGCCTGGCGCGTATCCACCGTTTCCACCACCTCTACTTCACACGGCATATGCAGTTCGACAAAAAGTACCTGCGTCAAAATCAGTTTCAGGCACTGCCACTTGAGCTAGCACTCCAGATTATGGGAAGCATATTGGGGTACATACTTGCCGCTTTAGTGACACCCGCTGGGCTATCGTGGACCACACCAAACCATCTCTGGTTTATTATTGGCATTCAAATTCTGAGAACTGCTTATGTTGTTCTCATGAGTGGCCGTGACTCCAATCATCTTGTCTATAAAACCGCCCCAAAGGACCCGAACTGGGTGTTCGTGGGCCCAGAGTTTCACACTCTTCATCATGTGTATCCGGATCGCTATATCGGCTCGTTCGTCAAGATTCTCGACTGGGTTTGCGGTACCGCATACACCTTCAGAGGGAAGCGCTTTGCAATTATTGGGGCAAATGGGGTCTTTGGCCAGGCAATGGTGTCAGAACTCGAGCGTGAAGGGGTGAAAAGCATTCGAAAGTTAAAATATGGTACTGATTGGGACCACGATAACTTTGAGAATGTGATTCCAGTCCTTGCCGACTCTAACATTCTGATCTTAGCTGACGGATGTAAAATGCAGGATTCTGTTGAATCAAATTGCAATTCCGCCGTTCAGCTTGTCAAATTATTCAAAAAATGCAGAGCCACATATCCCGCTGGCCCGACGCTTCCAGAAGTCTGGTACGTTGGCAATGAGACGGAATTTTACCAGCCCTGGGGAAATGTGCAGCAGCTTTCTGGGGTTAAAGGAGGGTTCTTGCCGTACGCTCGCCTGTTTACCGATGATCATAATATTCTTTACCGTCATATCGTCCTATCAACGTTTCATTCATTCGTGGTAACTGCTGATATATCTGCCCACAGAGCAGCTAAATCCGCGATGTGGTGGATCAGAAGAGGTGCAACATATGTGCCTGTCACATATACAGGAACTGCATGTTTAAACTATCTGAAGTTTATGTTTTTAATTCCTTACGCACAAGACGTATAACCTATGCGGAAATAGCTACGTGAATATTGAAAAGTATGTATATATTCGGAAAAAAGTTGTGTGCAGCACAGTAATATTTCAACGAAACATCTTTGAATTAATGAGTCGCATAAATTAGCTAACTTTTGCTTAATATTCCTTGCAAGACTTGCTCAAGTGCTGGGATAAAAGCCTTGGAGGTAAGTACCGGAGATTCCCAAGTTTTCACGGAATAGACAGATCGGTCCAAATATTTGGATGTTCTACTATCGATTGGCAAAATATATCAATGTGATGTCAGAACGCTTCTCGAGTATAGGTAGCCTGCTACTTAGGAATTACTATGTGTTTGGTGGAGCCAATCAAGTGAAGACTAGAAAAGAACTTTAACTTTCGATTGATGGGCTTATATGGGGAAAGTGGCCTCTATTCATGATACAATGATCTTGTAAAGAATGCTTCTATGAATTATTTGGGAAGTCAAACATCGTAAGGAGACTTTCAAATGCTGTAGACACAAATCCAGGCAAAAGGATGATAGTAGAATCAAATAAACGCAAGATCACCCTCGTGATTGGTCGATCCTAGGGAAGGTGGTGATCCTGGGGCTCATTCACTTCATCCAGTGACCCCACCCACTACTATAAACACTTCTTACTTCTCACCTCCTTCCTCATTTCTTCTTCCGTCATCATCACTCCTTTGAGTTCAACCTTCAGGCTTCCATCTCCATGTTCAATCTTATATCTTCCAATTCTATTGACATTCAAGTCCAATTCTTAAAGAACAAGACAAAAAAGAAACGTTCAACTTTGGAACTTCCATCCATGTTTTCATCAATACAAACATCTTTCTCCACAATTCATCATTTCAATCCACCTTGATGCAGTCATTATTCACTATGATCAACTCCCAACTTGGCCTGATGAGTTCTAAGGTTTGTTTAAAGTTACCAACATAACATTATCTTCGAACTTGTCACTGCCATCAAAGACGTTTAGCTGATGCTCCTCTCTGAACAGGCTTCAATTTTGTGCCAGGACAAATTTTTTGAAGACTAAGTCAGGATAAAACTTTGGGTTTCGAAGCCATCATCGACTTCAAGCTTTCTTTTGTTCCATGTGGTGTGGAGGGACAACCCACTGGGCACATTTGCGGTGAAGAAGCACCTGTTGTGGCAAGGAGGACTCAGCCTCAGCCACGGTTCAACAACGGCATGCGGTGGAGAAGCACCTGCCAAAACAAGAAGATGTTCCATTTGGATGATGGAACAAAAAGCAAAAAGAAAAAAGAACAAACTGTTTGGTACTGCCCGTTGTGTTTCACGATTATGAATAGTACCTTGTTGGTACATTGCCTTTCTTTACCTTGGAGACATTGGATCTGGAAAATTAGCCAAACCAGTTAGGTTCGAGACTGGTTAAACAAAAAGTCATAAGATCTAGACCATTCATCAATTTACTGCATCAAAGCAACTATATCATCTTGCATATCACGTGATAAAATACACACCTACTACATTGTGGGTACTTCACGTGATGCGGGGACCGGGCCCAAGTTCGAGATCAGCACATATTGTTTTTCTCCTTTCAATTCATTTCATACCTGGACAATTTACAGGGATTACGATCCCCCGGGGAATCCAGATAGATAAAAATCTGGGATTGACTTCTCAAGCCGACAGTATGGTGAAGATCGAAGCGTTCGCAGTTGAACAGGTACACTCCCCGCATTCCTGTATGACTCGAATATCTTTTGTGTTTCTGGAAATTCTGCTAGGCAAAGATGAGTACTGACAATCTGCCAGTGGATGGACAAGTATGAGCTCACGGCTAAATACAACACTGCTGAGACTTGCTGTGCATCCCTCTCAATCGGCGATCTTCGGGAGCTTTCCGATGACAAGGACACGAACCCGCTGGCAGATCTACAGTCCACCAAACTTACTTATGGTGCGATTAGAGGCTCGGACAAGCTGCGTGAAACTCTAGCCAACTTATATTCGGCAAAGACACACAACCGACTGCCGAAAGATAATGTTTTGATCACGGCCGGTGCTATTCAGGCCAACTTCTTGGCTCTGTATTCCCTCGTTGGGCCGGGGGATCATGTTATCTGCCACTACCCAACATACCAGCAACTTTACTCGGTTCCCGCATCCCTGGGAGCTGAAGTGAGCCTCTGGAAATCCAAGGAAGATGATGGGTGGAAGCTCGACATCGAAGAACTGAAAGGACTGATTCGTCCTAATACCAGATTGATCATTGTAAAGTATGTACAAAGCGCGGAATACATGAATCTGTATTTTGTGGAACCAGACTAATTCTATGTACTATAGCAACCCACAAAATCCCACTGGAGCAATCGTTCCGCGCAACCATCTCGAAGATCTGGTTGATATTGCTCGCGAGTCCTCCATCACCATTTTGGCCGACGAGGTGTACCGTCCCCTTTTCCACAACATCAGCCCCATGGAACCCGAGTTTCCTCCCTCTATTCTTTCTCTAGGCTACGAAAACACTATTGCCACCGGTTCTGTCTCGAAAGCATACAGTCTAGCTGGACTCCGCGTGGGATGGATTGCATCGCGGAACCGATCCATCATCGAGGCTTGTGCCAGCTCTCGGGATTATACCACAATCTCTGTTGGCCAAATTGATGATGCTGTGGCTAGCTTTGCTCTCGCGCCGGACTGCATCCACAATCTTCTCCGTCGGAATATTGATCTCGGCCGCAAAAATCTTGAGATTCTGGAGAAATTCATCGAGGCCCACCGGTGGGCTTGTGACTGGGTGAAGCCCCGTGCTGGTACAACCGCCTTTGTTCGGTTTACGAAAATGGGTAAACCAATCGACGATGTTGTCTTCTGTGAAAAGCTGCAAGCGGAGAAGGGAGTTATGTTTGTACCAGGCAGCCGGTGTTTTGGAGGTGGGGAAGACTTCCAGGGCTATGTTAGAATTGGATATGCCTGCGAGACTGATGTGCTCGAGAAAGGTCTCGAAGAACTGCGGGAGTTTATGGATGAGGGCTATGAAGATGTTCCGGCTTTGAAGAAGAAGAAGCAAGCGACACAATGATGATATCTCTTGTGGTATCGTACAGACTAGAGGCTTCCACTGCGCGAAATGCGCGGCGCTTATAACAACTAATGTTAGTACTATATATGTACCTCCTATACCACATGTGCACTTGCCTTTCCTATCTCCTTTCCTACACCATTGATTAAAAAGCCGAAGGTTTATTTGAAAAGGCTGCGAAAATGATACTGTAGCAAGATCAACCAAGGAAATAATACTCATTGTAATAGCATGCGTTGCAGATCTTCATTCCTCATACATATCAGCCGAGCCATGTGAATGTGGCGCAAAGAGCTTTGCGCCTAGCGAAACAGAAATCGAACCTCAGACCATGATACGATGAATTTCAATGGTCGAATACCTTTGACAAATTGAATTTATATCCAACTAGTATTTTGCGAAAATCCACTTACTAAAAGTCCCACTCGTATGATGCATATGAATAAAGTGACGCGGTGTCCCACTATTATGCCGGTCCAATCGGATCGGCGCGAACATGCCGAGGCATCTTAGGCAATTCCACCGACAACTTGCATTGCGCTCCCCTTGCTCCATCGCCACCCACTCGAGTCCCTTAAGGAAGCCTTCTACCGGCGACGATTTATCCAACCGACACCCGTGAACCTTTTGCTATACAGGCGCGATCTTGCCACGCCGACCTTATTAGTCGGTATCACCAGCTCCGCGCTGGAGCTTGAACCTTTCCATTTCATACGTGGAATAGGACATTGTATTCAGAATGCCGCTGCCTTTCTTGTCTGGTAAGTATACACTATTCATGAAATCAAACAATCATCTACTGACCTTTATGCTCTACTTACAGAAGTGCCTTTGAGCATTGCTCTTCCAGCGGCCGCCACAGCCCTAGCCTACCTGAATGCGAAACACTCACTTTTCTACGACGTCAACCTTTTGAGAGCAATGTTTAAGATGATGAAGAGAAAGAACTCGGCAGAAAAGAGCGATCGCCTGAACCTCTTCTATGTCCTTGAGAGCCACGCCCTCTCCCCCGACACCGCCGATAGAGATTGTCTAGTCTATAACGGCCGAACATGGAGCTTCCGTGAGACTTATGATATGTCCCTCCGCTTCGCCAATTGGTTCAAAAATGTACACCACGTGGGCCGCAAGGAGATTGTCGCCATCGACTGCATGAATTCGTCCACCTTCCTCTTCATGGTCCTTGGACTATGGAGCATTGGGGCAGTGCCTGCGCTCATCAACTATAACCTGACTGGCAAACCTTTGGTCCATTCTCTCAAGGTGTCGAGTGCCAAACTTGTGATTGTGGATGAGGAGGTCCGCAATAAATTCACAGCGAAGTTAATGGAGAAATTTACCTCCCCAGATTTCCGCGATGGGAAGGGCCCGATCGAGGTTGTATTCCTAAGTTCCGATGTGGAGGCCCAGGTCTTGCATATGGAGCCCATGCGTGAGGAAGATAAGGCGCGCTCTGGTCTACTCCCACGGGATATGGCGCTGTTGATTTATACCAGTGGTACTACAGGCCTTCCCAAGCCCGCAATTGTCAGCCTGCAGAAAGCCTGGTCCGGCGCTGGCTTCGTAGGACACTGGATGAGTATGACTCCTGCGGATCGCTTCTTTACGGTATGTCCCCCCCCCCGGTCTGGAATCGCAAACCCAACGCTAAATTTACGAAGTGCATGCCTCTGTACCATGCTTCGGCATCTGTACTTGGGTTCGTCACCACCCTGCACATTGGCGCTACACTGATTATTGGGCGCAAATTTTCTGCGCGGAACTTCATGAATGAGGCTCGTGAGAACGACGCGACAATTGTGCAATATGTTGGCGAGACCCTTCGATACATTCTGGGCGTGGCGCCCCATATCGATCCGACTACCGGCGAGGATTTGGATAAGAAGCACAATATTCGCATTGCATTCGGCAACGGCCTCCGCCCTGATATCTGGAATCGATTCAAGGAACGTTTCAACATCACCACTGTTGCTGAATTCTACGCTGCTACGGAGGGTACGGCTGGGTCATGGAATCTCTCATCCAACGATTTCTCGGCGGGCGCCATTGGTCGGAATGGAATAATTGGAAATGTCGTATTCGCTCGCAGCACAGCCATTGTTGACGTGGATTGGGAGACTCAGGAACCTTGGCGGGACCCGAAAACCGGCCTTTGCAAGAAGGTTCCTCGAGGTGATCCTGGTGAGCTTCTCTTCCGAATCGACCCCGCCGACCCCAGTGCAGCTTTCCAGGGTTACTTCAGGAATGCCAAGGCTACCGAGAGCAAGATTGTGCGCGACGTCTTGATGAAAGGCGATGCATATTTCCGCTCAGGTGATGTGGTTCGATGGGATACGGATGGTCGCTGGTACTTTTCCGATCGCCTGGGCGATACATTCCGGTGGAAGGGTGAGAACGTCTCAACCAACGAGGTTGCAGAGGTTCTCGGCTCTCACCCAGAGGTACACGAAGCCAACGTCTATGGCGTGGCTCTGCCGAACCATGATGGCCGCGCTGGGTGTGCAGCGCTGGTCTTGAATCAGCAGCTAGCTAGTGGTAGTTCTTCTGGCCCAGCGCTGGAACCCTCGCGCGCGACACTTGACAGCATTGCTGCGCAAGCCCTGAACAACCTGCCGCGCTATGCAGCCCCGCTTTTCCTTCGCTTCACGCCCGAGATGCAATCCACCGGTAATAACAAGCAGCAGAAGCATGTCTTGCGTACTGAGGGTGTGGATCTTTCCCAGGTATCTAAGAACGACCACTTATACTGGCTCCAGGGTAACTCTTACGTTCGATTTGAACAGAAAGATTGGGATCGATTGAATGGTGGACAAGCTCGGTTGTGAACATGCTTGCTGATCCAAGAAATCGCCTCCATCTAGTCTGTTTTCCATTGCTCAGCACTTCTTCAAGCATTGTTCTTATAACTTTTCCATTTAAATTTTGATACCCTCGCCACTGTCCTTAATGACCTGAATGACATGTTTCCAAGCTTTCCATTGTTACTTATCAGCTGTGGTAGATTTATACGCGCGGCTATTAGTCTTGTCTCAACCACGAAGAATCATGATCTGGGAACCCAAATTATATCAGTCCGTGCATACTAAATCATTCAACATGACAGGGCAAGTATAAGAAAAGTCAGGTGGGGGTTTCAAAGGATGCCCATAAGTCCGCAGTGCACCCAAACAATGCATAGAGGGGTAGACATCAACAATAAGCATAATGTACACATGCAATACCGGGAAAGGAGTTGAGACGATAAGAGAAACAGGTCACCGTGTACATACAAGGATGACCCAAATTTGGGATCAACCACAAAGAAAGAGCGCAAGTAGAACAAAGAAAATGGCCGGGCACTATACGAGATAGCGTCAAACCAACAAAGCTAGCAGGGATGTGTCAAAAAGCAATAAAAACCAACAAAGAAGAAGGGGCGGAAACCTAAGACCCAAAAGTGTTTAGGAGGTTCCGTCAGACTTGATATTGATAGCTGTCAGATGTCGGTACTAGGCACGCGAGTCCTGTTCACAATGTCCGAGATGTTTCATTCGCAAATTCTGCACTCCAGGAAAAGAGAACAGATTCCAAAGCTCCAGGACGAACCCAAAACCCAGATTCTAGACCCTCAGACCTTGGACAGCAGCTGCTGTGAAATCTTTCACGCCATAGTAACTGTCATCACTCGAAAACACCTTTAGACTTCGTGACCACACAAACAATCCCTCGTTCATTGAACTCCCCCATATAGCCTCTTTCAAATGATCAACTGGCAAACGAGAACATGAAGTTGGGAATCCGCAGATGAAAACCGGGTAAGTGGTATGAATCCAGAGCAGGAAAGTGCAGAGACAGAGGGGCAATGAAAGAAGAAGAAGAAGAGAGAGAGAGAGAGAGAGAGAGAGAGAGAGAGAGAGAGAGAGAGAGAGAGAGAGAAATAAAGTAGACTTTATAGGGAGAGAGAAAAGTACTTTCCTAATTGCGAAAGATAAGCAAACGAGCAGATTTCATTCACTTTGTTTTCTGGTCACGGGTCAAGTGTTTTCTTTGTCTTTGTGTCACTGAGAACTTTTCCCTGGCAATCCTCATGGTAGTTTTACTGATGATCCAGATCAACGTTGGAGTTAGGTTCCCTATGTCAAAGCTAGACTTCTGCATGGGCCGGAAAATTATGTCCAAGGCCCAACCCATGCTAAAGCCTAAGTAATATATACATATATTACATATATTACCTAGTTAATACTAATGTTTTTGATAGATTACATTGTAATTACATAGAGATTTAATTTTACCGGCCCATGGGCCAGAAAATTATGTCCAAGGCCCAGCCCATGCAGAAGTCTAGTCAAAGCTCGGATGCTTGCTAGACATTAGAACAACGGGTTCTGTCCCCGCGACCCACATGAATCTATACTGGGGCATTACTGTGGGGATCGCCGATCTACATGGTCCGAGCTTCAATTCATGCCTTGAGCGGAATTATGGGACTCGTTCCGCTATTGATGCCCTTACAGATTGCCGATGGACATATATCTTACCGTCCCCCTCCCGACATTCAACCTCGGATATACCTGCGCGCTTTCCTGGGCCCTGTGAAGCCTTTTGTCTACTATGAGCACCGAATCTAAGGGATCGAAGCTAGCAGCTTCACAGCACAATGACATCCCTTCCAATTCCGAGGAAGACCAGGGCGATTCCCCAATGGTATGTTATTCACTGACCTCAGACAGTGAAATACTGAAAAATCTCCCTCTAGAATTGGTCATGGATCCGTAAACACGTTATATTGATCCAATATAGTTTCTTCGCTGCCTGTCCGGGTTTTACAAGCTCGATTTTGATTCCAGGGATCAATAGCGTCGCTCAGGAGTTGAACATTTCCCCCCAGACAGCAGTTTACCTGATCGCAGTTCATGTCCTGTTTCTAGGACTCGCGCCGTTTTTCTGGATCGTCTGTATGAATGCATACGGCCGGAGACCAATCCTCATCACAAGCATGTTACTATCCTGTTTCGCTGCTCTCGGTGGAGGCTTCGCCAAGAGCTACGGAGGCCTCATGACAGCGCGTGTATTCCAATCTTTCGGAATATCTGCAGGCTTTGTCCTACCTGGTGTTATTGTGGTGGATCTCTTCAGTTCAGAGCAGCGAGGGCGCAAAAATGGAATCTGGGCACAGATGGTGTCGATCGGGGCGCCACTTGGTGGAGTTATTGGTGGGCCCGTCGTCCGGTATGCTGGGTGGCAGTGGGTGATGTGGCTGACGGCAATTACAAATGCTGTTCAGGCGATATGCTTTATCCTGACATGTCCCGAGACCTCGTACAGTCACCGCAAACATGGACGTACCCGGCTTCGGCTACAATACTTCCTGGAGCCATTTTTGATTCTTCAGGCGCCTTATATTGTTCTTGTTGCGTTTGCGTACGGTGTGACATTTGCTATTGTTTCTGTGGGATTGGCAGCTATTGTGCCTATTGCTCTTGAAAAGCAGTATGGATTTGGTCCGGTCGCACAGGGTCTGTTCTTCCTTGGACCATTGATCGGAGCTGTGATAGGTGAGCAGCTAGCTGGTCCGGGGAGCGACTGGATCATGAAGCGAGAACGAGAGCGTGCTGCTGGACCTAGCAACAGACCCGGACGGCTCGAACGCCGTCTCATCGTTGGTCTTCCTGGGGCTGTGATGGCAGTTGCAGGGATTTTGATATTTGGCTTGACTTTGCAAAACCGAACCCATTGGATCGGGCCATGCATTGGATTCGGAGTAGCAAACTTTGGGTTGCAACTGGTTACAACCCCCTTGAAGACTTATAGTGTTGACTGTCTTCCTTCTCGTTCGGGTTCCGTGCTTCAACTCATCAATGCTATTCGCCAGATTCTTTCCTTCACGGTGCCGTTCTGGAGTCCGGAACTAACAGACCGTCTTGGATATGGACTAGGATACGGCATTGAAGCAATCATCTTGGCTACCATCTTTATGGGTTGTATCTTGGTTTTGTACTGTGGCGCCTCATGGAGAGGGTCCATGACAGTCAAGGGGCTTGTGGATCAGCCATAGTGTCTTATATATAAGGTACTATGTCATTTATTTAGAAGAATCGAAGCCTTAATAGCCCCAGAAGTCTGTCCACAAGAAAACTCATGTATCTATATGGTTTTACCAGAACTTTAGAACGTTACATATGCAACTAATAATAATCGGTTAAAAAGGATGGGGGCTAACGACCCCGCAGGGTAATTAACCGCACAAAAACTGGGGTTCCCGGCTCAACTCCGATGGCATCGGACGAGAGCACACCGATGACGACGTAGCGGTGGGGTCATGTTGTCCAACATAAGGAAAATACATGCCCAACTGTTAAACGACCAACGCTTTCCAACGAAGGCCTACCAGGTCATAATTTCACACAAAGTTCGCAAAAATGTCCATGAACTTTGATGATTGCGGAGTTGTCCGCGAGGGATTCCCCCGCCAATTCCCTAACACACCTTCCAATGTCCTCGAGCAACTCCGCATGAACGGAAAAGTGGTTGTTGTCACTGGCGCAGCGGATGGGATTGGATATGCCGTAGCTGAGGCCATTGCTGAAGCCGGTGGCCATGTCGCATTCTGGTATAACTCGTGAGTGATTGATGTGTGAACGCGATCCAATGATGCAAACTGACACTTCATAGAAATGACATTGCAATTCAAAAATCGAAAGATCTGGGAGCTTTACACAATGTGAGAACGGCTGCCTACAAGGTTGATGGTCAGTTCGTTTGTATCCAGGAAAGAAGTTGTATTCTGATTTGGAATAGTCTCTGTCTCGACTGAAGTTCAAGGAAACATTGCCAAGGTAGTGCAGGACTTTGGCAAAGTGGATGTTTTCATTGCCAACGCAGGTTTGTTTGAATTACATTCAATAGAGAAACCAGTCACTGACCCAGATAGGAATGGCTATTTCAAAGCCTATCCTTGAACAGACCCTTGACGAATATCGCAAACAGATGTCTGTGAATGGTAAGAAAACCCCGCTGATCATTCTGAATAATTTGCTAATTCACGCTTTTAGTCGATGGCATTGTCTACTGCGCAAAGTACGTCGGTGAAGTGTTCAAAAAGCAGGGCTTCGGCAACCTTATCATCACCTCAAGCATGAGCGGACACATCGTCAACGTGCCAACCGACCAGCCTGTTTACAATGCGACTAAGGCCTATGTTACTCACTTTGGAAAGTCTCTTGCCCGGGAGTGGCGCGAGTTCGCTCGAGTGAATATTGTTTCACCAGGCTTTTTCGATACTAAGATGGGTGCGAGTGGATTCGCTATTAATGAGGCATACCGAATGTCTGCTGTTGGGCGCCAGGGCCATACCAAGGAAATCAAGGGCTTATACCTGTATCTTGCTAGTGATGCCTCTACCTATATGACAGGAAGCGATGTGCTTATTGATGGAGGCTATGTTTTGCCATAAATCGAGTTAATGAGTTAGTAATTGGGAAAATTCTCTGCAGATCTCAGTTTTCTATACAATTAGAAACCCATCTCATTCACATTTAGACTGATAAAGGAAAAGCGGAGTTAATACGGCGGAGTTGACACGGCGGAGTTGATGCGGCGGAATCCGCATTGGCGCCTCATTGAACATTCAAGTGACGTGATCGCTAGTATATATCGCTTACTAACGCCCTCATGTCGGCTTAAGCTCGGGTTCCAAGCTTGTGTGGCATAAAACCTGACACTAGAATGCATAAAAGGGGGAATCTGCAGGAACTACGTTACTGCGTAATCGGGTGGAGTGTAAAATGTCGATCATGCATATAAAGGTTATCTTGCACATCCAGCAATGTCCCGCTATTCCAATAACTGCCGTGGTTCTTGATTCCCTTCCCCCCCGAGCCGCGTGATTGTATCTTAATTCCGGCTTGGTGACGACGAGTAATCGGGATGCCGACCTTGATTTCCTCCCCGGTCTCGTGTCGAGGTCGACTGAAGATATACTATCTAAGCATCACAATGTCGAGCTCTACCGTGAAAGCCCAGAATCATCCTCGGGCCTTTCATTAAGCATGCGGTACACTGGAATTCCCTTCTTTTGCGCCTTGGCACTATCTATTCCTTCCGTATCCGCTGAGATTGGACTGTTGAATGATGGAAAGGGTAAGTTGTTCACATAACGAAAATTTGTTCTAAATTGTCTGATCTTAACAGTCACGCTTGGTAAGAAATGGGAAGCTGCGTATGAAAGCTCCAAGAATCTGGTCGCGGGTCTTTCGAATAAGGAGAAGGTTGATTTGATCACCGGAGGCAATTGTGAACACGGTGGGCGTGCGGATCCTTGAATCGTGGATCGACAACGAAATTGTCACAGTAGTCGTGTATGGTGGCCTCCTTGGCCAAAACTCCGGCTACAGCATCACAGACGTTTTATACGGCGATGTTAACCCGTCTGGACGTCTCATCCACACCATCGCCGAGAAAGACAGCCAGTACCCCGTCAAGATCTGTTACACGGCGGAGTGCAATTTCACCGAAGGTAATTACTTCGACTACCGTCACTTCGACAAGTATAATATCACTCCCCGTTATGAATTTGGTTATGGCTTGCCCTACACCACAATCGACTACTCCGATATCCACGTCGAGCAGTTGCAGCAGTTGAACCAGACTCACGCCGTTGGCAATCTGTCCGTCGGATGCCGTGCCGACCTCTGGGAGGACGTTGTCCGTGTGACTGCGAACATCACCAACTCAGGAGACCTGGCTGGTCATGAGGTTCCGCAACTGTATGTTTCTTACCCGGATGCTGCCGACCAACCTGTACGTTTGCTGCGTGGGTTTGAAAGGGTTTTCCTCAAGGCCGGAGAGTCGTCGAGTGTCAGCTTTGACCTAAGACGCCGAGACTTGTCGCACTGGGATGTTGTCGCTCAGGAGTGGGCTGTGGCTCCTGGGGAAATACAACTTCACCGTTGGAGCTTCTTCTCGTGATTTGAGATTTAGCTCCTCTCTGAAGGTGAAGTGCTAGTCTCTTAAAGGATGCATGGGCACTATTTGTGTTCAAGTCGGTAATTATTTGCAGACTTGAACGGACTGGGTAGGCGCCAGAGGACTTTAGTCAATGGTGTTTCTTTCTGCACATTAAGAAGCAGCTAATTTTAACCAGTAGCTTAGATGCCGGTCGGATGAGTTCGATGAAAGCAGTGCGGCGTGTGCCCTTTTTCTCTTGAATGATGTCATTTTCGTCTTGAGCTGGCAATATTGACTTTAAAATTATTAATCTGGAAATTTATCTCTGGTGACTGATATGTGAAGGCGATTAATAGCTAGACTTCGGCACGTCCCTCGATTTGTGAATCGTCGGGCTTCAGTGGACCGACGAAAGCGGAGTACTGTAAACGGGGTCGGCATGACGCCGATGTATATTTGATGTGTATCAAAAGCAAACAGACCAAGAAGTTCATAAAAGGCAGCGTTAAGCCCTGCGTGGTCGTTTCATGTTCCAAAAAATAGACTTTGACATCCTATAGTCTTCTCTGACATCAACGTTTCGGCTCTTCCCATCTCAGACTTCCCCGCCCTCTGACGTGCCTTGATACATCAACAACCCCTCGTTTTTGCGCATCATGGTCTCAAACGAAATCACCGAGCGTGAAGCTCTCACCTCCCGCGCTGTTCCCTCGATGGTGTTCAGCGATGGCAGTCCTTCATCGATGACACCAGCTCCCAATGTCCCAGTTGAGAGCGACCCTGCCGTCGGGGCTCAGAAGCGATTTCATGTGCGGGGAAACGCAGTTGTCACCGGAGGAGCCGGCACATTGGGAATCCGGGCATGCGATGCTCTCCTTGAACATGGCCTCGAGGGCCTCATGATCCTCGACGTCAACCCAGCCAATTCACAGAGAGAAATCACAGAAATGAAGTCCAAATTCCCGAATGCCAAGATCAGCACTCAGAAAGTTGATGTCACCAACGAAGGAGCGATTCGTCTTGCGATGCAGGAAACCGTCAAACAGCTCGGATCCATCGATACATTAGTTTGCTTCGTTGGTGTGGTGGGTTGTGTGCCGAGTCTTGATATGCCCATCTCGCAATGGCGAAGAATCATCGACATCAACACCACTGGCTCATTTATTTGCGCCCAAGCAGCAGCTCGTCATATGGTGAAACAAGGAACGGGTGGCTCGATTACATTTGTGGCATCAATTTCCGCGCATCGTGTCAACTTCCCTCAGCCTCAGGTTGCTTATAATGTCAGCAAATCGGCACTTCTGATGCTGAAAAGTTGTCTTGCTGCTGAATGGGCTAGATATGGCATTCGCACTAATACTATTAGCCCAGGGTATATGGACACAATCCTGAATGAAGGTGATGGGATTGCAGAACATCGGCGGATTTGGGCTGAGCGTAATCCCAGTGGTAGGATGGGAAGTCCGTCAGAGTTGACAGGGACAATTGTTCTACTTGCCAGTAGTGCTGGCTCGTATATAAATGGCTCTGATATTGTTGTTGATGGGGGAGCCATAGTACTCTAACTATAGTATCTAACATGAACTGTTCTTACTTCATTGTATTTTCAGATGGCATTGGTCTTTCTCCAAAAGTCGTATCATAGAGACTTGTCAAATCCTGCGTATGATCAAAATAAACTTAGAATCTAATCTGCACATGTGACTGTAGGCACCAATACCATATATTAAATGTAAAAGATTCAACGGAGATAAAAGCGGAGACCGAGAGCGAGACTTGCGGGATCTCATTTTGCTTACCCCTCCGACATCTGGAGCTTCACACAAAGTGGACACCCGTGGACCTAGGACCCTGCCTATCGGCTTTGGGCCTGTCACCATCTCCAAGGCTAATATATTTTTATTTCTCCGAATACGGTCCTAAGGCCCGTAATTCTCAATGACCGAGCCTGCAAACAACGCGGACCCGCTTGCTGCGGAGACCGGGACGAAGAAGCGAACAAGGGTCCAGCTTTCATGCACGGCATGCCGATTTCGAAAGTATGGTTCCATATGCACAAATCGGGCTGGTACAGATGCTGATCAAATTACAGATTGAAATGCTGCCGTACTTACCCGTGCACTAACTGTAGGAAGCGCGGCGAGGCGGCATCATGTACTTACGTCGGTCGCGGGCCTCGAGCCAAGGTCCAGAATGAACATGCCAGCCCAACACTTGTGCAGGATCGACTACAGCATTTGGAGAACCTGGTCATGTCGCTAGCTCAAAAGCAGAAGCCTGGCGATCAGTTTACTAATTTCAATACTGGACTACCGGAAGATGTCCCGGCCTACGAAACACCTGCTTCGGCTAGTGACCGGGACACCAAGTCCTCGCCTGGCACTTTGGTTGTCAATGATGAGGGCACTAGTTATATCGATAGTGCAAACTGGCGTGCTATTCTAGAAGAGGTTTGTCGCGTGGCTGTCTTTGACTTGGGAAAGGGCTGACTTGACTTCAGATCAATGGAGTGAAAGAATATTTGGATGAGCAGGAAAATAATTCTAATGAGTCTGCGATTGAGGAGGATCCATTTCATGACTCTACGCCAGTTCTTCTGCTTGGTATGGCAAAAAAAGTGACCAAGCAAGAAATGCTCATCGACATTCCAGTACGATCGGTTGCCGATCGACTAGTATCTCGCTTCTTGAAAACATTTGAACCGTCAATAGGTAAGCTAAAGATGCTTGAAAGCCTATCAATACTTACTCACGTGGAAATAGTTGTAATCCATGTACCGACATTTCGCAAGGAATATGAGCAATTCTGGAACAACCCCCATGATGTCTCATTTACCTGGATTGCATTGCTATATGCAATCATGGCCCTCTCTATCTCCCTGCATCATCGCAGTGAGGAACCCCTTCCCATGATCAACGGCGAATGTCCGATGACCATGTGGGATCTTTTTCGGAGAAGAGCTGCACAGTGTCTCGTTCAGGCGAACTACTTGGTTCCTGGTAAATACAAACCTGAAGCAGTCTTTCTCTACACACTTTCCGAGTTTCTTCGCAGTCAAGATACTCAAATCGGGGTATCTTACCTCCTTGGCATCACCATTCGGCTTGCGCTACGCATGGGGTACCACCGTGACCCGAGGTACTACCCTAACCTCTCCGCATTCGAGGGTGAAATGCGCCGGCGTTTGTGGGCTTTGATATGTCAGCTCGACATTCTAGTCTCTTTCCAGAATGGTCTCCCGCGAACTATACAGCCTTCCTATTCTGACTCTGAGATCCCGTCTAATTTATTGGACACCGACTTTGACGAAAACTGCACCAAGTTACCACCCGGTCGACCAGATGAAGAGAGAACGGCCTGCTCATACACAAGGGCGAAATCACGTCTCATGGCAGTATTTGGGCAGATTTGTGATTCCGCCTACACGCGAGAGGCAGTGTCCTATGATGAAATTATGGCGATGGATCGTCGTCTAGAGGTAGCCCACGAGCAAATGCCTTCATTTTTCCGCGCCCGACCTATGTCCGAGTCCATAGGCGATCAAACAGACCTCATATTGTGCCGGTACAGTCTGGATTTGATCTACCAAAAATCACGTATCGTTTTGCACCGCCGGTATATCACTGAGACGCATGGCAAGTACGCCAATTCACGAAAGATTTGTATCGATGCTGCAAGTGCGACACTGCGGCATCATGCGGATATCTGGGGCGAGTCACTGCCTGGTGGCCAACTATATTCGGAGCGATTCTTACTCAACTCTTTACAAACCACTGATTTCAATGCCTCCGCTATGGTTCTCTGTCTCATACTGTCGCATGATAATGATAGTGGGGATTCTGCCCGAATGCAGACCCAGGAACACAAGGAAATTTTGCTACTCTTGGAGAATACATATGCGATCTTCAAGCAGACTCCGCGACGATCTACGGATACCCAGCGGGCATTTGTTGCGCTGGGCATTATGCTTAGTCGAGTCAGAGGCCGCAGCCTTGAAAGCCTGACATCAAAGGTGGAGGAACATATGAGCGCAATAGAAAGTATGTATCTACATTGCCCTTTGGGCTTCGTACCTCAGTACTGACTTGTTGAATAGATCAAAATGCGGTTCAATCGATATCCACGATGGACCAGCAGTACCCGACGGTTTCTCCTGGGGACATGCAGGCTGCTATGTATATTGATACATCCGGAACCCAATCATATTCTTCTCTCGGTGTGATTGAAGATATGTTTAGTGCTCCTGTTCCATTGGACTGGGTATGTTGAATCTTCAGCAGTACGTTGTGGTACAGGCTAACTTTTTTCTTAGCGCATGTATGACGGTCAGATGTACGGGTTTGACACAGCAAACCAAGAAAATCTGTGGTCTACGGGGCAACTTCTTGATTCAAATGGCGTGGATTTCACGTTACCTCCAGATATTCAATAGAATCTTTGTGAGGTGAAATTATTGCACCGATCTTCGTGGCACCCAAAACATCGTGGATAATCGGGTTAGAAAATCAGTTTAAACCTAACAATTAAACTGTGTAGGATTTTGGACGATTAGACAACAAATGACAACCAATGTGCAACCCATAATATCCTTTGATACTGACTGGGAGCTTGTAACTATACAATGCTTGGCCTCGGCTGCAGATCCCGGTCCGCGGAATCGAGGAACTTTTTTCATTCCGCGCAACTTGACAAGCTTCAACTTAGACAGCAACAGTGGACAACATACACCTCCCCTCATAATAAAGCCTATCTGCACTCCACCTCTAATGCAACACATCCGGGCCCTGCGACCTTCAAGTCGCACATTTACAACCCTAGCACGGCCTCACTCCGCGCTGCGAACAGCCCTCCGAATCACAAACACAAGGGAACGCTCCCTCCCCTCGCGCCAATTAACACCATCATGCACATCAATCCAAAAAAGATTCTTCAACCTCTCATCCCTCTCCTCCTTCCTACCAACCGGCAACAATAACGGCAACAACTCACCCAAGCGCGTACTAACGGCCTCCCGCACACTCCCCTACTCGTCTGCGCCCCTCTTCAAAGTTATCTCCTCCGTCGAAGCATACTCTGAGTTCCTGCCCTTCCTCTCTGCATCTACTGTTACAGCGCGCGACCCGCAAACGGGCTACCCAACGCAGGCGTTCTTGACAATTGGATACGGACCAATTAGCGAGACTTTCACTTCGCGTGTGGATTGTGATCCTGCGAAGGGGACTGTGGAGGCACGCAGTGGTGCGAAGTTTGGAAAGACGGAGGGTAGCAGCGGGAGTTCATCTGGGCTTAGTGGATTCTTCCCTGGTGCTAATGAGGGGGTCTTCGAGTATCTCTCTACGCGGTGGGAATTGACGCCTGTGGAGGTGAAGGGTGGGTCGCCGCAGACTAAGGTGGACTTGGAGGTGCGGTTTGAGTTCCGGAATCAGTTGCATGCTACTGTTATGGGTGCTGTTGAGGGGCAGATGGCTGGGGTTATGATTGAGGCGTTTGAGAAGCGGATGAAGGAGAAGTACACCGAGGGCCATTAGATATATACGACTCGGATTGATGTTTTGTATACTAGATGCATTTCGATTTCAGGTACCATATAGTACATAGAAGATATACACCTGGAACTAAGAGGTGGATCATAAGTGCCAAGTTTAATTTCTATGGAGATCCGCTGTACAAATTTGAAGAAAGTTTAGGAAAGAAGAAATAGAACATGTTAGTATATAATACAGATTATCCAAACACCAAAGGGATTTTATCCGCTCAAGACATGCTCAGACTCCGAGTCTGGGTCGGCGAGGAACCTGATCGCATAGAGCTGATAGCGTTGTAGTTATCGAACACAACTTCCCAGTTAATGCGATCCCACCAGCGCTCGAGGTACTCCGCCTTGCCAGCGATACCGTAATCCATCATCCAGGCGTGCTCCCAGGTGTTCACGCACAGAATGGGCTGGACATCGATGGCACCAGGGGCCAAGCTCTTCTGGTTCTGGGCATGGGCGCCCATTGAACCGGCGAACTGGTTGCCCAGCTGGGTTTCGGGGGTGTGGGTGGCCATGTCGACGGGTTGCCGCCGGGAGTGGGCGGCCGGGTAGGGAGAGCCGGCGTTGTAGGTGCAGAAGATCTGCATCATGCCCTCACGCTCGAGGTTCTTGGCGAGCCAGACGAAACCGGGGCCGAACATGGCGTTGGCGGTGGCCAGGAAGTCGAGCTTCAGGGACTCGACGGAAGAGCAGGTATCAACAATGTCCCGGGCGAACTTCTCGGGGATCTCGGTGGTTGTGGGGGACTGTGGGATGTTAGATGTCAAGCTACCCCGGATCTGTAAATATTACTGACCAAGCAGTTGAAGAAGAAGTGGTTGTTGTGAGCCATGGAGGCGTAGTTGAAGACCGAGGCCATCTCCGGGCGCTTGGAGTACTTGACCAGCAACTCTCCAGGCTTAGAATCCGCGTCAACGGTGTCTGTACAGATATTGAAATCAGATAAGTCTCCCTTGACAAGTATCCATTGAAAGAAGCGCCAGGCCATTCAATTGTCCGCAGGGTGAGCCGGACTAACCTTGTGTCAACAGGTTGAGTTTGTCCACGAGGAGGGTCTGGTATTGGGTCCAGGCGAAGTCAAAACTCTCCGGAGACATGAATTCCGGGATACCATTCTCCCTGTAATATTTTTCATTCTGCAATTGAGGGATGCGGTGGAGACCACGGGTCTGGAAGCGTGGGAGGGCGGAGGTAGGTGTCTGGAGAGTAAAACGATTAGTTGACCACGCGACACGGGGAGCGGGAAAAGTTGTAAACACGGCGATCGTACCTTGAAGGTAGCCGCGCGCAGAGCGCCGGGCCGGGCAAGTCGGCTAAACATGATGTGAGATAGTAACGAGAGTTGACTTGATCTATTGAGCTTTCCCAAATCTCGAAGAATTTCCCTCCCGAAGCACTTCCCCATAAGGACTAGCGTGGCTTATATCAGCTCCCCATCCTCCAACCAATCATAGTTCATGAAACTACTTGTTTCTCTCTTTTGTTTCTTTAAGCGCCGAAGTTCATCCTTTATCCAGCTATGGTGGATATCATGCATTCTTCAGGGGAAGGATCAGGCTTAGCGCCTATTCTATGATGATATTTGCCATAATTCAGTCGAACCTGAAACTCGCTGCGAGCCCTAGCTTGGGTGCCCGGCGCGTGCCCAGAATAGATATTGGAACCTAAGAAATGAATGGCACTGACGATGCCTATCCTTTGTCCAAAGCCGCCTGATTCTACTTTTCATTTTCTACTTCTACTTTCTTTCATTTTTAGCCTATCGTTAATATCTTTGTCCATTCATTTGTCTTAATCATCTTCATTTAGTATTCTTCTCTTGACCTATTCCTGCTTCGTCTGCATTTGAACCAAATATTGGAACAGCGTCGATCTCTGTATACCCTCTTTCACAGAACCCCCCGAAAGAACCAGTCAACCTTTTGGAGAACAGCAATACTGCGAGCCCAAGTTCACTGCCATCATGGCGAGATCGACTGCCAATATCATGGCCAAAGGGTCATTTCTTCTCTTTCTCTTGACCATGATAGCCATCAAACCAACACATGCATTTGATGGGTTTGGAATTCTCCCAAGAAGCGAATTATGTCCTTCTTCCTATGATTCATGTGGAGGAAACGTCCCCTCAGACTTCTGCTGTCCGTCATCCTCAACCTGCCTCGTTCTTGATAACGACACTACAGCCCTCTGCTGCCCATCTGGCAGCAGTTGTGAGTACATCTCACCTATAACCTGCGATATCCAAGAGCAGAACGCCACTGCTTATCCTAAAGCCTCGGTAAAAACAACGCTCCTTAGCGACAGTCTCCCAAAATGTGGCGACGAATGCTGCCCATTTGGATACACCTGTCAAAACGACAACCTCTGTGCGATGACAAACTCCACAACCACAAGCACCACCACAAGTACAAGTACAAGCACCGCAACATCAACAACATCAAGTTCAATAACCTCAACCACCGATCTCTCCACCTATGGTGCAACTTTCACACCAGTCTCCTCATCCGTCTCTGCCACCTCCATAAACGCAGACTCAACTTCCTCCTCCAACTCAACGATAACCAGCTGCCCCTCTTTCCCCAGCAAAGCAGTAGTAGCAGGCTTTTTCCCAGGCGCGCTCTGCGGCGCAATAATCGCCCTCCTGATCTCAAACTGCATCCGCCACCGCGCCGAGAAGAAACACCTAGCAGAAATAAACCAAGACTCCAAAACTTCAGCGCACAACTGGTCTAGCCGATCCTCCTCCGGTGCCGTCCTGGGCATCTCAAGCCCCATAGCCTCAGAAGATGCATCCTTCCGTACAGACTTCCTACTCCGGAACCCAGAAGACAGGCGCTCTTCAATGAGTTCACGGTCCATGCGTTCTATGATGAACCGCTCGAGTTCTCGGGTACGCAGTCTGTTTTCGGCTGCTGCACCTGGTCAAGATAAGGATGTTCCTCCGCTTCCTACGACGTCGGAGCTTCCTGTGCAGCCGAACCCTGTGACGCCGCCTAGGCAGCGTGAGCCTAGTACTGAAAGTATAAAAGTGTATTCGCCACCTGCCGTGTTCATGCAGTCGAGGCGGTTTCTAGGGCCTGAGCCATATCCTAGTCGAATTGCGAGGCCGTCGACTACGTTTACGGATTTGGTGCAGGCTGTTGGGTTCAATAATGAGCCGAAAGAAAATCAGTCATTTAAAGTGCATGAGGTGAGGAGGCTTACATGAGTTTGTTTGGAGGTTGTTGGGAAGACGGGCTTTAAGTTGTATTTCTGTTAGCATTGGTTGGTGTACAACATCATGATCATCTAGATCTTTTCCTTTGTTTAGATACCTGCTCAAGATGTTTAATTTAGCAAAATGCTTACATGTCAGTTTCGATCTCAAACCTTCTACCCCCTGAGCTACTTGGTAATAAATTAATCAATGAAAACATTTAGATGCAATGGAATATCAATGATGTATGCATATAGCGTCTAGGATGCAAGAGAAATAATATTTTACTTTGACAAGGCCCTCCTTGTTTTCCATCCCGTTACAATCCGCCTCAACTCCTTCAATAATCCAACAACTAAAGGTACACCGATTGGGCCCAGAAGAGGTAGGTAAACTGCAACTTTGTGCTCATCCGGGAAATAGACCTGGCCAACCATACTCTTCTCGAAGAAGCTACGCTCTGCTTCGGTCTCAGCCACCCGTGCGCTGGCAAGAGCAGCAGCAAAGCGGCCATCCCGAAGATAAGAGCAAGTAGCAGAGAGATGGGTCAGTGTGGTTGAGACTGAGGAAGCGACAGTCGCTGGGATTGGGATGGAGGGGAGCGATTCAGTCAGACGGGCAAGAGAGCCCATAGTAGATGAAGCGGAGAGAAGGAGCGTAGCTGCTCGGACACGGATGAGGGTTTGAAGACGAAGGGGCAGGGAGGAAGGAGTAGTTGGGGTGCCCAAGAGAGTCAGGAGTTGGTGAGAGAAGGTCATGAACGCCGGCCGTAGAGAATCCTGTGTGAGATGCGTTGGGTTGGAAGGTCCGCTCTTGTCTGCTAATAGTGGTGGATTGAGAAGGAATACACCACCCCATTGGGGAACGATCCAGCTCGAAGCACGGTTCTCCTTCACGACGAGCGGGGATTGAGACGGGGCTGGAACATAGAGAATGAAGTTGAGGGTGGGACCGTTGCCAATGCTAGGATTGAGCGGCCACTCAGCGGCATTGATAAATGCGCTCAGATCCTCCTTCTTCAGTGTCCAAGCGGCCTCAATCTCGTCATAAACGGGTGGAGGTGCCATGGGTGAAAAAGTTGCATAGAGCTGGACCTGAGTATCGATTGTGAAATTGCTGATGGGAGCAAACGCATGTAGAAGAGGCGATAGGTACTCTTTGACGGCAGCCTCAATATCCCAAGATGATGGCACAGAGCCTGGTGTAAATAATGAAAATGACAAGTGGTAGGTGTCGGCATATTTCATGGATCGACGCAGTCGCCGGCTGGTGCTTTCCGAATCAAAGCCAGCTGCTCCACCAGAGAGGATGTGAGCAATAGTGGCCTTCTCCTCACTATACAGCCCTTGAAGCTCCTGTGCAATAAAAGCCGATAGGGGCGGGTTGGAGGACGAGGGGAGAGGGACTTGGTTCGGTGGGTAGAATACATCTAGCTGTGTTGTGTCTGCATGAAGTTCTGATCGAGGGGCAGCCAAATCGTCCTGCGGGAGCACACGAACAGTCAAGGCAATGTCTGCACCCTCTTCGACCTGATCAACGATTCCAACGGTCTCTTCGCCATTGGCAGTGACCACACTGGTGTCGTTGGCCAACTTGAGTCGCAAATGGTGAGCGGCGAATTCATTGAGATCGTCCAGGGTATGCTGAGTTGTGCGAAGGAGGTGCTGGGACTCGGAAAGTTGCATTGCAGGTGCTGCAACATGAATCTCCAAGGGAAAGACAGGGCGACATGTCTAGATGCGCAATCGTTAGCCTTCTCATCGTTCCTGGTCACCCTGCGTTACTGTACCTTGCCATCATCCCAGTCCACCATCTCCTGAATTGGCAGATGTGCGCGGTAGATTGAGGTTGTCTTCCACCATATTGGGAATCCGAGGAAGATGATCACAGCCCAAAATGCAGCAATCACTCGGAATCGCGTTTGGCTGGCCTCCGGGGACTCGGGGGGTGGGACACGGGCGCTGGATTGAGGGACCGAAACGGCCGAAGCCTTGGGAGACTCGCTGTCTCCATTTTTAGCGGTCATGTTAAGGACATGCTTTGTGCCTTGAACACAACACCCAAGCAGTAGAGAGTGGACGAGTGTTGTTGTTCGGGGAAAGCTAAACCTTGAAAGGCGGAGAAGGGACCAGGTGGCGCCGCTAAATGTAGTACATGAAGATCAACCAGGATCAATTTATATTCTCTACTGTTTATTTTATTTTATACATTGTGCATATTAGTTTAATTATGCGATCGGTCATTATAATCGGAGATGAAATGATTTCTCCAATATTCTGTTTCGAATAGCAGATGCATCATGTATGGTAGATTGTCATACATTTGGACTAAATAGCATTTCACGTAAACCACAGGGTATCTTAAACAATAACGCCGTTCTAATCTAGCGGTCAGGCCTATCAGCCATGGACCTTGCAGCACACATCCCCCTAGTATTCCTTTTCGAAGATTTTCTGGATAGGTTTGGCAGCCTGCATTGCAGAAGTTAGTAAGAACGATAAGAGCGAGACATGACGAGCGCAGACACATACATCAATGAACTTCTCGAGGTCCTGATCGAGGTTGGCCAGATCATCCTTGCGCTTCTTGTTCTCCGCGATCAAGGCCTGCTTGTGTTTCAACAGCTCCTGGCGAGCCTGCTCCAGTTTCTCTCGCTCCGCATGCTCATGGTTAATGCGCGCAATCATCAATTCATGTTCATTCGTGTCGCGGTGTTCGGGGAAGAGCTCCAAGAATTCTTCGACGGGTATCAATGGCAGTGAAAGGTATTTGTGGCTATCGCGAACACAGGGATTAGCAAGGGAAGTTTGACAGGTAGGGATCATGCAAGGCGCCGAGAGCACTTACTCATAGGATTCACAGGCTGAAATCTCGCCGTTCAAGTGCTTCTGCTCGTAGTATAGGTTCTGCAGTTGGAGATGCAGTCGATCAATCTCCTGGCGGGCCTCGGCGGTGGATTGTTTGGTGTCGCGCACACGGAAGATCGCATCACGGTTCTGACCACGTAGCTGGGCGAGAAGAGCAAAGAGAACCTTTTGTTGTTTAGATGCCGCTAGCGATAAATCATGGACGGAGGTTCCGGCGGGGATAGAGTCGGGATTCAGTAGGTTGAGGAGTTGTTGGCATTGGGCGAGAGTCTCCGCGCTGGTGCTGAGCACGGGCAGTAATGACTGGTCGGTAACGATTTCACTGATAGCCATGACTTGGTTTCTGATTTAGGTATCAAGTGGCAAAGATAGGGAAATCTATTCAATCAAGAGTTTTGGGGGAAAATGATCGGACAGAAAGTGGAGAAAAGAGAAAAGTGGAAACTTGAAACCGATCAATCAGATGATGGTAACTCAACCCATGTGAACGCTGGGCCGAGTGTGGTTGGGGTAGAGAAAGACTTTACTTTTTCCCGAACTTTTGTTCCTCACTTAAATCCCTTCCCCCACCTTGATGTGTACATAGGGGTCTCGCCGTTTCTTCTCTCCTTAAATTTCAACGGGTCCAACGAGTCACTTGTATCTCATCCGCTCACCCGGGTTACTCCGGTACTCCCGTCGGCAACTCCGTACCTGAATACAATCTGACCCTGGAGGTCCTCGGATTATTGACGCTACACGACACCCTTGGCTTATCATAGCAATGGCTTGCACATCATCCTCTATGACGGTGGAATCATATCCGGAGAATTTACGAGATGAAGCCGTCTCGTCCGCTATCTCAACCCCCAGCGAAGGTACTGGACTCCTGCGTGACCGACACCGGAGACACTCGTATCATGCTCCAAGGAAACTCTCTTGTGATTATCAGGATGCGGACACGGTCTTCATTAGGGTGAGCATTGCTCTATTCAGAGGAAATCGGATCTCTCTAACTTCCATAGGTCGAACTCTTTCTTGCAGAACTCGAACGCCGCATGCATTGGATCGAACAATACCGAAAATCTCACATGGATCAGGTCGACGCCAGCCTCAAACGCGGATATGCGACATTGGAAGCCGTGCGAGATCAATGCTCGGTTGCATCCGGTGAATTGATGGGCAGTGGCAAGAGGCGGGCCAAGATCTTGGTGGAAACATTGGAGGATGGATACCATGAGGCACTGGCGACCAAGGAAACATTGGAACAGAAAGCACAAGCGGGTGTACGGTTGATGGAGTCGTTCTTGTCGGAGCTGGAGGCGCGGGCTCATGCCGTCCGTGATCGAGGCATCTACGGTACACTGGATGATGGATGGAAAGCTGTGGATTCTAGTTTGGTTCACGCCCGTGAAGTGGTTGACGAAGGAATGGAGCGCGCTCGTCGCGCCCGGGATCTCCTTCGTGAGAATATTGAAGCCGCCCTCTCTCTGGCGGAGCAAAAGCGCTTGATCACTTACTCCGATCTACCCGACCCTTGGAGGGTCAATCCGCATATCCTGAAAGGGTACCGTTTCACCACCTCCAAGGTCGAATGTGTGCATTCGGTCTTCACATTCTCCAACGAATGGGTCAATATCTGGTCCCACGTCATTGGTCTTGTTATTGTTCTCGCCATTGCTTTCTACTTCTATCCGCTTCATACCAATTTCCACCTAAGCAGCAAATCAGACGTGCTGATTGCTGCGGCTTTCTTTGCTGCTGCATGCAAGTGTCTGGTCTGCAGCACCATCTGGCACACAATGAACAGCATTGCCTCACAAACCCTGATGGAACGTTTTGCCTGTGTAGACTACACAGGCATCTCCATGCTGGTAGCGGCCTCCATCGTGACCACCGAATACACTGCTTTCTACTGCGAGCCAGTTTCGCGATGGACATACATCCTTCTCACCTTTTCCCTGGGTATCGGTGGTGTCATTCTTCCTTGGCACCCGACCTTCAACCGTCATGACATGGCCTGGGCCCGTGTGGCCTTTTTCGTCACACTTGCCCTCACTGGATTCGCCCCTCTGGCGCAACTATCCTACACCCGTGGTATTGAATGGTGTCTCTACTTCTACGCCCCAGTCGTAAAGAGCATAACTGTCTACTTTGTCGGTGCCTGCGTCTACGCCTCTAAGGTTCCCGAGCGCTGGAAGCCCGGTTTCTTCGACTACGTTGGCGGCAGCCACAACATCTGGCATTTGGCTGTACTGGGAGGAATTTTTTTCCACTACCACGCCATGCAAGACCTGTTTGCGAACGCCTTTCAGCGTGCCCAGGGCGAATGTCCCAATCTCGTCTCGTGAACCAAATGTCTCGTACATTCGGTTTGCCACTTTTATTTTCTCTTTGCTTAACCATGTCCATGATAGACTATGACACAACGAAAATCCGGGGATAAACGAATGGACCGTCGATGTCGCTTAGAGGATATTTCCGACGGTCTGTACAAGGTGCAGTCGACATCTTATAGACATTCTTTACGTGAGCCTTGACCGGTTGGTTCTCGTATGCATTGGTGGAGTTGCTTGCAAATATTGTTTCATTTTCGTCGCGAAAGTACAGGCTCTGAATTTCTGCTTCCCCACGGTCAAACTTTCACTGTGATCGTGGGATCCCATATATTTTTTGGAGATTTTGTAATTACATTGTTGCATAGCTTACATCTCGGGTTCTTTTGTCTGGTGGTGACATTCGCTGTTTTGCTAGACCAGCATTGTGTTTGCAATTGAGTCATTTGTTTTGATGCTTCACATATGACAAAGATGATATTCCTTTCCATTGGAAATGTAAATTGAAAGCCCATTCTTGTAATTTGAAAGTCATGTATGTCTATTATGCGAACTCTATGCAATGTTTTGTCGTCAAACTCATGAAATCCGTGTCTCGTGTGCTTCTTCCCGAGCACTTCTCGATTCCCATGCGATGCTGGAATATTTGCAACTTGCTCAAGTTGAATACGTTGGGTGGCCTGTTGGTCTTACGAGGCAGGACACCAGTACCCAGCATTTATGTAGCTAGCTGTCGAAGGCCTTTAAGGCATCGACGTCGTTGTTGGTACGTGTCCATCCCCTGCCAGCATCATTCAAGATGGTGTAACTAGGCGCCACCAAGCAATCACTCGGCATTTTCAGCAGTCTCGGCATTCGCAAGGGCATCACCGCGCTTGACGAAATGACCCTGCATCCAGCAGCGGTACATCTTCAGCTTGGTGGAACGGTTCACGATTAGACGACGATCAGCTCCCAAATGTTTGACCTGGAATGCGGTATCAGCCTCCGCAAGCTGAGACTCCGGAACAGGATTCTCCAAATCAACCTGCAGGCCCTTCTCCGGTGTCCAGCGACCCCACATCTGAACCAGCTCATCGTGGTCGAAGAAGTAAACCCGGGTACCATCACCACGAACGTAGAAGTTCTCCTGCATGTAGCGACCTTTCTTGAAGCGCACCTGCGCCAGATCTCCACGTCCATAGTCACGGAAAAGCACCTGGCCACCAGGCTTCAAGAGACGGTAGATGTTGCGCAACGCAAGGTCCCACTGGTTCGGGTTCAATGCAGAGAAGATGAAGATCAGAATAATGACGTCCACAGAGCCCTCGGTCAGACCAGGCGGCAAAGAGTCACCATTCTCATCGGGCACGGCAGCCGCGTCCCAAACATCAGCAACCATGAATTTCGGATCATATTGATCACTATCACGCATGACCTGCACAGCGTACTTGGAGAAGTCACAAGCATGCACCTTCAGCTGCTCGTTCTCGTTGTTCCGAATCAAGGGAAACGCAGTATTGCCCGCACCAGCACCAACCTCCAACACAACCTGGGGACCCGCATCCTTCTTCGTCACCTCCGCCAAGACAGGGAACTCCTGACGCAACCACTTGCGATCCTTGAAGAAGTTATCGGTGTTATTCTTGTAGAACAGATTCCACCACTTGGCGGGGTCATTGTTGAAACGATTTTGGTCGAAGTCGGAGACGGGCGCAGCGCGTTGCTTCTCGTATTGGACTTCAGCGAAGGCTTTGAACTCGTCATCTGGCTCGACGTGGTCCCAGGCATTAAATTCGAAGACGTTGTCGCCATCTTCTAGGTATCGCGAGCCGAATTGGAATGGATCAGCGCGTTTCTGGTTGTTGGAGGGGTCGTGGGAGCGGGTGGGAGGAATTGTTGGTGGTTGGACATTCTCGATGAACTTGTGGAGATCGGTTTCTGTAGACATTTTGGATTTTTGTCTGTATGAAAGGATAGTGGGGAGACAAGAAAATTTGTATGGAAGTGGGCTGGGCGCGGGGAAATAAAAAAAAAAGAAAATTAGAGAAATTTAGATTTGATCGGCGGGTACCTGATTATGTCAGCCTTTATCGTTATCGATAAGGATTTATAGGTCGAGATTTACTAAAACTGAGGTATAGCCTGGTGGGAGAAAGACTTGAATAGAGTGTCAAGGGTAAAGAGGGGAATAAAAATTATCTTGTTTAAGGGGGGGGGGTTAGACCCCCATGTGAAGAGGAAAGTAGTATGAATAGCATCATGGCAGGATAACAAAACCAAAGATAGAGGGTGTAAATGGCCTCATAAGGTGTTAAGCAAGTATCAATATAGAGAAACACAAAATATGGTCGAAAGATATCCCTTGATCTCTTATCCTAGTGGTAAAAGCACCGCTGATGATCCTACTAATGTTGGCCCTGAGTAATCTCCCAATCATCCGAGATGACGTTAACGCGTTCCAACTAAAGACAGCGTCGGACCGTCGGTTCAATCCTAAATATCTCCAGAGCAATTTACCGTTTCAATTTGGAGATAAACGGTTATTTCAAACATAAATCCCACGACGAATTCGGAAAAATTACTTCTCTTCTATACCCTACTACTAACTTTTCATGGCTTCCATCTCCTAAATCAGATTTCTACTTATAGCGTTAATCTATTGATATCCCCTATCATACCATATAGTAGTATCTAGTTGATGCATATGATCAATTGAATTGGTAGTCTTATATCTACATCTGGTTAGCTCGGAGTTGATGACTCTTGCATGCCTCAGGCAGGAATGCTGACATCGTTGACCAATCAGCAAGGCCAGAAACTTGGATGCCTGCGGCAGCCTCACGAGGCTGGCTCCTTCGTCGTTCTCTTTCCCTTCTGCTCAACATGCCACCGTGATCATTTCACTTCATCTGGGACATCTCATTGTTCGCTTCGCTCCTTTTCAGGAGTCTGATAAACTTGAGTGTGGGATCCCCTCACTATCGGCCTTATCTTACCGCTCCATTGAGGCTCAAGTGTTCCGATCTTTACCGTGCCCGTGCAAAGTGACATGCCATAGATCCTCTACTCTTTATTCTATTACATTCATCTCTCTCCAAATCCATCTACTCAACATTTATTTTTAAAACACTTCTTGTGTGCCCCTAAAGCAACAAAATCACCCGGCCATGTCATTCCTCTCCGGTCTTTGCGGCTGCTTCGCTCGTGACCATGCTTCCCCGCACTCATCTCAACCCGAGATGCAAAGTGCCAGACATCACCAGAGACACACCCACGGCATACAGACTGGTCACTTCACCCTCTCTGGTGAGGGGGACTTCATCCGCGCCGCAGGTGCCAGCGAACAGGATGGGGACAGACCCCCGGCTGACTCGGATGGAGGCTATGCCAGCGTGGTCCCACTTCCACAATACACACCCCGCCCGATGAGCATCCACGAGAAAACGCTGGAGGGGAATATGCGAGATCCTCCGATTTCCTCGGACTCCAACATCTACCCCGCAGACGAGAAGAATCGCAACCTTTACGATGAGGATGTGAGTTCTGACAGCTCTTCTACTCTCTCGTATCCCAGCAGCTATGGTAACACCTCGACTGCGACCCGGGAAACTCCCCCGCCACCTTACTCGCCACGTCACTCGGCTATGCTTTCGAGATCGAGATCCATGTCTATCTCGTCGGCTGTGGCTGTGACCATAAACCCTCCGCCCATGGCACGGGTGCATGGTGGCCGGACGACGGCGCCTTCATCTGAGGCGGATGATATCTCTATTCGTCGTCATCGGAGGGTCTCTTGGGAAAGCCGTTGAAGAGAATTCTGGACATTCACACCAGCGCAATTCACTGCGTAATCCTTTGCATTTATCTGGCATACCTGTCACCAAGACCGACATTGACATCGAGCCACCCATGATACTCGAGCTGGACTCATGTATCATGGCCTTACTATACTGGCTCATGTCATCATTTATTCTGATAAATTATTGCACACGACATCACGACCAGCACATCTACTTTGTTTATGAACGGAATATGGAATGGAATACCTAATAATTATGATAGACATGGCGGCATTGGGCACCCTTGTTAACACTTTGAAATATTTCTGGGTATATACACACCACCCACTATCTAATAAACAACATCCACTGCAATCGAACTGAATGACCTTCAAATGTTGACACAATATCGACCGAATCTAACCATGAGTTCTAAAGATCCTATATGCAAGGTTTTGCACACCCAGATCCACTGGGCTCGCACTCACTCTCACTCCTTACGTTAATGCTGGAAACTCCAGATGTACCAACGGTCTGAAAATAGGAGCCCTCCTACTGGTGATAGGTATTTGAGTATTTGAGGCTAGCCTACCTCATAGTGTTCGGTATCCAGGGGAGTTTACCCCCAAAAATGGAGATTGTCTCGTAGTCGTATCCAAATAACCTCCATAACACCTCGATATTGGTATTGTACTACCAACGAGATGCATCCTCTAGACCTAGCCACCAAAGCCCTTGGGCCCTCCTCTCCAGGCGAAGAACACACCACTAGATGGGCACTTATCAAGCCACCCGTGGCCTCTATCGACAAGTAACGGAGTACATATTGTGCTTACACCGGCATATGGCTGTAAACTAGTAGCACTCAGTCAACGATAAATATCCTGCCCCAGCCTCATAAATGCCAGCTGCGCCACCCAGGCCTGTTCCATTCCCTGTTCGAGGCTCTCACACCTGCATATTCCGTGCCAATAAATGAACCGTCACCGACTCGGATCCGATCGAACCGTTCTAGACGGGAGCCTATGTACTGTCCTTGCAGATCACTGACCCGCCCCGATATTCCCCATGCAGTCTCAGAAGAAGAGCCGAATCCTCCGATCCACTCGGCGATCCTATTAATCAACATATGCAATTCGGAAGTCGGGAGAGTTCCTGGTCCCCTGCGCCTCTGCCAGGTTAGGCTCCCGTGCGGGTCTCGGATCGGATGGACGGATCACATTCGATGCAAGGACTTGGCTATAACCTTGTTTCAAATCGTTGAGCTGATTGTTCTAGAACTCCGGATCTTGTTCCTGGGCATCCGGATGTTGGGGCTGAATTGGGCAGGAGTTGAGATGCGGTGTGGCGGAGGCATACGTAGACATGCCGCATGGTTACACAGTCACATGTTTGTGTGCGATTCAGCCTTGAAAGGCGTAAAAGGAGTCTTGGATACTTGGTTTGAAATAGTTTATTGGTTGAAGGAGCTGAATAGATTTGAATTTCCACTGTGCGCTGGCCGCTAGGCCTAGATAGGTATCCCGTGTTTATACAGAAATACAGGTAAATCATTTTGGTCTGAAGAGACATACTCATTGCAATATTCATGCTTGATGCATAACTCATGATTCATACATGGAAGACATTCATATATACTAAAATACTCAACTGATCTGAGCATTAGAGAAATCCATCTCTGCGCAAGTATTAGCCAAGTCCAACAGTCGTAGAAGTATAGCTTACCCGGATGATCGGCCTTGAATTTCTCCAAAAGCTCCTTCTTCTTCTGCTCGTCACTGGTCAGGCCACCCGCCTCCTTCTGGCGCTGATCATACATCATCTTTTCAACCATGGCGCGAGTCTCACCATCGAGGTCACTCAGACTGGAGTTCTCGGGTGTGATCTTGGTGACATCAATCTTGGGTGCACCCTTGACGACATGGGGCCACCACTCCACCTTGTTTACCTTGTCAAGGTGGATGCTGACTTCCTTGCCGGGGGGCTTAGATGTTGTTTCAAGGGTCCAGGATGATTCGTCGACGAGGATGTTATGGGGGAAGTCACCCTACATGAATGAAAAGAACAGATATATGTTAGCAAACAATCCTACGCGGGGAGGTGGTTGATAAGTAGCGGGGGCGGGGCAAGCTGGATACGCACCTCAATAATAGGGTCTTGGCCTTTAATGGCAACACGGATCTTTGACTTGGTCAAAACCACTTCCATATCCCGGCCCTTAATGTTGGCAGGAATTGGCGCCGTGACGTCGAGATCACGGATGGTCTGGGTCCATTGGTAAGGAAGCTGAGCCTGCTCAGCAGCCTCAAGAGCTTGGCGCTCCTTTTCTTGGCGATCGCGCTCGGCCAGCTCGGCAGGGGAAAGGCTCTGATCAGGATCGGCAGATGACATGGTAAAAAATTCTTGGTGGCGGGGGAGGTGAAGTTAGATGGAATAATTACAGAGTGGGGAGTGATGTGATGCCGAAGGGCCGCAGGAGCTTAACCCTAAACGGTAATTGGATAGATCGGGTATTCGTGGATCCTCCCAACTTTATCAACGATCTATCCCCCTGAGAAATCGAAATCGTCAAAATCGAAACCTGTCATAAAAATTTAAAGTTCAAGAACTGGAAGACTCTGGAAACAAATTCCAGACCCTCCCTAATTCGGACACAAGCGTCATTGACCGACGCCATACATAGCCGCGCTATACGCGTCCCGTATTTTCCCCACCTCCTTGCATGAAAATCGATGTAGACGTCCAAGACAGGAGAACAAGTTTGACAGATCCTAGAATGAGCGGCAACTGGGCCACATCCTGGGAGTCAAAAGGGGAAGCAGGGGACGATCCACTTGATTTGACTGATCGACAAACGGTACGGAATGCTGTCAAATGGAAATGGTCTGCAGGGAGGGGCCGATCGGCATGGAATACGACACGAACTACTCCGTAATTTGAGTGGCTTTCAATCTCTTTTCTTGTTTTTCTTTCTGTTCTAAATACCGAAAGGATTCGGCTTGCAGCGTACACTAGGCGCTAGCTGCTTGCCTGGTTTCAGCTGGGTGAAAGCCTTGCACACCGCTTGAAGCAATGACAATGTGGCATTGTTCAAACCAGTGTAGCTGAAAGATGTGCAGGGCTCCGACAATTGGGTTCGCGAATGAGAGCGCAAATAATGGACGATCATTGTGCCCAATTGCTGCGAGTGCTATCGAACGTATATGCATGTGCTGTTGGCCAACTTCAATTTTCACTGCAGGGAGCCAGCAGAACGAGGCAACGGGGGCGGGTTGGAGAAGAAATGTGGATGGAATGTCGATTCACTGCTGCACAGCCAGTGCCGCTCGTCAAATCTTGGTCGGTTATGGTCACGCATGTATAGTTAGGAAAAGCATCGATTCAAGTCTGGCTAGTGCGCAACGATCGACCAGGGATGTGCCTTCAAGTATGCAAGCTTCGCCTCGAGATTCCCTCTAGAGGTCCTCATTCAACAAAAATGACGCAAATCATTGAGATGAAACATAAGAAGTATGAAAATCCGTGGACCTCGAATGCGAGTCCATATAGGTATCTTGTTCCCCAATCCGCATCCCAACTCCAAATGAATGTGGCGCTGATATGTGGCACCCCAGATCGCTTCGCTCATATGCAACTCATGAAAAGAAAAATGGTATAAATAAAAGACGGAAAGAATGTATCGACCCTGGAAGCCCCGAACTCCCTGTATATTGCATAGCGACCGTGATATTCGAGAGTAATGGAAGTCATCGTTTCTTGGATTTTTCTTGTTCTTGTTCAAGCTCTTCCAGACGTTTGTCTTCCTCCATTACTAGTAGAATGTTAGATTATTGTTCTCCCTGCATGTGACAGATCGTATGTCATGAGTTTTTTGAATCAAGATCGTACTTCGAAGCCTCTCAGCTGCAAGAGCGTTATCCATGTTTTCCAAAAGCTGAGCCCAATATCTTTGGTAGGCCTCGAGGTCCGGCTTGCCATCCTTCATGAGTTCAGGCTTAGTCTGTTGAGATTTGGGATCCATGGCGGTGGAAAGATGTAGGTATAAGTGTGGAGTGTATGTGCGAAATAATATTCACAGAGAATTAACAAGGTAAGGGTTGGAAGAGCGAGCACTTGAGGTTGCGTGATTCGATGTTGTTGAGTTGAAAATCAAAGAGGTCCCAAGGCCCCTTATATATATCTTAGGTGGAATCCAGTCACAATTTAAATCCTGCTGAATGTGGAAAGAGTCAGAAAATTAAAATTAAAAATAATTAATTTAATGTTCCAAATGTTTGCTTCATGAGAGGTTCCAAGGGTAAAGCCACTTGGATTATTTATTTTTGATTTTTTTTTGGGAATTTCTTAATTTTTATTGATTTTCCATTTTAATTTTAATTTTCACAGCCGCTTTAGGTACACAACTACGTGCAAGGTCAGATTAGGTGGAAATAGGTAACTAGTCCACCTTGGGAAGGGGGAAACTCGTTCTGCTGTTGTGTTGGAAAACCTTCACCGACTCTCTTCTCGCCCCTGGATTCGTCCACGGTATAACCGGTAGAACGGTCCGCTTAACCTCAAGGAAACCCCGGGTAAATTCCGGTTGATGCATTTCATTGGACACAGACAACAGTGATTGGTTACAAGAGACAACAAAAAAGTCAAGAAAGGGAGAGCTGTCTAGTAAGCGGGAGGGGTCCAAGCTGAGATCTCAATTTCTCCTAAACGCCTGTCAGCTTGACAATCAATATTCATATGGATTGGAAAAAGAAAAAAGAGAAAAAAAAAACTTGAGAAAATCAGAGAAAATCAGAGAAAATCAGAGAAAATGAGAAAAATCAGAATAATCAAAAGTAAAAACCAATGGTGCCTAAGCTGTGTTCCCCCACCTACATTTTGCTCATTTTGGCCTCTAAGTTACAACAACCCTGGAACCTATACCTACATAGAAGATGGATCGTGATGTCAGAGCACGGACTTTTATTGGAAAGCTAAGATTTCTCCATAACTTGACCAATGACTTCTTCCGGCTCAGTTCATGTTAGGGCCGGCTAACCCGCTACCCACGAAGCCCACCAACTCTGACAGGGCGCCTATAGGATGTCTTCCTTGAGAACTGCGCCCACCCCCGTACCAATCGGGAGCTTTCTCAACACATCCGCGCCAGCCGATCTGATATCTGGAGCCTAAGGAAAGGGGGGCCAACAATCTAAGCCCCGTAGTGGGTATGGAGATGTTCGGCTTCGGGCTCTAAGGATAGTATTCGGTTACCCCTAAAACGAATTCAAATACAATAAAATGCATGATGCTACTAGGTGCAGCTTTGTACCCGGGGAAGCGGATTGGGTTGATTTGAGATCGACGCTCGGTCCACCCGATCGGTTTGTTCTGCTGACCCGCCAATCATACATTGTCTCTAAGAACAAAGCGGATTACGCCTATTGGAAATGAAGATTCACCGCTGATAAGACACTGCGTAGCTTGCGCTTCGTTGCATCTCTAGTTTGGTATGATTTGGTATGCTTTTTTGTTTTATTTATTTATTATATTATATTTCACTGTACTTCAGGTCCTGACTCAACCCCCACGTGGTGACACGCATGGTCACCGTTGTTATCCTTGACCGCATCTACCCAAATACCTTCCGACACGTACACTGACCTCATGATGTCCGAGTGTAGGACATGGGTGTCCTGTTGGCTCTATAGGACACGGACCCGCGTTATTCCATCTTTTCATCACCGCTACTGAAGGCTACCCAGGCTATCAGATGACCATTCTAAATGCCGTTTGTATGTGCTTCATGCGCGTACTCCGTGTCTGCTTTGACAGCCGATCTTTACCTGTCTACTGGGTCATGACACTACCGCACCACTTTACTCCGGTTATCGCCAGTTCCCTATGCAGGGTGGCTGTCTGACACTCGCGTCGGACCCTCAACACAACACTCGTCAGTGGCAGGATTAATAAAGTTTCGGGAAAGGAGCTTCGTTACTATTGGAATCTTGTTTTTGGGGGCGTTTCTGCACTGACCGGTCCATGATTACTTTTCTTTTCTTTTCTTTTTTCTACGTAGACGATCCTCTATCCCGCGTCGACCACGTAGGAAGGTGCAGGCTGTCACTTTGAAAAGAAAGAAAAAGAAAGAGCAAAGAAAAAGAGGAAATTTTTTTGGGCTCGAGTGTGAGCCCCCAGATTTCGATATAGGAGTTATACTCCGTACTATAGATTATACATTAATGTGCCATCTATCACCCGCTCGACCCACCAAAACAAGCCCCATCGAGAAATCACAGAATCCTTGGACAAAAGAGTTGCGGGCCAAACCGCCCGGCACTACAGGCGGTCAACACCAAAACAAGTTAAGGGCCCGGAGCAAGTGCCACTTCAATGTCAGGGAAGTCTTTCATTGGAGCGGATGAAACGGATGTCCCAGGGACAAAGATACCTGCGGGATAGTACTTTTGTCACCTATGACAACTCTTCCTAAAACAAATCTATCTAGAGATACCCCGACAGGTCCCGAGGACGTGTCAAGGGAGAGAAAATGACAGAAAAGAAGGCAGCCAAGACGAAGGTGGATGCGGTGAGAGAACAACAATAGAGAACATCCGAGCGTGGAACAGAATAGCCGAAAGGTGGCTGTAAAAAGGAGCCCAAAATCTATATACCGTAGACACGTATTGAATGGAGATCAGCTTCAGGAAGCAGACCTCAATTCCCCGGGGCACAGCTCTCCTACCTAGCATACCGTCGGTGCCACGTCAACGTTCGAACCAAATGAGCACTCGACGATCAATACCCATCACCAGACTCGTCGGATTTTTCACGGACTTTTGCCGAATCAAGACAGGTATCGTGAAGCAACAGTGACCTTGCATTCGTCATATGAGTGACAAATCTTGGATCGAGGGACAAAAGTACCGATCGACCGGAATCAAACATCCCTTCGGGCAGGCAGAAGTACAATCGTCCTGCTCGCGGCATTCGTACCGGTGGAGAATTCTCGATCTGGATTAGTGGGCTCGTGCATAACCTTTATCAAACTGGTTTCATGCTCCGAAATGGAACCGATGATGGGGCAGCAACGGGGCAACGGGTAGGTCATTTGATTTACCGTGGGGGTTTATATCTGCCAATCATATAGCCATTGGAGGCGGGTCTGAGCACCTCACCGCTGCAGGGCAAGTCAAAAGTCAATATACTATAACAGAGAGTATTAAGTTCATATTCATTTTGAACATCTGGAGAACTCGATTTGGGCCCTCGTGAAGTACACTTGATATGAAAGGTTTTCCCGAATAAGAACCCGTAATGGATCTTGCCTAGTAGATAAAAATGATAGCAATATATGACCATATGACAGAATGAACTCCTTCCTAGTGATGGACGATAATCATGAAATATTGGGTCGATATATGCCGTCGTATCCACTTTAGATCACGCACTCGGCAGGGGTCAACCAGCTCGGGACAAGATAAGCGATACGAAGATCGAAGAAATGGAAATAAAAAGAGAAAAGACACATCGGGAAACTTGTTCGATGCCTGCGCCCATTGGCCAGCCACCTCATCAGACCGGTTTGTATTCCTGCAAAACCGTGGACAGGAGAGATGAGAGCGCACAGGGCATCGTAATATGCAGCTCCAGTCTGGTTGGAAAGGAGGGGTTGTAACAAAGAGAAATGGGATTAGGGGAAAAGGAAGACCGGAAATGCGCCCCGCAATGTTGTAACGCCTGGTTAATCTTGGCCCTACATGCATGATTCGCTTGGAAGAACGTGTTGCACAGTGGTAAAGTCAAGTCGAACAGAAGGGTAAATAAAAGAACATCAGGAATGAGTCCCCGCTCGCGCCGTTGTATGTCGTCGCTAAAGAAATTGAGATCAAGACAGGCAGAAAACAAGAAGATAACGCCGAGGGTATCTGCTCTCGTAGAGAGGTTGAGAGATAAGGGGAGCCTATTCGAACTCGTAAAGTGGACTGATATAATTGGTCCCCTCTACGAAAAGAGAGGATCCTACTTCGATGTCCACATCCACAGGTCCCTCAGAGGTGCCAGGGAAAAGATCGTCGGATTCATAGATTTCGATGGGTGTGATAGGAGCTCCACCATCCGGACCATGCTCGATAAAATCGAAGAATTGGCCCGCGAACTCGGCGATTTCATTGGCCACCTTGAGTTCCAAGATGCCCTCCAGCACCTGCATGTCCTTTTTCCACTTGCGCTCTCTGCGGGCCTTCTCCTCTTCTCGTCGGCGGCAAGTGCCATCACGGGCACGGACTTTCATGCAGTTTGGGCACAGATAGTTCTCTTCACAATAGGTGCATTTGCAGGGCGGATTGGCTATCACGCAATCCTGGCAGACATAGACCGCACAGGCCTTGCATTCTCGAAGGTCGCTCGAGCATCGCAGCCGCTGATCCCCGTGGGCACGGAACAGTGGACAGAAGAAAGATTGGCAACCTTGCCACCGAGTAGGCTCAAAAGTTGATTCAAAGTACGAAGAAGAAGGAGAGGACGATCCCGAATGATTAGAAGGTGGGGCGGAGAAAGAACGAGTGGGATTGCGAGGGAAAAGAATCGGGTCACCGGTGGGGACATCCGATAGGTTGTCGTCTATGATGATGTCTCCCTGTTGGTCCTCGATAAAACTACTGTTGGTGGATTCAACCTGCCGCTGGGTGCGGAAAGGAAGGTCGAATCCCGAAAGTTGGTTGAACAGTGGATCCGGGGATGGAGTGCTGACTGCCGCTCGGTTTTGAATGGTCATCTTCTCAAATGCGAGGTCTCGGTAGCCACAGATGCGCAGACGGAGACCACGAAGGTCATGCTCAATGCAAAGAGGCTTGGAGCAGCTTTTGCAGTGTACCTTCCATTGTGGCGAGTCGTAGCACTCCTGGCATAAGTTCCGGGGGCATGGTGAGACTTGCCGATTGGGTGGTCCTAGTAACCACTTCATCATGGCAAGGTGACCGGTCTCGAGAGAGTAATCTGGTTTGCTGGGGTCGCCGTATGCGTACTTGGGAAATGTCTTGCTCCACTCACTGACGGTGTACTCGAGGTCCTCCCAGCCTCGGTTACGAGGCAGAGGCACAGCGCGCACTTGATCCACATCCCTACTAGGGGTGCCGATGCTGATGCCGCCACCTCCGGAGAAGATGGGTTCTGTGCAGCACCAATGGAACTTGAGAGCAGGATGTGACGTGGGTGCCCCTCCTTGAAACAACGTTGTGCTGTCGAGAGAGTTGATGACGGGATCATGCATTGAGCTAGGTGCGAGTGTAGCGCCGGGGGCCCACCAGATGGAGTCGGGGGCCTGCGCGTCGCTTTCGTGGCGATGGTTTCCAGCAAAAGCACTGGAGTTTGCGCGGTGAAGGTATGGCCGCTCGTAAGCGCAACTGGCACACAGGGTTCTGCGGCATCCCACACAATGCATCAGGATGCTGCATTGCTCGCACCTTTCCGAAATATCCTCCAGGCAGCCGTCGCATTTCACATTTTCCACAAACTGAGTATGGCTTCGGCGAAGATGTGCAGGAGTCATCTTACCCTCGCCCATATCGGGTCCTTCACCTGTGCCAACCGCCTCCCCATAGCACCCTGTGTCGCAATTCTCCCAGAGTTTCCCATCGTCTACACGAGGGCGCTGTACGGATGAATCAACTGGGCCGATCCAGTTCTTGCATCTCCACAGTCGATCGAATACCACCCAGACTTCAGGGGAACCTTGCGGAACACGCATGGCGACATACCCGCGCCTGCGGAAACACCTGCCAGCAGGCGTAGTACACCACGCGGTATCAGTCCAGATCCCCAGTTTATGGCAGAGGTTGACAAGTTCATGGGTTGGTTCCGAATCAGAATCCTTGCGCGACAGAGAACTAGTGAGATAAGGTCGGCGGCGATGATGGCGGCATCGGTATGCGTAAAGACTCTTGAGCGCCAACCCCTTGGTCGCCGGAGGGCTGCCGAGATTCCGTTCAATATCCACGTCATATTGCAGTCCGAACATCGTCAGATAAGGGATGATGTGATACTTAAGCGAGACATTCTTGCACCCGCGAACGGAAAGGTGCTCCAAGTATTCCTTGCGCGGTTGCAAAACCGTCGAAATCAAGATCTGACCTGAGACGGCCGTGTTGTCAAGCTCCAGGCTCCTGAGACATCCGCTGAATGGAATCACCACATGCATCAACAGCTGATCCAGGGCGTATGGTCGGGACTGGCGTTGCGGATCGGGATCTGGCATGCCCGGAATGACAATGCGGCTGGACGGGAAACTGCCCGATGGAAAGAGCAAACGAAATGAGAGAGACCTCCATGCGATCGGATATGAGCGAAGAAAGGTGCGAAGGTAATGGGAGGTGTGGTAGAGCTTGAGGATGGTGTCGGTCGGAATCTGGAGTAACAGGGACTCTATAATGGGGGCATTGGTTGTGATCACGCGCTCAAAGAGAGAAAGAGGACGTTCCACGGGGAGAATAGAATTCTGCAGAGCCGTTTCGACCAGCTGCTGTGGCTCTTTTTGATCCTCTGCCATGATGCCGTATAGGTCCATGGTGTGGGCCGCGGGAATGTTTAAAAAAGCTGGGGTTCTCGGTCCTTAGGTCGAAAGGTCCAGGAACGCGAGATCGCGAATCGGTAGCGCAAAGGCGCAGCACATCATAGGATACAATGAATTGATTGAAAAAGAAAAACACAAAATATCACAGCTCAAGATAAGCCACCATGCAAGGCCATCCGATGTGAAGTATAATCGATGAGGGTTTGATCGCAAGGGCTGGATGGGGAAGATCGGAAGGGGGAGCGAGGGGGAGAGAGAGAGGGAGAGGGGAAGGTCAAATGAGGAGTTCGATGTAAAGTGATTAAAACAAACTAGGATTTTCTTCAACCACAAACGTTTCAATCACTGATGAGAGTCAAATGTAAAGTTGATTCCAAATTGTCAAATTACTAGAAAAAAAGAATCAAACTTTCCACTTTGTCACGGATGCGCCCGTAACCGTCATGTGATTATCTACGGAGTACGGAGTACTTGTACTTTGATTGCCTTTATAGACATGAGTAATGGGCCATGAGCCCCTGTGAAGATCTATCATACCTGACTAGTTCAATAGTTTACTTTGTATTTGATCCATTTAAAAACTGGACTAATGTCTCTCGTCTGATTCGCCAACAGTATACCCCCTGGCAATACCCTTGCGCCCTTCCTTGACAAGTGTACTGTCCGACTCCTCCTCATCATAACGAATGTCAAAGTCACTGCCCAACCCCTTCCAAGTTCTTTGCGACCGTAAAAATTCGGCTCCTGGGGATACAGCTCCGCCGATCATCGCTAGATCGCCCTTAGCCCGACGGGCTAACGCTCTAGCAGCGGAAGGCCCAGACGACCCATCGATCGAAGCGCGGGGTGCGGGATCCCGCATCGGTCGCGAATGAGAAACGTAGCGCCCAGTACGCAGGTCGAACTCTGGCGGTGCAGACTCGGGTTCCGACATGTCATCGTCCTCGTCCATGGTTGCACCGTTTGATGTCTGGTCCGCCTCGTCCGACTCCCCATTTGGCTTGTCGAGGATGGCCTGGAAGTTGCTTTGCCAGGATCCCGTCCAGATCCGTTCGTCGTCATCCTTTAGAGCCAGCTCCAATTCGAACGGTGTGATCACGGGCGTAAAGAAATCCTTGCTATCGACCAATGAGCTCTCCCAGCACCCGATCACCACCCAGCCACCAATCTCACTGAAATTGGCAACTTTGGCGGCGTTAAGTTTGCCAACAACAAACATGTAGCTCTTCTTGCCCGCGGCGGCAATCTTTTCTTTCACATGTTCCACGATGCCCATGTAGTTCTTCACACTGAGCGTGTTGATCAGGATACCCCAAATCGGTACTGTCGTGAGGCGGGTCGTCAGAGCATATCGCCGTCTTAATACGGCGGTAGTGGATGCCGGCAAAGGCTTAACATCCTTGTTGCCTGGGGTATTGGTGGGGTAGATATGAATAGCAGCCACACGTGAAGCAAGGGTCAAGAGAAGAGCAGTTGGTGGATCGGAGATGTGGAACATTTGCCAGTCTGAGAGGGTATCAGGTGCTTCCCTGACAGACTCAGGTACAGTGCGGTTAGGAATAGCTGATGAAGGCTCATGGATCACCTCTGTAGCAAACAGATTGCTATACCCCTCATCGACGAGGCGCTTATACACTTCCGGGATATGACCGGCATAGGTGACATCGGCTGCGATAATGACCTTGGTGGTTGGATCGGTGTACGTCCCCTTGAAAGCCTCCACAACTGGCTCTATAGATAGAGGCTTGTTTGTAAAAACGTATATGACCGGCAGCCTGGCGGTTGGTGACAGGCAAGATCTTCCATAGTGCACCGCGACATCGGCATCCACGTGCTCCGCTGCCACTTCATCCACACAGCATGTGCCATAGGAGGTGTCAGCCAAAATGTACAATTTCGGCGACCAAGTCTCCCCATCCACAGACAGCTGGGACACTCCTTCAGTTATGTTCTCTTCCGTGTCGGCTTGTCCATTTGCCTGTCCCGCACTCCCATTTGAACTGGCGACCTCCGATTTGAGACCGCGGCTGAGTAGCTGAAATACCCGCGGGGCATCGGGAAGCATATCATCGGGGAATTGAAGAGCGATGCGCTTGTATCTGGCTTGGCGGATCTCCTTCAATGTGCGTTCGATGTCGTAGGTGATCGAAAGTTCGGCATCCGACAACTGAGTTGTCTGGGTCGGGGCAACATTCTCGTTAAATTCGAACATGCGGTCATCCGGAGTGGACAGCACCGGGGCTGCCTCCATCTGAGTGCCCATTATTGATTAATGATCTGGTGTTGGTGTTTGGAGGGGTTAAGACGGGAAAATCCAAAATTTTGTAGAAAAAAAAGATCCCCCACTATCCCCGCCGTACGCCGCCGGAGATAACCATGAATATGAATCAGCCCATTGGTAGATGCCCAACATCCCACTTTTTATAATCTAGGGCTAATTGAAGTTGATAGATTCAAAGAACTTAGACTCGTGTGCCAATCCATTCAAATTAAACCCTAAAATTCATATTTATCTACAGGTTTGCAGTTGCTGGCTCACCCGCCCAGACTCTGCGAATCAGCTCACGAATCGGTGTCCGCTCAATTGCGCGTGGGTTCCAGTAAGGGTTGGAAACAGCAATATCAGCCGCCTTATCAATATCCTCCTCCTTCATACCGAAGTCCTTGAGGCCACGCTTGACCTTCAGCTTGGTCAGCAAGACATTAAGACCATGGATCGCGTCACCATTGCTGTCCGGCAGCGCATCGGCAAGTTTCTTCATGGCCTCGGGGATATTAGGCGCATTGTAAGAAATAGCGTGAGGCAAGACAGCGGTGTGAGTCTCTGCATGGGGGAGGTTGAAGCTACCACCGAGAGTGTGGCACAGCTTGTGGTGGATGGACATGCCCACGCTACCTAGACAGGTACCACAAAGCCAGGCGCCGTAAAGAGCCTTGGAACGGGCAGATTGAGAAGACGGGTTCTCGACAATCTCGGGGAGGGCAGATGCAAGGGCCCGGGTGCCTTCAATGGCCATCATAGAGATGATTGGGTTGGTGTTGCGGGCATAAAGGGCCTCGACTGCATTTCCAAACGGATTAGATTAGATCTTTCACACAGTTGCCGAGTGTTCTTCCAAATACTTACCAGCGTGAGCGATAGCATTGACTCCACTGGTGGCACTCATGGCCGCCGGCAGGGTCATGGTCAAATCCACATCGTAGATAACGGTACCAGGCAAGATTTTGGGATCCGAGCGTGTCTGCTTCAGTCCATCGGCCGTCTCACCCAAGATGGGAGTCATCTCACTACCGGCATAGGTTGTCGGAATGCAGATATGAGGGAGTCCAGTACGGATACTGATCGCCTTTCCTAAACCAATGGTACTTCCACCACCGATGGAAATAACCGCATCCGCACTCTGAGCTTTCGCATACTCGAGAGCCTTGTCGGTAACATGTGTTGGGGTATGCATGGTAGCCTCACTGAAAATGCCAGCCACTTGGCCCTTGAGGACTTCCTTGACTTTTTCGGCATGGCTAATTTGATGGGGTGTCGATAGCACCAATGGAGACTTCACCTGCAAGCGCGCGATCTCCTCCGGGAGCTTCTGCAGTGTGCCGCTGCCGAACACGACACGGCCAGGATTGGGGCTGTACTCAAAGGAATCCATTTTTGTATAGTATATGGCCGAGGCCATTGATGGGCGAGCCAATGCAGTCTTATAATCGTCTATCCACCCCACACCCCACCGTGATCCGACGAACGTCATGCGCTACGGTGGGGTGGGGCCTGCCATCGGCAGTTCGAACTGAGCATGGTTCCGAGATCTGCTTAATTACAATCTATATAATAGGCCAAGATGAAGCTTTGTCTGACAATCTAAAGAATGCGAATCAATTCCCCATCATTTTCTCCAGCTTTAACGGTCTAATGGTCGGTGAATGTCTGATCGCAAAGCACTTAAAAAGAATCGCGGAAATCCCCCGGTTATTACCTCAGCATGAGTAATCCCGGATATACATTACCCTAACCTTTAAATCCGCGGGCATGACCTCAACCTGCTGGCAACCTAGGAATGAAGCATTGGTAATGGTATTGATTCAATATAGATGTTTACAGTTTTTGTTTTGTACTCTGCAAATGGGTATCAGATAATACAGTATCAGTCCAGATCATGAAAGGCCATGACGTGGGCACCGCTCTCCTTGCGATTGGCCTTCCTAGCCTTCTTACGCTCCCGTGCATTGGGCCTCTTCTTTCCGCGGTCGCTATCATCAGAGTCATCACTGTCGTCGCTATCCTCAAGCATGTGCTTTCCTTCCATATCCTCGCCGGTACCGGTTGCGGCAGCTTCGTGCCAAACCTTGACAATCTGCCCTCCGCCGGAAACCATGCGTCCCTCAACATCCCATCCTAGCCCCACAACACCCTCGGTCTCATCATGCTGAACTTCCGACACAACCTTATTCGATCCAATGCGCACAAATTTCACCGTGCCATTCGCTAGACCAGCCGCCACGAGCTTGCCATAGCCCAAGTCATCAGGAGCAACAGCCATGGCATCAATTGACTCGCCACCATCAGTGCTTCGCTCGACATAGATCCGCTCATCTTGATCATCCCATACGCCCTTCTCCCATAGTGTGATAACACCATTCGAGCCACCCACGAGTACCTTCTCTCCGCGACTGGTTCCGCTGCTGGGCAACCCGCCAATGTATGCGGAACTGATCAATTCCTCCTCCTGGTCTTCACTGCGCACAAGCACGCCCCTCCGTAGATCAGTCACGGCCAGAGTAGTTCCACCAGTTGTAACCCATTGCTTGCTAAATCCGGAGGTACTGGTATCGGAGGCAGGCAGAGGAGTCAAGGAAGAAACGTAGTCGTCGTGCGGGTGGTGCGACTGTTCTGGTCGCGCGGAGACCTTTGAGTAGGGAATTCGCAGGTCGTAAAGGTGGAGAGCACTGGAGTCGGTCGCGAGCAAAAGAGTCTGGGGAGAAAGAGCATGGATAATAGTAGGGGCATCGATAGAGCTAGTAACGCCAGTCAGCTTCATTTAAGCGCAATAGCGAAACAGTTGTCGCGCAACCATTACCCATTCTTTTCCAGTGGAATGACAATCTTATTTTCCACCTGTCCGGTCTCAGACTTCGCAGCCTTAACAAGTCCATCGGTACCAGCCGAATAGAGCATCTCTCCGTCGCAGCCAAATCCTAAGGACCGACAGCTACCTTTGTGCCGTCTTGTCCGCCACATAGTGTCGATATGGCCCTTGCCACCGCGAATGGAGGAGTTGGACGCATCATCATCCTCGCTGCTGGCGTCTTCGGTGGGTAATCGGAAGGTCTGGACATGGCCGGAGGCTAGACCCACGGACACTACAGGCTGATCGGGGTGGATGGCCTGAGTGAAAAGGTCCGAGGAGAGCGGAAGTGTACAGACCGTGTCGAACATGGTTACGGAATTGTGACCGGTCGGAGACTCACTGTGTCCCGAAACAAGTACCAGTGTTAGATTCGGGGTTAATATTGTGAACGTGAGTTTTTAGAGTTGGAGAAGCTTGAAGCTTCCGTTTTTTCTTTTTTTGCGGGCCGAGAATCTTCCGTTTAGGAAGGTTCATTGGTTCAATGACATCAACATAATTTATTTTGATCAACGATCTTTTCTGCAACGATTGAATAATCAAATCCAAAAAATGTAATGAGAGACTCGCTCTCGAAAGAAATGAAGTTCAGAAAATACATGAAAAAGCATATTGCAACCAACAAATTCTCTCTTCTCTAGATATCTTCACCTTGAATCATCTGCTTGCACCCAACATGGATGCACATGTGTGGACATTGGCCAGCTTCTCAAGTTTACGAAGAGTAGGTTGATCCGATAGGACCAAACTTGATACCAGAGAAGACAACATTGGCCGATGCAGAAGCAGACTCAATGTCGCTCGGCGCACCAGACGAAGACGTGCAAGTACCACGAGCAACACCAGGGTCCGAGGCCGTTGCGTCAGTCGGGTAATCACCGTCCAACCAGAGCATATCGGAATAGTGATCATCCCACAAACTCAAAACGAGGACCATGCCCTGCTCCAAGCCCTTGCTCATGCCAGACATGCCACCATGCTGGGTAAAGATATCCTCATCCCCGAACGCGGTCTTCTGAGCTGTGCAGAAGTCCGACGTGATCGAGTTACCAGATACGCCGCTAATATCCGAGGCCGCGTTGGCAATAATCACGCCATCCTGCAAATAGATACGCTTGATCTCGCTGAGCGTGCCGGTGTCAGTACCGTCGTCAGTGATGAATTGTGTGACGACGGTCATCTTCGAGTTGCTGTCGACTGTCTTGTCGGGTCCAAAGAAGCTGGTGTTGCCCATGCGGTAGGGGTTGAAGTCACATCCGTCTGGGTCACAAGTTCCGGCGTAGCGGCTGCTTGAGTATGTGCCGCCACAGTCATCTTCTTCGCACATTGTCTGGCTGGCTGTATCACAAGGGTGAGGGGTCAAAGCGGTGGAAATGCTGTTCGCTTCCCAGATGTCCATTTCTGCGCAGCAGGAGCCATGGTTGCCAATACCAGAATTGGAGTCGGTGGTCGAGGGGACCCAGCCATCGACGTTACCCTAGAGCAGTCAGCTTTCTTATACGTTTTGGTCTTTGATTGTGGGACTCACCTGACCATTGATGAACTTCAAGTCCCGAGGGCACTGAGAATCACAGTATCCAGTGCCATACTTGGCACCAGCGGTATTGTTTGGGTACTGGGATAAACCGCCGTCCGAGTCCATGGAAACGAAGTACAGAGCGCCGTTGAGTCCGCATGGGAGGCCGGAAACGTCAACGTCGAAGGTGAACTCTTTGTTCAGAAGCTTGAACATCTGATAAGTGCTGTCATCTTCCATCAGGTACAGACGCGAACCGACGTTGGAACCAGTGACGAATCCCAGAGTCAGTGCATCTGCATCAGTTGTCACACCGTATGTAGACTCATAGTCCGCACCATCCAGGGCGCAGTTGGTGGCACAGGTAGCGTCATCGGGGCAAAGGGTCGCATCCCACTATTTAATTGAAAATGTCAATTTTTTCCCAACCTTAGCCGTTTGACAAGGACATACCGTGTTGCCAGTGTAGCAATTGGTATAATCATCAGTCGAATGGACCCAACGCCAGTTCGAATCGATAACGACCGATCCAGCCTGCTCAGTGCAACCACTATCAGTACATTTCTCCCAGGTGAGAGAGGGATGGGTTTCGGTTGTATATGTGCCAGCCTGCTGGGCATGTGCAGCTGCCACCAAGGCAGAGAAAAGAAGGGCCCGTTGAGCCATGTTTGAACGAATTGAAAGAAGGCAATCTTATAATCAATGAAGTTTCTGACTAGCAGTTGGAAAAAAAGTATGGAGATAAGAAGATGAACACCTCTATATACTACTATACTCCAGCAATCTGGCTTCTGGAATCTGTCCATCTAGCAATGTCAGTCTCAGACAAGTCCTGACACATCGACACTGACACAACGGAGCAGGAGGCCGTCGCCGAAATGGTATGGACAACAAGAAAGATTCTTTATCAAAAGAACGGGGAATTCCAGATCGGGTGACATCCGTGTCGTGTATTAATTTGAGTGTGGGCCCTGCTCCATGATCAGGATGGGAATGATCATCGCTAAACTCAATGTGTGTCATTTGAGGGTATTTAGTGGAAACAGGCGCTTAAAGGTTAGTTGTTTCAATATCCATAAAATCCACAGGGCCAGATCCTCCGATCCCAATCAAAGGTTGTGTCGATGGCCGCATATTCTTGAGGATGTGTGATGTTGATGCCCTACGGGGTGGAAAATAGCTTGTCTCTAACACTCGACATCTTCAGACCCCAGATTCGAAATAAAACTAATGATTCCTGGTCGAACCTTGGAAATACACACCGTTTGGTAGTATATAGTGCCAAGTGTCATGAGACGCATGTGGGGTGGCTGAAGCCACCAAGGGTGCCACTAGATTTCATAGCTACCGGAAAGTACACATCGAGCCACAGACGTAAAAGTCCCTGGCGCTTGGAATAGGCAAAGACTCAAAAAATGTTCTGCATGACGCTTTAGGCATAGGGCGTTTCAGACGGACCGGAGCCCTCCCGGGTAAGATTGGCAAGGCCAACGGAAAAAACAATGCAGAATATCCTTCAATAGGATGATATTAAGTACGGTCAGACATCTTAAACAATCAAAACTAGGATTGTCGCGATATGAAACCGAAAATTTCTCCCTTATAGATGACACGTTCCCAGCCTGAAGAGCAATGATGCTTTGTCTATTTATCAAAAGCTTGCTAGAAAAGCAGTATGGAGGTTTCAAATATTCAAAGATTTTACAACAAAATTCTATACTGCCATTGTTTAATTGGATAAAATCTTTACTGACTGGTAATTGCTGGAAATCTGCCGGACTACCAACACATCCGCCTATTCTTCAGCTCATGCTTTCGCCCCAGGAGCCTTCATTGCCTAATGCGACACGGCAGTATTCTTGAAGTCATAAGTGAAGTAGTACTCGCGTTCGCTTAACTCTGAGATTTTGAAGCAGGGCCCTTATACAAAATTGAAGTCTGTTGTCGATCTTTGCCGTCAAAGTAAGAAATGCTGCCTAATTCGGATCATGAGTTCCTGGGCACTTTCCTTTTAGGCTGAATACATTCATCTGGAGATTTCACACGCAGATAATCACTGTGTCCGGGGTATAAAGTACTGGAATTAAATACTTCAAGTATTATACACTTCAATATCTATATTGTCTCTTGTCAACAAAAGCAAGTAATTTGTAGAATATTTTCTTTTGTTTTGATTCGATGACATCTTATCTGATCCTTATCGGCCATATGGACCTCGGTCCCATCTTGTTCAGCTCCCTCTTTCAACACTCAACTCCTTAGCGGCGTCGCATCAAAATTTCACGATATACCCGTTCTTTCCACTCATAGTAGTAGGTACAATAAAGTTCCCGTCAGTCGGCTGTTTCCGAGGGCTTATCCGCTGGTAACCATGGCCCTGTATCACCAAACCGTGGACTTTCTCTCCGACTCCTGGACCAACCAGCGAACGCAGCTCCCCTTGCTTGCAGTGACCGGGGCTTCATTCACACTAGGCCTGCTACTTCGATCGCTTTTGAGCCGTGAAGAGCCCCGTCGTGGCGTTCTTCCTTCCCCACGCGAGGCCCTGCGGAGCCTCTCGGAAGAGGAGAACCGCAAAATACCTCTCCCCAACGATAATCTGCCCGGTGCGCGCGATGTTGAAAGTCCATACGGTTCACTCCGAGTTTACGAATGGGGTCGTGAGGATGGTCCGAAGGTGTTGATGGTGCATGGTATTACCACTCCATGTATCGCACTTGGTGGGGTGGCCCATGCGTTGGCGGACCAGGGCTGCCGAGTCATGCTCTTTGATCTGTGAGTTACTGCCAACCCATCCATTCCCATTCCAAACAGAATAGACACTGATCTAAAACACAGGTTTGGTCGAGGATACTCCGATTCCCCTGCTGATCTCCCGCATGATGATCGGCTTTTCACCACTCAGATCTTGCTCGCCTTAGCGTCATCGCCAATCTCATGGACCGGTGCCGACTCTGGCAAATTCTCTCTTGTTGGCTACTCTCTTGGTGGTGGAATATCTGCCACATTTGCCTCATATTTTCCACACTTCTTGTCTTCGTTAGTGCTATTGGCCCCTGCTGGCATGATGCATGACTCCCATGTCAGCTCACAGGCCAAGCTCTTGTACTCGGGAGGCATTATTCCAGAGAATATACTTGGATATTTTGTCAGAAAGCGCCTGCGAGCGGGACCTTTGGTATCCAGACCCAAGGATGGAAAAATCAATATGTCAGATGCGCTGAATCAGGAGGCCCCCACCGAAGTTGCCGCTGAGGCCCAGGTGTTGTCGCGGGAATATCCTCATCTCAACGTCCCGGCTTCCATTGTGTGGCAGGTCGACCACCACCAGGGCTTCGTTCATGCTTTTATGTCGACTATGCGTTATGGGCCCATCTTCCGTAAGCATCAGTGGAATAATTGGGCACGCCTTGGAGAGTACCTGAGTGCCCAAAATACTCTTTCGTCTGGCAAACAGGGACCCAAAGGCCTCCCATGTGACAAGGTTCATATCTTGTGTGGCAATTCTGATGCCGTCATTGTTAAAGACGAGCTTGTTACAGATGCTACGGCCGCTCTTGGTGGGAACGCGGTCTTCAAATTCTACGAGGCAGGCCACGAATTCCCCAGTACCAGATACAATGAGGTGGCGTCATACATCTTGAAGCTGCTTTAAGGGGACTATAATGGGATGATTATCGGGAATTGAGCGTTTAAACATTTGTACTGCACTGCATAGACACTAAATACATACACAAAGGAAACCTTCTATAAACACAGGATATCAATATGGTAGGCTTGCTCTCTTTGCCTCTTCCCATTCCATTACTTCCGGGCCTTCATGATCTCATCCAAGGCATTGACTTGGTTTGCCAGTCCAGCGAGATGAGTCGATCGTTCCGTAGCTGCCCCACCAGCGTAGTATGGGGTCTCAGAAGCTGGAGCATGGGCAAATCGGTCAACGCTGCTGCGGGTAGCGCGTGGAACCTGGCTGACATTGCCCTGGGTGAGAGTAGAGGTGGTGCCATTCTGAGGGCTACTAGTATAGTCAAGCATGTTAGTTCTTATTATCTTCAAGCGGGTCACAGTACTACATACGTAGTGGTTGAGTTAGGGCCAGACATAATTGAGATTGTTTGGTTGTTTGAGAGATATGAAGATAAAGCTCAAAATTGTTGATGGAGGATGTAATATAGATATCAAGACTATCGAATGCCTTGTGTGATGATGATGATGGTTGAAGTGCTGTTCGGTGATGATAACATTTTAAGAGCAGGACTCTCAACCTTTATACAAGAGACAAGGTGTGTGATGAGGCTATGTTCTCGCCCCAGGCATGCCTTGACACGCGAGTTCCCCAGGAGCTCGCATCGTGGTATCCACATGGACCCGAGAAAAAAAATCGAAAAAAAGAAAAGAAAAGCTAAAAAGGACAGAAAAAACACTGAGCAATGAAAGGAATGATGGAAGGATCATCATCTCGCATCGAAAACTCCCTCAGGTCACGAACCCCTGTGACACCATTCCGCCATCAGAGTCGAGGCGCCGGGTTGTCCGCATGAACGACTCTCGTATGTCCCTCAAATTCCATGTTCAGCGGACGCTAACCCAAAATTAAAAATAGCGTGGGAAGTGCATACCCGCTTTTTCGAAACAGGCGACCATGCTGATACGATTGGATCTAGCTTTGCATAAGACTGGGGCTACGAGGCAGGTACAGGGACGGGATGCAGGTCAAAAGTTTTGATTCAAAATTCGGCACATGGTTAACCACATGTTTCGGGATTAAGACTAGATGCGGTATATGGAGCGTGGAATGAGGGAAGGGGGAGGGTTTATTCGGGTTTGCGCAGGTTCAACGGGGATCGTCGGTGAGAGATCTAGCAAGGGTTGCTTCAAGGGGAAGGACGTCATCTGGAGCCTAGATGGTCGATGCAGGGACGGCGGTAAATGCGCATGTTGTAATGATATCTCGCGTGGGATTACTCCTTGGAAAGTCAGTTTTAAATCATTTTATTTTTAATTCCAATTTCTTATATTCATGTTTTCTCAATGAAACATGTCGTGGGATCAACGTGGTCGATCACATGGAGGTCATGCATTGGTCAGGGAATTTAATTTTCTATTTTCAATTTTATAAAAAAGATTGTTATATCGCATGCACATTTACATTTGCAAATCGTTGAGAAATCCGAAAGCAGCTTAGAATGGGAAACATTCTCCCAACCACGCGGGAAGCTACGCCTCTTCATTTCCCTATCTCGCTATAGCGCCGGGTGATCCCTTGCGAGAACGTATGATTAGTTGACGAACAGGTCTAAGTGGACATGGTAAGGCCGCAAGTCCATACCAGCCACGTCTTTTTTGTACTAATAGCCTTACGAATCAATCGAGCCATTCTCCACAGCCATAATACCAGCTGTTGGAATGCTAGAGCGCCGGATCAAGAATAGCAAAGATCGGTGAACCAACGTTCTGTTTCAGAGCGAATCAAGGGTGCTGTCTCCGAGAAAAGGGGTAGCACGTGGAATTACACTCATGCATTGTGCGTCACTTGTGTATGACGAGTCAAACTCTGGATATATATGGGTCCGGATGTAGATTTCATCAGCAAAGATGGAGGTGATGGCTAGCCACTTAGTGGCGCTCGGCTGAACACCCCCCTGGGAGCAACACTTTCCTTTATTAGGATAGTTCAAGGCCCGGGGCCGGGGCACCGGACGCTGCATTTACGAGGGAAAACGAAGGGTGGATAGCCGAGTGGCTGAGCATCCTTGAATTTCATAGGCCTACGTCCCGAGATGATCAAACAACAATTGATGATTGGAGGCCTAGGGGAAGAGAAAGAAAAAGCAAAGAAAAAACTGCCCCCAATCTCGTTTAGGCTAGCGGGTCGAATGAGGTTGATCAGAGCTGAGAGCCAAGTATGTTGGATAACCATATGATGTCGGGATAGAAAAGCCACAGAAGCCATATGGGAACCGGTGTTTCAGATTATTAAGTCGCTCCCACGCGTTCTAAGGGGGATAAAGCATTCCAGACTGAGAAATGTTTGACGACGTTGCGGGTCCATGCAAGGCACGCTTGGTCCAAGCTTCAACAACCTTATCTTCCCCACAACGAGAACTGCGTCTGTCGATCAGTATCTGCTTCGCATGCAAAAGTAGATCAAGTAAATCACAGGAGACTGGTGATTGCTCAAGCTGACGTTGGACGCTTGGTAGATACTTTGTAGATGCTTTGTTTCACTTGAACCCGAACTGCCGGGTTCAGCCACAGCGCCCAACGGACCCGACGACGGCCCCAGCCCTAAAGATTTGCGCTATTTCCAACCCACTGTGAAAAAGCAAAGATAGAAAAAAGAAAGAAAGAAAAAAAACAAAGAGTCACCCCCGTATTTTCCGTAAATAATCAAATAATCGTCATCATTGGTTCATTTTCCTACCTATCACAATTCCAGAACTAAAATGAAATTTTTTGCAAGGGATAGGTTGGTCAAGAATAGTTTGCAGGATGTCGATCAATGCAGTGATCGCCCCACAAGGCCTATCCCTTACAGAAAGGGGAAAAAAAAGTTTGCAACGCTTCAGTCTGAAACGAAACTTTCAACCTGTCCCGGTTTTGAGTACATCGGTATGGATGCCGAAGAGCCGCTGCATTTTGTTGCCGGTGCAACGCTTTTATCCTCTTGTGAAGCAGTTTCAGGACCAGATCACCTCCGGGAATAGTATCAAGTCCACTTTTTATTGAATAGACGAATAGGGATAAATCATATTTATTACTTCCTGTCTGAAAGAGGTCATCTTTAGCGAGTCCTTCCAAAATCCTGGAATGGTTGCGCCCCCAAAAGCCCTTTACGAATCAGACAGCAGATCGGAAGGAAAGAAAAAGAAAAGAAAGAGGTCAAACCGAGCCCGTGGGACCATAATAACATTGAGGATCGGCCTGCCCGATCCCCCTCAACGGAAATCATTTCCACCCAGTGGCCGATAGCAGTGGAGGGATGACACGCAGTAGGGTTAACAAATCCAGTCCCTAAACTCGTGTTAAGTATGCTTTCTTTTGGCAATTCATTTCTAAACAAATTTTTTACCGGCGTGGAAATCAAAATTAGGCTTGCAGGCAGCGACACTAGCCTAATGAAGGTACGCCTTTACGATTTTAGCCTGAAGCGTGATAGGCTGAAACATGAGCTCGGGTTGGGCAGCACTTGAGAGATTGACATGCGGGAAACTACACACACTTCGTTCGATGCCAGCCTGTTGGGGTCGAAATCTGAAGTACAAGGCAACCTTAGAGGCTGTGTCGTTGAAAAGTGGAGTATCTAATTTCCTTTTTGTCTTCTCAGCTGGAATGACTTCATACGAGATTGAATGCAAAGTTGATCACCGATGGCAGTTTGGGCAGAAGCAGAAATTGGGTCATGAGATTGTCTCCGGAAATTGCAAGTGGCTTGAGATTTACAATCAGGTATGTTCTCACCGAGCCAGTGATAAGGGAGCCTTTTTCTAAGGGCTCTTATCTTATTACATTCTTCTATCTAGTGGAAGTTTGCTGTTGACGGTGGATTTTCAATTAATGAAAATTCTTAGATATGTCTCTTGATTGATAAACCTGAGACATTCTGAGAAAAAAGCTCAAGACTCATGGGTAATGCCAGTGTTGTCGGTGATACATACTTTGGCGTCCAGAGTGCAGTAAGGCCATTCAATGTGATGGCCTATGATTTCGTGGTCTGCTGTTTTTCTGGATTCCGTCATTGTGTTGGTCAACATTTCATTTTCTCGGATCCTTGATTCAATGGTAGCAGTTCTCATTTACTTTGAGATATAGGGTCCTACGGCCAATATACTCGTAGGGTAGCGTGTGGTCAGTAACGACGACGATTCGATGGCGGGCTTGTGAGAGAGAGAGAGAGAGTAACGGAAGAAAAGGCGAATCGTCCTAGATATGACATGTCGTCGTTTTATTGGGAGAATAAAGGCATGGCAAACTGTAGGTTTTGGATTGCGAAGCTGTCTGGAAAATGGCAGCAAGGATGCGTTTTTACAAAACTACACAACATTGAAACTTGTTCAAACGGAGGAAGCTCCAAGCTTAAGAGCAAGATTCACACAAGAATACGGGAATTAGTAAGGACCAACCCAATTACCCCCATTAAAGCCGGGGACTCGGATCAGTGCAGAATGAAGCAAGGAAAGGTGCGTAGGCGCAGGCGCGAATGGATGTGCAAGAGAGAAGCTTCTGAGTGAGAGAGAAGTATGTGGTACCCCACGACTCAGGTTGTCTGGCGAGATTGAGCCACTTCCTGACATTGGCCATTGATAGCTCTTCAATGTTCCTAGGCTTTCGAGAATTCTGGGGTGCCTGGGTCTTCCTCCTTTAAAGTCTTAATGGCACGAGAAAACTTCTTGGTCTAAGACTCTTTGAACGGGCGGTTAACGTGGCCATGGAAGAACTTCTTAAGGCACTTGAAATGCCTGATGGCAGCAGCTACTGGCAAGACCTTCGAAAGTTTACGGTTCTGCACCTGCTTCGCTGAGATGAGAAGACGTGCTGCCTAGTGCTAGAAGTATTAATATGTAACTAATATTTGCACATGGTTATGACTTGAGAATATAACGACAGATTGGCCGGGTAGCACAAAAGTCATGCTAAATTCCTTGTTAATCCTACAATAGTCAGCTATTTACTTTATATAGCCACCATGGAGACCATAGGCGGTCATGGTAGGTTTCCATTTACATCAAACAGGCCCAAATATGAACATGAAACATATAAGAACAAAATACTCTATTATATATTTACACATTTCACCGAGGGAAACAAAAAGAGAAATTAGAAAATCCTCGGAAGCGGGCAGTAAACAACTTTGGAGAGGGACCTCATCCGTCAAGCATCTGTAGGTACCTGCGCTTTCATAAATATACTGATGCATAAATATACTGATGACTTCTAAGGTTCGATCTAAGTACCCGAATTGTCACTTGATCGCCCGTCGTTCTTATAAGTCTACCCAAATAGCGCAGAAGATTTCTACTGGAGTACCTACAAGTGCCTCTACTTAACATGTTTCCGCTCTCAAGTGGGGCTTTCCTATCTTAGCTGTTGTGATTGGCTACTCACTGACCAATCCCTGATTACCAAGCGATTTATCAGAACGTATCTAAGTCAGTTGATGTTAATTAACTTGACTATCGAAAAGCGTCAACTTTTGGTCCGGATGTCATGTAGCTTACTGAGGCCGCAGCTCAGACTCAGTGAATGCTTAGCGAGCGTGATTGGCTGCTCAGTTCTCAGTGAGTAAAAAGCAGCGATAGGTGAGCACTACGGAAAGGGAACGTCAAGAATGCGGAGTGGAAATCTACTAAGTAGGTATATTCTGTTCTTGGGCGGCTTAACTAGCAAACAATCTGGGATCCATTTACATACTAGCTTTTCGAGATGCAAGGGTCTGCTTGGACATTTTGAGGCCTTGGTCGGCTTTAATTATTTCACGTGACCTCATTTCGCAAGTACTACCTTTCAAAAGATCGCCTTACTTATTAGTACGGATTGAATACTCGACACAGGGGCAATCTACTATTGAGATTAACTTTTCAGAACATAATGGTTTCATATAGGTAGTGATTTCACTGGCTGTAGCCTCAGCGATCAACACGTCAATTGATGACGTAGGATCGGCATGCGACCAAAACCTGGATGAGTGGCTGATGCATTTTTGTCCAACTTTCCCCCTCTAGGTAGAACCCCAGAGTGTCAGAAACCTGCGCAACAAACACATCGATCTGACCAGTTTGTGTGGGGTCCCAGCTAAGACCATTTTTGACGCGCATCGTTCGTCATTGTATATGCTACCATAGTTATGGGAGTCCAGTATGCCTATCATAAAGCTGTTGCCTCATTTCTTCGCGCCCTTGTTCGACCCAGACTTCACATTGACCCCAAACCAGACGAGACAGTGTTTGTCCCATCTCGTGACGAAGGCCGAACTATCAAAACCAACGTCTACGGAACTACGGACGGCAAACCAACTCCAGTCCTCATAAACTTCTGTGGCAGTGGATTTGTTCTTCGTACCTTCGGAAATGATGACGAATACTGCCGTTTCGTCGCAGATAAGACCGACTACACTGTAATTGACGTGCAGTACCGACTTGCACCTGAGAACACATTTCCAGCCGCCTTCAACGACGCCGAGGACGTCGTGAGTTGGGTACGATCGCAACCCGATCGCTTCGATGCTTCTTGCATTTCACTTTCAGGGTTCAGTGCAGGAGCCAACATCGCACTTGCAGTGGCATCATCGTCCAAGTTGTTCGGTGGCGAAGAACAGAAGAGCATATTCAACACCGTTGTTTGCATTTACGGACCGACTGACATGGTTCTGCCAACCCCGGAAAAGCCATTCGTCGACGACTCTAATTGGATTATGAGGACGATTTTCCCAAAATTCTCTCACACTTGTCACAAATTGCTAAATCCAGGCAACGTTGATCCGTATGATCCCCGTATATCTCCTGGGTTTGCCGATCCGCACAATTTCCCCAACAATGTGTTGTTTATCACCGCCGCTCAATGTCCATTTGCTATCGAGGCGGAGAAATTGTCGGAGAAGATTGGCGGAATAGATGGAAAGGTCTCTTTGAGTCGCCGAATGGAGGGGTGCGCCCATGGTTGGGATAAGGAGGCCATCCGTGGCACATCCCAGTGCAAAGCGAAGGATGAGGCATATGCGTTGGCGGTTGCGACCTTACAGAGAGGCGAAACAGAGGTCGCCAAAGCCAGAGAAGCAGAGGCTTGATTTGATACCCATGATTGTATATCGCTATGTAGTTTCCTTTGTTGCCATATTTTTCAGGCAGTGATATCCTCCAGTTTTAATAGATCTAAATAGATTTGTTAGATTGTTCGTTCACGAGTCGTGACCACAGGTCTTCCCAATACAACTCCCACTCGTGAGATTTTCTCCACGTATGAAGGGTGTTTATTTTTCACCCATCAGCTATGTGTAGGCAGACGTTCGCGCCAGTGTCCTTTCCCAGCACTTTTATCTTTGCCATCCTCGTCAGGGCCTAGAACCTTGCACCACGATCATTCTCGACCGACTCGGGCTCGTGATAAACACTCAGTGTAACGCGTCCATTAACAGATATGAGTCGGCTAGAAAATGATGATGGGTAATCGTTCACGCTAATAAAAGATGTTGTGGTAGCCCGACCATTAATTGCTGATAAGGGGTAAAGCGGAGCAAGGACGGGGCAAGCTGACAGCCTATAGGATTGGTTGCCTGACCATGCACTCAAGCTGCCTTGATATGCTTCCTCGGCCGCATGTCCAATCAACTGAGAAGATTAGGGAAAGCAAAAAGAATTGCGGATAAATAATGAGACCGATAAGTCAGATGATTTACACATGATCGCGCTAAAAACGCGTTGTCGGAATACGAGAAGACGACGCTCACTGTCAACTCCCCACAGCCGTTGGCACAGTCATGGAATCCACCACGTACTTGGATTTATGCGAAGAGATTTACAAAAAAATCACGAACAGGCTACAAGGAACCCCCGAAGGTGGACGCCGCTTTGCTGGGACGGGGACAATGAAGGAAGTGCTGAATGACGATCTCCTGAGACAATTCTTCAGCAGTCTTGATATTCCTGAGTCCGTTTTGATGGCTACCAACTCCAGCATCGATGATTTGATACACAGGTTTGCTGAAAGAGACCTCTTTAACTTTCTGGCCACTCTGATATACATCACTTGCAACATCCACGCTGCGCGAACCTTCACTACCGAGCTTGTCGCTGGAGATGTCTGGGCTGCCAAGACTTATGAGCTACCAGTCGAGCGTACGGTTTTAGATGATCTATTTCGGGATCAGGTTACAGCGGACAAATTCATTGAGCATCAGGCATGCTTCTGCACCAAGGTTATTAAGAAGTGGCGAGAAAATATCATTAAAAACCCAGACGGACAGCGTCTTCCTTATCTCGAGGAAACGTTTCTGAACGAAGGCGCATTCGGTGCAGTGTACAAAGTTAAAATTGCTAAAGGCCATTTCTACGACCCGAACTTGAAATCTGCCAACGACGAACCGATAGAAATTGCACGCAAAGACTACATCAGGTCTTCCCGGGAAAACGAAAATGAGGCGCTCATCATGAGAAAGATTGTGTCTGCCCAGTGGTCTTGCAAGAATATCGTGGAAAGCTACGGCAGTCTTGTAGTTGGCCCAAAGACATACAGTCTGTTCATGCCGCTCGCCGTATGTGACCTGTGGGAATATATGACGCAGTTGAGGCGCCATAGACCCGATAAATTGGCGATCATCCAGGCTGCTCAGGGCCTTGCGAATGGGTTAAATTTTCTTCATACAGGAATCAATACGACCAACGAGAGACTGGTTTGTTACCATATGGATCTCAAGCCCAGGAATATTCTGGTGTTTTCAGAGGAAGTCGAAGGAAACATTCATTATATTTGGAAGATAAGTGACTTCGGTATGTCTCGCGTGAAAACAGTCCGCACAGATCAGTCTGGGCTACATAGCGTGAAAGAGAACAACTTCAACGGCCCCTTCGTTCGGCGTGAACAGCCAGAGGATGCGACTGGGACTTTGAATCGGCGAGAACAATCAACGTACCTTGGACCGGAATCTATCTCTGCGAACCGAAATATGAAGACGAGTAGCGATGTATGGTCGCTTGGTTGTGTCATTAGCGTCTTATTCGCATATTTGGAAGATGGGGCCGACGGAGTGGAAACTTACTCAGACAAGCGAGTAGCCCACCCTAAATCCCAGGGCTACGATCGCTTCTTCGTCCGAGATGGAGGATTCAGGCCCTTTCAAGTCAATCCCGAGGTCAGAAAGATGCATGACTATCTAATTATCAAAGCACGACAGCGAAACCCCAATGAAGGGGCAGCAGTCCGGCTTATGTTAGAGTACCTGGAGAACGAGGTTTTCAAAGACCAATCGAAGCGATGCAAAGTGTCGGACATGGAAGAGACCCTCCGAAGAACAAGAATGATATATGAGAACCTGGAGCAACCACCAATACAAAGTCAAAGCGTGTCACAACATCCCAATTGGATTACAACAATACGCAGCCGATTATCGAGTGGCATTGGTCGCGGAAAAGTGAGTCCTCATGCAGATAATAGACTCCAGAGGATGTTTCTGGATGGTAAAGAGCCTTTCAAGGGATGTGAAATCTCTCCCGATGGGTATATTGTTGCCTTCTGGTCTGATTCCATGATATCAATTTACACATCTAACACACTGCCTTTGGCAGAGGCAAGTGAGCTAGTTCCAGTGGCAAAATCGGCAGGAGAATTCATAGAACCAGATCTTCATTTTATCTGGAAATCCGTGAGCGTAACGGACAAGTACCTAATAGCATCCACATCAGGGGGAAACTTCAGGGTGAGCGCTGAGTCTCAAAGAACATCAACTACGGAAAAACTAATTTTTAATATAGTGTTATGTTTTTGATTTCCAAAGAGGCCCCTCGCCCGGTGAAAACCTCTTATATCCACATTGTTATTCCTTGTCATCACTTCCAGAAATCAAGCGACTTGCCCTCTCCCCCGACAGCCAGACTATCGTTTTTATTCTGCGTGATGCAAATGATGAAAACAATCCGGGGACTCTGTACCGCGCTCCGGTGACAGCTGTTGGGGACTGTGAGCGCCTATGTCAGCTAGATTGGCCAGCAGCGGATGCTATACAGCTTTTCTTTTCAACAAACCAAGATATATGGATTGTTTTTCGACCGAATCTCAATTCTCTCGATCCGGAGCACAAAATCCCCATCTTTCATATCTGCCTTCAGCAGAAGCAGATAGATCCTCTCATAATTGAACTTCAAGTAAGTAATCACCGTGGAGGGTTAGTGTAATATGTTGTTATACGCTTTCTAACGCGAAAAAGGGCTTCGATATCAACACAACAGTCGGCATCTTCACGACCCTAGCGCCTTTCAACAAAGTTCCCGACGCCTGCGCGGTTGTCACCCGTGAAGAAATGCTCCACATCAAAAGCCTCAATCCAGAAAAGCTGTTTCGCTCCGCCACAGCGGATATTCATACCTACCGAATCTTGAAACTGATGATGGGCTGGGATGATAAGAGACTATTTGCTGTGGGCAAGAGGTATCACAGAATGCTTTTGTTGGAAATCACCATGCCAGGGCTCAGGAGAAATGAAACCCCCATCACAAAGGAAATTTCCATCACAGAGCTGGCGGAGCTTCCAGGTCTTTCGGATGATGATGACTTCACAGAGAGATTGTCTTCCCAGGGTGACGAGAAATTCATTCTTCTCGCTGCCCTTACGAATGATAACCGACGCGCTATATACAGGTTCCGAATTCTTTGAGGCAGATATGAAAGCTTGAGTCTAGAGAGACATTTGAACACCTTTATCACGCATGAAATTCCTCCATCTCCCTCTCGTACGTGCTCATTCCTGTGAGCCTACGCATCATAGCTTGGAGGTTGATTTGGGGAACCGCTGGTCTTCTTGCGGGGAGCCTGGGGAGCGGTATGCTACCGCGGTGTTCTAGCAAGTAGTAGAGAGCGAAGGTAAGAGCGGTTAGCCCGACCGATGAAAGGAAAAAAATCCATATCATAGGCGTGGCGACAATAGCTGATTTTTGTTCGTCCATAGCGAAGAAATTCATGCCAAACAAGGTCTATCATAGTGTTAGCAACGTTGAAAATCTTTCTGCCATAGGAGGCCATGTATGGCAAAATCGAGTCGTAAATACTTACAGCCAGGAACGAGGGTGGGAGATAGAACAAAGTTAGTCTGGTTATGAATATTGCAGACTTATTCAGCTGGAATATCTGCTTATTTTGTTCGCCAGTGACAACTTGGTCTCGAAGCAGTAGCGTATCAGCTAGAAGTCGAGCAACAGATTGAACTTGTTGCTGTAGATGTATTGACGTCCGAGAATAGGCGATGCACTGTCGACGTTGATTCTTCAGATCCTGCAACTCGAAATCCGTAGATGGGGTTGGGCCCATGGAGCCAATCAGTGTACAGAGCTCATCGAGGACATCTTTTGTCCCCGCTAGCATGGTCGGCATTTGAAGAAAATCGCTTTCTAACTTGGTCAACACGTTGAGGGTGCTATATTTTAAACTCAAAGGCTCGTCAATGAATGCTGCAAATGTTGGGCTGGCTAGAGTTAGGAATTTGCGTTCACGTTCCAAGATGCTATTTCTCCACGCCGGCAAGTATGTCGAGAACAAGACCGAGTGAATCCAAAAAGGATTGTTCTTTATCTCTGAACAATGATTGCGTAACATATCCTCTGCCTTGAGGAGTGCCTTTGACCGGGGCGTTGGGTTGATTAGGACGAACGTGCTTCGCGATGTCGCACAGTCATATCTATGGTACAGGCCAGTTTGGCGAATCGTCCACTTGTCAACCTTTGCCTTGTACTCTGGGTATCTTATTGTGTAAGATATTTCTAATCTTCGATTAGTAACTTTGTCATAAATCCAGCCATATAGGGGTGATCTCTTACCAATACAAGAGCCAGTGCGTGACTCGGTGTATGGTACACAAAATACTTGCTCCAGGTCTAGGCGGTATTGGCTGCGATCAAAAAAGGACAACGGAAGTTGCCAAAATGCCGAGTTGATATCATGCTCGAGCACAATATTATCGAGCATGGGCTTGGTTATCTGCAGTGGTTGCCAGGAGTTTGCCTGGCATATTGATCTGGTTCATGTTAGATAGTCATAGCTAGTGCCAAGCTATTAAATACTCACATCAGGCGGCACGAATACGTGTGCTTCTCAGTAATTTGGAAAGTTTCGGTTAGATCTTCCAGCGTGAAAGCCTCATACTTCTGACACGAGTGCGTGGCTGGATCTTCGGCATGGGGGCCAAGATCAAATACCTGGACAGGCTTGGTAATTTGATCGAGGCAGCAGTTTTGTATCGAGATCATGATATGTGGGAATACACTTTTAAGGGATAGATAACCGAGAATTCAAGATGAACTGATATATTTGAATCGGAAAAAAAATCTTCAAAGTAAGGCGTTTCTGTGGGCGTTTTCAGGGGCCTCGCCTCTCCCTGCGCCCCATGACCTGCGACATCCTGCGCCTCATACCCCACGTACATCCCGTATCACACAGTCTCATCCTATCAAACTCATTCTTCCTCACTATCGTCTGCTATTTGGGCTGGTCTGAGCGAAAGGGTGTCAGTACGCTAAATCACTCCGCCCAGTCAAAAAATCTTACAGAAGCTCGCTCTGGGGTCCAGGAAATGTCAGTCTAAGTTTATACAACTATGGAATGGATCATCGCGTACAGCCTCAACTTTTCGCGGTGCGATAAATGAATATTCGTCGTTCTGCATCTGTTCGCTGTCAGCCTCATAATACAGGAACGAGCAGGAATGTGGATACAAAACCCTAATTTTAAAGTCCGTGACATTAGAGAACAGCTCCCGCAGCCTTGCTTCGAGTCGTTCCATTCTGAGATAGCGAGCGGCAGTGTTCTGCCGAGTCTGTTCTTGCACAACGGGTGGCATACTGATCGGAAGGATTAATATGGCTAGCAACCTTGTAAGCAGGACCGGCAATTCATAAACCCCCTGCGGCTGAAACCGAAGCAAGTATTGGCCACGTCACGAACACATTGCACGGGTCAATGAGAGGGGAAATCCGTGTTATCTGCGGTGCAGTCTTATCACCTGTGAGAAATACGAGGTTATCTCGGGCTAATGCAGCACTATGCTAGATACGGAAATACCCGTCCACCTATAGGCTGGCCCCAGAAAAAGAAACCATGCCTGGAGGCGCGCCCAGGTGAAATTCGGGCTGATGCACCTTGATTCGTTGCCTAAAGCCACGCCACAAGAGATAAATGCGGGGGCCATGTTCTTCTGGAATACCTTAGGAATCCAGTGTCAAAATAATGTGGCTCATGCTCACCAAGTAACCGGATCAGTGCTTGACTTTTTGTGAACAAGGCAAGGAGAGATTGTGACCGGTCAAGGTTACTTCAAACATGTCAGTGTCACTTGAGCTGCATGACTGGCCGACAGAGAGGGTAGCAACATCTTCACCGACTGGGGTGCCCTGTACTGTGGCTGGTGAGACAGCGACCCAGGAGAGAGAACAGAGGCCCGATCTTCTAACACCAGCATCCCTCCGAGTCGTATCCAATACCAGAAGCGCTTCAACTGAGGAAACTTTAGTCAATTCGGATCATGATGCCGGTTTCAGGCGACGGGTCGGGGAAACAATAGTCGTCGGCCCACGAGAAGACAGGACGGTGAACCGAAAGCTCAAAGGGATTCATTTATTCATGATCACAATCAACGCAACCCTTGGAATCGGTCTCTACTGGCGAGGTGGACAAATTCTGGAGCTTGGAGGTCCTCTAGCAGTTGTTTTGTCCTACTTTCTTGTTGGTTGCTTGGTTTGGGCTATCATGCAAGGCATTACCGAAATGTTATGCATCTGGCCAATTCCCGGTGCTCTTTCAATGTACGTCAGCAAGTTTGTTGATGAAGAGCTGGGTATTGCTGTTGGTATTGCATACTGGTAAGACATATTCATTCAAGGTCCAAACTGGGCTAATATCCAACAGGTTTACGTACTCGATGTCTTTTTCCACGCTTCTCGCAACATTAGCGGCCGAATTCGACTACTGGAATGCTTTCAACAGCCGTGGTGTGCATGCAGGGCTGATTTTTGCGGCTGTTCCTATAACATTGGTTATGATCAATATGCTCAGGATTGAGGTATGTTCAAGTTTCTACTTTGGTAAATAGAGCATTCCTAATTGTTTTATCAAGTCATATGGTCTCATAGAGGTCATAACTGGGTCTTTCAAGATTTTCTTTATGTTTGTCATCTTTGTTTTTTTGATCATAATCAATCGAGAAGGTAAGGAAATCTCAATTTTGCTTGGCCTATGGCAGCTCCTTTCGCTCCTTGGAGGATATGCACATGTGTGCTAACTTCTCTCAGCTGCACCAGATACTGGGGAACCTCTTGGCGTGAGATGTAGGTATACTTTGCTTCCAGGATATTACCCTAGCACAATTTGATACTGACCTCTATAGACTGGTCTAAACCTGTGACCTTTGATGACACAGCTGCTAAAAATTGGCCGATCGCACTATGGTAAGCCCTCAGCAGTAACGTCAATGTCTTCAATTCACTGATATACCACAGTATGTGTATTTCAACAGCGGTATTCTCATTTGTCGGGGTCGAGGTCGTTGCCGCGTCTGCCTTGGAAGCGAAATGGCCTCAGCATGGAAGAGACGCAGAAAATTCATGCTCCAAGGCAAGCCCCAAAAGCCCCCTAGTTGGGAGTGGGGTCAAGTTCTCCGCCATATACATATCCGTCCTTGCAACGGTTGCTTATACCCTGAGCGGGTTTCTCGTCAGTCTCGATATTCAATCTGCCGACTGCAGGTTACCTCGGGTGACCTGGGATACGACAAGTACCCACTGTAAGGATCCTGGCAGTCAATCTGCTTTTGTTATGATCGCCAAAGGCTCCAAAATTAAACATCTGGCCGATGTAATCAATGTTTTTCTTGTATTCACCTGCCTATCATGTGCGGGTACAAATCTCTACATCTCGTCACGCGCGTTATTTGGCCTCACTAGCCAGCTGAAAGGGGGGAAGGGCCAGAGTTGGCATATACGTGTTTTGGCAAAGCTTGGAAAGACAGATCACCGCAAGGTTCCCAGGCGAGCCATAGTATTTTCTGCGGTGGCATTTTGCTGGATCCCATTTCTACAGCTTATCCAAGGTTCCGAAGCTCAATCCTCGATTAATGTGGTAGGCTTGCTGCAGCGTCATATGCTTCTGACTTGAAAGCTAATGTTCGTGTCTAGCTTATTGAAGTTCTGAGTGAGATGGCATCTGTCGGTCTTTTAATTGTCTGGGCTTGCGTGTGTCTCGCATTCATCCGGTATCATGGCTGGTGAGTTTAGACAATGATCCGATATAGGACAACCGTTAACTTCAATCAGCACCCAAACCATAATAAAAAACCAAGAATTCCTTGACCGAGACGATGTCGCTCAGGTCGTGCGCAATAGTCGCAATTACCCCTATCGCAGCCACAGCCAGCCGCTATTGGCCTGGGTAGCCTTCGTGGGTTGTTGCACTGTTCTACTTGTGACGAACATGGCTTCCTTATGGCATCGGTTTCATCTCTTGCCTTTTTTAACGCCTTTTATGTCGTCTTATTTAACAGTAAGAAAAGATCTCGACATTCAGGAACTCTATGGCTAATGAACTTAATCTCCAGATCCTGGTATTTATTGGGATGTGGGTCTTACTGAAGGTGCTTCGAGGAGCAAAGTGGTCGCTCGTTGACTTGTCGCGGGCCCAGAGAGTTGCTAAAATATTACGGGGCTTGCATGAAATGCGCGCAGCGACAATGACAGACAGGACACCATCATATTGAGGAGTAAGAAGCGGCGATTGGTATTTACAAGCTCAGCAAGAAATGTACATTAACACCCTAATTGGCCAATGATACGTGTAACCATGATGTTAATATGCTGTGTCTTCCTGATAATCCGATGCTGTCCGCAGAGGCCAATCAAGCAAGGGCATCCACTTGTCATCCAGGGAGTATTTAATTGCTTCAATGATTGATTGAGGCCAGCGCTTCATATACCACCTCGAGCTTGAGTAAAGGAGCAGAACGCAATAATACGCGAACACCAACAGTGCCTCGGGTCTTCTTTCTCCGAGCAGGGATAGAAACTTTGGGTCTAATGACGATGACCATAGAATTGCGACAACAATATTCATCGACGGACGGGTATCAGCAATTATTTTCTCGAGGCTTTTTATTGACTCCAGACATATCCCCACAATCCTATCGTCCGAGCTCATAGCACGAATCGCGTCAGATAGAGCTTGAAGGCGCGTTACTGCCATGAGAATTGTTGACGAATCTGACTTTTCAGAAGGCGATGCACGATATCGGTACGATATCAGAGGCGCCACTGGACCCTGCCATAGGGCTGATGAGATCACCGGATTCTTGAAAAGCACAGGTAGGCCTCCACTGAGTATAATCCACTCCGATAGCTGATTATCAAGCCACAAAGTAATGTCCGCGGCCGGATTGGACTGGAGTGACTGGAAGATTTCCGATTGGCGAGCCAATGATGTAATGAATATAAGTAATGCGCATGCAAAGGCGGCATGGCAAGTCTCAGCATTGAGCTCGGAAAGGCTGCATCGGAAGCCTTTTAAGGCATTATCATAATGGCTGTGAGCAGCCATAAGGTATTCGTCAGGAACATCCCCCGTGTTCGAACCAGTGGAAGAGGTAGCTGGCGAAAATGATGTAATTGGTTTTCCTTTCAGTCGCACAATGTGGAAAGCTGATAATGATAGTATACAATGAAGTAAATAATCATGCTGAAAGCCAAGCTCAACAAAGACTATGGAGTAATATTTCGAGATGTCGGTATCGTTGACACTCGATATAGACAAGGCCGTTATGGTTGTGAAATGATGAAGAAGCTCCATATCCAGCATGGAGCTCCTTGAAAATTTCATCCCATCAGATGGCGATTCAGCAAAAGAGCAGTCAGCCCGACGATTCTTGACACACTGCGCACAGGGAACGATGCCATTTTCGTCGCATTTGATTTTGCGTGTTTTGCACTGGAGACATCCCTTCCGACTTTTCAGATGTTTTCGCCGCGTTGTTTCAGAGGACATCACGACAAGGGCCTTGTCGGCAATCGAATGAACGATTTGCCTTGGCAGTCGAAAGTGACTTTCTTATCTTCATCGTGGCGCCATCTGGGAATAGCGGTAGGAGTCGGCAGATTGGCCTGATATTGTTGATGCCTGAGGCTACTTCAGGCCTGACTGGACTAACATGGATATCAAGATTTCAAGATATCACAGGCCTTCTAGGAGCTAGGCAATTCTTAGCTTCAGGGTCTCGACCCGTAAAGATTAAGGAATTTTCTTTTTTGACTCGTCTTGTTGGGCGTTGCTTGGGTTACACTTGATGTCGCTTGGCGAGGCTCCCAAATGCAGATTATTCGGGGTCTATACCTAAACTAGACTAATAAGCCACGATAGCCCCCAAACAGCTTATGATCGTTGTTGTTATCCAACGGTTCTATCACGCCATGGTATAAGCGCTCAATCGTCTCACGAAAATCGCCTGAAATTAGGCTACCGATTTTCCGATCGCACGCTATTCTGCAAAGTTAAATCGTGCTAAGCCCCTGATTTTGGGAAACTGACCTGAACCAATCATCAGGAAATGAAAATTCCTATTATTCCGAATAATATCAAGTGCGGGTCAGAATTAAAGTGGATTCGTGTTTAAAAGGTTCTTTGTTTCTGGACCCTGAGGATTTGATTTCAAGCTTCTTTCACTTCAATCCTGCCTCAGTCACCATGCGACCACCAATACCCATCAATTTGATTATTCGCGCTTGCTTACTGTGTGTCGCCTTGCTATCGCCATTTGTTGCGACTGGATCTCCTGATTCCAATCCAGTCCCCACTATCACAACCGATCGTGATGATATCACCATTTTACGAGCGCGGGCTGAGAATCAGTTCTTGCTCCGGATTATGCCATTGGGAGCATCCATCACCAATGGATATCGTTCAACAGGACACAATGGCTACCGGAACTGGATCAGACAGCAGCTCCGTTACGAGGGCTGGGATGTGGAGATGGTCGGGAGTTTAAGGAATGGCACGATGATTGACAATGTGAGTGATCTTTGGCTTCGACTTTGGAAAGCACTGACTGATTTCCAATTTCAGTTCAATGAGGGTCATTTTGGCTTTAGAGTTGATCAGCTATCCAAAGAAGCTGTGAAAACTACCCCGCAACAGCCCAATTTGATCCTGCTCAAGTCAGTTCGTTTCTTCAGTTGACAGATATCCATACTAATGTGTCAATAGCGCCGGCACCGACGACGCATTACAAAATCACCACGTTGGCACCACTGGAGTCCGAATGAATTCTCTTCTTGATCTCCTCTTTGAGAAAGTTCCCAACACGACAATCATTCTCTCGACGCTGCTGCCAAACAAGAAATCGCCACAAGTGGTCGAATGGATCAGCGACCAGTATCGCGTGCTTGCTGCCAAGCGACGCAAAAGCGGCGATCGAATCGTTTTAGCCGACATGAGCAGTTTTATTAAATTGGACGAATTGGCCGATGCAACTCACCCGACAGACGTTGGGTATAAGAGAATGGCATCGGTGTGGTGGGCCGCAATTGAAGATGCATTACAGGAGAACATGATCCAACGGTTCAATTACACAATCACAAACAAACTGGAAAAGGCCTTGGACAACAGTACCAGCAATCCCAATCTGCCTTCCTACACGGCCCCTCCCCAGCCTACAAATACCAATCATGGAGTTCCCCGTTTTCCGCGAAGAATATCCCTAATAGTGGGGATTTTCCTTGTCCTTGGTAAGTTTGATTAATCCTTCGTTCTTATCTTATAGAAAACTAACAGAAGCAGTGTTGGTCTCGCTATGAGTGCAATTGCATTATCGACATCATAGACTACGTGCAAGCGTTCTTCTTTTTACTTATACCCCATACTTCATTTGATGCCCCATCTTTCATGCACATTTGATGGATTTGAACATACTTTCCTGGGGGATTCCCTGTGAATCCTATGAATTCAAATGAGCACAGCAAAGAAACATTTTCAATACCCGCAAACTCGAACGCAAAAGCCTCTTTGACAAGTTTTTATCCAACAATAGACGGCTCCACTGATCAAATAGATCCATTTGTCTACTTTTTAGCATATAGTCATGCAATTTGACACTATTCTTCAGTTTCCCTACCCATTCACCAAATCTCGATCAGACTTTAAATCCATTGCGTATTCTGCCCTTCAAAATACCTTCGACCACTCGATCAAAAAGCAACGAAAGAAGGAGGGTGAGCTAGAGCCGGCAGCTGCTATGCTGGCGAAAAAGAAGAAGGTGATGCTGTAGAGCCTGCCGTAGCACCTGCTGGGGAACCTGCTGTTGTTGAAGGACCTCACCCGAATTGTCAAAATTCCTTAATGTTGTTGAAGCCGATTCTCCCCCTCGCATCAAGCCCCCTCGCCATAAAAGATAGAAGCACGAGTAAAGAACCCATTGACGACTAATAAAAAGGGCTGTTATCTTTAAGTGACTATTCGACCGATCTGGTACTTCAAATAACCAGGTCTGACGATCTCCTCGTGATTCACCCGACTATACTCGATTTATCATTGAATCAGATCCCGTGCGACCCGAATACTGGGGAAGAATTTTCCAAGGTTGAAGAGTAGTATTGGCAACTGATCTACATATCACTAAGCCCCTCATTCAAACAATCACCAGGAACCACAAACCCCCGTGGTATCTCAAACAACCCACATGGCTTAGGAATACTTCTTCTGATCCAAAAGCCCACCCTCTAAGACTCTCCCTACTACCAACCATGCAACAATCACCCTTACGACCACCACGTCAGCGAAAACAGCCCTCACCTCACACAACCAAAAACCAACCACTGCGATACATTCCACCCACCCAACAGCAACAGCTCTTGTCCTACAACGATATCCCAGCCTGGTACTCAGATAACCCCTACATCCTAACAGGCTACCGCCCCATCTCGAATTCCACTCAAAGCTGCCTATCAAGTCTCTTCTACTTACACAACGAATCAGTCAATATCTACACCCATCTCGTCCCATCGATCTCACTTCTTCTCGCGGAGTGGACACTCTACCAATACATCCAGATATGGTACCCCCATGCCGCAATCCAGGATCAAGCTATCTTCGCATTTTTCCTCCTAACAGCAACGATTTGTCTCGGGATGTCGGCGATTTTCCATACGCTCATGAACCATTCGGAAAAGGTTTGTAATCGATGGCTACAGTTGGATTTTATTGGCATTGTTATTCTTACTATGGGAAATTTTGTTTCTGGGATTCATATGGTTTTTTATTGTGAACGACGTTTGAAATATATTTATTGGGGGATGGTATGTGCGGTTCTGTTTACACTGGTTTGAATGTCAGTGTAGCAGGATGTGGATGCTGATGGTATTTTAGACTGGGATACTCGGTGCATCATCGCTTATGGTACTTGTCAATCCGCGTTTCCAGGGTCTACAGTGGCGCACGTTTCGGGTTGGGACTTTCATGGCGATGGGTCTTTCGGGGATCGCGCCACTTGTTCATGGGGTTGCGGTTTTTGGGTTTTCGCAGATGATGAGGCAGTCTGGGGCTCCGTTTTATATTGCCGAAGGCGTGCTTCTTGGTCTTGGGGCTGTGGTCTATACTGTTCGTTCTGTGAGTTATAGCATTTGAATGATTGCTAATTGGTGCTTGTAAACAGGCCCGGGTTCCGGAGTCGTTTGGGCCGGGGAAATTCGATATTTTCGGGTCGTCTCATCAGATCTTTCATGTCTTGGTGGTGCTTGCTACCGTCTTACAGTTTGCGGGGATCCTATGGGCGTATGATTACAATTACTATAATCGGGTTTGTGACTTTTAGAGTATGGGGCATAATGAAGAGAATGTGTGTGAAAAGAAGCGCAATGTATGCATGCATTCATTTAGCGTGACACCGTGTCAGGCTCGTCGTAATCAAAAAATCGCATCTATGTACGGTTCTAATGTATTCTATATACAAGAGTTTATAAAAAAGCAAAACAAAAACATGAAACCAAGTCCTTAGACCCTCTCGGTGCCCTCGGAGTCATCTTGGTTCTCTTGGTGGACAGCGTGGTCCTTAATTTCGTAACGGAACTCCTCGTCCTCCCGGCGGAGGATCTCCTTGAGCTGCTCATTGGCGCGCCAGACAGGCTTGCACTGGAACAGACGGTCGACACGCTCCAGAGGGATACCGGAGGTCTCGGGGATGAGGAAGAAGGCGAAGAAGAAGGCCAGGAAGGAGAGAGATGCGAAGAACATGTACACTCCGTATCCCATAGCGGCGAACATCTGCTCGGTGAAGCGAGAGACGAGGAAGTTGAAGAGCCAGTTGCTAGAGGTGGTGCAGGCCTGGGCAAGGGAACGGAAGTTGGGGTCGAAGAACTCGGAGTTGATAACCCAGGGAGTACCGTTCCAGGTGGGGGTGTAGACAGCGGTCCACAGGTAGAAGAAGAAGATGGCGGCAATACCACTGCCGTTGAGGGAGGTGATGTTGTGCTTGGTGGGCTCAACGATGTAAACGTAGGCACCGATGATCCACATGCAAATGGAACCAGTAACGGCACCGACGAGCAAGAGCTTGCGGCGACCGAATTGGTCGACCAGGAAGAGCAACCAGACAACAGTCATCACAGCCTTGACGACACCGAAGATACCGGTCATGATGTCGACAGTGTTGGTCTGAACACCCAGAGACTTGAAGATAGTGGGGGAGTAGTAGTTGATGGCGTTGATACCAGATCCATTCTGCCAGAAGAAGAGCATGCAACCCAAGAACAGACGGTAGCAGAGCAAGGGGCGTTCGCGAAGAGCCTTGAATGGCTGCCAGAAGCCCATGCCAACGGTAGCCCTTTGGGCCTCGATGGCAGCGTCAATAGCAGCAACCTCCTCAGTGATGTAGATGTCGCTAGGAGTCAATTGACGGATCCAGCAGAGGTTGTTCATGGCCGTTGCGCGCTTCTCGTGCAGGAACAGCCAGCGGGGGGATTCCCGCATCCAGAGAGATCCCAGGAACAGGAAACCGGAGGGAATCAGCTGGATGGCGAAGGGAATCATCCACTGTTCACGATCGGAGGGAAGATGTTGCTCAACGCCGTACTAAACAATCCAATAATCAGCAACATAATCAAGAGAGAAAAACATTTCCGGAGCCATGACTCACGTTAATCCAGAAGCCCAGCATACCACCAAGCTGCCAGCCAAGTTCATACAGACCGACGAGACGACCACGAATGGCAGGAGGAGCCAGCTCAGCGAGGTAAATAGGGACAATGTTGGAGGCGATACCGGTTCCCAGACCAGACAAGACACGACCAGCGTACATCATACCCAAACCAGTACTGCTCGAGGAACCAACCTGAAGGGCAGCTCCGAGGATGAAAATTGCAGAAGAGATACTCAAACACACTTTGCGGCCAATCCAGTGGCTCAGGGCGTATGTGAGAAGGGCACCGAAGAAGGCACCGGCAATGAAGAGGGAGACGATATTTTCGCTGATCAAGTCCTGTCCTGCAGAGCTCAGTTTGTCTGTGCCAAACTCCTCCTGGAAGGAGGAGAGATCAATTGTAGTACCAATGAAGGCACTAGTATAACCGATCATGTTGGAACCGCATGATGCGATGGCGGCGAGGAGGTAGACACGCCAATTGTAGACGCTCTTGGGCGTCGGCCGATCCTCAACGAGATGAAGGATACCACCCATGGCTGTGGTGATGAACAGCAGTGAGAAATTTTCCGGAGGGTTGAGAGGCGAAAAATTTTTCGACTGGGGATGAAGGAGAAAGAATGGGACGAAGGGCAGACTAAGTATGTCTTTCCCCAGTGGTCTGTGGGTACCAAGGAAGTGGAAATCCTTTTTCACGCTTAACCCTCCCCACAACCTACGTTGCGTAGAACCCCAGAGGATGGGGCATGTATGGGGTTCCAAAGTGAGGCTACGCGACCTCTAGCATCCGTGCTAAATTCCCACGGGGTGGACACTGACCCGGGGTAGCGTTTTCCCCGGTGGAAACGTTCAGCCGGGTTCAACGAATCGTTTTCAGTATATATCCAACCAATCCCCCTTCTTCTATGGGTTTTATGACCTCAACGGCTTATTTCGCCTTCCTAGTGGCCATTATCTGTCATCCTTGCTACGAATTTTCATACTTTTTTATCATGCAAAAGGGATATCTCTAACTTTTGCCAAGTATAATTTTGGCCAAGACGACTTGAAGAAAATTCCGCCATAACATTTTTGCCTTTAGCCGTTTGTCCACAATTGGGGGGCCTTGAGGGGAGCTGAGGGGAATTTTTTCCACCGGTGAACGTTCTGGTTCGCCACATGGTGCGTAATAATGTATTACTAACAGGTCGGGCATATCCTTTGTCCCCCGGATCAGACGGGTTTGAAATTGTGGAGAGGGAACTCTAGGATAAGAACTGAGGGGGATCAGTAAAGTCCCGCTCCATAAAGACCCCCATGTTCGAAAATATCTGGAATGGGGTGCATGAAAATTCGTCACTGGCGTGCCTTGGCTCCGCGGGGAGAACCCTTAACCACGGCGTTACGGATTGTCGCCGAATATTTTATGCGTAGAAAAGGATAAAGAAATGACGCTAAACTTTATGCGGAGGGTCCTTAATGGATCACGTGACTTATCTTCCACTTTTCCCGTTTCTACGTATCTAATTGGCTTGACGATCGTGGAGAAGTCTCCCCCATACCAAAGTCACCCTCCAGACATGACTCAGTCCCTCTCCAGTATGAATTCATAGGACGTAGAGCCGATCTCGGGTAGATTTAACTCTGGGGAATTCTTTGACTTTTTGTTTGCCTTATCGTCATAGGGCCCGTTAGATACCCAATTGCCACCCCAGAAACTTTACTTGTAGTTTATGGTTCTACGGTGAGAACGGGTGAAGATAGACCCAGGGTATTCAGAGAAATTCACTCACGTAATGTTGACCTGAAATGTTTATTCTATCTTCTTCCATGCCGAGGTTTACGCCGTACAAGCCAAGCTATTGATTTTAGAATCACACCGAAGAGCTGTTGAGAGCACCAAGTGGATCCACCTGTGCCGGATCCCGTCCATTATCATCCTCCGGTGAGGACACTTGGCTAGGTTGGATCGAAGTCAGATGAAAAGCAGATTTTTTCTGCTAGATCTGTCCCACGTTTTCACGTAAAGACTCTACCCAGGTCGGCTTCGGTGAATCTTACCTGAAGCGGCCCGAAAAGTAAGCTTACTTGCGGTCTTGGCAGCTTTAGAAGTTTCTATCACGGCCCGGATCCGTGAATGCCGAGCGCTGAGACATAGATAGGAGAAGCCGGCCGCCGGCATCCGGCATAGGATTATGTACAAATTACTATAACAGCCACGCTTGTAAAAATAGACCAATGCCTATGTGATTCATCTGTTAATTAAAATTTTTCTTCGTTATCTAATCTGAATCTTTTAATCTACCCCTGACCAATTTACCACGGTTCAAATGACAGTGCCGGTGACAGATCTATGGATCCACGACTGGTCAGTCAACCCATGGATAATAATCCCACCAGGCGTCTAGACTCGAACATATATATATTTTATTATCAATGTAAACAAGTTCTTTATTACGTACAGTATTAAGAATTCCTGGACCGAAAAATCCTGCATGTTTGTAGCATAGTGGTCGCATGTTGTCCTTATTGAAGGCGCTCCTGCATATGGCCCCGAATATATATATTTCTGCAAATTTAGGGCCACGGCCAGCACACTAGGATTTCAGGCCTCGGATTGGTTTCAAGTTCTGGTACATATAGGAAGGAGTTTCAATGTTGTATAATATTCACAGTATGTAGAAGTTCTTTGAAGTATTCATTGCAGCATTCATCAATGTTCTTGAAGAGTGCAGCCCTGGAGTCCTGGAAGAATTGATAGATATGTACTTCGTACCTACAACCAGTCATCTGAGACTGACCCATTATCAATAGCTCCCCACCTGGACAGCTTCCAAGGTCCATGCGTCGTTCGGCACTGACAGGCTTATCTAGGTAGTGATCATCTGAACTCGAATGGTGCATGGATCGCTTCTACTCCGCACAGACTAAAGGATGGATCCTCAAGTTGGACGTCTACGGACGCCATATTATAACAACCTGCTCTCATGGCGAAAAGCACGTATGTTGAGGTACAATTATCCCTCTGTAGCTGCGTCCTAATGTACGCCGCCGTACAGAGCCCAGACGAGAAAATCATGAATGAACTAGGGCGCTTGGGCAGACCTGCCAGTTGCAGAATCCTGTGAACCTGCGCCTCGATGGCATAGACTCACTGCTACCATCGTTGCAGGTGCCAATTTGCGAATATGGCAAGTGTCCGAACAATAGGCTACCCCAAGTATGGAGGTGGTTGTCCGGGGCAGCCTTCGAGTACGGAGGGTGGAAAGGTGGCTACTGCCTGCGACCGGAGCCCAGATGTCTGCTTCGTATGTCGCGGCACTTTATTTGGGTAGGTTTTGGCTCAAGAAACCCGGCGTGATTGTCGACTGGGACATAGTATGGAGTTGGGTCAGCCGGAATTGCCGTACCCGAGCTGGGAGAGCATGAGCAATGGGTGCTCATTGCCTCGAAAACGGCGATGTGATCACGAAAAGTCCATTAATAGATCGAATTTTTGCCCCTGGTATTCAAATGAGGAAGACTGGACAAATCCTGGAGGTCGATCAAGAGTGTCGTGGACAACAAGGAGGTGCGCGACCGAAGCTGGTGCTGAACATCGAAACGGTCGCAAACACTACGGGTTTGGAAAATTCGCTAGCGAGAAAAACGGTGGATCCGATCGAGGAGATTGCGTTAATTCTATGAGGTTGTAGATGATTAGACATCGTGGTCAGGTAGTTGTATGATGTAAGTGCTGCTAACCTGGGGAACTCATGTTACCCCCCACAATCACGTGTGACCGACCGCCAACCACAACATTCGCTCCAAACAACGTCAACATTCATTGATGAAAGCCAGATCATTGTTGAATCGGCTATAGGAGCTATATGTGAGGAACATTATTTTGAGATAGTGTTCCCGGCAATAGTCCAGACACAATCTAGAAGCCTTATTCTTTAATGGAATGCGCCTTGCGCCTGTTGATCAGTATATCACAACTGGAAGACTGATAAGTGGTCCGTGAACTGCCGCATGTGTTAGGACTGTTAGCTGATATCCGGTCAGCATCTGTAGTAAACATTTTAGCACCGAGGTCGGTCCAATCCTCATGGAGAAACAGGCTTCCCCCGTGGCCATCCAGCGCAGCGTCTGGGATGGGCGGATACCATTAGAGATCGTCCTTGCACCTTCTGAAAGCCGAACATTTGATAAGACTGATCCATACCTTGTACGTTGCTTCTCTGCCCTGGATGAAGTCTCTTGAGCTATATTGACGGTGCTGTTCAGATCGCCTGTCATCGTGTCTCATATCTCCCCTCGCTGCTACCAAGGCTTCGAGCATTCTTCTCAACCTCGTTGATTGAGCCTGACTCTCAACATCACGAAGGCTGGTTCGCTTTCGAAGGCGTACCTTTAAAATGGCACTATCCCATCGGCCTACTATTTGACCTCTACGCCGGCGCAGAACCCGCGACCAGAAGTATTACCTCAAGCCCCGACCCACAGGAGCATGGATCACCGCTCCCATGGCGCCTGACTATCCACTTCAGCGACTGGCCCGTCGAAGACCTCGTCCGTCTCGACCCGGATGGAATGGTCATGAATGACGCGTTTATCAATAGCGTTAAAGAAGCAGATTTCCTGCGCAACGGCACAGCGAAAGGTATCATGAGTCTTTCCAAGGAGGACTCTTCCGGCCTATGGAAGGCCGTCGAGAATGGTAAGCTCCCCCATCGTAAACCCCAATCAGATATCATACGCATAACTGACGTGGAATCACTTAATAGTGGACCTCCCATCCTTTCAGCGAATTTCGAATACTCTTCTCCCTCCGCCATCACAACCGTTTCGCAATGTACCTGTTCGCATATTCCTCCCGCTTCCGCCAGATGAGGATTCTCCGTTGTTGAAGGTGGTGCAGACTCCGCTTCCTCCGTTTATACCGACATCGAGTGTTCAGGCTAGTCAATCCATCAGTGCGCGGTCCAGCCCAAGTACACAGCCTCAGACTGTCGGTAGTGTTTTAAATATGTTGCTTCCGAATCTGTTCCCGAGTAGGCGGACTCCAGTACTTGCAAAGCCTGTGCTGCATGGAGCGGTGCTTCCTATGTCTGCACCCATCGAAGAGGTGGTGAGGTGCTCTGCATATGGAGATGGTTGGGCATATATCGTTGTGCGAATGATGGGTTGAAATTAAGCCTACTGTGAATAGAACCATAATGAATTGAGTAATGAAAACTACGGTCTATCTAGTCTCTACTTTCTAATTAAATTTACTGACAGATTCACCGACTCGAAAAAAAACGAAGTAAATTGACATGTCTGCCTTAAAGATAAAACTTATTAGTGGGAAATATCATCGCTTGATCGCTTCGTGCCAACATGATCTCTCAGCTCGTCAGATCAAAAATGAGCTTGAGAGGCGGGTATCCATCAGTGCCAAAGTAATAAAAAAAAGCAGCCACTATATACCCTACACGTCTATGTGCGGAGCTTCACTTCCCACCAAAGTAGTGTCACCAGTAGCTTTCGATTGAGAGGAATCGGAGTCATCATCTTCAAAAATGGTTGTTGTGCTGTCCCTTCTACTCCTTTGGGGAACTGGACGCAGTTGTCCTTCTTCATCAAACCACAGCGATCCAAATGGGTTCTTCTTTGCAAGCTGGAAAGCCGTCACAGGTGTCTCCTTGTAAAAGTCTTCAGGATCTTCAAAGTCTGCCTTGATAGTACCGGTCTTCTCTGTAGGAATCTCGAGAGATAGATCGGCACCAGAATCGAGGAGTACGCGAAATACTGGTTCGCGTCCACGTTCAGCGGCGAGATGAAGAGGTGTTTTCCCTTCACCATTCGTAGTGTTCACGTTTGCACCATATTGAACGAGGTACTCAACGAGAGATGCCCGCGGATCGGGCGATGTTGTTGCAAGATGCAGAGGGGTGTCGGCAGAGGCCGACCCCGTCAATTCATTTATGGAGGCACCATTGCTGAGCAATAGTTGAATGTATTCAGCAGTGCGATCAGATGAAATCTCTGGGACCCCTGTTCCTGTATACACGGTCTGGTGGAGTGGGGTCCAGCCTTGAAAAGACATTGCTTTCACGTCGAGACCTTCATCTAGAGCCATCTTCAAAATATCGAGACAGCTCTGGTTGGATGGCGGAGTAAGATGGAGGATTGTTTCACCCTTTGCTGTCTGAACATCGATCTTGGCTCCCCAATCGAGCAACAGTCGGAACATGACTTTGTTTCCATTCATAGCAGCGCACTGAAGAGGAGTGTATCCTTGGGACGTGCGAGCTTCAATGTTTGCTCCTTGATTAAGAAGCTTGGTGACAACTCCAGTATGAACACTATAGCGAGCCTGTTCATGGAGAAGAGTCTCGCCTTGCTTGTTCCAGACGTTGATATCGGCTCCGCCAATGAGGAGGAGATCAAAGGCAATCCAATGTCCTTTCCAGGCGGCGTATTGTAGAGCTGTAGGGCCGGAAAGTGATTTTGCCTCTATGTGAGCACAGTGCTGAAGAAGGAGAGAGATTGCCTCGCAGTTATCCATGTTGGCTGCCAATTGGAGAGGAGTGTAGCCGTCGTCATTCGCGATGTCAATGGCCGCCCCCTTTTCCAAAAGAAACAAAATGATTCGAGGTCGCCGACACTTTACTGCTATATGAAGAGCAGTGTTTCCAGTATCTGGATTTTGCAAATCCAAATCCACCTTGTACTTGACCAGTAGTGGGACTGTAGACTCATCAGTCGCAGTTCCAACGGCAGCATGAAGACTCGAATCGCCCCTGTTGTCAAGCTTATGGAAGTCAATGTGCTCGGCAAACAAAAGCTTCATGCATTTCCGGTAACCTTTGATGGATGCGATATGCAGAGCGGTCTGGCCATAGGCGTTGGTCGCATTGACACTGGCTCCTCTCTCAAGCAAGAATCCCACCATTTCGTCGTTGCCTTGGTAAACGGCACAATGCAACGGTGTGACACCTAAAGCGTTCTCTTGAGCATTCACATTTGCGCCCTGTTCCAAAAGCCGCTTGGCTTTCCCGGGAATCCCGAAGAATGCCAGGAAATGAAGACCAGTCCAGTCATTGGGGTACTTTCCCAGACCTAGCTCGGATGGCATACCGTTCGCTCTTCCTCTTTCATAATCAAGAGGTGGCCTTCTCCAAAGAAGCTTATTGAGGAAAGTTTTGATCAGCACCTGGAAAGTCTGCTCATCCTCATCCACCTCTCGAGCATGTAGACCCCAGTAAGCCGCAGCATAGCTGACGAGGCCTTTGTTAATGATCCGAGATGAGCCCGGTTCGTTGTCATAGCACTCATCTACCACTTCGTCGGGACTAATTATTGACAAGCAAGCTTCTGTGATGTCCTTTTGTGCCGATGGGAAGAAGACCCTGGCTGCAGAGCCCTCGAGGTACTCCTTTGCGGTTCGATGAACAAATCGAACACTACCAGAGACTGCATCAACAGTCAAGAGCCCTGCGCTCTGGATCTGGAGATAATGCTCGAATGTCATTGAATCTGGCTTTGCTGTGGTATCATCATCAACAGCACTTCGAAGTTCAGCGACCGACAGTGATCTTAAGGCATAAAGAGCCCAGTAAACGTAACGAGTTGCCGATGAGCTGTGGCTAACGACTTGTTTCATTGACTCCCCATATGCCTCTGCAAGATTTTCGGGAAGATTAAGGAGCGCCTTCTCAAGTAAAGCTTTATCATTATACTGTGATAAGAGATCCAGATGGATTTTGGCCAGCAGGAATCTATGTTCAACATGTTAGCATGGTGCTATGTACCGAAGCATTGGAAAGGGACTCACATTCCGTGAGACTTTTCCACCACAGAATGAAGAATTTCATCTTCAAATTTGATATCTGGATTCTTTTCTCCGATGATATTGCGGATACTGCTGTCCGACTTTGTACGGGCAAGGGTGTAGAGTCCAATGTCCTCCGGTGGCGCCAAGACGCTCACGTATCCTGAATTGTCCAGTGGCTTTGTGCCATTCATTTCTCGCAGCGTAACAAGCAGTTGTGCATGCTGCGGAAGCTTGTGCATTCGGCCCAAGATGCGATCTTTATCTGAAAACGTATCAAGTCCATCAAGAATCAACAGTACTTTCGAGAAACGATTGATCTCGGCTCGGATGGCATTTTGGTATGCCTTGGAGGAAGCACTTCCTTTCCTCAGAGCTTCCGCTTGGTACAAGGAAGACGTCGCATAAGAAAGGCTGCGCTTTCGGAAAACCAACTGAGCCAGAACGGTCTTTAACAGGTCGATTGATGGCCCTTCTTTCCCACTCTCGCCTTGGCAAAAGACAAACACTGTTGCGACATCGGGTGAAGTAAATGTCTTTTGAAGAAAGTCGATGATGAGGGACCTTGAACAAATATTAGCTTGATGCAATGAAAAGGCCAGCAGTATTTTATTTTAAACTTACGATAAGAATGTTTTGCCAGCACCCGCTGTGAGTGAAAAGTCAATATAGACAAGCCCAAAGAGGTTCGAGAAGACTCACGAGGCCCGATACAATACAGCGTCCTGTAACCTCCTATCAACCACTGCCTGAAGTTTGAATTTTCAAAGATCCACGAGCAAGATCCCTGTTGTCGTCGGTTGCAAAGGTCCGCAAGGGTGATAAACTGTTCGGACGACAGTCGACTAGTTAGACTTAGGGTATCATCTTCAAACTGCTGATCATTTTTGAGACCACCTGAGAACGTATCATTAGATTCAACAACTGAAGTCTCAAACGCTTAAAGCTGCCTTACTAGTTTCCACATCGCGGTGTCGCTTCAAATCGGATCGAATCTGCCTATCTAACATTGCTCGTTCCCTTGGCATATTGATTAGCTCAACAAATATGGAAATGGTATTTGATCATCGCAGAAAACTCTTACTCGGAATCAGGCTGCATGGACAGAAGGAACATAATCTTGTATTGCTCCAATCGGGGAATATAGGTTTTATCCAAAAGGTGCTTTCGAAAGTAGAAGGGGCTTACACCTCCAGGTTGGAAGTAGAGCTCGAGAGACTTCATGCTCAATCTGAACCACGAGAGAAGCTCGTCGAGGGCCCGAAGGCGCCCGACTGCGACGAACCATTTCTGTTCGGCCCAGCTAATCTCATCCTTGATGCGATAGAGAAGATCCAATAAGTCCGTAAGTAGCGATAATGAACGAATGGAAGCATCATGTGAGTCTCGTCCTGTATTCAGGCAGCGCATCGCCACTCGGGTGAACTGGGCGGCCTGGGCCAGACTGTCGCGAACTTCAGACACATTCACCATGATGTGTTACTACTATAGGCATCGATGCGAGTCAAACGAAGGGCAAAAAGACGTCCCACCAAAGATGATGCTAAGGAAAAGAATCAGGAGATCGAAACTCAATACCGCCGAACTCCCGGCACTAGGCCATGCTTACTCAAGAAATCGGATTGTTACCACCAACACGGTGCGTGCCCCCTGCGCGGCTGGAGGGGTAACGGCGTAGGATGATCCTGCACCTTGCTAACCCTCCACTCAATTTCTTCTTCTTCCTCGATAACAGTTGGGGGCGGCTAGTTAGTATGTGCTCAACACGTTGACCCCGGACGGTGGACAAGGGAACTTGCATTCGATCGGCCATTCACACAAAGTTGCTCAACCAACAGTGGTCCACCACCACGCCTATCTCAGACCGGAAAGAGTCTCTGGCATAGTAAAAACGTGATTTTCGGGCGCTAAGCAGAAATTGTCCACCAGCACCAGACCAAAATTTCTGTATTCTGATTTCTGTTTGGTCAGTAGCAGCAGCGGATGAGTGGATCCGATGCACTGTGATCACCCCCGCGATGCACCTCGAGGAGCACGGGCCCAGTATTGCACCAGTGTCTGTGTGTGATTTAGCGCCCTTAGGAAATCGCTCATTTGTCGATCACCTATTGCAGCCACAATCACACAGGAAAACTGGAGAGAATGTCCCCAAACGTGACACGAGGCACAGTAGCTGAAACTAGTCGTTCATGAATTTAAGGTCAAGCATGCCACAATCCAAGAACATTAATTAGCCAGGATCTGGGAACAGTGAGGGGAAACATGCCATTAATTGACTATTTCATTGTTGAGAAATTATTCACTTTTTTTTTGACTTGGAATCTATCATAAATCCCTCAAGTACTCTTTACACCGCTACGATATTTTGGGAATGTGGTTTCAGTGAGATCCAGCTCTTAGTTGTGATTTTCAATACTATCGTGGTAAATGTTTTAAACCGTGAGGTTCACATCTAGTCTGGGGTAACATTTGGCTCCCCAAGTATATTCATAAACAAATGCGCCTTATGGCTTCCTGTGCCACAAGGTCTCAACAAAAAGGAAAATCATAGACTCGTACCATATAGGCTTCGCGCTGTAACAAAAAAAAGCGAACACATGAGAGGGTATACTGTGCACGTGTAAAGGGGAAACGAGAGTTGGAACGTGATACCATAGAAAGCAGAGGCATTATATGAAATTGCCGTTGACATTAAGGCTCGCACCGCTCTCGCGACCGCGACGAAGAGCTTTTGCCAGCATAAGCTCACGCATCCAATCAATGCGCTCATCGCGGGTTTTGACAGCAAAGTGGTGCGATTTAGGGCCGTTGGTAAAAATCGACTTCCGGTCAAATGTGGCTGTACTAGGAGGTGATGGAATCAGAGAGAAAGAAAAAGCGGTTCCTCCACGGGTGTTATCGGTGCGCTTCAAAACAGTCTTCTTGAATGCGGCGGTCAACTTAGAGCTGGAGGCAAGCGATGAGCAAGCTACAGCATAATCATCGATATCAATATACTCAAGAGCCTTTGAGTCTTGTTGAGCAGCCTGCTCGCTTGTGAACATGCCAAGCCGCGTGCCCCGTAAAGCGAAAGCGTGTTCATTCCATTCATGGCGCAAAAGACGAGTGGTCTTGCGCTTCTTCATCCACCCGCTATGGATGATTTCGTCGCTGACTTCACCAGTGGGGCTAAATGGATTGTTTCGGTAACTACCAGCACGTGGAGTTCGCTCCAAATCATCTGGCGTCTCTATAGGAGACATCATCCGACCCTCATTAAGACGGCCCATATAGGGCGGGGAGATCTTGCGTCTGTGGTTGCCGAACTTGGTAGATTCAGGTCGATCAATCGGGCTCGTTCTGTAATGCATATAGTTTCCAAAACGCATATCTGGGGGCACTGATTGCGAAAAGCGACGCTCAACAGGCCCAAATGGAATCGCAGTTAAAGGAATATCCACCTCAGAAAAGGGAGACGTTTGCCCATAGTGGGGATCCTGGCGATAATAGTCAGAAGGAGAGAAGAGATCAGCGTGTGAAGTCGAGACTTGCTCAGCAATAGAATGCTGAAAAGGTGCCCTTCTCCGAACCATAGAAGGAGTGATGGTGCGTTGCCCAGAGAGATTGCCAGCGCTTCTTGGAGATGGCCCATGGGTGCTCGGAATGCGAAGCTTGGGGAGGCTGCGAAGATTCTCGGCAAGGGACCCAGGAGAGTCTGCATCAGGAGAAGGGAAAGCCTCGGCTGGGGGAGTTGCGGGATCAGAAACTGGTTGCAATCGGCTCAGGCGTTGGAAGTTCAAGAAATTCCGCACGTTCTCCTGGGGATCGCGTGGCAGAACTTCATGAAGCTGTCCCTCTGATAGTGGTGACTCAGATACTTGGTTCTGACCAAGGGCATCGGAAGATGCGACAATGGAAGGAGTGACTTCCGACTTCGGAGGTTTAGCAATGTTGCGAGCACATGAGTTTCCATGGTCGCTGACAACGACCGTGGGACTAGCCACAGCGTCAATAGGACTATCCTGAGATATGCGGGTGAATCGAGCGTGCTGCTTTTGCCACTTGCGGCAGTCCTCACCCTTCGAGCACCTGTGAATCTTAGGGATTACCTGCTCGATGCCAACAACGGAAACCGAATCATTTGGGCCAATAGCACCTGCACGGCGGCGTCTTCTTTGACGGCGCAGGTGAAAGTCTTCGTTTTCGGTTTGAGGAGACGTCGCTTCGCAGGCCACTGGGGTAGCATTGCAACTCCTATATCCCACCTCGGCAGTTGTGGAATGAGGTGTTGGCTCTCGTGAGACGGGCTCCGAGGGAGGGCATGGCTGTGAGTCATTGGAAAGGGAGCTTTTACGGAGGCTTCGAATCGAAGCCATCAATTGATGGCGTTTGCCAAAAGATTGAATGTCAAGCTCCTTAAGGTCTTGTTGCTGAAGCTCCAGTAAAATTTCTCCAGAGATATCATTGATAAAAAACTTTTCAATAATACCATCATCAAAGTTCAGCTTCTGCAACCAGCCAACGACAGTTTGTGGATCCCAACTCGCCACTTGCGTTATATCGGGCTCTGATGGGTCTTCGAGCACGGTCTGAAGTGGTGTGCGTGGATTTGGTACGCTTGGAACAGGCGTGTCTCTTCGACCAGGCTCGAAGGGAGATGCGGGTATATAGTAAGAGACGCCCGTGTCGCTGTCTGAGTCACCATCGAAGATCAGATCGATCTCAACCGTTGACTTGATGTCCATAGACCCATCTGACATGCGAAACAAATGAGGACCCTCCGGGCCAGATATGGGGTTGTCGTCGATATGGAAGTGGAAGGAAGTGAGTCCGGTGGAGGCGGGTGTCTTGATATCATCAGGGGTGGAAGCAGTTGTTACACTTGAGGTGTCAAGCTAAATATAAATGCATGAGTCATTTCAAGGTCTCTGTAGAAGCCTTGGGTCCTTTAAATTGAATACGTACTGATAAAATACTTCGTGAGGAGTCATCCAAAGATTCGGACTGAGAGTCCGAGTCAATTTCTGTATCCAAGATCTCCGTAGATAGCGATGGTGGGCTCGGAGGACGAGTGAGCTTTGACGATGTAAATGTCCCATTGACCTTCGATCGAATGTACTTAAGTGCAGCACGATGATCACGTTGACTGGCCTATTTAGTTCGTTAGTATGATATCAAGGCGGGGAAGGCATGTATTAGCGTCCCATTTTGGAGACTGGTATTGGCGAGGATAAGTAGGATATTGTTTGGCCCTAGAGGATAATTGGCATACAAAGTCCTAAGCTCTAGCAGTAAGCGCCTAGAGCGAAGTACTTCGATGCTTGTGGTTGGTAAATGGTTGTTCTCAGGCAGGGCAGCCCTGTTCGTGCAGTAAAAAGTTTAGATAATATGTCAAATAAAATATTGAAATGTTATACAATAAAACAAAGTATGGAGTATAGATCTGGATCGGGGTGGGCCATGAATATAAGTAAGAGAGGGAGTTGGAACTCACGACAACAGGTGTTTCCAAAAAAAGATTCAAAAAGAACTACGAAGAGGAGCTCAGCCAGTGGGAACGATGTGACGAATTGAGTATAGCATTGCAGGGAGTGACTTGCGACCGGGGTTGTCAGGGAGGGGTTGAAAAAGCTACCCTCAGTGCTTAAAGGTCCTCTGATTGGCTGCCTTAGAGAAGCTCGTGCATTTCTAAAGAGGGGTTCTCTTCTCTCGTTGGGTAGAGACTCAAAGCTAATGGCACGGTCCCAGAATTATTATGCGTGGGATGATCCTGCGAGACGGGGGTGGGAAAACTAGGCGAAGGGCTTACAGAAAGACGCTACTGCAGTGGTGGCCGCTCGGCACGGATCGATAGGCTCTGGAAAGTCGAACTAACCCACGCCAATGCATAATTGGGTCAACAACGTCCAATGGCATTCAAGGTCTTGTCACATTAGCGCTAAGGCACTTGGACGGTTGCTGATCACACACGGGAAAAGAAACTACGCCTAATTTATCAAATCGGGATAATTGTCGATAAATTTAGCAACAGTATCGAAATTAACCTTCATTCCCTGTGGTCTGCATCAGAGCACTTGTTTCCAGAAATAGAAAAATTGAGGGGAATTAGTACCAACCAACAATTGAGATTCCTGGCGGCTGGCCAGCGCGTATGCTGGACTGTTGGTGATTAGTTCGTCAGCGGATGCATCGATTTCACGTAACAGGATAGGTACCCAGTGTCCAACTATTTTCCATGTCGCAAGAATACTAAGATGCACGGTTCCTAGAAATGTGTTTCGTGGGGACCTCGCACGGGTAGATATCACCCCGACATATTGGAAAATGGACTGGTCACGACAATCTATTTCACAATCCGAGTTTTGAACGCTGTCTCACCGCACTTTCGCTTACTCGCTTTCGAGACTAGTCTATGTTCACTTAGTCCTGCATGCATTATAACGTCTTCGGAGACAAAACGTGTTCCAGCACGTGTTCATTGGACATTATTTATTTTTTAAATCTCCGTCGTGCGTGATTCCTTCCCAGCTCATCTGGAGATAGCCAATGACAAAACATTCTCTCAATAATGAGGTTGATTTCCTAGACCATTTGCTTGGCCAGACTCCAGATGGGATATACTACATCGTGGCATTTTTGAAGGAAAAGAAATATGATCTAGATCTTCAATATATCGGTATTTAATCCTAACATGCCGTGTATATTGGAATAGACTCCTGTTCCTAGCCGTACTACTAAGAACCTTCTACTTGGTACTCGAGAATGTATCGATAGCCAGAAAATCTGGTCAAATAATATATGGACTGATATACTCGGATGTAATTTTAATTTGTTGCCTGATTCTACAAACAAGTTGGCAAGTACAAATCTGGACATATGCAGGCTTGACTCATCACCCCCTGAACTCGGAGGCACTCGGCTCGAAGCGTAGCGGAATTATGACTTGTAACAAATAAAGTCTCATAAAGTATCTCATTAACATTGATCATAACATATCGTGGAATCTATTCTTACCTAGCAAGGGTGTTGGGCTTCAATCAAATAAGTAGCTCCGGGTATTGACAGGCTTGGCTTTACAAACACCTTAGTTTGCTGTAATTCTGAGCCCAATGTTCCGACTGAATTCCAACTGGGATGGAGTCAGTTCGGATCAGATGACAGCGTTCGCTAGAATGACCTTCATAATTCCTCACCAACATGGTGATGTAACATTTCATTGAATGATTATGCAACTCGTAAGAATCCGTCTCCGAGCCACATAAGATACTAATTATGGATCATTGACTCATGATAGCACTTCTTAGCGGTAATAACGCTGAATAGGGATAAAATTAGGGTTCTTTACAAGTTTTCTTTTTCCAATATGATAGAATTAAAAATAGTTATTAATAGTAACTTAAACTAAGAAGGGGTATCATACCAATATTATTGAATGATAGATGAACAATTACCCCAACTTCGAATGCTTATGGTGGTATTGGCGGTTAATTGTTGCTAATTAAGGGTCTTACAACTAAAAAAGTGGATCGTGCAACCAACTTCAAGGTTTCCCCTCCTCTATGATAGCCGATGTTGGTTGGGTATGGAGCTCCTATTCTGCACGACCATGGGTCCCGAACCGCTGAGGAGTAAGCCAATAATATCTCAAAAGTGGAAGCTTGGCATGCAGTGGCTGCCGCCCCGTCACGATCCAACTCCACTACCTGTGCCTGTGATCACAACTGTGACCAAGAGTCTGGTCCAGGGCGATTGGTCCCAGAACCAACCATTTGGTGGTCTTGGATATCCCCTACGGAATCGATAGAATGGCAGGGGTTTTGTGCTAGTGATATTCTCGTTAAACTCAGAGGAAGGAATGTGTTCAAGTAGTATTTGCAGAGCAGGCAAGATAATCTAAGGGTTGGGAAAAGTGTATGCTGCGCACAGACAATGTGATAGCAAAAGAGGCTGTCGAACTAATAAATTGTCACAAAAGCCAACCTATCAAATTCCGAGATCCACTATCTTCTCTGCAGGACATGACCAATGGCTTACTAGACTATCACGGAACCTGCCCAAGTTCTAAAATGAAGGTCCGGGCGATGATCCAATCTACTTCTGCATATGAGCCAACAGGACGCAGACCCCTGCTGAAAATGATCCCAAATTTAGTCCATGTTTGGTGTCATTTGTTCTAACTGTAGATCCCCACCCAGGTTCGCATACTCGCTGGGTTGGATCGACCAGTCCTCGCCTAGCTTGTCAAAAAATAGAAGCATCGTGAGATGCAGCTCCGATCCCAGATTAGTCCTTAAAGTCCTCATCCTCCGAGCATATCATGATGAAACATTCCGCCTCAGCCTCGTTCATCCTAAACAACATCGCTCGGCATTAACTATCATTCTGTCTTTGAGGGACAGGGACAGTGAGCCAGACCTCATCTGTCTTCCGTTTTGCCTAATTTTCCCCTCTTGCTACCGCACGTGCGACCGGGTAGCTCTCCGTTGGCGGTACTTCAATCATTCATCAGCAACCACTTCATAGTCTTTTGATCAGATTAAGTCGCTAGTCGCTATTGGGTTCATTTCCTTTCAATCGCCATCCAAGATGCCTGTCTCACGCTCGTCAACTACGGAATCTTCCGCCCCAATCGCCTCTGCTGGCCCTTCAGAGGGGGTTGACAAGAACGGACATAAATTACACAAGCGGTCACGCTCAGGTGGGTGATTTCCATGGTTTTTCCATGGTGCGAGCTCTAATATGTTTTTCTATAGGTTGCTTTACCTGTCGCTTGCGGAGGAAGAAGTGCGACGAAGCTCATCCTACCTGCTCAGCCTGTGCCAACCTCAATCTAAAATGTGAATACAAGCGACCTATGTGGTGGGCAAGCGCAGATCTTCGGCGACAGCACAAAGAGCGCGTGAAGAACAACATTAAGCATACCAAGAGTATAGAGCGAAGAGGGTCCAATCACTATGGTAAGTACTCAAGATATTCCGTCGCAGATTGCAGAGACTTTTTCTCACTCTTTCTACGCTCAGATCGCGTCAGTTCTCTCTCTCCCTCCATGATTGAAGATTATGACTTTAGTCGTCCGGGACCACGCATACCCGACAACTTCGACCCTTTCGGTCCCATTCCCCAGCCACCCGTTTTTCCTTCGGGATCCCACTTGCCGCAATATGCCCCTTACGAGGTGGATGTTCGGACTGAGCGACAAACATTTGTCAATGATGTACCAATGAGACATGACTCTTCGGTTTCTACCTTTAATGCTATGGGACCCCCACAACTTCACCACACTCTCCCTACCTTCCATGAAGAAGAGTGGTTTGAAGAAGAGGGCTTTAATGGATTTGAACCCCATGAAACATTTGATCCTAGCACACTCGATCCTAGCATGGATCCCGCTTTTCAAGCCTCGGCATCGGTACCGGAATCGGTACCACAGGCATTTTTACCGCAAGCATCGTTACCACAGCTACCAACACCAAATCTTCTTCAAACATCCAAAATCCCAGTTGATGACCTTGATAGGCCACTCTTGGACCACTTTGTCAACCACGTGCTGCGTATAATTTTCCCCATCCTCGAAGTTCACCAGCAAGGCCTCACTCGCGCGAAAGCCATTCTCACAGCTCTCGAGACCAATAAAGCCTACCTTCACAGTTGTTTGAGTGTTTCTGCCATTCATTTAAAGAACAATGTTGGATTAGTCCATCCTGATGTCGACAGTGACATCATGCGGCATCGATATGAGGCCATTTCAGCATTATGCACGGCTCTCAACAGCGATAGCAAGCATGATGAAATTTTGGATGCTACTCTAGCAATGATCTTCTTTCACTGCTCTGTTGGCGGTCCTGAGGATTGTTTACCTGACATTCCCTGGAGTGATCACTTCCAAGCGGCATCCAACTTGGTGAACCGCCTTGAACTCCCTACTAAGCTTTTACCTCACAGTGCCGAGTGTTCATCGGGCACTCCATTTAGTATGTCTCTGACAACATGGATTGACATCCTAGGATCCACAATGATGGGAACTACCCCCAAGTTTGCCCATAGCTACCGGACCAAGCACCTCAGCGGACAGTCATCTGGGCTACAGGAACTGATGGGATGCAATGACCGAGTCATGTATCTTATTGCCGAAATTGCTTGCCTGGATTCCTTGAAGTCCGAAGGCACAGTCGATGACATTACTGTTTGTCAACATGTTTCAGCTCTTGCTGCCCAGTTAGAGTACATTGAGCCCGTTGATCCAAGCTTGGATCATCCCTACACAACCACTGGTACTATTCGACCGGAAAAATTGACCAAAACAATGACCACTATCTTCCGCATCGCAGCTCGCATCTACCTATGCAGCCTTGTTCCCGGCTTTGACCGACACCAGAGCAGCATTGTCGCTCTTGTATCTTCTATTTCAGCTGCTCTCCAGTACATCCCTGCAGGGCCTTTCGGCTTCGATCGCTCAATTGTCTGGCCGCTGCTTATTGCGGGTGCAGCTGCAGTGCCGGAAAGCGAGATGCGCAACATCCTATGGGAACGATCAGCAGCACTCGGCGACATCGGGGACTACGGTAGCTTTGGTCGCATGTTTCGTATCGTTCAGGAAGTTTGGAGACTCACAGATGAACCCCCGATGGCATCGCTGAGTAACTCCGAAACTGAGAACCAGCCCATTGCAACTCGGAGCTTTGCTCCGACATCTCCCGAGGCCGCTGCATTTGCGGGACGATCAATCAAAAAGCAACAAGTCCACTGGCGTGATATTATGACTCGCAATGGATGGAAGTACCTGCTGATCTAATTATATTTGACATTCACGCTTTCGCTCAATGGGGGTTTGAGTAATTGATTTACGATAAAGGGAGGCGCTTTGAATCCTACGTTTGTTTATTTGTTAGAACTTTGGGTCAGTCTCTTCCAGGACGATGGAATGATGGATATTGGACGGGAAACAGGACGTTTGATAACCGACAAATGGGTCTTTTTTGAATTTTGCAATATACCAGTGAAGGAATCAAAACTCTCCAGGGACAATAAATCTCTCTCAACCTTGCATGCTTTATTGTAACAGTCTGGATGCTCGTGTATTTCTGTCGACCTTGGAATCAGCTCTGGAAACATTCAATGTTATCTAGGCACACTCGGGCTGAACATTGGTTCCAAGGTTGAAGTTCCAACGAACGCATGCATTAGGTATTCACTTCAAATATTCAGAGCCTATGTAGTGCATGTATTTAGCTCCTAGATTCATCAGTATATGTATTTCATAAGCAACGTCCATTTTGAGTACTTAAATTCCTAATAAATTGTCTCTCGCTAATTTTCGTGACCTTCCTCTCGGGCTATGCTCAACCTCCATCAATATGATGGTGTCTTCAAGTCCCAGGTTTCGAAGAAAGAATCTCCATGAAGGTACTTTGCGGTGACTTCTGTAGTCAATTTATAATGATGAAGCGAGTCTTCAAGGCTTGATCTTTTTATTTTATTTTTTTGATTGGTGAATTCTTTTTCGTAAAATTGCACACAGAACCTCTTCCATAGCAGGAGGCTGATGGAGTATTGTCCTGCGTGGTTGTCACTGTTCTAAATTTGAGATATATCATCTCAGTCAATTGATACCAAAAATACCGCGTCTGGTTTGAACGGAAGCCATGGAGAGCAAGAATGAGGACTGATCGCTGCCTTGTAAGTTAGCCGATTGTTTTTTATATGGTCGGATAGCAATTGATGTAGCCTGACACTGAGGCGACACCAGTTATATACCAAGTAAGACCATGACAGAGTCTCCAAACTCAATTGTGATGCAGTTTGCATAGAGAGCCGAAAAAACCCATGAACATGCCAAAGTTTGAACCATGGAGACGACGAAACAACCACCTGCTTGTAGAAGGCTCGCTCTCAAGGGAAAACGGTTCAAAAGACCAGCTTAACGGTTCATTCAACCGTTTAAGAGAAGAGCATGAAGCTGTTACGTACAGGAATTTTTACCGCATGAGTTCATGCCACACACATGTAAGAAGAGTTGACCTTTCACACATAGAAATGACATTGCTAAATTTTTATGTTAGTGCAAGCCTATCAGTTGTATAGAGGTGTTGAATATTGAGGAGGTAAATGGCAGCACTGCCACGTGAAATATATTGCCTGCTTAGTGGGACATAGTACCTACCTTTGTCGAATGTCACTAAGACTCTCTTTCCTGCCTGGAACCTGTGTCCAATCCCGAGGAGTGTTTTCCGAGCCGCCTCAGTATGTAGAAGGGCCGAGAGATTTTGAAAGGTACTAGTATGTAGTAGGATAGAGGCCCTATTAAAGAGTTTGGACAGAGTCAAATCAAGACAAAATAGTCAGCACATATATCGCCAACGAAAGAAAAGAAGGGGCAACCTAGGACAAGGTTGGGGAATATAGCGTTCCCCAAATTCAAAAATAGTAATGAAGAAAGCTGATGCAAAATTTGCGATGCAAGTAGCTAGCGCGTCGTTTACCAGCTCTGTTTGTGAAATGATAGGCATCTCCAGGTCTTCGCTGTCAAGTGCATGATGGCTATTTTGAGGTATTTTGGGCGGCACAGGATACAGATTTCAATCATATCAAACTGTTCGTCTCCAATCAATAGATATTGTAGCGTTATACATTTAATTTCGCAACCAATCTGGAGCCTCCACTGCGTGTTGTCAAGGCGACTTGTCCCCTTTGCAATGAAATGGCGCGTATTATAGAACGTAGCGGACTGTTTCATATCAGACTTAAAATATATTTAGCAATAAACAGAAGAGAATAGCGCCCGGATAGACCCTTTCAGGCACTTGTTGGAATCTGTGTAGTTTGGAAGCGAGCGGCTAGTCGGTCAACGTTGCTGTGTTGGTTTCTTGCAATGTGAAACTGCCAGTTCTTTACCAACAATGCTTATCTGTTAATCGCCAATAACATTAGTTTCTGCCAGGGTTTAATTGGAAATAATCATGCAGGGTGCAATAGAGGGCCCTTATATGTGGAACGATTAGCAAACCCAGTGCGTAGCTCTCCTGGGACCCTTCGTCATGCTTCTGCAACACTAGACTGCATTGCTATTCTTAGCCATGTGTCTCCACAGAACGATTGCTTGTCGTAATTAAGTTCTTACTGTAAACATGGGTCTTTACACTTCTCTTTTTCTCAATATTTTGGATTGCACGATACCTATAGACGTCTCAAGTGCATGGACTGTGACCTTCCCTCAGTTGAAACCCACAATTTCAAAATAACGGATCTTGATTACCTTTAATTAATTTAAAAGATTCAAAATTCATGGTTCTTTGGATTTGGTGGATCAGTAGCCTCCATTGTTTGATTGTAGTTGTTCCATTGTCCATTCATTTGATAACAAGATTTCTTCGTCCTATCCTTAGTATCCATTCTTGCTTGGAGGCATTAAGGGGCTCAAGAGCAGCGGCTCCATGGTATTGGCAGCCTATCCTTCAAGCTCATCGTCAACGATGTCTTTGTCTCATTGTAAATGTGGCGGCGTGGAGTTTGGCGGAGGAACCGCGCGCTTTAGTCAGAGCAAACCAGAATGGGTGAGTAAGCCGCTACCACCCCTGGGGATAATTTGAAACACACTAGCGGGAAGAGCAATTGTCCTATGGGTCCATGGGAGTAGTGCAAGCGTATTTCGTGCTTCAGATGGCGCCGGACCAGGTCATTAATCGCCGATCCTATTCCAGAAGACAGCCACACGGCAGAGAAAAATTCAAGATAGAGTAGGATTTATAACAAGGAGAAGCCCCTGAGGGTCCTGGGGATTATTCTTTCTCCACGGACCACAGAAAGGCTTACGATTCTCAGCTGGACTGAAATTCCACGTCTTTTGGCTCTCACAATCAATCTACTAAGTGAGATCAACATCCACCCTACAAAGCGGATTTGTTGCGACCAAGTTACCTTAAGGCGACCGGTCTCATATCTTTTTTTTTCTCGCATTCTTTTACGAATGATTTTGGGGGTCGAAGCCTTGGGCAACCAAAAGGTAGGAGAACAATGCGACCATTGCCGAGTGGTGAGCGCTAATCCATGTGCAGATTAGTCCCAAAATTAATTTCATTATTTCAATACGTATCATTACAGTCTGGCACTTTTAATACGTTACCGTACTACTCGTTCCTTACGATACGATTTTGTTCCACTTGTCTCGAGCCCCCGTTGCTCCGCCCATATAGATCGACTTGGGTCCACGATTTCTCACACCAACAACTTTCGGTCTCTCCTTCACTACGCCACAGGATCCTGATATTCTATTTCAGATTTATATCCCTTGGCCCTCGAGCTTTTTTTTTCACATCTCTTATTCCTTCAATTATACTTTTATCTTCCCACCATTTGCCTTTCTACCAGTCGCGCGTCGTGCATTGACCCTCTCGACTGCTTGGCCCACTTGTTTCCTTTCACTGCTTCCCTTCTCAACGCCCGTTGTCTTAAGGCTTTGGATTTTTCTTCCTATCTTTATTGCTGTCATCTCAACTCGTTTCAATCATTTTATTTCACCCCATTCCGACTCACCACCATGGCTCCTAATAATAAGCCTGTACTTGCCCCCCTCAAGACACCCAAGACAATGACGTTTCCCTCCGAGCTCAGTCCCCTCACTGCCATGACCATGCCTATTATTAAACTCGAAGACGGAATCAGCGAGGCAAGCAGCACATCGTCTGTCACCCCGCCGTCTTCCTATCTTCACTTTCTTGATGCTTTTTCGCCAATATTCAAGAGTGCCGACAGCGCGGGCCACAGTGCGGCCTCTGACTTTCGGCGATTTCCCTTCGAACGAAAGCGACGCCCCTCTCCAATCTCAGTACCGAAAAGTACAACAATTGATGGGCCCAAAACTACCAGTGCTGCTATACAGCCGCCATCACCAGCGACCAGCCAAAAGTCTGCAACCAGCCCGCAATCGGCTAGGCTTCCCCTCCCCAGATTACAACGACTCCGCATTCCCACCACACGTGTCAACTATCCCTTGAGTGACTCTCCCGGGAGTACAGAAACACCTGGAAGCGCAAGAACTCCTGGCAGCGCACGTACACCCGGCAGCGCACGAACACCCGGTAGCGCACGCACAATCCTCTCCCCATATACGCCATCGGATTGGAAGATTCGATACACCGAGAAACCGATATGTGAGGGTGGAAAGTTGGTGAGCGTACGACAAGTCGTAACGCGAACTGTGACATACAAGCGAACGCACTTAGAGGCTCCGCCAAAGGGAAAGCGTCGCAAGACCACCGATACCCGGGCCGAATAAAGTTCAGATTGGAAATGCATACGGTTATCAACAGGTCGAAGCGGAGACCGGGGTCTATTTTTCTTTGATTATTTTGCGGGTTTTGTTTGATGCGGCGCATATGACCTATCCATTTTACGCGGCTAGCGAGTGATTTTCCGCCTAATGTCTGGCCTTTTGTTATGACTGAATTCAGCTGTTGGGTATCCAGGAAATGGTTAGATTCGCATTTTGTTCTGCCGTTTGGGTTGTATGTGGTTCTTGGTATTGCCTAATTGGCTCACCCGCTAAGCCAGGGCCTTCTTGCGCGACAGGGGTCTGGATCGGATGGAGCATGGAGTTTCTGACGTCGATTTGGCTTTGTCCAATGCTTGTTGTGCTTTACTGTTGGTGGCGGAGAAAAGGACATGCGAGGCTGATTCTTGGGGGACTTCTATTTGGGACCGGAGTTGCCTTGGTATCTCAATCAATTATGACAAATCAATAACTTCTTCCACCGTCTTTTATTTATGATTGACACTTGTGCCTATATCAAGAGCCCATTACGAGTCCTTATTGCTTGTAAATAACAACCAACTTACTGTTTTCCGAGTCTAAAGCATCCACTTGGTTACGTGTGAGGATTTGATTAGGTGATAGCAGCGGTGGTATAAAAACGGATGCAACGCGAGAATAAAAGAATGATATGGTTCCGCAAGACATGGCCGGTAGATACTAGGGATCGCTGCGCATCCGATTTGTCGAAGCATGGATGCTCTAGGATGTGCTGGTGAGGTCCGTGACCTTCTTGTGGAGGCTGACCTTGAGAAAATACAAGGATCTGAAAGGCATAAACCGGTATCTTTGTCAGCCTAAAGGAAGAGACAACAGGAGCACTAGGTGGATTGACGCATCTGGGGCTTTTTCCACGTGTCAGCCGCATTAGCTGCTGTTGGAATCGTTACTACGAAAACGCGAAAACCAACAAAGGATTGATGCATGACAGATCCTGGCTGGATTTAGATCAAACTAATGCACATGAATTTATCATTCCGAGAGGCTCAACCCAGGGTCAGTTGCTTTACTTGTCTTTTTCGCTCGGCTACAGGATTCACCCAAGCCAAGGATCCGCCATAGTAAAGTTGTGGACTCATAGGCGCTTTATCAATTAAAATTCAATTCTCGATCCTTCGAATCGGCACTTTGGGTCTTTCATAGGCTATAGATGCCGCTGATCCACGGAACGGGAGATGCGGTGCGTAAAACGGCCCTCTCATAGCCCTTGAATCCAATTCAACGCCTCAATAACCTTTGTTAAGCCATTTACCAAGCGGAAGCTATGCCTTCTATAGCTTTCAATGCATAAACTGGGTGGAGGCTGTGTCAGGAGACGCGAGGTTTTCTTTGTAACACTACACACTGGAGCCAGCAGCTTGAGAGCCTCGACGGCGACAGCGAATTAAATCAAGGATACGACACGCCACGAGGTATTATCCTTGCTGAAATAATCGGACTGCATGAGTCTAGCCTCATAGAATAATCCCTTTACTTGAGCCGCGCACCATATGTACTTGGCAACTCCAAGGATTTGAAACAACAATGCATACCAATACAGATGTTGGAAGGATCTAGATGCTAGGCCAGTCAGCACCTGTAATAATACTACCAAAAAGCCACCACCTCCATTATTTTCATTCTAGATTGGCGGTATAGAGATTTAGGCCGATCAAGCCCGACCTCAAGGTTTCTGACAGTATGTATTGTATGTAATATATTGGTAAGTTTAGTATGTATTACCGACCAGTATTGACAATGTTTCCATCTGACGAAAGGATCGGAGAATACTCAAGCCAAGGACATGGCTTAAAAATGAGGGAATGGAATGGTCACTCTGAATTATGATGCATAGTTATGGACATACATATGGTTGATCTACACTTTCGATTCGGAAGTAATTGTTAGTAATTCGACAGTCATCTTAAGTTGTTATCATTTGTCCAGTAGCAGTGGGTGCAGCATGAGACTATTGCTTACTATTCCCCATCCAGATTATATAAAGGCCACGACCGCTAAAAACATACTTCTATATTACCATATTACTGTAATCAAGTCATATGATATTAGGGGCTGATCAGTCAGCCCCATTGAGAACTGATAGTCTAGTCTAGGAAGCGGATGCTATTTTCTCAAACCGGCATATTTCTTGAAGATCAAAAGACAAAAATATAGCAGTAAATAAGATTTTACCTTGGAGAACCTGTAATAACAACAAGCGATGATACCTAACTCCGTACACATTTCTCGGATGTGAATTGCGAACAAGCCGCTAGCAATCCGTTGAAATCCGATTCCACGCAACAGACCGACAAAGTGTGGTGGATCTCCTGACTCCCTAATTTTTCTTCCCCCTCACACGAACAGACAACGTGAAGGGACAGGCCAGATGGTACGAGTGACGGGAAAGCATGTCGAAACAAAATATGGCCCACATATAATTGTTTGTCCAATCATGGTTCGTTGTATTGTCCCGCCAGTCCCACGGCCCGCTCATCAATCTCATTTAAGCGCCGGCGCTAGTGCACATTCTGCCTAGCGTGTGCTCCAGTGGGGGAACCCGCAATACTTGTGGCTCCATTGGTCCATCTAGGTGGGGCTATCACCCGGACATCAGCCAGTTAGAGATGCGACCTCAGTTTTCAGGGATGCGATTTGTCTCTTGACTACATCCCTCTTGTGCCAGTACGGAGGGGCAACCTACTATTTTTGGGTAACCCGGTAAGGTGGACTGACTTTAGTTTGTGCTCCATGTGCTTCGCATCCTTCAGTTTCGACCAATAAACGAGCATATATGCCAGGTAGAAATCGAATCCCCGAGTACAGGACAGCTTGCAACAAATCACTCCCAATATTTGGACAAAGTGTTTTCAATAGTTAAATCAAATGGAAACAAGCATCTTCTCGAACCGCTGGCTCTGCACCCACACAGATGTTCCGTCACAAAATATCTCGCACTTTCCATGCAACTCGAGCACAATGTGCGCACCAAATGAGGGGTAATAGTGGCGGTCAGCAGAGCTGCAGTAGAGGTGTATGACTCCCTCATGAAGACTCCATTTTTAGAACCGCTGGTTGCATGCAAGGCACATACCGGCAGGTAGCCCATGTTACAAGACGTCATCTTTCTGATTCCTACCTTTCATTGATCGTCCAACCCCCGACTCTTGGGCTGCAAAATTATGTCTAAGAGAAGATAGCACCAAGTACAAATGTTACTTGTCCTCTAAGCGCCAACAAGGGGCACATACTAGGTGTTGTAGCTAAAAAAAGCTCTGTAAATAACATTGTTCCACACGAATCCCAGCACTTCGGTATGCGATCTACGTGCAGAAACCCCTACTTCAGGTTATTTCTATTTTTGACATACAATCCAATCTGAACCTCATCTGTTCCGGTGGGTTTTGATTTTGCTCGGATTTTGATGGAAAAAATCTGCTGGTTGGGTATTTAGAACGCCAATTGACAATGCACAAGGGTCAAAACTTCCATGGCATATTATAAACGACATACTAAGCTTCAAGTCCCCTGTAGATTTAATTTTTCGTAATCGACACTATTAAATGTCAAAGGTGAACTCAAAAGACAACTACCTGGGGTACGTTTCAGAGCGAGCATCATAGCGCTGGACGTGGAACTTTCTTGATCATCGGTGGTAAGCCCAGTGACAATAATAGCAGCAATTTTGTGGGAAATGACATTGGAAATTGGTAATACTACTGCTAGTCAACTAGTTTATATTGAGCGTTGGATCCAAAAATATCCCTAAGTGTCTTTCTGTATTTTTGGATTGCTCTTCTAATTGGATTGTTTCCACGCGAATGTATGCCCCTGCATGATTTACTTTTGAGCTACCCAAAACCAGCGAACTTCCGCTCCAAGCCAAGCTCTGATATACAGGGCTGCATATCTATATGTTGTATACCGGTAACCCAATATTATTGGCTTGGAGATACCGTTCGCTTCTGACCCTGCAAAGCATTGGACCACTAACCGTCTGTTTTTCTATCAAAATTCTGCTGATCAGCTCGGAGTACTACCTGTTCTGCCATTTAATCTGCTATTCTTAGAAGCTAAAGCACATTCCGCTGTTAATTTTAGATATCTGGCCCCGCGCACTGTGCTGAACCCTGCATCCTATACTAACTGTTCAACATCCAACTCCACACCAACCATAATCCCACATCGCAGTGTCGCCAGGATGGTGCGGGAAATGCATGTTGATAATTTACCTTCTGTTTTCAGGTCAAATCAATTTTTTTTATGAATGTTTTGTTCTGAAAGATGCACGTCCTTTCAAAACGCGTCCTTCAGTATGATACAGTATGATACCAGTCCCAAGATCTACATATTTCTTCTCATTCAAGCTCATTGACACCTACTATATTCCATTTCTAAATTAAGATTTCATCGTCATGGTCTGATTTTGACTTTAGTCTCTTCTGATGCGCGCGCCATGACATTGCAACGAAGATGGAGCCTATTATGGTTGCATTGGCAATGGCTTCACAATGATATACGTAGTCATCAGTGGTGCCACACTGGATATTGTTCATTCTACAGGCTCACATTCAAGAATAAGTGAATAAACGGCACATGTGTGTGCACATATGGTACATAGTATTTGTAGTATACAGTATTCCTAATCAATCTTCGATCTCCTGCCTAGAAGCCACTATCTCCAGATTCTCGTGCGTGGGAATCCACCTTCGGGCCAATTGCCCAACTATAGTCACACCCCAAAACGACAATTTAAAAAGAATGCCTCTGGATATTGCAATTAAACTTGAAAGTTCGCAATGTCCATGAATTACTGGTGGTTTCCCGCCAAACATGCATTGGAATGAAGCATTGCAACCTAATTGGATATGCGCTGTATAGCTGAAACTGCTTACCTATTCAAATCAAGTAAGTATTGCAACATTGGAACATTGGGAAAAGTCAAAAAGCCCATATTGAGACTAGCTGGTATCTATTTTGGCAGTTTGGGACGTTCAAGCCAAGATTCTTCACCAACAAGCTGCGCGCAAACAAAGGAGCTTGAGCCATTTCTGATTCATTCATTGTTGTTGATATCGCTTTCGTCAGCTCCGGCAACTTAAATCTCTGTAAATATGGTGGGATGCCAGCCTGGGATTGGTTGATATCGATGCATCTTCGTCACGCTGTATCACACTGCATTGCCAAAAATAGATCATTCCAGAAAACACATGCGGGGTCGACCACATTTACTCAATCAGTAAACCCCCAAAGACATCAAGGTCATGGGGGAATCTTGAATTCAAAAGGCCGGGAATCAACATATTGGAAGGCATTGACTGGTACTTTTATTTATCTGCCATCGGCTTAGAAACAAGAATAAATAAATGACTTCGGGATGAATTCTATAATTAGACGCGGGGCATGCAGACGAAGCACCAAATCGTTTTACCCCTGCGAAATCAACAAATGATAGACCAGTGATCGTAGCCAAATTTGCTTGAAAGGGTTTAGAACCACTTTTTATCCGCCCACGTTTGAAGCCGGTGCATGGAGTCTTTTAGTAGAATCCCGTGATCGACCCGCTCATTCCCCTCCTTCCAGGTTCCTCCAAAGACCCTAACATTCATCTCATCTCAGCCCGGCTCCCTACGTGTCTGCGTATCATTCTTCTGTCAACCGGTGCTAAGCCCGCCCGAGTACCCTTCCCGAGATCGTGTTCCGTGCGGCCCCAACCCAAGATACTTTTTTTCCGCACTTGCATCGCCATGTCTTACGCACCGCCCACGTTCACACCGGACAGTGAATTCTCTGAGCAGGAGACCCCTCGAGGCCTGAACAGCAGCTGCCTTTCCATTACTGCACTCGCCCGGTTCGAGTTTGAGGCTGGCAAGGGCAATGAAGGCACAAAGATTCTGATGATTGAATGGGAGGATGACGACCTAAATCGATCTGCAGTAGAGGGGTCATGGCACGTTTCGTGGACCGGCAAGACTACTGTCATCCCTGCCGATGATCGACCAAGTGATAGCCTCCGCCGATTTTACTTCCTTCTGCCGCCCAACGTCACCATCCCACCTGTAGTTACCTTGTCCTATGAGCCTCGCAACACAGCCAATGCCGACGATATCCCTTACATCCCCAGAGTCGGACGCGATACCTTTCAACTGAATCCCTTGCCCGCCATCTTCCCACCCGAACTCGGCGCTACAGGTCGTGCGGCTGGCAAGAAAGGAGTGCTGCACACAATCTGGGCAAAGAAGCGTCTGCGTGTCCTTGATCGCGAGATCGAGGAAGAATGCCTCAACAATGCCGAAGGGGTTGCCCTGCACATGGCGGTACAGGAGAAGGAATGGATTGAGACAAACTTCGGAGTCATCATCCGCGGCGGTGAGATTATTTCGACCAGCAACGACACCTCGGCTTCCACGTCTCTCCACCCCACGGTGCCAGTGACGCCGGTCTCTCCCATAAGCGGGAGAAAGTTGACCGACAAGCTGAAGGGATTGAAGCTGCAGACTAGCGAGAAAGACTTGGCAGGATCAGGGAACGATAGTAAGTCTCCCGGCTATGAAGTAATATCAAATAGTAACATAAACATAGGCTCGGGTCCGAATACAGCCCACTTGCTTTCGCCACAGTCTCCTGATGTCGCTGTATCTTCATTCAGCTCGTTTAGCAATGTTGCAAGCCAGCAGGAAACTTTCATTCCAACGCCAGTCACCAATTCTGCAACGACTCCAAGCACCCAGACAAATGAAAATGGCCCTGAGGGACCGAAAACTGTTGTGCATTTCCCTCCGTCATCCTTGCAAGCTGCCCAGCAAAAGATCGAGCATAGCGGATTTGCCTCCTTGGACTCCATGGACCCCCTAGACTCTATGGCCCCCCTTGTCCGTACCTCTAGTACAGACTCGGAAGATCTTTTCGCCAAAGCATTGAGCCCTCGCTCACCGGACCTTCCCCGCAGCCCATTCTCATTCCGTTAATGTCTTTTATTTGTGGCGCGATCTGCCACCCCAATCTCTTGTCATTTTCTCATGGTTTGCCTTATGATTCCCCTTCTGCGATGTGATGACATATTCCATCATTTACACACGCTACATCTACGATCTCTAAGCCTTGACTTATGCATACATTCGCATCTCATGTTCTGTCAGTTTGTCCCATCTCATATATTGTCTCGTACAGAAATGCCAGTGAGCATGTACATAGGCATTCGGACCCAAGGCTATCCGAATTGAAATATCTATTTATCCGCTCCTGCATTCTTTCTACTTCTGTTTCTATTTTTGTGTCTGGTTTCAGTCATATCATCTCATTCCGTTTTTCTCACAAGGCCAATTGAGATCGATATCATAAAAACCATCTCACAGTAAGCGAGAATCGCATAACCGTTGCTCAATGGAAGACCTCGCTTCCTCAAGCCATAGAATACATTATTGAGACGTGACAAGCCATCGCATCAGTCACCGTCCACATATCCAGACCCAAATCCCAGCGCAAACCTAAAAAGAAAAAATATTTCCAGCGAATGCGAATGCCAAGAGCAACACAATACAACACAACCCAAAGGAAAAAAAAGGAATCACCAGTCAAAGCCTACTAGTTCCCCTTATTCTTCTTCTTCCCACCTTTCGCATCGACACCCGACGCAACAGCAACAGCAACAACCTCCTCCTCCTCATCGCTATCCTTCTTCCCCTTAGCAAGGGAGTCAATCTCCTGCTGATCCTTCTTCTCAGCATACCACTGCCCAGCCTGCAAAACCAAAATTCCCACCAGAACAAGCGCCAAAATAGTATTGCTAGCACTCAGCACCTTAAGCGAGTCTTCCCGACCAAGAATCTGATCCCGCTCTTCAGGCGTAGAAGCGAGCGCATCACCATATTTTCCAGCCGAAGCAAGACGGAGACCCTTGACGATATTGGCGATGTAGACCGTCACGCCGCACATGTAGAGGACGAGAGAGGCGCCGTCGAAGAGCATGTTTGATTCGGAGGGCTTGTAGAGCTTGGTGATTAGGCCTGCGAGGCCTAGGAAGATGACAATGTGGAGAATGCGGGGGATTAGGGGTGGGCTGGCGTGGAGGAATTGGAGGTGCGCTTCTAGGTAGTCATAGTGGGAAGCTGGGGTCGGTGTTGTGGACCAGAGAATCGGGTAGTCGTATGGGAAGAGGGAGAAGATTATGCCGAGGAAGAAGCATGTTGCTGTGATGGGTTTGAGTTAGAGACATTGTTCGGATTTTGAAATTAAGTGAGGTGGGATCGAGCTTGAGCTTGAGCTTAAGTGATGGTGGTGGGGATTGGATGGGATGGTGGACCTGAGGAAACTCACGGCAGACGATCAGGAAAGTCGCGAACGACCCGCTTTTGAAAGGCATGGTGAGGATGATCTTGGATGAAGATCGTGGGGAGGCTGAGGAGAGAAACAGGGGGAAAATGAGGTTGATGGGTAAGCGGAGTTGCCAAGGCAAACCCGCCCCGAGATACCGAGATAAGGATAATCATTATCAACTACTAACGGATGAGCTCTGATAGGCGTAGATTGACTACTCTTTTTTGGTTACTCTGTACAATGAATGATTATGACAAACTGATTGCTCCGTTAACAGATTCGGAGTTATAGTACAGAGTCAGGTTGTAACGCCAACCAGTTCACCAGCGCCGGGTGTTCATGAAAAAAATAATATGCGAATAGTGGTATCTTCCAGAAAGTAATCCAGCCCCCCAAAATGCAAAATGTACATGTTGAAAATTTGAACAGAGGTATCAATATAATAATAGTATTAACGCTGGTATCGAGGTAGCGACTCGTCTGCATGCGCTGTGCCACCCACGAGTTGATCGTCTTCATCAAAGACTGGGGCACTGGGCCCTTCACCGTTGCTTTCTTCGAGAGGCGGTGCACTGGGAGCGCTGACCTGCTGCATTAAACGCTGGCGTTCAAGCTCTTGCTTGTCATCACCCGGGGCAGAAGGTCCACTGGGCTCGGGAGCATTGCCATTCACAACTACAGTCTGCAGTGATTCTGCAGACTGAACATGAGACATTGCATCTTCGCCCGACACATGGTAATAGTCCTGCAGGTGATGATCCTCCGGCAAGACTGGAGCAGTTGGTACCGACATTTCAGCAGAAGGCCCTGCTTCATCCTCATCCGGCGGTTGACTTGGAAGGAGTCCTTCCTCGTGGCGTCGGACTCGAGTCTTTTCATCAACGGGTTCTTCAACTTCAGGATGTGCAGCCATAGGACCCGGGGGTGGGAGTTGCTGTGAGTAGTCCTCAGGATACTCCGCCCAGGCTTCTTCGAAAAACATGGGGTCCTCTTGATCATACTCTCCTGGGCTTCCCTCGGGCCACTCCTCTACATCTCCATTATTAACATGATTCGAGGATGTTTGAGGAGCTTGCGACATGGTCGATTCTTCAGCAGTGGACAATGTGCGTTCAATTGGGATCTGGCCGCGCTTGGAATCCCTAGTTCCAACAACGACTTCAAAGGCGACTGAAATGACGCCTTTCTCTCGACGGACTCGATCTGTATCGAGAATGTTGCCCGCCCAGTTGGCCGTGATAGCGTTGCCATTGGCATCGGCAGGATTTAAAATCTGACCACTAGGTGAGAATGTGCTCCCGCCTGAAACCATATTGAAGCGTGGGATGAAGCGATCGGGTGATGTGATTTTGCCACGCAGATCTACCACGATCTCCACGTAATACCGAAAGTTGATCATGGCACCGGGCACACGGGTAATGGTAGGAAATGCGTCTTCGGGAACTCGAATGGATGTTTTGACAATTGCGGTCAAGTTTGTAGGATCTACAATCAATGGCGCAAAGGATTGAGATAGGTCTTTGCGGAAAGTGCTGCTGTTGCGAGTGGTTCCGAGGGTCAGTCCCCCAAGTCCAGTGCGAGAACGTGGATAGCAGTCTTCGTATATTGGTTTCTTCCCATTTGCGTTGTTTCCGATTGGGATTGATGGGTGAATATCGATGCGGCCCTGCCGATATAGAGTAATAATGATACCATGCGCGCTGCGCACCTGTTTGCAATGGTTTATAGTTACTTTTATGGGTAATGTGTCCCCCGGAAGCACGCCTGCGCGCAGAACTTCCGCCTTGGCGGTTATAGTCTTGTCCGTGACGGAAGGGGTCGCACTGCGTGCTTCGCTATTTCGTCCCCCGGTGCTTGTGGATGAGCTTGGATCGCTTGCGATCTGAAAGCTCTGGCTGCTGTTGCTAGGTCGGCTGGAGGAGCTGACATTGCTTGGAGAGGGACTGAGCGGTGGTCTGTGGTCGGAGCCAGCTGTGGCGCTGACAGGGGTATCTATGGAGGAGGTGTCGGGAGCTGTTGTATTTTCGGGGCTGGGGGCTTTGCCTTTTGCTTTGGATCTCGATCGCTTTGAGACCGGTTCCAGGGTGACGATGCGGGCTTTCGGGGCGGGGAATGGGGCAATGTCGATATTTTCGAGCACGTTCACTCGCCTTCGACAGGTAAGTGTAGGATTCATGGTCGTCGGTCGGGTAAGAGTGGAAGTGAGCGCATAGGCAACAGTGCCTCTTTCAAACTAGACACATAATTATTAGTACACAGTTTCAACCCCAGAAACCTGATAACCCACATTAATGCTACTGGGCAACGCGTATGGGGGAAGTGTCATCTCAAAGCGGAATTTGTAAATGCCCTCCTTGAGGCGGCCTTCACCACAGAGAACCACTTCATCCTCGAACAAGGTAGCCAATCCGTTGCCCATGTATTCTGCGCCTCGTCGGCCACGCCCTGGGCCAATGAACCCGATGTCTGAGTTGGACTCCCCCGCCGGCACCGCATTCTTGAATACCTTGACGTAGCCATGGAGACATATTACAATATGTGTAATGCGCACTGGCCGCAGCACGGTTACAATAACGGTGCCTTTGATGGTGTCGCCCGGAAAGTATGAGCGCCACGGGTCATCGGGGTCGATATAGAAGTCTGCGACACTTCGATTACGTGACCCAAGGGGGGAGCGAAACTTGGAAAGAAAGGAGTTGGCTTTCCGGGTGACCGGCGGGGTGGTGGTCGTGGGAGGAGGGTTGGAGGACATGACACACAGCCGCCACCTCCTGCATCCATACAAGATGGCGGGGCTGGAGATCGAAACAGAAAAAGACGAAGATCTCGAGGATCGTGACCAAAGAGCGATATAGATGAGACCCCTGGTCTGTACGATATGGTGGGGTCGGGGGTAGTGACTCGTCGGCGGAAGAGCCTACGTTAAGGCAAGATGGATTCGACACGTCGGGCGGATGGGACAGCGCGAGTCTATAGGGACGGTCCGATTTCAAAAGCCACGGTATGTATATGGGTGTCCACACGCGAAATAGAATCCACGGTCCAGAGGAGAGGAATGGGTCGTTAGGTTCGAGGACCGAACCACATTGTTTCTGGTCTTGCCGAGCCGCACGGGTAGATCACGGAAGTCGCCCAGGGATTCGACTGGTGTTCGATTGATGAGGTTCCAGGTCGCGTTTATGAGTATCGAGTCGAGTGAATGCTTGATTGCTAATATCGAGCAGATCGTTGGCAGGCTGGACGTGAAGGGGGGCCGAAACGTGAGGTTCTTGACTCTCGAGTGGCCGAGTGACTCCCGACTTTCGAGGGGCTAGAATGAAGTTCGGGGGGCAAAGGGTGGCGCGACGGAATGTGGGATCAAGTGTGGCACGGGAATTAGAGTATATAGGAAAGTAAGGAAACTATTCAAGAAAGAGGGGGTTCAAAGAGAAGGTTTGAGAGAAGGAGAGATTTGATTACGATAAGCGGAGACGGAGAATACCCAGCGAGACCCAAAGGACTTCGAAGATCAAGCTTCGGAAGAACATGGGAGTTGGAGTGGTTATATATAGGGTTGAATTTTGATTTTATATGAGTCAAATACTTGAAATTACTTTACAGCTTTTAGATCTCTCATAAAAGTACTCCGTAGATTCCCTATAATAAAGCGCCGGTTCGCGGCGTTCCCCAATCTTGCGACAAGTGAAAAGCTTAAGTCTGATCGGCTTAGGAGAAAGCAAATCAATTTAATGCTAAGCTTTTTTTTCGCTTCTTTCGCTTTTCTCGTTTCTTCGTTCCATAGTCCATGTCGCACAACAAATTAACCATAATCATAACCATAATCATCATCATCTTCACCTACTCCAGTTCACGGAGTCCCCCATCCACGTACTCGTCTCCATAACATTCATGCAGTACTGCCGCAACAATTTCCCGGTCCCCCCCGGCCAGTTCACGCAGATGTTGCTCTAGAACATAAAGATTGTCCGTCCATTGGAATGTTTGCTGCCTGAACCCCGCCAACTCCTTTTTTAGTGTTGACACAGCCTTCCTACACAACGAGTCGCCCAAACCCGACTCTGCAACCCGAAGCCGGTGTACCTCCGTTGTAAGTTCGGCTTTGGTAGCAAGTAACTTCTGTCGCATGTTGATCCCACCATTCGCATTCTCACTCTCACTCTCCTCACTGTCATCCTGTCGGCGCTTGGTCTCAGCGGCCAGTGCCGCCTCCCATTCAGCACAGGATTTCTTTGCTTTCTCCACTTCCGTCTGCACCCGGACCAGCTGCCGCTCCCGCTCGACCTGTTCGTCACTTTTGAAGCTCCAGTACCAGTTGCCGCTGCCGATCTTTTCCACCCGAATTCGATTCTCGTCGGTCAGGGCCTGAATGTATTCTTTCACTTGAATGCTGTTGATAGATGCCACGCCTGGTAAGCTCTTTTCTAATTCCTTGAATGTGTAGCAGGTTCCTCGTGTTTGAAGGTGGGTCACAATCAATGCCAGTTTCTCGTCTTTGGAGAGCTTGGGTGGCTGGTTCAAATCAATAGTTAGAAAAATAAATTAGATACAAGGTGACGCGTCAGTCTCATGGCGTTCATCGTACTCCGTACACCGGGCGCCTGGAGTGAATATTCAAACGGGGGCCGCGTACCATGATGTCGTCGGATGGGGCCCGACGACCCACTGAGGCGCTTCGGACTGAGGTTTGTACCTTTCCTGGTTCGGCAAGAAGAAGCTTGAAGGGAAGCCTTGCCGCTTTTGGATAGACTTGGGATGGATAAGCATTCACGAGTGGAGGAGTGGATGAAAGCCAAGTTTTGGTGTTGCTTGGTTTTCTTGGGGTGCCTCTCCAACTCACCTGTTTACCATACGAACAGCAAGATGGGGATTATTTTGATCTGCTTTAATTCAGCCAGTCCGTGCTTAGAATTTATGACCTGTATCGGATTGATTTATATTGTTTGCCGGTTTTTAGCGCTAAATTAATCTCGCATTGAAATCCCATTGACCGTGCAGGTCACTTTGGGCAATCTTGAGGTGAGCCAAACTAGGAGATATACACACAGCCTCCGCGTGTTCCACGTTCCGCAGGGTTAAGTCCTCTCAGGGAAGGATCTTAAATGTCAGATTGACCACAAATCGTGCACGATACATCCCGATGCTGTGCGAAACACCTAAGCGTCTTCCACTCTGATAAGTGAGCGTGACATACGGTCCGCAGTGGCACCCATGACAAAGAATCAAGTAACGAGTACTTGGTCCATGTATCATAATGTATGGTGGTCCCAAAGGAGATTGAAAGGGCGCACCTAGTCAACGCAGCAGATAAGATCCATTTTAAAAGTCAAGGTCCAATCAAAAGCCATGAGCTATTCCCAGACCCACTATATACCCACTGGCCAATCAGGCGTCCCATCAGTCCTATCTTCCCTAATGCTACTATGAGTATCTTATTACAAGTACAGCTCTATCGACACTCCACTTAAAACATGATGTCCAGCTACATATCCTCACTAGGAGACTACGACGACGAATTTTGGCTAGTAAAAGGGTTCCATGGATGGCTAAACTCGAGGAAGGATGCGTGTGATCATCCACATCCTAGTGCTATTGTTTGGCTGCGCCGTCTATCGCATCTACCCACGGGTAAGCTTTCCAAATGGTACAGGTAATGGGTCCCGGATTATGAGGTGAAGCCCTCCCCGAATCTCTCACTCTCCAAGAGGGCCCTGCATCGCCGCCAGGCGATCGGGTCTTCATATGACAACTTTTTCTTGTATTTCCGATGGGTAGGACACTGCCGACCGTCTTAGGTGGTGTACTCGGGCTGGACCGTGCGGTGATGAATTGACTGGCCTAAATACTCGAGGTCGGTAAAGACGGAGGAAGCAGAGTCTGTACCGACTTCAACATTCCATCTAATTCGAGAAGGCTTTGGTAGACACTTTCTTTTCTAGTGTCTTTGGGGTGATAATGGAATATCTTGATGCCATGGCGAACCATGAATCCCAGGTAGCTCCAACTTCAAGAGTTCGTTTGATTAGCCGTCTCTTGGGTAATCCGACAGGGAACGGTGTGGAAAATAAATAACCGTTGGGTTCGGGCATAGAACGCCAATGGTCGAAGGAGTTGCTGGATATTATCACTGTTGCATTGCGTAGTGATTGAAATTCTTGCGTCTGTATTGGATAAGGCTCGGTGTTTGGAGGAAAGCAGCAGGGGCTACTCACCGGTCGACCCAGCTAACAAAGGAAGAGGGATCATATTTGTGTCGACGCCCTCGAGTCCTGGCTTCATGGGAGTCGCTCGCGACTTCGATTCAATCCGAAGGATTTTCCTGTCTTACAAGGCACGCATGTATTGTCTCCTTATAAGTTGCTTGACAACCGAATATGATGCAACGCGATATTGAGCCGCCTGGACCCTTAAGTACCAGTGTAGTGTTCAAGAGCATAAGCATGAGGATGTGATATAAATCCACAGTCTCATCAGGTAGATACTTCAGACAGGTCCCTGTCTCTTCTGCTTCTTCAGCGGAGAACCATTTCGTGGTGCCTCCTTTTCCTTGCGGAGAGCTTCGTACTCTGCTTTGGTCAATCGATGACGTTTGATTTTTCTCCTCACACCTTGCGCGTGCTGGTATAAGCTGGCAGGACCTTCAAGGGTCTTGCCCCTCGGTCTCTTCTGTCCAACTTGGGGACCATCGCCTGTCTCATCTTCACTACTCCACTGTCCTTCCGTCAGAACCATGTCTCCATTTTCGCCGAGTTGTTCCTTGGCCAATTCCTCCATCAAAATTCCGACCGCAAGGAGGGCCGACTCGTCCATACTGTGGAAGTTGTGTTTCCCGTCGCGAACCTTATGTGTATAGAAGTCGGAGGCATAGGAGTGGACTGCAGTCAAGATCTCAGAGCTCGGGAGAGGGCGATCGGCGGGAAGATTTTCATGAGCGAAGTAAGACTCATCCTCCAGGATCTTTTTCAACTTTTTCGGCTTGTTTCGGTATAAGACCTCCTCAGGGCGGAGATCGCGACCACCTGAAGACTGCGTGTCACCGTACCGTGTCGCAGATGGTGCTACTGGGATGAATCCGTTGGTGTTGACCCGGCCTGAGATTGTCAGAAGATACTTCTAGACTTTTTTTACTATTTTCTTTAACTTACCAACAATGGAATCGTAGAGGTTGGCGATGTGTCTGGAGGATTTTGGGTTTTGGTTGTCGGCTGGCAGGTCAAACCTCACCCGAGATCCTCCCCTTTCTCGGTTTTCGTCAGGATGATTTGAATGATAATCTGTAAGATGATCTTCGCCAGGATCTAAAGACATTTTCCTGGAGTCGCTAGTGCATCGCAAATCGTGGTGATCAAGAAGATTGGAAAGCCCAAAAATGATGCGCCGGTACAACTTTATTCCGATGAGGTCACTTCTGCTTATCGCCATCTCCGCCGTTCATCGTTGTTTGTTCAACTATGCATGAATGAATTCCTTTCTTCTCAACAGAGCCCTCGGGTCTGTAAGCTCCAACACCTTTTATGTCGCTCAAACAACTCGGCTAGTACACAATCTCGAGCCTGCACCAGGGATTCGGTTCTCCAGTCGCAGAGCCTCACGGAGAAGCGAGTCTCGAGGTGATGCCACGCCGTTGAATGAGGAACACGACTCTACGGAAGATGAAACTGCCCACAATGCTGGCGTGAATTGCCTAGCAATTGATCAATTTGACGGTCGATAGTATGCGCGATTCAATTCTCCTAGTAACTTTTTAGTTTAACCAAGATGATTAGTATGATATCCGGAGGTGCAGATCCAACCATTCACCTCTGGGACCTCGAGAGCAGAGGCTCAGAACACGAGCACGTCCATCGGGCTGTTGCATCGGTCAGCAAGTCGTCGCATCCAGATGCCCATAGCCACGCCATCACGTCCCTGTCCATATACCCCTTCGATCCGGAGCCATCCACCATCTTCTCGACTGCCTACGATGGTACATTGAAGCTTTCAGCGCTCCAGTCACCAGTGATAACCCCTGTCCATACTTTCAAGCTCGATTGCACACCATACGCTCATTCATTCTCTTCTCAGCCTGGATCTACTCTCCTCGTTGCGGTCGCCACGTCCGATCAAGCTGTGCGCCTGGTAGACTTGCGATCTGGCCTCGCGGCACACGGTCTGCCCGGACACAATGCCGCGGTGCTTTCGGTGGACTGGGCTCCACATCGACCACATCTTCTGGCCTCGGGATCCGTGGATAGCCGGGTGATCATCTTCGACGTGCGCCGCGGCGGCCACAACTCTGCCATTGCGACTTTAGACATGGATGACCCAGTAGGGTTGGCACCCCCAGGCTCGGACCCTGCAACGTTCTCCCAGGCCCGGCCAGCATTTTCTCGGCATGCCCGCGCTCACAATGGTGCTGTCACTGGAGTACGGTGGACGTCTAATGGTTCCCAACTTGTTACTGTAGGCCAGGATTCTCGAATTCGAGTATGGGATACCGCCAGTGGCGCAAATACACTGGTTCATTTTGGACCTCGCGTTAGGAACTCCACCTCCTCTTATCTGGCAGAGCGGGCTCCACTTGTGATACCCAAGGGATTCATGGCACCGGGACACGAAACCCTTTTATGGCCCAACTTTCATGAGCAGGATGACCGCGGTGAGATCTTCATGTTTGAGCTCCGTGAGGGAACATGTGTCAAGCGCCTCCGAGTCCCTGGTCTTGCGACTGGTGCTCAGGCTCGAGGGAGGTCGAGTGCACTCAGTGCTGCACGTATCAATGATCTCGTCTGGCGCGGGAATGGTGGTTCAGGCGAAGGGTTGGAATTGTTCTCAGCTCATGGGGACGGGACCATCCGTACTTGGGTATCCCGTGAACCTGATGGTGAACCCACCGAGGAAGAGGAAGCGGCACTTGCAGCCCGTAAGAGGAAACGAGACGTACTGGATGACATCTACCAGGGGTTTCTTCAACCAGAAGCATCTAGAATTCATACCTAGCAGCCTACTGCAACAAATGGCCAAAAAACTGCAATCAAAATTAATCATAAATCATTAATAATCATACATCACAGAGCCACCAGGGCTGAGCTGATATATCCCTATAGTACATGTATTCCGAAATTTTCCAACAAGGTCATATGAGACACTAGCTCCTGAAACACGTGGTATAAATGTTCTATCCTTTAATAAGAGGACTCAAGGCCAAAGAACTGCAACTAGTCAGCACCATTCATCAAAAAAGTGCAACAGATCCACTTTTCACAGTACTCACCTGATGAATCCCAACCTTATGATCAGCACCTTCCCCATTCTCAGATTCGCTCCCTTTCGATTCCCCTGACCGTCGAGGTATATCTTTTCCGATATACGAGCGCTTCGACTCCACACCAGCAGGCATGGAATTTCCAGTCCCAGTCATCACTTCACCAGTCTCTCCACGGTCGGAGATGGAGCGTGGCATTTCCGTTGTATTGTCCGCAGCCATGGCTGACGTAGGTTGCGGTAGACCGCCATAGCAGACATAAGATTGGATACGTTGATCCGGACGAGGGATGGAGGCAATAATATTTTGTTTTCCGGCGGTATTGGGAATGGATGTACCATTTGGTGCCATGTCTGTTAGGGAGCCTCCTTCATGAGAATTGGATTGTTGTTGAACCATTTTGGCTGTATAGATAGGCGTGTATATGTGGTATGTGGTATTTTGTGTAGATGAAAGATTGACACTTGTCGCAATTGGTTTAAGAATTTAATCTTTAAATATACAAGGGTCTGAGATGTGGGGGTGTTTATATGGTTTGGTCCTAGTTCATGCACCTAGGCGATCTGACATCACGGGTAAGTTAACCGGAGTGTGATGAAGCCATGATGATATCATCGAGGGACGTGTGGCTGACCCGAGACCAAAACGTCGGTGACCGAGCCGCTTGTCAAGGGGGTGCCCAGAGCTATTGCGTAAGCCGATGAGAGGAAACAGGGCACATTGACAGGGATCGTCTATTGGCGGAATGTTGGAAGCCAGGAAATCGATCAAGTTTAGGGTCCCAGAGTGGGTTCGAGAAAACCGGATATGGACTAGCTTTCCGCGATTGGTTGATGAATGCGGGGGGGGGGGGGGGGGGAGCAACTTAATCAACCTGATAAGAGCTGGGGTTTCATGGTTCGCCACGGGCTGTGTTGTTGCCACAGATTTATTAAGGATAAGCGAAGTTTGGGTCGGAATAGTTGCTGCAAATGGTTTGTCGATTGTCACGGCGTGCTCAGGTTAACTTGCTTTTCTTGGAACCCACTTGCCTATATCGGTACGTACCACATCTCCTGCTCGAAAACCACACTGTCCTTTGCTCATTGTTTTCAAGTATTGGTGTAATTTTACATTAAGGGATCATTGATTAAGTTCGTCAAGAACCTCTCCACGGATTAAGCTTGAAGGCTCGGATTAGATATGAAAGTGAAAAGTCATATTTCAGATATGTGACCTCATTAGGTGAAGACAATCAGCATTAATGGGAGAAAATGAATTGAAGAAGTAGACAGTTGTACGAAAAGGGGACATGAAAGGAAATGATACAATGGTAAAAGATTGAAAAGGTAGTCCAAGGTTTACATGACGAAAGCAAGGACACCGACAACAACAGCGGCAGCGGATACAAGGCCACCGGAGACGCGGGCGGCGGCGCCAGTAAACATGACAGCGTGAGGAGTAGCATGGGCAGAGCTGGAGGCCATGGCGCTCTGCTCAGGAGAAACACCAGTGGGAATCAGGTGGCTGCCAGAGGGGGTAACTATGGGCATCACTGAGGCGCTGGAAGAGGGGCTTGGCACGGGGACGTGCACTGGGATCTGGGAGAACATGGCCGCCGGGGCGTTGGAGCTCTGGGAGGGGTGTGGAGAGCTACCGTAGGGAACGTTGGAGCTCTGGGAGGGGTTTGGAGAGCTACCGTAGGGAACGTTGGAGCTCTGGGAGGGGTATGGGTAGCTAACGTAGGGAACGTTGGAGGACGACGGAGCTGAGGCTGGGAAGCTCATGACCTTGGGGCCAGAGCCGGACTGCATGGGGATGGAGCTTGCCTGGAAGACGTGGGAGTAAACAGGGGTCTGGTAGACAGTCTCCGTGGCTTGGACTTGTGTGACCTGGGTGACAGTCTCGGTAGCCTGGACCTGCTTGTACTGGGTGACAGTCTCGGTAGCCTGGACCTCCTTGTACTGGGTGACAGTCTCAGTAGCCTGGTCGTGCTTGTACTGGGTGACAGTCTCGGTAGCCCGATCATGCTTGTACTGGGTGACGGTCTCCGTGGCTTGGACTTGTGTGACCTGGGTAACAGTCTCGGTAACCTGCTGCTGCTTGTACTGGGTCTCAGTCACGGTGCGGACAACCTCGTGGACCTGAGCGGAACACTGAGAAGCTTCGGGCTCTGGAGCGCGGTGAGAAGGAGGAGCAGGCTCGGAGGGCTCGGGGATCTCCTGGCTCTCGTGAGACTCCATCGGGTAACCGGCAGCGTGCTGCTGGTCGGTGTACGCCATCCAGGGCATCTGAGGGACCTCTGCGTGGGCATGAACAGGTGTCTCAGGAACTTTGTGGACGGGAACAGCCCACGAAGATGGGTGGACAGTGGTGGTGTCGAGCTTGATGGCGTGGTTATCATCGTGCTTCTCGTTAACGTTGGTGTCAACACCGACGTCGGTAGCAGAGCCAAAGCCCATTCCGTCGTCGTCACCAGAAGGGCCACCCATTGCAGTACCGCCGGAAGCGAAAGGGGGATCAGAGAAGTCATCATCGCTTCCACCCACGCGATCAGGGGAGTAGGCACGACGGAAGGGAGCAGCTCCGTGGAAGGGAGAGAAGTGAGGGGCGGGGTAAACATCCTTGTGCTTCAGGTGAATCGAGTGATCATCCTGGTATTCCTCGTTCACAGTAGTGTCGGTCTCAACAGTGATGGGCATGTTGAAATCCTGACCACCATCGTTTCCAGAAGGACCGCCCAGGGCAGTACCGCCACCACCGTGGGGATAGAGGCCACGCTTGAAGGGCAAGCCAAATGGAGAAGGGTAAACCTCTGTGTCCTTGATGTTAATGGAGTGGTCATCCTTGTACTCCTCGTTGACGTTGGTGTGGATGTCAGCGGACTGGGACATATCGAAATTAAGACCACCGTCTTCACCAGATGGGCCACCCATAGCGGTACCTCCAGCAATGATAGGATATCCTTCACCCTCGCTCTCGTGGCTGTGGAAGTCACCACCCCCTGGTCCACCCATGGCAGTGCCGCCAGGGCTGAACCGCTTAGCGAAAGCAGTGGCAGGAATATGGAACTCGGATGATTCACCAGAGGTGCGGAAGGGAGCGTGTGCACCAGGAGGACCAGCGAAGTGGGGAGGAGGATGCACAGGGGCCTCGATGATGGGGCCCGGGTGAATATCCTTGTTCTTGACATGGATGGAGTGATCATCCTTGCTGTACTCGTTCACTTCGGTCTGGAAGATGCCAGTAATAGGCATGTTGAAGGTTTGGCCTTCATCATTGCCAGAGGGACCACCACCAGCAGTACCGCCAGCAGGCCAGCTACGCTTGGGGAAGGGGCCAGCGCCAGGACCATCAGCGTGGGCGAATGGACCAGCGCCAGGTCCAAGAGCGGGGCCAGGGCCGAAGCCAAGGGGATAGGAAGGAGGGTAGATATGCTTGTTCTTGATTTTGACGGAGTGGTTATCCTTGTAGTGCTCATTCACATTTGTATGAGCGTGGACGCTGGCACTGTAGGGAGTGGTGAAAGTGCCATCCTCATCATTACCAGATGGTCCACCCATGGCAGTGCCACCAGCTTGCTCCGGGCTGAAGCCAGCAGTTCGGCGCTGGTGTAAGTTGTTCTGGCCCATCTCCATTTCCTGGTCCTAGCATCAGTATGGTCATATAAGTTTGTGCTTTGTCTTTACTCACAGTGCCTGGCTCCATGGCCTGGACCTGAATGGCGGCCACCAAAAGGGCCAAAGGAATACCGCCAACGAATCCCTTCATCGTGACGGAGCGTAAGATGTGAAGTTAGTATAGAGAAGAAAAAAAAAAGGTATACTGTCGGACTTGATATTGGTCCAAAAAGAGCGACTGCGATCAAATGATACGGGAGGATTAAAGAATGGCACGATCAATCGAATTAACTCCGTAGTACTCGAACGAGGGAATTCCTGAGCGGCTGCGGCGTTCATTATGCCTTTAGTACTTGCTTTGCACTCATGGGGACCCAGTATTCTCTGCATCACTGGAATGCGTATCCAAGGCCAGCAACTGGGCCTGGAGGGTTGGCTCAGGGGATTCAACTCCACGAGAATGTTGATGAGAATGGAAGAATGATATTTCGCGGATTTCTAACAGTAAACAAACGCCCAGTGGTGGGTTCAAGAGGTTGTGTTGCGACATTCCTCGGCATCAGGATAGGGATGAATCACCAGGGGCGCGATTGGTATTCTCGAGGGAGAATACTAACCAACCAGCTTCTCGTGTGCAGCTTCCATGGTTATGGTCACCCTAGTTCCAAAGGCTCTATCACCGTTGGATAGTCCATGGCGTACTGTTTAGCCCATGTGCACTGAGATGAAAGGGGCTCAACTATGGCACAGGATATCTGTGACGCAACCTGAGCAGCCTGCCATGCATCATATGTCGCAAGACACAGCTGAATGCTGAATGATGTCAAGTAAGCCTTAATTTAAGGTTGTTTATGCTACTGCATGGCAGATAAATAAACATAGCGACAAGAGACAGCCAGGACGGAAGAGGACTGCCATCCCGAGCACGCACTTATTTGTATGCTAGACATGCCCGTGGGCACTTTCTTTACGCGAACACTAGTGTATTCTTACGACCTTTAATTATTCCAGGGAATTTTTTTTTTAAAAAAAAAAAAAAAAAAGGTGGATGTATCCCGTCTTCGACATTCCCCCCCCATCGCCCTCAATGAAGAGGACCCAACGGGAGGCGAACTTCCTATCGAGGATTATTACTCTACAGAGCCGATCAGTCTCTTTCGAAACCGAAGGCAACAATCGCCGTGGGAGGTGTCACAATGACAAGACGATGGTCGTGGCAGGCTCTGATGCTTTTTTGATGAAGAAGAAAAAGACCAGAGGGTGAGAATTTTTCTCGCCTTTTTGTACTTGCGCTTGGTCATGTGATCGGGCCGTTGTTTCTTCCGGTTGTGGGTCACAATGTGGATCTTACGAACGCGTTAGATGCAATTCGAACCTTTCTCTACTTGATCATTATCAATCATATAGATAAGACTCTGGCTTCGACCACTGTATTCAGTTAATGTACAATTTCGTGCGTCTAATGGCCATCGGAAAAGTCCGCACTCAAACACTTTGAGTGTCACCGTTGTCATCCCACAGCACCATACAAATGAAAGAAAAGTGACAATCCACGTGTCCAAATGAGTGACTGGTGATAAGTCCGACAGTGTACTCTTCTCCAGCGCTATCCCGGATTGTCAGTGCTAGTCCTTCGTCACGATCGGAGTTGACTAACAACTATCGCCGAAGAGATGTCTGTTCAGCACTGGATTTCCAAACTGCGCCACCAACGGCATAGGTGATCCCTAATGCGATCGCGATCATGGTTCCAACGGTCACCACCGCAATGATTGCCTTGAGTATCATGCGCTGTCGGGTGCTCAACGAATGCATGCATGATCGGGGCTGCTTTTTCCCTTCCCATAGCTTCGAGCGTCGGGGGCTCTCATTACGAAAGGCGTATGGTCCTGCGTTCTCAATATCTCGTAGCCCACTGCGCGGGCAGCCAGCGTTCTTGGTTTCAAATGTGAGCTGTTCGTAGGAAGTTGTTGGTGTACCATGCGAATAGAACGGGGAGTATGGCTTGGCACCGATGCACGGATCAAAGTCCGGAGAGTGAGCATGGTCGATATCAATTCTGGGAGTTGACTGCACAGACACAGGAGGGGACCGTATCTTCGGTGTGGACGTGTGCTTGTCGTCGCCCTTGATGGACGCGGCCACCTGGGCCCCAATCACCCCGAGGCCATGAAGACTCATCTCGTCGTGTCGGGGAAGGTCGTGGATGGTTCGTCCAGATCGGAAGATCTGTGAGAGATACTTCCTGGACGTCCTCCGGCAAGAGGGATGCCTGGGGAAGTTGGAACTTCACTGAACGTGAAGAAGTGGGTTGGAACTGGTCTAATGAATGAATAGGGTTGGGAAAGGCATCGGTTGGGAAACCCTCATACATAAACAAGGCAGTGTTAACCTGGAATGCGCTCGCGCCCAAGCGGATTGATCATTCGAATGACGAAAACAGACAAGTCATAACATTGATGGCTGAAATTGGGCGTGTGCAGAGGAAAGAACTCTTAGTCGCGACATCCCTGAATCTTCTGCTTCATACATAATTTCCCTCACCTGATCCAACTTCACCAATTTTTTTTTCCAATGAACCAGAACTTCGTCAATACAACCTCACTGTGGCAATCTCAGTTCTCATCTTTACTCCCATGTTTGGTAGATTTGTTTTCATCCCTAGATACAGATTTCCCGCCACCGTGGGAACATTCCAAGCTCCTGTGGAAGTAGGGATCACATCTCTCTACAGGAACCAGAGCTTCCTATTGGTCCACTGGCATCGGCATGCAATTTCATTAGTCAATTTCGTTGCTTCCATTTTCCAGATCATCGGCTGCATGCGGCCGCTTGTTGCCAGAGTGCGGGGGTTCCCCACGGCAAGACCCAAGTTTGGTACACAGAGTAAATGCGTTCTATGCTACCGTGGTAGTTTTCAACTTGATTACTTCCAGATGTTCGAAATGCTTGTCCTCGTTCCCTTGCCACCTAGTACATCTCAACCCAATATCTTTCCCTCATATGACAGATCCTGTTTTCGTTTCTTTCTAGCTGATAGCCGCACATAGGCATATCAATGTGGCTGTTTATCATGTATCATGCTCACAAAAGAAAACATGTGATCGACACTGCGCCTCCCTGGACCTGCTTTCGTCCTTTGTTCGTCGAATTGTCATACAAATCACACTACCAGGATAGGGCAACTAGGAACATGGGTCACACTTGTCAATCATTGTATTTGTCCTGCATCTTGATATTTTAGAAGATTTCAAACATGTGGCGATTAAATTTTTGAGCTACAGCCCAGAAATGTCTAGCCGCTAGTTGAAATCCATCGGCTAATACATCAAATGCCGAGATGAATTTGATTTGAGTCGTGAATTCTGTGATTATTGAGCTGCAAGCAATTCGTTGATCGCCTTTATTTAGTAGTTTCACTTGCGTACGCAGCTAATGTTCACTTTGAGAGACTTCAAGAGATCCCAGGTAGAGTTTGGTATATAAGACTGCATATGTGGACCTATATATATCTCTAGGGCATATGATGCATTTTCGTAGCTGAACGAAGACATACGGGAATTTATACATATAGTACCCATGCGTATCCACATTAGTGTACAGTACATCAAACAGTACCTCCAGACATCACTAGGTATCATCACCCTAGTCAACACCAGAATATGTATTAAATATGTGCCGCTTCAATTTAATGTTGGAGCCTTGGTGTTCAAACATTTGGTCACCTCCGACCACACAGCAGGAACATTTGAATTGAAGATAACTATCCGTACTTCTGGCAGTGGTGCCTACATTTACCTAGGTATCGTTCACACTCATTCAATGCACGGTGGACTGCTGAGATCTCCGATAGAACGTTGAATGAATATGTAAATGTATATGTTTACTGGGAATGCATCCTAATTTCTCACCATTCTATCCCTAATCTCCAGGGCTTTAAGACGTCGAGAAGCTATTGACCTACATATGTAGCTACATATGTACACACTTGCAAGTTTGCTTAGTTGACCGCTTCTTGCATCAAATTTGGAAGGTGTTTGGGACCTGCTGCTGTGCCAGGTCCACGGGTGACAATAGCTTACCAACGTATCCACGTCCACAAATATTGAGAACCTACATATTTGATGTCCTGGCAGTGCTGCCCACATGTGCAAGTGCCTACTTCTACATTAGGTATCAAGCCTTACACATGAATGATCAGTGAATTTCCAAGCATTGGAAGTTAGGACTGCACCTCCGTTGACTTCCCCGCAATCGGCAATGAAGGGGCCTACAAAGTCTGTAGTTACTAAATGAAATATCGGCGCTGAGGCCCATGTCAAATGAAGCCATGCATTCCAGTGTTCTTCTAAGGCCATTCCAAAGTTAGGTATCGGCTCATAGATAAGCCTCATGATAAAGCTTTGAAATGTAGTGTAGTATCATATGATGCTGCTCAACCACCAAGGTTCAATGAAACCTTCCATGGCCAAATCAACAAACTAAATAATTAACGAAAATAAATGGTCAGCATTCTGTTATCCAGGACTCGACATTATTACCTACTTCCAATAACACCATTCACTGGGATATCAATCGACGTCGTATATGACGCAGCATCACTCAACAAGTAGACATAAGCACCGCCAAGTTCCTGCACCTCAGCAAGCCTCGGAAACCCCCCATAATACTTAAGCTGCTGCTCCCAATCAGGCTGCTGTGGAACCCAGTATGTCATAGCAGTATTCACCAAGCCAGGAGAAACACTGTTTACACGAATGCCATGCTGAGCCCACTCCATCGCAAGTGTGTGCGTCATATTGCGGATCCCGGCCTTCGACGCACCATAGGGAGTAGACGGAACGCGCTGACAAGAATCAGGTAACGTTGTGAAACACGTCAGTCATTTTTTGACGCACCTTGTTGGGGCGGTAGGAGGCCATGGACGCAGTAAAGACGATCGCCCCCTTGATGCCAAGCTTGATGAATGCCCGAGCGGCGCACCTAGCCGTGTAAAATGCTCCAAATAGCTGATCCATTCCAGTGTCTTAGCCAGGACCAATAGAACAACAGGGGGAAAATACAAGCAAGGGGACTTACGTTTACGGAGAAAAGTGATTCGATCTCTTCGGTCGTGAAATCCAGTGCTGATTTGTGGTTTGTCCGCCCTGCATTCACGACCATTCCGTGCAGCGCCCCAGCTTCCTCGATAACTTTGTCTACTGCTGCTGAGATACTGGCTTCTTTGGTTACATCAGCTTGGAGGGCGAAAAGCTGGCCCGGGAAATGTTGAGAGAGCGCTGCAAAATCATCACCTGTTTCGCCGATGTCGATGGAGTAGATTCGGGCGGCTCCATTTACGAGGCAGCTTTCTGCGACACCGAGGCCTATTCCGCGATTTGCGCCAGTGACTAGGAATGGAAGTTAGGAGTGGTCTCAGTTGGAGAGTTCGGTCACTTACTTGCGATAACCTTAGAATCGAGCGCGATCTTGGTCTGGGGCCCCGAAGAAGATGATTGAGAGAATTGAGAGGGAATAGAGGAAGACATGTTGTAAAGCACAGGTGTATAGATTTTGATTTAGATAATTCGACAGTACCCTTTCTATTCCGACACCCGATTTTATAACTCCATCTCTGTAGCTAATGACACAGCTGGCCTCATTGGAGACACGACGCGGGCCACGATTAGGTCCTCGCGTCGGGGCCAAGGTGCTGTAGAATTCCTGTCATATAGAGTCAAGATCGTTGGTTCACTAGTGAGCTGAGCGCTGATTGGATCTGTTGAATGTGGGGAGCATCATGGACCTCGAGTCGAGGATGTTACCCCGCACGGAGATAGTCCGATGTAATGACACTATTGGAGAAACAGTCATACAGTTGGGGGGAAACAATGGAACAGCTCTACGTCAAACATGATATTTCCTTGCACATGTGTGCAAGATAAATATCAAAATGTTTTCTATACCCTGAGAATCTCGCCTTTTTCCAAGGTATATATTTGTAATATCGTTATACTACCCGTGGTCATATCGTTCAATCCATCTCATCATGGCACTCGTCATCGTTATCATAATCTCCCCAGAATTCTTTCAAGTCCTCGACTCGCCATGCAGTAGCCCACCCAGTTTCATGCTCGATCCGAACCAACGTATCGACGATTGCTGCATGCTCGGAGTAATGGGACATTACCTTCCCCGCTATCCAGAGAGGTTGGAGGGCATTTGTCCAGCAACCACTGTCGTAAATTAGCAAATGATTCCTTCTCCGATTTTTTAAAAAAAATTCTGCTATCACGCAGGTCACCTACTGGTGTTCGTTGGAAGCAGAAATAGCACAAATATGGCGGGCGTGCCATAGCAGTGATTTCTAGACTAGTCAGTAGAGGGATGAAATCCCAGATGAGAGTTACTTACTGGCTTCTTGGAAAGTTTCAAGGTCTTGGGTCTGCTTTGAAGTAACAAAAGAGCGCAAACATGGTAGAGTTGATTGCCAGAGACTAGTTGCCGTCAGCGAGAATCACCCATCTTCAGAGATTGTACGTACTAGCATCTCCATTCCCATACAAAACGGTCGGAAACGGTCTGTTCCGTCCGGAATACCCAGGCTTAGCGACAGCAACTGTAAAAACCGGTTTCATCTGGCTGGGCCGGTTCTCATACCACAGCTGCGCATGGCTGAATACCTCTTGCCAACGACGAACATATGAATTTCCTTCTTCATCCGTGACCGACTGACATGATGTGCAGGGATGCAAACTTTTCGATCCAGTGCCAAAAAGAACTGCAAGTGTCTCTGCACAGAGGTAAACTGTATAGTTCGCGTAGGTATCAAAATTGGTATTTGCTGAGGAGAGAAACACAAGCGACGCCTCTACGCAACTCATGTCACGAGGCCTCCAATTATGAATTGGGATAATTGTCTCCTCTTCTGAGATGAGACCACCGCAGAGATCTGTAATAATATTAGCGACCAATCATTATTGCCCCTGAGGATGACATACCCATTCGCGCAAAGCACCAGAATAATGCCTGCTCTTCTTTTCCAGAGAAGCCGTTGATACCGGCCGCCTGGATCAGATACGCGCAACCATCTAAGTGGCGGCGCCATTCCTTTGGATTACCTTCACTTCATTAGTATAATAGTAACATTATGTGAGAAACTACTTACAACTCAGCATTTCCAAGACACATAGAATCACACAGGAGGCAATAACAGGTGTTGTCTTTGTTTCCAGTTCCGGCAACAGGAGATGTATAGCCTCTTGATAAAGCGACAAGCTTTCTGATTGGGACTTTTTACTTTGTAACCTTTCGAGTTGTCGCGCGGATAAAGCAAGGATAGAGTAGCGGAGGTGAGGTGCTGCTTTGGCCATCTGAGGGAACGTGGAGGCGAAGTGATGATTATTATCGAACATATCGAGCTTCAATAATCAGCTAAAACCTGGACACATTTATTCCGGCCTGATTACTTACCCATGAGCAGATTTCATTCAAATAGTTCTGCCACAGAGCATGTTCCCGTCCAGGGGAGAGGTCAATGAATCTGCCAGGTCTTGTATGCCAATGCTCTCGTCCTGGCCTGTTGAAGGTATCCGAGTCACTGAATGGCCTTGGTGTGTGGATATGAGAGATTGACCCCCGTGGACTACACAGACTTGTTACATCAGGTCTTACAGTCCGCAATTGACGATTTCGCAGAGTAGTATGAAGAGCCTCATATGTCGAGCCTGGAAGAAAGACATCGTCCGTGAACTCTGTTGGGTCGGAAAATATGCTGTGATTGAAGAGGGGTGAGTGAGATTGATATGAGCCGGAAACGGAAGGTTGGAATTGAGAGTTTGGCGTGAGATTACGTATTGCATTGAGGTCATCTATCATAAACTCCGGACTGGAATTTAGATAGGCATTGGAGGAAGTATCGCCATGAAGAGAAGGCTCAAAGTCACACTGTAGATCTCCCAAAAATGGGCACTGGTCAGTGGCGTCATGTAGGCTGATCTGACTGACATTTTCCTGATTGTTGTTATGGCAGGGAGATTGACAGGGGTCTTGGGGGATATGCGAGTGGCCAGATAAAAGCGGCGACAGTACCTGAATGTGATCAGGACTGGGAACTGAAGTATGATTCGCCTTATCCACGTAGATCTGTTGATCTTCTGCAGTCTCGTCTGTTATTGGTGCAGCTTCTTTATTATTTTTTGTGGATGGCGGCAGCGAAGGAGACAAGCCAGCTGCTTCTGACTGACTCAGATCTAGGACCCTCTCTGCTTCGAATTGCCGTTTGACACCCCGCGTACGGGGAAGATCTGGCAAGTTATTCAAGATCTTGAATTTGCTTTGACTCTTGTTACTGCTGACAGCCCCTCCTTGACTCATGGAAGGATGATCTGATTCTAACACCTTATTGTTGGCATCGCGGAATGAACCGAGCATGCGCCACTGGCAATCTTCGCCGCGACGCTTACAGCCAATACATGTTGGCTTAGCTTCGTCGCATTTTCGCCGTCTCCGACTGCAGTTTAGACAGCCTGTTCGAGTACGTTTCTTGCGCTCTGCTAACTTTGTACTATGGGCCATCTCTGGGGCTGAAGGTGAGATTCCCTTCTCGGTATCAATACTCAGTAGAGGACTGCTAGGGATTATGTTGGACATTTGTGGGGAAATCCACCCCCTCCAGGAAGCTTTTCTGGGGTATGATGGTTGTAGAATGACGGAGGATGGATGCGAAGAATATTACTCAAATGGGAGCGTTTAAGCGCCAGCTTGGGCCGTAAATATGGGGAATGTCATCTCATTGGTCAGGACCCCGAGTCGAGCCGATTTGTGGAGGTTGTATTTCGCGGGGGTTTCCCGAGACGTGGAGACGCGGCAGAAAGGGTTCCTACGATGCCGGAATACTGTATGGATGATCAGCTTGGCAGAGAACTCATGACAGGGTTATTGCACAAGTGGCTGCCGCAACTCCTTTTGCTAAATGGACTGAGATATAGAAGGGGTAAACGGGTGTAGATAGGTGGACATGTCACATAATTGGTATCGGGACAGCGCAGAATGTAGAAAAGCAAAAAGAAAACTCCAAAATGATTGCAATTACTCCACATGTTCCGTATCTCCAGCGCCAGCTTCCATCTCCTTACTTTGGGTGATGCGAGAATCTACATCGCCAGCCATACCCATGGATGGATGCCAGTAAAGATTGACCTTTCCGCCGGTGAAAAGCTTGTCGATCTGTTCCAACGTGAGATTGCGTGTCTCCGGGTAGAAGAAGTAGATGAGAGGGAGAAAGCAGATGAGTTGAAGACTAGAAGAATCTTAGTAAGTGCGTTGATTGATGTGATAAAGTGGTGCGTACTGGCAAAGTAGACGTGAGTCCCATATCCGATGTTGGCAATGCTGACTGGAGTAATTTCAACGACCAAAAATGTACAAATCCCTGCGATTCGTGAGTTAAGTAAGAATGTATGATAAATTATGGTGAGGGATCTCATACAATTAGTTGCAGTAGCAAGAGCTGCCGATCGGGTTCGAATAGCCAGGGGCGAATACTCGGCCGGCACTGAGGTGAGTCTCGTTAGCAACAGTAGTATGAGAAAGTTTCAGGTGTGAGGCACATACAGAGCCAGGGAATAACTAGAAGGCCAACTGCGAAGAAAAAATTGAACATGAAGAGCATCACTGTCGCAACAAGGCCTGCCGAATGGCCACAGCTCCAAACAGTACCTGCCAAGATGGCCATACAGCAACCTTGTCCAACCACCGCGAACATCATCAACTTTCGCCGGCCAAGCCTATTACTAATCAGCTAAAATCAGGAAGGAATTAAACAAAGCGATGCATAACGATCGATAACCCAAATAGGGACCAACGAAGAACAAAAGTAAGCCACACCATTAAATCCTGACAGGAGCAAGGCCGTATTATGAGACATGCCCACAGATTCCTCAAAAACTTCAGTCGCATACTAATTATTATTCAGTTAAGGCTCATTATTAGCTTGTATGGTGACTTACATAGGTAATCAAGTTGATGCCCGAAATTTGCTGCATCATCTGTCCACTCATACCTTACAGAGTCCGATGCAAGAATTTCTGATCACCATTCTGGAAGAAGTGTTCAAATGACCCTTCAGCTGAGGCCTCTGTCTCTTCTATGATTGCTTCAGAAATTTGCTGGACTTCGATGCCGACGACAGCATCGTTTTCGTCAATTTCCTTGGCATTATCCTGTAGCCTCCAGATGACATGGCGGGCTTTCTCTCCATGTCCGTGCTTGATGAGCTGTGAAATGATTAGTAACAATAGCTTTCAATTTATCTGAGGGAGTGAAATACCCAGCGAGGAGATTCGGGGACGAAGATAACCCCAATAACGGTCAAAATGGCGAAGAGAATTTGCAGGGCGATGGGGAAACGGAACTGGACTTCACTTTCAACAAAATTGAAGCCATAATCTGCGTTGCGATAATGTTAGAGTCATAGAAAAGTAGAACTGCTTTAACTTACCAACCCAGTAGGACATCATAACGCCGAAAATGTTGATAGCCAGTTCGATAGCTAGCTAAAGAGTTTATCAGCTCTGAATAGGTGTTCACGTCATGTTTCAAGTCATACTCCTTTACCACGACTGGTAGCTTTGCTTAATTCCGAATGCCAGACAGCTAGGCCAGATTAGCAAGGAAAGTAAATTTTTCCAGAGTGAACTCTTACGAATAGTACTCGTGTTGAGACCATTGCCAACACTGGCAACAATTCGCCCAACAATCAGTTGTGGAATTCCATAGACGCTGCACTGGAGAGCAGCACCAATAGCCAAGATAACACATCCAGCCAAGATAGACTTGCGCCGGCCAAGTCTTTCACCCACCATCAACGAGATAATTGCCCCTGTAAAGCAGCCCTGTCTATGTCAGTTTCATCTCACAGAAACACCATTTGGAACATACAATTTCGTATATGGCAACACTGTTCGAAATCAAGTCAGTATATTTGAACTTTCGAGAGGGTCAAGCACGTACACTCTGCCTTGTAACGATGACCTTTTATGACCAGTAGATGTAGTGTCGATTTCAGGGAATCTCGCAGTGAATGCATCACCAGATAGCAGACCGGACATGACACCCTGGTCATAGCCGAATCTGCGAAGAGATGGTAAGTTGATATCTCATGTATTGTACTCAAATTGTCTTAACTCAAAGCAGAAATCCGCTACCAGCAGTGGCTATGATGGCCCATTGTAATGCCCTACCCGTGAGGAATGACATAAATAGGTCAGAGGAGGGAATTTCGCTAAAAGAATCTCACTAAGAAACAAGTCCAATATTAATTTCGTTTACTAAGAAATTATCTAACAGTGGGCTTTTTCGGCCCTTTATAACGCATGAACTATCGAACCGGGCTGCCCTCCGCAAATCGGTGGCGCCACGCGATAAGTCGTAACTATGGGCCGGAGAAATCTCAAATTCCCCAGGAATGACGCTGATTTAGAAAAGTGAGTAAACGACGGAACGCGGGGAGAAATGAGGAATGTTAAATGGAAATATCCCGCAATGATTTATGCATTTGCATACGTGCACTAAGTACTCAGTAGTCACGACTCAAAGCTCAGCTTGTCTTAAATTTATATGAAAGAGGTTAGTCGCATCACAGTTTGCCGCTAGAAAGGCAATCCTTTCATTGAAACTTTCGTGAAGTTCTGGATCTCCCTTATAGTAGAAGATCGACAAGTCACGCATGCCTGGAGAGAGGTGGATCGTGCCGAGTCCGTCAACTTCGACTTGGCATCGGCTCAAACATTAAAAGCCTCAATTGCGCCTCGGCTTGGCGCTTTGGAAAATTTCCTAATTTGTCAATGATAAGCGCCTCACCAATTGCAGAATCGCAGATTGCAAATGCTTTGGTCAAGCACAACAGACCTGGTCCCCACGTCATAGCACGGCTACAATGTTATTCGCCATATTTTACCCCAGCCTCCCTTTCAATCACTCACTTACCAAAAATGGAAATTCTTTGCACTCCCAGCTCACTCATGGCTACCAATACCCATGAGCAAGCCAGCACATATCGACGTGATTTGTTGAACTTGGGAAAGCACTCTTAAAAATCGGAGACCAGGAAGACATCGTTTGTCCCTGAAACGTTCCACTGTGGTCCTATGTGTTGACTTCCCTAGTTCGGTTCTATGTAACCGCTCATCTCCAGAGCTGCCATTTCATAACATGCACGCGAAATTTCCTATATGAAGCGAGCACCCTTGGGAAAAACTTCCAGTTCCCTAGGACAGAGAAATTTCACCCTAATCTCTATTCTCATTCCTTCTACCATAATACTTTAAAATGACTCCTGCTATCTCGATCGACCACAACTTACCCTCAGTCGTTCCAGAATCTAACGAGACCCCAGCTGCCTTCGCCCCTACAAATGACCTCTTCTCTCTTGCAGGTCGCACAGTCGCGATCACCGGTGGTGGTCGTGGCCTGGGGATGACATTGACCACCGCTGTCCTTGAAGTCGGTGGCGACGTCGCCTGTTTGGATCTCCTGCCCGAGCCAAGCGCTCAGGAGTGGATTGTTGTTCAGAAGCTCGCCAAGGCAAAGGGTCTGCAGGCGACCTACAATAAGTGCGATATCACTGACGAGGAAGCTACAAAGGGTCTGCTGGGGAAGATCGCGGCTGATGGAACGGCCCGCAACATGCCCTTGCGCGGTCTTATTACCTGCGCTGGAGTTCAGCAAATGGTACCCGCCCTTGACTACCCGATTGACGGGTACCGCAAGATGCTCGATGTTAAGTGAGTGGATGCGACATGTCAGAAATGTTTTTAATTTTAACATTTGATGCTCCAGCGTCCTTGGGACTTTCATTCCTGCTAAGCACTTCTCACGAATCTTGGTCGAGGAAAAGGCCCCTAGTAGTATTGTGATGATCGCCTCGATGTCGGGCCAGATTGCTAACCGGGTATGTTTGATCGATACTGCGCTGAGAAAATGATATATTGGGTTTGACTTGCACTGCCTACAATTCTTCCAAGGCCGCCGTCCACCAGATGTGTCGATCCGTAGCCCAGGAATGGGGCCAGCACAACATTCGTGTGAACACCTTGTCTGCCAGGGTAAAATTATCCGGAATTCCTTTTGAAGAGTCACCGCTGATATGTAATAGTACATTCGCACTGCCATGACAGACGCTCTGCTGAAAGAGAAGCCCGAGGTAGAGGAAACATGGATGCGTGGTGCTCTTCTCGGTCGCTTGGGCGCCCCCGAGGACTTTAAGGGACCCACTATTTATATGCTCACTGATGCTAGTGCCTGGATGACTGGTGCTGATCTCCGCGTTGACGGTGGCCACTGCGCATCGGCATAGAATTTTGTGCTTGATTAAATGATGATATTGATGTGACATGTTTTTGGCGTTAGATGACTAGAAATGATCAGGTAGGGCAGGATATAGGGCCATAGTTCAGTTGAAAAAGTTGGCCTGCAAAGTAGAAAAACAAACAATGAAGAATTTTTGTTGTACTCCACCTTAATGTGAGTGGGATTATGTATTTTCAAAATTGCTGTTGTAAGATTCTATGCGCATAGATATTCTCAACAGCAGATATTCACCAAGGAAACGTGTCATGGCATATTTAATAGCTGAGCGGAATCCCCAGCTGGGATCTATGGTTTTCGTGTTGTTCTACAATCTACTTTTTTTTCCCTATATAAGAAACGCTAACACTTTTATAGTCTAATAGACTATGATTACCCCTATAGCATAGGAAACCTAACAAGTCTAGTAAAGTATAAGTAATAAATTTCTATAAGGGGAAACTCGTTTTGAGGCATTTATATCTAAGACTAGTATATTATACTGGATACTAGTAATTTAATCTCTATAATCTTATTCTTTATATTTTATCAATTTTGGGTAGTGAGTGAATCAAAATCTCAGTTTTGGAATTGAGATCCCCCTACATAGAGATTATCACCAGGTATTTACACCGGTGTAAAATCTCTCTGCCTTCTCCTCCCCCCTATCCAGGCCCTCCTCCCCGATCGCTTTACAAATCTCCTCTCCCTCTCGCCGCCAATCCTCCTCCCGGAACTCCGCCCCCCAACCGAAATTCTCTGTCAGAATCCGCTTCACTTCGATCTGCTCCCACGACCCAGGCAAGTGAAGATAGCCAATATCTCCACCTGTGGAATATACCACCTCTAAATTACGGATATCATCGATGACTTTCTGGAGGTAGGTGGGAGCATTGTGTGCCTCAGTTTCTTCCCTGAAGTCATCTTCCGGCGGTTCAGACTCATCAATGAGTCGAATAGTATCTAGTTTAAAGTTAACGCTATCCTTTAAATAGATCAGGTGGTGTAGAAACATACTTGACTTGGTATCCAAAATAACTGAAATCCCATCATCCAACCAACAAGTCAGCGCAACCTCCCACGGTCGCAAAAAGTCCAACCTTAACTCGTCGTCATCGGCGACGCCTGTTAATTCAGGGTCGCGGCCATTTCGGATCTCTTCATCAAGCAAGTATTCGAAGGCCCGAGATTGCCACATGATCGGCTTATGGTAGCCATCCACCACATAGGGGATCTTTTTCATGAGGGAGATTACCTGCGGGGCGATATGGAGCGAATGGCATAGCTCTTCGTTGATGCTGTGGCCACCTTCTGGAGGAAAGGTAATGTGATCAGAGGAGAAGTAGCTCAGCTTGAGAAGTAGGTTGTAAATAGTAGTAATTTGGGTGACAATTGTTTCTTCATTGTAGGATGAAGGTAGGGAGAAAGAAGACATGGTTCCGGTATTTTGGAACCAGATGTAGACCCGACTGAGTAAAAGAGGGAAGAAGGCCCAGGTATATCGTGGCATTGAAAATGCCTAGACTGGTAAAAGTGGGATTTTTGGAGGTATATCTTCTTTTCTGTTAAAGGGGATAACCTGGAAGTGGATGCTGGTGGCGGAAATGAACCATCCATGGATGCAACTTGGTGTCTATCCTTAAATACTCTAGTGGCCCCACTATGGATATATATACCTATATCCACGGATATCCGCTGCAGGAGAAACTACGAGGCCCGCTAAGCTTGTGCTGTCCCGAACTGAATCAAATGTACGGCTGTTCAGATGTAGATAGAGAGAGGTTCTATGCGCTAAACCTAAATTTAAGGGGGGAGACTGGCGTTAAAATCCCGTTTCGACTGGCTGAATTGTATTTTACAATTGTCCATTATGAACGATAGAGATAGAATAGGGTGACTTAGTGTAATGCAAAGAACATTTGAAGTTGGACAGGGCTTCCCGTCCGCTCAGTCGTAAGTAATAAGGAGAGTTTATGGTTGCCTTCTGACCACCGGCCTACCTGGTTCGCGTTTCTAAATAACACTATTTTTTTGCAATCAAGATTTTGTTTCGAATCTTTACAGGTACTCAAAGCTGATAACATCTGTTGAACCGCCAAACGCGACCGCAAGTTACAGGTTCCCGCCTTATTATCATGCAGCGTCCTACCGGTCAAAAGGCTACTCTTTGCATTCCCAAGAGCCGCAAACCAACGGGTTCAGGAGACCGTCTACCCTGGCGAACTAACTGCTCATGGAAGAAAGTCAGTCATCCGAGGGTAATTCAAGGATATTCCAAGCATGTCATCCACACTATTTGTCTGTGCTCATGTCATTATTAAGGACCCGTCGAAGAAGAAAGAGGTTACTCACTAGGTCTAACAGCTCGGGTGCGATATGTGATGGCGGGGTTGGGGGGCCTATGTAGTTCGATTGAAGTTGGGGGAAGTTCAATGCCTGGTCCAAGAGCATGGCGCCTTCAAGCCCGGGCCACATGTGTGTATTCACGCCGTCAAAGGGATCTATCAAATGATCATGTTAGCCAAGAATAGCCTCGGGAGATGTAAGGAAATGCAGTCCAAGGTCAATCATACCCTTTGAAGGCTCTGAACTGCGCTCGATATTGAAGAAATTGGCCGGACTGGGTACAGTCGTCGGTGAAAGGGGAACATGTTGATTTTGAAGTTTCTGAAAGACCACTTCGATCGCTCGGATTGTACTCGTAGACTTTGGATACGAGTTGCCCGCTTCGGACCAGATGCGATATGAATTCCGAAGACCCTGGATAATCGCGGCTCTAACGGGTTCTGTCAGTGCCCTGGGCGCTGGGTTGCTTGTTGGGTCATATGAAAGATCATAATTCAGTTCTAGACATAAGAGAGTGGTTGCGAGCAGATTCACTCCTCTCATGAGAGGTGATCTAACCTTCCATCTTTCACGATAAAGGCGCCCGCCAGGCCGTGATTCTTGATCCATCAGGCGTTGATACTCAAGAATTTTGAGAGCAGCCCCGATGCAGGTGCTACGAGAGTAGGAATATCGCTCATCGGTTCTCGAAGATGACAGGTATCGATAATGTAAGATGCATCTTGCCTTGGCACACAATGTGATAAGTTGGATGCGGTGAAGAATGGTCGCTGGCGTGTCCATGAGCGACTGGCTCAATGGGCGCTCAAGCAGAAATTCCGGGTTGCCCAAGTACGTGTCGAGCAAGAGTCTGTCCAGACGCATGACTTCTTCGTAGCTTGGCCTTCGGATTGAAGTTGAGAAATCCGTTATAATGCCCAGCATCACAGTCAGTTTGTTCTTGGCCACCAACCACTGACAAGGTGTCGAATATGAGTCTGGACGTGATGGTGGTAGCTCTTTTGTGTCCTCGTCAAAATCACTATCCAAGAGATTTCGTGGGGGCGCGGTGTCTGATTGGAACTCTCGCAATAGCCGGGGAAGCCCAACTGAGAGAGAAAGCATGACATCTAGATTGGTAATCATTGCCCAGACCCTTCGTCTCATCTCGCCATGGAAGGGGGAAATGTGGGGAAAATGAGACGCGTCGCGGTGGTAGCCCATGCGCTGGGCCATACGCGCAAGAATACCTAGAATGATCACACTGTTCACCTCACCATTCCCTATTTGGTTGAACTGGGTACTCAGAGTCAAGCATATAGTCTCAAGCGTATCGGGTGGACAATCTTGGTATCTACCAAGCACCAGGCATTGGTTTACCTTCTGGTCAAATTGAGCAATCAACTCGTCTCTGTTCTCCAAAGAACCCTCGCTTTGGAACATCAAGGCAAGAGACATTATACCGTATAGCTTTCCAATCCACATTAGAGGTGTTTTGGCAGAATTATCCCAGAACCTGTCATACTGATTCAAAAGTCAATGGTGTTCTAATAGATTCAAAGATAGCTGTGTATTTCATACCTCTCTCAAGAATGAAGGGCCATGCAGCACTAAATTGAGAAATCAGATCAAGAGCTAATAACCGGGTTGGGGTAGGCTAGGTTCTCACATGGTAGACTTGTGTAATTGAAATAATCAGCGACAAGTCTGTCGCAGGTTTCTCGCGGGGGTATCTGTTCCAATATTTCTCTGTGGGTTGTAGGTTCACATTGGGGAAACAACATATCAGAGGATTCATGTGTCGATGATTGGCTTGTGTTGGCTAACATCTCATTTTGTACTGAGTCCTTGAGCTCGGTGATCTTCAGAGCGAATCAGCATCCGTCTAGTTGATTGAAACTTGATGCCCTACCCCATCTAAAATTGCAGTCCAGTGCGTGCCTTGAACATATGTTGTCTTGCTATCTTGTAGTGATATGTGACCAAAAGAATCGGAAGGGTCACAGTCAACCTCATCTTTGGCTTCTGGTGTCCGCGGATTCTGATATTGACCCTGAATAGGGGTCTTCTTGGCGGTATCATCTAGAATTGCCGTGATCAAATGCTCCAGCTGTTCAATACGGTCTGGTAGAGTTGATTTTGTGGGCTGTTGCTGGTCTTTGGCAATTCGTCCTGTGCTGGGGGGATATGTACAAGATAGCGAGAGGCCTCGATGACTACAAGCTCCACAAGGGTGGCTTCGATCGCAGCGCAATCTATGAAAGCATTAGTCGATCAATCTTGAAGTGAAACATAGACATTCTTGGGTCGGCCATACTTTCTCCTTCTGCACATATTGCATGAAAGTTGGGGCTTATCCCGTCGCCGACTTGGGGGCGGAAGCTTTCGCCTTGGCTCTGTCATCACACCGGTTCAGCGATAGACAATATTCCTGTGTCGAAATCTCCAAGCTGCTTCTAGTTCGTTTCAAACGGTATTGCTAAAAATTGTGTAGAATTGGTTGATTTGGCCCGAGCTGCACTACTAGGGGTTTGAGAACGAGGTAGTGTGGGGCTGACCGTCCGACCGTCCGACCGTCCGCTCCGGGATACCCGCAAAAAGCGAAACAAATATAATCGCGACGAATCATATATGATCTATCATATTTGACAAGAATGGTACAAAAGTCAGACAGTAAACCGCAATCCTTCTAATTTCTTTGTGTCTTCTAATAAAGATTCCTTACCCAGCGACAATGATCGCGACCTCAATTGAAGAGAACGACCACTGCCCGCCAATCAAAGACTTGGAGTCATCAACAGCAAACGCGTTTAGTCCGAAATCAATGCAATGAAAGGCCTGATTAAAATGTTCTTCCTATTCTGTTGCGAGTAGCCTTGTCAGCCACCATGGTTGATCCTCCCTCCCACCAACTCGGTGGACGGGAAAGTGCTGCTTCATGCACCGCCCGCTAGCATGGCGCTACCACCGTTTGTTTCTGATGTGTTCCTGCGCGAAGATGCTGGAGTTACTGGCGACAACACACAGGTGTTATACGTGGCCATGCAGCCCATTGCGGCTGGAAGCGACCCAATGCGCAAGGCGTCCAGGACTTTTGTCGTGTTACAGCTCTGTTCGACGGTGCTGTCTTAAAAAACTCGACAGTCTACCATGACCGCTTCAGTTCCATCCAAGAGCCTGAGAGATATCATCGTCGTCTGTGAAAGTCCCGTGACTAATGAATCGGACTGATTCTAGTCTGAATAGTGGGGACAGATATGGGGCTGGTGTGGCCCATGGCCTGTGGCTGTTGAGGTGATCAACGATGATGTTGGGTATGGAATTGAACGACATATCAATATGGCGGACAGGTCATTGGGTATCGCTATTCTGGGGTGAATCTATCGAATTTCTTTGGTCAGTTGGTCCTTGTACTTTCAAAATCAACCTCACTAAACACATAAGGCATTTTGTATTCATATGCACACGCGGCGAAGCTGGAGGTACGTTGAGCTGGTTGTTGTAGAAGCCAGAGAGGAAGAGTCCTTAAGATGCAAATATAAGCCGAGGTGTAAAACAGAATGCGACACATAAGTGGAAGTCGCAGCGGGGTAACATTCAAAATTTGACTAAGCTCATCGGACTAAATTAAACTGCTGCCTGAGTGTATAATTAGAATGGCCCCAAAATCAAAACACACGATCATTCCACCGGGAATCGTCCTTGGTTCCGTGGTCAGCAAGACTTTGAACATCGTATTCTCGGAATAGGGAAATATTATCATAGAGTACGCAAGAATTGCTTAGACGGGATTCTTCACAAAAGATGTGGACACATCGGAAACTGCTGAGTGGACTCAGCTGAGCACCAAGTGAATCTAGACGATCGAATCTCACAGCCTTACCCGAAGACCACGCTAAGCTCCGCCAAGGGTTTTATTGTGGCGCCGCATGACGTGTATCAGGACCACTTAGACAAGAGAATCCAGAAACTTCGGCGGGAAAACTGGAGTCGCTGATGTGTGGCTTGCTATTCTGCCGTTAGACTGGTTCAGGCAGCCAGGTAAATTCTTGATTTAGAACAGCCAATCACCCCTGAATGACAGTGGAGAACGACGTAGTTGAACTCATCGGCTGAACTCGGCAAAATAAGCCACAGTTTGAATGCGATGTTCTTCACAAAGGCAAGGGAGCTTGAGGAAGAAATCAGCGGTCGGGAGTGAAGGAAGCAGATTGGACACATTGGCTTATCACTGTAAACCTTCATGAGTTGTTTATCGCTCCAATGGTAACATGGGTCGCTACAACGTGGATGATGATCAGGTGACCGCCCCCACGGCCCAGAAATTACGCACAGACCACCAAACAAGATTTCCCCCTTAAAAGGGGGATTTCTCCATTCTCTTGGCCTCTCTTGGCCTGCCAAGATCATCACTTTCATAGATCCATTCATCAATTCCTTAACTTCAACAAATCGACGAATCAACATGTTCGAGGCTATCAAGAACCTTTTCTCTAGCCGTGAGGCTACCGAGGAGAACAAGTGGGATGCTACCACCGTGCAAATGCAGCAGCCTAACAGCCCCACTGGCATGAACGAGACTGTCACCCAGCAGCCTGTATGTTTTTTGCATCACTTTACAACTTGAATCAATATGGAACTCCAGCACACTGACTTCGAGATCGTAGACCCCCGAGACCATGGATATGCACATTCGTGGTGGTGGTGATGGAGATGTCTGTTGCGGAATGTGAGTACCCCCGATGAAGCTTGTCGCTTTGAAGTTTTACTGACAAATCTTGTTCAGCTGCGCTGGTCTCTGCTGCTTCGAGTGCTGCGAGTGCTGTTGCTAAATTCCCAATACCCATGACCGGAAGGGATGAATGATTGAGGTGCCGCCGGGCGGTTTTCTATTCATGTACATCGCTTACGCGACATATGCTGCAAATCTTACTTTAGCCTGTTCACTTTAACGTTTCGCTGAGCTAAGTAGACATGCCCGTTTTAGTGGATATCCTAAACAGTAAGCATCCTAGTAAGTTGGTTGGCACTGGCGCTTGCTCTTTAACGTGTATGACGTAGTTTAGGGTTGGCGAGAATTGAATTGCGGGGAAGGAAATTAAGGTTGAGCATCTGGACTTGTGCCAAACTGCAGTGACTAGTAAGTTGAGCTTCTCCGTGAACGCCACAGACTACCAGCCACATGTATACAGGCTTCGGTCTAGATGGTACTATGGAGCCCTAGAGAATGTGGAGAAGGTGACGATGATATGGATGTGGCTGAGCCCGAAGTTTGGTTCGCAGCAAACATTGGATCTTTCCAACAGCCAACTTTCCAGCTCAATTTTCGGTGTATTTACTCTGGGATGGCATTGGATTATTTGCGCATTTCATATGTCATTCCAAAATCGCCGCCTTTATCTTCGCCTATTCCCAAGGTCCTTGGAGAAGTGCTGCTTCTTATCTTCGTACAACGGAATTCTCAAAGTGGACAGTTGGTTGCGTGTTGAATGTTTCACGAAAGAAACAATCATTAATGGCTCATCTGCCGTGTGTCTAAGAGAACGTTAAGTTTTCTATACGCTGGTGATAATCCAGCCTCGTGCATACTGGGCCATAGTCCCATCTGCTCTCTAAGATGCTTTTCCCTTTTTCGTCCATTGCTCCTTGCAGTGGCCACTTCATCAATTTTATCATCGCGCCCTTCAATTCCATACTCTGCAGAAGGCCACATCGCGTCTCCTTTTAGGTCTTATCATTCACCATCTTTGGTTACACAAAGAACTGCAAGGTAAACTATAGCTGCCGAGTGAGGATGCGTTTCAGGTGCCGCGATACCCGCTGACATCATCGGGCCTCTTTGAATACCTAATACTTCAACCCTTCTGTTGGCATTATCTCCTTCGAGGAAAATCTCTGCAACTTCGACGACTTCCATATCCAGGGATCGCCTTGCAAACAGTATCCCCTTACAGATGAATGGTAGTGGATTCTCAGGATGTGCCCAACAGTTCGTACCACGACTTGAATGTTCTTGGTGGTATTGGTATCATTAGGAAAGGAACATGTTCACCATATCATATGTTATTTGGTTACTATCCTTGGGAAATAAGACATTTTATGGATCTTTTCAGATCAATTTTACCAAGACTCACTGATAGATTAATAGAGTTCCTAGCCCACGTGTTGCTTGAACCCGTCCACAAACGTCATAATCATGTGGATTCTCTCGCAGTTTCAACGGCTAAGAGTTCATAATGGATCCGAACACTAAACATTCGGCTGAGCGTTTCATAATACAGACCTAATGATTATAATGCGTCAAGAAGCAACTATTGCCCTACGATCTCTCCATACACCCCGCGCTAATAACCCTACATCGGGCCGAGACCGCGTGACGGAAATACTGAGGTCATACGCCGTTACCAGAATCTCCTTGCGTAGGGCAATGGCCAAGGCACTCACCGTATTTGATCACCAGGCTGATTTTCACGGATGAGGCTGCTGGGCAATGGGTCTGAGCGTGATCCGGCAGATGCCGATTGTCCGTGGCATTTTATTATCCTGGATTCAGCGATCTGATTATGCCCATTTTGCAAGTAAAATTGAGAATGAGCAATGGGTGTTTCCGATTGAAACCAGAAACTCATTCTCAGGCTCCATTATTAGAGCCACCTGCATGGCGATCGCCGTCCGAAAATCCGAGTTATCAAAAAGCATCTTTAATGTCTGGACGATAAGACCGATATGATGACCCGCTTGTTCCGTCCAAGCGGCCAATACGCATCGATTCCCGCGACAACCTGCCGAATCGTGCGTAGCCTCCCCACATCGCTCAATGCCAATAACCTTGGACGCAACAGGTCCCCGCAATTTTCACAAAGAAGGGTTATCAACATTCACAAGAATGGAGTAGAAATCTGATCATCCCTGTCGGTGCATGTATACTAACTCGATCTGGTGTCTGGTGCTTACGATCCAAATCAAGAGTGGACCACGATGAGCATTCAAAAGAATGAGCAGTGTAACAATGTGTGGCCCGTAAATAGCCGGATGGAGCTGCCCAATCAGGTTAGTGAAGCGCGAGGTGCGCGCTACAGATAAGGAGGTTTGAAAGACAAGTGGATCGTAATGGGCACAGCTATATGAATCTCCTCCTTCTCCTCAAAGCTGACTTTCAGACACGACTTCACTTTTGATTTACAAACCAGAGCCTTTTTTTTACTCTTACGCCCTTGGCACCGCATATAGGTCTTCATTTTATCTCCTCCTTACCTTACTTTTCACATCTTTTGGTGACTACACCTCTTCAACTCTCCTTAGATGGCGGTTCTCTCGTTCTATCCACTACTACTCCACTCGCACGTTTATACCATATCGCTGTCCCAGCCCACTCGCAGATCCAGTAGACCCAGTACGCGGATATCTAAACCCATACTGTGAGCACGTCGACAACTGATTTGCGAGATCGTAGTGGCAAGGCAAAAACCATGTCAATCGAGATCGTCCCGCTGGCCGAGGCCGATATCGCGGGTGTCGTAGACTGTGTGCAGAAAACCTTCGCAGATGACCCTTTTTTCCGGTGGGCCTTTGATGCAAACAAGGTACGAGCTACCTTCCCCAAAGCGACAGCGATGGAAACAGAAAATTGCCCAACAATCAAGTTTCAGGTTTTGGAGAAAGCAACAAAGTAACCAATGCTTTAATAGTTCAAAGTTGAACGAAATGCAGCCTCGATGGCGGCACACCTACGATTCAGCCTCAACTGCGGCTATCCGGTCTTCGTCGCAAAAGTGGGTCGCGCAGCAAATGAATACAAAACCGACCACGAAATCAGACTAGTGCCAGGCACCATTGTTGGCTTTAGCTGGTGGAGTCCCCCTGAAGCATCCGCCATGCCCCAGACATGGTCTGTCTGGGCCCAAGAATGGCTCCTCTCCTTCCGACAGCTCGCGTTCAATATCCGCTTTGCCGGCCGTGGCGGTCTACAAGTTCGCCGATACTGGCTTTGGAAGAAGGCCCAGAAGGAAACACAGGACGACATCTGGACTGACCCCCGTGGTTACTACTATTGCAGTCTGCTGGGTGTCAGCTCACAGGTTCGCGGTATGGGGGTTGGAAGACGGCTTATGGAGACCATCTTGCAAAGGGCAGATGAAGAGGGTATCTCTTGCTATCTAGAAAGCTCAAAGGGGTATCCCAATATTGCCATATATGAGAAGATGGGATTTCAGGTCAGCAAGGAGATCATGTGTGATGATGGCGGGGATGTTTGCAAGGTACGTTGTTCATGGAATCAGACTTCTTTTGGTGACTGACTAGAGCTGCTTCAGCTGTATGGCATGACTCGCAAACCCAAGACCAAGGCCTAATGACGAGTTACGAACTAATCTGGATACATTTGATTTCAGCGTGAGGACGGGAAATTGACCATATAGCATGGGAATTGCGATCGTATTAACTAACTTCAGTCTTTTAATTGTCTCGAATATTCGAATAGTCGTCACTAAATTGAAATTTGACATCTTGATTCATTCTGACCACCTGGCCAAATCTCGTTCAACTAGATTGAGCAGCCAGAAGTACAATTTACCTGTTTGCGTTGAAATATTTCTAAATCGACTGATCGAAATGTACATCTCCTTGCCAAGATCCAATGATCAATGCTGCTTGACGGCCACTAAAGGGCAGTTGCGACACAAGCTTTTGTAGATTTTAGAGGGGAGGGGACTCAGAATTGATGGCAGACTTGTTCGCAATTTGAATTTGCAAGGATATCTAGTAAGATTATCAATCTAGATCACTCAAGTGCTGAACCGCCAACCGGCGCTTAAAACCAACTCATAAGACGTCTACTACCAACCGATTTTAACACTTATGTCGGTGATAGAAATATTTTGTGCCTTCTGCATGCATAATGCATATTTTCACATTTTCTATATGAACTATCAAACCACACACTGCCAAGAGCTTCTTCTATCTCCAACAACACCTCACCGGCGCCAAAATTTCTCCAAATTTCTCTGGTATAAACCAGACATAATGCCAAATCAAACAAGCAGTCGTTCTTGGACTTGGTCAGGCTATTAAATTCAGGTGCGTAATCCCGAAATGGGGAATTGCGCCCCCAAATCCCCGCCCCGCCTGGATTTCCCATGGCGCCATGGTTTTAACTGCAAAGACATGGTTTTACCTAGAACAGCATGATTTTCTCGACGAAGCTGTGAGCCATTTCAACATAAAAGGCCCTCTTTCCCCATTCTTTGGATTCATGCCAGAGCTGCAGTGTCTTTCATCCTTTCGATTTGAATTACTTTCTTCTAATTCTTGTTTCAGAAGGGGCCTTTACCTGAAAAAACCTCGCCCTACACCCATCTCTCTCTATTTCTCAACACATATGCCTTTGAAACATCAGCATCGTGGCTTTACACCCATAACAAGTCTATTCATAGAAAGCGATCCACCACAACGCTTTACGTCGATCTATATCCCACCATCACACCCTGCCTCTCCAAATTCTCCAATATTGGTTTGCTCTATGAAAAGCCCGAAAGAGGTTCTTCCTCCGCCCTGTCGTGAGAGAATTTAGCCTTAACCAAATGCATAAGGAAATTGTAAGTACAAGTGGTGATCCCGGCTAAATCCCTCACATCGATGATACGAACAGAAAACATGACTTCTGCCTACCCAAATCTCATTGGCTGCTTTCAGAAATTGACCACAAAATCATGGTGCTAATGGTAAGACCCTTTGGCAATTTAAAATATTGTGTTCCACCAAAATAAATCATATACATCCAGCTCAATTGACAAAATCAAATCGCGATCCCCTGAAGTGCACCTATTCCACGATCGTTGGCGGTGACTTTGCCAGTACGTGAGTCAGTCCATAACCATCCACAGCCGATGGACCCGGATCTTTCATCAATCGCATATAAACCAAACTCTCAAAAGAAGTCTGCTATGATGGAATCCTTGAAAGATGACCCTTGCAGTTAGTTATTCTGAGTTATAGTACCAGTTTTGAAGCTGATATTCCTTTCCCTTCCAGACTTCCCGCTGTCGAGTCTCCGGAGTACTACCTACTGTTGAACGTTTGAGACTTCACAGCCATTTCCATCGCCACCGGCTCTGGATCACGGTAGATCAACTCCTTTTCTTTGATTCGCGCCTCGTTCTTCGGGGCTGACTAGATATATCGAATTTATTCAATGCGTATCGGTCGCTCACGTCACTGAAATCGTGCTCGAATACGGACCATGGGGTTATGGGATATAACTAAGGCCCGGCGTGGGTATGCCGCATGGAGGCTGAATGATCGATGCCGGGGCTGGTTGGACTTTCTTTCTCTTTTGCTGCTTCATTTTCCTTTATGGTGATGTGTAATTTTCCTTTCATTTATTGGATTTTTTGAGTTGGTTATTTCTGTCCCTGATCCTGGGTTTTTCTTTCCTTTCTCCTGTTGTGTGCCTTTCATGTTTTTTCCCTTTTCTGATCCAGCTGCCTCGGTTCTGTCAATGCGATCCACTGAAGGGTCGGATATGGCTGCCTTCCACTTCGAGTCATGGGTATCTCTGGAATCTACACCAAAGTGATGCATTGTATGACTCAAAGCTGCTGGGCGTCGCAAGTATACGCCTACACGTCTTTGAACCGCTCGGGGCCCCACTTCAGGCAGCCATCAATTCTCGTGCAGCCAATCAGAACCAGATATGGAGACAAGCGTTGACTAGTGACCGGGAAACACCACATCCAGATTTCAATCCGAATCCTATGTCAACGCTGTATTGTTGGGCCCAACCATAACATGCTTAGTCATATATGAGTCAAGCTATAAGTAGCTCAAAGTAGCTAAATCGTGATGCTTTTCCTACAAATATCTACTACTCTATTTATCAAAATGCATGTCGGAGGCTGTTTCTGCGGAAATGTTCGAGTCGAATTGAATGGCGACCCTATCAACTGGGTTAGTATAACCATGTAATTCATTCTCCCTTTGCTGAACTGATCCAAATTGACTGTCGAATAGGGATTATGTCATTGTCTCGACTGTCGGAAGCTTACGGGAGGAGCCTATAGCTACAGTTTGATCGTCAAAACCACAAAACTAGCCATTTCTGGAAATCCGAAAGAAGTGCCGAAAACAGCGGATAGTGGGAATTTTGTTAATAACTATTTCTGTCCTGACTGTGGTATGTCTTCCAACTTTTGAATGCTGGACTTTCTAAGGTTTGACCGCATCTGACAAGAGGCATAGGTACCCCGCTTTTTGGCCACAGGATCAACGCCGACGGATCTCGTGCCGAGATCACAGTTGTCCGGGCAGGAATATTTGACGACATCCGACTTTTAGACCAATCGAAGCCCGGGGTGGAATTATATTCTGAGAGTCGATTGAAATGGTTGTGTGCCGTTGAGGGGGCTATTCAAGTTAGCGGCATGATGCCCTTGCAATAACCTAACGAGCGCGCTTAATATGGAAACATTGAAGCGGAAGGATCGGATGTCTATAAAAATTGATGTAAAGCTACCCTATAGAAGTTCTTGTGAAAAATTACATAACACTGAAAGACGCGTAGGTGGTGGATGAGGAAACGTGGTTGGCATTGGTTGCTATTTTCGGGACCAAGAATCTCAACTTTTCTTTCTTTCTTTAAATGCATTCAAACCAGTTATTCTGGAAAATTCCTGGACTTTTGGAATATTGAACTGTTAGATCATCCGTCAAGATCCGCAGTGGCTGTTCAGATTGAGAGAGTGAGAAAACGAGATCGAATCAAAGTGATTGTTCTTCGGTCCACAATTCCCCCGTGAAGTAAAAACGAGGATCAACCAATCGCATTAGTTGTGGAGTCAGACATTGTAAAAGCATACATTGATCGGAATTGCGAATATGAGCCATCGCCCCAGAGCTGGCGTAAGCCTTTTATGTCGCATATCCCTGCTTCAATTCATTGGAATTTTCTTTCTTTCACCTCCATCACCACACAGTCGACTATTTGTTCCCCTTCATCACCCACAGATTCGATATTGATCCACGCTCTAGTTCCCTCCGATCGGATCTCCACCCCACTATGCACTGACGAACACCCAACGCCCGATCGACTATACAGAACAGAACACCAGCCCATTCCCAGTCGCAATAAAAATCGACACGTTTCTCAGCTCCCCGGAAATATCAACAACAGCTCGTTCACAGTCTACCCACCCACATTCTCACCATGGCCCTCACTCAAGCCGCTATTATCGTTATCGTCCTAGTCGGCTGTCTAGCCATCACCGCCCTGGGGGCTTCCATCTTCCGCCGCTACAACCCACTCGGTGATTCTCCACTATCCACCGATGCGTCTCACCAACAAAGCATATACATGCGCTCAGTACGAATGAGAAATTATGGCCACCTTAAGCGGGAGTCATTGGGTGCTGCAAGAGATCTGGAGTCGCGATGTAGGTTACTTTATCAAATTTCTTTATCGATTGCAGCTAACCGATTCAGATACCTCGGAGGAAGCATCGGGTTACTACCCTCAATATGCGCAGGACCCACACAGTCCGACGAATCCCGCATGATAAAACGCAAACAACAACGAGATATGATCACCATGATGTATACTTTAAGGGAGTTTGGACTGGTCAAACTCAGGCGTTGGAATATGGGAAATGATGATTTTTAGGGACCGAATCAACTCGCAATCGGGTGGGTTCTGTGAGGAGCCGAGACAAAATGATGGAATGATATTCACTCGGCTCACGGATCAAAGCATGAGTCTTTCTCTGATTTTAGATTTTGAGCATTCATTTGATTTGCATACTCTTTGTTGCTCAAATATGTCTACGGAAGTCCCCACTCATGGGCGCGCCTCTTGCAATTTGCATGAATGTTATTAACCTTTCATTTGATATCTTTATCACAGAAATGTACTAGGTCCGGATCAGCTCTCTACCATACTACATTCCGCAGTATACAGTTCCTAGGTTCAATACGAATTAACGTCAAAAAGACGATGAAATTGAAATCCAGGATAGGGTGAAGATTATTTATTCTCCACTAACCGTTGGCAGATCATATAAATGAGATGTCAAGCCATGTGACCCTATTGCAACCTCCGGAAAGACCCATTTCTCTAGCTCTATGGGATTCCATATCGCAATGATTATTGTATCCGAATCGTCTGCGTCATTATAGCCTGGCTGGACTATCAATTCGACAGTCTTCAGACTCTAGCCAAAATTGTGTGGATCTACAGCATTGCGCTTCTCAGCGTATGTCTGCTGTTATATCTTTTTCGCGCATTTCTCTATCCAAAGCATGTCTGCAATGAACTGCGCACCAACCTCATAGAGACGTCCTGCCTTTTCTCTGTTCCCATCGCCCAGACATCCATGCTCGAATTGGCCGCACTGCAGTATGATGATCGCGCTGATCTCACCATCTACATCCTGGCTCTCGATATCCCACATTTTGAACTCAAAATCCAAGCACCAGGCGTCCAGAGCCTGCCTCTCGCCATGTTTCTTCCCTCCGCTGCCATGATAACATATGCTGCCGGTGGGGGAGTGATCTGCCGCAAGACTCACATCAGTCCACGCATTAAAGTTCCCACCATAATTGTCGCATATCTCGAACTCGGCGATGGACTCTCCGTTGCCGCGGAATTCGCCGTCTTGGTCATGTTCCAGCACTTCAACCAGGTCCAGTTGACAGCAGACAAAATCTTCCAAGACATGATCCTCTGTGGGACATTCGGGCAAGGCGCATTTTCCCTGCAAGAAATCGGTGAGGCAGTACTCGGAAGCTTCGGCACCTACCACCGAGGTCAGTCTCTCCCCGCAAAAGCAGGCGATACGATTGTTTTTACGAGTCAGTTCCTCGGGCTTTTGACCTGGGGATACGCCGTATTCGCTATCATTAGTATATATCATACACTCGGACCTCAGCCACGCGGGGCCCGAATACCCCCTTTCAGTTTGGCGGCGTGGTCAGTCATATTCCCCTAGTATGCCGATCAAACATCCTTTCGATCAGATTCTATTTATAGAATGATACTAACATGCGGTCCCAGGGACTGACTCTTCACCAATGGCGCTGTCAAATTTGGGAAGATCATGGATTCACCAGCCTTAGGGATTGTTTCCACCGCTCTTCTGCTTATCCAGTTAGTGATGTGGGTTGTCAATCAAGCCTTGACCGTTCAGGAAATTGTCACCGGTCGGAATTTTGGTCTCGAGCACGGGTGGGGGAAAAAAAGACCGGACTCGTTCAATGGGGATAAAGATGCCTGATGAGCCAAGACAAACCAGCGAGTATGGCTTTCCCGTTGCTGTTTTGCTAGGAATTGCAGCCTTAAACGCGTATAAGTCAGCAGTTTCATTGGGTGAATCCGTTTGGGGCTGCATCGCGCGACGCCAAGCACAGCTCCACATTTGTTCAGGAAGACGAATACGCCGGGGTCGGTCCAAGACCCTAGCGTTCTACGCTAGTAGGTTTCAAAGGCACAAACAAAGAATGACCGGGCTAAGAGCTAGCTTTTTAGCGGGATCGTTATTAGCATGGCTGACCCAGGCGTCCTGATCCCACATGTATCTCAATTCGGTCGTATACTGGTCACCTAAGCTGAGGAAACCCTAGCAATCCAGTTGAACATGCAGTACCAACGGGTTTCCGTATTATCTGGCAAATGCCTCAAGGGGAAATATTAGCGTATCCAGTCGGAAGCGGAGTCCCCGAAAGAAAAACATCCGTCCCTCCGAACGGACGGTACGGTGAGGAGGTTCCGGCCCTGGATAGAGCTGAATTCCATGATCCGGTGGAATTGTGGATAAGAAGGGTTGATTTCTTGACGAATAAAAAGGAGGGAAAATTAGAGAAAATTTTCAATTTCTTCTAATGCTTACCTGATCTGATCAAGCCCCCACATGGTTCGTGCGCAGGGCAGGATACGAGTACGGCGCCGAGGCTAATGTTGGACTGGAAGTCCAGACATATTTATTGAGTAAAATGTCTTCGAATGTGAAAATAACTTGTCTTTTCTCAAGCTTCCTTTCATCTTCTCTTTACACTTCAGATCACATTGATCATGATCTTCAATATGCAGGAACCGCTTATGAGCACCAGCTCTGTAGTCTATGATAGTGACACGGCAAGCGAAGAACGGTATGAATACGCCCCGCTATAACAATTTTCTCTTCATTCTCTAAACTCATTCAGACCTTCATCACAATGCACAAGAACCAAGATTCACGCAAAATTCCAAGTAGCCCGTCCGCCCCCAAAATCATCACTCCGCCTCGCCCCAAAGCTACTCCTGCAGATCCAACAAATTGCAGCAAATCACCGTCCAGTCCCAGTTCTGGAAATATGGCAACCTCCTTTCTGCAAATCAAAGCTCACGCGGGAATTTGCTCAACGACCGAAGTTAAGATCTGGTGATATCTACGCTACCAGCAATGAACCATATATGATGCGTGCCAATTCAAGTCGGGCACAATCGACCATTTCTGCCTCGCAGGACGAGGACAACTGTGTCCCGCATAGAGATATTGTTGCGGCGCTGTGTCAATCGGCTGGTGAGACGCCATCATCGTCTATTCACTTTCGCGAGGCTCGGTCTACCTGGCAGGGTAGTGCGGGTGTTGCGGGATTGGAGAAGACGCCATGTTACCGATTTACCATTAAAAATGATGAGGATGCGAAACAGGAATCCGAAACTCCCGGACGGATGATCTTGCAATGGGAGAAACGGACTTCATCGGCCAAAAGCGAGCCTGATTCAGAGCAGTTTGTCCTGTTCTTGATTGATCGGACAGCGCGGCGAAAGAGCCGTCTGGCAACTATGACACGCAGCGGATTGGAGATTCTTGTGCGCAAGAGTTCTGTCATGGAGCACTTGCAAATATGCATGGATTTAACAAATCCTCTACAAACTACGAGCGGTGCCAGTGCGCATGAAGCATTGGAAGCGTGGTTATATACGGAGGTCCTCACGCTGGGCGTGTGGGTTGCCCAACAAGAGGGATGGCATGGACTAGCTTCATAAGTCCGACTGGATGGATTTCACGAATAACGATACCAATAGACTTGATTAACGACTACCTTTGCACTAGTACGTAGCGATGTTCTCCTCCAGGGCCTTGATCTGAAGCGCCAAAAGACGCGAATAATATCTGCACAGAGCCAAGTTTCCACCCATAAACCAGAATCCGGGGTGCCCGCTACGCTGCCAGATTGTCCGAAATTCACCCTCCGCATTCAGCCCCCAAACATCGCCAACGCGATCGGCGACCTCATCACCAAAGATAAGACGTGCCTGCGTTCTCATATTCTGGTATCCAGTCGCAAAAACAATCTCATCAGCTTCCAGTTCCGATCCATCTGCAAACCGGATCCCATGAGGCAGAATCTCGCTGATCTCTTGTCCCTGCTTCACCTTCACCTTGCCATCAACAATCAGCTGGCTTCCTCCGACATCAATGTAGTAACCACCCCCGCGCTGGAAGTACTTCATCATAAGCCCCGCCTCCATCGGGCCACGATCAACCTCGAATCCTGCCTTCGCCAGTCCTTCAAGCGTTTTCGCATCATTCTGGTTCATCACCTTTGTGACCTTCGTCTGCTGTAGCTTGAACAGCTCAAGTGGAATACCCATTAAATACGTGTCCGCATCCTCGGTAAGAGGACCCGCCTCCTCATAAAGACCCTTGAGACCAATCTCAGTAATGGAGTTCGACGACACCACACAGGTTGAACTCCGCTGCACCATGGTAACCTCATATCCCTTCTCATAGTAATCCTGAGCAATATCATGGCCAGAATTACACGATCCAACTACAACGGCCTTCTTCCCATTAGACCCGTCTTTTGCGCCCAAGAATTCGGAACTGTGACATATCCGATCGCCCTGGAAAGTCTCCATGCCCATGAAGGTAGGCATGTTCTTCTTCCCAGAATGTCCGGTAGCCTGAATGACATGGCGTGGGTGGAATTCACGTGTCTCGCTCGAGCCATCTGCTTTCGTACGCTGCAAGACGACGGTCCATTGCTTCTTGGTTTCGTCCCAGGATGAGGATTTCAGATCCGTGCGAACCCAGACATTGAGCTCGAGTAACTTGACATAGGACTCGAAGAACTCGGCCAGTTTATCCTTTGGTGTGAAGACAGGCCAGTTGGATGGAAAGGAGAGGTATGGCAAATGGTCATACCACACTGGGTCGTGGAGGACTAATTGATGATACCGATGACGCCAGCTATCTCCGATTCGGTCTTCTCGGTCAATTACCAGGGTATCCACGTTGAGCATCTTCAGACGTGCGGCTGCAGTAAGTCCTCCTTGACCGGCACCTAATCACATGTCAGCTTGACCGACCCAATGCCTCGAAATGTTATTATAGTAGTATACATACCAACAATCAAGACAGCGGGGTCTTTCTCTTCGAAATCTTCGTTCGCTGTGCGTCTATCCTGCCAGTTCTTTCGACCCTGTTGTGCCCCATGCTGCACTCCAACAGGTCTGCGGCCATTAACCACTTCCTCGTGGCTAGTTATCTCGGCAAGGGTAGTGAAGACAGTGAAAATCTTCCACTCCTCACCCTGCTGCGCCAGCCGCACAATACCCCTCCCATTGCCGAACCCAGTTGTAATCTTTGCAAAAAATTCAATCCCATTAACCTCGCCAAAGGCATCAATGGGACCATTATGCGGTGCCGTAAAAGGCGATGAATAGTCAATATCAAACTTGATCGCTGAAGCAGATTTAGTGACAAACTTGGAAAGAGCCTCGGCTCCCTTCAGCGTCCGGAACTCCCATGAAAGGCAGAGATGATCGCGCCAGTAGCTGTTGTCGATGAACAACGACGCCAATGCCCCGCTTTCTCTCGCTTCAATGGCAAGGTTGAGTTTCCCAATTAGACCGCGGGCGATATCAGCTGGGTTCTCGGGTGTGGTTGCACTCGTCTGCGGCAGAATACCGAGAGGAATATCGCAAGAGCCCGGCTCCACTCTGTAGCGGGAGGGAAGGCGCTGAGTCTCCATGTCGATGACGGTCATATTTGGATCGTATGGTGAGAGGTGAATTATCAGGATTTAGGCAAAAGGTAGAGGGAAAGTCTCAGAAGCAGAATGATGAACGTCTCCGCCCGTATTTATTCATGCCCGAAGAACCCCGCAGTGGTGCTGCTGGGCTGGTGCATACACTTCACAGACCCAGTGTAACACGTCGAAACTTGCCGAATCTTACCTTTGGCCTTAACTGTCAATCAGAGTAATAAAACTTGCAGCTGAAATTGATGAACTCAAGGCTAGCAAGGTAAGAATAGCTGAGCAACGTCGATATAGAATGATTAGCTTTTGGAAGCGGAAGGGTCCATTGCCCCGCTGGAACCAACAATGCGGAAAGAGCGACATCACCAAAAGCGGGGCAATCGGCGATCATCCCGAGATTCTGCTTTTTTGACTTACTTGGTCAATCAAATTCAAAAACTATCGATGGGACATCTTCTTGACAAAAGACCAATAGTGATAATGCGGCACCGAAAGTCGGATGTTTTAATTGGACTCATTGTATGCCCACGAATTTGCCGATTATAAATTGAACAGGGAGGATATGGAAGCCTGAGGGTGCATCTGACGAGCGCTATATTTGAGGCTAGGCTGACCAATATAGTAGATCTTGATTTATATAGCCTTGAATAACCCTTCCACATATGAACTAGCATCATTGGTCTAGTGGTAGAATTCGTCGTTGCCATCGACGAGGCCCGTGTTCGATTCACGGATGATGCATTTCTTTTTGTCGTTTTTGGTCGTGTTTGTGTTGGTGTTACTTGTCCCGGTCTACCCGAAAACTACGGATACGGAGTAAGTTGATCAGTTACCCTGTTTTGTCTATTTTTATCTCACCCCTTAATCCCGGAAATTACATTGGACCAATATTAAGCTATTGGAAACTATCAGCGGTTAAGTGCAGTTTATTTCGTGCCTACTGTTCTAGACCGACATGCTGGCCAGGAACATCCGCTCAAGTTCCGCGAATCGGCGTCGTCAGCCCATGGAGATGGAGACACGCGTTACTGGAGCCACTTGACTCGCTTTTTGGTCATCTTGGCAAGGCCAACAAGAAAATGTGCCACCAGGCTATAATACGCCTAGACTTCCGCCAATCTGCAGCTCGCGGGGAAGTCTCTCTCCTTATCTGTCTCTGGGCTCCTGTAATCAACATTGGACCCCTAAAAAAATGCTTGAGCCCCAATTAACTACATGAAATTAGTATCCAGATATTCGCCATGAGTCGGTCCAGACGCCAATGGCTGGGTTTCTTCCTGTCGTTATCCATCATATTCCTACTCTATCGGCACCATCGCTCTTTAAACGATTCCAATGCCTCAACACCAATAAATGAAAAGGTCGACAACCAGGATCAAGATCCTGATATTCCCCTACCAGACTTCCAAAATCCCGATTTCTCAAGTGAACCGCCACCGAATACCCATGCCCATGAATCCTTTTGGGGCCGTTTGCCTTTGCGCCATATCGTCTTGCCCTCCTTACCTCCACCGATCCAGTCGCGTCTCGGAATCCCCAAAATCCAAGCAGACCCATCCAGCTTCTCTGGAGTCACAACATGGTTCCAGAAGAGCAGGCAGGCAGCGGTAAAGGACGCTTTCACGCGATGCTGGGATTCCTATAAATCACTCGCGTGGCAGACCGACGCGCTTGCGCCCATAAGCGGACTGCCCAATAATGCATTTGGTGGCTGGGGATTGATGATGATCGATAATCTGGACACACTGTGGATCATGAGAATGAGAACGGAGTTCGATGAGGCCGTTGCGACCGTTGTGGATATCAATTTTGAGAACACTCAATCTTCGGAAATCAACACGCACGAGATCAATATTCGCATTCTGGGCGGTTTACTGGGCGCATTTGACCTGAGCGGCGATCAACGGCTGCTCAGCAAGGCGATCGAGGTTGGTGACATGCTTTATGCGGCGTTCGACACGCCGAATCACTTGCCGATCACTCTCTGGGATCTGCACCGAGCCGCACGGCAAGAAGAGCAGCTCGCCGAGGAAATGGTGTCTGCTTCAGAACTCGGCTCTTTTATTCTTGAATTCACAAGGCTATCACAATTGACCAGCGAACTTAAATACTTCAATGCCGCACAGTTTGTCATGGAACGACTCGGCCAGCTGCAGGATGTGACCAAGCTTACAGGAATGTGGCCTGTGGTCCTAAATGCCCGAACGGAAGTGTTCGATGGAGATTTCTTTACATTGGGCGCCGAGGCGGATTCCCTTTACAAAACATTGGCGAAGGCAGATATGATACTTGGAGGCCGGTTCCCTGTGTATCGTAAGATGTACGAGAGATCGACACGGACGGCCGCTGGACACAGCCTGTTCCGTCCCATGACTCCTCATAATAGAGACATTCTTGTCCCAGGATCGATTCGCGTGATGATGACACAAAACGGAAAGTCGCGAACCCTTTTAGAAAGCCGGGTTCACCATCGTTCCTGTTTCACGGGCGGCATGTTTGCATTGGGAGGCGCATTCTACAGTATTCCAAGCCACCGCAAAATCGCAAATAAGCTGGTCGATGGCTGTATCTGGGCTGCCCAGGCTATGCCTCTGGGAATCATGCCCGAAGTATACGAGACAGTTCCTTGTGCCTCCCAGACCGAATGCCCGTGGAACGAGTGGCACTGGAAACAAGAGGTCTGGAAGAGCGTGAACTCCAGCCCCGAGCCGGACCCCGATATGGACATTGATGCTTATATCCATGAGCACCACCTACCGAAGGGCTTCATATCCATCCCCGACACTCGCTACAATTTGCGACCGGAGATCATCGAAAGCATGTTCAATCTTTATCGCATTTCCGCCCGTGAGGACCTGCTCGATACCGCCTGGGAAATGTTCGAATCGATTCAAAACACCACTGAAATCATCAATGGCAACGCTGCCCTCGCTGATGTCACCTCTCCGACTGAAGAACCGATTCACATCGACTCCATGGAAAGTTTCTGGATGTCGCAAACCTTGAAATACTTCTATCTTATGTTCAGCGCGCCCGATGCCCTAAGTCTGGATGAATATGTCTTTAACTCTGCAGGGCATCCCCTCAAGCGACCAGACACTATGTGGGAACAATAAACCCTCACTGCTCACTCCTCACTCTTAAAATTCCCCGCTCATCTCAAATGTTGGTTTACTCTTACGATTGTAAGATGCATGTACATAGCGTTGGCGTTAAGACCAGTATAGAATATCCAGGAACGTTTGCATTTGATTAATGTCTCAGCAGTGATGTTCTGAGATTAAACAGAATAACATGTTTGCAGCAAAAGAAAAAATAAAATTTAACGCTCTTTCGTCATGTCTTGATCTACTGTCGAATCGCCGTTTTCGGATCTTATCAATCCCACGTCTCCGATCTGACTGATAGTTAACTCCGATAAATTTCCTCCACTCTTCGCGACGCTAGTCATAGCATTGGCCTTGGAGAATGGTTGCGAAAGACCCTGAGACGGGATTGCTGAATTCTCCTAACACAAGTCCGTCTGAAGAGGCCGGTCCCCAGACTGCTAACATTCTTTCCAATGAAAATGAAAACTTCGGGAAAGTGAAATCCGGCGAGAAAGCCGAGGATATCGATTTAACCCCAACAGAATCATTGTCGAAGCCCAATCGCTGGAAATCTATTATCGATGTTTTACTATGGGCACCACCGTGGTGCAGATGGGACAAGGAGAACCCACCTAAATTTGGGATGCTATTAAACATTCTATTTGCCTTTGCTGGAACGTTTACGGTATGTCTTGGAAATCCGATCCCCACATCCCCCACATTTGACTTGCTGGAATATCACTGACGTCTATGTAGGTTGCCAACCTGTACTATGCACAACCTCTTTTGGATACGCTTGCTACCTATTTTGATGTATCCCATGAGCGAGCATCACTGGTTCCAACCTGTAGCCAGGCCGGTTATGCCGCAGGGTTGATTTTTCTCTGTCCACTGGGGGATTTGGTTCGGAGAAGGCCGTTTGTCCTTCTCCTGACATTCATAACTGCGACTCTATGGATTGGCGTGTGCATCACCAAATCCTTTAATGCATTTCTCGCCATAAGTTTCCTTTCTTCAGTAACCACTGTTACTCCGGTACATCTTTACCTTCGTGCATCCCCCAACTTGAGCCCATGCTTACCTTTGCAGCAAATCATGCTTCCCCTAGTGGGAGACCTTGCTCCACCAGCTCGACGCGCAGCGGCATTATCAATCGTCACATCAGGCCTAGTACTAGGTCTACTATTCGCGCGCCTTCTCTCTGGGATCATTGCCGAGTACTCATCCTGGCGAAACATATACTGGCTATCTCTCGCACTCCAGTATACGATCTTCCTTCTACTCTGGGCATTCATGCCAGATTACCCACGAACAAACAATGACATCTCCTACCTGAAAGTCCTAACCTCAATGGTACAACTATTTCTCACCTCCCCGGTCCTGGTATGCGCTACATTCATGGGATTCTTCCTCTCAGCAACCTTTACCAATTTCTGGACAACACTTACATTCCTCCTGTCCGGTGCCCCATACCACTACAACACAGTGACGATCGGTTTGTTCTCGCTAGCAGGCTTGACACCAATGTTCCTTGGACCATTTTATTCTCGATATGTGATTGACAAATACGTTGTTCATGTATCTCTTCTAATAAGTTTAACGATCGCGCTTGCGGGAATCTGCATTGGCACGTATACAGGCACGTTCTCGGTTGCTGGTCCTATTCTCCAAGCGGCGTTGCAGGATTTTGGTCTTCAGATGACGCAGATTGCGAACAGGACTGTTATATACAGTGTTGCGCCGAAGGCGCGCAGTCGAATTAATACTGTGTATATGATTGGTGTTTTCTGTGGGCAACTTATGGGAACGGCTGTTGGAAACAAAGTTTATGGTGAAAGAGGATGGATTATGAGTGGGTCGGTTAGTGTGATTTTTGTCGGAGTGGCGTTTGTTCTTTGCATGATACGCGGCCCGGCTGAGACGAGATGGGTAGGATGGAGTGGTGGTATTCGGATTCGGAAAATGGAAGCACAATAGAGGGCTGGATGTGCTCTATCTCGAATTAGAAGGGACTACAATAGTCCACGGATCGTTCCAGAAGCCTTAGACTAGAATAGAAGTATGTTCCATGAATTTCTGTACACGTGTAGTAGAATTGGAAGATGGTCAGCTCCGAAATATTAATTATCTTGCCTTGTACACATCAAAGACAAGGTGGATCAAATGTGCTACTATCGACAAAGGAAGGAATATCCCAAAAGTTCAACTCATCCAGTCCGAGATCAGGAAACTAGACACAAGTTAGTCGCTTGAAAAATATAAACAATGATAGAGACTCACCATTATATCCGAGCCTAAGCTGGAACCAAATGCACTCTCGGGTGTCCAAATGCTGGAATCACCGATGGATGTTTGCAGGGCCCCATCTTCCACAACTTGAGATTTAGTAATATGTTTCGAGAGTAATTCACGGCAAGTCTGCATGGACACCATAAGCGCTTCACGGATATTGGCCATTTCTATTTTTTCTCCCCTTTGCCTTGCTTGAATTTGTGCCAGCACTCCCCCGAGCAAAATGTACCGTTTCATGCTCGGAATGCCCGCCTGCAGGCTGTCATAAAGGTGACTCTTCATACGCTCCAAAGCCTGAATCAAGGGTGCCCGGGCAGCTTGTGCAATATGATCAACCGCCGTTGAAATCAGTGGGGAACAACCTTCTGGTTGAATGACGAATTCTTCTTCAAGTTGTGTGATCAATTCAGATGAGATTACCATAATAATGTCAAGAGATAGGTGTGCTTTGAATAACCCCGATCCCGATAATGCAAGTCGTTGGAAGTCTTGATAAGGTTGTAGGTCTGTGTCTGTAGTGTCATGTGGACTCTCTCCATATGAAGCCATAATAAGAGCGGAATCGAGACTCAGTTTTCGGGCAAGGTAGAAACGGGGGTCCTTTGCGGCTTGGATTGTGAATGGTCGGTATAAGTTTAACAAGAATCGTCGCAGTAGGGTATCCATAATTCGATGATGAAATTGGTTTGGTCGGTACTTGGATCTTGAATGTGCCATATATGTATGGAACAGCGCAGCCATTTCTTTACTGGCTAGAATAAGTAGATTTCCCAGCTGCAAAGTGGTCTCATAGAGTGGTTCCTGGCCACACTCATTGATAGTTCTGGCAATTTGCAAGCGAGTTGGAAATGACTGCAAAAGGAGAATTTGCAACGAAGAGTCCGTAAAGAAATCTCCAAGCTGAACAGGTGGTAAAACTGTGATAGATGGATCGATATCATCGTCATCTAAATTGGCTGGGGGTCGAGTATCATAATCAGCTTGAGAAAGCAGGGGTGGCATAGCGGCATCGATGGCGAGTTGAACATTGAGTTCCAGTATGACTGCCCAAACCCGACGCCGCATTTCACCATCAAAGACTGACACTGTTGGGAAATTGGACGGGTCACGATGTAGTCCCTGGCCTACTGCTTGTCGTAACAACATCCCAGCCGACATCCAGTTGGATTCCTTATCCATGGCGTAAGCTTGCCGGCAAAGTAGAAGCAAAGAGTACACCTGCAAACCCTCTAGATTGCCGGTCTCCTTTGAGAATGGGCCGGATAGCCACCATTGTGCTGCATAAACCCATCGCTGGATTGGCAGACCAAGCTCATTTAATGGACCAGGCCTGCAGTAGAAGATAGAGCCAATCGCAAGAATCAACAGAAGCTTGAGAATAAATCCTCTCGGAGCCGAGTGAGGATCCTCCCAGAAACGCTCGTATTCTTGATAGAACGTTGGAACATGCAGTACACGGTATATCATGCCAAGCGTGCGGAAGTAATGCCGGACGAGCTCGTTGCATATTTCTCTTGGGGGCAAGTCACTCAATAGACCTGGTGCGGGATCTTCTAAACGCGGTGCCTGCCATTTCTTGATGCGATATCTCAGTTTTCGAGCATCTGTGAGCGACTGGCTGATTTGATTATGTTCGTCATCTGCAAAGCTACCTTTGCTGCGTACTTGACGGAAAAGACGGAACTAAGAGGTTAATTTAGGGAACTTGAATGACTCGGGGTAACTTACCTGTTGAAACACAAGAGCCCAGTGGGTTGTACCAAACAATTTTATCTTTCCGTCATCATTTTTGATGCGAGGTGCGAGAGGGGAGATGAAGGTTTGGGGTTGATCCGATTTTATAGATTTACCATCGACACGACCAAGAGTCCTATTCAATGGCAGAGAATCTGTATCTTGGTGACAATTTTGACCAACTTCCCCTGCGTTCTGCTCCAAGTCCTTCACGCGATCCTGCAGCACTTTCACACTGCGCTCAAGCTGCGCTATTCGAGCATCTCCAGAGATCCGACCCGCGCGAGGGCCATGTTGGCCTTCGGAGTTCGAATCAGGTTCGCTTATACGGGTAGGCCCAAGTTTCGCGTCCAAAGCGGCTTTTCCTTCGTCGACATATGCGCAGTCCAGCAAGGGATGAGACCTGATGCAGGGACCACATGGCATTTCCCGGTCGCATCGCACCTTGCGTCGTCGACATTGCTCGCAGGATAGCGCAGGTCTTCTGCGCTTTCTGGGATTCGACTGATTATTTTCATTGCTGCTCATTTTGGCAATTTTGACATGAAATATTCAGTTTGAGTGACGTTCTTCTAAAGCCTTGTAAGTCGTTTGCCAAGGTTAGCGTCGCGGAATTCCGGTGAATTCCGGCAAATTGCGGAGATTTCGGTCGATGATGGCATTATCAAACCTTGTAGATCGGCTCGTTCATTTAAATCGATAAATCATTCATTGAATCAATGTTAAGAATTTTATTTATCAGTTTTCTCACATATGTATGCATATTATAGGATTTGTTTATTACTTTAAGTTTCATGCACAGATATTTACTTGATTGTACAGATATGTATTGACCACGATCACGTGGGCCAGAAATATATATACATATCAACAAGCGTGTAGCCAACCCATTATTCCTATCCCAAACACCATTTACAAAAGAAAAGAAAAAATTCCGATAATGAATGTCTACCCGCCAAATGACATGGCACGTTTCCGTGTAGATCTTTGTCGAATTCCAGCCTCTCGGCTCTTGCGTCCCATGCGACCCAAGGCCATCGTTTCGAGAGTATAAGGCTTCCCGCCCCACAGAATGTTGTTGCCCTTTTTCTGTTGGAGAGGAGGAATCCAGAAGTGTGTCACAATGGCACCGATGATCATACAGGCACTAAAAACAAAAAGAACAATGCCGTGGTGGCGAGTCGATACATCTCCAAGACCACCGCCAAAACGGTAGTAAGTGGAGAATATTTGGACGAGAATGGAGCCCAGCTTGCCAGCACCGGCACTAATCCCGTAGCAAGTGGCTCTGTAACGAGTGGGGAAGATCTCTGCGGGGATCATGTAGGTTGTTGCGTTCGGACCTGGGTAATGTTAGTTGAATGCGAAGGAATTGTATTGATGCACATACCGAAGTTGAAAAGGATCTGACCGATGATGTAGAGGGTGACCGAGACAGGCGGACTATTTATCAGACAGACGAAAACACTACCCAGTGCGATGAACAGCAGGGATAGACAAAGGAAGGTGTATTTTTGCAAGGCTACTCGTTCGATGCGGTGGGCGAAAATAATAAGCAGGAGACCACCGACAAAACTGCCGATGTTGAGAATCACCAAAGCGCGAGTGGAGGTGTCAAAGAACATGTCGTACACGCTAGCTCCTGCGCGGGAATCGATCATCCAGTATGGTTCTGACTTTGATATATGGAGCTGGCCCCATGTCTTAGCAAGGAATTGCGGACTGGCAAGACTGATGCCGTAGAAACCGAAATCCATGAGCAACCACGCAATAGTGGTGCCAGCCAGACTGCGCCAGTTGCCTTCGGTCCAGAAGTATCGGATTATGTCGGATTTCGCGAGCCGCCAGTTCGAGTTCAGGGTCGCTGGTGGCAAGCTGCTGAATTCTTCGTCTTCGTGAATAGAGGAACTGGCCAGAGAGGAGATAGGTGGGAGATTAATCGAATTTCCCATGATGGAAGTAATGTTTCCAAAACCCTGGGCATCAAAGCCTGAGCTGATAGATGGTTCAGTGAAGAGAGTTGTTGCGTCGAATTCCGCGGTAACTGGGTCGTCCTCAATCTCGACTAGGTAGCGTGGACTCTCCGGGATCGCGAATCTGAAGAGGGTCGCAATGGCACCGGGAACAACGCCGATACCCAAAACCCACCGCCACATGCTGTCGACACTGCGAGTCAGATCGTCACTGCCGCTGTTTCTGCCGACTGCGATCACGATTAGTGAGACCAGATTTCCCGCGATTTGGCCCAGCGGTTGCATGAAGAAGACACTGGCCATCATGCGGGCACGGTGTTTTGTCGGAGCGAATCTGTCACTCGTTAGCGATATTCCAGTAGACTTCAAACTTGATACGCACTCTGATGTGATGACAGCACTGAGGGGATAGTCGGCGCCAACACCGATGCCGACACAAACTCTCCACCAGATCAACCATGTGAAGACGTTCATACTGCCATCTTTGCCTTCAGAAGACATGACCACGCCAAGTGTAGCGGTAATCAGCAGCACCAGCTCAACACCGTACATCTTCTTCCGCCCGTTTTTGTCCGCTAAAAATCCGAATAGCACCATACCGAGCAATGTGCCAGCCAAGGTTGCGATGTTGATGCAGGTCAGACGGATCGAGGAGGTATCGTCTTTCCAATAGACGTAGGAGATCATTGGAAGGGCCATATTACTGGCGAATAGCTATGAAAGAGCTGTCAATTTCCATTTTCTTTGGATTTATTCGTATCGATTCTCTCCATTACTCACAGTATAACCATCAAGGAAGAAGCCTAGACCGGCAACTAGTACGACAATCCATTGATAGCCTTGTCGGTCAATGGTTTCATAGATCTGGCGCATGCGTACATATCGATCCTAAAACACTTGACATGTCAGAACACCCCTCCATTTCGACTTTCAACAAAGGAAAGCCTAACCTGTTCATGATCGAAATCCCGCGCTCGATCGGTCTTGTATAACCGGGCGTGAAACTTGCCCATGGTGAGCTTGGTCCCCTCAGGAAAGTGATGCAGAAGAGCATTGAAAGAGCAGCCGCACGAGCGATAATATGTGATGTGAACGTTCCACCTACAGTGCGGGGCCAATCGGACGGATACTTTGATCCTCGGAGAGTCCCCTGTTCGATCTAAGGCAGGCCCAAAGAGCTAAGAACAGGACCCACTTCCCATAGCCAAACCCAACGAGTCATCGCTCCACGTGCGGGACTCGAGACCACTGAGACGCTGTGCGGGAGACCCACATTGCTTGCATCGCACGCTTGACTTGACCACGTTTGGGCGAGACACAATGGCGCCTTGTCTATTTAACTTTGCAAGTGGAGTATTCGAATGAAATTGTAATTAAGAGAAGCACAAAAGCAGAAAAGCAGAAAATAAGTTAATCTAAGGCAAATGAAAATTCTCTCTGGTATCACAGTATCACAGTATCGCTCGTTACGCCTTTCGCCATAGAACCCCGCCATGCACATTTATACAAAAGCCGAAATTAATAAAAATACGTAATTAATCATCCAATAATAAGCTCTGTTGACAGCAGCTGGCAGAAGCTCTTGCAATCTAGGAACCAAATAAGCGATGGCTCGGACGTATCGGAACTTGGAACTTGGTACTAACCGTCATCGTCCAGGAAATGAATCGTTAGATTTCGCATTTTCATGAGAATGTCAAAATTGGGGTCCAGCTCTATTACGACTGGTCGTCCTGCCTTTTTAGGTGGCTTGACATTTGCAACGCAGTTGACTGAAATTATTAGTTAAAGAATAGTGATCATGTCTTCAGCGTACTTACGTGGAATTGACACGTATCGCTTGAGCTCTTTGCGCTGAGAATTGGCAAAGAATAACATGACCCTTTTGCCATTTTGCCCGCGGAGTATTCGGAGATTTTGACTGATGCATTCTTCTCCGCGGCCCTTGGATTTGGCTTCGGCCATACCCCCGATGAACATCATCTTGGAGCATAGTAGAAGTTCTTGGAATTGTACGCAGTCTGGTCATTGTCAGCGTCATTGTGCCTGCTCACAAAGAATTCTGGCCGGTCGCATACCTTCCCAGTTTTCGAATTTATATGAAAGTTGAGTCATGAAGATCACCTGCGCAGTTTGGACAGTCTGGTATTCAAGGAACGAAATTCGGAGAGGATAGTCATCGGATTCTTTGGGATGCTCGAGGTGCGGAACTGGTAACTTCGTATTATGAACTGCAAAAGATACAATTAGCCTAAGTGTGAAGGCAGTTCTATCTTCAAACTTACAAGCATGAACAAAAGGTGTTTGTTGACCGATACCTCCCCCGAGCTCAAGACATTTCAGAGCCCCCGTGGAATCTTTACAGACATCGATGTATGTGTAGCGTAGTTTGAACAGTTGGCCATTTTTGACAAATGATCTGCAGGAACGATTAGTCTGCATTCACGAAGGGTCCTTGTGGGGGAGGGTCTTGGAACGAACATCGTCATATGTGGATTTAACTCAAGTCGTATCACATCTTCATACAACTGCCATGATTGTTTCCTTGAGCCTGGGGAGGTCGCGGGGCTCTGGAACAGGATACTGGTGGATGCGGACGACACGGTGGAGGTTGAGACCGTGCTTTGACGGCGTGAAGAGGTGCTTGCCCACTCCTGAAATTCTGGGGAAACGAGCGGATTCATGGCTGCTACCCTTGGTTTTAGGTCGATTCAAGGGAATATCACATCTGGCAACAGAGTAGATCCCATATCGGATTAATTGAAAGGAACCATAACATGTTCAGAATCAACGACAAAACAATGGATATATGAAGGAGCGTGATAAGCCAGATTCACATTGAAAGCGGGTGGATCAGTTGTGAGGTGAACGTGCTGAAATGGCTGGCTCAGAGATCGTCCCGCTTTCTCGATGAGGATCCACTTCAACTTATGTTTCCCATGTGGCATTGAAGTACTCCGTAAAGGACATTGTTATTTCGTTTTTGCCTAGACTCGCTCAAATATATCTGTTTCAATACGAAGTCATTTATTTTTGGTATCTATTGCTTACAGTCGTTCGGCAATGTTCCTTACCCACCTAAGAGTTATACGCCGAACTTCAACCTTTTCATAATTGGGTTCAAGGATTCCATGGATCTTATTTACACCTGAAAAGCTTTATCCGGAATTCTCCCGAATCATTCTCGAAAAGGTCTGGAACAATTGATACTGATCGACACTCGTGGTCATAGCTCGAACTGCAAGGAGGCTGATCGTAAGGCATTCCCCAGAGAGGGGCCATGTTCACGATTCGATTTGAATACGGATTGGGTAATTGGTTAGACGTATGCACGGAGCATCTAATAGTCAGCCTAGCCATTACTTTTGTATTTCGAGTAAATGATGTTGCCCGGTAAAGTCTCATGATCTAAACATGGACTTTCGTTCACCCAGGTAGACACCGAACCACGTATCCCAAAATATCGTACCGCTGTGTGACCAGATCCAGATCAAGATCCTAATAAAGCTCCCAAAAAAATTACCTGGAATCAATGTCATCTCCACTTATGCACCATAGCAAGATATGCCTCAGTACACGTGGGCGACATAACTCCGTGTGGTTGGAATGTATTGAGCTTCTCGTCAAATTCTTCCAGCCACCGGGCCGGAACAAACTCGCACGCTCGGTGAATGAGGCCTGGATTCTGAAAGACTAAGAGTACTAGTATAACGCCCCCGAGGTTCTACTTTACAAATCGGGATTGAACATCCACATACTGGAATTGTCCGGCGCCACATGGGGCCCGGAAGGACGGCGTTGAGTCGGCGCATGAACACTGCATCCACCAGGGGAACGCAGATAGCCACAGTTTTCCAGCCTATCTCCTCGTATTGGTCCAATGTATGCATCGACTGATCTGTTAGCTATAGACGAACGTTGCCATAGCGTTCTAGGTCCACATTATAGCTGCCATTATCGTCGTCATGCCGACCGTGCCTCCGCTAGTGCCGAGAGTAGTTGTTTCACCGAGAAGCTCGGGAACATGCTGCTAGTTAGGGTAGAATCCCTGATTTTGATTTCTGCGGCTGCATAAATGATCCTTCTAATGTCGGCTCGATTGCCTTGCTTCCTGGACTTGTGGTACAGTCTGTTTCGGGTACCTTTACTTGCCAAACCCACCACCATCCTTCTAAATGGGAAGGTCCGAGGCGAGACACTTTCCACAAGCATCGATGAAGTTCTATTTTGCATCTTATCTGGCAAAATAAGTAAAAAAGTGTTGATCGGATATCCAAACGACCGGGCACTCGATGTCCTACGAGGTGCGATCGAAATAATCAAGGATCTTGAATATTCGGCATTCGTGAAAGCGATTGCAAGGCAGTAAGCGCGGGGTCTAAAGACAGAATCATGCATGAGTATCACAGGCTTCGAGTGCTGGGCTGAAAGCATAGGTATGTACATGTAGGTACCTAAACTGCAGCTTGACGTCGGTTTTCATTGTTTTTCTTCGCGTTTGTCTGCACATAGGAGTCACCTTAATGCTGTACGCACCTTTTAGTCTCCTGCGAAATATACTAATACATATCTGACAGTCAACCAATGCTTCTAAGGCCATTTTTTACTGACATATTTTCCTATTAGGTAGTAGGAACCCCTTCCTGAGGAGACCCCGACAATCTTATAACATTGTTCCAAGGTTGATCAGATTCATGTTCTTCAAGCCGAAGAAAGAGAGTAGCATCTTACAATCCGAGAATATCTTCAGTCTTGCTCTCAGCTACGCTCACGAATTATCTACACTTGATTGATGACTTAGACGGAATATTTTCCTGGCTATGTTAGGTCTCAGGCGCAGAGACCTCGGGAGCTCAGTCATCTCTGACCAGCAGCTTTTCGCCGGCTCAGTCGTTCAGACGGTTTGTGGCCATCAAATATTCAGTTTGATACATACTAACAATGTGAGAACCAAGGAAATCTAATAGGACGACCTACGGCATAAATTGTCTATTCGGCTCTGATCTTGAAGATTGTGACGTTCTTCCTCCTAGACACGGAAGGTCCAGAACTGTCGAGTGAGCATTGGAATCGCCCTACTCGTAAGTCTGCCAATAGAAATGGAATAGAACCGTGCTGAGCCTTCTCTGAATACAGTGCCGATTGGGCCCATGTCATCTGTTTTAATGAGGGTAGTACTAATGCTGTCTGCACTGTGATGATATCTGCCAGTGACCTTTTCTCTTCATACCACTTTATTAAGCCAGGAACAGATCAAATTCTTGGCTATTACGATCACCAATGGCTCTAAATATGCCTCAAAAATGCCACTGGTGCATATACAGACAACGCTCGGACTGTAACTTCGGATGAATCTGTGACAGGGTCTTCTCATGGGAATGTGCCCCAGGGTCCGCGCCTGTAGGGGCGATTTGCGCTGGATTGGTAGCGGGGGTTGGTGGCTACTGTCCTGTAAAAAGATTTCATTTATCTAAACTTCTAGGAATCCACATCCGAGGTTAATTGGAGTGAATGTGTGCTGGAATATCCCATAGTGACATATCGGAATTAACGGACATAAGATGCAAGGCCGTTAGATCCGGGACCTGTCAAGTGTCGGATTTTGGACAAAACTTCTATAAAGCGATAAATAAGGCTGTTATTTGTGTTTCTACAACTCAATTAGTACCAGGGACTACAAAATAGTCTCTTTCAAAGCATTCGAAATGACAATGCTAGCAGGAAAGCCCATCACCCAGAACGGGCTGGGTCTAATGCGTAAGACGTCATCATCCCCAATTCGAAAACAAGAAGAAGATTCTAACGTTCTACTAGGTCTGACCTGGAAAGATGACGTGACTCCCGATGAAAAGGCCTTCAAGATCCTCAAAGCTGCCCTCGCCGCCGGAGTCAATGTCTGGAATGGTGCCGATTTCTACGGAACCCCGGATAGCAACTCCCTCCACCTGATGAACCGCTACTTCACCAGATACCCCGAAGATGCCGAAAAGGTAGTCCTGACAATCAAAAGCGGCATCGTCGATATGCGCACCTTCAAAATGGACGGCTCCCCAGCAGCGGTACGCAACTTTGTGGATCGCGCCAATATAATCCTCGACGGGAAGAAGAAAATTGACATCTTCGGCTGCGCACGCGTCGATAAGAACACCCCCATCGAGGAAACAGTAGGATGTTTAGCTGAATTGGTCAGCGAGGGAAAAATTGGAGGCATCCAACTGAGCGAAGTGGGCTCCGATACGATCCGACGCGCAGCAAAGGTCACTAAGATTGATATGGTCGAAGCGGAGATCAGCCTGTGGGCTACGGACGTGTTTGAGAATGGCGTCGCAGAGTCTTGTGCTGAGTTGGGGATTGTGATGGTTGCGCATACGCCTCTGGGGGCGGGTATGCTCACGGGCCAGATCAAGAGCCTCGATGATATGCTTGCTAATGATTATCATCGATTCTTTCCGCGTTTCCAGCCTGAGAACTTTGATACCAACTTGCAGCTTGTTGCAAAGATCAGGGATATTGCTGAGGGGAAGGGGTGTACGCCTGCTCAGCTGGCGCTTTCTTGGATTAAAGCGCAAAGTGGTCAGCCAGGGATGCCGGTCTTTGTTCCTGTGGCTGGTGCGAGGTCTGAGGAGAGGGTGCGTGAGAACGCAAGAGATGTTCAGTTGTCACATGTTGATATTGGGGCTATTAAAAGTATTTTGGATAGCTTTCCTGTTGCAGGTGATAGATATCCCCCGGCCGCTGCGAAGCTGACCGAGTATTGAATATTTATATGAGAAGTATAATACATATTTTCAAATGAATGACCGCAAAGCGATAGACCCCAATAAATCTAGAGAGCGATCGCAAGCCCGAGTAGACCAGCAATACCTGCTAAGCCCATGGCAACTCCAGCAGTCGCAACAGGCGCACCTCCGGTGGAGGAAGCAGTTGACGGGGAAACAGAAGCGGTAGATGCCCGGGTCTTGGAGGTGAAAGCAGCACCAGAGGTCACGGCGTTACCCGAAGTAGCGGCTGTCTGAGTGGCAGTGGAGGCGGCATTGTTGACACCAGAGGCAGTGGCAGAGGCAGTGGCAGCCGCAGAGGCAGTGGCAGTCGCAGTCTGCTCATCGGAGCTTGTTGTGGCGACACCAAGAGCGTATTCAGAGAAAGCCCAGGCTTTCACGCTGCTGGGGAGGGCATTGTACCAGGCTGGGTAAGTGCCAGCCTCGATCTCACTGATGACTGAGGATCGGAATGTCGGGTCGTCGATGCTGGCGTACCAAGAAGCGGGGATGGCGGTTTCCAGTACGGTAAGGATTGAGTTAGGAACTGCTGGAACGGTCAGGCTTTCGGCATAATCCTGAAGTCCGTCCACACTGTCGTCCGAGGCAGCGATGGGGTTGGCCAAGACCGGTGTGAGGAAGAGAAGAGTAACGAATGTATTGAAATGCATTTTTAAGGAGTGTGTTGGTTGGTGAAAGATCGTGGTAGAATTAAAATTACAAAGTTGTTTTAGAAAGTTCAGGGTTCCTGCGAAGATATGTAAACTTGGAACTGGCGGCGTCGGCAAAAATGCCCAATTTCAGTTTTAGATTGGTCTTCGGAGGCTCTTCACCTTTCAGGGTTCAAGCCTCCACCTTTAAATAGCCTCGGGCCCAGACCCGTTATGATCAAATTTTTGGCCAATTAGAGCTTGATTTTCGGATTCAAGCTCGCTTGGTACCTTTTCCCCTGTTCCTCTTCCAATCAGAATTTTCTTTCATATACTTTCATCGAGCGCCATGATTCAGAATAATTTTATCGTTATCCCAATCAAGGAAATGGCAATCAAATAAACTATAATTGGCACCAATGTCGGTGCCCCTGACCCAGTTCTCCGACAAGTCTCGGTTCAGATAAGCAATTTTGGGCTGGTCTCGGCCAGGTCCCTGAACGTTAAATTGCTCCAGTCTTAAATAAGGTAATAATTATTTACATCAACTCATAGGAGTCTCTGCACAATCATCACTCGTGTCTTCACGGAAAAGAGTGAGAAGTGCCTTGGGCGGCCACGCCCTGGGAGTAAAATCACAGTATATCTCGTACTCGCCTGCGTCGAAATGAACTCCTACCTCCTTCGAGATGTCGCAATCGTGTCGTTGTCTGTCTGGAAGAATAACGTAAGCTGTCGCGTTAGGGGGAATGATCAAGTCCATGCTGAATGCGGTTGGGCCTCTCAATTTCCAAGAGCATTCTATCAATCCATACGGACTATCGTATTTAGTTTCTGCAGAGGTGATACCACCCCCAGGCACGGGGCGAACGAGAAATTTCTTCCAGCCCTGTTCAGTGGGACTGATACCCGCGACGGATTGATGAAGCCAGTTGATTATTGATCCTAAGGCGTAGTGGTTGAAGCTGGTCATTGTTCCTGGGTTGATGCTGCCGTCAGGAAGCATGCTGTCCCATCGCTCCCAGATGGTCGTGGCGCCCATGGTGACGGGATAAAGCCATGATGGACATTCTTTTTCGAGAAGCATGCGATATGCGATGTCAGATTTTCCAGTCATGGTCAACGCATGCGTGACGAGTGGTGTACCCGCGAATCCTGTTGACACGCGGAATCGAGCAAACCGGACACGTCGTGCTAGGCGGTCTCCGGCAGTCTTCACTTGCTCTGAGTTCTCGAAGAGCTGGAAAACGATGGCAAGAGATAGTGCGGTCTGTGTATCGCAGGCTACATTACCTGCTGGCGTGATGTATTTTCTCTGGAAAAGGCCCTTCAGCCTCACGTAATCGGATTTGTATCGTTCGCTGTCCTCTTCATATCCCAGCATTGTGGCAACCTTGCTAATGACATGAGTGCTGTGAACAAGGTATGCATCTGCAACGAAAACTCCATCTGTGGCACCATTGCCGGGGTCGTCTGGTGGAGCAGAGGGATCCAGCCAGTCGCCATGCTGCCACAATGAATCCGACCACAAACCATCGGGCCCGCGACAACATCCATCGTCAAGCCAAGACTTCATACTTTCATACTGCGTTTGAAGAATTTTGGAGTCGCTTGTGAATTTGTAGAGAACCCACGGTACCAAAACAGCTGCATCTCCCCACACAGCCTGAGGGGGACGGGCCGGCTTAGTGAGACAAACATCTGGCACAATCATAGGCGGGACACCGCCTCCTTTCTTCTGCTCACAGGCCAGATCCTTGAGCCAATCTCCCAGGATTCCTGCGGTGTGATACAAATACGATGCAGACGGGGAGAAGACTTGAATATCTCCCGTCCATCCAAGTCGCTCGTCACGCTGTGGACAATCCGTAGGAATTGACAAAAAGTTCCCACGCATCCCCCAAAGCGCATTTTCATGCAGCTTGTTCACCAAGTCATTGGAACATTTGAACCACCCAGTCCTTTGCATATCCGTATGCATGACCAGGGCAGTTAGATTCGAGCTGTGCAAAGGAAATAGCTCATCCTCAGGAGTCCACCCCTCGATTTGCACATAGCGAAACCCGTGGAATGTGTAACTGGGTGACCACTCCACCATCTCCCGACCGGAACAGATGATAGTATCGGTGCATTTCGCATTTCGAAGCGGGCGGATACCCAGTTCACCATTCTCGAGAACTTCCGCATGCTGAAAGGAGACCAAGGTGCCTTCAGGTTTGTTGAGCGATCGAACACGCAATTTGCCAACGATGTTTTGCCCAAAGTCGACCAGAACCTTCCCAGAGGGACTTTTGAAGATCTTTTTGGGTTCAATTTCCTCTACGACTCGGACTGGAGGGCCTTCTGGTATAACCATTTCTGCGGTGGTAAATGGCAAGGTCCGCACAGGCGTCCATCCTGATGAGCTGTCACCAGGTACATTCCATCCGGGTTGCTCCTGTGTCATATCATACACCTCGCCGTCATAGATCTCACTGCTGAGAATTGGACCGACGCTCGACTCCCAAGTCTCGTCCGATAAAATTGTTAGTCGGTCTCCGGGATTCTCAAACTCGATTTCCAATTGTGACAAGACGGCGAGATCCTTGCCAAAAACAAAGCGACCTTCGCGCCAAAGCCGGGATGCAAACCACCCCTCGCCCACCTCGACTGCAAGAACATTGGCATCATGATTGAGTAGCTTTGTTACATCAAAGACTTGGAAGTGTAGCCTGGAATGATAGCAAGTCCAACCCGGAGCCATCAGATGATCACCGACAGGGGTTCCATTAATAAAAGCGCTGTAGACTCCATGGGCGGTAATATAGAGCCTTGCAGACTTTATTGCACCTATTTCTTTAGGGATTTCAAACGCTTTTCGAAAGCGGGGTGGGCGAATGGGCTCATCTGCCTGGACCACGGTGGAGCTAGATATCATTTGTGATGCCCAGTCATCTTTTGACAATAGCGATGTCTCAACTTCGGCCCAGGGAGACCACCCCGTACCAGTATGAGGAGTAACATCTTGTGTTGTGAAAGCTCGCACTCTCACAGAAGCCCTTTCCCTTGAGCGCAAGGGCTGATCTGGCCATTCAAGTAAAACGGACTGATCACTTCTGGCGGTGTAGCGTGAAGTTGAGCCATCTCGATGGATTTCCAGGTCATATAATACTTGTCGCCAGCTACGGATTGTTCTGTCCCTGTTTCCAAATTTCCAAGAAATTCGAGGTGTCGGATTACCGATTCCAAAGCCATCGGTGTGTTGATCAAAGGTCGGTGCAAGGGCGTAGACTCGTATTGGGTCTCTATGGGCAGGCATCTTGTTATTAAGCTCATGGATCTTTGATCGAACTGGCTGGAGATTTCACTATTTCTTTCCAGCCTAGATCGCGGGGTTATCAGTTCACGAGCTTACCAACGTACTTTTAAAGTCCGGGTCTAATATCCAGTTGAGTTTGACCAATTGAGTCAAGATTGTCACAAATTTACGACGTTTGACAGAGGCCAAAGCGGTTTCTCCACCACTAAATCATGCCCGACGAGGCTGCCAATTTCTAAAAGCGAATTTTGCTTCACCTTAGGCGACAACTCTGCCCCGTAGATGCTAGATCCGAGAGAATCAACAATTGTTTCGGACCCACAAAGTTTTGACTCCGCGGATCCGCGGATGATCGCTAACTATAAATCGGAATGACGACTCCAATTCCCCGTCTCATTCCATTTCCATTCCCTTCAATTCGGGAATAAAATTATTAAATCATCTGCATCCGGGAAAACCTGCTTTGTCACAAGTCACAAAAGTCATCAAATGCCACCCAAACACGTCGCTATCGTAACATGCAGCACCCGCATCCCCCGCCTTAATCCTACGATAACGCAATATGTCCATGACGTCCTCGCCTCTGATCCAACAATTCCAATCCGCAAAACTTCCAACGAAACTCCCGATACCGATTCTCGTCATATAACCCTGTCAATACTGGATCTTGCCGCTCAGTCCCTTCCCCTCTACGACGAATCTGTCATCCCTGCTAGTCTCCCGCCTGCGGACCCGACACCACATTACTCGAAGGAGCATACGCGCGCCTGGTCGAAGGTTGTCCGTCAGTACGATGCCTTTATCTTTGTGACACCGCAGTATAATTGGAGCATTCCTGCCAGCCTGAAAAATGCTCTTGATTATCTATTCTTCGAGTGGAAGGGGAAGCCGGCGGGGATTGTTTCGTATGGGTCACGAGGTGGAGGGAAGGGGGCGGAACAGTTACGGGGGGTTTTGAATGGGTTGAGGATGCGGGTTGTTGGTACTTCGGTCGGGTTACCGGTAAAATATACTGGATTACCTGTTGGGGTTTTATCCGAGGTTGAAGAGAAGGTTGAGATTGATGCACGGGATTTGGAGGGGTGGAAGGAGGCGGGACTAGAGGGAATGATGAGGAATTTGGGAATGGAGCTTGTCTGTGAATTGGATAAGGCATGAAATGTGGATAGATTGGACCTCGGGTACAGTGTACAATTATAAAGTCTGTAAAACCGGGACCTGTGAATTACTGTATGCAGTTAGTTTTGCCTTTTTGGGTTTAGCGCCCCAATACATCGTTCTGTAAGCTCCGCCTTCAGATGCGCCGGCATAAAAGCTCGCCCTGCCCTTTGGACCTGTTTTGCTTTCTGACATTTCCTTTCACCTCCTCTATCTTGCACCTATCGCCACCCCCTTTCTCTTCGTCTCGGCCCCACCCCCCAGTTACGTCCCGGTTTTCAGCTCCATGCACTGCCCCCTTGAGGTTACGAGAAGCCGCTCGATCCGACGCCCCGTTCTATGATGGCAGCCAGCTACGCAGGAGTAGGATCTCTAAGATAATACCTCCCTCCGTAGTAGTATGGTGTGATATATAAGTAACTTTGCCACGCTTTACCTAAGCCATCGAAGCGTAGCTTGCTACGAAGCTATCTAGAATTACTCCCGCGTGTGTATCTCGCCCGGCTCTAGTACTAGCGGCCTTTTTTGACGAATATAGAGTGCTAGCTAACCCCTAACGCTATATAGACAGATGCTCCGCTACCTCTGAGGTTACATTGCGTAGCCCTAACGTCATAATTCGACCCGCGAATCGCATGGCCTATTCGTCGCAATTGTCGGTCTCCAGTTCTTCTTTACCCCGTTAGTGGATGGATAAAAGCATAGCTCGGTGATTTCAACCAATAGCGAAAATGCCGTAATCGTGGGCGGGCTTAAGTAGCCTTTCGGACAGCGCACCTGCTTATTGTTAATACGGGCGTCATCTCTTTACGATGATATTCTAGATAATAAAGGTTCCACTTAGAGATTACCTAGCCGGTTACCTTATAGTAATAGGTTCCTGTTCTATTCAGCTCATCTTCTACTTAACCTTTAGTCATACGAGTCAGGCCATACTAGGCACCAGCCGAGATTCCGGCTAAGCCAAGCACGTATCGAAGAAGAGCCCTTTCTACTTAGAGTGCTATAAAGGGAGTGAATCCTTCCACTATTCTACTTTTATTAAGCTCTATATTCTTCTTCTGCTCTACATTATTCTTCTATAACTGAGGCACTATTTCCGCCGCTCCACTAGCATCGCCGGTTCCCAGTGCCACGGAGTTAACTCTCTTGTTATCAATAGCGAAGTGCGTTATCAGATAGACTACATAATCAGGATAAATGATAAAATCTTTAGAATCTGATTAGGATGAATTCAGTATATCTTTCCGTCCCGGCACTAATAGCTATAAAGGGTCAAAAACTGAAAAAAAAAAAGACTTACACTCTCGACCAGGATTGCCTTCATATAGCCTCCATATTAACGCTCGTGAACCATTTTCATATGATTCGCGCGCGTCTTATAGCCCTAAGCTAATTTAGGGGCTAGGCTCAGTATATAACGATTATTCAAACGACGATAAATATAACGACTAATTGGAAAGACAGAATCTAGAGGGGAACACGCCTAGCACCTCTTAAAATAGCGAGAGTGTATTCCGAGGCCCTACGATACGGCTCTATTGACTTTAAAGCAGGTTTTGCTAATAAATGACTAACGAGACAGGTATAATATCTAAGTAAAAGTTTACAGGAAGAGGCAATTAGCCACAGGATACTAGGTAACGTTAATCTGTTTCCTAAGTTTGTCTCAAGTTCATAGTAGATATAGAAGATATTTATAAGAGACCAATAGAGCGAGCTTTCTCTAAGTCGATTGAAGAAAAAAGTATTCGAGTGACGTTTAGTCCCGAAGAACAAAACTTCAATATTGTAAGTTTTCTTCTAAGAGATATTAGGTTAAGCTTATAAATCCAGGACAGGGATATAAAATTCGGCCTCAAGAATAAGGAATGCGGCGAGCAGCTAGTCAATTTAACCTTATTTATCTACGAAGATAATTCCTATTTCTGAATAGGGCGCTCAACTTTAGATAAAACTGCATTCAGTTTATTCTTTAAGCATATTACTATTAATTATTCCGTGCGCTCCTCTTACTACAGTTCATATACATTCAGTTCTTCTTACGCGATAGCCCTCTTATCTTATCGGAATTAATGAAGTAGGCATTGAAAGAAGTTCCTCGGCAAGTCTTAACTATAAGTTTATCTCTTTCATTCGCTAGGGCAGCTATCGAATAAAGTAGATTTAGTAGAATCGATCTTCTGATTACCGAATCGTTAATTATATTTAGCCTTCATATATTTATATTCGGAATACGCTTCTGGCTCGAGGCTATTTAGCTTTTGGGTTAGAGAGACGACAGCGGTTATCATTGTCTCGACAGTCCGAAGTTGATGTAGATTATGTTTCGTGCCAAGCGGAAGCTATTCACTGGAAGCTAGAGATATTTTGGGATAGCCCTAGCCCTATGCCTTCAGGAACAATATGTGACCGCATCGATTATTGAGAGAAGGCTAGAGGAGATCTATAGACGGCTGCTAATCTACTTATCAGCTCATTCCGTTGCGCCGGGAAAAAAATGTTGATAAAACCGACGACGTTAGCCAAGGGCTGAAAACAAAGAATGAACCCCCCCCCCCCCCCCAAACCACAAAGCCTATCTAGGTCACTGCATGCCACCGTATGCCACCATATATTAATACCGATATATAGAATGATATGCATAAACAGCAGCTAATCTAAGTGACATTGGTATGCGCCAATGCTTAGATAAGTCAGTGGATCGATGACCTATGGTCTAGATATCTAAAATAGACGTGCGGGGGAGTATATTCGCAATAATCCCGAACGTCTAGAAGAGTAAGTAGTCCCAAAAGTCAGTAAGGGCGCAGACAAGAGACAGTAAGAGAGCAATCTGAATAATACCAGGCGGGCAGTCATTAATAATAAGTATCATTTATCTATGTCGGCTGTTGGTGGACGTGGTGGTAAAAGCTTTAATCCGCCCTGAGGACTATTTGTAGCCAGAGTAGATCTATTTTGTCGTTAAATAAGACACTTATCCTATGAGTTACTTATTCAGCCAAATATAGCGGCAGCCACTTATCTATATTACTTAAGTGGCGGATGACGGAAACGGCAGAGAAAGGCTAAGTGAATTACAACCATTAATTACTATTTCCTCACCTATAGACAACTTCGTATCTTATTAGACTCGATAAAGTGACTTTAAAAAGGATTTATCTTACAATAGGCAGAAGACCATATCGAGGCCTTTGATAAGATATTACGAAAAGTTGAACTTTGAAATGTGATAAGATGACCCATGATATTTATTGCAAGATCGGATAGTAGATAGATATTCAGGAAGTCAGTATAGTACTATGGCGAGAAACGCAGTTCAGTCAAAATACCGGTCCCCATCATGCATTTGTTATAAGACTTCCCAGGCCATTCAACATTGGTCTTTCCTAACTAGCACCGACTTTTTGATTAGGCGGCCACTAAGCGAGAATTTGGTCTTCGCCGCTTTTTATGCCGCTCTTGAAACCGCTCTCCTTTTTGGAAGAGCCAGTACTACTTATAAGACCGCCTTAATAGCCGCTCCTGGGACCGCTTTTGAGGTGGCCGCTTAAAGGACCGCCCTTAAAGCCGCTCTACAGACCGCTTTACTAGTCGCACCTATAAGTTATATTACGAGTATGTTACATTATCTTATGTAACTTATAGGAAATTCACTTATAAAAGTCAAAGCGTCAATTTTAGCTACTTCTTTAGGTATGCACTAAGCGCCTAGAAATCCCACAACGTTAGATCGCTGGTAGAAATCTATATCTGCGAGCGCTACCTGTACTTTCCAAATCAAGTTATACATCTGCAACGCTAGAAGAACTATAGATAATAGCGAATTACAACCAGACCAAATCACTGTTGTATATAGTATTATGGGATCTTAAATGACCCCCTGAATCGTAAATATTTCCGGTCCTTTCACCTGACTTCTGACTTGATTAAGAAAAATGTCTCTCGGCTCTTCTGTTCCTTTTCTAGAGTTCTCATCTAGGATGTGCAAAGTAGAGGATTTCAGCGTCGAAAGCTTGCGATATAGAAAGTTTCTATGATACTTACCTATTCTCTTACAATCGACTTTTGTAAGCTTACTTTAGAGTCGAGGCTGAATTGTAAATTGCCTGAGATATTCAAGTATTTCTCAACAGCATAGGGTTAAAACTCTTAGAGATATGGTGCACGCTCCTTTATGCCTTTTTTTCGATCGGCGAAAGGAATGGCATTTCATCCAGTCTTTTGGAAGTGGCCAGCTTTCTAAAGTAGGAGTCATGATTTATTTTTGAGTTCTTTCTATTTTATACAAAAGGCGAGCTGGAAATTTATAACCCAATCAGAAGAATACTTACGCTTATTACTTAAGCTATCTTTCTCTTCTTCCTGATGCTCTCTGGCGATTACGTCTACTATGGTTAGCGTTTACTATAAGCGATAATGTTTCATCACTAACATTAGCAAAGACAGCAGGATTTTGGTAAGAGATATCATTAAACGATATTCGAGGAACATAAACGTCCTGTACTGTAGATCGGAGGTAACGTTCCTTGAAATCTTCTTGATCGTTTTATGTGGCTGCAGCTTCCGCACAACTGATTACGTCACCAGGGTTGTCTCTCTTGGTAGATCGAGGGGATAAAGCTTAAATACCACTTTGTTTTCGTCAGTTCGTGAAAGGTCTCGAAATGCCGACACCGCATTACCCGATGGGTGCGTAAGTCGAGTGCCCCACGTGGCGTGGTACTCGGTAGAGTGAACAATCACGGGTCCCTGATAGAGAAGAAAGTCGACTGCGCCGATGGCCTCCTTGATTTTGTTGGCGAACTGAATTTATCAGTCCCGCTCGGTTCATCTCGCTAGTACACCTACTGCGTTATTATCATCGGCCCCATGTCGCATAAAGCGCTTACATGAGTTTGCATTCTCTTTCATACTGTCTAGCTGTAGGCCTGATGTTGACTTTGATCGCAGTTTTGCATCGCGAGACGATCTATAGTAAAAGCACGAGTATACAC